TTTTATAGTAATCTTATACTTAAATCTTTAGAGATAATATTACTATTATTAAAATATTTTAATGATTACTAATAACTCTTTATTATATGTATCATAGTTAAGTTCAGCATTAGTATATTTTCTTAAGTAAAATGTAACAGTATATATTTCTCTATTATCTATTTATTCTAGGATTATTTTAATTATATATTCTAATATATCTATTCAGATAATATTCTATAATTCTAGATTATATAACTTTAAAATTAATATATATTTAATAAATTCCTTAATTTTCCTAAATACTTATTAATGCACCATTATCTATTCAAATAATTTATTCTTTTTTATTAATTCTATTAATAGGATTATAATAGCAGTATATCCTTCTATAAATCTTTATATATAGCTAATGACTCCTAGGAATAATTATATATCTATAATGTTTATTAGAACTGACCATTTTAGAATAACATTTAGTTTTTCTTTTAATATTTTAAATCTATTTAATATATAAACTATTCCTAAATATTTAACTTATATCATATTGAATTCATATTTTTTGATTTCTAATATAAGTTCTGTATCTATAAGTCTTATTATGATTTTTTAGATATATTTATTATATTTATTAAGATCTTTTAAGAATATTATTATATTGTCAAAATATACTATAATAAAATTATTTAAATATTCTTTAAGTATATGTATTATATACTATATAAACTATATTGATAGATTTTTCAATTTTATTAAAATAATAATCCATTCATAGAGTCCTTTGTTTATTAAGAATACCATTTTATAAATGTCTTCTTTACATATTCTTAGATTATAATATTTCTATTTTATATTAAATATTGTTATAATTTTTACTCTTTATAATAAATCTTTTTTTTACTCTTAATATAGTATCTTATTTATATTATCTATTATTTAATTATTAATTGATTAATAATTATATATTATTTATAGCATTAAATCTTTCTTTAATATAAAAAGATTTAATATTGAATTTATTATTCTAAATTCTTGAATATATTTAGCTGAATAGAATTTATTAATAAATTTATTTTTAACTTTAAATTTTTATACTAATTTCTGTCTCTATTTAATTTGCTTTAATATCAATCTTAATTTTAAGTCTATTATTACTTTATATTTAGATGAATATATTGATAGTTAATATTTTTTTTTATAAATAACTTAATATAGTTATAATATTTCTTTAGTAACTTTTTAAATATTTTTATAAATTCTTTTTTATATATTTCTTTTAATTTTAATTAAGTTTATGCTATTTTCTGTTTTATTTTATTAATTTCAGTAATATTTATTTTAGGTTATTTTTCTTTATTCTTATTTATTTATAATATTATATTATTAATCTTTAATATCTATTTCTTCCAATTAATGATTAGATTCTATCTTTATAATTAGATTATTCTAAGAATTATATTATAATAACTGTGATTTAAAGATAAAATTCTAAATATTATATTTATAATATATTTTTCTAATTTTAAAATTATATTTTTAATTATCTATAGATATTCTTTATTAAAAATAGTTCTATCTATAGTAATAATTATTTATTATTATTATATTTACTTTATTAAGATCTTATGTTTCTTAATAAATTCTTTATTAATAAAGTTTGTTAATATTTCAAAATCAATGAATATTCTTACTAGCTTTCTATAAATTATAGCTTATATAATAAATATATATTCTGTTAGTTTATTATTAATAGCTACTATAATAATTACTTTCTTTATATATTATAAATAATATCTTTTCTATACTTCTTAAAACTATATTTATTCTTCTTTAGTCACTTTTATCTTTTCTTTATATATATAATAGTTATTTGCCCTATATTCTATATTCTTAAAACAATTATAATTTGAGTGTCTTATCTCTTTATATATATATTAGTAATCTTTATATTCCTTAAAACACTTAAATATCAGTCAATAGAAAACTTTTAATAACATAAAAAATCATTTATATAGATTTTTATTTATCTAGTAATATATACATACTTTGTTAAAATATAATATTTAATATACTTCTAAATAATTAAATCTGCTTAGCTTAGAATAATAATAATAAATATAGTTATATATATATTCTAATATTCTACTATATAGATTTATTCTTTTTAAATAAGATAGTTATTCTATTTTTTAGTTAATTTAAGATTATCTTTACTATAAACTAGATATTCTTTAAATATCTATTCTTAATATCTTTTATATATATTAATATATTATTATTATATTTAAAATGATTCTTCTTAGTATATTACTTTAGAAAATATATAATAATATAATTCTTTATCTTTTATATTTTTTATAAATTTATCTTAAGTTTCTATAATTTTATATTCTATTTTAAAGAACTCTTCTGGAGTTCTTAGGATTTCTTTTTTATTCTTAGGATATTTTAACTTGATTCTAAGATTATTATTCTAATTTCTAGAATCTTTTCTTAGTTTTTTTACTAATATTGATAAGTCTCTATATTAATTATTTTAAAATAATTAATTAATAGATTCTATTAATTTTAATTTTTATAGAATATTTAATTTTTAATTTAAGTCTTTATAGTTTATTATCTTTTAATTATTATCTTAAAATATTAAATTATGTTAGGTTTTATTTTCTAATAAGAAATTATTAATATTTTAATTAGTATTATACTGCTTTATTAATAGCTTTAATCTATAGATGGGTTAATATCTAGCTTTATTTTTTAATAAGAATATATTTCTTCTAGTTTAATATTTTCTTTCTAAGTTATATTTTTTTAAGCATCTTTCTGATATATCTATTAGATTTCTTAGGATTTCTTTATTATATTATAACTGATTTATATTTTCATTTAAATCTTTATTTAATAATTCTATTTTATATTTTCTTAAGATCTTTTTTTTTTCTTTATTATCTTTCTTAATAATTTCTTGATATAGAATAGAGAGTTGTAAATTAATAATTATTATTTTTTAATAGTTGATGTCATTAAATCTTTATTTTTATTAGTATTCTTTTATAAAGTATTCTTTTTATTTATATTTATAATAGATTCTTTTCTTATATCTTTGTTCTTTCTCTTTCTTATTAATAACAGTATTAAGCTGTATTCTGATATCTCTATTATAGTTATAATAAAGCTTTTTAAGCTGTAGAGTATTTATTTAATAATTTTTTTAATATTGATTTTTCTTTTCTATGAGCTAATTATATTATTAGAAATTAATTTATAATATTATTTTTATTATTTTATAGAAAGTCTTTAATTAAGAATTTATTATTAAAATTATATTTTTAATATTTTTTTTAAATCTATTATAATATTGATTATAATATATTTAATCTTTATAATAAAGATTATTTATAATTTAAAGATATACTGATATATATTCTTTTATAGATTAGATTTATTAAATATTTTAAATCTTATAAATTATTATAAGTTTTTTATTAATGACTTTATAAAATTGTTTAAGTTTAATAATAAAATATTTATAATTTATAAATATTAAAATCATTTTTAAATTCTTTTACTTAATATTTGTTTTAAGTTAGTTTTTAATATATAGTATAAATCATTTTATAATATCTTTAATTAAAAAATTGAATATTATTAATACTTTTACTTCTTTAATATTGATTTTTATAGTATTATTAAAGAAGTAGATTCTTATTTAAATAAGAAATATATTAAATGTTTTAGATTTTTTTAAAAATAGTTCTATTTTATTAATTTTTAATTTTTAATCTAAGCTATTAACTTATTATTAAGTTATAATATTCTTAAGTTTAATAATTTTAATAAAAATATTTTTAAGTTTAATTACTAAAGTTTATTTAGTTCTGTTAGAAGATAAATAATTGTTATTTATTATTATTAAAAGTAATATTACTTATTTATAACTTTTTAAATGTTATAAGAGTCTTTTATTATTAAAAGTTATTAATAATTTATCTTAAGATTAGAGATCTTAGAGGATATTCTACTAATATAAAATAAAAAAATAATATAAGATTAATATTAAAAAGCTATCTATTAAGAATAATAATAATAGTAAAAAGATTATTAAATATTAAATAATAATATATTATTTAATATAAAGATAAAAGATAATTAACTAAATATATAATAATAAATAAATATTTATATATATTAAATAGAATATATTTATAGATATACTCCTTTAGAGCCTTTAGTATGAAATATTATATTAAAAAGTATAATTATTATATTCTAGCTTTAATAGATTATGTGTTTAATATATGCTGAAATTAAGCATCAATTCACAGTACTAATAATTATTATACCAATAATTGTGGCTAAACAAAAGTATAGCCACTTTTCAGCCCTGCTTCTATAATACCTAATTGTACTGTATAACAATCGTGATTACTGCTATTTCAATCTCTTTTGGGTGCTTATGTAATAGCGTCCGCTATAACATTCATTGGCTGTGACTTATCGATTCTTGTGACACTTTATAGCTTATTGCTGGGTAAGGTCATAAAACTTAAATAAATAAAGATAATAAAATTTAATTAAATAAATAATAAAAGAATAAAATAAATAGTAATAAATTAATAAATCATAAAATTATAAATAAATATAAAAGAATATATAATATATAAAAAAATAAATAATAATAAAAAATTAATAATAATTCTTAGAATATACTAGCTATTTATAGATTAATTTAATTCTCTTTTAATATATATATTTTAAATCATTTTATAGTGCAGTATAAGCATTATATTTAGTCTTTAAGACTCTATAGGCTAGAGCCTAATTCTGTATAGCAGCAATAGTATGGAAGCTAGCTAGAACAAGTTAATGAGAACTACTACTACTACTAATGTTTCTGTTGTTTGATCAACTAAATTTATTAAAATAATATTGATTCTCCATCCGTAGTAATTTGCTATAACGAACACACTTGAGTGGCCGACTCTTTGAAATGCGTCAGTCACGCGAATCCTCCTGCAAAATCATCTGGCGGAAATGTATAACACTATATTCAAATCAATGGTAAGTCGAGGCAGATATGGCTCGGAATAGTGTTGTAGCTAAATACCGTTGTTTCCCCGCACAAAAGCATCACCATAACTTCGTCTCAGTTGCCCGTTGACGTATTCGTCAGTCTTCTCAAGAGCTATGTTCATGTATCCATCGACCGATTGAAGTTCCCCTGTGGACTAGATTAGCGACGCGTCCGGGGCAAGGGGCAAAGACAGTCATACCCTGGTATACCACGCCTGAGTTGAGTTTCACAATAACCGGCGATCCGATAATCTCACTAAGAAAAGTGGAAGGATCCTTGCCTTCAGAAGATGCCCCGTTTTCCATAGTTGACGGACGTGTTATGTAGCTTGGCGTTGATCGGGTTTGACTGATTGCTTGACTGCTGACAGTGTAGGTAGAGCCACCCGAAAAGTGGGGCCATCAAGGCTCCCTTAAGCCCAAAGTGCCAGTGCCTGGCATTATTATGCTAGCGTTCTAACGGATGGTGAGAGCAAAGATGATTCCTGCGCTGCCACATCCCTTGGAGGTGATGATATTATGGCAACCTCAAATCCAGCTGACGAGCAGCGAGTGACTTATGATTATTGTGATGAACCTCAAAGCGTGCTTGATTTGGGCACCCTAGATCATGCATCCGCAACAACAGGCAGCGTGCTGCCGTCCGAGAACACCAACGGCTTAGGCCAACACGAAGTTGAAACACCTGATTATAAAAGGGAACATATCTCACCTGGTCCTCAGAATATCCAAAATGCTTCCTCCAGCATCCAAACTTCACACAAAGGTTGTAAACTGACCTACGACCCGGAGTTGGATAAAAAGTCATCGGCAAAGGAAAAAAAGAGGAAGCCTGAATACGTTGACTTTGTGCAAACCGATTCCGTGTCGCCTTCGACTGATCCACGCTGCTCAATTGTAAGTTACACTAGGGGCGCTGCTAATAAACCGAAGGCGAAGCTGAGGAACTCACCTTATTCCCTCCGCCCCTGGTCATTTGATCCAGCAACATCTATCGGTCCTGAACCGCCAGTGCAGGTTGTTGTTACTGGTTTCGACCCCCTGACGCCTATAGCACCGATAAAGGCCCTTTTTGAAAGCTTTGGAGAAATTGAACTTACGGATAACCGCACCGATCCGGTTACTGGGAGACCGCTCGGCATTTGCTCGATCAAGTTCAAAGATGCACATTCTTTCCAAGATAAACGTTCATTGCCGGCTTCTACTGCTGCAAAGAGAGCTTACTACGGATGTAAGAAAGAACGGCGCATTGGCACGCATCGTATCCGAGTCGAATTTGATCGCAACGGTATTTTGTCGCAGCGTTTGGTTGATAAAGCTATTGAGTCATGGCGCAAACATAACCCATCATCTTTGGAGTTGAGTCTCCGTGATCCTCCACCCAAGAATAACGAGCCACCACCGACGGCTCCGAAGGGTCCTTCGGCTCGCCTATCTATACGTCCAGCTTTTAACCCACCCGAAGGTCCTAAGGCTGCAGTCAAACCTGCCTTATCTTCACTAGTTGAGGAAACCCCTATCCTAGAACAGATCAAACGTGATCCATATATTTTCATTGCCCATTGTTACGTCCCTGTGCTGAGTTCGACGTTGCCTCACTTGCAGAAGCGGTTAAGAACTTTTGACTGGAAGGCTGTTCGCTGCGATAGAACTGGATATTATATAATATTCGAAAACTCTCGTCGAGGCGAAGAAGAAACGATGAGATGCTACAAAGTGTGCCACATGACTCCTTTATTCACTTATATTATGAATATGGAGAGTCAACCTTACGGAAATCCTAACTACGAGCGCAGTCCAAGTCCTGAACGACTACGAAGGGAGAGAAAGATGAAAGCCGAAACCGAACGAATACGCAAAGAGTCGGAAATGGAAACCAACGAAGAGAAAAAGCTGCGTGTCGCCAATCTTGACCCGTCAAAGGAAGTCATGAGTATCGTTATACAGGAACTAAAGACAAAACTGTTGGAAGATGTCAAATTGCGGGTCGCTGCCCCTTTCCTGTATGACTATCTTGACCCAGACAGGCATGCTTCCAGAAGACAAGCTCTCGGTATCCGTGACCCGGAAGCTGGCCGACCAAACCCGTTCAATACGAGTATAAATGGTGGGTTTTTCTAAGTACCCCTGCGTGATTTTTCTGATGATCGAATAGGTTTTGGTCACTACCCATTTGAATATTCTCATCTCGACGTACTGACGCTCCCCCGCATCGGTAAAAATCGTCGCAATGAGCTGACACGTCTAACTTACTTGGATGAAAGGCGTCGTCACTTAGTTCGACGAAGCGAGGTGCGGCCGCTTCATCACCGCCTCCAACATCTTCATGAATCGGGAGACTCGGACGACGAATCAAGGACGCCTGTTTCGAGGGATACCGATGAGCCTGAAAGCCGGCCGTCCAGTCGTGTGGGTTTTGACACATCTGAAAGTGAAGATGATTATGGTGACTATACTATTGCTACTCCACCTGGCGAGGATGATGGTATAGAATATGGTATTGCTGCAGACAGAGAGTTGGACAACAGCACTGACGATTTAACATCGCCGTTGAACCATGATAACTCTATTCTATCGAAGAAAAGGAAAAGACATAACAAGGCTCTTGATGCTCGGAAACGCCAGAAGGATGACCATCAACTTTTTGGCATCCACGAAGATGTTCTTGGAAGCGATGTTCATATTGTTGATGATACATCCGGACGACCTATGTCTTCGTATACATATGATAGTGAAGGGTTTGATCGAGAGGAACATTACTCACAATATCCGAACCTAGGTCTGTATACATTCAGTGTCGCTTTGGAGATTCGCAAGAAAACTAACATTTGATAGATATTTTTGAACCTACTCCTGTGAGGCCCGAAGTAGATTTTGAAGTTTCTTATGACGAACCACGACCGACTGTGGATGATGACGAATCATTAGTGCTTGACCTGGACGGATGGAAGGCATTAGTCAAAGATGATGAAGACATTGATCTTCTCAGGTTTATTTTGTCAGATTCAGTATCTTCCGAAGTTGGCAACCTTACGGCATGGGCTTGGAAACAAAGAGAAATTAAGGCGCTTAATCGTGGGGAAGCAGGCCCAATTCGCATGCAAATATGCATTCCCGGGTATTTTGTTCAGAATACTACCGGCTCGGCCCGTACTGAGGGTAGAAAAAAGATTTTTGAAGCCGAAAAATCAAAATATCTCCCTCATCGTATTAAGGTCCAGAAGGCTCGAGAAAAGAGGGAAGCAATGGCACAAAGCGATCCGCAGGCGGCGCCCGTTGAGGTCGCAAATAATGCTAATACTAGCAATGTATCTAAGTCTACGTCCAGATCTACAAGGGTTCAAAATCGGCGTCTAGCTGCAGATATCAATGCCCAAAAACAGGTCCTTCCTCCTCAGGGAGGCGACGGTGATGCTTTGCGGTTCAATCAACTTAAGAAGCGGAAGAAGCCTGTTAGGTTTGCTCGTTCTGCTATCCACAACTGGGGACTCTATGCAGAAGAGAATATTGCGGCCAATGACATGATCATTGAATATGTCGGCGAGAAGGTGAGACAGCAAGTTGCTGACATGAGAGAGAGAAGATATTTGAAGAGCGGCATTGGAAGCAGCTATCTATTTCGAATTGATGAAAATGCCGTGATTGACGCAACAAAACGCGGCGGAATTGCACGGTTCATCAACCACAGTTGCACGCCAAACTGCACTGCCAAAATCATTAGAGTGGACGGCAGTAAGAGAATTGTCATTTACGCGTTGCGAGACATTCACAAAGGTTTGTTCTCTTACACACGTTGCCTTTCGTCGTATCACCTCGCTAATATAATTTACAGATGAAGAACTCACATATGATTATAAATTCGAGAGAGAATGGGATAGCGATGATAGAATCCCTTGTCTATGTGGATCTACCGGCTGTAAAGGATATCTGAATTGAAGCATATTTCACACATTTCGAAGGAGTTCTTTGAGTGGTATAGCGGTGCTTGGATGCATTGATTGGGCGTTAGTAAACCGTGGAAAAGCCTTGCATTTTGTTGCTTCTTTCTGACATGTCCTTGGGAGTTGTGGCATCTTATTGCACGCGCGGCTTGCGTGCTATGTATATTATATTATCGAGACGAGAAGCTTTTCTAACTGGAGAGGCTATCATACTAAATATATTTGTATTAGATCATCGGCAAACTTGTTAAAATCTCCCCAAGTGGAAACGTAGGAGTCGATTTTGTGTCTGCTGAATCCATGCACATCTTGTTTGGTGTAACGAAATGATCTGGGAAGGTGATATTAATGTGATCGCGTCCATGTTCAAAATATGCCGCTCTCTATCCTAATATGCATGCAAACCGCCTTCGTGCTTATTTCGGTTCTTCCTTAGGACCCAACTGCCTCTCTTTCCTTTATAATTCAATTGAAAGCCGATATAATATGTCTCTAAATCGATAGGAGCCAACCATGACAGTCGGAATATTATATCGACGACTCGTGTAGATAGACATCTGGTCATGTCATACACGTGTGGAACATGATGCTTACCGCGAGAGCTCGAAGCGAATATGAGCCAAAATTGGCTGACTATTTTATTTCGCCATCATATAAACCGAATGTACCTGCTCAGACTGCAAAGGGTTAGAATGAGGGAATGGATCGGGAGGAAGGAACTGCCCATACCTAGATGACTTGGAAGCAAGAAGTTTGCAATACCTTCTTTAATCTCATATTCATGACCGCACGTTTCGCAGCATAGTTTTCCTTCAACCACTTGAATTTCCAGAAGCAAACGGTGAAGATCTCGAAGGGTGGTTTCATCAATGTCGGTACCGTCTGGTTTCGTGTCTGATATGGTTGGAAACCCAAGCTATTGCTTATTTTAAGCCTTGTAGGTCAACAAAGCCACTGTGGTTGGAACTAACCTCTTGTGCTGTCACTCGTAAGCGTTCCCAGTCTAATCGAGGTAGAATATTTTGGACAAAAGTTGGATTGAAGTCGACTTCCTGTTGCTCAAGCTCTGCGTCTCGAAAATGAAGTGCGGATGATGATTGCGATGCTCGGCAGCCTTTGACGGCGCAGGTGAGGAAATTAACAGTGAGTACTTTCATTTCAACCCCTTGAGTGAATCAACAGAGGGAAGATGTTTTATTGCAAGGTTTTCGTTGAGGGTATAATGCGATAGAAGTATTAGAGCGGCTGAAAAACAAAAATTATTCTTTTCGGTTAGATTAGGCCAATCCTCGTACGTTGGCGTCGGAGTTATATCCACTTAAATACACTTGAATATGAGGAAAAATGAATAAAATTGAACAGAAATGCAGCACTTTTCAATAACCAAAGAATTATAAGTTCGGTTATCTCGCTTGTATTATTTACTCGTAGGCCCTTTTCTGTATATTATACATCATATTAGGAAAACGTCCATCCCTGTTTGCCCGGTCTAACACCTTAGTATAACGAGGCTATGAACTAGAACATCCTTAACATGATATTATTTGAGTAGGACCTCAATTAGGTCGTGGTCTGTAATATCGTGCTCTTCTAAACGAGACTCGGGATCTAATATATCCCCGTCAAAGCACAGATGTATGCTCCTCTCCTGGGCCACATTTGCCCGAACTCGAAAATCCTTGACAACTTGCGAAATTTTCGTCCTACCCCGTACCTTCATCAACAGTTCTTGATTATTTTGACTCCTCAAAACAATATTGAAGACAGTCTCTTTCTCAACGTCAGTAGCATCCGGGGAATGATTTGCAGATTCAGCCTGAGACCTCAGCAGTTCATCTGTCACAGCTTCCACATGGATGCGTGTTGTTCCGTTTTGAGAAGATGACTCATCCTCAGACTGCAAATCAGTAGGCATATGGGATAGCCTGACACTCAACCCAAGGCTTTTACACGTTGTAACATCAAACAGTCTTCTTTTGTTCCAAGTCAAGTACACAGACGATGTCATCTTTTCGTCAAATTTTTGTCGCCCACACCATGCTAACCGCACATCCCGAAAACGCTGTGACATTCGCCGTTGAACAACTAAGGGCTTCGTATCCTTGATCTCCGATGTGATTAATATCTGAACTATCTCGTCATCACTGTCTGATACACGTGATTCAGTAGAATCAGTGGAATGCACTGTCTTGTGAGACTGGAAGGGAGTTGCACGTCCTATGTGGTCATCGTGAATTCGAGGATGAGATTGGAATTTGGTATTTGTCTGTATCTTGTCTGAACTAGAGGCTCCTTTTTGAGCTGATAGAACGCAATCGTTCGGATTCGACGGACTCTTTGATTTTTCACGATAAGGTGTAGATGAGGTGTTATTCTCCTTAGTTGACGGTAGCGGGGTATCTAATAGGTTTCTAGGCAAGTCTGAAGCAAAGACGATAGGATTTTGTTCGGCTTCCATAGGCCCGGACGATTTGCTCTCGAAATTGCACATACCCTCGTTTGCCTCGTTCTCTTGAGCGGCATCGCAGTCGGATGGATCTGCCGTGAAAGAATGAGCCGTTGATGTGACATTTTCCTGTGAAATTCGCCGACGCTTAAGGGATTTATCAAAATCGCGGTCGGCTTGAGAAGTGGACTTAGCTACAGCGTCGCGATACTGCTGGCGGTTTGCAGCTATAATGTCATTGTAAGTTTGTTTTGATCTTCGGTAAAACTCGGGCGCATTAGGTTCCTCGCCAGTGACAGCCCATGCGGGCTTGTTGAAAAACGAGCGCATATGAAAAGGGTATGTTTAGTGTTTCCACTGAGCTGAGGTTGACCCCAAACGCGAGGTGTGAAGATGATCATGATATCATGTATTATAAGACACTAAGAAAATTATTAAGAACTAAGAAAACTGATTACAGGCCTTACCGAAAAGAAACTAGTGGGGGTGCCCGCCCAATATTATTATGGTCATAGAATACCACTAGTGGTGCGGGGCAAGAGAGTCTGTGAGTGTGTGCGGATGCTGCTCGTAATCTTGTTACCAAATGGTGATTGATATCCACCTTGTACAGTGGTGCAATATTAAGTTAATACTTGCTGACACTGAGTGAGAAACCAGAAAGATGTCTGGGTGTGGCAAAAGCTGATTAGCTCAACCTCCACCCCCACCGAGATCGGCCCACGTGCTTATTGTTAGAGGGGTTTTCGCGAAAAAGATGTCCAATACCATAGCCAGCGTTCTTAATAATAGCAGCACCGAAATCAAATCTCTACCGCATTCCTGTTCTCAGGCATATAGCTGAAGCTTTTTTTCGCCAGTCATAACGTGGTAGAAACGCTTCTATTTGCTGTCGCCATGTCTCTCCAGGCGATCAGGTATGACGGCAAGCAGCTGTTGATCATCGATCAACTGCAGCTTCCTTACCTAGAGGAATACGTAGCTATTCATTCTGCGAAAGATGGGTGGCAAGCGATCAAAGATATGCGTGTCCGCGGCGCGCCTGCTATTGCAATTGTCGCAATTCTATCGCTAGCGGTCGAGTTGCGTACGTTGCTCGACAGCGAGAAACTGTCGACCAGCTCTCAAGAGGTTACCAGCTTTATCACCGAAAGATTGCACTATCTTGTAACCAGTCGGCCAACTGCTGTCAATTTAGCCGATGCTGCTAGGAAGTTTGAGGCCGTGGTCAATGAGCATGCGGCGAAAGTGGATTCCACGGGACCAAGTGTCCTTGAGGCTTATTTCCAGGAAGCAGAAAGGATGCTTGCTAATGACCTCAGTGATAACCAGAGTATTGGGGCGCATGGGTCCAAATGGATTCTTGATCAAGCGTTGTTACAGGGGAAAACTATTGTTAATGTGCTCACCCATTGCAATACAGGGTCAGTTACTCGCGTGTGAGGTTTCAACATCATTAATTCTGATTATCTGGTCAGGTCACTTGCTACTTCAGGCTATGGAACAGCCTTGGGAGTCATTCGATCCCTACATTCAAAGAACGCTCTAGGTCGTGCATATTGCACCGAAACTAGACCATATAACCAGGGAGCCCGACTTACGGCTTTCGAACTAGTGCATGACAAAATCCCTGCAACACTTATCACGGACTCGATGGCTTCAGCGCTACTAGCTGACCCTAAAGCAAACGTGTCTGCCATCATAGTCGGCGCAGATCGGGTGGCGGCCAATGGAGATACTGCAAACAAAATAGGAACGTATGCTTTAGCGGTACTTGCGAAATACCACGGGGTGAAATTCCTAGTTGCCGCACCGCGGACAACAATTGACCGAGCAACAAAGACGGGGGCGGAGATTATAATAGAGGAACGACCCGCGTCCGAAGTGACGACCATCAAAGGCCCATTGCAAAAGTCAGCGGCTAGGTCTTTGCAAATGGAGACCATCCGTGTTGCTGCTCCGGGAATTGATGTATGGAATCCTGCTTTTGATATCACACCAGCAGTCCTCATCGATGGCGTTATCACGGAAAAGGGCGTTGTGGAGAAAGGCTCGGACGGGTTCTTTCATTTTGATTCGCTTTTTGAGGGGGCGTCGCGGTCATGATTCTTCGGTTCATTTGGTTGGGAAGAATTCTCCTCTTTTGTCCTTGTGACCTCACCGTCATCCTGGGCCTTTTCTTGGCTGTTAGTTTGTACAGATGCCAGGAGTTCGTCTATCTTTAGCTCCAAGTCGTTCAGATGATTTTCGAGGGCTTGCGCTGCTTTTTCACCACTATTATAGAGTTAGCATAGATAATACAAAAATGCAGTGATTGGTGTAGTACTCGGCCAAGTCTTTGAATGCCTGTGCAATATTAGCGACCCCCCAGGAAAAGAAATTCGGAGAGTGGTTAGGTATTGCTCACCTTTGCTAGCTCTGAACCAACTCCCCAATGATCCGGCGATTCACTCATGGTCGTTACGAGGGCAGAAAATATTGCAGGTGGCCGGAAAAAATAATGGTGATAACGATGATAGCACGTTGGACGGTACAAGGGATTATGTTTCTCAACCAACCATCGGTCGTTGAGATTCGCTATGGGAATCGACCTGCCTGCCTGCCAGTCAGTATTGGGACTAGTTAAACTGGTTGGAGGGCGATCACTGATGACTAATACCGATTACGGAGCCAGGGCTGATTCGACCAGGGTTTCAAAGTGACAAAAAAATGATCATGGTTCCTGCTATTATTATCTCTATTCTTTATTCCGTATTCGTACCCTCTGCATCCTGTGTCCTTTCTGTCGTTCTGATTTATGTTACAATTCGTAATATTATCATGGTTGGACAACTACGAGGTAAGCGACAACCGGTCATCTATAGCCGGGGAGTAAGCAACAATCGATGTGTATCAGCCCCTATACTAGTATACGCTGTCAAGGCTATTCAATGGGTCACTGTATGACAGTTCAGGGGCTAAGAGGACATTATTGGAGTCGACTAGTAGTAGTCTGTGGATGACTAGTCCAACTTCCATGGGTATGATCTCGCCAAGTCTGGGATACATGCGTACCTGAACTTTGCAGCATATTTATTAATTCCAGACAAACCAGATGCCTTGGCTTACGGGGGCAGTGTAGGCTATTATCGATTGATGTTAATAATAGGTCTGCCATCCAGCCTAAAACAACAGCGGAAATAGAAACTGCACCGCCACATTCGAAGAGATGTCTAACCTGTAGACAGTACTGAGTAGACTATAGAGTCGCCATACCGTCGGGACGTTATTGGAATTCCGAACAATGGCATTTAAATAGTGCTTGGGCGGTGGAGTCGCCTGCATTCCTGTTTGGGACGATGTTGTCGCTCATGTCGATAAGGAGACAGACGTGTGAATTGAGCTGCTAGGGGCTGGCTGGTTTTGTCAGTGCAGGATTCTCCGTGCTATTATTATCCGTGACTTACGATGCATGTATCCAGTATTGTTGTTTGGGCCATGGCAATACGTATTAGCTATATGCCACATGTCGTCATTTGTCACATTCCGATGTTATCGACCCCCTTCGAGTGGCGGGATCACGGGAGGGGAGGCTGTCTCTGGTACCTGAATAGGAGGCTCGTCAGGGGCGGGGAGTAATAATGCTCAAAATACGATCATAATATTAAATAAGGATGAAAGGATGACGATGATGATGATGTCTGGCCTGCCTTTAGGCTTTGAGACATGGTTTCAGAGGCAGTGGACCCGGGCTGTAACTTGTTGCTGGGCAGAGAGAGAAAGCAGCTGCAGCGATAATTTAGTAAATGCCCGGGCGGGCTACTGCAGGTGGTGCATTAGCCCGCCCACTCACAGCCAGGGCGCAGGCCCGCGACCGCCTTTTCGATCTGGGCCGGTGGATCGCTGGGTCCGAGTACCAGAGCTGGCACTGGCTGCTGCGGCTGCTGCCACTCCCAAAATAAATACGGACTAATAATAATATGTACAGCTTCCCCTCCTCCCTCCCTCTCTCCTCTCTCTCTTCTCTCTCTTCACTCTCTCTCATTCTCATCCGCCCTCTTCATCTGTATCCTGTATTCGTTCCTCCTCGTCCTCCTTCCCTGCTTCCTCGAGCCTGAGCCTCCTGCCTTTTCTTCTACGCAAAACAATTAATTCGCTTTACCACCCCCCCCCTTCACCGCCAAGTCCCCTCCCTTATCTATCGGGCGCTCCTTCCTTCAAACTTCTACCCTCAATCAAATCAATTGCATAGACCCCATCGCCTTCTTTGCTGTCTCGATTCTGGCCCTCTACTTTGAACACAGCTAGCAAACATGTGGTATGACTGCAATCATTGTGTGAAGCGTCTGCAAAACATGTGCCTGACTGGTCTATAGTGGTATCTTTGGCTACATTAACTATCTTGTTGAGAAGGATCGCAAGCATATTTTGAACACTCTGGTCAATGGTGAGTCTGCTGCGTGTCCCACATCGGTTTTCTAGGTTCGATACCAACCCTATTCCCAGGCCTCTCTAGGCTAGAGTACCGTGGTTACGATTCCGCTGGTCTCGCCGTCGATGGCGACAAGAAAAATGAAGTTCTTGCCTTCAAGGAGGTCGGAAAGGTCGCTAAGCTTAAAGAATTGATCGGCGATTCAAACGTGAATTTGGAAAAGACCTTCGATTCCCATGCTGGAATTGCTCATACCCGCTGGGCGACTCACGGCCCACCATCCCGCTTGAACTGCCATCCACACAGGTCAGCAACTCGCCATTGCCTTGCGAATTTGTTTCAATAGGCCATATGCTGATTGAACCTTAGGTCTGACCCAAAGTGGGAATTCTCCGTCGTTCACAATGGTATTATCACCAACTATAAGGAGCTGAAGGCTCTCCTGGAAAGCAAGGGTTTCCGCTTCGAGACCGAGACCGATACTGAATGCATCGCTAAACTCGCAAAGTACCTCTATGACCAACATCCCGACATCGATTTCACCGTCTTAGCCAAAGCAGTGATCAAAGAGCTCGAAGGTGCCTTTGGGCTTCTCATGAAATCTGTGCATTACCCGCATGAGGTTATTGCCGCTCGCAAGGGTTCTCCCTTGGTCATCGGTGTCCGCACTTCCAAGAAGATGAAGGTCGACTTTGTGGATGTTGAGTACTCGGAAGACGGTGCTCTTCCCGCCGAACAAGCGTCTCAAAACGTTGCCATCAAGAATTCGGCTGCTAGCCTTCTTGCACCCCCAGACAAGTCCCTTTTGCATCGCTCGCAATCTCGAGCTTTCCTCTCCGATGACGGAATTCCTCAACCAGCCGAATTTTTCCTCTCCTCCGACCCGTCCGCCATCGTGGAACACACGAAGAAGGTTCTGTACCTTGAGGATGATGATATCGCTCACATCCATGAGGGACAGCTCAATATTCACCGCCTCACTAAGGACGATGGTACCTCCAATGTCCGTGCTATCCAGACCATCGAATTGGAGCTTCAAGAAATCATGAAAGGCAAATTCGACCATTACATGCAAAAGGAAATCTTTGAGCAGCCAGAATCTGTTGTCAATACTATGCGTGGTCGCTTGGATGTTGAAAATAAGAAGGTAACCCTTGGTGGTCTTCGGCAGTACATTTCTACAATTCGTCGCTGCCGACGTATCATTTTTATTGCTTGCGGAACTAGCTACCACTCTTGCATGGCTGTTCGTGGTGTCTTTGAAGAACTCACCGAAATTCCAATCGCCGTCGAACTTGCTTCTGATTTTCTAGACCGACAAGCTCCAGTTTTCCGTGACGATACTTGTGTGTTTGTTTCGCAGTCCGGTGAAACCGCCGATTCCCTTATGGCACTCCGTTACTGCCTTGAACGTGGTGCTCTGACTGTCGGCATAGTCAACGTTGTTGGGTCTTCAATCTCACTGCTTACACACTGTGGTGTCCACATCAATGCTGGCCCTGAAATTGGTGTTGCTTCCACCAAAGCTTACACCTCCCAATTCGTTGCTATGGTCATGTTCGCCCTTTCCTTGAGCGAGGACCGTGCTTCTAAGCAAAAGCGACGCGAGGAAATCATGGTTTGCCTTTCGAAAATCTCCGATCAGTTCCGTGAGATTCTCAAGCTTAACGAACCTATTAAGGAAATGTGTGCCAAATTCTTCAAGAACCAAAAGAGTTTGTTGCTTCTTGGTCGTGGCAGCCAGTATTCTACTGCCTTGGAAGGTTTGTCATTCGCATCACTTTTCGCCATTCATATCTAACAAAAATATTTGTAGGTGCTCTGAAAATCAAGGAGATTTCTTATCTGCATTGCGAGGCAGTCATGTCCGGTGAATTGAAACACGGTGTTCTTGCACTGGTTGATGAAAACCTCCCCATCATTATGATCCTCACACGTGACAACATCTTTGCGAAATCCCTTAATGCCTACCAGCAAGGTGAGATCCCCTACTCTATGCAGATATTGGGTCCAGAAGCAGTCCTAACGAGTCGAGTAGTCATTGCCCGCGGTGGTCGTCCTATCGTTATCTGCAATACCGATGACGAAGAGTTCCCTGCATCCCAGACCGAGAGAATCGCGGTCCCAAAGACTGTGGATTGCTTGCAGGGTCTCTTGAATGTCATTCCATTGCAGCTGATTGCCTATTGGCTTGCCGTTGCAGAAGGGTTGAATGTTGACTTTCCTCGTAACCTCGCCAAGTCGGTGACAGTCGAGTAATTGTATGAGGATGGATAACGTAAAAGCATGACGGTACGATAGGCAGTTGACATTAATATTGCGTTTTGTTTTAAATCCCGGTGACAACTTGTAGTAGTCTGCACTTTTTTTCAAAACCACGATGAGATTTTATTCCACCGTTTAGCACCTTCAAGTGGACTTGTTGATGGCTGCTTGTCGGTTTTGTATTTAATAACAATTGATGATCAATGAGCTGTTTCTGTTTTTACACACTACAGCCTACCTTTATTCCTTGACATGTGGAGTAATGCCCCGCACCACCCATGAGCAGTTGAACCGCTGCTTGATTTACTCATACCTTTCTTTCCTCTTCATAATAGTATATCAACTATACGTGTCGATAAACCAGACGTTCAATTCGCAGTAAAAATGGCATCCTTAAAGGGACCTGGAAAAATCGAGACTTATGATGGTAGAGTCCCAAAAACGCTTCTTCCAACTACTCCATTATATAGCTAACTCCGGTTTTCAATGTAGGTGCTGGACTTCGGGTCGCAATTGTCCATGCGCGCTGGAATACCGTTATCATTGATGCCCTCGTGTCCGGGGCTCGTAAGAGCCTCCTCTCAGCGGGTGTTGCAGAACAAAATATTGTCGTCCAAAGTGTTCCAGGTAGTTATGAGCTGCCGTTCGCCGTGCAGAGGTCAGCGTCTTTCTTATATGAGCTTCTTACTAGAGTGCAAAGCTAAACTCTAGAAAATTTTTGTTAATACAGATTATATGCAGCATCGCATGTCCAAGCCGCTGCGAATTCATCAACTGGCGATATCAGCGCGACTGATCTGTTGTCAGCGTCTACGACCGATTTGACCAAACCTGCTACCACGACCACAGCAACAAAGGACAGCCCCTCGCAAGCACCATTTGATGCCATCATAGCAATTGGTGTTTTGATCAAAGGCGAGACAATGCATTTTGAATACATAGCGGACGCCGTATCACATGGCTTGATGCGCGTACAACTCGATTCTAACGTTCCGGTCGTCTTCGGGCTTCTTACATTACTGACCGAGGAACAAGGACTAGAGCGAGCAGGTTTGGGCAGTGGGAAGAAACATAACCATGGCGAGGACTGGGGAAGTGCTGCCGTTGAATTAGCCGTCAAACGTAGAGGATGGGCTGAGGGCAAAATTGCTTAAAGGAAAGCAGAGTGTACTAAGTTTCATCCCAATGGTCTATAACATAGTTGGATGACCGGGTACGCGCCAAACCAGAGAAATGATTTTTGAATTAAAATGAAAATGCCTAAATGGTTGACAGAAATCATAGTCAAGCTTCTAATCACTCTTCCATACGCTCTTCATCCTTTGGGCCATCTTCCTCGTCTTCATCTTCGCCTTCTAATGCCGCCTTGGCTGCCTTTTCAGCTTCCTCCAATAGGTCTTTAGGAACTTCTTCATGTCTTCCTTTGGTTGGGCCATCAAGCGAGCTAATCCACGTCATCTCGAGCTCGAATTCCTTATCTTTGCTATCCTCGTGTGCAACGTAGATAATTCGAGCAGCTTCCTTAACGCCATCGTGAAGGCTCAGATTTCCGGAGCTCAAATCCAACTTCTCTAGCTCGGCCTTAGCTGCTTGCCTACCTTTGCCAGTCGCTGCACCATAATATCCCTTTAGGAGGTTGTTAGCAAAATCAACGTAACCTAGACCGCTTCCATAACATACCCAGTAGAGGCCACTTGGTTCGATCATGTAAAGTCCCGGGCCACCCGCCTTGACTCCCTCGGCTTTCCCACCAGCGCCGACGCTGGGTCCTGTACCGACTTGGCCATCCACCGACAACTCAGACTCCAGATCCCAGCCACCAACTATGGATGTGACGCCGAATGGGCGTACACTGGAATATAGTGTGTAAGCTTGAACATAGCCACCCAGCCTATTAGCCAAAGCAGATGTCGGAATTGGGCCTTTGTAGGTTCTTCGCCAAGACGCAGCTTCATCCCTGGCTCTCGAGACAAAATGTCGACCATCAGGAACAAGGCCAGCCGTTACCTTAAACATCACCCGTCAGCTTTCTCTATTTTGGAAGCATAGCAATAATCTACTATCCCGAAGGAGTCTCACAATGCCAAAATTCCGGTCGACGCTCGCTATTCTCTTGTTTGCACCGGGCTTCAATAGCTTGCTCGTAATCAGCTTCTCCACAGCTAGAACGACGCCATCCTTGCATCTGATGCCAATCGCAGTTCCTCCATTCTCAACAGCTTTGACAGCGTATTCAACCTACAAGTTGGAAGCGAACAACAGGTTAGCAAACCGAAGCAGACAGGCAAGAGGCTTGGCCGGGCCATACCTGAAAGTTCCTGCCGTCAGGGGAGAACACTGAATTGGACAAATCATAGCCTGTGCCGATTGAAGTCTGTTTAAATAGTCAGAATATCCCACACGCAGTGTTCTGAACACTAGAAGCACAAACCATGGTTGCTAGATACGGGTTGCTGAATAGTTGAAACGAAGACCGAACAGTGAGCAAACGGTTCTTCAAGACAGTGCCTGACTAGCTATCAGTTTGCAGGGTACCAGGCGAGTCCAGACGAATATTCCAGAAGAGAGAGCCTGTTAAGGACGTTGATGGGTCGGACAACGTGAGAGATAGGTTGGGGGGTGGGCAGTAGATGCGATGGCTGATGCTGCTTAGAGCTTTGGAGCTATTGTACTATTTGCTAGTAGCCATTGGCGGGCATCGCGTCACTCGCATCTGCCTGCGCCAAGCCATGTAGCTATCACGTGATGTGGGACTAATTATTATAATTATTAATAGCTGTCTGACACCCAACGACAACGCCATCAACATACCGGTGCTGCTTGTTTCTGCTTCGTTGGAGGCTGTCTTGTGATCCAATTCGCCCCGTGGAAACTGACCTTGTTCCCCCACAATCAATCATAGCCGCCACACGTCGATTACCTGTTCCTCTTGGATGCCCAATCAGGCAGCTATTTCCGTGTGAAGTATAGGTATATTTCTCCTTCAATTCTCGCTAGATACATTATCCCCACTGTGAGACGCAAAACAAATCCATATTCTCCTCTTACAGAAAGCCTTGGCCCTAAAGGATATTATCATCCCTTCGTTGCTTCTCAAAGCCACTCACAACTTGCAAATACTGTCTTCAGAATGGCTTACAAGTGTCCATCTTGTGGATACGTCGCTAATGCTGCCTTCTCGAGAATGCAACTCAGCAATGTTATTTGTGATCAGGTTAGCCTTTCCTTTATTTGAACAAAATTGCAGGTCATGTCAGCCGTGCGGAGGAGCCACCAAAGCGTGTACTCGTTGACTTCTCTCTACTCTTTGGAGAATGTTGTACAATGGTTTACGTCGTCAGCGTTACCCATCACCCATTTTGCCATAACCTAGATACCCTTAAAAGTATAGTCTCGGGTGCTTTCTGGACGACTGTTCAAGCATATTACTATTGTATGGTAGACTGATAAGTCGAAACACCAGTGCCACCTATCAACATCAGATGCGCTGCTCAGAACCCAAGACGACCTCGTAATCCAGTTTGCTGCCTACAGCATTGGTCATGATGACCGACGAGTTCCGGCAGACGATAGTCTCGTAATTAAACATACACCGTTCGCATCCTCTGCAGCGCATACTATCCGCATACTACCCTCCCACTCAAATGCGTCCATATCACAGGGAAATACGGCCAACAGCGGCAGCTGGTAAGTATCCTCAAGAGTGCGGATGACTTCTTCTTTTTAGAACCTTATTGAGACCTTCGAGATGTAGGCCAGCCGAAATATTTTCAGGTGATTATGGATCTCCATCTGGCCCAACTCATCCAATGGACAACCAGATGAACTACCGCCAGGAAACAGCCATGGCCGAAGAGAGATCAGAACACGGGGGCAAAGACAAATCGCAACATGTCGGCACAGTTGATATTGATATGACTGCCGCAGCGGATACGTCGGATCTGTTTTACGAGAATGCTGCGGCCGAACCATACATGTTTCTTGGTTATGGCAGCGAGAGCAGAAGCGGTGGCAGCTGGGATCGCAGAGAGTTGCCTCAAGATGTTTGGTCAAGGAAACACGCAACTAGCATGTCCTACAGGCCGTGCAATGATCCAGTCTTCAATAGGCATCAGTGGTGGGAATAGCTTCAGCATTCAGCCATTCGAAGAGGGAGGACTGCACAGTCGCCCTTGAAGTCACCCTTCAAGTAGTGAATAGCTGAAAATAGATTAATATCCCACCTGTACATAACAGTGACAACACTTATATGCATATTATAGACTCAACGTAGGTCGAGCGGAGGCAGATGAAGCCGGCAGATGTGAGTGATCCGATTGTCGTCGCTTAGGGCCAGGAGCTCCGAGATGCGGAGAAATTCCAGGTCGGCTTCCCGCGGGCGCGTGGTGTTATTGGGTGCCGGAGGGTGGCATTTCTGGCGTTGTCGCAGCAAGGGAAGGTACATCGGGCGGATCCCGCGGTCATTTCCGTCCTGCTTCTTTCTCTCAGGCTCTGGCTAGGTTGCAAATTCTTTGCTGCAAATTTCTAAAACCATCTGTTACTTCTCTTCGATAGCGCCTCTCGAAGCAATTGTAAAGATGATGTCTGTCAGATCGGTGCAGCCAGCGCAGGTATGTATTCCACCCCCTCCCTCACATCCGCTGAGAATTTCCTCTTACAATCGATGTCTAGGCGCTCTTGCGCGCCGTGTCTTCGACCGGTCCGCGACCCTTCATTGCTACACGGTGTACGTATAATTCGCTGGCAAGAACTTTGTCCATGCTCATCTAATGGTTATTTCAGCAATGGCCACTGTCCAGTCCGATATTTTCAAGCCCACCAAATACGGTGGAAAGTATACCGTTACGTTAATTCCAGGTATGACATGCCACTTCTCCCAAGTCAATACAACAACCAGTGGGCTCACCCTCGTCGTGTCCAGGTGACGGAATTGGTGCCGAAGTCGCCGAATCAGTCAAGACTATCTTTAAGGCGGATAATGTTCCTATCGAATGGGAACAGGTTGACGTCAGTGGTGTGGACACCGGAAACAAGCACTCTGAGGAGCTTTTCAGGGAGTCAATTGCATCTCTACGACGGAACAAGCTTGGTCTTAAGGGTATCCTCCACACTCCTGTTGAGCGCTCGGGACACCAATCTTTCAATGTCGCCTTGCGCCAAGAACTCGACATCTACGCGTCTGTTGTGCTCATTAAGAACATCCCTGGGTACCAGACCCGACATGAGAATGTTGACCTTTGCATTGTGCGAGAAAACACCGAGGGTGAATATTCTGGCCTCGAGCACCAGTCTGTCCAGGGCGTCGTCGAATCACTGAAGATCATCACTCGTGCAAAGTCAGAACGCATTGCCAAATTCGCTTTTAGCTTTGCTCTGGCAAACAACCGCAAGAAGGTCACTTGTATCCACAAGGCAAATATTATGAAGCTCGCCGACGGTCTTTTCCGCAATACATTCAAGAAGGTCGCCGAAAACTACCCGACATTGGAGACGAACGATATGATTGTTGACAACGCGTCCATGCAAGCTGTTTCTCGCCCTCAGCAGTTCGATGTCATGGTTATGCCTAATTTGTATGGAGGCATTCTCTCCAACATTGGAGCAGCCCTCGTTGGTGGCCCTGGCATTGTCCCTGGTTGCAACATGGGACGTGATGTCGCGGTCTTCGAGCCCGGATGCCGTCACGTCGGTCTGGATATCAAAGGAAAGGATCAGGCAAACCCTACCGCTTTGATTCTTTCGGGCTCGATGCTTCTTCGTCACCTTGGCCTTGACGAGCACGCTAACCGTGTTTCTAAGGCCGTCTACGACGTCATTGGTGAAGGGTAAGTACTTATCATATTAGCAAAGTGTGTACGGCTTTCTAACATTTGGTATAGTAAAGTTAGAACTCGTGACATGGGTGGCCAAGCTACAACTCATGAATTTACACGGGCTGTGTTGGACAAGATGGAATCCGCCCTTTGAAGATGCGGCTTGTGAAATCTTTATTGCAAGATAGAATTGCACAGTACCTACCTTATTGACTCGCTAAGCGTACACTTGTATAGTTAAATAGTTTATTTAGATTTTATTGATCTGTATGAGCATTCACAATTCAACTTATCTCATTGATGAAATTATAAAGCATTCGCGGGTGCCTGCTTGATTCAGAAGTCGCTTCTTTGCATTCCATTCTAGTCGATTATTTCATGGCCAAGTCGTCATGCACAATTTTCCTTTGCCTTGAAAGGTCATCCATCCTCCATGGTCCAGCATATGAGCAGCCGGCTAGCTCTCGTGGTTTTATGAAGCTTTTCATGGTGCGCCATTAAGCTCGCGAAGTTTTAGTCTTTGGTGTAAGTGTTTACTCGGGAGCAGACCACATACTCGCTGAAATGTAGAATCGCAAATGGCTGTATGATTCTAGTGTCCCGAATCAGTGACGATGAGTGTTAAAGTCTCTTGTTTTCTTTTTCGATCCGGGTCTATCCATCAAAAGGCTGGGCGTCTTTTCCTTCCGGTATATTTCGAATTTGCTTTAACGACTTTTCCCTTTCGTTCCATTTGTTCCTTTTTTCTCAAGATCCAGGCTTTGCTTCCTTTCTTGTCTTGTGACCTGGAGAATTTGCTTGCGCCGTCTTTCCTTCGAGAGTCAACAACATCAACCCCATCCATGCCGCCAACGACACCGGTGATATCGCCGTTCAATCCTCCTCCACCAACAGTGAGAACGAGATAAATCTTGCTATTCTTTGTACCCGGGTCATCTTCGAGAATGCCAGCACCGAAACCAGCTTTCACGGCAGCTCCGCTAATCATGCTCCGCTGGGCATCGTTTTTGGGGTAGAATTGACAGACTGCTCGTCCACCTCTTCTAAGGCTTGCAAAGAGACCTTCGAAGAACCGTCGTAACCTGCCCTCTGGGCTCACGTCACTTGTCTCCGCATTACAAAGCCACTGTATGGCGCTTATACTAATTGCTGCATCGAAGGTGCCGGGTCGGAATGGTACACCCTGACCGATATCAGCGAGAAACAAGTCCCCTTCTACCTCTCTTTGTAATGCAATGTCAAGCATGCTAGGCGATATGTCCATGCCTATCCAGACATGCGGTCCGCCCTCTTCAGGAAGCACACTAGAAAGCATCTCTCCCGACAGACCAGATCCACAGCCTAGGTCGAGAATAAGGGAAGGTGACTTCAGATCGAGTAGCTCCAAGGCTCTTTCTGTCATGTCGGCCTGGATGTTGCGAATCCGCGAGGATGTGGTATATTTTCGAGATTCATTGTCATCATAGAACAAATCAGGCGGGCTATCATTTGTTTGCCATCATTAGCTTCAGCTAGCTCAATTGACTTGCTATTCCACAAAAACTATGGAGGGAAGCATGGTGGACCCACAGAATGTCTTCAGGACGTGACATGATGCCCCAAATCTAGTGTATCTAGGAGTCTGCAAGTTTTCGAATATGACTTTTAATGTGTCACTAGGGCAAAAGGCTCGAGTTCTCGTTAACGGTACTCAAATAGTCGATTAAAGCTGCAAGATGTCGTGGGGAAATAATAAGAGTATACAAGCAAAATAAAAATTTGCCTAGCCAATCGTGGGCTTTATCGTAAGGGTTAAACTGAGTTGGGTTGGTGTATTATTTTATTTTGAACGCTGTTAATAAATTGTCAAGTACGGTCGAGGGCCGAGGGTGGGGGCGTTCTTGTGAAGTGCCTGAGGCCAAAATCATACATGATTGGCCACGGTGTTCTGCCTTTGTCGATACGTCACTCGTAACATATAACTATCAAACTATCAACTGATGAGCATGTCTCTCTAGCAGGCTTCTTTGGCATCCTTCTCATTCGGCGTCATTTTGATGCTTTTTATTTGACTTCACGATCGAGACCACGCGATTTGCTATTTCCAAATCCAAAAGTCAAAACACTTTTGGCGTATGGGGAGAAGTAATTCGGACCACATTTGCATTACGCTTACACTTCGCTGGCGTTCGAAATAGCCACGACTTCTTCAAAATGTGGATTCTTCCATTAATTGGTTACTTGGGTGTGGTAGTAGGGTTTTCTTTTCTTACTCTCGCCATTGGTATGTCTGTTGTTTCACTTGCGCATCCTATCGGAAAGATGAGACACTAACAGTGTGATTGCACAGCTTCGGGACTCTACTATTTATCAGAATTAGTTGAAGAACATACGGTTCTTGCGCGACGAGTATTAACAAGACTTATATACGGCATCATAATAGTGCAAATTTTATTATTGTTATTCGATAAATTCCCTTTCTCCTTGTCACTCCTGAGCGTGGTGTCCCATCTCATATATGCGAGCAACCTTCGGCGGTTCCCGATTGTGAAGCTATCCGATCCACTCTTCATTATATCATGCATTCTCGTTTGCCTCAACCATTGGCTGTGGTTCCGTCACTTTTCGAGGCCCGGTCCAGCCCAGGGCGTCAGCTCATGGCGTCAACCATATCAGCCGGACTACGAGAACATGCCTACATTCACACAAGTTGCTTCCTACTTTGGGCTGTGCGTTTGGCTAGTTCCCTTTGCCCTTTTTGTCAGCTTGAGCGCCGGCGACAATGTTCTGCCCAGCATGGGTTCCGAATACGCCACTGGCGACTACAACGCGTCCAGGTTACCGGGCTCTTCAGATGCAAAAGGAAAGAACAAAAATGTAGGGTTAGCAAAAGCGCTCGTTGACAATATTCGAGACTGGGCATCGGAGACTGGGGAATTGATGGGGTTCTACAAAGGAGACCGAACAAGGGGTTTCTGATGTTAGTGACTATTTTTGGTAGCTTTTTGGGTTATTACATAAATACATATTGCATTGCATTTTACGTTTCATATATAATACTTCGTTCCTATGTACATTGGCAATTTGTGTATCCATTTACAAACGTCAACACAAGCTACAGAATATGACATGAGCCTCTCTCTGTTCTATACTTCGTATGGAGTTTTCTCATCTCTACTTGCCTAACCCGAAAGTGAAAATCGCTGTTGTAGAGAAGAGGTTTATTATAGCCATGTTTCCGTTAATGAACGTAGCATTATGTACGATTAGGAGGTAATCAAATGCAAACATGATGGTTATAGATAGATTAGAATATATTATGAACGAACTTATGTTGATGAGGTACAACCACCATAAGAGAAGAATCACGGATTCACTCATACTGGGAACTGAACAAGGGTATAATAAATAGGATATCTAACCAAAACATTCCAAAGAACCTTGCTCGCTGGAAACCGCAGTCTGTTCAATAACCTGTCACACGGTATATACAAAAATATCAATCATGCTTCTCATACCTTGTCACATTCAATCGAGTGACTCATCACCATTATTGACGACCCGCAAATATGTGGAAGTCGCTGAATCATGATACTTTTCCGTAAGCCCCTAGGGCTTACAAATTTCAAAGATGGGAATTGACATAATTTCAATGTGCAAATCCCGATGTTTATGGGAACACGACTTGTGATAAAATCATTCAAAGCTAGAACGATAAGTGGAGGATGCTACGGAGGTTAGCAGCTATCATTGGTATTTATCAAATTAGCCACTTACACTGGTCATCCCCCATATATGGCAGAGAGCTTTTTCGTTGACCCAAGTCCATAAACAACATGGAGCTCTCTCTCCGCTGAGCTTTGGCAGATCTCGAGGTTTCATTAGGATCCAACATACGAGTCATGTGATGTAAATTATCTTGCTGGCGAGGGCGGGGATCCGGGACTGGCCGAGGCTTGTCGTACGTTTGTACCATCGGAACAAATCCAGTATCGTACTTCGACTTTATAAAATCCTGAGAGGATTGGGTATCAACGTCATCAGACACGAAAAACGAAGTTTGACCGTAAGAAGGCGTTGAGATTCCTGTTCCTGGGAAAACTTGGTGACGAGGAGAACGAACATCTTCGAGTGCCGGTGCCTTTACTTCTAGTCCTGATGTTTTTATAGGCTCTGATAATTCTCCAAATATACTATCGTATTCCGTTAGAAACAGTGAAAAGACGGGGGCTGGCATATTCAAAGTCGGAGCGAAAACTATGCCGACATTTCGTAATGTCATTTTGTTGACATCAGAGTTCTCAACGATCTGGATAAGAAATTGGGACAAGGCACTAAGGAGTACGAGATTTGGTCGTGGAAGCATGTGCACTAGGACATTGAGAGCAGCAATTTTATGCTCCTTTTCTTCAAGTTCTACAAATAGTAAGCAATCTGTAAATGGAAAACGTCAAGAATACTAACCTGGAACACGTCTGAACTCATACTGAAGCTCTAAAGTCAGGACAGTAGTGGGCAGTTCTCTTAGATACTGCTTGAAAAGAGACGCGACCGCATGCACATCGTAATAGGTGTCATCTGCTAGGAAGTCGACGTCTCCTTCAGTATTGAAGCGCTCTTTGAGGGCTTTGACAACGACATTTGAGCCACTCAACCTGAATATACCTTCTTCAGATGCGGCTCCCTTAGCCTGCAGGTATTCAATACAGCGGTAAACCACAGCCGGAAGCTCAGCATCTTCTACATTCCTTGGCCCGCAGAATTGCATTGCCTCTGCTAAAGGCATACCGAAAACTGGACGTACGAACTCTTTTCTTTCTGTAGATGCTCCATTGCTGTTGTTTTCAGCCTGCTGTACTGCCAGGTCCGATGATGAACGAGCTCGGAAGCCCCAAATACTTCGTTTCTTCTCTTTGGTTGAGGTTGCTGGTTTGTTACCCCACGCACCTACATCCTGGATAATGGCACCATTCGTTGGCCCGGAAATTACTTTGGAACTTTGGATGCCAGCGTGCATTGAGTCAGAATTTGCGCTATCACCCAATGCTGGAGATGCCCTAGATCCTTCTTTCTCATATGTGGTGCCAAAGACGGGGGGCTCGGCAGCCACGGCATTATCGAAACTAAACCCTTGAACAGTATCTGGAGGAATTTCCGTGTCTGGGCTGTTAGAGCCTTTGCTACCTTTTCCGTTGTTATTGTTGAAGAGCCGTGATTTAGGATTAGATACCGCTGGGGGCTTCGTAGCGCTGTGTGGCTTTGCAGATGCACTGATAAACTTTTCATCGTCCGATGAAGCGCTCTCCACATACTGAAGAAGTGCATCCACCCAAATATCTCTTTCCTCGTCGCTTTCGGCACACAGTACATGGCGAACAAGAGCAGAGGAGTCCTTCTTCTTCGGTTCTAAAATGAGGAAAGCATGTCGATATTGATTGTCGTTATCGTCTTCATTGCGTGAAGGAGACTGGTTTTGGTTGCCCTGCGACTGTTTTCCGATTTGAGCGTTGAGGAGTTTGATCGTGCCCAGATGCGCGCCACCAGGCGATTCAAAGTATTTCAGCTCTGGCCCATGCAGGACAAAGTATCTGGACTTCCAACCACCAAAGTTTTTGCCTCTTTTGGTAAGATATCCCTCCTTCCTCGACTTTCCATCCGGGCCGCGTACAAGTTCTGGTGTAGATTTCCCATTGGCTGTGAGTAGATTTGTTTCATCATCACGTGGCTCAATTGCATCTGAGCTTAAAAATCGGCATATTACCAACGCGACTGGCTCTGCCATGGGTGTGTCTAGAAGGGTTTCAAAATATGAATTTAGAGCATCTCTTCTTGCATCCACCTTGGCTGGAGAGTGTCCACTGAATATGGATCGATCCGGTAATTTTCCTTTGAAGTCGCATCCATGTCGAATTTGTTGGTCGAGTTGAGGTAAAGCTAAGATGGCCTTTTCCACTCGCCACAATTCAGACCTGCTAAAACGCGAAAAGATACTTAGAATAAAGACCTGTTCCTCGTCATTTGGCCTTCCTCCAACATAACTGGTTCTAGACGGTCGAAGTCTAGACGACGCTACTTTGATTTCAATAGATGGCAATGCGTTCGGCGGAAGTAGCAGTCCGGGGTAATCGTCGGAAACCAATCCTTGATATATGCTTCGATCGTAGCTATAATTAGCACCTGGGCTGTTGATTTTAACCGACGCATCGATAGAAGGCAATTGAGTGAGCTTTTGTTGCACAGGAATAGCTGGAGACTTCGTCGCCCGCGGCGATTGGGGAAGGCCGGGTACGGTAGATCTCGGAGACACGGGCGGCGAGACAATCACTCCAGACCCTTCTCTGGGCATTCTGGGGAGAGGAGATCCTAAAGGACGATCCCCCGGCCTAGGACTCACAGGGAGACCTGGAATCGAAGAAGTCATACCTACTCGTTCATCCAACGATACCCGATCTGAAAGATTAGAGTTGATAATGGCTGCCAGAGAATCAGTTGCCGCGAATTGCCCATTGCCCTTATGAGGAGACGATGTAACCACTTTCCTCGGACTAGAAGGGACGCCTTTCGGTGCCGATGGAAATGAGGTGTGGTTAGGCTCAACAACAGCTACCTCGGGTCTAGCTTTCTTTTTAGACATGCTGCGAGCTTCCTGTTCACGGACGACTGCGGCTTCGCGTTCTTCGTCATCTTCTTCTCTAGTCCTCCTCCGCCCACGATCACTATCATCATATTCGGAACCGGAATCGGGGTAGGTGGTAGGGTCCACAGGTGAACTTCGGCGATGGATTTGATTGAGATTTAGGGGAGCTGGTGGAGGTTTCCGATTTGGTGGAGGAAGTTTTGGCAATTCCACAATAGGTCCAGCGTCTATATTAACTTTTCCGGTATTCCTCATATGTTCAGCACGCGGTTCATTAGAAGTATTCGCCTGGGCCCGAATATCCTGTGAGTGGAGGCTAGGCAAAGGAGATGGTGTCGATTCCTTCTCTAAATCTTGCGATACAGAAGATATCTGAGCATCAATATGTGTTAAAACTGGAGTTCCTTGATTATGTTGACGACTGTTATTTCCAAAGGCCGATGGATTCGACGTCTGAGCACCGGAAAAGTTGTCTTTGATAGAGAAAGGCCCGGTAGTGCTTTGCTGATCTGTGATCGATAGCGACGGTATTTGGGCCTGTAGTTCCTTTAACTTTTTCCGATATTTCTCCTTATCTTTGACCGCGCGCTCAAGATCCTTATTCAGGCCAAGAACGAGTGCTCTTTGCTTTTCAAGAAGTCTCCATAGTTGCTCGTTGCGTGCGACTACATGGTGCCTATCCTTGATGAGATGCAGGATGACTGCTTCAGCAGAGCCAGCTGCTGTGATTATATTATTAATATCGGCCGAAGTGAGAGTATTTGAGTCAAACGAAGCCTTCTGGGAATGGGACGCAGACGAGATGGATGAGATGGCGGAATCGATAGATGAGGTGCGAGGCAGGTTCCGCGATCCAGCTTTGTCAAAGCCGCTTGGGGGTGTCTGCGTTGGTGAAGCGTTGTTCGCAATTGGCTCAATAGATTCTGCCATTCTGCCGCGCCCACCGTTGGTATTGCCTTCAGTCATCTTAACACCATACTCAGGGTGTGTATGTGCCGCGATTTCAAAGACAGGATCAAGAGCGAGGAGAGATGCCGGTAAACCCTGCTGCAGCAGTGAAATTCAGGGCCTGAAAGGAAGGCGAATTCCTTATTGTTCGAGGGCGGATAGGGTGGTGAACGAGTGGTGATATATATGGCTGCAGGGATCCGGAACGGAGAAACTGGTGAGTATATGTCAGAAAAGCCGGTGATAGTAGTACGGCAGAGTCAGTCACGGGTGTCTCGCGGCCAGACTACCAGCAAGCTTGACTCAAGGTGTCGGGATCTCGCACAGTCCAAGACTCCAAGTGCGCGCAGAAGATCTTCCAGCGCTGGACAAGCGACATGCAGAGCAGAGTGGTTGTCTGGGTGGAGATCAAGGGGGGGCAAGGGAAGCAGCTTGGGCAGGCCTGGATGCACGAGAAAGGGGGTTGGCGCCCGCTGGTTGGCTGCCGGCTCGCTGCTACTGCTAGTCACGCAGCCTCTCATGTCTTCAGACCAGGAATAATCTTACTGCTGCTCAACGTGCGCGACCAACGGTTCGAGGGCTCTTTATTATTCTTATTTCATGGTGGCCATAATTGCCATCTTGTTGTTACTGCTTTATCCATTCCTATCAGCTTGCGGTGAGAAAACACAGCTCCTGCCTGGATCGTGTGAAGCATGCATATAGCTCGCTCCGGAGCTCCCCGTCTGCTAATTAGGTCGAGAGCGTCCTAAGTAGCAGGCCAAAGTCGCAGGTCTCATGCATGGTGTATGGGCCACATTCCCCTGGCCTGAATGACCCGCCACGAACGTAACAGGGATGGGACGTACCATCGTCCACGGGAGGATGCATCATGGTACGGGGTAAAACACTAACAGCGCACCAGTTTAATAGCATCTCCTTCTATGGCGGATCGTCCTGTCAGACTTACAGACTACGTTATGAGTACGGACTCGTCTCAATCTTTTCGTCGCAAAATAAACCCACTTCTGCATGTCAACGCAGATAAACGGCGAGCTAGTGGTGTCATATTCGCGATTTAAATCCATCGTAGACGCGCCCATCGAAGACCACTAGTGAAATCCTAAGCTTTGAAATGAGCCCCGCTGTAACTACGGAGTCTGCACTGACAGAAAGGCTTAGCGCACGCCTAAAAATGCTGTCTGAATGATTAGCGTCCCAAGTCCGTCGTGATTCAGGGGCTCTGGGTCCAAACTTCAGACATATGGAATTAGTGCTAAGCTGCTGTTCATAGCCGTGTATGATCTACCTGAATAGAACATTGATAATCATAGTAGTAAGTCGTTAATAACTGAGTATCTATCAATCACAAACTTAGCAAGAAGAAACAACTACATCTCGATCCAGCGCTACCTGAAACCCGCTTAGGCCATCTTCAATGTCTTGGTGAGTGCTTGTACCGCTTATCTGGACGCCTGCCGAATATAAAACACGTACAACTAGTTTATTTTCAGATATACAGAATAGTGTGAATGCGTAGATGCTAGCTAACATTGAATCACTTCCAATTCTATCTCGCTTTGACTGACAGGAGATGATCCATCCACCTCTAGCCAACACCAGGTGACAAGGAGTCGATATTATAAATGTACACTGCAACAGCTGTTACTATTATTAGTCAAAGCTTGCCCCAAAAAAATCATGTGCCAAACCGGTCGTTGCAGCGTTGAATTGCTAGCTGGCGTACCGATACAGCCGCTCGTGACGGGGCGTCAGTAAAAATAGACATAATGCCACCAAGAATTCTTATTTGTACAAAAGGATCACCGGATTTCGTTTTTTCCTTTCAAAGTCGAGCTCCATGCAAAAAAGAGTATTAGATATGACGCCTTTTAAAGCCCGTTTAACGCCTTGACCCTAAAGTAACATAATCCCATATCAAACAATATTTCCAGCCATTCCTAAGAATAGGGCTTGGGCGGCAAGTTGTAATGACCAGAAACCAACTTTCTTGAAGCGTCGTGTACGGGCTTGTTCGTCCACTACATCCCGCGCAAATGCATCATATGTCTAAGTAAAGTCAGCTTCGAGTTCGTAATATGCATATAAAATACGTACCGCGGCAGAAAGATCATCCATCAAGCCGCTGTCAAAAACAGTCCAGCTCCCATCAAAATCGCTGAGCCTTTTGATGAGCCGACAATTCACCGGAATGAAGGTGCGCCGAGAGTTTATGTATGCCACAATCGGACGAATGAGAGCGTTGTTTATGTATGAGAGATCTCTGGTGAACAATGGAACAACAGCTCGCACATTTGTTAGGTGAATCCGTAGATCTGTCACAAGAAACCTTTTCTCTTCTTCACCACTCGTCAAGAGGGGCGGAATATGAGGTTGACCATCTTGGAATTGATTATTTTCCTCCAAGGAAGATCGATTGGAAGTCACAGTGGCTTCAAATCTGTCATAGAAATCTGAGACAACTTTCGCCAAACCTTCGCTGTCATCCGTAGGAAACATTATATCGGCGACAATATCTACAACCCCCTCATGTATCCAGGAAAATGGCCCTTCAACTCCACGGTTCAAGTGATCAATGTTAAGACCGTCAATCCTGATTCTGCTCTGCTTTTTCCAAGGACTTGTTCCTCCATTTTCTTCACCATTAATGTTCAGCTGAGCACCGGTGAAACTATGTGTTTGGCGAGGGTGAATCGTGAATAGCGAGTTATCAAAGGAGCCGGAAATCATGTTTGCGGACATAAAATCATAGAAAAGCCACTGCTTTCTGAGCTGTGGAAGATCACATGAAAATATACTGACTGAAAATGGTCGGAAGTTATTGGGTTGGTAGATTGTCACTAGCAGGTCTTCCATTTTGAAAGAGTCAATTTCAAAATCGCCTGGATTGTGTTCATGGCGGTAAGACTTCGGGTCAAGATCCGTGTTAGTCCAATGGACGTGTGTGCGATCGATAACACCCCTTATTCCTCTCACTTCCACGTCGCGCAGAAGACCTTTGCCATTAAGCCACTTTGTAAAAGAAAGAGTAACATTAACCGTGTCGATGGAGACATCAAATTGGGTGTAATTGGTATCCTCTTCGTCCGCTGCATGATCCATATCAGACTCTTTAGGCTCACTCAAAGCAGCAGCGGCCGCGGCCGCGGCAGCCGCCGTTTTTGAAGACCCCTTGCTCACACGCCCTTCACCATGCCCGGGTCGACGGGAGACGAAAACGTTTTTGAATGTGATGACTCCATCTCTCCACTTGGGCACAATAGCAGACTCAAATACAACCTTAACACCCGAGGATTTTGTCAGGTAATTACCAACCCAACGAGCAAGAGTTTCTAATTATGGTTAGTGATTGCAGTCCACATTCATATACGCAGATAATTCACCATACCTTGTGCAAAGACTGTGTTGATAGCGAAAATTAGTAAGGAGAAGAAAGTCGTTGTTCCGAGAATGATCCAGAGAATATGCCCAAGAAGCACCCATGAGAAGAGAGCACCAATTTCATCCAAAGTGAACGGCCGCACACTTCTAATAGAAAACCACTTAAATCTGACTCGCAGTCTTGACCAGAAACCAGTTGCTGCTGCTAGTAATTCCTCCTTTGTAGGCCGATGGAAATGATGTAAGGTAGGTAAGCGCTCTCGGAGATTTCTATTGAGGGAAGCGGGTTCTCTATCTTTTGTTTGTTGATTCAGTATCTTGTTGGTAGTCGATCCATTGTCTGCATCCTCGCCTGGCTTGTTATGTTGCGTGTGGATTGTTCGCTTCCAAAGTCGCCGCGCTAAGCTTCCCACTGTGCCTTGCTTCGTGGTATGATGTAATTTTCTTGCACATATATTGTTGCCGCTGGATGCTGTGCAAGTAGTTCCAGTCTCAGTTACTGAGTTGGCGCACAGTATAAGTAAACTACCGGAGGCGATTTTCGAGTTTATCCGGCGACTTTCTCGAGATCGTGTCTTTGTACGGTTTTGTGGGAGAGGAAGACTTTGAGCGGTGTGATTGAGCCTCGATGGAGATAGAGGAAATATATATGATTTTGCTCGAAGGTCTCGAGACAAATTTAGGCCCGCCGATTGCCTGAAGACACCAAGCCTGTGTCCAATATTGAGAGACATTCTCTGCCTTACATTCTGAATGAACGTAGTATCGGACAGCACAGCAGCAGGTCTGACTGAGTAGAGGGACCAGAGGGCAGCCAGTGGAGCGAATACCAGTGAGTTGAGGTGATGGCTGGAAGGTTGCTGCTGGACGCAAAACTGGTTGAGCAGTATAGCAATGAAATCATCCGTGCCATGGCGCCAAGAAGTCGCCGGCCATAAATGCGTGCGATGCGCTGTTTGCCGTGTTTGCACTGTAATTTTTCTCAGAACCCCACAATCTACGCCGAGAATCAACTTCGTTGTGAAGACTGCAGACATCTGGTGGAAACGATTCCTGGTCATTCTAGCTCTTACAAGAACAATAATTGAGGAAACAAACTCATCATGCCTGCCCCAACTGCCCTTAAGACGCCTCAAGTCGAAGGCGAAGATCTATCGCCTCCCGCCACTATGCCGTCGCAAGAAGGTCAGTACTTATCGACATGCTTTGAGAATTCTGCTAACACTGAAGCAGAGTTCGATGAGGTTTTGATTGACGCGGCTTCGAATGCCGCAGAAGATCTGTTAGAGTCCGCCAAAGTAACCAACCCGGAAGATTCCATGCATATCGACGAAGAAGGACGACCAGTATTCACACCCGCCAAAGACACACCAGGTGTCTATCGTATTGAAATGAGACGAGTACCAATTCCACCAAACAGAATGAGCCCACTGAAAACTTACTGGCCCAAAATTTACCCACCACTTGTTGAGCACTTGAAGCTCCAGGTACGAATGAATGTGAAGAATCGCGCTGTTGAGTTGAGAAATAGCAAGTATGAGGCGCACAATTACAATCCAAGGGACCGTTATTAACAGTTTCAAGATTGACAACCGATCCATCAGCGCTCCAGAGGGGAGAGGACTTTATAAGAGCCTTTACTCTTTGCTTTGATGTTGACGATGCCATCGCCCTGTTACGTTTGGACGACTTGTACATCAATTCCTTCGAAATCAAAGATGTCAAATCTCTGAGCGGTGATCATCTGAGTCGAGCGATTGGCCGAATTGGTTGGTTATTAATTTCCAACAAGTCGTAACAATAACTGATAAATATTTATAGCTGGCCAAAATGGCAAGACAAAGTTCGCAATTGAGAATGCAACGAGAACCCGAGTGGTGCTGGCGGGACAAAAAGTCCACATTCTAGGAACTTTCAAAAACGCAAAGATGGCACAGGAAGCAGTTGTCAGCCTAATTCTAGGAAGTCCACCGGTATGTGCAACCATTCTTTCAATGTTTAATTTTCTGTCGTTTCTAAACTAAACAATCAAAACAGGGCAAGGTGTATGGAAACTTGCGTACCATTGCATCACGAATGAAGGAGCGCTTTTGATTTGGTCTCCCAATGAGCATGGCATCGGCGTTCGGTTCGGATTCTATATAGGCAAATTGATTGATATGATTACTACGATATTCCCAGAACAGCTTTGTTGAAAGTCTTGATGATTTCATTTTATTAGGTACAACACGCATTTGATAGACATGAAAAGTTTGTATTTAATCTTTCTTCAAGGGCGTGTAGATTTCCTCAATGCCATCCTTGGTGATAACCATCATCTGTAAACCGTCACCCACCTCAATGTGTCTCTCCACAGCACTAGTAAATGCATCCCGTACCAGTGATTCCACATAGTCCCGCGGTAAAGGCGCTGGTGTGCGTTTCTCCAAAGCATGACCTTCTCCACTTCCTGGTATGTACTGATTCTTGAAATTGACTTGGTTGTCCAGGAAAGGCATGATGAGGCTGGAAGCTGCTCCTGCGGCGCGGCACTGTTCCCGTTCGTAGGAGCCAACAGGGTCATAGCTGTACAGAGCTCCCTTTCCATCCTCATCTAAGCCCCCTAGAATGGCGTACGCATAGTACGGGAAGAAACGTTTTGAGTATAATATCGTTGAGAGTCGTTGTGCGCATGCTTTGACAGACATCGGCTTGCCGTGCTGGTATCGGTAGATTTTGACAATGCTGTCAAGTCGTTCTTTTAACGCTTGGCCATCTGCAGAAAACCCACATACGGATAGCACGATGTGAGCACCTTCTCCAGTCTCATCATCCCCACCTATCTTGAACACCTTGGGAGAGTATCTGGAGTTGATGTTGTAACCAGCGACGGAACGTGTGTCACCGGCGAGTATGGTAAAATCGGATCCGGCGATGCCTAGGGTTGAGCCACCATTATCTGTGTAACTGCATTGCAAGTGAGGTATGCGGTTAGTAGTGTAGTGAGCAGCAGAAAGAAGTGATAACCAACGGGTTGAAGGCATGCTCCCTGTTCCCATGAGCAGTGTTCCCCATAGGAGCATGGCTGGGCATGATCGAGGCCATTTTCAAACAGGATGGAAGGAAATCTATGCCGAAGTAGACAGATGCCAGCATGTGCTGATTAAACAAAATGAAGACGATGAGATGCGTGGTAGCTGGTTACCTCAGAGCTCGGTGGAAGTGACGCGGAGCTGTCGCTGCCTTCGAATGCGTATTATGTAAGTAACCCAGAGCTTTAACCAATGGCGTCTAGACACTGCCACGAAAGAGCAAACAACACCCAATATGATGGCGACTTCTATAGCAGGTTCTAATATTTTCTATGAGATGATTAGGGCTTGGAAAGGAGCGTGTCGTCTGGAACAGCGCTCTCAACTTTCAACCAATCGAATAGGTCACATGACCATGTTGGCACGTGACATGATATCTAATTTTTACGGTAAAACGATGTCCGGACAGTTTAATTTATGGCCTTGTTAAAAAAGAGTAAATGATGTTCAAATATATCTAGTTTCGGTGGGATGGTGGTATAGGATTTGTTTTCGTTGTGGGCGCCTTGTTCATAATCAATGGTTATATATAATTGGATCACTGTATCCACCATCCAACCAGGTAAACATTTACATCCCCTCCATCGCGATTTCATATCGGGTCTGCGGAACAAGAACAATTGCGGCAGATAATACATTGTAGAACTGGCTCTTCATACTATATTATACGCCTATAAGGGCCAAGCACCTGAAAATATTTATCAGATTAGCCTTTCCGAAAACCACTATCACCCTACATTGCTTGGTCAAGAAGCGCCATGTTAGGGCTCGGGGGTTATGGCAGCAGCGACGAGGACCAAGTCAGCACAGCAGCTTTGAAAAATAATCGAAAGGTGTGTATGGACAGCTGTATTTTCCGGATAGCCGCTTACTCCTGGAGAAGAAATTGCATGAAGGCGAAGCTTCTCATGCCAAGCATGATGTGAACTCAAGAGGTCTGTTTGTCACCGATTAGACGGACAGTAAACTAACATCCCATCTAGATAACCAAAGTGAGCAGATCAAGGCTCAACCAATAATAGAAACAGGCCCCGTGAATGGACCTATGCTGGGGCCAAATCAACCTCAAGAAGAAGTAGCAGTGTCCTCCGAGGGCGATCTCAAAGCGAACCAATCTTCTCTATATACAACACCCCAAGCCTTGATACAAGACTTGACGCTACCTCCAGTTCCCAACCTCGAGATCCCGCTATCGCCTCCAGGATCTCCCAACCCGACTGTCAAAGACAAAACGTCACATTTTCTCTCACTAAAGAAACAGGGAGTCCACTTCAATGAAAAGTTGGCTGCATCATCCTCTCTCAAGAATCCGATGCTTCTTTCTAAGCTGCGAGCGCATAATAACATTGACGACTACAGCCAGTATGCTAGTGTTCTACCACATGATATGTGGAACCCCAAAGCATTCCCTGACTGGGCTTACAAGGAGGAGCTCTGGAAAATGCAACAGGCTGTCCGATCCAAGATTGAGGAAAGCAAGCAGTCAGGCAAAACTAGGCATTCGCTTGAGTTCGTGCCTTCCAGTGCCGGGAATGAATGAGTACTCAGATACTACGACACATGGTTACACAATGACTACCACTATTACTACTACGAATAAGTTTGAGGCTCCTTAATGTCAACGTCTACTAACGTGCGAACATCTGAGATGCGTGACATTCGATGAGGATACAGTGTTTTTCGGACCCGAGAATCCAATGTGCTTCGTTGTTCAGTTTGAATCTGTACACTATCTCGATATTAGACAAGGGGAGACTGTTCCAATAATTAGTTGCCTGGGCTGAGCAATCGCTGGACACATAAGGAAGACATCTAAGAAGATATACTAACTGCCAGGGAGATAGAGCGTCTCCAGATAAAAATTATAGGCCTGAGTAGATAATATCAACCGTAGTGATTGAAATACATAGATCGCAGCGGACTGGTTGGCCCTTGCATCGGCGGACCCACCGCCTCCGTCAGCTTCCTGCCTAGACATGGGAGCTCCAGCAAGCTAGTTGCCCGTCCACCTCTCGAGACCACCGTGAGAGTACAGACTTTCGCTTCTTCACAACCATTGTTTCAGCCGACTTCAACGAGTGCAAAAATTTAATAGACGACTACTTTGCATCATGGATCACTTCCCCGGAACTTGGGGTCGCGTGCGTGGCTGCATGGCCCCTCAAACGTTATAGTTGTGCTGATGATGAAATAGCCTAGAGACGATGTTTACGGACCTTACGACCACTCCTACCTTCAGTCGACTGGTCCCAAAACCCATACACAGTCACCCGCAGTAACCGGAACGTCAGTTGTGGCAGTGAAATTCAATGGAGGCGTGGCGATGGCCACTGACAACCTAGGTACATCAAACCAAGCCAGCCGCCCGAGCTTTGTTGATTGCACGACCCTAAATGCTGACCCTGAGATTGAATAGCATCATATGGCTCTCTCGCAAGATTTACTGACGTTAAACGTATCCGTGTCTTCGACGAATCCGCCATTATTGGCTTTGGTGGTGATGTGTCCGACATGCAACACATCGACCGTCTTCTTGGTTCCATCCAGATTAGAGAAAACTACTCATCAAATGGAAACACACTGAACGCAAAAAACCTTCACACCTATTTGTCTAAAGTTTTCTACAAGCGCCGGTCCGAGATGAATCCGTTGTGGAACCACATTCTTGTGGCAGGGTTTGATGGCGATAGCAAGCCATTTCTCAGCTCTGCAGACCTTCTGGGAACTACCTATACGGCGCCACATCTCGCGACTGGCTTTGGTGCACACTTGGCTATCCCGATACTCCGTCGCTTGTTTCCGGAAGATACACCGATTGAAAACATCTCCAAGGAACAGGCCGTTCAAGCGTTGAGGGATTGCATGAAAGTTCTGTTTTACCGAGATGCACGAAGCTTGGATCAATACTCTATTGCGATAATTACTGAAGATGGTGTTGAGCTCAAGGAGAATGAGAAACTTGAATCTCAAAGCTGGGCATTTGCCGAGACTATTCGTGGATATGGAACCCAGGTCAATTAACCGCCCGGTAGAAGTTGATGCATGCCGCTTGGGAAAAGAGTGTCTACAATATTACAATATAACGATTCATAATTTTACTACTTTTCTGCAATTTATCCGTAAGAGCTTCGTACCGGACGAAAGTCGCTAGACGTAAATTACCTGATATGTGCAGTATAAACACTCCAAACTGAACGATTCACACATGGCTCAAAGTTTTGCAGCTGGCTTGGCGTAAACCACACGATTGACGCAAGATCCTACATTTTGGAGTGCCACTTCAACTAAATCGCCGTCTTTAAGCCACAGCTGGGGGCGACGACCCATCCCAACGCCTTGAGGACTGCAGAGACGAATTATTAGCCGGGCTTCTTCTCCTGAAGATAGAGAAACTTACGTTCCAGTGAATATAAGATCCCCAGGTTGGAGTGTGGTCCCCTGTGAAAGAAATGAGATCGCATGGGCGACACCGAAAATCAAATCCTTGGTGGATGATGATTGTACTGTCTCCCCATTTAGTTTCGTTGAGATATTGAGAGCACCTGGGTCATTGATCAGTTTTGAGGATACAATTCCCGGTCCAAAAGGTGCCCATCCATCAAAGCTCTTGCCCAACCCCCATTGACCACCGCCTCGTTTGAGCTGCCAATCGCGATGGGAAACATCATTGCCAACAGCATAGCCAAAAACGTAGTCCAAAGCGCGCGATTCGGGGACGTCTTTGGCTTCTTTCCCGATGACCACCACTAGTTCACACTCATAATCAAGACCCTCGCCTTCCTGGGCCATAGACGAGATAGGGATATCGTCAGAAGGGCCGGCGATAGACGTCACTGGTTTGTAGAACAGAACTGGGTATTTGGGAATTGGAAGGTTGGACTCCTTCGCATGTTGCTCATAGTTTAAACCCAGGCACCGCACGGTTTTGATATCTTCCCACGCCAGAGGCGCCAACAGCTTCTTCACCTCTGCAATTTGATCTGTTACATAAGGCCGGTCAAAGATATCTCCTTTGATTACCCGAGCCGTTGTGGCTTTCGAGATGTCGCTGACTCCAGGTGGCAAAATGGCATCGCCGTAGTATGTCAACCCATCTCTGGCAAGAAAGCGAACGAGACGCTAGAAAGGCGTGTATTTAATCAGCTCAAAACGTGCCGTCTAAGGTTGACATCAATTGACATCTAGCGAGTATGGAGCCCTCAATGAGGATGATGGTAACATACCGAAATCGAAGACATTCTGCACAATGTACGGAAAAATCCAAGCGACCACTCTTCTCTATACAATGGATCTGGAATTATGTAGAGCTTTTCTAGAAATTGCATCGACAGACTACTTATATCTATGACCATGACGTCGACTCTCGGCCGGGAAAGCGCAGACCGGGTATCTCCGCACTGCCGACTCCGGCATCGCGTTGATTATTCATTCATTCCTGATAATCATTACCCTTGTCCTTCCAAGCTCGAATCAACAGTCCTCTTTTGCGGCTTGAGCTATGCCCGACTGCCACACGCGCGATTGGTGGCATAACTTTTCTCAGGCGGCCGACTTGGGCTTTGTTGCTCCATGCAAATGCGCCGGTTATCTGGCTTGCAGCGAGAGGTTCTCTCCCTCTATCGCCAATGCCTGAGAGAGATCCGCAAAAAGCCACTGGTAAACATAACCAAACAATACGCAATAATGAATCAATAAGCTGATATTCCCCTCAACAGGATACAAGAGAGAAATTTCGAGCCTATATGCAGTAAGCTTTCTCTTTGCTTGACAGCGTTTTTAGGTCCTCCTGTACCTAAATAACTATGTTTTAGATCTGAATTTCGCAAGCAGCTCGAGGTCAACAAAAAGGATTTCGCTGCTATTGAGCACTTGCTACGAAAGGGTCACCGTCAGCTCGAGATGTATTCCTCACCTGGTATCAAAAACATCAATTGGTGAGAGCTTTTGGATGTCTGCATCACGTGATGATCCACCATCAACGAAACAAAAAGTACCACACTTGCTGGTGTGTTGTGTCAATTGACCGAAATGACATGTATAGAACTATGTCATTGTATATCCTACGAAATGGTGATACTATTGAATTGGCTCACGCCTGTAAATCGAGGGTTATACGCCAAATAGCGCTCTCCAAAGCAGCGTTTGGCCTTTTGTGGCAGCTAGTTGCAAGAGGAAACGAAAGAAACGACGCTACATCACTTGTATATTATGAATCCTGATATAAATGTATTTTACATTCAATTTATACCATATTATGGGCAAAATTCCAACAACTAGTGTATAAAAAGCACAACGACACGTTCGCAATGTCATAGTCATCAGATGTTAACAACATGTACAGGCACTGTAACCTTTTGTACAGAGACTTGTCGAGCATTGGTCAATTTAGGGCGAGACTGATTAAAACTGCGGGATCGAGTACGACCCCGAGGAAGATCCGGTTCCATCATATCGCGCGAAGCAGATAAGTGTGGCCTTGGTGGTTTTCGATGGCCTTCAAAAGCACTTGGAATCTGAGGCACGGGAGGAATCGCATCCTGGTAATCATGCTGCTTCTTCAAGGTATAGCTTTCACTATGACGATGTTGACGACGTGATTCAGGGCCCGGCTCAGAGTATGATCTCGGCTGTGACTTGACTACAGAGTTCGAGCTGCTCCTTTGGTGATGGCGATTCTTGGAGGTTGCACGCTCGTTTCTGGTAGTGTAAAAATCGGCTGAGTGGAAAGTTACTTCTGAATCACTATAGGATTTTGTACCTAGAACACGCTTCAAATGACTTGCAGAGAGACGACGCTTAGGTGTCGACATGATACTGTCTTCCTCGTGACTTGATAACTCTGAATCACTGTCCAACCTCTGAACAGTGACTTTATCTGGTACAGGTGGAACAGATGCGGGACCGAGATTGGCATAATATCGAGGAAAGCCGGAAAACTTTCGGTTTTGTTGTGCATGATAATTATGTTCCCTTTCCTGGTCCCTGCTCTTTTCAGAGTCCGAGGACTGAAGCTCTCTCAGCGAAGAGATGTCTTTATCTGATTGTTTTGCGTGGTGAATGTTTTGTGCGGACTTGTATCGAAGCTCATAACGACGCTTGGTATTTCTAGAATCATGTTTCCTGCTTCTCTGTCTATGCTTGCTCAGGTGGGAATTTTGAGGTGGAGAGTTGGACGTGCTCGAAGAATTATCTGAGTTTAATGAACCGAGTGAACTGTACCCACTGTCTGGTTGGCCTGTAAACTTGTCTCTTCTCTCGGGTATATCAACTCCCATAGATGGGACCGCATCGTGTCGTCTCGGAGAATTGCGCGAGTTAGAATAAGCTCGAGCGTCACTTTTGAAGCCATTTTCATGCAGGCCGTTGTATTCAATTGGACGAACATGATTCAATGATTGACTTGGATAGGCTATCTTATCAATGCCGAGAAGTTGTTCCACAGACATGGGACAGTCTGAAATGTTGTCCTTGTTGCCGAAAGAAACATCCCCCAGCACTTTGAATGAACTGTTGGCACTGGCTAGAGAATCATCCTTGCTTTGAGGATGGTTGGCCGAGTAATCTGTCGATCTTGCCTTACTACGGTTTCGATCACTATTTGCTGGAGATGTTGAGCGATTCACAATCCGCAATGAACCTCTTTTGAGCCCTCCTAAGTGAGAATAATCCAGTGCAACTGGGGATATTGATCTCCCATGAAATGCGTAGGGTCGCGGACACTCCCATTCTTCATCGAATTCACGCAAAGGCCAGTGTGACGACCGAGAAGCGGGGATGGTCGTGGATAAGCATGTGACTTGTTCATTCCGTTCAATCAATCTATGTTCTTGTAGGTTCGGCTTTTTTTGCGGGATTCTAATCGAAATACGCGGCGCCTGAGATGACCTACGGCGCATCGAAGGAGGGTTTGAAACCGTGACTGGAGTAGTGTCTTCTGTTGTAATATTATCAAGAAAAGACTCCTGGATGTCAGATTCTGCAAAGAAAAATGTAGATCGTTTGCGTGTTTCTCGAAGCAACGGGGCTCGTAGGTGGGTTTGATGGGTGGGGGCCTGGACCCTTGATGATTTTCTAGATAGCTTTCTCGAGACATAAGAATCTGATGGTGATACCGGACTTTCAAGTTTCATAGGAAAATCTTCTCCAGTTGATCGGCGGTTGCCTCCGATGCTTGATAGAGATGGTCCTCGTTGCAAGACAGAAAATGATGGGAAAGATCGCACTCTGTTCCGGTCATAGTTATGTATTTCGGGTTGTGTTTTAGGTAAAAGATCTCCCGTCCATGGACTCTTCCACATCATGGATTCGTCTAGTACGGGGGCACTATTACGACTGACATCGCCATGAGGCTTGTTTGTTTTTGAATGTGGTTTGTCGGACGAGGACCTCCTCATCGGAGGTTTTGACAGCTTTCGAGAAGCTGGAGGCTCCTGGGGCGCCTCCTTGGAAGATGAGTGGCCCATGAACAGGACAGCAAGATATGGTACTATTCAGAAGCGGGCTCGAAATCAACAAAGGCGAATGGGAGTTATGTCCAACATGAATATTGCTGGCATCAGGGCCAAAAACTACGGTATACAAAGCAATAAACCGCGAGAAAGAATATAGTATTTTAAGACAGACAGCCACATAAACATGTTCTTTGACAGGCAAAAACGAATGCGTCCATGTCTTCCGAGTGGGTGTCTATGCACATTGTGTGCGGCAACTGTGGATTGCCCGATATAGCACGAATAGGCTGCCATAATTTGGTACTGGACCAGAGGCCAATAATAAGGGCCAGTGTCAAGGCAAGCTGCAGAATTAATGGGGAGCTCGACGAGGGCGAGGAGGGGGTTGACGGAAACGGCGGGTTGCCATGCATGCATTCGTTGGTTGTCGATCCTTGACAGTAGTCAAGATCGGAGCTATCATCTGACCGTCTGTGCTGATTTCTTGGAGCTCTGCCAATCGAGATCCACCGAGATGCACAAAATCTGCATTTGTCCAAGGAACGCGCACGGTTCTTACACGCGGGTAGCTTTGTTATTATAAACAAGTTCCATGTTGACCACGTCGGGCCTGGACAATGTAGCAATTGCACGTTCATACGATACGACACTTACACCAAAGGGCCCGACCGCTAGAATTCAGGTCTAGAGAAGAAGAAAAGTAGATAATAAAAGCGACGATTCCGTACCCGGCCGCGTCATCGAGATCGGAAGAATTCAAAGTTGTGGCAACAGTTGATCTGCAACAGAGAGCTCGCCCAGCCACATTGGAGCATGTGGCGGCTCTGTGTAACAATGTTCGCAGAATACACCACCTCGTTTGAATCGCCAGCGACCTGCATGATATTAAATAAAAGAAGCCGTTGAATTTGACGTCAATGTTGGGGGAAGCAGGATTGTTCAAGTGACGTCGTAATATTGTTAAGTTGAAGTAGGAGCGGATTCGTGATTTGTTACCGTATCAATATGTGTAATAAAACATCTCGGCCAATGATTTCATCGGGCTCCGCGAAATCCACCTCGACATCCTTGACATCCTTGGCATTGCACAGTCCAAGGAAATCCAAGTAATCTCTGAGGTTGAGAGTCTAAACCTGAGTTTATATGGTCGTGGCATCATTATCCATCTATCCTTTCTTGACGGACGCTGAGTTTGACTGTGTCTGTAGAGCGTTTCTTCGGCGAGTGGACGCCGCTGGAGGCCCTGAGGCTTTGGGGTGGTTAGCAGTCAGCTATATTACTCAGGATAAGGTCCGTACTATGGAAAACGAAATCAAAGCCCAGCACTAAGAAGATATTCAGACGTCTACACAGCCGAGCCAGGCGGTTTTGAGGATATCAAAGAGCGTCACCCGAACTCACAGGGAGTCCCCCGCAGTCAGTCCGGTCACCCATGGAAATGCTTATGATGAAGCGCATGAACAGGAAGATACAATTCAAGATGATGACCAAGTAAGATGCGTATGGATTCTTTTATTATATGTACCCAAGCCAACCACCAGCTCTGCAACTAGGAGACCCTTGTACGAAACGCGATCAATGACGAGTCCCTTGAACTAACCGCTGACTACGATATCACCCTGTCACAAACGTATCAAGTTCCTGTCTTATATTTTGTCGTATCGGGCATTCATCAATCGGGTCTTGCTGCAATAGATGCTGTATACCAGCTCCTCGTCCCAGACCAGCACAAAGGGCCCTTAAAATCTAGCGGTGTCATGGGTGGCATCAGTTTCGGGGTATGTGATGACCATTAAAGCGCAGTCACCACTTCAGTTCACTCATTGACAGCAGTATCATCCCCAATCTGGAATTCCAGCCTATTTCATCCATCCTTGTAACACCGCTACCGCTATGAGAGATATCGCCGGTGGTAGGGGAGTCGAGCCTGAAAATTATTTGCTCATTTGGCTTGGCCTGGTAGGTAATTGCATAAACCTCAACCTTTCTTGCCAGCTGTTCAGAAAGTCCTCGCTGCACGATAGTTGATTGTATGGCATCACTTTCATGCTCTCCAGGTGTATTATCGCAAATACCTGTTGCCAATGCATCGGCAATTGTTAAGTTAATCCTCGTCCGATGAGGCCTCCATTGGCACATCACTGTCATCCTCATCCATAGGCGCCTCGCCCTCGTCACTCTCTTCTTCACGGGGGCGCTTTATACCTGCAGTGGCAGCTGACGGAGGAGCGCTGAATATTGATTTTTGCAAATCCGTTGAGACTGCTCCTGGAGCATTTGCGCCCGTGGTGGGTGCGACGTAAGTGCCGCGAAGCTTGTTGATCACATCAGAGCTTCCCTTAGCATACGCGATTGCCTGATACACACATCATATTTCAGTATTTGGTGATTATAGTTGGTAGGAAATTTGTCTGACCAGTTCTTTACCGCAAAAATCAAAGCCTTGGAGAGCTCGCATAGCTTGGGTGCTAGCTTGCACGTCCCTAAACACAACATGCCCTTGCCCTCGCATCTTTGCCGTTCTCATAACCACCACGTCGAGGACCGGACCATACGTAGAAAATAGAGTGTATAATAAGAGTCTGACGTCGGACTTCTTTACCTTGTCAGGCAGATTCTTGATGTATAGCCTGTGAAAGAAATTCTTTTAGCAAGGCAATTGGACGTCCAGAGTAACTACTTACGTTTGGTTGGGAGCGCCACCACCTTTACCACCTGATGGGCCATTGCGTGATACGATTTTGGTACTCATAATGGTAACTGTGCCGAGTATCGTCCGAAATCAAAGGAACATTGAACCTAGAGGAAACCTTTGCTATCCGTTCTCTGGAGGAACAAAGTTGTTAGCGTGGGTTTCCGTCCCTGGCTTATCACGTGATGTACTATGAGGTAACTCATGAACCCCACACTCTGACCCAGCAGGAACAACATCTTTGAACTGACTGAGAATACGGCAGTAGAGAGTCACTCCTGTCGTAGCAAAGCGCTGATATCATGGCTTCTTCCGAGGTTCACCATCTCTTCCACTCTCCCATCGCCGACCATTCCTTCTCCCATGACAAAGGCACCCTCGCTGTTGCCCGCGACAATAGCGTTGAGCTCTACCAACTATCAGGCAACAAGTTTTCTCTACAAGATGAATTGAAAGGCCACGATAAGACAGTCACCGGTGTTGACATCGCCCCGAATAGCGGGCGCATTGTTACATGCTCTCAAGGTCGAGTTGACGTTCTGGAATACATTGGCCCTGAACTAATGTCGTCCTTTAGACCGTAATGCTTATGTCTGGGAACGGACTGCGAACGGCTGGAAGCCTACCCTGGTGCTTCTTCGGATTAATCGCGCCGCAACCTTCGTTCGCTGGTCTCCTTCTGAGCAGAAGTTCGCTGTCGGTTCAGGAGCCCGTGTAATTTCGGTTTGCTATTTCGAAGAGGATAATGACTGGTGGATATCGAAGCATCTCAAAAAGCCCATTCGGAGTACCATTACGACTATCGCTTGGCATCCAAACTCTGTTTTACTCGCAGCTGGATCTACCGACTCTCATGCTAGGGTCTTCTCGAGTTACATCAAGGGTATTGATGAGAGACCCGAACCATCAGCTTGGGGGGAGCGTCTGCCTTTCAACACTGTTTGTGGCGAGTTTCTGAACAATTCAGCCGGTTGGGTACATGGTGTTGCCTTTTCACCTAGTGGAAATGCTCTTGCATTCGCGGCTCATGACAGTAGTATTACCGTCGTCTATCCGAGTGCCCCTGACCAGCCGCCGCGAGCGATGTTGAACATAAGCACTCGGTTGCTACCATTTACAAGTCTCATCTGGAATGGGGAAGATGAGATAATTGCAGGTGGTCATGTGAGAATATATCGAATATAAAAGCTTTCCGTTAACGCTAATTACTTTTCATTACAGGACTGCGAGGTTTATCGACTCCAAGGCGACGAGAACGGATGGCAGCTAGCCGGGTCATTAGAAGCCAAACGCGATCAGTCTGGTGCTGTTCGTGAGGAGTCGGCCTTGAATATGTTCCGTCAGATGGACCTCCGTGGTCAGGCTCAGAGCAACACTCGACTTGACACAGTCCACCAGAATACGATCAGTACCCTCCGTGTTTACGAAGAGCAAGGCGGCAATGTTCGGAAGTTCTCTAGTAAGTGGCCGAGAAAGTGCTTGAACAACATGCAAGATCTAACGTGCTTCTAGCGAGTGGTGTTGACGGAAGAGTCGTTGTTTGGACCCTGTAAAGTGTATAAAGTCAGTGTCCAGAATTTGACTATTACAACGCATATCTTGATAGACATGAATACTTATAAAAGATGTGAAAAGACCTTCTACTTGTATCAAAATCACAGTAAATATGAGTATATGTGACTAGGCATACACGTGACTCGTAGGGTTGGGAGAATAAGGTTTAGCGTACTACCCCAGATTTGAGCCTGACCGCGTCGCGTGACTTGATTGGCGCTCTGACATCACTACGAGTCGGCGTATCCCAGGTTCATCTTTCCACCTCGAACTGCGATGTCCATTGCTACACCCAGGATCCGCTCTGTAAAGCATCAATATGCATGATAACTGCTCTCCTTCGGGATATCGTGGTGCCGATTGAAAATCATAAATGACAACCATGAAGATATTCACACGAATTTCCACTGGCCTTTTGGGCCTTGTACTAACTGCGTTGCTGGCCCAGGGCGCCGCCTTAGACGGAGACTCGCCTCCGCCAAGCGACAGAACGGTATCCTTGAAACTCTTCTCAGAACTAGAAGAGCTCTCACGTCTGGTGGATATTTCGTACTGTGTCGGCTCTACCGGCGTCTACAGTCCGTTCAAGTGCCTTAGCCACTGTGGCGAGTTTGACGGATTTGAGCTTGTTACGGTGAGGAATTATAACGATATTAACGTCGCTGCTATATCTGATTGCCTATTTGTTTGTTAGACCTGGAACACGGGGCCATTGCTTTCAGACTCCTGCGGTTATATTGCCTTGTCGCACCCGCCCTTTGCAGGACGCATTGTTGTTGCCTTTCGAGGGACATACTCTTTGACTAACACGATTATTGATTTATCTGCCGTCCCCCAGGAATATGTCCCATATCCTGGCGATGGAGATGACAAGTTATATCAAAGAATATTTACGGAAATTGCAGTGATCGACTACCCCGCCAAGTGCAACAATTGTACAGTACACTCCGGCTTCTGGACATCCTGGAAAAACACTCGCGACACAGTCCTCTCTGCAGTGCTGCATGCAAAGAAACAATACCCCGAATACGAAATAGTCCTCGTTGGGCACTCTCTAGGCGGAGCCGTCGCGGCTCTGGCTGGTCTTGAAATGGGTCTTCACGGCTTGAACCCGCAAGTCACGACATTCGGAGAACCGAGAGTCGGAAATACAGAATTCGCCGCATTTATCAACACAGTATTCAATCTATCCTTCCATGACAGCGCATATGCTGACCGCAACGACATGCGATATCGCCGGGTGACGCACGTAAACGACCCCGTGCCTCTTTTACCTCTAACAGAATGGGGATATGCCAGCCATGCAGGCGAGATATACATTTCCAAACTCAATCTTCCTCCAACCATCGCTGATTTGGAGTTTTGTTCTGGCAATGATGACAAGCGCTGCATTGCTGGCGCCGAGACCACGAGTTCGGTGCATCTGCTTACGCAGACAGTTTCGTTGCCGGCTGGTTCCAATCCGTTTACACTGCAAGATCCCGTGCACTTTAATGGTTTGAAGACACAGTTTCCTCTGATACCTGCTAGATACCGGCTATGGGAGCTATTCTTCTCGCATAGGGATTATTTTTGGCGAATTGGTCTCTGCGTGCCGGGAGGTGATCCCGGGTCGTGGAGATGGGGTAAGTGAATGATTTTCGGGTTTCCTAAATTTGAAGTTTTGGCCTGTTTCTCTGGTGCTTTTATCATCAGATGCACGTTGAAAATATACCAATAAGCTTGATTGTATTACACTTTGCAAGGATCTACATATATATACCCAAGGCATGCATGTACATAGAACTTTTCAATTCTCAATGTTAGGGCAATCATTATCATATTCCTATTTATAACCATTGAAATATACATGCTAAAAAACGATGCACGTACTATATAGTTCAATCTTTTGCATATCCCCAAAGAGAAACTAAGATAGCGCGCTAAACATTTGTTCAAGAACGGAACAAGAAAAATCAAAAAGAGAGTGGTAGTAAATGAAGTAGGAAAAAAAAAAAAAAAAATCTATCTACCATACTCCAGATTCGGAATAATGACTGGTCCATATTTGACGACACTTCCATACGCCCCTTCACCTTGAACCATAAAATCAGCGGCGAGACTGAGCTTGCCGCCGCCTCGGTGCATATCTGTCGGACCAAAGGTGCCAGAGACAACCTCCGGATCGTAGGCAACGATAGCGACGTAGTTACGGCGACCCATTAGACGACGGTACTCGCGGGGCTGGCCGTTAACGTCGGTTTGGAAGAGCTCGAGCATGTCCTCCTTGGTGTCGGTTGACTGGGAAGGGGTCGACCGTTGGCCGTTGGCGGGGATGTATAGCGGTTTGTTGTTATGCAGCAGTTTCAGAATGTATGATGAGGGAGGGGTGTTGACCACTGGTGATGCGATGAGTTGATACATTGTTTTGTGGTCGGATGGGTGGCTCGGGTCGTGCACCAGACCAGCTCCGCAGACGTTCACTGCACCAGAAAGGAAGGTCATGCGGATTGACTTTTGCTTTGCAATCCCCTGCAGAGTCCGTATCAAGTATGTGCGTTCTAGATCTTTGGAATCGTGGGTCCATTGATCTCGGAGCTCGTCGAGGAGGTCAATCTCGCCAAAAGGATTCAAGACACTGCCCATTAGTCCTGTTTTACCAACTGCTCGCTTGACGGCATCAAACCCAGATCCCACAGCGTCTTTCGCCCCAACAACACCAGCCACAGAGCTAGTCACCTTTCCTAGAAGGTTGTATGCCCCAGTAACGGCTTTCTTTCCCGTAGCCACTGCGTTTGCTATTTGTTCTGTGGATTCCAGACGGGGGTAAATCAAGGGCACAGATATCATTAAAATGCAGTGTTGGACGCTTGGGGGTAGCAGTGCTATTTTTGGGAATAGTCCCTGGTATGTTGGACCAGCCATGACTTGATGTGGGTTTCGTTCCGATCGGCAATCAGGGCCAACGACTACGACCGCTGGTCCAAGGTACTTCACAAAATGCCAGCCAGTTCCTGTGATGGTGAAGAGATCTTGATCGGTGCTCACATTTCGAAGCAGTTCTAGAGTAGTGTGGTGTTGAAATAGCAGATACATTTCAATGCCGACACGACCAATGTTCTTAAACATATTTGAGAATTGCATGTGTTGGGGATACGACCCAAAGCCATCAAATCTATATAATCAAGTTAGTAAAATGCAAATCCTAGATAGAGAGGAAGGCAACCGACATGTCATGATCGTCCAATTGCAGAATATATGGTATCTGAGCGAATGCTTCACGAAGATGAGGTTGATCAAAATGACTTGTGTAAAAATGGAAGTATGCATGCGACACCTCTTCCTCATGTGAAGCGGTCCACGGCGCACTTTTACGTTGCTCCTTTCCATGTATGCCCAGCCATTGTCTGAGAAGAGGAATTTCTTTCCAGATGCGGTCTGCGAAAATCTGCCCACCGAGCCCTAGTTGACAATGGAAGCCACCGACCTCTGCATGTTTTTGCATAATATCTTTCCACATGAAACCGGTACCACCGAGACGAGCTCGCTCATTGGCGTTTACATTTAAAGCAAAATCATTTCCAGATGTGGCAATGAATCTCCAATTCGTCTCATGTCGTCCAGCGACCAAGAACTCGTAACGCGTGCAGCCCAAGTGGGAGGTGATTGCATATGTCCACTTAGCAGGACCCGCATCATCCATTTGCAATTCAATGTCATATTTGTAGAAAACCCATCTTTGGTGTTGAGAAATGTTGGCACCTTTGAGCTGTCTCGGATTAGGAGAAAGATCAACGCTCTGGTGAATATGAATCGTGGGGGGGTTAGGAGCGTCAGTGACGAGAAGAATTGACCCGAGCCAAAGACCTCGCTCTAGGTCCATGTTACAATATCGCAAATAGGGACCAAAATAGACACCGTTTGTGGCCGCGACTTTGTATAATTCGACTCCACTTGTGGGTGGGGGGCCAGAAACAGCCCCAGCGGTGCTAAATCCCATCACACTTCCCTCATACATAGGCGTCATGGGAACACCAGGTGATGCAAGGGGTTTGCCCCCAAAAGTAGAGAAAGCAGGTGATGTCAGAGGGTGTGCGCTGTAAACACTTCCTACTGGTGATAGAGGTGCTTCGTTGAGATTGAGAGGCGTTGGGCCCTTGGGGAATTCCCATTGCGTCGATTGAGTAGGAAGATGAATATAGTAATATTGACCAGAGTTTGAGTCTAAATGAGCAATCCAGCCTTCTGGCAATGGGGGAGGAGAGGCTGGCGTGATTCCAGGAGGTGGTGATGCGTTTGCCTGAGGCTGCTGTTCAACAGGAGCGCCTGCTTGATAATTCGGCTGTGGAGATGTCTCAGTCTGTTGCTGTCTAGGGTCATTGGCGAATGCTGGATGGCTTTGAACTGAAGGAGCTGGAGAATTCACTGGAGCAATCCCTGAAGGAGCACCGACTGCCGAGCCAGCGGTGGAGGGTGCAACGGATGAAGCGGGATGACCTGGGAGAGGGCCAGAGGCAGCTGCAGGCCGCGCCTTTTCATTAGGATATGATTGAGAGGCGTTGGCCCCGGGGACACTGGAGTACGCAGGAGGTGGAGAGGAAGAAAGCTGCATACGCTGAAAGTCCTGCTCTAGGGCATTAGGGGGGATAGTAGGTCGATCACTGTTGTTGCTTGGTGCGGGCGACTGTGATATAGGCTGGGAGGGAGCAGCAGAAGGAGGAGGCTGTTGATTCGCAATCTCATTGGCGCCTTGGTATACAGTTGGAGGGCCATGAGGTTGAGTTCCGGGTTGTTCAGTTGGAGTCCAAGGCCGCTGTATGGGCCGTTGGTTGGCGTATTGATTTGCGCGTTGTTGAGCTGCCGCATTGTGCGAGTGAAGACTTGCCAGAGTAGATGTACCCGCAATTCCAGCAGCCGCAAACCGAGCCTCAATGTCCGCCCCTGGCTGCTGGCCAGGGCCGACGATAGGCGTTTCCGGGGGTGGCGGTGATCCCCGCTGCGCTCTTGTTGTCGAGTTCGACGCGGTCGAGCTGATCCGATTGATGGAAGTTGAATTAGATACTTTCAAACGGGCCTGTGCAGCGTTCTGCGGCGTGGCTCCTCCTGTTGGGGGCGGTGGGAAGTATTGTTGGTGATATTCCGGGTTGGAGTTTGGATCCCCAGGTTCTGCAGCAACAGGTTGATTCACCGAAGGAACCGGCCCTTGGGGAAATCGCTGGTATAGGCGCTCCTGCTCAGCATTATCCGTCACGGGAGACTCTGGCAATGGCCTTGGAGGGGCATTGCCGCGCCGTTCGGCAAGCGAAGGCTTGTTCTCTCGTGGCTCATAGGGTCGCAGAGCCGCTGGGTAGTCCGAGGACGACAGTGTCGAGCCTGGGGAAGCCACCCTTTGCGCAGGACTTGCAATGCGACCTGGCTCGGGGTAGGGCGGCTGACTGGATGGTGATTCAGTAGTGTATTGTGGTCGTGGACGGTCATCTGGATAAGGGAGATTGCTCGGAGGCTGCGGGGTAGGAGTTGCTGACGGAGGCTTGCTTATTCTGAGAGGCTCGACGATAGGGGATTCGCGTTTATCTTGACCACGACCATTAGTAGTAGTAGAGTTGTTGAGGAACATCTCGTCCTCTGGCCTGCCATGGCGGCTGCTGTTGGTCGGACTCATGGCCGTTCAGTCAGCTGCGGGGATGCGCAGCCGATAAACAACAGTGCGAGGGGCTGGCTGTTGAGCTGTGCCGTAATTAGTCTCCTATTTTTTGCTAGTTCTGGTTGCAAGCAACAAAAACAACAACAACAACAACAACAACAACAAATGCAGAACTATAAATAAAATAGCTTGCTGAGGATCAAGGAGAGGTCTCCAGTTGACGGCAACGCTGGAGCGCCCAAGGGTGGACAAGACAAACGAGGTAGAGGTGGACTGTGTGTGGCATACCGTGAATGAGCGACCAGGATGCGCTGGAATAGATGAGTGTTGTCGAATCGACCAAATTAATATTAGCAATAAAGCCAGACGATGAGCGAGGAGCTGCAGAGATGATGCTCGCAGGCAGACAGGAGGAGAAGCATGAGTACGCGCCAGACAAGAGGGCATCCCCCGCATCGATTGGCTGACCCAGGCTGGGCGAGCGGCGGCCTGCAGCGGTGATTGGACATCACATTATTTACTGCTCAGCAGTGATTAGAGGTGCTCGGCGGCTAACGGCCTGAAGATATCGGGCCTGGGGTTCTGATTGGGCGTCCCAGTGTGATGGTCTCTATCCCCATTACAGCCAACTGCCCCTGTATCATGTTTTGTATGGTGTACCTATGGATGACCCAGAGTTTGTTTATTGTTTAACATTTAAGAAGCCCCGCCTTCTTCACGGCCCGACTCCCGCCCGTGCTATTTATAGCGCAATAAGTACTGTACATGGAGTATTATTATGTGTAAGCCTATCAACGGTATCACGTACATCGACGTCGTTAAATCATGCATGCGTGCTCTATGAGTACATGTGAAACAAAGGCAAAAAGTAAAAAGGAAGAAAAAAAGAAAGAGCGTATTATCGTCGAATCGTGCCTGTATCGTCGCGTAAATTTACAATAGCCAAATAGCCCAAACACCCATTCGCCCTGCTGAACGTGAGGAAACGAGAAAACCAAGAATTTGCAATCACATCCCAAAGTTGACCACCTGCAGCCCATGCTGAGCCATGACGTCCATCCACTCGACATTGGCCGAGTGGCCAATCGTCATGAGATCCTCGGTTTGTCTTTGATAGACTATCTGGAGCAACTCTCTGGTCGTGGTCGCATTGCGCCCGACCCCTTGCTTCTCCATGCTGGATACAATGTCTATTGCTATCATTTTCTGGCCGGCCGACGATGTGGACACACCTGCCATAAAGAGAGGGAAAATGACGAAACGAAGGTCGAAACGATCAGTACGCACAATTGTTTCTGCCGCCTGTAAGATGGCTGAAGCATGGTCCTTAATTATTTTCTCAGAGGCACTGGCAGGACCTAGTCGCTGTCCTCTCCACATGCTTGTGTAGGAGTAAATCATGCAGGAATGATAAAGGGTCATTGCCTGTGGAGAAGTCAGTAAAGGCTATCCACGATTGGGGACACATGTGGTACTAACATTTTGAAAGATTTCGCGGGATCGCTGTGGAAGACTTTCCATGTGTTGACAGAGATAATGAGCATCTGGAGAGCTCCAGAGCTGTTGCAAATGGCTTCTGATTTCGTATAGCCATTTTGTATTCTCCCCTGTTGGAGAATTCGAGCCTAGTGAACGGTCACAGTGTACTTCATCGCCTCGTATATCAGCTGCTAGGAAGCCTAACCGAGTGGCAAGCACGAAAGTGTCGTGGTATAGCTGTAAAGCACGGGGAAGAGTGTCGTTTTCCTCGGGGTAAATTATACTATAGCCGTTGGCAGCCAAAGGATATAGCTGACACTTCGGATTGGGGAGCATATTATTTTTACACATCGCCCGTATAAAATCGCCCGTACCAGCGCCACTGAGAAGGGCATAAAGATCGATGTTGCACACAAGCCATATAATATAAGGATATCGCTCAGCGCCGAAAGTCGTTACCCTTAGTATTGAGATTTGGAGGAGCTGTGATATGTGATGAGACCACAAGTTGGACCCGCCTTCTTCAGCGGCTGCAATCTGTAGAGTCATGTAAGTATGCTTTTAAATAGGCCTTGTAATAGGAGTCAAGCACTCACTTCATAGATCAGTAGGAGGAAATGGGTTAGAAAAAGGCCATCCGAGTAAAGATCCTCACTGCTATGCAAAGCTGTCTGCAGAGAGGAAAACGTTTGTTGATAATGCTGCAAGGCATCAAGACTTTGGCTACCTTGTTGGTGAGTAAGGCTCAAGGCTGATACCGCCATCATCGCATGAAGCAGCTATCTCTTTTGTCAGCACAAATGTATTTATACCGGAATATTTTGGCAACTGACTGGCTGAAATGTAGATGCAATGTCTTCAAACATGTCTGCCCCGGGACTGATGGGACTGATGGGACTGGACAAGGGAGAGAAGAGCTCCTGGGTGAATTGGCCTTGGATGAGCTGCTTCCACACCACATTCCTGAAGTGGACTAGCAGCTGTTCATCTCGACTACCATGCTCAACACCAGGAACCTGGTGGTGAACAAAGTGGCTATCGAATGGAAAATGAAGTGGGGATGTTGCGGTGGGTGGAGAGGTGACGACGGAGGAGGTCGGCGATAGCCTATTATTCTTCCATTGCGACACGGAATAACGCTGACTGCTGTCTTCAAACCGATCTAGAATGACAACGTTCGGATCATTGGTTTCAATGCTGCTCTCACGGTCATCCCTTGGACTGAGCAGCGAGCTGGTGGCAGATCCTCTCCGGACTTTCAAGCTCTTGCTATTCAAATCAATGGGGTATTCTTCCGAGTATTCGGGAAGATTTGAGAAGCTATCAGGGACCACGACAACGTGGTATGTACCGGGATGACTATTCTCTGCCTTCTTCTCCCGCTCCTCGTCGGATGTGAGAGTAAAGAATGGGGGCATGGAGTCATAGAGCCCGGGAGACACCGGAGGAGAATGCAGTCGAATAGATGCTAGTTCAAAAAGCGGCGATCAGCCCGGCTTCTTATGCGCACTAAACACAAGATCTCGGGACTTACTATCCCAAACTGCGTTTCCAGCAGTTGATACTTCAGACATGCGCTCCATCACTCGGGGCGTGTCGTCCCGAAATGATAGGCGCGGGCTATAGTCACAGAGGTGTCCTAGGCGAGCGCATTGACCGCAATTGGGACGATTTTCATCGCACTTCACTAGTCAGAATTAGAATAAGCTTGTAGAATAATACGGGCCGCTCATCTTACCTTTGCGGCTCTATACAAGTCGCAAGCAGGATATAGTTAGTTGAACGCCATGAAAAGAGAATGAGTGGCTTGTGGATGAAAGCTTACCCGACATGTCCTGCAGGAACGGTTAGTCAGCGACCAATTGGACAGCTACAGAAGGGATCTGGGTGGTTACTCACCAGCAACCTGTCCGCGATCGAGGCGGGAGGCGGATACGCGGTGGTGGTACATCTAGCTTGGTAGCATTGGGCAGAGTCGACTCTGGAGGCGACGGCGGCGTGTAGACCTCTCGTGGGGCAATCACCGGCACTCGTCCAGAGCGTTTTCCAGAGAGCATGCCTTTGTTGTGGGAGGTCATGGTGCGCGAGCCGATAAGAAGGACGGGGGAGCAATGGTGGGATAGAGGAATTGGCTGGGTTTAGTCAGGGCAATGGCAGCTATACAATGGTTCGCATGGTGGCCGGTTGCTCAGCAGGTCATTGCATCTATGGACGGCAGCAGCAGCAACAGCAGTAACAAGAAAGTAAAGTTTGGATGGTGGGAGAAGAGGATTAATATATAGAGAATTAGAGATAGCCGCGTGGTGGATCAACAGGGAAGGAGGCTAGCCCGCATTCAGCCACGTCTGTACGAGGCGTTCAGGGCAATAGGGAGAGGATAAGCCACGAGGGGAGGCGTGGAGAGAGGGGATTGACTGGATAGTTATAGAGAAAAGCAACGGTGGGAGCAGGGAGGCGAGAATGCAGAATGCAGAATGCAGAGAGCCTCGCAAACCTGACAGGCACAGGCACGGCCCAGCCAGATGTACGCTGCAAGTCCCGTAAGTATGCATGCATGTATTGTCGTGTTTCCGGACGAAGGAAGACTAATCGTACATAAGCTTCGCAGAGTCGAGACTTGGGCTGCTGCTAGCGGTTTTTCTTCCTTTGGAGCCATCGCTTTTGGGGGGCTTGCTTGCTGCTGTTCTGCTGAAGGTGATTGGCGGCCGGAGTAGGGCAGAAAGAAGATTGTCCGTTGTTCTGTCAAGAGCACGCGCTATTCTGCTAGTGTCCGGGGAAGCCTAATAATATTTCGCGCGTACCGTATGGTACCGATACACTTACAAGGCCAGACCCGGCTCACGCAGCCGGCCCAAAGGGGACCCGGTTCGCAGATACCACGAGCCCTAACGCTGTCCGGAGACACCGGTGGTTCCACCAGCAACTGGCTATGCTCGTGCTAGCATGTTGGTATCTAACTTCCGCATCGAGAAGCTGGCAAGGGTTCCAGCTAGCCATGAACACCCTACGCTGGCACTCTGGGGCACCTGACAGTCAGATCATAATAATCATAGTAATATTACAAGTGCGCATATGCATGGCATGTCCCCGGGCACGTCGGCGACCGACCTCTGACCAGGGTGTGCAAGGGGAGGAGAAAAAGAAAAAAAGAAAGCAAAAAGCCCAATCTCAACTGACAGACTGACAGACTACGGCATTGACGCTCTAACCCAGACGAGTAACATGCGACGAGGAGAGTTCGCAGCTAAAGGATTTAAGACAGGCTCTTCGTATTGATACCCGTAAGCCTCTATGTACGAGCTTGCCGGGTCTGACAGCGACACTTGGCCTGGATGTCGACTCCGTGCCGAATCCACATGGAATGACAGGTTCAATCTTGCTTTTTTCTTTCTTTCCCTTTCTTTTTCTTTTCTGCTGCATTTTCCTTGCCTCTGTGCTACCTCTGGAGGCTGAGCGTAGGGGGACACAGACCGCAGTCCAGCCGCTAGTAATGCCGTAATCCCAGTACCAATGGTACCAATAATACCAGAATAACACCATTCATCGGCTGCCAGGCTGTCTGGCTGTCAAATGTCCATGCCCGAGCTTTGGCCGTCGATAATGCTGGGTGGGCCCACCATATCACAGCGTGCTCCTTGGTTTGCTGCGATGATTGTGCATGGCCGACGAGCGAGAAAAAGACACAGAGATCGCGACGGTCTTCAGCTGTATCTGGCATATACTCCTCCACTTGCGATCCCACAGCTCTGCGGCTACTAGTTAGTGAGTAGTTGGTCAACTCGCGAGAAGTGTTCGTCCGTCGCAATGGATCATCAGGGGATTGGATGGCCTTCGGGCGCTCCGGACGCCCAATACGCTAAGGATTGTGATATGTGAGCAAAGCGTCAAAAGACATTGCCAGAATGGTGGGTTGGCCTACGTAATTCGCTACGCCGGGTATAAACATAATTAAAGATTTGACAGAAATCCGTCGGTCGAATCGGGGAGAAAGCGATCGGCATTGTCAGAGCCCAGCACAATGGTTCACCTCCTGCATGCCAGTATGTGGCCAAAGCGCCCCTGTGAACTATTATTATACCTGCTGCGTAGCCTTACGGTTTGCTGATGTGTTTATGGCTCGCTGTTTGGCCCGGTGTATATCTGCGATTATTCGAGTTAATTTGTGAGGCATCTGTACATGAACCGAGAGATAAACAAATACGTTGTGGGACGAAACCCGGGGACACAGAATCCTGGTCGATGGATCAACAAAGCATCGAAGATCCGAAGTAGTTCTCAATAACTCCACTATCACTATCACTCTTACTACTGTTATTATCATTACTCTATTATTTTACCATGTATATTATATAATATATAGTGTGATTATTCATACCCTAGCCTTTGTTCTAAGTGACTTCGTACAGATGAGAGCCTGTTTCAGACTAGTCTATACCCATTATTCCAAATCATATGACTGGCAAAGGGAGGAGTCATGTCAACGCTTCGACCAGGTTGGCGGGCCACACAATTCGGATTCTACAGAGGGCTCCGTTGTTAGCGCGGGCCAGGGGAGAGTTAAAACCGTTGGACGCAGCAAGATTGGTGGCCACGAATCGAGGCCCGGCGTATTAGAGACGTTGTCGCTTGTACAAATGTATATATTAACTAGCGCCTATACAGATACGGTTACGTACGGGCTGTTCTCAGGCTCTCCTCAGGCGGTTCAGCCCACGCTTGCATATGCAGTCAGACTGCAAATTCGAAACTAGCCGATTTTTCACCTGCTCAGCCACCGTTCTGGATCAGGTGACTCTGGAGATACGAATCAGGCATGCAGATTCTTGACATGGGCTATCTGCACTACTTCATTCCATTGTTGTCTTGTCTTCTTGCCACCCCCACTACCCGAATAGGAAAAAAATACCTTGACTAGTGACAAGCAAAGCATCATGTGTGCACACTCGCCACATGCAGTTAACGAAGCGCGCCGTTCTAGCGCATGTACATATTAAATGGGTGCTCATTATATTCTATATATATCGACATCCATATATATAATGATATATTATATAATGTATAATCTTCAGCTGCATGCAATGTTTCCGACATTCTGTACATATCTGAGATGTGGCTGGCTGGAGGGCACACACAGTACACAGGTGTAAAGCGTTATTCTGGCAAGCCCCATGTTCCCTGATGAATGTTAATGCAGCAATAAGAATGCATACAGACAAACCTCGAAGCGAGGGAGGGAGGGACGGAGTCCAGACCTTCCCGACGACCTGGAACCATTTGCTGTGCTTCAATACGCCCCGCCCTGATTGGCCGCACTCCGCTTGAGATCTCCCGATCTGGAATCGTGTCTCGACGGCCCGCAATGCGCTAGAGGGAGTTCTCAGCCAGTCGCAGTAGCACAAGTGGGGTCAGGCCGGCCCAGAACACCGAGCAGACTAGTGGAACTAGCGCACAGAGCGCGCTGTTATTGGCCGGCTACCCCTGTCATGCACATGGTATCCAGAAATAGACTCTCAACTTACCAGCTCCTCCGTCCATTGACATTCATAATACCCATTCTTTGAAGTTAACATCTATCAATAGTATTATTATTACCGCTAAGACCCAATTCTAAACACTGAGTAGATACAATGACATGCCCCCCTCCGCATTCGGCTAGTCCATCCCAACCACTAATGCCAACAGCTCACTCAATCTCCCAATCAAGCCAAGCTTCCGCACTGTCTCGTCCGCGTTGGGACCGTGGCCCGGGTTTTAGCGAGCTTGCTGGAGACTAGTGGGCTGGCTGATCTAGCGAACTGTAACTGGGGGGCGCTACCATGATTCATTATTGTCAGTATCCTGCCCCAATAGGAAATGGAGTCATGTCATGGCTCAGAACTACGTATATGCTGCAAATACGCAACAGTGGCGATGCCGATAATTCTCCATAACCGCCGAGACTCTGCCATGAATGGTAATTTATTGAGTTTAGTAGGATTACATACCACTGATGGACGGTCAAGGCCCCTATGCTAATTGTGGATCTGCCACGTGGATGGGATTTTCTCCTTGCTCGTTGTGAAGTTTATTTTTCTTGACATCCCAGCCAATCCATGTGTTGGTTTTACTCTCTGAGAATTGATTAGTATGATTAATCATATATTATATCTGGATCTCTTGAGCTGCTAGCCATAACAGACTATTGATATGTCAAATTCTACAAAAAGCTATCTGATATTGTTCAAGTCTGTAACTGGAAATGTGGATCGAGGTCATTCATCATCTTAGCCCTAGATTGTCCAATCGTCAGTCTCGCTGGCACCATCAACTGACTGGGCGCTACGCAGGCCTCTATGATTAGCCCTCAGACTTGAACATTAAAATTGCTAATATCTAATAGTGTTCATGGGTCCTGTTGGTTGTTGATCTGCGATAGGTGACTGGATCAAAGCTTCTGTAGGGCGGTCTTGAAAATATGCTGAATCGGCTCAGATCGCTCTTGAGCTAGCCACTCATCGATCCACCGACGCTGTTGGTCATCCACCCTAATCTCTGCCTGTCGAGCCACTGTAATAAATTCATTTACTGCCTGAGCTCGTTTCGTTCGGAGGCTTTCTACTGACGGATTCCAGTCCTGGAATAGTAACTTATCCACTAAAATCTGTAGTCCCTGTTTAAGTTTCTCAAGATCTGATGCTTCCTTCGTCAGTGGAATCTGTTTTCCGAACTTGGTAACGGTAGCTCGTAGTCCAGTGTAGAATGTATCCAGCACTCGTCGACTATTTCCTCGCAGGCAAGATTCGATGATCGTAGAAACTGCTGTTAAGTTTTCTTCCTGCGGGTAAGCACTAACCTTGTAGCTTGGGAACTTTCCAAACTTACCTGGAGTGAGCTCTTTGAACGTGGGGTTGACGCATCGAAGTAGACAGTCAGTACATGCAGCCAAGATTTCGTCATCACTATAGGCATGTCTTCGTTAGAAACAAAAAAGTGTCTTCTAAAGGACTACTCACCGGGTAGTCTTGGAATGGTCTGAGTCTATTTCCATCTTAGTGCCATCGCTATCCGTCAGATCCTCGACAACTGGCTCAACAATGGAGATAGCTTCAGGAAGCAGGTACAAATCTTGTCGGGCTTCTGCAAACGCAGCCAAGGCGCTGAGTGCATGCGATCGATACGCCGCGTTGTTTCTCTTAGCCTCCCTGAGCATAATGACCTTCCGCCAGTCATTAATCAGCAAATGGATACCAATGCAAAAATGCAACGTTTCACAGGTAGGCAGTGTGACATACTTTCATTTGCTGGCCGATCTCCGGCTTGAGCTCCCAGATCGCACGTGAATTCTCCGTGAATTTGACAAATGCCTTCAGCACGGTTTCCTTTCCATCCCATGTCTTTCCACTCAAAGCACGTTCCAACAGCGGCCAAATAAGTTCCACTGCCGAGTGGTCAAGGGCCGTTCCCAAACTGGTCACGATGTCAGCCACCGCAAGGGATGAACTGTGTTTGATTGCCCAGCTTGTCGATTCCAATCGCTCCGAAATGATTTCCCTAATCTCATTGAGATACAAAGACACTGCACGTGATCCCCCCACGTTATCCTGCCAGGTTTTCTCAAAAATCTCGCGTGTTTGTTCGTCTGTATTGTGTTTGGCCACGAAAACAAAAGGCAGCGCCGCACTCGTAAAATTTGAGAAGCGGTCGCTCGACAGCTTTGACATGGATTGCAAAATTTCCGCAGAAATTGTTTGATGGGATTGTTCCTCAGCGTTGAAATATATCCCCTTTGCGAATTCAATCATATCCAAGACCTTTTCATCGCTGGCCAACCGAATCATATAGCCAATAGAGGCGCTGTATGACACGCTTACTGTTTCATTTCGGTCAAGCACATACTTTTTCAATATTTGAATGAATTTGTCGGCGTAAGGACGGAAAATTATATTTTTCGTGCTCAATAGCGCAAGAACTCTACTGCAACCGACTTTAGAAGGCAGCCCTACAGCGGTTCGTAGGACTACCTCGAGTCTAGCAGCGACTTCTTTCATGCTTTCCTCATCGAGACCATCGAGAAGATACCGTTCAATGCTCTCCATCATAGGAGACATGCGAATACTTGAAAGCCTCATATTATCGACTTCGTTACCTGTGAGCCCGTACTTGTCTGCATTCAAGTGAATGTAATTCACCGCTTGAGGCTCTAGGGAGCTTAGCGAAGACAAAAACCTTTCCAATATTTGAGGTATGAATGGACGCAGCAAAGCACTTGGGCTCTTCTTTATAATTTGAATCACTGTCGTTATAGAGTAGGCCTGAACTTCTTGTGCACTTGATTCCATTCCTCGTTGACCGAGTAAGAAAGGAACAAGGTGGCCCAGCATTGTTTTTGCCCGTCGTGACTCCGTATCACCAGTTTCGAGGGTTCTCGTTAGAATATTAGTGATGACTTGGCACAAACGCAAAGCGGCCGCCCGTACTGATTCCTTAATGTCATCCATAACCTTGAAAGCTTTGATTAGAATTTCATTCATGTACTTTTCATACTTATCCAATGGGCGTCCTTGGATGAGATCGGCAATAGCGGAACAGCTAGCCTCACGTACTCGCCATTCCCTTCCCGCGATAATACTAGACAGCAGATCGTCCATAATTGCATCAAAATGAGTTTCTAACAGGACATTGGGCTCCTTAACAATAGTTTGCCAAATGTCATTCATCGATCTCTGCACGTTTGGATTTGGGTCGAAGCGATAACGATATAGCTTGGGATAAATCTTCGGGTTCCGGGAAAGATACCCGTCCATGCTGGAATCAGACAAAACAGCACTGAGACCGAACCTGCCAAAAGCAGCTCGACTAGACCAGATGGCATTGTTCGAAGCCATAGACATGAAGCGATACACAAGGCTGGGATCCCCCACTTCCGAAGCTAAGTTCATTATGTCCTTGTAAGTCGTAACTGACTTTCCTTCGCCTGTTGGTAAAGCTCCGGGTTCGAAAAGTTTTGTATCACTGCTGACATTGCCAGCTAAAGTGGGGTTATTACCAGTGAAAGAACTGATAAGGTCTCGAACTAAATCATCACGAAGTTCCTGATCTCCCATTTCGTACACCAAGCTTAGTCCTCTCGAGCCAGTTTCCTGAACAAGATCGTCTCTATCTGCCAATAGACTGGTGAATGCCGCTTGTGTATTACGAAGACGTTCACGCACTTCATCAAGCTGCCCACAATTTTTGACTAAACAGAGCAACCATATTGCGGATGCTTTTCGCAAAGAAGGCTTTGAAGCTCTACAGTTAGTAATTAAATCATCAGCCAGCTTCGCGAGGATTTCCCCCGGAACATTGATTTTGAAGGGATGACCATCAACGTCCAGTTCACCAATGAGTGATTTCGATTCCCATCCTGCAGCAGCGACACATATAGAATCGCCAACAGCAAATTGCACCTCGGGCTTGCGAATTTCGTGTAGGTCATGAAATGATTCCATAATGGTATTAAACGTCTGCGTATGTTCTCCTTCCTTCGGCATTACCAAAGCTAAATGGCCTAATGCGTGAATTGCACTTTCTTTTTCGTTTTTCGCAGCCTCCGCCAGTTTAGCTTTGATGGATTCCAATATACCGGCTTCTGACATGACTTCAAAATTCAAGATATGGGAGAGCGCTAGCTGACTGATGGCTACATGGACGGCATCTAGAAGCTGAGAGTCTCGCGACTCAGTAAGAATCGCAACAATAATCCCAATATATTCTTGAACCTGCGTCTCAGGGATAGTATCAAGTCTCTGCCGAAACGAAAGCCGGCTTAAAATGTATGATTCTGTGAGAACTGCGCCCCGAACTCGGTTTGCTGCCTGCCCGACAGCTCCCTTCCACGCGGTGCTCAAATTAAGTGCTTCAAAAGACATTTGCTGACAGTCAGTTGTTGCCAGTGATGGATGAGAAGCAAGAATTCCGAGGACCCTTGCAGCAGCATTCTGCAAAGTATAGTTATTAGTATCATATACTAGCTTTGGTAATGACTTTGCTCGATTAATAGATGATGCAATAACCCCGTTGGAAGTTAGAGAACTGATGTCTATGAAATCTTTGCTGCATTCAATAGCTTCGGCACCGTTTCCAAGAATACCTTCCACGGCAGTACCCAGTAAAGTTGCCACGTTAGACGTAGGTTGTTGGTTGATATGTACCTTAACAGCCTCTCTGGCCTGTGGATCAGATTGGAGAAGCGTGTCTAGCCGGTATTCCCATTCTTGGTCAATCTCGATTGATATATTTGCTTTTGAGAATGCTTCAAATATAAGTAGATTCTTGCAGAACCGAATGGCTGGTGCAATAACCCCATCTATGCTTTGCGGGGAAGAATCGGGATCATTCAGCAAACTCAGAAGCTTTGTCGCAAGTTGAAAGGAAGGGAAATTATACCGGCTATCTTCCTGATACTTTTCTAAAGTAGACACAGGAGACACGCCTCTGACAGGGTTGAGCATTCGATACCAGTAAGGGTGTAGTCCCTTTTTGCCTTCTTCGATGATTTCTCTGCCTCTGCCAACCTTACTTCCAATGGCCAAAAGATCAACCCATCTAGCAGTGAGGTCCCAAAATGGCAGACAGCGGTTTGCGTATTTGACAGCCGTATAATGCGTACTGCGAACAATAGAGAAGCCATTCAAGAGATTCTCTTTTCCAGGATACAATTTCATCTGTTTTACGAGGAAATCCCCAAGCTCTAGTCTGGTTTTTTCAGAGAAGTTTCCTGTTAAAGAGTTCAAAATGGTGCCGAGAGCTTGTTCAACGCTGACAGAAATTTCAGAAGCCGAGTTATCCGAGGCGAGAGAGGTGAATAGCCATCTCAATAAGTCCATATCGACATAATCTGTATCGTTTGTTGATATTATCTTAGGAGTCAGAATGCCAATACTTTCATAAGCTAGGCCTCGTGAAGAAATATCAGCCGGTGATAGCTTCTGTCCGCTTACACTGGGATCGGGCCACCCTTGGGATTCCACATAACCGCGAAGCCCTACCACGGTTTTTGGGGCAATGACCTTTAGATTTATTGGTGCGCCCATACGCACAATCCATGTAGTAAAAGTAAATATTTGAGAACGAAGTTTCGACGTTTGAAGACCCTGACCAGATTTAGCCGTATCTGAAAATAGACCGTCATCGAGTAGTTTTATGATCTCTTCCGTGTATGAAGTCGCTTTCACAGATCTCCCGAGGAGAACCAGCAGCTTTACCTGCAGTGGAATGCGCACAGGAGGTGCAGCATTGGCCCCTGTCGTCCCGAAGTAGAGTTTATAAAGCTCCTCCACGGTCTCAGTATCTTCGAGATTGGGATTGAATCTCTTGAGGATATCATCACCAATATCGGAAAGACGGGAGTTTGAATCTGCTGAAAGAATAACAGCAGGTAAAAATCGCGTGGGATCAGTAAAGACTCCACTGGTAAGGAACTTCGCCACAGAAAGTTTTGTTTCGGTCAAATTCAAGCCGCCTTGGCTTTTTGGATCCCATGTTTCCTCGAATGAAGCTGATTTGTTCAGAAAGCTATACTCTAATGGAGAGAGACCAGGGCAAGTACTGGCACCATTACCCGCAGAGGACAGGAGAAAAAACTTGCCAAACCAGACCGACAGAAATCGAACATCCTCATCTGATAGTAGAAGTTTGTCTCTCAGGCTAGAATCTTCCCTGCTATCCTTTGGTGGGAGGTGTAGAAGAGGTAGCAGCCGCAAAATGAGGTTAAATCCAATAGCTGACTGGGTAGATGTAGTGTCAAGACGTGATATGCCCTCGAAAGCGGCAGGTAGAAGCTCCACCCTAGCCGAAGCCTCCAGACGGTCCAGGCCTTGCTGGATGTATACCAGATCAAAGTGCCGGACCAGCTGAGAGGTCTGTTCTTTAAATTGTTTCAGCAGAGCCGCCACGGGAAGTTGTATTGATTGGGGTTTGATTCTCGTGTTTATGTGTTGGCAAACTGAAAGGACTTTGTTCCGCACGGCTAGACTGTCAGAGGCTAGTTTGAGAAGCAGAGGAGCGAGATATGTCTGCAGCAGCTTTTGAAGTTTATCGTCGGAGTCTGCGAGGGCAATTCGCAGCTCCACCTTGGACACTAGGTTTAATTCGCGCGCCTCAGCGCTGTCCGTAGTGCCCTCTGTAGCCATAGTATGGATGATGAGATTCTATGGCGTAAAAGCTTAATGGGCAAAATGAGGCTGCACAGGTCACCTCGCTTTGGAATATAAGCAGCTCAATTCATCATATGGAATAGTGAATACGGGTACTTATAGTGTTTCGTCTACTCTCAGGCAGGAGCGCTGACGACACGGCAGGAGGAGACTGATCGAAGGCAGTGGAGACAGCAGGAAGGAGCGATGGGCGGCTCACGTGACTGGCCACCCAGGCCCTTTGTATGGGGCATCTGCGTATTTGTTGACATTGTTGTTATTTAAGAGCTCTATATCATTTATATGTCTACATATATAGTGAAAAGCAACATGGGAAAAGCGATGTCCTCGACCCTCCTCAGAACCGTGCGCCGTCATACCTGGGAAGGTATGTGACATCAGGTATTTAAGATCCGGGTGCGTCAGGTCTTCTCTGGTCGGCTGCTTCTGCTCTCAAGAAGCGATCAACTTCCGCCCCAGCATCGGAGGTCTGGCCTGAAGGACGCATTTTTTGCATCCCCCCGAATAAACACTGCCATAGATCATCTTTCCGGACTAACTCCCCACCAGCAGCCCCTGTCGCCAACAGCTTTCCGAGAGTCGCGTCTTGCATCTCCATGGAATTCGCCGAGTCGATGGCAGTCTCTGTGAGATTTTCGACTGTACTCCCATCCCTCAAACCAGGACTCGGTGACTGCACCTCTTTATCCTTCTCTTTCTTCTCCTTCTGGACAATGTGGCTCAACCGGCGTGACACTGAAATCTGGTAGATCGACTCTTCAACCGTATCTGATACTAGGTACATCCACACGGTAGTCGACCGATGCTGCCCAATTCGATGAACACGGGCTATTGCTTGCAGTTCAATCGCAGTGTTAATTAAAGGCTCACAGAGGAAAACGTGAGTTGCGTTGACCAGATTCAGCCCAGAGGAATGAGCCTTTGCATGTAAGAGAAAGCATTCGACCTATAAGAAATATAGCATTAACAGCTTTTCCAAACATATATGTGATGGCTATCCTACCGCAGGATCCTCTTTGAAACGATGAATCCCATCCTTGGCATCTATATTGCTGAATCCAATATCGAATCGGGAAAATGCAGTGCCCAATACACCAAGGAAATGTTTATATTGAGAGAAAACGATTGACTTTGCACCAGGATCATGTTCACGAAGCCATATGAGGTGACGAGCTAGAGTATCGATCTTAGTACCAAAAGAACTTGAGAGATCGACATTCTTAATCTCTTGAAGCATTCCCGTACTGATATCGGAGTATATAAAGCTATTGGTTGTCGTGTCAAGCCCAGACTTTACGGGACTCCTTTCTTCTTGCACTACTAGCTCTTGCGGTTTGTATGCAATTTGATGGAAATCATTGGCCTTGAGTTTTCTCTTACAGGTCGGACAAGTCCGGTGCTGATACCACCACAAGCGCAAGCAGTCTTTGCAGTACTTGTGACCGCATACTGTCAAAACCCCTAAAATCCCACAACATTAGGGGTCTTGCTATTTTGTCAAACTGAATCACTACTCACCAATTTCGAATGAGGACTGACAAATAACACACATCCTCGAACTGTCGTCTGGCCCAGAATCATCCCGAAGATGAATCAAATACCTTCCCTTGGATTGTAATGAAGACAGCTTTTGCTCCATTTTTTCTTCGGCCTGCAGTTTCAAAGAATAGACTGCCTCATCTAAAGGTTTCCCCACACTCTCTTCGTCATACGGAGCCACAGTATCGGAAATCTGTTGCAACTGACGATAGTATTCTAACCTTTGGTTCATCGTGTCACGGAATAGCTCCACTTCCTTTTCTAGGTTCGAAGAGGCTTTTGCCTGGTCCGTGGAAATTTTGCTAGCACGATCGAGAACTTCAGTCGCAATCGTAAGCTCAGCTTCTGCGCGTGAACTTCCTTCGTGGCTTTGCCACTCCAGGGATGTAACGAGGCTTCGCAACTCGCTAATAATGCCTCGAAGAGAACCAAGCTCCGCAGTTGGTTTCAGTTCATTGCGTTTCTTCATGATCTCAAGGTACAACGGAGGAGACGGGCCTTCTCCTTTACCTGCCTCAGACAATCCAATTTTAACTTCATGGTCAATAAGAAAGTTCTGTTGTCCGGTTAAAGCATCATGACGATCGGCGTACATGACCCGAAGTGCTTCCATATACACATACATCTCGTCCTGATGTTTAGTTGACGTTTCGTATTCATTCCCTTCAAGTTCGCTACTTTCCTCTTCATCGATCAGCGACTGGCTTAATAGCTTGACCATTATATCTCGCCATTCGTTGTACTGATTACTATGCTCGTTCATTGCATCGCAGAAATCCTCCAACTTCATGAAAACACGGCGTGACTCAAGACCCAAAGTTCGGAGCTTAGCATTCATCGCAGGAATTTTCACGAACGATTTGCTTTTGGATTTATCCTGGATGACCTTCATATATCTCCTAACTTTCCGTGAAACATCTGTCAACATCTCCTTTCGCATCTGCTTCGCAGCCTCGTAGGCTTCTATTTCGTCTCTCTCAAGATTCGTAAACTCATTGGAATCAGGCTCTGTAAGGTTTATATCCGTCTTGATCTGATAGAAAGCATTTGCAGTGAAAAATTTAAAAATATGTTGTACTTCAAGAGCTGATCTTAGACGCATTTTGCATGTTCTCAGGCGGCTATTCTTCTCTGTTTCCTCACTTTCTTCTTTATCACTATCGACATCCGATGTTTCTTGTTCTGCGGAATTTCCAGCGCTCGACTGGGTTTTTTCATGCTCAACTCGTAGCTGTTCCCGACAATCTGTTACTATCTCCGTAGCACGTTTCAAGCCTTTCTGCCAGATGTCAAGAGCTCGCCATCGATGAGCAGCATTTTCAAGTAGTTGGCCGCGTCGAGCGTGGGACAAAAGTAAGGTACGTTCCTCAGCTCGGATTAACGTTTCGTTCTGATCAATCATGACTTCAAGCACTTCGGCAACAGATCGAAGCGGACCAGTTCTTAAACCCAGTGCTTTACGATTGCTGCCTGCGACCTCAGGATGTAAGCAAGTCTGACGTAATCTGGTGAGCCAACTTCGCATCTTTTCAATGACCGATTGAGATTCAGGGTTCCAATCCTCTGTCAGCGGCGCCCCGGATGATTCAAGACCGCAGTCAGCACACATCTGCTCAAATAAATGACTGTAGTGCTGCTCCTCAACTGGAGTGAATGGTATCGTTATCACAACTCTTTTTTGAGGTGGTAGTCGAAGGTCTTTTCTGACAAGATCTTTGCTATGCCGTAGCGCCAATCTATTGATGATGGATTTAAAAGCAGGATAATGCTCATTATACAGTCCAGCCCAAAGTGCAGGAAAGCTGCAAATGGGTTCATATTTGAGAAACTGAAGGAGGCCAAACAAGTCCCTCATGTCTTTGCGAATAGGCGTTCCAGTTACGGCCCAGGCATTCACACGGGGAATGAGGCGAGCAACCCGAGCAGCATTGCTTACACCACTTTCAATCATCTGAGCCTCATCGAGACAAACGCGCCACCAAGAAATCCCTATTAAAGGAGTCGTTCTGATCTTCCGCTTCTTTTCGTGTCGCAAGGTCCACGTAGGAGCAACACCGGTATGATGCACTTCTTTTGCTATAACATTGTACGTGGTAAGCACAACATCATTTCCGGCAAGCATGTGCAAAAGTTCCTCATCAGTCGCCTTTGGGTATTGTTGAAACCCAGTATACTCGAAGACCGAGAGTGATGGTGCGTGGGTTGCAATCTCTTGCTTCCACTGTTCAAGAATGGCAGGCGGCGTGATGATCAGAGTTGCTCCTGACTTGACCAGGTTATTTTTCGGCTCGCTTTGGTGGTTCAACATCACTTCGCGTGAGTGAAGGCAGATCAATAGAATCATCTCTACTGTCTTTCCAAGGCCCATCTCTTCGGCGAGGATGCCTCCTTGTAGAGCACTTGCTGAATCACTCCACTCAGACAAATCCGTGGTCACGACCTTATAGAGATGGCTGACATAGCAGCGACGGCCTTCAGCATCTGTGAATTCTTCGAAAAATTCGGGACAATCCCTAACATCCTTGCGGCGCGGAACAAGATTTCCGCTTTTATTTATTTCCACGCCCTCTTTCTCAAGAAGCCACCGAACTGCTCTGTTCTGAAATGGGTATAGTTGACAAACTGCTAAATTGCACCTCAAATCGGCAGAAGATTCGGGTGTTTCTGCCGGTATGTGAACATTATCATAAAAGTCTCGGGGAGTCCAGAAGGGTTGACGTTGTCGCGATTGGACCGCATCATCATTGGACGTGCTCTTATAAATTCCTTCGCCGCGTGGTGTATATCGAAGTAGGGCTGTCTCCGCATAAGGTTTGATTCTTGACAAAGCCGGGATAAGCAAAGAATTCTTCCATAAAATATCAGCCGTCAGTTGGAAATATGCTGCGTTTGGCTGAAAAGAGAGCCGAGCTCGGTATTTGCACAATAGGTGATCGAGTTTGGCAGTATCGAAAGCGGCGGCTTTTGTCGCGAGTGACAGATGAGAGACCATTTCATCGACATTAGGCCCGCTCAAGTTATGCATGAAAACTGAATCCTTCCCTTGCACTGATTTAACGTCCAGCCAGTGTTGCTGCTCCAGGCTTTCACTCGACGAAGCCGGATCCTCAAACTCGGTACCCAAAGGCTCCGCATTTTCCGTCTGGCAGCGATAATTCAAAAAGACAGGCAGCTCTTGTGTATCCGGAGATAGATCGATGGAGGTTTCTTGGGGAGGAATCTAAACAAATAACTATTAGCAGCTACCTTTTCAATTCAGCCTTTCGGCTTGCGTTGATAAGCTGGCTCACTAAATTGATTATGATCCGGCATAACACTACATAATCATTGTGAACGCTGACATTCCCTGACTGGCTTAAGATATCATCGGTATCCTCGTCGAGTTTGCGACGCTTGTTTGGCCGTTCATGGTCGCGTGTTGCTTGCGAAAGTATCGAATTTTCTATTGAGCGCGTAGTCGCATCTATACCTCTAATCAGCTTATCCGTCGCGCATACTCAGCGCATCATCATCAATAGTGAAAATACCTGAAATATTCTGAGTGTAAGTAGCAACCACCATTGCGCGGCTCCGATCGTCGTTTAGAAAACAAGAACGCTTCAGATGATCGCGAGATGGTAGGAGGCAAAGAGTTGTATAAATTTAATCAATGAATGGAAACGTCAAGGCACATTTGATCACGTGCTGATAGTAATATCTACTATGATTGGGTAGCATGAGTGGGGCAAACCTAATTGATATTAGTGGTAAGTGAAAAGTGGGCCAAGCAACATTATTGATTGATTAATGGTTTCTTGACATGTATGTGAGTTTTCATTATTTCATACAGTAGCAAAATTTAATAGGTCTAATCATAACCTTCAGCATTCGGCTGATCAATTGTCTGGGCCGCGTCCAATAATACTCCTAATGCTAGGCCGTCCACCCGAGGGATACTGATTGCCCTGCACGATCAGCGACGGAGAGTTTGCAGGTCCATTACCTGACACGACTGTACCGTTGATAGCATGCACATAGGTGCTGAAAGTCGACCCGTCAGACGTCTCGTGAAATTCATCTGATGTGTCGCCAGAAGAGTACGAAGGCCCACCGGTAACACCATAGTAGTGAGCGTCACCCCATTGGCGTGTTTGCAAGTCCATCGGTCCAGAAACAAGCGTATAAGTGGATATACCAAGGGCGCCAGTGGACGATATTTCCAGCCCGCGGTCCATGATCGCGTCAATAGTGGTATAATTTGCTCCGACGCCGTAGGTGGTATTTACATCGATTGGATAGCTGAAAGCCGTATAATACTCGGCGAATTTCCCATCTAGTCCAATGCCAGATGATATTGAGAGCCCTGTTGTGTTTTGAATGTTTCTTTGGCTGAGACCGTCTTGGTTGAAAAAACCGTCGTTAGAATATGACAAACTCTGTGTCCATGTGTTTTGGCCAGATGTGATCTTCAGGACCCGATGGACTGTGACCGAATAAGACAAGGTTTCGTTTTGGCCACTTGTCGCGTTATAAACTAAGTTGCGAGTGAAACCAAACCGAGGATCCGGGGTTTCGATTGTTGGAGGGACTCCTGATGGTGGTTTGTTGTAGTTTTCGCCATCATCAAGGTAAATAAAGGCTTTCCCTGTTACAACCCAGTACGAGCCCACCGTATCGGAAATGCTGATGTCATCTTCAGAAGGGGTATTGAGACCAACGATCTTAATCTGGAACGTGTGGGGTTTGCCATCAGTCAAGAGTGGCAAGAATGGAGAGATATCAATCTCTGGTTCGCGTAGATCAAAGGTATCAATGCCCACGATGGGTCGCCAGAAACCGGGAGCAACTCCTCCTGTAAAAATAACAGGGAACGGCCATACAACACCAGCAAGTTTCCCATCAATCAAAAGCTGTATCTCACGAAATGGAGAATACCCATACAACTGGCCGACTGTAGAGTTGAAATCCCAAACGTCCTGAGACAGAACATTAGACCACCAGAATTCTTCACCAATTTGACCGCATGCCGAGATCGAGACAACTGCTCTTTGCGCGTTTTTCGGAAAGCTGAGGCTCACTGTAGCGTTATCGGGAGGGACGGTGAATGCGCTTGTACCGTTTTTCGCTGATTGGCGAGATGATATTGGAAGAATAACGTCGGCCACTCGTCCGTTGTTTTCTTTGGTAAATGATGCTGTCAGGGTCACGTTGAATGGGCCGGTGTATGTGCTGTCGATCAAATTGCCCAGATCAAAGATGATCTTTTGGGGACTCTTCCACAACACAAGGTACTGCGACATTTCCTTAATATAGGTCCAAATAATTCCATTCGTAGTTGGTTCTGCTGTGGAAGTACGGAATACCTCCGTGTCGTTCAAATACATCAGTGCGAGCCGATCGAATTGGCGCCCTTGTGATGTGACGGTGAGATTGATCCGCACAGTATCGAAGTCGCACTTAGGCGGTACATAATTTCCTGTAAATGCATTCGTGAGACTTAATTCAATAATGACAGAAAAAGAGGAGAAAAGGAGAAAAGAGAAAAATTACCAATATAAGGTTTTCCATAACTGTACGCAAACTCATGGTCCATCAAAAGAAGGACCTGACTGCACCCTTTACTTGCGGGGTCAAATTCAACTGGTTTATAAACTTGAAAGTCCACGAGCGCCGAGCTTGAGTTTGCACCTGTGTCTCGGGAAGAAACATGTTTTATATTGCCATTGAACGCATTCACAAGCGAATAGAAGCCGAGCAGACCTAACGAAAGATGCCCCAGAAACTTCATGGTGCCGGCCCAGTGACAGTTTCTTGTTCTTTTGGGAATTCCAATGTCACGGTGGGCTTTGGAAGCAAATGTAAGATCCGGTGAATTGGCCGCTTTTATAGCTTCATATCGCGAGATGATTGGCGTTAATGGCGTGTCTTTCGACTGTCGGGACGATCTAGAACCGGCCCACCACAGGAGACTCAACAGCACTATGACTATACACGCGCTAACAATATAGATATCTGGCAAGGAAACGCGTTCGAGAAAGTCGCAACCGGTCAAAAAGCGATTGCTGAGTGTCTCAAAATGCTCTGCTAGGGATGGAGCGGTTGGTATAGGAGCGGATAACATGATTGCGAATGCGACTTTCCTTTTATCGCACGAGCCTAGTGAGGATGGGATGGGTCGTAACAGGAACCGGCATTGTGCTATTGGTAGTGCTCAGTAGTACAAAGCTCCTAGCTCGAACAAGCTTTCGAATTATCTATTGATCGGCATAACTGATAAAGCGAAGAGCGCAAACTATCACGATCTAGGCAGGTTGCCAGAGCAGTGTTACATTGCAATGCGGAGGAGATAACACGCTAAGGTGAATCAGGTCCAAATACTTCTGGCCAGACGAACGACTGGCCACCACCTTGGTTGACGGTGAAATATATCACTCTTTACTCTGAAAATTGGCCGGAGTTAATTTTTCCATGAACTTTAATATCAATCTCCAATTACCCGTCCATATTATCTCGCAATACACTCAGTAAACACTTTTTTTTCACATACTCAATAAATCCGCTTATTTATGGTCTGCGCCCGCTTGGGCTAGTGGTATGACGTCTCACTCGTAACACAAAAACTATGAAATGAGAAAGTCACAGATTAATTCTGCAGTGGGCATTATTTTTTCCTTCTTCTTTTTTCAGTTGTGCGGCGTATGGGGGTTAGCCATGGCTATTTATTGGTTTAGCTTAGTCTTGTTCGTCAACGGGAGAAGCCCCGTCGAGCCGCTTTAATGGGCCATTGAGTGACGAGCAGAGGTGTACGAAGTGTAGACAGATTTGCAAATCTCAATAGTTTCACTGCTAATCAATAATTGCTCTGTGGAATACCACCTCAGAGTGGCCTAGCTTATGGCATTTATCCCTGCATCACCATCGCAGCCTGACATTGTCCTGTTTTCTAGCTACGATATAATGCCGCATTAAGTCAATATAGCAGTCTACTAACATTCAATAACTGGCACGAGCCATATGCACCAAACGATGCAGTATGCGGTAAGTTGGTATGTACGACTCGTAATATGGCGGTCAAAATAAAGCGGCAGTGTTTTATGCAGAAACGATAGTGAGAGCATGACTAGTCATGATACTAATGGTGTTCCTGGGCGTGACAACTCATCACAGATCCACAGGCAATGAATATGAACTATTATAAAGCCCCGTCGATCGTTGGACTTCCGGATGTATGCTGTGAATGCATTTAAAATAACGAGTCCCTTCAAACATGCGTATTTGTATAGCTGGATTTGATTATTTCTACACAATTCCTCCCCATGAAAACTGTGGCTCGATACGATACTTCAATTGAAGGCATTTATTGAATAAGGAATACACTTCAACATTGAAATATCATGTACACCCGGTACCCAACCACCGACAACAGAACAAGGAAACATGACTTGAAAATTCGACAAATACGAGACTAGGGAAAAGCGAGGAGGCATATGGCCTCACAATCGTGGTATTTCGACTGCAATTCATTAAATTCGTGAAAGGGGGATTGTGAGTTTTATTTTCAACACAGAACAGCGTTCCCGACAGGCGGTAAACAGTTACGCAAACATTTTTGCAATCGTCATCAGTCCGTTGACACCCTCGCCGAAACCATTGCTTCCTGAGCTGCCCAAACCGCCAAAGCCGCCACGGCTGCCTTGCCCAGCGTTGGCCAGATTCCCCATGAGTCCGCCAGGCAAGCGCAAGCCGACCATGCCAAGCAGTTTTTGCAAAATACCGCCCGTGATCAGAGGCATGATAACGAGCAAGAAGACTTTCATCGGATGGCGACGGGCATAATAGTAGATGTCCCTTAGCAAGCGCTTGATACGATGGATGATACGCTCGATGAAGCCGGACCGTGGACGAGCGCGCCGCGACGAGGACGATGTCGAGAAGAATGAGCTGCTGGACTTGTTTGTATGGCCACCAAGATTGAACAGTGACGGGGCCGAGTGCCTGCCACTGGAATGATGTGTGGAGTAGCCATGTGAGGATGACCGACGTGGGGAACGTTTGCGCACGAAGTAGCCTTTTGAAGAGCTGGAAGTTCCGTCAAACCAACCCATTTTCAGGCTCGATCTGGTCTTCTTCTTTTCCTTTCTGGTTCTGGTTTAGTTAGAAGGCTAGCAATGCCACAGCCTGTCCTGAAAGATACGACGGGCTCAGGAGCACATCAGATTGCGAAAAGATCCCTGGTTCTTGCACTGCAACAGTCCTATGTTGGGTCAAGCTATGCAAAGGCGGTCTGCCGCGAAGCCGCGAAGCTTTTAGAAAGCCTTTTTCGGAGGGCTCGGCGGTCGTAAAGGGGAGAGAGAAGGTGCCTGTCAAAACAGAATGCTGCTGCGTCTGATATCGGTGGCAGCTTAGCTATCGACAGCAACAACAATCATTCGAGGGAAACCGCTGTGGAGCGGCCCGTTTCAGGGTGGCTGGGGACGGTGGGGCGGCTGTAAAGCATGCCGCACTCATTGGCCGGCTCTCCCTCTGTCTCAGGGGTCGCTGACAGCCTCGAATTGCCGGGTATCACGTGACGTAGCCGGTTTAGAGTGGCTGTGCGGTGTGGCGCAACTGCATGTGATTGAGGTCGACGTCATTTAGGCAGGAAGGACTCCGAAATGTTCTCTTTGGTCAGTTATCTCTGCTGTTCGATTAGAATTTGCATTGCGACATCTATTGACTGTAGATAACACCGATGGCAGGTATGTTTCTAGTGACCTATTTCCGCGTTTTACCTTGAAGACCTGCTAATGTTATCTCAGACCAGGCTGACTATTGTGAGTGGCCACTTGAGAGATTGCATTTAACCCTCAGTTAACGGCTTTGCTAGACAAAGTCCTGGGTGTAGCCCCAACTGCTTCCCAGCAACAGATCCGCGACGCCTACAAAAGGTATAACCCCGCATAATTCATTTGATGCCTGTATTACCATCCTTACTTCCAAATCACAGAGCATCACTCAAGACTCATCCAGATCGAGTCCCCGCCGATTCTCCGGAAAGGCCTGCTCGTACCAAGAAGTTTCAGAGGGTAAATGACGCCTACTACACACTTTCGGATCCGGACCGACGCCGTGAATACGATAATGCCCGAAGGGATTATTTTGGTGATGAGAGTGAAGATGTAGAAGAGGAGGTCCCACGTGGAGCGGGTGCGTTTCCATGGTCGAATTTCGGCTTTGGTGGCACAGAGCGAGAACGCGAACGCCAAGAACGTGATTCTGAGCAGTTTGGCTCTATATTCGAAGAAATGCTTCGGGAAGAAGGAATGGCCAACGAGGAATCAGACGCTGAAGGTCGAAGACAATCAGTCCCAACCAAGAAGTTTTGGTCAGTCGTGGGGGCTATCAGCGGCGGTGCACTGGGCTTCATTGTTGCCAATGTACCCGGTGCACTCGCCGGTGCAGTGGCTGGAAATAGACTCGGTGCTGTTCGAGATGCTAAAGGAAAGAGTGTATACGACGTGTTTCTTGAACTGCCGCAGTCAGACCGTGCCAGACTGCTGAGCGAGCTAGCAGCTAAGGTATTCCAAACAACATTGGGAGGCTGAAATTTTGTCTTTTCTCTTCATTTATTAAGGTTGTCATTTTTGATTGATTACGATAGGGCGTTGATTTCTAGTGTGTGTGATTTGGCAGTATTTGCCCCGCGGACAGTGTCTGTGAATTACACTTCTGCCATCACTTGAGGCTAGCTGATATGAACCATAGCTAAAAAATGTAGATAATCAAGTTATAATGTGTTCCAGATCAATTTATCTGGTGCTTTATCAGCCATGGCTATCAACGATAAGGGATAAGAGAAGAGGCGTACGTACCCCTCACCGCCTCACCGCCTTCGTTTTGTCCGTTTGCATTTGTATACTTGTCTGGTCGTGATTCGACCTCGGCACCAATCTTCAATTCAGGGGGAGAACTAATTTAAACCTTTGTGCTTCTTATCCGTCTTGTTAATAGAGAATCAATCTCATAACGACTTCCTTTCCGCCTAGACAACCAACAATGGCCACCGCAGCAGCCAGTGTCTACCCCTCCTTGGAGAATCGTCCCATTAAGGAGACAATCTGTCTCTTTGATGTTGACGAGACTCTTACGCCCGCGCGCCAGGTGAGTAATGTTCAAAATCAAGGTTCAATGGTCATGAGCTTACTTGTCGTGATCTTCAGACTGCGTCCCCCGAAATGCAAGCGCTCCTCTCGCAGCTCCGCCATAAATGTGCAATTGGCTACGTTAGTGTTCTGGAATTTGTTAGAGATGACGCTGTTTTGACCAGTAATATCAGATCAGCGGTTCCGACTTTATTAAACAACAGGAACAGCTTGGTTCTTCGTCGGTGTCTGTTATTTCCCTATTCGACTTCTGCTTTGCGGAGAACGGTCTGAATGCGTTCCGTCTGGGGAAACCACTTGCAAGCACCAGCTTCATTACATGGCTCGGTGAAGAAAAATACCAAAACCTTGTGAACTTTGTTCTCAGGTATCTTGCGGATATTAGGTTGCCTAGGAAAAGAGGAACCTTCATTGAGTTCCGTAAGGGTATGATCAATATTAGCCCGGTGGGAAGGAATGCGACCATCGAGGAGAGAAACGAATTTGAAGCGTATGGCTCCATTTTCCATTCCATATATCGATTTAGAATACATGTTGCTGACAAGTTTAGCTACGACAATGTTCACAATATCAGGAAGACCTTGGTGGAGGCTCTGAAGAAAGAGTTCCCCGACTACGGGTTGACGTGAGTGAATGTCCTATTGACAATTTCTAGTACATATTTGGTGTACTGACTAAGAACATCTTTAGGTATTCCATCGGGGGCAAGATCTCTTTCGATGTCTTCCCCACTGGCTGGGACAAGACCTACTGCCTGCAACACCTCGAGGCAGAGAAGGCATCGTCTGGTATCGATTACAAACACATCCACTTCTTCGGGGATAAATGCATGCCCGGGGGCAATGACTACGAAATCTTCAGTGATAAGAGAACTATTGGTCACGCTGTCGAGAGCCCGGAGCACACGATGAAACTGCTGAAGGAGCTTTTCAAACTGTCGTGATCTGTTGACTTGACTACTTCTTACTGAAGGTCATGTATATTTGGAACTTGACCACTCAAAATATCGGTATACATCTGGAGTGCTTGTGTCTCCAGTTTCTATAGTAATATACAAGTGAAAAGCTGGTTACAAGTTATTTGCCGGGGCCTGGAGGTTTGTTTAATAATTGATTTACTAAAAGCTACATAATATAACATCATCAATAATACCACCCATTTCATTCCGAATATCAGTGTTCTGCATTGCGACTGAGTTGCCTGCTTTCAGACTCAAAACTCTTTGTCCCGATGCGGTTAGTTGGCTAACCACCGGATTAGACCGACCTGTCGGTTTAAACCGGTGCGTCATTTTCTCCTCCAAAGCAATACATCCCTGAGAAGGCCGTGTACTGCGTCCTCCTCAACAAAATATATTTCCAACATGGCACCATCGAAGCCAATCACCGAAACCCCTCGATTCCTCCTCCCACGTCTGACTTGGGTTGGTACACCCCGCGCGACTACCACCGCTCTCCAGGGTGTTCCGGCGAGAAGATCCCTGGAAGTACAAAACCGAGTCGATAAATTCAGGGCTCACAGCAGGAAACTCCATATCGCAGCAGAGCCTCCCCGTGGCTCTCATCTATCGTCATTCACACGATCGGTAATAAAACCGCAAACTTTCAACACCCCCGCCAATACCACCTGCACCAACCCCGTCAAGCATAATGGCGTTTATGTTGCCGCGTTCAGGCCCGCACGACGCGCTTTCCATGCATCTGCCGCCATGCGTCGCAGCCATCACTTTGATACCTTGAAGATTGTGCAGAGGCTTAGGAATGAAGGGTTCAGCGAGGAACAGTCGGTTGCACTGATGAAGGTCCTGAATGATGTGATCCAGGAGTCTATCCAAAACCTTACCAGGACTATGGTATTGAAAGAAGGTGAGTGAAATCCATAATCAACGGCACATTTATTCCAAGACTCTGACATATCTGTGATTGCTCTTCCAGACTCCGAACGTGCGACATATACACAAAAAGTGGACTTTGCAAAACTGCGCTCCGAGTTGCTCAACTCAGACTCCACCGAATCTCAACTCACTCGCTCATCACATGAGCGAATTGCCGCAGATCTAACGAAGATGAACTCACGACTACGTGATGAGATCGGGCGTACACAGGCGTCTGTTCGGTTGGATTTGAACCTGGAGAAAGGCAGGATCCGCGAGGAGGCGAACAGCCAAGATATGCGGATTAAGGAGACTGAGACGAGAATAGAGCAAGAGGTCGCTGGGCTTCGGGAGCGTGTGCAAGCAGTGAAGCAGTCGACTCTGCAATGGCTTGTGTGAGTTGAATCTACTTTCAATCATTTCCCCTTCTTCGTTGTGTCTATTTTCTAACTTGTGGATTAGGGGTGTTTGCACGGGTACCGCTGCTCTGATTGTCGGTGCTTGGCGCTTGTTGATGTGAGGATAGTGTAACGTTTAATGTCATTCTCTAGATATTTCCTTATTTTCGTTTCTTGTACAGAACTCTCCTGTGTACATTGGTTAATATTACCCACACAATGCATCGAACTAATAAGGCCTTTTAATTTTAAATAACGCACCGAGTAACTAGATATACTATACTATTTTACAATTCTTTTCCATTATACACTTATGTGCCAAGCTTAGTTCTTGCTGCGCTTACCGCGTTTTTTCGCAGCGCTTTTAGTAGATGTGGCTGTCGAAGTGACTTCGTCTTTGACCTCCTCATTGCCCTGCGCGGTGTCTGCATCTACGTCTTGTGAATCATCATCCTCTGACTTGGGACCACCGCCAGTGATTTTACTGACGGTCTTGTGGTAGATCCAAACCGGTAGGCGGAAGACAACTGTGTCGCGGAACTGTGGACGAGGAATCTCGTCGACATCAAGTAGAAACTCTTGTTTTTCGCCGTCCTCGGTCTCTTCTTCCAAGAAAACATTTCCAACGGAGTCGACGACAAGAACTTTCCCATTCTCTGCATAGACGCGTCTCTTGTTACCAACGGCACCTACAGTCTCGCTGGTTGGCGTGGCTGTCCCCGATCCAGCTTCTCGTCCGTTGGTCTTGACTCCCTTCTTGTTTTCCTTGCGATTCTCGCGATCCATCATGCGCTTCTGGCGGCGGTTCATCGCCACTGCCTGGGCCTCTTCTGGCTGACTTGGTGGTGGCGGCGGCGCATGGGTGGCAGCTGAGGGATCTAGGCCGGGGATACCACCCAGTCCCCTCTCGTCTCCCCACGCGGCCTTTCTAGCGTGACGAATGTAGCGGTGCATGAACTCCCGCTGGCGCTTCCACGACAGCACAAGAGCGGCGTAGTGACCAGCGCCGCCAAAGACAAGAAACAGACCTAGCAACACAGACCCAAGCCCCGGACGAAAGCGCGAATAGTAATACCCTGTTCCCTTCCATTTGGGGAAGCCATAATTGAGGAAATGGTCATAACGTTCGCGGGATGGACCACGTAGGATGTTTGCAGCGACGTTCAGCCGTGCTGCGCGATCATTCGCTTCTTTGACGGCATTCGAAATTTGGCGTTCGGAAGGCCCCTTGGACACGTGTACACCGGGCTTCTTGCCCTTGGTCTTGTCTCGTGGAGTTCGAGAGTTGTTTGCGATGAAGGAGCGTCTTACTTTGTCGGGGTGAAGTTGTTTGGCTTTTTTGCGATAGGCTTTGTTGATATCGTCCTGGTTTGCGGTCGCCTTGACACCGAGAAAATCTGTGGTAGGGTAAGTATATGGTGTTGTTGAATTGTTAGAAATGGACATGTCTCACCATAAAATGTCACATTTGCGCCTTCATGGGCCAGAATTTCGTCTCGAAGCTGGAAGATTTCGTGATCTGTGTGGATGGTCGAAGTTAGCAACTCGGTTTCTTGCCTTGTGCCTCAAAAGAGATATTAATAATGTTTGACTTGCCTTCTTTCGTCCAAGCTGCGGCCATCACCAGCAGCAGAGCCAGCACCAGGAATTGAAGCGTTGGGTGCCGCATTTTGAGGAGTATACGGAGTGTTGGCGGTGTTGTTGTGGAGGGAACGAGCTCAAATGATGGGATGATGTGACGGTGTCTGCGGATGTGATTAGTCCATTGGAGGTGTGCGGAAGCTTGCGCCTTCCACCTAGACCGAGATAGAAGAGTTGGGTGCCCGATTAGTCGATCGTGGCAGATAATTGATCGTAAAGAATAATAATATTCTTTTGATCGAGCTGCAGAAGTGATCTGTCCAGCAGACTCCCGCTTCCTGTTGATTGGGCCGTCGACTTGGTAATCACGTGGACCAATCATATCGGCTGCATTTTCCTCTTCACCATTATTATTCATCATCTCTATCATTCTGATTCATTCTCGGTTTAAAAAAAATAGGATCATATTGTAGATCTAAGTATTATAAAGTCCGTCAAAAGTGATATAGCAGCTAATCTTATATTTATAATATTATGAGATACAATCTATCTATATTATCTGCTATAGGTACTGCACATTGGTGGATAACCCAAGGCTTAACATTAGGTAAGCGACCACTTATTGGCCCATTAACCTCTGATACGATCTGATTGAGGAACGTAATTGCACGTGACTGAACAGCTATTCCTCTCCCGGTTAATACAGGGCTAGATACCCTACTTTTCATCCGTAGGTGGAATAGCTCTGCCGTCACGTGCATCATACATTGAAATTTGACATCCTCCGTATCAGGATTAGTTGCTTTGCTCTAAATTGTACGTATCGGATTATTTCTTGATTATTAAAATATTACGAGATGTAGCACACCGCCAACTCAGGTCTAGGACAATGAAATAACAAGTCATTGAAAAGACACGTCAGTCCACTAGCACTGCAGCGTATGCATTCGATGTGGATCCGGAGCAAAAGTTGGGCTGCTTTCGAATTCACACTGTGGAGGTATATAGTAGTATTCTGTTCCCTCCGGATTCGTCATTGCAAGTCACAAATTACAAGTGCAACAGTCTTCTTGTTACTATTAATATGACCTGGGGAGCCTGAGCCCTAAGGCGAAAAGTAATTTGGCACGACTGGATTGGCTTGCGTAATTGGCCGAGCCCCTGGCCGCCGCTGCCAATCGCGCCTGCCTGGTCTGCCTGGTTCGCCGCTACCCCCGGCCTTTTTTTGGTTGTCTTCATCTGCCATCAGCACCGTCCTCAGTTGCTTCGTCTGCAGTCACTTCCTCCTCGATTACTTGTTCAACTTATAATTTTTAATAACTCATCTTTCGTTCTCGGTACTATCCTGTCGACATGGCTCCCCTTCAATTCCCCGTCGAGATGATCACCTCGCGCTTCAGCGACCGCTTCAACAGCATCCGTTCGACCTCGATGAGCTCTCGTTTCGCCAGCCTGAAGCCGATTTCTGAGTTCTTCGACTTGAAGCGTCTGTCCAAACCCGCTGATTTCGGCGAGGTGCAAAGCCGGGTCAACTACAATCTTTCCTACTTCTCGAGCAACTATGCCTTGGTCTTTGTCATGCTCAGCATCTACAGCCTTCTCACCAACCCCGTTCTCCTCTTCGTGATCATCCTGGTCACAGTGGGTCTCTATGGCATTGGCAAGCTCGAGGGTCGTGACCTCGACGTGGGTGTTTTCCGAGCCACCACCTCCCAGCTCTACACTGGTCTGCTTGTGATTGCTATTCCCCTTGGTCTTTACGCGTCGCCCTTTGCCAGCCTGATGTGGCTCATTGGCGCTACTGGCGTGACTGTCATTGGTCACGCCGCTTTTATGGAAAAACCCATCGAGAATGCTTTTTCCGAGGAGGCGGTCTAAGTGGTCGGCCGCGAACTCCTTACGATATGCCCCGATGGGGAAGACCACCAGGGGTGCGAATGGGAAATCAGGCTCGACGGCGAGCTACTCAGTGGGAGGATTTCGATGGTGTACGCTTTGAGGAGATTGATGTGGAGGATGATGATGGTGGGGTAAACTTGGCAGAGTCTCAGTTCAATAATTTACAGCGATATGGGAGTAGTGGGAAGGCGAGTGCACGCGAGTTGCGACTTAGAAGCAATGGATATGACTACGAAAGTGAGGGTTCTGGTGGAGAGGACTACGATTTGAATGATGATGCAGACAGTACCGTTGCCTTTGCAGTGCAATTGGCTATGCGAGAGAAAGAGGATAAACTGGTAGAGAAAGCCCTGGATCGCATTAGACGGGCTCAGATGCTAGGCAAGAAAAATGTTAAGCTGTCTCAAGAAGAGCGGGCTGCCCTGGAACGGCGACGCAACCAGGCACCCAACAAAAATTCCTCCAGCTCAAAAACAACGGGGTTTATTCGTTCTGTGCCTGATGGTAAGCGGCGCAAAAGTGGAGAGCCATCCAAAAATTCGACACAGGCCGACCGACGTCGAAGCTCCCATGAGCAATACTTGCTCGATGAACCTCCTACGGGATTTCCTAAATCGCCAACAAGTGGTTTTCATGCATCCAACAACCGTCCGTCAAGCTCGTCGTCCCGTCCACGAACGCCTACTATGCAATCTCTACGCCCGCAACCTGCTGGCTCGCCTCTTAACTTGCATCAACCTGCTTATTCTCAACGTTTCCCGCCTGACCGTGAGCCTCTCCCACTGACCTCTTCACGCGACATGCCTTACGTCCGAGCCCTGCCTGATGATCCACGATGGGCACCACGTCAGCGGTCATCGTCTAACACAGCGCCCTATCCTGTTGAGGGCTACATGTACACCCAAACCTACATGATGGGGCCCGCTGATCCACGATTAAACTACCAAGGCCGCCAGTATGCTACAGGCATGCCGTACAACGTGTCTGCTTATCCGCCGATATCTGAGGAGCCACAGCGCGGCCCTTCGACTCGTCCTGTCCGCCAAGAATCCGCCGAGGAAGAATCAAGTAGTGAGGCCGAGTCCGAGGAGAGTGACTACAACGAAGATGAAGATGAAGACGACGAGGAGCAGGGCTTGCAAGTGGAGGTCGTGGAGCAGCCACCGATTCGTAACTACTCCACGCGGTCTACAGCCCCCCCTTCTGCACCCAACCGCTCACGTCGCCGGAATGGCCGCTGATCGCAGCACCTGATTTCCTACAGAATACCCTTTTCGTTTACAAAGTGCTTGGTCTTTTTCTCGCGTTGTTAGATTATGTTATCCCTATTTTTCAAAAGGGTTTAGATCAACCTCATCGAGGCTATTTGGTCAAGGATTCGCACAGGAGTTTTTAGATGGTGGGATTATATAATTAATTCCTTTCTCTTCCAAACAGTAATTCCCATTTCTCATCTGTACGACAAAGTAACATAATTTAATTTCAGAGGTGAGTGCTGCTCCCAACACAAGCGTACCTATCGTAGATCCTTTCAACTGGGCGTGGCTTTGCGCCTGCCGTTCGGATTCCACGGCAGCCTGGCGCCACGTCAACTTCAGAAAAGCATATTAATCTTCTGTCACCCAAGCCTATTTTTGATTGCTCAGCACAGTGTGCAAGCTGCGGAGGACCGGAATGGCTGGCGCCACAGACGATGACGTCGTTTAGCCGGTGGATCCTGGAGGTCGCCAGTGAAGTCATGGCCATCAGCGAAAACAGGACTTATTCCAGCTCTCAATGTTTTATAATAACTGATCCCGGGACTGTCCATCATTTTGCATGCGTTTGCATTAATTTATACTGGTAAACATTAGCTGTTCGTTTTCGACGGCTCTGTGGTTCTGGGTCGCCCACACTCGCACTCGCACTCGCATTGCGCCATAGGTACTGGTGCTTCACGGCGCGACTAGATTTTGGATTATCGTCAATTATTAGGCAATCGCAATAATGTGGATCGTGTCGTTTTGGATGCTCCCGGTCATATCGGCCTGCGTGTGGGTAGCAATGCTCGTCGCGATGTTATCGACATGGGCCGTGGAAGGGAAACCACACTACAGCGAGGAATCAATTGGAGAGACCATCCCGTAAGCTGTTCCGTGCGCACATGTGTACGCATTTCTGTCAACTAACATGTATTCCTTGATAGGTACATCTCAGACATTGGTGCGCGCGGCCTCAAACCTCTTTTTATCGCAATGGGCGCAGTCTCTGTGGTCGTGTTCGATATTGCCCTGCTATCCGAGCGCTGGTTACGACATGCCGGCCGGTTGGTAAGGAACAAGGGCAGGTTCGACAAGATATGCTCGGTTCTTTCTCTTATCTGCGCCGTGGTAGGTGCGGCTGGGCTCATCCTACTCACAATCTTCGATACCGTTCGTCACCCACATCTTCACCGTATCTTTCTGGGTCTTTTCATGTAAGAAATTCTCGTCTGGCAAAGATAGTGTGTATCACTGACGCGGTCACAGTGGCGGATACCTAGTCAGCGCACTCTTCCTCTGCCTAGAATACCTACGCCTCGGCCTTTCTTACCGCCAACAACACGTCGTGCTCATTGTCAGCTTTTGGATCAAAATCAGCTTCGTGGTCGTGGAGCTGGCTCTGGCGATCGCTTTTGGTGTATTAGATAAGTCTTCGCATCGGCAGAATTCCGCTGCAGTCATTGAATGGGGTATGTTGCTGGTGTTTTTTGAAGGTGTCTTTGACTGACGAATCCTAGTTATTGCGTTTATTTTCACATTCTATGTACTCTCATTCATCGTCGACTTGCTGCCTTCGGTGCGCACCCGCCATCGTATCCCGCAGGGAGAAAAGGCCATCCAGATGGCTAGCGCAAGGCCGAGTACGAGCTCTGGCGCTGCTAATGGTAATATCACCTACGAGCAGCCACTCACCACAAACTCAATGGGCGACAGAGCCGATACATATCGCGGTCAAGTGGTGAGCGGAAGGCATGGCCCGTATCGAACTGAAGTGGTATGACGTGAACTAATAAATCTTTAATCTTATTTCCCCTCGTCACCGTCATTTCACTTTATGATTACGACTTGTTCGTCTAGGTCTTGCATTTAGTTCTCTTGCTATACACTCATATTTGCTGTGGTTTCGTCTGCATTTCAGCGTATATATGCCTGTATGATATGGAGGGATATGTATAACATCAATAATATCAATTAGTCAGTAATAAGTATATATTATAATAGTATTATAAGCATACCCAACAATTCAGCAATCCAGAAGAATAATTAGCTTTTATCCAGGGAGGGCTAGAGGCGGGCTCTTAGGGTTAATAGGGTAATATGGGCGGAATCAGCGATTGCGTGCTTCATCCGCAACTTCCAGTCATGTCTCGTCTTTCCGACTGGGCCATCTTTATGGAGTTAGTCAAGCATGTAAAAATAATGCTTGATGGTTCCATTGGTGTTATATAAGAGAGCATGAATCGCAAACGTGCGTCGGCAAACATTACTGCCAATTAATCAATGCTAGAAGTCAATGCTTCAAGATGCTGTTGTCTCGTGAGATTTTACTTTTAACCACCGCCTTGCTGCCATCCGCACTTGCAGACTGGCAATATCTATCACGTCCAGATCTTTCTCCCCCAAGATTGAACATCACTATTCCAGCAACCGCCGCGGTCGACGAGGGCTACCTTTTTGTTGCCCCGTATTCTGGGTTTGACCAGGGCAGCGTTGGCCCAGATCAGCCGGGAGCTTATATATTCCGCGACAACGGAGACCTGGTTTGGTCTGGTTATGGTTATCTTGCTGGCTGGATTGCCGATTTTGCCCCAACTGTAGTTGATGGCCAATCGGCCATTGCCGCTTTCCAGGGTATCTTAGATGCAAGACATGGCCGTATGTACGGCAACCATGCTGTTCTGAACAGGCATTATGAGACCGTGCAGGTTGTGGGCACTGCATCCCACCGTCTGGCTTCCTGCCATGAATTTCGGGTGGTGGATGGCAAGTCTGTCTTGATTGAAACCCCAGTTGCGCAACCTGCAGACCTTACTGCATACGGAGCCGAGGAAGACCAGAGGTGGATTGTGAGTAATGGTTTTCAAGGTCAGTTTGAAGTTCCCACTTTTCTATTACGGTGGTAAAAAGTTGCGGAAAGCTGTGTTGGGAGCCTATACTAAACCCTGAACACATTCTAGAAATCGATATTCAGACTGGAGAATTGATATTTGAATGGTATAGCACTGACCATGTTACGCCGAGATGTAAGAATTGAAATTGATCGTTTCACCACAATAGATATACACGCTCAGGGTTACTGACTGTTCAACCTCAGACAGCAAATTACCCTTGGAGGGTGATGGAAGTTTCAGTGCTCGAACCTCTGCTGATGCATGGAACTATTTTCATATCAACAGCGTTGATAAAGACGACGAGAATAACTACCTCATCTCTGCTCGGAACTATGCCACTATCTTTAAAATCAACGGCACTGATGGCGAAATTATCTGGCGATTGGGAGGCACTCACGGATCCGATTTTGAGATTCCTCGCGATGTCGAGTTTGCCTATCAACACGATGCTCGGTTCCGCTATCGGTCGCCCGATGGCTCAATTGAGCGGATTTCGTTCTTTGATAATGCGGCCCATTCGGCTGGCAGACGCATCAATCCATTCTCTAGAGCACGATACGTCGAGTTGAATCATACTGCTGGTACAGCCCGAGCTATCAACACCTTCCGGCCTCCTGACGATTTGGTGGCGTACTCCCAAGGAAATGCTCAGCACCTGCCAAACGGCAACGTATTTGTCAACTGGGGTCAAGCTGGTGCTGTTACGGAGTACAATGAGGAAGGAAAGGTTATTTTCCACGCTTATCTGGATGCCTATCCTAGTAAGAATGTTCAGAACTATCGTGGATTTCGCTTTCCCTGGATAGGAATTCCGAAAGAGGAACCCGCAGTTCTCGCCCTCGGTGATCGCAGTGGCCAGATATCAGTCTATGTGTCATGGAATGGCGATACAGAGACAGCATTTTGGTATTTCTACCTTGTGGATGGAAGAAGTGGAGCAAAGTTAGATTACTTGGGAAAGCAGAGAAGACTAAGCTTTGAAACCACATTCGAGGCCACCTTAAGTCAAACCATGACAGCAAACTTAGCTGATGTACACATCATTGTCGAGGCTCACGATATCAATGGTCACATCGGTGGCCGTAGTAGGCTTACGAAATTGACCGACAAAGCACCATACAGTCATTCTTCTGCATCTACTTCTCACGGCTCGGACAAATTCTGGTCCGAGCTTCAGCAGCAGAGATTTGACTTGTAAATAAGAACAGTAACTAGAGGATATTACTGTGGAGCACATAAACCGAGAATAAACCCGAGATAGTTAGAAACCGAGAATACTGTTGGAAAAACACGCACTGCTTCACTATGGGAAAGTAATTTCTTAGAGATTGAGCGTGACAATACAGTAGGATGACAAAGTTCAAATAGAGCATGACAGCCGTAACCCTAACGCTAAGCGATGAAACAAAAAGCTTTGAAACTCTATATAATATAGATTTCTTTTCCATGTTTAGTTAATTGAATAAGTGCGACACTGATGTCATTCAATATTGCCCAGTCATTCTCACATGTGCAGAATCAATTGATACCTACAGAAGTTTTTTCATAATACTATTTGTATATATATGTGTTTAATGACTATGTGGTATAGTACTATAGAGGAATTTGGGTAATAGAATTCCCGACGGTCAAGTGAGTATGATATAAGAAGACCGAATAATATCTAAGGAAATTACGTAGTTATAGCAAAAGCTGAAAACCAAGTCTCTCCTTGATCATCGCAGAAACCCTATTCGCCGCGCTTCTCTACCATCCTAATGAAATAGGAGAAAAATGCATGGTTCTTAGGGGCCCGTAATGGTACCATGATTGCGCCCCCCCATCCAAGATTGAAATTCTTACCAGGAAAGTGACCGATATCCTGTGCCATACACAGCACTTTTAAGATCCTCGTAGCCGTAGCGCGGACAGTGGCAACGGAACGCTCTTGCATCGCCGTGGAGTGAATGTGTCATTTCTATACTGAACAGAATCATCTAGAACGGCATTGACGGTCCTAAGTGCGGTCCCATACGTCCTGGTTCTATTAGCAATGGACGCTGCCGACCCTGTCGTCCTAGCTACATATGCACATGTAATGGCATCACAGACTGCATAGACCGGGGATTCGTGTTGGATATGAGACGTGAAATGGTTGTGAACATGTTGCTATCCATGCTAGTATCCACAAGCCCGACCGAGAACTTGTCAAGGACCAATGGAATCACCTAGTGGCTCTACACTAGGGAGAGTTCGAAAATTATCTGGACAGAGGAAATGCGGTCCACTTTGGCCGTTGATGGGTCGTGGTAGCGTATTTTCCACGGCGACGCCTCGTGTTCGGTCGAAACGAGGAAATGTGAGCAAAGCGAAAGCGCATGCTGACCTCATCTCGATAGCCAGAGCAAGACTGCCCTACTCTTAGCCATTGAGCCGTAGGAGGAACGTGCAAGATTACACTACAACTCGATTGGGTGTGGATATCATGCATTCGCATATTCCCGGAATACCTTGATGCGTCGCTGTCGACGAAAATGGCAATCTCGGCTGTATTGACCGGTGTTCGGCATTATTATGTGTTTGGCTTTGACTATTGTGGTAAGGATGATGTGTTAAAATCGCCCTCTGGAAGAAGGCTCTGGAGTTGAGTTGATCATGTCAGCAAAGTTCAGCTTGGCCCCTTTAGGGAAGTGATTCGTGCAGCCAATGGCAGCTGCAGCCACGATCTCCAGTTCATACATGTCGCTCGCTCACGATTATATAAATGCCAGCATCTGGACAAGGTCTCTACCTCAGTACACATAACTTGTTGCAATCACAAAATTGATCTCGTCCATTATGTCACCTCTGCCAGTCATTGCCTGTGGCACCGCCGACCCGCAGGTTTTCAACGCTGTTAAACCTCTTTACTTACCCGAATACGAAAGTAGGGGAGCCAATGCAATCAGCCCTTTCTTCAAACTAACATCATCTACAGTTATACATAATGTCACCAGCAGCGCCTCCGGAGCAGTCGAAATACCCTTCGTGTTGCAAGGGCAGACCCCTCCCATTGCTGAGGAGCCCAACCGCGGCACCAAGGACTATTCCAAGCCTCCCGTAGCTGTGTTTGCAGGGGCTTTATACGGCGATAGGCAAATCGACGAGATGCGCGAGGCATGTCAAGGCCTCAGTTCTGTGCCTTGGTTAAAGATGGATATGACCGTGCCGAGGCCGCCGCTGGGACCTGGGTATGCGGATCATGTCGTGCAGAGAATTAAGGAGTGCATGAAGAAGATCGAAGCTGAGGGCAAGCTGAACCAAGATGGCGTGTGGCTTTATTAAAAGAGAGACAACCAACGCGTTACATGTATATAGTGAGCCTTAGGCACCCCGCCACTAACTTCCTAAATTGATGTGCCTGGAGATACACAACTCCCACGGGTTTCGTTAAAGGCCTACAGCCTGAAAAACTTGACTGAAGTAAACTTGGGATCCAACCAGGCCAATACTACTCTTATTTAATTTATAATTTGAAACAATAAAAAATATGTCTTTTTAATCTCTTTAACTACAATAGTTATTATTATTTTATAAATATAGAGAGTAGCAAGGTTGTAATTAAAAGTAAAATCTTATGAGATAACAGTATCTTGAAGTATTGACTTTTGGAGGTAACAGGAGCATTGATTAATGGTTATCTTGCTGGTGTTGTCAGAGACTCTGATTAGGACAGTGTATATAGAAACATGGTCCGCAATAAAGCCAGTGCATCAGGCGTTAATGGAGAATTAGAACATACTCCTTAGTCGGGACGACTGTGTTGGTACTTCTTTCACTAGTGCGCTCTGATATATTCGAAGGGTAAAACAGGATTCTGATCTACTCCAGTAATCAAATTCATATCCAGAACATTTGCCTTGGTAGACAATAACACAGTAACAACCACAAGACGCACATGTAGTGATTAAAGTAACTGTTTTAATCAGGTATAGAATACTAACAGAGTATATTAAGCGGTAACTGAATTATAGTTAGTCAAAGTACAGACACAGATATTCAATAGCAAGAAGAAAATATCTAGAAGCTTTAAAGTCTTACAAAATACTCATTAAGATATTTCGACTGGGAACAGATTGATACTCCAAATCAGGGTTTATAAGACTACATGGGAATCTCTAACACCAAGATTTTGAAGCTGAGGAGTCTGGATTCGCATATTCGCATAGTTTTGGTTTTTTTCTTCCTTTTCTCCTTTTGGAAAAGGTGCTTATATCCCATATCCTTGGAGTCTATCACACATAGCACTGCCGTCTTATTAGTGAATTCTTAATATCAAAGGTCGTGATAGATTAAAATTTAAATGTTTCCTTTCTGCTAACTGAATAAAGGTCCGGCATTTGCTGTCAGGTCTGTAACATACTGTCAGTAAGACTGTAACGAAAGCAGTGACGTCAGCTACTGGTAGGCTAGGGTTGGAGACTGCACATGTTACACCATATATTGGTGTTGGTTGCTTTGGTGAAATTAAATCGCCAACCTTATATTGTCACAAATGCTATGTATTTGAGGAAAGGAAAGCCCCATCGCTAGTGAGGCATAGCCCATGTGGTGAAATAGAGTCATATGTTATCTTACATCACAGTATACAAGACAAATGTGAAAGTGAAATCTCTAACTGGTATTCTCAGCTGAGCCTGTGTCTGCGTCTCCACTCTCCAGGGACTCCGGATCTGATGTGCCTGGCTGGTTCAGAGGTTTTCACTGCACGCCTGGACTTTGAAGTAGATGGTGATGTTCTCATGCGGTGCGTTGGTTTGACAGACGTATGAAACTTTGCGGCAAGTGATGAAGTTTGTGTTATGATTGAAGTAGTTACACTTTGAACTTGTATATCGCTAGAAAGCTGGTTTTTGCCCCCGGAACCAGGTTGGATTTGCCCCCGAAGAATGTTATTGCAGGTTTTTGTATTAATGACCGCTGCTGTCACCACGCCATTGCCGTCAGTCGTCAGCGTAACTGGATTATCAACTCCAAAGATGGTCGTGCAACCGAGGGCCGGAAGAGGGCCAAAGGCAGCAGCAAAACGTTGGGCTAAGAAGGTGTACAGGTTAGTGGCAACCGCAGTCATCGGGCTAGCTTTGTTCGCAAAGTTATCCTGATTGTTGGCTATAAAAACTCCAGATGCCGCAAAGTTCTTGCAATATGTTGTACCAGATGCATTTGCCATATTATTCGCCAGTGGCTGACCAACTCCGGCACGGTACAGATTGGTTTTCTGTAGAGACTGGGTAATCATGCCGTTATTATTAATATACGCAAAGTCGTCGTTAAGGGGCACAAGAGCTGGGCCGTTACGTGGTGGAAAAGAGTTAGCCTGTAACTCATTGGTGGCAAGTGAGCTTGAGATGCCACCCGGTGCTGTTGGAGATTGGACTTGCCAAGGGCTACAACCCAATGCCGGTGCGATGAAATCATTGATCAAGGCGTTGTCAGAGCCATTGCTGAGAACCTCAGCGTCAGGATTAGCTTTATTGTTTTCAGCTGTATTTTGTGCTAGCACTTTGCCGTTGATCAGTAGATAAGTGGTATCCACGTTGTCAGACTGGTCCATATCCACCACTCGAAAGTCGCGAGTAGTAGGGCATTGAGTACCATCGGCAGCTTGACCCGGAGAAGGGACCCCAATGCTCCCAGCTGCAGCCTCCACTGTCTATACAAATACGGTCAGATGGTGAAAGAAATGGGGTTAGCTGGGAGATAGGTGGGCTACAAGTGTAGGTTTTGGAATTGGACATGTACTAGCTACAGAGAGCTAGACGTACCTTCATAAAGACATCGCCGTTGCAGTGAGCAAACTAAGCATACCAATTAGCAATAATAGGAAAGAAAGAAGAAAAGTCTCAGCTGGAAACTTTCTCTTTGTCGAATGGAGGGTGGTATAGGCACTGACCTGACCAAAAATGGAATTCTCAAGACCATTGACGCAATTATTGGTAGCCCCCGTCAGTGTGAGTGTTAATGCATTACTTCCAAACCAAATTCCCACCGTTGCGCCGGAAGCAACAGTGGGTTTAATGGGTTGAATGTAATCTGTTCCTTGGACGGATCCTTCATTTACCACGAGTGGATGATAGACAGAGAGCTGGTGGTTTGCTGGGTTGTAAATAACTGCCTCGACAAAGGATCCCTCGTTTTCGAAATCAATTTGGTTACATCCAGAGACAACGTACGGCGTCGCTAGACCTTTGGCTGTCAGTGGGTTTGGAGGGACGGTGAGAATGCAGTTCTGCGCCTGCGTGGACCAGCAAATGGCGAGGAATAAGACACAAGCCTTAGGTGATATTGAAGGAGCGAAAACCATGTCGAGAGCCAAGTAGTAAAGAATGAATTGATGTATGGAAGTTCTATATCGGGTAATTTAAAGAAAAAGAAGGACAGATATAGCTACCATAGATCCGAAATAATAGGAATCCCTTTCTGGTTTTTGGTGGTCCGCAATCCATTGCTGCAACCGACTGTATTTATCTGGACTTCGGTGCAACTGCCTGGGGGTTGTTTTCAGGAAGGTGAGATATGAGAGGAGTTAATACTGCTACAGATCAGTTTCACATTGGCTGGTACGATAAAAAGTTCTCGAGTCTAATTTCATCTCACGATCACGGAAGAGAATGGCGTAGGTTGGCGAAACCGTAGAGTATATGAACCAGAGTGTTATTTATCCATATCATTCTAGTCAGGGCGCTAAGATCTTTGATTGGTCATAGGATATATTCCGATACGATATCATGGCAATATGATAGTCGGCATTTGGTAGGTTTGTGCACGGCCATACCTGCTTGAGAAGCTATGGCTAATAGTGCGACTCTGACTCGGACATCAAACCCTTATTCTGAAACCGCACGGCCACCCTGCCGAAAATGACTGTCTCAGTTCTCGCCTATTATTGCTGGAAAAGAGCATATAATAAATTTATCTCTAACTCTGATTCAGTCGGAAGTACGGGTTGATTGAGATATATCGCATTTTGCCGAATATTGAATGGGTTGGTATTGAAATTGCGACAATAAAATTCAATGACATTTGTTAAAGCGCGAGCATATGGACAAGCCGAAAAGTAGCTACACTGCCAAAGAGAAAAAAATTGCATGACAGTTCTATGAGACTAGAGTTAATGAATCTTTTCAATCACATTACACTTGCAATCTCCCTGCTTACCTTAGAGGGACATACGTAAACGGATATCTCGGCTGATTTTCAAACTATACTTGTATCAACTTCATAGAGGATATTATCGGAAAGTCAGGATTTTGCTGTATTGGAACATTATAAATCCAATACAACGATGAATTATGCCTTCCTCTTTATTTATTTATTTTTTTTGAGATATTTTCCAACCAAAACAAAAGAAAAGGGAAAAAGAACCAAAAAGGAATGCATAAGCACAGTTCTACATATACGTGTGAAAAGCACCTGATTTTGAAAGAGTAAATATATTACATTAAGATAGCGGTATTGACTGAGCAGATTAATATCCTAAAACCCTTCAAATCTTAACGTAATCGACTTCAACATTGCTGCCGCTATGATGAGCCTCGGAAGCTGTCCATTATCTTGCCTGATATTACATATCGTAGCTTTGGTTGTATCAACTGCAACTGCAAATACACTGGTGAATTGCACAGACCCAAATTCTGCAAAAGGAACAAAGCCACCACTGTCAAATCCTCAACAATCCATTCTGCCCTACCATTGCAAATAGTTTTCTCCTGCTGAAAATCTCGATATGGGCCTCGTCTTAAAGTTATAAAGTGTGCACAATGACGAAGTAACAGAAAGCAGCTAAAAGGCCTTATGTAAAATAAGCAACATACTAATCATTTATTCCGGGCGGAAGTAGAAGATCGTTATTTGATAGCGATGATGCTCCGGCAATGAGCGATGTCGTGATCGCGATCCCCGCCGGCTTGTCTGACAAACTGATAACATGCCCCTCGATTGTGAACGTCGCATTTGTCATCATTGTGAACATACATAAATTCAAGTCGGCAGCGTCTGATCCAGCCACTATGGACGACTATTGTCTTTTTCATATTTTAAGATATACAACGCAACCGTAGATCGAGTATGTCGGAGCCCAAGTTGCATCTGACCGCATTCATGCGGCCAGTGAGTCTGCACACTGGCGCCTGGAGATACCCAGGCGCCTATCCAGACGCAAACTTTAACTTCGAGCATCTGAAGTCGTTTATCCAGAAACTCGAGGCTGCCAAGTTCGATGCGTTCTTCATGGCCGACCACCTGGCGGTTCTCAACATGCCAATCGAAGCTCTCAAGCGCAGTCACACTGTGACTTCATTTGAACCTTTCACTCTATTGTCAGCACTGTCTGTCGTCACTGAAAAGATTGGACTCGCTGCTACAGCTTCTACAACTTACGACGAGCCGTATCATATCGCCCGGCGATTTGCGTCGTTGGATCATATCAGCAACGGACGTGCTGCGTGGAACATCGTCACCACAGGGAACCCCGAAGCATCAAAAAACTTCGGCAAAGATGATCATCTAGAACATGACCAAAGGTACAAACGTGCGAGAGAGTTTTATGATGTTGTTACTGGGTTATGGGACAGCTTTGCCGATGATGCCTTTATTCGTGATCAGCAGACCGGAATCTATTTTGATCCAGAGAAATTACATACTCTCAATCATGAGGGTGATGATCTGAAGGTTCGAGGTCCCTTGAACATTGCACGACCTGTTCAAGGCTGGCCTGTCATTGTACAGGCTGGCCAGTCAGAACCAGGTAGACAATTAGCTGCCGAAACCGCCGAGGTTGTATTCTGTGCGCCAGGAAACATCAACGCCGCAAAGGAGTTATACGCAGATCTAAAGAAACGTGTCGTTGCTGCTGGACGTGACCCTAATCATTTGAAAATCCTTCCAGCAGCTTTGTTCGTAATCGGGGACACTGTAGAGGAGGCAAAGGCCAAACGTCTATCCCTAGATAGCCTCGTTCATTACGACAGCTCCATAGCATCGTTATCATCAGCTCTTGGAACTGATGTATCGGGGCTCGATCCTGATGGGCCCCTTCCCGCAGATATACCGGAAACTAACGCCTCCAAAACGAGTCGTGCATCGCTTATCAAGCTCGCCGAGCAGGAGAATTTGACAGTTCGACAGCTTGCCCAACGATCTGGTGGGTACGGAGGACTCGCCTTTGTCGGGACACCGAAAACTATCGCCGATGAATTGGAAACTTGGCTTCGTGAAAATGCCGCCGACGGTTTCACAGTGACGTTCCCATTCGTTCCACAGGGTATAGACGATGTTACGCAGCGATTAATACCTGAATTGCAGAGTCGAGGATTGTTCCGTCGCGACTACGAAGGAACGACCTTGAGAGAGCATCTTGGTCTCCCTCGACCAAATAATAAATTTTTCGCGTGACATTAGCCGGTCCTCGCTCGGATACTCTGGTCCTAGCCTACTCCAATTGACAGACTAGAGTGTCATATGTCAGTTTTACTAGCAGCTCTAACGAAATCAAAGATAGATTGGCAAGGCTTCTGACATCGCGTTGGCCTTTATGTTTTATCGACGAGACGTCAGCAAGATTTGTTTGGCTAATGTGAAAAGTAGAAAGTCGGTTGGGATGCTTGTAGAATGTGGAACGCTTGATTACAAGTTGATAAAGTCAAAACCGGCTTGGCTTATACATGATGCAGAAATATTTCGATGTCAATCACGGGCCGCATTTCATTCAGGATAGGATATGTTAAAATACATGTATATCTGTAAAGATTGTTATAGCAAAGTGTACAAACATGTTTTTATCTCAAATAAAGCTCCAATTCCTTCCTAAAAAGGCGTCTTGCGTATCAAGGCAAAGGGTAGATTTGCACCAATAGCCTCAGCAGCCTCTAATCCACTGCGCGCACATGCTTCGAGCAAAGGTAACCCGGCAGAAGCGTAGCCTCCTGCCAAGTAAACGTTTCCATCTCCATTTTTCCAGCCATTGGTTGAAAGTTTAGCCCCTTCTCCAAAGACGGATAGAAGTATGCGATGTGAATCAGGGGTTGGAAGTGGACGAGCAAGCGTGACTATATGTAGTGGTAACGCTCCACCTTGATCTTCAACGTCGTTATTCATCTCTGCGGATACCGTAACCGATACGCCTGATGGGTGAAGATGGACCGAGTGTGTGATATCAATCTGTTGAGGATTCTTCTCGGTATTCAATATGAGAATTTCACTAGGCTTGGTTTTTTGCGCCATGTAAGTTTCTGTTTCCGTCTGCAGATGAACGGAAACTCGCACTAGGCGACTTCTCAGTTGTTTGGTGATGGATGAACTAGCCTCGTGGATTTTACTTGAGACCGCGGAGTTGGTAGCAAGAATAACATGATCAAATTCTGACTCCATGGTAGAGTGTTTGTCAAGGTGGCGATACTGAACAATAACTTTGCCGTATTCTTGTGATTTTACTGACACCACTTCACTCCGAAACCTTTTCTCAACATTTTCTGTCAGTTGGTCTTGCAACAGGCCCATGTCAGGAACAGTTTGATGTTGTGCCGCAAATGTTTCCTTTCTATAGTTCAGGATATAAGCAGCTGGGAAGAGTCGTAGATCATCGTGGCTGCATGTTGCAACAGATGAATATAGAGGCAGCAGATACTTTCCAAGAAATACATCAGGGAGCCAAATGCGATGGATATATTCCTCCAAAGTCTCTGTTTTGGTATGATTGGTATCCAGACTGGCAATGTAGGGAGATATCCAAAAGCATGCAAACGTAAACCAGATGTAGCAAAGAAATGTAAATATGTTGAGCAGAAGCCCATTCTTGAGACAAGGGATGACTTTATGGAAATTAGAAAAGAATTGAAAGTATTGCCGCGAGTCTCTCATAAAAAGAAAATGAAAACGATGTATCTGCGTTTTGATATGAAGATGGTTCAGCACTTGAAAGAAGTTGGCATAATATTTCCCGGAAAATGTTCGCATTGGAATGCTGACTACATCGCCTTCATGTCGATATGAATGACCGTTCAGAGTAAGATGATTTTCCTAAACATTTATATCAGTTTCCTTTGCTTTATATTATTTATATCAAACGACGCATACTTTCTCGAAGAGTATAACACAGAAGCCATCATTCTGCAGCGCCCATGCAGCAAAGGCACCCGCAGGGCCACTCCCAATGATGGCTACGGTTTTTTGTATAGATTTACTACATTCCATGACCATATAGCTGCGCTATACATTTACTGCTTCATAAGAAAAAAAGTAGGAGAGAGTCTCGGTTCAATGTTCTTAAAGTCAATGTGAGTGAAGACCCCTTCTTGCAATATTGATATATAGATTGGGGACCAACGCTCAGAACTTGGGGGTCAAATATATACATTGCTATCACCGATACTTTCTAGTCCCCAGAGAGGGGTAGTGGTTAGTACTACCTAGAGTGATACTAGCGCGCCTGCTGAATGGTATTAGGTCTCGTGGTTGCTTAATTCTCTAGTAAGATATGACTAGTGCGCAGGTGGCTTACAACCTCAAATCTTATAGAGACTTTACCTTTATCCCGACCAGTCTAATAAAGACTATAGCACTTAGAGGATAACTATTTAGAGACGTTGACCCACTGAGAAAGAGACTATGATCTATAGTGCTGGAAGACTGGTTAGAAAGTTAATATTGGCCGTGGAGGGGGATGTAAGCTTACTCTACAGTGGCTACGCGTTAGGAGGATACTATCGATAAACTATGTAAACAATACTTACCTAAAGATATTATCCCCTTCATTGTAATACTGGTAAGATTTTGCGTACTTAGCGCGCCTGGTATTATAATCTTCTCGGGATCGGACATATTCCTGTGCTACACCATAAACATTACTGCTTGAGCCTAAGGATAGAATCCTTTGAGAATGAAATATTAATCAATCAAACCTATCAATTGATGGTATCTATAAGATATTCTATATTTATGCTTACTAAGAATCCCAATATACGTGTTAATATATGTAATATATACTTTGTAATCTGTTTTCAAATAGCGCCGCCCTTAAACGAGGCTGAGAAGCTCCATTTGTCTTTCTACTTCTTCCCAGTTTCTTTGTTCCATCATAATCACCGATTGGCAATAATCCACTATTGGCTACTAGTTATAACATAAATCACATGCATGTACCCGAATATGGGCGAGCTTCCGCCTTAATTTGAATATCACAGGAATTTCACCAAATAGAGCCGTAAAATAAACAAAGACTAGAAAAGCAACTTCTAACAATCTGAGGTATTGCGTGTGGAACCAACCGAAAGACGATGTTTACCCAGTGTATGGTACAGCGGGGATATACGCGGCGAGTTTTTTTATTTCTGGTAATAGAGTTTTGATTCGATGACACCATAAACAAGACTTCATTGAGCATAGACTCCCCAAGAAATTTAGGCGAAAGTTTAGTTCTCTTTGTTCACATCAGTTGGTGTTTAGAGACTCGAATGAACTTCATTTATCAAATAACTACACAGTCACAAATAATAGCTGGAGACGGGGGTTCTCGGATACTGTCATGTTATCGCGGCCTCCGCGATCTGTACCCTAATTAGTTACGTCTTACCATTAGTTACTCATACAAATTTATGTACATACTACACACGTACCTTCTTAGTTTAGTATTGGTGGAAGAAGGGTCTAGAGTGATGTATATTATTATTTCCTTCGATTGCTCGTATGTACAAATATCACACTAAGATGCACTCGATTACGTACAAGCAGGAAAATGAAGAAGAAAAAACATCAATTGGTACATACGTTAACATGATTTTCTATCAAATATACACCATATAATTCATGGAACCTTCTGAGAATTAAAAGTTACTCCCCCCCTTGCAAGAATTTCCCAATGGTGCATAGTTCACAGATCAAATTACCTTGAACTCCTTGCGCATTAAGTCCCAAACAGCGTATCCCAAGACCATAATAATCACCATGGTCATAATAGTACACAGTAGAAAGAAGCTCTCAATTATTAGATGACCCGATTTGAAAGTGGTCGCCTCTTCACGACCAGTAATACTATTGAGCCTGGGTTTGTATTTCATTTCAAAATTTGTCCCTCCGTTCAACCCACCTTCGTTTTCAACAACAGCCCAGTACAGCTTAGATCGAAGAAACTTGAGACCCAATTAGACAATATACAAACAAAAATAACCAACTATAGGTGTATTTATTGCTCACCTCAATCATGAACTTGTCAAAGGCTGGTATCAACCGCTGTGTCCACGCCAGGCTGTTTACCAGCACACACAGACCCGCGAATGCCACATATGACAGAAAACCGGGTCGGCCCAAACCAAGCTCGTCACAAAGCTCATGGCCATTGAGCCAGCGACTACCTGCCTCAATGAACCCTCGAGAAGTTACTAGCGGTGGAGGCAAGCTTTCCACAACACGGACAAAGTTATATGCTACCGTCTTGGATGTTTCAGTCATATTCAGTTCGTGGAGATAACAGCTCTCCATAAGTGCCTTTGCTTCCTCAACGGTTGAAAAGTATTCTGTCGGCGTCCCAACAATGTGTGCAAGATATCGAAATAGCGCAAGATAATCTTCAATTTCTTGTGGTCGTGGCGTGATGCCCATCTGAGGCAACTGTAAGAACATTGGGTTCAAAGAAAACGTCGTGATTGAATGGATAGAGTCCATCGTGTTTGCTGGAACTCCAAACTCGGCCACGTCGTAGTACTCTGGTCGTCGAATAGCTAAATGCAGGATCCTGCGACGAACGGAAGAATGAAGTAATCGTACGCGGACCGTCGATTTGAAGCCTCGGCCACCAGGCTTGACTTCTTCTTGAGAACGTGTCACTTCGAGAAGCCATTGAAAGGTTTCTAATAAACGGCCCAAGAGAACGCGAGTAGAAAACCCACCGGTGCGAACGAGAACCTCTACAACGCCGGTCGATGCCGAGTTTTCGCAGATGAAGCCTTGCAATGCAAATCCAATAATATTGGCCAGAGCGTAACGATAGAAGACTTGTTGTCCACGCGCAATCTGTTCCCAGTCTACCCATTTTGGGACGTGATGCACCTGGTTCCAGAATTTAGTAAGAACTGCGTCCTCGCTGTGGTGTTTCTCGAGGATTTTATAAAGATCGCCTTTTTCACCCTCTTGATCTTTAATGGTGAGAAGCCTTTCAACAGTTAGCGCACCCAACTCATCGTAGTCATGGCGTAACGGCTTTAATACGTCAGGGCCTAGGTGCTTGTCGGTCCATATAAATCTATATGACCATTTCTGCTGTTTATAGCCGATTTCTGATTTCTTGTCTGATTTCATGATAACTTTTTCGGTTTCATTGAACAACATTGAATGGAAATGGTAATATTCCCCGAGACTTGATAATAACAGATCGACTACCTTGCAGCCAGCCTATATGGCTACAGTCTACGGTCTGCAATCACCACTAAACGGCCAGTTAACTTTTATCTATGCTACGGTCACCATGAGCAACAAAAGAAAATGGAATAAATTATTGTCTAAATCCTTAGCATACTTGCGAGGCGCATTTCTGCTTTCAATATTCCCGCAGTAACCCGATCCGCATCCTCGACCTCCGTTTTTGGATTGATATACTTTTCATGGCTTTGTGTGAATTGCAAATTCCTATAGCTGAGAGTCTACATGTGAAGAAAACAAAGACATTGAGGGACCATCCTTTGTGTCGTTCGTCTATCTCGGTAGTGAGTAGCAAATTATTAGGGCTATTTTTGCTGTAGTGGCGGGAGTGATTATTATTAATTTTGCAACCCCCGTTTCAAAGACAAATAACTTCCAGACCTATAATGTCGGTGAATACTGTTTATTTGGAAAAGACCAGAATAAACAGCCTGAGACAATGAAAGACGTCACAAAATCTGGGTTCCTGGGCTGTTTAAGTTTCGTTATTCCGCATCCTCGGCGTATATTCGCACACTTCAAACAAAGCGTACGCGTTTGCGAGAAGATGACTAACTTTGATCAGTATAGGTCGTTGATGCGCCCCAGACTGACTCAATAAACTTTACTAGCCAAATATCGCAATAATACATCGAATTGATATACACTAGAGATAAAAGAACGGCGCTTGAATCATTCTTATATAGTATGATACGAGGGAGGTTCAAATTATTGAATATTGCTTAGGACAATCTGCGTGGGTTAGTTTGTAGCGATAATCTGGGGATATGTTCTATACAAAGATAGCCCATGTGTGTGTTTAGACTGTGGGTATGATAATGCGCTAGAGAATAGCCTCGTTCGTCGTCCTGAAGTTGCTTAAACTCCGTTCTCCATAAATGATGTCGTGGATAGATGGACTATTCTTTCGACCGGCCCAGAGAGAAAGGCGGTTGGGTTTTCTAGTGTTTACAGAACCAAAATCATGATTACCATTATTTATCGTTATCCATACATTGAATTTGCTAATCACTGATCCAACGGTCCGTTTGTCAGTGCGCGTGTGCCAATCACCAAGTATTGATGTTTCTATCCACATGCTAATGTATTGTTATCCTCATAAGCGCCTTATCTTTGTATCCTTCGTTGGCGCTTCCTAAACGTAGGCTGATAACCTGTGACTATATATGGTGCGTTGACATACATCTATTCGTGTCAGAAGCTCTCCCTAAAATTCACATGTGTGATCCAAAGGTTGATACTGACACCTTCTAATTGGCTCGTGGTATCATCCCACATGTAACAAACCTTGTTCTGCTTGGCGGTATATGAGTCTTCTTTTGTTCTCTTCTGATTACGTGATTTTTATCCCTCTTGCAAAATATGACTTCTTTTCTGAACGTGGCGGACACCAATGTGTTGTCTCAGGGATCGTATCAGCCATTCCCAAAGCCTGACACAGTTGGCCACCTGGCCTTTACCCCTCAAATCAACGACAAAAAATTGGATGTCCATTTGCCGGATATGTTTGTTCTCTTCCTAGCGGAACCGCCTCGAGTGAACTGTCATTATGAACGAGTCAAGGTTGAGTCGGAGGCATGGTTTGCAGAGTATGAGGCTTTTTCAATAAAACCCAGGTCTTTATACCTTCTTGACAACACGAGAATAACAAATCTGAGTATCTGTAGAAAATGTCGGCTGAATGCTCGTCGGAGACGTGTCATCAGTGAAACTGATTTCTCATATTTCTGTGCTATTACCGCCGCTGATGCCGGACCACAGGAGCTGAGGACTCTGTGTGACTGGGGAAACTGGGTATGCTCTGTCTAGTTAAGTCCCTAAGCATGTTATCATTGCTTACCATTTCTAGGTTTTTCCTTTTGATGATTGTATAAGTGCTGCCCATAACAGTTGAACCTAATTAAGTTGACTAAAACGGATATGTTTAGTGTTTGATAACGGTAATCTGAAAGAGAACCCCGAAGAAGCACAAAAAGTGATTGATGTTCTGTTATCAGGCATGGAAATCGGCGAGGACCGTTTGAATACAGGAACGAATTCCCGCCGACACAGCCATTTATCTATTGAGCTGCAATCACTTGTGGATGTCCACGAATCGGTTTGGACTAGGATCGCTCAAGATCCTCCGATTGGTATGTATTCTCGGAAAAATCAAAATAAATCTCTCTGATCTCTGATCCAGGAGTCCAAAGACGCTTTGCCAAGTATATGAACAACTATTGCAAAGGCAGTATAGAGCAGGTACAATGGCGATCTCAGAGGCGGTTTCCATCACTTCAAGAGACGCTTGAGATGAGACGGAAATCAGCTGGTGTTTCGCCGTTGTTTGCATTGGCCGAGTAAGGAAAAGCCAAATTCAACTTTAGTTTACTCACTGACATTATTCAGATACGCTCTCAAGCTCGATCTACCTGATGAAGTATTTGAGTGCGAAAGTATCAAAGAAATCGAAAGGATTGGTGTTGATTTTGTCGTCATGTACATACGTCCGTTCTGCATGTCGTTACTGAATAATCTCCTAACAAGAAACCAGTCAAAACGATATCTTATCTTATTGCAAAGAGGAGGTAAGTGGATCTAACTTGGATAAACAAGCAGGTGGCTAATGATTCCCTTGTAAGCGTAGGATGAAGGAGTCCGGCACAACCTAGTCGCAATAACCCGTTATGAACTGCAATCAACCAATCCTCTGGGAACGCCCCATCCTCAAGCTGCATTTGACAGTGTTGGCGCACTCCTCGCTGATCTGTATCAGCGATGGTTTCTTGCATTAGCGAAACTACCTTCATGGGGCGAGAAAATCGATATAGACGTTCAGAGATACATTGCCAGCGTGAGGGCGGTGATAATGGCAAATTTAAATTGGAGGTCAGACTCACTTGTTAGAATTTTCTCTGATTAACCATTACTAACTAAAGTAGCTTTCGATCAGAAAGATATTTTGGACGGCGAGTTGCAGAGGTAAGGCGGACGCGGGTGGTGCAAGTATTAAAGAAATTGCCATGATGCTTGTTCAAGGGCCGCGTTTTCTATTTCGTAGAATCATTGATATTCACATTTATTACGCTAGAGATTAGTTTACAGTTGGTTATTACAATTTATGTCCTCATAAACGCGTCACTACCTGATAGACCGAAAGAAGTTGCGAAACAAGTTGCGATGCCGAGTTAGATTAATTGATGTTTTTCAGCGTTACATGTATATATAAACGTGGTGCTGGTCTGTATTGGCTACCTATTTGGAGTTGTACTCTATTATATTGATTTCGGAGTAATTAAGCGGAGGTTTGAGCTACCAAACGAACTGAACCAAAAGAATCTTCAAAAATTTATTTTATAAAAAGATCTTTTTATTACATATAGTCAACCTACAGCAATAATACTGCGGGATGTATGGATGCCGCTCTAGAAGTAAACCACCCCGACCGTTGACTTTAATGATAAACATTCGCTGTACTGCTCCCGGACAAATAGTATCTCAGATCATGCTAAATGTGACATGAAATCACTTCTTGTATACTAGAATAATACCTCGTAATTTAGGTCGGCTTTTTTAAGGGTCCATCGGAGAATGTCACCGTAATGTCAAGATCGATATCCAGCGATTTTCATGTCATATGTATACACACACTACTGGACGATACACCCATTGCTATCTAGTATGAATCGCCGAGAATTTATTTCAATTGAATCCATGGGTCTCGTGTCAGTCCTGACCTCGTCAACTAGTGTAGTTATTTCGAATAACTATGTAACAAAAATTCTCCCTGCGCCGGTTGAAATTCTTTCGCTGCCATGTCCTGTGCGCTGGCCTACTTACGTCGGCGCCTTTCGGTACTTTTCTTCATATGCTTTAAGGTAATATATTCCGACTAGTCACTGTTTGTTAGGTATCGCTCAAGGCTGCATCCTTTTGTAATAGGTCTGCATGTGTAGTCAGCTCCTTGCATATAGTCCCGCTCATTTTGTTGTCAAAGGCGAAAAGATTGATAGAGTAATGGACTGGCGTAGCTCAATGATCACCCGATAACACTCTGTTAAAATACCCGACGCTATTCGATAGCTTCCGGGGAGGTGAACCCGTAGCAATACCACAACCCAAGCTCATGTGTAGTTCGGTGATCAGGGTACGGCAATTTTCCCCATCTAGGTTCTAATAGACTGTGGTGGTTATAGCTTTAGTGTCGTGGCATTTCAATCCCAACCAATAGTTTCAATTAATAGATTCTTGTTGGACGCCAATATTTTAGACAGGACTGATCGGGGTTTAGACATACTCATTTGATATTAATCTAACCTAGTTCATGCAGCTCAACTAATGAAGTGACTCATAACTATCCTATGGCTAATTAATAATGTGTAAGTAGCCAATACACTTGCCTCTTTTCCCTTTCTCTCCTTCTAAAGCTATTTCCTACATTGTGTCTATCTTACTTTCCCACTTTCATTATATTGACAGATACTCTATCCAGAACATTGTTTTTGTTTACATCAAAATGCCTGCACACAGAGACGTGCACCACGGATACCGATGGCGCGCATCGAATATTTTCATTGTCACATGCATCACGATCGCTTTATCTACAGGTTTGCAGTGCAACTTGAAAAGTTTACCGGACTAAGCCCAAGAGCCTAACCAGACAACTAGAAACCTTCCTTTACAGCTTCATAGTTCCTATCTTGCAAGTCATGCTTCGTGACCGTCTAGGAATTGACGATTCGAAAGCCCAGTCAACCACCTCAACTGTGCTCTTCTCTCACGCTTTTGCCTGTGCCATTTCAGCTCCGATTACTGGACAAATCTCAGACAAAATGTCATCCCGCAAGATTCCATTGTTAATAACTTTGGGAGCAGAACTTCTAGGCACAGTCCTATGCGCAGCTGCGACGTCACGTATGTGTATTCTTACGACATTTACCAACCATTTATGTAGAATTAAGATATAAAGCTAATTCTTTTTCAGTCCCTATACTCATTATGGGACGTGTTATTCAGGCGATTGGCGGCAATGCGACATGGATTATTGGTCTTGCAACTATCGCCGATACGGTCGGGGCAGACAATACGTCGCGAACACTGGCAACCATCTCCATGTTTTACATGTCCGGCATGTTAATTGGCCCCATTACCTCGGGGACCCTGTTACGTTTTGTTGGATATTGGCCAACTTGGGGAACAGCGATTGCAGTATTGGTGATCGACATGGTTATGCGGGTGGTAATGATTGAGAAACCCGTGGAAAATAAAAAGGACAAGGGCGTAAAACGAAAGAACAGTATTACCGACGAAGATTCCTTATTACATGGGGATTTAGAGTCGACTACATCGCAGATTGACCACATCAGTTCCGTAGATGAAACCACTGGGCTGCTAACATCCTCCCCGAAAAGCCATGATAGTCCGTCTGGAAGTCTTAGAGACCCGGATGTGCCCAGTGAAACTGGTGTTAGGAAGCATACAGTATCGCAACCCAGTTTCTATAGAGTCCTACTGACTAATCCACGGGCCCTGACTGGCATGGCCTGCCATTTGACAGCCGGCCTTGTCTTGACCAGCTTAGACACAACCTTACCCCTTCATGTAACGCGGGAATTCGGATGGGATACATCTCGGGTCAGTTTGATGTTTCTGCTTGTTCAGACCCCTTTTCTTATTCTAGGTCCCCTCACTGGCTGGTTGAAAGACCGGATCGGCAGCAGAGTTCCGACTGGTATTGGATACGTATCTTCGGGAGTGATGATGTGGATTCTCGGCATTCCGGGGAGTGGCTTGTTTTCTTTTGCAGGTGCTGGCGATAGTGGGAAGCTTCTTTACGCTGCTTCATTGCTAGGGCTTGGTATCGCAAGGTCATTAACCACTGGTGCCGGCATACTGGAGATGACGAGTAAGATTCTTTGATTTCTTTTATTAAATCTCACTCCCATTCTATTGAGGTCATGCTAACGACCTGGCAAAGCGGTCATCAGAGACCTCCAAGCTGATAACCCCGAAATTTTTGGACCTAAAGGAGGGTATTCCCGAGGCTACTCACTCACGAACATGAGCTGGACGGCTGGTATGTTGATTGGCCCTGTTCTGTCTGGTTGGCTTACTGAGACGGCCGGATACTACTACATGAACCTGACATTTGGTAAGTCAAACAACCTTACTTTTTATTGACATCTCAATATTTCATCATTTCTCTTACGTAGATATGATTGTGGGAGCAAATTGGAAAGCTAACCAGCGCAAAAGCCATCATTTGCATATTGGTGGGAGCATTCTGTTTTACGTTTCTTCATAAAAAATGATTTTTGAAAGGATATGAATTGGAGAACAATCTTTCTTACATCAAGCATGAACATGATGATGTGCTTGTGATGAACGTACAAAAGTCTTTAGTAGGTTTATATCTCAGGTTTCTATTCTTTCCCCAAATGTTCTGAGATGAAACATGAGTGAGAATGAAATAAGCCTTCAGGATAATTTTTGTGAGTTGAGAATAGGCAGAATACTTATAAGGGTCTTTAAATCCATGTTTTTTCTTTTGGCTTGAAATGTTTCCTTATAGTCCGACAAGATTTGCATTATTTAGTAACAGATAAGGTAGATTATACTTGGTTCTATTCAAGATATTTGCTTTATTTAGATATAACCATACTAACGTGAGAGTAGAAAGAGGAAATTGAATGAAGGCTCATAAGTAATATTACACTGCCATAACTAATATGTACCAACCCAAGAATCTATGGAGAAGCTATTTACAGACTAAATAAAGATCTTCAAAAGGGAAGATATTTTTTTCTTCACTTTCAAGTTATGCATTCTCACTCCTGAGTAGAGAAGCATCCAAGCAGAACACATGGGGCTTAAGAGCCAATATATGAGATATCGACAGTGCTTCCAGAGGCAGTAGTCGATGTGAGCACGGCATTGTTTTGGCTAATGTCCATAATGGTAGCCCCAGTGGTGTCCACAGAAGCCCCGTTGGAAGTAGCAGAAGCTCCCGTGATGGCAAACGAGCTACCGAAGTTGGCGAATGGCACCAATCCGCCGCCAGCAGAAAGGTCCTCCATGATCCACTCAGCATTAGTCTCGCACAAGGTAGCCGATTGACCAGTGAAGGTGTAGCTAACGCTCTGGCCGTTGGACTCATTAGTCACGGTGGCAGAACCACCGCTGGTACTGTCAGCAGTTACGACTGCTGTGACTGTGTCACCAGTATTGATGCTGATGCCCGAATCCCAGTATTCCTGCGCAGCCGGGAACCATTCATACCAAGCAGTATTGGTGATGGCGCCGTTCTGAATGCATATATTGACGCCAGTTTGTAGAATAGCAGAGCCGCAGGTGTCTCCATCAATGCCCACCCAAGCAGCAGCGCAGTATTGCTTGCTGGAATCACCGCCGCTAGGGACGCTGACAGAGGGCACGACAAATGTGCCGGAAACAGAGGTATAGCCAGATCCGATCAGGACTGCGCCAGCCCAGTTGGACGAATATGATTCTGCGGTGAAGTTGCCGTCTTCAGTCTGAACGCTGTCGACGCGCAGGTTTTTATGGGAATGCTGCCCATGACGAGGGCTGCGAGCCTGCCGATTTGCCTCGCGACGAGCCAGATTTTCTTCGGAAAGAGGGACTGCAAGCGCCGCGCCCGAAAAGAGAAGAGGAACTGCAACACTGGTGAACTTCATTTTGTCTGGATAGTAAGGACAAAGAAACTAAATGAAAGGTTGATAGATCTACTCTAACTGGTGCTTGCACCTTTCGCAGGAGGGAATAAGATTCTTTTATACAAATTTAGACCCCAAAAAGCCACACACAAACCCATGTCACATCGATGACCTGGCATCCGATCCTGCCTGTCATTTAGCATTGGATGGTGGTATAGCCAGAAGCCGAGATGTGACCCCAAAATTATTATCCTTCGTCCCCTGACGTACTAAAATAGCACCTTGCACTAAAACACAGTTAATTTTGGAGGAGCCTTGAAACATTCCGTACTAGTAGTGATTCTTATTCTTTGGACACTTATCACAAGGCTGGGATCTACATTGCCATTCCTATTCTAGGCAAGGCAGAAGGTACAGGAAGGTTTCGAAACATTTACATACCCCTCGAATGGCCTTATTGTAACCCTATGATTTGGCGGCGCATGTCAGAACTGACCTGTGCAATATTAGCCAAGCAAGGCCGATTCGCATGGTTTCCTTTTATTGACACTATGCGAACTGTTATCAGCTGGATCCCTGGGTGTAATTACAACATTATTGATACAAACTATCTCGAAGTCGTTGGTGATGTGTGAGTGTGACCCATCATTCCCCTAAGCAGCTGACCGTGTGACTTGGCACGATGGCTGTCGGATTGGGCCAACCTTTTAGGACTACTTTATCCAGCATCTATTGCAAAATTTCATTACCAGATCAATGCTTCTTCTCTTGGTCAGCTGTTAAAGCTTCCCTGATTGGATTTACTCTCGGATAGATTTGATTACAGAGTCGCATCGGCCGAAACTTAGCCCGCAGTACGGTCAGCCGTCCTTACTAGCATCTTCCCTCGACATATCAACATTTACTTAATATGCGAATTAATAGATATATTGGTACACCTTCACTACATTCTCGTGTGTCTGGCGCGTCAAAAGATTCTCCTATGTAGACTTTTTCTGCCGGGTTGTTTGTCAGTGTAATATTCAACAGCAATATCTGGCCTCGGAGATAGGGTTAATTGCAATATTTGGAAAATAGCCCCTCGGTATTACACTCTGTCACTACCTGATGACGCGTTAAAATGTAAGCTCGGTAATTGTGGTTTTCTGCAAGGGCCCGTTGATGCGCGGGGTCACCCAACCTAATAAGCTTGTATGAGATTAAATGGATAATTGGATATAGACCATGCAAAATACGTTCATACTCAGATCTATTCTAGTGCTTACAGGCTGACTGGTGGCAATCGCTGCAATTAGTAGTGATAACATGGGGTTATGTGGAGTATTTTTATCTACTAATCACTCATTACTCGCCAGCCCCCTTAACATGCCCGCCCTGTTCCAGAACCGTTCCCACTGGAGGCCTGAAAAGGCTCGATTATGCTACTAAGCCTCCAATTGTGGATACCTATAAACTACCGCGTTAATTAGATCCTGGCTCGTCAAATCGCTGTAGACGTTCCGTTTATCAACGCCATACTGTATACTGTATACTGTATTGTGAAAGATAGTGTTCGTCGTACATTGACATTGAAATGCAAAGTAGGATTGACGCTTGGTCAATTATATAGGCCCTTCTTACTTGGATAGCAAACTTGCACAGTAATGAAGACACACTGCTTCCCTGCACGTGTATGGAGCTCTTGATGCCTCTAAGATCTGTTTTCTGAACAATCAGCGAAGAGAAGATCGGCTCACGTATTGAACGTCACGAAACGATCTTGACATTGAAAATTGTTTTCCCTGTTTGTGAGGAAATCCAATTTTAGCTCAATTTGACATGTCGTCGAGCAGCCAATGGGGACAGCACTCGCTCAAAAATACGAGAAGATGGTTGTGACAAAACCAAATCATCCAAAACCACATGCACTCATCCCAAATTCTGCAGATTCACCAATTCAAAATAGCGGCCCTTTTTCCGGAGAAGCTCCGCATGAGACCCAGATTCAGCTACTCTCCCGTTGTCCAACACGTAGATAATGTCTGCCCGCTGTATAGTACTTAGGCGATGAGCAACAGCAATGGTCGTTCTCCCTCGTGCTGCAGTATCCAAAGCTGCTTGTACCAGCTTCTCTGACTCGGAGTCAAGTGCAGATGTTGCTTCGTCGAGCAGCAAGATTCTTGGATCTCTCATGAGAGCACGAGCAATGGCAATACGTTGTTTTTGTCCCCCAGATAGCATCCTACCCTTATTTCCAACTTCTGTATCAAAACCCTGCCTTCATTAAAAGGTCAGAACTAGTATTTGAATATATGAACATACAAGATGAGGGGGGGCACTCACGGAAGAGATATGATGAAATTGTATATGTTGGCGTCTTGACAAGCTGCAATCAGGGAGTCTTCAGAAACTTCCATTGGATTGCACCCCAAAAGGATATTTTCGCGAATAGTGCCTTCAAAAAGTGCAGCTTCCTGCCCGACAAACGCAAGTTGCTTTCTATAGGACCTGACATCGAGTTGAGTAATGTCCCTACCATCGACACGAATTTCCCCAAGACGACTGTCATAGAAGCGTTCTAAAAGGGCAATGCAGGTGCTCTTTCCACACCCACTAGCGCCTACCAAGGCTACATATTGTCCCGGTAGAATAGTAAGGTTCAACCCTTGTAAAACAAGATGTTCGATTCGACTGGGATATCTGAAGTGCACATTCTGGAATTCGATGCGCCCCTCGACTCTTGGGAGAGTATCCCCATTATTTTGAGAACCAATTCTTGGCTTTCTGTCGTAGAGAGACTTCAATTCTTCGGCCGCGTTCTTTGCTTTGCTGATACCCGGTGCATATGAAAAGATCCGTCCAGCTGCCTGAGCACCGAAGATGACCTCGCTGAAACAGACATAAAATTTGAAAATAGTGTATTCATGATGGCCGACTAATGTACCACCGTACCAAAATCCCAATGCCATGCAAAAGAACTGGACTGCCTCTGAACTGGCATATAGGAAAGACGACTTAACAATAGATGGGATATTGTCCTTAGTTTGCTGCTCTAACCGGGTCGAGTATGACTTCAGCATTGCCGACTCCATTGTGAAAGAAGCAACCGTACGAATCGCCGATGCAGCCTCGCTGGCGAAATTAGCTGAGCTTTGATAAACTTTCTTTGATTTTGACTGGAGCTTATTGAGGACCCAGATGCGCAGGAACCCGCTAAGAATGAGAACGGGGACTGCTGAGATACAAACCAAGGCAAGTTTCCATCCTAGAATGAGAGCGACAATAAGTGCACCAAGCAAATTAACGATCATAACCAATAAAGTCCCCAATGTTGCGCCACTAATTCCAGACAGACTTTTGGTATCTGTAGCAAGAATGGATGTTAAAGCGCCAGTTGCGTGCTCTTCTTCGTCATAAAAGGAAATATCTTGATTGAGAAGGACTCGAAATGTCGTGGTTCTAGCGCGACGAATGAGCTTCTCCGAGCTAATGGCAAATAGGATTCCTTGGAGTGCATATAGAAGGAATGTGGCTAATCCCATCATGAGAAACATGAGACACCAAAAGTTCGTGTCATGGCGAAGTTTCTGGAACTCGCTAGCTGGGAGCGTGATCGTGCTAACTGCCTTTGCCATTAAGACGGCCTGGGAGGGCTGAACTGCGCCAGCGCAGATTGACAAGATAAGGCCAATTGCCATGATTTGCCTTTCAGGGCGGTTAAATCCCGCAATGAACTTCACAAGAGAGTACACAGAAGGATAAGTAGCCCCGGAAAGGAGTTTTGATTCGGGTCTGAATCTGGTAGTAGATCGCTCGTTTAATGCGCTTTTATGTAGTTGAATATCGCTATCGAAAGGCCCGTGATTGTGAGTGTCGCCATCCGAAATTGAGAAAAAATCCAAGCCGTCTTCATCTATTCCTAACTCATCCTTTTCAGTTTTGTCCTCATTGAGGCTCTGAGCTTGTACAAGATTGAAGTAAGCTCCACCATGATCGATGAGATCCTTGTGTGTGCCTTGTTCTGCAATTTTTCCATCAACAAGAACAACAATGTTGTGAGCGTTTTTGATAGTAGATAGGCGGTGGGCTATTATAATAGTTGTACGTCCCTCAGCCGCCTTTTCCAAAGCTAACTGAACATGAGCCTCGGACTTGGTATCTAGTGCAGATGTGGCCTCGTCGAGAAGTAGGATTTTTGGCTCCTTTACAACTGCGCGTGCAATTGAAATGCGTTGTTTTTGACCCCCTGAAAGTGAGAGAGAGCCGATATGTGTTTCATACCCATCCGGCAGAGCCATGATAAAATCGTGGGCATTGGCTAGCTGAGCCGCATAGACGACTCTTTGCTGAATCTTATTTTTAGGCTCACTTTCAAACTCAGATCCGGTAAGTCCATATCTAATATTTTCGAAAATCGTGGCCGAAAATAGCTGTGGCTCTTGTGAAACAAGAGATATTTGCCGCCGTAGTGAGTGTAGATTGAGTGTGCGAATATCATGTCCGTCGATAGTGATCTCTCCCTCAATTGGGGTATAAAATCGTTCTATAAGGCCAATAATCGTGCTTTTTCCGGATCCAGATGGACCAACAAAGGCGGTCGTTTTCCCGGCCGGGATGTGTATGTTGAACGAATCTAAAACGAGCACTTCCTGTCTTGAAGGGTAGACATGTTTGATGTCATGAAATTGAATTTCACCGTTGAGCGTACGTACCGCTGTGCCCTCAGCTGACCAGGGATTCAGAGGGGAAACCCTATCAATGACACTGAATATTTTGGATGCAGCAGCAACAGCATCTGAGAATGCTTGCAAATTGGGTGCAACGTTTCCGAGACTATAAGAGCCGAGAATGATGGCCATCATAATGGTCAGGATGTCTCCGGGAGCAAGATCCGAATTCTGTTCGACAAGAAAACGGGACCCCATCCAGAATCCAAGCCCATAGTTAAGGTACATTATGCCCAGTAGAGCTCCAATGACGAGCGCGAATGAGATTTGAAGAACCCTGCCAAAGCGCTCTCCCTCTCTCATGTAACCGTCGTATTTCTCTGCGAGAGATTCTTGAGCTCCAAATGCTACCACTGTCCTTATTGATTCAAACGCGTTGTCTGCTAAATTCCCTCCATGTCCGTATCTCTCGATTGATCTCTTGCCATAAATCACAGAAACTACAGAGCCACTACCCATAATGATAAGGAGGGCAACCAGAGTGGAGGTAGAGACCAGGGCCAACTTCCAATATTTGATATAGGCGATGATAAACGCAGTGACGAAACTTGAGACTCCCGAAAGAACCAGGCTTAATTTCTCGGAGATACCGTCCTGAATAAGATGCATGTCGCCAGTGATTCGCGTCGTAATTTCGCCGGTCCCCAGAACATCGAAAAATGCAATGTTTTGTTGTAAAATGGCTTGAAAATACCGCACTCGGATCTTCTGAGTGATAGTATTTCCTGTGTAGACAAGGCCAAGCGTTGAAAAGAAACTTAGGATGAATTCGGCGATGCCTAGGTAAGTGAAATAGAGAACGTTCTTGGTGAGTTCATGATAGAAATGGTCGTAGGTGATACTGCCAATTGCCACCTCTTTGAGAGACGATGTTACTTGCCCGAAGAAAACCTAGAGGATGTGCGATCAGTCTTATCACACACGCCTTAAAGCTCAGGGTAAATGTTATTTTGGCTTGGCTTACAGTGAACAATGGCAGTGCTGCACCTCCCAGCATAGCACATATTGCGCTCATGACAAAAATCACAATGTCCCATTTACCGGCATATTTATAAATCTGAAAATAGCTAACTGTGACTTTCGGAACATCAATCTGTTGTGTTAAGATATCTATCTGGTTTTCGGATAGCGTTTGATGGGCAGAACTTGTTGCCTAAGGAATGCGCAGACATTAGAATTCGTCAATATCAATTCATTTAAGCGGATATCCGAATAAGCGACATACCTCTGCACGCGGTTCCATCTGAAGCCCTTCCGCATCCTTTATTTTTGACATCTTGCCCTCTTCGCCGCCACCATTGGAATTAATTGTATTCCAATGGTCTGGAGACTGTCAAACTCGGGGGTATTTAGTATGCCGTCACAGTTCTTTCGGCGCACCGTTGCGTAATTGATGCCGATACGACGAGATTCATGGCGTTTGAGCTCGAATCATTACCAGCAGAGAAAAGAGATGACAACGGCCAAGGGGAGAGGGTCATTAGGGCTCGGTAAGTAATGACTAGTTAGGAGCCATGTGAAATGACACCGTTGTGGAGATTTATGATCTACGCCGAGTAATTACGCTGTAAAAGCTAATTTCACAACTAGGGCAAAGGGGTCGAGCTCGTGTTCAACAAGGCTATTGGTATATGAGACTAGCATAAACATGATACAGGGATTAGTGTATGGAGAAATATTGGGAAAGGAATTGGATTTTAAATGCCGACGCTTCTCTTCTTTCTCCATATGCAACATGCATGTGTCTGTTAGTGTTTAGTGTTATCAGTATGGTGCACCTCGGTATAGAATCGGGAAAAGATCTGGACGATCAGCTAGTCTCATAAATGCGACAAAAAGCATGTCTAGACTTTAATGCTAGTTTTATTGCGGAAACCACGAAGTTAGAGAGTTATAGCCTAATGTATTTCACCCAAGAGCGGTCACTACCCTTGAACGGGCAGCTGCCAATTCCCATACAAACCTGGCAATTTTTAGGCCCCTCAATATTTCGCCATTTTATTAGAAAATATAATCTGAAATTAATTAGAACTATTATATATTATAAATTGAATTATATTTCATTATTAATAAATTTAAACTTAGAATTATAGTTATTTTGGAAAATACGCGATAATTTTATGTAATTTTAATACACCCTTATTATTTTAATAATTATTGAGAGTTATCTAATAAAACTAAGAATATATAATATTTAAATTAAATTTTATATTGTATCTCATTTTTATACTATATTTTCTAATAAAAATGGCGAAATATCGATGGCCTAAAAATGCCATGGCAGCTGACCGTTCATGGATGAAATACGTTATTGGCCGAAAACACGGCACCAAAAAGAGGTCCCCCTCCTTGGGAGGGTTATTAATTTTGGCTCTTATTCTGGCTGACACACTTCCCCAGATAATATAGGGCTCCGGCATATATAATCTGCATTTTTCGTCTCTATATTCGGCCTAATCCATTTATTCAGTCAATGTCTCCGTTGCTTCGGCCAGCACTCATTTCTTGACCAATTGCCTGCATTTCTTCAGCCCGCCTCGGTCTTTTTTGCTGTGGATTTTTGCCACGTTAGACATGTATTGCTTTGATATTTTTTAATGTTGCTTGGATTTAAACCAGGTGTGTATTCTCAGTGGAAGTTGCAGCCTGATTAGGCTTCCTTGGCTCATAACGGTCGGGGGAAAACCACTACACCAAAAGGGATCCCCCTCCTTGGAAGGGTTATTAATTTTGGCTCTTATTCTAGCTGACACAACCGTACAAACAGATGAGAGCTTATATTTTTACTCTTTCTTTGATCAATTCTGCCCCACTACGGAGACACTAATCATAAGCCTAGTACATATATAATAGTTTCGTGTTTTACTTGTTATTAGCGTATGGTTCATAACTTAGCAGAGGCTACATTTCAGCCATCTCCATCAACCTATCAGTATCATCCGTTCACCGCTCACTCAGTATTTATTGTAGTAAGACGTGGCTGGTGTCAGCGTACAGGGAAAAAAAGATGAGAGGAAGCCAAGGAGCTTGATGTGTAAGTGATGGAAATTTGCAAACACGTTTTGGGACTTGAGCATCTAGACACATTGACCAGCATGAATAACCTTGCGTTAACATACAGGAAACAAGAACGATGGATAACATCCTGGCTTATTTAATAACGTATTTCATAAGTGAATGGCGACCCCAAGCGAACGGCCACCACCCTCCAATTTCCCCTCCAATTTATTGGTGTTAGATGACTAAATGTTACAAATTTTAATTTGGAGATGGAAAGAGTGGCTGCTCGCTTATGAAATACGTTATTATAAATTAATGTCCATTTAGACTTTTTCCACCTCGGGCTGCCTAATGCACAAGTTCCCGAGGCATGGCATGCAATGGCTTTGCCACGGCTGTTTCGTCTTTTTTTTTTTTTTTTAGCAAAACTCCAGTCGGATTTCTTTCTTTCTTTTCTTTTTCGAATTACTCGTAATTAAACATTCTAGACAGAGAATCAATTCAAAGATGCTCCCGATTATATACTTTATCTCTGTTCATAAGGGTGATGCATTTCCGGTGTTTACTACATATGTTCTACATATCAATGACCTTCGAACTAATATATAAGATGTAACGATATAAGGAATGTTTTCATTCTGAGATAATACAGATTATGGTCCTCTATGTACATGAAGAATGCAGAGCTCTAGTACATTGCCGAAGATGAACAAAGAACATCTATATCATAAAGGAACGGCACTGGAATGTTTTCATTATGGTGGAACCTCATAGATCAGCATAAAGTGTGTTGGTTTCTGCTGGTTTCGTCATAACCTAAACTGAGACTCCTTCATGATGATATGATTCATGGCCGTAATCAATCGCAGACACATATCATAAATGAGTCAGTCTTTTAAATGAACTTTCTCCAATGTTTGTATTGCATGGCAACACTACTACTTAGGTTTACATGTGGTTTACTATGATTTTTCAGTCTACGAGAGGTGAGAAATACAGCACTACATTTATCTAGATACCCTTTGTTTCGGTATATGTGTAGCAGATGACTGCAATGCGATGACGGATACTGACGGTGGTCCTCGACAGCAAACGGTAACGTTCCTTATTTCCGAGTATGACTGCTTTTAATGTGTAACTAGAAAACTTGAATCATCGAAAGACAGTTATTTGAAGTATACAAGTTTTGCTAACACATGTACGCCCTGCCTCCCGTGTTTGTGCAATACTTTGCTGTGATAAATTATTTCCGAACAAAGCATTAATGGGTCAACTGGTGAGTTGGTGGTGACTATTTCTTGCGGGAAATTCTTGGCAGTCCTTTTATATAAACCGTCTACACCTAGATATATATCAAATAACCACTTTTATATTGAGTTCTTCTATAAATTGAAATTGTTTACATATTACTGCTCGGAGCCATGAAGTACCTTTACAAAGCCGTCGTTAAAGAGCATGTCAAATTACCTCTGGATCTGACCAAATACCCCAAGTTATCAAAAGAGCAAGCGGGCCATCTGCGTCACTTTTATAATCTAAGTGCAGCCAACGATGGTGACTGACCGCATATGGGCTCTCAAGAGCCAGCCCAAGAGTTCCTCGACGCATACCGGTATCAACTAGCAACCATGGTTTACGCGGCTGCATTAACTCACTTCCATCGTATGCCAGCCATGCGGACACTCTTTCAACGCTTGATCCGTCGCTTAATTTACAAGATGCTACGACGTGAAGTATGGGGGTATTGGTATCTCACGTCGCAATCCGGCATTCGCCTAGACCCAGATCTGAAAGAGCTCCGCAAACCCTGGGCGAACCCGGTCGTTAGAGAGAATATCATGTATAGCGGTCACCTCTTACTCATGACCAGCCTCTATGCTATGCTTTTCAACGACGACGAGTTTGAGCGTCAAGGTAGCCTGACGTTTGAATGGGACCCGCTGTTTTGGGGGATGGGGAAAGAAAGTTTTGCATATGATAATGGAAGCCTACAAGAAGCAATTCTTGAGGAAATGGAGCGCAATGGGTGGATAGGCGTGTGTTGTGAGCCTAGTTTAGTTTTTGTGGCTTGTAATCAATTCCCAGTAAGATTTTACCCCCAATAATGCTCTTCAAACTTGAGTTCTTGACAAGGTGATAATTTAGATTATCGCAATGCGGTTGAATGATATCCGGAGGGGAACTAATATTGTGGAGACGGTCCTTGAAAAATACAGATTTGCATTGAAATCCAATGACATGATCTCACGCAATGAACTATACAGAAGTTGGCTGAGCGTTAAGCAAGGAACTGTGTCTCCGGCCCGTAGTATTGGGTTCACTGCCTGGTAAGATAGCTAACGATTTCAATCTGTTTCCCATTTTCAGGCTAACTTTATACAGGGCTGCTGCGTTCATGAATTCTTGGAACACTGAATTTGTGCGAAGCGGATATTAGAAACACATATTAGGGTATATCACTTGCATCGATGGCAAGGTCGAAATCCAGCATCCCGCCGTAGCCACCTTCTACAGAGCAGCTCTTAATCAACAACTGAAAAATGTTGATGACGACCATTCGCATGTTCTACATGAAGCACGCAGACACTATATTGCTGCTCGGCACACCAATTCACCCTCTTACAACGAGCCAACCCTGGGATATTTTGTCCAGTGGCTTTCCGAACTGGGGAAAACGACCGAATTAGAGGATCTTTTAGCTTATGTCGACGCGAACCTGGCGCCAGCATGGCAAGATGGAGGTCTATACTATCCTAGATGTGGCCAGGCAACGGACGATGAGGGGCAGTGGACGCGAATGGATCCGTTTTCCGGAAATGCTGCTATTGGATACGCCAGGCTAAATGTGGAAGATGGTCAGAAAAGGATCTGGGATAATCCATGGACGAAAGAGGATGTGTCTAGCCGCCCTTGGGTCGACGGCTTGGATCTTTCCCACGGCGTTGATTGTCTACGAGATATTTTCGACGAGAATGTTACTGCTATGACAATTACATTTCAGGAATGGGCTGGCCAAGATGTGAAAGTCAGCTTTGAAGTCAAAAAGCTACCCGGCGGTCGCTGGGGTATTTATCAAAGGCACAAAGAAGGAGTGGTGTATGAGTCTTTAGAGGGAGTGAATATTCCCGTGGACATTAATATCAAGGCGGGTAGAGAAGTTGATATTGTGATCATAAAATAGGGCTGATAAGTCCTGGTGGTGGGTTAAAGAGGTATATCTAGTTCTCATATAGTCATATAGTTCCCATCTATTATTATTTCTCTGCTGGTCCAACCTTATCTCCAAGTATTGCTGACCGTGGCAAGTCACCGTTTTTAAAATAGCCAGTCAACATTGTCACCAGCTCTAAGTTGGCTATATTATCATGATAGCACATCAATTCCTTATGGAAATGCATTTATCTAGTTAGGTGGTTTGTCATTAATGCAGGTCTAAGCCATATCTTAACTGACTGTTGATATAACCCTGATTCTAACGTTACCATCACGTTATTGGCGTCATCTGGTACTCTATATACCTGAAGGTCAGTGCCAGTTTCTGACTATAGCTGATTGCCGTCATACGAGGAGATGGAGGACACTGCCAAATATGGCATGCTATGCTATCAACGACCCAAAACATGGTTCCTTGTTTTCTTCACATTCTTTTCCATGATTTGCCTCTGGTCCTGGATTCAGCATTTAAGACCCTACCATCCTTTGTTCTCCCCCAGTTCAGCACATGTATGGACATACCTCAGCACTCCTCACGAAGGACTTCAAACTTTGGGTATGACTCCAATCTCAAGCATTGCATCTATATAGGTTCCGGAACAATGAACGTACCGTCCAGTGCCAACAAATGCGACCGCTTAGTGACTGGCAGATGAATTGATACTGGCTGATTATGCGTATGCCATCACACGGCCATTTATGTCCACTGACCACCTCGGTCAGAATATACAGTTATCTGGGCCTGCAAGCGCGCAGTGACCAATGTGATTCTGTGAGTTTTCTCTTGGCAGAAATATCGCAGGTCCCTTTTCCGTTCCCAGGTGCTCCAAATCGTATACGTCCTGGCTATTACTATCATTTTGCTGATTTGGTCTATTGTAAGCATTTCTTCCTACATCTGTTACTTCTCGTCTATCGTGCTAATTAGATTGCTAAGGAATTAGTTTGTCTATGCATACTCATATTTATTTCCATTGGTTTGAAGTGTATATGAGGACCAGGGATAAAATATGGTGTTGCGGAGGGAGGGTAGAGAGGGTGAAATTGTTCGCGGCGTTCGGTTTGGTATGCGGAGAATCCAGATTTTCGGTGTTCTATAAATATTGAATCCGTGAGTTTGGATTACACCAGTCGAATGGGTTGGTGAAATTCAGGTTCAGCCACCAACCCACTACATCACTCGTAGGCGGTCCAGTCGATACTAAATCGATTCTAAAGCCAATATAGGATAGAGAAAAGGTCATGTTACACTATTATTTGATAACGAAACAGTGGCTAAAGCAACTCCAATTACCCAACCTAATCCAATCTGCACAAAATTGAATAAACCGTAAAAGCATCCCTGTATAAGACTTATGGCCGTTCCAAACTCCAGTAATCATTATTTTACACTAATCCATATATTTATTCCCCATCCGTTATCTTATGTTCGTATGTCTATCGCAAAGTTGGGCACGTGGAACGTGACGTTGGTATCAATGTAATAAGCCTCGGAGCCAAAACTGAAGTGACCCAAATAATCGGTAGCCGAAGGATATTCGCCCTCAGCAATTCCCGTGGGCCGATCAAGTAGTGTTCTTAAATCGCCCGTGAAATTTTGAGCAGTTGTGCCGTCTGGCACAACCCATGTTAAGACAATCTGGTTTGTGGTAGTTTTCGTGCCAGACCAGAGATCGCTGGTGGAGATAAGAGGGTTAGTAGGAGGAATGCATAAAGCAATAGGGTTAGGGGGAACGAACAAGTTAACACCATTTACTGTCTGGGTTATCGATGTTTGCTTGCCATAGGGGTAAGTCGAGGTACCAAAGCGAGCGAGCCAGACCATGATTTCGTATTTGGCCTTCTCGCTGTCTGATGAAAGTTCCTGGGTGCTGTCCAAGAACATATCAACGGCAACGTTGGCATTGAGGCTTGCTGTGTCTAAAGATTTAATATCCGTGGTTGCAACAGGCTCATTGCCTAATCCGTATGTCCAGTCCACATCCAGGGTGATATTGTTCAGACTGTTTACGTGGACAGGGAGGGTGGTCCCATTGATCATGATGTTGGGAAAGGCATGCACAGGTTGGTCAGGATTGCCTTGGGTATAATTCCAGGTGACCGCGAACTCAGGGGCGGTGGTGTTAGTGGCATAGGTGCCATTATCAAACGTGGTAACCTGTACGTCGTGGTCAGCATTGGCTGTCGCTGGGTTGACTACCGGAGGCGAGATTGCAGACGTACATTCATACATAATCGAGAGACACCATTTGTGATACCCCCATCGATACCCCATTGATTCGGGTTGACTGCAGGCACGTCAGCGAGAAGGCCGTTTGGAGCGGGATAAAGAGCCACCAACGCAGATATTCCTGTCCCTTGGTATAGGGCGAGATACCATAGGCAGTTTGGCAGTAGTCGTTCCACTTAATGTCGTTGTCGCTGCCACCGCTGCCTCCGTTACCACCGCCGCTCCCTGTTCCGCCGCTGCTGCTGCCACCACCATTTCCGGTACCGCCATTGTTATTACCACCTCCGGCAAATAGGGGTTGTTGGCCAGAAGCTTGCCGCTGTGCATCGATGCCGACCAGGACGCCAATGGTGGTTCCGATGGGGATGGCCAGAAGGCCAGCGTTGACAACCCAGCGAAAGGCCATGCCGTCAAGAGAGCAGCGGGACGGGAGGGGAAGGAGGAAGGAAGATAAGAGCAGAAGTATACAACACGAAGCCAAAGAGGAGGACAAGAATCAAAAAGGAAATGAGGCTAGAACTTGGTGCGAGGGAGCGAGTCAGACCGTGATGGGTGACCTGATTGGGATGACACGGGCAAGACAAGAGAACAAAAACGGAGCAGGTGCTTATCACCGCTCGATCAGATCCTCAGTACTAGTCCTAATTACTGGGTACTATGTATTTAGTATGTACCGTAACGTCCCCTGACTAGACCGAGCGCCAAGACCTCCGTGTCTGAGCCAGCGGCCGCTGACTGGCCAGCAGGCCCCCCTGACCCGTCGCTGAATTGTAAGCAACCCAGCCCAAAGCAGAATTTTCACCCCATTTTTGTGGCTCGCGCTTTGCTATTTGCAGGGGTTAGTCGTTGGTAAATTGCCTGATGGAGACAAGCGCCGGGGAACATGCGCTGGGGCTTGTCAAAACACCCAACCAACAGCGGGCCTGGTGTTCCGATAGAGAGCTTATCACCACTAGCGCGCCCCATGCCGTCCTGACACAGCGTGTGCGCAACCATCTCTCCTATGTAACGTTTTCTTGTTGCTCAGGCCGAGAACGGTCAAGATGATGACGATGATGTTTTGACCTAGAAATGATGATCCTTCGATGGGGATCAAGAGACTCGATGAGATCTTAATCTGATCGAGAGATGATAGCCGGTGCCGATTTCTGTCTGCCCATGTTGCATTGCTTGTCGGTTTTATTACGCCGAGGGATAGTAGGTGTGCACGGAGCCGCATCAAGCACAAGGCCAGTTTTTTATCTGTACGTACTATCCGTACGCAGCAGCTAATTCCGTGCGTACATGGCACATGCAGTCAAATGACAATAGCATGTAAGGCCTTGTCCATAATAGCATTATTTATGTCATTCACCGTTGCAGTCGAAGTGGCTGCTGACTGTGGCTTTGCTGGGATAGCCATAGCAATGGTAATAAGATAACATATTAAGGGTGATAAGTTTTTAACGGCCGTTACACAAGGACGAAAGCCACCGATAACACGAATCATTCTTGAAAGAACTAACTAATACACATCGAGTGGCTGATCAGCGATCTGACCGGTGCGCCGTACCCGTCCAACATCGAATAATATCTATTGTCTAGCGTATAAATGGAGATGACTTGACTTCGTGATCCTTGCCTAGATGCATGAATTTTAGATTGAAGCGGAGTTTCTCCGTCCTGGGCAGGAGTGAAAATGGAGCTCGAGAGGATGGTGAGGATCAGCTTGCGTCTTCGACCAGGGTGCTACACCAGGAACGGCAGGGGGTGTGGGCTGTTGACGCAGGCCTAGAATCCACCAGCACAGCCTGCTGGGTCCGGGCCCTTACGTGGTGGACGCCGCTCATGCGGCGCTGAGCACAGTGGGGTAATCGGTGCCACTAGAAATCCTATATTTAGGGGCGCTAGCCCGGATCGAGCAGATATGCCATCATACAACGGCACCGCCGTAGATCTATCGTAGAGACTAAAATTTCTGCACAACCAATGAGCAGCAGCCGATGCAGAGCAGCCCCGCTGCAGGACAGCCCTAACAGCGACTCTGGGCCAATAATGTTGACCGCAAACGGTGCACAATGCACATTAGCAATAGTCTCTATTAATTAAGTGATGATGCTGGTACCACTGACTGTCCTGCGTGGGGGCCTGGCTGTGACCGAATTGAGGCTGGTGGTATTTTAATATCTGAGTTAATTACGCCGCACACGATCCCGCGCTTTCAGGAGCAGGCTGTGTCTGGTAACTAACAGTATCTCCCACTAGCCACTATTACCACGCGTATCGCCGCGCGCCCATTGGCCTGTCGTAGACTCTCGCTGGCCTCCGGGGCTGTCCGATTGGACTGCCTGCCCCATCCCCCAATGAAGTCGTCCAGTGTGCATTGAGGCAGGCAGGTTCATGCTTCCTGGTCAATAGCCTCGCTCGCTCAGATAAGCAGAGCGTGACAGTCGCCCACCTCAATCCTTCTTCCCCCCGAAACCCTTTTCTCTCGTCATTCATTCCACATCACTGCGTACCCTGTTTGACTCTGACAGCTTCCTTGGCTGTCCACATTCGTTTTGCATTTGCTTTTTGACCTTGCCAGTGCTGAGGTGACTTGACGCTGCCCAACTGCCAATTAATTGTTTACCAGTCTTACCTACACCCCCTATCCGCTTATCACCTCGCACAGTCTTTCGTTTAGGAGCAGGTGTCGCTTTCTGCTGGGACCGCCAGCGCCCCGTCCGATCACGATGAACGGATACGGGCACAACCCATACGCCCATGGCCAGACAAATCAGTGGTATGGTGAAGAAATGGTTGAGATCGATCCCACGCGAGACCAGCAATACCAGCACAATGTTCACCAGAGGACGGATAGCTATGGATCTCAACCAGGACGCACCACTCCACGACCCGCCGTGAAGCCCATCAGACCTGGCCTGGCCTTCAGTCAAGACTACCAGGGTCCCTACACGCCCTATAGAAGGTCTATGGCTGACTCGTTCGTCACCAGCCCCGGTGACTCGCGCTCAGCTACTCCGTCTTTGGTATGGAACTCATTATTTCGCCTTTTATTGATATAGCTAACGCGTCGTCTTTTTTTTTGATAGTATCAGAATCACCATTTTCAAAGTCACGCGAGCCTGACAGAGCTCGTGAGCCAGCCTCCATCACCAGTGCTGGCCAAGGACTGGGTTCAACCCGGATCGATTGCCCGGCTGCATGACCGCGACGATGCTGAGATTTGGAAGGGCTGGAAACGATGGCTCTTCCATTTGGTCCCCATTTTGACCGTTGCCAACATGGGACTGTACGTGGCTTATCTGGGTTTACGCATAGCATGCGTTATCTTCGCACAGAATGTCAGCCACATGGCTTTTCCAGGTGCCTGGGTTTTCATTGCAATCGAGATTATCGTCGCTATTCCTTCTCTCATGCACAACTGTTGGACCATGATGGCTATGAAGAAGAGAAGAAGAGCGAAACTGCGGCTGACTGGAGATGATGTCCCAACCGTGGACGTGTTCATTACTTGCTGCGGCGAAGATGACGACGTCGTCCTCGACACTTTTCGGGGCGCCTTGGACCAAGACTACCCGCGCGATCGATTCAGGGTTATCCTCTTGGATGATGGCGCATCGGCTAGCTTGGAAGAGGCCGTCAACCAGCTCGGACAGGTCCATCCTAATGTATTTTACATGGCACGGAAGAAGATCCCCGGCGTGCCTCACCACTTCAAAGCTGGTAACCTGAACTACGGTCTCGACGAGACCCGACAACTGCCTGGCGGTGCTGGTCAATTCATGGCCGCTCTGGACGCGGATATGGTGAGTTGTTGTCGATCCTCGTAATAACAGATCTGTCACTGACTCCTTGCAGATTCCCGAGCAGGACTGGCTCCGGGCTGTTCTTCCCCACCTCCTGATAGATCCAAAGATGGCCCTTGCCTGTCCTCCCCAATTGTTCTACAACACTCCGCCATCTGATCCACTTGCTCAAAGTCTGGACTTTTTCGTCCACGTGATTGAGCCCATCAAAGATGCGATGGGCGTTGCCTGGTGCACTGGTTCTGGTTATGTAGTTAGACGGGACGCTCTGGACGAGATTGGCAACTTCCCGTTAGGCTCTCTAGCTGAAGATGTCGCTACGTCGACACTCATGCTTGGCAAAGGATGGCACACTGCGTACATCCACGAACCCCTCCAGTTTGGTACTGTGCCGGATGACTACGGCTCTCACTTGAAACAGCGTACTCGATGGGCCATTGGAACAGTTGACACTGCCGTTAAGCTGAAATTCTCCCTCTGGGGAGACGCCGTTCGTCAAATGACTGCGGCTCAACGCTTCTCTGGGTTTTTGTACGCCACTTTGAGTGTATATACAATCCTTCTCACTGCGTCCCTGTTCGCCATTCCTATCATTCTGCTATGGGGCAAACCTCTTGTGGCCTATGCCAACGATGAACAACTCAGATGGCTCATGCGGGCCTGTTTCGCAGCGACCATTGCCAATCGCCTTTGCGAATTTGTGCTCTTCATCCCTGCCGGTTATCATACTGGTCAGCGTGGGTCCCGATACCAGCTTTGGATGGCACCCTACATCGCCCTTTGCATTGTCCGGGCATTCATCCTTCCCAGGTGGCTGGGTGGTCAAGCCCAAGCCTTCAAACCCACTGGTTCATTGAGCTCAGCACTTGAGGAGCGTGATCCGAAGAGACGAAAGAACATGTTCGTTCGCCTCTCGACAATTCTGTTCAACTACATGGCTTTGTTCCATTTGGCATTCGTTTACGTCACTCTGGCAGCCGTTATCCTGTCATCGTATCGTTGCTTCTTCCAGGAGTCTGGCTTCAGGAATGTTTTCACATGTCTTATGACACATGCATTCTGGCCGCCGTTGACCTTCCTCTTCATCTGCACTTCCCTTTGGATACCGATTTCATATGCGATCGATCCTCCGTCGATGCCCGATCGGGAAGACCTGTTGAAGCGAGACCCAAAGACCGGAGTCGCCCACCCGACAAACAAGAGCAAGCGCATTGCCTTTGGTGGCCAAGCTGCCTGGTTCGAGCTCGAGTATACAGTCGCAACCGCCTGGACAGTCGTGGTCTTTGTCTACTCTTTCTTCTTTTGATGTACGATGATCTTATGAATATATATTTTATTACCCTTCAACTACCCTTCCTACCATCCCTTTGAATGCGGGCGGGGACTTGATGTCGTTTGGATCGAGGATTCCGAATGTGCCGTACGTTTGTGCTTGTAATACTACAGATAATTATTGGAGTTAGGGCTTTTTCTGAACAGACTTGATCTTGAAAATTTTCTCTTGTTTTTCTACCTGTGATTATCGTTCGGGCATTTACGAGGCGAGAGTGTTGAGGTGCACATCGACTATAGGATTGATTTTGATACCAAATAAATAATGCATTTAGATGGATATCTAGTATTCTTATCTCATCATTTCTACGTAGTTTATAATAATCCCAGTCTCTGTCTTGGATGTCTTCAGACTCGACAAATACACATGTCGGTTGATAGTCTCTTATCGATACATCGGTGTGATTGAGGTATGTTGAAACAAAGGCATCTGGTTTATACGACTTACAAGGACTAGATACTGGAATTAAGACCCCATAATAGGTGGTTTATCAAGCAGCTGACTGTTATTGATCCAGAATGAATCATCTATGGAAGACAATAACCTCCATCTACCACAATATCCGCACCAGTCGTGAAGCTCGATGCGTCCGATGCGAGATATAAATAAGCGCCCTTCAACTCATCGGGATGCCCGATGCGGCTGTATTGGAAAATTGTTAGAAAAGAATTTGAATGAACTTATGAGATGTACAAACCGCATTGGAGTCTTGTCTCGGAGAGAGTCCTTGACATCTTCCGAGCAATCACCTGTCAACCCACTCTCGATGTAGCCAGGCGATACTGTGTTTGCGCGAGCGAAGCCGGCCCATTCAACAGCTAGGGATTTGCCTACATATAATTTTAGTTCATCATATCATTAGAACGAGAATGCGTCCCTGGAAAAGGTTTTGGTACTCACAAAGATGTATAACCCCAGCTTTTGACGTATTGTACGCAGCCTGCAAATGAGGCACGTTCACAATATGTCCACTCATACTAGCAGTCGCGATAAAACTCCCAGATTTGAAGTCCATCAGAGGGTGACCCGAAATGGTAGTTTTTTCTTGTGCTTGCCGACGAAAATGCTTTCCAGAAGCGCGAGCACAGTAATACACACCGTCCAGATTGATCGACATAACCTGGCGATAATGCGCAACACTGCTATCGATCGCCTCCACTTCCTCCCATGCTATGCCGCTATTCGCAACGAAGATATCCAGGCGTCCATTAAACTGTTTCACGATTTCGGTTATGGTTGCGTCGAGCTCGGGCTGCTTTGTGACGTCTACTTGGATTGCGCGACCTATCTGGCTTCTCAGCTATGTGTGCACCAAAGTCGTTGCTTTTCTGGACCTACATTTAACATTGTAGTTTGCTGCTATTTCGTCGGCGGCATCAATTGCGGACTTGTTTTTATGGTATAGAATGGCGACGTTGGCGCCCGCCTGAGCTAGAATCTGAGCAATGGCAAAGCCTATCCCTGCCTTGGCTACGCCGGAGACGATTGCCGTTCGTTCTCGGAGGGAAAATAGGGGTAGGCTGTCGAATGACTGGTTTTGCATTTCGGGTTCTTTATTTGTACTATCCTATACTTGTTTTGTCGGGTCGAATCTTTGGTCGTCCTATCCTTGCGGTGATAAAAGCCGGGAGTATTACAATTCACGGCTGTAGCCAGACTGCAATATGAAATGGCTACTGAATAGACAGGTAGTTATCGTCTTCGAGTAAAGCCTGACTTCTAACAGATATCTGTGGAACCATTCGAATACAATGGCCCTGATAGATGGCACCAGCAGACGCTATGCGATTGGCTAATCATCCGTAAGCAGGTCCAGCGTTGAATCTACCAATGATGATGCCTAGGGTAACGTGAAAATTACGCTGAGAAACAACTTATATGAACCGAAAATGCTCCCAGTATGTTCAAAGGAAAATTAACAATGACGACGCTGGTTTGGTTGTCTCGAAAGCGTCTCAAGACAATGCTCATGGTAGAGGTAGGCGGTGAGCATATAAGTCTCTGTCATTGGCTTGTAAAGCGGAGGTGGGACTAGCCACGTGACTGCGGGATTAGTACTGCCGCCGGAAAAAAAAAAGTCGTAGTTCAACTTTGCAGACAGTTTGTGAACAGTCGGCAAAACATGTCGAAAGAGAAGATGGCTACTTCTAAGGAGACCTCGAAAAAAGTGAAGCGTAAGCAAACCACGTCGGAGGAGGAAGTCAAGTCATCTCCGACCCGATCACGCGAAAAACGCGACAAGGCTGAGAAGCCGAAGAAGCACAAGACCGTTCACCGTACCGATGCTGAGATCGCAGACGAAGAAAATGAAATTGGGGTAGAAGATCAATCTGACTCGAAGCCAGTCGAAGAGGACGACAATGAGAATGGAGAAGAGGAAAATCTCGCTGATTTGCCCTCCGCCAATGCGGTATCTCTTCCCCAGACTGACGATTCGATACCAACCAAATTTGCCGACCTCAAGCTGTCGGAAAAGACCATGGAGGCGATCAAGGAGATGGGGTTCGAAACAATGACTGAAATCCAGCAACGCGCCATCCCTCCTCTGATGGCTGGTCGTGACGTCCTGGGTGCTGCAAAAACTGGCTCGGGAAAGACTCTGGCTTTCGTAAGGATTCTTGCAACATCTCCAATGTTACGTTTATCTCACGTAATGCGAACTAACAATTTTGATGCTATAGCTTATACCCGCTGTTGAGCTGCTTCACAGCCTGAAATTCAAACCCAGGAATGGTACCGGAGTGCTCGTTCTGGCTCCAACTCGAGAACTGGCGCTGCAGATCTGGGGCGTCGCCCGGCAATTGCTGGAGAAACACACCCAAACGCATGGAATCGTCATGGGAGGAGCAAACAGACGAGCAGAGGCTGAAAAGCTGGAGAAGGGTGTCAATCTTGTGGTCGCAACGCGTACGTTTACTGACTCAGATTCACATGTCAATGCTGACCGATTGCTAGCCGGTCGTCTGCTAGATCATTTACAGAACACCAAGGGCTTCATTTTTAAAAATCTCCGCCAGCTGGTTATAGAGTGAGCTACATTCACCTCGAACCTGACCCTCCATTGCTAACTTCGCATAGTGAAGCAGATCGGATCTTGGAAGTTGGGTTCGAAGACGAAATGAAACAAATCATTAAAATCCTAGGAAATGGGGAACGGCAAACTTCGCTCTTTTCTGCCACCCAGACTACGAAGGTGGAGGACCTAGCGCGAATCTCCCTCAGACAAGGACCGCTCTATATCAATGTGGTACCCCGAATGGAAAATGCTACCGTCGATCGACTCGAACAAGGATATGTGATTTGTGAACCAGATAAACGATTTCTCCTTCTGTTTTCTTTCCTCAAGCGAAATTTGAAGAAGAAAATCCTCGTCTTTTTCTCAAGCTGCAATTCTGTCAATTATTACGTGAGTGCTTCAACGTTGGTATCTACTACTCAAGCACTTTGAACTAACTTAACAACCTCAAGTCTGAATTGCTGAACTACATTGATCTTCCGGTACGATTTGGCATACTTCAATAAGATTGGTTTTCCACTGACTTGACCAGGTTTTGTCAATCCACGGCAACCAAAAACAGCAGAAGCGAACATCTACATTTTTCGAGTTCATTAACAGCGAGAGGGGCATTCTTGTTTGCACGGATGTCGCCGCTCGTGGTCTCGATATTCCGGAAATTGACTATGTCGTTCAATTCGATCCTCCAGATGTAGGTGCCACATTTTTCCCTTGTTAGACCTAAAATTGCTAACTAAATCAGGACCCACGAGACTATATCCACCGAGTCGGTCGTACTGCACGTGGTGCGAAGGCGAAGGGTCGTAGTCTTATGTTTCTACAGCCATCGGAAATGGGATTCTTAACCCATCTAAAGGAAGCAAAAGTTCCAGTTGTCGAATTCGAGTTTCCCCAGAAGAAGATTATTAATGTCCAGTCTCAACGTGAGTTATTACCCCTTAACCCTCCTTTTTCATCATATAGTTACTGATGTGAATATATCGTATAGTTGAAAAACGTGAGCAATCTCCTCATTGCATTTCTCTTTCTATTTAGAAACGCACATCCATAACTAATCTGCCCTTGAATAGTGATCTCTCAAAACTACTACCTCAACAAATCCGCTAAAGAAGGCTACCGTTCGTACCTGAACGCCTACGGATCGCACTCCCTTCGCTCAGTCTTTGATATCCACAAACTCGATCTGGTCAAGGTTGCCAAGAGTTTCGGCTTTTCTACGCCCCCTCGAGTTGACCTTTTCCTCGGTGCAAGTATGAGCAGAGATAAGAAAACCCCGGCGAGGAGGGCGTATGGTAGCCAGCCCAAACAAGCACCTCGCTTTAAGCGAAAACGGGAGGATTGATTAGCGATCAGAATATTTATTTGTTCATACGACAAAAAGCATGGGAGGAGTTCGGTGTATGGTCTAGATCAGCATGCAGTTGTACATTTTAAAAATTTCCGAGTCTAATTCACCTGTGATAGTTGGTGTGGCCTACATGTAGTCTATTCAAGTAATAAATGTGCACTGTTTACTGAAGACACAGGTGGAGATTCTGCAACATCTCACAGCCCGAATACTTGACAATGCCAAGCTGATGCATGCTAAGGAGGAGTCAGGCAAATCTAATAATGATTTAATGATAGCTACGATCGCCAATACTTCGTTTTTCTCGCAGGAGCTTTGAATTAATCAGGCCAAACAAACGTACTCTACACAGCAATGAAATCGGCCATTAAAATTTGGTTTAAGCAATACAGTGCTTTATCGGAGGCCTGAATGTTCTCTATACATGTAAATGAGATTTCAAGATAGTTGCGTTTAATGCAGTAGACTTCTTGATTTTACTGCCCTCATCACATTTCAAACTCTCAAGCCAGCCTCTCTCGCAACATCTTTCATACCGACATGCTCATACCAATGCTTCCCATTTCCCGAATAGACATTAGGATCAGCACCGGCCTCAATTAACATCTTCACCAGCTCGGGGTCCTCATGAAGTGCAGCTACTTCAAGGATTGTCTCGGCATTGTCCCTTCTATAGTTAGCATCGGCGCCGACCTCTAGTAACCGTACAATAACGTTTGTGTTTGGCTCATCAACCTCCAGAGAGGAATAGAGTGCCGCGCAATACACGTCCTTAAAATCAAACTCACTCGGATCGGGTCCATTAGCCAGCAGGTTTTCCACATACTGATACTCCCCGCTCATGGTAGCAGTCACAAGCTGACCTTTGTATTGTTTCTCAACACGGGATATGGCAGGGGCATCGGCGGCTTTGGCAACACTGCGGGCGCAGTGGAAAAGAGTGTTCCATTTGACATCGCCGGACAGCTGGAGTGACAACTGAGGGGAGATGTTAGGATCCAAAGGCTCTGTCTCACTCTTGAGGAGAAGAAGTTTGGTGGCTTCGATATGGCCACGCTTTGCTGCAATGCCCAAGGGTGTGAGATAGCCTGTGCGTGGAGCGTGGTTAATAAGCGTCGCGGCGAGATTTGCTGACGCCCCCCTGGGTGGTTTCTTGGAGAGCATGTGCTTCAGAAGAGTATGCAAACCGAGCCAAGCGGCTATGTATAGGACAAGAATAGTAGTGGCGTTTGTAGAGAGGGTATGTCGCGGAACAATCTTCTCGATTTCGGCGGCTAGTTCTGCCATCTCTGGCCTTCTTTGATGACTGAGAATACCGAGACCGCGTGGGATCTTGCCGGCCTCTTTTGGGGTGCATAGATCTTGAATAATCTCGTTAATCTCTGGGCCATGCTTCCGCGACAGTTTTGCGTGTTGATGCCAGTTTATTGCGGCGTACCGCAGAAAAGGGTTGTGACTGATGATGTCGTCAGAAGTTTGCTTGTTGCGCTGAAATCCACTCGAAGTCTTTCTGCGCTTAGCATCATTCGTAACTTCGTTTTTGCACTCTCTCGGCTTCAAAACCCGACAACAAACCTCTGCAAGCGCAGTGTGGCAATCTGCTTTGCTGATTTTGTGCATGAATTTCCCTGTATGTCGCTTGAAGCTACTAGTATGACACAAAAAGTCCCTAAAACTGTGGTGGATAAAGTATACTTTGTCATCAATGGTAGTAAGAAGTGGACCGCATAACTGATTGAGATATTGCCTAAACTGGCCAGGTTGTTTCAGATTGAGATTCGTGTAGGAAGTTGCTTCAGAACTGATCGCGAAAGCCGCGTTAAGCTCTGTCAATGTAAGCGGCTCCACTGCTCCAAATACCATGCGGAACATCCAGGCCTCAGTATCCTCATCTTGAGAGCCTTTCAGCAGATGCTTATACAGCTTGTCGAGGGTTTGGGGAATCCGAGAAAGGAGCTTGCTTCGTTCTGCACGTCTCTGGCTGATTATCGTTTTCTCAATTCGCGGCCAGTATAGGCTGAACCACAAGTAATTGGCAGTTTCAGAACCAAGTTTGTGAAAACGTTCATCAATCTTTAGCCGATCCGACGATGAGCAAGGCAGTCTATCCAGGCGATATCGGTATAATGTTCGTAAATCGGACTTGATCTCTTCAACGGACTCAGAAGGATGTATCTCACGTAGCCTCTGCGTACTACGAAAGAGTATCTGAAATTCTACGCGTGGATCTGATGTGAGGAATATCTTGAGTATAGGTCTGGAGTCTGCCTCAGAACGCTCAACATCGAACCAAAGTTGCATGAGACTTGCAATCAACCAGGCAGTGTCATCGCACTCATCAAGTCCATCCATGATGCACACAACCTCTTTCCCTAAAATTGGGTCCGCTAAGGCTTTTTTGAATATGTCCCACAATGCAACCTTATCATGAAGTAGTCCGTTGTTAGTTTGTTTAACATAATCCGCAGCATAACGGTTAAAGAGCTGTGGTCGCGCAGTAAACATCTGATAGAGCAGTGCTTGCAATGCTGTTGCTGGCTTTTGTCTTTTCGACCCATCCTTCAATATGAAACACGCACACACAAGCCCATCAACAGAGTGGAAGATGTTTTCTTCTATGATCGATCTTGTGCTAACAGACTTTCCGCATCCGGCTGGCGCAGCAAACCATAGTATCTCATTTCTTGTACTTGCGCGAAATTCTTGAAGTTGGGGATGGCTGAACACCCAATCTAGGGTATTGGGCTCCCGAGTGCGATGAAATTCTTTCCCAGAAGTTATTTTGCAGAAGTCAGGTGTGATATTACGGCCTAGCATGAACAGTGGTTAGTATCCCAAATACAAGAAATATATGAAACATACCTTCGCTGCCTGTGGAAGCGAGCGAACCTTGTATCGACGAGTCTGCCATTTGATTTCAAAAATTGAATCGTGCTACGAACGTTTTCATCTAAGGCTGACTCTGCGAAAAAAGTGTTGAGTGTTGTCTATTACAGAGTTCGAAGACAAAGGGACGCGGTACTGTGAATAAATACCAGTATCAGTCATCTGCCGGAAAATCGCCGTAAGTATCGCACATTCTCGCGTGAAAAATAAAACCAGAAGCTTCTATACCCACAGAATCAAGTCAAATAATGAAGGTAGCGTTTGCAAACTGACGGCCCAAGTTAGGAAGGCTGAGGGTGCCCTGCGAGGATGGTGTTTGCTTTACCCCAAGCTTGAACAAACAACTCAAGTATGCATGTGAATCCTTTGATTAAATGTCTAAAATTACAGTATCTGCTCAGAAGATTGAATTTAATGACCACATCGAGTGATTGGTTTCAGAAAGGAAAGGATTTATACGGGTATATCTACGCCCGCCCAATGAAGCCGTTCCGTTGAGGCACCAAATAGGAATGAGATTTAGAGGGCTTCTTAATTGATTCCACACTCTAGAATGATGCGTATATCCAAAGAAACTACAAACAGATCTAGAACTACACAACGGACGACGCCACCGAAAAAAAAAAAGCATCATGCCAATGTAGGACATCACCAAAACAGAAAATATGGCGTTTGAATCCATATCAACAAAGCAATCCACCCCTACTCCCAATATCAGAGTTGCTACAGCGACCTGTACTGGTAAATAATTCCTGCTACACAATACGGGAGATACCAAAATCCGATACACCTATCCCAATGATATCGATCATGCCCGCATTTAAGTCTTTACAACAGGTGATCCAGGAAAGCAAGGATGGGATAGAGCCAACTCTCTCTCGATCGCATATGGCTATATTCTATCCATACAACATTCATCGATATGCTTACGATGGTGAGAGCGTATCCTGGGACATGAGTGACGAGAATCTCGTGCCATTACGATTTTCTCCTGTCGCGCCAGACCATCCTCTCGTCGACATCTGGGATGATAATGAAATAGGACTCAAAGTTGCCACTTTACTCGAGGAAAGTAGTGTTTTATTTGATGCAATTGACTTCGCCTGTCGGCGTCAACTAGACTCAACCGTGGGCAATAATGATGACCATGCAGTCGTCATTACAACCAGGACGTTGCCAGCCATAACACCCAGTCTTACCGAAGTATTGAAAATGATTCATGAGCTAACAGGCAAGCGAAGCTTCTCTCTAGCTGTTTGAAATTACCCCTGTTAATGACTTTCTGACATTGTAGGTGGGCTCACCGTTGAAATACGCCAAGGAAGAGTTGATATTCTTTCAGCATACCCAACGATAGGATCTAGTATGGGCATCGTAGGGAATCTTGAATCTAACGGTACTATTGGCGGGTTTTTCAACCTGCTTGAAAAGAATGGAGATGTTGTCGCGCACTGCGCGCTTGTTTGCGAGCATGTCATTCGGCCATATACCACCGCGAGCAATACAGAAATGTCACGTCCGTTCGCCGAGAATACAGGTAATCGACCCACATAAAGCCTTTGAGTATCACTGATAGATGGCCATACAGAGTCATACATCCGCCGTTCTAGAAACAGTCGAAGCCAGCAGGATATCTATTGTACACACCCAAGCCAAAGCTCACATCTGCAAACGGTTGCAAAAAATCGAAAGGCTCTTGTGCGACTTGCAGGCGAGCTTGTTGCTCTAAATTACAGTAACCCAGAACTACAGCTACCTGCAGAACAGCAAAACATAGAGAAGGAAAAGTCTCGAATTCAAAGAATCACAACTCAAGGCATTAATCGAAATTCCCTCCTTGGCTCCGTGTATGCATCTTCAGGGTATCAATTTACTGCTGGTAGCCAACGCCTAGATTGGGCTCTAGTCGAAATTCACAACGCAGTCCCCTTGACGCGTGCCAACAAAGTAGAAAACCGCAGTACAGAGACGCAGCACATGAAGTTTCGACGGATTCTACATGCCGGCAAACCTCCATCCAATGGCTTTGTGTACAAACAGGGATCGACAACGGGCCTCACTAGCGGTGTAATTAACCCGGTTCTGAGCTATATTGCCAGTTATGATGCTAATGGCAATCGCAAAATGACAGCCGAGCTTTGCGTTATACCAGATCGCGGCTTTGAGCGTTTCGCAGGTCCTGGAGATTCTGGATCACTGGTGCTGGAGTGCCGCACTGCAAATGTTGTGGGAATGGTCTTTGGTGGTCATTTGGACTGTGAACCGGCGTATTTCTCGTCGATCTCTGCCATGGCAAAAGATATCCGCAAAGTGACCGGGTTGGATATGCAGATTCCGGGTGGGAGCCTCATAAAACGTCTTCATTGAGCTTCTTATCACCACAGATCGAATACCTGCTGTTTTTATCTTCTAGGTTTCATGCCTGCAGTTGGGGTAAATGTTAGCATGTACAAACACTCAAAATTCTCCGGTATTAAGGAGAGAAATTTGAATAATAACCAATCAACAGATCTATTTCTTTGTAATATATACTTTCATGCATGTTTATAACGCGACCCCTTACTTTACGTTAGTAGATAGTCATATAACTATCAATGGCACTATGATAAAAATTATTGCTAACATCAAATTTATTCGATGCTGTAATTCTTTCGACTTTGGACACGGTTGTTTTGAACGTTCCCTTTTAAAATTAGCCCTAACTCTCATATGTAGGAGTCGGGACCGGCTGAAATGATAGGTAATTAGCAAATTTTGTCTATTCTATGTAAAAACATGTATTTTTCTTAGATGAAAACATAACTGATCAAACATCAGTATTATTGATACATTTGTCGCGGGGTTTTTCCTAAAACATGGAAATGCTGACCTCGGTGTCTCTTTTCGCCCCCGAACAGGGAGCTTAGCCTTTAATTTTATGCTTATAATTAGCACTACCTAGGCGTTTGTTGGCTAGGGCTTATTGTGGCTTGGCTGTGCGCATGTTACATGATCCACAGCCATTCGTCAATTGTAAGTCGTGAGAATTCGGTGACGATCTTGTACAAAATAGTCAGGTTGAATTTTTTTGGGCAGGCAAACAGACTTTGTTGTATACAGTGACTTTGCAGTGCGCTCAAATTTTTAGAAACGGTGAAATCATCAAGTGATGGTAATATGATATATATATTATGTACATCGTAGTCTAAATTGTATACAAGTCAAAGCTACATCCTGGTTTATACACATCTCCACTTTGAAGACTTGGAGACTTGGAGACCAGTCTATTGAGTCACGGCAAGAGCAGCATTCAGGGCATCCAATGCAGCACCTTGCGTGACCTCGTTGGTTGAGTTGTAAGGGCCGGCCCAATCCTCGCCAACATTGCATACCGAGCCGCTGTCCGTCTGTTCAAAATATAAATCGTTGTTCCAAATGCTCTGGGCGTTGGTGATGATGAAATTCTTCCAGTTATCGTGCGGATACGCGAGCTGCAATTTCCGCAGACCGCGCATGTACGGACCCTTGAACATTTCAGCCGTCTCGTCACAGTTGTCGGATTCGTCGCATCCGTCATGCAGGATTCCGTTGGAGTCGGTCACTGATGAACCAGCAGCGCTGGAGGCGTTGGCTAAGGCAGCTGCTTGCTCTAGGTATGTCTGATTGTTGGTGGCTTTGTATAATTCGGCGGCGGCGCCGAGAATGACTCCTTGGTTATAAGTGAACTTGGCGCCAACAGGTGCGCAGTTATTGCCTTTGTCCACTCCATCACTGACCATGCTGTCATTGCCCACGAGTCCAACACTGAAAAACCAATTCCAGCCGTCAACAGCGTGACTGAGATAGTCCGAAGCTTGGTCAGATCCCACGCGAGCAGCAATACCAGCAGCTAATTCAATGTAAAGCCCTAGACAGTATAACAGTCAATTGATGGGCCAGCAAATTGGGATTCACAAAACCTTACCATTAGAGATCGCAGCCACATAGGACTGATTCTTGTCCCACCAAATTCCTCCGCACGGTGTCCCCAGTCCTCCAATGATATCATTGTAGATCGTGATCGCGGCATCCAAGTATGTCTGGTTCTGCGTCACATCGTATACATCCAGCCAGGCATTTCCCCACCATCCTTCATCGTCGTAAAAAGCGTCGAGGAAGTTGACGTAATTGCCGTATCCAGTTGCGGTGTCGTAGGTGTTGACAAAGACATCGCCATGTTCAGACAAGTAGTCCGAGTTGAGAGAGGTCAATGTTGCAAGTGCGGACATGAAATTTCCAGACTGCCACCATAGGTCTTTCCCCCAGAGCCCAGTGTCGTGTACTTGGTAGTTCCGCATGAGTTGGTCGCTGTAAAAGATGTCGGCGGTTAGTTTCTCCCTTTTCAGAAAATATTCAGAATAGAATAAAAGGTCAACATACGCTGTGCAGACGGCATTGTCCTTGTAATCAGACCCATCACGTTTAGCAATATTTCTATTCAAGGGACCAGCAGAGACAATGCTGGGACCCAAAAGGGCAAGCCCTAATTGTTTAAATGTTGGCATGGTGAATTGCACAATCAAGGGAGTGTCACTATTGGAGTAATAACTATAAGGGTTCGGTTCCTTTTGTACATCTTCTAGATTTCATGGGTATCCTTCTTATATACGGTAATGCATCCCTATTAATTACTCGGACCCGTTCTTAAGCTGTAGTCCGTAACTGCTATTAATAATACTTATGCTTAGGAGAGATTTAACGTATCAACCTCAAATAAGGCCGCCCAAAACCACTAGCTAGTAAACTGCTGACCCTGCATCTTACAGCCTTTCCTATTTTGGACATTCATCAGCTTACATCGTGGTATACGAAAATCTAAATGGGCACTAAATCACGTGATGTCGTCGCTCTCGCAACAAAATGCGACGCTGACCCATAAGATATAGAAGGGGCTCTTAAGCTATTACGGGAATCGACTAGTCTAGGTACTGGGGCCAGATGGAGTAATTTGGATTGGTACCTTAACTGCTAGCATTAAGTGTACTTTGGTTTCAGAGTAGTACCACTGTGGCTGATGTTTAATTAAATCGGCTATTCGGATAGGTACAGGAGGATGCAGATCCTCAGCGATGTAACAGGTCGGCAAATTGATATTGCAGTTAGTACCTGCTAACCTAGTGGTTGACAAGCACTGCGAAACATTTATGGTTGAGCCAATCAACACTACCACATTTTAAATTCGAAAAGGCAACTCTATCAGAACCAAAATATAAAATATGCAGCAAGAAATAGAACCGCTTTCTACAAAGATCAAGCAATAAGGTCGATAATTCCCACAAGGATAAGCTTATCCGCGATTAGGTATGGTGGACCCGATATGATTGGACGTGCATCTGCATCGTATGAATCGACCATGCATTCATATTGACTTACTGTGTATCAATTGTATCAAATATGTAGTCTGCCACAGGAAATCAACGGAGAGAATCGACGTCATAGGATTAGTCTTCGATCTCGGTAGCCGGGAGGAACATTAATAATGCGTGCCCTAACCCTAACCCTAAGGCGTTATCTGTTCCTTAGTCCTGTTCCTTAGTCCCATTAAGACTGTTATTGTTGGGCATAGCCTCATTATTATTACGTGTTGAGAGATGGTTATCCATGGTTCCCGGTCACGTTTACCAATCATGTGATGGACGTTTCCTCTTCCATAGCGCTGTCAATGCGTTCAATGTATGATAGCCACTACACGACATCAATAGTCGATATATATATGTATATGGAGTTGCTGTCTCCGATTCAATTGCGAAACAGCCAGAATGACTGACTATCTTGTCCTAGGAGGCGGCTTGGCCGGCTGTGTTGTGGCAACCCGACTCAAAGAGTACAATCCAACCGCAACCGTGACGCTTGTCGAGGCAGGCCCCGACGCTCACAACCACGAATGGATGACTGAGCCCATGGGCACATTCAACCTTCATCTCAGCGAATTTGAGTACAACTACCTGACGGTACCTCAGGAGCACTACGATGGACGCCGTGTATTCAACGCCGGCGGCAAGCAGCTGTCTGGCTCCAGCTCGGTCAACTTTGCAATGTGGACGCGGGGAGGAAAAGACGACTATGGTGTGCACTGCAGTCCCTTTGCATATGTAAATATAGATTGGAGAAACCGCTTGCTAATGATTCAGATCTATGGGGGAAAACCGTTCAAGATGACAGATGGAGCTACAGCGGCCAGCTACCCTATTTTCGTCGCACGGAGACTCATCATGACCCCTCCAGCGCGGATCCCGTGCAGCATGGCTTCGACGGCCCAATTCACACTACCGCTTCGGCGCGAGACTATCCGCTCAGAAACCTCTTGCAGGACGCTTTTCTTGCCACAGGGCTACCTACCAATCCAGATGCCAACGCTGGAAACCCACTAGGGATTGCAGCTTACACTGAAAACTGGCGCGAGGGAAAGCGTCAACCCGCGGGAAAGGCGTACGGGTTGAAAGGCGTCGAGGTGATCACCAATGTCTTTGTCCGTCGTATTATCCTGCAGGGCAATGTTGCTACGGGAGCAGAGTTGAATGACGGTCGCACAATCCGCGCCAACAAAGAAGTCATCTTGTCCTGTGGCTCCATTCGCAGTCCGCAGGTTCTGATGCTGTCTGGAATTGGCCCAGAGGCCGAGTTATCCAAGCAAGGAATCGAACAATTAATCGATTCTCCTGACGTGGGCCGTAACTTCAATGACCACACCTGTCTTGCTCAATTCTACCGTATCAAAAACCCAGAAAAGTCTCTCGTTGCGGGTGCTCCGGGGTGGAATAACCCTTCTTACCTGCTCGGATTGCCCGCAGATCTGGTCGCTACGGCGAACGCGGATCCGGTCAAATTGAAGGCAGCCTTAATAAAGGATGGGGAGACGAACGTAGACGACTCACACCCGCATCTGGCGCCTACCCGTGGACATATTGAAATACTTCCGATATATGCGCCAACCGAGGCTCCATATACCCACCTCAACGTCCCATTTGACGGGAGCTGCATGACGGTTGGGATTCTCAACTTGCTGCCCACGTCGCGTGGCTCGGTGAGTTTGGCGTCGGCCGATCCCACGGCCGATCCGTTGGTTGATCCGAACTACTATGCCACCGAGGCGGACCGGGTGGTTATGCGGCAAGGTGTGCGTCTTGCTCTGCGGGCAATCGAATCACAGGCAGGCCAACAGATTGTCGACCAAGAGTTTCTCCCGCCGGGATGTTCTGCTCCACTGACATCGCAAAGTACAGATGCCGAAATTGACGACCGCATAAAACGTTTTGCGGCGACTTGGTTCCATCCCACGGGCAGTTGCTCGATGGGTAAAGTGGTTGATACAGACCTGAAAGTGAAGGGGGTGGAAAAGTTGCGGGTGGTTGATGCCAGCGTCATGCCCTGCCCTATTGGTGCTCATTACCAGGTTGCTACCTATGCTATTGCGGAACAGGCTGCTGATATCATCACCAAGGGGAATAATTAGAATCATAACTGAAAATATATGGACATGGTTGAATACTTGCACACTTTTACTATTTTCTTGTCAACTGATTCTGATTCCAACCAAGCACATACAAGTATATGCATTACGTTATGCTGTTAGTTACCATATAACTATTTTCACCAGCGACTCGATGGTGAAAAAAGATAGAACACGCTAATCTAGCCAGATTCAAGGAAAAGTAATATAACTTCACGAAGAATGATGTGTAGCAGTCTGATCAGATAATTCACAGGTGGTGTGGAGAATCTACGTTGCAGTACTAGCAATGCTTAGCCTGTCCAAAACAAAGATATGTCCAATAAAGACTCTGTCAAGCAGCACGCGACCGTATAAGAAGAGACTAGACAAGGGTTTGATGCAGTACTACGAATTAGCAAGGCGTCGGGAGGAAGGCCGAGAGCTGGTCAATAAGATTCGTATTATTAAATAATGCCGCGACATAATGGTAGGATAATGCTAATAGAATGACTGCGATTGGCTATCCACCAGCCTATTCGATCTAAATTCACTTTGATGGAAGTGGCCAGCAGATGAATTTGCTTACTTTGATTGTGATCGTCGGTGGTCCGATGGGTTAGGGTTAAGGTTAATTGTTAGTTTCCTCGTGCACCTTCATCTCCATTCTATTGGAGATGGTTGAAATGTCGACATTGTGTCCGCGTGTCTCACACCAGGATTGTACGGATAATTTTTCTCTATTGGATCGCCGCCTTGCATCGTATCAATGATTATGCATGCGAATGATTCGCTATTGTGATTGTGTTGCGTGCGGGGTTACGCAATGAAGGTGCAGTGCAGCTGGAATGCATGTAGCCGGCCCGGAGATATCTAGTATAAATGTACCTGAGGGCCCCTCCCAAACATCGTTTTCTTCTCGATTCCTGGCTACAAGGGATACAACCGAGAAAAAAATAAGAAAATAAGTTGATTGTCAGAATGCATTCAGCTACTCTCGTCAGGCTGCTACTGGCCCTCGCCGCCTCTGCATCAGCCATTCCCACCAAGCGTGCCCAGCCTGGATCAGCGGCGTCGATTCAGAACTTCAAAGACAAGATCAAAAATGTGGTTGTCCTAGTGATGGAAAACCGCTCACTGGACAACCTTCTTGGCGGCCAGACGCTCAAAGGGCTGGAGAACCCAATCAACAGTGGCCCCTACTGCAATCCCTACAACCTGACCGCCGCGTCCGAGGGCAATGTCTGCAGCGCCGCCAAAGACTACGACTCTGTATCTGATGACCCAGACCATGGGGTCTATGGAAATAACCTTGAATTCTACGGTACCTTCAACCCAGACGAATCTCTCGTGCAGAGCGGCGCGTTGACGCCCAGTCAAAACGGATTTGTCCATGAGCAAATCCGTCTGTATGCTTCGGATGCCAATAGGTCGGAGCTGGCCACCCAAGTGATGAATTACTATACCGAGGAACAGGTTCCTGTCCTCACGGCTCTAGTGCAAAACTTCCTGACCTTCAATCACTGGCATTCGGACGTTCCTGGGGTAACGCAACCACCCAAGATCATACTGTCTGTATACCAAACTGATGTGTACATACTTGATAGCCCACAAACCCAAACCGCGCCGCGCTAGTTTCAGGCACTACGTACGGCCACGGCTCAAATGACGACTCCTTCACGGAGCACGCATTCCCGCAAGTGTCCATCTGGCAAGCCCTAACCGAGACCAACCACACCTGGCTCAACTACTGGGACACAGCTGGCGGCACTGGACCCGACGCCGGTTACTTCAACTGGACGTACAACACGGGCAACCAGGACAAAATCGTCGATCTTGAAACCTTCTACACTGATGCCGCGGCCGGCACTCTCCCCGAGCTTGCTTACATCAACCCGTCCTGCTGCGGCGTCGGCACAAACTCCATGCACCCGAGCGGCCTCGTCTCAGACGGCGAGGCACTGATCCGGCGCGTCTACGACGCCGCGCGCGCCGGCCCTCAGTGGAAGAATACTCTCTTTGTGCTGTCGTTCGACGAGACGGGCGGCTTCCACGACCACGTTCCGCCTCCACTGGCCCCCGGCCAGATAACCTGACATACATGACCAGCACGCCGAGTGGCGAGGATTATACCTTCACATTCAACCGTCTGGGTGGCCGGATCCCGACGTTGCTGATCTCGGACTGGGTGAGTGAGGGGTATGTTGAGCAGCAGGGTACGAATGCTGCTGGTGAGACCGTGTCGTACTCTGCTACGTCGATTCTTCGCTCGCTTGGCTATCTCTGGGGCTTTGAACCGTTTAATCCTAGAGTTGAGCATGCGCCAAGTTTCGATCATTTGATTCAGACCAAGGCGAGGAACAATACGCCGACTGCGTTGCCGACGGCTACTCCTTTTAAGCGTTAACATTTTTGAAGTAGTGGCGAGGTAGAGATGATATATTAGATATCTGTCCCAACGTATGTGAATCGTTGAAATAATTTAGACATCTCGAATAGTCAAGACTTAATTCGCATCAGGGGTACATACTCGGAAAGTCTAGAACCAGTCTTCTCTGTAGTCAAATCTAACCGAGAGACCGTGATATATGCTCCACGGGACCTGCGTAATGGCGCCTTCCATGCACCGCATACATGAACAAACTGACGACCAAAACGCCCCCAAAAATAACAATGGACCAATTAAAACTCTCCTTAACAAACCCTGGTGCCGCCGGCCAAAAGGACCAAAACATCGCGAAAACCACATACCCCAAACCAACCACATTAACCGGCAAACTGGCGCGCCCCAGCGACCACCTTCTCACAGGCAGCCGATGCGGCTCTCTCAGCCGCATGTATATGACACACGAAATAGCCGCGAGATACGTGAACATCAACGCCGCCACATTCACGGAAATAATCGCGTTGAAGGCGGTCGTCGACCCGATGTTGATGAGCGAGAGGAGCATGCTAATCAGACAGGACAGCAGGATTGCATTCCTGGGGATTCTGCGGTGCGTGTCAATACGGGATATCCAGCTGCTAAAGGGAAGGCCCTTGTCACGTGCGAATGCGTAGGTTTGGCGTGCCGTGGAGAGGTTGAAGAGGATGTTGCTGAAGATCACTGGGATGAGGATTAGGGCTGTTAGGCCGTTGACACCTGCGGTTGTAGTGCAGGCGCCGAACACGTAGAGAAACGGGAAGCCGGTGGCGTCGCTGAGCGCGTCGTCTACAGATGGAATAGCGAAGAGGAAGACGATTAGCAGGACGAGGGCGAGGAAGCCATTTAGGATATAGCCCCAGAGCATGGCGATGGGGACATAACGGCCGGCGTCTTTGATTTCTTCGGACATGTGCGCAGTTGCGTCGGAGCCTGGAGTTGGTTAGTAGTGTTAGGAGGTTGTAGAGGTGGAAAAAGACTCACTCAGAGAGCCGTAGATGGCAGAGATCTGCCCAACCATCAACGACACACCAATGGTCGGCCATCCACCTCCATTCTGGAATTCCGTGAACACCTCACTGGCTGCTCGATGGGGGGCCTTGACTGCCAGCACGACGAGGATGATAACCCAGGAAACGAGATGCATCATAAGAAGCAGGTTCTGAATACGGGCCATCCAGTTTGATGCATACACATTGAAGAGATAGATCAGCGCGACCATGGCAAATACAAACAGTGTTCCTTGCCACCGTTTCGGATCGTAGGTAGGGTCGCGCACGCTGATAAGACCTTGGAGAATGGTGCCGGTGAGAAAAGAGCCCGAGGCTGCGCCGGCCTGCCAGGCTAAAACGGCCATCCATCCTGTTATCAAGTTAGACTTCATTTCCTGCTGGAGCGATCTTTGTCAGGAGTACTGCTTACCGGTGACATAGCTGAGAAAGCGCTGCCAACGAGGGCTAGCAAACTCAGAGACCCAGTGATACTGCCCTCCGGTCGTCGGAGCCCTGTCATTACATATGTAGGTTAGCAAGTGCATACTTTCAGAAAATATAGACGCTGTTAAGAGGCGTACATTGACGCCATCTCCGCCAGCGACGCAATTACAAAGCAAAACCCAATAAACGTCCACACATAGGTCCAGAACATGCCAGCAAGGCCGCCATTCTCGAGACCCTGAGTATTCGAGCTATGAACATCAGTACTATGCTACTAGGAGATAATTCAGGCCTGGTTATTACATAAGAATGAATTCCCACGTCGCCTGTAGAACAGCCGAAAAGCTGAGTGCGGCGAGAGGCCGGAAATCACGCTGTGGATCACTATCAGCATTCAATCCACGAGGGGAAAAAAGAGGGGGACAAAGAGGTGTAAGGGAGGAAAGACCTTGAGTTCTTGCGTCTTGCCCATGCGCCGCATATCCTGCATATCGGCGCCAGACGCACCCAAGTCATCGCCATCGCCATCGCGATCAATGGGAGATTTGCTAGCGGCATTGACCGATTCATTATCAGACAATTCGGTGATTAAGGGCATTCTTTCCTGCTGCGTGTCGTTCACTGTAGAAGAACCGCGAGAGGACAAGAGGGCGGCCAGGGTGCGGGTTTTCTGAGCTGTTATCATCAATCCCGTCGAGGACCAAACAGAAACTTTGAGTTTTGAAAATGAGAATGAGAATGCCATGGCCAGATTGTGTAACAGATCAGTAGCTTGTCTTGAAATTGATGCCGCTAGTTTGTTTTTGGTCAACGTGAACTTCTTGTGTGGCGCTATTCCGTCTTTGTTACTGATTGGCGACGATGCATGTCGCATGTTGGATGATACGTGTTGGGTGTTGGATGATACATGTTGGGTGTTGGTATGCATTCATTAATACTTAATATTGCTTTGGAAAAAATGGGAATGAAATTGAAAACCGAAGAAAGAAATATAGACTATCTTTTGGCTCATAAAATTGTTTAGATGAGGATGATAGAACAATCACCAAATATGTAATATAGTATTACCACGCCCTTTTTACATGTAAATAATATTATATATATTGTATGACCAAGGTAGGAATCTCGCTATGATAATTGCTAGGAATCTCGCTATGATAATTGTTAGCCGCAGCCAGACCCAACTAGACCAGAGACTAGTAACTCTATATACACATTCTCCTACGATGCACGTTTCGCCGTAGTCTACAGACGACTCATGGTTTACGGCGTAGAATGAGTCTTGCTACAACTTGGAAAATTCCTCCCCGATAGTTATCTTAGTCGTCTTTGTTCGCTTGACATCAGCAATGGCAGAAACATGCTTGCTCAAGGCGACCAGATCGCCGTTTTCGTCGAGCACACGCACATCGCTGTCAAATCGGCCGTTATGAATCTTGTGGGTTATGACCTCGAGAAAAAGCCACTCAGCGTTGCCGGGGTCCTTTTTGACCTCCACCGACATGCACAGAGTCGGGAAGAGGTACTTGCTCGCGTCGGCCATGGTGGGATCGAAGTTGAGGGGGGCAGGGAGGAGCTGCATTTTATATATCAATTAGTCTATATTCATGAATATTGGTGTGAGAGGAAGGACAGACAGTATCGCACACACTCCCCAGACTGATCACATCCAGTTTCTGGTTCGGATCGTTCCACCTCATCCACATTTCCTTCACGTTCAGCTTGCCACTGCGGCTGAGAAACTGCGTCTCAGCGCCTTTCCTTCTGAGCACGCCCATCTTGGTCGAGACGGGCATAATCTTGGTGATCAGCGGGGGGTGCACGAATTGGTCGCAGTCGCGCTCACGGTGCGGCAGCTCGTCGCGCGACAGCGACGTCGGCGGCACGGCGATCGAAGGGCCCTTCTCGGTGGCCAGGTTACCCTGGATCACGGTGGCAGCCGTGCATAGCTTGCCCTGCGGATCGTGCAGTTTCACCTCGACGGTCGAGTATCGCCGCGCATGGCTGAGCTCGGTCACGGTGAGGACGACGCGGCCGCGGGGCGCGGGCTGGACAAAGTGCACTTGGCTGTTGATCGGGTCGGGTTGCGGTGTTGATGGGTATTTGGCTAGGAAGTACGAGCGCGTCGTAGCGAAGATCAGGCTGACGGTGAAGCCGCCGTGGGCGTGTCTGCGTCCGGGGTGAGCTCTCAGAGGATGATGATACTAAAGTAAATAAATGTTGACTGACAGCTGGCCGCACCAGTCCCACGGCACGGTCGCCTCGAACTGGTTGTCTGTTCCTACGATGGGCGTCACGCGCGCTGCGTCGGCAAACGACGTCGTCTTGGGCGGCATTATCGAGCAGAGCAGCCTGGGCGAGGCGTGCGTATGTTTTGATGTTGCAGAGAACAAGCCATGAGGCCAACTGGTGTGGTTGTAGAGGCGGCAGTTACGCAGTCACGGCGCCTGCTCTATTATTTGCCGAGGTTCAACAACACCCATCTTCAACTGCATACTACCACCAACCCCGCAACTCCTACGCGCATGCATCCTGGTCAATGCAGACCAAATGACCAAAGAGTTAACGTATATAAAGGACCTGGAAATTACCTAAGCGAATACAGATAAACTGCCAAGCAGGGGCGATACCCACCGCCACGGATACTTGTACTTGACATTGGATGCTATTAATATATTCAACTCTCTCTTTTGGCAACTATCGGGGATGTTTTCCTATCTCAGAACCGTCTACAAGACCAAAGAGTTAAGACTCGCCGACCTTTTCCTCTCTCCAGGTGCGGGGAGGTGGGCCGTCTCACTGGGTCAGTTGACATCAATTGCTATATACTAGCATGTTAGACATACATTATTATTTGTTGGCTGTATGGGTTCGGAAAATAGCCGCGAATATTAGTATATATCACCCGCCACCTTCAATCCCACTCAATTACAGTCTGAGAGGATAATTAGAAATTCAATTATCATGCCCGGCATCGAGATCGAGGAACCAGGAACCGGCCCGCTCGCCGTGAACGATGGTGCTCTAAACCCCGAAGATATCGTCCAACTCACGCCATCATACTCCACAGAGCCCCTCGACATCCTACGCGCCCGCTATGATAAGCAGGGCATGCTTTTTCTAAAAGGAGTTCTCCCGCGTGAGGATGTTTTACGCGCCCGCGCCAAATACTTCGAGATGATGTCGCCCACTGGTGTACTCAAGGAAAACACCACCCCCGTACAAGGCATCTTCAACCCAAATCATTCGCCGGACGATTTCCCTGGCATTGGGGCCGGTGCTATCGGGATGAATGGCAGACCTGGTGGTGAGAACGCACAGGCATTTGTCGACTTGGCCATTCAAGCACACTACCAGGACTGGTATACACAAGATCTGTGTAAACACCAGGCGCTGCTGGATTTCGTTGCCAAATTCACGGGCTGGCACGAACACACCTTGGGCCTGAAGAGATCTCTCCTCAGGAACAATGTGCCGCGCACAAAGCCGATTGGCGTGCATTACGATCAAATCTTTCTTCGACACGGCGAGCCGACGAGTGTGACGGCCTGGGTGCCGATGGGTGATATCAGTCTGACGGGTGGGGGGTTGATTTATCTTGAGGATGGTTTGTGTTAACGCATGCTAGTGTGAGTGATAAGTGAAGGTGCTAATTAACATACAGGTGATGCCGTGGGAATCGAGATAGAACAAAACTTTTACTCAAAAGCTCGCGAATGCGGACTGACGGAAGAGGAGGCCAAAAACGCTTTCAATAAGAATATGATGTCGACTGGACTGCTTTCAGAAAACCCGGCCGAGTTTGCAAGGCAACACGGTCGGCGTTGGTTGGTAGCGGCATATGAGGCCGGCGACGTGGTTTTGCACAAGCCACATGCTGTATGTCTTATTACCATCTGAATGGAATGTGGGAGCTAACGATATTAACTAGATCCATGCTTCTACTATTAACAACGACCCGAATAATGTCATTCGTCTGGCAACTGACTTGAGATTTGTGAATGAATCTAAACCATATGATGAGGTACATATGAAACTTTGTACTAGTTCTTTGATCTACTTAGCTAACTCCTAATAAAGAGATGGACAAGTTATTATCGATTTGGAGATGGGGTTTGAAGATATTCTTAACATTGGTTAATCAGGTAACGGCATCCAGCGTCGCGTCTGGATACTATCGATGATCAATCATACGATGCATGCTTTATTGTCCTTGATGAATCCTTTTAGGTCAACTTATACAAACAAATAGTTGCTTGTATTAGAAAGAGCTTTCGTTTCAAAGTTTCGATGGCCAGTATGGTTCGATTGAGAATGATTTTTAATTTTTATACTCACCATTGATGCTGATATTATTCCTTTGCCGGTCTAGCTTCTATAAAATTCTACGATACCTTCAGTACTTTAATTTCTTTCACCTTGACGACGGCACTGGCCGAACTCCTCTGCTAACCTCATCCAGCGTCTCTTTTGCATATTTCCCCCAGCCACCGCCCCCTAGAATCAATCCGTATCAGCTTATAACCGTAGTTACCATTAAATGGCCATACGTACCTGGAGAGTTTATCTGGATGTAGTCGCCTGCGTTCAACCCGACAACAGCTTTAGCACCAATATTGATTTTCTCCATCTCCCCTTGCTCGTTCTTCTTGAAGATAAAGTTTTCCCCAACACTTCCAGGCTCTCCCCCTTCCAGCCCATATGGACTGTATACTCGTCTCTCGGACAAGATACTGAATTTCATTGGAATCCGAGCCTCGATTTCACGAGTCATGCCATTCCCACCACTATACCGGCCCCTTCCTCCTGTTCCATGATTAATTGCATCACGTCGGACAATCACCGGCGTGCGCTTCTCGATGACTTCAGGATCTGTGGCTCGAGTATTGGTGGAATGCACGTTTACGCCATGTGTCCCATGCCACGTTGGCCCTGCACCGCTTCCTCCACCCACCGTCTCGCCATAGTTCCATCCCGGCGTGACTTCCCCAGTGAGCGGATCTTTACCGCCCATGCCCCAGCCGAGACTATTTGCGCAGCCCTGACTACCAGCAGCGGCTGAAAAGGCCTGTAACAGTACGTCGGTGACTCGCTGACTAGATATCGTTGAGCCGCAGATTGCCACTGTAGATGATGGATTCAAGATGCTCCCTTTCGGCACCACAATCTCGCAAGGATTCAAGCAGCCCTGGTTAAGAGGAATATCCATATCGACCATACACCGAAGAACGTAAATAATAGCCGAGTGTGTGATAGATATTGGCATGTTCATATTCCCATATGTCTGGGCCCCAGTGCCGGCAAAATCAAACACGGCCGTGCCATTTTCCCCGTCGATTGTGATTTTGACCTTCACCCTTGTTCCATCGTCAAACCAATCCTCTGCTTGAAGAGGCTTCCCGCCGGTGTTCTTGTATAAGTTACGGAAGAGCTTTCTAATAGCAAGCTCTGCATTTTCTTGGATTCCGCGCATATACAAATGCACGACGGGTAAGGTAAACTCCTCGCATAGCCGCTTGATGAGAAGGATACCGCGCTGGTTCGCTGATATTTTGGCCTTGATATCCGATATATTATCGCCTAGTCGTCGAGTTGCGCTGCAGCCGGGATATTCTGTCACTTTGTTGAAAAGTTCCCGAACTTCGTCCTCTAGAAAGGCTCCCTCACTGACAATCTTCATCGACTTCACAGCCATACCTTCCTGCCATAGCTCCTTTGAATCTGGAATCATGCTAGTAATACCAATACCCCCAATATCAGTATGATGACCTCGAGAAGCGACGTAAAAGATTAACTCGTTGTTATAAAATGCAGGCGTGACAACGGTCAAATCAGGCAAATGTGTACCACCCGCTTCAGGGTGGTTGGTGAGAAGTACATCCCCGGGCTTCAGAGTCGCGCCCCAAAGCCTATGCTGATATTGAATGGCAAATTGCATGCTACCCAGATGAATGGGGATATGAGGGGCATTGGCCACTAGATCACCATCTGGGGAGAATATCGCACACGAAAAGTCTAGCCTTTCTTTAATACTCGTGCTTATTGACGTTCTTTGCAGTGTATTCCCCATTTGCTCGGCAATTGACATGAACCGGTTTGCAAAGCAGGAAAGTTGAACTGGGTTTATTGTCTCTGCGTTGATCTCCGAAGAGGTCATTTCATCGTCCACAAGTTTGTCGATTATCAAGTGCCGACTGGTTAGATGGCATTCGTAATTGGGTTCGATGAGAATCGTTTGCGTTTTGTCCGTAATCATTGAAGGTCCTGTTATGTGCGTACCTATCTTCAACGTTTCGAGATCATACACAGGAGTCAACCTCCATTCTCCATCTATAAATACATTCTGGTGTAGCTTTGCTTCTGCTACATTTCTGATACCTTTCACGTATTCCAGCTCGCGAGACACCGATTGGCCGTCTTTTCCACCGACAGTCTTTGCAGTAGCTCGGACGCGAATACTGTCAACGACAAGGTCACGATTCGTAGTAAATGCAAACTCGCGTAGATGTAGTGCAGTGAAGGCGGCGCTATAATCTCCATTGCTAGGCTCTTCAACGCTAAGGCTTGTATCCATACCCTTGTATTGAAGATTAAGGAAGACTTCGAATTCAATCGTGTCGCCGACAACATCCTGACTGCGTAGATCTTGTGTGAGCTTTTCCTTGATGATCTTCTCCCGTTCTCTGATCAGAGGCAGTGTCTCAGGGGACAGCGTCAACGATAGTGACTCACTGGCCTCGGACGTAATTTCGGCAAGGCTAATTCCATACGCCGAGAGCAGTGAGGAGAAACGATGAACCAAAATCCGGCGGATTCCAAGATTCGATGCAATCGCGCAAGCGTGTTCTAAATCATCCATGAGCCTAGGTCTCTCTCAAACAGGTAGCACTACTTTAATACTACTTACGTCCTCCAGCTCCGCCAAAACTAACGAGATTGTGATCATGCGTCGCAAATCCTCTTGCTTCAGTTGCATTACGTATCGGCCGGCACATGCTCTCATTAGCAACTTTAATGAACCCAAGGGCTACTTGTTCTGGTGTGAAGGTGACTGCAGATTCCGCATTCACAGCAGCAGTCAATTTCTCAAATTTCTCTGCGACAACATCCACGTCGAGAGTTTCGTTTGCGTTTTTCCCAAAAATTGCTGGAAATGATGAGACCACTAATCGGCCGAGGAAGAGATTGGCGTCCGTGATGGTAAGCGGACCACCCTTTCGATAGCATGCTGGACCTGGATGCGCACTAGCACTCTACTATCTCATTAGACACGCTCGTCATAATGAACTTGGGTGGTTTGCAGTACTCACTTCGGGACCGACTACCAGTAAGCCGTTATTCACGAACAATTTGGACCCTCCTCCCGCAGCAACGGTGTTTACGTTGAGCATCGGGGTGAAGATTCTTCGCTCAGAGATTGTTGATTCGCTAATATGATCGAATTTGCCATCATACCGACAAACGTCTGTACTCGTGCCACCCTTTACATTGTAAGAATGCTTTGTATCTATTGATGGTTTCGGTGACATTGGCTCAACTTACCATGTCAAACCCAATCAGCGCCCTCGGATCGTCCAAATCATAACATGACCTTGCAACACCAACAACACCCCCAGCCGGTCCACTAATCAATGCGGCATTTCCTGTATACTTTTGAGCTTGACGCAATCCTCCATCAGAAGACATAAACTCAATCCGTTGAGGGGGGGATCTGAAGCCATCCAGGAAGTTCTTCACGTAGCCATGAACAATGGGCGACAAATATGCATCAGTACAAACGGCAGTTGCTCGTTGCAGCATCTTTATACGGGGGATGACTTCCGAAGAAAGCGAGACAGAATTGAAACCCTCTTGCCTAGCTAGATCCCCAACAACTTGTTCATGATCTTGATTTTCTTAGCTTTCGATATTCTTTCCCTCTAATTCAACACTCAACAGCATGTGGAAATACCTGGGAATATGTGTGAGTGCATAAAGCAAACAGCAAGAGAGGTGAGACCTGCACTGCGAAGCGCTTGCAACTGTTGCCGGATCGAGTGAATATCTAGTGGTTGCAATATACGAATAATCTCTCCGCTACTTGTCTTCACTAACGCGGGGTCTGTGTCATCAAAAGCTGGATGAGGGAAAGGGTTCAACTCGTAATTCTCGACTGTTACACGCTCGTCAATTTCTACGACGTGCTCAAAGAGAACCTGCGGTTTCCGAATGTTCAAGTCGAAAAGCTTGGGGCGAGAGCCATCGCCAATCTCACATAGGTCTTTGAACCCTGAAAAACGCCAAAAATCGTCAGTCGTAAAGCCGCATCTAAACAGGGCTAGGATAGTGAACCTTTTGTAGTGAGAAGGGCGAAACGCTCCCCTTTCTGCTCTAGCAGGGCATTGGTTGCAATTGTAGTCCCAATACGACATGATTCTGATTCATCCACTTAGATCTATCTACATCTGTAGGAAAAAGACAAATCTCTTACCAATTGTGGACGCATCAAGCTTCTCGTCGGAGGGGATTTGTCGTCCCTCAGTCACCTGCAACACTCGCCGAATTGCTTCTGTAGGCGCATCGCGGTAGTTCTGCGGGTCGACAGACAGCAGCTTAAAGACGAGGTCCTCACGGTGAGGAACTTGAGCGATTACATCGCAGAAAGTCCCCCTCTATCTTCTCGAGTGTCAGAATATCATCAACGCAAAAGGAGGATGGTATCCACACCTATAGCAATGCGGATACCGCCCTCGTTAACGGCAGTCATGAGACTGGTTGCAGATGCTGATCTTTATTTTTATTTTTGTCTGTGCAAAAGATCTGTATAGCTTAAAATGAAATCTAGGCTGAATATAGCAGTACAGCTATTTGTTGGATTGTTGGTAATGTTGTAAAAAGACTTCTGATGCGAACATCTGGAAGAGTCAAGAATTAACCAGTCCACAGCATAGCTAATGGGATCCTCTCTGAGAAAGAAAATATTTGATTTCCCCTACGGTCATCCTAGAACAGAGTCAATCTCAAACCCCATTTTCATCCGATCTCGCAGTACTATCCATAGTCAAGTGGGTTGAGCTCCCCACGCAGCACGTGGCATATGTCGACCTGGGATAGTTATCAGTCAACAGTCAACATTTGTTAGCAAGCTTGAGCTAAAATGGTGATTTATTAGGGTATTATTCCGGCACCACTCGCCCGAGTTGCCACGAATCAAGGAACCGAGATAGTTATCTGATTGGCAGCAGCGGGGTCAATCGTGAATTGATTCGTTGGCCCGCACTGAAGATAATTTTTGTAAACTCCCCGGGTATTTTCCGAGGCGTTACGGCGGTATGTACCGCTTCACAGTGATGAAGATATCATTTAGACATAATCTCTTCCTTGGAGGTGCAACTTCCGTATGTTATCTGGATTAATCAGAAAAACCAAAAGGCATGGTACGGCCTAAACCTTCACATAAAAGCAGCATACCAGTCTCTCCAAGGACTATTTTTGAGGCACAGATATTTACATGTTTGGCCAGAAGGACTATTCAGGAAAACAGCTTTGTGCTCAAGCAAGCGCACTGACAAAAATAAGGTAATAGTGTGGAATACTAAGTGCCTTATAGCCCTAGAAGGCAAGCCCGAGACGGCAGGCTTGCCGACAATTGTTTCTGGATCGGGACGCATTAGTCTTTTAGCTCACTTTAAAGATAACAAACAACCCCTCATCAAGCACGCAATTTGACGGTAAGGGCGAGTTTAAGCCGGCTGTGATTGGGCTATTTGTCTTCCTGAGAAAGCTTAGCAAGTCATGGCATCCTGCAAGCCTGTTTGATTCAAATATTTTCGTCCCAGCCAATTTTATACCCGCACTGTATGGCGACATCTTATGGCTGGCCCGTCCGTGTGATTATGCATGCGAGATCGGATATGCCAGTGGTCATAGCTCCATACCTACGTTGATGTCGCTTCCCTCAGCCCAGGACCAGATAAAGAACTGGATTTCCACTACCTGCAAATATTCGACCTACATCTGCTAACAGGGGTGACTTTCCTAGTGTCAAGACTAGGTAAAACGCGCCTACAAGATGGCCGTTACTCAAGAGACGGCCGAACCAGAAGTCTACATTCAAAACACCTCCCCTAGACCAAAAAAGTCAATTGGGAAGCGTGTAATTGGTGTTCTCTGGGATTCGCTGGATGACAAGGATCCAGAAGAGCACCAGCTGGTGCGCAGGCTGGATTCGTTTTATCTAATCTGGGCTTGTTTCTACTATTTTGTCATGTATCTTGATTCGAGTTAGTACAGCGCAAACGTCTCACTCCAGATCAAGTCTGACACACTCAATAGCAAATATTTCTAATGCATATGTCAGCGGTATGAAAGAAGATCTCGGCATGTACGGCAATCAATTGAATTGGATGACCACTTTCTGGACCATTGGTTTGTACCTATCAACCCGCACATAGAGAGGACGTCTGTTGAGTTGTTATTCAGGATACATTGTCGGTACACTCCCTTCTCAATTCATTCAAATGCGCATTCGCCCATCCGTATGGCTTCCAACTCTGGAACTTATCTGGGGAGGCCTTGTAATGTGTATGGCCGCTGCACCCAATGTGAAAACAATCTACGGCATCCGCTTCCTCGTCGGCATATGCGAGGCATCTGCATATCCAGGAATGATGACACTTCTCGGTAATTGGTATACGCCACAAGAGCTGGGTAAAAGATCAGTTATTTTCCAGCAGAGTTCTGCCGCTGCACAGATGTTCAGCGGCTTTTTGCAAGCGGGAATATACAACGGAATGAACGGTACAGGCGGGCTGAAGGGTTGGAGATGGCTGTTCATTTTCGATGGAATTATTTCTATTCCTATTGCAAGTGTAGGCTTTTGGTTAATCCCCGACGCCCCATCGAATTCGAAAGCCTTTTATCTTAGAGACGTCGATAAGAGAGTTGGTAAGGCTCGAATGGTGCGTGCTGGGAGAGCAGAACCAAAGGGCATAACATGGAAGACGCTGAAAGAAGCCTTGTCTCACTGGCCAATCTACGTGTTTGTTCTTCCTTATATGTAAGATCTCTCGTTCCAACTTTTTCTCTCCCCCTTTCGTATTCTCGACCATTAAAGCTAATTTGCTGAAATCTTTCCATTACAGCGCATTTGTTCTTGCCCTGCATATCGCATCGTACATGAATCTCTGGCTCAAGTCTCTCGACATATATTCAGTTTCAAAGATCAACGTGATTCCTTCTGGAGGATATGCTATCGAAATCGTCACGGCGCTTATCTTCGCCGTTGCTTCTGATGCGCTTGGTGTTAGATGGCCTGTCATCATGGTAGGCGCCACATTTGGCTTAGTGGGTGGCATCCTGTTGTCTGTATGGGACATTCCTTTTGGCGCGAAATACTTCGCATGGTACCTGACTTTTGTGCCTGTTGGAACCGGAGCATTGCTGTTTGCATGGGGTAATGAAGTCTGTGGGGACAGTGCTGAGGAGCGAGGTATCCTTCTCGGATGGCTGAATACCATGGGCTATACATTCAATGCCTTCGTACCGCTATATGCCTATCCAGCAAGCGAAGCTCCCAATTACAAGTCTGGCTACAAGGTGAATGCGGCATTGTGGGGTGTATATCTACTCGGAATTCCTGTCATTTTATGGTTTTCAAAGAATTTCCCACTTAATAGACAAAAGAAGGATGACTCGGAGCAGGCAGTCAATTACGTTGATGCAATGGGGAAAGAAGACGAGCCTGTGGAGACTATAAAGGAACTCTGATATTTTATTCCCCTTGAGTAGTACCAGAACATTGATCATGTGAAGTTTTCATTCCATCTCCTTACATTTAGTAGATGATACGAAATGTCATTAACCACATAAAAATCTCAACCGATTCAAAAGACTCAAGATAACCTTGCAGAATAAGCCTTATCGTTGATAATATCAATGCGAATGGTTGTCGCACGCTTCAGTTGAATTTTGAAGTATGAAAAGCTCTTCTTTCTTCGTAGAAGCCCTTGATGTACATGGAATTGCGAGTTTGCAGATCCTTAGTTCCGCATTATCACTATACAGTAGCTGTTGTGGTAACGGGACCGTTTCTTTTCAAAAATGAGCAAGCACGAATTTATTTCGATAGCATAGCTTAGAAAGGAAGTAAGGCACCTTCAGGATTCGATTTTATAAACAAGCTTCTTGCCGCGAATCTTTCCCTCCTTCAATTCTGTTAAACCATGTAAAACACCTTGGAGACCGCCGTCCCTGATATCAATCGGATGAGGAACAATCAATCTTTGACCAACCAGCTTATCGGCCAATTCAACCCACTGCTTCGCGAATTCCGTCTCGGCGTCTGACACATGCAGAACCATGTTCTCCATCAACTCGAAATCTTCACCAAGCATCGTATACCCCAGTGATGTTGTTGCTTTGACAGTGTCCTCCGGTCGAAGTTTCTTGAATGTATCAGGGACAGGGACTTTGACCGAGTGATAGTGACCTCCAGTTGGTGAAAGTAAAGGTGCACAAAACTTGGCTGTTTCTTCCTCACCGATACAATCAAGGACATAAGTGAACCCATTTGGAACATTAGAAAGAATGTCCTCGTGAACCGAAGCAGTTGCGTAATCGTAGGTTTTGTCAGCACCGCGTGACTTGACAAGCTCCAAATTGGATTTTGAGCAGGTCGAGTGCACAGTAAAACCAGACCTGTTTAGCAGTAAACGTTAACAGAATGTACGTAACCCATCAAATTGGGCTGGGAAATATACAGCTTTGCCAATTGAATCGCAATAGTTCCGGTTGCGGAGCTTCCCCCATTGATCAAGATGCTCGTTCCTTTCGCTTTGCTATTTTCATCTGCATCTGGAAGTGGCAGGCCACCGACAAAGTACATTGACTGGCCTACTGTGCCAATACCAACGCCAATGGATGCAGCCTCTTCAAACGATATATGTGCCGGCTTATGCATTGTCGCTTGCTCTCTGGTAGTTATCGTTGTTGAAAAGGCACCGTATTCGGGGTGGTTTCGATTGCCTAGCTTGATTTCAGTTTTCATTCAGGAACCAATACCTTAAAATTATGGGAGTGTTACCTCCGTGACAGATTCCAAAGACCTCATCTCCAGGTTTGAAGCGGGTGACATTTTTCCCAGTCTTCGTCACCACCCCGGACCAGTCACATCCAATGATACACCCCGGTTTGGCTAGGGAATTGATTTGATGATTGTCAGTCTGATTAAGAGCGATAGCTCTAGTTTCGGCGATGATGAAGTCATCATACAAGTCGGGCAGAGGTATGTCTTTTTTGACATGAGCGACGCCTGGGGTTATCTGGACAACTGCAGTACGTGTTGGGGCCGCCATGGTGGAATATAGCGTTATTTAATAGCACCAAGTATTACCGGGTGCTTATGACGAGAGAAAACTAATTTTCCTAGTGCTCTTAATAATTTTCACCTCAGGGATTGTTTATCTCGGTCAACTATGAGATAGATTGACTCATTGATAACATTGGACATTACAATGATGCTAATATTTGGGGGATGGTCTATAATAAATATACCTGTAGAACTTGAATATTATTTTTGTCGGACTTTAATGTTTTCTCTTCAATTAGTCATATTACCAAAACTAGCGAATTTAGTTTTCTTTCAACGTCACAAAATCCAACCTTTCTGACACACGGAGAGATTGATACCCCGACGCTGACCAATCAGCCGCTGTTGTTTTCTTAGGGAATAGTTATGTATGAGCCAACAAAAATACAATGCATAGAAAGTAGCCCCTTTCAAATATTGATTGAAGCTAATAGAAACTTCGACATGGGGGTCATCAAACCATCCATATTGATCTTTACGAATATGAAAATCGGTGCACGTTATGGTTCAAATGTCGTTGCAAGCTGCTTTAGGAATATATAACATTGCAGGTTCTTCCTCCAGTTTTGGAATTTCACAAAGCTATGAAATAATAGAACCTTTACCCTAATTGGTATTTGTGTAGGCCGCGATAGGCATCTTGCTCTGCTATGTTGTGTTGGCTGCAACATTGTTTCGTGCGTCGTATCCGCCTAGCTCGAAGGAATAACTGCAGTCGAAATCAATCGATATTATCAATAATGAATCACTGGTACTCGACAAATCTTGATTAAAAGGATACGTAAGTATGAAATTCAACAAAGATTAAAAATTTGGTCGACCTCTTAATCAGTGATTGGCATCCAATGCAAAAAGTTATTCCCACATGTAACTGTACACTGTACCATTCCCGCCGCGACATGAAATTCTTCTGATACAACATCGTGGTTCCGGAGTACAACTTGAACGCTCTTCTCCGAAGGATCAGGACACATCTCGAAAATTTCAAACGTCGGAGAATGACACCCCACTGCATCTTTCTATTAATTACACTATCACCCACAGATTCAAGGCCAAGAATTATCAAGAAAATTAACCTACGCCTCTCTTGAAAAATTACAAAGGCCATGGCTAGATACACGAGATTTATCAATGGCTTCGTATTCCGCGATGACACTTTGGCAGATAACGATGAAGTTTGGATAGATTCTCAGAGTGGCCAAATAATCGACCCTAACGTACATTGTCCACTGGCCGAAAACACCAACATAATTAACTTACAAGGCAAGATCATCTGTCCGGGATTTATTGACATTCAAATAAATGGTGCATTCGGTTTCGATTTTGCTGGCCTCGACCCAAACATGTCCGTCATTGAATTCAAACAAGGCTTGCACGCGACGAACCAGCGGCTCGTTACTACCGGCACAACGAGTTATCTCCCAACTATGACAAGCCAGTTTGAAAAAACATATCGCAAGATTTTGCCTCTGCTAGGACCAACTGGTGCATCTAGAGATGCTGCGCTTGGTGCCGAGTCACTAGGCGCACATACCGAAGGACCATTTTTTGCGCATACCAAGAAAGGATGCCATAGCCCAGAAGCGATTCTCAGTCTTGGAAATACAAGTCCTCCAAAGCTTCTTAAACAAGTGTATGGAGAAGAAAACCTGTTTTCATACGTCAAGATGGTTACTCTGGCACCGGAGCGTGAAGGTGCTTTGGACTCTATTCGAGAGCTGTCTCAAAACGGCATCGTCGCAAGCATCGGCCACACAGCAGCAACATACCAAGAAGCGGTGGCGGGCATCATAGCAGGATCCAAGGTCATTACTCACTTGTACAATGCCATGAATTCAATGCATCATCGCGAACCCGGTTTATTTGGCCTTGTGGCCTGCCCAAGAGACAAGGTATTCAAAGATCGGCCAGATATGTCCGATGACGGTCGTCCCTACTATGGGTTGATCGCAGATGGACTACATGTACACCCTGCTGCAATTCGGTTAGCCTGGGAGACTCATCCTAGAGGGTTGATCCTCATTACAGATGCAGTGATGTTGATGGGATGCGAGGATGGTGTACATCAGTGGACCAATGGGCAGAGAATCGTAAAAAGAGGATCTCTGCTGCAACTAGAAGGCCTTGAAACTATTGCCGGGAGGTAAGTATCAACTTACGATATATGCAATAAAACCGAACACCCCCAACTCGATTGATCGATTATTAATAATGCGGTAAATAGTGTTACGCCGATTCTTGATTGCATCAACAACTTTCTTTGCTGGACTGGTGCATCTGTACATGCGAGTCTACAAACTGTCACCACTCATCCAGCCGCTCTTTTGGAGATGAGTGATCATAAGGGGACTCTATCTCCCGGGGCCGATGCTGATATTGTAATCCTGAGGCAGACAGCTACTGAGAACGGATCGGCTAAGTTGGAGATTGAACAGGTCTGGAAATTCGGAACCAAGGTATTTGAACTCTAGGGTTATGCTCTCTGTAGAGTGATAATTGCAGCTGTGGTAGATGTTAGTTGGTTTCTTTACATATATATGACAGAATAAATAGCTAGGCTTTTGATGTTGAACGCGATCCGAGGCATTTTTCCGACGCTAAACAACACAATCAATATATAAGTCATAATTAGACTTTTAGTTCCTTGATCTTTCGCTTAAACGGCGAAATTCCTGCATTATATTTTAGCCGGGCCAATCGGCGCGATCAGCGAGCCTCCAAATAATACACATGATCACCATGCCTAGTTGATTTACTTGGCCAGACAGGAATATAACCGGTCCGTCCTATGGTAGACTGAACTTGTGTTAGTTGCAAAGGCTCCCGCCAACCAGCTTGTCCAGCCAACTTTACCCCGCGGAAAACACAAATGCGGGGGTTAATAGTGCTTAGCGTTAGTTTATTGCGAGAAGTTGGGCCATTCCACAGGCTGTTCCATGGTGCGATACAATCGCAGTCCAAGGTTGCAGTCTTCAATAACAGTAAGATCAGGCGAAGGTACCTACAGCTCGTATACCAAGTCTCATATCTTGATGTCCGTACTTGACATTCCTTCGAAAGTATTAATCTTACGTACTTTTTGCATGTGGCAAGGGGCGGGGGGAACGCGGGCATGACAGCCAACCACCATCGAGCCTCCCGTATATTGGTTATGCCAAAATGGAATTTGACTTCAAAGCGGAGCCCAGGTGGGCGGCTGTCTTATTGGCTGAGCGCTGGCTATCGTATGCTGTGGTTTAATTTCACCCTTGATTGAGTATGGAGCATTATTACAAAAGGAGCCGGCCTCACCGGCGAAGCGGTCTGTAATCGGTTCAATCTTGTTCTTGTATATTTTAGAGCATATGAATAGGACGCAAAGCAAAGCCAGCTGACCGCTATCATGGGAAAGTCATACACATTGTGGTGCTCGTAAGTTGTTCTATAGAGCTTATTTCATGATAATCATGAATGGTGCGAGATATAATTGCTGACTACTAATCGCTCTCCAGTATCTTTGCGACAACTGGGTAAGAATATCACGAACCACACTTCAGAACAAAAATACTGACTCAACCCGAAGCTCGCTCATCTATGGCTACGACTCGGGTGAGGGTTCCATTCACGACAGCCGGAGATGCCATCTAACTAAATAATAACCATGTAGGTATCATTAGTACCACCCTCGGCCAAGCAACATTCCCCTCATACTTCCACAACCCGTCAGACAACCTCACTGGCGCAATTGTTTCGACGTATAGCGGTGGCCAGGGCATCGGTAACCTCACCGGTGGGTATTTAGGCGACCTACTCGGCCGCAAGAAAACCATATGGCTAGCGTCAATTTTGGCGTTAATCGGCGCCATTCTGCAAACCGCAGCCGTAAATATCGAGATGTTTCTCGTCGGACGCATAATTGCCGGCTTTGCCATCGGCTTGGTATATGCCGTGAGCTCCATCTACAATGCCGAAATTGCGCCGCCCAAGATTCGAGGTGTGACTGTCGGCCTGCAGACACAATTGATCTCCCTTGGCTATGCGCTGGCGAACTGGATTGGCGTGTTTGGTAGTTTCGCGAAAGGTAATGCTGCCTGGAGAATCCCCCTCGGCATTCAGTGCGTTCCAGCCGTGATCTTGATCATAGGGCTCTTCTGGCTGCCCGAAAGCCCTCGATGGCTTATCCAGAAGGGCAAATACGAGCCAGCAAAGGCCGTCATTGAGAAGTTGCACTCCGACATTAATGCGGATGCCAATTTCTGTGAGCGCGAGTTTCAGCAGATCAAGCAGCAGGTTGATTATGAGCGTGAAGTTACCATCAAGTCGTGGTGGTCTTTATTCACTAAACGATCCCTTCTACGCCGCTTGCTTTTGGGGATTGGGTTGCAGGTATTCTTGCAAACAACCGGTGTTAACGTAGTAAATTACTATCAAACACAGCTCTTCTCTGGGGTCGGGATTACTGGGCGAAATGTGCTATGGGTGTCTGCTGGATACGGTAGGGGTTTAAGATCTTCAAATGCCAATGTGCACACCACTGATGTCGTGCTTAGGAATGATGGGCCCCATCGCAAACGCTATATGTCTTACATATATTGACAAAGTCGGTCGAAAGCTCCCGCTCGCCTGGACATCAGTCGCCTTAGTGATTGATATGATTCTTATAATGGTGTTCTCAAAATACTTCCCGGGCAGCGGCAATAAAGTCGGGCAGGGCTTCACGATTGCATGGATCTTTCTTTTCTCGTTCATTTTTTCTCTAGGGCAAGACCGCCTTTTTCCCAACTGCTTTCATCTCATGCTAACCTAGAAATCAGATATAACGCCATCCAACTCGTCTACATCGCCGAAATCTTCCCTACCGCGCTTCGTTCACGCGCTACAGCAAGTAAGTTTCTTTCCCATCGGCGCTAGTAATAGTTCATACTAACGAAATTCCAAGTCTGTGCCTTCATGGGAACGGGCGTCGGTCTGCTCTTTAACCAACTGTCCCCCAAAGCCTTTGCTGGAATCGGGTGGAAATACTATGCTGTTTTCGTGGCCTGCGATGCCGTTGCAGCTTTTTGCTTTTTCATGTTCTATCCGTACGTATTTCCGCAATATGTAATATATATATACATGCGAGTGTTATATTCTAACATAATAATAGGGAAACGAGAGGAAAAACACTCGAAGAAATCGCTGAACTGTTTGGTGATGACCTTGCTTTTACGGAGTATATTGGCACACAGAATGAACAATCGGAAGGTGTCATTATTAGCAAAACGCAGGCTCGAGACTCCGACGAGGTACAAGAGGAACATATTGAAGAGTTATAGGGATGTTGTGTTCTGTGCCTCAAAGATTCGGCGGACGCGTATAATATTATGTCTATAGATCTCATGACCTGAGCTCGCCTCTAGATGTAACGCGTTGGTCATGATTGACGGTCTAGATATATAGATTGTATGGCATTAATTGACTGATATTTGAAGTGAATTATTATATACTTCTACCACTTCTTGATTTAATACCTTTCCATACGTCTTCCCTCGGGGTTCTGGCTACGTTGTAGCCACACTCTCCATTAATTGATATATCACGAGCATGTTCTTGCCAATGAATGGTAATAATGTGAATAATATTAATACATTAGAAAATTATCTAAAAGTCTATATCCCAAAACATATACTCATAAAAACAGAGAGAGTGAAAGATGAAGTGGGGAGTTTCGAAGAGAGGAGAAAAAAGTGTGATGACAGCAAAATCAAGCTGCAGCCATCTCGATTTTCTTACCCTTAACAGACTTCCATTCAATACAACATGCGCCAATAATGGTGACACAGGCCATTCCGACAGCAACATCAAAAGTGTGCGTCAAAGCCGAGTTGTATGCAGTCAAAACAGCAGGCAAGAATTCCTTTGGGATCAGAGTCTGAATTTGCGTGGCTCCGGTGGACAGGACCAAGGCAGAGTCGAGGCCTTGGATATTCGCCGCCGCGACGTTGGAGACCAACTTGGTCTGGAAAATGTTCTGTGCGACGGCGATGAACAAGGCGCCACCGAGAGTCTGTGCAAACATCATTATCGAGGTGCCAATCGCAATATCGGGCGCGGGTAGACAGGCCTGGACGGCCACCATGGTCTGTTGCATGCCGAAGCCGACTCCGGCACCGAAAATGAACTGGTATCCTATCCACTGCGGGTGTGGAGTGTCTACCTCGAAAGTGGACAACAATCCAGCGCCAACACTCATAAGGACGGATGAGGCAAACATAAAAGGAGTGTAGTATCCGAGAACAGTTACAAGCCCGCCCCCCAGCATAGAGATTATGACGAGTCCTAGAATCATTGGCAAGTTCATGATACCTGACTTGACAGCAGAGACGCCTTTAATGGCTTGGAACCAGATGGGGAGCTGGTGAGAGTGTCAGATATGCACTTGTGCTTGGAGAAGAGAGGGCTGAGACTTACATAATAGACCATGACAAAAAAGGACGCGCCCAACGAACTGGCAAAGATTGCTCCACCCCATACGTTTCGGTTCTTGAAAATGCGCGGCGGAACTGTTGCTCGTTCCTGTTTCCAGATCTGAATAGCGACGAATCCGATAATCAAGACCCCAAAAAGAACAAACAAAGCGATTATGCGTCCACTGTCCCAAGCATATTTTGTTCCACCCCATTGCAAAGCAAGCAAGAGACAAACAACACCAGGGATGAACAAGCCAGTTCCCTCGAGATCCATCAATTTCAGCTGTTCCACGAAAGATAAGGGGGCGTCTTTCGTCTTTTTACCCGGCGTCTGAAAGAAGAAGATGATAAAGATACCGGTGATAGCGCCAAATGGCAAATTAATATAGAAACACCAGCGCCAGGTGACATGGTCGGTGAATGCGCCACCCATTCTAGAGCCCAGTCAGCAAGCCAAGATAAAGAGGAGGGTGGGTAATAGGTTAAAAAGAGAGAGAGAGACTAACAGAGGCCCAGCGACAGATGCGATACCGTACATACCACCGATCATGCCCATGTAGGCGGGACGCTGACGTAGCGGCACAGTTCGCGCAATAATCAAAAGGGCACCAGAAAAGATACCAGCAGCGCCCATACCAGCTACAGCTCGGCCTAAAATCAGGCCAGTGGAGTTGGGAGTAATACCACAAACGAACGAGCCCAGCTCGAACACGAAGAGGGCAATCAAGTATGTCCACTTGACTGAGTAGAATGTATAGAGTTTTCCAAAGACAAGTTGCAGAGAGCAGGTGGTCAGTAAATACGCAGCGCCGTACCAACCGACATCGTCAACAGCGTGGAACTGATCGGTGATTCGAGGAATAGCAGTTGCAATAATGGTATTATCCTGTTGGGCACGAACACGGCGTGTTAACGACCTACTCTACTGTCTTGATTATGCGACAACGGGGGACATACTAAAGCCATACAGAATACCGACAGGCATAATGCTGTGGTGATCAGTGCTAATCTCCATTTCGCTGGGTATTCGACTTCCTCTTCCTCTGTTGGTGTGTCTGCCTTTTCGTCGGTCTCCTCTGCTTTGAGCTGTGCTTCCTTCTCAGCAATCGTCGCGTCTTGGGGTTCTGGAGAGACTGTCGTCTGATTATTGTCATCCACAGGCAAGTGCGTCTTCTCAATGCTGGCCGAATCGACGACTGATACGTCGGTAGAGCCCTCAAGTGTATCGTGCGTCATGATGAGTCGTTATTGGGAGAGGGAAGATGAAAGAAAGGATCTCCAACAACAGGACCAAAGTCGTGCCGCTCGGTAGCGGTTTTCTGAGCAGTAGTGATTTGCTTGTCGCCTGCACAGTCTTCTAAAGTGATTACGAGAGTGGCGGCACACATTTATTCACGCTTCAGCTTAAGGCATCAGCAGGGTATTAGTAGAAATTTGACAGAAAGCCACCGATACTGGCCGAACACGCCAGCTAACCTGATTAGGATGTAATTCGCGCACCTAATAACTTGCTTAAGTAGGCAAAACGAGTGGAATCACATTAATGTGACGCTAGAAGGCCTAATATTTTCTGGTGAAGCAGTGGCAGCGAAAAATATACGAATAGCGGTTGAATTCGTCCGGGGCATGACGCCAGCCAATAGCTATCTCCGAGATAGCGGGGCGGCTCTTCACACCTTCAGCCGCTCTGGCTGACTGGCCACCAGAAGCGCAGAATTTTTACTTAATCTAGAGATCGGCCGGACGAAAGACCGTCCCGTTACAGTGTCATCGCAAGATAGGGGGACTAATTATGAGCTGGAGCCTGGAGCCCAGAGCAAAATTGGACCACGTAAGTCGGTACCGGGGAAAAATCGCCCCGACCCAGCCAATCCCATGCCGGACATGGCTTTCACGTGGACGCCAGCGTCCCACTCGCTCGGATGAGAATAAGCGAATCCGACGCCAAGACGGGCTCTTCCCATTTAGGGCGCTAAAGAGATGAGTCAAGGTGACTGTCTCACTGTCAGAGCAGTCAAAAATGATTTCGTACGGAGTGGGGTGTCCAGACAGCGCAGTGGAGCAGGATGCAGCAAGGGTCGACGACGTGTCAAAATTGATGGAGATGAGGGGATAAGGGTTGTTTAGTCTCCGAGATGACCAGTATAAAAGTATGGTCACATGACCGAGCTGCTGGGACTAGTCCCATTCTGGAACAGAACCCAGGCGGGAGAGGCTTATATAAGTTTGAGCGCCACTGATTCTGATAAGGCTTTACCAATGTAGTTAGACCAACACGTGACCAGATGTCTATTTATACTTTAACCCTAACACCAACATCCACATCCCATAACTTCATCAAACATTTGCCGCCGGTTTTGCAACAGACCCCAGTTAACTACACTCTGCCTATGATGGGCATATGACGAGTAACTACCCAAGATATCACAGGAGTATCTGTGGATGCGCTGGACATACCTGCCGTAGCGGTGATAATAGAAGTTGCATGAAATTGAGATAAGATAGATGCTTTCTGTCCGCACTCATTATTGGAAACGATGTAAGCCTAATTCAACCTTCCTGGGTGCCTCTAAATGTGGCATTAAATATCAGATACAAATTAAGGATCAAGCGAAAGAAAACCTCCATAAATTCCTCAAAATCTCAATCGCTCTAGGACAACTTGCACACCAAGATAGCGCTACTTATAATAAAGCATTCTTCAATGTACATCTTAACACAATCCGGTGCCTTTATCTGGAAAAATTTAGTCATAGTAAATAGATTAAACTGTAACAGCATTCCCTGTTAATAACAAACAGAATGGGCAATATTTAACGCCGCTCTTCCTCTTTCTTGGTCGTGCTAGTACCATCTTCATAAAATTTTTTTGCCATTCGCACCCGAGATTTCTGCTCTAATATCCCATTCTTTGTCTTCCCTGTTGAAGTGAGATTGGTAAATGGGGTTATTATCCCGAGACCTGATCTCAGGTTAGAATGGCCCAGTAAGTATGAATTTAATGAATTATATATACCAGACCAGCTGAGAGGAATCAGAATGACAACACGTAGGGATTGGACAAATTGTTCGGTTCACAGCAATATTTCTGAGAGATATGAAGATGTATTTATACTTTTCAACCTCCTCTCAATACAAACTTTTCTTTATATTCCAAATAGTTGTTACTTATTTATCATAACGTGACCTCTCTCTTATGCAATCAATAGGCGTCTATCTTTCTGTTTCTAGTCCCTCTCATTCAGTAAACTCATTTATTAAGGACATGGTATTTAAGGTGTTGAATGCTAGGTATTTTAATTAGCGGTTCAATATGTTTCAGAACACGCTATTCATTCTCAGTGGTTAACGATAGGTCCAGTATGTTCTAATAAATTTGGCATTAGAATTCTCTAAATTAACGGTTTTGTAGGTTCGGTGGTTGCATGACCGCTATCGGCTGCCGTATTAGGCGGATCCACCCGTATTGATTAATTATCATGTTCCATAAATCAACCACCACATCTTTCCTTGCAACTAGCTTCGATTGAAACATATCCCAGTCTGTGCCGTCATAATGGTTGCTCTCCTGAGATGGAGCCGAAACGCATTCCGTAGTGCTCCCATATCTCCGTTATCCTTTCCCACCAGCGGCTTTGAAATCGTTGGGGCATCTGAGATCCTTGATGAGGAACGTTTCGAAGAGTTCAAAAAAGGTCAATACTATCCTGTCAATATTGGCGATGCCTTTCATTCTAGATACCAGATTATTGGCAAGCTAGGATTTGGGGTTACTTCCACAGTATGCCTTGCTCGTGATCTCGAGTAAGCTAATGCTACATCCATATATATCAACTATGACCGGCTAATGTGACCAGTGGCCATCAGTACGTGACACTTAAGATTTATACACGCGATGAGGTCAATCAGGAAGAGGTTCAGATATACAAGCAATTGAGCCAAGGCAATTCATCACATCTTGGTTATGCTCATGTGAGAAGAGCACTAGATATTTTCACCATTCCACGTTCTGAAGGTGGCCATCATTGTCTTGTTCAGAAACCAATGTGGGAGAGCTTTAGGGATCTACTGCTTCGTAATCTTAATCATCGATTTACTGAAGACCTCCTCAGGACTGGTCTTACGCAGGTTTTGCTTGCGCTTGATTATCTGCATACCGAATGCAAGCTTGTCCATACAGGTAAAATACCCTCTGATTTTTCAAAAATTGCGAGCAACTAATCGGCTTTCTTCTTAGACATCAAGGGTGATAACATTCTTCAAGAAATAGAGGACACGGCGATCCTTGAACCCTTTACGAAAGCTGAACTGGAGAATCCTTCACCGGGAAAATTTATAAACGGCATGCCAATATATGCTTCTCGACGGTTTGAATTACCAAGGAAGTTTGGCTGAGCAATATTGAGCGATTTTGGTTCAGCTGTACGAGGAGATGAAAGGAGAAATCATGATGCGCAGCCCAATGTTTATAGATCACCAGAAGTGATGCTAAAAACTGATTGGAGCTACCCCGTTGATATACGGAACGTTGGCGTCATGGTATGCTCTGCCTTCATCCTCACGGTGATTTTATATTACTAAGTACGGATCTAGGTTTGGGATCTGTTTGAGGGCAAGCATCTGTTCTATGGTAATGATCCTGATGGGAAAGGGTATTCTACCCGTGAGTACCTCGCTGAGGTGATTGGCATTTTGGGACCACCTTCTTTAGACATGCTTATGCTTGGAAAAAGAAGTCATGAGTTTTTTACTGGTCATGGTAAGTACAGTCTCTCTTTCCTAAAAGACGCATATATAACTTTTCACAGGAAAGTGGAAGCAGGACATCGAAGTGCCGCGAGGAGTGAGTTTGGAATCCGCGGAAGAGTTTCTCGAGGGAAGAAACCAGGAATTGTTTTTAGCTTTCATGAGGGATATGCTTTAATGGCGACCGGAAGATAGAAAGACGGCAGGGGACCTGCTCCAGAATCCATGCCTCAATGCCAAGATCAAGTAGTCCTCCTAAGCCCCGCTTGCCCATATATACCTATCCATGGTGTAATGTATTTAGACCATCGCAATTGAAAATGTAGGAGCGCCATTAGCCCAATAGTCTGACAAGCGATAAATCACTTTTCTCAATGTCACGCACCTGGACCCACTCTAGTTGTCACTGGCTGTGTCGAGGGACGATACGATGTATTGAACCACACTGTATTGAACCACACAGAGGTTCCTTGAAGGTAACTAGTAACAAGATACTAAGATTATCAAAGGGTTAGATGAAAGTGGTACATGACTAAAGTAAGAGAGATGCCTTAGACTACTATGGTACTTCAAGTTATAATTGCCTTGCTAACCCTCTTAGTATAATCAAAGTAATTTATGTTAAAGAATTATGTTACGGTAAACTAGATATATGAAAATGAGTGTGTTTATATAGACAAGTGTTTTTCCTTCAATTTCTTGATAACTTATAGATATCAAGTGTATGTTAGTTGTATATCCAATTATTGTTTCCCTCTATATACATTTCTCGTACACTCTCTTTGTGTATATGCCTATAATTTGTAATCCTGCGTAGATAGTGAACAGGCTGTACCTAGCCATGGTAATTGGTTGATTGTGGTGATAGCTGCTTTAAGGGCCGCTTGCCCTTAAGTAGTTTAACTCGTCCTTAGCTTCATGCCTGTTGGTCTCGTAACACTAGGTGTGTACTTCCCAAGTGAGGATCGGGTGAGCGCCGCTTTACTATCGCGCGACCGGGAGTGGACGGGTGAAGCGCGCGAGAGACGTGGTATCATTGGGTTGCCTGTAAGCGACTGAAATGCTCAGAGTCCTGGCATCTGCACACAACCTCCCTATAGAATAAATCGAGGTTGGAGTGCTGAGTAATGTCGCTAACCACTCCATCCCAAGCATTTCCTCCAACTATAAACATAATGCCAAATGTCGGCAGGCCCAGTCGCGACTGCCATGAATGTAGGGCACGACGACTTAAGGTACAGAAATTCCCCTCCTCCTAGGCCATTGATGCATGGTGACACCGTACACATTTAACAGCCCGATAGTGTGACCTCACGCGCCCTGCGTGTCACTGCTGTCTAAGATCAGGACGGCCATGTCCCGGATATCGAAATGAGCTGGATTTACGTTTTCGAATGGAAACTGTCTCGTCATTTACGCAATCTATGCATAGAGACGGTCGAAAAAAACGAGATTATGGACCTCAAGGGGATGGGTCCTCGACACTGTATAGAGGGATAGGTATGATTCCGCCTTCCCCGTCGGCCCTGCCCCAGTTTAGTGGAACTGCAGAGAGTGCAGATTTGTTGTTATTAGCTCCCCTAACAACAATACATGTCGGCCGCGCGGCCATCGAATATCTTTCTGTCAACATATTACAGTTCGTTCTGCCTTCATATGAAAAACACGCCTCGTACGTGTCTCATGTTCCATGTAGGTGGGGACAAGAGGTAGCTCTAGACCATGCAGTTGGGTGCGTTGTCGCTGCGTTTCACGCATTGCATATTCGCGATAATACTCAATCTCTCTCGAAGCATAAGCCACTCTCATTGTATACGCGCGCATTACAATTTCTTCAACAGGCTCTCAAGGATCCGAAAAGATCTCTCTCAGCAGAAACGTTATGTGCAACGGAGCTGCTCTGTCTTTTTGAAGTGGGTATAACATTGACCACATGGGCTCCTTGATGGTATTTCTACTGACATGATTTTTCATAGTACTTAACTAAAGACATTGACAAAGCTTGGATTCAACACGCACGGGGTGCCGCTCGTCTAATCGAGCACCGTGGTCCCAGAATGTTTACAACAGAATTTGAAAAGTCTCTCTTAATAGGCCAAATGGGAATTATAGTTAGTCAAAGTCGTTTGTTTTCTTCACTTTCCTTTTTGATCAGAATACTAACCCAGGCGTATAGACAACGGAAGCCTTTTTTGACAATAAACATTGCTTCCTCGAACAAGGTGCTTGGATGTATGCCCTGCGATCCTCCATCTCCCCAAACGAGCAGTTTTCTGATCGCAGCGAACGGGTTGTCTCGCTATACGAGAATATGATCTTTCTTCCTGGCCTCTTAAAGGACTGCTCTACTATCATTATGAGCCCTGATGAACACAATGGTGCGCTGCATGAAGCACTTGTTCACAAAGTCGACATGAGACGCAGGAGCCTGTTGAGCTGGTATCGCAAATGGGGCAGAGGTCTACCCCCTCCAGACGACATCGAAAATGAAAGATTTTCTTGGACAGCTGACGAGATCTCCTTATGGCCAGAAATTCTTGTCACGCATCAAGCTTGTATGCTGATGTGTAATCGAATCCTTGTTGCTCTCGATCGAACCCGAGGGCATATTCTGGAACCTGAGTCACAGGAAATCGCTACTCAGATTATGACGATTCGACATGCACCACGGACCAATATTCGGGCTGGCAGTATGATGGCCAGCTTATCAGTTGCTCAGGCGGTCCTAGCCACAGCAAGTGATTGGGACATGGATATGGCTGAAGTACCCCTACCTCTTAAATATGAAGCGCATAAGAAACGGGTCCTGATCTCGCCTGAGAAGCTCTCTTTTTGGACTGGGCTGATCGGAATCCAGATCAGATAGGGAATGGGCTGGCTGGGATTACCCTGATACTTGTTTTCGGGAATCAATGTGCATAGTGTCACAAGAATCGATAACTCACAGCCAATGAATGTAACGTAATGAGAACACCCACTCGGACGGGACACCGAACCTTGACCGCAAATACACACACAAAACGGCATTCTTTAGGCCTTAATTTTTCTTTTTGTTTATCTAAATTTATTCTTATTATGTAATTAATTTTTAAAGTAGTGTTATAATAGAAGGCTTTTTTAAAAGTTGATCATAGTTATAATTCTGGCTTAAATACAGCTGGGAAGCCCTGTTTTCAACACCCTATGGTCGTATGTGATGGATAGTATCTAGAAACGGATCATAGTTGGCTATACGTTCCCATCTCAATACTTTATACGGCATTATTCAGCGAAAGAGTTACTTATACTTCGTCCAAGTTGTCACTGACAGTGTCAAGCGCCTATGTGGGATATAAAAGTGATTTGTTCAGAGATCTCGCAAATTCAGACGACGGATTCCATGGTGACTATATATTAAGGCCAAGGGAGCGAATTGTTCTAATAAAAATAAAATACAAAAATAAAACTTTATTTATTTATTCAAGACAAGACATATTTAATAGTTCCTGATCGTCATATTATAGCTTTCCTTATACCTTTCGTAAAGAGTTGAGTTCATTGGTCTATGTGGTATTTTGGTCTAAATGTAGTCTATACGTGCTCTCATTGGTCAGAGCGCTTGGTCTTCACCGCTTGGTGCCCGCATTAAAAAGGTTGAGGAACTACTTATATCTTCTACTTTTCTTTGGGACGTAAAACTACTACACCACAAAGTTGGCCCCTCATGGCTAAATGATAATTCATTTGGCTTTTATTTCAGCTGACATTTCCCCACCTCACGCTACATGCAATCGTATAAAATTATTAATAACCAGCACGTCGAAAGAGGCAATTAGCCGCGGACATAACTAACCGAAATGCCCAACAAGGGGCCCGCCATGGCCAGCAATTCCACAGAATCCTCGATGTCAAGCTTCGATCTAGTCTCTACAGACAGGCCATTAGACAACGTCCTAAATTTTAGAGATGTGGGGAGGTCTATAAACGAGCTCTCTGGTTCGAAGTATGCATTTCTTTCTCGCAGGAGATGTGCAGAATGTTTATACATCTATTCATAGAATTCTCAAAGAAGGCCTCCTTTTTCGCAGTGCTAGGGTACGCCGGGGTATTGTATTCCATACTAGTTCTGTCCACGAACTAACCTCGCACGAGCTCTAGCCTGATGATGCGTCCGAGCGAGACAAGCAGCGATTGGTAGATGATATTGGAGTTGCAACCATTCTCGATCTGCGTTCGAGGTATGATCTCTTTCTCAAGGAACCCGGTCCATTATGTTTTAACAGCACCGATTGGTTTGTGTAGCACTGAACGTGTACTCGCTGCAAATCGAAGGCGAAATGAATTGTCATCCGAAAATCCCAACGAGACTCCTGTCACCGCAGCTGCCGATGATGAACATTTACTGCGTATACCTGAAGTTCAACGACATTTGATAAGTTTAACAGGTCGCTCTTTTGAACGCATGCTTCTCTGGCGCTTAGATTGGTATAATTTCATGTACTGACTACCACACCTAAAACTTTCTGTGAATCATTGCAACTGATGGTCGTATAGCATGGCACTGGGCCTCGTTGCATCGGGGTATCGCCATGACGCAGCGCGAATTGTTGCCACAAACGTGATGAAACCACGTGGACTCATCGGGTTAGCACAAGACATACTGGACTGTTCTGGCGCTGAGATGTGTTCCATATTCAACATCCTGGCCGATGACAACTCATATCCGTTGATAATCCACTGTACACAAGGCAAGGATCGCACTGGTCTAGTCGTCCTGCTGCTGCTACTTCTCCTAGCAGACGTAGTCCCACTCAAGGCGATCAATTCTGACTATATCAAGTCCGAGTCCGAACTTGAGCCGGAGTTGGAGTATCTGATGAAAGAAATTACGGATATTGGCTTAGATGAGGATTATGCCAAGTGTCCGTCTGATTTTACAGATGCTGTGAAGTCGTTTCTGGAGTCAAAGTATAGTGGAGTCGAGGAATATCTTGTCTCGATTGGAGTGAGTAAGGGAAATATAGACAAGATTCGTCAAAGGTTACTGCTAGTTTGAGAGCCATATTTGTGCATGAACCTAGAGTTTCATGGCGCTCAACCAAACCACCACAGCATTCTGTGAACTCGAATTTTTAATTTTCTAGGAGCTATTATTGGTCAATAGAATTAATATCTGTGTTTCAATTACACGACTAATTCAGATTATCGATTTGCTTTATCCTGTGAGAGCTCAAGCGTATTCACTACGGTCCTTCCACTTCGGTTGAAGATAGCTCCAATCTTGTGCGAAATTAAAGCCAGATCTGTACTTTCCATACTCCACAAGTTCCACTTCTTCCAAAGCGGCCGCTTGCTCTGTAAGAGCCCACAAGCTGATCGCCAAAGTGTTGGGGCTATTTTTTCTGGTGTTTATAATACCAGGCTGGAATGGAAAGATGGACTGTGGTCCAATATGTGGAAGGTAATGGCCGAATTGATATCCATTCAACCATATATACACAACCGCCGGAACTAAAGATGATGCGTTGACTTTCAAGCCAAGTGGTACATCTAGCTCCTTGTCGATATCGAGAGTGAATTGTGTAATGTAGAATCTTCCAGATGCCCCAGATACGCCATCGTAAGGAGTACGGGTGTCCCAGCCCGAGGAAACATCAGGCTTGAAGCCCGGAAGGTGCCAGCCCATTCGTTCAGCATATAGGCCACCTTCGTTCATGGGACCACGGATCGGATCAATGTTATTTTCCCCCCCAGCATTTCCTTGGATTTTCCAAGATGTGAAATTCCCAGTACCTTGAAGGACTGCGCCAAGTATGCCGCGTGGGTTCTGTGCGCCGGCTGGCTTGACATTGGCCTCGTCATGGCCTGTATAGTCGGCCAAAATGGTAAGAATATTGTCGTCATCGCTTTGCGTTTTTAGCGCGCTTGAGTTAAATTCTAAAAGGTCTGATGTCGCTGCTAGGCTTGCATTACCAGGTGAACCGCCAATATACTTACCATTCAGCCATGCAGACCAGCCTGCCGCAACACCGTTCTGGACAGTGACATTCACTCCAGTAGCATTCACATTACTGAAATGTCCACGGTACACCTTGGGCCCGGCATGGTATCCATAATCTCCGGAATAAAGAACTGGGAGAGATAATGGAGCAATCGCATTGACAGTTGTATTTTTGTCGCAGTTTGTCCAACGTGAATCGTCATAAGCAGGATTAATTTCGGGAATCAGATCATTCGATTGCCAGGATATAAGTTGAGGTAGGTAGATGGAGACGTCCTCCGCTCCCGGAACTGTGCCAACAAGACTGCCGTATGGAGTACGCCTGGTGGCGATTATTTCATTGTTCCATTTGACAGTAGATACTGAGGGATTTCCAGAGTAAATTCTGATATTGATACATTAGAGAACTCATTTGTTATAAAAGCACAATGATTCCACGGTTATAATGGGAATGATGGAAATGGTATACTTACTCAATGGATGTGGTGTTCTCGTTATCACCTATAATTTCGACAGTCTTGCCTTTAAATGAAGCTCCTCGAACAAGATAAGGTCCAATAACAAATATGTGCTGATCAGATCCCACAATTGGATCAGACGTTTGCGGAGGCGCAAAAAAGTTCCATGCTGTGGCTTTGTCGAGGATGTATACGAGAAGCCCATTGGAGAATTTGATCGTCGAAGCGCCTTCTGCCTGTGTATAGGTATATACTGCTCCATAACTGGTCTGTGAAGCTGTCACGTTTGAGTCCCCATATACTTTGAAAGTCAAATGAGAAGTATTTTCTAGCGCAAAGGTGCCTGTTTGACCGACATTGAGGTAGAGTACAAGAACATCCACGTCAAGAGTTGCGTATGTGAGCACATCCGCAGAACAGAAAAGAAGCTTTGAACTGCCTAACTTATAATCTGTAACAATGATTTTACTTTGTCGACCATTTAATGCAACGTTCGAAATGTCAATAGCTCCTATAGACTTGTCAGTGTATGATCTATATAGAAAGTGGCAAGTTTAACCTACCTGCTGACGTTTCAACGGTAATATTAAATTCTACATTATCCATAGAAGCGCTGTCATCTTGGGCAACAACGTAGAATCCTGCATTTGTCTGCGGGTTTCTCAATGCCCAAGTAAATATACTTAAATCACTCGTATAGTTCGTGCCATTTCCTGTCATTTCGGTCATCAAAAGATCAGATGACACTCTAGTAAACAAAGCAAGAAGCTTGGTTTGCTTGAGCTTGTCTCGAATTTCACGAGTTTCTCGCAACGGAGCATCGTAATCATAGGACGTATATACAACTGGCGTTGCGCTGTAACCCCAATTTGTGCCACCATATGCCATATACAGGCTCTGTAAGGTAACTCGAGATCCGATATTATTCTTGTAAAATACATCTGCAAACTCAGGGGCGAGAGACGAGCTGCAGTCATCGTAGAACGAGCCTCCCCATGATGTAAAATAACCGCCCTGGAATTCAGGCAAGTACTCAGGTTGAGTGAACGAGTAATTTTGGAACCATTGGTAGTACGTGCGGATAAGCTCGAAGCCTGCATTTGGGTTTGTACAAGATAGTCCTCCAGGGTAACTATCCAAGCCGTACACGTTAACTGCACCACCTATGTCTTTGTAGTCGGTCGACCAACTCATACTGCGCATTCCCTTCTCATTGCTGGTGCTTGGCACAACAATACCGGCTTCAGCGAGTGCCTGAGAGATCTGCTCCATGTATACCACTAATGTATTGTTTGCACTGTAGGTAGTCTCTTGAAGTTCATTTTCATGCTGAACTAGAATGACTGGACCCCCTTTGGTAATTTGGTTGGTTGCAATGATTTTGCCTAGCTTCAGCATCCATGGATACCAATATTTATAGTACTGGGGATCACTTGTGCGTTCCTTTCCCAGCAGGCCATTTGCTGCCCAAAGCGCATACCCTCCTGCAGAGGTTTCTCCATTACTATACGGCCCTGGGCGGGCAATGACATAGACACCGGCCTGTTTTGCGTACTCAAAAAGCCGCTGGATATTGTGGGCGCCGGTTTCGAAGTCATAATGGTCTTCAGAAGCACTATGAAAACTCCAGAAGAAGTACACTATAGTTCAAATGTCTTAGAAAGAATTGGAGCTGAATACCTCGGCTGTCACTTACCCGAGACAGCATTGAAGCCGTTGGCTCGTAATTTCTGGAAGATGTCAGGCCATAGTTCGGGCACAGGCAGACGCTGATAATGAAATTCTCCTGCAAAGACAAAGAGTCTCTGGCCGTTTATCGAGAGACTGTACTTGTCCCAGGTGACTGGTGAGGACGAGTTGGAGCTAGCCGCCGCCAGGCAAGCGCAGAGAAGAATAGACCGGAAGGAGTGAAAGAAGTGCATCTCGTTTTTCAATCACGAGACTTCGACCTGTGTTTCAACCCCAGAGAACGCGCAAAATACCCCAGATCTACATTTCTTTTTAAACCTGCCATGGGCACCTCTTGATGCGTTCATTAAATGATTGTAGCTGTTCCTCCGGATATTTCGCAGTATCAATACACCGAGCCGACAGCATAATTGGCGGAATAACTACTAAAATTCTTTGGGGTCTTTTGCAGTTCCCGAACTAGTGTAACGGCCGGCTTCGCATCTTGGGTGCCTAAGGCGCTTAAGGCGGCTAGGGCTGGGGTTAGCACGGCATGTGCTATGTGACATGTGTTCCATACTAATTATTTATCCATAATGTATACAGCTGTATTTAATTCTTTCTTTATACTTAGAATTTTTATTTAATAGTACTTAATAACAATCTGTATTTGCTCACTGCTGCTCTCTAAGCAGCCCCACTTAATGTCCGTCATTCGCACATTTATAGTTAACTAACATTCATTGGTCGTAGTTTATCGATTCTTGTGACAGAATGGTTCGCCAAATCAGGAACCAGGTTTCAAGACAGGTTTGGTTCGGTCCCAACCGAACCAAATGACAGCCTAGTAAAAAGAAATTAAAGATTTAGATCTTTAGAAGGCCTTTTAGCATTTACTGGAATAAGATTTTCATAGCTTATAACTGGGTAAGGTTGTAAAACCCGAATGAATAAATAAATGTCTCTACTAGTCTGGGCATTTTGCATTGATGATAGGGGCAGTTATTAATCCTTCTATAGCGCTTTACTAAAAAAGATTCTATTGCTTATGTTCAACAACAAATATTTCACTAGGTTCAACACCTAATCATACACATCAAATAGATCATACAGATCAACTGCATGACTCGTTGAGCAAAATTACACATGTTTTGAGTATCAATTTGCTGTTGTTTTTATGTATTTAGTTCTCGGACCTTCAGACCTTCTTAGTATCAATTTTATGTTTGTATTGTTTGCATCCTGCACCTCCATGAATTCCGACACAATACTTCTCTCACGTGCATTCTTTTCCCAATTAATAAGGAGTTTGCAACACATATTTGGCCCTAGCCGAGTTGGCACGGAAAAAGCTGCAAAATGCGAAGCATATCACATGACTCAGTGACTCACTAACAGGCCAGGCTGCCCCTCTATTTCTCACCATCCGCGCAGTCTTATCCGCTTGATGAACTGTACAATAATATCTTGCTTTAAGTCTCAGCGATACGGTCACCAAAGATGTCGGAGACAACAACTTTCACCGGAGAGCCGTTCGATCGTGGGAGCTTTGAGTCTCTTTTGAAACGTCGCTTATTCTTTACTGAGGCGTTTGAGATCTACCGAACCTCTGGCAATCTGCATGGTGATAGCAGAGGTTTATTTGACTATGGACCACCAGGATCTGCGTTACAAAACAACATTGTTGACGCTTGGAGGCGGCATTTCGTTCTGGAGGAAGACATGCTCGAAGTCGACTGCACCATTTTGACACCTGAAGAAGTCTTTAAGACAAGTGGACATGTTGATAAATTCGAAGACTGGATGTGTAAAGACTCGAAAACTGGTGATTTTCTTCGAGCTGATCACCTGATTGAAAATGTTCTTGAGGCCAGGCTGAAAGGTGACAAAGCTGCCAGGGGCGTTACTAATAACGCTGAAGAAGAGGACGCCAAAGTGGACGCCAAAAAGCAAAAGACAAAGGTTAAAGACATCAAAGCAGTTCGGCTTTCTGACGGAGAAGTACAAGAGTACGAAGAAATATTGGCCAAAGTAAGTCTCATCTATTATTTCGATTCTTAAATCCCCATGAAAACTGCTGATACCTACATTTCGGCAGATAGACAATTACGATGGTGCTGAACTAGGTGAATTGGTCGAGAGATTGGAGATTCGTAATCCCGATGGAGACAACAAAGTCCTTCCTCCTACGCCATTCAACCTCATGTTCAAGACTACGTTGGGTCCAAACAGTGCCTCTCCCGGTTATTTGAGACCCGAAACAGCCCAAGGCCAGTTTTTAAACTTTAAAAAGCTCCTCGAATACAACCAAAATGCGATGCCTTTTGCGTCTGCCTCCGTTGGTAAATCGTTCAGGAATGAAATATCCCCACGGTCAGGTCTTCTCCGTGTGCGGGAGTTTCTTATGGCCGAAATTGAACATTTCGTGGATCCCGAAGGTGGCAAAAAGCACCACGGATTCAATGAAATTAAAGACCTTCGGTTGAACTTTCTTGACCGAGATACACAGCTATCAGGGAAAACGAGTGTTCAGAACATATCAATCGAGGAGGCGGTGAGAAAGAAGCTGGTGGATAACGAGACCTTGGGATATTTCCTCGGAAGAATCTATCTTTTTCTGCTTCGCATCGGGGTTGATAATAGTAAGCTTCGATTTCGACAACACATGGCGAATGAAATGGCACATTATGCCGCGGATTGCTGGGATGCTGAACTCCTGACTTCATACGGATGGATTGAGTGCGTTGGATGTGCAGATCGTAGTGCTTACGATCTCACAGTACATTCAAAGAAGACCGGGGAGCCATTAATTGTTCGCGAGCCGAGACCAGAGCCATTGAGGATAGAAGAATGGCAAATTGATATCAATAAGGCGAAGTTTGGACCAACTTTCCGTAAAGACGCGAAAGCTGTGGAATCAGCCTTGCTTGCACTGGGACAAGCAGAGCGTGAAGAACTTTTGACAGTCCTACAACAAAACTCTCATATCACCATTGACGTTCCCGGGGTACCTGATGGTAAAGTAGATGTTTCTCGGGAGCTCGTCAAGTTTGAAAAGCGGACTGTCTTGCAAAATGTCCGTGAATACACTCCTAATGTCATCGAACCATCTTTTGGTATTGGGCGGATTTTTTATAGTCTTTTGGAGCACGTTTATTGGCATCGCCCAGGTGATGTCGCTCGTGGAGTATGCTCTTCGATGTTTTTCTAGTCCAACGCATAAGCTAATTTACGGCTTAGGTTCTATCGTTGCCTCTATTAGTCGCACCTAGCAAAGTCTTGATTGTACCTTTATCGAGCCTGCCTGCCTTTGTCCCTATCATTCGGAAAATATCACAGAACCTGCGACGGTTAGGAATCTCATGCCGTGTTGATGATTCTGGTGCCAGTATCGGCAAACGTTATGCTCGCAATGATGAGCTTGGAATTCCACTCGGAATAACAATTGATTTCGACACAGTCAAGGATGATTCGATTACACTGCGGGAGAGAGACAGCACCAAGCAAGTCCGTGCTTCAATAGATGAAATCATCGCGTCTATCAAAAGCCTAGTTGATAATGCGGAAACTTGGGACGATGTCTTCGAAAGACTTCCAGAGTTTATTAGCCAAGGAGGAGAAGATGAATAGAAAGGTCACTGGCCCCAGTTGCTACTACGATGGTAGAAGACTCGTGGCCAAGTATGAGAGGCGTAGCAGCTTCGTAACGGCCAATTCTGCCCTGCTGCCAATAATGTACCTAAGTAGCCACGTGGTATTGAACATTATTGAAACATCAAAGGATGAACTGAGAAGCACTTACATTTGAGCTACAGAGGTCTGTTGCGACTACACGGGCAATAACATCTCGATCAGATTCGATTGCAGGGCTATCGCGCGTGTCGTAGGTGAAAGAGCTGCCTGGATGTAGGGCCAGCGCGTGGTTCACCTCAGGTCGGGCTTTTATTGTCATGGTAGGGGTGGTTTCTTTTCCGAGGTTCTTGGTTCAGAGCATTATTCTCATGTGTTGTTCCCCCGGCTCATAAAGAATGAAGTCTCATCCATGCATGGGTGTAATTCAGGCTTTGGTTGGGTTCGGCTCTAACTCCGAAGCAGAAGATCGCCAAGTCAAGGCGCGGAGGTGATACCGTTGTATCTCACATCAACGATGCAGCTTCGTGAATTCGGCGGTAGTCCCGGCAATCATTTAATTAAATTAGGTCAACTACGAAACGGATAGCGGGCAGTTCGACCGCGAATTCGGAATGCCCAGCACATCATCATTTATTATGGAGATCAGGCGGCGAGAGTGGTGGACACTTTTCGTCTTTGTATCGAGTGTTCAGCTGATCCTGGGTCGACCCGCGTCTCTCTGATGGGGTCAGTGTGTATCTACCGGCTAATATCGACGACTGTGATCTCGCAGCAGACATGGAGGAGCTACCCGAAAGCGTCGATGGGCCTACCATCACATCGTACGAGTCTTATCGAACATATCAACCTCGCCAAGGTCGCAAAATGCCGTGCAAGTCGAATTGTTGACATACCACATGCCCACTCCCGAGAAAGCCAACGATCTGGAGCAACGTATCACTGCTTGATACCACAAAGTGCCAACCTGAGTGTTGCGCTTGAGGCAAATTTTGACATTCCCCGCCGTATCCTGCTTTGACGTTCATTCCACCTTCGCATCGTTATCAGCAGACCATTTCTTTTTCAGAGTGTCGTGACTGAATCTGACCTTGTCACTTCAATCGGACCCGTCGCTTCGTGTCTCGCTGCCGCAGACGAGTGCGTAATTTCCATCTGCAGCTTCCTCGAATCGAACGACAAGCGGTTTCGTGGGCTAATATGGTATGCTACGTGCTGGCTATTAACAGCTAGCTTTGTCCAGGCGATATGCTACATATACCAATCGACGTATGCTCGAGCTTCGGCTCGGAATTGTCATATACAGCGTGCTGTCGAGTATCTTGGAAGTCTAGGATCTTCCCACGATATGGCTCTGCGAGCCAGAGATGTCCTTCAAAGGCTACTCAGTAAGTCGACACGGTATTTACTTCGGTAATTTCAATGCTGATCCAGTGATACGGCTGTGAAGAAGCCACCCACAGTGAGCTTTTACCCGACGCTTCAAACCACATTTCGGCGCCGTTCTGAGCATTGTAGGCTCCACTGGTGGCCAGGAGACCCTCAATCCGTTCTCTATGGAGTTGAGCGATAGTTAGATATCCGCAAGGTCCATTTAATGCAGAATTTCTAGATGCAGCAGGTGGTCTAATGATTCATAATTTCTTTAAAATGTCTGACGAAAGACAACAATATACTAGCAGCTCCTATATGCCTGGATAGTATTAGAGATGTACCATTTCGATACGTACTACATGTATATATTATTCTACCTACATAAAAGCGATCTATTATTAGTGTGGTCATGTCAAACTTCTAACCATACCAAAAGAGAGCACAACCCTGACCCAGTAAGGATATTTAGGTTTCTTAGTTCCATGGTTTTTCTAATACATTATTAATCGCGAGTGAGCTAAGCAATTCGTCATATCCGGAAAAAAGTGCGATATTGTCAAACTTTAAACCGCTCTGCCAAAAGCGGATTTCCCCTAAGTAGCATAGGTTATTTTATTGCACATGTTTTCTGGCATATATTAAAAAGATGCCCCGGAATATCAACCTGGCATCAATATATTGAAGTTATCGCCATGTCTGCCCTTAACATCCCAACTATCCAGCTTAACGATGGCACTTCCATTCCAATTGTAAGTAAGTCCTACCTGACCAGGGAAGCGCATCTTGTTTTTCCAGATTTATCAGAATTAACAACCATTATGTAATCAGATTGGATATGGAACAGGAACTGCTTGGTACAAGACCGCAGACAGCGCCGCAGTCGACCGAGACTTAGTGGAGGCTGCCAAAAGCGCCATGAAGCTAGGGTTCAATCATCTTGATTGTGCTGAAAACTACGGGACTGAGCCAGAATTAGGCCAGGCTATTCAGGAGTGCGGGGTTCCTCGAGCCAAGCTTTTTGTGACCACCAAGGTCGGTGCCAGTGTGCGCGATATCCAGGCTGCCATCGACGCGAGCTTGAAAAAGCTTAAGCTCGACTATGTGGACCTGTAAGTCCTCCCCCGTTCGATCGTCTATTCTGCCATGTGTCAGGGTTGACCGTGTCGAATGAAGGTATTTGATTCACAACCCGTTCTGGGCAAAGACTGAGGCCGAGCTCCAAGAGGCCTGGGCAGTCATGGAGCAAGTTAAGGCTTCTGGAAAAGCACGGTCCATCGGAGTTTCCAACTTCTTAAAAGGCCATCTCGAGACTATTCTCAAGACTGCCAAGGTGATTCCGGTCGTGAACCAGATCGAGTTGCATCCGTATCTGCAGCGCGGTGACGACCTGGTTTCTTTCCAGGAGAGCAAAAACATCAAGACCGTCAGCTACGCCGGTCTTACCCCGATTACTCGCGCGAAGGGAGGGCCATTGGACCCCTTATTGACAGCTTTGGCGAAGAAGTATGGCGTGAGCGAGGCCGAGATATTGCTTCGCTGGTCACTGGACCGCAAATTTGTGGCCATCACCACTAGCAGCAAAGAATCGCGCTTGGCCAGCTATCTACATATCCTAACTTTCAAATTGAACCCGGAGGAAGTTGAGGAGATCAGCCGTCTGGGCCAGCGGAAGCATTACCGCGCATTTTGGGACAAGCATTTTGGGCCAGATGACCGGTTGTGATCTGCCACAGAAGGATCCTTCACTAATCCGTGCTGAGTTCTTACTGAATCTATTATAAGAACTGATGAGCACTTATCATTCTGCTCACTGCTCATCGTAATTGCTCACTTAGACGTTAAGTGTTACTGAAACTCTGTTAGATAATGAGGTTGATAATCATAATACACAAACGTTCATGTACATGCATTCTTAATCTGCGTCTGTCTCCTCATCGACTAATAGATAGAGTTAAAAGGTATCGTGACTCAAAGCGCGACAGAGTGCCCCATTTTTTATTTACTATTGATATACTTGTATCTTCTGTCTAGGATATGTAGAATTCCATTGTGCCTAGCTAATTACATAATATTATGTAAAAGCGTCAAGAAGCAGCGGCAAACCAGCAGGAGCAGCTATATATCTCTTTTACGTATACGCTACATATAGTCACAGGGAGACCATGGGTGCCCATCCCAATCTAGTTCGTGCAGCTCACTGCTTTTATTAACAACGAGCTTACAGAACACAAAGGCCTGCAGACAGTCAAAATATGGCCTACGACCAGTAATATCTACATAACTCTTTATAATTAGAGACCTCTATAAAATATTAATAAAAATTACCTTTTAACAATAGCTAGCTTATTATAGCTGTGCAACATGGATAGGTCCAGGAAGCATGCTTATGCCGAATCCGGCAAGACCGGTGGACTCCGAAATATCTCGGGGGTCAATTGTGACATATCATAATTGATACCATACGACCCCGGGCATGATGTGAGTACCCCTCATATGCTTTTATTTAGTTAGATTAGGTTTTCCAGACACCCCCAACACGGTCCTGCCCAGACCGTGTTACACTTAATCTACAGTATAGCTAACATTAATATTTGTTAATATTAAGTATATTTTATATAATAAATTGAAAAATTGAAACTTCTAAATACTTACGAAGAGAGAGGGAAGTCCCTTGAAGTAGGTATATAAAGTCTAAAGTAAAGCTAAGCTCATCTATTAGCTGATAACTTGTAGTGGTAATATCTAATTACGTCTAGCATCAAGTTTAAGTGATTCTTTGAAAGTTGAGACTATTTGTTTCAAAAAGTGAAAAAGGCACTCTCTGAATATCAACTATGAGCGGTCCTCTCAGGGGAATGTATGGATGGGTCAGGGGCAAGGTTAGAATGATCATGACTTAGATTTTGTATTCATAGTTCTCAGGAGTCCAATCTTTGGTTCACTTCTACTTTCAACTTTTATTCCTCAGGTTCATGTAAATTAGTTCGTTAAAATGTCCTTTGAGCTTTCAGATTCCACAATATCCTACAGAAACCGTAAACTGAAGGTATGAAACCCAGTGCTCCACATTGCTTTAGGTTTTAATACGAATAATCAGAGTCATCGTAATAATCCGTTCCTTCCTCCTCTGTAGTCACATCGCCTGCGTCTTCTACTGCTAGCTTAGTAGCATCCTTTTTCTCCCACTCATCCAACCTCGCTGTCTGCTTCACCGAGACTACGAATCGCTCTTCATACGCAGCCCGAACCACCTTCCTCGTCCTCCACTTGAAAGTTGCAGAATGGGACACAAGGTACAGTACCGCGTTAAAGACTTTGGCGCTATCCCTGGTTTCGTTCATGAAATCTCCTAATAGAATCAAATATAACAACTTAAAGGCTGTGTCGCGTGCCTTTGACTTATTACCCTTGATTTCTCGATATCTCTTGTATTCACGCTCATAGTCGCTCTGGCCTGACTTCAGATCATTGAAGATCTCATTGATGGACTGACCACCAAGAACGTCAACGCCGAGAAACTGATACGTATCGCAAAGAGTGTGGTGTTGGGAAAGGTCTGGAGGAAGTGATCGGAAGCATTGGCGGTAGCCTGACTCGATCCCTTTAAGGGCTACATCGAAGAGAGGGATAGAGCCGTGAATAAACTCTTTGGTTTGCGGTTGCGCCTGGGTTTGGAAATTGACAAAGGATGCTAGGTATGGTATTTTAGACATATCAATGTCATAGGACGCACCCCCAATTCTAACAGCAGGCTTTTGGGTGGTCTTTTGTTGCAAAGGCTATAGCGTGCAATTAGTCGTTGATTTTATCCACTGTTAGACGCTCACTAACCTCAGACATGTCGTGTTGCTTTATCCAAATCTTCACATAAACAATCAGTACAGTACCAGTGCTGAGTTTTCTTGATCGTAGATTTTTTTTAAAAAATATCTTATCCAAGGTAACGGCAGTCACTTCATCTATTATATCTAGAATTCAATCTCATACAGATATCTCTAATAAAGAGATGCATCACACAGTACATGATATAACTTTTCCTGAAGATGCTGCACAATTGGTTGGTCAAGTTACAATTTCACGCCACCTCTCCCATCATCGAGGTATAGCAATTCGTTCATACTCAACACTCGGCTTGTCATGATTGGATCTCACGAGCAATTGACCGCGGAAATTGGAGAGTGAAGGCCTCATCAGTTTTCTATGCGCAATATATGCAGCTGTATATCCTCAAAGTTAAAGAAAACAAAGCACAGGAGAGTAGGTCAATGTGATAGGTAATAATGAATCAGTCTCATGTCGCTTTGAGTCATCTGCAAGCATGGACGAAGCTACTTGCATGATTGCCGCTACGTGTTCCTCTGTTATGGATTCATAGTTGTGGGTAATAGATTAACATGCAGCCAGGTCTATCACCACATAGCTTGGATTATGGCACCTTTGCTCCAAGGGTCCTAAGCCTATATCACCCAAAAATAGATGCTCAAATTCTGTTGATGCAAGTCTGACCGTAACCGTATACATTCCACTACGGGACGATTACTGAATACCGCATCAAGCCAGTATGCCAGCAAACTTGAGGCCCAATCATCATTTGTTTGTGGGTCAAACCGATTTCAAGAATGACTGTACAGTCGACATACGAAACAATAGGCTCCTTAGCGGTATCTACTGCCTCGAGGAGGGCTTTTGTTCCTTCGAATAATAACATTGCCTCAAGCAGTCGCGAAACCTAAATAATCTGACTGTCAATTCGCTCGAATGTGTTCCCGAGGTCGAAGATCTTCCTGTATTTGTTGCAGGTATGGATTTTAACCACTCACGTTATGGTTAGGGTCCTCAGTGGCTGCTATTTTCCTTATCCATGCGACCCCATAGTCGCCTCTGCTTTTTTGAGCTTTTCAGCTATCTGAACTTTTCTCAGCTCTGCGCTCTCTTGTTGTTTCCTAGCCTTTTCGGCTCGCTCGGCTCTTCTGAGGTTTGCATCCTCCTGTTGTTTCCTAACCTTTTCAGCTCGCTCGGCTCTTCTAAGGTTTGCATCCTCCTGTTGTTTCCTAACCTTTTCGGCTCGCTCGGCTCTTCTAAGGTTTGCGTCCTCCTGTTGTTTCCTATCCTTATCAAACCGTTCTTTTTTACGTACCTCAGAATTCTCTTTGTCTTGTTGAATTTGACGGATGCGCATGATTTTTATCCTTTTCGAAATTTGGAAATCTTCGGCCATTCGTGAAGTATTGACGGCTTGTCTTTGTGCTGCAAGCTTTTGCTCTTCAATGGCTCGTTCGATATTGAGCCTTTTCTGTTCGCTTCTTGACAGGCTCTCAATGCCTCGAATTGCATTTGTTTCTACAATTGTGGACAGTTCAATATCTCTCGATTTATTGTTCTCGGTGTCCCAAAGAGTTTCAATGAATCGGTTCATCTTTAATTGTGCTTGTTATCCCCAGCCTCAGTAGGGTTGATTAACATGGCTTACTCACACGATCGTTGCATGATTTTGAAAATTCACCGCCTCCTATCCTCTTCAGAGGTCCCAGGATTCCCTGAACAATCCTCGCATACCTTTGGATTGTGCTCGTATGTAATGTAACTCGGTGTACGGCGAGGTTTCGAATTTGACGGACTTCTTGCAACCGAACACAGAACGATTCTCGCTCTTGTTCAGAGATTCCATGGCTGCTGAAAGTACGTTTATGGTGAAAACAAAAATGTTCAGTTATCTTTTCTGTGAGTCTGGTAAGCTCGGCAGCCTCGACACAACACCAGCCACTTTCATCCAGGAGTTGTGGTGCAGTAATCTTGCAGAAATAATAAAGGTAGTATTCTAGCTCATTTTGCCATTTGGATAGAAGTTGATGACAAATAAGAAATCTCTAAAATATTAGCTATGAGCCTGCACTGTCAGGATTATGCTTTACTTATTCTTGTCACTGTCAGTCGAATCTGACGCCATAGTCGCATTATAGGATTCGATAGGTGTTCTTGGTGTTTTGAATCTATTCTCGCGGGTTCTTATGGTACCAGCTTCATTATATGAGCTTTCTGTCACAATGACGTACGTGCGGTGGTCCCTCGGTAGCGCGACCTACGATGCTTTGTGGCGATGAACTCTTCGTCCTTGATTCGTTGAATACTCAAAATTTACCTTCATTCATTTCACAAACCAGGGTTCCTGATATTTGGATGCCTTGGTTTGTTATTCTATAATCAAATAATCTACTATTTGCAAGTAACGTCGAGCAAGGTATAGATTGCATAGGCTCCCAACATACCATGTACTACATACAGTACTTGAAGCAAATACATTCTGATTTTCCGGGAGGATCCTCCACGGGCGAAAGCGTGCTCACGTGGGGAAGCGCCCGTATTTCGAAATACATACGAGTCATTGCTTTGAGTCATGAAACATTCCGTACCATTTCGTTAACGAAGCCTGAGACAGGGCATCGGAATAATTAATGAATATATTTTAGCGCATCTTGGCTGCAGGGGTTAGAAAACAATTGAAGCGAGTAAAGCGCGCACCGTTTTGCAAACAACTTTATTCTTGAGAACCATATGTTTTATTTTGTTTTGCAGACTGCTAATGCATTTCATCATGTTTTCCTACGAGGTCCTTTTCTATACCGCTTACCTACAGGTATCTATCTGGTCATAGACTGTATTCCGTTTCCGCTTGGATTGGGCATGTCTAATTAGTAAGATAAATCTTCAATTTGATCTCTCATCTTGCGATGTATTCATGCTGTCAATGCTATTGAAACCTGCCTTGCTCCGTGTATTCTACTTGATGATTTTGGATATTTGTTCCTCTTCTACCTCTGATATCTGGTCTGCATCCTCTGAACTCTCATCCGTACGCCTATTCTCTTCATCAAACAGTTAATTTACTAACTCTTTTAGCAAATTTCTAGTCAAAGTTGTATTCTCTTAGTCTTTATAGATAATTCTATCTTTTAATGCTTTTTTATTTATTAAACTTTTCTTATAGCTATTAAACCCTCTAAAAATCTTTGCTTAGTGTATTCTTTAAAATATTTTTATTAAGCTTTATTGTTTTTATTTTACTATTTATTTCATTATTTAGATCTTTTAATTATATAGTTTGCAGTGGGTTTGAAAAGTGGTTGGTAAGAATCAGAACTCCCAAAAAATAGATTTAGAAAAAGAAAAAGAGAGTCGAATTGTAAGACTAATAAAAGAAATGAAATATATTTATTCTATTAAAGAGTACCTAATATATTTGATAATTGCTGAGATATACCATCTTCTATTTTGTATCTTTATAAAGTTATAGATTAGAAATACAGATTAATAAAGCGTATAAATATTAATATAACATTATAATAAAGACTATTAAGTTAGAGAATATAATCATATAATCATAAAATAGAGCAGAATGCTATTGTTAACGATTGAACCTGAAGTCTTAGTAGAGATTAATGCAAGAAGTCTAGATTAGAATATTAGAGATTTCTTTAATACTCAAAACTTGACTACAAACGAGATTTCAGGATGGCTTATAAATTAACTAGGTATATGCATATTAGCGCTTACAAGGACCATTGGCGCCTAGGAAAATGAGCAAGAGCCAATAACTCGTCAATGTGAGGGCCACCCTGAGGGACCTAAAATGTTGATTTTATTAATTGACGCTCTAAATATAGCAGGGCAAAGGTACGCGGCTACATTATAGAATCACCTTGCTGCCAATAAAGCCTAGATGCCGCACCCCACATGTCAGATTGAACGTAGTACCCTTCAAGGGTGTTTCTCAACGTATCAAATGGTGTATGTCAAACATATGGTTAACATGATCAGTTATATAATAATTGATGATATCAATAGATACAGGAATTATGGGAAACATATCTGACCCCTACAGAGTATACCGTGGATCTCCAGCCTCATTACATCGCGTGTTCTGATTAGCTGAGATTTATGAGTGTTTTGATTGATTGGATATTTCAACACCACATTCAAACATCCCAGACGTAGCAAATTTGAACTTTCTTCTTACACCCTTCTCGGTTTCATTCACAAAGCTGCACTTCTTGCTTGAGTCGGTATATAAGCGATGGATATAAATGTCACAACGGCCGCTGAAGACACGCTTATTGATTTTTGCATCCAGAGAGGAGAGAAAAATGCATTGGTTGCCGGCATCCATGGGGCAATAGTCGTCAAAGTCACAGACAACATTGTCGCCAAATGGGGATGGACAGTGACTGCAGCTGAAGCAGCCATGCATGAATTTGCGTACAAGAGCTTAGACCATGATATCGTTCGCGTACCTCAGATGTATCGTTTCATCCAGGACGACTCAGGAAGAGGATACCTGTTCATGGAATATATCCCTGGACAGAATTTAGCTGGCCTAGATATCAATCGTCATGAAGATATCATATTCCGGGTTGCAAAAATTATCGAGCATCTGGGTCAAATACAAGCACCAGAAAAGAAACCAGGTCCAATCAGTGACCGTGGCCCTCGGGGATACCTGTGGGGCGACGATGGCGTGAGGAAAGCCTTCGAATCGGTTACAGATCTGAACAACTGGCTTAACAGCCGTCTGACTCTCAGAAATGACTCTGTTGATCTAAGTCCATACCCGCTTGTTCTATGTCATATGGACCTATGTCGCCGGAATATGGTCCTTGGAGAAGATGGCGAATCAATGTATCTGCTTGACTGGGGCCACGCTGGATTTTTTCCGCGCTTCTATGAAATAGCAACCCTGTCATGCCTAAACCCTTATGACGGAGACTACGAGAAACCTCTTATAGGAGTTGTCGAATCATTGCTGCAGCTTACAGATGACGAAAAACGCGACATGAAAATGATTCATTATGCACGTGCAGCAAGCCTGAGATGGTCATTGTAGGTGAAGCCGTCTTAAAGAGCTATAATTTTATATTAAAGCTAATTTTTATTTCCTCCTTTTCCCCTTAATAAAGTCCTGATGAGAACGACAACAATGAATCGGCCTTTGACCCTGCCACACTGGGAACTCCACCACCCCTGCCAATTCAAGAATTCTGAACTGTTTATAGAGCTCTTCTATATGTTGCCTATACTACAGAACGTAGTGAGCAAACCGCACTGCTAGACAGAAATTTCGCTTATGCTGGTTTCAAGCGTCTACTATGATAATATGCTAAGTATAACAGTATCTCGCCCTGGTAGATAGCTTTGAATGTTACATTCAAATATTTCCTATATTTCCATACATGTTCAGTTCCCACTCGAATTTTGACCGCCACCATGTTTGGTTAATGCAATCGATGTAGTTAGCTCTTGAGAAATAGACCATGCAGGCGATACATCAGGTGTGACCTACGGTGTTCTTCACTAACTAAATAAAGTGTCCCTTTCATTTCCTGTAGAGAACATCATGCTTCTGGCCATGGTCATAACTCTAATAAATTGGGAAAGCAATCGAAACAAGCCTCAATGGGAGCCTTGCACTGAGGGCAAGGGTATCCAAAAAGTGGACCCTGGGAGTTGACATCTTCCACGCGTTGTGTGCACAGCAAATGTTTACAGCCGAATATTTTCCGATTCTTCTTGTTGGTACGACAACCTGCACATCTCAGGACGCCTCGCTTTTTCTGTTTATCAATCTGTCGTTGAAACGCTTGGATTCTCAAATTTGACACCCGCACTTGCTCTTTCTAATACTTCTTGGCTTTCTTTAGCTGGGTATTTTCTTACCTTAATTGAAGGTTTTGTTCCTGTAACCGGATGTTCTCCTATTCTAAAGCATCATGCCGAGATCGAAGACTTTTAACGAGTCGATCCTACCCATTGTTAGTATACACTAGAAACATCCAAAATCAAATTAGCATCCACTCACAAGTTCAGAAATCAAATCCACCGTAATGCTCCCTTCCCTGTCGAGCGGCCACGACGAGGTGAGGGGGCCTGGTGAAATCGACGCTTAAAGCAGCGTCTTTCAACGACGAAACGGGCCACGCTTTCACCAGAACGGACATGTAAGAAATAATATAAGAAACAGCGTGTGATAAAAAGAGACGGAAGGGTCATAGAGAATAATGATGCATGCAATGATGTCTTGACAGTTAGTAAGACGTCAAAAATGGCGTCAAGTACAGCTAGCTGTTTTTGGGGTCTCGTTAACCAACACAACGTTAAATAGAGTATGCATTGTTTACTTTATTATTAAATGTTTTAGAAGCTCTAAATTTAGTTGATGTATTAAGATAGTATGAAATAAAATTGTGTTTTGTATGGTTAAAAATATGATTTTGTCTTATTTTATGGACTGACTATAGAAACCGTTTTAAAAACCCAGTGGTACTCTATTAGTTGTAGTCGCTATCGATAATTTTGGTATTTCCCAGGGCTATTATTGGTAGGACAGTGATGAAAACCTATCGATATATTTTTGACTTTACATGGGAAATAAGCCGAGTTTCGTGGTGTATATAAGCCGAGCTGGCCACCGAAGTTTGTTCGCTATTCCAACTCAACTCATTGCAAAGATGGCTAATATTACTACCTACAACATCCTCGTTGCATGCTTGGTAACTGTCGGTAGTTTCATTTATGAATTTAGGTTCTCTATTTTCGCTGTATATGCCTGTCTTCTACAACTACTTCAAACTTGACCATGAGTAAGCCTCGCATTACCTCGGGAAATCTATATTTAAGCTTGTCAAACACAATGGAAATTGAAGAGGCTAAATGGTAGTGCAAAGCTAGGTCTGAGTAAGTCCTGACCATCCAGCTATCTTAGTGTAAGAATATAACCGAGCTTGAGGCAAGAGTAAGGGTGGATCTTAAACTTCTGGAACCTAAGGAAAATTTGAATCCCCGCAAGCAGTGGAGTGCTAGTATGGGGTATTTTCCTACGCCAGATACCACGTAATCATAGATTGGATCACAGATTACTGGGGAAATCTTCCAAAAGTGTTTACTGTTCGATCGTAGTCAAGAGCTAGCAAGCTGAGAGAAAATAAGCGAGATCACCGAAAGCATATCCTCCGGCGTTTCCAAATTGCCCGGAGGGTGATTATTTAACCTCTATATGCCGTAAAGAAGTAAGATATTCCTTTATTTTGATCCATGAGGTTTGTAGACGGAAACTTAGTTACCATTCCTTTTGTAGCGCTCTGTGGAGGTGAGGAAGAAGGAATATTTTCTTTCTGCGACTCAAACCGTTCCCCTGTAAGGATTTGGAAATATCGGTGAATTAAAAGAAAAACAAAGTTCACCATGAGATTAGATTAAAATACACATGACAAAAACGGTAAAAATAAGCTATAGTGTTGCCTTATAATACATGGGCTCGTATGGATGCCACCGTTAGCCGGTGAGACTCCTGCCGGTCTTGGCTAAACGCCATGTTCTAACATCCCGGCTTTTATAGTCAAAAATGATGCTTTTCGGCTTTCTCTACTTCGACTAACTATTTTCTTTGAAGTATATATATACCACATTCTCCGTAACCACTCTCCCTTCTTTTGTTCTGGTGTTTTCATTTTCTTTCCATGCATTGGAACACTGTCCAGGTTGACTTATGATGGCAAATCTCACGGGGTACAATATTTTAATAAGCTGTATAGCAGCTATTGGAGGTTACAGCTATGGCTATGGTGCATCTGGATTTGCTACCAGTATTGGGCAGCCTGGCTTCTTTGAATATTTTGACCTGGATCGTGAGTGAGACTTGATACACTACCATTACTGTGGCTAATCTTTACAAATAGCTGGGAGTACATATACGGCTAAGTCTGTTAAGCCCTTTTCATATAAAAGGGGGTATTTTCTAACATTTTGCGGCTAGTATTCTGGGGGCGATCAACGCACTGTTCTACTTCGGCCTGGCTGTGGGTTCAGTGATCACAGGCTGGCTGGCAGATGTGATCGGAAGAAAAAAAACCTTTGGACTAGCGGCGACCCTGGCCTTAATTGGATCGGCCCTTGTTACTGGATCAGCCGCGATTGCAATGCTTATTGTCGTCCGAATCATCCAAGGGATTGGCCTGGGGATGCTCCTCTGTGTGGTCCCTTTATATCTTACTGAGATTGCCCCCCCGCATCGGCGAGGAATGATTGCAGGCCTCACAACAGTGTCTTTTACCACAGGATATGGAATGTATGTTGTTTTTGGCGTCTTGGATAACGCAAACTTTGTTCATCTGATTTATTCTCTAGTTGTGCATGGGTATCAGTCGGTACCTATTACGCAAAGAGCCCAACAGTTCAGTGGAGGTTACCACTTGGGCTCACATGTGTTGGGCCTGCACTAATTTTGGCGGGGCTCTACTTTATTCCTGGTAAGAGCGTACTCTTGTTAAATGGAAGTTATATGGATATACTTGGTTAATCTGTCCTAGAATCGCCTCGTTATTTGACTTTGATTGGGAAGAACGATGAAGCATGGCAGGTGCTTCAAAAGATTCATCATGATCCTTATGATCCTGAAGACTCGGCTGCTCATGCAGAGCATAGCCAAATCGTCCGGCAGATTGCATTTGACAAAGAGCTGGATACTGGGTGGATCCAAATGTTGACGAAACCCTCGTGGAGGCGGAGGTGCCTCCTTGCATTCTTCATCCAGTAAGAAAAGGCTTTGTTTGCCCGGTATTGCTTGTATTGACGCTGATTGAGTAATAAAGATTTGCTTCCCAGTCCGCCGGCGTAAGTTGATCGGGTGTTATGCCTTGGACACTATGAGATCCCTAACTTAGTTATAGATATTGGGTATTGCGAACTTTATCACGATAATTTTCAGTAACCTGGGAATGACTGGAGTTATGCCATTACTCTTATATGGTAAGGCCTTACTACCGGCATCTTTCAAGAACTGTTCTAATATTTCCAGCTATTCTCACTACGGTCGGCGAAGCTGCTGTCATTTTATCTATGTTCATAATTGACAGAGTTGGGCGCAGAACATTATTCTGTTAGTCAATCTCCCCTTTGCAGTAAATACTACTCTTTACTTACATTGCTGTCTTCCATAGTGATTGGATTCCCACTTTCTGGCTGTGTTGTTCTTATCGAAGCTCTATTACAGTGGAAATACCTTGATTCTTCAAACGAGACAGGTCTTCGGGGAGCGGTAGCTATGATTTATGTATACTTTTTTGTCTTTTGTACTTGTGTTGATGTAACTGCATTTGTATGGATGTCAGAAATCTTTCCCACTACAATCCGGTCAAGAGGCATCAGCATTGGATTCTTTGCCTACTTTGTAGGAGCCATCACCTACACTACCCCAGCAGCTCTTCAGATGAAGACCGTGTAAGTTCACTCACTACTCCTTACTGAACGCGATCTAATACTGGTACTAACATGAACTATAGTAAGTATAACATCTTTTACCTCTACATGGCTCTGTGCTTCGTTTCCACTGCAATTATCTACTTCTTCGTGCCTGAAACAAAGCAGATCCCCATAGAGGAGATCGGAGCGTTGTTTGGCGATGAGGTCGTGGTTCACCTTACTGAAGATGGGCGCGCCATTAAGGAGGACCTGACTACAAAACAGGGAACACAGGTTGTGGAATCTCACTATGAGGAGAAGGTAGCACTGAGTTAATAGCCTGATTTGGAATCCAAACCTTCCATGATAGCGGGGTATATTAGGACTAGATGCTAGATTAGAGAGATAGCCAAGAAGGTCAAAATGAATTTGCTGTCCTATAATATGCTAATATACTCTTTTTGAAAATGCAATTTCGAGTACTTAAAGATACGAGAATATACTTCTATATCCTTAAACCCCAAAAGTGGACTGCATTTTATCGGCCCACATATCCTATTCATGCTGTCCCAATATGGCTAGTAGGTAGCCTCAGGTACCTAAGTAAATAGCAGACAAAAGACCCACAGTTCCATCAGGACAGTGCGGGGGTATCCTGCCAGTATCAGTCCATCTACTCAAATTTGCAGCACATCAGATGCTTTTATAGTAAGTGATTTCCCACAAACGATACCATCCATAACAGTTACAGAGATAAGTATATACCAAAAGCAACACCGTCAACCAGAATTTTATAGCCAAATAGATAAATTCCAACGACAAAATTATAATACTACAAAAGTTGTATTTACAGACATTAAGCCACACCAAGTGGTATTCCTACATAGATAAGATCATACAAGAGATAAAACAACAATTACTAGAATAACTTCTCCTTGAGACCTGATCAACGCCGCATTAAACATACAAGAAATAAATATATTCCAAAGCACATGTAGTTAATACATCCCACAAAAAGAAGCGGCTATTATTGAAAGCTACGTATTACGGGTTAATTGATCAGGAAAACAAGGGAAGAAAATGATATGCCTCAGCCTGCTTGCTGCCTTATCCACTGCCGCAGTACATATCAACAAACACAGAAAACCCTGAAGGTACATAGTAGATAGCCCGGCCAGGATCTTAACAATGGTTACATTTCTACAAGGACTTCAAAGAGCTCGCACGAGGCGGTGTCTATTGACAACTTGGCTGAGTTGGCGCCTATCTGAGGAGCAGGAGGATTCCACATATCCGAGGCGTCTTACTCTGGAAGCGCATCAAAATCGCACCGCAGAAGACCTCTGGTTAGAGACACTGCTTCCTTCTTGGCCTGCTCCTCCGAGATGCGAAGTCCACCCTTGCTCTGTTCCCAGGTGATAGTTTCGATGCTGCTGCTGCTACCACCGTCGCTTGGCTTCACAACAAGCACGTAGACTTCCTGGCCCGTCCAGCTTCGAACAAGGTGGACGGCGATGTTGCCGCTCTGGCTCTAATCCATGACCAAGACGCGCCATTTGTCATCCATATCCTGAGGCTCGAAACCGGCTTTGAGCTTCTTAAAGTCGGTGTCGCTGATGCTCAGACCCCATGGTGCTGTGGCAGGCTCCTGCATGGCGTGTACGTGATCTGTGTTTTTGCTTTGCACGTGAGCATGCAAACGCCTGGGTGGTGTTCTGAAGTTGGCAGGTAGCCCTGAGTGCCGTAGGAACAGGCTTGCCTTCCTTTCTCCCCTTCCACACCATTCCATGCGTTTCCATGCCAATCACGTGAGCGGGCTAATATGCTCACCGTAGCAAGTATTCTTGAGGAGTTGAATGGGATAGCTGGACACTAGCTGATGACCCCGCTCCCAGGGCCAATGCAGGATTGGCTAGATCATCCTGCTGATATTTGCCCCATACCATTTTGTGGGTCTCCAAACTTTCATTGGAGATCTTCAAGGAGCCTCTTAACTGGCTAAAGTTGAATTATTTATAGAAAATGTTCTAATCATGTTTTGAAGTCCGCTGTAGATGAAGGAGGGCGGTGTCATGGCCTACGTGGTTCTCTACTTCAACAAGACCAATACTAGTAGTAGATTTTCAAGTGTATTATCATGCAACCGTAGCTAACTATCATCCTGGAAAGATATGCCCTAGAAGTAGAATTATACTGAGTAAAACAATTCCAAGCCTGACGTCCCTCACTTTAGCGCTTTCTGATATCTTGGAAAATTAAGCTTTCTACTAACTAATCTTATTGATCGATGCGCCTGACAAAAGGCAGGATAATCTTACTACCCTTAAAAATTGTGTTCTTCCCTCCAAAGCGATCTATTGTACGGTCGAAACCCTGGTGCTTCATCACGTCGAGTAAAGTATCGCTGTCTCGACTACCTAGCTCTATCTGGATTTTGTGGCCCTTCTCAAATACCATACTTGTTGCCTGTACGGGAACCTTGATCTGGTATCGTGTATCTGGTTCCACTGACGCTGAGCTTTGGTGGCTAAGAATCACAAGATGCTCCGTGGATCGCTGTTCATCCAGCTCGCGATGCGACAATCGTAGATATCCACGAGTTACTGCAACGGATGGTTCGCCGTGATTACCCTCTAGCTGAACCAAATGCCCGTTCGGTTCCATGTTTGTCATCGTTATAAATAGGTCCATGTCTTTGGCAGTCGTTGCGACGTCGAGAACCATGTAGGGAAACCCCAATAGCTCGAAGTTCTTGTCTAGAGGCTTGGTAGAGAACAGCTTTGAACTACTGAGACCTGTGTACTCAACTATGATCTCATTGTTGCTGCCCGGATATTCATCCAAGAGTTGCCCGTCAGAAGTCAAGAAGTACTCTTTATACTCAGTATCGTACGGAGGGAAGTCTTGTTCGGCACGCCGATAAGTCCTTGCACCTTTTCTGACGAGCAGATCAACCTTCGGAATTCCCTGTAGAGATTTGCCGTCATCCTTTAGGAAGTGGTCCAAAAAGCGTCGTTGTCGATCTATTCCATCTCGACTGTAGAAGGCGTGAAGGTGATCCCCCGTGTGTGTCTCTAGGTACTTTGTCTGTGACGTGCCCCACATATAACCTAGAATATTTCCAGGGGCATGAACCTCGGTGTCCATGTAGTTGGCAGCGGAATAGAACGGAATTTTTATGTTATCGAACCTCCTGAAGCGGTCGAGAATCGGGAATGAGCCGTCGCTACGAAATTCCCAGCTAAGGTATTTCAAAAAGTCCACTCGATGACTTTGAAGCTCGTCCTCTGACACACCTTCCGAACGGCCATGTTGGTATGGAAGCACACAGTTCTTCCACCAATGCGCTAAGAAGTTAGAGTTAGAGAGTCCCCCCGGTCGAAATAAGGAATACAGCAAATCACTTCCAGCTTCCCATGGCACTACTGCTTTAAGAGATGGCGGGTTCTGTTGCGCTGCCCACCAGCAGGCCATTCCGAGATAGCTGATGCCACTCATTCCCACCTTTCCGTTGCACCATGATTGACGTGCAGCCCACTCGATGGCATCATAGAGGTCTGCTCTACGTTCAGTAAAGATATTTATAAGTGGGCAGCAAGAGTACCTACCATTTCCCTCTGCATCCTGGCCCGACTGGAGTGTTCTCTGGAGCCCAAAAGGATCAAGCATTCCTGGCGTTCCGCCCGCGCCCCGGCAATCGATTCTTATCAAAGCGTATCCAAATTCTTTGGTCTGCCATTCGTTAGGTTTTCGTTATATATGTACGGTTGACGCTTGATAAGTACACACCCAGAGTAGTGGATCGAGGGCCTCAAACCCAGCGTCAGGACCTACAGGTTTGATTTTGGCATTCATTTTGGCGTAAATGTCCGTCTGTGGCAATCCCCATTCAAGGGCATGGACATCTTTGCCATAGGGACACATGGATAAGAGGACTGGGACTTTCACATCTTGTTCGACACTCAAGGGTAGAAAGATATCAGCGCAAAGCTCACTGCCATCTCGAGTTGGTATGTACACGTCCTTCAACCTCAAGTAGAGGCTATCCAACTTGGACTGAGTGGCCTCCCTTTTTGGCAATGGCAGAAGAGGCATTATCGATGTCGTAGTAAAAAAGAGTTTTTCGATCTGTCTATAACTGTTAGGACGATAAAAGGCAAGGTTATCCATTATTATATAATTTTTCGCCGTAACGTGGTACTAATATCAAGCACCTACTTCTCAGCACCGCCTACTATTTACTAAGCTACTTTTACTGTTCATGTAATACCACATCTAACTACTAAGTTGGCTCGGAAGTTCGCTTTAAATGTTGATTGGCTCACAGGGTCACTTTTCTTACGTCAGCGATATCATTTTCTACCTTCGCGTGTTCGCATGTTCGCATGTTCGCATATCCGGTGCGAGGTTGACTTATGCGGGTCAAAGAAAAAGAAACCAAGCCTCCGGTGGATTTGACGAAGTTTTCTGTCACAACGAAGGCAAGTATGCTCAGAAAGTCCCACTCAGGTTGTCGCGATTGCAGACGGCGCAAGGTGAAGGTACTACACCCCAATCAAAGCCCTTGCTACCCATGTGGCGAGTGCTCATTTGTCATAGTGTGATGAATCCAAGCCCGTTTGTTCAAATTGTCGCCGCAGATATATCGGCATTCAACGCTGTGATTGGAGCGCCGAAACACATCGAAAAGGTGTACACGTCGCAGCGAGTGCTCCTCAAAAGCAAATACGCGGAAACGTGAGAATGAAAAGTGTCACATCATATTCTGGTGAGCCTTCTCCCTTATCCTTGCCCCTTCATGCGGGGCTGGATGGGAGCGACGGCCAGTGGCGAGCATTAGAGCTCTGTTTAATGCACCACTACACCACGGTAGTCTGCCTCACAATGCCGCATAGTGTAACTGCCGACACACAGATGTGGCAGCAGATCATACCACAGTTGTCATTCGAGTCGGAAACCGTCTTGAACCCGATGCTTGCACTCTCTGCGCTTCACCGACACATGTATTTGCCAAAAGATACTTTCGTGGCAAAAGCATTGCAAAGGTACCTCGATCGGGCACTTGTGCACCATCGCCTAGAATTGTCATCCCGTAATGAGCTTTCGCCCCAACTTTGGCTCTCTGCTATTATGCTCTCTCATATCTACTGGCTAATCTCTCACCGACAGCACGAGAATGAGGTATATGATATCCCTATACAGGTTTTTAAGATGTTAGAAGCAACGAATCGCCTTTTTGCAAGCAAAAAAAGGGTGCTCAAACAACTAGGCTATGGTTGGATAGGGGACGGAGCTACGCCTGAGACTGTCTTAGAGGAACGGTTACCCGTCGCCGCCCAAGAGCAATTACGAGCAGTTCAAATAGAACTCACGCAGCTTTTGGATGCATTCAATGTCATTGAGATGCAGGATGATGAAAGAAGCATTTTGATGCAAGCTAAAGACTATGTGTTTAAATGCTATCAAGCTTACTACTCTGGCGCAACTGTAGCAGTCCTGCGGCCTTTTGTTGGTTTCATGCCTATCAATTGCTCCTCTGAGTATCTTGAGATGCTTGGGAGGCACGATCCACTAGCAATGGCGCTGATGAGTAGGGCGCTAGTCTTGTTGAAAGAACTCGATCATGTTTGGTGGTTGAATGGATTTGGTGCATTTGAGGTTGTGCAACAAGACGTGCGAGGCATTCGCCGTCTGATGCCAACAAATTTGCGGTGGACCATGGATTGGCCATGTAAGGTTTTAGATGGAGAAGTGGTCCTAAAGGTTTAGATGATATCCTCGGGCACGCTTTTCCTTAGGACACGCTTATCCTTGAATAACTCTTTTCATCGTTGGGGCAAGGAAGCAACAATCTCCCGTTCTGAATAACCTTGTTAATGGAAATATGGAGGAGGCTATTAATGGAGTTATTGATTGGATGGACGTAGACGAAGAAACCTTTGTACGCTTCTGTCAGTTTGCTTACACCGGTGATTATGAAATGATTCCCCCGACACATCTCAATACAACATCCGAAGACGAAGTCAACCAATTATCGGTCGTTATAGATGTTTTTGGATCACCGACCAAGGTAAAATCAAATCCAATAAGTTTCGGTCCTACAGAGATACCCAACAACACAAAGTGCGACCGACTTTGTCTTGATTTCCTAAAGGAATGCAAATATAAGCTAGGCATAACAGGGCCATATTTCGCCGAGAAAGAATGAATGCGCGCGCGAGTGTTAAGACTCATATCTATCTTTCAAACGCTCGAGTTTTCATATTCGCTGGTTGCTATGGAATCTCACCACTCAGGTAATTGTTACTTCACAAACTTCACCAGATTTTGAGTGTATTCGAGCTCTATTATGATAGACTTGACGATTACATTGTGCTTCTCTGGCTCTGTTTCGGGACTGCAGCGCCTGAAGCGTTGCGAGATTTAGTGGTACACTTCGCTGCTTGCAACGCTGAAAAGTTGTGGAAGCATGACGAGTTCCAAGATTTGTACAGTGACGTGCTAGCAACAGCAATAATGCCATATCTGATGAACAGTATAGTAATTATAAGATGCCCTTTTTTATTAGGTAGAAAGAAAGAGAAAAAGGATAATAAAACCAGATTTTTTCCAAAATTAATGATATAGGAGTAGAACAGAAAAGTAGGCATTAGAGGCTGTTGGATTAAGAAATGAATGTAATTCTATTAAATCTCTAGAAAGGGTTTATATATTTTTGTTGCTGGACGCGGATTCCTATTATGTTGTATGTAATTCCTGGAAATCACTTTTATAAAAGAATGACAGGACGCGTTATATGACTAGTGTAGAGTGTCCTTCAGGCTCCCAGTGCAGGATGCTATCAAGGCGTGGCCCAGGAATGTTATATCACAGTTTGCCTTTTATATCCTCTTGAAGCCGTAACGAATAGCTTATTACTAGTGTTTTTGTCCAATTGGTCAAGATCTTCGCCTATTAAAGTGGTCTCGACGTCCAATCGGAGCCTCTCAGAATTCACCCATATCATCTAAAAATAACATTCTCTTGTCCTCTGATTCTCAGGTGACAGTATCGGCTTGGTTTTAGCTCCCACCCTCCGCCCCCCTAATGACCAGCTAAACAACAGCGCCACCACGAGATTGATGTCCTTGTGTATTAGCTTGTGAGCTGATAGTCGGGCATTGCTTCAATAGACTACTTCAACAAGCTATTTCCTACTATTTGGCCAATCAGGATGCACCATGTCAGGGCGGTCAAGGTCAGTCTAAAATTAGAGGGTATGTACTCTCGCCTATAGGTGACATGGACGATGAGGCAGGGATTCAGAATTAATCAAGCTACTCATTCAAGTAGATCAGTACAAAATCCTGAACCTCTAGGGTGGGGTGACATATCGGTCAGTCTAGCAGCGTGAAGTGATATGTTTATGGTTTTCGGAGCACGACTTGGCTGACCTAGCAAGGGATCAGCACTTTAGCGCTGGCTGAATCGTAACTTTGCAGCTGTTTGCGTCAAATCATATTCACCCGAGCCTGTCAACTGGAATTTTTGCATTAAGTAAGGCGCGTGGATCTGTTGAGATCGTTCAATCCAGAACTCTAGTGGATGTCGCTAGCCCAAGAAGCGTGATCCCATTTAGGAAGCTCATTCGTAAGTCTCTCTAAACACATACATGCATTCCTAATTCGCCCATATCGCCGCCTTATTGGTGACTAAGCGAATTTAGACGGCGTTGGTCGAGATAATTATTTGAAATTAGGAAAATTGTGGGGAGCTGAATTTCCCAGTTGCGCTAGACCCTAGAAGGTTGCCTTATGGATGATTTCTGTGTTGTAGCTTATTCTATTCTTGTAAATTACTATATCTGGGGGATTCATTGAACAGTGTGCCAGAAGTTGCTTGCATTAATGGTTACATTGCTCGGCACCTTACAACCTTACAACCACTGGGAGGGTATTTATAAACCAGCTACGTCTGCCCCGAGAGACAAGAGGATAGAATACCAAACAATGATACATATACGTGCATCTGATTGATGCGCCTCGATTATTCTTCCCCTGCAACAGACAGTCATCCCACAACGATATGCCTAATATCGGTCGACCCAGCCGGGACTGCTATGCGTGTCGTCAACGTCGCGTAAAGGTGCGGCTTTCCATGTGAACATTTTCTCGACAGCACCCTCCACTAATGCGAGATAAGCCAAACAGTGCGATCTCACGCGTCCGGAGTGTAAGAAATGTGTTAAAAAGGGGCTAAGATGTTATGGCTACCGAGATAAGCTAGACCTCTGCTTTCGAATAGAGACTGTTTCTTCGCTGCAGTCAAGGATGGACGGGGATGGTCATCGATCACGCTATCGGGGCGATAATTTATATCCCTCAGCTGAGAGTCAGTCTCTAGAGGCCATCACTAGCGGCAGGCCAGTTTATGTGGAAGAAACTAAAGTATGCTCTCCCCCGATGGTGTATCCTTTGACTGAGTCGTGGAGTAACCACTTCATGCCTCTTACCATGAACTATCTCAAAGATGCATTTGGTGTGGCTAGTGATCTGTTTCATACCATTACACGTATGATTTCCAAGGTGGAGGAGGGATCTGTTCTTTACCAGGCCTGTAATGCTGTTGGCTTCGCGTATATAGCCACCCAAAGACAGTACCCAAAGACTATACCTACTCGAGCAAGAATTTACGGAACAGCTCTCAAAGCTGTAAATCGCGCTATCCAAGACCAGCAGCAACTTCGGAGTGACAGAACTTTACTAAGTGTCTGGTTGTTGGGCAGATGTGAGGTCAGATATTAGACTGGAGAATTTGCTGAGTATGGTATTTACTGATGACCCTGTCAATTAGCTTCTTTTGGGTTCATTACATAGTGTCACCTCTAGTATCGAATCGTCAGCGTGGGATGTTCACACTCGAGGACTGATAGAGTTGATTCGCCTGCAAAGTCAAGATCTCTTTGACACGCAGGATAGGCGCAACCTGTTCTGGGTTGCTTTTACTGCTGTAGTAAGTTTAACTACCTGCCGAGTTTCTTCGATTCTAAGAATATTTGTGCTAGCAAGTTTACGCGATTAGTACCGGCAAGAGATGTCCTCCGGAGGCCGGAAGCTGGATTCGTGAAATCTACGGACGTAGCGGGGTAGCAGAATACCCAGTACTCCAAGTGGGTGTTTTCTCCTATAACTGCACCCTTCTTTGCAGCCGTATTCGACAACTAGTTGATGAATGCGATCTTGACGAGTTGCTCTCCAGCTCATCATCTATCCTGCTAGAGCTGGACCAGATGGAGATGAAAGCGCATCCATCCTCTCATGAAAGGCTTATCTCAGGTTGTGCAGTATCACCAGCATTGACATCATCTTCTGGCCCTGATAATACGGAGCCACGTCATGTTGGCGCATATGCCTTCCAAGTTAACTTCAGAATTCGACTGCTTTACCACATAATTGAATTCCTGCTCCTTGCATCCAGAGCACCGTCTTGTACATCTCAGCAGCAAGCCGATTTCTCCAATATCCAAGATCGTTGCATTGGGGAACTTCGGACTTTGACATCAAACACCTCACACGTTTTAGGCCCGACATCAAGGGCAAGCTCTGTTACTAAGCTCAATCAGTACATTCGAACCCACCTGCTACCGAGATTTGGCCCTATTGCGGAGTCCCAAACGAAAATAATAGAAAATACAATGTTGGAATGATACTATTTATATTCCTGGGAGAGAGAGCTCAATCAGATAATGAACCGTATAACAGAGATTACGGCTATCTGAGAGCTACTACTCTGGTTTGACAGCAAGGCATAGTGCAAGGAAGAGAAGTATACAGCAGCGAGGAGGCTACTTGCATCCTACGGTGACGAAAAGGCTGAGTATTTAACTAAAATAAGATTTCAATCCCAAAATCACATCAATCACCGAAAGACATTCAAATCAAAAGGAGGGAATTATGTTTTAGAGTTGTACATCACTGCAATTTTCGAAAAAGTGGATAACTTTAACAAAATTAGCTTGTATATTATTTCTTAGCTTGAATGCTCTGTTAATCATCAGTAATACTATTATGTCCTCACTCTCCTTTCACCAGACTAATAATTACCACAGGCGTAGGTCATTATCAGAATTCCAACCGATAATCATAAAATGGCAAGGGAAACACGCATAGTGGGAAGTGATAGGAGCATGGTAGGAAGCCCATCACATAAGATTGTGGTCTTTGGCGGTTAACGAGACGGCAAAAATGGCGTCAAAGGTAGCAGCTGTTTTTGGGGTCTTGCTAACCGACACAACGTTAAAGAGAGGATCAATTTATAAAGCAATTTCTCTTCATTAGCTGCCAATTTATGCGAATTGAAGAGTTGTAATTGAGACATTAAAAACATGCGCTGTGCCACGCAGACTTGGAGTTTTTTTTTATTAATGTGTTAATAGTAATTGTAAGTCTGCCTTCATAATTCGCATCATCTCGAAGTATATAGTGCGAATTATGTGACAATCATACTACATGGGTCTCTTAGAATTTATTCTGCATGTTTACAAAGAGGAAGCTACTTTTGCTTAGGAAAATAGAAATAGCTGCTCCAAAATAGTAAACATGAGTTATACCGCATAGCGGGTAATGAAAGGCAGTAGTGGAGCTCCAGAATGGCTAGGCCAGGTACCATGTAGAAATCAACATGCATAGTTGTAAGGAACAAACCGTACATCACGCAATATGCGTTGAAAACGTAGGACTTTATCCGGAACATCCATGTCAGGTCACCCTATCGCGTGAGCGCTGAAGTAGGGATTGTCCGGGTAGGTATACGCCGAAGTAGGGATTTCCCGTTGTAGGTATTTCCCGTATATAGATACCACCTACCAGCCAGCGTCAGAACTCATTCAAAGATGTTCAAGAAATACATACAGGCACGGAATCAAGAAGGACAACTTTGATTCAAACAATGGACGTTTTACTCGATGTTTTGGACACAATTGTCCTTGATCGAGTATACGCTTCTCTCCTCCCCGAGTCAACCACAACCAAACTCGCCGCTAAGGAACATGGTACCCTTCATAACCGGCATGTTCAGGTTTATTTCCCTCTTCAGCCGTCACCATGGGCGGATTCAAGTCTCTGGAAACGAGACGATGTGCTCAGACAAACAACTTCTTTTTTTGCGATCATGTGGTATGTGAACCCTTTCCACCACACAAAAATCAAAAGAAGTAATCCCCAAATAATAGCAGCTAACAGAGCGGTCTCATACAACAGGGTATTCGGATTAACCATGTACTTCATCGGAAGCACGATAATGTACCATACAATCTTCGACAAGACTTTACTCCAGCACCCGAAATTCCTCAAAAAGCAAATCCAGCTCGAAATAAAACAAGCCGTGATCGCAATGCCAATAATGGCCATCCTCACCGCGCCCTTCTTTGTCGCCGAGACGCGTGGATGGACGAAACTGTACGATTTCGCAGACTCGGCTCCCTTCCGCTGGTATACCTTCCTGCAGTACCCGTTCTTCATCGCCTTCACGGATACGGGGATCTATTGGATTCATCGATGGTTGCACTACCCATCAATTTACCGATGGCTGCATAAGCCGCATCACAAGTGGATTTTGCCTACCCCCTTCGCGAGTTATGCGTTTCATCCGGTCGATGGGTGGTTCCAGAGTCTGCCGTATCATCTGTTTCCATTCGTTTTTCCGTTGCAAAAGTGTGCGTATCTGGGTCTGTTTGTTTTTGTGACTCTTTGGACTATTCTGATTCGTACGTGTTGCTGGGTTCTGAGCTCTGAGTTTATGTTGAATTCTGTCTAACGTGATTAGATGATGCTGAGTATCTGTCCAATTCCGAAGTAATTAATGGCCCGCCATGTCATACAATGCACCATCTATACTTCAACTATAACTATGGTCAGTTCACGACTTTCTGGGACCGTCTGGGTGGTACCTACCGAAAGCCGTACGGCGATGATTTGGTCATATATCAGAAAAAGGAAACATAGACCCAACTGAATAAAACCAGAGGCGCACTCTTACAATCAGTTCAAACCCAAGAGTCAAGTCAAATGATTCCACTGTCATCATCTGTACATATACATAGCTTAAAAGCTCAAACCTGGCACGCTGTCTAGTGTTGCTTTATTGTATAACACCACTGAATAAACTCATTCAAATCCCCCAAATCATCCGTCTCCTCACTATCCAAATATCTCAGACCTATGCTCTTATAGTCTCTGGTAGCAGCTTCAAGCGTAGCATTCAAAAGCCACCAAAGCTCTTCAGCATGTTTCGGATAGCCTAAATGCAGGGCTTTCTCCTTGTTATCCACGAGAAAGAGAGTAGCTGTGGTTGCATCCCAGATTGTTTTCCAGTTGCTTGCTGCTTGTTTGATGCTGTTCAAGGATATTGTTCCAAATAGCCCGGCGCGTCCCTGGAAGGCGAGAGAATTAACTCCTAGCAATGCAGTTAGCCTACAATTTCATCACAAATCTTCCAATCAATTCTGTATACGCAATGAGGGATACAAACCGTAAATTAAAATTAAAAGATGCTCTACCGAAAGTGAATGGCCCAACAACGGACCGTCAACATTAGAATTGTTAAGCAGCTTGATAACAACCTCCCTCAAACACGGGAGAGCGGAGTCGGTCACGTATACCGGAACAAGTTTATTAAAAGCAGAGACATTCTCAGCTTCAAACAACTCGGTGATCCAGGGAAAATCACAAGTCATTTCAAAAGTCGACAGAGCGGGGTGATTTTTAAAACAAACCGTGAGGAATCCATCCGCAAGAAAGGCCCAGCAGGCAATGCTTCGAGAATACATACATCAGATAGCTATCAATTGTTGATGGGACTATGACTTACCGTATGCATATCTCTTCTGCGATTAATTCTCTCCATGTGGCTTCGTCATCGCATATCTTCACAGCTAGCAGTCGCTTTAATTGAAAGAAACCCAAACACCGGACGATCGACATCAAACAAGGATGTCTGACTACACGAATACGGCGCCTCGTCTGTACATCATCCTGCGCAAACTGGAGCATTTCGATGATGAGAGCAGCTTGGATGATTTCAACTGCCGGCCCAAGGCTAGCTGGGCTTTTTGGCAGCCTAGTTGTTGACAAGTCTGCAACTCTTCGAAATATATGCTCTTCAGCCACACTGAGAAGCTCAGCGGGAATATCGGATGCATTTCGCGGGATTGTATACTTTGCACCAGCCAAGAATATAGCAAGCAAGAGTGGATTGGAAACATCGCCAGGGTGAAAAGTTGGAAAATGGACGACTGGCAGATGCCAGTGAAGGGAGTGGAAGAAAGCCGAGATAAAAGTAGAAAGATTCGGGATTGTAAATAATGAAGCGAGTTCTGTAATCTCAAGTGGTTTCCTTTGACCTTCGCTGTCAAGGCCCATAGACCTAGATGTCTCGACTAATTCTACCATGAGCTGGTTCAACTGATTCGACAATTTCGACGAAAAGTAATCATCAAACATATCCTCAGTAGCAAAGAACTCATCTGAAGCTCTAGCAGGCTGATTCAGCCAATCGAGAGCCGGAATATCACCTATCAAACTTGCTTGAAATGGGTTACTCGGAAGAAGCGCATCTTCCAGAGTCGAGTGCAGTGTCTCTAGATTCCGTCTAATCGAAGATCCCGCCGTCTCCGAAATCGCCAATCTATCCCTTTTAATTTTTGGGTCCGTGAAATGAAGCAGAAAGAAAAACGGGCTATCGTTTCTCAGCGCGTTTCTAGAAGTCAAGGCAAGCGATGATGATGATGATGTACATGGAGGCACGGTGGTTTCTCTTTCTTGGCGTGCAAAAGAGCATTGGCGCTGAAGAGAAGAGCAGCGCGAGCAAGGCGACTTTTTATCACATGCTGTTTTGGCCAAGGTGCACTCATCGCATGCTTGCTTTTTGCGGCCTCGTTTCAAGGCTGCTGGAGGTGGTTGGTTGGCTTTTCTCGCGCATGTTTTGCTGTGGCGTCGTGCAACTTCTCTGTCTGGAATCAGCCGATGTGTGTCGGTTCCAGGGTTAGATGTGTTTGTGGCTTGTACGTACGGTTTTAGAAATGATTTGTTACAGAATGGACAGCTTGCAGCTGGCTGGTTTGTATCTTTGGCTCGTGAGTTGAATGCGTATTTGTAACGTATGTTGTAGACTTACGGGTCAGCTCATGTCGAGTCAGGTGGCTCTTTCTGTTGTACGTTTTACTACATGAGGAGCATGGAAACATACTGTACTGCTTAAAGCCAAAGACTTTGTCAATAACATCAATTGATGGTCATGTATGAAAAAGGAGCTTGGAAGATGGGAGTCCGATATTGCTAACTGCTTCTCGTTCCGGCCTTAGTCAGCAGAGCCCTGCCAAATTTAGAATTGGCCGAGTGAGCTATAACTATAGACTAAATATATAATTGACGTCAATCTTGGATTATAATCTATTCACCGAGCATATTTGGACATAATTTAACATATTTAGACAACGAATAACAAGCCAAGTGGAAACTTCATATGTACGCAAACAGATCGTGATATATAACAAAGGTATTAGTGGCATGGACAAAAGAAAAGAGATACATCAGCAGTACTATCCGAACTCATTGAATTGACGTGACACATATGAAAAGAAATACTAAATATCCTCAGAAAATCGCGAGTCTCTCGCGGACGAACTGACGCTTCGTCGTCCAGGACTCGAGAACAGAGTTGGTGGAGGAGGCAGCGACCCCTCTGTGAAGCTGTCGCGTAGTTCACCTCGCTCTACGGTGTTCAAGCGAGACGCTGATGGACGTGACATGGCCACTGTGCCTAGGTTTCCCGATGCCGTTGGGGTTGTTGGTGATGCCAAGGGTGATACTGTGGTGGAGCCTGTCTCGGACGGCGTCTTCCTGGAGATCATGTCCTTCAGGCTCATCCGTATCCCCTTTCGCTTGCCATCGGCTTCCGGTCGGTTTTCTCCTACCGCTGCTGATGCAGCTGTGGATGTGCTCCATTGCCGTATAGCGTCTTGGTCGTCAGGGGACGCATTCGAGGTTGTTGAAGCGATATCTCTGTCGGTTACTGGGTTAGAAGAAAGAGGAGCTGCTCTTTGACTATCAGCTGCCGCACTGGAAGCGACAGCGGGAGCGTTTCCGGTATCCGTGTCCCGACTTTCGCTTTCGGCCTTCTTCTCTACAAGTTGCGGCTTGCTAGTACGCCTGACTTTAGCCTTAAACCAGGATTTCAATTTGGACTCTGACTTTGGTGAGTCTCCCTGGGCATTGGCCGCAGTGTCTTTCTGAGCAGGGGTCTCAGCCACACCGGTGACTGTAGGAGCGGTATCCTCTCTATCATGTGGCGGTTGTGTAGTATCCGCGACAGGTGTCTCTGGGCGTTCTGGCTCAGCTGGTGGAGCTGTCTCAATTTCGTCAATACGTTCGGGTCGATCAGAGGCAGTAGTGGGACTCTGTTCAGACTCCTGCGGAACACCATCTGCACCTTTCTTCTCGTCTTCCTCTTCCGGCGCCTTCCTACCCAGGAAAATTCTTGATGTGCGGGCCAGCAGTTTCATGCTTCCTCTCCTTGAATGCTTCCTTTCCAAACGCTGCTTATCTTTATCAAACGCATCTATACGATGGTCAATATACTGATTCATGGGGATAGAAATGTACATACTCTTTTGCTTCTCTTCGGTCTGAATCTCTGCCCTCCTCTGTTGATCGAGTTCGGCTAAATGCTGTGACCGCTCCTGGTCTAGTCGTTGTTCAACTTCCTTGGCTCGTTTCTCCTCGACGCGGTCCGATATTTCGTTCAATGTCGGCTCAATGCGAGCTCGCGCAATAGCCTCGATCTCTGATTCATCCATGTATTTCTGACCACCGACGGAAATGCGTCCAAAGTTGGTCATTCGTGCATCACTCTCTGCTTTCGCGCGGACCTGCGCCTTTTCCTCCCATTCGCGTTGCATGTTCGGCGACGGTTTACCAGTACGAGCGTAGACTCTCTCATCCATATCATGTATTCTGGCATTTACATTCTTGCGAGCAATTTCCATTAGATCAGACCTGTCCTTGCTCTTTTTATTATCAATGGTTTGTAAGCGACTCTGCAAGGACGACATTTGATTCCTGATCTCTTCTGACCTTTCCCAATCAATTTTAGATGCATCCCCATCACTTGACGTTCTTCTTCTCAAGCGACGGGTAAGTGTGTTTCGGGATCGATGGTTTGGAATTCCATAGTATTGCTGTTTGTTAACCAGATCATTCTGTTGCATCTTGGAGAGTTTTTCATTTGCGATTTTCTGAGCTGCTTCATGGAGATTTGTTGGCCGTCGAGTAACATTCTGCTCATCCCCAGATATCCAAGACAACTGCGACTGAGAAAGACGACGAGAATGCCGCAAATGGGCAACAGAGCCTGCAGTTTCCGCTACATCTCGTTCCCCCTTCGTTGCGGCAGCAGAGGCGTACATATCTTTTGCCATCGAAATTGCGGCGGCTCTGAGAGTATCCCGATGTTTTTGCTCTTCCACTTCGATTTCCACGGGTGGAGTAGATGTGTACAGTTGGACATTCGACCTCGCAATGTGATGTATCCGAGCAGCTTCCAGGGCAGGATCCAGGTCACTAAGCACATCTTCCGGTACTCGACTCGCTCGGTGCGATATAGTTGCAGCAGTCAGCGCATACGCGGCATCAGGATGGAACACTGGCCGGGTAGGCGCAGACTCCGTGCGTCGCCGGTTCAACACAGCGCCACTGGCCGCATTTAATGCGCCGGGGTTTATCGTCACCACCGTTGTCTCCTGTACACCGCGCGACCCATTTGCCATGATATGACTAGCGGCCGATTGACCGGGATGCGGTGACTCGGTAGTTGCCGGGGGAGGAGACTTCAGGTTCACACGCTCCTTCGCGGCTAGAAGAGCTGCTTTGTAGACATCGGGGTTTATTTTCGTGGTCGACGGTGGTTCTGGCGCTTGGTAACCTCTCGCGAGAAAAGCAGCTCTTTCGGCGTGCGGTTGCCTTTCGGGCCTCCAAGGATCCGACGTTTTCTGCCTGGCATGGGCAAGACTCGCTGCGGCGCTCGCGTTGGCAAGAGTTAGACCGGGGGGGAGGGTCGCGGCTAATTGTCAAAATTAATTAAATAGTGTACATGAATATTTCTCGGGTTGCAATCACTCACCTTCGTTGCGCTGCTCTGCTTCCAGCGCCTCATCAGCCGCTCGTCTTCGCTCAGGATCGGTCGCATACAAAGCAGCAGTGGCGGCTATAACAGAGTTAACAATTCATTCTTGAGTCTCCAGCAATGGCAGTAAGCCTGAAACAGAAAAATATAATGGTCAAACGCCAGACATACCATGATCGGCCAACCTGGCTGCGTTCGTATCAGCTGCATTGCTCCGCACGGCGGTCATTCTGGTTGCGATTGGTAATATGACCCAATCACAATCGAGACAAAGGTCGGACAACAGCGACAAAGTCCCGACTGTATGAAAGGATAACTGACATCAAAGAGAGGGAAAATCCAAGCGACAGCACTGGCTTGGAGAAGAGTGAAAGGATGACGAAGTTTCAGACACCGATTTAAGACGAAGTTCGCCGGAAGCTCCGCGCCTCCAAGTCGCTTTGTCGATAGTGACGTAGTCGCAATCGATGGGGCGGGTCTCAAGGCCTAGACGATCTAAGCCCACTTAGCCAGCGCTAAGAGATATCATCCCAGTGCTAACTGCATTAGGAGGGGCCGAGATTCGCTTTGGGCTTGGCTTCTACTCGAAACCCGAGGACTTTGAGGCGGTGCAGGTTTGGGGCCTAACCCTAAGTGGGGTGCGAGGCAAGCCACATAAACCTTATGCGCCGAACTAGGCTGTGATTGGACAGCTAGCTTCCCTGTTCGGGGAAAGCGATCAGTTTCTCAGTCAGCCTAACTATATTTAGCGTATCTTTGCTACTAGTCTTTCGCCCTAGTCTATATTCATCCAGACCCTATTTCCCTTTGGCGGAGCATATTCAATGAGAATCGTCATCAGTGCATTATATAATATTGAGACCTTGAGTATAACCATAGCTATCTAGATCATCGCCAAATATTGAGCATAACTTCATAAAGAGATAGATTATTCATAATTGCTGAATGAAGAAATCCGTCTAATCAACAACTACCACAGATGGAGGATTTTCAAAATGTCGTTGCGCGCGAAAAAGGAACGGTTCTTTTTCCCGAATATATCTGGCTAGAGTTAGCTATGAATTTCCAGGATAAGAGATCGAGCTTACACATCGGGATAGCCAAAAGGCAGATGAAAATCTGGATTGCGCCAATAACCTCAAAAGGTATCCGGGAACCATCCTTCACAACGAGCCAATTATATGCGAAGAAGGTGAGAACAAAACTGAAAAAGTTTTTGAAAATGAGCATGCAGGTGAATGCCTCGACGGCAATTTGACCTGGAGAACGGAGAAAGGTTAATAATGAGCTGTGAGTTGCAACGGGGTGGCTTACGGTGTGCATCGACAATATACAGAGCACTAGAAACAGCGCCCATCACCATTCCAATGATCACAAAGCTGAAGAAAACGTCAGGGATCAGCCAACCATATTTCTTGATGTCATTGGCAGTGATTCCAAATCCAAAGAGTCCGATGCCACTGAAAATAAGCTGGAAAAACACTAGGACGATGCGAAACTCTGGCTCGTACGTGCCTTTGTTGCGTTTGATCATGATCTTGTTAATCCAGTCAGAAAGAAGGCCGGACAAAACCAGACCGATGATCGACCCGATGAAAGCCGAAGTGTACATATAGCCGGTCTGGACTTCGTCGAACCACAAGGGGGGAGTCATGTACACGACTGCTAACACCACACCAATGAATACTGTCCAGCCGATGAGGACACCTTGGGTTAAGCAAGCCTGTAATTTATTAGTAAAAGTTCTAGGAAGTGTTGCTAAAAACATACCCAAAGAATCCCAGGATGGAGGAATAGCGGAAATGGACGTAGAAGGAGTTTCAAAAAGTCTTCGTCAGTCTTCCGGCCGTTGAAAAGTTTCAACGTCTGCCGATACGAGTATTCCCGCGGAACCATGGTGACATTCCCATCCCTTGTAGGGAGTTGCTCCCCACCGATTTGTGCGGCCTGGGTTCCGTCTCGAAGGCCTTCGCTAGATCCATGAGGTTCTACCTTCTCACGACCAAAAGTCATTTGTGTATCTGATTGATCGCTGCTTGCTTGAGGCCCTGTATAATCGGATGGGGGAATAGCATCGCCAAGAAAATCAGTGTTCAGGTAATCAGCACGGCGATAGGCAGTTTCTGGCACGAAGAAAATCATAAAGGGCAAAGCTGCGGCAGTGAAGATGGCCACAAAATAAAAAGTCCACTCCCAGCTTAGCGATGCTGTTATCTTGCCAACGAATACGGGAGTCAAGAATGCTCCACCGAAAAGCGCGACATTTGAGAGGGCCATCCGCTTTCCACGCTCCTATTGACGATGGCTGATTAGTAAAAAGACGGTCAATGGTATATGTAGCAACAACTAACATGCACAAAGTATAAGTCGCCAACGCAGGTATTCACCAAGGCTTCGAATGGAGCTAGAGCAAAGCCTTGGAAGACTCGCGCAGCTGTCAAGCTCCGGTAGCTATTACTACTGCCTCCGGCCCAGGCACAGCTGATAATCATCAAGACGTTACCAATAATAAAGAGATGGCGCTTGCCCCATACTCTTGCGGTCGGAACACAGAAAATACCGGCCACGCCAACGCCAAGCAAGTGGTAACCGGTGAGCAAGGCTACGTCGGTGAAGTTCTTGGAATAGTAAAGAGCAATGTCGACTGTGTTGGCAGCCATGATTGGGCTCATCGTTGCGCAAAGCACGGCAACTAGAGATAGGATGGCCAGGATGACATCCCGTTTCCATAACGGCCAATTCTATGGAGAAATCATCAGAGACCTTCTACTTTCTTATGTAGTAAATTGAGGCATACCAACGGATCGTATGGGTCATCACTTGGTTGCGGGACGAGGACAATGGGGACCGGCCCTGAGCGATCGTACTTGAGCCAGGGCTTAATTTCGTGGGAGGTGCCTTCTCGGGCAGAATTCTGATCATCCATCACGAAGGACGTCCCTACAAGTTATCACAGAACAATCAGATTCTGCGGCACAGGAAAGCAGCAGGAGTGACCACCAACCAGGAACATGGTCCAACTTCGTATCTTCCAGCACGCCGAGACCCATTTTATCGGATTTTGCACAGGCAATGCGGCACAAATGCGAGTGTCGACAGACGTGATATTAATATTTTGATCTTGTTGATTTCTCAAGTATGCGCCATGTCAATTCTCTATAGGTTCGCTCACAGGAGAAGTAGGACAGAATATTATGAATAAATAAGAAGTCGCTCAAATACAAGGTCGCAAGCGAGATGCGGTGAGTTCAGAGATGCAGTCCACCGCCAACAGGTTGCGTGGGCGACGTCAAGAACAAGTCACTAAAGAGACAGTTTCACATTCAGAACAGGCCAACAAAAGCTGAGCGGGCCGAGGTCGTCGTCTGGTGGTGGTGGGTGGGGCTAGTTTCCAATATTGATCATTTCTGCATCGTCTGTCAGTGCTCGGATGCTTTGGCGGAAAACGATATCACTCAGGTCGATTGATACGCACGAAGTGAATAGTAACCTTGAAGGATCCTCAACTATTCAAGGTGCGAACAAGAGCAGAATGCGAGGTACAGTGGCTTGATGCCAAGAACAGACAGGAGACGCCCAAGCACCTGATGGGCGACAATTAATTGGCTCCTGCCGATCATGGATGCTCCTGCCTGACGAAACGCCAGAATGAGGTTGCGGAAAGTGCCAGCCTTCCTGTTTACGGCTAGGCTGCTCTCCGCATGAACCCCAGTGGCTCTTATGGCAGCTTCTGATTGGTCACAACACCTGGAGGGTAACCGTGCACTCAGCACTGCGGAGGCAAGAGCGAGCCCCTCGTCATACTTTCGCCCATGTTATGATTATGAACTCCGTTGTACCGTCTCCATTGAGTTTGACTCAGACTAGATAATCAATACCTAGTAATTACGCACTCGGTACTTGTTATGTTCTGCCCCTATCCAGCATTACTAGGCAAAAGCGATGATCGAGATCTACATAGCCCCTGCTGTGATGACCGGTTCTCCGGCCGCCGGTCGTCTCATCATCACACTCTTCAGCAATCTCCAATGGCACTAATCGCAACGTGATTGAATATCAAGGATCAGAGTAATTGAGATTACTAGTTATTGGGCTGGATTAGTCTGTAACTAGCAGGCAGGAACTGTATGTACCATGTAATACTGAGAGTGGCCCGAGTGGTACCAATGGCCCCAAATCCTGGCTGGCCAATTAACCAACCTTATATTAAGACCTTCGTGTACCCCCAACATGAGCCTCCCCTTGACTCCACCCTCATCATTTTTAACTAAACATTGGCCATTTTTCCTGCACCAACATCCATCTCACCTCGCACCTCCGTCAAAATGAAGTTCACTGGTTTGGCTCTCGCTATCGCCGCGTTCACTGCTGGTGCCGCTTCTCAGGGCTTTGGCGACTTGCCCAAATGCGCGGTAAGAGCTGCTGGCTTCTCTCTGTCTGGACGACCAGCGGACTAATTCTGTCTATGCAGCAATCCTGCGCCACCGACTCCATCCCCAGCTCCTGCGGTCTCAACATCCCGTGCATTTGCGGTGCCTCGTCTTTCATCACTGGCGTTTCGTGCTGTATCGCTAAGTCCTGCAGCCCCGCAGACCAAGAGGGTAAGCAAACCATTCTATCGCAGAATCAACACTGTGCATGCAACATCGATTGACCTGGTATTTTCACAATTAGCCACTATCCAATTCGCCGACAAGCTTTGCGCCGGTGCCGGCGTGACCAACCTGCCCACCGCCGCCGTCTGTTCCTCGGCCGCCAGCGCGACGGAAACCCAGAGCCAGAGCCAGAGCCAGAGCCAGAGCCAGAGCCAGAGCCAGACTCAGAGCCAGACTCAGAGCCAGACTGCCGCCTCGGCTACTACTAGTGCTCAGAGCACTCAGACCAAGGCCTCGTCTACAACCGGAACCAGCGCCAGCTCGGCCAGCGCCGCCTCATCGACGAGTACCGGTGCCGCTGCTTCATTCGGGAAGACCAGTGGCGGTTTTACCGCTGGTGTGATGGGCGCGGCCATGTTTGCGGCCATGTGTCTTGCTTAGGCAATTTAAGAATGAATGGAAGAAGATAGAAAGAGAAGTTCGCTTGGATAATGCTCCATCTAATGATATGATCATGCATAGGATTTCGAAATTATAGTCGATCAATAAATAACCCAATACGGTTGTGTCCTTGTTTAGCTCGAAGTCACGTATATACGCGATCAATTTGTCAATACTGTAGAAGCTCAGATTGAACATTTCCTGTAGACAGTCCCCTCATCATCCTAACTAGTTATTCGACCGGAGCATTATCAATTGCGGCTCTTCGTGCATGGTAACGCATCGTCGACCGGGACATCAGCTAGCAGTATAGAGACAAGCATGCGAACAAGCTTAGTACGTAATCCGTGCATCTTTGCTACTCACGCTTGAGGAGCTCTTCTTGCAGCTAATCAGAAACGGCGACAAGTCTCACACTGGATTGTCCAGTTAACCCACACCCTCGAGCACTTTCCAGATCCTATCCGATTTTCGCTAGTAGTGAACAACTAGCAGGCACTGTGGTGTACAAGCGACACATTATACCATCCGACGTATCGATAATAAATGCAAAGCACGGCGCGCATTATTATGGTTTGTGATGAAGAGAAAAAGATTAATGGAATATTTGATGATTTTCCCCACTGCTCGGCCGATAAATTCTCTGAATGAAGCTAAAATTATTACATATTGCTAAAGCTTAGCTCCGGAGCTGCGGGCGTCAGCCGTGGGGCTCGATTCTTTGTGTAGATGCACCAAGACCAAATATCGATTCTCGACTATTACAACAGATATGCAGATAGCATACATAAATTACATGCTCGCCGCTAAAACATCAGTCTATAGTTGACCGATCGACTTCGGAAATCAAATCGGGCTCTTCAATAACCCACACTTGCACCCTCAACCCACTTGTCCCATTGCTAGCAAACTTCAAACAAAAAAGGCAAATTATCTCCAACCCTACCGGGGTTGTGCCCTACCACCTGGCCATGGCAGCAGCGGAGTTCAATAAGGAACGCCATATCAAGTACTTCTTGCGTTGTCTCAAAACTCTGCTGCCATATCAGTACACATCCGGCGACTCGGGCCGTATCCTGCTGTCATTTTTCGTCATTGCCGGACTTGATCTACTCGGCGCTCTAGAGAGCAGAACTACAGCGCAGGAGCGGCAGGGGTATATCAATTGGCTGTATCATTGCCAGCACCCTTCCGGTGGATTCCGGGGCTTCACGGGCACCAATTTCGGGGACGAGAAACGTAGCCTCGACAATGAAGCTTGGGACCCGGCGACTCTGCCGTCTACTTTCTTAGCACTGGAAACGCTACTGATTCTGGGCGATGATCTGTCGCGTGTGAAGCGGGCAGAATGTTTGGAATGGCTGAGGAAGCTGCAACGCAAGAACGGCAGTTTTGGGGAGACGCTCGGTGTGGCTGATGAGATTGAGGGAGGAAATGATTTGAGGTTCTGTTACTGTGCAGCTGGTATCAGATATTTGCTTCGTGGTCCGCATAAGAGGGATATGCAGGATGTGAAGGATATTGATGTCCTGAAACTAATTTATTTTATACAGTCCTGTCAGGTACGATATACGACTCGCTCTCAGGAATATTATTGACTTTTTCAAGGCATACGAAGGAGGGTTGGCTGAATCGCCTTTTTGTGAGGCGCATGGTATGTATGAGTCAGAATGCAATAAAATGTCTAAGCTGATTTATCGAACAGCGGGTCATACCTACTGTGGAATAGGAGCTCTGTCCTTTTTGAAGAGGGCGGGTGAAACTGAGGAAGACATTGGCATCTTATCCCTGCAAAGCGATCAATTCAACTCGCTCCTCAAATGGCTTGTTTCGAGACAGACAACCGAACTTGAAGAACCCGAGGAGTCGGATGAAGAGGAACAGCCTAGTTCTGAACCTCCAGACTCGTCGACTGGCCCCATTCTAGACATATCGAATGGAGTTTCAAGTTTGCCAGATTTGGTACCACCAAACGCCGAAGCTCTGGCATGGGCAGGCTTCAGTGGCCGATGTAACAAACTTGCAGATACTTGCTATTGTTTCTGGGTAACAGGAGCGTTGGATGTAAGAGCTTCCCGACTCTTTTGGTCAACGATTGTATTCCTGATTTGAGAATCCAGATAGTAGAACGAATCGCTCTCGTCGGTTCGTCCAGTCTTCGTCGATATCTTCTAGAGAAAACGCAGCATGTCATCGGAGGATTTGGAAAAACCGTGGGCGAGACTCCTGGTAAGAGTCCTGCATTCTTCAGCCTTCTCTTCTTCTCTTCTAACCAGCGTCCAGATATATATCATGCCTACCTCGGCATGGTCAGTCTCGCCTTGATTAATGAACCGGGGCTCGAAGCAGCGGACGCAACTCTGTGCGCTGCGGCAAGACTCTCGCAGAGACTGGAGGCTTTGCCATGGTGGCAGGCACGTAGATAGAAGATAAACATACAACATGCAACATTGAAAGGAAGAGTATTCATACACATTAATTAATATAAAAGGCTTGAAGATGCTATATATAATAATGCAAATGATACATAATTAAGGAGCACGCCGGGCGGGCTAATGCCACCACCCGTTGACGTTGACGGGCAGCGGGAGCCAATTAGCGCCGGAATGCCGACGTTTCCAGGCACGCTCCTCCGCCACCAACATTAATAATTGCAGCCTCCCAATCGAATTGCTCCCCATTTTTGCTAGAACATCCAGAACCTCCCTAGAACCTTTGACGATTGAAACCATTGAAGGGGACATAAAAAGCAGCCGCTGATCTATCATCCGACTGTCCGGCCTCCCCCAGAATCAGATCCGCTGCTGCCACTCTGAGCAGGGCTAGGTCATCGGCTCACGTCCAGATTTCTTGATCCGTTGCGTGATTCCTTGATTTCGCCGTCGCCGATCGTCCCCTCCGTCGAAACGACCATTCCTGCCCAGGCTCCCTCACTAACGAATGTGTCGGGATATGCTACGATTAATCACTTGACTTGTCCAGCATCTGCCACCCCCATCAAGCACCACATCGCGTACGATCTTCGTCCACTCCCACGTCTGTACAAATCGTCATCGCGGGTCCTTCACACGCTTGTCGGTTTTTTTTTTTGCGCTGCTCATATTGCGACTTATCTGAGCTGAGCTCTTCGTCGACGATTGATCCCCTTGAAGTACCGCGGCCTTCGCACCAATATACGTATATCCGAATGGCACATGCGAAGACACCTAGCTGTCTTTCTATATGATAACAGTGACAATTGGAACGTGCTTCCTTGAGACGAACAGTGGTTTGCGCTGTGCAATCTCAACACATGCAGCCGGCCAGGACGAGAACAGAGGTCCTGTCCCAGAAGGAAAAGGTAAGCCTTGTCGCAAAATGCTTGTCCTTGTGGAATCAATCTGACTGACGATGACAACAGCTTGCCAGCTCCTACAATGAACTACTCCAGTTCGTACCCGTCCAAATTCGCTGTTATAATTTCGAAATCTAACATGCTTTACAGAGAATTCTCCGCAAATGACCTTCGGAATGTAGGGAATTACGCTCTTGGAAGGCTAGTTGGGAAGGGTTCCTTTGGCAAGGTGTACCTCGCAAAACACAAGCTCACCAACAATTCAAAGGTTGTTCTCAAGTCCTCGAACAAGGAAGACTCCAACCTAGCGCGTGAGATTCACCATCACCGTCAATTTTTGCATCCTCATATCGCCCGGTTATATGAAGTCATTGTGACTGAAAATCTGGTTTGGTTGGTCTTGGAGTATTGTCCAGGTAGGTAATTTCTCAAACAGTGAGAGCAAAATCCTAATGTTGTGTGTTTATGTAGGCGACGAGTTGTACAATTATCTCTTGAATAATGGCCCTCTCCCCGTCGAAAAAGTCCAGAGAATATTCGCACAGTTGGTGGGTGCTGTTGCTTATGTACACAGCAAGTCTTGCGTCCACCGAGATTTAAAGCTCGAAAATATTTTGCTTGACAAGAATGGGAATGTGAAACTCTGCGATTTTGGTTTTACTCGAGAGTATGTCGGCAAGTCGAGCCACTTGCAAACGTTCTGCGGCACAATATGTTACAGTGCGCCGGAGATGCTGAAAGGGGAGAAATATGCGGGTGAAAAAGTCGACGTTTGGAGTCTTGGAATTATCTTATATGCACTTTTAGCTGGAGAGCTACCATACGATGACGACGATGATCAGGAGACTAAAGCTAAGATTCTTAAGGAGGAGCCGAATTACAACGAAAAGTTCCCAGACGAGGCCCGATCGCTGATCAGCCTATTACTGTCTAAGAGACCGCTCTTACGTCCAACGTTGGCTGACATCCTGGCGCATCCTTTTCTAGGCGAGCATGGCGTTGAGCAACAGACCATCTTAGAAAGATCGCGACCTTCACCTTTTACCACTGCACTCGAGAAAACAACATTGTTGCGTATGAAAAGTGCCGGCGTGAACATCGATCAGGTCATTGAGAATGTTTTGGCGCAGAGATGCGACGCTCTTGCCGGCTGGTGGGCTTTATTAATTGAGAAAGAGGAGCGCAAGGAGAAAAAGCGTGAGCGCAAGAGGAAGGAGAAGGAGGCTGAAGCCCGCAGTCTCCGCCGACTAAGTGCTGCGAGCAGTCGCTTGGAACGCATCTCGACTGCTCTGCTAGAGGTTGATGAAGAGAGCGCTGCTACCGATACTCTTCAAGCTCGTGGAAGGAGAGACCGTCGTAGTTTACCCAACCGTGAGTCCTAATTAACCTGGTTTTCCTGTATGGATTGCTAACGTCAACAGCCGAACTTTCCATCCCTGAAGTCCCCAAAGTTCCTGAAGAGTTCACCAATCACCAGTCAGACAGCGGACTACCTCCACGGCCTATTGACAAAGATTCCATACGTTCGTTGAGTTCAACGCGGCGTCCAGTACCACCACCAAAAGAACGCCGTCGCTCAAGACCGAGCATGCTTCATATCAGTGCCTCCCAACCCGAATTGACGTCGCATTCAAGCGGTATCTTTAGACGCCGCACCGGCCGACGCCATCATCATTCTTTTATCAGCCAATTGGCGTCACTCAAACACTGGATAGTTGAATCTGCAAAGCGTGCCAAGTCTCCTCATCCCAGAACGCCAAAAAGTGGCGGTGGACAGACTCTTAAATTTCGACTAGACAAATCTAGCCCTGGAAAAGGTCAGGAGCAGAACAATAAAGCTCGCGGGGCTAGTACTTCTACCAACACAGATGCGCCGGTCGTAACACCAACTCAGATCAAGCGGTCATCCAATGCCAGCAGCCTCGCGCCGAACAGTGCCTCATATGCTCATCATCGCAACTCTTACACCCGCCAACCTCACAGTAGGAGTCACCGTAACTCCCTCTCACCCTCTCCCCTAACTCCGCGAGGCTCATATCGGCATTCTTCGACTGGTTTGCGCGGGCGCAAGTCTACGTCGTCTTCCATTTCTTCAGTACGCAGTATTCATCATGGCCATTCTCACTCGAAAGCTTCATCCATCTCATCGACCAGCATCGATACCATGTCCACACCAGCAGCGTCCACGAGAGTAGCTCGATCACCTCATACCTCTGTCAAAGTGCTCCCTGCTACTCCGACGGCATCTTCTCGCTTTCCCAATAACATTCGGCTTGTCAGAAACACCGCCGGTGGGCTACGGGACGTGAATGAGCCCGAAAACCACGGTATCTATTCTGTTTTCAACGAGACGGCACCTGGCTCATTAGTCTCATCTCCATCTGGATTCGTGTATGCTCGTCGGAAACGAACCCCATTCAAAGGCCCAATGCTCCACACAGGCACTGCCGTCGTGTCGAGCGGCTTCGGAACGCCGAATTTGTCACCACCCCTTCTTAAGGGCGGCCCAGCACAGGACTCCCAGAAGCCCGCTACGCGCAAGAGTCAAATTATCGAGGAAGGAGACGAGGACGAGGATGAATATATCGAGGAAGTCGATACTTTCAGCAACTCAGACGACAATATCGAGACGAATGAAGGGCCTCCAATAGACGCTATTGAAGAGAAACTTCTACCCCAACCTCTCGCAGAGGCAACAGATCTCTCCACTCCCTCCGAAAACAAAACAGTCGAATCCTCCAATAAACCGGTTCTGCAACCAGCACCAGACCTGCCTTCTCCCAGCGTCCATCCGCCTCGTTCCTCGTCACTCCACACCGCCGAGCTCCAACACGAACCTCACTCTAATAATGACGAAGTCACGGAACCACCCAACCCCGTATCCTCATCCCTTGGACCAGAAGCTACCGAGGCAGTCACCGAGGATGAATTGACGAAACATGATACCGACGGTCTCCCCTCCACCGCCGCCGCCGCCACCACCACCTCCACAACAGAACAATAGACTGCTTTATTTTTCACACTTCTCAAATCTGCCGTTTCTCTTTCTTATCTTTCTCATGTACCACAAGACTCATACTCTTACTTATTTTCATTATTTTCAGATCTTATCCATTCTGTTATTCACGAGTACATATATATATATACTGTTTATACCCCTGCAACCGCACCATTACAAGACAGCCTGACATTATCTCCATATTTTTTTTCTTTTTTTTTCTTTTTCACTTTGGTTAGCGAATGTCAGTATACATGTATACATGTACTCTTTCAAAAGCAAGTCGATTCTCCGTGTAGGCCAGTCAGTTGCTGCTTTTCTACATGCACTAATTGGACAGAATCATCTTCTTATTTCTCACTTCTCACTTCTCACTTCTCACTTACGTATAAACATCAGGTTAATTCAATCATGCATGTGCCTCATCAATTACATGTACATGTAGTACTAGATGAAGCTCTAGCTAGTCTAGGGTTACCCTCAACACAACATTTTTGCTCATATATATTATAAATATATATCTCTCTCTCTCGCCGCCCGCTCCTCTGTTAACACAAAGACGAAAAAACCACATAAACGCGGTGGTCACATGCAATGCAAGTACGAGCCCCGAGTCAATCTCGGTCTCGGTCTCGGTCTCTTCTAACTGGTCTTTTCCAGAACCATAATCATGAATCTATCCACGCCAGTGAATAAAATAGACATCTATATAATAGATAAAAACAAGAAGATAAAAAAAAAATTTCTTTGATCACGCTGAATTGATGTCGTTAACAACGGTTTTCTTTTTTTTTTTCTTTCTTCTAAATTTGAATTGAATAAAAGTATATTGGTTTTATCCAATATTCCCTTTCTATCTACTAGGCGGCCTTCACCTTGCCGTTCATGGTCACGGGCTCAACGCGCTGGTCGTAGACGCGTCGCTCGACGAATTTGAGGACTTCGTCGATGATACTGGGTCAAAGTTAGTTGATGCTCGTAGGGAAGGGGGAAAGGGAAGGAGGAAAACTTACATCACTGGCAAACTAATCACTACAACTGCCTTCCATTCATTCCAGTCCAGGGGCAAGATTGCGAATAGGCCCTGCAAGAACGGTACGTACAGGATGGCGAAGTGCAGAGTCATGGACAGGGCGATGGCGTAGACGAGCATCAGGTTGTGCCACAGCGGGAAGGTGAGTAGGGATTCACTGGAGGAGAGCGCGTTCATGGCGTTCAGCATCTCGATCACCACAAGAATGGAGAGGGAGACTGTTGAGGCAGACTTGGACATGTCGTTGCTGAACATCTCGCATCCGAGCTCAGGGAATTCGGATGAGCATTTGTGGAAGTGCGACTGCGGGTGTTAGTAGGGAGGTGATTAAGAGGGGCACGGAAGGGGGGGGAGCTTACTAGTTGCCAATAGGAGATTTGAGGACCGGATGGGTTGTACATGAACCACCACACGTATCCAAACACAGTGGCTAGGCCAACGTAGATTCCGATTACCATGTAGCGGAAGAACAGCCATCCGCCGACTAGCGCTTCGTCGCGCTTGCGAGGACGGCGTCTCATGACATCGTGGTCAGGAGGGTTGAAAGAGAGAGCAGTGGCAGGGAGACCGTCAGTGACCAAATTCACCCACAGAAGCTGGACAGGAACCAACGCCTCAGGCAAGCCCAGCGCCGCAGTCAAGAAGATGGATACCACTTCACCAATGTTGGAAGAGATCAGGTAACGGATGAACTGCTGAGTGTTGCTGTAGATAGAACGGCCCTCGCTGACTGCAACCTCGATGGTGGCAAAGTTATCATCGGCGAGAACCATGTCGGCCGCGAGCTTGGCGACGTCTGTGCCGGTACCCATAGCCACACCGATATCAGCCTTCTTCAAAGCAGGGGCGTCATTGACACCGTCGCCGGTCATGGCAACAACGTGGCCAAGGGACTGAAGAAGATCCACCAGTTTCGATTTATGAGAAGGTTCGGTGCGAGAGAAGAGCGAGGCAGTCTGGACAGCCTTGATCTGCTCGCTTTCACTGAGGTTGTCGAATTCTCTACCGGTATAGCTTTTACCTTGGAGGTTTTCATTGGTGCCAAAGACACCAATTTGACGGCAGATAGACTCGGCAGTGTTTCGGTTGTCACCAGTGATGACAATGACGCGGATACCAGCTTCACGGCAGTTCCTCACAGAGCTGGCCACTTCAGGACGAGGGGGGTCAAGCATGCCGACCAGACCGATCAGAGTCATGTTGCGTTCCAGTTGGGTGTATTCTTCAGAAGTCTTTGCAGTGTGCAAAAGTGGATTGGCGGAGACATCTTCCACATTGGCAAGTGCCATTATACGAAGACCCCGGTTACCATATTCAGTCACCTCCTGCAGAAGCAGGTTGGTGTGGTTCTGGGTCAGAGGCACACGAGAACCGTTCGCACCGAGCAGAGTATGGGAGCAGCGTTCGAGGATTGATTCCGGGGCACCCTTAACCAAGAGCTTTTGTTCTTTGCCTTCACCGACGAGTACGGACATGCTTTTACGATCACGAGAAAATTCAAAGGTCGATTTCAACGGCAACTTGGACTCAAAGTACTTGCTAGTAGCATGCAGTTTAGCAGAGGGAGCGAGTGATCGGAGGTTATCATTGAAAACAGCATTGTCGCTTCCAATCTTCTCAACCAGCACGCGCAGGGCTCCTTCGGTAGGTTCACCGATGCAAGAATAACCAGTCTTTGGATCATAAGCCAAGATGGATTCGTTGTTCAGTGCGAGGATTTCGGCCATTTGGCGAACCGTTGACGATGAAACCGCCAAGTCATTAAGCTCTTTGCCGTTTCTTGTCAATGAACCTGACGGCGCAAAGGTTGTACCTTCGACTTCAATTTCTTCAAGGCCTCGTCCGCTAGCATCAAGATAGACAACTTTTTCAACGCTCATTTGATTGGTAGTCAAAGTTCCAGTTTTGTCCGAGCAGATAACACTGCAGCTTCCCAACGTTTCAACAGAAGGCAGTGACCTGACAACAGCATTCTTAGCAGCCATTTTCCGAGTTCCCAGGGCCAGGCATGTGGTGATGACCACGGCGAGACCTTCGGGAATGGCGGCAACACCGAGAGAAACGGCGATCTTCAAATAATAAATAGCGCCCTTTGCCCAGCCTCCATGAGATGGGTCGTTGAAGTGTTCAATGTTGATCAACCAGACGAGGATACAGATGACGGTAATCACTTTGGCGAGAACGTCACCGAAATCGTTTAATTTCTGTTTCAAAGGAGTAGGCTCAGAGATTTGAGAAGTGATGCTTTCATGGATGCCTCCAATAGCTGTAGAAGCCCCAGTAAGAACCACGATGGCGGTGGCATGGCCTGCCACGACAGTAGTGCCTGAGAAAAGCATGTTGATTTGATCTTGCTTGACGGCTTGCTTATCCTTGACGACTTTGGTATCCTTGCTAACACTTTCGCTCTCGCCAGTTAAGATAGCCTGATCTAAGCGAAAGCTATTGCTCTGAATGGACAGCAACCGGCAGTCAGCCGGAATGCGGTCACCCACGGCGATGTCAATGATATCTCCCGGCACAAGCTCCTCCGCCTTGATTTTTTGCAATGCTCCATTGCGAACGACCTTGGCCTCGTTGGCGGAGTATTCCTGAAGAGCGGCAATAGCCTTCTCAGCACTACTTTCTTGCGACACACCGACAATGGCATTCAGAATCAAAATGGTCAGGATCTAGCAAAGGCATTGTTAGTCAGCAAAAAGGTTCAGTCGCGAGTGAGATCAACTTACAACAGCGGGATCGACAAATGCAGTCCAGTCATCTCCGTCTTCGAAAAGCGCCAGAACGAAGGAAATGGCTGCGGAGCCGAGAAGAATCAGGACGAGCTGGTCCTTGAACTGCTCGAGGACGAGTTTCCACAGAGGAGTGGCTTCATCTTCGGCGATAGCTATCCAAGTCGAGAGAGATTAGCATGAGACAATAGACAAATATGCAATCCGCGATAAATATAAATTATATGAATCAAATATTGCGCGAAACTTACCATTGGGCCCATGCTTTTGTCTTAATCGGACCACTTGCTCTTGCGTCAAGCCTATCTCCGGCACCACGCCGAACTCCTTCAGCACCTCTGCAGGCGAGCGAGTAAATGAGCCCTCCATTGGGGTAGAAAAAGTCTAGAGCCGTTCTCAGAAATCCTGATCCCGACAAAACAAGACAGAGTCTGCAAACACGAAGGAGAGAGACGGAAAAAGGTGTTCGCTGCGCAGAAGAGGACAACATGCGGGCTACCGTCTGTGGCTAGTCCACTATCACGGCTATTGGCGCCGGTAGGGCGGATATCGGCCGCGCAGGGCCAAGCTGCCAATCCTGCTGGTGTAACTAGCGTCTAATCAAATTATTATCAAACTAAATGCACGTTGGCCAATGAGGATTACATATGAAAGCAGCCCTAAACGCTTCAGGGAAGACTGCCCACATCTATCATTACATGTAGCAAGCACGTTGTACTTTATTATATTCAGGTACCGTAAAGTTATTGTGATGCGTATGATTTCAGAGTGAGTACTTGCTAGCTAGATGTTTCTTATGGCTGCGCGTGAAGACATTAGTATGCTCAACATCTCTCTTTTCCGTTGAGTAGTTACAATAATAATAATAATAATAATAATAACAATATGGATCTGACCGGCGAGATATTAAGATGAAGGTCTGTGCCTGAGGAACAAACATCCCGAGTGCAACGTGTTCTCTCGCGCCTGATTGGTGGGCTTTTCTTGCTACTCTTGGGACATCCAGGTCATGTGATCTGCCAAGCACCGGTCAGGTGACTGGTGCGTCTTGGCGTCTTTTGCATTCTGCCGGGTTCCAGGCTGGTATCACGTGTTCTGCAGTTTGTATGTTTGCCTGGCATCGCTCTTTATATCGATAATCCCGCAAGGAAGAAGCTGCGAGAAGTCATGGATATAGGCCTCTATTGCATTGCTAATGCTGCTACTGTTATTACTATTATTCGGTGATGAATAGATCATGAGGAGAGCAGTGTCTTATCAGGCTTCTGTCAGGCTGCCTTATCGGCGCGAATAACCACAATCAATGACGATATCCATCTGCACGTGACACGACGCCACGATTCAACCATCAGCATCATAGTATTATGGTAATATAGGAAGGAATCTTCAGAAGAGTAATGTTTGAGGCCTCAAATAATAATATTACTGACTGGAGGTACAATAGTCATCGTATGATAATAGTAGTAGTAATTAGCTAATAATACGCGGGCGGCAGCTAGGCCTAATCGATGACTCCCGCATCGCCAGTCAACCAACTCACTTAGCCTTTTGACCAAGTCAAACAGCCTAGTTGGAAGATCGCGGTTTGCCTCGTGAATTTTCTCCATCTTTTTCCTACTTCACCATCAACATCCCCAGGTCGCCTCGACTTCCTTCCGTCACCTCCCCAATTCACCCCTTCTGTCCTACCATCCTCCCACCCTGCTGCTTACTACTCTTCCACCATGACTACTGAGGTACGTACTCACCGCAGCCCCTCCTTCAACTACGCCTCCCCCATGCTGTGTACCCCACAGCCGCAATGGAAATCATCCTTATATGCACCATGAGCATCCATACTGACTGATTCTGTGCTGCCAGCGTGAAAGGTACTTCACTACTGACTCCCCAGTGCAGCCCACGCTGGAACTGCGAAGGAACTGCCAATGCTAATCCCCAAAAAGCAAGACTTTTCTCGCGAGGCTGTGCGAGCAGGCCGAGCGCTATGACGGTAAGAAAACCATGTTCGCATTGTTGCCTGATATGACCTGCTGACTGGTGCTTTGCGTTTTTGTAGAAATGGTCACATACATGAAGGTGCGTCGGCTCTACCTCTCATCTCCGGGAACAAACAAAACAACGAATTCAGTCATCGTACTAACATGTCCATAGGAGGTTGCCAACGTATGTATTTGCGAGACCATCGTGCCTTGCCGGTAATTAACGGTCCCACAGCTTAGCGGTGAACTCTCCGTTGACGAGCGCAATCTCCTCTCCGTCGCCTACAAGAACGTCGTGGGCACCCGCCGTGCCTCCTGGAGAATTATCTCATCTATCGAACAAAAGGAGGAATCCAAGGGCTCCGAAGAGCACGTCACTATCATCAGAGATTACCGCCAAAAGATCGAAACCGAGCTCGAGAAGGTCTGCCAGGATGTGCTTGACGTTCTCGACCAGTCCCTTATCCCCAAGGCCGAGTCAGGTGAATCCAAAGTTTTCTACCACAAGATGTATGCAGACCACAACCGTGACCTCCGACGGAATGTTGCAGACCTAATTTTTAATAGGAAGGGTGACTACCATCGTTATCTCGCCGAGTTTGCTTCTGGCAACAAGCGCAAGGTTGCCGCCACCGCAGCCCACGAAGCTTACAAGGTAGGCTCCCAATGGCTACATTACCAATTCTTATATATCTAACAAATCTTTCAGAACGCTACCGATGTCGCACAGACCGAGCTCACACCTACCCACCCCATCCGTCTCGGTCTTGCTCTGAACTTCTCGGTCTTTTACTACGAGATCTTGAACTCCCCAGACCGTGCTTGCCATCTCGCTAAACAGGCCTTTGATGACGCCATCGCCGAGCTTGACTCGCTTTCCGAGGAGTCCTACCGCGACAGCACCCTCATCATGCAGTTATTGCGTGACAACCTCACTCTCTGGACCTCCTCCGAGGGCGGTGAAGTTGAGAACCCCGAGGCCAAGGAGGACAAGCCAACTGATACTGAGGGCGAAGCTGCTGCTCCTGCCGAGGACAAGCCCGAGGAAGCCTCTGCGCCAGCTGAGTCATAAACACATTGGCTTGCTTTTAGTGCGCGTCAATATCTCACATTGCAACCAGCTTTGAGATAATGACTTGGTGTTAGCTCCGGCGGGTTTACTATGCGGCCATGTCTTTTTCTTTTTATCTCCACTTTCTCCAGTAATTTCCTTCGATTTGCTATTTGTATTCCTGCGGTCAGTTGTGTAGTTGGATGCGGAGTTTGTCTTTGGAAGCCCATTCGTGCTGGGTGGATATGATATTTGCGTGCGGCTCTCCTTTCTACAGCCTTTTTATTTACGGCTTGTCAGCCCCGAAAGCTACTCGCCACGACATACTTCGGATGGCAACAGACTCGAAGATAAGGACGGAAGAAGCGTTTGTATGCTCTTATTCCTTTTCACCAGCTTTGTCTACCATCATAAGTCTTGAAAACGCTGTTTATGCAACCAATCTTTACTACTCCCCTGCACAGTTACTGTGGCTTTGAATCAGTTCGGAAGCCCCAACAGTTGACTTGTGCAGTTGGAATTATTACACGTGGAATTTCTTTCAAGAAAGATAACCTCAATTCACACAAATTATCATTATGCCCCACAAACACTACAATTCAATGAAAATGAGTATTTTAACATTCACCATCGACCAGCTGGCTATTATTCGTGGCTAATCCTAAGTCGACAGTTGTAAGTCTCATCAGCAGATCATTCCTATGTAGGGTTAAGGATCATGCTCAAGGCTAGCTCTGAGTTACCAAGTACCTAGTTATAAAACAACTATGTGTCACACTGACATGCACAGCATGGTGCCACTTTATGCTCAGCCTAATTCATAGAACATTGATAAAACGTAATCATCAAGCGAGATTTAAGCGGACTAAGTCTGTGTCGTTACTCCACTTGCGTATATGGATTTGTATAAACTTGATAGTAATGACAAACGTCTATCGGTATCAGCGTTGTATAATACAGTAAACTATACCAATATTAGATGTTAAAGTCTCTAGTTTTCATATAATGTTGGCTGTCATTGCTTGATCTTTCAGACCCGCCATCTTCGTTATATATTCTTACCATTCACCACTGATCTCCCAACGAGGGTTTAAAATACTGTTAGACAGACTTGTACCGATTGTTCCCATAGACGTCGATCAGGTTCTTATCATCGTTCAGCAGTTAAAAACATAGCTCCAGTGTCATTACACAAGTGAGGGCCCTCAACTCCAACCAAATACAGTCTGATGGGTGTGATAAAGGGTATGGAAATATATGACGAGATCAGCCGCGATGTTGATAGCTGAAGATGGATGACCCCGCTGCTAAGCGGATACGAGTTTATGACTCACCACTGTTCCGTGATCTGGATATACAATTTCAATTATCACAGTAAAAGATATTCCTAGTAAAACTACCATTCAGATTCTGTCCATTCACCCTCTCCAGAACCTTTGATTCTAATTACCTGACAAAAGGTTAGTCAATTGTTTGGACGGCGTATGTCTAATCCTTAGCGTTTCTAATCCAAACTGCCAGTATATCTATCTATCTATCTGAAGCATGGCACCTTCAGCATTAAACGAGAGAGCTAAACAGTTACGAGATCTCCACCTACCAGGCCGACCTTTGGTGCTGGCCAACGTCTATGATGCCGCCACAGCGTCGATTGTTGCCAACCTAGCTAATGCCAGGGCAGTGGCCACTGCCAGTTACGCAGTAGCCGCTGTTGAAGGAGTAAAAGATGAAGAACTATCTAAAGAGCAAAACCTAGCAGCCATTCGGCGAATAGCCCCCGTCGTAGCCAACAAAAACCTCCCTCTGACAGTTGATATTCAGGATGGCTATGACGATGTCAAACAGACGATTCGCGATGCTATCGCCTTGGGTGCGGTAGGATGTAATCTTGAAGATTTGTGCACCAAAACACTTAAAGTTAGACCTCTGGAAGAGGCGGCAGAAAGAGTACGACTTGCCATGGAAGCTGCACGGGAATCGGGAGTGCCTGACTTTGTGATCAATGCTCGCACGGATATTCTAGGCGAGGACACCGCAGCTGAGGGAGGGGCCTCAACATCTATTCTTGATGAGGTCATTCGGCGTGGAAAGGCGTATCTGGCCGCTGGTGCATGTACTGTGTTTATATGGGGCGGTGGGAAGGGTCGAGGAGTCTCGCGACAAGAGGTCGAGAAATTCAGCTGGGCTCTGGATGGACGTATTAGTGTCAAAAAGAACATGGGCTCGGACTCGCTCTCGGTAGCGGATCTAGCTACGATTGGTGTGGCTAGGATCAGTGTTGGGCCAGAGCTATTCCGAGTCGCTATGAGAGCGTACCAGGGGGCTGCTGAGGGGCTGCTTGAGTGATGGATGTATGTATACATCACCAGTGTATTCATCTGAAAAAAAAACGTATGAAGAGTTTTGATGTTGCGATCTAATCATTTTATACGTTTTATCACGACATACATAGCACTCATATGAAGTGATCGAATTAATCAAATGTCAAGATTTACTGTTGACATTACATCGAATCCCTTCAGCCAAACAGTATTTGCTTCACTTAGCGAGCTGATTCTTGCACAGAGGAATACATTTAGATATACTGTAGCACAAATCATTAGTTTGATCAGCTTCAGCTTTTTCCAAAAGAAAAGGCACTAGACGAGGCGGTGCATCTCCTCCGATTCTTCCTCAATGATGGTGTCGGGGTTGAGCGCCACTACACCACAACCACGCCTATTTAACTCGCGAAGAGAGTTACCCATAAGACTATCATCCCTTTGGTGAGGAGTTACATGGACCAGGCAGACCTGCAAGATTCCAAGTGTTGTTCAAAGCGGAGTAGTTTCTCTAAGCTAGCCTTCTTGGGTCGAAAAGGATAGTCGGGATGGAATGGTTATTGTTCCTGTGAGTATTAGTTAAATAAACTTAACAAAGACATGGCTAGGACTCACTTCATCAACCACATGGACATGTGAATCCCACGTGTCCGCTTGAAGCTGAGGTACGAGCTTCCTATCAATCGCCATTGATGAAGTCATTATATTCGTTTTTGAAGGTTTCTTCGTGAATTATTATTTGAGATCACAACACAGGAACATTGAGATGGATGATGGAAAGAAGCCGTGGCCTTCAAATACATGGTCATATTTGTGAGATCTACAATGTATGGCAGCGATGATCGAAAGTCCGAAGTTACTTGACCAGGACATCCCCTACATAAATCCAGGATGCGTCATTCACCTACATCCGAAATCCGTTTTCAATCATACAGACGCTCCAGCATCAGAAACGGATTAATGGATTGTAGTGGATGAAGATATTTTACCGTCCAGGCCAATTTCCGGTGTTATTCTTTTCATCAAACCTAATGATCCAAAACTTAATATCCTTTTTAGAATGTATACTACGCTAACTGGTTATGTAATATGGATTTGAAGCGGAGCGGAGATAATCGAAGAGTGTGTAAAATGATGAAGCCAGTTCCGAAAGTCCTTCTACAGTCCACAGCGCGAATACATATATTCCATACGGCACTGCGGCATCCTCTTTGAAATTGTTTAAATTCTGTACATGGTAGGCTGCATAGTTTACAGTGGTTTGCACATTCAGAGTAACTACTCAATGACTTATTGTTTGTTAGTGCCGGGGGAAGGCGAATGAGATACGCTTCATTGCATATGCTAGAGTAATCTAAGATAAAATAATATGACATAGGAGACTCGTTACCATCGCGTGATTCTGTTTCGGCCAGTGTTTGATAGTTAATCAAGTCTAGCTCCCATTGCACACTGCACGCGCTGCCTCTCTAATCTCTACTGCCATCGCGTCTAAAGGAAGCCTTCATCGGTTCTTACGCGTCGAGCAATTGCTAGACCAGTGGCCCGTCTGGCCACAGCTGAAGCATTTAACACTTGAAGGAGTCCGTGAATGTGTCGTGGCGCTTCCTCTCCTAGGGCTTAGGCAACTCCCGGACCAGTGACCGGGCAGGCCGCAAGTGTAGCAGTTTCCGCGCGGGGACGACGCTGATGATATCGGTGGTGTTATTCTTCCCTTCTTGGGGGTCGGGCAATTGCTGGTCCAGTGACCCGTTTTCCCGCAGTTGTAGCAGCTCGTGTTTGAAGGAGATTTAGACGGCGTGGTGCCTCGTTTCTTGGGGTGTGGGCACTCGCTGGACCAGTGACCGGGTTGACCGCAATTAAAACAGTCGGCACTGGAAGAAGACCGTGACCGGGTTGTGATTGTAGCCGGTATTGCCGAAGCCGCTGATTGAGAACTTGAAATCGATAGCTTGTAAAAGGATGTATTTAAGATAGCAACATCATTCGCAGCCCGTGCCGCTACGGTCTTTTGACGGTCATCGTACTCCCTGCCTAAAGCATCCTCAAAGCTAACAGCAAGTTCCTCAAAGGCATCGTGGACAAGGTCCGGAGTATACGCCCAACCCGTCGACGACTCCGAAAACGACTTCGTTAAATCCTCAATAAACCGTATCGTAATCTTCTCTGTACTCTGCTTCAATCCTCGAGACGTACTCGTCAAATATCGGTTGCTCCACAGATTCTTGTATAAGCCCCGCTGATACTGCACTAGGTCTGGGATATCGTCTTTGACGAACTTGAGCGTCTGCTGGCTGATGTGCTTTCCTAGGTCTACGAGCGCAGACTCCGGCATCGAAGTTCCAGGTGCGAATTGCCTCATGGCCTCAGATACGGCTAGGAGAGCATCACAGATGCCTTCTGATATATTCTGGTCGAAGACAAAGAATTTATAGAGATCCCATGAGTTTTGAGACGCATACGCCGAGGACAACATATGGTCAAAAATCTGGTTGAGACTCTTCATGCCGCTGTCGAAGGATTTAATGTATGCCTTGTATTTCTTAGCAGTGTTGTCTGCCCTGGTTCCTCGAAGCTGGCGACCCAGTTCCGTGTTAAGTTGCTCGCCATCTCTACCCTTCTCTATAAGAAGTCGTTAGTATATACCACGACGAGTGATCGTGATACGAACCTTCCATTAATTGACGGGTTCGTTTTCGACACGTTCTTCTAACGTCATCCATCCAGTCATCTTCCTGCCAAGCTGTATTCAGCTCGCACAGCGCCTTGCACAGCTCCATAGCGAAGAGTCTTCGGAAGCAGCTTTCATTTGGGCAGTAATTGGCCACATAGCTAGGATGGAATCCATTCACAACGCGGACAACGTGGCCATTCGGGAGCGGCAAGTTATGTACCTGATTGGTATTCCCAAGCCCTTTCCCAGAAAAGGAGAGATCGTCCTGACCATGGATTCGCCAGCACGCGAAGAGAACCTCGGGTTTTTTTGCCTCTAGCATGGAGATGAATGTGTTATATGCACGCTCTGCTTCGTTAGATAGTTCTTTCGAGGAGATCTGCTCGGTGATGAATGGGAACGCATCGAATACGCTCGTTGTTTTCAGACCTCCAGAATCATTCACAAAGGCGAGCGACTTGTCCAGGTAGGCCAGGGTAGCAGATTCGTCTCGAACCCACTCCACGTCTGCAGTAAAGACCTGTGACTTGGCTGGTTGCTGCAGCGCAATGACCAGACCACCTGTCATGTCTGGTTTGGCAAGCCATGCGGCGAATCCGGCTTCGTGTTTAGTAGGAGTGGTCCTGTTATCGCGGACCATAGTGTTGCCAAAGGCCTCGATTATGTCTGCATGTTTGCCGACTCCATGGGAATGTTTCTGCTTCGCGCTCGGCAGAAATCGCTTTAGGCGGTGGTCGACGGGGATTCCGTTGCACAAGTGTCTCTCATTTGATGAAGCCATAATTTGAGTAGAAGTATACTCAGAGTAACAGAGCTATCTGAAGATCTCCGAGACGACATCGTGCGAGTCAATTCAAAGTTCTTGGGGGGAGGGGTGCCTCTAGCTGGATGCACCGTCAGGCTGTGTAGCCGCCGTTGCGCAGCCTCGTTCACATATCTCTGAGGCATCACAGCCAATCAAGAAAGCCGTGGTGTGCAAACCATGAAACACATCGTGAATACGAGTCATGAGCACACCCCTATTAACCTTCCATGCCCCGTACTGCTAATAGTTTGCCTTTGTGCATTTCGTTAATGTTCGTAGCATGTGGCGTGGGTAATGTAATGCGAGGCACAGAGGCACAGTACCTGCATTTTGTAAAGGAATCATGTGATGTCACATAATAACTAGCGTACACTTTCTGCACCATACTGACATCCAGTCAAAGTCTTACAAGTCTTATGGTGTCTTCTGAGGTGTTCCGAAGTCTTATCGACCAACCATAACCCTAAAATAAGGTAATCCCTGTTGGGGCACCAATATACTAGATGCCCAACTTCTATATGAAGGCTGTCACGGGTCAGGCCCGTGTTCATGAACGACAAGGTTTGACTAGATACAAAGAGAAACCGACGAGAAAGAAAGGAAGAAAGGCTCCAAGTATGCCGGAGGTGCGGCCTTGGATAGCTTCAATGCCGGCCACCAACCTTCCCTGGATCAATCTAGTTCGGCTGTAATCCAAGTAAGGCATAGGACGGTAACCATATGAGGGTGAACGTAGAGAGATCCAAATAGGACCAAGGGTCAACCCGTTACAAAGGCAGACTGAGACCAGATTAGAATGGAGAAATCAAACTTATCCGTGACATGTTGAGTAGCAATGAACTAGCTATATTCTAGATTACCAAAACTCTTTTCTAATCCCCGTTCTTGGCGTGAACTATCCAATTTAGTCACGAAGATCACATGCTTATGCAGCTCTTCAGCTTCTTGCCTTGTCCACATGATTACCCACCTTCCTTCCTCTTTTCAACTTTTGCGCTGCATATCCCTTTTGAAATACTCCTCGACCAGACGATGAATTTCTTCGACCTTCCCACTTAGATCTGTCTCGGGATCTATTCAGAACTCCTCGTTCTCTCGGAACCAATCGTCTTTGTAGGTGACCATGGCCCTTCGTCACGACCCCTCTTTCGAGCCAAAAGGGACGGGCTCTGTCCAGCTCTTCTCCGTACCAATATGACGGTGCACCGCGAAGCCAGCCCACTACTCTATTCTAATAACTGCTTTCAGTTCCCTGAAATGTCCACGTCTTGTGCTCCATTCCTTAACCAAATCTGATCCCAAACAAGCTATATTCGCCATATCTGTATTCCCTTCCCCGCCTTTGACTATTCCAAGATTGGTAAAGCTGGGCTTGACATGGCGTGTATAAATGATCTAGAAATCATCCGAGATACCTGTACAAGCATAAGGATTCTCGAACTGTTGGTTTGGCCAGATTACACGGACTACACACTTAGCCACTCACCAATCGCAGCAGGGGGGTTGGATTTACTTGACACTCACCTTAAGAATATTGCCTCCCTCAAAGAGATTATAATTGATTTTGAGTGTACCCGGAAGACGACCCAAGTGATGATTTGACGGAGAAGATGCACGGCTATGGATGGACTGTTAGTGTGACGAAACTCGCCAAGAGAAAATGGATCTCTATGGATGATCGAGTTGAATTTGAGAATGAAGAAGATTGTTTGGAATATGACAATGAGCTGTTCCTCATGGAGGAGCTGAAGAGGGAGCGGAAGGAGAAAGAGCGGTGGGAAGAAGAATATTACAGGAGAAGACGCGATCCCTACTGGAAGGAACGATTCGGACTATGATTAAGCATTACCTACATGAACCAGCTCTTTTGCTACAAAAGTGTTGCTCGCGCAGCGTGTATGGCGATTAAAGTGAGATTGTTAGGTCCGAGATGGTTCCCTATAGCTTTATGATGGAAATTTTCGGTATCCCACGAAGTAATGAGAGCGTGAATGTTTCAAGTGCTAAGCTGGTTGTGCATTCTACTGTAAGCGAGCGGTTTATTTCATCATAGATAGGCAAATAAGATACGTAGGCTGATTCTACAATTAGCATGTACACCCCATCATTCATGGAATTATATATTCATGAAAAGTACAATCCTGTCAGATTAAATTGATACTTTTATCCAATCATCCTGTTCCTACAACAATAAATGATCGTAGATTGCAATATCTGAATTAATTCCTAATTATTAGCCGTAAGTCTATGATCTTTAAGTCGAAATAACTGTCTCACTATATACACATCCACAGTCGTGGTTGGTGACATCATTCCCAACTCGCGATTCTCATTGACGCCGACAATGCGCAGTCCTCCATTGTCAAACCCCTAGTATAATATCAGCCTTGCCCTTTTTAGCTAATTGTTGGCCGAAAAGCCACTACACCAAAAAGGGAGCCCCCCTCATTAGTGAGGGTAATTAATTCGGTGCTTATTGGCTGAGTCTAATACAGATACACTAGTGCGGATGTGCCACGGTATGGCGATTACAAGCATGGCCACTCGATTAGGCTCATCCACCATACGGTCCAAACGTCTTTGAATCCAAAATGCAACCCCTCAGTTCCTAGCTGGCCCCGGTAGTCATCAGTGCCATGAGTGCTGTCAACATGTCCTCCATACGAGTTCCCTGCGATCAATGTCGCCAGCGTCGGATCCGCTGCGATGGACATACTCCCTGCGCATCATGTCTCCGCACGCACCTGTCTTGTCGACGCAAATACATTCGCAAACGACGAGGCCGGAAGGAGGGCGATGGCAAACAAATAGCTGCCCTACGAGCTACTGAAATATCCGATGTCCAGGGCTTCATTGTTAATTGCAAAGAAGCAGGGGATATTTTATCCTCAGAAGACCTGCCTGACCTAATGAAACGTTGTGTCGGTGCCTACTTAGAACACATGTACCCAGTCATGCCCCTTCTCAAAAGATCCACGCTAAGTGATTGGTTTGATCGACCACTGTTGGCCAATGAGCATAGCATGTTATTTGCCCTTTGCGCCTTGGTCACCACATTCATGTGTGGTCGTAGCGAATCCATTGTTGGAAGCGTGGAGTGGCAGTCCGTCGCGCGGCTGTTCGTCCGAAAGAGCCTTCTTATGCGGTTAGAATATGATTTTATTGACGACAGCACTGTGCTGACGCTTTTATCCTCTTTCTTTCTCTCCGTGACATTCTTCGAATTACACAACATTCGACAGTGCTGGTTTTATCTCCGCGAAGCTATTAACTTAGCCCAGATTCTTGGGCTGCATACAAATGAATTTTACCAAGACATGGACGACGTAGACGCTCTATTCTGTCGCCGAATCTATGACATTTTGTTCGTCACTGAGAGGTCATTTGCGATATCGAGACATAAGCCCGTCCTTTTATCGCATCCATTGCCCCCTCCTGCTAAAATGTCCCGTGGAGAGCAGGAAGAGGGGTCTGAAATAAACCCCGGATTTCGCCAGCTTGTACAAGTCTATTCCCAGCTTGATGTTGATTTTCTTCACAATTGGAGCCAGGAAGGTTTGGTTTGCTCTAGTTTTTCGAGAGAAAACCGTGAACTTGATCTGGTTCCTGACTGTGACTTCATCTTGAATACACAAAAAGCAGACATCTTTGTGACACAACACTGGCTTGATCTTACCTTTTGGAGGGCTGCCCTGCAGCAGGGGTTACTGTCTACCAGTGCGAAGTCACGTTCCAGGACGTTTTCTTATCCAGAGGATATTAGCTTGTCCTTGCTCCTGGTATTATCATCGCTGCCTACAGAGTCCGTGGAGGTTCACGGATTGGGAATTGTGAGTAATATGATGTATTTTTCGTGTTCAAACTAATGCTTCCTAGTTTGAAAAAATTCACCATGTGGGTGATAATCTAGCGGACTTTATAAATTGCTCCGCGAAATTAAACGGATGGACAGAATCGATTGCACAAGATTTAGACAGGCTTAGCGCTATTCAACAATACCTTTCGTTGACTCCAAACTCTAATATGAAATTTGCTGTACCTCTAGGGAGACGGTTAGCTGCATGTTATTTCTGTTATAGCGACCCCTTTGACATGCCTCGTGAAGTACATGAAGAAGCTACATTTTCAGATCATGAGAGATGGGATTGCACTAGATATATCAACCCTTCCTAACAATAGTTGACCGGAAGACATCCACCTGAGTCGAGGCAAAGTCGCGGGCAGAGACTTTCTGTGCGAAAAGGACATCAAGTTCCGCATAAGTCCTACCCTTCGGTTCTGGGAGACGGAAGAAAATCCAGACAACACAACAGAAACAGACACCAGCCCAGAAAAAAGCTGATTTGGCTCCCCAATTCCACGCTGTTGTGGTTAGCTGGTAATTGATAAAAATATTGACGACAATCCCGCCAATATTATACAAATTCCTAGCTAAAACCACCGATTTAGCTCGCAGACGGGTCGATGAAAGCTCAGAGACAAGGGAATAGCAAACAGAGCCGACAGTGAGGTCATATACGAAAGTGAAAACTGATAGCAGTGCCCCAATAGTCCAATTGGTTCTGCTGCTGCGCGGAGCCAGTGACACCATCCCGATGATTAAGAGGAGACAGAAAAGAATAAATGATCCATACAAATAAATGGTCCGTCGTCCGGCGCGGGCCATCAAAAACCAGGAAAGAACTGTGCCGACTGCTCCTAGTGCATACTGGATCAGCGACATGTTGAACGAGGCGCTCTCTGGAAGTCCTGCTGCAATATAAAACACAGTTGAGTATCCCATCAGTTGTGAGCCACAGATGACTTGGATCAACCAGGTTAAACACACAATCTCCGTGCGCCGCAGATTCTCTCCCTTGAAGCATTCCCAATAGGAAGTGGATGTTGTTGTTTCTTTCTCAAGTTGATCAGTGTACTGAATCATACTAAGAGTCTCCTCGACCATGTTATAAGAGCGACTCGTCAATCGTATTAGGCTCCTGCGTGCTTCCTCCACCTGGCCATGACGAACACACCACCAAGGAGACTCCGGGGCCAATATACATATTATTACCAAGGGAACAGGCCATATCCACTGCACTGCAAACGGAATTCGATATGCCCATTGGTCCTGTCGTTCAAGCACAGCCTTCAACACGCCAGAAACCAAGAACTGCCCAATAACCCAGCAAAGGTTGACATATGTGGTCAGATAGGCTCGGAGAGCGACAGGACAAACTTCGGAGGCGTATGCGGTAGTAACGGTTTGAAAGGCGCCCCAGGGGATTCCGCATAGTATTTCTCCAACAAGCAGCATCTCCACATTCTGTGCAAAGAAGGGAATGAATATGAACCCCGTGATCAGGCAGAGCGCAGCGAGGATAGTCATACGGTATCCGAATCGGTCTTGAATGATACCCGTAAAAAAGAGGCCGAGGATTTCACCACAGAGAGCCCCATTCGAGAGGCCGGATTTCCAAGATGCAGGGATTACATAGGAGCCATCGGGCTGTAGCTGCCCGTATTTACGGTTGAACTGTGGCAGGGCATAGAAACTGGAAAGCAGCATGACTGCATAGCCTTCCATGATCACTGCTGTAGACAACCCCAGGGACCAGACCACAGCCATGGAATAAAGTCGGACTGCTTCATAGAAGCCCATTTGGACTTGGACGTCAATGGCTTCGTTGGCATTACGTTCCATGACCTGAGCCTCAGACGAGTCCTGCGTGGATTCGAGGTGGGAGGCATCGAGGTCTTTCTCCATATTGAAAATTTTGTATGGTATGTATCAAGGTGATAATGAGAAGGAGAATAGGATATCAAAATGCTGGCCATAACTCCAGGATGTAGTTCTAAAGTATTTATACACATCGACATCCGATCTAAGTTGAATGTGGAGGGAAATCTGGGGTCGACTCCGTGCAGTCAACCCAGTTAGAATTGGAAATCTTCGTATCAGAGAAAAATCCTAAACTGGCTACTAAGTTGCTAACGATTGGTAGTCCAAGTGCAAAGTGGCTGTAATTGACTTTGTTAGTGGCGGAGATATTCTCGCAGAATTAATCGCGGAATTAATCGCGAATTTTGTCACCACATTTTGTTCGATCGACAAGATGCTCTTCTCTGTAGTGCGATTTAGAATGACTTACCAAAGTTCTATAAGTACCAGTAACTCTATAAGTATCGATAATATGTCTTGCTGTAGTTATCTATTACCTGTACGCGTAAACTATGATGACCTTGCCGACCAATGCTACAAGCCCCATAGCGGACCACCGGGCCATCGTCTCGGGTCCTTCCTATCGCTTCACGATCCTCACAGATCGACTGATTCGGTACGAATGGGCTCTCGATGGACAGTTCGAGGATAGAGCTTCTACATTTGCCATTAATCGGCATTTTCCTGTGCCCAAGTTTCACGTTATCGACGACAATGATCTGGAAATCATCACCGATAATTTCCACCTGACCTACAACAAAAAAAGATTCTCATCGACAGGTTTGGTCGTTTACTTCAACTTCAGGCATACAGAGTGGGGGGCTCCATGGCGGTATGGGGTCTCAGCAGAGCTCAACCTGGGTGGTACAGCTCGGACACTGGACCTTTGCAACGGCCGTTGTGATATGGGGGAAGGCATCATGTCCAGAGCAGGGTATGCTACCCTTGATGATTCAAGTTCAATGCTGTTTGATGGGGATTTTGTGGCTGGCAGAAGGAGCGGAGACCGCGTGGACGGCTATCTCTTTTGCTACGGCCATGACTACAAGGCGGCCATCAAGGCATTCTACGCAGTATCTGGCAAACAGCCCACTTTGCCTAGATACGCTCTAGGCAACTGGTGGAGCCGGTACTACGCTTATCATCAGTATGAGTATATCCAGCTTATGGATAAGTTCCGTGCCCATGACATCCCTATGTCAGTCGCGGTAGTGGACATGGATTGGCATATGGTGTCAGAGGAGTGTGTGCCTCATTCCGGGTGGACTGGTTATACCTGGAATAAGAACCTTTTCCCAGATCCAGAAAATTTTCGACGTGATTTGCATCAGAGAAATCTTAAGATCACGCTCAACGATCATCCTCACAATGGAATCCACTCACACGAAGACTCTTATGAGGAGATGGCCCTAGCTTTAGGCCACAGCACCGACCAGAAAAAGCCAATCCTCTTCGAACCTACAGACGTCAACTTCATGAAAGCATACCTCGAGATTCTGCACCGTAAACTGGAGAAGACCGCGTGCGACTTTTGGTGGATTGACTGGCAGCAAGGCCCGTACTCCAAAGTTCCTGGCCTCGATCCTCTCTGGCTGCTGAACCATTTCCACTATCTTGATCATGGACGGGACGGTAATACTACTCCACTTATCTTCTCACGATACGCCGGCCCTGGAAGCCACCGATACCCAGTTGGCTTCTCAGGTGATACTTTGGTGACTTGGGATTCGCTCGCCTTCCAGCCGGAATTCACTGCAACTGCGTCGAATATTGGATACGGCTGGTGGAGCCATGATATTGGCGGTCATCTTTTTGGATGTCGAGATGATGAGCTTGTCACCCGCTGGGTACAACTTGGCGTGTTTTCACCCATATTTCGCCTGCATTCATCAAATTCAAAGTGGATGTCCAAGGAGCCATGGTTGTACCGCGCGGAATTTCAGGGGGTCATGACGGCATTTATGAAGTTACGGCATCGCTTGGTGCCATTTTTATATACACAAAGCATTGTCTGTTCCATAAAGGATGAGCCGCTGGTGCAACCCATGTATTGGGGTTATCCAGAAATTGACCAGGCGTATTCATTTCCCAACCAGTACATATTCGGATCCGAGCTTTTAGTTGCTCCCATTGTCAAGTCTCGAGACAGAATAACAAACTTGGCTGCAGTCAAGGCGTGGTTGCCACCTGGTCGTCGCTACGTTGATATTTTCACTGGCATTGTGTACGACGCGGATCGCGGGAATACTTTCTATCGACGGATAGAGGAATACCCCGTTTTGGCACGTGAAGGAACAATTATTACCATGGATGCGAACTCCGCTCCACTCAATGGCTGCTTGAACCCTGACATATTCGAGTTTGTTATCGTAGTTGGACATGATGCCCAGTGCACTGTTCTAGAGGATATGGGCGACGATGTACTAGAGAAGATGCCAGAAAGGGGACACCAAAGGAAAGCTGTCGTTAATTTCGAGCAGGCTCAAGGAACATTGAACGCCAAGCTAGTCAATAGACCCTCAAAATTCCGTTTCTTGTCGGTGTTATCGATTCCCAATAACTTGAAAGTATACAACTACAAGGGCGTTGATTGGACTCAATACGCCAAGGTCACGGTTGAGATTGATTGTCAATTCCCCGGCCTCCTTGTTGAATGCCCGTTTATATCGGAGGACAGCGGCTCAATCACCATCGAACTTGGCACCAATCCTCAACTTGACGTGATAGACCCCATTGCCCGTATTGAGCGCCTGATAGTGGACTATCAATGCGAATTCGAGGTCAAGGATCGAATGTGGAACATAGTGACCGCCCGTAAACAGTCTCCCCTGAATACAGTGATAGGGTCGTTGATGTCGCTGGGATATGACGAGGGGATTGTGGGCCCTGTGATAGAGCTGCTGTTGGCCGATGCTCGGCCATACTCGCAATTTGACAGTACAGCACTCCCTAGTAATTAGTCACTTCTTCGATACAATTAACCAAAAATTTATAGAACCTGCAGGATCATCCCTTATTTTTGGTTAAACCTTTTTCCTCCTGGCATGTTTGAGCAATGATTGTGCCATTTAGACGTTATTCTGTTGCCTTCAATACTAGAGTAGATGTAAATTGGCAAACAGGTAGTATACATCACAGTATAATCAGTATGTCTATTCGGTGCAAATGAGCCAATGTTGACATCGCATGATATGTACAAGTAGCTACTACGGAATGAATTAGATTGGGCTCTTAACAGCTCGCTTTAGTAGTAATGGAGGCGAATATCTGATAGAGTAGAAGCAGAAGGAGGGTTACTTGGCATGAATATTGCCAATTGGATACATACGACAAATGACTACGTCAAACAATGAAACCTCTGTTTGTAGGACTACCTATTGCCTTTAGTAACATTTCCGGAATCTTTTTTCGATAGCATCGACCAGAATCCAGGAGGCCAAACTGCCTCGCGTACTGTTCCAAGTGTCGACACGGTCCAACCGGTCCAACTGTTGGAAGCAGTCCTTCTTTCTCCAATATCCTTGACTGTAACCGCAGCAGCTTTCTTTGTCTCTATGGCCCGCTCTCCTCGCTCCGTGAAATGTGCGTTCGCACGCACCACTTGCGTTTTCTCTCTATTGGTAACCACTCCTATTCTGTCTAGGACCTGCTTCGCTTGTCGCAGTTGGCTCCCGTAATATTGAAGAGAGTATAATTGCTGCATAAGACCTTCAACTCCAGCTTGGTCCAACAACTTTTGACTATCGCCCTGTTCCATGTACTCTGTAAGTGTCTTCACTTCTTGTTCATACAGCTTTCGGAAGTCAGTAAGTCTCTCAAACTTATCTCTGCTACCCCCTTCAGAAATTTTCCCTTTCTCCTGTTCTATCTGAAGATCCAAGTAGTCCAAAGTTGCGTCGTTGACCGGCATGATGGCGTTCCTTTTAAGAAAGATACTAAATTGGGCGGCTGCATCACGGATCATCTTCAGTTCGAACTCGAGGTCTTTGATAAGTTTCGCCTTATTTGCGATTGCGGCTTCTTTCCTCTCGCGGTCGCTTGCGTTTCTCTTAAGAGCTTCCACAACCACCGGATTATCGATCTCTGTACTTCCGTCTTCGTACTCGTGTCTGATATGGAGATGAATTCTCCACGAATGGCTGCATAATCGGCAGGTACCATTTCCATTCATGGCCCAACAATTTTGTAAGCCAGAAACTCCCATCTTGTCGACCTGGATGTCCAAATAGCATGGGTCATGACATAAAGTCTTGTACACAGTTCCTAGCAGTGGCCTTCCATCCGTTCCTATTAGTCCAGTATTTGAGTGTTCTACGCAGTCAGCATGACCGCATACAGTTCGTGGCTTGTCAACAGCAACGGCAATGAGCGTGTTCACACAGATTCTCAACTTCTTCTCTAAATCTTTCTTTTTCAAATCATTATGCATGAGATCTTTGATGTGGTCCTCATTAACCATTATAGTGGACTTGATTTTTTCGGCAATGGCCGCCATTGGCTCGGTCATCTGGATAATTCTGTGTCTTGTTTCATACAAATTCACAGTACTAGTGACTTGGTGTGGTTGAATGCTCTTGAAGTGATCAAGGAGACGCTTCGATTCCTTCACTGAGTGCTCCCAACTCTTACGATTCTCCTCCAAATGGCCCAATGACTTTTCGTGTTGTTTCTGGGCAGCGAGGTAGCGAAAACTCTCGGAATCGAAACAGTACACATTCCGTGCTCGGAGACCAATGTCAATATGTCCATACCCGTTCAATTGTGTTTGCAAGGGATCGAATGTGTCACCGGGAGTGTAGCTAGTGCCTCTTGTGTTTGTGAATCCGAATGCTATGTTCGTTGCAGCATCGCGATGTAGGTGTGTTAAGAGTTCTTGGATACAGAAGCGCAGCATAATGCTCAGTCTCTGCTCATTCGGTTTAAGTAGAATAAGGATCCCGTGAAGCTTTTCATACCCTCGAATGACACTCAAGATATCCGCCATATTTTTCTTATCCTGAGCAGCTCCTCGTGTGTCGCCAATACCTGGCGTGTCGATAATCCTCACAAGGCATTCTCCAATTAGGACCCGATGTACTGTAGCATTCTGGGTTGCTGATTCACCAGTGGTGCCATCGACCTCTTCAATGCTGGCTTGCTGCGCAACTGGTCCATTCGTCGGCTGGTTCTTAATGCCGTAGCTCACTTTAATCTTTTCGAACTCGCCATCATCCCTTACGCTGTAAGTGTTGAATGCAAACGGTATCTTCCAGGAAAGCTCCTCCATATTCATAGCGTCGTCCAGTGATGGGAAAGAAAGATAGTTCACGAAAGAATTAATCCAGGTTGATTTTCCCACACCAGTGGGGCCAAGGATCAAAATATTCAACTCCTCGAATGGCTCTAGTCCCTTAAGAAGTCGAAGGAGATTGACGCTGTTATACGTATTGAATTCCAGGCCATGCTTGGTATTCGAGCATCGAAAGCTCCACCAAGTGTACTTACAACGCCCGCAATCGCAATACAGGTAGTCGTCGATGTGGCCATATTCAATCAATGCGCCACACCTGGTACAAAACCAGTCGTGGCTTGTGGCTGGACCACAGTAAACTTTTGGGCATGGAATCCTCATCATGACTCTTCGGACTGGTTTGGGACATCCATTATCAAGATACACTTCGTTATATTGAGCGAAACACTTGCCGGAAGAGAGTTTCCGTTCTTGGAGAACATCCGGAATGATTACTTCAGCGCTCCGTATGAGAACAATCTTCGGTACATCAAGCCTCTCTTCAACCGCATCATGATCCTTGAGAACGACGCGAATCCGGCACGCCGAGTCATTCAGAAGCTGATAGATAATTGCCAAGTTCTGCTTCCACAGTTCTGAATGCAATTTCGCAGTCTCGCTGAAATGAAAGACATATATATCAATGTCCGGGTTACTACCCAGCTCGAGGTCAAGAGACTCGCCATTGAATCCCACGTACTTAGCTCCTCGGTCTACTAAATCATTCAGGAATCGGATCTTTTCTTTGTAATTGCCGAAGATTATGTCCGCTAGCCGCTGTACTTTAGAGTTGCTCGAATAAAAATCTTTCAGCAAGTCCCATAGAGAACTTTTGTCCTCTGCACCTGTTCTTACCCCATGTAATGCCTTGGCATACAGTGCTTTTAGATGGGTCTCCAAGTGTCTGACTTCCGAAATCCTATTCCCGACACTTCGAATATGGTCCTGAGGAACATAGTCACGGTTCTTTCCAAGAAAAGTGCGGTAATCGTTTAACTCCTGACGAGCAGCCGTAATTTCGTCAAATAGCTGAACAAACTTTTCGAAGCATTCGGTCTCAAGGTTGTGGATTACAAGTGGTATCGAAAACCTGCGGTCAACTACACCAGCAAGCAAAGATATCGGCATCAACTTGTAGGTTAGAGGCTTTCCCTTTCCACTATTGGCATTCTCAATATAAACTGGGACCTTGGTGAGAAAACGGAACGCGCTTGCAAGATCAGTTGGAACGAGGCCATCACTCGGAAGGACGTCGCCAAAGACAGTGACCTCCAATGACCTATCCAAGCTCTGATCTCCATTGATCACCTCACCTTTGCCCTCACCAAATGTCTCCCAAAACTTGAGCTGGCTAGACAAGTTGCCGTTGACAGCTTTCGCATTGTCCTTTGCGGAAAGGGACTGCTTCGCCGTGACGACGCTCCGCGAGCCCCAAACAATCTCAAACACAATATGGGTAGCATAACCAGTTTCCAATGTAGACCAAGAAAGAGAGTTTTGAACTTCATTCGCCTGGAATTCCAGTCTTTCGCTGACAGTGGTGATATTGTGTAGCAAGGTCTGATAAGCAACCAAGTTGCTGTCTCTCTCCTCGGTCAGATATTTCCCCGATCCTTCAACCTTGACTAGACCGGCTAGAAAGCTTGCACCAAGCTGGGCTTTAACGTCCAAGCCACTAAACTTTTCTTTAAGAGTATCATTGCGGAGGTACCGAGTATCACTGTCGTGGATGTCAGTTTTGGTGATGGCCGAAGAAGGAGGCTGCGTCTGTAGCGCTGAGAGTGGGAGAAAGGAGTCAGTGCGAGCATCATACAACGTTCCCAGCGAAGCAGCTTCACCAAGCGCTGGGCGAACAAGGATTGGAGGTGTAGACATTGTGAATACAAGGTATTTAGGTTCTAAAAGAGTTTGGTAACTGTGAACACTTCTGCAATATTGCTATCCAGAGCCGCCGGAAAATTGTAATCTTGAAATATCAGTGAAAAGAGAGAGCAAGGCATGCCTTCATATAGCCAACAGCTTCTTCAGGCCGACAAGTCTGGCGCCCATGCAAACTCATAATTGCTTTGTCTCGCAGCCTCAGCCTATTTTTGGCGCATTTTCCCTACATCAACGAAAATTGTGATTTTCGGAACGATTTATCCTAACATAAATCTTCAATTTGATACTTGGGGCTGATGCATTGAAATCTCCTATTTATGTCCATAATTACGAGCTAGCAGAGGGGCCATGGGAAACCCTGTGCTGGCGTAAAGAATTGGATTGCAGTAGAGCTTGATGCTGTACTGGTGACGTAGTCCAATGATCCTACACCACCTGAAATAATTAGCCGCCCGTAGAAATCGGCATGGATATACCACTCGTCATGCAGTTATAACTGAATATGAAACACGGCGGTTAGGATATTTAGTATGTGTTCAGACTCCCTTGATTCATAAAAGTTTACACTCTTTCAGCATGTGTTTATTGCGGAACTTGAAGCTGGTGTAGCAAGCATTCTTTCTAGTCCCTACGGTCACACCAATGACGTGTTTCAGTGGAAACAATGGATACGGAATAACATCTACTTTTAAACGGGTTTACACTAATAGGTCGTAATCTTACCCTGGATAATACGCTCAGGGTTTCGAACCCTTGTTAGTTAGGAGACTGCTTAGAGGTAGTTGTCCTTGCTGATAAGAAGCCAAAGCCTTCTTGGGAGGTAGTGTTCACGTATTCATGTATACCCTCCATGGAACTCATCATCCCAAACTTCAATCGTAGAAGAGGAGTTGGGGATGAACTAAGTGAAAATCGTAATTCGAAACGCGTGCTTGGTTCTGATCCGTCTACCTCAAAGACAGGGAGATAAAAGGCATACAAAGCTTACGCGGAAGCTGTCCACCCTACGAGACGCGATGATTACTGCTGAGGCTAGTTCCTGTGGAGGTGATAGACGTCATGGTTGTTCTATAGAAGCTGTTAATATGGGAAAAGCGTGAAGGTACAAAATGAGTTTCGGAGATCGTAAAACGTACCACCTGGGCCAGTTTTTAAAAGAAAGACTAGTGAAAAAGGACTCCACAAATATATATTACGCGTGCTGGTCAGTAGGCGTCTAGAACCAGGTATTCAGCGCATCGATGATATTGCTAGAAGCGGCGTGCTCCAACTGCCAAGTTGGATACGGTAAAGTGATCCATGCCCAATCGGTGCCGTCGGTACCAGAATTGGAGGCTTAGGATGAGCTTTTTCGGTGCACCTAAAGGTAGATTATACGATGTATCGTGGAAAGAGAGCGTACAGAAGGAATTAACCTTGTAAGCGGTAGTAAAAAAAAGTCAAAAAATAAAAAGGCGGTAAATCTAATAAAAGTAAAGTTATTAAGTATATTGAAATTTAGATAGTAATGTTATATTAGTACTTATTATGTATCTGATTAATTTAATATAAAGTGATGATCTTAGCTTGGAGTGTAAAAGACATGTTCCACTTGGAATTTTGTCGCATTCTATAATGCATACCAGTAATACAGAGACAAAGAGACGAAACAAACAAAACATCTCAACGAATTTACATGCCTGTATAGAGATACAGAGCCAGAAAAGACAAATCTGCCGCAATATGCTAACTGTTGATGACCCAAGAAAAAAAAAGAAGAAGAAACGAAAACGAGCTAAGACAGTACACCAGAGATCATCTATGCAAAGTAATTCAGAAGGGGAACGGGCAGGGTTAACTTTTTTTGGAATAGAAGTCAACTACATGAAATCATCCTCCCCAAAGTCCTCCTCATAGGTATTGGTGTCAGCCTTGGCGAAATCTCGCTGTGCGTTCAACGACGTCTTGGTCTTGGCAGCCTTGCTCTTCTTAGCCCCCTTGTCCGCTACGCGCTCCTCGCGCATCTTCTCGTTACTGAACGCCGTCAGCGCACTGGCTACCTTCTTCACCTGATCACTGGGCAGATCCTTAACAAGCTGTTTGGCGAATTCCGGCGCCCACAGCCCATACTGGACTTTCTTCGAGTTGGCCGTCAACAGCGGGATGAGGACATTGGTCAAGGCAGCAAACTGGTCCTTGGTAGTCGGCTTGAAGAGAGGCATGGCCGACAGATCCACGGACTTGGTTGGGTCTGCAGCGTCCCCGACAACGACGGCTTTGGGTTTCCCTCTATTCCGGTTGAGATCGACGTCTCCGAATAGATCCTCAGCGTGCTTCAAGTCCGAGTCCTGTTCTGTTTTGCGTATGCGCGCGCGCCGCTCGGCCTCATCTTCGTCCTCGCTGCTGTCCGAGTCGGATTCCTCCGCCAGCCGTCGACGTTCAGACTGGTGTTCTTGTATGCGCTGACCCTTGCTCTTCTTCTTCGCGGCCGCTTCGGCTTCGGCCTTGGCCTTTGCGGCGGCCGCCACAGCGGCCTTTTCGCGCTCAACTTCCGAGTCTTCGGCGGCGTCCCATGAGTCGAGGATCTGTTTGTGGTCGATGGGATTAGTTTGAGTGATCACCATATCGCCAAAGTCGTAGGTGGGGGCGAATCGATCGTGTCTCTTACATCGTCATCTTCCTCGTCTTCGAATTTGCGACGGGGGGCAACTGGTGGAGGAGATGAGGGAGGAGTGCTGTCCTCTTCGTCTTCTTAATCAAAGGTATTCTGTCAGTATCTAGCCAAAATCGATGCTGGCTTTTATATCGATTTCGACTCACCCCACTTTGAAGGCGCCATGGTTGCTGTCCTTTATTATCAAATCCTGAGGCTCAACGGCGTCGTCTGTCTTATCGCGTGGTGTATGGGAAGAAATTTAATGACTTGGCCGGAAGAGGGGTGTAAGGCTGAGTTGCAAGACGCAGAAAAAGGTTTCCCTATGGATATTTGCAGAGCCCGGGGGAAATGTCGAGCAAGAAAAAGGGCCGGAAAAGCGAGGGCGAAATCTTAGGCGTGGGAAAGAAGAAAAACCGCAAGGGGAAGCCTATCACATTTCCCTCTCTCGCCCTGCAGTGGGCTGAAGGAAGCCTTAGGGAGGGGTTCGGATCACGTGAAATTTTTGGGCTCCAAAATCCCTTCCGTCCCTTGTTTGTTTCCAAATGAGGCAGCCAAGTTTTTCCGAATGGTTAGTGCAACGGTATTGAAGAATAGTTATCCAACTTGCGCTTTGGTATTTGGATTACAGGATATAGTCTCATACAAAAAAGAAAGGAAGGGACTACGTTTCATGACTCGCAACTTCTCAAAGCATTAAAAAATATTTTTGTTTAGCGGCTAAGTTTCTATTGTCAAGATTTCTGAATAATATATCACCGCAGATCATAGCTTCGTGGGCTAGTTTAACCCTTGGGAGACGTGTCATGTGTCTCCTCAACATATTATAATACCGCCCCTACTTTCTTGCATGTCCGCTTACAGGTTGAAAGAGGTGCGGAACTTTTCACCAGCATAGACAGCGCCGTCACCAAGCTCCTCCTCGATACGCAGGATCTGGTTAAGCTTGGCAAGACGCTCGGAACGAGCAGGAGCACCGGTCTTGATCTGCCCAGAGCGGAGACCAACGGCGATGTCGGCAATGGTGACGTCCTCGGTCTCACCAGAACGGTGGGAGACCATGACACCCCAGCCGGCGGCGTAGGAGTCCTTGGCGGCTTGGATGGACTCGGTCAAGGTACCGATCTGGTTGACCTTGAGCAGGAGGGCGTTGCAAGACTTGAGCTCAATGGCCTTCTTGATACGGAGAGGGTTTGTGACAGTCAAGTCATCACTGTGTTGCTGTTAGTGACTAGTATCGTGCGTAATAACATAAAACATACCCAACAATCTGGAAATCAGAGGTCTTGTAGAAGTAGCTCCAGGCCTCCCAGTCATCTTCAGCGAAGGGATCCTCAATGCTGACAATAGGGTACTTGCTAGCAAGAGCCTTATACAGGTCGGCAAGCTCTTCGTAGGTGATCCATTTAGTGGGGTCGCTGTCTGGATTCTTGAAGTCAAGGTCGTATTTCTTAACATCAGCCTTGTAGAATTCGCTGGAGGCAACGTCCATAGCAATCTTAATCTTGCCGGTGTAACCAGCCTGCTCAATGGCATCTGTGATCAAGTCGAGAGCCTCCTCGGCGGTCTGGATATCAGGAGCAACTCCTCCCTCATCACCAACATTGCCGGCAGATTGGCCATACTTCTTCTTGGCCAAAGCCTTAAGCTTCTGGTAGACCTCAGCTCCTTGGCGGAGACCCTCAGTGAAAGTGGGAGCGGTACTAGTTTGCAATTAGCACAGGTCAACTAAAGTGGCTGGTCTCCCAGAGCTTCTACTTACTCTGGAACAATCATGAACTCTTGGAAAGCGAGACGTCCACCGGCGTGGGAGCCACCGTTGAGGACATTTTGGAAAGGAACTGGGAGAACGTAGGGCTTCTTGGTTCCAGCGAGGTCAGAGACATGGGCGTACAGAGGGACACCCTTCTCGGCAGCACCAGCCTTGGCCACGGCCAAACTGACACCAAGGATGGCGTTAGCACCCAAGTTTGTCTTGTTTGTGGTTCCATCGAGCTTGATAAGGAACTCATCGACCTTGCTCTGGTCCTTCACATCGATGTTTTCCTTGATGATGGCAGGTCCAATAACTTTGTTGACGTTCTCAACGGCTTTCAAGACGCCTATGGTGAAGTACAAGATCAGCACACAAGCCTCACAACGATTTCCTGCACATTATCATCACTCACCCTTTCCACCCCACTTGGTCTTGTCTCCATCACGGAGTTCGCAAGCCTCGTGCTGGCCTAGACATACAAGTTAGAAAGACCGTCTCTAGACTCGACATCAAGTCAGACAAACCAGTAGAAGCTCCAGAGGGAACAATGGCGCGGTGCAAGCCAGTCTCGGTGACAACATCCACCTCAACGGTAGGGTTACCGCGAGAGTCGTAGACGGAACGAGCGTGGATCTTGGAGATAGGCATATTGGGTAACTGTTTTTAACGAATCTCGGGATTAGATTTCAGGTGGTTCGAATGAGCAGGAAAAGAGAAAGAAGAGATGGGTTGAGATGATAGAATTGGGCAAAAAAAGGTGTTGGCGAGCTGCTAAGGCGACGACGAGCTTCACCGACAGCCAAATTGAGAGAGGACACCCCCGTGCAAAATTGCACGCCACGCGGTGAGTCAATCGATTATGAATCCTCGACCCGATTTATCATGGTCTAGAGACGTAGAATTTCCGTTACAAGTAATTGAATGGCAAAGCGTTGCCTTCGGTGAGGTTTGGCTGCAAAGCGTGCTCGACGTGTTTGTGTTTGTGTTTGGTGGGATGGTGGGGCAAGCTCTTAACTAGGTAGATGGCCAAAAGAACATGTATACTTACTTGGATGGAGAGTGTATAGTCAATGTGTAGTAGATTCTGGTGGTCAATTTAGAACTAAAGGGTGGGAAGAGAATGGGCCGAGTTCTAGCTCGAGTATGCAAAGGAAGATAACGCTGCGACTGCAGTCTGTGGTTGGAGGGGTATTATGTCGTCTATATACATGCAGCAAGCTCGGCACATCATCATGCTCGACACCCAAGGTACCGCTCTTCGCCGAACGTTCCCTGGCCGACGACGAGGTCATTGTGGGGCGACATTGAGTATTCGGATGGCATCTCAACACATGGCTGGCTATTTCACTCCCTCAAGCCGTACAATAGAGCGCATGCAGCGAATTCTCCCGCCTTCGTCATCGGAGAGATGCGGGAGATCTGGGCAACCCGCCTTGTGCCTGTTTTTTCAGGCACCAAATTGTGTGCAAACAGCCACACCAAGACTTGGCGTGTTTGCGCAATTTGCATGCCAGTTCGCGTTGGCCCATGCGGGGGCCCTGGCCTATTATGTAATGGCGTCACGTGAGGCTCCTTCTAGCAATCGTCAGCCGGCCTTCAGCCTGGCTCCTACCGCCGAAGCAGCGGGAGCTTCCTGGAAGCTCATCAACATCGACAGACAGCTCGAGTCTCTGGCCACATCGTTTCTTTGCAGATAGTGTCTTCTTATCTCTTCTATCTCTGAATTATAATTACCTACATCCGACTAGCTAGCCAGATTCTTCCAGAGAACCAGTGCTTGGTTCGGCCGTCACAATGAACGGCGCTGTTGAACCCGCTAGGGACCAAGCCATCGAAGATTATAAAAAGACCCTGCTGGAGCTCCGAGAATGGGAGGCAAAGTTGAAGTCACTGCGCATGGACATCAAGGATTCCCAAAAAGAGTTCGATGTAACGGAGGAAAACATCAAGGCACTTCAAAGTGTTGGCCAGATCATCGGCGAAGTGCTTAAACAGCTCGATGAAGAGCGATGTGAGTATTCTTTTTCATTCCCAGTGCAAGCTCCCCGCAAATACTGATTGTTTCACGTGAATAGTCATCGTCAAAGCGTCGTCAGGCCCGCGATATGTCGTCGGTTGCCGCTCGAAAGTGGACAAGGCGAAGCTGAAGCAAGGCACACGTGTCGCTCTGGATATGACCACACTTACAATTATGCGAATGCTACCTCGTGAAGTTGATCCTCTCGTCTACAACATGTCCCTAGAAGATCCTGGTCAGGTCAGTTTTGCGGGTATCGGTGGTTTGAACGACCAAATCCGAGAGTTGCGTGAGGTCATCGAATTGCCGTTGAAGAACCCGGAGCTTTTCATGCGAGTGGGAATTAAGCCACCCAAGGGAGTGCTACTATACGGTCCTCCCGGAACAGGGAAAACACTGCTCGCACGAGCTGTAGCAAGCTCTCTTGAGACCAATTTCTTGAAAGGTATGCATAGCCACTACGAACATTGATGCCTGTATTACTAATACATTAACTATAGTGGTATCGTCTGCGATTGTCGACAAATATATCGGTGAATCTGCTAGGTTAATACGAGAGATGTTTGGATACGCGAAGGAGCACGAGCCTTGTATTATTTTCATGGATGAAATCGATGCCATTGGTGGTCGACGCTTTTCGGAAGGAACTTCAGCAGATCGAGAAATTCAACGAACATTGATGGAGCTGCTGAATCAGTTGGACGGTTTCGACTACCTTGGGAAAACGAAAATTATCATGGCCACCAATCGACCAGATACACTAGACCCGGCTCTTCTTCGGGCTGGTCGTTTGGACCGGAAGATTGAGATTCCCTTGCCCAATGAGGTTGGTCGTTTGGAAATTCTCAAAATCCACGCCAGTACTGTCGCGACTGAGGGAGAAATTGACTTTGAGAGCATTGTCAAAATGAGTGACGGCCTCAACGGAGCAGATCTCCGTAACGTTGTGACTGAAGCGTATGTCCTCACTCTTTTATCATTTTGTATGAAGCAGCTAACGTCCGCCATAGTGGCTTTGTCGCGATCAAGGATGAGCGTGACTCCATCAACCAAGATGATTTCAATAAGGCGGTGCGCAAGGTGGCTGAAGCAAAGAAACTCGAGGGCAAGCTGGAATACCAGAAGTTGTAATGTCTGATGGGGTTTCTCCATAGTATCTCGCTATTAACTCCAATGAAGACATGTAAATTACATAGACAGTAATTACACTCGTGAACTTCTGATCTATGTAGGCCAGATGACGTATCACCAACGATCGGGATATCGTTCCCCGGGAGTAATGTGGACCTTGCAGTTCCAAAATAGAAGAATTCAATCAAGTATGGTATGTTAATAGCTTTCAAACAAAACAGTAATAGCTATGAAAGATAAAAATAAACAGTGTCATGTTGTGATATAGGGCGGCCCAGGTCTGGACGCTGTCCAATCACAGCGATGATGGCAGCTAAATTGCTTAGTGGGTATGTTAAGCGTTAACGCTACGTAGCGGATTCCGGATCAGCATCCTAAATGGATCATTAAGAACAGCTTTCATGTTCAACTCTTATCTTACGGTGCAATTCTGAAATAAGGCACACACCTTCAATTCTCTCAGTGATCCTTCTTGTGGAATATAATACCCCACTTCCACTGCTTAGTGAAGTGAGTCGTGTGAGTATATCCCCGAGTCCTGTTGCAGCCACAGTGGAGCTGAAGCCCAATATCGATTTCGCCTGGAAGCTCAGAACACAAATAACATACGTACAGGGCATATTTCAAAGCTAACACCCTAGTAGGAATACAGTCACATTTACTCCGACTTACCGTATTGACCCCTCGATCGTTCTGCGCTGAGCCTGAGACCGACGAGTTAGCCAAACTAGCGCTCTGTCTCCCACGCCCAGGAGAACGAACTTCTCCTTATTCGGGGGCAAAGCCATGGGCGGTCCCGGGTTCGGACATTCATCCCAGAACATACATTCGCAGCAAAGCCTTGACTGGAGAGCATCCTCATCACGAAGCAGTGGCGGTCTCGGCGGCTATGGCTTCTCCCAATCCGAGAGCACTCATAGCAATGCTACGACTAGCAAAATAAATAGCTTTTTCGGCGGCAGAAGTCGCGACCTGCCAATCTACAAGGACAAGCCGTACTTCAAGCCACGTCGCACCGGGCCCGACAAGACGAGAAAGCGGATCATATATGGCATGTTTGCGCTGTTCGCGCTTACCATATTGTATGTCTTCTGGGGAGGCAGTGGGCCATCCAATATTAATGTCGCTGGAAATACTGGAGAGGAGCTGTGGAAATGGGTTCAGAGCCTTGATAAAGAGGCCAGCATATCGACAAAGGTCAATTGGGACGAAAGGAGAGAGCGAGTGAAGGATGTGTTCATGGTGAGCTGGGACTCGTATGAAAGCCATGGTTGGGGTGGGTGCAGATGACGCTTCTTATTTTTTTATGTTCGGATCTAACGGTATAAACAGGCTATGATGAATTTAAGCCCGTTTCCAAAACGGGAAGGAATATGGTAGAAGGTGGCATGGGGTGGACCATTGTTGATGCTGTTGATACTCTGATACTTATGAATCTCACATCCCGGGTCCAGCATGCCCGTCAGTGGATACACAATTCATTGCGATACGATCAGGATCACGACGTGAATACCTTTGAGACTACGATACGCATGCTTGGTGGTCTTTTATCCGCCCATTATCTTTCCACTAATTATCCCGACTTGGCTCCGATTGCGGATGATGATGCTGAGGCTCCGGGTGAAGACCTTTACATTGAGAAAGCAACAGACCTCGCAGAACGACTGATGGGTGCATTTGACTCGCCTTCTGGAGTGCCTTATGCAAGTATCAACCTTCATACATCTACTGGGATCCCATCACACGCAGATGGTGGCGCATCCTCGACTGCAGAGGCAACAACGGTCCAGCTAGAATTCAAGTACCTCGCTAAGCTGACCGGGGAAGCAGAATTTTGGCATACGGTGGAGCATGTAATGAAAGTCGTGGATGATCGACAAAAGGAGGATGGTTTATTGCCAATTTTCCTTTATGCAGATAGTGGTGAATTTCGTGGAGACAATATTCGACTAGGTAGCCGAGGTGACTCGTATTATGGTAAGTTTTGCAATTCGCTTCGTGGGTATACATGCTAATTGAATATTAGAATACCTTATCAAGCAATACTTGCAAACATCTAAAGGGGAGCCGATATATAAGGAGATGTGGGACGAAACCCTTGAAGGCATCAGCAAACACCTAATCACTTACACCGAACACGGACAAATGACTCTTATTGCGGAGAGGCCAGATGGTCTCCATAAACCCCTTCTTCCGAAAATGGACCATCTTGTGTGCTTCATGCCTGGCACCATTGCTCTTGGAGCAACTGAGGGTCTGCCTCTTTCAGTCGCTAAGGAATTACCAACCTGGTCCCGAAGACATGACGAGGAAATATTGCTCTCGAAAGAACTAGCAAAGACCTGCTGGGCTACATACTTGGCTACAGCCACGGGTCTGGCGCCCGAAATTACCTATTTCCATGTTTCCAATCCGCCCAAAATGTTCTCAGACGTATACCCAGACTCTACTCTCCTAGGCGGCAGCGGAAGTACGACGGCGAAGGGTTACAAACAACGTGACCTTGATCTTATCTCCGTGCCTCTTGCAGAAAAGTCTAAGTGGATATCCGATATCGACATTCACCCTCAAGACACCCATAACCTCCAACGACCAGAGACTATCGAGTCTCTATTCTACATGTACCGCATCACCGAAGACGAACAATACCGTGAATGGGGTTGGGAGATGTTCAAGTCATTCGTCAAGCATACCGCCGTGGTTGAAAAGACCGGACACGACGACGATGATAACAGTGGGTCCTCTCGAATCATCGGATTTACATCGCTCTCCAACGGCAATTCCGACCCGCCTGTAAAGCGTGACAATATGGAAAGTTTCTGGATGGCAGAGACGTTGAAGTACTTCTATCTCTTGTTTTCTGACCGCGACTTTATTCCATTGGAAGATGTCGTTTTTAATACGGAAGCTCATATCTTTCCTCGATTCAAAATGGCAGGGGATTTGAAAACCGGGTGGTCGAGAAAACCACGCTCATAGGGTTTGATATTGTTCTTCATCTGTATATATGTATTCTATATCTGCACAATCCTTACATTCACACTTGCTAGAAGACTTTTGCTATTTCTCATACGAAATATCGAGTCATGGACTCAGAATAAGACATATTTTTGCTGCTTGTAGTGTGCAGTATGCCGTGATTTTCTGCCCAAATCAAAGGGATAGAAATTACGAATTCCTCTCAATGGCAGCATCAATCAACTTCTTATACCCAGCTACTGCCGCCTCCAGATCTCCAACCTTTATAGCTTCATTGGCTCCATGGGCCACAAAAATACTCCCTGGTCCATACAAATACCGACGCACGCGACCAATCGGGCTTCCACCAGAGCCTTCATGGAGTTTCAGATACCAGACATCAGTCGCGTAGTTCACGGTAGTCACATTGAACCCTTCGACGTCCGCATCAATATCAATCGGTGCATGGCCGACACCATTATTCCCCCATTCGATAGTAACATTCTCATCACCATGCGTAGCATCCCGCACCGCATTCGTCAGAATCTCCTTTGCCTTTTCCACGTCATGATACGCAAGACGAATATTAACACTAGCTTCTGCATGCACCGGCACCACATTCCCAGCAATCCCCGCCTCAAGACGCCCTATGTTGATAGTCGATTTTCCAAACTTCTCACTCCCCGGAAGCCCACCTTCGTCGACGGGGATATCGCCGAGGGTATCCAGCTTCAGCAACGCCGGCAGCAATGCCGACACCGCGCTACGCCCTAGCCATGGATAGCCCGAATGCGCCGCCTTGCCTTTCGCAGACAGCGTGAAGAAGAGCGACCCCTTGTGGCCCGAGACCAGGGCGAGCTCGGTGGGTTCGCCGAATATGACGGTGTGGAAAGTCGGCGGCGAGGTGTTCAGCGCCGACTGCGAGAACCACTGCATCCCCACCCCGTTGACTTCCTCGCCGACAACGAAGAGCAGACCGATTGAGGCGTCCGGATGAGTCTGCAGATACTCTAGTACAGCGAAGACCTGCGCTGCCACGCTCCCCTTCGCGTCCACCGAGCCACGGCCCGCGATCACAATCTCCTCGCGCCAGCTCGGTGAGGAGCGAGGGGTGGTAGAAGGTGCGTGCAGGCTGTACGGGATGTAGGGCGGGACAGTATCGATATGACTCGACAAAAGAACCCTAGGTGGTGTAGGGCTCGAGTTTGGGTATGCATAGATATTAAACCGGCCCTTTTCAGCCTCTGGCTCAATGATTTGCTTCTCGACTGTAAAGTCGCGGGCTTGCAGGTACTGGATGATGAAATCGCCGACTTCGGCTTCATTTTCAGTGATAGATTCGATTTCGACGATGGAGCGGTGGAAGGAGAGGAGGGGGATGTGTCGATGATGTGTTTTAGTTCATGGTTGCTTTGGGAAGCTGGGATACTATGTTCATTGTTCTCCCTGCTGTCGCTGGTTTTGAATAATGGTTGTTGATGTTGATGTTGCTGTTGTTGGGCTAGCACGCTAGTGGAAGCTCCAGTGAAGAGCAAGGCGCTCAGGAGTGTTGTAGACTTCATTTCACTGGCATGCAAACGAGTGAAATAATTACGGGACTTTCCTTTCTACGTCCAGCGTGCCTGCAGGTGACGAGGGTCCTGCAATTGTTCGGGATGGAGAGTATTGCAGTAATCAGATGTCTAGATTGAGATTATCAATATGGTAAGTCACATGACCCCACTATATTCCAATCATTTTGGAAATATTTCTAAGTAGCTCTACTTGTGAAATAATATTTGTTTGGATACAAATGTATAAATATTTTCCATGTTTTTGAATTTTCTTGGGCTAGTATCTAAGATTAGTGACATAGTACATTCGTGGAATCCATCCACTGGTATGATCGGTCCCAGACCAATGTAGCCTCAAAATTAATTAATCTTCTCTCGTCACGAAAGTAGCCTATGCACTCTCATACTGTTACGTTGAATGTACAACAATCAGCAATAAGCCTCTCCAGGTCAGCAAGTTTATAGGGTTTCGTCATATAGCCTTGTATGCCCACAGACGAGGCTTTATTCAAAGCTTCATCCGTGGCATCCGCACTGACAGCCAAAACCTTTGGCGAAATATCGCCGGCCGACGGTGAGTACTGTTCGCTATCTTGATCCCAAGACGAGCGTCTGCTTTCAGCCGGACTATCATCACGTTGGACGTGCGGACTGAGACGATTGCAGTGTTCATTCACCATTTCAAAGATCTTCGATGTAGCTTCATAGCCATCCATTTCAGGCATCCAAAGATCCATCAAGACGACGTCTATCGGTTTTGTTCTTTTCTTGCCGTTTACGGTATCTGGAGAAAGTGGATTGCTCATGCCACTGTCGCTGCTGGGCAGCGAAGGTGAAGAGACAGGCGATGGAAGAGGGTACGATGACAAAAGTATTTCTTGCATGATGCGTACGGCTTCTCGCCCATCATAAGCTTCGTATACGTCACGATATCCTAATTTTCGTAACATGTTGACCAGGATCTTCCGGTTAATTTGGTTGTCCTCTGCAACGAGGAATGTGAGAGGTTGCGCCTGCGCGAGGCCGGAGCTCTGGAGATTAACCGGCGGTTGGCTTGTAGGACGCGAGAGTGACAGGGAGCGAATTGGTGTTTGTTTTGAGTCAGAATTCACCAGAGCTGTCGGTAGAGAATGGGGAATTGCTGGTTTGATCGAGCTTGCCGGAAGAGTCACTTCAATCTGGCGCGGCTCGTTCAATACCCCGGCTTCATCTGCTGAAGAGCGAGGGGGAGAATTATATTCAGGTGGTTGATCCGTCTGCGGAGGAGTGGTTAGGGGTACCAGCGACTCGTTGTGAGGAGTACCTGGTCGACTCAATGATCCGCTCGGATTCACAGGGATGCGAATCTCGAACTCAGACCCTCGTTCAGGGCCGGATGTCGAAGAATCAACACATAGTAAGTCGCCACCCATCTTCCTAGATAAGCCCTTAGCAACTAATAACCCAAGCCCTAGTCCATCTCTTGTTCGTGTAGTAGAATCATCTTCCCGTGAGAAGGGTTTGAATAGACTGGGGAAGAATTCTTCTGGAATGCCTGTTCCAGTATCGCGGATGTTGATGCGGATATGTTGGGGAGATTTGTTGCTTAATGTGGCTGACACGCGAATCTTGCCACGTTCAGTGAATTTGACAGCGTTCAAAAAGACACAGGATATCAATTTTGCTAGGTCACGTTCATCAACAAAGACTGTTTCAGGCACACTAGCGTCTACAGACCAGTCGATGCTCTTAACGCACGTTTCTCCGTTTGGTGCGAGGGCATGAACATCGATGTGTTCGCCTAATAATGTCTTCTCACTGATGGTCGATTCAGGCCGCTTGCCTATATGTAAGGATTCATTTATCACCAAATGCAGAAGCTCGCGTATCTTTGTATGGCGTACCGCAGTTGATGGTACGCCTTCGAGGAGCATGTGCGGAAGCATTCGACGTGCCGTCATCGACGGTCTTTGAGAGACCGCATTGACTACAACCTCTTCAATACGACCTTTCGTTGGAGAATAGACGATTTTATCACTTTCTTGGATAGCATATTTGACCTCGCTACGGGGAGAGAGGTCTCCTTGCGAGCCGTTTCGTCGTGAAGAACGTTTGGCTGCCCGCCCCTGGCTTGTCCAATCGACGGAGAAGCTTCGACGACGTTTGTAGGGGTTTTCTGGCAGGCCATCCTCTTTGAAAGGTAAACAATCAGTAGAGGCGACACTCGCTGGTGGTAAAATATCACCCATAATGCTAGCATACACTTCCATGTGGGGAGTTTCCGGAACCTCCATGTTGAGATCGTAGGCATGTACCACGTTGTCTGCAGCCTCAACAGCGCGCCGGGCGCTGTCTTGAACCAGCTCAATGCTCTCCTTTAAGTCCTGCAAAAGGCTAGAAGATTTACTCCTCATCGCCTTGCGGCCAATTGCTTCTTCTACATTCGCATACATAACGTCGAGCATACCCACCACTCCCTGCATGGGTGTACGTAGCTCGTGAGATAGACTTGGTGCAAAAGGCTTCAGAGGATGTGCGAATACGGGCGACGACGGAGCGGTCGCCACTTGAGGTTTTGTGTATGTCGGCGTAGGTAATGAGATTTCGGATAGTGAATTGTCCACTTTACTAGACAAAGTGTTTTCGTCCAGAACACGCTGAGCGAGTATGTCCTCTAGTGAGTGCAGAAGCAACTCTATATATGGCCACGACATAGTCTTTTCGCAAAGGCCTTCGCTTGACCATACCATTCCAAAATGGCCGATATTGTGATCACCGGACCATAATGGGGTGGCCATGTAAGCTTCCGCAGTGAACGGTAGGTCGTTGGAAACTGCATAAGACTGTAGATTGCTAGGCACAAGATATACTTTGCCATGTTTCATCTGTTCACATGGCGTGCCGGTAGTGCGGTATGTATGGTCTCGGAGCCATCCCCTCTTTCCGTTCCGATCGTCGTAGTAACAGGCCATGGTTAAATCGCCCTCGCTGTCGTCGCCTTCTTTATATACTTTTCTAACGACGAAAGCACACTGGGCGTGGCCGAGCAAGGCGAGCTCTTCCAATAACTTCTCCCAGGTTATCTCTGTATCAGTCGCTCGCAATGCTCGTTTGAGAGCGACTAATCGTTCTGCGGCGGTATCTTCTTGATTGTTTTTAACATTGTCGTTGTTTGATAAAGCCACGGCTGTAATCCCGTCATGACCAGGTTCGCCAGGCTCCCGGCTAGCTACCCAGAACGAGATCCTCGACGGTTCGCTTCCGTTTGTGTCTATTTGAGTGGTCATGGTTCAGTTATCTACAAGACTAATTGGCGTCTAGGCGTGATGAGGCACAAGGAGTCTTTGAGAGACCATCAGATTTGCGGTAGTCGATACTCGGAAATGGCAGTGTTGAGACTGTACACAATTAGAGCATATTCATTACCAACAACGTGAGGCTTGAACTCACGAGTATTTGGGATGACACCATTGAGCAGTGCACTTACAGAAAGGCGTGTCGCAATCGCGGCGACCGCACCTCGAAAATCGGCAATAAGAACGTCGGGTTGGAGAGAGCGACCGGCGGCGACGAGAGACGACGAACCGGTCACGCTTTCGACATGCTCTCTCTGGTCGAGTATAGCGGGAGAGCAGAAGCACTCGGATCCAAAGAGCAGAGTAACGACCTGCTGAAGGACTGTGTTTATGGGGTGTCTGCACAGGGTCGCAGAGATGGCGAGAGAGAGAGGAAGAAAGAGGATTAGTTGGTCATTCGATCTGCTGAACCGTGCTGCGAGAAGGCGCCGAGAACAGTGTCCCCTCCTTCCCTATGTTGGATTCCAGACCAGGCAAAACCGCCCCGTCTAGAAGGCCCAGACCAGCCAGTGGGTTCGCATTATTTATTATGGGGACGGACCACAGTACTATTACTTGTGTAGTCCTATTTTAGTCACGAGAATTATTTAATACGGCTATGAGTGTTCATACGACATCACATATCGAATACGACCAAATTTATATCTTGAATATTCTGTCCAGACCGCAGTATGATATTGTTATTGTATAATATAAAATATAATACAGGTCTGAATACGAACACGATTGGCAGACCTATATCCAGCGTTGGCCAATGACAGGCCGCTGTTGGCCTGCCTATGGGCCAGGTCAAGTCTCGACCCGGTCTGGACCAACCGACTTCGTATCGCGGTTACACGTCGTCCAAATACAATAAACATGTTGTATATCCTGTTTTATGGTAGAAGTATATACCAGAAGCAAGGTAAACGAGAAGAACGCGTTCTGGAAGGCGATGATAATGGTACATGGCTTGTGCTAAAACGTCCATATGGATAACGCACCCACTTCTAATCAAACCCATTCCCGGTTCCCTCTTATTAATTAGCATCTAGAGACCCGGGGCAGCAAATCAGAGCAATCGATGCTCTCCACAGCACCCCCTCATTCTTCGGCTACATAAGTACTACTGACTCGTGCTCGGTATCATGGGACACGAATTAGTTGATATGTGGAATTGATAATCAGGATCGAATCTGCCATTCCATGGGTTTGCATCAAGCATAAAACGAAGCGTTATATATTGTCGGCGACACGGAGATCCTGGCATGTCCGAGGCCCTGGATTGTGGGTCCTTACAGGCGTTCCATATAAATATTACTGTGAAATGGATAGATATGTGGTCCTTATTACTGCATAATAAATGAATTATTTATTATCTGACGCCACAGGTGTTTCGACGCTAGTGTATATTGATATATCGTGATAGTAGCCTTCATGTGATAAATATATATTGATTCGGTTCAACATACGGATGAGCCTACAACCGCTATGCTAAATATATTAATCGATACTATATGTAGGGATGTCAACTAGCGCATCTCAGATAAATTGATTTAATTATCACCTCATGAGTATATCATGAGATTACAATATATAGATTAATATATTAAAGAACAGTCGGCTATCATAAAAGGCCTAGAAATGTAATGTTATATTTTCTTCTTTTTGAACCCAAGACCTGTGGTATTCTCATTAAAATACATATCTACTTGGAAGCCGCTGCTTTCCCCTTCGTCTTCCGTCTTTCCCAGACCATGAGGTATGATTCCCGCGTGAAGAGAGTTTCGCTCTCAGTTCTTTGTACATATAGATCTTGAATCTCCAGCCATTCAGGCCCTCGCTGCTGTGCCTGCGGGTGGTTCTGTTGCTGCTGGTGTTTTGCATTTTCGGCAGCCATCGCTTTGTCATGTAACTGGACTAGCCATGAAACCTTCTCGCTACCGGCACCGGCACCAGTTGCTGCAGACGAGGCCGTGGAGGTCCCGCCTGCAGCCGCGACGCCCTTGTCAACAGCTGCGGTTTCTTCGCCTGCTCCTGGAGCCGGGGCATCCGCATCTAAAATGATGTTTGCAACGAGGTCGTAGATAATGGGTTCACCAGGAGGCCATATGTTAGGGTTTGGTTCAACATAAGGTGACATATCGAGCGAGCGTGGTGATGGGAAAGTGACAATAGTAGGGTTTCTTTCTGAAACGAATTTATTCTTGCTGAAGCGTTTGATGTGGAAAAGCAAATAGGGGGGAAGTGGATGCAGCAGCCGGTGGCGTACTCGGTGAGAAAGTTTCTCGGACGCTGTGAGGCCGTTGTATTTGTTGAGGAGAGTCGTGAGAGGGACTTGTGGAATGATAGATTCTCGGTTCGAGGATTGGAACAACGGAGTAGGTGGGAGGTCAAGGGTAAGGATGAGGAAGGGGGATATTTGAGTGTTGGTCTGACTTGATTCAGCGAATACTAATCGCGAGTTTGTCGTGTCCGAATGAGCTGTAATAGCCTGGCTTTCGATCCGCAAGTGACCTTGGAATGCCTGTTGAATAACACTCGTAGGGGTTTTCGATGGCTTTTTGGAACCTCCAAGACTGAGGTGGAGATTATTCAAAAACCACGATAGAAACTCGACAGGGTCGGATTGGTGGGTAAGGGTGAACCGCTTCGAAGAACGCAGTGCGATCTCTTGAAGCAATTCGTGAGGTGACACGTGAGATTTAAAAGCCTTGGGATTCCATAATTTGCGGACCAAGGTACTGAATCTCAAAGATAATTGAGGAGATCCGGGCACTGGAAAGTTGTGGAGCAGGAAAAAGTTTCGAAGAGGCGTGACGTGCGCCAGCACTTGAACTACAACATTGAGATAGTCGTTTGCTTTGATGTTGTTCATCCCAACATATCCTGTTAATTCGATATCAGTTCCAGTTCCACAAAGTAAAGCTATGTTCTTGTTGTGATGCTTGATTACTTACCAGGTCTATACTTCTTCCCGAGCAAATTCCACGCATCAAGGACTTCCTTGTCCAATTTCATTACCTCCTGTTTTGTATACGTTGGATCAACCACGTATTTGATATCGTCCAAGCTCTTGCTTTTGACCTCGTATCCCTCAGGCAGCACATATACCTTCTTCGTCTCCATATTCACGTATACATGATGCCCAACCTCAAGGGCATGAAAGTAAGCATGTGACTTATTGCCTCGACCCTGAAAGTATTTCCCGCACACCAAACACGCATAAACGTTAATATTCGACAGCGATATAGAGCAAAGTTTCTCAAAGTCGAAATCCAGTACGGCGCGATTGATTGTATCAAGGTATAGATCGCCGTATCCATCCACCGGTTGCGACTGACGTTGCGGGGCTGTAGGTAGCGTCTCATCGAGATCTGGGGATTCGGGTCGATCTTGCTCAGCTTCTTGCAGTTCTTCTTCTTCTAATATTGCAGCATCGACAATATCATGTCCATTCAGCCCATCTTCTTCTGGCGCGCGACCGTTAAGAGGAGCGTCAACAGTGGCGAATCGCGGCTTTTTGGAGGCCGGTGAGTTCACGCCAGCCTCTACTTCGAGGTCTTGATCCGCGTGGCGTTTCGCCATTTTGGTCGATTGTCTTCGGACTGCGGTATATTTGTCGATCTCTGCGCAGTGAAAAATAAATATGAGAGGCGACGAAGCTTTTGCTGGGTTGCGGGAGTTGGAGAGCAAAAGAATGGGGTAATAGTGCAAACATTTCAAACACGCTTGCTCCGTCGTCGTAAGAAGTCACCTCCAGATGATCCACGTAGTCTCAAGCATACAGTAGAATTTGATAGGGATTCCTGATATTAGCGTTTTATTATTCTTCCCGTTATTGATTATTTATGTGGTGCTGAGTTTCTACCTGAAATAAACTAGTCTAAGGAGCTACAAAACGCCCCAATTTTGCCTTCATGTTTATACTAGACTTAAACACGGCTTAAACAATTGAAGGAGTTAGGGTCTTCAGGAGCTTTCCCTCTTGTAGGACCTATAGCACTGGCTACATAATGTAGTTTGATACGTTGTAAGGATAACAGGCAAGCATCTCTTCATCTAGAACGTCTTTTTCCTAAGATCATGTGAAATGCTATGATACAACGCCATATCAGGCAAGATCCCTAGAAACATCACGCGCTCCTTACAATTTTAGCGTTAGCGCTGTCATAATCGATTTCTTGAATGCCATCCTTCGTCACCACTTTCACCAGGACCTGAGATAGAGTTAGCTTGCCCGAGGTTCTTTGAGCTTTCGAATATGCTATACATACACCTTTGAAGTCTATGGGCAATCGCCGTTTCAATTCATCCGTGCAGAGTTCGAGAAGTTTCATGCCCTGCTCTAGTTGAATATCTGGGTGGTGGTGTTTATCAAGAATAGACAAGCAGTAATACCTACGATTAATCGAGGTGGTTAGTATGTTGGGATAATATTGCAAGGAAAAGCTCTGTTGAATAATTTTGAAATGAAAGCAAGAAACTCACTGCGCATATCCATGGGCGGCGTATGGAACCTGTGCCAGAGAGGCCAGATAATCTATCCAGTACAGACTGGGGGTGTTGGTGATAGCATCGATACCGCCGAGTAAGAGGTTGACGGTGTATGGGGTTCGAGAACGTAAGCTCCGGGCGAGCTCCCCTCGGACAAAGTTACCAACGGCGGCAGGGCTGAGTTCTGTATCATTGCGCATCGAGTATAGTTGAACATTGGCTTGGATATATTCTGCGAATTGCACTAGAGGAAAAATGAATAACTCATTCCATCATGAAACACAGAAAAGAAGAGAAATATCTTACCTCCATCACCGGGCTCTCCAGAGTATGCCATCAGAGTGTGTTCATTCAACTTGCGGGTTTTGTCATCTGTGGCTTTGAGGATGGTTGGCCCTCTCACGGCAGCTTTAGAAGCTGCAATGATGACAAAGTCCTTTCCAGTAATCCCAAGTAAAACCTCCCTAGTTGTAATATAAGTGATTAGATAGATTCCTGTGGCCCGATTGATGGCAAGAGCTTCCTACATCTTGGTCTTTTGACTTCGCTTTGCGGTTGTGGATGGCAGTTGACGGTCAGAATCCGGGTGGATAGTAATTCAGCAACCGACTAAAAGCTGAATAGCATGAATCTCCCACTAAAATCAAGATAGAGGGAGGGTTCGATGTGCTTGTCGTAGGCGGTCAGGATGAAATAGCTGCTAGGAACGCGCGTGAGCTTGACGCCTAGCTACGTCGCCGAGCTGGCGAGCAAACAGAGCAAACCGAGCCGCCCGGCGCTGGTTTAGGCGTTACTGTTTCCCCGAAGACCCGACCCTTCCAACGCCAAGATTTCGCAGCACGGACCAATTGTAACTGAAAAAAAGTTGTGAGCGGAATTGTTTTTTTGTCGAAAGAGTGGGAAAAAAAAGAAGAGGATGCTCCAATTTTGCAGCCAACCTTGATTTTTTTATTTCGCAGGGTAGGCGGCGTGCATTTTCTGACGCTACTGCACTCCATTTATTTTCATCGCACAGAAAATGTCTTCGTTTTTCACGCTTCCAGCTTCGCAGCGCAAGCGGAAAAGAGAAGATCGTGTGGCCGCACCTGGGTCGAAGAAGCGGGGAGTTGCTGCCAATGGGGATAACCGCGAGAAGAAATCAGCACAAAGACAAGAGCGAGATGAATCGATTTCCGGAAGCGAATCCGATGATGAACAAGACGGCGCAGAGTCCGGTCTTTCTGATGAAGAGGCCTCGGATTCAGAGGAAGGCGAGACCGCCGCAGAACGGAGGTTAAAGCTTGCAGAAAGATACCTGGATAATATCCGCGACGAGGTGGATGACACGGTTGGCTTTGATGCTGCGGAAATAGACCGTGATCTGATTGCAGAGAGGTTAAAAGAGGATGTGGTATGTAGCCCACAGGTGTAATGCTTAACGTCCTTGCATTCTGATAACCTTCTTCAGGACGAAGCCAAAGGCCGCATTTTTCGAAAAATAGCTTCCCAGCTCGATTTTTCAGCAGCGCAGCATTCATTTTTTCGCGCCGATACGCACTCCACCACGGCCATTGCAGTGCATCCTCCCTATGCTTACACTGTTTCGAAAGATCGAACCCTAATCAAGTGGGAATTGGCAACACCACGTACAGATAAGCCCTCTACATCGTCCGGCGACAACGACCGTCGAAAACATCCAGGTCGCAAGAAGCCAAAGAATCTAAAATTTGTGAAAGGCCTACGGAAAGCTCGCCCAAGTGGCGATGTTCAAGGACATACTGGGAACATTTTGACTGTGGCAGTATCGCCGTCTGGAAAATTTGTTGCTACTGGCGGGCAAGACAAGAAACTCATCATCTGGGATGCTGAAACACTCACTCCTATGAAAACATTCACTCAGCATCGCGATGCTGTTAGTGGGCTATCATTCACACGGCATATTTCGACGCACAGTTCAGGAGAGCAACTGTTCTCAGCATCTTTCGATCGTACGATCAAGACATGGTCGCTGAGTTCAGGGGGGCATGCATATGTCGAAACTCTGTTCGGACACCAAGATAACGTCCTGTCTGTTGCAGCCATGATGACAGACCAATGTTTGAGTGTTGGCGCTCGAGACCGGACCGCACGACTATGGAAAGTCGTCGATGAGGCCCAACTTGTCTTCCGAGGAGATTCCTCGAAGAAAGACGAGTATCAAACAAATAGCATTGAATGCGTGGCTGCCATTCCCCCCACCCATTTCGTTACGGGTTCCGACAGCGGTGCCCTTTCGCTATGGTCTATCCACAAGAAAAAGCCTCTACACACCATACACCTTGCCCATGGCCTAGATCCGATACCACCTCTTGATCAGTTGTCGCCCGAGGTCGACCTACAAACGGCAGCACACAACACACGCCACCTTCGCCGCGTGCCCCGTTGGATCACTGCCCTCACTACCGTACCTGGTACCGATGTCGTCCTGAGTGGAAGCTGGGACGGTTGGATCCGTGCCTGGCGCGTGTCAGAAGACAAAAGGGCTCTCATCCCTCTCGGCCCAGTCGGCCACCCATCAACCAACTCTCTTACTTCATCGCTATATCTCAAACCGACACTCTTCGACAACACCCCCGCCCCAGACGCCGCAGCCATCAAGCCCAACGAGACGAAACCAGAGCCTGAACCGCTATTAAAGGGAGTCGTCAACAGCATCGCGGTCTTTGAGCGACGCGCAGAAAGGACAGTATCTGGCGCACCGAAACCCAAGCCGAAGGAAGAACGGCAGCAGGCACGCGGACTCTGCATAGTCGCAGCGCTAGGCAAAGAGCATCGGCTTGCTCGCTGGAAAGTCTTTGAGAATAACCATCTCGATGGACCGAGTCCTCAAGGACGCAATGGAGCTGTTGTTTTGGAGGTGCCCTTTTTTGAGAACGTCGATCATGATCAGATAGAATCCGAAGCGCACGCATAACGTTGTGTCTAGATAATACACACTCATCATCACCATCACTATTATCTGCCTTGCATTGTTCTTGTCTACGGGAGTTTGTATAAAAAGTGGGAATTCGAGCATTACTGTTCTTCTTCGGTGGAAGAATGAGTGTACATAAAAAGTTCCAGCTAGCATTACGGGTTGCAAGTTGAATTATTATAAAGATTTTTTTGCCTGTTCAAGTTTGGACGATTTCTTAGCTAAGGCTCATTGAAGGTCTCGCTCAACAATATTTAAACACTAAGTTTATTCAAGGGTATGACCGTATCGTAGGAAACAGTTGGTCATTCCCCTATAAAATATGGATGACAGCCAGTGACGAAACTCCCCCTTTCAGGAATGTGAAAGAAAGATGCAAGACAGAAAAGGATATAGGGCTGGAAAATACTTAGAACGCAATGATGTCATTGAAATGATACACTCCAGTTTTTAGAATAGAGAGCAAAAAAGAAACGTTTCGCAATGCTCCTCCATGATGACTCCTCAAAAATGCTATGGCAATGATCTTTTGATAATACCAGCCACTTGTTGACTGTGTAGGCGATGTAAAATCGAAGTTCGTAATTCCAAACCCGAGGTTTCTCCAGTCAGTGGAGAAACCGGTTGGATAGGCTGTATTAACGAGAAAGAGAAAGAAGTGGCTAATAGATGATGATGGTGACTGTTTTCAGTTTCTATTCAGCCTTGCTCTTCTAGTCGCTGGTACCGGCATCTCATCCTCCGAATCGTCCTCGACATTGATGGCGTTACTTGCCGATGTACCGGCAGCTCCATCGCGGGGTCCAGAGCGAGAGCGGCGTCCCAAGGTCTGCCCCCTAATACCATTACCAGCGAAAAGAGAACTTGCCAGGCCTGGGGGGTTGTATGGACTCTGTAGTCTCCTCCTAGGGACAGGACGTATAGGCTCTTCCTCTTCGTCATCGTCGTCGTCGTCCTCATCACCATAATCATCCTCCTCGCCGCTGTGATCATCTAAATCTCTTGATTCCCCAGATATGCTAGAAAAATCCTGGAATTCCGCGTTCAGAGCGGGAGTGGGAAAATCCCCCGCAGAACCCTCCCTAGTGTGTTGAGTAGGCCAGGTTTGATCTCCTACTACCGTTGAATGATCGGTACCTGAGTCGACCTCGCTCTCGTTATCACCATCTATTTCATCATCATCAATGAACGAATCCATATCTTCGTCTTCGTCTTCTGAACCCGTGTGGTCTTCATCGTCAGTGTCACGAGTTGCAGTAGGGCTGGTCCATTCAGCTCTAAGGGGGTGGAGATGGTGATGGTGGTGAGAGATGATGTGATGATGGTGATGTGGAAAAAATGGTTGTACACCATAAAATACCTGGTTAGGATACGGCATAGGTTCAAATACGTGGCCCTCCGGCCACTCGTCGTCGTAATAACCAAAATCGTCGTCATCAATATCCTCCATATCCTCCATATCTTCATTATAATCGGTTGAGTCGGTAAAGTCGGAATCTGTGGTTACACTGTCATCCACGTAATAACCACAGTTTTGACAAGAGCCTTCTTCGAGTTCCCAAGAACAGTTTGGACATCTCATGACTCCGTCTTCCACGTCGACGATCGGTCCGTTTGGAAATGCTTTTGGATTAAAACATCCTTGGAATAAACCGCCTGTTTGAGGATTCTCGTTCGATTTGTCCTTTTCAAGCTTCTGCGCTTCCTCCTGCTGGTTTTGAGAATGTTCTGCCGTCGTCTCACCTTTATCCAAGAGCTCCGCCCGACCAGTAAACATCTGGACGATTGTTCGTACCTTAATACGATTGTGAGTGGAAGATGCATACGCACACGCGCCATGGGAAACATACTAAATAGGCAGGAGCAGGTTGCGTTTTAACTTGAGCCCTGCAGTCGGGACATGTCTTGTGAGACCGCCCGCTTCCGAACCATGATGAGAGGCACTGCGAGAATCAGCGACTGACGATAAATGGATAGACTAGGGAGACGTACCCCGTAGCAGAATGTATGACCACAGGCTAAGGTATAAGGTTCGTAGAGAGGGCGCACACAGATGCCGCACTGCAGCAGGGCGCGAATATCTTCGACGTGACCCTGAAGCGTTTCTAAAAGCTATTAAAAAACACATCAGTTTCGAAGCCAAGAATGAGATTTGCTGTTGGCATCATACCCCAGACGTGTCCGCGGCCACCGAGCGCGCTCTCGTAGTGCGCGGTTCAGCTGATGGAGGCATGGCGCTGCCTTCCTGTCTCTGCTCCGATCTGTGGCCAGCCGATCTTTGCATGCGAGCGAATGCAGGGAACAAGTGAGAGTAAGGCGCAAGTGAGAAACAGGTTGACGCGGCCGGTTAAGATGATCAAGGGCGAGGGGATACGGGCCCGCCGCTGCGGGATGGCTGCTGCTCGACAGTGATTATAGGCACAAATGACGATAATTTCGACTCATGATCGTGGGGGGACACCGGCAGGACAGGCAGTTGGTCCAGGAACTGGCTGAAGGGTGGCGGCAAAAGCAGAGCAGATTGACGAGGGATGGGTGTCGCACTGAGCAGCGAAGTTGGCGCGTGGATGAGAGGTTTAGCTAGCTAGATTATTCTTATGATCGAAGCGTCTTTGACCTCCGGCGGAGATCGCTGGCCTAGTAAGTAGTTCCGTGGCTCGGCGTATTTAATTCTCGACCTTGCCGCCCGACAGGCTCAACAATATCCTACTTCCTACATTAATTAATATTGCTATTATTAATATGCCACTTGCCGCCCTGGCTAGCATGGGCTTATGCAGATTATATTGTCTAGCAGCAATCTACGCCTATTACAGCCTACAGCCTATCTTTAGAGGGGAATCCATCGGGGTCTAACGACTTCTGTTTACTTTAACAGTGTTGGTCACGCACCATGGGTTTCTTCGGTTTCGTTGAATGTTTATATCAGCCTGTTGCACCGAGGAGATAACCAGTGGTTAATGCCCGATTGATTTGCTGGCATTCTTTTCCTGCGTGATCTAAACAGCACTCTTCTGCTCCAGGAAGCAAGGCGGCCAGGCAGCTAGATCCCGATGCCAACATCCAGTTAGCACACAGATCCCTGTCCCAACAGATAACGATGTAGTTCGGTTATATAAACGCCCATTCATGACACTAATCATTGAATCGTGTGTCACGACAAAATCGACATTCAAGACGCCACTAGAATAGGTCCGGCGGCAACGATCCCTATCAATTGACCTATCCTTTTCTGGGATAGATCGATCACATTACTAGCGGAATTACTAGCTGATATGCCATCTTTTTAAGATGGTGTCTCGCAAGCGATCTAGACAATAAAAGTGTATTGTTGAAAGTTAGGGAGGATCCCAAGCCATTAGTGTCACTCTTGGCGGTGCAATGAAGTCAAATCCCTTTTTTTCCACTTTCAATATGGTAAAGTGATCAATTATTAACATAGGAAGCTGCATAGCGATAAATACGCTCTGTGTTAGCCCTGTATTGGATTACACTAGTAACGGTCAGAAACTTTTAAGTACTGCGGATGCCCCACTTGCGTCACTCTATGAACCCGTCTACATCTTCAATGTTTCTCCTGTTGCCTCCTGAAGCTTTATCATGGCTTAAGTCATTCAGTAGTTATCATCAGTTTGAGCCGCCTTTCACAAACATGGCTGCTTAGCCCTGGCCAATTTATATTCCCTTAGTTGGCCGCGCCATTTCCTTGATTACAGCCTGCGATCTTGAAACGCATCACATAGGTACAGTCGCTGGCCAGTTTGGATTCCAGGAAACAATTTGTGTTTAATATGCCCTATATAATGGGGGAACGGAAAAGTAGCAATGCAAACACGAGGGGAAACCGTGGCTAGAATCACAGCAGATTATCGGATTGTTGTTATGAACAAAAGGAAAGTCGTCAACATGTCAGTCTGGACAACACTTCTAGACAATGTCGTAGGTGCCTTTCCTCTTGGAACTCTGCTTGATCTCATCTGAAACCAAATGGCCATCATCAATATATCCTCGCTGCACGTTTTTATCGATAATTATTTCCCGGTCCATGGCTTCCAGAAACTCGATCTGTTCTCTGATGAAGGCCTTGGTTGCCTCGGTATCATAGCTTCGGTGTGCGCGTTTGCGATCCCGCAACTTGCGGCTCATATCCTGCAGGCGATCTTGAAGAACCTCGAAACGATATTCGGTGTATTGATGATATAACTCTTTGAGATCTGATATTGGACGGACGGTGGTAAGCACAGTATCATCTTTAATGTTCGGTGCACGCGGGCGGAAGGAGGTCACTGATGTGATACGCTCGCTGGTGCCGAAAGCTCGCATGGCCTGATGCTCGATGTAACGACCCTGGAGGATGACGGCAGATCCCTATGCCTGGGTCAGCTTGCTATCTGAGCTGATAGGAAAGAAAAGAATCGTCTGACCAAGCACTTACCATTTGGGGGCCGCGCACCTTGACAATACCACCGTTTCCCTTGCGCAATGCTGTCTCACCACCTATCATATTAGTGCAATCTGAGAGCATGGTCACGCATACAAAGGGATAGCTATCAGTGTGCCAATCCAAAATAGGATGGTCGTCTTCGAGGGGGCAGGCAGCTACACCTTCGTCAGCGTCACGTTGCGCAACCTCTAACGCCTTAGCCTGTTCCCCTTCACTTTGGATGGAAATGTTGATATGGGCAATTTCCCAATCCATCACAGGTACTAGGTCAATACCTGCGATCTTAGATACGATATCCAGAATCTCGGGGCTTTTCCAAACATCATACGTGAATGGAGCACATCTGAAACTCGAAATTTAGGGAGATGAAGTATTCAAGAAATTCTGATTACTTACTCCGGTACATAGCCACGCAGCTGGCAGTGAGACAGATTACTAGAGAATTGGTACTTGTCCCACACCTCTTCACTGAGAATTTCAGCTCGCATCTGCATGACAGCTTCCTTGCTGAAGAGTGGGAAGGGTTCCGAGACTCCAACTACAGATATTCCCTGGCCTTCGGTGTAATCAAGCTCCTGCATCGTCCATGTCTTCGATGGTGGACTAAATTCGATATGCTTGGATGGATCGAAAGGGATTCGCTCAAGAGAAGATAGAGTCTCGTGGATAGGGACAACATATCTTCCCGAATTGGAAGGTGTTGATTTTGAGACATTCTGGGAGCCTATTGAGGATATTTCTTGTTCTTGGACTTCTTCTGCGATGGTTTCTTGGGGGGTTTCTTGAATGATCTGGCAGGTCTCGTGGGAAGTGGATGGAGGAATCTCATAGGAGATATCCTCCATCAGATTAGTCTCCGGAAGCGGAGGAGCAGCCATTATCTCTACAGCCGCCATTTCTCTGTAGGATTTGTCAGTTTGACAGTTTGTCAGTTTGACGGTAGTGGGTACGGCGAAGACGTGTGACTACAACAAAGACAAGGAAAGTCAAAAGCAAACTTACTTGGAAGGATGGGCAATCTGAAAAGCTAATAATTATCTAATACGGACGCCTCGATATTACAACCTAAGGGTATGATTCAGTGAGGGAATAGGAGACTGAAAAGTCGAGCTAGATGATTATATGTCCGAACTGCGGGCTCATTTATGTGAGGAACGTACAACTTATCTAGTGCGGAGTCTCCAAGGAGACTGCCCAGCGCCGTGAGATCAAATAAGCATCCGGTGGTACGCCTTCGTCTCCAAACACTAAACTCGTGTTCATTGACGCCCCGCTATCTCTAGCTACTTTAGCACATATTCTGCTGGCTTGCCAACATCCATGTGTAGTCCATTGTGGCGCGAATTCAGGCGTGGTATTGGAGGACGATTCACTTTCTGATCATCATGTGACTCGGAGATATCGATAAGTGTACCGTGGCGAGGACTGCACTTTCATGGAAACTGTTCCTTTGTTTGGTTTGGCATCGGCTACTTGAAGCTGGACTTAGATGTGTTGTTTCGGCGGTGGAGAAGTATTCTTTTGTTACTAACCTTCTCATTCACTATTTCGTCTCATGCGTACGACACTTGCCATGCCTAGGTACTCAAGGAATAACCTGATCTCCTTGTGAGCCCATTTGGCGGCGGATCTGGTAGCAGGACACACCAGGCAATGATGATAGGGCGCCACCGATCGACAAAAGAATAATCAAAGACTCCTACAGATCTACGCGAGGTGTGGAGGGGTATTTCACAATCCAGTTGGATTTCAATCCGTTCCCATCAGCTAGTTGGCGGCGTGAATGGACTTTTTGACTTATTTGGGGATACGGGATCTGGATTGTCGAAGTGCCCGACTCGGCAGTTATCAGCCTTATCTTCCGCTATCGGTCGGTGCCAGGTTGGCAAATCACATCAACGACGCACACAGGTTACTTTCCTTCTAATCATTGCATTCTTCGAGGAGAAAGAAGACTTTGAGATGGTTTATGTTTCTCTTCTTTGTCTTCTGTCGGCTTTGTGTGTCTACCGCAACATTCAGTTTGCCCCCTCCAATAGCACGATTCGGTGGGTAGCTACAGCTATCTTATATGTGAATAGTTAAACAAACATGTGTACTGACCAGGAAGGTCTTCCGGCATTTCCGCTAGTCTAAACTGCATGGCTGGTAGCCCTTTGAAAGGTCACGTAAATAGTCATTATAGAGTATTGTCGAGGATCTTGACGTTGAGAAGTCTGGAGTATGCTGACTCAATTCACCATAGAGAATATTTTTATTATATAATATAATCATCCCATTACTTCATGAACCAGATTTATTTTACCCAGCTCACGCGCCGTCCCGTTAAGTTTTGTCTGGCGGGACAGCTTCTTCACCCAAACGGCATCGATCCCTCGCAAAAGTGTTGGTTTTGGCTATAAGATGATCTAAAATTAGCAACCAGAGTGGAAACGTGTCTGCTGTTCATCTTAAATTTTTGTTCTATTGTCTCTGTTCCAGGTCGTACATGGACTCCGCACTCATGGTTTCAATAGCACCAGATTCTCCATTCAGGAGGTAGGATTTCCATCAACGAAGCTTCAAAATGACTCCAGGAAAGGTCTAATATGAATAATTTGTGAAAACTTCGGCGTCTTTACCTTAGCCTTCTTTTCGGTACTGACCCTAGGCCTCGAATGACTCTTGTGGCGCTGGTTGAGTCACAAGGCCTTTAAAAATTCTTCGAATTCGCTGGTCACCCCTTTTTTTAAAAAAAAATTTTTCGAAACCCTTCGTGCAATATATCATAATAGGAGCCATTATAATCCACTAGAAGAACAGCCTCAAAGTAGACTTTGTAGTATCTATCCTGCAATGCCATCTATTTACCGTTTCTCCCTCCAACCAAGCTACTACCCCCGCTTCCAATGCATCGGCTGCCACTTGGGTATAAAAACAATAGTAAGAATAAATATTAATGAGCACCACACTAAGCAATCATCAAGAAAAGCACTTCCTCTCCATGGATACAGTAATTGCAGCCGTCTCGGTCTTCATCTTTGGATATGTATACCTTAATTATACTCAGCCAATGACAAGCTATCCCGGGCCCACCGGCCAGACCCGGCCTTATCATCATGTGCCTTCCCTTGATCTCAGACAGACCAATGGCAGAAGAAGAGGCCTAGGCGGTGTAGCAGACCCGTAGATTGAAGTCCAAGCTACCAACTTCCTAACTGCCCAACACCCGCACATTCATCCTTCGATTGGCAGACTGTTGCGCCAAATCATGGCTTCCACCTCGAAAGAAGAGGATACTACTGCGTGGGGGAAAGCCGAGAAAAAATTCGAGAAGTGAGTCGACTTTCTATCCACCTCCCACCTCCCACCATCAGTCAACAAAATCAAGCCATCTTGCTACTTCTGTCGCTGGACATTGTCTATTTCAAGCCTATTTTCCTCATCCTGCAAACACTTGCCCTACGCTGGCCGATTTCTAGAAGACATGAATTGCTATTTAGAACTTCCAGCTAGCCCCAATTCCCTTACCCCCTCATATATCCGCAATCTTACCGCCGATCTCGGGGACGACTTGTCACTAACTGTCTTGGTCGTGAAGTAAACATGCAAGTGAATACTACGACCCGTGCCAGGAGTTCGCAACCCGCAGTATCAAATGTATGCGTCGTAACGCAGGGGACCGAGACATGTGCGGTGATTATTTCCAGTAAGCATCCGTCGGAAATACCTTGACCTTGTTCTTCCGAATATTGCCGGGCCAGAATAGTTTTGGAATGGATATTTCTTATTACAAGATCGTCTATGGCTTGGGTGTTGTTCGGTTTCCGAAAGATTGGTCGGAATGTAGCTGAGTTGGTTATCTATAACAGGGCATATCGAGACTGCAAAAAGGAGTGGGTAAGTTATCTTTCTTACCTCATTCAATAATTCATTTTTCGCACGCTTCGAAGATATTCTGTTCCTGCCATGAGGATTGCGGTCTCCAGCACATTCTGTATCTCTGAATATAACCCTGCAGCCTTGTTTCCGGCATTTGAAGTAGTCTTCAGTCGCTAATAGGCCCTTAGTTGACACAGCGAAAGCTCGCCAAAGCGAATACCTCAACTACTCAATCGTGACACGACTTACCCATTCCTGGCCTCTGCGAATGACAAGAGCAGTCATGGACGGCGAGAACTTCGCCGACTCGGTGCATCACATCAACCTTTCATATGCACGAACAAGCATCTAGATAAATATGTTCATGATTGGTTAATTCATTATCTGGGTTTGAATGGTTCCATGAGCTAGGAAACTTGCAAGGATACTATGCCTTCGATAACCTGATAAGGATCTCCTTCTAGGGATTCTGATTCCTTATTAGGAAAATGCGTGCCATCACTCGCCCGCGCGGATAACGTTTGCAGTCTTCTAGCATGCGAGTATCATGTACTACTATATACCATTTCATCGATATGTGCATGCATAACAGCGGCATATACAAAGTACTCTTATGTAACATTAAGTATTTTCATGGACTCGGCGTTTACGGAAATCTCGATGGTTCACTTTTTTATCTTTACGGGTTTGATAGATAATATATTCCATGTACATTTCTGATATCAAAATCTTCACGTTGCCTTTAGAAATAAACCATACAGACAACTTCACAGTACACGCAAACATCGATCAATTAATTGAAACATCAATTAATATATATTTCCAAACGACCTCCGCACCTCACCAAAATTCAGCCGAAACCCCCACCAAGTAGTTAATCCTGCCAACTTCTCATATATATTTCATGATATTCTCAAATATAGAAATAAATGCTGAATATGCAAATAAAAGAGATGGCGATACTATCTATGACTTCATCTGTGTAAAACCCCGATTTTAGACTCTCGGGGCGGTAGGAAAGGCGGTATAAAATTTCCCCGCACTCACAAAAACAACATGACATTCTTACAGTCGATATCTCAGAATTAAAGAAGAAACCCCTACGCTGATTGGCTATCCATTCGAGTAGAACTAGCGGTTGCATAAATGGGAAAAGAAGAACGAACACGAACTGTATGAGACTTAACGTCGAGAAAGAGGGCGACACAGTGATTATTCCATTTTTTATTGATCGGGTGCTGAAGAGACCCAGGAATAATCATGTCCGCCCAAACAGATGCGGTATTTCACCGCCGCAATAAGCAGATCCAGGAAGCCCTTGACTCTCAGAACCTGAAACAGGCGCTGCAGCTGGTAGATAAACGGATAAAAAAGGGTGAGGATACAAGGTTTTTAAGAGTGAGTATAACCCAATGTCAGAGTTACGTGAAATCAAGGCATTCAGCATATGCTGTAACTTTCCCTTTTTTTTTTTTAAATCGGTTGGTTTTCTAATATTGGACGATGATTTAGGCGTGGAGAGCACAGATATTATACCTACATCCAGACGAAACGCATTCTAAACAGGGCATTGCTGCTACTCTTGAATTATGCCGGGCTGAGCCTCCAACGACAGATCTCGATACATTGGAAATGCTACACTCCACTCTGCGCCAGCTGAGCGGCCACGATGATACCGCAAGGGGTATCTGGGAAAAAGCAGCAAAGACGAAATCGCAAGATCTAGAGATTCAGACGCAATGGTTCTCCATGTCGTTCGACGCAGATGACTGGAAATCGGCGCAAAAGGTAACACAAAGAGTTCTGCTCACTCATTGATTAATAGGAAACTAATGTTCGATACCAGGCAGCAATGAGTTTGCAAGTTAATTTCCCAAAGCAACGCAAATATTACTTTTGGGCTATCTTTCTCTCCTACCTCCTGGCCGTTGACCCTGCATCGTCGGATATGGAACGCAAACTATTTGGGACCTTGGCTTATCGGATGATTTCAAAAGCTGCTGATAGTGTACCAAGTGATCCAGTATGGTATCCCCCTTTTTTTTATTGATATCTCACTTTACTTATAAGCGCTATGTTAACTTTCGCACAGAAAGAACTTCTGAGTCCGCCTCGAGCGATTCAGACTACGGAAGAGTTGTTTCTTCTCATCAAAATATTTCAATCACAAGACCGTAATGATGAAATATTAAAGATCCTTGATAGCGAGAATGTAGGCTTGAAATCTAGAATTGTCCAGAATGATTGGTTTTTTGTAAGAGAGAAGTTGATTTGCCTGGGCAAAGCTGAAAAATGGACGGATGGTTTTGAGTATGCAAAGGAGTTCCTATCTGTTCCAGAAGATGGGGACTCTGCACAAAATCTGCTTAAAGAGAGGGATGACTGGGAAGTTTGGAACCTCTTGCTGTCTTCAGTCAAGAAAATCAATACGGAAGAGTAGGTCATGAACCCAGCATTTCTTCGATGAATCTTCAAACCTGACTGATCGAATGTTAAGAACCACCCAGGAGAGCTTTGAGTTTCTACAAAAGTTCGTTAAACGGTTTCCAAAGTCCCGCAATTCCCATCTTGCTCAGCTTGATTTCCTGCTGTGGCGATTGGAGAGCGGTGCGCTGTCGCAATCTGAGTATCTTGCTGCTTGTCAAGAATATTATGACGCTAACAGTAGTAAACTGTACTGCTTCGATGATATGCGCAAATATGCATTGCATCTAAGCCCAGACCAGATTACCAAACTAGTCGAGTATGCCTTGGGTAAAGCAGCGCTCCAAGAAAAGGTTGGCCTACATGAATATTGGATGTTTTCTTTCTGATGAAGCTAAACTATTGTTTTCAGACGCCAGACACGGCACAACAGGTTGCCATCATCAATGCATTCAAACTTGAATACTGTTTCAGCTTGTTTTCCGGAGAAACTGTTTCGGCAAATAAAGTAGAAGACTTTGTATCACGCTGTCTGAGAACGTACCGGGCGACCAAACCACCCAAGTCAACGGCAACGGCGATAGAAAATCAGCCAAGAGATGACATCGGGCTACTTGCTGTTATGAGTCTTGTGCACGCGAGTAACCACTGGCAGCGAACTGAAGAGCAGAAAAGTCCTAGTTCTGAATTAATCCGGGCTGCCGCTCTGCTAGAGTTCTTGCTGCAGGACTCGCCTCATAACTACCAGATATTACTTCTTCTCGTTCGGGTCTATCTTCTTCTGGGTGCTGGTTCTATTGCCATGAAGACTTTTGGCAAACTCTCAGTCAAACAAATCCAAAACGAAACTGTCGCTCATAATCTATATACCCGCATTGCCACCATACATCCTCACGGAGCTCCTCCCATTGAAGCGGATTACAAGGACTTTATTCCCGAAGCGGCTCTCTCGCAAGCAATCTCGTTCTATGGGAGTGTGGATAGAACGACGACTAAACAGCGTAATGCCGGCTTAAACCTCGGAAGCTACGTGAACGTGGAAGGAACTATTGAGCTTCAAAGACGCTTAAAGCAGAGTGTCTGCAAGTTCATGTGGGCATTTGAAGGGCGACGCATTGAAAGGCTTGCTGGTGGAAACCGGGTTAATAGGTATCACGATATCGGTAGGTTTAATTGGATGGCACCTTTTTGCATAATGTGGACTAATAATTCACGACTCTACAGTTTCAGAAATCCCTGAATTGCTTGATCAACGAGCATTTGATGCTTTCATGAACTGCGAACCCTTGGGCAAACCAACATTTGAGGAGAAAGTGCGATTGGGTCCTTTACCAAAGGTATGTACACCATGAGGAGACTTTTATGTGATATATTAACAATCGTAGAAATCGTGGATCCGATCTACACAAACCATTGACCGAGTATTTACCACTATCAATCAGCTTCAATTACAGAAGCCTGTAAAAACAGATATTACACTTCCTGAACTGGAAGAAATAGCTCTATCTGATTTGGATGATATGACACTAGCTGAAAAGCGCCACGCCAGTATTCATAACGTTCTACTGAAAGTGGCATTGTTGCTTTCAGATTCAAAATCGGTGTCAGGCCACGATATAGACAAGGTGCTCATTCAAGCAGAACAATGGTTGTTGAAGACATTACAGTCTATTTCAAACGAGAGCACATTAGCGGACATAACAATTTCCATACCTTCCGAAAAGCCGCAAGTACCATCCTGGCAATTCTTTCACAGCAGCTTCTTGATTCTTGAAACATCAAAGGCACTGTCAGGGATACTGAGTGTGGCCAAGTCCAAAAAGGCACCAAAGGCAGGTGCAAAGCCTTCAAAAGAGGTTGTCGAGCGCCTCACGAAGCTTGTCAACCAGGTCGAAGAAGCCGTCAAATCCAACACCAGAACACTCCGATCCAATGTTATGGGATCTGGTGTTCTAGGTGTATTGACTGACTTGATATTCCAAAGACATCCTCAAAAAGAGAGTAGTGAGCTTAACAAAGACCTCGAGGAAACCCTAGACGCAAGCGCCGTCGAGATCTTCTGTGGAGAGCTAATGGAGAGTTGGGAGGAGGCCCTTGGGGGTATCTTGTTCCTTAAATAATTACATAGACTGATCTCTCAATTGTATCTATAATATTTTCGGTAGACTATAAGCGATTTCTCGAACAAAACATCCAGTATAGATCATGAATTCACTCTCCCACGAGATGATATACCGAAACGGGGCAATGTATATCACGTGACTATACACAGCCCAGCGGCTAGCCCTGAGCCCTGAGCCCTAGCTCTCGCCTACCACACTAGCAATTTCACGCTAACAGCAAGCCAAACCCTTTTGGTCACTGAGCCTGAAATTGGCGAAGCACATGGAACTTCGTTCCGATCAACGAACGCCTTTTGTCCTTCGACAACGACAACCAAACAGACCACCTAAATCACTTCGCGATTTACTCATACACCGTTCGACATGGCGAAGGAACGTTCCGGTATCGTGGTCGGCTTGAACAAGGGTCACGTATGTTTATTATTTTTTTTTACAACTGTTTTTTGATCTTGCCAGTTCGGATTTTTTTACGCCTTTATTTCCTTATCGAATGTCAAGAATCCAGTCTCGCTATCGATCGGTATCTGCGATGGGTGAAGGAATTGAAAATAGAGAGAATATGAAGGATTTTCGAGATTAGATTTTGGATTGGAATACATCTATTGGTGCTATGTGCAGGACATTCATCAACAATTATTATTCACCAACTACACACGGGACCGACGCAGTGTAACACCTCTCGATGCAGACTGGAATTGACTACGACCGGGGAAATAAAATGCCTTTTCTGCGATTTCATATCAGAAAATAAACGAGTACTGATTTTCTTGACGTATAGAAAACGACTCCTCTGGAGAGCAAAGCCCGCATCAGCCGCAGCAAGGGCCGTCTCTCTCGCCGCACCGCTTTCGTCCGTGAAATCGTCAAGGAGGTCGCTGGTCTTGCTCCTTATGAGCGCCGCGTTGTCGAATTGTTGAGAAACTCCCAGGACAAGCGCGCCAGGAAGCTCGCCAAGAAGAGGGTATGTGGGAATCAATTCGAGGAAACCGCATCAAGATCACTAACGATAATTTTGTCAAATAGCTCGGTACCATTGGTCGTGCTAAGGCCAAGGTCGACGAGATGCAGAAGGTTATTGCCGAAGCCAGACGGGCCGGTCACTAAAAATCGACTTCCAAGCGGTTTTTTTTGTTCCATCTCGTTGTTTATCATTATTTCGCATCATCCCCTCTGTTTTTTCTTTACCAATGTGTGTTCGGACCTTTTTCTTTCCGAGTTCATACCCCAAAAAAAATTCCACACGACTATGAACAATGATTATGGTTTCTTCCTACAGCAATTTCGCCCTGGAATAAATATCAAGGCAGGCGATGGAATCTTGCTACGGACAAAGGTGGTTTGTGCATAACAATGGAGTTATGTTGTTTATGACGGATCATTCGGGTGGACAGTCATGGAATTACGAACTTGACTTGGATCTTCCCTACGGACTGCCAGTCTTTCTTTGTCTATCAGGATAAAGAGTGGTCTCGAAAATCTAATATCAAAATTAGAAAAAACCTACAATCCAATTCTGATGACCTCGGAACGATAATTTATATTCTCATGAAGTAGTATCGTAGAGATAGTATTCATAGCATTCGTCAGTCGGCTTGTCATACTTGAGATGCAAGTCGATATTATGTACAGTAAGATAGATGCGTATCCCAATCATTGGTAGCACTTATTTTTTACCTGGCAACTTGAGCCATTTCGGCACTCCTCCTTTACGGCCGCCAGACTGGCTAGTACTACCGTCGCCTTTCAAAGCTGCTCCCAATTTGCCCAATGGTGATTTCTTTGCGTTGTCTTCATCGTCCGCCACAAGACCAGGCACGGCGGGTATCTGGATATCTTGGGCTTGACTGCGAAGTTGCGACTTTAGCAAATTTGTGCCGCTTTTACGGGCTGCCGTAGATGCGTGATCGCCCCATGTAAAATTGACCAGCACTCTTCCCTTGAGGCCTAGGTCCTTAATCAAATACTGACGATCTGAATCTGGAATGATCTTTTTTTGATCGAAAGGGCCTCGAGATACCCCAGCCCCAAATATTGCTAGAGAGAATTTCTCATTGGCGAAAGGGGTGTCCAAACAATCTCGGACAAACGAATATAAAACGGATCCTGTATCAGGCTGTCCGAATTTGGCAACGACCTGACTTTGTTCCGGAAATCGTATTTTCACCTCTACTTCTTTGATCGCAGCCAGCTTCTCTTGCTCTGCAGCGGCCTTTTCGGCGATTTCCCGGTCGCTGGGAAGACGCACGTTATGCGACAGTTGATTGAGCCTGTCTTGATGAGATTTGGCGTGTTCGATGCTTGGTACGTAATCTTCCTCACGGTAAGATGCTAAAGCAGATTGTGGTGTGGTATTGGTAGGGGGCCGGTAGACGGTGACAGGCCGATTCAAGTCCGAAAGAATTGTTGGCTGTTCTGGGATCTGCTCGCCTAATGGCTGCACTTCGGCAGTGGATGTTGATAATGTGACGGGTACTGATGAGGGCTCTTCCGAAATTACGTTCTCTTCTTTAATGGCAGGTGGTGCTTGATCTATAGCAGCCGGGCTAGCTGCAGGCGCAGCACTGGGAATGGTGGTTTCTTCCTCGAATTCTTTGAAATATTGCGTGATTTTCATCATCGCTTCTTCCAGCGGTTCTTGCGTTGTTCGGAACGATAATCGGAATAAAACATTGCCACTGTTGAAACCTAGCTGAGCCAAGGACTTTTGTAAATCTGAGAATGTTGCCAGTTCGCGTCCCATGCTCTGTAAAACAGGCATCTGGTAATATAGTCGTCCAGCTCCACTGGATCCGCCATCGACAGCTGGAGCACACTTGGCGGTCAAATTCCTGGCTGGCCCATTGCCCGCCACCCCGGCCTCGAATTTCCTCAGCACCAGCCATAGAGTTGTAGTACTAGGGAATTTGTCGAGGACTCGTCCGTTGGTGCCGTGCGCTTCGGAATCGGGGAGTTGCAAAGCCACAGTGACAACTGACGGGGACTTGGAAAGCTGGACGAGCTCAAGCTTCGCACCAGAGGTCAGGCCGGATAACCGGTATAAGAGCGATAGATCAACCTGTTTGCTCTGATGTCTAGAACACAGACTTGTTGTTAGCATGGCTCGCTTGACGGAATGGCTCATCTACTTACTTGAGTCCGTATTGGCTAGCGTTGAGGCCAAGCTTGGCACAAGCTTCCTGCAATACATCTGCCAACGGCTTCGATGGGTTTGTTTTCACCACAGCTCGCCGAGCTGTAGAGTCAATCACCACGACATGAGAGCTCATGGTAACGATAACTGCCCGCGTAGGTATTGCGGGGCAGCTGCACTGAGTTGCAGACGGAGGGTGTGTCGCTGTAACCAAAGGTAGAGAGAAATGAGGCAAAAATATTAGAACAATAAGCTAGCACATATGAATTGGAAGGATTCTATTTGCAAAGAGAAGGGTTGTGTTGATAAGCAACAAATTCGATGGGGTTCGGCGGCGTGTCGCAGGCAGGCGGCAAATCGTCATCGGGAATACTAGTTAACTAGTTAAGGGCCTGAGGCATTGGACTAGGCCAAGACTAAGCTAGCTGGCCCGAGCTTCCCTCATGCGTGTCTCGCTGGCCGCCTGGAGACTTGCGACTATCGTTGACCCAGCTCCCAAGACAGATCCCATCTTCAGTTATTTCCTGCATTTGAGTCCCTTTCTCCAGACATATTGTTTTATTTTGCCCCGTCCAAGAGCTGGTAGGAAGAAGACCACCGATAGAAAGTCACAATGGTAAGCTCCCTCTTGTGCCCGGAGGCTCAAACCATCTAGCTGACCTCACTCATTAGAGCTCCCCCTTCGACATCAGTACGTGCGATTCTCACCTCACAGCGCACGACGTGTGAAAGCTGCAACCATACTAACAATCTTGAAACCAGATGGCGGTGCCTGCGTCGCCATGGTGGGCAAGGACTGTGTCGCAATCGCCTGCGATCTCCGACTCGGCATGCAAGCGCTGACCGTCTCCAACAACTTTCCCAAAATCTTCAACTACGCCCCTTCCACCTACCTCGGCATAACAGGCCTCGCTACTGACGTGACCACCGTCTCCGATCTCTTCCGCTACAAAGTCAATATGTACCGCCTGCGCGAGGAGCGACATATCTCCCCCCAAACCCTGGCCAATCTGGTCAGCTCGAGTCTGTACGAACGACGGTTTGGTCCGTACTTTGTCTCGCCTGTCGTCGCGGGAATCAATCATACCACAGGAAAACCATTCATCTGCGGGTTCGACAGCATCGGGTGCATCGATTTTGCTAAGGACTTTATTGTCAGTGGTACGGCTAGTGATCAGTTGTTTGGTACTTGTGAGGGTCTTTGGGAGCCTGGTTTGGTACGTTGGGAGGATTAGATTACTTTTGCAGGATTGTGCGTTTGCTAATATTCTCGTCAACAGGGACCCGATGATCTCTTCGAGACGATTTCTCAGGCGCTTCTAAACGCCGTCGACAGAGACGCCCTGTCCGGTTGGGGCGCTTATGTCTATATCATAGAGAAGGACAAGGTTACGAAGCGATTACTTAAAGGACGTCAAGATTAGATGGGTTGTTCACGATGTATTAATTTTCTTGTCTCTGGAGTCAAAATCAAAAGACCGACTGAGTGCATTCATCTCTGCATTCTTGACGCTTACTGCAAATACATAAACCCGTAGTCACCAGATACAAGTATTAAGGCCAAGAACTAGATGTAAAATCCAAAGTATAAAGCAAATTCAGTAGCCGTCCTGTCCAGATACCGCACCGTAGCCTGCTCCTGACTTGGCCAGAAAAGCTTTAACGTCTTGGACCAGCAATTCAGGGACTTCCCATGCAGCAAAATGGCCGCCTTTATCATAATCAGTTTCTCGGACCACATTACCGGCCGCTTGTATCCAACTCGTTGGAAACTGTAGTATCTCCTTTGGGAAGTTTGCCATGGCGACTTTAACGCTAGATGGAAGAGGGCGCGAGATGACTTCATCACGGGAAAGGTTTGCTGGGTCTGATTTCAACGGATGCATCGACTCGTAGTATATACGCAGAGAAGCAGCTGGGCCCGCTCGCGAGAAAGCATATATAGAGACCCACTGCAGAATCTCATCATCTGTCCAGGGGTATGAATCTGTCCATGTATGTAGTTTGTCATATATCCAAGCTAACAATCCAACTGGACTGTCGCTGAGGCTGTACCCTAGTGTCTGTGGGCGCGTATCCTGCTGTTTGGCATAGCCATTTCCTTCTCCAATGTAGTTTTGAGTGACTGCGATTTTCAATTTTTGGTCTCGGGAGAATGGAAAGGTGAAAAGTGTTCGCAAAAATAACAGCGGGTTTCTCCATGGGTATGGAGGGGTTATGGCTATGAAATTGAGGTGGATTGCTTTGACATGGTTGGGGTAAAGCGTGCCCATGGCGCGAGCAATGAACGACCCCCAATCACCTCCTTGGACGACTAGATTCTAGTCAATATGAGATCTGTTCTAGCAGCAGGGCAGAGTATCAACCGTAATTCGGGTACCCAAGCGCCATCATCACGGCATGCATCGATTCCGCATATTGAGCAAGCCCGAACCCTTTCTGTTATGAAGCATGAGCTCATGGACTAGTACCATTTCTGGGTATATTCCCATACCTTTGCAGGACCTTCAGAAAATCCAAAGTTGGGTAGCGAAGGCGCGACTACGTCAAAAACAGGTAAATCTTCATCGCCTTCACCAACTTCGGTCAAGAGAGGTAGGACTTTCTTCACTTCAATGAAACTACCAGGCCCTAGAGAAACATTCAGCTGTATATTCATACCGATGGCATGTATTTCCCTACATCCATGAAGAAAGAGCAATGGAATCGCTTTTCTCTTTCTCTGGGTTTTGCTTTGTTTATACACAAAATGTATATCAAGCTCGCCAAAGCCCGAGACAGGCACAGTGGTAACAAATTGCGGGAGAGTCTCATTCAATTCGCGCTCGGCACTGCGCCAATCGAAGGAGTCCTTCCAGTACTGTGTCAAGCGTTTGATATCGCCTAGGGGGGCCCCCATGCTCCATTCTTCAGGCTGGTCGCGGTCGACCTCGTCTGGGAAAGAAGTAAGCGCCAACTTCTGACGCAGAGCTACTAATTGTTCATCTGTAACGGATATCTTGAATGGTCGAATTGTACTAGATCCAATTCCTACAGCGGATGCCATATTTCGTGAGTACTCAATACAAAATGCTGTAATCGCAATAGTTGAGTAGGTTTAGTGAAGGTATAGCATTACACCAGGCAGGTCGCAGTTCGGAAGTCGACGGTCATGGTTGGACCTCGGCACGCAAAATTACATGTATTAAACAAGTCACGGATCTGATTGCATGTTGATCTTATTAACATTAAATCGATGAGATTTCATGGTTACATATTAATTGAGAGTGATTTATATCATATAGGCCTTTAAGGTAATATTAAGGTTCATATATATAACATTTGAGGGTCCTACATCAGTTGATATGTATATTATCAATTCAATAAAAGCGGTTGGCTAATTGTGGATGCAAGAAGTTCTGTGCTGTACATGGTGCATCATAACATTCGAAAGGTTTAGGGAGATATATTGATGTATACTAAAATATTGATATTCTGATTACCATAGGTTCTGTGAAGCTTTTTGTTGGATATCTCCATTTTAGATAACGGCTAGCTTTATAGGGTTGAGGGCAATAGCTATCTTACCTGAGCAGCCTATTGCACAGGTTTTTTCTTTAGCCTCAAGACCATCGTCAATATTAATATGCATGAGCGTCCACACATCTCTGAGCCCAGAGACTGGCATTACCTCTCTTACCATAAGATGACCACTGCGGCCATACCAAATGCGGGGGTTTTACAATCACTAACGAGAGTTGAGTTCCGTGACAAAGAGAGCTGAGTCGGCAGCCCTTTGTCTACCTCTAGAACCTAGCTCAAAGAACCTGCTTTGTACCAAGCACAAGATACGTCTAATACTCGGTAATACTTCTTACTCGAGGGCCCCAAAATGTCAGTTTTATATGGGAATTGGGGGTGCGCCGCTCGCTTGTGTGAGGGCGTAAAGCAACTTGCTTTTAAGCAAGGTAGGGCCAAGATTCCAATATAAATAAGTATAATCCTAAGTCTGCCACTTCTGACACCTCCTTGGGCTGACCTGTATTCCAAGTCTCTAAGGTCATTCTGACTGCGTTCTCGAAGACTCGTACCACCGAGTTTTTCTTTGTTAGGTACTTCATACACCCCCAATCTCAATAAAGACCTGACAAACTCCCCATGGAGATACGCAAGCTTGTTCGGCGGGAATTTACTTCAAAAAACCGTTCTTTCGTTAGATTAGCTGAGGCTAGTAGGGCAACGCCTCTCGCCTTCAAAGATGGCTCTGCACTGGAGAAGGTAGATAGCTTGCGCCAAGAGCTGAGTGTGCTTGAGCTTCACAGTTGTGAAGAAGAACGCGAACATATTGATTGTGAGGAATTTCAAACCAGAAAACTAGAGGAAGGACTGGACGAAGAGCTGTTTGTTTCACTGTATTCGACCTCTATCTTTGGTAGCTAAAAAGAAACAACAGAGTGGATTTTCCTTCCGTGGAAAAGGAGCTAGAAAGCCTACGGCAGGAAAGGATTATCCTAGAGCTATTCGGTGAGGTTTGCACTGGTGAAGAACAAGGCGAATACATCGAAGATAAAGAATTCCAGATTAAACAGCTGGAGGAAGCGCTGGAAGAGCTGTATGTTGTAGCTGCAGATCACTTTTTTCTCCACTGGCTAAAGGCGAACTAGCAAATTGAGAAGACGTGAGGCGGAGGAGATGCTGAAGGATGCCGAGCAGTTTCCATTCGTTTTATTTGCAAGGACACAGCCTACGAATGCGACCATCACCATGGCCAATGTGCTGTTGTTTGGGATAATTGCATGGCTTGCGCTGCTAACAGCACTAGGATACACTCTCTGGATCCTGGCTGGCAAGGCCATGCTAACTAGTAAATCCTTGATTTTTCTCATCTGAGAGTGTGCAAAGCTCACATTTTTCCTAGTATATGCTGGTTTAGCAGTGACTCCACTTTGCGATGACAATAAAATGTCGCAAGTCCCAACGGTGTGTTGCTGAAGAAATCTTTGACGTTAACATCCGCATTACCAGTCTCAAGAAGCAATCTCATCACCGCCTCACTCCCTCCTTTTGCAGCCACGTGTACCGGTGTACGGCCGCCGATCTCTTTGGCATTGACATCTGCATTACCAGTCTCAAGAAGCTGTCTTGTCACTGCTTCATGCCCATATCTTGCAGCGAAATGTAACGGGGTCCATTTTTTATGAATCGTTTCATCACCAACACCCACATCTCCAATCTCGAGGAGCAGCTTGACGGTCTCCAGATGCCCTCGCTTTGCGGCTATTTGCAATGGTGTTATTGGCGCAGTTCTCACCGGAGAGTTCCTATCTTGAAATTCCCTAGATCTGCCAGCCTCAAGAGGAGCTTCACAACTGCAGCGTGCCCTTCCCTTGCAGCTAGGTGCAGGGGTGTTTCACCGCTCCAGTCCTGGATGACCACACTTCCCATTCCTCCATAGTTAAGTAGTAGTTTCACAATTTCCGTATGCCCGCGTTTTACAGCTAGGTGCAGTGGGGTTTGGCCGTCGCAGTCACAGTCATTGATATCTATGCTTCTCGTCCCTCCCAAGTCGAGAAATAGTTTTACAATTGCTGCATACCCATAGAATGCAGCTTCGTGCAGCAGCGTTTTCCGTTAAAAGGCCTAATGTTTACCTTCGCATTTGTATTCTCGAGCAGGAGCTTCACAACTGCTTCATGCCTATACATTGTAGCAAAGAACAGCGGTGCATTCTCCCATATTCTCTCTGTTTCTGACACGAGTCCCCTCTGATCCTCATTTATTAGAGAAATAACATCCATATTTCCATACTTAAGAAGCAATTTGGCCACTGCTTCGTGCCCGTGTTCTGCGGCCGAAGCTAGCGAGACTAGGCCTAATTTTAAAAATCTTTTTGAATGTTTGTAGTTTTCGAATTCAATACCCTCATTCCCGTATTCGGCAGCCCACTTTAATGCAGAACTCTGGCCATTCCTATGGTTGTGTCGATAGAGGTATGAATTAAGAATAGCATAGCACGAGCTACTGGCCCGACATAGCGAGTTGATATCTGTTTTTGATGTCAGAAATAACGCTATTAACAGCAATAATTCCGTGGGCAAATCAAGTAGACCCATTTTTATTTGAGGAGATTATCAGGGGTTGTCTGGTGTTGTGGCAGCGAGGAATCTTGAAGTCGACGTTTCCTGTTTTGTGTCTTAATGATAAAATATATCAAAACAGGTTTCGTCAGGGTCAATGGGACAACAGTCAAGGTCGAATAAAGCCTAGAAGGAACTGCTTCGATGATGTCACGCATCATACGGCCATGTATCCACGATCCTGGCCCTAACGAGGTTTTAAATGAACGAGTTATTAGTGCATAATTGTGCGTGGATGAAATGAGGCAATGAGCTGACTGAGCTAACATACGAGCTGAGGAAGGAGTTGAGGGGTGAAAGATTTGGCACAAACAAAAGTAATGACCGAGAGTGCCTCAGGCAACTCCCCTAGGCCGTCATCCTGTATCCTAGATCTAAATGCTTTATTTTTGCATTTCGACTGTCTTTAATTGAATTGATATATTTCTATTCTCCCTCTCACGGCCACTTTTATAAAAACAAATAAACCGTCATCGGCCATATATACAAGACTTTGCCATGGCTTTACTTTGATGTATGTTCTATTGGGCCTCCAAACATGAGGCTCTTTGTAATTTTCAATTGTGTTTCTTCATTGTTTGTTACTGGTTAGGTCGCTTTCTCAATTGCGATGAAATAAACTAATTATTCTATCCCATATATATACATAAAGCTGCGTAGGCGCAAGCCACCCTGATTATAGAGAAGGCCATATTTGTAAAGAAACATGAAAAATCACAGCTGGCCCCATCTAAACAACCTTTTTCCGATTCCAATAGCCGTTGCAGAGCAGATATTAAGAATGCCGCCACTCACAGCTACTTGAAGACAGCATACCACAGCCAGCTTACCCATATATGCCACCATATCCTGTCGGCTTCCACCACCTGCAAACGCGTTGATGCCGCGAATATCAGATAATGAGACTGCGTTGTTTACACCATAGATTTCTGCAGTAGGGGAAGTGAGGTATGAGGTGGCTAGGGTACGGTAGAGAAATGACCGGAAAGGAATAAATAGTACACCGGTTATCAGAGAAGCAAGATGGTGTGCTAGGGCATTGGTAGGAACGGAGGATAGAACTGTGACTCGTTGTTTGAGCGGCCCCGTTTCATGCTGGCTCCGTGATCTCACTAGAGGTAATGAATCAGGGTCTACCTGCGCTAGCTCCTGGGTACCAACTTCGGAAAGGAGGTCCATGTTATCCTGGTATGTAGGGCTATGCAACGGCTCTTCGATTGTATCCGGGAGAACTGTCAGCTGGTCCGCCGCAGGGACCACTGTGTTTTCATCGCTCACGCCCCATAAAAGCTCGTGTACTCCTTCAGGATTTAAAGCAAGTTGCTGAGCAATTTCAGAGACATCAGGAGGCACCGCGATAGCGTGTCTTGCAATATCATTTTCTAGAGAATCCGGTAACATGAGGTCTGGATGGTCCAGAGTCAAATCCAGTGGGGTGGGCTGTGACATTGAGTTGTCGATTTGAAGTGACCAGTCATCTAAAATGCCGTTTGTATTATGACTGACAACTTCAGTGTCGATTTGTTGATTTCTTTGCGTGTTTCGGCTTGTTTGGAGAGAAAGCTCCATGGTGGTGGTAAAAGAGTTCTGGTGGGTGAGTGATGCACGAATACGAGGAGAAGTAGGTGGAGATTCTGGGCTTGCAGGACGCGATAACAGCGTATCAGGACGTGACCCTAGGTCGTTATCTTGGAAAGGCAACCAAGAGGTCTCCGTAGCATTCGAATCATTGATGGAGTCAACTCCAGCCTGTCCAAGTGGACGCAATCCATCTAGAGACCTCGGAGTAATCTGAGCTGGAGAATGAGTGAGTTGCTCATTGGCAAGGATCAAACTAGTATCAAAGGAAGATTCAACTTCATCACCGGTTGGTGTGTGTTCGGCTTCTTGTTGCACTGATTGGGTTGAGGTTTGCGTGGGTTCTGGTAAATCTGGGATTGAAGGGTTGCTCATTTTACTGTTCAATGAGTTTTCCCGACCCCAGCTCCAGCCCCAGTCCAGCCAGTTAATCAGCTGTTTTTGTAGGTCATGGAATTCTTCTTTAAAAATTTCCAATACGCTAAGATTGCTCCGAGTCCCATCTTCCACTTGTTGTGCAACTACTGGTATTGTCCACGCCAGAAGATCATTTTCCATGGCAACCTGGAGTGAAAATTCATCAGGTTGTTCTTGTTTGGGTAGCTGCCTTCGAATAATTCGGTAAATCCTGTCCTCAATGAACGGTCGAAGAAGTGTGTAGGTGAAGGCGAGAGTGAATGGAGCTGTTATGAGCCCTGAAGCAAATTGCCCGAGAGTGGTGGTGGAAAAGGTTGCTGGAAGCGATGGCAATCGAACCAAAGAGGACTGAGTAAATGGAAGTGAGAAGAATATCTTTGGAAAGGATGTATGAGGGATAATTTGAATCGTTTGTAGTACGCAGAACATGTGAACTTGTTCGAATAAAATAGGGAGAAACATGCGAATCCTAAACATTCCATGTATTAACGAAAACTTTGTTTGTAAAAAAAAGTAGAAGTACTTACATTGACCTGAGAGCCAACGACGTATTCTGAACCAAAGATGTGCATCTGGCACCGTATCGAGAGATTATTTTGTTTTGAAAGTATAAAATCAATGGTTCAACTACGTGGGTACGGCAAATAGGTAGTATCACCCTTATTGCCCAAGCAGGGATGCCTGCAAATAGCAAGCCTGTCCAACCAACCTCCCGGATTTCAGACTGAATGAGATTCCAAAATGAGTTATGCGTGTAGCGTTTGAATGTCTAGACATATATTAGCAGTAGAATAAAAAAAGGAGAATCGAAGAATTGGGTGTGGTCGAAGGAATAGCGGTTTGAATCGACGGAACCAGAGATGGATTCTCATACCTGGATACGACTACCAAAACTCCCAACCCACCAAGACCCAAAAAAATACATAACATGATCAACAGTTTCAATTACTAGGCCGTAATCATTCTCTGCCGTGATATCTTTGACCTTTTTCTTATCTCTGGTGGTCCCCGAGCGACCAGTCTCCCCACTGACCACAACCCCCATGGTTGATAAGACATCATTCTTAGCTCGACGGAGATCGCGAGCAAGAGCCTTGGATTTGGGAAAGACTGGATGGCCTCTTTCGTCATACTGTTGAACATAATCTTCGTCCGTGTGGGCAGAGTCATCATCATGACTTTGAGTCGTGATTGTCGCTTGGGTACTTGAACTATCTGGAAGTTCGTAGGGAGACCGACCCTAGTAATCACTTAGCAACGTTGTTTGTTGATCGATAAAATTGATGACGTTTTGAAATTCGGACCGACGCCGGTTGCACAAGTTTTGAACAGGAGTTCTTGGGAAAGAAATCTCTCCCCATCCATATGCCGAGAGTCAAGATGACACAAACACATAGAACAGCATGAGGAAACAACATTTTCAAATAATAGGAGAGCTGGCATATGACGGAAATAATAAAACAAGTAATCATACCAAAGCGAGCCGAATTATATACGGTTGCCGTCCCATTTCCTGGTTTTTGGGATTCAAAGCATGGGCATCATGCTAAGGCGACATTCGATGCGAACTGCCCTGCTTCATGAATGTGTTGGAGGTGGATGCTTGGCTGAAGCTGGAAATCCGAAATGGGCGGAAGTCGACTGGCGATGCCAAAAACCGTATGGTCACATGCACGGTCCACACCTTATTTTGCCCCCGCCTGCAGCAAACAGTGCAAACGACGCAAACCTGTCAAACTGATTAAAAAAAAGTTATCGTTGCAGTCGACAAGGAAGTCACTATCGACACCAGCAATGCTTAGCATTTGATAGCAAGGCGGACATTGTGTGAAGAGGAAACCCTTTTTCTAATTGCAAAGAGATTACATATGTTTTTCTAAGGGAGTGGCCATGAAAGAATAATCCGCTCGAGAAATCATATTCAGAAAACGGACTGTGCCATCCAACATGTCCAAAGTCAGCGTCAAGACAACATTCGAGGCGTCGCGAATACTCCGCCCCATCTATACAGGAGGAAGCACATCTTTGGATTCCACCGGCCGGATTCTTGCTTCTTGCATCGGCGAGGATGCCCTCATAATTGACTTGACCACCGGCGACCAATTGGCCAGCATCGAAGGAGTAAGCCTGCTGATTTCGATCGATCGGTGTTCGTTGTAGACTAACGGTTTATTCCTAGGATGGAGAACTAATCACGAACTTAGCTAGTAAGTATGTTCCTAGGTTATGTGAATGGTATAGCTAATTTCCTTCCTACAGTTACACCATCGGCTTCGCATCTTGTCGTTTGCTCCCGGTCCTTGTCTATGCGCATTTATTCCTTGACCCTCTTCGATACTGGCAAAAAGGTTATCGAGGCTAAGTTGCTCAGAAGTATTAAACCGCACACGTCTCCTGTAGTCACAACCGCCATCGATGCGACAGGTACCTTGCTGTCTACTGGAAGCTCCGATGGGTCCATCAAGATTTGGGACATCAGGGGTGGATACATAACACATACCTTTCACGGACATGGAGGTGTTATATCTGCCCTTTGCTTTTTTGAAGTGAACACTGTCCTCGATCAAAAGAGAACCCCTAAGTCGACCCAGAAGAAGGACCGAGAGTCGCAGACGGAGATCGCAACCATATCGGCAGAGCTTCGTTTAGCATCTGGAGACGAAGAAGGAAAGGTCAAAGTCTGGAATTTGAACAAGAGAAAGGCAATCGTGACTTTGGAGTCCCATGTTTCGGTGGTCCGAAGTTTATCTTACTCCAAGCCCGAAGGGACATTACTTTCAGCCTCTCGCGATAAGACTGTCATCCTATGGGACGCTTCAACATGGAAGAGTCGCCGAATAATCCCCGTTATGGAAAGTGTGGAAACTGCAGGGTTTATTTCTGACTCTTCCCTTCTTTATGTTGGGGGTGAGAGAGGAATGTTGCGCATCTGGGACGGAAATAGAGGAGGGGAAATTACACTTGCTCAAGAAGAAGGCTCAGAACTTGATGCCATTGTCGCCACTGAATATTCTCAAGAATTACCATTCATAATGACTGTTCATGCTGATCAAACACTGCGGTTGCATTCTATTACGCCTTTGACAGATTATAAACAAGGGTCTATCATATCACCATTGCCCGTCATAAGGCGAATCTCTGGGAATGACGATGAAGTGATTGATTTAGCTTACGTCGGGCCAGACAGGTCACTTCTAGCCATGGCGGCTAACACGGAGAGTATCCGGATTGTTTCTATTGAGGATTCGACAAATACTGGCGATGACATCGAAGACGGCCCTGGGTATTTTGGGGCAGATGTGACATATTTAGAAGGCCACGATGACATTGTTATCTGTCTCGATGTCGATTGGTCTGGCCATTGGCTTGCTACTGGCGCAAAAGACAATACAGCCCGCCTTTGGCGTCTTGATCCTGATACATCTTCATATACTTGTGCAGCCGTTTTCACTGGTCATGCAGAGTCATTAGGGGCGATTGCTTTGCCTCGCACTCCTCCCCCAGTTGGCTCTAAAGCACATTCGGACCCTTTGAATCACCCGCCGGCTTTCCTTTACACTGGTTCCCAAGATCGAACAATCAAAAGATGGGATATAGGAAAAATGAGTGAGGCTCAACTAAGATCTCCCAAAGCAACATATACTAGGAAGGCCCATGAAAAAGACATCAACTCATTGGATGTTAACCATAATGCCACGTTATTTGCCTCTGCATCCCAAGATCGTACTGTGAAGATCTGGTCAGCCGAGGATGGGACTTCAATTGGCATATTGCGTGGCCATAAACGAGGCGTATGGTCGGTTCGGTTCTCTCCTAAAAACATGCCTATCATAAACACAAATGCTGGTACGAGTACCACTCGTGGTTTGGTGGCAACGGGATCTGGTGACAAAACCGTCAAGATCTGGAATCTAACCGACTTCAGCTGTCTCCTAACTTTTGAAGGCCACACAAATAGTGTCCTAAAAGTTGTTTGGCTTCCACCTCCTCATTTATCCACTGAAGACAATAAGGATGATACAGATGTAGCGAGCAGAAACCAGGCCGCGGTTCGGCCTCTTCTTGCTTCGTCTGCTGCTGATGGATTGGTCAAAGTATGGTCTCCCTACAGTGGAGAGCTAGAAACCACATTAGACAACCATACAGATCGTGTCTGGGCGCTTGCCTGTCCAACACCGTCTGGTTCTCGTGAAGATGTCAAGTCTTCAGAAAAAGACCCGGATTTTGCTTTGATTTCAGGGGCTGCAGACTCTACCGTCACATTCTGGAAGGATACAACATCTGCTGCACTTACAGCAGCAGTATCAGCCAACTCGGCTCGCATTGAACAAGATCAGCAGCTTCAGAATTACATTCGCGCGGGTGCTTATAGAGAAGCCATCACATTAGCTCTCCAACTCAACCACCCAGCCCGATTGCTCTCGCTATTCACGACTGCTATCGAAGAAGCTGATGGAACTTCGGAAACTGACGACATCGACGAGAATAAGATTATTCTGACTGGAAACAGCTCCGTAGATACGGTCTTGCAGTCTCTTGATCATGATAACCTTTACATGTTACTTCTCCGCATCCGGGATTGGAATACCAATGCTCGCACAGCGAAAGTCTCTCAGCGTATTCTCTATGCTTTAGTTCGGTCATATCCGGCTTCCACGTTTGTCGAACTCGCTAGTCGTCCGCCACCAGCAGCAGCGCAGGGCAAACGAAGCTCGAAGTTTGCCAGTAGCACAGCGCTGAAAGAGGTTTTCAGTGTGCTGTCAGCTTATACGGATCGTCATTATCGTCGAGTCGAGGAACTGGTTGACGAAAGCTATCTTGTCGAATGGATTCTCGATGAGATGGATGGTGGTGTTCGATTAGTCTCGGGTTCGTCTGCAACTAACGAACCTGATCATGAGAACGATGTGATTATGCTAGAGGCCTAAGAAGTTTGCTGTGTGTGTTTACAGGAGTTTTACATGTATAGATAGCGGTTCTGGTCATCCCTTTACTGAGAAAAGCATGGTTTGTTCAATTTATCAATGATATTAACAGTTAAGTCTGTGATTAATTTTTTGCGAAAGACAATCGGAAACAGGTTGGAAATTTAACGTAGTTGGGTATCTTGAAAATGCACATTTTTTGTATATCGTCTATTCCTAAGGGTATTTTCATCGTGCAATGTTGCTATTTTCAACGTCGGCATTCACTTCTTTTACCGGTCTCCATGACGCCGTGAAGAATCTTTGTATCTATCTCTGTCTCGGTCCCTACCAGTATCTTTGTCTCTGTGTTCGCGACGATACCGATCGCGGTCTCCGTCTCGGCCTCTATCTCGGTCGCGGTCAGAATTCCTATCTCGTTTTTCTCGCCTTGACGACGTATAATCAACTTTTGGACTGTCCTTGTAATCGCGATCACTTCTGTCACGATACCGTCGACTTTCTTTATCATCCTCATATCGATGTCTGCGTCGATCGTGAGTACCCGATGACCGACTTCGGTCTCTGCGTGATGATGAATCCATACTGCGCCCACTACGGTAGTCTCTTCCAGACCCATCCTCGATTTCAAGCCGATGCCTGCGTTCTCGATCCCGGTCTCGGTCTCGGCCTGGCTTTTCTCTCGACTGTGCATCAGCCGAACTTTCTTTTGCTCCTGTCTGAAGAGTCTTGAATTCTTCTTCCGTCATATGTTCACCTGTCGTTTTATTCCTCATAACGACAGGCATATAGACACCTTCTGTGTTGCCGCTACTGTCCCCATTCTTCCTCGACCCTTTCCGCATGGCAGCTTTCCCCCAAGCTCCGATCTCGACCTCTGCTCCCTTGCCACCAGAAACATCTTTTGCCCCAATACCCAGAAAGCCCGGTCGGCGTTCAGGAACAGTCTTCTTGGTTGCCGTACTTGAATTTCCATAGCTACCTCGACCGATTGCTTGTCCCTCCTTCCAGCCCATCCCTCGAAGTAAAGCAGCACCAAATTCTTCGACGGGAATAGCGTTGTAGGCTTCTAAACTCGCCTGGTCAGGACGCGTCGCGACATCGGCGCGGAATGAACTCGTCTCGTCGTATCGCCCCTCGACTACTCTTGAGGACTCAATGACCAAGTCCGATCGTTTTCGATCCTTGTCGTCTTGACTCTCACGGATGAGTGCCTGCAAGGCAATCTCATCCTGCCCAACGGGCTCTCGTGCTTGCTGTTCTGAAGCACTAGCATCAGCCATATCAGCATCAACATCCGCATCACCCTTGACATCCTCCAAATCAGCATCTTTCGAGGGCGCAAGGCTGAGTCCGTAGGAAATACTTGGCCCTTCCGTCTGCGGAGCAGATGTGCCGGTCGCCTGGACTTCCTGCGGAAGAAGGTTTTTGCCTCTGCGGTTTATCCCTGGTCTGTTACGCCAATTATTCTTGCTTTCGACCTTGATGACAAGGGGGGTTTTTGCCTCTGATGTGGAAGTTTTGCTGATTGCTCCGCCGGCGCTGCTATCAAAGCCCACCACCTCTTCGTGTATCGGTTGCGCCTCTTCCTCGTCCGACGCGTCATCATATAGGTTCTGGGCCCTGCGTCGCTGTGCCTGACCTGTCAGACTCTTTGGGCCTTTAGATGGTAGCTGGGACCTGAACGCGGTCTTGGTCTCTGTGGGATTCTTGGACGTCGCCGAAAGGGACACCGAGAAAGGTTTCGCATTACCGCGACTCTCAGAGCCGTCGTCTTGTCGCGAAACCATATTCGCAGCTTGCGAAAGCGAGGTTTGGATTTGTTATATACACCGCTCGCTCGTGTTTGGTTGAATACTGTTGTAAAATTATAGACTTGGATAGGTAGGTCAATCAATGGCAAATGACGGGGGAAGTGGAAATTTCTTATCGCAGGCCGGAGTCGCCGCCCGCTGCGCTTATCGCAAATCACGGGACGCCGCAACTGAGATCAATGTATAACTGGTAGCCCAATCACCACCATAATAAGGCATAATGTACAATCAGAAAATAAACTATGAATGTATAGGATATCTACGACTAGTTCTGCAGCATTTTTGCTTTCAAGCACTTCATTGTATCTCGTGTGTCAACCCACACAGGTATAAACGTATCAACACTACTCGTACAACTTATCAATAGCCATCCCGTGGAATATTGATACGAGAGAAGCCAATTCCAAGAAGCACCCGTCCAAACGCCAACCCATAGTTAGGACACCGCCGTATATCTCCCTCGTCGCAGTGGCAAGGGAGAAGTATAAAACATAGCATGAACATTATTAGATAGGATGAAAGAAATGAGGCTAAAGGTGAAGAAGGGTAAGAATTATCAAGGTGGTAGGAATCGCGTAAATCGTGTAATAGGGTAGATTTGGACGGAATTGAATACAGCCACAATAAAAAAGAGCACAACCATATTCACAAAAGTTCCTCTCAGGATTGATTAGCTTAGTTGGCTTGGTTGGTAGCCATCTGTGCAGGAGGAGGATGAGGACTTTTGTTAGTGCCCGCAGCACTTCCACTTCGTTGGGTCTGTGGAGTAGCGCTTCTGCTTTGTGGCAGGACACTGCCATTCATAGATGGGGAGCTTCCGACAGGAGGACGGTTTGGCTGGTTGGGTTGAGCGACTCGCATCAACGGCGAGAATTGTGCTTGAGGGTTTTGCATTCCGCCATTGCCATTTTGCTGGAAGTTACCATCTGGTGGCATTTGATAATTAGATTGTGCACCATTCATGTTGGCAGCCGTCGCATTCATAGCAAGCTGAGTCATGCGTTGTTGTTGCTGTTGGTATGCATGAAGACGCTCCGTTGCCATTTTAGTGACCTGTTCAGGAGAAAGGTTTGGGTTGTTCCTCTGTATTTGATTTTGGATATTTGTTATTGTCGGAACAACGCCGGTCGACAGATGAGTTGGCTGGTTCATGCGCGGAGATGGTGTTGAAATGCCTTGAGCATTAGTGCCGTGGAAAGACGGGCTACCCATTCCCCCCGCAGCTTGCATCGCAGCAATTAATGCTGGATTATTAGGGGTACCATTCATTGCTTGAACGTTCATATTTGGCGAGTGAGTCCCTTGCTGACCAAACTGTTGTGGATTGTGAAATTGCTGTTGTCCTGGTTGGTGGCCTTGTTGACGAGATTGCAAGAGGCGTTGCTGTTCTGACACCCGGCTAGCTTCTCGCATGATTCGAGCATTGTCAGGAGATCCTTGAATGGGTATCCCAGGCCGTGCTGCTATTTGCTGCTGTACACCTGGCTGGGGTACCATTTTCACTGGCATTGAGTTTGGCGGTAAAGGGCTGTTCACGGGTCTTCCATTCGGCATAGCTTGCATAGGCATGACATTTCCATGGTTGATATTGGCGTTTGAGGATATACCATTGGCCACAGCATTCGGCGCGGTTCCAGGTATTGCCTGAGCCCCGGTAGCTGGTACACCGTTAGGAGCTCGTCCATTTACGCCATTCATTGAAGCTGTTTGCTGATTGGACAGTTGTCCTGCACGTTGTGCAGCTAGATTGGCCTGTAGCGAAACGTTGAGCTTACACATTCAAGAGAGTACGAGGAGTTATTAGTTTCTTACTCTCTGTTGAGCAATCATCTGTTGACGGTATTGCTCTTGTCTTTCTTGAAGCTTTTGCTCCCTCTCATACTTCATCTTGCTAAATTCAGCGGGGTTTGTGATTGGAGGTTTAGGTTGATTCGCTTCATTGACTTTGCGTAAAGAAGCAAGGTGAGAAGCTTATTTCGTGTTAGCCTTAATACATAAAAGTCTCAAAATAAATATTTACCTTGCTGTTGCTTTTGCAAAGCCGTCTCCCGCTTCTTCGCCAATTTCCGCATGGCATCCAGAAGAGCCAAGTGACGAGACGTTCGCCTACGGTCAACACGAATGGGTTGTGTCGTTCTCCTCCGAATCAAGGGCTGTGCTTGAGCTGAGTTCCCTTGCTGTGCCTGTTGTTGCTGGTGTTGCTGTTGTGCGGCTTGTTGTTGTGCAAGAACGGTCCGCTGAGCAGCTTCCAATCGCTGGTGATAAGCGCGGAAGTATTGCGTTTTTGACATGTCAGCAGGTAACCCTTCGAGACCAATCCATCGCTCAAAACATTCCCATGGTGTTCGACGCTCTGCTGCTGAAGTAAACAAAGAAGGGGATGATAGACAGTTAGCAATGAGCGACCAATTGTATGAGTAGTCTTTCACTAAACGACGAAGGTCATCATCTTCCGCAATTGTCCACTGCGAAGATTGTCTAGATTCGAAAAACCCTACTGATGGCATTGGATGCTCGGTTGGAGGCCGGAAGGAATGACCGGGATGAATGCGATCCCGAATATGTTTATTTTCGGGGCAAAAGAGTGCAACGTTGGTCTGTTCTGGATTCACATCAACATTGCCCGCTTCTATCTGGTCGTAGTGCTGCGTATGATCATATCGGCTGCGTTTCCGCGCTGGTGAATCGTCACTAAAGCTGATTCTACCTGTGGCGTATTTCGAGACTGGGAGGATATCGGTCTTCCAGTTCGCATCTGGCTGAAGCCTGAACGATGGCATAAATGTATCTGAAGAGATTCCCATAGGGGAATAAATAGGAAGTTCTTCCAATAGTTTTTCAGATGTTGGGGTGACATCAATGGAGAATGTGAATTCATCACACCCAAGTGAGAACATAGCTGCAGGAGCAACCATTTCTTGAATATTAGTTCGTAGTTCCTCCGCAAAGCCTTCACTGGCAGATTCATCATCAGCAGAGGGCACCAGGTCTGGTGTAGATTGCGAAGCAGGTATCGTATCATCTGCCGCAATCTCAGCTTCGCCACAAGCTTCCTTCATCTCCACATCTTCCAATTGTCTGCTAACTGGAATCCTTGTATTTACTCGTAGCTGTGCTTGCTGTTCGTGGTCACTATTGACGAATTCGGCGCACCAGTCGGCACAACTTTTGGCGGCTGCAATTTTCCACTTCCGTTCCTCTCGAAAATCCGTACGCATCCATTTCATATGATCCAGCAAAATATCCCAATGCGTGCCTTGACGTTGGGGTTCTAGGGATCTCTTCATTTGGCGAAGTGGCCATCGATTGGCATTTTGGAGCGAATAGATGCGTCGCAAGGTACGGCAGTCCATTTGCTCTTGGTATTCGAGAAGATGATTTGACGTACTAAGAGTTTTGTGTGCAGTTCCCAGAAGGGTGGTTATGTTCGAAGTTCGGGGAGGCGAATAAGCCTTATTCTGAAAGAGAGTGAATAAATAATCTTGTTCATCATTCAATCCAGTCACCAATTGCCCTCCGTCTTGTCGAACAAGATCCAAGGTTTCTTGTTTATCTAATTGCTTCGCGGGGAAAACCACTGTAGATAATCGCGCACGCTCCTTCTCACGGTCTTTTCTTTGCTTAATACGACTGGCCGTGTCAGGAGTTCCTGGGCAGACAGAGAGCTGACCAGAAGGCGACTCGGCTAGCTGGACCTCATTTCGCGAAATAGGGGTCTTCGGGGTCTCGCCAAGAATCTCAGAGACGGACTTGTGCCTTATAGCACCTGAAGATACACGAGTTGTCATTCTCTCCGGTGTAGGATGCACAGCAGAACCAATTGTCGACGTTGTATTTTTGGAGACGTGGCTTAGGTGTTGTATTGAAGCAGGTTCATGTTCTTTCTTGATATCTGTAGGAGGTGCCGGGGGTACGCTTTGGTTTCCTACTGTTTCCAAAGTACTTATACTGAGTGATTGTTGTTTTTCCTTCTGTACTCCTAATGACATGGAATCTTCACGGATCTCTATTTCGTTCGCGGATGGCGCAGGAGCTGTCGGAGAAAGTATATCCTCCTTAATAACTTGCTTCGATACCAGGGCGGCCCCTGGCTGACCGAGATCTCCGGTTGTATTGCCTGCAGCTAGAACCTGGGCATTCTGCTGGAGAGATTGCGCTTCTTCGAGTCTGAGCTGTTCATCTGGTGTCGAGGGAATGGTTATTGTCGAAACATTCTGAGCCTTGTCAGGGACAGGACCGGCAGGTTGAACAGACTTTTCTGAAACGACGTGGCTTTCGTGTTCATCGGCCTCCTCGGCCTCGTCAGGGCTAGTGTCTGAGGATGCAGTTGGAGGAATCGGCGTGTTGGTGGAATAAGGCTCAACAGATGATGCTGGGGAGAGTGGCTGGTCCACGTGTGTGACTGGACCTAGCGATAGAGCGGGTTTGCGATCTCGTTTATTGTCCAGTCCTGATGCAGTATTTTGCGACTTAGCTAACACAGGATGTTCGGTGGAGGATATTTGCGTCGCCTTGTCCCTAGGGCTCCGGAGCTGTGATGGGGAGGCCGGATTGTCTGGTACGCCATGATCATGCGTACTCACTGGAGTTCCCGGGGCCGCGATCTGAGGTACGTTGCCAGGAGCCGCAGGAGTCGATTGCGCAGATATAGCAGGCTTGGATGGAGACGGAGGTATTGAGGAGATTGCTGGTTTAGTGGTGTGATGAATTGATGTGAGATCTGTTTGCGATGATGCTGTAGTTATATCGGGCTCTACTTTCTCTGCGGTTGCATGGCTCTGTGCGCCTCGATTTTGGGTTGTGGAAAGGCGATCTATTGGAAGCGTCTCTGTCGCAGTGTCCGGCAAGAGAGGAGATTGCTTCGGAGGGGAGGGTTCAGGCACTGGACGGGGAGCATGTTTTTGTAGACGCGCAAGAATTGCTGCATAGTCAGGCAAAGATGGAAGGGTAGCTTCATTGAAGAGCCGACCTCTGCGATTCGTACATTAGCTGCTCAATTCCGACAAGAAAAGAAAAATTGACAGAGGGAAGACGCAATAGCGTTCTCCAGTTGAGAAAATATTATTTTCAAGATGCAACTTACTTGGATAGGTCGTTGGCGTCAAGAAACTCTTGTCTCTGTCGCTCGTAGAGAGTATCCGCAGTCGCGCCTTCCGCTGCGCCTGTCCCGACGGTCGCAAAGTAGAGCTCACTTAATTTTCGCTTTCGCGACAGCAAACACCGTCTAAAATTCACGGTAAGCGATGAACCAACGTCGCATGGTGCGTTGAGCAAGAAAAATCGCTCAAAAAAATTTTTAACTTACGTGATCTCATCATTCTTAGACCGAAGCAGCTCGTCGCGGAGCATGGAGTCTATCTCGACCACGCGTCATCCGACTAACGCGTAGTAAAAAAGGAAAATGCAAAGAGCGGTATCATTCAGACCGAAAAAATCGCTCAGAAATGATAAAATGGGCGAGGTCGGAAGGGGTTTTGATGATGAATATACAAACGCGAGAATTTCGCCAGGCAGTTTACTGGGGGGTGCAGGCGGATGACTGGATTCGACGGAATGCAATGCTTGCCTTTGGGGGGGGAGCGCCAAAACGCAAGGAGTGAATGCTGGTAGCCTGCAATAGGAACTGGTCTCAGTAAAGGGTAAGCGTGCCCTGGCGGCGCAGCGGCAAGACAAAGAATTGCTGCCTCAGGAATGGAAAGGAGGAAACTTGGCATCACGTGATTCACGTGATGACCCGCCCATTCCAGCGCGAATGATTCTCCGGACCCGGCGGTGAAGGCTGGCATTATCGACCCGGAAAAAAAAAGTCGGGCGTGGTGAGGTGCACAAGGATCAACAATAGCTTGACAGCCAATTGTTTCATATTTGGTTCTCTGCCATGACGAAACGCAAGAGAGAGCCGGCCGTTGCGACTGGCAAGAGCGAAAAAGCTGCTGGCGAAGTACCTCGCAAGGCTGTCAAGGCCACAACAGCCCATCAGACCGAGAATGAGGGTGTTGCTGCGACGATTCAGATTGTCACCGGATCCTACGAACGAGTTCTCCATGGATTTACGGCAGCTCTTCCTACTCGGCCGCCGACCATAAATACTCTCGAGGATAATAAGATAGAGCCCTCCTCATCAACAGTTAACTTTTCGGATACGTTTCTCTTCTCAGCGCATACGTCTTCAATTCGATCACTCGCTCTTTCACCGCTAGACCAAGCAGACCCATCCCAGCCTCAAAACCTGATTTTAGCTAGCGGAGGCTCTGATGAGCGTATCAATCTCTATTCTCTATCTTCGTCTCCACCTATAGTTAGCGAACGGTTCCCATCCGTTTCTACTCTTTCTGGAAACAAAATCTTAGAGAATCCGAAAAACCGAGAACTTGGCTCTCTCCTTCACCACTCATCTAGTATTACGGCTCTTTGTTTCCCATCAAAATCGAAACTATTAGCATCTGGAGAAGATAATGTTATATCAGTCACGAGAATTCGGGATTGGAACGTCGTTTCCACCGTCAAAGCCCCGCAACCGAAGACTCAAGGAAGACCGAGCGGAGATACTGCTCCTCCTGGCAGCGTACCTTCCGGAATTAATGATTTTGCCATTCATCCAAGTATGAAGCTAATGCTCAGCGTGGGCCGTGGCGAGAGGTGCATGAGGCTCTGGAATTTAATCACGGGGAAAAAAGCCGGGGTGCTTAATTTTAACAAAGAGATATCGCAATGCATCAATGAAAACAAGAGAGGGACTGGAGAAGGAAGGAAAATTGTGTGGGACTCTCAAGGCGAAGAGTTCGCTGTCGCTTTTGAGTGGGGTATAGTGGTGTTTGGAGTGGTAAGGATCCTTCTGTCTACAAGTTTCAATTGCGGGACGACTAATTTTGAATGTTCTTCCAGGACTCAACACCCAAATGTAGGGCTCTTCCATCTCCTGGGAGTAAAATCCATCACATCCGTTACTTTGATTTTAGTAGAAAAAAGGATGGCACAAATGAGTTCCTGGCTGTATCAACAGAAGATGGCCGAGTTATTTTTTATTCCACCAAGGAAACTTCGACAGCCGAGGGTGTGTTTATACCTGACGCGAAAGTCATAACTCAAGTCGGTGGAAAGCCCAGTGGTCTTGCGGGACGTGTGAAAGATTTTGAAATCCTCGATGTCACAGATATTGAGAACTGGAAAGATCACTTTCTCCTTTTATCCTCCGGTAGCGATGGAGCTGTCCGGGTATGGGTACTCAGGATACAAGCCGACACCAACGATACGACTCAGGAAACAAACAAAACAAGCGAGGTAGCTTCTCGACTACTAGGAACATACGAGACTGGGAATCGCATTACCTGTATGGTGGCATTCGTGATGCAGAAGCCTCAGGCATTAGATGAAATAGATGGTTTGGAACCGGAATCGGATGACCAGGGAAGCGAAGCGGAGTCTAGCAGTGGTGATAGCGACCAAGACTGAATCGCCTGCTTTTCTATACCAGCTTTTTCAACAGAAAGTCGCAAATGATTGCAAGGGTCTATAAGCGTGGCGAGGCAAGTCCACAACCTTGAGTGCTTCGTTTGTAAAAAAGATATGATTTGTATATATGTCTGTTATTCGTTTCCAGGACTCACGACCATTAAAAAGCTAGGGCCAGGCGGGTTTTCACCACCCTCCTAATGCCTTAATTTAGGTGGGGAAATGAATATTCAAGAAACCAGAGAGCAATCCCTACGCTCACTTCATTCCGAAAGGCGATAGCGGTCTTCTTCCTTGGTATAACGAGATATAAGAAAATGAATATACTGGATTTCATAACTCAGCAATCGTTCTTTTATCACGAGCTGTTTCCTGTAGAAATCGCTTTAATCGATACTCGAAGATATGTAGGGAGTAAGCCGCAAAAAGTTGATTGAGTCTATTCAACAGGCCGTGGAGTAACCATTTCACAGCAGTATATTCGATAGCATTTCTTATTCTATTTTCAGTAGTTGCTAGTAGGGGGCAGTAATTTACGGTAGCCCTCAGGCCCATATTTTCCAACAACCTTTTATAGATCGGTGAAAGGAGACAAAAATCACCATCTTTTCCTTGATGACTAGCACCAAGATATGACATTGGCCATTCACCACTTCATACCTTACAGACTTCACTCAATCGTGTTGGTCCATAACGGCTGTAACGTAGGATACGGTGGCTGAAACTAAACAAGTTTGCTTGAGACGTTTTTCTGCTGAACGAGTATGTTAACACCGAGGAAGCCATACATAAACCTGGAAACCTAAGCCGGGGGCTAAGCACTCAAGTAACCGTTTATCAGCCTCACGAAAACACGAATACTATTTTATTCTAACAAGGTGTCTGCGTAGGTCGAAGACTCTTTTCTAAGATGGTTCGATATAGGTTCAGAGCGTGAAGAGTTGGTCAATAGAAACTTATATAATTTGTATATATTCATCGGAAACTATGTATAAGGAAGATATCTATTGAACATCCTACTTCTTAGATACTCTTGGCAAATGAAGGATAATGAGTAAGCTGGACAGATGACGATATACCAATACAGTAACTTCATTTCATTAGGCGCTTATAATCCACTAATTAGAGAGCTCTCGGAATACTGCTCTACACTTTGGCTAATGATATCTTCCATTCTAACTTTTTAATATAGATATCTATTTCTATATATTGCTTTATAGTATTTATTGACTATATCTACTATAAGTAGATAATATATATTTATGTCAGCTATCCTATATCAATTGATATTAAAGGTTGATACACGTGTAGATATTGTAACTTTCAATGTTGTAAAGATAGGGTTGGTAGAGTGTAACTACATTTAATTCCTATGGTAAATAATTATTCTTTATAATAAAAATTCAAACAAACGTTTATATATTATATGTTTTAACTTCAGTGTTAATAATATCTATATGTATATATTTATTCTTGCTTAACGAGTATTAACGACCTTACCCAGTTTTAAGCTATAAAGATCTCATTTTAGTGGACACTGGAGGGGCCTTTATAAACCTAAGCCCTAATTCCTTATACATGTATTATCTGCTCCAAACTAGTGCCAAAATATTTAAATCTATCTATATATTTCTTATTCTAAGCTACCTATGCAGAGTTAATAAAGGCAGTGCGTGACGGGAGCGGGCGGTGGGTGGGCAAAGCGGAAGGATTAATAAATCCAACACCGCAAAAGTGCTGCCCCACTGCACAATTTTGTCATAACGAACTGCCACAGCCGCGAGCAGCGCAACGACAACACAGATTCCCAGCGTTACACAACTTTCGATCATCCGTCGTTAACTGTCGTGATCAGAAGCTCCCTTTACGAAACACTGTGGGCCCTTAGCAATCATGGCTACCAACGGCGACTTCTCGGACGAAGACTCACTGCCGGGATCGCCCCTCATGGGCAACGGCCACGAGCACGAGGACGACATTGATGAACAGGAACCACTCGACCAAGAGGAAGATGCCCAGGAAAAGCCCTTGAAGTCTGCCTTGAAGAAAGATTCGGTGCCGCCTATTCCTCAACGAACTCGCCCTCAGCTCCCTGAACAGCCCGACCCAAACACGGTAGACTTTTCGACCTTTTCCCCGCTGTCGCCTGAAATCATCGCACGCCAGGCCACTATCAACATTGGAACAATCGGCCATGTCGCCCACGGGAAGTCCACGGTGGTGAAGGCTATCTCCGAGGTTCATACTATTCGTTTCAAGAATGAACAGGAACGAAATATTACAATCAAACTTGGTTACGCCAACGCTAAAATTTACAAGTGTGACAACCCAGAGTGTCCCAGACCGACTTGTTACAAGAGCTTCAAGAGCGAGAAGGAGGTTGATCCTCCCTGTGAACGAGAGGGATGTTCTGGCACATACCGTCTATTAAGACACGTTTCGTGAGTTTTTCTGTGTTGCCGGACGTACTACATTAAGATCAAAACACTCATACTGCTATACTAGGTTCGTGGATTGCCCAGGGCACGATATTTTGATGAGCACTATGTTATCTGGCGCCGCTGTCATGGACGCAGCTCTCTTACTCATCGCAGGAAACGAAACATGCCCTCAACCCCAAACGTCAGAGCACTTGGCTGCTATTGAGATCATGAAGCTCAACCATATCATTATTCTACAGAACAAAGTTGATCTGATGCGTGAGGATGCTGCTCTATCGCACTATCAATCCATTTTGAAGTTCATCCGCGGTACAGTTGCGGACGGATCTCCTATTATTCCAATTTCGGCTCAGTTGAAGTACAATATTGATGCTGTCAACGAGCACCTTGTCTCCCACATTCCTGTTCCAGTCCGTGATTTCACTGCCGTACCTCACATGATTATTATTCGGTCATTCGACGTCAATAAACCCGGTGCTGGAATCGAGGAACTTAAAGGTGGTGTTGCCGGTGGTTCAATCCTCACTGGTGTTCTGAAAGTGGACGATGAGATTGAAATTAGACCCGGCATTGTTACTAGGGATGAGAATGGCAAGGTGCAATGTCGCCCCATCTTCTCCAAGGTTGTCTCTCTGTATGCCGAGCACAACGATCTCAAATTTGCTGTGCCTGGTGGCTTGATTGGTGTCGGAACTCGAGTTGACCCTACGCTCTGCCGTGCCGATCGTCTTCTTGGATTCGTTCTGGGTCTGCGTGGTCGTCTTCCAGCCATCTACACTGAGCTGGAAGTTAACTATTTCTTGCTTCGCCGTTTGCTCGGTGTCAAGTCCGCCGACGGCAAGCAAGCCAAGGTTGCCAAGCTCTCCAAGAACGAAGTTCTCATGGTCAACATTGGCTCGACTGCTACAGGTGCCAAGGTCATGGGTGTCAAGGCTGATGTCGCCAAGCTTGTCCTAACAAACCCGGCTTGTACGGAAATCGGCGAGAAGGTTGCCATCAGTCGCCGTATCGAGAAACATTGGCGACTAATCGGATGGGCCAACATTGTTGCGTAAGTTACATTTCACGTTGTTTTGACGAAATGGTGCTGATTGAAAATTCTAGCGGAAACACTTTGGAGCCAATTGTCGACTAGAGTAATATCGCACTCTAGTCGATCATTATTCTACAGTTTCTAATTCATGCGTTTATGTGAGCACATATCTGGATATCTGTCAAGTGGTTTGCAAGAGAACATTTAAAAGGTCACTTCATTAAGAACTCTGGCCTATTTATCTTCACGGTGGTAAATGGGGAATTTGCCCTCTTCTTTTACTGGTTCGCATCTTCCTGGAATACCTCTACTCGCCCATCGTAAACTTATTTATTTGGGGGAGGGAGGAGGGGAGCTAATTTGTTGCTCGTTCATTTCATTTGTTTAGAGACTCGACTTGGTTTCTCATGTTTTTTATATTATCTTTTCAAGGGTCATGGGAGGGAACCAAGGATGATGATGGCAATGAGACAATGATCTAAAAGTTGCAGTGATAGAGAAAGTCCAGTTTCTTGTCAATATAAAAGCTCATTTATATCAACTGACTTTTCTACCAAGGCTTAAAGCAACAGTCTGTATTCATGAATCTGAAAGTAGAAACATGGAAGTGCGTGGAGGAGGAAATTCGACGAATGTATATGTTATATTAAACCAATGACACAAACCTTTTCTAAGCCAATGTCCTAGAATCACTCATCTAAAGGAATATATTGGTAGATTGGTAACTTGTATAATACAGGGAACACCATGCCTTATGAAAGTATAAAAAAAGGACCTCAGCCCGAAATTACCAGCTCAGAGTCTTCCGACCCTTGAGTCTCCGTCTCTTCAGAATCGCACGTCCACCGCGAGTCTTTAACCTAGCCAAAAAACCATGACGACGCTTCTGCACTCGCCTGGAGGGGTTATAAGTAGCTCGTTTCCCAGCTAGAGATGCTGAAGCCGAAAACTGGCGAATTTGGTCCGCCAGTGATGATGTAGGTGAGGATCGAGAGAGTGATGTTTGGAAGCAAGTTGATGGTGTGAGGGAGGTTGATGGCCGAGGCGTTCTGTTTGTTGAGACGAGGCTTGTGAATGTGCAACGTTGTGTTCTAATCAGAAGGAAACATTTTTTAGCAAAGCTTTCCCTTTTTGGCTGGCAGAATTGGTCGCGAATGGATGGTCTGTCTTACCGGAGAGATTGAGTGATTCGTGATGAAGCTAGACTAGGCGTGGCCCTGCGCCAACACTGGAGGGCCAGCATGACGTGTATTAAGAAGTCTCGATCGATTGGACGCGTATAAAATAATTCGTTTGGCGGGTGTTTTATTTGGTTCAGAGGTAGGAGCGAGCGTGGAGTCAGAAAGATATTGTCATCTGTGTACGGAGAAGAGCATGCGGCGGAGAAGAAGAATTGTCTCCGCCAACGCTCATCGCCGCCCGCCAAAACCGGCAAAAAAAATTATTACATGTAAGACAAGACAACCACCACGTTCAATAGCTCACTTTCCAACACATTACCCTTTTCATACGCTCACTGGGCCAAGTTGAAATATTCGCGAACAGGTTTCGGAAATTTATAAAACCCAATGGTGAATATACAACTCTCGAACTAAAGACAATACTTCATCCGCAATCTCCATACACCTTTTTGTCACTCAACTTCTTTGCGGAAAAGAGCAGAGCCTCAGTTTAATCTGAGCTCAATCAAACACATACACAAAAATGGCCTCATCCGGTCCAAACCCTGTACCGCCAACACATATTCTTTCGAGTCGTTCGATACCTCAATCTGCCGCACTCGATTTTCTCACCGCATACCTCGACCGCGCCGCCAATGACCCATCTCTCCAACCCAGCGCTATGATTACAGAACATGGCCCGATTTCACGCACAACGGCAGCAGCGCCTAATCTGACTCTACACAATTTAAAGCGAGTTCAAGCAGGTCTAGCCGGTGAGACGCTGGGGCGCGACCTTACGTTAAGCACGGGCGTGCAGCCCAAGGCGGTAGAGAAGAGCGACGAGCCGAGTGACGAGCAGTGGGAGGATAGGAAAAAATGGGAGTTGGAGGCCGGCGAAGGAGTGGAGAAGGATCGGTCTGATGACTTTATAGATAATGCGACTGAGCAGGTAGATGTTGATGAGGAGGGTATGCCGCTTGATACGCCGATTGATAAAGAGGAGCGCAAGCGCAGGAAAAAGGAAAGAAGGAAGTTGGACAAAAAAACTCGGAGGCAGCAGGCGATGGAGACAGGGGAAGAAGACGACGTGAGAGCAAGCGAATCAGAATAGCGCTGAGGACGTGTTGAATATATTTTAGCTCGCATAACTTGGATTTTAATATCTAAGCAGTAGCATACATGTAATATTCCAATACATTATATCGTTCTCTTCCTTTCCCGTGCCTTTCATTAGCAAACATGCTATTGGGGTTTATGGGATAATTGTGTAATGATAGAAACAGGCAGTTGGCATATAACTACAGTTCCCTGTCTGCAGCCTTGATAGGCTTGTCGCTGTCTTCGGTCTTGTCAGCCCCCTCGCCTTTCCAGCCCAGCGCACCCAAGCGTTCTGAGAGAATGGGGTGAGAGTAGTGGTAGCTGGCGTACATCCAATCGGCATCCATAGTACTCAGGTTTTGGATCTGGAGTTTGAGGAGCGACCGGGCTAGGAGCTTGGAGTAACCGAGGTTGGACGCAAACGCATCTAGATACGAATTAGTGACAATGACAATGAGAGACGTTTTAATATATACATACCTGCTTCGAATTCGAATTTACGGCTGAGAATGTTCATCAGCAGCTTCACGACAGCATCCATTGGAGCCAGAGCGTCCGAGAACAGGAGGAAACCGATCATGATAGGTTTTTCATGATAAAAACCAAACGATTCGAACAGCGACTTGTTGTTGACAAATGCAGTGAATAGAGCAAAGATATAGAACATGTGGGCCTTTGTCTCAGTTAGTAATATACTCTTGGGTTTTGATTCAAAGGGAAAATCTTACTTGAGCAATCGCGAACAATTTGGTAGTGTGTCCAAGCTTCCAGTGACCTAGTTCGTGACTCAAGACAGCCACAACTTCTTCCGGTTCGCTTTTCTCCATCAGAGTGTCGTAGATCACGATATGCTTCTTCCAAGGAAATCCAAAGAAATAGGCATTGCTGTGGGCACTTCTTTTACTGCCATCAATGGAATAGATGTCGTGCAACGGGAAGCTCAATTTAGTTGCAAGTTGTTCAACACCGGTTTTGATATGGCCAGCTTCAAGAGGCGACAGTTTGTTGAACATTGGGAGGATGACGATCGGGTAAATAGTGATAGCAAAGACTTGCACCACAATGCTGAAAAGCCACAAGTAATAAAAGAACTGGCTACCGGTTTTCTGGATGATCTTCAAGAATGCTGCCATAAGTGGACCACCCAGAACGATTCCAAGAGCTTGACCTTTGAGCATATCGGTTACCCAGAGCTTGACCGTCTGCTTGTTGAAACCAAACTTTTCCTCGAGGACAAAGGTATTGTAGTACGAGATTGGAAGTGATAGAACGGTGGTCAATAGGTTGAAAACGAAGAAGAAAACAAGCGTGTGTCCGATTTCGCCTTGGAACCATGATGGAAAGTACTGAGTAAGCCACAGGCCTGCTAGGCTCCATATCTTGGGCAAGAAGTCATAGTAGATAAAAACGAGGTTCTGGACTTGACCAAAGAGGGCGGTAAAGAAGCCAAACTTGGCTTTCGCTCTACCATATGTCTAGAAAACGCGAATGATGTCAGCTTCTATTCAGTGCAAGGGATGCTAATGAAAGTACCTGGCTGTCATCAAAGACTTTCTGGGTAACCTCTCCTTCCAAAACCTTTGGCGGCTTAGTACGCTGCAGAACACGATATTGGCGGTACGAAAGAAAGCTTTCTAAGACATGTTGACCAAGCGAAAAGCCCACCAGGACCGTCTTCCACGGAAAGAGAGGGCGGTCGAGAAAGCGTGCAAGCGCCTGGAAATCGTTAGCCTTAAATTTGCACCTATATAGATCAAATAATCATATTATGATGGGTATGGCGAACCTGAAGAATGTTGATCATGACTTCGGCAAAAGCAAACTATCAAATTATATTAGATGTTTGTTGTCTTACAAAGATGAATCCGTGTCATTTTGAGAGACAAAGTACTGCCATAAGTTACCGCCGAGGGATGATACAAACGGTGCAAACAAGACAAACACGAGCTTCTCAGACACACTCGACTGTTTTCTTTATTTATCTAAATTTAGGGCTCTCATTTCAGATATTGGCCATGAACAAAATACCCTAAGAGGTATATCCTTGGGAAGTCTATTTATAGCTTCTCTATGTAAGGAACAAAAAAGCGCAAATAGACTGCTTTATAGTATTGAGCATGGGTTCTCAAGTATCAGCATATCTATTGCGCTTCTATAGATATCATTACTCATTTCTCAATTACGCCTAATGCCCACCTTCGGACTCACTCTCTTCGTCTTCGTCCGACTCGTCTTCATCTGATCCTTCTTCCTCTTCCTCTTCCTCTTCATCATCACCATCTATTTTCAAACCGTAGTCATCCTCAAACTCCTTCAGAAGCTGGACTTTTGGTTTGAAGGAAAATGATTCAAGGCCCTTTTTAATAGGCTAAGAGTAGGTTAGCATGTAAATTGCGAGAAACAAGCAGAAATAAAAAGTACTCACCTCTTCAAGTACGGATGCACAAGTGACAACTAGATTCGACTTCTCTGCGTTGAACAAAGGCAGGATAATATCTCTGAGAGCCTCCTTAATCTCATCAACAGTGATATCCCTCACTTTCTTCAAGATGCGTTCTTTATAGTCGCTTGGCAAGTTTCGAATCACTTGCCGAACGAAACTGCCCTGAGCAGCGCTTGCGAGAGTCGCTTGCTCATTGGCAAAACTAACCACGATACTGCTGATTGCACCTTCTAGCATCGATGGGTCGAATTCTACGGCACCGCTTAGATGATCCTCCACTATCTTTTTGCTGGCTTCGAATGCTTTGTAAGCATTTGGAGATCGGTAAACGTCAAAGTTGACTGTTCCAAGGTCGATATTATGTCCGAAATTAGTACCATAGGCAAGTCCAGTTCCGCGAACAGCGACCCAAAGAGGGCCTTCAACCGCATTCATATAAGCGATGGCAACTAGCAGAGATGGCAATTTGGGATGGTCATGGGAGTCCAATCCCTTGGCAGTAGCGTAGGCAAAAGACGAATCGACTGTAGGCATTGGAACCACATAAGAAAGCCCTCCTATGTTCTTTCCAGCCTCGCTCAATAATGCCTTTCGATTCGTTATGGGAGCGAGATCCTTCCTTTCGTCTAACCCTTGGACAAATGTCTTCCATGACGAGACAGGCTCTGGTAATTTCTCTAAATCAGCAACAACAACAACACGGAAGTTCTCAAAGCGGAAAAGGCTGTTGCGAATCTCTTCCATCTGTGAAACCACAACTTCGGGTTGAGTAGCAAGCAGTTTTTTGATGCGTTTCAAATAGCGTGCCTTGACAAGCGTACTTCGTGCTCGAACAATGGATTCAGGTGCATAATGAACCATAACGTAAAGGGCGGCAAGCATGTCATCACCACTGCGCTTGGCATCTGGAACATCTGCGAGAAGTCTTGTTGTGATAGCCTTGAGCCTGTCTACGTCGAATATTGAGTTCCAGGTAAGCTCTTTCAGCCAAGCAATAGCTGTTGCATATTTCTCTACTTCCACTTGGAAGGTAACTCTCAACATCTCCGAATTTCCCAAGTCTCGCGCACCTTCCATTGAGTATCCCACTGTGTCCCTTTCGAGCTCAACAATAACCTGTTCAAATGAAACAGTTTTGCCGTCTCGTTGAATAGGACTGTTGAAGTAGGCCTCCGTGTATATAGCCAATAAAGGCCGAAGTTGGACAGGTACCTTTTCAGCAGAGATGAGGAGAGCTAATTGGACAAAGTTACTTTGAATGTGCTCAAAATGAATAAAGAGTGGCGCTTCCAGATGATCGGTATCAATTCTTGATTGAATGTGATTGCTTGGTTTTCCTGACTTCAATGCTGACCCTGATTTTGCTGTTGTAGTTGAGATAAAATGGATCGAGTCTGTGGACGGTACTTTGAATCTGGCCAACAGATCCCTTGGAATTTCCTTGTCATTCTCGGCCTTGGCTTCATCCAACTTCTTCTGCATTTCTTTGAGTCCTTCCTCGCCAAGCTTCTTTTGCTGTGCGGCCACCCTCGCTTCTTCGTCAGCTTTGAGCTTTTCGGAGAGTTTTGCGGAGGGAACACCCAGAATAGACACATGAGGAGCATCAGAAATCCATTTTTTGATATAGTCTTTCCATTGACTTTCATTCCATGTTGCCAATTCGTCATATTCCCGGAGGGTGACGATATCAAGTAAAGTCGATCCGTCCTTTCTACCGTACAAGAAATCGGAGATGACATATTCCGCAAAAGGGACAGCGGAAGCCTCGGTGGAAAACTTCCAACTTCGTTTCTGGCGTTCTATACATTCCTTCATATATTGCATATCGAGAGGTTTCTCCAAAGCTTCATCTAAAATCTCAAAAAACCGTTTTTCAACCTGCGCTAATTTTTCTGTCGCTACACTTGTCAGAGTAAACCGAATCTCAATTTGAGGCCGGTCATCAGTGGAAAAGTATACTGCACTCGCAACCTGTTCCTTTTCAACCAGGATGTTTTCGAGAACTGTTGCTGAAGAACCAGCGAGATAAAGCAGGATGACGTTCAAGGCACCACCTGTAATAATTAGCATTAGAATTTTTTTTTTTAGCAAACCGTACCCTGAATTGGATCCGTGCAATCCGGACCTAGAAATCTGATCTCTATCTCGCCAAAAGATTCGTCTTCTTCTGGAAATTCAATCGTATGCACAACTGATTCCCTGAGAGGAGGGGCCTGTCGAGACTCGACCCATGGACGCTTGAATGGGGCATCAGGGCCGGGAACAATATCAAGAATTGTACTTTCGAAACTATTCAATTTCTCCAACAGATCATCATGATCCACTTCACCAGTAATTATAAGGCAAAGATTTTTTGGCTGGTACATCTCGCGGTGAAAGTCACGTATTCTCTGTGAAGTGAGGGATCGAAGCTGTTCCAACATACCACCAGTTTCATATCGAAAGCCAATCCCTTCTGGATAAAGCAGGCGTCGAGCTTGCAGATCAATTAATTCAGACTGACTATTTTGCAGAGCCTGCATTTCCGAATACACCACACCTGCATCATTGCCTGTCCCATCAACATGGTGCACTTCTGTATAGCAGCCTGCGTCGGTGAGGGTAGGAGCGATGACATGCTCTAGGTAGACTGGGAGGATCTGGGAAAAGCCAGCCCATCCAGCGGTGTCCAGCGTATAAGCCGTGTGGTCCGTTGCCGTCCATGCGTTGGTATTGGAGTAAGCCCTTGTGGCAAGTTTATCAAGAAATCCTTTGTAACGGTAGTTCCGAGATCCCATGAAGCACAAATGCTCGAGAGTATGAGGGGAGCCCGAATCATCGTGGATTTCGGTTGCTAGGACAAAATAGCCAGCGAGTTTAGGTCCCTTGTGATCAATAACAACCACTCTCATCCCCGTTCTGTCGGATTCGTATTGCGTGAACTCATTCACGGAATATTCAGGCTGGAACTTCTGAAGGCGGCGGAAATGCCCTCTCTGCTCGGAGGCGACCATCCTGAAGGGAGATGGCCAAAGGCGCGGAAATGGTTTCGAGTAGCCTTGAAGTGTCGAAAGCCACGAATTCGCCTTTCTATTGGGTTCGTTAGCAACAACACCTCTGGTAGAGAACGGCGCGCAAGTCTAACAGAGACCTGTTCCAAGTCCTAAGCTCAATTCGGAGGGACTGGGTAGCAAAATCGATAATGCTAGGTGATAGCGACACCCATTGGTTTTGACAAAAATATCCCAAGCCAACGACCAAGCACCACAGCCAGAAAAAGAGCCCAGGCTTTTGCATAAAGACCGGCCAGTGCGGAAAGGAGGGGTAAGTGGATTGCTTGTATCCACACTCACCTGCAAGCCACAGCTTTGTGTGAACAGTAGAACTGGAGGTAGTCCGACTGTATGCTGTGAGGCTGAATGGCGAGGAGCTTGGAGCTAGGAGACCTCGTTGCCTTGCTGGAGGAGTTGGACGGCTGAAGGTTGTGTTTTCCCTTGAAGTGGGGAGGTGAAAAGACAATACTATGCCAAATAACTGCTTATACGAAGCTGCCAAATAATGGAAGCAATTAATTTCCTGGGGTATCTTGAAAAGATATCTCTGTAAAAAAAAAATTATGGTGTATTTTATAAATTACGATCACCTAGAGTTATCAACTATTAAATATTGCCTAGGATGATTCCCTGCTTGCTGGTGACTGGGGAGGCCAAGGCGCAGTCGGCGGGAGCTTAAGGCCAAATATTAATACAGTGGAAGCTCTCCGCAATCTATGCCATGTGCTCTTATATCCATCACGCGACTCCATGCAAGCTCGACACTGATGCAAGTCCTTTCAAAAAATAAGAAACACGACACGAACGCATGAATACCTGATTGCTGCCTCACCACTCCAAACTGCGAAGGCTATAGGCCTATCGATCGACGACGCCGATCGCAATGCCCTCCGCCGTGAGCAAGGATGAATTGTGTGAATCGATACTTGACTTTGCGACCAACGGCACTTATCCAGACTCTCAAGACCTCGTGTCTTTAGACTTCCCTTTGTCACTCCTCCCAGAAGAGTTGCGACGCATCTCCGAAGTCCGCGAGCAAGTACAGGTGCGCTACGGCTGTGATTGTGGATAGGCAAGGATTATTAACGACTTATTCTAGAAAGAGATATGCGCTCTTAGCAATAACACCAAATTAGACGTCGATGGATGGATATTTCAGGCCCGCCAATTGCATACAGATATTGAGCGATCGAGGGATATAGCGCGAGAAATCGTTGCGCAACACGAGAGGACGCTGCCACTCCAAGCTGCCGTCAAGGATGCATCTGCAAAGGTGAATTTGGTACAGACCGAACTCACCTTCAACCAAGCGGTCACGGATGTATTGGAGAAGGCGCGGGAGTTTTGTTCCCGCATAGACGACGGCCAAAAAGCTGTCGAAGAAGAGCGTATCACCGATGCAATTGCCTACGTTGAATCTGCAGAAAGCTTCTTGAAAGACGCGAAGCTCTCGGGGTATGATGGCCTGTCAAATATTCTTCATGAGAACGCGTCCCATCTACGAAAATCGATTATAGAGCTACTCCGGTTGCAATGGGCTTCTGAAGTACGCATCAACAAAAATGAAATGGCGTTACATATCAACAATGAACCTGGTAATGAAAAGCAGTATGATTTATATAAACCGGCAGCGCTGACTGTTTCCACATAGACCAATCGAAACTATACACGTTAATTGAATCGCTTTCGCAGCTTCATGTCCTTGAATCTGTAAATAATTTTTTTCAGCGCGACCTTATGGAATCCATAATCCAGCCAATTATCGTGTCCCATGTTCCTGGAGAAGGCTGCGAAGTCTCAGTTGACAATCACGGTTTGAAAGTAGGGAAAGCAGTCTCTACTTCAGTGTCCGAAGTGTTCAACCGACTTGCTGTGGTCCTCAGTTATCTTCAGAAGAAACTGCCGCTATCTATTTTGGAGCCGCTATCGCAGAGTATCATCCCGACTATATCGACGACACTATGTGACTCATGGCTCACTCCTTCTATACCATTGGACGTGGATCATCTGCAGGCTTTTGAAGGAACCTTGACTTCTGTAAAGGACTTCTGTGGGTTAATCGAAGGGTTCGGGTGGCATGGCCAAGAAAGTCTTGCTTCTTGGATTGACCAATTCCCTCGTTTATGGCTGACATGTCGAAGAGTTGATTCGCTGGATCAAGTCCGCAAGATTTTAATCCATAGCAATGGCGCAACGAAGGAAGTCACCAGGGTTGAAAAACAGATGGTAACGAGCGACGACGACGTTTTACTCGATTCTGGTGCAATGGACGAATGGGACGCTGACTGGGATGATGAGAACGAAGAGGAACCAAAACAAGCAGCAACAGATGAAGATGATGTCAGTGCTTGGGGCTTAGAGGATGAAGCAGAAAACGAGGCAAAAGCCGACGACGATGCAGACGATGCTTGGGGCTGGGGAGACGATAATGAGGATCGGAATCCTGTAGAGAAGGAGGAAGCTCCTCTTCGAAATCCACACCAAGAAAAGAGCTCTTCAAAACCCACGGCAGCCAAGGAGATCACGTTGACAGAAACATATATGGTGACAGACATCCCAGACTCGATCATTACGCTTGTTATGCGACAAATTTCGGATTCGCAGTCTCTGTCCGGGCCAGAGTAAGTATGAATATTATCTTTGGTTGATATTAGGCTAATATTTGTATGCAGTTTTTCCACAAGTCGTGTCGTCTCCTCAAAAACTGGTCTCACGGCACTACCGACACTAATTCTAGCAATGTTCAAAGCAATAGCCTCATCATTTTATTCGTTGAAGCTGAACGCCGGAAACATACATTTGTACAACGATAGCATGTATCTGGCGGAGCAGGTTCGCAATATTGTAACGGAGCAGCAGATGGCAAGATTATTATCTGACGTCGATGGCCTAGAACGATTTGCCAGATTATCTTATAGCAAAGAGATGCAGACGCAGCGCACAATTGTAACAGACCTGCTCGATGGAAGCCAAGGTTTCATTCACTGCTCGGAGCAACCTTTCCTCAAGGAGTGTGAAAACGCCATCGACGCTACGGTTGACAGGATTCGCGATTTGTTCAAAGAATGGAAGGGAATTTTATCTCATTCGGCACTGCTTCAGGCCATGGGCTCCCTCGTTTCCACGGTCATCAACAAAACTATCATTGACATCGAGGATTTATCTGACATCTCTGAGGAAGAGTCTCAGCAGCTGCTGTCATTCTGCAACAAACTTTCAAAGCTGGAAGACATGTTCATGCCAGAACCAGCTACCGATGGTGTCTCCACAGCGGCCGTCTACGTACGAAACTGGTTGAAGTTCCAGTATTTGATAAGCATACTCGAGAGCTCTTTGGCTGATATTAGATATCTCTGGACGGAGGGAGAGCTGAGCTTGGAATTTACGGGTGGCGAGGTCATAGACCTGATCAATGCGTTATTCGCAGAGTCGGACCATCGACGGAAGACAATATCTGAAATTCGTCGCACACACGTGGGGACTTGATACGAGCAGTATATGTCATAAAACAGTAACACTTCCTTCAACATTGGTATTGAGTATGTCATTTTGTATAAATAATAGAACCAAGTACTACATCCTATACAATTGATGTTAAATTTAGTATGATAAATTCACCCCAAAATTATGGCTTGAAATTATAAAATGGCGAAACTACGAAGGGTTAACCCAACTCTATAGAGTGAGGTGAAATGATCGAATAATACTGTGATGCGGGAAAATCTAGGAAAAAAAAGCCTCATTGTTTTCTAGGAAGTAAAATTCAGGTCTAGATTTACGACTTTCAGTTCCCGAGTTCGCGAAGGGCATAAAGCGCCATGTGATCTATGCAACTCGCAGGTTCTCCAGCATGAAATTACGCTAAATTAGATGTTAACAAGCTACGCAAAGCGCGCCTAAGAAATTAATTCCAAGCATGACTATATGCTGGTAGCTCTGTCGAATAACAGGGTTTCCCCTCATCCTTACCAGAGTGTTTTGAGATTAGAGTGACTGCTGCTCAATCCTTATTCGGGCCCATTATTTATTCTAGGTCTCTGTCCAAGCCCTTGAACCCTCTATGCTCATCAACTGCCATTTTTGGATATGGTATTCCTGTATTGAATAGCCCTAGCAGTCATTGACCCACCACTATAGCTTAGAAATTCCTCAAAGTCCCCACCGGGTGTAATAACAATTTCACCAAGCAGTGCGAACAAAGTACTGTGGTTTGGGGCTTGAGACATTTAGTTGAATATCCGAATGGCGATATTAGTGACAGTCCATACGGTTTCGCCAGTGTATACTAAATAATTACATCAGCACTTGATCAAACTATATCCTGCTAGAATTTCTATCTCTGGTCCTGCCGTACTTCTGGCTCGCAGGCAGAAGCCATGGCACACACAAATACAGTTTCTAGTTGTGAAATCTAGTTATATTGTATGCTGGTGGTAATATGATTTAGACAGTAAATATTGCATCATAAGTTGTCTCAATCAAACTTCTCTATTACTAACTCCAATCCCAGCCTCTTTTAGTCCCACTGTCCCGAGCACTCCAACATCTCTGAGCCACTTGTCACATTCTGCATATCGCGTTTTAGAAATTTGAATCATCTCTGAGATAATCTAACCCGCTCAAATGTTTTCTTCTGCGCTGCAAAACATTCACGTCCTCTTGATCCTTTCTCCGCATTCCATAGGAGGATAAATTTGTCAGCAAATAAAGGTCTCGAAAGGCCATCGAGGATTACTCCGGGAATGGTAAGATCGGGATGTCGGGCGGTTGGATTGCAATCCGTTGTGCCTGATATAGTGGTGGTGAAATCATACGCTGGCCTCTCCCTTGGGGAATATGCAGAGTCTCTAACCATATGAAGTGATTTACAGTAAAATGGTCCTTTCCTAACCGCCGCAACCGCCTATCGAATGAGCGAATGACTACCTCCTTGTATCCTTGTCGCGTGATATTTTTTTCATTCTACCCCGCTGCTGAGACGCTGCTGCGCAGGGATCGTGGGGATAACATTTAATAATTTAGCTCACGCACTGCGCCGCCTACTATAATATTGTCATATTGACCTTGACGTCTTTCACGTATTTTAACGCTTCTGATGGTTCCTTAATTTTGATCTAATTGGTTAGCTACTGCGGGACCATAACTTGGATATATGATTGGTCAGATTGGTGCGGGGGCTAGCTGCGTTACATCAAAATTAAACTATGGGTCATATTTTAGATGGATCTGATTAGTCAGATAGATGTGCAGCCTTTATAACAGCGTTTCTATACATAGCAGGGCTGATTTACATGTATATAAGGCGGGACGCTACACCGCATTTATATAGCAGCGTTTCTATAACAGGCTAAAGTAATTATTTAAACAAATAAAATTTATATAGATATGATCCTACCGCGCGGACCGCGGCACCGCAAAGAGTCTTGTAATCCTAGTACGTATTGACTTCTTCCAGTCTGTTGGCCATGACGCAGCCAGCTACCATTCCTGTCTGTCTACACTTTGTATAAATGTTCAGACGTTCGAGGTTGAGGAGTCTCCCCCAGCTTCCCAGCTCCGAATCAATTCTCGAAGATTTTTGTGTTGTAGAACAGATTGAAGGCTTTTATCCATCCGGGAGAATCGCCATACTCCCAACAAAACACATTCACATCCATTGTAAACCGTTCTGATCTAAGGATAACCACTGGATTCTGAGTGTAACCGGCCGCGTGTTGTCTGCAATGCTCTTTTCTGGTTGCTCCCATGACAATTCCTTCGGGCCAACCGTTTACGGGTGTCGAGATGACTTTGACTTCACAATTACATTCGAAAGAATTTTCTTCTCATTGGTCCCCGCCTCTCTTTTTATTGCCATTGCTCTAGTAAGAGTAGTCTCTCTCGCCTGGAGACCACAAATTGTCAAGGGAGCCATTTTACGTTGGGTGAAATTGGTATAGATTGCCATCGGACCATACCTCCAGACCCGGTCACATACTAACTTGACTTTACAGGCTATAACACTAGTGTACGCAGCGCTGAAGGTTTCCATCTTGGCGACTGTGGTGAGTTACGGTAGTCCTAATGCCTTTTTCACATCCTCCATGGCTGTGGAGCTCGTTTCCAGCCTCAGTGTTGCGGCGGTCTCATTCATAGAACACAGTCGGTCTCCACGCCCGTCAATCTTGCTCCATGTATATTTGCTTGTCACCATATTATTGGACATAGCCCAAGTACGCACCCTATGGCTTGCCTCAACCAGTCCTGATGACATAAGAGTGACTGGCCTGGTGACAGCAGAAGTTGTGGTAAAGGCGTGCCTACTTTTGGTCGAGTCTCGAAGCAAGGCAAGATGGACACGATGGGATCAGAAACAGCATAGTCCTGAGGAGACCAGTGGTCTTTTTGGTCTCGCTGCCTTTGTCTGGATAGACAGTCTCTTTATGTCTGGGTTCAAAAAGGTATTGACCATAAATGACTTGTTACCACTGGACAAGAGTATGGCGACCGAGTCCTTGGAAAGAGCATTATGGGATCGTATACAAACTTTGAAGTCAAATGGTCAGAAATTGGGCCTCCTTAAAGCTTTAGTCCAGGCTCTCAAGACACCGCTTTTACTACCGGTTGTCCCTCGGCTTGCTTGGATTGGATTCCGATTTTGCCAGCCATTTCTCATCCACACGCTCTTAGACCGCTTACAGGAACCCAACTCGGATTCTTCAGATCATGCAAAAAATGTAGGCTACAGCTTGATTGGTGCGACAATTCTTATATATTCGGGAATTGCCATTTCAAGCGCATTGTACTGGTATTTACATGAGCGAACCCTTTGCATGTTCCGAGGAACCCTAGCTGGAGTTATATATAAGAAAACAACGGAGATAGAATTGTCCTCCACACGCGACTCGGCAGCTCTAACCTTGATGAGCACCGACATTGAAAAGATCAGGCTGGGCTTCTTGAATCTCCACGAACTTTGGGCAAACACAGTCGAAGTTGCTCTCGCTAGTTGGCTGGTCGAGCGTCAGATTGGGGCAGCGTTTGTTGCACCCCTGATCATAGTTTTCTGCTGTGCTGTTCTTGCTGCGTTCGTGAGTCGTTACGCCGAAGCAAGACAAAAGTCATGGATGGGAAAAATACAGAAGAGAGTCAGACTCACAGCGAATGTGATTTCGGATATGAAACATCTCAAGATATCTGGGCTTTCTAGCCCAGTATATGACTTGATTCAAGAGATGCGGGTTGACGAATTGAAAGCTGCGTCTCGCTTTCGACTGGTCTATGTCATCGTTGCCACACTGGGCTACGTACCACTAGCTCTTTCCCCCGTGATAACATTTGCAGTCACATCTCGCACTCTGGACGTCAGCAGAATATTCACATCTGTGTCTTATCTTCTACTTTTAGCTGACCCACTTGGGTACCTATTTCAGAACATTCCCAATCTTTTAGCGGCCCTTGCTTGCATTAACAGAATCCAAGAATTTCTGGAGAAGAACCCGCGGGTAGACTACAGGCTGCCATTTGAAGCAGGGGTCGAGAAGAAGGATTGGAAGACTGAGGGCCCAACGGAAAAGTTTGACCCGGCAATAACTATCATCAATGGAAGCTTTGGATGGACGCCTGACAGAATGGTCCTAAAGAACGTTGATCTACACATCACAAGGTCTCAACTCACGATGGTTGTTGGACCGATCGCATCAGGCAAGTCTACCCTATGCAAAGTCTTGCTAGGTGAGACGCCATACTACCACGGGAAAGTCCTAATTGACGCTGGGCTATTATCTCGACAAGTGGGATATTGTGATCAGACACCATACCTGTCCAACACTACTATCCGAGAAAACATTCTTGGGTTCGCTGCTTACAACGAAAGAAAATACCGAGAGGTCATAGAAGCGACCATGCTCAAGGCGGACCTCTCTACACTTCCTAAAGGAGATGAAACAGTGATCGGCAGTAATGGGATTACTTTAAGTGGAGGCCAGAAGCAACGATTGTCAACGGCCCGTGCCTTGTATACTGATTCAAAGTTGTTCATGTTTGACGACGTGCTCAAGGGCCTGGATGCTGTTACGGAAGAGCAAGTCTTCCATCGCGTGTTCGGCCCCGGAGGTCTATTGCGTCGCAGGAATGCCACGGTGATTTTATGTACCCATTCTGTTCGATATCTACAACATGCGGATTACGTAGTGGCCTTAGGAGAAGAGGGCCGTGTTGTTGAGCAAGGCACATTTTCCAGCCTAATTTCCAGTACAAAATACGTCCGAAGCCTTGGGATCAAAATCTCAGATGTAATGAACGCGCGTATGGATGAGGAGGATGAAGACCGGCGACGATCGAAACCGGAATTGAAACCTGTCACGCTAACTGAGACTTCTAGTTCCATGGACAAAAAGGCAAGAATGAATGGCGACCCAACTGTCTATCGTCATTATTTGGCGAGTATTGGAAAGCGATTCATTGCCGTGTTCGTCGTGTTTGGGCTCGGATGGGGCTTTTTCTACAACTGGGGGACCATTTGGCTACAATATTGGTCCAACAATGTTTCATCTTATCCAACACATACTAGCTCATTCTACATTGGTCTCTATGCCTTATTTCAGGTCGCATATATTTGCTGTCTTCTGTTGTGCTTCCTGATATGCTTCCGAACTATGATTCGAATATCTGGATCTCGACTTCATAAGGCAGCGTTAGCCACAGTCATTAATGCGCCATTGAAATTTTTCGCGACTACTGATACCGGCCTGGTGACCAATTTGTTCTCTCAAGACATGACTTTGATCGATAACGAGCTCCCTATTGCTCTCACTAATCTTGCTATGGACATGCCAAATGCTACTGGCATGGCAGCCGTCGTAGCAATATCTTCACCATATCTTGTTATCTCGTACCCCTTTATCTTCGCCGTTTTGTACGGAATTCAAAAGTTCTACCTCCGAACAGCGCGCCAACTTCGACTCCTAGACCTTGAAACCAAAAGTCCACTTTAGTGAGCAAACACCCATTCTCTCAACAGGGATCGATTTTCCTAATGATTTAGCACCCACTTTCTCGACACCGTGAAAGGTGTAGCAACATTCCGCGCCTTCGGCTGGGTCCAAGCTGGTATTGCCGCAAACAATGAACTTCTTGATACTTCACAACAGCCATTCTATCTCCTGGCCATCGCTCAGCGGTGGCTCGGATTCTCGCTCCAGCTAGTTGTTGCTCTCTTGGCAATCATGGTTGTGACCTTGTCTACGCAGCTCGGATCTCGCGCAGGTCTGACTGGTGCTAGCTTGGTGACGCTGATGACCTTCGGTGACATTCTGAACTATATAATGGGATTTTTAACACAGCTGGAGACGTCTATCGGTGCCATCAGCCGGCTAAAACACTTCAGTGAGGATGTAATGCCCGAGGGCTCGCCAGAGGAAGATTTCATCCCCCCTTCCGAGTGGCCTAGTAGAGGATTTATTCATATTGATGGGGTATCAGCTTCTTACGAGTAATGCTATTCGTTGCCCAATAAACTATGTGAATATGCTAACGACAGTTGCAAACACAGCGCGAGCGATGATGACAAAAGCACGCTCGCTGTAAGCAATCTTACCCTGACCATTCAGGCGGGAGAAAGAGTTGTCATCTGCGGTAGAACAGGAAGGTAGGTGACTTACAACAAGCAACGCAATTCTCTGAAATTTTCAACTAATTTCCACACTTTAAAGTGGTAAATCCTCCGTAATCCTCCTTCTCCTCCGCCTCTTGGACCCTCTCCCGATGTGCGCTGAAAACATCACTATCGACGATACGCCTCTTCATAAAATCGACCGCATAGCCTTGCGTCAGAGAATAATAGCCATCCCGCAGGACGTCGTGTTCCTTCCAGACGGTACGACATTCAAATCCAACCTCGATCCATTTGCTGTTTCGACCAATGGCGAATGTCAAGATGCCCTCAAAACCGTGGGCCTATGGCCATTTGTGACTGAGCGCGGGGGTCTGGAAGGACCATTGGATCCTGATACGCTCTCACAAGGACAGAAGCAGCTTTTCAGCCTAGCTCGAGCAATCCTGCGCCGAAGGATTCGTGATCGGGACGCCCCCGAGAACGGAAAAGGAATTCTACTTCTAGACGAGATTGGATCTGGCGTTGATATAAGTACAGACCAAGACCTGCACGTAATTATTCGAAAGGAGTTTCGAGGATATACCATTGTTATGGTTAGCCATCGATTGAAAACAGTCATGGATTTTGATACGGTTGTGGTAATGGACAAGGGCTGTATGGTTGAGAAGGGAGAGCCACAGTTGTTAGTTAGAGAAGAAGGGAGTCGGTTTGGAGAATTATGGGTGGCTAGTCAAGGCTAATGGAGTTTATCAGTATGCAAATAGGTCTCCTTCTAGTTGGCTTTATAAAGCATGTAGAATTGTGAAGTGATGTTAGGGCAAAGAATATGCCCGTCATTTCTAGTTAGGGTAAAGTGTGGGGCCTGCGCCGATAGCCGCTAATATTTTTTCTTTTGGTCTCGACCAAGCTCATCGCATCGACGATCATTCCATTCAGTTGAGCTCTCTGAGCAACATAATACTACGAAATGAGTGCAGAGGATTCTTCACTACCGCAGTCGGCCCAGCGACAGGTGCGCCTGCTCCTCACAACTCGAGATGGCGACATTGCTCTGCCAGAAAATACTGGCCCAATCCTCGTACCTACAGGCTCGTGTCTCCAATTCAATCGCAGATGCACATTTGTTCTGACTTGCAGCGAATCTAGGCTTACGAAGATATGCTCTATCAACACTGGTCAACAATTTGCTCGATAACGAGAAGCCGGTTCCTCTCGAGTTCCTAGTCAACGGAACATATTTGCGGACCTCCATCGACGAATACCTTACCGCCAATGGTATCTCTGCTGAAACGACACTCGAAGTTGAATATGTCCGAGCCCTCATACCACCTTTGCACATTGCCTCGTACATGCACGATGACTGGATTAGCTCGGTAGATGTGTTGTCAGCGACATCGGTTAAGAATGGCGAGGGACTAGCAGCAGGGCGCGAGAGGATATTGTCAGGAAGCTACGACGGTCTTTTGAGGATGTGGAATATGTCCTCGGAAACTATAGCTGTGTCACCGGATGCTTCTGAAGGTGGACATACTGCCTCTATCAAAGCGGCAAAGATAATATCGCCCACACAGCTAGCTTCCGCCGGTCTGGACAGGACAGTGCGATTGTGGAAATACCTTGAAGATGAAGACGGTTCTTCCGCCTCGATTTTGCCTCAGCTGGAGCTTTATGGCCACAAATCGGGTGTTAATTCACTGGCCGTACACAACTCGTCCAACAGGATTCTGTCTGCGTCTGCTGATCATACTGTTGGATTTTGGTCGACCAAGAAGGCTGACGCACCGACTGCGCCGGCTGAATTGCTGCCATCAAATACTTCAAGAAGCTCCAAACGACGGAGACTAAATTCTTCTGTCAGTACTCCGCAGCGGGGTCCCCTAGCATTAATGTCATCACACACAGGCCCGGTTTCGGCGGCAATTTTTGATGGTAAAGACTCAACTGTTGGATACTCGGCTTCATGGGATCATACTGTTCGCACGTGGGATCTTGTGACTTCGGCTCTAGTTGACACTCGCACTACCTCGCACTCTCTACTATCTCTTGAACATCTCCCTGAACTACACTTATTGGCAGCGGGCACATCTGCTCGGCATGTTACCCTGATAGACCCCCGGGTCTCGGCGACGTCTGTGTCAGCGATGACTCTACGAGGACATACAAATGCCGTTGTGGCACTTGCGCGTGATCCACAGAGTACGTATGGGCTTATTAGCGGTAGCCATGATGGCACGTGCCGTATTTGGGACGTACGATCTTCGAGGACCGACAAGGACGGCGTTATTGGTGAGAGCATTTACTCGATACCGCGCAAGAGCTTAGAGGAAGCAGGAAGGGAAGGCTCGAAACGAGTAGCGGGCGATGGCGTGAAAGTGTTTGGGGTGTGTTGGGATGCGACTGTTGGAATTGTCAGTGTTGGTGAAGACAAAAGGATACAGATCAATCGCGGCGAGGGTGTTCTGCCGGCGGGATCTAGTAAGAGTGGATAAAAATAACGGCGTTTATGAATGTATACATTTTGAGTCCTATTATATCATGTGAAAATATGACGGATATCCTCAAAAACGTAGAACAAGTATTTTACAGAAACTGAAATCAATAGAAGAGAGGAAAACGCCAGGCCGATGCTCCATGTATAAAGTCCTTAAAAGCCGCCGATATCCAACATAAAAAGGTGTAAATCACAGTCTTCTTTCCACCTTATTGAGTCTCTGTGCTGTTTTAACCTAGATTGATTGAATAGTCAGCACAATCCCAACATTTTTCTTCTTGCAACACTCGAAAGGCATATGTCATTTAACGCACCTGGTTCCGTGTATTTTGCCCTCTAACGGGTAACCCAAGAGCATGTCTGCGCCCACGGTATGTACCGGTGTCCCTTAGACGCTTGATATTATCGAGAACTTGTCGGCGCAAGTCGTTTTCAATCTTCATTTCGGACAATGCGGCGGTTATGTCGAGGACTTGCTGGTTCGCGAGCTCGCCGATCTTGGCAGATGGTTGAATGTGGAAACGGGCTAGGAGACGCGATGAGACATTGTGCCCGATTCCGAAGAAAGACTCGAGTGATTTCTGTTTTCAATAGAAAATGGGCTCATCAGCAAATGATACTCGACGTAGTGCAATCTGTCTTATGTTTGTTGGATAGGTAGTAGAGATGTTTAGTACCTTGACAAGATTCCGTTCAGGGAAGTTGACTCCGAGAATGAAAACCTGGATAAACCCATTAGCCAATTTCGATTGATGTGTATATACATTACAGTGCCGTGGCCGGCGACTCACCATCTTGAATGTGTTCCTGGAAGTACCGCCTGCCTTGTTATCACTTCCCTGAGCCGTATCAAATTCCAGAAAACTACCGCAGGAACAATGTATCTCCGGCACCGCCGAGAGTCACCAAACTGGTTAGCGCGCTACCGATTGAAGTAACCCCAACAGCCAATCAAGAGGCGTCTCGTCCATCCTGCTACGCGGCGCTTTCACGGGGCGTGCAAGCTGGCCTGATCCACGACACTCTTCTCGAGACTGCACCCCCTGATTGAATCGAGAGCAATCAGTATTGAGAACATACGGGAAAATGCAGTTCAAAAGCCTCTTTTTCTCCTTTTTCCTTGTCCTGACCATTGGGTTTGGACTCCTCGCTCACGCCGAGGAGGACAAAGTCCGCGGGCCCAAGATCACGAACAAGGTAAGACAGCCCGAACCGTCAGGTTGTGATGTACCAATCCCATTGACGTTTGATAATAGGTCTATTTCGACATTGAGCAAGATGGCGAATCTCTAGGTAGAATCGTGCTTGGCTTGTATGGAAAGACGGTCCCCAAGGTATGTGTTGCACTATGCCCTGGCGATTGACGACTGCTAATACTCTCATTCAGACTGCCGAGAACTTCCGGTATGTTTAGATGACGGAACCTCTCCTGACTGTCAATTTGTATCTGCGACGTTTTACTGAGATTCAATTAGCGCTCTCGCAACCGGTGAAAACGGCTATGGCTACGAAGGCTCAACCTTCCACCGTGTCATCAAGAACTTCATGATCCAGGGTGGTGATTTCACCAACCATGACGGTAGGCTGTTAGCGGAATGTTGAAATCTATGCATGTGTCTGACTTTTTCCCCCTAGGCACTGGTGGCAAGTCTATCTACGGACAAAAGTTCGCCGATGAGAACTTCAAGCTTCGTCACACCAAGAAGGGACTTCTTAGTATGAACTCGCCACCTACAATACTCATCATTAAGATACTAATGTTAAATAGGCATGGCCAACGCCGGAAAGGATACTAACGGCTCCCAATTTTTCATCACCACCGTCGTCACAAGGTTAGTACTTCTTTGTTATATTATTATCTTCGGTAGCTAATAAGACATCCTAAATAGCTGGCTCGACGGACGCCACGTTGTCTTTGGCGAGGTCCTGGATGGCTACGATATCGTCGAGAAGATCGAAAACACTCAGACCAAGCCTGGCGACAAGCCTGCCAAGGAAGTCAAGATTGTCAAGAGTGGAGAACTAGAGAAACCTACTGAAGGTAGCCACGAGGAGCTCTAAACCTTTCATGTCAAAAGACATCTTCAATTGCTGCGGGGGATTTGCTGATTGCTTTGCTATATTTTTAAAAGACCTCATCGGTACCGCGGAACCGGCGGTGAAAGACGACTCGTTGGATGTTACCATCTCGCCACCTGAAGACTCGAAGGCCCCCGACAATTTACCGCAAACGCCCGAACAGCTTGTTTCTGGGGGACTGGAATCATATGCGTCGCTTCAGAATTTGACTGGGATTGTGGTTATCGCTCTCATTGTCGTTTTTGCGCTATATCTTAGGAGGCGGCCGTCCCCTGTTGGCGACGAAAAGCCAGCTGTTTAGCCCGTATCTACATAGAATATTGCGTCACGTATTTTACAAAGGCTTATATATTACTTCAATTTCGAGTGACCTTCACACACTGCATATGTATAGGCTGGGTCCCAAATCCTCGGCGTGCATTGGTAACACATGAGTAATCATGTGCGACCGATGTCAAGTATTACATCAGATGCACCAACACCTGTATATGTACAGTTGAGAGGACCGACGGGTTTTATATTACGTCAAGTACATGTAGCTTGACAACTTCTGACTAGCAGGGGCATCTAAAAAGATGAAAGCCACAGCGATTTCCAAATCGACTTTCTAGCCTATACAAACGACAAGAGTGTTAAATCAAGAAAAACGTTGGACGAAAAAACTAGATAGAGGAAATACTAGCAGTCGCAGTATCAAACAGTATCGCTACGACAATAATAGTAAATAATGACACTATTGACAATAATAAAAGACGATTATGAAAATAAAATAAAATACAATAATCCGCTGGAGAACCCTGCAAACGCTCGTGGCCCAGCGCCGTCTAATCAGCCACCCTAGCCCAACCTTTTTTTTTTAGCCCTTTTCGCCACTCCCTTTTAACTATCGCCCTTCCTCCACAATCGATTAAAAACCTTCACACCTGCAAATCTCCCCTCAGAACATTTTCTTGTTTTGACCCATTTAGTTTCTTTTTTCTTTTTCTCATTTTCAGACATAGACTTTAGACCTTGTTCCAGAGAGACTTTTTTTATCGCATTTTCTCTCGCGCGAGGTCTTCTTCTGTGTTATCCGACCGGCATCACGACAGAGCAAACAGACTCAAGACGAGACTATCCGACCAGACCGTCGCTCTCTTTCAGTTTTCTGACTCTGTAACGTCTTCAGTTCTCTATTTTACGACTTTCTCGCCTGACATACGCGAGAATCAGCATTCTGTCAGTTCTGTCGAAATAAAAAATTTTCTGATCGTGCGTTGCCCTTTCACCCTTCGCCATCCTTGCTCTGCGATGTGAGTTTGTGCAAATACTGACATATTGGTTTTTGTCGACTAGAAATCCCGCTCTTCTAACATCTTCGAAGACAAAATCGTCAATATGGCCGACAGCTTGAAGATCCAGAACCTTTCTCTCAATGAATCCCAGCACGCCGCCCCCAATGGACCTCCCACGGCCAACGGACGGTCTGCCTATATCCCTCCACACCTTCGCCAGCGCAACGTGAACCCAGTGGCTGTGGATGGTGCTGGTCCTGTTCCTGCTCCTGCTGCTGCTGCTGCTGCAGGGGCTCCTGCCGGTCCTGGCGGTCCTGGCGCTTGGGGAGTTGGGTACGTATCGCAACTCGAAAGGGGAAAAACAACCCAGCAGACAGCTGACTTACTGGAATACAGACCTAAACAATCCGGGCCTCCCCGTGGCAACAACTGGAACAATAATAACTACCGCGACAATGCTGCGAATGGTAAATCTAGCTGGACCCAAGAAGCTACCCGCCCACAGTTCGATCCTAATGCTTACGGAAACCCAGGACATGGCCCCTCTGCAAGCTACACCGGCGGCAGCGGCAGCGGTGGCGGCAGCAACTACACCCCCGAGGCTCTGGAGATGGACAGTGGCGTGATGGCAAGCATGTCCCCGGCCCTGCCAATGCCCGCGTGGAACGTGAACTGTTCGGAGTCCCCAATGACCCCACGAAACAACAAACCGGAATCAACTTCGCCAACTACGATGATATTCCCGTTGAAGCGTCCGGCCAGAATGTCCCGGATCCCGTCAACACATTCACTAACCCTCCTCTGGACGACCATCTGATTGCCAACATTGCGTTGGCCCATTACAACACCCCAACCCCCGTCCAGAAGTACTCGATCCCAATTGTCATGAATGGCCGTGACTTGATGGCTTGCGCTCAAACTGGTTCCGGAAAGACAGGTGGTTTCTTGTTCCCTATCCTCTCTCAAGCATTCCAGACCGGCCCTTCTGCAGCCCCAGCTCAGCAATCTGGCGGCAACTTCTACGGCCGCCAGCGTAAGGCTTATCCCACCTCTTTGATCTTGGCTCCTACACGTGAATTGGTGTCGCAGATTTACGATGAGGCCCGCAAGTTCGCCTATCGTTCTTGGGTTCGCCCTTGTGTGGTCTACGGTGGTGCAGACATTGGCTCGCAGCTTCGCCAGATCGAACGTGGCTGTGATCTGCTCGTTGCCACTCCTGGTCGTCTTGTCGATTTGATCGAGCGTGGTCGTATCTCTCTTGTCAACATTAAGTATCTCGTTCTTGACGAGGCTGATCGTATGTTGGATATGGGTTTCGAGCCTCAGATTCGCCGTATTGTTGAGGGTGAGGACATGCCAGCCGTTAACAACCGCCAAACCCTGATGTTTTCTGCGACCTTCCCTCGTGACATCCAGATGTTGGCCCGCGACTTCTTGAAGGACTATGTTTTCCTTTCCGTTGGTCGTGTTGGTTCCACTTCTGAGAACATCACTCAGCGCATTGAATACGTCGAGGATCATGACAAACGCTCCGTGCTTTTGGACATTCTTCACACTCACGGCACCACCGGTCTTACTCTCATCTTCGTCGAGACCAAGCGTATGGCCGACTCCCTGTGTGATTTCCTCATCAACCAGAATTTCCCTGCCACTGCCATTCACGGAGATCGTACGCAACGCGAGCGTGAACGGGCTCTCGAGTTCTTCCGCAACGGACGCTGCCCAATCTTGGTCGCCACCGCTGTTGCGGCCCGTGGCCTCGATATTCCCAACGTCACTCATGTTGTGAACTACGATTTGCCCACCGACATTGACGACTACGTTCATCGTATTGGTCGTACCGGTCGTGCTGGTAACACCGGTATCGCTACTGCCTTCTTTAACCGTGGCAACCGTGGTGTCGTTCGCGATCTCATTGATCTTCTTAAGGAAGCTCACCAGGAAGTTCCTTCGTTCCTTGAGAACATTGCTCGCGAGGGCAGTGGCTTTGGAGGACGCGGCGGCCGTGGCGGCCGTGGTCGTGGTTCTAATGCTACTCGTGATGTGCGCCGCGTGGGTGGTGGTAACGCGGGTGGCCCTCAATCATCATACGGCGGTGGCGGTGGCAGCTTTGGCGGTTCCGGTGGCTACGGCGGCTGGGGTGGAAACACTGGTACGTTGAACTATTCCGTTTCTAACCTTTCCAAATATACTAACGTGTCTTGCTAGGCGGTGGCTACAGTGGTGGTAGTGCTGGTGGTGCTGGCGGTGCTTCTTATGGCGGTAGTGGTGGTGGTGGTGGATATGGTGGTAGCTACGGCAACCCTTCCTCCGGCCCAACTGGCCCATCATCTTGGTGGTAAATTTGCCGTGGTCTCAAGACGAGGCCTTCCGATCTGGTTGTCTCTGCATCTACAATCTCCAGTTTCTTCGGCGGATACGGTCAGATTTCAATGCCCTGAAGCATACTTCAGGGGGCGGCTTTGTCACGACTGCAACGAATTTTCTCGATTCTTTTCAGAGTTTCAATGTTTAATTCTTTTCCTTTGTTCAGTTTCGCGATTTCATGGGTTACGTCTATTCTTTTCTCTTTACTAGAGACGCGCATGCAGTGCATTTCGATGCTTTTCATGGAGTCTCACGTGGGAAGTCGGCAGAGCTTTATGTGATGAAGCTTTTCTCATCGGCAGTGCATGTGAATTATAGATAGCGTTGCTGTTCTCACGACCGCTTTTCTCAGATACCCAGACATTTTCGAATTTCTCCAGCAGGAGGCAGGGAGTGCGCGACATGTCGAACCAGGCGCTGAGTTTGATCCTGGCGCCACCATACATACTCGATAGACCGTGCATTCAAAGATAAATCTCTTGTGTTTCGGTATCTAACGGCGGTATTAATGTTTGTTACTGTGTTTATTTTTCTCTTCCTTTTCAGTTTTCTAAAGGTGCTTTCTTCTTCGGGCTGTATTCTATGTCCGGCTGTACGGCTGTGCGGCTCGATGAGAGATGAAGCTCCCTTCCATATGTTCTGTATTTGATACACGGACAGGAGGGATACTGTGTTCCATCTTCGGTTGATAAAAGTTTTTTAACCATGCGGAGGTGGTGAGCTTATAGAGGTATTTGCATTGCATTCGGCGTTGGCTTGAGCTGCTTTGATCCATGGATTCTCTATACTGGGTCCAAAGGAGAATAACGATGTCTTACGATATTAACATCGTTTGTGTTCAACATCGTTTGTGTTCTCTGTCAGGACTTGTGGAGAATTAGAAATTCGGGCTGCTTTGGCTGGCGCGCTCTGTGTCCATTTGTTGATGCGCTGATATCCTCATCATGTCGTTCGATCTCAGCTTTTAGTGATGGGCTTAGCTAGGAACACTGATGACACGGCGCATGTAGGAGCATGGGAGATTTGTCATCTTAGGGGAGAAAGCTGAAATTCTCTAAAAAGTTTTCAGTGCATTTAAATATTGATCGTTTCAACTTTGCAGTATTCTACCTTAAATTATATTTATTTTATGCAGCCTTGTCTGAATTACGTGTAAGTGTCTGGTGTAGTGTAGACTGTATGTAGATATTAATGTTTGATCGGTACACATCGAGCATGGGTAAACGGTAATGCTGAATTGGGTATACATGTATTGTGATCCTATTTGGACTACATGGCTGGTAAGGAGCCCTGTACCAAAGTGCACTCGTTACATACTTGTGAGAATATTTGTATCCCTGAAAGCCGGCCGCGGGCGGAGCTTCTCGCCCGTGACGGCGGAGTTACAATATCTGCCATCAACAAGCCCTATACCATGTCAGCAACCATCTTCAACAAACCATATCGATGACTCGAAATGCAGATTCAATGCAACTCTGAGTGATTCTTAGCAGCTGCCTACAGTGCCACGATTATCTTGGACTGAAATATGCGGTCCCCAGCTTATCCTTAGCTGCAGTCTTTGCATTAGAGATGTAAAGAGAATAGTATCTACTGGTTATCCTTGCTACCCCCTTTGTAGGAGAGCTACTTATTCGATGACTCATTGATGATCGGCCCATCAAGGGGAAATCAACTGTTTAGAAGTATAAGATTTACAAGAAAATAGAATAAAAGCCAACACTAGCCGTTTTCAGTGAATTCTAACCATTGGCCTCACTTGTCTAGTCCAGGACAGCCTCTCATCAGGCTATCGAAGAAGGCCACGTCGGCGCCCTGGAAAGGCCAGTCATGGATGCCCGTCGCGATGGCGGGAAGCTCCAAGTGCGATTGCAGGTGCTGTTCTTCCCTGGATGTTTGCAGCTGCTGGTTCAGCTGGTCCGGCACGAGCAGATCTCCCAAAACCGGTGAGTTTTGAGTCACGCCGTGCAGATGAGTCAGTGGCTGCTGGATATCCGTAGGCGATGGCGCTTGAGGTACAGACGTAAATGCGTCATTGAGTGTAGCACGCATTGGCTCCGCATACGGAAACTCAGTCTGAGGAGTCTGATATGCAGCGCTCTCTTGCAAGGGCTCTCGAGAGATAGGTCCCTGACGGGTGATCTTGATGGTGCCGAGGTATGGAATGAGTAAACGCAGCCCCTCTACGCATCCCTTCCCTGCAGAGTCTTGTCCATCGTCTTCGTCTCTTCCGACGCTGCTGGCGGTGTAGCTGCTTCCATTGGCTGCATCCGCCTCGATTTCGAGTAATCGTCGGATCAATTCGCCGCTTTCTTCCATGACGACGTCCTTGTTATCGTCTCTCATTACATCCATTCTCTCCAAGGTTTGATCCAGCATAGCACGATCGCTAAGACGCTGATGGGCCAGGAAGTTGGTCGCATTCCTATGGTAATGAGCATCGAGGTGAGCAAGTGAAAGCGTCATGGCGGCTAAAAGGGCAAAAAAGTCTACAGGCCGTGAGCATAACGACTTAGGTTGAAAGCTTCGGTGAGCAATGAAGCGTGTTATAATCTCCCGACTCGCGTTGACGCATGTGATCTTAGAGTATTCATGCTCGGTATCATTACTGATTCCGTGCATCATATATGGTAGATGGAGCTGAATTAGTAAGCCGTAGTAGTAGACCTGAGCTGCCAGCCGTACTGCCTCCAAGAGGTTGTCGGGCGATCCTACCATCACGTTCTGGAAATTCGCCGGACGCCAAAAGCTTGCCGGCATACTCTGAGACACTCTCAGTAGATCTGCATCAATAGACTGTTTTATAACGATCTCACTCGCAGTAAAGGCACGGTCATTACGTTCTAGTATACATGATGCTATGACGGTGAGTTGTCGCTCGAATTGGCCTAGTGGTGGTTCATGCTGTAAAAGCGATAAAGCCCGTAGGCTCTTATCAGTTGTTCCCTGAGGTAGACCGAGCAGCAAACTGAGATAACGATCCATGTAGACAATTCGAAACCACATAAACTCTGGGTCAGCATCAAGCGTAGGGTCGATGCGTTTTAGTGGAGGCATAGGTGAGCGGTGCAGGCCCATCGTTTGTGCAATGGCCATTGCCCTGCGATAGATAACCCACGCCTTACGAAGATTGCCACAGTTAGTTTCAAAGACAGCTTCGAGAATGATGCAAATCAGGCTCTCGACAGAGCCGTGCGTCTCTTCCTGGGTCGCCAACCATCTCACAGCAGCCGTGACCAAGCGACGGCTGAGAACGTTTGGTGGTTCCGAGAGGCTGAGAAATTCCTCACATGGGGCCTGTAGAGTGATGGCAAAAATAAGCATACTCTTGGCGAGAATGACGGGATGAGTGTTGGAATCAGGACATTTTGGTGAAAGGTACGGCGCCCCGAGCGTCTCCTGGGTCAATTTGCTATGCGGCTGGGTGTTGACCAAGCAGGTGTAACGTGATGTTCTCAAGCTCTCCTGAAGCAGAATTTTGACGTCGTCGTCGGATGGAAAGGCAGCCCATAAGGGATGGAAGGCTGTGGTTTCAGCCTCAGCTTGATCTAACACAGTTGGCGAGTCTGAGGCAAGTAGTGCTGAATGTAGAGAACATTCTTCAAGAGTCTAAGTAATGGTCAGAGAACAGCTCGTTTAATAACGGTTAGTCGTGTTCCACTCACTTTTGCAGGCGTGGGAGGAGCTCGGACTGACGAGGGCGTTGGGTCTGAGGCATAAACTCTGACAACATCATGTCCCTTTTGCTGTAACTCTTCTTTGCTATCAAGCAAGTCTTTCATAGCATCTTCAATTCTTGCGATGCGATCACCGAGACCGCGGTTACCCTTGCCGGCCAGAGCCAAAGACTCTGGTATCTCCTGACCGATGCAGGGTACCCGTCGGCGCTGACAGAAGACGCATGTGGCGTCTCCCGACGTTGGAAAGATGCACCTGATCTTCCGTCGTTTGCATTCCCAGCAAGACCGAGTCCCCTTGCGAACCCTTCTTTGATTAGCCACTGATTCTGGGTTCGGCGTTACCATTGCCGGCTCTCCGTCCCAGCCGCAGCTTATGATCGGCCGTACTAGTGAGGAATATCTGTGTAGTTATGTAGTGCTCCGACACGGCGGAGAGATCGTGGTCAGTTGTGGTGGATTGTGTAGTGATTCCTTGAGGTTCGAGGGCTTGAGACAATGTTGTCTTCCGCCGTCACGGGCGAAGCTGGTAGCTGAATTTGTCAGCTTCAGTCCCTTAACCCTAACTAGTAGCCGCTTCGGCGGACAAACTTGCCTGCACCAGACCTATTTTCTTTTCATAAAATCACAATGTTTCTTCTTCGATGCGTCTGTCGGATCAATCTTCAGAATCGATTCATTTGCGCCACTACTTCACTTGTTGCCTGCGCCCGATTTAGTTAGCTGGTCCTTCTCCTGCAATTTAATCGATACCGAGCAACATGGCTTCTAACCCAATGATCGAAGCCAACGAGGAGAAAGAGACGGCATCGTCTAGCGGTAACAACGACAGTAAGATCGACACCCTTGTTGCCCCCAAGCCTGAAGTCGTAAAGCCAGCAGGGCCTCCGCCTCCTCCTAATGGCGGACTCACGGCATGGCTTCAGGTGGCAGGAGGCTTCATGATCTTCTTCAATACCTGGGGGTTGATCAACACATTTGCGGTCTTCCAAACCTACTACGAGTCGGGCGCACTTTTTACCCAGTCTTCCTCCAATATCTCCTGGATCGGCTCCATCCAGGGCTTCTTACTTCAGCTAACCGGCATCGTTGCTGGACCTATCTACGACCGAGGCTACCTCCGCCTACTCCTTCTTACTGGTAGCTTTATGATCGTTTTTGGTTACATGATGCTCTCTCTATGCCACGAATACTGGCAAGCGATGCTGGCACAGGCTATCTGCGTTGGTATTGGTAGTGGTTTACTTTTCACGCCAACTGTTTCGCTACTTCCAACATGGTTCGGCTCGCACATCGGCCTGGCAGTTGGTATCGCATCTTCTGGTTCATCGCTAGGTGGCGTCATCTACCCTATCGTACTCTATCGACTCATCGGGCCGATCGGCTTCCCCTGGGCTGTACGAACCGTAGCCTTCATCGCTCTCGGGACTTTCATTATCCCAGTGATTGTGATGAAGCAGCGCATCAAACCACCGAAACCTCGCGCTTTGATCGACTGGTCAGCATTTACAGATGCGCCATACATTACCTTTGCATTGGCCCTCCTGATTGTGTTTATTGGCAATTCAGTGCTTATCTTCTATATCTCCTACTACCCGATCAATAAGGGTTTCACCAACAGTTCGCTGGGTTTTTACATGGTTGCTATTTTTAATGCTGCGTCTATCTTCGGGCGAATTGCACCCAACGCGGTGTCTGACCGCATTGGCGTGTTCAATATGTTTGTGCCGATGGCGCTGATCTTGAGTATCACAGTCTTCTGTATGCTTGGTGTGAACAACGCGGCGGGAATGATTGTTGAGGCAGTTGTCACAGGCTTTTTCAGCGGTGTCATCGTTGCGCTGCCGCCTGTTTGCTTCGCCATGCTTACGAAGAACAAGGCTTTGATCGGCACACGTATTGGACAGGGATTTGCGATTGGCGGTTTGGGCCTGTTGATTGGTGGACCAACTGCTGGTGCTATCCTTGGAACAACCGAACCCCTCAACTGGACTGGCCTTTGGGTTTATGGAGGTGTTACAGTTGCTGTCGCTGGGTTTATCCTCATTGCCGTTCGTATCATGAAGGCTGGGCCCAAGTTGATGGTTAAGGCTTGATAGATGCAAAGAACAAAGGTACAATGCACTAAAAGCGGTTTTATTATAATTATTATCTACAGGCTCATAGGTCTACTTCTATAGAATTTTCTACTAATAATATCCTTGAGTGTTACACAGAGTACTAATTATTTCCTAATTCGGGCAAATGCGGTCGAACTCCAACTAGTGGTCTGTTGAGCAGGTAAGTTGAAGGATTCCCGCTGTATCGTAATGTATAACTCAATGGTTGGCAGTGTGCTTTCTATAATAATATCTCTACCGTTTTTCAAAATAAACCTGCCACATTAATCTTTTACTCCTGGCCCTGTCTTATAATGAGGACATACGATAGGCGGCCGCATGTGCTTCCCGTGATAGCCCCATTACACATTGTACTAAAACGTATCAATTGATTTTACTCTTAAATCTGCTATTTAGCGCTCTATCAGGAAGTCTAAAACAAAGTACAATTTATAATTCAAGGTTTAAGTTATGATCATGAGCTGGTTCCCTATCAACTGGTCGATCGTCCTGGAAGGTTAGTTGTTCGGCCGGGGGGATGTTGCTAGTACTATAACATCTTTTGAGAAGGGAAGGGTTGGCTTTCTACGGCTGAGGAGCTGGATTCTGGAATATCACTATTTCATTATGATTAACCAATTTCTCAAAAGTTCACATATCCACTAAATCATGCAATAGCTTCTTATTTCCAATCTCTTCGTTCAACTAACGGTAAAGGTCTTCGTGATCACGCTTAATGGCGTCGGCGCCCTTCTCGGCCACCATGTAGACTGAGTTCTGGATGCGGCAGTCTGGAATAACAGGGATGACAGAGGCGTCGATAACACGGAGGTTTTTGACTCCATGGACTTTGAGGCTGGGGTCCACAACACCCTGCTGGATATTCTTGGACAGGCGGGCAGTACCACAAGGGTGGAACGAGGTTTGAGAGCGATCTAATACCGTTCTCTTCATCGCCTCCTCATCATCTAAAGGCATTTCCCACGGATATTCATCCACAACAACATCCTTGAACCCTTCGCCATGCTTGAGGACATCATAAGTGTATCTTATGCCTTCACGCATGGCAATGATGTCAAGGTCATTGTTGAAGTAGTTCAAGTTAATGTTGGCCTGCTCTAGAGGATCGCTGCTGTTCAGTGTAACTTCACCACCCTCAGAGACGGGGCGAACAAGGTCGACCATCACTGTCATGTAACTGCCTTTGTTGGGGTGTGGGAAGTGCCACTGGAACGCACTACCAAAGAGAGGAATGAAATCAAGCTCAAAATGAGGCTGGCCGTATGGGCAGAAGGGATCGAGACCACCATTATCAGCCTTTGCCGCACGATATTCAGGGGATTTTTCCAAGTATTTATCGATGCGAGGGAAGCCAATTAGCTCGAGGAATGGTGATCCCATAGCGCCAGTGTGGTTCTTGGAGTACGTTGACAAAACTTTATCCTGTAGCTTTCCCTTCCGCAAGACATGGCTATCCATCGAGAACTCGTCTTTAAGACGAAGGACAAAGGGAACACCAGGGTGGTCCAGGAGATGCTGACCGACGTGACGCGAATCAACAAGAACAGGGATATTGTGCTTGGCCAGCTCAGGCGCTGGTCCGATACCACTCAGCATTAAAAGCTTAGGGCTTTCAAAAACACCCTGAGAGACAATGACCTCACGAGTGGCATAGAAGCTCAACTCTTGTCCAGAGCTGTTGATCACAGTTACACCTTTGGCGGTGCGATCAGCGTCGTCAATAATAAGTCGCTTTGAGTGGACCTCAGGAAGAATAGTGATATTCGGTTGGTCCACAACAGCGAGAAAACTGCCCGAGCGCCGACCCTTATAGATTGTGTTTACACTGTGCACTAGGCCACGCATTGTGCCATCAAAGATGTTTTCAGTAACAGGCTCACCGGTGGACTTCCAGGCCTTAGTAACCAGTTCACGGAACCCTTTCATCTCGGGCATAAGGTCGGCGTGGGCAATTGGGATTGGACCACCAGCGCCAATCTTCTTAAGCTCTGGTGGGAACAAGCCGGCATCATCGTGATAAGTCACACTCTTACGAAGATAGGGAACAAGAGGATCCCATGTCCACTCCTTTCCACCGTATTCTTCCCACATATCAAACGTACCCTTGGAGCCAGGCACCCAAGAGAAGTAGTTCAGCGATGAGCTGCCGCCAAGAGCCTTTCCGCGAGTGTTAGGCTTCTCAATACGCTCATAGTCAGGGCGCTTGACCATGGTGGTCTTGTAGGCCCAATCATACTGGCTGCCACGGATCTCCATTGCAAGCCCTGGAGTCCGGATCTCCTCGTTATCCTTGGAGGTGCCGATGCCGGCCTCGACGACGAGGATACGGGCATTGGGGTTTTCCGCAAGACGGTGAGCAACGATATTGCCTGCCGTGCCACCACCAACGACAATGAAGTCGAAGCGAGCTCCGTCCTGGACAGTCATGATAATAGAGAAATAGGTTGTCTAATTAAGAGATAGTTTTGGAATTGGTTAATGAACTGGCCTTTGTGGCTTATGGAGAGATTTCACGAGTACTTTATATGTCCTAGGAGTGACCCAATGTCTCTTTGCTGGAATGGTTTACTACGTTCATTAACCTCAAGGTATCGTCATAGAACTTGAAGCTGAGCGGGGCGATACGGGCACTGTACTTTGGATTGGTTTCATACTCATACCATAATGAGTTTTCGGCCACAGGATGGAGCACATGTTGATACCATAGATCTGCAAGATTTGAGCCAGACCGAACACATGCATGGCGACTAAATAGGCATGATACGCCCACTTCCTACCATCTCTCGTTTGAAAGCAGCCGTAAGACTTGATCAGCGCGCTGCTCATTGGTAGCTATAGCTAGTAGAAGACGTGGGTGGCTCTGGGGACCTTTGTGGAAGCTTTAGATGGTGATTGCGTTAATTATTTTAAATCTAGAATAATTACTTGCTAATACTACTCGGCGATGCTAGATTGGCTTTTGATCTCTCGTATTTACATGTATCGGCCGCAGAAACGAGTTCGGGGTTTGCAGCATCAGCTAGCATATAAACTATGCCCTGCGATACAATCATTATTAAGTCTAGGCCATCGGAGGTTTGGTGATCTATTACGTAGCTAATGACTTTGTAGTCTGGCCTCTGCGGGGTTCTAAGCTAACTTGATCAATAACTTACGATTTTCGAATCGGGCAGTAGTAGTCTGCCAGTCAAATTATCGCCGTCTCCACAGCGGCTGGCGGGGGTACTGCACTGGAATGGAATAATATTAACAAAATTAAATGCCACCTAGTTTCGATACCAATTGGTATGCCTCGATACGGATGGATCTGATTATGACGCGAACATACAGACTATTCCTCCGCTCTGACCCGTATAGTCAACCTCACCTCGACGTACTGGAATCAAGGACGGTAAAGGAAGCGGAAGCGATAAACATGCCTGCAAGGCGAGCATCTCAACATGAACAATGGAAATTTGCTAGGCAAAGATAAAGGATGCCATTCTCTTGTTGACCAATTGTATCCCACTCCACACCAAGCATCAACTGACAAGGAAGTGTACTAAACTCCCAAATCGCTCTGAAAACGAGACGCTTTAGACATTTTCGCCCGAATGCAGCACACCCCGCCTGTTCTTCTATATTAGGAAAATTAATGAAGCGTGATAGAGCGAATGGCATTGGCAAGGGTTGTAAATAAGATAGCCATTTATTGAAACAGGTTCCTGAAATCTATCAAATCACAAGTGCTTGCGGCGCCACCGAGGCAGCACATAAGGCTGATAAGTTGTGCGTTCAGTCGAGCTAGAGGCACCAACATTGAAATAAATTCCTCCCTGATTCTGCCCTGTTATTTTTTTTTAAAAAAAATACTTAGAGTTCCCTGTAAGTCCGCTCCGTGTACCATATGTATACCATGCTAGTGTACAATTTCATAAGCATGAAGAGCTCTCTGCTAGTGTCTGCTTCTCTTCACATTGCTGTATACTGAGATCTTGGGAAAATATTAAGGCATCGAATTAGTCTATCTGTACAGAAAACTTTGTACTACACTGTTTATATGGCTCAAGGCTACAATCCACACCGGATCACATTCATCCAAGAAATCCAGGTAAGTAGACAACGCGCAGATACAAGTGTCCGATGCCGGCCTTTTCTAGCACAGCCAAAGATATCGACTCACAGCTTCACAGAACACGGAAATGGGAGAAGGGAATTAGTGGCCATGCACAGAAGATAGCAATGAATCTGGTGTAGCCCTGTCATCTGGGTCAAAAACCATCATTCCGTCGCTCGTCCTACAAAACATATTGAGCAGACATTTTTCAATACCTAGCTGAGCTTCGAGACTCAAATGAGTAACAATTTCAGTCATTTGCATGATGTAGTAAAATTTATCGGCACCGGATAGACCAAACTTGAGATAGTATGTACGTAAGAAGGATAGAAGAGCGTGAACGGATGTCTTTGAGGATCTCGGAGCTGCAAAGAGGGACATATCCAGCAATGCTATTGAATTATCGTTGGTAGCGGATTGTGCAACCGTTGGATGAGTAAAGCTTAAAGTTATCGACTCTTGCACTAAGATAGACATCGAAAATAGCCATTCAAGTCTATCGTAGTCTGAACTAGAGTATTGAGTCTTCATCGAAGAAGATGGTGAGGAAAAGCCGATATCGGTTTTGAAGCTTGATAGGATGAGTAACACTGCATCATGTAGAGTGGGGAACTTTGCAAGTCCATCTCCATACAGATGTGACGACATACTCATCAGGTTACGCATGTCTTGAATGAAGGATATGAGCCATATAGAACGTATGCGTTTGATACCAATATCCATTCCTAAAATGGTGGAGCGCAGGAAGTCCGGATAGGAGATGCTGGAAATGTTATTGGTAGGTGAAAACCAGGAGGGCTGGGACATAAGCGAGACCCTAGATATCATCAGTTTCTTCGATGTAATTAGTCAAATGATAGAGGATGATAACATACAGGCCGACGACTAGCTCTAGTCTCCAATCACTGTGTAGTTCGTGAAGGCCCCCCCTCGCTTCTATCATCCGCTGTATCCCGTCACGGTGAATTTTCCATTCTTCTTCGGTGCCCCAGTATCTCTGTACGGTTCTCTAAATCAATACATCTCCAGTATTGGGTTAAAATGGGAGAAAGGCGACAAGTACAGCACATACCTCAAAGGTAAGGAGTCGCACAGAACCCGCAAACGCATCGTTACTTAATGCCTTCTCTGGGTCATTCATCCATTGACTCAATATCTCGATTGCGTTCAACTTGTATTTTAAAGCTTTAGAGGAATTGGTTCTGCGAGTAGGCGCTGTCCCGCCGTAGAAATAGGCTAGATGTGCCGCAGAATAGGCCATAATCGCATTGAAGGAAGCGGCATTAGAGAGGTCAAGGGGGAACCATACATCTCGCATGGGATTGAAATCAGACGCGGGCGTCTTCCCAAACATCATTGTCGCGTGTGTAATCAGCCCTGTTCATCAGATTACTATCACTCAATTTCAAAAATAAGGTAAGCCAAGCTGAGAGTACAGTGATGAATCAGTTTCTGATGTTCAGGCGTAAGAATTACAGGGAAAACGTCAAAAGGGTCCAATCTCGACGAGCTCAAAGCGTAGTTCATTCCGGTTAGGAGCTGCGCGGGGACACCTGGTACTCGGCCTGAGACATCTACCGACTGATCCTTCTCATTTGTGGTATCTTGTAGTTGTAGCTTGTCGACACGGATCGGATTAGGATGCCCAGTATCAAAGGCGTAAAACCTCGAATCTTGAACACTATTCTGCGGCGGAGCATATGTTTTCGAATTTGCTGTGTTCTTTTCATTTTGAATACGAGACGCAGACGTCAGTAAGTCGGCGGACGAGTCGGACTTGGAGCGTAATGGCCTTATCGTTCGATTGAGCAGTTTTCCCTCCTGTTTTCGTCTCTTTCGCTCCTGCCAGTGTGCTCGCATGGCGTGAGAGAGAGCTCCCGGCTGATTCTTCTCGTGGACGAAAGTGAAGCGAGACTGCTCATTATCGTCAGTCGGGGATGAGCTAGACAACACGCGCTCCGGGTTCAAACGGTCGCCTTCTGGTGTCTGTAACTGCGACATTGTCTGTTGGACTCATCCAGCGCCAATTTAGCACCTTACCATGTTGATAAAGGGGGAATTATATCGGCGACAACGAAAGCCGATCCCAGTATTGACAAAATTGAATGACTTTGGGCTGGGCAGAGCTTTGCAAGGAAGGATACCAGGCTATATTCACAGATCCAGTTATTCTTATTCTTAATTACGCTGCTCAATTTTTCGGATGGCTAATCTGAGGTTGGATTAGTAACGAAGCCACATGGGGATCACTCGGAGCCGATCCGAAGCTACATTAGCCAATCGGCAGGAACCATAAGCAATAATCTGAATCAATTTAATTATCCTATATAGCTATAGTGTGATATCGAATAACCCTTGGGCTTGGCAAATCTTTGCACCGGTCGAACCCTCGGATAATGTAGATGCTGGCCCAGGTATAGAATCGTAACCTCACATCAAACCCCCGTATGTCTTCCCCTCTTCTTCAAGCTGCTCATCCTTTTGCATATAGTTTTTGAACTTCGCTTCCTCTTTCTTCAAATCACCTTCGAGCTTGTGGATTTCACTTTCTTTCTTTGGTGCCTTCGTGTCCGAGGCTCCTTCGGCAACCCCGGGCTTTCCGCCCTGCTCATCACGATGTTCGTGGTGGAAGAGCTTGCCGAAAGTGCGGTTATGGTGCGGCTCTAAGAGGATTTAGAGGTGTCCAGAATTTAGACGTGCGACTGAAAGTGCATGGGATTGCATTCTTACCTGTAGACATGACGATGGGTAATTTAGTGTTCAAATGTGTAATATCAGATATGAAATTTCTATTAAATCTTTGCAACAGTTTCAGCTGATACTTTATCTTGGCTGACCAGTTTGATACTACCTTTGACATTATATAGAAAATGTATTTTCACATGATATCCCCGCCAACGACGAATGCAGAGCAATGACGATTAGAATATTTCGAAATGATTTGATAGGTGCGTTTGTTTTGCGAGGCACATAGCTCTAGACCCTAAAAGTCAATCAACTTATCGGAAATATTAAAATTGTGGCGAACCGACAGCGACCCCGTCATTGATCAGCCTACGTCGATCTATGGCGTAAATGGAAAGCCGGCTAACTGAGAGCGGCAACGAGCCTAATTTGGTGGTAGCAGCCGACCAATCAGATCGCAGTTTTACTATTACCACATGGGGAAGTGACCTACAGTGGGGAGCTGCCCTAACCAGTCTCAATGTGATGAAATCATTTGCCCTAAGTGGTGAAACGCCGCCCACGGACTTGCATTTCCATCCAAATATTTTATGTCCTAACTACAAGATGGATGTTGGTATATAAAACTAGATTGGCCAATGGGATCAACTCTTAAGTGAGATATTGACTATGCTGAAAAATTACATAGGTACGTTGACAGTAATTTCGCTATTTTGCTTACACCTGCGATAACTGGTAAAATGTCGCTCCGCGCCAAAGAAGATCTTGTCTCTATATCTAGTTCATAAGCCATATTTATTCAGCAAGTTACTTGCATGGGAGACATAACATTGTAAAGATTTCTTAACATCCAAAGTGTACATTATATAATTAGCAATATATTATATACTCATAGATTATAAGTATGACAAACTTGAATATAGCTTCAATAATCATAAGAACCATGTTCTCTTTTAGAAATTCTCTCACCAGAAGCATGGGCCAATGATTCAACCAGCTGGGTGTCCCGTAGTAAAACCAAACTATCGCCTAAACCATTTGGAACCTGGACACTCGTATCACGTTTGCGGTAGGGGCAACCTGAACTCTTCTTTCAGTAGAGACTATAGGATGCATACTCCAGGATAAATTACCCTCGGCAGGAGTGCGTAGGACATGATTTTGCTGGCGTTTACTTTATATTGGAAAAAGTAGCGCTCAAATCGATGGGGGTTTCAAGGGGGGGTATATGGGACTAGCGGTTCTCCTACAGGTTTTCTGGGTATCTAACATATTTCGTTAATAGCGAATCGGGTCATTATTACCCGAAGGGCCAAGCTACGAAGCATAGATAACGGAAACATCCATCTATAAAGTTACCGAGGTTCCATAACCCTACGACTGCGGGCCTATAACTAGGGGATCTGGATATAATACTCTAAATGCTTGGTTGGCTAACTCCTATTCCCCAAAGCAGCTTATATGTCTGATATGATTGGTGCTTATCCAGCTTGTTTGGTCCATTTTAAGGTGACAAGGATTAGGTTATTAACACATCATTATTTCTTGATTCTGGAACTTAGGCCGGATCTCTTCTCTGATGATATGGTTATTTCTAGTATTACTTTAATAAGAGGTCGTGGAGTACGTTAATGTTGGTAGCCTGATCTAGATCCGCCCCATTCAACGCTTTCATCTTGGCCAGAAACAACACGCGGTAGACATAAAAGTAAGACCGGTTAAAGTTTATAGAAGAACGATCATTACCTGTTCTTAGTGGTTACTTAGCTGAGCATTACACCATCAAGAGCCTACGAAAAGCTCGCAAGCTTGCATGACGTGTTAGTAAAGAAATTTGTAAAGCTGGAAATACTTTATCAGGGTTATCTGATATTTAAAAACTTGCAAGGTCCGTTTTGGGTAACACTACGGCCGGCTCCTAAGCTTTCTTCGGAAGTCGGGCGAAATCAAACTACCCTTGATCGTCGCTGGTCTGATAATTGGATTATGCACTCTTTATCACAACTGGAGCTGCACTGAGGGCCTCATATCTACCAAGGTGAGATTTAGCTGAAAGCGTCCATATTTTCAGCCTGACGATCTCTTTGTCCGCTGTATACACCGCTCACCGACATCTTCAAGGTGTCTAGGCGTCATAGATGCTCGAATTTTGTGTCATTGTCGCGAATTAGTAACCCTATCATAAATTGGGAAGGTCGTGCTCCATAGTATATAAAGCACTTCCTGCTTTCTCTCCAGCCGAGTAAGATGACCAGATTCAAAAAAGGCTTCATAATATAAAGGACTTCCGCCACTTCCTGATCCGCTAGATAAACAAAATGACTTCCACCGTTCCATTTCACACGGCGAGCCTCCTGAAGTTTTTCCTCATTTCTAACCGAGTCATTCAATGGACGAGTTCGGCCGTGGTTCTTGGAATCACCTCATACTTCATCAACAAAGGCCCCCGCGGACTTACTATAACATATGTTGAGGTCGTTGTAAGTGACTTCTAGTCTTATCCAGTAACTCATCTCTTACATATCGAATAGGCGGCAACCTCTGTCGCAGCTTTTCTTCCCGCTTTTGTTTCACCATTTCTGCACACCCCGGCAAAAGACATTGTACTTTTTATTGATGTGATATTTTCTTATCTGTATGGTCCCATTGCCAAATTATAATTCCTCATAATGAGGAGCTAATAATGCTAGATGGCTTGCGGCATTCATCTTCTCTGCTGTTGATTACAATCGGAACGACTGCCACGCCAATGCCCCCCCAGGCTTTGCATGCTCGAAGAAATGGGCCAACGAAGCCTTCATTTTTCTCACCTTGTAGGTTGTTCAGATCATTTTGACACTTCAATATCCCCCTCTTTGCTGACTTCTTCTTTCTTACAGCATTTTCACCTTTTTTGCTTTGTTTATTGAGACATGGTCACTCTGGCTGTCGGATCGGAATAAGCCTTCCTCGTTCCCATCGCATGAGAAGAATGGTCAGCCTGATATAGAGCATAACTCAGCTGTGCCGACAACACAAAGCAATGCAGAAGAGCCTACGGCCGCTGTTGCATAGATAATGGGAGCCTTAGAGCCATGGTGAACAATACTATTCGGTATCAAGAAGGCAGATGACAATATGAGTGGGTAGAAGAGATCTATCTAAACAGTTTCATTTTTAATAGATGAATAGGCTTCGGGGTACTCTATGTTGGAGGAAAGTCATATTATTTCGTTCATTATTATTGTTTTGATCGCAGATCAGTACTAATGATTAATTTTCCATTTAATTTGATGTCATTTTTATTAAAGACAGAGTACACTGTAATGAATATCGGTTTTCACACGGCTTGCTCATGAAAGTATTATTGAGATATAGGAGTAAACGAGGGTTACCCTTAACTTAATTGTAGTTTGAATCACGGCGAACTTAATGAGATCTAGAGATAGATGATTACCAATATAAACAACAGGACCTATGCCTAAGTTAGAATCTATGTCTTCTCCACATCAGCTAGAGTCATCTAAGAGACAAAGTAATGTTGACCATGTCGTCTTCGCAAGAAGAAGTGCAATAAGAATCTTTCAGTGTGCAAAACTTGTACGACCCTTGAAAGCACCTGTCTTACAGGGGAACCCGACCAGAGTGGATCTATAACAGCAGGAGGCGAGCTGACATGCTGCAGCAAATCAAGGCACAGATAAGGCAAGCTGTGGAACCTTGCCGAGATAATCCGTATATCCAGGTTATTGCTCCCTGCATAAAACCCGAATCTGCCTCAGCTAAGCATTTACTCGAACCGACAAGACAGTGATAGTCTTAACGCAGTTGCTACTTACTCTCTTCTAAAGTCATCTAACACGTCATGCACAAGTTAGACCTCTGATAGGGTGTCCATTTTAACTCTACACTAGATACCCTAACATTCAAAGCATTGAAATCGACTTTTCCACCATATACTTAGACTATGTCTCCCCATATCTCTTTCGGTATTATCGTTCTTCCACCTTTGAAAGGGGCAAAAGACTTTCGATATGGAGTATATAAAAATGAGATAAGTTTATGTATCCATCCTACGATACACGACCTTCAATAGCAGGGAATAACGGCCAAATTCGTCCTATTCGGGCTGTTATGCGCCGTCCTACCTCGCCAGCCAGTGACCAATTTCTACCATAATCCTTGGTGTTGTATCCATATTCTATCACTGGGGATACATTCTGCATTCGGCCAAATATAATTATGGCATGCAGCCTTGTCTATGAAATGCTTTGAACAACCTGGGCTTCATAAGCGCTCTTATATAAACAATACACAAACAATACAAAATATCGTGAGCCAAGTATTGTAGTAGGTGATCATGAATGATTCTCCTCGCATTCTAGCATCCCAGCCTTGCCGAGGACTTCCTTGGCCCTGCTTTCAAAATACAACACTCTCCACTGTCTCTCGGCGCAATACTTCGGCGTCTGCTGCGAGCAAAAACCCAGCTTGCATCTGCTTCCTCAACGCTTGCCCTGCTTCTTTCCGATAGTTAAATACCGTGCCATACATAGCTTTTAATTTGTGCTCATGAAACGGCATCTCTGATCCTATTGGACAAGATCAGCTGCTTGTGTTCCGTTGAACGGTAGTTTGAGACAGGACAGGATGTTTCGAATTAACATACCCCGGTACCAGTTTGGCCTTCCCTTGGGCGTTGCAGCCACGAATCTTGCCAGAGGTACATCTGTGTGTACCGTCCTAACGCCGCCTTTCGCGTTGCCATACTCATCTCTCACAATGTCGTCACTGTCTCCTACAGTGTGTATGACGCAGCTCTTTGGAGGTGGGATGGCCTCCTCAGAGGTCCATTTCTCAACAGCTTCAAAGACAGCATGATAAATGAAGGAGTTGGCAAAGGTGCTCCATTTAGCTCTACGCAAGGTGACGCCGGAATAGTGCTCGAGATCCCTTTCAGAGGGATACCGCGACTCTCGATGAGCCATACCAGCAATCTCATACAGACGAAACGAGTCACTTTGGGGCCGCCGATGCGAAATGCCCTTGAGCTGGCCGCCAACTCCGCATGGTAAGCGGACACCCTGGAACTCTGATTCTCCGACAAGTTCCACAATCTTGACATGAGCAATGTCAGGCAAAGCCTCGCCGCCAGATTGACAAGGGATATATGCCTCAAATGGGAGGCTTCCGTCACGCAGTCGTAGATGCGATGAGTGCGTTATAAATCGCCTCGTCAACCCGCCTGTCTGCGAAAGGCCACTCAGGACGACGCGAGTAGCTATAATACCCAGACAGCCGCTTCGAAGGGTCCATGAGGCAGCGGCGATAATTTCAGGTGACTGAGTCGTTGCAGGCCACCACTTGGCCTTGAACTCATCGTACGCATCGGACAGTGTTTCCTTTGTGACCTCTGTCACGAAAGGAATGCTTTCTTTGAATTCGTGTGACAATGGGCCCGGGACAAAATGCATCTCACCATACCTTTCTGGATCCACGGTCTTGATGTTTCCAAGTGCTGATGGCGCTTGTGAGTCCACCTCGAGCCAAGCATGGCCTAGTTAAGTGCGCAAATGTGAATTAGTATCGCGTCTTTTCTTGATGCACTACAACTCACCATTGCGCATGAGCCAGCGGTTTGTCGCACGCCAAATGCTTGTTCCACCCCATAGGTGTGCTGGTTCCTCGACGACAAAGCCTGTGAAGAGAGCAGGGTCCTTAGGGCAACGCAGGAGAAGGCGTGTGCAATAGGACTCTCCAGCAGCAATACCGCTCATCAGATACTCGCGGCTCACATACTCATACTCCGGGAGCAAATCCACGTGGTATGGTTCGAGGATAATAGCCCGGGAGGTGTCTGTCTCTGGTAGTGGCTTAACCTTTGGAATTGCTACTCTTACCGTTTGCTGCTGACTATCCTTGACAGCCATGGTAAATTATAAGTCTTTCAAATACCCTAAAAACTTCAGTTTCTCTAGTTACACGGGAAGAGAAGACCGGTCGGCCATGAAAATCAGAGACTATTCTCTCCATTCTTGGGTTTGTTTGCGGGCGACCCTCATTTATCTACCTGTGTCCCCCACAGCGGTACATGATGTTCACCGAAACTCAAGCTTAGCCGATAGTGTCGGATTGTATTACAATAAGAAAACAATTGGGAATTGCTCGTATGCAACTAGCGGTGCCTCATGTTAGTTTCGATGGTGTGAATTAGCCGATAATGTCGCACCGACATTGTCGGCTAAATTGTCGAGACTTTAGAACTTTGAATCATGACGACCACCAAATGCTGTCTGTCTGTATTTTCCATTTGTTTACGTGTCGCTTTTATTCAGCTCTGCATGACAAGACGAACATGCCTAGTTGTTTTCTCCGAGGCCGACAAAGCAAGTCATATGGCAGCGACTTATGACATGGAAGCCGATATCACGATCGGTAAGATCGTCGATTTTCACGAGCAAGGTATGAATGTATAAGGATAGGTCGAACACGCGGTGTCCTCCCAACAAGAATAGAATCAAGCCAGGAGGAACGTAGATTTAATTCTCTTGCTCCTGCTGTGTGGATGCTACATCTTCTCGGTGAGTCAAGATATGATCACATTGTTTCGTTCGTTTCCACTAACACAGTTTTGCGATTCCTCGACAAGCCGCTTCTCAACTATAGTTCAATCTTGAAGACGCAATTCATCTCAAGGGCTCCGACTACAGCTGGGTAGGCAGGTAAGAGGACTCTAAATAACTCAGCATAAAGAAACATAGAGGCTCACAGGGTCACGGTACGATAGCATATTTTACTTTGGATGTATGTTCGGCCCGATTATGTGGTCGCAGCTGGCCTGGCATCCTCCCCAGTACCTCGGCAAGATGATTTCTGGTTGTATGCTCTTCTGGTCTAGCCTGACACTGCTATTCCGTGAGTCGAGAAATGATATGACAAATATTTGTGAAGTTACTGGTTAACGAGAATCTATTCAGCCGTGGCTGCAAACTTCGCTGGTGCTTTCTTCGTCATCATCACGAGTAATTGGTGGACACGACAAGAGCAGGCCTTCAGGGCCGCTTTCTGGCTCGCAGGTACTCCAGTGAGCCTTGAGCATTCACCTTAACACAAGTCTGAACTGACAATAAAGATTGGGAATCTCATGGGCTGCCTCAGTTCGTTCGCAGTAGGGGAGAGTATGTTTCATTCCTCAATCATCCGTGCAGGCCTGTGGATAGGATGACAAGAAAATAGTCCATAACGCTATCGCCACGTGGAAGTTATTCTTCTTGCTTTTCAGTTCATTAAGTTTCGGCTTCTCTATCCCACTCGCCTCTCTGCTACTAGATAACCAGCTAAATTCACGCTGGTTGAATGATCTCGAAAAGCAGACAGCCGTTGCCACGGTTAGACAAAACCAAATTGTTACGGCTGCTGACCATTGGAAATGGCCACAATTCTGGGAAGCGTTGAGAGACCCACAGACATGGTTCTTCTTCGCTACTGCTGTGTAAGATCTATTGCAGAATTTTTGCCCTTCTTGAGGTGAGTATCAGTCATGCTGATGACACGCAGCGGCAACACGATGCCTTCGACATTCGCAAGTATGGTAAGCTCGATCACTACAAACTCGATTACTAAAATTTCAATCAGACCATCTCTGATTCTCTTCCCAGTTTTCGAGCCAAACCGTCGAACGCTTCGGCTTCATGACACTTCAGGCTACGGTAATCTCCACATGTCCCGCCGCTGTAATTCAGCTGGAGACGTTCCTCATTTTCTCCTGCATTGCATCGCATTACCGCAATCTTCGGCTATTCCTGTCTGTCATCAATTCAATCCCGCCTTTGATTGGAGCCTCACTTCTCTACGCACTGCCCGAGGATAACGCTGCTGGCCGGCTCGCAGGGTACTATCTTACTTATACGTACGTCAATCCACAAATTCCCTTTAGGAGGTAGATATGTACTGACTGACGGACCATTGACCCTTCTCCAGACATGCCATGTCTTTTACACTCACTACAGGACTCATGTCTGCCAACTACGCCGGCAATACAAAGAAGAGAACAGCTTCCGGACTCATCTTTGTTGGATGGGCGGCTGGTATTATTGCAGGGCCACGTGCGACAACCCTGTGGTTGATAAATGAATTGGTCAAGAAATCACTAACGTAACTCAGAATTCTTTCTTGCCGACCAAGCCCCCGCATATGAGCTGGCCTTTGGAATGCTGAGTACGTCTTGGAAATCTCCGCAGATGGATTCGCTTCTTTGAAGGAAGGCGCTGACTTCATCTCTCAAATCAGTGGGCTGCTATGCGCTGATGATCCTTGTCCCAATTTGCCAGTTTGTATGGTATCGTTATGAGAATGGTCGGCGTGATCGAATCGAAGCGTATGTTGGTCGTTCTGTTGGCCTCGACTTCACAGACGAGACCGATTTTGAACAAGAAGAGACGTTTAGATATGTCATGTAGTCTCCATGATCTGCAGATTGGAAAGCCATTAGGACATAATTTGTTTTTTCATAGAATGCGTAATGCTCAGGTCAGATCACAAATGTGCCAGTAGCCCTTTCCATCGCGTTGCGTATGTCTACGGGCAACCCTTGAAGGCGGGTTTGAACAATATCTCCGAGTAAATCCCCGACCTTGCGAATGTAGATGCCCCATCGCTCCCCTTGCTTTAAGATTCTCAGAACCCAGTCACGATAAAGGATATTGCTTGTGCAAAGTCCCGCCAAAAATAGTGAGGATGGCAGAAGCGAGGCAGGCGAGTTTGCCCGAGAAGGGTCTTTCTGTATCATTAGTTCGCAATGCAACACAGTTGAGACGGAATGATGCACCGGACAGATTGGCAAGGGCTGATTATGAATTGCACATGGATTAGGTCTTCATGGCTCGGTTTGAGTGGACAGAGATCTTGTATATACTCACATAAATAAAGTAGAGATAGAGTCTCGTGGAATGAAGAGCGGACAAGACGGTGTAGTCCCTGTAACCCACCGCATCGAGAGTTCCCTCTGGTGGTAAGGCTGACTCGTTCTCAAAATCGACACTGACCTTCATAGACACTTCCCATGCGCGAATATGGGCTTGCAATGAGGCGTAGAGGGATGTGACCTCCTCCGTGCGAACAGGTGGCGTTGAGATGATTTCAGATTGCATTTGCTGATGGATACGAAGGTCCAGGTCGGCTACCCGCATTCGGAGTAAGGAAACTTGTAGCAGACACATGATACCATCAGTAGCAGGGTCAATTCGGACTGTGTTTGGAAACATGTCCGATAAAGCCGATATGGCGCGGGCGCAATGTATGAATTGACCACCTCCCAGTCGATACGAGGCCGCACGGGCGTCTAGGACTATGAGACGAGTGATGATTCGTCTGCCCAGTGTCGGCGAGCCACGAAGATACTGGCGCCCCTGGTCACTGCTCAGGATATCTGCAGCCATTTGCATCAAATTTAGAAAAGGCTCGATGCTGCCGCCTGTAATATGTATCTTTTTGACTTTGACAAAAATTGCAGAGAGTAGGCCCTCTATGGAAATATTTTGCTGAAGTCGAAATATCTCCAAGTACTCCGAAGACATTCGATCATACATTTGGGCTTGATCGGTGAAGGATGGGTCGTTCATGGCGAGGTGTGCCGAGGAAAACGCCAGTACGGCATAGAAGAGAGGTGGGAAAGAAAGGGAGGCAGAAAAGGCAGAAAGAAATAGATTTGAGTCTCTTGGGTGGTCTGCGAGTTTAGAGTAGCCCTGCAGAGCTTGAAGATAATGCTCGATCAAGCGCCTGTTCTCGTCTGTGATAGAAGAAGACAGACCACGGAAATCCCCTGTCAAGCTTTGGAGATTCCACGAGATTTCCAGAGGTGGGCGACTGTCTCCCGAAGGTGGGTTCACTTGTGTCGGATGCGATGCTAGCGGAGAGGATGGCACCGATATCATAAAGTCGAGACTGTCAAAAGGGAGGTCCATTTCCCAGTGATCCAAGTCTACCCCAAACAGAGGATCTGAGAAGTCAAGTTGTGGCAACGATTGATCAGCTTCAGTCAGCGTCGGCTGCTGCGCTTCGATGCAACTTAAGCTTGATGAAGCGGCTGCAAGACTGGCATCAGGGTCTACAGCATTGGTGGCTGCAGTCGGAGGGAGATTTTTCCGTACACTCTGTCTCCTGCGCTTCGGTGGTGGAGTGTACTCTTCGCCAGCTTCAGGCGCACTCCATCGGCATTCTAAGCCCAGTCTTTCGCAGTTAGAGCAGAACCTGTCTGCTCCTCTGCCAGACGTGGACGGAATAGACCGTTGATCTGCATTGATACAACGTACTTTCCGTGTTCTACAGGTGAAGCATCCTGCAACTCAAAGTCAGATACTGGTCAGGATCACCAGAGGTTGGCAGTACTCACCATTGCGAGATCTTCCTTTCTTTGACTCGGACATGTCGATGGTTAGACCATCATAATATCATGTCTGGAGAAGTAGCTCGACAATAGGCTTCGTTGGTGATAACATCCGGGGATGATATCGGAGCACTTTACTTCGTCGTTGTACACGAAAAGAGTGGGGCTGCGGAGGGGTAGCTAATAATCCATGTCAAGTCACCTCTCGACTTCTACTCGATGCGCCTCTTCGACAGCCACTTTCAGGAGCCGTAGGAGATTCCGTGATTAGAATGGGGATGACCTATTTACTAAGCGAAACAAGTCTACGATCCTTGTGACGATCTCAATATATAATCATACCCCATATACTCTAACATGCCACGCGTAAAACTAAAGACGAAGGTAAGCCCGCTAAATGTCCGCTTCGTCAATTATCACATCTGACATGTATACTAGGCTGAAAACCTTGAACGAGTCCGTAATAACCAACGCAAATGTCGACAACGCAGGCGTGATTATGTGGCCGAGCTTGAAGGCAGGATTGCCTCCTATCAGGAAGCCGCCATCCAAGCGAACCTGAGTTTTCAGGCTGAGGGAGAACAACTCCGCATGGAAAACCAGGCGCTACGAACCTTATTAGATTCCAGTGGTGCGGATCCCGTCGCTGTGGAGCAGTTTCTTGCAAAGAAGTGTCAAGAAGGGACGTCGAAAGAGAGACAATTAGACCTTGTTGCGACAAATCCAGGGTCGTTTTCTGTTGGGTTGGACACTGATCCAACAACCTTACAGTTGTCAAATGTAAGCCTACCTGTGTTCGTTTACTCTACGAACGAAAGGTACTTAATACCGTTCCCAGCTGTCGTGGCTAACTCACCATACATAAGACGATTTCTGAATTTGTTGGGTCTTCTACGACGGTTACGGAATTTGCAGATCCTGGACCGCTGGGTGTGCAGCTTCCACCTTCGCCATTTACAGCATTTGGTGACTCTTTTGGGCTCGCAATGTCTAATATTTACATGCCGAATTTACATGAAGGAGCGCCAGAACGTCATCTGACCGACTTTCTATCTGTGACTACCCAGAATATATCTGGCTATATCCCGACAGGATTAATCGACGACGTTCTTCAAGATACAACTCTTTGCACTGTTGCTATCCAGATTGTCAGTCTCTGTAACAAAAAGAATTTAAACTTATTGGAGCTGGATAGTAAGCTTCGCCACGGGTATAGAAACGCCAGGGCTCCGCTGGAAGGTTGTAGAGTTGATAATTGGGTTCTGCTGTCCGTGCTTGCCGAAATCATCCATTAACTAGTTCCAGTGTTCGTTTACTAATAGCACAATATTTGATGTAAGAAGAACTACTCTCATTAGGTCCCTGCTTTTGGTATAGTCGTGTATATCTTTTTTACAAGAGAACTAGATGACCATAAAGTTATATTAGGCTATGAGAATATACCTTAATCATTTAGAAATACATTCAAAAGCGATGACACATCACTTTCGTCTCTTGCTTGGGGGCGACTTTGAAAGTGTAAGTGGTGACATACCATCATAGAGCTGACCAATCAGAGGGTAGCTGCCACCACAACTTGGAGCATGCTTCTCAGCTACGAGCTCTGTTATTCAGGACATAAATACCTGGCTTTGCCCCATTTACCGTTTCGCTTTGCAGCCGCAAGCAATTAGTACCCTGTACCCGAGTGGTCTACCTCCTAAGGTTTCCGGCTCTCTTACTCCAATCTATCTATTCTCATCAAGCAACGCTTTCCAAAATGAACAAAAATATGTATCAAGAGGTGCAGCTACGCTATGGTGATATCGCCAAATGCTCCGGTGCTACAGAATCCCAACACGACAGCGAAGAACAAATCGCCAAAGCCTTCGGCTACAGCACTGAAGAACTTTGTTCTCTTCCGGACAAAGCTAATCTAGGCTTAAGCTGCGGCAACCCAGTTGCATATGCTAATATAAAGGAGGTAATCAAAGACCAATATATGTCAATGCATTGAGACATCTCTGAATTTATGATTGCTCATCTAGGGTGAGACAGTTGTCGACCTCGGCAGCGGGGGTGGTATCGATGTTTTTCTGGCAGCACGTAAGGTAGGACCACAGGGGAAGGCCATTGGAATCGACATGACAAAGGTGAGAGATGCGGCCTGCCTCATTTCATGTGGTTAGGGACTAATAAGTCGGTCAGGATATGATTGAACTGGCAAATAACAACGCCAACTCCGCTCGCCTGTCTAATGCCTTGTTTATTGAAGCTTTGATCACCTCTATTCCGCTTCCAGATTCCAGTGTCGACTGCATTATCAGCAACTGCGTCATCAATCTTGTCCCAAGAAATGACAAAGCCTCCGTATTCGAGGAGATTGCTCGTTTGTTGAAACCTGGCGGAAGAGTTGCTATCAGTGATATCCTGGCAAGAAAGGAACTCCCGCAGAAGATAGTTGACGACTTGGCACTTTATGTAGGATGTATTGCAGGTGCCAGTCAGGTTGCAGAGTATGAGGAATACCTCAAGCGTGCTGGATTCAAAGGTACTTATTCCTGCGAAGAGATAGTCTCGTATTGACTCGACTTTAGACATTTTGATTGTCGATGCAAAATCGGATCTCAACCTGTATAAACAGTCCTCCTATCTAACCCAGGGTAGTTGCTGTGGCCCTTCAGATTCTTCTAAGGAGTCGACAGTTAATTTTGCTGAAATCGACTTTAATGAGTGTGCTGGTAAGTTTTTTCTTAATCGACACTGTCTTGAAGAGGATATTCATCATCTATACAGGCTCTTTTCAAATTTATGCCCTCAAGACTGGCGGCAACGTGTAGCTGTGTCACGAGAGTTTATATGCTTTTATCAAGGAGTTGCCTTTCTTTTCTCGCTCCACGTTGCTTCTCCTTTCACCAAGTTGTGAAGCGACTGGATAACCAAATAAGAATAATATAAATTATTCAAATGTTGACGGGACTGATGCCAATGAAATTAATTCTAAAAACTCTAATATATTTATTTACATCTTTCCGGTTCCAATTTTTTGACTGTCATTATTATCTTTATTATTAGGAGTATATGTGTTCATCTTCCCTAATCCTTCCAGCCCGATTTCTTCGCCACAAATTTCACAGCGTAGACGAGCCCCAGCAGCACCGGCACCTCAATCAGAGGCCCTACCGTAGATGCAAGGGCCTGATTACTATTTGCCCCAAACGTTGCAACAGCCACAGCGATAGCCAGCTCAAAGTTATTACTAGCTGCGGTGAAGCTCTGTGTTGCGGCTAACTTGTAGCCAAATCCCACTTTATATGCGATGAAAAGAGTAGTAAAAAAGATGATGGCAAAGTAAACAATGAGAGGCGCTGCAACGCGAATAACTGAAACAATTTGATGCACCACTTGGTGGCCTTGAGAGGCAAATAACACCAGGATTGTGAATAAAAGACCGATTAAAGACCACGGACTGGCCCATTTCAGAAAAACTTCATCATACCATCGCGCACTTAACCATCGAAGGATGAAACGCGTCAACACTGCAGCGCCTAGGGGGATTCCAAGGAATACGGCGACGCTCTTGGCGGCAGTCGAATATTCAAATGCGACAGTATCACCGCTGATCACTTCGATAAAGAAGACGGCCATTGGCGCGAATAGCACCATTTGAAGGAGAGAGTTGATGGCAACTAGAATGGCACAGTAATCGCCATCACCCCCCGCTAGCCCATTCCAGATCAAAACCTAGTAGAGAAACGTGAGTATGAAATACCCAATGATAGGATGTATGAGTTAAGGATCGTGCGAACCGACTCACCATAGCAATACACCGTGCCAGTCCCACAAGGATCAAGCCTTGCCGCAGCTCTGGTTGATCAGGCAAGAAAGCCCAAGCTAACGCTAACTAAATGATTCCGCATGAGCAAAAAGATTGTCTGGGCTACACGGGCAAGGACCAACTTACCATGAAGAAAGGAGCAATTATCCAATTGAAAAATACGCTGAAGGCGATATGGATCCAGACCTGACGTGTCTGAAATACGCGATGCAACGTTTCATATCGCACTTTGCAGAGAATCGGGTACATCATGACAAGAAGACCGATAGCTGAAGAGCGCAGGATTAGTATACAGGAGCAAGTAACATCGCTACCAATGCTCACCAATTGGGACAGAGACCCCAACGAATGTTCCCTTCTGCAGCGCAGGTCCAGCATTGGGAACGAAGTTGCCTAGGATAATCCCGATCGTCATGGCAAGGAAAATCCATACTACGAGGAACCGGTCAAGTATCCCGAGATTCTTGAAAGCGGATTGCTTTTCTTGGGACACGCCTGACAGTTTTAGAGCCCCCTCTTTTTCCACATCACAAGCTGCTGTAGAGCTCTGATTATCAGTAGGCGAGTGGGACTCAGAATAGGCTTGGGCCATTGTTAAAGGTGCCTTTGTAAAACCCTAATTCGAATCAAAACGTGACGAAGTCAGATGTAGCCTGACGATAAGGAGACAGAACATGATGTTCAAGGGCCCATACAGGTTTATAGGTATGTCGCAAAAGAATTTGCTGAAACCCTCAACCAGAAGATGCCCAATGATGTGGTTGTCAAAAGTGGCGGATTTGATATACTTCACCCTGCGAAATGTCACTTGTGGATGTTGATTGGACAAGAATTTCGATGTGGCATATCTCCCCGGTTTTTCTTTGCCTTAAGGTTAGGGTTAGGGTTACTGGATCTTACAGTGGCCAATCAGAGAATCGGAGTGACTCACGGAACTTAATCGAGTCTAGAGCGGGATTTGAAGTTCTGCCTCTCACCTTAGCACACTGCTCTCAGTTATTGCAGCAGTAGGTGAACGGATAATGTTATTAGTAATAGCGGTGAACAACAGGAATGGAATGGCCTGGAAAGGCGAATGATTGCATCAGCGTCAATCGTGGTTTATTGAACACAGAGAAGGTTCCTGTATTTTCTTATTATATTCTACATCAGAAGAGAGGTCATTACGAGGATCTTATTCGTTGCTAGAAAGACCTTTCAGGCGTTTGATATATATAGATATTTTCTGATAGGACGTGCAAGCACCTCTAACACATCCCTTAGCAGAATACACCTGTCTCGCTAATACTGCCAAATGAATTTTTTCGTATATAATCATCTGTTTAGTGTTCAGGCAAATACTAGTAAAATTGAGTATACGTTGGGCAGCAAATTCAAAGAAATTAGCTGGTTTAATTCCAATGGGGGCTAGTTGGCTCTGGGTCTTTCAAGAAGCTACAATCTCATATAGATCTCTAGGTCCGAATAATTTCGGGACTAGATGATATATAGGATAAAAGGGACGATGTTATCCCGACGAATTCACTTATTATGGATACGAAACAAGGACTAATAACAGAAACAGTAAGTCTGATTGGTGAGTCTTCATTGCGGTCGCCAGCCATTAGACTCTCACCTCTGAGATCATACCTCGCAGAGGAACCCTGCAGAAGCACTGCAAAAAACGAAGCTGGTTACTACCCTAAAGAAAGAAGATCTAATTTTGGTCATATTCCTGGTATGGAAGAGAGAACCCGTCCCTTAATGCTCAATTTCTGTTTATATTGACGACCATTATGTACATACCACCTTTACTTCATCTAAATTCGCTTTTCGTTCATGGTTGAAAGGATAGCTATTGCGACGTGATCAAATCATTATGAGGAATTATCATCAATGTCACCTGCGAAAGTCAAGTGTATTATAGGAATAAGTCACATAGGTAGGGATGATCAGCCCCAAATATCGGCTGCCTATCCCTGAATATTAATACTCTGACATTAATACCAGCACCCCATCGCAAAATATAGACACATCTGAGCAAGGGACTGGGTACATCTACTATAGGACAAACAACAATAATGTCGAATATCAAGCAATTCATTGAGATCAGAACAACTTCCATGGTTCAAGCTAACTAATTATTCTCATGTTGAGTTTTCTATAATTCCTGAGGGTCATGTTTCTTCCTCAAAGAGCCTTGATAGAGTACTCTAAGCGCAGGGTCTCAATATACACGACGGCTTCGTACGCCTTTGCTGTTGCTCTGCCAGCGAGCAGTGTTTAATGAACCTCGGCTCCTCTCAGATAGTGGTATCTCGTTCAGCTGCTCCATAGCTGCCATTTCAGCAAGCCGTGTTTCCTCTTTCTCCCTTTCTTCTTTTGCTGCCTTCTCCGCAGCAGTTCTCTTCTTCTCTTCTTCCTGTCGCAATTTCTCATCGGGGCTCAACTCTTGTTCCAGCAATTGGGACGTGTCAACTTGTGCAGGCCCCTTTGCCGGCTGGCCTTCGTCGGCCGGTTTGACGAAGTCGAACCGCTTTTGTTTCTGTTTAACTTTTTCTGCTGCTCGCTTCACCGCGGCCTCCTCCTCACTGACAGCCACCATATACGAGGGCTTTCCTTCATCTCCGGTTTTGGCGCCTGAACCACCAGGTTTGTTGATAGGAATTCTTCGCACAGTCTGGAGCAGCTCACACATAAATTTGGACGAGCGTGCGGACCGGAGCTCCTCGTTCGCCCAGTTTGACTTGTGCCAAAAACTTACTTGGAGCTGAATCTTTTGAAGATCAGGTATCGCTTTGAGGCGGACATCCACGTTCGGACGATAGTCTCGTCGATTGTCTTCACGACCCAGAAAGGTTGTCAGCTCGTTGCGAAGATATTGAATATCTCTGAAAGTTGTCTCGTAGTCAACACTAAGATCAATCTGTTCTCGGTTTTTTCCAGATCTAGTAATGTTTTCGATACGTTTCGTGTTCAGTTTGTCGTTTGGCATTTGCATCTACCCGATAGGATGAGATATGTTAGCCTCAATGTGAAAAATATTTATCATACTTACCTCAAGATTGTTATCTACTCTCTCAAAAACAACATAAAGCAAAGATAGTCGTTTAACCACACATGCAACGTAAGTCGTCTCTGGCGTGTTGTAGAGCCAGACGACATCGCCAACATCAAATGCGTGCTTGAAAAATAAGAAAATAGCCCCTAGGAAGAATTCCTGTATGGGTGTCAGCGTATCTAACATTCTAGCATGTCTCATAGGACCAAAAAAATAACTTACATGTCCAATACGTCCGACGATGAATGCTCCACCAACAACGACAAGTGCTATATTGTCGCGCAGCGCTTTGATTTGAGGCACCCACGATACCACTGTTGAAACGTCAGCGTACAGAACTACCATCCAAGCACCGTTGAACAAGGCTAGGCTGTCCTACAGATGAAGAAGACCATGGAAAGAGCAAGGATTATGCACAAAACCCAATCGAAAGTGTTCAAAGCGTGGCTAACGTCTGCAATTGCTTCGTATGTATTCCGGCGCATTTTTCCAATTCCAACAACAGTACTGACGAATTCGTCCTGTCTGATATTCCCATTTTCGCTCTCATCGACCAGCCGAAAAAGATATTCAGGATCATCGTAACCGAATTGCTGAGGAGCCAAGGCTTTCTTTATGTCTTCCAATGTCAGAACATCTCTTTCCTCGGATGCCAATGCCATCCAGATGCGATTTGCTAATGCTCTAGCGGTGGTAGGGTTATCTATTGCTCGCAATACGAAGGCATAGGAAGAGCGAGGAACAAGCCAATGAGATTCTTCGCTGCTGTTCACCACATAGCCTGTGGACACAGTCATTTGTTAGCAGACCGCAGTTAAATCAATCGCGATAGACTGAATTAAAGGGAAAAAAAGGACACGTACCAAGTGCCGACGTAAAATGCTGTGTTCCAATGTCCAGCATATTGGAGATATCTCTCACACGGCCACCCGAACGGCCTTCACGCCGAGCTGGCTGGCTGTAGATGATAGCCGCATCATCTGTGTCGAATGCATAATGATTGACAGGATGTAAACGGATCGATGCATCGTAAAGAGTCACTAGTGCCTGAACGACTTCCTTACAATATTCGAGCTGACCAAAGTTTGATCGACTGTTGTAGTGAATTGAAATATATAAGATCACACATTTTTCGATGAACCAGAGAGCAGCCCACAGGATAATGTTGAAAAGAACATTCTCAATAATATCTTGGGCCAAAAATAGTGTTTGCTTGGAGTTGTGATCATCGTAAGTAAAACCATCGATAGTGACGATTTGATAGGTAACGTTGTTACTATCGGTTTGAGTTGTTATAGTAGCATTGCCAAACACGTCCCAAGGAAGCTCAGAAAAATCAATATTGGCTGTAAGGTTGTCATTGGCGTATATTATCTTTGACAGGTTAGCTCAACAAACGAATAGGAAAGACTAAAACTTCAAATTGTTTATACTTACTAGAGCGTAGCTGATGTACGAGCATATAGTGCAGCCCAAAATCGTGACTGGCCATTTCATAAAGTAAAATACTTTCCAATAACGGGCATGAGCAGGGTTGATGTATTTAGCCACATTTCTGAAAATATGAGGAAAGAATATGATCAAGGCATGAAAAACACATGCGGAAAACCACGAGACCAGAATCCAGCACGAAATCCAAAAACCTAAATTTTTCCACTGGCTTTGGTATACTTGTTTAAGTTGATCTAGGTTCTGAATGTCGGATGAGACCAATGTAGTCCGAAGCACGATCACGGGGATGGATATTATGACCGACACCACAATTGTCACTGTCAGCCATTTCGCTGAGCGTACCATCCCACTGGAATATCGTGCATTGTAGGACTTCGGATTCGCTTCACCATTCGCTTCACCACTTAGTAACTTGGAGCGATCGTAGTCATGGTGATATATCGGTGCCTGGCTTTGCGTCACACTGGATGACTTTGATTCCATCATCGGATGTACAGCCCTCAGTAAAGTTTCAAAGGTTTCAAAAGAGGGGAAGAGGAATTATGTTGCCAATACGGCTATGAAAATGTTGTAATGGTCGCTGAAATGCGGACGAAGATGCAAAGAAAGGAGAAAGCTTTCACTCTATCACAGGAAAACAGAAGATTATTCTGTCTATCAACATAAGGCGTTGAGGGCTCAGGATATTTGGGGGTCAAATTGCAAATCTCTGAGCCTAATACTTGTGTGCTCCTAATCCTTGTGTTGCTATTCCCAAAAGGCAAAGAAAGATCCCTATATCGGCCTAGCTCCTGCTTTTGTATTGTACGTAAATAGTAACTAAAATGCAACTAACATTAGTGTTGGCTACAATATACATTCAGCCGCAGAAGGCTTTATCCCCTGCAATCCTTCGGGTTTGGCTGTCAAGTTGCCATCTATAGTTTGTCAATGCCAAGCGCTGGCTTACTGAACACTTGAACAGATGTGACAGGTTTTGCTCACCTATCCATATCCACAGGTGGTTGTGGTTGATTATGTATTTCCAAATATATCAAGTAACCCTTCTCCTCTCTTTCCGTCCCAGGAGATTCAGTGGGCGAAGTGGCTTGTGTGTGAGAAGTGAAAAGGCAGACCTATCATTTTTGAGTTTCGGTATGGGGCCGACAGTAATATTACCGTCCCCGAGACTACCTTTCATTTCTCAACATGATAGGCTCCTCGGCGATCCACTTTCACGAGGACTCAGCCCAAAGGGGTTATCCATGCGCTGATGGCATGAAACCTAAAATAGTTCACAATAAACTTTATTTCTGGTGCAATGCTATCCCCCTTCTAGATACTCATACTTTCCCTTTCTGGATACTCGTTGTTCCCCTTCTAGATACTCGTTGCTGCCTTGTAAATATATGGTCTCTTGGGTATGAAATGGGATGGAAAATGGAAAATGGATTTCACTCAATTCATGCCTGGACGCAACATTAAGGGGATCAAGCCTATATCGCACTAATTATTCGTATTGTACACGTGTACAGGCGCGACCCTGAAGACAAAAGTAGCCGCTGAATAGATTTTTTGACAAGTGACGTGGTCCCTAACGGCCTTAGCATTTGAGTCGGCTTCTATTGGAATTATCTTAAGTCATAAAGTTCAATTCAGCTAGCCCTATCATTGGATAGTTGTGTATCAGGTTATTTTATAGTTTTATTGTTTCTGTATGATAGGGATTCCACTGTGGCAATAGTATAGTGATCGGTTGCTGGGATTTTTCTAATTGACGTCAAACTTTTCCTCTCATTCTTCTATATACAGATAACAGTATATATTGTCCTTAAAGATCATGTCTCACAGAAGTATATTGAGATTTCCATTAACATTCTACCACAATGGAGCCAAAACACAACCACCCAGCTCAAGCCAACTCCCATACGGATGATTGGTCACACTCTTTCTGGGACTGCTGCTCGCCATGCAGCACCTGTATGCATTTTATTCCCAAGTAGGATAAGACATCTCCGTCGTGGCTAATTCATATCCTTGCAGGTTTCGGTGCTTGTTTCTGTTCCTGCTTTCTCTTTGGCAGAACACAAGCCCGTCTCATTGACCCTACGCTATCGGATTTCAGCTACTGCAACGGTAATGTATGATTCGAATCCTCCATATAATCGGGGGAAATACATGCTAACAGATATCCTGGAAGTGATAGTGTATCGGCTGGTTTCTTCTCGCCAACTGTGGTCTGCAGTGGGTCCTGCAAACAATCAAACGGAGTGAGATGCGTGATCAGTTAGGGATCAAAGGATCAGGTTGTGGCGACTGCTGCAGTACATACTGGTGTCCTTGCTGTGGACTTCTGCAAGAGGAGAAGGAGATGGTACGTCGGACTGATCCGGCTCATAATCAGCAATACCAGCCGCCCCAAGGAATGGTGTACCCTTAACAATACTTTGTTGAAAGGATGTGTCCCTTTAAACTCGTTCCCTCTCTTGGTTTTTATTTTCTTTCTTCTGTTTTTTTATTATATATTATTAGAAACAGTTTCAAAAGGTGGAAAGATAATAAAATTCAAAAAACCCCTACATATTTGTAATAAATTCCTAGTGTTACTGCTTCAGAAATGACTATACATTTCCGTGGCATATGTATAACCGGATGGCCTGGGGAATAGTCCCCGTCATCTTTAAATCTGAGGTCGGCAGAGGTTGTTTGTATAGGTTACCATTTCTGATACTTACTCTAAGCCTTCCTCTCTAACTTTCATTTCTCTGCATGGAAGCAGGCTCACTCCTCCACTAATATTTTAGGATCGGCCAGAGATTCCACAACTTCTTGGTAGGTATCATTAGTCTATTTGAGCTGGTACTGCGCGTCAGGGTTATAAGATATAGACAAGTTATAAGACTTGGTTAACTAAGTTTGGGATCTTATCTTTATCTAGCAGGCTCTGCAGGTCTGTTGTTAGATTGGACTTATAGTATTTATTGTGGACTTGAGGATTTATTTGTCCGGTGAGGGTGTAGAAACACAGCATGCTTCTTTGGATAATACTGATGGTTGTTAACAATTTTAGTCTTTAGATTCGCTAATCGCTATCTATAAAGAGAGGTAGATTTTGTTAGATTAGTATTGGTCAAGAATTCACCTCAATAATAAGCTAGAAAAATCGCTCCGTCGCTTTTCATCCTAGGGGTAAATTCTAACAGTTGAGTTCTGCTAGTCGAATATGTATATCCATTCTTGCTAGCCGAGATAAGATATTGAGAATCTTATTGAAAGTAATATAATATAAAGTGTGCCGCATATAATCACAAAAGTAAGAAACACCATTACTACGTTAAGAAAAATCGCTTCGCGTTATGGCCTTCATACATAGTACACTCTAAATTAATCCTATCACTTTATCGGCTACCCAATTACCACCATATTAAGGAAGAAGGGTAACAGATTCACTTAGGTTTTAGTACCTATATTTTACTATATAGGCTGCGAGCTTAATCATTCTATCTTTATTACGAAAGATCACCACCTCAGCATCCTTCTATTGAAGGGCGGTCGGCGATCATTCATTTAAGGAGGAAAAGACGATGCTTATATGAGACAGAGACACTGCAACTTACACTGAAATAAATGCTTAAGCCGGTATACATACAACTGCTTGATTCGTTTATCTGACACAATCCTGCCGGATCTCGAGCTGTAGTTGAGGATTTCTGTCGCTAGAGCGACTCTAACTAGAGGAAGTTTATAAATATACCAGTTATACTACTATAAGGTGGCTAATAGATGGATGAACAGGATTTGGTGCCTTTTCATTCGAGTTTTTCTAATCTTCTGATAGTGGTGATGTATAAGCAATGCCAGGTTGCTACTAAGAAAGTTATCTTTAAGGGATTTCGTTTCGACTGTATTTCCATAGGATCGATTGATATTCGAATGTTGGTTGTGAAGAATTTCTACTTACTGATAATAAAGCCCTTTCCTTGCCTAAGATCATTATATATACAATTAATGCTAGACCCTACAATACTTATAAAGTTCTCAAAGATTTCGGGATTATATACAGCAATAGTTAGAGATCTTAATCCTTCTCTTTATCGTAGCTAGTAAAAAAAAATAGTATCAGTACTTATATCTTAGACGTTTATATAAATTTCAAGATTTCATTAAGTCTTACCGAAAGAGTGATTTTAAATATAATTTTGATATACATTCTAATTAAGAAATTATACCTTTTACTAATGATATTCTTTGTTTATTTGCATAAATATCTTATCTAAGGTTAAACAGCATTCATTTATAATTAATAATAATAATATTAATAATAATAAACAAAAAGAAAAACAAAAAAGAAGAAAATAGCAGAGTATATAGTCGTGTACCATGATTATATACGGATATACGAGTAGTCGAGTGGGTCATGGATAGCAGCAACCTCCAGCAAGATCTCGCGTCGACTTATCAGCGCTCCCGACAAAGAGAATCTGGCCGCCTTGTCTTTTTCTCGGCTCACGCGGCGTCCGTTTGTTCGTTATTTGTATCGCATCCATCGCCTCTCTACATATTGTCTCGATTGAAAAGGAACGCATCTTACTAGGAATAATATTTCCGCCATCGGTTCTGTTACACAAGCTAATTCAAGCTTCCTCGCCCCTTTGTTCATCTGCTCCTTTCCATTCCCTTCGACCACGTCGGGGGAATAGCTGAAACCATCGAACGCGCTCATCTTGCATCGCTCGGATTCTGCGACCCTCGTTTTTCAGCGAACCCCCGACGCAATGGCAGACGTCGAGACAGCGGCAATCGACGATTCTCTGGCTCACTCTGAAGCCGGGGACGATCAACCAACACACAGCACCGTCAGCGCGACTGTCGGTATTCGCCGCCAGGCCAATGGCACGATCGGCTCAGTTTACTCTGGAAACAAGATCAAGCACCTGAAGAAAGAAGACGGTATCGCGCTATGGCGTAAGGACATCCAGTACCAGTTTCTGAAGCTTGTTTTCGAGGATAAAACCCCCGTCTTCACGCGAGCTTCTGATGGTGTTAAGAACCTCGATTTTGCCGATATCTACATCGATGCGATGGCAAGGAGCAGCAAAACGAGCAAGATCCTGAAAGACAAGCTACAGAATGATAAGCAGGCTGCGATTAGCATGGCAATGGTCTGCCTGCTGGTTAATTTCGGGCGCATGAATACTACTTTGAATTGTACGCGCTTTTTACTTTCACTTTCACTTTCACTTTTCGTCTTGGAATAGAATGAAAATTACTAACTTGCTTTGATAGTCTTCCCAGAAATGCGAGCGCAATTGAGAACGTATCATTCGATTCCATCTTTACAAGCCAACCAAGACCCGAATGCTTACAAACAACTCCAAGATGCTCCTCGCCTCAAGTCAATTCTAAAAGGCGCTTCGGAAGATACCGACCAGCCGCCAACTATCGAAAAGATCAAAGAAGAGAGTGTACCTCGCACTAATCCCGTCCACCTTATTTTCCTCCTGGCACAGTATGCACCGAAAATATCCGAGACACACTTTTTCGCTCCCCGTGATTTCTTTGATCTCGTTATGCGCAGCACACTCAGCAGTAAGAGCAGAGCGAATGCCTTTCTATGGCTCATGTGGTGGTACCTTGAAAGCGATTTCTCCCGGGAAGCTGCTTTGAACAATCCATTCGGGGCAGGTCTGGATGGAGAAGGTACAGGTGGTTTGCCTATCAAAGTACCAGCATTTGAGGGCTTGACAGAGGAGCAGGCAAATGAAGAGAACACAGATACCCCCGAGGAGATCAAGTACGCCGAAGAAATGCGCTTGGAACGTAAGCGTATATTAGAGGAAGATGAGCCTATTCCTCGAATCACCAAACGTTCCAAGAAGACGGAGCCCGGCTTTGATGATGACCAGATCGGGTCTGCAAATTCCACACCCCTCCATCCTTCTACGCGTCGAGTTGCAGTTCTTGACGAAGAGGATGACTGGTCCACTCCTGGATCTGCTCGTTCGCGATACAAGAAACCGAAACGAGAGTCATCCCTCAACCGGGCGACTGCTCAACGTATTGTTCTCAAGACAAGAATGGACCAACCTACTTCGGATGCCGCGTCTCCGGCTCCTCCAGGATCTGGGCATCCGGTTCTGAATCAATTTATAAATGATTCTGCAACTCCAAGCCATACTCTGCCGTCCCGTCGACCCCGGCCACTAACACAGCACCAATTAGCTGTCGAACAAAACCGTCGACATCGCATCGCATATTTGCTAGCACAGCGCAAAGCTGAAGCTTATAGAGTCACACGCCTCCAGCGAGAAATGGAACCAGCTGTCGTTCGCTACAGTTCGCGTATAATCCAGAACTTGCCCAATGCTGGAGTCGTCGAAGGGGAAGATATTTGGGGGAATATTCCCAAGAAGGAGGATTATGGGGAAGCAGCTCATCACTTCTTGTCAGTTCTCCGCAAGGCTTCTAGAAGATTGGATCGCTGGGACTGGTCAAAGGCCAATGGGCCAAGTAAGGACCGCAAAAAGGCGAGAGAAGAACGCCAGAAAGCATACCAGAACGGCACTGTCCAACTCGGCCTCGGCGGACGAGTTGGTCGATCATCTCGATCGGCTCGGCCAAGACCACCTCGTCCCTCGAAACGCAAGATTGCGCCGAGCGCTTCTGCCTCTTCGAACCTGAAATCTAGGGTTATGCCATCTGTTAAAAGCGACGTGCAGCCATCGTCTGATATCGCTGATGGCACTTCTGTCAAAGACGGTCCCTCTGGCGACGTACAATCCTCTCTCGCGAGTGTTTCTCGTGGTGATCCAGATCTCTATGGCGACGAGACGTTGGACGACGTCGATAAAGACGCCCTGAACGAGGGAAGCGGACACGAAGATGAGGACGACTCGGAACTATCATACCCTGAAGACGAGCACGACGAAGAGGGTGACGACGACGAACTCGAGGAGGGAGAGGGCGATGGCGATTCCACCTTTGAAGGCCGCAATGGCTACGATAGCTACTCTGAAGCAGGCGGCGATGGGGAAGATGATGTCGATGGTGATCTTGAACAGGCTGGCGAAGGGGACGAAGTCATGGAAGATCAGTGAGGATTAGTTGAGGATTTGGCACGCTATCTTTTTCATTTTTCAGCTTCGAATTACGTTTTATCCTTATTTTGTTTACAAGATTTGTTTCTGATAAAATCATCACAACTGATTTATATGTTTCATGAATGTATATTACAACGGCGTTTAATGTTAATGTTGTGACAACAAAGTCGATTCTTGCCTACATGTATTAAAGATATAACCGAAGCAGTCAATCTCCCCAAAATAGACTGATCACGAGGCACATGTACATCTCAGGCAGGCATATACAGGTCAACTGCACAAGGGTGCAGGCAGCGATCTGCATGAGCCCAGCCCGTCACGATACGTTCCACATGCAATTAACGCTGCACGCTGCACTCACTTAAACATCCCCGCTTCTGTGCAGGGCTCAAGGACGGGGCTAACTGTCCTCTCAGACAGGCCGTATAGCGACGATTGGAAACCAGACGGGGATGAGCATGATCGTGTGATGAATACGACGACGATGTATGTACCTAGTCCCTAGTGGTGCTCGCTGCGGGGATGTAACGTAACAGACGACTTGCTGCTGTTAAACACATTTTTATTACATATGTATATGATTGAGCGCGTCAACTGAGGGGCTGTTATGTCCGTTGTAGTTGAGCAATATTGAAGAGCGAAGAGCGAAGGCTATACATGTGTCATGTCATAATATTGAAAACCCGAGGGCCGTAATTGGCGGCGGCAGGGACTAATTAACGTTAGCCTAGGCTGTTTATGTTAGCATGCAGATCCTTCAACAGAATAAACACATGTAATAATCCGGACCTCTACCACAGTCGCCATCCTTGCTCGGTTGCTAGTTCTTGCTTATAAGACATAGCCGTGTGCGTGCTGCTATCACCCACTTCTCGCTCGCATTATTATCCCTCTTACAACAATCCATACGATATTTTTCGGCTCCCGTCCACACCATCGGCTCTCGGCGTCAACAACCCCAACAGACCAACAATACTGCAAAGGAGCAAAAAACGTTCCGACTGGCAATTAACTGGCAACTGCACGCTCCAACGGTGGCATGCTATAATAGTGACTGTGTACCTCTCACTTTGACCAAGCCCAACTTCACCTCTCGGATCTTGTCCAGATACCCAAAAAAAAACAGATCAACCGTTCGCGTACAATGAGCGAAACTCCTCGAATTCTTCGGCCCAGACCGCGGCGACCCTTCGAACTCCCTTCCAACGACTCCTCACAACCTCCCACCCCGCCCAGCGGCGAAGTTCAGGGCAGCAGCAACGCAGCCGATCTCCTAGACGTCAAGAGCGACCTGGCAGCGAGACGGACAGGGTCGCTGCTCAACCTGACTTCCTCAACACTACTCGGAATCTTCCAACCGACGGCGTTCGAGAGCGGTCGAGATGAGAATAGCCCCTGGGATACGCAAATACACACGCCGATCGACGGCAACCTGCCACCTCACCGGGCCCTCGACACCCGGTCTCCAGATCAGCGCGCTGCTGTGCACCGTCGGACGACCACTCTTACCTTCTACGTGCCATTGATTTCGAAAATGAGTCTTCTTTTCGCATGCGGGGTAGTGTATGGGGTAATCATGGCCCATTTGCACGAAAACCACCAGATCACACCCGTCAAACTTGAACTCATCGATCGAAACTCGTACAGATATCTTGGTTCATGGGGGGTGGGCGGAGTTGCGCTTGCCTTTGTGTTACCTTGGCTAGACAATCTGTGGGAAAATGCTAAAAGTACCTCAAGCTCGAAGAAGTTGGCAAATGGATACCAAGCGGCTGGAAAGGGAACAAGCAGTGGCACACGGTCTTCGCGGTGGACCCTTGCGGTTCGCAGCATTGGTGCTTTTGTGGGAATTGGCTTCGCTCTGGTTTGATACCATTTTTGTATATGAAGAAGATGATATATGCTAACTCTACAAAAGCGGAAACTGCCATGGGAGTCTACGACCCAAGAATCGCTTACCCTCGCTCTAGTCAACCCATTCCTGTGGTATTTGATCGACCGGACGAAGACCGGCTTTTGGTTGTCTACGGTGGTCGCACTGACAGGCATGGGAATTACGCTGATTCTTCACCCCGGAATCATACCATCGTCGACCGGTCTGGGCATCCGCAACTGGCAGCTTGCACATGACATCGAAGGCGGCTTATCACAAGACGCCACAGCGGTCGCGATCTGGCTTGCTAGTGTTTTTTACAGCGCCTGTGTCTGTTTTGGAAACATCGGGCGCCAGCTTGCCCTCGGCACCAACGTTCAACCAGATCTTTCTGTTGGGAAGTGAGCAGATGGAAGCGCTGGGGACGTGAATTTATAGATGACCACTCTTCATTCTTCTTCTTTCACTTTTTGTTTTAATAATAGTCATTAATATAGCCCATCCTACAGTTGGAATGGCATCAGCATATACCCGAGATCATCAATACTGATCTCTCGCCGTTACCTTCCATACTACCGCACAGGCTTACGTTCATAATGCCACCAGTTCCCATTGTCTGCCTGACAGACGACCAGGCAGGAATAATATATAGATCAAATGCACCACGCAAAGAACCAGTACTACTACTATATTAATAGTGTGTAGAGTCAATCATTGCAATCCCTTCCACATCGAATTCGAAAAGCACTGCACCCAAGATCGACACCTTTGAAAATTACTCTCCATTCCCATAGACGATTTCCGTACTTCATAGCACACCATAAGAGCATACTCGTAAGAACGCTTTTGAGGAGAATGTTGATTTTTGCGTTGTTCATGGAAGGAAAAGAAAAAAGAGAGGAAAAAAGGAGGACGCGCCGGGTATTTATAAGACCTGATTTGATTTGTTTGTCTTGAAATTTTCTAGCGGACGGCGCTATCCCATATGCGGCTTGGGGCGGGGATGGCGATATTATTCGATGATGAAAGTGGGATGGACGAAAAATCGGGGTGCGATTTCGGACGCCATTAATATTTTGTGATCAATTGATGTGAACTGGTGAAGGTCTTGATCGGCTATTTATTAATATTAATATTGGTTGACGTGCCCCTTCTGAGATTATCGTCGACTCTCATCGTGTATTCTACCATCCGAAAAAATGGCCCAGCAAAAGTCAGGTATGTCACGTCATAACCATGTGTGAAGTTGAAGCTGACAGACCAGCCATTCTGTCCGTCTACGACAAGACCGGACTGCTTGACCTAGCCAAAAGCCTGGTTAAGCACAACGTCCGTCTTCTCGCCTCCGGTGGCACGGCCAAATTGATTCGCGAAGCCGGGTTTCCAGTCGAGTGAGCGCCATTGTTCCAATACCAACTGTCGATAAAGTAACATCTAAACTGATCACCCCTCCCAGGGACGTATCTGCCATCACAAATGCCCCCGAAATGCTTGGTGGCCGCGTCAAGACTCTCCACCCGGCTGTCCACGGCGGAATCCTCGCTCGCAACATCGAGTCCGACGAGAAGGATCTGGCGGAACAGAAAATCGACAAGGTCGACTACGTGGTGTGCAATCTGTACCCATTCAAGGACACCATCGCTAAGCCGAACGTGACTATTGCGGAAGCCGTCGAAGAAGTCGATATTGGCGGCGTGACTCTACTACGCGCCGCTGCGAAGAACCACTCCCGTGTCACGATCCTGTCTGATCCAAATGACTATCCAGAATTCATCAGCGAGCTCGAGGCTGGAGACGTCTCAGACAAGACTCGCAAGTTGTTCGCGCTCAAGGCCTTTGAGCATACGGCAGACTACGACACTGCCATCTCGGCCTATTTCCGTAAGCAATACGCAGGCGAAGGTGTCCAGCACCTGTCCCTCCGCTACGGCACCAACCCACACCAGAAGCCTGCGGCTGCGTATGTTGCTCAAGGAAAGCTGCCGTTTAAGGTGCTCGGGGGCTCTCCTGGATACGTCAACCTGCTAGATTCGCTTAATGCTTGGCCGCTTGTCAAGGAGCTGAAACAGGCTTTAGGTCTGCCCGCAGCAGCCAGTTTCAAACACGTTTCTCCTGCTGGTGCAGCCATTGGCGTTCCATTGAATGAGAAGGAGCGCAAGGTTTACTTTGTCGATGATATTGCCGGCATTGAATCTTCTGGTCTTGCGCAAGCCTACGCTCGTGCACGAGGTGCTGACCGTATGTCGAGCTTCGGAGACGTCATTGCTCTTAGCGATAAAGTCGATGTTCCGACTGCGAAGATAATCTCCAGAGAGGTTTCTGACGGCGTGATTGCCCCCGACTATGAGCCTGAAGCTCTTGAGATCTTGAAGAAAAAGAAGGGCGGGAAATACCTTGTTCTTCAAATCGATGAAACATACACCCCGCCACGAACCGAGACGCGTACGCTGTACGGCGTCCAGCTCGAACAAGGCCGAAACGACGTTGTCATCTCTCCCAGCAAGACCTTCAACAACATCATCACACCCAAGGAATCAAAAGGCCTTCCTGATGCCGCTCTCCGCGACTTGACCGTGGCGACGATTGCCCTCAAATACACCCAGTCCAACTCCGTCTGCTACGCACTGAACGGCCAGGTCGTCGGTCTTGGAGCCGGCCAACAGAGCCGTATCCACTGCACGCGCCTGGCCGGCGACAAGGCCGACAACTGGTGGATGCGGTTCCACGAGCGCACGCTCGGCATCAAGTGGAAGGCCGGGGTCAAGCGCGCCGACAAGAGCAACGCCATCGACATGCTGACCTCGGGACAAATCCCACGCACTGATGTCGAGAAAGCCGACTACGAGCGCGTCTTCGAGGAAGTGCCAGCCCCCTTCACGGCGGAGGAGCGCGAGGCCTGGTTGCAGCAGTTAACCAACGTGGCTGTCTCCTCCGACGCCTTCTTCCCGTTTATCGACAACGTATTCCGTGCTGCACGCTCTGGAGCGAAGTATATTGCTGCGCCTAGCGGCAGTCAGAACGACGGCCCCGTCTTTGACACTGCTGAGAAGCTGGGTATCACATTTGTCGAGCAGGGCACTCGTCTGTTCCACCATTAAGGCGGGTTTTACACATGGGAATGGGTAAAAGTTTATGGAGATACCTGGCTTTTTTCTGTTGATTGGATGATACAATTTTAAAATTCACCATACCACAATTTGCTAGTAGATATCCAAGTCTACTCTGAAGCTTATAATATAAGAATACAATAATGGTAAATAATCAGCGCCGACCGCTAAAAGGCTTGAGCTGGCTGTGGCCAATCAAAGGCTGCCGCAGGCTCAGCTGCGGCCTCCCGCACCAATCAGAGCCTGCATCTTATTATGGCCCCACCTCAGCTGGCGTCAGTTCATGAAAATCACAACAATCATAAGTTAAATAATTAATATTAATTAAATCACACGAAGCTCACTCAGCTACTCTTCAGCTCTGGATAGTTCTGCCAACTCTCTCGTGGCCTGATATCCTACCTAGAGTTTTGTTTTATCCTTTGTTGTTGATTTTTCTATCATTGGCTGCTTGTTTGTTGAGTATATGCTTCATCTCTACGGTTGCCTAGTTCAGCCTCACACACAAGAGTCATCTTATAGAGGACAACCCTGGCAATGATTAATATCCAGCTATCATATCCCTAGACGGTGTCTCTATTGAGACTTTCTAGCAGTATTTATATTTATTTTTCATCGATTGATTCCGATTGATACCGATTTTGGCAAAATGCAATTACTTTCTCCGCCGAACGAGGAGTCACACTATCCTGCCACCGAAACTACCCCTAAAACTACTGCTGATACGACGGTCGATAATCACGGCGTAGACTGGGTTATCCTCTACGAGTTTACAGACACTGGTTAGTTTCTTCTTCTCTCATGGTAAAAAAAAAACTGAATTGTGAAAGACGAGGAAACTGCCATTGAAGAGTACCGTAGTCTTATACAAACTCTAGACGCGGTGGGACTGCGGACCGAGGTCAGACATGGCAACGGCTCGTCACTGTTGATCTTCATCAAAGCTCCAAACGATCTTGTCGGGAATTGGATTTACATGTCAAGGTATGTTAACATGTTCGAAATAACTTAACTTGACTCATCCTCACATGCCTTAGAGTGCGTGACTGGCTCTATGGTATCACGCAAATCCGTCCAGCCGGCGACAGCCAGGCTTCCATTGAAGGTGAAACTGAAGCCGAAGACCTTCGGTCCATCTATCACCTTGTCACCTGGCAGAAAAAGGACGGTGGTGCTGGCATCACACCCAACTGGGGCAAATGGGAGAATATCAAGGCATCATTCCCTCTGCACAACCAGGCTGCGAACCAGGAACTGCTACGGCGGTGGAGCAGAACTACGTTCCTTACAAGCCAGGATTTAGACGCCATCCGAGCTTTGTTTGGTGAAAAGGTACGTTTGAATCGACTTGATTTTGGTTTGCTGCTTTGATATTAAGAATTCGCTTTAGGTCGCTTTTTACTTTGCTTTCACCCAGTCGTACTCCGCCTTCCTGACATTTCCGGCGGTGTTTGGTGTGCTGTGTTGGATGTATTACGGGTCCTACTCTATTGTCTTCGGTCTTGTGAACTGCATTTGGAGCGTCGTCTTTGTAGAGTACTGGAAATTGAAAGAGACTGACTTAAGTATCCGATGGGGCGTCAAAAGCGTCGGGGCATTAAAGGCTACTCGAATGGAGTATGTCTGGGATAAGGAAGTCACCGACCCACTGACTGGAGAAGTACGAAAGGTCTTTTCAACGAGAAAGCAAGTCCTCCGTCAAATGCTCCAGATTCCATTTGGGATCATGGCTGGGATTGTGCTTGGGGTTCTGGTGGTTGCTACGTTTGCTATGGAAGTTTTCATTTCAGAGGTATATCAGGGACCATTTAAGACATATTTGGTAGGTTATGAAGCCAAAACTCCCGTTCCAACTACTATTGACATGTATGGTTGTAGGATTTTCTTCCTACAATTGTGTTTTCCCTGGCTTTGCCAACTATCAACTCGAAACTTACAAGTGTTGCTACTCGATTATCTAAATTTGAGAACCATCGTACTGAGGATGATTACGAAAGATCTCAGACTCAGAAGACGTTCGTCCTCAACTTCATCACAGCATTTCTTCCGATTATTTTGACGGCTTTTGTGTATGTCCCTTTTGGTGCGCAACTCGTACCTTATCTGGACCTCTTTCGACTTGGCGTTGTCCATTCTGTGTCGTCCGTCTTTCGGATAAACATTCAAAGCCTAGGAAAAGAATGGGCTAACTTGGACAATTTTGCGGTCGATCCGGCTCGTTTGCGACAAGAAGTTATCTCTCTTACCCTCACCGCTCAGGTACTAAGTTTCGGCGAGGAAATGGTCATACCATACGTCAAGCGGGTTCTACTGCACAAGTATCGAGACTGGCAAACCCAAAAAACCACACAACAAGCAAATCGCACCCGCGCCTACTCTCAGGCTACTCACACTTTACTGGTCGATCACCAAGATGAAGGGCCATTCCTAACCCGCATCCGTAACGAGGCGGAAGCCGACGTTTACAATGTCCAAGACGATATCTTGGAAATGTGTATTCAATTCGGATACCTAACATTATTCGCAGTTGCATGGCCGCTCGTTCCTTTAGGCTTCTGGCTAAACAACTGGCTTGAACTCCGCGGTGATCTTTTCAAAATCAGCACCGAATGCCAAAGACCTATCCCCATCCGCGCCGATTCAATCGGACCCTGGTTGGACATCCTCAGCGTTTTGAGTCTGCTAGGAACGCTGTCTAGTGCAGCCATCGTCCATCTGTACCGAAACGGAGATATAGGCATTATTGACCTCTGGTCACTCCCCTTAACCCTCCTAATCACCGAGCAAGCCTACCTCGCCATTCAGTACATCGTAAGAACATCCCTCGAGAAAATCGGATCAGACGCAGTCCGCCGCGAGGAAGCGCGCAAATATATCCTCCGCAAAAAATACCTCGAAACCTTTTCCGAAGAAACCTTCCAAATGCTGTCTACCCAACGACTAACCCCTTCAAGACCATCATCATCCACCAACACCACCGCCGCCACCGAACACCCTCCCCAGCACATGTCCTCATCCTCGGCAACACTCTCCGTAACGCGGTCTCCCTCCACAAAACGCCTACACGTCCGTGAAAACAGCAATATCCAACGCATCACTGGCGACGAGCTCGACGTTGAGGACCACCCTGATCTCTCTTTCAAAGGCGGTCTGAGCCGGACAGACAGCGGCTCGTTATCAGACCAATACCGATCGATGCGGTTCTGGTCCTGGCACAAGACGTCGCAGGAGACCATAGAATCGGGCATGAAACTGATCAAGGTAATGTCGAATCTTCAGAGATCGAAGGCGTGGCAGACTAGGCAGACTAGTAAGCCGATGAAAAATGATTGATAGTACATAGTATATATCTCAGAAATGTTGAATTCTGCATATGATATAGATATCTTTTGTCCCTTTTTTTTGTTCAATTTTATACCTACTTATATAAATGAGACGTGCGCCGCTTATGCTCTGCCTGGTTCACGAATCGATCTCTGAAGGGTTCCCACGGGCCTCATTTAACTGCTGCATTAGTCTTGATGGCAGGTAGTTTACCAACTCAGAAAGCCAGTATGTTACCCTGATTTATTCAATGTCACTCATGCTCTTTCACAAAGATCTTACACGCTGCTTGAAATTTGATGGTGATATCAATTAGATGTTAAATCAGTTTTAACTAAGTAAAAATTTAAATAAAATTAGAGACGGCTTCGCCAGGCGACGTCACTCTCCAAAATCAGCCTCGCCTGCATAATTAGAGACAGGGGAACATGATCATGAGTGATAATCGTATACGACAGGGGGGTGCTAAAGGATAATCGATAATAAAAGTTGAAAGAAAAAGAAAGACCTCAGGTCCGCTATACTTGAAACAAAACAAAACCAGTAAAGCAAGTTTAAAACAACCAATGCTGCCCCTGATCAGGGGAGCTTCAAGATGGGGAAAAGACAAGCGATGGGTCGAAATTTTATCTCAATGTTAGGCTAGATAAATTGCTTCGTTAATTTTTAGCCTGAGGTAAATTCAAACAATTAAAAGTCTGCCGTAGTCTATTTCGAATGACGTCCTATAATTCAATTTATATATTCACTAAAGCATTGCTATTAGTACAGATTATTGCATTTTAAAAGCTATACCCAATGATTTACCGAAGGATTTCTAGCTTATAAAATTCTTAATAAAGGAGGCCAAACAACAGCGAATCTTATAAGCTAAGGGAATATGTTGGATTGTAAATGGGTCGAGAATTTATCTCAATATTAGGTTAGAAAAATTGCTGCGTCGCTTTTAGCCTAGAGGTAAATTCGAACACTTCTAGCCTTAAAAATCTCAAGAGATAGTAGCAAGACTGAGGTATTGATGACAAGAGAAAGTAAGGTTTTAAATAACAGTCTGTATCCCATAATAGAGTTCATAGTTCTGCTGAAGAGCAATGACTATGCCCAACGGTAACTCGATTCCCAATAAATCTTCCTTAGTCCAGCATGGGATCTGTTCTAGTAAGATAGCCGCTTCTTCGATTTTCGGTACTGCTGCATCGAGCTTTGATTTCTCCAACCCTGTGTTGGCCTTGAGCTACTGGAGGTAACCACGATTACCAGAGACATTTTTTTGAAGCTGCATGCCTTGTTCCAGTGGCTCATCGCACCCTAAAAATCTGTCGGCCCAAGGGAAGCTTTTGCCTTCCTGACTCAATGTCGCATCAGAAGTTAACAAAAGACCATGTATTCTTCTCATATGCGCTATCATATTGTCTTTCCGGCTGAACACCCGATTGCAACACGATCCATCGGGGTTAAGACCCCAACATAAGATCTTTGGATTGTGCTTGGCCTCGTGCCAATTCCTATCTTTAGCGGTAGCGAACCATCCAGTGTGCTTATCAATCCTTTGGCTTTGTGACTTTGGGCATCCTATAACACGACAGAATAGAGTACGGCTGTACTGCTTGACATGGCAGACCCAGAGACTGGTATTCCGACAATGGTTGCAGACAACTTGTGGGGAGTGCTATATAGTCGTGAGTAATGATACATATTTGTGTAGAAATTCAAGTTCTAATGACAAGGAAGGGGTGTTATTTGGCTTACGAAGGAGGAGACATCATTACTGCCCCAAAGACCTGGCCATCATATAGGTATGTTTTCCTCAACCCTCCCTCTATATAAATCTACCCTCAATAACAAATAAAAAAATTTTAATATTGTGATTTAATTTCCACTCAATGATAGACCATTGCCTTGACCACCTTCGCCGATCTCTCATGCGAAACTCTGACATCTCAGTTGTGCATTGGCAATGGTCTAAATATCGCCATATACCCTTTCCTAGTCTTCAGATTAGCCATAGCTGTCCCAATTTCGAGGCTATTCAGGAGTGTGCATTGTCAAGAAATGTTCCACATGATCCTGTCTGACCACCCACTCCACAGCCTCCTGATTTAGGGCAAAGCCTGGAGGATTCCTATGATGAACCGGGAGGACAAGCAAAACATTCGTGATAGTGATGACATCACAACGGACCACGGTATAAAGGCTAGGGCGTTAGGTTCATAGATGTGTTGTTTAACGTACTTGAGTTCACATAGATGGTCTGTGTATTCTTTCTCTCGGTCAATTAGCCATTTTCATGTAGTTGAATAGTAATATAGCGATCAGCTGTTAGCCATTAATCTGTTTTTATCTCTCCCATGTTAAAATTTTTTCAATAATGAAATATACTATAACACTTAATGTCCAGCCTATATACTTATACCACTATTTACCTCAACACATTCTAGAAATGTTGGACATATGAGATCCTCTGTGTGCGTTTTAACCCTTGACATATTTTTAAATCACACATGATAGACTTTGTCCGGGGATCAATTGTTCTTTTAATTCTTCTCAAAGTTATCTCCTTTACTTGTAACGGGACAGTCAAATGCTGGAGAGGATTGTGGTAGTGCTTCGTCTCTTCCTCGCTGCCAGAGCAATTCTGGTAAAAGGTACGTTCTGTGCGGCCCTCGTGCAATTGGTTTTGGATCGGCTCGATAAATCCTTTCAATACGTTGATTGTTTTTTAGAGCTAGGATCTCGATTCGAGTTCATATGCTACTGTCTTCGACACCTTGGTTCGCAGGCGTTAACAGGATTGCTGTAGAATTCATCGCGGCTGCCGCTATAGCCTGCCAGTAGCACCATTTGAAAAATGCTTGGGCGTTCAACCCGTATCGATAATAAAACGCTTGATATTCAAGATTGTTGTGCCAGAATGTAAGTTCATATTTGCTAATTATTTCCATCTCGTTTTTGTACCATTGTTTGTCTACAGGCCGGTGAGACCAATATTCGAAGTAGCATTTTGACACCCCGAAAGCATCCAACCACCGTAGAATATCCTCGCACAGCTAGCTGTTCATCCTTGACCTCAAATCCGGTCCAAAAGCAGGCACTCGTTTCTGAACTCGCTTGTCTGTGGCCTTGAACATCCCGTATCCTCGCAACCATCTCAGAAAGAGTTGAAAAGAAATATTCACAGTCGACACTCATAAATTGCATATGCTGTAAATCTTTTGATCGTATATGTTGGAAATATAAGCCACCTATAATCAGAGACAAAGTTATGAAGATGCATGCCAAACTTAATATCTAGATCTCACAAAAATTGGCTCTGGAAAAACATTTCAAATATTCTTCAAGATATTTTTTCTTTGTTTGAGGGCAATTACAGCATTTTCTTCTCACTTGCATGAAATAATTTATCTGCATTTTCGTCGTGCTGGGAAGGTACAAAGTTGAAGGCCTTGCGCTAGGCATGCTTCGAGGCCCCCATTAGCCGAGCTTAACCCAGAACATGGTCTATTTTTATGTACTTGGTAGGGTATATGTGTGCTTTCTATTTAAAGAAGTCATTTCAACTTCAACGGCCTTACGACCTCGACCAAGCCGTCTTGGATGCAGTACGGTGAGCAAAACCGACATGATCACCATAGGAATGCTATCAAGGGCAATGAAAACACCCTCCATCGACGCCAGCGGGCCATTAAACCCATCACTTAACTCAGCGACTCGCCAGCACGACCTAATAAAAAGACAGGCTGCAGCAACTAAAAGCCCTGCATATGCAATAGATAAATCACATTAGCAACTCACATCAAAGGCATGCAAAGAATATTAATTGACGAAATTGACGCTTCATGTCAACTCACCTATCATAAACCATTTCCTTCCATCCTCTACCAACCTCTGTCGTAAATCCCTGCGTAGGATGGACAGGACAACGCAGAAAATAGCAGTAAACAAGACCTGCGTCGCAAGCCCGGCAATCATGAGATCAACCCCAATGGGGTCCTCGGCATATATCGCAGCGAGCGAGCCGCCAATCCCTATAAAACAGAGACAAATAAAGTCTCCAGTGATGAAAAGCGTAGAGAAGAGACGGGGCCCAACGGGTCGAAGACAGGTGGCTTGGTAATGGCGAAGAATCGCGCTGATGCTGAGGTATAGTGACGAGGAGAGGAAGGTTGGACCTAGGGTTAGGCCGATGATGTACCTGAATATCGATTAGAGTTTTTAATTTTTATTTAGGTTACATGATTAGTGATGCTGTAAAGTGTACTGACATGATGTATCCGTTCTTATTGCCTCGGTCATGAGAGAGCATCACTTTAGCTGCATATCCCAGAAGTTCCAGGAGAAGGCCGCCAAGCATGCCAGTTGCATAGCCGTAGAAGCGGTAGTATACCGTAGTCAGGATGATTTGAGCGAGTAAAAGAAGGGAAAAGATCACGGTGAATATCACATTGGGTGCGTAGAGGGGAGTGAAGGATATATTGCCGATGCTGTTCACTGGAATATCGGCTGTACTGTTGGTGCTGTTCATTGTGATTTACTTAATTAACACAACGATAGTTTTCAACATTCTAGTTAAATATGGCAATATACCTGTGTATGGCTTTTTATACTTGTTATTGTTATGGTTGCTGCCTCGTTTGCTAAACCCTACTCACCGCAAAGTCTCCGCCGAATATCCGTGAAAGCCCCGCAAAAGTTCCGTCAGAAAGTATTCGAGTTCTTCAACATCTCACTCCCAAACCCATTACATATATGGCATCAACGGACGTTGGGTATATCGCCTAAATGAAGCTGAGACGCGGACTGGAGCGAGAATCGTGCGATTTTTGCTATCGACGCAAAGTCAAATGCGACCGCAGCGCGCGAGCAAACTTGGGCTATTCCGCCTGCTCGCAGTGCGATTTGCGCCGGGTGCCTTGCCATATTGATAATTCGGGCGATCTTCGCAAGCAAAAGCGGGAGGATCGGTCGAATATCCATCATAGAGCATCGTCTTCTCAAATACAAATATCTGATCCTGCCCGTGATACTACCTCTGTGGATAGTGATCGCCCACTTCTCTCGTTGACTTCTACTCATCTACTGGCCACGTCCCTACTGGGTGTGGATAGTACGACGCCAGTACCAGATCAGACGTCTGATTTCCTCTTTCTAGACTCATTGTTAGATATGAAACCTGAGAATGTATTATTCCTTGACCAAACATTCATATCCGATTACGATCCAACAATCTGGACGAGCGAAGTATTACATTCAATAGATCCGATTGCAATGCTTTCCACTTCACGCGATATCGAAACACAGCCACCAGATCAACAACCCACTATCCCTCCTCTAATCGACCGCCTATCGCAGAAATGCAACATCAACCACTCCGTCCTGCATGCAGCATTACACGGATACTTCGACTTCGCAGGACTTTGTCTACCTATCATCTACGAGGATGCATTTTGGACCGACTGTCATGCCGGCTTATGTAGCCCTGCACTCGTCTATGCAATTGCATGTCGCGGTATCCCTTTTATCAACGTAGAGCCGCCGGCGTCCAAAACGAAATACCAGCACCAGCTTGCCTGCGGCTTCCGAGAGTCCTTCTTCGAGGCTCAGCAAACGACCATACCTCAGGAGTCAATTCGTCTCGATAACCTGGAAGCGCTGGCGCTAATGATCAATTATGAATATGACAACGATAACGCAGACCCCTCTTCATCAATCTCCTCGCATCTAGGAAGCCTCTTCCTCACACTCGACTCTCTAGTCTTGATGATCCTACAGTCACGAATAGACACCCACGATTCGTCGTCGGCTATGACAACGCTATGCAGAGCCACGCAGCGCCGAAGTCTTTTATTCTGGCATGTCTACGGTCTCGATGCGTTTCAGAGTCTTGACCACAAACGTATCTCTCGTATACAAGATGACACTGTTGAGATTACCGACAGACTCTCGCGAGACGAGATTGGAGACGGAGGGTATCTCGATGCCATGCTCTCGCTAGCAATTATTGCGCGCAGGATAGTGCAGCTTCTTTGCAGTCCTATTGCGCGACGGAGAGGAGTTAGCTCTGACGATGTTCAATCTCTATACGACCAATTGCGTCGTTGGCGAAAACATTCTTGCTCAGATTATCTCGAGTGGGATGAAAAAGTGGTCAACCAGTCTAGATTAATGGATCGTGGAGAGGGTTTTATTACAGGGAAGCACATGAAATTGTATCAAGCAGTTGTCAAACTCTTGGAGTTCAACTGCTACCTGCAAATAGAGGATTGTGTCATCAAATACGGGATCCAGGAGAAACCCATTCTCGGAGGTGAAATATTATCGTTGCAGGTCCAATACCAAAGTCTACGCGCAGCTTGTGGTATTGCTGATGTATGCGGATGGATAAGCCACAATCACATCGAAGGACGACAAGGGAAAGAAGGACACTGCGAGGTACAGTATTTTGTAATTGATCTTTCGCCTGATATACTACGGAATTTGTGTGCTGGAGCTTGTTATTGGCTGTGTATTCGGTGCAAGACTCTTAGTTGCCGAGGATTTCTGCCTATTCCGCAACCTAACTCGTCTCTGAGTGAAAGAGATGGTCGGGAACAGGATGGAGCAGATGCAGATGTGCGTTATATTAAAGGCTATATAGAAACAGCGAAACAGCTAAGAGACGGAGTGGCGGTGGCAAAGTCACACAAGGATACAGAAAAGATTGTTGCTAGGTTAGATGAGCAGCTTTCATCCCTACAAAAGCTTATCAATAATTAAGAATAGCTCTTGATCAGCTGAGCACATATAATATAGCAAAACAATAGAATCAAACTTGAATCCGAGAAGTGAGAGCAAGAGCTGAATATAACATTCACTTGCCCAAATGAATCGACGTCTCATACTTTGACAATATCTCAACCTCAACATCCTCAAATTCTCGCAGTATCGTCTCCCGTCTTGCCTCCGAACGAAGCGTAACTTTACACGGAAAAGGCTTCGCACTAGTCACAATCCCTTCATGATAACCCGTGAGCGGACTGATATCCGGCTCCAAAGGCTTCTTGGTTACCAGGTCAATCTCTTTCTCAAAATTGAATGCCCACAACAGCATCGACATGGCAAGGAACAAGTTCCGCTCTGCTAAATGGATGCCAACACACAGACGTCGACCAGCGCCGTAACCATAGTGATCACGGTTCTCGTAATCAGGCGAAATTGCATATTCTGCTGCAGACAGCGTTTTCCCTGCATATCTATCTGGGTTGAAAACGTCGGGATTGGCGAATTGCTTCTCGTCGTGGTGGAGACCCCAGGTATTCATGATGAGCGTAGTTCCCTTGGGCAACAGTTTCCCATCGACCCATTCATCTACTCGATTTTAGCACACTGAGCTGTGGCTGGGAAAGGTGAGAATACGTTACCTTCGTCTAGTGCATGCGGAATCCCCAGCGGCGTCACCGGCCGCCATCTCATCGTCTCTTTGACAATAGCTGCCACATACGGCAGACTGCTGTAATCTGCCCAGTTCGGGGTCCTATCTTCTCCAATCTTTGCATCAATCTCTTCCTGCGCTTTCCGTTGAACCCGCGGCCATTTCGTCACTGCCTGAATGAAAGCCGTAAGGACGTTTGCAGTTGTATCCGAGCCAGCTTCCATGATATTACCGCCGACAAAGCGCATCTGATTATGTGTAAAATTTGGTTTGCCGTTATTATCAAGGATCTTGTCTAGGAAGCTATCCTTGCTACCTTGTTCCTCTCTACGCCGGATTATGTGCTGCAAAAAGCTTTCGTATAAAAAGTGCATTTCGTGCTTGACTTGAGTGGCTCGCGATACCCAGTTCCGGAGGAAGCGTTCAGGGATGTATTTGAGCCATGGGTAGATGTCAACCGGTGGCATTGCTCCTGGTTCCATAACCGTGGTGAAATGGTCCATTATTTCATAGAGCAGTTTCAGCTGTGTGGACTCGTACGAGGGAGATCGTACCCCATACACTAGCCATACATCGTTAATTTCAGACCAGACCCGGTATAGACAAGGAACGTTATACAAATACTAGTAATAGTGCTATTACTAAACCGCTTCGGATGCAGCATATACTTCTCCGGCTCAAAAACAAAGTCTCTGAGCATCTGCACCGCCTCTGCATGCTGAATCCTGTCGTGATGCTCACACATGGATTCCATAAAGTGCTGGTGGATGGTTCTGCGGGCCGTTCGCCAGTACTGTCCATATGGCACCGTGAGGAGATGGTCTCCATCACTAATGATTTTTTGTGTAATGTACGAGGCCGGTCTTGCGCTTGAAGTGGAGCTTTTGCGGTCTAGAAGCTCTCGGACGATCCGTCGATCGGTGATCACGGCTACTGTGCCTGTTCCGAATTTGAGGGTATACAGGCCGCCATATATTTTGGCGAATTCAGTTAATCTGAAATACGGAAATTATTTGTCTGTAGTTCTGTTCTTTGTATTTTAAAGGATATGCTCACTTGAGATATATGTGTTTTGTAGGAAGCTGATGGAGGTTACCAATGAACGGAAGCGTTGGTGGACCTACATGTAATATCAACACACAAACCAGTTAGTTGATAATGGTATCGTTTGTTAATAATCAGATACTCAGTCCCTTACCAGGAGGGTATCTCGGGTCTCTGTGGCCGACAGTCAGTAAAGCATATACAAACCCCGCGACGAGACTCAAAATCGTCAGAGTGGTAAGGACAGCCATTAGACGAGTAGATTAGGTCAGAACTATATAAGCCAGGCGTCGAATGCTATTAATCAAAAACCACTCTCTCTTTAGCTGTTCACAATAAAATCAACAATTTAGGTCAGCAGTTTCCGCCCAACATCAATATTTGAAATTATGGAGTAGTGTCCTACTTAAGACAACAAACCCTCATCCAAATTCCTACCCAAACCGCATGGGTATTCTAGATTGATCCCATGACACGCTCTTCTTCAGACAAATAATTGCTTTTTAAGAGGACGAAGGCATGTAGGTGGTGAGGTGGTTGCAGATTGATGCATGCAGGGTTCCGCTAGGCCAATGGCAGGCCATCGACTGAACGGGATAGATTGAAGTGCATGGCACTAGGGTCTTGAGTGTGATACGTAATACTTTGTCTCGTTTGGATTACACTGTGTGTCATGGTTGTGGATGTCCAAAAGCTAGGCTTAGAAACCGGCATGACATTTGAATGCTAGGTAGTTTACAGTGTATATAGCTACGAAGCCCGATTAAAGTAAATGTAATGGTATGCTTTTTAAGTACAAACCAGTTTGTAAAGTAACATCAAGGTTTCGCATATCGAAATACATCATTGCTGAAGAAGAGAGGTAAAAGAAAAGAATAAAAGAAAATGAAACCCAACCGCTCCTCTCCCCTGCAAAGCTTGCATCATAAAACGAGAACCTCTAATTCGATCCTGATCGCAAACCGTGCAGCAGCACCTATCGTTAGATTACAAATCATTGATTACATATGGAAATTATTCGATGCGGGCCGTCTATTATTTAAAAAGGCCTGAATCCGGTAGCCTGTGGAGCGATGCCGTTGGCTTGGAAAGGAGCAGGACTGCCTGACATCGGTCCTTGGGTGAGCATCAGACGTGAGCCCAAAATAGGAGCGTTGTCATCCTCCTTCTGGTGGGTCTTCTCTTGTGCTTTGCGCTCCTCGTTGTCCTTTTTGAGCTCCTCGATCGTGAGTGTTTGCCGCGCCAACATGTTGATCAGATATGGCATCGTGAAGTCGTTCAAACCGTGGCGCCATGAAATTTCCAAGATAATATCCGGACGAATGAGATCGTAGCACGCGTATAGCATACCAACGTAGCATTCGCGGCTTCCAATATCAACAAACTGTGACACATTAGTAAGCATAGAGTAGAACGGGATGTAGAAAACTGACGTAGCGCAATAATTCTTCGACAACTTCTCCTTTGCTGGAAATGGCAGCCGTCTCGATGGCATCCTTAAAAAGCTTATCTTGTTTCGATAGAGCGATCGACTTCTCCCAACGCTTGTTCTTGCGGTAAATGTTGGCTGCGATTTGACGGAAGAAAACAAGATCGTGCTTCTCCAGGCGCTGGGCCAAATCGACGGGATCGTAGTTGTCGTAGTTCTCAACGGAATCCCGAAGTGTCTTGTAGTCTTCCTCTTCGATAAGCAAGTCATTAATGGCATCGTTAACGGCACGCTTGTTTTGAGTCTGAACATTCAACAAGAACGGTTTGATGAGAGGAATATTGTCCGAGGCTTGGAAGATGCGGACAACACGGCTGACATCGATACGAGCTGTTAGGGCCTGGAGGAGATCAGTGAGCAGAAGAGGTTGCTCCTGAAGGTAAAAGTTAAGAGCACGGTAGTAAATTTCCAGGTTAGCCACCTTGACAATGATATCCTTGAAAGAATGGTGTTCCCAAGCCTCAGCTGCGCGCTCCATCATAGCAAGGGCGGCATTATCCCATTCGTCATAGTGGCAGTACAAGAACACAAGCTCGGGCCAAAGGTTGGCTTCTTCACAGGCGCGTATCATCTTAGGGATATTGATACGAGACCAGAACAGCTTGATGTGCTCCATGACACGGTCAGGATGGTACTTGGATAGTGCAATACCCAATTCGGTAAACATTCCCATATGAGCCCGTTCCAAGCCCAAGCCGGCTTCGAGGAGGGAAATGAGCTCGTCAAAGTAACCATTGCGTTCGTACTGGCGGACAAGATCCTGGAGCTCTTCGGCGTGAACAATGAGGTTAAGACCACAGATTTGAGCAAGGCGGAACTCCTTCTTGTTGACACATGCCTCGTTGACTTGCTTCCAGACCTTGACACTGTTGGCCTTACGAGCGCACTCAACGGCGGCTTGGTAGTCTTCGAGGTGGACGAGGGTGGTGGCAAGCTTGGCCCAATTAGAGATACTAGTAAAGAAAATCTTGGCAGCCTCATGGAATCCTTCTTCGTAAGCCTTGTCACCAGATGCCTCGATATCAGCAACATTGGTGGCACGCAAAAAGTCTTCAAGTTCAGCTAGCTGATCCAGTCGAGCGTAAGAGAAAGCCATAGCAGTGTCAATAGCTGGCTCTCGCAAAGTCTTTCGGGCCATCTTCAAGTATTTCACGAGATCCTCATCTTTGCCAGCATGAGTGGCAGTCTCGATGACTTCGGTATAGTTGGATGGATCACTAGCTCGGATGTACGATTCGATGGAGTCGGTAACACGAAGGCCGTCCAGCTGAGCCTTTGCAACCTTGCTCCAAACTTCTGGGAGCTCAACACGTTCGGCATACTCTTGGGCACGGTCGATGCTAACAATGTTCTCGACCAACACATTAGTAGCAGCACTGTGGTTGTCGACTTTCTTGTAGATTTCAAATGCTTCTTCGTAAAGACCAACGGAGATGCACATTTGGGCAATCTCATCCGCATTGAACTCAGAAAGTTTGTGGATATAGTCCATCAAGCGACCCTTGTCAGCCTTGGCAGCGGTAAGCATGAGCAAGTTCTGCAAGCTGCTGTTATCGCTGAAAGGCGAGGGCTCAAGAATGATCTTCTCAAGCAGTTCGATCAACTCGGTAGGCAGATCAGCATCCAAGAATGCCTTAACTGCGATGGAGACCTTGTCGGGCTCGGTAGATTCCGGGACAGCGGTAGCAGTGACCTGGTCCACAACAGAACGTCGATGGATGTTGTTATCGTTGAGAACGAACGACCAAATTTCAGTGTCAGCGCGCTCCAGAAGGTAACGAGCTTGCGCTCTGTACATCGCGTTCTCGTTTGTGATGTTAATAAGCTCCAGATCATTTTGACCCTTCCTGTAAGCAATGTATGCCAGGTTGGGGTCTCGTTTCTCGCAGTATTTACCGACTGTCAAAGTATCGTACATATCGTTCTCCTTCAAGAACTTCTCGGGGTTGTTGTTGCTGTCAATGTAGATCTTCGCCAGGGCATTGTACACTGCCTGTTGCTGGTTGCCGGTGGCCAGGGTGTTTTCCAAAAATGGCAACAGGAGCTTGAGGCGGTTTCTCGATTCAACTTCCTGAACCAATTCATCAATAGGAATCTGAGATGGGTCCACAGTTGACAACAAGTTCTTGATAATGCCTTCATCGCAATCAACGTCCAACAGACCGCCGACGACGGCTGGAGAACGAGAAGGATTGACTCGCTGAACGTAGACTTCAATGGATTTGTACTGTTGGTTGCGGTAGAGATACAAAACTAGGTCATGGATGAAATTAAATCGATCGCAGACAATGATCAATGGAAGTTGTTCTGTAAGTTTGGCCTCCTTCAAGAAGTTCTTCACCTTCTCCGGGTTGTAGTAGTTGCTCTCACGGCAAATGCGTTCTACTTCGGTCATCTGACCCATGGTAGTAGCAGCTTCGATGTACTTGAAATGAACCTCTGGGTCTTCACTGAGGTTGACAATGCTTCCCAAGTAGTAATAGAGACCTTCGGCAGTACGGTACTTCTCGAAAAGATCGATAAGGCGATTAGCACCCACAAGATCCGAGAATTTAGTCGCAATTTGTACGACAGCTTGAAGGTTTTGGCGAATGTTGAAGTTCAACATCTCGTCCAAGCACTCCAAAGCTTGTTCCTGAGAAAGGCGACCAAAATACTTGTTCAGCCATTCAGCGTTCAGGCTGTCGGTGCGAACAATATTTCGTTTAATAGCGGCAGGGTCTTCGGTGTTTTCCAGAGCACGCTGAATGAGGCCGGCATTTTCGCAAAGCTGTGAAATCCGGGCCTTGTCGTAATGGGTGAAGATTTCATTACCAAGAATAGCATCGGCTACTTGAGGGGCATTGATAAGGTTCATCTCCAACAAACGAGTTTGGAGGTGGCCCTGTTCGGGCTTGTTGTCTTTCAGAGCATCCAACAAGAATGACGTGGCCTGCTGGATCATATTCTGAGAAAGGAAGACATCGACAACACGGTCAAGATCAACCAGAGCGCCAGTCTCTTCGTTGGCGAGCTGTGTAGCGAACTCGGCTCCTTTCTCAGGATTGATACGCACGATGTGCTGGAGGAGTTGGGTGAAGTCAGGCTGGTAGTTAGCCTGCTTTGCGTATGGAAGAATCTTCTCAAATTGGCCGGTCTCAGCAAAGCCAGCAACAACCTTGTGGGGAACATTGGCCTTCAAGTAAATTTGCAGAGCCAAGTTCATATCATGTGGACGAACAAGATCACCGAGATCTTCCGACGCCTCGAGCTTGTCTTCAGACATCCACTTCTCCAACAAATGCTTCCTGTTTTGCTGAAGCACAGGACGTACTAGCTCCAAACTTTCGTAACGATTCAGGCTGCCTCTATCTAGCAGCATGCCGAAGTATTGAAGAATAACTGACATTTGCTGGCCAGTTTGAGGTGCATTCTTGAAGCGGTTAATAGTCTCAGGAGTACGCAAGAACCCTCTTGGAGAGTTGGCCGCAATCTTAGCTGCCTCTGAATAGTTTTGCTGAGCGAGCAAGTTTTCGAATTGTTGTTGATAAAGGTGGTCGGCTCCCGGCAAGCCAGCTTTAGACGCAAGCTTCACAGCTAGACCTGACATAGCCGGATTCTCCATGAGATATGGTATAACCGTGTTCTCATCTAAGCTGACTGAAAGGACTTGTCCCTTACGGTTAACACCAACAAGACCCGCTGACTCCGAATCAGGGGCAGTGGTAAAGATCGTCTCGCTAGAAATTCGGTTCATGAAAATGCACGTGCCGGTCTCCAGGTCATACAAGTGGATGAAACCATACTTGGTAACAAGATAGACAATATCATACTTGCTGGATACTTGCATAGCGACCGGGAAATCATTAACGGCCTCAGCGGGGAAGAACACTTCCACGGCCTTCTTTTGAAAGCGGGGATTGGGCTCTTGGTGATCGATCTCTGCAATCTGCAGCTTGGCGCCAGTGGGTGTTCGGACGGCGAAAGTGAAGAGCTTGTGTGGTAGAGGAGATCCTTCTACCTTGATCGAGGCAAAAGCGGCAGCATGACCTTCTATTGACTGGGAAATCGAACGCTCGCGGGAGTACAACTGCATTGAGCCGACGACACGGCCCTGCTGTTGGCTGATACCGACGACTACGCTCCACTTCGCATCGTCGTTTACTCGGTAGTTAATAATTTGGCATCCCTATGAAGAGGAATATATCAGTAAACAGCACTATACCAGTAAAGGCTTGATCCAACATACGCTCAAGTTTGGAAGTCGGTCAAATTGTTTCACCGGGTTTGGCTGGTTGGCATCAAAAACGTCCCAGTGATAGACAGATGTGTCCGTAACGAGACCCAAGCTCGACTCGCTGAACCATTTCCAGTACACGACATCTTCATTCATCAATGCAGACTTGAGCTTTTGCTTGGCTTGGAGATCAAAGATCTGGATGGTGCGCGACTGGGCTTTTAACGCAATGACGTTTCGCGACCAGTGCATAATGGCACTGTCGGCATTGATAGGGCGTCGAATAACCTCATTGTTGTTTTTCAGATCGACGATGATAACTTGGGGCTTGTCGGTCTCGTTGACCTTTTGTCGCACACAAATGTAGTGATCTGATTCTAGAGTCTGTAGGGTGACGAGAACAACGATTAGTCCACGTCGGCACGAAGCGGATAGTTCGATTTCATCACTTACACATGAGTTGAAGCCAATTGATGATGGCTAACAGCGGTTTCAAGTCAGTAAAAATTTCGCAAGTGAGTTAGGCAGCGAGCGGCGTAAAACGGCCATAACAATACAGGCGTGGGATGTTTCCTACCTCGATCTCCACATTCGTTAACTGTAATAAAAGTCCAAGTCAGTTTCCGTACTAGTAATGATGCTAAGGTAAAGGATAGGAGATTACCTGCAACAGCTCTGTGAATTTGATGGGAAGAGGAGCCATGTTTACGTTGTTAGGCCGCAGGACGACCTCATCCACCAAATACTGTGCGACTGGTGCAAGATCAGCGTGAAGACGGAAAAGAAAGGAAAGACAGAAATAAAAGAAAAGCTCCTGTTGAAAGTCGTGGCCAGGAAACAGGAGATTAAAGAGAAGAAACAATTGTTGGAGGTGAATGTGTTTGTGAGATGCGGAAGGAGCTTCAGGGGACCAACGGTTGCGATTGCTTAGGTGGTCGGTTGCTTGCAGTCACGTGCCAGGCGGAATTGATTGGCCTGCACAATCTGGGGATAACACGTGTGGGTAAATTTAGAACTCATTTCATTACATCAACAAAACTCACTCTTTTTTTGAAAATTGAAAACAGAGTGAGCGGCTTCTTAGAATTCATCTCTTGAGGATATTCAGTGAGGGATTGATTGTTCAAACCTCAGGCTGTAATAACAAAGAATTCGGGGCTGAATTCCAATGATGTCATTGGCTGGATTCCAACAAACACTACTAGTATTGTAAGCTTTGTGCAGAAATCCAATCTTCACGTTCGAACCAGGACTCTGTTCTAGTACTAATTGAAGAATCACTGGATAATTTGAACCAATGATTGACTCACCAATTGCGGAATCCTAAAGCGTTTTTCTCAGTTTCTGACATGTAGAAGCTGCCCTTCGCGATAAAGCTCTGTCTACTCTCATTCTCACCGTAAATTGATATAAACTACATTATATATGGAAACTTTCTGGATATAAAGTACTATAACAACTCTCAACCCAACCATTAGCTCGTCTACGATGTTGGTGAAAATTCTTCGGGTCCCATTCTAAGTCTCGTAGTATAGTATACTTAGTACTAAATAAGCTAAAACAAAGCAGCATTTTAAGAAATTTAAATTGGGTCAATTGATAGGAATATTTTGCATTGATACTTTGCTTGACAGGCTTCAAATACATATAATGGAGAGGCACATGTTCAGGTTGTTCATGTTGAGACGATATCAGTATTTCGCATTACAGCTTGAAGCCTCGATCAATTGATTGAATTTAAATGTAAGAACTTTAAATCCAACAAAACCAGCTGAGGATGCCATCTATGAACCATTTCAACCCGTTTGATTTCCAACCTTATCACCCCAATTTATCAACATTCTGATAACCCCGTGTTATCCCCCACCAGGTTTAACCACTCAGTACCGAATTCCCTCCGGAGTCCCTCTTGACTAGCTAAATCATAGCAATAATTAGCTTAACACCCATTTAGTATTTAAGCATATTCATTTTTCGGTCTATTTAGGCACCCTTCTCTGACCTCAACCTAAGTATCCATAACATTGTTGTCGCTCAGCCACTCAACGCTTTCAGCAACGAATCCAAGATCATTGCGCGGGCCCACACCGTCGACATCGTTGGATATAATACGAGCCTTTGAGATTTCTTTGAATGTTACTTGAAATGTTACATACCATGAATTTAGGCTAGCCATCGTACATGTATTTTTTTCAGCCCTTCATGATATAGCTTCACTTTTACATATATGTAGATAGAATCCGGGACGTCTCTCTCTGTCTAGTCTATGTAGATCTACTTTGGTACCGTTCTGACAACTAAATAATTTCGACTTCATTTTCATGAATGCCAGGTACTTCCCATAACCTCTTGTTGTTGTCTTGTGCGTGAATATAACTAGTCTTTACATCCGTTGATAAGTGTATATATATCATCAACCAATTGCCTATCAATTGATGTACGTAACTGATGAAAGTAAATATGTAGTCAGCAAGCAAATATCAGGATAATCATAAACTACCGAACTATTATCATGCAGTCTTCTACAACCGGGCGTCGTCATGATGTTCTGCACTCATGCAAAATGATCAACTGATGCATGGGCCGCTAACATTGAATCCCTGCTCTCACTACCAGCAATAATAATTCACCAGACGGACACACAGCAAGCTGGCAGTCAATCTGCGAGTCTAACGCAATCGATTCGGCAACGTGAATCCATCTGCAATAAGATAATGGCAGGTAAACGCCCTAGTCTACTGGTACTAAAACAATGAGTAAAACACTCGCCTATATGTTTCGGCTGGGCTCGGGTAACCTCGGAACATCATCGAACCTCTCGATCCAATTGCTGAGCTTCGATGACGAAAGCTTTGCCCCGAGAGGTTCAGGTACAGTATTTATCTTCCTTTATCTTCGCTCGTGAATGAGGGGTGCACAGAATTGACCCGAGATACCGAGGTCGATAGGCGTGGGCGAGAATTGTATGCGGACCGCCTGGGATTGATCCGCGCACCGCCATATTTACATGCGAACCGCTGATAAACCAAACGGCTGGCTGTAATGAGTGGTTTCGTTAGTTGGTTGCAGCATTGAGAGATTTGTTTGTTTCTCGTGGGTTTCAGAGCTTGGTTCTATTATTAGAGCTGGTGCGAGGGGAGCGAGAATATTAACAAAGACAGAAAGATGGCGGCCTATACATGTGGTTTATATAAATAAGAATTACAAAGAAGTCGGTTTGGAGGAGGAGCAAGCTTGACCCCGGATTGAGCCATTAAGGTTAGTTAGGTTAGCAGCATCAAGGCGCTGAAAGAATAACCGATTGAATGGAAGATCTCGGATTGCTATGCCATGGCAACGGGCAGCTTCGGGGGCTAATAGGTGAAGAGAGTATCCTCAAACAAGGGCTAGAACTGTAATCTGTGAGCCTGTCACCTTGGTTCTAACAAGTAAGCTTTGTCGTGAGCGATCGGTACTACATATCTCCGAAATTAGGCCCTCGGGAAAGTGACAGTGCTGCAGGTTCCCGCCAGCTTTCGGAGAAGTCAATCAACTCAGCTGCTCGGTAGATAATAATGGCGCTGCTGGGGAATGTATATAAAGAAGAGATGGCGGTTGGTTGGGATGTTGCGGGAGGAGATTTGTATTCAGTTCCGCCTGCCCGTCCCCGGATTTGACACTGACACAGAATAAGAATAATTCCACATTTCTGGGGAAATCACCATTCGGTATGTGTCCTCTCATTAATATTAAATTAGTCTTTCCTTCCAATTGATCCACATCGACTGGCGTTCCTCTGAAGAGTGTCACAGTTCAGACCAGAGCAAGCCAAGATCCCAGAGCTCAAAAAACAGACCAGACCAAGAAAAGACCAAGACCAGCGCTGACTCACCGGCTCACCGCAGACAGCGCCAAAAAGAAAGAAACACACCAGAGAGAAAGGGAGGTTGCTGGATTGGTGGCTCCGGTGAGATGTTGTGTTACAGCGATGTTTATCTAATGGAATGTCTGGGCGCCGATCGCTAGTGACGTCTGGCTGCTCTGTTATGTGATGCGATGACTCTGTTGTGCTTTAGGCTTTATCGCTGGCTGATGGATTCGCCTAATCGTTTTGTGCTGATAACTGCCCTCCCCACCTGCCCGATGCGCATCGCTCCTTCCTGCACTGGTGCCGCCGCTCCTGCCTGGAGTGCTGGTCCCGCCGCGCCTTCCCTCTGGCCAGGCCACGCCCCTATCGCAGCTTCCCAAAAACAAAGCTTGCGGTCACGGGACTGGCTAATTGCCAATAGCGGCTGGTGCCCCCGCGTTAGCTGGCCTGTCTGCCCCTCCGATCTGACCGCCAAGGTCGAGGATCTTCCCTGCCTGTACATCTCCATCATCTATCATTCAACATTCCATCTTCAATCTTCAATATTGATGTCGTGTTTTTGATCAATTGCTTGCCATTGCTCTTGTTCTGGTCTTGCTAACAGACCTAGAATCCAGAATTAGATACGCGCTCTCCTTGAGCGCGCCTGTGATTGGACCCGACCTCGTCTCCGGTCACGGCGGCCGCCCCGCCGAGCCTTGGAAGTTCTCGCCCTGCTGCGCCAAGCTGCCGCGGTGCATGAATTGCGGTAATCGGTAAGAGCATTACCTATTATCTGCATTCCAAGCTCCCCAACCCGTGTATCCATATAAATTGTGCTATCTCGCCTTTTTCTGTCCGCTGGCCTGTCTGTCTGACTGATTGTTTGTCTGTCTCAGCCCACACCCAGTCTCGCGACTCTTGCCGCCTTGTGTTTGGTAGGTGAGGTCCATCCCCACCAAACTCCTCACTCCCCCTCGACCGCTCAACCGCCCAGCATGGCGAGCGATAACACATACCTCCGCGAGGAGGCCATTGACGACTCGGAGGCCGTTGATGACACCTTCAACGCCGACTCCGTCCACCACCGCCTGCGCGCCAATTCTACCATCATGCAATTCCAGAAGATCCTCGTCGCTAACCGAGGCGAAATCCCTATCCGTATCTTCCGTACCGCCCACGAGCTGTCCCTGCAGACCGTCGCCGTCTACTCGTGGGAGGACCGCCTGTCGATGCACCGACAGAAGGCTGATGAAGCCTATATCATTGGCAAGCGTGGCCAGTACACCCCCGTCGGCGCCTACCTGGCCGGCAACGAGATCATTAAGGTTGCCCTGGAACATGGCGTGCAGTTGATCCATCCCGGCTACGGTTTCCTATCTGAAAACGCCGAGTTTGCCCGCAACGTTGAGAAGGCTGGCATTGTCTTCGTCGGTCCTACCCCAGATACAATCGATGCCCTGGGCGACAAGGTGTCTGCCCGTCGCCTCGCGATCAAGTGCGAAGTCCCTGTCGTTCCCGGTACCGAGGGGCCTGTCGAGAAGTTTGAAGATGCCAAGGCCTTTACCGATGAGTATGGCTTCCCCATCATCATCAAGGCTGCCTTTGGTGGTGGCGGCCGTGGTATGCGTGTCGTCCGCGACCAGGAGAGTCTCAAGGATTCCTTCGAGCGCGCTACATCCGAGGCACGTTCCGCCTTTGGCAACGGTACAGTGTTTATCGAACGCTTCCTCGACAAGCCAAAGCATATTGAGGTCCAATTGCTAGGTGACAATGAAGGAAATGTTGTTCACTTGTACGAGCGTGACTGCTCTGTTCAGCGCCGTCACCAAAAGGTCGTCGAGTTGGCTCCCGCCAAAGACCTGCCCGTCGAAGTGCGCGACAAGATTCTAGCCGATGCTGTGAAGCTTGCCAAATCAGTTCGCTACCGTAATGCTGGTACTGCCGAGTTCTTGGTTGACCAGCAGAACCGATATTACTTTATCGAAATCAACCCTCGTATCCAAGTCGAGCACACCATTACCGAAGAAATCACTGGCATTGATATCGTCGCCGCCCAGATTCAGATCGCCGCGGGTGCGACATTGGAACAACTTGGCCTTACACAGGATCGCATCTCTACTCGTGGATTCGCCATCCAGTGTCGTATCACGACGGAAGACCCCGCAAAGAACTTCTCTCCAGACACAGGCAAAATCGAGGTCTACCGATCCGCTGGTGGTAACGGAGTCCGTCTCGATGGTGGAAACGGTTTCGCTGGCGCCATCATCACACCTCACTACGACTCCATGTTGGTCAAATGTACCTGTCTTGGTTCAACTTACGAGATTGCTCGTCGTAAAATCATCCGTGCCCTTATTGAATTCCGTATCCGTGGCGTGAAGACCAACATTCCTTTCTTGACCTCTCTTCTGTCTCACCCTACCTTCATCGACGGCAACTGCTGGACAACATTCATTGACGATACCCCAGAGTTGTTCTCTCTCATTGGCGGCCAAAATCGTGCCCAGAAGTTGTTGGCCTACCTCGGAGATATTGCTGTCAATGGAAGCAGCATTAAAGGCCAGATTGGCGAGCCTAAGCTCAAGAGTGACATCATCCAGCCAGTGTTGGTTGATGATGCTGGCCAGCCCATTGATATCAGCAAGCCATCCACCCAGGGCTGGAAGCAGATCCTGGATCAACAGGGTCCAGAGGCCTTCGCGAAGGCTGTGCGCGCCAACAAAGGCTGTCTTATTATGGATACCACATGGCGAGATGCCCACCAGTCGTTGCTTGCGACGCGTGTGCGAACAGTTGATCTATTGAACATTGCTCGTGAGACTAGCCATGCTTACAGCAACGCCTACAGTTTGGAATGCTGGGGTGGCGCTACTTTTGACGTTGCCATGCGCTTCCTCTACGAAGATCCCTGGGATCGTCTGCGTAAGCTCCGCAAGGCTGTTCCCAACATTCCTTTCCAGATGCTTCTCCGTGGTGCCAACGGTGTTGCGTATTCTTCGTGAGTATCCGTTTGTTAACCCGAACCTTTCTTTTTTCTAACGCAATTAAATACAGGCTTCCCGATAATGCTATCTATCACTTCTGCAAACAAGCCAAGAAGGTCGGCGTGGATATCTTCCGTATTTTCGACGCTTTGAACGATGTTGATCAGCTCGAAGTTGGTATCAAGGCTGTCAAGGCGGCTGGCGGTGTAGTCGAAGCTACTATGTGCTACAGTGGTGATATGTTGAACCCAAGCAAAAAATACAACCTAGAATACTACCTTAACTTAGTTGACAAGATTGTCGCCATGGGTACACATGTGCTGGGTATCAAAGATATGGCCGGTGTCCTCAAGCCAAAGGCAGCTACCCTCCTGGTTGGTGCTATTCGCAAGAAATACCCGGACCTTCCCATCCACGTCCACACCCACGACTCTGCTGGTACTGGTGTTGCGTCGATGGTTGCCTGTGCCCAAGCTGGCGCTGATGCTGTTGACTGCGCTACCGACAGCTTGTCTGGTATGACCTCGCAACCCAGCGTTGGTGCCGTCTTGGCTTCTCTCGAAGGCACCGATTTTAACCCGAACCTTAACGTCCGACACATTCGCGCCATCGACGGATACTGGCAACAGTTGCGCCTTCTCTACTCTCCTTTCGAAGCTGGCTTGACTGGCCCAGATCCAGAGGTCTACGAACACGAAATTCCTGGCGGCCAGCTTACCAACCTTATCTTCCAGGCCAGCCAACTTGGTCTCGGTGCCCAGTGGGCGGAGACGAAGAAAGCATACGAGACAGCCAACGATTTGCTTGGCGATATCGTCAAAGTCACTCCTACGTCCAAGGTTGTTGGTGACCTGGCTCAATTCATGGTGTCCAACAAGCTCAGCGCCCAGGATGTTATCGACCGGGCTGAACAGCTAGACTTCCCGGGCTCCGTCTTGGAGTTCCTCGAGGGTCTCATGGGCCAACCATACGGTGGATTCCCCGAGCCATTGCGCTCCAAGGCCTTGCGCAACCGCCGCAAGCTCGACAAGCGGCCTGGTCTTTACCTCGAACCCCTCGATCTGGCCAAGATTAAGAACGACATCAAAGAGAAATTCGGCAACGCCACCGAAACCGACGTTGCCAGTTACGCCATGTACCCGAAGGTCTTCGAAGACTACCGCAAGTTCGTGCAGAAGTACGGTGATCTGTCCGTGCTTCCCACGCGGTTTTTCTTGGCCTCGCCCGCCATTGGAGAGGAATTTCACGTCGAGCTTGAGCAGGGTAAAGTGCTCATCCTGAAGTTGCTCGCGGTTGGCCCTCTGTCCGAACAGACCGGCCAGCGTGAAGTCTTCTACGAAGTCAACGGTGAAGTCCGCCAGGTCACGGTCGACGACAACAAGGCCGCAGTTGACAACGAAGCTCGCGTCAAGGCCGACCCCAGCGACAGCAGCCAAGTCGGCGCGCCCATGAGCGGTGTCGTTGTCGAGGTGCGCGTTACCGAGGGCCACGAAGTCAAGAAGGGCGACCCCATTGCTGTGCTCAGTGCCATGAAGATGGTAAGCCTTATCACTCTACACTACATTAACATCTACTAACAGACAATAAATAGGAAATGGTCATCTCCGCGCCTCACCACGGAAAGGTCTCGAGTCTTTCAGTCAAAGAAGGCGATTCCGTCGACGGACAGGATCTCGTTTGCAGGATTGCCAAATAAATTTACCGCCCTCCGTCTGTGTTTACCGTTGTTATCCTTTTCCAGCCATCGGGTTTGGGTAATGTCATGTCAATATCAATGTCGATGGCGAAATGAGATGAGCCATGTATGTCAGAAACGAAATCTTTTTCATTTAATTTCTATTCCTTTCTCACTTGCCTTATGACCGGGCTTAAGATGCGTTGTCAGCTATCATAGAATACCTACTACATCTTGGACACGTTACATACCGAGTATTACCTACATATTGCCCGTAGCTACGTAATTAATCTCCCCCTATCCTTGGACTATTATTATTCCAATTACCCAATACTAAGGCTTTAATTTAAAGATTTCCTTTCGGCAAACTTTTTTCTCTCGGGGTTTGGCTCGACCCGCGTACAATTCAGGTTAGGTTAGTCTAGCCTGGTACCAGTACCACGGTTTCGTAGGGGTTGGGGGTATTATCATTAGCAATTGATCGGATAATAAGAATTATAATTAATTAATTAATTTTTTTAGTAGTAGTGGTTGTAGTTAAGTGGTTGGTGTGAGTCATCGGATATTGTAGGGAAGGCTAGGGTATTGGCGGCATACATACTGTACGTAGTGATATAACAAATATGTGCGACAAGAGGGCGCGCAGCACGGTGCTGCTTTATACTCAGCCCGGTCAGCCGCGCGCGCTCGCTGAGCGCTCACTGAGCGTTCCGGGGTGGAATCTACCTAAGGGACCTATAAATAACTCGTAGAAAGTAGAAACCCTTTTGTGGCTCGAAGCCACGCCACGAGGCCTTGTCCAGGTGTCCTTCGACAAGGGGCATAACCCGGTTTCACACGTCATATGAAGGTTATGGGAGATTCTCTCTAACGGAAAAATACGCGGCTCGAGTCGCGAGATGAAATCAACATCGAGCTAGGACAAGGAAAGGCGAGGGAAAGAGCCTCAGCCTTACATAGTACTCGCTAAACTACTGACAGAGTTATGTCACTCCACCTCTTTCGGTCTTGGTAATTCAACGTTCTGCGCGCTATCGAGTTTCCTTTCGCTGCTTGTAACCTGGACAATCGTGCGACCTTCAGCTCAAGGGGTATTAGAAGCAAGTGGCCATACCTCAAATGCATTTTCCTCAATCGAATATGGGACTTCGGAATCCATGAGAAATCTCTGCCAAACTGCCCAGTTGGTTTGATCCCCATAGTCCGTGTTGATGGTGTTCTGCGGAATTGGAATCATGTTGTAAGGTGTATCAAAGTTGTGCCATGGAGGCACCTGTAGATCAACCGGAGCGCAGCTGCTAAGCAGCAGTGAGGTGTTGTATTCATCGGTCGCCATTTGACCAAGATCAAACATAGGGTCCGGAAGAGGCTGAGCAATACCCTTAGCGGCTATGTCTTCGATTTGGACCTCTCTCTTTGTTGCCGCTTCTTGGTATGCAGCTTGTGCCTTCTTCAGCAGCCTCTTGAGTGGTTTCCACAATATTCCTCCCGTGGTATCGGCTACTCGTTCCCCATACGTATTCCAAACACTTTCCACTACTGTCCATGCCCTGTCTACTAATGGTCCTTTTGTTTGAATACAAAGTTCGGCTAATACGACGGCCAATGGATGCCACTGCACCCATGTTCTGCCGACCCACTTGAACTGGGAGCTCTTCGGATTGTTCTCGTACATGTTCATAATTTGGAGGATCAAGACTGCTGTGCGAAGGGTTTGATCCGGGGTCGTATTCGAGTATATTGGTTGATCTTGAGCTTGAAGCGGATATCTCAGTGATAGCCACATCTTTAGTATTAATAATCGTCCGACCATTGAGAGATACCATTGAATGGGAACGTTTGCGTCGCACTTTTGAAAGTAGAGTGATTCCAATTCAAGGCTCAAGCTTTTGATCATCTGTTCTTTCTCAGTGAAACTGATCTGGTTAGGAAACAGAAGCTTTCGGAAGGTAAATGCCAATTTATGGGTGACATGGCTCAGGGTCATGTCTGTTAGACCCGGAAATTCCGGAACGGGCTCACTTGTTTCAGGCCCATAGTCATCGTCGTTAATGTTGAGAGGCATGGAAGTGTTGAAGGAGCCATCAAATATCATTGGTTGAGTACCTCGGTCTTCCGCACAGCGGACATCAAGGATCATGATTTGCCACCAGAGAAGGCTCCTTTGCTGAGCCTCAAAAATCGATAGGTTGATGCCATCGGCATCTTTGTGTATTCCAAATGACTGAGCAATTCTGAGTACGAGTGCGAAGAGCGTCCATGTGGACTGGGTTTTGCTGTGTACTCGTAGGGCAAAAAGGTAGATAGCGAACGCTTGTAGAACTGCAAATTCATTCGTAATAAGAAGATCCTCTCTTGCAAGGGAGAGCTCTGCACCACGCCTGAACTTGGTAAGCAGGGTCTGAGAGTCTTGATGGAATGTCTGTTGACACTCCTCTGGCGACAGTGACGTGACTGCAGCGAAAAACATGCATAGCATCAGTAGCTCGGTTACGCTGTTATCTGGTGGCGCAGAAAAGTTGCTTGTACTATTAGCTATAGAAGAGAGGGTCGTTGGTCTATGAAGAATTTTGAATATTGGATCGACATTCGTAAAATATGTGTTGGTGAGGGCCTTGAAGTGACAGTATGATATTGGAAAATCCACGTGTTCTAGGCGGCTATCAGCTCCATGAAAGACGAAATCGAGTAGTGACGAATGGACTTTTAGATCAGTAGTTGAAGGAGTAGATTGGGCAACCTCTTCGTCATCGTTTTCATCGTCATCGTCTACAGGCTGTTCAAGCAAAGAGCGCAGCCCATCGACTTCTCCTCCTAGGTTGGCCCAAAAGTCGCCGCTAATATATTTATTCTCAACAAGCGTCCTATTTTCCGTGGGCAGAGCTTGAAGATTGCTGCTCCCCTTGTTGCCCAAGATGGAAGCTGAAAATTCAAATGAAGTGGTGGTCTGTCGACTACTGGGCTCTCCAGATATCAAGGGGTTATGTCTGTCGCCTCCCATCTTTTCGACAAGGACTTCGAGCTTTCTAATGCGCCGGAGAAGCTCATCGTCTCTGGATTTGTAGTTTCTACGCCCTTGTCTCCCTCTCGGGACACGAGTTCGTTTCGGCAATACGCAGTCAATGCCCAATCGCTTGCAGGCAGTGCACGGATTAGACTTATCACACTTAATTTTTCGTTGTCGACAGTGCGTACAACTGAGAAGCTTGAGGTCAGACAGATTTTTGACTTCAGGTTCAGCTTGATCATGGAGTGCTGCCCTAGTTGAGGTCTCCCTTAGGGGTTGTAGTTCAGCCATGTGATGTCCAGGCAGCTAGCGTGAATAAAAACAAGACTCATACAGATACACAAATTCTCGTGTAGCGAATAGCTTTCATAAGCAATTAATACTATTAGCCACCGTTAATTGTCAAACCCCGAAGGCTGACGTGCCTACGTTGATCCTTGAAGTTGGTTGCAGATGAGTGGCGTGAGTCAAAGTGGGGTGGGCTCTCGTCGCTGAATAATCGCCGCTTGAATACTGACTCCCTACAACGCAAAATCGCTCTCTGCCTGAACAACAGTAAGAATGATAGGATGTACTTTACCAAGAAGAAACACGCGACCCTCACATATGGCTCTTGCGTACGTCACAAGGACGCATACCATGTTACTTGACGCGAATGTCCTTCGTGAGCAACAACCGGATTTGTAATTCCACGGACTCGGCTTACCGCAAGAACGGTGCGACCACCCGGACTTCGGGCTACAGTAGATGTCCGCAACGGCAAAATTGAAGAACAAACAGTGCACATCACTTACTTCCAGTAGCTTGGTAAGCACTAAATAGGCAAAAGCTGGGCCGCGTCGTAGTAACGCATTTCAGCGACTAGCTATGTGTTGCAACATGCCCAAGACCTGTTCTACTGTACCCGGTCCTTGGGTCGAACCAACCCTGACATTTCGATAGAGTTTATGCCACAGCTATAAATACCTGCTGGGTGCTCGTTGGTTATAATGTGGTTTCAAAATATCCAGTTCACTATCTGTTCATCTGAACAAACTCAAAATTTTCACTAAAAGCATTATACCACGATCTAAACCACGCCATAGCAATTGGGAACAAAGGAGTATTCTACCACGGCACAACAGCATCTTCAATATGCGTATCCTTGTTATTGGTGGCAATGGACAGACTGGTCGTTTCGTTGTCGACGAAGCATTGCAGCGCGGCCACAAGATTACAGCCTTGATTCGGAACCCTTCTACCCTGGCAGCCAAGGAAGGCCTGAGGATCGTGAAAGGCACACCACTGGAACCTTCAGACATTGAGAGCGCTTTCAACGCAGTCCAAGGCGACCCCCCAACCGCCGTGATCGTCACGCTCGGATCTTCGAAAGAAAAGGGGGCTCGAATTATGACTGACACGCACGAAAACCTCATTGCTGCTATGAAGAGGCATGGCGTTTCCAAAATTGCGACATTATCTTCATTTGGAGTTGGATCTTCTCTCCCGAATATTACTGTGATTATGAGATGGGCAATTTCAAACACTGGCCTTGCGAATTCATTCGCTGACCATAATCATGTCGATGAGATACTCAAAAGGAGCGGATTGAAGTTCGTGTTGTTGAGGGCAGCGAGACTGACTATGGGGAAAAAAGCGCCTGTTCAGTTCCTTGGTGACGATGGGAAGGGACTAGGTGTTTTCGCGGGCATGGGGGGGATCTCGAGGGCTAGCGTGGCGCGGTGTCTAGTGGATGCTGTTGAGAAGAGCACTTGGGATGGAAGAACCCCTGTGATAACGCACTGATGGTGTGTCGGGGCATGGGCCTCTGTACAATAGATCGGAATAACTAATCGGCAGAGGAAAATACGCTATGAAAGATTGTGCTTTATGGAATCTTATTTATTAGTCAAAATTGCTTTCGGACATAATCCTTAATAATGGAGAATACATGCTGCAAATTAAAGTGCCATGGGGTCATTTCAGCTCCATTCTGAAAAGAGGTTATCTCACAAAGGAGTGGGTTACAGAGGAAAACATCGAGAGGATCGAGGTTCTTGATTGGTGTCCTTAGAATTATGGTTACTACCAAAGCCCCTGAAAGAGAAAATGAGCAAAGGTAATTGGGAGTATTTTGCCGAAGGGTGGGTAGAATGGTAGAGCTCATAGTCAACAGGGAGGGTTCATCGACACGACCTCTGCTCAGTAGGTGATCACGGTGGCTCTGTGAGCAGTCATGCCCGCACGCCGATCGCCCTCCAGTTCGGCAATATAGATGAAACCAAGTCTATTAAATCTGCAATATGCGGTATACAGAATGACTAGTGGACTGCTTTGCCTGTCAACTGAATCAAGTGCGAGAGAAAGTACTTCCCTTCATAAAATCCATATGAAGTGATAGGGTTATGATAGCACATCGATGTATTTCGAGGACGTCCTCCGGCGCATTTTTCAATATATGAATCATTTGCCCCTCATATTAGTAAATAGCAACACCCTTTCAGTTGCCGATACCAGAATTATTAGTCCAAAGAATGCCAGGAGATCACCGCTATTCTCTGGTTTTCAAGGTATTACCCTATGGCATTTACTTTATTTTATTTCTTCTCCTTTTCTATAGGTTTCCTGTCGCTGACCTATGCTATATAAATTGAATTGATTCATGATAGCAAGGAATCCCCTTTCTCCCACAAACTTGGTCTATTCTCCGACATCTCCATTCTCCACTCTCAAAATGAGGACTTCGTCCAATAAGAATGCCTGAATAAATTGAGACCCGAAACCGTTGTTGCAAACAAATAGAGGAACTAAGATAAATAAAAGAGTTCGAGATAGTTTAACAACTTATGCACGATACAGCTGGAAATGATAATTGAATAGTTAGTTATCCATTCCTTATGCTTCGAGTCCGATTTAGTTAATGACGAACGTGGTTAAGTTAGCGTAAGAAACTAGAAATTTGCTGACAAGATGCTTACTAAATGTGATTGTTTTTTGATAAGCTTCAAGCCACTACATCCTCCCTTCAAACGTTATTTAATTAATAAAAGGACTTCATTGCTTTTCATATACACTCGTCCAAATGCCTCAGCTTCTACGATCACTCTCCACAATATACATTTTAATCTGGATAGCTAGCTAGCATTTCTATCCGCCATGTCAACATCTCGCAACGTACACCAGTGCATTGCTGCCTTGGAGGTGGACGAAGGTAGTGGTGGCCAAGTCCGCCGCGCGATCGGCAATCCCAAGCTGCAACATTTTAGCCCATTTCTTATGCTGGATCACTTTACCTCCAATGGACAGGGGGGTTTCCCTGACCACCCCCATCGCGGCCAGGAAACGATCACATATCTGCTTTCCGGCTACGTTGACCATGAAGATTTTACTGGGGGGAAGGGAAACTTGGGGCCTGGGGATCTTCAGTTTATGACAGCAGGTCGTGGAATCGTCCACTCCGAGATAGTTCGCAAACTGCCGAATAGCAGCAGCAGCAAGACTGAAGGTATACAACTCTGGGTGGACCTGCCCCAGCATCTGAAAATGTGTGAGCCAAGATATCGTGATCTGCGCGCATCTGATATCCCCCTCGTGACGAGCGATGAGAACCTTGTCTCTGTTAAGGTGATTTGTGGGGAGTCCAATGGGGTGAAGTCCATCCCTAGTATAAGTTATACACCTGTGTGGATCCTCGACATAGCCATATGTCCAGGTGGGAGGATATCTCAGCCAGTGCCACTAGGATGGAGCGTGTTTGCATATACCTTTTCTGGAAACGTTTTCTTGACTTCCGAAGACGTCGTACATTATGTCAAACCATTGCATCTTGTTGTATTCGACCATGATGGCGATTGCATTACGGCGTCCGTCGCGAATGATGCTGAATCAGATGCTCATTTCATTCTCGTCGCCGGGCAACCTCTCGCCCAGCCAATTGTCCACTACGGCCCTTTTGTAATGACTAGTCAAGAAGAGATATATCAAGCTATATCAGATTACCGGAACAGCCGCAATGGGTTTGAAAGGGCCTTAAAGTGGAAGTCAGAAATTGGTACTAGATATCTTATGTTGAACAATACCCGTTAGACATATGGAAATAAATGCCGAGACAGGAATATCCTTTTTGTTTTATGTGGGAGGCGCGAAACGTCTGAAGTAAATAGAAGTTGTATGACATATGCGGCAATGGGCTGGCATTCTTGAGCTTGTATTTGAGTCCCTCTCTTCCTCACCGCCGAATCCGTCGTCTTCTATACAGGCCCGTCTTACAAGTTGATGAATCTAAACTCGTGTCCGAGTCTATCTCAGATCTCCCTCCCTTCTCCTCTCTGTCTATATCGATAGAATCATTCCTCATATTAAGCGTCTCCCAAGAATCTACACTATAAGGAGTTCGTGCAGTAATTGGCTCAGCAGCTATTCCAGGTCGACCTGTGTCCGACCCATCACCTCCTCTTTCTGCAACTGAACCACTATAACGTTTTCGCCTATAGGATCGCCGATAAGGAGATGTCATAACAACCATGCTCGCGTCTGAGTCATTCTCTTCTTCATCTGTGGCTGAATCACTAGAATAGCTTGGTCTAGGGCACTTCAACGGCCGCTGAGGTGCTCGTAGAGGAGCTTGTGGACCAAAAATGCCTCCAGACGACACAACGTCTGCCTGCCGCACAACTGGATCGTCAGGAGAATTTGGTGAATGGGTTGGCCGTATAGAAGCTGTTGAGCTTGCATCTGATTCATCTTCTTCCTCTTTCTTGGCAGCTGTGTGGCCGAAGTACCTTTTCCTGAGAGCTGCAAGTCTTATCTTCTTGACAGAAGCATTACCGTAAGTATTTAGCGCCAAGTTTACGATTTCAAAGAAGTTGGGCCAAGCTCTCTCTGGGAGAAAATTGGATGCAAAGGCAGCGGCGATGGGAGACGCAAGCAGTATGACTTTCATGAGCGGATATAGCCCTGCGCGCACGGTAGCTCGTATCTGATTCCAGGTTCTAGCACCGGCTATGACGGCCGCCGCCATAAAAAACATGATCTTCTGGACTGTAGCGACCTATGAGGAATGGAGTCAGCGTCCTAGTCCTAGCACACACCCTGTACCCTTTCCATGACATACCACTAACAGGCCAAACAGGATAGCAAGGAGTCTGGAAGCGGGGGTTGTTCGGTCACGAAATATATGTCGAGTCCCTTTGAGCAGCCAGTTGGTGATAGGGATGTGAACAAGTGATCCATAAGCAGCTTGTTTTGGAATACGGCTTGTAAAAAAGCGGCCATCTTTGCCGCGATCTTTTGCAAGATATGAAGCCATAAACTCCTCTCCAGCAGATCGCACTGCAGCAGTTGCCATTTTTTCAAAGAGGCGTCGATAACGGCGTGATTTGCAGCGAGTCTGGCTTACGGTAGAATTAGCATCAACATTGATAAACGGGGTTCTATTGGATATGTGCCTTTTCTTGGAGCGCTGTCAATTCTTTGTCATCTTCAGAGCTGTGCCCCGGAAGCTGCTCTTCTCGGTTGTTTTGTGACATTGTGAATTACTGTGATATGTTGCTGTTATAAACCTTCAACTGTAGATAACCAGCATCTCCATAGTATCAGCTAATTACCCGAGTCAAGTTAGCCAACCCTCTCTCAAAAGCCGGTGACCTATGCCCCAGGATAACTTTACTGGACAACGTATTGTGAGGCGTAAAATCCAGCGTATATGCTAGTCGAATGATCAGTTATCGAACGATATCTTGGCTCGATAAGAAGCGAAATGTTGATCACTATAGTTCTACACACCCTGTCCAAGCGTCGGGCATTCTGCTAAGGCATCAATGATTGCTTCATAATAAAGCTGTCTTAAGTAATCGTGGCTTCCAAGCTACAACTTCATCCGCCAAGCGTATTGGTCATGGACTCGCTAATGCATAGCGCTTGCAGCCAGCGCGGCATCATGTTGCGGCACGACAAATTGTAATAGGTTAAAGCGTTGTTCTTCAGGGTTTGACCGGCTCTATTGACCTCGATTCGCTAGCAAACCAGCACTTCCGGCGCCACACGAGACGTGGCATTTCTTGTGACCAGCGATTTTCTCTAATCGGCAGTAGTTTTGTAACAGGTGAGCTGCATCAGCCTTGCTCCAATAATTCGAGTTCGTAATTCAAGTTCCAGAATAATTTCAATGCTATCTTCTCAAGGAAGAAAACCCAGCAGCCCTTGATAACAGATTGATGTTGCTCACATAGTCCGCCTTTGAGCATCGCAGGGAGTGCTACTGGCTTCTGTCTAATTGATGCGGGGCGTGAACTCTCCTCATCTTTCACAATTATTGGAGTTCGGTATTGGATTTCCTGATTATCATTTTTCTTTCCCATTTGCTACGGAATACTGAATGCGAAGTTAACTTCCTAGGTGCCAAACAGCACTGGGCTGATCTCACCACGATGGCAACCCAGTCGGCCAGGTATGACGCGTTTTCTGGTGGACGTCAAGTGGACAGCTAGTGACGAATGGACAGCAGGAAATTGACCTCAAATGACTACACCGTGGGCTGGATTTGCGCCCTTCCCCTCGAATTGACGGCGTCCGAAGGAATGCTCGACAAAGTTCATGAGGGGCTCCAGATTGCAGAGGGTGACAAAAACAAGTATATTCTAGGCGAGATCAGCGGGCACAATATCGCCATGGCATGCCTCCCGGCTGGGAGCATGGGGCAAACATCGGCCGCCACCGTTGCCGCCGACATGATGCACAGCTTCCCGAGGATTCGCTTTGGTTTGATGGTGGGAATTGGAGGGGGCGTACCGAATCCGAGTGCACGTGCGGATGAGGATATTCGGCTGGGCGACGTCGTGGTGAGCATCCCGAAGGGGGAATTAGGTATGCCGTTTCTTATGAAACAAAAGCAGTCCATTTCTTACCGAGTTATGCAGGTGCTGTAATCAAATATGATCGTGGGAAGGTCGTAGCCGGTGGAGAATTTCAACACACGGGGATTTTGAATGTTCCACCCTCGTTGCTCACCACCGCGGTGAGTGCTCTGCAGTGCAAGCATGAAACCTTGAAGAATGCCATCACGCGCAACGTCGCAGACATGATTCAAAGGAAACATGAGGCCGAAGATGCAAACCTGGAATCCCTGCAGAAATATCAGTATCCAGGTGCCGAGCACGATCAGTTATTCGAAGCGGACTACGAGCATGTTGAGCAGAGAGATGTCCCAAATCCTGTCTCGCAGGGGCTTGAAGATAACGAAAACGACACTGGCGATCTTGAATTCCCGTGTCCCCATTGCGACGAAGACCGTGTAGTACCTAGGCGCCTTCGAAGAAAAAAGGATCCCGTAATCCATTACGGAACCATCGCATCTGCTGATGTGGTTATGAGACACGGCGAGACGCGAGAGAAATTGCGAAAGAAATACGGCATTCTGTGTTTCGAAATGGAAGCTGCTGGGCTGATGAACGATTTTCCCTGCCTCGTCATCCGCGGCATCTGTGACTATTCCGATACGCATAAACACAAGATATGGCAGAGATATGCAGCGGCGACAGCGGCTGCATATGCAAAGGAGTTACTGGGAACTGTGCAGAAAGCGGAGGTCATTGAATCGCGTTCAGGAGCGAGTAAGTAGACTGCGAGAATGAGACCTTCATGCTAGAATTTTAGCCAACCGGATCTACAGCCAAGGAAGAGATAGACGAGATGCGCCAAGAGCTAGAGGATATGAAGAAAGGAAAGTGCAAATTCGTATATGTCTTTGCGTTGTGAAATACTGACAAACCGAAGATCGAATGCAGCAGGGACTGAAAAAAGAACGGGATGAGATATTGAACTGGCTTGATTCGGACACACACACCAAAAAATGGGCCGATTCTCGAATGAAATGGCACCGAAATACAGGGAAAACCTTTTTGGAGTCGCAGTCTTTTCTTGACTGGACGAACAACCATGCCCAAACGCTTTGGTGTCATGGTATCGCTGGATCAGGAAAAACGATATTTGCTTCTCTCGTAGTCGACCATTTACACGCAGCTCAGAAAGAAAAGGCTCCAAATGAGAAAGCAGCAGTTGTTTGCTTGTACCTCGAATACGAGAGAATGCAAGAACAGTCTCTCCAGTCATTGCTGGCAGCAATTCTGAGACAGCTTGTTCATCAGTGTCCGGAGCTCCCGAGGTCTGTAACAGAGCTTCATAATACCCATACAACAAATCGAAGCCAGCCACTTTTGGACGAGATATCCTCCGTTTTGGTTGACGTTATTCGAAAGTTTCCCGATGTATTTCTCGTAGTAGACGCGCTGGATGAGTGCTTTGAGGACACTGCACGGGATCTCCTGTCAAATCTGAGGGATCATCAGAAGAGCACGGGATTGAAGCTTCTAGCCACATCCAGACCAACTATCGACTTTGGTGAATTCTTCGAAGAATATAGGTCGTTAGAAATCAAAGCCCTGGAGCATGATGTGAGAGCTGTTCTAGATACCCTGATACTAAAGCTGCCTAAGTTGGTAAGAGAAGATAAGAATTTGCAGTCCAAGATCAAAAATTCGATAGTTGAAGCAGTTGATGGCATGTAAGTTACACCCCTATCTGTCCATTATGAAGCTTTAACAACTATACCCAAGGTTTGTCCTCGTCGAACCGTTCCTGTACTCGTTGCGAAGCGAGCGAACGGTCGGGGACATCAACGATGCCCTGAGAGCCCTCAAGGAGAGCCCCGATAAGATATCTACGGTATACGAACGCACTCTCAAGAGAATCGACGGCCACACCCCCAAAGACCAGGCGATGGCACAACGGATCCTGGCTTGGATTATTCTAGCAAAGCGACCCCTCTCCTGCCAGGAGTTTCAGCACGCCCTTAACGTGAGAATTGGAAAGGACTTTGACAAAGATTACTTTCGGGGGAACATCGAGGAATCCGTCGCACTCTGCGGGGGTTTGGTTGTGATAAATAAGAAGAGTGACAGCGTGCAGTTGATGCACCATACTGCGAAAATTTACTTCAAAAACCCGGCAAACCAACCAAAGTGGATATGCTCCGCAAAAGAAATGATCGCCAGCGCCTGCGTTACTTATATTTCGTTCTCTGCGTTCTCAGCTGGGCCTTGCTCTGGCGACGAGACGTTACGTTTCCGACTTCGAAAATTCCCGTTCCTTGCGTATGCGGCGCAGGAATGGGGCAATCATATACGCGAGAGTGACGAAGCGATGGGCCAAGCGGAAGACTTGGCCCTGCTGTTCCTAAAAATGGAATCAAACATCTGGTCTTCTCATCAAGTATTGCATCTCCCAGTATACCGATACCCCGGATACAGCCAGCACTTCACCCAAAAAGCCAATGGATTGCAGCTTGCTGCTTCCTTCGGCCTCACGAAGATCGTTCGTCGACTCATCGAGATGGGTGGAGATATTACCACTGTTGATAAGGATGGTGGAACGGCGTTGCACCGCGCAGCTGAGAATGGGCATGTCGATGTCGTGCTTCTACTTCTCCAAAAGGGAGCCGATATCGATCTTCAAAAGAAAAAGAACCGACACACGGCGTTGCACCTGGCGGCGTTGAACGGCCACGGCGGCGTCGTAAAAGCCCTTCTTGAAGAGGGAGCCCACGCGAATGTGCAGGACGACGAAGGCTGGAACGCTTTGCATGTGGCAGCCTGGACTGGCAAGAAAGATGCAGTTGACGTTCTTCTGGAACATATGGACGTCCATGAGCGAGGAAAGGACGGCGTTACCGCGCTTCACTGCGCGGCCGGGCAAGGCCAACGGGCCGTCGCCGAATTGCTGATAAATCGTGGTGCCAACGTAAATACCAAAGATACTTACGGATGGACGGCGTTGCATTGGGCGTCCAAAAAGCGTCACGACCTGAGTAAGCTTCGACAACTTGAGTTCAAAGACGAGTCGACAGCCTGGAGGGAGCAGATGAAGAAAGTAACGAAAGTGACGGGTATGCTGCGTGATACATTCAATCTCCCGAAGAAGCTGGCTATGATAGGCGAGCCTGCCGGGAAAGATTGGCAGGACGATTTGGCATATGCATCAGATGGTTTCGCGCTAGATCTGAACACCAACGACCGCGGCATGCTCGCGACGCTCTATTTCTCCACCAAACTAGACGAATTCGTTCCTCCTTGGCTTCTGCCCAAGCAAGAAGAACAGATCCCTACCGTGCGGCTGATCCTCGCCGTCCAAGACGAGCTCGCCGCACTGCAATGCCTTGTCCAGTGCGGACATGGAGCGGTAGCTAAGGTGCTGCTGGACAACGGCGCGGATGTTAACGCAAAATGCCGAGCCGTAGTCGCAACCAGATTTCACATGAAGATGAATGCAAGACCGACAGCATTGCATATTGCAGGCCTGTCTGGGCACGAGCCAATGGCACAGATGCTTCTGGATAGGGGAGCGGATACGGAATCCTTGTGCGAAGTAGGAATCGGTGAAGGTTGGCTAAGTGCAAAGCTGACGGCATTGCACTGTGCGGTGGTGTCCGGCAACAAGGAAGCCGTAAGACTGTTTCTTGATAAAGGCGCCGACATCAACGCAGCTTGTCATTTAGAGTTCAAAAATGTCAAGGCTAGGATAACATCGCTTCACCTCGCCGTCATTTGGGGTCATCCCGAAGTGGTGAAGCTGTTGCTCACCCGCGGAGTGCGCCCAACCACACCGTGCTACATAAATACCGACAACAGCGCTAAATTAAAAGGAGTCCGCTATGTGCAACTTAACTTGAACCTTACCACAGAGATCGAACTGCCAATTATACATCTCGCCGCCGTTTTCGGTAACCGAGACGTGATCCAAGAACTCTTGCAAGGGGGGGCGGATTGCACAAGCCAGCTCCAGGGCCGTATTAGCATTTTCAATTTCAAGATTGGTGCACTGCACGTAGCCGCATTCCTAGGGCACGTAGGTGCAGTAGATCTGCTTCTCACACACGGAGCATCCGTTGATGCCAACGCTGAACTTGTGGTAGCCAGTAACAGCCACCTTGTCGTGAACGCCTTGCAACTAGCAGCATTGTCTAATTCCAAAGCGGTCTTGAGGAAGCTCCTTGGCAAAGGCGCTAATGTGCACGGCAAAGGTCAGGTCGATTACGAGAAGTATGCTCACGCAGAATGGACCGCTTTGCACTTTGCAGCTTTGGGAGGAGACGCTGCGATGGTCTGGCAGCTTCTCGAAGCGGGGGCTGATGTCCACGCGAAGCTGCAAGGCGACATGGACTCATGGTTTCCTCTCACAACTGAAGATATCATGGAACGAACAGTGAAGATTTTTGGAGCTCTCCTAGGAGGGGAGCTCATAAGATCATCCGCTCTGGGAAAGACGAGCACTCTGTTCGCAGGGAAAGCAGGACAAAAAACCCACTTCGAGCTTAACGCACTACATCTGGCTGTCATTTCTGAGGATGACACGAAGGCCAAGGTGCTTCTTAAATCTGGTGCCGATGTGAACAGTAAGTGCATCATAGAAGCAGACGACCTGATCCTGGAGGCGATGCCGGTTCATTTGGCGGCTATTTGGCACGGTGACAACGTTGCCTTGCGCCTGGTAGAGGCAGGGGCACTTGTGGACGCAAAGCTTCGAGTGATGGTTGGCAAGTTGTTGCACCTGGAGATGACTCCACTGCATCTCGCAGCTCTCGTAGGAGATAAAAATGCATTAGAAGGTCTGTTTCTCCAGGGTGCCGCAAACACCTCGGCGTTGATATGTGTGGCTAAGGCGCGTATTGAAATGTCTGCCATTCATTTCGCAGCTATCAAAGGAAGCACCAGGGTAACGCGTCATCTCCTCATGAATGGCTCTAACGTCGCCATGCAATGTAGCATGAAATTCCCCTCCACAGAGATCAGCTTGACACCTATCCACATTGCAGCGGCATTGAAGCACATTGGGCTGCTAGACATGCTGCTTAGAAATGGCGCTGATGCCAACCAACAGGTGCAGGTCAAGAGCAAAGTCGGCAACAGTTGCATTACTCCGCTCCATCTCGCATTGATTCTGGGATACAAAAGCTCCTCGAGCTCCTCGATTTATCGTCGCGATCAGCGGCGAGCCTCGCTTTCGCTTCTCGATAAGGGTGCGGATATTTCGGTCCCTTTCCGAGTGGACTTCATCCCAAAAGTTCAGGCTGAGTTATCTGTGTTGCATTTAGCTGCCATGGCCGGAGATTGGAAGGTAATGGAGGAGCTGCTCGAAAGAGGCGCCGACGCTGCCATAAAGGGCAGTTTAGCCATTCACAAGGCGCGTTTGGACGCGTCGTTGCTACCTTTTGCCTCGTTGCTACCTTTTGCCACACTATGGAAAAGAGAGAATGTAGTCAAGTCGCTGATCAAGGCCGGGGCCGACGTAAATGAGGCATGCTGCTTGATGGTAGGGACCCGGCTGAAGGCAAACATTACTGCATTGCATTTAGCTGCGTTGACTGGAAATGAAAGCATCGTCCAGATACTTTTGCGGAATGGAGCGATAGCTCACTTGGGTGATAAGGAGTTAGATGGGTCGACTACACAGAACAACGTGTCACCCTTGCACCTAGCCCTACTGACAGGCAAACTGGGGGTGACGAAGTTGCTAATCGCACATGGAGCCAACGTCCTCGCCAACCTCCAGGTTGCCACTGAGACGTCCCGTGTTGTGCTATCCACCCTCAACATGGCTATCCCTTATCGAGATATCACCCTTATCAAACTCCTTGTGGAAAAGGGTGTCGATGTAAACGCTACATCGGTGATACAGGTTCGAAAGGTAGAAGTCAAATTTACAGCCCTGAATCTGGCCGCTCTTATGAGGATCAAAAACACGCTGGTCTACCTCCTTAAACACGGAGCTGATGTGAAACAATCTTCTCAAATAAATCTTGGCCACTCGTCTATCCGGCTGATGCCTCTGCACTTAGCTACCCTGGTGAATGGCCGTAAACTGGTCAGGGTGCTCCTCAAGTACAAAGCCGACGCTTGCGCCGCTGCTCAATTTACGGGCGATAAATGGTGCATCACTTGGACATCATTACATCTGGCGACTGTGTTGAATGCAACTCGTATCGCAGAACTCCTCTTGAATAACGGAGCTCAGAGACAAGATAAGTTTCAAGTAGGCTTCTTCAACATCAATGCTGAACTGAAGGCGATACACTTTGCCATCGCACGAGGCTCCAGGGAGATGGTAAACTATCTCCTAGGCAAAGGACACGACTACGACACCAGCCTCAAACTCAGCACACAAAACTTGGGCACGCAATTGTCAGCCCTGCACCTAGCGCTTCTGTTAAATCGGGGGCGACTGGTGAAGCTACTATTTGCCAAAGGCGTCGATATCCATGCAAATTACACCGTGGGCGTCAGTAAGAAGTTTCAGGCTGAGCTTTCGGCATTTCACTTGACCACTCTCTCCGACAAAGATGGTATTCCCGGCCTGTTTGAGAACGGGGTTGACATTCATGCCAAATCCCTGGCCAACGTTGACATGATAATACAATTTGAACTTGAGATTCTGGATATCATAACCATATTCGGTACCAAGGAGGTAACAGAATCTCTCCTCGAAAAAGCAATGCAGGATCAGGATAAACAGCATAGCGGGCCGGGAAGAAATCTCGCACTTTACCTAGCGACCGCGCTAGGGTACAAAACGCTTCTGAAGCTTCTTCTAGAGAGAATGGACGAAGTAGACGAAAAGCTGAGTGTAAAGATCCAAGCTACGGTTGACGCAGCCTTCGAGGGCAAACTCCAGAACCAAGTTAGCGCGGCGGTAGAATTGAAGATTGAAACCGAGCTGTCCGTATTACACCTGGCCACCGTCCTAGGAAACATAGACGCGGCGAAATTACTTATCGACAAGGGCGCCGATATCAATGCGATATGTCAGGTCCGACTCGAAGATGGCCTGCAGGCAAATTTGTCACCGTTGATGCTCGCGGCCATGTGGAAACATGACGGCATGGTGCAACTGTTGCTCGAGAAAGGGGCCAAAGTCTCGCAAACAGGCCAGGCGAGAATCGAACGGACCTTTGATACGGCGATGGCAACTCCACACCTTTCAGCCATGTTGGGACACGAAGGAGTGAAACGAATACTGAAGAAAGCCGATAGTATGGAAGCAAGGATTGAGGCTGAGCTGACTGGCTTGCATCTGGCCGTGCTACTGGACGATGTTGCGGTCGTTAGCCGTTTCCTCGAACATGGCGCCGACCCAGACATGCGTTGCCAGGCCGATGTTGAGCTCAAGCATCGAGACGACTTGAACGCAAATTTCCAAATGCAGTTGATGCCACTACATCTGGCAGCCTGGGCAGGACACGAGAGCGTGGCAGCGCTACTGGTAAAGAGCGGAGCTGAAGTGGATGCAAAAATTCAAGCGGGCGGCACGGCAGCCCTAGAATTCGGCATGCGAATCGACCAGAAGATGAAACCCGGAGGCACGGCCTTGCACGTAGCTGTTGGCCTTGGGAAAGAAAAAGTGGCTCGGGTTCTCATCGAAAATGGAGCAGATGTCGGCGCGAAGACCCGAGATGGTCGCACTGCAGTACAATGGGCGCATGGCCATGATGGGGAATGCATTCGAAACAGCGGAATTGAGAGAAGTCTGGAGTCTGTATCAAAAGACATGAAAACGGGATTTGTTCAGAAGCTGCGTAGGGTTTTCCAGCCAAAGAATGGCAGCTGAATCATTTCTTCCCCTCATGAACGTTATGCTATTTCTCTTAACGGCAGTCTTCTCTTTGGAGGGAGGCTGAATTGTGAAAGATACCCATGTTGTTTTGCGTTAAGCGTAAATAGAGAGTGTTAAAACAAAGCACCAAGTTATTTAAAAAGAAACTATTAACTAGACAGTTCTCATTATGTATTTGTATTAGACCGGCAACCAAGGATTCTATATTACATGTATGTAAAGTATATTAGGTAACTAATTTATTGAGTCAATTCACCAATACATCACTGGTAAAGGGTTTACCCTGGGCAAGGATAGACCCCTATAGATGTTCAGCCACCGTGGGACTATTCGGATACTTCATTGTATTCCCGATAGTCTCCTCGACCATCGGCCACACTTTCTCGAAAGGCATATCTCGTTCATCGAAGCAGCCCCTTAACAGTAGAAGCTTCACCAAACTGCGTCACTTCTAACACCATAGACTTGCCACGACTACAGTAACACAGCGGATTAGCCCCTTTCTTCAGAAGAAGCAAGTACTAATATATTTTTGAGTGGATCCCTGATTTTCTTTTCCTTGACAGGGGGTTTGAAGGCTCATTGTCACCGGTGAAGAGTCAGTGGGAAGTTTACTAATGAAACTCTCACAAAATATTAACAAATTTTTGAAAATTAGTCTTTTTAAGCTTTAAAAATAACTAAAAATGTCGAAAATAGTAATCTCATAATATCAAGATTATATGAATATAACTACTCTTAGCCCCAACCCCACTCAGACACTTACCCAGGCACTTATTTAGACCATAATGCGGCAGTTTTATATAACATTCTTTTGCCGAATCCGGTAAGACTGACGGCCTCAGGAAATCCGAGACACTTCAGATATCAAAAAGGATATACCACAAACCCGGTATGACAATATATGGACTTTAGTAATAATAATACTTCTAAGGATATTGGTTTATCAAACTGACTCCCATATCTAAATATCAAGAGAACCTCAAGTGCTCCCCTTACAAAAATACAAAAAAACAGTTGTCAAAAAGGACGGTAACTCCTCGAGAATTAGTTTTCGTAGTTGTCAAGGCTATGCATTTTGGCTCATTTTAACTATAGTAAACCTTAGCAATAAGGACCTGAACTCAAGGAACGCACAAAGTAGATAAATATCATCCAATAGTATATCTAGAAGTAAGGAATTGCCCGAGTAATTCCTTGTTTTATAAAAATTTTTGGCCATAAAATATTTCTTAATATAGGATCCATAATATAGCTACGTGGTTAATATTATTTATTGGACCCCCTCAATTTCATCGAGAAGCGTGATTTTTTAATTCCTGCACGACAGAGACTTAAGTAAGTTATTTAATGGATTTTAGGTTGTGAATGTTAACAGGATCGAACTTGAGAATCAGGTTTTGATAAATTTCAGGCCGAACTACAGGAGTGGCGTAGTAATTGTGTCGAAACATCAAATCTGGAAGGGTTACAATGAGGGAAAGACTCCCTCTGGGGCTGGCGGAGGGCCATAAAGAATGACCTCCGCTCTTCACGAGCACCGACAACACGGTTCTCCATTTGTGAGACCCTGACTACATCACTCTCCGGAGCTTGAGAAGGACCACTACCACTCCTCTGATTACTTCTACTTGTGGAGGTATTCTTCCCTTTTTCCGGCGGGTTTTTGGGTTGTTTTTCCTCCACACATTCAAAATCCCATATACGTGACGGAGTGGCTACTTCAAGGAACTGTAACACGCAGGGCTAGGGACCTGGGATATGTGGTTTTGTTTTGGGAAGAATTTTCAGCTGAGGACAATGGCATGGGAAATCTCAGGTTTCTGGACCAGGGCTCCTTCACGAAACGTTATTTACTCCTCACTCAATGACATAACTTCATAAATGCCTCTTTGTCTACTACCATAACCGATCGGGCGATTGAGCTATCACCATATCATCATCAAGAGTGGTCTCTTCATAGAATCGCTTCAACTCTATGCAGTCCATAAACTCCCGCTTGCTAATTTGTGGAACATCATATTCCAGTATCAACCCAAAAGGCTGAATATCGTCACGTATCCTTTCCATGCGATCCCATGGATATACGTCATTATAGTCAGAAATCTCATCCTTTGGCGGGTTATATTGGATTAGAATCTTTCGAAGTTCCGTTTTCCCATCGATTGCGGCTTTCGCGAGTTGACACAACAAGTTTTCGTCTCCGTCTCCGAAAGTAATCCAGCATGATTTAGGGTATCCATCCTTACCAATGCCATCTGTACCATAGTTCAGTACAAACACTTTCAATTTCGGGGTCAGTAATAATGACCCCGCATCAGCGGCAGTTAATTCAAGAAGATTGTTTCGAAATTCTCCCTTTATTCCACGGAGGCAGTCCCTTGACAGTCTCAGCACTTCTAAATTGGGGTAGATGCTAGTACTAGACCAATGCGCTTCATGTCCCCACGGTATCCCTTCCAGATCGAGGCTTTTCAAAGTTTCCTTGTGCATTAACAGCGAGAATTGGATCGATTGAGCAATGGCTGATTGTAACTCAACACGATACATGGAGTTGTTCCAGCAGAAATGTGAAAGTGCCTTCGGCCATGACAACAGCTGTTGCAAAACGTTCGCGTGGTCATTTTCATAGTCTGAAATGGTGAGTGAGGTGAATGAAGCCGTTCGATACTTCTGAATCACGAAATCAGTATTCACTTCTTAAACCTGTAGGGGAAAGACGTGAGTACCATTGTGTCCGAAATGGGAGCAATTCCACCAAAAAGTATACCATCCAAGCTAAGGTGCTTTAAGGATGGAATGTCGATACTTTCGACGAGATCTCTCAATTCAATGCGATAACGGCCTATGCCTAAACGTAATTCTTCAAGTTGCGGCATATGCTGGGCAACAGTGTCGATCAATTTCCACATATATAGAACTTGATCAGAGCGTTCGTAATCTCTATAACCCACATTGTAACCACTGTGGGAAATGCGCAACGATTTCACACTTCTCAAAGACTGAATGATGTAATTCACTGCTGAATATACGATAGGTGTGGCATTAGATGCTCCTATGTCAATCCAAAGAGCGTTGCAATACTGCCCTAATGAGGGGGTTTTTTGAAGCGCTGCGTTTAAACTTATATGTCTTCTGCATTCACCGGGCACTTCTAGCTTGATCGTTTTATACAAAAAGGGTATGGCCAAGTTCAAGAAGCAATGGCATGTAAGAGTCAATGATTTGGTGGTATAACGGCAATACCGTTCTCCGTCACGAAGAGCCAATTCGAAAATGATATGGAGAATTTCAGGCGGCAGTCTTAATATACACCCCCTTTCTAGATCTGATTTCGGCATGATAGTGGGCTGAATGATATCTTTTATGGTGTTCATAAGGCATACCAGAGTGGCCAGCGTCCAGACTCGGTGGGGTGACAGTAACAATTAGTGCGGGCGATTTGTTGGATCCGCCGAGATTTAGCAGAAAAACGCACTGAAAATAGCAGTCAATACTGTACCACAAATACCGTGCCTACTGTGAAGTTACCTCAACGAAAGGCCACCGTGTGCTTTCAACAACGACATCAACTCAGAATGGCACGAAATCTTGAAGATTGTCAGCATAGAATTATTGTTCATATATGATACACAACATAACAGAAAACTAACTATATCGCATGTATTTCTGGCCCAGGATTTCTGCGTCCATATTCTACCAGAATCGTCTAATATTATAGCATATAAATATATCGAGATAGATGCTTTTTTACAACTTAGGCTTATATCAAAATCCAATCAAATTTGCCACTAAACTCAATTCGTTCTAACGCGTGAAATGTCCGACAGCGCGCCTTAGGCATCAATCTGCGGACAAAAGACGTAGTTTAAAACGAGGGTAAAACCATACAATCCAACACCAGGAAGCTTGAGTGAATGATTGATCTGGATTACTGGATTGTACCGACAGTCCAGCCTTCCTGCCCACATGGTCTCCTCATCGAGCATCGTCCTGGTGCAACTCGTCCTAATCCTCTGTGTAATTTCTCGATGGTACTATAATCGCCGATTCCAACCAGCAATATACACCAGCATTGCTGGATCAGAAAAACCAGTTCTCAACGGCCTGGGATACTCGCCCATGGACACTCTATCCCGCTCTCCCAGCATCCTCCATCTCGGCACCCATGGATTCATCCAAGGCTCACTTATCCGCGAAACATTAACGCCAGCCCACACCCGAGATGTTGAGAAAGCCTCAGACGTCTTTCTAGCTCGATACTACGGCGGCGTGCGATACGCGCTTCCGCCGCAGAAACGATGGCGTCTGGCGCGCCCACTCCCGCCTGATTATGTATATGGCACCGAGACCAGCCCGGCGCAGTGCGAGGGTCCGGCTGTGCTCTGCCCTCAGGAGGACTCTGGGACCGAGGGTGCTAGTGAGGACTGCTTTCAGTGTATTGTGTGGACGCCTGTGGGTGAGCCGCCGGAGGGAGGTATGTGGTGAACTATATATATGATTTTAATCTAGACTAATGGTACAGGATGGCCGGTTATATTTTATATTCGTATGTACATGTATAATCCTTGACGTAAAAGGTGCATTCTGACTTTTCTAGATGGAGGCTTTCTGCAGTTCGGTAGCCCGAATGATACCAACGTCGTTCGGCTTTTGGGCGAGACGGATCTCAAGTGTGTGATTGTCGCGCCTGTGTATAGAGTCGCTGTGCTCGGGTTTTTGAGTTCTCTAGAGTTGGAGAAAGATGCCGCGACAGTAAATCAACCTTGTGGAAACCAGGGCTTTTGGGACCAGAGAATGGCCCTCGAATGGACTCGCGAGTATGCTCATTTTTTTGGCGGTAACGTGTTGAATATTACGGTGGCAGGGTACTCTGCAGGTATCCCATCTTAATCTTCTAATTTTTTACAGAATGATGATATTAACTAGAGTTTAGGATCCTACTCAGTTTTCCATCAGCTCGCCCATGATTTATATTTACCCACAGACCAGAGTGTTATCCGACAGGCGATTATGTTTTCCAACGGGCCCGGCGTCCAGCCTAAATCTGCGGCCGGCGCGCAGGAGCAATTCGACGAGCTTCTTACGGTGCTTGATATCCCTCTGGACACACCGCATGCAGAGAAGCTATCCATCTTGAACAACATCCCAGTGACAAAGCTGATTGACGCAAGTCTGCGCGTCCAGCACCACCAATACCGGCCGTGGAATGACGGGCACTTCATCTCCAAAGAACTGTTTTATGACATCGACAATGGCGCCTTTGCGCAACGCATGATTGAGCGCGATGTCCGGCTGATGAACGGCGAGTGTCGCGACGAGCACTTTGTCTACGGCACCTGGCACACGCCGACCAACTCCCTCGCAGCACTACGCCAGCGCCTCGAAGCAGACTACCCGCCTGACGTCTGCGACGCGCTGGTCAACCTCTACTACCCGTCGGGCCAGCTTCCCCCCGACTGCACAGATTGGCAAGACGCCTTTGGCCGGATCTACGCTGACATTCAGGTGCACATGCTCGAACGGGGTTTCGCCAACGCGCTCTGCCGCGCCGGCGCCTCGCACCTGCTGTACCGCTATCGTATCGAATACCGGGTCAATTGCGTTGCGCTGCCGCCTGAATGGGGCGTGACGCACTCGTCCGACTTGGCCATGTGGCTCTGGGGTAATGGGGCGAGGTTGGAGGAGCACGAGAAACTTATTGTCAAGGCCGCGTTGATTGATCCGCTGGTACAGTTTGTGAATCGCTCGGATGTGCAGTGGACAGATGGTGTACACATACAGCGGGTAAGGAGGTTGAGGGATGATGGAGTGGTTGATGTTTGGATGGATGAGATGTGGGAGAAGGGGGTGAGGGTTTGGGAGATGGTGAGGAGATCGCAGGGTGGGCGTATGGCGAAGCTGTAGTATACATACTACATACTACATCATATACATACATCGCACATCGCTATACTTGTATTATATAGGAGTGATGACTGAGATGCACATCTAGACCGAATGACGTCATCTGGCCAGACCACATTGATGACACGCCTCGCCTTCCCAGTAAGCCAGTAAGTCCAGAATCAACATCCGCCGAATCCGACCAGCCTAGCACCCAGCAGAGATAACTAACGGATACCTAATCATGGGCCTACTATTGGCCTTGTGTCCGACAGCTACTCTTCCCCGCAGCTTTCTCCCCACAAACCCCGGACCAGCAGCAGCTCCAATCCAATCGATCTGATCCAATCCAATCCAACCCAATGACCGCGTCGCGCAACACACCATCCGCTAGGTTCAGTCGTCCTGGATTCGTCGGCAGGTATGGTGTGTCATGTAACCTGACAGCCCGGCGATAGCGGTTGGGTTTGCAGCGCCAATCAGCTCGCGGCTGGATCCATGGAATGAACCTTTCCAACAGCATGCTATCTCGCATGTAAGAAAATGTGGCATGCTGGTTAGTAATATACCTTGGTTCCGTGGTATATGACCAGGCTCTGATCATGCGACACCCAACCCCCATTTCTCACACATCAAACAAAGCTGCAGTGCTATATCAGGCTCATATACGAACAAAACAAACCATCATCAATCCATACAAATAAGATACAGCTACAATGTCCGACACCACTGGCGGCACCACTGGCACCTCCCCTCCCAAGCGCCACTGGCACGGCGAAGTGGGCGCGCGCCATGAGCATCAGAATGTGTGGATGAACGGCGGCGTGCGGTCGCCTGCAGGCCCAGCGCCGTGGTCAGGCTGGGACGCTGAGCGGAAGCGTCGGGTATGCCACTAATTCATTAATTCCTGAAGCTTACGATATGTGTGTTAATAATGGTGATAGGCATCAGAAGCATCGACCAAATCAACTAGCAGCGCATCGTCGAACAATACGCGCAAGTTCGACAAGCTGCAGACGCAGAAGAGAGAAAGCGTCTCGGACGCTGGGTCTGCCGAGAGAAGGAGGAGTTTTGCGGAGATGTTGCCCGAAAAGGGGTTTTTTGGGAGGATGTGGCATGGGTATACTGGGGGTTCGCAGAAGTAATGGAGGGGGTAGGGATCTGTTATCATTTCATGTTATGAGTTGTGGCATCGCAAGTTCATCTGATTCAGGAGGTAATTTGAAGAATGTGAAGAATTTGAAGTGTGGTGAATTTAATATCATCATGTTATCCTAGCACATCCTATCTGAGGTGAGCCTGATAACTAGTAACTAGTCACCGCCCTGTACCGTAGACGGGCCGTCTGTCAGTCTTCCTATCACCATTTTGATATGATGGAATGCTGCATTCTTTTTCTTTTGAGACAAGGAAAGATTCGTAAAACAGCGCCTAATATCAATCACCATTTCACCATTTCCCACACATTACCCCGACCGCTCCCATGCACGAATTTACCGAACGATACCCTCGAAACGGTTCTTGAACCACTTGATAGTCTCATTTTGGTTGATGCGATGGTTGGGACCGATACTGGCCTTGGCACGTCGGCGCTTGGCAACACGCTCTCCAGGGCGGGTCCTATAATCATCACATCAACATTTGCTCGATATTTCAACCAGAAAAAGACATCCAGAAAACACTTACATGCAGCAGTAAAAGTCCATGCCGTAGATACCGATACCAGGGTCGTACTTGATGCCCAAGTCGATATGCTCGCTGATGCCGAAGCCAAAGTTGCCGGTCTCGGAGAAGTTGCGCTTCCTTAATTCGTATTCCTTGACCTTGAGGCCACGCTCGAGGATTTCCTCGGCCTTGGGGCCACGCACGGTAACGTGGACGGAAATCTTTTCGTTACGACGGATACCGAAGGTACGGACAGTGTAGCGGGCCTTGCCTGGACATCGATATATCAGCCTTTTGTCCACCGTTCCTCCATCCTTTTGAATATCTTACTGTACACTGGGGTTTGACCGCTCAGCTGCTCGAGCACCTTTGCTGCACGCGTGAGTCTGTCACCAGATTCGCCGACCGAGATGTTCAGCACGAGCTTTTGGATGCGCAGCTCGCGCATGGGGTTGGCGCTCTTGTCCTTTCCGTCCGACTGGTCACGTTAGATAAATTCAAGCCGTGTGTTGATTCCAATGAATAGGTTCTCACATACCATGGCGACTGTGTGGTGCTGGTCGACTGCTGGATGGATCGAAGTATCGAAAGTCGTTCGAGTGTGCAGCAAAAAGTTCGTTGTGGGCGAACGAGGAAGCGAAAGCCCTAGTGGCTTGGCACTTGTCGGTTGCGCTTAGCGCTAGCCGCGGCCGCGCCTTTCCCAATCCAGCCATAATTTTAGCCGCTGCGGAATCACTTTGTTTCTCACTTTAGCGTCAACCTTTTATTAGCAAAGTGAACTCAGTGAAGTACCTTCACCCTCACACTCTGCTTGAATACGACTGGGCGAGTCTGTTCGGCGAGCATATTCTTTGGAACTTGACAAGTCGCATTCGTGCGCAATACGTCCGGAATGGCGGCAAACAAGCAGGGAAAAATGGTAGGTCTAGCTATGACCATGCGTGATAGCGTACCTTGTTGACAGACACAGCTGACCTTCTCTCTAGCAAAACTTGGTATGTGACATGTCGCCTAACAGCATTCGACCGTACTTATCATGGACAGATCAACTATCGCATGCGCGTGACCTTGAACGATGGTCGACAGATGACGGGACAGATGCTAGCATTTGACAAGGTACGCAGCGTCCTGACATTGTTATAAAGACATATCTAACTGACTACGCAGCACATGAACCTTGTCCTCGCCGATACGGAAGAGTTTCGTCGTGTCAAGCGAAAAGCCACAAAGCAAGCCCCCGGTGCCGCAGCCGCCCCGCTGGTCGAAGCTGAAGAAAAGCGTACTCTGGGATTGACGATCGTTCGAGGCACAAATGTCGTCTCGTGCTCAGTCGATGGACCTCCCCCTGCAGACCCTTCGGCGCGTTTGGGTGCCGGCGTGCCTGGCGTCCCTACAGGCGCTGTCACGCTTTCTGCTGGGCCTGGGATTAGTAGGCCCTCTGGACGAGGCTTGCCGGTTGGTCTTGGTGGCCCGGCTGCTGGCGTTGGAGGACCGGCCCCTGCTGGATTTGGAGGCTTCGCACCTCCTCCTGGTGGGTTCCCTGGAGCGCCGCCTCCTGGGTTCGGCGGACGCGGGGGACCACCTGGTGGACCTCGTAAGTTCTAATCTATTTCTTGACATATTGGACTTTTCCTGACATAGAAAAGCTGGATTTGCTCCCTCTGGATTCCCTCAAGGCGGCCCTGGTGGACCTCGTAAGTGCATCAATCCCGTCTATCTACTGGATTTACAGTCTAACTGCTACATAGCTGGCGGATTTCAACCACCACCTGGATTCCAGCCTCCCGGACAAGGCCGTGGCTACCCACCTCCTGGGTTTGGCGGACGATGATTCAATCCGATGTTCAAGACAACAAAAGCTATGCAAATTTCAGAGCACATGGTGATTTGAAGACCATCAAAAGTCACCTTGCACGGTCCCTTTTTTTTAAAAGTTCGGATTCGAACGAAACAGCCGTGATATGGGTTCACTACCACCACTATCACCGGCAAGGCGTTGGGCGCATGTGGATGAGGTTGGGGTTCACGAGTCTAGCCAAATCACGAGTGTAGTTATAATATAAATCCACAAGAGTTTGTACTGCCTGATCTAGAGCTATATTTATTTAAAACTGCGTATCTCTATCTCGTGTAGTGAGAGCCACGTGACCTCCCACTGTATCCAATGCAGCCATCGGTCAGTCCGGCACGGCAGCCGATGCCGGTGGGAGAAATTCCGCTTTAACTCCGTGCACAGCTTTACCAGCTGCAACAACATCAAAAATAATAATCTCCATCGATTACCGATTTACTGCATTGCTAGTTGGCTGTCGTCAAAATGGCCGCCGCCATCAAAGCCATCAATGCGAAGATCCGCTCCAACAAGGTCCTGGATTACTTCTGCTCAACACGTAAGTTCCTCTCTTTACCGTGACACTCTACTCTCTTACCCGAGCAGTGCTGCAAAGAAAATGAAGAAGAAGAAGAAGAAGCAAAAGAAGAAGAAGAAGAAGCAAAAGAAGAAGCAAAAGAAGAATGCTAACACGTCACAGACTTCTGGGGCCCAGCATCAAACTTCGGTATCCCTCTCGCTGCCATCCTGGACATCAAGAAAGACCCTGAGATGTACTCCCCCGACCTAACAATCAAACAATCAAACAATTTCTAATTTTGGTTATAGCATCTCCGGATCAATGACCGGCGCCTTGACCATCTACTCCGCCACCTTCATGCGCTACTCCATGGCCGTTACCCCGAAAAACTACCTCCTTTTCGCCTGCCACGCTATCAACTTTACCTCGCAACTCACACAAGGCTACCGCTATCTGAATTACTGGAAGTACGTTCGCTCCACCACCTCCGTCCCCTCCCCGAAGTCTGGGTGATGAAAAACTAATGTACTGATGTGGTGATTACAGCTGGGGCGGGCGCGAAAAGGCTCTTGCTGCGAAAGGCGGCGAGGTGGCCTCCCAATAGATGAGAAGGTAAACGATGGGGTTGAGGGGGACAATGAATATAGGGAATATCTACTGGACTTCGATATGCTTCATTTGTATGTGTGTGTGTGTGTGTGTGTGTGTGTGGCCTGTGAGGGTCGTGTCGTGTCGTGTCGTGCCTCTTTACCCGTGTATACTGCATTTTAGTTTTTGAAATGATAGAAAGTGCTTTGATGTGGTCGGTTTGTCGTGTTCGAGAGATCGAGAGATCGAGTGTTTGATGTTTCTGCGCTTTGTAGTGGGGTAGGAAGGATTGTAGGTGATATTGTTGTAGAAGAGGTGGGTATATATTGTATGGGCGATAGGGAATGGTATATTCTCTTAGAGTTAGGACTGACGCGTCCTGAGCATGGAGACAGGGTACGCGAAGAAGGCTAAGCAATTTTTACAGAAATGAATAGGAATGCAAGAATAATCACGTCTATTTGGCCCGAAATTAAGAAAGTCCTGCTTAGTGCATAAAGTGCGACCAAATTGAAATGCTAGAGGTGGCGCATTCTAAAGATGAGGAAATAGATACATATCAATCAAAAATCTAAGGTTGCTGAGGTAGTTGTGCTAGATTAAGTATCGCAATATCCAGGGGCCGGTGGAGTCGAGACGGCAATCCAATTATATATGGTCAGGGAAGTGGTGTATATGCAGCAGATTATACCAAACACAGCCAGGGTGATATCAGCAATGCGCTGGGAGCGGGATGTTGCGCAGGCTTTGAGATGAAGGAGAGGCTAGTGATATGGTTAGTCGAATGGCAAATCGCTGGAAGGGAAAGACTTACTGGATAGACGTAGACAAGTGGCACGCAGGCAAAGCTGCCAACCAGAGAAACAAACTTGTCGAGGTCGTCTGCACCGCCCCAGGCTATGAATGCACAGAACATGACAAGCATGAAGCGGAAAAAGTTCTTCTTCCATTTGATGCCCGGGTTGTACTTGCCGCTGCGGGTGAAAAGCTCATTCTCGGTGATACGAATGGCAGGGAAAAGTTGTAGCGGCGTGCTTAGCAAAATTGCAAGTGAATACAAGAATTGCACAGCATTGACGAGTTTATCGTCCTGGGGCAGGTTGAGTAGCACAACTGTTTTTGTAGCAGATCCATATGCTGCGTAACTGACGGCACCAGCTGACAGGAAAATGACAGTTATAATAATCATAACAGCAGCAAGCACTGGTGGGAATTTCCTAGGATGCGTCATCGACTCTTGAATGGGAATGATAAGCCCCACTCCTTCATAAGTAAAAATAGCAGTGCCGATGAATAGAGTCCATGAATTCGCGTTAAAAGGAATGATATCAGAGACTCCATTGTTGTCAACAATCGTGGTTATGTCGTAATAAAAGAGGTAAATCAAACCCAACATGATGAACAAATCGGCTATAAGAGCGGTAAATCCTAGTTTGCTGATGTCCCGAATCAGCGATAGGGGTAGGAAGATGATCAACTGCATCAGGACCATGAATTTGATGTCGATATATGTCATGCACTTGCTGACAGCCAGAATGAATGCCTGGAGGTTTTGTGACGTAAAAACGATGTACGCAGACACAAACCCCAACTGGCTGAGTACAATTGATCCTAGAATAATTCGTCTCATCCACTTGCCATATAAGACACCCCCAATGTCACCAAAAGAGCCTTCAATCTTGAGTCGAGAGTTTACCAAAAGAATAAAACAGTAGTAACTCAGTATTGAAACGACAAGGAGGACAACGGAGCTAAAAAGCATTCCTCCATTTAGAAATGCGCGTGGCAAGAACAAGACTCCTGTTCCTACAAACGATTTCAGGAGAAGAAGTGCAGCACCCATTGGGGTAGTTGTTCCCTTCGGAGCTCGCTCTTTGTGTTTGCGTTTCTTGCGACCAGGCGTTTCCGGGCGTAGTAAAGATGTGTCCTCCCCGGGCTCGGCTTCGTCACCATCCCACGTATCAGATGAAAAGTATTCACCAGGCCCGAGTGCCTCGTCATCTTCTTCGAGCTCTTCGCCCGCAAAATGTCCATACAGGGTTAAGAACTCAAGGAAATTGCTTGTGAGAAATCGAGGCTGTGTTGAAACGGCATGCTGTCCGTTATCTTGCATTCCACCGCGTGGGCCGGGGCTTCCCAATGTTCTTCGCAAATAGTCTCTTCGAAAGCCACCTGGTACACGAATGGAGTTTATGTCCACGGTCTCGCTCTCAGGCTCAGGTCGATTGAGATTGAAACTTCTACTTCGAGTTGGTCGTCTCAATCCAGAGGCTTGGGCTTCAGCATCCTCGGTCCAGCGATAAACTTGTCGTGTTACATCGCCACCCTGTAATCTCAAGCTCGAGAACTCATCCTCATTCATGCCATTTCCAATTTCACTATGGGATTCCGAGTCTCTAGATGGGTCATTATCGGGAGGCAATACTAAATGTCTCTTCACGACTTCGGGGTCTTCAACCCCACGACTACCTTCAGGTCCGGGCTCGTCGACGAGCCTAGAGTCAAATGACCCATAGTTCGATCGGGCAATCCTGTCTAATGATGGGTGATGCTCAAGATTATTCAGCACTGGTGAGTGTCTCGCTGGGGTACTTGGCTGAGGAGAGAAAGTATTGCTGGTATCTTGAAGCGCCGAGGCCAACGCAGACTGCCCTGGACCAGGAAGAGAAGACTTATTTTCAATTGCTGCAAGATGTTCATTCTGAGCTGCCGGCGCTGGCGTTCCCCGCCCCGACCTTACCGACGAAGCAGTTCCGGTGAAAGAGGTCGATGGCAGGGGGGAAGCTAGGCGTGCTATCGTTGTTTCCCGCTGGAACGATTCTGCTCTGGGCGAAGACGATCGAAAGGAGCGGGGTGGTGAGCTTGCAACCTGTCTAGGCTGAGAGACGTCGGACGAAGCTCCCTGCTCGCTGTTGGCGGTTGCGTGCATCCTGGGCCACGATGCGACAAACTGGGTGGGAAAGCGTGGTGTTAGTATGGCCGAACCATGCAGTGGAAACAAGATCTATACAGCCCCAGCATTCAGAGAGAGTATGAGAAGTATGGCAATAATAATAATGGTCATGCAGGTCGAGCATCGAGGTTGACAGCGAGGAAGAAGGCGCAGGCCGAGGCAGCTTAGCTAACCCGAACGAGAAGCACGCCTATCATGTGCCCGCAACACGCCTCACCGCCCGCGGGAGTGTCGTGTTTGCGCTGTTTGTGCGGATGTATGCAAGGTGAAGTCATCACTGGCGCTTTCCCGAAAGAGGGGAAGTGCTCCTGCTGTGGATAAGAGTCAACAGCGTTCGATCTGCACTCGTCAAGCTTCCTCTTCTGTCATTGTATCTGTTTACAGCTCAATCTACCCCAGCCATGCGTCGAGTTATGCAGTGATCAATTGCCCCCCTTCTTTCTGTTCGTTATTGCACATGAAAACATGGCCCCTGTGGGCACCGAGTCTTCCTCGAGAGTGAGCGAATCTCGACAGAGACCTATTTTTTCGACACGGTCAGCCACAGAAGATGCAACTAGATTGGCTCCTAGTGAATTGTCTAGAGACCCGTACGAACCTGTAACGACAGCATCGAACTCAAACTCAAGACACTATGCGAAAACGCATGGCTTCGTTAAGAGAATCTTCTCGCGGCTCTTTGGTTCTCAGGATCAACAGGACCCCGGACCTGCCTCTCAGGACCAGACAATGGCAGGAGATACACTTGTGGAGGTGGAGAGGGATACGAAGAGGGACCGTGTCCGATCGCAAAGGACTGCAACGAGTCTTAGTGTGCATTCCGACAAACTAGGTACTTTCTCGGGCGTCTTCGTGCCTACCACGTTGAATGTGCTGAGCATTTTGATGTTCCTACGTTTTGGATTTATCCTTGGTCAAGGTGGTGTCCTGGGAATGATGGGTATAGCGCATAAATATTTTCGTATACATATCGCTAATTATAACCACAGGCATGCTTATTGCTGCATATATCATCAACTTATTGACTACAATGTCCATCTCGGCTATCGCAACCAATGGAACAGTACGTGGCGGTGGAGCTTATTATCTGATATCCCGTTCCCTGGGCCCTGAGTTTGGTGGATCAATTGGTCTCGTGTTCTATATGGGATTTGTTTTCAATACCGGAATGAACGCAATAGGCTTAATCGACTGTGTAATTGAGAATTTTGGCCTTGAATCCGGCTCATGGTCAAACTTGCTGCAGGAAGGGTTCTGGTGGAAATACCTATGGTCTACATTGGTTCTGCTTCTTTGCACAGCGATCTGTATGGCTGGGAGCTCGATATTTTCTAGAGCTAGCAATGGGCTGCTAGCTATTCTTTTAATTTCAACATTCAGTATACCTTTCTCCGCATTATTCCAGCGCCCATTTTCGTCTCCCCGATTGGGTGTAGAATTTACTGGTTTCCGAGCAAAGACCTTTTTGGAAAACCTCAAGCCTCATCTCACAAAAGGAGCTGCTGGCAGCGAGATGAGTCGTCGTGAGACATTTCAAGATCTATTCGGCATATTGTTTCCCGCTACTGGAGGAATTTTTGCGTAGGTCTCCCTTGTGTATTCCTGTGGTCCACTAACACGCCAATAGTGGAGCGAGTATGTCTGGAGACTTGAAAAATCCTAGCAAATCGATTCCCAAAGGAACACTTTCGGGACTGCTTTTAACCTTCATCACATACACAATTGTTATCCTGTCAATGGCGGCATCAATCACCAGACAATCATTCTATAATAACGTCAACGTAATACAAGTGGTAAGTATTTGAATAAGCAATGAAACCATATATTCGCAACTGAACCGATCGTTTTAGACAAATCTATCCGGGCTCGTGGTGCTACTTGGGGAGTTTGCTTCCACGTTCTTCTCATCTTTGATGGGGGTAATTGGTTCAGCCAAACTACTTCAAGCGATTGCACGTGATAATCTGGTCCCTGGGCTAGGAATCTTCAGCCAGGGAAACAAAAAGAGCGACGATCCCACCTACGCAATACTTTTTACTTACGTTGTAGCCCAGGTGACCATGCTTTTTGACATCAATCAAATTGCTTCATTCACCACCATGACATACCTAATGACCTTCTTAGCAACAAATCTTGCTTGCTTTTTACTGAAGATTGGGTCTGCACCAAACTTCAGGCCGTCCTTTCACTACTTCAACTGGCAAACTGCAGCTGTGGGAGCCGTGTTTAGCGTTGCCTTCATGTTCTTCGTTGATGGAGTTTACGCTACAGGATGCATCATTGTTCTGCTGTTTTTGTTTGTGCTCATCCATTATACTTCTCCTCCAAAGTCATGGGGCGACGTCAGTCAGAGCTTAATCTATCATCAAGTAAGAAAATATTTACTTCGACTCAGGCAGGAGCATGTCAAGTTCTGGCGACCTCAGATTCTTCTATTTGTGAACGATCTAGAGTCACAGTACAAAATGATTCACTTTTGCAATTCGTTGAAGAAAGGCGCTTTGTTTGTGCTCGGTCACGTTATTGTGACAGATGATTTTACGGGCGCTGTTCCAGAAGTCCGTCGTCGACAGACCGCTTGGACGAAATTTATCGAATATTCAAAAGTGAAAGCGTTCACCAGCATAACAGTAGCCCCTACACCTGAGTGGGGAGTGAGGAATATTGTCTTGAACTCAGGATTAGGTGGCATGAGACCAAATATTGTGATTATTGACCAGCACCGACCTCATCAAAGCCTTGCAGAAGTTCTTAATCCGAAACGTGGGAGACGTTCTTCCCAAAGTGCTGATATAATATTTCATGGACGCGGATCCGACAACAGCGACTCTACCTCGTCTCATCCCCAAACCTCGATGACCGCAAAAGCCTATCTTACAATTCTTGAAGACTTACTTTTCAAGTTGCGGATCAATTTTGCCGTTGCCAGGGGGTTTGAGAACCTTGAACTGCCAAACCCGAAAGGGGAGAATCAGAAAACTTTCATTGACCTGTGGCCTATTCAAATGTCCGCTGAGCTTGCCGCTGATCGAGAAAGTAAACAGAATGTCTTGACGACCAACTTTGATACCTATACCTTGATCTTACAGCTGGGATGCATATTGAACACGGTAGCGTCATGGAAGAGATCTTACAAGCTTCGCGTGTCAGTATTTGTGGAATATGAGAGCGATGTGGAAGAAGAGCGTGGAAGAGTTTCTGCACTACTAGAGAAGCTTCGTATCGAAGCGGAGGTGCTTGTCTTCGCTTTGGCTAACGAGGACCTGAAAACGTACCAAACAATCGTCAATGGTGAAACTTCACTTGTCGATGACAGTGTCGTAGAGGATGTAAATGATGTCCTTGAAAATGAAACGTGGTGGGCGGAAATCCAGGAATATCGAGACAGGGCTAGAGAACCCCAATCATCTAGACAGGCAAGCAGGCAGTCAGGAGAAAGACAGCGTTGGCCGTCAACGCTGTTCCAACAATCAGGGCACCGCCAAGCATTACCGCAATTTGAAGGCATCCAGAGATTAGTGCGAGCTGGCAAAGGGCAAAGAAGAAAATCGATATCTAGTTTCCGAGGTATGAATGTCAACCTGGGTATGCAAACAAGCAGACTGCTCGACTCGCTGGTAGACTATCGCTCCGATGAAAGTGAGGATTCTGTCAGTTCAGGAGACAGCGATTTCGAACCTTACGTGAGCGATGGGGATGATGATGACGACGGATCTACAACACCGCGTTCCAAATTTGCTGCCCCTGAATCCGTAAATGATTTAGAAAGTACACAATCAACACCACGAGCAAACACAACCCTTGACGACCAAATCGGCACCGGCACGCGTGTCGCGGATACAACTCCCTCACGACCAAAAGCCAGTCGAGTGGCCTCCAGTAACCGATTCACTTCAACACCGATCCCCGAGACCCGGGTCAACCCAACGGAAGGAATTGGGCCTTCAATCATGTTCTCCGACTCACCACCCGCCGGCCGGCCATTATCATCATCCAGCGACCCCGAGTCCCCGACATCCAGCACATCCACCTTATCACCACGCCGCGAATCGATATACACCCATTCCCGCGCGAACCCTCTTCATCAAACCCAAACCCTATCCCCGACCGAGGGCTCTTCTCCTGCATCAGGCTATCCCCGCCAAGCCGCCGTACCGCTCTCCTTCAACGACCTCCCCTGCCGCGCCCAACATCTGATCCTAAACGAACTCATGACACGACAAAGCGCCGACACGGCGGTCATGTTCACCACGCTCCCGTCGCCGGTCGAAGGCACCTGTCTCGATGAATCCGGTAGTGAGGAGTACGTCAGTGATCTAGAGATTCTCTGTCGGAGACTGCCGCCTTGTTTGTTGGTTCATAGTAATAGTATGACTGTGACGATGAACCTGTAGCATCTGCATCTACACCAATTTATGTCGGATTAATTCAGCTTTCTTAGGGGCCGCCCGTAGATAATACAAAACGTTCAACTATTATTAATATCGATATGGGGAGCGCTTCTTTACCCAATCCACTTTTGTGGTGCTTAACATGGGCAGCTGCTGGATGACGGTTATGGTCGGGCCATGACAGAGCATTTTTTTCGTGCTCATATAGTGATATGGTTAAAAGCAGGTCAAAACAATATAACATTATTCATTCAAAATCTAGATTATATTATTGGGCCTAGTTATATAGTTTTTAATAGTCATGTAACTTATACCTTCACGTCTCTAGATCCCGTCATATTACTGCCCCAAACACCATTATACAACCATAACCCCATAAATCATTTATATAGAAGATTCGCTCCTTCCTAATTTAAAGACATACATGTCTACACAGATATATCAATTGATGTACTCCTTGCAAACGCGTGTAGGAAAGCCTCCGCAGAGATATATATTAGGCGTGTTTTCACTCACTGTTCTATCCAATGTGTTGCTGACCTATAACTACTCGCTTGGCAATGCCGGTAGGAAATACGGGTAGGCTTATATTAGTTGACTACATATAGTTGTGTGCTCTTTAGAGCATTGAGTTATGTATTAGCACGCGTTGTTGTGTATAATAATATTTTTATTATTATGTTTATTCTATCACACTTCAAAGCTGATGATGATTTGAAATTGAAAATATATATATATATTACTTATGATTTATAAAATAGATATATTTAGATAACTAGTTAGAATTTTTTTAATGATAGTCTAGCATGTTTCACTAATATTATAATATGATGAGTGAATAAAAATTTACCTTGACATAACCCGGCCATTAACCAGCCACTCACTATTTTCCTATATTGCTATATTTAAATTTTTTTGTAACCCTACTGTAGCTGAAGAGAACCATACAGAATATGTTGTTATTACGGAAGTAGACTAGTATACCTATTTTCAAAGCAATACATAACCCAATACATCCCTATGTAGATAGAATCAATTACATGCCATTATTAAATTTAGTATTGATAGATAGTGAAGTATGGAAAGTATATGTACATTTATAACGTCAAGTCCATCACCGAAAGCAATATTACACTCTAATACCATCTCGACCAATCATAGAGTTTCAATCCAGTAGTTGAAAGGTAAGAAGGACCGGATAGAGGGCTGAATGGGGGAGGGGAGGCTACCTACCCAGCCCTCCGCCAAAACTTCCACCCCTCACGCTTCTCCTGCACACCACCACCGACTCCAACCAGCCGCTCAATACCGTCGTTCCCCACGGCATTCTCGAATTTCAATTGATCGATTTCCTCACCGCCTTCCTCATCCGAGCCATTTCGGAGAACGGCGGGGTACAAAACGCCGACGCCGTCGCCGCCGAGCGTCGTTTCGAAGGAGGAGAAGTTCTCGGCGGCGAGGCTGCGGTCGAGTTGCCGGCGGGCTTGCGGCGATGCATCTGCACGGAGAAGCGTGATTGCGCAGCCGCCGCCGCCGCCGCCAGTGAGCTTGGTCCAGCCGATATTGGAGTAATCGACTAGCTCGCGGATGCGCTCGAGACGAGGGTGCGAAACGCCGAGGGAGACGAGGAGGCCGTGGTTGATGCGGAATAGTGCGCCGAATTTGGAGAGGGTCTCCGTGTTGGTATCTTCGTCGTCCTCGTCGTCGTTGTCAAAGTCCGAGGATGTGATCATGTTGTGTGCAGATATGGTGACTTGGTCGATGGTGTCGAGCATTGCGGCGGTGACTTGAGGGTGGGTTTTAAGCAGGGTGCCGACTTTGGCGACTTCGACGGCCGTGGAGCGGGATTGGTTGGTGTTGACGATTAGGAGAGGCAGTTCGGGGAAATTGTTGAGGAAGGTGACGGTGGGTGGTTTGGAATAGTCGTCGCGTCGGAAGAGCACTGCTTTGCCGCCTGATGAGACGGTGTTGTCGACGCCGCTTGGATTCCCATGTATGCACATTTCGCCGACAAATGCCCATCGGTTGATGCGTTCGATCTGAACTGCAGCCTCGTCTGGGGGCTGATCCGGGTGCGGCCCGGCGAGGGTACGGATCTGCAGCAGCAGGGCTGCGCTGATGCAGACACTGACGCTTCCACTGCTCCCTAGGCCGGCGCCAGGTGGGATTGTAGATCGGAGGGTGTAGATGGCGGCGTGGGAATTGGGCGAGCCCAAGGAGAGGAATAGGTAGAGGAACGCAGCGGCGGAGTTTTGGTGGATTTTGCGTACATCGTCGGTTTCGTTTGCGGAGACAGCAGCGACGTGTGGCTGCATTGCCTCGAGTAATTCGGGGTCTAGCTCTGTGACGAGATCGTAGTACATCTTCTTCTTTGACGGGTGCTGGAACACATTCCAGGGCAGCGAGTCAATGTCCCAGGTGTGATCCAAGCCAATGTCGCGGAAATTCAAGGTCACGTTGCGATGTGATTTTGAAAGCGTGGTGACAAGTAGATATGACCGTAGCGAGATGGCAGCAGCTAAAGCTGCCTTTCCATGAACCACGGCGTGCTCGCCGAAAACAATGACTTTGCCAGGGGCTGACACCATAAAGGGCGGTGCCATTGGCGACGAAATTTTTCGCGCGTGCTGCGCAGATTTGGTGTGCGATGCCATTTTGACTGTAGTTTTGGAGGAGTTGGTATTGGCTGTAGGGCTGGAGGTCGAGGGCGTCAGGATGCTGCCGTCTGAATTGTCAGTGTTATTATCTTCGTCGTTGTTGCTGGTGGTTGTGATGATTTCGTCGGTCTTGAATCGAGCCTGTAATTCCGACACGGTGACGCGGTTCTTGTTGTTCTTGTTAGAAGCTCTCACGCTGCCATTGCCATTCTTCTTTCGCGAGTTGCCATTCTGCATGGCGTTGTGAGAGTCCGGTGAGTTTTTAAGGGGGGAAGAAAAGACAAGGAAAGCGGGGAGCGGGTTGGGGATATATATGGGGAGGCCGCAGCAGGAGGAATGCAAGCGACAAGCAGAACAGCAGGGAGCGGGACAGAACAATGGCGTTTTGTGCTGGCGATGAAAGGCTGAGGACGGTAGTGTCTTATTTTGGTCCTGACTGACTGCTGCGAATTGGAGGTGGTCGATTAATTCTTCCTTCACTATTTCGGTTGCCTGACAAGCTTACAAAACCTAGACTGTCTTGGGCTAGACGCGGTCCCTTGCAGCTGGCCAATCGGCGCCTTCTCCGCGTAAACAGCTTGCCTGATGCGGAAATGGCCAACGTCTGGTTGCAAATGGACGCCGTGCGATAGGTGCATCCTGACAAGGAGAGAGAACATTGAGTATAGAACGAGGCTACTCCGTACGACACTGTACACCACCAGCACACCACCAGCTGCTTATCCTCCGGAAAACATGTCCTTCTTGGGCAGGTGTGGCTGGCTGATAAGGGACATGCATACGTACATATTTGTAATGTTTGTCAGACTTGTCATTCGTTGATTTGACAATGATATATACATCGGACAGAAATTAATAGAAACAAGAAGTCATGTACATAAAGTTGAGTTGACCTATTAGCCCATGGTTGTTTCCCAGCCTTTCTCAATCATTACATCCATCCAGAACACATCCGACTCGCCCGCGTCCATGCGGCTCCAGATCTCGTTGACGAGCTGGAGACAGACATGGATAGGCTTTGGGGGTAGCACGTGAAGAAACGAGCTCAGGCGGCCGAGGATGAATTTGCGAGTCCGCGAGACCTCGATTGCGTGCGTGGATAAGTTGAGGGTGTGATCGTCCTCAGACTCATCAAAAAGAGGCAGGGTCGTCGGCGGCAAGCGAAGTTCACTGGATGACGCGACGAGAAGGAATGGTTGTAGACATCGTGTTCGGGACTCGTGCGGGATTGTCTTCAATTTCGACATGGCGGTTACTGCGAATCTAGTGAGCCATTCGTCGTGGACTGCGGGTGAGATATCTGATCCATCGTCGAATTGAAAGTCGCCAAAGATCTCCTCGGGGAGGTCGGCGTAGCTGAGAAAACCAGACGAATGGCCATTCGATTGGTCTAGGAAGCTGATGTTTGAACGAGGCATCAGTGGCTCCCCGGCTATGTCTCCGGATTGTATCCGAGACCATAAGAGGTCAGGGAACGCTCGATAGAGTTGAAGAAGACCTGTATATCTATACACTTCAGCCATGGCAAGCAGATGCCACACCGGCGTGTCGTCGTCGCCGGGGTTGACCACCTCTGTCTCCGTTGGATGGGAGAGGTTTAAGAGCGTTTGCTCCAGTTCCTGCGCCTTCTCAATAGCTCGCTGGGCCTGCGCAATATCCGATCGCGATGTAAATCGCTTGGAGCGCATACGATTCCGTTCTCCTCTAACGAGACGGCCAACCTCGTGGACAGCGAATTGAGTGTCACGTGCGATGCCTGTCCATGGATGCGGTACTCTCTGTGTCAAGCTGTTATCTGCGGCTGGATGTAGGTCTGGGTTTGTTGACGAAATAAGTGTGCCATGGTCTGCGACGTAGGAAAGCAGCATTTCCCAATAGACAAGAGCTTCTTCGAAAAACTGATAGTTGTTGCGGTTAGTCAACGAAGTGGCACCACTACCACTAGCAGAAATTGAATTGAGATGGTTGCGAAGAAGATTGAAGAACGAAACACCTAGGTCATTCGCTTTATGCCAGCTTGCCGTCTGTCCCAACATCAACACGGCCAGGAGTGATTTATCATCGAGAGCCGGCTGTTTCTCGAGAAATGAGATGGCTTCGTCTCGCATCTTGAGCCCGACTGGGCCGAATTGTGGGAAATCATCAACCAGAGTGGCCGCCGCCATGCTCTGCAGTGTCCGACACAAGACTGACGAGGAAGTCCATAGCCGAGACACTGTTGTACGGAATGGGTTCATGTGGCTATCATAGCTCGAGAATAGACCGGCAACTTCTTTAAAATAGTATTCGACCAAAGTTGAGGATGGATCTTCTAGTGATTTCCGTAATGGAGGCAGGATACTCAGTCGGTTGTTTGAGCACCGCGGAATAGGAGATTGTCGGAGAAGCAGTGGTGATGGGAAATAATCCTCTTCTATTGAGGTGGCATTTTCAGGTAGTAAATTACTAAAAGCCACTGATCTTGGTGTGGCTGTATCAGCGGGAGATCCTTCAACAGCCGGGTCGTACCCGGTATCTGACAGGCTTCTTGTAGTATCTATTTGGCCTGGCCCTGGCAAGACTGGGTTGAATTGTCGATCCCACTGCTCAAAATCTAACGGCGAATTTATATCATCAAGCAGCGTTGCGGGATCGTCGGTGGAAGAGAGTGTCATTTCCGAGTTATTCGGATTTTGGAGCACATCCTGAGCCAGACGAGGACTCGCCTCGGAGTGTTTAGGGCTTGACCTCCTTCCATTATCGAGCACTTCATGCTTTGTTATCCATCGTAGGGACTGGGAGTATCCCGGGCACTCCATTCCAAGGCGGGCACAGCGTCCGCAGGAGGGCTTGCCCTCATCGCACTTCAACTAGGACGCGTTAATCGAGATGACTAGGAATCAAGAAGACGTGCTCGACCCACCCGTTTGCTCTTGCAAGTCGCACATCCATTGCGAGATTTCTTGACCCCACGCATGCCGGATTCATGCTTGGCCCCTGTTCAGTTCCTTAAGCAGCGACTATGGCCGTACAGGACGTATGGCGAATACCAGCAGCACGAGCGACAGGCGGTATGTCGCTGAAAGACCACACAGGATCGATTGATATCACGATTGATCGATATCACTGGAGCGGGGAAGCACAGGCAGGTTATGTAAGCAGGGAGATAAGGAAGTCTGTCCAATCACATTCCAGCATAGAGTTGGGATCGGTGGGTTCAGAGCAGTTATTGGGACACGAAACAACATTTGAACTCCGTTGGGTGCCCGACTAATGCTAATTTCCCGACCTCTGGGCCGCATTGATGCAATTCTACATATAAACGCCGTCCAAAAACCATAAGGCCTGTCGACACAACGGCCTCGAGGTTTTTAATAATCTCAATTCCCTAATTGAGATTAGCGTAAATTATATAGCGCTATTCCCTTTTTATTCTAGCTGGTAATATGCCTATTATTAGTAACTTGTCTCGTGTCTCGTGTCTCGTGTCTCCGTGCAAATCCTCTCTATTGGCTCGATTCCTTACAATATGGGAAAATCGCGGGTCCTAGAAACGGCCCCGTAACCATTGTATAACTGTTGTGCAACGATTCTCGTCTGAAACACTTCCTTAAAAGTTATATATGCATGAGGACATCCTGAGGGCGATCTTGAGCGTTCGGGAGGTAGCAGCGTATTGAGTAGGGAGGGTAAATGTGCACCTAGTTATATATCTATATATAAAGGGCATAGAAAGAAGTCTAAAGGACTACGCGCGTGTAGATAAACAAGTCGTCAGCGCTTAATTAGAAAGGAATAAGCTTAATTAAGAAGGCATATATTGAAATATTGCGAGATTTGAAAGCACTTTTTAAATGCTATATATTAAAAAAGCTTTAATTGTATATGTTAAAATGTTACTATCAAAGTTATATTTCTAATGCCTAAATGGTATAGCAATGAATTGCTGCTGGTAATTGTATAATGTTGCGTAACAGTTGTAAGCTGTGATTCGGTTGCACAACGGTCTCCACGTTCCCATATCTCCCCGTATTGTAGTCCCTGAATGGACCCTACTCTCAGTTGTGGGATCGATGCCAAGTTCCTATAGGTGATCACACCACCCCTGCACAGACTCAATGCAAATCCCAGCTCAATGGGCTTGTATTGGAAACAGCTCGAAATTAAAGATTATAGATTTATAATTGTCTATATTAATAAATAGTATATAGAGGTCTATAAGCGCGTAAAAATAATAGAGTTCCAGATATAATCTCGAAATATTTCCGAGTTAGTGGATGCGACCCGGAGCGTATTTACAAAAATACGACTTTAGCCCTGGGAATGTTGCCCCTTTTGTCATCAATAAGCACAAATTCTTATCCTTAGCGAGATTTAGCGTCTTTAGCGCGTTTTTTACTGCCGCCGTTATGAGGGCCTGACCAACCACCACTGGAGGTTTTATGTTATGGTTTGAGGAGTAGCCTACAAAGGTATCCAATAAGAGAAGACTATAATGCCAACATAAGAAAGATGCCAAATTTAACTAGTACGACAGTGAAGGGGATAAAGAGAACACAACGCCCCAACAAACGTTGGTATCCCCACTTGTTCAAACCACTTTGTGCCCTTGCTTTCTCTCCTGGTAATCCAGATGGGCTCACTCAATCCACCATATGGATATGCTATTCGTCGTAATGGCTCCTGTGTAACTGAGTCCGAAGTTACGTGTGGTCCAACCTGGGGTGGATTTAATGCGTGTTGTCCACATGGCTCTGTTTGTCCTCAAGACCTTAGCAACGATGTTTGTTGCCCGTCGACTCAGGACTGCACGGATCGTATCGCTCTCTCGCCGCATTGTGCTAACGATACCTGGACTCTGTTTTACCATGACTATTTTTGCTGTGCGAGCGGACAGACGGGGTTTTGGACCGATAATCCTAAAAATGCTGTAGGTTGTACAACCGGGGCTCTGTCTGACTCCAATTATACACCTTTGACGCCAATCACATCCACTTCCGGTGAGTAATTATTTGCTTGATGAAAAGAAAAGAAGTCGCTTGGTCGAGAATCACTGCTAACAACGAAACGAAACAATATTTTAGCTTTGACATCATCCACACAGACAGCAACTACCACTTCTACCGCCACTACCTCGTCATTATTTAACTCAATTCCTCCGTCAGCGACTTCGACGTCTGCATCTAATTCGACTAATTCGTCGTCCAATAATCATACCGGAGCAATAGCAGGTGGAGTTGTGGGTGGCGTCGCCGGAATCGTGCTAATACTCGGTGCGCTGTGGTATTTCTTTATTTATCGCCGGAGGCAGACACAGCAGCAGCAGCAGCAGCAACAGCAACAGCAACCTCAACAGCTTGAGACTCAGCAACCGCCATTGGCTCATGAATATTTCGGGCCTCCAAAGACCCCACTAACTGAGCTTAGTGCTGGAGCTGATGTGTCGCGGATGAAACCTCAGCCAATCTATGAATTACCACCGGCTGGCGAGCATTAATTTTTCTGTCAAAACCAGCAGGGAATAATCTCTCTCAGATGCACTGGCTGAATCATGCTGGGATCTTTCACCGTCTCAAAACTTGATCCACTTTATAATCTAGTGTTTTTCTGCTATATCATATGCTCGTGTATTATCAGCTGTCCAATTTATAACCTGGTACCTTCTGTTGTCTTAGATACCATACCCCGTCTATATCGATATCAGCATTCGTGCATGGAGGTTTACCTTTTTCTTACCCTCGATGTTTAGCTTGGCCTGTGATACTGTGGGAAAGATCAGGCTTTCGCTCGAGAGATTATGTGTTAGCGTGGCCGCCAAAACGGAGCGGTTCTGCAAAAACGATGTGGGAAAGGAATGTTTATCTTACTACATATGTATAGATCTAAAAGAACGGCATGTGCTAGACTACCCCAATACGCGTTTATCACCAAAAAAATAACCGACGCGATGGCGTAGAGAATGCAAATCCCAGTACTCAACCACGTCGACCCGTTGGGGTCTTGCGACAGGCCTGAGAAGATGTAAGTGAAATCTTCGGTCAGCGGCAGAACTAGTCGATAAGGAACAGCTGCTGATGCAACACCCAACACTGTCCCGCCAGTGCTGATGATGCCAATATTCCATGCCTCGCGGCCGTTTTGGGCGGCCTTGTAAGGCAGGATCAGTGATTGGTCCTCGTACTCGTGAATGAGACCAGAAGCCGCGTCTTTATAAATGTCATTCAATGAATCCGTATAAATCAGCAGATCCAAGATGGTTGGAAGAATAGCGACGGAAGACGCATTGGCCGCTACATTTATCCGCGGCAGCAAAGGATGGCGGAACACCAAGGGAACGCGATAGTTGCTGATGTGTCCATTCTCAAAGGTTTCTGTGATATGGGAATCCTCGGCGAATGCTTGACCACTGTAAAGAGCGAGCAGGGGCGACGAATATACACATACAGTATACTTACTGGTCGCCTACAAACACTACTAACGTCTCATTCGCTATTCTAGCTTCCTCGATAGTCTTCATCACAGTTCCTAGCTATGTGTCGACACAACGAACAGCATTGAGATACATGCTGCTGTCCTCATGTTGCTTGATGAGGCGGTCGCCTTACCAATACTCTTCAGTCTCGAACTCAGCAGGGACTCCCCACGGGTGATGGGTAGTGTTAGTGAAATGCGAGAGAAACAGTTGTTCGCCCTTTGACTTGACTTCTTCGATGCTGTCTTTTAAATATGGTAGAATTCCCACCTCAGGATACCTTTTTCAGGTTAGCGATAGGTCGAGCAATGAGGACGAATGGCTTACCCAAATAATTGATTTCCTGCATATTGATGTGGTAGTGTTTTGCTGCTGGGTATTGATATCTTCCTTGACGATAGATTTTGTGAAGCCTATTTGCTTATTCAATTCATTCTAGTTGTCAACGATACTAGTTATCGACTGCATGAATATCGATCCAAGTTCCGGGTGCCCACGCGGGAATCAGGAAGTCCTCCTCCACGCCTACCTCAATTTCAGGTTTTATGGAACCAGACGCCAACCCCTTGTACCTTTATTATTATCCTTGTTTCTTAAAGGGCAGCCTGAGGCCAGCGACAGCAAGCGTGCCCACTCCACGCTGCCCATGCTCTTTTCTTGAGGTAATTACTGGGTTGCTTCCTAATGGCTGGTATTCTATTAATACTGGGGCTGAGGCTCTTCCCCTTGCGAAACGGCGCCTACTGCCGAATCTGGCCTCTGAGGTAGCAAACCCCGGAAAGCCTACAATGTCCCCCGCTGCTTTGGAAGCACCAGTCACAATTTATCGGGATCACAGCTCAACGGGTGGCTGGCAATGATCGGCGGCTGTTACAGTGGGTCTAACTAAAAATTAGTGGCCGGATGTCGGAAGTGGCGGAAATAAAAATACCTAAAATAAATAATCTTCAGCTATTTCTAACATCCACTTATCCTTAGCATGCTTATAAATTTATTTTTAGTATGATAAAATTGTATATAATTCATATATGTCCTACTTGAGTTATACATAACTATACACGAATCTTCCAATCCCCTCTAACGCCCCTGTAGAGCTGTTGGTGTTGAGTTTCTATAGTGCACTTGATCACACAACACATGAATACCGGTCCAAATCCTTACTTAGAAGGGTAGCGAATAGCTACCTATTCATACCCTACTTACTAGCAAAGGCCTTATTCGATATAGGAATCAATATAGTCACGCTCTACCAATCCTATCCTTACACACCCCCTTAACACCCCCCTAAAAAACCATCCCCCAATCCTCCCTAAATCTAACCCTAATCCCCCTAACCCCCCAAGCCTCTCTAACCCTGACCATCAACTAATCCTCTCTAATCTGAACTCTACCACCCTAAATAAAGCATTTAGAAAGATATTTTAAAAAGTTCTTTTAAATATATAACTTGAGTATATGTAAAATCTATATAAGTTTATTACTTGAATGATTAATTCAGTAAGTATATTAAAGCTGAGCAGGTGTTAGGGCCTTTTACCATTTAACTGCCTGACACCGACACCAAAATTTTAGTTAACGCCGGTTCAAATTTTTGATTTTCAGCCCCGTTCAACTGTAATCCTCAATCTATCCCGCCATTCCATAGTTCCGTCGTTCCATAGCGCCACCATTCCATAGTTCCGCCAAGGTAAGCATCCGCCGTCTACAGACTAGCAAGGACTCTTGCGAGTGTTGGGACTGGCTTGGGACTTCATACGAAATATTGGCCGAAAAACCACTACGCCAAAAGAGGTTCCTTCTTAGGATTCTGACTCGAAACCAACCTGCATGAGTCTACCCCGGAACTAAGCCTCAGAAGAATAAGCCACTGTTTGAGCAGCTAAACCCACAGCCCACAAGTTTCCATAGCGCTAATATTTAGGCTCCGCTGTTCCTGGTTTTGTCGATCTCTTGCCTTGGTCCACTGGCTTCCCTTCTACCCATCGTCATCACATCCTGGTTCCAGTTTCGACATCGCTGAAACTCGTCGAAGTAGGAATATAACGATGTCTAGCGTTCTAACTGCTCGCACAAGAATCGTCAAACTCTCTAATAATATGCAATCCACTCGACGGCATTTAAGCTATAGCGCCCGATTTAGTTGCGGCTTGGCGGCAAAACAGCGCTAATTCGTTAAACCCCACAGCCGAGGGACATGGATACTCTGGTATTGGGGCCAGAGCATCAGTGGATATACCAATTACGTAGTCCAGAATAATAAGACATCGCCAACGCGAAAATATGACGACAGCACTCAAGGGTTTGATTCCGTTCATAATGGTACAATTCAATACTCGACGGGTCCGCGGCTGATGAATCATTCTAATGGGCACAGCAAAGCCAAACAGAAGATTAACCAGCCTTACGGAGACTCTCTATGGCTCTTCAGTTGCTAGCTTAGCGTTTGATTGATTCTTCTTTTGGCATTCTTTGAAAAGCAGATTGACACAAACCTGCTTGCTATGTTGTTGTCCTTCGTGGGGAATAAATGGTGGATCTGCGTGGTTTTTCGTCGAATTCGAATAGTTCGCTGGGGCGAGGATCGTCTATCACCTTGTAACGGAGGTACCTCCGTACAGCATGCACAGCTTTTAGCTGAAGCTAGGAGGCGACTATTCTGCCCCCAACCGCAAGATGTTTAATATACAGACACAACGATTGGTCTGGCAGCGTGCGAAACAAGAGGACGATCCGTGATGGGCGAGTACTGCTACAGTTGGCCCTGCTCCGTCTCAATCCTTCATTTTTTGCTTCCTCAGATGCAACGTCGCTAGAGTTATCTGGGCCTTGTTTGCGGTGTAGACACTTTGCGGAACAGCCAACATGTCAGCCTGGGTCTGCTGATTCGCCGTGCTGGTGTCTCAAATATCACCTTCTTGTCGGGCAGTGTTTAGCTTCGAGGGCTTGTCCAAGGTATAAAAGGGTTGACAATTCCCTCACAACATCTGGAAATCATTATCAACTTCAATCATCCTCAAGATCACCAGCATTCCTCTTCAGCCATCTTCAAGATACGTATACTTTCGAGTCTCATCAAATCTTCAAAATGTTCAAGCTCGCTACACTCGCCGTTGCTGTCATTGGCACTCTTGCCCCGATGGTCGCTGCCGACAACTGCAAGACGGGCCTCAACTACTGCGGTTATAACCTTCTCGCTATCGGTATGTTATGCATGATTGATAGTACCTTCACTGGACGGGAGTATTGACTGGGACGTGTAGGAAGCTATGGCAACCAGGTAAACCAAGCCCTTAGCAACGCGGGGCAACCCACCGACGATGCTCATTCCCGCGAATCTATTTTCCACTGCAATGGAGGAGCCAACGGCGACATTACCTATACCAATTATTGCTCCGGAGGCTGCCAGGATGGTGGGTCTGGCAACAGTGATTACTGCTAGACTTGTTGTTCTGGGGTGCGAAAAGCGCTATGCACGTACTCGAGCATTGCTTTTTGATTCCTGGCTCGCCGAAATGATTGGCTCAGTGCAATATTTTGGTGTCTATTGTATTGAGCCACTAGCAGACCTTACATGTATTTAGCTCCATATCCTTCACGGCGGCGTGAAGGAAGAAATCCTTGTCTCAACATTCATTCGTTAAGCAATAAAATCAGTTGAATCTTTTCTATTTCGATTATCAGTAGCCCCAAACGCTGCTCTAGATACCATTTCCACATTTACTTAAGCGGGAGCGGCGGTGCTCCGGGAAATACAGATTGTCCGTCTCAGCATAAGTTTTTCCCCCCTTAGTTGGGGTTTCTCTATACTCAAAGGTATGGCCGATTTAACCTGTCCCATGCGGTGGGTGCTCCTACACTAACTAACTAACTATCTGTTGCCTTTACCACTTCGTTGAAGTCTAAGGGGATAGAAGAGAGCGTAGAGCTGATACGGCTAAGAAAAGCCAGTGTTGGAAAATCGAGCTCAAGAAATTGAAATTCGTCGTCCATGTTGATAGCTAAACGAGGTGGTGTATGTAGGATATTGGCGAAGCCGTCTTTTTGGAAGAGGTCAGTTGTCCAATTTCTTGAATGCCCCGCCAATTGAATACGATGTTCGGTCACTGAAGTATGACGGTGGTCAACTGATAGAGAGGGAGATTGGAGTTTAAGAGTACTTGACGGAAAAGGTTAAGACATCCACCATTGATTGGATAGCGATGAGTCGAGTGATGTCTTCTACTGACGTTAGGCTCAGAGACCGGTTAATGGAGCAACACTCCTCCACTGTTTTACACTTTCTTTCATCCCACCCACCCATGTGTATTGCCTCTGCAAGTAATGTGTAGAAATATGGCTAGCTAATGTGAGCGTGCAAACGCTCAGGGAGGGTAGGTGTCTGAGGCACCCAACATAATGGAAAGGGGTTAGAGTTAGGGTTATTAGACTTCTATAACCTCTCTCTTTAATATCCACGTGTATTGATTGTTACCTGGGTGCCTCAGGCATCGATCCCTGCCCTGAGGGTTTGCACTCTCACATTAGCTAGCCTAGATGGCTACACCTCACACCACCCATGAATATGAGCCTTTATCCATATTTCCACACTACCCACCCGTTTTTATTGCCTGTGCAAGTAATGGAGAGGCATTGAATTCTATACCTTCTTCCAATGATTTCTTACAAGCCCAAAAACTTCTTCCAACATTGCACCACATGAGATGAATCGTTGAATAATGAGATACCTATGGCATACAATTAATTTGAATCTCCAAGATCACCTTATTTTTTATTGAAATTAAGTCAAAAGAACTACTGATTCAGTGACAAGTCCAAAACAATCTTTCCTTTCGCATGTCCCCCGTCAAGCCTCTTGAATGCCTCTGCGAACTGTTCTAGTGGCCATATACTATCCACCATTGGCCGACATTTGCCGTCCTCAACTAACTTCGTAATCTGTTCCAGCTGCTTACTGTTTGGCTCCATCACAAAAAAGATATCTTTTACCCCTTGCCCCTTATAATCCCCTGGACAAACCTGATTTGGCGGCTGGAATATACTCAGAACGACCCCGTCATCCCTGACAGTCCACCAAGCTTCCTCGAGTGACTTCCGGCCTATACAATCGATCACGACATCTACCTTCTTGCCCCGATGCTCTGCCCACTCACGTAAGTTTGTCGTTCGATAGTTGATGACTTCACTTGCGCCCAAAGACTTCACGAGAGCCATATTCTCAGGGCCACATGTCCCTACAACCTCAGCTCCGAGCAGGGTAGCCAATTGCGTGACCCAACTTCCAACGCCGCCAGATGCAGCTGTGACAAGCACTCTTTTTCCACTCCAAGATTTCTGTGCAGCAGGAAAGTCTGTTTCTTCCCCCTTGAAAATACCTGCATGGACGAAGAGGATTTGCCATGCAGTCTCCGCTGAAACCGGTACCGCAGCTGCTTCCGCCCAGCTCAAATTTTTCGGTTTACGCGCAAGTTCGTCTGTGACGCCAATAGTATAATCACGCGCATTACCCGGGCGAGTATAGTTGGTGCGAGCGTATACCTCATCGCCAGGTTGGAAGGGAGAGTCAGTAGGTGCAGAGATGACAGTGCCGCAAACGTCGGGGCATGGCACCAACTCGCGAGGCTTCGGTGGAGGAAAGTTCTTAGGCCAGATGAGCTCACCAGCGCAGGGGGCGCAAGTATGGACACGAATTAGGTGTTCTCCTGCAGACAGGTTGGATTCTGGTAAGGGTGTCGTTGTAAGAGAGAGATCTTTCGACTCAGAACTCGGTTGGATAAGAGCGCGCATAGTTATTGGGGGTGGTCTAGCAAGCTTGGTAAATAGACGTCTATAGAGAGGCATTTGGTTTATTTATTGATTTTACAGTACAATATGGATATGTCTGCGCAAAGAATCTATATATTTATATATGCTCATGCCACCTGACGTAAAATGACCCACTACATCACCTGGTGGATACACGGATACCCTACTGCGTTATCGCCACATTGGACAATTTCCGAATAGCCTATTTGTCAATCAACCATTACGAAGTCCCATCATCCCAGTTCTGAAGCGCTAAACAGCTATGACTTTAAAAAAAGATAGATAAGATAGCTGCCAATCCCGATCGAGTTTACCTTGACCCTAAGTGTGTCACTTTAAGCGGGTGCTGCTTGTCCTCTCTACCCGGGTATCCGTAGCCACATGCGGATAGCCTATTAACAAAATGAAACCCGACAAATATTGTTTCCCGCTTAAATCTGTCCTAATATTGACAATTCTACGTCCAGGCTTCGATCTTGGCTTAGGATCTCATGGTTAGCAGGAACTACTATATATCTGGATATTTAAAGTCCACCTAGCTGCCCCCAGCCTTTCTAGAAAGTCCAAACAGAACATATTTGCTTCTAGCATTGTCTTTTGAGTTATATTCGATCTCGCTATAAATTTAAAATAGGTGAAATGGCTTCTATAAACCTGAAGGTGATCAAAGTTGGAGACACTTATCAAATTGAAGGGTACGTAAGAATAAAGAGGAAATAGAAACTCCTCGAGTTTTGAAGTTACGATAATTGAATTTGTCAACTCACATATATATAGGCGTCCGCGGGAAGAAGTTAAGATACTCAAGGTCTACAATCCATCGAATATACCGGGAAAATCCGTCCTTGTCATCTCGATTGATATGGACCCAAACGCGGCCACACCTTCTCACACCCACGGTGGTGCAGCAGCCCTTGCGATCGTGGTTGATGGAACCGTCCTTAATCAGATGAACTGTGAGGAACCAATCGTGTCGAAAAAGGGCGACTTCTGGTATGAAGCTCCTGGTTGCCACCATGTTCGGTCAGAGAACGTCAGTGGATCGGAGACGGCCAAATTTTTGGCAATCCTCATTGTTGATGATGAGGTTATTAAGGATGGATTCCACAATATTTTTGTTTTGGATGCTGAAAATCAAGAGCAGTGAGGCTTTATATGACCAAAAAAATAATTGGATAACCTCATGTTCTGTTAATTCAATCTACATTGGTTCGATCCCTAGTATCTATGAATTGTCATCAAATGTAAATATAGCCAAGCGTGACCTCTTTCTAGTATAAATTATTGCCCAGCATTTATTTTATGTAACATCAGAACTCCCATGTAAGAGTATTGTTATCTAGTTAAAGACCAGGATATTGTTCAATATTTATCCAAGGTTGGGGGTATTCTCATGAGTTAATAAGTCTTGGAGAACTTGAAATATCAGTATTCAGTCGCCATGTCTCCCCTCTCTCTTCAATCTATCCAAATATGCAAGCCCAAAATTGACGCCTTCATTCACCACGCCCACCAACATAAATATGGCAATGATCTGTCCAAACGTCCAGTCCTTTTCTCCCGGACCGATATTATTCCTCGCTATCGTTTGTTCTAACGATACCATGGCATAAATATTAACACTGGAAGTATTAATCATTCCCATCCACTGTTCTATCTTGCTCTTTGCTTCTATTGGTCTTTGTTCGCGGTACCGAAATGTCTCCCAATCATTCGGATGTCTTCTCGCTTGCCACATGAAAAACGCAGAAAAGCTAATCATCATTATTACGCCAATCAATGTCCCAAGCGCAGTCAACGCGAGTGTGCCTACCATAACCCACCGCAGTGCTGTCGAAGTAGCGGGGATGCTGATTCCAAATACCACGTAGACAGTACTTGCATTACACTCTGGCTGGACGCCGAATGTCTTTGCTGTAGCCCAAATATAGGTGGCAAAAACGATAAATACACAGCCAGCAGAGACCTTGATTCCAATCCAGACATAAAGCCTCAGTGGGCCGACATTTTCGTATTTGACTTGGCGGGGGAGGCTGATGCCGAGCAGGGCGAGCAAATGAATACTGCAGATTGCATGGAAAAGGGTCAATTTGTTGAGAAAAGTTTGTATTACTGCTGTGAAGAGCACGGCAAGTCCTTGGACGCTTAGGGTTGAATCTACAGCTACTTTGAGCTCTTTGGCGTCTTCGTGGTCGCCTATTTGGGATGCAATAAACTCCGCTATCCGACCTCCCAGTGCAAGGACATAAATAGAAATTCGAATCTGTAGAAGAAATTAGCTAAATAGTTCTAATAAACTTGGAAAAGAATGTAATCACCCCCGTGCCAGTTACGTCCGGATTAGGTTGGATTATGCAGATCGTCGACATGGAGCGATGGTGAATTTAAGCATATTTCAAGAAATATTTGTCTGTGTTCTCTTCTTTTGATTTTTGTCTTGATTTCCTTCTTATCAGACCATTTATAGATGTTTTTCAGTTTCCTCTTTGACGTGCGGAAACTAGTTCTTGGAATACGAGGATGACGTGTCGGAGGGGGCTATGCTGCTACAACATACGAACAGCCTTATCTACTTTAATATTCGCAATTCATAATCTCCAAATTATTTCAACGATGTTTTTTAACACCCAAATTACGCCTCAGGAGTCGTCGGATTAGGAATAAAAATGGATTTCTCACCTCAGGCGCGCGTTGTGGAACCGCCGCCAATATCCCGGCAAAGTAACCTCCCTTTATATCTCTAGGAGTTTTTATACTGACTATGCCGTAGTTGTTGTCAAAATAATTCTATCCATCATCGACATCCTATTTAATGTTGCTGCCGGGCGATATGCCGCTCTCACTGGCGCAAAAATCAATTCTTGGTCCAGGTCCAGCAGCACCGCTCAGATAATCTACAACAAAACAGAAATAGCAAGTCTCGGTGCTAAAGCTGGCGCTTTCAAGGCTGCTATCCTTGCGTTCTGGCATTTTGGCACAGAATACGCAGACTTGAATTTGCCGATTGGGTTAATCTTTGCAATGATTAGTAGCAGATTTGGGATTGCAGTTTTGGTGACATGCCTTGTCTCTTCTTTGGCGTTGGGTACAGGTATGCTATTTGTTTGACCGCCATGCTTTTAAAATACTCTGACGGGGTAAAATAGTGAACGAAGCCCTTGTTAAACCGGCGTTGGTTGCCTCGCTGTTTCTTGGTTCAGAGATGATCCCTGCGATAACTGGGAATTCCTTGACAACTGCATTCTGGAATGCCCTGTCTGGGTACTTGTTTGCCGTTATAGCACGACGAGAAGGTATATCCTCTCCCTCAAGCATACGTCGCATTTCGTTATCTCTAATGTGCTCATACCCAATTGTACATGTATGTAGGCTTCGAAGTCTGCTCCAACAAAGCTGGGTTCTCCGCCGGCCTGGTATACGGCATATTCACGACATTGAAAACAATTTTCATCATTCTCGCTCGAGGTCCTACAGTCTCGCATTCCACGACATCTGCTGTAGGTACCAGAACGACCGTCCGGAATAATCTTGAGACGTATACTGTTTTCGACCCTAGCGTTAAACCAAGGTCTCCGATATCTACATTTGATAAATATCCTATTGGAATCAAGGATAGATATGAAATGCTTTCGAGTGTTAACGGTCATTTTAATAGTATGGAAACGTATGAAGAAACATCGACAACAACCACCTTTTTAGGATCGTCATATACTTCGGGCTCTTCCTGGAGAAGTGGGAGCGGAAGTTATTCGGGATTGTCTTTTGGCAATTGAAGAGGTGGTTGATATCATGATTCCTTTGTATCTTTGTTAATTAGTCTATGGAAAAAGAAATACCTTGATGCTTATTTTTATTCTCCTTTCCCTCTTCATAAAGCCCATGAGCCTGTTATATGTTTTCTAACATGGAAACGCTATGCCGGTGTTGTTTGAAAATTGAGAATAATATATAAAAAGATATAAAATCAACGCACGGCCATTACTATCTAGTCAGCTAATTGCTGTTGTAATCATCAATGGTATGTAATTTGTAGGAAATAGCAATAAGACATATGTAGATGTCCCGATAACACGGATTTTATAACTAGAATAGTAGACTGAATTAACTCAAAGTAGAGAGTAAAAGAGAAAGAGAAGGGAATTTAATATATGGATACAGAAAGCGTTCAATATTGGAGGCTCCAATGGACGTATTTGCTCCATTTATAACTAAGTACTTAGACAAACATCAATTGGTATATGCGGACACATTGTTAGTTCGATTATAACTCGCCAGGGTTAGGGTTACATAATTTATCTGTTTACGCAACGTTGTTACCTTGATCCCAGATGCCTGGCTTCGCTTTAAATGTGAAATAATTACCCTGACAACGCGAATGCGCCGATGTATTAAATTTCAATATGTATGCCCTTCTACAGTGCTTTCAAAAGACTAACTAACTAGGCTCCCTAGATAGGCGCTGAACCCGAATCTGCCCACGAATCTATGTACAGGGCCGCTTGAGAATCTTGAAAAGCACGCAACTTCGGATAATTAATGCACTGGCGCTCGAGGCCCCATCCTGAATCATTAGGTTCCACAATCAGGAAATCTCCGCACGCCAGACTGAGCCGCAAGTATTCAATGCAATGCTCTACATGTGATTCCATCTCCTCGTTATTGGGGTCATCGGCCTGGTAGCCCACTGTCATGAGCTGCCAGTATCGTGTTCGTATCTTGCTCTGTGCTCGAGTTAGCTCTATGCACGCTTGTTGACCGCGATGGTGCGTGTTTGGGTGGGAAGTTGGGACGCACCAGACAGTGGACTTGGTGGAGGGTCGAGACATCATAAAAGTTTGATGGAAGTGCTGAGGTGTTGGTGTATGGCAACGGGTACTGCTTTGGAGGCTGCATCCCCTGGCCCAGACCGTATTCTTCTGGATTTCCAACCCAAATTGCGTCGGAATCTGTATTTTTCCGGCATCAGCATATGTTACTGTAGCCTTGAGGTCCAGATTCTATTTTCTACTCGCGGGAATTAAAACGTACCAACTAAGGTTTTCCAGTTAAGATCGATTTGTTCAGAATTTCCAAAGTACCGAGGGTCCGGTTGAAAAACTTGCGGCACTCGTTCTATAACGTCAGAGGGAATGGGTGTGGCATTTCCAAAGACCCAGCATTGTTCTGACTCGGTTTTTTGTGTAGCTTCTTTGTAGTTGATAGAAAAGGCCACGGAAAACCCAATTGCGAGACCTAAAAGAGTGAAAACAGAGTCGCGCAGGATGGTAGCCCTTGAGATGGTAGCCCGTGAGACGCTCCGGAATCTGAGAGAAGCCTCAGACTCTTCATCTGAAGGCACATTCTCATATTTGGGGTTATTGATGAAAGCCATTGGAAAGGCAAGTTTTATCGTCAAAGAATTTCTGTCTCTGATTATGAAAACAGGCTTCACTTTGAAATTCTCGAGACTTGGAAGAAATTCAAAAACTTGGTAGGACACTAGAGGGGCGAGCGGGTCATCCACCCTGTATGCCGTAATTACGAGTAATAGCAAAATACACCTAACGTAATGACAAAGCGTCAATTATGGGCTAGCCAAAACGTAGAATCAAGGAAACCCATTATCCTCCAAGTTATCCACACTTACACCGCGATTATGTTGATCACCAGTCTTTTTGTAGGCTCCATCTCTTGTCACATCAGCTAACTTGAAAGCGTAGTAAGCGATAACGCCGATTTTCGGTAGCCGAAACCAAGGAAAAAGTAATGATTAGTACGTCTCACGGGCTGTTATTTGAAGCCCAAAATATAGAACTTTCTCCTACACGACTATGCTATGGTAGTTACAAGCACCGCCTCTCGGCTTTTTCTGGCCGACAGCGTTTGATGAAATTGTAGCTCCACATTGCACATAAGTTTATAGTCATCAAATGTTATTGAGTGTGATACGCTTGTAATTACTACGGGATATAGATATTGGAAACACAACACAATGCAATACATTCATTTCAATATAGACTTCCCTCTTGATAGCCATAGTATCAAACTCCACCTAGTAACTCTGAATGAGTACCAAATCTCTAATCTCATCTTGAAACGTGAGGAGGCATGGTAGCAAAGGCAGTTTCATGATCAGACGGCCAGTCCTTCGGCTTTCCCACATTGACTCTCCGACACTCAGGATATCTCAATTTCCCCTCAACATTGACCGTCTCTGGCGTAAAGCTCTTCTCCAAGCTCACCACTTGGCAATGACGGGTGTGCGCCCAACTGTCCACATGCGAGTCAATGAAGCCTCTCTCAGCATACGCTCTGTGCATTTGCATCCACATATACGTGCAGTGCACGACATGATATTCCCAAGTAACATATGCCACAGTCTCACCCTGGGCAACCACCTCTGGAGCCACAGTCTCGTTGGCGGATGGGCTTGTATAATAAACCCAAGGTCGACTGGGGTGTGCCAGAAAAGAATTTATGACCTCCGAGTCGAAACATTCTTGCGTTTGCCAGCTGAAAGAGAGAAGATCGAAGGAGCAGTTGCGTTTTCGTGCTTCAGAAGGACTGTCTCCGCAGTTGGAGTACTGCGGCTCAGGAAATTTGTCGGTGCTGGGGAATTGTGGTGAAGAGACGGCAAGGAATGAGTGTGTAAAGAGAGAGTAGTAGTTAGCGGTAGCAAGACTGAGCGTGCTCGCGAGCAGAAAAGTCGCACATAATGAAAATATTGTGGGGGTTTTGGAGATCTTGGATCGTAGAGAGTCAGTTTTACTAGCATCGGACTCCTTATCTTCTTCCATCTCAAATTTCCATGCCATTATGAGACCGAAGGAAATTTTGAGCTGCGTGTTGATGTGAAAGAGAATGTCTCTGGTAACCCTAAGACTTAATCTTCGTGTGCCTCGGGATTTCTAGAAGCTAATTAGGTGTGCCGAGTGTAGTAATTCCGGACAGAATCTGTGATCTGCATTTCTCATGTTCTGAAGGGTGAGACGGCTGACCACCCACTTAGGAAGTGTCGCAAAGTATCCAAATTCAGAAACTACTTGCGAGGTACAGGGATTTGCTGTAATGAGGGGAAAGAAAGCTTACCCCACCCTCCTGCATGTTGGCGTACCTAGTACGTATCTTCGAAAAGTGTATCAGCCTAGTGCCACGGGCGGAACCAGGTGAAGGAGATCCGCAGCTTATTACATAGCTACGTACGGAGTAGTGTACCCGCTTCCGCCGCTGACGAAACCTAAGGCAAGCAAAGTATATGGTGTGCAGCGAAATCGACGCAGATACTGTAAAACGCCAATATAAGCACCACCCTCATTAAGCAAGTATCCCATCTAAGTATTTGAATGACGTGTCAACATTTAATTTCCATAAAAATTTACTTGCCCCTCCGATGGAAGATTTTTGCTTATTTTGGGCTTCGTATAGAAATTTGCTATAGCGAGGGTGGGTTTAACTAAACGAGGTTATATTTAACTATATTGAGTAAGTGTATATTAGAGTTTGCGCTAATATAAATATACTAGCCGAGAATGCATAAAAGTCAGGTTGACCTTCTATATTAGGTCGGCCCGAACCCAAAGCTTAGTTTCCGCGAGATCCGCTGATACCGGATTTCGCTAGGGCTTCCCCTGCTAGTGGATCTACAAGCCAACGCCACTTCGGCCTCCGTGCATCTTCATTCATACGTTGCCTACAGTAGAAATCAGGAAGTAAACAGTGCCACAAAAGTTTTGTGGAGAAGTACTTTCCGAAATCAACAGCCATTCATGGGAACTAAGTACACTCATTCAACGATAGACTGTTCCTATCCTCCAATCATCCTCACAACTACTTCTAGAATCACCGTCCGAAGTGAAGTCCTGCCACTGAACTGCCTGGTTGCACTCTCTCTTGCAATGTTCCCCGGTATCAGTAGAAACACACCATTGTAAGCGGCTATGGTCCTGAACTTCCACTTTTACAGTCCCCACATGTTAGGGGCGTTTGTTTCCTCACCATCACGTTCCTTCAATCCCCACATATTTGGAGCATTGGTTTCCTCACCATCACGTTCCTTCAATCCCCACATGTTAGGAGCATTGGTTTCCTCACCATCACGTTCCTTCAATCCCCACATATTGGGAGCATTGGTATCCTCACCATCACGTTCCTTCAATCCCCACATGTTAGGAGCATTGGTGTCCTCACCATCGCGTTGCTTTAGTCCCCACATATTGGGGGCATTGGTTTCCTCACCATCACGTTCCTTCAATCCCCACATGTTAGGAGCATTGGTTTCCTCGCCATCGCGTTCCTTGAGCCCCCACATATTGGGAGCATGAGCTTCATCAGAGTCGCGTGCCTTCAACCCCCACATGTTAGGGGCGTTTTCCTTTGGCTGCTCAACGGGCAAGGCGCTGATGAGAGCGGGAAGGATGAGAGCAAGACCGACGGAGACCTTCATTTTGACCTTATGTTTGTTAGAAGATAGCCCTTGTAGGTGATGCTTGCCGATGCAATGCTGGTGAGAAGTTGTTCGTTATACTTACAATTTATTGTGACTCAGTTCAAAGGGTTGAGTATATATGGTTGATGATTGCGGGTGAAAATGAGAAAGTGGCAGAATAGTGAGAAGACTTAATTTGACGAAGACAATATTTGACAACAGAAGGACTACGGCTCTTTATAGAGAAGAGAATATTTTAGCTTATCAGGATCCTGCTATTATGCAAGGTGTCAAATCCCTCCACAGAGCATGATATTGGACCACAATTGTGTATTGGACGAATTGTACGTGGGCTTGTCATGAGTACACGTAAATACCCTTACAAAGGAATTGGTCACACTTCTGAAATACAGAAAATTTGAGCGCGGGGAATTTCTGCTACGATAGTTGGCTGCTTTGGCCTGAAGTCGATTATCAGGAACTCGAAGAGTTGTTGGATCTTACATCTAGGTCAAATACTCACCGAGATGAAGCAACGATCTTCTCTTACGGCCCTACTTTCTCATCCCATCCTCTAGTCGATCCATCATCCTTACACCGCCTGACCATAAGATGGGGATCTCTTCAGGAAAGCGGAGAGGTATGATTTATCGTTCAAACCATGACCTATGGTATAGACTTAGTGTTAGAAAGTGCAAATACCGCACTAGTAACGACCTCAATCATTCGAATCAAGTTTTTGAATTGATCGCCAGGCGCTAAGGGAAGGCGATTTCGAAGGGTCAGGCTTGAGCTTGTCTCAGCTAAAGTCAAGTTAGATCTATAGTATCTACTTTAATACCTCGAAATCAAAGTTTCAGTTATATCGACAGGCGTAAGGAATGGCGTTAAGGCCAGAGTCCCTATATTAGTTAACAACTAAACTCGAACCCCACACAGAAGTCACAAGACATGGATCAGACTTCTAAGTCCGTGTTCGGTCTGACAAAGATAATGCTTCCTTTGAAGTGAACCTATAGAATCCCTTGATTGATATACCAAGTTAAGTGGGTAATTAAACAACGTAAGCACAATGTAACCTTAGTAAGGCGTTTAAGAAAGCATATACAAAAATTGTACTATACGTGGCTTATGCACGGCATCGGATTAGGAAGTCATGCGAGGTAATTTACGGGGACATAGTTTAGAGGAGACGGATTACGAAGGGCATGCGAGGAAATCAATGGGGCAATAATTTAGAGGACTCGGATCGGAAAGCATTGTAATTATGAGGTTGGATGTCAATCGCAATTGCAGCGATAAGACCTGGACGCTGTTTTATTCTGAGGCATTGGCTGATAATATTCTCTTTTCTTGCTCAAGATAACCGAAATTTTCTATGTGTTGAAATAAAAACTGCGTTCATAGTAGCACTGCCATACATAGCTAGAAAGAGACCAAGACGCGTGAACTCCAGTAGCTTCCTACTCATCATCATAACTATTCTGTTTCGCTGGTGAGTGGGTCAAAATATCTTCCGGCTTGTATCCCGCTTCATTCATCTTCTGCCTGTGCTCATATGCCCAAGAGAAAATAAGATCAAAATCTCGGCACTGATGAGTGGCCCCCATTCCATCCAGCACCCCTTGATGATTGACACTTTCGAATGTTGCATCTCCATTACACATAATAGCTTGGCGGATATAATTCAGACAATGATCCCGGTGAACTGGTATTTCTTCCGGCGTCAAATCCTTGATAGCATCATCGAAATATGCCAGCCTCAGAAAGTTCTAATCTAAAATTAGCTCAAAGTATCACTAAAGAGGATTGCGATTTATTACGAGGCAGTGAAGTTGGTGGAACATGGAAACACCATAGATGAGGTTATTTGGATTCTCTGAGTCCTCCAATGAGGGGTGAAGATCTTTGGTGTATTCTTTCGGGATGGTAACAATTCCATCCCCAGCTGGTAACAGAATTGTCAGTCATATTACTCAAGAACAAGGTCCCTTGGGAAACTCACGAGGTTCTAGCATTCGCCACATCTCATTTGTATCGTTTGTTGGGGGTCCACCGTAGAAATGATGAGGCTGAAAGGTGACGCGACTGGAGAATCTCACTATTTACCATAAATTAAAACCTTTGATAGCATTCACAGCGCAACATAGCTTACAGTCAGGCTCGAAATTGTCTCCCTCGCGCACATTGCAGCTGAACTTCTTCAACTGGAAGGCGACTCGAAACCAAATCACAATCGAAGCGATGAGCATTACGGCGCTGAAAAACAGGGCACATGTTGGCCCGCTGATCCAAGATGCCCTCTTCTTCATTTTGGGAATGCTTCCACGGTTCCCGAGAAGACCATTCTCCTCGAATGTGTCTGAGGAGTCCCTAGACTCAAGATCAATGGGTTCTTTACGTGAAGGGCGGTAATCCAAAGATTCACTTGACATTTTTCGAATAAAAAAGCATAGATATAAATCTGGATAAAGGTAGTTGATTGAAAAGAAATTCTGACAGGATTATTTGCATGAATGAGGGGAGGAAAGATAGTGAGAGCTAGAAGTATGTACTTGTGGGTAACGGAAGCACTAGGCAAGGCAACTATCTGTAATTACCATTACCGTCTCGGACTTCCACTCTTCATGTAAAGCTTGCAGATCAGTGCTGATAGGGTTGTTGACGCTACTCAGTAAATTATGTATCAGTAATTTATGACCTTCGCAACCTGTTTCCTCAAAATTCTCAACGCCGCACTTCACCATCATCTGATTGTTCCTTCACCAGATTTTCTCGAGTGCTCGTACACATCATGTTCCCATTTAAAACAAAAAAGATCAATTACCAAGAACTTTCTAGCGATGAAGAGGGAATTCTTCCATTGCGATCTACTCGTCGCGGAATATCGAGCCATCTCTTTACGATCTTTCTTGCTTTGGGGTGGGCAGTCACACTCTCTCTATATTGGCATTTGAGCATTTCTACAAGGCAACCGTCGGGACCCATTCCTTCGGAAATATTAAAACTAAGACCGAAGACATTTCGCCATAATGAGCGCTGGTCTGGTATGTCTCCAGAAACGCAGAGTCATTGGGACTCGCAGTTTGCAGGTAAGCCCCGGAGCACGAAATTTTATGGAAAATTTGTAACACATATAACAGGACATGGGGCTCTTTGGATTGAGGAACCGGAGAAGTACGGCCTTTCGAATGGGATAGCTGCTGAGTTTGATCACCCATTCAAGGACGAGATGGGAAAGCCAAAGTTTTTCATTGTTTCCAAACTTCATGAGATTCATTGTTTGGTGAGCCCCATCTATCTCCTTTTAGAACTTCGCCGCCAGGTCAAGAATACTCAAAAATTAACATCTTCTGTCCTCAGTCCTGGATCCGTTTACACTGGTGGACCGCCGTCACAGGGGCAAACCTAACGGAACTTGAAAATTCCTTCGGTGGAGGAGTTTTCGCAGTCCACATAGATCACTGCTTCGAATATTTGAGACAGGCTCTTGCGTGTGGAGGCGGGCCTGCAGATATCATCCTCGAGGGTGCTAGCCCGTTGAGCAAAGGCGACATAGTGGCTACGAGTGTCTCTGGCTGGGGGAGAGAACATCAGTGTATTGATTTTGACGCTTTGGCTTCCTTCCAGGTCCAGCAAGAGGCAAAGTATAACGTCACATGGCAAACAATGGAGTAGATACACACCGTTTCCTATCGTAATTTAATTTTGACGTCCTGATCTTCATTGTTATCCACTTTGAAAACTAAATGTATCACGAGACAGTACACCTTAAAATCAACAAGAAAACACAAAGAAAGAAAAGCACCAAGGAAAAGCGGGGCAAAAACCAATTCCTAGTAGGGGCCGTTCTTTACGAAACGATATCCAACTTGGGAAAGCTTGACGGAATTGCGGGGCAACAAAGGCACATCAAAGTGGGGTTGATCAAGGGTCCATCGCTTATTAGGTAGATCAGCTATGTTTTCAGTGGCGAATGCTTAGTTGGGCGATAAGCTTTACGAGATTTTCATCTGCAAATTCTATGCGGTACTAGCTTTCCCCCACTACATGTAGGTAGATGCACATAAGCTGTACAACAATTAGCTACTCGCTGATAAGCATAAGTCAGCTTCGTCATTTTTCAGTGTAACAGCGGCTCGGCGCACGAAATAGACGTCCCTAATGCAATCCTACAGACCGAGTCAAGCAATAGTCTTTGACTACGACTGCTGCAACACCCCTACGAAATGCGCTAAAATATACGCAAAATGTTACTACTGCATTAAGTTAGTGTGATTATCTTAGCCTAAACTCTAAATGCACTAACCTAATGTAGTTAAGGTTCCCTCGCTATAGCAAATTTGTAGGAGAAGCAAAACATTCAGCAAGATTTTGGTGTTGAGGGGCTATGCAATGGTTTTATATGCAATTTCAATTTTCACACAGTGTTCAAGTGCTTACATGGTTTCTGTAATATAGCAATGGCTAATATAGGGGCTGTACAGTATTCAATATTCAACGTATTCTCGCCGGATTTCTCTTTTTCTGAAGTGAAAAAAGCGGTCCACATTCTGACACACTGAGTAAGATTTTAGCGTCATGCCAGTAAGACTTACAAGTGACTAGAAAAGGGTTGAATGATATGCATTGGCATTGCTTCTTTTGACCCGAAATATTTCCCAAGTCCTCCGGTAACACTATCGTATCGTAGCATTGGGTAACGTGAGATTTGCACCAAGGATGACCCTCCGTTTTCATAACTTTCCTGTGGTTTCGGGCTCTAGGAATGTCAATAGAAACTCGGGGAGTGCACTGGGGCCTTTTCCTTTGAATCTGCTTGCAGTCGCTACATGCTGCACCACAGCACAACAACAAATAATATTATGTCATATCTCATCGTTTTTGGATAGTAGCTCATACTCATACGTTGTTGTTTGTTGAAGCCCATCATAACCTCTGGCTACCATTTTCATCATGGAAAAGTTCGACTCAGATGTGGAAACGCTTCTTCCAGATAGAGACAATTCCACCGGTCGACGGCGAGAGGCAATGAGACGCCCCAAAAATCTATATGTAATCAGCTTAAGTTTGTCCCTCGTCACCATTATTATTTTCCAGGTTGTTATCCTCTACGCGTCATTTCGGAACACCAGTTTTGCTTCCCCTGCCGGAAATGGTCTCTATAAAGTCTGGAAAGGCTGCGGCACCAACGCCTCTGAGGCGCGCTCCCTCGGCTGCGTATTCGATGTAATGATGAACGCCTGGACACGTGAGGAGTGTTACAACAAGGGTTTGTCGGAAGAATACTTGGCGGAGTGGAATTTTCAATTTTTCTACGACGTGGAAGGCACGCGCGAGATACCACTATCCGTCATGAGAGAAGGAGAGCATACTTATATGTATTCGACTGAGTATCAACACCGGGGGCATTGTATATACACGTGGAAGATGCAGGCGCTTGCGTTGGAGGCGCAGGGGCGAGGTGAGGTGAAGCAGTGTGATGATGAGACGTTCTCATATCATCATACGATTCATTGTGCGGACATTCTGGCAAATAGCCCCCGGGAACCGCCGTATGCGATGGGCTATGGGGATGTGAAGTTTTTGAGCTGTGGGCCGTATTTAGAGTGATAAATCTCTGCTGTTGAGATGAGTCTGTTGAAACTGTGAGGAATAACATGTCGAATTGGGCAGCTTCAAGCATTCATATCACACTTGAGCCTAAATCTTCAGTCCGTATGGTCTTATCTGTTGAAAGGATGGAATGGAAAGGAATGCACATCGTCTTGAGGCCTCCACCATTTTTTACATTATAGAAAAATATAACGAGTATATAACTGTAAGGCTTTCCTTACTATACAAATCTTAAATTTTAATTTATAAAAATTAGGAAACCTAATATTGATAAGTTTCAATGTTATTGATAAATTTAATTATGTCCTATCCCATCTCATAACCCCCATCCCAAACTTCTTCCCCTTCACGCCCGTTATGATCTCCGGAAGCTCAATCCAATCAGGCTCAAACTTGACAAACGTCCAACCACACTTCTCAAATACCCTCCTGCTCGCATCATTGTGCTCCAGATAGCTCCCAGACATGTGATGCACGTTCATATACGGGACTAGCCACTCTTTTGTGAGTGTACTTAGGACGGCAGTCATGATGCCGCGTCCGTGGGCTGTGGGAACTAAAGAGACTTCGACAAATTAGAGAGTTGGGGGTATGTATGAGGTTGAGGATACAACTAACATCCAATCTCCCACACTATATCTGGATCTCCTGCTTCCAGAGCGTCGTTTCGAGATTTGATATTTTCCCTCTCTTTCTCATCATTAACATCAAGGAAATCACTCCTTCTGAACACAAAATCCCCAAGCACCGTCTCTCTACCACTCTCCCCATCGGTCTCCCTAATAACACTAAACGGCACTGCACTCGTCCATTTCCTTTCCTTCTTCACATTCTCAAACTCCCTGAACTCTTTCAGCGCCTTCGTAGTCTCTGCCTCCATTGCCTTTACCTTGGAATCATGATGTTCTTGCAAGTAAGGAAATGGCGGCCCAGCAAGGTTCATGTACACAGCTGGGTGATTCAGCATGGATATTAGGATAGGTGCGTCAGTGGCGCGGTAGGTATTTAAGGTGATGGAGGTATGGGGTGGGGGAAGCCGAAGGTAGGGGATGTTGTCGGCGTCGAATTCCATAGTTTTAGGGAGTGAGAGTGACGTAAAAAAATTTTATTTATTTAAAAAAGGTACCGAAAGTTCACCGGAAAAAAAAAGAATTTTTGCGGTTCAATGCATGAGGAACGAAGAAAGGAAGGATGCTACATTATAAAATGTAACTCGATGCACAAAGAACGAGATTACTAAGCACCAATCATGTTGGCATAGTTATACATAATGTGTCTATGAATGCCCATTTTAGATTTCCACATCAATTGATAAAATGCATGTACATCCCGTACGTACATCTCATTAAACTTTAATGTTCTTGCTTTTTTTGTCATCTTCTTTCTTCCATTATGCGCAGCCAGCTTAATCTCAGTGAGGTTTGTATATGCTCATACAATGCTTCTAATGAGATTACTTTCATACCATATCTTAAAATAAAGATGACAGGTTATCAGATTGATCAAATCCACATATCTAGCCCTACCTGGAAGGTTCATGTTGTTTCTATTCCGTTTACAGGTTAGTTTCCTAGAAGATTATCGCAATTAGAATTTTTGAAATGGCAACCAGAATGCAATGATTGAATCCAGTATGCCTTCATTTTTTCGGCTGATTAGGGTAATATCATTAAAAAAATGTGTTTCTAGGTTGTGACAGAGACATGTACTCTATGCAACGATTTTAGTGGTCTCTTCCTGCTTGCTCGGACAGTGACTCTGACTGGTATTATTGATCCCAATGGCTGCCTATCTGCATGGAATTGGCAGGCGCGACTTAGGGAGTTGCTCCGAAGAAGCAGAGACGTTGCCGCATCTATTATTTGGGTGCAGGCCAAGACGGTGGCAGCGGGAGGTTCTCTATAAGGGCCTGCCTAGAAACCAATGCTGGCGGGTCCTCAGAGGTCAAAGATACCCCGAGGCATGCATATTGGCAGGCCCTAGGGTCATTAAGGCCTCAGGGCCCTTAGGAGATAAGGGTAAGAGCCTTGGGCGGCATGTTTCTGTCGGGCGGCGCCCGTACGTTTTGCCTCCTGGGAGAGAGGCCGTGGCCCCGCGAACCCCTATAGGGCCCCCGAAGCCCTTGTGCAGATAAGCGACTTGGGCCAAGGAAATCGTAAGACGCCCACTAAAACGAGACTAACATGGCCTAGAGGTGGGTGTGGTCGTAAAGTTATGAATAAAGATATAAGTAAATTTGTTAAGTAGTAGCAATAAATAATCTAAACATATTTAATCTAAGCCTTCCCAATAGTCCTAATTGCTGGGCCGGCCACACCAAACCGTGACATCTATAATAGAAATTCTCACAAAAAAGACATAGTAAACCCCCAACTAAAAGGCAATGCACGGAGAAATATTTCACACAAATTATATTTGCAAAAAAGAGGTATTTGTAGAAATAGAGTTTCTATATAGAGAAATTGTCGCACAAGCAGGTCTGGCATTTCCCTCACAACCTCATCATTAGTGGAGAAGCGGCTCTCTACTGCGTATTGACTACCCCCTCCTGCTCGGTCACTATGCACTTTTGACGAGCAGGCTTCAACCATTTTTATCTGTAGGGTCAGTGCCCGAGGACAGTCGGACGAGGTCTAGATGTTGGTGATTATCCGTCGGGACATCAATTGATAGTACAATGTTTGATTGTACCCACTGAAAAATCTGCGACAGCCGAGCAAACGAGAGGAAATAATAATTTAACTTTGAAATAGACAGTATATTTACTATTATTTTTCTTCCTAAACACTAAGGTCTTCAAGATTAGGAATGAATATTTTCCTCGACGCCTAACATACTGTATTGCAAGACGGCACCCAATCCGGTCCAAGTTCGTAGAAACAAGGAAAACACTTAGTAGGGTGTAAGAAATTGACAACCGGGTATACGGGGTATATACCTCATTCAGTAGATAAGCTACCGTTGTCAACCACTACCTAAAAAAGATCGTTGTTGGTATTCCAAAATCGGCCTAGGCTCAACACTGTAACTCCACAACACATGTTCACAGGTTCATAAGTGGGCACACCAACAAGTCTCTAAGTCTTGGAAGCCGCGTTGAGGTTCAACCTAGGGCCTGGGCATTTGTAACGATGGACCAAGAGAGGCCAGATAGACTAGTGACTATTAATCGCCCGTCCAACGTGGCTGTCAGACTCCCTAGAGTTTGAGAGCTCTCGCCTACATTGTTTTGGCATAACCCTAACCCTTCGATGCTGACCTCTACGAGCAAATCTGTCCTGCTGTCAGTCCTTCAATGTTCTTATCATGTATAGTCTGCGGGAGCCATGGGTCATAAGAATCCTTATCCTTGCGCCACTCACCGGGCTACTCCTCTCTCTTCTATGGCTAACAAACACATGGTATTCAGATATACCTGAGATCGTCTCCTATGATAATGACCGCGGCGGCGCTTCCTCGAATCCCAAACATGCCTTTGCTACTTTCTTGTCAGGTTTCAATGGGACCGATTCCGAGAACTATTTCACCGCTGTGAAGCTCCTGACATACCAACTGGTTCACGACCCGCGAACCCGAGTACGAGATAATACGCCGTTCATTGTCCCGGTCACCAAGGACGTTGAGCAGGAAAGACAAGACACCCTTCGACATAGTGGTGCGACAGTCATCTCGGTTGACGACGTCCAGCGAGACTGGATTCACCCTAAGTGGCCTCGGTGGAACGGGGTTCTGGCAAAGCTAAACCTCTGGACGTTGACCGATTACGAAAAAGTTGTATTCGTCGATGCCGACACAGTGATACTACATCCGATGGATAAAATATTCTCAATACGAGCCACTGATATACGAGACACGCTTCCTACTCCATCGAGAGTCATCTCGACAACGGCTAACATGCCTGTTACGCCGCCACCAAAATACATGATCGCCGGTATTCACGACCGTTGGATGGAAGCGAACAAGAGGCCACCAGAGACCGAGCCGTTCTACGTGCTAGACAACTATATGAATGCTGGGTTCTTCGTCATCTCCCCGTCCAAGGAGATGTTCGAGTACTATCTCTCGCTTCTCGACCACCCCGATGCCTTCGACGTTGATTACCCGGAGCAGAATCTTTTGAATTTTGCACATCGAACCGACGGACAGATGCCATGGCAGGACCTTGGTACCTATTGGAATGCAATTACGCAGCTCAACCCCTCTTATGATCCGAACGTTCGATCACTACATCATAAATGGTGGATTGAACTCGCCGACAAATATACTAGTGATCTTATTACGGATGCCATACAGAGGATGAATAACATGGGTTGATTTGCATTTTGACTGTTGTGTTTTGAGCGTAAAATCATGGGAATTGGCCTGGATTGCAACAAAATTTCATAACGAGCCTGCCAATGTCAACACCTTAAATGATGTATTTTGCTGAATCATGGAACTGGTCAGTTGCAAGGCTCCAAAACTTCTTCAGTCGCTACTTTCCCGAATAGTTGCCCTTCACTATCGATCACCGGCTGCTCCCGTTTATATCTCTGGAGATTCTCACCTTCAAGCGATTCCGATACCCTATGTAACCTAATAACCCCTTCCCTAACCCTAACCATGGAGTGCTTCATGTTCTCCTCGCGCGTACTATATCTCTTTCACGAACTCCAATCGTTATGTTACTATAGTTGCATCAGTTTATAGATTTTTAGAAGCTACGTGGACGCAATTGAGTGCCAAGATTTCGTAGAAGCGGTGCGGATTAGGCAACGAGATTTTGTTGGGACTTGCGAACCTTGGCAGTGGTCTCCGATCTTACGCGGAACGTGTTGGATTTACCACATGACTAAAAAGATGTACTTACTTTCAATCAAGGATATTAAAGTATTTTAAGACCCAGAAGTACGTGGAAAATAGAGTCCGTTATTCATGTACTTACAATATTCTCATATAACAACTGAGTCCCCAGAGATAGGGGATTGCCGCATATTCCGGACCCTATCCTCCAGGAATCATCTTATGTCACGATGCAATAAAGAATATTGAATTCTGGACCCTGATATGCAAGAAAAGGAGAGATAATACTGATACCCTGGCCATGACTCCCATTCCCATGGATAAGAGACATGAGGAAAGGCAACGCAAGGTGACACGGCCGTTGACAGACTACGAAAAATGGCGTCTTGATTACGAACCAGACTACATTCTGTCCGATAACCCCGTATACGATTTTCAAGATGATACTTTTGCTGAAATTCGAGATTCAGTCGATTCTGAAGCGCTTAATCCACTTGAACCTTCAGGAGGACATCATCAATCAGTCGAGACAGAAGCTGCATTTGATCATGATAAGCCAAGCCAGCTAGTTGGAAATAATGAGAAAGCTGGTAAGGGTGAATTCAAATATACGGCAACAATTTCACCCCAACTTCACGATATTACGGGTTTTGCCGGTTATTTAGGAATAAGACCTCTTCTTGCAGTGCTATTTATTCTGCTAGCATTAGCAGCAAAATCCAGGACCACAAAAGCTCGATCAAGGAAAGAAGACCGAGCTTGAATGCAGAGCAGGTGTGAGTTTTGATCTTAATAAATATTTGAGTCTACATGGCTAGTTGAGTTGACTTCTTTTTATTTAGAATCATCACATACGCGAGTGTTCTGTGATGAGTTAGCAGAGCTACATATATCACTCAAAACGCACTACTGCCGATGTATTAAACCTTTAACAGTAACATGGCAATGAATACACGATTCCTGGTGGTAGGAAAATGTACCCTAACGAGACCTTCCCATCTTGGGACTGATCAGTTAGCTACGTAGTGCATTGAAAATAGTGCCAACAAACTGAAGAAATTTTAAGTAACACAAAGGCTGGCGGGTGATGATCTACAGTCAAAAAGTGGGCACTTGTTGGATAAGCGCATATCTATGTTACATTAGTAAGGTAAGCCCTGTGACTGGTTTCATGTTCAGGATGTGTTAAGGCCTCAGGCACCCCGTTGCACGACGTCCGTTTGCAACATCCACAAATGCTTCGCTTAGATAGCTCTTTACTTGGCACTTAATATCATCAAATTGAGCATCATTCTCACAGGCTGCCTACTCTCCGAGGATGGGATATAATGACTCATAGAGAACACGAAACTTCCGGGGCTCCGAAGTCTGATGATATAGGAGGACAGGTAGAGCAAGTGTTACCGCAGTATAGGGTGGTGGTGATTTCATTTACCTTGACCCCTCGCCAAGGTTTAAAACCAACCGCACAGTAGACCAACTGGGGATTCGTACTTTTAGAACAACCGATTCCCGCTGTTTGCGTCGTTGAGCCAAGAACCAACAGAAACTAGCATAAGCTAGCATCCTAAGATTGGCCAGAGCCAGATGCAGTCGTTAGGCAGCAGAATTTCAAGCATCACCTCCAGTCGAAGTGTTTAGGTTTTAAGGCAAGGTTGTTTAAAAATAACCACAGCCTAGACTAGATATCTAGTCTAGGTTCGTGGTAAAGTCAACTAGTGGGAGTGATCAGCGTGTAAATATAGTACATACACCCACACACCCTGCAAGTGGGTGAGGGTGGTGGCGGCGTGGCGTGCAACATAGTCGGGGAGCTTAAGCTTAGTGCCTCTGTCTAATAATTGACAGGTTGGTAGTAGAAGTAGTAGTAGTATGTCGGCCCCTTGGTGCCGTTTTCGGATGTCTGCATACATCATACTTCTTTTTTCACGATCTCATCCATGAGAGTATTTTATTACTTGATGGACACATCAAAAAGACCGTTTAACCCTAAGCTCTCTACTCCATATATATGTACCTACTTCTATTGTAAGTTTACTAGAACGGTCATAGCACTGAATCATATTATAACATTAAACTAGACTTAGAAATTTTTCAGTATAATATTACGATTAATACAATATATTTATCAAATTATCGAAACACCCGCATTACTGAGATTAATGATTGAATGAGGTTCCTAAACCCTGGAAATCATGTCTATCAATTGATATGAAAGCAGTCATAGACATTCTTATTCATTAATAATCTCATAGACATATATTGTATTGGAGACCAAGAATTATATATATTCGAATGTGTAACTATGATCTAGCAGGCTTAACTAATTCACCCCAGACCCGTGGTAGCATACTCCACGGCTTCTCATCGCCTTGGATGCTACCAAAACCTTCCCCAGCTGTGATCAGCGTATACCGGTCCGTCCAGTTCGACTTGGCAATTTGCGTCTGCAGCGCTGGGCGGAACGCGGCGTTTGGTTCAATGCCGAATATATATTCAACGCGATGTTGATCAAACCGAGTGAGCTGATTACCTAAACCCGGACCGAGGTCGAGAACAGTGCCATGGGCGGCAGCAACAAGATCGGGAATGGTTGTTCTGGACTCAAATCGAAGAAAATGCTCATTAAGCGTTTGGAACCACAAAACAAAGGCAAGGTCCCGCAGCCGCTTGTACTGGACGAGAATGCCGTAGTCACCAGAACGGAGGGCATTGATGAGGCAGACACGCAGTGCTATGTAGTACAGTTAGCAGTCAACTTCGCTAAAGGTTCGATGTGATTAAATGTTACCCCAAACAGCGTAGAGCAGTGGCTCGATAGGCTCCAGGTAGCTGCGTCGACGGTCCTGGAAATGAAATGCCATAGGTGCAAAGAAATAGTCCCAGTTCTGTAGATTGTTTCTTCTAAATGAGCAATTCAGCTAGTATCATTTGAATGCTACTTTTTTTCTACCTATATATACTTTACACAGAGTGGAGCGGCGGACGCCCTAATTTATAAGCAGTTTCTCAACCTAACTAACTAGGGGGTTTATTAATATAATGTTCGACGCCAATTGACCATAATTAGTTTCCTTTAAAATGACCTAAATTATCCTACATTATATAGATAATCTAATTTAATTTCAAAATATATATAAAAAGAATTCAGCAAAATCGAATCGAATCAGAAAATGACGATCCCAACTGACGATAGCTACAAACCTTTGGTCTGGAACAATCTCGTTAAGAACAAAGCGTATATGATGCAAATAGAGAGCATTGAACAACCCTCCAGAGCAGACGCCGTCTCCACACCATCTCCTGACTCACTCGTTCTCATATCTCATCTTAGCCTTGCAAGCTTCGATCACCGCCGAACGCTAATACACGCTCATGCCGGTCACTACATCTGGAAATACTGCAAAGCCAGCTCGCATGAACATCGAGAAGAGACCTCGAACGGCGGTCTTGCCAGCATTCATATAATGGTATGTTAGCTCATGCTTAGCCTGTTGTGTAAGCCTCGGTGTAATTGCAATATTGGATAAGGAGAGCGCTGAATTCTAGCCATGCTGCCCCATCCATTGTGTGCTCAGGGAGACCACCGACTATGTTTAGGTTTCCATCTAGAATAAGCATGGAGGGCGCTAGGCTGGTAGTACCATTCCAGTCCCTCCATGTGGAATTAAGCCAGGCTCAAGTTCACGGTTCGGAAACACTGGATCGCCTGGGGAGATAGCCTCGCGAATGAGGCCCTGAGCATCTTGAACCTGGACCCTAGAGACCATAGCTTGGATCATGGTGTATGCATGATCAGCCGTCGGCCAGATGTCTCGCTGTTGAAAATTAATTCACTGCACCACCGAAACTGCAATCTCGGGTTGCCACACAGCGCTTCGGTGGAAGTTTTTATCCGACGAGGACAATTGGGAGCGTGGAAATGAAGAAAGCGATGGCATAAAATGGCAGCTTTTGCACCAGGTTTTGCTCAAAGAAAAGTCGAGCCATTCTGGCTGTTTCATCGACCGCATTGACAACTGCCCGTTTCACATCGTGCTGAGGAAAATGGTTCCCATGAATTGGATCTGTCTTTGCTGAGAGCAGGGCTCTATTAAACAGACCAAAAGCCATCAAGGAGAACATACACAGCACTGCACGATGTAGAAAAAGAACTTCCTCGTCGAGGGTCCATTGTCCAGCATTTATCAATGATTCCATAAATAGACAATCATCGGGTAAAGCCTTTTGCCATACCGCTAGATTGCGACGCAACTCAACATTCTCGTTCAGGTTGTTCATATGACGATTGGGAGAATATAACATGACACGCGACATGGGGATTCGGACATGCTGGACAGCGAATAATTCTGAATGAGAATCCGTGCTACAAAAAGACCAACTTTGATCTTTTCGATACACAAGCGCGCCAACGTTTATCTGATTACCGGGTCTTTGAGAACTGCGGATTCGCGTAGCGAAGCGATCCTGGCATCAACAGGTTGGGACTCGAAATCCTCCAGCGTGAGCAATGGCATATTGATGTCCTCCCTGAATTGCAACGGTTTCCGTGTGGCAATGGCAATCACACGGTCTCGCAATATGCACACCCACCAGAGGCGATTCAAAAGTCCCCACGTTCTTGGTGGGTTCCTTAGACACTTGTGATCGTTTCCGAAACCTATTATGTTCGCTAATAGGTGACACACCCCTAACCAATACCATGTGTCTTTCTGATCTTCTGGAGACTCAAACCAGCAGGGTATGAGCAGGAGGGCTTGTATGACCGGGACAGGATCCGGTTCCCAGTCAAATTCGTAGAGGTACTGTCTTTTGTCACTGCGGATCTTGTGGGAATGCCGAGGGCCGGTAACTGCGTGCTTTGACCTTGATGTAAACAGTTGAGTCTCTCAGAATTAAGGCTACAATGATTTAAATCTATGACAGTAGAGATCGTGGTATTCTCTCCTTTCAATCAATGTCGCATCCTGGGACCATGAAGTTGCTCATATACCAGATACGTGAGTGGTTCTGCATGAATAAATATGGTGCCGCTTTGCTTTCTTCACGTAATTTATTTGTATTTGAAAATTATTTACACATTGGCTTTCTTTCTGTCCAACTCTTTCTGATCTAGAGCCATTTTGATTTGATTTCATTATTTTCTATTTATACTGTATTCATTGCATCTTTGATATTCATATGTCATTACCTTTGCTACCCTAGCATACAGACTTCACTTTGTTGTTCTCGGTTTGTTCTCGGTTTATGGCAGAGCCCTTTTTCACACTGCCAAATTTCTTCCATTCAACTGTAACATGCACTGGCATATTTTACCACATCTAAAACCACCTTTTAACTAGATTGTTGGCTTAACCCGATGCGAACCTAGCGCACTGCAATGACCATCTTTGCAGCCCTCACAAAGATTTGTATTATGTGGACCTTTGCTTGTGCCTGAATAATACGGTCGTTCCATTTGTATCCCGTTCCACTTCTTGATACGATAGGAAACTCTTTCGGCATAAGACTCATTCAGAATCGGTTGACTGAGATTGTTGCAGGTCATACAACGTTGGTGATAAACTCTAGCGTTGTATCTGTCTTCATAGTACAGTCGAATGGTGATAGCAATCATTTTACTTGACCAACCCTTCTGGCCACAGTTAGAGTTGCGACACACAAATCGGCCCATGATATTTGTGTCATATTCCTGGATGCAACCTCGAGGATCATCGGTTTCATAGAAGCCAAAGTAAAGATCATTTTCTTTTAGAAGTTGCGATACTGCATCATGAAAAGACGGATACATCGACCACCGCTTGCCTGATCTTGCTTTTCGGGAAGGCATATTGGTAATATTTTGGTGTCGCTAGCAGAAGGTGGAGTGGTATCGACAGAGAAATAGATACAGCATCACTTGGGAAGAAACCCAGAAGGAGTTGCCCAGTGTTTCTGAAACACGATCACCTTTAGTCTTAACTACGTGGATCTACTGACATATCTTGTTATAAGCCATCAGTTTCTAAGAAGTGGAACAACAAAGTAGATAGATAGCTCTAGAATAGTTGTATCAACCTGCATATCATTATTAGGTGACGTGTTCGCGGCTTAAGATGATCCACAATATAATATCAGTACGCTGTTTTTGGGGTAACACAGCGTTTCCAACCGGCAAGCGAGAATCCGAAATGTCGGCCTAGAAACGTGGCATACGAATTTATTGGTCGTGGTTGACGCGATTCCTAACAATGAGTCAGTCACATTGCATGTTGTGTTAGTCGACTAGTTGATTTGATTTCTCAATGGAGAAAAATGGTTCGTTAAGCAATCCTTTTCGTAAAGCTATTCAATTAAATAAATCTGGGTACAAAGTCTTGTTAATGGAGCAGCTTTGGCTCTTAGATGTGACATCAAAATCTTGGGAGTTATCTTTGACTGAGCTTTTGCGCTTCAATACAGATCTAAGGGAGGTCAGCCGCGTGGGAAGCCGATGGTAAAGAGTAGAAACTAGATCCATGAATATGCTTTCTAGTCTGGAATTACTGGCATATTGCTTTTTCTTTCAACTCTAGCCTCTCGTACCCATCAATAGTGAAAGAGGCAGCGCCGCACATCTGGTGAACCCCCTCATTTTCAAATGCCGTGTAACATAGTTCACGAGCATTCCTGCCACCCTGCTGGGCTCGTATCTTTTAGATGACTTGGGAATTGGAGGAAAAAGAAACGGCACCCACATATATCATATCTTGTATCTTTACACGTGTTTCCAGTCAGAAAGAAAGACTGTCATAACCCCGCATGCAGTTCTTGCGGCGCTGCAAACTAATCATCTTTAGCGAATTTGGTGTTGATACTATGCTCTTTTGATTGGACGCTTGAATTTATCCTGGTTTTCAAGGCAGCCATTCAGACTGATAAAAAAAAATGCATTGCTTTGAAGGTTTACCAGACAAGGCTGATGAAAAGTTGAGATAATTAATAAATCCCACCCATTTGTAGAAAATATGATCTGTCCAAGCAATCTATGGTCGTCCATTTTTCTCTCAGCTGAACATCAAATGAAACTTTTTCCAAGACAGAAGTATCTAGTCTCTTTCTCATTTACTAGGGTATCTTCCCAGCTTTTAGATTTGATTTTCCTTCCCAGTGAGGCTTACTGTTGTTCAGAAGTTAGGAGTTGATGATAGAAGAATGCCGAACAAGCGAGAAAAGCAACAGGCGGAGGAGAGAAACCAACGCCGCAAAGAAAAACGGGCTAAACGACATGGTTCGTCATCATCCGGAGATAACGAATCTGAACAAGATAATTCTTCTCACTCGGCCCGCAACAATGGTGTGGCCAAAAATGGTCCTCCGGTGGACCAAGCGCGAAGCCTCGGTCTGGATGATATTAAGACATCCAAACTTCTAACCCTCAGCGACACATTCCAGAATCTGTCTGACTTTGTAGGAGTGCTACAATTCCTAAATCTTAGTGCTGCCAATGCCGCTGATGTATTTCGGCCTGAAATCGAACTCAGGGCCGAAAATGAAAGATTACAGCAAACGGTGAATCAGATTATAAATGCCGTGGAAACACAACAGCTACAGGATTTAAGGCAAAAATGTCATAGACTGGAAAAGGAAATAGCGGGTTTAGATGGAATTAAACAGCAAACAGAACGAGAACGGCAGGAGCTCGTCATGGAGAGGAAAGCCATTCTTATTGAAAGGCAGGAGATGGAAAATGAGTTTAAAAAAAGAACTGAAAGTGCAAATAAGGAATTTGAGAAGGAGATGGTAAGAGAAAGAAATAACTGGAAGGCTAATCTAGCTTCGATCGAAAAATCAGAAAAGAAAACCAAAGATCTCAATGTACAGTTAAAGGAAGAAAGCGAAAAGGCCAAACAGACGGCCCAGGATCTTCGAGTCGGCAATGATACATTGATGGCTGAAACTAGAAGACTAATATCAGACCTGGACAAAGAAAAATCAAGATTCTGTATCCAGAGCCATGGCATCGATTATTAGTAAGTCAGGCGATGTATTTCTCGTTATATGAGATTCTCACATTGTCACCAAGTCAGGCAAATTTCGCAGAACTGCATCAAAGGCTAGAAGAATTGGTTTTTGATTGCATCACGGGCCCTATGAATGATGATCAGATAGTGAGTGAAAAATCATCAACTTGAACATGAAGTTATTCACTAACACAAACACCTTTGATCCCAGCTAGCTGTAGAGGCTACGAGTCTCGAAGAACAAGAGTTCTTCAAGTTTGTACCAACAAGGAATATTACTGTGGCGCAGTATCTCTGGAGACGCGGCACACAGGCCTTTATTTCTTCACAACTATATAGCCATATCTGGCAGTCTTTCCCCTGTGATCATATGGGAGAATTTGCAGACCCTAGTAGTTTAAAATTTGCTTTTGACACGATGTCTCGAAAATATGCCCAAATCAATCCTGAGAGAGAAGGAATTTGGCGAAATATGACCCATGAGATCCTAGACGGTCTCTGCATACAACTGTTAGACAGAGAGCAGCCGCAGAGAAACCTCGTGTCCAATACTATGAAAGTGTTGGATCCCATTATCGACCCTAAAAAAAAGGATAATTTCGCAATGAGATTGACTGAGGTTATCAGCAACGCAACCAGCTTGTGGTCTGCCGTGAAAACAGACTCTTGCAGGATCGTAATCTCAACCGATCCACCGAACGAGAACAAGGGCGGACAGAAATGGAGAGCAGCATCTCTGAAAGATATCGAAATGGTGACATGCCTCGAGGATATTTCCATTGAACATGCTCACACACTCTGTCTGTTCCCCTCTATCACTGCGACCGAGGAGTCTGGAAAGGATGTGGTCGTTTATCCCGGACAGGCTCTCTTCGCTGATTGTGTAGCATTTGCGCTGGGATATCATGAGAAGCAGGAAACAGCCAGAGAGCTTGCACAAAGAGAACGAGAGCTGCGACATTCTTACCGCAAAAGCAGCGTGAGTTCGCAATCAACCTTCTCTATCCAGAATGGTTCCCAAATTTCGCATCGTGTCTCGTCTTGAACAATAGCTGTCCTTTCAACGGATGCTACCTTTCGGGTATTTGGTTGAGAATTAATCGTTATTGAATATCTTGAATATCTTGAATATCTATCGCGACACATGAGGGTCGTTTGAACCCATCCATCATTTTAAGTACACGTGCATCAATGTATTTTCTATTCCACTCTGCTTCAAGGCATTTTCGATTCAGATTTATTTACAAGTAATTTCCGTCTTGCCATCGTATCGGATGGTACATCCAAGACCGAAGACCGAAATTTCGGCATAAAGGTCTAAATACGCATAGAATGCATAAACAAAGTATATCGTACATGAAAGGTGAATAGAAAATTATTTAGGTTTTACATGTCTCAGTCCCATGGAAATTTCTGATTCCGAGTGGAGATTCTAGTGGAGATTCCAAACTCCTTTAGTCCCGCTCAGGGCCCAGCAGTTGGTCCCATTTCTCGGCCATGGTACAGTGGGACTTGGGAATTGCCAAGGTCTATCATAGGCCTTAGCCGGCTGTTGGTAGGGAGCGAAACAATGGTAGCAGCGTCAACTTGTGGAGATGCGTGCCATGGATGTTCCACGACTGTCGCTGAGCCGGCTTCCATGCGCGCGCTTCTCTTATTTTTGTTCCTGACAGGGCTGCCTTGGATCCTGGGTATAGCGGGTCGTGTTGTAGCTTGCGTGCGATAAAACGACCCAAGCGCTTTGCGCAGGACTGTGAGAGCCCCCCTGTCAAAAGTCGCTCGTACAGCCTACCGACAACAGCGAACCAAATGTATCATCGAATAGGTGTGGTAATAGTACACGAAATATATATTCACTTCGGCAACTTCGTCGATAGCCCTGGCTTTACCATGCCCTATGGGTATTTTGTTCCGAATTTTCGCTGTGTTGACTGCTTCGAGTCTCATGGGTAATATCAATCTGGTTTGAGACCACGATAGCACTCGAGGATGGGTCGCCAGATGTAGGTGCAGGAGCCGTCTTCAAGTTCTGCATCCTAACATCGTCCATCATCCGCTCCTCACTCTCAGTAAATGTCATGCCAATGGTGACAGGATTCGAAGCCGCAGGGCTGCGACCTTTACGATTGCCATAATAGCTGCTACCGCTAATACCCCGAAAATTGTCCAAAGGGGATTTAGACGTCTTCTGAGATGATTGAAAGCGACTGCCGAAAACTTTGGTGAGCCAAATTCTGAGGAGGTGGAAGACCATTGGAAGATTAGTCGTAATGACGGCAACGAAAGTCTCTCGGGTACCCCATTCGTCGGCGAGTTGTGCGCCGTTGTCTGGATTCTATAGAGAAGCAAAAGAATTAGAGAAATAACCCCAAGCAGGTGGATATACAATGTCACAGGGTCGAGACTCACCACCAAGAGGAAGACGCTCTTAAGAGTGGCACAGACAAGAACAAAGACACCAGCACTAAGTACGATAGTCGCCGCGATCTTCTTCAAGAGTCTCAGACTAGATTTCCAAAGCATGGGGATTGGGATGAAAATGAGGTATGGATCGGTGGCAAGGTTTGCGGCGAATGTTACTGCGATGACCGGCTTCGAAATGGCTGGTTGACACACGTCTAGAGGCACAATTAGCAGATATAGATAGGCTAAGACCATGTTCGAACTGACTGCCTGGGTCTGGATTGATCTGCCAGTTTTTGTGGAATGGTTGGCATGCCGCAAAGATTGTGATGATACTTGCGAGAAAGCTCCCGATGACAAGAAACCAACCAATATAGATAGGAATTTGATAACGCCGACCAAGACCCTCCTATATAGTGTTAATCGCTCGTCGAGGGCTATAGGCTGTCGGAGATGGGTGATAATCATACCATTAGTCGAACGTAAAATGCCAGCATGGACAATTTGATTGAATTGATTAATGCCGTATAAGTAGTCCAGCCCGCGATTTGAATTTTAGAGCCAATCACCCTAGTGAGAATGGTTAGTATTCGAGTGTAAATTCGCTCCTCCGTTCCAATTGCAATGAAACTTTTCCAATTGTAATGAGACGTACCTTGAATTATATTCTGGGTTCTCGGGGGACAGGGCAGCCCGTTGGGCGGCTGTCATGCTATTGTTCGCGAGACCATGAGCTACATTGCCCACGCTATATGCAAGCGCTGTCTGTGCAGTGTAAAAGATCTGCATGGGTTGAAAATCAGTGACCAAGGAAGTCAACGTAGAATCAAGTAGAGTCACGTACAATCGCGACCCATATCAGGTAATCGTCGAGTCTTAGATTCCTCAAGCCAACGGTTCTCCCCCGAGCGTATGTTCTGAGAATTGTCACCGCAACGCCGATTGAATATAGCGTCCATAATTCGACTGTGCCATTACGGGCATCTGACGCGGCATCTCGTGCCTCTAAAGCAGACGCTATGATGGCCGGCATTTGTGAATACCGGGTCGGATCAGCGTAGTGAGGACTTTTGTCCATGAAGATGGAAAGCTGAGAACGGTAGACCTCTGGCCATCTGCTCTACGGCTGGCTAGCTGCCTAGTCTTTTTCTATTTATCTAAAGCTCGGCCGTAGAAAGAGGCTAAAGATTTGTGCGTTAATCGTTTCCCAAGCTTGATGCCAAGATTACGTGCTTTCGGAGGGCTTCCGTTTTCGACGATCCCAAACCATGTTCGCTTGAGCCAACCACATTGACGGAGCTCGCCAGCACCTCACGGACTGAGGTTATCGGCGCTGCTCCACCCCGATTTGCGACTAATCATCGCAAGGCTACAGGCCAAGATTCCTTAGTTTCAACGCGGACCACGATTCGACCATGGAACGACCTGCAGGTAATTAAACGAACGATCGGGATCGGATTTTTTCATCGCGCTAAACACCTGATGTAACTCTGCTTAGCGTGATGCAAGGAAGATTCCTCGGCCCGCGGACGAACCTCCTGGTTGAGCGATTTTCAACTCGCCATTGAGTATTGAGAACCAGCATTGTGGGTAGGTTAGAAGCCAGAGATCGGAAGCGAAATTCTGAGACTGCAGCCAGCCCCTCAGACACGTTGCAGAGCGGCAGGGGCCATATAAGAGAGGTGGGTATAGAAAGTTACTTGCAGCGCTAAGGATATTCTAGTGAGACTAATCGGATTAGCGCACGCCACATACAAAATACTTCTGGACCCTGCTATCAAGCTAACTCGGACCAGTTCCGTTTGTACCTGACCTGCAATAATACTGGGTCGCTTCAAGGATTCCGGCAGAGGTGCTCAACCCGTCCGTTTTATTCTGACCTCTTCAGCCTATTGCACGTAAGGAGGACTACCTGGGCATTTATGCTTGTGCTTTTTTCGTGAACATTCGTTTTTGAGCTATGTATCGTCTCAAGCTGCAGGTGATCACAGCCTTTGCGGCTTGGGCTGTCGTCGCGGCCTGCCAGAATTCTCCGCCTGCCTACCAAAATCTCGCGGAGAATTCTTGCCCAAATGACGATACGGACTTGACGGAGCTTAGGAACAAGCTTTCAGGCTCTGCCATTGTGTATCTTCCGGGGTCGACCGGGTTCAAGAATGTCACAACGCGGTGGTCTGCTCTAGACGAGCCGAAGGTGAATGTCGTGGTCGTGCCTGGCACTGAGAACGACGTTGTCGAGACGGTAAGCTTTTTCTTCTCTTTCTATATATGCCAATCAGGTACAGACAGGTGCCAACGACTGGTTTAGGTGAAATTCGCCAACGAGAAGGACCTTCCCTTCCTCGCATATAACGGTGTCCATGGAGCCCTCGTTTCTTTGGGCAAGATGGATCATGGCGTCGGAATCGCCCTAAACCAGTTGAGCAGCGTCGAAGTCGCCGACGACGGACAGACAGTTACGATCGGTGGCGGAACGATGTCTAAGGTGGTAACCGACGAACTTTGGGCTGCAGGAAAGCAGACAGTTACTGGAACCTGTGAATGTGTCAGTTATCTGGGACCGGCGCTTGGTGGGGGGCATGGATGGCTTCAAGGCCAACATGGACTCGTTTCGGACCAGTTTGTTTCGATGAATGTCGTGCTCGCCGACGGTACCTTGAACCACATCAACGCAAGCTCCGACCTTTGGTGGGCGATGAAGGGTGCCGGCCATAATTTCGGCATTGTGACTTCTATCACTACTAAGATATACGATATTGAGTACAGTGACTGGGCTATCGACACACTCACTTTCAGTGGTGATAAGGTCGAGGCTGTCTACCAAGCTGCGAACGACTATCTTGTGAAGAATGGTACCCAGCCCGTGGGTGTCATAAACTGGTCATATTGGCTGAACAATCCGGATGCTGACCCTAACAACCCCGTCATCGTGTTCTACATCATCCAAGAGGGAGTGAAGGCCGTTGACCAGGCATACACCAAGCCTTTCCACGACATTGGACCGCTTTCTGCCGAAAGTCAGGCAGGTACCTACAAGGACCTCGCTGCATGGACCGGCATCGCCCTCGATTCTCCGCCATGCCAGAAGGCTGGGTTCGCCAACCCCCGTTTCCCCATCTATCTTGAAAGATACAACGTTGCGGCCCAAAGGAGAGCATGGGACATCTACGCACCCGCAATCCGCGGATCTTCTGCCTTTAGCAACTCAATTCTCATGTTTGAGGGGTATTCCGTCGAGGCTGTGCACAGCATTCCTAGCAGCCAGAGTGCTTTCGCTTTCCGCAGCGAGAATATCCTTGCTGCCCCACTCATAAATTACATTCCTACCAATGTAACACTCGATCAAAAGGCCGCTGAATTGGGTAACCAGCTCCGCAACGTCCTCTTCGAAGCCAGTGGCTACAAAGACATACGCGCATACGTCAATTACGCTTACGGAAATGAGACGTCGCAGCAGCTATACGGCAGTGAGAAGTGGCGTCAAGAGCGCCTGCATGCCTTGAAGCAGAAGTACGACCCGGATAACAAGTTTAGCTTCTACGCGCCAATTCCATAGATGAATTGAAAATGAGCTTAAAGATTTGTGCAGTTGCGGGAAAGAATAACTAAGCATAGGAGAGGTTTGATGAAAACATTGGCATATGATACCTCAGTCTACCATTGTATAATCAAGTTATGAAGATTAGAATAGACATAATTTAATATTCAACTTAATTTTGCAGACATAGTCTCCGTTTCATGAACAGGGTGCCCTATGCAGACTATATAGCGGTGTAATGGCTAAAATGGTCATCTTGTCCATCTACAGCAAATAAGCTCAGTCAACGTACAGATAGACCATCTAATCCTTCGAGAAATCATATCCAATGGTTTGACTGCACGTAGACCGAATTCGTGAGAATAATGAGCGGATTGTATGATGTCTAACCCTAACCCTAAGACCTGTCTGCTTATATAATACGTGCCATGACTCTCGGAACATTCCTAATTCCGATCCAGCGACAAGTCCTATCCTTGTCCCTTCGAATCCTGCTCTTGTCGATTTCTCTTTTATTTTCTTTCTTTATTTTTATTCTTTGCTCTTCTTATTTATGGGCTGTCAGTCAATATTGGTGGTGATATGGCAATAATTATTCATAACAACGCTGAAATTCCTACTTCTTATTCTTAGCGGCATATTAACTTACTAAGTTAATGATCGGCCGACACACTTCCTCATATAACGAACGACTCACCATAATCCAACGGGCTCGAGGCTCGAGGTCACTGTCAATTGAACACTAACTAGACAGACAATCAATAATAGCTCGTGTTATTGGCATTGTCCAGACTGGAAATCTGGTCGAACCAAGAATCGTCAGCCGCACTTCTTTGTGTCAAGTGCGCGATTCCCCGCCTGGCAATAACCTCTTCCACTCTATCCCACTCACCCCCTCAGTCCTCTCATTCTTACTCACCTACGTATACACAGTACAGCACATAATATACTGAACACTGATACTAAATACGAATACTGCTAATGGACGGCAAATACGCTTCATCGCCCGACTGGGCTGACATCTCGCCGATTCCCCTCGACGACGGCTCCGAGCGCAGCGAAGACATCATCCCGCTGGCCACCATCGCCTATCGTCCAGAGTATCTCGAGGCCACGTCCTATCTGCGCGCCGTCATGGCCGCAAATGAGCTGTCAGAACGAGCTCTGAGGTTGACGGAAGATGTGATCACCATGAATCCCGCGCATTATACTGTCTGGTATGTATATCATAACCTGTTTATTTCAAGTCTAGTTCACGCTGATGAGTGTGCAGGCTGTACAGATCCAAGATTCTATTCGCACTGCAGAAGAATCTGAAGGATGAAATTGCATGGCTAAACAAAGTGTCGCTTCGATATCTCAAGAACTATCAAATATGGTAAGCCGGAGTACAAGTATCAAACAGCAATAATTAATAAAGAGATAGGCACCATCGACAACTGCTCCTCTCATCAAGGACTTTTTTCCCAACTCTTCCCGCCAATGAACTCGACTTTCTCATGGAGATGTTTGCCGCTGATTCCAAAAACTACCACGTCTGGACGTACCGACAATGGCTCGTCCGGCATTTCGACCTCTGGGACACACAGCGCGAAATTGACGATGTCGATGCTCTCCTCAACACAGACGTCCGCAACAACTCGGCCTGGAACCATCGCTATCTCCTCCGCTTCTCGCCGCGCGAAGGCCCAGAGGCAGGGATGGCGGGCAGCAGCAACAGCGAAAAAGGACGCCTGAATATCGTCGATGAAGACGTTATTGACACCGAACTCAACTACGCGCAGGCAAAGATCCTCTTGGCGCCGGAAAACCGCAGTCCGTGGTTGTATGCGCGCGGGGTGCTGAGGGCAGCGAGTCGGCCGTTGGCGGAGTGGAAGGGGTTTGCGGGACGATTTATTAGCGAAGAGATTGATGGCGAAAACAGTGTTTTTCATGTCAAGAGTAGTCTGGCCGTGGAGTGGCTGGCGGATGTGTTTTGGGAAGAGGCGAAGGGGGAGACGGACCAAAAGCAGGAGAAGATTGACGAGGCGGTTAAGATGATTACCCTGCTGAAGGAGAAGTATGATCCGATACGTCGGAATTACTGGGATTATCGTATCAACGAGATCAAGCCGGTAGCAACTTCGAGTTAAATAACTGTCGACATGATTGATTGAATTGGACGAGATGGGGTCATTAAAGGTAAAACGCTGAAGTACATACATGCAAGATACAGAATCAATTACTCCCGATTAGGGTCAACTTGGAACGCAGGAATAAACGCAAAAAAAGGAAAGAAAGAAAGAAAGAAAAAACATCAAACCCACCCATCAGCCAGCTTCTCCCTCCACTCCGATACCAATCCTGTCGTGACATTACTGCCTCCACAGACGATGATAACGACGCGGCTCTCCGGTGTTAGATTAGGGACGAGCTGCTTGAGATGTGATAGCGGCAGTGAGTCTAGCGAAGCACCAGCCTCATTCTCTACATCAGACCCAATAGCACTGTCAACAGCACTGTCGGCTAGCGAGATAGACGACCCATTGAACATCGGCTGTGTCAAGCGGTCCTGCAATAACCCACTCTCCTGCTCATCACCATATCCTTCATCACCCACTCCGATCATCTTCTTCCTCTGCCGGTTTTGCCTCTGCTTCTGCCTCTGACTTTTGAATTTATCGCCAATAACCGCCTCAATACACACCCCACACGCAAGCTCAACCAATATCCGCTCATCGTCGGCAATCCGCAGACATCCACGCGCGGCATCTGCATCCGAGAGAACCGCGCTGTGAATGACGATCCCTGGGGGCGGCGCGATGCAGTACTCGAAAGTCTGCTCGGAGACCCGAACACACGCTAGCGAGACCGCCATGGATGTGACCTTGGGCAGCGTGACTAGGGATTTCTGCGCCATCGCCAGAGCCATCGACTGCGTTCCGTCCGTCTCGACGGCGAGAATATGCACATCTTTTGCAGGCCTGTCAGCATCTTGCTGCTGCTGCCGCCCAATCCCCTGAATCAGCCCATTCATTAAACCTCCTCCCCCAACACTACACACCAGCACATCAGCCCCGAACGCGCCCTCCTCGTCTGCCGGTGGTAACTGCCACGCCAACTCGTCGACAATCGAGCTATTTCCCTCCCAAATAGCCTCGTGATCAAACGGATGCAGGGCAATCTTCACCACATCTTCTGCCCCCGGCGTGTGCTCCTTCATGACCGCGTTTTTCATGTACACGCCGGCCTCGGCGATCGTCTGGCCGTGCTGGATGACCTGCGTGGCGCCGGCCGCCGTGAGTTTCTCGATGATCAGTCGCGAGGCGGTCATGGGCAGCACGACGGTGCAGGGGTATGCGAGCGAGCGAGCGGCGCAGACGGCCGCCAGCCCTGCGTTGCCACCAGAGTTGATGTAGAAGTGCAGCTTGCGGCCGGCGTTGAGCGGGCTGTTGATGTGGTACAAGATGAGGTTTCCCATAGCTCTGCGCGAGTTAGATACCTCTCCTTTTCTCATTATACAGAGGGTTTGGGATTTGGCTACCTTGATTTAAATGAGCCGCCTGGTTGCAGGTTCTCGAGTTTGAGGAATACTCGACTACCATCCGCTTAGTTAGATTCGAGTCATTCGACTGTGTCTAATATAGGACTTACCATCCCGCTGCTTTGGACAGAACGGACGACTCAACCAACGGCGTTTCGATCCATGGTTTCTGCTGTTTCCGTCTGGCGAGGGAGGGATGGACTTGTGCTGTGCCCATTATACTTTTAGCAATAATATGAATTGAACAAGACACACAATTTGCGAGAATAATAATGAAAATAAGCAATAATAAAAGATCAAAGATATGTATTGATGTATTGATGTTTGTCTAGATACCTGCGAGTCTAGTCAACAGATATGTATGTACACGACAGGGTTAGATCTCGACTTGCATCCTTATCAATTGCGCAACCCACCATTCTCGCCTCTTTCATCACCCTCATACTTCGCCCTGATAGTGGCCAATAACAAGGCCCAAATCAGGATGATGGACGGAAAACATAGGGTTATGGGGTGTTCTCCGCGGGAAGGGAAACGGGGGTTGATAAGAGCGCAAAAACGTGAAACCGTTTTCCGTGTATTTTTCACATCTAAGCCCTTTATAACCCCTAGATATTTTTTTTTAGAATCGTGTATTATGATGTATTACTTTGTATTGATTTTATCTGGGAAGTGATCGTTACGGGCGCGATCCAATCAGCTCGATTTTATAGGGTAATAGTTTGGAGGGCTCCGGTGATAGCCGTATTAAGAAACATGTACAATGCGAGTGTTACTAATAACAATAAGAATAGTAGTAATGGTGCGGTTAAATGTTGGGTATGATGTATTGGTACAGTTAATGGTGTTATTGTACAAAAGTGCTCGCACGTATCAACGCGCTATCATACGGGATATTGATTCCCGATTTGGTGTTGGTAGATCAATGATAAGGCCGATAGGAACACCGCCAGCTGATGTTTTGACGGTGTATCTAGCTAGTAATGATAGATGATGAATAGATAATAGAATAAGAAGACTAATTCTCAATCAACAGCGGGGGAAATAACAGCTTACTCGTCTTCTCAACCTCACCATACTCGAAATCCGCCCCATACGTCGCGGCCTCAAAGTTTCGTTTTGAGACATCCGTGCCTACCCGGAGAAAGTCTAGAATTTCCGCGGACTTTTGCGGCATGAATGGGCTGAGCAGGATCCCCGCAATGCGCAGGGATTCGCATACGTTGTACACGATGCGCTGCGCTTGTTGCGGGTCTTCTTTGTACTGCCATGGTGCGCTCAGGTGCAGATATTTCTGGGCCTGGACTGAGTTAGCGGGTGTTTATGCAAGATAGAGAGATGAGGGAGCTGACTCCTTGAATTAACCAGATTACTTCTCGTAAGGCTGCCCGGGGTTTGAGGAGGTCCATGTGCATCTTCGTCCTGGATGGTGTTATATGAAGGGCTTCTTCTATCACTTTGTCCAGATCTGTTGGTGCAGGAAGACTGCCAGCCGCAGCAGCGTCGATGCTCACACGAGGCTTCCATTTCGCGACGCCCATAGTCCGACTCATTAAATTCCCGAGCCCGTCCTGGAGATATTTCTTGTAGTCGCGGACGATGTAGTCATTGTCGTAGTCGCTGTCGCTGACAAGCGGCCCTTGCATGGTCAAGAAAAAGCGGATAGTGTCGACATCAAATCGGTTGATTGCGAAAAATGGATTCACTACGTTTCCCGTCGACTTGGACATTTTCTCCCGATTCATCGTCCAGTGTCCGTGGACGAGAACTTTCCGGGGGAGGGGTAGATCAAGGGCCATCAGAAACGCGGGCCAGTACACGCAATGGAAGCTGGGTGCATTAGATCGATGCTTATCAATAACGTTTATGGGAGTGAAATTACCGCATGATATCCTTCCCTACCACCTGCACATCTGCTGGCCATCCTAGATCGCTCTCCTTCCCCGGTGTGAACGGGTAGCCAGCTTTGGTCAGGTAATTCACGAGGGCGTCTAACCAGACATATATAGTCTGAGTCTCGTCCCCAGGAACTCTAATCCCCCAGGACAGACGCTCCACAGGCCGTGATATTGAAAGATCTTGAAGTCCAGATTCAATCGAGCTGTATAGATCGCGATAATAGGGGCTGGGTGATACCCAGTCTACATTCTCTTTATAAAACTCCAAAAGCCGGTCTCGAAAGGCAGACAGGCGAAAGTGGTAGTTGGTTTCTGTTGACCATTCAACTTCCTTGCCAGTTTCGACAGAAGTCTAGACACGTTAGCACTTTGAAATGTCAATGTCAAGGTTGGCAGCATTCTTACCATGATCTTTCTGCCCGTCGCAGGGTCGAGAGAGGCCTGCACCTGCGATTGAGGATAGAAGGTCTCGTCGCTGACGCAATACCATCCTTCATGTTTCGCCGTATATATGTAGCCCCGATGCCGAAGCATTTCCCAAAAATATCGGACGGCATCTTTGTGGGCGTCATCGGTAGTTCGAATAAAATGATCATGCTTCAGGTTCGCCGCTTTGGCTAGGTCTTTGAAAGTCTGGCAGTTCATATCGCAAAACTCCTGCGTATCCATTCCTGCTTCCTGTGCTGCCCTCTGTATCTTCATGCCATGCTCGTCTGTGCCTGTCAATAATTGCGCGTCTGTGTTGCCGAGGAGGAGCTGCCATCTCTTCAACACGTCCGCAGTGACCATAGTGAATAGATGGCCGACATGGGGGGCTTCGCTGTAAAATTAGCATGCTAGTTTGTGAATTTTGGCTTCAGACTGACCGGCATTGACGTAGAAGATTGGTGTTGTAACGTAATATGGTTTTTTGGGATGCGCCTGCGTTGCATGTGTTCTTGACGGGAATCGTCGCTGTTTATAAGTATGTGATAGACATGAAACGCAGGTGAATGGGGTTTTCGTGTTTCGATACGCCGACGCCCATGAGAGGGCTGGGCGTAAATGACCCATTGTGCGAGTGCAGCAGGAAGTCGTCAGTTGATCGTAATATAATAGAAGCAGAATCCTGGTGTTGCGGAGAAGTCGCACCTCCGAAGTGGCCAAAGCTCCCGCCATAATAATGTTCGGCTATTATTTTGCTCTCCTCCTTCCCTCAGCAAACATCCTGCGTCCCCTCCCTCTCTTCGTCCGTCACCTCGTCGTCGTAGACGCAGACACGACTATCTCTCAAGCAAGTCTTTAATATCGAACCAATACCATGGCAGTTCCCAAAGACGACCTCCTGACCAAAGTGTCTACAGAAGGTATCTATGTCTGCGCTTTCCAACACGCAGCAGTAGCTAACACAGCTCAGGCGCCACTGACTTCGTACAATCATATCACTCGGCGCTTTCAACAAACAAGAAATCAATAGCCAGCTTCTACAGCGCGACTCCCACAAACATCCTCTTCAACGGAAACGTCATTGCAGACGGCGCCGCAGTGGAAGAAATTTTTACGAACCAACTACCCTCCGCCCGCTACGATATCAATTCCTTCGACAGCCAGATCATCAACAAGGCGTATCCCACGACGACGCCTGGAAACAACGCCACGGCAAATGCGAAAAATGTCTCTATGTTGGTCGTGGTCAGTGGGTCGGTGCAGTACGGCGCGAAAGACTCTCAGCAGCATGGGTTTAGCGAGACATTCGTCCTGATTCCGAATGTGGAGAGTAAGGAGAAGAATAAGAAGGATTGGATTATTCAAAGCCAGAACTTTCGGCTGGTTGCTTGATCTACGGGGATGACAACATTTCAGAAAACGGCTACATTGAGAGAAAATAATTACAAACGGCAAATCCACGCCAATATAAACCTATTAACCGTTACAAGTCCATCGCACGCCCGGTGCCGATCAAAGATATCACGAGCTCCTTGTCGGGCGCAGGTTTGCTTTCACACGCTCTATCAGCTCGTCCCGCGCTATCGTGTCTGCTGGCAGGAGGTTTCTCTGCAACCAGATTAGTCGAATGAAGAAATTCCCACTGGGATATCAGATTACAGCTCGAAGCCATCTTTTCAGTTCCTCTGTTGTCCAGTGCTCGGGGTCTATACTCGTCAGACGGAACCATAGCATCAATTATTGGTAGCGCCTTCTTTACCTCCTTTAGGGTCTGTTTCGGCGGGAAACAGGTCGCCTCCCCATATCGACCAGGCGGAGACGGCAGTGACGATTCCAGCGAAGCCTGTATACTATGTATCAACGCGTGTCATAATACTACTTTCATATAATGATTCACCCAATAGAAGGTTCTAAGACGGTTAGCTGGCTGATAGTCGGCTGGGTGGATTCGCGTACCTTGGAATTCAGTGCTTTATCCAGTTGAGTAGGCATATTCACACTGCTTAAATGTTTGCCAGATCCTATTTAAATAATTGTAGGAGGGATAAGGATACTGTAGCAAACATGTGAATGCTGCCTACAGCATAGTGACCATACCGCCAGCGCCTAGTCTGGATATGGCTAGAGCAGGTTAAATGCAGGCACCGCCACATGCACCAGCCCACGGCCAGACGCGCGCCACAGCCAAACCCTAGCCCTAATTTACAGACGGGAGCCCACATTCAATCGCCGCAACAGCTGGACCAGCAGGAGTAGATCCTGATCCTAGACGTCCATCTCAGTCACCTCACCCTCCGTGTCCACGCGCTGAAATCCGCCATCATGCCTTCCGAAGTCTCTGATATCAAGCAGTTCATTGAGATCTGCCGCCGGAAGGATGCTTCGTGTACGTTGTCCTCGTTCTATTTTTATCGTCAAGCATTCGTTATACGATATGCGATATGCGATTCTCGATTCTCGACTCGACTCTCAAAACATGACTGAGATATTGCTATTGGAATGAATGAGCATTGGCTAATTAATTATCCCTTTTAGCCGCCCGCATCATGCGCAGCCGCAAGACAAACCAGACCAAGTTCAAGGTCCGCTGCCACCGCTTCTTGTACACTCTCGTTCTCAAGGACACCGACAAGGCCGACAAGCTGAAGCAGAGCCTGCCTCCAGGTGCGTGACTGAAAGAAAACCAGAGGGAAATTCAATGGGAAAGTCAACTAATGATATGGACTACAGCTCTCAAGATCGAGGATGTCTCCAAGGGTACCAAGAAGAAGTCTATTTAATTGGGACTGGCTGGATGAGATGAGGACAGGACCGGGTTACGTGCATGATTACATTTAATTGTTGAAATAAAAATGGTCGAGGAAGGGCATGTCAACTTTGCATGTGGCAAATGCTACCATCACATTACAAACCGAGTTACGTCGAGGCTTTCACATGGTCTGGCTTGCAAACTCGCAACACGGAGAATCCTACGATTCTCCAACTCCATCACCATTTTCTTGAGGTGGTGATATATGGATATCAAAGGAAAAAAAACATTTGAAAATATTTCTTCATGACTCTCTCTCCGCTCTATACTCCAACTGCCGATACCCTCTTACTGCAAACCTCGTGCACATCTCCTCAACACCAGCCTTAACCAATCCAGCCCTCCTCAACTCCACTTCCCCAAAGTAATTCGGCTCATCAGCCACCCTAACAAAACCCAGCGACTCAAACAAGCGCACACTGCGAATATTCGTCTGCCCGATCTTGACACTCAGATAATCTAGTTTGTTGGTCTGCGTAGCTGCTGCTGCTGCTGCCCTTTTTTCCGTCCGTAGAAATTCCGCAACAATACCATTCTCATGCTCAACAATATACCGCAGAAACACCAACAATGCGGCCCGCCCGTACCCTTTCCCTTGATTCTGCCTTTCGGCTATCATCAGCTCGAGTTCCCCTACAATTTTGCCTCCGTCTCCCTCTTCTTCCTCGTCGATACGCAGGAAGAGATTGACATCCCCGACCATCCGCTCCGGCCCATCAAACTGATCTGATAATCGTATTACTTCGCTTTCCGAAGAACCTGAACCTGAACCTGATGCTAGTGGCAGTGCTAAGCAGACAATAAAAGTCAATTTATCGGCATCCTCCCTCCAGCTCTTCTGCATGGAGTATTCCTCTTCCAAACTGAGCGGTTCGGAGGCTGTTGCTTGTTGGATTTCCTGGGTTGGTTAGTAAACGGTACACAGTATATGTATGAGAGGAGCTGGGATTACCTCGTTTTTCATCCATTCGTGATAGCGTGGGACGTGATGCGGGAGGTATGGGACTAATAGGGTTGAGGAGGTTGATAGAGCTGTGGGAGTCTTGATGAGTGGGTGGATGGGTGATGTATAGAGGGGGAAGGGGGTACCTGTGGTGGCGTTGATCAGCATTTTGAAGGCTGGGTATGAGTTTAGTTATGTATAGGTATAGATGGATAGATCGTTTGCAGCAAGCGGGCTGTTCGTAAAAGTGAACAAAATATTTAATAGAGAAAATGATAAAGATGCGCCAATAGCGTGGATCCCGGGAGGGGCGCTTCTAAGCTAGTAGTATAAGTTTCTATCATAGTCCTTAACGGTTTATCATGACTATTCAGTGAAAATTACATTACCATAACTTTCGACCATAGACTTCATTCCTATACTCATTATGATTGTAATTGATTATTCTCCCTCGTTTTCTGTAAATAGCTGGAACTTCACTACTTCAACCTCCAGTGTCTCTGAATCAACCAGCACCAGCTCCCCCGTTTCGTGGAATTTCGGTAACGACACCAAGCGCACTCGGGAGTTCAGTTGGTCGTCTGAAACATCAGGCATGTCTGAATCTGCTCCATTTAGCCGGAATGTCGGCTCGCTCTCCACCACCATGGTTCTGAATTGAGGCTGATTCCCAACGAAGAAAATATGTGGGCAGGCTTGTAGAATGAAAGGGTCGTGTGTTTGGAATGGATAGCACCCTTTAGATGATTAGGTTGTTTTTTACTCGGGATATGAGAGTTGGGCTTACATAGTGTATCAGGCGCTGTTGGCACTGTACAGCGCCATTTGAGCATGGCTTCCATTACACGTATCCTTGTTTCCCCGTCCTCGCCTTCGGTGATGTTGCCGTCTTCGTCAGAAAAGTCGAGGTAGCGTAGCACATCGTCCACGTTTTGCCCACTGCATCCCCAGAGCCTCCATCCGTCAACGTAGCCTTCCCAGGGATTCGTGACATTGTCAAACCATCCAGGCTCGACATCTGTGCTCCCAGGTTGGCCTTCGGAGCAATACATCCTTGCCTTGGGAAGCATTGCGCGGTGAATACTCTGCTGAGGAAGCGAGAAGTTGGCCGGGTCCCTCTCGCCAGGCATCAGGGTGATTGGGATAGAAGGAAGGATTTCGGAAAGGAAATTGTCGAGTTGAATAATGGGCGATGGGTTGTAAGACGAGGCATCGTAGCCGTATTTCTTTGGTGCATTCTTTTTCTTGTTGGATGTGTCGACATCTCTCACTAATGTTTCCACTTCACCTAACGAATTGCCAGCTATAACCAATCTAGATATCCTCGTAGGAGAAGTATCTTCTTCGCTCTCGACTCCCGTATATCCCAGTAGATACTCAGTCAAGAGTTCTAGGGTCAGGCCATCACCCGCAGACCCTGTCATTCCTAATCCACTAACAAAGGCTATTTTCGAGGATTTCGCCGTGCTTTCAACACGATTCAGTTTTTGGTCTATTTTGTCAGTAGACGCCCTTTCCCATCTCTGTGGCTGCAGAGGAAGGTCCGGGACTTTGATATCGATCACCTCGAAATCGCCGTTCGAATTCTCCGTTCCCAGGACTGCAATGATAACGCCTGTTACCAAGTGTGTCGCTCGAAGCAGACTCCCTGCTAGTCTGAGGCGACCCGATTCATCTTCCAACATGACTTGTATGGAGTCTGGATTGGAGGGGTCGAGATACGTGAGGCGAGGCGGGGGTGCGGCGGCAAAATTCTAGGGATGATCAGAATGCCATCCAACAGCTAGAAAATACCAAACTCACATCATGTGCAACGTCGTCAAGAATGTTGGGTTTCAAGGGTAGGTCCATATAGACGGTGCCGACAACCCAGCATAGCTCTCCCTGTCGCACATCGAGGACTCGTTCGACTTTTCGTGCTTTCTCTTCTGCAATCTGCTCGTCGTCAATACAGCATCCCAATGGAGAACTAACTGTGTGCTGCCTACGTTAAAGCCTTCCCATGCTTCCCGGCCGACCTTCTCTACGGCCGGCTTCAGCTTAGCCAGGCGCAAGAAGTACAGGTCTCCATACTGTTGTTGATACTGCCGGTTGTCGGCTTTTGGTAGCTGAAAGGTGTGAAGGGGAGCATAGGCAGACGGGGCGCGGTATCGGGGGGGATATTCTTTGCCACTGTAGAATAAACAGCTGGTCAGTGTGGTCCAAAAAAGAACATCTGAACATCCCACCTTGGCGGCTGGAGGAAATCCTCGCTTGTTGCGACTGCTGCAGTCATGGTGGAGCTACTTATACGGGTTGTGGGAAGCAGAATTGGGCCATATCCAGGGTATAATGCCAGTTATAGATCCATTGGCGAGCCTGGCGATGCAGGTAGAGTAAATAGTAAATAGTAAATAGTAAAGACACCCAGCAATGCGGAGGAGGAGCAGTGACGCGCGAACGCGTTTTTTGGCTCCTTCCCGATCGGTCGTTAATTGGTCCACCTACTCCGCTCCGCTCTGCACACAGGGAAATCCCACGCCGGCGACATGGCCGCGCGGTTATGAGTCTGCATTGTAGGAAATTGGGGCAAATACGTGGGTACGAGTCCCGCTCTTGTTATTTGTGTTTTTCTGCCCATATACACAACATTTAGTGAATGAATATCTCGGCCAGTCAGTGGTCGTTAATATCTATTCTATGATACTTAAAAATGCCTCGGTCCTCTGACCTCGGCTGCCGGCCCTAATTTGAGGGGAAGACAGCTTCTCCGCATCCCCCGTCCACTACTAGTAACCACATCAAGCCTCTGTGTCTCTTTAATAATTAGTAGTGGTATTATGCTTGCTCTTCCTTCTAATTGGACTCTTATTCTACTTTCAATGTTGCCATCACTATACCACAACGAGTCTACATATAACGACCCTTTTTCTTCCCAACAACACATTACAGATTCATCCCGCACCTTATATAACTATAGAAACCACAGTACAACATTGAAATATCAAACATGTCTTTAGAGACGCCACTCTCCAAGCTTCTAAACATCCAGCATCCCATCCTTCTGGCCGGCATGGCCAGGGCCTCTGGAGCCGCTCTCGCAGCAGCAGTCTCCAACGCCGGTGGTCTAGGGTGCATTGGCGGACTCGGATACACACCCGCACAACTAGACGAGATGCTCACCGAGCTCAAATCCCTACTGCGACACCCCAGCCTCCCATTCGGCGTGGACCTTGCCCTCCCGCAGGTCGGCGGCGGTGCGCGCGCAACCAACCACGACTACACCCACGGCCATCTCGACGAACTGATTGAAATCACCATCCGCCACGGCGCAAAGCTGTTTATCTCAGCGGTGGGTGTCCCCCCGGAGCACACCATCAAGCGTCTTCATGAGGCCGGCATCCTGGTTATGAATATGGTTGGCGCCCCCAAGCATGCCGAGAAAGCGCTGAAGCGTGGCGTGGATATTGTTTGTGCCCAAGGTGGTGAGGGCGGCGGCCATACTGGTGATGTGCCGTTCTCTGTGCTGGTTCCTGCTGTCGTGGATGTGGTGCAAAAGTACAAGAGCCCGCTGACAGGCCAGACGCCTTTGGTGGTTGCGGCTGGTGGCGTGAATGATGGCCGGAGTCTGGCTGCTTCGTTGATGCTCGGTGCATCCGGGGTATGGGTTGGGACGCGGTTCGTTGCAACGACAGAGAGCGGGGCGAGTCAGTTACACAAGGAAGCTGTGGTTTCTGCCGGGTTTGGAGAGACGATTCGCACGCTTGTTATTTCTGGGCGGCCGCTTCGGGTGCTTCCCAACGACTATATCAAGCAATGGGAGAAGCGGCCAGAGGAGATTCTGAGCTTGACAGAAAAGGGCGTTGTCCCGATGATGGATGATATTGAAAAGGATAGAGAAGATGTCGATTTCCCATTCCTTATGGGTAGTGTTTCTGCTGTTGTGAAAAAAATCCAGCCCGCCGGGGAAGTTGTGGAGGAGATGGTTAGGGATGCTGTCCAGGCCTTGCAGCGAGGTCAGACGTTCGTCAAAGTAGGGTCGAGTAAATTATGATCATTCGATGTAGATTGATTGGCCGTTTATCTATGACTCACTCTGATTTATTTCTGAAAATACCTGTATCTAAGTACATAAATGGATATATCACTTCGACCCACTTCAAGAGTGTCCTCTTAACATTGAATATAAACAGCTGCTACAAGTCTCCAGATGTATATAACATACAGTACATTCTATTGTCAGAAGTAGCCCGGGTACCCTAACTACCAGTTCACGTGTGGACTGCAACCCGAGACTGACTCGTGTGACGTATATAACAATATCAATTGACACCACCAAGTAGCTTAGTCTATCAATCCCTTGTCTTGATCTGATCTCAAGTAACGAAAGCGCAAGTACGCACAGTTGCCAGAGGAAAGATTGAACTGCCAACAGATAGACATGAATCCAGAATAAACCAAAAACACTTCGAATCCATATTCTGTCCGAGAACTACATTGTAATACCATTCACTACAGCGTTGTTGCCATTTGTTCGCGCTTCAGCCAATGCAGGGGGCGGCGGTGGACCGAATACTGGCTTTTCGATAACCTGTTCGGGGAAACGTTCGCGGATGGCTTCGTACTCCTCGTCGTCGCTAATGACACCATCATCTTCGTCGTCTTCGTCCTCATAGTCATCATCGTCATAGTCGCTCTGCGTGCCTTCTTCGTCACCTTCCAGGTCGCCAGTCAGAGCTTGTTCGCCGATGTGATTAGAATCCCCACCGCCAACGCCGTGTCCTCTTCCTTGTTCTTGCATACGACGGCAGAGTTCCTCCAGATGGCGGCATTTCTTCTGAGTCTTTTCTAGTTCTTGCTGGTTTCTATTCCGTTCTTCTGCCATCTCCAATATATTGCGATTGGTTTGGTCGTGCTTGCGAGTCAGTGTAAGGTTTTCTTTTTCAAGACGTTTGGTTTTCTTCGACATCTCCTCCATCTCCTTTCGAAAGGTGAGGAACAACTCGTTGCTATTATTCAATGTATCTTCAACCTGAGAAGAGCATTAATGTGGATATTTTTGCAGTACAATATTTAGGATACTAACCTGTTTGAATTTTTCAACATAGATGTTGAGTTGACTGCGAAGCTCGGTTTCAGTTTGATGAAAAGTGGAAACCTGAGAATTGAGAGCGTTGTTTTTGGTAGACTCAGTCTCTGCAGCCCGCTTCCTTTCCTCGTATCTTGCGGTAAGACTCTGAATCTCCGCATCTTTGTTTCGCAACAGACTTTTGAAATGAAGCTCACGCAACTCAAATTTTTCTGAAATGGTCTTGATCTTTGCTCGAAGACTTTGCCAAGATTAGCACAGCACGGTAGACAGCGAAAACCGTAGCACTTACGCCTCGTCCAACTCGACCTCCAATTTGGCGTACTTTCGGGTCTCTTGCGACGTAACGACAACATCTTGCACGTCGTAAAGAAGAGAGCTTAAGCGTTCGTTGACAATCAGTCGAGCCCTTCTTTCATTTTCCTCGAGTTTCTTGTTCTCATCCTACACATACCCATTAGCATTTTATAAACTGGTCAATTGGCAAGTAACCCACCTTGACTTTCTTGTTTTCCTTGGTGAGTTCTCGACACAGTTTTTCCAGCTTATCCTTCATCGTAAGCGTTTTGCTCAATTCAGATTTGCCCTTATCCTGATCTTTCTGCAACTGATCGGCTCGCTTTTTGCTCTTCGAATAGTCACGGTCCAATTTTTTCATATCCGCTAGTAATTCGGTATATTTCTTGTGAACCGTCTCGAGACGAGTCATGGGCGATTCGATGTTGTTCAAAAGTTGGTTCAGGTCTCTGGTAGCCTTTTTCACCTCTCGTTCTAGGAATGTTAGATACATGATGAAAAAAAATTGCTCATTTTTGATACACAAGAAATCGACTGGGGAAAAGCACGACAAGGGATGTAGAATAAAGCAACACACCGATTTCAGCTTCTTGGTCCTTTTCTCCTGCGGCATCTTGCTCCAATTGAGAGATCTTGGCGGCGAGAAGCTTGGATGTTTCATTTGGATCAGCCATTTTTTTCCCTTTGGCTTTCTTTGACATCGTAGTCGATGCCATACTCGTTGCCGTTAGTGGTAATTTCTGGTGGCTTCAATTTCTCGAATAAAGACGGGTTGAGAGTGTTCGTGTGACTGGTTATGGTCAGGACGTGTTCGTTGTCGACACCACTATTCCCAAGCCCGGACCGCAACCAAAACAGTTGCGGTCAGAATAAGATCGAGTGGCTCTTCCAGTATATTTCCTAGGTCATGAGAAGTGGCCCTGGGCGCGAAGCTTGTGATTTTGCTCAATTAGACCGACTCGAGTTTCTCGGGATCCCGACGTGGAAGTGCGGTCGAGGTTTTGTCTCTTGGCGAACGCAATACTTCTCGTGGGCACTGTTCGGGAGCTGAGAGGTGTGCGGATTGGACAGCAAATATCGTCTTGCTCAAGACATTCGACAAAGCTGCGTCCTCGAGGATCTTGCCGGGTTTTCCATCGGGGTTTAAGCGTAGTCATTACAAAGTCGAATCCAGCGTGAGAGGGGAGGAGCCGCCTTTCCCAATATGGCTCTAGCGCGAAATTCTCTAGATTTCTTTTCTTGGCGCCATCGGCATCATGCAGCATTATTATTGCTTAGCAACACTCGACCTGTTTTATACCCGACATGCCGCTTTGCTGATATCGTTCCGCCCTTTCATTCGATTCGGCATCGCTTCTTTCTTCTCGAATTTCCATCTACGGGGGCTTAGCGTGACATGCGACAACTGCATACGACGGCTGCATAAGCTCACTGATCGATCTGCCTGTCAGCTCCAACTGGAGCTACCGTCATGCTTCGTCTACCGACCGGAACACGTCGAAACTGCCTCGCTCTGTTAAGAGCTGCTGGCAGGCCACAGCCACAGAGGCTACGACATCAGAATGGATTGTTATCGGTACGATCTGCGTCGACTGTGACGGATCTCAACAACTACCCATCCGTAGGGGAGAAGCTCCATGGGTTTACAGTGAGGGAGAAGAAGCATGTTCCGGAATTGCACTTATCTGCTGTTCTGTTAAGACACGACAAGACAGATGCAGATTACCTCCATGTGGCCAGGGATGATAAGAACAATGTTTTTGGCATTGGATTCAAGACGAATCCTCCTGACGCCACCGGAGTGCCTCATATTCTCGAACATACAACATTATGTGGAAGTAAGAAGTGAGTACAGGTTATCCTATCAATGAGTTATTGTGTAGCTGACGAATCACTCTATTAGATATCCCGTGAGGGACCCTTTCTTCAAGATGCTTCCTCGATCTCTTTCCAATTTTATGAACGCCTTTACCTCTTCAGATCATACGACTTACCCCTTTGCTACGACGAATAAACAAGACTTCCAAAACTTGCTGTCTGTCTATCTTGACGCCACACTTCATCCTCTATTGAAAGAAGAAGATTTCAGACAAGAAGGATGGAGACTTGGGCCGGAAAACCCCCGAGTTGCAGAAGGACCAGAGACAAAGGATACCAAGCTCGAAGATATCGTTTTCAAAGGCGTCGTCTACAATGAGATGAAAGGACAGATGTCCGATGCGAACTACCTTTACTACATTCGATTTAAAGAGAGCATATTCCCGGCCATCAATAATTCCGGCGGTGACCCTCACTTTATTACGGACTTGACGCACCAACAATTAGTCGAGTTTTCCGAAAAGAACTATCACCCTAGCAATGCTAAGATATTTACATACGGTGATATGACTTTAGCCGATCACCTGCAGCAAGTTGGAAGCGTGCTGGACGGATTTGATAAAGGAGTAGCAGACAATGATGTACGGCTACCAAGAGACCTTAGCGAAGGTCCCATAGAAGTCACCGTCCCGGGCCCTATTGATTCATTCACAAGCGAAGATCGACAATACAAAAGTTCGAATTCGTGGCTTATGGGTGACACTACTGATATTGTGGAAACTTTTTCGGCGGGAATCTTGTCGTCATTACTGCTCGATGGCTATGGTTCTCCCATGTACCGAGCCTTGATTGAGAGTGAGCTCGGTTCATCCTTCACTCCCAACACCGGCCTTGATCCATCTTCCAAAAAGCCAATATTCTCTGTCGGTGTTAATGGTGTTCGCGAGGAAGACTTGCCTAAAGTGAGTGAAGCCATTTGTAACATATTCCGCGAATCTGTATCAAATGGATTCAGTGACGAGAAGGTCCAAGGCTTTCTTCATCAACTGGAACTTTCGTTAAGACACAAAACCGCAAATTTCGGTATTGGGGTTATGGAGAAAACCATATCTTCGTGGTTCAATGGTAGCGACCCAATGAAGGAACTTGCCTGGAACGATGTTATCAACGAGTTCAAAGAACGATATTCTAAGGGCGGGTATCTTGAGTCTTTGGTGGAGAAGTATCTTCTCAAAGATAACTATATGAAGTTCACGATGGTAGGCTCGCCATCTTTTAATAAGGAGCTTGATGAGCAAGAAAAGGTGCGGAAGTATTCCAAACTTTCCGAGCTGATTTCCGAACATGGCTCGACGGAACGAGCAGTCGCTGAATTGGATAATGTGGAACTGGAATTGTTGAAAATTCAGGAGGACGCGCAACTCGCTGATGTGAGTTGTTTGCCATCTGTCCACGTCAGTGATATTTCAAGAGAAAAAGAACGCAAGCCTGTTCGAGAAGCTACAGTTGACGGTGTCGAAGTTATGTGGCGTGAGGCGCCAACCAATGGTTTGACATACTTTCAAGCTTTGAATCCTTTTGACGATTTGCCAAACGATCTTCGTCTCTTGGTGCCACTTTTCAATGACTGTGTCATGCGCCTTGGTACTTCTGGCAGAAATATGGAACAATGGGAAGACTTGATCAAACTCAAGACGGGCGGCGTCACTACGTCATCCTATTTGGTCTCTTCACCAAGTCAGCTAGGCAAGTTTAGCGAAGGACTTCAATTCACTGGATTTGCCTTGGATAAAAACATCCCTGTCATGCTAGAGACTATTCACGCTCTTGTGGCGGAGACTGATTTTTCAAGCCAAGCAGCTCCGCGCATGATTATGGAGTTGTTACGCTCCACAACGAACGGCGCGCTGGATGCAGTTGCTGGTACTGGCCATCGTTTCGCAGTTAATGCTGCTGCTGCAGCATTAAACGAGAGTTTCTGGGTTCAAGAGCAGCACTCTGGGTTGACTCAATTACAGGCCACGGCTGATCTGCTTTTTGATGCTGCAAACTCTCCGCAACGTCTGCAAGAACTGATTGAAAAACTCCGCCTAATCCAGAGCTTTGCCATATCCAGAACATCGAATATGCGTGTTCGCATGGTTTGCGAAGCTAGCAGCGCTGCAGAGAACGAAGTTGCTTTGCAAAAGTGGTTGGCAGGTCTTCCGAAACCTGTAGCAGTACCTCGCTCAGACAGCAAGGTGCAACTTCCCAGCAACCCTGGAAAAGTTCTCTATGATATGCCCTACAAGGTCTACTACTCTGGTCTTGCTATGGAAACAGTGCCTTTTATTGATCCCGCTAGTGCTCCATTGAGCGTCCTGTCCCAGCTGTTGACTCACAAGTATCTGCACCCAGAGATTCGTGAAAAGGGTGGCGCTTATGGTGCCGGGGCTAGCAACGGTCCTATCAAAGGTGTCTTCACACTGTCCAGCTACCGAGACCCCAACCCAAGCAACACCTTGAATGTTTTCCAGAAAGCTGGCACTTTTGCTCGGGACCGCTCTTGGACGGATCGGGACCTGGAAGAGGCCAAATTGAGTATCTTCCAAGGTCTTGATGCCCCAACTAGCGTCGACGACGAGGGCGCGCGTTATTTCATGAGTGGTGTTACTCACGAAATGGACCAACGCTGGAGAGAGCAAGTCCTGGACGTGACGGCGAAACAGGTTAATGAGGTTGCGCAGAAGTATCTCGTTGACGCACCTCGCCAGGCATTGTGTGTGCTAGGTGAGAAGAAAGAGTTTTCTGACTCAAACGAATGGGCTGTGAAGAAGCTGTCGCTACAGTCACAGGAACCAGAGGTGGACGCTGTTGAAAACGCCGCAGCCACAGCTTAGTTTGTGGTATCCAGCCCTGAACCCGCTGTCAGACCATCTACACTCTACCATTTATTATTCGCGCCAGTACTTGGTCGCTAAAAGTATAGTGACTTTGTGCTCCATATACCCTTCATTTAAACATGTACTATAGGCCAAACTTGGTGTTGCTCTTCATATGAGAACAGCATATATTTTAAACTTACTGTACGACATATCTACTGTACAATAGACCGTCCTATTGCTATGACTACCGAGCATTTATTCGCCTTTGACAACACGCGCCGCTAGAACAGAGCAAGACTCGTCTCCAGTCTCGTCCATGACTGGCAGATGCCTAGTCGCCCCGGTGACAATATATTGATTATATTGACGCTCGGGTATACAGCGCAAGAGCAACTCCACTGACATTCCATATCCAAACTTCTGTTCTAGGGGCGTTCCCCTGGGTAGCAGTGGACTGCTGGCTGTGTCTTCCGTAAACCTTCGCAAGAGGCGTTTTGTGAGACCGCTTTTTGGCCCCTGCTGGTACAGGGGGGCGATCATCCTGGAATACGAGGTGTGGAGGGATCTCAGTCTCCGTTTATCAGACCTGCCCTAATCCGTGAGCCTATGGAGGGTGGACTAAAAACGCGAGGACATAATAAACATATAATCATGGATCCGTAATCCTATATATACACTGTCCAAGTGACAACAATTCAATCGAGGCTGCTACAAGTTACGCTTGATGGGGCTGGTCAATCTCGTGATCACCGTTAATCAATAGATTGATAGCCTAGGCAATTAGCAGCACCTGCGGCATTACCCGCCCCCCCAGTACACCCTTAATATTCTTAATATTACTTAACTAACCATCCATACGCCGCTGATAACCTGCCAGCTTCCCCCGGAATTTGTTCATCTCTCCGTGGCTCTACTCGCGCGATTATGTGAGATATTCGTCCTGCTCTCCTAGTAGCCATCAGCAAGCCAGGCAATTACCACCAACCGCCTATACAATGGCCGACAGCCAATTCCTCGCGCCAAAGCCCACCAAGGCCTGTGGTAAGTTCGTATCGTATCGTGTTTGGCGGAAGTTTCGATGGGCTGATTGGACACGCAGTCAATTGCCGCAGGCAAAAGGTAGGGATCTACACTTCGATTTTAAACGGTCGCGTGGAAATACGAAGGCTTATAATGCATTTATAGATGAAATGTCAGGTCGACGACGCTCCACCGTGCCGTCGATGTAAAAGCCTCAAGACCGAATGCATATTTCGGCCACGAGCAAACGTATGTGATCAACGGATGTAATTGTTCGGTGCGAAGGTTAATTAAGATACAGGCTGCGGCATTACACAAACTGTCAGAGACGCCCCTGGCCAATGCGACAGTAGCTTTCAGCGGTTTTAATTTCGCCTCGGCCCCTTCCACTAATCAAGCTTCAATCCTGTCTCGCTTAGACACGATCGAGGCTATCTTGGGCATCAAGAAGCTATCAGATGACCTTCTCAAATTCGATGTAGAAGAAGATCTAGACATCGAACCAGATGAGCCTGATGGAGATTTTCCGTTGTCCGGGGTCTGGAAAGCCCTCACCCGATTACGAGAAATCGCCAGACCTTCTCAGGATTCGACTATCTGGTCCAAGAAGGTTGTCAAACAGCTATGGCACTCGTACGTATTCAGTGGATTAATCAGTTGGCTAGTTGCATGCTTATCTCGCTAGATTCCATACCCATCTTCCCTTGTTACACTTTTTGGCCGATCGTAAAACATTTTCTAGCCCGACACCTCTACTTCTCGCCTCTATACTATATATTTCTTCATTGCATCATAATTCTGCTGAATATGCGAACTTTTCTCCGGGATACTTTGCCGCTACGTGTAGCGCTATTGCAAATCTAGTCATGCCTTCTAGTTCAAGTTTTGGCCTCAGTAATCCGAATCATCCTGGTTCCAAAGTGGAAGAAGTCGTTTTCAACGACATTCTGGGACTAATCATGGCGAGCTTGAGCTCAGAGGCATTCATTGATTCGACGGGGACGTGGATATCTATTGGATACCGATTACTTTTGGACCATTGCCCACACCGAGAACAGGGTCCCCAGGACTGGAAAGGTCTTTTTTCTGGGCTTCAAGTAAGCTCCCTGCTTCGATTTCCGACTTATTCTAATAAACAAAGGTTATTGATGTGGAACATGCCTCCATCCACTTATGCTACCCATTACTACCGAAACAGCCACCACAGTTACAATTGCAAAACCTCGATCGCTCACAAGACAACGCATACCGAGGATTGTCTCAGATGATGCATAGCGGTATAAGCCATTTCGTCGGCCGGGGACTGCCTTCAATATGGTCGTTCGTCAGTGGAAAGGGCACCGTCAAGCTTGTCAGCGCAGAGACGACCTTTACAGACCAGGACTTTCAAGTAATCCGCCGCTGGGCTAAAGAATTAGATGAGTGGCTGGTTCGGTATAACGGGGCTTCTCGTGAGTTATGACTGTACTCATATCTTTTGAATATGAAACTGAAAGAAGTGTAGAACCCTCCGAGGGTGATCGCCATGGTATTTTGATTCTTCTTCAGTATCATCTTCACAAACTGTTTGTTCTTTCTATTTATCACCCCGCTCGTGGGTATGATCTCGGAGCGCATAATTTTACGTCTATGGAGAAACACGAACTTTTGATATCAGCTCGCTCGATCCTGCGACTGCGTGATAACGACACGGGGATATGGTCAAATTGGGATCTTGTGATGGTCACACTAGCTGCCATGCTGGTGCTCCGTGGAATTGAAGACAAAATGGCAAACCAAGATGGTAAGTAGAGTCGTGGTATAAAGCAGCCTAGCTAATGTCCTTCAGATTTGAATCTAGTTCAAAGCCATCTGAAAAGTCTACAAGATTGCCTAACCCCAACCCCAAGCATTCAACATCTTCTAGCAGAACGCCTTGAGAATGCTCTGCAAAACATGCAGAGCCCTGTATCCGCCAGTTCCGACTTGATCATGTCAAATGCGAATGTGAACTTCTCGTGGACATTGTTTGACCAGAACACACTGTCTCTAGCAAACCCAACCTGGTTGATGCAAGACCCTCTTTCTATGACCCCCAAACATGCCGTTCAACCGTCGCCGACTGAGCCTAGGAACGGCATTCCGGATCAATTCCACTCTGATTTGGTGCCTGGTGATGCGCAGGCGTTTCAAAGTAGGCAATGGATGCAGGAGCAGGTGTCTGGCATGTGGCCGTCTACTTTCCATCGATTATTTGGACATGATGAAGCAATACAATCTGAAAACGGCGCCTTAGGGAGCTAATGATATTCTATTCGACGATCGTCAAACATTCCCAAGCATCTGTTTTAACTACCAATTTGTTGAACCATGCAAGCAGCAATCAGAACAGATGATGAAACATAAGCCGGTTCATTCCCGCCTCACAGCGAATTTCAACAGACGCACATTCTTATCTTTATGCCACTTCCAAGTGCTTTCCGCCAACCCAGAAACCAACGAAGCTTCAACTTTCCATTTAACGCCCGTTTCCTCTCCAACCTGATGCCAAAACTCAATCCACGATGCTTCATTATGTCGAAAAATTGATTTTTCGCCGGCCACCTCCCGTTGCTCGCCCGGGTCAATGTTGCCCACCTGTCGCCCCAGAATCAACGCATTCGGCTTATCTTTCAACAGACTGACCAGTCTTTTCGCGACCTTGAAGGAATCTTCTTTCCCAAAGAGATGTAAAAACGAGCCAGCATAGATGATGTCTATCTGCCCGGTCAACTCTTTCACCAAATCTGAGTTATCATCAAAGATATCTGCAGCGATAAAACGCGCCTTGAACCTGTCTTTATCAAGAAATAGGTCATAGCCCAGGTTCATAAAATCGAGACTAATATCAGTGCCGTAGAGGTTACCCTCTGGAGCGCCGTCGAATGCCTACACCGAAATAAACTTTTCGTTACATGTATGCGATGGGTAGGTGGTTCTTACCAACTGTCTCAACTCCTGGCCAAAGCAGCACCCCGCGTCAAGAAACTTTTCACCGGCTTTGACTCGCTGCAGGATTTCGTTGTAGTGTATAGTTTCGACGAGACTCAGTTGCAGAAATCTAAAGGATCCGATGCACGGGTATGGAAACTAAAGAGTCAGCTTATTTACCCAGAGGGATACTCTTTGTTCGACAATAACATACAATATCAAATGCACGGTCTCGCTGATAAATTTATTTATTATTTATCAACCATTTCCATTCCTTTCGAATTGCATGACCCCTGTTTATACTCACCAGAGCGAGAATATGGCCATCAACCTCATCTGCCGGAATCCCGCTATACTGCTCCAACAGCCTGCGCGCTTCAATCGACAAATCCTTTAATTCATGCTCGTACCACGGCGGACGGGAATTCTGGGCTGCGTATTTCCGCGCTTCTTCTAATATCCCGGACATTTTGTCTAATTACTAGGTGATGGGATTGTTCGATCTGCATAAAGAGGAAAGGTGCCAGCCGGGTAAATATTTAGCAATTGATAGTGACAAATATTCTGTGACGGGCACGTCACCCACAACATATATAGGCCTGCATAGCTGCCCCGCGCCAAAACGAATTCGGGTTTGATTTACATCAATTGATGTCAATCAACACATTTGATACAAAGACGTGGAGTATACATATATATATATGCTCGATTATGAATTTGAAGAGAACATGACTTGGATGTGTATTTGCAACTGAGTTTTATAAGATCGTAATGTGAATTGCTTCTAACTACAGCAATTATTTATGTTCTATTAATCAACACGATAGTATATTCTACCAGGGCAACTGCAACGGAGTCGGGAGATTCTTCCCCAACACCGGCTCCGCAGTGCCAATATCCCTATACTCACTCATCAGATCTACTTGCATCTATAATTCGCAAAGGAAACTTACCCAGCCCCTCTGGGCGCCCAATACGTTCCCGTCTTGGAGATATCAAACTCCTTCTCAACGAACTCCACCAACGACTTTGCCGATTCGTCCGGCGTGATAGCTGTATCGTCAGCCCTCTATCCTAACAATAAAATGATAGTTGAAAAAAAAAAAGTAGTTATTTACCTCCCCCCTGATCCCAGTACTTATCAAACCCCACACTCCGCGTCATCTCCGTCCTCATAAAGCCCGGATGCACCAATCCCACCGCCACGTTTTTGTCTTTCAGATCCAACGCAAGCAGCTTCCCGACCATATTCAGCGCGGCTTTGCTCGCATGATGCCCGTAATTCCCGCCGCCTTCTTTCTCATGCCGTAGCGCAATACTACCGCTTTCAGACGAAATCAAGATTATTTTGCAGTCTTCATCGGTGGCCAGAAGGGAGCCCTTGGCGAGGGCCTGGACGGCGAAGACGGGCCCGACAGCGGAGGTTGTGTACATGGAAACCTGTTTCTGCCAATCGAGCTCGTCGAAGGTCTCGAAGCCGAAGTAGCCGGCGGAAATAATCACGGTGTGTAGGCGGCTGTTGTAGGGGTGGAGCTGTGTGGTCAGCGTGCTGCCGATGTCCGGCTGCGAGATGTCGATGTTGAGCAGCCAGCGGAATTTGGGGTGAGAGGGGCTGGCTGGCGGCTTGCTGGAGCGTGTAGTTGTGTAGACTGTTGATGTGGAGGGGAGCGAGGCGTAGAGGGTCGCTAGGGAGGCGCCGAGCCCGCGTGTTGCGCCGACGATGAGGATGTTGCGTGACATATTGATGGTTTACGATTTGGTTGAGGGTGGTGGAGGTTTGAGGGTATAATAATGGCGACTGGTTTATATATAGATGGTGTGGGATGGCATGACGCAAGATGTATACCATCGATGATCCGCCGGCCAATCACACCATCAATTGATAGTCTTGGTGAATATTCACGAGACATCTCGACCAGCTTCTTTATAATTAGAAAGAAATAAAAATAAATAAAAATAATGCTGAGCGCAACGTCCAGTTGATCATTCATAATAGTTGGACACTGTATCGATTGATAACCATTTTTGGTGGAAGAGGAGAGGATAATTACGACTCTTACACAGGTCTACATCCATATCCATAATCAGTGAGAAGACGGTTCTGCAATGTACATTCATATTCGTATCCTCCCCTCCGATAGTATACAGGAAATGTCCGTCCCTCAGCATGTCCGGTTTCCGGAGTCTCGCATTGCTTAATCGTCAAAGTCCATGAATGACGAGTGGCTACAGGTTCACCTTTCTGCACTCGGCGCTTGAGCATCCAGAGAAAATACATTCGCCGACCCTTGTGACATTGGCGTCACCGGCAACGACGGAAATGGTTCAGTTGCTTCGTCGTTCTCGTTTATAGATGCTGGGTTGCTTCGAGGAATGACGAGTGGGTTTGAAATGTCAGAGGTAGGAGTGACGTTTCGCGACTATTTCAGATATTAACTACATATCTTGTCCCGTTGGTAGATTCTTACCTGATCACGGATCAAGCCCTGGTTAACAGCCAACTGCTGGGCTGCACTGCGTCGTCGCGCAATTGCTAGCTCTTCCTCATTCTCAGCTGCTTGTTCTTCCTTGGCTAGCTCTGCCATTGATGGAAAGTCTTCAATCTGCGTAGCTCCCGCATCCGATTTCGACTCCCTTCGTTCCCTGCCGCGGCCGCTTTTTGAGTCTCTGGACGAGTATCCTGATGTGTTCCGGCGGGACCGACCAGCGCTTCCTACCAGGTGATCGTCCGAAGTAAATCCAGTACTTCGGCGTGCTAACGTAACAGCAAATTCGTCATCTAATGGGACAGCATCTTCGTCGTCTTCATCGTCGAATATAAGATCTCCTCGTGAGCTCAAAGAATTCGACGTCTCTTGCGATGACTGCGTAGTACTCCGGAGCCGCTTTTGCTTCTTTTTCCCAGCTGCATGATTGGTTTCCTCATCCTCTTCCATTAACGGCTGCGCTTCGAATTCGTCGCGCGCTTCATAGTCATCGTCATGCGGAAGCCGGCCTGGCCGCTCCTGCAAATCCGCCGCGGATGGGCGATACTTGACGCCCCGTGAGCCTAACTTCCACGGGAAGCGCTCCAGAAAACCTATAATCGACGACCGCGGAATGACGGTAGGGTCGTTCCTCTGATCTGGCAGAATCGAGCTTTTTCTGCGTGTGCGAGCAGCGCCGTAGCTCATCTTCCGCTGGCGCCGAGGTTGCTGTGGCCCACCCCCGCTGCCTGCCAGCAGGCGATCTAGTTCATCATTGCCCCATCCTAGCAGCCCATCGTTATCCTCGTCGTTATCCCAGTCGTCGTAGAAATCAAAGTTCAGTTCAGCGCGCCCTCGCCGGCGACGTCGCAATTGGGTGTCGCGGCTGGGTATGCATGGTGCGGTGCATTCTTGGAGGCAGGTCCCAATCGACGCAAAGCACGGCGCGAGGTATTCGTGCGCGAAGGTGTAGAAACGTTCCTGCGCGGTTTCGTTTGCGGATTCGAGATTATGCGAAATTTGGTTCAGGGTCTGGCGGATGCGAGGGTCGCTCGTGCGCATCATCTTGTGTGTGGTGTAGTGTGGTGTGGATGTCGATGGGGGAGGGCAGTTACGTGTAATTGAGAATCAGGGTCATGACAGAGAGGCAGAACCTAGCGGCAGCAGACCGAGCGATGCATGGTGTTCGGTATGTGAAGCAGTACGTATAATCATATAATGTAATTATCGTATTACATTATGTTGTTGGGGAACATACCACAGAGAGACAGAGACGGCAGCGAGACCAATGACAATGACGCACATGCTCCACGCACGTGAGATAACGGCGCCGCCAATCATCGCTCGTCCTTTTTATCCATATCATAGATTTATATCAGAGCGATGGTCTACTACATACGCTTCCTGAAACCCCCCAAACTGCAGCATGGCAAGAATGGACTTGCCACGGCCTCGGCGCTGATTTCGATCACCACCGACCTGGGTGACGCTTTCCTGGCCGAGGATGTATCACTACAGGCGCAACTGATCGCAGGAGACACAAATACCGTTCTACAGAAGAAAGATTTGTTGTGGCAGGCTGGGAAAAGAGAGCTACCGGTTTCAATTGGGCCTATTCGGTTTGGCTTGAAGAACCAGCCGATTGGCCTTGCCATAGGAATCAAAGATGCCTCCAGTTCTGTTTTTCACGACGAGTTGAATGACTCTACAACCTTGCCGTTGGTTATGTCCGGATGGAGCGCATCTTTTGGCGGGTCAGAATCTGCCACTGCTGCGAAGCTTGTTGAGAGACGGTTCAATCTGGAGGAACACGGCCAGCTGAGGATCTGGGAGGAGACGGGGAATAATATAGCGCGTCATATATGGTAAGTTCGCTAGCAACCGCGACGAAATGTGGTTGTTGACAGTTACCCAGGGACGCAGCCCTAGCTGCAGTGATATGTCTGCAAAGCGCAATCACGAATTCCCCATCATCGGAACTACAGAAACTACAGTCTCGGTTTCAACACGGCACCAACAAGACCCTTCGCGTAGTCGAGCTCGGCGCTGGATGTGGGATTGTCGGCATCGCTCTAGCCCAGATGCAGCCTCGCAGCGCTGTCATACTCACCGATCTCCCCGAAGTCAACGACATTGTGTCTCGCAACATGAGGCTTGCACATCTGGCGGCTGGGTCGAGCGTCGAGTTCCAGGTGCTAGACTGGGATGAACCGCACGGGGATGTCTTTGCAGACGGGCTGGACCTGATTCTTGTCTCTGACTGCACGTACAATGCCGACAGCCTTCCTGCGCTGGTGCTGGTGCTGAGCCATGCCACCCGCAGATCGCCAGATGCTCTGGTCTTGGTGTCCCTCAAGAGGCGGCACGACAGCGAGGCGGTCTTCTTCGAGCTGATGCAGGCGGCCTCGTTCCGCATTGTCGAGCAGACGGCAGTGTCTCTCCCGGCAGCGTACTCGGAAGCAGACCGCATTGAAATATATGGGTTTCAACATGTACACACACATACATAATAGTATATATATGTATATATATACTACATGAGTACATATGTATGAGTATGAGTGTTACAATGAAGGCCTCTGATTGGCTGCAGCCTGGGATATGTGCGTCATTTGCTAGCTGCATCTGGCTAGCCACTCGGAGTACAGTGGGGCAATGGCGGCCTGTGATTGGCCTGTGCCGGTCCAGAACACAACAAAAAAACAAAAAAAATGCCAAATGCGACCGGGTGCCTGCATGTATTACTATTTAATATTCATACATATTCCTATTTAATAGTATATATTTATATTTACTATCAGTATTTAACCTTTACTATTTACTATTAACTACTAAATATTACATAGTAATATTAACTGCGGAGGCAATTGATATGCTCAGCGGCGAGGAACAGTGGCTTGCTCGGAAAATGATAAATCGCGCACCCAATTTGAGGCGGCATCGATATGCAGTCGATTGCAAGCTGACTCTGCTGATAGCAGTCGTGATAGTCAGTCAGAGTAGTAACGATTACCATCACAATGATAGTCTTATTAATAGTTGCTGTGGGAATCCACATCCAGTGCTAAGCATTAATCGCTCATACAAAGCAACAGCATCAAAAGACAGGGTGGATGACCTCATCTATAAAACCAGAAATCAGACAGTGAGTAGGGCAGGGCAGAACCACACGCGAGCGAAAAACAGGCGAATGAAAAGCAAGCAGGAGCTGATCCTGGTCGTGCTTGCTGTTCGCTGGTCGGTGCAAGTCGGGAAAAAGAGTGGAGAGCACAGTAGCAGTTAATTATATTTCTCTCCCCGCAGCACTACCCACAACTCTTCCATTTTTTCGACACACCCAACCACCACCATCATCATTGCCCACGCGATCGACCCGTTCCTGTGAAGCCTCGTAAGTGCGACATTTTTCTGGCCCTGTCATCATTACCCCTAGCTCGATCGAGGAACTGTGCGGCGATGTGCCCATTCGGTTCTGTGCTGTGCTGTGCGGTTGCCTGTACCCTAACAACACAACGGACTCCCATTACCCACCTCCTCCACCCTCTTCTTTGTCGTCCATCACACTGAACTGAATCAACACGCTGAAACTAATGACTCACTAGTTCTCAGGACTTAAAAACCCAGCAATTGCCTTTGGAATCCCCAAAGGCGCAGACAACACCACGGCTTTTGCCTCATCCTCGTTCTTCTTCCGCATTGTCTCCCGCAGCCGACTTCGGCAGACTCTCAACAACATTCCACCTCCTGCTGCTTGCTAACCAGCTGCTGTCATCCTCGAGCGTGCCTGTCATTCCCCTGGCCCCAGTCGCTACCTCCCCCTCTCTTTCTGAGCTGCCGCATAGGGTTACTCTGACGGTTCTTCCTCTTTTGGGGGAAGGGTCGAAGAGGCTTAGCCCACTCAACTTCAGCTGCGAAGCTTTTCGCCCTCCTTAACGAGGCTATTTAGATATCTTATTGATTTACTGCCGACCGCATGGTTATGGCACCTTCGGTTCTTGCTGTTGATGATATCTATACCACTAGTAATTATCATCCACATACGAAAGATCCGACACTTGTGACCCCGTACAGCACCGATCATGGCGTGAAGCCTATTTGTCTGCCTCGGGGCCAAGTGGCTCCGAAAGAGATGATTCTCGAGCAATTGAGACTGCGTGTGGCCAGGGTGGATGCTGCCTGCTGCGAGCCCGGCGAGGAGGATGCCTTTTATGTGGCCGACATGGGCGAAATCTACCGCCAGCACATGCGCTGGAAAATGAACCTGAGTCGCGTCAAGCCTTTCTACGGTGGGTTATCCTCCGTTTCAATAAATTTTAATGGTGACTAACGTTACACTAGCCGTCAAGTGCAACCCCGACCCAGAGATCCTTCGTCTCATGGCCAAGCTTGGAAATGGCTTCGATTGTGCGTCCAAGGCCGAGATTGACTTGGCTCTGCAGGCCGGCGTCGATCCAAGTCGGATCATCTACGCCCAGCCATGCAAAACCAGGTCGTATCTGAGATATGCTGCTCAGAAAGGCGTCAAGCAAATGACATTCGACAACGCCGACGAGCTATACAAAATCAAAACCGACTTCCCCGAAGCCGAGCTGTACCTGCGTATTTTGACCGATGACTCTTCCAGCATGTGCCGCCTGAGTATGAAATTCGGCGCATCTGTCGACAGTGCTCGCTACCTTCTTGACCTTGCAAAACAGCTTGAGCTGAAGGTAGTTGGCGTGAGCTTTCACGTTGGCTCCGGGGCTGAAGATCCGGCAACGTTCATCAAGGCTGTACAAGACGCTCGGTGGGTGTTTGACCAAGCTGCCGAAGTCGGTTATGAACTCCACACCCTTGATGTTGGCGGTGGTTTCTGCGATGACACTTTCGAGCGATTTGCAGCCATCTTGGGCAAGGCCGTCGACGACTGTTTCCCTCCGCATATTCGTATCATCGCGGAGCCTGGTCGCTACTACGTTGCCCAGGCCTTCACTCTGGCTGCACATGTCATTGCGCGTCGCGATGTCCGCGACCCGCAGGATCCTGCGCGCGATGCTTACATGTTGTATCTGAATGACGGGGTCTATGGCAATTTCTCCAACATCATTTTCGACCACCAACATCCAGTCGCGCAGATCTTGACTAGCGCCGCCAACGGGCTGGAATCTGCTGGCTCTTCCACTGGCAGTTCGCCTACCGATGGCATTGAATACAGCATTTGGGGGCCGACCTGCGACGGAATTGATGTCATCAGCAACCGCATTACTTTGCCAGGCTTGGTTGATGTTGGAGACTGGCTTTACTTTGAAAATATGGGTGCATACACTCGCTGCAGTGCTACCCGTTTCAACGGGTTCTCCGATAACCACGATGTTATATACATTTCCAGCGAGCCCGGAGCGTCTGCGCTGCTCGAATATTGATTGTTCTCTGTTGCTTTTTGTTCCTTTTGTTTGGTGGCTTTTTCTGTTTTGTTTTGTTTTTGTCTCGTGTTTAGATTGTTGTTTTGGTTGTGATTATTCTCAGTCACAGACACAAAAGTTCTTGGTAGATTTCAGTTAAGATCAGTTGACCTTGCTATAGACATAGATTCAATAATCTGTAAATAGCATTGAACAAAATATACATATACATGTGCATATCCTCAATTCCGATGTCTATCGCTATCATTTCTATTACTCTATCACTCTACATATGTATCCATGGGTATCATCATAGCAGCTTTTGTACAACCAACTCACCCCCCTCAACCGTCTTCACCAGCCCTCCAGCCTCCAGCCTCTTCTTCCACTTCCCCGACTCATACCGCGCCAAAATAAATGTCAACCGTGCAGCCTCGCCCTCCTCTACGGACGCCGGCGTGAACGTCCAGCGCCCAAACGCCCAATTCAGAATGTACACACCCGTGCCCGCCGTCGTAGGCAGCGCCGGATCTGATCCTTGCGGCGCTGTCGCCGGCGCACAGCGCACTATGCCCTTGATCCGATACACCTCTTCCTTCGAGGCTGAGTGCAGCAGATGCGCGAATGCGTGGACATCCAGCACCGCTCCAGCGCCATCACCCTTCAATGTCACAGAAAGAACCTCTACTTCTGACTGATGCTCATGCTCATGCTCATGCTCATGCTCATGCCTATGCCCATGCCCCTCCCCCTGCACCTCTCTTCGTAATAGCTCTTCTCCGCCCCTCGCCATCAACGCGCCATCAATCCCCAACAACACGTCTCTCTCCACCCTCCCCCTATCCGACTTGACCCAAGGCGTCGGCGGATCGAGCTCCAAATCGGCCAGGCGATCTAAACAAACATCAAAGCGTCTCTCATCCACCAGCTCCCACTTATTAAACACCACCATATCCGTATACTTGGCCTGCATCTTGGCCGTGTAACTCGTATCCTCATAGCCCGCCCAATTCTCGACATCAATCACACTAATCACGCCATCGAGCGCAAACACGCCGGGATATTCTTCCCGTGCCAGACGGTTTACTTCCATCGCTAGAGTCGCGGGGAACGCGCTTCCGCTGGTTTCGATAATTATGCGGTCGGGCTGGATAGAGGTGCGCAATTGGTGGAGGGCGGGGCCTAGTTGGCCGACGAGATTACAGCAGATGCAGCCGTTGAGAAGCTCGCGGACGCCGCTGATGGATTGCGTTGTGGCCAGCTGTGAGTCGATGGCGACGTCGCCGAATTCGTTTTTGAGGAGCGCGAGGCGGTAGGTTGGTGGGAGTTGCGGGATCAGGTTGAGCAGGAGTGTGGTTTTGCCGGACCCGAGGAAGCCCGTGATGATAGTGATGGGAATTGGAGGGTGGGGGATCGTCATTTTATATTCTAAGATGGTTGATATGTTGTGTTGTTGTATATGTAGGTGAATGGAGAAGAAAGTGAAATGGCCTTGGTTTTTTTGACCGGGGAGAATCGGCGGCCCCTCACTGCGATAAGATAGGACCACCCCACGGCTACAACCATGTCTACTATATAAACATAGAGTGGATAAATTCTTGCCTATTTATGTTGCTGATTTAAGAAATATGATTTATTAGTATAGTCTAACAAGTCATGCGTGGTGTACACTGTCATCTGTTATTGAGTTCTGTGTTATATCAATGGGCCAGGATCCATGCATACCACCCCAGTACCGAAACTATAAACAGGGGATAGATTGACAGACATGTTGATTATGTTGGTATTTAGTTAGGATATACATGTCAACTGGTAGGTAATGTACCAATATGTGATGGTGCGACTAAGACAGATATTTGTACTAGACGAGGTGGCTCCTTCCTGCCTCGTTTGTCTCAACATCGATTGATCCGCCTTCTTGACCTGCTCAACTTCAAGTAATTTATTAGAGATATCAGATACTCTCAAATGCATTGATTACATGCATTTATATGCATTGACTGTGCTGACTGACTGTGCTGGTTGCTTCATGTATATGGCTGTATCATGCCGTACGAGGAGATCACGAATTTCTACCCCGACAAGGGATCCAGCATCAGCTCGTCAATCCCCTCGAGCAAGTGCGCCGAAAATGCCGTACGTCTGTTTCCTCCTGACCAGCCATTATTCTGACTTCATAGTTCACTTGCACCCGTCCCCGATGCCACTGCGACGCCGCGAATCGCGAAGACCCTGATGCCACCGAAACAGTCTCGCTCGAGAATCGCAGACACGCCGACTACTTCTACCGACCACCAGTATTAGGCCCATTGCCCGGGTTCTGTGATTCTCAAAACTCGCCATATGCGGATTTTCACTACGAAAAGCTTTCGAAGGCTGAATACTGCGAGCAATGCCAGTTCTGCTCGGTGCTGTCCAGATGGTGTGGCAGACCATCTGCACTAGACCTTAACTGCGCGTCTGTGGTTGATCTAAATTACACGAAAATGAAGCTGCCCAATGCAACCTGGGTCCAGGAGCCACTGATAGTCAATCCGGCGGAAATATACGGTGAAAACACGAACCCTAGAGAGCCATTTCTGCCAGCTGTGTTTGTGAGTGTGGCCTGCAACGAGACACTCTCTACTTGCTAACTAAACAGTCTCATACTATTTCCTATCCCTTTCCTCAGGAGCTGCCTGTATATGATGTTGATTTATCGAGAGATGAGTGGAATCGCTCAATGGAGAGCATCCATAACATCCATCGCTGCCGCACAATGCCTCAACGGCGGGCGGAGAAATGCCAGCGGCTCAGGCTCTGCAAGGATGTTCGTGGAGCGAAACGCGAGGACTGGGCTTTCGAGGAGGGGTCCCTTGTTATCGGTATTCACCCGAATTTCGTAGATTTGCCACAGCAGCTTATTGCACCGGACGAGTTCGAGCTACGATATGGAGAGGTGTACGTGGTCTGCCGGATGTTTCCTGATTTGTGGGCGCTCTGCGCAAGATTAAGGATGTCGGAATGTATTCTTCCAAATCGAAAAAGTGATACAGTTGGTCATGGCGTGGAGAATATCAAATTCCTTCCGCTGTGTGCTGTTACGTTGGCTGCTAACTTTGCGAACTTTGATCGGCGTTATGCAGAGTATAGGCTGCGATACCCTTATGCAACTGCATTCCCATACGGAGGGCTTCGAATCACGCCACCAATGCGCCAGGAGAGTATCGAGGCTAGCGAGGAGTTTTTCGAGTTTGGTTATGAATCACTGCATATGGCGGGGATTGTGTTTGATCTTTGCCAACCACGCGCCACGTTACCGTCTAACACTGACTATGCGCCTTTGAACTTGTCCATTTGGGAAAAGATACAAGAGCTAATCCCATTTAGCGACGCTTTCGGTAAATCGGGTACACTGCGAAGAGGATGGCGGAAAAGTATTCCCAAAGAAACTAATCAGTCCGCTACTGGAAGCAAAAATGCGAGTGATTGTCCACAAGACCTCAGCCCCAACGTGTCTTTAGAGAATGATATTATTTATACAGAAGACAAGTCTGTCACACATCGTGAGGAAATAGACACGGTTAAAGCGAACGGCAGGTCGAGGAGTTTGAGATCGCGAAGACCGGTGAGCAAGCGTAAGAGTGTTCGCGAGTTCTTCTTTGGGACTTGGAGACAGAGGCCGCTGGAGTTATTGGACACGGGAAATCCTGTCGAGGAAGCATCGCAGGGCAACTCGAGCTGATGCGAGTTTATTGATCGGTAGTGCTCGAGTTGGATTATTCTCGAAGACTCATTGAAGATTGTTATTTGGATGTAGATTAGTCTCTCATTCTGGGTCTGTATGGTATTATTTGTAGATAATAACACTCTTTACACTCATTCAAATAATGATGTCAAGTATGTATATCCCTGCCAGGTTAGGGTTATTGCCCATCCGTAAGCATACAAAAGCCATAGCCAACACAATCGATATATGAAACACAATCGACTAGGAAGATATTGATATTGTCCTCATTTAACCCTCCGGACCACAAACTCAATAACCCTCGCACTCTCCCCCAAAAATGCCTGATCTCGCGGATCCCAGCCCATGTCCTCCCACGTCCTCAACCATGCCTGCACCGCCCACTTCGACCCGGTCTGGAGCCCGACCTGCTGCCACAACTTATCAAACGAAACAGGATCATGTCTCCAAAGTGGCACCTTAACCGGCCCAAACTCAACCTCCACGCCGCCCACATCCAGAGTCCCAATCTGACAACCCACCACCAACGTTCCCACCCGCGAGAACTCCACCAACCTTTTCACAGCCTTCACCTGGCCCTCCCAACCCCACTGATGCAGCACCTGCGACACAAAAATTACATCCACCGAGCCCTCCAGCGCCGCCAGGCCCGCCGACTCCGCGGTGTCCATGAAATCCGCCTCTATAAACTGCGCTGAGAACGTCGCCTTGTCGCGGAACATGTCGAAGCCCACGGCCCAGTGGCTGACAATGTCGACGCCGTAGAGATTTGTCGATGGCGCACCGTCATAGACGAGCCGTCGCATGTCTTGTCCAATGAAACAGCCGACATCAAGGTACCGAGCCCCGGTCTTGACGAGGGCGAGGATCTCGGCGTAGGCCGGAGATCTGGAGATGGTTGGGACGAGCCAGACGCCCAGACCGGTGCAGGGATAGACGCGGATGTTCCATGCTTGGTCACGCTTGTTTAGAGCATTGGATTTTAGAAAGGGACAGACATATCAAGTACGAAGGATTATACGTACGATTCTATGGACATGCTCGGATTGCTGGGAGGGAGGAATTCCGCTGTATTTTTCAAGTAATTCGCGGGTCTTTTCAGGTCAGTTACAATGTAAAAGTTGGAGCTACATTAAAGTAAGTGTGGTATATGTCCTACCTCTTGTGAAAGGTGCTTGTCAATGCTGGGGAGATAGTACGGATATTTGGTGTTTGCTTGCTCTTTTTTGGCATATTCTGGCTCAGCATATGATGATTTACTGTCGGCCATTTTGATAGAACCTGTTGCAAGACTTCACTCGAGGTTGTAAAGAGGGACTATCGATGAATGTGCATTAATATTGCAAGTTAGCACTACATAAATAATACTCGAACGAATACAGCGTCTTGAATAGTTTAGGTGCGGCTGTGAGATATCCACCAGATGGACTAAGGAAGACGTTACACCTGCATGGCCGCAAAGCAAGAGAGCTTGCAGATTAGCCTACGCACTCGCTGGTACCAATATTTCCAAAAAATACTCTCTCCAAAGAGGGAGTTCAAAAAAAAAAGAAAGTCGACCATGCAGGGGATCGAACCCTGGATCTCTGGCTGTATATATAAATAGGAGGCCAGCGCCTTACCACTGGGCTACACGGCCAATGAACGCTAGAGATTGTGCTTAAATCGATCTATCAGAATCTCCTTATTGAGGGAGGGCCCATCTTGGCATTTAATAGACAGTCCGACTAATACTCGATTAAGGGTTCCCAGAGGTACTTATTGCAACTTATCGTTGATTGTTGAATTAGCTAATCGAGCTCTGCAGTGTAGTCTAAATGGCGGCTAGGCAGCTTAGAGCCAACAACCAACATCTTGTTAGATTGTAATATGATGGGGTCGAGAATTTACCTCAATATTGGGCTAGACACATTGCTACGTCGTTTTTTACTCTAGGTAAATTCCAATACACTTTAGGACTAAGAGGTACTCCCGCATGACAAATCAGGCTAACTGCGCTCTTCATTAATCGCGACCCGACGCCCGTCCCACTCATAACGCCGAGGACGATCCTATACTAGACTCATACGTCTTAGAGTATTACCATTTACTTAAGTTACGGCACGACGGCTGTCGGCCCGCTCGGACGCCCTGCCCAAGACCCTGTATCTAACATTTGCTGCAAGAAAGGACAGTGGGAAAACGCTCACCTACTGCCACATTAGACTAGAGATGTGTTTACATGATGTCACCCCTCCTCGATTTCGCGGGTCAGGCATCGCCTTCGGATGTAGCCATCCTGCTCGTCAAAAGCGATGTGGGAGTTGAGGAGTATAAAGTTGGGCTTAACGTACATGTATCCTGAGATCAATCCTTCTGCAGGCACAATTCAAATTTCACACTCGCATTCAATACTTATATCCTTTTATAACCTCTCTCTCCTCATCAGCTATCCTCTCCAATATGGCCGCTTCAGACTATCATGTCATTATCGCAGGCGCTGGTTCGTGGTTTGTAACTCTGTCTTCGTCGTTGTCTTCTAATACATGTATAACGCAGGTGTCACTGGCGTCCTGATTGCTCAGGGGTTGAAGAAGGTAGCGTCAACCCTCCCCCTTCCCCTTATTTCTTCGCACCGACTTACCATCCCAGGCCGGTATCCGCGCCTCAATCTATGAGCGTTACCCCAAAGCCAAATACGAAGACCGTGCCGGAAACTGGACTGTAGCTCTACACTGGTCTATCCCGTTCATCGAAGCCTGTCTCCCGGCAGAAGTCTTCGCCAAGATCAAAACCTGCGAGACGAACCCATGGGAAGAAATCGACCCCGTGGTGGCCGGCAACATCCCCCTCATTAATGGACGCACTGGTAAAGTACTGGCGAAAATGCCCATGGATCACCCGAAACGCGCGTCGAGAGGGAAGTTGCGGGATTTGTTCAAGGAGGGCCTGGATATTCAGTATGATATGAAGTTGACTGATGTCCGGGTTAACGATGACGGGAATGGCGTTATTGCGAGGTTTAATGAGGGTAGTGTGGTTGTTGAGGGGGATGTGATCATAGGCGCGGATGGAGGTATGTCTTTTTTCTGGTCTTGTTGGGATGAGGTGCTGATTCTGGTGGCCATTTAGCAAAGAGTGCTGTCCGCGACTGTCTCTTGGATAAAGAGGATGGCCGGCTAGATGTAGCGAATGCTTTGATTCTGGTAAGTCTGTTCTTCAGTTTATCGGGGGATTTCAACAACTCATGCAGCTATTAGAGCGCCTTCCCGACGTTTACTGCAGAACAAGCACTATTCATTCGCAACAACACCCACCCAATCATGCAGGTATGAACCCCTTATCTATAAAATGACGACCAAAACTGAAAATCCTCAGCTCAGCCCCCACCCATATCAAAATACAATAATATTTGAATCCCGTACGTCCAACACAAACCAGACAATGCTTATCCTACTAACAATTCAATCAGTCGCCGATGTCGTTGACCGCAACAAGCCTGAGTCCTGGGTATTCTACATCAGCCTATCAATCTACACCAACGAAACCCCGCCAGACGAGGCAGAAAGAAGACACCTTTTCAAATCCTACATGTCGACCTACTGCGAGCCGTACAGGTCGATCGCCAAGTGGATCACAGACGATGTACACATTAACGGCGACAAGGTAAGCACTCATCCGTCTACATCCTATTCTATCTTTTCCGAGCCGATTCCTAATGTCTGTAGTTCCATTATTGGGGCAAGATCACACCCTGGAAGAACTTCAGCGGCCGGATCACGCTTGCAGGAGACGCGGCACACCCAATGGTTCCATGTAAGTCCATCCAAACTTGACCATACGAATATTTCCTGATATTTCTGCAGTCCGCGCCCAAGGCATCAACAACGCCATTGAAGACGCAAAACTATACGTCGACGCTATCAAGAGCGTTGTCTTGGACAGCAAGGATCTGCAGACCGTTATCGATGACTACGACAAGTCCAGCTATACGCGCGGAAAATCGGATATTCAGTTGTCGATTGAGCAGATGCATGCTTATCATCACTGGGATGAGGTGATGGATTCGCCTTTGATGAAGAATGGGTATGGGCATGCTCATTAAATCATGTTGATTTGATGACTACAAATGTAAAAGGAGTTGGAATAGGTACTGGTGAAGATTGGATAGAAAATTGTTATGGTCTTGATATCATAATGCATTGATGTTAATATATTAAAAGCTGGAGGTATAAGAGAACATATATACACGAACATAGACACGCTCAACTATAATGAACTAAGATGAGTAATACAAGGATCAGATCATAAATTATATGTTAAATCCACAAAACCCAGCGAATACTTGTCAACGCCCCCTTGGCAATACCCCTGAAAACCTTGAAGACCATAACCACTAGCCACACCCACCACATAACACCGACCAGCACCCATTCTAGCAACACAAACCCAACACGCCTAATCAAACGGAAACGGCGGTTGCGTTTCCGAACGCCCTTGTCGAGCGCCTCGCTGAGTTGCTTGATGGCAAGGGTGCTGGTTGTATTGAGTTGCGTACTCAACGTCTCTGCGTGCAGCGCCGCGGCGCGCACTCGCGGTGTGAGGGAGTTGTTGATTAGATTCTCAAGACAGTTGAGGTCGTCGGTCAACGGGCCTAGACCGGATTTGGAGAAGCGGTACATGGACTTGTTCAGATCTGCCTTTGTGTTCTCGAACCGTTCGAGCAGGTTGCGAGCGGCGTAGTTGAACTCGTCAATTCGAGGAATCCGTGGAATCGGAGCGTCCGTATTGACGAGGCTACGGACGAGGAATTTAGGAGGAGAATCACGGGGCTCGTTGGCTTGACAGACGATTTCACGGGCTTTGATGCCTGAAGATAGGAGTAGAGCTTGGCACCGTAGTATTTCGCATTTCTCGGTGGTATTCGGGTCTGTTAATCTTGGGATACTTCGTTCGGATAGACTCCAAGCTCGGCTTTCTTCTGGTAGCGTAGGTCGTTTAGCTACTGACGGATTGGCACTTGCTAATCCTGTCACTGGTGGTTTACCAGGAACGGGTAAATCAGTGCCTCTTCCGATCAACTTTCGAGCCCGGTTCGACTCTAGCGAATTGAAGGAATCACTAAACCCATAGCTGTTTCGGCGATCGGTATACGACGTTATACCCGGCGACGTCATTGAGGGCTCGCTGGGATGAGCTCTGGTAAAATGGACGTTGCTGGCATGTCTAATGTCTTGTGGAAGAGAGTCCAAATCCGAGAGCTCGCCGCCATCCTCATGTCGAAGGGGGGCCGTGAAAGGTGAGAGATGTGAAAATGAAGTTTTTGAAGTTCTCTGCCCAGTGTGTGTTTGTAATACGGCCTCCGATTCATCATCGACCAAAGTGTTTCCTCGACGCAATGGTGCTTGCTTAGGTTCGCCGTCGGTTCTCTCCTCGTCAGAATCGCGGTAGTCAGATACGAAGCTTGCAGCGTATGACGACTGGCGTGAATGGCCACTTCCATCCCTGCGCCGTATCATATCTCCCATTTTTGACACTTCGCTTCCAACAATCTCTGCAATTCTGGAACCTTTAAGGAATCCCTTCAATTTCGACTCAGAGCTAGCAGGAGGTTTTGGCGAAGCATAGCTTTCTGATCGTTGAAAGCTTCCTAGTATGACGTCGTCATGGCTGTATGGCGGCTCTGGCAATGGGCTGGGCTCCAAAGTTCTAGGGCTACCACTTCCCTTTGGGCTGGAGTCTGCCGTTGTTCTCTTGCGGAGATCTGTCTCTAGCGGATTTTCATCAATGCTCTCTCCTGTGTCAAATAAATTGTGACGCTTGCTTCTAGCTCGCTCGTTCAAAGACCCAATAACGCGCGGTAAACGTTTTCGAGGAGACGGCGAGCGACTCGACGGTGGGGATAATTTAGCGGTAATGCTGGGGAAAATAGGTCCTTGGATAGGTGAATTGGGAGCGGTGCTATCCATTTCCTCTAGAGACATTCGATGATCTTCCTTTCCAGTCGTGCTTCCTGCTGGAGAAACCAGGCCGTGGCCTTTCTCACCATAGTTGCGGCGTTCAGCCGGAATTTCCTGAGATGCTGGAACAGAAGCCTTTGAATCTGCTTTGGAAGACCCGGAGCGTTGATCCACCCCTTCGAAAACTTCCTCTGCTTGCGTAGTGGATCCTAGCTTGTTGTCCAATTGCTTTCCCCATCTTGATTTACGGGCTCTGCCACGCGATACGGCACCAACACTACTCGAGTCGCTTGATAAGCTGTTTGATCGAGTCCACCTTGGAGCGTGTATTCCATCGGAACTACTATGAGGTATATGCAGTGCATTCCGCAGCTTTCGTTTGTGACGGACTCGATCCAAGTCATTTTCAGGTCTGCTTTTCTCGAAACTCGGCAGTACTGTGGACTGTTCCATTGATATTTGCCAGTTTTCATCATTTTCGATGCTGAGATTTGAGGGTAGCTTGGATTGTGTAGCTGATCCGCTAACAAGTCTGAGTTTTCGAGAATCAGGATAGAGCCTGTCCCCGTTGCTGTTTACGGTTTTAGACTTGTTGGCATCGTTCTCAAGCCAAGCAGCATCGGCGAGGAGCTCTGCCGGAGAGATCACCCACTCAAGGCGCGGTCTTTGCGGTCTTGTACCCGTGCGATTCGCCCTTGAGTTTAATGGATGCAATACAGAATCATCATCGCCTTGACCCTTGTCCAATTTTCCGTCTTCTGTGGGATGAAACTGTGGTAAGCTCAGACATTGGTATGGATCTCGAACATTGTGTCCATGAACTGTTTCGATAGAGTCGACCCATTTCTGAACCCTTGACACATCTTGCCACCCCTCGGATTCAACATCAATTTGGCACTTTTCTCTAAATCGTAGCTTTCTGTTGCGGATAGATTGTAGTGGATTGTAGGCTCTACTAGGGTTCACATCTCTGAAAGCCTGCGAAGTTGAGTGAGGGAGTGGAGGTAGATCTGAAAGTAGCCGCAAATATTGTTCGAAGAGTTCAAAATGCTGTTTAGCCTTTTCAACCCTAGCTATCGTTGCATCTGAGCACGCCATTTCCATGTCGAAACTGTCATCACCTAGCAAGGGTCCAGGAGTAACAAAACTATTCGCTATTATTTCGTTCGGCGATGTTGCATTAGGATATGATTTTCTGAGATGCTTGTTGTCTTGTGTGTTGACACTAGGGTGCCGCCCGCCTCTGTTGATGCCTGAAACTGACCGCTGAGCAATATCCGAAGGCGCGAACAGCCCCGCACTATTTGGCGTAGTTCGGCGGGCATTCAGCAATGGATTTGACGGTACACGGCCGAGATGGGTCCTCCTCCTAGATTCACTAAGGCTTAATGCAAGATTGACAATCTGGGCCGGATCGGTATCCAAACCCGCAGCTGGAGGGTTGGAGGCGCGCATATGTGCATTTCTCGACGTAGCGGATCCGTTCTCATGGCCATCATGCTCCTCCGAAGTCGACGCGTTTGTCACAGCAGCCAGTGGAGATGCCCTCAGACTATCCCCTTGCTGTCCCCTCGTCCGAACGGTTGACGTCCGTTTCTTCGGGGTTATTATCTCGTCGTTAACAGACCTGCGTTTCCCGCTTCCTTGCAAATAACCTTGTTGACCATGTTGCTCAGACAGTGATCGCCGTGATTTGGTTGGGTATGCTGAACTAAGTAGGAAGCCGCCTGATACTTGCGATCTCTTGGACCGATAGCTCCCCTGGTCATCGTCCCTGGAATTGCGTCCGAGAGTGCTACCCTCTAGTTCCTTCGGCAAGCTACTACTATCCTCCATTTGTTCTTCGAATATGGTTTAGGGTGGCCTGTTTCAAGGCGATGAAAGGGCTCCCGTTTCTTTTCAGCGCATCTTGGGGATTCGGGTGACGGCGTCGCCGGCCGGATCAGTGTGATGCGCTGATGAGAGGAGGTGCATTCATGCGTAGTTCTCGGGTGCCGTAGAATCGATAACCAGCTGTAGTACATATAGCAATAAATAAAAGAGGGGATTCGCTGTTGTTGAGCGTTCTTGCATGTGCCTGCCCGACGGCGTCAGGAGGTGCAACAACTTCACTGTTGGACCTCTAGGCAAACATTGCAAACTGCGGAGTATCTCCGCGCCGCGCGGCTTACACGTATGACGTCTATTATTATCTCTTAACATCAAATACACTAATATAACGAAAAGTTAAAATATTATTAATATTGATATAGGGAAGGATTTTATACCTCATCCACTTTTTTAGTGCTATATTCAAACTTTGTCACCATACTGTACACGTAAATATAATGATTTATATCTCAGCTACGTCTTTTCAAGTCATATATGTATTGGATGAAAAAGCAAAGGCCAAAGTCTAACAAATGGAATAAATCTTATTGAGTCTAGTACATTGTGTATGTTTTACAAGAATACGTATCAGGAATATGAGGACTCAAGACTCAACCCTCAGGCACTGTAGGCGAGCCTCCGTTTCCATCACCTGCAGCCTGTTAGTATTGCGCCATGCGTTAAAGCTGTTGTGCAGACTTACTTCTAAAGCTTGATTAACCTCAAGTATACGGCGTACATCAGCAAGCCAGTCTTTGCTCAGGATCTTAGCCCAGCCCTGAAGGGAATTCACCTCACGGGCAGCAGCATCGAGTCTTCCCTCCTCCAGCATGTTCTCTGCACGGTTCAAAACGCTCTCTACATCGTCGCCATCTGTTAGACCGTCATTGCTAAATTTCACCTTGCTCAAAGCAACGCTGACGGCGTGTCGGGCGATGCCAGCGTCTTCGGAGAGGTGGCTGGCTTTGCGAACTTCGCTTGCTACACGACGGAAGCGATCGATGATCTGAGAAGCGGTAGGGATCCCACGCTGGTATGCTGTAGGATTGATCGAGGCAATGGCAGCAGCCACAACTGGGTCATCGGCAGCAAGCTCCTTCACGGCGACTAGCTCGCGAACAAACGGCTTGGCCACACTCGCGTTCTCAAGCACGGTACGAACAGAATCAATAGCAACTTGAAGTTGCTGAGTCTTCAGGTTGCTTTCGATGACATCGCTCCATTCGCTCGTGAGTTTCTCGAGTTCGTTAACGTTGGTGGTTAGCTCGCTAATCTTGCTCAAGCGGCCTTCACGCTCTCTTTCAACTAACTCCTTTACATCGTTCAGGTACTTGCGATTCAACTCAATGGCCTGTTCGACGAGCTCGTTCTTCAGACGCTGCTCAGCCAATTCCTGTGCCTTCGCTAATTCGGTTTTGACTTTGTCTTGGTATGCGTGTGAGAGTTTCTCTCGCTCGGTTTCGAACTCTTCCCGGAACTGAGCCACCTCAGCAGCGCGGGCCTCTTCAATCTGTTGCATAAGCTTCTTGGCAGACTCGTCGAAAAGAGCATGGGCCTTCGCAACCTCCTCCTCGGCTCCCTTCTTGGCCTCTGTACGAAGAGCGGTTATCTTCTCTCCAATGCTTTCTAGTTCACTTCGGACTTTTGCAATTGGCGCGGAGTACTTGTTGGCAGCACCATCAGCACTGATGACGGTGATCACGTCGTTGAAAACCTTGACAAGTTCCTGAACCACAGGCTCGTCGGCTGCCTCGAGTTTAATGAGCTCGAGAGTTGCAGCAGGAGAAACAGCAGGCTTCCTAGGTTCTTCCTTTGGCGCTTCCTTGGGAGTTTCCTTTTTGGCCACTTCAGCCTTCTTTTCACGACGCTCCTCTTTCGCCTTCGTGACTAGTTTCGACTCATTGGACTTTGCAACAGCGCTGTTGTGTGGGCCCTTTTGGGTCAAATCGCTACCAGAACCGTCTTCCTCCGCGACCTTCCATGACAGGCCACTGCCGCTTGGGATGGTAACCTTTTGCGACTCTACCTTATGAGCTGGGGGTAGTCGGTTGGAGTGTCGAGTAGCATTTGGGAAACGGCGGTAGAAATCACGCTCTTCAAAGTAGAGAACGCTCTCCTCACCAAACGGCACATATTCCGTGAAGAAATCGTGGAAGTTGTCTGATTTGAGAGCTAAGAGCACACCTCCACCATAAGCTAGTCCCGACGTAAGGATAAGGTAGAGCAGGAATCGCCTGAATCGGCCGGTCTTTGGAGGCCGAGGCTGTTTGACTGACACCTTGCTGGTGTCATCCGTAGGCGGCTGAGGAGGCTGTATAGATGAAGGGGGGGAGGTTTGGCCTTGGCCAGTCGGGGATGGTGCAGTCGCAGCTACTGTTTCGGGAGGAATTGATGACTGTGATGTCGGCGAGACAGGCGTTGGGCTGTTCGGGGCAGGGGTCTTAGAATCTGCAAAACGCCTCTGTACGAAAAGACAATATTAGAATATTAAAAGCTTGCTTGGCCTGTTATTGGAAGGTCGTACCTGGCCACGGATGATAGGACTGTTCGCGAGATAGGCAGTCGGGAACTGTGTTGCGGCGCGCTGTCGGCTCACAGACAGGAGCCGAGTCTGCTTCGACACAATTGAGTAGCGCAGCATGGCGGGCCGCCCTACCTGTGTTGGCAATTGGGGTGGAGAGGAGTAGGAAGGCTGAAGGTGAAGGCGAGAAAAGATGACGGGATCGCTCTAGAGTGTATAGGCACTGGGCTGTGGCACTTTTCAAGATCCGCTCCGAGGCGACGGCGCACCCTGGCCTTACCCAACCGGGAGACTGTCCCTCACCGGCTGTTTCCGATTGTATATCTATACATATGGACCACGAATCATTAAATAACTACTATTTCTACTATCGCGCTTAGACACTGCAAAATACCCAGTGGAAAATTGTCTTAAATATAAATTGGATTGTTATAAAAGTGACGGAAAGCTTGAGTAACATGACAAAAGAAACTCGACCCAACAACAGCTATGACGCCAGCCAGAGCAAAAACCATAAACATTCAACAGAGAATGAAACATAGTCCAGAAAGGTCTACAACTGAAATGGAAAAATTAGAATGGAAGTGCCCATGGCGACCAGGCTTCAAGCAGGGACAAGGGACAGCGCAAGCATCAAAAGAAGAGATGCACGAATGAAAAGGTTCGATTAGTTAAGACTTTCATGTACGGAGGTCGAATGGGTCCCGAGGCAGAAACGGACAAGCGCTGTCACCCAGTCACGCCGGTGGTTGATGTCGGTGACCTGCCCGGCTTGAAATAGATAAATGCAATGGTCTTCACACAGATACGGGAGAGCTGAGGGCATATGACGTCGGATTTCCACGAGCGAGAAATAATACATGGTGGAACTTCACTGTATTCCCTTGAAAGGTCCAGTTAAGTATAATTAGCAGCTGCAGCCACCGGCTCCCTGAGTGCCGGCTGCCTCCGGTCGCAGGTCAACGCCAGGACGGGGATTTGTTCGCAGGTTCCGCGGTCCAGCGTGATCAAGTGGCAGCTTCTTTGCGATGGCAGTAAATAGTTCCTTCACGTTGGTGTTGGACTTGGCAGAAGTTTCGAAGAAGAGTAAGCCTGCCTCGCGGGCATACGCTTCGGCGTCGGCAGTGGCGATAGCGCGCTTGTCGGGGTTTTCTGTCACCAAATCCAGCTTGTTACCGGCTAAGGCGATGATTATGTTCTCGTTCGCTTGGCGCTGAAGCTCCTTGACCCACGACTTCGCTTTATCGAGCGACGACTAAACAGAGAACGTTAGCATTCCATCCTATTAGAGATCGACTTCGTAGGTCAGTCTTACAGCCTGTGTAATATCGTAGACAACAACGGCACAGTTGGCATTTCTGTAGTACATCGGTGCCAGAGACTTGTACCGTTCTTGGCCCGCCGTATCCCATATTTCAAACTTAACGGTCGTGTTCTCATCTAAAGAAATGGTCTGTGTGAGAAAGGCAGCTCCAATGGTCGACTCTCGGTAGTCGTCGAATTGATCCTATCTGGAGTCAGGCAAAACCAACTTAAATAACAGGCCAGATGAGCTCACTTTCACAAATCGCAGGACTAGGGAACTCTGGGTGGCGAATAGTCGTTAGCATTTCGGACAGACGTGATAGCGGAATATGGACATCTGTCTGTGTCCTCACCTTTCCGACGGCAGATTCTCCTACAGGAAACGACAGTTAGTCCGCTGTACCCCAAAGGCGACAACACCATCAAGGGTATGGAGGTAGCTCACCAAGTAGCACAAGCTTGAACTGGGCAAACCTCGCACCGGGGCGGCCACCGACCGGTGCTCTCGCAGCCATGATCGCAAGGATCGCTTATATGTGCAGGTACAAGATTCGAAGAACGGACAGGGTCCTTATTCGCAAGCGATACCCAACCCTTGGACTTCGTGTTCTGGCAGAGAGGGGTGATCGACTGTTATCGGGGTGACGTTGGGGGAGGTTGCAAACGAACCGAATGATGGCGGCCTGGGCTGATGAGGGAGATGACCCATCTTGGATGGATTCGCCTAGTATATATATACCATTATTCTTACCGCCTAAGTAATGCTCGATTAATTCAGTCGGTAGAATGTCAGGCTTTTACTAGTCGAACCTCTTATATCCCATATATGGGGTTTCTTATGCTGGATAACCTGAAAGTCACGGGATCGAGACCCGTATCGAGCTTTTCTTTTTTAATATATGGTACTAAATGTTTTTTTTCCTGGGCTTGTTTGCTGTTAATTTTTGTTAATTTTGAATCATAATTAAGCCAAAATTCGTTTGTAATAAAGCATAAGGCGGTCCCTCTGGCGGCGAGGGTGGCCGCTATCCGCCGCGGCTGTTGTTGACTACGGCTGCTTATTACTCAGTAGCTCTTTTAATCTTTCGGTACTGCGCTGTCTTCTTTGAACTCCTCCTTCTCGACAATCGCGCCATGTTGTGAAACTGTGCAATTACTAAAAATCAGTCGCAAGCGCTCGTCTCTCGATCTTGTCCTCCACCATGGCGCGCCCAGTGCTCCCGTTCAGGGACATCAATCTCCATTCATCTCCCTCTCACTATGCGTTTACGTCGCCCTCCACACCAAATGCGCCCACCCTGGTTGTCGAGCGACCGACCGGCGACCTGCGTCTAAATGATGGCTCTCTATTGGGGACAAAACGAGTGTCTAGTATTGCGGGAATCTTGGGCATTATCAAGCTCAAATTAGGTATGCTGTCCAACCTCCAACCAGCAAGAAAGGCGAGGCTAATCGTTTAAAGACAAGTATATAATTGTCATCACCAAAGCCCAGCCTATGGGACGACTTCGAGGACACATGATATACAAGGTTATCGCAACCGAATTTCTTCCTTTGCGGGAGCGTGCACTGCATGATACTGACGAAAATACCTACCTGGCCCTGTTGAAAGACTTGATCCGAACGGGGCCCATGTATTTTTCATATTCTCTCGACCTAACCAGCAATTTCCAAAGACAATCGCAAAGCGACCCAAGTGCCCCCTTGTGGAAAAGAGCCGACGACCGTTTTTACTGGAACCGATTTATCCAGTCGGATCTCATCGATCTTCGTGTCGGGTCTGGGGATTCGGCCGGCGCTCGCTATAGCCAGCAACCCGGTGTTGACCCCTACATATTACCTGTCATGTTTGGCATGCTTCGCATCGCTCCGGCAAGAGTAAAAAGTACCACATTTACCTTTGCATTGATTACGCGCAGGTGCAGGCATCGAGGTGGCACCCGCTACTTCTCTCGTGGTATCGATGAGAATGGAAATGTGTCGAACTACAATGAGACTGAGCAAATCATCGTCCTGAACGACGCAACTGGTGGTCTGGCAGGCTTTGCTGGAGGGCAAGGAATGCAGAACGGAAAAGCTGAAGGGCCCAACCAAGACCTGCAGGTTTTCTCATTTGTTCAAACCCGTGGCAGCGTCCCTATCTTTTGGGCTGAGATCAATAATCTGCATTATACTCCAAAACTGCAGGTTCGCGCTGTGGAAGCGGCAGTGGAAGCGGCACGGAAACATTTCACGGAACAAATCAAAATTTATGGTGAAAACTACCTGGTTAATCTTGTGAACCAGAAGGGAAGAGAAGAGCGAGTAAAGAAGGCCTATGAACAATTAGTTCGCGTTCTTGTTTCATCTCCCGTCGAAACCTCAGAATCAGATCAGCCGCATACCGAGGAGAAGGTGCACACTCTAGAGGCGGAGCAGAAGCAGCAAATCATGGATCAGCTTCACTATGTCTATTTTGACTTCCATAACGAGACTAAAGGCCTCAAATGGCACCGAGCGCAACTTCTTCTAGATCGATTGACTGATGGACTTATGCGTGGGCAATACTTCCGTGGAGTTGAGAACCCTGGCGATACGAACGGTCAGCTAGATGCCCGAACCTTTCAGACAAGCGTTGTCCGAACGAACTGCATGGATTGTCTCGATCGTACAAACGTCGTTCAGAGCATGTTGGGCCGCTGGACAGTAAGCCGTCAGCTCATGGATGCCGGTGTGCTCCGCCCAGGAGAATCAGCAAGCGACGATCCTGAGTTTGAGAACCTGTTCCGCAACATATGGGCAGATAATGCGGACGTTGTTTCAAAGGCCTACTCTGGAACTGGGGCTCTCAAAACCGACTTCACGCGAACCGGTGAGCGGACACGTGCGGGAATGGTGCAAGACTTTTCCAACTCAGTCACGCGGTATGTACGAAACAATTTTATGGATGGAACTAGGCAAGACGGCTTTGACTTGTTCCTGGGAACCTATCTACCTCAAGACTCTGCATTGGGAAGCCTTCTGCTGTACGTCGACCGCAGACCGGTTGTTATTCAGTCTATTCCATACATATTTGTAGCCAGCGTTTTCATGGTGCTAGTTGCCACATTCACACGCCGCCTACCCGATGCTGCTGTTTGGCCTCTGAGAATATTTCTCATTTTTTGGATCGTTGTGGGCGTATGGTGCTTCCGCTTCATCTCCAGGAATGGGATGCTCTACGTAAAGCCCCTATGACTACCTCTCTTTGATTATTGTATCTTTATACTGATACTATCCCAGGTTAATTGGCCCAAGCTGAACACTCCTACTGCTGCTACCGAAGGCTATCAAGAAGCTCTCAACCATGCCCGCTCAGACCACATCATTGGCCGCCTGTTGCCAATCAAGCGTCACCAACGCGGTTTCAGCAACGCCCGCTTAGGCTACTTGGAAGAGGGCAAAAAGAGGCTTGAGTAGTAACTTTTGGTTGACAAGGCGTGTCTATATTGTGATTTCTCTTCGACATTGTAATATACGACTCGATTTATGTTTGCTTCTCTTCTTTCCGCCTATATTTATTTTTAAGTAAGCAAGGGCATTATAATTCTGTTGTCGTCGCTTAGATAACTAACTTTAGCCTATATAAACAATACCATTTATTTTGTCAACTGTGCGTTCGTAGTTCTAAGAAGAATCAAGGATGATGACTTGAAGAGCAGGAGTAAAGATGACTAAGCCAATGGAGCAGCACTGATAACGATAACCTATCGGAGACTGAGCGATTTGCGGTCTCCGAATATGCAGATGCATGCGACAAGAAACATTTTTCTTGCCCGGCCCAACGTTGCTTTTGCTGCTGCTAATTGCTAGTATCCGGATGACTCCCAAGGGCTTTTGGAAACTCCCACATTTTTCTTTGACTCGCCAGACACGCCCCATTTCCTTTCGGCCGTTCGCCATGGCGGGGCGCACTTATGATGTACATGCAGAAGAGAAATATTTAGAAAGGCATTTCTAGAATCTGCTAACGATATCACTAGGATGCCATCACAGCGCTCAACTCTTTACAGTCGAATTTCGCCATTGTCGATGCGATAAAAAAGTCGGGTGGCGCAAAGAACCAACAGGCAATCCCGGAGATGATTGAATGGTGTAAAAAACTTGGTTACGAGGTTCGCAATTTCCTCCTTCTGCTTGAGATGCCTGCTTGTGTTGACATTGCTGCTGGTTTATCCATAGCCATCTGAATTTGACCGCCTCAATCTCATTCATATTGCTGGCACAAAGGGCAAAGGCTCAACATCTGCTTTCATTTCTGCCATTCTGACACAGTACATATCATCGGATGACCAACAAGCCACTTCAAAGGGGGTCCGCAAAGTTGGGCTTTATACATCACCGCACTTGCGCTTTGCCAGAGAACGAATTAAAATCAATAACACGCCGCTGTCAGAGGAGCAATTCGCGAAATACTTTTTTGAAACATGGGACCGCCTAGAAGAATCTGCACGTGTGGCAGGCATCGACCCGTCCAGTCCTGGCACTAAACCTGTCTATTTCCGTTTCCTTACTCTGATGGCTTTCCATGCCTATCTGCGGGAAGGCGTTGACGCGGCTGTGATTGAATGCGGTATTGGAGGAGAATACGACTCGACAAACATTATCGTTCAGCCGATTGTAAGTGGTATTACGAGCCTCGGCATCGATCACGTTGGCCTTCTAGGCTCTACAATTGAGGAAATTGCATGGCACAAAAGCGGGGTTATGAAGTCTGGAGCAAAGGTATTTACTTCCCCCCAACCCGAAAGTGCATTAGAAATCCTGCGGAAAAGAGCGCAACAAAAAGGCGTAGAGTTGGTTGTTGCCCAAGGTCACCCTGAATTGAAGAAAGGCACTTCAGTGAAACTGGGACTAGATGGTGATTTCCAGTATATGAATGCAAATGTCGCGGTTGGGGTTGCAGCTGAATTTCTGAGGCGTCGCGGTGTTGAGGATGTCCCCTCTTATACCGCCAATGAGCCCCTGCCAGAAAAATTCCGAAAGGGACTGGAGGCTACAAGACTAGGTGGTCGGTGTGAGACACGGCAGGAAAAGAATATCTCTTGGTACATCGACGGCGGCCATACTCTTGAAAGCATTCGCCTCTCCAGTGAGTGGTTTGGCTCTCACTTGGTCACCGATGTTGGGAAGAAACAGCCTCGAGTATTGATATTCAATCAGCAAACTCGAGACAGTGTGGCACTAGCTCGAGCTTTGTACCAGACATTGGCTGCCAGTCTTGGGACCGAACAACCTTTCACACATGCCATATTCTGCACCAATGTCACGTACAAACAGGCGGGATACCGGCCTGATCTCGTCAGCGTCAATAACAACGCGTCCGATGTAGCGAACTTGAGCGTACAAAAAACACTTGCTGCATCATGGCAGGATACTGGTTCCAACGCCGAGACTTTCGTTTTTGCGACGATCGAGGAAGCCGTGGAATTCGTCCGTGATTTGGCAGGAAAACAGCTGCCTGGTGAAGCTCCTATCAAGACGCTGGTTACCGGTAGCTTGCACCTGGTAGGAGGTTTCCTTGATGTCCTCGAAACGAAACCAGGACAAGCTGCAGAGTGATTGCACTCTTCCTTTTCTTTCTCGCTGCGACATTTTCGGCTTGCGCACTCTGCTTCTATCTGATTCACCATCGGATACACATGCTCTGCATCGTAGGCGGCGTTCTGGGACTTTACAAGAAGCCATTCAACTTTGGCTAAAAATTAGATATATTCTCAATAATTGTACAGTGCATAATCTATGTATATACACCGGAATGACTACGACCAATCATAGAATGATCGACTTATACAAAAGAAAACAATGGTAATAAAAAAACAATAACAATAGAAATAATAACAGTACTAGTAAGCAAGGTGTTACGGCCGAGGCAGTTGGCCCACCCAGTGCTTACTTACCGCTTTCCCTATTTGCATGATGACGCGGGGTTGTCCGCTTTACTAGGCTGCTGCTATTCCGTGATCCCAGGACCGCACACATATTCAAGCCATTCCTCACTACTGCTGGCTTCCTGACGCTACGCTACAGCTATCCACAGCCATGGCGGATCCGCAGGAAGATTCGTCCAAGGGCAAAGCTCCAGAACAAGAACCCGCCGACAACAACAACAACGATGTACCAAACCCCGCAGGTGCGGAGAAGCCTACAGACGATAAGGAGAAGCCTTCTCTCAAAGACCAGCTTGTCGGAAAGCTTTCATCCGGTGCACAGAAAACGATTCCTCCTCAGATGGTCGATACGCTGCTGCGCATGAACCCAGCGCTGGCTAACGAGCTCGCTGGCATGCCCAAAGACAAAGCAGTCGAGGTGCTTCGCAACATGGATGTCGCCGATCTCCTCACCGGAATGTCGCTGGGAAAGAAGAATCAGAAGGATATGGCCTCCTACAAATTTTGGCAGACTCAACCTGTGCCCCGCTTCGATGACCAGGGTGATATCGCTGAAGGGCCCATCAAAGTGATCAGACCTGAGGAAGTACCTAAGGAGCCATCTGCGCTTATTGAGGGGTTTGAATGGGTTACGCTGGATCTCAATGATGACAAGGAGGTGGCGGAGTTGTATGATTTGCTGTCTAATCACTATGTTGAAGATGACAATGCTATGTTTCGCTTCAATTACTCCCGGGCCTTCCTTAACTGGTACGTGTTTCAACCGACTTACAAATTCAGTAGTCTAATAGGTGCGCTTTATATCTAGGGCTTTGACTTCTCCGGGATGGAAAAAAGAGTGGCATGTGGGAGTTCGTGCCTCAAAATCTGGCAAGCTGGTTGCTTCCATCTGTGGGGTGCCTACAGACATACGGGTTCGTGACCAGAAGATGAAAGTTGTCGAAATAAATTTCCTCTGTGTGCACAAGAAGCTGCGCTCGAAACGTCTTGCACCTGTCTTGATCAAAGAAATCACTCGCCGGTCCTACCTGCAGGGTATCTACCAGGCTATCTACACCGTGGGCATCGTGCTGCCTAAGCCTGTGACGTCATGTCGCTACTACCACCGTCCTTTAGACTGGTTGAAGCTGTACGAAGTCGGCTTTTCTCCCTTACCTGCGGGTTCCACCAAAGCTCGCCAGATTACCAGAAATCACCTTCCAAACAGCACCGCTACACCAGGCCTGCGGCAAATGAAAGAAAAGGACCTAGGTGCAGTCTTCGATTTGCTTGAGCGCTATCTGGGTCGATTCAATATCAACCCAGCATTCACTAAAGAGGAGATTGACCACTGGCTACTTCATCGGGCCGAGCGTGGTGAGCAAGTGGTTTGGTCATACGTAGTGGAGGATCCACATACAAAAAAGATAACGGACTTTGTCTCTTTCTACAGTTTGGAATCGTCTGTTATCAACAACCCTAAACATAAGGAAGTCCGCGCAGCCTACCTGTACTACTATGCAACAGAGTCTGCTTTCACTGAGAAGGAAAAGGGACTCAAAGAACGACTTCACCTACTCATTAACGATGCACTCATCGAAGCTAAAAATGTGAGAGTAGTATATGGAACAAACACGCGAAATCCTGCTAATGTATATTTATAGGCGCGGTTCGATGTGTTCAATGCTCTCACTCTCCAAGATAACCCTCTCTTCCTCGAGCAATTGAAGTTCGGCGCTGGCGACGGTCAGCTGCATTACTATCTATTCAATTACCGTACTGCTCCAGTTCCAGGCGGTGTAAATGACAAGAATCTCCCGGATGTCAAGAAACGAGGTGGTATGGGTGTTGTGCTTCTGTGAAAGGATATTATCATGTCAAAAGTTGTTGTGCAGTCTAGTGCTCTGCTCTCTGCTGAAAGGTTCCTGCGGATAAACCAGATTAAAAGTATTTTCACATAAATATATTCAAACTCAGCATGATGGGACAAATCATATCTTGGTATACATGTAGTATGGTAGATCGCTGACAGCACGTGGGGCCGCTGAGCCGCTTATCTCCATGGTCGTTGGCTGATGTCACCGTCAATCAGATGTTCCTGAGTAATGGATTCCACGACCGCCATCAACTTCGCTTCGCTTGTGGACGGGAACGCAACAGTCTGCTTGACCGGTTGCCATTATAATGTTTGCATATTCCATTCTCTACTCTTATTCATTCCAAATAGGATGAGAACCCGGCCTGAAAGCCCTGAAGTAGCTGCTAGCGTGATCCCCGCCTGAACCGAATCATTCTGCCTAGCTCGGTGATATTTGGCCTTTCACGCAATACTTCTCCAACAAGATTTAGCTGCTAGGAGCTGAAATGGGAGCATCACAGTCTGCAGAAGGCTCTGGAACGGCTTCGTCTCCTGGTTCGTCGCTCCCAACCACTATCGGCCCATCGTACTAATATGGCTCATGGCAGAGGAGCTTAGCACTATTCTAGCCGAACGCTTCGCGACGAAATGCTTTAGCCCATTGGAGCTAACCCATTTCAAAGACAACTTTTACTCCCGCGCTCTTGACCAAGCTGGCTTTCGGTATTGGAATGAGAAGACCCTGTCCGACTTCCTCGGCATCCCCGATGGAGTCTATACCAACGAGAAAGGCGGTGGCCATGACAAATCCTTGGATGCCGGCCCGGTTATCTTCCGCATGGTATCATATCTGGGTGCATTCCCATTTCAAAGGAGTCTTGCACCTAGCGTCCTTACATTCGAGGCGATGGTCAAAGTTGTGGTGCTGCTAACTGAAAGATACGACAAGGTGTTGAAAAGAGGGCGTAGGGATCGGATAAAGCTACTTTTCGGTAGCCTGGCAGATGTAGGGAGAAGGGATATAGAGATTACGAATACACAACCGGAAGATGCAAGCTCATCCCCAAAACGCCCTGAGAAACATCGCACGCATGCACCGGGATTCTCAATAGATGAACCTTCTAACGACGACTATGACGAGAATGATGATGACGACGACGATCTAGCTTTGGCTGCTTTGGAATCTCTCGACGCTATTGAGGTGTTCAGACATGACTATCGCGCTGATCGCGCGGCCTACGAAGCTCGTATATCTGTTGATACGCTCCATCGGCTTCTCATGTTACTTCTAACAATAGCTCCATTAAAGCCTCTCCAGTCAGCTACTCAGTATACCCTGAATCTGACCTCCGAAAAGCAAGCCGAGGTTAGACAGGAGGCCGACAGTATTATAGCTGGGTTCGCACCGGACGACGTCAAGAACGGCATTGGATATAAAGAATTTTCGCGCATAGTTTCGCTTGCCCTACCTCATCTTTTCGACCCATTAACCCCTCTGTTTGAGCATCTGCTGTTCAGCAAGAATCTTGACCTATCTCGAAGAAGAATGGCACAGGAGCCTATCAACACTTCACCTGAAAACCCGGAAGACGAGGTTGAAACCACAGCGCCGGCCATGCTTCCGGGGAGCTTTGATTCAGTAATTTTGAATTCTAGCATGATATCCCATCTCTCCTTTTTCCTCCCTGCATTGTCAGATCGTAATCTATATTGGGGTGGCATACGATTTCACCCCGTTTTCTCGACCGTCGCGCACGGCGAATCTCTCACTTCATTTTCCCACAATGTTCTAACATGGCAGGCTTCTTCGCTTCTCCTATTACAAGGCTCGCCAACCGGAGCCTCGGATTCCGATGAGAAGCTGGTCACATTGGGAGTATACATACCTCAACCCTGGAAACTATCGTCCGCATCGTCCGCATCATCCGCATCTACCAACGCCAATGATCGGTCACAATTTCCTTGCCTATTCCAACTCCAACCAACGCATGCAGTGTCACTAGGAAACCCCATACCACCCTTTCACAAAACATCCGTCTTCTTCTCCCATTCAACTGGCGTCGCAATTGGCTGTGAAGTCACACCCGCCCATAAAACGAGCTTTGGACCTGGCGTCCCCTCAATCTCTTCATCCCACAATAAACAACAAACCCCCACCCCCAACGGCGCAACAAGCTTGACAATCGACACCAGTCTTGAGACCGCGCAGCTACATGTATCCTATCTTGCTAATTTAGGCGGTGCATTCGCACCACCCGTCCCACCTGCACTTCCCACAATCACACATATCGATATCTACAACCTCGAGGTCTGGGGCATCGTCGAACCAGAACAACTGTTATCGCCAGACGGTGCGAATAAAGACGTCATTTCCCAGCAGCGTGCAGCCTGGCAGTTTGATGCCCGCGAAGCCGAACGGAGGAGAGGACTCAATGTTAAGCTGGGAGGTGGCTCGGAGAGTGACTACCAAAACGCGAGAGCTATACTAGAGATGGCTGGTATTATAGGAGATCACGCCCACAGAAGCGGCGGCAGTGTTTGAGAGTTCCTAGTACTTAAAGTGTATGTTAGACATTGTGAAAAGCTTGGAACAAAGCGATGAGGCAACGTGATAAGTCTATATTAATTAATGAATACCATTCTTTCCCTTATTATCGAGACATTATAGTTACACAAATCAAGCCCGAATAGGCATGAGTCCGCTAGGAGGATCATAAAAGTCCTTCAACTGATCCTCAAACTCATCTATTTCCACCTCATTCACCAAAACATTATCAGCTTCCTCAACCTCACTGCCCACTCCATTCTGCCCCGTCATTTTCACTTTCATATCGTCCGGCGCAGCAGAAGACGTCGTCGACTCATCGACACTTGCCGTGCTCGTCTCTCTGGGTAAATGGAAAGCTAAGAACCCAGTTGGCGCGCGCTCCGCACGGTCCATGACTTCTTCCATATACTTCTGCACTTCGGCGACGGGTTTCACGATTCGAGATAGCGGCTCGAGAGTCGCAGGTTTACTGCTGTAGAAACGCATGGTGAGGGGTTGATAGTATTCCTTAAAATTTGGGGTTTCTTCTTTGGTCTTTTCGCTAGTGCTTCCTGTGGTTTTGGGATCGGTTGATGGGGTTTCTTTGTTGGTTGTGCTAGAGTCTTTCTCCTTGTCCATTTGAGCGTCCTTTTCAGGGGCAGGTGTTGATGGTCCACTGCTGTCGAGCTTTTCCTTGTCCTTCTTTTTCGATTTTGAGGACTTGGTTTTGCTCTTCGGCGCAAGTTCGGAAGGTGATTCGAGTGGAAATTTTGTGTTTGCATCGACTTTGCGAACAAGTAGGAAGGAAGCGAGGAGTACAGTTCCTCCTGCCTGGTATTCTAGAATAGTGTTTTCAGGGAATAGATAGCGGTCTCCCGAGCCCGCATGCCCAGAAGTACTACTTCCGTATGGCGTCAATGGGGATGTAAATTCGAAGACTACCGCTTTGATAGGAGCCTTGGGAGGTGGCTGGACTGGGGCAGACTGATAATAAGCACCCGGTGGGCCATATTGAGGTGTATTACGAGCCTTGATTGGAGGCGGTGTTTGTTGATAAGGAGTAGGAGGATACTGTTGATATTGTGGCGGGCCGACAGTGTAAGGGGGACTAGCTTGCGGTGATGGATTTGGTGGAAGAGGTCGTGGAGCAACAGAAGCATTTGGGGCGTTTTGAGGAGTTAGCGTAGAAGCTATGGTCGGATTTGCGGAAGAATTAGGTGGCGGAGCTTTTGACAATGGTATCTCCGTTGAAGTAGCGGGTGCTGGACTAGGCGCGTTCAATCCATGCTCGACTTTGACTTGTGTGGTATTCGAAGGAGGCCGTTCTGGGTTCGGCGTCGCTGTTTGATTGGCAGCAGGAGCAGGCTGTGCGGGGGAATTTGCTGTTTCATTGTCTTTGGCTGACGTTGGTGATTGGGGTGGCTGATGTGGTTGCTTTTGAAGTTGATCTAATCCTGGTGCCGATATCGTCGTTATCGCTGGTGCCGGTGTCGAAGGACTCTGAACTGTAGGTGGCGCAGCCGGTTGCGATGGCGACTGCGATGCAGGCTGTGTTGGTTGGGTTAGAGGTGGTTGTGGACTTTGAGTCTGCGAGGCGGAAGGTTTCTGCTCCTGTTGATTCTGATTTTGAGGATGTGGTGGTGGCGGCGGTGGGTTTTGCTGCTGTTTTCTCTGCTGCTCTTCTCTTTGTCGAATGATCGCATTGAGCTCGTCAATGTGGGCCTGGAAAGTACGCAGCTGTTCCTGCGAAGCCTTGCTTGAAGCCACTACTCTCATCAATGCCTTCAGTTCTGGGTTCGCAGCGGCTCTAGTCGCGAGCATCTGGATGACAGGGTCCGGGCTTGGCTTTGCAGGCTGTGGTGGAGGTGCCTGCGCCTGTGCCGGCGAGGGAGGTTGCCGCGGCGCTGGTGGAGGTTGCGGTGTTCTAGGTTGAGGGTGAGGAATTTGCTGTGGATGAGGAGGCGGAGGGTAGCCGTAGTGTGGTCTCATTTGATTTGGAGGCGCGTAGTGCTGGTACTGATAGCCATGCGGAGGTGGAGGCCCGTATTGGACAATATGGCGTTGCGGAGGGGGAATCTGGACAGGAGGCTTCGCATTCGGATCTTTGACAGTGTAGATCATTCCATCAAAGTGATGAGGCTCTATGATGATTTTGCAAGATCCTACTTTTGTCATCGAGTCCTTTGGTGGGTTTTTGCCCTCGACCTGTTCCCTCTTAGTCTTCTTTGGTTTTGTCCAGTATCGCTCGAAGATTCCATCACTAAGCCACTTCTTCTTGGAGCGTTCCAAGGAAACGAGCAGTACGGCGCTGAGACTATTGTTAGCTGCCGAATGTATTATCCCTGCAGAGATGCAAACCTTTCCGCGATAGATTGGTATTCCTTGTCTGAAAGATTGGATGGTTGAGGTTTCACCCTCGTTGGAAGGGCTTCGCCATCTTTAATTTTAGTAGGAAGCGGTTCTTCAACAGGCTCTGGTGTAGGCTGACGTTCTGGCTCTGGTACTGGTGACGGTACGACAACAGGCGTTGCAGTTTTCCTTCTGGATGAATGGGTTTGCGGAGTAGCTTCGGAGACTCGTCGCTTTGCTGCGGGTTCGCGACGCTCGCGTGCAGGCAGTTTGCGCTTCTCCGCCATCCCCGCTTCTTCCAAGCGACTTTAAATCTTTTTTGACAGTGTAAAAAGAAGAATTTCGTCAGTGTTTGGGGGTATTGATGCTCTTTCGCACGGTCGCAGTAAGGAGGTGTTGACGGAAACCTGTGGGCGTGGTTGCGGCAACGTTGAGAGCATGATAGCTTGCTCGGTGCCTAAGGCAACAGTGCCCGCTCATGCATGTGACGTCGCGCTATTGCTATTGGTCGTTTTCCATTCTACATCTCCTCTCATTTCATCAGGGACTTCTCCATGGTGTGGATTCTTGTTGACTTTGGGGCTTGAACTGTACTGGTAAGTAATTTTATTAATTTATTTCGCTGCCTTGTTGGTGCTGTTGGAGAATTAAAAGACTGGCAACATATATATTGAAGCCATCCATGCAATATGCCATAGAACACTGAATTTTTTCGCATTTCTTCTGAAACCTCCGCTCACTAATACTACTGAACCCAGTTATCAATAACTATCCAGTTTGCCATGGTCGAACTCGCCCCCATATTCAAAAAAGCCTACTGGGCTCTTGCGGCAGGCGGTCTTGTATATGTCTCATGGGTATACTCATTGACATATCCAAGCGTCCAAAGAATGTCTGTGAAAAAGGACATATTTAATGAGACTCAGTGCTGATTTTCATAAAGCGCATTATATGCCAACCTCGTCAACCCAGCATATTGGCAAGATCTAAATGAGGTCGAGAATTTTGGATTCCTAAGTATAACAATCTAATCCACTATTCCACCCAGTCATTACTAACCTATTACAGAAACGCAAGTGCAGCCATTCCATCTGGTGACTCCAGATAACGAGACTCTATATGGATGGCATATCCTACCGTTACATCTCTGTAGAAAGCACGAAAACCTGCTAGACGACAATTGGACTCCTGGGCCGGCAGAGGACTACAGCAAGACTATTTCGTATAAACTTCTAACTGAAGATCCGAATGCCAGGGTTGTTGTAAACTGTAAGTCAATCAGCAGCACTCGACCCAATGTTGGTGCCTAACAATGTACCCCATCTCAAGTCCACGGCAATGCTGCACATCTCGGCTCCGTTATCCGTCCAGAGATGTACCGTATGGCTCTTGGAGTCTCAACTCCCGAAAACCCGGTGCATGTCTTCGCAATTGATTACAGGGGTTTCGGACTGTCCACTGGGTCTCCTTCAGAAGAAGGGCTTATTACTGACGGTTTAACTCTTCTCAACCACCTAACCTCGACACCTTTGAACATACCCCCATCGCGTATTGTGATCAGTGGACTCAGCCTTGGAACAGCCGTTACATCTGCAGTCGCGGAGCGTTTCGCCTTTGGTGCACCAGAGTCATCCGTCATTCAGCCAGCTCTGAAAGACCCTGAACCATTTGCCGGCATCATCATCCTAGCGTCCTTCAGCAATCTTCCCAATCTCATAGAATCATACAGCTTGAAAGGACTCACTCCGCCGATGCTCTCACCATTGATTGGCTATCCCTCTGTACAAAGATGGGTCAAGTCTCACATCGTTGATACCTGGAACTCCAGCGCCAGATTAGGACGACTTACCGGCGTGGAAGCTCATGACAGTGACTCTGATATCCGCCACAGTCGAAAAGGTGTAGATATTACAATCATTCATGCCCGTAACGATGTTGAGATTCCCTGGCGGGAGGGTTTCACTAACTGGAAATCGGCTACTGGACCGAGAGACGAGAAAGGGAATCCGTTAGAGGGGAAAATCACATATGAGCGAGTTTCAGAAAATGGTTTAATTGAGACGAGGGTCTGGGAAAAGGAAGTCCCCAGTAAGAAACACGTGAAACGTGTCAGGTGGGAAAAGGTTGGATATGGTGGCCACAATGAAGTGGGCGCTTACTCGGTGGCTGCGCTTGCTATTTTGCGCTCATTCGAAGAGTAGAATAATTGTATAGACAGATTTGAAGCAGCAAGAAGATTTTACTACATGTGCACTTTAGCATTCAATGTTGATTAAAGGGAATTCACGAAACAATCTGATGAAAAAATACCAGCTGACATGGGTTGCTCAAGCTGGGGCGTGGCGTTCTGTAAACAAAAATATAAGCTATACAAATTCAATGCCCCATTTCCCCATGCATATATGATCCTTTCCCATTTTCTCCCTTCCATCCCATGCATTGTTTGCTTGCTAATTGGGTTTCTAAGATCAAGGACAGACGAGTCGTCATCCTATTGAGACAGGAGGTAACGATGGCAACCAAGCACTTTCAAAGAGGGGAGAGGTAAATGTGCAATAGTACAATCAAACAGAAAGCCAAAGTTTATATCTTTTGCTATTTTTCAAATATACATGTTCGAGAAAGTAGGTGTATAATACCCAACGTGAACGACACGATGGAATTTGAAATAACAAGGCCCTAATAGTATTGATATATAAAGACAAGTGTCACGAAGTGAAGAGGGCCCGGCTCGAAAGGTTGTCGGGTAATAATCATTAGTTAGATGTACCAGGTGACTGCATGGTACCTTTTTATATGACGAATCGCAAGGAAATGGTATAGGTCGATCACTTCTTGTGACGATCGGCCTGAGCTTTGAGGTATTTCTGGATCAGCTCCTTTTGCAACTGGCCAGGAGCTTTCTCATAGTGACTGAATTCCATGGTATACTCGCCTTTACCTTGGGTGGCAGCACGCAGGTGGCTACTGAAACCAAACATGCTATTCAAACTGCAATCAGCATAGACAGTGAATTCATCAACGCCCACTTCACTGTCGTTGATAGTGGCATTGCGCTTGTTAAGAAGACCGATGACATCACCCTGGAATTCAATTGGGGCGGTGACAACAGTCTTCATGAGAGGCTCCAAGACGGATGGACCACTGTCCATAAAAGCCTTACGGAAAGCTTGTTGGGTGGCATTTTTGAATGACATTTCAGAGGAGTCAGTCATGTGCGTGGCACCATCGTTGATAATCATTTTTGTCCCAAGGACTCTGTGTCCGATAAGAGGACCCTTCTCACATGAGAGGTTGAATCCCTTTTCACACGCAAACAAGAACTTTTCAGAAATAGCACCACCAACAATCTGCTCTTCGAAATGGTTTTGCTCCAGTGATTCCGTTGGCTCCATGTAGCCGACGACACGCGCATAGTCACCAGGACCTCCGGTCTGTTTCTTCAACAAATGGTCGAATTCCACTCGATTGCCGATGGTCTCACGGTAGGCAACTTGAGGCTGGCCAGTTTCACAGTCGACTTTGTATTCACGACGCATACGTTCAATGTAGATGTCAAGATGCAGTTCACCCATTCCAGAAATGATCGTCTGTTCACTTTCGGTATCAAAAGAGACGCGGAAGGTCGGATCTTCCCTTTGGAAGCGAGCCATGGCCTTTGAGAAGTTTGCCGAGTCTTTGTTGTTCTTGGGTTTGATAGAGAGTGAGATAACGGGTTCAGGAACGAACATGGAGGACATAGTATAGGCAAGTTGTCCGTCAGTAAAGGTATCGCCAGATGCACATTCAACACCGAACACGGCGCAAATTTCACCAGCACCAATTTCTTGCACTTCCTCCATTTCGTTGGAGTGCATGCGCACGATACGTGGCACTTTTATTTTCTTATCGTTTCGTGCATTGAAGACATTTGAACCTTTGCGGAGAGTACCTTGGTAAACACGGATGTAAGTAAGTTGACCAAAGTTGCTTTCCTCAAGCTTGAAAGCTAGACCGACGAATGGTTGTGAACCATATGGTACAAGCTTCACCTGTGCCTCTTTACGTTTTTGATCCAATGCTAAATTGGTGACTTCAGATGGATTTGGGAGGTAGTCGCATACACCGTCCAGCATAGGTTGGATAGACTTGTCAGCCAATGCAGAGCCCATGAACACAGGTGTGAATTTCAGAGAAATGGTAGCCCGACGAATAGCAGCCTTTATTTGCTCTTGTGTAGGCTCTTTTTCGTCTAAGAAGATCTCTGCAATCTCATCGTCGACATCAGCGAGAGTTTCGATAAGCATTTTCCTCCTCTCCTCAGCTGTGGCCTTGACTTTCTCTGGGATTTCGTCTTTCTCAACGATCGTCTCTCCTCGCGGGCCCTCGTTGTAGATGGCTTTCATTCTGATCAAATCCACCACACCCTCAAATTCATCCTCAGCTCCGATGGGAACTTGCACGGCGGCAGCAGGGATTTTCAGCTTATTGTTGATCTGATCAATCGATTTAAAAGGGTTGGCACCCATGCGATCCATTTTGTTGACGAAAGAAATCCGAGGAACGTTGTAACGCTTCATTTGTCGGTCGACGGTAATAGTTTGGGACTGGACACCTGATACAGCACAGAGAATCATCACGGCACCGTCAAGCACACGCAGTGCTCTTTCGACTTCGATGGTAAAATCAATATGTCCTGGGGTATCAATCAAGTTGAAGTGATAGGTCTCCTCTTTTCCATCCTCCTTTTTTACCCAATCACAGAATGTAGCGGCCGATTGGATGGTGATACCCTTCTCACGCTCTAGGTCCATCGAGTCCATTTTAGCGCCGACACTATCGCGACCACGGACTTCGTGAATGGATTTGATACGACCGGTGTAGAAAAGAACTCGCTCCGTTGCTGTTGTTTTTCCGCTGTCAATGTGTGCCTGTTGAAAGAACATTAGCATTTAACCGAAAATATACTGATTTCCCAACAAGAAAACATTGATTGAACATACCGCAATACCAATATTCCTGACCTTCGAAAGACGTGCCCATTCTTTAGGATCTAAGTTTTTAATAATCTCATCTTGAGAGAGAGCTTCTGGGTCTGCAGCAGCTTGCTCTAGCCTGTTTTATACTTTGTCTCAGCAGCCGCTTTCTAGGTAAAATAACGAAAATATGAATCATCAATCAACGGGGAAAAACGTACACAGCTGCTGCCGCTGATGAGGCATTTCTCTGCTGACACCATTGCCTATTCAACGATAACGCTGTTCTTTGGCAGTAAGCCGCAGAGGTGACACCCAGAACGGGAATCGGGGAAGAAGAACATCGCAGCACATTTTGGCTCTGCGATCGCGGTAATCTCACAGGCGTTGATCTGGAAAGACCTGAAAAGGCCCGAATGTGAGATGGCCGCACAATTGAATGCGCCCTCATTGCTACTGGCACGGCCGTCTTTGTTAATGCAAATCCTTAATTGGCTTGAGAACAAGTCGCGGAACGCAAACAAAAAAAAGTTCGGAGATAGGGACGGTGCACGTGATTTCTCCGCAACATTCGATTTTCGGTCATGACCAACGGACAGCCAATTGAATAGCGCAAGTCGCGGTGTTTCTATGTTATATTAATGAAATTGTTCGTTTGGATCAATATTTAGCGATATCAAAAAGAGTGCATCTAGCAGCTCTATAACACAATATTTTAAACAGTCGTCTCCAGGAACGCTTCTATCCGATTGAAGTTTATTGTTACGAAACAATTTTCAAATCGCGGACACCATGTTCAATTGCCATAAGGGGAGTGCCAAAGGCCATGTGTAGATTTATTTATGCTCAGTATAATGATAACCGCGATGAACCCGTGTACAGAATGAAAAGAAGTCCCCAGTAAGCTATTGTACAAATCCAACCTCTGCAAGCAACACGTCTTATTGTCGACCGATATGCCACATGCCACAAAATTGCGAAAATGCGCCAGCCATGTATAATTCTCGATTGCTGCGAGCAGTATGATATTCGGAAGGGAGTGTTGTTGATTCATTCATCCAGTGTACTATCCGCTGTCGAAGATAATTTGGATCTATTTTCCTTGTCGTTGCTTGTGTTTTGGGTTTTTTGAACTATTACAAACATAAATATGTCAGATATATGCTTCACCTGCGGAATAAAAACCAAAAAAGAAGTGAAGGTGAAAAAACGTACCAAATGATATAAACCCTATTCTTCCGTCGCACAGGCTACTCTCTTGGTCAGAATCCACTACCCAAAGCTAACCATATATAAGCCCAAAACATCAGCGCAACTCACTTTACATCCGTCACAAAGCCTCTTCACTGACGATCGTGTTTTCATTCCTCGTGTTTGCGTGTGAGAATGTGTTATCGCACTGGAGGAAGTTTTAGCAACCTCATACCCTCCCTTAGAGCGTGATGACCAGATTTTATTTATCGCCCATGGCGTTATTCTTAATTGTGAAAATGACCGGATCAATTTATTTGCAGCGTTCGAGCGGAATGGTGAACGTATGAATTGGCGCAAAGGAAGCAGAGACCTGGAGGCTGTGAGGGCTAGCATGATGATAGCTGTCGTAGGAGCGCGAGCTCCTTTAATAAGAATTGACGGCTCGTATAAATTGAACCGGGCTTTTAGGGCGCAGGTTTTGTGTACCTTCGGGAATTCGTGAGCTCTGAGAGTTGTTGAGAATCATTGGAGTCGAGACGTCTTCGATATCAAGATTCAGTTACGGGTAGGTCACGTGCCGGTATTTTATGTATTGAACATTTGAAATTTAGTTACAACTCGATCATACTGGATAAAACAGCTATGGGATTTAAAATACCGGATTCTTGAGTTAGGGAAGATATTCAGACAATTATATCTATTCGAAGAATCATATAAATACAATTAATAAGCACTAGAAACATCACATCACAGCATAACATCCGTAATTAACGCCATCAGATAAAGAACTTGAACCATTCGTAAATCTCAGCCTGAGCCTGTGGTAGTCTATTATTACTAAAAAGAGTCGCAATTTGTATCGAATAATCTGACTCGATTGACGCTTCAGTCCTGTCGAAGGAACATTTTGTATGTAGGAGAGTTGGTGCATTCCTTGTACGGATATCCGAGATCGTTGAGGAAGCAGGTGAGTTCCGCATCTTCTGATGCCGCGCATTGAATACCAGCGAGCACTTGACCGACATCCCCGCCGTGATTTCGGTAATGAAAGAGAGTGATGTTATCAGTTGGGCGAAGGTGAGTAAGGAATCTTTGCAATGCACCCGGCCTCTCGGGGAACTGGAACATGAATAGACGTTCGTCTTGCACGCTACTTGGGCCACCAGCCAGATAGCGGATATGAGTTTTGGCAAGTTCATCGTCGCTAAGATCAGACGCAGTCATACCGGCCCTTTCCAGCCCGGCATAGATATTCTCGAGATCTTGGGTTCTAGTCGATGCAGACAAAGATATTGCAATGAGAACATTGGCAATGTCCTGGCGCGAATAGCGGTAGTTGAAACCCGTGATCGCATGAGGTGCGACTATGTCTATCAGTTTAGCATAAGCACCGGGCCGCTCTGGAATGGATACACTGAGTAAGACTTCCTTCTTCTCACCAAGCGCGGCCCGTTCAGCAACAAATCGAAGACGATCAAAGTCCATGTTAGCGCCTGATGTTACAGCCACTAACTCTCGGTTTGTGTCAGGGTCAGGGTTCTTGGCGACATATTTTTTCAACCCTGCTAATGCGAGGGCTCCAGCAGGCTCAAGAATGGACCGCGTATCTTCGAAAACATCCTTGATAGCAGCACAAATCTCATCAGTCGTCACTTGGATGATATCGTCGATAACATCGCGGCAAATTCGGAATGTTTCCTCGCCGACTAGTTTCACCGCAGCGCCATCGGCAAAGAGCCCGACCTCTTTCAACATCACTCTTTCGCCCTTCTGCAATGACTGAACCATTGCATTGGCATCATAGGTTTCTACACCAATGATCTTCACGTGCGGTGCGATGCGCTTGATGTAGGACCCAACTCCAGCGATAAGTCCACCACCACCGATACAACAGAAGACAGCCTCCAGATTCTGCAGTTTAGCCTGGCGTACTACCTCCATTCCAATGGTTCCTTGACCCGCAATGACGTAGGGGTCGTCGAATGGCGGAATGCTGGTCAAATTATGCAGTTTCTCCAGTCTGTGAGCTTCCTCTTTAGCAGCATCAAAATCACTACCGTGGAGAACAACACTACCACCCAAACGGGAGACATTGCGATGCTTAATTGCTGGTGTGCCAGAGGGCATGACAATGGTAGCTGGTATTTTCAATTTCCGGGCAGAGTACGCGACGCCCTGTGCATGATTACCTAGTTCATCGTCTAATTAGCAGGTAGTCTTGGTGTACGCCATGGTACAATCGTAATCCTCACCAGCAGAGCATGCGATAACGCCCTTCCATCGCTGATCAGGGCTTAGATGCGCCATTTTGTTGTAAGCTCCGCGTAATTTAAAACTGAAAACAGGTAACAAGTCTTCGCGTTTGAGCAGCACCTTGCATTCCAACCGGTTGCTGAGATTTGCCGCATGTTGTAGGGGGGTTTCTTCAATAACATCGTATACACGTGAGGTAAGGATCAATCGAAGGTACTGTATCATTGAAGTAATCAGTTTGCTGCTCATGGCCAGGGTCATCAGTACGTACATCAGGATAACCCGTGGGCAAGACGAAGTCGGAAGGGACCTCTGGGCTGTTGGGATGTCTGCTTGCTCTTTCGTATCTGGTAGTAGGAGGAGTCGGGGCAGCGGAGTACTCCGTCATGGACAAGCCGTTTAGATGTGGCCGAAGTGGAGGAGTCACCGGGGGGCCGTTAGTTTCTGCGGTCATGGCTGTCGTTCGAGATGATGTCTCAGTCAAAGGCGTATCCCGATATTCATGAATTGATACGATCCCTTTTTGTCAAATTGGAGTAAAACGGTATGCTCTATTCGTAAGAGGAGGAAATAATTGGCCTGATCGGTCGAAGCTGGCCGTACGATTAAGATTATCTTTGACCGCTATTTTTAGGCTTGGAATGTTGGGCATCCCGCCGACAGACTTTTTTTTATGTCAGCAACCCTAATCGGCAGCCCTAATTATCTTATCGCATTTCTAGGAGGAGACATTCCAAGCATTGAGCCACTGGAATTGTTACTGTGGAGGCGTGGGTCATGTATCTATGTCAAACATTGAATCTGCTCGTATTATGATTAATCAGGAGCGTCCTACGTGTACCAGAAAAACACCTCCAGAACATGTTTCAGTCAAGAAGACTCGGATTATAAGCCAAAGAAATATAAAGTCATCTGATGCGGGGTGTAAGCACGAATGCCTTTTTACATAGCAGAGCTCACGATGGCACATTTACTATCTAGTAGGACAGATGCGGCAGAATTTCTAAGCAGTAGAAGATTGCACAGTGGGCACTGCATTGGCCATTTCAATTTTGAAACTCCATTTCATTTAGACTACATATTGATATAACCTGAGACTGATGATATAGATCCGCATCATTTAATCGGGTCTATTCAAAACGGTCTGTTCAGACGGCCTTCCCTGTCTTCTAAACCCACGGAAAAATTAATTCTGGATCGTGAGAATATTGAATTCGCATGTATCATCTCAACAGCTGAATAAGTATGCATTGATAGATAGACGACTAGCACATCTTGGACCTTGTATTACACCAAATTACTTTCTTCGCCTCGTTTATATAAGTAGATACATAATTGGAACTCTGATCAATACCCGTAAGCACTATGACAAAGGGTCAATGGTGTTGGAAACTGATTAGTGACAATAGCACAGTCCCCCGCGTTTTGCCGCCCACGGAGTTTTAAGAGCGGCCGGTCATCTTGTTGGATTAGATCGATCAGGTGTGTTGAGTGGGTTGATGGCAAACGTACGTGTAATAGTACAGGTTGATTTCATTCACATAATCCTTTCCCCCTTACTTCCTATTTCGGTCTCTGCAGCATCATTAATGGGGGCGCTTTTATTGCAAACGAATCATGAAGCCGAGGGAAATGACAAGTCCAATGATGGAGGGTCATAAGCGCTCGAGAGAGCGGATGATACCTTTATAGTTTGCTTCGGATACATGTAATGGTGTGACAGGGGAGCAAACCGGATATTTTGCTATGGACAACAACCAACTGCATAATGATAGAATCTCAACATTACCCTGCAAGATAGTGAGTATTGTTATAGCTCGGTGATAGGCGTAAGCTTCAAGTGGTGTTAGGTTAGGTTAATTTGCCGACATAAGCTTAATACCGTCATGTTATTATTCACAAGCACATAATGTCAAACAGGTGAACGGGTGAGGAATTCTAGTACTACGACCAGCCTTCAAGCCTGTTATCGCTGCCCTCCTAGCTCCGAGCAGATCGACAAGAGATGATCCGCATGTGAGGAGGCCAAGATCGAGTTGAAACGATTGGAAGGTTTCGAGGCTTCATGTTTCTAAGCGAGCCTCCAAAAGCCAAAATCCTGTCGAGCGTTAGATGGCCCAGTCGTATATATTAAGTCAACCGGGTGCAATGGGTACATCGAAAAGGAGGGTCCGTGTTTCGGGTGCGGATGATTCCACTAATCGGCTCGCTTACAGGTCATTATCCACGTCTCCTCAGAAATTAGATCGGGTGTTAGAGGAACGAGGTAACTGCCGACGAACTACCCAACTTCTTTGCTTGTGATTTAGCGCTTTAGCCTCGTGTTCAAATTCGGGTTCGTGATAATCAGATGAGGCCTGCGGTAAACAGACAGAGAACAGAAGCAGGAAACAGAATATCAATAATAAATACCCTCTGCGAGACCGACTCGAGAGTCATATTCCGACCTCTTTTTGCTATTTAGCCGGGCGGTTAAACGGGGTCGCTCCGAGCCGCATTTGGTAAGGCCTGAGAGCTAATTTCCACGCGAGCCACTAAGAAGCTGCCAAGAACTGCCAAGAATGGAGCCAGCCGTGTGGAGTACCGGAGCTAAGCCATTAGTGCAACGAATAATATCTCTTCGAGGACTGCTAGCGTCCTCGCAGCTTTGCCAAAGGCAAAAAAGAGCTCGCTTGCACCTTAGTATACTACTATATCTGCTGGTAATAATATACAATAATACCGGCAGTCTTCGATCTTACAAGCTATGATTAACCCAAGTCATAACAATGTCCGTTCTTCGGGACCGTTTACCGTTTCTGGTCTTCTCCTCTCTCCAGTGTAGTGCGTGACTACCGGTTTTCTGGGGTGATGCCCTCAAATGTGAGTCTCCATTGATACGCTCAAATGCAGATGTTTTCTGCACATGATGCATAATTCAGGTAATCACATGTGCACTCTCAGCCATCGGTGAAGAACGCCACGTAGACAGATTTCTTGGATGTTATTTGGGAGTCGCCAACATCAAATAAATTAGCATGTGGCGAGTGTCTGATATAGACTCTATGTATAGTAGTAGGCGCCGATCCATACTCGAATCCAGCACGAGATCGAGTGGCAGACCCAATGAGATCTCGACTTGCTGATTCTCGTTTCAAGTCGAGTCGCATTGACTACTTTTTAAAATTATTGATGATATTACGATGATATGTAGTCTAATCCTGCTCTGTAGTCTGGTTCTGGAACCCCAGTCTTCCCCGCAATGGCCCTATGCTTTAGGCATCGATCATCCCCTGGTGCCAGGATAGAGTCGCAAGTGCCGACTTGATGCATGCAGAAACCACGGTGTATCAACGATTCGACCTCTCGCCTGCGTCCACTGTCCCCCCGCTCTATCACCGTTGGCGCCGGCATTCAAGGTGCATATCGCAACGTGACGGCGTGGCCCTGGCATAATTTACTCTCGTAATTATCAGGAGACAGGGTTGACGGCCCCGTCAAGCGAATCAGCCTCCCCTGCTCCTCCTGAAGACCCGAGTCGGAACCCCACAGCCAAAGGCGACCCTCCAGAGGGGGATCTGCGGGCCATCCAGGTACCTTGTGAAGGATCAAGACTAGAGCAAGAAAAGCAAGAAATCTCATCACCTCAGCAGTAGCTTAAACAAGGGCCACAAATGAAATAAAATAGATTCAAAAGGGACTGGACCCCTTCTGTCCGGCTCCATCCGCAGCTGTTCCTCGCACGCTGACCTGGTAGTCCACACTGACTGACTGACGCTGCCGGCAGCGTAAGGCTTAAAAGCTCCGGGTGACCCGCCTCTGCTAGTGATATTATTTCACCCGCCGCTTCCCCAGATTTTCTGCCTCTCCCACCTCCACTACTCATCTTCACTCGACTGTTGTCCATCTTCCGCAAATATGCCCCGCCCGACACTCCGCGCCCTGTGCTGAAAGACTCCTAATAGATTGATCTTGATCTATTGATGTCACTGCTAGCTAGTGGATGATCTGCTAACTTGACTCAGCAAGCCACTAGCTGCTCGCGCTGTCTCCCAATGGCGGTCGTCATGAACGACTCCTTCCAACAACTGCTCCATGCTGCTACTGAGCCCGACTTCCAGCCACCCGATGCTGCAGTTCTGTCAGCCTTTGGTATTATCGGTTCGGGCTCGGACAGCGGTGGAGAGGTAACTCAGGGCAGGCTGGAGACTGCCACTGTCCGGAGGCGCCCTGCTCCTAGAGGCACAGCTGCCTATCCGCGAAAACGAGCGAATAGAGCCTGTCAGGTTTGTAGGGCACGCAGAACAAAATGCGACAATAAAAAGCCGTCATGCTCATTCTGTGAGAAAGTCGGAGCCAAGTGCATCACGACTCCGACTGATTTATCCTCGTATGCTCTCTACTCTTGGTCTCCCCCCTAGAGGGTGTGCGGGTACTGATTTGCTATTCAAAAAGGTTTGACCCTGCAAGCCTGGCAATCTTAGACCGTCTAGAGCAGCTGGAACAGCTGATTCGTGAAAAATCAACGGTATCAAACTCGCAGCTGCCACCCCCGCCTCCTGCTCCAGCTCCGGTTGAAGAGTTTACCTTGAGCTACGGATCTCCAGCTCCTGATTTGCATTTCGGGCCTGATTTTAGTACAGTCACGATTGAGACGGTACTCGCCTGGGATGTCTTTCGTGGTCGTTTTAATTCCCAACTAGATCTGAAATCTCTCCTCAGGGACGTTGAATCGCCACCATCCCCCAACACCTCTCCAGTAGGGGAGACGATCCCCTTAATTAATAGCCTGGAGCTGGGCTCCTGCAACAGGCTGCTTGACAGCTTCTTGGTACGGGTTCATATTGCTAACCCAATCCTGGATATTGGGCTGGCCCGCGGATATATGAATCACGCTTGTATCCATGGGGTTGGCTGGGACGCTCAATCCTGTCTGGTGGTGAGTTGCTTCGACTATTTTCACAGAGATAATCTGAAGCTGACTAAAGCTCTCGAAGCTTCTTGTTTGCGCGCTAGGATCCATTGCAGAGGCATTCCATGATGTACATGGACATACCTCTCTTATGACACGGAACTCCCCTAGTTTTACCCTTGCTAGGGTATTTTTCGAGGCCTCACAAAAGCGTATCGGTTTACTTTTACGTGGCAGCGGAGTCTTGGAGGCACAATGCTTTTTCTACTCTGGTGTATATCTTATGACCATTCAGCAGCCTATGGATGCATGGAAACATTTTGTTCAAGCTGCCGCGATTTCGCAGGGATTCGACTTTCCCAAGAAGCCTTTTATGGCTGAGCTGCTAACCGATGAGGATCTACGGAGGGAGCGAGCTGCTCAAGAGAGCATTTATTGGACTTGTTTCAAGTCCGAGCTGTAAGTCTCAATAACTGAAAGACAAAAGATGACGTTTCTTACACTCTGTAGTGAGGTTCGTATGGAGCTCTCTTTACCAGGTTTCGGCCTGCAGGATCTATCCTATCCCAGTTCGTTTCCCAGCCCACCATCAGATGACCTGGGGCAAGACTCTGCACACGCATGGTATTATTACCTCGCAGAAATCGCTTTGCGTCGACTTGCAAACCGCATATTGTACAACCTCTTCCGAAATCAGGATAATGGTCGATTTCCTAGGATTATTGAGTTGGTGGAGTCGACCGCCGCTTTCGAAGCGCAGGCTGCTGATTGGTAAGTGTATACAACTTTCGAGTATCGCGTTCATTAAAGCTTACCTAATAATAGGATGGCATCACTCCCGCCAGTTTTCTCTCTACAAACTCCCGAGGAAGAAGATGACGTGCTCAAATTTGTTCTTCGTGGCCATCTTCTCGATTGCTACGAGTGGATGTATTTCCCATTCATGGCCGAAACGATTAACTTTGGGCGTCGCGGACCAATTCTTGACGAATATACGCGTAAGGGACTACAGATGTGTGCTGACAGAATTCGCAAAAATGAGCCTGGTTTCCAGCACCGACACCACGGTGCATGGTTAATGCTGCGCACATGCACACGAAGTGCTTTGATTCTCCTTGCAGCCTGCCATAGCCAGATGGTGCAAGACCTGATGCCAGAAGGCTGGAAGGAGGCAGTTGTCAGCGCCATGGGTATGCTGCAATTCTGGGAAGACGAAGTTGGTGATGCTCGCGATCGTCTTCATATCCTTACCGTCTTGATGACGGAGTTAGGCTGGCAATAGGCTAGCAATGATAACACGAGAAAACAGAGAGAAGAGGTACAATTATTTGGACGAAAATCCGGGAGGATGAACTTATGGCTGAAAAAACCGTGATATTATTTTAGCATTTCTTGATCTTGCATTTTGAGCGACAAACAGATCTGCTGGGTCAGGTCAACCCTTTTCCATGTACGGACCTGTATACTATATGTATTTATTTTATTTTCACTCTACTTGTCGTCTCAACACATTTAGCTTGTTTATCGACGAAACTCAGACGACACATTTTGAAAAACATACCAGTACCATTGTAGATATTACAATACCGTATCGGAACCAGGCTTGGCATTTCTCCCGACGTCATGGTTAATCGATATTTCCGCAGAGAAGCCGCAAGATCCGTCTTCCCTGTGCTCAATAAGTGTCAACAGTCAAGGCAGGGCCAAGATATCTTTCACAGTACTGCTCTAGCTATATAAAACCTTGGGCAATACTTTTTTTTCCCATTTTGCATGTGAAAATTTTCACAATTGCTAGTTTCTCCAACACCGCAAAAATTGACCAACCCTTTCCGAAGCTCCCTGTCTGACGCTCCACGGAGCTTGGAACCTGCATCTATCGCTATATCTACAATCAACAAAAAGGCGAAGCGGTAAAAATGGCGGACCGCGGCTTTCCTGCTGTTGCAGATCCTCCGTAAGTCGGATCCATCTACAAGTCTCATGCCGCAGAACATAAGTGGATTGGCCGCGTGTGCTAATGGATAATTACCGTTCGCAGTCAATTCCAGGAGGAAACCTCAATGCAAAAATTCAAACGCCGACTCAAAGAAGAGCCTCTCATCCCACTAGGTAACCCCCACTATTTCCTCCAAAGAGGGGCTATGTGTTCTGATTCGAATTATGAAAACAGGATGCGCCGCAACATGCTACGCCTTATACCGCGCGTACCGCTCGATGAAAGCCAAAGACTCAGCCGAACTCAATCGGATGTTTCGTGCCCGTATCTACGCGCAATTCTTCACATTACTAGCCGTGGTCGCCGGAGGCATGTACTACAAGTCGGAGCGGCAACAGCGACGCGAATTCGAGCGGATGGTTGAAGAGCGCAAAGCGCAGGAGAAACGGGATGCGTGGCTACGGGAGTTGGAGGCAAGAGAGAAAGAGGATAAGGGCTGGCGAGAGAGACATGCTGCGGTGGCGGAGGCGGCTAAGGATGCTTCTGCCGGTGGTAAAGAGGCTGCGAAGGGGAAGGAGGAGGAGTTGAGGTCGAAAGACGGGGTTGATAAGAAGCCTGTGGACCAGAATGTGAACCAGGCGGTTCATGAGAAGGGCGATGAGAAGAAGGGCTTGGGTATATTGGATGCTGTAAAAGCGTTGGTAGGGAAGAAGGATTCATGAGGTGGGAATCTTGGGATGAGAGATATTACCTAGGAGCATCGATTGACTTGATGCATGTGGTCAATTGATTTTGACCTGGGAGGAAGATTAGCGACTCCACTCGAACTATGTATAATCTATGTACATATATGTATTTTTTTTTATAATTCTTTAAGATGTCCTGACTGCGATAAAAGTTAGCTTCCTTATTTCTGTTTCAAGATAGCCCATCTGTGCTTTTCACCTACATGGTTACCATTTAGTCTCTTCTATCCCTTTCCTTAGAATATTCTCTCATTGTGCCCAGGCCCCCATTTGGAGCATAGATCCCCCATCTACGCAACTCTAGGACGAAAAGCTCCACAACATCTTCCCAGGTTCCTGTGTTGTAATATGACCAACGTTGAATCCATCTTGTCGGCAAGACTAACCCACCCGTCAGAAGTTTCAATGATCCAAATGAATAAGTATTACAAGATTATATACATGAATCTAATATCATCGACTAGCAAGCTCCTCAATATATCTCCTCATCGTATCAAATTCCGTCTTTCCAGCCGACAGTAGATACCTTATATGCGCCTAAAAGTAAAATTAGTTTTATGTCAGCCTGTAACTACAAAATGAACGAAGAAACAGATAAGTACTTACAACATCTTCAACTCCTTTATTTCGGTCGAATTCTGCTCTTGCATAGTCTCTCATTTCCGTGCGTGTTGATGACGGTGGGATTTCTATATAACTTAGTCTCTTTATTTTTCATTTCCATGTTTTATGCAAGTGAGAAATGAATAAGTTACGTACTGTATACAGCACGAATAATTTCACGCCAGAAAGAAAGCACTCGTTGTCGTTGGATGAACTGACCACTCATTAGAAGAGTTCTTTATCTTTATACATATATAAGTATGCAAGGGTAAAGGAAATACCTGATCAAGACTTGGGACTGGTTTCTTAAACTTTGAAGACTCGGATTTTGGCGTCGATGATGCTATTGATGATGATGGGGAATGCGGTACTGATGCCAGGAAGCGTGCAGATGATTTGATATTCAATATCTTGTTCCGCATGATCTGTGCTCAAAAGTCTCAATGTATAAATATAAAAATAGGATAATAAAATTGATATATCAACTAGAAAGTAATTAATGAAAAGTATCTGATTAATTTTTTGGTTTTTGAAACGTATTTCGGAGGCAATGAATGATAATGGCAGAATAGAGGGCGGTGAGAGGTAGTCGAGTTTGTGTATTGTTACGGGTATCAAGTTGGTATGTTACGGTTTTGGTAATATATGTTCTATTTATGTAGCACCGTTCCAAATACTATATACTAGTTATATAATTACGCCATAGAAAATACTTAATGTGAATGGCTAGTTGATAATTACAGCTATTAATACAGAATAATATTTACTACAAGAGGTGAATTAGAAATTGAGTTGATCATTGCAATCAATCATCACTTCACCCCGCTGTGTTGACCCAACTTGTCTGGAGTAGCGAAATGAGAAATAAGCAAAGACATCCGCAATGAATATGCTTGCTTAAGAGCCGTAAGATGGTTCCCAAGGCTTGTATTATTCTTTAAACATTGGACCCAGTGCAAACATCGTCGATTTCGGTGTCCATAACCCTAACGTTATGGATGTAGAGTATATGGCTGATATAAGCTGCTCAGATTTCCCTGCATACGTAACTACGCTTGAATATTAATACACATGTATAGAGAAAATAAATCATATATTTTATTCGTTAAATATTGTCTGTGGTAGATGCGTACTCATGTACATCTGCATAATATCAATATCCCCCGACCTGGAAAGGTTATATGCAGTTCTTCGTTTCTATTTCGTTTCCCCGCGTTTGAACCCACTCATCACTGTACTTATATGTACTAATCACTAGATGTGGACATATCCCGTAACAGAACCTTGAAGAATAGGTACTATTCCCAGCCTGTTCTAAAGTATGTACTAGTTGACATTGACCTTCTAGGGCTAGGTATTAAATCCTATCCTACTGTAGCGACGATCTATCGAGTCACTTTGCATTAGATTCTTAAACTAGCCAGGTAAAAGATGGCATGTTTTGACTTACCGAGTAGGCTGTATACGAACCATTTTGAGTCAAAAATGTGCAATTTCCATTATACCCTTGATCCAGTACATCATGTTCGCAAACGCCGTCTGTGACTACCCAAGGCTGATTGGGCCAAAATGATCCTGATTGGCTGAAAGACATAACAGGCACAGATGAGTTAATGCCAGTACAAGGCGTGCCGTAAATTGAGTAGTTGCCGGACACAGTTTTGAGCAGCTGTGTACAATTAAAGTCACTGTAAAACTGCAACTCCCAAGCATTCGAGACTGGGGCGAGAAAGGCGCCGAGGGTAATGGAAAGGATGGTCAAGACACGCATATTGAATACGTAGTATTAGCCACAAATTATAGGGTTGCTCAAATTTCGCGGTCTTTAAATGTAATGGATGAGATGCTATTTTATCGGGGATATTCAGGTCTTATTAAATTCGTCGACGTTAGCCTACATCAATATGTAGCCTATGGCATCAATTGAAGTCACATTCCTCCTTCCAGTATATATATTAGCATTATTTCACGCTAATATCTACGAATGGAACCCCCGATATGGACAGTTGGGGGCGCCATAGCCGGTCTTCCTGTCTTTAGATCTAGTTTTGAATAGTGGCAATCTTAATTTACTAACTTTGCCAGTTTGCGGTATGTCCTCCCAAAGTGGATTTACGACAGCCACCGTTAATTGAATAGTATTACCTTGAGCGGCAGACTGTTTGGACTCTAGATAATCCCAAGTGCCGTCCAAATATACCCACTGATGTTGACTTGATAGACTCTGTACAGATCAAGCAGCCCTACCATTTTTATCCCCCTACTTTAATTATAGAACCCCGCTCTGCGCGGCTGCTGAGAGTGAGACACCTGCTAACTCCGCATAGTAATCCATCCGCTCTAGTCAGCCCATGTACCAATCAGCCATGATACAGTAGTGTCATCCCCTCAAATGTAACAGGTTTTATGTCTCTCCGGCGCATGGACCACACTGCTTTACAGAACCCTCGATGATATCGAAGTATCAGTATTCCATCGCGGTCTGAAAGGCAGCTTAGACATGGATTTTAATTTAAAAGAGAAAATCTAAAAGCACTATAAATGATAAAAAAAGACAAGATAAAGTATGGTTTCTTAATAAGGATTGATGATTGTCATAAATATACGCACCATAAAACCCTTCATTTTGGATAACGTTGCCTGCGGTCTGGACAGGGCTTAGGGTTTGACATGACAATTTCCCCATAGAAACCAGATACTTAAAGGAAATTGCAAGGAAGACATTTGGCATTTGGCATTGTCTTTTATCTGGAAAATGAAGATAAAGTCGCTACATCGTAAAATAGTTCAAATGTTGAAATCAGTAATAAATAATTATTTGAAGTATATATGTTTAACTAAATTTTGATGCTAGACAAGCCCGCCAAGTACCATCTCTCCGATTAATCCTCCAGAGAAGAAAAGCAGAAAGAAACTGTGCAAACCTGCATACGAAACCAACTTTCTATTGTCTTACTCTAGTCATCACAAGGGCGAACATTGAAGGGAGTGAAATACAAGAAACACAACACGTCAAGCGCAAGAGGAAACGCTTGCGGGATGACCAGTTTACTGTAAATAAATTGAATCAAGGAAGAAAAATGTCTCCAAAACAAGAGAAATGTCATTATATGAACCTGCAAAGTACTCATAAGTTGATCCTCTAGAGAATATTCAGGCTTGCTTGTGCTCTTTTTTATAGATCTATACTCGAAAACTTTTGAAAGGATAGCTTAACTATACTTTTGGGTTATTCAATGCAACCAATCGTAACTTTCCATCATACTCAATTCAATTCGGTCGGATACACCCCCCCTTGCACTGCTCTGCCTCGTGAATCTCACAGTATATTCTTTCTTTCTGCATCATATCACTCAATTTAGTAGCTGCCTTCTTATAATACGGCTGCGGTGGCAGCAGAATCTTCCACCGCCGATGCGGATGATTCTTTAAGCTCAGCCCCCTCAAAGGCTCGAGGAAAACGGGTACCTTCTCAATCGGCTCCCCAAACCAGTTGCCAGTCAGATGCAACGTAAAGTCTTCGAGATTCTTCATCAGCAGAATAGCCTTGCAGGTTTCGACCCACTGCTGTCGACCAGCCCAGACATATACTGATTTGACTGAGTCCTTACTTGGTAGCCAGTGACCGGGGAACGCCCATTTCAGGTCGACGGAGCGAATTTCATTCCATTGATCGGCTGGAATGGTCGGTCGTAGGTACGTCAGAGACCAGGTGTTGCTAAACTCAAACGTGTTTGAAGAGTAAAGTAGGTAAATGCTTTCCCGGTAACTGTTTCCCAAACGAAAAGATATCTTTTTATGAGACTTTGATCCTTTAGATCCATTTGATAGATTGTATAGCTTACATCTGTTTACACGCTGCTGGCAGCGAGAGCAAATTCATATTCGAGCACCTTTCTGCGTTCTTGATCGGTTGCGGGAGAATGCCGCGGCAGATGCCACATGGATCTCGTTGCGGGCACACAACGTAGCCCAAGCGTTTTTGCGATCGTTGAATAACGTGCAGCCGTCGGCCACCGAGCACCATTTCCCAGATCATCAGTCGCAGCTCGGACGGGAGCTTGTTCAGCAATAGGCATTGTGACTGCTGGATGGGCGATTGGCTGAAATCCATCGCTCGTGGGGCCGGCCCTCTGACAGTTCCTTTGCGCCGTCTGTATCGAGGCAGCGAGGAAGGTTTGTCGTCTTTGATGGTTAGTATCTCTATAGCTGCAGATCGAAGCTCCTGCCCGGAAGGACCAAGAAAGCAAAAGGAAACATGACAGTAGTGACGTGCATCTCTGGATATGGCTATCTTAAATCAACATACTTTCGTACCTCTGGGCGAGCACATCTTCCCAGGAATGAACGCCAGTCTTTGACCTGGCCATATCGAAAGAGACGACAACAACAACAGCAGTAAGAAGAAGAGGAAGAAGAAGAAGCGCAAGAAAAGGCGGTGACGAGAGAAGTGGCAAGCAACAGGCTCAAGCTAGGCTCGGTCACGCGAGAAGTCCATGGTATGGGTACCAACACGAAAGGGTCATGACATGGCGCAAGCGGGCAGCTTCCACGGCAGCAAGCAGCAAGCTGTACAGACAAGACAATAGAAGGAGGGATAACAGCCTCAGGCAGGAGCTGGATGCGTGATTTATCTCACCGACGTCGGCGCTGCTCGCTGCCTCAGGCTGCAGGGCGCCGAACCGGGTCGCGGTGGGGCTCCGGTCCGGCGCATCTTATCTTATCTTGTGCCCTACCGTACTGGAACATCGTTTACAGTGGTGTAGAATGTATAGAATGTACCCATCTATATTCCTGTTTTATATAGACCAGGCTATTTACCAGCTTTTCAGTGCTTAATAACCCTTCTATTCATACTATATTGAGTATATTGAATGTAGACTGCTATGTTGCTGTTCCTGTCAACGAAGTCGGTTGATGGACGCTACGGGGGCAGGAGCACCCCCGACACAGCACTTGAGGTGATGCTCTGACTCACTGCACGATGTATTAAGTGATCTCCTGCTGTCTCTTCTCTGCTCTTTCCCCTGACACCAGGTTGTCCATCATCAACCCCGGCCATCTTTAAGTATCCTTATCCATTTCTTAGTACATAGAGTAGATTGACAACACTGCACCGACTCAAATGACAATGCTGGGGCTGCTGACTGCAGCTTTTACTTTAGCTGCTTGTTATATGTTTGCGAGTCCTGCCACCGCTCTACCATCCAAGCATGCATCTGCCCCCGAGAAACTGGTTTTCGCCCATTTCATGGTGAGAGTACTTTAGTCTGTCGTTAAACACGCAAACTAACCGCCATAGGTGGGAATTGTTGACGATCGTACCTCTGCATCAGACTACGATTTGGACTTCCAACGAGCGAAAGCGATTGGTGTCGATGCCTTTGCGCTGAACATCGGCACTGATAGCTTTACAAACACCCAGTTGGACCTTGCGTACGAATCAGCAGACTACAATGGCATGAAAGTTTTCATATCCTTTGACTTCAACTGGTATAGCAGTGGAGATATTAGCGCAATTGCCTCGAAGATAGCGCGATATGCTGCAAAACCAGCACAGCTGAAAGTGGACAACAAGGTTTTTGTTTCGTCCTTTGCTGGCGATGGAGTCAATGTAAGTCCATGCCTTGTTAGCGGATACACGACATATATTAATAAATAATCACGCAGAGAATTGAGTTGGAGGCTGCAGCTGGAACGAAGCTGTTCTTCATTCCTAATTTTACTCCTGGAATTGGCGACTTTGGTCATATCGACGGCGCTTTTAGCTGGAGAGCTTGGCCAAACAATGGCAATAACAAGGCACCTGCTCATGACCATAATACCAGTACGAGTGACGAAGATCGTGTCTATCTACAAAAATTGGGCACCCTTTCTTATCTAGCACGTAAGTTGCAAACTGATCCTGCTCCGTGGATTGGGTATGATGGCAAGAGCTAATAGTATCATTCACATGCAGCGATTTCTCCATGGTTCTTTACTCACTACGGTAGCGAGGTGTCCTACAGTAAGAACTTTGTTTTTCCTGGCGATCTCTTGTGGTACAATCGTTGGAACGAAATTCTTTCTCTGGCACCTCCCTTTACCGAGATTATCTCATGGAACGACTATGGCGAATCTCATTATGTTGGTCCTCTATCGTCTTCTCACTACGATGATGGTAGTTCTAAATGGACAATGGACATGTAAGCGGTCTCTTAGAACTTAAGGGCCGGGATAAATTACTGATATCTGGAAGGCCTCATGACGGCTGGCTAGACATGGCTGTCCCATTTATTGCTGCTTACAAGGCTGGTGCCAAGTCAACCGAACTGAAGGACTTTGTTACTAAAGATGAGCTTGTGTATTGGTATCGTCCTACACACAAAGATATTGACTGCGACTCTACAGACAACACTATGGAATCTGGCAATAATGCGAGTGGTAACTATTTCCACGGCAAACCCAATGGGTACGAAACCATGGCAGATTCCGTCTTCATTGTATCCCTCCTGACGGAAGACTCTCAAATCGAGGCAAAATCCGGTAACAACTATCAGGCTTTTCACGCAAAATCTGGAGTCAATGCCTTTTCTTTGCCTATGGGTATTGGCTCTCAATCTTTTACTGTAAAAAGGAACGGTGCCAGTATCCTCAGTGGAACCAGTGCCAGAGACATTATTAATACTTGCCCCTGTGGAATTTACAATTTCAATGCCTATGTTGGTCAACTTCCGCCTCCTAAGGTAATCAGCCAACTCCGTCCAGATGGTCTCAGTAAGCTGACTGAAGGTTTGCGAGTTGCGTGTCCGGTCAAGACCGGCTGAGCTTGCTTGTGCTATTTACACATTTGAAAATGCCTGTCAAATGGACCAATGGGGTTGAATGCCGATACCTGATCGTTGTTTTGAAACAAATTTCCTGAGTACAACTAGGTTTTCAATTTTCGAGGTAATGGGTAAAAGGTCTGATAGTGGGGAGAATGTATTTTGTGCCATTCTCATTTAACCGAACTGAAGACAGAATTTTGTTTCAAAAATGTAAAGTCTCTTTCCATTTGAGAATGATAAGCGGATTGTTAACTTCTAAAAGCCAGGATGACTTGTTTGTACTACTAGTAATCTCCGGTTACTCCGTATAATCAGTAATAGTAGGCAGCCGACAAAGAATTCTCCTCCGATACGCAGTATCTAAGGATAAACAGGAAAGGTGATCCACTAGGATATTAAACCACTGCCACTGCACTCACGTAGCTCACCGAACTGTCGGAAACATCATCTGGATCTGAGCTTCTCTCATACCTGATGAAATGAAACTTGCCTACATCCCCACCCGTAGCAGCAGCGAATTCCTCCAAAGCCGCCATAATAACTCCAATAGGATGTCGACCGCACACTGTATTACCAGTTTTCCTGAGAATACTAAGAAACTGCTTGGCATTTCCTGTCGTAATTGCTTTCATAGTCGCAATGTCTACGGCCGAAATACTATCATAGATTTCCGTCTGTAACTCGCTGTTACGGCGTAGAGACTGGCCTGATACGGCCACTGTAGCTTCTTCAGCCTGGGGAATCGTTGTTGGTGGCTGAGGCAAGTGATCAAATGTTAGTGGCAGCGGTGGCTTCTGTTGCGGAGCGTCAGGTACATAATACGTGTACCCAAACCGCTGACCCCAATGACAAAAGTCTGAACTAATAATAAACGCATTTGACTGGTCTGCCAAGTATGGAGCTAGCAGCGCGCCAACGGTACGCTCAGTGTCGGCGCTGGTGTTACCAACCATGATCGGCACAAGAGGCGGGTATTCCGAGGTAGACCGGTCAGGGAACGTGAGCTGCAGTTTGCGGTGGATATATGGGAGATGCAGCTCCATGCTATGCTCTCGTTCGTCGGTACGTCGAGACATAGTTTCGAAGCGGGATGAGGATGAGGATAGCTTCTTGATTGTTTCTGTATCCAGGGGGAGGGGGTCCTTGGAGAGCGGGGTTGCGTAGGAGGTTAGTTCGGGCAGGGCGATTGTTGCGAGGGCGTGATGGTGAGAAGGGCCCAGCAGGAAGATGCGTTTCCTGGATGGACTTTTGTGAGCTTGGAGACATTCCTTGGATTTGTGGTTTTGGTTTTTATGCTAAAGGCCGCACTCCTACTCACGCGTTGGAAAGATCGAGCGACTTGTACGCCCACGCCGCGCATGGTCCTGAGTACGCATATCCCGCGTGTCTGTGATTATTTAGTTTGAACCAAAAGAAGATACAGAGGGGAATAAAACCCACGGCCCTATGATTATTCTTGCGCCAGGAACCGGCAATGACCCCAAACCCCCAATCTCATCCGGAACAGCAGCGAACCATCCGTCCAGCTCCGCGGTTAACGTGGTGCCGTCATCTTCGTACCACGATCCAGCATGGGCTGCTCTTCTGACCGACATTCCGTGTTTCCCGGTCAGGAATTCTAGCATCTAGCATCAATGTTTACCATAGACAGAAAAATGAGCAAAGAGGAGGTGGTAGACAGAGTCAACAGGGTGGATCGGCAACTGATAGCGTCAAGTGGAGAGCTTATCGTTCCTTATGCGGGGGAGGGGCAATTATAGCAAAGTTATTAACAGCCCATCTGAGCATAAGAATACTCAATATACTAGCAGCCTAGTAATTTAAATTTGAAATTTTTTAAATAAATATAACTATAATAATAATAATTAACATAAATAATGCGCGTATTCTGCTTAAGGATGCAATGGCTATATGGAATTGTTAAAACATGTTTGCGGATTACAAAATCCACTGTGGTTAAGGTTGCTTGCTTCATGTGGACTTATCTCTTTCCTCTCTATACTTGGTATTCTCGTACTTAGACGTGAATAAAATACCTCATCGACTAGTCCTTTAGGACTATGTGTTAATGCGGGTGCACTTCACATGACTCAAGAAATATGCGGACTCTCATATGTACTCCAGGCGACGAACTTCATTCTACTCCATAAGACTTATCACGGAAGTGACTTCTCAACTAGTATAGCAACTCCAACGATTTGTCGTGATTCGTGAGCTACCGAATCAGGTCTGATTCGCTAAAGACTAGCAGTCATCATAAGCGGCACAGTTCGGAACCAGCGTCCTGTATGTCGATACCAGCCCCCGTTAGTGTGCTTTAGCGGTGACAAAAGGAGTTGCGATTCTCCCTTCAACTGTCTCCAGTCATTTTCTCATGACATTCTGGATACTGTTACAGACGAATGCGATTCGTTATCTCTCTATCTTTAAAGGAGAAAGTTTAAAGGTCAGCAGCAGGTTTACACGGTATGATTAACCTCACCACTTCGCTTTTTCCCAAACCGTGCAAGTGAAACAGTGAATAGGTGACAAGATTGAAATAGACATTGACTCATCATTTAACAGTATCATTAGAATTGTGAGCCAACTCCGAAGACTGCGCTTCGAATTCGTATACCTACCCCAAAGGCCTCGACTTCAACACATACTGCGGTCAAGACATCGTTGCAGTTGAAGTCGGCAGCTCAACCAAGACAAGTTTGACCGACTGCATGGATAAATGCCCGACTGATCGACCCATTTGCTACGGTGCGACATACTTTACACAAAACGGAAAGAATTTGTTCATACAAAACCGAAGGCCTAACGGCGACAGTGAACGTATCAGATGCAGTAACAATGTCAACAGCGCCATCGCAAAATCGACACAGCTACAATCATTGAGCACAATTTGTCCATACCAAAACAACTCAATGATCGACACGAGTGATGGCTTGCCGTTTCAAATTCTGTGCGATCTAGATATGGCGGGTTACGGCGACTATTATACTTGGGGATAGCAATACACAGCGCATACGAATTCGCTGATGGAATGCATGAAAATATGCTCACAGTCGCATCCACTCCTTTTGGGATTCCATGCAGGATGGATTTGAGAACTGCTACCTGTTGAATGCGACGAATACTGCCAGCTTTGGGTCAAACACTGATTGTAAAAGATTGTTCAATTCACTAACTCTTTAGATAATGTCTTAGATATATACTTTCGAGAAGATTTTCGCTTGTTCTTTGTTCTTTATGTCTAAAAAGGAACATCCAAGCTCACATAATATAATATCAATGAATTTTTAAACATTCTTTCGTAAATTAACGCTTCATTTAATTACCCAATTTGGCATGGAGAATAATCAACATTGAATTGATCTATCTGTAGCTTGCTTTGCTCATACTTGCTCCCAGTGATGTTGATTTCTAGTATCAAATAGAATTCATTTCCTTCTAACTAAATTATATTACACTGGGTGAGGTTAGGTTTTGTTGGTTTAATGGTTGAAAACGCCAACTTTGAACCCATCAATGATGCAACTCGTCCCACCTCCTGTGCCTGAATTCACTGTCACAATAGGGGTGTCTATTAATTCTCCAAATATTTATCCCAGTATGGTTATTAGAGTTATTGAAGGTTCCATTTTGTAATCGATATGAGAGATATTAATCTAGATAAGATTAAATTAGTTCATATTATTCAAGTTCTGTACATTTATACTCAAAGATAGTATCTACACTAGGCCTGAACACTAGTCAGGTTGACAGCGCGACTTTTGATGCTCACCTTCGTGTGGAGTACAGTAATTCCAAATTCTTCGTGGGTCCCGGGAATATTCTTATCAATTGCTTGTACAATGGCGAAACAAAAGCCAATTCTGAGATAGCGAGTGGATCAATTTTGCAGATGAGCTGACAATATCCACTGCTGAAGAAGGATCAGATACGGGGTTGTAGTATGTGCGTGCATATGTTATTCCCCGGATTTAAGCTAGAGAACTGACACGGTCGCCCTCCGTGGAATTCGGACGTTGAATATACACAACAAGATCTCCAAAGTAATCCCAGTCGCCTGGAAAATCAAAGGAATCATAGTGTGCAAGGATCCAGGTCCTCAGACGCGGCGAGTCTGGGTCAGTGCATCTTATAGTTTTGTTAGAAGCCTATCCAAACCACACTGGATTTGCATCATACCGTTGGTCTATCTCCTCTATCCTGTTCCAGATGATAATTGCCGGTCGAGCGATGTCAGACACGACTTGCTTAACAGCGACATTTGGGCTGATAGAAACCACAATGGTTGAATCATCCACCTCCAAGAAGCCTTCCGGGTCGGGCAAAACCGTGACCCCAAACGTCTCCAGAATAGCCGTATCATGCTTGGTATATGCTGGATCCTGAGCATAGCATTTTATATCGCTCCCGTTCGACACATCTCGGAGTAGTTCATGTAGTGATATGATAAGTGCGTGCTGGAAGGATGACCGATTGCTATGTTTCTCCTCGGCGAATGCCTGAATAGGTCCAAGGGCAAACGCGACCATCTTGTTGATATTCAGGTTTTGGAGGCACCCGAACTTGTATTTCAGCTGCTTCCAAGACTCACTAGCCTTCCACATCTGTAGGGTAGTTCCCAAGCTTACCCTCACCTCTTCTAGGCTTGTAACATAGACAGGATTAGTTATTCGTTTAGTTAACTTGTCTCGGGTCAAAAGCTGATGGTAAATCCGAATATTCGTATAAGGTGACCAGTATCCAACCATATCAGGATCCAACAGACCCTGGATAGAATCATAGTGAATAATCGGCTTCTCGCTGTATTTACCTTGTTAGCACCGGCTATTAAGTAGAAGCAACACAGAGAACACACAATATGTACTCTAAACCCTCTTCCTCATCGCAATACATGCCGTTTCTTATCTTAAACTGGTCGAACTTCCCATCTAGTCCTTCAATACGAACCTTGTTCCCAGGCTGGCCGTTTCTCTGAAGCTCCTCGTAGACTCCTCGAATGCGGTCCTTGGTGAAAAAAGGGAAACCGGAATCGTATAGATATCGAACATGGGCAACTGCTTCAGAGGAAATTTCATCCTTCCTATCATCTGTTTCGTCATCAGTATCTGACATTGTGGTGGGTGGGAATGGTCGCTGAGAAGGAATATGCGGAGGTTGGAGAGGGGCAAGGCTGATGAATTCAATTCACCTTATCCAGAACCATCTGTCGTACGTAGCGTGGGTTGACTAATCGGTCGTTACTATTCAATCGGCCTAAATAGTCATTCCAATGATCGATTGGGATCAATCATTGGTTGATAAAAGCTAATTTTTTTAGAATTTGGTAAATAAATTGGTTTCTAGCTGTCATCAATGTATCCAGGAATTTTCGGAAGTACTGAGTGAATGGAAAGTGATAAAGGGGGTCATGTACCCGCATACATAAAGGTTGCGTAAAGGTACAATGTACCTTCTCGTGTTTCAGATGTCCTTCTATTTATAACCCCTATATAAGCTTCCGCCGCGCACGGAGTTCCGAAGAACTCCTTCCACTTTTGTTGCCAAGAATTATCGCTACGCCAAAAAGGGTTTATCTCAGGGTAAGGCTTCTTAGTGTGGTACAAATAGTGTATTTTGCTTGAAAAAATACCACTGGTAATTTTAATTTTCAAGAAGGGTAATCTGCTGTCTTGCAATTGTGCTAGTTTCATGGCTATACAGGCTTCTAGTATCTAAGATATATCTATTTACAGCATGGGATAACAGATCACAGTTCAGATATTGATTGATGATGATTCTCAAACTAGTTGCCGGATAGAGTGACGGCAAGCTACAAGACCTTCGACAGAAGCTCATTCAGTTCATGGGCCACAAATGCCGGGTTGTCCCTTTGCACGAAATGTCCTGCATTCGGTGCCTGCAACGGTCCCTTGCTCTTCTCCGGCTCCGTGATCTTAGCTAGTCCTTCATTGTATCGATGCCAGTACGGATTCACGTACGTCATCGTAATCAGTTTAGGAGGTCCCATCTTCGCCGACTCCTCCGCAAAAGCCTCAAAGTCGTGGCCGACCACGGTGACAAAGGGTCCCCTACCACCCGGACCCTGCAGAACTGGGCCATCGCTGGCGGGCAGCAGTGTTCGGAGGTTCTTCCGACTCAAGCCCTCCTTGCTGCCAACATCGGGGTGGAAAACCCGTCGTGTGCCTTCTCGAGTAGCGCGCAAGGCCTGTGGCGGAATCCCAGGTGGAAGCGTGGTATCATCGAAGTCCTCTGCGTCCGGATCGGGGAAAACCGACACAAAGTCCGAGTTGGCAAGGACGCTGTCGAGAAACAAGAGGCCAGCCACGGTGCCGGGATACTCTTGTGCGTAAAGCCGAGCCAGCGCGCAGCCAATCGAGTTTCCAACTAGAACAAGAGGCACACTGTCTGTTTCGGACACATCTAACTTCTCGGCGATGACTTGGGTGATAAGCTGGTGCAAGTCGCGAACAACGCTGAGGCAGTCATGGCCATGCATTAGGTCCGCTACGCCCTCGTCGCTAGGGTCGCGGTCCGTGGTTTGGCCCTGGCCGAAGCGGTCGTAGGTCAGAGTAGCGGGGATGTTCTCCTGGCGCAGCTCCTTCAACTGGGCGATGGCCGGCAACCACGACACCTGTGGCAGTCCGAGACCATTCAGAAAGACCAGTAACGCTGGTTTTGTCGTGGATACGGCCGGCTGAAAGCTATAGGAGATCTGCGCTGTGGGTTTTGTGGCAAGACTAATAAGCTGGAACTCAACCATTGTGTCCGTGTGATGAGGTTATACCGTGAACTGTGAAGGAGCTGATAATAATGTACAAAGCAGAAAAATTAAATAACTTCGAAAATGGGTGAGGCAGAAAAGGAAGGCTGGAGAGAAGAGGAGATTGGGTTGGGGGTAGCAAAGCGACGGTGGGGGAAGGGGGAGTGAGAGAGGATAACATAAATAGTTGATTAAGCCTCAGCTGTAAGAGTAGGGTACCACCTATGAGAGCCCTGCTGTCATGGAACGGCGATGAACAATCTGGAATATGTTATTGTTGGTTGGGTATGATTGAATAGGATAATATGTATTTGTAAGTAGTAACGAACTTACTGTACAATACATTCGGTGGCTAAGAGACGTAGGGTCTCTTAGTGCAGCGGTCAAGATATTATATTAAAAAATAGTAATAATTTTTTATATATAGATACATTTAGATAAATAAGTTCTTTACAACTCAACTTAGGCTTATAACTATCGTACCTGGGCTCAATCTATTGCTGAGTAATCTCACTAGTGCGTACGAAGTTCGACAGTACCTCAATCAGCTGTCGTCTTGTCATTTAACTCTTTGACCTCTAGTAGTTGGCCTCTACCATGGTCAATCTGCTGGTACACCATTGACTGGGTGACAGCTCCCTCACAATGGCTTCTTCAACGATAAAAGATGTCATATGCAACGAAAGCCATTCGATAACCCGAAATAGGGGCGATGCAGACGGCAATCTATCTGCCCATTCCGCAGGCCGCTCTAGCCAGGTAATGCAGGAGGCCACCGTCGACGAGATATCGGATGCTGCCCGCTTGCCTGGAGATTCCGAGTATCTAACCGGCGCAAAGTTCGGGCTTCTCATGTTTACACTGGCTGCAGCCCTTGTCCTCAGCAGCATAGACATGAACATCGTCGCCACGGCTGTGCCCAGCATTACTGACTACTTCCACACTGTCGCAGATGTCGGCTGGTATGCTTCTGCGTTCAGGCTCTGCCAATGTGCCTTCCAGTTTGTATTTGGCAAGGCGTACAAGCTCTTCTCTATCAAGCGTGTCTTCTTACTTGCCAATGCCATCTCTATTGCAGGCTCGCTGCTCTGCGGGGCGGCCGCTACGTCGACTATGCTTATCGCTGGGAGGGCTGTAGCTGGACTTGGCTCAGCTGGTCTTCTTTCAGGGTGCTTTGTTATCCTTGTGCAATCAACACCTCTACGCAGACGGCCTATGTTCACCGGCGTAATGGGCGCCATCGAAGGCCTGGCTACGCTATCTGCACCAATCCTCGGCGGTGCCCTTGTGCAGTCGCTTGGTTGGCGATGGTGTTTTTACATTAATGCGCCTATCAGTGCCGCTACGGTGTTGTTGACGTTGTACTGTTTCTCAGATACACCGAAACCTAGTAACGTTGCACGTATGGTACTCAAGGAAAAGATCGCGCAACTTGACCTAGTTAGCAACCTGCTCCTGATCCCAGCGCTGACTAGCCTCTTCCTCGCATTCTCGTGGGCCGGTACTAAGTACCCCTGGGACAGTGGCCCGGTGGTTGGTCCTCTTGTTGCCTTTGCTGTCCTTATAACCGCCTTTGTCTACAATCAAATCCGCCGAGGTGACGCTGCTGCCCTCCCTTTACGGATTATGAAGCACCGCAGCGTTATCGCCGGGTGCATTTTCATCATGTGTGTAAATGCCACTGGCAGTGTGCTCGAATATTATCTGCCTACTTACTACCAAGTTGTTCGTGGATATACTCCTGCCAAAAGCGGCTACATGATGCTCCCTATTATCATCGCCGGCACCATTGGTGCCCTGATCCACGGCTTCGGGACCAGCGCCTTTGGCTACTACGCACCATTTATGCTCTTTGCCTCGATTATGATGCCTATTGCTGCTGGTCTTATAACTACGCTCAACATCAACACTAGCTTCGTGCAACTGATCATATACACCGCCTTCTCCGGCCTAGCCTACGGCATCGGCTTCTCAGGACCGCAGAACGCCGTGCAAACGGTGCTGCCCGCGGAGGATGTTCCGCTAGGCATATCTATCATGCTGTTCGCACAGTCTTTCGGCCCGACTGTGGCGATCGCAATTGCACAGGTCCTGTTCGTAAATCAACTGTCGACCAATCTAAGTGGTCTCGTACAGGGACTTAGTGGAGCAGATATCGAAAACATTGGCCTGACTCAGATTGCGACGAGCGTGCCGCTAGCAAAGTCGAGAGAGGTTCTTATGGCGATTGACAAAAGTCTCATCCAGACATGGTATCTGGTGGTTGGGCTGGCGTGTGCGACGATGGTTGGGAGTTTGTCGATAGAATGGCGGTCGGTCAAGTCGAGACGCGACTAGATATACTAGACGGTCAACCATGACACGAATTTGATATAGCCTCCTGTAGTATAAGAGCTTTAGTTTCAAGGCATTTTGACTGATAAAGACCAACATCGGAAATTTTTGCGGATATACCAAATAGTCGTCCTTCAAATTGGAAAAGACCGTGACAAAGGGCAACAGTGTAGATATGCTATGCCGCATCCAGCAATGCAATTAAGGCCCATGAGGGTTAGCGGGAGGATACTCCGCGTTTTAGCGCGTCTCTGCTGAAGCAGGGAGATCCACTCGGCATCACTTTCAGTACAGACTCACATTAATACTGCTTCACTCCTACTCCTACTCCAACTCCTCTTCCTGCTCTTTTTGCTTGCGCTCTCATCTGTTTCTATTTGCTGTATACTTCTTGTCCCCACCAGCCGGTGCTTCTATCACGAGATTAAGATTGTGCTGATTTTGCCTCTCATCATCCCTTGATTAAGCGTGTCGCCAACTCACGTGCTATTGATCATGATGTCTCTCAAGCGCAAGGCCTCTTTTACATCCTTCCAGGCCGCTACTAGAACCGAATTTTGCTCACAGGCAGAGGGGGATATCCCGCAACACCTCCACAGCCGCACACGGAAGAGATTCCGTGACAATCGGCCAGATGAACAAACTGTATATGGTAAGTCAGCATTAACAATCACTGTCATCCTGAGTAGGTTGCTGACATTGACTAGAGAAAACGTTACGAATACTGTACGAGGCTCAGAAGAGACATGATTCGCCCAGGACCGACGAAGTAGAGGAACCAATGCCGCTCTCCCCGCCACCATCTGACCCCGGTGCCCTCGACCCTCGTCAGCAAACCCTACGAAAGTTCTTTCAACCCGTACAGGCATCGCCCTCTATAAACATCGATCGCATGTCACAAAACACAATTAATGGATTAGATATCCATCCCAATGCTGCTTCGGAGAAGGACTCTGTGATGGAAACCGAGCGCAGCCAAAGCGTGTGCAGCAGTGGATCGTCCACTCCTGTCTTTGCCGGATCGGAGATGGACACGCACATGAACATGGATATGAATATGAATGCGAATCTGGTAACGGAAAGAAAATGGATTGGTTTTAGCTGGGTGTCATTTCCACCTGGGTCTGTCACTTCATGAAAGTTTCGGTCATGATAATATATGATTGTCTTTTCTCAAGTTGTTTGGAGTTTTGGGGTCGATGCGAGGCTGCCTCTATATTTCGCTTATGCATTTCGAGCTGCCTGCAGGCTTTGGAGTGATGCTATTTAGCCTGGGTCTGTTTTGTTGTTATGACTGGCTGCGTTTTGCACTCCAATCATGTATGATCTGGTATAGTATATATGAATATGGTAACTGCGGGCAAGATATGAATCAAGGATACATTCAACAATTCTTCATATTTGAATACGATCATCTTTGATATATTAACCTTGTATCTATTTTCGCACAGAGCTCAAGCCTCTATATGATGGCATAGAGAAATTCAATAACTATATTTAGAATTTAAGTAGATTTATTTATCGACATTAATCGTACTTCTTTCCACAAAACTTTGACATGGACGATAAAATACTTGAGTATATCTACAAGCAGGGAAGAGGATATGTGAGACCATTATTAGGCAGCTTGGAATTGTGGGGAAAGCGTACTAATCAGTCGCCGCTCAGTTTCACATCAACCTTCAATACTCACATCACCAGCCAGTTAATCTGACCAAGGAACTGCAAACACAACCAAACGCCATGGCTTCAAATACAGTGGACAATTCAAAAGAGACCGCTTTCCTAACTTCCCTGCTGGGTCGAACGTTACGCATCCACACAACCGACAAGCGCATGTTTGTGGGCACTTTCAAATGTACCGACATGGTTCGTTGTTCTTTCTCATTGCGCAGTCTTGCAGAAATTAAAGAAAGAATATTGAATATGGAATTACCACCGCTAATATTTGGATGGTTAACAGAACTGCAATGTGATCCTCTCTACTACCTTCGAATACCGTTTCCCCAGTCAAGCCGCCATCCAAGCCGCGGCAGAAACAGCATCGACGCAGTCCTCGGACAAATTCAAATTGGACATGACAAGTCGGCTTATCGGGCTAGTTGTGGTGCCCGGGCAACATATTACAAAGATTGAGGTCGAACAGAGTGCTCAGGAAGTCCGGGTTGAGCCTGTGCAAGTCGTTTAGAAGGAAACACGGGTTTATAAACCCACCTGGGTGAAGAAGACCGAGGGAATTATCCGGCCGATGCAGGAAGATAAATAATGCAGACACTGCAGCTCGAAAGCGGATGGCCTATATGGGCTTTTTGAATGTTAGGAAAGAGTCTTCGGCCAGCTTACCGAACACGAGTTCATACACCGAAAACGACTCGTGAAGGATTGGGCATTTGTATTCTCCAATGTGGAGACATGTTCATTTCGTGCTTTCCACCGGCCAATCAAACCTAAAAGCAAGACAAAGGCATCATCTTAGCAGCCTGGAACAGCCCAAGCAGCCAATCTATGGCTAAGTAGGCCAGCTCACGGGGGCAAGCACATTGCACACGCATATCATACATATGAACACATAATTACAGGTGAGTGGTCGCTATGACCTTGACAACATGCAGCCTGGTGTGCGATGGTCAGGAAGCGAGATGCCCAGAGTCAAATGGGTTTCTTGGCTCTGGGCGGTGTGCTGAGGACCGGTTGACACATCGCATCTACAATCTACACAATAATATTCATGTTATATAGCTAGACTCTGCTGGATAGATGACAACACCAAATCAAGCGCGGCTAAACCAAACACTGGGCCAGAAGAGCGCAGTCCTATTGCCTTGGTAAAGCTCTGTAGTGCGGCGTCAACCTTCTAGCCATCTAGCGCCTCGGCTGGAAGATTCTCCTATATTTGGCAACAGCATACAAGCCTGGCTACTGCATCACGTGTAAGATGAAAAGCGAGCTTTGTCCGTTGGCCAGAGAAAGCAGCAGGCGTATCGTTATAGGTCGAGATAAGCACCGAGATAGCGAGTATACCAGCTGCCCGGGGCACAACCATGCAGTATAAGAGCCAATGGCCGGCACGATTGAGGGTCCCGATAGTCGACTGTGTAATTTCAAGAGCCCACTTACTCCCTGCTGCTCTGTAGTATGCAGGTAGTGGGTTACTGAGCAGTTAACAAGTGAGTTAACTTACCGAGTGACTGTTTGTCAGTGCTTGTCTGTATGATAGGACGGTCACGGGACCGGGCTGGACCAACCAAACGGCGGCAATGCCTCCACACAGGCCCAGACCGAGTGAAGACAAGACCAGAAACGGCCAACTCCAGCCAAACAGCTTGAGCCTTGCCCAACTGAACTCCGCCCTCACTCCAAGTTCCAACATTCCCTCCTCCACCACCACTCAACTCCATCCCAACTTCTCTCCTCCCCCCAACGATCGCGCGCCGTCGTGCTTATATAACTACGCCTTATACTCTCGCTCCTTGCGTCCGCCTTGTACGCCCTCTGTGGGACAGCCCTCATTCTGCAAGTGCTTGTCTTGAGGTTTGTGCTACGCCGCCGTCCATTCCCATGACGCATTCTGCCTTAATCCCCTATCTTTCCCCACAAAGGACAACACCCACATGTGCCCAGCTTCTTGGCGGGTTGATTCGCAACTCTCGTGCATTTCTATCCTCTACAAGCTCGCATACCTGCGATTCTCCCGCAGGATTGGCCTCGCGTCGCTGCACATGCGTCCCGTGCTTTGCCGCCGAGACACTCCGACCCATCCACTCGCCACGTTCTCTTTGCATCGCACCTTGGTATTCGATCTTGGCTAATCTTTCATTTCTGCAGTGTATGTGTGTGTGTCTTTGATCTTGACCTTCGTTGCCAGGAAATTGTCGCCTTCTGGTTTCGTCTGAGGAATTCTTCCCTGCCATCAGCCGCCTAACGCGCAGCACCGTCCCATGCTTTCTCGCCATCGCGGATACTCGACCTACCTGGAATGCACCCTCGGTTGACTTGAGCGTCATTGAAAATCACTCAGCAACAGGTGTGAATTTAAAAAAAATTCGGATCTGCTTTCGCTTCAGTTTCGGTTTGGAATCAATTCGCGTACCGTATTTGTCAACGTTATAGCGCCGCTATAACAACTTTTAAAAACGGCTTCAAACAATATTAATCCAACCCAACACCCGCGGCCACGGTACAATTCACCGGGCTGTCCGTGATGGGTCAGTCTCAATCCAAAGGCGGAGGAGGCGGAGACACTCTCCAATCCTATCCGTCATTCTCTCGTTCAGATACGAAAGAATCCATCAGGTCTCTGAAGGGATCTATTCGGTCTAAAATACCGGGCAGGAGCGGCGATAAATCCAATGATAGTCCGAGAGGCTCAACTTCAGGATTTGGGGACGACAAATCAGATGCCGCCTCCATAAAGTCGACAAATAGTAGCAGACTACCCCAGTCGCCGCAATCGGCCATTTCTACAGACATAGCTAATTCTCGCACCGGCACTCCCGAACCCCCCCTTCTCCATCACAATCTACTTCGCTAAACAGGGGTCACAAAGATGTGGATGCCGCTCAGCAAAGCGGTGAAGTTGATTTGGTGTCAGATGCTCCCCCATCTGTCCCACCGGTTACTCCACAGATGCCCGGGGAATCTATCTTGGTGAAACGTGACAACCAGATCACCGCTAACCTTTTGGATATTCTTTCTTCGACACCGACAGACGCTAGTGGTTCGCCTGGCATGGGAATGGGGGCCCTCAAGTCAATTGATTTGGATGATATGATTTCGCGACTCCTAGATGCTGGTTACTCGACAAAAGTCACAAAGGCCGTCTGTCTGAAGAACGCCGAGATCGTAGCTATCTGCACTGCAGCACGTGAAGTGCTTCTCTCTCAACCTGCTTTACTAGAACTATCTGCGCCAGTCAAAATTGTTGGCGATGTTCATGGTCAATATACTGATCTTATCAGACTCTTTGAAATGTGTGGCTTCCCTCCGGCTGCCAACTACCTTTTCTTGGGAGATTACGTCGATCGAGGGAAACAGAGTCTCGAGACAATTCTCTTACTCCTATGTTACAAGCTCAAGTATCCTGAAAACTTTTTCCTTCTTCGAGGCAATCATGAATGTGCCAATGTGACTCGAGTTTATGGGTTTTACGATGAATGCAAGCGGAGATGTAACATAAAGATCTGGAAGACATTTGTCGACACCTTTAATTGCCTGCCTATTGCTGCAATTGTTGCGGGTAAAATCTTCTGCGTTCATGGCGGTCTTTCGCCGAGCTTATCTCATATGGATGATATCCGCGGTATTGCCAGACCAACGGATGTGCCGGATTACGGTCTTCTCAATGATCTTTTGTGGAGTGACCCCGCTGATATGGAAGATGATTGGGAACCCAACGAGCGGGGTGTAAGCTACTGCTTTGGCAAGAAAGTTATCATGGACTTTTTACAAAATCACGATTTTGATCTGGTCTGCCGAGCGCACATGGTGGTGGAAGATGGCTACGAATTTTTCCAAGACCGAATTTTGGTTACGGTATTTTCAGCTCCAAACGTAAGTTCTTTTGACTTTCATATAATGATTTCTGCTGATGAATGATGTCAGTATTGTGGCGAATTTGACAATTGGGGGGCTATCATGTCGGTCTCCGGAGAATTACTTTGCAGTTTCGAGCTGCTCAAACCGTTGGATTCAAGTGCTTTGAAGAATCATATCAAAAAGGGTCGCAACAAGCGTAACAGCATGCTGAATAGCCCTGTAAGTTTAGAAACTCGTTTCAAAAATTCCCTTTGACTAACGACAAATCAATATAGCCTGCGGTTGTTTCCGCTCAAAGTTATTAAATTGCTCGACTTCGCTTTATGGTATCCTATTCCAGTATCTCGACAAATCGAGGATATGTCAAACGTCATCAGTCTATTTATCATCAACGTCCACTGCAAGGTTCGGACGACATCAAGCCGACCAAGGCTAGGCCAATTTCACTATTCATAATCATTCAGGCCATCTATCGATGTAATAACCGATAGAACGATTCCTTCATTTATCCATTTCAGATGATGACGAACAGATGAAAGGTCTTGAAATAGCCATGCACTAGCATTCTGCTTACCGCAGTTCCTTGGTACCACGAACAACTGACATGCGTCCGCAACCGAGCAATCGGCCGGGGACTTCAAGTCCCATACACAAATATTATTAGAAGCAGCACCAAAGCCGACAACACTGGCTTTACGCGCTTCCAATAAACGCAAGAATCAAGCAGGTCAGCAACATCAGAAATCATGTTGGCAGTTATCCACAGACACGAAGAGACAAGAAAGTTCTTCTTCTGGCTCTTTTATGTATGAGATGGACAATATGTATTCAAGCGGTTGGTCAAGGGGAATAATTACCATCTCCCAACAACCATTTCGTGTTATTGTCCATGTCTTATCTTTTTGTTAAACGGTGTGGTTCGCAATATCAGTCGGGGTAATGATGAGGCGCTTTTGCTTCTGTTTCTTGTATATGTAGAATTTTATCGACGCTCTCCTCCCGTTCATTGCTTTTATTGTCGCAATAAATCAGATTATGCTTTATACTTTACTTTCCAACTTTATATCTTTTCTTCATATTCGTAGATTGTCCATTGTCAACTTCAATGTGGATGGGTTGTAGATGTTTACAGCGGTACCTTGTGAATGACGAGTTCCTGGCACTAAACACTATGTGTAGACTTTTTGCAACCACATTCTTCGTCTGAAAGTCCAACGAACTTTCTAAAGGATATTAGATAGTTAGGAGGTAGATATGCACGCGATGCATGAGGCTAATCCTAGATGAGAAGCTAGGCGTCTGATCTGTGTCTCTGTGGCACTGTTGCATAGTTCTAGCCGCCGGCGTAAAACCGTAGGCCAGCCTCGTAGGCCAGCCTCTCAGGCTGGCAACTTCGCCGTCGATGCGAGCCAGTATTACTGTACTGCCACAAGTATGCGATCTCTCCTCAGGTTCCGACGGCATAAAGATAAAGCGGAAGGGAAGATCCAAGAAGTGCAGAGATCTCCTGCAGGCTGGCATCTTCCTCAGGCCCGCTTCCCCACCACCACATCTTTGGAGACCCCGTCCCGCAAAGCACAGCCTACAGGAAAAGCCAATGTCACGGAAGATCATGAGATCGTCGAAAACGAAGCGGTTTTGGGGAGTTCGGCCATTTCAAATACATCTGATGCTGGCGGCTTGGAGCTGTCCAGAACAACCCCAGTGTCGATCGCTGAAGACGTGTCGCGAAGCCTCTGGAACCGCGCATATGAGAGCTTGAAGTCAGGAGGGGACACATCAAAGCTTGTCACAGCCTACGAGAAGATTCTCACAAGCGTGTTTCAGAATGAGTCAGGTAGGGTGTTTCGCATGCTAGTTTTTTGGAAATCAATCTGACTCGGCTACAGAAGCATCGGTCGTCCTCTTGAGCGACGATGCTCCCAATATGTTTGCCTGCGATGATGACACCCGTATGACTAACATGGGAGAAGTGACTAGAATAGCTCTGGCCAGGGTTCGGAGACACAATACTGTCAACTACGCAATCTCTCAGGCCACCGAGTTCACCAAGATCATCCAGGATGCTGTCGGCACCATGCTGTCAGGCTATCCTCCCGCAGCCCTCGCTTGGTCCGGAATTTGTGTCATTCTGCCTGTGCTCGCTGGTCCTGCTGTCCAGAGCATCGCACTAAAGGACGGTCTGTTCTACGTCACTGAGAAGCTGGAGTGGTATCTCGCTATTTCTCGGTTACCTTTCAAGGAAAGCTTGTCTGCGTCTGGCGATTTATCGCATCTCCGAAGCTTAATGGAATCAAAAGTTCTCCAGCTCATCCAGTCATTCTTGGAGTTCGAGATGAAGAGTGTCTGTTTCCTCTTTGCCGAAAGCCCTCTTGTTCGAACCCTTAAGACGATGTTGTCCATCGATGATTGGAAATCACGAACAGATAGTCTCAAAACCCTGGAATCCGAGATCAGAGACTCTATATTGCAGTTTCAAGGCGCATCCAACTCCGTTAGTCTCATCAAGATTAACGACAACACCTCCCAGATCACAGCGGTTGTCAAGGAAATGCGACTTCTTAGGAAACAACAGACTGAGTCTCAACGGCTTGAGCTCGTTGCCAAGTTCTGTGCAGAGAACACTTGTCCGTACGCCGATAGAATCGATGCAGTCCCAAAGAGAGTTGAAGGCACGTGCGAATGGTTTCAGGCCCATGACCGATACAGAGCCTGGCTCGAGTCTCCAGACGGTGGCCTTTTACTCTTTTCGGCAGATCCTGGTTGCGGTAAATCGGTTCTTTCCAGATTTCTCATCGAAGACATTCTCTCCTTAAAGATGCCAGATGCGGTGTTATGCTACTTCTTCTTCAAGGACAGCCCCGACCAAAACAACATATGTGCGGCGTTATGTGCGCTAATTCACCAGATTCTGTCTCAGTATACAGAGCTCTTAGATCTTGTTGTCAATGACATTATCAAGAATGGCACGGGGCTGACATCGAAGGAGACGACGCTCTGGAGGATTTTCGAGAAGATAACGGATCGCAACAAGACGAAGAGGGACGTCGTATGCGTTCTTGACGCTCTGGATGAATGCCAAAAAGCTGATCGGATAACACTGGTCAACCGGATCAAGGATCTCATCGAGGGCAACAGCAACGCGGCCCGGAAACGTAACGAGTCATCACGTCGAAAGATGAGGTTCCTTATCACGACACGAGGATACCCGGATATAATGAATCTTTTCCGCCATTTCCCGCAGGGCTGGATACACCTAGCTGGAGAAAACAAGAAGGAGGTCGACGAAATTCAATCTGAAATTACCATGGTTCTTGACTTTAAACTGAACCAACTTGCCAGAGAAAAAATGTTTGATGAGATGCGCAAAGAGAAGATCCGCAACAGCTTGATGGAGAAGGGCGGCGAACAAAGAACCTACCTCTGGGTACAACTCGTGTTTGAGGTGTTGGAGGAGAACCTGAGAGACCAGTTGAAAATCTGGAATCGACTTATCAACACGGTACCTCAGACCGTTTACAACGCATACGACAAGCTCCTCGAGCGAGTGCGCCAGGACGACAAGGACCGCGTTATAATGCTCCTCAGTCTGATGATTGTGGCTCTCCGGCCTCTCTCGGTGCAGACTGCTGCATTTCTATTGGGCGTCAGGGACTTCGCAGATAGTCACGATGATCCACTTCATCTTCAGGATTCTGACAATTGGGAGGAATTGGATCTAGAGTCCGACGCGAACTTCAAGGCTTGGGTTAGCGGCACGTGCGGCAATTTTGTGACCGTTTATGACGAACAGCTCTTCTTCATCCATCAAACTGCCAAAGAGTTTCTCCTTGCTGCAAGAGAAGCCGCGGGGGGTGGAAGTTCTCAATCATTCAAAAATTGCATAGCGGAGCGGCAAGCTCACAAGCTCATGGCTGAGAACTGCCTGCTCGTTTGGAAGTATGGAAGACTCCGCGTCGAGGACGAATCATATCGTTACTGTCTAGATTTTACGGCACACCACTTTCGAGAAGCTCAGAGCTTCTCAACAGATGGAGAGATCGTGGTTCAAGATATCGACAACCGGTTTTGGGATATCTATGTGGCCAGTTGGGACGACGGTAGATTCATTCAGTCTCAGTCCCTCAGCCGTTTCCTGCGGAACTACGACGCAGAACCCTTCGTTACACCCTACACGGATCCAATGAAACTCGCTTTCCTGGCAACATTCGGTCATTATCGGCTCCTCGACCTGATGCTTCGACAATCTACAACCAGCGGGCACATTTTGGATGCTATGGATGTCCCTGGACTCCTCTCCAGCACCCGTGCTGAAGCGCATTGCGCCAACCTACTTCTAAGCTACCTTCCTCAACGACCAGTACTAGTTGTACAGGACTACGATTCATTTATTTAGTCAACTTTTACAATTGTACATATGACTACGATTGCGGTGATACCGAATGAGCGAGACACTGGTCCTTTCCAATGACCATGTCAACGACCACATTGAAACGTTACAACGCATGTGGCGTTGGCTGCAAATGATGAGTATATTCCAACAAATATTAAACAGCGAATTCCTTCATCAACGACGCCATTGCTTATACATCAAATTCGAGTTTATTGCGCCGCCACCTATCGAGTGTTGTTAGTTTGAAACCTGCCATTTCCAGAAGGTCCTGGTGGGAAGCGTAGGTAGAGAAATTATATTGCTCAGGCGGTTTTGCACCTCATTCCTGTACCCTGGGTAGTAAACTGGGTATACACAATATTTAGATATCTATGAATTTAGATGCAGAAGCTTTGAATAGGGAATCAATTTCTTATTCATCTTCAATTGTCATTTCATACTTGGTAACTTAACGCAAGCCGTACTTGGATTGCGATAGGACGGCACATCTTGCCTGTAGAGTGGAGCAAGAGCTGTGAGGGGAAGCCAAACAATCGATACATGCCCTAAGAAAGGAATTCTGTTCTTGCTTAGGCTTTACCTGATAATTAATATGGAGCGATTCAGTGTATAGCCAAATGAAGTAGCGTTCGTTGCAAAAGAACGGTCGGAAACATGCTCACCGAATTACGAAGTTCTCAATACATAGAGCAAGCAATTAAATACTAAAATATTAGCAAAAGAAAAAAATGCCAAAATAAATATATATTATCAAAAAGGTGAGATGAAAAAAAAGATTCAGGTCCTGCCGCGATTCGAACGCGGGTATTTCGGACTTCGAAAAGCGTCAAAACCGAAAATGCTAACCACTCTATGGAAATGTTAGGGAGAGTTGACCAATAAGGGAACTGTTAAGCTTACACATCACAGGGCCATTCAAACTCGACCATCAGCCGGTATGAGGGTACGTCCAGCAATTGTAGTTTAATAAGCAGGAATTAGCATCCAAATCTAGGTACCTACATGATGTATCGGTTCACAAAAGTTATGATCTTACTGAGACAAAATCTGGTTTATGAGAAGAGAAAAAGCAGATTTGTATTAATTTAAATACTTACACTAGTAATTACCTTATGCTTGTTTTGCTTTAACTAGGCCGTTTTCGAGCCTCTGCTCGCCGAGAATATCAACCAACAAGTTCCTTTTCCTTCAATTCAAGTCCTTTGTTGTCTATCCCCTATATCTGCAGCTGGGATAGGGGATCGTTATTATGTGTTATATTTTATCTTTCAAAATTTGGTTGAAATACTTGCCATCATTGACTTTGCCAGCTGCGTCCGGTCCCAACAGGGGTTCAGTGGCCATGTACACAAGAGCACACAAGACCCTGTCGTTCGCTGATGTCCAAGTATTTGACAACCTTAAGTTGAAGGAGATCCCAAGGCCTGGTCTTCCGATTAATTAGCCAGTGTTATAAAAAATTCTAGAGTCCATGTAGCCACGATGAAACCGGTTGATAGTAATATGCCTATATGGGAAATTTAACAAGTTGCTGCAGCTTCATCAACCACACTTGAAAGTAAAACTCGATACTTTCGTATGCATTCCCTCCCGGATCGGGCTATTCCATCAGAACTAAGGTTTAATTGCGTCATGGAGGAAGTTGCACAGACGATACGAGGCGCTGAGGCTTTTCCTAGAGAAGGGAGTATGAAGAGTGAGGTAAAAATGTGGGGATATTTTCACTTGATGAACCAGCTCAGAGCCATCTAATTTTGAGGCTAGATCTAGGGCTGGGACATTAGGACCTGTTATAGCAGAATTTTAAGGATTATTGCAGAGAACATCCAATGTCTATTTCTACCAGCCAATCTACGAATGATATGAATGATTCCGTTATCGAATAATAACATTGAATATGCCAGTTCTCAATGATGTGGCACCGTGATAGAAAAAAAGAGCCAATACATAAATATAATTCATTTCTGTATAATAGGTACTTTTATGCCAGTAAAGAGTGAAAAGAGCCACTTGAATAGCTAATTATTCAGAAAAATCCTTCCCCTACTTGCCAACCTAACGCTTCAATCTGTTTCACGGAAGAAATTTTCTTAATCAAAGCTAGTTCTGTCTCGTTGACTTTAATATATGATTCGATCACCTCCGTATCTCTTTTGGCTTTGTGTACTCGAATTGTAGCCAATAAATCATGTTCGAAATTATTGTAGTAACGATATTCACCGCTGTCCGCTGTGATCTCCTTCACCGAAAAGCTACGAATACAATTCAAAAGCTCTCTCTGAAATATACCGGTATGGTATAATTTAATAAAACGAGACTTATTTATCAAAGAGGAGGCGTTTTCTTTGACAAATAAGACAATTGTGAGCTCGAGTTCGTCAAGACCGATAGTAAGATAGTCGATATGTTCCTGCCCTTTTTGAGCTGAGTACTGTTCCGAGACAGATCCAAGGCTGCTTGAGGGGCCGTAATTGTCGGTGGAGAAGTTGGAATGAGCGTATGAGGTACTCAAAGTACTTGCACTTGAAGTAGAGATAGGCAGAGATTCCTCGTAGAGAGCGAGGTTCAATCGATCTTCGTATGGGTTGCCTGTGAGAATAACTTGTTTAGATTCGATAATGCCTCTCCAACTCTCGTTAGGAGTCGGTCCGTTTTCCCCTGGTCGTAGAAGTCGATTGTTGATATAGTCTTCGTGCTCGTTATAATCAATCATGTTTGTAGTAAAGTCACAGGCTTTTAGGCAGGGTATCAATATGTCTGGTACCAATCAATGAATAGTCTATAGTAAGGGTTGGGTATGAAATGAGTATTGTACACGATTGAAAAAGGTTCTCCCTTGATGGGTATAAATAATTGCTCTGAATGACTCCTTATATATTGCTTCGTGACTAATTCTCTCAGATGACACAATGTCTTTCCTCAGAAACAAATTCTGACAGGTACAGGGCTAATGACTGCTTAATTTACCCTGGTAGTCATGAATATAACATACAGTCAATCTATATGGCAGTTGTACAGCAAAGGCCTGGTACCAAACGTGTCAATCATCCACTTATAAAATAGCTTTCATGTAATACATCTGAGGTTCATACCTTAAGGGTACATGAATAATGTTAGTCCTATATGGGGTGGAAGGGTCCGAGAAATTTTTTAAAAATACCTTATGACTTTTATAACATATACCATGAAGAGCCCATCTAATCAGTCATTTCAAGGTTTCCATATGAGTATAGTGGAAGAGTGTCATTTGATTTAGGGCATGACACATCTTGTTCGTACAAACTAGGGAATGACAGTGACTATGTCGTCATCTCAAGTCTGTTCAAATGTTAAACCTGCTTGAACAATTTATAGTGGATACTGGAAGGTACTATGATTTTAGTCATGCATGTTTTATATAGCTACGTAAAACAGTGTTGAGACACTGCTCCATCTGTCAAAGTATGCAAGCCATGCCATCATGAACGTACAAGTATCTTCCTAACAAGAAAGATAGAGAAAAGGGGAAGATAATTTGAACTTTTAAGATATGCCACAATAAATGCACCATTCGCCGCGTTGATCAAAAAAATGAATAACAAAAATGAAATGATATGTCCATGAAATACCAGAAACGCTTGTAGACTCCACGATAGTGCCTTCCTAACTATGTTTAAAGGAAATAGAAGAATCCAAGGAAAGAAGAAATGAGAAAAGCTTCTAATTCTATTCATGTTCCTTGACATATCGATCACCTAAATCGATATCCCACATGGGGCGCTCTACGACAGCGATTTCGATGATGCCAGCTTTTTGCCCAGTAGTGAGGTTTTTATTTTTTTTATCACCTTGAGAGCCGAGTGGGACGACACCCAAAATATCTCGGAACTTGTGCGAGTGCCAGAACAAAGAACTCGATGATTGATTCTCGCGTGACGATTTTTGAAGACTGTTATTGCGATCGCTGTTATTTCCCTGGTCAGTTTCGTCAAGGGGAGCTTCATCTTCCTTATGTGTCCCGTTTGTCAATCGCTTAGAAGGCATTGACGGGATTTCTCCATTGGTGATCCCTCGACGAATATAGGCAAAGTCAGGTTCATTAGACACGTGGAATGGATTACTGTTGTCGTTTCCATCCTCGTCAACATCCTGCCGTTGCTGACGATGTTTCTCAGTATCGACCAATTGCGCATTGCTCAACTCCTTGCCTTCTATTTTTCGGATCTTCGTGCCTAAAGACACATATGCTTGAGATACGGGGATTAAATCACCAGCTCCACTATTATATTTCCGTTGCTCTTCTCTCGTTTCATCTTCGACCCGTTTTCGTTTATTGGGCGATGTCTTGGCTAGATCTGTTGATGTTCCTGGGATGGTGGCTGTTTTGGGTGCTGGGAAATTCCGTGTCAGATCAAATATCCACATCCACGTTGGTCCGTATAAAAGCAATCTGGTTGAGCCTTTGAATACATCGCAGAATCCTCCCATGGCACGATCCTTGATACCTGTGAAGTCATCGGGCAGGTGTGATTTGGGATTCTGCTGCGACCATTCCGAGAGTTTGCCCTTCAACGCCTCATATTCCACTAGCTCATGGGTGCTAGTGACAACGACCAAACGATCTTCGGTAGTTGCTGGTTCTTGAGACTCAGAGGTCGAAGTTGGAGGGCGGAATGACATGAAGGCAATGCCAGCCCGGAGAGATGGCATGGTCGGCAGAGCCTTCCAGTGCTGTCCATCGATGATACTTTCATTTCCATCTTCCTCCTCGGACGACTCATCGTCGGATGAATCTGTTCCATTTGGAACCTTCTTGACCGCTGATGCTTGATGGTTTTCAGGGGTATCCTCTAGTACCCAGCAATCCACATTGCCGGCCAGATCCCCAGTGGCGAGCAACTTGCTGTCACTAGAAAAAGCGATTGAGCGAATTGATCGGTCGTACTTTCCGAGTGTGCCTTGGTTTACTCCACGCATAGATGTCGTCTTTCTGGACGTACGTGGCACGTGTATTAGCGTAGGTTTGATGTGCAGTTTCTCGGTGGGAGAATCTGAATCAGACAGTTTTGCAAGGTAAATGTCGTTGTTTGGTCTAGTGATACACAACCATCGAAGATCTGGGGACAAGGAGACAACCTTGGCTCCATTATCTGAGAGCTGGCGAGGGACCTTCAAGTCTTCTATATATAGCTCATCATCCTCTCCCTCCTCATTAGCATCATTATTTTCTTGGCGTAGCTTGAATAATCTGATTGTAGTCATTGTTGCAACAACTAGCACACTTCCGTTAGAAGAAAGCGTGGCCGATGTGATATTATCATCGCCCTACTCATCTGTGAGAAACAACTTCAACATTATAGATAACAACTAATCTTACCGGAATCAGCACCCTGCCTACTAGTTGATTTCGTTGGTTTTCTGCGTTTGTTCCAGGCCTCTGCCCAATCTGCCAGATCCTCGCTTCTCTTTCCCAGAAGCTCATAATAAATCTATCGGAAGATGAAGAGGCAAGTTGAGAGATCTGGGGAAGATTTGATAATGTTCGGTGGTGTTCTTTGCCAAATTCACGCAATGGCAAGACAACAAGAGTTGCGCCGGGTCCTGCAATGTGTTAGTTTAACATGTTCAAGACATTCCCAAAAAAATCAAAGAAATAGAGCATACCTCCTGATACAGCAATGCTTATATCCTTCGACTCGTAAACAGCAAACGTCTTCACATCATGGGTATGATAGCGTCTGTGCATAACTTCCGCCCATCGACGCGCTTTATCATTTTTTTTACCAGCGTTCCGCTTATAAAGTACCGTCCGACGGTCTGCTCCACCACTAATCACCGAATCTCCATCAATGCTGACTGCAACGTCTAATACATCGGCTCTGTGGCCTTGTAGTCGCTGGATAAGGGAGTAATTCTTGGCATCCCAAAATCGAACCTCACCCGTCGAGTCACCTGAAACTAATGTGCCGTCCGGAAGCGTTTTAATACTCCAAACCAAAATCTTCTTCGGTCCACCTGCAGGGCCTCTTCCCAGGGATATCGTTCGCAAAAGACGCCCGCTTCGAATGTCAAACAATCTAATTGAACTGTCTGCATAGCCAGCCACCAGTGTGTTTCGATTTTGAAACGTGATGCTAAGCACTCGCACGTTCTTGGTCGTAGAGGCTTGCAAGCGGCGAACAAACGTCAGATCATTATCAGCAGTAGACAAGATAACAATCGATCCATCCGCGCAACCAATAGCCAGATGCTGGCCGGTATATTCGCCGTCAGCTACATTCTGTTTATTGTTGTTTTCAGGTGTCAATCTTGGTTGGGCTGTAAGACACCAAATCTCCCCATAACTACCGCTAGAATGACGAGCCGGTTTTCCATTCTCCAGATCCCACTCTGTGACAGTGTTTGTGTAACCGATGCTGAAAAGTCGTAACCGACCAGGAAGTTTCAGACCGCTTCCATCTGGGGAATCTTCCACGGGGTCAAGTGTCCAGGCAAGCCCTTCGATTGTCCGGTCTTTTCCACCTCTTATTATCGTCTCTTGGAACCAGGCACCACGAAGCGGGTTCCAGATCTCGATATCGCCGTTTGCTCGACCAACAGCCAGGCGCAAGGTTTGCGCGCCTTGGCCGCCGGCTTTCGAGGGTGGATGCGAGAACTCGAGTGCATTAATAGCTTGGGGGTTGTAAGGAACGAATCGACAGCGGTGCAATTCCATGGTAGTGTAGATTAATATCGTTATTGATAATGTTCAAAAAAAGTCGAAAGTCGGCACAACTCGAGCGCTGCTTCAAACTCCGCTCTCTGAGCTGAAATGTAACCCAAATCCGAAGATTCAAGCCTTCACAGCCATCGCATAATCTTCAATTAAAACTGAAAGGTCTAATAAATCGAAATGCGAGAGGGTTATGGTGGGCGGCTTGGTTTGTTGAATGTTCGCGTGGATGAGATAAATTATTTTCATGTCTTGGGGAAATCTTTTTTTCTCTAGGGAAGTTTTTCGCGGTATAATATCTCACGTGACCACGGTTAAACTTGCTCTGAATGATCCGCTTCGGAATCAGCCAATCAGATCAACAGTGCCTAGATAGTAAAAAATGATTTGGAGTGTGAATGGGCTTTAATTGATACTATTTAACTAATATGCGCCCAATATCAGTTTCTTATAGTCACTGAGCCATGCAGTACTACTTGGCCATAGTATTATCAGTGGCTGCTTCTATTGGTTGATTCATAATATATATGTGCATCCCTACCTTTCCAAACAATTGGAGTAAGTAATATATATGACATTTATGGCAACGTCGAACAAATTTGAAACCATGCAACTTCTCGTCTAACGATTCTGAAAATTTCCAATCTAATTTAAGAGGGAAAATTGAAAGATTCCACCCATCAGTCTCATCAAGTAATTGCTGCTTAACCTAATCTTAGGTAAATTCAAGTTTCAAGCACTGCGCTGACCAACCATTTACTAGTCGTTTGCTCGGAAATCATTGCCAGGTACTTGCTACCATATCGAGTTTTATAAAAGATAAGTTCTAGTTACTTAGAAAAAGGATATAGCCATGAAGAACAGCCATTTTTAGCATATCTCACTATTGATCTTGATGTCTCCTCTTCATTCTATAATAATTACCGAAGTATTATTGAGCACACAAATACGGAGGACTTCGTATGTAACTTGGTAATACCGAATAAACCCAGCTAGATAATCTAAGCGAGCCATCACGTACTATCCAACCCCTATCAAAGACCCCTGTAATCGCTACCCAGATTCCAAGGATTCCAAGCTTACTGTATTTATTGCCAGTTAGTCCGTCACAAGCCCAAAAGTTGGTGTTGGTCACGACTCACGGCGCGCTACTCCTGTCAGTCACCCCAATAATACGAAGCTGCCCCCACATTGGTTAGTGGTATTCAGGAACGAGCAGGGGGGTGAGAATTTTAAATCATAGACATGATCATAATCGTTTATATTATCATGAAGGAGAATCATGCATTGAATTTCTTATTCAAGATTGAGTGATCGAGTTCATCGCAACTAGAAAGTGTAGGCTAGATGAACTGTGCCAAAGAATAAATTAAACTATGCGAAATTCAACGACGTATCAATTGATCCCTTGATTAATTAAACAACCGGTAAATATTTTATACATAGGTTGATAGCTGACGTGGAGATGTACATATCAATATCCTATGTAGGGAGTCGGGGCTACTGAGTACGTTTAGGCGGGAATTGCGTAGAAAGAAGTATTCAAAGGAATGTGATCATCACACATGGTCGATCAATTTTTGACCTTTTCCTAAATACGAAATGGGGCTACCTGCATACAGGAGTGGATTGATATCCCTCAGGTAATGTGGTCCGCTCTCGCATTGAAGACAATAGCAAGAGAGGGTGCCAGCTTATTGGCAGAGGTTTGTCCAAGGCTTCGAGCAAGGGAAATGACCGTTTCTGATCAATCAACTTGCTTTGGCCCTGCCCCTGTTCGATTATTGTCGATTATTGCAAGTGCAAGTCTTCAACATCCCATGTCTTGCTGTTTTGTTTCTCAACAGCCAACAACGCAATCAAAGCGATAATACAAGGAGTAGCAACCCTTCATGTGGAAAGGAGCCCCTCTCAGTGTGACTCTCCTCGCAAGAATCAAAGAAACGAGGTCAATATGAAAGAGAATCTGTAGGTTTGAAACGGGCAAATAATGTCAAACCCTTGACAGATGTCAAATAAAACACGCAACGCTGGATGGACGGACAAAGAAAAAATAAAGTTGGAAAGCAGATGGATTTTTTGTATCAGAAACGACTCGCGCTTGCAATGCCAGATCTAGAAGACAAACATATGATGGAAAGGAAAGGGGTATGTAATAATCTAGAAATAAAATGCAAATCCGATCCCTGCCTTTGGAAAAGCAACTAAAACACAATTCCAGAGAATTCGGTCGTTCAATAATAGTTATGTCACGGCTTCGAAGAACAATGGCACAGCGGGTGTGTTCAATGATAATACACGCCCTGATATTGGAGATGAGATGTTAGTGAGAATGAAGGAGGGCCGTAATTTTAAGGATCCCAATAGACTTATTGTCTAGTAGGCAACAGTGAAATCCATGTGGGACGGCTGAGGGGATTGTTGACAGTGAGAATAGACCGACTCTGCATCATACATCTGCGTGTCGCTGAAGGAGATCGTTGGCGGCGGAGTGGGAGATGCAGGGCACATATTACTGGCTGTCTTGGTGGCATTCGGGCCGGGGACGCCATTATTGAAGCCTTCATTTTCCGGGGTGATGGGAGGAGTAAGGTAACCATGGGGCTGGTTGCCGCAGGGCTTTTGTGGCGTAGCGAGGCCAACCTCGCCCGCGTATGGCTTAGACTCCACAGGAATCTCTGTCGGAGGAGACGGAGGAGCATAAGTTCCACTGGCAATGGCGGCTTGATGAGCAAGGAATTGTTCTAGAAGCTTGGAGATTCTTGAATAGTGGCCAGAGGAGTACTTGCGATACAGAACCTGAGATGGTTGATGTAACTGTTGAGATAGACCCACAAGCGTGGCCGAGTCGTATTCTGAAGCCCACTCCGTGTGGTGAGGTTGACGCCGATTCAAGATGCATCGTGAGAGAGCAAGGGCAGCCTTTGCAAGATCAGCCGAAGGCCTGGAAACAAATTCTCGATGGAAGAGCGAGATCTCAAGTATGTACAATGCGAGATGCTCGACTTCTGGATCGTAGGGTTTGTCTACCAAAGCGATGTTGAGAAAGCTATCCACTGTAGGGTGCCCAATGGTCCAGCCGAGGGTCTGCAGAACGTGCCACTCCATTTGTAGGAACATGTCTTCGTCATAAAGTGAGCAGCACATGGACTTGAGCTCCCTGATAGTAGGCACATGCTCCTTCTTATCGCCGTATTTTGCGGCGATAAGCAGAGCCGAGCAACCAACTAGTTGGTAATGACGCTTGTATACGACACGCTTGGAGCAGTACCGGTCGAGAAGATTGATTGTCAGAAACAGAGTGGAAGGTTGCAACTGGAAGGCGGCATGGGCCTCAATGAGAAAGTCAAGGAGGTAGGGACGCATGAACCATTGGATCTCGGTTTGAATGTCAATGGATTCAACGTCAGGAAGGGTAGAACCATCCATTTCAAGCATATGAGAAAGGCAGTCATCTAGATACTCCTCCTTGGCCAACGTCGAAAGCTGATCGGCAATAGCATATTGTCTCTCACGAGCGATGAGCTTGGCCTGCTCCTTTGGATCAATCCGGTGATGAACGTCGTCAGCGGATTCGACGAAAAAGGTGTCGCAAGGTTGGTAGCTAGAGCCTGGACGTGGGAAAGCCATGATTATGATCTTGAATGATTAATAGTGTCGAACTGACCGGCAGGGATGATGTGAGATTATTTCTGAAATAATGCTGTGGGAGCGAATGAACCTGATGACGAACCAATTTGTCACACAGGAACAACGACGGAAGGAAGTAGAGAGTGGCTGTCGTGGAATTAATGCAATTAATGATTGTAGCAGTTGGATTGATGATTAAAAGAGTGTGGCAGCGTAGATGATAATCTAACCGCTGAAAGGAACAACAACGATGGTTTGCGTGGAAAAGGGGAGTCTGCCAGCGAAGCTAAATAGAATAAAATTATTAGTTGGGATTAGGTCTCGGATAGTATGATTATAAGTATGTTTGCAGTCGAAAGGATGGAGAGAAATGTAGAAGGAGGAGAACGGAGTTATTCAACAGGAAAGGGCGAAGAATTAAGCATGCTGCACGTACCCAGGATGAAGGCTGTCAACGAAGACAGGTCGGTCACCCTTACTGTATAAACAGTCGTGGCATCTAGGCTGGTAATGGACGCAGGAATGAAGTCCTATTTGGCTTGTGCCTGTCGATGAAGAGATGAAGCACGAGTCAACGTCTCCACCCTTGTTAACCGACAGTGGTCTGGTTGGTTACGAGTGTTCCTCGTGTTGCGGAATGTGGAGCAACAGAGGCAGCACGGAACCCTATATAGGGGGAACGGGTTGTCAGTGGAACGGTTACCCTTGGAGAGGAATGGAGGGCATCTCACGGCTTCTTTAATGCGGAATATGTCGTTCTTTTGTTAGGCTGCAGAACGACCGACTGCTGACTTAAAGAAGACAGGAGTAGTAGCGAGGAGGGAATTGGAAGGTGAGGAACCAGAACCAAATTTCCTACATCAACCCAAGGTCAGCAAATGGTTCAAATTTCTTCTTTTCTTGCTAAAAGCGCTCATGTGAAAATCAAGGGAAGGCATGGTCAAAGTGTGGGTGACTGGTCGAGGTCCGGGGTATGTTCCACAGTGGGCAGTGGCAGCCAGGAGGCTGGGGCAACCGTGACCGACATTTCACGCCATTGGACAAGGCACATAGTTGACAATGTTGGTCCAAGCGAGAGAAATGAGGAATTATATAGGATCGGCCATCATGTACGACAGCTGAGAGCTATTTTCTCGTAGGCTGCTTGCCTAGACCTTGTGACGCTGTGACGCTACGCCCCTTGTCCAAGACGGAAGGTAAAAGGACGAGATCCGGCATGTTGGCGAATTGCAATTTGTAAACCCTCCCTCATCTCAGGCTTCAAATGTGTGCTGACCAAGACTATCTCGGATTCTCGTGCAGTACCCTGTCGAGATCTCGAGAGTAGACATCCACGACGGTGGAAAAGACACTTGACACTTTTCACACTGTTTGTCGAGGACCACTGGCCGAGAATCTGTCTTCCATATGTCATCGAGTGACGAGGACTCTAGATATTGGGTGGCTTGATCGTCCAAGCCTGATGATCAGGAACATTGACATCCAGCGTCCATTCCTTTCAGCCCTTTGCACGTGACCCAGATATAACCAGCCCGTCACCCACAGCTTTGTTCCCTTAATGCCATTCTTCCAATTCCAAGCATAATTGTTTTTGTGTTCGAAGTATCGATTCACGAAAATCGTCTTTGGATGCGGGGGGGGGGGTTTCGATGGAGGGAATGAAAGAAGGGCTTGTCTCACCGTCGAATTAGGGGTTGCACACAGGACGATAACAGGCACAGATAACGTCGGCAACGACGAGGGGATAGAAAGGACGTCAAGACAAAAAGCTGACGGACACTGCTCGACTGGCGAACTGATGACTGCGGCTCGACTCTGAATACGCTGGGTGGTGAAGCACTCAGCAAACTCAGGCTCGGACAGTGATCAGCCCCGGCTCTCCAAAGCGGACGAGAAAAGAGGACGTAAAGTGGAAAGGGGGGAGAGAAGAGAGGAAGGAGAAGAAGAAGAAGTCGGAGACGACGAGGAGGAGAGGGAGAAGAGAAAAGAGAATTGGGTGAAGGGTTTTCTCTCTCCAGCGGGTGTGGAAGAAGAAAGAGAGAAGAAGCAAGAAGATGGAGAGCGCTGGCGAGGTTAGCTGGTATTATTCATTAGCTTGTTGGAGGCCGGCCACCTGCTTTGCGTGACCGTACGGGCAGCAGCGGCGGCGGTATTGGGCGTGACAATACGGGGCAGAAGGAAGGACCGGCGACGCGGGTGTGGCCAACAGAGTTAGCGGCCGACAGGGAAGCTGTACTAACGGTACAGTACCGTACGGTATGTACAGCTGGGAGTCAATCAGTTGATCACTGGTACAGATATTCTACGGATACTACAGACACCCTCAACTACGCTGCAGCCAGTAGACTGATTCGCACACAGCGGCCTTCTGGTGAGAAACGGACGGAAAGGCACATCGAGCTGGGCTCAGCGTGGTTGGACGAACATACAAGTTCAGTGGCCGTCCTGTTTGAGGCTCGTAACCCCAGGCTTGTAATCACGGATTCCTTGATTCTGGGCTGGCTGGCGCTGCTTACTGCTGCTCTAGCCCGTAACCAGCGTATGGGGTGTATGGTACGCGTGGCGGGTGGTTGGCGGAGGACTCGGGGGCAGCGTCGGTACCGTTACAGATTACAATACACGGCTGAGCAGTGCACCGCAGTAGCCAGGCCCCCAGGCCAATGGGCACGCGGACGGCCACCCCTTTCCAAGACAGCGGAGCACCGCTAACTCTGGACTACACGCTGCCATCTCCCTCACTCCTCGTACAGCTGCCGAAGCACTTGTGACGTTGGCTGGCTCTCGCAGAGTACTACTTACTCCTAGCATTGCTGGCTGCCCACTGCTGTTGCGAATGGCTGCCACTGCTTTGATTCCGCCCTCTTCACTGCAAAGCAATCGCTGCGATGATTTGTCTTGCCGTGAATATTCTCAACTACGTCACTGACTCACGCCGAGTTGCCTGCCCAGCTGGGCCGTGGAGCCGCTAGAGCACGCCGTCGGTTACGGGTTTGTGCTTCCTGGATCTTGCTGGATTCTGTTAGTATTTCGCGACTATTTAACTAATAATAATAGTCCTGCGTCAGCTAGTAAAACTGCCTGCTATTCGCCGACGAAGAGCCATTGCTACTGTCCCAAACAGGGTTCTTCGCACGCGCCTTCTCCATCGTTGTACGTTGACAATTACCTGTCTGTATTCATATTACTTGCCTGCTTACACAGTACAACTGTCGTTTGGCTTTTGTTCCGTACCTGAGGGGCTGGGGCTTCTTTGTCTGGAAAGGGAAATATTAATTTGAGTCGTTGACTGCTATACCGACCCATAAAAGCCTTTTTCTTGAACCTTACACGCTGACGGTGCGACTCCCAGCAGATTGCTTGCAGGATGCCGTGCCCTGCAGAGCGCGCTTGGGCGCGCTGCACTCGCAACACGTGAGGAACAATAACAATGATGAAACACAGTCCCGTTCAGCATAGATTATGCCGAGAGAGCGACCAGGAAGAATTGGAGAAACTGCATAACGCGACCGGACCTGCCGGAGCGTATTGCTGTTGAACTCGATTAGAAGCAATAAAAGTAGTATTATTATTTAGTTATGGACCACCAGCTCCACAGCGAACCACGGAACCAGCTGCTGTGCCTACAAAGGAAGTTTAATCATAAACTGCTATTTTTTGCCCTTGATGTTTGCAGTCGATCTTCGGTTTGGTCGCTCTAAATTATTCTGTGCATGTCTGTCTGGGATTGGCAAGATCTCGACGTGCTGTAATGCCACAGCTGCAGCCTGCCATAGTTAATTCTAATACTAATATTCTAATGAGCTAGGAGTCCGAGTGATGAGTTGTCCGACGCTGACGCCAGGCGTCGTGGGGATCGATCATCCACCGCCAATCGAATTGCTCTGCCAGCCTTGATCAGCCCTAAGATCAGTCATCGATTCGTCGTCAATCGTAATAACAATCAATCTTCACCCCATCCATGTGAACGTCTTCCAACATCAGAGTAGATTGGATAGACTCACTGATAGGCTCACAGATTATCAGACAGGATGAAGCGACAGAAACCTGAAGAAACACGCATTGGGAGGGTTGCTGTGCCTATTGGAACTCAATTATTGCTACATGTTGCGCAGCCACGAACGAAAAATTGAGAAGCGAGGACTAGAGTTTTGGATCTATCAAATAGCCGTCACGAATGGCCATCGCAAAGACGATAAACCCAGCTAGTCGGAGATCGTGCATAGCCAGGCGGGGTCTGAGCAAGCTCGCGGCTCGCAGCTCACGTGCTCAGACGACGAATAATTAACGACGTATCAATTATATGATGAAGCCTGACGAAATGCAGGCAAGGTTATGCTGGGTATCTAATCAATTATTTTCCTTCACTGCAGGCGGAATAATCTTATGTGCGAGGAGGATGTAGCTGCAGATACGAAGCCGTCATCCCTTGCGTGGGAGACTGTTGGACTATCAACCGGAGATGAAGAACTAAGGAGATATCTGCAAGGCTGCACCGAATTGTAGTATTCTTCGCATGTCACCACTTACACGTGGACTGCATTTCCTCGCTTCGATGTCATCTGTAGCCGCAAGGAGTGAGGTTTTAAATTGATCCAGGAAGCTACTACAGCTAGTACTTACAGTATTAATAAGATTTTAGACATTTGTAAGGGGAAAGGGGTGCTATCCGAGAATATTTTCTAGAATCGACAAGAAAGAAACATACCGGTGAAGAAAACAATAATTCAATAGTTGTGATACACCAACCAACATTGACACTCGCCTGTCGGTCCGATCCTATTACATATTACATAGTACATACTTGCGGCGTACAAATCCCGGGAAATGAGCCTGTTTCTGAGGCGACGTTTATTATGTGGTCTATGCTTTTGCTTTAGTTGCAACGGTCGACATCCAGCATGATCTAAGTGGAGATATTTAATTTTTTAAAGAAAATTCTTTTTGGAAACCTGGCTGTACAACAGTCGATGTATTGTATATTAAATTGTATGGATACTAGACTTACTGCAGAAAGAAAGTCAGAACGAGGAAAAAATCACAGCGGAGCCGGTATAGTATCCAATAGAATCGGCTTCCACTAAAAGCGTCAATTGACAAGCAGGGTCGGCCCGTTGACCATGTTTCGATTTGCAGATAAATATAATAATGATGATAATATTAATGGAGAAGAAAATTCTTCAGGCCCCGCAAGAGTCCCAAGACCTCAGTACTGTACACTTTGAAACCTATTGTCGTAAGTACGGGAGTCGGAGACGTAGTAACGAGGTGGCCTCTGACGGAAATACAGATCCACACGATGGAGCTGCCAGGTCGTTTGAAGGAAGATTTTTGTTTGGGCTGCCCGTACACCCGTTTACGGGGTCGGCGACGACTGAATCAGAATCAGCAAGGAAGATTAATAGAGGCAAGGATGGGCTCTATAATTATGGTTTTCTTGTGCTATACATATTGATATTATAAGCCTATCCGGTTGAAGGCGGACGCCTAATTTTTTCGACATTGAACGTTGATCGACTTCCATAGATGAGCATTTGGCATATCGATTGCAGTGCAATATTATTACTTTCAATGTTATTTATATTGTCATGCGAATCTTTCTTAGAAAAATTTTTATACTGATGTTTCATCGGTTGCCTAACGTTCAACTCCGCACTCCACAGTGAAAAGAAAAAGGGAAAAGAACGCCCCGTCGCCCCATCAGCAGGTATTTACAGTTGAGAATACTAATACTCTGTACCTGACACGAATGATTATGATGTCGCGTGCTGGGCGTCAATTTCTAAGTACGTATTTATTCCATGACGAATGTGTCTGTTTACGGAGATAAATAAGCTCGCCAATGTGTCTGTAGTCCGTCGTTGTCATACGACTTCTCAGATACACAACTACCGAAGGCAAATAAGTAATGATTCACTGTCCTGTTGCCGGATTTGGCAGCTCAAGGGGCATCAATAGAGCCCAGACAGGAAGCTCGTAAACGGATTCAAGAGCCATCCGTCTCGCAAACAATAGTACGATGCAGTAATACTGTAATTATTACCCGAGCTAGCTTCCCCACAGCGGTCTCTGAGTCTGGAGTTCGCATGAAGATGCTACGGTTATTATTCGTGACACAGAATAATAGAGCTCAACGAGAAATTCGGCTCAAACCTTCAAAGTAAGTATTAAGAATCAACTATTAATTAGTAGCTATTCTCATTATTATACATAATAATACAGCATGCGTCAAGATTCAAGACTCGAGATCCATAGCCCCACGGTAACTAACCAATACAGTGACGTACAATACAACTATTCCCCAAAGGCAAGGCGTGTCTTGGAAGAACCGCTTGGGTAGAAACAGATAAGCTTAATACAGCAGACAATGGTACTCAGGTACTGCATGTAAAGGCTTTACAAAGGTTACAATACACGGCTTAAGTCTTAACTGCGCGCACTCCTTTCTTGACAGCTCAACGCTTGAGAATTGACGGCTTCCTCCTATCATACCTCGGAACTCACTGAATATTATTCAGCCGTCAGTCTCTGGCCGTCCGCGTCAAATGAACAATGTGCTAACCCTCCAGCTGAAACCTTATGTAGGAGCTGCTAACATAGTCGTGTACGCCGAGTCGCGACAGCGAATCACCATCGAAAAAGGCCTGCGAGCGTCTCCGAGGCTCACAGGCGTGTCAGGCCCATGTGCTATCTAGCCCATCCACGCGATGATTCGCCGTCTGCGGGCGGGTTGCAACATCGCGCTTGTTGCGGATCAGCGGCGCGTCATTGACTAAGAATAAGTTATAGCTAGGGATGTTATACTTATCGTGCTCGTTGTGGAATTGGAGAGAACTGAGAGTAAGCAAGATCCAGGACTGATTGTTCTGATTGTTCTGATTCCAGAAGATATACCACCAATTGGTACGCAATCAGTACGGTATGCACTTTCCCCTGAGCGTACGGACTGCTCATTGAACTCATCCAATTAACACGATTAAGAATTATAAGAGACCGATGATATCATGACTACGGCCGATGTCGTGCAGCTCGAGCTGTGCCGCAACACGCAACGCGCGCAAACAGGGAACCAAGAAGCTAAACCGGCCGGCCACTCCACTATTCACTTCCGTTGCTCGCGCTTGCAACGCGATCGAGATCTGTTGATCGGCAATAATAATCTATTCATGATTCAAGCTGGTGGCAATGCTCTTATCTCGTACGGAGCACCCAGCTACTAATACTACTACAGTACTACTACTTGGTAGTGTAAATTGGGAGCAAGGTATCTGCCAGCCACCACCCTCTAACAGTATCGCCACTCCTGACGATATGTCAAAGATAGTGGCATAGTCAGTGCTCAGCCACGAGTCAATCCCACCTATGGTGCCCATCGTCAGCCAGACTAGAGGAGGTCGTTGATGAGTTGGCGTCCAGCTGACATCGAATCGGAAAAGAATTTCAATCAATCAATCGCTCTAGCTTTGGCACTAGCACGAGCTTGCTTGCTCGTTGCAACGCCAACCCCAGTTTTACTTTTTTTTTCCCGGGTTTGCTTGCTGACTGGGCGTTAATTACCATTCGCTTGTTTTCTGACCTGCATAGCTAGCCCCATCCATGATTGTTGATTGATCAGATTGCTCCAGCCCACTTTTGAATTTCAGCTCTCCTCAATTGATACGGCGGTTCCGATGCCACCTTCCAGTGGCATCCAATAGTCGAATCCTGACGCGCTTGAGACACACTCTTTGACAGGGCTGAGCACGCGTCCAAGCGCGTGTATTTTAGATTTATCTTCCCACCCACCGCTGATAAATCTAGATCGTCCACTCTCATTTGCTCATAGAGAACGGACTCACCCCGAGACCCCTGCTGCTGCTTCGAATCCCTGTCGCTTGTTATTGCCATTGCAATGCTATTTATTATCTGAGAGCTCTTCTATGCGGGGTATTCTAGGTTCAATGGGCACTCAAGCTTGTGTTGTAATACCCCGACGACAAGCTTTAGGCAGAAAGAACTAGCACCTGCAACGCATACAAGGATAGAAGAGTTGTTGATAGTATCCCACAATTGGTAATTGAATACTCTTTCATGCAAACCTTATTACTATTTCAGTTGCTCTTCGTATTGATATCTGTTCTTTATAATATACTTGTACAATAAGTCATCTCAGGCATCAATCGAAGCTATGCCAGGATCTTTACTTCAGCTGGTCCTCTGCAACAACCACTTGATACCATTCTCAAAATCCAACACCGCCTTCTTGGACTGACCCAAAAATGGAAAAGTTCCCCAGAAAATATGCGGCATACCTGGGTAAATATCCAACTTCGTCTCGACCCCATGCTCTCTCAGCACCTGCTCATATATGAGAGCCTCATCCCTCACAGTGTCCATCCCGCACACCTGGAAATACGTTCTGGGCAACCCTTCATGCCCCTTTGGCCAAATAAAGGGGACGAACATAGGCGATTGCGGGTCTCCTCGGGCAGAGTCATGAAATATCTTCGCCAGAGCAGGTGACCGAACCGGGTCCTGCTGGCATTCTGCCTGAGTCCGAGACAGATACATCTCTTGATAACGACTTGGCAGGGCTGCCTGCGCCTCTGGCGGGAGTATCATGGATGCAAGCTGAAATAAACCAGTGATTACCGGCATCAGACCCTCGTCACGGGCAAGATGAACCAGGATCGCACTCATTGAACCTCCTGCAGAAGAACCCCCAATCACGAAACCACCGGCTGATAATGAAACCGTAGGGAACTCCGCCTCTGCATGTGACGCAATCCACTTAAGCGCATCCCATGCATCGTTGATACTCGCTGGGAACGGATCCTCTGGACCTTGACGATATCCTGGTGCAATGCACACGACACCCAGATTCTGTACGATTCGGCGACAGGAAGATGCAGTGTCCTCGGGCGACCCGATTGTATACCCTCCGCCGTGATAGTACACAACAAGCGGGGTTGTGCGAGCTGTAGTCGCAGTGTCTTGTGTCGCTGGTTCAAACACTCGCGCACGAAGTTGGAAGCCGTCGCGGGCAGGAAAGAAGATGTCGCGTTCGAGTACGCCGCTACCCGGTTCGGCTGGCTTGTGCAGGCCCTTCATGTACGTGCGTAGGCCGGCAATAGCCCGGGATGGTTCGACACCATCTAAGCTGGGGAAGTTAGCTGTTTTCAAGTACTGAGCTTCGTCAGTCGGATGTAGACTGTACTACATATATGAGAGTGAGACTGACCTCTTCCAACTCTGGGTCAATGACCGCGAGCTTGAGTCGGTCTTCGCGGGTAAGAGACATGATGCTGAAGAGTATAAAAAGACTGTACTGTGGTAATGCAACTTTAAGTCTCAATCTTGTACCAATGTCTCTCTTATTTCAACTCTTCAACACAATAGCTTCAGTATCGGATATTTATAGCTATGATCAAAATACATTAACCGAGGTATTTTTACGGAGATAATCGATTTGTTTTTAATCCCCGACTTCTATAGAGTACAAAGTCGTGGTCTACTTCAAGAGAATGGTACCGAGTAGGCTTAGTAATAGGTGCTATCATGAGATTAAACGAGTATATACTACTATTAATAAAAGACGATGGACATCTGAAGTATCTCAGCAAATTTCATATCCTGATTTGATTATACTTTGTATTTTGGATAGGTGAAGTTAACGAATATTATATGAGCGGAGATAAGCAGATGCTATATCCGAGGATATCCTAGTACTGACCTAGCGATAATAGTGACATGATTATTAATGTCGGGGATTACATTCCGTGATGAACAATTATTATTTTCACTTGAATGTATACATGTAGTCGCAGTGGATGACTTAGTCAAGAAACCCTATAAACTGCCTAAAAGGGCAACTATAGTGCCGTTTCATGCATATTAAGATAGAAATTTCTATTGGATATTAAAAACTGTTTAGAGGATATAGCCGATGATCACAGGAGTACCACTCTGGTTTATTTAATAGATAATTTAGACATGGGTCTATTAGCGTTAGGCATGAACGTCATTTCTCCTTTTTTCAAACCAGGATGATCCTAACGAAAAATACCACCACCTCCAGAAGTCGTATTATCAAAAAAAACAAACACCACACCTCCATTTCGCGACAATAAAGAAACAAAATTAAGAAAAAGAAAGGGATAACCTCGTGATTGCGGTCAGACAAACCGACACCCAAATACTATTGGACGATAGCCCGCCCTTGTCCTAGGCCGGGCCCGACTGACGTGGCACGCAGATAGGCAGTAAACTGAGAGCCAAGAAATGAATACTTTATGCGTGCTCCAGTTAGATTTTGGGCTCTAGCCTCCTTTATCGTTGATAGAAGAGTTATCAATGACATGGATCAAAAGGGGATTCGCTAGTTATTCAGTCCAGCTGCCCTGAACCTTGAAACGGCGAGTAGATTGAACAACACATTAACAATTTGAAATGAATTACAAATTATTTGACCGAACCCTATATTATAGTTTGTTAATTAGGATGCTATTGTACTAAACTGTTTCGGATTATTTATTGAATATGGATTTAATACAAGCAAAACTTATCAATTTATACCGCCAAAAGTGTGTTACTTTCTATGTAGAATAGTTCTATGATTGGGTTGGACAAGAAAGCTCTCCATCGCCTGCTCTGGTCCTCACTCATTTTAGTAGTGAATATTACAACCTAGAGGGGCCAGTAGCGGGTTAACCACCCAAATACACAAACCTTCCCTCGTAAACAATTTTACAGAGTGTGGGGACACTATTAGCATTGATACCAGGATATTTACGATCATTGAAAACCAAAAAAGGTAAAATACGATTTTATGGTTAGGCTGATGGATTTAAGATATGTATCAATAACTCATCCCTGTGCTGTATCAGTAGTAAAGCACGTTGTAACGTGTGGATGGGAGATGATGGTCAACTTGGGTTTTTTCTTTAGACATCTACTACCAGCTGCAACATCACCACCTGGTTCAATGATAGTAATTCTCTATACCTCGTCAAAATCGCAATCTAGGTATCAAAATCTGGTCTTTGAGCCTACCTGAAGATCTATAATATGGTTATATAGCAAAGTCGTTTGAGTTGCGTATCATAAAATTCTCTGCTCATATCAAAGTAAGAGTTTGTTATAAACTGGGATAAGTCTTTTCTCTGTTGGGATTACAGATAGGTAAGTGAGACAGATATTCCTAGATATAATCTCCATCAACCTTCAGCTCTGTCATAAGAACTTAACCGTACAGATATTAGGACATCATCATCATCATCATCATCATTGATGGTGGATCCGATATTGATATTCACGACGTTGTTGGTACCTCCTTTCAATCTCCAGAATCGAGTATCTTACTGGAGAATCTCTGGAAGTGGGCCGGGTTCCATGGAGCACAGTATAAAGGCAATAAATAAGATATACAACATACAGTGGTTAATTCAAACATAGCCCAGATTACCTACAAGTGAATACAAATATTCCCTTCCTTATCTGCTCAATTATTTCCCTACATAACGGTAACCTCACAAATATCTTTGTATTAGCCGTGGTTTCTCCTGGCAGACGTAAAACATCTTTCAATGCACTTTCAAGTCGATCCATATTTGGCAAACTAATGTACCCAAACGCTCATTAGTGCGTTATCTTCCGGATCGTTCTGTCTGCTTAGAAGGAACAATTGACGGAGATTCATGGGAAAAGAGAGCTCCGAAATAGGTCTTAATGGATCTAGGAAGCTAGTAATTAGTGAAAATTGCGAATGATCATGCCAAAGATGTGGTTACCTATTTTGCAGTTGAGAGAGGTGTTCACATTAGACCAAGTAGAGGGAGAAGAGAGGGAATAATCGGTCCTCAGACAATATTAATTTTAACCTACCTAAGGATCCTCGAGCTTGATTCTAGGCTTACCACAATTGTGCATGATACTAATTTTAGCATACCTAGGTGCATCAATAGTTCGATGCTGACATATACGTAGACCTATTGGGGTACATTTTGATGACGAGAATCCACATTGTATTTCCGGTTTGTATTTCCGCAATTTCAACGCTTATTTTTGGCTCCATATGATTATCTCGCAACACAGCAAATTAATACGTAGAATTTGGAACTGAGCGTATTATTAACCATACCAGTGATATGATATGCTCAATGTTATAAGATTGATTTTTAGCTTCTCTTTCAAAAATTATTGATATCATGTTACTATAAAGAGGGCTAGACGGTTTGTGTACACTTTCTTCTATTTTTAAGGGGTTCGGGGATCTATTTAAGATTTGAAAAATATATTCCTATTAATCTCAACACCAAATTGCTCCAGCAATGCACGCTAAGAAAATTGTGAATCCAATACAAGAAAGGAACTCCAAAAAACTGGTATCAAATCGAAACATTATGCGTTGGATATTCTAGCTTGTTAGGCGCCATATCACCGCCTCCGTCCTGCTTGGCCGAAGGTATCGAGTCGAGAGTAGGCTTGCAAGAGGTTTTGCTACCGGTCATTTTTTGTTTAGTAGCGGAAGTTGAAGCAATATTCCGTTTATCCGAAGCTATGGTACCAACTCCGTTCACCTTAGTCGAGGAATTCGAGTCGATTTTGCGTTTATTAGGAGCTACATCAACGAGTCCATACCACTCATCGACGGAAAGGGAGTTCGCTTTATGTATTTCTTATAATTTGTTAGTAATGTAATCACGATATCATGGGAAGACGAATGCTCACCATGTGGACGTGCATAGCCAACGGCCATAGCGCTCAGGACTGCCATTCCCTGGAAGCCAGGCCCAGGTTTCATGATTATATAAAATGCAAAGACGATGATATCGTTTGCCAACACTGAGAAGAAGCATGAGCTTTTTCGACAACCTGAATGTGCACCATGAGATTCATATACCTCAATATTTCCCTGCTCTCCCACTTCCTTGTCTCAAGTGACCGGGCTTTTTTTTGTATGCCACCACTTTTATCATCGGCTAATCAATGATGACTTGTATACAATTATCATCCTGCGGGTTGGGCGTGTAGGGCGTCGAACCCCAGTAGCCAAGAACAATTGTTGCCCCCAAAGCTGGGATGCATTCATTGTGTCTCACTTTCATCACGGTGATTGGGAATTGGCTTTAAATATGTATAATTATTAATTATAGAACTTTCGATATTTCGGGGCTAGAAACTCAAGCAGCCTTTCCAGAAATCGATCCTGCCCATGAAACTCCTACTGGTTGGCTTAGAACTAACTCCTTTGAGAGATTTCCAGAATAGGGTGCGGGATACTTAGGGCGGTGTGGGATATTTAGTTATCGGGGTGGGTCAAACCCGAGATCCGATATCTGCTTTAATTGGTGAATTAGAGTAAGCTTTACCAGATCGTGATATATGGGGCGTCTTTAGGTTAGCGTCAACTCTAAGGGTACCACGGCGGCGGCTGAATCAGGCAGATTTCCCGAATCATATTTCCAAAATGGATATGATCAACACAGAGGATTTAGGGTATGACATTTTAAACATCTTAAATGTACGGAGTAGAGGGTCTAATTCTGAAATTATAAATAAAGCACTGAAACATTATTCAGAGTTGGGTTGCCCGATGTAATTCCGTATTAGCTCGGAATTGTGGTCGAGCCAACGGCGCAACATGCTTCCCAAAGCGGTTAGATTTTCTTGGCCACGTTCCCTCGTCCCAAAGCTAGTCACTATTGAATTGTATTAATCATAATGACATGGAAGAACAGCACATGGCATACTATATGAAGCCATTCCTAATGGATTGCCAAGAATTATTGTTCAGATGATAATAGTTCATGCAAGGAGGGACTTATAGGAGACCTCTTAGCTTCAATTTATTATTATCTACTACTAGTCTACTCAGAGTTCTTGTCTTTGGCAATGGCTGCACGCGAGTCTCGAGAAACCGTGTACATAAAGTGGTGCGTAAATGACGTTGTAGATATTTCCCTCATGCTTATTTTAAGTTATAATGATGACTGCCGTTTTCTTTGGCTTAATGTAACTTGGAAGCTCATGAATAATCCACAATTCTAACAATTCGCATGACACTGAGCCCTCATGGCGTCATATAGGCTATGCACTAGTACATTTAGTGTGTCTTTATGCATTATGTTCTAAGCTTAGCATTCACCGATAGTCCCTCAAAAATGGAGCTTTAAACGGTCACATCTGTGGGGGCCTCTGACAGAAAAAGGGGCCATTTATACTCCGTATTGTATTCTGCCTCGGAAAGATTATGTCTCGCCTAAAGACAAGTAATATTTGACATTTTGAAATATATTATTAAATCAGAAATCTCATCCATCAAGTTAAGATCCGCCGAAATAAGTGTTGGGAAATTGATGACGTCCCGAGGTGGTTGATTCAACGTCCATGTTATCGTAAAGGTAGTTTAGACGTTTTTAATAGCCATATGCTAATCGCTTGGATATAATCCAATGAGGCATCGTTATTTATAAATAGGCAGCTAAATTAATTTTACGGCCATACCTAGCTCTAGCCTCTAGGTTATGACAGAGGTAGCTAATCTTGGGGCGAGATTAGGCATGTATTGTATGGGGACCTGATTCAAGGCGATTGTCTTCACGTCCGATTAAATCTGTGGAATAGAGAATCTAATAAACAGTTTCGATTAGATACGACATGTCTATCGGAAATTCTTCAGACCACTGCTATAAGCTTATCGATAATATATTGCACCGATTAGTCCCAACCGGCAATACCATCACTCAAACTCTCCTCAAATCCCGTCCAAGTCTTGCCCCAGAAAGATTTAAGAATCTCCTCGGCCCTACCCATTGGTTTAATCACAGTCTTGTCACGCCAATCATCCGCTGGCGCTTCCGGAATATTTTTGTTATTAGGACGCAATTTACGGAGCACGGTATCAACATAGGTCCAGTTGAAGTCTTGGACGGAGCCAAAAATACGCTCGTCCTTGATGGAAGAGTCAAGAAGGGCAGCAATGTGAAGACGCGCAGTATCACGAACGTCGATGAAATATTCTAATTTGTGTTTTGAGTATATTCGATGTTCATATGGCAGATCTCACAACATTGACTTACCAGGAGCGAATATCGATCTCACCGTGGGGTCCCCTTTCAACAAGTTACGAGTCACCCCCATGGTTGAGGCGGTCTGCTCTGAATGCAGAATTGTTCCCATCTATTCTATTAATCAACCATCTCGCTCATATAGAAGTAACCAGTTATCAAGAATGGGTAGGAAAATGACGCACGTTGAAGCCTGGCAGCACAGAATTGAAAATAAAACCGGGTTTATTCTCATTTACCCATTTCCAGGACTCTCTCTCGGATTCAGTCTTGGAGGCAGCATAATTATAGAATGGCTTTAGTTCTGGTGCCGTATTATCGTCCCATGCTGATTTAACAGCACTGTCATTGTAGGAAGCTGCAGTCGGTGAAGGCAACAAATTAGTTGTGTGAGAGATTGTGTGAGAAAAGAAAAATTGGCTCACTTTCGTCTACAATGACATTCTGATTTTCTGGCACTGCAATATAAGTCGCCGCCGCCGAGGACGTTAGGACAAACCGCTTAACAGATGACTCTTTCGACGCCGCAGTCAAAGCATTAATTGCCAGATTGACGACCTTTGGAATCACCTCATTGGGATCAGCACTCAAGCTGACATCTGACGCCTGGTATGAAACTCCAGTCAGCTTTTGTTCCATGTTAAACATAGCTCGATTTAAAGCTATAAGTCTCGACGTACTACGTGGGCAACGGCAGCTACATCCTTGATAGCCTGGTCATAAGCCCCTTCGATACTGAGATCCGGCACAACAACACTGTGGTACTTTCCCTTGCCATGTCTTTCCGAAAACAGCTTATCCAGCCATGGTTTCTCAGAGCGCACTGTACCGCGAACCTTGAAGCCGATCTCTAGCAAGATGTCGATAATGTGAGACGCAATATAACCATTGGCGCCGGTGACAAGTATGATCGAGCCTTTGGGTATCACATATTCTGGTTGGGACATCGTGGGCAAGTCAAGTTTCTATCACTGGGATTATTATCAGCAGACCTGGATGTTGTATGAACAAGACGAACCGAGGTGCTGTGTCGGTTCACCTGCTTGATTGCTGTTCCTTGGCGGGGGGAGACTAAGAGATGTGGCTCTTTTTAGGGCTTATTAATCGTTGAGCTGTTGTACCAGCTACGCTCTGGGTTACTTTCTGTTTCTCTTCCTTGGCGAGGGAATAATTAGACTGTGATTTATCATAGAACACACTTCACGCGTATTCTGTAGTGCGTAATTAGTTACTGAAAGAAAAGGAGATCTGTTGCTGGCCAGGCCCTAACCACAACAAAAGAACGACGTCTCTGAAAGGCGGGTCTGTGTAGACACAAACCCCGTTCGGAAAAGCAATTGAAGCCGCTTATTGGCTGACATACTGCTATCCCTGTATTGATTATTCAATATACACTCAACAATCAAGCTCTATATAATCCAGGCCCGCGAACTAGCCTTGTTAGCCTCTTATGCCTTGCCTAGGTTAAGGTGTCATAAAATTAGAATTAGTTTCTTCTAATGTGCGCTACAAGTCTCCCCAGCCAATGGGGGCACCTTGGTTTTCTTGGCTGAAACATTGGATTCGGGGCTGTTTTCAAAGGTCACGTGCCAAACACTGTGCAGCTTGTCGGTCGGTTGTAGAACAGCACGCTCGAGCCAGGGAAGAAAGAACCGGGAAGTTTTGATCTATAATTATTGACTGAGAATCTGACTTCAGCTCCAATACCATCAAGTGCTTCAATTGACAGACGGGTGGTAATCCCGCGACCTCGTCCAGCTTCAGGCGCCCACGTCACGTGAACAGGGCCAGGGCTAGCTGAACTGAGCTCTAGGTGGAACGATCAGCAGTCAACTTAGAGCCGATCCCCCCAAAGCCTCTGGGCCCAAAGGCTGGAGGTGAGATTCAGCCACATTTCAAGCTGACAACATTGTCTTTGATGGGAAAACCCGCTGTTGAAGGATGCTTGATTGTGCTGGGTATTCCGGTCACTAAACTCGACATTCCATCAAGTTGGGTCTACATTCTCTCCTTGTCAGGCCCCGGCTGGGCTTGAATCCCAGTCCGTCACTATGCCTCAGGGCTTTACGAGACGAGCAATTGGCGGATTGCTGGCAGCCACCATTCTCCTGATAGTATGGCGCATTTCCTACTACGAACCGTCGACGCTCCCTGGCCATAGTCCTCAGGGCAATAACAATGTTGCCAAGACTAGTGCCACTTCACGAAAAGTCGGCAAAGTGTCGATGTTATACGGTTATCCCAATCCTTACTACAAGCAAGCCCTTGAGAGTCACAAACGACATGCGGATCGATGGGGTTACCCAATGCATATATTGCAAGAGGATATCTCGGAAGGCTTCTGGAACAAGCCGAGCTACGTGCTGTCACTCGTCATTCAAGAGCTTGCAAAGCCAGCCGCTGAACGACTAGAATGGTTAATGTTAGTCCTCAAAAGCCATCGCATTCTTCTATGACAAGCACAACTTGCTAACTGCACTCGTCCCCAGGTGGGTTGATGCTGATTCGATCATCATCAATCCTGCAATTCCTGCCGATATTTTCCTCCCACCCCGCGACCTGTCGGAAATCCACTTCGTCGCGTCCAAGGACCAGAACGGGCTCAACACGGGAATAGTCTTCTTTCACGTCCACCAGTGGACGATCAGCATGTTGATAGAGGCGCTTGCACACCCTCTTTACTTACCAGCGATCGATCTGGGTGTTTCCGCCGACCAAGAAGCAATGGCTCGTATCATGAAGAAAACGACAGATGGCCCCGATGGCCAAGGATACGCACAAGGTATGGCCTATCTCCCACGACCCTGGATTAACACCTATGAGTGGCATCACGCCTACGAGGGAAAGAAGGGAGACATGCTGGTGCATTTTCCTGGGCTTGAGGATGATCGATGGCCTCACATGGAAAAGTGGCTCGGGGTTGTGGAAGACACTCCACTTGAATGGGAAGTACCGTTGAAGGATACTGAATACCCCCGATTGACTAAGGATTTCTGGGACAAGTTCCGCACTGCGAGGAATCTTGCAAATCAAGTCGAGAGAGATATATACAACGCACCGGCCGGCTCCCTAACCCATGCCCGACAGGAAGCTGTTGCACAACTCCGAATCGCTCTACAACAACATGCCGACGAGGCCGAATTTCTCCAGCAATGTGTAGATGATCTACATGCGGCGATCAAGAAGGAGACGTCTGCCTAAGTCATAAAATACATATACCTGCTAAATAACGCCGATAGGATTTCTTGGTCGGCCGGTTTTCATACCCGAGGACATTATAAAGCATAATATTTGATAGTTCGGCGCTAAAAAGGGAATAATATTGATCATCAAGAATGTATATATGGACATTTTGATTTATATTGGTACGCGATGGAGGCAAGTGGGATGTTTTTTGTTTTGTTATGATGTGTAATCAACAATGAAATTACTATGGAGGTGGTCTCCGGTGAAGAGCTTGAGTCCAGATGCATGACATTTAAGTTTTACGCTCAAGCACCCGTGCCATTCTCGTGCCTAGGCCACAGCAGAAATTGAGCAAGTCACGAGAAATGTCAGCCACTCATTTTTGCGCGAATGTTCCTTCTTCTGGTACTGCGTAGACAAGACGAGTCAAACCAGCCGCAGGAGCCTCGCAAGCTCGCCGGCCATCGGAGTCCGGTCGATAAGATAAGAGAGCCAGCACTTATTATTATTCTGGTTCCATCATGCTGGTCACGCTATTCCCATGTAGTTACAAGTGATGAATCCTTTCTACCACGGTGCTACTTGTGGCTTGCGAAGATGATTGCAACCTCACCAGTTTTGTCCTTTTCCCCAATCGCTGTTTTATTCGACACTGTCCTTGTGATTGACAGCCACTATCAGGCAAATAATGAACCGACATGACAGCCACGAGGGGGCCGATATAGGAACATGAAACTCGTGGGTGGCACCCTAGTGCGATATTTTGTCTGGTCTAGAGAAGCATGGTCGGTCAGCCATTCAGGTTTCCTCTAATGACAATCGCGAAAGCGAGTCGGAGACAAGGTGAGTTAGCCGACCTGTACGACAAGAGGTTAGTTATCCATGATGATTTGCTGGAAACCCAGATCCAGATCATTAAGTCAGACGTTCCAGGTGTCCCCTTCTACCCCAAACAAGGCGAATAACGATCGCTGCAATGTCGAACAACGGAGGATTGATCGGCTTCTCGTAAAGAATCCCATAAGACGATCGGGCCACCGATCCAGTCAGGAATCAGGATAACGCGAGGTAGGATTCCGTGATTGATGCCCCCTGATCAGGCATTCAAAGTCGCAGTAGCATCGCCAGTCGACGACAAAGACTAGAAAATTGGGAGCAGATGGAGAAGTAGTCTTCGGGAGACATGCGACAGCGTAAGAAGAGCTTCCAGCAAATGGCCGTCTGTAGCGCCCGGACAATGGCACCGGGGAGACGCTATACCGGAAGAGGCAGGAGGTAAGCCCCTTCCTGCCGGCTTCGCACCCCTAAAGAGGCAGCTGCTTCGCGCGCCCGGGGAGCTCCATCACGTCTCCCCATCAATGTGACCCGTCGTTCAGTCATAGGGTTGGCTTTTTTTTGGTCTTTTTGCTCTGGCCTTTTCTTGTTTTGGGTGAGGCTGGTGAGCTGGGTGATACTGCCAACCTGCATTTGTCACCACGCCCAAACTTTCCTTTCTTATATACCGGCAGCATGGCCACTCGCTGTCCGCCTGCGCAACGGTATGAACTCCAGCTCGCGCACATGTTGCTTAGATAAACCTAGCCTGCTCTCCATCTCGCCAGCCTTGTACAGGCCTATAATCTGTATGCAGACATGAATATCGCGAGCCGTATTCGAACAGTCCACGATGTGGATCGACACCATAAGCATCTCAAGTGGTCGAAGAAACAAGCCCCGGTTTTGACTGTTTCCTCCGGAGATGTCGTCACCTTCGATGCCCTCGACAGCAGCAACGGTCAAATTACAGTAGATTCCGATACCTCTGCCCTCGACTCTTTCAGACTAGACCTGGCCGACCCTGCCTTTGGTCCCGTCTATGTCCGCAATGCCGAGCCGGGAGATGCGCTGAAAATTGATATCATTGCTTTGGAAACGGGAGACTGGGGATGGACGGCGGTTGTCCCTGGGTTTGGGCTTTTGGCGGATGACTTTGCTGATTCGGTCCTGAAGATCTGGAGATTTGACTCAGCCTCAGGCTTCGCTGAGTTGAAGTCAGGCGTGCGAGTTCCAGTGCGACCGTTCCTAGGCATCATGGGCATTGCACCGGGCGCCGATGGAGAGTTTTCCACTATTCCACCAACCGAAGTGGGAGGAAACATTGACTGCCGAGATCTTGTCGTGGGTTCGACGCTCTACCTTCCTGTCCAAGTTGCCGGAGCGCTCTTTAGCTGTGGAGATGGCCACGCCGCTCAAGGGCAAGGCGAAGTCTGTGGAACCGCCATCGAGACTCCCATGAAGGCAACAGTCCGCTTGTCAGTATGCAAAAATCACCCCTGGGTGCAATCACCACATCTTCTTCTGCCTCCACCACCGCCAGCACCCTTTCCCACAGTAGACAAAGGGCGATATGCCACAATGGGCCTGGACTCCGACCTCCTGGAGGCTACTCGTAAAGCAGCTCGCTTCATGATTGACTGGCTTGTATCTACTAAGGGCCTGACCCGAAACGAAGCCTACATCTTAACTAGTGTTGCAGCAGACCTGAAAATGGCCGAGGTTGTCGATATGCCCAATTTTGCTGTCACCATGAGTATCCCGCTAAACATTTTTGACTAGGCTAGGTTTTTGCTCAATTCATGGGCTATTCGTTATAAGACTGCTTGTAACAGAGGCAATCTAATATATCTCGACTTGTCTTTGGGACCGGATGTCTAATGAGACCTTCGTAAGTGCTTGTCTATTGACATTTGCAATGATTGTATGACTAGATTGAAACACTTGTTTTGTACATATTTTTTTTCTTCTTATATCACTTTGTCGTCTGTATCCTCTACATGTAGTATTTAAGGTGTTAAAGTGCAAATGAACGTCTATGTGAAACCGCATCTTCACGCCTTCCTATTGAAAAGGGGAAGGGAAGATTCTGTCGTAATGTAATAGTCATGAATCATCTGCATTCACATAAGTTGCAAATACAATATTCCTTCAGGAGAGTTACTACGCAAGTATGCTTTGTTGAATTTTGATGCTGGTCATGTGATTTCGCGTCGTGTCGTGTCTTGCCTGACCGACGGACACGAAACAACAGCATCCACCGCGACATCAATGGACCCGATTCTAGATGGACTGAACTCAGCCCAGCGAACGGCCGTGACGTCGCCAGCCTCAGTTCTTCAAGTGCTGGCGCCTCCAGGCTCTGGTAAAACAAAGACGCTGACGGCACGCGTCGCATACTTGCTATCGCATCATGGATTCCAGCCGCAAGACGTCATCTGCTGCACTTTCACGATCAAAGCTAGTCGTGAAATGCGCGGGAGACTCTCAAAACTGATTGGAGATCAATTACAGTCAAAACTTATACTAGGCACTTTTCATTCGATTTGTCGTCGGTATCTTGTCGCGTACGGCCATTTGATCGGCTTAAAGAAAGGGTTTGGGATTGCAGATAGCAATGATAGCTTGGCAATTATCAAAGTATGTCGTTCCTTTCACTAATCTCTTTAAAGTATTGAAGTTATTTACAAATACTTTTGCTAGAGGATTGTCAAACGCTCTCGTCTCAATTTACAGCCCAACATTGCAAGATCGAGAATATCGAGCCAGAAAGCTCAAGGAATTAGCTGGGAGGAGGTAGCAGAGAATCAACGCAAAGGTGTGGAACACCAGGAATTTGTCAATGTTTTTCGAGAGTATGAATCGGCATTGGCAAGTTCAAACCTGCTTGACTACGATGACCTTCTCCTCCGGTGCGTTGATCTCTTGCGAAATCACCCACAATGCGTGTCAAACGTACAGGCCGTCCTGGTCGACGAGTTCCAGGATACAAATCGAATTCAATTCGAGTTGATGAATTTCTTCGCATCTCGCCAGCGTCGAATCACCATTGTCGGCGACCCAGATCAAAGCATATACGGTTTTCGCTCAGCAGAAATTAAGAATTTGGAACGGATGCAGCGTCTGTACAGTAATACTTCGGTGGTGTTACTGGAAGATAATTATCGATCGTCTGGATCGATCTTACGATCAGCGGAGGAAATCATCGAGCAGGACATTTCGCGTCCCACCAAGAAACTACACCCAACACATGGTGTTGGAACTATGCCGGTTTTACGGAAGCTACCCTCAGCTGCAGCCGAAGCACAATGGATGGTGACGGAGATCAAACGGTGTATTGCACTCACAGGGAACCTTCTCAACCCCTCCGATTTTGCCGTCTTACTCCGCTCCGCGTCTCTATCTAGACAGATTGAATCCGAGATGGGCAAACAAGGAGTGCCTTATCGCATGGTGGGTGGATCAAGATTCTTTGACAGGGTGGAGATCCGGCTTCTATTAGACTATCTTCGTGTCATAAGCCACCTAGAGAACAACGACGCGCTTATTCGCATCGTCAACAGCCCGGCAAGGAAAATTGGTGAAGAGACGATCAAGACGCTGGTCACCGGCGCAGAGAAAGCCCAATTACCACTATGGGCGTTTATTAGAGATGTTGCTCAAGGTCGCAAGACGACGCAGAAAAGTCTATCTAAAGCCGCTGACTTTGGACTGGCGGGATTCGTTGGCTTGATAGAGTCAGCAAGGCGTAAACTACACGAATGTGTCGATGCCTCTTCTCCCCGGATTTTACTAGAATTTGTTATCAAAAAACTCGGTTTCCGAGAATACCTCACTGCAACTTATCCACTGGATGAAGAGAACCGTTGGGCCAATGTGGAAGAACTCTTGGCTCAAGCTGGTGATCCGTGTGCATCCTCTTCACCGCATGAACAAGACGATGCTCTTCCAGATATTGATGGTTTGGAGCAGCATCAGGGACATGTCGGTGAAGAGGCACTGTTTCGCTTCCTAGCGAACGTAGCTTTGTCCACAGAAGTTTCTACTGAAGAAGAAAATCAGAATCAAGAGAAAGTTACAATCTCGACTATTCACGCCGCCAAAGGACTCGAATGGCCCGTAGTGTTTGTCGCTGCCGTGTACGAAGGGATTATTCCGCACTCCCGTGCCGAAGATAGCGACGAGGAAAGACGTTTGTTATACGTGGCTATGACGAGGGCGCAGGCGCTTCTCTATCTCAGTCTTCCTCGTCGAGACTCGAAGAACGGCGAAGAGACCAAACCGAGCTCGTTTCTTCCGCCTCAGATAGCTGAGATCAAGTTTCGTCGGGTAGGACCGAAATTGCATGACAAGACTATCTTTGGCATCGCTGATATTCTCGGTCGGGCGCATCCTAGTCAAGAGGCTATGGTACAAGGCCTCAAAGGACTGCCCAGTGTACATGATGACATCTGGACGGCCGACGGAGACGACAGCTCGAATACGGCCACAAGATGGGATGGCACCCAGGGTGTGCAACAACTCGATGGTCGGGAAAACTGGATGAAGCGTCGACGAATGGACGGTGAAGGAAATCAGCCGGGTATCAGAAACACCTCCATTCTGGTTGCCTCGTCCGCATACACGCTAAGCAACTCGTCACATTTCTCTATTTCCAATAGTACTATGTCAGCGGGGTTTTCAACGGCAAGGCAGCATATGGAACAAGCTCCTCCTATTCATGAGGCGGCTGCTAAACGTGAAAACCCGATAAAGGATTCCATGACCGCTACCAACAAGGCTGGAGCAGCCACTCAGGGGACCCTTTCAAAATTCTTTGGTGTCGTCGAACCCAAGTCACAAGGCACTAGTACGTCATCGACAAAGGCCCAAAAAGACCAGCTGAAAAGGCCTCTCAGCCTACCGAAAGCTGAGCCCCAGAAATCGCTTCTCGGTTCAACCTCACACGTTCCCAAAGGCATGGGAGGACACCGCCTCCAGCCTCAACAGTTTCAGCCACCGCGACCTGTCGCGGGCATACCAACGTCTAATAACTACACGTGGCTGTCCGACTCCAGAGAGTCGACGACAACAACAACGATAACAAATACAGCAAGGACAGATGACTCTACAAAAACAGAAACACCGACCACAACGGCAGCGGTCAGCGCGATTAATAAAAGACCTGCGGAGTCTCACTGTGGAGTTCGCCCTGCTGCCACGTTTCATACGACGACTATGTCCACGATGCAGCAAGCTGGCTTTAATAGCGGGCGACGGACGCTGGGGATCCGTCGCAGCGTACACAATGGCTGGGCAGAGAGGATGAACCGAGCGAACAGTCATACAGGGCACAGCCAGACATGATTGTATATTTGAATATATCATAGCGAAATACCTGGATAATAAATGATCGCAACCAATGAGGAGGAGCCAGACTGCAGGGATAACCCAGGCACAAATGAGCCTGATTGGTGCCACGCAAGCTGCCACCATACTGGCACCTTTTAGCACAGCGGTGTTGCAAGGGCTATCCAGTAGCCGGAGACACTCTCTCGGGACGTCGTTCTAGCCGTCTGCAGTTCGCCACGCCAGCCTCATCTCATCTTGTCGACTGAGCCACTGTCCACATCAGTCGGGAATACACGTCAAGTATTGCATCTGTCTACGTGCCTAATGGACAGTGACGTGAAGCAGGCTCACCGCTTACAAGTGCATCCAAGCCTCGCCGGGAAAACGCGGTATGATCACCAGGTCGAAATGGACTATTTTTAATAATTCAACAATGAAAGTTAGCCATTGATTGATATGGCGAGGTCGAGTGATGCGCAGCCATGAACATAAAGGGAGCGATCGACAATGAACAGCTAGCTATTGTACACATAAAATACGAGCTACACAGATATTAGCATAACAAGCAATACATAATTGATAACTTGGTTAATTTGATTAATTCAATAATACGGCAGCAGATAACACACTGCAATAGTAGTAAAGCTATAGTAATAATGATGATAATTAATAGTCCTGGCGGTGAGGTGATGGTCATGTGAACCGTCGTAATCATTGGGCGATCCCAGCCAGTAACAACAGGCGATGTGCGTTGATGCCTGCGAGCCTGGCGCAGCCTTGAGTGCCGCCTGTGAGACAACAAGAGACCAGTCCAGTCAAGGGCCGTGGGGGAAAGTTGGCCCCTGTGCCTGGCTCGCCCTGGCATCCGACCGCCCATTCGGACCGCCCACGGTCTCTTGAACGGCGCTGTTCTGGGCGCTGCATCGGGGGCTCCCGCATTCCAACCACTGGCCGCTGGCCCAAACCCTCTCTATCATTTATTGTCATTCGTTACGGCTCTTAGCACGATAGTCAGCCCGCTTGTCCGCATCCAGCATGGCTGAATGGCTCGACTTGACTTACTACAGGTCGGTGTGCTGCCTAGTGACGTCGCGCCTTTTCGAGTATGGCGCCAGGCAGCATCAGCCATCGATATACAATGAGATCCAGCAGAGACATTCCTAGCACTACAAAAGCCCTCGGATCCCTCATCTGCGTCCCAACCATCTCATCTCACTATCATCAAAGACTACCATCCCATCGTGCTCCTACCAGGACTGTTACCACCCGCTCTCACAGTATCCCCGTCCAGTCTGCCTTGCAAGGCTCTCAGTAAATACGCCTGACATTGCCATTGCCATTGCCATCTTCAGTCCGGCTGCGCCACTGGATATTTCTATATTACACCTCAACCATCTCAATCTCTCCTCCATACCTTCGATCCGTTCATACCTATCGTCACAATCCCTCTCCGCGCCTACAATCAACCACAACCGTCACCATGCCTCTCAAACTCGGGGACTACGACTCCAATTCCTCCAGCAGAGTCAGCAGCACCGACAGGATACATGTCGGCGACGTGCCAGGTATGTTGAGTCGAGCTTTGTCCTGGACCGTCCAGGCTAACCCGTGCTATGAATCTAGATCCGTCTCGCAGATCGAATACCAAAGCGGTCGTGGTGCATAATGGCGGCGGGCCCAGCTACGACGAGAAGCGGCCGGCGAGCTGGGACAAGAACCGGTGGAAATAATCCATCATGCAATACGATACTATGCTACTAGAGCCACCCTCTAGTAGTAATAGTAGCTTGGTGGATGCGGAGGCCCGCACTGATGAACCGCGCCGGCGCCTCTGACTGGCTCCGCTTCCGCCTTTTCGACTGGCGCGCGTAAAGGCAGACAAAAGTGAGGCGACCCGCCGTCGCCTGCTGCCATTCGCTGTTCTCGCTCTGCCCCTTTCTTTCTTTTTTTTTCGCTCACCAAGTTTGTCCTTGAAGTGAGGCAATAATGGACGATCCGTCTCGTCCCGGCATTCTAGACTGCCCGCCGGCTTGTCCCATTCAGTCCGGTGGTGCATTGCTGCCCGTCCGACGGGTTATCCTGCCTCCCTCTGAATGCCGCCCTTGCGTGGTTGTTGGCTGCTGGTGTATGTACCACTATTGACGTGCTTGTCTGCCGCATTATTCTTGCTGTTTTTATTGCTTTTGTTGTCCCGACGACTTGTCGCATTTCGGGTTTCTCTTTGCCTGTGTTATTTGCGTTTGCCTTTTGCGTGTGGAGTTGGCCTGTCTTCATCATATTACACTGCATAGCTGTTACACTGCACAGCTGCCTGGCGCGGCAGTGCCTCTGTACTATCATCATGGACTGGAGTTGGTTTGCCTGGTATATTTTTGGAGACATAGCATCTCTGCTCGGGTCAGCGTGAGCGCTGATATGTACGAACATGGTTAGGAGTTGTACAGTAGGATCAACTTTCTGCAGATATAGCGAGCTATAATCTAATCCACCATCATATTAACTATCAGCTGATATTTTATTAGATTATTTGGATAATTATGAAATACATAACAATAATATAGTCAGTGCGGAGTAGCTCCAAGAATCAGGCCTAAACAATAAATTCTTGGTCTAGCCCAAAGCAGTAAGGCTACTTACCACTCTGGCCTGAGCTCGGAGCTTCCCCATAGGAACAGCCCACAACCATAATCACGATCAATTGATAGATATCGAACCAAACCAAATCAAATTGCATCATTGAAAATGCGTTTCACGGCCCTCCTCTCCATTCTCGCCGCCTCCATGGCTGCCAGCGCCTCGGCGGCCGATCTCCAAATCGAAGTTACCCACGAAGTCTCCTGCAACCGCAAGACCACCAACGGCGACACCGTCAAAATGCACTATCGCGGGACCCTCGCCGACACCGGAAAGCAATTTGACGCTTCATATGACCGCGGCACTCCGTTGTCATTTAAACTTGGAGCTGGACGGGTTATCAAGGGGTTTGTCCTTTCCTCTCTTCAACGGGTGAAGTCAATGTCATACTGATTCAGAGTAGATGGGATCAGGGCTTGTTAGATATGTGTGTCGGCGAAAAGCGCACGTTGACGATCCCACCTGAGCTTGGATATGGTAACAGAGGCGTGGGCCCGATTCCGGCAGGCTCGACGTTGGTGTTTGAGACCGAGTTGGTTGAGATTGACGGCGTACCCAAGGATGAATTGTAATCGTGGTATGGACATCTACATGGGGAATAATGTATGAGGACCGAACGTTAAGAGATTCAAGAGTTTTCATTGTCATGAACATATGATCTAGTTGTATATACTATATGCATTCAAAGTTTGGGTATCTCCATGATCTTCTAATCAAACGCCTGGGTATCTTAAAAGAGACAACCATAAACCAGTGTGACATATCAATCCATCGCATCCAACTCATTCGCGCCCACCGCCTCATGCTCCGACACCATGATCCCCACCAAGCACTCCCCCAATATCCCCTCCCAATTAACCCAAGGATGAATCTCCAAGAACAGCTTATCCGACTCCTTACCCGCCCCGCGCATCAACTCTCCCTTTCCACCCGGATGAAACGGGAGGTAGGGAGTGATATTGTACACTTTGCCGTTGTACGACGTCCACGCATCGACCCCCTTCCGGCCATGATGCGATTTGAGGAGCGAGGGAGTCACGCGGATCAAATTTGGGGGCAAACCTGCGCCGCGCAGATTGTTTTTCGGATTGGAAACTAGCGCGGCCCAGTCGAGGGGGGAGTGGCCGGGCTCAAGAATGACTTTTCGTGAGCTTCTTTGCGTCGGCGCGAGAGTGCTGGTGGTTAGGCTGCCTGCTGGCGTCGCTGCATTGCCCCGTGGCGCGGGTCCTCTTAGTGTTGCTGCGGCAGAGGGGGGTGGACGGAGGGGGGTTGGAGATTTCAATTTGGGAGGCGCAAGGAGGTTTCCACCGGAGGGCTGGGGAGGTCTTCGTTGTGCAGAAAGTCGAGGTGGCGGCGGTCGCATGTTCGTCTGGGAAGACGTCGTCTGTAGAGACGGCGAGGGAGGAAGCCTCCCATTCGTATCTGATGTTTCAGATGAGGCTGTCGAAACGGTCTGCTCAGCCTCCAAGTTCAGCTCAGGTACCTGCAGTGCAGGCGTCGCAGCCGACGCTTTGGGGGTCGTCTGCGGCGAGCCTTGGTTCTCATCCTCCTCAGATTTTATTTCTGTAGTCTCCTTAGAAATCTTATCCTGCGAATTCTCCGGCTCCAAAGCATCCTGCCGGGTGGCGGTCTGTGTGGTCAACCGCGAGAACAGGTTGAATCTGAACATACTCGACGAGAGCAGTGGCGACCGAGCAAGGAAAATGAGCGTAATAAGGAAAACTCCGACAGCGGCAATCCAGCCCATCCCAGGAACCCCCAGCTGGTTGGGTTTTAAGAAACTGGATTGGTGGGATATTATTAATCGAAGTTGTCTGGATCTAGTGCGGTGCGATTAAGGTTTGCGATGGGCTTCGGGCCCGCTTCGGCATCTCAACTCTCGACATAATCATTCAAGCATTTCCCCAGAACTGCGCGGATTGGATTGTTTTTTTGGCTGTTTAAGAATTTGTGTAATACTTTTTAATTGTGCTTCGGCTATACCTTCTATAGAATAGATACAATCCATCATTAATTGCACGGAAATCTGACCCGGCTTCTGTTCTATCGCCATCGCCCTACAACCCCGACCAATTGATTCATTTGGGCCACTGTTATGATATCAGGCTGCCATCACTAACCTTCTATTAATTCACTCCAGCCTGCTCCATGTCTACACCACAGTGCGCGGACTTGGAAGAAATGAGAGGCCATGTTGCGAACAACTATTATGGCAACTGAAGATACTGTTCTCCTGTTTGATGCAGGGGCCGGAACGGCGAGTGTTCCTCAAGCTATTCCTATACCGACACAAAAGACGAGGACTGGGCTAATGACAATAGGCACAAGGAGAGCGCAATTCGCAAGAAGATCGCTATGTGGTGATCTTGCCGGATGAATTCCCACCGTCGCAGACCACAGATAAATTCGCTTTACTTGCGACATATGATGGGCAGTAAGAATATATTTACAGATAAGAAAATCAATCTGGAATATGTTCTCATATTCACACGTAAAATTTAGTGGCTCTTCCATGGTCTCAGAACACGTCCGTCAGAACCTCGCGCATCTCCTCGTCAGCCGACCAGAGTTCAGTCAGGGCGACTACGAAACCGCAATTTGTAGGGCTTTTGAAGACGAAGACAGCCTTTTATTCGGACTCTCCATGGCGGAAGATATAGAGCCCGTGATATCCGGCACGACAGTTGCGTTGTGTCTGGTCAATTTGACCAAAGGGCTGGTGGTGGTTGGAAACGTGGGTGATTCGCATATTCTGCTTGCGGAGCGGGATCCGTTGACCGAAGCTATTGTGTGGCAGGTCTGTATACTGGCTATTTCCTTATTATGTTAGGGTAATTGAATTAAATGCTGAGGGTTACAGGACCGCTTAACAAAGGCACACAAACCTAACACGCCAGCGGAAAGGAATCGAATTGAACGTGCAGGTGGTGCTGTACGCGTAATCTCGGGGACTGCCAGACTTGGTTGGTGCCAACCTTGGTATTGTAGTGGATAAACATAGAAGTCGGTGGCTAAATGAACAGGGTCCTTAAACATGTCTCGAGCCCTCGGCGACCTACAGTACAAAAACCCCATCAACACGCTCGATATCGACGCCACATCCAAAAGCAGACGAGTCAGCACCGCTATACCACAGAGACGTGGTGACTTCCTGTCTAATAAACCGCACGTTCGGACCGTGAAACTTGACAAGAATAGTCGATATGCACTGCTCTGTTCTACGGATGGAGTATCAGATACGACTGATGATAAGATATTAATGGAGGAAGTCGTGGCTGCATTGACCAAGGGGCAGAGAGCTTCGGATATTGCAAAGAGCGTGACCTCCATGGCGGCTGGGATGCCGGGAAGTGATAACTGTACGTGTGTTGTTGCGTTCTTTGATGGGATTCAATCATAAATATCTGTTATTACGGATTAGAAATGTAAGCATTACAGATTAGAAATGTAAGCATTACATTTGCTGGTAGCATAGCAGTTGGGTTTTTGATTTACAGACAATCAAACCATACGAATAGAAATATAAAAATATAGAAATAACTTAATCTTGCCACGGACCAGTTGAAGGTACCGTAAATCACAGAATAGCTTGAGTAGACGCCAGGTGATGCTAGATGAGGCCAAGTTTATTTAGGCTCTCAGTTGGATCTATGCGTTGATAGCCCACGAAACAAGTTTCTTCCAAGTAAAACCACCCTTCAACTTAAGATTTTCTTTCAAAACCGGAACAGCCATAACTAGTGAAACTGCCGTCGCAAGCGCGCCACACGCCAACGACATCGCATGGTTCGCTTTACACCCATCTAAATACGAGATCAAAATCGACTCCATGTCCGCCGAAGTGAACATATTCCGGATCTGGGTTGCTCCAACGCGAATCACCGTTGCCGAATCCACACTTGGCGCATTATCAGCCAGACTCGAGACGAGGCGACTCGTAAAGGCAGCTTCCCCAGCCGCGATGAAGATAGTTGTGCCCATATTCTCTACAAATAATGTGAGGGTAGTAGCTTGTGCGATGTCGCTTTCAGAAACGAGAGCTTGGTTGGCGACCATAGGTAATTGTAGGACAAGACCTACGCCTACAGCGGTAATTATTTCGTACCCGATCCATTTCCCGACAGAAGCGTTCTCGTTTAGGCTATAGATGAGACCGACGCCTAGGGTGCCAATCAGCGCCCCCAGCACGGCAAGTGGAAGATACTTGCGATACATCCCAATAAGCACATTGGAAATCATTGTGCAAATGGAAATGCCCGTGATAAGGGGGATCATCCGTATGCCGCTCTGGGATGCAGAGGTATTGTCGATCGACTGGAACTGGATCGGCAGGGAATACAGCAGTGGGAAGTACAGACCAGCTAAAAAGAAACTGTAGACGAGATTGGCCACAAACGAGCTTTTCTTGAACAAATGTCCTTGAACCATGGCTCTATCGTGCATTTTCCATTCATTTAACATAAACAAAATCACCAGCCCGGCGGATCCAGCAAGACTGCCGATCACAGCACCACTGGACCAAGGCTTCGTTGCGCCGCCCCAGTGCATGGCCGTGATGAAACAGGCCATTGCGCCTGTAGCAAGCAGGCTACCGCTGAAATCCATCTGGATGAGCTTCTCGGTAAAGGAAGCAGCCACGGCACCGGTTTTCTTCAGACCAAAGATAATTGCCGTGGCGCCAATCGCCCAGGTTGGAAGACTGATCCTAAGATTGTCTTAGTCTGATAGATAATTCACGCGCGAGGAAGAGCAAGATACCAAAAACACCATCTCCATGACGCATGGTCCGTCAACGCACCGCCCAATAACGGGCCAATAACCCCGGCGCAACCAAAAGTTACTCCAATAGTGCCCATATAAGTAGCTCTCTGCGACGGTCTCACCGAGGTCCCAATAATAATCATCGCACCACTCATGATACCCGCACCGCCCATACCACCAATTGCCCTGCCGGCAATGAAAGCGGGACTACTCTGAGCGGTTGCACAAATGACATTTCCAATTTGAAAAATCAAGCCGGCAAACAGAAATGTCCCTTTTAGTGGGAAATATTTGTATGCTTTTCCCCATGATGATAGGAATGAGAAATTAGTGAGCGAGTAGGCACTCGTGTACCATGTCACGTCATCCAAATGCCCAAAGTTGTCGGTGATGCGTGGGATAGCGGTGGATATGATGGTTGAGTCGAGGGCAGAGAGAAAGACGTTGAAGATGATGGCGACCACGACGAGGAAGAGTCTGATGCCTTTGGGATAAGCATCTCCGTCGTCGGAAGCAGCAGCATTATCCTGGGAATGGTGGCTATGGTTACTGATTTCTTCCAACTGAATTGACTCTGCCATTTCGATATCCCCTCAAATTATCGCCAACAGTGTAAGATCCTGTGATGTAAGAATTTCCATCGTCCAGAAAAGCGGATGCACGTAAGAAGTAACATTTGGAGAACTCGGCCAATCGCGGCCCCGCTTCTTGTTGGTTGGTCTTATTTGGGATTATTATGACAAAATTTGAAGCACTGATTATCAAGGGAAAAAAAACATTTCAATAAGGAAGCCTTATTTCATTTGACTCAGAGTAAATTTCTTCAAATAAGCATGTTTGGATATATACAACATTTGAATGACTCGGGGTGGCACGGTAAATAGTAGAATCTCTGCCGTACGATCTACAAATATATATAAAAACACTAAAGAATTAGTAGACTAAATCAACAAGAAATTAGATATCTAGAGGTTAGGCCGTCTTGCACTTAGCGTAAACTACCACCGACCATATATGTATTTGTTAGGGTTACTACAGCAAGGAAGAAGGTGTCGAATATTGAAGATTTATTTATATCCTAACCCAATAATAGCGCCAGTAATCAAGACAAGAACGGAAGGTCGACAACTGTGTCCTAATATTAACAGTAATTATAAGGTGAGCAGGTTGTACAGAATATCGTGCAGATGACCAAGTCACTACGATTGAGGTTCTCTGAGGCATATGAATTCTCAGGAGGGTCGAACAATGAATAGTCTGTGCTAGAAGCACTACAGATATAGTTGCATGTTTCAAATGTTGCAGATATTCTTGATTGAATGAATACTATAGGCGTGAATCATGTTTTCAATCTAAATTAAATTCCATTGCTCATAAAAATAGCTATAAACAGACGTTATAAATAGCCATCATTGATGTGATTCTTACTCTTTCTCCTTCTTATTTTCTAAATTGTCCTCAGTAATTGCTGGCGGGATCCCCTCAGCCGCAATCGCCTGCAAGTCGCCTTCACCCATCTGACCATCCCAGCCGTTGGCAACAAGATAGGCCCGGAATTTCTCGTCATTGAATTTGAGATCTTCTCCAGTGACATTTGGGATAAAGAAATATGTTACCAAGATACCGGCGACACCGCAAATCGCGCCAATGATGAATGTCCATCTCTTGCCGAGGTTGTTTTGTATGGGCGTGAATGCTTGCGTTCCGACAGCAGCGCCAGTTTTGCCTGAAATAGTCAATATACTTGGTCTATATGAGAGAGTAAGGAGAAGTACCGAGAGCAGCAGAAATCCCATAGCACTGTCCTCGAACAGCGGTTGCATACGATTCCGAAGACAACAAACCAAGCATGTCGCCCGGTCCCAGGTTTCCAGAACTTTGCATGAGACCGTAAAACACAACGAACAATGGAACTATGTGGGTGATTTTGTCATACGCGCAGCCAATGATAAGGCCGAAGATGAGATACCCGGAAAATCCAAGCATCATAGTTTGTTTGCGTCCCAGACGGTCACATAACCAAGCGCCAATGAATACGCCTGGAAGCTGGAGGGCGCCTAGCAAGAGCTGCCATTCGGCGGTCTTGAGAATGGAGCTGTCTGACACTACTGACGATATAATAGTTCCTGAGAAAACGCCGTTGGGGAATGTGACAAAATCTAACACGTACTTAGAATTAGGAATATTGTCGAAGCAATATACATCTCGAGAAGGAAAGGAAAAACAGAGAGAAAGACACTTACCATACAAAAACCAAGCACCGCATGTGCCAACCAGGGTCTTCCAGTAATACTTCAAAACTAGCCAATAGGGCACGCTCTTTTTTATAGCGCCACGACGGTACAGCACCGAATTGAGCATACGGATTCGAAAGTAGAACACAGTCAACGGCCAAATGCAGCCGATTCCAAAACACACACGCCATACAGTGCTCAAATGAGACTGCTGACAAGCTGAGTAGACAATCAAGAAAACAATCACAGCGAAGGGACCACCAAAAGAAAGCGGGAGATTCGTTACTAGGATGAATGTTGGGCCTCGGTTCTTTAAGGAGCGCTCATTTGCTGCTTCGGACGCTGAAATTGAGGATGCAGGGTACTCGCCGCCGGTACCTTGGATTTTGTTAGTCAAGCCAAGACGTAATAGATATCGAAACGAACCAAAACCAATAACTCCACGCGCAACAGTCATCATCCAGAACATGCCATCGATAGTATACCCGTTCGATGCAGTAGCCAGAATACCGCCAATCACGATCATCAGGGTAGTGATCACAATAGCCCATTTTCGACCAAGGTAATCACATGTCCAACTAGGTAGTTATAGTTAGTGTTCTACAATAGGTATTCGGCTAAGGAGATGATATAGACTCACCCAATGACAATCTGTCCAAGTACCTCGCCGACTAGAAGAGCATTGGATACGCGAGTGCTCACGGTAGAGGTATATTCCTTTGGGTACTCTTTCTTCAACAAGACATTGGTCATGGTCCTATCACTTAGCTGAAATTGCAACACCGAAAAGAAGGGTCTTCTTACATTAAATTATTCTGGTAACCATCAGAAATTAAAGCAAACCCAGCAGCAAACTAACATTCATTGTTAGAGAGCACAATTCCTAAATTAGCATTGAGAGACGAGCTCACTATCGTGAAAACATCAGATAGGCTCTGGCGAGACCTGGTCACCAGACTGGACGGCCCATCCTCAGGCTGCGGCACATGCACATCAGCCGAGACAACGGTCTTTTCGTCCTGCTGTAGTGCATCTTGGCGCTCGATACTGTCCTGTGCTGGCGACTGCGACATGACGAGATAGGCTTTACACGACGATTACTGACGTATCTGTTAACAAGAAAACAGTCGGACAAAATACGAGGACAAACAAAGATTTGGGGCAGCTCTTCTTCTTAATCTCATACGATGCAACCGCAAAAAAACGCTTACCGTTATTGGGGACAGTGCCAAGGCACACTGTTTGGGGATCGGGCGCCACGATTGGCCCATTCGGGGTGCTGGCGAACTCTGGGACCACTGGCTGCGACCGCTTTGAGGGGCCACCCGAAAGCTTGATTTGTGCTTCCTATTCGGGACTACCAACACGTGTCTCTCTTGTGTTTTTTTTATAAAAGTGCTGTGCAAGCTGCGAGGGTGTCGTGATGTACAGTGGTTTAACTTGAATAATCTATACAGTTACCTCGCTGGATACCTCGTCGGAATCGGATCGGATTGTACGGAAAATCCGTCATGCCATTGCTTGTTAGCTGACGTACGCCCGATATCGATGACCAGCAAGGAAGACAATCCTGACATTATGTAGCTCTTGAGATCCTTCGAGAAAAGCCTCAAAAATACTGCTGGACGAAACATGCGAGCACGTTCGAGCATTCCATTTTCCGATTGGCGGGCAGAGAAAGTAGCCCTAAGACTAGATCGAAGATTAGATAAGATCTCAACTTCCACCAAATCTCTCTGGATACGTGCAAATATGTAATTCGGATGAGTATGTTGTGTTGATTCAAAGTTTCATAAACTAAACCTTCTTCAGGGCGGGACTAATACTCAAGTCTCTAATATTTCGTTATTCTCTAACTGCGCTGCTATAAAGGTCGATATATCACCAGCAACTACCATGCCTCGAAGACAATAGAAGAGAGCTTCGGTGACACAACAGATTCGTAAACGACAAGATACGTGACTCATAATTGACAAATAAAACAGAGATAGCTCGAACACCGCCGAATGCAAATCCTTCCATAACTCCTCGAGTACAAGCAACCCACCAATACATGCAAATCCATTGTGTTGTTTGACGTTATGCCCACTTTCCTAGCAACGCCATCAGCCCCGCACCCAAGCAAATTAAAACAAAAGCCCAGAGGACGGTCCTCAGGGGAGCCCGGCGCATAGACGAGCTGAACATGAATTCATGCGCCATCAGCTCGACGAGCGCAGTGTAAATAAGAATCCCCGCCGAGATCGAGTCAAACACCCCGTTGACAATCAACGTCGTGCGACCATTAGGCGGGTATGACTGGCGCACACCGAGTCCGATCGCAATTGCAATAGGCGTGGAAACCGCGTAGGCAAAACCCAGCAAGTAAGGCGTAAACCGCTTTCGGTCGGGCCACGGGAGAGTCGCCAGACGAGAACCTAAACCAAGCCCCTCGAAGGTCTGGTGGAAGACAAGCACGACGTAGAGGGTGGTAAAGTCGTCACCGGCCACGGCAAGTGTCAGCCCAACAAAGACGGAGTGGAAGATGATGCCGAACTCCAGGATGAAGACGGCAGTTAGTTGCGCTGCATATTCTTCGGCGGACAGTTCAGCATCTTTGACGGACTCAAGGTCGCGGTGATCGCGGCTATGACTGAGATGATCGTTGCCGGGGATATGACCTTTAGAGTCGTTGAGGATAGGAGGGTTCTGTGCTTGTGTCTCTTGAGAACAATTTGTCTCGTCCGAGTGGGAGTGGGTATGAGAGTCCGAGTGTGAATGTCCATGGCCGTCACCAAAGGAGTAACGCATGACCATGAGCTCGACAAAGAACATGACAACAATAGTCATCAGAACAATCCCCTCAACCCAGCTATACTCAGTGATCGGGCCCGTGAGACACGGGTTAGTCAGGGCCTCCTCAGCGGGGGCGAGCAGGTGAATGAAAGCAGTCGCGATGATAACCCCGGAGCCGAAGTATTTCGCGATAAAAAACATCCATGACGGCACTCCATTGCTGCCCAGTCGTCGCGCATACACAGGGAAGACCGCGCCGAAAATAGAGCCAACTAGGATGACGAAGATGGAGGAAATGCGTAGGCCCATGCGGCCATCATAGCCATTTCCAGTGTCGCAGGCATCAGCCATTTCTTCCTCAATATAGGTCCTGGCCGTGGCTGATCAGATGAGGTTAAAGTAAGAAGGATGTGAAATGGGTTCCACTCTGCTAGTCAACATCAAGCAGTTCTAATCGCTATTCTATAGTATGGTATGATATGAGACGACGATCAGAATTAAATAATCAGTCCAGTGCAAACGTTTGGGATACGTGGTGACCAAGAATCGGAATCAGCAGGAAAAGAATAATCGTGGGAGAAAGGTTTGCATGGTCCCGCACTTGCGAAAGTCGAAAGCGCGCAGATGAGGACCTTGGAGGCCGCAGCCCACTTTTCCTAACGTGGTGGTGAAGTCGAAGTGACATTTGGAGGAGAAAAAGAGGAAATGGGGACCTTGGAGACGATGACATCGTGCTTTGTGCTGCCTGTCATTGGTGGGTTGCCGCCTTTGTTCACCCGCCAAGCTTTTGCGCTGGGAGGCGAGCGCCGGAGTGACGGATTAGGCAGGTCATCAATATCGTGATAACCATGCGGTTATAAGTAAATAATGGCTCTGCTATGTACGAGCACGTAGAGACTGAATGGAGAGGAAAGCGTTTGTGATCCGCTGTCGCTCGTGGGATCAGCATTTAAATCGCCCGCCAGCCTATCACAAGCCAATTTCTTGCAGATTCAGTCAGCCTGGATTGGTAGGAACGTCGCATATGTAGTGGCACTCCTCACATTGTGCGGTTATGCAGACAATAGTCGGTGAGCTCGATATTCATTTCGATGCTTTCTATGGTACATCAGTCTATATAACTCAAACACAACGCCACGCCGCATATGCCAAAGAAATGAGAAAAAAAGAGCGAAGTGGTGCGATATAATACATATATGTAGATGTTTGATCAGAGCGCGAGATGACTCAAAATATCCTGCGCCGTTGTGGGTTGCAAGGAGTGGAATTCACCATCGCCGTTCTCGTGGTCTTCCCCCTCAGTGTGTTTTGGAATAGCGATGAGACCATGGTAAATCAAGTACCCGATCATTGCCGTCAATCCCGCCGTAACAGAGGCAACAGTAATATAGATCTCTCTCCTCTGCGCAACAGCATAATTTGAAGCAAGTTCCTTCTCATATTCAGTCGTATTTTCATCGTCGTTCGATTTGATATCTTGTCGGAGCCGGTCGTTCGATCGAAAGTCTCTAACAACGGGAGTCGCATCAGCGAGGGTGTTGAGAAGCGTGCTACCAATTTTGGCGACATTAACCCGCTCGGGTTGTCTCCATGGAAGAATGCCTGACGTGTTGGAAGCGTCGGAAAAGGCGTCGACAGGATTCACCACCCCGAAACATTCATCCCGCATGCGTTGGACGTACGTTGCTAGTCGCGGTGCTTTCGCACGTAACGAATCACTCAACCACGCGGAGGGGACTTTTGGGACCAGACTAAGCGAAAGATATCCCGTCACCAACACATCAAGAGTGGACGGATAGTCATCCGAAAGTAGAAATTGTTTCTTCCCCAGAAGCTGTTCTAACGGCTCAAATAGCTCCGCTGTCAACGCATCTAGTCTGAATCTACTACTTTGAGCCGTCTTACCAAGCAGCGTCGAGACTGTCTCGCGGGGTCGGGAGATCAAATTCTTGGGGATCTGGCCTGCTGCCACGGCGGCGGATCGTGCTCGTGCCTGGGTTTCTTCGGTTGCTTCGAGATCTAGGGAGGAGAGACCGAGATGCGCGGTGCGGTGTTTAGCGGCGGTTCGCAGCTTTGGAGGAAGTATCCATTGATTCGGCCATGTTAGGATGGCACCGTACGCAGGGGAGGTGCAGGCATAGTAGTTTTGGCTGGAGACAAAGAGGGAGAGGTCGATGAGGAGTTGACCGTTGGATTCGGTCAAGGCAGAGAATCTGCGTTAACCGGTTAGGTCCTCGTTCTTTCTTAATTTGCGTTAAATTCACCGACTCACGCTATATTATCAGCCTCCTGAAGCGCAGTCCATTGCGAGTTGAGAGCCCAGGCCCCATCCGAGATTTTTCGCAAATAATCAACAATGTTCCTGAATTTTGACACCCATGTGGCGCCATCTTTCAAGGCGGGCAGCTCATCTAACATAATCAATTAGACATTTCACTAGAAATGACAGAAATCGAATCGCAATCAAAACCATGGACGTACTGTTTGGAGACACAGAAGGGTCACTCGTTGCAACCAAAACCCATTCAGTCTTCGGCACTGTCTTGACCAAATACGCAATTGTGGCCAGGCATTGGGCGTCGATGGAGGGCAAAGAAAAGGCAGGCCCCCACACGTGAAGTTCGAGCATGATTAGCTAGCAAATATTATGGTTGTTGATGCTAGCTGCTGAGCATCAAAGGCCGGCTAGAACTGCTGACTAGTCGGGGCGGAGCATCACGTGATACGCTCCTGCCCGCGGCCCGCCAGCAACAGGGTACTTTCAGTGCGGCGGGGTGTCGACGTTTCACATTGTATTGTGTTATCATCGTGTCGCACAGATTCATTTGCGTCGTTGCTCATGACTCAGTCATAATGTTATCTCTACGATAGTACGAAGGCCAAGATATCAAATACAATAATACACTAGCAGCCTGTATCGCACCATCGCTGCATAAGCGCGTCAGCTTCTGGCCCATTCTTGTTGGATGTCATCATCAACGATAACGCAAGCGGTGCGAGCGAGCGATTTATGACTATTCAGCGTCAGATGACCATCGGAAGATATCGATAGAGAGCACCAATAACCGGGTTTGATACATATTGCATGCGCTATTAATATAATCCGTGGTTGGACGCAATTTATATCCAACAAATAGTGACACTTGTTATTAGTGCACTGTATCAGGTTTTCGGCCGAGTTGTTGTTTCAGGCAAAACCAGGATAGTCGGTAGTATTCGTTGGTACATAAAATGACCTGTAGCATTATTATTCCCTTGCAGCTGGTCAGCCCTACTCATATACCCTGTACGATATACGTGCTGCGGCCCAAACCCCCTGTGAGCTGAACATCGAATGTGATGAGCAACCCCTCACCCTAGCCGACTTGGCCTTCAGGGCCGGCTCCTTACTATCTCATGTGGAATGGCTGAGGCTCAGACTACTACATTACTCGGCACTAATGTGAGTAATCATGAGTAATGAAGCTATCGTAATGGTGATGGTAATAATGGCGGTCACAGTAATGGTATATGATAGTATTACATTAATGAGATACAAAGCAAGTCGGAGCTGCACCGACGGGTATTTAACAGAGCGAAAAAAAAGATATGATAATGATGTAGATGTAATGCAGCCAAACGCCAAGAACGCATGCGCGAACGCGAAGTTTCAACTCCCACGGCGATCCGGATGAGGTACGTAAACAGCAAGTTCCGACTTCACACGTGGTGCGGACGACGTGGGGTCAGCAGCGGCACAGGGGACGCGGCCAATTGCGCAACGGTTCGGAGGTGGCTGCTTGATGGGCTACTCAAAGGAAAACACCGATCGTTCCACCGTTGATCGATGACGATGGCGATGATGTCTTCGGTTGGTTAGGCCGGGACTGTGCCGTCTCATTGGTTGGTGTTTTGTCTCCAACCTGGCCAGTCAGATCAAAGCTCTGCCAATGCCGAGGGATCTCCAGGTCATGCGTGCAAAATCCGATGTGAAACAAACCCGAGCCGAAAACAATCCGAAAGTACTGAATGCTGAATGCAGCGAGCGCTAGACACTCGGTATGTAGCAAGCCATGTATATGTAGTCATTCGTGAGACGTAGCGGCAGGGTAGGCAGGCTGCAGCCGGCTGCAGTCCTTTGCTCCACCACCCGCGACAAGAGACATGCAGACAGAGCGCGATTATTTCGGGGTTGGAGGCAGAGGGCCAGTTGGCGGCGGGCCAGGGCATGGCGGGAAAGAAGTCTGAGAGTAGGAAGGCATGTTGATTGTTGTTGTGTACCGAGTACGGAGGAGAGACTTGATGGTAGGATGGTAGGTTTGTATGAATGTATACAGAGTGGCTGCAAGTAATGTGTAGCAGAAACAGTAGCAGTGCCAGTGGCAGTGTAGTAGGCAGATGTCCTAGGAGTTCTTGGAGAGTGAACGGGCGCAGGCTGTATTTATAAAGCAGATCCATGCTGCCTGAAAAAAAAGATGGAGGCATGATAAATTAAGATGGGCTCCGTACGTAATACTAGCGGTATCAAAGCCCCACCGGCACTCCCGGTACGCCGCTTACCGCAGCAAGTCATGACGCAAGGACTCCAGCCTTACCAGTAACAATCCTCATTATTGAGGCGTTGCAACTTGCCAGGTTAGGTTACACGGCCACTCGCGTCAGGAGTTTGTGGCACTTTGTGCGACTACTGTGTCGTGAATCTTCTCAGCCGAAGGCCGTCTGGCGGTACCCGATCTCCCCGTTAGATCCTGTGCAGCTGAAACAATATGTTACAGCAGTTACACTTTGTGTACACTTACACAGTCCAATGCATGGGACCGCTCCGTTTCTTTCTTTTTCTTTTTCCGGACACGAGAAGCAGGAGCACATAATAGTAAAAGAAGTAATTACTATTATCATTATTATTATTATTATTATATGTAACATAAAATAAAGATACAAAGATACAAATCACTAAGATTTGCACCCCACATGACCAGCCGATTAGAGTTACCGTTGAAGACGTGGTATCGGAATCGCTGCGCTGACTAACCCTGTGCAGGCGAATGTGCCCAGCAAGTTACAACCCACAAAAGGGGCACGTTTCAACCCCTGGCGAATTCGCTCTGAAATAAGCACATTTCCATCAAACAATAGTGGATTGGGTTGATTCTCCGATTATTCGAGCGATAACGAGGCCACCGGGCTGAACCGAGCAGAGGTGATGCCTTGTCTTACCTGCCGCAATGCAGGGGTTGCCCCACAGCGTGAGTCACGAGCTCGATATGTTGCTAGCGATACTATTATTATTATTTACTAATATTTAATTAGTATTTTGCTATTATTACTATTTATTGATTCTGATCCTGGTGAACAAAGCCACAGCCTCAGCCTTGCTTCAGCCTTCGCAGGCCCTGCTCGTAGGACTATAATCCGCCGCCCGCTCGAACTGTAATGCGAATAACCATGGCTCTATCTGAGAAGGCGACTATTAAGGCTTTAAGAGCATGTCCCGGCAGCCTGGCTCGGAGGACGGCTCGCAACCTTCGGCGTATGCGTATTACCGCTCCCGCCTGGCGTTGCGTATCAAGCTATGCCAGGGCCTGCATGCCACATTTGTGAGTCAGTGTCTGTGAAATCTATAGCACATCCCATATGTACGACTCGTTTAGTGCTGCAGTACTACAATGCGGTCGAATCGTGGTCTTGAGTATTATATTAACGGAATCATCGTGTATTATTGGACTTTTATCATTATTATTTTTATATGTGCAGTCGACTGTTCTTATGACTGGGCTCGGCTCTCGCCAGATATTCTGTAATAATTTTTTTTTGCTTTCGATTTGCCCAACAATGAGGTTTTAATAAATTAATCATACATTACATTACGGTGGATTGTCAGAGCGGCTCCGTAGGGCCGAAACACTCCATCGTTCATCCTTCATTCCGATCGACAAACACACACTGCGATTTCTCCAACTCGCCATTGTAGATTAATATTAGTTGTATAATTCATGGCTCACAGCAGATCCAAGATCGCCATTGCCATTCAATTATCGAACCTAGGTAGAGCTGGTACAGTAATAATATTAATTGCTATTCAATACGTATTCCAACGCTTATCGCCGACATTAATCAAATAGGGTTACAGTGGCGTCTTCTAGAAGATACCGGCGTAAGGAATAAAACACTTTCAAATGAGAGTCCCGATCTGGCTAGCGCGTACGCGACACCTGATCTGACCCGAATCAGTGGCACAGGCACAGCCGCAGTCAGCTCGCCCACGCTTAAGGTCAACGGAGAGCTAGTTTATAGATGATATAGCTGCTTTATGCTGCCGGCTAATTATTCGGTTCGCAGCAAGTCGATACGAACACCCCCAAGCCAATTCATACCGAGGGACTCCGTACGTACCACGAAAACACGGTCGTTAATAAATACGCGTATCAAAGGTATCGTCGTCATAGACAATGTAGATCCACCGCCTCCCCGCCTCAACCACACTTCCCACCCACCCTCCACCGCCACCCTGCCAATCACACCGCCCCTTCTGCGGAACGGTGTGCTAGTCTACCCCTTTTTTTCTTTCCTTTTCCTTCCCCCTGACCACATGGCAGGCTGCAAAAGTGTGAAAATTGACGTCGACGACCCAACATTCAACAAGTCAACGGATGATTCGGGCTCCACTCGTGTTCTCGCCGTTATTCATACCCCATGTATTTTATATTTTGATTTCTTTTGTACGCAGTTTTTTTTTGTGCGGACAGTGTCGGTGAACGGTTAACCGATGGATGACCCGCCCCTGGATCGGGATTGAGGATTTCTAGTGCATTTTTGCCACGTGAATTATGAATAATAACATTTGGTGATATTAATCTGCGTATCAAGGGGTGGAAATTTCTAATTGCTCGGTTCTGTCGGATGTTGAAACAAACAAACGAACGACCTATCATTCTTCAGCTTGACTGGAACATGATTACATGCATGGGTATGAACCGAGAAGTCCGTCAGTATTCCTGATTTGCAGAAGCTGGTCGGCTATTAAGGCATTCAACGGCTATGTTTGCCTTTTCCCCCTGCTTCCTCTTTCTTTCTTTTTTCCCGCAGAACAAGTTAATTACTGACCAGCCCGCATTCTTCCGGGCACCTTCTGAAAATAAACTATGAACTATTCTTCGGCGACCATATCACCTCATCCTAAACTGTACTGCCCCTGGAGATCATTGCACGGGCCTTCCCTAGCCAAAAGTAAAACTTTAGGCGTTAGCAGGATGTTAACGGTCTAAGTGCGGTGTGCGATAGAGATTGGATACCTCCATGTTGGACTGTGTGTCAATTCAAAATTCAACATTAATATCACTATGAACCATGCTTCGTAATCATGATTTAGTGTGGGGTGACGAGTCTGTCGTCAAATCGTCGCGAGATAACGTATGCCCAAGTCAAGACTAGTTTGACTATATGCAATGCACGACCGATGCGGGCATGATCGATAGTCTGTCACCCATGCGTTGATTGTGATCGGATGGTTTGTGTACGGGGTACACCCGTGCGTTCGCACCGAATAGGATATGTAAGTTGATGTTGATGCCATGGACCGACGATCAGGATAACGCTGAATGCAGATAAGCGGCGCACTGGGAGTTCTGGCAAATGACGGTCATCTCCATCACACCACTCCTATAGTCTCCTATAAGAGTGCAAACCCAATCACATCACATCACATCACCTGTTCGATACCGATCATTTCCTCTCTCAGGCTTTACTCCCGTCTCTTCGGCTTCTGCCTTACTCCTCAAGACCCGACTGCACCTGTGTTCCAATCCACTCCTCCATCAATGCCGTGGATGCCGGTGCTGATTTCGTCCTACCCCCTGTCTTGCGAGTCACCAGTAAACACAATGTCCAGCCCCAAATACTGAACCCTTCGTAGCTTGTCGTAAGCTGCAGCTTCTTATCACCCGGTTCATCCTCCTCCAAATCCCTGTCCTTCGCACCCTCGCTCGTCCTACTTTCCGAACCCGTCTCAGGGATATCATCTATCGAGATATCGGCCTCCTCGTCACTCTCCACCAGAATCACTTCCTCAGCCGTAGTTGCTGTCCCGGTGAGTTTATTGGAATTGCTCCTAATCGCGCCCCGTTTCCCGAATTCCTTCTGCTTCGTAAGCAGCGAATGCCTCGTCCCGGACTCCCGCAAAAACATCACAACTTCGAAATCATCTACAAGCCAACCTCATCAGCATATCTCTCCACATATACGCAAGCCCATATCAATTGATAACTATACCTTCTACGAGAACATCTTTCACTGGATTACTTTTCTTCTTCGCCAGTGCCCTCTCGTTCTCCTCGCGTAATTTAGGAAGAACCAATGGCTTGATCGTTGCGAATATGCGGGGTAGGACTTGGTGGTTGGAGAAGAGAAGCCACCGCGCGTCAGATGGGTTCTCGAGGTAGATCCGGCATTCGAGGACGGAGTATTTGCTGATGCGAAGATATCTGCGGATTGGGGCCATGATAAAGTCTGTAGGGTTTTATAGAAGTGTTTTGATAGATGTAGGGAAAATGCAGCTAGGGCAAGTTATGACGTAACACGTGATATGTCACGTGAACACGTGAATCACGACGCGTATAAATTTATTTTTTGATAATCGATCAAACTACTTGAAATAACTAGCATATAGCATAATATTCTAGAATATCGTAAATAATGTATCATACAGACATCTTCATCGCAATGGACTTATGAGGATCATATCCCTTGATCACAAAATCCTCCGCCTTCCAATCATCAATGCTGCCGCCCTTCTCGCGAGTAATCTCTAATCCTGGAAACTCCCTCGGCTCACGCTCAAGTTGCGTTTTGAGCGCATCGACATGGTCAAGGTAGACATGTGCATCCCCCATAACATGGGTCAGACTGCCGGGTACCAGATCGCAAACGTGTGCGAGCATGTGGGTCAACAAGGCATAACTTGCAATGTTGAACGGGACACCAAGCCCCATGTCACAAGATCGCTGGTACAGCTGACAGTGAAGATGGCCCTTGGGTTTCTCAGCAGTACTATCTCCATTTTGTGACGTTGCTTGTGATGGAGTCTTCTGCTTTTGTCTTGGGTACGAAACATAAAACTGTGCAAACATATGACACGGCGGAAGAACCATCTTCGACATATCCTTCGGGTTCCACGCACTCAGGATCAATCTTCGATCAAACGGGTTCGTGCGGAGCTTATGTATGATACTCGCTAATTGGTCAACGCCTTGTCCCGTATAATCGGTCTGCGCATCCACATATTCAGCACCGAAATGCCGCCATTGAAAGCCATAAACGGGGCCAAGGTCGCCCTCTGCACGATCAGTTAGGCCCAAATTATCCAGGAATTCGCGGGACCCATTGCCGTCCCAAATTTTAACACCAATGTCGCTGAGGGTGCGAGACGAGGTGTCGCCTTTGATAAACCAGAGTAGTTCGGCGATGATGGCGCGCGAGAAGACTCTTTTCGTCGTAAGCAATGGCAAGATGGGACTGCCATGTGCGTTGAGAGAAAATTTTAGAGGACGTGGAGCAAATATAGAGTATGTTCCAGTTCCGGTGCTAAGGGTATACCGCGTTAATTGTCTATATCCCTTCTTTGCCTGGCGCGTCGACACGCGTCAGGGTTCTTGACTTACCGGTCTGGTCGATGTTCGCCATGGTCAAGGATTTCGCGCACCAGCTCCAGATATTGGTGCTCTTCATGATTCGATGCTACTGTGGTACTCGGAACTGTAGACATTTTTGCGATGCGTGAGTTAGAAATGCAGGAGTAATCCCATTTTCAGCATTCCTTAATAATTTAGTTCGCGTCCCTGGCAGAATGGCGGGGTTCACTAATACGGAAGGCGGTATGCAGCTCAGTCTAATTGTTTTGAGTAATAACACGTGACCTAGAAACTTTTTCAAGTTTGTTACGGGAAAAGCACTTGCACAAAAACAACCCTTTGTATAGGACCCGAGTTCCTGCCTGAGGCAATGAAAAATATACTACAATAACATCCGCATCCACGATTTATTATTGTCGCATCTTGACTCACGCTACCTACGAGTGATGTCGCAATATTATAATATTTAGAAAATTATTCCTTTCCCTAGGCTTGAGATTATTCATTGATCAATATTAAAGGAGAGCACGTAGTACGCTCCCCGTTGATCTTGATTGTTGATCTCGATATAGCGGAGATTGAACACGCGTAACCAAAAGGGTTGAAGGGCCGGAACAGCTTACTTGCTATTTAGTCAATTCAAATAATAATTATCGAACTATGTGCTCTGTAACTTTGTTATGCCAATTCAGTAGATCTAGACCGTGTTGAATGAAAAAACTATTCAGCAAAACGTTTTATAAAGTCATCCAAATAATAGTTGGAATCCCCCTGAATGAATGTCAGTCAATGCGGTCCGCGAATAGTCCAAGCAAAACAATAAAAACAAAGACGCTCAGCCACGCCGCAATGTTTTTCAATTGAAGTTTAAACTAAAGGATCAAGCCAAGGAGTGCTCTTTTTCTAGGCAGCTGTCAAAGCGTGTTCCCTTTCAGGTTAGCCTAACTGCCGTGGATGTAAGTCTTCGTGCTGCGCTGAAGTTCGTCTGAATCAATTTGATGTTTCACTTTTAGCTGATTCACTATGCCGCCACAGTCATCTTCATTGGCTTAGAGTAAGACATGCCGTTGACGAACCACTGTGTAGATTAGCTGCTAAGCCCCTTTACTGGAGCAGGTACTAGTTACGTTGTTAACGATAGACAGATAGATCAAAGCACCGGTCAATTCGGAAGTCTAGACCTCATTGGACACGTAGACACTAGGTTTGATTGTACAACTGGATTATAGGTAATCGTCAAACATTGATTGAACAATTAAAGCCACTCATATATATACAAGAAAACCATAAAATTTTGACTGGAAAAGTAGACAACCTATGAAGTCCTGATCGACGAGTCGTGCGGACCGCATAATGTCAGGTACATATGTATACTAGCTACCAAATGAGGTATGTTAAAGAAAAAGCTCAAGCAAAACCACACTAAACGTGCCAAACTATCTGGGACAAGGGCATTTAACCACTGTAGCCGAGAGTGGCGTTGAGAGCAAGACGGCCAGCAGGAATATTGCCGCCGATCCCACCGACAGCCTTTTCGTCACTAGTGTAGGCATTGGTAACGGTGCCCAAGTTGGTTGTGATGGATGAGATAACGCCGTTGCCCTCGATGAGCAAGCCAGGAAAGTTGGTTTGGCTAGCAAGTTGGGCCTGGATTGCAGAAACGTCAAAGCCGGACCAGCCATCGTGATCGGCGTTAGCGAAGTCAAATTCGCCCCAGAAACCGAGGACGCTGCCGTAGCTGTTGCGAGGGATGTCTTCGCTGGCTGGAAGACCGACGAAGCCACCCTGGCTATCGCTGTCAATAGCGACATACTGAATGCTGCCGGCAGGAACGGTGAAATCCACAGGGAACGACTTAGCATACCAGCCAGTAAGCTGATCCTCTTGGTCGCACTTGTTCCAGAAAATAACATGGTAGTCCTCAGTAAGGGCACTGCCGTCGAGAGAAACGGTGTAGTCGTATTTGCTGAGGTCGGACTCCTCAATGCGAATAATGTTAGAGCCATAGGGGATGCCTTGGTTACCGCAGTAGGTGTCTCCAGAACCAGTTGGCTGGGTCTGTCCACCGAACCCAGTGGGGAAGGCACTGCCGGTGGAGGTAGGAGAAGTAGTAGCAGTGGTGGTAGTAGGGACAGCAGTGCTGCTGCTGGCAGCAACAGCATCGTTTTGCACAGCAGCGTTCTGGACACCACCGGCAGCGGGAGCCTCAGGGGCAGCGGTTGGGCCAGCGTAGGTGTTGCGCCAAGTCTCGACCTTGCCATCAATGACAGCAGTAACGATGTCACCAACAGCTCGGGCAGGGTGCTGGTGGCGGCGCTCGTGGATGTGAGAGCGAGCCATGGCACTGCCGGCAGTGAGAGCCGTCAAGAGAAGGGCGGTGTTCTTGAACTGCATTTTGGTGGATTGTGTAGTCAATTAAGTAGTGGTTTGAGGTAGAAAAGGCCTGAAGGGAAGAACTGATTTAAAGAGCGTCACAGTGGTTGTCAAGGAGTGGAAGTGAGCAATTAGCTCCAAGTGAATGTAGGGATCCCTGGAAGGGTTGAATTGAACTGGCAAACAGGCGCTATTCACGGAGGGAGAGGCGAGGAAGAAAAGTCGGGAGGAAAAGCAGTGGGCAGGAATAATAAGGAGATCAGGAAGGGGGCGGCCGGCCATGGCAGCTGGGCCCAGCGTGGACTTCATATTCCCCCAAGGTCAGGAACAGCGCTTTAATTGGCCGCCTTCTGTTTACTAGCCTTGAGTGGGTCGGCGGGGCGGCCGCAGTCTCGACTATGTTCCTGCTTAAGGCGGGCTGCGGTTGTACAGCTAGTCCTGATCAGGGCTGAGTAAAAGACTAAGGCTAGGTTAGTCCTTATTCGTGCTGACGAACCTTGGGTTAGTGTTATTTAGTACGACATATCCCCGACAATAATATAATTAATTAATAACTATATTATTGTGCGATTGGCCCGCCGTACCATCGGACTCCAGCCTTGCCCCAATCGGGCCAATCCTCCACGACGTGACTGGCCCGTCCCAAAACTCCTCAATTTCTGGGCCGTCGCTGACCGTGCCAGTGCAATCTTCGTCACCCACCATGTCATCAGCGCCCCTGTTGTTACGTAGGCTCCGTACGGAACACTCGATTTGCTCTATACATAGTACGAAGCGTGTACACATCATGCAATGTTTCATCAGCGTCGAATCGTTTCCTCTGCTGCCAGAAATTTGAAGCTGCCAGTGGTATGTACCTACCCGGTGCAGAAAGGCGAATACCGTCCGATGCAAATGCAATAACAGCACAATGCAACGTGGCGACACCAGCGCCATCCCGTGTGATTGTGATCTCATCGGCACTTGCCATGTCCAACGCACCAGAATAAAATGAAATAAACAATGCTGATCTCGCTCGCGATAAATTTCCATTCCATATGCCAATAAGTGATAACAAGACCATACCTAGGGGCCGCGGCCGATTGCCTCACTAAGAGCGCATCGACTATCAATTCCATGCTATTCGCCACATCAGAATCATTAGCCACATTGTTTGACGCTTGACACTTGTCATGCCATCATGCTTGCTTGTTCTTGTTATTATCATGGCGACATCGGAAATGAAGACGAAGAAGAGTTTTCTTGTCTTGCCACTGCATTGACAATACTAGAAAACTCCGCTTTCAGGCCGCCAACGACGTGTCCACTACTGTTGTGTGATGCGATACCCTAACCTGCCATGGAATGATAACGCTGATCACTGCACCGGAGAACTCTTAGGTATCCATCATTTTTACTGTGACACTTTGTATGGACACATGGTTCATGGAAAACCAAGGCAGGCTCCAGATTCGAGCGAACAGCATATGCTTCGGATACGAACTTGGCCTCCACATAGCTGTTTCAAACTACGTGAAATGAAATCTTACTGTCGTAACACGTAGTTCCTTGTTGGTCATACATGCCAGCTTTTGGTTGTGTTTGTGAACCATCATATGAAAATCTCGAATACATGTAGTTGATGGTGATCAAATTATTGTGAGATCATATATGATATCGGATCTACTACGAGCCTAGTACGAGGGCATTAATGGTCAGATCGCTTGACTAGGAGAATATAATTTTATAGTAGTGGATACAGTTTTATCCACCGACCAGGTCTGGACTGGATCGATCACTTGCGAATTGTTACCGACTTTTCATCCATCATGCCAGAATCCCCACCGGGCCACTCTTTGATCCCCACGACGCTGTGGAGCAAGGAAGTTTTCGGAATTTGAATTTTAATACGAATATTAATCATGGAAAATGCTGTGTCCACCTCCGTGTTCTAGCCAGTCTAGTCAGGATTTTGTTGAAGATCAATCAGCCTATCAAGGATTATCGAATTTTCCTCCGTGCACGCCAGCCCAACCCGATTGAGTAATCCGACGCCGCCGGCTGTACACTCCGAAGTGGCCATGCGTTGATTAAGAATTTCTCATTCTTATTTTGTTAGGGGCAAAATCATGAATATAGAATCGATAACTCTCAGCACTAGGGGGTCATCCATGTCAAATTAAAGTAGATAATTGTTTACGCCTAACAAAGCGTAAACAGAATACCAAATCCGGCGTTTTCGTTGCTTCGTGTGGGACGTCCCGAGCCGATTGACAGACAGACCACTTTATCATGTGACTTAATAACCCTAACCTATGCCCTTAGCCCTAATAAGATCTACGTCCGTGCTCATCAACTCATCCGATAACCTTCAATATGTCGAGCTGTGTATCAACCAAATGGTTTTTTGGATGCCTTCAAGGTATAAATATTCTATTATTTTATCCCCTGTTTCTCGTCGTCTCTTGTCTGATTGTGAAAATCCCCTGCCATGAAAGTGTCGATAATAGTTGAGCTGGGCGACAATCAGAGAAACTAAGGGGGAAAATATAGGAAGCTAGACATAACTTATAAATCTTTTATACGATGCAAAAGAATATTCTAGCTTATTCGTAACGTTGTACGGGTGCATTTGACTTTCACGGCGATCCTATTTCTTGGATCTTTAATCGTGTCCGGAACAGGTTAGCCCGCGATCTCCGCGCCACTCGCCGGAGGCGACGTGCTCGATTAAAGATGGAACTCGACTTGCATCTATCATTCAACCAAAGAATGCGCATAACTTCGCCATAAAGAAGCACCATTTATTACTGAAATTCTGTACTGACATACTCTGAAATACCTATTCTATGGCACGATCCGCCATCGTGCAGGAGTACGACTCTCAACAGCCCACCCGCTCCGTCACCTTCAGCCTCGATCAAAAGACCACGCACGAGCGACAGAACAATGGCATCACACGGCCGCAAGGATACAAAGTGTCGTGGCACGCCAACCCAGCTGTCGAAGCGCATCACTTCGGTCAGTCCCATCCTATGAAACCATGGCGCTTAACCCTCACAAAACAACTTGTCCTTGCATACGGAATGCACCATGCGATGGACCTGTATCTCTCGCGCGCAGCGACATTTGAAGAAATGGCGGATTTCCATAAGGAGGACTATTTGGACTTTTTACGACAGGTTATTCCCGCTGATATGGAAGCTGCCGAACAATCGGATCGCATCGCAAGTTACAACTTTGGGGACGACTGTCCAATTTTTGATGGGCTGTATAATTACTGTTCGTTGTATGCAGGGGGTACCGTGGACGCAGCACGCAAATTGGTGAACAATCAATCTGATATTGCTATCAATTGGTCTGGGGGTCTTCATCACGCAAAGAAGTCGGAAGCCAGCGGATTCTGCTATGTTAACGATATCGTCTTGGGAATTCTTCAACTGCTTCGACACCATCCGCGAGTTATGTATATCGACATTGATGTACATCACGGTGATGGAGTCGAGCAAGCGTTCTGGTCTTCTGACCGTGTCCTCACAGTCTCATTTCATAAATACGACAAGGATAATTTCTTCCCAGGCACAGGCGCCCTCGATAGCACCGGCCCTTCGCACCCACTCAACCCTGGCGCTCACCATTCCATCAATGTACCCCTCCACGACGGGATCGAAGACGACGACTATCTTCAACTTTTCAAGGACGTTATAGGCGCCTGCGTCGAAACCTACCAACCGGGCGCAATCGTACTACAATGCGGTGCTGACAGTCTCGGCTGCGATCGCCTGGGCTGTTTCAATCTCAATGTAACCGGTCATGGCGCTTGCGTCTCCTACACTAAGACATTCGGTATTCCACTTCTCGTTGTCGGCGGCGGTGGCTACACACCACGTAACGTATCCCGCGCCTGGGCCCATGAGACATCTATCTTGATCGATGCCGTCGACAAAATCGACCCTAATATCCCCGACACAGTCGCCTTCCGCAACCACTTCGGCCCCGATTACAGCCTTTTCCCCAAACTCTCAGAAATGCGCAAGATTGAAAACAAAAATTCAAAGCCGTATCTTGCAAATGTCGTCTCGGCCATCCGTGAACAGTTGAGGTATATGCAGGGAGCGCCGAGTGTGCAGATGAGCTATATCCCGCCAGATATTTTGGGGATGAGAGAGGATATGGAGAAGGAGATTGAGGATGAACAAGATATGATGGAAGAAGAACAAGATGATCGTGATGGTGCGGGTGTTTCTACATCGCGAGGCGGTACTGGGAGACGACGGGAGCTGGAACGCGGACTTGGTTCACGAGGTGAATTATCTGTGTGATTTATGTTTCTGTCTATTGGATATATCTGCTGCAGTACAACAGTCGGCGTCCTTGGTGAACATTTGTTGGTAAATTTGGATTATGGGGTTGGCGTTTTCCTCCGTATGTTGATTGTCAATTGACTGATACTCTCTGTACCACACTGTACATATTCAGAGAATAGCGTTGACTGTAAATACGACTTACAGAAATTGTTTACAGAATGAGATTGTATTCTCATATTTTCACATTCACTCCAGTTCTATTCTAGTGTATGAAAAATCAAACGTTCTCGTATTTGTTCAGAAAAAATATTCAGAACCACCTCCGATGAATTGTATAGATATTCCTAGAAAGAAGCAAAGAGAGTGAAAAAAAAGGATTATTAGTTAACCCAAAAGTAACACTCAAGTTAAATAACGTTGGCTATTTTTATTGTAGTCCCGCTTCCTCTCACCATTATATAATGACGATTTATCAACATGAATGAGATCTTTTGAGACGGGTATCTTGTAATTGTTAGTAAGCTGATAAACGCAAAGCACCGGCACTGATCAATAAAGATATGATCATTTCTCCTCTGCATCCACAAAGACATCTATATCCGACGTCTTCGAGTCTACTCTTTTTACTGGTTGCGGATTATTTGCAGTACCCGAGGGTTGTAAGGGTGCCATTAGGCCGGCCGCGCCATTACCACTGAGTAAATCCTGAGAAGCGGAGGCCTGTTGTTGTTGTGTTGGGTTAGCACCATCATCGTCAAAGTCGATTAGGTCATTGCCACCACTGCTGGGTGGCGGCTTGTTGGCGGCTTGCGATTTAGTGGCTAATATGCTCGACGATGATGCCGTTTGGCCGGGAAGGATGGGTGCAATGGCGAGTATTTGCTTGTTTGCTTTCTCGATATCCTGTGGGTCGCTATTATCCATAGTCATTAGCTAAGAACCAGACAGCGAGAAGAGGTCACTCACATCTCTGCATTGATGATCCAGTCAATATCTTCTTCTCCCTCCTCAGAGCCGCCGGGTCCGCCCTGAACAGCTCGGAAAAGTCGAGGGTGCCACTCCACACCATCTTCAGTGCGTTTTGCGGCTTCTTCACGTTGCCGATCTTCAATCTTGGTTTTCTCTGTGGTTGCTGCTTCATGGTCTCTGGCAAACAAGCCCTGAACAGTGCTATTCCAGAGCCTCTGAGACTCTCGATCACCCTGTTCGTCAAGCGGCCGTGTGCGAGGTGAAGTATGTTTTGCATGGGTAGCATCAAACAAAACTTCCTTCTTTCCAGTCTAGCCATAGGCTTTGTCAGATCATATCAGACCAGATAGAAAGATAAGCAAGACTTACAGTGTGATTTTTCAGAAACATTTCACCGTTCCAGAGACCGGAAATATCATAGTATACCTCGCCTGTCTGCTCATTTTTAATTGTTCCACCAATAGCATTGTATGTACCAGAAAAATATCCTTTTGTCTTGAACTCTAGATCTGCAACGAGGTGGTTTTCGGGACATCTAACGTAGCTGTGGTCGCCAAGTTCGTATTTCATTTTCCCGAATAAAATACCGCGAGCATACATATTGGGTTGGGTCAATATACTAATGACTAGTTAGGTCTGCGAGTCCTTTACGGGAGAAATCCACTTACTATCGTTCGCCTTTGGCCGGGTTCTTGCCGCGGTTCAAAAATCGTAAAATTGCTGTGCCTTCCATAAGACTTGCAGCAGAGTTACCCAAAAATTTACTTCGCGGCTTGAGCGTGCCATCTATTCTAATATGATGTTCGGGGGCCATGAAAAAGTAGCTAGATTTTGGCGGATGATGGGAAGTCTGTTCAGAAATATAATAGCCTCGAGTGCCATCTTGATAGTCCCAGTAGCAAGTGAACGTCTCTCCAAGGATGGGATTCAGTGGTTTCTTGACACCCCTATTAATATTTCACTGATTAGTGGTTGAATACGGCAGTTTTCATGGGACAGAGATGCTCACGGGGGCTTGATGTGCCAGCCACTCAGATAGAATTTGATCACGGAAACGAACCTCTCTAGCGGATCGTCAATATCGGGCATTGGTAGAAGCGTCTCTGGATGTGCCATAAAGCTATATTTTTGTTATTCACCGTCAATACCAATATTCCCGGTCGACGTACTTCGTTATTCTTTCCAGCATTGATCGGGGTTCGAGGATGAACGTAGGGAGCGTCACTCTGCTCAAGTCGGCTCCGGGACGTAGCTGAGATATAATGTGAGACAGGACTATTATCAACGAATATTTTATTAGCCGCAACCAATAATCAAAGCAATAGTATTTAGATGGCCTACCATTGCCCTGATCCGGCTCCACTATAGTCTCATCTTCCGGGCCGGAATTTTGCTCGTCACCGGATGACCTGTTGCCTGATCCAAGGGGTATTAACTTTTGACTAGAAATTCCAGTACTAACAGCGCTGAGAAAATCGATGATCTTCTCGTTCACAAGAGAGACGCTTACTCAAAGAAGTGCGGCGGTTTGAGTGGACGTGGGGGAGCGGCATGTTGTATAGCTGAGAGTATTATCGTCGTTGCTGTGATATTCTATACATACGGCGGAAACCAGTTCACGAGCAAGTACTGGCGGCCTCTCGTCGGTATATCACTATGATTGCGAACCCCGTCGAAACGATGGTTGATGTTGATGCCGTGACGGGTCTCGGCGGTAGTCAACCAAATCACTGCGGGGAAGCTGCCCAAAACACGAGGTGCGACAGGAGTAATTATTATCGCTGATGAATACTTTCAAGTCGGGCCGATTGGTGAGTAGAATTTCGAGGCGCAGAAGCGAGAATAAGAGAAAGCAGCAACGGGTGGCAGAGTGTAAATTAACTTGGTAGGTGAGGAGGGACACGATAGTCAACAGAATTGCTTTTTTTCGATTAGCTGCTCCACGCACGGCCGGTGACGTTGGGGGGAACAGAGAGGGGCATTCCATCGCTCCAGCCTCCCAGTCCCGGTTTCTCTCTGAATCTGAGTCACCCCCCATTATATGCCTATGACGACTTTCGCATCAATAAGCAGACGTTTTTGAATTTCCATCATTCTCTCCCTCCATCCAGCCTGCATGGATACCCGACTCGTCTCGTCGACTCTACTACATATACTAATTAAACTTAATAAATTTAATAATACTGTCGCTTCCCCACTCAGCCCCTCGTTTAGATTCGTCAATCGTCTGTTCGATCGATCTAGGAAACACAGTACTGATAATCTAACGGATAATTCAAGTCGGCATGTATGAAATTTCATCACGTGATCTGTTCTGGGAATTTTGCGGCGCGAACATCTAAATTCTAGTTGAGTCTATTTATGATCTATTCTATATCCGAATTAAACAGATATGCATTCCATAGCAGCATATCCTCGAACGTAAAAGGGTTATGGTTCTCTCTGGGAAATTGTTTCGACAAGCGGAACGTCTCCGTGGGTGGTGTCTTTGATGAACTCCAAGTCTGGCTGGTACAACATGACGTGGAAATGCTCAATTGCATGAATAGACTTGAGAGACTTCCAGTTCTTGAACCAGATCACCTGCATTGCCTTAGACCATGCACTGGGAAGAAATACTCTGGGGAAAGACTTACTCGGTCAGCGGGAAGATGAGAGCGAAAAGTCTTTTGCACGTAACTATCGATCTTGTTCCACATTGGCTCTGTCAGATTTCCAGTAGCAGGGTCTTCATCCAATTCAAACTTGGTCCAGATCACCAGATGCACAATATCCGGGTCAAGCCCATAGGGCCAATCATTATACAAAACTTTCAGATCGGCTATTGCCACAATCAGCACGATCTACCCTTCTACCAAGGAGAGTGTGGGAACAAATGTGAAAAAAGAGACGTACCCTCATGTTCAAAAGCTTGCCCCCGTGGTTTCAAGTCCTCTGTAGTCTCTTGGTCCCAATGCAGCCTTTCGGCAAGAACAAACTTCATAACAGAGCCATATTTTTGCTTGATGTAGTACATATATTCCAAGTACTTCCTCAGGTCCGACGGAACACGTTGAAACTTTCCAATATTATTTGTTCCTACTCGTTAAAAGTCAGTCTTGAATCAATTTCCACTCTCGATAATACAAAATAGCCCGAGAAGCAGGTAAATAATACTTAACTGACTAGTTCCTTGGCCTCAGACCAGCTGGTCCGAGTAAATTCCGAATCCGAGGTGGACAGTATAGCTATGTTTTTGTCTGCCAGATCCTTCAGAAACTCTGGGCATGAAGCTGGCCATCGATCTCGTGGCACATTGACCAGCCAATACGGCAAGGGTTGCTGGGCGGCGATGTGGACTTGAGCAGCTTGATGGGCATTGCCATCACCCACACTGGAGTCCAGGTCGGTCAACTTCTCGTCAATGTTTGTGAAGGTCTCTGTAGACATTCTCGGTTGTGAATAGCATCAACTTGGTCGCATTGGTTGTAGAAAAAGGTTCTCTGAGTCAGGGCCCGCAAGGTACAGAGAATGTGACAGCCTGAATTTGGGGGCAGCCACGCTAACCGCCAGATCCGGTCAAGCGCAGCCATTGGCCAGTATTCGCTTAACAATAATGCATGCTTAGTTCTCCGATAGCTCATAGGTGTAATTTGCACTGACTATATATATTACATCACTGATGTATAAAAAATGGTAAATATGGGGGTAAAAACAGTGTACAGCATTTGAACATTAAATCCTTTATGCATATACAGGACTAAATAATATCAAAATGAGGTAATGGCAAATTCCAATATTTAGAAGAGCTTGTGCTCATACACATGTATATATGACCACGTTTTGTAAATTATTCGTTGAAAGTGTATGTTCGACCTCTCAATGTATCTCCGCTCCCAGCAGCGGTACCATCATGATTCCCGTATAGCTTCAATTTCAGCTGACGTGGGCCTGTAAATATGTCCTTTTCGGCCAGTTGCCCGCGATAAAGAAACAGTAAAGGCATCGGATCGTTTTTCCACTTCGGCGCGTGTGCTTGTTGGGTCTTCAATATAGTGCCAACTAGCATGGCAGCTCCGAGAACCCAGACCACAATTGAAAGAGAGACCCATTCCCAATGCACAGTGACATAGGTTACAGCCGACATGGCCTTTCCAGACGCCATGCTTGCATTCCTGGAATTTGAACCTGCTGAAACATATGCCGAATCCCGGAGAGTCTTAGAAATTGCGGTGGCAACATTGCTCATGCTGCAGTTCAGTTTCTCTGCGGTCTCGTAACTGTTGCACCCTGTGATATTTCCCATCGTGAGGGTTTGAATGACGTCTGAAGCGGCATACATTTGAAGTCCACCTGTTTGAAACATGAGCCTTTCCCAGTCACCTATCACCCTTCCGTTGAAGAGGTTTACTAGAAAGTCGTTAATGGCCGCCATGGCTGTTTCTTCAATAACAAATGTCTGGTTTGGCTGAACACCCATTTCAGGGCCCCATGGTGGCTGGAGAGTGTATCCACCTTTCCAATCGTACGGCCCTTTGTTTGACCAAGTTGAAATTGTCGTCTCCTTATATTTCCCATTTTGAACAGAGGCATTGAAACTGCGAACTATCGGATAGAGAGTGCATTCGGTTGCCACCCATGTAGTAGATTCGTTGAAAATGGGTATCCCGAATGAGTACCCAGCTAAGCTTGTCATCCCAGTTGGTGCGATGTATTGAATCGCTAAAGTATTCGTATACACCAATGGTTTAAGAGGGGATGAAACAACGACGGGCGAACTGAAGCCAAAATTATAAAGGAACCACGCCATTGTGCTATTGTCTGACAGACTAAGCGTGATGTTTTCCATCCCTTTAAGCCCGTTAGTATTTGATTCTACGGTTGTGGTGGAGATATTGAGTTTGTCGGTCACATCTGCACATGAGGCCTGATATTCTAATGATGCGATAGGGCCCCAGGTGCAGTTACTCGAGCTGCAGATATACTGAGCAATGGACCACGGTTTCTGCTGGTCAAGGTTGAAAATCGAATTATATACATTTGCTTTTAGAACAGGGTCCACATAGAGAACTAAAGAATATCTGTTAGCATAATCACTGTTATCTTGCTCTCTTTAACTTACTGTCATTGTTCATTAATGGACCTATTGTATTATACAGAGAACTGTTCGCGGCTAACGCTGTCTGTGACGAATCCACTACCATTTTTTGATAGTAATTGACCAGATTTTGAGCAAATGGATCTAATCCAAGTCCAAGGATCACAGCAATGCTACCAAGAACAGCAAAATGCCTGGCATAGGAAAATGCATATCAGCTTGAATTTCTAGTCCTTTTTCAGTTAGAATAACTTACCGACCCTTTAATTCCCAAATCAACTGTGCGCTCCCCCAGAATCCTCGACTTGCCTCATCAAAGCTTCGGAGATGCGGTACAGGCCGCGTCTTCTGGGCAAACCAAACCCACTTTAACTGGCCCAGCGTCTCATTGATTGCAAATAAAATACACCCCTTTGATAGGGTACTCAGCCAGGAGATAAGTGAGTTCAATGACATGTACTTCCATGATGGTTGGGGCTTGTCGTTGAAGGCGCTGAGAATGACAAGCATTGCAACTAAGGTGCCAGCAGACACAATCACTCCAAGAACTTCCCAAATATACCATTCCGACAGCAATATCCAGGTGGTATTTTCATGAACGGCGCTTCGTCTTGTTGTCTTGTCATTATTTGTGGTTGAATTTGAATTGGAATCACCCGAATTGGCAATGGGATGCGTATGTGTAGAGACTTTTTTCTCCTTTGTGTAACGAGGGAGATTCATCTGAATGTATATAGTTACTGTCAAGGATTAACTCCAACGTAATATCTTGCAGCCCAGATGTGTTCTTGGCTCTTGTCGAGAGAGGGACTTTTTCCGCAGATAGGACGAATATATAGATTAGATATCGAGAAGAAACAGCCGGTCTGCTTCTCAGCCGGGTTGTCCCTTTTATTATTTGGTCGAGAGTAATCAGTCTAAGTGGACTATTTTTACGTGACAAGTCTAGCTCTACATGTTGACTTAGTCGGCGGCTAAAAAAACGACGGCGGCTACATGGGATCGTATGAAGAGCAGCTTAAATCACACCTCTTCGGCGTTGATCTCTTTATAAGGCCCGTAAAAATGGATCTAACAGTCGACTACTTTTTGCGAAGAGGCTCGCTTCTGCACGTTGACGGAGGCGGCAGCTGCATGTTGACTAATTCAGTGGGGTAAAACCACATATTGAAGCGCAGATCATACTTCTTCGGGCATCACGGCTGAATTATCCCTGCGCGAAGTGTTTTAATCATCGATAAGAGAGTGGGATTATATGCAAGGGGCCATAATTTCTGCATGCAAAAAGCACACTGCAGAGGCCAGTCACCACTTAAGCGCCGCAGCGCCGCATCGGCCTAGGGGTAGCCAATCGTAACCAGTGAGGTTCTATTCGAACTAAACAAGCTTGAGATGATCATGGAAATAAATTTTCGGGGGCGCTAAGTAGACCAAAATGGCGCAAGCTGTGTGTATATAGAGGCTTTCTCGGCCTAACTTTCAAGATGATGTTACAGTAGAGTAGGTTCCGATGCTTGCATTTCGGCGAGGGCAATTTCAATGTTCAGCAACATGGTGGTGACTATGTAAGCATTTTGACTTAACTACGTTAGAAGCTAGGCATGACTAATAATGTAGAAATACAGCATGAGTATCAATATGAACAAATCGGTTAGTTGACCAGGGCGAAAACGAGGAAGAAGAGCTCTCATCTAAACCATTAAATCGATACAAAGCGTTTGTCTTCACGTGATCCTCAGGATCTGTCGTACTTTTACCACTATACCAAAAGGGCGCAACCCTTACTCAGTACGGATTTCTGGTGGTATTATAGTCGCATATTTTCTCTGACAGAATCTCTTGCCTTCGACATCCCTTAGGCCTCGAAATCTTGAAGCCTATATTTCACGTGATAATGGAAAAATATATTCCACATTCCGCTTTACAGCAGGATCAATTGATATATAAGGCATCAATCAAAGTATAGACTTCGTAGACACTAACTATAAGTTATCGATTACACGTAACCTCACCTTGGCGGCGGGTTTCTAGGACGAAGCTGATAGCCAAAAAGACACTATGCAGACTAATTGATTCAGCCAGGTTCTTCCTGTTTCATCTAGACAATTTAAATTCTCCGAATTGGTTATCCTATTATTATTTATCAATAATAATAACAAATATATGCTAACTGCTTGTTTGTCGCCTGCAGATTGTGAAACAGTTTGCCGCTTTCTGTGCCAGTGGCGGGTGGCCCGCAATGCTTGATTGGCTAATATCATCGTCCTACCAATCCATCAGTAGTACTATTCTTGTCACTAGTATTACAAAAATAATCTCTCATCCAGTCACAATTTTCAGGTTATGACTATGTCCGATCACTTGCAACCAGATTCGTGTACTCATGGAGACGGGGCTAGACTTGACCTTCCGGCGCCTATGGCGTGACTATCTATCATTGGCATGCCTAGCAATGACTACCACACCACATCTAGTTTAATTGAACTGCCGCTTCCCTGAGACGCACTATCCAGAGACCAACCCTTGATAGGATGATTTGCAAGAGCTCGTTCTGGTCAAGCATTCCCTTGACGAGGAGCCAGTATTGATTGTGTGTCGAGACCCAATCAACTAAACCTTTAGCTTTATATGCGATCAGTAGCGGTTTCGTGCCCTACAAGATATTGGCAAAGTCCTGTCATATATGGCATACATGAATCTGGAATAGTTTCAGGTCAACGGCCTGATAATATAATTGTCTTTGTCATTCTCAATGAATCCAGGGTATTGTTGCGCCCTATTGTTCGGGGCGGGTTGGTGTCATTCAGGATATGACCCTCATTGTTGAAGATTATGTGTATTTTGATTGACTCAGGGCACAATAGTGACCCTTTGAATCAAACAGCAGTAATGCAGATCTACAACTTTGTCCTTCTCCACCTCTCTAAATATGGCTTGTCTTATCCATGTGTCTACCCCGAAGTGCTTAATCTCTCCTTCTTAATATTATTAACGCCATCTCCCCAAACAGAACGCCAAAAAAAGACACTGTGCTGGCACAGTCTCTCCTTGGCATTATTTAACAACTTACTGAACAAGATTGATGCTGGACATCATGATGCACGACGCTACGACTATGTTCTTGACAGCAGCCATGTTTTTTGCTTCGCTGATTGATGCTCATAGCTGGGTTGAGCAGTTAACTGTGGTTTCTCCCAACGGAACTTTTGTAGGACCTAAGGGTTATCCTCGTGGGAATGTCTTGAGAACGGCGGCCGGATGGAACGATAAAATGATGCAGTGGCAACTGCCGACTCACCAAGGAAACCAGTTGCTCAATAATATGACGATGTGTCGACCGAGCCAACAATCTGCAAATTACACCGAGGATAGTCCTGCACTCCAGGCAGCTGCTGGTGCTGTCGTCGCCCTTCGTTATCAGGAGAACGGCCATGTGACCCAGCCCTGGATCAAGAGCGGCAAGCCCGAGCATAGCGGTACAGTCTATGTCTACGGCACAGAGCAACCTCGCCCAGACGATACTCTTTTATCGATTCATAATGTCTGGACCTTTGATGGTAGTGGTGGGGACAAACGAGGACGGTTGCTGTCGTCCCAACACTTCGACGACGGAGAATGCTACCAAATCAACAATGCAAGTTATATATCTGTCGATCGACAAAATGAATTTCCTCGCACACCGGGCGCGGGTTCGGTAGAAGGGGCAGACTTGTGGTGCCAAACCGATATTACGCTACCCAGTTCCCTGAAGAGCAATTCACAGTATACGCTGTATTGGGTGTGGGACTGGCCGACTTTGACCACCAGCAACACCACATATCTGCCAGAGTTGTACACGACTTGCATGGATATTGATATCACCGACGTCGCGGGTTCTGCTGACAAGCAGGTGAACGTGGGATTTTCGCAGGTCACAAATTACGGCGATGCAGCCATCCAGACCGTATTCGAGAAGCTAACGAGTGGTGGCACTGTAACAGTCCAAAGTCAACCTGCCAATACCAATACCCTCTCAGGAGTGGCTTCTGCCCAGGCTGGAGTGACTAGTGCTGCGAACGCTCCTACTCAAGGAGGACAGACGACTCCATCACTTCAGGTCAATTCCAACTGCGGTGCAGCGATGACCGTCACCGTACGCGTACCGACAACAGTCACAGCAGCCACGATTACTGTCACAAGCACAACACCTCTGCCAGCCATAACGGTTACGCAGACGGTAACAGTTACCACGATCCCCTCGACACCAGGTGTGCAGCCTACACGACGGTTCAGCAGGAAAGCTCTCGAAAAGTTGTAGGACCTGCAGCGCAAGCAGGTCTCCAGACTGAAGGAATGGGATAGGCGATAGAAATAGATGGACTTGTTGGAGAATTTTCCTTTGATCTCAGGATGGCATTGCATTAAATGGCGTTAGGGTGCATGGCCATTTCGTATTCATGAACAAATCGAAAAGCGTGATCTTGTTATCACATCGCATTCTCCACACGGATAATACTAACAGCAATAATGCCACCGTCGTAAGCAATCACCACAGTTAGCTGTAAAACGAGGGTAGAAGCTAGACCCTAGGCCAATCAGCACACGCGGCAGCTCTATCACTGCGACTCTGCTCAGTGCTGGCGCCGGCCCAGTCATATCTGAAACGCGCCAAATTGACGGGTGTCTCACGTGACGAGAGAGGCGAGTAACAATTCGGCAGCGAAGCAACAATCAACCACGGGAACAGAAAGCTCGAATCCCATTGTCTGTGGCATCGACGGGCATGCGCGAGGGAAAAGCAAAAGAGCCTTTCTGTCGTTCTGTCTTTCTGCCTTTCTGCACGAGATCGCAGCCGCGGGGCCCGATGCGGCTAGTCCTGCTTCCCAAGGCAATCTCCGCTCGTGCCCGTGGCTCCTTCCTGTCTATTATTGCTATTTGCCTCCGGTCTAACCCTTTTCATCCGTGCTCCAAGCAACCTCTAAGTTTCTTTCTTGTGCTCTTCTTGTTCCCTTCTCGGTCCTCAGCCAGCCAGCCCTCTCCTGACCTCTCTGCGTCTGGCCAGGACACGCGACATCACGTCCGTTGCTCGTCTTCAGTGCTACTACAACCCGCCCAGTTCATCAAACGAAACCCCTCTCTGACCGCTTTGCTATAATTAGAAACGCCAACCCGCTCGATCTGACCAGTCCCAGGGTCTGCAGGTGCCAGTGCTAATACCGGGCATCATTAATTATTTTTCAGCCCACCCTCTGCGACGGCGACAGAGAAGCGAGTTCCTCTGTCCAGTCCAGCCTGTACACCCCTCTCTTGACAACATCCAGCCTCGCGCATTCACAATATCCACCTGCATTTTCTTGGGCCTCGTCCGGCTAGACGCCCACTCGGCCTTCTAAAGGGTTACTGTCGTCGGCACGAGCCGTTCAATCGCTGGGACCACGGTCTTTCTGCTCGACCAGCTGGGCGTTTTTTTTTGGGTATCAATTGGGACACATCTTGACATTCCTTGTTGTTTCCAACCCCTTGTCCTCTCGCGTGGTCTGTGGTATTCTGTCGCATTCTCCACACCCCGCGCCGTTTGCCAGCTATTTTGATTGTAAATCGGTTACTCTGTCGGACTTTCTGGGACGCGCCACTGGAATACTTGCCTTTTTTCACAACTAGCTCGCTGGAGACAATATACACATATCGAAGATATGCGATTGTGGTGTGAAGACGAAGGGTCTCGGTAGTTAATAGCTTTTCTCTGTTTTTATATTTTGTCAAGTATGCTGCCCGCTTGTTACATACCAACCTTCGACATGCGATACTGATCTCTTACATCTAGGCCTATTACACACAACGATGGCAGCTTCTCCGCCAGCGCCCGACTCGGGAATTCTCTCCCCAAACACAACGGTGCCTCCGATCGTTACTGATGTCCCGGGGAAATTGTCACCGATGCGGCGCATTTCTTCGAGTGCCAAGGATCGCCTATCGGTATATTCTACTGTGTCTCAGACTTCCCAGTACCGGTCGCGGCCCGTATCCCACGTCTTTCCACTATTTCACTCCAGCTTGCCGTACGCTTTGGTCCGCGATTTTGCCTACTCACCGACACAACCTTTACATTATGGCCCGCTACCGGCATCGTCAAGAGCATCTACACCCGCTAGTGAAAGCAGGCGGCTTTCTGACCCACAAACCGGATCTTGGGATGGATCTCGAACTTCGTGGTCGACGAACAACTGGTCGTCTGACACTTATGGGGGACCACAGCTTCCTGCGGTGTCATTTGCTGATGGACCACCGTACAGTGAAGATGAAGACTTGCATAGTCCAATCGTGACATCCCGCCACCGCAAACATAAGTCAATGCACACTTATGGAGAGCGAGGACGAAGTCCTGGCGAAGGCGGCCGTGATCCTCTGTTCGCCATTGAGAGCGACAGGGGCACGCTGGTGAGCTTGAATGGGGATGGCAGCGAGACGTACTACGTAAGAGATGAGAATGCAGATGATGACGGGCCAGGAGGGGAATTTATCACATATCCTGCCAATGAAGGTCGGTATTCGGGCTATGCTTATGGCGTCAGCCATACTGCAAATTATAGACCCCCACGAGGCTCATCATATGCCGGAGGACAACATACATATGACGATGAATATTCGGATCCAGAGCAATCGAGATACTCGCGGGATTATCAATTTTCCATTGGGTCTCCAGATGAAGAAATGCACGGCAAAGCTATTGCCCTCTTTGATTTCACTCGAGAGCACGAAAATGAGCTACCTCTAAAAGAAGGCCAGGTGATATTGGTATCATACAGACACGGCCAAGGCTGGTTGGTTGCGGAGGACCCAAGAACGGGTGAAAGCGGGCTGGTACCGGAGGAATTTGTGCGACTTGTACGTGATATTGAGGGTGGCCTTAACTCTCTAAATGGAGAACTCAGCAACGGTCCTGCCGAGGGAAATGCGCAACCCAACGCCGCATCGATGGCTGAAGAGATAGATACTCCCACTGAAGAAGAACAACCTGTTTTATCCTCTGAAAGTCTATCGACGACGAATGGCAATCATTTGAACAAGCATCCTTCGACAATCTCTACCTTTTCCACTAGCAGCCGTGACTTGAGTCCATATCCGCCTCACTTGTTAGGCGATGGCCAAGGAAAAGTCTCACCACCTATTGAAAAGGCAGCTGATGGTGTCGATACTACACCATCTGAAACATGATTTGAACAGCAATTGCGTGAATCTCACCTGGTCCAAAATTTCAAATCTTAATAATAATAATGGCCACACCATCTCACAGTCAAGTTGACACAACCTTAAATCCATTCGTCGGACTTGTGAACCAGATGGATTGAGGACTTGGCGAACTCAAGCGCAGCACTACCAGTGACGGTATACTTTTAGGTTATATCTTGTGTCCTCTTTTCTAGAGCACCACTCCCAGATGACGACCGGCTTCAGTTTCGGCGCTTACAATGTTCCAACGCGAATTGATAGGAGAACTACACTCGTTTTAGATATGTGTGTGTCTGGAATTCGTCTACGAAACTGCCCGATGAATACTGGGTTTACTGGATTATGTGCGGGATTGACGATGCAGTTGGGTTTTTATCTTCTGAAGTTTATATTCAAAACCAAATCAATAATACTGTATAATGATGATAGCATGTAACTACGTATCATTCGCAATTGGAAAAACATTCGTAAATACAATTCACGGAAATGTGTACAATTAAATTCTCTGTTTCAATAGTATATATGTAACAAGAAGTACAAGCGTGGAATCCAACTACATAGGATTAGAACCTGTAAAGCTATATCGTACCTCATAATTTCAATGATTTGATTAGAAATCAACAATAGTACCCAAGTAGAAGTCGTGTATGCGAAGCAAACCATAGCAATAATTAATCCATACGGCAACACGTGATCTGCGGCTCGGAAATTCTTTCGCTCCGACGTCCATGCTCCGTCCATACAAATTTTCCAGAGCCCCTATCAAAACATCATGCTTGTTATTGTTGCCAGTTCTCCGACTGTAATTCTACGCCGCTGTATTATTTGACGAGTTGCAATTTCTCTTTTCTCGATTGTATTCTACCAACACGCCTTTTCTTTAATCTTGCACACTCGTCCCCCATTGCATTACGCCTAATAGACCATCTGTTCTTGTCTTCCTCGCGGCATTCCACCTACAGTCGTCCTGAATTCGGTGCTGTTCGAGCGGCATCCCACTAGAGATTAACAGGTAAGGGCCATGTCGCCATCCACCAGTGGGCATTTGCAGGCCGGCAGCATGGGCGGCATGGCAGCAGGCGAAGCGCATCAGCTTCACGCTCACGGTGTGCAACGGGAGCATCCGGGCTGACGGAGTAACTTTCTCAATAGAGCTCGGCCTGAACACGCGCGCCCATTGGCCCGCCAGTAACCCCTCCTTTCAGCCTGCGACTGAGTCTGCCCCTCGCCCGTGACTTGGCTGCCCCTCCTTCCCTTCGAGAAGCAAGGAAAAAGCAACAATGTTTTCCCGCTCTGTCAAAGCAGCCCTCACCCCACCTTCTTCTTTCCGCTCCATTGCTTCTTCCTCTTCTCGCCCCTTCTTCTACTCTCGACCCATCCTCAATTGCTCCCAATTCCCCAGCTCTCGCGCTTTTCATCAATCTGCCGCAGCCATGTCTACTGCTTACTTCGATATCGAGTACGGCCCTCAGGGAAACAGTAAGTAAACTCGCCCGCATTCGTCATCCTGCTACCCCTCCCCTTGCCTTGCCAAGTCCATCATCCAACTCGAAGTCTTCCTGGATTCAAAACGAAATGGCATGGCATCGAGTCGCAGCTCTCCAAGGCGCAATTTAATTGAGTCGTTTGCTAATCCAGCTTCTGCCTTCTCCAGCCACCACCGGTCGTGTCGAGTTCAAGCTCTACGACGATGTCGTGCCCAAGACCGCCAAGAACTTTGCTGAGCTCTGCAAGGGCTACAAGGACGCCACTGGCTCTGTGTTGACCTACAAGGGCTCTGCCTTCCACCGTGTCATTCCTCAGTTCATGCTTCAGGGTGGTGACTTCACTCGTGGCAATGTGAGTCTTGACCCCACCCTTGTCCAAGATCCTGCGGGGCATGTCACTGATCCTGTTTCTCTCATAGGGCACTGGCGGAAAGTCCATCTACGGCGAGAAGTTCGCTGACGAGAACTTCCAAATCAAACACACCCGCCCCGGTCTGCTGTCAATGGCCAACGCTGGTCCCAATACGTAAGACTTCCTAGCTCATTTTTCGTTCTGGGTTCACCACATCCCGTTTACTAATTCGGTCTTTACAACAGAAACGGCTCACAGTTCTTCATCACCACCGTTGTGACCAGCTGGCTCGACGGCAAGCACGTCGTCTTCGGCGAGGTCACCAAGGGATACGAGGTTGTCCAGGCTATCGAGAAGCTCGGTAGCGGCAGTGGTTCCGTTCGTGGTGTTGCTAAGATCGTCGATTCCGGTGCTGCTTAAATTCTCCCAAAATGTCTCATTATCCAGCCCGACAAATTATATGTATGTTTGGGGGTCTTTTCTGCCAGTGTGTCTGTACTTGAGAATTAAATTTCGAGATTTCTCGGAACTCCTCGGGCTTCCCGGGAGCCATCAGCCTGTGGCATCAATACCAGTTTTCAATTCCTCGTAGTTCTTGTAGTAACCCAAGTAGAAGGTTTGATCTGATAATAAGCACGTGGGCTAGAAACTTGAAGTACAACTTTCAAATTAAAGCTTCTTAGGGTCAACCTTGGAAGCAATTCAACTCCAGATATAGAGGAAGATCATTTCGATTTGGACTGAACACACTTAGAATTTCCCCGCACTAGCATGAACAGGTTTCTTACCTTATCCTTGAAACTCGGGTATTTCATTTTGGTTCCATTCCCTGTTCTTGTGGGTTAATACAATTATTTCATGCTAGAGCTCATTTAAGCTTTGTGTTCATCATTTCAAATCAATATGATCCAAACTGGTTAGATGGAAAATTGCTATGTAGAAGTAGCTCTGAATCAACTGTTCAAGCTATGACTAAATTGATATTTGGCCCTTGCCAAAATAGTGGCAGATTATGTTTCACGTTAGATTTCGAGGACTATTCTATGGTCCCATTCTTTCCATTGATCAATATACATAACCATCAACTCATACATCATTGTCAATACTTTGAGGTACGAACGCCGTATTGGACCCTTTCACCAACCCTTCCAAAATCTCTCTGATCTGTTTACACCCATCAATTCCTACAGCAAGTAACGTCTCCAGATATGAATTATGCATTCTCGTCTCCATATGCAGTACAGACACCTTCATATCATCCACCTCTTCGTCCACCCCCTCCGCACTTATGGGCAGCGCCGTCGTAGTACCGATTGTGATGAATGGCAATTCCTGTTCTTCTGGCAGCGATAAATCGAGTAAAGGGTCAAGTGATTCGTCATTAGCATCGCGGGGTGTTGATGCGCTTCCACTCATTCCCACTGTGCACCCGCATAGTAGCCCCGGCATCGGTATCCCCGCGTCAACAAGTGCCAGTGTGCATGCGTTCATGGCGGCGGCGAGCAGCGAGCCGTCTGCCGACAGTACGGAGATTTGTACACTTATCGTACTGTGTGGGTAGAGGTAGGTGTGTAGATGAGACTGGAACGCAGATCGAAGGGCATTCGAGAGTTGTAGGGTTTGTCTGTAGGAATAGAGTCAGCAAATGATGCTTTTCAGCATTATTGCTTTTCTTACCGATCACTTCCCCCTGCTCTCCTTTTCCGATCCACGCCCGCAAATCCGGCAACATTAACGTCTACTTCGACCACCGCTTCAGCAGCGTTTCCTGCACTGCTGGATTCGTGAGGGCCGTGGACAGTGCACATAATCGAAGTGTTCCCCATAGAGAGGTAAGAAGACCCTGAGCTTGCAGGGTTCGTGGATATCTGCGACTGCAGTAATCGGAGTTCGTTCCATCGTCGCCCGTCTAATCGAAGTTTGGTGAGAGGGTATGTGGTTGATGTGTCGAGAGGCATTGTGATTGTGAGCCTGCGCAATGGACAGGCTGATGTCTGGGGATTGGCGCAGGTGCTGTTGTTTGAATCGGGAATCAAATATTGGAAGGCCTTTTTTTTTTGGAAATTGATCCCAGTTGATTTGTCTTTCGTTAATGCGCAATGGCTGTTGGGTTATCGAGAAAGCGGTAGTGTCGCATGAAGTTGATCAATCTTGAAATCTGCGAAATTTAAGGTTTAAAGCTCCCATTCCCACTTAGGCAAGCTCATATACTCGACCACCAACGCCACTCTCCGACGCGTCTTCGATATCAGGCTTCAGCCCCGCGATCAGAACTGCGAAAGCTACTGATATATATGATGATATGGCTCCGGGACGAGATTTGCAGAATCCAGATCCCATCGCTACTACTGATAGCGGCGATGATGACGATCTAGAAATTATTTCCGTGCAGTCCGCCAAGGCTCGCTCTAACTTGGGTATTTCCTCCGCAAGTCTGTCGCGCAGAAAGAAAGGATGTTTATTCTAACTCATGCAGGATCGCGTAAGAGGTTACGGCAAGACAACGATGGCGATGGCGAAACGCGCCGCAGATCTGATATCAATAATAGTCGTAAGAGACAACGGACGCCTTCAGACTTAGAAGATCAATCCGTCATTACTGATTCTGATGGCGACAATAACAACGATGAGGATGATGATATCCTCGACGACGAATTTAACGATAGCCAGGCCACATATGAACGATTCAAGAACCGAAACAGCATTCGCCGAAAACGGACTTCGTTGAAGGCGCGCAAGGCGCGGAAAGAAAGAGATTCTCTTAAGGGAAAGGAAACTGTCAAGGTGAAGAAGGAACGAGAAGCATCCACGGGTGACACGCTCGTAGGTCGCGTTTTGAGCAGGAATGCAGCACCACGACAACCTAAACGACCTATGAGGGAATATACAGAGGAGCTAGTATCTTCAGAAGATGAGTTGATGGAGTATACCCTGCCGGACTTCTTGCAACGGCGACGGTCACAATTTGACTCTCGAATGGAGCGTCTTAGACAAGGTGGACTGAGATTACCCCCGACATTTGACAACGTCAATTTCTCGGATGACGAGAATCTCGAGTTTCTAAAGGAGAAACCAGCCTTTAGAGACCTGAAACCACCAGCTCAATACAAAGATATCCCCCTCCCATACTCACTCGGTCTCATTCCAGCGTCGATTGCGCAGTGGCTGCGCGAGTATCAGGTAGATGGAGTCTCATTTTTACATGAGCTGTTTGTCTATCAAAAAGGCGGTATATTGGGGGATGACATGGGGCTGGGGAAGACAGTTCAGGTCATTGCATTCTTGACGGCTGCTTATGGGAAGACTGGAGACGAACGAGACTCAAAGCGTATGAGGAAATTAAGAAGAAGCGGAGACAATATCTGGTATCCGCGTACCCTGATAGTCTGCCCTGGTACGCTGATTGAGAATTGGAAATCCGAGTTTCAGCGCTGGGGTTGGTGGGCTGTTGGAGTATTTCACGGTGATAGGAAAGAAGAAGCTCTCCAGGCAGCTAGGGCTGGTAGGCTAGAGGTATTGGTTACGACATACGTCACATATCGCATGAATAAGGATTCTATCAATATGGTTGAATGGGACTGTGTTATTGCCGACGAATGCCATCAAATCAAGGAGCGAAAGTCCGAGACCACTATAGCGATGAATGAGATTAATGCACTCTGTCGGATTGGACTCACGGGTACAGCTATTCAGAATAAATACGAAGAACTTTGGACTCTTTTGAACTGGACAAATCCAGGGAAGCTTGGGCCTGTTACAGCATGGAAAAATGCTGTTGCTGAGCCCTTGAAAATCGGACAGTCTCACGATGCTACCCTATATCAGCTCAGCAAAGCCAGAAAAACCGCCAAGAAACTCGTACAAAATCTTCTTCCGGAATTCTTCCTCCGGCGTATGAAGACCTTGATTGCGGACCAACTGCCTAAAAAGAGCGATAGGGTGGTTTTCTGTCCCTTGACAGAGACACAAGCAGATGCGTATGAAAACTTTCTCAACAGTGATGTTGTGCAGTACATTAGAACAGCGTCGGAGTTTTGTGACTGTGGCTCTGGGAAGAAATCCGGCTGGTGTTGTCATGCCTATTTGCCTTCAGGTATGAAATGGCAGAGCTATGTATTTCCGGCCCTTGCAAACCTGCGGAAGCTCAGCAATCATCTTGCAATTCTGATTCCTCAAGGGGTGGATCCTAAGGAAAAGCAAGAAAAAGATTTAGAGATGCTTCAGATAGCGGTTCCAGATAAGTGGCGCGAGCTGTATCGAAGTCGAGACTCGATTATTAACTATGCGAACCCGGAATTCTGTGGAAAATGGAAAGTACTGCGGAAACTGCTCAAGTGGTGGCATGCAAATGGAGATAAAGTTCTTGTTTTCTCACACAGTGTTCGACTTTTGAAGATGCTTCAAATGCTGTTCAATCACACTAGCTACAACGTCAGCTACCTTGACGGTGCTATGTCTTACGAAGATCGTGCCAAAGCTGTTGACGAATTCAATTCCGATCCCCAACAATTCGTTTTCTTGATCTCAACCCGAGCGGGAGGTGTTGGTTTAAATATCGTTTCCGCAAACAAGGTTGTTATAGTTGATCCCGACTGGAACCCTTCCCATGATCTCCAAGCTCAAGATCGTGCTTATCGAATCGGCCAACAGAGAGATGTTGAAGTATTCCGACTGATCTCCGCTGGTACAATGGAGGAAATTATTTATGCACGCCAGATTTACAAACAACAGCAAGCTAACATTGGTTATAACGCCAGCTCAGAACGAAGATATTTCAAAGGAGTTCAGGAGAAGAAGGACCAAAAAGGCGAGATTTTTGGCCTCACTAACCTCTTTGAATACCAAAACGACAACGTTGTCTTGCGGGACATTGTCAACAAGACCAACGTTGCGGAAAGCAAGGCTGGCGTCCAAGTTGTCGGCGTCGACTATGAGCAAGAGGATGGGGATAGCGACGACGGCTTACAAACTAGAAGAGGAGACGAGGATGACGATGGAACCATGAGTCAAATTGCTGCTTTGATACTAGGTGAAACACAATCAGCTGTTCCGGGAACAACGAATAAGACAGTTTCAGATCTTGCTAGCTCAAAAAAGCATGATCCAATCCAAGCTATTCTTGCTGGAGCTGGAGTTGAATACAGTCATCTCAATAACGAAGTCATTGGCTCATCCAAAGTAGAAGAACGTCTCAGCCGCCGGGCTGAGCAGGCCACGGACCTCCAAGCCGATATACAAGTCTTCCGAAATTCGCAAGAGAATAACACTGGTCGTGGTCGTGGCAGAGTTGATGTACTGGATTACGAGAATGTCAAGATCCAGAAAGACGGAAAAACCATTCGTTTCAAATTTCATCCCCCAGAAGACGTGCGCAGGCGTCAGTTTTGTAGTATGGCTAAGAGATTTGGGTTTTCGAATGCTACTGAGTTTGCGTTTGTGGTCGAGGGAATGACGCAAGCTCAACGACGAGCTTGTCTGGAAAAGTGGTATAAGGAGAGAAGAGGTGTCCTGTTGAACCAGGATGTGGCTATCCAACTCGAGGATATCAACCAGGACAACCAAAACGAAGATATCAAAAGAGAAGGATGGAACTAGGCAGTTCTCTGGCGCTACGTGGGTTTTGGCACTTGCTTGCTATTTCAAAGATACCCATATACTAATATTTATTACATATTTGTTATAAATTCCAACAGGTTTATATTTGGATACAATCTCATGCTTCGTTATTCAATGCTCAACAGTTTTGAAAGACGCTATTTGTACATCACATTTACAAATCAAATATGAACCACTCATAATTTTGACTGCGTCGCCTCGCCGAAGACGATTATTTTGTCCCACACGCTCTGTTCCCGCCAGTGCTGAGTGCTATTCCCAGTATGAATCCAGCGTAAGGTGATTTCTCGAACCACATCATTTCCGTCTCTTGAGGCATCCAAAATCAAAAGACAGCTGCAGACAAGAAAATCCAGATCTCGCAAATAGTCCTTGCCCTTCCATTTCAATTCCTCCTTATCCTTAGTAGCCAGGTCTGACAACACTTGCTCGGCCGCAAATCGCAACCTTGAGGTTTCATCTTGGAACCCTGTCTTGTCACCCACAACCAAGGCGTTCTCTATCCATGCTTTCAGGCAGCTCAGGGCTGTATCACCTCCTCTGCCTTTGATAGCTCTCACCAAATCGTCTGCCATAATGTCTGTGGTACCTTCCCAAATCGCGAGGACATTGGTGTCGCGAAAAATTCTTGCAACATTCAGTTCCGGGTCTTCGTTTTCCAGATATCCAACTCCACCAAGACTTTCCATACAGGCACGAAGACCGTTGATCGAAGCAAGTGCTGTTTGAGCCTTGGCAATCGGCGTCAAGATGCGATATAGAGCATTTATATCCTCGATATTTTGGGGTAGCATCAAAGAGCTTGCAGCTGACGAGTCGTTAGAAGGAGGGAAACCTTCGGAACGACCAAGGAGTGCTGCTATGAAATAAGACAAGTGCATATGGGCCCAGTATTTAACGTGCTCTTGGGCCAGCCCTCGCACGTGTGCCGGTATATCACATAACAGCCTTCCTCCCGAGCTTCTCACTCTTGCGAACGCTCGACTGATAGCAAGACCGCGACCCCATGCACCGACACTCGAGACAATGTTTTGCATTCGGGTAATATTGAGGACCGTGGAGATTTCTTTGACTCCCTGGCCTTCTTTTCCAATAAGATATCCTCTCATACCCTTCAACTCAAGCTCTGCTGTCGGAAGAGGTTTGGTTCCTAGTTTGTTTTTCATTCGTTGGATCCGTATACCGTTGAGCTCGGTTTCGCCATTTGCACTACCGTTGACACGTCTTCTTAATGGTGCGTAGAATGCACTGATCTCACCGTCCTTTCCAGTTTTAGCCAGAAGGACAGTCATATTGGCGTCAGTTGCAGATGAAAACCACTTGAAGCCATTGATCTTCCATGGACCTAGAGGCTCGCCATCAGCATCCAAACCGTCGGTTTCATCTTTGCCAATGACTTTAGTAGCAACTGTTTCAGTGCCCCTAACATCACTACCGCCCTTACGCTCCGTCATCCATTGACCGCTTGTCCATGCAACACCTTTCTCCCGGCTGATAAGTTTGCTCCGTGCTTTTGCAAATATTTCTCTATTCTCGTCGTTCAAATGGCGGCCCAGGAGTTTTGCAGCGCCATCAGTCATTGCACTTGGACATGTAACAATGGCTGAGCTACCGCTCCATAGATGGTATTTGACGTATTGATGGATCCGATGATTCCATTGGTCCTTAGAGCCTTCGTAAGCTAGAGCTACAATGCCCTCTCTAATACCTGTGTTTTGCAGCTCCCTCCAGCCCTCGCTAGTGACCAGAGGATCCTCCTTATTCTCGACACCAAATGATGTATGAGACTTTACGTACGGGGTATTCCGTTCCGCATCTGCGATGTACCCGAGAATCTGTTTTGACAGGACAAGGCGTGAGAACCGCAAGAGATCATCAGAGATAGACTTCGGGGTTGGTGAGGGGAGGTGGAGAGAGATGATGCGCTGGAGTGCTTTATCTTCTGGGAACTGGGGTGGAATGACAGGCTTTGTCTGGAAAAAGCCTTTTGTAGAGCTGGACGCCTCCATTTGCGGGTCTTGCTCCGGAATTTGCGAAAGCCGCTATTTCGATCAACGATACGGAACAACCTCACATAAAGCGGATGTTCTGGGAGATTCTGTGACTGGATAATAACAGTTGGGGAGTAAAGAAGGAGCTGAAACTCCGTGGACGCCTCCCCAAGTTATGTATTTAATATCCGGGGGCCTCGGCATGTGATGGACGGGGATTAAATTGCCTGAACACCACCCCGCAAAGTTTGTGTAAAATTGATTGGTTGTCCAGTCGTATCACTTGAATCTCACCTATTATTATAATTCGCGGTGTAACGGTTGCCTATGCGTCATCTGATGTTTCTGTCAGCTTCAATGTACCAGCGTCGTCCACAGATCACGTGACAAGAAGTGCGAGGCAACACGTGACACACGATCTTTTCTGTTGACAATATCGAAATCTTCCAGGTTCCAACTCCCATTGTGCACCGTCTTGGCCAACACCACCGTGCCCGGCAATTCGGCTTGGAAATGGTACAATAATGCGCATTTTGCACAAGGTAAGCTGAAACGGTCTCATTTATTTCTCTTTCGTGTTTTTCAATGATGAATCACTATTATTGGAGCTGTCTTAGCCTTGCGATGCCGATAGCCTTATATAATACGCAAACAACTACTATCTGATTTGATCTTTTGTGCTTTATTCATGTCTGTATCAAGCCTACAGTTTCAGATGTACTGACGTCTCGTTATAAGAGCTCTTCGAGTGGCAACCTTCGAGCCTTTCACCCTCCGTGATACCAACACCTGCCGTGTGAGAAGAACAGAGGTAGTCAAAGCATTCAGCCCCGAATGGCTTCAGATCCGCGTCGTGGGAGGGTCGCGTCAGCTTCTCCCGACTCAACAACTCCAGAAACAACGCCGCTAGCTGGAGTAGATCTTGTTACGTCTACAGAACAAGAGCAGCAGGATGGGTCAGTGACACCGGCTCCCGAAGAGTCGTCGTACAAGCTCAAGTTCTGCACAGTCTGCGCATCCAACCAAAACCGGTCTATGGAAGCACACCTGCAGTTGTCCTCTGTTCCGTACCCGGTCATATCGTTTGGTACTGGCTCTTTAGTTCGGCTTCCTGGGCCTTCGATCACTCAGCCAAACGTGTATAATTTTAATTCGACATCCTATGCCCAGATGTATGATGAATTACACGAGAAAGACCCGCGACTATATCGCAATAATGGAATTCTAAATATGTTAGAGCGAAACAAAAACCTCAAATGGGGCCCGGAAAGGTTCCAGGATTGGGTTCCCGGTCAGCCTCGCGTTGATCACGTTGCAAAAGGCGATAAGGGGAGCCTAGGAACCGAAGCAGGGGTGGTGGATGTCATCATTACTTGCGAAGAGCGTTGTTGGGATGCAGTGGTGGACGATCTCATGAACAAAGGATCGCCGCTGAACCGGCCGGTGCATGTCTTCAATGTTGATATCCGTGATAACCACGAGGAGGCCTTGCTTGGAGGCAAGGCTATCCGTGATCTGGCCGACAGGCTAAATATCGCTGCCGGTGAGGAACGCCTCTTCAATGGTACAGAGGGATGGGATCAGGGTACAGGCGAAGCTCGACAGAGCTTTGATGAGAGAGTTCCGGAAATCCTAGCTGAATGGCAGGAAAAATACCCCAACCTGCCTGCACTATGGACTTTGTCATGGTTCTAATTTATGATTTCCATTACATGTCAAATACCTATAGAGCACCTAAAAAACAAATCGCAAACGAGAAAATAGTTTTGCAGCTGGAAATATACTAAAATCGACAAGCCTCTGTGAGAGGTTGCGCATAGAATCACGTGTCAGGCAGCAAGGCTTAATCTTATCGGCCACCACCATAAAGAACTCAATTTGAACCTTCCCCTACACTAATCTAGTTTTACTCTCGTATTCCTTTGTCAATATTTTAAATTCAGCGAAAATGGCCCTGCAAAATGAGCCAGAATTCATCCCCGCACTAATTGTAGTTGACATGCAAGAGGACTTCTGCCCGCCGGTAAGTACACACTACAACTTTCCAAACCACATAGTAATGTGGCCTAGAACGGGTCACTGGCGGTAGGAGATGCGAGATCAATCGCACCATTGATAAACAGTCTTCTGGAACTCCCCATATTTGCTATTCGAATTGGCACTCAAGACTGGCATCCACAGAACCACATTTCCTTCGCCAGCAACCATGTGCCGCCTAATAACAAGCCGTTCGAGTCATACATTGAAATGAACAATCCAGCACCAGGAAAGGCGCTTGAAACTAAGCAACAGCGACTCTGGCCTGTTCACTGTGTCGCTTCTACTAGTGGCGCCACGATCATCCCTGAGATATCGGATAGGAAGCTCGACGTGCTAGCCAAAAAGGGCATGGATTCTCGCGTCGAGATGTACTCAGTCTTCAGCGACGCGTTCCGAAATATGGACCCGGCATTGGCTAGGCAATCGGTCGATCGAGATGTCAAGGCTTTGCTAGAGGAGAAGAAGGTTACAGATGTATTCGTTGTGGGCTTGGCGGGGGACTATTGCGTTAAGTTTACGGCGATCGATGCTGCGAGGGCGGGATTTCGAAGCTGGGTCATCGAGGATGCTACGAAATGTGTCGATCCGGGTGACGGGTGGCAGCAGGCTCTTGCTGAATTTGAGGAGGTTGGAGTCATCGTCACAAAAAGTGATAGTAAAGAGCTTGCCAGGCTCAGGACTTAAGGCTCAGTATCGTGCAGTGATATGTCATGGAAGGCATTGGATATTTCTATATAAGCTATTGAACATTTTCATCTGGCAGGGTTAATAGCGATTTCTGAACTGATCTTGATTATTCATCACTTGTACCAGCTGGGTTTCAATGCTGGTGCTGCTTAGGTACCCAACATCGATGACTCTTCAATGTTGTGCACGTGCTACATACCCATGTTATATTTCTCACGATACCAGTTGACATAGACCAGTTGACGTAATGAACATTGGAATTCTTGTTAGTGTTAAGTTGCCTTCACAATGACGACCTTTTCGACGCCCGATTTTAGAAGAATAATCGTCAATCGTTATTGACTCTTGATGTTTATGAACTTAACTTCAACTTGTGGGGGTATATTTAGGGTAAGCTTTAGGACTTACGGCTTAGGGTTAGTTTTTAGCTAGATGGCGCTTCGCAATGATCTTCGGTTGAGTGTACACCCACTCACTGTATATGACGAGACTGAAAATAATGTGTAAATACTGGTATTGTGATAACGCACGCATTCCCGGGTGCCCGAAAGCATCTCAAGTTCCTTGTCTATCCAACTGTACACCAGACCGATCTGGTCTCATCCACCCACGGGTCGACTGGTATCGCCACCCACAGCATTTCCCCTCGTTCCAATCCCGACGAGTCTGGGTTCCGGAGATACGGGTAACAAACAAAGAGAAAGCATAGTAAGCCTTGCTTTGTTACTCGTGAGACAGCATGTCATCAAAAAGCGACCCATCGCCGTACGTAGACGGGTTTACTAACGTATTCCACAAGCACCCCGCACACCCCACTGCTTCGCATAAATTGAAGCAATTCGGATTTCTACTTAACACCAAGAAATCGCATATGTTTCTATATAGAAGCGCAGGGTGCTTGTGGAATACGTTACTAATATCAGGGATGATGTGATCAAAGGCTCGGTCCGTATACAGGATGGAAACCCGCCGTACGTCGGAGTGATTCAATGTGTAAGTCTCAGCAGTCAATCACCCACGCCGACGCACTCGGTCGTTTATTCAATATTGAGGCAGATTGACGAGCTCGAAGTTTGTACGACATAGGCCGATGGATCGGGACGCCAGCATTGAATCGAGAATGATACTGCATGCCCTAACCCAATATATATGCTGCAGCCTAGCAGAGAAAACAAAGAGCGGTCTGCGGCCAATAATAGTCTCATATTAATTGACTGTAGGGCGGTGCCACAGCACCGCAGTCAACTATCTGATAACTAGTCAGTCGGTTAGGCTGGATGTAGATAAGCGTCGGCTGCTGTCGGCGGGTATCCCATCTGCGCATGGAGGAGTACAGACTGTAACAGGCAAAATCGTTGGATATTTGTGTGAGATTAACATGACTAATATTGCTGGAGCCCTGAAGCTCCCAAGGAAAGCACCGGCGATCTCGAACCTGACTTGAGGCGACAGTGGTGGTAAGTTTTGTACGTTGTAACTTGGAAAATTGGAGACAGGTAAAGGGGGGCTGAGCCACAGCGAGCAGGAATAGGCCGCGCTAGTTCCGCCCTAGCACGAGACCAGGGCCTATCCAGAAAAATTAATGCCTGCGGCCACTCTCGTTGGCTGAGCTCCTTTCCACCCTTTCTACCCCCAACGCTTACCCACGTTCAGGATTCATGCTCGCTTTCTCACGGGCTCCTCTCGAGCATTATTATAGATATCCCTCAGCAATTGACGATATTCCTGTCGATACCAAACCCTGTCCCGCGACGTTATTGTCCGGGTTGATTGTTGCCGTCCACCAACGCCACCGGACTGACTCCGGGGAGCCAAACCACGGCCACAAAAATACGAGTTTGTCAGTGAGTTCCGCACTCTGTCCGTACATGCCATCAGCGCAAAAAAACCCGTCAAAGCATATCCAAGTCATTGGGAGCAACCACTGCTATCGGCATTTCAGCGGAGGGGGTGTAATTGCTATCAATTAGGTTATTGTTTGGGTCATTGACTGACTGCGATGACGACAAGATAGGACCCTACCTTGAAACCAAGTCCGCACGCCTTTGTTTGACCGCCGAGCTCGTCGTCTCTCTTTCCAATGCTAGATACCAACTAGAGATATTCCCACAACCAATCTCTCCCGGATTGTCTGCCATACCGTCACTTCGTGTGCATCGAGTGACTGGTCTCCACGAGACTAATATAGACGAGATCTGCCATCATCGTGGTTACTGGTGCTGTGATGGCGTCGTGGATTCCTCGGCGGTTTCGTGCCGCGACTCAAGACGAGGCCGCTGAATCGAGCTGGTTGGGACGCCAGGTGACAGCTGTGCTCCAGGACCTCTCGCGTCGCGCATGCGCTCATCCGATTCATACCATCGTTGGCATTGCCCTGCTTGCTAGCACTACATATGTCGGCCTTCTCGAAGGTAGTATTTTCGATGCTTTCCGCAGTGCCGGAGATGTTTCGGGACAAATGGATACCTCCGCCTTTCTCTACGGAAGTCGAACCCTTCGTCTTGGTGAAAAGACTGCCTGGCGGTGGCAGAGCCAAGATGGGGTCAACTCGGTTTCCAGTGATGTAAGAAAGCCATTTTGCTTGTTGCTCTCGATCATCATTCTGATTCAAGCTCGGTAGATTGCTCAACACCTAGCTCTTACAACATTCGTTTTCTCCGACGCTTCTACAGCTAACGCTCCTACCCTCGACGACTTTTCTATTCCTGAAAATGTGTCTGCAATCCCCGTTCCGAACACACCAAATGTCTTCTCCTCTTTCTCTCACGACTCTTCGGCCGCATTCACAGTTCCATATGACAGCCTGCCAGACTTCCTCAAGGCCATGCAAGAAATTCCCGACCCATCTACCGAGAACGATGAGGGAGAGCAACGAAAGTGGATCATGAAGGCTTCTCGCGGACAGAGATCTCACCGCGCCGTGAGGGTCTGGCTGGCAGATGCTTGGAGTTCTTTCGTGGACCTCATCAAGGTACGCATTGGCATTTCATGTACCAGTTTCAGCCCAATACTGACTCCACTATAGCATGCCGAGACCATTGATATCGCCATCATGACCTTAGGCTATCTCTCAATGCACTTGACGTTTGTCTCGCTCTTTTTGTCCATGAGACGCATGGGCTCACAGTTCTGGTTGGCGACATCGGTCCTTCTCTCAAGCGTGTTTGCTTTCTTGTTTGGGCTCTTAGTCACTACAAAGCTAGGCGTTCCCATCAACATGTTACTACTTTCTGAGGGTCTTCCATTCCTCGTCGTGACGGTTGGCTTCGAGAAGTCCATACTCCTGACTAAGGCTGTTCTTTCGGCGTCTCTCAATGCTAAAACTGGTGCGAACAGCCGTGGACACTCGACAAAATCGATCCAAGACTCTATTGAACTGGCTATCAAGGAAGAAGGTTCCGGTATTGTTCGGGACTACCTCATCGAGATTGCGATCTTGGTGATCGGTGCAGCTTCTGGAGTTCAAGGTGGTCTACGCCAATTCTGCTTTCTTGCGGCTTGGATATTGTTCTTCGACTGTGTTCTTCTCTTCACTTTCTACACTACGATCCTTTGCATCAAACTGGAAATCAACCGCATTAAACGACACGTCGCTCTGCGCAAGGCCTTGGAAGAGGATGGTGTCTCTCGGCACGTTGCTGAGAATGTGGCATCGAGCAATGATTGGCCACAGGCGGACCCTAATAGTAGCAAGAATGGCGCCGCCGGAATTATCTTTGGAAAGAAAAACCAGGCCGGAAGCATATCCAAGTTCAAGTTGCTTATGGTCGGTGGCTTTGCTTTAGTGAATGTGATCAACCTCGGCTCAATCCCTTTCCGACACCCTGAACAAGAAGAAAACCTACCTGTCTTATCGCGCCTGTCCAACGTCTTGGCCTCTGCTCCTATTGACCCTTTCAAGGTGGCCGACAATGGCTTGGACTCAGTCTACGTATCCGCAAAGAGTAACAAGTTAGAGACCCTCGTCACTGTCCTTCCACCTATCAAATATAGACGCGATTACCCCTCGGCTCATTATGCACGCTCCGACTATAATGGAGGACTGGGTATTGAGTACTCCGGACAGTTCATCGACGCTATTGGAGGAACTGTATTGGAAAGCCTTTTGAAGAGCGTTGAGGACCCTGTGATTAGCAAGTGGATTATTGCAGCCCTGACTCTCAGCATCGTTTTGAACGGATACTTATTCAACGCTGCAAGATGGAGTATCAAAGAGCCTGAAGTACCGGCTCCTGCCACTCCGACGGTGGTTGAAACTCCAAGAGTACAGGTGGATTACAAACATGATGGTGTTCAGAGGACCAAGGAAGAAGCTGAGGCGATGATGAAAGAAAAGAAAGCTTCTCTTTTGAACGACGAAGAACTCATTGAGTTATCTCTCAAGGGTAAGATCCCTGGCTATGCTCTCGAAAAGACGATGGAAGACCAGCCTATCATGAGTCGCCGAGACGCGTTCACTCGAGCTGTCAAGATTCGCCGAGCTACCGTTTCACGAACCCCTATAACTTCGGCTATCACCAGCGGTCTAGAGTCATCTTTGGTACCGTATAAGGACTACAATTATACACTTGTTCACGGCGCCTGCTGTGAGAATGTCATTGGTTATCTTCCGTTGCCCCTTGGTGTTGCCGGACCGCTAGTTATCGATGGACAGAGCTACTTCATTCCTATGGCCACTACTGAGGGCGTACTTGTCGCTAGCACTAGTCGTGGTTGCAAGGCCATCAACTCCGGTGGTGGTGCGGTTACTGTGGTACATAGTGACGGTATGACACGTGGACCTTGCGTTTCCTTCCCGACCCTCATTCGTGCCGCCGAGGCAAAGGCCTGGCTGGACTCTGAAGAAGGCATGAACACGATGAGAACTGCATTCAACTCGACTAGTCGCTTTGCCCGTCTACAAACCCTGAAGACGGCTCTGGCTGGCACTTACCTCTACATTCGATTTAAGACAACGACAGGTGATGCTATGGGCATGAACATGATTTCTAAAGGCGTGGAAAAGGCACTCGCGGTGATGAGTACCGAATGCGGGTTTGAAGATATGTCAACTATTTCTCTGTCAGCAAATTACTGCACAGACAAAAAACCAGCAGCAATTAATTGGATTGATGGACGTGGCAAGTCCGTCGTTGCCGAGGCTATCATTCCCGGAGCTGTTGTGAAGTCTGTCTTGAAGAGTGATGTCGATGCCATGGTGGAACTCAATATCAGCAAGAACCTTATCGGAAGTGCGATGGCAGGAAGTATTGGTGGATTTAACGCCCATGCATCCAATATCTTGACCGCCATCTTTTTGGCCACTGGCCAAGATCCCGCTCAGAATGTGGAGAGTAGCAACTGTATCACCATTATGAAGAAGTGAGTTTTCTCTCTCAATTTTTTTGTTAACCAAACCTGTTTGTGTATTTGCGACCTTGCTAACACGGTTACTCCCAGCCAAAACGGAAATCTCCATATCTCAGTGTCGATGCCCTCTATCGAAGTGGGCACGCTTGGAGGGGGCACTATCTTGGAAGCGCAGTCCGCAATGCTGGAGATGCTTGGTGTCAAGGGTGCCCACCCTACGAACCCCGGTGAGAACGCACGTCAACTGGCGCGTATCGTAGGCGCTTCTGTCCTCGCTGGTGAGCTCAGTCTTTGTGCTGCTCTTGCCGCTGGCCATCTGGTCAAAGCACATATGGCACACAACCGCAGTGCTGGACCAACACGGTCATCAACACCTGTTTCTGCAGCCGTGAGTGCTGCCCGCAGTAATGGAAAGCTCTCAATGACGCCTTCCAAATGAAGAAGCAATGATTTGCCTAGAAGTCATTAGCTCGTGGTAGGACGTATTTTCTGAGTTGTAACAGGAGAAAGGAAAATATCAATTCTCCTTACATAGATTGGCGTTTATTTCTCGCGTTCAAGGGCTGATACCTTGGTTTATACATGGTTTTAGATATTGTGGTTGTTTTCTTGTTTCTTCTTTTTACGTTGATTTTAACCCACCAACTTTCTATCACCTATCGCCTTTGTGGTTGGATTCCAAGAAAGCATATGGCAGCGATGCCTCCTACATTGTCTTTTATTACACATGGTTTCTTCTATGTGTATAATGCTGTGTACTACTTCTCTGGGCGTTTGGGTTATCAGCAATCCGACAGCGACTCATGGGGCATTTTTTGTGTCCTTTGCGCTAGATGACGGAGATACGGAGTCAACTCCTTTGTTTGGTATGAAATGGCCACGGCCATGCCAAATATGAATATACATATCTGTCTTAATTTTTCAACTTGGGCCCTGGATCTGTCCACTGGTAGTATGTAGAATGCAGCTTTCCAATGCTCAATGCACAGTGCAACCCTTGCTTAATCAGTCGATATTGGAATGGGACTAGACTGGACTGCACAAACCAGGGCTGGTCAGTAACGAAACTGAAAAGCTAGATTTGCGGTGAGATATTCAGCCTCGTCTGGTCTCCTTGTTGGCGATTACGGACAGTATCGATTGATTGTGGTTGTACAAGAGTCTTCTGAGCTGGGGTCTTTTGAACGTTTGAATTGTCAGTCATGAAATAGGAACATTTGCAGTACATGTGCACTGCTAGAAGATTTCCCATGTTACATCAATTGCATCAGTTGATATATGCGGGAGAAAATCAACCCCTCCAAATGACTTTCGAATCTTATCCTCAACACGGGCAATGGTATGTATTACCAACAATTTCAGACGCTTTCGCCTAGAGCGGAATGATCAAATCATCATGATCAAGCATGTAGTGGCGTCGCTAGGCCGCGAGGGGTTGGCCGTTGGACGGCGTTCCTGGCGCCGGTGGGCGCCTTTGTGGCTTGAGCCTGCGTACGTCCGTACGTAATCCGTACATATGTCAAGTCTAAGACTAATTTCGATGCTGTAGATTTTCGGCTTATTATTTTCACTTTTTATTTATTTATTTTTTTAAAATAAATTCCTAATTATAATAACTTAGTCGAACTGCTGGATTATCTTACCTTCTCCCCTCCAAAGCCCCGAGACGCACGTTTTCATTGTTGTTAGACAGCGTCCAGTAGGCCTCATCGTCTGTCTCATTGGCTCGTCGACCTGGTGAAAGAACGGGCAGCCCTTTGATATATGTGCCTATTTTTATCCCAGGAGCGAGTCTACTCCATCTGTTCCCATGATATCAGAAACGCGGTAGAATGGCGAGCCGGAGTAACTGATCGAGAATAGCAACAATAAAAAATACGCAGAGTAAGCGGATTTCAATATGCGCCCGTAATTTTCGTATGGAGCACGGCCGGCGGAGGGCCCAGCGGGAGCTGGTCTGCGGCGCTGGTTGGCCAGGGTGCCCGTCCAGCCACAGCACGAGAGGAAGGTGCAGTATTAGTATTACCACCCTACCACTCGTTATTTGCTCCTCCCGCAGTGAACTCATCTTATTATTTATTTACAGCGCGGTGTGCTCAACAACCTTGCTACTTCATTCATCAACCTCAGTCTGAGTGCATCCTATCCTCATCCTCCCCTCGTCCTGGACGAGCACAAGAGACGACGAGACGAGACTGTCACCTGTGGCTGGGCCCCCCGTTCCTCGCTTCTCACTAGCACGAACTAAGCCAACAATTAATATTAAGCCGAACTCCTGAGTCCTGACGCCTGCCGGTCTAGCCACACGCCGGACCCCAGCGAATCTCCGCTTTTCCGTCGACTACGCCAGTACGACTACTCATTCGTTCAAAGTTCTATCCTCAACTCGTTGCGCTCCCTTCTTCTTCTTCTTCTCCTCCTCTTCTTCTGCTTCATCACCCCCCCCAAATTCTGCCCTTCTCGCAGAAAATCCCCTCTCCTCTGCAGCGCCGCTGGCCCAGACTGCGCCTGTCTGATATGCGCTGCACCTCTTTGTGCTTGCCTCCTTGCGTCCATCGCTGACTTGTGACGACTCTGAAACCGATCTGGTGATACACGCCCATAGAGATAGCACGCCTGATTTTCTTTCCCACTTATCGCTCAAGTGCTTCGATTTTTTCCGCTCCGGTCTCATGCTGTGTTCCTGAACCATATATGGAGACAACCGCCGCCAACCTCCCGAATGAACCTTAGATCCTATAGTACCAAGGCACAGTGATCAGTGATATACCATGAATGGTCGCAACGGCACAATGTCTCCCGTCTCCGCGGACGACAGCGAATGGTCTGGCATCGGCCAGTATCAACTTGGCCTTAAACAAGATCCCCCGTTTTCGCCGACCATGTCAAGCCGAGGAGCCCTGGCTACGCCTCCAGTCTCTGCTGGTCCGTCGCCCAGTTCCATGGGACTGAACGTGGCACAACCCGCCCCGCGCCGACCGGGAGATTCTGGAAACCCGTCGCCGCCTAGTTCTATCGCGGCGAGATCAAGTGTTGGCACTTTATCCGATCAACAGAGTGGGCGATACCGAAGGATGGAGGAGTCTCTTGCACAACACTACAATGCCTTGCGACGATACCTCGGGAACCCGTATGCAAGCGAGAGGGCAGCAATGAAAACAAACAAGGCGCGCGACAAGTTGTTGAGATTGTCGCCGACCCAATTCCACGAATTAAGTACAGATGTTTTCGATGAACTTATCCGTCGACAGCAGGCCGCTGGAGGTCCAGGCCGCCCTCCACGGCCTGATATTCCGCCTTTCTTACCACCTCGCGAAGATTTTCATGAAAAACGTAATCAGGCTCGTCAGAAGCTTGCTTCTCTCCAACCGGCGCGTTTTCGGGACTTAGCCACTGATGTCTTTTGCGAGCTGGAGCGCCGTTTCCCACAATTTGCCGGACCGGATATGCCTCGCATAGGCAGCCCAGCTGGCAGTATGCGCGGCGGACCGCCCAATGGCTATCGGCCAGGTTCGAATGGTTTCCCGCCAAATGGATTTCCTGGGGGACCCCGGCCAGGATCGCGAGGGCCCGGTGGGAGAGGTTATCCACCTGGAGGTCCTCCAGGCGGTCGTTTTCCACCTCGTCAGCAATCTCTGGGCGGAGGCGTGAGTCCCAATGGTGATGAGCCTTTACCTAAATCATTTCAAAGCAATACGATTGTGCCAAACAAGAGCACGTTGGTTGAAGATGATGACCTGGATGATGATTATGACGGACGTAGTGATGCTTTTGGATTGGACTCTTTGCAGAGCCGAAGAGGCACAACGACAACAATTGGAGAGAAGAAGCTTCTGGCTGACAGTCAAGCACAAGTCTCTAACTTACAAGAGCGTATTGATGAGATGGAGAGTTTGATGAAGAGCAAGGACGAGGAAATTTCCCGGTTACAAGAAGAACATGAAAAATCTCAGGTGAGCTATTTAGTTATTATCGGCACTAATTGAGATGCTCATGCTGAGTGGTAAATAGGCTAGCAGCAGCGAACGTGAGGAGTGGGAAAGCTTGAAGGCCGAGTTGGAAAATAAGGTGAACGATGTGGAAAATGCGAATACGTATTTGCAAACAAAAATCGACCAATTACAGGACGAGCATTCGGCTAAGGAGCGCGATCTTCTTGAGCAGCTAGAGACTGCTCATAGCGTAGGTGGTGACATTGAATTGCAACAACAATACGATAGTCTGGAAACACGTCATCAAACGTTACAAGTTCAGCTGCAAGAACAGCAAAAGACGACAGAAGAGGTTCGTCGAGACGCAGCCACCTTCTTGAAAGAAATGAGAGCCATGTCCGAGCGAAGTAACGCCACTTGGGAACGGGAAGAAAAGCTGTCTCGTGATGTCAATCGTCTCGAGGAAGAAGTCAAGGAATGGAAGAGTCGGTATATCAAGGCAAAGACACAATTGCGACATCTACGGACATCTTCAGTGGGAATATCCAACTTCCGCCCTGATGTTGGCAATTTCGCCAAGGAAAACGAACTGATGCAGCCCAATGGCATGGTTAAAGACACGCATGTGACCAAGTTCCAGATTTCGATCGACGAGCTGCTGCGTACTGCTCGATCTGGCGAACCTGGCCTAGTCCTCGAGCAGATGAAAGTCGTCGTCGTCACTGTTCGTCATATCATTAACGACATGGAGGCAAGTCAGAATGGCGAAGAATTGCCTTTTGCGCAAAAGCGGGCCAAGTCTAAAGTTTCGGTTACTGCGAATAACTTGATAACGGCATCCAAGAACTTTGCTAGCTCGAGTGGCTTGTCTCCGATTTCCTTACTTGATGCAGCAGCATCCCATTTGAGTACTGCGATTATTGAACTGCTTCGACTAGTGAAGATTTGTGCTAGTCCCGCTGAGGAGCTGGAAGATGAAGACGAAGACAATATTGCTCCTATGCAATCCCCAGGCTACTTTAGCGTAGCACCCAGCCAGGGTCGGCTCAGCAACAACGGTTCTGTTTATAGTGCGATTAGTTCCCCATCGACGAGGCCTCGAAGCATGGGCCACTCGCGCAACACCATGTCCCGAAGTGGTATACCTGGGATCCAGGCTCTGGCTACGGCTGGAAAAGCTGGCTACGGAATGCGCCCACAGGATCACGAATTAGAAGAACTGAAGGTTTGTTTTTCGTCCCAGCACCACATACCTCAGATTGACTAACACAGCAGTAGCTTTACCTCGAAGACCAAACCCAAGGCTTAGTCCAAACTATCCAGGCCCTTGTTACTAGCATCCGCGGCGGCGAGGCTATCTCGTCCATCCGCGGCCATATTGCAAATATATCGGTTGTGGTAGGCAATGTGGTATCTTCCACCGATCATGCCATGAACAAAGCCGAGATCAGCCCGACAGTACGACAACGCGTAGGCCCGGTTGTTCAAACCCTGGCAGACTGCTCTGACCGACTGTCTCAAACTGGGGCTGAAGGTGAGGGAGTTGACAGTCCTGATCAGCTGCGGGATATCACTAGCAAGCTACCGCCAATTGCGTTCGAAATTGCACGCGAAACGAAAGAGCTTGTTCAACGTATTGATCAACTCGAATTAGACGAGGAGGACAATGATGAATTCCGTTAATAGCTTTCTTACGATGCGAGTTTAATCCACAATCTATTCTTCTTTTCGATCATATTCAGCGACAATTTTTGATTCCATTTTTCATTACGCACACGAAAATACAGGCTCGCCAATTTCAGTCTAGGCAGTCTTAATCGTGAATGACATACCGGATGATTCAACGACCAAAGTTTTTTTGAGGCGCATGATATTTACATTGGTCTTAATTTTCATGTCCGTGTTGAAACTTCTTGTTATATCACTTGTCCATTTTTATTTTTTTGCATCTTCACTTCTACCTTCAGGGTATGTCTATAACTCAGATATCCCCCCCTCCGATTTTTTCAGCCTTTCACCAGGACACGATTGGGAATTCATACATTTGAGAATTTGGTAATGTATTATATTTTTTATTCGATTCATGTGATTGATATTGGAGGAACCCTTTTTTTTTTTATTCGTGCAAATTCTACTATTCACTAGACCTGTATAACTATTATCAGGTGTTATATATATGCTTTTTGATCCATATGTTTGATCGATGAGTCTATGTGATTATTTAAGCATTCGGAATGGTATCAAGTGAATTCTTCGACGTTTCAAATTTCACACTATGTTCATGATGATGACTTTTCATCAAATGTAATCATATAAGCAATAAATCCAATAAGTGGAAACGTATTATACAAGACTCCAATTGTATCCCTTTATGCTCCCTGTGATTGCTCCTGCGCCTCTTCTGCCTGTTTCTTTGCCTCTTCTGCTTTTTTCCTTTCTTCTTCGTCTTTCTTCTTCTCTTCTTCCTTTTTCTTCTCCTCGGCTTCCTTCTCCTCCTTCAACTTCTTCTTGTGCTCCTTGGCTTCGGCATCGGCATCCTTCCACGAGCCCCAATAGTGATGCGACACTAGAGCAGGGCTCTGATCAGTCGGGTTCCCATTCTGCAAAGCGGCAAACGAGTTTCCAGGCATAATGAGAAGGTCGCCAATCAACTTGGGCTGCTTGATAGCGTGGAAATCCCTGTCATCCACAGTCCGATTCAGCGCCTCGCTGAGGCTGTTCAGCACCCAGATGGTCATGATCTTAGGGCCCGTCACGTCAACCACATCCGAGAGCATTTCCAGTGTTAATTGTTGCATAGGCACATGATTGTCCGCGGCGATTCCGCGTAGCGTTCTGGCGACTGCATCAACCACTGATTGCAGGTGTCGCGACGACGGCTTTCCGGCAAATACCCAGTTACAAAACTGCGACGCAACCTGTGACCCCTCGCCGAACCACTGCATGTCAAACTCCAGTCCGACGATCATATCAATCTCCTGGTCCCGATACTCCTCGGGCACCCATTCCGAAACCTTTGTCTCGCATGTCGCGTCTAGATCACTCCATATTCCACCTTCAGCCAGAACCATCAGATATCGCAGCAAATCGGCGCGGAGGATCGGGATCGGGATGGATTCGTACAACTCGACGATGTCCGGCCTCGTCTTGGCGAATTTGGCCCGTACAAAGGTCTCGGCGGATTGGTCGGTTAGCAATTCTTGTCGATGATATGGGTTTTTCTCGGTCCAGGTGTACACCCATTCTCGTTGGTTTTGTTCCAATTGGTTTGTTTTGGCGGACTGCCATACTTTGTCGGGAATGCCTAGGATGGCGGTTCGGTACGGGTCATTGCTGTGGCCCGAGATGGGTCTGGAGGATGAGGGTGCTGATGCAGGGGTGGTGTCAGTTTGGGAAGAAGGTGGTTTCGAAGGTGTTTTTTGAGCTTGGTTTGACTGGATTGAGAGGGATCGATGAAGGGGTTCCCAGTTCACGTGCAGGATATAGAAGAAAAGGAGACACAAAGGAGTGACGACAGCGACGAAGCGCAGAAAGCGCCAGCTCTTCAAATTCGAGGCTAACATTAGAGTGATACTTTTTTTATCGACGGGAAAACAAAAGCATTTCTGAGGAGATGACTGGTCGTGTGATAGGGGGCGACAGACAAACAACACGTAGCAGGGGGGTGGACCAAAGACGGTAGATGTGCCAGGCGGCGTTGTTGGGAGAAAAGAAAACGAGATATAGGAGGAAAAAACGAAAGATACAATAGATGTTGTTGAATGTACAATGGGATATTATGGGATATGAAGAGAGAGAGTGTGTGACTGATAAAGATGATACTGATAATTACGGATGGAGATGGACGGACTCAGCAACCAGCCGACCGACGAGTCTCAGACATCCAAGCCGATATGCTTAGGCTGGGTCCAAAAAGACCAGTATGAGAAGCCAGGTATCAAGTACGGCATTATACGTAACACGAGATGAGGGTCAATGCAAAGACAGGGAGGCGAAGATAAGAGCGCACCTCATTGGATGTCGGGCCCTCCGCCACCCAACCACGTTCATGGCTGCGACCGCCTATTCGCGTGTTGCATGCGGTTGGCGCCAGTAGCTAACCTGCTATTTGCCAATACCTGGTAAGATAAGTAAAATACAGCTAGCCAGCGAACCTGCTATTTTTATTCCGCAACCAGCCAGTGCAGCCACTTCAACGCGGAGTCTAGTTCGTGTCATCTCTGATCAAACAATAATCAATAACCAATAGTTAATCGACAATACTGGTGTAGTAAGGCCAGCCGTGTGCATTTAAGAGTCGGCTACAATCGGCCTAGCGCAATTTAACTAGCCAATCAGAGTGCACTGTCGAAAGCTAAGACTTGATAAAGTAATCCCCTCTTTGCCCAATCAGCATCGCTTTTCTAATGCCTCATAAATCATGTGACTGCACTGTATCATTGTTAATTAATATTAATTTACACTGGACAGCACATCCATGTACGAGAATCAATTCTCTTCCATCCTTCCGCCTGCGGGTCGTATTCATATATACTGTATATCAGTCCATTCTCTCTACCACCTTTCCCGCCAGCTCGTTAAAAACTTCCCACCTAGTCTGTTGGCTACAATGTCGGGACACTTTTGTATAGCCAAATTGTCTCTTCTGGCTCGTTTGAAAGCAAACTTGACCTTATTCCTCTCCTCTGATCCGTACGGTTTACCATAGCGATTAACAAGTTTCACCTTGAGTTCTACTGTTCTTCGCCTTTGGTAGCACCTTGTCTCAACTCACTCAGCCAGCGCGAAAAGGAAACAATGGTGAATTCTAGTTCGGCAGTGCGAGGTTGTGAAAGCAAATCTAGCCACCTGAATTCATGGGGATTGATCAGATTGTAGACTACTGGAGGCTCGAGCACGTTGATTTGGGCGGACTCCCGGCTACATTTAGTAGCGAGTGTATGAGCGAGTTCTAGAATGGTGGTTACCAGTGTATCTACTGAAACCAGCTACATGTTTATTATAGAGACAGTTTTAGATATGTCGATGAAATAAGGTTGATTAGGGCTAGGGTTAGAGCTCTTGTGCGGAGTTACCTCTTTCAGATCAGGGAGAATCTCCATATGTACAGCCGACCAGATTATCGACGGGACACCGTCTCGCATCTTCCAAATGTCCTTTTCCGTGTCACCAACTACCTGACCGATCCGAAGAACATCGCTCCTCGAGGAGCCGCGTTTCGGGCGGTGTGTTTGCCTACCAACTTCGACTGGGCATGGCCCATAGGTGCCGCAGAGTTGAGATCGTCGAGTTTCTGGTTCTGAATTGAAATCTGGATGAGCAGTAGTTGGTTCTAGATCAATATAGAATTAAATTGTCTATAATAATTAAACGAAAAATTCTACTTTAACACAGTGTGTGTATTGTTCAATTAAATTTGAAAATCAAACTGGCGTTTTAACTCTCCTTATTTTTCAAATTTTTCATTGTTCTCATCGTCCCAGAATTAAATATGAAAACCAGCACGAACGCGGATGGTGCATGCATACTCCTTATTAAAGATGTTTTATCAGGAGTCATGATAATATAGCACACTTTTAGAGTAAACTTGTCTCTTTATTGCAACAGAACAACCCGAAAACGCCGAAAAATGGGAGTGATCATCTATAAACCTTCCAGCCAACAGATTCGGCGGCTGTCAACTCTAGACCCACACTATGATGTATCAACGCGTTGTTTGTAAGGTACACATAGCCGCCATATTTACAATGAAGCTTATACAAGGGAATTCGGGCTTGGAAATAAAAAAATGCTATAGCTACCACTTGGAACAAACTTACAAAAGAAGATGAAGCATTTTTCCCCCTCCAATCTTTTCGGAGGTAGCACTATTGCCTGTTTTGGATAGAGTATAGAAACTCCGGAAACTCCGACCCATCTACACATCATTCCTTATGCGTGGTGATTTTTATCCCTAATGAATAAGTCAAGCTTCAAGGCCGAGAATTCCCCAAGGTTCTCACTGCCCATGATATTAAGTCTCCTTCCATCCAGATGCATGGGATATTCTATCCCTTTGTGACTTTGATCTCTCGCTGAACAGCTACAATGACCACTCCATCCGCTACTCTAGACCTCAATGGCCAACTGGAGAACGCCATATGTCTAGAAATCAAGGAGTTTGAGAATCATACTTCGCCGTCATCCAGTTCGATTCAGAAGGAACAAAATCCATCCCAAACTGAAGAGGAACCAGCGGAGGAAACTGCTCCTAAGAGGACAGTCACTGGTATTCGCTGGTTCCTCGTGTGCGTGGCTATCTTCTCAGCAAATATTCTCTATGGACTGGACACGACTATTGCAGCGGATATACAAGCGGCAGTTTCAGAGACCTTTGACAATGTGACCCTGCTTGGATGGTTGGGAGTTGGGTTTACCCTCGGTTCAACTGTGGCTATTTTGCCCCTGGGAAAGGCATTCGGGACCTTTGATCCGAAATGGGTGTTCCTAGGATGCTTGATCATGTTTGCTGCGGGCAGTGCCCTATGCGGAGGAGCCCCGTCGATGAATGCAATCATCGTTGGAAGGGTTTGGGCTGGTATTGGAGGAGCCGGGATGTACTTGGGGTATGATAGGCTAGCTGACAATAAATCATGCTAATTGTTTTGTACACAGGACCTTGAATCTCGTGAAAATCTTGAGTACGCCTAAGGAACAACCGTTGTATGTGGGAATTACCGGGTTTGTGTACGGTAGTGGATGCATTCTAGGGCCCATTGTGGGAGGGTTATTTGCGGATAGCTCAGCTACCTGGAGATGGGTTTGTCGTTTCGTTTCCCCCTTAATATTGTGAGAATCTCTACTTAAAGCCTAGCCAGGCATTTTATTTGAATCTTGTCATCTTCGGCGCCATGTCCCCTATCTACTTATTTATCCTTCCCTCTCTTCCTCGCAACCCAGAATCGTCATTCCTATTCAAACTTCGTTCTTTTGACTAGCTGGGCATTGTTCTGACTGCGGGTGTCTACGTAACGTTTACGGTGGCTTTCACATTTGGTGGCTCGATCTGGACTTGGAGTGATGGGCGCATTATTGCTCTGATTGTGGTATTTGGAATTCTCACTATCATTTTCTGCGTGGCGCAGCGGTACTGTGTCTTTACCAACACTACAGATCGGATCTTCCCATGCGAATTTTTGCTGAACCCTCAACTAGTTTTACTTTATGTGTGTATGGCCTGCGGAGGTGCTGCGCTTTTTGTCTCGGTCTACTACATTCCTCTATTCTTTTTATTTGTGTATGGAGACAGCGGTATCCATGCAGCAATCCGTCTACTTCCATTCATCTGCTTTTACGTAACGACCACGCTCACCTGTGGTGCCTTGATGAAGCGTACGGGCTACCATAGTATCTGGTATCTCCTGAGTGGCATATTCATGACGTGCGGTGCGGTTACCATGTACACAGTCCAATACAGCACTCCTGTTGCCCACATCTACGGCTTTTCTATCCTGATGGGGCTGGGTATGACAACCACTCAGGCCAGCTATGCAGTCGGTCCGCTCCTGGTAAAACCAGAAAGGGTAGTGGAGGTGATCCAGTACCTGAATATATCACAAGGATCGAGCCAATTAATTGGATTGGCGATTGCCAGTGGCATTTTCCAGAGCCTTGGCTTCACGCGACTCAAAAACGTGTTGACCGACACGCACTATTCGGACAGCCAGATCCAGGCAGCCATTGCCGGGGCGCGTAGTGAGTTGTTACAAACTGTGAATCCGGAGCTGAGAGCGCAGTGTGTCGATGCGATTGTCAAGACAATTGATGACGTGTGGGCCACGATCATTGCGGCTGGGGCGTTGTGGACGGTCTGCTCGCTGTTTTTAACGCGCAAGAGATTTCTAGATTGATTTGGTTTTTAGAAAGGACACTGCATAGGGTCCTCAAAAACGGAGTGTTGATATTAGCATGGCAAATAGAGTAAACATAATACAATTAAGAGTTGATTGCACCACGTAACACATCTCCCTGATCTCCTACCTATACTATTTAGCATGAATTACGTTTTTCCACTGTAAATTAACATGTCGTATAAATTGAATCGTTATAATTAATCACGCGACCATCATTTATTGTTCCCCCATCGCTTTTTTCTTTTTCTGTGCCGTAATCAAACATGTGAAGGATCAAGTGCTACGAGTGAGGCGGACCCAAAGCCCTAACCTTCCACTTTGGGACAGCTCCGGAAACTCCTTCGAGACTCCGTACACAGTTGACGATAACTATAGAAAGAGAAACTCGATGACATTTGGCCTGGGACAACTCCGGAACCCAGCCTAAGCATGAAGACTCTAAAACGCCTCAACTAGATAAAGCCATGGCCTTTACATGTTCTACTTACGTTTTTACGACCTCCTCTGTACCTTCTCTTCTTCTCGTAGACGTAAATCTCAACTCGTTCGTTCACAGCTCCAGTCAGTTGACCACAATCAAAGATCAGCTGCAAAATGGCACTTCCGAAAACCTTCAAACAGGCCGTTTTCAAGGCTGTCGGCTCGCCACTGGTCATTGAAGAAGCGCCTCTCACGCCGCCCGGTGTCAACCAGCTGCTAGTCAAAGTCGAAGCATGCGGTGTCTGCTTTTCGGATATGTTTGCGCAGAACAATGTTATGGGTGGTGGGTTGTAGGTTATTCCATGATATATAGAAAAGAGAGATAATACTAAACCGTGTGTGTAGTCCCATCGTACCGGGCCACGAAATTATCGGTCGTGTCGCTGCTCTTGGAGGTAATGTTGCGGGTTGGACGGTTGGAGATCGCGTTGGAGGAGCCTGGCATGGAGGCCACGATGGTATGTATATACTCTAGATCATTCGCAGTTTAAAATAGGCTAATAATGATTCAAAGGAACTTGCAAACCCTGTCGCAAGGGTTGGTACCAAATGTGCGACAATCGAGTAGTCAACGGTGAAACCAAAAACGGTGGTTGTACGACCCTCCTTTCGATAGTCTTCCATGAATCAATTCTTTGGAAACTAACTTGAGCTAGATGCGGAGTATTGCATCCTCAATGCCGAAGCCGCCGTGCGCGTGCCCTCGCATGTGCCGGCCGTCAAGTACGCACCGATACTGTGCGCAGGGGTGTCCGTCTTCAACTCGATTCGGCATATGAACATCACTCTTGGCGAGACGGTGGCCGTGCATGGGCTCGGCGGTCTGGGTCATCTGGCGATACAGTATGCGCGGAAGATGGGCTACCGGGTTGTCGCCATCTCGAGGGATGCGCGCAAGGAGCACTCGGTGCGCGAGTTGGGAGCACATGAGTACATTGATACCAGTGCTGTAGATGCTGGTGAGGCACTGCAGAAGATGGGCGGTGCCTCCTTGATCATATCTACTGCACCGTCGGCAGAGCCAGTCAATTCGTTGCTGAAAGGATTAGGTATTCTGGGAAAGCTATTATTTTTATCAGGTAGGCTTTCCCTGCAAATTCTGGGTCGACTCCGCCAACTAAAGGTTGCAAAGTGCCGGGCGAGGTTTCAGTCGATACAGCTATTATGGTAAGTAGGCCCCCGGGTTAAAATAATAACAAATATGCTTACCAATTCTGCAGCTTGGATATGCACTCTCCGTGCAGGTATGGCCCTGTGGTCATGCCATCGACACGGAGGAAGCAATCGCCTTTGCGGAGATGGAAGGTATCGACTGTTTGGTGGAAGAGTTCCCTCTGGAAAAGGCAAACGAGGCATTTGGTGAGTTTATATTTCCCTTTCAAAATACCAGTTGAAAACTAGTCTAGATTCTAATATGAACCTGCAGAGGCGATGCTCAAGGGCACTGTGCGGTACCGGGCTGTGTTGACGATGTAGGAAATGGATGACAGGAGTCGGGCAGAGAAAGGATAATGTAGTAATACTGAGTGCCATAATAATGTCTAAAAATATATCCAGCACTTTATTCGATTGATTTATGGAATAAATGTAACGAGACGTACTAGAACCGTGCCTCTATATCTATGTAGCTCGTAATGTTGATCGACTTTTTCAGCTCACAACTACAAGGGAAGTACACGTAGAAAAGAAGAGGAAAGGTTGAATCTAGGTCAAATTCCATGCATCAGCCAGATTTCTTGATCCCACGTACAACGGCTCAAAGCTATATAACGAGTCGACATTGTACGCCAACCCCATCTCTCCGGCCAACGTGTTCTGGAACTCTGTCCATGGTGTATCCATCGGCCCCAGACTGCCCGCCTCATGGTCACGATCCGGTCCCGGGAAGGCTTTCATCTGGCTCAGGAACGACGGTGTCGAGGTGACATCAGAGTGGAAACGAGCGCTGAGTAAGTCGGCCTTAGCAGCGAGTCCCCGGGTGATGTTGGCAGCGTTAGTAGCGACAGCAAAGTGGGCACCGAAGACCTCAAATACAGTGATGGCGCTGTCGAGGGCATCGCGGGTAGCCGGTGTGGACGGGTGCAGCGGATAGGCGAGTACGAAGCCAGCCATGGAGAGGGTGGCATTCCACTGCCACTGAAAGGCTTCATACCACCCCTTGAGAATTTCTGTGGTCGTCAGAGTCTGGAGGAGAATGTGTGTAATAGCGATGGCATGGCTGACACAAGAAAGGGCATGGTCATCGGCCGCGGAGGTAGGTTGATTGACAGGGGTCGGAGAAGTACCGGACGGGAAGCAGATGAAGGGCCGGTAGAGGTTCATGGTCAGATTGTGGTATAGAAGCTCCAGAAGCAAGCGTTGACGTTGGAGCCACGACGGCGCGTACTTTTCCAGGTCTAGTGCTGATTGATCGGTCGAAAAGGGCTTCCCAGAATCTTTGCGTTTGGTCTTCATCGCGTCTGGAACGTTATAGAGCCAGTCCTGAAGGCTTTCCAGTTGGGAATGGAGCCATTCGGCCGAGGCTTCGAGATAGGACGGGTCGTTGTACATATTTTTGATGTTCTCAGCATCCTGGATTCCAGCACATTTGTCGTAGAAGCCCAGATATATCGTCTCGGTAGTGAGCACCAACGTCGTCAAGAGCCGGCTGTAGGTCAACCAGGTCACCTTGTCACCGTACGCCGCAATGTTTGAGACAGATAAGCGGGCCAACTCATGATCATCAGCTGGAAGGCTACATGTGGAGGTTTGGTTGGATGATAACCACGGTCTGCCGAGTTTCATACAAGTCTTGCTCTCGACTGTATATAGCGTCCACCAGATCCGTTTGCGCAACTCTTGCTGAGCGCGAGGAAGGCTCGTAGACGGCTCTAAATGCAGACCTAGGATATGAGCCATGCGCACGGCGAGTGCCAAGGTAACGTGCGCCATATTCTGGAAGGAAGCGTTGCAGAGATAGACAACGGAGAAGATGTGGCATTGGAGGGTCGCTATGGAGGGGCTTTCGATGTCAGAGGTGAGGAGGGCTTGTGAGCGGCGGTAATACCATCGACCGGCGATGCTCGCATCATTAAGGTCGACGTAGTCGCTAGGCCGAGAGGCGGCGATGGCGGAATCATCTTCCTGGCCTGAGGTGACGCCATACTGCATGCAGAGTGCGAGGACAATGTCGACGAGCGCGGATGACTTCCGCATAGTGGGCGAGAGGGCCCAGAGAGACTTATAGTGCTCTCGAAACTCGGCTTCGTCCAAGATCTGATAGATAGGGTGATACGACTGCCAGAACAGGTTGAGGAAGTAATCTTCTTCGATTGCGTTCAAGTATGTCTCCGAACCGGCGGCCCCGTCGGCGAAAGACGAGGGCGGCTCTTCGAGGGCATGTTTGGGCGAGATGGGACTGGTGAAGGTGCGGCTAGCCGAGTTGGGCTGTAGATTGTGGTCATTCTGAGGCTGTTCCAGCACGGTGCTCAGGTAGCTGCTGATGCGGCCTATGAAATAGAAGGCTGACGAGGATCCATACCACTGAGTCCGTGAGGCGTGTGCCGAGCGGGTGTGAATCCCATCCCAAGCACGCTTCGGGGTCGACTTATGTCGGTTGCGGTTTGCGTGGTCGTCGGTAGCTTCCAGCTGTTCTTCGAGCTCCTGCAGGCGCTGCTGCAGACGCTCAATCTCTCTGTACTTGCTGGTTAACCGGTGTAAAATCAAGACTGGGAAAGCTGTCGAACCTGAGCGCATGGGGGAGGGTACGCACTTCGCGCGCGTTCTTGGTACAATGGCCGCCCCGTGTCCGACAGTTTTGACATGGAAGGCTGCTGTCGCATTTAATGCGATGGACCCTACACCAGTCGCAGGCGCGTGCAACCTGGTTTCGTTTGGGACGCGAGGAAGTTGGCGCAGATAAGGAGGAGCGGGAGGAAGAAGCGTTGTTGGCGTGGCTGGGGCTGGTGTTATTACTGTCGGGGAGGATGGTGAAGGTTGAGTACATGATCAAATTATGCACAGGAAATGAATATTAAATTTAATCGAGCTGGGTGGGGAGTGACGAGCTGGATCCATTCATCCATCATAGAGCCCAAAGTGCGGGGTGAAGGACCGAGCATCACGGAAGGTGGATATTTCCCGGAAATTTCTAGGTGAACTATACTATCTCTTAATTATTGACAGTTTCAGCGTCACTGAACGTTGAAACAAGTCCCGTGACAGCAACTAGACCAGGGTTGCTCCGATAGGGAACGCACTAGTCTTCTGTATTTAGACCCCAAAATATAGTTGCCACGCGTCGAAGTATTGACCATGTGTATGTAATCGGCATCCTGCACTTTAAACCAGACGACGTGGGCAAACTAGAAGAAGCTTATCCCTGCGGATAAAGACAACTGGTTTTTTTGCCAATGAGCTTTCACCGCGATTCTCTCCCGCTAGGTCTCATCCTTCAACATGAAGCGTTCCGAAAAACGCTAGATGGACGTCTTCTGAATGCCCCAGTAACGGAGCCAGTCGGCCGGGTGCTCGACATTGGCACTGGGTCTGGTCTGTGGGCAGCCGAATTCGCTACGGAACATCCAACGGCAGAGATCTTAGGCATAGATATATTTCAACAGCCGACCATTACGCAGCCAAGCAACTGCCATCTTATGATCCAGGACGCGGAGCAAGATTGGGAGGTTGGTGATGCCAAGTTCGATGTCATCCATACGCGTCTGGTTCCTTTCCACGCCAAAGAGTTGCAGGCGGTTCTTCGTCGGTGCTATGAGCACCTCAAACCGGGTGGATATATTGAGATGCAAGAGGTCTGGCCTCCATGCCGAACAGATGAGCCTCCGGAGGCCCCAGAACACGCGTCTAAGGTTATTGAGTGGACACAACTTCGGTTAGAAGCTGCATCCAAGCTTGGAATTGACCAAGCCATCGCTGGCCAGTTGCCTAAGATTTTGCATGAGGTTGGATTTGTCGAGGTGCAAACGCAAGATCATAAATGGCCGATAGGGCCATGGATGGAAGATGAGAAAATGAAGGACATTGGTAATATTTATTTAGAGTTATTGCAGCTTGGTAAGATGGATGCCTCGAAGGAATTACTCTCTCACTTAGGTATGGAAGAGCGTCAAATCATTAATCTTGTTGAACAAGTCGGGAAAGAGCTTGGGATTGGAAAGCTTTATACTCCAGTCCGGATTGTGTGGGCTAGGAAGCATAAGTAGTGGTACACAGGTGAGTATTCGAAGAGACATCTACTAGTTTGAAGGAATAATATTAGGTTCCCTCAGAAGACCGAAGACTGGGACTTGGCGGGCTTGACATTATCTACCTCTATTGTGAGCATTTGGAACTTCAAATGTTGGTGAGGCTATCTACCAAACTTGACTAAGGACCCTCGAATATAGTGTGAATTGGGATGAGATCGGCCTGCTAAACTGGTAATCATCCAGCCACCATTGTAACCACTTAAGTCAACCGTGAGTAGCTCGCTGATAATACAGTAAACATTTTACTCAAAGAAAAAAAAACGCATTGTTTTGTAATAAATAGAAAGATATGAAGAGCAATTTTACCGGCTAAATCTGGAAATCAAAGACAAACTTGAACATCAGCAGCAACCCTCGAGCAAATCACGAGAAAAAACCATCATGCTGTATAGACAAATATTTGAACTGTATGTGAAATTGCAACAAGTCTAGAGAGTACTTTAATCAGCCAAGGAGATCGTCCAACGCCGAGCCGCCACTAGGCCGAGCCTGGGACGGTGGCTGTGATGTCTGTGCTACACCAGGAGTGCCCCAGATACCAGCACTTGACTTTTCCTTGGCCATGCTGGCCAGATTCGGTCCCTTGTTGGGTGCATTCTTCTGGATACCTGCACTAGCACTGGCAGTACTCCAGAGTGATCCAAAAGCGTCACCGGATGCTTTGGAGGCTGCCGGGTTGGTTGTACCAGCAGCCAAGGATGGAGTTGAAGAGGCCAGAGATGCGAATGAGGAAGTACTTTGAGGTGCCGGTCTGCCCCCTGACGAGGGAGACAACGGCTGGTTGATGCCGGAATTGATCGAGGTGTAGTAATTTGGTGTTGCTGCTTGGTATCCGCTCAGTTTAATAGCGGGCTGCTGGGGTGCCCCTGCCTTTTGTTGTGGTGCAACGAACGAGGAAGCCGAGGAAAGAGGTGGTGATATCGGTGCGGAGCTGGTCGGTGTTGGGGTCGCAGATGTGAACCCAGCGAGGCCGCTCAAGCCCGCGCCTTGGGCTGCAGATACCGGCTTGGGAGCGGCGAACTGAGTACTTGCTGTGGTTGTTGCCGTGGACGCCGGAGCAGGAATGCTGGAAAATTGAGTGGATGGCGCAGTAGCAGCAGGAGATGCGGATTGGAAGTCATCAAAGTCATCATCATCCCCTGCAGAACCGAGAACTTCCAAGCCATTGCCAGCCGGTTGTTTTCCAGCAGCAGTCGACGAGACTGGCACAACGTCATCATCACCGAAATCAAACAAGTCGGCTTCTTGGGGTTTCGGTGGCTCCGGTTCCGTTTTCTGAGCTTGTGGCTCTGTTTTCCTTCGCACCGGGGTGGATAATTCATCATCTTCATCATACTCTTCGAACCGATTATTTCGCCTGCCCGAGTCCCTACTAATATCACTGATGGCACTGGCGCCTCCAAACCCGCCACCATCACCATATACTCCTCCGCTATACCCGCCAAAGCTGTCGCTACCGAATCCACCATATCTACCACTTCCCTGACCAGAGAATCCGCCGCCAATGCCACCCTCCATGCCACCCTCCATGCCACCAAATTTGTTACGGTTCGCACGAGCCTTTTTGCGTTCTGAACGGATGGCATCGACGTCACCAAGAAGCTTAGCCAACTCTTGTGACCGGTTGCGGACGTTAATACCCTGGTCCTTTCCGTTGTTATCAATGTAATGGAATTGACGAAGCATTCGCAAAAGAGACATATGAGAACGGGCATCGTCTACAACACGTTCGGAACCATTCTTGATGAGGAACTCTAGGAGTTGAAGGGCCTACAGGAATCGATGATTAGTATATGTCCCATGAATATATACATTATGCTTGCTGTCTAGCTGGCTGACCTTGTATATTTGTCTCCATTCTTCGGCAGTCTTCTCCGTAAACCGTTTGTAAATCATAGGCATTATTTCGTTGAGCAATTGGCTGTGACCTGGTCAGTCGCAAATATCACCGTATCACTGCAGCTTTTGCAACTAACTAGTTGTGTGTGCCATTGGCAATTTCCTGCATCAAAGTCGATGATGCGCCCCAAGGTTCGTTATTCGTAGCTTCTCGAACCTATAGCATCCAGCATATCAGTCGCGGCCATGGTTCAATTTCGAGCAACGAATATATTGATGGACAAACCTTGGATTCCATTTCCGTATAATTCATAACAGCTGCAAAATTGACGGGTCAATATACCATCTTCCCAACGTCTTGTCTTGACTCCTTTCTGCCTAGGGGCCACCTTACCATTTTGTACTTTGCGCACACCTGCCTTGATGTCGTACAAGGTCAGGTTGCTAACCTGGTCTCTCAGACTGTTGAAATCCATTGCAAAGGCGAGGGCCTTGTCAATGATATAATGCAAAGCGTGGGTTGACGATCCTGTGCAGAAGTAAAGGCACAAGTAAGAAGGCAATCAGGCGCGGAAAGAGGCGGTGGGTGGCCCGATCAGTGATAATTAGCCGCAGGCTGGCGGTGGCTGCTTCCTAAGGTCACGTGAATACTTATGTCTCTGGTTCACTTATCTTGTAGACATTGCTTGCTAAATTAGGCAGACTTGAACTTCGAATGGTATATATGATTCTCAAGCTAAGTTACATACAGTTCGAAAACAAATAGTACAAGAAAACGCAAATATCAATGCCACCAGCTAGCCAAGGCAATCGACCATCCCTGCACACGGCACGTTGCAAGGTCGAATAAAAAATACTGAGTTAAGAACAAATGCTATATCAGTAGGCGTATAAACCATGACGAAAAACTGCGCCGTCTTTGTACCCCCATATCCATAATCTCGCCCATCCCTCTAACATAGGGACATAATTGAAAGCAATAGCCGTAAGCAAAGAGTTACCATCATGCACGCTCGTATCAATTTCCAAAGAAAACAATCGAAAAGACCTAAGAAAAACCATTACTCGTTATAGAACTTCTTCATGATTAGATGCAGAAAGAGGTTGACATTAACACGGAGACAGCCTTCGAAAAAGTCTAGGAATTGAGTGTTGTTGAATTGCGCCTGGAGAAGATCGTCTAGCGGTACCTGAGCGTTTGCTCCAGGTATCATCATATTACCACTGCTTCCATCCAGCGTGAATATTCCAACCTCATTACTAGAGATTGTAAGGTCAACTCGATCCCATTGGCGCTCCGTGTAGCCTTTCCACTGTACCAGCACTCCCTTGTCGGCGAGGTTGCGTGCTGAGTACTTGTACGAGCCGAATTTGAAAACGCGTCCTGTCTTCTGTAACTCACGCTCATGGTCCCACTGTTTCGTAAAGGGAAGCAAAAACCTCTTTTTCCCTTTCTTATTCTGCAGTGTGATCATTGCTTGCTCAATGTAATCATTGTAAGTCTTTAATTGTTGCTCCAGATAGACAGCCTGATCGTTCAACCTCGATGAGGTCAACCGAGCGCTCTCAAGTTCTCGCTCACGTTGGATTCTGCGTCGATGTTTGGTTCGGATATCCACTGCGATTGCATTCAAGATGTCTTGGTATTGATTGTGACGGTTGATTTTCCCTGCTGCTTCTAACTGTAAAATATTTTCGAGTGCAACACTCTTCAAATCGGCGTAACTCATCGTGCTGAGATCGAGGAGTGTGTTTGCTTCCGAGTAGGCGCCTTTCCTTTTATTGTTTGTAGAGAGTTCCTCGTGAACAAGGGACATCCACCGTTGCTCATCCTCTTCTGTGGGCGGTTTAAGCATGACGTCCATGAGGTTTGCCCCTGACTGCACCCTAATGATATATAGAATGCATCGTTTTGTTTCCATAAATAGGGTCTTGATGCTGGCTTCGGGATCTGTATTCCATGAGCATTATTGAAAATGTGGCGGAAAGAAAGAGCTCCTACCTTCTGTGTTCGCGAGTCTTGGGTGTAACGTCAAACTGATCTCCGATGTACTGACTGTCATGAGCTCACTTTCATTAGATTTAACATTGCCGAGCTCCCGTATGATGTCCTTGAGGAAGTCATCCCGTGTCGTGCATAAGAAATTGACATCATTTGCGACCAGTTGATGAATTGAGAAAATATCGGACATTTTGATGTACAGTGTAGGTTTAGTCTTTGCATAGAGATCATTGAATTCATCGATGTCAAAATAAGACTCTGCATCCTGTACCGATATTACTATAATATAGTTAGACCTCGACCTGAAAAGATACTAAGATGATTAGACTTACGATTCCCCCAAATCTCCCCAAGACGTAAGATCGAGTCCCCTACGTGATTATTCAATGGTTGGAGGTAGACATTCTCGTTGCCGAACAATCGCCCTGATGCCACTTGGGAAAGCACCTTGGAAATTTCACCAAGATTCTTCTTATGTTTGGGGTTCAAACCACGATCTATCACACCATGCTTCTCGGGTTCAAGGACTGCAGACTGGAAGTAGTTCTTCCAGATACACTGGCCGGCCACTTGAAGGATGAATCCAGGGTCCTCATGGGTGTATTGAGCAAGAAGACATTCATACAGCTCTTTTGCGATATAACGAATTCCAAACGGCATTCGTAGAAGACACTCCTGGAAGCTCCCTAGGAATTGATCAGTAATGTCGCGAAGATCTTGCAAATGTTGAATAAAGATCGCTCGCGTCTCTGGATCCCGGATGGCTACTTCTGTTGGTACATCAAGTGGACGCCTGCTTCTGTGGCCCGTGCGAAGTTCTTCGTTACTAACAGCTGAACGATAGATTTGCACGGGATCGCTTTCAAGGTCGAGTTCGGAGTTCTCGAGAACCCATTCGTTTACAAGTGGGTTCAAAACCTCACGTAGGAACTTCCGATCTCTCGGTGACTTGACATAAGCTGTGAAAAGTTTGATCCAGAACGAGTTACATCGAACCCAGTCTTGGAGAGACGGGCAGCTTTGGATTTCCTCTTTGATGGACCTCACAATTAATTTGATGAGATAATATTCTTCGCGCCTCTTCTGAGAGTAGCCGAAAAGTCCCATGATTAGGTGCTTTGTCCTTTCATACTCCTTCTCCCCAGAGTTTTGTTCCCGTAATTTGCGGAACAATCTGGCAAGGTACTGTGGTTGAGTTTGAAGAAGGAAGAACAGGACCTGATATTGCTCTAGTTTCTTTCTCGAATTCTTGTTCAGGGCTTTGAGGTCAAATGGGTCTCTCGAGGACATATTGGAATTTGACAGAAGGGATCCGAAGTGTCCCCCAAAATGCTTTTGATGTTTGACAACTTCGTCCAGAGTGATTTTGTTCTTAACTAACAGAGCGATCTTAATATCCAGTTGCGTGACATATTGGTCTGCCATTTCGTTCTGTCGTACTTGTTGAACCACTGTTTTCCTGAGTCGCTCGAATTCAATTTCCTGGTCAAAATCAAAGTCACTGTCGTTGAGCAGGTGAACGAAGCCTTTTATTGTTCCTACTGGCGGATTCTTGCCGCTTGTAAGGCTCTTGTATGCCTGGCCTTGTATTTTGCCTCTGACGAAGCTCTGCACCTTGATGACCTTTTCCATGTTTTGTCGAAAAAAGCGTTGTTTTTCAGCAAAGGCTTGTCGTACAAAGCTTCCACGGATGCATGCTTGGAGATTGACGATTATGTCTTCTTCAGCCTCCAAGTCGGACAATAGATTTCCAACATCAAGACGAACAAGCACAGCTCTGGCAAGGGCCTGGAGCTGTATGATTTCATTATCACAATCATCAAGTTGATAAAGTAGCTGACCAATATCTTTCCTGGCCATCGCGGCTCGGGCAAGAGATTGGAGTGTGATAAACGTCTTTTCGTTTTGTCGAAGACCTTGAAGATTGGCGTTGACTTGATGCCTCGACTGCATACCTCGAATACCTGACTGTAAAAGCGTAACTTGATGATCTTCTTGTTTCAGCAAGGCCATTTGCCCGTCGATTCTTGATCGAGTACCCTTTGCCCGAACAGCGCTCTGAAGTAGTATCACCGACTCCCGCTGTTCGCTTAGTTGGCTTCGAAAAATCTCGAGCTGCTTGCGAACCTTTCTTCCTCTAATGGAAGACTGCAAAATAGACCAATGTCTACCTAAACCCTGAAGTTTGTCCTCTAATTCTGCTAGGCGGGCCCTTTCCATTAAAGCTCGAGCAGCTGATTGAATGAAGACAATGGATGGAGCTTCAACCCGGAGCCGAGCAGCGTTTTTGCTCAATAGAGAACGGAGTTGCATACCTCGAACGGCAGCTTGAAGAGACATTATCTCTGACTCGGCGCCTCTGGTTTGTTCAACTTGGTTGAAAGCCTGTTTTCGTTGCAAGGCTCCTCTAATTGCGGATTGGAAGGTTTTAATTCCTGACACCTCCTTTCGGATCCTAGTCTTTAAGTGCTCAACTTGGCTCCTAGTCTTCCTGCCCCTGACCAAGCTCTGTATTCTCAGGACATCGTCTACCTTTCTTCTCCACCACTTCTCATCCCTCTCTCTCCTAGCACGCACTATATAACCACGGGAAATGGCTTGCAGGCTGACCGCAAATTGACGCATGCTCAATCGATAGCCGATAATTTGGCGTGCCCAGTCACCACGTACCCTAGACTGGAGATCAACAATCCAATGTTCGTTATCCCAAAGCTGATTCATAGTTTGTCCTAGTTGGATTCGTAGGACAGCGCCTCGTATTTGTGTTTGAAGATCAGTTATAGACGTCTCATTCTCATGTAATTCGCGTTCTATCCGTTCTTCTTCGGTCTCGGGTGGCTCCGGTTCAGGCTCAGGCTCCGGTTCTGCACCAAATGTAGCCCCCATTCCAGAAAAGCTAGGCATGCTAACACCAGATTTATCCAGACACTTTTGCGTTTGTTCGAGTTCATGATGTTCGAATTCAAGTTGACCCACCAAGTTACCAATACGGAAATCGACAATTCCGTTTTTGAATAATAACCACGAAAGGGCATGGATACAGTGAATCACCTTGGGGATATTCTTCTTCTCATACAAGTCAATCAATTCAAAGCGAAATATGTCAGGCAATGCAACCTCATCCAAGAATTGGTTGAAAAGCGCAATGTTGTCTGAATGACGGTACTGAAGCTTTGGATGTCGGAAGATGCGCAGCATTCGATTAGGATATAGAGATTGTACAATCTCAGCCAGAGTTACGCCATCACGCAAAGTTTCCTCCAATTGAACAATTGGTGGGATCTCTTTTTGAATGACGTCCTCGATCCATTCTTTCGCTTCTCCAATATGGCAAAGATATTCGTAGGCTTGAAGGAACTGTCTTTGCTTGTCCATCCAATTGCCTGCGGCCCAGGAGGATGCAGGTAAATTCTTTCTTTTTGGATGAGGAGTTCCTCGTACTGAATCCGACCGCTTAAGACGTCTTCTACCCTGAAGTCCAACAACGGACGGTATTGTTGAATCAATCGCAAACTCATCGGTTTCCCCGGATTTGGCAAACTTTGAGAGAGTTCGAAGGTGACCGGTAGATGACTTTTGGAAGGTTTCGAGTTCAGGGGCGGTGAATGCCGTGGTTAAGGTCGGCGGATGGGGACTAAAATGGTTTTGCGATTGCTGAGACTTCGGACGAGGAGGTGTCGGAGAATATGATTGGTGATCTAATATTTCGTTTTCTTGCCATCTTATCCTGCGTTCCGGTGTGCCAACTGGGGAAACAGAATTTCGATATGCGGTCTCGTCAATGGTATAGCTCCTAGCATGGCGGTTAGTCGTTTCCTTTAGCGAGCTCTTTGGCGAAGAATTTGGTGCTTGTGGCAGTGGTCGTAGCGAGCGCCGGATACTTCCGTATGTTTCTGCTGCAGTGACATTCTTCTCAGGCATGGTGGCCATGGTTGGCACGAAAGTACCTAGTTCACTTTTGCCACGTCTGTGGCCAAAGCTGGCTAGTGACGATGCATTCGAGGAAATGGTACTGGTCCGACTGGGAACATCTGAGTTTGAGAAGACAGTGTAGGCTGATGACACAGTCGAGGCTGTCGAGTCATGCCGCATTGGATTTGAAGTCGAGGGTCCGAGGTCGGTTTGCGATCGTCTGAACGATGTTGCGTTGGACATCACGGAGCGTTGGGCGCGTTATTGAATGCGACAAGGTGCAGGTCAAGCGAAAGTCTTTGCACGCCGGAACGCATGCCTGCGCCGTTGATTGGGACCAAAAATTGGTGAAAGATGTAGTCGCGTAAGATTTTCGGATCCAAGGGATGGTTTGTGCTTATGAGATGGCCCTTGGAAACTTATCCTAGAGAAGGATCAGGCTCAAGGGACGTCTTTGAGCCTCGAGAGAGAAGCAACTAGCGAAGTAACCTCGCAGCCGAGATAGTCAAGGCTTCGCTAAGGGACGCTTGGTCGGCGGAGGAGTAGTCAGGCTGTGCTATGCCCGGTCGCTCCTGCCCTCAGCGGGAGGGGTTTGTTTACCTTGTTTACAATTCTCCCAATTTGGTATAGTGGCGCGTTGCCGCCTCTCCCACAGCCCGTGTTTCTATCACGTGACCAATGAGAGTGTGCAAACATTACAAAGCAGTACTTTTTCTTAGATATATCATTCAACTACGATGCCCTCATCGTAGAGAAGGTTGCCATGTGCATATGCAGTCAGACCCTGGTGTTAAATTTCGTAAGCGAGTATTGATCCGCCTTCAATATATATATTGTGAGGAGTTGCAATGTTCTATTATCTTTCCCATGCCAGGTAAAAATTAAGATTCTTGAGTACAATATTTGATGAAATCGACAGATAAAAATAAAGAATAGTGTGTAGATAGACCAAACCTTACACAAGCGAGTTTCTTAAGTTGAATGAGTCGGCTTTTGCTGATATTGTATGAGGCAATCGGATCAGATAAGAAACCAATCGATGCTTGTAATAAGACTTTTAGCCGCGTCCCCCTCCTTCAACAATCATCACTGACTATCAGAGTATTAGTGATCAAACTTATGGGTCAAATCATTCGATTGTCACTTTCCCCAGGAGCAGTTGCCGATCCCAAATGGCATAGTGTATGCGCCACACGACATTGGACTGATAAATATAAAACGGATGCAACTCAATCGGTAGCCCCACAATCCGCCATTCATCTACGTAGATTGGGCACGCAATCTCAACACTCCAATTGATCTTGTGTTTTCTGACGAAAATAGCCCTAACAATCCAACGGATTAAGAATACAAAAGACAAAATGAGTGCAAACGCCCCCAGATACGTATACAAGCTTGTCCCATCGACCGCACCCATTCCCGAGACTTTACCGGACCAACTGCCTGTCAGCGATCTGGATCAACGATCGGGATTCGTTCATCTCTCCTCAGCAACCCAGATCCCCAATACGCTCAAGTTCTTCTTCAAAAACGAGCCCCTCGTTTACGTGCTCCGGATTGTGTATGACAAAGTAGAGAAAGATATTCGGTGGGAAAGCCCCGATGCTACGGTATGCGGGCCACGGGGAGGCGAAGGAATGTTTCCGGTAAGCTTTGGCAGATATTACACTCGGGATAGATTATTGATGGCCACAAAGCACCTCTACAATGGCCTTAAGCTCGGCAAAGATGAGATCGAGAGCGTGGCTACATGGAAGAACGTAGATGGCTGGGATGATGCATTGCAGAACGCAGGATCTTGGCTTATTTATTAGAGAAACGTTCGATTTGTTAATTTTGATTGATGTCAGCAACCCTGAGTATTTTGAAGTGATTAATGATAGAGTGGAATATACATGCTTTCCCTATTTCTAGCAAAATAACTCATTGCTGGCATTTGCTTGCTCTCTCTGAATGGTAATGAAGGTCAGAAGCGGCGATTCACCGCCTCAGGCCACCAGCCAGTGGCAGGTGCAGGCTAGCGCTAGCGCGGCGTTGGCCCCACAGAACTGACGGAAAAAAAAGTTATCAACGCTGTGAGCCGGATTTCCCTCTTTCCTCTTTTTTTTTCTTTCTTTTCTTTGGGAAAGGAAACTTCTCCCCGTCAGCAGGAATCTATCTCCGCAGCTTCCGTTGACTGTTTTCTCACTTGGCTCTGGCCCTTTATTATATTCCACGAGCTTTTTAATTCAAAGCCCGTACTTTCGCCATGACCATCTCCAATGGTGACGCACAAGGGCTCCTCCCCACCAAGGCAGAAATCCAGGACTTCACCACGGCTTTGGAAGTCCTGGAGAGAGACTATCCAACCAGAGATGGTTTGGATGTCGACGCCTTACTTGACTCAGACAAGCACGGTGCACTGACTTACAATGACTTCTTGGTCCTGCCTGGCTACATTGGTGCGATATATCGCCTGAGGAATCGTTGCCGACCTGTGTATTAATCGTTTGACAGGATTTCCCGCTTCCGATGTCTCTCTTGAAACTCCAGTCACGAAGCGAATCAGTTTGAAGACTCCTCTTCTGTCTTCTCCTATGGACACTGTCACTGAGCACAACATGGCCATTCACATGGCACTGCTTGGTGGCCTCGGTGTCATCCACCACAACTGCTCAGCCGAAGACCAGGCTGAGATGGTCCGCAAAGTGAAGAGATTCGAGAACGGCTTCATTTTGGACCCGGTCGTCATATCTCCCAAGACCACTGTCGCTGAAGCAAAGGAACTCAAGTCCACCTGGGGATTTGGCGGCTTCCCAGTAACTGGTGGGTCTAAATTTCTTTTCCTTTTGGTATTTGAGTTTTTATGATGCTTTAAATCTTTTTTTATATAACTTTCGTTCCACCGTAGTAGCGAGAGCTGCCATGTGGAGAACAAGATTCCTATCTGAACATGTTGCTTTATTACTTCGGGAAAACAAGGCTTTCATTTTATGTGAAATTGCTGACAATCTGTGAAACAGAAAACGGAACCCTTCGCTCCAAGCTCGTCGGTATTGTCACTAGCCGTGATATCCAATTTCATACCTCAGATGAAGATCCTGTAACCCAAGTTATGTCTACTGATCTCGTCACTGCCCCCGCTGGTACCACCCTTGCCGAAGCTAATGAGGTGTTGCGCAACTCGAAGAAGGGAAAACTTCCCATCATCGACAAGGATGGCAATCTTGTCTCCTTGCTCTCGCGCTCGGATTTGAGAAAGAATCTGCACTATCCTCTGGCATCTAAGCTTCCTGACTCCAAGCAGCTTATTGCCGCTGCCACTGTCGGAACTCGGGATTACGACAAGCAGCGATTGCAGTTACTTGTTGATGCTGGTTTAGACATTGTTGTGATCGACAGCAGCCAAGGCAACAGCATATATCAAATCGACATGATTAAATGGGTTAAGAAGACTTTCCCTCAAATTGATGTCATTGGCGGTAATGTTGTCACGCGCGAGCAAGCTGCGAACCTCATTGCTGCCGGTGCCGATGGCCTGAGAATTGGCATGGGCAGCGGTAGTGCATGCATCACTCAAGAGGTTATGGCTGTCGGTCGCCCCCAGGCATTGGCTGTCCACAGTGTTTCCTCGTTCGCTGCCCGCTTCGGTGTGCCTTGTATCGCCGATGGTGGTATTGAGAACGTCGGCCACATCGTCAAGGGTCTTGCTATGGGCGCTTCGACAGTCATGATGGGCGGTCTCCTTGCCGGTACAACCGAGTCTCCTGGCGAATATTTTGTCAGCAGCGAGGGCCAGCTAGTCAAGGCTTACCGTGGTATGGGTAGCATTGACGTAATGGAAGATAGAAAGACGACCAAAGCTGGAAAGGAAGGCAAAGCTCAAAACGCCGGAACTGCCAGATATTTCTCGGAGAAAGACCGCGTCCTTGTTGCCCAGGGTGTCTCTGGGTCTGTTTTGGACCGTGGTTCCGTGACTAAGTTTGTTCCATATCTCATTGCTGGTGTTGAGCATTCGTTGCAGGAAATTGGTGTCAAAAGCATCAAAGCGCTACACGAAAACGTCAATAATAAGACTGTTCGTTTCGAGGTGCGCAGTGGCAGTGCTCAGGCGGAAGGCAATGTCCACGGTCTGCACAGCTACGACAAGAAATTGTACTCGTAGACGCTTATAATTGAAGATTACGATCGAGCACTTCAAAATGAATTAGTGATGTATTGATAATGACTGTCTTGAGTGAATGTGATTACCTTAAAAATTTGAATATCTAACTTTTTTCCATTTGGTGTTCAATACTGCATTAGACGAGCGTAGTCTCCTAGTTACCAAGGGCGGATCGGCTTTGCTTCCACGAACCTCGGCCGTGCAGCTTCCCCGCGTTTAACCTTGTCGCTCCCAAATTCGATGTATCTGGTATTCCATTAAAACGTCTATTAATACAACCGAGGTCAACGTTATTTGTTGGCTTTCTGTCTTTCTGGTTTGGCACAACGATGCCATTTCTTTTCAAATTCGACAGTGCTCTAGCAACAAAATCGTCTTATTATTCACTGTTCAGGACATTCTTCCCTGGCTATAACGCGCCACGCAGCAAAGCCAATCACGAGCCTGTGAGGATTGATCGGTTTAGATTCTCAACATTCTGCCGAACTAGAAGTAGCATTCACCCATATGATCAGTCGCTAAAAATGTCGACTAAATCGGGAAAGAAAGACATTGCCGTCGCTAGACCGAGCTCGAGGTACTTTGGCCTGGATATTACCGTTTCACATATTGAGTTTATATTTATTAACAAACACCTTTCTAGCGTCGTCCTGATCTCTCCAGAAAATAAAGTATTGTTGCTACACAGAGTGAAGACATCCACTTCATTTGCCTCTGCACATGTGTTCCCCGGCGGCAACATATCCTCAGAGCAAGACGGTGAGTGCCCTCCTGTCGAAGACATCACACGGCATGATGATGCCATCAACTATCGAAGAGCTGCTATCCGAGAGCTTTTTGAAGAAAGCGGTATTCTACTGGCAAAGGATCGTGTCTCGGGTGAACTTGTTCATATTAATGACGCCGAGAAGGAACGTGGTAGGAAGGATATTCATAACAATAAAATAGTCTTTTCTGAGTGGCTCCATGGGCAAAATACCGCTGCAGAGCCTGACACAGGTATGTATATGCTTATTCAATATCTTTCATTTGCTTACCACAGGAATAGCTGGTTTAATCCCATTTACACGTTGGATAACGCCGCCGAATCTCCCAAAGAGATTTACAACCCAAATGTATCTGTACTTCTTACCACTAGTCGAGCAGTCAGAAAATGCACATGGTTTACCTAAAGGCGGCCTACAAGAAGTTCAAGTACCGACATCTGATGGAGGAATTGAAATTAACGAGGCCCGATTTCTACGTGCATCTAGCTGGTTAGAAAAAGCTCGTTCTGGCGAGATTATCCTCTACCCGCCACAGTTTATGCTCTTATCACTCGTTTCGCAATTTCTGGATCAAGATGGCAACGACAGTACATCAAAGACACTCCAGCGACGCCGAGCGCAGCTTGTGGAGTTTGTGCACTCTGGAAGCCCGGCGTGGACCGACAAGTGCATTTCGCCTCGCAGCATGAAGCTGCTTGACGACAATAGGGCAGTACTCACCCTCGACCATCCAGGCCCGGAGCTTCATGGTTCAAACAGAAAGGGAGAGAGTGATAGGGTTATCTTGGTGAAATTTGGCAAGGAAGGCCCTCGCAAGGTTGAGGTGCGGTGGAAGAAAGATATTTTGAGGGAAAATTCCAAGGTTAATTTGTAGCTCAACCACTATCATCGTGTATATAACGTCGTCTGCTACTGTAGAAATAATAATAGACGCATTGATGGAAAAAACTATATGGCCGTGAATTGAAAATACATAAGATAGGGTATGGAGTGGGGCAGTAGGTGGTGCACCGTATTTATCCGCGACGCACTCACCTAACGAAACGCACCTCGATAACAAGTCACATGACCCACAATCGCCGTTTCCGATATTCTTTTCACGGATCGGCTATAGCGACAAGCGAAATCAGCCAGCAAGTCTCCTTCCACCGTCAACTCGTTTTTTGAAACCGACGATTCAACCAAGAATTTGCCAAAATGGAGAACGAAAAGGGAGAGATTGTCGATCTGTTCGTTTCCTACTCTTTCCTTACTTTTCAACGATAAAAAATACGAGAAGTATTGAAGATCTAACAAAAATTTCCTTGCAGCTACGTCCCCCGCAAATGCTCGGCCACCAACCGCATCATCAAGGCCAATGACCACGCCTCCGTCCAGCTCTCCGTCGGCAAAGTCGATGAGAACGGTCGCTACACTGGCGAGAACCAGGTTTATGCTCTGAGCGGATTCGTTCGTGCGCGCGGCGAGGCTGATGACTCGATCAACCGCCTAACCCAGCGGGATGGCTACTTGAAGAATGTATGGAGCGCTCAACGATAAATGGGTCGATGATTTGGGTGTATGAAAAGAGTGCTGTGATGGTGAGTTTATTATACATATACAATGCTCTCATACGTGAAATTAAGAGTGTACAACTGCGGATCCCGATGCTGATTGGAAATCTAGAAATCTGTATGAAATGAATACACGCATTCAACGGACTGGTGTGGAAGAAGGGAGAATGGAGTTTGATTTTGGCAGCGCTGTGTTCCCAACACGCAGTAAAAGAGCGAAAAAGGGACGAATAGAACAGTGATGTGTCAATCAGGACAATTCCTTTTCTTTTTTTACACAGAGGAGATAATTAAGGATACCTCAATTCTAACCATTCCAAAATAAAATGAACGGCAAACCGACATTTTATATCGATATCTGCGCTTTTTCCATATTTCATTCTTTTTCTTCTGCTTTAATGCTAAGTGCTATCGGCATATCAAGGCCTCCTCACTCCTGTCTTCCATGAGAGAGGAGGTAGACATCGTAAAACATCCATCAGCCGAATATTAGAATCCTCCTACTGAAGAGCCGCGGTGATTTTCAGAGATCACGGACCGAGGCACAGATACGGGTGGGACAATATTTATTCTGAATAATATGTAGTGAATATAATGAGTTGGTAATTTGGAATAGACATGGTATCCTGCTTGGCTTTATTCATCTATCTGGACGTAGTTCTATCATACATAGGTATCCAGAGGCACTTCATAGGTTTTTTTTTATATCGCCGATCATGACTCGTTCCATTTGGATATTTCCTAACATCCAATACGTAAATCTGATTAGTCCCTTTCGAGACGCACGGCAGGATTCGTCTCAATGAAGTTGAGGTCAACCTTGTGGCCGAGGAGCTCTCGGATGTTGCTCACACCGTATCTAGCCAGTATTGTTAGCAGAGCTGCGATTGTTCTATATTATACATGAATATACTCACTTGATCATCGTGGGTCGCTCAAGACTCAGACCCCATCCATACACACGCATGTCCTTAGGGATACCCATAGGCTCAAGCATTTCCGGACGGAACATGCCGCTATTTCCGATTTCCACCCATTTGCCGAGTCCGTCGTGATATCCAAAAATCTCCATACTAGGCTCAGTGTAAGGGTTGTAGGCAGGCTTGAAGCGTAGTTGATGAATGCCCATCTTCGCGAAGAAGACCTCCATAAAACCAATCAAACCACCCAGTGCTAATCCAAAATCGGCAATCACACCTTCGATTTGGTGGAATTCGGCCAAGTGGGTGGCGTCAACTGCCTCGTTTCGGAAAACGCGGTCGATACTGAAGTAGCGTGCTGGGCGTGGGTTGGCGGCAAGCTTGTGTAGCATATATGTTGACACCGAGGTTGTATGTGTTCGGAGCACTAGTCGTAAAGACTCATCGGGATTCCATGGATAACGATATCCGACAGATCCATACTTGCCAGTTTCGTGGACAGCACGCACATTGTCCCAGTATTCTTGGTAGTTGAGAGGCTTATCCTCGGTCTTTTTCGCAGATGATGGCATGGAAGATGTCTTGACGAGATGTGGGTCGTTTGGAGGGTCTTCGCGAGGAGGATCTGCCTTGAGGGGATCGGAGATGTAGAAAGTGTCCTGCAAATCACGGGCGGGGTGTTGTTGTGGCACATAGAGGGCGTCGAAGTTCCAGAAGCCGGTTTCGACGAAACGATTCGTAGGCATTTCTTCGAATCCCATTTCAAAGAAGATGTTTCTGAATTCTTGTCGCACCTTGTTCAAAGGATGAAGTGCTCCAGTGGGTGTCGGCGCACCCTTGGCCTTGAAGTTATAGGGTTTTAAGTGGACGGTCTTCCATGAGCCATTGGCCAACATCTCGGCAGTCAGGTCTGTCTCTTCTTTAACGAATTCCCTGGCATATTTAGGGCCCTTGGAGATCTTGAAACTGAAAACCTTCTGGATGGTAATAAGTTTTCTCTTCTTCAAATCCGCGACAACCTTGCTATCGGGATGAGTCTGAGTGTTCTTGACAGTCTCTATTTGTTCCCTAGTTTCGTCGAGGATCTTGTCCGTATTTGCCCGCAGTAAATCCTTGTCCTTTTTAATCCAGCCTCGCTTGAATGCGTTTCCTTGTCCAACCTTAGCGACGTCTTTGCCGACAATTCCAGGTAGATCTGTGATCTTCAGACCATCCAAGGCTGCCACGACGGCATCAAACACCTTAGCTTCGTGAGAGCCACTGGCGGCGATCGATTCTCCTTCTTCGGTTAATACGAGAATTTCTTTCTCACTCGTCTCATATTCAACCATTGATCTCGAGGATAGACGGTCGAGCGAGGCCTTTATCGTCGTGGAGGGGGCAGAGGGGAAAGCATCGGTGGAGAAGATAGGGCCATCGGACGAGGCAAGGGCATCCAACACAGGTGTGGTCAAGTCAGACGCCATTTTTGCGATCGGGGAATGAATCACCGGTGGAACGAAAATGGGTGTTGGTGGTGTGGCAGAACCACTTTTCGAGAATAATAAATGCCAGTCGGTAGTCGGTGATGTGCGCCGATGACTCTTCGGACGGATCAAATTTCGATACGGAGAGATAGACGCACTCACTGTGCAGTTTCACCCCACGGTGCCTGGATCACGTGACACAAAAACATCATATATATACATCCTCTGAAACCTCATAACAAGACATATATTTAGACAGAAATATGCTAGTCGCAACTGGGTGTGCTAAGAGTAAGCTGCTAGCCATGTTTTCTAAATGAACTACATTACGTATCTCTTGCGGATTGCAGTTCTATGGGAAAACGATGAAACGGCAGGTCCGTGAAAGGGTTTGTATATAATTGCTTCAAATGACAATTAGTCCTTCAAATCTACTAGAAAATGAAAAATGGATTGTCGGTGATAATTCACAGGCTTCACCGCTAGATATCGTCCCGATACAGAGGACAATGATTTCAGCACTCATGGTGATCGAACTGCCCGAAATAATGATGGTGTAGACGATTAACCATTGGACCACAGACTCTAATATTCGCGCACTTGGGTGGTGAGACAGCATTTGGCATCGCAAAGGTCTGGGATGACTGGGGAGGGACGATCCACATGACGACAACAAGTAATGATCGATATGACTAGATACTTTTCGAAATAATGATCATCGTCAGGACACCGGCATCATAGGCGGGCGTATGTACGTGTCCTTCAGATCTGCAAGACTACCAGGAACATCCCAATAAGAAGAATGTCATAGCTTGGGGATGCAAAAGATTGATATCTGAAACTCGCTATGAAACTTGGTTAATCGATCGAATCTGAGATCGAAGAGTCACCATGCGGTATCATGTTAGGTTCCTACCGGCAGATTTTCATTGGAAAATCCGACCATTATGATAGTTGATAGCCTGATTTAGATTTAATGTTAACAGTTGATCATGATTTAAATTTAAAAATTTAAATAATGTTGTTCAATATTAATTCCTGTCTTAATGCGGTTGTCCAATCTACCGCTAGTCATCTGACGCTGTAATTTCACTAGTAAAGTATAAATTTCAACGTGCGGTGAGCAGTAGTAATTACAGTGCAGAGGGAAGTGATGACCTCACTGTTACAATAATTCACTAAATATGCAAGATAAACTGGGAAGTTGGAAGGGCTGATTGAAGGTGGATGGTTGAAGATATCAATTGATGAAGTCTTGGTCGCCAAGAGCCGAGTTTTCTGGTAACTGCCCATGCTGTCTTGTGTTCACCAAGAAGCTCTACAACAGCTCCTAAAAATGTGGCCGAATGTAACAGTAAATAATAATTAGAAATCTCAACTTGCTCGGAAAAAAGGGCCCGCGGGGGTTCAGGGCGAACAGCAGTTCACCATTCTACTAATATTAAATCTTTTGTGGTCCGCTATGCCGACACGGTGGAACTCCTGGACGAGCTGCCCCAGATAGCGCTGTTTCGATTCCACGGAACGCGTGGTGGTTAGCTCGGTTTCTCGTCGTGGTATTACCGAGCCATACAAGTAATTCATGTTCTGTACAGTGGTTGTGCGGGGAAAATTGGCATGTGAGAGTATAGATAACTTACTCATTGACCAGTTTGCACTTTACACCGAGTAACAATCGGGTTACGACAGATCACTGTGCGCTAACATCCCAGCCGGCCGTTTTAGCTTATTCTGAACGAGCCACTTGCAAGGCGCTTCCACACATCCATTGTGATTGAATGGTACCCGGCAGAGAATCCTACTAAGCCAATCACTGGTTGTACCCCGGGACCGAATGCAGCTGATAAAGCTATAGAGCGCAAAGAACTCGAGTTCATTATAAGAAATTCATACCTATTCAAAAGCGATATATAGGCGGCGCTGTATAATGTAAGCCAGTCTCAACCAAGGCCGGGAGAGCAGGTGATTGTAACGATCTGTATCGTAATTGGCCCGTGGTTCGTGGCAGCAAGGCGCACGGGATCCACTTCCCCCTCCACACGGGCCAGCGGGCTGCCGGAAGACAACCAATCAGAGGACACTCCTTTCAGTGGTTGACCTTAGTCCTGGCCAGTCAGGGGACCCCAAGCCGTAGCTGGACCCCACCGGGGAGCCGCCAATAGGCTGCCCCGGCTGGGTTCTTCTCTTTGGGAGCCCCCCTGGACGGCAATAATAACACTAATCCATAATCCCAGCGTGAATAGAGTACAGTATGGCGAGACCAAGTCGTACGGATGGCATGGAATGGCCTCGCTATTGCTACAGAGGAAGGAGCTGGGATGCACCGTTAGAAGATAGGAAGTAATAGTGATAATATTTTAAATAATTCTAATTCCGCCTGGTCGTGCCCTCTGGCTGATACGGGCTCTGCCATGACATAGGCTGCTCTCCGATCCCCTCTCGCCCTAGGCAAGCCCCAGCCCCCCCCCGTTTGGTTTTGGGCGGTGTTCACTCTAATTTCTGTCTCGCTTCAACTCTATCCTGTCTCCTGCGCATAGATGCCCATCGACGCATCATCTGTCGCGTCTGTTCTGCAACGTGCTATCCTCTTCTTTTAATATTCTCATCCGTCTCTGCCCTTTTTTAATTTCTAATTTTGCATTTTGCTTGTCGGAACATCACCGGTGCCGCAGTCAGGACAACCGGCTCTCTTGAGACTCCCTTGTCGCACGCCTACCTCACAAAAGACGCTTTTTGGGATTCTCTTCTCATCACGATACGTCCTCATGTCGCTCGCGTAGCCTCGTCGCATATTTGCCGTTGATTATAAGGGCTTGCTTCTCGATTATTCTATTGTTGAACAGGCAGGACTTGGTTCAATAGGCAGTGCAGCATTAGAAAGGGAAAGAAAAAGGAAGAAAAAGCAACCAAAATCATCATGGGTGGTGAGGATGCTGCCTTCCAGGCGGCCGCTGCCATTCTGAATGGCCTCGCCAGAGAGACAGCGCCGACCGATGATTCCAGTGTTTCACCCAAAAGTATTTCAAACGGTTTCGACCCGAAGAAGGTTAAGCTGCCTGGTGAAGCCACCGCTGGGAAAGCGGCGTTCGAGGCGGAGTTGCAGGCACTAATCAGCCGTGTCAATGGACTGGAAACAGAAATGGTCAGTATCAACTTTCCCTCGCTTTGCTGCAAGTTATATACTTTTGTTGTTGTCCTAACCCGTGCTTCCTTCCAGCAGTCCAAGAGGCCCCGGAGATCACGACGCCTTAAACGAAAATACTCCAGATCGGTAGACGAGAACGATTCCGAGGATGAAGACGAGGATGAAGACGATGAAAGTGACGACGATGAGGTCGATGGCGACGAGGAGGTTGATCCTCGCCGTCGCCTCCTAGCGAACGACGCTGACGCTCTCCGTCAGATCACCCATCTACATAACCACGTCAAAAAGCAGGCCGAGGAGATAAGCGTACAGAAGACTATCATCGCCCGTGTCAGGGATGAACTCCAACAACAGGAAGAGCATACACGCCGTACTTTAGTCAAGGTAGAGCATGAGGATGTCGGGGTATTAGAACGTGAACTACGGAAACATCAACAAGCCAATGAAGCCTTCCAGAAGGCGCTTCGTGAAATCGGTGGAATTATTACACAAGTTGCCAATGGTGATCTCTCCATGAAAGTTCAAATCCACCCACTAGAAATGGACCCCGAAATCGCCACTTTCAAACGCACGATCAATACTATGATGGACCAGCTTCAAGTTTTCGGAAGTGAAGTGTCTCGAGTCGCCCGCGAAGTCGGAATCGAAGGTATCCTTGGTGGGCAAGCCCAAATCACTGGCGTTCATGGTATCTGGAAGGAATTAACAGAAAATGTCAATATCATGGCCAAGAATCTTACGGATCAGGTGCGAGAAATTGCCACGGTCACGACAGCTGTCGCGCACGGTGATCTCAGTCAAAAAATCGAAAGCCGTGCCAATGGTGAAATCTTTGAATTGCAGCAGACGATCAATACTATGGTTGACCAACTTCGTACATTCGCAACAGAAGTCACACGTGTCGCTCGTGATGTCGGTACAGAAGGTGTGCTAGGTGGCCAGGCTCAAATTGAAGGTGTGCAAGGCATGTGGAATGAATTGACAGTGAACGTCAACGCAATGGCCAACAATCTTACTACGCAAGTGCGTGATATCGCTACAGTCACTAAGGCCGTCGCCAAGGGTGATTTGACCCAGAAAGTCCAGGCAAACTGCAAGGGTGAACTTGCAGAACTAAAGAATATTATCAACTCCATGGTGGACCAACTACAACAGTTTGCTCAGGAAGTCACCAAGATTGCCAAGGAGGTCGGCACAGACGGTGTTCTTGGTGGTCAAGCCACTGTGCATGATGTAGAGGGTACATGGAAGGATTTGACCGAGAATGTGAACAGAATGGCCAACAATCTTACCACTCAAGTCCGTGAGATTGCTGATGTCACTACCGCTGTCGCAAAGGGAGACTTGACCAAGAAGGTCACGGCCAACGTCCAGGGCGAAATGTTGGATCTCAAAAACACAATCAATGACATGGTGGATCGTCTCAACAAGTTCGCTTTTGAAGTGTCCAAAGTGGCTAGGGAAGTCGGAACTGATGGAACACTCGGCGGTCAGGCCAAGGTCGATAATGTCGAGGGTAAATGGAAAGATCTCACTGACAACGTCAACACGATGGCGCAAAATCTTACTTCTCAAGTGCGAGGTATCTCCGACGTGACGCAAGCTATTGCCAAGGGTGACCTCAGCAAGAAGATTGAAGTTCATGCCCAAGGAGAAATGCTGACTCTAAAGGTTACCATCAATAACATGGTTGACCGTCTAGCTAAATTCGCCACGGAAATAAAGAAGGTCGCTCGTGACGTCGGTGTCGATGGAAAGATGGGTGGTCAAGCCAACGTGGAAGGTATTGCTGGTCGATGGAAAGAAATTACAGAGGACGTCAACACAATGGCCGAAAACTTGACATCACAGGTCCGTGCCTTTGGCGAAATTACCGACGCCGCTACTGATGGTGATTTTACCAAACTGATTACTGTCAATGCCTCTGGAGAGATGGACGAACTGAAGCGAAAGATCAATAAGATGGTGTCAAACCTGCGTGACAGTATTCAACGTAATACAGCTGCTAGGGAGGCCGCTGAGTTGGCCAATCGTACAAAGTCAGAATTCTTGGCTAATATGAGTCACGAAATTCGAACGCCTATGAACGGTATCATTGGCATGACCCAACTCAGTTTGGACACCGATGATCTTAAACCCTACCCACGGGAAATGTTGAACGTCGTCCACAACCTGGCCAATAGTTTACTAACTATCATTGATGACATTCTCGATATCTCCAAAATCGAAGCTAATCGGATGGTTATTGAAAGTATTCCATTCACAGTCAGAGGCACGGTGTTCAACGCCTTGAAGACTTTGGCAGTCAAGGCCAATGAAAAGTTCTTGAACTTGGCGTACCAAGTTGATAGCTCTGTTCCCGATTATGTTATCGGTGACCCGTTCCGTCTTCGTCAGATTATTTTGAACTTGGTTGGAAATGCTATCAAGTTTACTGAGCATGGTGAAGTCAAACTCACAATCAGCAAGTCCGAGAGAGAGCAATGTGCTTCAGACGAGTATGCTTTTGAGTTTTCTGTTTCCGACACTGGCATTGGTATTGAGGAAGACAAACTCGATCTTATCTTCGATACCTTCCAGCAAGCAGATGGGTCGACTACCCGTAGGTTTGGAGGAACTGGACTTGGTCTTTCGATTTCAAAACGCTTGGTCAACTTAATGGGTGGTGATGTCTGGGTTACATCAGAATATGGACATGGTAGTACCTTCCACTTCACCTGCGTCGTCAAGCTAGCAGATCAATCCTTGAGGGTCATCAGCTCTCAGCTCGTTCCCTACAAGAATCATCGTGTGCTTTTCATTGATAAGGGACACACGGGTGGGCACGCTGAACAAATCACTCAAATGTTGAAGCAACTGGATCTGGAACCGCTCGTTGTCACAGACGAAGACGAAGTTCCTCCGCCCGAGATTCATGATCCTTCAGGGAAAGAATCGGGGCATGCCTACGATGTCATTATCGTGGACATGGTGGACACTGCGCGCAGCTTGCGTACATATGATGAGTTCAAATACATACCTATCGTCCTCCTTTGCCCAGTTGTGTCTGTGAGCCTGAAGTCTGCTCTCGATTTGGGTATTACATCTTACATGACTACGCCTTGCCAGCCCATTGACCTCGGCAACGGAATGCTTCCAGCACTGGAAGGCCGATCAACACCTATCACAACGGATCATTCCCGATCATTTGATATCCTCCTTGCGGAAGACAATGAAGTCAACCAGAAATTGGCTGTCAAGATCCTCGAGAAATGTAACCACGGGGTTACTGTTGTAGGCAATGGTCAAGAAGCATTGGATGCTATCAAGGCACGCCGATACGACGTCATTCTCATGGATGTACAAATGCCTGTCATGGGTGGTTTCGAAGCCACAGCTAATATCCGAGAATACGAGCGAGAGAACAACTTATCTCGGACACCAATCATTGCCCTTACTGCCCACGCAATGTTGGGAGATAGGGAGAAATGCATCCAGGCTCAAATGGACGAGTACCTGTCCAAGCCTCTGAAACAGAACCAGATGATCCAAACGATTCTTAAGTGTGCCACGCTTGGTGGCAATTTCTTAGAAAAGAACAAGGAATCTCGTCTCTCGGGATCTGCTGAAGGCCATCTGCCTCCTGGCCACCACCATCACGACGGTCGGCCCCAACGACCTGGAATGGAAGGCCGTGCTATCACCGCCTCGGCACCTATGATAAAGGGAGGTGCTGAGAGCACGTCTACTGAAAAAGAGCAGGAAGCTGAAGTAGAAAGGGTATGTAATTCGATCCCAGTGGTTTGATACCGCTCTAACAGGTTGATCAGCAAAAGCTGTTACTACGGTCTCACAGCAGCTGATTTGAGAGGAAAACTCTTCAACTCCTATGAGCAGCTACTAAGGAAGCTGTGATGTAATTTCTTTTATACTTATTTCTCTTTCCTGTTGTCTTTGGGATATCGGAAGCGAATTTTCCCCAGCTTTTCTCTGGTAGGAGCTTTCCTTACATGTATTGCATTACTTTGCCTTTCTTACTGTGTCTATTTCCGTGTCATGAATGGGGCTGTCGTGGGTTTTTTGAATTGTTGTTTCTTATCAACTCGATGACCTGCTCATCTTACTACGGTTGGCGTTCGTGCTGTGTATGTGACGGAGTGTGTCTTGCATCCTCGATATACTTGATTTTCATAAATTTCATACTCAATTTTTAACCCACAACTAAAGTCGAAAAAATCTGATAGGTCAATGATGTCCAAAATATTTTCTAGGCTATTTATGTAGCTGCGAGGACTTGGAGCCTCCAACATTTATTTCGATCTGGCTGGGGGGATACAGCTGACCAGGCGCCGAAAGTTAGTGCGCGGGTGCTAGAATGAAAAGTTGTAACGTGCTGAATTTTGGTGTGAATTATGATTGGTCGTCAATTTATAACCACTAGGTATATGCTCTTGCCACGTTCTCCGTCAGGGAGGGTCAGGCTTAGGTTTTAGGGGAGTCGGGTTGGGATTAGAAAGCAGGGTGGGATGGGTTGTGTGTATAAGGCGTATATGGCGCGGCTATAATTACTGACGAAATTGCCAAGACTTTCCTCCACGCACTAACTTTTGGCACCTGGTCAGCTGCAAGCCCAGTCTAGCTAATTCACCGTAGACTTAAAGTACTTATATTATTGGTCCTTCTTAAATCTTATAATTTTCTTCTCTATGTTGCTTAGCTTTGCAGATCTGGGATGACAAATCATGCATCCCCCGCTCCATGTAGGTCCTTCAATAATGCCTCATTTGCGAGCCTCTTGGCAAATTGGGATGATGGTTGGTGTTGACAGCTGGTATAAATGATTGTTCTGATAAATACTACACATAATTGATTAAATATTAAATACAAGGTAGATATTGAGAGTCCTGATCTAGTTCGCCTAACGAAACTAAAAGCGGACCGAGCCGGCCAAACTATGCTGTATCTCATTTTCGAGGTTACTGTATTTCTTGATCGGATGATCTTAATCCTATCATGATTCTTGTTGGTTCGCCACAACACCCTAGTTTCAACCCACCTCACGTTCCGTATCACGCATGGTTGCATTAGTTTAACAGCAACTGGTTCTTTTATTGGCTTCGGCTAGCGGGTCTGCAGAATCTGTACATTTCACCCAACCCCCGCTTGTAGAAGTTGCATCCTGCATTTGTTCCGATTTCCTTTTGAGGAAACAACGCCATTTCTTGGTGGTAAAAGGAACGCTGATAAGATACTACTATTCATGAACTTCTCGTGGAATATGCTGTCATCTGCGACCTACTAAAGCTTTCGTTACTAGGTTGTAGGCTGTGTTACGATAAGGCTTCCAAACCCCCATTTGTATGTGGTATACAATCGATGCAAGAAACCTTGCATAAAGTGATCAATCACGCCCCGCACACTAAGGTGGCTAATTAATCAGTGAAAATTAAAATGGCAGGGCGTCCCAGTGCAGCAAAAACATACCAATGGCTCCTTGATATAGACTTAATCGCGCACATGTGTTGAACCTAGCGTACCTTCTTTCATTTTGTACCCTAAAAAAACCTAGGGAAGAGAGTATCTTTTGTCTACTGATGGATTTAGTTGCTCCCAGAGAAGCCGAATGGTTCGAAAACACCAAGGAAATAGTAGATCACCTTCCTGATCGCATTTCTGCCGATAATGAAGAGGCCAGGACTAGTGTTCTGGAGGCCGAAAAGGATTACCAGAGCATAGACGACGCGATCTTGCGCGCCCAAGGGCACGAAGCGACCTTGAAGCGATCCTTTTCACTCCTGTCCTCTCTAGGCCTTGCATTTGAGTATGTAAAGAAAAATATTCCAACTTTCTTCAGCCTCTGGCTTTCCAAACATGCCTCTAACCTGATGCGACAAAATAGTATAACGAATTCCTGGGTCGGTGTTCTTAGTAATTTTTCACAAAATCTGAAATATGGAGGACCGCCTCTTGCTGTGTGGAGCGTGTTAATTGCCGGGTTTGTTCAATGGATTATAACCCTTGGACTTTCTGAAATAGCATCGGCTTTTCCATCCTCCGGAGTGAGAGATTGTTTTTCTATTCTGCTCTCCGCAGCTATGTAGGCTGCATCAAACAGTGTCTAGCTAATTCGGTCGCAATATACTAGGGACAATACCATTTTGTGTACATCGTTGCAGCTCCCAAATACAAGCGATATGCTGCTTTTGTGACGGGTTGGATGTCGATATTCGGCTGGTGGCTTGGTACATGTTCCGGTTTATCTTTAGTTTCGACCGCGATTCTCGGTCTTGGTTCCTTTTTGCACCCTGAATACGTGGTGACACAGTGGCAAGTGTACCTCGTGTATATTCTGTTAATTGTTGTTACAGGTACAAGAGCTGTCCTTCAATATTTCTAGATGCCATGTTAATGATATCCAGTCATCCCACTCTTCGTATGTCCGAGATGGCTTCCAACTCTCAGCACGGTGGCACTGGGCCTTACAGTCACCGGATTTATAACTTGGTTTATTGTGATCCTATCTATAAGGCACCACTCCAACAGTGTTGAAATTATCACGCGAGAGACTCAGGGCACCAGTGGTTGGAATCCTGGAACTGCATGGACTTTAGGCATCATTAATTCTATGTATGCCTTTGCAGCAACCGACGGCGCAACTCACATCGCCGAGGAAATGCATCGGCCTGGGGTCACGCTGCCGCGTATCATGTAAGGTTTGCTATTCTAAACTGGAGTACGATTCCTAGACTGATACCCCTGTTTAGGAACTTGACAATGGCTATTGGTTTAGTAACGGCATTTCCTATCATCGTGGTGTGCATGCTGTCAGTAAAGGACACAAGCGACATCATGAGCGCAGGATGGCCAGCCTTGGAGATGCTCTATCAGATATCTGAAAGCAAGGCTGTGACAGTCGCATTGTCAATTTTGTTGATCCTGATTTACACTTGTAAGTCCACAAGCAATCTTCCTTCCAAGGGGTTTCCCCTACGTACACACTTGAATTACCATATATCTAACACGATATTTCACCAAAGCCAATCTTCCACCTCAGTGGATCGCGAGTGGACGACTTGCATGGGCCTTTGCGCGAGATAATGGACTACCATACTCCAAGTATTTTTCTCACATCGACCCCGTCCTCCAATTCCCCGTGCGAACGACTGTAGCCGCCTGTATCTTCAGCTCAATCTATGGTCTAATATACTTGGCCAGCACCACCGCCTTCAACTCGATCATAACCTCCGCGATTCTATTCCTAAATATCAGCTACGCTATTCCTCAGGCCATTGTTGCAGTGCGAGGGCGCTCGAAAACCCTTGTTAATCGTCCATTGAATCTCGGGAGGTGGGGATACATATGCAATATCTTCGCTCCTCTTTGGATTGTGGTCATGTGTGTTCTTGTCTGCTTCCCACCGTCACTACCTGTAACGCTTGGTTCAATGAACTACAGTGCACCAGTAATTGTGGCACTTTTTGCCGTGATTGTCGTCTGCTGGGTTTTTACGGGGAAACAATTCGAATGTCCCGCTATTGATATTGAACTACTCAATGCAAGAAATACGAAATGAGCTCAAGCAGCTTCATGTCTTCAATTTTGCCTGCGCTACAATACCGAATACACATTTTTCTTTATTTTATTTTTAAAATGAAAAATTTGATAATGTTTGCTAGTAATCATTGACATTCATAAAACCATCATAAACCGTCAAGTAATTTAGAGAGGAAAACAAATAAAAAAGCCGAAAAGGGAGATAGCGAGCCGCAAACTAGAAATGCTGTTAAAGTTGAGCTTCTTGGATCCAATGAGGAAGATAAGCAGCGAAAAGCGATGGAACTGGTGGGCATTCCAGCAAATCAGGGACAGTGCAGAGTGCGCGACTGAGATTCCTAGTACCAAACTCAGGCATATCCTGCTGCATCTCCCACCGTGACCTGTTATCTAGTACTTTCTCTTCTAACATAGGTATCAGAGGTTGTAGTCGATCATGGTTTGCTTGTGAAAGCCAGTCCGAGTAAGGAACTCCTCGCATAACTGATTTTTGAAGTAGGCTATTGATCATCTCAAATGTTGAGTTTAGATCGATTGGTGGTGCAGGGCTGGGATTCACAAGATTATATGCATGACCATGACTTCCACGATCGGACGCGACATGCAAGAGTGCACGAACAACAAAATCCACCGGGACGAAGTCTTCACGTTGACGAGGAAGTACAGGATAGATTCCCATGTCCATACAACTTCTGACAATTCTGCCAAAAAAGTCATCTGGGTTAAGCATACCAGTTTTGGAGTGTCCTAGGACAAACCCTGGACGGTAAATTGTAAGTGGTATACCCTTCTCAATTGCATTCCAGGCAATTCCTTCTGCAGCAAATTGGCTCTGAGCGTACCCAGTATCGTAAGACAGAGCAGCTGAGTGGGCGACCGGTTTCTCATTCTCAGGAATGTAATTTGCACCCGTCACAATACCTGTTGGGCCATACGCACTGATGCTGGATGCGTAATGCAGCCCTTTGATTCGCCCAGAGTTGGCAAAGCGAATCACGTTAAGTGTGCCCAACACATTGGATGCCCGATGAGTTGAATAAGGTTGCACATAGCTGACCTGAGCAGCCAGATGAAATACAACACTTGCCCATATGGCGAAATCGTCATATCGCTGCCACCCCAGGCCGAGGTCTGGTTGAGACACATCGCCTGGGAGAGCAAGGATCTTTGCTTCTGCTTCGTCATTGATATCTAGCTTGTACTTTTTCAAAGTACTTCTGATACGGTGAAGTGCAGTCTCTTGGTCTTTTGCTCGGACCAAGCATGTAACTGTGTTTATTTGTGGCATTGAAAGAAGTTCTACAAGAAGGAAAGCGCCTATAAAACCTGTCGAGCCCGTCATAAACACTCGCCCTTCACATTCACATTGCCAATCTGGAATGCAATCACCAATTGGTTCAAGGTCTTTACCGAGTTGGGAGTCTCTAAGCCACGAGGCCCTTTCTGCCGTGGTATCAGATGGGACGCCATTACGAATCTTGTCTACAAGATCGCTCATGCCTTTCAGCGTTGGATATTCGAATAAGGTAGCTACCCGAATTTGAACGTTCAAAGTCTTCTGAATCCAGCTCGCCAGAGTAATCGCCTGTAATGATGTACCTCCTATTGCGAAGAAATCATCGGTGTTTTTGAGGGCATTTTCATCAAGTCCTAAGATATCAAGCCATATTTCCTTCAAGTGAGCTTCAGTCTTGCGTTCCGTTCCGTTCTTATTTTTTCGTGATAGCCTCAAAGATTCGAGTCGATCAATATACTCTCTGGCGAGCCTCTTTCGGTCGATTTTACCGCTGCCAGTGAGGGCAAAGGATTCCACCAACTCCAGACGGGGAACCATGAGGTTTGGGGCGAGCTCGCGGTAGACTTGCAAAATGGACTGGATATCGACATCTGGGGATACAGGTATGACATATGCAAGCAAGATCGACCCGCTTTGAAGTTCCTCGGGTTCCACCTTGAGGGCTGCAGTGGCAGACACCAGTTTAGTTTGAAGAAGAGAGGATTCAATCGATTCTAATTCAACTCTCTGGCCACGGATCTTGACCTCATTATCCGAACGACCGACATATTCGATTAGACCAGTTTCATTGATTCTCACGAGATCTCCTGTTCGATAGAAAAGGCCAGTGCTCGCTTGGCAAGTTATCGCCAGATGAGGCGCATTAACAAAGACTAATGAGGTCTTTTCTGGGTTGGCAAAGTAACCAGCTGCAACGCCTGCGCCTCCTACTAGCAGCTCACCGACTTCGCCTTGGGGAACGGTTTGGAGATTTTCATCCACGACAAAAGATTGGAGATTGCTGAGTGGCCTTCCAATCGGTATATTGCCCTTCTCTAGCTCCGCAGGAGAGACCAGATGGTAGGTTGTGAATACCGATAACTCAGTTGGCCCATAGACATTGAAAAGCCGTTTTGGTGGCCCATTCTCAAAGATAATTCTAATGGTTTGAATGTTGATGGCCTCGCCGCCGGTCAAAAGTGTATCGAGGCTTGAGTAGGCTTGAGGGAATGCATGTGCAACTGTTGCCAGTAGAGATGTTGTCTGCCACATCACATCGATCTGGTCTTTTTGAAGCCTCCATGAGAATAACACAGGATCCAGCACGACTGTCTTATCAAAAACCACAATTGTTGCACCATGAAGAAGAGCAGACCAGATCTCCCATAAAGAAACATCAAAACTGATGTTGCATACATGGCCTAATCGGTGACCTTTCCGTACCGGCGCAAATTGATTGAAAACTAGGTTGATAACTCCCATGGCTAAGACTTGCACTGCCTTCGGCTTGCCTGTTGACCCAGAGGTGTGGAAGATGTGAGAACGACTCATAATACCATTCTCAGAAACCTGGGCATTTTCCGATTCTACATTCTTCTCATTGGCAGAATGATCTACAACAATATGTTGAAAATCATGAAGACGGTGAGAATTATCAAGATCGGTCAAGATTATGGACGCATTGAGATTGCGCAAGAGACTGGTAATGTGTTGGTCCGTATGGTCAACATCCAAGGTAACGCACGAGCCTCCTGCATACACAACCGCAGCTTGGGACAAAATGTGGTTGATTCCACGAGGGGCTAAGATGCCAATTGGTTCCTCCGTTTGAATTTGATGATCATGAATCCTTTGCATTAGATTCAAGGCTTTGCGGTGTAGCTCGTTGAAGGTTATATGGAATTCATTACTCTCAATTGCCACCGCATTACCAAAGAGCTGCAGGTTTTGCTTGAGAAGCTGAGCAAGTCCCAGTTCGGCTTCGAAGGCGTTGGCGTGAATATTGATACATGACTGAGAAGGCATTTCAAACTGAGGACAACTGGAAACTCAAAATGACTTTGATGTCTGCCAGGAACGTATCTGAGAATGATATATATCAATGCAAAATGTTGATGCCGATGAAATCTTTCCGATAATCGTGAGTGTGAGATTTATCCGTGGTCGTATGTACCTACGGAGGTTTCACCTGCTTGAACACCTCTACCAAAACATACAAATATTTTAACAAAGATTAATGGCTGAAAGAGGAATAACCCCATGCAAGAACACACGACTATTGATATTCGGGGCTGGCTGAGCAGGGGTATATACGTCAACTTTCTCTGACGTGATAGAACTACTTTTGGGAACATTGTGCACGGCCCATGTTTCCCGTCATAAGCGAAGTGCAAAAGGCCTAGAATAGCATGCATGTACTCTTCGAATCGGAACATCCTCAAAATTTTGGATATGCAAGAAAAGCAACGCCATATGCAACTCTGGAGCGGGACACGCATGTAGCGGGTCCCTTCATAGGCCTTGCTTTAAGGAACCACATTTCGGCGATAAATGCAGACAGCTTGCATATTGACTCCGTGAACAGCTGAATCGACGATCTTTTTATTCCCAAGATAGATATGTCGTATTCAGCCAGCTTCTAAATCACGGACTAGGAAGAATTTTCCTCTTCTGCAATATAAGTCGAGAAGATCCTAGAAAATACCCTGGCGATCAAATTGAACAAATAGCAAATTACTCGGATCATTCTCAATAATCACTCAATCATCGCAAATATGGCTGCCACCAAGGTTAATTTGTTGGATTACCTCCGTTCCAGGACTCAGATTGATTTTGACAGCTTCGATATTGAAGGTAGGGGTTCACGATGATGATATCTCAAAACAGAGAACGATTCGAGGTTGATCATTTTACAGCGGCCAAAGATATAGAGAAATTCGTTGACTGTACCTCAAACCAAGTACGATTATCCAAAACCAAAATCTTTTATTGGCTCAAAATTAACCACATGGGACCAGTTTGAGTACTATGCAGAGCTGGAAAAGCCCAGCAGAAAGGAGTTACTTGGAAAGTCAATCCAGCTCGCTGCAAGTATTCACGAGCAGTTTCCAACAGTGACATATGAAGAACTTGTCGTGGAAATTGGGGTATATAATTACGCTATTCACCATTGCATAATATTGATCACAGACTGAGGACTGACTTCGAGGCTAGGCTATCTATTTAACAATGGAAATTTACCCTATGGCCTCGGGTGATATGCATGTGATGGCCAATCCGTGGTATGCGTACTCGAAGCAAAAAGTCGTCGACACTGGAAAGCGTGAGTGCTTCTTGATTCGTATGATTCTCAAATGCAATGTTGATCAACCTTGATCATTATAGGACTACACCGACTGTGCAAAGAAATCAACCCATCCTTCGACCCGTCTCGTCTCGTAATGAAAGTTCCAGCTACCTGGGAAGGCTTGCAAGCGTGCCGGGAATTGAGATATTCTGGGATAAAAACTCTCGCGACAACTCTGTTTACTATGGAACAGGCTGTTTTAGCAGGTGAGGTGGGCTGCGTCTCGATCTCCCCATTTGTGCATGAACTCAAGGCACTTTTTGACAACACGTAAGTTGTGAAAATTGTACTAATTGACTTCATTGACATCAAAACTGATTCCTAAAAAGGTACAAAGATGGCCATCCACTCCTTGACCTCTGTGTGAGAGCACAGCAGTGGTACGAAAATCAATCACTTGGAACTAAGGTCAAAGCGTGTGCTACTATGGGTCTAGACGAGTTGTTGCAATTGGCAGGTGTCGATGCTCTCACGATCGTGCCAGATGACCTTCGGACCCTACGGTCGACTCATAGGCCTGATGAAGAAGTAAAGGCCCTATCACTATTTACAAAGAAAGCTGCCATCAAGGAAAAAATGGAATACCCTTCCTACATTGATGACCAAGTCAAGTATCGAATGGACTTCGACGCCGCTGAAGGAGGGAACGCACAATTCAAACTTGGACAGGTAAGCAGTAACATGGTATTCTGTCGTAAGCTTCCTAACTGCTAATCGGACCCCTCCAGGCAATTACCATTTTCTGCGACTTTCAGAAGAAGGCCGAAAACCTAGTGAAGGTAGCCCAAGCCGGATGTGTGTAGTTAGAGTTTCCACCAATGGTACTACCTTGTTTAGGCGGCGGACTCTTCGGAATTGAGAGGCCAACCAATTGTTCATTTTTACCACGTTTTATCAAATTGAAGCTTGATTTTGCATTTTTACGCCGTGGGGCTAGTAATCGTAAAGCGGTAAACTTTTAAGAGGTAAATTTCATCGCCAAATAGATCTCAATACCGAGGAACTGCGTAACTTTGCAATTTTGGGGATTATACGCGCTTAAGTTCCGTGTCGGCAAGCTACTAGATTGCTTTTTTGTGCAATATCCAATCACTAGATTTAAGGCGTAGCTCTTTGGTCTTTTGCGTAGATCTTGGACCTGGATTCTGGACCCTAGTGCCACATTCATAATGGAGGGATCCGAGTTTGTCATAAAATGTCGATCCTTTACGAACCAGCTAATCGCGATACAGCAGCTAGCGCGCCGGACCGGCCCTAATTCTTAGCTTCATGAAGAGAAATGGAGACTGTCTTAAGCTCAAGCTAAATGAACTGGCAGGATATAGTCAAGCTCTTAGGGGTATGGGTCGATTGCTCCTGCACTCCGGTGTCCATACCAAAAATCATTGGACAGAATCCTATCTGAAATATCTTACCAAGGTTGCTAGATACAGCTCGAATCGGAGACATACGTTAATGAGACCGTATCGTTAATTTCATGACGAGAACGACTATTGAAATTTCCTTACTCCATAAACAACTCACTCCTTACGTAGTAATAGTACTCTGTAATGATAGTCGTAATAATTTGCCCTAAAGCCATGATCGCTAAACTTCGCATATTTAAGCTACAACTTGCGCGTTGGAAAGACTACTTGTTCAAAGACACCGAATAAGATTAGACGGGCGCACATCGTGATGAAGATCCGAAATTTTCTCGCAGCCGGGATGACAGTCTTGAGACCAGAGATTCCAAACCGGCATATTTATTCCATGTTTTCTTTGTAGGGTTATCTCATCACATAGCTATCAGTCTACTCCTAACATTGCATACAGTGGAGACTCCTATACTACGACCAGTTTCAACTCATCTGCCGTCCAACCTTCTCCTGATAATCCGATGGGTAATCCTGAGCTAGGTATAATATCCCCACATAAAGTGACTGGTCGGAGTATTGAGAATTTAGGTTAATCGCTCATTACAGGGCAAGGAACTGCAACCGACAACGTCAACTGGGTTGGCTACATGACAACCGTGTATAACAAATCTGTTGTCCTGAACTATAACCTGGCTGTGTATGGTGCCACAGTGAATGATTCGGTCGTTGACAACGAGCCTGAAGATCTAGTGTATCAAATTTCGAATGACTTTCGCAGCCATTACTGCCTGTCGTCATTTGCATCTAGTCCAAGGTGGAGCCCTGATGCATCTTTATTCACAATTTGGATTGGAATTAACGAGTATGTCATCCATTCAGCCAGCCTCTTCGGTATATTCTTAGCCCAAGTTTGAACTCACCTATGCGTTGCGTGGAAACTCTAGCATCCAATTCAGCTACCAAAATACCGATCCTTTTGGGAAAATACCTCTTGTTCTCCAGAGTTACTTTCGTCTAGTAGAACAGCTCTATGAATGTGGCGCTCGCCGCTTTCTGATTATCAATGTGCCTCCTACAACACGAACTCCGAAAATGTTACTCTTTGAAAATTGGCACCGAAAGATACACCAGAGAGTAGTTACTTCTTTCAATCGGCAATTAGAGCAGGGCGTCTATCATTGGCGTAAACAGCATAAATCCGTGAGTAGCTAATGTTCCCTTTGTCCACCTTTCAAGATTTAGCTCATTATAATGATTACAAATAGGCATCAATGGTACTCTTTGATTCATGGTCATTTATGACAAAAATTCTGGACAATCCTAGGGAATATGGATTTCTCAATAGTGACTGTATCGGTGATCGGTGTATCTGGTGGGATGGATACCATCCTAGTTCTGCTTTCCATCGACTTCTTGCTGCAGACATCCGGACGCAGCTAGACTTGGAAGTCGGCTCTATTTCACTAGCTAGTGTGTAATTACTGTATATAACTGTATATAACTGTATCTAACTGTAAATTTATAATTTTGAAATCTTAAATTTGAATGTAGGACTAGTGCGGAGTCGATAGTACTGAAAAGTATAATTCTCAAGCTGATGACTGGGGCCTGCAGTAACTTATGATGTAACCTCCCTGGTCAATATTTTAGTTTTCCAGTCGGAATAAGTGGAACCACTCAAGATCTGTAAATTACGTGACGAGTCAGGCTGACAGATCATTGACCTTCGAAGTATACTACATTTGCACTAGCTGGTTGTCCTTTACAGGGTGATTCTGTGCAGCTATAGCTATGGTTTTCTGGGTTCATTATAGCGCATATGCAAATAAATAGCAGCAGTCACATATTGAATGACGTGTTAGAAGCTGAAAGTCGGAGAATTTCATTGTTCTACTGCATGCATGCTGCATACTCCGCTTCCCGAGTAGCTGAGTTTGCAGTTAGATCATCCATAACAGGTATGTTGGAACATGAGGGGTGTACTGTAAAACACCTCAGTTCTCTACCTCTTTCCTAGCCCGTGTTACCTCAAAAAGAAATTCTGGTGTTTGAGCTATTAGACAGACCCATTTTTCGTCCCACAGCCATTGTTTTTGGCCTTGCACCCACAAGTACGTTCTCATAGCGTTGTGTGTTTGGCGCCTCAACGGGATCCTAGCATACAGTTAAATATTTCCTTTGATATTTCATATTTATGAATAAATTCACTTCTGCTACTGTTCATACCCAGAGCATTCTAGTTCTCTCAATTTTTTTCTTATTTCTTCGTGACTCGCTTTTTTCATCTTAATCTTATAGTTTCTTCACACCATGGCTACTACTGTGAACGTTCTCAGTTACCTTCAAACCAGGACACAGGTCGACGTGGATAGCTTGGACATAGAAGGTCTGTAAATCCTATCTAAATATATGGAATAATGTTAACACTGTGTTCCAAGCCGCCCGCAGAGGAGGACCAGATGGACCATGGACTGATGCGACCTCAAACCAAGTAGGTCTCCTGTCCTTCAAGATACTGGTTTATATTAAAAATCATAGGCTGAAGTCTTTTTTCAAATTGAAAAAGCAGAGAATATCGACACTGTGAGGGAGGCTATCAACAAAAGCCAGCAGTTGCATGCTACCTTTCCTTCTCTAACTCTACCAGAGCTGATGGTGGAGGTCGCGGTGAGCGTTCTTTTTAATCTTTCTATTTTCTTGGACTCGGTGGCTAATGAAATAATACAATACTACGTACAGACCGTCCTACTTGCCGCACGAGTCCTTCCATTTATTACTGGCTCCGTTCACGTAATGGCGAACCCTTGCTATGCGTTTTCTATTCCAAAAATTGTCGAAACCGGACATCGTAAGGTCACTTGTATCCATTCAGAATTGAAAGGAAGTTTCTAATGTGAAATTCAACTCTGGAGGCTATCATGAAATTTTTCGGCATGTCAACCCTGATGTTGATCTCTCTAGAGTCGTGATGAAAGTTCCCGCTACCTTCGAGGGCCTTCGAGCATGTCGTGAACTCCACGGTAGTGGAATAAAGACTCTGGCAACTACCGTTTTCACGATGGAGCAAGCAATTCTCGCTGGAGAGGCTGGCTGTGTATCTATCTCTCCGTTTATTCACGAGTTGAAAATGGGATTTGATTCTACGTATGGAATGGCCACTTCTCATCCAACTTCTTTCCTTTGAACTTTTCTAATAATAAATAGGTACAAGGACAACGATTCTCTTGTAGATCTCTGTGTCAAGGCTCAGCAATATTACGAACAACATTCTATTCCCACACGTGTTAAGGCGTGTAGTTGTATTACCATTGATGAGATTCTCCAACTTGCAGGTGTCGCAGCTCACACGATCCCACCAGAGGACCTCGATGCCTTGGTTTCAATGAAGGAGGATAAGAATGACCTAGATGCTAAGTCTTTATTCAAGCCGAAGCTGTTCGCCAATGGGCACCAACAGGTTCGCGCGTATATTGATGACGAAGCGAAATATCGCGTGGAATTTGCTGCTAGTGATGGAGGAAAGGGCCAATTGAGGCTGTATCAGGTACGATGAAGACCTTACATATATGGGGAATTTTATCAGTCCGTATTTAAATCCGCTGACACTGTTTGAAACAGGCAGTTTCAATCTTTTCAGATTTTCAGAAGAAGGCCGAGCTAAAGATGGAAAGTATTGGTGCATGAAAGGATACTGGCAGGCAACCTGAAAGCTCAATCACCTGAATTACTCAATGGAACTTGCTCCTTTCAAAAAAAGAAAAATCACTATCAATCGATATTTAGATCCAATACTTAGGCCAGAATAGTGAATTTAGTAACCAGCATTGAGCTACCCTTAAATTGCTGTGGACAAGTTGATAACCAAGTAATTAATCACGTTGAGTAAGGGTAATTTACACCCTAACATCGCCTTGCCTTGTAGTATATACAAGATAAATTAATGATTGAACACTAGCATCAATATTGACGGAACATTATTCTTTCTGTGGACAAGTCTGATTCCGTAGAACAGATTTGACCTGTTTAGTAGGATAAGGTCAGTCACAGTGAACGAACCTGGACAGCAAGTTGTGGGAATCGACCATATTTCAATTTCAATGCAAGCTTGTAATCGAGTATAGAGAGTAACACATACAGATTATTTGCCATAGTTCAAAGTATGCGAATAAAAACACCGACCGTTCAATTGCTTTCTAATGTATCTCTTAGACATGCCCGGTAGCCTCCGCCTTTTTCAATAGCTCTTGGATAGAAAGGAAATGTAAACTACTGAAGTATTTGTGACGTTGCCTGAGGGTTTTCTCCTCCGGGCAGCAAGTCGCTCCACTAATCTGCCATTCTTCTCCCTCGGCTATAGCTAATTCCCAGCTTTCGCTGTCATTCTTGTACTTCTCCAGAGATTCTCTAATTTCGCTCTCGGGGCGATATGTGCGGGAGTATTGGCGGCCTGAATAGAATTAGAGTGAATACACGACAACGAGAGAGATAAATACCATGGAATGATTCCATTAACTTTACAGCTTCGTTGTATGTACCCCATTCCCCGGCTATGTAAGTCACTTGCTCCTAAGGGAGTTGTCAGATCCATAAACAACCATGAAACCATACTATTGGGATTTTCTTGACCTACCCATTCCGGAGCTGCAAGTAATTCGGCAACTGCTCTCCCAACATCGCGCCCGCAGGTCCAGCTTTGTGGCTCATCGCCTGTGCCACGCACACAGTACTCCCAGGAATTGTGGTTAATTGGAAACTCCCCAGCGTGATGCGTCATGTACGTTTGATTTTGCTTGACAAAGTAGTCCATGAACCAGCCATGGTTAAACGAGGTCCATTGAATTTCTGGGGTTTGTTCGAGGATTTTACGGAAAGGCGCACGTGTATTTCCATAAGCACGGGGGATACCTGGGTAAAGCTCGACATTGCCAGCCCATTCGGACGGAATGAAACGTTTGCACGTCGTTGACCGGAGACATGCATTGAGAAAGCCTTGATGAAGGGAAATGTACTTCTCATCTGGGCATCGAATTGTGGAAATCAAGGCTGTAGCACCAGTAGCATCGAGAATGGAGAGGACCGATTCCTCGCTATAATCCGTGGGATGAAAAGTTGCTTTCAGATTCGGTATGGCCTTGTCTTTCTGTGATGGATAGGTGGATGATTTAGTGTTGTTAAAATAATGACGGAATAGGACTTGATTTCCTTACCTGTCGAGTGAGAACCGCAACATTGTAACGCTCATCAGAGGAAAGCTCTTCGAGCAGGTACTGACCGAGATCGCCTGCACCTGCTATACAAATTGTCTGCGCCATTGTATTTGATACGAGGGGAAAACTGAAAAGATAGAAATTATTCTGCTTGATGCTTAGCACTTCTTTCTTTCAACCTATGTCACACGAGTGGTACATTAAAGCATAAGTTGTGCTATCCGTTGGAAAAAAAAAATAGTCGTGGAGGCGCAAAGTTTCAAATTGTGAGACATGATTTAATTGACTCGTTGCGCCATGGCTACTATGAAACAGTGACTTCGGGCCATTGCTGCATGGGGCATACGTACAGAACATGCATGGGAAAGACCAATTTTTGGACTTATATATTGCAGGATATATGCAAGCTAAAGGGAAATAGTTTTTTCTCTACTGCGTGAACCACATTAAGAGCAACAGATCAGTTCTAAATCTACGTTTATGTTGAACACTAGAGTTCATGTCGGTATTATAAGTGGGCTGGTGAATTACTGTTTCAATTTTACTAAACGTTTCGATTTCAAATCGCAAAAGCATTTTGAAACTGCATAGGGATTTGTATAACAATACTCTTCTGCCTTTATCAATTCTACTGCCCGCATTATACATCCTTACACCTATCAAGCGTATTTACAGGTCTATCTTACGTTTTGAAAATTCACAATGTCCATAAATATTCAAGATATGAAATTCTTCGAGGGCAATGGTTCTACACTCAACCCGGACCCTCTTGAATCGAACTTCTCTATTTGTGCCAAACCATCTTCGGATATTTGGGACAGTGCACCGGATACCCATCGATTCAATGCACCTATCTTGTATCGAACCATGCCACTTGATGCCTTCCAAAGAGCTCAAGTAACATTTTCTTCCGAATTTTCTTCCGAATTCGAACAATGTGGTTTACTGCTCGTCATTCGTCGCCAGGATGGCAGCCACAGCTGGGTCAAGAGCGGAGTGGAGTTCACGCATGGCTCAACTTATGTGGGCACCGTGGGCAAGGATCGATGGCCAGACTGGAGCATCGGGCCTCTTTCCACTCCTGGGGCTAAAGTGACAATAGAGTTACTGAGAGATCCACTTGGACTGGCGGTGTATCTTGTGAAAGAGGACGAGGAGAAAGCACTGTTGCGAGAATTGACATGGGTTTTCGATGCACACGGGAACGAAGAATGTTGGGTTGGAGCATACGCAGCGAAACCTGGCGCGGCTGGGCCAGATTTGGTGGCCCACTTCCAGGGACTCATAATTGAGCAAAGAAATTGATTGCTCAATGGGCTATTATATCATAGGTACGGAGTCAGATTAGTTTAGTTCAAAGCCTTTAATGATCATTATTTTCTTGTTTCTTCTCTATCGAGCCTTCCGTAAGCCCCACCGGAAGACCCACCCAATGCATGGACCCAGGGACGGCTCGGGACCCATACGGGGCGTATTTAGCGACATACTAGCAGCTAGCCATTTCCGAGGCTTTTCTGGTTAGCGGTTTTTGTTCTGTTTTGTTCTGTTCTGTTTCTATTTTGTTTTTGTTTTTTGCTTTTTTGCTTTTTTAACTACATGACTAGGCATTGCATGTGCACATCTAGTAGTGCAGAGTCGCGCTTTGAAAATGACTGGTCCAGACCGCAGTCCGCATAACGCGCATTGGTCTAAACATGTATGGGTTTACTACTGTACTCCAGTTAATTTTATCATGCAGGATCTCATGACACCTTGACCTATTATTTTGATATGACGTTGGGGGAGACGGCCTTCTAACCTTCCTTTTACCCTTCATGATAGTAATGAAATAACTCTTAGTCAGTCCCCGTGTTATTGTCTTTGTGTGAACAGCCGCTGATTGTTCAGGCGGTGTGGAAATTGATACCCCGGCTAAGGATACTACTGGTGCTGATATTCAGCGGGAAACTTGAGGAAAGAGGGAATTTCCAGTGCGGACAGTTTCTATCGCAGATAGCGCGTCAAACAATAATGGCAATCGTACATATTGTTCTGTTTCAATATAAAGAGTCAACAAGCCTCGAAGACGTCGAAAATGTGAGTAGGGCTCATTCTGGCTTTCTTTTCTAATATTGGATACTCCCATAGGCATCTGCCCAGGTTCTGGCGCTGAAAGATAATTGTTTGCACCCAATAACTCAAAAGCCCTATATAAAATCCTTTGTTGGGGGTAAGGATCATTCCCCCGAGAATGCTCAGGTGAGGACATTTATTCTTTCTCATTAAAAATATTGTTTCCAGGGGAATGATTGACATTGAGATATTCTTAGCATGGCATGACACATGGATTTGTGGCCGAGTTTGCGTCTTTGGAAGACCGGGATTACTATGTCTCCACGGACCCTGTACATCTGGCACTTGGAAGACAAATTGGACCGCTGGTTGAGAAGTTCCAGTGTGTGGACTTCACCAATGGAATTTTGACATGATTCGAAAGGATATAAAGGATACTATGGAGTATCTTTCAAATGACCAACACCAGAGATTATTCTCATTGAATAGGATAGTAGAATATAAATAAGTAGTTATCTCTTGTGGCTCCTATAGGTTTGAGGGATCATCTTTATACTAGTATCATAAAGTTCCAGATGCCGTTGTAGTAAAGTAAATCCAAGAGACTTTTCACCAGCGACCTTCAATTCCTGCGGCAAGGCTCTCCTTCAGTCCAACCCAACCTCGCCGTCCGAAGAAGGTCTGGATCATTTTTTCCGCCTTTGGTGCTAGAACGATTTCACTCAGATCTCGACCTTCGTTTCCCGGGGGATCTGGAATGCTTCTATTGTCTGGACGAAGTTCCTTGAGTATCCTAACAATGTCATTCCAATTAAACTTTTCTGCAAACGCAAATATTCTCTCGGATTCTACAGTCGGATCCAATAATGCTATGACATGGAGGCGAGCAGTATCCTCGACATCAACAAACCATTCTGTGTCATGTGTTAGTACGTCTAAGAAGCGTAATTCCAATGGAATGGTGCCTGCATAATAGTAGAAATGGATCCTTACGGGGGGGAAATTTACGGATCACTGTATCATCTCCTTCGAGAAGGACTCCCGTCCATGTCATAGTTGAGCCGCTGATTTCGGGGCAGAGCACTCTACCATACTTTATGGATCTGATAAGTATTCTTTAATAGCAGCAAAAGCAGTTGCTCCTTACATTTGTGTTTGGAACAATGGTGTTGAATCCAAAAGAAGGGTGGTTCTTCCTGACCCAACCCCAAGCTTCTCGCTCGCTTAGAGTCTTGGAGGCAGAGTAGATGTGATAAGCTCTCTCCTCATCGGGAAGGCTATCATCCCAGGCGGCTTTAACAGCAGCATCATTCCAAGTGTCTTTTGCGTTTCTGATTAGTATGGCCCAAATTAATGTTAGTTATGGGAGATACATCTCACCTGCATCTACAGTTATACCCTTCACATTTGGCTGAGATATGAAAGCCGCGGCAGATGATGACGTTAAAACAACTCGCTTTACAGAGGGTTGCCCAGATGCTGCCTGCAGAGCATTAAGAGTGGCATTTACCACCCAAGGAATAACCGCCTTGGCATCTGGGTTCATTGAAAGATCTGATGCCTATGAATTTATTCTGTTAGAACCTGGACTAGTATGGTAGGTGGTAGTAGGATTCCAGACTATATGCGCGATTCCAGACACTCCTTGGACAATCGCCTTCCAGGTATCTTCAGAGTCCAGGGAAGGTACAACCACTGCTTCAAATCGGCCTTTTCCGTATTTGTGTTCAAAGTATGAATCAAGCCATGGTTTTTCGGACCTTACTGTACCCCGCACGTCATATCCAAGACCCAGAAGAATATCGCACACATGAGATGCGATGTAACCATTAGCTCCAGTGACTAGGATTCTGGAGCCCTGAGAGATGATATAATTCGTACGCGCCATGATATTCGCACTTTTTTTCAGAGGGTCAAAATATAGATGGATTGAAGGCTTGGTCTCAAGATCTTAAAAGTGAAAATGTAGACTCTGACTGGGTGGGAATGATCGGCGCTTATAAACGATCCCAGACCTCAAGTCTCAGCTAAACTATCAGTTAATATACTCGATTTTCATTCGCTTACCGCTCAACCTGGGTCGCTAATTCTCTATACTAGGCCTTGGTGACCGGGTATGGAAACGCAATATTCGGGTTTAGATCTATCAACGATCCGTCCCTGACATGCCCGCTAATCTGTTGTATACAATACAGGATGAAACGAGAAGTTCCAAATTTCCAATACCACTCCAGAATAAGAATAAACTATTATATATTTACTAAAGCTTCAGGAGCTGTAGCTTTTCTCATATTCATAACTAGGTTTACTCAATAACGTAAATCAATTTCCCGAAGTATAGTAGCGTTGGGGCTACTATAGAGAAATTCTAGTAAGAACGCGGAAGTCATAGAAGCCCTAATTCTAAGCTTCAGATTTTACAAAATAAAGCAGTGATAAAACGTGAGCGTCTTACTCTATTTGGCTCGTCTATCTGTATTTCATACTCATGTAAAAAGCCTGAACCGGCCTTCAACTAAATGCGTTTTGAACAGAGTGCCCCCACTCGATTAAAACATCGAGCTTCTTCCTTCCATCTTGTTGTATGGGTTGTTGGGGTCGTTTTTCTCCTCTTCGATTGTCGGTAACTTCTTGACGACCCTGGCCGGGTTTCCGACTGCCACTGAGTAAGGGGGGATATCCTTTGTAACCACAGAGCCCGCACCAATAGTGCATCCTTCACCGATGGTTACTCCAGGAAGAATTTGTACACTGGCGCCAATCCAGCAGTCATCTCCAATGAAGATTGGGTGACCGAATTCCACCAACTTTTGGCGCGAGAGCACACTGGTCTCGTGGCCGGCTGTCAAGAGATTCACGTTAGGGCCAAACATCACTCTGTCACCAATTACTACTATGCTGGTATCGAGAACGGTCATGCTAGTTTTCAGTCAGTCGCCGTTTTCTAGTACATTTTGGGAGAACTTGAGGCAAAACACGAGAGCTCATACTTCCAGTTGATGAATGTGTCTTGGCCGATGGAAATATTGCAGCCATAGTCCGGGTAGAATGGAGGCTCAATAAATGTGCCTTTGCCAACCTTCCCGAGCATCTTCTCTAGGAATCGATATCGGAAGTCTCCCGCCTCTTCTGCTGGAATCGTTCTGGGATCGATATTGTTGTACTCGTGGGCAAGGCCCCTAGCTCGGTGACGGCCTGCTATTAGCGGCTGTTGAAAAGGATCGTAACTTGGTTCATGTATTAGTCATTATTTTCTTTGCGTGAGTTTTGATATATAGATACGAACAGCATCCCAGACACCATTTTCTCATAGTCCTCGCAGTCGGGAATATTTTTCAGGGTTTTTGCGATCTCGATGATCTCAGGCCGCTTCGCCTTGGCAGCCACATTGTACTTGACAATGCCGTTGTTCGTGGTTTCGAGGCCCATTTGTGAAGATTTCTTGTGATTCTAAAGAAGATGGCAAAGGTATAGTAGCTTGTTAAGAGTGTGTTTCTTCTGGGAATTTGCCTTAAGTTCTGCCTTTTTTATTTTCGTCTCACAATTGGAATGGTTCAATGTAATCTTGGTACATCGTTTGCTGACGTGGCTGACAGAAAGCGGGGAATGAAAATATCGACGTATTAACGTATCAATGTATTACCCGTATTAAGTATTGAAACGAATGTTTATCAGTTTTCCTGCGTATTACCCGATCCGCCACGGTGATGTCCGATTGGACGCCTCACTAATTAGCGCTTATGCACGATCCTGGCTAGCTGGAAGACTATGTGACAAGCTATAGTTAGCAATAGGAATTATACTGGGGGAAAAAGCAAAAATACATATGTAAGTCGTCGAACGGACATATATGTCCTAAATATGTGACTCGTAGTTCATGCAGGGTGAGAATTGAGATCGACTATTCAAACAGGCTCCAGTTTCCACAATGACAGCACTTTTCGTCTTAACCAGGAAATGAGAACATGATAACATCGATTTCAAGAATTATACTAAGTAATCTAAGCGTATTCACGTAGCATATGTCCGAAGACAAATTGCGAAATCATTTCTAGAAAAGGACGTGACTACATGTCATATTCTGTTAAGGAGTAACTTCCAGATCTGGGAACAGTCCCACATGAGCTATTTCTAGCTTTTCGAAGACTGAGTCTCGGCTTGAAACACAGGACTAATTTAAAAAAAGAAAAAAAAAAGAAAATAAGTTAACTCAGTCGTAGTTTCGAACTAGAATAGAGGCCTTTGCAGATTGCTTACTTTACAACCATATGCACTTAAACATTCAACCTCTATTTGACCGAGTCCTGTGTTTGAAAGGATAGTGCCTTGTGCTTCCGTTATATCTTAATCGTTTGTTTATCTTAAAGTCCCTTCAAAATGCCTGGAATCAGTACTCAATACGGCCCGGAGGTCCAGTATGTCAGCAATACTACACCCCTGGAGGATATTATCTACCTATTGAAGCGTGATGGTGCGGTGTTTGTAAGAAACTTGATATCCCCAGAGGATGTCGACAAAGCGCATGAAGATATCAAGGATCGACTGGAAAATGATGAAGAATGGGACGGAAACTTCTTTCCAAGTACATTAATTCCCGTCCACTGGCCCCTGAGCATTCGAAAATGCATGTCAAAACCAGATGGCTGACAATATCCTTTGCTTCTTTCTAGAGGAAACAAAGCGCGCTCCATCCATGATCGCCAGAAGCCCAACTTTCACCAAGACACAGGTCATGAATCCCTTGTTCCAGGCGGTTTGCGACCACTTTTTAACCACCAGAAGCTGGTTTTGGTGGGGAGAAAATAGGAAGGAATCTGTCTCCAAGCCCCAAGTCACTTCCACCACGGCAATGAAAATCGGACCTGGAGGAAAAGCCCAACCCCTCCATCGCGATGACTACATCAACCACAACTACCACACTGAAGTCAGCGAATGGGACGATGAGCGTGATGCCAATCGAGAAACCGCCATCGGACTCATGGTTGCAGGATGCAAGGTGACGAAAGAGAATGGAGGAACGCAATTTATTCCACGCAGTCATCTTTGGTGAGGAATATCAGGATCTTAAACCAGCTGAAAAGCTGACCAAATTGGAATAGGGGAACCGACCGAAAGACTCCGCCTAGCACAAGCGACTGTGTCTTCGCAGAGATGGAAAAAGGTGATGCACTGATCATATTCTCCTCGGTGTATCATGGTGGTGGCAATAACACTACTACCGATGAGCATCGTCTCATGTTCTCAACGTTTGCAATCCGCGGTTACCTGAGGCAAGAGGAAAACCAGTACCTTGCCGTTCCTGCCGATAAAGTGAAACAGTATGATCGGGCAACTCAAAAGTTCATTGGCTATGCCATAAGTGATCCAGCTTGTGGATACGTGGAGGAGTTAGATCCTATATACACCTTGTATCCGGAGGAATTGAAAAACGTCAAACCAACTGACTTTTGAGGAAATATTGACCATTTGACGTCGAAATATTTGCTATTAACTACTAGCCTGGCATTGATCTAAAGCTTGTGACTCTTGAGAATCTTGAATTCATTTTTTTTTAAGTTTGAGTCACCTGGGACTGATTTCAATTAAAAAAGTACAATCAAGTGGAGTATGATCCAGACTGTGTTGCAATTGCATGTTATTCGCTTAAACGATGTAGCGAACTAGACAAAAATAGATATTGGTGTCAACTACCGAAGATACTAAGTGCTGAGAAAAAAAATTGAAAGAAGAAATAAAGCCATCTCTAACGATCTGGTATTTGATCTTTCAGCCAAGACGCGGTAACGAACAAATTTGTGGTACCTTAGGATTCAGGCACTACATTGCAAAGATTGTCGAAGTGTGCTTACTTCATATTGTTTCTCTATCTCGTGCTTTCAAAACCATGGACGATTATTGGTGGAGAAGTGCCTACTAGTTACAATATTATTTTATGACTAGTGATTGACTATAGAAAACCTATTTCCTTAGCCAGTCCGTACACAGCACATCCATTGGCTATGTATGAAGGAACATAAACCCCGGAAAAATGAAAAGCACATTTGTTTGGCTGACACTATTAGCTCTTTTGGGACATGTACTGGTGATCACGATGGATTGACTCGAGTTATTGCCGTAGGATTGGTTCGATTGACGAAGATCCATCACTAGCTTTGCTCCTTACAGTCATGACATGCAGCCGATCAATTAATCGTCCAAAGTGTCGGGAAATGCCAAGCGAGGAAACATCATTGGGCGTGAGATAATATCCTGACGCCTTGTTTTATTAATCAAGGAAAAAGCAAGTTGCAGTTGCCAAAATTGAGAGTATTGCGCCACCCAATAAGTGAATCAAAAATTTTCTATTATTTGAATAGAAACAATCACGGATACTCTCATCGGCTCTTGTTAGCATCTGATGGAATATTAAAAAATTTCCTTCTGTTCTTGACTTGCTCTGTTCTCCAACAAAAGATGTTCTCACGAACTTCGGCATCGATGAAGATGGCCCGGACCACCCACAAATGGCGGGCTTCGAAAGTCTTCGTTGTCGTTGTGATTTCGACTGCTATGTTTGCAGGTAGGTTTAGAACACTCCTATTCAAAAGACCACGTTCTAATAAAGTGAAGATACGTTTCTCTTTAGTTTTATTGTGCCCATCCTCCAAGTGACCTTAGAAAAAAGAGTGAAGCTGAACCCAGACTATACTCAAATTGCTTCATCTCTCATTCTCTCCATGAATGCATTGGTTTCTATCATCATCGCCCCCCTTGTCGGTCGCCTGTCCGATCGGGTTAGTAAAAAGAATAACCTTATGGTAGCGTCTTGGATTCTGAATATATTCGGAACTATCCTTACTGGATGGTGGTCATCGCGTGTGTTCATTCATTAACACCAAATCCCAATTCATGAGTGAAAGCTAATCAAAATAATGGCCTTTAGTTCTCGGTCTCTTCACTGGAAGACTCATACAAACAATTTCGGGCTCAGTGATATGGATTGTGGGAATGGCTATCTTAGGGCAAACCGTTGGTGCCGACCGCATGTCAACAACTTTCGGCGTGGTTACAATGTTTATAACAGCGGGCTTATTCACTGGTCCAGCAATATCTGGCTCTTTGTATGAATTTGTCGGATATTCGAGAACTTGGTTGACCGCCTTGGCTATACTTATGGCAGGAACGACACTACAACTGATCATGGTAGAAAGTCCAGGAACGGCCAAAAAGACGCAAATAGCGCAATCTAAATTTTCAGAAACCTATGAAAATATTATCGAAAGTGGAAAACCGGACATTATCATGCCCGACGATGACGATTTAGGATTCAGTGGGACTCACTCTGACGATACCGAGGCCAGCGAAACCAGCTCCCTACTTGGTGGCACCCAGTCTTCCCTCATTCAACCCGATGTTAATTCATACCAGTCTATTTCCCAACTCACTAGTGAGAGTTCGTTATTACAGTCCCAAGACCGCCAGGATATACCCTCACAGAATGTGTATGTTCTTTTACTGCGCCAATCCCGCGTCTTAGTTTCCCTAGTCAGCGACGTTGTTTTTGCCATCATCCTAGCAAGCTTGGAAGCAACTCTTCCAAGTCATATCCAAAATGTATTTGGCTGGCGGACACTCGGAGCAGGGCTTCTCTTTGTTCTCATACAAGTTCCAACTTTGGTACTTCTAGGCCCCATAGGCTTGTTGAAGGACAAATTCGGCCTACGATATCCAATCAGTATAGGTTTTCTTCTCTTCGTCCCCTCTTTATGGCTTCTCGGTCTGCCAGGGTCGGGTATTTTTCAATGGATCGGGGACAAAGGCGTCGGTCCAATAATCTATATTGTGGCATTAATATTGATCGGCATCTGCAGGACATTAGTGATAGGCTTTGGTGGAGTTGAGGTGATGCGTAAGTATTGCAGTCTCAATTAAGAGTATTTAAACAGCTGACAATTTTAAAATCTCAGAGGCTTCGAATCATCTTGAGGAAGAGAACCCAGGCATCTTTGGTGAAAATGGATGTTATTCACGAGCCTTTTCAGTGGCCAATATCTTTTGGAAAATTGGAATGTTAATAGGCCCTCTGATTTCTGGAGCTCTATCTGAGTCAGTTGGTTACTATTACATGAACGTTTTTCTAGGTGAGTCTGTTCTTCTACCTGGGTACCTGGGCCGCATCGTGCACTGTTATTCATACATAAGAAGTACCAATTGACAAATATTTTACTTTCAGCATCATTGTGTCTCCTAACGGGTCTGTCTACATTTTTTGTCTTTCGATGAACAAAATGAAACTTTACACAGTGCTTCGTGGGTTATCTAAGATTGGAAATTCGGTCTTCATAAACTCTTTCATCAGAATGAGATGTATTTTTGTATTGAACGAACTTTGAAGAGCTCGACACAAATTTCCACGGTTGTAGATTTTGAACAAATTCAGTGATTTTAAATAATTCACATGAGATGTTTACATGAAACATGTACAATAAAGGAGCAAGACTTGTATCGTATATGGTACGCTTTTCTCCAGTGTTGTTGGATAGAGAAAGTCATATTGAGTTGATTTCATCTTGCATATTCTGGCGACTAGAGGGGTCGAATCTTGACGTACTATGACATCAAAATCGTCCATCCTTTTTTTCAGTACCCAATTTCCTGTGACATTCTGGACTCGGCTGTGCCTCCCACCATCCGCTTGAAGCAATCGGTTATTAATTGGCTCTCCATCACTCTCAATTCTAGCTAGACTCAGTTACTACTCTTATCCAGCCAGCCACCGCGACTTTGCGGTTCGTGAGGAAGGACGACTAATGCACAATGCACTCAATCAGGGATCGAGGCAATTTTGGTAAACTTAACTTTAAGATCGAACTAAGGGTCTGTCTGCACTAGTATCCGTAATTCCGTAATTCGTATACACTAATATACATTCAAGATTAACTTTCCCTAGACTCGGACCCATTATATTAGCGTCAATGAGGTGACCACTACTTGAGGTAGGCACTTCGGATGCTTATTTTGATTTTTTACTAGCATCGAATCGTTTTTAACAAGGCGGATTATCGGAAAAAATACATATTACACAACTGTTCAAGAAAGAAAACGTTGTTATATTCACTGTGGAAATTGTATTTTCAAATGGCGTTGAGTTGCTTATGCGGGAGCAACAATTGTATTGGTGCAATCTAGTATGATAGTATTATTATTACAGTTCTCGTTTATTGAGCAGAGATTGCATAATGCAACATGGATCTAGGATTCATAATTAAGCCATGAAAATATGAATGTCACATACGCTACAAGTGCAAAAATTCCATCTAGCCCAGTTCCAAACGTAGGGTAACACGAGACCTCGAAGCGTAGTACCGAGAAGAGCGCCCCTGTCCTCGATAGTAGCGATTTTCTCAATGCACGAATTCGAAACCATCCTTTGCATTAGAGGACCCGCAACAGATGCTCATGGATTTTGCTTATCAGAATCCACTAGATATGTATCCAGGATTCCAAAGCTCTAATAGTTTTCCAGGCCGCATAAGTGCTAATTTGACCTATCGACAATAGCTATTGACATGCAGACACTATAACTATAGCTGTAGCCCGAGTCACACCGAATAAATAAGAACCCCGATTATGAGATGATCCATAATAATGGGATCTCTTACGTATTCCACAGTTTTTCATCCTATGATATACGTCATACGTGCATTAAGCGGACTAGCTTCATCTGTCAAACATGTACCTCTCACGCAATGTTACTGCATGTCTCAATTTATGGTGCCGCTTACGCATTGCAGCAACTCCGAGTAGCCACATGTATAATACATAAAATATGAAACGCGCATGAAATGTGATACGTGTGCAAACCCACTTGCGACTATCTCCGAAGTGCAGGAAAGAACAGCACTTGACAGGTACATGGCTGCAGCCAGAGATCCACAAAATACACTAATTGAAGAGTATAGCACCAATTACTTCCAGTGCAGTGTAGTATACATGATTGATTCGAATCAAGGCTATTCCCAACACTGCACCCTTCATCTGCTTCTACGTCGTTTATACATTCTAAATTGTAAGGCTATCTTTCAGTTCAGAATCTTCTCCGTTCGATGAATAACAATTTTTCTAAGTATTCTATTCAATATCACAAACCTCAATTCCAAGAAACCCTTTACCTCCTCCTTCCCCCGCGCTGCTAAATCACGATGAGGCCGCCTACGGAAAATCAACACACGATAAAGCTTCCTACGACACCAAAAGTCGCTCTCGAGACTGTGAAAGCTCGTGAGGTAGTTCATGAATGGATCACGGCCTTATCGAAGCAATTGAAAAATGGCCAAGCCTCCGAGCTCTCCGAGCTCTTTCATGAAGACTCCTGGTGGCGAGATATGCTTGGTCTAGACTGGGAATTCCATACCATTCAGGGACTTCAGCACATCCAGGAGTTTGTCTCTCAGAATCAACCACGCGTACAGCTGTCCAACCTTCGCCTTCCAGACGAAGGTAAATCGCAAGCAATAGTGGAGAGCCCGGTTGAAGGATTGACGTGGATTTCTTCAATGTTTTTCTTCGACACTTCCATTGGTAGTGGATGTGGAGTAATATACCTAACTCAAGAAGTGGAAAATGGGAAGTGGAAGGCATATTCTGTTTATACTTCTCTGCAGGAACTTCGGGGGCGTGAGGAAACGCTTGGATTGAAACGACCGGAAGGGACAATTGAGTCAATGCCAGGGGGACATTCCAGAGGTAACTGGATTGAGCGTCGTCAGAAACAGATTGAATTCGAGGAAGAGGAACCTACGGTTCTCATCGTTGGGGCTGGTAAGTAAAAATACATCGATTATGCAAAAGAGAAAAAAAAAGTATCTATCTTATTAATATTAATATAGGTCAGTCTGGTCTCAATCTTGGGGCTCGACTTCAAGCTTTGAATCTATCCTGTTTGGTTGTGGACAAGAACGAACGAGTGGGTGACAATTGGAGAAAACGTTACCGCGTAAGTCGACATCTTTCCTTCTCATACGCCCAACTGACTATTCAATAGACTCTAATTACACATGATCATGCAGAAACATGTCACATGTCCTACCTCCCATTTCCTAAGAATTGGCCCAAGTACTCTTCAAAGGACAAACTGGCCGACTGGTTTGAAGCTTATGCTTCAATAATGGAGCTAAACGTTTGGCTAAAGACCGAGATTAAAGTTGCTGACTATGATGAGACTAAGAAGCGATGGTCTGTCATCCTTGTTCGAGATGGAGTGGAGCGACAAGTCCATCCACGGCATATTGCTTGGTGCGCAGGGCATCTTGGATTACCAAAAATACCCAATTTTCCTGGCGAAGAGAAATTCAAAGGCACAATCTACCATGGCAGCCAACACTACGATGCGGGACAACATAGCCCTAAAGGAAAGAAAGTGATAATCGTCGGTACCGGCAATAGCGGACATGATATTGCTCAGGATTTCTATACACATGGGGCTCACGTTACGATGCTACAACGAGGTGGAACATACGTTTTGACGGAGCAAAAGGGCTTGCCTTTACTCCCGGAAAATATGAACATTGAGAATAATCAGTATAAACTCCGAAGGATCCTTATTCACATATCTATCATGCTCCACTCTATTTAACTGACTTTTTTTATTTTGCAGAACTTGTATCGAAGATGCGGATGTTATGTCTGAGAGTTTGCCGTGGCCAGTCACCTTGGCGCTGTGTGTTGATCTAACGAGAAGGATCACGGCCGCCGACAAAGAAACACTGGATGGGCTTGAGAAAGCAGGATTCAAGTTGGAATTCGGTCACGATGGCGCTGGTATTTTACGCCTCATTGTTGCTAGAGGAGGAGGCTACTACATCGATTTTGGTACCAGTCAACTCATTATTGATGGTAAAATAAAGGTAAAGAATTGTCCAGAGGGTATCGCTGGTTTTGATGAGCATAATATACTCTTAAATGATGGAAGCCATCTGGAAGCGGATGTGGTTGTACTTGCCACTGGTTATGACAACATGCGAGAGTCAGTGAGAAAGGTTCTTGGTGATCATCTCGCAGATCAGTGTAAAGATGTATGGGGTCTAGATGAAGAGGGTGAAATCAAGACGGTAAGAAGAACCTTTTCGATCTCTTCAAAGGTTTAGGTTTTCAAATTGCGCTAATGGAGAACATAATCAGATATGGAGGCCAAGCGGGCATCCTGGATTCTGGTTCATGGGAGGAAGTCTATCTCTTTGTCGGATTTACTCAAAATTTGTGGCCCTACAGATTGCAGCCACCGAAATAGGTCTGAGATCGTAACGACTCACTAGAATTCATATGAGGGAAGTAAGATCCATAGGTAAAGAGAACAGGAAATGATACAGTCGAAATATTACCTATAGCAAGTAAATACTATTTCCTTAAAAACTGCTCGGTATTATGAAAAGAATATGGCATAAAGCAGTTTTCAGGGAGCTTATACACTTGTCATGTCTAGATTTGAATATAATGGTGAATTTTACCGATATTAAAAACATAGTACACTACTGTGCTTTACATCGAACTTCCCAATAACCCGAACTACGTAAAAGGTAATTACACCACGCGAGTAGAGACTAAGTCGAGCCGTAACAAACAAGAACAAGTCTTTCTTCAAGAACCGCAACAGGACTCTCAATACCCGCAGCCACATGCTGCTTATACTCCCATAAATGCGTGCCAAGGAAATACATATTAAGCTCGGTGATTACTAAATTACGGATAGTACATGTAGATTTGGGTTTCCATACATCTGAGCCAAGTTCTTTTACTCTCCCTTCAAATGTTTGCTGAAGAAGGTTATTTAGAATTTCTCGTGCGCATTTTTGGATTGAATTCTGGTCAACTGTTTTCAAAAATTCTATTTGATTTAGAGAGAATTTCGCCTAGAGCTCAAGGTTAACTATGACATCATATATTTTACTAATCAAATATACTATTCTGTCAATATACATGCTAGGTGCCTTTTTTTGCTTGTGTACTTGAAATTTATTTTTCTCTTGCAAGGATCGTGGTGTTTCAGATCATTTATTAATTCAAGTCGATTAAATGCCTTGTTTCCAGGTAGAAAAGGCCATTTTCCTGATTCCAGGCAAAAGAACTGGATCGGGGCGGGCAACTTCACCGCCATCTCGAGTTATGATACCCCAACTGCATACAACAAGTTATCCCTTCCTTAGTTGTATCAGTCGGGCACTTTATTATTCAGCGGTCACCAACATTGACTTGTCTGTCGGCTAATGGCAGTCGACCCCTTGCTTCAATGCGATGTACGCGATGTCTTGAGGAATCAGTCATGACTCATTCTTTGTCTCCAGTCGAAAGTCCAGTCTCGGCCCCTCGGTAAGAAACTTCCCTCGGATATAACACGCTTAAGCCGGGCGACAAACGTTCACTTCAGACCAAAAGCGTTTCCATTTTTTTGGTTCTTTGTTTGTAATCATGTTTGATATTGTCCACACACAGCTGTGTAACTATGACGGGCACCCCACTCAGTGCCCAGGTTTATGATATGGCACACGGACAGAGCATGGCCATGAGGGCTACATTAATGACGTGAAACCTTTCCGTTTAATTTCTCCTTCAAGCATCTTATTAACTCCAGACAATGTCTGCCACAGTAAACTGCGAAATCATTCTTCTATCGCTGACTTCGGTGTCATCCTTCTCGGATATCTTGGCTAAATCCGACGTGAAGCCCTTGACTACCGCCAAAGTCGCACGGTGGATCATCCCACCGACAGTGCTGTCAGTCGATGCATTGACACAGACCGAATGGGATCTGGTACTATGTTCCCCACTGCCGGTCTCTATTCCAGATGAGTGTCGGCCTTTTATCCAGCGGTCATGGAGCGCGACATTCGCTGCGCCCGCGGAGCTCGTTTCGTCGTATACTTCCATCTTCACTAGCCTGGCAAGCAATATCCCCGCGCGCACAAAGCATATGGACCAAGTTACAGGTAGTGATGAGGGGACTTCACTCTCAACAGAATCGATGCATGTTCCGATCGAATTGCGGAATTGGATGACCACCTTCTCGGACACAAATAATCATCCGCCCGTCATCATGCTCAACTTAATGGCCTTCAAAGACGTCCAAAAATACGGTGGGTACCGCGAAGCACTCTCAAGAGGTGTCGGTAAACGCCATGGCCTCAAACCTTTACTCTTTGGACAGGTGACAAAATGCTCTTCGATTACGCTCGAAGGCGGTCCGGAATGGGATTTGGTTGGCTTGATCTACTATCCCTCCGTACTCCATTTCGCGGATATGCTGGCAGATGAAGAGTACCAGGAGATTAGACGAAAATACCGTGATGGCTCTTTGGTCGATAATCCAATTCTGTGTCTCTATAATCCGTAGAACTAGCAACATCATTTAAATGATCTAAATGCTCTGGCAGCTTTTTGTGGATTTTATTTGACCATAGAGAGGCTCTCTGCTGGAGAACCACTAGGGCTGTTTTGGTGAATTCGACTGCAGATATACGTTCAGTAAACTAACTAGATGATTGACAAAAGAAATCTTTTTTTTTCCCATGAGAATCAGTGATTCTACGAAACTTGAAATGGTGTCACTGCGTAGATTGCCTCGGCCATTTTCGCCGCCACCGGCCAAATTACCCCAGCGCGGAGGTGCGATGTCATCTTAAAAGATGAGAACACCCCGAGTCTATATTCGTACTTTGGAAACTTAGGTTTGAATCAAAGATGCGCACTATATTATTCACAGAAATGTCTGGTTTCGGGTCCCAGACTAACATATTGATGTACTCAGACTCGCTATTGTTGCTGAGCGGGGCAAAGGCGCGATCACGCTCTTTGGGGATGATATTTAGGAAAATGGCGGGAAATGTGTGAGCTTCAATAGGTAAATGGAGGGCATTTGCCGCTGAAACCTTGCTCGATCAGGAAAATACATCAATTGATCTCACACTATCACAGCACAAGAAAAAGCAGGTAATACCCCGGGATGGCGAAATTGGCCTTTACTGCGAAAAAGTTCCCCCCTTATCATATAGTTTGCAATTCATTAAATTTTTCTTATAACGGCTGTCATCTTGTTCTTTACAAAAAATAAAGCCTCCTTGACAAAAATTGCAAACTATCGACCCAACTCGTTTTCACCCTCATATACATCGAAATTCCGCACAGAATGTCATCTACTAATAAACGCACGTCGCTTTTATCACCGGCGCCAACAAAGGTCTCGGTCTTGCAGTGGCCGAAATCCTCGCTAGTGAGCATGGTTATCATGTCATCATAGGCTCTCGAAACGCAGAAGCAGGCCAGCAAGCTGCAGCAAGCATATGCAAAGAGCGCCATTCCGCCTCAAGTGTTCAACTAGATCTCAACTCTGAATCGTCAATCAACGCAGCCATCCAGACAATCGAACAGGAATTCGGATTCCTTGATATCCTGGTGAACAACGCAGCGGTTTTTTCTGATGTCATTCCCTGGATAGATAGACCGACTTTGGGCGCCTACGAGCTCTTCAGCACTACGTTCGCGACGAATGTCGTCGGCACGGCTGTCTTAACCGAGGGACTCTTGCCTCTACTACGAAAGGGACAGGCGAAGCCGGGACGCATAGTTTTCGTCACGGGGAGACTGGCTAGCATGGCTTATGCAATTGAGGATAAGAAGAGATTTCCCGATTGGAAGGCATACAGCGCTAGTAAGGCTGCAGTGAACATGCTGACGCTCAGATATGCCGAACAGTTGGAGGACGATGGGATTAAAGTAAATGCTGTGGACCCCGGCCTCGTGGACACGGATCTGTCTGGACATATAGAGGGTGCTTATCCACCAGAAATCGGTGCCATAAGTACTGTGCGAATGGCTACTCTGGGAGAGGATGGAGCGACTGCTACATTCACTGACAGGGACGGACCGCTCCCGTGGTGATTGTAGCGGGAGTCGATCAAGTTTGAGAGTTTGTCGAATGTAGCTCAGAATTTTATTACTGATGTTATTGTGCAAGGGCCTTTCTTGAGACTTTTAGAGAACGTGTATAGAAAATAATACATGAATTGCTGAGTGATTTGATGACGCGAGTTCATTGGACAACGAAGACTCGAAGTCGCTAAGCCGAATTTGTGTACCGCGAATTTGTCAGCGAGTTCGCCATTTTGCTCTGGTTGGGTGTTTCTCAGTAGTGAGATTCTCCACATCGAAACATCGATATCACTCACCATCTATACAACTCGAGTATGTCGGAATTCCTCTCCTCTTCTCCGTTTGTTCTGAAATAGATATACCAGGATTTTTTCAAGACATCATGGATGGCTTTTCTCAGCGCTCTTCAGCAGCACTGACTTCAAGTTCCATACGCTGTTGTCCCCACTGTGAAAAGGTATTCAACAGAGGTTAGCTGGCATACCAAAAGTAACCCCAGCTTCTGTAACTCACTATATAAGAAATCCAATATAAACGACATGTATTATATTGTCTCCAGGCAGAGACAAAGCGCAAAGGTCGGCCTAGATCCTGTGCGAATTGCAGCACCGCCAAAACAAAATGCAGCTTCGACCGGCCACAGTGTTCAAGATGTGTTAATAAAGATCTACTCTGCGTCTATGAAAGAGCAAAAAAAGTGGGCCGTGGAGGTGACGGTCGAGGAGAGCCCATGGTCTTCAGAACAGACGGGGATTCAAGTCTCGTTCGCGCAAGTTCAAAAGGGCCCGAAACCGATGTTTATGATATTCCCGATAGTGTCATCGCACTTGGCCGGGAAGATATAGACCTGAACGCCATAGAATGGGAAAACTTAGACTGGGACTCAAGCTTTCAGCAAGGTGGATTTCTGAATTCTACATCCAGGAGTTTCTCAGCAAGATCGGCCACCTTTCGACAAACCCTCTTTCCGGCGGCGCCCGCAATTCCATCTAGAAGGAAAGCTGTTACACCTCGTTATGCACTGAGTACGCCAGTCGAACACGGTGTCAAGTTGGTGCTGCATATCATCCATGCTTTTCCGCAGATGATGTTGCGTCGACAGACATTTCCTCCGTTCATTCATCAACACTGGCATACTACTACTCTACCCGAGAAGCTGGCAACTTGCATGAGTATAGCTCAGCTCTTTGCTTCAAGAACCCAAGAAACCAGACCTTTTCTCTGGCGATCTATTGACAGTGAAAATCAACGCTTTAGGGACGAAGTAAGAAATTTATACCGAATACGATGTGTTGACTTTATCAGTAACCGATGTTGGTAGATGATGATTTATGCCCCTCATGAAATTATTGTTGCCATGCAAGCACTTGTTATTTACACAATAATGGCTATTGTGGATCAAAATGGCGAATCACCTCCTCGCTATTCATACTTGGCTCGCACATTCAAGGTCTGTTATATTTCGCAATCCGCCTGTTTCCCACTGATTCTTGCGTGGCAGGTATTGACAATAAGATTCATACAATTGCTCGGCACAGCTCCTTTTTCCGAGGCCGAATGGGCGAATCCAAGTCTTCAGTGGGAAGATTGGATTTTTGCGGAATCCCGTAGGCGGTAAGTAGTCATTGTCTAGCCTTTAGAAGGTTACAGAAAGTTAAATTTTCATTTCTTCTAATGAAATTTTAGATTAGGCTGTCTTTGGTTTGTCATCAGCCGGCTCATTTGCCCGGACGTGGACTTACTGTGTCCAACTTTGAAAGCCGCCCGAAACAAGCCATTATGTACAGCTAAAGGCATGTGGGAGGCCCGGTCTCGCGAAGAATGGGAGACTGAGCGTTCTTTTTATAACGCTAGTCTCTTATACTTGGACATGTGGAATTTTGGGTCGTTGATAGATGCACATCACGGTCAAGGGCCCTTGAATACCATGAGACTGGACGCCTGGGGAGCCAGCACCGACAAGATGGGGGCTTTGCTGACTATTGCAGTCTCTCTGTTTGATAAAGATCTAGATGAATCCCAAACGAGTCAGTGATCGGCTGGCCCCTTTCCTTATGAAATAGCACTATATTCAATTGTATACGGATTGCTCAATCCTTTCCTCACGAATCTTTCTTCCCTCTCCAGTAAATAAAAATACTTTGGGACTTAGGCAAATAGACCGGTGTCCATCAGTAGTCGTCGATTACTTCCCAATGTTCAACAACAATTGACTTTAATTACGAATCAAAACGTCCGAATCTGTATTTGATATACTAATATGATCCTACTACAAATTCTGAGCACAATTAATTAAGCGCTTTAGGGCATCGGTCGAAACTTCACCGAATTAAGAATAGGTTGTCATTTTGCTATTTTTTGCGAAAATAAAGTGATGTTGCTGATGCCGACTTTGAACTTCCTAATAGATCCTAAACTATCACAAGTGACATTTCTAGACAGACTCTAGAGATGGCCAAGAAGACTGTAATGCAAATAACCGACCATAGTTATGTATACTTACTTTTAGGGAACTTCAATCCTGGTCATAGCTGACGGTTTATAGAGTCTGGTTTTCCGCGAGTATGACATCGACCGCCTGCTCAGCGATGGCGTAGATGGTCGCTTGGCAGTGAGACGCTAAAGGTACAGGAGCCTAGAAATTCGAAAGGTAAGCCACATCTAGTCTAACTTTTACGACTAAGCACAACCTCATCTCACCACACTAGCATCGGCGACTCTTAAATTATATACCCCTTTCACACGCAATGAGCCATCAACCACGGAGCCCATGCTGGCCGTACCCGCTTGTCAAGGAGCTGGCATACTACCCATGCGAACATGAGCCTCAATCAGGTCGTCAGGATCATTGAATGATAGCAACTGATGACTCTCAGGGAGGATTTCCTGTGTCGAACATAGTTGCCCAAGTTACAAGCAGAAAGGTTTTTTGGGGGACGCTGGTTATTATATGCTTTTCAGGAGGTATTTACTGTTCGGTACAATCAAAGAAATAATAATTGATGGAGATTAGTTTGTTACTCTCATCGAATCGGGATAACAATTATATACATAGAACCTTAGGCATTGAAAACACCCTTCCCGTCTCCTATTTTCAGAAAGTCCTCCATAAGGATTTATTTGAAATGAAGTTTCGGCTTATCAATAAAATTCTACCTGAAAGTCGAGAATACAGTAGATAAGAGATGAAGAGAGAGATTCGCACATTTAGTTAGGCTGCCAAAAATGTCTACTTGCGATCTTCTGTTTGATTGTGATCCACTGGCCATTGTCGATCCTTTTTTTGTAACTCATGAACGTGTCATCATCATCCCTATCCGGGAGAATGACAGACACATCCCAGATTCGCGACGACAGGTTTATGTTGGGCCGAAAAAAGTCCTTAGTTTTTGGACTCTGGAGGTCAGCGTCTTCTTCATCACCTGTATCCACGGTGCATAATCCGTTTTCTTCGATTCGTATCACCTCCTCCAATACTTTAGCGAGAAGAGGCCCATTCCATACACCCTCCCGATGAGGAGCTGACCGTAGAATCCGAATGGCCAGTCTTCGAATGCGAGGAATGCGACACTTGAGCGCTGTGTAGTACATAGGAAGGATGAAACCCGATTCCACGGTAAACCCGTGGCATGACTTCTCGGACTCAGGGTCGCAAAGCATGTCCTTCACTTCTTTGATTTCCGTAGTCAAACTTGCCCAGTAGTTCCACAAATTTACAAAGCCGGTCAATATTGCGATGAAATTCTCCGTATGTGAATCAAAAATAATCTCATCTTCCGATAAGCAGACTGAGGCCATGACTACGGCTAGCTCGTAATATATGGTTAAGAGACGAAGCCCAAACTTCTCTTTGCGATCTGCATCTGCCTCAATACGGGCGAGAGAGGCATCGTATATCTTGCGCCAGAGGGATAGATCATCGAGAATCTTGCGTTGTATGTCCAAAGTTTCTAAGTTTTTTGTAGGTAGTTGCGACGCCCGTAGACGGTAACAATGTCGTTCTAGACAGTGGATTCTGTTTAGTAGATCATCCAGAGTCTGTCGCGCTCCTAAAAGAGAGGAAAATGTGTATGGAAGGGCATTTTCTCGCGGGTCTCGTGACATAACAAACATATGCCATGGTACATGGCCGAACATGGCAGCCTGGATGCTAAGACGTGAGTATGAATCGATCAAGGCATTATGAGCAAAGTCCTCCGCATGACTCAGTATATTAGGTGATATTGAAGATCGAGGTTGTAGGACCGAGATATTAGAAAGTAATTGGATTCCGTAATATAAATGCGTGCTGCCCTTCTGATACTGCCCACGTAGATATTCTAGTGTCACAAAGATCATGCAGGTGATCAGAGCCACGCGTAGATTATCTTTACCGGTGCTGCCCGTAACTATCCGAAGGTGTGTGATAGCTTTGTTATACTGTTGTAGTGTGAACTGCTCCACATCAAAACCATACGTCGTGGGTATAGCCCATAGGCCTTCGCCCTGCTCAATTCTATGCGCTGCCGACAAGGCCACGATGGCATGGCGAACAGCAGGTTCCTGAGCACTTGCTTGGAACACAAGAGTCTCCCAAAAGTCGGATACAAAAAGGCCTGCAAACTTCCTCGTAGTCTTATCCAAGAACCAGTCGAAATGGATTTGCTCCTCGCGGCTGAGGTTGCCGGCTGGAACCGGGGTGCAGTAGACTGAGAGTGCCCGGTTGCTCTGCGGCTGGTTGTACGGGCTACCACCACCTCCCCAAATGCCATAGCCGCTGCAAACCCGGCCGGTTGAGATACAGCGTCTACAGGCTGGCCGACTTTCGTCACATTTGACTCGGCGTGTCCTGTAGGACTACTTTAGAACGGTTCATACTGGAGATTGGTGTCGAAACTCACTTGCAGGTTTTACAGCCTGTCTTGACCTTCTTTTTACCGTGCAGCTGGTGTGTCAACTGTCCAATGGAATTATACATGGCTATAAAGCAATTCGATATTCGAATATTGTGAGTGAAGAATCGCAAAGAACGAGTTTTGGAGAAGAACAGAAATCGCTTGGATAGTTGCGTCTTCCTATTTGGGCAGTGGGGCATGCAAGGCAGTCTAGTCCGCTCGGAAACCTTGATGTATGATTGGCTTAAACATGAAATGGTGGGTCTACAGTGATGCGATTGCCTCTAATTGGTCCTACGTTTAAACCCGCTGTTTAGAGCCAATGAGTATAGAACTTTGAATAGGCGAAGATGATCGCCTTAACCCCGGAAATATAGTTTCATTTCATGGGTGAGGGGATTAGAAATAGAATTATGCTCATTGTTTCTATGAATTTCTCTGAGCCTACAGGAGTGAGGCTATATAAAGGCCGGTTGTGCCGTACGTAGTGTTATCCATCGCAGATTCTTAACTGCACTAGCTATTATCTTTGCAATTATAACACGCCTATATAGATCAAAATGTCTATTCCAACTCGACATCTTGGCCGTGGCGGTCCTCAGGTACCTGCGGTTGGTCTTGGCCTAATGAGCTTGGGTAGCATATACGGAGCAGCAGGCACCCTTGAGGACAAAGTCGCCTTCCTGGAGCATGCGCATGCAACTGGCCAGCGATTTTGGGACACTGCAGACATGTATGCCGATAGTGAAGATGCTGTAGGCGAGTGGATCAAGCGCTCTGGTAAGCGCAATGATATCTTTCTCGCCACGAAGTTTGCAATCTACCGTGATATCGAAAAAAATATTTTTTCCCTTCGGTCCGACCCGGAGTATATCAAGACTGCTTGCGAGAAGAGTCTGAAGAGACTGGGGGTAGATGTAATTGATTTGTACTATTGTCATCGTGTGGATGGAAAAACCCCCATTGAGGAGACCATTAGAGCCATGGTCGAGCTAAAGAAGTAACTACCTTCTTTCCCTCTCGAGAAATATTGCGATTGCTAATGCATCTGATCTCGGCAAATAGTCAGGGAAAGATCCGGCACCTTGGACTCTCAGAGGTGTCAGCAGCAACACTGCGTCGAGCCCACGCCGTCCACCCCATCTCCGCACTACAAATGGAATACAGCCCGTTCGCACTAGACATGGAGAAACCGGGAATCGACCTCCTGAACACTTGTCGTGAGCTAGGTGTGGCCGTGGTTGCCTATAGCCCAATCGGTCGTGGTATTCTTACTGGAGATATCCGGTCGTTTGACGATTTCCCTGCAGATGATTTCCGCCGCGTTCTGCCCAAATACCAACCGGAGCACTTCCCCAAAATCTTGGAGCTAGTTCAAGGACTAAATGCTGTAGCTCAAGCCCATGGATGCACATCGGCACAGGTTGCAATTGCATGGCTCCTTGCACAAGGACCTGACATCATACCAATCCCTGGCACTAAGTCAGCCAAACGGATGGATGAAAACGCCGCTTCTGCATTAATCGAATTGACCGATAAGGAGGTGCAGGATATCCGCGATCTAGTCGAACGCTCGGAGGTTCCTGGTGATCGTTATCATGTTTCGTAAGTCTCTTTATTCGTTTGGAAAAGATTCTTCTGCTGATTTTTTCCTTTGTTATATAGCATGCAGATGAACGTTATTGCTGATACTCCGCCCCTCTGAAACTAAAAGCCTACCTATGTATTCTTTGTAAAAGTAAATAGTGAGGCTTAACAATATCTACTTCAAATGTTACAGTAAGGTGACAAAAGTTTGAATAGACCACCAAAGTAAATTCGCCGTTTGAGCTCTCCCGATATCAATATCAATAATATTTGACCTCTTTGCATCATATACGGACGGACCTCTAAAGACGCCTAAATAATCTGACATGAATTAGTGTAGAAAGACAGTTAGATGGTCTTAATACTATATTAAAACTTTTGTCATATTGGCGTATCACTAGCTTGATCAACCCTACACCGTTCCCAGGAGATTTTATCCACCACCCGCCTGTTTTTCCATATGCCTTTCTACTACATACATATTCATGTATGTAGTAATGAAGTCACAATAAGTATTGTCAAAGAAAACATACACAATATCAATTGATTATTATGTTTCAAATTAATCCATCTTGTAGGGAAAATAATAAATAAACATCAAATCATATTCTATATTTTTATCCTGATGCAAAGCACAGCAATATATTACCACATTTCCTACAATTTTCTTATAACTCTGTATCAGTTGATGGTATACCCATTCCACCCTATCACCTGCGGGTCCATCACTCCAGCGATAACAGACGAAGAATCCCTCGGGGATAGCCCTCAATCAATCCCATTTGAGATCAAACTCCAATTAATATCTATGAAACCTATGATCCCGGTGCGCTACGCGCCTATTCATCAACCCCGACCTCCTAACCACCGACGGCGACGGAGATGGAGCTGGTCTCGGAGCAACAGCAAGCGCAGTCGACTCGACGGGGTGCGCGGCCACGACGATTGAAGAAGACGGTGTTGCTGGGGCCGCGGGGCGTTGTACTGACGGACTCGATTCAGTGATTGGCCTGATGACGGCGGAGCTAGATCGGGTTGGGGAGGCAGATGAGGTGCGGATTTGAGCAGAGGAGGAGGGTCGTCGTGGCGTGGACGATGGGAGTAGGGTTGAGCTTCGGGGAGACGGTGAAGGGGAGGTTTCAACGGCTCTGGTGATGCCGGGAGCTGAAGAGGGTGTGCGTGATGAAGTAGTGGATGGGGCAGCTGGGCGGGAGGGTGAGGAGGGTGAAGCTGGGGCTGGAGGGGGAGCTGGCGCGCTTGCTGGTGGTGCTGGTGCTGGAATGATGGGTTGTGCAGAGGAGGCGGCTGTTGGACAGGTGGTTACGGTGAAAGTGACGGTGGCCGTGGTAGTATCTGTGACCGTTCTTTCAGGCGGACAGGTAAGAGCGGAAGTCGAGAGCGAAACCGACGGAGCACTCGACGAGGCGGGTCGTGGAGAGGAAGAGACTGAAGGGAATCGAATAGGCAAGCTGGACCTTGGCCGTGGAGAAGGAGTCGAAGGCAGTCGAGAGGGACTAGGGTTACTAGGTAGTCTGCTGCTAGCTCGCGATGGGGATGGTGACGGGTCAATTTGAGGGACGGCGATGACGGAAGAGGCTGCTGCGAGCGTTGCGAGGAGGAGACTGGGAGTCTTCATTTTGACGGATGATAGTCCTGTATTGTGAAGGATTTGTGGTTTTCTTTCCCAGTTCGAAGTACACGAAGATCTGGATGAAGAGTATAGAGAAGATGATATGCGAGAGAAATAAGCCAACAGATCGGACTGATACGGACATTGTCTAATAAAACCGCCCAATCGGGATCGTTTTTCTATAAAAAAGGTAGAAAGAGTTACGGAAGTGTGTTCCGTAGACCCAATGGAATAAATCACTGTGACGCAGATAAGGATCATTTTGACATCTTATGCTAATGAAGATAATGCTATATACAGCGAAGATGTTAATTGAACAGAGACAATGAAACGACCTAATTGAGAGGAATTCCAAAGACAGACGGAAAAGGAGAGACTATCGACTTAATAATCTCTAAATCTGCGATGTGAATATCTGCCGTATCAATTGATATGCTGGCTTCGCCCTTACTAGAGAAGTGGGGCGATCTCTCCGTTGGGTAGGAAAAGGCGGACCGCATGATATATATGATATCATTGTCGCATGTCGTAACGTCGTAGATGATCTTTCTAGAACACAATCCATGGGCGATTCCAGCCGACTTTGACCAGCTTAGCAGCCGTGAATGCTAGCAAGCCGCCAAAGTAACATGCCGTCACAAACGCAATGAGACCCCAATACTGACCGTTACACCTCGATAGAATCTCTCCAGCAATAGGGATACCAGTCAATGTGCTAAGAAATGTCAGACAGGATACCAGAAATGTATAATGACGATAGAACCGTAACATACCCAAAACTGACAATAGTATATGCCGTGGCGTAATATCGGCCGTAATTTTCCGTCTTACAGAGTTGACCCACGCATACTGGGGTCAAACTGATATTACTGCCGCTGAAGAAACCAAATGTCAGGGCATACACAATCAGAAGTGCCCTCCTATCACTAGCCGGAAACCAGAAACAGGCAGTGCTGAGTAAACAACCTAATATTGTGATAATCATGGTATTAAAGCGGCCAAGGAAATCCGAAAAATAACCCGGAAGCCATCTGCCGAAGACGGAACCGACGTTGAGAATGGCAAGGATTTGATATGAGAATGAGCTTGAGAAGCCCTCGGCTAATGCATAAGAGGAGATATACGCAATCGGCACAAACAACCCCCATTCAATGAGGAACACGCCCGCGGTAGTGAGACTAAAGATTGGATCTTTAAATATACGGAAATCGGGAAGAATATTTTTCTTTGATGCTGGCTGGGACGGAAGTCGAGAACGAATAAGAATGCAGGCGCTGCCCAGTGTCAACAGGCAGAGAAGGACAACAACGCGGGTTGCCCACGCAAAGCCGATTCTAGGGAAGAGCGCCTCGAGCACCAATGGAAACACAATTCCACCCAATGAACCCCCTGTCGATGCGATACCAGTGGCTTCGCCTCGTCGCTCGTAGAAGAAGTGACCGATTGCAGCAATTGCAGGTGTGAAGATCAACGATGTGCCAACGCCGGTAATTATGCCGAGAACAACCATAAAATGCCAATATTGCGTGCAAAAAGCCACCGAAATCATGGCAACAATAATAAGAATAGACCCCGCTAGCACAAGGAGACGCGGTCCTTTGGCGTCGAAGATTGGACCTATCTGGACACCACAGAAGAAGGTAAGACAAGCGTATACGCCAAAAATCCAGCCCACAGCTCCTTCACTATAATTCTGCAACTGATGCGTCGAAATGTAAGTTTGAAATGTGCCGATTGTGTTGATGAGACCAAGAGATCCAAACAAGCCTAGGAAACTCCCGAGCACAACAAGCCAGGCTTGCAACCCGCCTTCGGGATATGTATTCCCGTATCGATCCATTGAGGCTCGTGTGACGGTATGTGACAATGAGACGCCGTCTCGGTCATCACGGCGGGATATGATCGATTGCAAAGCGACATGTTCTGTTGGTCTGTTTTCAGCATCGGGGGGAGCTTGGTGGCATTCTGTCTCCACTATCTCTTTGTTTAGGCTTGAGCCACCCTCGTTACTCCCTAGCACACCATCTGCCTGCTGGGCGACTCCGATTCCTGAGTGGGCATCATCCTGAGTGTTAGGCATTACCGTTGACTGAGATCAGCAAGCTAGCTATGGGAGTCTGATACACGACCAGTTGTAGCCACAGAGAAGCAGACGATGATAGACACTGCCAGAGGGCATCAACAACAGCGGACCACACATCACGTAATAATAGCGAGGCGAAGAGAAATATTTAAAGGAAATACGGGCCTGGGTGGAGTTAGTCCGATTCCCTTCCCCCGCTTGAGGAGCAAGATCCACAGTAAACCCTAAGGCTGAAGAGACAACTTCGTCTGCCGGCCTGTCTTTTTCTCCAGGTCTTTAACGGTGGCTTGACGTCGTCCATTCGGAATCGAGAGGAGTGAAGATGTATGATAAAACGAGGCCAGCGGTGAGAATGGCAGTGCGTGCTTAGCAAGCAGGAGCAGTAGCGATATGGCGAGCTCCTGCTGCGGGAGACGGCCTGCTCCGTTGGGTAAGAATTCTTCAAACAGGAAGGTCCAGGCCGCCCATTATTAAGCGGCACGTGATAGTTCTGCATTTTGGATGCAAGAGTATTAATAATAATAAGAACGAAAATGATGATGGTAATGACAATCATAATAACTAAATACTCAACCTCATTTCCTAATATACAGCAGGAACAAAACACTAACAGAAACGCAAAGCTCAACAAGCAAAACCGCAAACGCAATCATGTACAAATGCCAAGTCATTCATCATGTCATCAAAATCATCTCATTGCGGCATATCATAAGCTCTTCAATCCATTCTCAGTTCTGTCTGCCACACCTCTCAGTTCGTTCGTGGTATTCATAATAAAATCTTAGTCTCGTTGCAGGTAAATTATTCTTACTTTTCTTCATCTCGTTAAATCATCAGTTCGTATAGCTCATAGTCGGTGTATCGGGCCGTTTGAGGCGATGCTGGTTTGTTGGTAGGGGTTGCCGTTGTTGAACGGTCCAACAGAGTACGGGTTGGCCAGTGTCTTTACTCCGATGCTCTGCTTGAGTCTCTCGCGTCGTGCTTCGAGTCTTGCCCTTGCGCGCATTTGTCTGGCCTGTCTCACCCGCTGCTGGAAGTCGCGGAGTGCTGTCAATGGCATCAAAACTCTCAGTCGTGACCGGGGTCGTACGGTGCGGTGTTGGTAGGGAGAACCAGTTCGAACAATCCCCATTGCGAGGTTGAGGTTGCTCTGACTTTGTTGATGCCGAAGGGCGAGGCGGTGGCGCGAGCGTCGCGATTTAGAAAGGCGACGAGCGAGCGCCAGTGGGCCGGCAAATATAACCCGCTTCTGAGGCAGGCCCAGGCTGTTACTTATAAAAGTATCTTCCTCGGGTGCGTTGAAGGGTTGTGGAGCGGGGTTTACGAGTCCATCATCCTTGTCGTCGAAATCATCCCAGAACCCACGAGGTCGCCAGAATGGATGGAGTTGGCTATCCGACGCTTTCTCTGCTCTTCTGTTCTTTGCAGATCTTGTCGAAAGGGATCTGAACAAGGGCGGGCCTGGTGTATCTGAATAACGTCGTGCGCTCAATGCACGTCTTACCGAGCCTAGCCCACGACCGAAACGGTTGCTTCTTTGTTGATTCACTTCAGCATCGGCTATTTGCGGATTGATATCGTCTACTGGAGGTGCTGAGACAAGTGCTTGTACGGGTGGCTTAGGTGGCGTGCGCGGGTTTCGAAGAGGTGAATCGAAATTCACAGCTGCTGTAGACTGCTTTGGAGTGCTTACCTTGCCAGACGGTTCTAAATCCCAGTCACGTAAAGCTCTAACAGCACGAGACTCTGTCTGCACGTAAGGATTGATAAGCAAGAGCGACTCGTTATTATGCGGGAAAAAGGAAACCGTAGTAGCTTCTCTAATTTCAATAGGACCAGGTGAAGAGGAAACGACCGAGGACTGCGTAAAATGTAAAGAAGGCGCGCGAAGTCGTTCTCCATCATCAATGTGGAATTGCAGGAATGGGGATCCAGGTTGCTCGGATGGTTTGGGCTCATCAGGCAGGATGATTCTTGGTGAGGGTAACGCAGCTGCAGTGACTTCCTTCATGGGGGGGTGCAATGTCAGGCTCATCGCTTCGGTGTGACGACGCAGGCTTTCAGAAGTCAAGGAGGTCGTACGAGAATTACTTCTGCTGGTGGGTGCCGACAGAGATGAGCTGCGCGGAGGTATTGGTGGACGCGTCAGATCTCGACCCCGGCTGTCTGCCCTGCTATGCTCGCCTGTCGAAGGAAGGGAATCCGACATTGTTCGTTTCCTCCGTCTTGGTAGCGAGTCACTGGCTTTGCTGCGAGAAATGCTGTTGTTACGATGACTCAAGTCCTGGGATCGAGTGACCGACTGATTGCGGCTGGGAGGAGCAGAAGACTTCAAAGAAGAACGTCTTTGGGGAATAACAACAACCGGAATCACCTCAGCTTTGGGAGGGTTGCCCGAAGTAGCGCTATTTGAGACTGACATATCCGATGCCACGCTGTGTCGGTTGCGATTTGAAATGCGGGCGGATTTATGTACCAATCGATGCGGTGAGTCGCCAACATTGAAATCAAGAGACGTGTTGGTAGATGGTGGATCTGGTGAGCTCACCGACCGCAGAGAAATCCTTTTCTCGGTATGTCTCAGCGTCCTTCTCTTCTGAGGCGTTGGTTCGATCACCCGTGCTTCAATGGTTGATGTGAACGAGCCCGCTGAATTTCTCCAGGAATCGACTCGGTCCATCAATTTTTGCTCATGATCCGTTAAGTCCCATCCTATCTCCGCTCCAAATTTCGCTAGCGCTAAAGCCTCCGAAGATTGATCTAAGCCAGATGGTAGTGGTTCCTGGCTTTTGCTCGGAGATTTTTCAGCGGTAGAACGGACACGGTTGCCTTGTCGACGCGTTCCGTTGGGTTGGCGCTTGCGCGGTAATGACGATGGCGACGTTGTCACCGTCGTTTCCTTCTGGTTACTCTTCCTCTTAACGCAGCCATTCTCTTTCGCCTTTGGTGTTTCAAACGCTTCCGGTTCTAGCTCCCTGTTAGGAGGGGTGACAGGGCGTTCTACATCAATTGCGAGAGGCGATTGCTTCAAAGTCGGCTTTCGACGATGACGCTGAACAAGCGAATGTGTTGATGGACTACCGCTCTCTGTGAGGTTTTCGTCCGAAAAGTTCTCTCGTGCTGTTTGGAAGGACTCGGCTTGCGAGGACATTGACGATGCTAGGAACAAGGGAGGTCGAGCCTTTGGGGTAGCATCTCTCACGCGAGGTGGCGTGATATCGGGCGTAGGTGGACTGAATCCCGTGACTGGAGTCGCAGTGCCGTTACTGAACGGAGATGAAAGCTGGTCGTGCGACGAGTCCCCTCCGTTTGGATCTTCTGGAATTTGGTTGGGAGGCGTCAGTGGCAGTGAGGGTGTGATTGAAACAGCAGCAGCACCGTTGGATTTTTCATGGTCAGTGTCGGTCGGAAAGGTCATATCGATTGTATACGATTTGGATTCGATATCGCGGCGTCGGGGAAGAGATTTATGGGCCTTGAAAAGCGGTCGATCCAGCGATGGGGCACCGATAGGGGCACTTACGAGCTCGAGGTCGGGCATCGCGAACTAGAGAATTCCTCGGTATACTCAGATATAAATGACGGCTTTCGCGATAAGTTCATATCAAGCTGATCCAGAATCAATCGGGCGCCCTACAGTTGGTATATTAAGCCACTTTGTGTTACCGAATCCCCATACTTGAGTGAAAGACCGTTGAAGCGCCTGGCTGCGCTGTCTGGATACGCAGGACTGTAAATGAAAGTTTTGCGATTTACTTCCGTGGGGGCTTTCTTTGCTTTTTTGTGTCTTCGGGATAAGCTCGGGCAGACGTAAATATTAACGAGTCGGACGACAGGCCGATAGAAAGGGTTTTCGGATGGTGATTCTTAGCGATTATTCCAAGGCCCAAAAGGAGAGATAGGACCTGGCTGTTGCGAAGGATACGGAGTGACGAACAGAAGTTAGAGAGACTGACGGTCGCGGTGGATCGGACGAGCGGTGGCCTCGTAGCAGGAGCACGGGATGCTGTGGAAGCGATCGAGCGATGCGACAGGATCGCAGGGGAGCGAGGGTCGTGGTGGGAAAGAAGGCGACGGGGAAGACGCAGGAGACGCAGCAGTAGAAGAGATGTAGTTGTCACTTTCAACGCAGGCCTGGAGGGGCCAGGTAGACGGTAGATACCCTGCGGCTGGCTGCAACGTCGAGACGTCTGAATCTGACTAGTCCGGATTGCCTTTTTCTCCTCCCGGCACTAATCAGATTCCTCTGCATTCTCTAACAAGACCAGTCAGTCTCTACTCCTCGCTACTAAGTAATAAGTGCTACCGACTAGCCATGCAGGCGAGCTTATAATCGCGAGATTGGCCCAGGTCGGTGCGAGGAATTTCTAGCCCCGCGGTTGCTATTGGCTCCTGCGATTTAGTATTCATGCCTCGCCGCCAATAACTGCCGATAACACGGGGCTGCGGCCTGCCATTGGAGCACGCTGGATTCCTGCTGTACCACCGTCATTTGGTCGTTATTGTTATTATGCGTGGTCTCTCTGATTCATGTCTGTTGTGAGATGCAGATATAAGACATCCACCCCTTACTTGCAGTCTGGTCCCAACGATCTGCCGAATGCTGCTAGCTTTGTAGCCAACACAGACGCGAAACAGTCTAAAACAGCAAAGCAGATATTTGCAGTTTCATCTTACTGCACTCCGTATGCGAGGGTACTTCAATCCATTTCCTTTTTTTGCCTGGCGCTTTTTCTTTTTCTCTACATTAATCTATTGGCGAAATCTATGACGATGCGAGACTAAATCATTATGCGGCGACCGATCGGCCTAACGACTGACGTCAAAGATGGCTGCTACCATAGCCGATATGTGAATCTCTACCACTGATAAATATAATGGCACAGGCCTGTCCAACATTTGAAGGCATGATGTAACATTATCTGGACCGAGCAGGGGCAAAACAAGCACTTGATGTCATCCAGAGAATTACATATAAATAGCGCTTTGGTTGGGTTTGCCGAAAGACGTCAGAGTTGACGTCGTATTCATCTTTCAAATGCTATTCTCTATATTCTAACAGAAGAGCACAGGAATAAAAATGCATCATCATTCATCGACGATAGTAATCGTAATAGTAATAGCGATACAAGATATGTAAGCAGCTGATGTCATCCCCCTCGCCGCTTACCATGACCTCATCTACACAACCAGCGGTCCCGTGACGCAGCCGCTGTTGAGACTTCTGCCTTCCATACCGTCTGATAAAAGCCATATTTATTTACGATATTCATATGTAAATATATCAATTGCTGTGGATATATAGAGATAGATATCTATCTATATTCTACTGTTTCCTGCGTCATTGGCGGCGACTCCCATTCCCGCCGAGCTTCTTCCGTCATTGAAACCTCTCCACTAACACTAACAGGCTAGCACTAACGAACACGGCTGCGATCTGCCATTCGTCATACCAGCAACGTGCAAAGAATAATCTTTTCACTGTCGTCTCCGTCGTTTTTCTTCTTCGTCAACACCCGCCAGACACTACCAGACACTGCCAGATACCTCAGTCGCAGCTCTCCTTCCAACGACAGGCCAGCACGCACGCACACAAAGAGATCGCCATCCTGGACATCACCCCGCATCCACGCTTGCTTCCTATGCCAGCCGCTCCACGCTGCTGCTAATCCCCCTCGCCCCCTTACCCTCTCCTCCCGCTTCTCCCCTCGCCGTCTCCTCGTAACCATGAGTACCATACAGAGTCTGAAGAATTTCATCCGCCATGGCAAACAAGCCCGCCTGGTCACGCCTCATGCCGAACCAACCACCGACGTCACCGCCGTCCACGCCGAACAACAACGCCAGCCGCACGGCCAGTACACGAATAATCTCGATGAGATCGAGCAGAAGCGCAGCAATGGCCAGCAGAAATCCCCCGACTCGAACGCCAAGATTTCGCGCGCCGATATCGAGCGATTGGTCGCCGAAGAACGACACAGCAAGTCCAAGATGCCCAAATATCCGGGCTTGGAACGATGGATCTTGATTGAGAAAATGGGCGACGGCGCTTTCAGCAATGTCTACCGTGCGCGTGACAGCGAGGGCCAGCTCGGTGAGGCGGCCATCAAAGTCGTACGGAAGTTTGAAATGAATAGCAACCAGGTACGAGTTAGGAAGTATACCTATTGTTTGATTCGTGTTTTTTCCTATTCTGTTTTTATTCCTCTCCAATTCCAAACCAGAATTCACAATCGCCAACGTCTTTCTGCCGGCTCTCTAGGGTGACGCCCATGTTCTTCCGCCGTTTCGAAAGAAGCCCAAAGCCGTGGAGGTGCGCGATTCATCCTTTGCTTGGATATTACTCTTTGCTCCTTTCCCTTGCACGTGTCGTCTGATTTGGTTTTATAAATTGACCTGCTAACTCGTGCTGGATAGCGGGCCAACATCTTGAAAGAAGTTCAGATCATGCGCCAATTAGACCATCCCAACATCGTTAAATTGATTGGCTTTTCCGAGTCCCCTCAATTCTACTACATCATTCTCGAGCTCTGTCCGGGTGGAGAACTGTTCCATCAAATTGTAAGATTGACCTACTTTAGCGAAGAGCTGAGTCGCCATGTTATTACCCAAGTGGCCGAGGCTATTGAATATCTTCATGAGACATCCGGCGTTGTACATCGGTAGGTTGTCCTTCATTCTGCTACTTACCCAATTTTAACGTCCTGTCTAGCGATATCAAACCGGAAAATTTACTCTTTTACCCCTCCCAATTTACTCCTACTAAATACCCCAAGCCTCACCAAGCAGGCGATGAAGATAAGGCGGACGAAGGAGAATTCATTCCCGGAGTTGGGGCTGGTGGTATTGGAACAATTAAAATCGCAGATTTTGGCCTTTCCAAAGTTATCTGGGACAGTCAAACAATGACCCCATGTGGTACAGTGGGCTATACCGCCCCAGAAATCGTCAAGGATGAGAGGTATTCGAAGAGCGTCGACATGTGGGCTCTCGGCTGTGTCCTCTACACTCTACTCTGCGGCTTCCCACCGTTTTACGATGAGAGCATTCAAATTCTAACCGAAAAAGTCGCCCGTGGGCAATACACCTTCTTGTCGCCATGGTGGGACGATATCTCCAAGTCGGCCCAAGACCTCGTCTCTCACCTCCTAACCGTCGACCCCGACAAGCGGTACTCCATCCGCGAATTCCTCAACCATCCCTGGATCAAGCAAACCAACGAAACAACCTACGCTGCCGCCGACGCACCACCTCTCGCCACTCCTCTTGTTATACGACAGAAAGAAGGCGACTACGAGAGCCGAGAATTTGACCAACTCGCACCACCCACGACCGCATCCGAGCGCCGCATGGACTTCCGATCCCCCGGTGCCGTCAACCTCCGCGAAGTATTCGATGTTGGCTACGCCGTCCACCGCCAAGAAGAGGAAGGCAAACGCCGAAAGAACTTTCGGCAGGGCTACCGCGGTGCCAACGCAGTCACAGGCCTTAACCCGCTCAACGAAGACTACGACGACGACGACGAAGTCATCGCCCAAGAACCTGCTCCCGAGAACCCTCCTGCTAAGATCCCTCGCTCCTCGCAACAAGCCAACGACGTCGCAGCAATGGAATCCAAAATGCGCTCGACCAATCTCGGCACTACGCCCAGCAGCGCCGCCCAAGCACGACAGGTCGCGACAAACCGACAATCGCGCCAGCAACAAGGCTACGGCCAGCACAGTGCAACTGTCGCTGCGGCCGCCAGACAAAATGCTGCACGTACCGCTAGACAGCCTTTTGAACTCAATCTCGCCAACGCAACTTTACTCGAGAGACGAAGACATCCCGACCAGGAGGTCATATAGATTCTCTTCCTACATCACACCCATCTACTCCCATTATACAATTTTGACCATCTGGCCTGTCGATACTCTATAATCATTAGTATTCTCATTGATTTCTTCTCCTCGCTAGGTGCAGTTTTTCCGGGTTGGCGTTTACGTATGCATGTTTTACTTGATAGGCGTTGTGCGTGTCTCAATACACGAGTGAGCACGAGTGATCACGAGTGATTTGATATTGAATAAATTATCGATTCTTTTTGTATCTGGAAAGTTTTGGATACGTGTTTGACAAGGACATACTAACTAGTTATGCTTCGTATTGCTCTGCTCACTTTTATTGCTGATAATATTGATATTATGATGCGTTGCATTCTGTCATACATACACACATACAAACATCATGTATTGAATGGTCGATGTTATAGAATTGATAATTCCATCTGCATCTACATGTACTTGCACCAATGTCGATCATACATATCTACTTGTAATATAAATTGTGACGTAAGAAATCAGTTTATTAAGTATATACAAATGTTTCAGTTTATCTATCAGTGGGCAAATATAGTACAGGTCATGAACTGGATCAAAGTGGTATTGTATTTACTATGAATATATCAACATGAAAGGAACAGTTTTCCCGAAGCACATTTGTTTGTGTTCGGGTATGAGGGGCAGGTCATGGCTGTTTCTAGTGTGGATAGTTCTCCATTCACACACATCTAGAATATGGAATAGGAATGAGGGCTTATAGGCATTGTTTGCCGCGCGTCTCAATCGGGAGTAGGACCATGGCCACAAAAGCTGCCAACATTAATCCACCAGAAGCGTAGACGGGGGCATTCGGGTTAGAAGATGTGCCGTAGATAGCGACGATCGGCGCCATGACGCCGCATAGACGGTTGAAGAAGCTGGATATACCAGCACCAGTACCGCGGTTCGGCGCGGGGAAGACTTCGGGCGTGTAGGCGTACAGGACGCCGTACATGATGTTCTGGAAGAAAGCTTCGAGGGAGCTGCAGGTGAGCTGGGCGTTGGGGTCGCTGGAGATAGTGAAGCAGAATAGAATGACACCTGTGATCAGAGTTGAGATCGCCATTGTGCCCTTCCGGCCGATGTATTTCAGGTTCACGGTGTAGCAGCCGAGTATGGACCCCGGGACGCCGACTATGGAGGTGATGGCGTAGTTGCGGTAGGTGATGCTGGGGGAGGTTGAGCCACCGGAGGAGCCAGCGTGGGCGAGGTATTGCGGCAAGAAGGCGTTGAAGAGGGGGAAGCCCATGCCGATAGTGGCCCAGCAGAACCATAGGAGGGCGGTGGTGAGGCCGAGCTTTTTAGAGGCGAAGAGCGGGCCGATGCGTTCGCCAGAGAACTTGGAGAGAGCGCGCTTGATGATGTCGACGACGCTGAGAGACGGTTTGCCGACTTCGTCCGGGTGGCCGCCGATCTCGTTGAGGATGTCGACCGTGAGCCAGGTGTGGGCCTTGTTCTTGAATGCGATGGCGTGGACAGTGCGGACGGCTTCCTCCTGACGGCCGCGAGAGAGTAGAAATTTAGGGGATTCGTAGAGATGGAACAGGAAGAATCGGCACGCCCACATGAAGATGGTCAGCGCACCCATGGTGATGCACAGGTAGCGCCAGCCCATGTTATCCTCACGACGGCAGCAGGGTTCGCCGGCGGCGACAGCGGAGCAGGCCTTCAAAGTGGTGTCACAGCTGTAGTTAGGGAGAAAGCCCCAGGCAATCAAACTGGGATATCGTCAGTATATGCGGGATTGTATTGAATCATGGTGACGTACCTCCCAACCAACTGTCCCATAGGCCACCAGATACTCAGAAGAGTAAGCAGGTAGTTAGAAGCGGTAGGCAAGAATTCCAAAAAGAGAGCGCCATCAACTGGGAGGTTTCCTCCTACACCAAGGCCCAAACTAGCAGCCATACCACAAACACCAATCCAAGTAGGACTAGCTCCAATGCAGATACCGAAGATACCGCAGATCAGCAAGGTCATGTTGAAGGCAAGTCGTCGTCCGACGATGTCAGAAGCAATACCCCAGAAGGATGCGCCGATACACAAGCCAATGAATAGGGCCGCTGTAGTGAAACGGACATGGGTTGAAGAGATGCCGAACTCCTGGGAGACCTGGTTCAGGGTCAAGGCAATACCCTAGTATCACATTAGTCTTATCGAGATGTTAATAGTATAGACATCAACATTAGTGCAGAAGATACCTGTAGCCAAAGACTATGAGAAAGATTAGTAGAAGTTTAAACCAGATCTCCTTCAGAAACTTACTTATCGGCAAACCAGCCAAATCCACACAAAATGAAGAGCTGCCACTGGTAGCGGCCCATTCCAATATCTTGGATAGCTAAGTTAATAGTTGTGGCTTTACCTAAAGCACAAGATTAGACCTGTTTTTTTCAGTGCACATAGCAGTAAATCAAAAATCAGAACTACGAAGCGCGCAAATATTGTATCGTCAGGCGCGAAGGGCATGTTGCATGCGGCAGGAAACACTACGGGGAGATAGACAGAAGAAAAACATACGATCATAGCTAGAGTCGTGACCGGAGGCGGCAATCTCACTTTCCACCTCGGCGCGAATGGCTTCGATTGTCTGGTGGCTGCACTCGGGGTTGGAGGCAGCGCCATTTTCTTCAGAGCCGATTCGGTCCAGTTTATTGTTGTCATCCTTCGGGATGGCGATGCCAGCGTCCTTTTCGTCTGAAGGAGGAGCGTGGTCGATGTTCAGCTGGTTGAAACGAGTCGCCTGGGAGAGAGGAATAACGACGCCTAGAAACTCCGCACGGTCATTGCGCGTAAAGGGGTTGGTCCAGATAGGCATTTTGAAGATATTGGGGCAATCGCAAAGTCCGCTTGGGCTACGTCTTCTTTTCGAGATCGAGGAATATGGCGGTAGATCGCAATCGGTGAAAACTATAGCGTTGGTTGGTCTATACAGGCAGGTCGTTCGTATACGAGTGAAGTTGCAATGGCAATGGTATCAATTGATGGAGTCGTTCAGTCAAACCCATACGGGCGCAAACAGAATCTTAGTGGATGTTTTTTGCTGTTGTTGCTCTATACCGATGGACTAGATAAAACAGATGGACGCGAATCTGCCGACATGGAGGAGCCAATGGTGAGCAACTCAAGAGGCCAGAGAGTGTGTGATGCGTATGGTGAGGTTTTGAGTCGGGGTGAGGAGGAAGGAGCACGGGATGCCAAAACAGGGAGTGGCATGACTATATACAAACACACACTACCCTGCGGAGCTTCCCGTTCCCTTTCCTTTTCCCCCGTCGTGTCCTGTTTCCTAGATTTTTTTTTTCGAGAACAATGCGGGCGGAAATGGTCGGGTCTCAGCCGTGACGCTGATTCGGTCGAGCATGCAGTTGTCTTCCAATAGAACCAACTGTTGCAGAAGCCGCCATAGGTGGACCTTTCAACGGCGGTGGAGCGGACTCTGGAACATCCATACGCAGAACACATTGCACATCTGATGCTTGGCAAATGCAAGCTGGGGGTAGAGCCACAGCGTCGACCGATGGATTCGAAATTTTAAGGACTGAGTTCCTTGCTGCCTGATGCGGTAACAAGGTTCGTCCATCACGAACGCAATGTCCTATTGATACTACGTCCTGTGTGCTTTGCTGACCTTGTACCGCCGCGCGGGGCTAGTTGCGCAGATCCGGCCATACTAAATCGAACTCACCAAGCAGCCAATACGAACGATACTGTGTACGGATATGGATATAGGTTGATACTTGATAGAGTGATTCATGTCTAACCTCGATTTGAATCATGAATCTGGGTTGCGTTTCCCTGGTAGTCTGGTAGCCAAGACCGTGGAAGTGATTTGTGCATCATTGTACGACGTCAAGCAAAATTACGCCCTCTCCGATCCTATTATACGGCCCGCTTCGTCTCCTCCAAGCTCCAACATATGCTACAGTTGCGAGCTCTTTGTCTGCGTCCGAATGCGTAATATTAATGCGCAGGGAAATTTGGTGGTAACGGCTGGCTGATACCGTACGATACAGTCTTGGCGCCGACTTACATACTGCATACACATCACAGGTGGCTCGCAGTTTGGGGCTCATGGGGTTAATGGATGATGATAGCATGGTGGAGCCGGTCAGCCGGGTGACTGAATAGCGAATGTCAATACCGCTGGAAGAAGACTGTTTGCTTTTTCTTTTCTACTGTTGCGACCCAAAAATTATGCGAATAATATGAAGCAAAATACGAATACCTGAGAAAACTGGTGGGGCACCGTGATGGTGCCAAGAAAGTGAAGAGCCTGCATTCGATCGGGTGGCTTGGGACGCTTGGCAGCCTCGCTTGATGCAGATTGCAGGGCCTAATCGAGTCGCCGTCCATGGGTGAACCCTCTTTGTCTTTCGATGTTGGAACTTGGAACTTGGCTGCTCTTGCCACAGTCACCTCGGCCAATCCTCGTGACTTGAGGATTTGTTATGCTTTCTCAGGCTATCAGAATTGACGTCTTAGGCTGGGAATGAGAATCCGAAGTCGAGCAGACGACAGACAGCCCTTACATCTTTATTTCGTCTGGAATAATACTGAGAATCTCACCGCAACTAGCCGTCGACAAGACATTCATCTCTTTTCCCGTTTCTATTACGTACAGATCAGGTGCCGGGTGAAATGAGAAATAGGCATGATGTCACTCCTCATCTGCCCCGTTTGGCAGGCTTGCTTTGCCCCTTTCGCCGAGCTGAGTGGCATCGGCTCACGCCGAAAGCCTCACACTAAGGACGCTGATCCCCACCAGTGGCGCTCCTGCAGCCCCTAGCCGAGTAGTATGTAGTAGGCTTGTACCGCGTATTTTATACTATTCAGATCAAGAGCGACACGTGCCGGCTCGCCTCAGCATCATGCTGCCGTATTTACGCTGATACAGAACTGTGGTGGTCAAGAGAAAACTATGTCGTGTTTTGCCTGGCTGCTATTGGTGTCCAATTGAATGTAGTGGAGTTCATAACACAGGAATATCAATACGATTACGAATGAAGACCGATATATGTTATACTTAGCACGAATAAACAGTTAGCTATGAGATTCAACATATTGTCAAGGATGCAGGAATTTAATGGTGCCCGAAAATAACGGCTACCAACGAATGAAATCACGTACCCCGAGAAACCCTAAATGGCCGCCCAAAGAGGCAATTTTCGCAGCACGGCAATCATGGAACCCTGCTGGGGACGCAGAATCTCGCAATACTGGAGATGTTCACACCTTTCCTATTGATTCTTTCACACCTGTAAACTGTAAAATTTCATAATTTCCAAGTCAAAGGATTCATTACGAATATGGGACACAAATACAGGACAACAGGAAGGAGCTTTGATTTCCCACGAAGAAAGCCAGATTAAAAGCTTCTGCTCTCTTCGGATGGTCGACGCATATTAACCGTCCAAGCGATTTCGATGGATATTTGGGAACTCGAATCTGGGAAACTGTTGTGAACTTTCTCTAGGAAAAAAATTCTTTTATTTAGGATCGTATTATCCTATAGTGGAAGTGTTGTCGGCTATGATTACGCGGTTCAGAGTCATAATGATCCCCCCAAAGAATAATATGTAGGTATATACGATGTGGATAGAGGCGAGATGCTCCGGATATTTCTGAAGAATTATTTTCGTAGAACTTTGGCCGTGTCTCCTGATGGCAGTTTCGTCGCCTTACGCAATCAGTCCTTGGTCGAAATATGGGACTCCAGAACTAGAAACCCGATTCATAAGCTGGATTAGGATACTATCGTATCTTTTTCACCTGGCTGCCAACATATAGTATTTTATCCATTATTATCGTCATTTCGAGGCTTCATTAAAGTCCCGAATTACGGAATTGGGAAGCGGAATCATATGTTGGATCCAGATCTGGCAAATATCACGCCTAATTTACCTCTCTTCCAGTCAAATACCTATGCTATATCATCTACTAGGGATTATTTTATTGAAATATGGAACATTCATAGCGGAGAAAAGAGCCTTAGAGTTTCTCTTCGTAAATATATCGAGTTATTTGACGTCTGTTTCTCATCCGACGGGAGTATACTCTACTTGAATGGAGTGCCATTTGAAGTTTTCGCTACTCCGGCTACCTCAATAAGGAAAGAAAAGTCTGAAGCTCTTTTGGTGACAAGAGAAATTTGGATCGTTGACGAACAGCGGCGGAAAATTCTCCGTTTGGTGGAGGATAGTTCATACCGGAGACACCCAACCTGGACATTTCACAATGGCGAGTTCGCTTTTGCTCATTCGTCGGCATTGGGTTCAATCTCCATATTGAGCTGAAGTGCTCAAAATCTATTACTACAGAGGAATGTTGTTACAAAAGAATAATATCTTATCTTTTATTTGAGTGGAAATCCCACTCTGAGTGCAAGAGATGTTGCACATTCGTCATTCAGCTCACGATCGATCAGTTACGTATTTTTGAGCGACATATCGTACGTAAAACCGCATAATTCCTCTACTTAGTCTACCTTGACCTACTTATAATCACGGCTTACCGCTTGCAATCCCCTCCTTATACCTCTGCAAGGCCCTATCTCGACTCTCCGAATGATTCACAATCGGTCGTGGATACCCAGCCTTCTGCGCTGCTGCCCCAGCGCCTCTTCCATACGGATCATGAATGGACTTTTTATCCTTTATTTCTTGCAACTCTGGCACCCACTTACGAATAAAGTCACCATTTGGATCAAACTTCTCACTCTGCAAGAGGGGATTGAAGATACGGAAATAGGGCTGTGGATCAACACCCGTGCTCGATCCAAACCCCCACCCACCATGGTTGGACGCAAAGTCGCCATCGATAAGGTTTTCCATGAAATACCGTTCCCCACGGCGCCAGTCGATCATTAGATCCTTTGACAGAAAAGAAGATACAATCATGCGGTTGCGGTTGTGCATCCATGCCTCGTGCTTGAGATGCCGCATGGCTGCGTCGACGATTGGGAAGCCTGTTTTGCCTTCTGTCCAACGGTTGAAGAGCTCCTCGTCATATTCCCATTCGACATTGGTGAATTCGGGCTTGAAACATTTGTTCATACTGAGTTTAGTTAGTATATTATTGTATTTCCTAAAGTTCAGAGGACATTCTTACCAGATGAACGGCCAATGCACAAGGACATGCTTGTAGAAGTCACGCCAGGCAACTTCGCTAATCCACGTTGCTAACCCAGCATTCTTTCCATCTAGGTACCCTCCATTGGCATCCTTTGCCTTGGAGATAGATACTCGAGCACTCAAAATACCGGCTGCAAAATAAGGGCTGAGAATCGAGGTAGTTTGTCCAGAGACCATGCTTCGCATCTTATCATAATCCTTGACCTTGGTTTCCATAAACTTGTCCAAACGTTTGATCGCCTCGTCTTCGCCTTCAGGATACATTTCCTTGAACCGCTGCTTCTCCTTGTTTCCGAGACGCTTGTTCTGTGGTGCATCTGGAACCGGGCTATCAAAAAGATCCTTAAAGTGCGACCGTGCGTTTCCAGTGTTCTTCCCCGGTTCATCCACTATAAGCAAGTTTCTTGAATGCTCGTGAAGATATGTTATCCATGACCGATACCACGGGGTATATACTGCATACTGTTTACCTTGTTGGCTCTCCAAAGCTCCAGGAACGACAACACAGGAATCATGAACAGCTTCAAAAGCAATTCCCTTGTCACTGCATAGTTTTACCAGTTTAGCTTCACGTCTCAGCTCGTCCACTTCATACTCGATATTGGCGAACAAATTGCTAGCTCCCCATTGCTCACATAGTTCCACTATCCGAGTTGGTACATTTCTGCGCTTTTCTTGAGTTTCCATATAAAGAGGGATATCAAGCTGCGCAAGCTTCTGCTTCAGCACTTCTAGATTACGAAGCGTGAAATCAACCCGCGCCGGGCTGGTCAAATGCGCTGTCCAATCCTGCGGTGACTGTATATATAAACATACCAACGGAATATCATGTTTTTTCGCAGTCTCATAAGCCAAGGTCAATGCACGGTTGTCTTTCAATCTCAGATCGCTCTTAAACCAATGCACAACCGCATTCTTCGGCTTGACGGCCTTGCGCGCATCTTCGGTTTCTGCGTAAGCCTTGTTGAGAGTATCAATCGGTCGCTCAAGCGTCCCATTGCTGTAAGCTTCGCAGCGTGAGTTGCTCATCTCTGGCGGATAAAACTCCCGCAGGACGATACCAAAATCCTCGGTCTGCTGTGCGCTGGGATGAGGAGTGCTGATACTGGCGTTCGACTGACCATTCTGTGTATTAGAGCTGGACGTATTGCTTCGTTTCGCAGCTGACGAGGCATCTGTATTAGATGAGACTGGTGACTTGCGCTTTCTGGGAGGCATCTTTCGTATTACTCGAGTCGAAGAGTTACAACTGACTTGATAGCTCCCTCAGTTTGAATAAATTGAAAATCAAACAACGGCAAGAGAATTGATCGCTATAGAATCCTCATCACCTAGAATGGGCCATTTTAAGCCAAAAAATAAGTAAGGAAGCGACTGAAGAAGAGACACCCTGTGGGCGTGGACCGGTCATTTCTCGTGATGTCATTGGCATGCTATGCTAGATTTCTCCCGATCTGCGCAGCCCTAAATGTTCATCAGATCGGCCGAGACCAATCCATGGATCGGGCCTAATTACGATTATCACCACCTTAGTCGTTGCTCCACCTGTCTAGATATGTTAAGTTAAAATCATAAAATTAGTAATCAGTGGGATTAAATACGTATTCATTTACTCATATTTAGGTTTGTGATCATGGGCTATAGTGCTGTAGCTAAATGCGAATTGGGCGCACTGAGGCTTCCAGGTAGTCTAAAAAGACCCTAACGCTACCCGCACCAAAACCACCCCGACCGCTTAAATGCCCTTGGCGTTTCGGGGCCTATACCAACCGTATAAACCATATCAAACCTTTCAACTGCAAAATTACAACCGCAATATCATTAATACATAACAATTAATTAGATATATATGTTAACATACGCCTCATGATATCTTTTGCTTTTTCTAATTTTCTGGCACTGCTAGTTCTACCGGACACTCGTAAGATTTCCGAGCCTAGCTAACATAGTATCTCGTACTTGAACTAGCATGATTCCTCTCATAACGAGTAGTTATACTTCATAGTGAGTGGGTGTCAGCCATAGTCAATTTGTCTATTCAATCACGCCCCAAGGCATGCTCTATCAATTTGCGATACCCTTCTACAGCGTCTTCCAAGTCCCCAACAGTCAGTGCTTCCACATCAGAGTGAGCAACAAGAATACTACCAGGACCATACAAGTACCGTTTCACCGGTCTATCACCGCGGCCCCGAATCTTCAGATTGCGTACATCTGTTCCATAGTTTACGGTCGTGACATTGAAACCATCTACATCGGCATCAAGGTCCACCGGCGCTGTACCTTCAGCAACAAAATCAACCCTAACATCAGCATCATCGCCCTCAACCAGCTTTCGTACAGCCCTGTACACAATTTCCTTCGCGTCATCTGGTGTTCCCGCGGCAAGTCGCACAAGAAAACTCGCCTGCGCAACCGCCGGCACTACATTCCCTGCAACTCCACCGTGTATAACACCCAAGTTAATAGTTGTATTCCCGTACTTGGCACTCGACGGCAACCCTCCCTCTTCTACAGCTATATCCCCCAGCTTCTCCACAAAAGAAGCCACCGGCAAGAGCGCCGAAATCGCATTTCGTCCTTTCCACGGATACCCCGAATGCGCGGCTTTCCCGATCGAAGTGATCGTGAAGCCGAAGCCACCTTTATGACCCGAAACAAGGCTTAATTCAGTCGGTTCTCCGAATATCACGGTGTGAAATGATGGTGGTGAGGTATTGTATTCAGAATCAGAGAATGTTTTCATACCCAATCCGCTGTTTTCTTCGCCGACGACGAAAAGAAGACCCAGGGATGGTGGTATTTTTGAACTTTTGGTATCGCCGTGTTGGGCTATGGTTTCTAGCACTGCGAATATTTGGGCGGCAACACTGCCCTTGGCATCTACCGTGCCACGTCCGTTGATGGTAACTAATCTCCTATCGTTTTCAGAAGTGTTGATGTTTGGATAGGTTAGTCCATATGGAATATATGGTGGCACGGTGTCAATGTGAGAGGTCAACAGTATATCAGGCAAAGAGTTATTGCCGATATAGGCATAAATATTGAATCTTTCTTTCGCATGCCTATCTCCTGTTGCAGATTGTACTGGTTGTTTCACAACCGTGAAGTTGTTTCGTTGCAGGAAATCGATAATATAGTGACCAACCTCATTCTCATTGCCGCTGATAGATGGGATATTAACAATATCGCGATGCAAGGATAGTAGAGGAGAGGAGTCGATAACGCGGCTTAATTCGTGTAATTCATGAGAAGAGGGGTTTGCGATTGCAGTGTCAATGCCTAATGGGTGCTGTGTATCTACATGTCGAGGCAAGGGGTCTCCGACCGCAAAAGCAGCCTGGATAATGGTAAACAATGTGATGAAATTGACCATTGTTGTCTCCGATGTAGATTAGATTAATATCGTGTTTGAAGACAGGTGTGCACGATAGATTTAGTGAAATGCCTTGACATTGAAATATTATTGAATCGGAAACCCGGCTATCTCGCTGATGATATGATTATCCCCCGCAATTGCGTCTTGTCGGCCTCTGCTTGGTGTATACACGGACTTGCATATATGCAAGCCTTCGGCACTAAAATACGAGTCCTCTTTGAATCTTGATTATTAAAACTCTATCTATCGGGATTGTCCTACGTGCTTTGAAGAAGATTTATCATCATTCCTTTAGTCGCCCCACCCCCTTCCATCATTCCGTACAATTTGAAGCTATCCTGGCATACGTGCGGTTACAATTTTATCTATAGTTTTCCCGCAGCAATACGAGATACGCCGTGGAAATCACCTCTTCCCGGACCTATGAATATCAACATCATCCAAAAGAGCCTCATTCCTCTTTGCCGCCTCGATTCTAGCCCTTTTAATCCTACGCGTGTCCACATCAGCGCGCGACGTAAAACTCCAGGTAATAATATTCATGATAATCGCCGCGCCGATAAACCCCATCGCAATAGCGAAAGAAGTCGTATAGCGAGGCGCGTATCGGGAGTTGAAGAGCTGCGATCCAACTGCACCTCCGATCTGGCCATAGCTGTTCGCAAATGCAATAGCGAAGGCGGAGCCTGTGGCTCCTTCGGTGGTCTGGACACGCCATGGCCACATCATGGTGTACCTAGAGACAGAGTTTCAATATGTAGTTTCGCCTTATGATGGGGAGTTGCTATATGGATAATGACATACCACGCAACTGAAAACCCGCCTGCAATCACTGTAGCAGCGTATACCGCCCCGTTACTGGGGAATGTATACAGCACTGCGTAACAAGCTTGGATAACGATCATGAAGCCGAGTGGAATCAATGGCTGCGGGATTCTACCAGTGTCTGTGACGATACCAAACAGCACTGTTAAAATCACAGAAAATATGGCAGGCGGAATGTTCAAAAGCTGGGTTTGGGCAAGCGTGCTACTCGGTTTCGATCGTTAATTTGTGTCGTTTTCATATAAGAAAGGGAAAGGGAATAAATGTAAGGCTAACTTACGTGAATCCCAGATTTGCGATGACAGTTGGTTGGTAAAATGTAAGTCCCGTCGTGCCGACGGTGTAGAAAGCCCAGCAGAGAAGAAATAGCCAGACGCGTTTGTTCCGAAGAGCTTCGAGAATTTCACGGAGATTGAAATTGGCTTCTGCTGCGCGAGGAGAGTTACGTGGCAGCCGAGCTTGGATGAAGCTCTTCTCGCGGTCTGTGAGCCATGATGCAGTGGAAGGGACTAAATAGTGTCAGCTTGAACATCCATTCAATATAAACCAGAGTGAGGGGAAGTACAATCAGGGAGAAAGAAGTACGTGAATATTCCCAACAACACGGTGAAAACACCCTCGGTTAGAATAAGCCTACTCTAGTCAGAAACCGCATCGCAATATAATTCGCGAGATTGAAGGGGGATAACCATTTCCATCCAGATAGTCCACGGGCAACAACTCCGTTAAAAGCAAAAGCAAGTACTCCGCTAACCACAGAACTGAAATTCCCAAGCACTGTCACCAACACAATCCGTGGTGCAATTTCGTCTGGTCGATACCAGTAGCACAGCTGCAGGAGTATCCCCGGCCATAGACCAGCTTCGAAAAGCCCAAGGAAGAAACGGACTACATAGAGGCCTTCCTTGTTACGGACTGCAGCGTGGCAGCATAGAACGATTCCCCAGGAGATCTGTCAGTGAACATCAGTTTTCTAGTTTTGTCCTCCGCGTAGTAAAAACTATTATGAACTGGACTTACGTACCATTATTCGAGCTTGCCAGACCGATGGCCGCATTTTTTTGAGCAGCAGATTTGACGGTGTCTCTGCTAATATGTATGGAATCTGTCTCAAGTAAATTTAGGGTTAGACCTCACGTAGCACTACGGGTTTATACGTACATAATACATGGTGGTGACGAGATTGTACTCATTTGCTGTCATATGAAGCTCTGTCATAATATTATGTGGTGTTCCCTTATCCATAATGCGTGCATTCGAGACCTGCGCAAAACAAAATTAAAACCAAGCACTCTCCAAATCCAAAAGGACTTGGTTTGCGGGAAAACATACATTTGTAAAGTCGACGGTTTTGATCATATATATGACGGACAAGAGCGGAATCAGATGCCAATCAATACGCCGAATCAGTTTCTTTTCCTCCTTACTACTTAATATGACGCGGTCCCTCATGAGATTATCATCATAGCCTGTAATCGACCTAGAATCCTCCTCGTCACCGCCATTGTATGCTGGGAGATCTTGATTTCGCGCAACGATGTGCAAAGACTTTTCTCCAGCAGGAACTGGAAGCTCCTCCGAATACGAAATAGCTGGATCTTTAGTTTTCGTTTCTTGACTTGCAGAGTCAGTGGAAACCGGCTCGATCTTTTCTGAAATCTCGGGCCGAGACATGATGTGTATGACGGTTATATGCCAGAGAGTATTCTAAACGGCAGGAATTGATATAGTTAACGGCTCATGCCGCCTGCTTTATACTTCCTAACTCGCTTATTTTGGATATGATTATCAAGCAGCTGCGCCAGTCACTGCGATACGATGCCGTTATCATAGGTATAAATGGTGGAAGTCGCCTTTTTCGGTATGGCGTGGAGTCTTATGCAGGTGGTATCACGCCATTCAAGGCTACTAATGTCGATACTGATAACTTCACAGATGGTGGGATAAAAGTCAACTGTCAACGCAAGCATTCGTGTTAATTCTAAGCGTTAATAGTCACTGTTTATTCTTAACTAGTTAACCCTGTTGGTCAAGTTACACGAATTAGTCATTCGGAATGCTAGGATTGGCAATTGCTCTGCAAGGGCAGATCAGTACTAGTATCTGCGGAGTTATTATTTCAAGAGATCTTAATATAATCTTCAGTTATGAGTCTGGCAGGTCCTTGCTTTGTCATGGCCTATGCTGTGTCGCATTCCTTGACAAGTATCTGCCTTTCGAGAAGCTTCACATAATGGAAAACAACCATTTATCCTGTTTATAGAAGGAATCGCGGAATGTGGTCCGGATTGAAATAACAGAGGGTTCTTCAAGTGGCCAAGTTCGCTAAATTCATTGCTGCCCCCCCGACTTGTCCCGCGCCACCAACCCAATCTATCGCAGCACCGTCGCCTTCTTCACCCACATCCACTAAATCATCTGACGCTTCCGAGTCTTCTCCATCTCCGGCACCTGACTTCCTCGGTTTTGATATCAGCGTGATACGAGAGTCAAACGTTCCGTATGTCTCCTTGCCCAAGCATTTAAAGAAAACAGTCCCGCAGATAGACCACTCGCTACTCATATTCCACGTCTTAAATGTCGGGGTACACGATGACGGGATTTTGAACTTTGCTCGACACAACTCGGGTTGATAATTCGTCCCGTCCACCGTGGGAATAAAAGTATGATTAATCCGACAGGTCTGTCCTGCGAACGGATGACCTGGGAATTCATAAACATGCTCGTCAAACCTCAACACAGGACGCGAGCAGCGGGTAGTGATAGTTTCCTTAATATACAACTCAGCTCTTTGTAGAGTGATAAGCGGCAGTGGGAAGTCAATTTTTGCATACCGTTTCGCCGGCCTATGTAAACGCATAAACAGCTCGATAGTGCTACCCGACACAGCAATCTTCGGTACGATCGTATGTAGTTGCACAGACATTTTTGGGGTATCATCTGACATCATTTTGTCGAACACGCCCTTTTGCTTTACTTTGGCGTCAGGTTGCAGTCGCTTATTGATAAAAGTCACTATATTGGCAGAGATTTGGTTCTCTCGGGGCTCTCTCTCCCAGTCCTCAACCGAAATGCGAGGTGTTGTAATAATCACGTTCTCCTCTTCAGACGATTGAATTACAGAGTTTTTGCCATGCCCGGCCGTTTCAGATATGATCGCGGAGAGTGTGTAGCGGATCTGACCCCAGCCTCGCACTTCTTGTCTGTACAAACTGAGAGACCTTTCGTGCATGGTCATTGAAGGCGGTAATGCATGTTGAGGGTCCTTTGCAAAGGGCTCTGAGTCAGACCATGAGTGCGTCCAGTAATCGAATCTCTTCTTCAGAGCGGGCACGCTCGAGAGGTCCTTCTGGACATGGTCAGGCACCGTGATGGCGAAATGTAGCTCATCATCGGACTGTGCAGGGTGTAATTGCGTAGTATGGTATATCAACGGCACGCGACCTGTGTAAGTGTAGAAATTCTGCGCCGAAAAATCAATGTATGATTTGCTGCGGCCGACGAGGACAACCTCAATTGAGGCGCCGTTGGTTAGATGTGGCTTCCAGTCATGAATTGTGCCGGTGATTGTATCACCGCTAGTGTACAGTTTGTCAGGGCGGTCGAGGACCAGCGATATGTCGTGCTGAGGTGCAACAGACATTATGGTGGAAGAATTGTGCCCAGTGGATGCATTCGGTCGATGCAGTGTCTCCTATGTGCATATTTATACGTGAGGCTCGCTAGGGCGTGTTTATAAGTAAGGTAATCTTTCCACCGTTGCTTGTTTCAGGCTTGACATAATTAGGTGTTTGTTAGATGGGGTTGAGATGATGGGGGCCAAGTCTACGCACATCTGGGCTAAAAATACGCACGAACATGGCTGTTTATTATCCGAACTATTGATAGAATACATCCCGTATTAATACCCTTATATAGCTAGATGTACATTAACTTGTTAAACATCAGCCTTCCATACTTGTTATATCACACACTTGTCGAGGCTCGCAACCACCCCAAGAGCGACGACAATTGATTAACGCGAAGACACAAACGACGTAGTAGCATCAAAGCTATTCTATAAATACCAAGGCCCTAGAACTACTAATTAAATTCAGTATTAATCAAATATTTAACTAATTATCACCTCCTCTGCCGCAACCCCCTCCCACTAACTGCCATCCTGCCCCTGATCGCCATACTACCATACTCTGTTTGCACAGCCCGTCTGCGTATATCCCGCTCTGAGCTCACCCCATCAGCACCTCGATCATCTCCACTCTGTACCCTTCCAGAGCCAGAGCCCTGCTGTCTCCGTTGCTGCGCTGTTCTGGTCCTCGCCCGCTCTCTGATTCGCTCCAGGAGATCAGGATCGAGGAATGGCTGTGGAGCTTGTGAGGAGTCGAATTCGATGCGGATGGCATCGACAGTATTATTTGTGTTATCTTCTACTTTCTCTTTCTCTTCTTGTTCCACGATGGATGAAAAGACTGGTCGCCGAAATTGGATTTTTGCGGGTAGTGCGCTGGGATTGATTGTGGTGGTTTTCTTTCTTGATGATGATGACGATGATGGTGATGGTTTCGCGGGTAATAGGCGACGCTTGTGAGGGATTATTCGATTCCGCTTTGGTTTGGGGTTGGTTTCCATTTTATTGGCCTTTACCTGTTGCTAGGTAGATGTTTATACTTTTTTCCTCGTGTAGATAGGTTCGTATTAATTAGTTGTCGCATTGTGGATGAAAAAGAGATGCGGGTGTATGCATCAATTAAATGCCAATTGTCGTCCTCGACTCTAATGTTATTGGTCCCCACATCTATATTATTCAAAGCTTAAATGATAACCAACCCCCTGCCCAATTATTACTCACATAGCTTTATAAAATAAATATAGATTTACATACTAACATTCACAAATATAGACAAAGAACGTGTAATACATCAAATCGTAAAAAACTGGGTATTTCAAAAACGCCCGCTTATGTCCTGGTTACCGGGCCAGAAAAAAAAAAAAAGAGCAGTCTAGCCACCAATTTCTTAGAAATATTTTCACCTTGAATGACATTTATCCATCCCCAGTCTCGTATGTGAAGCTCTCAGGCTAGGCCTTGAGTCTCCATGCCCTGTACTGGATAGCTATATGGGAATTCGACGAGGCCATCTAGAAGCCAGTTCAGTGGGTCAAAAACCTCGTAGTTGGCTTCCATGAACCCGACACTGGGCAGACTGCCAACGCCGCTATTCGAAGTGGACATGGCCAAACCCTGTGGTACAGTTGGGGCTGGGGCCAAACTGGGGTCGCCGGTCACGCCTGGGGTTGCTGATGAGTGGCGCCCTGCGACAATAGACGACGCAGAGGACTCGGCGTTAGAGTCAGGGTCAGTCGGGTTCTTGAGAGAAGCTAGGATGAAAGGTTAGAAATGGGGGTCTTTAAAGAGGGGAATGTCGATTACCTTCAATACTGCGACCCTTGGCTGCGGCCTCCTCTCGCCATCGCCATACCGAGTCGTAAACGAGAGACATGCTCATGCGACATCTGACTTTCAGCTGCAGCGAGTCGTCCATCTCAGCAGATGCCGATGCGGGACGCGGAGTTGGAGCACCGCCTTGTCTCCACATCTGCGCAAGAACCTCGGCCAGTCGCTCTGGTAAGTCGTTGCTGGATACGGAGATGGCACGAATAGCCCAGATTGTACGGTTGAAAAGACCCTTGGTATAGTCCATATCGATATGCGCTGAGAAAAAGCTTTTGCACAGCTTCATTAAGGTGAACCCGCCGGCGAGCATCATTTGGAAAAAGTAATACGGTGCATACGGCAGAACAGGTCCTACGTTGCTTTCTAGGTCAAGGGCGGACTCTAGAAAAGCGCAGGTAGCGGAGTGCAGTGATAGCAAGCGTTCGCGGTAATTCTTTGAGACTGGGTCATCGAAGAATGCACACAGTCGCAGGTGGAGATTTGCAGCCCGTAAGTAGAGATTTGTTATAACTAGAGGATAGGTTAGCTCATCATATGCATATATAGCTCTCTTACTTACCATCATTATCTGAACTCAACTGATTGGCTAAGTCGTCAAAGTCTCTCGACAAGAACGATATAAAAGAAGATCTTTCTTTGTCTTCCACCAAGCCCACCGGGTCTCTCCGGTTGTTGTACAATGTCTTTGTAACCTTGTCGCTGAATTCTTCGATATAAAGCCTTGTCTTGATGTCCTGGGGAAGCTGAAAATTAACATCGACGCTCTCGCTCGCACTCAATGTCCAGTCATACAGCGTCGAAGGAGGTTGTCCATAGCCAGTCGCAACCCTAACCAGTCAGCAATAAGCGCATGTCTTGGAGATGATGGCAAATTACCTCTGCGCTACAATATTACACGTAGCCCATGTCCGCACTTTGTCTCGCAGCTCCGGTTCCATCAACTCTACCCGAAACTTGGAAAAGTCTTGGGTATGAGAAGGCCGGTGAAGGCCGAGTTGCATGGCCACGTGAACCATCAAACCACATAGCATAAATGTTGGGTCCGTTGAGGTACTGCTAGTCGGGAATGGCCAGGTACACAGCAAGCAGAGAGCTTTCACCGCATGAAAACTTTGGGGGACGTCAGCCAAAGTGCTCCAGACAAGCCGAGTAACTGGGCCAGCCAGTGAATTCATGAGATGAACATCGGTCTGGTAGCGGCGTGCGCCCACGCTGATAACCATCCAAAATAAAAGCGGTGAGGCGGCATAATATTCGTCGGGGCTAACATCACGGTCAAGGAATGGGAGGAATGGATGATAAAACGTGAAAAAGCTAACGGTCAGTTAGTTAAACCAGTAACTCACTCGTCTGGAATACTCACAGATTGAATAATTCGTTAATTCGGTCGCTTGCTACCATGACATCCTCAATCCTCTTGAACTGATGACCGCCATTCCTCAGATAGTTTGTCCCATCAAAACCAGATCGCAAGTCCAGCAGCGACGCAACAGCCTCATGTGAGCCCATAAACTGATCTGTCGAAATGCCAGTCGGGGTTTGATACAGAGCCGTATTGCTCATCGGAGTTGACATAGCAGAAGCATCCTGTTTTCCTGGAGTGACCTGAGATTTGAACGACACATTCGCCGCGTTCACGTTTGCAATCTGCCGCCTCAGTTCGATGATTTCTCTTTCCATCTCGGCGTTGCGACTTCGCTTCCCAACACGCTTGAAGTTAGACTCGATCTTGCACTCGAGTTTCAGGCGGCGACAACGCGAACAAGTTGTAAAAGGGTCCTGTACGACATCGCATCGAAGCTATCACGGGCCATGTTTAGCACATACCACCGCAGCCAACAGGACTCTCCGCGGGCCTACCTTTTGCTGACGACATTCATTGCAGGCTCGCTTGACAGGCTGTCGTTTCTTCTCCTCTGCATCGTCCACTTCATCAATACTTCCTGGCGAGCTATCGAATCCAGCACCAACGACATTACGCTTCTTTCCCGCAATGCCCCCTCCAGAAGCTCCAGAATGCGGGATCACGCCCGAGCGAATTGGGCTCGTCACTGGGGTCGCATGGTGAGACTCAGAGACATTCTGACCTCCCCCCAGGGTGCCTCCCCCTCCGATGCCGCTCGTCACCCCGTGCGCCGCCACGTTGGTTGGCCCACGGCTCTGCGCTGCGCAGGCTTATCGAATATGCAACCGTTCTCTTGAAAGCTAACCGATCACCGATGTGGTAGCCGGTCGTCCCCTTGCGTCCGATTCCGCGATAGAAGATCGGATGGCGCCGCGTCGTAGTCTGTTTGTCTGAAGAGCGATTGCAATTCTATTAATTCGCACCTCGAGAGATTCCCGGGTGGTGAGTCAGCGGCCTACCCCGTTCCGGCGGGGTTTCCGAAATCGGGCAAGCTAGTCATGTGATATATCACGTGACGTCAACGAAGTATACAGTCTTGCATATGTATAAATGCTTTAGTGTTAGTAATACCAGGACAATTGCAATATTCGAGATGGAAGGAAGCAAGGACAACGCACATGAATACCAAAAAACTGCCTCGGTCGTGAGAGGTGTTGCCGTGTGCAGCATTGATGGCTTGAATTGCTTGGGTGTTCAGCTCCGTAGTGCGATCTGAGTGGGAAATAATGCTCCCAGCGAAGTTCCTATATCCATGATCCGGGGTGAGGTGGAGAAGTCGCTGGAAGTCATAGTGCTTCCGATACGTACCATTCCCAATGTCTCGACAGTAACTTCCGCGGGGCAAAGCCTTATGGATCTCAGGACCATCATAATTCGAGACGAGGCCTTTCAGCAGAGTATCTGCTTCTGAGTCATCCCCGAGCATGAAAGTGCTCGCTGCAAGCTTGATTTGTCTCACGAAACTGTCTGCGATGTCTTCTATTTGTGCTGATGGCCCTAAAATGACTCGCTGACTGGGTTCTTAAGTTGTGATGGCGGAAGCCACAGGAATTTTCTCGTTCCATTCTCGTTTCCTATCAACAAGCTTCTTGCTAGCAGTGTGATAAGAGGAGAAGTAGAACACCAAATCTTGGGCTATAGTACTTGCATTAAACAGACCCAATTCTTTCTCTCGGTCTATTAACACGTAGAGTTTCAGTTGATTTTGCGTTTCGCGATCGTACGGCGCAACAACGTGTAGAGTAGGCACATTTTCGACAGTATGGGGGACTTTTTCAGCGCTATTACTACTAGGTTCCAAGATGTCCGTATCATCAGCAGTAGGTATTGAAGGAAGCTGGTATGAGCGTTGAATGAATTCGTGCGAAGATCTTATATGCTCGACCTCTTTCCCTTCTCTATGTGAACAACCATAGTATATGTATTTATCAGATCACGTAGCTTAGCATATCTTGCCGTACCCCCTAAGAGCTCAATTGATAATTTTACTATATCTACACTTGTATGACAGAAGTTTCAATATCGTATCAATATTTTCTGTCTTTCACCTGCATTTACACCAATCCATAACAGATTAATTTAGGCGTGTTGGAGCCCGTCGACAATGCAAAAGTTCACATACTATTGATATTGATACGGGAGAGCTGCTATAGCCAATCCACTTTTGCGGTGCTATATTCAAACCTTGTCACCTTCAATGTTACTGTATCTCTGACGATCGGGCTGTGAGTCTGCGATTATCACCTGGCCTCCATACTTTGTAACAATAAACATGCCGATAGAGCGGTAATAATACTGATAATGGTTAGCGTCGGCATCAGACACAGCCGCCGCCCCTCGTGCGCTAAGGCCCAGCTAAGAACTGCTTACATCTGCTAATTTCCTGCTCGCTTCCAGCGTCCAGTCATCGCCAGCAGAATTAATTAGCCGCATGGCCCGTATCACCGCGCCCGACAAACCGCTGCCATCGCATGACGTCGCCGCTTTGCCCCGCCAGACTCCTCTCCAAGGCTCCCTTGGAATGTTCCATGGCTCGGCTCCAATGCTAAGCATCGACAAGCTCCGATTTGGCCCCCGCACAGTTCGTAGTCCAGTCACACTTGTTTGCAAGAGCACTACGGAACCCAGCGTAACAGGGCAACGTGAAGTGTCGGCTGTGTGAACACCGCCGAGTCTGCCCTGCGCATCGACGAGAGCGATTGACAGTGAATGATACAGGCATACGTATAAATATCGAGAACAGCCCGCCCCATTCTCAATGTGCAATCTGACATGATATGACCCTATCATTATCGAATCATTTTGTCGCTCGATCAAGATGAAGGTCACCAAGAAAGACCCGGATATGCTGAATGGCAAAAAGCAAAGCCCAGTGCCGGATGCAAAAAATGAGATACTTCCAGCATACAAGGAAGAACCTGTCGAGCCAGTCATTCTTGACATACCCCCTCTCACATTCGTAGAGCCAGGTCCGTCGGCAACTACCACGGTCAGCAGAGACCAGTGCATCTTGCACCTCAAACTGCTGGCTGCATTCGCCGAGCTACGGGCCGCGATCTCCAGCGATGACGGCTTATTTGGGATTTATGACGAACAGGCAAATAGGTTTGTGGAGGAGCAGTTCAAGATCCGCGCCCTCGCTCGGATCAGAGAGAAGCGATGGGCAATCTACACTTCGAGAGCGGTAGATCGCTATACGGACTGGTGGTTCAACAGCGTTTTGTCGACGGGCAAACCCACCACTGTCGCGGATATGCTTTACTCGAAATATTCTCTTATCACCAAAAAAATGCCGTCTCTGAATTGGGAAGCGAAAAACCTCCCTCCTTTAGGTGAGTGATAGCCATCATCCCCAAGCAGTATTCACATGAAATAATATTTTACATACTTACCCATGGCGTAGACGTTCTTATGGTCTGGCATGCTCATATGCTCAACCCGCGGGCATATCTTGAAGACTGCATTCGAGGCGCAAAAATGCAATTTTGGTCTACAGAGTTTCCTTATAAATTGCTTGACCAAGCCATAGACAACAAGACGTTCATTTACAACCCCGGTCAGGAAGCGAGGCATTTATTCCAGAAGCAAACCAAGCACTGCTGGGATAATCTAGACGAGCCACCTGAGAAGACCTTGACATGTCTAAAGTGCTCGCGGCCTATCACGATCCCCTGGACTCGCGGAGAACTAGGCTCAAGTCTAGACACAGCATTTGAAAAATCAACTGGATATTCGGATAAGAATTTTGAGGAATATTGCAAATCCTGTGGCCTTAGACATGACCACCAAGCCCTTCGAGTCGCCAGATTTCATCAAGATGCTCTAGCACTAGTGCAAAAGGACCGCCCGATGCCCGGCACATTTTTCAACCTCGAAGGCATCCCAGTCGCCGGCATCAGCTCGGAAAACTTCTCTTTCCCTTCTGCCATGGTATCAGCTGCTAGGTCTGAACTAGTGGATTCTACTGAACCTGGCAGAAACATTAATAACATGACGGTCCTCCGAAGTCTAATAGAAAGCATCATGAGAGATAAAAAAATAATTACGCAGGCGAACGGAGCGCGGAGAAGCCCGCTACGAAAGGAGCAGAGAATTGCAATTCGTCGAATGATGTCTCACTATTGGGAAAACAGCTCGGTGTTTGGCTTAGACCTAGTCGGAGCGGTTATTCGCCAGGGAACATTCGTGCAGAAAATGGACGATATCGATTGGATCCATTCCCCAGCGCTCCTGGCCACAATGGATCGGCTGATTCGCAAGTACGGTATCTTCTTTGATATCATGGTCAGCAATCCAAAGCACATGTCCGTGCCAACGCTCGACGTAGACTTGGCCTGGCACACACACCAACTCTCCCCATCGAGATACATGGACTACTCGCGCATCCAATCCAAACGCTACGTCACGGAAACCTTCATTGACCACGACGACAAAGTCGACGAAGCGAAACTGTCCGAGGCATTCCACTGGACCAGCAACATGTACCGCAAAGTCACCAACGGTGAGATATACAGCGAATGCACATGCTGGTACTGCGAGGCCACACGCGAGGCCACCATCTACCAAAACCCGCTTGGATTCGCCTCATCCTCGACCAGACGCGCCCGCTTAATCGCCGAGAACCTGCACGACGACCCGACTATTTCCTCGGATCCGAACAAAAACCCGCATATCTCCGCGCACAACGCCGTGAATATCCAAGGCACGGATCCGCGCTACCAAGGCGCGGCGAGGATCAGGGAACTGCGGCTGCGGAGCAACGGCGAGAAGGCCCGGCGGAGAGAAGAGAAGCGCCGCGCGAAAGCAGGTGCGAATAACGACAGGTCCAGGTCCAATAATAATTCGAATAATGATGCGTACTACTACTATCCGATGGTCTGGGGCTATCCATACTATTATCCGGGCTATGCGCCGTATATGTGCGATCCCGGTATTAGCGGCGGGGCGTATCCATGTAATCCGGCATGCATGAATGTCGGAGCGGGAGCTTATGGCAATTGTGCTGCAGGCTCTTGTGGAGGCGCTGTTGCAGCTGGTTCGTGTGGTGGAGCTGGAAGTGGAGGGGGAGCTTGTGGTGGGGGAGGCGGAGGCTGTGCCGGCGGAGCAGCTGGTGGTGGTAAGTCATTCAACAGTAGCACTGTTCATACTTTTCATTCTATATATGGTGTAGCTAATTTCATTGTTTATAGGATGCGGAGGCGGCGGTGGCGGAGGCGGAGGCTGTGGAGGAGGAGGAGGAGGAGGTGGTGGTGGTTGCGGAGGGGGCGGCGGAGGAGGTTGTTGATAGATATCATTTTCGATTTTTTACTTATATCCCTGTTGAAATTGCCAGCTAATCAATCTACTTGTCGTTCAATTGAATTCAATTATAAGCGTGAAGTTTGGAGGAGAAAATTATGTCAAAACCAAGCATCAAGCAGAGCCGTCTGTACATACATGTACATAGGCACATTCAATGTAGACCATTGGAATGGTGTTTGAGTAGAAAGAAGTACATGTAGTTGGTAAATCCTCTCCCAGTTGACATCAATTGCTCATACATATCTACATAATACAGTTTGCGCCAGCTTAACCCACGCCAGAACTGCATATGGCATTGATATTGAACCCGAAAGCGGTGTTGTAAAAGGATCAACCTTCTTATATATAACAAATTTTTATGGCAAGAGAGTGCCAAGATGTAAATAAACCTCCAATAGGAAATAATATAAGCGATTGGCAGAGAACAAGAATTGGGTATAGTTTGACAGCTCATGAAAAAAAAAAACACTCGACTGTGTATCTATCCGTCAATAGCAACAATAAGCCTAAAGAAGCTTCAAGATAAACGCTGCATATTGTACAATGTACACTGGCGAGTTGGGTATGCTATGCTCTCGGTGAAAATCATGAGGAAATTGGTGAAATGAATATTTACATGGAAAATGGATATAAACCTCTAGCGAAGGACAGATTTCACACGATTCTAGGTGAACCAAAAGGGGACAAAAGGAAGGGAAAATTCATCACATAACTATGCACCGAGAGGATTTGCCTTTGCTGCGTCTTCTCTCGTTAATAGTGTTTTGATTCCACTCGGCAATCCGGGCTCGCCAGGCTTCTGTCTCCGATGAGCTCGGGTTTTGCCAGACAGGCTCCTCTGGTGCTGGGTTTTCGGGTACCTGTGCGTGAAACCTGCGCGGTTGTGATCGGCCAAGCTGGTTTCCCTGGCCGGGTTGGTTTTGTATTGCATTACGCAGAGCTGACTCGGTCAGCCTCGCTGGAGGGTGCAAGGTTTCGGAGCGAGAACGAGTCCGGGACACACCGTTCTGTTCGCCAGGACGAGACGAGCTGCTGTATATAGTGGACATTCGATGGATTGCCGAACGGCCAAAAGCGAGATTTGGCGACGAGCGTGAGAAGGCACTGTGTCTTGCGATAGAACCATTTCTGGCTAGGTCGGAGTTGGGGGGCACATTTTTGTTGCTTTTTCGAAAGCCTCCGCTAAACAACCTGCTGCTTCTAGATTGCCGTCTTTGAGTATCAGCAGATGACACTGGTCTATTGCTGCTCGGTGTTTGAGCAGGAGATTGCTGGGAATGCGATGAGGGAGGAAGTTCAGTCCGTGCATGTGCAACCGGAGGCACAAGCACAGATATAGGAGGTACAGGAGGTACAGGAGGGAGTGGGGGAACGGGGTGGTTTAAGCGGGCTTGAAGCGCATTTCCAGATAGGGAAATCGACGAGGAGGTTCTTTGATGGGGAGACCGCTGTGGTTGGTGAGATGAAGGGGGTGTAGGCTGGCTAACTGTGGACTGCCTGAAACTCATTCGGCGTCTAGATGTGCCTTCGTTCGTTGTTGGTCTCCGAGTGCTCCACCGCCTGGAGAGGAAGTTGGAGCTGGTTCGTTCTTGTTGGGTACCTTGATTGGTATGGACCCTTCGTATGGTCTGAGGAAACTCCTCCATAACGCCGCCAGGAGGGGCCGTCATTGTCGGAAGTAATAACTGTCTGAGGTGATCAGGAAGTGGCCCATCCGCATTTCGAGAATATGGCGGGGGTGGAGGTACCCAATTGTCCGCATCGCTTTCATGTGGAATCTGCAATACGGGCAAGACAGGGCGTGCTTGTTCTCGAGCTTGATACTGAGGTCTTCTGTTGCTAGCTGCAGCTGTAGCTGCCCGTCGTAGAGTATCTCCAGAGCGGGGGGCAGTGTTGCTGTACGGCCCATCAAGAAACAGCGTCACGTCTCCAACTGCCCGATCCGACACTGGAGATCCCGCCTGTGAGCGACTGCCGCGCTGGTTGCCGAAGTTTTGTTTTTGAGAATTGCTTCGTGCTGGAAATGATTGCCTAGACGCTGTTGGTCGGTCGCGAGGGTTTACCCTTGGAGAACCAACCACACGACGATGCAGTTGCGTTCGCCTTCTTTCGAGCTCCACTTCCTGTTCGAGGTTGGCATTTGGCTCCCTGAGAATCAAAGGCTCTGCCTCGCCAAGTTCGATGGTCAAGTCAACAATATTCCCATCTTTAGTTGATGGTTCGAAATCGAATATAGATACTCTACCTCCGTCCACTGGTATGGCTTCGTCACCCAGAGAAGCAGAAGTAACACCGCCTGGGGCGACTGCCACGAGTCTATGACGATTTGACGCAACTTCATTTGAAGAATCCTGTTGCGCAACCCATCGAGCTGCAGTGAGACCAGGAATGTCGGCAATTTTATGTCCTTGGATCATAAGGGATGGCCGGTTTATAGTTCGTCTAAGGCGTCCTACAACAGTTTCATCGTGGTCGCTTGACGGGGAACTTTGTTCGGACTGCCTAGATCTCACGGTACCATTCACCTGTATAGTGCCGTTGTTTTTCGGTGGTGTCTGGTTCATATCATCAGGAATTCCGTAGAGCCATAGCCCGCTCCCATGAAATGCCAATGCTACAAGCTCACCATCTGGATCTATCGCCGGAATGAGAGATGGAGTGTATTCCAGAAGGCCACCTGGTGCCACCGGTCCTGGGAAATATACTACTCCGTTCCGTGGGTCATTTGATCGGACTGCTCGGAATGTCTTCAGCGTGTTGTCAAACCCAATAATCCAATTATCGTCGTCACCAACATGATTCGAAACTGATGTGACATGACCATATCCAGGCACTAAATCCGGGAACAAGATTTGTGTTGTCCATATCTGAGTCAGATAATCGCTAACGTCCACCATGGAATCGGATGGAAATGGAGCTGTAATTGTAACAAATCCCTTTCCCGGACAATCCAGAGAGGTTCCAAGAAGCAATGACCCATCCGGGGAAAACGACAACTCATCCACCTGTTCGCACCGAACAGCCCTTCGTTGCGTAGATAAAACATTTTCACCTATAGCATATACCTCTATGCCTCCTTCATATGCAATTCCCAGCACGTTCCCATTAGGCGCAAGGGCGAGAGTTCGAGGAACGTCATTTAAAGTCAGCACCTGAACGTGTTTTGCTTCACAGTGAGATAGATGGTAAATGTTCACTTGGTGGCGATGCGACACAACAGCAAGAACTCGGCCACTATCAAGAATAGTGGCAGCCAATGGCATGCGCGTGGTTTTCAATTCATATAAAACTTTTAGCAAAGGGGAGGCCAAATCCAGAACACATATTCGTGAGGAGCTGAGGCAGAGCAGAATATGGCCATTTGCGGAGAATGAGAATTTCAATGCCTCTCCAATCGGCAAAGCTGTAGAAGACCCAGCAGAGCTTGATATCAACGTGACATGAGTTGTACGAGGGCGTAGAAAGACATCAAAGGCATTTCGGCGGATTTCGCGAGCGAATTTCCTTTTTAAATCGTTGAGGTCTTGGTTCTGGATAGAGTTGCCGGTGATACTTGACGATATGGCAAAGAGGGGACATTGGGATATCTGGTGAGCGTAGAGCTCCGCGTTGTTTGATGCCCCTCTCCATTGTTGATTTAAGACGGTGAGGGAAGCAAATGTGTTGGCGTCAACGGTGTAAAGGATTCTAGGAGGTAATCCCATTAGCATTTGGCATTCTTTGTAAAATGAGATACGCACTTCTGGATGACGTCGAGAGGTAAACGATGAAAAGCGGCGCGTTCTTTCTTGAGGCCGACGTCCACAGCATGAATGGAGTCAACAACCCGGTCACTTGTAGTAACGTGCTCCTGCGTTTGGGCTGAGATTTCCTGATCCATCATAGCAAGCTGCAGCTGGCCCTACATCGGTTGCCCGGGCTGACACTCGGTGATTCCACACACAGGACCAGGCAGCGGCTCACAGCCATGCATTGTGTCAAATGGCACTTCAAATGGCTATTAACATGTCCAAGACATTGGAGCAGTGCCCGAGATATCAAAAGTGTGTGACGGTGGTCGGGGCCGCTTGCACTGGCAGAGTTTCAATGGCAACGTCGCCGTTTCGTTGCAGCAGCGGCAGCTCACGAGCAATAATGCGGGGAGATCGCAGGATGGGGCTGACTCGTATTGGGCGGTGAGCACAGTATACCCTGATGCACAGCGTCAAAGACGTAGTCAACGGAGAATAGCTATGGGCGCATGCTGAGGCCTGGCAGCATCGACCTTTGCCCAGTCTTGGCGAATTAGTGAGGGATGGTCAGTGGTAATATTAGTGGGTGTGGTCGTCGCAGCATTAGTTGCACAACTTAGTCGTCCGCAGCTAACACGCAGCGTTGTATCTGTGTCTAAGAATAGCTATGCCCTGTCGCTAACTGCAGTCGGTTTAGCGAGTACGGCCCGTGATGCATCTAGCCCAATATGGCAGTGTCTGGTATTGGCCGGCGCTCATTGGTGCGCACCCCACTGGTGTGCACCACATTGCCCTGCCCGAGTGCTGAGGCAGCAGGGTGCGTCGGCCCGTCGGAACTTTCTCGTCGGCTAATATTGGATCACGTGCCATGCAACCTGCGGGTACATCACGTGACTCAGCCTCCAGTGTGGCTGAGTCATCCACATGGCCGGAAGGAAGGTGCATTTGGGGTCGCTGCTGCCCTTTGTCCCCGTCCCCGCACCCGCATATGATATGGTATTGCTATGCGCCTGTCAGTCAGACTCCAATTGATACCGCAGGTCTCCATTGCACGCTTCGACATGCGCCCGTTTGAACACAGCTGAGCGGATTCTGACTATGATGCGTCGCTTGTATTACTTCTGAGCAATTAGTCGTGAGATCTTCCGATCGATCGCCGCCCATGCCGCGGAGAACGAACTGCTAGCCGCGCTTCCTAATTTTCCTGCTTTCTTTTCTGTTCACTACGCCCCGGTCCCTGGCGCATAGGCCCAGACCACCGAGTTCACAATGCCCACACCAGCTACTACCTCAAAAACGAACCCCGGGGTCGTCAATGCCGGATCACGGCCTTATCGGTCTCACAAGGTACGTGCATGCGATCTCTGTCGCAAGCGCAAATCGCGATGTACCGTCGATATCCCGGGTCAATCCTGCGTTCTATGTCGAGTTCAAGGCGCCGATTGCCATTACCAGGAGGACTCTCTTCCAGACGAAACACAGCTTCTCGATACGGACGGCAGGCACTCGCCGTCGCAGGCTCTTGCAGGGACCAAAAGGAAGCGAGGGGCGCAACCAAATGCGCCGGATGTGGATGGCGGCGCAGAACCACCATCGAATAATGGCACTGGGGCATTATCCTATAGCGCTCCTAGCGAAGATCGCAACGGAGATCGCATGCGTAAAAAGAGTGAGGACCGCCAAAACGAATCCGTGCTTATCGTGGGTCCGGTCGCCGCAGAGGACGCACAGGTCATCGAGAAATTTATGCCTTCGGAGCAATCAAACAAGTCGGTAGAGAAGAGTAACAAACCTTATAATGTGTATTCAAACGATCCGCGGAAACCTATCTTATATACCAAAGTATCGAGGCGTCGGCAAGGCGTGCGTCTGGGGTTTCCTCCTGGAGAAAATCAGAAGGAGATTCTTGAACATTTACTGGGGCCTTTCAAACAAGATCTCGTTAGACTGTGGGTTTCGTCTCGTTTCTAGAGGATAATACGTATCTGATGCTTGTCTGCAGCTTTATAGATCGATTCAATGTTGCCTTCCCGGTCTTTGACGGCCACGCCTTCTGGGAAGCCTACATATCCGGATCAGAGGACGAGCCGCCGACTACGCTGCTCTGCCATGTCTATGCAATGGCACTGGTTTACTGGAAACACACGCCTAAACTTGCTCGCCATCCTAAACCTGACGTTCGTTATGCCATCAATTTGACTGTGGCGGCGCTGCATGAAGATTACTCACAGCCCGGACTATCAACAGTGGGTGCGGCACTACTTGATCTCACCGGAAGACCTATTTTCTCCATGACGGGGAATGCAATCAGCTGCGGACGCTTGGTTTCGCTTGCACACTGTCTAGGCCTCAATAGGGACCCCAGCAACTGGAAGATCCCACTTGCCGACAAGAAGCAACGGATAAGGCTGTGGTGGGGCGTCGTTATCCATGATCGCTGGGGAAGCTTTGGGCACGGCGTCCCTCCTCAAATCTCAAAGATCCAATATGATGTTCCCTTGCCGAGTGTGGAGGTCTTGGTGACCCAGCCGAGAGCTACCTCGCAACATGTTCGCGCTGCGCATTGCCATATCTCTCTCTGTCGTCTAACAGAGATACTGGGGGAACTTCTACCGCTTGTATACCAGCTACAAACTAAGCCCAGTCGTGAAACTTCTAAGCGACTGAGACACATACGGACAGATCTGGATACATGGGAAGATTCCTTGCCCGAGTGGCTTCGCGCTCCTGTGCCGAATTCAGATACTCCGGTTAGCGGGGTAAGCAGCTTGCATTTGGCGTTCCTTGCAACCAAAATGCTCGTTTGTCGAGTAGAGCTACATGTTAGTTGAAACTATGCAATTTCAATATCAGTTCCTGACTAACTTATATAGGAAATCAACACTACGGAGAACGACCAGCCTGATGCCCGGCGTTATTTCCAGACCGAACTTCGAAAGGCCGCAGAGGAGATTGTTCATTTCATGACATCCTTACAAAGTGCCAATTTCAGAGAGTTCTGGTTGCCATGTACGTATCCAACACTAATTCATCCCCAGGATATCATAAATACTAAAATCAGGCTAGACAGTGCATTCCATCTTACATCCACTGCGACATTACTTGTTCGCTGTGCCTTGGAAACAACAGACCAAGAAGTGTCTCGGTCCTGCTTGGCTAATGTCGAAAACTTGCAGTCCCTCTTACGACGAGTGCGAGAAGAAGAAGACTGGGACGTGGCAGATATGTGCCTCGACCACTGCGAACGTATTCTCAACAGATACCCCGAAATAAGCAACATGGTCACCATGGCCGCAGCCACCAACCATCCGGAAGAGCAGCAGCCCATAGGAGGCGGCTTAGATGAAACCCTATCTATGACACCTGCCGCCATTATTCTTCCCGAAACTACGACTAATAACGATATAGTCGAGGATATGATGTCGATTTCGGGAACATTTGGTACCATGGACGGTTTCCCGTTTGATATGACCGGAATCTGGGATGTATCGGGGATTCAGGATGTGAGTTTTACATGAGTCTGCCGGGCATACCAGATCGACTATTCTCAAGCATGGACGGGACTGTATCGGCCTTATATTATCATTGCAGATTTAGTATGATTTAGGACGTCGATCCCCGAGCCGATCCACCGCTATATCTCAAATGATACTTGACTCCATCTCATGAAATACATGCGCGTCGCGGCTAACTCATTGGCATCGCTCACCAGCGCCGTCTATGACATTTAGTTCTTTAGAACGATATGAATAAATGATATGGGATCAATCCGATTATCCACGACACCACGACATATATGGCAAGGGTTGCAAACCCAAATTCATACTAGAAAGTTAGCTCTAGTGTATCCTCATCCCGAAAGGGGGTTTACCCTGCATTTAATGAATGTGGTATGATGTGTATGGTTACAAGTTTAAGATTCAATTGATATAAGTATCTGAACCCTTCGATCCTAATGACCGAAACCGAATGAGAAGCTCTAAAAGCAGCCAGTATAGACCTAATGTTATACGAAGAAATTCCGTGTAATACCCTCATAACAGGTAATTTTTATCTTAGGCCGGAATTCTTCCAAAGAAGGTGAGGCGGGAGACCGAGAAATTGATTTCTAGGGGATGATATTATAGTAGTCCCTTCTTATAAGAAACACTGTGATATGGTCTGAATAATTCTCCTTGTAACTCGACACTATAAAAGTAATTTAGGTATGGAAGCCGCTCCATACCCGTCCTGATCCCTAATAATAGTCTTATCATAGCCAGAAGGGATCCGCGTATGAAATCTCCAATTCAAATTTGCCTAACTCGGGTAAATCCTATGGGGGCTGTAGTGATCTAATAGATGATCGTAATCCTGCTGCAAACCCTGTACTTCGCCTGTGCGGTTTATCATGCCAATGATTCCCAGGTTGGTTATCTTACAATGCTATTCCATTATCAGTCTCATAACTGTGTTTAGGGACATGTGCTTAACTCACATCCAACGTGACAATGATTTTGGTGACCTCATCTAGGAATATCGCATATTCCTCTTCTATAGTCTCGTCACCACACACACCAGCTGGGCCGCTCTTACGTTGAAGTACAACGAATCCGTGGAGTCCCCTGGAAGTCAATTTGAACCAGAAACCTAGCAAATGTGATACTTTTACCATGAATTGGACTCCTGGGTATTCGAAAACATCATCGTTAACCGAATAAATCATTCCATCCATTGTCGTCGCTCCAGGGGCTGTATAACCTATGAGGACATCTGGCCGATCATCATAACTAAACTTCAACCCAGTGACATAGGTAATGTCGTCGATTTTGACTACTGATATTGCAATTTCGGACAGAGATGAATCAATATCAACGGATTCTGTGCGTGTGTTTTCAAACCATGATGTGGAATTATGATAGTGTCGAAGCGCTCGACCACGAAAGGCTGGCAGCATCTTGGTTGAGATGTTAGATTTTATGGCCAAAGTAGCGTCTCTTAGCCAACGTAGTGATTGCCAAATTTTGATCAAGAAATCGAGTTGCTGGCTGTATTTCCATTTACAAGTGCAATGATAAAGTAGTCGCCAGTCAATCTGATTCCGCTCGTAGTTGGCCAATCTTTGAATCATATAATGAAGATATCCCCGCTCTTCATTTATGAGAAATCGAGATCTCCAGAAATTTGTGCTTGAAAATATTGGCACCATTGCTCTCGAGACACTGCGTAGAACGAAATAGTCCCGAGTCGGAAGATGGACTGCTACCATTTCACAGAGCTCGACTGGAAGCGCCCTAAATATATCCGTTTTATTCGCTAGCCTTCCCACAGTATCCGTGAATTTCGGCATTTCCTTTGCGGGGTTTATAAGTTGTTCTGTGGTGAAAGGGACGAAATTTGGATGCCATATTTCTTCTTTATATTGTCTCTGATAGTCATCACCCGGGCGCCAGAAAATCTGACCTGCGGCTTGTTAGGCGAGACAAATTATATAAATCCATAAAAACGAACCACTTTGGGCTGCAACAGGTAATAAAGCCTGATAAAAACTAGCCAGATCGAATTCTCGAGGGCAGAAATGATCCATAATACGACCCCAGCATTGATCGTGGAAGAGATAGAGGCCATCAACCTGACGTGGCTTAGCTTTTGCACCAACTTCGGTCAGAACAATCTTTTTGCCTGCGGCCGGATAGACTAGGTATAGTTAGTAGAAAGTTTTTGAGCGCTAATTCTAATATATTATAACTCACGCGCTCTAATTTTTGCCTCATCAGGTCTAAAATTGAAGCCGCAAACTATACAGCTTGATTTTGGTCCCTGTTGTGGTGGCATGGTGGCGTAGTATCAATTGACGAAGTTGGATGAAGTTGGAAAGTTGATTCCACGTATCGTTCGATTAATGAAGTTCATAGTAAAGTGCAATCATACTTATGTCAACGACCCGACATAAACTGGTCATGTTGATATCTTTCAGCTTTTCTTGGTACTACCCGAAGATTTTATTATGCAAAACATACATCGGGTTCCCCCAAAACCATATATTTATACATATAATCAAAACTAATGTAATGACTACGTTCAAACCTTTATCATATTAGTGTATATAGGGGTAGTCGATATGAATAACCTGTTGCTTTCAGTTTTTTACATTGTCTACAGGCAGGACCCCGAGAAGTCTTTTCGACATCTGTAACCCGAACCTGGTGTCAAAATAAGTTAATCCTTCAATGCTTCTTCAGGGAATTCTCTCTTCAGCTTGAGTGGGGATAGAGAGCCTCGAAGTGACGACGGCCACGTTATTCTTTTCTAGCTCTAAGAGGAAAGTATGCTTGTGTCCATCCGCGTGCTTTTGATTTCGGCTAGAATCTACTGTCATTGTTCGATATAAGGGTTCTAACAGTCTCAGCATCGCTATACTCTTTTAATAAACCCTCATGGTAATCCTAATTTCTGAAAATAACTAATGTTCTTTCAGCCTTTTACCGAGAGCTCTATTGCTTTTGCACCATTGGGGTTGAGACGTTTTCGCTGCTCAAAGCCATTCCCAATCCTCCGGTTTCATTTAACCAATACCCTCTTATTGTTTCAACAATCTACCTGCATTTCTCGAAATTTGGTTATCCTTCGGTCGTGCTTTTGGTTAAGTACGGTCTCCTGCAATTCTGATGTATACTCACGAAGAGCGTGGTTAGCGTGGTTGGCGTGTATTCATGATCGGATCGTGAATATGATATATCTTCTGTATTTGCTGCGACATGAAGACTCCCTCTCTACTCGCCTTCGGTGTACACGAAGATAATATACATGTATTTTAGATTTATGGTGTTCACTTACGGTACTCACTGTGAGGCCCTGGAGCGTTATAGAGTACTATAACATCGCGGCACATCATCAGCGACCTACAGTAGGCCTCATAGAGTAGCATCAAAATTCTAGTTAACTAAGAAAATTTAAAACTATATCTGGGGACATATAACCGGGCTTTCACTCATAGATTTCAGGTGGCTGACTGTCGCGTTGAATAGGAGGGGATAGGGCAACTCGGGTTGGGTTTAATGGCCTAAATTTTAAACTGTATAAACCGACTAATTCTATAATCAGACTACTGAGACACTACATGCATTATGTGACTAATTTATGTAACTACTCTATGAAGTAGTATCTAGGGTGGAGAGAGGGGGCGAGGCGCTAAAAGCTTCTTGTGATTAAAAGTCTTTATAACCTTGTAGTACAGGGGCCCCTCAGGAGTGAAGAACGGGAGTTAGGTAGTTATATCTCTTGTCCATCAAGCCTTCCCTATTATCACGTTTTGTCATTACCCCCAGGATTCCTAAGTGAGTTAACTTAAAATGCTATTCCACTGTAATTAGCTAGAAGATTCGTCATCCCAAGTTTGTAAATATTGACTAAACTCACATCATATGTGACAATAACCTTAGTGACCTCGTCTAGATAGATATTAGAGTAACAATAGTCAATGCCATGACGATCAATACAATCGAAACCCTCGGGATGAGCACTATCTCGAATAACTGTTATCCCCCGGATGGAATGAGCATTATGAAATATGGTAAAACCTCGCAGACGCGTGATATTGACCACGAGCTGAACGCCTGGGTATTTGAATATACTTCCCCTCACGCCGTTGTCAGTCACGACCTTTGCCCCAGGGGCTGAATAGCCGATCAGAACCTCGGGCCTATCGTCGAAAATAAATTTCATTCCAGTTATGTGACCCTGGTACCCATCGTTGACAGCGGATATTGCAATTTTGCGAAGCGTCGGTCCAACATCCACTGAATCTACGTGCATATTCTGGAAGCGTGTATTATGGTAGTGTTGAAGTGCTCGGCCTGCAAACTGCGGTGGCATCGAATGACCACGATAGTGCTTCTTCCTCTTCTTATTTTCATTAGTCCTGGTGTGTATAGCTAAGGTCGCGTCTCTCAACCAGCGCAGTGACTCCCATACTCTGATCGGAAAATAAAAGTCAATAGGGCACTTCAGCGTACTGGTACAGTGGTAAAGCAGTCTCCAGTCAATCGTGCTGTTTCCCTTCTCAGATGTCCATTTTTGAATTAATGGGTGAAGATATCCCCGCTCTTCATTAATGAAAAACCGTGACCGCCAGAAATGCATGCTTGTGAATATTAGCGCCATTGCTCTTGAGACTCGACGCAGACTAAGAAAATCGCGAGTCGGAAGATGGACAGCAATAATTTCACAAATTTCGATGGGGAGGCGGCTAAACAAATCAGTTTTATTTCGGTAAGTAGCTGCCAGTCCTTCTGCGACCCAATCTGCGGGCTCCGGGGTCGCCTTGGTAGGCTGCATGAGTTGTTCAATAGTCGGTAGAGCAAAAACACCGTATTTCCGTCTCCCTACTGTTTGTCTGGGTTCAGATAAGTAGAACGGCCATGGAACTACCGCTTGTTAGTCAGAATAGATGTTATAAAGGCAAGTGCACAAACCAGGTGGCCGTGGAAAATATTTCAATGCCTGATGTAGACTGACGGGATCAAATTCCCCGGGACAAAAGTGTTCCATTAGCCTGTTCCAGCATCTATCGTGAAACATATAGAAGTCATTAATCTGACAAGTAAATTCTGGGCGTTCTTTCAGATTGCGCCATCTTGCAGTATCTGTGTCGAGGACAAAATTCTTCCACTTCAAACGGTGTCCAGCCCTAGTCAATTTGACCTTGTGGTCCCAAGTCGGATATACTAGATATTATTAGTATAAGTTTGGTATTAAGCAATGATTAACAACGACTCACTCGCTCTCACTTCTCCCTGCCATGGCCGCCAACCTATCGTCAGCTCATTGAACCAAAGGCCACAAATCATACATGCCTCCTTATCGGATACTATGTAGTAATTGTTGGACTTTAAGTGCTCTTGTGAAGACATGGCGAATGCGGGTGGAAAATTTATGTATCAATTGGTTGTTTGGGTGGCATGAACCTTTATATGACGCCTGAAGCCAAAATATGTACCAGTCATGGCCACGTCAATTTAAAAGCTTAACGTGCACTGATCATATTGACGGATTGACCCAATAACATCGTTTGATGTCAGTGTCCGCGCCAATGCCAGTGGTGCGTCGTAATCACTTGATGACGCAGGACATAGAAGAATTTAGAGGGGGGAGGTGGTCCAGAAAGTGACACCGAAATTGACTGCTTTCAGCATATGTTCAACGATGAAGAGAATATGAAGAATAAATTTCTAGCTGAAAGCGTGTGAAATGGCAAAATGGAAACAGCCGTCGTTACCGGTTCATCGCGTGGCTTCGATTACGCTCTATTCCACTATATATAAATGCCAGGGTAGGGTGAAATGAAGCACTGAGGGCTTTTCATGCAACCTCAACTTTTTGACAGCCTTCCTAAACATTTCCAGCCTTCTACCTCTAACAAACGAAGTCATGACTCTCACTCAGACTCTTCAATCCCTCGTCACCAACGCCTACTTATACGTACCATCTATCTCTCTATACCCATGCTCTCCTCCCACAACCACCAAGCCATAATATTATAGAAATATCTCTTGGGATATTTCCCATATGGTGACAAAACAGATATTCACCCTTTTGAGGTTCGGAGCACCTTTGCGGGCGTGTTTAATATCCGTTTGACTCCAGTCCTTCATTCGTATCATCACCCTTCGCAGCCAATCTAAACCGTGCATGTTTTTTATTCCTAGTAGCGGACTATATGTATCATAAATTAGGATCGATATTGATAGGTTTTGGATCTGGGAGCGATTTGATGTTATCAGCCTCTGGTACTAAGGGTGGTCAAACATACATACCTAATTGTGAAAGAAAGGCCTTCCATCTATCAGTTTTCTCTCGATTCAAATCGTTACTTTCCTAAATTTCGAACCTTCGAGGCTCCTTGCCCCCGGTCTAGCCGAAGAGAAAATGCCCCGAAGGGGGGATTGCCCAGTCTGAATGCGACGACTTCAAGCCCTTAGGTCAGCCTCAAAGAGACTTTCCTTAGTCTTTTTAATACAAGCCCCTAGCCCAGTTTCAGAGGAAACAGTTGCTTAGTCTTGTGGGTTTCCAGACCATCAATCCCGGCGGCCGTCGCTTACCATCTGTTTCTGCTGGCGGCAACGTGATCCGCAATCACCGAAAGATAATTGTGGATAATATCCGCATTAGTAGTAAGGTCTAATATGCGATTCTGTATTCCACCTCCCAGTGGATTGTTGGGGTTGAACGTGACCATGTGACCAGCAGTGCTGGAGCAGTTCATTTGATAGAAACGGGCCTTATTCCCAACGGCAACAATTCCGTACATGGTCTGCAGGTTACCAAATTCAGCTCGAGCTTGGCGCATGTATTTACCTAGCTGGTCTAGAACTCTTTGCCAGTCATAATTGACACTCCAGTTGGAATCGTGTCTCGCACTGCGTGGGAAGCGTTTGGCTTCGACAAGAAGAACCTTATGCCGTGTTTGCACGAGACGGTCTTGACCCGGTGGTCGAGTCCTGAGATAATTTGACACAACAACGTTTGCTTTCTTGAGGCTCCTAGAGGGTTGGACATAAAAATCATTGACCCCAAAGTAAACGCGGAGGATATTCGACCAGGTGTTGTCGATCACCTCCTGATAGACTCCAGGGATTAACTCACCGATAACCCCTAGTATAAACGAGGAAGAGGCATATGATTGCTGAGTTGCATTGTTAGCCATGGCTTGAGATGAGAGCATGTAATCGATTCTTAGAGAAACCTAGCATGAGATGGGAGCTCAGTTGCAAGGAGAAAACAGAGTGAGGCCGCCCAGTGAGCAGAAACACCCCGCCGCTCGTCCCTTCCCTGTCTGGTCGTCCCTTCCCTTGTCGTTTGCTCATCGTTCCTTCCTTTTCTACTCTGGCCTCGCTGGGCGTTCATTCCTTTTCTGTTTGCTCCTCGTTCGTTCCCTTTCTGTTTGAGGTGCGTTTGTTGATGCCTCTCCATTTTGACTTCATTTTTAGACAAGCAATTCATCTCTGAATAGAATAGACACACGTAGTAAAGTATCTACAATGTTGATCTGCTATTGCTTGTAGATGCTAAAAGGTTTGAGATAGCCATTCTGTATCAATGATAATCAGTCTATTTGATTGACACACTTGGAAATGCAGCCCGTATTTAGAACCCCATATTACAAATCACAGTTCTAAAAAGGCTACAAATATACTTTTAAACCCCTTGTATTAAGATTTTGTTGACAATTCCTAAAGGTTTCTGAGCATTGAGTTTTTGGATAATGTGGCATCTTGTTGAATGAATAATGATCTTTGAGTAATTTGTAGCAGACCTGGTAGTTGATAATCATCTGCACTTGAATAGAGGTGCACTTGAGAATGGCCAGGTTAATATTGAATAATGTTTGTGTCGTATTTATTTGAATAACTAGTAGAAAGGAGAATCTATATCGATTGATTACGATAAAGTTTCTAGCCCTTAACCTTTTATAAAAACTTATCTGATAGCCGTATATTTAAACCGAACATTAAGCAGCTAAGCCTTAAAATTAATAATATAGCTAACATTTGAAGTGTTTCGAGTGAGTACCACGAGTTAATAGTACCTAACTCTAAAACATTGAATATATCGTGATATACCTGGTCTAAATGTTTCTTATAACCTGGCTTTACAATACAAATACAGTCTAGCCCTAACTACTCTGAATCTAGCCTAGCGTATCTCCTAAATCTTCCCTAAACAAGATGTATCTAACCATAAACGAACTAGCGACAGGCCCGCCAGGGCAAGCGAGAAATATGAGTCATTTGCCGAAAAATACCTTACAAATCCTCACAAACCCATCTTCTTTCCCGCGGAATTGACCTGCTTCCATTCGTCTTCCTCCAGACTTCCCCGACAGCAGATCGACAGATACAGCATACAAGCACCAATTATATCTATCAAAGTATAGAATAAAATACAGAATGGCGCCGAGCTTTAATGATCCTTCAGCGCAGTATGTGGCCGTGGAAGTGAAGAGTGCGAAATTGCAGGCTCTTGGGCTGCGGGATGAGCAGCCGGGTGACGATGCTCAAGATGTGCATGATGTGCAAATTGCACAGCAATCGCAGCTGTTTACAGGCCCGTTGATGCATAAGCTACAACAGGCTCAATGGCGTGTCCAGCATGATTTTCGCTCGGATACAGTCACGGTTCCGACTGTGAATATGATGCAGGTGCGTGAGATCAGATCTTCCATTCAGCGGATGCAAACGGATTCATCAAAATATATTGTTATGGTGTATTCAGAGTGCTGACATCGGGGCCAGGCGATGATCGAATCCTCGTTCCAAGATGACATGTACGACGCCGAGGGAGACGAGTCGGTCAATCGCCTTCAAGATCGCCTCGTCGAGTTGACCGGCAAAGAGGCTGCCATGTGGGCTCTGTCCGGCACGATGGGCAACCAGATATGTCTTCGAACGCACCTCACCCAACCACCTCACTCCGTGCTTCTCGACCACCGCGCACATGTGCACTGCTGGGAGTCTGGCGCGTTGCCGGTGATGTCCCAGGCCTCTGTCACGCAGGTGCATCCCAAGAATGGTATTCATTTGACGGTTGAGGATGTGAAGAAGCATATAATCGCGGATGGGAATAGTGCGTACTTCTTAACTCCTTTTAAATAGGGGGAAATGGTGATGTTGAATGATGCTAACTCTACTAGTACATTTCCCTCCAACGCGAGTTGTGTCTCTAGAGAACTCTCTAAGCGGCACAATCCTCCCCCTCAAAGCCGCTCAGGAGATTTCCGAATTCGTTCGAAACTATCCTGTCGAAGAGGGCCGGCCGCCCATTGCCATGCACCTGGACGGCGCTCGTCTATTTGACGCGATTACCGCCGAAGGCGTTGATTTGAAAGAGTACTGTGCGTGCTTTGATACAGTTAGTATCTGCCTTGCAAAGGGCCTCGGGGCGCCGATGGGCAGCGTGATTGTCGGGTCGAAGAAATTCATCAATCGCGCCAAATATTTCCGTAAGATGTTTGGTGGAGGGACCAGACAGGTATATTCCCCCCAAAGTTTCGGTATAGTGCAGTATATGTATTAACACATTGGTAAATAGCCCGGAATGATGGCTGCCGCGGCCCTAAGCGCTCTCGAATATACAATGCCTTTGCTCCCCCAAGTCCACTCCCTAACCCGGAGTACGGCCAACTCGTTGCGGGATGCCGGATACACGATTTCCCTGCCAGTGCAAACGAATATGATTGTTTTGGATCTGGAAAATGACGGTATTCCACCGGCGGCTTTTGTTGAGTATGGGAAACGAGCTGGGGTGACGCTGTTTCCCACTGGGAGACTGGTGTTTCATCATCAAATTTCCCCAGAAGCAGCAGCAAGGCTTGTCAGTGCGTTGACGCGGTTGATGGAAGATAAGAATGCAGGAAAGGCGCTAGAGAATCACAAGGTCACTGGAGGGTATGTTTAAATGATGATATGATTACTCCAGAGGAAAGATAGTGGGATAAAGATAGTGGGATGCATATATGGTGTTTTTTTTTGTTTATATTGCATTTATTTGTTCATATACAACGCTCAATATAATGACTACTTTACGCATTAGAAACTGCGCAACATGCTTACATGGTCACGTAGCCACCCAGTTTCAATCAGACATCATGGTCATCCCACTATCGGGGAAACGTCTGGTCCTGGGTCTACACGGTCTTTAATCGTTATTGGATCAGTGCTCCCATAAGTCACTGTGTTACCATTATCATCGTCCTCCCAATCATTCCACCCTCGCTCTGGACCCCAGTAGATCTGCTTCCCCGCACCCCGCACCTCAGCCAGCAAGCGTCTCATCAGCGCGCCATTCTTCTGAACAGAGGGCCAAGCATCGAATTCCACATGTTCCAGATTAGGAAGCAGTTCTAGGATCTGGCGCACCAACCCCCCGGCAAATCCTGTGTAGAAGTCGTTCGAGATCCTAAAGCCCTCGAAGATAGGATGTGATGGGTCGCACTGGATAAACACTCGAAATATTCGCAGATTTACCATCTCGGCCAGTCCCAACCGATGCGTGATTTTCCATGACTTCGGAGGCGCCGTCCAGCTTGATCCGAGAATCAGTTCGATTTTTCCTATCATCGGACGATATGATTTGCCCAGATCAGCCAGTGTCGGGAAACGAGAGTAGTCCTGGATCGGAAATACGCGGAAGGTCTGCACAGAATAGAAGAGCGCGGCGGCTTCATCGTGGATGCGTTGGGAGGCAAGGAAGAGCGAGAGACGGTGGGAGAGTGGCGCTAGCGGTTTATTCTTTGAGGATAATCCCACGTTACCGTTCGTGCGTGAAGATACTTTTCTTTTGGACCCAAACAGAACATAGCCATATATTTTCAGCCGGATCTCGGACGGGAGGTCGAAGAAGCGGAACGGGGAAATTGCTTGCTGATAGCCAGGCTCGTCCTCGTCCTCATGATATTCCTCCTCTTGCTGGTTTGTATGCTTTTGTGCCCGGTCCTGCAGGGAGAGCTTCTTCAGGTCGGCTTCCAGGGTGGCCATCACGTTGTCCTGCCTTGTACGCGTCTTCAGAGGTAGTAACAGTAGTAGGTATTATGAGAGAAATTCAACGACCAAGGGAAAAGTGGTTTCATTTCATGGTTTATTAACTGGCGATATATGAAGCTAGATAAAGCATTGTAGCGCACGTTTGCTGTCTGTACGGCTGTAGTTTGCTTGTCTGTATGTCTGTCTGTCTTTGTATGTGTCTCGCTTACGGGGCTGCACAGCTCACAGGAGGCCTAGCTGCCGCTCTTGGGGGCGAGGCTGAATGGAATTCATTGAGTCTCCCCAGCTAATACAACCCGGCAGCCATGGAGGAGATTGAAGGGTCAAATTTGTGCACTGGGTCATTCAACTTTCATAATTATGGTGAAAAGAAAAAGAAGAGGAAGAGAAGAGAAAGCGGGAAGGAAGAAGAATTATTAAGGCAGGTTCTTGGCACGGGCCGGCGTTGGCCCGATCTTACTGGCCTTGGAGCCTTAGGCATGCTTGGTCATGGCGGAGGCTAAAGCTGCCAGCCAATTTTTTATGAGCACCTGCACTACATCTGCGTTGATCCAGCACCTCGTTGGCTTGGGACTCGTCATCCGGGATATGATTGTATAGTTACCACTGCTGCAAGTCTTAAATGTCCCTTTATATACACACAGACCATGTTTAGTCGCGCCGTTCTGCCATTGGCAAGGGCCTCAGCCTTTCGACTGCCCGTTGCTTCTAGGCCAGGCCTGCTTCGGTCCTACGCCCAGAACAACAAGCCGAAGACGCCCTACGTGCTTCCTGGGCAGCAGGCAAAGAAACAGCAGGCCAAGAAGGAGACGAAAAAGGAGCAAAAGAAACCCGCATCAGACAGGCCCGTCGCCCCGAGTCCGACGAAGGGTCCAGTGTCTGCCGAAAGCCGTGCACCGCAGTCTCAAGATGCTCCTCGGGATGCTTCTTCAGAGCCAGCGCCCAAAGAACCCTCGCCTCAACCCGACATCTCCCCGGAACAGCCCGAGTTTGACACCACCGCCCAGCCGAAACAACCCCAGAAACCTCTCCCAGATCTGACCCAGGGTATTCCATCTACATTAGGAGCGGAACTGGATGCTGCGCGCAAGGGCCGTCCATCGACTTCTCTCAATCTGACGGAGGATCCGTCCCACCATGAAGAATACGAAGAAGAAGCCTCTGGTAGATCTAACAGTGACTACGAATCGTCCTTGGATCGTCGAAGAGCACGCGTTGCCAATGTGATGTATGCGATCTTCCTCGGTGCCGGTGTTGCGGGAACACTGTACTTGGGACGCAATTGGGATTCAGAGGAAGAAGCCAGGGCCCACAAGGATGCTCCATCTGGATGGGGCATCGGCCTTTTCTGGGACCGCATCAAGGCTCGCTTGGACGGCCTCACCAGCTACTACAAGGACCCTGCCTTTGAGAAACTGCTCCCCGATGAGGATCCCTCACAAAGGCAACCTTATACATTGGTGTTGAGCTTGGAAGATCTTTTGGTCCACAGCGAATGGACCAGGGAACATGGTTGGCGAGTTGCCAAACGGCCTGGTGTCGATTACTTCTTGCGCTATCTAAATCAGTACTATGAGCTAGTTCTTTTCACCAGTGTTCCCAGCATGATGGCAGATCAAGTCCTGCGGAAACTAGACCCCTATCGTATCATCCGATGGCCCCTTTTCCGCGAGGCAACAAAATATAAGGATGGAGAATACGTGAAGGTATGATCTCAACTCCTCATTTCCAAACACAGTTACTAACGCAAACCAGGATCTATCATACTTGAACCGCGATCTTTCCAAAGTTATCCTCGTCGACACCGTCCCCGGTCACGCTCGTGAACAGCCAGAGAACGCAATCATCCTTCCCAAATGGAAGGGAGACTCCAAAGACAAGTCCCTTGTTGCCTTGATTCCATTCCTGGAATACGTAGCTGGAATGAACGTGGAAGACGTCCGCCCAGTCATTAAATCCTTTGAAGGGACATACATACCCGTCGAATTTGCTGCGCGAGAGAAGAAGATGCGCGAAAAGTTCCAACAGCAACTAGAAGAAGAAAAGAAGAGCCGTCCTCACCGCGGCGTTGGCGGATTCGCTGCTCTACTGGGTCTCAAACCACAAAGCACCCTCGACGGTCAAAGCTCTACCGCCGACAGCCTCGAACAAGGCAAAATGCTCTGGGACCAGATCCGAGAGCGCGGCCAAAAGAACTACGAAATGATGGAACAAGAGATCCGCGAGAACGGGGAAACATGGCTGAAGATGATGGCCGAAGAGGAAGAGAAAGCTCGCGAAGAACAAATGAAGAGCATGCGCGGCAGCTTCACCAGCTTCTTCGGTGCCAACGATGCCGGCAATGAGAAGAAATGATAAAAAGAAAATAACAATCTAAACAACACATCCCCTCTCGAGAAACTAACCACATCAAATTGTCAATACTTTTTTGTCATTGACAAGCCATTTATTCTTTAATCATGTGTTTCTACCATTGTTCACCCTTCTTGTATGTGCTTTTCTCTTTCCTTTTACGGTGCAGTGCATTCATAGGGGGTTTGTTGTAATCTCCGGGTTTATTCGAGATTTGCATCTATTGTGTTGTTATTAGTTTTCATAGACCCGACCTACCTTCTCCCACCATCAGTTGACGCAAATTAGGTGTTTTAAAAATGTACAGTAGCGGGTGTGAGATTGAATATGACAGTTTTATCTCATTTGAATACTATTTAGATAGAATTCATGACTATTATCATCGATGATGCCAAGAGTAAGTTATTTATTGATTATACTACATAAATAGCAATCTATAGCTCCTCATCTACATCCATTTGTGCGTCATTATCGCTCTTCTGCCCATTCGGCGTCTTGGCGATGGAAGACTCCTTATCGATCATTTGTCTTGATACAGCGACGATATTGTCTTCGATCAATTCCTGGCCCACGTCCTCGATATCTACACAAGCGTTAGAAATGAATATATGTGGAGGCGTATGGAAATACTCACGCTTCTTCGGGTCAACCTTTCCGACATAGCGAGTCTTCAATTGCTCTTTGGTCAATGTAGATTCTTCTTTAACTCTCTTCTCGTAGCCCTCGGCTAATTCCACCAATTGCTGTAGACGCTCAACGTTGCGGTTGCAGTCCTCACGGAAGTCGTTCATTTGAAGGGCTTCAGTCCAGACATGCTTGTGCAGGTTCATCAGCATGTTTTCTTCGAGGCCGGTTTTTCTATAGTTGATTCCAATGCTGTAGTAGTGACGGTTCAGGCCGTGGATCAAGGCCTGGATGGATGGTTTGTTGAGGTGGCCAAGATTGGATGTGGTCTGGCGTGGTTCTTGGCCCATGACAACTGTCTGCGGCGCGATAAGTCGGAAGGCATCGATGACGACTTTTCCCTTGACGGATTGGATAGGGTCGACGACGACTGCGACGGCACGCGGTGTGAGTTGTTCGAAGGATTGTTGAGTGTTGATATCAACGGATGAGAGCCAGCAGCCGAATCCAGGATGGGAGTGGTACCAGCCGACGACAGTTTCGGGTCTGTCGTAAATATGCATTAGTGGATGACATGTTCAAAAGGTGGATGACAATACTAACCGGCCAGTCTGCCGTAACATCTCCATCATCTTGGTCTGGAAGACGGGGTCCACGGCTTCAACACTAACACCAGTTCCACTTTGGGGCATGGCGAAAACATCAACAACCCGCACGGTATACTCGTCCACAAAATCTCCCAACATCAGCCCCATGACTTCCATGGGCACACCAGCCCGACCGTGTCGTAACATCTTCAGGAGGGCTAGGGATGAGATGTGGACGGTTTCTGAATTATCGATCAAGTTTGGGCTATCCTATACGCATAAGTTAGCATTCGTACAGTGCATGATATTCAAGCCACAGATACTGGGAGATGCTTGTTCAAACAGCTCAAACCAGACACACGGACGAGGAGAAGCTAACTTACAGCACCGGGGGCACCGCCACCCATACCAATGCCTGAGGCAGCTTGAAGCATTCGATTAATTCGCTCCATGCTGCTGAATTTTGTGACAAAGCTAGGTCGACAACTCAGCGATGAAGGTCCAAGGTGGCTTCCTCGCAGGAAGCTTGATTGGTAAGGTGCGCACGAAGCTCAAGCTTCGCGAACGACAGAGTTGAGTTCGGATCAAGATGATGGAGTGAGTAGACACCTGCAGTAAGAGATAACCACAGAATCAGTAGTAGAAGTGTTCTGCGTGCAAGCTGCAAGCTGGAAGCTGGAAGCTGGGATGACGAGACTTGAGAAAGACGATAGACGATGGTCGATGGTCGATCCATGTCGAGCTCCGCCCTAGGCAGAGAACACGCGCGGTCATTCGCCCTCCAGCCTCACCGCCTTTGGAGCCGACGCCTCTCGCCTTTCTTTTTCCCCCAGCCTTCTTTCCAGTCACAATCAATCAATCACCTGTTGCGTTGCTTCCAGTCGCTTGGGAGTCGGAGCTCGATGAGATTTGTCTCTGAGTAATTGTTTGTGTGCTGCTATCGCGCTACCCCCATACTCCTGGCTGCTCCTACAACGAAGCTCTCGATCTCCGTCCTGCGCCGGGTGATCCAGGACAGCCTCTTTCGTTCCTCCCCACCGCCGACAGCCTGAGAGCAGACGCCTCTTAGAGACAACGCAGTCATGTCTGGAGTGGCGCCTCTCGATCCCATCAACTTGAACGGGACGGCAGACCGTGGCAAGAAGGTCGCATACTTCTACGATTCTGATGTCGGTAACTATGCCTACGTCTCGGGTCATCCCATGAAGCCACACCGTATCCGGATGGCACACAGTCTGGTGATGAACTACGGACTGTACAAGAAGATGGAAATATACGTATGGCTACCCAAGCATTTAGCAGTGATTTGAAAGATTGCGCTCTAACAATACCTCCTGCAGCGTGCCAAACCCGCCTCCAAATACGAAATGACGCAGTTCCATACCGATGAATACATCGACTTCTTATCAAAGGTTACGCCTGACAATATGGACCAATATTCAAAGGAACAAGGAAAATACAATGTCGGAGACGACTGTCCAGTGTTTGATGGGTTATTCGAGTTCTGCGGTATTAGCGCGGGGGGCAGCATGGAAGGCGCCGCCCGTCTCAATCGCAATAAATGCGATATTGCAATCAACTGGGCTGGAGGGCTGCACCATGCGAAAAAGAGTGAAGCAAGTGGATTTTGCTATGTGAATGGTTAGTTTTTCTGAATGGTCACGTCGTATTCTTACTGACAGTTGATAGATATTGTTCTTGGTATCCTTGAGCTCCTCAGGTTCAAGCAACGAGTTTTGTATATTGATATTGATGTCCACCACGGTGACGGAGTTGAAGAAGCTTTCTACACCACGGATCGTGTCATGACGGTCTCATTCCACAAATATGGAGAATATTTCCCAGGAACTGGCGAATTGCGCGACATCGGCGTCAGTCAAGGAAAATACTATGCCGTCAACTTCCCCCTTCGAGATGGTATCGATGATGTCTCATACAAGAGTATATTTGAGCCCGTCATCAACAGCGTCATGGAATGGTATCGCCCCGAGGCAGTTGTCCTTCAGTGTGGCGGTGATAGTTTGTCCGGTGACCGTTTGGGCTGCTTTAATCTCAGTATGAAAGGCCATGCCAATTGTGTTGCCTTTGTCAAGAGCTTTAATCTGCCGACACTGATCGTGGGTGGAGGTGGCTACACCATGCGCAACGTGGCCCGCACCTGGGCTTTTGAAACAGGTATTCTCCTTAACGAGCAGCTCGGAGCTCAACTTCCCTACAACGATTATTATGAGGTAAGTCAAGAACACCCAACTCTTTAATATTAAGCTCCGGTCTAATAGGAGTTGTATAATAGTACTTTTCTCCTGATTATGAACTGGATGTACGACCTTCCAACATGGACAACGCAAATACAAAGGAATATCTCGATAAGATCCGCAGTCAGGTCATTGAAAATCTAAAGCGAACTGCATTTGCACCGTCCGTGCAGATGACTGACGTTCCCCGCGATCCCCTATTAGACGGGCTAGATGATGAGGCAGACGCGATCATGGACGACCTTGATGAGGACGAGAATAAAGACAAACGTTACACAAAACGTCGCTTCGATCAATACATTGAGAAAGCTGGCGAGCTAAGTGACAGTGAAGACGAGGAGGAGAATGCAGCCAATGGCATTCATCGTCAACCAGGAGCCGTGCGAAGACGGAACCACGTTAATCATCTGAATCTCGATGTGGCTGATTCTGGTTTGGACAGTGGCATTGCTACACCTAGGGACCAGTCTTCCGTTCCTGACCAGGACGAAGACATGGACCTGACAGCCGATAGTTCGGCTGACAAGCCTGAACAAACATCTAGCACCGAGCGACGCCAGTCTCCTCATGGAGCGGCTGCTCCACACGCTGATGAAAACGGTGTCACAGAAGCCAATGAAACTGCGGTTACCGAAGGTACTACGCGTCCTGAATCGCCAGCTTCCGTTCTGAATGAAGCACACTCCGATGTCGATATGGAAGATGCAACGGTGCCATCGGCGGCGGCCGAAGCTGTAACCACCGAGAGAAATGGTGGTCAAGAAGAGACACCTCCTGCATCACCACCAGCAAGCGCACCCGCACCCGAGGAGGCCCCATCCGCAGAACTGACTCCTGCCCCTGCCGGTGCCGCGCCTAAGACAGAGGGCGCAGCAGAAAAGAGCGAACAGCCCGCTGCAGACGAAGCCAAAGAGCAGGACGCTGCCGCGGCAGAGCCACCCATCAAATCTGAAGAGCAATCCGAAATCAAAACCGTTTCCGAGTCTAAAGAATCGGAAGCCACTGAATCATAGCTGTATCTCTTCAATGGGGTATCCCGCGTCTTTGTTTGTTTGCGGCGCATTGGCTTGATAGGATTGGTGTTTCTGAGTTTGCGGTGTTATCTGATTCGGTTGCTTTTTGTTATTTTCTGTATCTTCCCATTTACAATTGTATGTACTACTATTAAACGAAGCTGGAGCACCTCAATATTACTCGAGATACTTTAATTAACAAGAATAGCCGAACTCTGTACACTTCTTGTATAAACTTATATAAGGTATCCCGATATAGACTAGCGTTAGGGCACAACCAGCTGGACCCGCCAATGACGGCCGCGATGCCAAGATTTGCTCCTTTCGCACACTAAGCGAGATCGAGCACGCTGGAAATTCTGACCCGCAGTGAGAAGAACTTCGACGCCGTCGACCAGTCCTCTCCCATTTCCTCAGTCACCACAATTACAGCCAGTCTACGTGACATACCGCCAAAATGTCGAACAGAGGGTAAGTCGATTTACTCTGCGCTTCTTTTATCCTCGCTGCAGACTGTACAATTACACCGCCGGCTTTTCTATGACAAAGTACAGCTAGAGATAGGCTGGCATGGGGTTAATACAAGTCTGGAGCGGATGGATTGGGATTATACGTGGTTCTATTATATGAGGGCTTCAGCTAACGCAAGTTTTTCACAGTCGTGGTGCCGCCGGCAACAAGCTTAAGATGACTCTCGGTCTGCCAGTGTATGTTGGAACACCTCCTTACCCTGAATGCGAGCGAACACGCGGATATGCAGACTTAGTGGACATGAACGAACCCTGGTCATGCGATCGTCGAAAGTCGAAACGCGATACAATACAAATATAACGCAAAGTTGGTACTGACTGGTATATAGCGGCGCCGTGATGAACTGCTGCGACAACTCCGGTGCCCGTAACTTGTACATCATTTCCGTCACCGGTGCTGGTGCCCGTCTCAACCGTCTCCCCGCTGCCGGTGTTGGTGACATGGTCATGGCCACTGTCAAGAAGGGAAAGCCCGAGCTGCGAAAGAAGGTCATGCCCGCTGTTGTTGTCCGTCAGAGCAAGCCGTGGCGACGACCTGACGGTATCTTCCTTTACTTTGAGGACAATGCTGGTGTGGTGAGTGGGAGACCAATCTACGTCCGTGATACTAGAGTTTGCTTGGTTAGCATGTTCTCTGAGACGATTCTTCTCTGAGAACATGTCTACACCGCGTGCTCTCGTCATTGGACCTGCTTGGATAAGTGCTAATGGACTTTCAGATCGTCAATGCCAAGGGTGAAATGAAGGGTTCCGCCATTACTGGTCCAGTTGGAAAGGAGGCTGCTGAGCTCTGGCCTGTGAGTAGCCATTCGATAACACAGCCACACAACCACAACTAACCCGTGAACTACAGCGTATTGCTTCCAACTCTGGTGTCGTCATGTAATAAAGAGAATAGGAATAGAAACGAAGATTTGCGATACCAGTCTGCTGGCATTACGGGACTCATGCTTGGCGACCTCGACTTTTTATATTTCCGTTGTTTAAAAGGAACTTTTTTTCTCTCTGGACCTGGGGAAAAGCATGTCATGAAATGGGCGTTTTAATGCACTCGTGTTTGTGCTCACGCTTACGGTGTATGAAGATAATTCACCAATATCGCGGTAGTTTTCTTTCTCCTGAAGTCGTTCTAGAAAGACATCGATACGGGAGAGGGAAGCGCCTCACTCAATAAAAACCAAAATATGGCGAGATGTTTTCCGAAGTAGCAGACTACATATAAAAAGCGTAACCTTTCACCAATCAAATATACGGTTATATATTCAGTTTACATATACGTATCACTTGATATGCAGGGCAAGTGTAGGCGGGGAGCTGTCCCGATAGCTCTCCGACCCCACCATAGAAGCATTTAGAACCAGAGCTGGATCTTGCCTTGTACCACTACTTGTGTTGCACAACATAGCCTCTCAATAGCAGACTGCTTCTCTTCTCTTTAGATATACCACTTGGTTTAATTTCTCCCAACACAAAATAAAACCTAACCAGCCGACCTCGCGCGAGAACTCTCAAAGCTGCGCTTCCAAACTTATATATAAGCCACGACTCTCCAACATTGAATTGATAATCTAAAATGGACGACCTCGAAGACGCCCCCGGCCCGAATCCCGAGGAAGTCAATAAGCGCGAACAAGAAGAAAAAGAGCGCAAGGCCAAAGAAGACGCCGAACAAGCCCAATTACCCTACAAATGGACACAGACCATCGCCGACGCCGACGTCACCATAACCGTACCCGCAACCATCAAGGGCCGCGACTTGGATGTCGTCCTAACCAAGACGAAAATCAAAGTTGCATTGAAAGGGCAGCCGGCTATAATCGAGGTAGGCATATATATATTCCTTGGCTAGCTAGCTACGGCGTTTGAGAGGGTTGGTTTGCTGATTAGCTCGCAGGGCGAATTCCCTCACCCAGTTCGCATCGACGATTCCACCTGGACGCTCGAAACCACACGCACAGGCAAGGAAATCGCCGTGCACCTGGACAAGGTAAACAAAATGGAGTGGTGGCCACACATCGTGACTAGTGCGCCGAAAATCGACGTTACTAAGATCACGCCCGAGAACTCATCGCTGAGCGACCTGGACGGCTCGACAAGGGCGATGGTCGAGAAGATGATGTTTGATCAGCGGCAGAAGGAGATTGGGAAGCCGACGAGTGATGAACAACGGAAGATGGATATGTTGAAGAAGTTTCAGGATGAGCATCCAGGTTAGTATGCCCCCGATTATCTCCGGTGGGTGACTTGGTGAAACTGATTGGGTGTAGAAATGGATTTTTCGAATGCGCAGATTGGATAGCGTTGTGAGAGGTGAATTGAAGGTTAAAAAAACATACGTTTTAAAAGCAAGTATTGAAAAGCTCTAAATGTTCGAATGATATTGTTCTAGGAATTAAGATATCTATTTCATGCAAATTGGTCTCGCTTCTTTCATAAGCTGAGGTACGCCTCGGTTAAAAAGTATGCAAATGATAGCAATTGAGAGTGGTGCTTGTTCTTTAATAACTATATATACTTTTGGCTTTGTCTATATAATACAAAATGGGTATCCTAGCGTCGTATCAGGAATTACATAGGGTGATTTACATATAATTGTACAGGGGTTATTGTGGTTATTGTCTCAAACGAAGATGGTACGTCGCCAATAACTCTTCAGACATCTCACTCGGAGAGCCCACCATCACATCCTCTCCCTTTCCAGTTTTGGGAAACGCAATCACATCACGAACCGACTCCTTACCCAGCATGACAGCTATCAGCCGGTCAAAGCCCAGGGCAATGCCTGCATGCGGCGGACACCCTGCTCGAAGGGCTTCTAGTAGATGCGAAAAGTCCGCTATACGAGATGCTGGCATCTGGAGGATTTCCCTGAATACAATTTCTTGTACTCGAGCGTCATGAATACGACGGCTTCCGCCACCTAGCTCAACGCCGTTGACAACTAGGTCATAGTGATCTGCGACTGCTGCAGCTGGGTCTGTCAGAAGGAGGTCAACGTCGGCGGCGGACTTGGGAGCCGTGAAAGGATGGTGTGTCGAGGACAGGCCAGCTGCGCCGCCTTGACCTGGTTCGTTTTCGTTTGTTGGAGAGAATAGAGGAAAATCGACAATCCAGAGGAAGTCGAAGCCGGTGGGCGCGTCCTTGATATCGGATTTGACGGCTTCCCAGTGAAGGGCTTTGCGAAGGTCGCCGAGAGGGGTAGAGCCTCCTGCGAAGGGTACGTTTTTGCGTGCCTGCAAGACGATGAGATCGCCATGGTCCGGCTCTAGAATCTCCTCGACACGTTCTGCAGCTTCGAAGCCGAAAGGCATCAAGCCATGCAGGGGCTTCTTGGCATCGTAGACGAATATTCCCGGCCCACCATCTGGGTTGTTGTTGAACGCGGCTCCAGCCGGGGAATCCAAGAAGCGTGTGATGAAATCCAAGGTTTTGGCAGGGTCATTTTCTTCACAGGGTAGTTTGAAAGCTTCCACGATTGGTGATGTCAGAGGGGAAATTTTCTGGACTAAATCTATGGGCAGCACATAGTCGAGTCTGGTGATTTCCATTCCAAATCTAGTATCTGGTTTATCAGACCCGAATCGACTCATTGCATCTTGGTAAGACAATCTTTTGAATGGTCCGGACGCTGGGGTTTCGTCCAGTAATGTTGACCAAAGCTTTCGGATAACACGTTCTATAATCGTCATAACGTCTTCTCCAGTTGCGAAGGACATCTCGAGGTCAAGCTGTGAATGTTTAGTCTAAAGCTGGTATATGATGGTATTTGGTAAGGTATACCTGAGTAAACTCTGGCTGTCTATCCGCTCGTAGATCCTCATCTCTGAAGCAGCGAGCAAATTGGTAATATCTTGGAATACCACTTGCCATTAGGATCTGCTTATACTGTTGAGGGCTCTGTGGAAGAGCATACGCAAACCCCTTACGACGAGTTGGCACTAGGAATTCACGCGCACCCTCCGGCGTAGATTTGAATAACAGTGGCGTCTCAATCTCTGCAAACGGCGGTGAGCAATTCTCAAGTTCCTCTCTGCAAATCCTACGAGCATTCGAACGAAACTGAAGCGCTTCCCGCAGACTTCGATCTGATCGAAGTTGCAAATACCTGTATTCCGCAGGGAAAACAGTCTCGGGAGTCATTATTATATCTTTGGGGAATTCGTTGAGCGGCCAAATGTCCTCTAGTTGGATTTCTAGACTGTCGATTTTCTCGATATCCGATCTCTCTTTTTCACCAGTGCTACCTTTCTTCGTCTGGATCGTCCCGCGGATTGCGACAGGGCTGTTGGCCGAGATCGACTTTAGTTTCTGATGTGCATTTTCCTTGGCGGAAGAAATGATCTGAATATTCTGGCGCATGGTTGTGTCTGTTATCCGTACGAAAGACAGCTTCTTCGAAAGGTCCGCCCGATGTCCGAGGTAGCCGTGGATGATGACCGTGTCGCCTGAATTGGCATTCTGCAAAAGATCTGTAAAGGAGTGTGTGGCACTCGGAAATTCAACTGCAACAAGAGACAATTAGCATAGATCATGTTGCTAGTGTTGACTATCGCGAACCAGAGCTTTTGTATTGTCCGAGCACCGTAGAGACCTCCTCGATGCTCCTGCATTGTTGCCGCAGAGGTGGCCTGCTGTGGTAGTTCCTTCTGTTAGGAAGAGTGCGACTCTGCGATATTTTGCCCCTCAATTGTCTTTCGTGAAGCAAGTTTGCGATTTCTATATAGCTCCGCCGAGCTAGAGCTATGGTTTGTAGACCAAACGAGCCCCGGCGCAGGGGAGCGGCGAGCATTGCAGATGAACTCGAGATAAAAAAATAAGATGGTTAACTGTACATGGAGTAAAACCAATTCTTGACCCAATTCTAGAGTGAGCTAAACAATGTTAAATGAATGATAGAAAGAGATCGCTGTCTCTTTTCTCGGAGGTCCAGCTAACTCAGCCTAACCTTAAGTAGAAAGGGCCCCACTACCGGCTATAAAACTTTCCCGCCGTCTGCTGCAATTTTTCTTCCTCCATCCTTCCAAGTTTTGAACAGGTGAGCCCAACCGCACCACGCCCTGTTTACATTTCAGAATTTTCCTACTGACATGTCTTTCTAGATGATGAAAGCCTAGTGTGTAATATTTGATTACATCCTGTCCTCGCCATGGATCGTTGATTCTCCTCTTGCGAGGCCTAAGGATCGCGGACCGGGAGGGGAACGGAGACTGAAATCGGCGTTCGGCACACATATTCTTGTTACTTTGAACGGACGCGATGAAGGCATCTCTGATCCATATTCATTCTTGGCGGTGTTCTGTTCATTCTGTTCACAAAGTTGCCCGCTGAGCGTTATTCGGTTGAACTGACAATATAGGTCACCACTCGGCTCGACTACATATGAAATAGGTATGTTGGATATTTACTATGTTGAAGTTGAATATGCTGTATGCCAAATCTTGTACCAATCATCTGATGAAACTATTACGGATGTTAATCACAGACCTGTTCTGAATGCGCAAAACCGTGTGGATATTTCCGTTGCCTTCCTTCTGATCGATTTTATTTCTCTGCTTTGAAAAACTATTTGAGGTAATAAGCCATCGCTGACGATAGTTAGATTTAGGTATTACTTGCGGAGGCTGGAGTACCAGTCGGAGTTTTGGTGGTAGCTACAAGACAATACATGCAAACTGAATATTTTACTTTTCTTTCAATCGTAGAGACCTCATTAAACTTCTTTATTGTCCATGTCCAGCTACTTGCTATGAGCCTGTGGCAGATCCTAAGGGCTTGAGCTTACTGTTCATCTAACATTCTTATGATCATCTGACCGGGCAGACTTTTATCGGCAAAAAGGCTGTATTTGGGTGGACAATACCGGTCCTACACCGGAAATAATGGAGCTAACTCTATCATGAATCTAGTAGACACGGTGATGTATTATACTATGTGTATTGACGTAGTTTTGAGGTGCTCTATCAGGAGCGGCTAACCAGGTGTACTAACCAGATAGCTACATACGAGTCTTATTACAGGCACGATGAATATTTGCGTCTGACTCTCATCTGCGCAAGACTGATTGGCGAATATACACATAAGCTTATGATTGTGAATCATGAACTACCAAGTGCTAAAATATACGATACGTGAGTATGCTTAAGTCCGTGGACTTGTCTAAAGCTCGTACGTCCACGTCCAACTAACCCTAACATATCAATGATGATAGCATCTATAATCATATTTAAGAAACTCATTATATAAACTGACGCTCACAACAGTCAAAAGGCTGCAATATGTCTCTACATAGACTCTATACATTCTGCGCAATAACTCGACTTAAACCTTCAATATGAAGGCAGTGTCGGATATAAACATCCTTGTTACAGGAGGCTCTGGGTTTCTCGGGTCCTCCTGCATCATAGCTTTTCTCACGGCCGACTACCAAGTTCGAGGAAGCAATCTATCTCTCTCCAAAAAGTCAACAACCAAGGAAGCTCTGAAAAATGGCGGCGTGACAGATTTCTGGTTCAAGCGCCTGTCCTTCGTCGGGGTCGATCTGGACCATGACAAATGCTGGGACAAAGCTTTGGAGAGCTGCACTCCAATCCCCACCGAAGAATACAGACATGAAAACCTCTTAATCATTCCTGCGCGAGATGGAACACTGTGTGTGTTCAGAGCAGCTGCTCGAGCTGGCGTGAAGCGAGTTGTATTGACTTCCTCATTTAATGCCATTGCTTACGGACATCCTGACCAAAGCGCCCCGTTCACAGAAGTTCCATGGTCAAATGAAAAGAGCAAATTGAGTGCGTATCCAAAATCGAAAGTCGTGGCGGAGCGCGCCGCCTGAGAGTTTGTCAATAGAGACGAGGGGAAGGGGCTCGAGTTCACATCAATAAACCCCACAGCCATGTTTGATCCTATTGTTAGCACTCATGTGCCATCGAGCATTCATATATTATAGAGTTATATGACTGGCGCGATGCCAGCGAGTCTGAGTTTGTATATGGGTGTTGTTGGTGCCCGAGACGTTGCTGTTCTCGACATCGCGGCTATGACCAGCCCAGCAGCCAAGGGAGAGAGGATCATCGCGGTTTGTCCAGGCGGTAGCTGGATGCAAGAGATTCCTTTGACTATCAAAGCACGGCTTCTAGAAGAGGTAACCAAGAAAAGTACCTACGAGGATCCTCCCGAATCTGGTAACGAGACTTTTGGGGTTGCTCAATCCGCAGCCTTCGATCTTCGTGCCGGAACTAGGGAGGAGAAAGGCTGCTTCAAATAAGAAAGTTGTTAGAGTTTTGGATTGGAAGCCTAGATTGCGAGAAGAGGTTATTTTTAATACTGCCCTGTCGCTTATCAAGTATGGTGTCGTGAAAACATAACCTCGATATCGAAATTTGAAGTAATACAACCCTATATTTAAATCCACCCAAATGCCCTGCATGTAAAATTATTCCTTTTTCTTCATTCTTCAGAATATGTCCACGGGTGCGATGGACCACGACCTCGATTAGCAAGAACATTCATCATTCAGATGATATTTAGTAATACTTTTAACGAGCAATAGTACATGTGTTTTTAAAAATACGTCCCTGCGTTTAATTACCCCACAATTCTCACTCCGTCTATTATCTTACATTCCAGAACCAAGACCCCCACTAATCTGATATATATATAGTCAGCAGATGGTATAGAAAAGCCATTATAGCTGGTATTTGAAATCGAGTTTGGTGTCTCCTCTCCCCGCATCCTTCACATCATCCCTTATCTGTTGTTCTTTCTTGCCATTCTCCCTCCTCAGATGAGCCCATAGAATCCAGGTCACAACCCACGCCAGCGAGAGACCTGACAAGCTAACAGCATGACCAGTCTTATAGCGTGGTGACTCCCTCGCTAAATAGATTTGCCCAGCAATAATTCCCCCAATGTTGCCAATGGTCTGGTTCATTGCAACAGCCGCAGCTCGCTTGTAGTGCGGCGCGGTGTTTCCATTGAGCCAGGTCAAATTCAGTCCAGGGTACACGTAACTTCCGAAAACGACCAGGTAGCACCCGAAATAATTCACAGCTGGATTGTCAGTCCCAAGCAGTGTGGCGTAGCCGGCGATTACTGGGAGACTGAAGCTCAAGAGGATCGGAGCACGCGCTTGGTAATAGTCTGCTATGTAGCCAGCCGCAAAGACGCCAAGTGCACCGGTAATGTAGACTGGTATCGTGAGGTACTGTGACTGGAGGCTGCTGTAGCCCAATCCATTCACGATAATAGGCAGGAATGTGCTCATACCTGATGGTGTCAGATCATGCAGCATAAATTTGTTGACTTGAAGATACGTACTGTATACTTGAACACAAGCTGCTATTTGAACCACGCTGGAGAGCCAGCAAATGGGTGACTTCAGAGCCGCTTTTACATCCTGAAAGCTGAACTCTTCGTAATTACCCTGCGAGATGAGCCTCTTCTTCCCCAACTCCCGCTCTTCAGAAGTAAGGAAGTAAGCTGTTTCCGGGTTATCAGGGAGCAACCAGAAGCATGCGACTGCAAAGACGAACGAGATCAGTCCTTCGATAAAGTAAAGCCATCTCCAACCCGCATAGCCGCCGATTCCATCCATTTGAACAAGTCCGTAGGCCAACAAACCGCCAAAGGCGCCTGCAAGAGACATTGATACCATCAGGGCAATTGCTCGCTTGGCAATTTCGTCTCGCTTCCAGAACATTGACACATAGAGATTGAGAGATGGGAAGAATGCCGATTCGCAGAGTCCCAAGAGTAGGCGAACGATAATAAAGCCAGTGTAATTTTGGAGAAAGCCGCTGAAGATGGTGATAAGGGACCAGCCTAGCATCACAGCGGGGACTTTTTAGAATATTAGTGGTCTATCTCTTGAATTATTGTTTCTAAATGCACTCACTCAGTCGAGACGGCCCAACCAACTTTAGCAGAACAGTTAACGGAATCTCGAAAATAACATATGTCACATAAAAGATGGACACAGCGACTGCATTTCCGATGAGCTACATTAATTCCCAGAAATTCAAATCTGATGCCTACCATTGTATTCGCTTCCTTGAAGATGAAGATCATGCGCAAGTCCGGCGACTTTTGCATTACCGATATTGACGCGGTCAATGAAACTGTGATCAACATAAGTATCTCCCTACTAATAACCGTAGCTCTTGGGTTCTTTACCTGAACATATAGGTAATCATGTACACCGGGATAATATACATATCCATCTTACGCACTAGCCGCCTCTCTAGCCGAAGATCGAAGGCATCAGCATCCTTGCCTTCTCGCTCGGTATCAGCCACCACCGACAAAGCAGTTTTGGATTCTAGGATGGTCGCCATGTCGAAATACCAGAAATGGTAGAGGTATCAGGATGTAGATCGGACAAAAAGCGTTCTTCTTTAATAGCATCCCAAGCCCATTGTGACCCTCTGGAGAAAATCGTGTATTAAGTACACGTAGGAAGTACTAACCACTGACTCGCAGAATGGTATCGCTACCGATTGATAGAGTACCTAAACCCAGCCATCTGGGTCAGTTTTGTGGATCTTCAGGCTTGATGGCGTGGTTGGAAAGTAGTCTACGCTGTTCATGCTCTGAATGTTTCGAATCATGTGTCGATGGCGTGATTATACCTAGCATTGGAACCCGCAAAACTCTCCCTAGACCCAGCATACTCTCCGAGAATATCTGCATATGCCATAATCTAACATATCTGGGAATTGTTGATTTAGTGGGTTGAAGCTTCGGTTACCAGAGTATTCCTTAGTGTCCTATACTTGGAGTATGGTATTGATGGCGCAATCGTCGCGTGGGATGTACAATAGGCGGCACTGTCCGCTCTCACCATAATAGAAGAGCATGAGTCAGTGAAAGTATCTTTATCCTCTACAGAACTAGTTCTGTGGGACTTTTTTGCATTGGCTTTTCCAAGGATAGTTTTTCCGAAATGGCCGAATTTCAATGTTCAGTTTACCTATTTACTCATCATGGACCAGAATTTAATGATGTGCTCCAAACCAGTTAAATATTGGCGGTTCTAGAAAGGAGCATAAAACAATTCCCCTTCGACGATATTATCAAGTGGGATAGCTATCGTCTGTCTGTATATCCTCCAATCGATTTTAAAGCGTGTAACTGTCGCTATGGTACCCGTGGTGCAATCAAAGAATGATTCTCGGCCGCTGAGGATTGCCATCGTCGGCGGTGGTCTAGCTGGTGCCGCTGCAGCAGGTGTTTTATCTCGACTACCCAATGTCAAAGTCAGAGCATACGAGCGAGCGCCAGCGATCCGCGAAGCTGGTGCTCAGATCGCAGTCATGGTCACAGCGCTCAAGGTTCTTCGGCGGATGCTCTCTCCAGCAGCATGGGATTACTTGCAAAGCATGTTGTATCGTGGAGAGGGAGCCGATGGTATTCATCATCGACATTGGAGGACCGGGGAGATCTTGTCTACAGCCACTTCCCCAGATACGGCCCGTCATATGCAGGAGGGCCGGGTATCTCGAGTCTCGCTGCATCGGACTTTGATGATGGATGTTCCAGATGGGGTTTTCGAGTATGGGCGTGAAGTTGTCAAGGTCGAGACTAGCTACCGGCAGAAGGAGGTTACTCTCCATCTCAAAAATGGAGATACTAAAACGGCAGACCTTCTCGTAGTGGCTGACGGGTTATATTCGGTACGTTTGCTTGTCGTTGATGTACTGAACACGAAGCATTGATGAAATATAGAAAATACGTAGCCAATACCTCCCAGAAACAGATATCACGTACAAAGGGTTGGTGGCCTACCGAATCAACTTTCCAGCATCAAAGCTGGCTCACATCGGGGACCTCCCAAATGACTCTTCGTCATTCAGAAAAGGGTCTAATGTGGTAATATTATCTCACCTCGAACCGGGGACATATTCATTTGCTGCTTTTCTCCAAGAACCAGAAGAATTTGCCAAATCCCTTAGGTGGGAGCATGCATTGGGCCAGCCGGGGATTGATAGAATCAAGAGTAAACTCGTTGGCTGGCACCCGCTTATTGGAAAGATCCTGGATGCATTGCCTGGTATCGATGCATATCCACTGCAGGGGACAAAATGGATGGAACACCTCATCCGCGACGACACTGTTGCGTTCGTTGGCGATGCAGCACATCCTACCGCCGGCGGTTGGGGAACAGGAAGTGCGTTTGCTTTTGCGGATGTGTGGACACTTTATCGCTCGTTACATCGGACATATAGAACGAGACCAAAACCAATGGATGCAGACAAAGTGCCATACAATATTCCATATGCTTTGCATCTATTCAATGAGACGCGGCGACACTTTTTGCAGAGGGTAGAGCGGCAGTTCGACTATGACAAAATAGATACGAAATACGTGAGTGAGGCTCTAGGTGATGAGGAGGAATTTGTTTACCGGTACCGAGAACGATACACATCGACTTCGTGGATCCTGGAGCACGACCCAGATGCGCGGTGGCAAGAAGTTGAGGCGGAAGAGAGACATCAGCATGTTCAACAAGAGAAGAGGCTCAGCCGGTTGTAGACACTGCCTGAAATACTTTCATACAGATTGGTAGTTATAATTTAAACATTGGTATCAAAAAAGAGCAGATGTCGATATAATTAATTGATTGCTTCCCGTTGTTCTAAGGTCCAGATGTCAATTTTAGGCGGAAAGTATTGGTATATCAATTTGACATGTACATATGTACCAGTTGACATGTGATCAAATATCAGGCAGAATTAAATTGATAATCCGTCTAAACAAGCACTGGAGGTAGATAGAATCCGTAATACGATATTATTCTGCTATTGAACTATTTGAAACGCATATCTAGTAAAAGGTCTGCTTTACTGACCTGTAGACTGCCTTCTAAGAGTGAAGAATGAATTTGAATGACCTAGAAACATATCCGTGTTGTCACAGCGACGCATTCAGGTGCTACATTAAGATAAGAAAAGTTTGAAGATAGTATTAAAAGTGCTTGCCATTCATCTGTAATTCAATGTTACACTATTTATATCAGCATAAATTTCGCCCTTTGACGATTAATATGAATGAGCTTGTTCAATTGGGCAATATTCCTCAGATTTGTTACCGCAGACAACCTTCAAGACTGCTTCTTCATATCTCCTAGCGCTTGCAGAAATGCATATGATTCATCTGTCTCTGCAACGAAATGACTCAACTGAGTCTGTCCGCCGAAGACTGCAGACGCAAATATATTGCCAGATGTTTATTCCGGAAGCTAGCACGAGATAACCGGTTCTGCTCTTTTGAGCATGGTCCTTTCAAGCTTTTTTGTGACGATTTCCGCCCCGCAAATGTACTAGCAGATTCTCAATCCGGCTTTAAAGCGGTTGGCGCGATTGATTGGGAATACACATATGCTGCCCCAGCCGAGTTTGTGTATAGCCCCCCATCCTGGTTATTGCTAGAACGCCCAGAATACTGGAAAGAGGATCTCGATAACTGGACACAAGTGTACGAGAAAAGACTCCTGATATTTCTCCAGTAGCTTCAGAAGCGAGAGCAAGAGTCGATCGAACGCGGGATCCTCACAGAAGATGATCGTCTTTCACAACGTATGTTGGAAAGCTGGCAGACTGGGGATTTCTGGGTGTATTATGCTGCGAGAAGAAGCTGGGCATTTGATATGCTGTATTGGGCGAAGATTGACCGCCGGTTCTTCGGAGGTGGAGATTTAATGGACAGATTTCAACTACTAACTCGAGAAGAGAGAGACTCTATGGATGAGTTCGTACAGAGGAAGCTTTTGGAGAAAGAACAACGCACCCTAAGAGGCTGAGCATCGTTTTCCCCCCTTACGCATAGCACTAGCTTTTTGGATAGCAAGATTGTGATCTAGTTCATGGTTCCAGCCTGCCGCATTGATTAAGGAGAGAATATTAACCCTAACCCTGAGACACCCAAATGTTGCAGTATCCTTGCACATAGTACATGCTTTCGGATTGCACCAGAGCAGCCACTAGCTCCATCAGTAACGGACACGATCTGAGGGAATATGAAATCATATTGAAGGTATATAACATATACGAAATGAGGAAGAATTATGCTTCTGCGCTTTCCGCTTCACTCCTGTCTTGTTTTCTTGTCTGACTGCCCGCCTCTGGTCACTGTGGGTTCCGCGCGCCAATCCTTATAATAGGCGCGGTCACCTCAAAAATTTCTGGAAAGAGAATATTGATTTTTTGATCAAGTACGAAATTCCAATCACAGCTAAAATCATGATGTAATCCAGGAGATAGACGAAGGTCTATTAAATTGCTCGACTTTCTTGACGACGACACGTTGATTAAGCGACAAGAACCGGTTGTGATGCAGGAACAGTTCGACTGATCACAGGCTGTCGTTTATCTGTCGCAACGCACAAAGGTCGCTAGAGTGAAATGTGCCTAGAGTAATATAGGGAGCAGCAAGATGACAACAACCGTATGCGCAACCAGGGCGAAAATCTGTCTTTACTCAATTTAGAAAGGGCCAGAATTCTCTGTTCCTTACTAAATAAGGCTGTCAAGTTGAAGACCATCGATACTATCATTTAACTGGCCAAATATAGACTCGAAAGAGGAGTAGTCACAGCTGTGGAAGGGAGAAACCGTTGAATAGGCCTGCGAACTCCACTGTGGTGATTGGAATGACAACAAGCTCTGCACAAGTTGTTTGTAATTCAATCTCAGAAAAGGAGCGACAGGTCTTGGCGAAAGAAGCCTATTTGACTGGATTTGTTTCGTGAGAGCTCCGTACATAATTGAGCTGCACTCAAAGCTACATCCTTGAATGCCGCTTAGGAGGGCATCCTGCTTCTCATGAAGGAGGATAACTATGTTATCTATGCATAGTTCTCTACAATCGTTCATTGATTCTAAAAATTTATTAGGGTCCCGTCAATATCGAGAGTGTGTTCTCCTTACCAAGGACTTTATCAGGGATCGGAAGCCCCAGGTTATCAATCCGGCCATTACTTAGCGACATGGCAGTTGAAGTAGCTTCTTGGAACAGACTAGAGAGCTGAAAAAACCAAGAAATCCATAACCACATAATTAAACCTCGAGAATATGTCGTGGGAATTTTGTGCTCTAGGGCCTTGATCCATATATCTGTGAAAACCCCCATGGCATCCCTGCATTCGTAGTAGTCTGCGAGAACAGTTACTTTAGCAAGCATCTCAAAGCTTAGTTTTCGGGGTACATGATTGTGTTGACAATGCATGACTCTTAGCAGAATCAAGAGGGCTTCAATATCCCAACCCTCTGCAATAATTTCTACAGATCCTTTCTGGAGTAAAGCGACGTTCTCCTTCCAACCACCAGTAAGCATCTTCTTGAAAACAGGCGAGACGAGCGTTAAATGCTTCGCGGATACTTGGATCCGGAAACGCCTTTCTGTCAAGTCTTCATCACTATTACGCTGCTTTTGGCCGATAGTCTCTTTGATCTGCCCGCCATATGTCCGAGAATGTTCTGAACCTGTTGATTCAGAGTCGGAGCTGGTCTCAGATGACTCCTCAACAGGCTCTTCGATAGGCTCGGCGACGTTATTCTGTACGTGATTGACAATGGTGTCTTCGTCCAACACTGCAAAAGGAGGGTTGGCGTTGCGCAATTCTATTATCACTTCACCATCCGGATCAATAATGTACGTCGGCCGGTCCATAGCGATAATTCTACCCAGCTTTCGAGGGCCAGCCAACACTAGCCCGCTTAGTCGTGGAGAAAAGGGAGGAGGAAGATACTGCGAGGTTGAAGGAGGAAGGTGTTAGATGTTAGATGTTAGAGGGTTGAATGATACTCTAGACTCGTGGCGGCCGCTAATCGGCGTTATTATTAAATATCGGGCTGAGGTGATTTGTCGTCCCTCACTTCCAGAGCCTTCATGTTAGCTTCCTTACGGGAACAGGGCCACTAAACTCTCCTTGGAGATCTCCAAGGAGACCAACCCAAGTGGTTGACGATCGGCTAAATTCGGTGTTTGTTTTGTTTGTACGGTAAGCCCCAGTCCCCTGAAAGCCTCCAGCGTGGCGCAGATGGAGGTGTGATGCGAAATGCAAGGTTGAGCATAATTGAGTATGTACACATTGCAGTAAAGCGTTCTCTACTTTTAGCCAATTCTATTACTGTAGTCAGCATTTGTCAAATAAAAAGAACAATGAAGTTAGAATAAATTTGCTGATTACTAAAATCTAAGAATAGCATTGCTTTAAAGCAACTAATCCCTCCACAAAATACGTATAGTCAGCAACAATTAGGGGAATACGACTTATAGTAAGAGGCTACCTCAGTTTTTGATTCATCACTACCCTATCCAACCCGTTCGATTTTATATTTTGCTTTACATGGCATGATGATGATGAGTAATAGCTCCTTAATTTGTCAAATAAACAATAGTGACGTTAAAATGGGAGGTGCCTCATCCATGCTGACGTGATTCTAAAGACAATAGCACTAACAACATGAGTGCTACATTAATATACTGCCAAGTTTATAATCTCATTATAATCAACATCTTTTGACTAGCCTAGTATACCAAGGTGTGTAGATTCAAACCCATAAACACGTGGTACAGTATAGTGTATGTAGCTCACCCGATATGAACCCATAGTTATAGATTTCTTCAGATTGTCTCCATTATTGGAAAGGGATAGTGGCCACTCTAATACTATACAGTCAGCATCACTCTAGTAGAACCGAATTCATGTGATAGAAACGCCTACTAGACTTTGATGTGATGAGGCGGCGGCCATTGGTCTGTTGAATCTGAGTTTAAATAATGAATCTGACTTGTCTTTTGGTTTCGAGTTATCAAAATATAAATCAGAGTCACATTCGACACTGATTTTTCTTGCTTTTTGAAAAGAGTATTTGTCAGTTGGAGCTTTTGCTGCTTTTTAAGCGCAAGTGTGTAGGCTGAATTTTAGCTAGAGGCTGAGAGGGTTGTGATATCATGATCGAGTCGAAGGGGACAATTGGGTTTAGAAGAGAAATTGTGGCGGCTTAGAACATTGAAATTAATATTGAGATAGTCGACGTTTTTTATTTGAGGGAGCTCCAGGTCACTTTTCTCGGCTCCCTAGTCATTCGCCACAATTCAAAAGCTATGTGATAATCATAGGCGCATTAATATTCGCCCCAAAATACCCCGCAGCCTCTGCTGATGACCGAGATCTGGAGAAGGGTCGTCCCAAGAGGGATCTGGGGCCATGGATCTGGCTCCGGGGAGAGGCTGGGAGGAAACCGATCTGGGCCAGGAATTCCACATTCTTGATCACGGCGATGCGCAGGTGTAGCGGCGGGACTGGGACCTCATCGGCCGTGGCTAACGACTTCGCGGTGCTGTCGCTGTCCTCGGCCTCCTCGCCAAACAGGTGGGATAGTGGCCATAGAGGATGCTGCTCCCGGCGGGTGATGAGGTCAGAACGTATGGCTGCGTGCCACTGCGCGGTGCTCTGGGCCTCTAACTGGTAGCCCATGTTTCGGATGACGTCCCATAGCGCTCCCCAGGTCATGCCATCACGGGTGTACTGCACAGGGACCTGGTCCAAGCCTGGATTGATAGCAGTGTCCACCACCAGGCGGGCAAGTGCTGTCGCATCCGAGAGATGTAGCCACTCGTGGGCCTGCGCACCGTCGAAGGCACCGATAGCGATGTTTGCAGCTGTCAGGCGCCAAAGGTAGTCGTCTATGTTGGCAACTCCTTCTTGCGCTGTGCCTATGACCAGCCCGGGCTTGATGATAGAGATGTTGTTGCCGCCTGGGGAGGTGCGCAACGCCGCTCGCCGGATGACGGCCTCGGCCACGAATTTAGTCAGGCTGTACCCCATGTCGTTAGCCAGGGAGAGCACGACATCCTCGTCGTGCTCGTGCTCTGACTGCCATTGCCGTCCGCCCGAAACATACACGAGGCGCGGCCGACTGGCCGACACGGCGAGCTGCAGCAACTCGACGGAGGAGCCGATATTGACGGCTTCCAGATCGGCGTAGCTCCGGGTCCAGGTCACGGCGGCGCCCGCATGGACGATAGCGTCCACACGCTTGTCACTGTCTGAGGTGTTCAGCAGTTCCCATCGGCTGGCATCCAGGCCCAGATGCGGCTTGGAGAGGTCACCGGCCCAGACCTCGAGTTTCTCAGCGTGCAGGTCTGTCCACCAAAGCGCCTTCTGTGCCGCGTCGATAGTACGGGCCCGTGCCGACTGGAACTCATCATCGCGGACTAGGGCGATAACCTGCGCCACTGTTGGCTTCTCTAGCAGCTGCCGGATGATCTGTGTACCGATGAATCCCGCGGCGCCAGTGACCAGCACGGTGAGGTGGTCGGGCTTGAGTAGGCTGCTCATGGCAGGCTTACTGTCTGTTGTCGAGCCGGTGAGGATATTGAAACCGGACGAACTGCTGCTGCTACCACTACTGCTGGGGCTGCTCTGTCCATGGCTGGAGTTCCTCGACCGTTGTTGCAATCTGCTAGGGTCAAGTGAGTGGCCGCTGGAACTGCTCTTGTGCCGAGCATTTCGGTTGTTCAGGGTCTCCTCGAAAAGCTTGCTGCCGAGGACGGGTGAGCTGAGCTGAACCGCAGCAACTCGAGCATCATACTTATTAATCTCGGCCATGATGTCAATCGGGGGGGCAGTTGCTATAACAGAGGTCGGATTCTCCCGGCCAGAGGATCGGGATTCCGTGATTAAATGGGCGAGCTTCCTAATTGTAGTACTTTTATCCATCAGAAGCTGCATGCTCACATGCACCTGATATCGGCCGGAGAGGTAGTGGATGAGGGACATCATATCTAACGAGTCTAGGCCAGACTGAGAAAGAATGGCGTCTCGGAAACCTTCCCCATGTTGCAACGCGAGCGACCTGCCTCCCCGGAGCATGGATGAGACTTTAGCAGCCAGCTCCGCTGCCGGTTTTTCACTCGTCTGTATCGTGGCGGCTGCAATTTCCCGCTCTAAGGCAGCTTCTGGCGTGCCCACAAACAGGTCCGCACCACTACTGACGTGCTTGATCAACCAGGAGGTGACAGTGTGTCGGTCCACTTTGCCAGAGGGCAACAGGGGCAGACCGTCGTCCGACAGCGTGTGGATATCTAGCCAATGCTTCGGGACCCCAGCGGATGGGATTCGAGTGGAAAGGTCATTTTGAATGTGGACTACTTGCTCACTGAAATTGTAGTCGCTGCCTTCCAACTCGAGGACAGCTGTGACCTGCTTGGCGAAATTTCCACTGGATGGGAATAGTACAAGCCCGTTCTTGACTCGCGAGCACCTGAAGAGGTGGGCCTCAATCTCCCCCAGCTCTATTCTCTGGCCATTGACCTTGACTTGCAAGTCTTTACGACCAATATAATATAAGGAGCCATCCGGGCTGCGCCGCACCAGATCCCCTGTCCTATACATGCGCCTATCACAGTTTTCCTCTCCCTCCTTCACGGCCCACGCAGGATTCCAAATGAAGGCGCTCTCAGTGGCCTCGCGGTTATTAAGGTAGCCTCGGGCCAGCGTCGGCCCCTCCACTAGAAGCTCACCATCCTCTCCGTCCTGCAGGAGCTCGTTGACATTGTTTGGATTCACGACCCATGCTCGCGCAGCAACGGGCAAGCCGATGTTGCAGGCGTTCATGCCAGGCACCATCTTCTGCACGGCGAGCACAATGGAACACTCACTGGGTCCGTAGCCGTTGAACACCTCCACCGCGGCGTCCAGCCAGCGCTTGACCAGCCCGTCATCTGCTGCCTCACCGACAAGTACCAGGGTTCGAAGCAACGGCAGATCGGCCGGACGCAGCAACCGCACCACGGAGGGTGTCAACACGGCATAGTCAATCTGGGCTCGCTGCATAAAGCCGTGGACATCTTCAAGCCGCTCCTTGTCGCTCGCCACGCACACAGTGCCGCCATGAAGCAAGGTAGTAAGGATTTCGACCAGGCTGGCATCGAAGCTGTGCGAGGCAAACTGCAATACGCGGCTCTGCTGCTGCCGGATGCCCTGTCGAGGGCCGTGTTCCAGTGCGCCAGATACATACGCTGAATGGGAGACCATGACGCCCTTGGGTTTGCCGGTCGAGCCCGAGGTGTAGATGAGGTATGCAAGATCGTCCGGCGAGGCCCGGTTTGTGAGCGAGATGCCTTGTTCTTCTGGCCTTGTCAGCCGTTGAAGTAGAGCCTTCTCGACGACGATGACGTTGGCCACGGGCAGGATGGTCACTCGCGCGTGCAGTCTCGAGGTCAAGAGCACACTCGCCTCGGCGTCCTGCACAATACTCTTCAACCGGCTCAAGGGCTGGTTGGGATCCAATGCGACAAATACAGCACCGGCTTTGAGCACGGCAAGCATGGCGACCACTGTCCAGACTGACTTTTCGAAGCACAGTGACACCAGGGACCCGGCGGCAACACCAACGCTGATGAGATGGGCAGCGAGTCTCGTTGAGAAGTCATCCAACTCCCAGTACGAAACCGACAAGCGGGATGAGTAGAGGGCTTCTGCGTTGGGTTGGCGTTCTACCACTTCTCCGATCAGGTCATGGATGCAAGCACGCACGGTTACCGGAAGTGGCAGTTGTGGTGACGAAGAGATTGAGGATATAGGCATTGATTCCTCTGTCGGCGCCTTGTCGTCGTCCTCATATTCTCCATATTCCTCGTCTACCTTGATCTGGCTAAGAGTCGTGGCTGACTCTGCAGATAATCCGACCAGCTGGCGAAGGATGGTCTTGACCTGGCTGATAGCCTGGGCCACCACAAGGCGGCTGGTCACCTCCTCGTCGACATGCGTGGCGAATTCAATGGCCTTGCCATTTTGTACCAGTCTCACCTCGCAGGTCACCGGGTAGGTGGTGAACTCCTCGCGGTACTGAGGTTTCCCGAGCAGGCCATTGTCTTCCTCCCAGTCAAACTGGACGGCAAGGAGGTTCTGGAAATCGCACCCGCGTTTAGTGTGGCTATTCAACTGTCGAATGCGTTGGATGCCGGCCTGCTCGTACTGCAACATCTGTATGGAGTGGTTCTGCACGTGACGGAGGAAGTCTAGCACACGCTGGTCGGGCCGTACGCGCAGCCTGACGGGGACGGTAGCGATTACAGGCCCCGCAGTCAATTCAATATTAGGCATGGGAGTGCTGCGTCCGGAGACGATGGCGCCGAAAACCACATCGTTCGTCTGGGAGAAATGGCTGATCATGATCACCCAGGCGGCTCGGATCAGCGATGGCAGCGTTAAGCCTGCGGGAGGCGAGCCGCCGAACTCGAGACGGTCCCGGATGACTGTTCGGGCGATAGACTGGTAGCCTGGCCGTGAAGCTACCGGAAACGTCGAGGCTGGAGCATCCTCGAGCTCCTGCTGCCAGTATCGTTCTAGACTGTCTTTGTCTAGGGACTGGGTGTAGGCAACGAAGTGGCAGAAGCCATCGACAATGGAAAACTTGGACCCCCGATACATGGCGTTTGCCTTTCGTACTAGCAATCCAAGCGTCCAGCCATCGTAGAGCATGTGTTGTAACGTCCAGACGAAATGCGTGGCGTGGCCATCCGCGCCAGTGATGATGGCGAACCGGCTCAGCGCGACGCCGGGGAGCATGGGCTCCTCCTCATCACGCTTCAGATAGCTTTCGAGATCGTCGGCTGCATTCCACTGGATACGACCCTTGATAACAGCCTGGAGAGAGCCGGCCAAGGTCATCACAAACCTGCTCCGGAGAATCCGGCACGTCTCATAAATCTCTTCCCAGATGTGTCTGAATCGCACCATATCAGTGCCTCTGGGAAGCTCATGCACCATCTGGGCTGTATAAGCTCCAGGCCGCGTTAAGTTGACAGCCATCAAACCCTCCTGAAGGTGCGTACAAGGATAGAGATCTTCGATGGCATCCTTGCTCATATTGCACTGTGTGGCCGCCTCTTCAGTCAACTCTGGAATATCTTGCGGCTTCAGCATGCTGAATGGGTGGATCTGGGATGGAACCGGGGCTGGACCTTGGTGGGATGCAGTCAGTCCGTTCGATGTTGCCTCCTTGGGACGCTCACACACAGCGGCCATGTCACGGAGCCCCGGTCTACTGAAAATGGTTGCGTATGTGATCTTTAGACCAGCTTTGCGACACGCGGCGACCATCTTGATCGCGACCATGGAATCCGCCCCCAGTTCAAAGAAATCGTCGTTCGGCCCGATTGACTGCTGTGGCAGCCCAAGGAGCTTGGCCCAGATCCCCTGCAGTATACGCTCCGTCTCACTGAGAGCCTCGATGGGATCGGATATGGCGGCTGCCGGCGCAGGAGGGACTCCCAGAGTGAGTAACATGTCTGTTGACATCTTTGCACCGATATCTCGAAGAAGCTTGCGGTCTGTCTTCCCTGAGGAAGTGCGTGGGATGGCCTGACAAGGGAGGACGACCTTGGGGATCATATATGTCGGAAGGACTCCGGTCAGCCGCTCCATGGTCCTTTTCATGCGTTCAGAAATCCCAGTTGCCAAGTTACCAGGGTCTTTGCGATCACCAAAGAAGACCAAGCCGTTAGCATCTGGCGGGAGGGTGGTTTTCTTGCAGGCGAAGCAGGTGAGCACCATCACTCCGGCGAAGTCTTTGTCGTTCTTCTGATCCTTGCTGCCAGGCCGTAGCACCTCGACCACAATCTCCAGCGAGTCATCACCCAGTATTTGCTTGATGTTGGATTCGATTTCACCAAGCTCTATGCGCTGCCCCCGAATCTTGACCTGTGCGTCTTTGCGGCCAAGGAACTCGATGACACCGTCCGCGTGCATCCGGCCCAGATCGCCAGTCCGATAAACGCGTGGCACAGTGCCTCCGGTGCTGGCGCCTACAATGGGACGCAGAAACTCAGGATCCTCGACAAAGGCGGCCTCGGTCAGCTCGCGGTTATTCAGGTAGCCAGTCGCTAGACCCGGGCCCTCCAGGACGATCTCGCCGACGGTGTTAAATGGGACGAGCTGCTTGAAGTTGTCCGTGTCGACGAGCCACACGGCGCAGTTGGGTGGACGACCCAGGTACACCGGGCCTGACCCTGCGATGCGTGGCTCGCTGATCACGGTCAAGATGGAGGCCTCGGCTGGCCCGTAGGCGTTGATAGTTTTCGCGTGGCCAGCCCAGCGATCGGCTAGATGGGACGGCAACGCCTCGCCCGCCATAGTGATGACCTCGAGGCCCGGAACGTCTTTCGGGTCGAGCAGAGAGGCGACCGAGGGAGTCAGAATGGCCCAGTTGACGCCAAATGAGACGATGCACTTGGCCAAATCGTTGAGACGATCCTCTTCGGAGGGGATGCAGATGCAAGCTCCGATGGTCAGTGTTGTGAGGATTTCGAGCATGCTGGCGTCGAATGTGAATGAAGAGTATTGCAGCACTCGGCTCCGTGGACTAGTCAAATAGATGGCCTTGCTGTATCCTGCAGAGCTCGACACGAATGCGGAGTGGCTGACGACGACTCCCTTGGGTTTCCCAGTACTCCCGCTCGTGAACATGACATATGCTGGGTCATCCGGCGTGGAAACCGGCGTGTGTTGGATAAGCTCGGATTCCGTGGCTCCGGCCAACTGGCGCAGGAGATCGTCGTCCAGCACGACGTTATATTTGGGGCTGGCGGTGGTGATGTGCGACGGCGCCTTGTCGCGGTGCGTGCTTGATGTGATGACAACGAACGCTCCCACGTCACGAATGATGGCGTGCTGACGCGCTACTGGGACATTAGGGTCTAAGGCGACTGTTGCGCCGCCGGCTTGGAGGACTGCGAGCATCGCAATCACGCTTTTGCTCGACTTCTCGAATATCAGCGGCACCAACACGCCGGGGCCAACGCCCAGTTGCTGGAGGTGGCGAGCGAGCGCCATACTCCGCTCCCAGAGCTGAGAATAACTGAGCTGGCCGTCCCACGCATCAATGGCCGCGGCTTGGGGCAGCTTAGAAACTTGCTGCTCGATGATATCATGCGCGAATGAATTAAGTTTGGGAGTCAGTCTGAGGATCAAGTGTTAGTCAAGCTAGCTCGTCTGTCAGATCCAGATGTAGTATACTTACGGTCTATTATATCGAAGTAATTGTCGACGTGCATGGGGCCCCAGCTGTTCGAGGCTGGCCAGGCGGAGGGCTTGGTCGTCTCGACCGTTGATGAGTTGCCAAACCGCATGCTCTAGGCCATCTATCAACAACCGCACGGTGGACGCCGGCAAGATCGTCTGATTGAACTCGGCCAGAAAGGACAGCGCGCCGCCATAGCGGGAGCAGTGAATTACCAGCGAGTATTGTGATGATTCCTCGGGCTTGTCACCATAATTCGGAGAGCCGGACTGGTAGTGCCACTCCGGACGGCCCTCCAGGAAATGGATGACAGTTTGGAAGCCCGCGGCAACCTCTGCACCTGCGTTGAGAGATCGGATCTCATCGAGATTGAGCTGGGACGAGATGACCCTGTCTGACCACTCTCTCACGTAGGGGATGAACTGCGAGACCAGCTGAAAGCGGTCGACCTGCACACGTACGGGCAGCATCGACGACGACGTCTGAGGAGAATTGATATACTGCAAGCCAAACAAGGCCTCGGTGCTTTCGGAATGACTGGACAGGACGATGGCCCACGCGGCGCTGACCAAACCAGCTGCCTGTTGGGACGACATTTCTGCGTCATTCACCTCACAGGAACCCCCTGTGATGGTGGCGAGTGGCCGGGGAACTTGATCTGCGACGGATACACTAAGCTGGCGTGGGAAGGAGTTGAGGGACGCTCCCTCCAGGTGTCTGCTCCAGGCGGTTTTCTCGTCATCTTTCGCCGGGACAGGCTGCACGGGCAGGGATACAATGTCTTTGGGATCTGGCAGGACAGGAGGTATAAAATGATGGTCGGATCCTATAACACTAGGCCTGACTACATCAGATGCTGATCTATGACTGTCAGAGATTGAGCTCTTGATCGACCGAAGTCTCTGGAATTTGGATCTTCGCGAATGCAACATGCTGAGTAAACGAGAGGATTTCTATGTTCTTTACAGGCATCACTACTCCGAAGGTCTGATCGGGGAAGCAGCTGATGCTAGCGTATTTATGGCCATGCTGATGACCCTATGTAGCAACCAACGTATGGCTACTCGCCGCCGCTATCTCTACTTCTGAGGACTGGAAAGCGCGGTTGGGTACGGATCACAGCAATGTCTACGCCATCTTCCTGGCGCTCTGAGTTCCTCTCCATCTGGGTAAGCAACAACTCGAAAGAGAATATGCTGACTGACGTTTTAGTCATACCGTATTGGTATTTCACCGTTTCTCAAACGCAATCATTTGTATGGTCTGGCCCGACTTAACGACGCTCCTATTCGGTACTGATCTCGGTTGCAAAGGACTGAGTAAAAGTACACACCATGTTGCAATGTTAGTATATAACTAACTATAGTGGCTTAGCAGCTTAGCCCACACCTTTCATCTACACATATACTCTCTAATGTCATTAGTCAGGTATACTATAATATGAACGGGATACCTAGATTGACTAGTTAAATCTAAGGATAGCTCGCCATGGCCTCATACGAGCTCATTGAAGCTATTTTTATTCACAATAATGCCTTTAAGCACATTCGATGCCACTAGCCGCGCGACTATCTACTAGATTGCACTGCTGAACTTATGAAGTAAGACAATACGAAGAGTCTTATGAAGTTCTGGACCAATAGGAGGCCTCACCACATACATATAAAAATCATGCTCGGCATGTAGCACACGCTAGTTTGGTTGGTGTTCTTATGTGTTATTTTGATACATTGTATTACACAGTATAGTACGGAGTACATATTGTTTGCATTTGTAATACTGTACCGGCAGATGACGCGATGTTAGAAATAACCAAGCAATTTTAGTGCGCGCTACTGCACTGGTGAATTTAGGGGCCTTACTGTCTATTGTGCTAACTATTGAACAGAACACGAGTTCCTAGATAAAATAGTGCTTATGTGGAGTACTCTGTTCCTTAGATTTAACTAGTCAATCTAGGTATCCCACTCATATTACGGCATATCCAACTAATGATATCAGAGAGTATATGTGCAGATGAAAGACGTGAGCTAAGCTACTGAGCCACTATAGTTATGTACTAACATTGCAATATGGTATGTATTTTTACTCAATCCTTTGCAATCAAGATCGGTGCCGAATAGAAGCGTCGTTAAGTCGGGCCAGACCATACAAAGCTTTGCATTTCAAGAATCTTGACACGTCTATGATGCATCTGCATGGAAATTAGGCCTAGCGACACATACACTGAGACCAATAAACAGAACGTCCAACACCAACAAATGAGAGATGTAACCTTCCTAATGAGTCCGTAAAGGATACAGAACGCTAGGGAACTAAATACAACAAACAGAGGGAAAGCGTAAAACCGAAGGATTATAATGTGGATATGAACAACAAAAGGGTCCAGGGTCAGGGTCTCTGGCGTATAGATTTGTATGGCCAGCGTGGCTAAGGATAGGCTGACACGGTGGGGAATATTGAGGTGGGGTGTAGGCACGCGGGTCGGCTCGAAAGCGCCTATACGTGACACCGATTGGGTGTTGAAAGCACGTGGAAATTAGTTAACTTGGTAGGATGGAATATCTCAATATCTAAATAGCTTTTCTATACCAAAATCTATCTGAGTTCTTCTTAGGCTAAAGTTATTCTATATCTTCTTATTAGACTTTTACTCCTTTAGCTTTAGCTAAATTAAGCATTATTTATAAATCTAAAATCAAGTAAAAATATTATAAAGCTATGGAAACAGTATCCATAGTCTAATAACAGCTAAAATAGATTAGGAAGTCATTATCATGATAATAATTAGCTAAATTGTTTAATTGCGGCATTTTTGCTATTGGGCATCTACCTGAAATCAGATGTGATAGAGATACATTAAATTCATTGTACTAGGTGAAGGAAACAATCTCTTTCATAATGTCCATACACTGTATAGTTAGTTACAGTTATTTATATGGGCCTATACAATCAAGCTAATAGCGCCTTTTCCACTAATGACTCGCAGGTTGCCGCCCTAAACGCTTCTTGTTAGCAACGAAGTTGCTAGTTCATGTTGTTACTTTGCACTCGCTTACATAGCACTAAGCCAAATCAGAAATCAGAGCCATTACAGTTACCTAACCTCGTCTTAGGTGAGTACGAACTAAATAATTCCAAATTCTTGTTTCTACTGTCGCTAGATCATTAACGGCTTTTTTTGTTTACAAGTTCATGGAAAGGGTATGAATGTACAAGGGAACATTGGAGCTATCTATAGGAGATATGGGTTGGATGGTGGAAAAAAAAAATATCACGTATCTTCTTACTTAATCATCTTACTAACATAGAAATTAAAATGTCTATCCCTCACACAGTTAAAGTAATCTTGCCATGCAACTTCTCACCTGCATCCTTGGCATTGAAGGTACTCATCGTAGACCGCGAGACGAAGTCGCCCGGGTCGGCCGACCGCACGTAATAAGCAATGTCGGCATGCGGGTTCAACTCGATCTGGGAGAAGCCGTTGCCTAGATACGCGAAGCGATTGCGGTTGTGGTAGCGGATATCGTAGTCGTCAAAGCGCGGCGTGGACAGCGTTTCCATGAAGTGCAGATGGCTTCCGGGCCACACTGCGGTGACCTTTTTGGTGACTCGGTCCTTGTACCAGCTGGGGCAGTTGTCGCCCCAGACGCTCAGCGTCTCCATGAACAAGTTCTTGTGCTCCATAAAGTCATCCTGCGCGTCCTGCTTCGGATCGAAGTATGCAACGCCCTCCTTCTGCCATCGGTTGAAAAACTTGGCCATGTACTCGGCCTCGACCTCAATGGCAAACAGCACGGGGCCGTTGCTGATGGTGCAGTTGGGTCCGAGGACTGCAGGCCACAAATTAATTATCCGGATTGGTACAAGGCTAGACAAAGGTGTAAACAAAAAGAAAGATAGGAGCGTACACATGAAATAATTCGGATAGCCGGAAACGGCCACACTGCAGTAGTTTCGAGGCTCAGTCTTCCAGAAGTCGGCAAGGTTGCCACGTCGGCCAACGATTGGAAACCGTGGCCGAAAAGTGGTGTCAAAGCCTGTGGCGCAGATGAGAACGTCCAGCTCGGTCACTGTGCCTGTCTCAGATATGACGCTTGTGGGAGTCACGTCGCGGATGCCACCAAACTCTACCGTGACGTTGGGCTGCACGAGGGCTTCCATATAACCCGGGCCTGGCTAGAGCACCACCCCAAAAATTTACATCAATATCAGACCAGTTCTGGGTGGATGTGAAACTTACTGTGCCTCGACGACATCCAAAGGCAAACTGCGGCACCATCTTGTCTGCCAATCGGTCGTCATTGAGCGTTTTGCGGATCTCCGCGCTGAGCTGTTCCCTGATGGTCTGCTGCGCGACGGATTCTCTGTGGAAGACAGCGAATTCACCACCCCACTCCTGCTCGACCTTCTTGCGGGTGGCGAGATGATGAGCAGGGTCCGCCTTGAAACGAGCAATGTCATCGTCGGAGAAATCGCGATACTCGCCATCGTGCGTAGGGATGATCCACCCAGGGGACCGAATGTAGGCAGTTACGTGCGCTGCATTTCTGCACGTGGCAAGCATTTAGCTACTCCAGTCGAGAATAAATGTGGAATTGGAGAGCTTACTCTTGGAGCCAGGGAAGAATCTGGACTCCCGAAGACCTGGCAGATAGTTAGCTCAATGGCTATCCCATTTACTGAGGGTTAATCTCACCCGCTACCAATGAGGCCAACTCGTTTCCCAGTGACATCTAAGACACAAACAAACACACATAAAATAATCAGCGGTCCAGCTGGACAGATAGAATCAAGGAACCCACCTAATCGATCGTCCCAGGCAGCCGTATGGATCAGATCCCCGTGGAAATCATTAAGGCCCGGGATATCAGGCCACTTCCAATTGTTCAGAATGCCCCCGGCGTTGACCAGAAAGTCACATCGGATCTCACGGGAAAAGCCCGAAGAGATGTTGAGAACCTTGACCACCCACTCGCTGGCGATCTCGTCCCATTCGGCGTGGTGCACTTCCCGGTTGCAGTGGATAAACTGCTTCAAGTCGTACTTCTCTACGAAGTCACTGAAATATTGGTAGATCTCAGGAGCGCCCGCGTAGGAGGCAGACCAGTCCGGCTTACCCTCGAAGGAATATACATAGTTGTGTGCGGGCATATCACACCTGCAGCCGGGGTCTAAGGAATTGAAACATATGATTAGCTTTCAAACGGGAGTGACAGCTTTTAGAACAAATGTGGTGAAAGATTCTCACATCGATTCTCAAACCACGTCCCCCCTACATCGCTATTCTTCTCAAAGACATGGAGCGTGAAGTCGGTGAAGTGCTGCTTCAATTTGTACGCCAGCATAATACCGGACGCACCTGCACCGATACACACCACACGGAGATGCCGATTGGCATGAAGAGGTCTCTCCAACTGCGTCTCGGAAGATGAATTGATGCGTGTAATGCCGTTTGACAAACCATTTCCTTGATGGCCATCAGACCCAGTAGCGACAACAGTTTCTGTGGTCATATTGGTTCGTTCGATGTGAAATGCAGAATGAAAAGAATGAGAAAATGCAGAGAGGGACGTCTCTGAGTACCTTAACGGGCTACTTAAAATCAATCTAAATTTAGCCTCCTCCCTCGATCTGTCTGGCATCAGTTGGTGTCGAGGTTGTCGATATACTTCGTTATTAGATACCAATGTTGGTAATCGGCATACCAATGCGTTTCTAAACTAGCGCGACACTGGTAATTTACGACCCCATACCAATATTAGATACGGGACAAAAAGCCCGAAAATTATCCGAGCAAAAGGCCAACAAAAAAGGACTAGCATAGCCTGTAGTCCAACGGATCTACGCCTTTGCGAATGAAAGGGACGCCACCGGCGCATGTGTTGAATCCTTGTAGATAATATTGGAGACACAATGTTCGGCTAGCGCTGGCCTCGCAAACAACGTGCGTTGGTTCATACTGTATGTCTCGCTTGGTCCGTCCTTCCCACTGCCAGGAGAATTATCCTGCTCCCAAATTTCTTCGGCGATTCCCTCGTTCCCCGTCAGTATCATCCCTTGTTTCACCTAGCAAATTAGTCAACGGAAGAGCCTCACAATGGCAACGGAAACCTCAGAGCAACCGCCAGAAATGGCAGAGACAACGGGGCCGTCTGAGAAGAACTTGACGACACCGGAGAGCTCGCTGGAGATCAAGTTGAAACAGTTCCAGGAGAGTGTTGAGAGAATGTCCGCCTGGGAGGTGTTCCTCGTTTGGTTCGCCCTCGCGCTCTCAAACCTGTGTGTGTTCTTGGACGAAGGCATCATCTCGACTGCTATCCCGCGCATTACGGACAAGTTTCATTCCCTGGGCGATGTCGGCGTAAGTAAATATTCAAGCGTCTGTGTCTTCTTTCTCATGACAACGGACACAGTGGTACGGCTCCGCGTATAACATCACTCTCTGCTCCTTCCAGCTGGTGTATGGACGGCTCTTCAACGAATTCCCGCTCAAAGTCACCTTCCTGGCGGCCCTGGCCATTTTCGAAATCGGTTCGCTCGTCTGTGCGACCAGCCCCAACTCGGTTGCCTTCATCATCGGGCGCGCCATCGCTGGCCTGGGAGCGGCAGGCTTGCAGAGCGGCAATTTTGCGCTGCTCGCCGCCGCTCTCCCGCCAAAGAAGCTGCCTTTGTACCTGGGCGCTCTTGGGATGGTGTACGGCATCGGCGCCGTCCTAGGCCCAGTGATCGGTGGTATTATCACTAACAGCTACTTGACCTGGAGATGGTTAGTCGCTCCGTCCTGGCCTTCCTCTTGACGGGAAAATCGGTTGGTGAGGATGCTTCTGTGTATGAGGGGACTGACATATCAGTTCCGCAGGTGTTTTTACATCAACCTGCCCATTGCTGCACCCACGGCTGTGGCGACCATCTTCCTGATCAAGGTCCCGCCGACTGACAAGGGCAACAAGCCTCTGCTAGAGAAGATCTACAATTTGGACCCGCTGGCCGTCGTGATCCTGCTGCCATGCATCATCTCACTAATATTGGCGCTGCAGTTCGGTGGCTCACAGTATAGCTGGGATGACGGCCGCACCATTGGTTGCTTCGTGGCGTTTGGTGTGTTGCTTCTAGTCTTCCTAGCTGAACAGTGGTGGATGGGTGATAGAGCGCTGGTTCCTCCCCGGCTGGTGAGGAATCCAGTCGTGCTCTTTGGGGCCCTGTACGCCTTCTGTTTCGACAGCGCCTTTTACTCACTTGTCTACTATGTAAGTGTACCGTAACCATTTCTGACAGATCTGCTAATATCAGTTCTCTCAAAAGGTGCCTCTATGGTTTCAAGCTGTGGAAGGCGTCAGTGCCGAAGAGTCGGGCATCCGCTATCTTGCGCTTGTCCTCTCTCTCGTCGTGACCATTTTCCTGGGTGGTTGGGCCGTCACCAAGGTTGGTTATTTCCAGCCCTTTATGCTGTTGGGTTCCGCCCTGCTGGCCACCGGCGCTGGTCTGCTGTCGACGCTGGTTCCGTCCTCGGGCAAGGGTCGCTGGATCCCGTACCAGATGCTGGCAGGTCTAGGCATCGGCATCGCGACACAGCAGGCAGTCGTTGCCATCCAGGCCCTACTCAGTGGCGAAGATGTCAATATAGGCATCGCGCTGGCTATCTTCACCCAGTGTTTCGGCCCCACCGTCTTTATCACCGTCAGCCAGGCTGTCTTTGAAGGCACTTTGACCAACGGCCTGAACAACCATCTCCCTGGCCTCGTCAGTCCCTCGCAGATAAAGAACCTTGGTGCCACAGAGCTCCGGGATCTCGTCTCCCCCGTCCAGTTTCCAATATTGCTGGAGGTATACAACTACGCTTTGTCGCGCACCTACCTAACAGCTTCGATCATGGCAGCATTGAGCGGACCACTGGTCTTCTGTATGGGCTGGAGGAAGCTTCCCTCTCCCGAGGAATTAGGGGAGGATCAGGGAGGCAATACCGAGGCCAACAGCGACGGGGGGGAGACATCGCTCAAGTCGGAGACAGCCAAGGAGGCCACGTCCATTACTGTACCGTAGTAAAGGAGCCTTGTCTCCCGCTCAGAACCAAAGTTATTTTGAGTTCATTCAGGGGCAACCGTGTGGTCTTCTACAAGGCAATAATGGCTTTTGCGGTACCTAAGACTTCGTAGCATTTAGACATATTTCTTCTTCCTGTTCCACCACAGGATGGGACATCTCAATATCGGGGCTTAGGTCTTTTCTCTAAACAGCTTTTCCACATCGAAATCTATCCGAGTTCTTCTTGGCCGGAAGTTATTCTATATCTTATTATTAATATTTTACTCCTTTAGCTTTAGCTAAATTAAGTATTATCTATGGATATGAAATCAAGCAAAAATACTATTATAGATATAAAAACAGTACTCTGTATCTATGGTGTAATAACCACTAAAATAGTTTAGTAAGTCGTTATCACGATAATGAATTACTTAATTGCGGCATTTTTGCTATTGGGCATCTACCTGGAATTAGATACAGTAGGGATGTACTAAATTCCTTGTACTAGGTGAAAGAAACAATCTCTTTCATAAAGTCCATACACTGTATAGTTACAGTTATTTATACGGGCCCATACAATCAAGCTAATAGCGCCTTCTCCACTAATGATTCGCAGGCTGCCGCCCTAAACGCTTCTGATTAGCAACTTCCAACATGGGTCATTCCAGCTAAGATTATCAGCCAACATTCATATTAATAAGGATAGCGGAATCATGCCGTCCCCAGCGGACTTCGCCCCTCTATGTCCTCGCTCGCTTTTGGAATGAATTTCTCCATCACAGGCCAGTAAGACCTACCAGACCCCGCATCGGCTGATATAAAGAGCGGGTATCTCTGCCCCTCTTGTCTAAGAGTACTTGTATGTAAACAGCACATATCTCACAGCAAAACCAGTTCTGCACCATGGCCCTCATTCCCAGGTCGTTGAAGAAAGGCGACACCATCGCCTTTGTCTCGCCTTCCTTCCGTCTGAACGACATTCTGCCCGAACCTGTCGAGCGCGGCAAGGCATATATCGAGTCTCTGGGCTTCCATGTCAAAATATTTTTTAATAGTCTACCGCCAGAGAGCACCAGCATCGCAGAGTCCATCCGTGTTCGTGTAGAGGAGCTCCTTGCTGCCTTCAAAGACCCGGAAGTCTCGGCTATCATCACGACTATCGGCGGAGCCCACGCGAATGAGCTGCTGCCCTTCCTGGACTACGACGTTATCAAGTCCAACCCAAAGATCTTCCTCGGCTACAGTGACATCACCTTCCTTCACTATGCCATCCAGTCACAAACAGGGCTTCGTACGTTCTATGGACCGAGCATTCTCTCAGACTTTGCAGACTTGCCCAGTCCAATTTCTTTGACGGTTGACCATTTCCTACATGTCTTGACTGGGTCAGGCGGTGGGCCTGTCGGTCCAATACCCCGGTCTACTCAATTCGCCGACGACCTTCCTGACTTTCTGATCGCCGAGCCGGACTCTAAGAAGCCTCGTGCCTTGAATACCTCGCCGACATGGCGTTGGCTCGGCAAGGGTCGAGCCAGCGGCAGGTTATATGGCGGTACGATCGTCTGCGTCACTCGATTGCTAGCGGGCCCGTACGCTCCGTCCTGGAAAGACAAGATCGTCTTCCTCGAGTCCGCCATGGGTGACGATGTCACCATTCCGTACTCGGTAGATGAATACCGGAACAACCTGGTAGACTTGGCCCTGGCCGGAGTATTTAACGACATCAATGGCCTGGTGATTGGGCGGGGATACAAATACACGGCCGAGATGCAGGAGGAGCTGGCCAACGTGATCTTGGAGGTGTTTGACGTGATAGTGCCCAAGGTCCGTGGTGGTGGTAGTAGTAGTGACCATATCCCCATCTTGTTCAACGTCGACGTTGGCCATACCAGTCCTCTGGTGACGTTGCCCTTTGATGCACTCGCCAGGTTGGACTCAGAGGCCGATGAGTTCACAATCTTGGAGCCAGGCGTTCAAGATCCATGAAGGGCCGATATCCCATGCTGTCCGTTGCAAAATTAGTGAGACTTCTATCAGACGATTCCCAGTGTAAGGAACCGTTTACTGAGAATCAGTACTATCCAGACTAGGATGAAAACGTGAAAGCCAATTTTCTTGACAGCTCGGACTAATTTGTTGTCGGATTGTGAGTTTGAACAACCCTCCCAGTGGCTATGTGGTAAATCTGGTATTGAGGGCAAACATCTCGTTGTATTGAGTAACAAGCTTCCTTTGAGAGTTGAAATTTTTGAATTATATACCAGATTAACTAAATAGAAAAAATAGCAATTATATGGGGGTTTCTTTCTCATGGTTAAATGTGTGTCCCGCATCCACCATTATAATCGGTCTGAGATTCTGGATTAGGAAGGGGGTTGCGGCTGTCCAATTGGCCAATAAAATGCGTAGATAATGAAAGGCAAGCTTGGTGCGTGTTTATAAAGGCACCAGCTCTGAATCGAAACATGATAACTAAGACTCATTAATCTGTATGTAAATAATTAGCAAATATGTCAAAAAATGAGCTAGTGGCGAATTCAAGTTGAAATTTGGTAATTTGTCATCCCGAATTTTGGCCAATAGTAAACAATAACAATAGCAGCAATGAAAAATCAACCAATAGAGATTGGAATAGCTTCATTGAGCAAGTATATAAACAAATGCTATTCCTTCCTTTCAAGAGAAGGATGCCCAGTAGCTCAATAGTCTAGAAACATGTCTTGATGACCAGCATATTCCTGTATAAACAGGACAATTGCATTCAACTATCCTCTGATTAGTTGTGGCCTAAGGAATAATCCTCAGATCACAGCGCAAGCTGAGGCAAGAGCACACAGAAATGGTCAGATAATGACCATCAGAGATGACATGCTTAAATAGCCAACAACATACCCCAGTGCCGGCTCGCCTTCTCTTTTTGCTGCTTTCTAAAGCTTCAGAATCTTTTTACGGGGGTGAGCCTCCTGCCCAGCAATAAGTTCCTGGATATCTACTAATCCAAGGTGACGGATAAAGGCCTCGTGTTTTTCGTGGGTGAGCGGCTTGGTGGGCCCATCAGCAGGCATATCTATAGTGCTGATCCATCATATATTCAGTTGACCTTCACGGACTTGATCACAAACTCAGTGGTTGTGAATATCAACATGGTGCAGTTGAGTTTATATAGCTTCATCCTTTATCATGGCGCTCACGGTCTGTTGATTATCGCAGTCGATTGTTAAGGGCCATTGCTGAGCATCAAATCCGACAGCCTCAAAAATCGTTCCCACCACTTGATTTGCCAAGCTGCTTCAGATAGCGCTAGAAGCTCAGCTTCAGTAATTGATGTTGTAACTGTTCTTTACCTCCTAGCTGCCCAGTCAACTGGGCCTCCATAAAACTTGAAAAGATATGCCCCTGAGATCTTCCTATCAACATTATCAGCGAAGGAGGTGTCACTGAAGATACTAATAGCCGGTTCTCCAGACTCTAGATTTTTAAAGCGAATTGCTAAATGACGTGTTCCGTACAGATAGAGTATGACTCTATCAATCATATCCATATGAGCCGGTGACGGATTCGTCATTTGCTCGCTCAATTGGACTGCTTTCAAGGCAATACCGTCAGTATAGTCATACGCGTGGGGATAGACACTAGTCAACAAGATGTTGAAAGTCATGGTCGCACGGTCCGCTGATTCTGGTAGTCGAACCTCGCGAAGCACTTCTCGAGGTGCTCGTACTTTGCTTGTGACTCAGTATTTCGCAATTACATACTTGGCTCAATTCCGACATGTCTGGGTCAATATGGCGAGCAAATCTTTGAATAGCTCGATGTTAGTCGCTGGTGAGAGGCCTCGTAAGGGCTTAATAAATTACCCCAAAATGCAGTGGGGAGTTGAAGATCGCTGGGATAGTCGACTTTCTGCTTCTTGTGAGCTTGTTCAAGTGATACCTAGAGGGAGTGTTGCTCTGGATGTTGTCGTTTCCGAGAATTTGTCGTATGCATTACGCGAGAATTAAACAGACGTACGATTGATTTAGTTAAGATAGACGATGGGAAAACCCAGATGTTGACGTACAGAATTCAGAAAATGTTAGTAAAGTTCTTGTTTGTTAATAATAATGAGTGAAGTGAACCGGCGAGTCGCAACTGAAACGTCGATCGTTCAAATGTTGGTAACCATCACTGATAGCTTAGCCCTAACCTTAAAAACAAACCTAATCTTAGATGCAAAGGATTTTAGGGATTTTGTGGAAATAGATTTAAAGCAGACAACAATGATAAGCTGGTATAATGTATTAAATGACGCTGTGAGCCACGTTAATATTTGAAGTCCAGAATTGCCCTATTCATACCCCCAGTTAGATGACGTTAGTAATAATGGGAGAATAATAAGTAGGATCCGAGAAGTCGATATGATCTCTATTGGATTTACTACCTGACTAAAAGCATATACTTACTTTCGAATTGAGCGAACCACTCACGATCCAATAATATCAACGTTCAAAAGGTTAGGGTTACCCTGAACATTTAGCTGCAAACGTGACAGAGGCACAGCCCTTATCGTGGCATTATCTCTTATCAATAAGCCTGTGTATCAGAATGTTCCGAAAGCCGACAACTTCTAGCCTGATACGGTTTGGTCCTGATAATTGCCAGCTGGAAAGGCGCAAGCGTGCTCCTCTAGGTTTGCCGTCCAACTGAGACTAGGACTAAGAATTAATAGACTAAAAGCGCCTTGGAGCTCTCACTTTATCGAGGCTTGCTGGAGAAGGCTGAAGGATTCAGGGCTTATTTAAGGATCATGGTCTTGCGGTCAAGTCACCGCCCATGTGCACCTTGATTCCTGGGCTAATAGTGTCATCGGTGCACCTCCGGGCTAATCGGTTGAAAGTTTATTCTGCACTACTGCACAGCAAATGTTACTTCTCAATGACAGCTGCCATATAAACACTGCGCAACGCCTTACCTTATTTATAATAATTGGTAAATTTTTGTATTGACTGTAATATGTGTCATAAAAAGTAAATAGTTGACCCATAAACTGTTCCTTGTAACTTATACCCCGTATTTGGTTGGGCAATGAAGTTGATTTTTATATAACAAAATGCCGCCTAAATGAGGTCAGATCCTTCTGTGAAGGGTATTTCATGCCGGTGCTCGGTCGCGGATGCGGCTTACCTCTTCAAGCATAGATCGTTATTCAAATGGTAGTCGAGTCCGAGTCGCTGGTGAAGTCGCGACGCATTCACAGGACCCACTGCCTCTTTAGCTGTTCCTGTTGGTTCGTAAGTGAGATTTGCCCGCGGCCGTCAGGGCAATGGATCGCTTGGACCAATGAGGCGTTCTGTACTGATGCGGCGTGAAGTTCTTTCTGGAGTGCTCATCCTGAGTAGAATGGGGCGGGTCCTGGCTTGGCGTTACACTACGAACGAGAGACCGTACTATTTAATTTATAGCCACTTAACATACATTATCGACACGCACTTTTCAGACACTTTTCGGACACTTTTTCAGAGAGGATTGAGCACTTCGGATAGGGAGAGGAGAGTGCGCCGATGGGTATCCTGACAGTCGCTGGATTATCCCCCGCCGCTCCTGGTGTACCCGCCGAATCCACATATACGGAGAACATTACTCAATATCGACTCTATGAAAGATCGCAACAACAACCACAACATAAATAGCTGGCTCCCCTACCGGCGTATAATATCCACCATGGCTCACTTACTCCCCTTCCATTCCAGCATACTCTGCTCCTCACTTCACTGTACTTCGTTAAACCCTTGACACTCTTTCTGGAATAACTAGTCGCAAGGCTGAACGAATATGGCTTCAAGCAGTCTGCATCCTCCAAGTCATAGACGGCAGCCTCCCAGCAACCGTGCTCCAGAGACATGTCCCGATTGCGGTCACCAATTTGCTCGCCTTTATGAGCTCAGACGTCATCAGACGCCGACCATCAAATGTCCCAGCCATGACTGCCAGCAGCGTTATCGTGTCGATAAGAGAAGTGGCTTCATAAATCATATTGAAACTTCCCATGCTGGGCAGCTCGATACTATGCTATGTGTGAGGTATTTTGAAGGTACTTTACCCGACTCGTTGTGAAGTGACATCGAAGAGGTGCTGACTGCGTGTTGTTTGCTATAAAAGCAATAAAGTCGGCCTTGTTTCCTATTCCCGGCGCCTGTGTTAAGCGAGATGGAGCATCACGAAGAGCGAGCACAATAACGATTGGTCCGCCATCAGCATGGCTCTCAGGAGAGTCGACAACAACTGAGATACCTATCTCGCCATTGACAAATGGTATGGGGGGGATGGAAGGCTCTCACACGACACATTTTGGATCAGGCATGATGCAGCAACAGCCCTCTGACCAGGGCTTCTTGCATGCATTTCCACATATTGATGACATCAACATGCCTTTTGATATCCATCTATTGTGGGGAGACTTCTCAGATCACCATGGTGGATCCGGTGGCATGGTGTGACTACACATGGACATTGCGGAGCTCATCATGATTTGTCGCTTTTGGCAAATGAATGTAAACGTCATGAATTACATTAAACGATAACATCATTACTGGAAAGAACAGTTCATATCTGTGGCGTTTCCATCTTTCGGTCTCTGTTTCAGGTTTCCAGCGTTTTTTCTCATTTCTTTTAATCCTTCCTTTGATTTCTATCTTCCAGGTTTGTTTCCTATAATACCAATTAGTTCATGTTGTTGATCACCAGCGTCTTCTTTTAATACGAAGTTATTGTCTTCACATCTGGTAATAATATTCGCGGTATAGTGGATCATGAGCCCACATCTAGCGTGGTTGTCTAGACTTAACAGTACTGGTATTGCTGTCATCTGAACTCTATAAACCCTCGAACACAAATCAAATAAGGCCTATAAATAGTCAGAAAACAAGTGTCATGAGAGCGATTCTGGAGGGCCCAATGCTGTAAATAATTTATTACGGTTTTATCTTAAATGGTCCAGGCCGTCCGCGCCTTCTCTGAACTTATACATACATACCCTTGTATTAAGAATCTCCGATATGCAGTAGATTTTCCGATTGGGAGAATGAGTGTCCTCATTTGCACTCATAGTGAAGCTTTCATCAGATCTTTATTCGTGGCATCTTGAGCAAATTCCACTAGCCCCTCTTCCCTTAGCTACCCAAAATTGTAGGCTAGCAAACTCAAAGAACCAATGATTATTCCAGAGCCGGAATCACTTTGTTCCGAGATGTAGGATCTATACCGGCCAGTTCAAGTGCAAGTAAAGAACAGTCTCTATACTAAAGTAAATCATCGTTGCAGGTGCACTATAGTAGTAAGCTCAGACGATTGTCAAGGTGATAAATGGAGTACGGTTTGGGTGTTGTACATATCCATCGAGAACCATTCAGGGATGAGATACGCTAAATTCATGGCAAACAACTACGCTGGGTCGGATCATGTTTCCTATTGGAGATAACTTCCTGGATAGTGAGACAGCCGACTACTGGTATAGACGGAGGTTGGACGCAGCAGTCCTTGCTATTGGTTTCATACAGAAAGTCTAAGATGGTTAAGGCGTACTTTCTGTGTTGCATTCATTGTAATGCCACAACTATAGAATCGTCTAATGGCGAAGATGTCTTATAACGATGGTTGTTGGTCAGCTGCCAAGAAAAGTTTGCGAATCACATGATCATCACGATAACCCGAATCTCAGTTCGCTCCTGAGGCTGTCAATTCAGATCGAAGTTGGCTGGCCTTCATTTAGTACTCATGGCTTCCCTTGAGACAGGGTAAGTGTCCTCCAACAGAGACATCTATGTATGGCCTTAACCATGGGAATTATTGTTCGTCAATATGAGAAATAGTATTACTGCAAATCGCGAAGCTAACCAAGACTGCCACCAGTTTCCCCGCAATCCGCGCCTGCATTTTCGACATGGACGGGCTTCTCATCAACTCCGAAGACATAATCACTCTATCCACAAACCAAATTCTTGAAAAGTATGGAAGGCCTGCCTTTACACGGTCAATTCGAGCGCAGCTCATGGGTGTCCCAAACTCGACAAATGGTGATGTATTCCACGATTGGGCCAAGTTGCCCATCTCCCGCGAGACATTCGCCGTTGAATCGGCTGAACAAATGAAATTGCACTTTCCGAATTGCAAGCCGCTGCCTGGTGCGGAGAAGCTTCTGTCGAACCTCAGCCGTGCACGTAGTGCTTCTTCTGGGGATAGGATTGAGCTGGCACTGGGGTCCAGCACCAAGAGCCATAGCTATGAACTGAAAACTTCGAGGCCGGAAACAAAACGGCTGCTTAGCTTTTTCCAGCCCGACAGGCGTGTCCTGGGTGATGACCCACGAGTGCGACACGGTCGAGGGAAGCCAGCGCCCGACATATATTTAGTCGCGTTGCAGTCGTTGAACTCGGCGGCAGATTGGGGCGAAAAAGCCATCATGCCCAACGAATGTTTGGTCTTTGAAGATAGCGTGGCTGGGGTAGAGGCTGGAAGACGGGCTGGAATGAGGGTTGTTTGGGTACCGCATCCAGATGTGGCTGTCGAGTATCAAGCGAGGCAGAAGGAGGTACTGGCTGGGAGGACGGGAATGATTGAGGTCGGAGACGACTGGCAGCTAGGAGAGATTGATGATGATTGGGCCGAAAGCATACCGAATCTGGAACATTTCAACTACGAAAAGTACGGCATCGAGGTGCCGTCATAATTATCTTTAAACGGATCAGGTGCTCGGCAATTTTATGGGCAACACTTATAGTATAGAAATCTCTGTCGTCCACTGTTGCGCGCATATGATGCCACGCTCTGTGGTGGTATTCGAAGCTCTCATCCCATTGGTTTTGCGTAGCACGAAGGTTGCCCAGGGCATAAAGAATCAGCCCAGTCCGGACAGATTCTCTATCGTCCTTGCCCAGAGCCTTTTCTCTGCCCACCAAACTGTCCAAAGACTCAAATTTTGTTGCGTTCTATTGGGTTTGGAGCCTCTTGTGCAGCGATGCGTGCTGGAGAACTAGCAAACGCGGGACACCGGACCCAATGGCATCTAAAAAATCATATACTAGCAGTTACTAACCGAAATATTTGGGACAGTCAGCATCAAGGCTTTAGCGTTGAAAACAGCATGTATAATGAATATATTGCCCAGCAGGACAGTCTTAGAGCCACGGGGAGAAACCGGCAACCGTGCAAAGCAGCCAGTCAGCACGTATCTCAAGTCTGCCTCCTCATAGCGGTTAGAGCAAAGAGCAATTCTTGCTGCCGGCCTTTATGGGAAATAGCATACAGAAATAGCATAGGGTGGTTGTGCCAGCTCCGTCTCATCACCTTATCACATCCTCCAGATGTTCATTACCAACTCGCGACTAGTCTGTCCGCGGAACCCTGATGCTCGAGAACAGCAACTATTCGGACTCTGTCCTGTGAGACAATAAGGATGATGCGGACTATATTGATGAAGAAAACAGTTATCCCCCTTAAAGTGATATAAAAAGAGTAAAGATTTATTGCTGTCTTAGCGATTAATATGATTATCTTCTGAGACTTTTTAAAATAAGTTAGTATAATAGATTTCTCGTTTCAATATTAAGTCTATTATGTAGTAGGAGGCTTGGCCAAAGAGGAAGTGATCTGTTCAACGAGAAAAGGCGTAAGAATAGAATATTTAAAGAGCGAAATAGTAAGATTGTAAAGTAGGAATAATATCGGTGCAGCCTACGCCTTACTTCATCACAAAACTTCTAGCACCACCAATTGGTTCAATATACCGACGGCCGCGGGTGCGGGCAAACTTGTCAAGCTGGCAGCTCGTAGAGGTCCAGGCCACTCACCGCATTGGCAATGTGCCACTAGCTCTTCCCCTATTTTGCTACACTTGCCAGCCTGAGCGTTAGAGTATGCCATACTCTGAGAACTAGTTAGTGCTTAATTTATAATCACTTTACATATATTATTGCCACTTACTTTTAGGACCACTTACTATTAAGACTGCGACCCTAGAGAACTACGATCGACATAGTGGGCACATCGGGCTTTTGCTAACAGTACGGGCCCCCATGCGGAGCTTGGAATGCGGGATTGACCGAACATGAGGCTCCCATCTTCAGATCCACTTTTTATCGACTTGGACGATTGTAGAGTCCAGACTGGACCCATCACGCGGAATTGCTACATACAAGGTTCTTATGACTAGATCCACTGTTTATCGACTTAGCTGATTTTAGAGTCTAGAGCGTGACCATAAAAGAGCCATGACGGAATACGATTGAATTGGTCCATTCATGCCCCGCAGTCGCCGCTCTCCCGACGCCCCGTCCCGCGCATCTGTGGATGTGGGCCTAAAAATACAGTATAAAACGGAGGAGTGGACCTCAACTCCCTGAGCCTGGTCGGACCGCTCAGCATCGATTCACCACGTTGATCGTGGTCCATCGAGCCGAACAAGTAGCTCCTTGGTCTGGACTTGAGTCGGTGGTCCACATGCATCCTTCACGCTGCAATCTCTAGGCTCCGCAAGCGGGACTCTTCCGACCTAATCCCTCATTTCTTGCTCGCCGGCAGAAACTGCAAGAGTGTCGGAAAAGTCCCGACTGGTGGAGTGTGGACCAGCCATGCGGAATTGGCCGAATACTTGATCCGCCGTTAACACACAGTCTCCTCAGATCGAACTCTGCAGGAAGCTGAGTTTGCATGGGGGTTCATTTCCATATGCAGTACGATTCCGTAGCGGATCAAGACGCAGTGCATGGATAAATTTCTAGTGACCAACAGGCGAAATCAGCCGCAGCGATGAATTAATTCAGTAATTCGACTTCGGCTCATGAGCTAACAGAGGTCAACAAGGATCCTCCCTCGTGCCTGGGTCGTTGCGTTGCCATAGTCAAGATGGATTCCTGCTTTGTAGACGGCGGAGTTTCCCCCACATGGATTGCGGGGCGTAGACCGAATAGGTATGTACTCATACGACCCACCGTTAATTTTACTACGGCGAGTTTTTCGTTCGGAATTGGGATGCATTGGACCGTTAACATAAACTTATTTGAAGGTGCGTATTCCATAAGGCGCAGCTTATATATCTTAGTCTAGCTCCGTTGATTTCCCTTGCCAGGGGACAGTAGCTACGGAGTATGACGGCCGTACTAATGTTAATACGAATTGTTTCTGCCGCTTGCTTACTCTAACACCACGTAGCTAACTTCAATAAGAAGGAATCCTATGTGGTAATTTGTCTGGTAGCCTGTATATAAATCTTTGTTGTGGCACTTTACTTTCTGTTATGATTCATGAATCTATATAATGTTAATTTGATACTTTTTGACATATTTTACTATTCTATTGAAATGGCAGCGAGTTTCCTGATACGCCTCTGCCCGTCATTGCTGTCTAGCTGCTAGCACACGATCGGTTTGTCGAGAAATCTATGTTCGCAGATATGGGCTGCCGAAGTCTGGGAGCGTTGTGGAGCAATCCTGTTCAGACTAATCTTAGCGCTCTTAAATTTCAGGGAGAATTAAGTGCTATGGATAGGGAGAGGAGAGTGGGCAGAAGGTGTGGAGATGGGGTGTGGAGCTGTCGCCAGCTACGCCGCTTTAGTGGTGACGCTTTACACTGGTCGATGGATTACAGTACTTATATAGCAGCTTTCAGTTGTTGTGGTAGCTATTAGTGATGTCTGCCTGAAAGAAAATATAAATAGCTGGCTCCCCACGTTGTATAGTGTCTACCGCGGCTCAATTAAGTCCTTCCCATCCCAACAAACTCTGCTCTTCATTTCACCGTGCCTCGTTAAGCTGTTGGCAATTTTTTCTGAAGCAACTATACCCTGGAAGGTTGAACAAGCATGGCTTCAAGCAGCCTGCAACCTCCCAAAACCCGTGCCCCAGTGACCTGCCCTGATTGCGGTCGCCAATTTGCTGGCCGTTATGAATTCAATCGCCATCTGAAGCCGAAAATCAAGTGTCCTAGCCATGCCTGTGCGAGCTGTTTTCGTGGCGACAAGAAAAGTCAGTTCATAAGACATATTCGAAGGTTGCATGCTGGCCAGTTCGATATTGGGCTATGTAAGAGGCATTTTGAAGGTATTTAGCAAGCTCAACTCAATCAGTGGCGTTATTAAGTGAAATTAAAGAGGTGTTGACTGTGTTGTTGTTTGTTATTAAAGTAGAGAAGTCAGGATTGTTTCCTATTCCCGGAGCCTGTATCCCGCCAACCCCAGTATCATGAAGAGCGAGAACAATGGTGGTGAGTCGCCATCAGCATTACTCTCAGCAAAGTTGGCAGCAACCGAGATATCTATCTCACCATTGACAAATGGTAACGGAGGGTGAACAAGTCCTCACACAATATATTTTGGATCAGACACTGCTGCAGCAGTCTTCTAGTTAGGGCTTCTCACCTGCATTTCCATATAATTATGACCTCAACCTTCCTCTTGATATCCATCCATACACTATGTGGCCAGACTTTCAAATCACAATGATAGATCTAGTGATATGGCGTGACTACACATTGTTGTTACTGAGTTCACCATCTCATCATGATTGACACTTTTGGCAAATGAATCTATCTAGAAAGAACAATACATACCTGTTGTATTTCCATCATTCTGTCTCTCTCTCATGTTTTGGGTTTTTCTTTTCTTTTCTTCTCCTTCTTTTCTTTCTTGCTTCTTTTAATCCCTCTTTTGATTTCTATCTTCACAGGTATGTCTCCTATAATACTGATTAGTTCATATTATTAGTCATCATTGTCTTCTTTTAATAAAAAGTTATTATCTTTACCTCTAGTAATAACTTCTGAGGTATAGTAGATTATGAGCCCACATCCAGCGTCGCTGTCTAGACTCACAGTACTGGGTACTAGTATTGCTGTGATCTTAGCTCTATAGAGCCTCGAACACAAATGAAATAAGGCCTAAAAAAGTCAGAAAACAAGTTTCACAAAAAGCGATTTTGGAGGGGCAATTGCCATGAATAGTTTGTTTGAGTTTTATATTAAATGGTTCAGGCCCTGCTTTCTCTGAACTTATACATACCCTTGTACGAGATGAGTATAAAAAAATATATTGAAACTTGAGGAAAATTAGCTATTGCAGGAACGACGCGGAAAATGGCTACAATCTCACCAGCCACAGCAATTAAGAGAGTAGTGTCTGTGACAGCATGGTGAATTAATACCCGATTCTGGAATACGCCAAGACCATGACCTAATGAAGCAGCACTTCAAAATATAGAAGCCAGGCTTCTATATAGTAAAGCAGCGATTCTAGCTATTGAAGCATTGATATTGAAGCAATGCTTCAATATCCTCTAGATACATGGACACTCGTTTACTATCATTTATTTAGTCTATCGCGTTATATTTTCTCTCGAAATAGCACACTACTATCAAGTATTCAACTATCTTCTTTTACTATTATCATCGCAATGAATAGTCCTTTACTTTATTGGCTTACGGAATTCCTTGAATGTTAGCAGAATATCCTTTGTGATCTCCGATCTCAGAGACGAGTTGTTGACCACTTTGACAATTTTGAGCTAGGTCGAAAAGGAGTTGAATTGCTTTAGGTTGGTTAATTATGACCCATTAGCTTCTGTCAAATGCCTAGGCTGATTTTGGCATAGGCCTATTTGGACGTGATACGGAAACATCAAGGCCGTAGATATATAGATTGATTTATTTCTTTTGGACTTTCTTGAAAAAAAAGTTACAAATACGTCTAGCCTAAAGGTATTTCCAATTGATATTACTCGTGACGGTCCTCAAGCCACCATGGATGTTCCGTCGAGATCGCATAATAGACAGGAGGGGCAGACTCGGAGTCAAGTTCAACTATCTTACGGACCTCAGCCCATCCACGCGCGCGATTCGCCTGTCGAGCTTCTGATGTTAATCCCCATTGTGTGTATTGTCCAAGGGCCTTGTGTAACTGTTCTAACTCCCATATTCCCTTCCTTTGTGTGCAATCGGACGGCCTCATCCTGCGTTCCAATAATTGACACCAAAAACCATCTGACTTCAAGGTTTCTGAGAACCGTTTGATGTTTACCCACTCCCAATATGCAGGGAAATAACCACTACATTCCCAATCAATGATACCACTGACCTTCTTGTCAGCAACTAGGATATTGCTCCAATCCAAGTCACCATGAGACAGCACGTTTGGGAGGGAAAGTAAACAATCAGTTCTGGCTGTGACATATGTAGAAATATGTTCATTGTTCAAAAATTCTCCAAACCTTTCTTGATTTAATCCCGCGATGTCTCTTATATCGGATCGAGGAGGTTTTCGGTGGAGTAAGGCTGCTTTGATGTGTGGAGAATGTAGCTTTCGTATATATCCTAGAAGGGCGACTACCTCATCTGCTATCCTCGTCTTTTCTTGAGCTTCCAATGTCGGCCAGGCCTCCTCTAATGTCACACCAGGGAGCCTCTCCAGGATTAGATGTTCAAACTCCGCTGATTTGTAATAGTCGTATACTTGAGGGACAGGAATTGATGTATTTGCCCTTACTATCTCCAAAATTTCCTTTTCTGATTTTAGATCGGAGAGGTGAGTTCTCACAGACTTCCGAATTCTATCGTCACTTTGAAGAACGACCTGCCGGTCGATAATTGAATCAAGAGAAGCAGGATGTGTAATTTGGTGAATGATAGTTTCTGAACTATCTAAATGAGGTTTTGGCTCGACAAATACTTTGCACTTAAAGTAGGAGTGAGTGGCTTCTCGTCGAGTGCGTGCGTCTGGGGCATTAGTGAAATATTGTGTCGATGAAATGGGTTGATCAAAAAAGTTACTCATCACTCTAGCAGCACTCAAAAGTATACCAAGTAGAAGTAGAAGATTCTGATTTGTAGATGTACCTTTCACAGTAGTTAGGATAGCTTCATTGTGTGCTGTCGAGCAATTTTCTCAAGTAACCAAAGCTAAAAAAGTGGCCTTGCGGCCTTTACCGATTGTATCCATGTCAAGTTTAGCGTCATAATTAGGTTACGTGTTATGGCAACATTCTATTGGACGAGAGTGTTTTCCTTAGACGACCAGTAACAAACTTGCTTTGTATGTGATGTGTGACCATCACTCCTCTGGCAATAAATGATTTGGTGTGCTTGTTTCTTTCTTTTGCAAACGACGACATCCAACCTGGTCCAGTGCACTCATTCCTTTGCTCGACTGATGAGACAATGCCACATTGTGACTCACTGAATCTTCGCCTTATTCAATCACACATCCTCAGCTCTCCTAAGCAGCAGCATGACCGCCTGGAAAAGATTTCGCAGGACTATATGGCTTGAAGAGTGGTCTATAAATTCAGCGACGCCCTCATTTTTCAGAGATCTAACACTTACAACCTATAATTTCTACAATATCGTAAGCAGCAACTTGTGTTTCTGTTGATAGTTGTCTAACTGGTGCACAGAGAACAAAAAAAAGAAAAATAAATAGACTTCTTACTTTAACTGTCCAGATGGTGAACTGTCCAAGCTGTGGGTACAACAACATAACTCATGCAGAAACTTGTGCAAATTATGGCAAAGAACTTCCAGTGGTTAGAAAGACCATAACAATCCATTGACATATTAAACCATCAAGATAGAGTATCTGTTAAATCACTCTTCCATTATATCAATCCTTACTGAATTATTGTCGTACATCAATGCTCTCTTACCATTTAGCATAACAAGTTCGAAATACCATCCCCTATTTTGCTATGAAATTTGGAATTGCTATCAGACATAAGGCAGGGAGGGGTAAAAGAGTATTAGGAACTTCTTTGTTATTACTATAATCTTCAGAAAATGAAAAAGGAAGGAATGTTTGTTTATTAGCTAGCTGTATTTGTACCTAAACAACATGGCATTCCTGCCCTTATAACATTCGAGCCTTTTTATCTTGTTAATTGTCATTATTATAGATTTCATCACCCAATTATAAGTTAGTCAACACTATACCCATAGATTGGAAAGCAACCAAAGATATCTTAGTGGCGGCCTATATGTTAGGGTTTGGCAGGACAACTCTGGCAAGAGTTATATTTCTGCAGGAGATCTCCCATCTCACCATACACATAGTGATTTTCTGCAGTATATATTCTGCTAAATATAGATAGTTTAGTTTAGAAATTTGGATTTAATTCTTTAGAATTTATCTCATAATTAAGATCCATTAATCTCATTCTTCTATAGCACCCTTACTTCAACATCAGCCAGAGGTAGTATTTATCATACCTAGGAATACTACAAGGATTGCATTTTAAGACACATCAATGTGCAGAACAAGTCAAAGAAAGTAAAAAAAGCAATAACAAACAATGAATGCAATAAGATTACATCAAAAAAAAGAGAATAAGAAAACAAAAAGAAAAAAAAGAAGATAGCTTTCTTTCATTAACATTAATCTTAATATAATAAAAGAACAGAAGGAGTTTTATACTAACTATTAAATTTTAACTCTTATTAATGATTTTTCTAGTATTTGCTTCACTTACAACTGACCAACCCAGAAGCATTTGACATCAACTATTAGTATGTGAGAAACTCTACCTTATCTTGATAGCTGTGATATGCTGCTGCCTGGCATTCCAACTAGATAATGTTGGTACCATGCAAAGCGATGCAATTCAATGAGGCGTAAGCCTTTGAACAAAACTACCTCATGACCTGCTCGAAATTATATGGTTTTGTGCGTCCCCTTGCTTTGGTAGCTAACTTGGAATTCTCGTGCAACATAAACAAAGCAGTAAGGAATGAACATACTAAAACCCTCAAGATAACATCTCAGTTGCTGTGCAAAAATATATGTATTTGTAATGTTGGTTTAATATATAAAGTCTACCTACAGTCTGGAAATTCCACCAGGTCCGCGTCTACTGTTGTGCTTACAAAATTTATTTTGCTTTCGATAGAGCGTTATAACCTTGAGCCATCATGACGAGAAGAACTGCCATAGGTCAAGCTGTTGAAGAGCTTGACAATGAAAAGCGAGTACGGATCCTCGGAATTATTGACAAGTTGCGTGAGTTGGGAGTTAGTGAGAATGTATCATTGCCTCAGGTACGTTGAAGGACCGTGAATCACATGATAAACAATGCTTAGACAGAAAAGCTTGTTGTGGTCGGAGACCAGTCAAGTGGAAAGTCCTCCCTCCTGGAGGGACTTACAGGGGTATCATTCCCGGTTGCGAGTGACCTCTGCACACGTTTTGCAACGCAAATTGTGCTTCGGCGTGCTCCGAAAGACGACGCAGGAGTGGTGATCACTATCATTCCTGGGCCTTCTGCCCAGGCAGACGAGGCAGAGAAAGCACGATTGCTAAGCTTTGAGCGAAAACTTTCTGCAGATGGCTTTGATAACCAAAAGTTCTTAGATATCTTTGATGAGGTATGGAACGTGGAAAGGAGAAACTGCAGCGCAACGGATGCTGATACTGTGGCATAGGCTGCGGAGTTTATGGGAGTACCAGGTCCAAAGTCGAATAAGCTGGAGGATGTGGAAAAGAGATTTTCGGATGATATTCTGAAAATTGAGCTGTCTGGTCCGGAGCATCATCATCTCAGTGTTGTTGACGTTCCAGGTCTCTTCCACAGTGAGTAGAAGAAGGTCAGGTGACTGGATATGGCTGATTTGGAAGACCCTACCAAGTACCAGACGGAGGAAGATCGATCGATTATTAGGAAATTGATCGAAACCTATGTCACCGACAAGCGCACTATCATCTTGTGAGTGACATGGCTGCAACACGTCTAGGGAGACTGACGCTACTGTAGGGCCGTTATGGATGCGAGAAACAACCTGGCGAACCAAGAAGTGTAGGTGCTTAAGATTGATTTCTTGATGATTATACAGGCTGACATTCCCTCCCATAGCTTTTCGATGGCACGTGCTGCAGATCCTGCTGGGCTGCGAACTGTTGGAATTATAACAAAATGTGACGCACTGCAGGCGGGGGAAGAACAAGGCGTACGATTCCACAGTTTAACGGACAATTCTCATTTTCTGATCTGTATAGGTGCTGCGTATTGCTAAAAATGAGGTTGAAAAGCTAAACCACGGTTGGTTTGCTGTGAAAAATCGATCGGCCCAGGAAATCAAGCAGGGAGTGACGATTGAGGCCCGCCACCAACGTGAGAGAACTTTTTTTGCAACCACTGTCCCCTGGACAGAGCTTAAAAAAGATCGCGTCGGTATCTATGCTTTGAAAAGATTTCTCGGAGGTCTTCTATATGATCATATCCGAAGTGAGTTTCCAGGAGTCATTAGGGATATCGAGGAGCTTTCAGCTAGTACCCAGAGCGAATTGGAAATGCTTGGACCATCACGCCAAACAACAGCAGACCAGCGTCGATTTCTGACACATATTGCTACTGCCTACCAACTTGAGCTGGGAAATGCTTTGAGCGGCAATTATGATCCCGATCTTGATACAACGAGTCCCATGAAGCTGCGCATGCATATCCGACAATTGAATGACGAATTTGCAACGTCTATGTCGCGCTCTGGGCATGCTAAAATGTTCAGAACCACCCAAGGAGAGGTGGATCATGAGTACTACAATAAATCAGGTGATCAGCAAAACATTTATGACTGGATCCGAGAGCTTTATCGAGATTCACGTGGGGCCGAATTGCCAGGAACTGTAAACCCTGTTGTTCTCGAGAACATGTTCCGTCAGCAATCCCGGCCGTGGAAAAGTATCGCCGCATCTTATATAGACAAGGTTATACGCGCTGTTGATGATTACAACCGGTCGATGTTCACAAAACTGATGCCTGATGATACTGTGAAGGAAGCCTTGAAAGGTCGCCTAATGCGAGGAACAGATGATTCATCTTCTCGAGCACATAACCAACTATTGCAAATCCTCAGTGATGAGAGAGATGGCATTCTGCAAACCGTTAATCATTACTATGCGGATAATTTGGTTGCTAACCGGCGGGAGCGAGTTCTTCACAGACTGAATGGCTTGGGAGTTGAGAATGGAAGTGTCTTCGACATGGACACCGTCCTGAAGGGTGTTCACATTAGCAACGAAGATCAGGCAGTTAACGATATTCATGACGTTTTGAAGGCATATTACAAAGTGGCCATGAAACGCTTCACTGACAATGTTGTCATTCAAGTGACTGAACGGTTAGTTTTAGGAATTGAGGGCCCGGTGAGGACATTCTCACCAGACTTCGTCAGTGAGCTTCAGGAAAATGACCTAATGGATATTGCGGGTGAAAACTTTGCTACTTCTAGTTTGAGGAACGAATTGGCTAACAAATGCGAGAAATTCAAATTGGCACTAGAACTTGCCAAGAAGTGTGGTATGTAGGTATCAATAAGGAAGAGGAGGACAGCCGACTCCATTTCTCCGTGGACAACTCAAACTCTTCATTCTCTGATAATGTTTAATGTTTAATGTTCAAATTTCGGGGTTTTTAAATGGTATCAGTTAACAAATCAAATTAAACTATCCACGAGTTTTATAAACACTAACAGTGATCAGAGATTCAACGTGGTTATTTCATTCAATCCCATACCTGCTGCCGTTTCTGTGTTTTTGGGAGGCAAGTCTTTTGCCCAATTATTCGTTTCGCGTAGAACAGAACCAGATGGTCTGCCCACCAAGCGAGGCTCTCTGTGGAGCAAGGATGGTAAATCGTCTACAATGGTCTCTTTTGGGACCATTTGATGGGCCATCCTCGCTCTACAGGAAGTTTCGCTGGGCGGAGAGACCTAAACAATCGACAGGAGTTTAGTCAGGATAGATGTGCAATCTTCGCATAACCCCTTCTACCGCGTCGAAGTCCCTTCCAGAATCAACCCAGACCGCACCGACAATGGCTTCAATGTCAGTTGCAAGGGCATGAGGGGAATTTAGTAGATCATTTAGGCCCAATGAGCCCAGTTTAATGAATTTGTGGATGTGCGTCCTTTTAGCCTGGCGAGCCATTTCGTTATTGCTCCCATAATGCTGCAGTCGAAAGCTTCCATCCGCTAAGAACCATCAGCAAAAATACTGCTTGGTCTGGAACATATCATACTACAGCTTCTATTGCTGCGGTACCAGTGGTCGATCAGCATTAATGCCACCACTTTATCTCCGAGAAAAGCTAGGCGCTTGTTCGCATTTTGTGTCAATGCGTCCTTAATGATACGACGGTTGCGAAACGTATATCCAATGACCCTTTCAGCTCCTCTGGAGTTTTCTTGCTTGCTCATATTAAAGGGAAAATTCCGGGCCTTCCTTATAATTAGTTAGAAATCCGTGATTCAAGGTGGGAGACACAACTGGTAAGGTCCAAATCCGGGGTTCTTATAAAAGTTCGGGGGTGACATCATCGACTCGTGAAGTCCACCAATTTCTTTGTTTGGTTAGGAAACCTAATCATTGGCAATTTATTCGGATTCCGTCACTGGGTCCCATACGGTAAAACGGATGATTCTGCATTTGGCTAAATAATACTTATGGCACGCTGCCCTTGTCGCTAATCATAAACTTAATCGTTGAAGCAATCCTTAGATTTTGCCTGATGTCCAAAATCTAACAATTTGTAACTCGGGATATATCAATGGACGGCTACTTATTTGCAGGGACCTATCTCGAAAACCATTACAGTCCGTGTATCTATGATGCTCTAAGACCTTATGCTGGTCAGCCATTATTTTTAACTTGTTTAAGAGTATTCGAAGCTTGGTCTTTTGAGAATACGAGGCAGTTTTTTGATAGAAGTAATAAAGTATCTAATTTTATTTAAGTGTGTACTTTGACGTAGATCTTTTTCCTAACAATATTCTTTTTACTAGACTGTTAAACCGTTAAATAAGCCTTATTGTTTAATTTTAATAGTTTTCATAATTTTATTGATTATCGATAAATCAAAAAAGCTTCCTTTTCGTAATGGTTTTATTTTAATAATTAATATAGAAAATTTGATAAAAAGCTGGATAATTATATAAATATTTCTATAGTATTAAACTATTAATAATTTGAGTTAGTCCGCAGATGGCCAAGGGATCTTGACAGAGAGGTTGCAATTTAGCGCTGGGACACGATACTAGTATGGCTTGATGTTTCACACGGTAACCTCCACCAAATGTGGAGGCAGAGCGTTATCACATCAATGATGTCGGCCCGGAACAAGCAATCCTGTCAACCAGGCCGAGATGACGCGATAACAAAAGAGAAACGGTATGTCTCTCTAACTTATTCAGTAATTTCGACCCCTAGGATACATCATGTCTGTAGAGTGATGGAATAAAGTTGAGTTGATAATTTTAAATCAGTGCTGTGAGTCCCGTCCAAAACAGGACTAGCGTCGCCGCGGACTTTTGTCATTTTCTCCGGACCTCCAAAATATTATTGATTGCTGATCACCAATTCGTGTTCGCGACGAGCCGCAATCGGCCCAAGAAACGGCGAATTCTGCCTTCATCAGGATGGCATCGTCGAGTTTGTCGACCATGCGATCGGCACAGCGAGTCGTGATATTCGTGCAGTCGCCAGCTTCGTGCCAAACTTACTGCGGCCGGCGACAACTACATACCAGACTACAGAGACCTTCAGTCACTGGCACCTCAAGTGTTGCGTTACGACGGCAAAAAAGATTTATCACGCAGCAATGGATTGCCAACACGAAACAGGCAAAAGCTGAATGGGATCAATGGGCAGTGGAGATTAAAGAGGGGAAACGAAAAAGCTTTGTCCAGCTGCTCGATGAACGGGGTCTCTTGCATCAGGTGGTAGGGTTAGTTTGCGCGCGTTCAATACAAATTTGGAATTTTTACGATTCCAATTGGACGAATTGAATGAATGCTGACTTGTTTGTTTTGTAGAGAGCGGGAACTCCTTGACAAAATACTTACTGAGAGGAGAGTCGGATTCTACGCCGGAGTCGACCCGACGGCACCTTCTTTACACGTCGGACATATGATACCTTTCATGGTACTGGTATGGGCTTTTCACTGGGGGTATCCAATCACTTTTTTGGTGAGCAAAGGCCATTGTAGACGGCAGTTCAGCGAGACTAATTCTGGTGAAGCTCGGAGGTTCGACGGCCAAATTCGGGGACCCGACGGGCAGACTCGAAGAGCGAAAGCAAGAACATCGATCCGTTCGTACAGCCAACATTGCATCGATGCATATGCAATTGAAGAAACTCAGTGCAAGCATGGAGAAGTACGGCGAACGGCATGGTTACGAGCATCAATGGGCTGCGCGACGGGCACTTACAAACAATAATGTGTGGTGGAATAAAGTGCCTTTTATTGATGTACTGCGAGACTTGGGGATGCATATGAGGCTTGGACCTATGTTAGGGCGAGATACGTAAGTGCTATTATTACTCTCTGGAGGCTGGCTATCTGATGCGGTACAGTGTCAAGACTCGTCTGGAGGGCAAGGGTATGTCTTTTGCAGAATTTTGCTATCCCCTTATGCAAGCATGGGATTGGTTCCATATGTTCAGGAAGGGCACCCAGGTCCAAGTTGGCGGTGCTGACCAGTATGGCAATATCCTCTTTGGAATGGAGGCCGTCAAACAGTTGTCGAAGAATACGGCCATTGAAATTGACCGAAGAAATGTGGACGAAGACGTGGAGAAACCAATCGGAATCACCACTCCTCTTCTCACGACTGCGTCGGGAGAGAAGTTCGGAAAGTCAGCCGGAAACGCAATTTGGCTGGACAAGGACTTGACCTCGACATTTGAGCTCTACGCGGTAAGTTTGTTGTTAGGATCGTACTGAACGCGACTAACATGAACAAGTACTTTGTGCGAACTCCCGACGACCAGGTCGAACGGTACCTCAAATTATTCACCTTCCTGCCCCTTGAGGAGATTACCAAAATAGTGGAGAAACACACTGAAGATCCTTCCAAACGAGTTGCCCAACACACTCTTGCGCGCGAATTCCTCGAGTTAGTCCACGGACGTCAAGAAGCCGAGACCACGGCCCTTCAGCACCAACAGCTTTTCCGACCCCGGTCTTCCACTGCAGAACCAACGCCACCTCCAACACGCGCCTCAAATATGCCCGAGAGTTTTGCGAAGAAGCCTGAAGCTGGTTTCACGAACGTTGGAGCAGGCAATATATACGCACCTCAAGTGAACTACACTAATATGCAAAATCAAACAGTCAAGCTTCCTCGGTCGCTTGTACTAGGGCAGACTTTGAACAAAGTCCTCTACAGCGCCGGCCTCGTGTCGTCCAATAACGAAGGCCATCGTTTGATCGCCAACAACGGAGCCTCCATTGGTAGCAGGCCCGGCGACTCAGGCCCAATGTCAGATGCTCTCGCATTCACCCCTATCAGGCCATGGGTCGCGCAAAAAACAGAAGAATTCCTGATCGAGGGCAAGCTGATAATCTTCAAGATTGGAAAGTGGAAGCTCAGAGTGGTCGAACTCGTTGACGATGCCGAGTTTGAGGCGCAGGGGTTGAAGGCTCCTGGATGGGAAGAATTTAAGCTGAATAAGGGGAAGAGTGCGGATGAGGATGGTAGTGCACCCAGGCCCGGAAAAAAGAGCAGTGCAATCAGATATATCAAGAATACTCCAAAGAACGAGGAGAAGAGTACACCGAGAGAGGAGCGCAGTCCTCTGCGATATGTGAATTCGGATGATCCAAAGCGCTCGGCATAGACTTTGTCTGTGTTTGTATTATAAGCTTCCATCAATGTATTATAGATTGTACCATTATAACCAATAACCATGTCAACTCTACCTACATCATAAAATGAATCAATTGATGCATATGGAATGAAGACATGTATCCATCGACCTAAGTAGTTAGTATGAGCGGAGTCAGGGGGTTTTCGGCCAGGCGGGGCGAGCCACACGCCAAACCCAAACCCAAAACCACTAAACGCGTCGCAACGCGTACCTTCTTCCCGATCAATTGATTCCCTGTTCAACGAACCACGCAGCAACCATCAACATCTGCTATATAGCTGGAGTCCTGGCCATGCTCCTACTGCGCTGATACTATACACAACCATAAAACCCGCTGCTACCTGCCTTCTACCTACGCAATGGCCAAAGGAAGCGACGCCGCATCTTCGCCTGCTGCCGCAACAACCCCCGGCCTGAAGCGTTCTACCTCCAGTACCCAGAACATGAAGAACCAGCGATCCATCCTCGGGTTTTTCCAGAAATCATCGCCGTCTACCCCGTCGACGTCCACGCGTAACGCCAACGCCGAACCCGCGTCGTCTCCGGCCCAGCGTGCTGCTGACAAGTCGTCGGTTAGGTCGAAAAAGACTATCCAGAACCTGACGCCGGTGCCGAGTAGCGATGTTGTTGAACCGGATGAGGATGTAATCGCCAAGGTAGGTTATTTACCAGGACAGAAATTTCTGGTTGTACAGGATCGTAGTGCTAACAGAGCTACTTTCAGACTGAAGTCGGTCAAAAGGAGGACCTATCGTTGACGCCGACGAGAAAGGTATGCTACCTGTTCCGATATTCATTCATAGAATACGTATCTAACACAGAGTCTAGGCTAAAAAGAAGGTCAATTATATCGAGTCCGATAGCGAGGGAGAAGATGACGACGAGGCTATCTTCCGGCCCAACCCGTCACGCAAGAGACGCAGACCTGCTGTTGAAAGTGAAGATGAATTTCAGGAAGAGGCTGAGGCGCCTGAAGATGGTTTGTTTAAACAATAATGTATTGACTTTGACGTGCTTCTTGCTGACTGCCATAGAAATGGACGATTTCATTGTTGCCGATGATTCGGAAGAGGACGCCAAACCCTCTAAAAAACGGAAGAAGATCTCCAAACCCGCGCCTCGCAAATCTCTCTCGGACGATGCTCCGTCGCCTGTTGTTGACGTTGACATGGATATTCCAGAATCGACAGCTGGTACCGCGAGACAATGGACGTATGATCCTGAAAACAAGGAACCTCGAAAGGAACGAGACCCAGTAGTCTCAAGAAGTGGCACGAAGAGAAAGGAAAAGGCACATGAGACAGAACCTGAAAAGCGATATCCATGGTTAGCCAATATCACTGATATGGAAAGGAACCCTCCTAGCCATCCAGACTATGATCCACGAAATATCTACATACCGCCGCTGGCATGGTCCAAGTTTTCGCCCTTTGAGAAGCAGTATTGGGAGATCAAACAGAAATTCTGGGATACAATTGTCTTTTTCAAAAAGGGCAAATTCTACGAACTTTACGAGAACGATGCAACAATCGGCCACCAATTGTTTGACCTGAAACTCACAGACAGAGTTAACATGCGCATGGTCGGTGTACCTGAAATGAGTCTTGATCACTGGGCAAACCAGTTCGTCGCCAAGGGCTACAAGATTGCTCGAGTTGACCAGTCGGAATCTGCGTTGGGCAAAGAGATGCGAGAACGAGATGACAAGAAAGCCGCGAAGAAGGAGGATAAAATTATCAAGCGCGAGCTAGCATGTGTTCTTACCGCAGGAACCCTCGTCGAGGGCTCAATGCTTCAAGACGACATGTCAACGTATTGCGTTGCCATCAAGGAGGTCATACTAGACGGACTGCCGGGTTTTGGCATTGCATTCGTTGACACAGCCACTGCTCAGTTCCATCTAGCCGAGTTCACGGATGATGCCGACCTGACCAAATTCGAAACATTCGTTGCCCAGACACGACCTCAAGAGTTGTTGCTGGAGAAGTCGGCGCTCAGCCAGAAAGCATTACGGATTCTTAAGAACAATACAGGACCTACGACGCTTTGGAATCACTTGAAACCAGGCAAAGAGTTCTGGGAAGCCGATATCACAGTAAGAGAGCTCGATGCTAGTGACTACTTTGTCTCCGAAGACAGGGACAACGTCGAAGCCTGGCCGCAAGTCCTTCGCGAGGCGCGCGGAAAAGAGTATGCCATGTCTGCATTTGGCGCGCTGATACAATATCTCCGAGTCCTGAAACTGGACCGTGATCTGATTACCATTGGTAATTTCACCTGGTATGACCCAATCCGCAAGGCTACAAGCCTGGTTTTGGACGGTCAAACTCTTATAAACTTGGAAATATTTGCCAACTCATTTGACGGCAGCAGTTCCGGGACTCTGTTCCAGCTGCTCAACCGCTGCATTACTCCATTCGGTAAACGGATGTTTAAGCAATGGGTCTGCCATCCACTGATGGATATAAATAAGATCAATGCTAGATTCGATGCCGTCGATTCTCTGAATGCTGATACTGTTATTCGCGACCAATTCTCGTCTCAGTTGACCAAGATGCCTGATCTGGAACGCCTAATTTCTCGTGTTCATGCCGGAACTTGTAAAGCGCAGGATTTCCTACGCGTGCTGGAAGGGTTCGAGCAGATCGAGTATACTATGGGTTTGCTGAAAGAACTTGGCTCTGGGGATGGAGTCATAGGCCAGCTCGTCTCATCCATGCCAAATTTGAAATCTCCCCTCGAGTATTGGAAGACCGCATTTGACAGGCTGAAGGCCAAGGAGACTGGTATCCTTGTTCCGGAGCGTGGCATTGAGGAAGACTTTGATGCATCGCAAGAGACAATCGAGCAGCTGCACCATGACCTTGACGCGCTTCTCAAGAGGGTTCGTCGTGAGCTCGGCTCGACAGCCATTATTTACAAGGACAACGGCAAGGAGATCTACCAACTCGAGGTTCCCATCAAAGTCAAGAACATCCCCAAAACGTGGGACCAAATGTCTGCCACGAAACAAGTAAAGCGCTTCTACTTCCCAGAATTGCGCGTCCTCATCCGCAAACTCCAAGAAGCGCAAGAGACGCATAGCCAAATCGTCAAGGAAGTTGCAGGCCGTTTCTACGCCCGATTCGACGAGGAGTATGAAGTCTGGCTGAAATCTGTTAAAATTGTTGCCCAATTAGACTGTTTGATTAGTCTGGCAAAGGCTTCGTCGTCGCTCGGACAGCCAAGCTGCAGACCGGTCTTTGTCAACGAAGATCGAAGCATACTCGAATTCGAGGAACTGCGCCATCCATGCATGCTACAAAACGTCGCCGACTTTATCCCGAACGACGTGAAGCTTGGAGGCGAGACGCCAAATATTAACCTGTTAACTGGCGCGAATGCAGCGGGTAAATCAACGATCCTCCGAATGGTAAGCTACACACAACAAATAGACCCCCCCTAAAATACACCTTTGATATTAACGTATGCTAGACCTGCGTCGCAGTCATCATGGCCCAAATCGGCTGCTACCTACCCTGCGAATCCGCACGCCTAACACCCGTTGATCGCATCATGTCTCGCCTGGGCGCCAACGACAACATCTTCGCCGCACAGTCGACGTTTTTCGTCGAACTCTCCGAAACCAAGAAAATCCTCTCCGAAGCCACACCCCGCTCCCTCGTCATCCTCGACGAACTCGGACGCGGCACGAGCTCTTACGACGGCGTCGCCGTCGCCCAAGCCGTGCTGCACCACATCGCAACACACATTGGCGCCCTAGGCTTCTTCGCGACACACTACCACTCCCTCGCCGCCGAATTCTCCGGCCACCCTGAAATTGCACCTAAGCGGATGCGCATCCACGTCGATGACGAGGAACGCAGGGTAACGTTCCTATATAAGCTCGAGAAAGGGGTTGCAGAGGGTAGTTTCGGCATGCATTGTGCCTCGATGTGCGGGATTCCGGACAAGGTTGTGGAGAATGCCGAGGAGGCGGCGAAGCAGTGGGAGCACACCAGTCGGCTTACTGAGAGTCTGGAGCGGCAGAAAGGCGGCGGGCTTGTTGGCTTGGGATGGTGGAGTGATGTTGCCTGGCTGCTTCGCGACGATGCGGAGGTTTCGGAGAGGGGATTGGAGATTCTGCGGAAAGCGATAGAGGGGCTGTAGGCATGGTATATGTCTATATAGGTGATTTGTGGTGTTATGAGGCGTTATTGTGAGTTCAGAATTTTCGGTTTTTTATATATAGTACTATGTAAGGATGAGTGGGTAGTCTCTAGACTACGTAGTTTATATTTAATATTGTTTTCGTATACTCAATGCAAGACCTTCATCAGTTGACATTATCCTTTAATCACATGTACATGTACATGTATCTGCTGTAATCCAATTTCTAACACATTTCTCATAGTAGACTCTGTGGAAGATGTAAAGTGACGATTACCTTTTTATCTCCTTATTAGAAAATAGGCTTCACAACCTGTCGTGAACTTTAAGTGACACATCGTGATTAATCACAATCACAATAGTCCAAACCAACTGAACTATAAATCGTCAGAAGTGAAAAACGCTAGTTTATTTCTTTATACCAGTTCACCCTTTTCAGCTCACACATTCAACCATCTCATCCTCCTTTATGCATGTACCATTACGCAGATAATGAATTGAAAGCATAGAAAAAGAACTCATTAATTAATTAAAGAATTAACTAAGCGTTGGCAACCTGACGAACTATTTCCTAGCGTACAACCCAACCACCGTAAGATCCCCCCATACCAAACCGTCCTGCGCCAAATATGAAAATGAAAGCCTGAGTCATTGAAACCAAATCCTGGACACATCCCAACTAGGACATCGGCAGAATTAGCATCGTGATAAGAAAACTAAAACAGATATGAGAATGGCGCCGTGTCGCAGCCATGGCACTGGAGAAGGGTAGTTAGTATATTTATATTCCGGCTAGAAGAGGATGGAATGGAATACCCTCGAGCCATGCTGATGCGACTGGCTACTGATTCACAGAAGTGAAACCGTAAATCTCTGGTTCGGGCTTAACGACGACGGAGTCTTGCTCGGTGCCAGCATTGTTGTTGTCGTCAGGTTCGGCGACGTCCTCTTCTTCGTCTTTCGCGAGGGGTTCATATTTGCTGGTCAATCAGTGTTAGCACCACGGTCTACACAAAGAGGGGGGGAAAAGAGGGGGAGGATATACACAGGAGTCTTTTTAACAAGAGTCTTGCGCTGGCGTTTCGCCGGGGTAGGGCTCTCAGCATCACCCGCACCACCGGTTACCAGCTCGACGGGGGTGTTTTCAACATCCTTACGCTTCTTGCCGGTACTAGCCCGGCGCTTGCCACCCTTTGATGCAGACTTGGGTCCGGGGGTGACGGGATCAGCGGCGCTGGGGTCGGCGGACTCGGCTTCCTCGTCGACGGGGAAAGCGTCCATGAGCTTGCGCAGCGCCTTGCGGTAGAGAACCTGGGCCGAGCCTTTGGTCCAGCCGCCGTATTTGGCGACCTTTTCGTAGTCGACCTGGACAAAGTTAGAGTTTGGAGTTGGATAAGGGGGAGGAGAGGTACTTTGCCGGCATCGCTGAAGCGGACGCCTAGGGTGATAATCTTGAGTTCGGATTGAGACAAGTTGATGACTTGTTCGGCGGATTTGGCTTGCTGCTCTTTGGAAGACATGATAGTGGTTGAGAGAGGGAGATGGCTTGATGGCTGTGGAATGTGAGGGGGGAAAGTAGTGGTTAGTGGGTGATGAGCATGGATGGAGGAATAGATATTGTGCTTACAGATGGAAGATGGAGAGATGTTGATTGCTCGAGTCAGTGTTTACGAACAGGGTGAGGGAGTGAGAAGTCTGGATGGTTTGAAGATTGATGATTAGTGGTGAGGATGGAAGAAGGTTGAGTTTCAGAAGACGTACAGAGGCAATTTATCAGACGGGTGGTTGGAAAGAAGATGAGAGAATGGAGGTTAGGACGTATGAGAGTGAGGGGCGGGAGGGAAGATGTGAAGGAGAGGTAAACAAGGCTGCAAACGCACTGCTAGGTAAATGAACTAGGAATGACACTCACTGTTTCTTTCAGTTTGAGAGTGGGTTGCAGTGGTGGGGCGGAAGAGAGGTAAAATAGAGAGGAGGTTGGAGCTTGATCAGTGTGTTTGAGGGTGAGGGTGTGAAGGTGTGTGGCTGGGATGTTTACCTGATGATAGTATGGGAATTACAAGCTGTTTGTGGTAATGGATGTGGTATTGATAAACATAGTACAGGTCATAGATTTCCGCTTGGGTTTAAGAGAGGAAATGTTCAGCCGGATTGTTTCTCTTGTGGATCATTTTAGATAACGACATGCTATAATACACGAATAAGCCAGTATACTTGACCCCGTAACGCCTGAATGCACCCTGATGATACAGATTCAGCCACACAACGCAGAAGCATCACTGTTGCGGCCCTGGCCTCTGGCTATATATTTGTTTGTGCACATGCTCCCATAATTCAGGATAAAACTTCGATGTGCTGCGAGTATCTCTGCTCTTTTCCATCGCGTAGAACTGTTTCAATGTGCCGCCTCGCCACCACGGCACAGACACTGGGTCTCGGTTGCGGAACGAGACCGGTCGAAGCAGGGCCTTGTCAGGGACGAGATTCGAGACGTGTACCTCTGTCACCCGCGGAATGAGAGTGATTTTCATGGTGCGGATTGAAACCATTGCAGTTGAGGGCAGGTTTCGAGCGTAATCAAGAGCAGTCTCCCGCGACTTTCTCGCGAAGGCGGGCAGATGGAGATAGATGTGATTCACGAATGGCGCTGTTGTATACGCGACGAAGGCTAGGGGGAGGGCGCCACCAATGACAACTGTAACAGACTATTTAGTATAATTGATATGGTTAAGATAGTTAAGATAGTTAATATGCTTCTGGATGGAATGGTCCGACTCACTCAATGGCGCGAGATATGCAGGAAACTCATCGGCGAAAAACGCCGGGGCGATGATCAGAGTCGAGACACCGCACACGAATATCGTTGCACCTCGCAACATGCCCAGAAACACACCCCTCCCCGTTCCTCCATGGTAAATCAGGAGTTTCTCCGGTGTGACTGTACTTGAATCAGCTTCTACATTTTAATAGCAGTAGTAGTAGTAGTACTAATAACTTCATACCTGGTCGAAGCGTCGGCCTCCACGGTTGGCCAGCTTGAGTTGGGCCGGTTGCAGGAGTAGTCTTTCGCGGTGCGGGCTTTATCTGTCTCGATGGGATGAATTTGGTTTTTGGTGGCGCTGTCGATTTGAAGCGAAGGAGGATGCTGTTTAGGACATCGTTTTGCGCCGCACATCGGAGATTGGTAGCTGGATTTGCGCTGCGACTGCGACACAGCGAGAAGAGGGATTGTGAGGGTGGCATTATGGATTGTTCAATTTTTACTACATATAGCCATCGTAGACACTCCGCAATGGTGCAATGGCTGTCACCAGATTGGTTCTTCAGCAACGTGAAGATAGAAAATAGAAAAAAAGAAGTGACGATGAGCTGCAGTCTTGGCGCCGATCCCGATTAGATAAGACAAACAACCCTGCAGAAGCCACCTCACATCTTACACATCCTCTCCAGCACATTGAATATGATTGATTTAACACCGTATATTTTGCTCTAATGGGTGTGTTATCTAGCAGTCGCCGTGCATTATGGCACTGCGCGTTTCCACTCTTGCTGCTAGTGGTCTGCTCCACCGCATACAGCCAGCTTTCAGACGACACGCTTCGTTCACTGCCCAAGCCCGGCAGCGACTTTGACATCCATGAGGGCAAAATCCTCTCACCAATCCTACAGACACGCGTGCCCGGAACACCCGGCTCGACGGCCGTTCTCAACCACTTTGCCAGCTTCTTCCGCACCGCGTTGCCAGACTGGACCCTCGAGTTTCAGAACTCAACCGCGAGGACACCCGTGTCGGGAGACAAGGAGGTCCCCTTCGTCAATTTCATCGCGTACCGCGACCCGCCCTGGGCAGCGCAGGGAGATTCCGGCAGACTCACGCTTGTCGCGCACTACGACAGCAAGCTCCAGCCCGAGGGCTTCATCGGCGCGATTGACAGCGCCGCGCCGTGTGCGATGATAATGCACGCGATGAGGAGTATTGATAGTGCATTGACCGCGAAATGGAACGAGATCGACGCACAGGGCCATGCGGGCCTGGACATTGACGAGAATACCGGGATACAAGTGCTTTTTCTCGACGGTGAAGAGGCCTTCAAGGACTGGACTGCGACGGATTCCCTGTACGGCTCTCGCTCGCTGGCCGAGCACTGGGAGCAGGCCTACTACCCGGCCATGTCGCCGTTCAGAACACAGCTTTCGTCGATCACACTATTCGTACTGCTCGATCTCCTTGGATCAAAGAGTCCAACGATTAGGTCGTACTTCCCTACTACACATTGGGCATACCAGAACATGGCTCGGCTGGAAACCCGCTTACGGGAGCTGCGCCAATTCAAGTCTGCCCCCGATAATGGGGAGGGGGGCGGTGGTTGGTGGATATTGAGACTGACGAGCATCACCTCGCGCCCTGGAGCACGATACAAGACGACCACCTTCCCTTTCTCCGCCGCGGAGTCGAGGTTCTGCATCTTATTGATTTCCATACTGGTAAGGGATTTCCCGATGTCTGGCATACGATGGATGATGATGCCGAGCATCTCGACATTCCCACCGTCGAGGATTGGGCGACTCTTGTCACTGCGTTTGCGGCAGAGTGGATGGACTTGGAAGGGTATTTTCAGCCAGCGCCGTCGGCGGCGGCGGCGTTATATAGTAGGAAGACTGAATTGTAAGATGTTTATTTAGAATTACCTTTTTGCATACCATACTAATTAAGAAGTAGTTACTGAATATGAGTTTATGTCTAGTCTAGTCTATTCATGTATGTCTATCAAAGCCGACTGCCAACCGCATAACCAGCCATCCAAACAACTCCCCACGCTGGCTGGAGGACGGATCTGACAATCGCCGGCCCCGGACAGACACCACTCAGACCCCAGCCCAGCCCGAAAGCGACCGCACCGGCTACGAACCGCCAATCGACGTCTGCAAGCGTGCGGTTCGGCAGACTCCACGAATCCGCCAGCGTCGGCGCATCCACCTTCCCTTCTGCATTGGCCTTGCCGGGTTCAGTGGCCAGATACCAATATAGTGATGGCCCAACCCCAAAGACCAGCACCAGCGCCAACGACGGATCAAAGGCGCTGAGGTCCGTGAGAAACGCGAAGAATCGGATCACTTTGGCTGGGTCCGCCATGCCGGTGAATAGCAGGCCGAGACCGAACTGCACGCCAGCGAGATACGCGAATGCGCTGCGCGAGGTGGGCAACCGAGAGAGGAGGAGTTTCTGCGGCCCGATTGCGAAGTTGGCGAGAATGGCGAGTACGGCGCTGGTCGTCATTACGCTGAGTTCGAAGATGGTCGGTAAGGAGATATGGTAGCATGGCCCCTCGCGACAGATGGGGATTATTTGGCTGCCGGTGAGCACTGGCGCATAGGTGGCAGTGAGGAGCGCGGTGGTGAAGAATATTCCCGTTGCGAGCAGCGAGCGTGCTGAGAGGCGCGAGATGCCGCAGAGCATGTGGCCGGATGTGCAGCCCGCGCCGTTCTACACTCTTGTTAGCTTTGTTTCACCCCTTGATACACCATGGACGATTCTCACCTTCGTGCCCCATCCCACTAAGAACCCCAAACCAAGCGTCGATACCACAGAAGTCCAGGACTCGACTGCATCTGGATACGCAGGCAGCAGCGAGGGCACAAACAGCCAGACTAGCCACGGACTCGACAGCAACCCAGCCAGAACCGCCACATTCTCGTCGGTAATGTCAGGACGGACCAGGCCGGAGCGCAGCATGGACGAGATGCCAAACACCCGTCCATTATGCACGAGCAGGCCAAACGAGCCGCTGAAGAGCAGCAGGGCGCCGAGCGAGGTATGGACTGGCGTGAACATATCAGGGTATACTCAGGTATGAGTATGCTGGTGGTGAGAGTGGTTCCTCGAATATTCCCAGCGCTCAAGAGTATACTCGTACCAACGACATCATTGATAGCGGTCAGTCACGCCATGGCGCCTGACAATGAAAACATCGGTGAAACCGGACGGCAGAACGTCCTAATAGAGTTTCCTTTCTCTTGAATGATCGGGGAGCATTGCTGGAGAAGCCCGAGCCGTAATCCGGTACGGCGATCGCTGGTATTATCAGCTCTGATTGGCTGGGCAGTGGGACATTGCATGGCATTTACCCCACCGGGCGTTTAGCATTGCGGTATCTGTATTCTTCAGTTCTCAGACTATCCTTGTTCATACATGTAGTTAATAGTAGTGTTTATGCAGTATTGCCAGTATTACCCTACAACAGTGTGTATCTTGCATGTACCAGAGTAAACACTTTACTCATATAATATACATATGGTGATACTATAGTATATGCCAAATGGTCCCCGATCAATGGATACGTTGAAAAATTTAATCTCCCAGGATCCCGAGCCAATCACCATCCTGCTTTCTAATCCAGTCCGTGCCGTGCCTTTGTCTGAGAATGTACGGATACTAATGACAGCTTTGTGAGACTCTGCCATGTTGTAGGTATATGTATGTGCTATATATGTATGGGAGTTTGTGCGACAGTCTCGAGAGTGCATATATAGTATGTATATAAGCAAACGTACTATTAATACTTGACTTATATCAATTGGCTAATGCTGATGTATAAGTGAATGTATTATGTATTAGCGCTACATGTAAGGGCCGAAAGTGGAGCCCTTATTAGCATTAATATCAATAGTATTTACTACTTATTAGTCCTATTCTGACATATACTTCACTCTCACAATTCTCTATTGGATAACCATAACATATACCCAAATATATGAAACTGATCCATCTCCACGAGTATATCTAGATATATACACCACAGAGTATGGATAGTTGAAAAACCTCGGTCCCCAAGATGGCACCCCAATATAAAACCGACTTTGTGCCTATCTCAATTATTCCTGTCTGATAACCCTAATTCCCGTTTAATAAAGCTTTTTGTGCTATAAATAACTCAGTTAAAGATTCATGCATAGAGGGAATTGTGGTAAAGAACTCACTGCCAAGAAAAGGGAAGCAACAAATGACAAAGCTGCGCCCGCCATGATGAGGGCAAATATGTTGCGAATGGTGATTGTCACTTGTTCAATTACCGCTTCTTGAAGTGTAGAGCGGAGACTTTGGAAGTAGGAGCTCTGTATGCCGGTAGTCATTTGCAGCAGCTCCTCGTGCGTGGCATTTGGCAGAACGGCTTCAAGCTTCTCCACCCCGATATTTTGATACAAAGAGCCAGCAATGCCGAGGAAGGTAATCAAGGCCATATTTTGTGCTGTTAAGTTATATTTATTAGTATGATTACACTGACAGCAAAACTACTGATAAGAAATACTTTACCGGCTGTCATAAATCCCACAGCATCATTCACCTCAGCTGGCGGCACGAGGGTCGACACTACTGCAATACCTGCAGTCAAAAATGAACCAACACCCATCCCGATGAGCACTGTATAGCCATAGATATTGGAGGAGGAAGTTGATGCATCAATGGTAACTGAAAGAGTCATCAGCAAAGCTTGCCTGCTCGCGATGATTAGGCAGTGTCTTACGCATGCATGCCGCACCAGCTAGAATTGTAGCGTTGCCAAAGATATACCAGGGTTTGTAGTAACCAAACTTAGGCATTAGCGCGCCGTTGATGACAGAGAAAGCAACAATCATGCTCATCAGCGGCAAAAGTCGCACACCAGCCATTAAAGCTCCATCTCCTCTGGTGAATTGAAAGATCAGAGGAGTATAGTATACACTTGTCATCATAGCGCCAGAAGCCACAAACAGCTGAAGCTGGAGAATGATAAGATCTATGCGCTTCATAAAGTGGCCTGGGTAAAGTCTATTGTCTTTAGAAACCCCGGGGTGGTATATCGTGACGAGGACGAATGCGATGAGCAAAACGCCGGTCATTACCCAAAGCACAATTTCGGACGGGCTGTTAAAAGTGTAAAAGACACCGCCAAAAGTGACGGCCATAGCATAACAGGCAGAGCCAGCCTCAAAAATGATAATACCGACCCAGTCCTGTGTGCGAATCTTTTTGGCCAATGGTAAGCTTGACGGGCTAATCGGGGGCAGACAGAAGATAAATGCTGGAATGAAGACGGCGGCCACAACGAGATTGATATAGAATGCCCATCTCCATGTAGCGCTGCTTTGGGCAAAGGCGCCACCGATAATAGGACCAAGAACGCTGCCAGTACCCCACATCGCAACAATGCCTGAGAAGTACAGAGGTCGTTCATGGTCACTGGTGCTTAAAGCGATATACGTGAGGGAGCCTGAGTAGACACCAGAACCGAAAATTCCCAGGATGAGCCGTCCGACGATCAAGGCATTCAGAGTAGGCGCTGCACCGCAAATGACGCTGCCGACTTCGAAGCCAACAACACAGGCGAGAAAGTACCATTTCACGTTGAATACGGCAAGAGCTTTTCCACTGCAGAGCAATTGTTACGCATGATCAGTATGAAGGATCTTTTTTCATAACTGTTAAGTTTGCATTGAATTCACTTACTGGGGTAGGATGGAAACAGTTCCAAGGCTCATCGCCACACCAATCCACGGTAGGTTCTCCGTATCTCCAAGCGTCTTGATAATTGCGGGCTGAATATCAGCAACCTATTTGGGTATGAGAACAGGTCTATGTCTGAATTGCCATCGAGATTATGGATTTTACTCACGATGGTGCCATCCAGAGCAAACAAAAAGACGGTCGAAAGAACGGAAAGATACGCAAAAAACCACTGAATTGCAAACGTTAGAATGAATTGTCAACAGCGTGTAATGCAAACCTTTAGGCCGGAAACAGTCCTCACGGGTGCAGGGCGGTCTTCAGCTTTGTGTGTGCCCTCCTCTGGAATAGATGAGTCGGAAACAGGGGTTTTCTCATCGGTAACATCTGAGCTTAGCAATTCGTGTGGAGTATCTGTCTGGCTCGCAGTGACAGCGACATTGCCTATGTAAGCTGGTGGAGGCTCGTTGTGGGCTGTCATATCGTGTGATTTCGCGACTTGATTGAATGTGGTAGAGAATACACGGTGATGACAGACAAAGGAGTGATGCACGCCTGATACGTAAGTAGGTAGATATATCCATTGGTCGGAGACAACGCATCAGGAACATGGCACCCAAAACAACTTTTTGGATGAATTTTTGGATGATTCTTCGGATTTCCAGAAACCTGATTACCAAACATTCCATTCTGATAACAGCTGTGTTTGATTTCTAAGCATTTTGCTTTGTTCAGGAAGGAGTTCGACCGTACATATGTATGGTGAGGAGAACCCCTGTCTGGTGGCAGCGCCGCTCGTCGTTTACTTCCCGCCCGGCCAATGGGATCCCCCCAACATATTCATTCATAGTTAAGAGACTGTAGACGACGATGACTGGTGGATTCTCTCATGGGCTGCACGCAGAGGGATACAATGCCTGCAGGCGGCAAGTGCCTCGGATGGTGAGGTTTTGGGAGTGCAGGTCTCTCCCCATGAGGTATATCATAAAATATACTTATAATACACACACACATATATATATATATGTGTGTGTGTGTAGTTAATGAGAGATCATGGGTCGATATTTCTCGATTATTTAGGGTGAATGGCCTAAGATTAGGTCAGAGAAATCTAAATTTAGAGATAATATATATAATTTAGGGATAATATAAGATCAGATGGGAATTTGTCTAAATTTATATTTTAATATTATTAAACCCAGACAAAGATGGGCTTCTATAAATTAGTGATTAGACTGTTCGCGGGATACATGAGAGTAGTTAAGGTATATAGATCTATTAAGCTTTGTAAGATCCTAGCCCTCAAGATAGTGACTTGGGCACGTCCTCGTAGGATGGCGGATACACTCTGCCTATATCCAATACTAACAAAATTAGTGATAATTTGACAGAACTATCCATAATTATCTATGGTTCGCAAATAGCTCAAGATTTCAGCAATTCTGATTAATTTGCTGTTTTCCTCCCGACTGTCAGCAATGACCAACTAGCTAGTATTTTACATATAAATATAGGTTAATGGGTCATGTAGTTAGAAGGTCAGGGCTTAAACGAACAGTTTTCTCGATAATCGTGTTTTAAACCCGATTTGTGGATTAACAAGTTACGCGCTGATAATCAGTTCAATATAGGATCTATTACACGTGACTCTAAAATGCTCTTTCTGATTCCATCGTGTGCCTTCGTCTTCTTCCTCGTGTTCAGTTATACTCAATTTCTGGTCCTAGATTATTAGATTATGCAGACCAGGTATGAGAAATGCTTAGTAGATTAATTAACAAGGGTTGATCTTTTTCGTTTATAAATCTAGCGCTAAGTTAAATCATATAGAACCCCTAACTCTAAACTACTAGCTGAGTTCAGTAGCTTATTGAAGAGCCATCCAAACCAATTAATCAGCGTCTACGCGCAAGTTTTACCACAATTTATCCACCTGGCATAGCTAAGAATCATTAACGAGTATAACTAAGTCATTCCAATCATGCAATACGAGTTTGAAATAAAGAAGAGTTGAGGAGGTTTAGCAGGTTGAAATGTAAAGCCCTTCAGGAAAGCGCGCCCATATAAACCGTTCCGGGGTTCCGGGGGCGACGGTTAGCATAGACTAGGCAGAATCCCCAGAAGTCACACTTAAAGTTCTCTTCCGTTTTCTGGATGATGTGCCGTCACCGCTCTCTTGTATATTGGTGCGTGGCCATCGGATCCTGTCGTAAAGGTTTAAAAATTTCATTGTTTGTATTTTCAACTGCAATAAGTCGTCGAAATCTTCGTCCAGATCTTCGTAAATACTGAGTGCGCTCTCGAACTCGTCATTTACATCTCCCCCGTGAGAGTCAAAACCTAAACGCTCTTGGCCTGCTTGCCAATTACCAAAATCATGGAAAGGAACATGATCAATTGCTTGTTGTCCTTGGATGGCCTTGCGAAACCAATTTAAGCTCCGAAGCTTGCTAAAGATGAGACCCCGGCTGCAAATTTCGCATAGATCCTCCAGACATTCATCCCCACCGCATAGCTCACAACATATAATACCCTCATCAAAGCGGTCCTGGGCGATGGACCTCCAGTATTGAATTTCACGGCTGACATTTTTGTAGATAATGAATGCCCGTATATGTCTGTTCCCATAAATGTACCCAGGCTCGTGAAAGGGAAACAAACAGCGGCTAAATATTGACAAACTGCTATCACGCAACGAGCCTTGTCGCAAAGGAGGATCACATCCTAGTGTACGAATCCAATCGACGAACTCAAAACCATTGCTATATATGCCATAGCTGTCTACGATATTCCAACGGATGCGTCCCCTTTTCTGGAGTGCGTTGATATTGATGGGCCTGAATATTCGAGATGTGTGGTAGACATCATGGTTCTCGTAGGCATCTTTGATCGCCGTACCTAGAAATGGCATGTTGGGGACTTGCGGAGGTCCATCAGTAAAGAATGCGGCTATGGAGCTCAACCGCGCTCTTCCAGAGTCATGCTTGTGACTTTCAGCATAGACGAGAACACATCCATGAGAGGACACTTCCAGATCATGATATCGATTATCAGGATTCGTTTCAGAGTCAACCAAGTGTGTCTGGTCTAAGAAGCTTGACGCTCTGAGAAATGGTTCCTGGGGTTCTACCTGTCCTCTTTTAAATCTCTCGTAGATGTATTGGACAATGTCTCTTGCCATACCATCATTTCGCTTCAAGAAAACTTCAGACTCTTGACTACATATCGTCTCAGAAACCCGTAAAAGAGCTGAAAGGAGTGTATCCCTTGGGCAGCTTATCTTAATCTCTGTGATGAAGTCTTTCAACTTATCAGGATTGCACTCAGAGAGAACAGGGGGCTGTAGAGTGGCTGTTGTACGTGACTTATAGTCTGATGCTTCTATTAATTTCACCAAAGCATCTTGTGCGACCGCAATAACGACTAGCTCCCTAACCATCTGCCAATCCGGCATTAGGTAGTAGGCGTATGTAACAAGAGCGTATAACTTGGTCGGGCCGGGTTGGTAGCGCTGGAGGATACGAGATTGCCCGGTCCACAGTTCCTCGATCTCATTCAGTGTTTTTTCGCTGTCAAGGAGTAGGCACTCCTCTGTCGCCAACTGCTTCAACACAAGCCGGACCAAACGTCTTGTGCTTTTTGTGTCGTTTGACCGCAGTAAGGTGTCTGCATTATCCCCGGTCACGAGTAAACAACGGTACTGCGTCTCAATAAATGTAGCATGACGAACAATTCCATTGGAACTGTCTAAATCTTGGAAAGCCTTAACGCCTTGAATAAACGAGTTTGCCCCATCTGTGCCGCTTGTGTTCGTAATCTCATACCGTGGAAGTGTGATTGTTGAATGGATATCGGTGTCTGGAGAGATGAGACTAGCAGCATCATTATCGCCTGACGCAATGACTCTGAGTTCTCTCTTTATATCTTCCCGATAAATATCACGGGCCCATTCAAATATATGGTCGACGATTAGCAAGAGTTGCAGGGCCCCGTTCCTAGATGTGATAGTGCCTGCCCAGAGGTCAAAAATACGCTACAAAAATCTTAGCCTAAACATCTTTTATATCAGGGACAATTATGAAGGCACTGCTCTTACACAATATGAAGTATCAACTGCCGCTGGCCCAGTGATACCACAGTTGAATATGGACGCTGCACACACACGCCAGTCTTCACCTCGATTCATCAACAACCAGACTAATGGGGATGTCTTCCCTCTCGAGGAATTTCCCGTGAGTGTTTTTAGTGACTTTTGTGTATTCAATAGCGTCCACACCGGAAAAGCGGATTGTAACTGAATTGAATACCAATCGCTTTCCCCGGCTCTCCCAGACTTTGCTTCCAGTACGAGAAATGGAAAGCTCAATGAATCGCCTTCCTTGCTGATTGGTGATGGTCCTAGGAGCTCTTGAACTAAGAGCCCATCTTGGTCTTTCCTTGTTCCAATACGAGCTGTATCATTTAAGAGATTTTCAATATTCCGAGTATGTCGTAGACCAAATATCGCATCAGGTTTTTTTGGAATACTAGGGAATGCAGAAAGGATTTCTTTTTCATATTGAATATGTTCGTCTTCCCGATGTCCAAATATCTGGTTCAGGCCGACAGCTTCAATCCTGTGTTTATCATTACTAACTGGGGGATCTAGCTTATTTGTATAGGCCCAACTTACGGATCCCGCTCTCTTGCATATCGGGGACAGCGGCATGGTTCGCGTTTTCTTTGACGCGCACGTAAGGCTTCTGCTGTATTGGACACATGATCTCGGGAAGCTTCAATTTCTGCCCTCCAGACTCTTTTGCGACAAGCCATGCTATTTGATTGTTAGAAGTGGGTTCCTTTGAAGCCTTTGGAAGCGCTACTCACCAAACAACTTCTGCAGTGAGACGCGCAAGGACATAAGGCTCGCAGGTAGACCGCCATGTCGATTCATTTCGCCGAGGGCAGCGTTTGGCTCGTTCCACTAGTTGTTTTGCTTGACGCTTTACATCTAACTTCCAAGGTTCATCATCTATCAGCGTCGAATCCACGGCATAAGTATCAAATTGTTTTATCCCAAGCTCTTGGATAGATTTCAAGGTTTGGTAATGACCTTCAGGCCATTCATCCTGTGACACATCACCTAGAAACTGAATTCTATATTTTCGGACTGTCTCCTCCAGTTTTGTCTTTTCCTCTTTTGTAAGGGTCATGGCAAAATGCCTCTGTCTTGGATCATAACCAGATAACAAATAAGAAATGCCAGTGAAGTGAATGTGTAAGACGGAAATTGCATAATCATATAATAATAACAGGATTTAAGTTAAAATACAAACGCTAAGTAAGCGGAGGTCCATTGGAGAATATATATGATGTAGAGTTAGGGCCTAGATGTTGCAAATGCGTCTTTCGCATTGTGGCTGAGCCAACATAGCCACAGTAGCGATTTAAACCAGCACACAGCAGAATTAATCCAGCACAGATGGACATGAATTTACAGAATAAATATTATATTGATTACTATATTAATTCACCATCAATTATACACTGTAGTGGGTTAAAGCGGGTTATACCTAAAACTGAAATGTGTTGTCTAGGAGTCTGGTGTTGCTTGTTTAGGTGTGTTGAGACATGATTGCCTACAACATGGCTATGTAATGGCTGAGTAAATACATTCTTTCCAGCCACCCCCTGGCCTGGCACTCCGCCGCGCCACAATTCTATGGAATGTTCTTAAAATATTAAACAGTAGACCTGCTAATTTAAATTATAAAATGTCAGCTCACCGCCTTCCTGTTGGCAGCCTGGCCGCCGCAGGAGGGCATAACCCCGTTAGCACTTTAGACAGCTTCACAATGCAGAGTTTTGCACCTCAAGATGTCTCCGCGTAGCCTCCCAACACAAAATTACATCATTTTCTTAAGTTAGCGATCTTATTCGAGACCTAAATTAGGATATATCTAAATCACTCAGACCGTACGCCCTGCCTACCCTAGCCGCAACACCACGCAACCACACCCTGTCGCTTCTTAGGGCGGCAGGCCACACGAACTAGAACTGGACGGACACCCGCAATCTCGCGTATAGTTATCTATGTATATATTTTGAAGAACTATAAATAATAAATCATTTTCTAGAGCAGTTAATAACCCCTAGCCAATGACTATACAAATGGCTGATATACTATAATATACTAAGTCGCCTTATCTACATGGTATTAGTTCTGGTCTGATATATTTAACGATAGACATTGAAAAGGGTACTAAATATAACACTAATATAGAATATAATGAACAAAAGTAGAGTAATGTTCTTAAAGTCTATAAGAGGAATAGCTTCTGAAAAGAGCCGGAGAGGCGTTTACGAGGCTTGCAAGCAATGGTTAAAGTGGAGCCCTCGTGATCACTAACATCAACACTTAACTATTTACTACATCATGCTGTGACGTCCACTTCACTCTCACTCTTCGCAGATTTTATATTCATGATCCACGCAATATTCATATTGATATAATATAATATTAATAGTGATGTCTTTCCGCGCCATCTCCGCCCGCAACCTGCGCGTCCTCCGCCAGCAACCCCTCGCCGAGATCTCCGGCTCGCTGGGCGATTTGGGAACATTCCTGCCGATCACCATAGCGCTCGCTGTGAATAATACCATCTCGCTGTCCAGCACGCTGGTCTTCTCCGGCATCGCCAACATCCTAACTGGCCTGTTCTTCGGCATCCCGCTTCCGGTACAGCCCATGAAGGCTATTGCCGCTGTGGCCATGGCGAATGTCTTCACCAACGGCGAGATTGCCGCCGCAGGAATCTTCGTTGCTGCCTGTATTTTTGTTTTCAGTGTAACCGGCCTGCTGCGCTGGTTCTCCGATGCCGTGCCCATTCCAGTCGTCAAGGGTATCCAAGTCGGCGCGGGACTGTCGTTGATTATTTCTGCGGGCACGACGATGCGTACGAATCTGGGTTGGACGGATCCGTCGTGGGCTGATAATCGGGTCTGGGCGATTCTGGCCTTTTTGTTCCTGCTGGCCACGAACTATTACCGGAATCTGCCGTATGCTCTGATCGTACTCCCAGTTGGACTCGTGTTTGCTGTTATTCTTGCAGCACAGCATCACGACTTGCCGGCCTTCCTCCTATGGATTCCGGCGCTCACTGTCCCCGTCGGTGGCGACTGGCAAGTTGGAGTTGTGCAAGCTGGTATCGGCCAGCTGCCACTAACAACTCTGAACTCCGTCATTGCTGTCACCCACCTCGCCAGCGATCTGCTTCCCGATGTCCAGACACCGTCCATCACATCCATTGGTGTTAGTGTTGCGTTGATGAACCTGGTGAGCTGCTGGTTCGGCGCAATGCCCGTTTGCCACGGATCCGGGGGATTAGCAGCTCAATACCGGTTTGGCGCTCGCTCAGGATCAAGTATCATCTTTCTTGGGGGTTTGAAGCTGCTTATTGGTCTTTTCTTTGGAAACACTCTGATTGGATTACTTCAACGATTCCCATTTGCACTCCTGGGGATTATGATTATTGCAGCGGGTCTCGAGCTTGCAAGTGTCGGGGAAAGTCTGAATACGACTGGCGCTCGGGACCTGGGTAACAATCATCCTGGGATTCTGGGAGAACGTACGCAGGAAATCGGACCGGTGCTTACTGAGGAAGACCGAAAGAAGCGGTTTACTGTGATGTTTGTGACTATTGGCTTCCTCGTTGGGTTTAAGAATGACGCTGTTGGGTTTATTGCCGGAGTTTTGTGTCACTACAGTTTCAGGCTGCCCGCAGTTGTGCACAAACTTCGAGAAAGGAGACGAGATGGACGCATTCAACTGCAGAGTAATTGACCATGATATATGAATATTTGTTACGAACACGGACTATGATTTATGAACACGGACTTTGATTGGATTTGATATTTTTTACATTATTAAATAACACGACACATACTCCAAACCCATACCCAAACACCCTCGTACCCACAGACTTCCCTCCCATCGCATTCACCCACGGCGACTGTGTGAAGTTGAGGTCGTTGGTAGTTGATGTTGCTGCGAGTATGTATGGTGATGGTGGAGAGAAGGAGAAGCAGTGCGCTCAATGATTATATATGTATGGAGTTACTGCCTGTCTAGTATACAGTGTGAGGACATAATTATACAGTTTGAATATGTGTAGGTAGGTGTTCTTATAATTAATTTATTTGAGCTTAGCCATAAGAGGCTTGTTATTAATTTATTTTAATTTATGATATTGTCAGCCGACGCGGAAGCAATATGAGGGCGATATTCCGAGATGCTCTTCTATGAAAGCTGTTTATATAGATAAAATCAATTATAAGTTCATCTAATACTATTCATTAATAATAGTATACCTTCATTCATCTTATGAACTCTTAATAAATAGCAAGCAAATATATACAGGGAAGCTGATTGGCCAATGTACAGCATCGGCCTGTTCCGACACCCCGCACGCTTTAAAATGTGATCTGTCTCTCCCCTCACCTTCAACTTCACATCCAGAAACAAATCAATCTTAAAGGGCACAAATAATAATCAGCATGTCCACTGTTGATGCCGACGGGCTCACCCCCGAGCAGCTACAGTCTTTCAACGACAATGGCTTCCTGGTAATCCCCAACTACCTGTCCGCCGCCGAAGTGCAGTCCCTCCTCTCCACCACTCACTCCCTCCTCGACAGCTTCTCGCTTGACACCCACCCCATGACGCGCTTCACCACGGGCGACGACGACGAGAAAACCAAACACGTTGGCGACGACTACTTCCTCTCGTCTGGCAACAAAATCCACTTCTTCTTCGAGCCTGACGCTGTGGCCCCCCCAACCTCCTCCGAAGGCGCACCCCGCCTACTCAAACCCAAGAATCTGGCCATCAACAAAATCGGACACGCCCTGCACTCTCTCTCCCCACCCTTCGCTGCCGTCACTATTTCGGCTCGTAACGCCGCCATCGCCAAGTCCCTGGGCTTTCGCGACCCGCGCTGTCTACAGAGCATGGTGATCTGCAAGCAGCCTGGGATCGGCGGCTCGGTCCCGCCGCATCGCGACTCAGAGTTCCTGTATACCTCGCCGCCGTCGGCTGTGGGCTGGTGGATTGCACTGCAGGATGCGACGACGGGGAATGCGGCGCTGGGGATGGCGCGGGGGTCGCATCGCGGCAGGAGGGGCGGGCATATTGTGCGCCGGTTTGTGAGGGCGGAGGGGGGGACAACGTTTATTACGAATGATGGGCAGCAGTTGCCGAAGGGCCAGGAGGAGGAGAAGGAAATGGAAGGGGGAGGTGAGGAGGGTGGGTTTGAGGTTCTAGATGTCAAGGCCGGTGATTTGGTGCTTATTCATGGGAATGTGCTGCACGAGAGCCAGCGGAACACGAGCGAGAAGAGTCGCTATGCGTATACATTCCATGTCATTGAGGGCGCTGAGGGCTGGACGTACGATGAACGCAACTGGCTGCAGCCGCCAGCAGAAGGCTTCTCGCGGCTGAATGATGCGGTAGAGTAAACAATATTCAATTGACAATAAAGTCTATATACATGTACATACATAACTAACACTCAATGCAAAGGCTAAGGCATTGAGTAATACCTCTTCCCCGTGACCGGGTCAATGGCGCCCTCATCCACATCATCTCCCTGATACTGCTCCCCATCAATGCCGGTATAATCATCCGCAGGGCTATTTGTCGCCGACAGCATTGTATCCTGCGGCGCATTCTCCTGCAGCGAGTAATCCTGATTATTATCAGTATCCACGGACGCCGGCTCCGTCGACGTTACATTATAGTTGTAGTCTTCATCGGTCAGATCGGCAATGCGCTGGAACCCAGCTGTACTGGTACTGATGGTACTGGTTGCGAGTTCTTGGCCCGTACGATCGTAGCGCCGCTCAGATACGATGGCTGGTTCGCCGAGGTCTTGGTGCGCAGTGCGTACGATCGTCGTACCCGATGGGTCGGTGTGCGAGCTTGTCGCGTATCGGTGGCCGGATGTCGAGGTGCCTTTGGTGCTGCTTGTGGCCGTGCTGTAGTAGTACGAGGAGCTCTGGTAGGTGGCGCTGGACATGTCAATGTAATGTCAATATTTACTAGGTGATAAACAGATATGAAAGAATGTTGTGAAATGTCAAACGTAGTCAAGGCAAGGCAAAACGCTCAAGTGCAGAAATGAATGCTCGTCAACGAAAGAATAGCACGAAGAGGAATAGACACAATCGAAAAATAGTGAAACAAGATTAATTTTATATATACTCGCCTGTGGCAAGACCCAGCCTACATGTCGGAAATGACATCACCCCCAAATCCTATATTGCACATTCAAATTCGCCGCCTCCACAAACACAGTGCAGAAGGATGCGTTTCATGGAAACAGAGAATTCTTCTGCGGCACCAAGTCTAAGGCTCTTGAAGAACCTACCCACTCGATTCATGTTATGACGTCGAATAAAATTGGCCTGTTTATCTCGGTAATTTATTCCGCTCGCCAATCTGGTAGACATCCATCCGGTAGAGAAGGTTACATTGATTGACAGTCGGTATGTGAGGGGAGAACCAGAGAGTGGAAGGTTAGGGTTGGGTCTAGATTTTGGTGCCTGTTCCAGATGTGATTGGTTTGGTGTTCGATACGCCACTTGATATTTGCCATTGTCGTCACTGTCTTGATTATGATTTACGCTTACTAGAATGTGGAAGGAAACCATGGTATGGCCAGCCTACTATAAATCTGCTGGTCATGCGAAAGTGGCAACAAGCCATCAATTGATATTGTTTTGTATATTGATATATGCCGTGCTACAAATATCGGTATAAAAAGTCCAAATTCGACGAATTCAGCGCATCCAGCCGCGGCGTGCACGACCCAAAGTTTCGCGCAAACTCCTCGTCGAAAAGGAACGGTTCTGACAGGTCAATGTCAACCTCGTTGCTGGGCGGAGACAACGGCGTCATTTCAGACCACCGCTCCTCGTTCAGCTCTTCTTCCTGCTGGTTCTGGGTCTGCTGTGGCTCGTCTGACAACACTGTTGTCGAGGATGCCTGCGTTAGAGTATCTGGGAACAACTGGATATTTCGGACAAATTGCTTGGAGGGGCTGGTATCTGTGGACCCCGATGTTGCGTTCGTAGTAATACTGGGTATGATGGTAGTACCATTCTTCTCTTCCGATAACTGTAAATATTCGGCCGTGCTTTCGTCCAGACAGTGGAAGAAAATTTCGAGCACCCAGTAGTTCAAATCCCACGACTTTTGCAGCTCTTTCAGCCCCAGCAGACACAACTTGGCACGGTGCTCGGCGAGTTTGCGTTCTGTGCCGTCGGCGCGCGAGAAGTGGACTGTATGGATACACAACGCGGCGAATATGTTTGTAATTCTTCAACTCTTATGTTAGCGAAAATTTCTAGAAGAGAAGGATTGGTGACTGACAAGTGCAGCATCCCGTGCTCGATTAGATTCTGCGATAGCATATCTTCTAGAATTCGCGTACACTGACAGGCTGCTTGCAGCGCCATCCTGCCTTCTTTTTTCTTCTGTTCGTCGGAGGAGGAGTCCAGAAAGGAGGGGCGATATAGTAGTATATACAGATAACTACGAGTTACGAATTAGTTAAATTAGTTAACACCGGGAGATTGATCTGGGTACCTACTTGTGTGTGATATTGACGATTCCGGCAAAATACATCGTCCCTCGCTCAGTAGCCTCTTGGAGTTTCAGTTCTGCTGGCAAGTCGGATTCCCATTTCATGATGCGCTCTTTGAGACGTTCGCGTTCGGCTTGTTCGTAGCGTAGCTGGCCGGGGAGATAGGCTGCCCAGACAACCTCTCTAACTAGGGAAATCAGCTTTCTTTCTTCTGGTATGCTGGATGAACATACGCAGCCTGGCAGCTCGTGCCATTTGAATCATATAAGAGGCATGCTCGGGTTTCTGTTCTCCAAATACGGACTTATTTTCAACGACGCCTTCCTCTTCAAAGTCTGTCCCATCCAGCATTGGAATGTCGCAGTCTTCGTCTCGTATACGGGCCGGCAGGCCATATGCCGCGGCAACTTGTTGATCGCGAATCTATAACATTAACCCCAACCCCAAACACGCAATGAGCTTAAAAGAATAGGACATACATAAAGAGACCAGAATATCCGTTTCCGCACCCTCTTCTCTTTCGAACTGAGAAGAGATAATTTTGACCTAACCATGTTAATGTCATTCGAGGCACCTTCCAGAAGATCTTCTACTCACAACATATGCAAGCCCCCCGTCTGCGCAAGACTAATAGCAGCCCCCAACCAATACCTAGTATCCTTCTCATGCCCCGGGGTACTCCGCCAAAAGCTCAACAAAAACACCGCCTGCAACTTCGACAACGAATCCGTTTCACAGTCTGCATCAAAAATCTCCTTTCCCCGGTCATAAAACAAGAACTTGGTCTCATACCGATCCCGAAAGCCAGCCTCCCGCAAGGCGTTGTCACTACATAGACTCGCGCCAATGAACAGCATAGATTGCAGTAACAGCGGCGATATCGTCTTGTCGTTACACGATTTGCTAATCTCCACACGATCCACGATCGGGAAACAGGGATGAAACCATTCAAAATAGGCCTGCAGAAGCATCTCACACACGGCAGGCTCCGGAAAATCAAACGCGCCTTCGCGCGTCAATTGCTCGATTTTCCGTGCTCGCCGGCTCGCGAAGAGCGAGAAGCTGACGGATCGTCGACAGACTACTTCGGGGATTGGATACTGCCAGCGTCGCTTGCTGGCATGTCCGGATGTGTTGTTGTTGTCACTGCCGGGTTCGGGCGGTCGAGACCCTTCTTCGACAACGCATGTTAATGGGCTTGATTCGCCGAAGAAGATGGTCTGTTCAAGCTCGCTTTTTATTTGCGCACTGCGCGTTGTGAAGGGCGTGCTGTTGGGGCTGTCGGGTGAGAGGATGTCGCGTTTTATGCCCATCACATCGCGATTCGTCGTCCCAGACTCATCCTGTGGACGAGGAGGGATGGAGTTTGGATGAGGGCTTACAATGTAGCGAGGATATCTAGTCTAGATCAGCTTTGTTCGTCTAGAAGTAGAAATCTTATATTGGAATAGAGGAGAAGAACAATAACATACTTCCCCCTCCTCGACACCCCGATCTCGCAATGCGTCCCCGCAGTCCGGCAATTGTCGCATGGCTGTTTTTCCGTGACATTGCATCGGACTCGTCTGGCGTTGCAGGTGATACATGCCCGTTTGGCTCGCGGTTTGACCACACGAGGAGTCTGTGGCTTCGAGCTCATGGTTTATTTAATCGCTATCTGGTTTTCCATGTATTTACTGCTATACAGTCATTATCTTAGATGTGACAAGGCCAGACCAATCGACAAGACAGCATTTGTCAAGCATTAAATTGGAAATCTGGGGAAGCACGGTAATATGAGGCCCGATAAAATCCCCACCAGCCGGCTGGCATATAGCCGGTACCATACCGTACACTCCGGCTCTACAAGGAGCGCATGGATATGTGTAATATTCGAAATTACATTACAATGTTGGATTGTAAAGAATAGAAAAGTTAATTTTCGTCTACCTTGTACGCCATGCATAAGAAAACGTAGATAGAATACAACCATGTATGTAATGCCATGCCACCAGAACTCCAGGGTATCCAACTTTTATATGCGAAAGGTTAAACCTTGAGCATGTCCAACATGCCTTTCGTTTGCCACGCCTTCTGGGCCTGCTTGACTTCCTCTTGTACCCGCTTGTAAAGCTTCATGACTAGAGCATCCACCTCCGCCGACTGGCCCAAGTTGCCCGAATAGATATCGAGGATATTCATCGCGACTTCGACGCATAGGTCCACGAGCCGCGGCTCCATGATATGCTTATATACCCATTTCAGGATAGGCTGTAACGTGACCTCGTCGCGATTCATTAGAGCTTCTCGCAGGGCAGAGCGATGCCGCAATGCGGTGATAAGTGTTAGTTGCGTCATCTTCTCGTGTGCCATCAGCGCACGATCAAGGGCATCGGAGTAGAGGCCATGGCGGAGATCAGACTCCCACGCCGACTCCTTCTTTCGCTTTTTGGTCTCGTGGCCCTGGATGATAATGTCGACGCCCTCGCCGAGGAAATCTCGGCCGCGTTGTCTTCTCGCCTGCGCGTTTGATATGCCCTTTTTGGCTTGTTTCTTGTCGTATTCTTCTATGTTGCCGTCTAACAATGCCTGCATTTCTTTCTGGCGTTCTCGCTCTCGCAGTTTCTGCTGGCCAGAGAGCCGCGTCTTGATCGAGACAAGACCCGATTGCATGCCCACTGCGATATGCTTATCTTCCCTTTCAGGACCTGTTGTGAGAACACGCAAGGATAGAATCGGCGACGGATATTTAGAACCAGCTACCACCGACCAGGTCGTAGTGTCGAACACCTTGAGATGGCCATCCAACGCGCCACTCACAACACGGTCACCATTAGAAGCCAGCGAAAGCGCCGTAACAGTCTTCTGATGGCTCTTGATCATATGCAGCGGCTTCCCAGCAACCACATCCAACACTGCAATCTGATTATCCGCCGCAGCCAGGACCGTGGTACCAGACGGCATCGGCAAAACACTCTCAATTGCCGCACCCATCTGGAACGTCATCACGGAGCGGCCATCCACGCGAGGATCCCACAGTCTAACCGTCCGATCATAACTCCCAGAAACAACCATTCCACCGGACGCCATTGAGCCAGGCATAAACGCTCCGCTTCTGACATAGTCCGTATGTCCGGTAAAAGTCTTTTCGTTGGTCTCACTCGGCAAGCTCCATAACCGCACTGTCCTATCGTCGCCTGTGCTGAGCAGCGTTGTAGCGTCGCTCGGCGAAAACTTCGTCACCCACACGGGCTGCTTATGGTCCTTCCATGTTTTCAGAATGGCGCGCGAGTTGACATCGAACACCTGTATTGTGCCGGAATCGTCACCGGTTGTGAGTATGCGGCCGTCGGGGCGCACGTCGGTGCCTCGGACGGTGTCGTCGAAGCGAGTGATCGTCCGAAGCAGTTTGCGAGTGCGGATGGAGTATATCTGGACTCGCGCACCGGTCGAAACGGTGAATACATCTGGAGGCTGGGCGGCGGAGGGGAAGGCGGATAGTGATGATGGAATGGAAGGCTGTGTGATGAGGTTGATGGGATTGTTGGATGGCGAGGATACGAGTAAAGGCGTCTTAAAACTTTTCCAGTAGAGTTGCTCGGCCGTCAGTTTGGTGGACGGCAGCTGGGGGAGCTTGATTTGAGGGAGGGGTAACACCGGTGCCGCCATTGCGACCGTTGCTAAATACTGCGACAATAACTTTCGTATACTGGTTGTAGTGTTGAGCATCAGGAAAAAAAGTTGAGATTGACTTAACGCGGGAAGGCGCGGACCCACTCTCGGTACCGCTAGTGTCTTATTCGTAACCTGCTTACAATACAGAACTATTGATAACAGAGCAAAACCTAATGAGCACGCCCAGAGAGATATGAAAAGATATAACTGGGTATTAAGGAAAATATAATGGATATCTAAAGTCCGTATACAAAGGTATATTTCTTATCCGCATAGCGCTCAGAAGACGTTCGCTCGTTTTCAATTTGCTGGTCCGTCCAACCCTGAACCTTGCGCGCCTTGACTTGATTGACAGCCCGCAAGACAAACCGATAAGAGAGGAAACCGAGCATGGCGACGAAGACAAAGCAGAGGGTCACAAAGAATGGCACGAGAAACTTGGGCGCGTATTCCGCTCGGTAGAGTTGTGCGCCGACGACGCCTGCAAGGTTTCCGCACCCATTGACGCCGATGACAAGGGAGCGTTTGCCTGGTTCTGCACGCTTGTTAGTCTTGTCAAGTGTGGAATAACGGTTGTAGCATACCAGGGGTGTTTCCACTAAGCCAAGCAATGATTAGAGGAGCAGAAGTGTAGCTTCCAAAGAGTAAGATGCACAATCCGGTGTATTTCCCTCCATTGTTAGACACTGTAACGAGAACAACCAACCCAACGAGACATATGAGCAGTCCAACTACGATATGATAACCCCTTTCATGACTGCGTATATGTTAACACCGAACCCAAAATCATGCCTTTTCACTTACTATCGATCCGAGCTAAACGCAAAAATGTACAACCCCACCGCTCCACAAACGTAGGGAGGGACAGTCATCTAAAAAAATATCATGGTAAGCACTATTAATTCGAAAAATACATAGGAATCTTACCAAATTAGCATTCAATGACGTATAACCCATTCCCTTGACCACCAGTGGCAGAAATACTGAAAAAGCGGTTGGCGGGACAGAGGCGCAGATGTTAAAAAACAAAGCATACCACAATTTCCAGTCCTTGGCTGTTTCGACAATGTCTCTTTTTGAAAGACGGTCCGAGACATGCTCTATACCGTCTTTGCCGATTTCATGACGGATGTATTTCGCATTATCCCGCTGCACTCTCATCGTCACAAACTGTCGTTGGGAGCTTGTCAAAAACCACGCTGAGCCTGGCCCAGAAGGTAGCCAGAACCAGGCGAGGATACCGACAGTGCAAGTGATGGCGCCTTCGATTATGAAGAGATATTGCCATCCTTTCAGAGCGCCTGTGATTTGGAAAATCCCGTACGCTGTATACTGTTAGAAACCTGCGCCATTCCGAATCAGGGATAAATACCCAATGCGCCCGAGAAAGCACCTGCAATGGCATAGTTTCCATAAAATAATGCCAATCGTAGACCGAGATCAAAACGTGTGTAGAATGTCGAGAGGTAAAAGCACACTGTTGGAAAAAAGCCAGCCTCAAACAAGCCAATGAGAAGTCTCACTGTTATTAAAGCGCCTATGAAGAATTAATTCTAAATCTGGTCGAATGTAGGATGATTTCAAGTACCTCGGCCTTTGATAAACGCATGAGCAATAGTAGTGATACCCCAACATATCTATGATGGTAGGGAATGTTATTAGTTGTCTTCCAAAATCGACCTCCAGATTTAGACTAACCATGATAACAGGTATCCAGTGTTTAGCCCCGATCTGCCTCCCCACCGCAGATGACAACGGTTGAAAAACCACAAACGGAATAAAGAACAACGAGACAGCCAGATTCAAATCATCAGCAGTAGCGCCAATATCATTAGTAAAGCCTGCAAACATAAAATCAGCAACAAATACATATGCATCTTTCCATCTGCTCTTCACGACTATATTCATACCTTGCGTTTCTGCATTTCCAATATTTCCGCGATCAAGTCCGCTAAAGAGATATAAGAAGGACAAAAATGGGAGCATAATCAGATCCAGTTTTCGGTTTATCTCTCGGTTGTGTCGCTTTTCGTCCTCGTCTGAGAAAGTTATGAAGCCATCGGTGATTTGTCCATGGCTAGGTTTGCTTGTGCGTGCTGGCACAGGTGCATGCTTTTTGATTGCATTGAACATTGCCAGGCAAGCACGCTGGAATCGGCCCTAGGATCAATGTCGATTGTATGGTAGACCCGGGCTAGTATAGACTTGAAGCGTTGGGTATTGAATTGAGTAGGATACCGGTATGGCGTGTTTCAAAGGGCGATATATAAGGGGCGATATTTCAATTGATGAGCTCTGCGTACAACCCACAAACCAAACCATACAGCGACAGCGACAGCGATCATTTATAGTATCTTCTAGGACGTATAGGATCAATTTGCACTCACAAGCCCCGAGTTTTTGGACCGTGAGCTCCTGTGAATAGAATAGTTGGAGCCATTGACTCATTGACTCGCAATACCAACAGCCACCAAAACCAACAGCACTTCAGCTGGGATGCGCGAACAGGCCACGAGGGGACCCGAAAACGCAGGATCAGAAGCAGACCAATCACGTGCATGGATGCCTGGAAAACGGGGCCGAAATGGGGTAATGCCTAAATCGTGATAGCGCCCGATGTTGCTGTTTTGTCGTCCGCACTCTACTCATCATTTGGTCGGTAGAAATAAGCTTGGGAAGTACAGATGATGATGGATGAAGGGCGGAGCTAAGGAATATCTAAGCGGGTTTATATGCAGGTTTCAGCTGGAGAAATCCTGGCTAGTCCTTTAGTCTGCTGCAGCCTGCAGCCTCCATGCAGCTTGCACGTGGAGCTGGTGAATACGAGCTCTGATCTGCTAACAGTTTTAGCCTCAGATAAAAATTAATATATGATAAACTATAATATATTAATAATCCGCGTCATCGTCTAGTCATGCTTAACCTGTACGAGAAGGATCGAAGGTTGTTTGTTATGTTCTTGACTGCTTTGTAATCCGGTCCAAAATGTCAATCTCGTATTTAGGCGCCTTTTTGGCCCCTACCTATCCCTTATCCGCATCACTTACGCGTTAGAAATGCCCAAAAAAAAATACTATTAACATGATTGCAGCTGAGTGTATACTGCATATAGGTGAGGCTCTGCTGACTCAGAGCCAGACTCAGTTTGAATATCTAATAACTTAGGCCCCGCTTATCGTGGGATTGCCAGAGGGAGCCTCGATGCGGGTCATCGGGCCGCAGGGTGATTTCCGGGAGGTAAGTAGTGGATAGCTCAACGGCCGAAAGCACCCTGCTGGAAGTGATCGAGGTTGTCTGACTGTCAGACGACGCATGCGAATCCGGAGAGTCAGATGACATGAGTGTCAAATTTCGGAACCGCTCCACAACTGCGTAGAACTCTGCTACCATTTTGGCGCAATCCAGAGAGCATTCGTTCTCGCTCTGACCGGGGTTTTTGAGATCTTCTAGCACGTTCTCGATGAGCTGGATGTCCTCGGGTTGCATGTGTTGGGGTAGTAGGAGGGTTAGTTCTAGAACTGTGGCAGCATTGAAGGAGTAGTGGTAGCGTAAAGTTAGCATCATGACCGCTGGCCGTGATTCGACCAGCCCACAGATAAGCGATGCATTTTGACGCGCGGCGTCGACGCATCTTCTGACAAGATTGTCTGGAAATTGCAATCGTCGGTTGATTGTGCTGTCGACCAAGTAGAAAGAAAGTCTCGTCTTCACGGCTAGGAAAAGGAGAGGTCGGGTACATAATAGGACAAGCTGGACAAATATTAGCATGTATTATTTGAATAGCTATAGTTGATATGAGCAAATACCTGATTATAGATTAGATGAAGGATGATTTTATTCGGGTTCTCCGTGCTTGGAGACATAGTGATTCTCAAGCTTGTGGGCAAAGAATCTGCCCAATCTGTGAGTCTCGCTAAACACTCATTAATATGTGCGACGATTGTTGGAAGTCCCGCTTTCCGAGAATTGGAGCCGTAAATCTTTGATGTGACGTCCCCCATGATCAAGGCCAGCTTGACATGAGCTCTGAGACCATCGGGAGGCGGAAGATCTTCATCCTATTCAAATAAACTTAGTAATGCGGCAATAAGTGCTTGAGAAATGCCATGCCATAAAATAAAAGATAAAGGAATTTCAAGAACAAAATCACTATTGCAGTTAATTCTTACCCTTCCTGTGACCCTTTCTGGAAGACCAATACTTAATGATTCATTCTTGATACTTGAAGGTCTCCCAGTAAGACAGCTTACCCAGCTGTCGCACTTTTGTCAGTCATTTTCAAATATATGAATCGTTTAAAAGTGTAACTCACCGATCAAGAATGAACATATTCCAGAATTCTCTTCTCTGCCTCTCATTTGCAACCCAGCCTTCATGAAAGCCATGTAGAATTGCAATCCTCATAGCGGCACATATATAAGTATAAGCCGTGTCTCTACGGCCAGTGCCCAAAAGATAGTAGCTCATAAAAGTCAATGCTTGCATGGTAGTAGTCGTCGAGTTACACAAGACATTTCCCAAGAGCATTTTTGCCCTAGCGAAAAATGTTTCGCCTGGGCTATGCTCTCCTTGCTGTGCTGGGAAGCAATCAAACTGGCATGCCAGTGCCAGAGTTGCATTAAGCAGGCAAAGCCCCGTTGTCGCGACTCCTTCGGCTGCATCACCAGCGTATCGAAGTATATCATTTAGACTACCCCAGAAATAGATACCACCGCAACCGTATGGATCGTTTCTATCTTCTGTATACCCCCAGAATGCACTAAGCAGGCCAGTAATCTCATCAATTTGCGGCAAATCCAAGGCATTCACCTGATGAGTTGCGATTGGCCTGGAGTCGTAAGTGTGGATACGTCCATAGTGAGATCCGAAAGATGATGTAGACATATCAAGTCTCGAATCCAGTAAGCGGACCAAGCTACGAAGCTGGTCAATCCAGACACCCCCGGCACACGCTCCGTGAAATCTTGCGTAATTATCTGAATATCTTAGCACGCGACCTTGGGGAAGATCATGATGATCACTAGGTTCGTGATCATCTTCAGATTTGTCGGAAGAAGGGTGGGACATTGCATCTCTCCATTTCTGCACCAGAGATTCCCGTTTCACTGACGAAGGCACGCTTTCTTCCAAGCACCGGTTCAGAACAGCACAATCTGTTTTGAGAGCTTCGTACTCGTCTTTGGAGACGTATATTCTCTCCCCAGTTGCTGGATACATGCATTCTCGAGAATTTCGGGCACAGGCTTCACAGGGCCGTCCTCCGCTGCATTTTATACGTCTTACGTTACACGAATTACAACTATAGGCGGTTAACAGGGCGTTGAAAAGCTACATGAATGGCAAAATGGAGTGTCACTTACGCGCAAACCACACGGCGGCGATTTGAGGCCGGGACCTTGTGGCGCCGCTTGTTAGGGGGCAGCCTTTCGACACTGCGGCTATCAGTTTGTGGCGACAACGATCTGGTCATCGTAGAGGATGTAGGAACATTGCGATAGAACACACAAGTTTAATCGCATCTACGATTTACCCCAGGCAGGTGAGAACAATAATAATTGCGCGGTGATGTTGCCTGCCAGCCAGCGATGGGCGGAGCAAGCCGCGCCGCCACGTGATGTTGTATCATCGATGCCTTCGTGATCAGGCTGAAAATTTCTCGGCCCGCTAAACAAGGTTCGGCCCAATGAGAGGTGTCTATTTTTATATGATAGGGAAAAGTCGTTGATTTATATTGCGAAACTGGCAACTGTCTTCATTATATTATTTAATCCGTTTTTCACCAAGCCATCTCTAAGCAACGCTTCCTTTAGCTACATTTCTATGTTTGTGCTGCAGATCCAAGGCATTTGCTATGGCATTTGTTAGGGCACAGCCGGCCGCCCCTAACCCTAAGCCCCGCCTAACAAGCCACTATTGACGCCCCAATAATAAAGCCCTATTATGTCCTCAGGGCTTAAATCCAGCCCAGGAAGAACACGGGTCCGGAACGGAACTGCCAACTGCTCGTCCTACACGCGTGCCAAGAACCCCGCCTTGTTGTCTGACGTGGTCCATTTTTGTATATCAACACCTATTCCTAGCGGACTGTGCTGGCTTGATTCTAATTCTGGAAACCGAGTAAATTCGAAACCATGGTACTATAATTCCATCATCCGCTCTGCACCATCTGAAAATGTATGTATGGCTGACCGGTCTCGGGCCAACCAGGCAGATGCGTTGACAGAGGACCAAATAGCACGATTTAAAGATGCGTTTGCAGTGTTTGTAAGCATGATACTCACCTAATGTATGATTTCTTCACCCATGCGCTGACCTTGCTAGGATAAAGATGGAAATGGTAGGTTGGGATTCTGAGATAGGTACAATAGCTAACAAAGCCCACTTTGTTAGGCGATATCACCGCGGAAGAGCTTGGCGAAGTTATGCACTCGTTAGGCCAGAACCCTACCGAAACCGAACTTCAAGATATCGTCAATGAGCTGGATGTAGACCACACGGGCACCATCGACTTCCAAGGTATGTTATAATCTCGCTACGATCACTATATTATTATTATAAATTAGCTTACTCGCTATCTATACCGAAGAATTTCTCGCTTTCATGGCCCACAAGGTCGTGGAGACAGATGACGAAGCCGAGCTTCGTGAGGCATTCAGAGTATTTGACCAAGATGGAAGCGGCTCGATCGATGCTGAGGAAATACGACGTGTTATGAAATCCATCGGCGAGAACCTTACCGATGAAGAAATCGACGACATGATTAGGCAAGCCGATGCTAATGGTGATGGAACGATTGATTGTGAGAAATATCTTTCAACTCATATATCGACTGTGAAGAGTCCTATATAAACTAACTCATTTCCCTTCAGACGAGGAATTTGTTAATTTACTCCAGCAGGCTTGATATGTATCTCATCTGAGGCTTTACTGTTAGGTTATGCTACGGTTCCGCAGGGTTAGCTTTACTTGGTGTTACCACTTGCAATGTTCTTGAGAGACAGTCTGTTACTACTAAATCTATCTTGCTTTAGCGATAGGAGAATGAATTCAAGAATTGCGCGACCGTATCAATCGTTCGAAACATGGGCCTTCAGGACCTACTAAGATATTGACCACCCAAGCTCCTCACATCCAGAAAGAATAACCATGGGTATTGTAATACATTTCCCTTTCAGCATGAACGGGTAACCTGCTATCGCTTAAGCTACGCTAGTATACTCAACCCCTTTTCCAGCAGGAAATCTTTCCCATGTTACCGAGAGCATACTAGAGTACTTACTGGTTTCGGTTTAGAAGATCAATAAACTGAATATTCCAACAAAGGGAATTGCTGTGATATGTAATGCTAAGCGAACAAAATATATGTGAAGACCAATATAAAACCAACGCCAGAGCATTTGCCCTAGAAGCCTGGGGACCATGGCTTTGGGAAGCGAAGACTATAAGAGCTCCTTTGCATATGACGCCGCAGTTGCAGCAGCATAACCTTGCCATCGTTTATTCTTGTGAGAATCCGAAGAATCACATATGCCCCGGATGACTAGACACGGGAAATGATCCATCAGGCCTGCAAGCTTCCATCTCATAACACAGGATCCCAAACTCCTTTCCAAGCTTGTCGCGCGTTTGGGAGTCCCTTCATCACCTAATTGGCAGTCGCAATGAGGTCGTAGTAAATATAGGGTTCTACGGATGCTCGTGGATGTCGCGTAGACTTGTGACTAGACTCGCAATTTGTACAAGTTAGATTAATTCCTTGATGAATGTAGGACGGTTGAAAAAGGATGTCGTGGGCCTCTCCAGAGTAAGTCAACGACGATTTCATTAAAGGGTGAGCCCTTGCAGCGTTTTCTAGGTGGACAGTAATGTGGTTCATTGCCGACCTGTGCTTCGCTTGTAGATCTGAAATCGCCGTCAAGAGAACCTCCGGGGCTTGTTCAGTGTTCCGGTGCGATGAAACACACCAGCTACCAAAGTCTTCCCATAGTCATACTGTACCACCCCCCAAAGCTGGCCAGTTGGCTTACTGACAACGACATCACCCAGACGAATATCGAACGAATCGCTCAGTGCTCCACCACCGATGCCGACCATGAGCCCAAACTTGACGGACGGAAACGTGGGCAGCATTTGCTTCGCTGCGACAACGGCGGAGGTATGACCGTAAACCCAGCGGGAAGATACGCCATCACAATGTTATGGCCTTCTATCTCGCGGATATGATAAGTGTTGTGATCACCTTCAGGGCCTGGCAGCGGGGCATGACTGTCATCGAGCATTGCCATCGCTGCCGCCAGCTCGAGTGGCAGCGTGCTGACCCAGCCGATCGTATAGTCATGGTACGTCAGCTGTTTTCTAGACGATGACATTGTGGGGATCTCTCTCGCATTATGTGACCTTTTTGGTAATGGTGTTGCCAAAGCTAGCTCTCGCAGGTACCCACGTCTGGCATGACTATGAGCTTTTGTTAAGAATATATTTTTGAAGTTTTACAACACCATATAACTATAAGAACCTAATAAGATTTTAGAGTAGTAATAAGTAAGCCTTGAAGAATATAGGCACCAACAATTTTATAACCAGGTTATTTTTTTACCTGCACTGATCGTTGCTATTTTAGTGTGTCTCTATTTCGGAGCGGGCTAAAACGATTGACTGAGAAGACTCCGTTAGAAGCTATTCAGGAAACAGATTTCCATATCAATAGGCTTATCTCAACATCTTCTTAGTGTTGCTTTTCAAATAGTGATATCGACGAGTCCGATTTGATTCAAACACTCCAAAAACTTTCCTGCCCAAAGCGCCGTAGTGAATCATTTGCAATCATTCTTTTGGTGAGCATATGTCGCACCTCAATTCTCTTGTCTCAAATTTCTTGTCGAAACCAATGATTATATTCAACAAATTGCCACTCTACCTTATACTTTTATAAAGGAAGACCTTCTCCTGCGCAAAATGTCCTTCTGGTACATATTTATATTAGCTGACCGAACCAAGAGATTGAACATCGTTTAGACTATATTGGATCGTCACGAAACGGAGTAAAACAATAGTTTGGCTAAAGTCTATGCTTCTTTATCAACCCAATGCACATACAACAATATATAAATTTGCCCCCACCACATTCTGGTAGTTTCAGATTTTATTATAAGATAAAAGATAAGGTTAATACTACAACATACTTGCTGATTCCATATTGACAACTTAAGACCAAAGATATATTGGAGATAGATTCTATCACAACCTTCCGAGCGAGGATATTCGCTCACTAGATACTGGGACAAAAGACCAGAATATTGAAGATAATAATTCTCTCCAGTACTCTCTCATTCACTAAGGGTTGCCAGAACCGTCACACGTAACACCTTGTAGATCCCTCCTTCTCTGGACTAGTGTTGGCTAGTATATTTTCCTAACACTAGATATTAAGCCTTTTCTAACTCAGAATTATATCTTAGTCTAATCAAATTTGCTCCTAATCCTAATTGTTACTGAGTAACCTCACTAGTGCTTACCAAGTTCAACAGTAGAATTAGGAAATGTGCAGAGATACGATTACGGAACAGCTTCACTTTAATCAACTGGCATATGTTCATAGGAGGAATTTTCCTCAGCAAATATATACAAAGAACGGGGCATAGACAAATTGACCGTCAGCACAAGGCTGGTGAGTGATAAATTGACCCCTGTATTCACCCGGCGCAAGTAATATCTTTAGGAATCATTCAATGAGTGTGGTACAGGCTTCCAGAGTTTGTACAAGTTGGGTTTCTGCATTTAATTCAACCCCATATCTATGCCGTGCAAGAGCTTGCTGCGAGAATCCAGCCGGTCAGACGATTGGCAACGTCTGAGGCATAGCACGGTGTGCTGCCGAGACCGTTGTCTAGGTTCGAGTAGTCGGCGGAACCGCTGTTGTAGAGACGCGCAGCGGCATAGAAAGCTTGGGAAGTGGTGACACCGAGGGTGGACTCCGCCTGCGAAATGAGCTGCTGCAGACCATCACCGGAAGAGGTTCCGGCGGTGCCGTCGGTGATCATCTGGGTGATCTCGGACTGTGGGCATGGGTCAACACCAACACAGGTGCCGCTGCCATCGTGAGACTGCATGAGGCCCGGGTTGACGACACCATTGTTGGTGGTAGGCACGCGGACACACCCTTTGCTTTCCTGCATCATGATCGCAAGAATGAAGCGCTCATCGACGCCCGTCGAGCTGGCCACCTGCTCAATGGCAGTTTGGATGTCGGCAATCTCTGTCGATGAGTCGTCATTGCCCCATCCGTTCCACCCACAGGTATTCGGCATAACGGCAGCATTGACTGCCCAAAGATCTGACCAGGAGCTCCAGCTGGACATGTCAGGCCAGCCGGCAGCAACTGAGCCATCACCCGTGTAGTAGGTGTAGCTGTCTGATGTAGCCGTAGAAGCTGCCTCAGGAGTGGGCAAGGCGCTGACCAGCGCTAGGAGAGAAGCAGATGTAAGGAACGTTGAGCAGTACATGATGTATGCTTAGTTATTTGGGATTCAAAGGAGTGAATTGCAAAGAATGAAGTGAAAGTATGGTATCTTGGAAGCAAAGAGAAGGGACTGCACTGTATATTGGATGTATGAGGATATTTTCAAGCCTTTTATATGCGCACTCAATGGCCGCAGAGCCCGAGCAATACGGAAATCCAATGTAACCATCAGCATCGGCCTCACAAGCATAGCAAGGTAACAACTTCATGTTAGAGCAATTGCAACGTCCTCTCTGTGTTGTGGCCTAGGGTGGTATGTCTCTTTGGGTGTCTCCTCGAAGCTCAAGGATGCAGGCACATCGACGAGAGGGGCACGATACCACGGCTCACGAGTTAGGAATAGCAGTACGTGCAAAGCAAGGAAGAGAGTTTTTCATGAGCGTGTTATAGACTAATGAAACGAACAAAGATTTGGGTGCGGAATGTGGGAAATTTGACCGTGCCGCTCTGTCGTCTACTACGGGGAAGACACTTCTAAAGGAAAGGTTGGGGCATTTGGTGTTTACGCTATGTTCAATCTACTCAAGAATCGGCATAGCTCCCCTGTCCAGAATCTTATGGCGATTATTCTTCGACTAAAGATAACAGAAAGGCATTTAATTTGGCCATAAAGAAAGTGGCAGCCGTGCGACCTCATGTAGACAAGATACGCTCTTTTTAGAACATTGAGCATTGAACTGCAAATTCCTCCGCTAGTTTTGCTACAGTACTATGTTAAAATGCAACGTTTGGAATGACACTGAAAGTCGTTTCTGAAATTCACACGATGCAAAGCGGCTCGTCGTAGATAACGGGATTTAGAAATTCGCGCCACTACGTCTCAAATTAATTAGAAGCTTTATTTTCTAACTAAGTATGTAGCTAGCTTCTTCTTCCGCGAACGCTTATTGGAAATGGCCTATGAGATATTCGCCGGATCCTTAGGAAGTAAACCGCCTGATGTAACGTGGCTGAAGAAAGCTAAAGTAAGGAAGGAGAACGTCGACGACCACTCGTCCTCCGCCCTACTTGTTTTCGTTTCTTGGGGTTTGCACCACCACCACCACCACAACAAGCCACATTTCAATCGATGTGACCTAAAGCTTTAGTAGTCTACATGCATGACCGGATCTAGGAAAACGTATCGGGGCTTTGATTTCTTGATGGGGTTAAGGCACCGGCATATAGCTGCATAATATCGTAATGTGGATTAGATGGCGAGGCTGTCATTGGAATATCTATAAGTGGCTATTTAAACGATGAACTGAGTATTGAGTGGATTAAGCATTTAAATAAGCATATGGCAAAGAAAACGATGGGCCACGAATGCCTCCTCTTGATGACCACGGCTTTCAATATTAGTACAATTGATTTGGAAATATGAGATCTAGAACATTCTTAGCTCTTCTCTTTATCTTGATTAAGCTCTAAATCATAATAAAAACTAGCGGGCTAGTTCAGACAATGAAGGATTTGGGAAGAACTAAATATGCGACTCCAATCAGGACCTGTATTAACAATGGCTGACGGCCGATATATAGCTCAACAAAGGGGAAAAAATTGAACTAGGTAAACCATATCTGCTGATTGACGTGGCAGAACAAAGGACTTATGACTGATCGCTAGTTTTCTAGAGCAGCTGAAGAAGCTTGTAGAGGGAGAATGGTTTATCACACCCCTAGTTACAATATCAATTGATATTCATTCATGTCTAGTTTCTCCTTGTAATTACTAAACAAGAAGAGATCCTCGCAAAAAACAATACCCTCTCATCTACCCGTTTGGATTCCAGGAGGCTAACCCTACCGGCCCCTAAAAGGCCCCCAAATCTCCCAGCGGAGATAAACGGCTTGGGGCGAGGAATGCGTAAGTGTATTTGAACGTTTTAGCACTAGTTAGGGGCAGGCGGCGTGCGGAATTAGGGGTCTAGGCCCCTAAACGGACCCCCCTTAGTGCCCACTAAAACGAGACCTTCATAGCTTAAGCTGGATAAGGTCGTAAAAGTTGATTAATAATAATAATAATACAAGAAAGCTTATACGGACCTGGCGGACAAACTGAAATGGCCGGATTGGCTGCTGATTCCGTATCTCCACTCTAGATGAGTCCTACTCGGCTTATTATTTTTCCAGTCTAGTCATGTTATTCTATAAGAACGCGGCATGGTGAAGCATTTAGAGGCTTCACCTGTGGCGTTTATGCGCCACATGGTCATCTGAGCCTGTCGGTGATTATTCCTTAATCCTGATTTGTCTTAGTGTCTCCGGTATTGTGCGTTGCTTTAGCCAAGCTTTCTCTGATGCATAAACTCTTCCTGTCTGATCTTGGATATCTTCCTCCTTAGCTTCGCGCAGGAAGACGCTGGCGAATGAAGTCACCAGCGGCGCGTTGCTGGCTTGTATGGACAGTTGTGAGATGATAAGCCTGCCACCAGCCAGTTCGGCAATGCATGTCGGAGGGCGACAGCTCGCCAGTGGTCCAGCGTGATTTCTCATCTCTTCTCTGGCTGATTAAAATGTCCCATATCACCTCCCAGCTCGAGCCACCACCGCGCTTTCTTGGCGAGGTCAATCTTGCGCTCGGGATAATTGGCCTCGATCACCAAGGGCCATTTCATAGATCGATGTTTGGGAAGTACTCGCGGCTTGATGGATCCACTCGTACATCTTGAGGCAAAACACTCGATCAGGGTTATATATTCTCTTTCTTAGGCACTCTTTAATAGATTCTTTCCTAATATATTTCTTAATTATTTCTCCTATTCAATATTCGCCATGTGGGTAACATGGACCGGCCTCTTGATATCCATGCCATCCATACATGCATTAACCATCCAGCCCATCAAGCGCACCTCAATGGTGATGGTAACCTCTACCTACGTCATCATCATCGCCATGACTTCCACCTCCGCAATCCCCATCACCTCGATGGCGATGACGTGCACTGTCGGGGGCAGCGCTCCCACCAGCACATGTGCCAGCTCCGGACCAAGGGGACGATGTACTGGCAGGAATCGTGTGACGAAACCTCTGCGGTCGGCGGGACGGTCAACGTTGCACTGAACCCGTACACCCACCTACCTAATATCTAGGAATGCTACATCTACTGCTCCATCGTCTCCGGCGTGTGCAATAGAGTCAATTACTTCCCATCGCTGACCTCCTGCTAGTATCTCACGGGGACTTAGCGTCCAGGCCCTCGTGGCGCACACGCTGAATCCGTGTGTACAGACAGTCACCGAATTATCAACGCTGCTGATGACGCAGACCATGGCGGAGGAGTATACTGCTGTCTATACTTGTACTCTCTCGTCGACCTCCCGGTTGTTCTCGTCGCAAGGTTCACCGACAGTGTCACTATCATCATCGCAGGCCTCATCCTTCCCTTCGATGCTCCACCTCGGTTCGTTTGTCTTCAGTCGTAGTTTTGTCTAGCTCTATTCCCAGCTCTATCACTCGTTCCTCATCTATTTTCAACTCTGCAGCTTCTGCATAAGTTAGCAGCTCCAGTGCATTTCCGTTCTCAGTTGGTTCATCTTTACACTCTTCTAGCAATGTATCGGTAAAATGGAGGTCTTCATCATCGAGACGTTGGCCTCAATCACGACCACAGCCAGCGAGGATTGATATACTTCAGTCATCCTCACACCCACCGCCACCATCACTGCGTGCCCTTTTTCCGTCACCAACTGTCCTACGAGAGAAAGGATTACGTATCCAACCACAGAGACTGTCAAAGAGACTGGTTCTAGATTCATTATGTCTACTGTTCTCACCACCTGTGTCGTCACAGTCGCTGCCTGTCCGTATGACATCGCCGGCTGTCCTGCGTGTGTGAATAGCACGTTCGTCACCCGAAACCGTGATCGATTACACAACCGTCTGTCCTGTCACGCACACTTTTGTTTCGGAATTATCGTCTGGGAAAGGATCAGAAACAGCTGGAGTGGGCTTATTAGGACAGGCTGGAGTAGAAACAAACAGCTCCATAATTGCTATATCCGCATCTGCCATAGAGATAGTGTACGAGTCTGGACAGCCGACTGGATTGCCCTCCAACTCATCAGGGCAACCTGGAAACTCTAGATCAGAAGCAACCAGTACGACAGTTACAGTCTCAACCACGGCCTCGCCCTTGTCAACAGTGCAAGCAGTGTCTATCATGAGCTCAGATAGCACGGCTGTTGTTCTTCCGTATATCCAGTCTACTCACAGCTCATTCAGCTCTAGTTCCACCCAATGCACAAGCAGGAGCGCACCTGGGGCAGTCTTTACCGGTGCAACATCAGCGGCGCAGTGGACTCTACTCCAGCACCTCATGTTTCTATTGCTTATGGTAGTGGTATATGTGCTTTAGTGTATAAAGATACTAAATTAATATTAATTTTTTGATACTTTTAGGTAGTAGCCTTAAGCCAGTCTATAGGCCCTTAGGGTTCGCGTGGCACGTGCTACGGAGTGGCATGTGGCCCACATCATGCTTTTTTCAAAGCCAATTCCCAGGTTCGATATTCATAGACAACTTGTAGGCCTACAGTATAGTTGACAATAAAGTTTACAGCACACCTTCAGGTTAGGATGTCGAATCATTGAAGATCTAGGAAAACCTTCAATAATTTCTCATAATCCGGTGTCCCTAGACCTGTGACTGGATCCCAACCCGCAGTCGCATTGAAGCCGCCAGTGTTACAAGCAGCGTTATTTCCGAGTATGACATCGTTAAATGCCTGTGGATTTGCATAGATGACTGGATTGATAAAACCTACTGGGCCTTTTCCCACGTCTAGCCGCTTATCGTTAATCAAAGCCAGGATTGCTGCAACAATGGGAGTCTGTAAATTTAATAATTAGTATTATTAGCGAATTTGGGAACTTTGAGAGAGCAATAACTTACCGCGGCAGACGTTCCACCGCCCGATGTCCAGATACCATTGGAGGCGACAACAGTATTCACAGCATTCGCGGCTAGATCAGGTATAGCGCGGGCTTTTTTGGTAGTATTAAATGTGCCATCGGGATAGCCAGTGGATGTGTGATTAAACCAATCCAAGACGGCTTTTTTCTGGTAAGTTGGCATAGAGAAAACATTGCTGAATCCGCCACCACTGAGTCCATACGCCACCTCTGAGTCATATACGGTGTTGTTGAAGTTGATGGCACTGCCTCCGACAGCCGTCACCCACGGACAGGTAGCTGGAAACGCCGGCGTGAAGAGTGTACTGCCGGGTGGATCGTTGGGAGCACCACAGCCTACAGCCTGTGGACCACCCACTCCATAATCGTCCGAAGCGAAAAGGAAAGTGGATCCTTGCATGGTGAGTTTCATGAATTCGGTACACATACGACGCTGATAAGCTAACGATGCGGCATCGGTTTCCTCAATACTAGCTAGGGAGAGTGAGTAGACGTATGCAGATGGCGCAGTACCACAATCTGCCGTATGGTTATAAGGTTTTCCGCCATTGGAGGTTGCGTTACTATTATCTGGATAGACAGGGTCCTGGCCTGCAACATCGCCACCCTCGAAAGTGCAATAAGAGGCATCCAGGGCATCGAGCCATAGACCGAAACTTCCCCCATGGTATTGGTCGCCGACAGTATACACACTGACATTCAGATGACCAACAAGTGACATGGCGAGCTCAAGGTCCATGTCAGCTTCCAGCAGTCCGTCAAAGTAGGTGAAGTTTTCCGTGTACTGTGGCACTCCCCCATCGATGCCAATGGGAAAGGGGAATTTTCCGACCATAGATTTGCTGTAGTTTGAGAAGAAAAGATCAAGATCAATCTGTGAATATTGCCCTTCTGGACTAAGTTCAACGATACCGAGAGCGTTGTCCCGATTGGTTGAATTTAAAGGCAGGGGAATGTTGTACAGCTTCCGAATGCAAGCCGGGGTTATTGCCTGCTCACAATTAGAAAGATCGTCGGGGTCGCTATTCATAAGCTGCTCAGGCAAAGGCACTACATCGGCAGAAATGGTCGACGATCGCTCTGCTCGACGCGGTATAAGTTGAGTTGGCGTAATGAAATCAATATATGTCTGCACGGATTCGGGGACGCTGTAAGAGTCGCATGAAATATGATAATTTCCTGTAAGAGTATCATGGTAGACATGGAACTCTGTCTTTAATAAAGATGCCACATCATCAAAGTTGGTGCGAACTTTGAACCATGACTTGTCCGTGGACAGTGAGATGGCCGCTTCAGAAATTCCTTCAGTCGTCAGCCAATTCTTCACGGCTTCAATGGCGCTATCAGACGGCGCAAACTCCTTTGAAATACGGTCGACGGTCCAATGTTGACCATACGAAGGCGAATCCGGCTGGGATATACCCATCAATGCCTGCTCTGCGACGTCGAGGTTTTGATGTGTCAACGCGATGCGCATGACGATATCTTGTGAAGTCATAGCCCTGCTGTATAGCTTGAGCGGTGATCGCTTTTGCCACCTGCTGGATATCTGCGAGCGCTCTTCATGAACAACATAGGGGAACGGTGATGCGCTCACAATCGCACCGCCCAATAATGCAGTGGCGATGATAAAACGACCTAATCGCATTATGGGACTTCAATTTATACAAATTTACCAAATTTGAATGATAGTCACCGTTATTCTTTGATGTTTGTAGAAATAGCCTTGGGTTCTGTTCATTTCAAATTTCGCAATCGGCCAATGGCTGCTTCAAAAGTTCGGCTGACAGTAGGCTTGCTCCTTTCATCAGACCCTCATGCTAGTATTACCATAGATATATTTGAACACTAGCGCTACAACACTAGTACTAAATTACGGTGTTTAAACCAAACATACTCAATATCAAATGCTTACTTGGATTAGGGTTTGACAACATCTGAGACATATAGACGCTAAGGACTGTGATTTACGTACATTATGTAGATCGGTTTGTATCATGCAGGGGACTGATTAGCACCTTTGAATTAAATACGGCTAAAATTGAAAAAAAGAAAAAATGTACTCGTTAAAGGCCAGCTCGTTTCACGATGCACTAAAATACTTCAGTTTCTTCTGGGAATGGATTTCATTATTGTCGTATTTGTATTAAAATGATTCAGCAAAGTGTACCCGGGTCAAAATGCGCGAAGGTTGGCAGGAGATAAATTTTTATTAATAGCTTCGAATGTAACCTCTATACGATATAACAACTGATTACATTACAATCGATCAAAGTCTTGAACACAGATAACATAAACACTCTCCGGATTAAATGCCACACCAAGCTCAATACAGGCGTTGTCTGTACTAATATTTGTAAACGCTCTGAGCGGTTCTCCGTCACATGTAGGGGTCTGGTAAAATATTGCTTGTAATTCCAATTCACTCTCGTCACAACCAACTCTTTGATACAGGTTCATACTTTGAACATTCGACTTGCCCAGTGCATAGCAACTTCCATTATTAGGGATGCTGATATTACCAGAGGTTAGGTAGCAGCTTGGTTCCATATAGGGTGAATAAGTGACTGCTGTGGTATCGGCTGCTACCGTGAGAGAATGAAAGGCGATGGCCAATAACGAAACGGGGACCGAGAGTAACGACATAGTCTATATCTTGATATTAATTGACGAGTTAGCTCAAAACTCTCTGGTAGTGAGATCTATATTGGTGAATTAAAGGAGACCGCAAGCGAAGACATACATCAATTGATATAAGCCGTGGGACGAAGGAACTGTCTTGTGAATGGCCTCTGGTGAATTGAACTGAAAGGTTTCTAGGCGTCAACAGGTTCAGGAAGGATTTGAATTCGTCTGATATTTTCTCTCCAGTAAATGAATCAGTTATGAAAGTACGAGCCTTTAAGATATATATTCTTTATAAACGTAAGATGCATTTACTAATACTGATCTAAGTTCTAATTCAGTAAGAGATTAACCTGTAGTTAGTACGGACTACGGAGAGTTGCACTGGGGCCACTACTATACCTTAGGGTTTCTTGGTGTCGGGTCATGCCCGACACTAAGGTGAGACATTTTAAGTGCGGTAGCAACACTTTTTAACCCATTTTCTTCCTTTGTCTATGTATTTCCGAAACATTATTAGTTGTTCATAAAACAACACTAGGTAATTATGGAGTTAGCGTTTAGTCGGCTACGCTATCGGTTCCTATCATAGGTCAATCAGAACTCATATAATTTGAAATAGAAGTCGATCTTAAAAGTTATTAATACTATTTAGAAAACATTTTTCTTCATTTACTTTACTAGGTTAAAAATACATAATAACCTTCATTCAACCGATATCGTGTTGAACTAGGCATGTCCGAAGAAGAGCGCCCAACGCAATAGGTGAAAATCCTATAATTGTGGATCCCTTCTCGCATCTCTATTCTAAATGGTGTTTGATGTCCAGTGTGTCACTTTTGGTCATGAATGGTCTATTGGAACCTATATGCAGTGCTGAAGGTACCTCGTCAGTCTCATCTATACCTCCTAACAATTTAATAATATCTAAATAAACCTCACTAGGGGAGGGAAATCTAAACAACGACAAAGACAAAGATCAGCAACAAATACATATGATAGCCGGTTATCACCGCCCCTCGGCCTCGCACTTTAGACTACCCGCTTCTCTGTAGCCTGGTCCTCCGGCGCTGGCTCTGCTTCTCTCTTGTTATTATCATTGGTAAGTTCCTTGAGTCTCTTTATCTCCAGAACGTTCTCGAAGCCTAGGCCCCAAGCGGAGAGTAGCATGCCACCGGCCACAGCGATTCCAAGATACATGGCATGATCAATACTGGTGCCGTAGGATTCCAGCACCGCGGCCAGTTGGGAGGCGGACAGGCTCAGGTTTCGCAGGGAGCTGGCGCCGGTGTCGACAATAACGTCTGGGTCGAGGCCGAAGCGTGAAGCACGCCGCGACAGCTGCTTCCGGAGGCTGTTATTGAAGATGGAATTGGCGACAACGATCCAGGTGGCGCCGCCTAGGTTTTGAGTGAATATGACGATAGCAATGGCCGTAGGGATCTGTTTCAGATGGACGAGGTTTTGGATGGTGATGTACGCCCAGGGATGACGAGGTAGGTTAGGTCTGGACAAAGCAGGACATGAATATGATAAGGCAAAGCAACTTACACCCGAGTTTCCTATACCACTGCCAGCGCTGTAGAGGATCTGGTAGCCGACCCAGCGCGCAGTAGAGGTCGTAGAATTCAATGTCGACAGGAGTCCGTATCCAATGGCTGAGATACAGCTGCCCGCAAGAACCCACGGAAGATAGTAGCCAGTGACTTGGGTTATGGCGCCGGTAAACATGGTGAACAGTACCATGCCAAGCGTCATCGGAAGCATATGCACGTCACTCATCAGAGCCGAATCATTTTGAATTGCTTGAAAGAAAATAGCAAGATAAAAGTCGGCTACAAGAGGGCTGCCCATGCTAACAAAAACTACGACCGAGCTGTTCCAGGCGTATTGGTTCCCGCCGTACTCGAGAGCTAACAAAAACATAGTAGCAGCAGGACTAATAAGGGCAAATCCAGTGAGGTCCAGCGACTTGATGGCTGTACTGAGAACATCGCGCCAATGGGGCTTGACGGTCGCCTCTGGCGCGTCATTGAAGAGGAGGCAGGTGGCAACGAGAGCACCAAGGGGAAGGTTGATGTAGAAGCACCACCGTCACGAGACATTCGTGACGAAAGCACCTCCGAGAATAGGACCACACGCAAGACCCAACTGGCCAATGCCCATGTTTATTCCCATCACCAGCGGTCGTCTCTGTAGCGGGAGGGTGTTAGAGGTAATGGTGATGGTGCCAGTAAATAAGCCTGAGGAACCTAGACCAGCGATCGCGCGGCCCACAATGAACATATTCGACGACCGTGCCGCGCCGCATATGGCCGATCCGAGCTCAAAGACGAAGAAGAAGGCGATAAAGGACCACTATGTCAGAGTTAGCCTAAGTGAAGCACTGGGAATTAGTACAGGGCGCCTAGATTTACTTACGCTTAAGGGAAAGTATCTGTAGATCTTGCCACTCAACGGTTGAAATGCTGCGCTAGCAGGTTAGTATGCGCCGGAATACCAACCCATATCCGTCAACGAGTCAAATTCTGAGGTGATAGAGAGAGTCGCGGTGGAAATGATAGCTAGGTTGAGGAAAAGGAGATAATAGGATATGGTGACGCCTGTTACGATAGAGACGAGCTTGAATCCTGTGGCAAATACGTGCTTATACTCTTCAACTTGAGCGACGGTAGGGCTAGGAGTGCTCCTGTCGGTGTCCTCTTGATCCCGTGTAGGGGTGCTATGAGAGGAATTAGGCGTTTCTTTCTGGGGCGCCTTTCGCACTCTATAGACGGCCATCGAAGCCCTCTCTGTTCACGAGAGTGAAAAGAAGGCTAAGGGGTAACTTCGACTATTAATTGGATAACTAAATATTGATAGACGCGCTCTCAAAATCAATTTGAGTTTCAGTTTTTGGCTATGGCGTCGAAGTGTTAGAGGGATGTCGGTCGAACTAGAGGGGTAGGAAGTAAGGTGCAGCGAATGACATATATCTTACATTTGTATTCAGCTTATCCATTCTTTGAGCTGTTAAATACAGAGAGAATACCTGAAAAGAGTCTCAGATGAAATTCAAGTGTCCCAACAAGTGTGGCATATGTCATAAAAGACTAAATCTGCAACAGAGATAGACGCAGGAAGCATGTTTAGGCGTGATCCGGCAGGACCGTGGAACTCAGGGATATCCCGGTGGTCAATTATGACTTATCATAATTGATACCATGAGGCCCCGGGCATGATGAAAGTACCCCTCACCTCGCAATATATGCCTTTATCTAGTTAGATTAGGTATCAATGACCTAAGGAAGAGACTAAGGTATATAGGCTTGGTTTCTCACCCGGAGGGAGGAACCAAGCAATATCTTGTATAATTTTTGACATAACTCTCAATATAAGCCTACTCGACTTCGAATACCCTTCGGTTCGAAGCGTTCTATAACCATATAACCCAAATCGATAACTTCCTCCCTAATAGCCTTGCTCTATAGCATCAATATGAAGCGGTGAAGCTTCAACTCACCCACAACTAGTCTTCCGGACACCCCCGGACACGGTCCTGCCAGGCCGTGTTACAGTGCGCTAGTTACCTTCCCACGGTGCACGCCACAGGCTGAACATTGGCCAGCTTGGGCTGTTTATGTTTTTCAATAGTACTTCAGGAGTGTGGTGCGTCCAGTCCAAAGGCTGGACCCGGCAGTCTCATCTGCATGTCCGATGCGTCAATACGTCACCCCGAATGCAACATGCATTACAGCCTGACCCAGTAGCCTGGCCAAATTCATACAGCTGATTAGACCGTTATGATTGCTGTCCGCCCACGAAAACTTAGAAAAATTTGTAGCACAGGTGTTGATAAGCAGAAAAACGTTTATAAATATCTACAGAGAGCTGAACCAGACTGAGCAAATACACGTTGATTTTGTTGATCGATAGCGAAAGGAAAGTAAACAATAGACTGTACATTAACTAGATAGAGGAAAAATTAATCAGAATTATCGCATTAGGCTATTTTACAAGGTGCCAAGAGCACACTGCATGAGGGGTTAGCCATCACACAATTATCTTTCCTCACCAGGGTAAGATCGCCTGTTAATCCCAGCATATTTAGTATAATATAGCCGGCTGTTGTATGAATTCAAGACTTTATTGAATTATACGGAAAGAGTCCGTCCTGTCTCCTCCATGGAACTGTTTACACTGAAATATTGTATCCAACTTTTCTGGATCAGGAGCTACCTTGAATTACGGGCTGTTTCGGCCACCCCTATAGATCGACCAAATTTCTAGACCTCTGATCTCATCTGCAGCCATAATTCACCCTCCCTATTCTGTTAATGCCAATCTGTCAGTAAAGGTATACGGCATATGCGTCCAAAAGTTTATCAAATCTTACATCAGTAGTACAGCTTTCCTCACTATTCCTTGGGCGGTGGGGTTGCGCAGTAGACACATGTTGGATGTTGCGTTGCAGTGGCTGCCTGAAAAGAATTGGGAGAGTGTAATTTATCTCCAAAATAAAAGAAAGAAAGAAAGAATAAATTCATGAAAGATACAAATAGTATTGTTGACAATTCCTGACAATATAAGTTTAGTCAATCCGCTGCACTACTATTTATTATAATCTACACCGATACTAACAATAGGATTATAATTCAACCCCGCTCAGGTAAGGAAAGACAAGGGTAGATTTACTCACTGCAGCATATGTGTCTGGAGATAAATGTTATAGTAAAGGATATGGTGCATTAGCCTGGGTTGTTGACTGCGTGAATACCCAACGAGGTTCCTGTGAGGATGAGTATCTATATTCCGGGCTATTGGTCCTCGTTATAAGACGGTATCACTTGGATACCCTGTGGCAAAAATACTTATAATAGCTGAACTGAATCATTGCCAGTCTCTGTTTATCAAATCTTGAGATACTGAAATTTTTTCTGCTACTGAAGACTACTCCAATTTCATCTTGTGTTACATTATCATCATTCTCTTTCATATTGCCCATCATGAGTACTGCCTACCCCGAAGGTGAGGTTTTCTTCGTTCGTAACTCTCTGAGCCACGTATATTACGATCCAACCAGAGCAGAAGACTTCTACGGGTACTTCATGTTGGAGATAATTGTAAATGATCTTGCCGAACATCCCGGCATGGCGTCTGGTACTGTACACCAGCATCCGCATTCTGTTCAAATAAAACAAATTTCCAAGTCAGGACCACTCACCTTTACTTATAAATGGTGGGATCGGTTCGTTATTGGATATGGCAAAAAGGGTAACATACGGCGTGGCCGGTCCTGGAACTATGGTGGAAAGCTCGAGGATTTTAGGGAGCATGTGGTCCAGGGTGGGCCCGCAAGGGTTTGTTTAGCCCTTTAGATCCGATGCAAAGATCTATATGTCCACATCAACTAACCGCTATCAAGGTCTTTGTTTGGATGGTCCCAATGCCAACATCACAAGAGCAATGGGTGTGGCTTCATGTTCGTTGCAGCCACTTTCCGCACTAGTCAAGCTTTTCTATCGTACTAAGACTCTTTTTCTTTAGTTACTCATGCCGATTCGCGCGGTCTACTTTCCAGTCTCCCAACAGACTGATGAAGCCTTTCCTGAACTTTGCACGTTCCTCCAGATCAATTTTTACAGTCAGGGAACTCGACCAGTTTGGCGTGAAAACTTTGGATCCTTTCTAGACCATCCTTTCTCTCGCGATAAGGGTATAGGATTCCATCACGACCACACCTTGGGGATCAATGTGCCTGGTAAGATACAGCATGTAGTTGCCATTTTCCTCAATCACACTAATGCAGAACAGAGGTGATGGCGCTCCTGTCTATTCCCAGACAGCTTCGTGCAACTGACATTTGGAGCGCGAAGCTTGTTGTGATTGATCAGGTTGGTTCTGGGGCCGACCAAATGATACGCGTGTCCCCTTGGGCGGCGATTGACTATGTGACCCTGGTCAACGCCAGTCATGCTGTCCAGTTAGTGTGGCGGCCTTTGCCGCCTCCAAGGCAAAGCAACCCTTTTATTTTTAATCTCATCAAGGGGATTCTTGCGGTTTCACTTTCTGTTGTACCCGTTATTGGACCCGCCCTTTCAGCTGCATTCGCCATTGGTTTCTCGATTATCAGTGATAAAGATAATGCCAAGAGATATCTTGAGTCTGCTGCCTGGACTGGCGATGTGATCGACGCTATCATCGGCAGCGGACTGAATCTCAAGAAATATATTGACCCGGGCTGGAGCGGGGTTACCTTACTTCCTCCCCAAGCTGCAAGATCCCACGATCCCAGTGCTGACGAACCAGAACCAGAGCTAACCCCACCAGTGGATTTGAGTAAAGTTCCCCCACATCCTCTTCTTCTGGAGGGCCTACGCGCCCTCCTCGACCATGAAGGGAGGAATCCGCTAGTTGGCAAAGATGCATCTCTCTCCCCACATAATTCATCTCTTGAGAGGGCCGTCAGAACGGGCCTCATGTCTCTCATAGACGCACTGAAAATTGAGAGTGTTCTGGACCAGCAATCCGAGGCTGAGGTTGAACAAGTGGAATTACGGAAAGTGGATACGCGAGAAGTGGAATTCACCGAAGGAAATAAAACAGAGTGAGGACGAGTGAGGACATGCAAGGTAAGACGTGGAACGAATGAAGAACTTCTGAACTGAATATCACGAGATATGCAATCTCGATCTGTTGTGATTTCAGGGGGAAGAAAGTAGGGTAGAGTGAGGCTGTATCAACTAAACGTACGTAGCCTACTGAGGACTGGATGCCATTCCAATAGATACTCAATTCTATGGACGACTATATCGACTATCTCAACCGCATCCTTCCTTGGTCAAGCCTTCAGGCCTAAGACCGTAAGAGTAGGTGATCAGCCAAGACGCTAGTCTCTAGGGATCACGTGGTTCTATATGGCTTCATATCACGATCATTCTGCGCATGATCTATACTGTAAAGGATTAGGCCTATAAGAGGCTATATCCAAGCGCCAGTGGGTCTATGGATTGGACCCGCGTAACTTAGATATCTACATATAGGGACTTATTGTCCCTATGCTCCTAGTGAGATAAGCGACAGAGATAGTTGAATACATCGTCATTCTATAAGCTCCTCCGATCTATATGATGGTTGGCGTGTAGTCTATACACCTACACTACAGTCCCTCTATACTGAAGACCTCAACCAAAGCTCTTCCCCCGAGTTCATAACATATACATTTCTGTATAGTTCTATCTCATCATTGTGACGTTATTTCTATCATATGTTCCACGCCTAAGGCCGATACGTATTCAACATAAATCGGCCTACATTCCCATTCATTCTAGGAACCAGGTTGATAAGATTGAAGCAGATCAATCAATCTCATCTAGTTATTCTTTAGAGTCATGTCTATCTATTCAATTAACTTATTCTTATGGGATTCACCCTATCTCTCTACTATTGATCTCATCTGATTTCTTGATCAATAATTCCCCTGATCACATGCCTAAGGATATCTAGCCATCAAAACCCTAGAGTTCCATCAAGAACAGATGGCAGAATAATAAACACCCTCGAAAATGGTGCTTGAAATGAATAGTTAGAACTTCCTCTGAACCTGTAACACGTGTCGCGCAAACATTTCCAAATCAGATTACGTGAGAAGTCCAATGGACAGACAGATAGATGGTTGGACTAGAGGGTAAATCATTTATCTATCCGGAGAGCACCAAAATATGTGGTAGACGAAAGGGAAAAAAGTTAAGGTAGGGTCGGCCAAGGCAATCATATCGACATTGACCATTTAGCGAAAATGAACGAGGAAAGGCCTATTTATGTCCTCAACCATGTTGTGAGGGTAAGATATATCCCTCTGTTTTGATGCTGCTGTACGTGAAGCTGCTGCTACTTCTAACCCTGTAGCTGTTGCAGAGTTCTTCCATCACGTCTGCAAAGCTGTCCTGGAAGGCCTATTTACTACCATTACCGGCTACATACGCATCCTTGGTGAACTCTCAATCATTTTGCTGTTATCGAGACCAACGGCCGAGGTATGCTACATGTCCACGGATTAGCGTGGGCGAGAGGTAACTTGGCTTTTACTACATTGCGTGATCGGCTCCTGCACGATACTAACTTTGCAACTTGTATGGTTCGCTATCTAGAGTCGATCATTATGCAAGACATTGATGAGAGTATTCTACATAATCTTGAAGTGAACATTCCTAGCACGGCACCGTCGGCCAAAGATTTCGAATTAGATGACGACTTTTATCTTCGACTATCATATGACAGCAATTATGTCGCTCGTAAAATGCAAGTGCATTCGAAATACCATCTCACCACATGCTTCAAATACCGCAAAACGTGACCCGGAAAGAACACTTGTCGCTTTGGCATGCCTCGAGATCTGATTCCTATCTCTAAGGTCAACGAGTGTGGACTAATACACCTCCCTTGAAACCATGCCTTGATAAAGATAAACCCATGGAATCCCGCTATTGCTAGTTATGTCTGTTCTAATCACGACATCTCTTGGATTCCAACAGTCTCAAAGTCTTTGTCATTTATCTATTACATCACCAACTACGCCACAAAAGATGACGTTTCTCCATGGCAGATGGTGGCCAAGGCGGCCTTGTTGAAGCAGTCTTGAGAAGGCCAAGGTTGCTGAGTAACCAACAGCGACAGATCTCCGGCGTCGAGAAAAGGGTGTCAATAACTTTGCACTCCGCAGCTTTAATGCGCTCTCGCATAACCGAGAAATCAGTGGTGTGCAGGTCGCCAGCGTCTTACTTCAACTGCCAACCTATTACACGATCGACATTGAAGCATTCGCTTGCTGCAGAGTGCAACTGGGCGCTGTTAGGCTGAAAGGTAAGAGCTCTTAATAAGACATCATCAACTATTTACACTAACCTAGAGTTAGGCAGATTTTGAGGGTAGTGTGCATGAGAGTTTAACATATACTGTCTATTCTTCAATTACACGTTACATTTCAATGGTTTTAGATAGAATAGCATCCTATATCTATAAAATTATATTTGTTGTTGTTCATTGGGCCAGACTATAACCGGTGATAGTACATATTCCGAACTGCCTGAGATTAGTAGAGTTCTACCTATAAGTGCGGACTTTACGTGGCAGGGACTTATTGCGCCACTGCTACAAACAAAATTTCAACAATGGGATACCGTTTGCTCACTAGAAGTTATCAAAGCTGTAGGCGTGTGTGCTCTTTCCGCTGCAGACTGCACTGAGGTTGACGTCTATCACACGATACATTTCCCTGCCGTGGATCTCTTAGGTGAACAATTCCTTACAATTATGCATCAGCGCTGTGAGGCTGTTGTAGGGATTCCACTACCAAAGGATTGGCCACCATATCCTGACGCATTCAAACAGCTCGACGAAGCAATCAAGACACTCATTGATACAACACCCAAGGACTCTGCTCGTTTCATTGCCTGGGGAAATGAAAATGACTGAGACAGAGAATTTAAGAATCCTAAAGGCTTTACCTGCTAGATTCTCGATACGATATGGTTGGCATTTAGTACACTTTTTGTAAAACCTTAAGATGGAGCTACTTGTAGATATGTTGATTTTGGCGACGATCGAGTGAGCATCCGCCCCAAGTATCCTATCCCTTGGGGAGTTCCAAGATTTTGGGGTTATAAAATTGATCCCTATATTTTTTGGAAGCAAATATGTCCACAATGAGAAAGAGAGACAGTGGCGGTTTCGGATAGAAAAATCACAATGGTTCCCTCGCCCCTCTCCAAATTGGGCTATGAGAGTCTATGCCACTCCTGTGGTGTGGAGCTCCTGGATGGACCGCTCGTATATAATAAGCGATACTATAAAAAGATTATTGCAGATTCGCCTCCGAAACTATTGAGACAGCATCATTCCTTGCTCTCAAAATTTACTGGCTCAATAATACCTAACGCTGAAGGGTTTCATTCGGACCTCTCGCTGGCCATCTCAGAGACATCTATTGGGCTGACACTGCAAGCCACGGTTGTTTTACTAGGCCAGTAATTTGGTGTGAGCTTTTCGACGTGCCTGGATGCTCTATTCAAACTTCCCCAGACTTCTCCATGTGAACATCCTCGAAATACCCCATTTGATAGAGGAATATGCCAGCTCAGTGTTAACAACCTCCGTTCGAGGGCCTGATATTCACCGTCCCACGGTCTGCATTGTCCAGACTGCCGGGAATCCGGTTGCCCAGTTTCTATCTTTGTCACCAAAGCCAGCTATTCTCTGCTACCATTGCCGCCTACATTGCGCTTATGAACAAGCAATTTCTCAGCAAGTGTGGAAGATTGTTGTCGCGTGAATATCAGATTGATATATTCATACAACTTGAAGACAATTAGAATATTCATAATAGCATGAAGAGGCAGAAAGTGTGTGACGGAGATGATATCAAGGGAAAAGAGAGAGAGTTGATGGATTGCGATAGTCTAGTGGATAGTTCCTTTTTGAACGCACTTGACCCACACCGAGGCACTACTTAAAGGTTAAATTGCTACCGAAAGTGTCAGGTGATTAGATCCTCCTGTTGTTTATGGCAAACAAGATACGACTATTTGTCCCGCGTAAATACCCAATCCCTCTCATAATTTCAATTGGTTATAGCGACGATCTACTTCTTTAGCGTCAAATTTCGTCTCCTTTCTAATAATACAAAAGTCGTCTGTCTAGAGAATTCTTTGTGATCTCCTGGTCTACCTATACTTACAAAATGGGATACGTGGTGACTGTTTGGGAGATATAGGAGATTAGATGGTGAACTGGTGGAATTGCATCACGGTCGTGAGAGCAACGACAACGAATGCCGTCCATGATTGGTCGGCTCTGGTTGGGGAGGAACGCAAGTATAACCGAGCGTGAAAAAAGGGCACATCACCCGATCAGAATTCGCGGCAGTTCCTGGAATATTCTGGCTTAAGCATTAAAGGGATTGGTTCGTGCGAATGAAATCGTAGTAAAAAGGAAATAGGCAAAAACATACAACAGCTGGGATTCGCTGGTGGTCACCCACCCAACTACTAACCAGCCGGCGTGTGGCTTAAGTACGGCTGAGCGGACGGGAAGCCCTGTTTTCCACACCCTATGGTCGTATGTATCAGAGATAACTTCAAAAGATTTGATAAACACAAGAAGGCAATCGACCTAGTGAAAAAGCTAGATGAGAAGGGTGAGTGCGCAATAAAAGGGGTGAGATCTAGCTAAGAATCACCCTAGGTCGCGCGATCGCCGTTCGTGTTCCTCTAGCCGAACAGATACATGAAAATTGATTAGCTAGAGTACCTGCTAATGGAGATTATGAGAAGACCCATGAAATCCACTCCTTATATACTACTATACAGATTAGGAACAACCACTCACAATTTTCAATTTATTAATTATATCAATATATACAAATGCTATATTCAAATCATTATAAGCAATATACACTCCGTCCTTCCCGTAGATATCTATACGCATGGCGGGGTGACTGGATTCCTTCCGAGTTGACCACTAGCAGCGAAGAACAACGGAATTAAAAAAACCGCCGCTACATTGAACTTATAGATTCAATGTCGAGCAATACAAGGGGCTTATAATTGCATGCTGCCGTTTCTCTACCTTTTATGAAGTTTCAATGAAGCGAAATTGGAGTGATATATATCCTTTAATTATTTATGAAGGTCAACCTGATGATAAATTAGAGGGACTAACTAGTAGCGATTGACAATCATGTCTAATACATTAATACAACTAAATAACATTGACCGAGCTTTGAACTACAATGCGTCCTTTCCTAGATATTGGCTCGATCTGCAACTAGTGGGTATTTTAATGAATTTTCGGATTCTCATTCAATGAGCATCCGTCAACAAGATGGTTAACTGTATCTTGATCTGTTGGCAGGTTTTGGATCTCTCAGATTAACTTTGTGGGCCCGTACCGTACCTGAAACGATATTAAACCTTATTGGGACAAGGGGTAACATTTCATCCATTTATATGGCGGTATCGGTCCCGACATCTCGGGCAAGATCAAGTGGGTATTTGAGTAGAGCAAAAGAATGAAACCTTTTACACAATTTGGAACCTCAGGCTAGAGACACATATGCAGCACGTTTGGTGCTAACCCTAGGGGACCCAGAGTATATAAAGGTCTTAGATCTTGACGTTTCATTGCATGCATCGGAAATTACAGTCATGCATTCTTTCGTCTGCTTATTCCCCCTTGCCCGGAGTCGTGGATCTAGAGTGGTGATAATCATGTTCCACTTGTGAATAAGTTCTTGCTAATGAATAAAGCCTGGCCTAAAATCTCGCTCTAATCGGTACTTCAAACCAGAAATGTGGGAATCCTCACAAACCCGTCTGAACATTCTGCTTTATTTACAATTTTTTAGCCTACATAAGATACCGTGACTATCTATATATGGCGCCGGATTGTGACGTGTGGAAAACCAGGAACTGGTGAAAAGTGTCGTAAACTAGCTATGGATGTTTCGCGAAGCTGGGCATCCACTTCTTACCACAGAGTAAAGCCCCAGATGTTGCGAAATTTTTGTGCACAGTAAGATGCAATCAATGGCACCGAGGACTGGTCAGATGCCATTCAAGGCTTCCGCGCATCCACTGCTTCATTAAATCCAGAATTTTAAGAGTGTTTGACTGATGTTTCTATAGGAGACTAGAGAAGCGAGCGCTTTGCAAAAATTTGGCCTCGTTTGCTTAAATTTGGCCTCGTTTGCTTAGAAACTGGCCACTGTTTTCATAATGAGGCACTAAGTGACTTTAATCGCTTCCTACCATGTACATTATTCTTGTTTTGCGAGCACAAGGACAACATTGTCGGTATTACCACTCTTGTACTCCTTCAAACAGAGAAAATATCTTTTGTCATAGTGACAACCTCATAGGTATAATTCCGAAGTTGAAAGAAATCCGGGTCGTCGTGGATATTACTGGGAACCTCGAGGCCTCCAATTGCTTCAGCCCGGTTAAGGCAAATCTCTACTCCCCCTACAGCTCGTCGCATTTCCACATAATCGTGGAAATTTAGAACAATTTCATTAGCATTGTTCTCGGCCTCTTTTTGGAATGCTTCAAATACCCTTTCCCAATGCGCACGGCACCGGACCATCAGTTCTTCAGATGATCGTTCTTATATAGAGTGCAGAAGTTTTCTCTAAGCAGCGACGAGTAGAGCTTCAGGTGCCTTGACATCACCCTTATTTATGACGTTGCGATAAGTATTCAAAATAATCGCAGTGTATAATGGTGAGGCCTTGAGCATGCCTAATTTGTTAAGCGAATAGTCGAGAATGAACGACCAGCCTATGAGACTTATATCAAGATCGAAGTTAGATCCACGTGCATATGGGTATGTGTAAGCCATAAGACGAGGGAAGTTTACAGACTTGTATACTGTTCGTGCACCGGGATCCGAAACTAACTCTGCATTTATAATCTATTACTGATGTTATACTGCTGTCCAATCATACTTATGGTTGATTGGACATTCAAATAGAATATTGATATCGATTCTTGAATTCATTATAAGATGTAGATGGTGTGTCCAGTAATGAACAGTGTCTTTCATGACTAATGTGAACAGAGATATTGACTAATGCACTGAACTGCAAGTTCATATATAGAATTACCTATCATAGCGACAAATGACGTAGGTTAGTGGAGTATAGTTTATGCGAAAAGAAAAGCCGGTTGTCAAGAATATAAAAACCTAGAAGAGCCTTATGCATAATGTAGTGTGACCACATAATTTGCATTGACCATGGCCTGGCCATGATATGTGGAATGATACGGGCCATTTACGGATTTAACCGACCAGATTTGATATACTTGTCTGCGCACTGATACCGATCAGAAGAAACATGAAGTAAAAGTGAATGTCATCACATAAGTGCACCTCCACATATATATTTTTATGCGGGCTGAATTCCACTGCACTTATTCTCCCCATCGCCATCCAAAGCAAAATGGCCTCCATGATTATGTTCGACGAGTTCATTGATACTGAGCTATCTAGCAATACCATGCGCATCATGGAATTTTCCACCTCTGCTTTTCTCAAGGTAGTTGCTATGGGCTTAGGCCAGGTGAGTGACAGGCTGAAGTGTGCTACATTCTTGACTGACATTTCGAAGTACCTCTTCTTCAAAGTGATCTACAATGTGTTCTTCCATCCTCTCAGGAACTACCCTAGCCCATGACTTTTGGCCTCAAGCCGCCTTCCAATAACCTATGCGAATCTTATAGGCCAATCTTCACATTAGGCTTTACAGCTTCATAAAAAGCACGGCCATATTGTTCGTATGGCTCCAAATGAGTTGAGTTATTCCAATGCAAGCTCTTAGAGTGATATCGACGGAATCCACCCAGCCAGGCCTGCGGGTATGTCACGAGACCGAGCATATGTCTGATCTAATAGAAAACCTGCACCATCGGAAGAGCCTGCCTGTTAATAGGAATAATATGTTCGCATTTACGGTAGCTGATATTACGGTCGATCTACAGCTTAGGAGTCGCTTATATAGACTTGATGACCGAACCCAACAATCTTAGGTGCAGAGTATATTCGGCCTCGTGCGAATTGCTACAATGCTTGCAACACTTACAGAGTTTCCTGCCATCAAATGGGCCTTCCAGCTGGTTCTCCCTCAGCTAGTCAAGTAGGTGCGAGATGTGCACTTAAGATGAGTGAACAAAATGCTCGATCATAGGCTTACTATTGATACAAATCGAGCCCATGTAGTGCACTTTATAAGGGAATAAGTTTAACCAGAGGATTTAGTGTCGGATATAAAACTCCGAGCTAACTTATCCTTGATACTGCTCGCCTAGTACGAAGCAACTATAACCGGTCTCTGTGGGGCTGTGGCACTCCTTAATGCACCCAATATTCTCAAACAATTACAAAACGAGATTCGCTCTAAATTTCGATATACTTCGGATATCAACATAGAAACGATTAGAAAAACGACAGTGCTTAACGCGTGTATCAATGAGACTCTCCGTGTGTATCTACCTGCATTAGCTGTACTCCTATGTCGGGTACCACCGGGCGGCGCAACCATTTCCGGCGAATAGGTTCCTGGTGGGACCCGAGTTTATACCTCTCTATTAGCTACTTTTCGATCTTCTGCAAACTTCTATAATTCGAAATTCTTTCTTCCTTAACGTTGGTATACGGAAACGGACACCAAGTTCCACCCAGATGATCGAGAATCCTGGAAACCTTTTTCAGTTGATATAAGTGACTATATCGGTCGACAGTAAGTCAATTCATTCCCTCCTAGTCGTATAACATCTGCAATATATTGGAATCAATGTACTTATTTTCAACAAACAAAATAGTATCACTCATTACCTGATCACCATTGTTCTTTGCGGCATTATTCTGCACTTCGACTTTAAACAGAATACGGAGAGTAAGACATAGTTCGATAAGCAAAGAATATAGGGAACTGTGATGTGACGATTGAGGCCCGGAGATAAGATCGGGTGGAGGATGCCTGGTTTGTCAGGTGTACATGTGTAGATAGTTCTGGGGAGCTCTCTCTCCTCTTTCTCTCTTTCCTTTCCCCTCCATCTTCAATATTCTCGTTGAATAGGACCAAGTCTTTCTGATTTGACTTGCCGCATCACAGGAACCTAGGAAGAACCGCCCCTCGTGATGAAGCTGACAGCTGCTAAGCCTGATTTTTAATGTAGGGACAAGGGGTGAAATGAGACTCTTTTGGCTCGAGGAAAGCCCGAGAAGGAATGAAATTGTTCGTCTAGTCTAGTCTTTACTCAGCTGGGGCCCCCATAGAAATTGATATAATATGAGGTTAGGAAGCATAGATTTCTGCTAATTATATTGGCTCTTTAGAACAGCGTTTGATATAGGAATGGGGCTTTTAGTCCCACACCCCTATAAGGATATGACCCCGCTCACATGCCGATTTCTCGGACTCATATGCTATCACACTTGCGAAAGTCTCCAACACCTCTTGGTGTACCTACGCTCTTTGTGTAAAGTACTACTTAAAGTAAATCACCCAGGTAGGACTTCTTCAAAAAACAAATTAGCTGATTCAATTTGATTTCAATTATGAAGTTGACACTTCCTAATCTATTACACTATCGACCTCGTTTTTATCTTTGGCCGGGTGTTTGAAGAAATCATACCCTACTTAAAATTCATTAGTCTGACGTATTTGTCATCGGAATGTCAGGGCGTTACAATAGAGATATCTGACATTGTTTTTAAATACTATTCATCCGAGACTTAGATTCTCCTTATTGTTGTTGTACTGTAAAGAACCTATAATGTATTATCTTTTTTATAAATTATGTGATTGGCTAAAAATGCTAAATCAATAGAGGGCTTTCAGTGAGATACTTCTAGCTTTTGAAGAATGCGTAACCCCTTACTGCTAAGCACATTGAACATAGGACACTGCATTCTGGATTTCAGGAAGATATTGGGCTTCACAAGGCCGATTGTTGATGGCTGCGCTGGAATGATCTAGCTCACTTCGATTCAAAGGGGCCCACATACATGTCCAGCCAATCGCTGTGCGACATGATAGACGCTCATCTCGCTACTTTTCTGAGGCCAACAACACTTTTCCAGCTATTTTGGTCATCCTAGTGTCCGTTAATGGCATATAATTCACCCGTCTAGATACTCAACTTCGTCGGCCATGAGAGCTTATATACAATCACACGCAGGTATGGCATGTCCAGTTAAGAGGTTCAAAACAACAACTATAAAGCATATAAATTTGAGACGACGAGACTCACCAGTACCCTCACTCCTTTGGTTAATCCTAATAGACTAGTTAATTATGCAATATAGCTGTGTGTTAGCAATAGTAGGTGTGCAGAATAACTAGGCGCGCAGGATTAAGCGGGTTTTTATGCAATATTGAGACAAATATCGAACTTGGTGTAACCTTTGCTGCTGCCGCTCTATGATCTCTCCAAGGGGTGCAAGTAGGCGGGCAACTCATTTTTCTGGGTCTCGTGTAAAACACGTACAATACCGGGAGTTGAGTGAGCCGTCTTCGACTCGATAAATCAGATTAGGGGGTGGTACGCTGATCTATATCAGTATCTAAACAAACGTCTGTGTCGGAACTTCCGTCATTGTTAGTTTATTATAAGCATGAGTCAAAACATATCAAAGCAAATAATGACATGGGTTTGGTTATTTTAGGGTCGCGGCGGTCAAGTCTGCTACAAGAATTAATCCACCCTGCCCACAGAAATATATCCTCCTGGACAAGACCGTGCTCTGTCCACTTTCCTGCCATATTCCCCAGGCCGTAGTTAACTACTTTAGCTTATATGGTCACGGCTAGTTATCGGCTAAGGATCAGGGGAATTTATTCCTAACGGAGCCTTCTTCCACACGGAGCTCTCTTCCGTCTAGAGACTTCTTCCTTACGGTCGCATGTTACCGTCCACTAGACTGTTGAATATCCCGGTGGCTGTGGCGTGTGGCTGATGATATTGGGGTGTGGGTCTGTGCATATATGTATATAAACAGTCCACCTACCCCTCATAATAAGACAATAAGACAAGTTAACATACCTCTGAAAATACTTCAACAGGTTATGCGCCCGGCTTGCTCGCCGCAACACTTGAGAACTTTATTTCAAAAGGCTAAGCCTCTACTTAAAGTCATAATCCTATCAACCGAATCTTTTGATTAACACTGTCTAGGGACTGGGGACATGATGTTGATATAAAATAAACATAAAGACTCCGGAAGAATGAATTGAATAAATTTCTTCCCATCAGAAATCACAATATCACAGTACGGATAATTTGATGACGTGGCAGACAGCCACAAAACATATCACCAGATGACATATCACATAATTGATGACAATATCAAAGACCACAATATAACAGACCACAGTTGCAACAAATATCACTACATCTTAAAAATAACGCTAACATCTGTGATTTGTTATTGTAATATAATAGATTACAGCGTACCAGATAACAATATATCTTAGAGATAATGTTAACACCTATAATTCATTACTGTAACAAAATCATACCATGACAAAACTTGAACAAATTAATATTATCTTTTTACAGCGACATTCAGAACTTACACTACTGAAAATGTCACCTCAACGTCAAATAAGAGCACTGTTTCGGCCTCGAAAAAGACGATATAGACACAGTTGGACAGAGAGTAAACTCAATCTTATTATATACCTTCAGCATATACATCACTGGAACTTCCACCAAATCCAGAAATAATTCTTTCCATCGTTATCAAAAAGTGCTATTATTAACGCCTATTTATGTCAAAACACTGAAGAACACTTATATCAGTTGTTAACTACTGACTCTTCAACTAGAAAGACTGCAAAGAGTCACAGTTCCCTTAACACTCGCCTAATATGTTCCAGTTTTAAGCATGAACCCTGTCATCTTTATCCTTCCATCTCTATTCCTCAATCAACTCCTCAATCGGAAAGCACTGTTGAAGATTCCATCACATCCACTTTAAGTTCTGAAGAGGAGACTGAAATATCCAACCACTGCAGTGAAAATCACTACAACCTTCGACCAAAAAGGCCTACCACATTTCCTCAAAGAAAATCGCGATACCTAGTTGACCGCCTCCAGTTCCCTCACTTTTTCAGATCATATAAGCGTCACCTGAATTTGGATGGGTCGCCAGATAGAGACTACAGTCCACCATCTCATATTTCTACGCCAGAACCGTCAGACCGGAGTCCCTCTATCATTTCAATCGAGCTTAGCTCGGCGTCAAGTCTGGACCTCTTTGATCTAGAGCCACGTTCTCCCAGATTGTCAAGCATCGAACCGTTCACAGACTCAAATCCGCCCTTTGACGCATCAAGTCCAGAATTCTTCAATACTAAGAAACATTTTCACCATGACTGATATAGAGAAATTTGAGCAATTTAGTCTAAATTCTTTCTATAATACTATTCCCACACTTAATAACGCCAACGACTGGTTTAAATGGAGCCGGAAAGTCAATGAGTTCATCCGAATATCTGCCGTTACCGATGATGGAGCGACTCTGCCAGAAGAGAAAGAGGAAACACAGAAATGGACTCATCATCAAAAGTTTTATTCAGCAATGATCACAGCCAAGTTAACAAATGCTGCGGCGCAAAGAATTGATGCCTTTAACATCACTTAGATACAATCACTTATCAATGCAGTGAAGAGCAACTTTAAGCTAGAGGGATCTAGCACTTACGTATAATTACAAAGACGCTATTTATCTCTCACAAGAGCAAAGTATGGGAGTACTCAAGCCCTTAAAGCTGAGATTAGAAAGATTCATGCAAAGAAGCTCCTTCTCAACCCTAACTGTGTCACTTCTGAGATTGAACGAATATTCTTCTTTTTGAAAGCGTTGGGTTCTGAGTATAAGAGTTTCCAAGACCACATCTTCAGACAATCAGACATCATCAATAACAGAGACAAAGATAGAAATATTACAAAGGCAGCATCTTCATTTAACTCCATTAAAAATAAGACAATCGAAGAAGAACATAGAAAAGGACAATTGGGCAAGCAACCAAATACATAGATATTTCCTACCTTCCCTCTAACGCAAAAATCTATAGACTGAAAGGTCACACCATCGGCAGACAGAACTACATGCCTAGTTAAGATTTACAATACTCCATATTATTCCTTCTGTCAGAAACCTTATCATATAGAAGCTAGTTGCTTCAAAAAGAATCCAAAATTAAGAAATCAAGGGAAGGACAGTAAAAGTTACAAGGCAAAGTCTGATAATTCGCAGATAGACACGCGCAATTCATCAAAAAGGCGATCCAGTACTGACGATGAAGATAATAACGTGAATAACCTAAAAGATCCAAAAAAACCCATCTTCATGGCTACAACAGCCTCAGAAGAAGACGTCAATACTGCGTTTAAAAAGGATATTAAAGGGAATCTTGCCTTATTTAATCATACCCTTACAATGATGGCTACAAAAACTCTCTCCATCCATAATGCTTGGATTATTGACAGTGGATGCGCTTAATATGTCTATAATACCACCACCAGATTTATTCAAATGAAAAAATACTATAGACCACCACTGAAAAGTGTTAACACCTCTACCACTCCCTCAGGTGTGAGAATAGTGAACATCCTATGCAACATGCGAGGCAGAAAGAAATAGCTAGTGCTTAACAATATTCTCTTCATTCCTTCTACACACGCAAACCTCATATCTATGCTTCAGCTTCTTAAACGAGGAGCCAAGGTCGAGTTTTCAAATCAAAATACCAGTATTCGCAACAAATCAAACAAAAAGAACCTATACACTGCAAGCCAGTATCATGAAGTATATACACTTAATACTTAGATAAATCACAGCTTTCCTACCTATTACATCAGTCTATAGATAACTCTCTAGCACCACCGGCTAGCTCATATGAGCGATACAAATCTACAATGACTCAAGAAGCAAGCGCACGGGATACAAGATATGGAACCCTGTCAGCCATGTAATCCATGCCTTCAGGGACGTATGATCAAAAAATCTCATAAGTCTTCAGGCAAGAAAGGAGAATATACAATAAAACTCCTCTATATTGATGTTGTAGACCCATTCGATGAGGGCCTGAACAGCAGTCACTACTGGCTTACAATCGTTAATGATTTCATGGAATAGATAGAGATTGTCCCCATACCACGTCGACAAGAATTTATTATAGAATCACTACGTTTTTTCCTCAATTATAACGAGCGCCCAGAACGAAAGTGCAGACGAATACAGCTTGACCAGATTCCGGAGTAAGTGAGAGAAGAAATGAAATTCACTCTCTTCTCACAGGTAATTCACGCTGAAATCACAGGCATTGATTAATACCAGTAAAATGAAATTACTGAAAGAGCATATAAGACGATTTATAATCGAATAGGCCCGACGCTAATACATACTAAACTGCCTTCTAAATTCTGGCCCAAAATTACTTAAACCACAGCGTTCCTATCCAACTGATCACTGTCATCCAAGCTCAACATGACTCTATATCAAGCTTGGTATGGTGATAAGCCAGATCTATCATGATTAAGAGTAATCAGATCCCGAGAAGAATATATGATCCTACCTAGACAAAGAAAGAAATTTACAGACCCAAGAACAAGGCCATGTCTTCTGTTAGGATACGAAGGGAACACAAACTACCATATCCTACTAGAAGACAGCAGAATCATTAGAACTCCAAATACTGAATTTCACGAAGTCCTAATCACTCCCTCCACACAGACAGAACAAGATGTGGGAGCGGAACCAGACGACTCATCTGCGGTAACAGCTGCTGCCACAGAGGGAAGTGAGATGGTGGGACTAATAAAACAACTATCAGTAAATATACGACACGCATCTATACCCGTTTCTGATCGTCAAATGTCCACGACACCACAAGAGCAAAACGAGAATTCGTACTTGTAAAGACTGCCTCAAATGGGTAATAAGTAAAATGAGAATTTATATTTATAGTCTATTGCTAGGCTGAGAGACATCACTCGTTCGCCTACACAGAGTGAGAACGCCTTCGGACCATTTTCAGATGCTCTAAGAGATACTACTGATGAGAGCAACTCACCAATAGACGGCATCCAGCAATAAAATAATGCTTAATCAAATCCAAGATTAGAAGATAAGCTACCATATACTGCTCTTCAATGTGATCGTTCAGAGAATACAGTACAGCAACAAAATCCAAGGTTAGAAGATAGACTACCATATGCAGAGCTCCAACATAATCATTCAGAACATATAGTGCAGTAAGAATTACTAGCATATCATCCTAAACTTAAAATCTGTGCCTTACAGGATGTTTTTATTGAGAATGAAGAAGAACTTGCACTAATTAATATATCTGAAGGAAAAATAGTCCTGATCTTTCTAACTTTAATAGCAGAAGAAATAGAATCTTTTAAACCAAAAACCCTTTACTAAACAATAAACGATACTAGCTGGCTTGAATAGAAAAATATAATGATTGACGAAGTTAATTCGCTTAAACAGAACAAGACATGAGAACTTATCGATCCTCCCAGAGATCAACGGGTCCTTAGTGGAAAGTGGGTCTTTAAAGTCAAATAAGGACTACATAGAGAAATTATCCGCTATAAGTGCCGATAGGTAGTAAGAGGCTTCACACAAGAAGAAGGCGTCGACTACGACAAGACCTTTGCGTCTGTGGTCAAGCCAATGAGCTACAAGGCTCTGCTCGCAATCGCAGCCGCTTTAGACCTTGAAATCGAACAGATGAATGTCAAAATGGCATTCTTATACAGGAACATTGACCATAAAATCTATATCGAACAGCCTCACCACTTAACAGACAGTACAACGAAAGTCTACAAACTTCGGAAGGCACTCTACAGTTTAAAGCAGGCACCCTGCATCTAATACCAGACTCTAACAAATTTCCTACGCACTCTCAGCTTCGAGCCTATCAATGCTGACCTTAGCGTCTTTATACGAAGCAGCGTGTATCTCGCAGTATACGTAGATGACCTTTTAATCATTGAACCTAACATCACAGAAATTAAGAAGATTAAGCGGTCCCTTAGAAACCGTTTTCATATAACTGACTTAGAACCATATAGCTACTACCTTGGCATGTCTGTCCGACGAGATCGACAAAACCGAATACTCTATCTAAGTCAAGAAGCATACATTCACAAAGTCATTTATTAATTTAGAATAGACAATAGCACTTCTATCAGCACATCAATAGAAACTTTCCCTCTACTCGAGAATAGATCAGAATACATCTGCTCTATGAATCAGAGAATCGAGTACCAGCGCATTATAGGATCTCTAATATATATCATGCTTGGGACTAGAGATGATATTGCATACACTGTTTTAATGGCGAGTCGGTACCTGGCTAATCCTAAACCACAACATGTGAAACTTGCTCGTCGAATCCTCCGGTATCTCAAAGGGACAAGTGCTCTCAGACTAATATATAAGGGTCATCTCTAGAGGTTAAATGGCTTTACAGACGCAGACTAGACTGGTTATCGCGATATAAGACAATCCATAGCTGGCTATCTCTTCAACATCAGAAGTGGAGCAATCAGCTGGCAATCTAAATGTTAGCCCATTATAGCCTTATCAAGCTATAAAGCCGAGTTCATAGGACAGACACAAGCAACAAAAGAGACCATCTAACTGAGAAAACTCCTTAATGAACTCAACATAAGCCAAGAAAGAATTGTAATGATTATCTATAGTGATAACCAAGAAGCCATCACTCTGTCCTCAAATCCTCAGTATCACTCATGCACAAAGCACATGGACATCCAACGCAAGTGGTAGAAAGAGATTCAAGGCACTAAGACAGTTGAATTAAAATACGTATTAACCACAGAACAAGTCGCAGATAGTCTTACCAAGCCTCTTGCACGAGATCGTTTTAAATGATTCTGAAAGAGGCTAGGCATTAAGTAAGATACTGAGATATCAATTTCAAGTTAGCTGATACATAGGCTCCCTTTTCTTTATTTTTCTACAAAGGTTTTAAAAGATTTTAACGGGACCTATCAGCATCGTGATAAGTGGTCACTGGCACACTCTTAATGACAAGATTGCCATCGAGTGGAAGTGTTGAATATCCCGGTGGCTATGGCGTGTGGCTGATGATATTGGGGTGTGGGTCTGTGCATATATGTATATAAACAGTCCACCTACCCCTCATAATAAGACAATAAGACAAGTTAACATACCTCTGAAAATACTTCAACATAGACATCGTTCTTGTTCCTCACCGAGATCTAAGATTCTAGTTCAGCACCTCTACTGGGCTTGATACAGAGGACCTACGGCTCCCAGGAGGTGAATGATGTAGCTTCAGGGAACGCGGAGTGGGTTTCTCGAAAGATCGGTGCCGGTAGGCGATCAGTGGGGTCACTCGCCGGAAGATATTTCAACCGAGGAAAAAAAACGTATCTGCTCCTGGCCTCCTCAGTAGTATAGTAGCTGACAAGTTCGGCTTCTACAATATTTAGTCTTTCGCTCTTTCTCAGCGCCACTTTCGGGAAGTAGTCTACTTTAAGCCTAGCTCGTTAGTGTGGTATTTTGCGTGTCGTCTGTGACAGGATAGTACCATAAACACCGTATAGAATCTATTCTGTCAGAATGCTATCTAGGCCTGAGCCAATAAGAATGTGCGAAAAGTCTGTGTTTTATTTACCCTGGTTCATACTTTCGGGACCGAAAAAATAAAGGATGAAAAAAAGGGAACACCTTTAGTATCTACTGCTGCACGAAAGATCAATTATACTCTGCAGTGTAACAACCCTCAGCATTGAGCTATTCACCGAAACCAGGGAGGGGTAGACGAAGAACTCAAGCTAGTACTGGTCTGCTTATCATAGCTGTAATACTTCTGGATATGTCAGAGATCTGCACCTTCCTCTAATCAAGTTAGCAGTCAAACACAAGCACTCAGTTTGCAGTAATATTTGATAGTCCCTTTGTGAGTATTCAAGCTGTGCCTCAATCTGTAAGGTTCAAAAGTTATGAGTTCCTTACTCCTGCGGATTATCGTTCGCCTAATAAAAAAACATGGGTCACTTTCTAAAGGTACGGCCGTGTGCAAGCAGCTACATATTCATACAGCGGTGAGGTTGAAAACAATTGGTGTCCAGACGGTCTCTACTCCATTTTAGCTGATCTACCCCACTTTTTCTGTAACAACATCGAAAAACGCTAGACTCGCTCTTAGAATGCCTATAATTATCAAAATCTGCCCCTTTGCCTTCCTACTTATGCCATTAGCTAGTTCGGTGATCGACTTGTTCGTACTTTCACTGATTTCAATAGTCTAACGCATGGTATTACTTTCCGTAAGAGGTTAGTATAATATGTAGCTACGTAGGTCGATAGACTAATTACATCAGTTATATAAGAAAATTTAGAATTCGTTGGTAAATACCAAGACTTAATTGCTAATACCTAGACATGGCCATCAGTATCATCGTACCGTATGCCAGGCTTAATACAAGCTACCGACATCAGAATATAGACAACCAGTTTCGTTCTGTTCGAATCGGCTTTACACAATCTACTTTCGATTTATTATAAGACGTCAATTCTGATCATTATTTTCCTAAGGATCGTATTTAAGGGCTGTTTCTGGTCTACGATTAGTGTTAAGGAAGCAAAGGGCAGAAGGATACATCCAACATGCAAGATTGACATTAGAGTCAGTGTAGCGCATCTACTACAGCAAGATTCTGAAACTGCCTTAAAAACTGATATGAACTTGCTCTTTATGGACCTATCACAAAGCCCATTCCACAGCTACTCTTTTCTTGGTACATTGGCCTTGCCAAGTGTAGCTGCACGTAGAAATTCTCGGTATCGGTGCCTTTGCTCGAAGTTAAACAAAGAAAGTAGTTTTTTCATCTGCCTTGATGATTTAAGTAATAATAAGCTGTATTAGAACTAGCCTAATTAGCCCACTCTTGGCGACAAGCGTTTGCTTATTTAGCGGGTGTAGGTAAATAGTCTAGATCATGATCTAAGGCTTGGAAATCGTGGACGCTCGCTGAAAATCCAATTTTCGCCATCTACATACACGAAAGACTTACTTTAGATACTAGCCAATTTTTGATCAAGTTCAAGACTTGGTACATAGCTATAGTGTTCTTGAGGAGCAAAGAATAATGGCAGTTTTGTCGCTATTGAACACTTGTATGTCTATTGAGGGTGACGCAGAAGGATGGATCTATTTTCTGCACCATAACGTCATAAACGATGTTGCTTTTCCATAATTTCTTTTGTTTGAAATTATTTAGTGAGCAACCTGCCACTAAATAAAGAAAAAGATATGTAACACAGTACACGTTACGTTTCAAAAATGTTGTCAGCGTCTACTATACTCATCTATTTTTTTCGACCCCTTATTACTTGCCCTATGCACTAGCCTCGGTTTGGAACTCTCCGCTTTTCGAATAAGTATTTATATATAAGCCGTGTAATCACGGCTTCTTTTCCCTTTTGCTTTTTGCAGGACACACATATGCATGTTTGACCGAAACAGTACTTGACGCAAGGAGATCTTCGCTTTATTTCGATTTTTGTATGATGCACGGCCATGAACAAGGGGGTAAATTATTCAAAATCAGAAAAAATGGATTCACATCTGGTGATCTCAATTGCCGGGAACTTGTATAAATACCTGCTTGAACACACTGGTAACCTACTGCAAGTCAAGATCATTTCAAACTAAACATCTCAGTTTATTCCAAGGGTCATCAAACAACATCTCGCCCACGATGAAGTTCAATGTGCTTCTCCCATCCCTTCTGGCTGTCAGCCTCGCCCATGCTCAAAGTACCACAACTGCGGAGTACAATGCAGTGTGCCTCTCGAAAGACAACCAGGAGGAGGAGAAGCCGACTGGATCGGGACATTGGGTGAAATACAACTGTGGCAAACGACCGAATCAGATGAGTGGGCTCATCTCTAAGCCTGGCGCGGGTGACATCAATGCTTGTATCCAGGAATGTGTGGACGAAACCAACTGCAAAGGGAGCCTATGGGATGGCCGTGTGACTCTGATAGCTAGCCGTTGTCGAGTTTTGGTGTCTGATGCCGCACCTAGTGCGTTAGTAGCCGCTGAAGGAGCAGTATACATGGCGTACGAGTTTCGAGAGGTGGAGGTGGACAACGGGTGGGATATCCCCTCGCCAACACCAGATGTATGCGAAAACCAGAATGTTGAAGCTGCCTGTGAGTGATTAACTATTATTTCGTGCGAGAAGTAATTGCTAACAATCACAAGGTTCTGTTAGTGTAGGAAGAGATGTTGCCTATAAGGGGAAGCTGCTGAAAGTTTTCGGCGGAGCCCGTAAGTCCCGACATTTCTAAGTTTCCCATGTAATTATTAACCAACATAGACTGGAGTGGACGTGGAGACGTCGGTAATTTCATTGGCCTCAACATTACTCAATGTGTTGACAAGTGCCTCGACGTTTCAACATGTAAGAGTGTGATCCAAGACAGACGTGTCAATAACGGTCTTTGTTATCTCAGAAACCACGCTCTGCCTGCAGGAAGACCAGAGTACACCGAAAACCAATGGAACAGCGTTTTCATCATCTCTTAAACTATAAAAGAGAAGGGCGATGAGGCAACAAGTCATGTACATCGTATCTCAGCTTAGGTTTTTCCCCAACCAGGGTTTCCCTATGCTATAATGCAAATGCAGAGATGGAAATGATCTTTGAATCTACAGATTTCCAGAATCCAGTAAATATCGCTAGCAAGCAATTCCGCGGCCCTTTGCCTTCGGAAAAATATACTACGAAAGTCGTGGTGTACTTCCATAGTAGTAAAATTTCCGGAAACCCACACAGTTCGTACTGTGAAGTCTCCAAAAGTGAAAGAATCCGCCAAGAGGCTCAAGCTTGGGTCACACAGGGTGCGGCAACAATACTCTTCAGCGACGAAAAGATGAATTAACAAGCAACCTTAACAAACGCATCAGCGGCTACTGCTAGAATTTACTTCCGAAGAAACCGTTCATGTGGAGACTGCGCTTCTTTAGTTTTTCTCCAAGACCTCTACTGTAGTACTGTTCCAACCAGCAATAGAAAAAAGATCGATCACCACTATTACAATTTCATCGCGGCGGCGAATGGCTAACTCAAAGAATGATTAGGCTGTGTAGCGACGGCTCCAGAAACTGCCCACCTTCTGCAGATAGCATTTCCCAAATAACAAGATATGAGCCGGTTGGCGCTTATTTTATCCATTCATGGAGTCTTCTTGCTTGTTGGAATAGCACACGTTGAGTATTCGCCATTAGGCAGAACATTCATTCAAGAGAAAGGCTATCTAGATTTCTGGCCATACTGATCAGCCGCCTTCGCCCACCCGATGATGTGACTAGCCCTCATCGTAATGTGTAAACTGCTCCATGAGTTTCTATGATCTCTGGACCTTTTTAAAGCTGGCCGCTTGGCCCCTATGAGGGTGTCAGAGCTGGGAATCACTCGTATATCTGAGACCTCGGGGTAAGCCTGAGTATCTGTTGTATAGTAAAAGGAAGCTTAATGATCTTCGTTTGAGATGGGTATATACAGTATAAAGGACTAAGTTGATAACCACATAATATTGCCGCTAACCCCTCTCCGGAAGCAGACGTACGGTGACCGAATTCCATGATGATTATCATTCCAGATAAATAGCTAAACTGAACCGGCAAAGAAAGTATCCCTTCCGAAAACTAAAACACAAAGTCCTGGCTGCCCCTACGTTATTTTTCTACTCAAGAATCACAACAGTCCGTCACGCGCAAGTTCGCTAGGGGCAGCCAATGATATGTATACCAAGTTGCGTAGCAAAGTGCGGCGCAAGATGGGATCATTGGACCGGCATAGATCGAAAACTATATCCGTAAAGTCAAAATAAATTAACAGAGTGGGACATGTATTAAACCTAGACAGAATGAAACTTGCAAATGAAATTTTATAAAAGTGCCAAGCAGGGTATTGTTTTTTTTTCATGAGGTAATAGTCGAAGGTATCGGGCCAAGCGGGAAATGGAAAGGAAAAACAGCGTTGAAGCGGTTTGAATGAAGCGGAAATGCGAATCAAATCCAGTGAGCCAATGAAGATGACTAATACCCGCAACACGAGAGATAACGTAAGTTTTCATATGCTTAACCGCATTCTTATTTGGATATTGCAAGTATATCGGCGTACGAAGTCTTTCTTGGCCTTTGTGAACGCCTCTCTGGAGTTGGTGTACTTGCTTGTGGTGAACCCTCGGCCTCATCCAGCGTGTCAGCCCAAGTAATCTTAGTGCTTTCCTCATCTTCATGTATCCGTTCGGCTAGAGGAACATGGACGGCGATCACGCGATCCAGGGTGATTCTCAGCTAGATCTCTCCCCTTCTATTGCGCACTCACCCTTCTTACCCTTGATCGTGCGACCGCAAAGCGGCGACCAGCTATTTCCCCACCGGGCTAGACCAAATGATTGGCTAGCATGGCCATTCAGCGTGTGGCTTATGTGCGGTCAATAGTTAGGTGGGTGTCGCTCGGATCATTCTATTAGCATCGCCAGCGTCTATAGGACCCCCCATATTAATCTGTCGTTGGTTATTCGAGTATTTGATTCTTTGTGGCAGCGTAACAGAGTCGAATTATCCAATTGTAACTGATCCGTAAGCTACGTCGCTTGCTGCGTAGTCCGGCATAATAGCTTCGCACGCTTTAATTCGTGCATAAAGCCCATCGTCTAGTAATTTAATGTCAGCTTCAAGCTTCTGCGTACTTTTCTAGGTCCGAAGGGCTTCTTTAGGCGGGGAATTAGTGATTAAAGACGGAAAATCGCTGTTATCCATTTCGTCCACTTCGCCGAACATTACTAAGTCATACCCTTGATCAGTTCTTTTTCTAGCGGGAATAACACAAAATATAGATCAAAAGGCACGATCCTACATTTTTTAAACCAAGATCGAATACATTGTTAACAAATCAGCACCAAAATGCCTTATAATGCTGAGCATTGTGTGCATATCGCGTTCACTAGCTATCTATACTTAGAAAAGGAATCAGTATACAAGATAGCCAGTCATTCCACATCCCCAAAATCAATAATAACACGTCTTTTCGAACGAAAACAACGTCTTATTACTAGATATTCACCACACGTTAATCGCTGTCCATCCACCAGTCATCCTCCGAAGTTCGAAACCATGATGCTCCTACATATCGCAGTTTTCGTGACGTCTATCATTGCTATGCCACTCCTTGAAATGCCTAGCTTAGAATCGGCTGGTGATAATGTGGCTTAAGGTCCCTATAACGGATTTAATTCCCAGATGAGTGAGTTCCAGGCGCAGAGATGTGCCGATCCTGTAAGTGAGCTTGTGAAGGTACAAAAGCTCGTGTTGTAAGCAACTAATACATAAATATTTATTATGCAGGTAATGCTTCTTCAATCAAAAATATTTGTTCAAGATAACATCAACATTGCTGCGCATTATCCGAGCGAACCGAAGGTAAGTAGCCATCGATATACTGGCGTCAATGACGATGGAAGGAAGTTGAAGAGCTTAGGCACCCACCCTGAATATTCTAAAGAACAACTCTCATCAAATGGCAAGGGATAGATAATCTATTGTCTACTTAATCCCCCGAATCACTAGAACCCAAGAAATAATATTCAACGGGAGGTCTTATGAACTTTGTCGTAACACAATGGAGTTGTGCCAGAATTGACAAAACCAGCACCAGCGCCTATCAGTCACCGGAAGCAGAGACATTTTTTCGGCTTCCTTATAGAAAATACACGTTGTCCCTCCTACTAGATCTTGAAGAACTGAGGAATCATGACATGTACTTGTAGGTACAATACAAGAATACTAGAGTAATATATTTAGCTGAAATGACTGAAGTTGACAGGGCCGTATATAAGACATGATGGTTTTGTTTCTAGATCATAAATAGTCTCTCTTAATATGAGATCCGTAGAACACAGTCAGCGACGGTGTTTTAAGTTGAGCGTCCCTACATCTTCTCTCGGCAAGATTCTGACAACGTTGCCCATTATATAGATGAGAGCAGACGTCACACTCGTGAAAGCAACTACAAACCTAGATGTTCCATGATTGGTTTCGTGTTGGATGATATGGCAAATATAACTGAGAACAAAAAGGGCCACGGCCACCGACCAGGATTCCCAGAATATTCTGTCTTAGGGCAGCAACAGGATCTTCTACTACTAAAAGCAGATATTATAAAAAGAGGAAACCGAAAAAATTAAAATTAAAATAACATACAACAGCTGGGATTCGCTGGTGGTCACCCACCCAACTACTAACCAGCCGGCGTGTGGCTTAAGTACGGCTGAGCGGACGGGAAGCCCTGTTTTCCACACCCTATGGTCGTATGTGTCTGAGTTGGGGTGGAAGAGAACTATACTATGGGCGTAATTGCTTGATCATTGGATTTGGTATCATTTAGAAAGCATGCACTTGCTTTCTAGTCATGGCAAACCATTTATAACCCGATATAAAATGAGGGTGACTTGATACTTAGCATAAGAACAAAATCAATTGCTTCTTATAGTTATGTTATTCCTAGCTGCAAGGCAAAACTTTTATAGATAGTAGCTTGAGAGATACTTAATTGCTTTAGTTGCCTGTTACAGTAATAATTAATAAGGAGAGGGATAAGTCCGATTTTAAGGTTCAGCATTACGCTCTACCACTTCAGGCTTTCCAAATCATCCCTTTTCTATTCCATTTTTCTAATTTTAGCTTTTAAGTTGTCGTATCTTCACTTTATCACTTTAGGCCTTTTCCTTTCCTATCTCAGCGTACCAGTGACTTCAGTTCATACAGCGGAGATATATTCCGGCCAGTAGAGGAGCGCATACTACATTGTTTCGACTATATCTCTTAATCGATCATATCCCAATTCATGAAATGCGATACCAACTATAGAAATGTCACTTTTGTTCTCTCTTGAATATCTTCGATAAGATCCGTGTCACCTTCTGAGAGTAGAGATTCTCAGAAGACCTCACTCGACTTTCGCTTGATCAGTACTTGGGCTATTTTGAAATCCCTTCGACAAGGACTATACTCTACTCTATTAAAGTAGTATTAAGCTACCATTCGGCATTGTATGGATATCCACAGCAGCACCGTGCCCACACAAGAGCCTTAAATTATCAAGATAACCACGATTAGTGCTGCATGGATCGGCGTCCAGCCATTATTTGTCGTAGCAGGATACCTGCATCTGCAGCTATCATACAATAATCTTGACTCATTTTGCCAAGGGAAGACCCAAATATAACCAACGTTATTTTGGTCTTGGAGGAGACAGTACTGTAACCAGTCCCGACCCCGAGCTACTTATTCCTTCCTGACCAAAACCGTAGGAACTTGAGAGTCTGGAACGCTTTCGGCGATGTGAAGCCTCCGATGTCGATAAAGCATCATCCGCACCGTGAAAGGAATGATGAACCAGGAGCCTTTTCGATGACAACGTGATAGGGTGATTATTCCCAAGCTTGCTCTTTCGTAGTTTCACTACCTTTTGTAACAGTTCTAGTGCCTCTGCCTGTTGTCCAGCCTCTCTATACATAACCGCTAGATTGTGCATTGACCTCAATGTGTCAGGATGATCATCCCCAAGTTTGCTCTTCTGCAGTTCCACTACCTTTTCTAACAGTTGCAGTGCCTCTGACTGTCGTCCAGCCTCGTAATATTTAATCGCTAGACTGTGCATTGACCTCAATGTGTCAGGATGATCATCCCCAAGTTTGCTCTTCTGCAGTTCCACTACCTTTTCTAACAGTTGCAGTGCCTTTGCTCGTTGTCCAGAGTTATGATATTGATTTGCTAGATTGTGCATTGACCTCAACATGTCGGGATGATCATCCCTAAGCTTGCTCTTCTGCAATTTCACTACCTTTCGTGACAGTTCTAGTGCCTCTGCCTCTTGTCCAGCCTCGCCATATATAATCGCTAGATTGTGCATCGATTTCAATGTATCAGGATGATCATCCCCAAGCTTGTTCTTCTGCAGTTCCACTACCTGTTCTAATAGTTGTAGTGCCTCCGCTTGTTGTTCAGCCTCACTATATTGAATTGCTAGATTGTGCATTGATCTCAATGTGACAGGATGATCATCCCCAAGCTTAGTCTTCATCAGGTCCACTACCTCTTCTGACAGTTGTAGTGCCTCTACTGGTCGTCCAATTTCTCTGTATAGATTTGCCAGACTGTTCATCGTACCCAACGTGTCAGGATGGTTGTTGCCAAGCTTGCTCTCCTGTAGTTTCAGTATCTTTTCTAACAGTTGTAGTGCCTCCGCTTGTTGTTCAGCCTCGCTATATTGAATTGCTAGATTGTGCATTGATCTCAATTTGTCAGGATGATCATCCCCAAGCTTAGTCTTCAGCAGGTCCACTACCTCTTCTGACAGTTGTAGTGCCTCTACTGGTCGTCCAATTTCTCTGTATCGATTTGCTAGACTGTTCATGGTACTCAACGTGTTAGGATGGTTGTTGCTAAGTTTGCTCCTCTGCAGTTTCAGTACCTCTTCTAACATTTGTATAGCATCCGTCGTCCCTCCATTCTCCCCGAGTATTAGAGCCAGTACAGGCCAACCCAACATTTTCTCCTTGTCACTCAATTCGCCTTGGTGAAGCTGGAGCCGAATCTTAAGCACATGAAACACTAATGACCGGCGGAACGTATAATCCTCGGTCTTATATTCCCACGCCACAGAGCTAGCCAACAGCCAGTGTGCTCGTCGGTAGTTTAGCTGTTGCTCCTCATAATCAGATATTCGGTCTCGACACCATCCATGCACCAAAGGGTGGAGGGACAATGATGTGTCAATATTTCTTGTAATCAGCGAAAACGATGCAAGCAGGGAAATCGACGCTTGTATTAACTGTTGATAATCAGGAAACTTCGAGGGTGAATCATCACGAATTTGGGCCTGCATCCGATGCCAAGCATTGTAGAACATCTGAGTCGGGATCTGATCGTGGTGGTAGAACCCAAATATACTCAATAGCCGGAGAGCAAGAGAGGATACCGTATCTCGCTTTGATTTAATTATATCAACCGATACTTCCCACGACGCATAGATGGAGTATTCGTAGTCTGTCCCAAGATGGTCTGGTCTATTCTGAAGGAGATTTCTTCGACGTCTGCTGTAGAGTTCGAGGTAGTCGGAAAGTGAGCAAGAGGTTTCACGAATATAGGCTCCAGCCTGCACGATAGCTAACGCGAGGTAGCCAAGACTCTCGACGACTTTTTGGCCTTCTTCTGCAGCTTGTTGCGAGGGGCTTGTCGCTGGATATATCATCTTACTCAGAAGTGACATTGACTCGTCCAGTGAGAGTCGCCCTACTTCCCGGTATCCAACAGTGTGGTAATGTTGACATTGAGGATTGCGGCTGGTGATGAGGATGTTGCCTCGGTTTCCCGTCGGGAAATATGGCGCCAATCGGAGCTCGGGGTCGTCGGCATTATCGACCACAAGGAGCCAGACTTGTGAGATGTTAGCCAGTGTTCGTTTGACGCTGTCAATAGTCTCATCCACTTGGAGAAGACGAGCAATCTGAACAAAACATTGCTGAATTCTGTCGTTGCTACTCGCGTCGATCCAGAATATACCCCAATACCTAAATAAGACTACTAGTCAATATTTGTAGATTACATAGACTACCTAACTCACCTCTCTCGTTCTTTTTGCACATATTTTAGGCAGATCTGTGTTTTGCCAGAGCCTCCAAGACCGAAAAGCACAAATCGCCGCTGATTGCAATTCTGGGGTGACTGTCCAGTGCCAAATGACGTGGTAAGAAGTTCAACTTCTTCATCACGGCCGGTAAAGACAGGGCTCAGTAAATGAGGGACTTCAAAGTGTATGTTGTATGTTACTAAAGCAATGTATTTAACCTAAAATGACTCTTCTTGATTTATACTCTTCATCAGAACATACCCGACTGCTCGCTCGCAATGCGTTGCTGGTGGTTCCTTATCCGCTTGACCCTCTTATACACCTTCTCAAAAGTATCATCACTATCTGTTTCGAACTTGCACATTGCACTATGATCAGCGTCGACAGGGATCTGTTCTTCATGGTTCACTTCAAGTAAGGCGGAATATTTCTCCACGATCTGAACTGAGTTAGCTATCGATAGTGGAAATGAAGTTGTGGTTACCCATACCAGACCGGAAAACCCTTTCATCGGTCGCTGCTCATAGAAGCTATATATCTGATAGTCGGGTAGCTGATGGCGAAAATCACTGGTCAACCGTAGAAGAATATCCGAGTTCGTTTGGAGGGCAGCCATAAGACGAGGAGGGGGTCGATGACTTATAAGCTGCGCAAAGTTCACCAGCACTTTTCCGTATGTCGCTTTCTCACTTCCACGATGAGGCGTACCGAAGAAGATGATGCCAAGTGTTGTATTCTTGATAGCCTGGTATCGCGGCTCTAGTCGTGCTTGGAGCAGGGCCTAGGATAACGTTAATTACTGACTGCATTCAAGAAAGCTGTGGCATCGACAAACTTGTTTCACCACAATCCCCCGAGAGAGTGGGCAATAAATATTAGAGGGCGGCGATTCTCCTAACACAAGATCAGTCCCTTCTTTCCTTGAAGCATCGCCAAGATTCTGTACCTCTGGTTCTTCCCGCTTGTCCACCAAACTGCTAAGTAGGCCTTTAGCACAATCTATCACCTCTGCCGTTGATTGTCCAAATGCCACAGCGGCTTCGTAGCCGAAGGTCATGATGCGAGCATCGGGAATTTGTTTGGGGAGAAAATCTTTCAACCAGAAGGCCTCCGATTTTGGGTGTGTCCAGGTGTCGATGGCGTTGCCGCCGAGGCCGTGGACAGCGACGATACTAAAGACAAGGCTTCAGTCAGCGAACAACCAGTACAGATGAGGCAACAGTCAGTGGAGCTTCAAGAGGATCTTACTCGACAGCAGATGACGAGGGTGCCTCTTTTGGAGGATATACGATAGACAACACCATGCTTAGAAGCGGTTTATGAGGCTAAAGGATCATTATCTTTAAGGCAAAGGAGGGACTGTGATCATTTTTCCGATAAATGCGGCACGAGGCTGAGGCCAGGCACGACATCTTGGATGCTTGCACCATTCAGCCGCAGGCGCTTAATTTGGTTGGCTCGGCCGGCTAGCCATCCGCAGCGAATTGCGTACCTCTAAATCTTTCTAATCCCAAATTGACCAATCAAGGCATGCATCGTTGTTTACAATCTTGAACACGTCTAATTGGATAGAATCGAGGTTTAATAGCTATACGTTGTACGATTGGGCAATCAAATGGATCAAACACATTAACTAGACAGTGAGTGATTAAAACTATACCGATTCTGGATTTAAACCAGCTACTAATTTCGTCGTGATTCTTTACTCATCTACCAATACATATTATGATTTTTATGGCGTTCGCGTTTGATAAACATGAAAAGGGAGGATAGTACACGAATTCGATTGATAATTGTCTATGAGTGCAGCACACTAGCTAGGATGTTTCATCATGTAGGGGGCCAGTTTGTAGACTCATTGCTCCGAAGATTTCACTCGCTCTTTGGGTGGCCGGAGACCAGTGAAAGGCTAAAAGTCTATAATCATAACCTGACCAGCAGGTGAGGTTTGATATTACCTAACCTTTCTTAGGTAATTCTTTACACCTGAACAAAATGATTGCTCTTGTCGAATCGAGGGGTATCCCTGAAAGGCGTATCACTGGTAACGTTTCCCGGTTCGACCGTTTAAATGCGGGCCGTGTTGTCACAATCAATATTTGGGGCCAAATCAAAAATTGATGACCCGAGTCGACGGCCTTGGGCCAGCTCCGCCTATTACAGGTGTTGACATCAATAAAGTTGCGCTATCCAGGTATCTACGGGGAAAGCACCCGTTATTTTGAATCGGTTGGGGGCCAACTTTGGCGTGGATTACGTTAATTAGCTTGTTTTCAGCCCACCACCACATCTCCTATGATTTAGCCCTCATCCCCTCGTTCAGAGGTCCTCTCCGCCGGTCTCAACCGAGCAGACTACAGACTACCTGAAGTGGGCTTGTGCCTCGTGGCGCGCGTATTCGTCGGCACCCCCAGCGCTGGCGTCACGGATTTCACGCACCGGTCTAGCGTGTACGGCTGTTTCGCGACTTATCATTTTTAAACTGGAATTTTATAAAGACACTATTAAAAGATAAGGTCATATAGAAGATAATTAATTAAATATTAATATGGAGAATTGAAGAGACTTGAATAGTACGTAGGTGCAAATAGGACGGAGTATAGGATTATTAATAGTATCACTGAGATGGGGGGCGTCTATAGGGGATATAGGGTCACAGATCGGCACAGCAATAATGCCATTTCGGCACCGCTAGAGTCGCTAGGTGCTCCCGTTTCCAGCTGCCCCGAACTGGTTACTACGGCTGGGTTAGCACGCCTCTCGCTTTTAGCCAACCAAAAGTGACTCCCCACTCAACGTGCCGCTCAGCCCTGGCACTCAAAGTATGAAAAAAAGCTTGATCTATTCGATGTGACTGTCGGAAAGATATATAGGAATTTGGTAGCCCAAGGTCGTCTTCCTCTGAGCAATCTTGCCCACTGCGTTTACAGATTGATTTTATTTCCCTATAGCCTACCTGCTTTTCATTGATATCATCTTCATCAGCCATGGGTCGCGGTCAAGGCGGTCCTTTAGGTCTCGTCGGAATGGCTGTCGGTTTTGGTATGGAAGTCTACCAACATCGAAAAGAGACCAAATCGAAAAGACAAAATGTCGCTTCTCAAAACTCTTCCGAAGATATCCAAAATTCTCTGCCGTCAACCCATCTTCAGTCAGCGAGATCTCTTGGAGAAAATTCTAGCGCTTCGAATTTTGCTCCAAATGATGCCCCTCCGTCCTATCAAGAGGTCGTAAACACTGGTTCATCGCAATCTTATTATAACGATAAGGCTGTCTCAGACTCATATCCAAGAGAGAAAGACTCTTCAGGAGACTCTCGATTCACTAACAGGACAATTGAGTCTTTGGACACACATCGGCATGTAGATTCGTCCCCTTATGACGATGAAAATGGAAATCGCTTTAGTAATAGAGTCCACCAAGGACCGAAGTATGATACTGGTGACTCGCATGCCGACTTGGAAGACGAGAAACAGTGGGAACTCGATGAGGCGGCTGAAGAGTTTGGACCCCATGATACCCGAGCAGCGGGTGAATCTGACGGACCGGCACAAACTGAAGAAGAAAAGATCAAGCAGAGAGAGGCATTTATCAATGAGCTTGTCTATATCGTCGGGCCACCACCACGTTCTGTAGAACCGCTAGCGTGCCCTATTATCATCCCACAGCGCCGGCCAGGCAAAAGAGACAGGGGATTTGTCAGAGCTTATGCCCCCGTTCTCAATAACAGCGGTATCAGCCAAGACGCGTTTTTGAAGTTTCTCAAGGACTGGCAAACAGCTAGTAGGGTATATATCGCCATATCTCTAAACATGCATTCCACTAATATTTTCAAAAGGCAAGCCCATGGTGGGATGTCGTGATAGTGTCGTCAGCGATCGCAGGCTTTGCTCCGGGCATCACAGCCATGGTCGTCACCACTGTTGCTCAAATAGCAGCATCTGCTGCGAAGGAAGTCCAGTCCCGATCACGGCACAACACCTACCTCGACCGAGTCAATCAAGAAGTATTCATGCCCCGCGGTCTCGTTGCGGTAGTCATGAAATTCAAACCTGATTCCCAGCTCGTGCAAGGGGGTAGTCAATCTCAAGGCCTTCTCGGTAATATTGGTGGAATTTTCGGAAGCATGGTATCGTCTGAGCGGCTAGACTTGTCCCAAGCAGCAGTGAAAGTCTCCCAGACTGGACAAATTCCCGCCACCAAGATCCAGAAGTTCAGACAGAATATGCATGTCGCCAGCGGCGTAACTCGCGGCGAAATTGAGCTTCCTGATGCCGCTGAACTTGTGTTTCCCAACCTCGACTATGTGGCCAGCCAGCCGTCGGTGGGGGCAAAGGCGAAACTCAAGTCGGCGAATAAGTTTGTTCAAGACTACCTTGATCGGAGAGCGCAGGCCAAGTATGCGGCTGACAACCCTGGGTCAGCTCTTACGAGCTACGTACCGAAGTTCGCTTCGAAGCTTAGCGACCCGACTGCGGGGATGGCTCAGGGAGGCCTGCGAGGTAGCCCAAGGCGAGGGGACAGGAGAGGCAGAAATTCTCGAGGGGGTTTGATTGGGCTGGCTACGCAGTTGATTGCGAACACGCAGGATAACCAGCGCTCTGAATCTCGCTACGAAGATGATTATAACACGAGAGCGAGGTATGGTGGACGTCCATTACAGGGTGGCGAGTCTGCGAATTCGGCGCAGTATGGAACAAATCAAGGCAGGCAGAAAGGCGGGCGAGGGCTCAAAAAGTTAATGCAGCAAGATGTGCTGTACTTGATTATCGTGAATCTTCCGACAGAGCAGGAGGTGAGAAGTAACATGAGGGAGTTGGAAATGGCTATGGAAGATGCTGTCAACCGTGGCGCATAATACCTTATCAGCTCCACATTATTTTGACTACAGAACGTGTTGATGTACATATTCGGTAGATGAATTGAAATTATCATTTATAAATTATAAATTCTTAATAATTCTAACTATCATTCAATAATATAATATTACCTTGAAATATATGATATGTTGTTTACCTTTAGGTGCCGTCGCAACAGGAAATCGTCTTCTCCCGAATAGGCATTTGCGCTCTTGTTCCCCCAAGACCCAACACTCGCCAATATATAAACTGCCATAGAGGCATAAGATATGGTTGTAGTCTCGTTTGGGATGGAGTTATTTGAAATAGTCGCTTTGACGTAAAAAGTTGTGTAAGGCTATTCACATGTTCGATTAGCTCTTGAAAAATCTTGAAGATAATATATAATTGATTTGAGTCTTGATTAATAGGTTTTATTAAGTGCCTTAGGCACCTTTTGTACCAGCTAACCTTAGTAATCGATACAGGGATCTCTACACCGAAGTGAGACGAATTTTGTTTCCCAAAAATGTGTTTATGAATGTGAAAGGAGAGGTATCTCCTAGATGATATACAGGTAGCAGAGCAAAAAAGAAATCAAGCAAACCCGCGATTGGTGCCAATTTTCAGAAGTATCGTAGTATTGTACCACTCAATATATATGCGTGGTATTGTGTTGACAACTTGCATCAATGTCTAGGCCTACCGTTCAGCTTCCATGTACCCGTAGCATAGGTCCATATGCCGCTTTCAATGCAGGCTGAACAAGGTTGGTTCGCGGTGACTTTGGAAGTTGTAGTCACAACGGCAATCCCACAACCACCACATCCACAACTTTCTATTAAGTGCGGGGGTTCCTCAACTTCGCAACCGCATGCATATGGAGTTATCATAATGAGACAATGACACATTTCTGCTCATGCGTCCCACCCATCGGTTAGTATCGAAGAGAGGATGAAAGGAGATGCACACCTTACAACCTTAACGATAAGTGTATAATTTATGCTCTTCAAGACAAAAGTGGGGGCGTCGATTTCAACAAGTTTGGTCGGCAAGTTCCTTTTATGGAAAGGTGGATAAAAAGTTAGCGAATTTGGGCAGATACTCTCAGAATGCCTTCCAATATGCCTTTACACAGGAATAGTTATAAGTTAAAGAAAATCTTGTGTGAAATATTTGGTTGTTAAAAATGTTCTAAGTGGGCCTTATACTCCTTTACTCTAACTCCAGTAATACGAGGAGGAACTAACCTGCTTTGTCAATAACGCACAGAAGGAAAGGTGACTGTACTCCTATTTCTATTCTCTAGTAGTTACTGTGGACCAGTTGACATATAAACCCGCCAATGGTTATTGTGAAATTAATGTTGCACTGCCTCAGAAACCAGCCGCAGCCTTGTCATATACCCAATCAAACAATGAAATTAACCGCTGGCTGCCTGCAATGCGTGTGACCAGGCTGGGAACCAGTCATCTTTTGCGGCAGACAATCTAATTATTTCATTCGTTGACAATGATATCCATGGCGAGGCTGAAGGAGTGAGAAAATGACAGAGATTTCTGGAAAAAGGGATCTAGTCATAGAGGAATCGCAAATCTTATTTTATTTCTCCCAATACCCCAAGTTGTGACCTTGAAGCTGATTGTATGCCATGGCAGAAGCTTTCGGAATTGCGGCCGGTGCTTTTGGGGTCTTTTCCTTGACCCTCGAGCTACTTAAAATCGTAAAATCAGCACATCGCTCCGTGAAACTGATGAAGAGTGTCTTAGCGACCACATCTGAAGTAGAGATCGGGCTATCGACTATAGAAAAATTGTTAACCGAGATTGGAGCTTTATCTACAGACGCAACAAGTGATTGTGGCGTTTTCATGTGTCTGGAACGATGTCGCCCTCGCCTCCAGATGTTAAAGGACATTCTCCAGGATATCAGAGAGACAAAGTCAACCAATCGAGAAAAGGTAAAGAAAGCTTTCAGGATCATATCTTATGAGCAGAGGCTGTCTGAGGCATCTGGACTACTAAGAGAGACAATTGATTGCTTGTCTTTAGGGCTACTTGTACTCCAGCTGTACGTTGCTCTTCCATTACCGCATTCACTAGTCTCAATATCTAATAATGCATTTAAAGTCACGAGACTCGTCAGCAGAGCATTAACCTCTCAACTATGAACCAAACAATAGCCTGGATTGCTGCGCAACAAACAAAGGAGGTCAGCTCTTTCGGTGTCTCAAATGATGTTCAAAGGTCGATAAAAGATTTGTCCCAACGTTTGGCATCATTAGAAGCTACCATCAACCATCCATCCCTGAGTAACGAAAAATTATCTCGTGAGAGTTCGGTTGAATCCTATGGCCCAGTTACAAAATTGCATTTTGGAGACAGAACCAAATCCACAATATCTGCCACTCTAAAGGACGACAAAATTACTTCAAATAGGTTCCAGACCTTCCTACATGAAGCACATAGTGGAATGGATGCAACCAAAAATTTATTGGTGTATCATAATGGGTCGACGTTTTTTAAAGCTAGTGAGATTTATAGTATTACGCACCGGCACTTGAATTTGCTCCTCGGAACATTGTCCATGATATATATGCGGAAAAGATATAGAAGGATGCGAAAGGAAGATAAGGATGACATTATTCAATCGTGGGAGGTAAAAATTAAATTCAGCCCTTCTTGGTGTTTCGATAAAGGCTTTTGGGCTAGGCTCTGGACGAATGCATCTGGCGGCTGTAACGTGCAGCAAAGCTTGACAATGATGCATACTGTATCATCTAGGGATGAGATATGGGCTTTTGTTAGTCATATGGATATTGTAAGTATCAGAGAGGGATTTATGAAGAAAAAGTATTCCGTGAATACCGTGGATGAGTACGGGCGGAGTCTTCTCGGACTGGTAAATGACCTTCTTTTCTCTTCCTCAGAGATGAATCAAATTAACGTAATACATAATTTAGGCCTGTAGAGGCTCTCGAGGTGAATTGGTTCGCTTCCTTCTCGATGCTGGGGCAATGAGTCAGGGTGTTGATGATAATGGCAGGTAACATATCCACAATCCAACATACTGTGGCAGGATAACCTAACTAATATTGGAAATCAGGAACACTTTGGTCTATTGTTTTGATATAAGAGGCCCCCACTTTCTTGGATCGGGATTTTGGGAGATATACAACCTTTTAGTTGAAAGGTGCCAATTGGATCCTTCAGAACCTGACTGGAACGGCCGAAACTTCTGGCATCTCTTCTGCGAAAATGCCCCTCTTGAAAAAGAATTTCCATGGCAATCGATAAGAAGTGACTTTAGTCACATTCTAAACGAGCGAGATAATCGTGGTCGCACATCGACCTTTATTTTGAGCTCAAATCCGAAAAGCAATATTGACTTATTCCGTTGGCACTTGAATAACAAAGCGAGCATATCAATCCCACAGGTAGATGGGCTAACCTGTCTTCATGCGGCTATAGCTTCCCTCGAACCACAACGTGAAAAATCTCACATAAATCTAGAAGATCTCACTGGGTATCCAGAATCGAATTTCCTATATCGCTACGGTGAAGAAGACCGTGAAAATCAGAGAAAACGAGTTGAATTACTCATATGTCAAGGGGCGAATGTTTTCGCAGTTTCCAATTTATATGGAACTCCGACCGATATCGCAAGATTGACTGGGAATTTTCCCTTGTGGATTGAGGCCCTTAGAAATAGTGGTTTCGATCCTAAGAAAGTCTTAGCGGCAGATAAGGAGATCTCAAGACATCAGCATTTCTTGTCAAGTCTGCGACTTGCACGTAACCTGCAGCGTGAGAGCAGAATTCGCTGGCAAACTCTCCAAGATATTTTTGTGGTTTTCGATAGCTTTGAAAAGGACAAGAAATCAATAACAGAGCCGATAATTCCGGAATGGGAATGCCTGCCCACTTCCCCTCTCATCATGTGTATGGGAACATACCAGGGGAACTTTTTAATTTTAAAGGACGTGCTCAAAAATGCGATATTGAAAGACGCTCATGCCGAAGGACAGGGTCAATCATTCCTGGTGAATGCTGACATTGATGGTGGAAAGTACCAGGCTGGCTTTCTCCATGGACGTACCACATTTTGCATAGCTAGTCCTTCATATCAAGAAAAGTACAACAAATTGGACAAATATCTGGAGATTCTTGCTGAGATTGCATCCGGAGACCACACATTTAATGCTGATACGATTGACTGGGAAACTCATCGAAGATTTGTCGATATAACAAAAGCAGCTGCTACATTGGAGAGGAACCGCAGAAGTCGACATTTATCTCTGAGGATTGGGTTGATGCATGCACCTGAGAATGCAGAATCTACGGTAAAGATGCCAGGATCATGGCCTGCAGAACAATGAGATCTTCCTTTTGGTTTAATTAGATTGAGGGACGGCAATTTAAATCGAGACTAGCAAAATACAATACCATGCATCACCATCGTATGTCATTGATGCCTTCTCGTCCATGTTAATTTCGTGTTATCTAGTATTCACTGTATTCTTTAGCTCTAGTATGTTCATTATAGCTTGTCGAGTTTATAAAAACAAATATGAGCACATGAAATATAAAGAAAAGAAAAAGGAGCAAATGTTCGTTGTAATATTTCAGTTGGGGTGCACACGGGGCCAATGAATAACACTACCCAACTGACGGTGATTCGGTTCTTATCTTGAACACTTCTCTGCCATCATTTTATGGTGGTGCGATAACGGTAACATAGATGGATCACATACTCCAGTTCCATCCATAATGGTATTGGGCCTTGGGAACAAAGACACGGCTCTTCTCTGTTGATCCATTAAATTGGACGAGATGGTGACTGAACTGCTCCATTAGTTCTGACCTCTAACCAAAGTCACATTAAATGGATTGTCTAGCGTTTTTGGGCCTTGTTGAAGCTCCGCGAATTCCACTCGATATGTCCGATGCATATTATCGGCTTCAAGAATGACATCTTAATTGAGAGACACGGTTGCAAGAGTTTCCAAGTCGTTAAAACGGAGCACATATTTAACGGCGGCTTCCGCATTACAATTTCCATGAGAAAAGATGGTTCGGTATTCCCATTTCTGCTCTCCCACCCATTGCACGTCGTACTCATTCGAACCTATATAGGGATCAGGGATTTTCCTGTGCTTGATCAAGTCGACGTGCACAGTTGTCAGAAATTGCAATATGGGAAGGAAGCCATCAGTCCATGCAGGCAATTGGCATTCTCGACTTGTTTGAACGTCCAACTGGAGCTGAGAGGAGTGAATTTGTAGACGTGCATGGTGTGCAGTTGTCACAAAATGATATGTTCAAAACTGCAATATGTTCCCAGCTGGATCTACGGAATGTCAAAGTACATAAAGTATGATTAGTGATAGTTTTAGTTTTGATATAATATATATCGCGGCATACCTTTGAACCCTGTGTATCCACACCGGCGGCCGACCAGCATTATATCCACCTCGGATGCCAATTGAGGATATGATTGGTTTGTGAACCCAGTCCATCCATTTTTTATTTTATTATTTTATTTTTTAAACTAGTGAGGATAACTCGACTGCTTGTTCTCTACTAACAAATCAAGTTGTTCAATAATGTGAAATTAGCGTGCTGGATACTAACCTATTAGTTTCCGTTAATAATCACGAATAAAAGCTTGTTGAAAACAGACGCGGCTTTTCAGCCACATTTAACACTATAAACCAGTGGAGTTAATTTAGTCAATGAGTTATTGTAACCATATAACGGGCAATATCAATTTGAACAGTGGCCCATGGTTACGTATTATGTATTACCGCTTTTCAGAATGATGAAAGATGCTTAAAAGACACACTTGGCTAGGTCCACTGCCTCAGGAAACATACAAGGATGATCTCCTCCGTTCATGATATGACCAAGCTTGTCTGGAATTATCAAGGGTGAAACTAGCCGATTTATGAAAGCTCTGCTCGATATGGTTTTTGAATTCGCTCCGGTTGGTAAACGAGTCGATATTGGGGCATTCTGGACAGGTAAATGTAGACACCGAGGCAAATCGCTCCCACCGGTCAGGATTGGCTGACAATCTTCGTCGGCGAAATCTGACCAATTGCTCGGCGCATTTCGCCATTTCTTCCTGGCCGCCGCTTTCAAGGTATTTCGCTACAATGTTGGCCATTCGGTCCATCGTTATCTGCCCCGGCTCTCGTTTTCGTTCACTCTCGTAGGTCGGGATCCACTGGTCCATAATCACACCATTCCAATCCCTGGAGCGGTCATTGAAGCGGAAATAGCAATCGGCTAACTCTGGTCGACGTTTAACCCTTTTGTGGACCTTGTCTGTGTCGACCATACTTGCGAAGAATCCAGTAAAACTCGCAAAAAGGTCGGCGATACGTCCATTTCCGATTGATGTGTGGTGTCTGGCGCCAGTTCCTAAGCTCACCACCACACCGGGCTTCTGAGCTGACTCTAAAACTTGCAATTCATCAAGTACATCTTCGGTTGCATTGTTTACACGCATCCCTCCATGTTTGAAGGTCAAATTTTCGATCTCGAGCTTTTCAAAGTACGAGGGCGCTGCCATAGTTGCGTGTCCGACCTCCCAAATAGCATCTCCACTAGCTGCACTCGGATTACGGTGAGACGAACCAGTCTCTTTGTTAGCAAAATGATTGTAGCTTCGAAACAAATATGTTTTCTCCCGACTAGATTTCGTACGTTTTCCACAGGCGGTGACAATACTAGAATCAATTAGAATAGTCACATTACCCCAGTTCTCTTTTTGTTTTCTTCTTCTTCTTTCCCCTTCCGATTTCTTGGAACTTACGTTTTGCAAATATCCGATGGTGCTGCCAACGGGGTGTGCTTTAATCCTACATGCGCGTCAGAATCGTAGGCGTTGGAAATCTCTCTGATTGTAGCGTCAAGGCTGTAGGTGTTATATTTCGTTTCTTGAGCCCAGAGCGGTGGGAGTCGTCGGCAATGGAAAGTTCTAGGTCGCCCATATACCCGGTTTGCAAAGCGTATATATTGCTCACAGGCATCATACGCTGTCATGCGAAGTCTTCCCAACATAAGGGCAATCAGTCTAAATATGCGATGAGCCAATCGAAGCATCAGAAGAGCATGATATATGAGAGGACCTCACCCTCCAGTGCCGGATCCCACGATGAAATCAAAATAATGGCATGGTAAATATGGAGAATTCTGAGGGTCTCCAGACGGGAGTACAGCGTCACAAGGATAGAAACTAGAAGATCCTGGTTTTGTATCGGCGCCGGGAGTGTCTTGAAGGATACTGCTCAGCAGGAAATCATTTTCTTCCACTCTCGCAATTTCTCGCATTAGAGCCTTTAAGAACAACAGGCTTGCGAAGCCTCTGACCCCGCCTCCATCTAAGACAAACTTTGCTTAGCACTCTTCCCTTGGAGTTGGTCACCACAGAAGGACACAAACCGATGCTCAGCAACGTCCATTCATCCCAAGGGTCAGCCATATTAACATTGGCAAGGAATTAGAGACTTGTAGACAAGACCGGATCCATAGACCATAAGGGAATCTAGGGACAAAACTACATTCTGGACCATTTTATGCCAACGGTCGAGTGTAGAAATCATAATGACGTCGAGAGCCAAGTGGTTTTCTTTGCTATTCTAAAATTAGCAGAATTGATCAGGTGAGCCTGAACATAAACATGTGGTAGTGGAGTGGCGAATACAAATGCTCGTCCCCGATACGTGCGTCTAGCCTGCTTACATAATCACATTTTTTGTCATCAAGCCAATTGTCTGTTAAAAAACGGGCCGCCGAATTAAAAACGTATGTTGATTGATAACAGTCAACCATCATGTAGGTATGATTTTGAATCATCAGCTTGACCAGACTTTCCCTTGTTTAGTCGTGGTATATTTCCAGGAACTGCCCTGAACGCCATGGATTTGAAGCAGCAATCTCGATGTTAGTACAATTATAGTTATCATTATAATATGTTTATTTTATATTTTTTTCTCTGACTTTTGTTTTACGCACTAGTCCGTCTCCTGTGTTTAAATTTACATTCTGGCTGAAACTGGATAGAGGATTGTTTCGTAATATAAGGATTGTGACATCGTATTTCTGCATGGTCTTGGAAAGATTTATGGAATACTGACGATTTTACACGAAAAATTGAAATAAATCGCACTGGATATCAATTGATGTAGAGATGTAACACGATAAATCAAAAGACATATCTAAAGCGACTATGCTCTTTATCGGTCAGATCCAGCAAATCATTCCACCCCGGTGCATCCTCAAGGCCATCCCCATCGCCGGTTGCAGCATCTCGGTCCTTCTTTCTATTCATGTAATGCAGATATCCACTGGCACAATTCTATTAGCTTTACCAACGTCTTGTTGGTAGGGTAGTGGGGAAAAACTCTTACATCATCAAAAACTCAATTGCGATCATCAAGGCAACCGACACATAAAACGCTCTGAAGCCCGTGGGATACCGAGGACTCTCGCTGGATAGGAAAAAGTGTGGCGCCACGATTTGTCCCACACTGTAGGCCATGAACATCATTACTCCGACGGTTGCCTTCTTCGTAAAACCGCCGATATTCGACGAGAGCAAAGACATGCACATGATGTATGGAATTGTGTTGACGAAGAGAACTGTGAGTTATTAGGAATCGAATATACCGGTGTCATCGGGTCAGGATTCATACCGTAGAAAGCACCGAGACGACCATGGGCATGAGAAGCAGGCAAGGCTGTTCACGAAGATTAGCCAGACAAGGAATATATCAGCAATGGAACCTTACTATCAACAAGAATAGCACCAATCAAGACCACAGTATTTGCAATAATCATCAATATGCATCTCGAATTAGGAATAAGCTGGGCTGCGATACCGGCCACGAGGACTGAGCATAACTGGATACCGTCCTCAGGAAAAGACATCAGTGTGGCCTGTCTGTTTGAGTATCCGAGGCCTTCCAGGACAATTTTATCGAACTGTAATTGAGAATCAGACTTGAAATGGCCCTGCAGACATCAAACATGTTCTTACCGAGGTCAATCCCCCACCTGGAATACACTGCAGAAAAGCCATCGCCGTCAACATCCACGCCTGGGGATCCTTCAATGCTTCTCTCACTTGATACAGTTTGTACTTTCGATTTTCGATACCAGTGTGATTTTGCATAACCCTAATAACAGCAATTTTCCGCTCCCGATCGGACAAGAACCATGCTGTCGTCGGAGACGTCGGCAGGGCGAAAAATAACAAGATGCCCCATGCTATCGTGATCGGGCCTACCGTTAGAAATATAACCTGCCAAGTGACGTACTTTCCGCCTCCTTTCAATGTATCCCCTGCCACCGCATAAGTAATGGAGTCGGCGATAAAGGATCCAATACCGCCTCCAGCCCACCAGATTGACGCCCGAAGGGGTTGCTCTCGCGTCGTCCAATACTGGCCGACTAGCAGAGTAAGAATCGGGGAGATGCAGGTCTCGAATGCGCCGAGAAAGAAGCGACAGACTGCCAATGTAGCGAACGAGTTCGTTGCGGTCATGCATGTTGTCGCAACACCCCACAAGATGACCATCACTCCAAAGTACCTCCCAAGCGGCAATTTCTGCATCAGCACAGAAGACGGATATTGCGCGAAGAGGTAGCCAAAGTAGAATATCGATGACACCCAGCTGTAGTCTTGGCCGACAAGATGCTACATTGATTCCGTTAGCCTGCATTTAGACTCTAATGGTCTTTGGGGAAATCTTACATCGTCATCGCGAATACCATAAATTGATGCCTCAGACAAGGCGACCTTATCGATGAAGGAGAGAATGTATGTGATCGTCATCTACATTGTCAGCAATCAGCTTCGTTAATTTTTGGGCATGTTAAAAAATACCATTGTGAGCAAAATAATGTCAAGTTTCCACCGAACGAGTCTTGCTTCATCCTTGGTGTAGAAGAAATTGTCGCCCGCAGCGGCAAAGAGATTAGCTGCATCGTCGTAGTCGCCATTTTGGACAGGCACTTTAGCATCCTGAGCTGTGGACGTGATGGTTGTTGCGCCATGTTCAACAGGTAGATTAATATCTCCAGGTGACCCACTTGCTACTTTCTTTTCGTCCGAAGACATCTTGAAATTTGGAAACACAGCTGAGTGACAGCATTCAGGAAATACAGCTGAAAATATCCGAATAAGTAGTCGCATGAGCCCGTTTCTTATCAGACACCCATGCATCTTCCCCGCATTCCAAGATGTTGGTGTTGGAGAAAGATAACACCGGCAGAACACCCGGTGTCGGCTCGCCAACCGCTCCCGATCTGGTAATAAACTCTTTTGTGGTGAAAGGCACAATTTCCAAATACCGTAAGGCTGGCAACTAGTCGCTAATCGAGCCGAATCGGGAAGCTTTGACGATAGCAAACTATATGAGTGATACTTACGGAATGGCGCGTGAATACAATGTAGCGCTCGGCTGGGCTTTATTAATGCTCATGTTTACAATAATTATTGCTTATGACCATGCGCTCTAAGAATGATTCTCACAGATACGGAAGTAATCCAAAATGCATTCCAAACCCAGCAATGAGACGGCGATCAGCCCAACATATCAGCATGTCATCGTGAAAGGACTACCCTATGAACGAGGACTGACCCATGGTCGGCGAGCCCAAGAAAAAGTCTGTGCAAATGTCCATTACTATCGAACCCCGGGCAAACTGGTTTCGCCGTGAGTATAACCCTAACCCTAACATTGAAAGCAAAACAAGGAAGCTAAGTAATACAGCCACCTCATCGACCAGATTATCGACCAAGTCTACAAACCTGCAATAAAGATGTATTATCCAGCTGCGCTCGACGAAATGCAAGGCATTGCCGACGGCGCTGGGGTAACGCTAGACGACATCATCCTATTGAATTCGCGGTATGACCTTGCACGCATCGACGAGCCCGACAACAGTAGCCCTCCTGCAGAAGTCACCCTGGACCAGGCTAATGAATGCACAAGCGCATTCTTCCTGAAGGAAACCAATCCGGAAGGCCACGTTATCAATTCACAGAACTGGGACATGTCGGCGCGGCTATGGAAACAGGACGCCATCATCTATCTCGAAGTCCACCCAGATCCCTCTGAAAACAAGCCCAATTTGTTCCTAGTCACCGAAGCGGGACAACTCGGTCGCTCGGGAATGAATTCGCTCGGAATTGGCGTGACTGCAAATTCACTCATGTCCTCCGATGACTACGTACCACTTGCGGACGTCGATGCAAGAGCTGGTCCCCAGCAGAAGTTCATCTTGCCCATTTCGTTGCTGCGGCGTATGGTTCTAGAGTGTAATCATTTATCGGAAGCGTTTACTGCAGTCTTCAACTTTCCACGACACGTCTCAAATAATCTGACCATTGCCACTGCCGAAGGGTTTGGTGTCTGTCTCGAAATCACGCCCGATCGAGCGTACAAAGTGTATGGAGATATAGATGACCATTACCTGGTACATACGAACCACTTCACCCATGCCGGTTTTGAGTCGCGAGCAGACATCCGTGACCGTTACCCAGGCGGTAGTAGTTGGCATCGACGCCGGAGGTTCGAGCAAGGAATACGCGGTGACGCTCTTGCAGGTCGCTTGACCCAGAAAAAGCTCATCACGGCATTCTCGGATCATCTGAGTTATCCCGAGGCACTATGTTGTCATCCAGACGATAGCCCGGTTGATGCCATAATTGGACATCTCCCAGGATATCCATTTCGTGGGTCGACTGCAACTGTCGCATGCGTAATGTATAACCTGACAACAAAGACTGTCACTGTGTGTAAAGGTCCTCCCTGTCAAGGTAAGTTCGAGACCTTTCAATTACATGGGCCATCGGCATCCGAAATCAGAAACTCGGCTGTATCACGAGTGGACAACAAGCTCCGACCCGAAGTCCCATAAATGCTTTGATAGATTGATCCCCTAGATGAGTCAGAACCGAGGGGGTTAAGTGCTATATATAAACCGAATCGAAGTTATGCATGACATATTGTACATCAACTCGTTTGCCTTTCTTTTCCTGTTCCAAAGTAATTCTCTCAAGTAAATCCCTGGTCTTGCGTATATGTGTTCCTAATGGTTCTAGTTCTGTGAGGAACGTGATGATCCAATCTTGGTAGATAACATCAGTAATTTCAATTCCTGCAATAAAAATCGGTAGTGGCCAGGTGTGAGAAGAACGAGGAAATTGTAGATAATTTAACTTTCGGAACCTCTGTGTGATGAGAATAATCTGTGTGGCGGCTTCCTGGGACTCAGGATCAGTTCTCACGTCAGGTTCAACGACACGATTTAGCATTATCGTTGCCGATTTATGCAAGGTTTCAACTGTCAGAAAGTGGAATAACGAGCGGTCAATTGCCTTGCTATCTTGCTGCTCCCTCATTAGAAGGGCGCATTCCTTGTCGGATTTAGTCTCGTACTTATACTTGGGAAAATGTACATATGCCACTTACAGCGCGAATCTTCGCAATTTGAGCCTGCAATACCTCTATCTTTGCCGTACGCAGTTCTTTCAGCGTGTTATCCCACTCAAAATATTGTTGGTGCTCTTCATTCCAAGACGCAAACGCATTGATCCGACCCATAATGGCGAAAATTTGATCGCACATCGCGTGACAAGGTTCTTGCACTAGGTCTTCTTCAAGTTCTTTCCGGGGGTACTTGTTGCCAAAGCAAGGACTCAGATATGAATGTCCCTCTGGATAGCTGCGAAGGAATGGAAATGCACCGAGTCCGACGAGAATATTGAAAAGATTGTCCGGTGACCGCCGGCTCGAGAAGAGAGAATAGCGTAGATCGAAGTGCGCTAACCAGATCAACAATCTTGATTCAAGCGTACCCAAATTTTCCTTTATTTTAGCCCAATTTTCTTTAACAGCCACTCGTATCAAGTCGGTCCTCTCGTAATATGACCGAAAATCAGACAGCATCAAATCGCAGCTATTCAAGAAATACGCGGTAGAAAAGAGCATGTACAGACTCTCTGCTATCGAAGCGCTCTTGGCGATATTGTTGGTAGACAAATTCTCAATGATCGGACCAAGTGAATCGGCGGCAGACAGGTAATAAAAGGTGCCCAGGAAGCTTAGTTGACTTTTAGATTGACACGAGATATAGGCACTACACCACCCAAGAATGGAATGTTTGAGTGGAGAATTGGCATTTCTTCGTGTGGTGTCCAGCATGAATTGGTACGGATTCCACGCCGACTGCTTGACAGTGAGAAGCCAGGGCATTTTGGCTGCTTGGTCGTCGAGCAGAGCCGAGTCATCGGTTACCAGGGAAGGCATGGCCCACAGACTCGATCCTGGGTATTGAATTGAAGGGGCGTCTAATTCTAGGATTTGATTAACGTCTTCATCTGCGTTATCTCTCGCGACGGGCGTCAGTGACGGAAGCGAGGTCATATTAGACTCCGTATTTATATCCGGTATCATTAAGAGGTCGTTTGCAGCAATATTGTCATGATTAGGATTGAAATCGCTGTCTGCAGCGTTAGAAGCATCTATGCACATGTTGCTCTGCAAGCCAGTGCCTTGACAGGCAGAACTTCCAGGATCATGCGAGATTGGCAGTAGATAAGGATGAAGTTCTGTGTCGTTGGCTAATTGATTGACACTCCCTGAAGGGGACTGCATCGCATACTTCGAGTCCGGCTGCCACGTCTTAAAATTCCAATGAAACGAGGAACTGCACGACAGCTTCAGACGCTGACAGTTGTCACACGGCAAGATTCGGCTGCTACACTTGACGCGACGGCGACGACAGGTAAGACAGCCCCCGACAGAGCGTGTGCCTCTGCGGCGTCTCTGCGGTTGACTGTTGTTCCCGTCTGCAGAGTTCATGCCGCTGCTGAGATGTATATGTTTTCGCTGTTCCTCTCTTGAATGTGAATATGATTATGTGGTGAAGTGCGACGAAGTCACGGAACAAAGGCCGAAATCGAGCCGGGCCGGGCTAACTTTTAGCGCTGCAGCAAACCCCACCAATATATGTTATGATAATTGCTTCATGTGGAGAGAATGTCCCCGCTTGATTCTTGTTTCAACCAGCATTGCCATATGAGTTCGGAGATGCCAATACAATCCCGTTCTACAAAAGACGAGAAAACACAGAAACTCAATCGAAGCCACTCAGGTTGCAAGTCGTGTCGCAGGAGAGGCAAGCGAGTCAGTTATATGCCATGTTATTGTTAGTCGTCATTTTAATTTTTTTTAGTGCGATGAAACAAAACCATCCTGCCTAGCTTGTACGAGGTTGTCGTTAGAATGTAGCTATGGCCTCGATATCAACTTTCGAAACGTCACGCGAGCGCATTTCCAGAAGCATGGAAAAGCTCAAATCCCTTCTAGTCAACCTGCAGCCATGATCAGCTTGTCAGACACAAAATATAACGTGACTAGATTTAATGATCTCGGCGGGCCTTCAAGCCCTACATTTCCAGCCACTCTAGATTCTGGAGATAGCATTGAAGCCAATTACTTCAACCATTTCCAGAGCCATGTTCGCCGCCTCTTACCCGCCGCATCTCTACGGTTTACATCGGGGATCCCCCAATCACTATGTTTGCGACTTTCTACACTTTGTCTTGCAGCATCAAATCTCTCGATGCTTGATTCTCGAGTTCAGAGCCGTATACATGCTGGGGATAGCCGAACATCCCTCTTCAGTCCTTGCGTGAACTACTCGCATCACTACCGTGCCCAGAAATACCATGACCTAACACTTTGGCATCTTCGTACTATAAAGGCCGATGAGTTGAAACGTCACTCCCCTGAACTCCTTGTCTCTCTTGTTCTCCTCGCCTATTACAACCATGCATCTACAGATCATTACAAATTTCGACTAGCAGTGTGGGATTCCGTTCGCTTCGTTTTACTTAATAAAGAGAGTATAATAGATTCACCAGACGGGCCAGATTCACTACAACTGTGGTACCGGCTTTGCATGTCTCACCGGCCTGCGAAGCCGCCCGCGCTGCTGCTTGAAGGAGAAGGACTCAGTTCCTTTAGCCCGAATCTGCTTTCAGCTACAACTAATCACATATACCTCAAGTGTATTCTGGGAATGAGTGTGGATGACCTCATTTACGATATTCTTATAAAAACATTGGAAATTCGGACGAAGTTGGTGGTTTACCGTTGCGTTGCAGGGAGTTGCCAGATATCCGACCTATCAGTTGAGATAGGTACCGTAGCTCATGGAGTCCTGAGCAAGCTACTTGGGAGGAATTCCATACCAGATGAGTACTACGAGGCTCGTGACAGCTATGTGAGAGGTTCTCACTTATTGGGCTTATTGGACGTTCAAAAAGAGAGACTAAAAGTCTGGACGGCCAGAATTAGTAAAGACCAGTTACCTATGATATGCCACAGTTTTTCGACCCATCAGGACACTATGAACGCTTTATATTGTATGCTTTGCGAGATTGCATTTGAAGAAGCCAAGATACATGACTTCTCAGTTGACCATGATGAATACTCTCCTACCCGCATTGAAAACTATGCATGGAAGGCGTGCCAAATTGCCAGCACTGTGGATTTGACTCTGTCAACTACGTCAGATGTGTACACGCTCAGTCTCACGGAGATATTGCTTCAACTTGTACTACTGTGGCGATCGGACACAATTTTTCACTACATCCTCGGTGTTCTATGGCAACAGATTGAGAACAATGGAAAGGGATATGAACACTCCCACTACCCCACGCATCTCGTTAAGCGGATCATTACCCAAATGGAAATATATTGGGAGAAAGATCGAGCAGTGACTTTTGCTATCCCAGCAGTTCCAGAAACTATATCGAAAGTGAAACTATTAGACATTAAACATCCCATAGATCTGGTAGTTGGCGGGTACAACAGGGATGGCCAGCATTTTGTTGAGAAGATACCACTGCCATAGCGTCTATTCTATAGACCAATATACCAGAACGTATATGCGATAATTCCGTCTCCAACTCGAACCCTTATAAGTACACTACTAACGGTTAACATTTAAGGAACGTATCCTTATTTAACACTAGCAAGTACTCATGTTATTGCGATGGTTAATTTGTGATGTGATTAGAAGATTGGATGATCTCTAGCTTGCCATCCGTCAGCTTCCACCAAGTAAGGAGTTCGTTTTGAAAGTCAGTTGACATGTGCCTCAAGTTCACCGAAAGGGTTTTAACAAAGCTATCTCTACATAACAAAGAATGGGAAGCCTCGCAAACCCCCAACCGTTATAATACTACCCTTGCCTTAGTGTTTTTTTAATTCCAAAAACATCGCAACAAAGTATACCTTTTCCTATTCCTTGGTGTACATAGCGTCTTTTCGCAGATAATCTATTGTCTCGCTCTACCACTCTCCATTTAAGCATCCCAAATTATTCATAACCTCATACAATGGTTTGCTTTGTCGGGAACACCAGAAACCCCTGAGGTATTACCTTACTGGAAGCTCCTCTTTGACCAGGAGGCTGTCCACCAGGCAGCATTCCATCACAGTTATCACGGTAGTGGAACGGCCTCCGATCTATATATGCCATAGAGTGGGACTTCATATGTACACTAACACTAGCATTTATCAATAACCTAAGTCTTTACTTATTGCATTGTAGATGCACCACAAAGACAAGATTGAGTGTGGAAATTACAAAAATACATAGAGTGTAACAAATAACATGTAAAATATCAAATGTTAAAATGAAAAGATTGGTACACAAAGATATTCCATTATTCTGTATATATTAGCGTGATTTATATTACCAGAGAGATTAACGTCACTGCCAATAAAGTACGAGTCTAACCGCTTGTAGGAAAATCTTACGCGTGTAATGGTAATTATCCGTTTGCCCCACTTTGCTCTTGGGGTCTTCGATTTTTATTAGCTTAAAGACCATCATCTCCCCTTCCAGGAATTAAATTCTCTTTCAAATCAATTGAAACAAGGCAACGAGGCAACATGGAACGCCCTGAATGGACAAAAATACATGCAGATACCTCCATCCAGAGGTCGTCACAGACACTCTCGGTCGTTGCCGACATTGCATACATTTATGGTGGAGAATTACATCCCCGCGAGCCGGTTGATTCAGCTATATATCGAGTGCCTGTGAATCGAGGTTAGTATTAACATATCACCTGGTTTGGTAGCGCTAGATTAACGCTGGATTGAAACAGAGAGTGCATCGGACAGGAAAATATCAACAATTCCTGAACCAACCAATGCCCCCCAACCTAGAGTCGGGTCTGCATCTACCACCATCGACGGGAAAATCTACATTTTCTCCGGCCGTGGCGGCACCGCCATGGCTCCCATAGAAGAGCAGGGTTCATTCTGGTGCTTTGACCCTCCCAGCAACACCTGGTCTCAAGTCCAACCCAGCGACCCACAACTTCGGTACCCTGTTGGACGCAGCTACCATTCACTCACAAACAACGGCCAAGACACGATCTTCCTCCATGCCGGCTGTCCTGATAAAGGTCGACTAGCCGACCTGTGGGCATTCAACATTCGGACTCGCCAGTGGCAGGAACTGCCTCTAGCACCCAAGCCTGAAAGAGGCGGTACGTCGATTGCGTATGCGAATAGGAAGCTATTCCGTATGAACGGGTTTGATGGAACCACAGAGCAAGGAGGTGCAGTAGACGTATTTGATGTCGAGAATAACGTCTGGAGCACTGTTACCTACCCAGCCGATGGGGTTTCTGGCCCTAAGCCCCGTAGTGTGAGCTGTCTGTTATCGCTCAACATTCAGCAGAAACCGTCTCTAGTGACCATGTTTGGTGAGGGAGATCCTAGTAGCCTGGGTCACCAAGGAGCCGGGAAAATGTTTTCAGATGTATGGGTTTTCGATATCGAGTCCCAGAAATGGACGGAAGCACCGGTTGATCAAAAGAAAGCTCCTGTAGCCCGGGGCTGGTTTGATGCAGATGTGATAGCGGACTCTGTCATTATCCACGGAGGTCTGGCGGAGTCAAATGAGCGTTTGGGTGATGTATGGCGGCTTTACTTTTGATGTGACTATCCCAGCCATTCAATAAGCCAGGTTATATTTAAGAGACGATGTTATCCCAGCACAATGGACGCGGCTAGTTTCTATAAATTTGCATAACTCTTTATATTTATAACATATACTACGAACTCGCTATCTTCATTTTACGAATAATGTTAAATGATGCTGCTATAGCAACTATGGCCCACTAGTCTATAACAGGCTAGCTCGATAATAAAAATCATTCATTGACCAATCATAACACAGATTCTCCGGCAAATTTAAAATCAAGATATGGCGTTATACATGGCATAGCGCTTTGCCGGGGGTCATCTATTATAAAAAGAATATATATATAAAGTGCTATGATGAAGGGCGCACATCAATTTCATAAGTATCAACGGGATAATTTCAAATCCAACATTTGGAGACAGAATACCAATTGAATAGTGTACCCACGGATCGGAAATGCGATTTTCCCGAATCGCAATTCCGAACCAGCAATGGAAATGATGGTAGCAAATGTTATTTGTCAGCTAAGTTTGTTGATGAAATTGTAACTTTTGATCTAAATGTGGTTGGCCATTCCAGGAATTAATATATATTTAACTCCTCCACAACACGCATCAATTGATCAATTGAGATTAAAAGACACTTAACAAATTAAGTGACCAATCAGATTTTTAAAGACAACATTTGAATCACAATTTACAGGTATGTTACCCAAGGAAATGTACTCAATGGATCAAGTGATTGGTGACAAAAATGACTAATATCATGGTTACTGCGCATGTGTAGATTTAAAACCACCAAAATGAGCTCAGAAGACATCCACAGCCAAGCCATTTCTTGGCTGAAAAACTTCCACAAACACATGGACGCACTCGATGCCAGCATCGCTATACCAAAGCTTTTCGCCGAAGATTGCACCGTCAGTTTCGCCGGCCAACCGCCCTTGACCGGCCAGGCCGAGATCCTGGATTTCTTCAACACCCAGTTCCCGACATTAGAACTCATGCAACATACTATCAAACACGTGGATGTCCTGCCTGACCGGATTTACCAGGAAGCTAACATTCGTTATATCATAAAAAATGACCCCGAAAAGAAGGAGATAGATATTAAGGGTATTGCGATCTTTGGGAAGAAGCCGGATGAGGATAAACTTAGGTTTTTCACTGTCTATCTAGATCCGTCGCCAATTAAGGAGAGGGCTGAGGCTGTGTTTGGTAGTAAGGCTTGATATTGATTATTGCTGAATCATGAAGCATTGAGCTTCTGTTTTTATATCCAGGTATCAAGGATAAACTAATTATAGAATAAGTCTGCCTGTTTATTGGATGTTTAGTATACCCCATATTTAGTAGGTAGTATTTAAAGATCGAATTGCTAGAGCTTGGAGTAGTGGGCCCATGTTTTTTTAGATCTGACCTGTCAGCCACCCCCAATATTCGCCTCGTCTGTTGCCCAAAACCTTTCTCCACCGCAGCCATTGGTGGTGTTGCAAGAGGAGTGGCATACATTTAATGTTTGCATCCGTGTTTGTTCAGGAAATATTGCTTCAGACTTGCTCCAAGACACTCTTGGTGCTTTTGGTATTGTTACTGTTCGATGCCAGTGAGTATGGTAGCTGTCTAATTGGTGTTGCCTGATTGTCGTGAGATCTGACGCGTCCTGGCGCAGTGAGTACGTAGTAGCTTTAGTGCCAAGGGCCGACGATCTTCTGCACGAGCTAGTTCGTAGTTACAGACAAGTCCGGATAAACTGGCAGCCTGGCGGCTGTGGAGAAGGATGAGTAAGATAATGGGTTTCAGGCTGAGACAGTATATATCACGTGATGTATCCGTGGCTGGGCGAATGGCATGCTTAACCTGACTGTGGCTGACGGCGCGAGGGGCAGCGTCTAATCATCAATGCTCTATTTGCCGACGCAGTGGGGCCGATCGTCACTGTATCGTCATTGCTGGCTCTGGTTGGTGACACTATCTGCCGCTACGCCGAATTTAGATGACAAATCTGAGACAGCCAATGATACCGACATGCGGAGAAGGCTGGGGACCCACCTGCCCTACAGTCTCGACCCTGCCAAGCGCTCCAGCCTCCCAGCCCCTCTAGTCGCCAGGCCCGATTAGGCCAAACAAAAACAAGCCCCCACTGCCCGCCCTGCCCTGCCTGCCATGTCTGTCTCCCTGCTGTTATCTCCCTCTTCCTCTTTCTCCTGCCCTTCTTCATTGATCTTGTTCTTTTACAGCTTGGAGAGCTGGTAGCGGACAGCCTGTTCCTCAATTTCTTTCTTTGTCTCTCTTTTGCTAACTGTCACAAGATGCTTAGTGTATATCAGTGAAGTTATTAAGACTGGTGCATGAACAGCCGACCTTTTGGAAACTGATAATTCACACCCCTCACTGAAAAAACACATTCGGCTTTGATTTTGCACACAGAATGGCTTCCAAGCCGGTGAAACTACCATCCCCTGCTGGCCACACAGCGGGGATATACGCTGACATGTCTGTGGATGGGCCGCAAATAGGCACCCTGGTGGTCATCTTCGATCGTGCCAAAAACCTGCCCAACCGGAAAACAATTGGCAAGCAGAATCCATATGTTGCAGCGCGCTTGGGCAAGGAGGCCAAGAAAACAGAGACTGACATGAGAGGTGGTCAAACGCCTAGATGGTAAGCACATCCTTTCCAGAGACAAGCGACGAACAGCTCTAACTTTACACCAGGGACCAGGAAATTCGATTTACTGTACATGAGTCTCCCGACTACTTCCAGCTCAAGATCTCTGTATTCAACGATGATAAAAAAACGGATCTGATTGGAGAAACATGGGTTGACCTTCACTCATTGATCATCCCAGGCGGTAGCCAGAGCGACTCATGGCATGAGTTGAAGTTCAAGAACAAGTACGCGGGAGATATTCGCATGGAAATGACTTATTATGATACGCGCCCAGAGGATGAAGCCGTTATCGAGAGACGGACTGTTGTCCCGGAGAAAACTCTGCTCAAATCCAGTCCTGTTGCACCTGGTGGGTCTTCGACGCTCTCAGGACCACGACAATTCCGTCCAGTGAAGCGGCGACCATTGCCAGAGGACCCTACCGGAGCGCCTGCTTCGCGGGCTCCAGTAGTCCAAGAATACCCTCCCCCAGCACCAGTGAACTCGATGCCACCTCGCCCGCAAGATTATGGGCCTCCTCCGTCAACGTCATCTCGACTGCCTCCTGAGATGCACCCTTCACGAGTTCAGAGTAATTCTAACGATAGATACGTGTCAGAAAATAACACTGGGGCTACTCAGGATCAACATGCTGGACCGTATTATCAGTCATATCAAGAGCCACGCCATGCATACAACGATCATCGCGACTACCCTCCGGGAGACTATAATCAGCAGAGGCAGCTCTCTCTACCAGAGCCCTCCAATTATCCACATGATGCTGATTCGCGTGACGTTGACCCTCGTGTCGACCCTCATGGAGGTAACTCTTACGATGATTATGAACAGCATTCTCGACATTCGCCTCACCAGTATTCCTCCACGAATACATTTGATAATGGCCAATATAGTGTCGAGCCGCTATCTCATCCTCCTGGTTCTAGAAGTTCCCAGGCTCAGTCTCATGTGTACCCAGTGACGCCACAAGCCGGCCCTGTCGCGGAACAAAATGTAGTACCTGTCCATGCTCCGACACACGTTTGGCAAGATAGACACAGACAGAGCCCCTTACGCCATCATGTCGCTGCTGAGGAACGGCCAACTTATGCTGCCATGCAACCAACAGTTGAGGATGAAAATGATGAGGGACCGCCTCCACCACCTCCGGTCCATAGATCATCAGCCAGTCCAGCAGTGCAACGTCCTGCAGCGAGTCCCACGTACAAGCCTTATTCGCAGGAGTATGGGTCTCAAAATGCCGATCCTCGGGACTATAAAGGACCTTCAGCAATATTACCAGCAGACCAGGACATTCCGCTACCAATTATTAAACCCACTCCCCAAGGCGGCACGAGAGCTTTCCCCGAGCATCCAGACTCTGTTCCTTCCAGTCTCATTGCAGGCTATGTTGGAACAACCACAGAGGTCGACACGACAGGGCCTGGCTACCCGGACTACCGCGTAAGTCGCGTGCCAGTCAGTGCGCCTCCGCAGACTGATCTGGGTTATGCCAATGAGGTGCCACAGACCCAGACTGCCCTGCAACCTTTACGAAGATCTCCTGCACCTGCGCCTGCCCACGCACCTATGCCTAATGATGAGAGTCATATTCATCGAAAATCGCCATCGGTAAGCCCTAGTCCACGCCCGCTGTCATATCGAAAATCAATCAGTCCACGCCCTCCATCTAGAGACAACCGTGAGGTTTCGAGCATTCCGTTCTCCCCAGATTCGTTTGATTCCTTGAATCCAAGACGATCTCCTTCTGCAACACGTGAAACTAGGTCTCGATATGAGACTCCCGAGCGAGAAATGGATAACACAAAGTATACAGATACCGGCATGGAAGACGTGCCAATAATCGGTGATGATGGTCGTGTCATTGATCCATCCGATCATCTTCCTTCCGAAACTTGGGCTCCTGAGCCTGAGAAGAAAAAGAAACCGGAGGTCATTATTCGTTTCAAGCATAATCCCCAGAATGCTTCATATAGTGCTCGCTCATCTCCCCGAGAATATTATCATTCAAATCCTACAACACCCGAGTCTACTAACCGACATACTGTCCGGCCGTGGGGTAACCATAAAGCTAGCCCTGGACAACAATCACGGCAAGCTTATGACCATTCTGTACCCACAACTTACACTCCACCACGTCCTGGAAGCGGTAGTCGCGACTACGATAGAAATGAACCTTACTCCCATCAACGCAATCACAGCACACCTGTGACCTATAATACCCCGTCGCGTCACAGGTCTGTATCACCCAATCCCAGTCCACAAGGGTCTCCGCTTTATTCATACGGGAACAGCGGACCCCCTATTCCAGCAAAGGTTCCTATCGCTACCCCAGTGTCGAATAATTACCATGGTTCTGGGATGGACGCACTCAGCCAAGAAATACAGTCCATTGATATTGGATCTGGAGTATACGAACCTTCCCGTGCTGTGAGAAAATATGCTCCGCGAGTACCCGTAACCACGAGCGGCGGATATCGATAGTTGGGTGCATTCCTCTGTAATATACCACACCTACCACTACTTTTCATCTTCTGTGTTTATCTTTGGGGCATGTTTGCAGGGTCGGCGTTTGAGCAGAGGTTATTCACGGAAACATGAATATCCTAATGCATTATGGATCATGTTATACCCTTTTTTTAAATTTGCATTGTCAACTATTTTCAGCTCCAACTGTGTATTATGCTTGTGCGATTGTTATATTGTTAGTGTTCACGATGTTTCTTCCTCGCTTGGTCTTCTCGTTTTTTGGTGTTTTGCAAAGCTACATGAGGGTTGTTGCAGAAATACGATGCAATGACTATTTACAAATTATTTTGAGCATTGGTCAATTACTCTAAGGGAAAGATCGTATTCAATTCATTCAGCGATAATACTGCACATGTGTAGTCCATCTCTTTCTACCTTGCCTTCTGGTGTCGGCCTCTGGTATTATACTTGGAGAATATCAATTATTCATCCCGTCAGCCCTTCATCTGGTTGAGCTTTGATTGGACCATCTCGTAGTATCTCTTATAGAGCGAGTTCTCCTTCGTGATACCGTATATCACCGAAGATTAAGGACAGCCATATTTTCTGCACCCCATTTCTCAGCAACGCATTGTTGCGAAGCTCAGGTTCATCTTGCAAAATCCCCCGGCACTGACTCAAAGATCTGACGAAAACAGCTGCCCCCTGTTTCGATGACTCTGGGTGTCCTGAACCTCATGAGATCTAACCATGTCTCTTCGACAGGACTTTTCCCTCGGCCGATTTTGAACCACTTCGTGATGGTCAGAGCAAACGATTCCTGCGTCCCATTTGACGTTCGTGGTACATAAACGTGGAATTGGAAGTTTCCGCTACAGTGAAGACACTGGAGGGTCCTGCCCGGGGACTGATATACGTAGTCGACGAGTCTACGTTGACTCAATTCCGACCAGTCACATCTGGAAATATGGGCGCAGATGTCGATAAACGGGGCTTGCAGCAGGAGGTGTAAACTGTTTCTCGAGTTGTTGGGTGTGTGTACACAGTCTTGGACGCGGAGATACAGGTATTCTTCCCCGTGGTCATCCGGGGCCGGGCATATGCGTGTTTTCGAAAGATATGGCATGAATCTCTAAGAGTATCACGTGGTGGTGGGTACAGACATGTTCCCGACTTCAATGTATGACAACTTTTCCAACCCGATTTCATAATCAGGCCCGAAGCGATGCCGGTAGTATGCCAATATATCAATTTGATTGATTTGTCACGTCTCTAATTAAGAGGAGACGCGTTATTTATATATAGTAAAACACCTTATCTAGATTTATGCGCCGAAATTTCGGAACATCTTTATATAAAGATGTCTCCCTTCGTATAAGACATGTTGTGTATCCAAAATGCCATTTAGTATAAGTATGGCCGAAAATTGCTGTAACGATATCCAAGAAGCGAACCCCCCATCACCCGCCATTATCATAGAACCATGATGCGGTGTTGAACTAACACCCACACCTAGCCTTATACAGAAGTTAACTCTAGAGCATTTTACATATTGATTTACAGTCATAGCAGGTATAATATAGTATAATATAGTAGTATAGTTATGGAGTACTTGTGGGACCCGAAAATAAGCTCTGGGTAGGGCTGCAGGCTGCAGCCGATAAGATATGGTCCGTGCGCATTTCTAGCCCTAATAGACCCAACTGTGGCCTTATTTCTACGACTGTGATTAATGAGCTATTGAGTGATAGTAGATAGTAATTAAACAAATAACTAACATATAATTAAAATATATTAAGATATATTAAGATATATTAAGATATATTAAGATATCGCTGGATGCCATCAGCAATCCTGCTGGCCATCCTGTATTGGTACCAGATCTGGCCACCGCCAGGCACTCCGCTCAATAATACAGGCAATAACAGTTAGCTTGTAACTGACAATTAATAACTGCGAGCTCTAATTACCGGATTGCACTAAGACCATTCTCTAGTCATTGACTAGTCTAGGCTGTGGGTGGTAGAAATAACTTAGTCACAGTCCAGAACAATGAGGGCCGAGACAAACAATAAAATGAAATAACCCAGATTCAAATTTTGGAAAGACTGATATTTTAGGCGAGCTTCAAATTCTCTGACTTGTATATAGAGACACTTCTGATGATATATACTCTCCCTATAGCCCTATGCAAAGCTAGTTGCTAGTTGCATATGCAACCTGCATAACCGAGATGTCATCTGGTTGTAGGGAAAAAACCGAGTCTCAGTAGTGCTGTAGGGCCAGAAACCTGATGAGCCGCATAAATGAGTCACGAATCAGGTGGAGCTGGCTGAAGGATCATGGTGCGGATTCCCTGTTTCTGCCAGTAGACAAAGAAATTACACTGAAGGTTAGAAAATGGGGGGTGGTATGCGAGGATGGCCTGTGACTATTATTGGACTATTTCTTATTTTTGTTGTTTTCTTTTGTTCTCTGTGCGCTATCACACACGCGATGGTATTGATTCTTCACACTGTCATAGATAGTCCTGTTCGCCTGTACTCTAACACTTTGATCCCTCATGACGGTGCTGGCAAACACTCAGGTATGACAGTGCTGCCGAGATGGAAACGAACTCAGTATGCAGTCTAGCCCGCCCATCTCGAAGCGTGCAGTTGATGGGGTATGTAAACAGGAGATTTAGCAGATGACCGACGGGATATTCGAAGATTCTGTAACATCCGGTAGCCCTCGTGGATAGTTGTAGCCAATTACCCGCGTAAATGGGTATCATTACGCGGAGAGATCCGTTAATTTCGGTGATCATGGCCGCCTGGACCACTCAAAAAGAGGCTCGCTAAGCTCAACTCCAGTACTGTCAAGGGCTGCGGATGTCCCCGGTTGTTCGTTCTGTTCTAGCTCGTCCTGCACCGCGTCTATCTGCATTCCAACTTTGGACTTCGGGGACGGGTAGCGGCTCGACATCTTTGGCTGTTGGAAATCACCGCCTTATGACCTACCATCTGTGTTCGTCAAGCGGTAAATGACTGTCAGGGGGAGCGAGGGCGGCCGCTGTTTACCCGCAGTGTATTTAGCTGTGAATTTTTCTTGCAGTCATCCTGACTTGTTCTCTGTTCCCTCTCCTCGTCACTCATAACCACCCCCCCTTTTCTCATCCTCTTCTCGCTCTTCGAACTCGCCAGACAATCTGTTGCACGCATCCTTGCCTACACAACTTCATCATAGCAATCCCTCTTCAAACTTCTGTCCTACTGTACGAGATCCTCTTCTGAGAATCTCTGCATCTTCAATCCATTCCCTTCATCTGTTGACTAGACGCGTCCTCTCCACGAGCAACGCGATCTAATCGCCAAACAACCTGTTTGCCACGCTCCCCATTTCCCAATCGATGACGGCTCGTCCTATCCTGAATCGATTCAACCTGGACATGTCTCTTTCGCGTCACCCTCTGTCTACTGACTGCGACCAAAACATCCCTGAAAACGGGTATAGCCGCAGGTACTCGCCCATCGACCAATCCATCTACAATCACTTCCAGATCAGGCAACCCATGTCCACTCAAACACTGTCTCCATCGGGATTCGACTACCGCGCTCAATGCCCTGGCTGGGGCCCGCAGTTTAGCGAGTATAAGTTAGTAGCCCAGGTCGCCGTGTCAAACAAGAGTCCTACAAGCCAGGGCTGGGGCGGCGACGAACCATCGACTCGTCCATATCTTGGTCCTCCACCGTACGGCCACAACGAAGCAACTCGATACTCTGTCCCCGAGTACGCTGCATCCGAACAACACTCACCACAAATGCCATACGAAGAAGCAGACTCCAATGCTACCGAGGAAATGATTGAAACTGGCCCCGAATCAGTCAGCCCGCCAGCAGCCAACACCAACTACGCTGACGCCGGTGCGGTCTTCCCACCCAGCAGATGCCAGTATATTGAAGAGGAAGACCGCAAGGTCGGCCGCGGCCAGAGCCAACCATGCTCACTTAACGTCGGCAAGGAGGAACACCTCCGCAAAACAATATCTCATATCTTCGGCCGCAACAAGCTCTGTACGTCCCTGATCCCTGACGAGGGCTGGGTATGGTGGTGCCGCAAGCACTACCAGCAGCAAAGGTACAAGCGGGATAGTTGGGCAAAGGAACAGATCCTAGTGCTGAAAGACACACTAGACAAACTCGAGGCCTGGGGTGGCATCGAGACCTTCACTATTGCTCTTCGAAAACGTGAAAAGGATAGCAAAAAGGTAGCCACAGACGACGAGATTCCTGCTACTCGCCGCCGCGTAGCCGGACGGCCATCAAAGCCCGCCGCCACCACCATCACCACCACCGCCCCGAGTCAGACCAACGAGACCCCGAAATTCACCAAGACTGGGCGCCGCATCTGCTCCCCCGTGAACATCGCCTCCCCCGTCCCTCAGCATCTGCTTCAATATGTAGGCGAGGAGCGCGACTTTGCGGGGGTGCGTGCTTTGCTGGATGCGATAGACCAGCATATCGAGGAAGAGTGGAAGAATAACAACAAAGAAGTCCCCTTCCCAGATATCGAAATCCTGCCGAACTTCACCAAAGAAGTTCTCCAGTCGAAGGGGATTCCTTGTGGCGCAATGTCTGCTAACAACCACTCGCGTCGTCGACGAGCTCGTGTGCCTGAGGATACTTCCAAAAAACGCGCGCGTGTGCATCGATATGAGCCTGACGCGAGGTTCTAATGGGACCTAATCTTATTCGTCATCTCTTAATAGCCGAGTGGTCACTTCTTTCCTTTTTTTTTTCCCTTCTTTTTCTTCCTTTTCTACTTCTCACGTGTTCGTCCTTCATCTCGTCGTTTCCGTTCTTCCCTTCTGTCTATATCTGCATCTGCATCCCTTCGCTTGTTTATCAACAAAGCCATCCAAAAAAAAAGCTGAAAAGAGAAACTACTAAAAAAATTGAAAAGAAAGAAAACAAAAATCCATGTACTTGATATTATTACATGATACCCATTAGTTTGATTTATGTCCCAACTGGTTACTTGCAATGAGGTTTTTTCTCACTTTTCTTTTTCTTTTCACTCAGTTTGGTCTCGCTTCGCTACAAGTATTTCTCACTTCTACTCCCCCGTGTATGAATAATTCTCGTCTGTGTGTCTAAGGTTGTGCATTAGATGTTACGTGTCTTTAATAGTCAATTACTTCAATCGAATTGTATACACACTTGAAGTAAAGATCAAGTAATATCAAGGATGCACGATTAATTATATTCATCCGTCACACAATGATACTATAAACGATGATATACCGCATATCCATTCCTCCTCGTCAATACATGGCTCATAAACCCCTCTTTGAAGATATATATATACTGATAAACCGAACATTGAACTCCAAGACCCCAGGAAATCGCAGAAATGAAACAAATCGCCATGGTAATGAGATGAGAAAAGCCGTTTATTTCCAGCCAGCTTGTATATATTATGCCGCCAGAACGAACGCGAAAGGGTGATTAAACATATTAATTTAATTTTGAGCTTCAGAAGCTGCAGCCATGTCCGGGATCAGTTCATAACCCCCCTCAGACGGCAGTATGCGCGCCGCAACCACAACGGTTACAGCGCAGAAGAACGAGATGCACCAGCTGACGGTGCAAAAGGTGAAGGATTTATCGAGTTTCCAGGACGCGACGGCATCGCCGAATTCGAGGCCGACGGAGAATCGGTCGTCGTTGTCGAAGAGGTATGCCTGTCCATAGCCACCACTGAGTCAGAAAAAAAAAAAACAACAAAAAAAAAGGGGAAGGGGACATACGACTAATGCCATGCTGGCGACCTGCACCGCAACAGACAGGATTATAATCAGACTCAGCACCGTCCACCCGGTCTCGCGCAGCCGCTTGCCCCCCGACAGAATCACCATGTATGCCACCACGGCCATCGACATCAGCACGATCGCAAAGGTCATCAGGAAGCCCACGCTGCGCCACATGGAGCAAAAATACCGGTCTTCGCCATGGCAGTCTTCGTATTGTGGGAACGGTTCGCAGGTGTCGGTGAGGGACGAGCAGCGGCGGTGTAGGCCTAGGGAGTAGTGGAAGGGGGGCTGATTCTTAGTATATATATAATATACAATATATATAATAATTTTAGAGGGGGCAGGCTCACCACGGTGCTGTGATAGCTGATCCAGCTTGGGAGCGCGATGGAGGCGATGGTCAGCGCAAATGCTGCGGCTATTAGCAGAGAAGAGATTCAAGGCATGACGTAGCACCAACCGATCACAAAGAGCAGCAGCGTCAGCGCATACACGATACTTTTGGTCAGGACGCCTGTGTAGTTGCGCCCGGTCTGGCGACTGCGCTCTGGCAGCAGGGGATCCCACTCGTTGGCGGCCATGCTGGTTGTAGTAGTTGAGCTGTTGCGGAGAAGAGTAGTGCTGGTGGTGGTGGTACTGGGGTAACGCGCTAGTGGTATAGCAAGAGCAGCAAGTGATGTATCCCCCAGTAGCACTGGCGCTGGCGCTGGCAAACTCGAGGATATCAAATCAATATTATTAAACCCAACTGATGAATGAGCACGAGGGACAAGGAATAAGTACTGTTTGTAAGAGAGGGAATTAACAACTTTGCAAGTTCAGGGCGTGATCTGCGGGCGGAAACAAGGAATCCGGTCGCATCAACACACGGACTCACAACCACCACCACCTCACCCCCTCACCTCCTCACATACTGACATACTCACTCTGAATCATGTCATTGTCTGCTTATCTCTCCTATCTCTACAATCTACTTGAAGATACCTCCTGACCACAGCCACTGCGGCTCGAGTCCATATGTATAGCGGTGAAGGCAAATGATAGGCGGCAAGAAATACCGCGCTCACCCCAACATTTAATCAGTGAATAATAATATTCGCGATCATCACGACGAGGTATTTTGGGTCAGGCCATCCGAACAGCACTGGTCTAGACCGCCAAAGTACATAACCAACCTGATAACAATAAACTAACAAAGTATCCAATATTAGTATAAAGCACAGACAGCTCGACATTCATGATTTATCCTCTCCAGGTTGCAGGTGTCAAATGACCTGACGCAACCGTGACGCTAGAGTATACTATCAACAAGAATAGTATAACGCCATACGCATAGGCACTAGTACATAGACATGAAACCTTGCGATTATTGTATAGTAAATCTGGAAATCAACTATTATTAGCATTTTATTAATATTGATATCAATAGCTGAATAGGGGAGTTCTTAGATGCCACTCTTATTAACTTGTCGTAGTCACTGAGATTATATTTGCTTTATATTCAAAATCTAAGAACACTAGACACAAATACGAATCCGTATCAAGTCTAGTGTGGTGGTTTATACTTTGTTCCATCGGTGACATTCTGACAGACGCGATGCCGTCTGACTGGTAACTAACACTAAGCCATCCGAGGTAGCTGATTGGGTATATATGTACTAGAAAACACATAGTCCGTCCTATGCTGACAAGGGAACAGGACAGTGTTAATGATTGGTTACGCTAGCCCCAACGCTTCTTGACGGATTGTATGGCTGTTGCCTATCTCCTTTTATTTGTTTTGCTCTCTCTTTTTGGTCCCGTCATAACCTCTATTCGCCTGACCTTCTATCCCGATAACCTCCAAGAGAATCCAACCTCAATTCTACAAGGTTGAACACGATGTCATCTCACCTCTCCTACCCAGCCAAGATCCCCGCTTGCCTGCCGTATAATCCTAACATTCCAACTCCTTTCGGCTACCGCCCTTCTCTGCCTGCTGGGGTCGTCTTCATGGTCCTCTTCGCTGGGCTCTCTGCTGCTCACATCTGGCACGCATGGCGACGAAAAAGCCTCTGGATAGGATTGGCCTTTTCACTGGGAGCGTTTGGCGAGTTCGGGGGATGGCTCGCACGCACTGTGGCCTATCGATGCCCCTACTCGATCCAAATGCTCGAAATGCAACTTGCATTGTTGACTATGGGTATACATACAATCTCTATTTCCCATCTGTTTCCTCTCTCGTTCTGAATGAGTCGACTAACAGACTGACCGGGAAAGCTCCCGCTTTCACTACCGCTGGAATCTACGGCATTCTCGGCTTGATGATCCCTATCATCGGCCAAGACAAGTCCCCGCTGTCGCCCAAGCTGTATCTTACCATCTTTATGACCGTCGATTTCTTCAGTCTCCTGCTTCAAGCAGTTGGAGGTGGCCTCGCTGGTGCTGCTTTCAGTAAAAACATGTCTCCATGGCCGGGTACCTATACCATAGTTGCAGGAATTATCTGGCAGCTAGCATCGACTTGTGTCTTCGCCACACTTCTAGAGTATGTGATATTCCGGGGCCGTAATCGCATCCTGCAAAACCCGGCGCTGCGACTCACCAGCCTTGCCACGATGATCGCCGTGACATGTATGGTCGCCCGCGGTGTGTATCGAAGCATGGAGTTGATGAATGGGTGGCGTGGATATCTATTCACCCATGAGGCGTATGCGATTGTGTTGGATGCGGGCCTCATGTTTATTGCGAGCCTCGTGTTTGTAATCTGGCATCCGGCGATTTTGATTCCACAGGCCAAGGAATATGTCTCCCGTCGTCCTTTGGCTCAGGAAGTGCTGGAGTTGAGACAGAGTGGTAAATAAATTCTGTCCCCTGTACATTTTTAGCAACATTTTTTCGTCGATTCTCTTAGAGCCGGTAAATATCACCAAAGCTTAAGTGGCCCAGCACCACTTGTCGCGTCGCCGGTTTCTGGAAGAGTAGAGCTCATGGTAGAGCTCATCGGTGTAGATGTAACGTTTCTAAAGAAAGGTATAGACCGCATCATCCCCTCCTATAGGATACATCGAGTCAATTAGACACTATTGATATTGATTAACTATGACATTACTTTACAGAATATTCTTAGCACTGGGACAATTGCACCACAGTGTACATGTTTGACGCCGTTTGAGACAAAAATCAAGGTATCCCAAGATATGAAGGTACTGAGATCGATGTTGAAGGTCGGTTAAAGAGCGATGAATTATGGATGGCAATTGACTAAGTTTGACAGCGTTCATGACCGACTGAGGGCGGCGACGACCTTCTTCGCGGTCTCCTTAGCCGACCCGGGGTTCTGCCCAGTCACCAGCTTGCCGTCGACCACGGTGTAGGAGACAAACGGCAGCATGGCCTTCTTGTAGTGGGCGCCACGCTTCTTCGCCTCTTCCTCAGCGTTGTAGGGCACCAGCTTGGCCACCCCAGCAAGCACTTCCTCCCGCCAAGCGAACCCGGTCATCTGACGTCCAGCGATCAGGTAAGAACCGTCAGAGAGCTTGGTATCGAGCAAGCCGCAGTAGCCGTGGCAGACCGAGGAGACGATGCCACCCCGTTCAAAGATCTCCCGGGTGATACGCTGCAGGCCCTCGCTGTCGCGGAAGTCGTACATCACCGCATGTCCGCCGGTGAAGAAGATGGCGTCGAAATCGGCCGAGTTGATCTGGTCGGGACTGGCAGTGTTCTCCAGCAGTGCCATCCGTGCCGGATCAGCCCGCCACGCTTTCGCGGTCTTGTCGTAGTTGGGGAACTTCAGCGACCGCGGCTCCAAGGGAGTCCGGCCGCCCTTCGGGCTGACGATGGTCTGCTCGAACCCTTGCTCCTCAAAGACATTCCAGGCGTGCGTGAGCTCGGACAACCACAAGCCGGTCGGGTGGGATGGGTCGTCGTAGTGCTCGACGTTGGTGACGACATTCAAGATGTGTTTGGTCATGCTTGGCATTCCTTAGCGCGTAGTTGATTGCGCTCAAGAGGCAGAGAGAGTACGGTACGGTGTCAGAAATCTGGATTTGATCCGGAACTATGTCGAAATCGGGAGTGTACGAACGGTGGCTGGTTGTAAAATCCTCTTTAAAGGTATTGAGGAGGTAAAAGATGCTTGTCAAACTCGTGTACAATGGAGAGGGAGGTATAGGGTACAATAAATTTGGTTGCCCCCAGCATCTGATCCTAGCGCCGAAACCTTAATTCGTTTAGCTCGAGCGTAATTACATAATGCCGGTAAACGTATTTCACCCGCGAGCGGCCAGCTTCCAATTGCGGGATGAAACTCCTTACGAAGCGGACTGATTGTTTGCCCGTTCTCTCCGGCCTGACACCTTTTAACCTCCAGATAGCTCCGACAACGCTCATCTACATCATGTAAATTGTACATGCCGAGGTTCACGTCCACCTGGCAGATTCCAAGGTCGATTCAAGGGTACTCACCGCTTCGACCAGTTTCATTACTTTAACTTAAAACCTCCTGATTTTCGATCGCGAGCTAAAAGATCAGGTGCTGTTCAAGATAAAAAATTCCAAACCCTACTATACTCATGGCCGCAGGGTATTGCTCCCTTCTTGTTGCCATAAAGCATGCGGTTGATATTGTTCAAGTGCCAATGAAAGAAAGTAATCTGATTTCTACTTTCTTCAGGTTGATAGGTAGCATTCCAACGACTTTTTTTCCAGTTTCAGGAATGACCAAATATCTGTAACGACACAGGCGGCCAGCTTGACCGCTAGGCCAAAAAGGCAACCAACTTGTGGGGCTTACCGCGATTGCGAGCGGAACAAGATCTAAGCTTCGTAAAATCCCCCACACTGTGCAAGCGGTACAACGAACCGACTTTCACAGACGAACAGCAAAGCATCATTACATACCGTTTTAGATGGAGACAACGTGATCTCCATTCCAAGTTCATGGGTTCTAATCCGGAATAGCATGTGGGGCAAAGGGTCACTAGTCGAATTGAGGCTGCTTGTGATAATTAACTATAAGTCTTGTCGTCATAGCCTACAGAGAGCCCAACGTCAAATACTGCTGTCAAAGTGGTCATCAGCTCGTCACTGAGATTGGAGGTCACTATAGACATTCTGCTAACACTCAAGGAGTTTGGTAAGGTCAATACTGCAAAGGGCTATTTTTCGCAATGATAATAGTAAAGAAGCCTGTTGAGAACTAAATCGTAGTATGGTATTTGATCTGATAAAAAAAATAGAACAGTAGACTAGATACATGTTGGCAAGTGAGCGTCGTATATATACTAGAGTACATCAGATTGTCCAGTATGAAATATCATATCAGGCGATATGCTATTTTATATTGCCTGCTATGTCAGATCATAATGCTTGCTATGATACGGTCACGTGCCCCGGTGGGAGTGTAGCCATTTCCAGTCTCGTATCCACAATAATAAATTATACTAAGCAACAAACTTGCAGCAGGCCCATCTTGTGCTTTGGTCATTGCACTTATTTGTTCCGTATAATGTACTTATGTATCAATAGTGAGGGAGGATTTTACATTGGAATGGAACAACACTAACGCATTGACTATTAGAGTTGGGTGGCATAGTCAAATATATATACTATTTGAACACTGAATAAAAATCATTGTAATCGTAAAGATAAATTCAGTAGTCTACACATACCTACCAACTGCAGAATAACCGCCACATTTCGACCATCGGAGCGTGACTAACGAAAAAAAAAACCAGGCCGCAAGTATTAATAGTAAAGGGTGAGAACAGACAAGCAAGACCAAAAGACCACACCACACCACACCACATACCCCCTTCTGATATCATGCAAGGCATTATTTTGCGTTACCCTGGATCATCGCGCGAAAATCTTCGTTACTTTTCTGCGGCTTCTTCTCACCAGCTCTTTCACTTCCCTCAGATGCATCGCCCATTGTCTGATCATGATCCTGATCGTGATTATGACTGCGGTCTGGGGCGGTAGCGCCGCCGCGTTTGAACCCCAGCCCCCCACGACGCCGGCTGCTGGAGACACCTGGTTGTGTGGGCCGTTTGACCGGAATGCCCATTGGTAACACTGTCGCATGTTTCGGCTTCGCTTTAGAGGAGGCGACGTCTTTCGGACGCACAAGGTCGCGAGCAGAGCCCACGTGGATTTTTCGTCCAGGCACAATCTCATAGCCCTCTAGTTCCATCGATGCCTTTCCGGCGGCCTTGACGTCTGAGAATTCCACAATAGCGCCTTCGTGCTCTGGTCGTAAGATGATTTTAATCAAAGTGCCGAATTTCTCGGTGATAGACCGTATGCGGCTGTCGTTTACCGTGTCGGGGATATTCATCAAGCCTAGCGTGCGAGCCGCACGCTCGTCGCCCTCAGTAGATTTGGCGGTGGCACCATTAGGTTCAAGGGAGGGTGACCGGCCTTTGTGGGAGACTACGACCGCAGATCGTTTGACAGGTGTTGGCGTTGACATTTTGACTTGCAGTGGTCGCCCACGGAATTCTTGTTGATGCATGGCGAGTGACGCAGTGGCCTCCTCCTGATCGAAAGAATGAAATTAGCTGACTGCCTTTCTCTCACCTGAGAATGATAAGACATACCGGAGAGGAGAAAACTACAAATCCAAATCCACGGTGCTCGCCGCTGACCTTTGTGGGAAGGCGCACAATCTCAACTGTCCCATACTGGGAGAAAACCTCCTTCAAGTCGCTTTCGCTGGCCTTGAAATGGACGTTGGAAACATGAACCTCCCGTCCCTCGTAAATTGGTCCGTGGCGGTCCTGCTTTTGCGTTGGGTTTGAGATCTTGACTTGTAAATGTAAATTATCGCCAACAACAGTGCCGTCCAGTTTCGTCGCAGCAATCGCTTCGCCTGCGGACTTGAATTGAACGTAGCAGAACCGACGATGGGTGTTGTATTTCAGTGATGGGAATCGCACGTCGACAATCTCTCCAAACTAGAAACTAGTTAAGTCGTAGCTCTGTATCGTAATTCAATGGCACATACCTCGTTGAGCAGATCTTTAATGTACGCTTCATCAGCGGTTGGAGGGAAATTGGTTACATAGACCGTCGAACCAACACCCATTTCGACGTCAACTGTACTCCCGTCGATACGCTTCTGGTCTCGCGTAAGAGCTGTGGCGGCGTCCTCTTTCGAGTCGAATTCCACAATTGCCGTCTTCAAGTCTTCGTCTGGGGGCAGAAATCGAATATCATTAATAACACCGCACTGAGGCAAGTTAGTATTATTTTTAAAACTTTTAATCGTTGATCTTACCTCACGGAAAAATTGGCGGATCTGAGGCTCGCTAATGTCCAGAGGCAAGCGCTTGACGATGACCGTCGAATTCTCTCGATCCCTTTTCAATTCAACTGGTTCCTGCTGGTCGACAACTGCAGCATCCTCAGGACGAGCCTTCTTAGTAGGCAATCCGTTAACATCCGAAGCTTCCTCCTCACGTTTCCGCTTGAAAACAGTAGCGTTGCTATCCGACTCAGCCTGAGCTGCTAGTGCGGCCGCTTGCTGTTGCTCCTGTGCAACGCGTTGTTCGAGTGCTTCTTTTTGGCGTCTCCGGGTCACGACTTTCATGGCTTTCTGCGTCTCAACAAAAGCTTCTTGCAGCTCATCGGCATCTTCGTAGTCCTCACAGTGCGCAATGTACTTGGCCACGATCTTTTCAGGCCAGTCCAGATCCGGTCGTTTGATTGCTTGTTTGAGTACTGCAGTCGCGTAACTAGGGCCAGGGGTCCTTCTCGCTGCTTCAGGGGTCATGGCAACCTCGACGAATGTTCGCCAAGACATAATCTCCCAATTGTAATAATCCAACCAGAACTCGTAGCTATTTCCCCGACGAGGAATGAGGCTTTTGTAGTATTCCCGCGCACTATCCCAGCTTCCACTCTCGCTCAGATACCGTGTGTAAATTCTTTCGAGGCGGAAGTAAGGGTCGCCTTGATACGCTTTGCCGTATTTATTCTCTCCGAGTTCCTGTACTCGCTCGATGGCAGAGCGGATGCCAACCTCGGCCACGTCCAAGTCTTCATCGTTGCCGTCCGGCAAAAACGCATGGCGACGTAGATAGCTGCACCACATGCTGTGGACTTTGATGACCTCTTCTAGACCACCAGCATCCAGGAGACCAGTACTTGTAGCTGTATGTTTGAGTTGCGATATCTGATTAAACGACCAGCCCTCACGTTCAGCCACTAATAAAAATTGAGACCATAATGTACCGGACCACGGACAGTGTCTGGTTGCACGTTCCAGCGTAGGAAGAATGGGAGCGATGTCGGGACGAGGAGGCGACATCTGAACCAGGAAGGTCACATAGTCCTCCCACATAGCTACATCGGTAGGAAATCGTAACAAGGCCCGCTGGTATAGCGCATTAATCAGATGAGCACTGTAGATTCGTTTTTCAGGGTGCCGATTAAGCTCCCACTCAATGTATTCGGTATAGACGGCCCATTCCAAATTAGGGTCCTGTGAGTCCTCCGCTTTCTGTAATTTGATTTCAAAATCGCGTCGGTTGTCGTATTTCATCTTCGCGTCAGATGCGCGTGCATTAGTTTCGACCATGAGCTCCTCATAGTTTGCACTGTAGTAGCTAGTGACAAAGCTGGAAAAGATTTGAGAAGTCTCATCCCAGGCGGCATGAGGAGTCTGCAATCGGGAATCAAAAAGCCCTCGAACTTGGGACACGCGCTCTGACGATCGAGCATGAGCCAAGTCCTGCACAGACAGCTCGAGGAATTTATTCCAAACGCGGTGACTGTCGTTGACGCGCCAACGGGTCGCTTCGGCACCTCTTTGCCAAATATCCAATACTGACTGCCAGTTAAAGACCTCTCGTCCAACTATCCGATCCTCCTCGCTCCATTGGTTTTGGTCACTTTGGCCCATCGCAGCATTGTATAGGTACAGCATCCAGTCACCAAACATAGTCCACAGTTTGGTGCTACCGTATTCCTCTTCGACGGATCGTCGACAGAGTTCCAGCACAGCGATCCTTTCGTCAACTGATCGTGCGATCAAGGTCTCGTCCTGAATCCACTCGATCCAGAGATCCTCGCCCATGGCAAACAGCTTGTCCATCTCCTCTCGCGCGCTGCGTAAATCGTTCAGCAGGTCGTAGCCTCTGGGGTCGCCATGCGCATCTGGGTTGTGAGGCGGGTATACATGGTTAACAAATCCTGTGTGAAGTAGTCTGACAAACTGAACATGGGACTCGTATGAGTGCGGGTTTTCCTGGATATGGCTGAATAGCTGGGCTGCTTGTTGTTGGGCCTCTGCAGGAAGCGAAGTATGTCCGTAGTCGCGTTTAATGTGCTCTCGTGGCTCGGGCGCTCGAGGTGGGTTTTGGATAGATGGAACAGGCTTCGGGGTGGGGTATAGAGGCTCAAAGGAGGACATGTTTGGATAGACTGGGGGATTCTTTGGCGCTTGTGACTGATGGTCTTGCAATGCTGCGACATCGGCTAAAGCGTTGATCGAGGTTGCCGATTGACGAGGGGCCTGCATGTCGTTGTACGAGGCATTCCCATTGCCAGCCGGAGCGTTGTGGCTGTTGGAGGCGCCGGCTCGGTCTGGCAGGCGAGACTCGAGGGCTTGTCGGGCTACTGGAGAGGGGCCAGAGCTGAACTTGGAGGCGCTGGGGCGGCCTCTGCGCGAGTTCTTGTGAGGAGAGGTCGTCGAGGAAGGCACTGACGAGGCGGACGGGCTGGACTTGGTGGTCGACGAGGTTGGAGTCGACTGTCGCGACTGGGCAGCCGACTCTTGCGGCGAGAGCAGCTGTTTGATGTCCATTTTCAGGTTTAGTGCGAGGCAATCGAAGACGTAAAGAAAGTGGAGGAAAATGTAGCACACTCGAGGTGACGTCGAAGCTGGCGATAATTTGCAGAGGGAACAGGAGTCAGAGGCGAGGGCGGGGTCGATAGAGGCTTTCTCAGATGAAATCGCACAAGATGGGCCTCGTCAACGAGTCCATTCCTTCGCACGACGACGTTCCCAGTCGGCGTGCAGGATCGATGGAGCTGTCACTTGAGCAAAGAGATTTGCTGATTCCGCGCTCGCTCATCAACTAAACTCTGCTCAAGCAGAAGATGAGCTTTTCCTTTTTGTCGACCGACGGAATTGACCGAGCTGAAAGCGAGAGTTTCAGCGGCTCGACGTGGAGAGGCCTGAACAAAGCGCGCGGTGTGGTCGTTGAGGAAGTGCAAGGGCAGGTGCAGTGCACTTGGCGGCCGACGAGCAAGTTAGAAGACGCAAATAGCTGCGAAAGCTCCGGGCCACAGGGACCAGCTTCACCCGTGCTGCTTGTCTGGTCTGGCAACTGCAGTCCGACCGAGCGTGGCGCGAGCTGGGGCGGGAGTGATGGCGAGGCGATGCGATGCGATGCGATCGATCGGGCTCGGAGTGAAAGGAGAGGAAGAGAGCTGTGGGCGATGCGTGGATCGAGTTTGTCGTTCGGGTGGAGGCCTCGATGCCTCCAGTAGTAATTTGTTATACTAGCAGCGGTTAGTGCCAAGCCTGCAATAAGAGCATTAAATATATAAGTTAATATTTACGATCTACTACTACGAATCAGATGATTCCCTGCCTACTCTATTATTAACGATAATATTATACCAATCTACATCATTCGCCCTGCTGCTCCATACAAATGCATGACTATACGGCCATCAATACTAACACCGTCCAGATATGGAGGCTACACGTCGGATGACTGGCAACTACCGCAATGGGCGGCGTGCAGACGCGGGCTGGCCTGAGAGCTGAGGCTAGCAAGAATGTGGTTAGTCAGGACTATCACTGGTCACGTGCCCACACAATGGAACAGGGTAATGTTTGTCTTGTTTGCTCGGCCCGCCAAGACTCCGACTTGCAGCTTTTCCATCAACCGGCAAGGATAAACACTTCACTCTCTCCACGGTCTGTCTGTCTCACCAGCTCGCAATTGCTCTTGCTGCGGCCATCATGGCCTCCAGGCAAGTTGTACGCGCCTACCGGCCGCTGTTGCGTCCCAGTAAGTCTTCGTCTGATCCTCGCTGTCCTCGCTAATGCCAGTCCAGCACATCCAACGTCCCTGCCGCGGCGGACAATATGCTACTCCCGGCCCCTGCGAGCGGAAGAAGACCGCAACAAGACCAATGGCGGAACCCCAGAGGAACCAAAGAACAACTCGTCGTGGCTCTCTTCGGTGAGGGATCTCTTTTTCAACCCCGGCAAAAAGGTGAAGAAGCCGCCGAAGCCAGTCGAGCAGCAGCTCCCCCAACAAGGCGGGCTGGCCCCCGACTCGATCTTCGCCGATCACAGCCCTGAGACCGAAATGACCGTTCCAGGGAGAGCACCGAGTGGGAAAAAGCCGTTCCAGCGTCTTGAAGACCGGGATCCGGCTTTGATACGCCGAGTCATCGATCCGAATCCGGTAGCTCGAAGGCGATGGGAGCGGAGGATGGTTATTAGAGAAGTTCGCAAACGCGGCCGTTTGACTAAGCAGGAGGTCATCATGGCGACGGAACGTGAAGCACTGGTCAAGTCGCACTGGTTCAAGACCTCGGTCAAGAAGCTGGTCCCGTTGGCCCGCCAAATCCAAGGCAAGAACGTCGACGAGGCGATACTGCAGATGCGCTTCAGCAAGAAGAAGGTCGCCAAGGAGGTGCTGGAGCATTTGAAATATGCCAAAAACGAGGCTATTGTGCGCTATGGCATGGGCCTGGGCAAGGCCAACGGCGAGACGGAGAAACATGAACCGATAGATATCATCCTCAAAGACGGCGAGAAGAAGACAATCACCGATCCCACTTCCATCTACATTGCACAGGCGTGGGTGAACCGAGGCCCGTTCGACGTCGACTACGACCACCGAGCCCGGGGTAAAATCAACCTCCTGCGCCCGCCTCACACTGGCATATCGGTGCTGCTGAAGGAGCAGAAGACTCAAGTTCGCGAGTGGAATGTACGACAGGCAAGGGCTTTGCGCCAGCGCAAGTCGATGCTATGGGTGCACTTGCCAGACCGGCCTGTGACTGCACAAAGCCAATACTATAGTTGGTAGAACAAACAACAGTTGGTAAACAAGATGACAAGCTGGGCGACGAGGCGTTGCTATGTATCTATATTTCATGCTGCATTTGAGCTCTCTTTCTTTCATTTGTGGGAACTTGACCTGAGTTGTATTATAGAAATGAACGTATTCTTTCAGGCATCTCCTACCGCTTCCTAATCGACGACCGCTCTCTAGGCGTTGTTTCCTTTGTGTGTAGACAGCTATTTATTTTTACTCACATCTCGCCTCACATCTCATCTCAAGGATTCTCTCCAAGCATGTCTTCACAACCATGGCCTCCAGGTCATCCTTCCAGTAGTGACACTGGCAGAAACAGCCCTCCACAAGGACCTCGACCCCAACGAGCCATGCAACATCCCAGAACAACATCAACCCAAATGGCCGCTCCATATAGACACTACGAACCACCCGCTCTCACAAATCTCACCTCTGCAGCAATTCCTGATCCTAACATGTACATCGATCCCAGACTACGGTCCCTTCCAGCTCCAGGAGGATCTGTCCAGCAGACCAGGCCGCAGAATGGAGCAGCAGCGTTGGAAATGTTGGCAGACGTCGCACTTGCAGGGGAGCGATCGTCTCATGTTCCGCCATCTTTCCCTTCAACTATGCCACGGTCCCAATACGCAGATTACGCTTCAGGACCGAACACCCAGTCCATGAACTTTCACCCTTCTCAATCAGTACCCCAGGATCGAGCATGGGCTAGAGCAGGATCCTCGCATGCTGGTTCTTTTGGACATGGACAACCTACCACGACTACGACATATTCCTCATCTGGCTCGGTCTCTGAGAAGGGCTCTAAAACAGGTCAGCACCAGCCCAGATCTGAGATATTCTCTGCTTCCCGCTCGACTTCAACCTCTTCCTCATTCGCTGGCCCTAGCAACCAATTCTACGTAAGGACTTCTTACACGAACCATACTCCATCACCTATACTAATTCAGATGATCAAGGACAATTCGAACTACACAACCTCGCAACTCACCCATCCCAGACCGCACCGAGACTCTCCTGAAGTACAATTCCTATACGCACGCTCCAGACCACATGACGAGGGTAATCCACCACTTTCAGAAAACCACCTCTCCTCTTCGTCTTCTTTTTCTCCTTCTTCTCTCAGTGAATCTCGAGCCAGAGTAGCCTCCCAACACAAGGGCAAAAAGAAAAGCGAGCCGGAATCTACACGCGACAGACCAGGTGATAAATATCTGAAGATGTTTCTCGAGCCCGAGCAAGTAAATTATGAAGATGCTATGCTGGAGATTCTCGATGGGATGCCATTGCCACACCCGTTTAATGCTAGTTCTACTTGAGTTTATTTCTTTTTTTAACTTTTTTTTGTTTTTTTTTGTAAAATAGAAAAGCATGCATGGGGTTTATAGTTGCATTTCGCCTATCCGTGGAATAATAAATGGTTATGGTAATCTCAATACCGTCAATGACACATTATTCTTTTCTATCATTATATAAACCGTAAATTTATATCAGTTCAGCAGCATTCTAATCGAACCCCCGGCCTTCAACGGATCCCCTTTACACTCAGGCTTCCTCGTCGGCGGCTCAATCTTCCTCTCCGGTTCCTCGCCCGCAACCCTCTCCGCTTTAACCAACACTGGAATCACTCCTCCGGTCTGCAGGCCAAACTGTCTGTGGCCAACAACCTGCAACACCGAGGTAATCGCACCGGAATGCGCCGTGAACGAGACAAACTGGCTGTCGTCATGCACAAACACATCGTCTAGGAACTTCTTCAACCGCGCGTCTTGCGCGCTATCCGACTCGCGGAGCTCTGCGTCCCAGAGCTCGTCGTTCTCACTGAACCCAGGCTCGATCTTGTACGCCGGGTACTCGGCTGATATAGCAGATTTGCTGGAGCGTCGGTCACACGTGTGAATCCCGATTGTTTCACGGAGGAGCTAGACCCGTCAACACCGCACCCCCTTCCAAAAAAAAAGAAAAGTTATGAAGAGAGAGAGAGCCCGAACCTCCTTGACGACCGGTCTGAACGGCTCGACGAGTCCATCAAACGTGATAAACGCCGTCTGCAAACACCGATTCAGCGGACTTACATAAAACGACTCTGGGAACGGGATCTGGTTCTTGAGCTGCGTGCGCCACGCCTGATTTGCGGTTTGCGCTTGTGTCTGGCCGACAGGTGTCAGACGGGCGTCCGACCAGGAGGTTGTTTCGTTGCCGTCGAGAAGCGACCAGTAGCACTGATACGATCAGCCAGCCATTGCAATGATATAGATGGTGGATGTAAAGGTTATGCGTACGTCCCAGGCTTCAGTGCCATACCAGCTCTCGGCGACATTGTGGAAGCCCTCGCCGTGTCGGCCCATGAACAGGACCTTGTACTGAGTGCCAGGCGCAGCGTGCCGATTCAGCGCGCGCACTTGGCGCTCGAAGCGCTGCCATTGGGTTGCGTCGAAATCGTTGATATCAGAGTCGTATGTGCGGTTAATCAAGCCGAAGTTCGTGGAGACCTACGTATCACATAAATATCCATCTCATGGTCGTCGAGTTATATTAGTTACGAGCAGATGCATACATAGTCGAATTTTGTCGGATCGGTGCTCTCCTCGTCCTGCAGGAAATAGCCCGTGACAGTGGAATAGCGCAGATACGAGGCTGTCTTCAACGACTCCCCCATGGCCATGAAGCCGGCGAGTAGGATGGTGGTGAATAATAATATCGGTCTGTTCAGATCAGCATATATTATCAGGATACAGCTAGGATACAGCTCGGACTAGTGCGAGATGAGATAGTGCGGGGAAGAGGACGTACATTATCACCTCGGCGCGACAGATCCGACGAGCGACTGAGTCCCGCTTGTTAGAGGACGAGTATTGAGGCTGGATATTATTATTGTCGTCATGATACATGGCGTGATTAATATTGTGGGCCGGTGGATGCAGGAACTAACAACTACTAACAGCTGCTAACTGTTGCGATGTGGTGGGGTGGGGCTTGTTATACGCGGAGCTACAGTTGGTATGCAGCTACATCTCAGCCAACACAACATTTAGATATTTAGCCTTTAGGGTGTGTCTAATATTGTAGATTGTTCGTGGATCGACATATCGCCTGTATCGGCCATGCCGTCCGGTCTATGCAAGCTCTAGTTTAGGGATTATGTATATGTACATCAAAACGAAAAAACCTCTTCCCACTGCTTAATAACCCCGGGCAGCACATTCTGAATACTCGTCACAGTCTTTTCATCAGCCTTACCAGCCGATGTATTATTCTGCCACTGCAATTCCCACTCCAACAGCCCCTTCTGGAATGTCTGTTGGTTGTACTCTGCCGGCTCGGTGGTTGCCAAATACTCCACGAATTTCTGCCACCGCGGGATGTAGTATGATGATACCAGGCCGGCCCATGATTTCGATGCGTAGTCACTGATTTGCCCCGTTGGTCCCCAGAGTGTGATTTGGTTGCGGGCTTCATATTCGAGGAAGTCTTGGGCTGTTTTGGTAGGGGAGGAAGACCGGGCTGCGGAGAGCCAAGTGGACAGACGGAAGTGCGGGTTTGATTGGAGGACGGCGTCGAGAGAATAGAGTAGGCTGATGAGTTTTGCGCCGATTGTGCGGACGGAGGAGGCGCGCTGGGCGGAAGACGAGGTGTTGTAGGCGGTGATCAGGTCTTGGTAAATGGGTATGAAAGCGTTGGCGAGGACCTGGCGGGACATGTCGACGAGGTCAAAGTCGTAGGCTGGGTTGAACCAGAGAGCCGGGTTTCTAAAGCCTGCCGCGTAGAAAAGGTCCCAGGCGCGCACCATATCGTCCGGGTTGTAGTTGATGGTGGTTGGATGGTGGCCGGTACGGTTGAGCAGGCCGGTGGTGCTGGGGATGAGCTCGAGGATAGATTTTGGCACGGCGTTGGAGGTGAGGTTCGTGTTATTGTAGACGGTGGTCCGGAGAGTGTCCCATGCCGTGTAGATCTCGTCGGGGATCGAGTTGCTACCGGCGTATCGCGCGGTGACCCAGTCGTGGAAGTAGGCCTCGGTGTCGATGGGTGTCTCGGTCCAGGCCTGGTCAAGGAGAAGATCGTAGACAATCTCATTGCCCTCCTGGCCCTCCATCGACAAGCCGAAACCGACTAGGGAGGTGGAGTTGTGTAGCGCGGCGATGGGGTTCTCGGTGATATTCATGATTTGACCGTAAAGTCCCATGTTACCACCATACCCGTGTATCTCGCACCAAACCCACGGTTTGCCATAGTACGAGTTTGTGCGCTGCCACTGCGGTTGGGATTCAGATGCGAGATCTAGAATCAGCATGTCCTCATCAACAGACACGCCGCCGAGATAAGCTTCGATGCGGGAATTGGTCCAGAATGCGGAGTTACTGGTAAATAGCCAGCCCTGCATAACCCATATAGCATTTGTATCAGCAGCTTTAAGAGCTTGCCAATTTCCGCGGCTGACGTTGCGCAGATAGTCTGTGTCGCCGGAGAACGGGTTGTTTTCGTTGAACTGGTCGAGGGTGTAGAACTTGGTGACATTACCGTACGCAGCGGTCTGTTTGGCAATGAAACTCTTCTGCAGCTGGGTGAAGCGCGGGTCGAGAGGGTCCATGAATGTGTCGTCGGTATATGCGGTTGGAAAAGCTTCCCATGTAGAGCCATTCACTATGCTCACATCCGGAAACACACGCGAGATAGCCCTAGGGACGAAACCTGGAAATGCAGGCAGAATAGGCGTCATACCAAGTTCGACCATGCGCCGCACAATTTTCTTTTGCAGCTCAAATTGACTGTCAATCCAGGAGAAGGGTAGCGATCCGCCCCAGGAGCCTTGGATATTTCCGAAGTGGTTCCATGCCAGAAACGCCGGGCCGGACAGAAAGTCGAGGATTTCGTTGTCGGTCAAGCCGATTTCTTGGAAGATTTCGGTAAAGATCTTTTCCACGCCAATCCATGCGAGAGGCAGGTTAATCCCGCGCAGGGCCATCCAGTCGAGCTGCAGCTCCCAATCCTCCCAGGTCCAGAAAGCGCTGGTGTAGGATGTCGTGACTGGAACAATTAGAATTTATCCTTATACATTATGGGTATCCCGGTTACCTGTGTTGAAATGGTACCGATAAGGCACGATACTAGAACTCGTCAAAGGCGCTGATAGATGAGGAAGCTTCGAGACAAGATCCAGCCGATTGCCGATATACCAGTAGATATCAACATGGGCGACATCAACCAGGTAGCGGTGCAGTCTAGCAGTTTTAGTATGATAGCAATCAACACAAAAATATAGATACTCACCCCGTAGCGAGCGCGCTCAGCGAGTTCCCCTCAACTTGGACCTTTCCATTCCGCGGCGTGGACACCGTGTAAGAGTCGATTTCGCCGATGGCCGTCGCGTTGACGATGCGAAACTCAAAGGCGCCTGCATGTTGCGGCAGACGGCGTTGGACAAGAGCCTCGATGCCAGCAGTTGGTGGCGAGCTGGCCGCGGCGACGCCGAGTGCAATGGCGCAGGAGAGAATGCTGTAAAGACGCATGGTTCTTCCACAAGAAAAAAAAAACGAGTGTCTGAATGAAACGAGCGTCTGAACAGAAAACGAAGATCTGATCAGTAAACGAAGGACGGTGTTAGATTAATATGCAGTCGTGGTTCAAGCCATGCGCTCGAAGCTCGTGCGAACCATGGATGCCCACACAGCGAGCGACGGAGTCAACGATTCATTCGAGAGTAAGAAATACGAATGACATTGATTCGGTGAAATATTAAATATTAATATAAATGTTTCGGGCCCCTAGAAACGTCGATTGCTCCACGTGTTGACGAAACGCTCGGACTAAAAACGACTAAAATCAGCCACGATGCAACGCCATGAATCGCTGGACACGGCCAATGTCAATGATCGCGCGCTGCCCGTGTTGAAGAGTTGTTTGGATGCATTTAATCAGATTAGCCTTTAACTAAGTCTAAAATATATTAATTTTTAAAGATAGTTATAATAGTCTAATTTAAGATATAAACATACTAGCTTTATCTTTATTCTTTCTTAAAAAAGTCTTAATAGTCTTACTAGCTCAATATACAAGTGTAATATCGGCTTTTTCCAACACTTAAACTTATCGTTTAAGAGAAGGAATGATCCATCTTTTTTAAAATTCTTAATAGCTGAAGTATAGAAATAATTAACTTGATTTGAAATAGCATGGGGGCTGCACGGACTACAATTCAGAAAGCTACTTTTGAAATAGCAAGAAAGCGCCTTTTGATTTGTTCAACGGGAGTGGTTCTGTTGGCTACATCATGCTTTTGTAAGTCGATGGTCCCTCCGTCAGCGGCAGGGGAATCAGCTATTTAAAGAGTCAATAAGTCCTCTGGAGAATGCAACTATACCACCTTATGTATCCATTGAACCAATTGACTGATAAACTTACGAGGATCATTCGGATCTAATTGGTAGTGATTACCTTGATTCAGATTGTTTGTCGGCGTAACGCCAAAGTCACCGTGAAACTGGTTATATAAGACGTCAAATCCGCGGTTTTGATTCCTCGAAAAAACCTCATCGGACCTTTCTTACTTTTGTATGTCATTTACTCGGAACTTGAGCACAGCTAAGGACGATGGCAAGTTCTGGTAACCCTCCTTCCACTGATCGTGTTCTTGGACCACCTTCGAATCTCCCTGTCATGGGAAGAGAGGGTACAGATCTATATTCGTCTTACGGCACGAATGATGATCTTCTGATCCTATATAGTGAAGCAGGCGATACTAGATATTGAAGCGGGCGCTTCAATATGGGAATTTTATAAGGACACTCATTTACTATCATGTATCTAGCTTATTGTGTTTTATTCTCTCAAGGAAATAGCATACTACTATTCACTCTTCAACATACTTATTGCAGCCTATCACTACGATAGTACTCTACTTTACCTTAGGATTGCCTTACAAAGCTTTTCTCTTGTCTTCTGTTAACAGAATATCCACCGCGATTCGCATCTTGGTGACGAGTTGTTGAACCGTTTGACAAAAAGATTGCTCTTTAGCTATATATTCTGCTACTATTTTTGCATATGAAAATTATGAATTAAGAGCAGCAAACTATTACTAAAAGCAAAATTATACCAATTATAGATACACTCTTGATAGATCTGGGATTTTAATGGTTTTTGAGAGTCAGGAAATTGCTATAGTGGTGTTAATAGCTCAAGAAGCTCTACAGCTTCCTAATCCGGAAGTAGCTTCAAGGGCGCGTAGATGTGCATCCTGGATCTGTTCTAATTGTAAATTAATTGGATATGTCCAGACGTCCTGTCCGAATAAATCTACATAGAAAGATAAACGATTTCTGTTTATTGGTTACGAATTTTTTGGGTTTGGGGGTTTTGGGTGGCACTGGTGTCCCGGCTTGGGGGTGTCCCGCGGGTGGGGGTGGGGGGTAAAATACGTTATAGAGCGGTGTTAGTAATCAATGAGAGGGGTGTTAACACTCTTGCGAACCCACTGTATATTTAGAATCCCTTGTATCCCGCTGCTTCCATGAAGCTCGAGCAATTTGTATGTATCTACCAACCAAGCTATTTGATTAACTCATTCGCGAATTGAACCCTCTGAACCTTTGAAGCTTCATTGTCGTAGTGCCTTGCTGGACACCCACCGGAGCGGCACCGGGAACGGGAACAGCCCCTTCACCCCGCTTACAGAACTGTGGTAAGATTGTCGGGAACAGGGTTAACTAAAATAGACCTACATGGGTTCGGTTCGCAGGCGGAGCAGGTTTGTCCCATCCCCGGCTACTAAGTTCTGCTTTGGGCATCCAACCAGGTTAGCAATCAACTGAGTGATGTCCTAATATGACTTGTCGTGTTATGAAACATGGGCTGGATGACCCACACTTGACAGCGTGCTGCGTGCTTCGTAATCGAAGCACAGGTTGGCTCTAGGACGGTGGCTAGCTGAAACTCTTCATGCCATGTAGTTTCCACTATGCATACTATCCGCAACAGAAAATTCTATTGCGAGTAGTGCCCAGTGCTGGCCAATCTAAGCGTATACTTGAGTGGACCGATAAGTTAGTGGTTTCTGCTGGGCCATAAGGCTGCAATCCTTGGGTATGCAGTCCGCGTAGTAGGGGATGAGGGGCTCCATCTATTTTCACAATTCGGGAGCATATGTATTGTTAGGCGGTTCGACCAACGCGGCGTGTTAGGTGGATCGGTCGTCGCGCTAAAATTATACAAGGTTTCGACAGCCAAGGGGATAGCAAGGCCTATATAACGCTATACCTATCTAGGTTATAGAGGGTGGTGCTTTTATACTTTAGGTTGGTGAAAATAATATGTATCTTCACCCCCAACGTGGGGCAACGACGATTCACGGCGGTGTCGCGGTGGTACAACTAGACCCCTCCACAAATAGCCTGGTTTTCATTTTTAACTCTCCGTGCCTGCCCCTGCATCATCTTCTCGAGTTTGTTACGACAGAACTTCCAAGTACACCAATTCATATATAAGGCCTTCACCATGTCGAGGTATGAACTAGCCCTCGAGTCCGCTAAATGGTACAATCCCCCACTTAACATCGTCGTTATCGGTCATGGTGATTCTGGCAAGTCGACCCTAGCCGGTAAGCCTCCCTGAAGATTCTATCACATTCTTGACTCGTACTGATACCAGTTCCCAATAGGGCACTTGATGTACCTGGCTGGTAGTGTCGGCCGGGATGCCATACACGAATTTGAAGAGGAAGGAGACAGTTCCTCTAAGTATGCTTGGATTGTTGACAAGACCAAGGAAGAGCGAGATGAGGGCATCACCATGAACGCTACCCTTGCCCGGTTTCAGACCTCAAAATATCAAATCACGATGATCAGTGAGCGCTTTGGTCTGCTATCTGATCTCCACTGTCTAATCTAACGACATCATAGATACCCCAGGTGACTCCGACTACATCGAGAACGTGGCCATGGGTGCTGCCGTAGCGGACTGTGCTCTCCTTGTTGTCTCGGCCGATCCAAATGAGTTCAATGACGGTCTGCCTCAGGTGCGTGAGCACGCTTTGCTCGCCTTCTTTCTTGGTATTAGACAGGTTATTGTTGCGGTTAACAAGATGGACCTCTGCGGGTGGAGTCAGGACCAATTCAAGGACGTTTCCGAGAAAATCCGTACTCTTCTCAGAAAGATTGGCTTTAATATCATGACGATCTCTTTTGTACCCACCTCTGGTTTCGAAGGTGACAACCTGCTCGTCGAAAGCGTCAACTTGCGCTGGTATACGGAAGGAACCTTCTCTCAGTATGGCCTTTCTAAGCCAGGATTTACTAGGCAGTTACTCTATCGGGAAGGAGAAGCGAGTGGCACGAGCCTACTTGACGCTATTGATACTATAGAAGTTCCTGCTCGTCCAAAGGACAAGCCCCTTCGTGTAACCATTCACAGTGTTCATGACATTGATGGTGTCGGGACCGTGCCGGTTGGCTGCGTGCAAACGGGCACTCTCTCTCCTGGGATGTCTGTCACGTTTGCTCCCAGTGGTACGACTGCCGAAGTTCTATCCATTGAGAGACATCATGAGGAGCTTGAAGAGGCTAAGGCGGGGGATATTGTTAGCTTTAGCATTAGCGATGATGGGCCAGTCAGCCGTGGTGATGTCGCTAGTGATCCAGACAACGACCCTGCTACAGGCTGTGAGTCCTTTGATGTACACCTTATGGTTATTGGGCCTCACTGTCAGATCAGCAGTGGTGATACTGCTACTGTTTTCTGCCACACAGCCAACGTTGAGTGCACGCTTGAGCCCCTGAGGAAGATTGATCGCCGTACGGGCGAAACTGTTGAAAATAACCCCTCGTCCCTCAAGCAGGGTGATACTGGCGTTGTCAAGATTATCCCCTCCGAGTCAATGTGCGTGGAGGTATATTCCAACTACCCAGGCCTCGGCCGTGTAGTAGTGCGTGGCTCGGATAAGACAATTGCTGTGGGAAGGGTTGTTGACGTCGAGACAGACTAGGATGTATCGCTAGACGAAGATATTGATTGAATTGTTTAGAAGCATTGCCTTTGCTTAATGAGGTATTGTCAAATGGAGAATTCCCATAACTAGCACAGTCTTGGCGAGCGCAGCCGTCGCCGTCGCTACCGAGCGCAAGCAGCGATGGGAATACCCTTCTATACAGTATATCAGCTGTAAGCGGCATAACCCACCTATCTACCATGCCCTATAACGCGAAGACCGTTCCAACCTGAACGGGGTCGCCGGTCCGCAGCTTGTCTTGCGAGTATTGGGTTAGAACGCTGCAAAACTACTGCTGGTGTAGACGGCCCACGAAGAGGTTGTTCTGGGGATGGTGAATATAGAAGAGTCACCCCGTATCGATCTAGAAGAGGTCGGAGTAGCCTCCTCACGGGGCGATTGGCAGGACAGACGCTTATCCGCGAGAGCAGCGCCCGCCGTGTAGTGAACGCTCTTACATTGTTCCTGTTTAGAATCCGGCCCAATACTTATTCTGCCCTGCGAAGTTATTAAATTTTTATATAGGGAGGCTGGAGGACGAGATCTCTGTTTTCTATGTAGATGAGAAGGATAAGTCACTGCTTCGAACATTCAAGTCAAAGCTGGCGGTTATGCTTTGACTAAATTGGCGCTTACCCTCTGCGTTTGACTAGACCTCTATCGATCAACACTTGAAAATTTGCTTCCATTTTCTTCTCCTTTTTCATTGTCCTTTTCATACGACGGTTCACAATTCGCATCGAACTCAGATGACGCTCAGGAATTTGTAAAATCAAACGCTCAGCCCCAATAGTTCCATCAAACCAACCTTCAAAACGGACATCACACGTTCACTGGATGTTGATCTTTAGCGTATTCTCGATGGACCTAAGGACACTGTATTCGTTAGTCAGCAGGTCATCTGAAACATGTGCTTAACTTGAGTATGTGCCTGAATGTGACTGGGCGCTAATCGTCCCATTCAATCAGTTCTATTGAGGATACCAACTGTGCGATAATCGCTCTACATAAGCTGCGCGACAGCTTTTGCATTCCGAAGAGATTCAAAATCCTCGTCCTTGAACAGTGGTAATGGACCATTGTAGAGAAAATCGTCTCCCTTATCCAAGAGGATTTGGTGAGCCATGTCCACATTGAATCATTTCAACATATTGTATACGACGGGCACGTTCTTCGACCAAGCGCTATCGGCCAGATTCTCACTCTCCCTGCATTCGCGAGGCATCTCCTCTCCGACCATACGCAGCGTTCCGTGAGGACAGATCTTTGTGGAATCTTCCGTTACTACGAGGCCTGTTTTCTTGACGCTAGCCAAATCTGGCTCTGCCAGAAGCAGAGCTTTCGTCGTCGAAGGGTTCGTCGGTTTCATCAGGGTCAGTATTCTCATTGTAGTCACCGACGTCCTTGTACTCGTTGTTGTCGTAGTTGGCATCGTCTTTATTACTATTATTGCTGTAATAAGCATGATGTTCATCATCAACTCCATCCAACCGGCCCAGTGGTCGGGCATATACGGCGTGGGGCTGCTCCGACTCATCCGATTCATATTTCCAACCTGAAAACGAGCTGTGCGAATCACTAAAATTTCGTTGGTGGCTATTGTGAACGGCGTCATACCCCTCATCTGAGTCGTTCTGTTCCTCTGTAATTACCACTGCTCTCCGTAGACTGTCAGGAGATCCAGAGCTTTCTCATCCGTATCGCGAGTGCCATCCTCCAAATCTGAATACGACTCTGCCCCAGAATACACTCTAAGAAGACATTCTCAAGTAGAGGACATGATAATTTTTGAAAGGTCATTTAATCAGACAATACTTCATCGTCTAATATCCATCGTTAAACATAGTTTCTTCGGGCACTTATGTGCCTGATTAATTAGTTAGATGGGAAATAATTATCAACTCTCAGCCTCATCAACGTGGCCCTGGCCCTTGGGAGAGTACCGTAACGGCACCCTTATTCTGACGCGGAACTAATTAGCTTGGGTAATAAGGGGCAGTTACGAGGTGTGTATCTATTGTTAGTATTATTGGTCAGAGAAATGGCTGTGAATTTCGATTTGGTCCGTTGCTGCCTTTTTCTATAATGACAGCCATAGCAAGAGTAGAAAAATAACAGAACAGTAGAAAGAGCTGGGGCTAATAGATGGATGTAACATGACTTGATATGTCTTTGCCATAGGAATCTTCTTATTTATATACTCATCATTTAATATAAACACTATAAAATCTTATGTTTTTTTTTTCTCTCTCTCTTATACAACTCTCTAATCTAATAGACCTGTATAATTGCTAACTCTAAAAAAAAAATATCGATAGCAGCTAAAACTTTATATATAAATAATTCGACATCGAAACAATTTCCAGGTAACTCATCTCAAAATTGAGACATGGAGCGAGGCCACTCACTCAATGTAGGGATTCAACATACCTGCCTGTTCCCAGCTTCAAAAAAAAGGCAGTGCTTATAGCATGGCTTTATTTCACTCCTCTCCCTTTTCCCCGATATCACCCCCATTCATGGATTATCTATATCCATACCCATCTAATTAGATGTCATTATTCATATTGTCACCCAATCATCACAGTCCGCTCCAAAATATCATTGATGCAGGAGTCATGACAAAAAAATTGTGGCATTTTCTCTATTGGTGCATAATAGTTGAAAGATACAATTGCTTTCACAATACTCGAAAATTAGTATCAGCTATATATAAGAAATATCACTATCTTACTAACCTCTAGTCAATAGAAGTTAAAAATCAAATTAAAAAGTACTACGTCTACTACAGAAATCCTAATCAATATAGAATATCGTACAGTACCGCGTTATTTGCACAACACCATTAACATAAAATCATAAGATCAGCCATCCACATAGATCTGCAGCTGGTCTGGAGCTAAATAAACTAATATGGGTGAAGCAGGCTCAACAAGATCCGAGCCGGAGCCAGTCAAAAGGAAAATAACAGAGAAGAGAGAATGCGGAAGTACGTAATAAGGCCAGTATGATGAACAAATAAACGATCTATACCCAGTAACAATGCTTTTATTCACACACTTCAATCCCATAAAATTTATGATTTACATTGCATGCTAGCTGGCATCCATCACAATAATAACAATACGTCGTCACTTATATTGCGTCAACCATCTTAACGACAAGGATAGATCGCATCTAGACGCTATAAACCATCCTAAACCAATAAGAAAAAGGGGGGCGACGGGGACTATGATCACCGATGTAGTCTCTGGAACGCGGCGGAAATACAGAAGAGAAATGATCTTAAAACTTTCAAGAACGCACTCGCAGTTTATATACCTAATACCCAATAAGGCGCGGCCATTAAAGCGGCGAGCGGCAACTATTAAACTAAAAAATCATTCTATACGGAAACGTAAAGATAAGATAACAGATTTCTCAATAGATATTAATAGCTAGATAAATATGTTGATAAATGCAAAATTTTATTAAATAGTAATTTAGAAAAACCATAAAAACAGATAACATAGCCAATAACAGCAGTAATCTCAACGTCAAAGTGTAAGCTAGGGCTTTGGGGAACACTCCTAACCAACCAGGTCAAAAAGACCAACATTAAGCGCTCAATGGCGATTATTCCCTAAACCCGCTTTATATAGAACATGACGCAACTGTCAATTCACATGACATTGGATGCAAGAAATCCCATAGAACAGACAGGATTGACAACATAAAGACATTATCAAATAGAAAGCACATCAGATAACCACAATAACTTAACAACAAAAGTAGATAAAAGTATATAAGGGTTGGTCTGCGACGAGACGGGTATGTATTACCTGTCAAGTGACATGACCCAGGATAATCATAACAATTAAAAATGTAGGTGAATTTAGTAATATTCTGGAATAAGCCCTCGACTCTGAGGTAAGATTAAAATTAAAAAGCCGTTACCGAATTCAGTTAGACTGATTAATCGTCCCCTCAGCTCTTCTATCCCTCCCCAACACTGAGGCACGTTATTTTCCTATCAACTGGGAAAACAATGCTAGAGAAAAACTGATTAACAGGCACAAACCAACTCAAAGACCATTTCTCGGGAAATTGACGAATCATCACTGACCGTTCTGTTTAGGGTCTCGTTAGGCTCGCTCGATTAGGAATGCAGCTCGATAAACGGTCGAAAGTCTAAAATGTTGGGCGCTAACTATAAATTTGTGGTTGCATTTCCGTCCAATTTACAGCCCTCCAATACCTTTATAGGATACCAGCTCGCTTCAAATCCATAGTTTACTAAAATAGCTATCAATAGGATACGCACGGCGCCGCTGAATCGAACCCTCGCGCCGAAGGGGGCTCAGGCGCGGCTCAGCGGCGGGGACCCAGATCCTAGGAAAATGCAGGGTTCTGCACTTCTGGTGAATTTGGTAACAACATGCAATGTCTCTGCAAAAGCTATACAAATGCGGCACCATATTTTTTATATGAGGTGATAACGGACGATCCTAGTTACCATCCTGTTCCTGGATGAAGAATTGCACTCCATACGATCAAGCTACTCTTGGCTATTCTTGGCTACTCTTAGCTCCTCTTAAGCTACTCTTAGTCCTGATGGGGCCACACCACCAGGTTATTGGATAACCTACCATGAAAGGCACGTGGCTGCTCATTCAAAACCAATCTGCTGTTGCTAATGCAGAGTGAGGGTGGGTCCAATCTTGCTAAGGTCGCTTAAAGTTTCTGACCTGCATCAGCTAGCAATGCGCGAGTTTGAAAATAGACCGGGCTGGTTGATTTTGTTCATCCACCGTAAATACTCGCTCCGTTCCTGCTATATTGGTGGCGTGTTTAGGTTGAAATGCTGCTGGTAGCGAACACTTCGTGCGGCATAAAACACACCACTCATGGCCTTGGCATCTGGATAGTCAAGGAAAAGCTGAATCCAACAAGAATAGCATCTCAACGTTGGGTGGGATCACGCTGATGGTGGACCTTGGGAATGAGATATATAAATTGTGTCGTCGCCTGCTGCTGGGATGGTCTGAACGATTCCTGTACCATACCACGATCACCTCTCTTCCCCTCTTCCGCGGCGCGATCAAGCATTCCGTTGGCTCCCACGTATTCGCCCATTTGATTGATTCACCTCCGGCGCATGAGAAAATGAGGCTTCGCCGCGCGTTCGGACTCCTTCTTGGAGCGGCTTGCCAGGTTGAGGCTCGGTCAGTGTTTGCCCATTTCATGGTCGGTGCCTATCCCTTCCCTCCCATCTCAGGGACCATGATACTAAAGACATTGCGTAGGTAACTAATGCTTTGACCTGGTCAGTTGGCGATTGGCAGTCAGATATCCAGAAAGCCCAGGCGGCCCACATCGATGCGTTCGCCCTCAACATGGCCCATGGCGATCCGGCCAACGTGCCGTCCATGGCGAACGCATTCCAGGCTGCGTCGGGCCTCGGATTCAAGCTATTCTTCTCGTTCGACTACGCGGGAAACGGGTCCTGGCCCATGCAAAGAGTGATCGACATCGTCAACCAGTATAAAGGCAACTCAGCCTACTTTCTCCGCGGCTCGCAGCCGTTGGTCTCGACCTTCGAAGGGCCCAGCTCGGCGGCTAACTGGACCGAGATCAAATCACAGACAGGCTGCTTTTTCATACCGGACTGGTCGTCGTTGGGCGCGGACGCGGCCATGCAGCTCGGTGAGGCGGACGGCCTTTTTAATTGGGCGGCTTGGCCTACCGGCCAGGAGGATATGAACACCTATGTTGACGCATCCTATCTGCAGTTCCTGGGAGGGCGTCCATACATGATGCCGGTCTCGCCGTGGTTCTTCACGAACCTGCCCGGCTACGATAAGAATTGGCTATGGAATTCGGGCCACCTGTGGTTCGATCGCTGGCAAGAGGTCCTCTCGATGCCACATGACGACGTCCCCGAGTTCCTGGAAATTATCTCCTGGAACGACTACGGTGAGTCGCATTATATCGGGCCCTTGAATCCCAAGTCCTATGCGGCCTTTACCATCGGGCATGCGCCGTATAATTATGCCGACAGCATGCCGCACGACGGATGGCGCCTCTTCCTGCCCTATGTGATTGATACCTACAAGACCGGCAAGGGCACAATCACGCAGGAAGGAGTGGTGGCCTGGTATCGGCTGAGTCGCGCGGCGGCATGCGCGGATGGCGGCACGACGGGCAATACGGCCTCACAACTCCAAGTGGAGATTACTCCTGGCGCCCTTGCCCTGGACCAGATCTTTTTTACGGCTCTCCTGGCCTCTCCAGCCAGCGTAACTGTCTCGATCGGCGGAAAGTCGGTGCCGGCATCTTGGAAGAACGTGCCGAGTGGCGGAGTCGGCCTCTACCACGGCTCGTGCTCCATGGAGGATTCCAGTTACGTCGGCCCGGTGGTCGTCACCATCGAGCGATTAGGATCTACGATTGCATCGATGAACGGGGCTTCGATCACCAACAGCTGCCCGCACGGCATCACCAACTGGAATGCCTGGGTAGGCCAGGCGACCTCGACACATTCGATCACGCCGGTTTCTCCCAAGCTCTCGAATGAGGATGCTGTCTGCATCGCGGGCTTTGGTCTCGGTGACTTTGAGAACCTCTGTGCTTTTGCTTGCGAGTATGGCTACTGCCCAATTGGCGCTTGTACGTGCACCGCCATGGGCCCTGCAAAACCCAAGCCATCGGCGACCGGCCAGGCAGGATACCCTGTCGCCGGAGAATCAGCCGACTACTCGGGCCTGTGCAGCTTCGATTGCAATTATGGTCACTGCCCAAGCAACCTATGCGGACACACCTCCGTGCCGCTCGCAACGCCCACCGTCTCCCCCTTTACTCCACCGGCCCCGATTTCAGGCACGGGCGTGAATGACGCTTTCAACGACCTGTGCGCCTGGACCTGTCAGTACGGCTTCTGTCCTATGCACTCGTGCGTTACAACCGATACCGGCGTGCTCAAGGTGCCACCGGCGCAAAATGGCTTCACCGGCAAAACCGTCTTGACCGTTGACGACAGTGGGCTCTGCAATTGGGCTTGCAGCCGCGGCTTCTGTCTCCAAGGGGTGTGCGTCGGGTCGCTCACTGACGTCTCCGCGCAGCCCAGCTGGACGCAGGCTACCTGCGACCTAGACGTGGTCAACAACATCAACGACGACTCCAAGTACCGGTGGCAGTACGTCGACTGTGACACCGCCTGGTCCCAGGCTATCAATTATTGGAACGCAAATCAGGCCGCGGCAGCGAAAGAAAAGAACTCCTTTTCCATGGAGATCGCCTCTTTCTTCAAGGATACGGGCCTCCAAGACGACATGAACTGCCAGTCTCTCACCGACCACAACGGCTGCGACAGTGAAGTGCAATGCAAAGACGTGAACCATCCGGCCGGCATGTTTATCCTGAACTCTCTGATTCATCTCGATGAGGTAAGTAGTTCAGCGCAATTGACATTCACTTGCTGATTATCGGAACACAGCACTTCCAAAACCTCTACGATGCCATTTCGCGTCTGGAGACCAATGCCTTGGGCGATGTACCCACCATCAATGATGTGTTTGCTCCGTTACCAACTGAGAATCAAGCTTTGAAAATCGCCCTGGACGTCCTCTCCTTAGGCTTTGCGTTGTTCGCGGCCCCTTTTTGGAATGCTTGTACGTGCTAACCCGACCCTTCCTCTCCATGTGCTGGTGCTGAATACGATGCCCACAGACCTGAAAGGCATCAACATCGTGAAGGAAAATTCCAATACACTGGGCTCGATCAAAGACATGACCAATGCGCTAGTGTCGAATACCGTCACATTGCTTAAGGATTCATCTCCCGCGTAAGATGCCTTCCCCCATAGTGTCCCGTAGCGCTACACCTTGCTGATATTGCTGCCGGCCCCTTTTCAGCGGCCTCGATATTGCCAATGAGAATGACCTCACCACGAACGTCAAAAATGCGGTCACAGGTTGGCAGGACGGAATCAGTGCGTTGGTCAACCAATTGTTCAGCGGTTCCTCAGACGACGTCGCTCGAGTGTACGACCTCATCGGCGGCGGCTCCTATATCAAGGTCACCAACCCACCGAACGACGTGGATATTCAGAACTGGATGGCGGCGCCGCTCTACGCGATGATCATCCCCAACGCGTGGAGCTTTAACAACAAGGCTCCCTTCGTGCTGGACTCGGGCCAGAACTGCGACCCCAGCAACCCGCTTCCCGACAATGTGGACAGTGATACCGTAGCCGCAACGTCCGTGTGCTATAATAACCGAATGTACTACCTGCTGTCTGCCAGCGGAGACGCCGAAACAAACTGTCAGTCCTGGCCTGGCTGCGAGAGCTGCTCGGAGACCTGTACTGATAACGATTTCTCCGCCCCGAGCGGCTTGTCCAGCTTGACCGGGAAGGCTGGCGCATATGGCGGGCTCACCGTAGCGACAATTGTGCAAGGGTAGGCGCCCACCCCCACTCCTAACTCCCCCGAGGCCCCCTGGGGCCTTCCTTACGGTTAGGGGGGATCGAGAACTTTTGCTGATAACGCCTTCTAGAGCGGTCAACGGGTACACCAACAATGGCAACAAAAACGGATGGAAAACAGCAGATCCGTCGGACGCAGCGACCTTGTCAAAACTGATAGACCTGGGCGTGGCCGCGCCCGGAGTGGTCACAATCCCTGTCTGCGGAAACGATGAGGCGTGGCAAAATTGGTATCAGTACAGCATCAATTCACATCCCCAGAGTGCCAATTATCCTTGCAACTGATATCTTTGCCACATCTACTCCTCAGGTGAGTTTTCTCTCCCTCTAAGGCGTACGGGGTTCCTACTTTTAAACCGTAACTGACCCTAAGAAAGCCTAGATAGGACAATGATGTTTTGGCGAACTTTAATTAAATTTGTATCTGTCAGAAGACTGTTGGGGTCTATTCGTCGGACGGAAATAGGAGTGTAAACATTATACTGTAAATAGTTGACAGTGAGCTATGGCGTGGCTTGTCAACGGGTTATTCAACAGGGGGTCTCTCAACAATGAATAGGTTCAACATTGGAAAATTTTCAAGGTTGAGTTCAATATTGAAAGTTTTCAGTATTAGAATTTTTTATTGAAAAAGCTAAATATTGACAATGTGACTTTTCTAAAATGCGCTTTCTGCTATAGCGCTGAGATGGTCTCTTTCTCAACCAAAATTTGCTGTACTATAACGCTAGGATGTTCATTTACATGGTTCCATTACAATTCGAAAGTTATGTCACTGTGGCTACTTAAAGATCCAGAGTCACCATTTGGCGTCTGTAGATAAGGATAGGATAACAGATCTGCATTTATGAGCCCAAAAACAGTTAGAAAAACATCAATAGTCAAGAATCTTTCTTGATCCCTAGCTCAGACGCTGTAAGAAAACCTTTCCACCCACTACCTATATATTCAGTGGCACCACTCTGGATGACAAGCCTTTGCTACCCACATCAAGGTCTTCACATATTTAACACCTTGAACATCTTACACCCAAACTATGCTACTTCATCTTGCTGTACTTTAGGGTTTTATCACTCCTCAGGTTAACTCCTACAACAACAACCACTGCTCACCTTCTAACCCCATCATCCTTCCTCAACAGCTTCAAGATCAGCATATTCCTCCCAACTTTTTCCAGCACTACCTCTCTCTTGAGTCACCTTTCCACTCTCCATCGCGAGTTCACTTCTCGCCCTCGTCAGGCTTAGCTTATATTGCTAGTATTACCGACTAATCAATAGATACACATCATTTGACTATACCAAAATAGGACAACATCATACAGACAATATAGTAGCAATTCCCTACAAAGCATCACCACACTCAATTCCTACTATCAGTTGCCTACCAGCTATCTATTATCTTGATCTACTATTCAACTAACATGTTCTTTAAATTCCTCACTTACATGTCTATCTGTCTTGCTTTACCTCCATACCTCTCTGGCTAGTGCTTGCTCTATACATGAGTAAATTCAGTATAATAGGCTAGATACAATGACATAATCATATTTACACTCTCCAAAACACTTATTAAGGTTGAACATAACTTCTAGTGTTATAATGATCATCCTAAGATCTATCTAAAACAATGGCTTACTCCTCTATTGATAGTTCTTAGACTCTCAGCCCTAGAACCATATCTAGCAATGCTTATAATCCAATAAGATATATTATACCCCAATATTAGTAGAATCGCATATAAATACATCTAGATAGATGGGTTCTTTGCAACTTAGGCTTATATCTCAATCCAATCGAATTTGCCACTAAACTCAATTTGTTCTAACGCGTAAAACGTCCGACACACCTTACCTTACGCAAAACATCTCAATTTAGTCCCGTCTTCTGCACATCAACCGACACACCAAAACACCGCTGTGATGTGAAATGAACAACGGGGTCAATGTCAATGCTGCGAGACTGCCTGAACTTATAATCGTTGTCGCTTTCTCTACCACGCATCCCCTATCTCAGGAAGCTCCATTACGATGGGTGTCACGCTCCCGAACGAGGTCTGGATGTTGATCGCGGATTTCCTTCCTCGAATGCCCGACGAACCTCGATGGCAGCCATGGATCCGGTATCGCCGCGTCAACCGAATGTTCAAGACCGCAATCGAGAAGCACTACATAAAGCATTATCTGGAACGGACATCACTGCAGCTGGACTGCGGAAGCTCTGAGTTTCAACTGAATGAGGAATATAGTTTCGGTCGCTTCGCCGATGAGCCCCACAACCGAAAGGCCGTCCTGGTCAGTAACGGCATTATTCACCAGAAACCCACCTCGACGTTCAGTCAACGTCAGGATCAGATTGACAAACTCCGTTTGAAGTTCTGCGAACGTGGATATCACCCATTTATGGTCATGTTTGTCGAGAATGGGGTGACGGACATGCTTCCAATGGACCTCGAATTCGGGTCTATCGAATCCACTGTCCCTGAGAGATCTGGTGAGTACGACCGAATTTGTGTCTTCGACTGGCGGACCTATTTCTGCACTTTGTTTGACGAGCTTCACCGGATCGACCGGGCTCGTGAGTCTGGGGTAAGACCATTCCCTTCAACTTTCCACTCTCCAATCACTATTTGATCCTAAGAAATGGGATACTGTAGGTTAGCAACCAGATCCAGTTAGCATATGAGCTCAGCCGTCGTTTTCCTTTCAACACTCAGACCCGAGCCGAAGTCGTCCTCGCGGCTGGAACCCCGAACGTCGGTAGAGACGGTCGATTGTTGCAAATCCGTCGGCGTCGACGAACTCGATTGGGCTTTCTATCCGATCAAATAGAATGGAGGCATGTACAACCATCCCTGGTTTTTAAGGAGCGGTTTGCAAAACTAGACGAGGAGTATTTAGCCAGAAAGCTTCTCGAAATTCAGCATAAGCGTGTCAAGCAAGGACGTCCTATTGAGTGGTAGCCCTGCTCAAGTGCGTGCGTATCATTCTTGGAGATCAAGCATCTATCGCTTCGACATTACATCCCATTCATAATAGGCCATGGCTGAGGGAGACCTTTCCCTCCAAGCTGATCCCGATTGCACTAATACGGCTATATAAGGTGGCTATATAAGGTATGTACAGTATATAAAGTACCAAATCTCAGATTCACCAATTATCCAAGAAACAGGGAAAGAATAGTCAGAGATAGATGATATTATTTGGGTACGGAGACATAAGCAAATAGTTAATTCGTTAAATAATCCATTAGGAAGCTAACATGCTAGGTTGTTTTTAAGAATGAGTCATATCTACTCCGTAGACAATCAATCCTCAGCTAAGACATTCGTCTCCTCACTCGCACCATTAAGGGCCGGTCTGGAAACAGGCCTCCCTGTTTTCTCAGATCAGGCTGTGGGACCCCATGTTTTATCAGCTCTTCGTCAATGACCTCGATTTCTAATCTCAACAACAATGTGGCCAAGCCACCGAGAATCTCATTCGTGGCGAAGTGTCGGCCAGAACAGATAGTGGTTCCTCCGCCAAAGGGTCTTAGTGAAAGAATTCGCCGTTGGATATCCTTGGACTTGGGACCAGAAATAGGCTCCACTTGGACCCTTCTAGGCTTCAACTCTTCTGGGCTCGAAGGAGCGCCTGCAATGTGGTTGGCTTCAGCCTCTATATTTTCATCTACTCGGTGAGCCTCGTGTTCCTGATCGCCGTCCAAGAACCGCTCTGGCCAGAACAAATCCGGCTTGGATTGTTCATTGCCGGGAATCTCCCAGGTCGCCGGCTCTAGTTGAAGAATACGTGCGGGAATCATGACCATACTGTTAGATTTGAACCGATATCCACCAATCTCACAATCTTCCCGCACAACACGAGGCGATGGGGATGCCGTTGCCCATCGGAGCGCTTCTAGAAACATTGACTTGAGTTTCGGCTGTGTCGTCACTTTGCCCATGTCTAATGAAAGCGGACCAGTCTGGCACCGAGATATTTCTGAATGAAGTTCCTCGAGGGTCGTAGGATTCAAGACCGTCTGGTTGATAACCTGCATGGCGACGGGAATAGCATTGGCCGCAATCTACCGAGCGTGTATCAGCAGCCTTCTAACTATATACTCTAGACTGACTATATTCCTTACCCCCCATATGATTCCCATTTTATTCCCCGCGCGGCCTCTCTCGCTAACTCCAAACTTTGCGTAAAACTTCGATGCTTCACGGGAGTATGCATGGCCCCAGTAGGGATCCCAGAGACGGTTTGGATCATCAGACTTGATCTTTCCTTCCTCTTCAGCTTCTCTCGCCATTCTTTCCCAATCTATCAGCTTTCTAATCCCTTCCTCGCGGACTTTGTATGGCTTAGGAAAGAGAAGGCTGGGATATTGTGCTATTATCATTGGAAATGTGGAATCAAACTCCCATATCCAATCGTCAATCTCCGGCCAAAAGGTATAAATGTTGGTCCCCATCAGTGCCTCGATGGAAGCATGGGTCCAGAGAGACTTGATGAGGTGACAAAGATCCATAGTCCTCCACTCAGGCTTTCCATTTTTGCTGATCGGGAAGTTGCGGTCTATTTCCTTGCATAACGTTTCAATGAAACGTCTGGTCAACTCTTCGAGGAATTCGCCGCTTAAATGGTTCTTTGTCATTATGTGAAACCCATGCATAAAATGAGTCCCATCCACCACCACATTGGGATCTGTCTTGACGAGTCGAGCCCCGTTCTGGGCAATTTCCAAATCATTTTTGGTACCTCCAGTTGTCCGAAATACCATCAGATTAAACGGATCAAACAGGAAATTGTCTGACCGGCGGTAGATTTGACTTGCTAGTTTAGCGTCGAAGATCAAATATAAATGACGACCGGCTACCTGCACAGTGACCGCTCCGCTGCTGGGAAACGACGATCTGGAGAGTGTCCGTCAGTACGTCAGTATGGCGGTCGAGGATCTACCAATGTATCATATTCAAACTGACCTGACCCATTCCACAAAGCCATTGATGTCGTTTATGAGGGAAAACCCATGGCCAAGCCAGGGGATTAGATAGGGCACGAGGGGTGGTTCACCATTGGATGATACCTTGTGGTGACGAATGCTCCATCGCCATGCGAAGAACAGCAGAATTCCAGCTAGCAGCCAAATGGGGGGAGACACCGTGTAAAGAGATAGAGTTGGTTTAAGTTCCATGTTTTGAGCACTAGGATGACGTTATCAACATGCGAAGCTATGGGTAAAGCTATCAATTGATCAACGAACAAGACCGAATTTAGGTGGGGTGTTTCACATGGAGATATGATACGCACAGCTGCCCAACCCTTGTTACACAAAAACTAGCTCAATAAGGAATAGTGGACGAAGAAATAGGACAGTGACAGCGTACTAAATTAACGCAACGCAACTAAATGGCTGGACGAGATATAGTGCGACTCCCTATACTCAACGCCCCGAAGTCTGTCATCTGGTTCAGTGGAAGATTTGGGTCAGGGTGTTGCGCCTCATCTGAATATAAGTACAGGGTGTACAGTCCTAGATGACAGTCTCTCTGCAATTTATAATCTCTAGCAGCAATTTCCAGGGACTAACTGGACTGGCTTTTGCGTCCATAATAATTTCAAAAATTGTTCTTCATTTGATGACTGGGGGTCGTTGACGAGCACAGAAGGGATACGCCCTATCGCGATTCCCCATATCCTCGAGAAATTTTTGGCCTTTGTAGGGACCTTGATATTGATAGCATTCTTCAGGCGATTTAATATATTCTAGAACAATAAATAAGAGAACCAGCATAATTTACTACAGCTATAAAAATAATAATAATCACCTACCCAAACACTTGTCTATTTATTTCTTCTCTTTCTATCGATCTGACTTGGACAATCCAAGACAACGAACATTAAAAGCCTATTTAAAGTAACCCTTACCTAAAGCTTTAGCCATTATATATATATTAAGTGCTGAAATAACTTGAATCAAATTTGTTTTATTTATATTTTAGTTAATACATAATATTAGTTGAAAAATTAATTTTCAATTGTTCTTTATATGGACTGCTATCTAGTACTATTTTTAAGCCTCTTAAATCAAGTTTGATCATGTCTTCCTTCGTGGTTTGAACATCGAAGAGGAAGTGATAATGAGAAGGGCATAAATAGTTCCCGCAACGGGGCCATAAAACTACTAAAAGTTCTCCGCGCTTTAATTTTCATCATGAGATTCACTTTGAGCACTTTGAATGATAAGTATTATTAAATCCATACGATGGTTTGAATGGCTACTAATCTGCAATGATCCTGGCAATACAAATCGAACCTATGTGCGTTGCTTATCTTCTCTTCTCTACCGCATACATTTCCAAATAGATAGAAATTAAGAAAAGTGAAAAACTACTTGAGTATAAATATCTGACTAGATAAGGAAAAGAATCATCAGAATTTTCGACAGCTGTGGTTGATTGGTTGCAAATCCCATTCTCATTATTAGTTATTCCGATATGGATATTAGCTGGCCATGGATATAATTCCTCATGCAAAGAGAAGGTTTAAAGGGCTACATTGTTCGTATCGCATCTAGACTTGATATCAATGCTAACATAAATTCTATAGCTTTGGTCTTCCGTCGCTATGCCTTGTATCTGGTTGAATGGCTTTGTCTTGATCCCCGGCCTGAAGCCTTTCCTTGAGAACTCGCTTTAAGATCTTTCCGGAGGGGCTTTTGGGAATCTCATTAATCCATACTATCCCTCCCCTGAGCCTCTTATAGTGGGACATTCGATCTGCTACATACTGCAACAATATCTGTGCAGCTCTCTCGTTGGCTGCCTTTATCGGGTCCTTCAGAACAACGTAGGCAAGCGGCACTTCGGACGCAATATCTTTGTTGAAAACTCCCACTACAGCTGTGTCTTCAACCAGTGGATGCCCCTGTAAAAGTGCCTCTAGTTCCGCCGGTGCAACCTGATAGCCTTTAAATTTGATCAAATCCTTCAAACGGTCGGTTATGTAGAGATTGCCATCCTTGTCCTGATATCCAATATCCCCAGTTTTGAACCAGCCTGATGGAGTCAGGCAACGGGCAGTAGACTCAGGTCTCTTGTGGTAACCTTTGAATATAGTTGGACCACGAATACATAATTCACCTTCCCCGTCTGTAACAACTTGGTCATTCTCGTCCGTGAATTTTACCTCGAGTCCGGTCAAGGGCGGCCCATTGGACCCTACACCGATGTCCCACTGGTTCCACCTCTGCAAAAAGTAAAAATACTCAGCATTCGCTGAAGTTGCGTGTGTGAAGACATTAGAAAGGGCCGCTGAAGTGGGCTACTCACTTGGATATGGCAAACTCCTGTCGTTTCGGTAAGGCCGAAAGCTTGTCGAACAGGAATTCGCAACCGCCGGTATACGGCTCGCACCAGTTCCTCCCCAAGCGGAGCGCCACCAGAGGTTACCATCCGTAATGAAGACATATTTGCCCCTTGGAATTTGGGATCCTTTCCCATGTATAGAACTACGGGAGGAGCAACATAAGCGTGCGAGATGGAATAGTCCTCAACATGGCGCCTGAAGCTATCCACGGTGAACTTCTCCATGATCACAGTCCGTAGGCCCAAATGCATTGGCAAATGAAGTAGGCAAATAAGGCCTATATTTATTTTCGTTTTTCTTTCTTAGCATATATCAAGCCTCATATCATTGGTGTATCTAGTAAAAGAAACTCGATAGATCTTACCATATATGTGATATGTAGGGAGAAGTGCCAAAATTCGATCAGACTTCCAGTCGAGGTACTTACCCTCGACATGGCTCTGTAGTGTAACAGCCGAGACCACATTTGAGTGCGTAACCATCGCTCCTTTCGGAGTCCCCGTCGTTCCGGACGAGTAGACTAGGAATGCCACATCTACTAACGGATTGATTACTGGACGCACGCCTTTTGGAGGCGTATTCTGCAGCATTTGTGTGATGTGCATAAGCCGGTGAGGAATAGCATCAGCTTCATTTCCGCCTACGACCAATACCCTCTCCAAGGATATTCCTGCAGCTTTTGCAGCCTCGACAGCAACCGGTATAAGAGAAGCGTGGACGACGATGCCCTTGCTTTCGCTGTCAAGTAAGTGATATCGCAATTCATTGACTTTGTAACCGGGGTTCGCAGGCGACACTATTCCGCCCGCCCAATGGCATCCCCATACCAGAGCTGGTGTATCTACAGAATTTGGCGAAAGAATTACGAGAACGTCTCCTTTCTTCCAGTCCCAGTTGGCTTGCAAATTGGCCCCAAAGCTTTGGGCGGTGGAGCGAATATCAGCATAGGTCCGTCTACTGTTAGTTGTAGCCGACTCAAATATAACTACATAAAAGACAAAGGTTAGGTTCTGTGTTTATCAATCAACAAAGAAAAGAAAGAAAAGAAAGAAAAGAAAGAAAAGAAAGAAAATTGAACGAAGTCCAGTATGCTTGCCTTGTGAATCGGGGAAAGGCTTGCCAGCTTGGTCGAAAAGGAATGTCCAAATATCTTTAGTGTGGGGAAAGGCCGGAATTGTCTCCGCCATTGTAATCAACTCCACGAAAAGCTCGACCGCTGATTAGGAGAGGATAGAGCTGTGCTAATAGGTCAAGAATTTTCAAAACACTTGAAATATGTTGCTATGAACTGGTCTCACTATGTTGGGGTATTCAGGATGCTTCGACGTAATGTTTCCTGGCCGGAATGTTGAGCATCCCCTCGGTTGGAAAGCCCAAGCCAAAGACCTAGAGGCACATCTTCCGATGCTGGCTTCCCGCGTGCAAGGCCTCGGTTAACACCGATTACTAGTTCGCCCTTGCTTTATGTACTGTTCCGAAATTCCGAAAACTCGGAATCTGAGCTCTCATGGTAGTGCTCGCGGCACCCAATGACACAGCCAACAAATAGTATGAGATGATGGGAGGTTTATTAATAGCGAAACACTTGTCTCTTTGTCTATCTGCTGGCGTAATTCTTCCCTCCACTATTTGTTAATCGACTAATTGATCACATTATTATCGAACTCTTCAGAAAGTTATATTTTCTTCTCCCTCTCAAGTAACTTTTTCTTGTTCAGTGGCTAAATCTAATAGAAGGATTTATTTATTTAATGAATTGTAGATAAACTTCATATTCGGTTCTTCTTATTTTGTATATGACTTGTAGACATTGATAAATGCGCACTTGGAATTGATGTCAAGATTTGTTCATCTGGCCGCGGCTCCAGGCGGGTCCAGAATTAGTTGGGGTATGCGCAAGTGGCAACAAGAATGAAGAAACTAGTCGTAAAGTGGACATTCAAAACTTTAAGGATGTGGAGATGGACGGGACTCGGGCGATTCATTTGACCATCGTCGTCGCAACTCTTGGACGACTAACTCTATTGACATCATTGACATCCCAGTCCGTAGAGAAGGGTAACAACCAAATGTTAATCGCTTTGAATATGAGTCTAATCCACTCCAATATGTCGCAAGGGAAGAAAGGGTGGTCATTTATTCCGCTCATGGGGGTGACTAAAATTCCCTTCCTTGTACAAATAACTGGCTACAACATAATTCCACAACAGATAGTAACATATTATACTACCAATAAAAGGATTCTCTTGATAACCATAGATATAAAACAGTGCATAAAAAAAAACTGGAAAATAACAGTACATAATATTACTAGATATTATTTTTTTTAAAAGTAGAATAACAAATTTTTATATTTTCATAATTATAAACTAAAGATTTCTACGCTTTAGGGACACTTCAACTATTTTTCCGGCTTGGATCCGTACCAGAGTCCCACACCACACCTTATTTATTTAATCTTCTCGCCTTATGAGCTTGCCTTCGTCATCTTCTTGACACTGTCATCGCAAGTCCAGCTGCAACACCCTCAGGAACGATCTTCTGAGCTGGTCACAGAGGTATCAACATCGCTCTTGAGACTAATATCAGCACCCGTCACCACCTACTGCGCATCTTCCAACAAACAGGACCATCGGATCCTGGTATTTGTGTCTAGAATACCGCCAGCATCATGTCTTCGACTGTCAACTACTCGTCAGCGGCATCATCTAAGGCCTCCACACCGTATGTGATTCTTACTTAGGTCTAGTCCTCACCCTGATGCGGTACTGACTCCTCTATGAATATGTAGACGCCCAAAGGGTCCGACCATCCAGGTCGAGTTCGGAGGTCAGAAGGTCGATGTACCAAAAGGCGGGTACTATGACCGTTACCGTATGAACCCAAACCTGGACGAGGTAGCCCGCGACCCAGCTGTCGGACCCGACATTGACTTCTTCTGGAAGATCCCAAAGAAGCTGGTCGATTCAAGGGTCGGTCAGGTATACGCACCCAACTTCTATTATCGTACTAGGAGCGTCCAACTCGTCTTTCTCGCGCCTCTCGACCGCTTGAAGTCTAAGCTCCCGTCGCCCTTGGAGCCCATCACGGCGTTTCCTGGTTACGGTTTGGTCGCGTTGACGTTTTACTCGTACCTTGTTTGCGATAACGATCCTTATAACGAGGTCTCGATCGCTATCATCGTCCGTCAGCCGGGTAAAGGTAGTTACAGCATGACCCAACTGCTCAGCTCCATATGGAATCGAACCTTCTACGGATACGTGCTCGCTCTACCCGTTGATACCGAGATCGCTCGAGTACGAGGTGTATACGGATACCAACTCCCGAAATGGCTCGCCAACATTAATCTGGAGATGGACGATCACAACATAAAGGCCGACATCACCGCGACCGATGGGACACCGGATCTGACGCTGGATGTACCCCTTCCGGCTCTGAAGAAGATCCCGTCGCAATCTTCGATCGGGACCAACAACGCGATCAACAAGATCGACGGGAAATGGTACCAGGTGGAAGTGCAGGCGAACCCACTCCTAGCGGCACAATGTCTTTTCCCTAGGAACGTTAAGCTCTCTCAGAGTGACGGTCCATTGAGTAAACTCCTCAACGAATTAGGTGTTTCGACCATTTTACGGATGGACGTCCTCAAGGATGCGCAGATGGTCTTGAACATGCCCACACCCTTGAAGGTGTTCGATAATGTCAAGTCTTGAAGATCACCATACGTCCTGCTGCCAGTCAGGCAACGAGTATGCTGACCGTAACGTATGGCTTCCCGCTAACAATAAGACGGGGATGGCTGACATTGAGGTATCCACAGAGTGCTTATATCAGGATTGTCAATATAAACATTATATAACAACTTTAATAAGGCTCCTTAAAGAAAAGTTCACCGCATTATCAATTGATATAAAAACTATTGGGGATTTATTGAAAATGGGACATAAGGATATTTGGCGTATAGAATTCCTTAATGCTTTTTAAGCACTAAGTTTTAGATTGTGAAATATATATATTTACAGAATTTAAAATCAATTGGTTTTCTTTGCTATCATTTCTTTATATTCTATCTTACCTTTTATTTCTAGAGACCTCAAACACTGGTAAGGGCTTATACATGGATTAGTGTTCTAACTATCTTAGCAATCTCATTTAGCAAAGGGATATACTCCTCACTGTATACTTAATTTTTATTAACCTGTCATTTCCGGTTTTTTAGTTCTCCCTACCCAACTAGAAAGGTTGAGCCATCAGTCACCCGTCTATGGATATTTGGAGGAGAGCTGTTGAGTTGTTTCTTATTTTGATATATGGATAGTTAGGAGAGATAGAGCGAAGAGAAGACAGAAAAAATGCTTAGCATTTATGCGCATGCTTTTCAATGATGGCATCTTCAAAATGAAAACGACGGGAGGTTTTCTCCATCCTTTGCTTAATTAACATTATGGGAAATGGTAATTTTACAAACCGTAGAGTGAAAAAGGGAAAATAGGATACGAAAAGAGCGATATTAATATTCACATGTTCCGTCAAACTTCCTCGGATATAGTTTGACAGACCAGATTTTGGTCTTCTGGTTATGGTTACCTAAGAAACTTGTGCTACGATCCAGAGTTATCAGGGAAGAAACCAAATAAAACTAGTCACTTGAATGAGGTGCTTAAGCTTCGGCTAAAATAGCAAAGAAGGGGCCTGCGCACTGGAGATACGATATCTCAACGACCTTTGAACCTGCTGCTTAGGACACAATAGCGGCCGCCGTTTCAATACCATTTTGCGAGATACGACTGAGCATGTCTAATGCGAAACAGCTTGATAAGATACGACAAATAGATAATATAGATAACCGTGATTTTGTAGCTAATTTCCCTTATCCCTATTTGATATATCCAAGTATGATGTCTAGTTTTGTCAAAACTTCTGTCAAAAACTTCGGGATTGGGTTGTATCGCGTAGATAGCCTGGTTCAGTGCTGAAACTGGATACGGGTCCACACCTTTATGGAGATAGAAAAGCGGCTGTCCCTGTTGTCTGACGGCCGGGGGAACTATTGCTCCGCATCGGATCTCGGCATTCAATTGGGCTTGCAACTGTAGATTACGCTTTTTGTCATCAATACGTGATTCTGGTTCTACAACTATTTACCTAAGAGCTAAGAGAATTAGCTGTTGGATATTCTCATTATATCTACCCCACTTTTTGGACTAGTTTCGGCCACTTCTATATAGCAGCCAACACGATTATTTTCTTTTACAACAGATTGCCATTTTCATAAGGCGCAGCTAGCTTACATTAGAACGTATGTGGGTATCATTGTTTTTTAACGGTTGGAACTTCAATGACGACGATGAAAGGGTTGGAAAGAATTGGAAATCTGATCAAATAGCATTAAGGTGGAATTGTTATACGGATGGCGAGAAATGGATGTCAAACATAGATTGGTTTCCTTCCCCCTGAGAAACGCTTTTGGAGAAAACTTCATGGCCGTCTGTATTAGCTTGTGTAGACCTTAGATTATTCGCCGACCTTCTGAATTGTTGTCGCCCTGCTATGGTGCTCTTCGCGATTACGCTTAACGCGATGACCGAAGAAACCCAGAGAGAGGGGGAATGGTAAGAACACACCACTGACGACTGCACCGAAGATAAGAGAGTTCGTCATGTTGTATGGAGGGTTTGCCGATGGTCCAGCAATCAATGCTGACTGAACGACTATAAATACAACACCGAAAACTTGTCCCCCTAACCACGATATTGTACTGGAAACTTCTGGGGAATAAGGAAAAGTCGTCTCGGCCAGAAGCTCCAATACAACAGGAGATAAACCGAAAGACATAGCTCCCATAAGAGCGCTAACCACATATATTGGCCATATACCCAAGCTGCTAGCCGGTGCCCAGATTAAGGCAATATACATTACCGCAGAAATCGGGAACAATATTCTCACAGTCCATAGATGCCACTTGAATCGATCGTTGAGCGGGGATATAATTGCTGTACCGACAATTCCGGCGCCTATCAGAATTCCGCCGGCGATTCCAGCTTGTGTCTCAGTGGCTCCATAAGGTATAATGGCTTGGTTAATCAGAGTTACAACAGTGTTAAAAAGAGCCACATAAATTGCAAATGGTAGCATCAAGAGCCAGAGCTCTCGCGTTTTTATAATCCCTTTCAACGCGTCGAACACTCGGATTTTTTCAATCACCTCGGTAGACGACGGAGGAGTAGGCGGTTTGGATGGAATGAAGAAAGAAGGAATTGCACCAACAGTCGACTTATGATATATTAGATTAGATCTTTTGTATCAATCTTTTCCACCAAATGGGTTGATGGTGATAATCACTCGTCACTCACTATAATTGAAATAACCAAAACCATTTGAGGCACTTGATCTGGAGTTGCCGCAAGAGATGGGTTGGCAAACTGAGCAATAGCGGCACCGAGGGGATTTGCAAGAGTAGCAATTGCTGTGGCACTGGTGCGGCCATTGCTGGAGAACCAAGTATCACTGTACTTGCTTGGTGTCGATAGACAGAACGGCTGGGCTAGCCCAATCACTACTTGACCAAACATGACGACTCCATAGTTGTTGACGCGTTCTATTGTGCCGACATATCTGATCCAGTTTCCGACGAAAAGTAGCAGAGAGGTAATAATATTAGTTCCTTTGAGACCAAACCGATCAACCGCATGGAAGACAAATCTGATATAGTCAGCAGTCACCCCAGTCATGTGATGCTGGCAGCACCTATACGGACAGAGGTACTTACAGAGCACTGCCACAATAGGCAAGCATAAAAGCCGTGCTTAACCAAGTGATTGCATTATCGGATACACCCAGATATTCTGATGCGGTTGTAGGTACTACAGTATATGTAACCCACTGCCATAAAGTAAGTAGAGTTGCAGGGATTCAAGAGAGCCAGGCTACTTACATCCCAACTGACAATAATATTCAGCAAAATAAGCTGAATCAGCCCAAAATATCGACGTTTATATAATCTAATTACTCTTGTTTCCTCACCACCATTTCGGCCGTTTTCTATGGTTGACGGAGAGGGAGAGGTCGACTTTTCATTAATGTCTTTGCTGAAAATAGTCATCTTTGTCTCCGTGTTTTGCGACATCTTGTTTATACTGAGAATTGGTCAATTTAACAAGCGTAATACATCAGTTGATGGTGAATGAATATATGACAAATAAATCATAATGAGCACTGGGAGAACTCTTTGCATATAAAGCCAAGCGCTCATCTGTCTGAGTGTCATGTTGTGTTTACCCCAGGTAGTAGAAACCATCATTACTGGTTATGTTACGTCTTGGGTCCCATAAAAAAATGCGGGGTATAAATTGTCAGTCGCCTGAGCGAAAACGCCCGAAGTCTGTAGTGACTTTGGTTACTGAACTTAAATCATCGTATCTCGGAAGCCGCTAGAGTAACGGACCACCGAGCACTAGGGTAAACAGAACTGTGATACCACCGCCTATATAAACAAAATACGTAAACCTATTGATAAGACAAAAGAGGTAATTTTAAACTGTCAGATGTTGTCAGTAAATTTCATTTGGTGGTGATAGAGGTACCGATCCTACTGGGCTATAATGACCCGTTAGAGTTAGGGTCTTTCGATGGCTATCACTCATGCTTCTTTTTAAACTTCCTAGTTGAAACTTCAATACCATAGTCGATCATGCTAACGTCGGCTAGGTCATCGTTATACTTAACTTGAGGTAAAACTTTGGATGGATCATCCACGAATGGCAGCTAATCCGCTTAGAAAATGATATATTTTTGAGAAACTTCAATGTCTAGCCTTCTGGTATTTTCTACGACACGTATCAGGACTGTAATATGGAGAAATATCTGTTAATAGTGAAATTACTGTTTCTTTAACCCTTTCTCTAAATTTTTGTCAAGGGAAGCTCCCGCCACTCAATTAAATATCCATGAAATGCGATATCACAACCATGTATGGGAGAGCTCAAAAACCGCTTTGTCAGACAAGTATGAGAACTTCCAGTCAAAATCATCATCGTATATCTAGTATGACCTAGTAACTTTGATAAAGTTGCACTTCCTAAATCGTCTTTAAGTCTTATAAGGACTACCAAGTAATATGGATTCTGTTCAGAATATAAAGTGATAGTCAAACCAATTAATGCTCCTTATGATGAATACTTAATGGACTCTGGGGGTAAAAGAGTCATGCCTAGCTGTTGATGCACTTCGACTTGAAAGGGTGCAAACGGAAACATCTCTCCATCCACACTTAGTGAGCCATCTGTCCGCATAGGAGAGACTCGGTATGCTGCCACCTTTCGGTAATGGACCTCACGCATTCGTACATGGGTTCCCTTCGAAATTTCTAGCAAAATCTTAAGGAACTTGAGGCTGCCGATGCCCGCGTCTACCAGTATCATGTCCACCATTCCATCGTCAAGCTTCGCGGAAGGAAAAACCTTTGAGGTAGCATCTACGAATGGAAGCTGACCAGCAAAAATAATCGCCGAATTTGCATGGCGCTCAAGTGTCCAGCCATTGGGAATCTCATCAGAATCTGTACCGAAGCGGAGGCAAGGCAGGGCTTGATTGGTAGATTCATTGGAGATCATTGAGTCCTTGGGCTCGTTTCCCATTTCATAATTCCGATCACCATTTGAATCCTTATGAATTGCTATATCACATCCGTACACTGGAGGGTTGAAAATTCGTTGTAAGAATCCAACCAGGAAACGCGCACCCCCCAAGTGCCGCATATGCTCAGTCTGAAGATCGCACTCAGCCAGATACCCGAAGTTTTGCGATAGAAACGAGATCCGCCTTTTGTCTCCTTGTGTAACTGACATGAGATCAATTGAATGCGGAACACCCTTGATCGTATATAGCGCAGCGTGGGAAATGCTGGTGGTCTCGAAGAGACTGACACACATTGCGTTTCCCGAGCCACCAGGCAGCTGAATAACGGGAATATTTCTCAATATCTGTCCAGCATCTTCCCGTTGTGCTAGACCATTGAGAACCTCGTGAGGGAGGCCGTCCCCAGAACAGCAGGCGATGACATCCCAAGAATTAATATCCGGGTCCTCCCTGACCAACTCTTGCGCATGACCAGAATATTTTGTTGTTTGAACTTCCACACGACAATGCGCTGCGGTAAAGAGAGGATCGGCATATTCATAGTAACCCTTCACGGCAAACCCCTTGCCGGAGAATGGGTTCAAGAAAACCTTTATGCTTTTCCCAATCTTAGACCCTCTGTATGCCCGCGAGGTAAGCGAATCAGCCCACCCTTGTATAGTCTGGGATGTACAAGTCTCAATTGTGTGAAAGCATAATGTTTTGACATGCAGGCGATCTCGTCTCTCCTTTGCATATTCAATGCAAAGTTTTCCCTCGTTAAATTGAACCCAGAGAATAAAAACATATCGAATTGTTCGTGTTATTCGTCGCGCAACCCAATCTACGTAGCGGTCAATTTGTTGAGGGCTGCAATCAAGGGTGATTTTTTCACGATTTATCTACTTACTTTGCTTGTAAATAATATTCAGGCATGTAGTGTCCAGCTCTAGTCGTGCGGTTTGAACCTCAAGGGAGGCTTTTTGATCCTCGAATTCCATATTCCATCCTCTGGTACATTCTACATGGTTAGATATGTCGATGTAGTGAAGTTTTCTCTTTGAAAAGAAGAAGTTTCAGGTCCATTTGAATGGGTCACCTACTGGGCGTATAAGCCGAAATCCGAGATACGAAGAGTTGACTGAGTTACTGTAACATTTTGAAACTTCAAGCAGTCAAATGAAACTAATTCGTAATTGCCAGGGAAACCAAAAACCAGCTTCGGCTTGTATACATTAAGAATCAAAATACGAGAGAACTAGCTAGTATTTTTATAATCGCTTCCGAAAGACTATCTTCCTGAAGAATCAGCCAGGTCAAACTAATAAACTGATATAATCCATAAACGACTGGATACTGGTTTCCTATTGTGTCAACCTTGAGGTTTGGCGGTGTAAATCTTCTTGAGTGGCAACACCATCAGAATATCTCGGACGGAGACTGTCTAGCAACGGAACTCAGATAATAGCATGAATACAGAAATTCTGACTCCGCTAGTACTAACCTAATGTTGAATACAACTATTGGCGTATGAACATTTACGCCGCTCCTCTCAGTCCCAAGCACGGCTGTCGGGGTCTGGAATTATCTATCATTCCCAATCAATTAGCACTACAGCCCATAAAGGAAATAATAACCCCGGGCCGTGATTTCATTTCGATATCATCTTTGTTATCTATCAAGGAACAAGACAGGAGTGGCTTTGAAATATATGCCGGAGATAAGTCAGGAATATGATCATGAGACTGCCATTGGTACTCTTTGTCAAAGCACTAAAATTATCATTTTAAAGGATCTTGGACATTTTTATATGATGGTAGAGATTTGCGATAAATCCAGCCATACAGACGCTTCTCAAGGTTTTATTGATTCTGCTCTTAATATACTACTACAGTACAAGAATAATTTATCTCTTTACAGAAGTAAGCACGTATAATTCTAATACCGCTAACAATAATTGGTTCAATCTCAAGGCCAAACAAATAAAATGTTCTAGATAAACCTATTCACATAATCCAATAGGTCGATTGTTTTATTTTAGACAATGATCGTGATTTGAAATGAGTCCGTGGAAACCTGGAATCTGGCACTGTGCTAGTACTTTGCGAGTCTAGGTTCAAATAATACAATTCCGTGATTCCCTGACGCTCTGTAAAATCTAGCATTTCATGATACTTGGCTCCAACGTGATCGACGCCATGACTGTCATCCGATAAACAGAATCGCCCGTTCATTGCCAGAAATTCCTAATTAATAGTAAGTAGCAAAGACAATATGAAGAAAGGAAGGTAATCTTATTACCTGACAAATTTCTGCAGCGGGATAAGGCGCCTGCAGCCCTTTTCTTAATGCAGCAGAGTTCAGTTCCAATAGCCCACCATAACTGTTAATCAATTTCAGATTCCTTTGAATTTTCTCCCATACACCTTTTCCTCTCTTGAATCCCCCTTTGGTTAGATTCGGATCGTCGCTTTGAAGTCGAATGAGGTCAAAATGACCGACAACCATTGGCTTCAAATGAAGTAACATGTTGAAGACTTCGTCGAAATAATCCTCCCAGAGTCTTTCATCAGTTCCTCCGGACTTTTCTCTCGCTCGCACATACATTTCGCGATTCCAATCTATAGGGATCCCATGCATATGATGTACCGATCCGACAAAAAAGTCATAGGAGAATCTAGAGAGAGAACCTTGGATCAGCGTTAAAGATCCAGGATTCCTAATCCACTCCGATTCAAAGCCAATAAGAATGTGGATCTGCGTGGAATATTTTACACGCAGCTCGTTCGCTTTTCTGAAGTAATTTTCTTCATTGGTAAGTAAAGACTGAAAAGTTACACCACTAGCGATCTGTTAATGCCTCGTTAGCTTGCCAATATTGAAGAAATAGAAGTGAAATAGGGAAGACCTCTTCTGGGTAAAGATCCTCATCCGACCGAGGCATATGTTCAGTCAAGCAAAATACTTCCATATGCTTAGCTATTGCGGTTTGAATCATCTCCTCCAGGGTATTGTAAGCATGGCTCGGGCAGAATTCACCCGAATGCGAGTGATGAGAGAACGGCATCTTGTCCAGTAAGTACTGGTATTTGTTTCCCGATCGGGAAGTTTAATATTTTGCCAGTACAATGCTTCCTTTTATGCAGAGAGGAGGGTAGGGCCGATAAGTTTACCCGAATCAGTCGAAAAGCTAGCTCTATTAAATAATATTTAACATATTATCTTTTTACAATATTCGGATGTACGCAATTGGAAAACCTAACAGAACGTTAATTAAATGGGGTCGAGTGAGGGCTTACATGATAAAGAGGGGTTTAGGTCGCGATACTTCTAATACAATACACGATGATTGAATTTTCAACTTACGGCTACGTAATTGGTCTTCTACCCGCACTGCATCAGAAAGGTAGTAATTACAACAGATGCTTTCGGGATTCGGCGTTGGGCTTGATCCAAGATCGTAAACCGAGAACCGGCGTGGAGTAGTTACGGAAGTCGATAAGAGTACGGGGATTACGAAACCGATGACTTAACAATATGTAAGTCTTTTTATATCAATACGGATATTTAGTCAATGAAAGGAGAATTAAATCTTCACCAGTTCTTGCCCATAAATTCGAAATCTGTTTATGAGGACAGTATTTGGAAGCATGGGATTCATTCCACTCTTATCGAAAGCGAATATGACAAGTTTGAGGACTCTAAATCAGACATGGAGAATTCACAACTTCGGACTGGTATCAAACATCATCACTGCCTTCTTCCTGCTTCGCTGTATCAACAAGCTATATTACAATATTAGCAAATATGGCATATTCGGGAGTATTAAAAGGATTTATTATTCTATTGGGCTCGGAATACTTTCAATAAAATATCCCAAGACAAAAACGCGAGGAAATGTCGATAAGCAGATTCTAGCAAGACTGGAAGAAAAACTCATTCAGCGAGACCCTAATTCTAAGGGATATTTAACTTTACCGAAAGAAGGATGGAGCGTGATCGAAGTGAATGATGAATTGGAGAAACTACATGCTATGGATCATACAAGATGGGAAGACGGTCGTGTTAGTGGTACCGTGTATCATGGCGGCGATGATCTACTGAGTTTACAAACCGAAGCCATAGGCAAATTCAGTGTTTCAAACCCTATCCATCCCGATGTGTTTCCTGGTGTAAGAAAAATGGAGGCCGAGATTGTTGCTATGGTTAGATTATTTCTTGTAGTACTTTGTCTTAATCTTGGCTAACAAATATCTAGGTATTGGCCTTATTCAATGGCCCTTCTGGTGGAGTAGGCGTCACGACAGCTGGCGGCACCGAATCCATTCTCATGGCTTGTTTGGCAGCTCGGGACAAGGCTTCTGTTGAGCGCGGTGTCACAAACCCCGAAATGTGAGTGTATTTCTTCGCTTTTGAGTAACATATTTAACTAGTGAGAACCAGGATTATTCCAGAGACAGCACACGCAGCCTTTTATAAAGCTGCAAAGTATTTCAATATCAAACTGCACGAGGTTTCCTGTCCTGCACCAGATTATAAAGTCGATATCCTTTCAGTCCGTCGTTTGATCAATCGCAACACAGTGCTATTGGTTGGCTCAGCTCCGAATTTTCCTCATGGAATTGTCGATGATATTCCCAGTCTCTCAAACCTGGCCGTAAAAAACAAGATTCCACTTCACGTCGATTGCTGTTTAGGATCATTTGTCGTTGCTTTTCTCAAGCAAGCCGGATTTCCATCCCCTTACGAAGATGAAGGTGGATTCGACTTTCGTCAACCTGGTGTGACCAGTATCAGTGTTGACACCCACAAATATGGCTTTGCTCCGAAAGGCAACTCCGTGCTTTTATACCGGGATCGCTCGTTTCGAAACTATCAATATTTCATTCTTCCGAACTGGTCCGGTGGTGCTTACGCCTCTCCTTCGATGGCAGGGTCCCGTCCAGGAGCGTTGATTGCGGGCTGCTGGGCCAGTCTAATGGCAATCGGAGAGTCAGGCTACATAGCCACTTGTCGTCAGATTGTAGGAGCCGCAAAGAATCTGGAGCGTGCTATTTTAAATGATCCAATTCTTTGCGGCAATCTTTGCATTATCGGCCACCCTATGGTCAGCGTCGTCGCGTTCGCAAGTAAGAACGGTCAAATTGATACATATGATATTGCCGATACAATGTCCGCAAAAGGTTGGCATCTAAATGCATTGCAGTCCCCGCCAGCTATACATTGCGCGTTCACAAAACCGAGTGCCGAGAGTGTCGACGTTCTTGTTTCCGATCTACGCGATGCAGTAGCCAATGAACTACACAAAATCGAGGAACGTAAAATAAAGGGGGGTATCAATTCACGACAACCAGGGGATACATCTGCTCTTTATGGTATCGGGGGAAGCATTTCTGGGAATGTTGTTCTTAGTCAATTCGCCGAAGGATTCCTGGATACATTATATAAAACCTAGCCCATCTAACGGGTGACTGCGAATATTTCCAAGGCGTGTATTATATTTATTATATGCTTGAAGACTATCCTAACATGACATTTAGTAAAATAAGTTTCTTTTCCTTCATAAATTTACAGTTGTAATTGGTGTAAAATAGGTATAAAGAAATGCCACTATGGATGTTCCATACCAGTGTACATCATACTCATACAAGTCCTTGTTCCTCGATACCAGGAAACCTGAATTTACGCACTTTCAGATATACTGATCGATTTATCAATAATGCACTGTAAAAATAGACTACAAAATTATCCAAAACGTGTTTTGTGTTGCACAACGACGTCTGGAAACATATTATCGAAAAATCAAATGAAAATCCGGCACTGGAGCCCCAAAGAGATCTCGCACCTCCAACCCAGGAAATATCATATTGTCAACAGAACCACCCATGTCCATTGGAAAGCTTAAAGGCTCAAAAAACTCCGTTTCTGTGCGTTCTAGAGGATTTGGACTCTGTGAAGAAAATATATCAGAAATCGCCAAATCAAGCCTTTTGAATATTGAGCATTGCTTACATCAGATATTTCAGGGTTTGGTAATGAATCTGGGTGTGACAATGTAGGTTCTTGAAAGCCAACCCCATCGTCATTTTGTCCACCGATTATCGAATTGTCGACGAATGAGCGACTTATATAGGCGAATTTAGCAAGCATAGAGCTTGGAAAGCTACCTTTCGTCGCATACTCAAGCGAACTGAAATATCCTGCAGCACTTTCTAGTAAAGCAAGATTTCCCTGGGTCTCTTTATGAGTCGGGTTATGTATAATAAGATCGAATAAAACAAACAAGGCCGACAAAGGCATGAAGACAAGAATACTACCCATTTTTAGTGGAAGGGGCTCTGAGAACGGGAAGAGCTCTTACTGAAGTGGTATAAATGGTTCAATATAGATTGTTCTAGTCAGCTCAATAACTGCTCGGGCGGATTCCATCATATCTCTTGAAGCGAAGGATTGTGGGGAGCTTTGGTCTCCGATGATGTGAACCCTTAATCTGCACAAGGCTATTCGAAGTTCGTGATAGTGATAGTGAATACGAAGGGCAGCTATGACCTCGCAATAGTTTTGGAGAACATCGATCTGGAGCTTCTCGCCTGGTCGGAATTCAATGGGAATGGCTTGTCGCTGATTTTCCAAAAGTTGTTCAATTTTGGTAATTTTGGACAAATAGGTCGGAACCGAGTTGGTTGTCGCACTGATAGAAAACAACTCGGTAAAGGTTAATGAATAAAGTCTAGCAATTCGAATCGAAGCTAGAAACCAATCAAACCCTTTGAATATCGCCTCTGGTATTGAGGGGATTGGAGAACCAATGTCGCAATCCAATATCAACTGTTTTCATTTAGTCTCGAATTGAAAAGAAGGAGGTTCTCTTACAGATGTGGTGCCATGATTAAATGAGACGGTTTTCTCAATATAGTATACGACCCAAAATGCTCGAGAACGCGCATCCGCGTCTACACTCGTAGTAGTTTTGCTCAATCCAGCTCTTTGAGCTGCTCGTGCTGCCTCAGCTATAACTTTTCCTTGAATCTGGAGGCATGAAAGATTTAGAGAGAATATAGCCTGCTTTGTATTCAATAACATAACCTGATAAAGATTTTGAACATCTTACCATCGCCGTGAGCGCCTATAAAATAAGGTAAGACAAACGTCAGTCAAAATAACGCAGTTGAGAAATTGCTCTTCATACCTGGACTTCTGCAAGGCCTGTATTCAGCAGCATTATCCTCGGAAATAGTTCAAGAGCAACTCGAAATAATTTCCAGGCTTCTCCACAACCGGGGTCGAACGAGCCACCACCTTGGAACTTGCATCCTAAGGCGAGAACTGTGTAGTATAGAGCCTCCCATGAAGTATTGGAAATGATATCATGTCTGTGATCTGGATTAAATGCTCTATGTTCGAATTCTACTCGGTCCAGGAATGGATGTAGAGGATGGACTTGTTCGAAATACACTGTGGGCACGTGTATTAGCAAAATCTTTTGTAGAATGAGAAGGAGTATTAACTTGCCCTGAATAAAGAGTCTAGCTTTTTCTGTCGAAACCCTGGGTCTTTCCTCATATCGTTTCCAAATACTGGAGGGCCCTAAGCTGCGATGAAGCCCATCCAGTCGCGATTTCACCATGTCAGATATGTATTTGATCAATACTTCGACTGCATTATTTCCTATGAGATTGGATAGAGTCTTGAGCCGTGTTTCTGAAAAAAAGCTCATACTAGAGGTAGCAACTGAATGCAAGTACGTTAGAGAAAGATTTGGGGGAAACATAAATTTCGGGATCCTCAATAACGTACGATAATTCTCGTTCGCCTTCAGAATATTTAGTAATGTCAATATCTGTAAAACTTGATGTTGCAACTTACTCCCAAAAGCCATGATGAATTTTGTGTCCTGCCTGTAGATTGTCGTGTATGGAGTAGTTGATCGACATAGAGGAGAGAAATAGTCGCATTTTCTACTGAACTTGGAGGGCTCAGTACTGGCGACGAGTCTTCTATATCATTTACTTAGAAAATACACCTCTGCCTTGGGTTTTGCGGTGCAAACCTCTAGTAGACGAAGACGAAACCACTGCTTGGTCCGGCCGGTCGACAGAAGGGTTATCAGTGCCATTTTTTAATTGCGACCCAGATACTGGATGCTTGAACTTCCTCCTTAATGGACTAAAGACACATATATAGCCCCTTTTCTATTTGACTATTACTTAATTATTGCCTCTTTATCGGAATAATCACATACTCGACAATTTATGCACGCCGTCTCCGGTGGTTGAGGTTCTGCGGCAACGTTCAGTTTGTATTAAATCTGCATTGGGACTAGACGTACTGGAGCATCTGACTTTACGCAACTTGCAGTTGTCGCAAACAAGGGAAAGCCGCTGGTGAAGCATGGCAGCCTCGACCATTGAGGCATTGCGTGCTCTCGGATTTCCGATCGTTGAACAAGAGATCGGTCGCTTCTCGTAGCAGATATTCTGACCAGACCGGAAAGCGGCGGCTCTGGATGTTAATGGTGAGAATGTTATTCCCGGTTTGCGGAATTCGGGATCCGGTGCTCGGTATTCGGCTTTCAGATCATTCTGCCAGCATGCCGCGGACTTGGGAGCGGGGAAGCTTTATCTTCAAAGTTATCCGGGCCAGTAGTAGAATTATTATAAGTGATCATAATAAGCGATATCAATATTGATAAGACTGTTGTAGCAGATATTCTTCAAAAAAACCTCCAAGTATGTGAACAATGGTCTGTATATTAACGATATAACTATCTACATAAAACGCTTGAACGCTAGCAAATATAGAGCACATGGCAAAAAAGCCAACCAGCCTAGACAACCGAACTCGCTTATCCCTATGCAGTAATCTTTATAATCGCAGACAAATCCCGTTCCGTGAAGCAAATCGTACTCAAGAAAGCCGGCAGAACCCGTACAAGGGCATCGAAGAAAGTGACAAGCGTTTGTATCACCGCTACACTGCATAGTAGAATGTAGTTGTATAAGTGTGACGCTTGGCGCATTTCCGGCATGAGATTCGCACAAGTTAGCAAGTCGGATGATGCTCTCCAGGCAAGTGGCTCCTCTAGCGGTAGATGGCGGTTGGTAGCCCTGGTGTCTGTCTCGTGTCGAGGTTTTTCTAGTTGTAGATTCCTTCGTGAACCACGCTTACGTAGATGCTCGATCGTCTCGACCCGCGCGGTATCGCGTGTGATCTTCTCTAGTGGCTGGGCATTGGTTCGTAAACTGCGATCACGTGGATGCTGCTGGCTCTGCTGACGCGCCTCTACCTCGAGTGGATGTGAAACCTCTACCGGTTCGCGAATGGAGGCTTCTGGTCCATATATGCGGCGTTGGTGCCTCGTGCTGCTGTTCGGTTGGTGTCTGGCACTCGGATCCAACGGCTCGTTTGACGGTAATTGGACGGCGAGTTCTGAATTGGCATGTAGAATCTGTGCATGGTTTCCCATCGCTTGACTTTCGACCGTCATCTCTGGACCCTGCAAGCTGACCATCCTCGTCAGGGAGGCTGTGCTTGGAGAGGAGAATGGTTCGGAAAGTGGAGATCCCATGTGCGAACTAGAGCCCATCAGGTGTAGAGGCTGTTGAGGGTATTGCCATGCGAGCCCATGCTCCATGTTATGCAGATACCTGGCGTCATGTGTAGGCTGGTTGGGTCTTGGATGCATTTGGTAGTGCTCGTTTAGTTCCGGGATCGAGTGGGTTCGAAAAGTACAGTGCGGCATAAGGCAGGTAAAGCCAGGCTGCTGAAGTGCCGAAGAAGTTCGAGGTAACTCTTGGTATGGCGATGGATGCATGTTTTGAGAAGGGTGTGATGGAAGACTGCTGTTACCCACCTCACCCCGTGCTAGGGTATCCACTTGTGACAGTGGTTGCAGTGATGAAGCCTGCGACGACGATGGGAACTGAATGGATCCATATGGGCTGGGAGTCTGGGTAAGCGATGGTTGCTTATCCCGAGAGTTTTTGGTCCTCACTTTTGGGGTGCCGGGAGTCGAGATAATCTTGTCCAGGCAGTTACACTGCTAATATTAGTACTTCCCGATTTAAAAAAAGCGTAGGAAAAATTACCTTCTTATGTTGTTTTCTATGTTTTAGGCAGGCTCCATTTCTACGGACATTGATATAGTCCTCGATCTCCGCCTTGGTCCGCTTTCTCTGCTTCTTTGGAAGTTGCGTGGCTGCATTCATGTTCATGTCGAGGACTAACTCCATGCTACCAGGAGTGCCCTCTGAGAACTGCTCGCTCCGGGAGGAGCCTGGAGTGGCATGAGAGACTGATCCCACGCTTTGTGGTTTTTCTGTGAAACTCTCCTGGGAGGATTCACGGGAATAAGAGGCTGAATGCGCATCAGAAGCCTGCTGCGGTTTTGCAGGAAGTGAGTGCGGATAGTGAGGCGCACTGCTACTTCGCTGGATATGAAAATCAATGGCGGCGTCTCTTCGCTTCTCCTTCATCGGGCGAGCACGAGCATCCCCTGCGGCCCAATTGTCCACGGCCGGACGGAAGTCTTGAGGGGAGGCCGTGAATGCCGGGGTCGAAGTGAGATAAGCATTGTTGTTGTAAAAGGAGTATTCCGCAGGCGTCGCCGGGACAAAGGTCGGATCCCCTGCCAGCGGTGGCCCTTGATATGAGGTGTCGAACAGGCCGGCAGAGGTAAATGCATTGAACGTGTCTATACTAGGGTCCTGGCCATAGTGGATCAAGGATTCGAAGTCAAACAGGTCGGTGTATTCTATGTTTTCCTGATCCATGACGACGACGAGCTCTGTGCGTATTTAGGGCGGAGATCCAGGGTGAGCGAGTAAGCGATAGCCAAGTCTATAGTACTGTATACGGTATAAAGCTGTATACAGCAAGAAAGGCAGTGGGCCGGGCGGCAACGAGGCGGCGGTGATAGGCTGGAGGCGTATAGAATAGCGCGGCGGCCGAGGCACGCTTAGGCAAAGACAACCAAAGAGAGCGAGTTAGCAGGCGATCTGGACGGCCAGTCCAGGCAGCGACAGCCTGGACGCGTAATATAAATATTAGGCGGGACATTTAAAATGTGGGAGCCTGGAGAAGCCCCAGTATAAGACCAGCACTTGAGTCACTGTGAGCCAGCGCAGGAAGAGCCCAGGGCCATCCCAAGTTGGTTGCCCGCAGCGCTCACTCTAAGCCTGTTCGGGACGCCGACACGCCAAGGATGGTTGCCAGCTGAATAAATAGCCTCGACAATCATCACCTAGCACCGGCGCAGTAATAACAGTGCGATATCAGGCCATTGGATAGGCATATGGTATTCGCCATCAGTGCAGGCTGGTAGCGCCCCAGGCACCAGCAATTCGTTTCGTGAAATTAGGCGTTTTGGGATAGCCCCTGGCTGAGTCAGATCCTTCTTCGGTTGATTATCTCGATTTTCACTGCCGAGCATCCAGAACAGCCACTCACAGCAGCCCTCAGCTAGTATAAATAGCACGGCGTAGCATACGGAGTTGCTTGGCATCAACCTTAAACCAAGACACGGTTTAAGCATTAACCATATTTTAATCATGGAAATGATGAAATTCGACGAGGACCCGACCCAAGTCTGGCCCAAATCATGCAGCCAGCGGTGTTCCTGCCCTCCTGAGCCTAGCCTGCACCTTCGATTCACCAATGGCAGAGATGCTATGTGTTGGTGTCACGTGATTCATTCCTTTCTCCAGTTTGAGGCTCATCCCGCCACAGCATTGGTCGCCCAACATGGATGAACAGAATAAGGTCGCAGAAATAGCCTCAACGGCCAGGACCCCGAGCCCACCCCGACCCTAACCCCGAAGCACCACTCATGGCGATCAGGTTTCAGGAATTGTAGCTGCCTAGAGCTGATGACTTTTATTGTATAAAGGATAACAGATGGGCTCAGATGCGGCTGACAGTGCGACTGCTACCTGCTCATGTTGTCCAATTGATGCACAGTGTATACAGCGGAGTAAACTGTACGTGGATCAACGCACCACGGAACGCAATCTCATTGATCGATGCGGTGTCTGGCTCGACTTAGCCGGGAGCCGACCGCCTCCCTTTCCAGGTTCGACAATCGAGATTGTCTTCATTCTTCATTCTACGCAGAATGTCAATTCCGCACAGAGTGAGGGATGATGGATTGTGCCTCGATCCCGACAGATATGATAATGATGATCATGATGATCAGACTGTTTGGCGCAGGGAAAGAAGCAGCAGGCTGGCCCTACTCCAGAGCCCGTGACCTCCGGGATCGAGGCGCGCTCATTGGCCAACGCGCTTCCGGAGCTGGAGAAACGCATGATCCGCCGACAACCAGTGTATACCACTGGTGACGTCACGAGACATGCCGTCATCCGCACTGCAGCGCAAAACGGCCGGCTTCCTTGCTCAACGACTTCCCGTTTTCTGCTGGCCAGGAAAACTCGACTCCCGCAGCATTCCGGTGCTGGTTATATAATTTATCGATCCTGAGCATTTCTTCCTCTGCCACATTCCCGTCGACTCCTCATAGTTCTTGAATCGCACAGCCTGTTCTTTCAATATGCCCAGAATCGTCAGTCTCAGCCTCCGTGCTCTGGAGTTCATCTTCACGGTTATACTCCTCGGTCTCGTGGGCTCACTCGAAGCTCAGTCGAGCTGGAATCCGGAAAGTGTGCACTTCAGCATGTTTACTGCTGCCTTTTCCATGTTCTTCCTTTTCTACCTAATCCCGGCCTCGTGGAGCGAGGGCCTTGCTGGCCACCCGATCTTCCTGGTCGTTATCGATGGATTGAATGCCATCTTCTTCTTCTGTGCCGCTGTGACTCTGGCTGCGAGAACTCATGGAAATAGCTGTGGAAACCACGTATGATATATCTTTCTTTCTTGTCATACACAAATTAATAACTCTGCAGAACTTTATCGATTTCAACTCCATTGCTCAGGGATCGTCAGGTCGATGCCGCGAAGCCCAGGCGGCCTGCGCTTTCTTCTGGTTTGGTTGGGCTGCCTATATGGCCAGTCTCGTTTTCTCGATTGTTGGCGGGAAATCAAGCTCGAACCTCTCCGCTCGCCCATCGGTGCGACGACCTGGAATGTCGCAGGTCTAGCTTGGACTGGACACTCCCTGCGTCCGGAATACGCGGGAATGACGTTCACGCTTCATCTAAGGAATGGAGCTGATTAAAATTGATACGTAATACATAAAATAATAGTTGGTTAATGTATGATTGGTAATGGGTGGTTATATATTAATGGGTGAATAACATCGATGTTTTGTAATTCATGTGAACTTTGATGAAATTGACGGATCAACTTCGAAGTACACGCACATGCTGTCTACGGGTTAATTGATGTACGAATGGGTATTAATTACACCGAATCGCTGTTTAATGAATGTATAAAATTAAATGTTCGATTCCTCATCCTAATTTTAAGATTATATAACGAACGCACATCTATTTACAATGACCCTGAAACCGACTACATTTGCACTACCAACTCGTCACCCCGCGCTCCTTGTCAAACCCGCCTCTCAGCTGAAACTCCGGGTGGACGACCTTGCCCTGTAGAATCGTATACTTGACAATCCCCTCACAATTCTCTGGCGTCACACGCGCGAGCCAGATCAACTGGCCCTGCTGCTTTCTATACACCAGCACATTCGCCGAGAACTTGTGCCCACCGACATGCGAGACAAAGTAGATCCCCACGCCGCCGAGTCTCTCGTCATCTGTATCTCTGTACAGCCCCGCAGGACGCAGATGTCTCTCAAGCTCCTTTTTGATTAATGGCGCGGAAATCCCACACCGAGCATCGCGTCGTTTGTGTGAGCATAGCAGCACGACGTAATCGTGTGGGCAGGGTCGCGATCTTAGCTGCGATGGTGCTGCTGTTTGCGAGGGTTCTTTGTTGATGAAGCGGGACACGAACTCGGGAACGGCTGGAATGGTCACGTTGTCAATGAATTCAAATGAGGGGAGAACAAGGACCGTGGTCCCATCATCGGCACCCTCGCTTTCAGAGCCGTCTCGATAGGAATTGAGATTCGAGGTATTCACCATAAGACGCTGCAACAATGCAAGTCAGCAGCCACCCAAATATATATGTGTATGTGTGTTTGTAAATCAACACACCTCATTGGTAGAAGCAGTACTCAACGCGTGCGCCAAACTGCCTTTTTCTGAATCCGGTTTCGACACCCAGTCCGATTTCCCCGTCGCAACCAGGACATGCGTCGCAAAGGGCTTGATTTTGCCGTATATCTTGCGTTCTGTCTCGATGTGGAATTTGGCGGGGAAGTGCACCGTGCAATCGGCGCAGTCCCGTAAACAGTCTGGTCCGTCTTCCTTAGGGTCGACTGTCGGAAAGATGTATTTGTCAGGATCACTTCCGAGGCGGGTTGAGAACCATGATTTGAGCATTTTGCCTTCTTCGATTATCAATTTTTTTTGGCTCTCGTTTAAGCAATACACATGTAAACCTAGCAAATTCGTTTTCTCAGTTTCCTTTTTGTGAATGGACTATTTCTCGCGTGTTGGCCTCCAGGATCGAGCTTTATTAGGCAACGCATAAACCCGAGCCCCGAGCCTAGCAGGCTTATCGCCGAGTGTTGCATTATATACGTAGTGCATCTAGTATATAGTGTCTGCCTAGCCCAGCATAAGCTGCATTGGGGAAATATTCGAATGTTTGGACTGGATTGATTGGTTTGCGACTGCGCGGGCAGTTTCGTGTTCTCATGGTTGATGTAGTTATATATCGGAAGATTATCAAACAAGCTGACATACAGCGCATCCAGCATCTGATTAGGCAATGACAAGGATATGGGATTTCTCTCGTCAGAGATCCAGTCCGTTCAAGACGAGATGGCCGTCAGATGTTGTCAGATGGCGATAGGTGATTGTAGAGTGCAGAGAGTACTGTACCGAGGACTGTACCGAGGACTGTAGAGATATCGGAGCAGCCGCCGTTCTCCGGGTCCTGGAGAATATGAAACCGGCCGGCAGCGACACCCGTTATTGGCCCGGCCGCGCGTGGTGTGCTCCACAGCTCGGGGCTGGGTTCCCTTTCGAGCATCGGAAGCCGCACCTCCTCTGCTACTCTGTTCTTCCTCTCTTTCAATAATATCAAAGTTCGGTCGAGTCGCCGCAGGATCGTGATATTGTTCCCCAAGCAATGACATCCGCGCTCTCGGGGCCAGGGGAGCATATAGCAGCGTCAGTACCAGCCCCAACCATGGCTTCTCTGGGGGATTCCATCACCTCACCCGACAACCATCATGAGCCGTCCGCTGCTGCCGCTCCCGATGCCGAGACGGCCTCACACGCTGAGACGCGCCCGCGCAAGCGTCGCAGACGAACCGTCGCATGTACCCAATGCCGTACGAGGAAGCTGAAATGCGATCGCGAGTATCCTACCTGCGGCCGGTGTCTGAAGGGCCGCACCCCCGGGCGATGTACATACGAGGATAGCTTTGTTTGGCAGCAGCCCAAGACTGTGACCACCACCTCATCGAACAGCCCTGCTGCCGTGACCGACCGCTTCAGCAACCATATCACGCTGCCGCCGCCCAGCAGCATTGCCGCCATTTCACCACCGTCGACCGCGTCTGGCATCTTCTCATCCCGGTCCCTGGCCTTGCCTGCGTCGGAACCGCGACCACCGGGACAGTCTAGACGCCGGTTTCTGGATACTGTGCTGGACGCTCCAAACCCGGCGGCTGCGAATCACTGGCGTCCCATGTCGGATGGAGACTTGAATGGGTATTCTCGTTCCAACAACCACCAGGATGTCGGGGATCAGGTGTTGGCGTCGCCGTCGCAGAAGTTGGAGCTTTCGAACAAGGTTATACTTAGAGGTAAGGAGACGAGAACTCGCTTCAACGGCAGCGGGATTTTTGCCAATTTGTTTTTGCAAGTGAGTTTTCAAAATCCGAGGTCATATGTACATGGTAGGCTGACCATAGCAGTTCCCCCAGTTGAAACCGTTTATGAACGACTTAAAGACAAATAACCCGACTATCAGACGTCTGCGTTTTGGATACGAGAACTCTAGAATGTGTTCCACGAAGGCGAAAATGAAGCAGCCCATTCCGAACCCCGACACCGCTATGCTGATGGCTTTACTCCCTCCCAAGCAGGTTGTTGAGGAGCTACTTCGACTGTATCTGGCTTACGTCGAACCGTTCCACCGGGTAATTCACATCCCTTCGTTCCGACGAGAACTGTCGGAGATGTGGGCGCGAATAGACTCGCCGGATATGGTCTCAGCTGCATTTGTCGCTCAACTGCTGTTGATTCTGGCCGCTGCTTTCGCATTCTTTGAGGCAGAGCGATCTCTTGCCTTGAGTGAATTCAACATTCCACGATGGCAGGTAGTGAATTGGATTCGCTACGCTGAGAAATGGCTCGAAGTCTCGGATATTAAGCGACCGGATTTGACGGTGTTGCGTATTCATTGCTTGGCAATTATAGCACGCAACACACAAGGTCTTAGACGTAGTCGGGTATGGTTGGATACAGGAAACTTGGTCAAACTGGCAATGCTGGCTGGTTACCACCGAGACCCAGACCACATTTCCAAAATCACTTTGTTCAATAAAGAAATGCGGAGACGAATCTGGACGACCATTGTTGAGCTTGACTGTCAGATTTCTATGGATAGGGGCATGCCCCCGTCCTTGCAGGCATCAGACTTTGATACTGCTCCGCCTTTGAATATCAACGACGACGAAATAAACGAGAATACAATAGAGGAGCCCCGGTCAAGACCATTGCAGGAATTCACTGACTGTGTCTTTCCGTGCGTTCTTGCGCAGTCGCTCCCACTAAGGTTGAAGATTTGTAGTCTGATGAACTCGCCGGTTGTGTCATGCTCGTATGAAGACATTCGAAGGTTGGAATGGGAACTAGGCTGCTTCCAAGCTGGTCTCCCTCTGTGGCCAACCCCGACTGACCAACAAACAAACCACAAAGTCACTCTCGCTAGAGCCTTTTTGGAGACAAAACTTGGCCAATGGCTATTAGCCATCCACACCCCATTCGCTATAGAGGCGAACGAAGATCCACTATTCGAATCGTCTTCTCGAGCGCGTCTCGAGGCGGCAACGCTAATTCTGTCCCGTCAACTGAAACTACACGAAACCTCAATCAGGCTTTCATTTGCTCATCTATCAGACAGCGTTGCCCAAGCCAGTGTCTCCATACTACAGCATCTCTATGCATCGCGCACTGGCTACACATCGAACCTTCTCCGCCAGGTGCTTCCTGTCATCACCGATTCTCTGGTCGACCTGGTCGAGAAATCGATAATCTGCCTTGAGAATAAGCTGATGGTGATGGCGAAAGGCGCCAAGCAATTCTTCATCCTCAACCTGCTTTTCTCTCTTGTCAAAGCGGAGCTATATCCCGACCAAGCAGAACTATTCAAAAAGCTCACTATTGAGCGTATCAGCGCGGTGGCTCAGAATCTGATCATGCGTGATTCGGAGGTGAACCTTCCTCCTGATGGAGTTGACTTGGTGAGATCTCGCTTAATTTCCTTCGTTCATACTAAATACTAACCTCCCAAGCCATCAATATCCCAAGTTCCCGGTCTCGCCTCGTCAACCATCCAAACGCCACTTGACAGTGTACCAGGGTCATTTGAAGGGAACAGCAATCTGCCGGATCTGTTGACGGTATGTCCGCCCTCTCTAAATTCTAAAAACACGAACTAATTCTATCTCAGCCGCCCGATGACTTTAACAGTCTTCTCCAGGTGTTTGACTGGGAAGACCTCTCAACTTTTCCGTATTCATTGTAGATACTTTCATCTTTTTTGTATTGTGGACATTTTTGGTCTTGGATACCCAACGGACTATAAAATTTTCTTCGTTAATATTCTATTATTACATTTTTATTTTATCAATTCGACACGAATGAGGGGTTTCAAAATTTATTAATCTGCTGGGATATATGGACGGGTTTCAAAGGATATGCTGGTTACATACCATTGACATACAAAAATTATTTATGGAGAGAAAGTCAATCTCTTGAATTACCTGTAAATTTGATCCTTGATCATCGCTCAATTGCATACTGTATATATCACCACCTAGCGATAAACACGTTAAACTCCACGTGAACACCAACGGCATGCAACACTAATCATATAATTATAAATATGGTCATCATTCGTTACTTTATATCATCAAACTCAATAGACCAACCCACTTCACTGTACACGGCATGTGTGGTGTCGTGCCTTTCATCGCCGTCCAAACCTCCCCTTTCCAAACCTGCGCTGCCCTATAGAGCGTATCTTCAACGACCGATAGTTGGCATGTGCATCCGGGTTGATTTTCCGTCTTTTAGTTGCTTTTTCTGTTTCTTGGTCGTGTTCGTTTGATTGGGGTTTTGCTTTCTTTTTGCTTTTGGATGTTGCTGATTTTGAGGGATTGGTAAGCGGCGTTTTGACACTGGATATCGCTGCTTTTATTTTCTCGGAGAAGCTAGATGCAGGCTCGGTTTTTGTGCTGGACTTGGCGAAGTCGGAGTCGGAGGAGTTGTCGGAGATGAAGCCTTCTTCCTCTTCGCCTCCTTCATGTTTTTTATCATTTTGGGGTTTGCGGCGAGAGGTAGATTCTGAAGGAACAGGGACAGCGCCGGAGAATAGCTCATCTTCGCTTTCCTCTGCTTCTGCTTTCTTATTCGTTTCCTTTGCGGTTGTTTTTGCTTGCTTGGGTTTTGTGTGCACGACGGGCTTCAGTTTGACGAGTCGCGTCGTTCGTTTCGGGGCTTTCTTTTTCCATATTCTTCCACTCCAACTCTCACCTTCAGGATCGTTTCTATTCAACACCGGCGCTTGGCTGTCGCCTACTTGGACATCTGCCCCATTCTGCTGCTGTTCCGCTTCAATATCCCTCAGTATATCCCAGTCATCCTGCATCCGCTCTTTATCCATATCCCGCAGCCCCTGCACCAACGCACTAAGGCCCTTCCCGACAAATCGCTGTGTCTTTCGAATACCAATCGGACTTAGACCGTTCGAAGGGTCGGGATTTGGGATATACCGTCCTGAATTCGATCGACGCAGAAAGCTCGGTGTTTCTGAACCTAGCGGGTTTGAATCTGAGTGTGTCTCTGCTGCAGAGAGCTTGTTTGTGGTGCCTGCTGTCCGCTCATTTCCCTCATTTTCAACCATCATTGCGAACCGTAGGGTAGTCGGTGTCGCGAAAAAGCGCTCGAGGTATAGTTTTTTGCTTGACGAAGCAGGTGTGCGACCTAAGTGAACCGCTCGTTCCTCATCCTCGTCTTCTGCAGCTTCTTGCTCGGAAATCCCCTCCAGCCGCTTCCGCTTCCCGCCAGAAGGTGTCTTCATAACATCCTTTCCGACCATGGCAACACGCTGAGCGGATGGCGTCGCCGTACTCCCCCCGGACGCTGATAACGAATCAAACAGGCCCAATGCTTTCCCATCACGCTGCGGGGTCGGCCCGATAGCATTCTTGAATGGAAGTGGTGATTGCTGCGTCTGCCGGTGTGTTGACGGGCTGAACAGTCGCCGAAACACAGAGGGGGAGTCATATGGGTCTAATTCCGCTGGATGGTGCGGGTCGTTTATAGTACGGTTCTTTGCTGGGGTGAATAGCTCTAGTTGCGACTTCGGCGGTGTTTGTCCATGGTGTTTGATCTCTCCTCCGTGTTTATGTTTCCCCCGTGCTTGCTGCTGCTCTAATTTTGACGGTGTTTTCGTACCGTCTTTCGGCCCAGACTCGGCTTCGTTAGTAGACGACGACTCAAGTGCGCGGAGCCGCCCGTATGTTTTGTATTTAGCAGCTGCGGAAGTAGTCAGATCACGTTCACTACTATTATATCGCGATAAATGGAGAAGGGAATTACCTATCTCCGGGTCCTGCTTGATATCCTGTCTTCCTGCTTTCTTACCCCCGTTCGCGTCTGAGAATAATTTTTCCCATTGTTTCAGTTCGGCGCGGAGCGTGTTGAGGTGGGCTGCATCGACGCTGCTCAACGCATTGGTGGGGGACATTGTTGCATGTTTATTTAACCAGAAGGAAAAATAAGAGGGCGAAATAATGAGGTTTTGAGAGGGTTGGTTGGATAGAGATAGATGGAATAAATAGTGTAGGCTGGAGAGGAGTGGCGGAATCAATTAACGCGTCGAGACGCGACTAGGCATTGCTGCCTCAGGCTGCCGGTTAATTATTCAGCACACCATCGGCTTTCGAAGTAAATAAAGAGTTCGAGCATCAATCGAAAAGAAAGAAACTTGGATGTTTATATTTTCAAATACAACAAGATGAAATACGAATATCAATTGCAGTTGTCGAGCTAAGTCCTTATAATTGCTTCTAAGAATTGAGTGATGTGCAGATTCGGGACTGGAAGAATTGATGTTTCCCCACGTTTACCATCTGGAGAAGTTGCTGGGACATGTGAATATGCAGGATTACCCGCGAATTACATGGCAACAAGTAAACAGTAGACAAAAAAGGTAGCTCAAAAAAAGGAAAAAGAACCCAGTAGTTGAGCAGCTGTGTATGGTAATCGGAAGATATTGTCGTTAGATCTTATCTAACCACATCTTTGGGAACAGGGTAAAACAAACCAATAACAGTTTCTTTGTCCCTCTTTGATTTCTACAGCCTAGATTTTAGCTGCTGCACGTCTCGCGAGGTATGAAAACTTTCTACCATCAGTGTAATAACACAGATAAGATAAAAATAAGTAGACTGCAACTTACGGTGAGCAAGTAAAAGACTAAGGAAGTGAGGGGACCGGTAACTATCGGGTAAGCTCCTCTTTTCAGATTTAGATAGCATCCGCGAGATTCTCATGACTAGGCGAAGAAATCACCTTAGTATTTGAAGAAGATGACCTCGGACAAGCAGCCAAGCGCTTTGCCTCACCAAGCGCCTCACCAAGCGCCACAACAAATACTGCTCGCAGAAGATGAATACGAGCCCCCAGACGGTGGTTATGGATGGGTGTGTGTTGCATCTACTTTCTGGATCAACGCCCATACATGGGGAATAAACAGTGTATGAGCTGAGACTCCTTCTTTATCAAGCCATGATATCTTACTCTGCTATTTTCTCTCCCGTTTCATGTGCCACAGCTAACTCATAATTCACTTCTCAAGTCATTCAGTGTGTTCCTCGCATATTACCTTAGTCATGACCTATTTCCTGGGACCAGCAATCTCGAGTATGCCTTTGTCGGAGGCCTCAGCATGTCATGCGCTCTGTTAGTGGCCCCCTTAGCAACTGCAGTCATGGGTCAACTGGGCACTCGTGCAACACGTAATATCGGTGCCGCACTACAATTTGTATCGTTGATCACCGCCTCATTTGCAACGAAAATATGGCATCTCTTCCTCAGTCAGGCGCTCTGCTTCGGTCTCGGAATGGGATTTCTGTTTGTCGGGACAAGCGGCATCCCCGCGCAATGGTTCCGTCGCCGACGCAGTCTAGCCAACGGGATAACTGCAGCAGGCTCAGGCTTTGGTGGATTAATCTATTCCCTCATCACAGGTGCTATGCTAGACAAGATAGGACTTCGCTGGACCTTTCGTTCTCTTGCGATTATATGTCTGACAATGATCGCCATTGCAGCCAATCTTCTCCGAGACCGGGACCAAGCAGTTGGTAGCCAACATCGAGCCTTGCAGGTGTCAAAATTCCGCCAGCCCAGGTTTAACTTCTTTGTCGTGTGGGGATTTTTCAGCATGTTAGGTTATGTCATTCTCATTTTCAGTTTGGCTGATTTTGCTCAGGCGGCTGGCCTCTCTGCGCATCAAGGCAGCATTACAAGTGCCATGCTGAATCTGGGCCAGTGTATAGGCCGACCATTGACAGGCTGGATCAGTCTAAAACTTGGCCGAATGAACATCGCCGCCGCCTTCACTGGCTTGGCCGGGTTTCTCTGCCTGGTCATGTGGACCCAGACGACTAACGCGGCGGGAATTTACAGTTTCGCGATATTGGCTGGCATGGTTGGGGGAACGTTCTGGGCAATGGTGTATGCTGTACTGGTTGACATTGTCGGCTTGAGCGACCTGCCCAGCAGCTTAAGTTTGACATGGGTGGTCTTGTTCATCCCCTGCACTGTTGCTGAGCCAATCGCCCTTAGTCTGCGGAATAGCCTGAAAGGTCTTGCAGCATATCTCCCCGTTCAGCTGTTTACGGGGTTCATGTATCTTGCCGCCGCGTTGGCTCTTTTGGTGATGAGATTATGGAATAATAGTGGTGGAACCAATAATCATCGCAACAACGGAGACTGCAATGCAGTCAGCGTCGAAACTCCATCCTGGCAGCTAGACAAACCAGAAGCACCTGCTGAAACTGGAATAGGGTATTTCAGCCATGAGCACTGGCGATGAAATCTTAAAGAGAGATTATGTAACGTCACATCATTAATTAACGTATTCCACAAGTACCCTGCGCAGGGTGCTTGTGGAATACGTTAGCGGAACGAGACTAGACACATTATATCATACAGAAAAGAAGAAATATAATATGAATAATGTTTATAGAATAGTTGACCACCATCAGCATCTCATTGGTGTGGCTTGGTCTCACTAGCCACGGCATCCCAACCGTTTGCTCGCTTGGATCCCGTCTATAAATATCAAACTTTCTCCATTGCCATAGAGAATATTTATATGATGCCGCAGAACTGCCCAGCCCTTCCCGCTGGAAAAGGTTATACTTTGTATGTGATCAGCGGTTAGAATGATTTGATATTGGCTGAAGGACGCCATACTTCGTATAGGATGTGGATTTTGACCGTACTATTATTGGGAAGGGGCTGGTAGTTACCAATCAGCTACTGGGTGATGGGTGGGTGGCTAGACATGATGTAGGTAGGGGCCGAAAGAATAGGCTAGTACCGAATTCGGAAAATGATTTATCCAACCAAACCGTTCGCCCGGTGTGACAAAGAAATAAGCAGGGCATGACAGGCCAATAGAACGCGTTAGGGCTGTGCATGAATCATCCGAAGTTTAAATTAAGCCACCATGAGGGTCTACGGGCCAGCCAATAGATTAGTCGGTCAAACCAATCAAGTTCTGTGAATATAGTGGGGTGGCCCGTCGAGCTTGTTTATTCTAAGTTAAAGGTGATCGATCTTGCCCTAAGCTATATACAGACTGGCTCCATGCATGTAAAGCCTGTCAGATGTATCGAGTATACGGTAAATACGCTTGTATGATATGAATACAGCTAGTAAGGTTAATGTCCTCATAAATGTATTATGTTATCGATAAGTTAACACACCCTAGCGTGTACCATTAGTACACAGTACACAATTACAAGCCATATTACATATACGGTCGTGGCCTCGGTGGATAGTCGAGATCCTCAGGTAGTAGTCATTGAGTGTTTGCGTCCCAAGGGATTAACTGATGTGATAGATGGAGAATCCTTGCGGTCTATTCTTGTCTTTGATTGACGGCCCTTCTCTCCAGCAAATAGCTATAGTCAGTTCACCACCTCCAGGCTACCTAAGACAATTGGGCTACACATTCATAGGGATCTACAAGATGATTTCAAGATATGGTCACCATTTCTCTCGTTGATTCCAGGGTCCTAGACAGGCGGGCTGCCCTTCAAATTCTAATAGGTGCATTCGTTTCTTGACCAATTGATGATTTTATTTGAGGTTTCGTGCGAGATGAATGCTAGATTTAGGTCTCTGTTGACATCTAGAGTGGCCTCGGAACTATCTTTAATAATCTACGACAGAACAAATTTGAAAGTCAAGTTGAAGTGAAATAAATTTAGTGAATGTTGATGCACTAATGAGGGCTATTTACTAGAAGGAAATCGCTGGCTTTGCAGAACAATAACAGAAAAACATAAAGGTCCATCACAACAATAGGAGAGTAGTGCCTCAAACGGCAATGAGCGTATAGCGTTTAAAATACAATATAACAAACAAGGAAAATAAAAGAGAGATGATCAAGCCTGTGAGTATACAGTTGGCACGCCAGAAGGCGTCTTTTTGATACCACGACTGAATCCCGACTCTTTCGTTCGGCTGATTGAGTCGGCGGTAGAAGAATCCATAGCAAAATAGCCAATACCACGCATATAGTTGATGCTGCTGCGTAGAGATGCCTTGACTTCATCGTTTTGGTGATGGCCAAAGCTCTTTCGTAATTCCTCAGGTAGCACACGGCCCAGGTATCCTTCTGTGGCTTCGAGGAAATGTAGGACAGGCCAGAGTCGATGCTGGTCACCTTTGTCATGGACAGCAGTTGTCATCTTTTTCAACCAGTCACTTGCACCCATTGGTTGCATCTTATACCCGAATTCTTTAGATAGCATGGTCCAAAGTTCCTTGGTGGTAATACCGTGACTGACGTTGTTCTCAACTGGCAGCTTCTCGTCGCTAAACGTTGTTGTAATAACGGAAGAAGCCACCTGCTGAGCACCAGCCAGAAGGATTGTGGCATCTTGTTCGTCGCCATTGTATGACTGGGTATCGATTGCAGTGGCTACAACCCGCCAGAAGAAGTCATCCGCATTCGACACACCAGATTCAGCAGTACCAATGATCAGACCAGGCTTCACAATTGTAGCAGATATGGAGGGGTATTTCTGGGCAAAGCGTTTCACAACCTCGTCGGCCACAAATTTGCTCTGGGCGTAACCGGTTCCTTGTGATATGAATTCTGCAAGCTGTGCGGCGTCCAGTTCTGTCTCTTCACCAATCGCAACGTGCCCACCAGAAACAAAGGTAAAACGTGGAGGTGGAACTGTAGGAGATTGGACCAAGGAAGCAAGAAGAGACACGACGCTGGAAACATTAGCGCTCTTAAGGCTTGCGTAGTCTGCAACCCAGTGAACAGTAGCTCCGTTGTGGATAACGGCGTCAATTCGCTGGGAAACTTGTCCTTTGAGTTGTTGTAGTTCACTTTCACCAAGACCAAGCTGTGGTTTTGCAAGGTCTCCCACCCAGACTTCCAGTCGACTGGCATGGATTTCTGGTTGCCACCATTTCGCCATTGTTGCGGATGATACAATACGTTGCATCGCATGCTGTTGATCGCGGGCACGAACAAGGGCAACGACGGAGCTAATGTTAGGATCCTCCAACAATTGTCGAAGGAGAACACTTCCCAAGAAACCAGTGGCACCTGTGAGAAGAACTCGAGATCGATAATTCTTAGGCAAGGATACTTTCAATGCCTTAGTCTGCAATTCACCACCTACTTCCTTTTCTAGCTCTTCCATGGCTAGATCCACCTCCTCCAACAAGTTGAGATTCTTTTTGTCGACTTGTGAGCCGAAATTTTCAACCTTCAACGCTATATCCTCCACAGTAATCGAGCTATCCATAAACATTTCCATAGGCAGTTTGACACCATACTCTTCTTTTATAAACGAAGCGAGAGAGACAACACTGATTGAGTTCATACCCGCTTGGACGAGTCCAATGTTACGTCCACGGATTGTTTCCGCGTACGCTTCATCGTTTCCGGCAAGAAGTTGAGTAACCTTTTCGGAAAGTCTTAGCGCAACAGCATTGGATTTTTTAATTGGATTGGCTGCGTGGCTTGCGAGACAACCGCTTTGAGCTGCAATTGCTTCGTGAGTCTCGTTGTCCATAGTCTCCAGCCATTTGGTGATCCTAGTACGGTTTATCTTGCCAGATGGAAGAAGGGGCAATTCTTCAATGGCGATGAAAGTCGATGGTACCATATAAGGTGGTAGACGTTGCATAAGACTGGTCCTCATACTGGGGAGCGTCTTGAATACGTCCTCTAAGCTTGCCCCTGTAAGAGGGCAGAGATCACCATCATTGCTGTTGTTGATGTTTGAGACTTCTTTCAGAGAGAAGAGGGCGACAAGGCTTTCCTTAAATCTTCCTGACCGTGGTAGAGCAACCATTGCATGTTTGACATCTGGGTGAACACTTGCGTGATGTTCAATCTCTCCAATCTCAATCCGCTGTCCACGCAGTTTCACTTGAGTGTCCTTTCGACCAATGAAATGGACGGAGCCGTCCTCTTCAAAATAAACCAAGTCTCCCGTCTTGTAGAAGCGGCGATCACGGTTATAGCTAAGTTGAGATGCAGTCCATGCTGGGTTCTCAATAAATACGGCTGCCGTTTTCTCTGGTTCGTTCAGATATCCTCGTGAGACGATAGCCCCCTCGACTAGCAATTCGCCCACCGCGCCAATCGGTAGAAGAACATCATGATCATCTGAGGCAACTACCCAAAGGTTGCAGCCCATCTTTGTACCGATATTGGCTGCATCCGTTTCACGTGTTATGTTTGTATTGGCGGCAACCGCAATTGAACACTCGCTGGGGCCGTATCCATTGCACAGTCGTACCTTGGGTGCCCAAGTTTCAATATCGATCTTTGATAGGGCTTCGCCGCCAAGAACAAGTGTTTCGAGGGTTGGCACATCATCTGGGCTGACAGTACGAGCCACAGATGGTGTCAAGAAGCTCCATGTAATACCAAGATCGCTGATTACCTCAGCGATGGGAGCTCCCTGGTGTTTAGCTCGAGGAAGACAGATGCAAGCACCGGAGATGAGGCCAGTTAGAGTTTCTAGGATACTGACGTCAAAGGTATATGGAGCTATCTGTAGGATCCGGCTGGAGGGTGACAATTTACCGCGCTTCGCGTGATGAAGAGCCCCAGTAAGGAACGAAGAGTGTTCAATAATACAGCCCTTGGGTCGACCAGTACTACCAGAGGTAAAGATGACATAAAGGATGCTGCGAGGAGTTGCATTGACGATGGGAGGCTCAGGATGAGAAGGACGAGAGCTAAAAAATGAAGCTGAAACGGTTAGAACCGGCAGGTTGAGTGGCCAGGACTTTTTCAATTCGGGAGTAGTTATCACAAATCTTCCCTTGATAGACTTCATGATATACTCAAGACGATCGACTGGGTGTTGAGGATCCAAGAAAACAAACCCACCACCACTCTTGATCACTGCTAACATGGACACAATTGCCCAAGCAGACTTACGGAAGAACAGAGGAACGATGACGTCCGATTCGATTCCGATGTCCACCAGGAAATGAGCTAATCGAGTTGACAGGTCATCGAGCTGCTTGTACGTGAGTCTTCCATCTGCCGCATCAATGGCAAGGGCATCGGGCTGAATTAGCGCACGTTCACGAATCATATCCTGAGCACAACGGTCGATACGATCCTCGTGTGGTGAGTTCCACGCCTCCAATTGCAGTTGGTCATTTTGCCCAAGAAGTGGCAAATCATTTAAGGTTGTGGTAGAAGCAGCTTGCTGACAAAGGATCTTGGTTAAATGATCAAATTGTGCCATGATGTTGTCCATCTGTGCAGCAGAAACTACTCGAGGATCATAACCAGCGTTGACAATGACTTCCCCATCGACCACTTCGCATTCAACAACAATACCGAAAGCGGGTATCTCCAAATCAGAAATTGGAATTCGTTCCATGCCCAGGGGAATTGGAGCGGATTCTTGTTGAGATTGGATGACTAGGAGATTTTGAAATTTGCATGCTGTCTGGCACTCAAGACTGTATCGACTAATGTTCTGAAGTCCGGCGTGCTCGTAGGGAATCATTGAAATCGAGTTATTTTGGATATTTTCTAGAAGTGTACTGATAGACTGTTGCTTGTCGAAGGTGACTCTCACGGGGATTGTAGTAATTAGAGGTGCGACGATATTGCTAATGCCTGGAACAGGGGCGTTGCGCCCACTTTGGGTCATTCCAAAGACAACATCGTCCGACCCTGTGTATCGAGCAATGTTCAATGCCCACGCAGATCGGATAATTGTTGGTAAAGTGATCGCAGTGTCTGGTTTTGTAGGTAAGGTGATAGAGTGTGTCTTCACCCCCGTGGCCTTCGGGCGATAGCCAACAGGTACAGACGGGAAAGTGAGAGCATTAATGTCAACGAAATTAGACTTCCAGAAGTTTCGCGTGGCCGTTTCATCGGTTTCAACCATCCACTTGATAAAAATGTTGAACGATGGAGTAGGTAGTGAATTCTCCTGTTTGTACTTCCTTTCAAGAACGTCAAGCATTAACGCTAGAGACCACCCATCGTAGACAGCATGATGAGCTGTCCATATAAAGTACGCACGAGAGTCTTCTTTAACGATGGCATAGCGAGTCAATTGTTTTCCGTAGTCAAATGTTAGTTCACGATCCTTTTTTAGGTAAACTTGCACATTGTCCCCGGAGTTCCACTGGATCCTGCAAGCATCGGGTGGTAGGACAACTTGATATGCTCCACGATTTTCGTAGTCAACAAGACATGTGCGTAGGATATCTAGCTCTTCTACTACTTGATCCCACGCCGACTGGAAGCGGGCGATATCAATATCACTTGGGAGGGCGTAGAGGGCTTGCAGCGTGTACAGTCCATGTTGTTGCATGGTCAGAGACATGAGACCTTCCTGAAGGGGAGTGGTAGGATAAATGTCCTGCACCAACTCGGAGGACAGTCCAACCTTCTTAGAGCTACTGTTGACGAAGCTATCGACTTCCGAGGATTGAAGAAGGCTAAAAGGAGCAACTTTGAGTTCAAGCTCGAGATCCGAATCCTGCTCCCTAGCCACTACTGCCATTTCTTTTATCGTTGGGTTTTGGAAGATTTCCATGACAGTCAAAGAGATTCCAGCATTGCGAGCAGCTGTTACTAATTGCATGGCAGCGACAGAGTCACCACCCACACGGAAAAAGCTATCCTCGATTCCGATCGCAATTTCTGAGACCTTTAATACCTGTACCCACAGTTTATGCAGCTTCTTTTGTGTAGAAGTTTGAGGGGCCACTTTATTTCCTGAAACAAAGGAATAAGATGATATCTCTTCCAGTGAGAGAGTTTGTCCCTTCGCACGAAGTGCTTTGCGGTCGATCTTCATGGAGGTATTCTTCGGAATGCTCATTACATTGATAAAGAGTGATGGAACCATGTAGGCAGGAAGAGATTCCAACAAAGATGCTTCTAAATCTTTGACAATAACCTTGAATGCCTCGGTAGGGGCTGTAAGGAAGTCAGAATCGCCTGGGAGTGTCGTGGTTTTGCTTTCACCATCTCCAAGGCAAATGAATGCGGCGAGAGTTTGGCGACTGTTCTGACTCAAAGGCTTGATCATTTCCATTGCCACCTCCGTATTGGTAGGCAAGTGGGCCCGAAGTTGATACTCGACTTCTCCTATTTCGATTCGTTGCCCATGGAACTTGACCTGAGTATCTTTACGTCCAGCAAATTCCAGACCACCGTCCGGTCGCTGTCTAACTAAGTCGCCTGTTTTGTACAGTCGTTTTGTTTCTTCAGCCCCACCCCATTCACGAAGCCATGATGGAGTCCGAATGTAGGCTGCATCAGTTTTCTCTTTATCGTTGAGGTATCCACGAGCTAAATTAGGTCCCTGAACGACAAGTTCGCCCACACATCCAATCGGGACCAGTCTGTTGTGGTCATCGGGCTCGGTCACCCATAGCAGACAATTGGTTCCATCACCAATATCACTGCAAGAGCTGTGAGCAGACAACTGATTGTTGCTAGTCCAAATTGAACACTCGGCTGGACCATAACTGTTGATGAGACGCACGCGACTAGCCCAGCGACTGTGAAGGTCACGTGCAATGGCCTCGCCACCTAAAGTGAGAGTCTTCAGAGTTGGAACAAGGTCGGGATGAAGTAGAGAAGCCACTGATGGAGTAAGGAAGGTCCAATTGGCGCGCAGGCGGTTAATTGATCCTGTAATATCATTCATACGTTCTTCTTCTGTAGGAACGCAAACGCAACCTCCGTGTGTGAGCGTAATGTACGTTTCAGCGATACTGACATCAAAGGTGTACGCCGCATATTGGAAGGTGCGCGTTTTAGGGCCAATACCGACCACTGAGGCATTTGCGAGGAACATAGTACAAAGACCTTTGTGCTCAAGAACGATTCCCTTTGGTTTTCCAGTACTTCCGGATGTGAACACAATGAAAGCGGGGTTGAGAGGGCTAACATTAGATCGGGTGTCTCGGCGGTTGACCGAAGCCAAAGATTTGATAAATGTGTGGTCAACCTGGATAACTGATTTCACCAAGGGAGCAAGGCGGGAAGCAAACTGTGGTGCCGAAATGAGGAGATTGGATTTGCAGTTGTTAATAATCTCTTGGATACGGCTGTCTGGGTGAGATGGATCGAGAGGTACACAAGCACCGCCAGCCTTTAGGATACTAATCATAGAAACAATAGTCCATGCCGACTTCTTGAAGCAAACTGGAACCAGGATTTCTGGGCCGACACCTCGCTCTTTGAGAAGTTGAGAAAAGCGTGTGGTAAGGTCATCCAACTGTTTATAAGTGAAATCACCCTCAGAGGAGCAGATGGCCGTGTTATGCGGATAGGTGCGTGATGCGCGTTTGAAGAGGTCGTGGACACACTCATAAACAGGTTTCAAGGGTTTTGAATTCCATGCCCGTAGTTGGCTATAGGTGAGATCGCTTGTAAAGTCAACCTGGTTCAACGGAACGTCCTCAGGAGTGTCAACCAGAATATCAATGGACTTGATGAATGCCTCCGCTAAGTGATTAGCTTGTTCCGTAGATAGAGAAGATGACCTATATGTGAATGCTACTTGCATCACACCACCGGAAACGCTTGCATTGATGGCAATATCATACTTAGAGAAAAGTTAGTGAAGAGATCATGAAGAGACATTTGGTAGAAATTTGTAAAACGTACCTCTGTGGAACCTTTACCACCAACGCTGATAAAGTTAATTGCAGAGTTAAGGCCGTCATGTTCCTCACTCAACTCATTCACAAATGAGAGTGAAGTATTGAAGAGCGATCTGCCATTGAGATTCAAAGCGTGGTAGATCTCAGCCAAAGATGTGTGTTGGTAGGACAAGCTATTCAAAAAGTTATCCTGCGTGCTGTCAAGAATGTCCTTGAGGTATGAGTCTGAGCCTAGCTTCATACGACAGACCAACATATTGATCAGTGGGCCGACAAGGCTGTTGACATTGTTGAGTGGAATATCGCGGCCGTTGGAAAGGAAGCCGAAAGAGACATCATCGCTTCCTGTGTACTGACGTAGTACCAAAGCCCATGCTGTTTGCAAGATGGTGGAAATAGTGACATTTCTCTTAGACGAGAGAGACTGAATGCTAGCAAAGTTGCGAACATCAAATTCCAAAGATTTGGTTTCGCGTGGACTTTCAATTTCGGTATTCATAGATGGGAAATTGCAGGGCTCCAAACCGCTAAGGAAGTCTTTCCAGTATGCAAGGGCTGAGTCTGGCGGTCGCGCGAGCAGGTAAGCGACGTAGTCACTGAAGAGACTCTGTGTAATGGGGATCTCTCCCTTTCCATAAGTAGATGCTAGGTCTTGAAATAGAATATTCAATGCAGTGCCATCAAATAGGGCGTGGTGAATATCGAGTCGACAGAACGTTTTGCCAGACTTATCCTGGCAAATAAGTAGCCTATGCCATGGCTCCAAAGCTCCAAAATCAGTGGCTTGTGGTTCGTTCTGGAGTTTTTCAATTGCATCCAAGCCATTAGTTTCCAAGACAATAGGATCAACGGTAATACTACGAAGTACCAATTGAACAAAAGTAGCCCGGTGGTTGACGCCCTGAATGAAAATCGTACGTAGAATCTGATGTCTGCTCACCATCTTCTTCCAAGCGCTAATAACAATCTGGACATTGATGTGACTACTTGAAGTTATTTCTTGAATATGACTGGTGTGATAACTGCCAGTTCCCTTGGTTTGAGCAAGAAGCAAGCCTTCCTGAAGTGGCGAGCAAGGGTATATATCCTCTACCTCACTTGGTGTTGAGATACCAATCTCAGGTAGTCTGTTATGGAGGAGCATTTCATGCTCGTCATAAGTCATTGCAAGAAGTGGGTAGTTTACAACGCCCAGATCTTTCAAAATAATCGACCATGGTGCCGCATCGGAGACAAGACGGTGTGCCACAAGGAAAAGAAGAGGCTCTCCTTGCTGAGGGAGCAGCAAATGTGCCCCAAATACTGGTCCAGCGATAATATCCAATCTCTTTGTGGTTGATTTAGTAATTGAATCAACATCAGACTTTTTACAATTCTTAGTAACATCGCAAATATAGGAAGACTCGATAGATGAAGAGATTGTGGTCATCCAGTGCCCTTCAGCCCCGAGCTTGAAGCGTGCTCGTAGAGCTGAATGAAGTGTTGCGACATTGTGTATTGCATCACGAACACCACTCTCCGTCACGCCTGTCTTCATGGACACTAAGATACTGTCAGTGAGTGATTGTAGGGTCTCAGAAACAACACCATCATCATCGTTATCTGAGGTCTCATTGATAAGTTCGGATTGGCTTGTTGATAGGTCTGTCCACAAGCCAATTTCGCTATCTGTAGGTAGCGAGGGCTTTTGGCTGGAAGCGATGTTCGCCAGATCCGTAATTGATTCGCTACGAAGAATCTCTTTGATTGTCAGAGAAATTCCTGCATCCTTCAAACTAGCCATTGCCTTCATCGCTGAGATCGAATCACCACCAAGACTGATAAAAGACCGATTCAACATCACTTGATTTGGTTGCAGACTTAGGAGACGGGCAAATGTCTTCTGGATTTGCTCTTCGACCTCGTTTGTTGGCTCAACTGGACCAGAGGAAGCTCCGATGTCTAAGAGCGTGAAATAGGTGTGTTCATCCATTTCCTCGATCCACTTCTTCACTGTACGAGTGTCTGTCTTACTGGAGATTTGTCTCGGCATTTTGGAAACGGCAACGAAGATTGAAGGAACCATGTACAGTGGGAGTCGTTCTTCCAGACTCTTTCGGATAGCTTGGATTCGAGAATCGGCATACTTTTTGACATCTCCTGTAAGTAGCTGGAGATCTGCAGAACCCGAGACTCTGTCTTCAACACCATGTAATGTCATAACAGCTACCAGCTTGTCTTTGCTTAGACCAACCTTGGGGAAAACAACAGATGCTTGCACAACATCTGTATGTGCCTGTAGATTGTGTTCAATTTCCCCAAGTTCAACACGAAGACCACGGATCTTGATCTGGTTGTCTTTTCGACCAACAATAACAATGGACCCATCTTCAGCGTAATAGACAAGATCTCCCGTCTTGTAGACACGACCTGTCTGGGAGAATTGCTGGGAGAGCCAACTGGGAGTATCGATAAAGACCTCCGCTGTCTTCTCAGGCTCTTTGTAGTAGCCGCGACTAACGTAAGGACCCTGGATAACAAGTTCTCCAATTGATCCTAGTGGAGCAAGCCGGTTATGATCATCGGGAATTGTCACCCAGGACTTGCAGCCTACTGGGTATCCAATTCTTGCAGGAGAGGAGTTGGCATCCATTGTTGTCATAATACACACCATTGTAGTTTCAGTGGGTCCGTAAACGTTGATCAATTTCACTGAATTGCTCCAGGCGCGCACAATATCTTGTCCAACAGCTTCTCCACCTGTAATAAGCACTTTGAGAGATGGGATATCTTCTGGTCGTGTTGTGCGAAGCACAGTTGGTGTGAGCATAGCGGCATTGATTTGTAGTTCGTTGGCCGCCGTAACCCAATCTCCATTCCTCTCTTCCTCCGAAGGGAAGCAGACACAGCCTCCTACGCACAGCGTCGAGAATATTTCCATAAGAGACGCATCAAATGTCAAGGAACAGAATTGCAGGGTGCGAGTATTTTCATTAAACCCGTAGAATTTGCTCTGGTAGGTCATACTAGAGCAGAACGATGCATGCTCAATCATAACACCCTTAGGCTTTCCGGTGCTTCCAGACGTAAATATGAGATACGCTAGTTCGTGTGGCGTTGACTTAGGCTTCATGGTGACATATGTAGTAGTAATGAGTCTCTCAATTAAGGACTTCGTGATGATGACAGGAGAAGCCGTTGTATGTACCGTTGCGCTTTCACCTTGGAACATGTTGCATGTCTGGTAGTCAGTAATGACTATAGGTGCTGTGATTTCTTTGATGATAAATTCCATTCGGTCGGCAGGCATTGAGGGCTCGAAACAAATGAATGCTGCACCGCATTTGGCGATTGCAAGCATGGAAATAACGACCAGTGCTGATTTCCTCAAGCAAATCGGAATAACATGCCCCTCCGTGACGCCGAGATCAGAAAGTTCCTGAGCTAAGACAGTCGATGCTTTATCAAGCTGTGCGTAAGTATAGGAGATACCGTCTGACTGAGTGAGGGCAGTGGATGAAGGTCGGAGATCGGCTTGGGCGCGAATAATTCCATCCACTGTTTTGTTAACCGCGGGATAAGGTGTTGCATTCCATCTTTGCATCATCTTCCTATCCTCTGGACTGAATGTCTCGATTTCACCAAGAGCGGTTGACTCCGACAAATTACTTAACTGCCGCACTGCATGTTGGAAGTGTCCTGCGAGCCGTTCAACATTGAATGTAGGTATTAGGCTAGAGTCGTATTCGAAGTTCACGCTGACACTATTGTCCTTGAGGATGTGGCACTCAACGTTAAGGCCATATGTATGGAGGCCTGACTCGTGGATCTCAATTTCTTCCAAACCTAGCGATCCTTCGGTTGCAAAAGGGGTTTGTACAACAAACAAATTCTCAAATTCACATGCAGCTTTGCAGTAATTATTGATCTTGCGAATATTCTGGAGGCCAAGATGCTCGTGAGGAATTGTCTCAGTTGCTTGGATTTGGACCTTTGTAAGGAATTGGTGAACTGAGATGCTAGGGTCTAATACCATTCGGACAGGAATTGTTGTAATCGTAGGACCCATGATATCTACGACACCAGGAACATCAACATTACGGCCACTACGCGTGGTACCGAAGACAACGTCAGAGATATTTGTTGACTGGCCGATAGTCAAACCCCATGCACCAGAAAGAACGGTTGACATAGTGATGTCGGCGTTTCCTGGAAGATCAATGTTCGTCATTGTTAGGCGATGGGATTTGCTGACATGTTTTTTGTACGTCGGGTTTGGTAGTTGCGGAAAGACTACTGGAGCAGCTCCCTCGAATTTGGTTTTCCAGAAATCTACTGAGACTTGTGTGTCTTCGTTTTTCTGAAGATATTGAATGAACTCCTGGAAGGAGGGTCCTTGTCGGATTGGCTGATTCAAGTAAGATTTTGAAACTTGTTCCATCATGATTGAAAAGCTCCAACCGTCGTAGATGGAGTGATGCGCTGTCCAAATGAAATGTCCGTCCTCCGTTGTGCCATATCGAGTGAGAAGGGAGCCCCAAGTGATCGGTATCTGTGTGTCATTTGCAAGGTATGTATCCAAAGAGGGGGAAGTAGCCCATTCTATCTTTCTGCGCACTACAACCTGGCAAGTACCAAATGTTTCCGACGGAACTAATGTCGTTCGCAGTATAGCGTTTTGTTCGAAAACATTAGCCCATGCTTCTCGGAAGCGGTCTTGGTCAATATCACGCGGGAGCCTGAACACAGCACGGTGTACGTAACTGCTAGGGTCGTTGATGGTTAGAATTATCAGACCTTCTTGGAGCGGTGTTGCAGGATATACATCCTCAACAACCTCTGCGCTGAGGCTGGGCACAAAGTCTGCGGCAATACGTTGACCATTTTCAGAACCACGAACAAGACTGAATGGCCCAGCGTAGGGTACTGCGATTGGTGTTTGGGAAGCAGCTTCAATTGCCTTGGCCATGTCACTGAGCCTTGGATTCATGAAGATGCTTGAAACCGTCAAAGATAGACCTTGTCGCTGAGCTTCAGTAGCCAGGTTCATCGCCGCAATTGAATCACCACCAACGCGGAAAAAGTTATCGTTAGCGTCGAGTTGTTCGGTATGTAGGATCTTCTTCCACAACCCGTGTACAATCTTTTCTACCTCAGTGCTAAGGGCCTGTTGACTTCCTCCTGCAAGACCATATGCCTTGAGCTGATCTGTAGTCAGAGCGTTGCAGTGTTCCTTCAAAGCCTTACGGTCAGTCTTTCCAGAGGCAGATTTCGGCATGCTTCTTAATGGGAACCATAGTCGAGGAACCATGTAGGGAGGAACTAAATGTGATAGAACATGCTCAATTTCAAGCATATGGTCGCGGAGGCTATCAGAAATAGGCAGCAACATATCCGAACTAGAATGGGCTGTTTTGGATACTTCGCTTACCCCAAAGTCGAGGAAGGCGGAGAGAATTTGTCGCCCTTGGTCAGAAGCGGGCTGGAGTGCATCAACAGCAACTTGAAGGACCTTGGGGAATTTTGACTTGATATGATATTCAATCTCTCCAAGCTCGATACGCTGCCCGTTCAGTTTGACCTGGGTATCCTTTCGGCCAATGATTGTTAACGTGCCATCAGAATTGAACCGAACCAAATCCCCAGTCTTGTACAACCTTTGCTCTTCTTGGTAGTAATTTGTCATCCAAGATGGACTAGAGATGAAGCTGGCCTGTGTTTTGACTTTGTCACCTAAGTAGCATCGTCCGACAATAGGACCGTGGACTAATAGTTCACCAACAGCACCGACAGGAACAAGTTTGTTATGATCGTCAGTGTCAACAACCCAAGGAACAGAGCCAACAGGGAAACCGATAACATCAGGTCGAAGCTTGGTTTCACTGAGTGGATTGTAGCAGCAGTACACGCAGCACTCTGCTGGTCCATAACCCCCGATCAAGTTAACCCTATCTGCCCAGGTCTCCATACAATCCTGAGGGATAGGTTCGCCACCAAGCATGAGAGTTACGAGAGACGGAACATCCTCGGGCTTGAATAAACGAGCCAATGTAGGAGTCATGAACATCAGATTGACGTTTAGTTCTCTCATCGACGCTGCCATTCTGCTCATGCGGTCTTCCTCAGATGGCACGCAGACGCAGCCACCATGATATAGAGTTGTAAAAGCCTCAAGAATAATAGCGTCGAATGTGTAAGAGGAGAACTGATAGACCCGCGCATCAGGTCCATATCTCATAGCCTTTCCGTGGTACTTAATTGACGAACAGGCAGCTAGATGATCGACCACAGCTCCCTTTGGTTTTCCAGTGCTGCCGGACGTGAATTGCACATACATAATGTTGCGAGGTTGGACGGCTGTCACGATCGGAGTATCATTAGCAGGCAATGAAGATATCATATCGGGTGCTACGACGACCACGGTTTCTAGCAGTTCTTTGCAGCGGTTTTCGGTTTGTGGAGATGCAATGATGAAACGGGCATTGATATCTTCAAGGATACCTCTGAGACGATCGTTGGGAAATTTGGGATCGAGAAGAACGAATGCACCCCCAGCCTTGAGAACAGCGATCATGGCCACGATTGTATAAAGTGACTTCTCAAAGCAGAGGGGAATACAGTCATCAGGCTTGATTCCAAAGGCAGCAAAATGTCTTGAAAGTCTAGCCGTGACTTTGTCTAGCTGCTCATATGTGTAGGTCGCTTCCCATGATTCAAGTGCATGAGCAGTTGGTCGTTCCCTAGCTCTCTGACTAACAACATCGTGCATGCAACGCTCGACTGCGACAGGAACTTCTGCAGTCCACTGCTGCAGCTGTTTCTTGTCTCGGATGCTTAGGAGATCAACTTCAGATATCAAGGTTTCTGGATTCTTGAAGAGGGAGGAGATTGCAGCTGCAAACGTGTGTGCAATATTCAGTGCGTTGGCACTGGTAACTTTGGAGGTCCAATGAGTAAGGTCAACCTTGAGACCATCATCCTCTGTGATTGCCACATTGACGGTAATATCGAACTATGCCAGGGTTAGTACAAACAAGCTTTATGGGTCGTCAAAAAGTGTTACATACCTCTGTTGGGTCAAAGTCATAAACAGCGTCTAGAGCTAGCTCGCTATTTTCTGCAGCCGGGTATCTCTGGAAGGACATAGCAGTATTGAAAAGTTTTTGACCAGAGAGTCCAAGGACATTTTGTAACTCATTCAATGACACATATTGATGCGACATTCCCTGTAGGAATTCATCCTGCATTATTTGCAGGGCCTTCAATGCAGGGGAGCTAGCGTCAAAATTCTGGCGGCAGACTAACATGTGAATGTAAGGCCCTACAGAATCTTCGATGCCTCTCAGTGGGGCATCACGACCAGAAGTCAAGTATCCGTAGCATACAGAGTCAGTGCCGGTAAAAGCACGCAGAACCAACGCCCAGGCTGTTTGAATTACATTGGCAACTGTAAGCCCATAGCGATCGGAGAATGCTGCAAGGCGGTCGCGCGTCAAGTCGGGTAATTCGACATCCACGGATTCAAGAACAGCATCTTGATCGCGGCCATCATCCAGAATTGGGAAGTGGCACGGCTGAATGTCTTCCAGGTGGTTCTTCCAGAAATCCACTGACTCCTGCGTCTTAGCTTCTTGCAGATAAGAGACGTAATCCGAGTAAGCAAGAGCTGGATGATGGTCTAAGAGCTTTCCGCTGTATGCGCGCTTGAGATCCCTAAGTATGATGGCCATTGATGTTCCATCGATGAGAGCATGATTCACTTCTAGCTTGAAGAAAACACTGCCCGTGCTGGTGTGACAGATCGTCAGTTGATGGGCGACCTTGCCGTCAAAAGCGGTAACAGGCTGTCTTTTTCGGAGATCTTCTATAGGCTCATCGCTGTATATTTCTGATACACGCGCTGATATTTCTTTCAGAACTAGTTGGTCATAAGACTTGCCAGATACAGCACTCTGGATAAAGATAGTTCTCAACGCAGAATGGCGATCAACAACCTCCTGCCAGCTCTTAAGCAGCAACTGGGTATTGATACTTTCAGCCGCTTTGGAGGTGGCTTCAATGATAGTGTAGAATTCATAATCGCCCGAGGTCTTCAGCTGGGCTAACAGAAGACTCAATTGCATCGGGGAGCATGGGATAATGGTTTCTACCTGATTGAGACTGTGGACCCCGGCGGCTGGAAGAATTGTCTCCGTCAGTTCCTCTAGCTCAGAGTAGGATAACAGCGGCAGTGAAGGGAAATCTGCGAAGGTAGCAGTCTCTGCGGTACTTATAAGCTGATCAATACCAGCCTCGAGTGATTGACAGCACAGTGCAATCCATGATTTTATTGACTCCTGGCAAGACATGTTCTTGTTGAACTCGAAGGAAAAGTTCATTCTTCCTCTCTCAACGACACTGGCTGTGATTTCGAACAGTGAATAGCGTTGCATAGTAGGACTAATATCTCCAAGATCGGTGCCTGAAATATCAGTCCCTTGAAGGAGTGCGTCAGCTCTCTGCAGCTGCTGATAAAGACCAGAGTAGTTAAAGAGGATCTCGATATCCAAATTATCAACTGCCTTTGAGGCTTCAGGGTTGAGGCAGGCGGCTGTGAAATATGACCATCCGTTGTTTGGGATCTTTTGACGGTTATCCTTTACTCTCTTCACCACATCCAACCAAGTGAGTGTCTGCGAGTCTATATCAGCTCCCACCGGGAACATGGTTGTGAACCAGCCCACAGTTTGGGAAATATCGATATCGGGTGTCCAAGGCTCGCGCCCGTGCCCCTCTAGAAATACTGAAGGTGCAGTTCGATCAGTGAACACCTTTTGGAAAGAGTAGATCAAAGCGGAAACCATCACATCGACAGGTTGAGTTCGTAGTGATTTATGAGCATCGCCCAAGAGGAGAGTTGTTCTTCGTTCATCGAGGGCAAACGAGGACTCGATAATATCACCCCAAGTATTGGACTGGCCAACCATGCTCCAATATTCAAAGTTGCTCTGAGAGGAGTTAAGCATCGTTACATCCTTAGCAGACATGTTGGAAGAAGCATATTCGCTCTGCAATTTGGACCATGTCTGGAAGCTTATAGTTGGTTGCAATTTAAAGCTTCCTGAAACGAGGAAATCTTCAAGATCCTCGAGGATAATGCGCCACGACACGAGATCAATTACGAGATGGTGTACTGTGATAAAGATATAACTTGTTCCGGATGCTGTGCCCATTTGTCCAGCAATAATCGGCCCTTTGGTAATATCCAGGGTCTTTTGAACACTGGAAAATTGGCTTAACATATCCTCACGGTTGGTAAATGCCTGAGTGGGCTCCACCGAGAGGGAGCAAGCGATATCAGTAGTCAGTTTCTGGCGCCAATGCCCATCGATGTGGGCATATCGAGATCGAAGCATCGAATGGCGTTGCACGATAGCTTCGAGGGCGTTCTTGAATTGGTCCATGGGGACATCCTTGGCTAAGCGTAGTACAAAGCTCTGGTTGAAGTGGTTTTGGCCGTATGGCTGCATATCAAAAAACCTCTTCTGGATCGGAGCAAGATCGAAATACTTGTCAATAATTTCAACATCATGAACCGTATCTTTGGAGTTTGTCTCTTGGATTTCAGCCCGTTTTCCAAGTGCAGACACAGTTCGAGAGCGCAATATGTCCTGAACGGTGACGCCGATTTTCTGTGCGCGTAGACGAGACATAACTTGCATTGCGGAAATGGAATCACCACCTAAAATGAGGAAGGAGGTATCGAGACCAATCTGATCTGTTGGAAGATTCAGGGTCTGGCTGAAGGCAAGTTGTATCTTCTTCTCGAGCTCTGAGATAGGTCGATCGCTACCTATTTTCGCGTTTGCAAGTTTGGCGATGGATAGGTAGCTAGCCTCGTCGACATCCTCGAGCCATCCCTTGACATGTTTACGATCCATCTTTCCAGAAAGATTGAGAACAATGTTCCGCATAACCACCCAGACAGCTGGGATCATGTATGAGGGTAGCTTTTCGACCAGTCGATCTTGAATAGTAGCAATCATCTCAGCGGCTTTCTCTTCGTCGGAACCGCCAATCAACTGGACTTCCCGTTCACTGGCATCGCCCTTTCCAGGTGACAGCTGTTGAAGTGAAAGTACACAAACGAGTCGGCCTTTGTAACTACCAGATGAAGGCACTGAGAGCAAGGCGTGTTTAATCTCTGGGCTCTGAGAAAGATGCACTTCAATCTCTGCTAGCTCCACTCGCTGGCCACGCACTTTGACCTGCGTGTCTTTGCGAGCAACGAAACTCAGAGTACCATCGGGGTTGTAACGCGCAAGATCGCCAGTCTTGTAAATCCGCCGGTACTTTCCCGCAATGCTCTTAGATAGCCATACTGGATCGTCAACGAAAGCATCCCGAGTTTTCTCGGGTTCATTGAGATAGCCTCTTGCGACAGTCGGTCCTTGCACGACGAGCTCACCAACACATCCAACTGGGGTGAGTCTGTTATGATCAGTCGGATCGACGATCCAGATGTGTGCACCGACAGCTTTTCCGAGGATAGCGGGGTTGCTTTGTAAAGTCGCTGGAGGGTTTGCAGAGCAGTATACAGAGCACTCAGCAGGACCGTAGCAGATGATAAGATCGATGTGCTCAGCCCATGTCCGAATATTCTCGTATGTAGAAGCTTCACCACCCAATGTAAGGCGTTTCAATGTAGGCACCTCGGCGGGGGAAAGAAGATTTGCAACAGTAGGGGTCAGGAAGCTGTAGTTGACCTTCATACGATTGATCGCGCCAGCAATGTTGTTCATACGCTCAATGTCGGACGGAACGCAAATGCATCCGCCTTTCATCAAGGTAGTAAAGATATCACCGACGCTAACATCGAAAGTATAAGCCGCAAACTGGAAAACACGGGATTCTGAGGTAATGCCAAACGCTTGACTGTGGGCTGCTGCACTTGTTGCAAACATGCCGTGTTCAATTACAATTCCTTTTGGTTTTCCTGTACTACCAGAAGTGAAAAGAACGAAGACTGGGTTATTGGATGTTGTTCGGCAAGGGATGGGGCTGTCGTCCTTTAAGATGTTCAAAAACTCAGGGCTGAATGCTACCACGTGAGGAACCAGGCTTCCAAATTTGTGACTAAGTTCAGCGGTGGTGATAACGACCTTGGCATTGGCATTGCTGATAATGGTTTCTATTCGGTCAACTGGGTGTCCAGGATCAAGTGCCACACAAGCGCCCCCAGCCTTGACTATTGCCAACATTACAATAGCAGTCCATGCTGACTTGTGGAAACAGTATGGAACAAGAACTTCTGGCCCAACTCCCTGTTGGATCAAAAAGCGTGCAAGCCTGTTTGACAATTGGTCAACTTCCTTATAAGTGAAGGACCCATCCCAGGAGCAGATGGCTTCAGCATTTGGGGTTTCGCGCGCCTGGATTTCGATAATTTGGTGGATACATCTCGTTTCAACGTAGGGGAAGTCGTGGTTCCAGTCCATCAACTGAGAGACGTCTCTATCAGAGCAGAGATTAAGTTTACCAATCGGGGTTGATACATTTGAAGAGAGTTGGCAAATAATATGTTCGAGTTGGTAGCAGATACGCTCCACCTGCCATGATGAGAGCACATTGTTGTCAAAGTCAATCAGGAGCTTGATAAAATTACCCTGGAGCATTGCTTGAACAACTAGCGCGTAGGTGTGAATTCCCACAGCTGGATCAGATCTTTGCTGGATACCAATGGTGCTTTTCAAACTCTCGTCTTCCTCGGGTTGGACGACGAGCAAGTTCTGGAATCCACATGCCATGCGGCATTCCCGATTAATCTTGGCAATATTCTGCAAACCAATATGTTCATATGGTATCATGTCTACTGTTTGAGACTGAACCTGCCTAAGGAGTTGGGAAACAGACCGTTCCTTATCAATTGGAACTCTAACGGGCACGGTGGCGATGGTTGGTGCAATCATATCGGTGATTCCTGGGATATCTGCACTTCTGCCCGCAGTTGTAATACCAAATACAATATCATCGCCCGCATCGGAGTACTGGCTCATCAAAAGGGCCCAGGCGGCTCTAATCAACGTAGAGCTTGTAGTTTCAGAAGCTGAGAGCCTGGATAGAGCAAACTGGTGAGAATGGATTTCATTGACGCGTGGTTCATAGGTAACGGATGGCAAATGTGGGAATTTGGGAGGAGATATGCCGGATAGCTGTCCCTTCCAGAAATTTTCAGCCGCTACTGTATCGGCTCTCTGAAGGTGGTCAATAAAATCCTGGAAAGGAACGGTGCTTGCTTCCAGACGGGCCCCGTTGGCCTTGTATAGTTCTTCAACACGCTTTAGAAGCAATGGTAAGGACCATCCATCGTAGAGCACGTGGTGGGCTGTCCAGACAAAGACCGGTGCCTGGCCATCCCTGTCCATAATGGCGTACCTCGCTAATGGATCACCATACTGCATACTCTTCTCAGAATCTGCTTTCAGATACTCTTCAACATTGGCGGGAGCTTGCCACTCGATACCACGGTTTGTGACCACTTGATAAGCGCCCATGTTGTCTCCTGGGACGATGGTGATGCGCAGTATCTGAATAGTCTGAACTGCAATTTCCCAAGCTTTCCGATATCTTTGGATATCAAGATCAGATGGCAGGTCAAAAACATTCTGATAAATATATGTTCCTGGGCGTCTTTGAGTTACAGCCATGAGACCTTCCTGAAGAGGAGTAGTAGGATAGATATCCTCAATCTCCGATCTTGCGACGCCCCATGTGCTGGTTACATGGTCCAGAATCCGTTCCTTATCATTTAGAAGAGAAAATGGCTGAATCTCAGCCTTCATTTCCCCTTCAATTGATGTATCCAATACTTTGGCCATATTCATGAGGGTTGGCTGTCGGAAGATGTTCGACATAGTCAGAATCTTTCCTTCATTTCTAATAGCTTTGACCAACTTCATAGCGGTGATTGAGTCACCGCCAAGTTGGAAAAAGCTATCTTGTCTGCCAATGGATTGACCAGGCATACCAAGAGCTTCTACCCACATACCTTGCAAGAATTTCTCATTCTCGGTTACTGGTGCCTCCTTAGTAATGCTTGCAAGACCGTAGGAGGAGATCTTCTCAGCACTAAATTCTGAGCCCAGTTCCCGAAGATGGCGACGGTTTAATTTTCCAGACACCGACGTAGGCATGCGTACTAATGGAACAAATAACGAGGGGACCATGTATGATGGAAGGTGAAGAGTCAGAGAATCTTTGAGTGCCAATAGAGATTTCCGCATATCGTCTGTCATAGGTACCATCGGTTCGTCGCCAGAATTCTGTCCCTGCGAATATTTGAGACACAAGAAAGCAGCCAAAACGGGCTGTTCATTTTGGACCTTTGGTTTTATCATTTCAACTGCTCCCGATTGAAGAGCGGCGAAATTTTGCTTCAAATGAAATTCAATTTCGCCCATCTCAATCCGCTGACCGTACATCTTGACTTGGTTGTCACGACGTCCAATAAAACTCAGGGTGCCATCCGGGTTCAAATAACCCAGATCGGCCGATCGATAAAGGCGACGAGATTTAGGACCCTTTGGTAGCCATGCAGGGTTTTCAATGAAGGCAGCGTCGGTTTTTGCTTTGTCCTTTAGATAGCCTCTGGCGAGGATCGGACCCTCGATAAGAATTTCGCCGACTGCACCAACAGGGCAGAGTTTATTTGGATCCTCCGAAGATGTCACCCACATAAGAGCTCCCAATCCAACACCAAGATTTGTAGCAGGCGTATCAACCTTGAGATTAACCAGACCGGTAGACCAGATTGTTGTCTCAGCTGGACCATATATGTTGATGAGGTAAACATGTTCAGCCCAAGTTTGAATGTTCTCCTGTTTAACAGCTTCACCTCCAAGAGAAAGGGTTTTCAAAGTCGGAACTTCACTTGGGTTCAGCAGACTCGCCACAGTGGGTGTTAGATATGCCCAGTTGACATTGAGGCGACCAATGACACCAGCGAGGTCATTCATCTTTTCTTCTTCCGAAGGAACACATACACAACCTCCATATAGTAAAGTGGTAAATATTTCTCCAATGCTAACATCAAACGTATATGCAGCAAATTGAAGTGATCGGGATTGAGGGTCAAGACGCATGGCAGCGCCGTGGTTTCTCATACTGGTGCAGAGAGCGTGATGTTCCAAAACAATCCCCTTCGGCTCACCTGTGCTTCCGGAAGTGAACACAACGAATGCAGGGTTTCGCGAAGTAACAACAGCCTTGGAAGATATGCTAGACGTGATTGTTTCGCTAGTCAGAATCTTGTTATACTGCGAATTCGAGGTCATGACAACGACATGGTCCACGATACCGGAGAACATGGTGCCATGTGAATCATCGGTCAAGACAACTTTTGCGTCGCATTTTCGCAAGATTGTCTCAAGGCGGTTGATAGGATGTGCAGGGTTGAGGGCCACACAGGCGCCTCCTGCTTTGAGAATGGCTAGCATGGCCACAATTGTCACTGTTGACTTTTCAAAACAGAATGGAACGTAAACCTCAGGCCCAACGCCCATGTCCCGAAGGACAGTAGCTAGTCGTTCAGCCCATAAGTTTAGCTGCCTATAAGTCATTGGGCCTCCATATCCCACAGCAGCAGTTGCATTCGGCTGAAGAATTGCTCGCTGTTCAAAAAGAATGTGAAGGCAAGAATCAACAGTTTCCGGGAGTGCGGCATTGATAGAGAACAATTGATTCAGATCATGATCGGAGCACAAGTCTAATCCTGAAAACTTCTGGGATGGCGAGCTTATCACAATTTCTAGACTTTTCTCCAAAGAACCGGCAATACTAGCCATTTGCGCAGCACTAATTGCCTGTGGAGCATACTGCAGAACAAGTTTCACGTTGTTCTCGTTGCAAAGAAGACTGGCAACAACTTTGTACTGTAATTATAATTAGTCTTCGACCTTGGGTTTATCTATGCAGCACTGTAATTTAATTCTTACCTTGGCTATTGCCTCATCGGATTCTGACGGAGATGAAAAGACCACTTGAACCGCAGTATCACAGATGGGAGTCGTTGGCACCAAATCAGAGAGGGAAAGATTCAGATATGGCGAGGAGCTGGCATGCCATTTTTCCAGGCGATCGGCAGCTTCGCCAACGGTGGTCTCTCCCTCCCATTCGACATGGCAGAGATTGTTCTGCACGGAGTCACTTCGGGTCACAGTACTCACAAAGCTTAGCGAGTCTGACGCAAGATACCGGCCCAAAACAGCTGCCCAGGCTGTCTGGAGAGTAACTATCGTAGACGTCGTGGATGCTTGTCGGAAAAATTGGATGGTTGAGCCTGCAATCTTGCAGTCGACCGAGGCTCTGCCGGTGGCGGCAGCGGAAGGAGCAGCCAGGTGACTCAAGAAACAAGGCTCAAACTGGGGTAGGCTCTGTTTCCAGAACTCCTGCGCGTTTTTATACTCCATTTTTGTGTATCTGTAGGTTAATTTACCCTATAGGTTTTGGGGGAATAATTTGGAGAGAGGCGTTAGTGCATTCAGAATAGACCTCGTGTTTCTAGCACGAAGATCTCGGATATTCTGTAATTCGTGTCTTTCAAATTCGTAAATCGCTACACAAACCTTGATACTGACCTGTTTATTATGTAAGAATATGCGCGGTCGTAATGGATGTCTTGATGGATGCCGGTTATGTAGCTTTATGGTTCCTCAGGTAGTAGTGAGGAAGGATGACTCAATGACCAATGAGAAAATGGTTGTTAGAAGGGAATAAATGTATGTCTGAGGCTGGATGGGGAGAGAGCAGGGATTGGTATGGCTAGGTATGTTTTTAGAAGGTAATAAGAGGGATGCTGCGCCAGGGCTCTTGTTGGTCAAGGGAAAGATAGGAGGAAAGAGGAAGATTTGCTTGGTAAAAGCAGTTCAGTGTGAGAATAGAAGTCAAAGAGAAACCCCTAAGTCCGTTAAAAGAATATTTCCTACGAGCTATTAACAAGCTACCACGTGCGGCTTAGCCCATCATAGATGCATAATAGAATTGCTTCATCGTCCGTTTTCAGCTCATTAGAGAGCACTGGTGGGCCAACCGCCCGTGCTGACAATTGGGCCCCCAATGTACTCTGTATTCCTACGTATAGCTTGTCCTAGAATAACTAGAATAATGGCTAAGACAGGCACTTGTTACTATTCGTCCCTCAGGCTAGAACGCACTAGAAGGAGGCTAATTAGAATAACGACAGAATTTAGCTGCATGTACGAATCTTGTTCGTAAAGTGTGCTAAGTATGGATTGCCCAAATACCCGACTGGGGCAATTGTTCCACGTGGGGTTAATTTTATATACTAGTACCACCATGAATCATGGCTGAGAGCAGTTTTATACTATGGGGGCTGGTAAAGCGCCGATGCTGATGGTCGTCATGAGTACCTTGTGTACTTGTATTTCAAATGTTCCGCGTAAAATAGTTCACGCACATATAATACCGCACTCGGATTAGCACTGTAATATACCAATACACTAGCCTGGCTGTATGGTTACAATACCGGTTGACGTACCACATATAATTGAATACATGTACCATGAAGCCAGAATGAAATAGACCAAGGTTTCACCTCCGTATGTCTCCCATGATACCCCAAACAGAAAACGCTCTAGCAGCCCAGGAGCCCAACAACCCGTATGATTGCCCAAGGGCCGTAATCTGATCCCCCACAGTGACAGCCTCATCCGAACATAACCCCATGCTCGCTACAATTATGAAGTAGCAGTTGGGACCTACTATTACGAATCTCCTAAATATCTGCAATATTCTACGAAGTTAATCATTGTTTTTCTGATTTTCCATAATAAACGTATTCCATCTTTTGTCAGTGTGAACAGGGCTTATTTTGCTCGTGCAATCTTATTGCTTCACATATTTTTTAATCTTCAAATGCTGTATATTGAGAGACATGGTACATTAGCCCCATTTCAGCTAGCTGGATGGCTGGTGGTGGCGAATTCGACATTGCTCAGTTACTTGGGTTCGTCGTGCCACCGTCAGAGTGTAACACCTTGGCGGTATCATGCACCATCGATCGTATGAGGATTATTTTGATTACCAGGTACACAGTACCTAATGTCGTGAATTGGTCTAATTTAGCTTCGTATACAAATAAGTAATACACGTAGTAGACGTGATAAGTATTAATACCATGTAAATTTCGTCCTACAATATAACGAACTAGCCTGGCTTATATATTACAGCCACTGATCCTTCGTATAGGTAAGCCACGGAGCGGCCCCCAGACCACCTGTCATCAACAACGATCCTAGCCTGCTTCCTAGGTGATCCTAGTCAGAACTCAGATTCGCCGATAGCATCAACTTAATCAGTTTCTAATCAAGCCCACGTTGATCAATTCGGTTAATGGACCGGTATATCATCCGTTCAGCCAATTAACTAATCTCACTGCCGTGGCTGGCGTCAACTTTCACGTAAGCATTAAGCATGCTGTCTCATCCAATAGTCGCTACCACAATAAATGACTGGTTAGAAATTATGCCGAATAATTTAAAATAAATTAATCCAATAATATCATGTCCTTCTAATGATTAGTGATTGGGAATGTTAGTTTACTCCGAGCTGCCCCAGTCTTCACTTTTCTTTTGAAACCTTCCTCTAAGGGAAATTCCCTTACCAGTCCCGACTGAGAAAAGTCGCCGACTTTGTAACCCAATATGAATGAGGGTCTGGTTTTGCTGCTGCAGAATGGGCTTCGTAAGTAAAAGGACCCATCGCACACGTGGGCAAAAGTAGCAGACCAAGGACCTCAGTAAACACTGTGGCGTCCCAGCTTTTCCCAGGCACAGCCCGCGCTCACGTACATTCAGCTGTTGGCAGGTTAGTCTCGGCGCAAATAGTTCCTGGATCCGGGAGCGGACCGAGTTCAAGAAAGCTAGATCAAACAAGAATAGCAATCTCCAGTATTTAGTGCTCCATATATTTGCTAAGCAGTAATACTCTCTAGTATTGCGTCTCTAATTCTTTAGACGGTTATAGACCAATTCGCACCATACAGAGCTTTCGTGGCGGTCTGGTTTCTTCGTGTATTTTACTTTGGTCTGGACACCACCCGGCGTGTAGCAAAGATACGCGTCACCAACCGCATATACGCGCGATGCTAACCTAAAAATGCGTGATCAGATTGATTTGAAATTATGTTGGATACCTTGAGTCTAGTGAATGTCGCTGTCACTTCCCCTACCCATGTTCGTAACTGCAATAAACACTCGAGGGGCTTCTAGCTCGGTTACTCATGGTTAAGATCATTAGAACCAACCATTTCAAATGGCGTAGTTTTCGTAAAATGGAAAATATTTATTTCGTAGGTTGTATGTCGGATATAATAGAAGTTATGAAAGTTGATAACAATTCCAATGCCAGTCTATCCCTAGCCTTATATAGAAAATGAAAAATAAAACAAAATAATATCACAAGCAAAATGTATAAAACGGAATATTGTCTAAAAGAAAGTTTAACCTCTCCGTATGGTTGCAGACACCAGCTTAGTAGGATCATAGATTGAGCGCCTCTCGTTAACGCCTGGTGAAAGAGGACTGAAGGTCTCCGAAACAGCAGAGTAAGCCGAATGCCTATTCGACTCCCTATCTGCACTTCGTGATCGCTCCCGAGTCGAACGAATACGGAACAACTCATTGACATGGGACCAATGTTCGCTGATGGTAGACCGCAAAGCGCTTTCTTCTTGTGTTTCTCCAGGAGTTGTAGGTTGTTCCTTTTCTGGACTTGTTTCCTCTTGTGGTAGATTTGAAGTAGCAATAGAAAGGCCCTTCTGGATGCGTTCACGGGCCCGGACTGTCTTTTGGCGACGGTTCTCGATTCTTTCGAGCTCAGCCTTTTCTTGGCGCTCATATTCTTGCCAACCGCGACAACTCTTGTAGAGCTCCCGGAACACACTAGGTTTGGCGAGAAGGCGGCGTGGTTGATCGTCTTCTACGAGGATGCCATTATCCATGACCAGTACTCGGTCGAAATCGACAATTGAGTCGAGACGATGAGTGACGCAGACAATGGTACGGTTTTGGAAATGTGTTTTGATGATTTCTTGTATGACCAATTCAGTTTTTGTGTCGACACTAACAATGGCATTAGTAAAGAATGCTTTGAAAAGGGGATATAGAGAAAGAATAAACATACCTGCTAGTAGCTTCATCAAATATGACAATATTTCCACTCCTTAACATTGCCTTAGCCATGCAAAGTAGCTGTCTTTGACCATGAGAGAGAAAGTCTGCAGTTAGTGCAACGTCGAGACCTCCTTTTTCTTCCACAATGCTCCAAATCTCTACCTTTTTCAAGGTATGGATAATCAGTTCGTCAGGGCTATTGTTAAAGGGATCGACATTCTCGCGGACGGTGCTTCCCTCGACGATAAATGGATCTTGGGGCAAGCCGACCAGAGCCGAGCGCACTTCCTGACGGGGCATCTTGGAGATGTCAAGCCCGTCAATAGAGATGATGCCATCATGGATTTCGATCATGCGGAACAGGGCCGAAACTAGTGTGCTCTTACCACTGTTAAAAGTAAGTGCTTTGCCTTCTTCGTACAGTTTCCCACGTTTAAAATAAAATGGTAAAGATAGAAGTTTTGACTTACCTTCCGCTTCTACCACAGACGGCAACTTTCTCCCCACTTAGAATGGTAAATGATACCTTTTTCAATGCCAGTTCAGATGGATCACTATATGAGAAAAATTAGCACCTCAGCATTTTCTTTCTTTCTCTTTTGGGCAGTGAAAACCAACTTGTAGGCAGCCGATACCCCCTCAAAAGTAATAGCACCATCCTTGGGCCAGTTTGGCGGTGGCAACCCGTTCTCATCAGGCAAATGTTCAGATTTCGTGCCCTGGACAAAGTTCTTCACACGTGTAACCGCACCAAGCGAAGTCTCCAGCACAGTCCAGTCAGTAATGAGCGCCTTGATAGACGAGCTCAGTGATGCTACATTAACCAATGCCAGTCCAAGGAAACTGCCTGACATTTTCCCCATTGTGCCAACTGCAATGCCCATCAACATAACGACGAAGCCGGTAACTGTCATATCGAGAACAAGACTTAGCCATCGTTGAACCGCAAATAGTAAGTAAAACGGCCGTTGTGAGTCTGCCAGATGTTTATGGTTGACTGAGCGATATTTATCCTCCCAGCCAAATGCACGAACAGTTGCGAGACCGCTCATGGTTTCCATGAAGTTCGAGAATAATGGCGCGCGTGCTTCAATATCCATTAACCGGAGTTGTCGGGATGTGCGAATGTAGAACTTTTGAATAAAAAAGTATGCCACACAGCACACGGGTATAGTTGCTGCGATGTATTTGGCGGAGACCGCTATAATGATCAATTGTGCGACACAAAGAAGGAATGCTAGAAATTGATCATGAGCAACTGAACACGAAAAGTATATTTTGAATTTTATTCTTTCTTACCAAGAGACATGTTTAGTAATGCTAGGGGGAGTTCAAAATCGATCAATTCCAAATCTTGACTAAATCTGTAGCGCATATTATTAGTAACTTGAGATCGTATCTTCAGAATGCCTCATACCGATTAACTGTTTCGCCAGCGTCGGTTAATGAAAAGAACACCATTGGAGCACTGTGTATTATTAGAATTCCCCCGTTGCTGCACAAGGTTCAAACGAAAACTTACTTGAAGACGGTTTTTACAAGACTTCCATGGACGTTGAGCATAGTAGTCTGAACGACGACCTTAACCAGACACCTATTGGTAATTAGACCAAGCCTTATAATGATTTATACCAAAAGATGAAAGAAAGAGAAACTCACCAAGCAGCAAGAACTAGGAAAATAATTCCCAATACACCCAACATCCAGTAGATTCCTATACGCATTTCCATGTGCAGATTTGGCATTTTATCATTATCCTCGGCCCACCAAGTCACCCAAACAGCTTGACACGTTTGTTAGTTCTCATTTTTGAAGGACTCTATTCTCTCTGAGCATCTTCACTTACAAGGGAATGACTGGAAAAAGACATAGCTGGCCAAGAAGAAATAAAAGACAAACCACGAGATCCATGGAGCGGTCGAAAAATAATACTTATACGTCGAGAAATCACTTTCGCGACGATCATCCAAATTTTGTGTTGTCTGTGGTCCTCCGTGCTGTATTGCGCTGGGCAAATTACTTTTCATAACAATCGCGGGCGGCTTCATGATGTTCATGGGCTCAGCGGTTTCAATATCACCCAGTCGCTTTTGAACATGCTCAAATGAACCTTGAGTAAGAATCGTTCCTTCCGCACTCAAGCCAATTATGTGGTCTGCGAAAGGTAATCTATTCACTACAAGTTTGTTAGCTGCCATTCTTTAATGATCTTTATAAGGGACATTGGAACGAAGGGGAAAACTCTACTGGAATTAGTAACCATGATAACAGTAACTCCATTTGCTCGCAGAAGCCCTTGCGGTCCGAGTAATTTCATAAATATGTGCTCTTCAGTAGTTGGGTCCAGACCACTCATCACATCATCGAGGAGTATCGTATCGATGCGTGAGTATACCGCTCGAGCCAGTGTCTATAACTCATCAGTACTCTTCGATTAAATAAGGGAAAAGATGAGAAATACCAATCGCTGCTTTTGACCTCCGCTTAGTGATACGCCTTTACTTCCCACTTGGGTCTGATCCCCATTGGCAAGCTCTTCGAAATCCTTCTGTAATCCACATGCCTCGACGACAGTAATATACCAGTGCAAATTCCAATCTGAAGCCCCGAGAATATTTTCTTTTACAGTACCATTTGTAAGCCAGGGAGTTTGACTACAATACCCAACACAACTAAAGTAAGTTTTCAGTTTGCCGGTCATCAACGGCGTCTCCCCGAGAAGGGCCTTCATCAATGTTGACTTTCCACAACCAACCGGACCAACAACCATAGTCACAGTTGAGCGTCTGATACAAAAGGAAATGTCATGCAGAATTGAAGGCTCACCACCCTTCCATCCCACAGATATACACCGTGCATCCGCACATATTATGTCAGTCGTCTCATATAGCTTTCCCCCAGACTTCTCATAACTACTAGTGTTGTCTTTTGTTATAGCAAGTGGCGGTGACACTTTTACAGGGTCGCGCAGATCTTCACGCGGCTCCTGAGCAAGAAATTCCCGAATACGATCGATGCATTCGAGTGATGTTGCTGTGTCGGTAAAGGACTCGACAAGAGAACCAACGAAGACAGAAAAAAGGTTAAACAGGGTAAGCGATGTGAATGCACGCTCGCTGTCAAGAGTTCCAATCTTTCCGTTCCGTGAGACGAGAGAGTAGATGGTGAATGAGATGGCCGGCGTCAAAAGTGTGTTGAAATTTGCTATAGCATTGTTAGATTATCGCGAAAAATATTGAATTTGATGCGAAGGAAATCAATCATACCTAAGGTGACAACAACGACAAGAAGTGTGCGAAATTGCTGCGAAACAAGAATCTCGTTCTCGCGCAAAGCTGTTATTTTAGCACTTAGCCTCTCGACCATACCTGACATTTTCGCGCCTTTCATTGCCCCAAGTGTTTCTGCAGTAATGCCGACCCGCTTTTGAATTGCTTCAATCCATAGATTCTGTTTCTCTCCGGCCTTGACAGCCACCAAAAGAGCAATCAGCGTGCAAACTGGTATTTCCGTCAGAACGTCTTTCCGACAATAGAGTGAGGCTAGCAAAATAGTTAACTTACTGAACGAGACAATAATCGGTGCAATACCGGCTGTTGACAGCTGGCCATATAATAGCCAAAGCGACAAAGCCATTTCAACCAATGAACCCCAAGTGTCATGGATATAACGAAATCCGGCGGCAATACGCTCAATATCGGTGCTCATGACCGTCATTGCGGCATTTCCGTCGTCTTTGTACGATGGCATAGTAGTGGCTTTTTCGTAAATCATGGTGATCAAGACACCTCGCATCAGGGCAATTACTCGATATGCCTTGTGCTGTGCCTGAGCTGTTGAAATCTATATAGGTAGACTCATCAGAATGACTTTTGATAATTTGTGAAGGAAAATTGAACGTACTGCGATACCAGTATATACAATCGCAAAGGCCGCAATGAGGGCTACCCCGCGGCTGTGCGCATTCGAAATTTCGTCATCAGAGAAAAGAATTACGGCGCTTCGGATAAGATATGGTTGAGCCATAGTAAATCCGGTTTGCGATAGACGAGGAATAACTCCTGCAAGAAGCTCCCATTTGAATGTCTTCATCAAAGGAATCACAAGAGAATGTGACTTTTCTTTATTCTCACCTAACTCAAAATTGTCAGTTCATTTCCAACACCTTACATTCAAAAATTGCCTTGCTGGTGCTGACATACATTGATCCCACAAAATTGCAAGCTTGTGTTTCACCTCCGGGCTTGGTACCATAGCTTTTTCAACTGGAAATAAATCTTCCATCATCAAGATTTTTTTGGCTCCGGAATAGAGAAGTGGGTTTAGCCACCAGAACAAACTTCGGTTGAATACACCAGCCCAGGTTTCTGGCGACCCGTCTATATATTGATACTTGATAAAACCTCGCTTTTCGTATATCTCGAAAGAAAAAAGTACGACTTTCAAAAGCATGGAAACAATAAACAATGTGGCTTCAGTGTGAAGGCCATCTATGGCCCATATCGTTCTCACGCGCACGATGTCGAATAGTGTGGAGAAAAAGAAATAAAGGCTAAGGAGTTTAGAAGGTCGAACGGATCTAAAATGTTCAAGCTGCGATTGGTATGCGAATATAACTGATACGACAAAGGATAGACTTGTCGCTGCCAAGGTGAGGTCTGTTCGCGGTGTTTGTGGACGCGCCCATAATGCCAACAACAGGAGTTGAAAAAGGCTGTAAACGGCATGGAAAAACTAGGATGTTAACTTGTCAGCTCCGTGATCATCAATATCCTATTTATCCGTTTCGAAGGTTCTTTTTACCAATTTGATAATGTAAAGCCAACCCGCGCGAACTTTTGTCCTCTCGATATGCAAATAAACCATGCGCGGGATCAACAGCAAAAGGAATCCAACCGAAGGCGCAATGGAGAAGAAGGCCTCTTCGAAGAGCAGCGTGAAGTCAAATCCATCATAACAGCTACTATCAACGCTCGGTCCGAATTCATTCTGAACAGCAATCGTACATCTCGCCATCTTCTCGTCTTGCGAAACTTGTGATCGTTAGAGGACTGTGTCGCAATGCTATTTGATCAGGCCATCCCCTTTTTTTCTCTCTCGCCACTTTCTTTGCGTCGAGTATTTTGTTTCTTTCTCGTTACCCAAACAGGATGACTAGCGGGGTGGCAATCCAGCAGAGTAAGAACCAATTGTCTGCCTAGAAGCGGCTGGCTTGCTAGCACCAGACGCGCAGCTAGTTTCCAAAAAAAAGTTGGTTGCAGACTATTCTCCGCTCATCTTACTCAGCGGATATAGCTGGCTTCTAGCTTTTTTCCACCCAGAGTACGCCAAAATAAACAACTGTGACGATGGCTGACGATGGCGTCCCGGAAGCCAACGCCTGTTTTAGTCAAAGTTACGGGGCTGAACGCGCTAATATCCATAACATACATAGGTATTTCAGTATCGTAATATAATACGATTAAAACCTCCATTACTTTCAAAATTTCATACTAAAATCCAATTACGCCCCACTTGGAACTCAAAATTACATGTCTCCGAAAAGTGAAGTCATGGCCCGAATCCCTGATGGTTTGTCGCCCATCTCACGGACAAATAGCCCCATGTAGCAGATGGCGTACGGAGCACACTGCCCTGAAACCTGCAGGCGGGTGTCATAGCTACAGCTAATTGTAGGCACATGGGACGAGCTACCGGGACTGCCACGTGCTGCGCACCATGTAAGAAGCTGCACAGCTATGAAAAACATAGGAGAAAGCAAAATTCCCCGAAAAAAATTCCTCGAAGATCCAACTCCATATCTCGTTATAGTACATCTGATTTTCATATCACAACCTAGAGCTTGGCTAGCATCTTCGACTCTAACCTATTCCCCGGTTGCTTTTATGGATTGCTTTTAGCATCCTCTTTTCATTTTTGACTCAAACGCGGTCCCCAGACTCCTGGTTGCACGATCTTTCAAAATTGTCTTTAACCTTTGTGCAGTTGTCTTTCAATAAGACAATGCACGCCACAGCCACAGATGGCGTGGCTTCCCACGAGGAGGTCCAGCGCCAGATGGTGCGAACCTTGCTCATTGAGTTAATGGCGTAAGGGTCTAGAGCTATATTTTATAAAAGAGAAAATGAGCTGAATACTTTATTATTAGATATCAATTCGCGTCTCCTGTTCGCTGGATTGAGACGCAGGATGTCATTCTCTCGGATTACAAAGCCCAACGAATAGTTGAAATTGGCCCCGCTCCTGTGCTGGTGGGCATGATAAAACGGACCATTGAGACTAAGCGGAAGACAAGAGATTTGGCCACGGGCCTACAGAGACAGCTTCTGTGGCCAGAGAAGGACACTAAAGATGTATATTGCGAGCCAGAGCCAGTGCCACTTACCCCAGATGTCCCAACCCAAACAGAGAAAACTGCTTCATCAACTCCCCAGACAACTTCACAACAACCGATATCAACTTCAGCACCTGCACCCACGGCAGTTGCCCAGGTAAAACTCGCGCCTGTAGAGGATAGGCTCCCTAGCGCTCGTGAGGTTCTGTTTGTTCTCCTGTCCAAGGGTTTGAAGATCTCGGTGGGACAAGTAACCGGGTCCAAAAGCTTGAAAGCATTAACAGGTGGTAAGTCTTCCTATTTCCCCCCTTTTGATCTCCTGAAGATAGAAGTGTTGATTGAAATTTAGGCCGCTCAACCTTGGAAAATGAGATCGTTGGTGATCTGGGAGCTGAGTTTGGCTCGCTTCCAGACCGTGCAGAAGATATGCCCGTGACTGAGCTAGCTGATACCCTGCAAGGTGTTTTCCAGGGTCAACTTGGAAAAAAAGCGACAACTTTTCTTAACTCATTGATTGCTTCAAAGATGCCAGTTTCCTTCAACCTCGCAGCAACAAGAAAATATCTGCAGTCTCGTTGGGGACTAGGCTCCGGCAGGCAAGACTCTGTTCTCCTGCTGGCCATCGCCACTCCTCCCCCATCCAGAATAGAGGCAGATAAAAATGCAGAGGAGTTTCTCGATCAACTTGTCCGACAATATGCTACCGAACATGGACTATCCCTTGATTCCCCTACCAGCTCTTCCGGTCCAAGTTCTGGTGATGCAGTCACCCTTGATCCAGCGACGTTGTCGGCACTCATGGGAGGAAATCAAGATCTCTCCAAGAACTTGTTAGGTGTCTATGCGAAACATTTGGGTCTAGACTTAGACCACGATAAACGTACCCTCGAGGAGTTTCACACCACCGTCGAGGCAGCCCTGCGCCAAGAGCTAAATCAGGTCACCCTTGAACTAGGTGAAGAATTTACTTCCGGAGTTCAGCCACGTTTCAATAGTCACGTAATCCGCTCTTACGATTCCTCGTGGGCATGGGCGCTGCAAGACTTGTTACAACTATATTACGAAATCGTCAAAACTCCCCCGGGACAAGGAGAAGCTCAGAGACGGAAGATCGCTGAACGCTGTAGCCATATTGCACTCGCCGCTGAGCCAGCCATAATTCAGGTCATTGAGCATATGACCTTGAATATAAAAGAATTGCAGCCCTCTATGGTATCATTTCTTCAGGATCTGAAGAAGAAATGTCAGAACACCATTCTCAATGGACCAGCGTATCACTGTACACCTAGCCCGGTTGTTCCTCGAGTAACCGTTGATGCACAAGGCAACGTCAAGTACACTGAAGTCGAGGACACTGCTAACACGTCTCTTTTCGATTTGGCAACCTCGCCACAACTTGGAAAACCCTCATCCCATGCGCCACATCTGCACATCAAACGAAGAGTGGGGCATGTGTGGAAATACTCCGAGTCACTTACTAGTGTCTTCCGAGGTGCCTTGGAAAAGGCACAAACGGGAGGCGAGTCCTTCTCCGGTCGATCGGTTCTGATTACTGGTGCTGGAACTGGTTCTATCGGTGCTGAAATGTTAGCAAAACTGCTTAGTGGCGGTGCACGTATCATTGTCACTACCACCAGATTCTCACCAGAGGTTGCAGGCGAGTATCAGAAAGTCTACACCGATTTCGGTGCTCGTGGCTCCCAATTAGTTGTCGTTCCTTTCAATCAAGGAAGTGTTCAGGATATAAATGCATTGGTCGATTATATCTACGATCTAAATGGGCTAAATTGGGATCTTGACTATGTTATTCCATTCGCCGCTATTGCTGAAGGTGGGAGTACCATTGACAAGATCGGCCACCGATCAGAGCTCGCACACCGAATCATGCTTATCAATTTGCTTCGTCTGCTTGGTGCGATCAAGACCCGTAAGGCGGCCAGAGGCTCAAACACATCTCCGACACAAGTCATCCTACCTCTCTCTCCTAATCATGGCGGTATGGGTGGTGATGGTTTGTATGGCGAATCAAAACTTGGTCTTGAGACACTATTTGAGCGCTGGCACTCCGAAGACTGGTCAGATTACCTTTCTATTTGCGGTGCAGTGATTGGATGGACTCGTGGCACGGGTTTGATGAATCACAATGACCTTGTCGCTGAGGGAATTGAGCGCCTCGGAGTCAAGACCTTTTCAAAGAGTGAAATGGCTCACTTCTTGATATGCTTGATGTTTTCCGATCTTGCAGCGAGATGTGAAGAAGAGCCTCTTTACGCAGATCTCAGTGGTAGGATGGGACAGTTGCCTAATCTCAAAGATATGGTCCAAAACATCAGAAATGAAATCAACGAAACTGCTGAGACCCGACGGATGATTCTTCAGGAAGACTCTTTGGAGTCCGAATGCTTCAATACAGCGCAGATCGACAAGAAAGCGACGTCTACAAACCCAAAACCGAGTCTGACTCGTAAAGCCTACATCAAGTTAGACTTTCCCTCTATTCCAGACTATGATACTCAGATAGGGCCTCTCACAGATGATCTTCATGGTATGCTTGATCTAGAACGAGTCATCGTTATAACTGGCTTTGGAGAAATTGGCCCTTGGGGAAATTCCAGGACCCGATGGGAAATGGAAGCCTATGGCGAATTCTCACTAGAAGGCTGCATTGAGATGGCTTGGCTCATGAACATGATCAAATATGTCAATGGTCCAATCAAAGGTAAAGCATACTATGGCTGGGTCGATAGTAAGACAGGAGACCCTGTCGCCGATCTGGATGTGAAGAAAATCTATGAAAAGAGAATTCTTGAGCACTCCGGTGTTCGTCTTTTGGAGCCAGAGATCTTCGAGGGATATAACCCTGAGAAAAAGCAGACTTTACACGAAGTATTTATCCAGGAGGATTTGCAACCCCTTGAAGTTCCAGAAGCTACAGCCCAGCAGCTTAAGCTTGAGCATGGTGACAAAGTAGACGTTCTCAAGCTATCCGATTCCGATCTTTATAGAGTTACTCTTCGGAAAGGCGCCAAGTTGTTCATTCCCAAGGCCATCAAGTACCACCAACTAGTAGTTGGCCAAATTCCAACAGGATGGAACCCTAAGCTGTACGGCATTCCGGACGACATTATTTCACAGGTTGATCCAGTTTCCCTTTTTACACTTGTCAGTACTGTTGAGGCTTTGCTTTCGTCAGGAATTACGGATCCTTATGAGGTTTATAAACATATTCACGTCTCGGAAGCCGGAAACTGCATTGGCTCTGGTATCGGTGGCTTCCAAGCGTTTCAGAGGTTATTCAAACTCCGATATATTGAAAAAGATATCCAAGGCGATATTCTGCAAGAAGCTTTCATCAATACTGTAGGTGCATGGGTCAATATGTTGCTCATGTCAGCGTCTGGGCCGAACCGAACACCTGTTGGTGCTTGTGCTACTGCCCTAGAATCTCTCGAACTCGGGTGCGACACCATTATCAGTGGAAAGGCGAAGTTCTGTCTTGTGGGTGGTGTAGATGACCTTCAAGAAGAGTCTACCACGGAATTTGCAAACCTCCAAGCTACGAGCAACAGCGCCAAGGAGTTTGAGCGCGGAAGAAGCCCTCGAGAAATGTCTCGACCAACGGCAACTTCCCGCGCCGGTTTCATGGAATCACATGGTGCAGGTATACAAGTCATAACCAGCGCCAAGCTAGCACTTGAAATGGGTCTCCCGATTCGTGGCGTCGTTGCATTTTGTGAAACAGCCATGGACAAAGCAGGCCGATCGTTGCCAGCACCTGGAAAGGGTCTCTTGTCAAAGGCACGAGAAGTCCCTTATGAGTTCCCATCGCCATTACTTGATATTTCGAGTCGCAGGAAAAAGTTGGAATCTAGAAGAGCTCAAATTTCAGATTCGCGAAAGGCAGCTATACAGGAACTAAATACAGAGGTATCTCATGCGCAAGGCGAGAATCCCGCATTTAATTCCAAAGCCTTCTTCGAACAGCAGATGAAGCAAATTGATGAGCAGGCCCTTCAGGAGGAACGGGACGCACAATTCGCTCACGGTAACTTTTTCTGGAAGGGCAACTCTCATATCGCACCGTTGCGTGGAGCGTTGGCCGCTTGGGGCCTTACTGTTGATGACGTGAACGTGGTCTCCTTCCACGGTACGTCTACACAGCTTAATGAGAAGAATGAATGTAGCGTTCTCCAAACTCAAATGACACATCTCGGTCGTACTCCTGGAAATGTTGCAATTGGTGTGTTTCAAAAGCATCTTACCGGCCACCCGAAAGGTGCTGCTGGTGCTTGGATGTTAAACGGAGCATTGCAAATTTTGGACACCGGCCTCATCCCCGGTAACCGAAATGCTGACAATGTTGACGAAGCACTACGCAAGTTTGATCATGTTGCATTTTTAAACAGGAGTATTCAAACTGATGGCTTGAATGCGGTTTCCGTGTTATCCTTTGGCTTCGGCCAGAAAGGCGCTCAAGCTATTTGTCTCCATCCAAAATATATGTTCGCAACTTTGGACCGCTCAGAGTACGATTCATATCAAATAAAGCTCAGGGAGCGGGTGCTCAAGGCTGATCGGTTTTTCTCTCGAGGTCTTATATCTCAATCATTATATGATGTGAAGACTGTGCCGCCATATGCCAAGGAGCAAGAGATGGCTGTTTTACTTGACCCGACAGTCCGTTTCCCGATGAGTGAGAAATGATTAGATAGTGTTATTTTTCTTTTCTTGTTCTTAGTGTTTTCTGCATGTGTTTATGTTCATTCTAATATTATTCAGCTTATCTCGGCATCATTGGACTCATATTTCAACGCGTATCTTCCTCTCAATTTGTTTATCGTCAGACAGTATTGCCAACGACGAACCCAAAAGCCAAGGGTCACATATACACATTCATTTTATGTATGTATTTTCTGAGGTGAATGTATATATTCCATATTAGGTCTAGCAATTGATTTGTTTTAAGACTCAGAAAAAATTATATATATGTACTAATCATTTCCTGAATCAATGAATATAAGACAATAACCTAGATTCGAATTTCGGCAATTGCATTTTCATTGAGTTAATGATTCCTACAGCTCAAAAACGTTGGTTTCACTTTTCGTAGACTGCAGATTCATACATGTAAAGCCGATCAATTAATCCACATCAATCTAGATCTTCTTTCAAACACATAATTCTTGTTTCTTAAATGATATTAATTTGATCGTACATAGTGATGTATGCTGACTGCTCCTGATGTCATGGACCATGATGGCCTCGACATCCTAAACTTTGTTCCCAACCCATCTAGTATGTGCAATTTTACCTAGGCGCGCGATCTACATCTCCCCAAGACAATATTTCCAACAGAAACTGTAAGTTGAAAATCAACCATTATTCCTTTCCCCAGGCACTAGCTCAGATCATAGTGGGCGGTGATTGGACCGGCAAGGCCCAACTTCATTGGTTGAATTTGGCCCTATGGAAAGGTCACATGAATGGTTCACTGGTGATGATTGATCGAGTGTTTTGCGTGGGGTTGGCAAGGATCACCCCCACTCTGCCTCGCATAGGTGGGTCGAGCAAAGCATAATAGCGGGCTATATGGAATGTTCATAAAATACCGCTAACTACGCCATAAATACTCGGGACTTTGAGCGAAGTGGGGCTGTAGTAGGTTTGAGTTTAATCCGCTGGCGTTAAAATTATGAGCCCCACTTGCGTTTTACATACGGTATGTTTCGTCTATATTAATTACAAGCCGTATCGGGTGTAAATTACCACATACAGGCTCATTACGCCCCAATGTTAGAGGTATTGTAATCTTTCAGTATACGAAGTATATCTCGTACCAATATACTCTACATAGCCAGTTTGACATCAGCGGATGGAGTTCATTTATTTTTAAGTGGAAAACACCAACAGTAGATGATACTTTGCTCCACGAGGCTTGGGGCCTTTCAGCTACTCGGTTCTCAAGGGAATGTAGTGCTTATTTTTGGAACTAGCCTCGCTCCTATGCTTGTTCTCTCGACTTAATGCTTGCAATGGCGTTCAAGGTACGAAATATTGCTCATAACTCACCCACCATTAACCTCCGCTCCATTTGAATCTTGATTAACTTTTCATCCGACATTCTATTACGTGAAGTTCTGACCTCACAAATTGTTTTCAGGAGTCTAGACACCGGAATGAAATCGTCCAGTGAAATTTGTGCAAGGGAAGCGAGGGAATAACAAATTCTCTCTTCTCATTTTTACACCCCTTCTCCCTCCTATTTTCTCCGCCTTCCTTTCTCCCCCTTGATCCACGATGAGTACGTTCAGAGATCTCGGTCCTGGCTTGAATGGTCTATTGCTCGACATGGCACACGTCAAGCATACACCGTCCTCCTCGGCACTCTCGGATTATACATGGACATCGAGCGTCGATGGAATGGGAAGTCCAGACCTACAGGGTCTCATGGCTGATACCCCCATGACTGAATTCGACGATCGTTTTTACGGTGCACGAATCAACCAGAGCGCTAGAAACTCCAAGAATGATGCTAATCTTGCTGCCGTTCTAAAGAAGGCAAGCTCTCCAGACATCGACCTCGTGTCCAGGGTCGAGGCATTGTCGTCTTATATGCAGCGGACATTGAACCAAGGCCACCCGTCGGACAATTGGTATTCACTCAGAAAATGCATTGAACATTTCAATCAATTTATTCTCTGCCAAGAAGATATCCATGCTCTCTTAGCCTCTCTTGAGCTTGACCGCGAGAGAAAGCTCGAAATTCTGCACGCATACTACTCTGTGAGCTCCATGGTCGACTGGACTCCTGGCCCTGTTGGCAGTGCACTTCTCGGAGAAGCGTCTGCTAAACGGGCGAAAATAATTTGTGTCTTTGGTGGCCAAGGTGTTGAGAGCTATCTTAGAGAGTTACGGGAAACATACGACACCTATCAACCTCTAGTACAAACTTTTATTACACACCTCTCAGACCACTTGCAGATGCTTGCATCCGATATTCGCACCAAGTCATTGTACCCCCATGGCCTTGACGTGCAATCATGGTTAGAGAAGCCAGACACAACGCCAGATTTCGATTACATAATGTCGGCGCCCGTCAGTATGCCTTTGATTGGCCTGACACAAATAGTTCATTACTTCATTGCATGCAAAGTATTCAGTATGTCGCCAGGCGATCTCCGACAACACTTCATAGGAGCCGCAGGTCACTCCCAGGGCATAGCTGTTGCGGCTCTTCTTAGCACAGCATCTACTTGGGGGTCACTAGATACTGCGGCTCGGGCTGCTCTAACCGTCCTGTTCTGGATTGGCTTCCGGTCTCAACAGTATTTCCCTCAGAGCTCAACCCCTCCAGGTTCAGCAGGTGAGGATACGGATAAGATCTCACCGATGCTGAGCATCAAGGGTTTGGCTAAGAAGCAAGTGGAAAGACTTATAAATGAACTCAATGCCTACCTTCCATCTTCTCAACAGATGCATCTTGCTTTGGTAAATAGCTCTCGTCATATTGTTGTCGGTGGTCGACCGCTTTCACTTTATGCACTTAAAAAGGCACTCGCTTCATCATATCCCAGTGCCACCGATCAACAGGTCACCCGAGTACCTTTCAGCCAGAGGAAACCAGTTGTAAACACCCGATTTCTGGCATGCAGCGTCCCATTCCATACCCCTCTTCTCGAAGGAGCTGAGAAGCAGATCCAAGAAGATGTTAGCCGCCTCATTTTTAAGGGTAGTGACATTCCATTCCCTATCTTCCGCACAGATAACCATGCCGATCTGCGCCACTCTGAAAACCTCATTCCGGCGCTCGTTCGGATGATCACTCTCGAGACAGTCAACTGGGAAGGCAGTCTTGATTTCCCGACCATTACCCATGTGGTCGACTTTGGGCCCGGTAGAGAGTCCGGCATGGGAGCATTTGTGAATACTCTCAAGGCTGGTACTGGGGTGCGGACCATAATTCCAAATGTCCTTCAAGGTCCCAGCAAGGTTTTGGGGTATGCATCTGAATTTTACTCTCGCAAGAAAGATGTTTTGTACACCCAGAACTGGAAAGATCAGTTTGCACCCCGGCTTATTCGTACCGCTAATGGCACAACTACGGTCGACACAAAATTCAGCCGGCTACTTGGCCTACCTCCTGTCATGGTTGCTGGCATGACGCCGACAACCTCGTCATGGGATTTTGTAGCCGCTGTAATGAACGCGGGATTTCATATTGAATTTGCTGCTGGTGGTCATCATAATGCCGCAAGTATGAAAGATGCACTCATGAAGCTTGTTGAGAAAATCCCGGCAGGACGAGGGATTACATGCAACATCATTTATGCTAATCCTCGAGCCATGGGATGGCAGATCCCACTGCTAGCCGAGTTGCGCAAATCCGGTATACCAATCGAAAGTCTGACGATTGGAGCAGGTGTTCCTTCAATTGACATTGCCAATGGCTACATCAAGGATCTTGGTTTGAAGTACATTTCCTTTAAACCAGGTTCTAAAGATGCGATTGATGGTGTTTTACAAATTGCAGGCGCGAACCCTAGTTTTCCAATTATTCTCCAATGGACTGGAGGACGTGGCGGTGGCCACCATTCCTTTGAGGACTTCCACGAGCCTATTGTTGAGAAGTATAAGCAAATCAGATCACATCAGAATATCGTTCTAGTGGCTGGAAGCGGCTTTGGAGGACCGGATGATACATACCCGTACCTTACAGGCTCTTGGGCCACGAAGCTAGGTTATCCCGCTATGCCATTTGATGGTATTCTCTTGGGAAGTCGGGTGATGGCTTCGAAAGAGGCTCACACTAGCCCTGCTGCAAAGCAAGCTATAGTCGAAGCCCTTGGAGTAGACGATGCTGACTGGGAGGGTACATATAAACGCCCCACTGGTGGTATTGTTACAGTGAAGTCAGAAATGGGAGAGCCTATCCACAAGATAGCAACGAGAGGCGTGTTGCTTTGGTCGGAGCTTGACCAAAAAGTCTTTTCTCTTCCCGCCACAAAGCAACTTCAGGAATTGGAGAAGCAGAAAGACTACATCATCTCGCGATTGAACAAAGACTTCCAGAAGGTCTGGTTCGGCAAGAGTGCGACCGGCGAGCCTGTTGACATTAATGAAATGACATATGCACAAGTCCTACGGAGAATAGTTGATATTCTGTATGTCAAGAACAACAACAATAGCGGTACATGGATTGATCCATCGTACAAAAAGTTCTTTGGCGACGTCGTTCGATGTGTTGAGGAGACTTTAGGCTCACGAACCCGGAAAGATGCGTACCTTCAAACCGCTTTCCAGCTCGATGGTGCATTCGATTTCTTGAATGGATTCTTTGCTTTGTATCCAGAGGCTGAGAAAGACGTCATCACTGCTCATGACACGAATGCTTTCACACACCTCTACGGTCGTCCTGGGCAAAAACCCCTTCCATTCATCATTGCACTCGACAACACATTTGAGTACTGGTTCAAAAAGGACTCGTTGTGGCAGTCGGAAAACCTTGAAGCAGTTTTCGAGCAAGACGTTGGCCGAGTGTGTATCTTACATGGTCCTGTTGCTGCCCAGTATACTAAGGTGATCGATGAACCTGCAGGAGAAATTCTAGGCAACATGCACGAGTCATATGTCCAGCGTATCCTGAAGGATCGCTATGCCGAGAAACACTCGAATGTTCCTGAGGTTTCTTATCTTTATCGCAATTCCATGGCCCTTCCCGCTGATAAAGAGAACTTGCCTGGCGTCTTCATGCAGCGTTGTGATGAGCCTCCTATGCTCATATTCCGACTGGATGATTCTAGCAATACCCTACCAGAGCCCGAACAGTGGACAAGTCTTCTCGGAGGGGATCAGCCTTCATGGCGTCAAGCTCTACTCACCCTCGACGATGTGGTGCAAGGAAAGATGCAAGTGCCGAACCCAGTCAAGCGAATGTGCGCACCCCGCCCTGGGCTGAGTGTCCAAATTATCAAGCCAGAAAACCCAAAGGAAACATCGATTATTCTCAAGCAAAAGTCTCGTGCTGCCGACTGTGATACTGCTTGGGTAGAAATAAAACTGGTTTCTCCTCAGGAAATAATGGTGACACTATTGGAACCTCATGTTCCATGGCGGAAGTCCGAAGCTCTTACTTTCAACTTTGCCTATAAAATTGGATCTGGTGTTAATCCAATTCAAGAGATTACCCAGGATCGTGAGTCACGAATCATGGAGTTCTACCGCCGTATCTGGATTGGCGAAGAAGGGTCCCAGCCCAAAAAGGCTGCTGAGAAGACAAGACATCGCTTTATGGCTACGCGGAAGAATATCATTGATTTCAATCAATCCATCGAGAACAAGAATGCTGCGTATCAATGGAAAACAGATATGCCTCTTCTAGCCCCTCTTGACTTTTCAATTGTTATTGCCTGGAAGTCTCTGATGGGCTGTCTTTTCTCAAATTCCATTGGGGGAGACTTCTTGAAGCTGCTTCACTTAAGTAACAAGTTCGAAGTTCTCAACAATGCAACTTCTGTTCGTGAGGGAGACGTTCTCTACACTACATCAGAGATCAAGTCTATAAAAATAAAGAAAGATTCGGGAAAGCTTGTCGAAGCACATGCGACTATTCACCGTGATCAGAAACCAATCATTGTAGTGAAGAGCGAATTTATAATCCAAGGCTCCTTTGAAGACTACGAAAACACATTCGAAGTCATAGAGGAGCAGCCCTATCAGATTCGACTTGGAACCTTGAAGGATGTTGCCGTGCTCAAATCGCGCAAATGGATCAGACTCTACCCGGGCCTTGACCTGAGGCAATATATTGGAAGAAATCTTGTCTTCCGCCTCCAAAGTCGTTACACATTCAAAGACAGTGTCTCTCTCGGCCGTATTGAGACAACTGGAGAGATAAGGGCAGCTCTGGACACCTCCGAAGCGGTTATTGGATCAGTGCATTTAAATACCTCCGCATATGCTACGAACCCAGTTATCAGCTACTTGAGCCGGCATAGCACTGAGACCGAAAGCGTTAGCCATTTACCTGCGCCTATCGCCTTGTGTCCAGAACTTAGCATCCGGGCTCCAGAATTGAGCGATCAATATGCCCGCGCATCGGGTGACTACAACCCAATTCATGTATCACAGGCATTTGCTCTTTATGCAGGCCATGACGGCAAGGTCATTCATGGAATGTACACGAGTGGCGTCGTCCGTGGACTTGTAGAACTGCACATCGCAGAAAACGAGCCAGAACGTATTCGCTCCTGGTCCACGTCATTCAAGTCAAAAGTGAGCCCAGGTGATATACTTAAGGTCTCCATCAACCAGACGGGTATGCATGATGGCCACCTAATGGTTTCAGTCACCGCTCGCAATGCTGAGACTGGGGTTGAGGTTATCAGTGCCACGGCAAATATCCTGCAGAAGCGTACCGCCTATGTCTTTACTGGGCAAGGGAGCCAGGTTCCAGGTATGGGTATGGAATTGTACGAAAATAGTGAAGAGGCGCGGAATGTTTGGGACACAGCCGATCGCCACTTCCAGGATACATACGGATTCTCTATCATGGACATCGTCCGCAGGAATCCGAAAGAACTGACTGTTTTCTTCGGAGGACGTCGCGGCCGTGCGATTCGCGAGAATTACTTGTCTCTTACGTTGGATGTTTCCGACGGCCATGGAAATTTATCGACTGTGAAGGCTTTCCCGGAGATCACGATCTCCTCTCGGTCTTATACATACAAGTCCGAAGGGGGGTTACTACATGAGACAATGTTCACGCAGCCCGCTATGGCTGTGTTAGAGCTTGCTCGATTCCAAGATATGCAGGCTCGTGGCATTATTGATCGCAGCTGTTGCTTTGCTGGTCATTCTTTAGGTGAGTTCATGGCACTAGCAAGTCTCGGAAAGATCTTCAAAGTAGAGGAACTGGCAACTTTGGTGTTCTACCGCGGTCTTGCTATGCAGAAAGCTGTTTCGCAGAGTGGTGAGCAGGTGCCCATTGAATATTCTATGTGCGCGGCAAACCCAACTCGGATTTCACCAGGTATTTCCTTCCTTCCTTCCTTCCTCCAAATGGATTAAGACTACTGTGGCTAACAATAATCAGATTTCCGAGAAAAGGATCTGCGACTAGTGGTCTCCGCTGTTGCAAGAGAGACTGGCGGTCTCTGTGAAATTGTTAACCTTAACGTCGAGAACATGCAGTATGTCTGCGCGGGAGAGGTAGCTATTTACATCATTATCCTAGGAAGAAACTGTCTAACATGATTAATTAGGTCCGCTGTTTGGACGTCCTCGCTGGTGTATTGGATTATCTAGTCTCTCACCGAATTCCTCTAGACACTAGTGCGACAGGAACACCTGCAGAGCTGAAAAACGTTGTTCAATCTGCCCTGGCAAAAACAATGGCCAAGTCCTTACCGCTCATCCTTGAGCGTAGTAAAGCCACCATCCCGCTCAAGGTAAACGTACCGTTTCATAGCAGTCTTCTGAGATCGGGCGTCGGCTCTTTCAGACGACTACTAGAGCGGTCGATACCTCCACATATGGTTCAGCCTGAACTGCTTATTGGGAAATACATTCCCAATCTAACTGCAAGACCGTTCGAGCTATCTAAAGCATACTGCTCCGATATCCTAGCCCTTACGGAAAGTCCACGAGTGAAAGAGATGTTGGATAATGTAAGTTCTGCTAATTCCACCTCCAGTAATATCACAGGGAATACTTACTCACAGTTTTCGCAGTGGGACAGATATACCGGTGTAGCGGCTTAACTTGGTGAATACATTTAAATAAAATGGAAGTGGAAGCCGACAAGCAAAATCGTGGATGATGACAGAGTTTAAGTGCATTTCGTCTCTCACTCGCTAAAATTTCTGTCTCTTTTCTTTCTCCTTGCTTTCTCTAAGTCTTGCAATTTTTTATTTCAGAGCATTGAAGCAGTCTTTAGAGTTGCTATTTTGTTATCCTACCATAGTTTTGTATATTTTCATGCATATTATTGTTTCTTGCACATGAGTCTTCGTAGTTGTACTTTCTGGCAGTAATCTCAATCAATACAAACTTCGTGAAACTGCTGGTTCATATCTAATTTGCTTAAGCAAGAGTCTTCAAAGGATTGAATTGTCAGAGAGATATAAGAAAGATAATTAGGAATGAATGGGGTGATTGAGCCTACTCAGATATGAACTTAAAGTCAAATAATCGATACTCTATCAAATACGTAAGTGCTATTCTATTCATTAAATCAGATAACATGTATAAAAGTGAACTCAATGGCCAAATACAATAAAAAAATCCACCATTACAAAATATTTGCCGAAACACCAGGAGAAACCTTCTCCAATTCCACAATAAGCTCCTTGAATACTCTTTCCTGGGTTTCTTTGCCCTTAGAATTCGATACATTGGCAGCCGGTCTAAATTTTGGTTAACAATGCTGTCAGATAATCTATGACTCTCTATGAAACAGTAATTTACTTACGGTGTCACTTTACAATCTCGTAAGTATTGACCATGAGTGTCGTCATGTGTTTCGGCTGCATGAACGAGAATACGACTCCCTACTTCTGCACTTCTTGCGACAACAAGCTTAACCGCCCCAAGAATTATTTTAGAAACGGCAGGGGCTTCTCTCAAGAGACTTGTTCTGCATAACCCTGGAGTACAAGCATTGACTGTTATGGCAGGCTTGTCAGAGTTGTCTAGCTGAGTGGCCAATTCTCGCACACCATAAATCTGCAGCAACTTGGATGTATCATATCTATAAGCATATAAGAATCAGTTTACTCACCATATAATAATTTGCTACTATGGAGTGGAGCTCTTACCTTTCGTCCATGTTGGACTTGGATTTGTCATTCAACACGGCAAAAATCGGATCTGATTTACTCTCACTGAAAGAAGTAGTCTCATGACCTTCACTCGACACAATGACCACGCGAGGCCTTACTTGACAGTCCAATGCAGTCTTTCTCAGCGTAGGTAGAAGCAAAAATACGAGCAAAAAAGTGTACAGGACATTTACAGCAATAGACTTCTCTATGCCTTCGACGAGTTCAAAGTGATTGGTACAGACACCGGCATTTGCCACGAATGCATCAAGCCTTTCAAGCCTAGAAGCTTTTTCTGCAAACTCCTTTACACTTTTTTGACTTTCCATATTAAGAAGCCATACTTCAGTTTTGTCTCTCTTTTGTGTGGATGAGGATATTGACTCTTGCGCTGATTTTCCTTTCTCCTCATTTCGAACACCTAAGATGACTTTTGCTGCACCTAGTCGGACAAAGTGTCGAGCGGCCTCTAGACCTAACCCAGTATTTGCTCCAGTGACAATTATTACTTGACCGCTGAAACTGTGGGAGGGATAGGGCAGGGATGCGAATTGGGAGGAGAAGAATCGTCCCACGTAAGATCTTTCGGAGCTAGGCATGATTATCGATTGTCACAAAGCGTGACTCTCAAGAAACACTTGAGACTTCTGTGAAAAAATTAAGATATTTTTCTCCGATGGCTTGACTACCCAGTTTGATAAAGATAGTGTAAGTTGGTGCCTGGATCGCGTCAACAGATTACCATTGTTGATAGAATAGCTTAATGATAATTCCTACTTCAAATTGTTAGTCAACAAAGAGGAAATTTCCTCTAGAACTCCGATTCTCAGCTAGAGCACCTCTGTGGAGAGCCCATTCCATTCGGCAAAATGAGAATGTTTCGGTCTCCACAACGTGAACAGGCAACCCACGTGTCTGAGAAGACAACTCTCCGGAGATCGAGACTCCTTCGGCCCCTTGCAATTACGTTTCATGCTCATTATTTTCAGCTTAGTTGTCTGTTGGATGACAACGTTGGGCTTTGAGGAGTGATAATTTTTCACGCCACTTAAGAAGTAAAAGTTTCGTATACTAGCGTGAAATACCAGAATACCGCGCTAAAATCGGTAAGTTACACCTGAACTTTCATGGTTTCCGTAAATACCCCCGTTTTTACGCTAGTATTGTTATTTACCTGACTAACTTACAGCTTCAGCCGCATGCGCAAATTTAGCAATGGTCTCCTCCCTCGAGAGTAACGTTTGCTATGTTTACGTAGCATAGCATTGAAGTATCTGAAAGGTGACTGAGCCTTAATGGGCCTTTTGTACGACCCACAGAAAGTCGGGCGGAAATTGTCGGTCGAGGACAAAAGACGATCAGGCCATGGCTACAGAACAGAGGCGACTATACGACATATCAAGACAGTCAGCATGAGCATTGACATATAACTTTATGTGTTCATTTTGTGTTCCTTCGGAACTTTCAGTGTATTGCATGATTTATTGTTAAACCCCGAAGAAGGGGAAAGTATTTCATAACAGACGTTATCTGAATTCTTGATTTTATTTCCCTTCTTCTCCTCCATCGTTTCAAAAGGAAATACTTATGAAATAAAACATGCTGGCTTCAATCCTTCTCAGACTTGTCTTGGTCCCTTCTGGGATTGGACTTCTCGGCGTATGATACTATTTTTTTTTTTTCTTCTCTTGATTTCCACCCTGCGGCTTGCTAACTTTGGTAAAAGCTTTTGGGCTTTGTGGTGTATAGACTTTTCTTCCATCCATATGCCAAATATCCAGGCCCCTTTCTTGCCAAACTTACCAATCTATACTCCGCCTATCATGCATGGAGGGGTGACCTCCATCTTGACATGTGGCGATGCCATGAGAAATACGGTAATGTCGTTTGTTCCAATTGTCTAAGCACCCTCTAACGCCATAGATAGGCAATTACGTTCGCTATGGACCGAATGAACTTCTTGTAAATACCGAATCTGGGTTGAAGGGTATGTCGAACACTTAGACACAATTTTACGTTAACGTGTATGTTAACGTGTATGTTAGATATCTACTCTCATGGGAAAAAGTTCAAAAAGTCAGTGAAATACAGTGCCATGGTCCACCGAGCGACCAACACCCTCACGGAAACCGATAGGAAGAAACATGGCAAGAAACGCCGGTTGATCAGCCAAGCTTTCTCTGACTCCACGCTAAAAAGCTACGAAGATGCTGTTTTAACTCATGTCCAACAACTTTGTGATGAGCTTGTAAGCAATGAAGGAAAGCCTGTTCCAAAGGACGAATGGGCACCAGCCAAAAATATCTCCCGTTGGTGTAAGGAAAAGCACAAACTCGTTTTCTACTCAAAATTGCCTTGCTAATACTTCACCTTCTTGAATAGGCGATTACTTCACCTTCGACGTGATGACCAGTGTGATATTCGGCGTGGAATGGTCTGCTTTACGAGAGGAGAAATATAGATACGTTCCGGATTCAATTGAACAATCCAATGTCCGTATTGGTACTTTGCTTGAAGCACCCGGTATGAAAGGGTGGAAGATCCTTGACAAGTATCTTTTCGGGGCTGCCATCATCGCGCGTAATCAATTCATCAAGTTCATCAATGAAATATTGCGCGAGGCTATGCGTGTGACCGGAAAAACCAAAAAGGGTGCATTCGCTCTTCTCATTTCTGCAAAGGATCCAGAGACTGGCGAACCACTCAATATTAAGGAACTCGGTGGAGAGACTGCCACTCTTGTCGTTGCAGGTATATTAGCTCTCTTCTGCTATGGAGTGTACAAACATCCGTTAATCGATTGTACTTAGGCACTGATACGACTTCCACTGCACTGGCCGCAGCTTTGTTTTATTTGGCTCACTACCCTGAAGCATACAAGAAGCTTTCTGCAGAAGTCCGTACCGCATTCCTCTCATCTGATGAAATCCATCTCGGCTCCCAATTAAGTCAGTGCGCCTATCTTCGTGCCTGTATAGATGAAGCTATGAGGATGTCCCCATCTGCCCCCGGATGTCTCTGGCGGGAGGCTGAAGCCGAAGGTGTCAAGGTTGATGATAAATACATCCCTAAAAGTATGGATGTAGGTACATGCATCTACAGTATTCACCACAATCCCGAATACTACCCAGATCCATTTGGATATCACCCAGAGAGATGGCTTGTAAATGATCCTTTATCTACCCCTTATCGTGGAAGTGTTGTACCGTCCGCGCCATTTACACCCTTCTCGCTCGGCTCGCGAAGCTGCATTGGCAAAGGTCTTGCTTATGTAGAACTTACGCTGACACTGGCTCACTTGTTCTGGAAATACGATTTCCAGCTAGTTGAGGATAATCGCCGTCACGTAGGCGAGGGCAAACCACATGCTGAATTTGGAAGACATCGTGTTGATGAGTTTCAGATGCATGATCATGTCACTGCTACCAAGGATGGGCCGTGGCTTCGATTCAAAAGTCGCTTTTGAGATGCTCAGATTATGATAGTCTTTGAGCTTTTTTTGTTTGACCTTATTATTTTATGGGCAACAGTTTCTTTTAGTTATCTCAAATTTATCATATTCGATCAAATTGTTGTCATGAAGGTTCCAGTCTATTTAGTCTACGTTTGTATTTGAATTTCATTATTTTCCCCTCAAATTTTATAATCTAACTGCAGATAAAATGTATCATCTTTCATCTCGTATATCGTATTCTGGAGAGCATATGTTTCTTAATGCTGCTTTGACTTCTGACGTTCAAACGAGAATTTGATGTAAATATCAATCATGTAGTAGGTTTCCTCGCTTCTTTTGCTATAATAGTAAAATAATAGCCTAACATAATATCTGATAGGTTATTGCTCCTTTGAGGGAATATATTTAATTATCTAAATACTAAACATGTAAGATAAGGTTGATTTACCCGAGCTTTGCACGTTTATCCAGTAGATTTACCACGCCATCAATTCATGCAATTACAAACCATTTCACTCGGAAGAATTACTACAGCAATTATGTACGCATGCAATGGTGGAGTACATGCAAAGTCTAGCACATTGCAGTTCGTCCGCTGGTGTGGACCTACACTGCACACGCGTAGCGCCATGTTCTCTTCAAGGCCTGTTATGGTGTGATCAAGTCCAACCTTACATCTTACTTCTACACGTGGTTTAGGTCAATCATACCAAAAGATTGAGAATTTGCCTACAGGCCTAGCTCTCAACTAATGTACACGTCGGAATAATTCGCCAGCCACATAATATAGAATTCCATGTCTCGCCCGTGACATAAGCGGCTAGGGGCAGACGGGGCGACAGTTGCTTGCTGGTGACACCTTATTAGGGAGGCGGAATAGTGGATACAGAAAAGAAATGAATATTCCACGTGGACCCACATCTTAAACTGAATAAGCTGATGGGTTACATGATGGTATTTGATTTAGATCGATCGCATTCTTCTCTTTGTGCTTCTATTTCTAACTAGTGCTTACGAAGCTTGTTCCATTACATTGCCACTTTGCCGTAATGATCGTTACATCGTGGGGTAATTTACGGTTTCATGAAAAATACATTCCATACCACCCCCATGTCCGTATGGTAAAATACGCTAAGAAAATTGTCGAGACAAAATAACAAACCCAAAAAAATGCTGTTTCACTCGCGAGATACGGTGCTTCACAGCCGTATTTGCACCATGAGCAGAAATTAGAATCATGTTCTGTTGGTAATCCGAGCCCCTCGGCCCCAAGTTACTCTCCAACGTAGGTGAGACTAGAATACGAAGATTTTTGTGGAATGAGCGCATGTGCAATGAATCAGCTATTGACGTGACAGAATTGATTGTTATTATATGAGTTAAGCAACCTTAGGCAAAGACTGGGTTTATTTTTCATCATTTTAGTATTGCAAGTTTCATTTTCGTTATGGAGTTGACGTACTCTGTTTCTCGTGTTTCAAATGACAAAGATCAGATACTCGGCCCTCAGGTATTCCATCTAGCCTGGGCAGTTACCCTTTCACAGTATCTCAGTACAACATCAGTTCATTTCAGCAGCATTGACCCAGATGCAGCTGAGAAAACTCCAGCACCAGAGCCATGGTATATTGGCCTCCAACTTGAGAACACCGTTGCTCAGGAATACCAAAAGTTCAAAATAAAAACCAATGGTGTAGAGCAGAGCGACCAAGACCGTTCCGCAACTACAGGCTTGGATCGCGAAACCTTGCTTGTTGTTGGGGCTACCGAGACAGACTTTTCTGTGAAAGACTATTCACCCATTGTATTCGGTCAAATTAAAGAGAAGTCAATCCACGTCAAAGCAAAATTCGACCCTGCTGTCATCACAAAATGGCTCATGTACAGAGTGCTGCGCCACTTTGCCTTTGTCATTGAACACATTTTGGCTGAACCAAATTCGAAGTTGGAGAAGGTCGCGATAGTCAACCCGGATGATGTGGCTCAACTCGCAGAATGGAACAGGACTTGTCCTGCTCCCGTGCGTGATTGCGTGCATGATATTATCGCTAAACATGTTGAGACTCGTCCCGACTCTCCAGCCGTTTGCAGTTGGGATGGCGACTTTACCTATCAGCAGCTCGATGAGTTATCCTCTCGACTAGCTGTCCATCTCCAAAGCCTCGGTGTTGGGCCAGAGGTGTTTGTTCCTCTAATTTTCGAAAAGTCTAAGTGGAACATTGTCGGCACACTGGGGGTTATCAAAGCGGGCGGTATCTTCACCCCGTTAGATCCCAAACACCCAGTTAAGCGACTCCAAGACATCTGTCAGCAGACAAAGGCGAAGGTCATTGTTACTTCCAACCAGTACAAGTCCCTTGCATCAGCCCTGACGGAAAATGCAAATGTGGTTGCAGTAGGAGAGTGGGAGTCTGCGTGGTGCCACAATCCTGGAGATTATGTCAGTTCTTCAGTCAGCCCAGACAACGGCTTATACTCCATATTCACCTCCGGTACCACAGGTAAGCCAAAAGGAGTTGTAATTGAGCACCTCACATGGTGCTCAGGCATCGGTCCTATGATGGATCGCATGGGATTATCGCACGAATCTCGCGCGTACCAATTCTCGTCTCATGCCTTTGATGTCAGTGTTTCCGATATCTTAGCTACTCTATGCGCTGGTGCATGTATCTGCATTCCATCAGACCTCGAGAGAACCAGCAATCTGGTTGAGTCTGCCAATCGCATGAAAGTGACTATTTGCACCATGACACCATCCGTGGCTAGGCTTTTCAGACCTGCAGATGTTCCAACTCTCAAGCGCATGGTTTTCTGTGGCGAATTAATGACTCCATCTGATTTGGAAATCTGGAGACCAGTACTACGAAATTTGTATGGGCCTGTCGAAACCACTGTCTTCTGTACAGGACAGGTTGGATTGATTCCCACTCATCGTAATATTGGCTACGCATTTGGCTCTGTGTTCTGGGTCGTCGATCGTAACGATCACCGAAAGCTTGCACCCATTGGCTCCGTTGGGGAGATCCTGATAGAAGGTCCTATGGTTGCTCGTGGGTATCTCAATGACCCAGAAAAAACGGCCAATTCATTTGTCGAGCCTCCAGAGTGGATTCGCCAATTCCGCAAGGATGGTGGATTTCGGCGGTATCTTACAGGAGATTTAGCGCGTTACAACGAGGATGGAACTCTAGAGTTCCAAGCTCGCAAAGACACTCAAGTCAAATACCACGGCCAGCGAATCGAGCTCGCAGAGGTTGCCAAGCACACCCACACCAGCTTCGAAGACGCTCAAGATGTGGTTGTGGACATGGTTTCTCTACAGGCAAGAGGTGGCCACGATGTGCTTGTGACCTTCGTACTCCTTTCCAGCCTCAAAGATGAAGCTAGCGAAACTTTCATTCTCCCTGCTAGCACCACCTTCAGACAGAAGTGCCTATCCGCAGAAACAAAGCTACGAGAGTTTGTGCCATCATATATGATCCCGAGCGTCTACATTCCTGTGTCACGTATGCCTTTGACTTCAAATGGTAAAATAGACCGTCGAGTTTTGAAGGAGGTGGCTTTAGGGCTATCTTCAGGACAGCTGGATTCATACACGACTGCCATACCATCTCAACTGGCTGAGCCCTCATTCCGCCAACCTGTCACTGAGAAGGAAAAGACATTCCAAAAGCTCGTTGCAGAGGCATTGAACCAAGACTTCAAGAGTATCGGTATGGATGACAGCTTCTTCCACGTCGGCGGTGATTCTACTACAGCAATGAAACTCGTCGTCCTTTCTCGACAGGCAAATATCCATTTCACCGTGCCTGACTTGATTACCCGACCCAAACTAAGTGAGCTTCTCGCTTGGACAGAGAAGCAAAATCTCGAGAGTAACGGCACCGGTATACCAAATGCCGCTATTGTTCGATCAAAACCTCAGCCGTTCTCCATCTTGGGCGTCACGGACCCAGAAACATTCTTCAAGGATACACTTGCTCCCCAAATTCGTTCCTTATCATTTGATGATGTATTGGATGTCTTCCCTATGACTGATATGCAAAACCGATTCTATGGGCCGTGCATATATCATCAACTATACCTGAATGGTTCTGTGGACAAAGAGAGACTCAGATCTGCCTGTGAACAATTGGTAGAAGAGCGAGCCATTTTGAGGGCCATTTTCGCTTCTTACAAGGACTCCCTCATCCAGGTCATTCCCAAAAAGAGCTTCAAGATCTCTTTCGTCGAGGATGAATGCGAGACCGATCTTGCAGAATATGTCGGCGGCTTCTGCCAAACTGATGTCGCAACTTCATTGCAAGTCGGTGTCCCTCCCGTGAAATTCATTCTGGTCAGCAAGAGTGAAACAGAGCATTGTCTAATTCTTCGGATTACACACGCTCAATACGACGGGGTTACACTACCTATCTTGTACCGCAGAATCGCCAGTCTTTATAACGGGCATGTCGGTTCTGTAACCACCGACTATCCTGATTACCTCTACTCTACCTGGGCTCAGAAGGGCCCAGCGTCATTTGAAATTTGGAAGAACGTCCTTCAAGATTCCTCCATGACATATGTCGGAACTCAGGCAGACATGAAGGACGCACAGCCCGCACTATTGTACGGAGCTCGAGCTCTTCCCGTCCTGCAACCACCACTGGGGTTCACCCTCGCTACTGTTGTCAAGGCTGCCTGGGCATTAACACTTTCCGAACACGCAAAGACATATGATATCGCATTCGGTCAAATGGTTAATGGCCGCGGTCTCAACCTGCCCGGAATTGAAGACGTTCTAGGACCCTGCTTCAACACGATCCCAGTCCGTATCGCTCTGCAGCCAACTTGGACTGGACTTGAACTGCTCCGATACGTGCAGAATCAGCACCTTCAAACTATGCCTGTAAGCTCAATTGGATTCGAGGATATCAAAACAAACAGCACGTCCTGGGATGCTGCAACCCCGTCGGCGACCAACGTCGTGCACCAGCACTTTGAACATTTAGAAGAGCTCTCTATCGATGAACGTCTACAATGCACAATTAAAGAGTTCTTCGTTCCCCAGGTTCCACAGGAAGTTGTCCTATACTCTGAGCCCAAAGAAACCCATTGGGAATTGGCATTGGTCACCTCAGCGCCTGTGATGGATGCACAGGCTTTCGATGGACTACTAGGAACGGCTGCCGACAACATTCAAAGTTTGATCGCGCAGCCAAACAAGCTTCTTGCTGACTACGGCAGCGAAGCCAGCAACTAGATGATCTCAAGCCGTTGATCTCCTCTCTTTCCTTTTCACTTTGCTTTTTGGTCCTATATATTTTACTAGTGTTGTCGTTTTTCTTTTTTCTTGTTGTTCACGTCTTTCGGTGCAGCTAGTTCAGTGATTGAATATTGCAGAATTTAAATAGCAGAATAAACACTTTCTACTTTGTTAATACATTAGATATCAGACAAGAAGAAAGCACTAAGGCGGGCTCGGTGCGCGTAAAAGGATCACTCCTTACATAATCGCGAAATTTGGCTGCTACGGTGGACCATTAGACCCAAACACGCAATAAGTGTAAGCTGCAGTCAGCCGAGTCTAAAATCACAAATGCAACTCAGCTTCATGAAATTTTCTGTAAACAATGAAATTTTTATCGGTCTCTAAATTTACACATCAGCATATATTATAAATCCATTTTAAATGGCGGTCTTTCGAGAGAATAGCTTCTCTAGCCTGTCATCAGGATCCTTAGAGAGGGACAGCCGTGAAGATGATGCGACAACGCCCTTACTAGAATCAACGACTCCATTGCTGGGCAGCGATTTAGCTTCCGAAAATGATTGCCTTACGGGATCTTTCTTTTCTACGTCATCTTTGTTCTTATCAGAGAAACGCCGGATCAGCATCATGGTTACATGTGCAATCGCAACATTAACACTAGACATGGGTCTGACGATCATCGCCGCACCAAAAGTTCGTCTATACGAGTCAATTATCTGTGCAAAGTATTATAGCAGTGCTGGGGGAGTTTCGTTATTTCAAAGCGGTGGGATTCCGGAAGAGCAATGCAAAATCTCAGAGGTCCAGGCACCGCTTGCGAGAATCATTGGTTGGCAGGTGCTTTTTGACAGTCTGCCAGGTATTTTTAGACCCCGGTTTTCGTATACTTGATTTTCCATTTGGCTACTAGTGCTGAAAGCTGCCTAGCAATTCTTTTGGCTATTCCATATGGTGCCCTATCGGACTCCAGGGGCAGGAAACCGGTGGTCATGTCTTCCTTCTTAGGGTTGACCCTTTCCACGACCTGGATATTCTTTGTTTGTAGGTTTTTTTTGGCCCTTTCATACTCACCTTACGTCTAAGATGTACTCGTACTTACAACTTTACAGGCTGGTCTGGCTTACCTCTGCAACTAACTTGGCTTTCGTCTATATTTCAATTCATCGGGGGCGGTGCTATTGTGGCCTCTGCTGCCATGGAGACCATCGTTACAGACGTAGTCACAAACGAGAAAAGGTTGGTATTACTTCCTATACTGAAAGAAGCCTTCGTGTAATAACATGGTGCCGAATAGGGCTATTATCTTTTTCATCCTGCAGGCAACCGTGCTTTGTGCTGACATCCTGGCACCCCCGTTATCGTCGATCCTCATGGAATATAGTGTCTGGATCCCATGCGTCTTGGGTCTAGGCATTCAATTATTAGGCACGGCCATTACTATAATAATTCCAGAAACTCTGCATTTATCTGTCTTTCACAGAGATCCTGCTGTCAACAGTGATGGCAATACTAGACCGTCATTAACTCGACAGCTAAAAACAAATTTGGCATCAATATTTCGAAATCGAAAGGTAGCGACTCTCGTGATAAGCCTCATGATTCTAACTATTGGGAATGAGTCTATCGACTTCTTGTTGCAATATTTGTCAAAACGATACGGGTGGCCCATAGCAAAGGTAACCAACGCCCTATCACGCACCAACCTTGTCATAATCTTAAATATTCTTCTTTTTCCCGAAGCTTACATATCCACTAACACGTGTGAACCTTGAACAGGCTGCTATAATGCTCTCGTTACGAGCGATCGTTGAGGCCGTTTTACTGCTTACCGTTTTACCTGTTCTTGTCCTCGTTTTAACAAAGACAAAGATACCGGCTATGAGCCGAGATCTCCTCATTGCCAGGACGAGCTCGGTTATGATCGTCGTAGGATTCATGATCCTGGCATTTTCTGTTCAAGTCCTACCGGCAATATTTGGTAAGCACTCCGGGATAAATATAGACAAGGTATGATCTTAACTGACGGGGCGAAAATTTGACAACGTCACAGGCTTAGTGATATACACGTGTGGTGCAGGGTTTCAAGCCGCGATGATGAGCCTTCTAGCATCTCTCTGGAAATCAGAAAATCTAGGTAATGTGGGCAGTATGTACAGCGTAGTGGCCATGATCATGTCCAGCGGTGGAGCCATTGCTGGACCTTTCCTCTCGGAAACTTTCACGTGGGGACTTGAGCTTGGAGGAGTGTGGGTTGGACTACCCTTCTTCATGTCAGCTTGCATCTGTGCTATAGTCAGCGTGGTATTGTGGTCGTTTAGAATCCCCAAGGAGACTGTCACGACCTCGGTTGATGAATGTGACCATGATAGAGAGTTGTAGATCACAAATGTTATAGAGAACAATAATATGATCCAACATTCGGCTACAAAGACAGACACTTGCTACTAATACTTTCATCTGATTCATTCCAGGCTGTTCTTCATTCAAGTTTGAGAGAGTGAAGACAAGAATTTCAACATAACATTGAAGGTTATGAGTTATTAGTCGACTGATTTCTCATGATTAATTACATTTTGCGGAACTTGGTCACAAATGGAATCACCCGGGCCTTATCCATGTCCCAAATCTTCTCCTGTACGTATGGATCGCTCTTCAGACGGTCCCAAATGGCTTCCTTGGAGACATCATTTACCACCATTACTGAGCCCTTAAACGGACGACGAGGATTTCCGGGAAATGTGTGCTTGTCGAAGACCGGGCCTGAAGTACACATATAGTCAACCTCTTTTCTTTTTTTCTTGCCTCTCATTGCCCATTTCTTTCTATGAGCCTGCCATTTGAATAGGCAGCGACATTTCTGATACTTACCAGCCCATGAAACCCAGCCCTCCTTATGCAGACGCACAAAATTGGGTGAATGACGTGGTCGAATCTCAAGACGTCGACTAAGCTGTTTAATTTTCGTGCCAATCCATTATTAGCAAATGGTGTCATGTACTACATGAAACTGGCATTGTTCAATTAGACGAGTTCAGCTGCCTAGACTGCTGCGTCTGCGTCTGGACATATATGAAGCCATTCATCACTCTATCTGTCTGTTCATATACACACGGCCACAACATACATTCAATAAGAGGAAACAAGGTATCGCTATGTACGAACTGTCTTTACGAAAAGGCGACTTACAACGTTGGGCATATCCGGAAACAGGATGAGCCATTCTCTCACCGCCTGAGCTTCAACGGCAGAGACTTGGGCAGTAACCTTGGTAAGGGTGCTTGCTGCTGCTGCGGTGGCCATGCTTGAGGTTTTTCAAATGTAACCAAAAAAAAGTGGCTATACAAAATTGAAGTGGGGAATTGTCGTGCAGGAGATTTACAAAGTCACAAAAACAGGAAAAGGTACAAGATTATTATCTACGAGAAGAAGAAAGAAGAAAGAGCGCTAAATTTTGATTAACTTTGCGAAAACATTGAGTTACGAGGCTAGGCGGTCCACGACGGGAGGCGTCGAAAACCCAACAATATCAATCGATGCGGATAGTAGCAAAGAACTCTGTTGGCTTGCAACTTGCAACACCAGGCTTGTCATCAAGTCATCCTCAGCTCAAGTTGTGTGGACCAGGGTAGCTAACAACCAGTGATTTTTTTTTCCACCGACTACGACAATGGATATCGTCAACTTCGTACTGCTGTTGCTATTCTAAGCATATACGGTACACATACTGAGTCGGATACATACGGAGCCCATTACTGTCTAGAACGAAATTACCAGGCTTGACACGTACGATTTTGGCTGTAATTCCAGTGTGTTATGGTAATGTGCCATTACCATGCATTACCGAAGTGTAGGATGATTACATGAGGCTGGCTCTTATAGACGATGCACGAGCAGGGGGTAGGGGCGAGAATTATGGCGCAGTGGTGTCGGGCACGTATTATGTCAATATTGAGAACAACCATAGATTGTTCTCATCGTATGATCGTGCATGATGGCATGGCAGATTGACGTGCACGTCAGCATCTCGAATCTCAAATGTCGCCGATCAACAGTGTAGTGTGTAGGTGGGTACCCACGTGGGGAATGGGATGAGAGGAGACAGATTACCTATATTGGGCAGTATTACCCGATATACACTAGCATCTTGTCTACTGGAATCTTACGGCTGTACCAAGTAACCCTAGTGTATAGGCTGTGTAACAGGGTAATGTGATACATCATGTGTATCGACAGCCCTTAGTACGTACTAATGCTGCTAGTGGCGAATCCGCGCCAAGCCACGTCAGATCTTCTTTTCACCCTAAATATAAGCACTCCACAAGCAAAAGCGGCCAATGATTTAGCGGACAAGCCCCCGATAATCATGCTCAGACACGCTAAGGCAACATCCAGTCCGAGCTAACCTTAATTCCCCTAGCCGCTAAGGATAGACGCTCTGCCCAATCATCAGCAAGGCTTTTTTTATCAAAATGGGAAAAGAATGGTGCTGCCTAGCCCCCAACTCTGATCCAATACGGTCCCCAGCCCGAAATAGAGTCGACAAAGGGGAGGGAAGGTTGGTGACGTCTCCCTCCCCGCCAAGTAACCGCTGCCAATTCTCTGGGCGCGTAGCCGTAGCCCGGGGCAAGGAAAAAAGGCCCCGGCGTGCCAGATCTCAAACAATGTGTCTGACATAGGTTATGTCTTGTCGATTGTCGATCGCTCAATCTAGTGGGCCACTGGCTATTCTTCCGCGACCAGCAGTCTCAATATTTCTTTGTTCTCTACATATTTGGCTGCCTAAACCAGCGCGCTTGGTGGTCGTACATGACTGACTATTTCAATTCTCTGCCCCGCCATATATAGCAATTCCCTTTCGATTATCCAGCGTATTTTTGCTGCAATATTCTTTTTAAAAATTAAAAAGGAATCACAAAGGCAGGCTGGTGCTGCCGCAACCGTCAAGCCACTGAGGGGATAGCGTCCTCTATTTGCATCGACCACGCTACAACAGTAATCACCAGCACTCGACAGTGGCTCAGAACAATTGGCTACAGCTAAACACGGAGCTTGTGCTGAAAAATTGCATACAGCCCTCAAATAATAGTCGCCGGGGCCTAGATTAGTTGCAGTCATGCCTAGCCCAACCACCACCACCGCAGCCGATACTACAGGCACATCCACATCAACAGCTTCCGCTACCTGTATCAGCATCGCTCCAGGAAAGAATGGCTACTTGCCACCAGAGGCATGTGGAAATCTTATTCTCTATGAGCCGTCTCTTGGGGCAGCAATCTTCTTCTGTGTTTTGTACGGTCTAGCGCTGCTCACCCATATTGGCCTAGGTATCAAATTTAAGAAGGTATTCCATCGCTCTGCTTTCTTCTTTGCTAATACAAAAGCAACGACTAACCATGAGGAAATAGGGATATACATGGGTCATTTCAATGGGCGCAGCCTGGGAGCTGATCGCCTTCATCATGCGATCGCTGATGGCGCTTCACCAGAATGTCGATTCCTACAACACAGTTTACACCATCTTCTTCCTGCTCGCTCCGTTGTGTATGCTCTCATTGTCTTTACCTTACTCATCTTGTATCACAGAAAACTGACTGATAAACTAGGGGTTAACGCTTTCTTGTACATGACCCTCGGGCGTATGATCTACTTTTTCGTCGAGGAGAAGCGTCTCGGTGGTCTGTCTGCGAAACGCTACGGCGTTTTGTTTGTATGGCTTGACATCATCGCTTTCATCGTTCAACTTGTTGGTGCCGCCTTCACGACCCAAACCGACGTACCAGTGTCCACTATCATGCTCGGAGTTCACATCTACATGGGCGGTATTGGTCTGCAGGAATTCTTCATTCTTGTCTTCACTTGCCTTTTCGTCGTGCTCCATCGCCGCATGCTGCAGGAAGAGCGCCTGGGCTTGTTGAATATGGAGAAAGCCAGGCGGGGATCTTTGAACTGGCGAAAGCTGTTCTATGCTATTTACTTCTCTCTATTCATGATAACAGTATGTTTGGTTCCTTATTACTTTACATATTAGATACAGAGGCTGACGAGAACTAGATCCGTATCATATTCCGTCTTGCGCAATATGCACGAGGAACGGACGTTAATAATCCCGTCCTCACACACGAATGGTACGAGTACATGTGGGACGCCGTCCCTATCTTCCTCGCTCTCCTCGCCTTGATCATCTTCCATCCTGGTCGGGTCCTCGTTGGCCCAGACTCGGAATTTCCACATATCAGCCGCAAAGAGAAAAAGCGTCTCAAACGGGAAAAGAAGGAAGCAAAGCGTGCCCAAAAAGAAGCCAAGAAGGCAGGAGGCCGTTGGGGATGGCGATCAAAGGGAGAGAAGGGTCGCGACAGCATTGCTTTCGAGTCATTGTCTGGCCAGGAAGATGGCACTGTAGCCCCAGGGTTCTACGATCAGTACCATAATGGGGCGCATACTGAATACCGTCCCGCACACAATTAACTCTTTCGATTTCTTTTCTATCGTACATGAAAAGGGGTGCGCAAATTGTGCATATTTGTCGAAATTTGGTATATTCTCCCTGTATCGGTCTACGGGTTGAGATTGCAATATGGGTTTAGATTTGGTTTTTATCCACGAGAGAATTTATGATTTCCTGTCCCCTTCATTTTCCTCAGTCAACATTCAAGTTTTACTCTCTTCCTTTAACTTTGTGAACCATCATGACGTGATGAAAATGTAATTCTCGTCGACAATTCCAGGAATTAGCAAAATAATCAATTAGCTGTGCTCTATACACTCGTAGTCCAGTCTGAAGTCCTAGAAACCATGTTGTATTTTGGAAAAGCTCGCCAATGAAAATTGAAGTAGCGAAGTAATGTAAGGCGTCAGTAAAGAATAAGTTATTTCCACTTCTATGTTATATTTACAGCCTACCTATTGTGTAAGTTGAACAGAAGAATTGTCTCTAACGTTTAAAAATATCAAATACCAACACTTAGAGACTGAATTTTACGAAAGCGGAGAACAGCCTAACGGAGAATAACAATATGCTCTTCAATATTTGCTATATATGCTACATGCATGAATGAATCAACTAATTTAAAACACCTAGAATCCATGTTAATGGAAACCGTTGGTCTTTGACCCTGCGGGCTTCACTGTGCCATTAGACTTCTGTTTCTCCTCTACCTCAGTGACCGGTCGTAACCATCGGAGGATATCGGGGATGACACCCTTCTGAATACCTTTGAGTTGAGAGGTCAACTCGACACAAGCCGGCCCAGGCTCCCTATCCGACACTCCGTACTCGAAAATATCACCCGTAGATTGGCGAGTAATTGAACGGATCGGGGCCAGCATGGCAGCGGTACCAACAGCAAGTACTTCGTCGAAGAAAGGCAGTTCGGCATATGGAATCTTTATACATATTTAGTAATTGAAATGTTATCCAACTTATATGAGAGAAAAAAGGGGATCTTACTGGGCGAATCTCTACAGTCCACCCCAACATGGAGCGCGCCACCTCAATCGCACTCGTGCTCGTCACACTCTTGATAATCGACTTGCTGTTGGGGACAACCAGTGTAGTCTGCTCACCATACCTCTTCACTCCGATAAAGCCAGAGGTACTAAACTCATCAATCTCAGAGTGTGTTTTACTATCCAAATGTAACGTTATTCCGAAACCTTCCTTCCTGGCCTGGTCACTCCATCGCAAAACGGGCGCATAGTTTCCACCAACTTTAACGTTTCCAACACCAAGGGGTGCAGCACGATCAAAATCTTCAAGAACAAGGGCTTTTATAGGAGCAAGTCCATGGTACGCGCTAAATGGTTGCGCATATACACAGAATTTATAGCTCGGTCCAGCAGCAACGGCCAAAAATGCATCTGAGCCGAAGGCCAGTGGGCGGATGTACATGGCAGCGTCTGTCTCATGGGGAGGAGCAAATTCGGCATTGCTGGCGATCGCAAGGTTCACGCTCTCCCAGAAATGGTCCTCGGGGATGTGAGGAATAGCGACGGCGGCGGACGATCTTTGTAGGCGCATGGCATGATCGGTGGGGCGAAACACTTGAATTTCACCATTAGGGTCGCGGTACGCTATATTTTTGATCATCAGTTTAAAATGCAATTCAGAAATATAGAAATGCCTTACCCTTCAATCCCTCAAACACTTGCTGTCCGTAATTCAAGCCTGGTGCAAGGCCGTGAATGCGAAGATAAGGATCCTCGACAAACTGCGGCGCAGACCAAGTGCCTGTCTTGTAATCATAGTCGCTCTCAACATGACCGTTCACTAGTCACAATCACTTATGAGAAAATATAGAAAATAAGTATTTTGTCTCATACTAACCGCCGAGAAATGAAACTCCAACATTGTTCCAGTCTGCTGCATGGTTAGCATCGATTTATCTACTCGGCGGGAGCTGGGTAATATGAAAGCAAAACAGACCTATTCCGGCCTTTGGTGGAGGAGGGAATGTCGTCATTTTGCAAATTTTATTATTTTTGTTATGATTGGTAGATGTTTAAGTGAAAAAGACTGACTGAAGCAACTCAGCACTTATGGATAATGAAAGACAGGTGTAAAGGTATAAAGGACTGGTTCTCACAACTTAAAGAAAAAGTCAACCACTACCTTCAACAATTCTACTTCATCTTTTTCTCTATACCCAAAATAGCTCTTATGCATTAAACGAAAAACACGACATAATCCACCAGCTTGAGTATGGCTTTCAGCCCCTTCCCCAAGCAATGAAACACGTGCTCACCTCTGTATTCGATGTAATTGAGGTAATTTCGCTCCATTTAGCCCGTTTGTTGGTTCTAGAAGCCTTCTCATCGGCATATTTGCCAAAATTGGGAATTCACAATTCCCAACAGCACCACAATTCAGCCCCGGGCAAATTTTTGACTAAAATCAAAGTATTCAGAGTCGAAATATGTGACTGGAGCGATCTATTTGGCGGTTTCTGGTAGAGAGGTCCGAATAGCCTTGGGCGATCCACAACTTTTAGCTTAAGGTGTAATAAATTACACGCCAAGTTAGCACATACGGGGTACGCGGATACGCGGATACAAAATACTTCGGTATGTAAATACAAGCGGCGTGAAATCGTTTCATTTCGGTAAATTACAAGTTGTGTAATATTAAAAACTATTACATTACTGTAAATCTAATTATTACTACTAATACAGGAACAGGGATAAGACGTTCAGAGCTGTATTCTGTAGTCAAGCTCCAGCTTCTAATTTGGGTCTATTGATATTCAGCTGACCAGGCTGACTTTTTACAATAGCTCAATACGTAGTCTTTGGAAGCACTGGAAGGGCCTAAAGGTCCTAAATGATAGGGTCGTGACTTACTCATGATTTTTGTTTTGTTGTTGCAGTCTTTGGAGTTCAACTGCAAAAGTCACTGTCAAGGAGAGCTTTCTGATCGCTAAGTTCTACGAAGTATTCTCTGCTATTCATCTGAAGGAAGTAGCATAATGTCGGAACTAGCACTCTCAAATTGGCTGCCCGTAGACATCGATACTCTGATACAGACTGCCAAAGATGCTGTCCCAGAAAGTATCACTGTCAACGGAGTTCTTGTCGGGGCAGGGTTACTCTTTTTGTTACTCAATGTGAAAGGTCTCCCTGGAGCGTGGCATGTAAGTATCAGACAAACTTCTTCAGCGCTCCACAATTGCCATTAAAGTAGCAAGTCTAACATGAATCAACATTACAGGCCCGCCTCTTCAAAGGCCTATTCACCCACGTCGTTGTCGGACGCAGCAAGACACTATCTCCTATGCTCGACGCATCCACCGGCCATCCTCGTCTCTTCAGCTATTTGATCACATTTTGTTCAACTCCACTTCTTGACTGTGACTACAACCTTCACAAATCCAACAGCACCTTCTTCTCCGACGTGGACATCAACCGCACCCAGCTCATGTGCTCCCTATTCAAACATGTCATCTCAAAATCGTGGCTCATATCAAAGCGCAATAAGCCTCTTCTCATGGCTCTTGGAGGAACCTCATGTATCTTCAAGCGCGAAATCAAACCTCTGCAAAAATTTGAGATTTGGTCAAGGGTCCTTGCCTGGGATGAGAAGTGGGTATATGTCGTTAGCTACTTCGTAAGGGCTGGAACGAAAAAGAAGAGCAAGAAATCAGTGTCAGAAAATGGTAAAGCTGCTGAGCAACCTGATGACAATGGGGTTCTCGCATCCTGTATTGCGAGATATGTGTTCAAGGACGGTCGAATTACTGTGAAGCCAAAGTTAGCTCTACAGGACTGCGGGTTGATTCCCGAGGAGTCGGATGAAAACAACAGCGGTCCATGGTCAAAGGCAGACTTTGAAAAGGAACGTGTAGAGGCGATAAAAGTGGCTAAGAAGTTCACGGAATTGGAGGTTCTTCCCCAGGTATTTGATGCAGCCGATGCCACTATAATGGGGAGTTACAAAGACTTGTAGACGGACCTTTCAAGGCCCGGTAGATTCTCGAATGTTTATGTATGGGTTTAGAGAATGAATAGAAGGGAATTACTTAGAAATAGAATACTTTCAATATAGATATCAAAACTCTGACCAGCACGTCCGCTACATACAAGCTCGCATTACTTCTCATAGTCACTAGTATGCACAGTCTCCAAAGCAGAGACTTCTATCAAATTTGCGTTCCAGATTCCCTGTTACGTTCTTATCAGCACATGGGCCCAAATCCAATTGATATGTATGTATACTAACCTTCAAGCTAGTTTCATGAAGCCGAACAGCGTTTTTTACATGCTCCTCACTCGGTGCCTGGCATGCAAAGCAAACCCCAATTGGTGTCAACCCTGAAGGGGCCATCATTTCTCCAGAGAAAGTCACTACAATCTGATCATCCTGGAAGCTCAGATTTTCTGCTTCTTCTGTAGGCGCAACAGCCCAAGGATTATTCCAAACCACGGCAAAGCTATATAGAACTTTCGTTAGGACTGATCTCGACATACACGACTACTTTAAACCCCTCGGAGTCCACACTTACTATTCTTGTAAATTTTTTCCATGTTGCGAGGTGGCCATTGCCCTAGTCAGAGTAGGAGCATTGACAAAAGCATTAGGAAGTCGCCCTAAAAGACTAAGCCTACCAGCTTGAGCTCGAGTTGGCCGTGTTAAAGCCAGTGGGCGGGTAGAGCCCAAGAATTTAGAAGCAAGGAATGTAGCTTTCGAAGACATTTCGCTTGGATTGTTAAGCTGTCTTCTGTCACCTTGAAGAAAATTATAAAGCAAGGCAAAATGCCGATCTTGATGCAATTAGACAAATAATACGAGTCGATGGTGTAGAGTGGGGTGCCAAGGTATTTGAACCTCTTCGCAGCCCCCAATTATCCGCTAGCTCTAATAGATCAGTACGCTGTTCGTATTCTAATAATATGCTTCTACAGCCTCACGAGAAATTTTCTTGGCACCGATTTTTGGCGTTCTGGGAATAGCTTCATATTTTGCCAAAAGAACCAAAAACATCTTGGCCGGCAACGAGCGGATATTAATTTTTCTTGCGCAATGGTACATATGGAAAATTATCTCTTTTTTCTTCTCGTCTTTTTTCCCCTCCATATACTTAGAAGTTGGAATACTTCTGATAAAATTTTACGAAAACTGAATAAGATGGCGCAGCTGCTTAGACAGATTAATAATAATTAACGCTTCGCAATATACCTTCGAAAATCTCACCTTCACGTCGAAGTCAGGGGTTGAGAGGCCTAGACTCAAGCCAGTCGCTCAGCTTGCCAAACTCTCCCAGTGTCTATTCTCTCTTTTTTCTTATTCGTTCAAAGTCTTTCACCGAATTCTTATTACCCAAATTCATTACTAAATGAAAATAATTACGAAATCATCCACGTGTGCTTACGACGCACTCCTAACAGACTATAACCCATACGAACCTGTCATTATGTGCTAAAGGACCAGAAGTCATGACTCATGAATGACGACGGGCTCTAGCTTCGAATTCCTCCGGGCCTTCCGGGCCAAAACTCGTGTTTGTATAACCCTGAGACACATGGCCGGCGAATTTAGCTTGATTTCGTGCTGATCTCAGTCAGCTCAGATGCCCAAGGCTCTAAGCAATCCTTCGCGAATTCTTCTAGCCATCCGCCCCTGCAAGTGGGGACACTTTCCTACACTATATTTGTTTTGTGGGGCCCCACCTTGCTAGCCGCCTTATACTTCGTATATATCGAGCCTTGCAAGACTGTAACATGTAATGGCTGTCATTTGATAGGAAACGGCGCCAAATACGATACATACGCCACTTATTTAGCTCAATACCATATAAGTGGAGCCATGTAACGCTAGATTCAACGAAGTAAAGTTGTGAAAACAGTATTACCAGTGGGGCAGAATTAGGGCACGCCGAGTCCCTGTGGAGCTAGTGTTTACGCGCAACCCTTACCTTAAAAGGGACATCGTATGATCCAATGACGTGAGGCGCAGGAGGTAAGCATAAAAGATCCACAAAGTATTATCGGGGCTTTTCCTCCCGAGAAATAGAGAATTAACCTTTCGATTGTGGGGGTTGAGATCTGAGTCCTTCCTATATTGGTAAAAGACACTGCATTCGCCCTAAGGTGTCTTTCTGGGGCGGCAATTTGAAACAATCCAACAAGCCGTCAAGACGGCTTGTTGGATGTCATTAGAATCATAAATTCATGATTACTATTCAATTAATATAGGGCCATGACTATTACAGATTTAGTGTCATGTTGCGCCGAAAACAAATGTGTGGAAGGATTCACAATCCGAGAAGAAAATCCTTCCCCAAGCCCCCAATCAAATCCATAAAATGGGTCTTTTGAAAAGAACATAGCCAGGTTCCTAAACTAGACTAATAGAACGCAATGGTCTATACTCGGGTCCAGATGCTCTGCTAGCCTCCGCTACCGGGGCTGGCTTATACCTGGCTGCATCTGTGGCAATTGGAGCCGAGCATGTCTACATTTCATGTCTGATGTTGACGTAAATTTAGCGTGTATATCGAAAACTATCACCGATGAATATTAACTCAATGTGGAAGCAATTGTAGATCTCTAGAAATAATATTACGTTACTGCGTAATGTCACGTGATACACTGGATATGATACTAATTTAGGGCTTAGGGCTTGGTGGGGTTTGACGCGTCGGCGACGCGTCTTCCCGCGCCGACAGGAATCAAGATAGACACGCAATTGTCAAGAATACTGCCACGTCTCTCGAAACAAACAACATGCCACATTCAGTGTCTTCAAACGACTCTGCGCCTCGTGATGGCGATGAGGAAATGCTGCCAGATGCTCCGCCAGCAGCTGAAAACGTAGATACAGCAGAGGGACAATCCTCCGAAACCAACGACAACAAGACGGAAGGAAACGTGAAACTCGAGGACTTATTCGCCGAAGATGATGATGACGATGAATTTCCAGCATCCAGCACGGTAGATGTCAAGATGGCGAGCTCGCCGCCTCCAGTGCAAGCAGCGTATGACTCCGTTAAAAAAAGAACTCGCGTACAAATAAAACAATCGCTGATCTAGGTTCTGACCCAAACAGTCCCGTTAAAGCTCATTCCGGAATCGATGAAGAGACCATGCTTGCTTTCTACCAGCGCCTATTTCCGTTTAGACACATGTTCCAATGGCTAAATCATGGAATCATGCCATCTCCCGATATGACCAACAGAGAATTCGCGGTGTTCCTTCAAAATGAAGCTGTTCTCCGATATCAGTCATACGCAACCGCAGAGCTGTATGTTTATTTATAATCAATCCGTCATTTAAAACAACATTATACTAATTAGGCACAGCTTCCGCAAGGAAATTCTCAGATTAAACCCCACTCGTTTCGAAATTGGGCCAGTATATAGCACAAACCCACGAGATCGCAAAAGCCGACCTGGCATACAAATGAAACCGGTGGCCAAAGAACTAGTTTTTGATATTGATATGACAGATTATGATGACGTGCGAACATGCTGCTCGAAAGCTGAAATTTGTCACAAGTGCTGGGCCTTTATTACCATGGCAATCAAAGTCATTGATAATGCGCTACGAGAGGACTTTGGCTTTGAGCATATCCTATGGGTATATTCAGGTCGTCGTGGTGCCCACGCCTGGGTAGGTGATCTGAAAGCCCGCCAGCTTTCAGATGATAGGCGAAAAGCCCTCGCAGGCTATTTGGAAGTAGTCAAGGGTAACGACAAAAGTGGAAAACGTGTGAACGTGAGGCGACCATTACATCCTCACCTTGCTCGAAGCATCAAGCTTCTCGAGCCCCACTTTAACCAAACGACGCTTATCGACCAAGACATTTTCGTTGGAGAGCAACAAGCGGAGCGTATACTGTCCCTAATTCCAGACAAGAAACTCGCCGACGCACTACGAAGAAAATGGGACTCAATGCCGGACCGAGCTAGCACTAGTAAATGGAATGACATTGTCACGCTTGCCAAAACGATATCCGGACTAGATGCGAAAGCACTCAAAGACGCACGAATAGACATTGTGCTCGAATACACGTACCCACGACTAGATGCCGAAGTCAGCAAGAAAATGATTCACTTGCTAAAAAGCCCGTTCGTTGTTCACCCTGGTACAGGACGGATTTGTGTTCCTATCGATGGGCGTGCTATCGAAGAGTTTGATCCACTCGCTGTTCCCACTGTGACTGAGTTGCTCAATGAGATTGATGAATATGACGCCAAAAACCCAGAGGGACCAGTTCCTTCAGCTTCAGATCCCGCGGCCGAAGTAGGCAGTGTTCCCGATAGAAGGATGCAAGACTACGAAAAGACGCGACTTAAGCCGTACGTTGATTACTTCCGATCTTTCGTTGCCAACCTCATACAAGATGAGCGATCTGGCAAACGAGAACGTGGCGAAGAGCCAACCACTAAGACTACAACAACAACTGATGCAATGGAGTTTTGATCTACATGTATAGTTATAGTTAAGCGTCATTTTTAGGACTTTGGATTGTTCGGTTACTTTATTTACACCATGGCTGAGGAACGGTGTTGGCGCTGTGGATTTCTTTTACCTCTGCCTCACAGTTTGGTATTGTTATTACGTGAAATGATTCTAGAGAACATTTGAACATTAACATTATATATCAATAATCTACATAGGGATGGGAGACAGATCAGTTCATTAATGTGCGTTTCCCAACCGAACATATGCGAGCCCGTGGTCGACAAATAAAATTTTCGATACCATCGGATATTAATTCATCGGGCAAAGGCAAGAACTTAAAATGCCACATCAAAAGAACCAGAAGCACGCGCACGTTAAGCTGACCCGATCTCTTCCCAAAGCAGCCTCGTGGGCCCAATGAGAACAACATCTGCGGGGCTGCTCCACGATCAACACACTCCTTGCCACTTTTAACTAGCCATCGCTCTAGACAAAACATGTCCATGTCCCACTGCTTTTTTTCGCCCTTAGTCGAGCGGCAGCTTTCAGTTCGTTTGTTCTCGTCAATTGTAAAACCCGGGGATGTGAATCCAGGGCCGTTAATGGACAAGAGTACATCGGTTCCTTTAGGAATGACATGACCCAGAACTACAGTGTCTTCAGTAGCAGTACGAACATGCGAGGGAATAGTCCCTGCCATTCGAAAGATTTCTTCGCTGACCGCGTCCAAATATGGAATACGAGTGCTAGTGATCTCTTGTATCAAAAGTTTACGAGATTCTTTTGTGGCAGTAACAAAGGCATCCCGCAAGGATGTTCTTAACTGAGATTGAGCCCTCTGGTTTTCCGATAGGAACTTGATTGCCCCCATCATTGTCGACCCACAACGCCTCAAGTGACGAAACCGTACAGCCGTCTTACAGTTAGTTTTCGGAATTCAAGAAGCAGAACATGAATAGACATACCTCGTCGAAGATAACCCTATTTTTGTAATCCGGAGCTCTCTTTCCTTCCCAGCCATTTGTAATTTCACGGCGGACGATATCATCCATAGCTTATGTAGATGTCTGCTCGGCATTTGGACCACTGAAACATTGTGATGCCCAGTCTAATTGCTGTGATATCATAGTCTCCTCCAAGGCTTTTTCCTGTCGCATGTGGGGCAATAGCCTCAGACACCTGTGGTGCAGTCGAAGGAATGGAGATTCCGTGCATACGACCATGCTTTGTGTGAGGGTGGCGAATGCCTCGATTAAGGAGGGCCGTTGCACACGGGGAAATTCCAGACGTGGGGGCTGACGGGGAAGCACCATCAAGGCTAGCGATACCTCAAAGAACGTTGAGCAGTGCGGCAGTCGCACCGTCCAAACGAGAAAGCCCAAATGTGAATACGGAAATAGCATCCAACAATGCCTCGATGACGTCGTCTCTTGTCTCGAATGAGTGGCCGTTGGCAAGGACGACCTTCCAGAACTCTATTAGCGTCTCAGTTGCCGAGTAGATCTGGGGGACCAGTACCTGGAAAGACGAATCAGTCAGCAACTTCTAACAATTATCTACTAGAACGCTTCTTACATCATTGACGAATTGGGGAGGCATTGTCCCTTGTATGAGTCTCTTATTAACAGGAAACCTCTCATCCGTCGAACTCAATGCTATATGATGTAGCGGCATGACCCCATTAGAGATATCGCTGAAGTACCGGGACCGGTCAAACTCCTTGGTCCGCTGCGTTAAATTGTCCTGGGCTTCCCTATAATCAGTGATGTTGACCCATGGTTTCGAGAGCAGCTTGATGAAGAGCTGCACTATAGGTGAGTCCAATGTGATATTCTGCCGACACACCCATGGGAAAGCTTCTTTATTACTCGAAAAATGGCGAATCAGGGCAGGAATATCGCCGAGAGCGGTTTTCGCAGCTTGGATGTTGTACGGAATTGGGTTGGGGAGAGCCCGTCGATTGAGAATGAACAATAGGACGGGCAGCAATCCTATGAGTAAAAAGCCCCTTTCCTAGCCAGCAAGGTGATGATCCATCATGAATATGTGCCAAGCCATTTGCAGATTTCACATGTAGTGCTACAGCAGAAACGTTCCCTAGAGATGGTTGACGTATTGTCTTTATCTGCAAGAAGCGGCCTCCGCCCTTGAGTTACCAGCTTCTATCGTCGCAAGAAAATGCAATGATGCAGCAAAGAGAATAATCATGGTAACACTAGAAAGGTAGTATTTAATATGTCAGGAGCTTCGCTTAAGCAATATACATCCTACAAGATGCAGGACCCAGCCTTGATCTAAAATCAAACCGTAAACTGAAAGGACGGTGGTCAGGCGTAGAAGAGGAACAATCCCAAGAACAAAGAGACGTGACCATCGACTGAGCTTGTGGATATCGTTCAGTGTCACGTGCCTTGGTCGGAACTTTTGTGCGGAAGGAACCCTGCAGGAAGATGGGGAGGTCGCGACCCATGGCGGGCGGTGCATCCAGCCACTCATATTCGTTTCTTTCCCCTCACAGATAACCTAAATCCTTCCTGTACGGGTAGGATCTACAATTTCGTCGATCTTGCAGATGAAACTATTTGGCTTGAAGATATATCTATGTACAGATAATATGAAAAAAAAAACTCGCAAAAAAACCATGTCACGCAAATCCTGAACGCGATGATGACCCCAGACTGCCGAAATGCCCACTCATGAACAACCACACGCCAATACACACCGAGAGCCTAATGTTTATCAAGAATCACCAGTCTCTCTCTACTCGCTGCCTCTTGGTCAGAATCCTTGGTGGTGTAGAAGATCACGGCATGTGTCTGGTCGTCTGCAACCTTCATAAAAACATTCTGTGCCCGCGACATGTTTGAAATATAGACTATGCTACCAGGCATAGGTGCCTTTCCTACTTTGGATAATCGTCGTATCTCAGCCTCTGTCTCAATCGCCAGCAACTGTCGACCCAGAATGGCTATCAAGTTGGAATCCCACAACCCCTCTCGATGCGGCCAGGTGTCGAGAAGCTTCAAGGCTCGCTGACGAGTAGTGGCTTTCGGGCACTTGCTGCAGACATATGCGAGTGACGGAATGATTCCCGTATCTAATGACAAAGTTGGAAGACACCTGGGGTCCAGGCCGCATTCCTCCATCATACTATGCGTAATCTGTTCGGCCAAGTCGATGATCTCCTCACATGCGTCAAGATGCGCATCGCTATTCAAGGTCTCGTCGTCGTCCAGATATGTCTCCAGCAAAACGGACAAGGACATATGCTGCAAAAGGACCAAGTCAAACCCTCGCTTTTCTCGGGTGCCCCTCAGCTGTAGAGATCTCTTCGATTGGTTGAGTCGTGTCAGATACTGATTCAGCTGAATCGTTAATTTTACTCGCTCCTTTTCCAGATCCAGGGGACAACCGTGCATCAGCTCAATTTCAGTAGATGATAACTTGCGGTACCGAATGAAGGAGAAAACGCCATATGAAAGACTGTCGATTTCGCTACGTGCTTCTGAAAGAGTGTGAAACTGACGGAGATCATTCTCTCGGAAGACTGCTTCATCTATAGAAATAGGCTTGAAATAAGGTGCTTTCGTGCCAAAAAATGCAGCTTGGCAATCCAAACGTGCCATTGCTTCGGCAAGAGATACATCAATATCTTCGTTTTTGCATGATCCTTCCTTGCTCCGGCTGCCGTGCACAATTGAAAGGCCGTTTTGGAGATGCAAAAAAGCAGGATCGTACCGGCCACGGAGAAGCTCAAAGAGAACGAATAACAGGCAGCATGTCAATAACACGCCTCGCAACTCCGAATCCTGAATGGATTGGCGTCTATTCAGAGCAGACAGGGCTCGTCCGTACTGTTCGAGCGCAAACCGGTGGCGGTTGTTGCCCAGGTCCTCCCGCGACAACGGTGTTCCACGTACCTCCAGGTCCTCATGCAGTGTACTCACAGCTATTACCGCATGGATCACTGCTGGCTCAGCATGGCTCATGGGCAGAACAAGCTTGCTCCAAAGAGAGGAGTCGAAAACCCATGCCATCTTTGGAACAGTAGACAGCTGGAAGAAACTGACTGCCCTTGATTCATCGGCATTTTTTCCCACAAGAGCACTCGCGTGCAGTTGTTGTAAAGTAAGTGATGGGATCATGATGTCAATACGCCGATTTGTTTCTTGGGTTGGGCGTTTGATGCGATTCGCATCATACCCTTCACATTTCCAACCGGCAGAAGTACAGTTCTGACACGCCCCCGGCGTCTCATCACACTTCACATGCCGAGCCCTGAATCTGTGTCAGCTGCAGATGCCAGAACACAGCAATTTGACTGTCACTTACCGACAAGTCCGACAACCCGTGCGAGATCGCCTCGTGAATCTCTTTTGCCGTGGCTTGTCTGATGCCATTTTCATTCTCAGTCGTTCAATACGTATCCGTACCAAAAGGCCAGTTGGGAAACCAAGCGTTCAGTCGTCAGTCATGTTATGGTACGGGAGCTCACTGGGGAGGGGATCAGTAGCGTAAAAGTATGTCTGCTGGCTGGGGAAAGCCGTTTATCGCGTCCTTGAAGGGAACTATCACGGCTAGTTGGCTTCATGCACCAGAAGAATACTCTAACGAAGGGCTAGTAAGCCAGTGAGTGTCTCCATACAAGATTCGGTATTATTAAGAATGCCCGCCGCAATTTTTGAATCGTTGGTGCCTTCAGGCCGGGTGGAGCTGACTCAGACCTGAGACCAAAGCGAGGTTAGCCGCCCAGCTACGTAATGGCCCCGGGGCGGCCCAGTGGGGGCCGCGAGTCAGAATTTCGAAGCCAGCCAGAAGCCCCCTCAGGCTCCAAGGCTCCCAGGCTCCCGGGCTTGCCGCCGAAATCGGTCCTTGAAACTATACTAAGAGAGACATGGGGCCAAGGAACGATCCCTTTTTGGTACGGTGGGGAAATTCAACCGATGGCTCGATCAGATAAGATTGATAATTTGCGCGGCCAGAGAAGAGGTCGCTCCGCAAGCTCCGACGGCCTCAACACGCGATGCAGCTCTGTCTTCTCTTTGGAATATCGGCCGTTCTGCTGTCTCATTATGTCCGTGCAGCAAGCGTTATCTCAGAGAACGAGCGGTGTGTGACCGCCGTCTATACGGGGCTCGATTATGTCTCGTTCGCGGGTGAGCCGGCATATGGACTATGGGAGAACCGATGCCAGAATCCACTCAAAGTCGCGTCAATATATGCAGCAGCTGAGAAATATTGCGGTGAGACTGAGCAGACGGCCGGGTTTGCCAAATTGGATATATTTTGTCTGGATCTTGCTTATATGAAATTTCTGCCGAGAGAAAATGTGGCTGAAAATCTGACTAAAGAGAGTGTTGAGATGATGAGAGTTGTACGATTTCAAGAAGTATCTCGTTCTGAGCGTATCAATTATCCAGTTTTGTTGTCACCTGCCTACTTTGACAGGACATTTCGCACTATCGTAAGCGCCGCTACTTATGGTGGATTAAAAACAGGACAGATATTGACAAGAGTTCTAGGATACATGGCAAATCGAGACTTGGGCGCATCAGGCCTACGGGTAAGTTTATTTTAAATTTTTAGATTCGAGTACACCTACTAATTTTTGGCTCCGTCAGCTACTTTGGCTATCTATACTGGGCTAGTGTTCTCTTGGTAGGAATGATGCACCGATTGTTACAACATTCGCACCGAGTCCAGTCAACATTTGCAAGACTTTCTTCGTTTGCTTTTGGCAAAATGATTTGCAGGGCATACCAATGGGTCCATACGTATTTGATCATCGCATTCCCGCTCAAGTCACCAAGCCGAAAGGTCCTTTGTTTCGACTTGCCAACGCGAATAGATACAATCATCATCCTCGGATTCTGGCTGCTAACTATTCTCTTGACATCTATTACATATCCTCTCTCCACTGATAATATATAGTATGTATGCTACCCCAAAAAGACATAGATAGAACTAACTTGACTATTCCCACTAGTTGGCCAAACCCAACAAGACAACTACTTCGGTATGTAGCCGATAGGACAGGCATTATGGCTTTTGCGAATCTACCATTGCTCTGGATATTTGCAGGAAGAAACAATATTTTCCTATGGGCGACAGGTTGGAGTTTTGCCACATTTAACCTTTTCCATCGCCATGTTGCATGGATCGCTACAGCACAGGCAGTAGTTCATACCCTTGCGTATTTGATATTGTTTGATCAAAGTAAGATGATTGAAGCTTATAAAGGTATCACACGCTGACTTTTTGCAGCATCTTCGAATAAACTTCGGAAACAAGTTTCTAAAACTTACATAATTTGGGGTGCGACGGTGAGTTACTCCTCGACAGAGTTTCCTTGTGACAACATCCGCTTTCCACATACTAATTAAAATACAGGCTACGGTCGCAATGGTAATGGTCTTACCATCGGCTATTAAATGGATTCGAAATAAGTCGTATGAATTTTTCCTTCTCGTTCATATAGTGCTATCCGTCGTTACAATAGTTGGTTGTTTCTAGTATGCAGTCCGCCCTAAAACCCCTTTGAACACGAACTAATCTGCACGAATCAGTCACATCATTATCTTTGAAGACGAAGGCTACGAGTATTACCTCTGGCCCGTAGTAGCCATCTGGTGTTCTGACAGAATTCTCCGTCTGATCCGCATGATTTATTGCAATTTCTACGCCCACTGCCGTCGAGCAAAGCTTAAATGCACCAGCAGCACCGCACTGTATGATAAAACGTCGAATGTCATCAGATTGGAAGTAATTCCAGGCTCTTCATCCTTTCAACCAACTGCCTCCAGCTACTACTATTTATATCAACCTTTCCGCTTTCGAGGCTGGGAAAACCATCCCTTCACCCTGGGCTCGTGGAAATACATAGACAACGGAGAACTTGAATCTCGAAACAAACAACAAGCTCTAAACCCAGACGAATCGACCGATGGTTCCCAAATCCCTCTCCTCTCATCATCTGATCACGAGCACGAATCCCCATTGTCAAAACAGTCTGAAATAACTGTCCAACAACCAAACCTTATTTTCTGGATTCGTCCCTACGATGGATGGACGCGTTCGCTTCGAGACCAGTGTCTCAAATCAATGGACCGGACTATTCACCCAACAATCCTCCTCGAAGGACCATATGGCGAACCATTTCCTATCGACAACTATGATTCTGTTCTCCTCATAGCCGGTGGAACAGGCATTGCCTGTGCAGTCCCTTACATCAAGCAGCACAACCACCACTCCGTCATGAGCGACTACGATAAAACAGAGACTCCACGTCGCGACATCCGACTTGTATGGGCCGCCAGGGAATCATCCTTTATAATCGATGTCGCCACCCGCGAGCTACAAAACGAACTCATATCCTGCGAGGAGTTCAGCGCGTCGTTCTACTCAACATCCGCTGGTTTGAGGAACCAGCGCTTCAAGATCCCGAGCAACCACAACTTAGGTACAGCGGACATCGATCTTGACATCCAGGCTGGTAGACCTAATTTACGGGAACTTGTTCTGGAGCATGCGCGGGAGGCAAGCGATACGCAGCGTTCCGCGGTGGTTCTAGTGTCAGGTCCGACGACGATGGCAGATGAAGCGCGTGCGGCAGTGCAGCACGCGATACGTAGAGGTTATAGGAGGATTGCTTTTAAAGAGGAATCGTTCAGCTGGTAATAGAGTATAAGCATGTAGAAAGGAAGCGTTTCACGACCTTCATTGATGAAGACTAGACATAGATGGCCTAAATATATTACTTGATGGAATTAATTAAACCAAACTTCAGTATTTATGAAAAGTGCTCAAGTTTTATACGAACATATATATAAGAAGCAATTTACTTTACTATCAATTGATTATTTGTTAATTTGTCGGAGAAAGATGTGATCATTGGATAATAGATTCATTTAACAGCGATATCATTGAATTGTTTCCAACAATGCCAATAAAATAGCGCTCATAATCAGTTAATACATAATCATCGAAGTAGGCATACAAGCGACATAAATACATGAGTCTAAAATGAAATAATGTGCATCTCCAAAAATTCCCAAAACCCCGTAAGGCTTCCCAACCCAATTCTTCAAACCGTGCGTAAAATAGAAAAATCCTTGCCACCCATGCATTTCCGGAACTAGTCATGTGCCGGATAATTTTTTAAAGTTTCTTTGGTATCCCGATTAATCCTCATCGTCCGTTAATTTTGCCAGTACATCTATACTGAGAATCATAACGAGAAGGCCTATCGTCACCACCACAAAGAGTCCGAATCCAAACCAACCTAGTACCATAGCCGACGTGCCGACGCCGCTTTTGATACTCCCGTTGCCTATTGTTTGTACCATTGTACTCGCAGCGACAGAGGCTGTATGTTGCCATAACACCGACACGAGGACGAAGATGGCGGCAATACAAATGAGAGTCAAGGCGATTTGAGATACTGGTCGTGATGGAAAGGGTTTCACTTCGCGCTCCGAACCTGATGCGTCGAGCTCTTCATGCCATCCTGGGAATGTGGCGAGGAGGATAAAACAGAAAAAGGCAAGGATAATGGCCACGATTCTGTACGAGTTGTTAGTTTTTATTCATAGCCTGGGACAGAGCGTGGTACTCACATCAAGTATGGGAAAACAACCGTGTCCTTGAACATCGATGCCACCCAAATCAAATTGAAAGGATCTTGATCCACCGTTACTATCTCCGCCAGCGCTGTTGCGTTGGCATTGCAAATAAATGATCCACCGTCAGGCTGAATGCAGATTCCAAAGAACCCCACTCTAACTTCCATGTGCGCACCAACAACGATGTTGGCAATGGCCGTTGTCATTCCAGGGTCTACCTGGGCTGGATCAAATGTCGGTGCATACTTTTCATAATATATCGAAATGAGGAAAATGGAAGGTATTTGAGGAGAAGATGAGGAGCATCCGGCTAGTAGAAGGGCTAGAGAAGTCAAGGTCAGCCACATAGTTCCGTTGACGCTAATGTGAGGATATGATAAAACACTTACAGAGAAGAATAACGGATAGAGCGATGAGTATCATGAGAACATGGTGGTACCCCACCATCTGCACGAATCCTACCATACAAAGTCAGTTTGGCCTGTTTCTGTGAAGGACAGTGGCATGCGGTGCTTACTCGACCATGCTCCGGAAAAGTTTATCGACGGCATGGTTGGCAATCACTGACGAAAGCCTTTATATGTCCTATTCCTTCCTAGCACCGCTTGACCTCACTTCTCGACCTCCGAGAAGGAGTCTGTTCTTGCACGATAGCTCCGCGCAGTACGGAAGCCTTTTCTCGCTCTGAACCGATGCCAAATAGGAATGTGAAATCGATCGATATCCACGTGTCTTGATAGAGTTGACGGCAGCGCTTCAGGAATGTGGGCTGCCTGGAATGCCGGAAGAAGCTTGATTTAAAACGTCCACAGAGACTGCGGGTCGTAAACGATGATTTAAATGCCGGTCGATCCTGAACCAAGAAGTGGAAAACCAGTTAGAGTGGAACAACAATCTGGGTAATGTATATAATGGTGCGGTTTGGGTGAAGGAGCAGAGTTGATGTAGAGGTAAAGTTGCAGGAAAAGAAGAGAAACCGTAGCTTCATTCAAGACAAGCGTTTTTTCCCTTTCTCCACGTCACGAATTGACACTAACGAGTGAAAGTTTGTGCCTGATGCCAAATCACCATAGTCGCAGCTGGTTAGAAAAGCAAAATTGAGAGGTCGGACAAATAGGCAGCGCAAATGTAATGTCTAGACAGCGATGTTCTGGTGGCTGGTGTTGAAGTCGCAGAGACGTAGAGGGTGGCTGGGCCAACGAGCATTGTTGACACTGCCCGTTGCTGGGGAACGCGGCTTTCACCGCCTGGCAGAACAGGGCGAATCGACGTAACGTGGGAATGGGCTAGGTGGGAAGCGGCATAGCGCGACCCATCAGGTGGGGCGGATGCCATGCGGCCCGAAACTGCTAAAGCTTAGTGTCTCCAGCGCAACGGTTGGCCCAGACAAGCTCTCCTCCTTTGTCTCCGTCTTCATCTCGATGGAGTAATCAAAGAGAATGGGAAGTCACTTCATTCAAAAATCTACTCTAAACGCCGGTATCCAATACAAATTCATCCAATGGAGAACCTAAACACTCCCGTGTCGCCAATCAATTGGACCCAGAAATGATGCCAATAATTAATATGCCAATATGCAACAGCGCCTGTACGATGCGTTAAGAGATAATCTTCAGATAATCCTACCCCGGTATAAAGGAAAAACGTTGGAGGTTGAGCTTTAGCGTCGCGCTCTCTTGAGGGCTTTCTTCTGCATCCTCGTCGCTATCAGGCACTATTTGGTCTTCGCTTCCGTGGGAGTTCCTTAAAGCCGATACGGCCTCAGGCTGCATCTCTCTTCCAAAATCTGACTCGTATCCAGAGTCACGGGAGGTGCTGTTGAGCATCTTTCGCACCGAGAAGTTGTCCATTGATTTGGATCTGGATAGCGCGTTCTGGCCAAGCCTTTGTAATGGTGTGAATCGTCGATGGAGAGAGCTACCGCGATTAAGACTTCGTCCGGGGCACACCGCCGCAGCTTGAACTGTTGGTGTCGTAGTCCTTGACGATGCCATTCTTTTTTCCTCGGCGGAAGCTGAGAAAACATCCGGCCCTTTATCAGAGCCTGAAAACACAAATTTGGAAAGTAATGACGCGTTTTGTCTTTTTACGTGTTTCTCGAGCACTTCGCGGAATAGCTCCGGTTCAGTATCAATACTTACTGGCCGAGGGCCTAGTTTCATACTGTCTTTTTGTTCGTCCACAATTTCACCATCATTCTGACTAGAGTCTGTTTTTTCCGTATCTAGCTCTGCTTGCGTGCACGCATCAACCTGTACTGGAGAAGTCGCAATCGTATCTTGGGAATCATTGTCTGTAACAACTTTGGAGGGTGTTGATTTAAGCACATCTGCAGGGGCAGATGATTCCGCAATTTGAGACATGATGTCCTCAGCTATGTCATCCGAAAACACGCCGAATGAAGACTTTCGAGACTTCTTGACTCGTGGAACATTCGCACCGCCATCACTCGAAACCCCAAAAAATCGACTACGCGCTTCTTCAGATGGCGTCGGAAGTATCCCCTCATCGGCATCCGAGCAAAGCCTTTGGCGCTTTACGGCTGGTACAGTGGAGAGTCTTGCAGCTCGGCCTAGGAAGGATTCCCTTTGTGTGGTCCGGACTATTGGACTTTCATCAAGCCGATTTAGCGAAGCAGATGACGTAGAGCGCATCAATCCAGATCCGGGGTTGGCAGGACTGGGCAGCCATGAGTTATTTGCATGTCGTTCAAGAAGACGCTGTTGACTTGGAGATGGAGCAAGAGAATTAGGGTCGAGTTCGGCAAGCGGGACCCGCCGAGGTGTAAAAAAGGAGCTGATAGGTTTATTAGGCTTCAGATCAGCCGACGATGCCACAGTTTGTCTTCTATTTAGGCTTGGTATAGGCCTCGGTGCCAGGGATGGTTTCAGATTGATCGCGTCTTTTGTCATTGGATCCAAGTCACCACATGCAACTCCAACTGCAACTTCTGGGTCAACATCAGCGCCAATGTAGGGCATTTCATCCAGGTTCAGGCCATAATCTGGGGTAGTAAGTGCGACCAGCTTTTGTGCAGCAGGACAGAATACTCGCTGGTAAAGAAATGTATTCTCTGCTTGTTTGAAATTTTCCGCATACCCCGCAGGAACGCGATAGTTTCCTTCAAACTGCAAGACCTTCAAAACTTTCTCCACGTTTTTATACTTCCGCATGCTGCGATACGCGGTCTTAAGCCCCATTTTGGGTATATTAGGAAGATAGTCGCATCCACTGAGAATGCACATATGTCGAAAATCGGTATCAGTCCACCCAATCAAGCTGATATCTCGGCAGGCAGTGAATTCGCCGCGGTTGATCTCAATACAGTCACCATACTGGTCGAGTTTCGATAGCAGCCGTTTGGCGCCAAATACCAACAAATCGGAATCTTCAGAAATAATCCCATTGATAATTCCCTGCCGTTCAAGATACACTAATTGTGCATCTGCTTCGTATGGCGCCACAACATAGTGGATTTTCAACCGCTTTAATTCCTCGATGAGCTGCCGAGCCATGTATGGCGTAACATCCACGGCTTTTTGAAATTCTTGTTGAGCCTCTGTTGTACGACCTTTGGTGTGCAATTCTAACGCCAATTTTTTACTCTCCTCTCTCTTCTTGAAGCGATCAGCCTCGGTGCCAGATTTGCTAGGCAGATTGTCACCATCGAAAACGAGGTAAGGCGTCACCCCAAAAAACAGTAGCATGCGAATCCGGTTCAGCACGAAATCAATGTGTCTGTATATTTTAGTTATCTTGTCTCACAGGTTGCAGATGAGCTTACTTTGCAGTAGGCCTGTCCAAGGCCAAATCCATGGCACAGGCCACGGTACCTCTGTGAAGCCAGCCATAGGCGTCAACACCCAAAGTTTGGCCTTCGAATTTTTTAAGGTTACATGGTTTCTGAATAGATTTGAGCAGACCGTGCAGCCCTAAATACAAATCAGCCAACACTTCGCCATTCATCAATATACCATACCTTTGATTCCCATCGCGGGGGCCGAGTGCGGATGAGATCACCGGCAAGCGGTTTGTTTACTTAGACATCCAATACACGTAAGGTGATTGTCTAAACGCGGTATATCGAGATATAGAATAAAGGCTGTCGGAGAAGAAAAAGAGCTTGTCCAGCACTCCAAGAGAACAATCCAACAAGGGCCACCAACGCACTAACAAAGCACGAAACATGGAATGTGAAGGCTTCCAAGGCGACCACCGCTCGACGCGTGAACTAGACGCGATCCGCCAGCGCGACGGCTCTGATTGGCTTCCGCCTTTGGTACGCTAGATGGCTCTCACCGCCTTGGGCGATTCTGCTGGAGAAAAAAAAGTGCCGATAAGGTGAACGAGAATAATCAGTGTTCGGATTACCTTGAATTCCAACAAAAACACAGGTTGTTCAATACATTGGGGCTTGAACTCACCAGGAAACGATAATTCCTGGAGTAACCACGACAAAATGCCGATCAAAAATCTGAACAAAATCCAGAAAAAGCTCTCCAAGAAGCGGGGCAAGCTTAATGCTTTACATGAGGACAGCCGCAATGCAAAATCACTACGCCGCGCTGGAGCACGCGAGGATCGTATTGCACGGGTTGTAACCTCTGCAATGATAGCGCGACAAAGTTTACGTGAGTATTCATCTGCAAGTGGCTAGAAAATAAGAACCTAGCTGACTTGTAGCGCCAGTGGATCGAGTGGCGCACTTTCAAGAATGCTTGAAGGAGGCTTCAGAACCATTCACTATCGCCGACGACGAGATCGTGCAATTGATTCAGAAGTAAGCCTGCCGAGCGCCGTCCTACTTCCTCCACATGGATCCCAGAAAACATCTAACTAATCGCCGTCATCAGATGGATCAATCGAGACGATGAGGAAATTAAACAACTCCATGAGGAGCGAAGAAAGGGCCGCCCGCCGAGTAAAAGGGAGGAAAATCTCCAACAGCGCAAGACGATCGAAGAAAAAGAATACAGATCCGGGTTCTGGATGCCAGACATCGCACAACAGGAAGTACGCCAACAAATGGCACTCTGGAATGGGGAATGGTCGAGCCTCAGCTCGATGAAATTCATCAGGTTTGCGGAGGGTGGCGTGAAACAGGCTTCGACATTCCCACCGAAGGGCTTATCATGACCGTAATGACTACACATACACTCACGATTTCATAGCTGTAAATATTCAAATAATACCATGAAGCTTCCACAATGGTAGCTAACCAGTTGGTTATTTTGCATTTTACTAATTCTAATATAAGAAATATAGAAGATATAGATGATAATATTTATACTGGGCAAATAGTACATGCAAGTATTAAATCAGGAGATACTAATATACTGGATATCACACATACTACAGGTATAGACAATGTAATTTATACAAATTATGCTATTTGACTAGATTCTACCGAAAGAGGATTAGCGCCGCCCAAACTTTTTCCGGGCAGCTCACATCACCACTTTGCCGCATTGCAAGCTTCACCTGTGCTCCATATTCTTAACTCTTTTCCATCCAGACAATCTTACTTCATATCCCGAAATCTCTTCAGATCCCCAAATAAATCTTCAATATGTTGTCACTCCGTGCTTTCACTCGTTCCGCCCCACGCGCATTCTCGCGCTCCATTTCCGTTGCCGCCCGGCCAACTTTTCGCCTCCCTAGAGCTTTCTCGAGACCTTCCTCATTACAGAGCTCCATTGCAAAGTATCAACATTCCGCTTTCTCTACTGCCCGTGTGCTGCGCGAACCTGCCGGTGACGGTATGTCCCCTTGGGCACGATCGAATTTTCTCGATAGCACCGACCTTGTGTCCACTTTTCATGGCTAACGGCTGGGAACAGTTGACCTCGAACTCAATGCAAAATTGGAAGAGGAACTTGGTCATGAAAAGAACTCAGCCGAGTTGGAGGAAGCCAGTGTAGCTATCCAGTCGTTCCTCGAGAATAGTCCCTGGAAGGTGTGTTCAAAATGCCAAGCGAGAAATATCAGCATTCTGACTTGTACCGAAGGTTAAAGACGTCCCCGGAGAACAAGAAGTTGTCCTGACCCGAAAATTCGGTAATGAGAAGTATGTTTCAACATATTGATTTCACAAAAAATCTTGACTAACAAAGTTGTCGATGTATAGTATCCGCGTCACCTTCACAGTCTCCGATCTCCAGAACCTTCCTGAAGAGGAATTCGATGACCTCGCAGAGGGCGAATTCGGTGAACATTCCCCTATCAACCAAGGACAATCAGGTGAAGCTGGCGTTCACTCTGAAGACCGCGTTGCTCCCTCTGACCGAGAATTCGATGACGTTGAACCTGGCTTCCCTGCCCGCGTGAACATCTCTATCGAGAAGCCTGGCTCCGGTGCTCTTCTCATCCAGACTACCGCTCAAGACGGTATTTTCGAGATCCACGAAGTGTCACATTTCGCCAAGGCTGATCTCGCCGAGGCTCAGACTGCTGAGAAGGACTGGCTCCGCCAGAGCCTCTACAGTGGTCCTGTCTACGGAAACTTAGACGAGGATCTCCAGACCCTTTTCGACCGTTACCTGGACGAGCGTGGTTTCGATGCTGAGTTGGCCAATATCATTCCAGAATATATTACCGTCAAGGAACAAAAGGAATACACGCGTTGGCTCGAGAGTAAGTATACATCCATCAGATCTTGAGAACCGATGAACTAACCCTTTGCGTTCAGGTGTGAGAAAGTTTATTGCTGCGTAATTTCACGAACTAATCTATCATTTTTAAAACCTTCACCACTCATTGCGATTGTCATATTCACATGGATTTGTCGTGATATTCGAATATGATATCGTATACGTGTTCCTATCAAGGACATGAAATATGCGCTCGCGTGATTCCTGCTGTGTGGCTCGATTCCATTGTATTATAGACATTAATATCAAAATCTTTTTGTGTGTGTACATTAATGATCAATATTAACTTTGAAAACGCGTTATCAATTATACTCATGAAGTATACCCGACATTCTTGATATTTGATCAACATTCGAATTGTTCTTCAATTGCTATTAATCTCAATATCAATGATTCATTGTTACGTGTTACGTGGAGCCTGTAACACTCCCAGAAAATATTTGGTTGATAGATACAACCAAAAATCTCTCTAGTTAGCCTGCCGGTCTGGGAATATTAATTGATCAATTGATGTTGGACGTTATTATAGACATGAAACATTCGAATAATGAATATTTGCATTTTTTATCGATATTCAAGAGTATATATGTATATATAATTCTAGTCTCTGGCTGTTGACCTCAAATAACAGCCTTGAAAAGTCAAACAGTACGAGAAATATATTTCAATATCCCATTTAGTATATCTAAAATTGAAACATCATATCGAATAAATAAAAGAAATATTAATTTATAAATCAAAATAAGGTGAAAAGAACCGAACCAAACATTTGAAAACGATACATTAATGGTAGGAAGTGGAGACAAGTATGGAATGCTATTGGTCGGAGTTTCTAACGTTTCCGTTCTGATTAGGTGAAAATGATCCACATCAATTCAAGAAGTCTGAATCTGGCTGTGTAAATATTATTAGTTTATGTGGTAGCCATATACAAAACATATCTACCATCCACCAATCCAGGTCGTAGGTTTAGGTATGATTAGATAGCACCTACCATGAATTAAAGATTCCTTTCCATCGTGATTTGCCTCAATAGTTGAACTGCACTCAATCAGGTCGATACCTGTCTCGAGCAGATTGAACGCATCTCGCCCGTGAAGCAGAGTCATGCCGCGAGTCTTGTCTAGTAGTATGCGGACAATAGTGTTTTGAGACTCTCCCCGACTCTACTCGTGGCGAGCCTGACACGGACCGTTGACCAGAGTCTGATCTCCCATCGCCCGTAGCTGAAGACTCACTGCTCCTCACTGTGTCATCGTACTGTACGTGGCGATCCCAATCCTGAAGAGAATTATAAGGACTTCGCAGCCAGGATTGCAATTCATGTAGAAACAGCCGCGCGTTTGTCCGTCCGATGAACTCTTGTAATAGTTCTTCAGCTTGGCCGGCACTACCTTTGACGTCCACAGTGCGTAGAATGGCGATGATATACTCTAGCAGGAATTCGGCGTTGTTAGTACGACGATTTGCAAGTCGCTGCCCACCGAGCCTGCCAACGCCGTCGGACAGCGCACTGCCATCTTCGTCGCCATCAGGATTCAAGAATTCAAAGACCTGTAGTTCTCGTCTTATCCACTTGCGGGCGCGCGAGACCAGATTCTCGTCCTGTGTGAATAGCTGCGGAGTCAGTTCACGGTACTGCGATAGCCGATTAGAGCCAACGCGAAGTGAAAAGAGCTGGTGGCGATAAACATGGCGTCGGCGCGTAATGGCATCCTCATCTCCTACTGGGCGGTGCCGATAGGGACGCCTCTGAGGATGGCGCCTGTTTAGGTATGGAGAGTATCGCGGTCTGGATGGGCGAGCAACTGGCGCACCATCTACGCCTTCGGGTTTGGGAGGAAGCACATATAACTTGGGTTGTTCGGATTGTAGCTCGTATTTAACGGCGGTCACGTCTGCTTTACCTGATAAGATTGTTAGACTAAAGTGATCGAATAGAAGGGTATCTAGGTAACTCACACAAGGGGCAAGCGCGACGCTGCTGGAGCCAGCTCGCTAGACACAAGAAGTCGAAATTGTCATGCTTGCAGGGGATCGCAATGGCAGGTTCGGTGATGGAATCGAGGCAGATGACGCAAGGGTGGGCGGAGTCATCCTCGTCCTCATGTGCTACCTCTTGAAGAGTGCGTTGGAGAATATCTTGCTGCAAATTGACATCGTCAGCCATGGACGGACAACGAGACTGAAATCGGCTGGCAGTCAGGGTGCGTCCATAGTTGGAGGGAGAGATCAGACGAGAAGGAGCGAGCGTCGTGGATAATTAGATAAGACTCGGGCAGGCGGCGATAAGGCAGTCACGTTTTTTGGCTGCAGCGGCGAAGCTTGATTTTCTTGCGCTTTCCCGCTAACCGCGACTTCCTGTTCCTCTTGGTCTGACTATGACCCTGACCAATTCGCCAGCCCTGGGCACAGGGAATGCAGAACCTCCATCTAATGCCATGCTAAGATCTGCCAAAAGTGTTGTGGGTGCTCTTCGTTCTCATCGACCATCGCCGCAGATGGCATTGCCGCACCTTAACGGGTCTGCGTTTAGCGACTCACGACGACATGCGTCCCACACCATCACGAGCTTGAAACGATGGTCTATCGCTGGGAAGGAAATTCCTGGTATAGCAGGGTCCCGTGTCAATTCTTTGCTGCTGTCGTGCTAATGCTGTTCAACTAGCTGCTTCGCAGATAAAAACAATCCACGTCTATGACTTTGATAATACATGTGAATATTGCAATGTCCATTCCCGGTTAACATAGGCTAAGACTGCTCAGTGTTCTGCAGTCCGTTACCCAATCCGCAATTATGGAACGGATCAACAATAGGTTTTCTCCAGACCTACGAAAGCTTTGCAGGAGGCGGTTGGTGGCACGACCAAAATATTCTATGTGCTACCGGCGAAGGTGCCGATGTGGAAGAGACCCGAGCCTGGCAAGGGTGGTGGAACGAAAGTGTAGTACAATTGGTCGAGCTGAGTATGAAGCAAAAGGACGCTCTGACCGTTCTTCTTACTGGCCGAGGCGAGGCAAACTTTGCAGACATTGTTAAGCGAATCATCGCAAGCAGGAAGCTGGAATTCGATCTGGTCTGCTTGAAACCGGAGGTCGGGCCGAACGGTCAACAGTTTTCGACAACTATGTCATTCAAGCAATCATTTCTCGAGAGCCTGATTGTCACTTACAACCAAGCAGACGAGATCCGTGTCTACGAGGACCGTATTAAGCAGTGAGTAAGGATAACCCGCGTTTATCGATGGTGCCAATTAAATTACTTTTTGCAGCGTTAAAGAGTTCCGTGACTATTTTGAAAAAGTCAACCGAATATACTTTCAAGCTCCGAATAGCAGGAAACCTATTGTCGCTGAAGTCATACATATTGCGGAAGGTACTCGTTATCTTGACCCGGTCACCGAGGTGGCTGAGGTGCAGAATCTGATTAATGCCCACAACAGCCGTTACCATGACTCGCTGCGGAATTTGACGAAATCTTCCTATGGGAGATTGCATATTAAGCGCACTGTCTTCTACACGGGCTATCTGATTGGTAATGTGGACTCCTCACGTCTAGTATCCGAGGTGCTTCAGCCCGTATTGCCTTCTGGGTTGGTAGACAGCGGGGAGTTCAAGTATCTGGCTAATAGTATATTAATCACACCGCGTCCAGCATCCCGAACAATACTTGACAGGGTCGGTGGCATTGGCAAGAAAATCAGCTGGCAAATCACCGGTATTGGCCATTGGGACCACAAACTGTGGGCAGCACGTGTGCAACCCGTTCCTGCGAATGAAACCATCTATACCGAGAATCAGGTACCTATGATTGTGCTTGGGCTCTGTAAGGGTGCTCGTCCTGTGGATTCAGCTCGAATCCAAAACTGGCAACCCGTTGCAGCCGACAAGGCCCTTGTTGTCGAGACTACCGTAGGCGAAAGAGTCAATTTACGGGTCGAAGAAAAAGACCTTAACGAGGGCGAATGGGAGAGCCAATTTGCGAACAAAAATAATAAAAGACGTCGCCCGCACGGTCGCATGGATGACGATAACACAAATTCTGCGAGGGATTTTCGGGGTGCTAATACTTTCCAGGCGCTTTCCGAACACGGCTCCCACGGTCGTTCTCAGCAACAAGGGGGCCGTAATCAGAACGAGAGTCATCATCGAAGCCGTGGAAGAGGCGGCCGTAGCTCTGGGTCTGGTCGTGGAAGAGGTAACCCATCGCGCGGCGGGGGACGTCGTGGTCGCGGCGGCAATGCTGGGGGATCCGGCAATGGGCCAGGAGGTTATCGCTCTCTTGATGACCAACAAATGGGCGGTGATGGTGCATATGATAGCCACAACGGCCAGGGGAACCCCGGCGGCGGTATACCACTGAACTACTGATCTGGCCTCGACGTTTCCTAACCTCTTCATGGTGCAAGCAATCCATGTCTAATGACTTTATGAAATCTCTGACCTCTCTTCGTATCATGTTATATGACCCCGGTTTATTATATGGATTTATACCTTCTTTATTTTTCATGGCGTATACCCGGACAGGACGTGGATCTGGCGTTGAGAATATGGGGTAAAATACCATACTTTGAGCTGTGTGACTTTTCAAAAGTTTCCTCGGTGCAATGAAACCTAGGCCCATTTTATCGATATTGAATGAACTCGATATATCCGTCACCAGTGTATTTCATTACACCTAAAGAGCCTAGAGCTACCTTTGCATTGATACCAACCCCAGTATCCTCTAATTACATCTAATCGGCGTGGGAATCATGACTTCAGAGGAGAAGGATATGAGACCTAAAAGGAAGCCAATGACAAAACAGATTGTGATCCAATAATATGTGAGCTTGCCAGTAATTGTCCTCCCTCCTAGAGTGATTGCTGCTGTATGTGTACGATGAATTGTAGACTCGGTCATGAGCACGATGGCTCTATCTTTGCGTCTGTCGAATTATTTATCACACTCTACTCCGTACACTCCCGGGATATTTTACCTTTCCCCTTAGCAGGTACTCACAGTACGTACCGGAGTACGGAGTATCTTGATCGGAGTCCCTCAATTGATGCCACTCAATGCTGACTAGACTGGGATGGGCTTAAAGACAGTCTTCGGCACCCCGGCAGATCGACCGACAATCATCTCCGATAGGTCTGTTATTGACACTTATTGGTACGGTCACCCCTGGACTAACTGTGAATGGACGAACTCAACTTACTTTCGACGAAAAGCTGACCGATTAGGTTACTAGTCCTGACCATAGACTGGTTCTGTCAGAATAAACCAAGCCTACTATGCTGCCCAGCGAGACCGTCGGTGAGAACTGACAATCGTATTTGATTCGCTGATTTGTATGATTTTTGAGATTCTTCCTGCGTGGGCCCTTTTGTCACTTTCGCCCCTTATTATTTTCTTCTTTTTATGCATAATTTTTGTGGGGACTAGCTACAATTCTGCGAGCCGCAATAAACGACGCTCACCACCACACAGAATAGTCAAAAATGACGGCTCTTTTCCCACAGCTAGGAGACTAATTACTTGTGAGGACTAATTCGGGTATCGGAGTTTTATGGTATTGTTTTGAACATGAATTACCAATCCATTCAGCGATAAGGGTGTTGTACTATACCGCAAGCCCCAATATCACAAAAGTTTCCACCGGCTACGAACAGCACGACATGGCTGCCTTGACGTCAGACCATCAGGACGGGTCAATCATGTACCGGCTACTCTGTGAGGCGCATCAAGAGAGTGCTCGCTGCAATTTAACGGAGCTATGATTCATCAACAACCTACCTCGTGCCTATTTTCCATTAAAAGAGTCGTGAAGCAGTGTTACGGAGTACGGAGTTACCAGGCTACTATTCCAAGATCGATGGATGCCATGGGGATGCCTTCCCAGACTGGCTGCCATAAACGTGCTGTCGTAGTGAGAATGTTTCAATCTCGGTGCTTTCAACATCTCTCCGAAGAATTATTGCTCTCGGTGATCGGCCAACAATCCGAAGTGGCATGCAATGGATGAGGTGTCAGAATAGCTCGTGCAGTCAGTCCTAAGCAAAGTTTATAAATAGAGGCTATGCCCAGCTTTAATTTTTAGTCTATCATCAGTCCAAAAACATCAAACGCTATACACGGTCCTGATCGAGCCTTTCTAACAAAAGTACATAGAAAGGTATGAGAGTTATCCCCTTTCTTTTCTGATTTGATTAATTCGCGAACGAGCGTTCCTAGCTAATCGACTACAGATAAAAAGAAACATTCACGATGAAGTTCACATCTACCGTCACGGCGTTGATCGTCACCAGTGCCGCTCTGGCTCTTCCTTTCTTTCCCCCTACTCCTGCTGCTGTCCGCCGTCAGTTACCCTCGGGGTTCCCTGGGTTCCCTGAACCACCTTTCCCATTCCCGGAACCTTCTGGATCCCCAGAGCCTTCTTTCCCTGAGCCTCCTTTCCCGGGGCCTCCAGTCCCTACTCCTGCTGCTGTCCGCCGTCAGTTCCCGGGGTTCCCTGAACCACCTTTCCCATTCCCGGAACCTTCAGGGTTCCCTGAGCCTCCAGTCCCTACTCCTGCCGCTGTCCGTCGTCAGTTCCCCCGGGGTTCCCTGAACCACCTTTCCCATTCCCGGAACCTTCAGGATTTCCTGAGCCTCCAGTCCCTACTCCTGCCGCTGTCCGCCGTCAGCTACCCTCGGGGTTCCCTGGATTCCCTCAACCACCTTTCCCATTCCCGGCACCTTCTGGATCCCCAGAGCCTCCCGTCCCGGAGCCTTCGGCCCCAGCTCCCTCTACCACACCGACAGCATCGGCGGACTCTTCTACCGGACTTGGTGCTCTTCTCTCGGGTGTGACCGGCATCTTGGGGGCGGTGGCACAGGTCTCAGAAACTAAACCATCGACTCAACAATCCTCGACGCCTGCGACTCTTTCCATAACATAGACCAGTCAAGACGAGATAAGACAAACGAAGTTTTTTCCCCCACTACGGTTTCAACACCCAAGTTCAGCAACATGTCTCGAGTCTTGTAAACCGGGCAAACAGAAATAATCGACTACGAATATTAGTTTACACGTCGATGGATTCTCAATTTGATCACTCTTACTGCTTTTAATTCGCCTAGGGAAAGCATTGATATTGTATTTAAAGTTTTTCAAAGCATCCGAAATCGGGCATGATTTCGGGTGTTTCTTTTTATACGATATGGTTTTGTTACGCTTCCTTGATTTTTGCTCTTTTTATTTTAGAATTACTAAAATGTCCAGCTTTCGTCTAGCTAGTATGTTCGAAAGACCCTTAATGTAATGATTATTACAAAAACACACCTTATCGAATAAGGAGTTATTCTACTATAAATTCCAACTAACTAGTTCTGTTGCTCGTGGGAGAACGCATATGTAGGCCACGACCTCGTCATCTACCGATCAATCCTCTTCCCAAAGACTAAAAACTACCATAGCAAAGCTATTAGCCCGCAAGACCGCACAGAGAATTCTCTCTCCATAGACAATTTAAGCAGATGCAAACCCATCTCAAAGTAAATGGCCTATTTACCAAGATTCATCGCAATAAGCACCTGGGAAGTAGTACGGGATATGGCTCTTTTCTGCCGGCACATTTCAAGGCGGAAAGTCAGATCATTCTCCCATTGGCAGGCGGAGAGATATCAGCTAGACCAATATAGGAAACATCACATGACCCAGAAGCCTCTGGCGGGCATTTTGGGGTATGTTAGGCGATTTGTAGCTGCACAAAATTGACCCTTTGTATAGGGTCAGCCCGGCCAATCACAGCTCGCTGCTCGAGGAGTGGGGCTATCATCTGGTCTACTTTCTACCATCACATCAAAACCAATTCACGCACCTGTGTGTCTTATGGCGGGAGAAATCCTCGATTCACTAAGAACACTGGGAGTCAATCTATCCGTTTTGACAGTTCATTGAATAAAACTTGTTGGGATTCCATGATGGTAAAAGCGTTGCTCCTTGCTAGTTAAAGCCTTGTGTTGTCATTTTTGACTAGTCTTCGTAAAGGAATGACTAAATAAATGACTAAGTGATTGTTCATGGTTAGACCCTTTATCCATCCTTCGGACTTAGAGTCTCTCCCATGGGAAACATCATTCACCGAGGTCATGATAGGTCCTATAGTAAATAAAGTACGGGACCAAATTTAGGAGAAAAATACATAGAACCTACATGTGATCAGGAAATAGTATTTTTATAACAGTCACAGGGAACGGGAGTCCCGGTGAAAATCCTCCCACACTTAAAACATATATGCCGTCGACTAGCTCTATAGACTTGATGGCCTTGTCAAGGCCTGGCCCAGTGTTGATATGACTTTGCATGCTGTTGCCTGAGTACGGCGATACGGTGGGTGCTTGAGTAGTGATATTATTTCTGAGATAATACAAAAGGTGGATGCAGTTACGATGGCTAAAGGAAAAACGCAACTGGAAAGAGGAGATCCGGTCATATCATATACCTGGAATCAACACCAGACCTAACATCTAGAATAAAGCCTTGTCTTCAATTGATACAACCCCAGCCGCTAGCCCAGCAGGTTCTTTGTTACTTGCCACTCTCCACTTACTACAAGTTTATACCCTCTGCTTCAAATATAAAGAATTCCCAATGTAATCTATAGCATAGTTTAGCTGGCTCTCATGGCGCAAGCTTCGGCTCCTTGTTATTGTTCTGTTGGTTGTGTCGCATTCAGACGAAAAGAGACTCTCTTGTCTGATATTGGGAAACACCAGACTCCAGTCTCAGCCCTAAAAAGAATCTGGGAGGCTTGGAATGTGGACTTGTATTGACGAGCAAGTGTAGCTGGAGGTCGGAAAGACTAAATTGTGTCAAGTTTAATCTTATTAATTGCTATGATTAAAATCTAATATAACATTTCTAGTATTATTATTTAGATAATTATAACTTCTATAGAGATAAAAAAGGTAAAATTTTGTCCATATTATAAGCTACTTTCATAATCCTGGCAACATTTTCAATGTATGGAACCCATTTTACTTGTTTTATTTATCTTTGGTCTTTTTTTGTCGTTGTGCGGCTTATTTGACCAATTCGCTTCAAAAATCAAATTAAAAAAAACTGACCATAAAGATTGCACGCCACTGGGCAGAATGTTAAAGTGCCCTCCCAGGAGGTCTCCAAGGAGACCCTGGCCAGTCTCCTATTTTATAATTGGAATTGCATTATTCAGCCCCAAAATCGAACCGGACCACGTCAATCTCGTATTCTTTATACTTGAAGATCAAAGTGGACTTCCTATTCAAGTCTTTCTCAAGATCACCGAAAACGTTGACAACTTTGGAGGGTTCAGCAGGCTTCGATTTGCCTTGATGTGCTGCTATTGCATGTTCGACCTGGATAGGAGAAATTTTGAAATACATTGGGGGTAGAGAGTTCAAACATCTGTTGGCGATAGTTATAATTTCTTTGATAAAACGATCTTTTAGATGTTTAATTTTTTGTTGAGGGAGGAAACCAACTCCTATAGATAAATGGGGTGAATAATGCAAGAGTTTAAGAACATGGTATGAGAGCTTCATCCGAAAGGTACTTTGCATCACTTCGGCGAACACATAGCTAGTGTTATTCATGTTAACCGGACCAGTATACGGAATACTAGGAGGCTCCACGATGTGATCAGTGATGGCTTTCTCGTGAGATAACGGATAGGTCTCTTTCTCCACACCATCCACCTCCCCTAGAATGGAAGGTAAACTATGGAGTATTCCACTAGAATCAGTTGCATCAAGCAGCGCTTGAATTCGACCACAGATACGGCTGCAGTGGTGAGAGAAAACACAAGCTCGCACTATTGGATACTCAGAAGGATCACAAGACTTGTAGAAATGTAAAATCCATGTGTATATCTCTTTCCATTCCCGGCCTGCCATATATGCTTGCGTTTCCTACTAGCCGATAAGAAAATGCGGAGAATGGTTGTACAGATTTCTAAACTAACCACATTGTTAAACAAAATGAGGAATAAATCCCTGCCATCCGGAGTGGAAAACTGATCTGGACCTCTCCAATTAATCAGATCCATGTTGATTTTATTATGTAATTTCCATGCAGTTGTTGCAATCACGCAGTTCTTTCTACTATTCTCTTTGTGGAGAAGCTTCAATGTAAATTGGTTGTGTCAGTTGAATTCGGATAGTGGCAGAGCTATGCACTTACCTCATATAAGCCCAACAGCCAGATCGTCAACAGAGTGCTGTCGCTTTTACATTGCCGTAATGATTTTAAATCTGATCGTAAAGCCATGACTGCACTTCCAAATGCTTTTTCCTTGTTAACGGTAGCCTTTAGAGAAAGTGATTTGCCGGTTACAAACATCCAAGCCAAGGCATTGCAGGCGTTGTAAAGAGCAGAAGAGGGACCCACGTTAGCAAACACGCGTGGGATAAAATCATGTATGTGTGTCAGAGGTATACGTGTAGCTTTAAAGTTACGCATAAAAAGAGGAAAAAAGTGGACATCCCATGGCTCTACCAAGGGTTTCCGCAATGAGAGGGGTTTGGAGAATCGAGTAAAATGTATGGTCATATCTCCAGAAAGATATGTGTGCAGATTCGAGGCTTTTTCTGGCTTTTTCGGCTGGAGTCCTTTAAAAAGGGTTTCTCTTTTGCGTTGGTCTCTGAATTGGAACGAAGAAGCCGTTTCAACCCTGAAGTGGATTCCGATATCCTCGCGGTACCCAAAACAAGGTACATGCTTCCTCAAGCACTGGCTACAAGCAGGGCGTTTAAGATCACACTATATAGTTGTATTGTTAGACCTATCGACTGTTTCTATACAAGATAGGGTTTGTTTGTACTGCACCTTAATGCGTCTCTGTCGACATGTATGACAATCACGACTAGGACGTCCAATATTAGGCATTGTGGTATATATAAGCCAGATTCAGCAACTTTGAAACCAAATACTTTTCCTGAAGTCAATCCTATATATTTATTAAGTTAGAATAGAGGTTTATCTTAACTCGAGATTGCTTTCTAATATTGGAAATGCTGTGCCGAAATATTTCAGCCCCCAGCTCTTCCCATTTAAGAAACCGATTCGACACTAACCTCAATAAGGCTGCCTCAAATTTTGATTCATCACTATCCTGTCCATGTTCTATTTTTATATTTTGCTTTACTGTAGCATCGTCACGCAGAATAAACCCTTGTCAGATGAAAGAATCATGATGTTAAGATAGGAGGCGCCTAATTATAGCAAAATCGCAGCAGAGTGTTGTTCCTCACCCACACAAGGAGGTAGATGATAAGGATGTTGGGGTCTGGCCTGCTTGGGTGAGAAATCTTCCTCTGTAATACTCAAATATCCGAGGGATTGCTTTCAGGAAATACCTCCCTGGGCAGAGATTGTCTCCTATCGGCTCTGATTCATGCAAGATACTCTCAGAGGTTCATGGCTTTTACTAATTAATTCTTTTTGAATTCCAAAATCAAACCAGATCACTTCAACCACACATTCCCTATGATTATTTTCAAAGTAGAATTCTCGAAGGGTCTCGAGGATCGTCACACTGATTGAGTGGTTCGAGTAGAAACCGAGAATGAGAACATCAATGTATTGAGTACGATTACCGCTATGCAGCAAATCGCTGCCATCGTGATTCCGGAACTTGATCCCCATACCTGTCAAATCGGCAAGGCAAAGAATGCGCAAAGAAGGATGTTGGACTTCTCAGTCACTGAGTTTCTGAAGGTGGATAACTTGCATGATGTGCGGCAGCAGATGAGTACAGAGGAGCAGAGTTATGTTGTTGCTGACCTAGTGAAAGCTCTTGGAAGGATACACTCTGTTCGGCTGAGCGACAAATGGGTTAAGGAAATCTTGGACAAGACGCTGCATGAAGAAGGCGAGAAATCTCTTAAGAGCTTCGAGCAGCCTGGTGTTATCGGTGGGCCCAATACGGGATTTCTGAGTGGCGGATAAGCCCTGTTGGATTCTATTCTGGAAAGGCGAAAGCTTAAGAGTCCATTCTGCACTACGGAACCTATGGTTCTTTCGCAAGATATGGTGATCCAATCCATTACGAAGAGCATGAGCCGATAGTCATCAGCAGATCCGTCATTGAGAAGCGGCCCAGAGAAGCCGTTTTATGACATAACGATCTCACTCCACGAAATATAATTCGTCATTCACGCGCCTCTTCAGACGGTAAATCCAACTATGCGCTGGCCGGTATCATCGATTGGGAGCTCGCTGGATTCTACCCAGCGTCGCACGAGCTGAATTTACAAGATACATACCTCCGGGCTAATTTTAAATGTACCATAGTACCTGCTGTTGATAGAAAGCATCTCGTACCGCGATCTACATCTCGGAATAATCTCATTGAGATATCAAAACTGACTCGAGACAAGGATCCTTATGTAAATTAGACAAGAAGTCTACAAGATGGTCCCTTTCCAGAATCCTATATCGTTGATGAATTAGAGGATGACGTGATCGAAGAAATGCTCGCCATAAGGGAGTCAAAGTCAATCTGAAATTACAGTACCTACAGTACAGCCTAGAGTCATTGGTACGAAGATATTACTCACCTAAGGGGTGTTTATGCAGCCGAGAACAACCATAAAAGACAAAAGCTAGATCTTCTTTTATGTAATAGAATGCCATGACGTCCCCAATGCGTTATGTAAATACCGGTTATTAAATGGATAAATATTTTTTGAAAGGCTGTGGATCCGACCGAACTGGCCAAATTAATACTGGTTATATCAATTGATATTAGTGTTAGGATCATTGTCCTACAACTCTTCTACGCTGAGACCTTACAAGTATCTACACAGGTTGAGCTGTAGCCAATGCAGTATAATGAAGCTTTGAAATATTATAGTAAAGTCACATAGTACGCAAGATTTAGTGTCTCTACTCAGGACAGGCCATCAGCTTCCTAGTCGCAACTGTTGACGAGAGGTGAGGAGGTTAGAGGTTTAGTATTGTCATATGCAGTGAGCTGCCTGTGGCATGTGACGTATTATCGAGGTAGAAGAAGCTGGGCAAGCTGATTTCCCCAGCCTAGGGGAACAGGTAGCTAACGGTGTCTAGTTAATTATGATTTGTATTAGCTCTTAGTTATTATTAATGTAAATAACCTACTTAGCAGTCTCTTAACTCGGTAAATTCCCCTGCGACTACGTGAATTAGGTTGTCATGTTCGCCATCTGTAACCTTGTTGCACCTTTCATGTGATATTTTCATAATATTTACGATACATCGACAGTTTTTCGAAGATTGGAGAGGCAGAGAGAAAGATAATTGCGGTTGAAGGCTCTTGATGCACTGTGCCGGCATTCCGCAACTGTCAAGCTAAAGCTCCACGTTCAATCAAACTTCGAATAAGCTCCCCATCAAAACGGCAACGGAGAAATTAGAAGCAAGATGAAACAGCGGAGTTCAGAAGTGTAAAATTGTATGGTTATCCAGGAACAAATCCCGGGTTTGTAGGTGGCTGAAGAGAAAAATAGGGAATTGTGGATATGTATAATTCCTGACATTTTCCCAATAGTTCAGCTGTTGCCACAAAGTTTATGAGGGGGTGGAATTTTCAAGTCCTCATTCATATCTCGAAGACAATTCTTAACTGTGGATATGGAGACAGCACTATTATCCTTGTTTAGCCTTTTTGACTGCCTTGTCTTTGTGAACCCAGCATCGTTGGTTTCGCCTGACCTGATGTCGATACTCTCAAACTCAGTTACCTTGACAGCATTTACTACTACGGACGGTCTCAACTTTAAGGTCGACGGTGCTACTAAGTATTTTGCAGGAACAAATACATATTAGATTGCGTTCCTAAACAACAGTGACATGGACTATGTCCTCGACGACATAGCGTTATCTGACTTAAAAATATCCCGAGTCTGGGGATTAAATGATGTCAACACGATTCCAGTTTCTGGAAGAGTGTGGTTCTAACTGCACGCGAACGGTATATCCACAATCAATACGAGGGCTGATGGGCTTCAGAAGCTTGATTATGCGGTCAGTGGTGCTGAGTCGCGAGGAGTCAAGCTGATCATCAACATTGTCAACAATTGGGATAACTATAGAGGGATGAATGCCTACGTCGTTGCTTATGGGGGAACCTTAACGGGCTGGTACAACAACACTCAAATCCAAGCGGCTTACCAGACGTACATCAAAGTTGTAATCGATCGATATAGTACGTCATCCATTAAGTCCCTGGACTTTGAGCACATGGCCACCATCAGCGATGGTAAGTGTTTCATAACCTAAAAAGCTTGGCCTTTTTTACCTTTTTGATGGCGCTTTACAGTGGGCTTTGGCTTTACGAATGGATCCGATGGTTCATATCCGTATACATTTGGGGAAGGACTCGACTTTGTGACAAATTTGTGTATTCCCACAATTAATTTTGACACTTTCCATCTATATACTAATAGCTGTATGTTGTACAATCCTTTTTGAGTTACGTCGAGCCGTACTAATACTGCTTAGGGGGTGAAGCATTGCCTTGGGGTAGAAGTTGGGTGTCAACTCATGGCGCCGCTTGTGCAGCGATAGGAAAGCCGTGCGTTCTCGAAGAATTTGGAGTAACTTATGATCAGTGCACATACGAGGCCCAATGGCAGGCTACGGCCCTAAACACCTCAGGTAGCGCGGCCAACATGTTCTGGCAGTACGGTGATACGTTGAGCACGGAGAGTCCCCGAACAACGGTAACACAATATACTATAGCATTAACACATACACTTGCATTGTCATGAACCACATCAAACATCAAAGCAATTGGACAACTGGAAATAACTATTTGCCGCACTGGCTGATGAGACTGTTTGTATATGATCATCTGACTCATGTTTGAAGCCCTTGTGCACTCCAACGTCGCCCAGTCACGGTTACTGTGTGTATTCTAGCCGATATTTTCACATAGCCTGTCTGGATTTTCAAAATTTGACAACGCATATAGTATAGAAAATAAACTAGAAATACAGTGAAAAGAACTCAGATGTAACCCAAGGGAGTGTCTCGGGCTCAGATCTGGTGCCAGTTTTGCACGGAATAGGAAAGTTGGCAAGTCTACAAACTGCGGTTTGGGTACCAATTGCACTTCTAGAGGTCAATAAGATGCCCGAGCGCATGTCGTAGGGGAGGGACCGGGATAATTGGCATTGGACACGTCTAAAGATCTATTGAATGCTCCAACCACCAATCCGGGAAAGGAACCCGTAATTAGGGCTGCATCCGCCAATCAGTCTACAGCGCGCTGCAAGTTGACGTGATCATCCAGTGTTTACGCAGCGAGGTAAATGGTGCATTGCATCCAGGCGGGCAGATTTGTATTATTATGATTTTTCGTTTATTCACCGCGACGCCTAACCCTGTTGCTCTCCACTTTTCTGTTTTCAAGGGATGAGATTAGGTTCACACCGGACGATCATACACTCAAACCAGGCGGATCAGTTCGCACATCACGCGGCATTAAAAAAGGTCTTCTGATCCACCGATTGCCGGCAGTTGCACTGGCTACGCAAGATACTTGGCAGATCTCCGCTAGATCGGATATGCCTTGCCTGAAGTCATGTCCTTGTCTCCTGACTCTGCTCTCCTCGACCGGCTTTCAAGCCTGCGGACCGAGCTGCCGAGGAGACGAACCTGCGCCGCGCTGAGGCGGGGGGATGGTATAGAAAGGCTTGTATCAGCCATGTAGATTGTCGGATTTGCGATGTACTCGCAGCTTCATTCCTTTTAATTTTCTTTCTCTCATTTCCTGTCCGGAGCGGTTGGAGCAGTCCAATTATATCGCTTTTGCTTTCAATTTCTTGCCCAAGTAAAACAAAACATCAATTGATATCTTACTCACGCTATCTGTCTAAGATGCTCCTACCAACCCTTGCAACAGCACTGGGATTGATTCCCCTGGCATTGACTGCAGCTGTCCAAATTCCGTCAACATCTGCTGCCAGCAGTGCTTACCCAATCACAAACCAGGGCAACCATAGAGCTCGAGACCCCAACATTATCCACTACAACAATGAGTATTACCTCTTTCAGACTGGGTCGGGTATTGCGTACAGCAAGGCATCTGACCTCAGTGGACCGTGGACATCTGTAGGAGAGGTTCTGGATGGGAAGCCCAGTGTCATTGACAAAGGCAACCGTTATGATCCCTGGGCTCCGACAGTAATTCAGCACAACAACGAATTCTATTGCTTTTACAGCGTATCGACCATTGGTTCGCGAAATAGCTCTATTGGTGTCGCTACTTCTGCTACTCTTGCGCCTGGCTCGTGGACCGATCACGGTGCATTGATCAATACTGTCAGCGGCCAGTACTCGAATATCTCTCCTTACACTGTCTCCAATGCAATCGATCCGAGTGTGATAGTTGAGGTTATTGGTGGCCAGGCATATTTGACATTTGGTAGCTACTGGACTGATATATGGCAAGTTCCATTGACAGCCGATCTCTTATCGGTCCAGAATCCACAGCAACCAAATGCAAAACATCTTTCCTTGACCACACCTACATCGCAGAGTGATAGCGAACGACCAGAGGAAGCGTCATGGATCAGTTATAAAGCGCCATATTACTATCTTTGGTTTAGCAAAGGGTTCTGCTGTGGACTTGACATTAATAACTTACCTCCGGCTGGCCAAGAGTAAGGCAGACATTTGATCTTTAAATGTATTACGAAGTACACACTGATTTCTCTTTTGGTAGATACTCTATTCGTGTTGGGCGCTCCTCATCGGTGACCGGGCCGTACCTGGACAAGAACAACACTGATCTTCTGAATGGCGGTGGAGAGGTCGTCTATGGCTCAAATAGTAACGGCCAAGTCTATGCACCAGGAAGCAGTGGTGTATTGACCAACTACTGGGGACGAGACGTGCTGTACTATCACTACTGTAAGTATCTCATACCTACTGTTTCATTGTCTACTTTCCAGTGCTGACAAAACCTAGTGAATCAAAGTATAGGCCTGGCGAACGACGTGAGTATCTTGACTCTTTTTTCCTTTTTTGAAATATATGTTTGCTCATAAATATAGGATGCCTTTCTTGGATATAATTATCTAGATTATGAAGGCGGTTGGCCTGTCGTCACCACGACGTCGGGGTGACCGCGTCACCGCCTTTTCCAGGTTGCCTGTAAATGAAGCTGAAGTCACTGTTTCAGGGAAGAAAATAATGTGCAATTAAGCCATACAAATGCTGCGGGAGATATTTCTTCGCAGCATTTGTATCTTTCCATTTGTAAGTTTACTATCGAGGCATGTTCCCGAGCCATCATCTAATCTGGCGATAGTTACATGGGGTTTATGGACTCTTTTGAAGATATTCCTATAGAGATGGGATGGGCTTGCTGGGCTGGATAAAATCCCCTTGCATTTGTCTTCATTCATTCATTTTGGCTTGGTTGTCGCTCGTCGCAAGGACTTTTGCAGCGTATACGATACGACTTTTCATTTTCTTTCAACGTATCTATTGTTCTGCCCCTCGACTTCTATGCCGATATTTCCTATTTCTTACTTTCAATTGCCTTCCTTTATTTCTCATTTCTTTCGAAGTATACCCTTCGTTCACCAACAAAGACTTTAACTCTTACATTCTGGTGGTTTGATGCTGGAATTTTTCTAATACTATGTTTTCATGTATTCATATTGTATTTTATACAAATATACTGTATACCTAATTCTTCCTTTTTCTGTTGACCCCCATCAGACCGAAAGATGATTTAATTAACAAGACCATATATCACAAGGCGAGGAGTCATTATCGGCAATTTGTAGCCGACATCTGTAATCTAGGTGAAGTATTATCCGTACCCCCCCCCCAAAGCATAAATGAGTCCATGATGAAGGCCTTTAACCAACTAGACTCGATGCTATCGACCCCTCGAGGAATCGGCGTTCCCGCATCCTTCATTATATTCTATTATCTTCAGTGACGTGGAAGAAACAGTCAATGGTACGTCTCACCAAGGGAATAATTAAAGCAAAGGTACGAAAAGATGGAAAGTCAATACTTTGCCGATAAAGTCTACGCGATTACCGGCGTAGGCTGCGCAGGCGTAGGCCTATGTATAGCCAAGCTACTCGACTCACCGGGCGCAAAAACATCGCTCGCGGACATCGACATCGAAGCTCTTAAAGCTGTCCATGCAGTACTTGATAGAAGCGAGAAATTCTGATTAAGCAAGTAAACGTAACCGACCCAAAGTCTGTCGATGCCTAGATACAAGATACCATCGCCAGCTTCGGCCGTCTGGATGGCGCGGGCTAACATGGCCGGTGTTATTGACAACCACCACGGTACGCAGTCTTTGATCGAGCAGGACGATGATGAATCTGATGTGATCATGAAAGTGAATGTATATGGAGTGAAGAATTGATTGCGTGCTGAACTGAAAGCGATCAAATCAACCGCAGGAAAAGGAAGTATCGTGAACGCGTCAAGCGTGCTGGGGCTAGAGGGCTCCCCCTTGCATGCGACATATTCGGCTAACAAGCACGCAGTTACGGGATTGACAAGGAGCGTGGCTAAGGAGATAGCACCGGGGATTAGGGTTAATGCTGTAGCTCCGTAAGTGCATCACTATTAAAGCCTCTTCTCCAATAAATTCGTGGATGTTTACGTACGCCTAGGGGCTCAATTTAAACACCATTTCCAGATAAGGCAATTGGGATTCAAGGGGGGACGCTTGATCTCTCGGGCATTGCTATGTGCAGACTCGGAACTCGGGATGAGATTGCTAATAGTGTGCTGTTTCTATTGAGCGACGCGTCATCGTTTACTATAGGGCAGACGCTGAGTATTGATGGAGGATGGCATTGTTAAATAGTATCTCTACGTATGCATGGGTCGTTATTTTTTAGGAGAGAGAAATGTGAGTATATGTAATTTCTGCAAGTAGAATATGTAGGTGAATGCATTAAGAATGCGACTTGAATGAGAACCTCCATGTAATACATTAGACCAATGATATTAATTGTCAGGAATCGTATAGATCATATTTCATGACCATTTTGAAACGATGCAAATATCCATACTTCTTGATAGAAATCCAATCCTTCTTTCTTTGGTCACATCTTCAATTCAAAAATTTTCCATCCTAGGTTAGCGCCTTAGGCCCTTCGCCGTGGCCGAAAACGGAAATGTCGAAAGCGTTCTTTATGCCTCAGAAATGTGGGCTTCCCGGCTATTTACGTAGTTGAGCATTCTAACACGTATATAATTTCAACTTGTCGAGTCATGGTTCCTTAAATCATGAATTCTCGCAGGCACTGATTGCTTCGTACTACTTACCACTGGGTCTCTCCGTAGGTACTGCGTATTCCAGAGCCATATTAGGGTAGACTGTCTTGAGTCAGCATTCCAAGAAGCATCCACATGCAGTAGTACAGCTACTATTGCTACCTTTAAATGCTACATGATCTCCACATTCCAGAGCTATGTTCCGTGACATGCGATTGGTCTCAGCTACCAGGGGCCAGGCAAGTCGACCAGTCAACTTGACAGCTAACCTACTAAATTCTAGCATCTAAAGACACTAACAGCTCATGATGTCACAGACTCAAAGTGCATCGCAAACTTCCCTGCATCCGTCACCTATGTCCATCGGTTATTGCCGCGGCAGTTTCTCAAGCGATAATGTACGGCAACAACTTTGCTACACCCCGTCCCCAATGCAATTATACTTGATGTAGTTATCCTAACGTCAATGTCCAATAATTTTTATATTATCTACGACTCAGAGCAATATTAACTTTTATATAAACTTTAAGAGGACGGGAGATCTACCAGATGACTGTGGTTATGTTGAAATTTCCGAAAAGCATGGCAACATTATCTACGACTGCCTGCTAGGGCCTGCTTGCAGAATGCCACTCACCTGCATATGTAATTCTAGATCCAATCCAGCCACCATGATTATTGCATATCTTCCATTTTCTGTGTAAAATGTGTCTGTGCGTTAAGGCTGAAGCGCCATTTCTTGGATCAATTTTCTAACATGGTAAAGTGATTTCCAAGTCGTGACGCATTCATCGAAAAAAGGGACATCATTTCTGCTTTTATTTAGGCATATTTAGCCAATTATGGTTACATTCAAAAGCTTTTGATCTATTTCTCCGTCTGTCCGGGCATTACATCCACCTTACCACCAGTAAACAGTTACAGCTAACCGGCGAACACTGAACTGACCTTTCATAAACGCCATCCATTTGATACAGTTTTCATTTATTAGTAGTTGGGAATTGTCCCAAGAAAAAATGAGTTTCTGCCTTTTGGAGCTTGGCCAAAGACTCTTGAAGTATTTTATTATGTGGATAGCCTTGCATGACGAAGACTAAGGCATTCCATTTAACTAATTGTATGAGATTTTAAGATAGCAAGTGACGATATTGGAGCCATAATGCTGCTCCCAGCCTGCCTGATTCGGCCGATGCTAGTAGCTAGGTGACATGTGGCAACGGTTTCCTATTCCGGAAACAACAAGAAGGCAGCGACATAGTATGTCTGGAGACACTCGGGATATCTTGTCACAAATGAGGAATCTCGAGTGACGCCATATATGTTGCTCGCATGAAAAACTTCCTTAAACGGCCTGTATCATTGTACCTATGCACAATATACGGCCTATCGGATTGATTCCAGTACCTGATGACCTTTTTTTTAAAATCAGTTCCACACCAAAACCCCAACTCAATTTCCGAATGATCCGTGTTACGATACTACTTTGCCTCTTTTATGAGTGGAGCATCTGCGATTTTCCCCGTTTGCGTCTATTGACAGTAGCTGCTCTCCTGATAGACATGTCATTATCATCTTCGGATGTTACCCACGCAGCCCAGATCTTCAAAATTATTTCCCTTTGAATTACTATATAAATCATGCTCTTGTCCTGGACAATTGGCAAAGGTTTTAACTCTAACAGTCTCTCGCTAGGATAGTCAATCGCTATATCCTCTGACACATTCGTTTTTCGTCAAACCTAGAGCAAGACGTCAACATGGTTAACGCAGGCCTTGCACTTTTGATGCTTGCTGGCCCAGCTTTTGCTGGTGTCATAGAGCAGCGAGGTGACCAGAACACCGAGGGAGGTAAGACTCCTGGAGCTTACGAGGCACCCCCTCCTCCGGTGTCGACTTATGCTCCTCCTCCTCCTCCACCCCCTCCGGTGTCAACTTACGCCCCTCCTCCTCCTCCGGTGTCGACTTATGCTCCTCCGCCGCATTCCTCTGCGCCTCCTCCTCCACCACCACCACCACCACCTCACTCCTACCCTTCTCCTCCTCCTCCTCCTCCTCCGCCTCATACCTACACTCCTCCGCCTCACACCTACACTCCTCCACCTCCACCTCCACCTCACACGGTGCCAACCTACACCCCACCTCATCCAAGCCCTCCGCCCAAGTCCCAAACTACTCCTGTTGTGCCACCTCCGCAGACCAAGTCCATTCCTCCTGGTTTTTGCGAAACGACCTTGACAGTCACTACTACTGAGTGTCCTGGTAAGTACAATACCTGAAATTTCAATAATGATTACTTACATTGAATAGTCACCTCTACGGTCACCACTTCCGGTACCTCTACCATCACTGTGCCAGTGACTCTGACCAACACCGTCACTCGCACTATTGTCACTGTTGTTCCTACTGGCTCTACTATCCCAGTCCAGCCTGCTCCAGCTCCAGCTCCGGCTCCAGCACCAGCACCAGCACCAGCACCAGCCCCAGCTCCGGCCCCGGCCCCGGCCTCTGGCGCTCCAGCTCCAGCTGCTCCGGCTGCTCCGGCTGCTCCAGCACCTGCTGCCCCGGCTCCTCATTCTGAAGCCCCAGCTCCTGCTGGCTCGTCCAAGCCTACTGCTGCCGCTCCTCTCTTCACCGGTGCCGCCTCGGCCAACCAGCAGCCCGCTGCCGGCCTTGTGGTTGCTGCTCTCGGAGCTTTCGCCCTTCTCTAAATGAGAAAGTGTGAATTTATAGGATAACTTTTTGTATACGAGTTGATTTTCTTTTTCATTTCATGCCTATCAGTGTCTGGTCTGTCAAGTTTCGAGAGAGGTGCAACTCATTCTCTCTTCCAGAGCACTTTTTTTGATATCAACTTCTAATAAATCGAATGTACTTAATATATAATTATTTCAGTTTATAAACAGATAAAACAAAATGAAGACTTGTGCTTTATTCCAATGCCGATTTGATGAACGTTACAAAGACTTTTGGGTTATATTCATTATCAATCGTCACTTGACACGCTTAACTATTTTATAATAATATCTTTGTCTGTAAAGGTCTTCTCCGGGTATCTTCGGGCAGAGAATGGTAATTACGAACGCTCCTTCATCGCTTCTCGCTGTTCATCCTCCTCGGCAATTCTCTTGATGGTTTGTTCAGCCCATTTGGCAGCCGTCTCGCATGCCTCCGTTGGATTCTTCTTAAATTGCAGAAGAAAGCCTTGCAACGTGGCAAGGCTAAGTTGTTTTTCTGGAATAGCAGTAGCGAATTTCTCTGCGAGGGTGTCTAGGTCTGGATATTTCTCTCTCTGCTGGCTCTTCTCAACAGCTCTAGTCAATGCGGGTATGTCCTCTCTGTACATTGATAGGAACAATTCCTGCATTTCTTCACGCGAGGGTAGCTCAAAACGGATATGCATGTCGACTCGTCCGGGCCGAACTAGAGCCTTGTCCAATGATTCGGGAGAATTCGTTGTCATGATGAGAATGCGTCCTTCCTGCGACGATACACCATCAATTGCATTGAGCAGGCCCGAGAGCGAGACAGACGTGGCTGCAGAATTAGCGCTGTTATTCAAGCTTGCTCCCGTAGATCCTTGGATCATATTGACTACATCTGCTTCGGCTGACTGATCACCCTTGTTCCTTCGAGTTTGTCTTGTTCTCGGCTCGCTTTCCCGGCGGTTGAGTCCTGCAGCATCGACGTCTTCTAGCAGCACAATACATCGCGACGGTACCTCTGACATGAGCCGCATGAGTTGGGATTCGTTCATGTTCGGGTCTAGTAAACTAAGAACGTAGATATCTAGTCCAAATATGCCCGCCAATGCTGATGTCAAGCTCGTCTTTCCAGTGCCTGGTGCACCAGAAAATAAATAGCCTCGTCGATATGGGATTCCGTGGTTGGAATACCATCGTCTTGTATGTGGGTGTAAATATTCATTGATATCTTTCAGCAGCTCATGCTTTGCTTTTTTATCGAAAATTACAGTTGATATATCGCGAGATGGCCTGCTGCTAAACTGCGTCCAACGGACATGATCGCGCACGTTTGCAATAGCTCTATGAATAGTTGTAGTCGTCTTTGTTCTTTCGAGATTGTAAAGCTGTGCTTCCTCCAACAGACACTGGACCGGCACGAATGAGGAGCCGAGACATTTGAGCTGAAGATAACCCCTCTCTTTGGGCAGTTGTACTAGCTCATTGCCTTGATGCACTTTATGCTGGAAAAGCAGCCAACTCCCGTGGCGACGGAACACATGGGTTCCCTGGAACGGCTGAAGACTGACAGGGGTACGACCGACGATGGATCGATAGCTGATCAAATTATTGGGGTCTGGCTCAGACAGTTCCTTGTCCCCACCAATCCCAATCATCGACTTTAGCGCCTCCTCTTCATCCTCCCACGAACTTCTCGAGGAGCTGACAGCCTTGACGCTTCGAAACTGACGATTCATGAACTGATGATCTGCCATCCATCGCATCAAATATCCATAAAGCGGGTCATCGTCGTTGATTCGTACTGTCGTCCATAACACAATCACGCGGGTAAAAATATACCGCAGAAAAGTAAATAACCCCGCTAAGAAAATGCCAATGTTCACCAGCGTAAGAGGGTCGAGGTCGACGGTATTCTGTACAAGGCTGAAGATATGTAGATAGGCTGGTTTCAGTAGTTTTGTAGCTTCTCGCGGTAGTGGGAGAGAAGACATGACTGGATCTCTCGTTTGCAGTACAGATTTGTGGTCTGTAAGCCGGCTGTTGATGAGAAGATTTTTCACGGCTAGAGATGGCGCAACATGAATCCTAGTGCCTTGTCTCTTGATTTTTTGTCGCCATAGGGCTTATATAATGCTTCAACAAGGCAGACACGTCAATAGTGACTAAACTGCATCAGTCATGTTTGCTGAGGTTCGTTGCCTAGTTGAAAGTGGCGAATGTGTTGCACTACTGCAATGCTAGTGTGGCGCGGTACCTATGTAGTATACTTACTCATCGGGGGCCTCACCCTTCAACAGACACACTAATTATCAATATTAATTAATGTATATTTACCGATACTAATAGTAATGGTTGATTGTTATACTAATTATTATGCTTCGGTGGTTTACTTCTCCTAGGGAATTAAATAGCGTAATAGAAAGACATCAACACTAAATATTATTTTGGATGAATTTACACTTTTCCTTGCACCACTATACACCGTTCAACGTTATCACAAATTATCGAATGTCTGAAATACATCTACTCCCAAGTCTTTGGCAGATTGGCATGCTTTTTAGCGTCAATTCCCAAGTCATTGAATATGGTATGGTCGCCTATATGTAGTCTCTTCAGTAATCTCCAGACTAAGTAATGTAATGGAAACTCACCAGCGAGTGACTCAACCCGCTCCTCGTTCTCACTCTCAAATTTACTTAGTTCTTCAGCCGGAGTTTCCTTGCCCTCCTTGTCACTTGCAGCTTGAATTTCTCCAGCTCTGCCAAGGTTATTCTGAGCTGATCCAATCATAAGGAACTGGGCATTAGGGTAATCTAAGAATTCCGGTTCTACAGGAACCCATCGAAGATCACGGAATTTTGACATGATCCTATCATCCAACATGTGTTAGCTTATGTAACAGGAAACTAGGTAAAGACCCATACTCTTCTGGATACTCAGGTGTCTTTGGCAGCTGCGCACTGGGCGGACCCGGGAATTTTGGATTTTTGACCTGGAAAACAAAGCTGCCACTGTTAAATAGACCAAAGTCGTTTTGAACGTCACCGATATACTCTGGAATAGTCAGTATATAGACCAGGTGAGAATTTCGGCCCTCTTTGACGATTGCATAAACACCCTCGGCATACGGCCGTGCCTCCGGGGTTGTTCGTTCTCCTTGTGTTTGAGTTTGGTAGGTTTCTGACGCCATAAGTTTCTCTCGAATTGTTTTCAGTGAGACCTTGGCTTTCTCGACGAAACCCATATCCCGTTCTCTACCCGAGGTCGGATACTTCTTTTTCGGCAACATCATCAGGCGGCAGTTATCAGCCTCGCCAATCGGCCCATCCTCGATTTTTGCGCCCTTGGGTGTTGGACGTAGAACGAAGAAACTGCGAGCGACTTCACTCATGTTCTGAGGGTCCTCCACATTGACTCGGGGCCGAAAAAGGAAGTATATAATCCCCTTTTCAAGAACGGTGGAAGGCACAATGCTCTCTCTTTCCTGGTGCTCCTTTACAGCTGCACCAGCTTCCTTTGGCACAGATGGGTGTTGCTCTTCCTCTTTTTGTTCTCCCGGTACTTGCTCATCTTCTTGGACTAGAAACAATCAGATCACACGCATCTCAATTACCAGGAAATATCATACCAATCGCAGCCTCTTTTGGTTTCTCTTCTTCCTTCCCGACTCCATCTGTAAGTTGTTCCTCGGCCTTCTGAGGAGGCGCTTCTGTCGGCTGTTTGTTCACTGTGACTTGCTCATCTGACCATGCTTCAGATGGATTTTTCTCGGGAAGCTCCTCGGTTACGGATGGCTTTTCGTACACCGTTCCTTCTTTAACTTTCTCTTCCTTCTTACCCTTCTTGGGAAGAGGGCCCTTGTCAGCTGATGATTTGCGCTTAGAACCCGCCAGTCCGTGGGTGAAAGCTTGGTTGGCCTTGACAGCTGCCTGGCGCGAAGATGTCCGGACCGGCATTGCGATATAGTAGAATAGCCGATCGATGAAACGAATTCCTAAAAATGGTGAGTATCATATCATTCGATTTCGCATAACGATATTGGTTCATACGAGAATTACAGCGAGTATGTCGGCAACGATCAATTGACGTGTTTGCGGGCAGAGGGAGAGCGCTGTTCACTATGGATGAGAAGAGTGTGACGTCACAACCACTGGGAAGGAAGCGCTCCGTCTGGCCTTATATAAGCGGTGGCTTAGAGTCTAGTTACTGTTTAGCAGAGAAAGATTACTACAGACCAATTGATATAATGCAGAAAGGGTAATATTTGGCTCTGTAAGCTGAGCTATTTGATGTTGGTCCCAAGGATCGGCTGGGGTCGACATGTTGTCGTATTTCTACGACGGTGTCTAGCCACGATATATAGTCTCTTCCGATGGGCACAGTTCATTCTACACAACTGGACACCTTCTGGTATGGGGCATTTCAAGTAAAGAAAGTCATGATGACGTCAAAGAGGTTAGCACTCTCGGTAAGGGAAAACAACGTGATGTATCACAGATGGTCCTATTAGTCTAGATCCATCCGGTCCGTCATTGCGTCGCCTGGTGAATTGATTTGCGGCGCAGATTCACGACCACTGTGTGATAGTATCGCAGAGCTGGGTTCTGGGCTTAAATCGCGGCTATTAGGGGCTGCAGCATATTCCATTTTGATGTCATCCCCAGTCTTGGTGCTTTTCCTCCGCGGCCTCTTTGGGGGACTGGAAATGGATCCTTCCGCATCAAGATCAATATCCTGATCCCTCACATCTGGTATAGTTCGAATGTTCTGTGAAGAGCTCATCGACACATCGGGTTTCCTCTTCCTGCCTCGCTTCTGCCTCGATAGTGGAAAGGTGTCGTTGCTATCCGAATCGCAATAAAGACCACGTAGAGAATTCACTAGCTCCCTCTGCCAGTATTCGGTCGTGTCTAGTAGCTTCGGCGTAGCAGGTTGAGTAGGCGCTGATGTTGAAGTCTGATCAGCATCGTCATCCGGTTCTTCAATAGCATAAGGTCGGACGACTTCGACATCAGCATCATATCCAGGGTCCTGCGCCAGGATGTTGTCTGAGGACGCATTCCTAGCCGTTGATTCGGCTCGCCGAGTCTTTGGCCGATTCCTGCCACCGATATCATCGCGTGGTGATGAAACTGAGCTCTTCCTGCGTGGAGGAGGACCGGGTCTGGGACGGTCGGCGTCGGGGGACGGCTGGCCAGAAGAGCGGGCGAAGAGATCTCCCACTAACGGTCTCTTTCCCATGCTCGCTCAGCGGATCGCTCGATGTTCTCTCGAGGAAACCAGCCTTCTCTGGTGATGGGCGCGGAGACCACAGCGGAGGCAAGGGAGAATGCGGGGCAGAGGCATCGCAACAGAGGCGTATGGTCGACTCGGCGTTGATCGCAGCTTCATAACAGAGTTCTCTCAGATTGGATATTGGAAAGCAACCCGCTGCTCTGGGCCCTAGACAGCATCACTGCATCCTGAATTAAATATTGCCACAGGAAGAGGGAAGAGGGAGACACCTCCCCCCTGACGATGGCTGCGGCTGGTCGGGCGTCCCCATTGGCCGGGGCCCACTCGCTTAGTCTTAACCACAAGTGAAAGCTGGCATGTCTGGCCTTGCCTTGTCTTGTATACCCGCAGCCAGCTTGCTGATTACTTCCAGCGTTGAACTCAACACCCGCTCGATTCTCCCCAGCCAGCTGTCTATGCGGCCTCGCTGATTCCGTCCTTCTCTTGACTGGCCTGCAGAGCAAGCGCTTGCTTTGCGGCTCCGGGCTCGCCCAAGATGTCCTCACCCACCATGCTCACAAAAGTAAATACCGCCCCTCTCCCTGCTGTCATGGCCCTGCCTGCTTGACATGCGAGTCCTGACGCTGGCTTCAATTAGTTCGAAAGCAAGTCCTCGAGAGCCAAGGGACTTGCTTTCCACCCTACACGGCCATGGCTGCTCGTCTCGCTCCACTCCAGCACAATCCAGCTCTGGGATTACCGCATGGGCACCCTGATCGACCGATTCGAAGAACACGATGGCCCAGTGCGATCGGTGGCCTTCCACCCGACCCAGAACATATTTGTTAGTGGTGGAGATGATTACAAGATTCGCCTGTGGTCGTTGCAGAGCCGGAAGAGTATTGCGGTTTTGTCAGGTACTGTCTCGTTCTACGACCTGGTTGGGCAATTGGCTAATATTCACAGGGCATCTCGATTGTACGCACTGGTTGATGGATGATACACAGATGAGATAAAGTGGCTGACTGAGAATAGATGTCCGAACCGTCGCTTTTCACCATGAGCTTCCATGGTATGTTCACTCCCGAAGGTTAATGCGAACGCTCTGGCTGACGAGTGCTTAGGATCCTGTCATGCTCCGACGATCAGACAATACGAATCTGGAACTGGCAAAACCGAAGTCTCATCGCCACTTTAACCGGACACAATCACTGTTGGTGCCTCCTTTCGGTCAGCATTTATAGTATACTAATGGGTTCCAGACGTCTGGTGTGCGCAATTCCACCCCAAGGAGGACTTGATCGTGTCTGCATCCCTCGACCAGTCTGTGCGTGTTTGGGATATTTCAGGACTCCGGAAGAAACATTCTGCACCAACATCCATGAGCTTCGAAGACCAGATTTCCCGCGCGAATAACCAGGCAGACATGTTCGGGAACACCGATGCTGTCGTCAAATTCATTCTAGAAGGCCACGATCGAGGTGTCAATTTCTGCGCTTTCCATCCCACACTCCCTCTGTAAGGTGATTCATGATGGTATAAAACCCGGGTTGCTAATCTGGGTCAGGATTGTTTCCGCTGGCGATGACCGACTTGTCAAACTCTGGCGAATGAGTGGTTAGTAAGATCTATGCACATGGCCTGATTTTTACTGACCTTTATAATAGATACCAAGGCATGGGAAGTCGACACTTGTCGTGGTCATTTCCAGAACGCTTCGGCATGTATTTTCCATCCTCATCAGGACCTTATTCTCTCCGTTGGCGAGGACAAGACAATCCGTGTCTGGGATCTCAACAAACGGACTTCCGTCCAATCATTCAAGCGCGACCTGGACCGATTCTGGATTATCGCTGCCCATCCGAAAATTAATCTATTTGCGGCTGGCCATGATACCGGTGTGATGGTGTTCAAGCTGGAAAGGGAGCGGCCCGCGTCTACTATTCACCAGAACCAGCTCTTCTATATCACAAAGGAGAAACATGTCAAATCATATGACTTTGCAAAGAATGCGGAATCTCAGCCATTACTGTCGTTGCGAAAGCTTGGAGCCCCGTGGGTGCCTATCAGAACCATGTCCTACAACCCTGCCGAACGAGCTATTCTTGTTACCACCCCCGCTGAAAATGGCACGTACGAATTGATCCATCTCCCCCGTGATGGCACAGGCGCTGTTGAACCAACCAACTCTAAACGCGGACAAGGTAATTCCGCAGTCTTCGTCGCCCGAAATCGATTTGCAGTTTTCAGCCAGGCCAATCAGACCGTGGACATTAAGGATCTGAGCAATTCTACAACCAAGTCCATCAAGGCCCCAACCGGTACTACAGACATTTACTTTGGCGGTTCAGGTGCTTTGTTGTTCATCACACCAACATCCGTGGTTTTGTTCGATATTCAGCAAAAGAAACAGCTCGCCGAACTTGCTGTCAGCGGTGTCAAGTATGTTGTATGGTCAAACGACGGACTTCACGCGGCCCTGTTGAGCAAACACAACGTTACCATTGTGACCAAAAACCTACAGCAGCTCAGCTCCATCCATGAGACAATCCGTATAAAGAGCGCCACCTGGGATGATTCAGGCATCTTATATTACTCCAGTTTGAACCATGTCAAATTCTCTCTATTGAATGGGTAAGTTTTTCCTTGAAACTTTTGTAATGCTCCTGAACTGACATACTTGAAGTGACAATGGCATTATCCGCACCCTCGATCAAACTGTCTACTTAGTAAAAGTCAAGGGACGACAGGTTTACTGCCTTGATCGTAACGCCAAGCCGCAGAATTTCGAAATTGACCCTACAGAATTTCGTTTCAAGAGTGCCTTGGTCAAGAGAAACTATGATGAAATGCTTCACCTCATCAAAACTTCTAGTTTGGTCGGCCAAAGCATTATTGCTTACCTTCAAAAGAAGGGCTATCCAGAAATTGCGTTGCAATTCGTTCAAGATCCTCAGACCCGCTTCGAATTGGCGATCGAATGTGGCAATTTGGATGTTGCTATCGAGACCGCCAAAGAGATTGACCGGCCCAAGTTGTGGAATAGGTTAGCCACTGAGGCTCTTGCTCACGGCAACCACCAGACCGTTGAGATGACATATCAGAAAGAGAGACTATTTGACAAACTCTCTTTTCTGTACTTGTCCACAGGTGATCAGGAAAAGCTCTCTAGAATGGCCAAGATTGCTACTCACAGATCTGACTTCACATCCCGCTTCCAAAATGCGATCTACAGAGGGGACGTCGAGGACAGGATTGAGATGTTCAAGGAAGTTGATCTCTGTAAGTCGTATCAAAAGCAAATTCTGTTTACTATTTTACTGACTCGCCTAGACCCTCTCGCCTATCTGACCGCCAAAACCCATGGATTGACCGACGAAGCGGAGGCCATTTTGGAGACATGTGGTCTTACCGAAGATCAACTCAAACTGCCTACAATTGGCGAGCCTCTAAACATCCCCAGACCCATTGTTCCCACATTCAAGGCAAATTGGCCAACGAAGGCTGCTGGACATTCAGCCTTTGAAAAGGCTCTTCTTGGAGAAGTCGGTGCCCCTGACGAGGAGGCAGGATATGAAGTTGAGGAGGAAGTCGAGGAGGCAGCAGCAGCAGTAGGCGACGCTCTTGATGAAGAGGAAGAGGAGGATGTAGCTGGATGGGATATGGGTGATGAGATCAATGTTGAGGATGAAAACGATTTTGTTAACGTCGAAAGCGTTGACGCTGGAGCTTCAATCTCAGAAGCTGATCTCTGGGCCCGGAACTCTCCACTGGCGGCCGATCACGTTGCTGCTGGCTCCTTCGACTCGGCAATGCAACTCCTCAATCGTCAAGTGGGCGCAGTGCATTTTGCTCCTCTCAAGCCAAGATTCTTGGAAATTTACACGGCATCAAAAACATACCTGCCTGCCTCGGTGGGACTGCCGCCTTTGGTGAACTATATTCGAAGAACAGTGGACGATACAGATTCTCGTAAGGTCCTGCCCATCATTCCTCGCGATCTCGAGGCCGTCGCAAATGGAGACCTACAAGAAGGCTACGCTGCAATGCGATCCAACAAGCTGGAAGAGGGAGTCAAGATCTTCAAGCGAATCCTGCACACACTGCTTGTTAATGTCGTTTCTTCTGAAAGCGAAGTAGAGCAGGCCAAGAAAATCATTGTCACTGCTCGGGAATACATCCTTGCCATGTCGATTGAGCTTGAGCGTCGTTCCTTGTCCACCGAGTCGCCGGATGGCCTGAAGCGATGTCTGGAACTTTCCGCCTACTTCACAATTCCCAAACTCGAAGTGGCCCACAGACAGCTTGCTCTGATGGCAGCGATGAAGCTGGCATTCCAGAACAAGAATTACTCCTCAGCACTGAGTTTCGCCAATAGAATGATCGCCAATGGCGGCTCTGCGAAGTTGCTGGAACAGGTGAGCCACTACTTTCACCCCCTCTCGTCTCGACCTATACTAACTCCCTTATAGGCCAAAAAGATCAAGTCGCAGTCTGAACGCAACCCACATGACAAAATCGAGATTGAGTTTGACCACTTCGCCGACTTTGAAGTTTGTGCGGCGTCTTATACGCCAATCTACAGCGGCTCTCCAAGCGTCTCTGATCCGTATACTGGAGCCAAATACCACGAGCAATACAAGGGATCCGTAGATCGGATTGCAGAGGTAACTGAAATTGGGGCACCGGCTAGCGGTCTGCGGTTATTTGCTTCGGGATTGTAAAGCAGAGGGAGATATTAGATGATGAGAATATGTAATGAAGCCCATTGAGGATTTGTTCTTTGTGTTTCTTTTTTCATAGTATCGATTTGTTATACGATTGTTACATTTACATTTCTTTTCTCAAGGACCAAAAAGGCGCTTCTATTATTTTTTCATCGGCAAATACTTTTCTTCGATACGTCCAGTCACGATGGGAGAACGTGGCTCTCACCATCATCAGCTGATTGGATTGGTTGGTGTTTGGATCAATTTCAAAAGCTACAAGATTAATTGACTGTCTAGTCATAATTATATGGTATAAATAACGCACGGCTGAAGTAGAGAGTATTATACAATTCATATCCGCGCCTGCTCTAGTCATATGCAATCCAATGCAAAAATCCTCCATCTAAAATACATAAGAGTAGAGATGACATAACAACATACTCAGTCACCAATGGCAAAAACCTCATCTGGCCATATATATATTTACACGTCGTTGGCATATCATAATCAATCACACCGTCCATCCTTCCAGCCCGTCCGCCACCTCTCCTCCCAGAAATTACAATCAAACTCCTTCTTCCCCAGTTTCCGATTCACAGCATTATGCGCCTCACACATCCACTGCCCAAACTCCGCGCGACTCGACAATCTCGGCTCATTCTTCCCACTTGGATGCGCCATCCAGGCCCGAAAATCGTCGGCGCATACCCAGCAGGGGTAGAGTTTGGAGAAGAGGCCGAGAAAGGAGCGCATTTCGGTCTGTTGTTCGTTGGACGCGGTTGTTGGGTAGGCTGCTGTGAGGGAGTGTAGCAGTGTCCATGTTGAGCGGCCGAGCTGTTCGACGTCCGGCGGGCAGTCGTTGTTGGTGCTTGTGGTAGCTGGTATAGTCGCAACGGCAGCAGCTGCAGCAGTGGCGGAGCTGGCTGCTGATGCCTTCTTGGCCATTGCGCGCCACGAGGCGGCGGAGGTGCAGAGGCGACAGCTGTAGAGGCAATGATGTTGTTAGTTGTGCTTTGGGTGCTGGTGGAGAGGTTGATAGCTTACGGTTTCCCGTCTTTGTCTAGGACCATGCCTGGCGGAAGCTTTTGGCTTTCGCTGGCTGGTGTAGAGCTACTAGCTCTAGCTGTGCCATTCATGTTGTTTTGCTTGACTTGGGGTTCTGTGATTTGAATATGTTGGATTTTCTTCACTTGATTATTTCCGGTAGATGCCGAATGCGCTGTCAGTCAAAAATGAAAGGAGGAAATGCTGATGCAACGAGTGGAATGAAATATAAAATACAAGAAGATATAATACAGTATACTCGAGAAGTGAATGAATATCAAGACGCAAAGAATATCGAAGGATTAATAATGTCCCCATTCGGCATCGTGCCGAGCTCGCGCGCTGATTGGGTGGCGGCGAATGATGAGGTCATGTTGTCTAGCCCAATCGCGCCTGCCTTATCCGTCAAAAAAGGGCCTGCCAATTACTTTCGTCGTCTGATTCACGCGACAGGACTCGCTATACGCGTGTTTTCCATCGAAAGATATATTAGCAGGAATATACTGATACGCCATTGTTGTCGGATTACTATTTGCTTGTGCACGTGCTCAGCAAGACTTGCGATTGAACGATTTCTTCAAAAACGAGATGGCGCCTCGATATGCTTTACAAGAGAGTTCCGACGAAGAAGCGGGCGATGAAATGAGTAACATCCATTCCGACGAACGCCTTGCAAAGGGGTTACGTGACACTGTCGCAAGAGTGTATGAGTCCGGCAACCTGCAAGAGTTGACTGTTAAGCGTGTGAGGTTAGCAACGGAGACCGCGTTGGGTTTAGAAGAGGGCTTTTTTAAGGGGCATGAACAATGGAAGGCGAAGAGTGAGACAATTATCAAGGAGGAAGCAGTATGTCTATATGGTTGTTGCAAGGTGGCTATCTTAGCTAACCGCATCTTTTGTGCTGTACAGGCAGCGCAGGATATTGCGCAAGAGAGTAATGTGGTTCCGAAACCAAAACCTACAGATACACGAAATAAAAACACGGTGAAGAAAACACCTAAACAAGATCCAGAGGATCTACAATCGGCGAGGAAACGTCGGAAAATCACGAAGACTGTAGAAACAGATGACGAGCTGTCAACTCATGAAGACAACAGGCCGGACGTCGCAGACGCTTTCAAACCATCCAAGCCGATATCGGCAGAAACAGTAGATGAAACCTCAGTATCTGACAGTTCTGAAGAGCACGAAGTCCACCCAGCACCTAGTAGAGGAGCTATTGTCGACCAGGAAGGGTCGGAAAGTGAAATGTCAGTCGTTCTTGATGAGCCCGCCCCCGAGCCGAAGAAACGGCGAGAGAAGAGCACCGATTCTGCTCCCAAAAAAGGCAAAGCGAAGGCAGCTGCAAAACCCAGTACCGAATTAGACCCAGACACGGCGGAAATAAAGCGCTTGCAAGGATGGCTGATTAAATGTGGAATTCGAAAGATTTGGTCGCGCGAGCTGGCGGCTTACGACACCCCCAAAGCAAAGATCAAACACTTGAAGAGTATGCTGGAAAATGCCGGCATGAAGGGCCGCTACTCCCTTGAAAAGGCACGTCAGATCCGTGAGGGGAGGGAGCTGCTAGCAGACTTGGAGGCTGTGAAAGAGGGCGCGATGATGTGGGGGACTGGCAACAAGAAGGACGACGACGAAGAAAAGCCTCGAAGACGGCTCATGAAAGGTCGCCAAAGCCTAGCGTTCCTGTCCGATGACGGCGAGGAAACGGACTAAGAAATGTGTTACATGTACTGGCTTTAGAATTACCAGGTAGACAATCATCAATTGATGTTCATTTATGGATCTTGCCACCACTCATGCGCTGGGCAACCAGACTGAACACGGCAACAGAGGAGATGTAAAACACCAGATTGTAGAACTATTTCGCAGTCAGAGAAATCGCCTTTCTAATAATGTGTCAGTCAAGTAATCTCACGGCAGTTCGGGAGTACTCGTTCTCCTCAGCTTCGGTGCGAGCTTCGACGAAGAGACGTCGTAGATTAGGGAGATTCGCCTGCAGCATGTCAGAAACGAGTTACCAAGAATACAATCATATATCTACCATCTTCCAATGTATTGTGCCTATAGGGCTGGGTGTGCAGAATCAGGGGTAGGATTGCGAGTTGGTGAATTGATGAAATGGCGGGCGGTGAGGCGGATCGCCAGTCAACTAAGCTCTGATCGGCGGCAGATTGGCTTTGGACACATCCCCCAACTAATAATCTATTGCACTGATAATACCAGACCCAAATTCCCCATTCCTCGCCCACGTTGCATTTCCCTGCTCTATATCCCAGAGGCCGGGAACCCGCCCAGCTCGTACTTACGCAAAAACACACCGGTCCACTCATTTCGACGCTGCAGCATTTGTCCACGATAGCAGCAGCCACCTCCGGAACTGCGCTGACCACCCCGCGGTCTCCTTTTACGGCCGGTTCACAACTCTTCTTTGCTTTAATCACCATTGCGGAGGCGCGACTTGGTCGCTGCTGAAGCACTCTCTCTCAGGCATGGCTGTCAACCGATTAAGGAGCGCCTTTGCGGTGCCCAGGAAGGGCGAGACCTTTGAATTGAGGTCTGGTTTAGTGTATGTTTTTTGTCGGGCACTGGAAAACTGGAGGTGATGACGCTAACGCAAAGTCTTTGACAGATCACAATATGCATATGAACGGTATATACCATCCATTCTTCCGTTGTTGTCGTGTCCGCAAAGACGGTGCTGATAGGCGCCACAGAAAAGAAGCAATCCAGAAGACCATCATGGCGATGACTTTGGGTAAGGACGTCTCGGCACTATTCCCGGATGTTTTGAAAAACATTGCGACCACCGATCTGGATCAGAAGAAACTCGTATACCTATATCTAATGTGAGGCTTGTTGCTTCCCTTGCGATTCACTATAGCTGATTGTCGTGTCAGGAATTACGCCAAATCGCATCCTGATCTTTGCATATTGGCAGTCAACACCTTTGTGCAAGACTCTGAAGATCCTAACCCTCTCATCCGTGCATTAGCAATCAGAACAATGGGATGTATTCGAGTGGAGAAAATGGTGGATTATATGGAGGAACCTTTGAGGAAGACATTACGGGATGAATCTCCTTATGTCCGCAAAACGGCTGCTATTTGCGTCGCCAAACTATTCGATTTGAACCCAGATATGTGTCTTGAAAATGGCTTCCTTGAAATTCTGCAGGAGCTGATTGGGGACCCAAACCCCATGGTCGTCGCTAATTCGGTCACTGCTCTTGCTGAAATCTCAGAAACTGCTCCGGAGACAAGGGCGCTTGGAATTAACTCAACAACCCTTCGAAAACTGCTCATGGCCTTGAACGAGTGTACTGAATGGGGCCGCGTTACGATTCTCAGTTCTCTTGCCGATTTCAAAACTACTGACGTCAAAGATGCTGAACACATCTGCGAAAGAGTAGTCCCCCAATTTCAACACGTTAACGCCAGTGTCGTATTGGCTGCCGTGAAAGTTGTTTTCTTGCATATGCGCTATATCAACGCGGAACTCGCGGCTTCATACTTGAAGAAGATGGCTCCTCCTCTGGTCACTCTTGTCTCGTCGGCTCCAGAAGTCCAATATGTTGCTCTTCGCAACATCGACTTGCTTCTCCAAAAGCAACCGGATATTCTGAGTAAAGAACTTCGAGTATTCTTTTGCAAATATAACGATCCACCCTACGTCAAATTCCAGAAACTCGACATTATGGTACGAATAGCCAATGAGAAGAACGTCGACCAACTCTTGGCTGAGTTGAAGGAGTATGCCCTTGAGGTTGATATGGATTTTGTGCGGAAAGCAGTCAAGGCTATTGGCCAAACTGCAATTAAGATTGAGAGCTCTAGTGAAAAATGCGTCAATACTCTTCTCGACCTAATCAACACCAAGGTTAACTATGTCGTGCAAGAGGCTATTGTTGTCATCCGTGATATTTTCCGCAAATACCCGGGTTATGAAGGCATCATTCCTACATTGTGCAAGTGCATTGACGAACTTGATGAGCCTAATGCTAGGGCTGCGCTTATTTGGATTGTTGGCGAGTATGCAGAGAAGATTAGCAACGCCGGCGATATCCTTGCAGGTTTCGTAGAAGGATTCAATGAGGAATTCACTCAGGTCAGTCTATTTACATCATATTCAAAAATTCGTACCTAACAACCCACAGACGCAACTGCAAATTTTGACGGCGGTGGTCAAGCTTTTCTTGAAGCGTCCCGAGAAGGCCCAAGGCTTGGTGCAGAAAGTCCTCCAGGCTGCTACTGCAGAAAGTGATAACCCTGATATTCGAGATCGAGCATACGTGTATTGGCGACTGCTATCCAACACAACGGAGCCAAATGCCGCCAAGAATGTCGTTCTTTCTCAAAAGCCACCTATTACCACAACAATCCAATCACTACCTCCCGCCTTACTCGATCAGCTCCTAGAAGAACTCTCCACTCTAGCTTCGGTATACCACAAGCCCCCGAGCAGTTCGTCGGTCAAGGACGATTCGGTGCGGATGCAGTACAGAAAGCTGCCATCGAGTGCGTCTATTCCCCTTTCTCATATAAAATCTTCCACTAACCCATTTTACTAGGGAACAACAACAAAACGCCCGCGAAAACCCACTGGCAGCAGCTGCAGCGGCGGCTGCAGTTTCAGGCGGCGCTCCACCAGCCCAATCACAAGCCAACGCCGAAAATCTACTAGATATCGACTTCGACGGCGCAGCCCCAGCCTCAGCACAGAACGAGCCTCCAAGCGGGATGTCCGGGCTGGAAGGCCTCGCCGGAACCCCCGTTCGGACAGGCTCACCAGCAGTATCCGCGCCTCAACAAAGCAACAATCTAGACGACCTCCTTGGTGTATTCGGCAACGGCGGAGACAACACCAATGCTGGCTCATCAAGCAATGCCGCAGCCCTGGGAGGCTTGAGCGGTGGTTTCGGCGATGGCAATGATGACTTGATGAATGGGTTCTCCAGCCTGAACATGTCCGGCAACAACAACCCTACGTCGCCGGGAGCAAATTCTGGAAAGAAGACAAATGAGGATATTCTATCCCTTTTCTAAGCCGAAGCTGATTTACTATTTGTTTTCTTTTATGAATTTTTTTTTTGCGTCATGTTCCTTTCTTTTCTTGTTACTTTCTTCGCCTAATCATTATGATTCATTGCACCAGCCAAAATCAGTTGATTTGAATGGCTGTGGGGTGTCTCTCAACCTATGTATACGAGCATTCGCCACTAACGATAGCAAGTGAGGGAGAAAGCATGGTAGATCTGTGATGAGAAAAGTACAAATTTTATAGATAAATGTCTTGCGTATGGTCTCCATTGAACTTTCAAATGAAGCATCGGTATGAGTAGCTACTGAAATACTACGCTATTTATCGGTTTACTTCTGAGAACATTCGAGGGTACCAGTTGACAGATGAGATTTTCTTGAACCAACACCTAGTTTGAAAGAAAGTGAATTAAATTAATTATACAATTTAGAAAGAATATCTCAAGTATACTATGCATATTCAGTACCACCCCCTCATATCGTTAGTTCTTGTTTGGTGATCAATTTCACTCCCGTAGAACTTTGGTTGCTCGAAGAATATCCTCGAGCGACCAACAAGGACCACCGGGAACCATTTCTGCCCACACCTCTTCAGGGACGGCATCATTGGGGTCGAGGATACTCCAGTTGGGGCTGGGTTCGTGTTTGATCCATTTGAAGTCATCGACTTGATCCCATTTATCGGCGCTTTCGTGATGGTTTTGATCAAGGGCCTTGGGGTGTTAGATTTAGAATGAGGAGGATGCAAGAGGAAGGGGATTTATATCAGATTGCGAACTTACATAGTTTTTGGGGATCCGGCAGAAGCGAATCCGGCTGCAGTCTTCGATGATTGGATTGCTAGTGCAACTCAGATAGACGTCGACGTCGACGCAGTTGTGCATTCGGAATTGTCGGCAGGAGACGACTAGGACGCTATGCTCAACTCCGGTGATATGTGCTGGCCCGTCCACTTGCCCGCTAATAAGGAGACTTTCCTTGACGTCTTTGACCACCAGGCTAGCATAGGGCTTCCCATCATGGGTTGGAATGGACATGTCCACGACACAATGACGCAGAGACGTTATGGAAGCCGGAACAGTCGCTTTTGATGCGGATTCAGGAAGCATGATGTGAAGTCCATAATGCTGGTCTACAGATACCGAGGAGGCGTTCGAGAAAGTAGGCCGGCGGATGTCTGACTTCTTTTCTAGGAGTGAACTAACCTTGCCTTCGTCGAGGATGGCGGGTGAGGAGGTTGGTGCAATTTCTGGCCTTAATTGTAGTTGTTCGACCTCATTCACTGGAGTTGACGAATAGATGGGAGTGGGATTCATAGAAGATTCACGGGAGGAGACATCAGGAGTGAGATAATCAGGAATGGGGTGACGCCCTTGAACAGCGATTTCGGCCGCATCTGACAGTGATATGGCAGAGGGGTTCTTTTTGGTTTTGAATGAAAACTTAGCCCGCGGTTGGACAGCGGCGCGTGTTTCAGTTAGCTTATCCTGTAAAGCTTTGATTGCCTATAAGAGGACAGCTCAGTCAGTGTTTGTCGATAGCAGACTGTTTCTATAACATACCTCGGCATATATCCGCTGATCGTACGTAGGGATATAACTGGACGCATCTTTGATTTCGTTGGAAAGCCTCGAGATGCCTGCTAGGCAATGATCGCTAGCATCTGATCGCTCGCCAGCTACCAAGGACGTATCGGCGAGGCGGTCCATTTGTTCTTGCAAATCTATGGGTAAGCGTTAGCCATGTTGTTCTTATATTATTAAAAGAAAATGATTGACGTACCGGTAATTTCATGTTGGAAATAGCGGAAGAAACGTTCCTTCAAGGAGATATCCGACTTTGCGCTGTCGTCCTTGGTCTCCGGTGGTAGACGGTTCTCTAGAGCTGTTACGTCGGCCATCTTGAGGGTAGGTGGTCAGGTCGGAAGATAGCTTGTCGTTGTCGATAGAAGTAATAGGCTGAGTCTCTTCGAGATGGCTGGTATGTATTGATGACGTCTGATACACAAAGCAACGCAATCAGAGACCGGTGGTGAATATGATTCGCACAAGGAATGTCGTAATAATACACACAAAGCTATAGGTACACCATCCTAGGGGGTGGCATGTCTTTGAGAGACTTGATTGATATGCTGATCACGTTGTCTACTATGGAGGGGTTAACTACTCCTACTTAGTATTAATTACTTCCTGAGGCAGCGAGGCTCGATGACGTCGATTCACCGCGGTGGCCAATCACGGCCCGCACATTCCAGGGAAGCACATGAGCCCTCGCCGAATCGGGCACATCACGTGTTGAATATCTATTTTTATTTTGCATTTTTTATCATGTTTGTTTACACTTCGTCATCATTCATGATAGAACTGGTTTGGCTACTGGCTATGTCTCTTCATCGCAGCGTCGCTACCTAAGCCGCTGCGTTCCTGCTCGCTGCGGCCTCTGCTGTGAGTTTCAGGGCGATGGGAGCGTCGTCTCGAGGCATGAAGATCTCGACTAGCTAATATGCTTTCAGTAATGAATTATATATGTGGTGGAATAGAAGCTAACCTGAAAGACAGAAGATCCGCTGAACTCTGGGCTTGTGAAGAGCGAGTGCAATTCAGCCTTGGTTTTGGCTTGATACGTTTTATATCGACTTTGGCTGCTGGCCCCAAAAGCCTGCACTAGACTGCCATGATGCCATGTTTGAATATCGTTGTATTCATCGTCCCAGCCATGGATATACCGCTCAATAGTGTATCCATCATTGCAAATGACAAATCTAGACTCAGGTTAACAGAAACACCAAGTCTCAGCGATCGACAAATCTATACTGACATGATTGGGTTCAATCCCTGGCGAATCATCGTGCTTACTTCTTGCGCCGTCATTTGGAAACTGCCGTCTCCAACGAAAAGAATGACTCGTCGGTTTCCCACCTCGCGAGCAGCCAAGGTAGCCCCCAAGCAGGCGCCGACGGAGTATCCAATACTTCCCCACAGAACCTGGCTAATCGCAGTAACGCCCTTGGGAAATCTAGTCTCCCAGATTCCGAAATTAGCAGTTCCTGTTTCAGTAATGACAATGTCACCTTCTTGTAGCCAGCTCCCGACCGTTGGCCACAGCCAGGAATGGGTTATTTCCGAGCTATCAGTGTGTATTCCATGAAGTTGTGGAGAAACCCTAGTCGTGAGTATCCTCTCAGGATGAACATTCCACGTCCCCATTCTCTGTATCACCTTTTCCAAAACACCCCGCATCCTAATGTTGGTATATAACGAGTACCGCACCTCGACATGATCGGTATCGAAATTGATAGTGTTCAGCTTACTCGTCCTGTAGGAAAAACCGGTGGTGTTGAAGTCAGATTTGAGCGGTCCGATGCTGAGGATGAGATCGGCAGATTCAACTCGATCAGTTACTCCTTCATTAGAGCCATTACCAGCATATACACCACCAAAATTGGGGAGTGTTTCATCAACTGCTCCCCTCCCCATGGGTGCGACGAAGGTTGGTAGTCCTGACTTCTGGATTAACTCGTGCACGACGTCAAGTGCATCGTGTCTAGCTGCCCCAGCATCAACCAAGATGACCGGGTTTTTGGCAGCCTGAAGATATCTGAGCACGACATCTACCACATACTCCTCTTTGGCGGGGTCATTCGGCGGCGGGTCCAAGTCGATTGGTTGTGCTAGTTTTTTTCCATCAATTTTCTGCTGCACCATATCCGTTGGCAAGGCTATATACACCGGTCTACTTTCGACCCAACACTGACGCAGTGCATGGTCAATAAGACTAGGCGCTCGGTGGGGATCCGTAATTCTAACATTGCAAATCGATAGTTTGGCACTGATATCAGCAAACACGTAGTAATCGCCATTACCGAGTGTGTGATGCAACAACATGCCGTCCCGCTGGGACGCAGTACTAGGTTGTCCGACAATATGAACAAGAGGGACATGTTCTGAATATGCTCCCGCAATTGCATTTAGGGCTGACAGCTCGCCGACGCCGAATGTAGTCACCATTGCTGATATGCCTTTGACTCTGGCGTATGCGTCAGCAGAGTAGCCTGTCTTGTATCAGTCTAACAGTCCATATCAACCATCTACTCCAATCTTGGAACTGAGGTTTTACCGGCGTTTAGTTCATTGCAATTTCCGACCCATTTCAGGCCGGCTTTGGGCAGGTAATCGAGAGCGACAAGATTATAGTCTCCTGTTCCCGTTTCTCGTCAGTTTCATAATCATAGTGTAGTATAGAAAGGCGAACCTGGAACTCCTTGCACTGTCCGTATGCCTAATTGATACAGTCGTGTGAACAGATATTGTGCGACATCGACTGGATGTTCTAGTTCTGACGCCATTTTTGGTTTACAACATGTATTCTGATAATTGAGCTGTGGTAATTAATGAGAAGAACAGGGTTTTTAAATCATTATCACAAGCAAATTAAATATCGTAGATATTCTCGATTTTCTAGAATCAAATAGTTGACGTCAGCGCCTGATTAATCGGATGGCCTGATGTGACATTGGTTGATTGCATGACAATCAATCGATGAACGAATTACATACAACCAATATTGTGTACATTTATTAATAACTGATCAGTAATATTGTCCGCTAGCTAATATTCGGATATAAATCGCTAACATCTGCTGATATTTCTGTGGCTAATTTCTGTGGCAAATCATTGCTTTCTCAACTCTACATGCGTTGGTTTATCCCGTCATGTATGAAATACATGTCCATCATACGATCCCACCCAACCCAAGTGTTATTCAGTGGCTTAAATTTTCTTCTTGATTTTGGGATAGAAACATATGATCTGCTCATAGGAATAGATATAATATTCTATTAATTTCTCCCAATTCCTGAAGCACTTATCCCTTACCACCCCCAACATTTGAATACAGTGCACGCTTTTTCTTAATAATTAATATCAGCACGATCCAAAATGACTCAACTACCCGAAACTCAATGGGCACAAGTAATCGAGAGACCTGGCTCTGGAGTCGTCTACAAACGAATCCCCGTCCCCAAACCCGGGCCCGACGAAGTCCTCGTCAACATCAAATACTCAGGCGTCTGCCACACAGATCTACACGCCCTGAAAGGGGACTGGCCACTCACAGCCAAGTCACCGTTAGTAGGTGGCCATGAGGGCGCAGGCGTCGTAGTCGCGAGAGGCAGCCTTGTCACTGACGTCGAAATCGGCGAGCATGCTGGCGTAAAGTGGCTTAATGGGTCATGTCTTGCCTGCGAATTCTGTCGTCAATCCGACGAACCACTGTGCGCCAATGCCTTACTTTCGGGGTATACCGTAGATGGCACGTTTCAGCAATATTGTGTTGCTAAAGCAGCGCATATCTCGAGGATCCCGAAAGACGTTCCCCTAGACGCTATTGCTCCTATTCTATGTGCGGGAATCACGGTCTACAAAGGGTTAAAGGAGTCAGGGCTCAGGCCTGGGCAGACTGTCGCGATCGTGGGAGCTGGTGGTGGATTGGGGTCGCTCGCTCAGCAGTATGCAAAGGCAATGGGGCTGCGAATCATTGCCATTGATGCAGGAGAGGAGAAAGAGAAGATGTGCCGAGAACTAGGGGCAGAAGTATACTATCAATCTTATATTCTCAATGAGAAATCGCTATATCAATTGATACTAATCAAGGGCTTAGGTATACGTTGACTTCTCAAAAAGCAAAGATCTCGTCCACGACGTCCAGGCCGCGACCAAAGACGGCTTTGGACCGCATGCCGTTCTCCTACTTGCCGCCTCAGAAGGGCCATTTCAGCAAGCAGCAAGCTATGTTAGACCTCGCGGCTCACTCGTCGCTATTGGATTGCCGGGAAATGCGTACCTCAAAGCTCCTGTTTTCAGCACTGTTGTGCGGATGATAAATATCAAGGGCAGTTACGTCGGAAACCGACAGGATGGGGATGAAGCGATTGAGTTTTTCACGCGTGGTCTAATCAATGCGCCGTTCAAAACGGTTCCGCTGTCGGAGCTAGGGGATGTGTTCGAGGCAATGGGTGAGTTTCCTTTCTTCTTCGGTTATACTTTGGATAGTGACTGAGTGGTGATCTAGAACAAGGCAAAATCGCCGGGCGTTATGTGCTGAAAATGCCCGAGTAGGAGGAATTATGACTGGATTTACTTTACAAAACAAATAAATGAATATCAATCAATTGATTGATGTGACAAATAAGAGCCTCTAATTTCTAGGTAGCATATTAATAAATAAATAATAGTTTATGATCAGATGCCAAACCTTGTGACAGTGTGGTAAGGGATGACGCTCCGACAAGCCCGGGACAACGTAATAATTCACCGTCGTGCCTTGCAGCGAGCCCCCCTGCATGGAATGCTCATCCACCAACAATGAGCCCAACCATAATTATTAGAGATAGTCATGCACTTACGTATAGCGGCGGCAATTGCGGTCGAGATCCCGCTTGGGTGCAGTAATGGGTGGCCAAGAGGGGTTAAGGTGGACACGAGATGCTTGAAGTAGATCTGTTTACAACGCAACTGAGGCAGGAAACACCAAGTCAATAGAGCAACGCAGGAAAGGGGCGCTCTGCATCCCTGGTTCGTCCATTCCTGCTCGCACAGAGAGAGATCAGCAGCGAGGCCCGGAAGGAGCACAAGCCTTCCAAGATATACCTGCATACTTCGCTGCCAGCGGGTCTCCTCCTCCCTCAATGTTATACTGCTACTGGTAATATCAGTCGGGAGTCTCTTTTTTGGTCATTCATAGGGATGCTTGATTGTGCAACCCTTTTGCTTTCATTTTGTATCTACTAGAAGTGTGTTGCTCTAGTCGAGATGCATCTATATCCATTCCTTACCGGAGCTTTGGCGTGTTTGATTACTTCTTCCTATGCCGCAGCGACAGTCACGGCCTCAGAGCAATATGATGTGGTTGAACAGCTTCAGAGAGTTCCCGATGGATGGGTACAAGGCTCGCGGCCTCAGCCCTCAATGCTGATGCAATTCCGGCTAGCAATTCGACAACCACGGGCCCACGAATTCGAGCAACTTGTGATGAAGATCGCGACACCAGGCAATGAATTGTACGGTCAGCACATGAAGCGTGATGATGTCAAGGCGTTCTTGCAGCCTACAGCGGAGAGTTCCGAAGCTGTTCTGTCGTGGTTGCAGTCTGAAGATGTATCTGAGAATTTGATCGATGTAGATGGTGATTGGGTCAAGTTTATCGTTCCGGTGAAGCAGGCTGAGAAGATGCTGAACACCACCTTTTATATTTTCCATGACGAAGAGAACAGCGGGTATAGAGTTCGCACGCTGGAATACTCGGTCCCTCACCATGTCCACAAGCATGTACAGCTCATTCAGCCGACGACACACTTTGGAAGAATGAAGCCCCAGAGAAGCTGGGTGTTCGATTACGAAGAAATTGAGGCCCCGAACAGAGATGTTGTTGACTGCAGCTCCTACGTGACACCGGATTGTCTACGACAGTTGTATAGGCTTGACGACTTCACGGCCACTCCAGACCCTCGCAATAAGTTGGGGATTTCCGGTTATCTAGAGCAATACGCCCGTTATGATGACCTAGAAGGCTTCCTGCAACAGTACGCACCGAATATGACCGATGGAAATTTTACAGTGCAATCTATTAATGGCGGCATGAACGAGCAGTCCTCAGATGATGACAGCACGGAGGCAAGTCTAGATATTCAATACGGCATCGCTTTGGCATACAACGTCCCAACTATTTTCTTTACCACCGGTGGCCGTGGCCCGCTAGTACCTGACCTGAGCCAACCAGATGCGAATGATTCATCGAACGAGCCCTATCTGGAACAGCTCCAATACCTTTTGAATCTACCTGACGAAGATCTTCCCTCGGTCTTATCAACCTCTTACGGTGAAAATGAGCAGACGCTGCCAGAATCGTATACTAATACGACATGCAGCCTTTTTGCGCAATTAGGAGCCCGCGGCGTGTCCATTATTTTCAGCAGTGGAGACGAAGGTGTAGGGTCGACATGTCTCACAAATGACGGTACAAACCAGACGAGGTTCAACCCTATTTACCCAGCTTCGTGCCCATTTGTCACAGCTGTTGGCGGTACTTATGACATTAATCCAGAGAAGGCCATTAGCTTTTCTTCTGGAGGCTTTTCGGAGCGTTTCTCCCGACCATCATACCAAGACCAAGCTGTTAGCTCTTACCTGTCACATCTGGGTGATACATGGAAGGGCTTGTACAATCCTGAGGGGCGAGGATTTCCGGATGTAGCTGCTCAATCGCATTCATTTATCGTTCAAGATCATGGAAAGTTCATCCAGGTCGATGGAACTAGGTTCGTCAATACCCTTACCATTCGCTGAACCATGCTAATAAAAAGTCACAGCGCTTCTGCACCAACATTTGCAGCAATCATTGCAGACCTGAACTCGGTACGCTTGAGCAACAATAAATCCACGCTGGGCTTCCTCAACCCATGGATTTACTCGTTGAATGGATCCGGCTTCACCGACATTGTAGACGGCGGTTCGACTGGCTGCACGGGCTATGAGTCTCGGACAGGGCTGACAGCGCCCGCAGTTCCCTATGCAAGCTGGAATGCCACCGGTGGCTGGGATCCGGTGACAGGCATGGGGACGCCGCTGTTCGACTCGCTGTCCAAGTTGGTGTTGGAAGCCTAGTGAGTATAATATAGATTAACGGGGTGTAGATCAGACTGTAGGCGTTAAACGGGCAGGAATTCTCGAATGCAAACGGATGTTATCAATTTTATCAATTCAGTGGTCAAACACAAAATAGAGAGGAGAAAGTAGATCGCAGGCTGTAGCTCCATGTGTAATGCTCATCAGAGCCGCCATCACGTGACCCGTGACCCGTCCCGTGCTTCGTCATTCGGAGCTCTTCCATTGCTCCCGTTTACGTGATCTTGGAGATTTGATTGACACATTGAAGACACATCGAAGACACATCCCGTGTTGGTTTACGTTATTTTCTCGTGATAACGACACATCCCGTGTCCGTTTTCCCTATTTTCTCGTAATACTCTTCTCATCTTCCGCAGCAATGTCAGACCTCAAGACGTTCATTTCACAGCTCCACAAGGACCTCGAGCTCCGAAAGCTCGACCACGCCGTTGAAGTCCTATCTCAAGCCAAGCGCGCTCTGTTGCAACAAAATGCCCTTTTCCCCTCCACATCGCTCTCGCCACAAGTCCACGCGCAAGCCCGTGAGATCCTCGAGCTCGGCGCAATCACATCCCTCCGCCTGATGCAACCCCCAGACTTCACCCGATACTACCAGCAACTACAACCATTCTACGACCTGGAACGAGAAGTTGAGCGGTCAGAGACAACGGCGTCATACAAAGAGGTTTTGAAGACGAGCCAGCGCAGCAAGATTACTGGACTGTATTTGCTGCTTCTTCTGAGCTCTGGCGATACTTCGCAGTTTCATACAGTGCTAGAGGGGCTCATCGTGGAGGCTTCGTTAAAGGGATACAGTGTTGAAGATGATCCATTCATTAAATATCCAGTTGAGCTCGAGAGGAGTTTGATGGAGGGCAGCTACGACAAGGTGTGGAGGGCAACCAAGTCTTCGGAAGTTCCCACGGAAGACTTTGGCTTATTTTCAGACGTATGTCCTTTATTGTTATTATTATCCAAGTTCCACTTCAATCTAACAATGCTGCAGGTGCTGGTTGGTACGATTCGGAGGGAAATCGCCGACTGTTCCGAACAAGCCTACCAATACCTCCCGATTTCGAATGCAAAGAACCTCTTATTCCTCGACTCTGAAGGCGCCGTCGTCGAGTTTGCGCAGGAGCGTGGGTGGACTCTGAAGGATGGTAACATATACTTCCCAGCTCAAGTTGATGCCGAAGCCGGCCAGCCTGCAGAAAAGGGCATCGGCTTTACAAGTGCGACGATCATCCAGAATACAATCGGATATGCAAGGGAGCTGGAAACCATTGTTTAATATGTGCACTTTTGCCGTGCGTCGATGTGTATCTCAGTACTTTTGATTTGTCGTGCATTCCAGCGAAAGGATAGGATTAGGTATTAGGTGTGGTGCCATTTTGTTGCAAGGCAACTTGGCAGTCGAGAAGCCATGTAGAATGAATGATCATCAAACATCAACTTTCCACAAACACAACCTCTTATCGTAGAAGCTGCTCGACACGCAGACCAGCTGCGACGCAGCGTCAACCCCCTCCCTCACACCCGAAGCATAGTTCATACTTTCATGCTCCGTAAACTCGCCCAAGACCCGAATCTCCCACTCGCCAATATCAAGTAATCCCGGATCTCCACGTTTCCATACCACTCGCAAAACCCTTGTCCCCGCATGCATACAGCTCGCTAGAACAAGAAATGTCGTCTCAGAATCCCCCTCTTCAGTACGAATAAGCCGTAACCGCCAAACGCCTCCGCCCAACTGCTCCTCAGCCAAAACCGCGCCTCTTGTTGTGGCATGATAGACTCGGGTATATTCATCGTAGCTTCCTGTTAACACAACCGGGGCGTTTTGTATCATCGGGGTTGGTAAGGGTAGAATAGACGTGACACCGGCTGTATGATGACGGGCTCTATCGTCTGTATCAGACACTTTCAATTCCTCTAGCGCGATATCATCATCGGATCCGGTGTCCTCTGAGCACGCGAATTTGCGGACATTCAAGGATCCGAAATCATTACCCATGAAACTATACGAAAATGGTTTCTCGCTTCCAGGCTGTGCATATGTGGCCAGTGCAACAAACCACGCCTCGATATTCTCCCGGGGTAGGAACTGTGTTTCCACCAAATCCGGCTCATTACAGGCTATATCTTTCCGTCCTGAAGGAAGAGCAAAGATGGACGTCCGTCCATCAGAGAATGTCACTGCAAATCCATCTGCTGCTGCTCCAGATTGCAGAAACCAGTCGTGCGGGGCCCAGGCAAGGAACAGGGCGGGAATGGACGGTTCCTCATGGACTGATCTTGTCCAGATATGTTGGACATGAGGATTAGTGTCCTGGACTTCGCGTGAGACACGGTAAAGGGCGACGGATCCATCGCTGCTGGCAATGCCCAGTAAGGTGGGTTGTCGTGGATGGAATTGGAGATCAAAGACAGCATAAGGCAAGGACAGGACTTGCTTCTGGTCTCTAAAGCAATAACAATAAATAATAGCTTCATTAAAAGTTGGTCTGTAGAGGTTCTTACATCTCATTTTTGGTGATGTCTAGATGCCACAGCTGCAGCGACCCTGTTTTGGTCTGCTTGACCGTCGCTGTTTCATTAATGCCTTCTTTATCCTCTTCAAGTAGATATGTTCCTATCATGAAATAGTCTGGATCATCTGGACAGAATTCTAGACAACTCGGTGGTTGATCAAGAAATTTGGTGGTGATTGAAGATATTGATTGAATATTTTCGGACATGGCGGGGGGGCAATCATCAATTGGAAGTAATTTGTGTCCACGCCGAGTCACGTCATAGGTCGGCTTGAAATACCTGGCTTGACCTATTTCCTAATATCACCAAAGTATTAATGTAGATGTAAGCGTGTTGATTGATCTGGGGTATTGTTGACGCGAATCAAAGTGATTTCGCTGAGGAACAAACATCAGCCAATCAAACCAAGCTTTCGTGGGCCTTGAGATGAATATAATTTGCACTATCCATCGACCGGAGATGTATCCAACTCGCTGCTTTCCTCGATTATTTTGTCAGTATATAACCTTATGAAGTTCAATTAATGATTAGATTAGCACTTGCATATGACAGGTTAGAGGTGCATGAGACTAGCACAGAATCAATCTAGACAGCCTTTTCAAGGCTCCTGCGTTTACCTCACATCCATTGACAATTTTGAATACTCTTCCTGCTTTACCAGAAATCTTCATTATCAAAATTTATGGATTTATGCTTCAACGATAAAATAAGCGTGCTAAGTTTTACTATGGTAACATCGAATCAAATTTCCAGCGATGACTTCAGATGTTGAGATGCCTGACGCTATACTCTCCGACGAGTCCAGTTTCTACGGTGTCTCCCTACTTCTTACAATTACATCCCCTTTAGCCCTCATCCTAATTAAATTCTAGGAGACGATGATACCAAAGCGGAACTTGAAAACCGCGTGGCAAGCCATGATGGCCGAGCAGACTGGCTCGAATTCCAGACGAATTCCCTCGCTGTTGTCGCACACAATGCACTGCATCCATATGGATCACAAAATGTAGACAAGGACCGGGATATCTCCAAGCTCTCACGCAAACAACCTCATCCGCATGACGGAAAGGAATATTGCTGGCAGGTAGCAGAACCCATCGACGAATTCATCAACAGGCTGCGACCTTCTCAAGCCGATGCCGATACTATCGGGCCCTGGATTCGGGTTCGTAATCCATTCTTTGACGAGAATGTTGATCTGCCAGATAGAAATGTAGCCGCGTTTATGTCCCGCGGGAGAGAGCTTTTGGAAGACTTTGAAGAGCAGAAATCAACCATGGAAGCAGAGTACGCAAAATCGAGAGCTAGCAGCACAGCGCCGTTGACCCGGAAACTCAATGTGATGCGCAAGGAGCTGGAGAAGAACCTATTAGCTACGGCTCGAAAGTATGGTGCTGTGGTTGGGAAATGGATGTTTTTTGAGCCTCCGGACCGGGTCGATGATTACTGGGCTACTATTGCCGCGGCGACTGCTAGAGGAGATTTGTGTATTGAGGCTAAGGTGGCTACGGATAGTAATAAGCGACCATCGCCGGCGAAAAGAGACCGACTTATTTGTGTTTATACGCGTGATTGTGAGGACAAGGATGACGTGCGTCATGTTATGGAGAGATTGGTTGAGTTGGGGTTGGTAAGGAAAGGCGAAAGGCCAATATATTACAAGTGTGATGCCTGGACATATCTAGATATCAAAGCCAACAATCCTTGGGGGTTGAAGGCGAGTATGTACTCGAGCAAAGATGTTTTGCAGGGGAAATGAATTTCCCCCCAATCCCTTCAAGTCTTTTAGCAAAGGTGAATCTCATCTAGCCCATCTATAACAGTGATTCAGATATACCACTGGCAGAAATGGCGGTCATGTCTCGCTATCTGCGAGGTGGATCGCTGCAGGCCACTCACGATATTGCTTCCTGGGACCCATGGCGTGTGTAGTCAGTAAAAGACTGGTAGGCATATTGGCATTGGTCTCGTTCGTCTGGCGGAGACAGTCCAGGAACGGAAGCGCTGTAGATGAGAAAGGATTCATATAAAGATTTTCCTGTCAAGATTATTCTCACTCCGTCGAATCTTTGCGAAAATCCTTCATAATCTCCTCACAAGCAGCTCTCAATTCCGCGACCCCCTTCACATCTTTCCAAGAACTCAAAAGACCGTCGATTTCTGTCCAGTCCTTCTGCGCCTCGGCCTTGTTGTCCTCACTCAAATATTTGCGCAGCCGGTCTGGAGTCCCCAGGGCCCATTCCACAGTGCTCTGCTCAGCAGACTTATTACCAATAGCCTTGCTCTTGGCCTCCTGGACCCTGCGACGGAGGTCTTCACCCTCTTTGATCAACCCACTAGCAGTTTCGGCCACAAACGCAACAGCCGGACCAAGTGTTTTCGTCATAGTCAATGGAGCGCCTCGTTCCTCCATACTCCGTCGCATTGTGCCAATCGTCTCAACTGCGCGGATCAGTTTTGAATAGTTATCGTACACAAGCGCTTTCCGTTCGCCGTCCAGGGTTCCAATGTCCCCAACCAAGGTATTCTCTGCCTTTAAGACTGTCGAGAGCGATGAAGTGTTTAAAAGTTGATCAATATACTGCTGTGCATTGAAACCAGGTCCATCTAGCTCTGAGCTAACTGTGGCCATAGGCAGCCCTGACAGCTCATTTGCACCGGTCGACCGCGGCGCACCGCTAGGCGACACTGGTGTATTGCCTCCATCAGACTTGATGTTGTAGTAATCCCGTAACGCGGCGCGGTTTCGGCGATGAGCTGGAGATACTGCGCGCTTTGAGGAGGCGGCATTGCTGATACCGAGTCCACTAACATTATTGTTGGGCGTCAGGTTCTCGATGGAAGGGCGGCGCGAGGATGTCGGAGTAGCTCGCGAAGAGGTAATAGATAGGCGAGGAGAGGAAATAGTAGACATGTTTTTGGGAGGTGCGGCGTGGAATTCCCTGTCAGTGCTGGTGAAGGCCAGGTTGAGGATGATAAAGGAGCTCCGGCTCCGTGATTGACTGTGGATCGCGGCAGCTCAAGCCGATCCGCCTCTTGCTGGGATTATTTTTAGAGCTTAGAGCTTCAACCTTCAACCTCCAACATGAAAACATTTTCTAACTGATGCGGCAAGTCGCGTGCGTGCAATAAAATACACACAAACACGCTCCGTGCAGCTGCTACTCGCTTATTGAAACACAAACCATGTCTTGACTTCCCACACTATCCGACGACGAGCCATGTCGAGCACAGAGGAGCATATCAAGTCTCATCTGCTGAGCTTCAAGTCACTGCCAGTCTCTGCAACATGGATTGCCAACTTCCTTGCATCCATTACTCAAACTCAGCAACGGGCGTCCCTGTCAGCGCTGACTCAAACCGCCGTCTTTCGAATCCTCGCGTCTAATTTTACAGAGTCCTTGTCTACCTCGTCTATATCTACTCTCCTGCCTAGAGACATATCGGATCCGGCCATTAAAGAGCGAAAGATCACCGGGTTAGTTCCTGTTCAGGTTCTGGACATTGAAGATATTGGCACAAGCTTGTGGTCTCAAGTGGAGAAGATCGAACAGGTAGAGCGCGGCGAAACAGTGCGAGGAAGAGAAATCGTGAGAAATGTAAACGTCGACGGCGGTGACGGTGACAACAACGCGGACGCTTCAATAAGGGCCCCTGGGAATACCGGAGGCCATGGTCCTCACCGTCTTGTTCTGCAAGACGCATTTGGTACAAAGGCAATTGCGATTGAGCTAAAGGATGTCAAGGGTATTGCCGTCGATAAACTCGCGATTGGCGCAAAGCTGGTTTTGAAGAATACGGTCGTTGGAAGGGGAATGATATTGCTTACCCCGGATACTGTGACTGTGTTAGGTGGAAAGATAGAGATAATGGATACTGCATGGCGAAGGACAAGGAAGGAAAGGCTACTTGCAAGAATTGAAGCCTTAGAAGGGGGACAAAGGCAGGGTGGTGATAATGGGGATGCCATGGAAGAATAATGATTGGCTACTTTGTCGTGGCCCTCTACGCATACTCAAGCAGAATCGTGAAGCTGATCATTTAACTTTTCTATACAACATGGTATATGCGACATCCGTGATACAGTGACCTCATACACAAGGACATCTATCATTCTATCATGCAACGTCTGACAGGGTATGAGTGAGCTCCTCCCACCCCTCTTTTCTCCACGGGGCAACCATAACTGCTCTCATCGAGTCTCCGATGGTGCCTGTTTGAACATAAGCCTTACATAAATCGAATGCCTCCAATCCACCTCGTGGTGGAGCGCTCCGAAGAGCCATCCTTACCGCCATCTTGGCAGGATGCAATTCGCCAGTCGTGGCAGATAATTCCATCCAGCCCTGTGGCTGCTGGGGCGCGAGCATGACTGTTGTAGATGCCTCCGCAATGCGTCTTTCTTCCTCCGCTACCTTCGTATCTGTGCAGAAGCCCAGAGCAGAAATAGTAGTCAGTAGCTTGACGACCTTGGCCCGGTCATGAATCTCGATGTCGTCTCTGGTCCTCATCGTTTGGAGATCCTCGTAGACAGCTTCAATGGCATCCTCATCGCTGTCTAGCAATGCGATAGCTCCCAGAAGAGTCACAGCTCCTACGTGATCGGGATGTTTCTCGACGCTGTCAAACAATTGCTCTCGAGCAACGCTTCTTTCCTCTTCGCCGCCTTTGGCCCATAGTACCTGGGCTAGTAAACAGACTACATCGGGATCGTTATCTGCTTCCTGGAGAGCATCCCGGAACATATCGATGGCTTGATCCATTGATTTTAAGTAATAATACGCCAACCCCGCTGTGAGATGCGCAGATAGACGAAGTCTGTTCAAAGCTTCCAGATCAGGTTTGTCTGTATCATTGCCTTCAGACAATGTGAGCGCGGCTTCTGCTTTCTCTGCAGCTGTTTCGTATTCGTGATTCGCTAAATGTATACGTGCGACATCTGCGTTGGCAAGGGCAAAGCGTGTCAGAGACGACGAGGATTCAGTTACCTCATATTCTGCTTCAACTCCTGCACAGACAATACCCAAAGCAGCGTCAGCCTGTGAGTACTCGCCAATACGCTCCGCTAGCAAGGCGGACAGGTGTTCAAAAGCCAAGTCAGAAGGCTCTTGAGCATGTAGCTGCTGAAGGGCAAAGAAGGGGCGAATCAGTTGCGATATTTCGTTTGACAAGGACGCATCTACAAGAAGATGGTCGAATAGACTTAGAGTATATTGTTGTTTGGCGACGGTTGTTGATGATGTTGAAATATCAAAAGCATGCGTGAACAGAGCTCGTGCTTCAGAAGGATCACCAAAGAGAAGAGCAAGGAAGCCCTGTCCCAACCAAGCTTGGGCGTAGTCAGGATCAGCAGATTGACCTCTGGTGAAAGCTTCATTTGCTAATTGAAGATCGCTATTTATCAGGTAGAATGCGCCCAAGTTTGTCCAATTCTGCGCACTGCGGTCGTTCAGATGCAGACTACGGACAAATGCATGTTGAGCAACTTTCGGACTGAGTGAAGATGTCACGACCCCTAATGAATTCCAAAACTCGGAGTTTCCTGCCTCCAGCTCAATGGCGCGCTTAAAGCACCGTATAGCTGCTTTGAGGAATTTCCTGGGTTGTCGTTTTTCTTTCTTCAGCTTGCCTGCCTCCATATTCCGGTATGCTCTATATTCCGCCCAGCCCAAGTTATACCAAGATACGGCCTGGCCATGAACATCATCTGCCGCCACATAAACCGCTCGCTTGTAAGCTAGGATAGAGCCATAAATATAGCAGTCTGATGGGCTACACTCTGTATTTTCGGCGTCGAGTAATATTTCATATTTCTCTCCGATGTTATCTGCATCAGCGATGATATCGAATGCACCTTCTTCGAGTTCCGTGCGCAATAGGGCGTGTAATTTCGAAGCAGACAAACGATCTGCCTTTATTTTGATATAAGAGAAAACAGCACATGCATCACCAACTGCTTTCCACAGATTGAAGACCTTAGATTTCTCATTCGCCATAAGTGTGGCAATATCCAGAGCCTTTCGCGCTGACTTAGCAGCATCATTAAACAAGCCAATTTCAATGCTTTTCCAGGAGCTCTCAGTCAAAGTTTGCAAAAGTGCAATCATAACCCCGTATTCGTTAGGCCGAATGACAAGCACGTCTTCATATCTTTGAATCGCATCCTCATAGTCTCCCAGTTCTCGTTTGACATTGGCAAGCATGTACCTCGAGAACCAAATGTTCGATCCATCGGGCTTGGAAAGATTGTCCTCCAATGCCTCTGCATGCTCGAATGCTTTTGTTGCAGCAATATACCTTCCAGAATTGTGATAGCTTTCACCAAGTCCAACCCAGGAATGATAGTCTTCTGGGGAAATCCTTAGTGCCGCCTGATACGATATAATGCTCTGGGTATATTGCTGTTTGTTAATTTGCACAACGCCCAAAGCGGCATAAGGCCAACTATGACCCTTGCGTTTTGATCCAGGCGCAGGTTTTGCTTTTCCAGAATCTACAACTCGCCGAGCAACTGCTTCCACCAGATCCCACTCCTGCTTGTCAGCAAAAGCCTTTGCCAACCGCTCAGCTGCTTCTATTTCTCCCGAAGAGAGTTCGAATGCTTTATGAAAACACCGCTTTGCTCTGGCCTTATCCTTCTTATAGTCTGCATAGAATATTCCCAGGCTAGTGTACGCAGGCGCGAAGTTCATATTTGATTGGATAGAACCTAGGAAGCTAGCGTATGCACCGTTACGGTTCTTTCGAGCCGCACTTGACTGATCAAGCTCCCATTGACACCGGCCAATTCTGTAAAGTATTTCTGCTTTGAATTCGTGATTTTGCGTTTCGGCGTTTTCAATCTCTGCGAGCACAGCCTGCAGGTTTTCCAAGCCAGATTCAAGATTACCGTTAAGCGCTGTGCACCAAGCAAGCTCTGAACGTATCTTGACATTAGATGGGTCGCGTTGTAGAGCCCGATCTAAAAAGTCAACAGCTTCCTCATACTGTTGGTCTTCTTCCAAAATCAAACCAATGCCAAGGAGACATTTAGTACTCATGGGCTTCCTTTGTAGTATGCTTTCAAATATATCCTTCGCTTCGGGGTGATTGCGTGGTGATTGGAAAGATATCAAAGCTGTTCCAAGAGTAATATTCAAAGCATCCGTTGTTTGACGAAAATTAGCACCGGTTTTCCTGGCCGTTTCCTTGGTTACCAACAGACCTTTTCGTGCCACATCCACAGCGACGCTGTGTTCATCGAGGGTTAAATAAAGTTGAGCCATGATCCGATGGGCTATAATCGAAGAAGGGGCTTGTTCAAGACCGTCGGACATTAAAATCAAACGATCTTCAATTGCCATTTCAGCATCATCGGACTCAGCCTCAGGCGATTGTTGTATTTCAGTCTCTGATGGGAATGGGGAGAAGTCTCCTTTCAAAAAACCCTGTAGTACCCTGCTCACTCCATCTTCAGGGAAAAACTCAATAAATTCACGTAGAACATTAACATCCCACTCCACTGGGTCTTCGACATCGTTCCATTCTAAAACGATCTTCCATGCCAGATCGAAAGGATATTTTATGATCACCATGTCTCGAGCGCCCTGAAGAACCTCTTCCCTCTTCGTCGACTTTTTATCTTGTGGAAGAACGAGAAGCAGGTCATATGCTCGTTGAAGTAGCTTTTCCTCTAATTTATGCCGAACTTCGTCATCATTCGTCCAATTGATGAGACCTTTGTAATATTCGTCAAGCTCATTGTTGGAAAACGCCTCACGCTTAACTTCGGCGGTAACTTGGTCGATTTTCGCACCAAGGCGGGTTCTCCTCTCGCCAATTTCACGGTTTATAAACTCCTTTTCTTCCGTTTCGGTGGTCTCTATTAGCCTTGAGTAAGTATCGGCGGGGTGCGGGACTCTCCCTTCGAGGTATGGATAGAGAGGACATGTCGGAAGTTGAAGATGCAAAGCCTGCTTCTGTTGCGTACGTGTACCATTCTTTCGTGCGAATTTAATGAACTTATCCACGACATCGACACATCGCTCACGCTCATCGCTGGAACCCAGCTAAGTCAGCATATAACCATTGACATATGTTGCTGAAGGGTTTGTACCTGTCTGCAAATATTTGTCCTAGCTTCAATGTGGCTGCTCTATACGCATCGAGTTTGCTGCTCCCTTGTTTTTCGTACAAGTTTGCTAGCCCTTGCCATGCTGTCTTGTCGTTGTCCTTGATGCGGGTCGCTGAGAGGTATGCTTTCTCTGCCTCATCGGTTTTGCCAAGTTTGTCGTGTGCAAGTCCTAGAAAGACAAACCTACGGTGAAAAACCAATGTCAGCTTCGTTTTTAATGCTCAATACGACAGGGAATTTGACGGCTCGTACGCATGGTAGTTGGCGGGGTCGCGACCGATCAGTTCATTCGCTTTGGTAGCTGCAAGTTCAAAATCTTTCGAGTCTAGGGCTGTTCTCACAGCTTTCAAAGCTGCCTTTCCGGACATTCTAGACACGAATAGTTTGCAGTGTCATTTCCGGGCGCAGAGAAGCACCGAAATAATTCGCCGAGTTATTCGTTTTTTTGTTGTTTCTGTGCGGGAGGCTCAAGATACGTCACGCTCGTATCTCGTATTTCTTATCTCGTATTTCGTATCGGCCGCCCTGATAAGATTGGCTTATCACGTGTAGGGAAACATGACTTGGCTGATGGCGTCAGCTGCTTCTTTTAAGATCTATCTACCACTGGTGGCTGCAACCAATCTCTACCTTTTTGGTCATTTGATTGACTATTTATACTTCAGGTTTGGCTCCGTTGTCAATGTTCTAAAATAACCGTTATACACGCTGGGCAGGACCCTCTTCATCGGCTTTCAGCTTACGGGAACCCGTGGAAGCTCAAAGCTTTGAGCTCTCCAACCCTTCGTTCGCCAATTATTGTTCCGTTCAACCATTGTCCTTGACTATCCTCCCAACATGGCTCCTTTACGTTTACGCATCGAAGGCCATAAATTCTACGATACACATAATCGGGAAGTGACTTTACGAGGGATCAATGTCGCAGGAGACGCAAAGTACCCTAGAAGACCGGACCTTCCGTCTCATATTGCCGAGGCCTTCTACGATGGTGACAATGTTTCCTTTGTTGGTCGGCCGTTCAGCGTAGATGAAGCATCGATACATTTTGGCAGGCTACGAAAGTGGGGTTACAATACAATTCGATATATCTTTACTTGGGAAGCAATTGAGCATTCCGGACCGGGCAAGTATGATGACGAATGGGTTGCATTTACAATTGAGGTTCTGCGCTTGGCTAAGCAGCACAATTTCTACGTGTTCATGGATCCTCATCAAGATGTCGTACGTACTGTTATTACGAATGAATTTGTCGTAGCTGACTATTCACAAGTGGTCTCGATTCTCTGGAGGATCTGGTGCCCCCCTCTGGACATTGTACGCCGCAGGGTTTAACCCCAAAAATTTCAACAAGACTCAAGCGGCTCTGGTTCAGAACACATGGCCTGATCCCGCTTCGTTTCCTAAGATGATTTGGAGTACCAATTACACTCGGCTTGTATGCCAAACCATATTTACTTTATTCTGGGCTGGAAGGGATTTTGCTCCAAAAGCAATAATTGACGGTCAAAATATCCAAGACTATTTACAAGGGCGTTTTATCGCGGCCTGCAGATATCTAGCCCAGAAAATTCATGAGGCGGGAGATCTAGAGGATGAGGTTGTTATTGGATGGGAGAGTATGAATGAGCCAAACCGTGGACTAGTCGGCTACCAAGACATTTCTGTTATTCCCGCCGAGCAACAACTTCAAATGGGCACATCACCTACAGCATTTCAGGCTATTTTAACAGGATCTGGGCGTGCTTGTGAAGAGACTACCTGGGATTTTGGGAGTTTCGGCCCTCGCCAGACGGGCCGTGAACTCATCGATCCTGAAGGAGAGTCTGTCTGGCTGCCAGCTGATTTTGATGACACGGTTTATGGTTGGAAGCGGGATCCAGGGTGGAAGTTGGGCGAGTGCATATGGGCGCAGCATGGAGTGTGGGATCCTTCGTCAGACGAGTTGCTTCAGAAAGATTATTTCTCTAAAAACCCCAAGACTGGAGAACCTCTGAACTACGATAGATTCACCAATACATATTTTGTTCAGCATTACCGAGCTTACCGGGATGCAATTCGAAGTGTTCACCCAGGGTCAATACTATTTTGCCAGCCTCCGGTTATGGAGATCCCCCGGTGCTGAAAGGAACAGAGGATGACGATCCGAATATGGTGCATGCTGTGCATTACTATGACGGGCTCACCCTTCTGACGAAACATTGGTAAGTGGAAAATGAAGACCTACCCATTCAGCCAAGGCTTACAATAACAGGAACCGTATGTACAATGTTGATGTTATCGGTGTACTTCGGGGTAAGTACATGACTCCCGCATTCGGGATCAAAATAGGCGAGACTGCAATCCGAAATTGTCTTCGAAACCAGCTCAAGTTTTTACGTGACGAGAGTTTTGAGAACATGGGAGATCACCCTCTGCTCTTTACCGAGATTGGCATTCCCTACGACATGGATGATAAGCACGCGTACAAAACTGGCGATTACAGTAGTCAGATCAGCGCAATGGATGCGAATCACTTCGCACTAGAAGGAAGCACCTCAAATGGCTTTACATTGTGGCTATACATGACTCAGGTAATTTGTTGTTAATTTCTTACTTTGATGCACAACTACTTACGAATCCATAGAATGACCACCAATGGGGAGATCAATGGAATGGAGAAGATCTGTCAATATTTTCAAACGATGACTACGAGCTTCCCAGCGCCGAGTCTCTCAAGGGTAGTGCAAGAATGTCGCTGAACCGAAATTCTCCATCGTTCTCACGAAGTCGGAGTATTGCTGACGGCGGGAAAGTGGCTGCCCATAACATCAGAACTGTTACTGAGTCACCAGTTATATCGCCCCAATCATCACGAACTCTAACGGAGCCTGAAGGAAAACCTGGTTTCAGAGCTGCCGAGGCCTATGTTCGTCCTAGCCCAATTTATACGTGTGGCGATCTTTTAAAATACGAGTTTGATCTCAAAAATTGCACTTTTACTGTTTCAGTCAATGCGGAAAAGCCGACTCCCCAGGATGCGCCCACGGAAATTTACTTGCCGGAGTTTCATTTCCCCAAGTCGGAAACAGTCGTATATATAAGCGGTGGAAAATGGTCTATTGAAACCCAAGATGAGATTTCTAGCTCCTTTCAAGTTCTGAAATGGTGGCATGCTGAGGGCGATCAAGATATCAAAGTTGAAGGGGTCAAACATAAGGCGAGTGATCTACTTGCGAGCTATGAGGATGAGTCGTATCTTGAGCAGTGCCAAAAGAATAATTGCATGGTAATGTAATATGCAGATGATATAAGATACTTTGTCTTTCGGTTTTACTTTATGTTTGTTTCGTTACTATTTACATTGTTAGCGTTGGAAGCCTGTATCAAGAAGCCCTTAGTAGGTCGCATTGTGGTCAAAATTTAAGCCGATACCATGTCATCATTAATTGGATTTTCTACGATTGAATGGATTAATTTGAATATACTTGGAGTCCGAATATATCGTCGGTAGATGGAGAACATTTGTCATCATTGCTGCCTGTGCTGTTGTAGGGCTTGTGCGATAAGCATAATGGGCGGGTCCGGAGCATCCACTTTCACGCAGCGCAGCCTTACATACGAGGCAGCCTTCCATTTTGCCACATTCACCATCTCTAACACAAGCATTTATTCCATCCCCCTAAGATCGCAGAAAGAACCCTGAATCTGGCTGCCATCTGATTGGACAGGGAATTAATTGCTTTTTGGAGATATTTATTTCGTCTTGCGCATTTGCATGAGTGCAGGATAACTGATTGGTCGAGTGACAGCCATTTGATGTATGACAAGAACAGTCCGCCGAAAGAGGCGCGCCGAAGACAGCGGCAGACCCTATCTTGTCTGCCATGTCGGCGTCTCAAAGTAAAATGTGACAGGAACTATCCATGTGGTCACTGTATTTGGAGCGAAAGGGCTTCAAGCTGTCGCTATGCCGCCTTTCCTGGCACGTCAGAAACATCCGCGGAGAGGGCCTCTACTGGACAGTTACCTCCAACTCCAACATACACGACAAAGCAAATGTCGTATATATTACCAAAGTCTGAGCCCGGCCCGTCTACTCCATCCACCAACACCGATTCACTAAAATCTGAAGAGGACTATGCCTCATTTTACAACCCTCACGCTGTATGGACGTCAAAGTTTCGGGGGCCAACGCATTGGCTTGCAGTTGGGCGCCAGGTATGGAGATGCCTGATTAGACCTCGTCTTCTTAGAAGTTTCACTGACTGTAAAAGCTACGGGAAAGTATGGGAGGCTTTGAGACTGTTCACAAGGCACAAGACAGCCTCGTTAATGGAATGGCCGACAGAATCACCCGCGTGAGTTCTTCTGTTCTTTCTCCCAATTACCCCATGGGATCAGGTTATAGAACAAAGAATATGAGTAAAGCGGAGATCCTCACTTTTATTCCTGACCAAGCGACCGCGACGTTTCTTCTCACAAAGTATATGGAAGATATTGAGCGAACACACCCTCTTTTGCATATGCCGACATTCCAGGAAGAATTCACTCGGTTCTGGGAGAACCCGGGTACAATAGAAGACGGATGGCTTGCTCAGTTCCTTGTGATGCTAGGTCTCAGCTATCACGCGCTGAGGAACGAGGAACTCATGCCCTATGACGAGCAGCTTGCAATCAAGTATTTTCAAGGTGCTGAAATATGCCTGAAAAACACACCCTTCCTCGTTGGTCCAACAATCACTTCATTACGGACGCTCACTATGATGGTGCTAGCCAGGCGTACTGCTTCATCAACCTGCCTCGAGGCGGATTCTTGTGGGCCGTTAATGAGCACTGTGGTACGGCTAGCAATGTCCATTGGGCTCCATGTGGACCCCCAAGACGACGAAAACATGAGCATTATCGATATAGAGATCCGTAGACGGCTCTGGACGACGATCGTCTTAATGGAAGTTCAGATGTCGATCACAAATGGCACCCCTTTTCTGATTCGGACGACTGACTTTGACACTCGCTCACCAACGAATGTGAATGACGATGATTTGAGTCCGTCCATAACGCATTTAAATGTACGTCCTATGACGGAATATACCGATTCGACATTTTCAATAATACTAGCGCGCTCCTTCCAAGTAACCTTTGAGGTAATGGGTCGCGCTAACTCGCCATGCGGGTTTTTCGATTACGAGGATGTTTTGCGCTACAATTCAGAACTGAAGAACCTACTGCAGGAGTCATCGTCACTATACCAATGGACGGATGCATCTCCGTTGGAGGAATGGAAGCAGCTACAACGATTCATGCTAGAAATATACCTGCGACGAGTATTACTTGCATTACACTCCCACCACGGGCTGAAACCCAACGCGGACATTAACTATCCGATATCGTATTGGTCAACCCTGGAATCTTCCCTTGCACTCCTAGTGACCCAACGGCAGATGTGCGAAGACATAAATAGTCCAAGGGGAATGGTATGGCTAGCCGAGCTCTTCAAACACGATTTCTACGCAGCAACATTGACCATATGCTTACTGCTGGCACGCAACGACAGCATGTACACGGGTATGGATTGTGAAGGCCCACTTGACCAACATATCGAAATTCCGCAGCGAGAAACCATTCTACAGACGTTGATCTGCTGTCGTGAAATCTGGGCACGGCGAATCTGTCGCACATACTGCCAGTTTCTGTCACATATGAACCTTGATACCATCATCTCGGGGCTCACAGCACCGGATCCATCTAAACTCTCGTCTCGTGCAATACGTCAGGCGAGTTTTCAGTATAGTCTTCGGAAGCTGAAGAATTGTCAATGCGGGAACTGCGCGACGCAACCGGGTAGCTTAAAGGTGACATTTATCGATCATCCAGAATATGTAGCTGCATAGTTTGATTAATGTATAATCTCCTATCAATGTATTATATTTTATTATGCGATCTCCATTGTTCATATTTACATGTATATAAATGAACACTTGTACTGTACAGAATCAAACCAGTCATGTTTTCTCAGTGCCATTCGCCCTCGCGTTCAAAAGTTGACAAATAGTTAAGTAAGATTACATATGGGGCAATCTAACCATGGTTGGGGATCGATTCGCATCCAGGGGGGCGGAAATACGGAAGCTAGCGCGCAGTGAACTTATAAGCGGGCTGCACAGGCCGGTTGGTGTCTTTGTACGCTAGAATGCGAATCGATGTATAAATCTGGAAGTACTAAGCGTTAATTAAGTTGTCAGCCTCACACCATCACCGTCGCCAACACACAACTCTCGACCAATCCAAGGTAGGAAAGCTGGGGCGCGTAATTTGCTCGCAAATCTCTATGTGCTCATATCGAGAATTTACCAATAGGGGTAAACTCAGTTTCAGCTGTTTGCCAAAATTAAACTGTCGTTTATATCTGCACGAGTCTTTCGGCAACAATTACAGCCAGCCATGGATGGTCCAGGTTTAGACGGAGAGCTAGAATGATCTAGGCAATCGGACAACTCTGTTTTCTAGTATTAATACATTGGCCATTGGCTGCGAATCAGTGTCTACGTATGTATAAATAAGGCCAGAGTGCCCTGAGAGCTACTGTATCTTACCTTTCTCTCACTCTTACGGTTTTCTTCCTAAAGTTAGGTTACGCTTACCTATATATACTGGCAATATATACTTCACAATTACTTCTCCAAAATGCGTGGAGTATACATAACAGCAATCGGCGGACTCGCCGCCGCTGTGACTGCCGCCAATTCAAACATCACATGTGCCACTGGCCTGTACATACTCTGCGCTCGAGGTTCAGGAGAACTCACCACATATCCGGGCCATCCGGAACTGCCTCCAAACACAGGTGGATTCGGAGAAATTGCTTTGGCGATCGCAAAGCAGGTCAATGGTTCTATCGTCGCGGGTGTTGACTACCCAGCAACGAACCCGGTGCCAGATAACTTTAACCTGACTGACCCGTCAGCAATACAAAACCTCAATCTGACGGGCTATTATCAATCAGAGAATACCGGAGTCAGCTCAATTCTGCAGAATATCAATCAGTATCACTCGTCTTGCCCAGACTCGAAAATCGCCCTCATCGGATACTCTCAGGTATGAAACATGACTGTTAAGTACTTTAAGTAATATCATACTGAGTGTGCTCAATGCTCTAGGGTGCTCAAGTAGTTGAGGATGCCCTTTGCGGGGGTACTGGCGGCACTTTTAATAGTGATGCTCCGCTATCGCCAGATCTAGTCAAACAGAACGGTAAGACGCTTCCCTAGTTGACATTTTCCAAGGCTCACACATGGATTGCAGTTGTTGCCGTTGCCGTTGCGGGTGACCCAACACACATCGCCAACCTGACAATTGATCGGGGCACAGCTGTACACAATGGCGTAAGCAAGCAAAAACCCGGCGATGTCCATGATTTCTATGACTTACTGACTGATTGTTTCTGCGCCTTCTAGCGTTTTCCTCGGACGAACATAACGGTATGTCAGCAGTACGATGACATCACGGCATCATGGTGTGATAAGAACGACGTCTTCTGTGATTCGGGAGACAGCATTACAGTGCATGAATCCTACGTTGGGACATATGCAACCCAAATAGTGGAGTTTGTTGTCGAAAAGTACAAGAATGCATCATCACAAAGTACTCCGACCCCAACTCCAAGTTCTTCGGCTACTGCGACATCGACTAGCCCTCCAACAAGCACTACGTCGTCTAGCTCGGCTTCGGTCGTAAGCAGTGGGCAGAGCTTATCGCTGGGAGTGGCGGTGTTGCTTGCGGTGTGTGTTCTGTTTTAGCCGGAAGATTCAAGGTTTTCCTCCTGGTATGGGATGTACTATTATTTTCGAGATTGTTTCCACAGCATCCGTTGAATAGGGACATGGTTATTCTCAGCGTGTAATGAATATTATTCGCATTCACTTCTCAGCCGTCTCGGCAAAACAACATCACTGAGACTTAGATCTGATGGCACAATTTGTAATTTTAATTTCGCGTGATTTTGACGCCATCTTGTTGATTCGTCAAAAATAAACGAAATAAACTCTACTCGAGTTGAATGGTTGACAATTCGACAAAGGATATCGGAAATGAAACACGCTAGGGTTTGAGTGAGAAGAATTCAACAAAGAACACTGAAGATGGAATTTCCTTGGTTCTGGACTGGGAGAATGTCTTATTCAATTGATATTTCTTTCCAAAATATCCTGCTAGGCCATCTTTATTGTCGTATATATAGCCCAATATCAACAATGCAGCAAACAGAGTGATGACTAAGTGTATGCGCTAGTACGATTCAGGCCAGTATTGAAGGTGTCACATGATCACGCGGCTCTTCAGCGTCGAAGGTGCACATGTGGTTCACCCAGAGAAAACATCATGCCATACCTTCAGCTGTTTTTTCACTCATCTTCCAGTGCTCTTCTTCGTTTCTCGATACCAGCTGGGAGGCTTCTTGCTGCCATTACACGACATATTGACTGTCGCTGCACGTCCAATAACAACACGAGTTGGCCCGCGCGCGCGGCTTTTCACTAACGGCATCAGATCGCCAAATCAGATTGCTGCAAAGGATTCCCGCTTACACTTTTTTTTTGCGGCTTTCTTCTCTCTCTGATCTTTCTATTATTATCTTTTCATACCGGCAGTTCGGGACCAGGGCTAGCGCGAGCTCGTTAGCGAGAAGGCATTTTCTTCTGCTCAAGAGTCAGTCCATTATCGCCTTTAGTCGGGCTCTCATCTGGTTGTGCCCTCGAGGCCCATCAAAATCACTTTCATCATCAAAATAAGACTCACGGACAGTTATCAGTGCGAGAACTAGCAGCGCTCCACTTAGAATATACTAGAGCGACTTTAAAATAGAAAGAAAAAAAAAAGAAACAGGAGAGAATCATCAAGGGAAAAAGAAGGCGCCAGGAAGGAGGGACCTTGTGATTGGCACCTCAGGCACCCAGCCCAAAACTGATCGCTCCCTTCCTTGTATGCTAAAAGTTAACCTCACTCCTACCTGCATGTCCAACCTGCAGTGTCGCGGACGGTGATTTCCGCTATGCAGCTTTGGATTTGAAAGAGGAGGATATATTATTTGGTACTGGAAAAAGGAGGAGGAACATCCTGATTTGACAGCCTTGGTTGGAAAGCGGCACCGGAGTAAACCATCGATTGATTATCCCTGCAGTGTTGATTAGGGGATATCGGTCATCGCCAACCATGGCCGCCACGGAAACCACGGCTAATGGGCTCTCGGAGCCTAGCATGGCCGACATTATCCATGCCTTGGAGCTTTCCCACAGCCCCGCCTCTTCCAACAACCTGCGGAGAGAAGCCCTTCAGTTTTTGGAATCAAAAAAAGAGGATGATTATGCCGCACGCAATGGGTTTCTGCTCGCCTCGAACGTGGGGAATTCACCACTGGTTAGACATTTTGGGTTATCTCTTCTTGACCACGTCTTACGCCATACTGGATTTGCATTGTCGACTGCCCAAATAGGCGAGCTCAAGGAAATGGTGACACAGCTTGCCCAGGGTGTTCGCCAAGAGAATCCTAGCTATTACCGAAACAAAATTTCCCAACTGTGGGCTGAGGTGGCAAAGAGGAGTTGGGGCATCGGCTGGAATGACATGGACCGAGATCTCTTCACAATATGGAATGGAGATGCCTTGCACAAGGAGTTTGTGCTGACAGTGTTGGAAACACTGTCCGAAGACATTTTTTACCGCGAGGACACCGCGTCCTCATTGCGTGGATCGGACCTGAATAGAGCTCTCGTCGAAACGTTCACCCCCCTTTCCGTCTTCTCAGAAGCCTTTCCTGACCGAGATCAAAACCGAGTGGAGCTTCGTCATGGAGATGATGGATGGCTTGCAAGGACCTGCGGTCTTTTGGATGCTTGTATCGGAAGTATACAGACTTCTCATGAAGCAAAAGATTGCAGCTTGAAAGCTCTTGCTGTTCTGAGGACGAGTTTGGTTTGGTCTATTCCTAAAGCCATCATCAATTGCAATGCTGTTCCCACAATTTGTCGGGCCCTAACTTCGCAGGATGAGCAAGTTCTCTTGGTAACACCCTCTCTTGGAGCTAGTTAAAACAGAATCTAACCTGTAATAGGCCGCTGTTGAGGCATTACATTCTCTATATAGCAGATCCAATGTTGAGATCGAGGAATTCGAGCCATTGGTGGGGTGTATCTATCAGGTTGACCATTTGGTTTTATTGCAAAACCTCTTTGAATGGACGGGGGTCGATGCAACGGATATTGATGAGACACGATATCAGATATCTAAAAAATTATCAGAGGTATGTCGTTTCTAATTAGAAACTGGGAAGCTCTAGCTGACTATTTGTAGTTGATGTCTTATGCTGCTGGTTTCTTAGAAGAAAAGGATTTCAATCTACAGAACGCTCAGGGAATCGATCTTTCGCTTCTATTCAACTTCTTAATTGGCATCCTTCGCCATTCGAGTTTAACAGTTTCAATTCCAGTTCTGCATTCTTGGTCACGGCTACTGGTAGCTGAGAGAATTGGTGACATGCAAATCGTCACACCTCTGATCGCACCGCTACTTGAGATATGTACTCAACGATTGGTTCGATGGGAGAACCTCCCAGATGATTCTGATGATCCTACTGTCCTCTTTCTAAACGAGGACATTGACACAATTCCGGAACGGCATGCTTTTGTCGGTAACTATCGCCGCTATTGCTCTACTGTAATCGAGGTCATCGTTCAAAAACGTCCACACGATGCCATTCCTCACATTCTCTCTACTGTAGATCAAAATTTGAACAATTTGTACAGCGGAGTTCAGCCATTCAGCAGTAGGATAGCCAAATATCCATATATCTGTGGTCCTACGTTACTAATGCGGATGTAGTTGAATCATTCCAGAAATTGTCATTCCCTCTTATGCGTGCCGATACCCAATTTTCTGTCGTCGAAGCGGCATTGAAAGGATATCAAAAATGGATCATAGCACATGGTCGTAGTCCCCAGCAAGACGTGAGTGCTTCAGTTGACCTACCATCAATACCGCTAACCCTCATGTAGGAACACCAACGGACCCAGCTTGAGGTGACAATTGAAAATTGGGCCATGAGTTTAATGCAGAGAAATTTTGAGGTACGGTCCGCAATCACGACAAAATTCACGTTGCTTACCAAGGTTCAGGATCCTGTTCTAAAACAGAGAGTTATCAAACTCGTTGTAGATATTTCCGCTAAAGCCCTTGACAAGACTCCTAGTTTTGCGCTCAAAGTTCTCGAGCACATCTTAATGACGCACCTTGAAGATCATCCGCTGTATCCGGCCTACTCAGAAGCCGTGAAAGAACTGCACAGTCTTGCAAGCCATGAACTGCGAAGGCTTTCCATGCGCTGTGCTGATTATTTTTTCGTAAGTACGTCTAGAGGTGTTCGATAATTATGATTTAACTAACTTAATTTTAAAGTCATTCTATGATGTCCTGGAACCGAAGATAAGAGAAATCGCAGCATCCCACCAGATGGATGACAAACTTCAGACAGAATTGAATTCAGTCTTGCTAATTATAACGTGAGTATGCACTGTTCTGAGAAATTGGGTTGGCAACTAATATTTTTAGACAACGTACAAGCAATGTTGATCCTCATGTCCGTGAGGCTAGGCTGCGTTCTTTCATAGAGCCTGTTCGCCAAGCCTGGCAGAACGAGGAATTTAAGAACATGTCATCTTCTTTCAATGGATTTTGCAAACTGCTTGGCATTGAGGAAGTTGGACCTTATATGCACTCGAAAGAGGCCCAGAAATTTGAAGACTGGGCTGCTGTACCTTTAGACGACACTGGGAAAGGAATTCAAGAGCAGATGACAAAACGATTTCAAGTAAGCTGCCATCCCAATTCTTCTAGTTTCATTGGCTGATAACCATAATAGCAACTTCCATTGCGTGGAACAAAAACATTGTTTGCGGTCTCAACTGATAAACTCAAGAAAGCCGACCCCGCGTACGAATTGGCAGGTGCTCTTTGGCGCGATACAATTCCCATTATTCTTCCTACATTGTTGCAACTAATAAGGTAAGTAATTGTAGTCACAGTCGTCCATCTTCTTTCTAACACGCAGCTAGGCATGCCCATGCCTTCCATAATCCTGAGAATTGGGGAGAGTCCCTTCCAGAAATGAGAGCTATCGTAGGGCGTATTCTCACGGATAGGTTTTGGCAAGCTGGTATTTCTTCAGGGAGCCGGGATGATTTCTATGCCAAGATTACGACGTCAAAAGCTACCCTCGAAGGGTTTGCATCATCCGTACGGGGGAAGATTAGGGCTGTACGGGAATCATGCTATTCAATGCTTTTTAGTATGAGTCGACTTCGTCAGTACTTTTACGGATTTGAAGAGCTACCAGGACCTCTGTCAGAGGCTCTTTTCCAAGATTCAACGCATTTGTCATCACATCAATTCTCTATTCTTCTGAATATTTCTCGTTGTTTGATTGACGACTGTCCAGTTCAGTTCCGCAGTCACTTCCTACCGCCGATTTTGAGCAGCTTATTCAAACAGCTCGACAAGAAGATTACGGAAGAATGGGATAACATAGAACGACGCAAAGAAGGCTTGGAGAGCAGTGATCTGACTGACGAAATGAAAGACGAAAGTATTCTGCGTCAACTAACCTATTCTGCGGTGGTTATGGTTGCCAGTCTCCTTGATCCTCAGAGAGGTGGTATGTTTTCCTCCCGTAGCTGACACAAATAGTACCCTGTTGACAATGTGCAACCAGACCCAGACGCAGTAACAAATGGAGACCCTAGTGTACCGCATGCACCCGTGTCGCTCACAACTTCGCTGAGACACTTTGTGCTTTCTAACCCCACAATTTTAGAACCTGTTTTCCTGTTCTGTACCCATGCTCTTCGCATGCGAGACACGAGGTGTGGTAGTATTATCACGAGAGTTATTAGGTCTATACTCAGTGATTTTGCTCCGCCAATCAACACCTCTACCGCGGCGACGATCCGAGAGTTTATCTCTACAGAGGTTCTTCGTGCGTGTATCACATCTGTCCACGAGCCGTACTTCGTCGATATGCAGCGAGATCTCGCAACACTCATTGCCTCGATTTGGATTCTTTATGGCCCCTGCACCTCCACTCCTCGGTTGGTCATGTTAAGTCTGCCTGGAATGACAGAGGAACGCGTATCTCAAACTGAAATGATCCTCATGCGCTCGACCTCTGGTCGTCAACAACGCGCCTTGATCCTTGATTTGCTTGAAGGTCTGCGTGGAGTTAGCATTTCTGAGCAAGGCAAGATTCTCGGCACGCATGAGGAGCGCCGAAAGGCCCGCAGTGCATTACAGCAGCGGTACATGTCGACTGCTCATACTGATATGGAGGGCCAACAGAATAGCAAGGTCAACATCGACGACGGGCCTGATCTTGGTGGACTGGCAGATATGTTTGGTTAAGGTCGCCCTTATTTTCGCAGTGCTCTTGGCTGAGAAGAAAACTCATGGGCGGTCTGGGTATCATGTTACTTTAGTATAGATAGATATCACATGACATACTTTATATAACCATCAACTGACCAGTTGATGTACGTGCGTGGGTTCGTACTCTTGCCTATATTGGAAGACCTTTTTACATCAAAGAAATAATCAATTTTTTGGAAAATCAATTGCCTGATCTGTCAAAAGAGTCGCGTATATGTACAGCACCAGCCGAAGGCATCCCTCTCCACCCTTCCATAAATTCTAATTTGGCATTACAATTTTCGACTAAGTGATACAGTTGACGATGCTCGCATCTCCACAATATATTGCCGTCTAATAAGTGCTCTTTTCTTCCTTTACCCTTTCACTGCACACACGAAAACTCTGTGCGAACGGACGATAAGAATCCCGAAAGCAGAAAAAACCCCTTCCATCATCGAGTTCTTCATTGACTGAGCTTGCCGGGGGTATATGTGTAAGTAGGACGCACGAATCTGTCCAAAAATACATTAGTATTGATTTCACTCTCAAGCACTACGGGGAAGAATTTATTATCTGGATGAGTGTGACATACCGGTCGGAGTTGTACACCTTAGACTCAGTGCCCAAAAGCTCCTTCTCGCGAGCCTTGTCGGCAAATTGGCGGCGGACTTGGTCGCGGTCTTCCTCGGCTTGAAGGAGGGGAATGAGGTGGATACGAGACCACATTTTTTCACGCGCGAGTTCACTAGAATAAAAGAATTGAATTAGTTATATATTTTTACAGTTTAAGGCGTTTAATTCTGGCTTGAGGGAAGGCAGCGGTGATCAGAGAGGGTGATAGATCTTGACGAAAGCTGGGAAGAGAAACATACTTCTGTTCACGAACACCGTAATAGTATTTATAAAAGCCGTAGGCCATGATTAAATGCATCCCGACGAGGTAAGTCCATGGTCTGAAGCCGCGGGCAGGCAAGTTACGCTGATCGTGAAAGCATGGTTAGCGATGGGTTTCGCTATAGTGCGATTCAATTTGCAAACTGGGGGCTGTAGCAAACCTTATACTGGACAGGCTGATAGCCCCCAGTCGGGGGCATATCCTGCGGCATTGTGACGGTTTCAATGGGACGAGATTTAATCGTGCTGGAAGGTGGAAGTCCATCGCTGGGCGGTTGCTTTCGGGAAGGAGGTTCGATGGAGGTGGGTCATCACGTGATTCGGTCATCAGAGGCACAGTGATTGGCTGGAAAATAATGCATGAAAATTAATCTGACCACCGCAGAGAAAAAGAGAGAGTTGACTGAACATCGACGCTGTGATGGAGGGTGAAGTCCGGCCTAGGAAGCTTCAGAAGCTGGAGCATGATGGATCTGTTGTTTCTCATGCTGAGGAGCAAAATGCTGACTTGAACAATGGTGACAAGCCAGCAGTGAAAGAGGGTCAACAGCCTGCCGACAATGCGATCGGTTCTTTGCTGTCAGAAAATGATACAACCGGTGATAATGAAGAAGTCGCAGCTGGAGATGCCGCTGGCCAAAATGCCCCCTTATCAAAGAAACAGCAGAAACGACTGCTGAAAATGAAAAGATGGGACGAGCAAAGAGAAGAACGTCAGAAATGGCGCAAGGAAAAGAGAGACCAGCAAAAGCAACGGAAAAAGGAACGCAAATTGAATGGCGAGGATGTTGACGCCGCCAAAAAGAAGAAACACAGCTCACTTCTTGTCCCGGTAACCTTTGTCATTGACTGCGGCTGGGATGATTTGATGAATGATCGAGAACGTATATCGCTTGGTTCGCAGGTCACGCGAGCATACTCGGACAATACAAGAGCTCCTTACAGGGGCCATCTTGTGGTGTCATCGTTTGACAAGCTGCTTAAAGAGAGATTTGACACAGTTCTTCGGAAGACTCACAAGAGTTGGAAGGGTATACGATTCATTGATGAAGATTTTGTGCAAGCTGCAGCACAGGCTAAAGAGTTTATGAAAGAACCAACAGGTGGACAGATAGCTGGGGTGTTCAAAGACAAGGAAGGCGTCTCTCCTGAGGAAGGGGAGATCATCTATTTGAGCAGTGATAGCTCCGAGACGCTTACCGAGCTGAAGCCATATAGCACCTATATCATTGGAGGCCTTGTCGATAAGAATCGGCACAAAGGAGTCTGTTATCAGAAAGCTACGGAATTAGGTATTAAGACGGCGAAGTTACCTATAGGGGACTATCTACGCATGGCTTCAAGACATGTGTTGGCGACAAACCATGTTCTTGAGATTATGTTGAAGTGGCTTGAGTGCGGCGATTGGGGGCAGGCTTTCCTCGAAGTTATTCCACAACGGAAAGGGGGGACGTTGAAGACAGATGACACTACGCAAAAGGACGAAGATGAGGAGGAGCTATCTGATATTGAGCACACCGAAGATGTTGGGGAGCCAGATGATGTGGAAACAACCGTGTCAAAGGGCTAGTAAACTAAATATCTTCTCTCAAGCCGAAGTTTTCAATAATACATTGATTGATAATATCTATTAGTATAATTAACTTTGTGGTGCTATATTCAGACTTTGTGCCCTATTGTAATGTATATGGAATGATGTTACGCACATGATTGGTCAGATGCAAGTGGTACACGCTAGGCCGTAAAAGGCTGTGTTGCGTCACTGATAGCGGCGGGGGCGATCGGTTGCTGGACAACAACATAAACATCCCACCACAGATCAATTTTTTATTTTTGATCTCTCACCACTCCAGACGCAGCTGGCTTTGGTCACTTGCCACATTCGTCGCAACAAATCCTCGGCTGCTTCCCTCCCCGCGATTTGAATCTCCCCTCACTAAGCTGCTACTCTGAACATTAGGACCATACAGTGGTTGCAAGGGAAGTCGCCACCCAGGATGTTTATGCTCCGCAACGGTAAGTCAACAAAATTTATATTATTATATTTAGCCCCACCTCCCTGCGACGAGCAGACGCGATGAAACAACACTAACATGTCCCAGTGAGCAAATATCTCTTTGGAGACACTTCTAAAGAGGCAATAATCGACATTCCACAGGGCCAACTCTATCTGGTCCGCCCGTTATCGCCGAAAGGATACTCGGAGCTGATATTTAAAGACGCCGTTGCCACCATCCGCCGGACTGGCCAAGAATTCCAATATCAGCTTGTCGTGCAGAGGGCCTACGAGGAGGGTGAGGAAGAACTTGCTGAGGACGAGGACGAGCAGGGCGCAGTCGACGCATTGGATAAGGACGAGAGAGCTTTCCTGCTAGACGAAAATCTTCATTTCCGATTGGCTGTTCGTGACGGCGGGGAGAAGGTACTTGCTTGGAAAGATTTGAGTGGTGACGAAGGCGATCTTTACGAATTCGTGTGTGACTCTTCGGTGGCCATAGACAAGACTACAACCTTTGAATCCGCCGCAGTTCAGTGCCAGTACGAGAGAAAATACAGGAAAAGCGCCGAGAGAGCTACAGCAGAAGAATTAAAGCAATTCTCATTCGCCGACGATAGCCCTGTTCCATCTGCTAGTCCTATTGACTCTCCCAAGGGCCCAACGTCCGCTGAATCTGCAACAGCCATGGCGAAAGACGTGGAATATGCGAAGGCGAAAGGAAGCATCAAGCCCGCCCAAGACACAACCGCAGCCCCACCTTCTTCTGCTGCCCCAACCTCCGGGGAAGTCCTTGCGAAGGAACGCGCAGAGCTACACTTGTTCGATTTCAACAGCGGTACATTCGTGGTACAGGATACTGAAGTTGTCGCCACAGTCACGGAAATTGGAAACTGGCAATACTGGCTTCAAATTTCTGGGCAAGATAAAGAATGGCTTGGTCAACCTGTTATCGCCGATATCAACCCTGTTTTCAATTTTGAATACCTTTCTTTCATCTTCAATCACTATACTGAGGATGGCTCAGCTTACTCATGGCTGCTCCGGTTCAGGGACCAACCAACAGAGGAGAGATTCCAGGAAGGCCTCATGCAGGCACTGTGGGAGCAGTTGAATGAGACCAAGTGGATCAAGCAGAAGCAAGATGACCGCGAGTATGTCCTGGATGCCTTTCAGGATCTTACCATGGAGGATCAACCTGAAGCAGAAGAGGAGCCCGAAGAAGAAGCGGAAGAGGAAGATGAAGATGACGGACAGCGTAGTGAACACTATGATACTGATGAGGAGGAAGATGACGTTGTCACGAAACCTGATGATGGAAACGTCAACTCGCAGCTGGCTGTGGGCTACAAACATGACCGGTCATTCGTCGTTCGTGGTTCCGCGATTGGTGTTTTCAAACACACTCCCAATAACAAACTCGAATTTTCCACCAATATCTCCAAAGTCGAAGCCCCTAATGGCAAGCTTTTCAGCCCTAAGAAAGTCATGCTTCATGCAGAAGATTCGAATATGATTTTGCAGAATGCTGCGAATCCCAACTCGGTGTACCGCATGGACCTTGAATATGGAAAGGTTGTTGATGAATGGAAGGTTCATGATGATATTGGAGTTACCACCTTTGCTCCAGAACAGAAATTCTCACAAATGACCTCAGCACAGCCATTTTTGGGTGTTTCCAACAACGCTCTTTTTCGGATTGATCCTCGTCAGTCTGGCAACAAGTTGGTAGAGTCAAACCTGAAACAATATGCCAGTAAAAATGACTTCTCGGCCACTGCCACAACCGAGAAGGGATATATTGCTGTTGCCTCGAACAAGGGTGATGTGCGTCTATTTGATCGTCTAGGAATCAACGCCAAGACACATATTCCTGCTCTTGGGGAACAGATCATTGGTTTAGATGTTTCTGCAGATGGCCGCTGGGTCTTGGCCACTTGCCGCACATATCTACTTCTTATGGACACCCTACAAAAAGAGGGCAAAAATGAGGGCAAGCTTGGGTTTGAAAAGTCATTCGCCAAGGACGCGAAGCCTCAGCCTCGTCGACTTGGCCTCCAACCATCTCATGTTGCTCAGTTCCAGCACGAGACTAAACAGCCTTTGTCGTTTACTCCTGCTCGCTTTAACACCGGTGTTGGCAGTGATGAGACATCTATTATTACGGCAACTGGTCCTTTCATTGTCACGTGGAACATGAAGAAGGTCATTGCCGGAAGGAAAGATCCCTACACCATCAAGCGCTACGGCGAAAATGTCATGGCCGACAATTTCCGATTTGGCTCAGACAAGAATGTCATTGTTGCTCTACCCAACGAAGTCAACATGGTACAGAAGAAGAGCTTCAAGAAGCCGACCCGCGAGAGCATTGCGGCCCCAATTACACCTTCTCGAAGAAGTGCAGCACACCGTTTAAGCAGGAATGATATTGTAAATTCCCCTTATTAATCGTTACACTCTACCAATTTTTTCTTTCTGCTTATGAATGGGAAGTGGTAGGGAGGTGCTTCGTCTTTTGGTTTTCTCTTTTTGTTTCTTTCCTTCCTTAATCGACGGCGTCTAGATTGGCTTCTTTCAACATTATGATTTCTTATCCATACCCCATGCGCCACACATCCGTATTTCTTTTTGTTTTTCGTTTGGTTCACAATCACCCATGCGATGACTGGACGAAATAATTCACGAATATCTCGGGATCACATCGCTGAGTATTTCGGCGGCCAGTTCTTACCTGACGACGTCAGATATCAGTATTTGAAGAGTAATTAGGTAGCTAATCTAAACATCTTTATAATCACCGTTCAGCTCAAGATCGTATAAGATTTGAAGGTTTATTGTCTTATCATTGATTACCATCTACATAAAGTCTTCTCTCATGAGGATCCTACAGCCCAAACCTCAACCCCCAGAATATCGAATTTCATGCCCTCGTCTGAAAGATGCTCATTGCCAAATGTTGGGCAAGACGCACTCACACCTTTTTCAACGGAGTCATCAATCCAGAGACCATAGTGGCCGTCACTGTTACCATATTAGCATTATTCCAGGATATCATGTGGGTAATGTATCAACCCACCCTCCCCCAACGCTCAGAAACCCCGTCTCGCAGAACATCATATAGTCATTAACACCACTATACGGAAACGCTTTGAACCGAATGCGCTCCGGTGTGCTCGTCCCACTCCGACTTCCATTCGCACTTAACCCATCACTGGGTAATTCAAGTAGGTTTGCGCTAACAGCCGCACTCTGTTTCTCGTTTATGCTTGGAGTAGGCGTGCTCGCTCTTAGCGTTGTGCTGCGAACGGCATTCGTGGTGTCCGCGCTGGGCGGGGGAGGGAACCCGGCTCTGCGCAGCTCTTCGTCTGTCATTGTCTGAAAGGCGTCGAAGTCTTCACCCGCTCCACTGCCGCCAATACGTTGATGGTGTTGATGGTGTTGTTGTTGTCCATGACTCAACAGCAACGGCGTAGACGCTAACACGCTCGCGCGCCACAGAAAACACTCACCCGTGCCATAAAAATGCGGACTGGGATGCGGCGGATCAGTCAAATACGCACCGAAAACAGCGCCGTCGGATGTGTCGCGGACTACCAGCACGTAGCCGGCCCTGGGACTGCGCTCGGATACCTGCCTGCAGGCATCATACAGAGTACCTAGGGACGAGCCATCGCGCTCCAACGAATATGCTAAATGCCATGTGTCCACCAGTTGCAACCGCGGCGGTACCAACAGCCGAATCTCCTCGGCGAGTGCGCGCGTGAGGATATGGCGGTAGGTAGCGCTCGAGAGGGATTTGAGGGTTAGAGGTGTGAGGGGAGGTGGTTGGAAAGGTGAGGCAGTGCGTTTGGGGGTGTAGATTGTCGAGGAAGAGTGTGTGGAGGAGGACATATTTCTGTTGTTGTTGTTGTTCTTGTTCGCATTGCGGGTTTGCGGTTGTCCTTCTTGCGATGGGTCTGTGAGGCGTCGGTACAGACCTGATACCACGCGGCTCACCGGGTAGGAGAAATAATTGGCGGTCGTGGGACGACCATCAGTTGAATCGGATTTGGAGCGTGAGGTAGAGGAGGGTGGTGGTGATGGGCGAGTTGCTTTTCTGGACGTCGATGACTGCGATCGCGTGGTTGTGCCTAAGGGAGTTCCAGACCGCGATGCAGATGGAGTGCTGGCAGCGGACATGTGAGAGAATGGCTTTACTTTGCTGGTCTGGAGATGATTGAGGCTGCTGCTTTGCAGGGTAGAGGATGGTGGCTGTAAATGGTCAATCCAGCGTGGGCATTTGAAGTTGGAGGTCGATCTGATAGTGCGGCCAGCTTCCCACCTTAAATGCGCCGCAACCCCACAGTCGTGTTGCTTACTACTGTTACATAAATTGGGTGAGTTTCTTAAAATTCAAGATATTTGTCTCAAATAAATTTATCATTCTATGGATTTATTTATATGAATTTAATTGATAATTTTACAATAATATTATTAAAAAAATTAGGGTAGTCGTTGAAACCGAAATTTCCCAAACTAAGGGATGAGAAGGGAAATCCTCATTTTACAATATATTTGGCGCAGTGCTTGCTTCGGCTAATTGGTATATAATGCTATTCTTGTATTTTCTCTCTGTGGTGTAGATCGAATGTATGTCGTTATCGTTTCCTCAACCAAGCTTTGTATATAGCTTCTTGCCTCATTCTGAAGCCAGGCTGTTTGAATGCAGTAGCATATCGTTTTTAATGATTGATGCTTAACATGAGCACTTCTAGTCGTTTAAAAGCATCACACCGGAGGCGTGAGGTATTGATCTCATTCGTTGCAATTTCATCTCCTCGTGCCAGTATTTCGAGAAGTAGTTGTACCACAAATTTCATAATACCTTAGGTTACAGTAACATCTTCCCATACAACCATTGAGAAAACTGAACACTGGTCTGATCAAATAATCGTGTGACGATTTCCGCCATCCATAATGTAACTGGCAGGAGTATCAAATGTGGTAGTAGGAAACTCATTTCCAAGCCCATCGGTTTATTTTTTGGCAATGAAAATTGATTCTCGCACGCTGGTACATGGATAGCACAGTCACCGGACCATCCTGTTGCGGCGTACATCCGAGATCCTAGTAACCAGAGGACCGGTCCGTGAACCAGGTACAATGCGTAGGAGATGCGGCCAAGATATTGGTTGAATCGCCCCTCAAAGAAGACTTTGAGTAACCGAATTCGTGAGATAGAGGTCACAAGGAAGATGGAGGCCCAGAACAAGTAAAACCATTTGCAATCCGTCACTGCTTGTGGTTGGAGAAAAGATATATAATACCATCCTGGTGATACTCTGAGTTCCGCTCCATCGCCGCTCTGGTAAGGGACTCCGCCAAGGTATATGCTGACGAAGAAGGAGAGGTAGAAGAGTATACCTTTAAAAGGACTCAGAGCTGCAAAGAAATCCGGTAGATTATTCCTCTCAGCGAGGAGATCGAGGTCGCAAAGGAGCATTCCCCCAAGAAACATCGCGCAAAACCACCCATCAACAATATATAAGAAATACACAATGAGCCCAACCCCACACCACAGTCTGCAATTGCGCGTGCATCGTGAGAATGCCATCAGCGCTGTGTAAATCACAATAGAACCTTTAAACTCTGCTGGGACCGACCAGGTGTGTCGATTATAAGTAAAAGAGGGATCACTAGAGTCACGGAAGATGAAACTAAAATCTCGGAACTCAATATACCAATTATAAATCTCATCCCAGTAATTCCCTTTCGGATCTGGCGTTGCGTGGATGTTGAGAAAATGCCATGAGGTCATATATATGAATGTGGTAAAGATTATGGGAATATAGAGGCGCAGCCACCTTCGGAACAGCGAGGAGGACAAAACCTCTCCCAGTTTGGAGTATTCGCCTGCATTGATGCACATGAGAGGCTTTGTCGACAGCACATACCCCGAAATAACGAAGAAGATACCCACAGCGAAGTGGCCGCCAGCGAAGATTATTCTGACTCCAGGCAGGCAAGCAAAGTAGTAATTGTTCCCGTAACCAAACGCACTCGCTAAGATGCGTTCCTCATTCGTGATAGTGTGAATCCAACCTTCGTGGTGAAACAAATATACAATTAATGCTGCAAATCCTCGGAGGCCATCAAGATGGGACGTGCGACGGTTCTGTGTATTAAATCCTGTCGCGGATGTGAAGATAGCAGGTCGAAATAGTTCCAAACACCATTTTAATGTTTGCACAACTGGGCCAATATCCATTTCGTAATCTGCGATGCTACTCTGGAATACGCATATGGTGTTAAAAGTAAATGTGATGGATGAGATGTGGAAGTCCGAATGACTAAAATGCAGATACGGATTCCAAAAACGAACGAGAATTGAATACTTTATTATCCCTTTTGACCTTACCATTCCAGAATGCCTGCCGTGTCCAGTTTGGATTCAATACCAATGGTAATATTTGTACCACAATAAAGCATGTGAAGATTATCAAGGCTAGACTTTTTAACTGGCACTAAAATCAAGCCATGTTGCACAAAATAATACAATATTGAGCAAAAGGAATGTTTAATGGCCCTACGTTTGAATAAAGGAATTAGCATAGGAATAAAGAGAACTAAGTAGTAGAAAACAAATAAGCGACTCAGTTGTCATATGAAAACAAGATATAATTACATGTGACTCAAATAACTAGATGAATTCTTAACTCGTAGAATATAGTTATTCTATACAAAGCGCCTTAACCGTATTCATAACAAATGAACTTACATCTCTGATAAAATTGTTCTTTTGTTTGCATCTGGCTGTAGAACCACCTGAGGCTCAAGGTTGGATATAAGACAATTATCCACTTATCATTTAGATATACCTGCTAATAGTGGTAACATCCATCAGTTTTATTTCCTCACTGCAAAGTACGACCAGTTCAATTTCCCTGCCATGACTGAGAACACAACATACTGCGGAACGAACCAGGCTGGTTCCAGCATATAATAGACTACACATGAAAGCGTTCATTTCAGTCTTAAAGGCAGAATTCGGGCTACCTGATCGAAAAGCCTTCAAGAATAGAAATTATTGATCTATGCTCCGGTGAGACCGAAAGCCAGGTGCAGAAAATCCTAGGATACACCGGACAAGTAATCTAATTCTTGATGAATCTTCAAATATTACCCAAGGTAGAACTATGAATCGGTGGCATTACATCTTCTAGGTCCTCCTACATTAAGTATGAGGCTATGCCAGGAACGTGATCAGCACAACATCAAGCTAAATTATAGCACTGTCAGGTGTACCCCTACAGCATTTCTTGCATTAGAAGAATATTCATGTTATTCAGGTGATACCTAAACTGTTATTGCACATTGTTGCCGGTATACCTGTGTTGATTCTGTGCAGTGCCCCTTTCACTATCTTGATTGAATTTGTAGCAAGACTAAAGATACTGACCTTCTGATATCTAAGAGTTAGTATGGAGTTGCCGGGCTTTCTCTACTGCCAGATCTAGACACAAACAGAGCTTCGGATGAAGTCAATATATTTTTCTTTCTAAATGTATACTTCCTGTCATTCGTAGTTCTGCGCCTTCTGCTCAAGACTAGGTATTTAGTTTTCAATAGCATTTCTATAGCTTGCATTTGCAACGGCCTCTATAGAACAGGCCAGCACATCGTTCCCAACTATGGACCAGCGAAAATTCCAAAGTGCCTCCCCCCCTTGTGAGAAATCCTGTTTCAAGAATTCAGGGAAGAGTGGTAGCGAGTTGGTAAGCCGCAGGATCCCATGTAGATAAACAATTTGCACAGTTTTGTCAGCCACACTAACAGAAAGAGTGATCTTGTCATGTCTCTGATCCCAGCGTATTATGCTATTTGGAATCAAGATACGACCATCTGCACAGGGAATATCTAGGGCTTCTGGGTCAAGCACAGCATTGCTAAAATCTATAGCTTCACTGGCATACGCCAAGTGGAAATAGCTGGCACCCATACTCGTCATTACCATGAGTTCTGGTCGATAGGTCGCTCCTTGACTGCAAGCGCCATCAAGATGCGTCCGTGGGAAGCCCACGTAGATGTTAACTCCCGGTTGAATGAAAGCGTTTGCGAGAGGTACAGATACAAAGTTAGTTCCACCATGCATGGCAACAGGGACACGTTGATGAGGCAAAATGAACTGATTAGGGGTCACCTCCTGTTTGAAGATCCAGTCACAGTAGCCGTCCAGAAGATGGCATTTAAGTATATATAATGGCCTGAGGCTATAAACAAAATGGAGGTATTGGCTGGGAGGTCTACTTGAGGAAGAGCTTGATAATGAATTATCCGCCTCAGGGAAGAAAAAAGGAGCCCAATTCTTTTCTATCCTCGCAGGTTGTCCATTGCGGATGGTTAAGGGCGTTGTAAAATTAGAAAACGGTCGGTGAATCCACATTGCACGTCGCTGTGGATTATCCAAGAGGGGCATATTGAAAATGATGACTGGCTCAGCATTCGGAACTTCTTCAAGAATGACCCGAGGATCTTCAGGTCCAACCGGGCCGCCTTTCGTGTCCCATGCTGCCGGTATCTCAAATATTCTAGGAAAGGTGGTGTCGTTGCAATTGCCATGGATAGTGTAATTCTCCAAGCTGTTCCATTCTTCGTCATATATCTGGCCACGGAGGAAGCTGACGATCTGCGCACCATCTAGGGGTGAATAAATCACTCGAGAGACCACAAGATACACTCCATAATCAGGAAGCCAAACCCCCGAGCCATGGAACCGAGACCACGTCATCTTTACGAGTTGATCAAAGGGGATGACCAGTTCTCCATAATGGTCACCGATCAGGGGATGAGACCACATCGACATGGCAATCTGAACCATATCATCATCCAAGTGGAAACTCTGCTCGACGCCAATACTGTCATTATGTCTGAGGCTATCACAGCTGATCTTCCCCGGAATTCCATTGTTGCAGAACCCAGGGAGGACTATTGTCTCAACTATCTCGTGATTGGAATATGAAACCTGGGTGGTAAAGTTAGATCCGGACTATAATATAGTAAATTTAGATTAGAAGAGAAAGTCCCCATGGCTGCTAAGGATAGGTTATCAAAAGGGGTTTTACTTACATTTTTATCGAGGAATCTAAACTGAAACTTCAATAAGCATAAAGCAAGGATAACCACACTGCCATACACCATCTTTCTTTTCATTATAGGTTTAAATTGTCGTATGAGGTAGCAATTCATGCAATTTATGTGACAAGGGATTTTGTTTTTTGAAAACAAGTTTGATACAGTTAATGGATAAAGATGAGATTTGTTTTAGTTGGGAAATAAGACCGGAGATCTCTATATAGGAAGAAGAAACACATTAGTGGTTTAGAAAATCAGGATGTGGTACAATATTATAAGTACCACTAATTCCTATTTTAGAGCATATTATCTATATTTGCTAGCTAAAATGCCGTTGGCTTTCCATGTATCTTCTTTAAAGAAGATAAACTGAATATTATGATGAGTTGCCATACCTGACTTATATCTATTTATGAAACAGTTTCTTCCTTTTGAGTCTAATTATATTCGCACTATCTAGTCTCTTGACAGACTAGTATTTATAATTCCTTAAGAAATGGCGGCTATCATTTATTTTAATTCTCACTTAGAAAAAATTCTTTGGAGTTACTGCACCTATGTATCATTTTAATTATGGCTAGTTGATTGCTATATCCATTCATATATTACCTAAGGAGGTATTACAGTACTTAGATGTTACTTTATATGGATATGTTGTGCTTCTAGCTGTGACCCAAAGTCTGTGTTTCTCCTTGGGTTAATCTAGGCTTTGTAATATTTTAGCCGTACACGTGTAATGTATAACAGGCAAGGATGTTCATATGTGACTGCATCAGAGGTCGTTATAGAATTAACGTAAGTCATGTAGTTATAGAATATGAAGCATCTACCATTTCCATTTGTTAAATGATCCAACATTGAATCTTGCGATAATTGGATCCACCAAAATCTTCATAATCTGTCCTCTAAGGTCATATAAGCACTATATGCTAGTTAGGTTGCTACATGGACTTCGAAAATTGACGGTTACCCTTTTATGCCTGTCACAGCCAGCTCCATAATCGATTGCAGTAAGAATGTAACAGTGGAATTTCTCCTTTCAACATCTTCTGCCTTTCTGTAGGAAACCATTCTAGTTATCCCTAAAACTGGAACTGCATTGTGTTACAGAGACCAAGGAATACCTCAGAATGAAACATACCATGTGACGATATGTTTTCCATATTTTACTACTACTAGGCTTTCAGTAACACATTATATGATCAACAATCATATAGATATACTACTAAATAATGTAATAAAATGTATTCATTACCTAACATGTTGAAACTGTCTTTGGATTAAATGGCGCTTTATGGAGCGGTTTTTCTGGTACATGACCGTTTATAGTATGACAAACAATATTAAGCTTATAGGCTTCTTCATATGTTTATGTAGATTACTTATACTTGCGTGTATTCTTAACTTGGAATGCACCACTTGAAAAGATGGAATAAGTAAAAAATCTAGATAGAACAAAATTGTTGTAGTTTTAAATTGAATATCATTTTATAAGCTAGTAGCCTCTAAGCTACACTTTAAGGCCATATATATCATATACATTATATGCAACATGTACGTAATCTTTTTGGAAAAAGGGATGCCAGGATGCCAGGAATAGCTGATAATACTGTGGTAAAGTTAAACCAGGGATCTAGATGCTCATTACGATTTGTCTTAACATTTGAAAGTTACGTACCTCCAAAATGTGCTGTATCTGAAATTTCTTTCTCTCTTATGTTTCGCTAGAGGTCTCACAGTCATATCAATTGATACCGCGGGCAAATGGATGAAATATAACACCGGGTGTATATGTAATATAACTTTTGCTGTGATCTTCATATTGTGATACACTTATTTGTGAAACAGAAGGTCTTAGCGTATATTTTACCTCCTTGATGAATGTAAATACTAAAGTATATAAAATCTACATCTTACTCGTATGAGACCATTTCTCGTTTGCAAGTTCAACACCTTTAGAACAAACTAGTGAATAAAATCCAGATTGTACTTACAATATATCTATATCTTGTCAGGCAACACCGTTTTGAAGACAATATCTTATCAAAATGCTCTCATTGAAAACTATTTCCGCTAGTCTTCTAGCTACCTTTCTCACCTCTCAAGGAGTTCAAGGGTTTACTACGGCTTGCATATATGACTCGTACAAATGCGGTGTCACCCTATCAGGAACTGCTTATGGTATAGCAGTCCTAACCACCATTTTTCCAAGTAGCTGGAATACATGCTAACTGCTCTTAATTGATTTAACAGGTTACAATGACACTGAGCTTATAACCGCTGTCAATGCTACCACAGTCATTCCGCCGCTTACTATTGCGCAGTTGAGCCAAACAATCTTCAGGTGTGCAGATACTTCAGGAACCATTGTCGCAAACGCGTTTTGTATAAATGGCTGCCAAGATCTTGAGCCCCATAATGGCGCTACCTCTAATGATCAGTGCACTATTTAAAGTCATTATTTTCCTCTGGAAGTCTGTATAGCAAAAATTCAACTTTTTGTTCTACGACGCAGATTTCCCCTAATTGACATCAACTGCAATTCAACAGTAGGGGCTGGAACGGGAGGCTTGGAAGGTGTGGAAATGGATAACCAGTCTTTTCTTTCAGCTCAATATCTTTTGTTCCTTCTTCCTGATCATTGAAAACGTTTTAAGAGCGAAAGAATGAGCATGTAGTAGGTTTGAACGATCAATTACTTGGCAATTTTAGTCTGCATAGCCATTCCTTATAGTCCAATGCAGCTGTTATGCATTTCTCAGATTTGTATACGTCCTGGATATTCCTCTAGTTGAAATTGGTACATTCCTATTCTATATCAAGTGATCTGAGACTCTAAACAAGAGAAGATGCTACAGGCGGTTGGCACAGAATCCATATTGAGATATAAATATAGCCTTGACAAAGGCTCAATGTTGAAGAGCTCACATGCATGCACGAATTTGTTTCCAAGGTGTCTATACATTCCGCATAGGGTATTTGAGCTTGAATAAACAGAACTAGTTAGATTGACTTCATAGGGATATTCATGTAACTTATTTACATGTAATCACACTCTCATACATGAGCCTATAGGAATATTGTCGATTCCTTCCTTATTAATATCCTCAAATCAATACAATCTGCCCTATTCTAAGAGTCATCTGGTGGTACCTCTGGTGGACTGGGGAAATCTGTTGGATATACACAACATCCCCAGCATAGTTGTGGGAACGGTTGTATATCATTGCATGTTGGGAGTGGTGTTATAGAGGTAATAGTAGTAGTAGTTGTGGTGGTGGCGGTGATGGTGATGGTAGTGGTACTTGTTGTTATTGTTGTTGTACAACAACCACAGGGTGTTAGATCACATTGATCATTATTATCAACAACATATGTTCCCTCACATCCATTAACACAGTATGAGTTTGCTGCTATATCCCCAAGAGTACTATTACATCGGTAGAGGACTTGGTAGATTTGAGCCATATCAAGTGGAGGTATAACCGATGACTGGTTCACAGAGTTAGTCAACTCCTCCAAGGTATAACCTTAGCATAACAGTCAGCAGTTGTCATCAAAAAAACCAAAAATTCATTGTCATAAGGTTCTCGTACCATAAAGCTCAGCTAGATAATAACCGCATTTGTAGGTTTGATAGACACATTCACTCCTGAAAGCTTGGATGCAGGATAAAAAGATACATAGCATGCAAATAACCCATTGGGTTATTGTTTGCATAATGATACTGTATACTTTAGAAATAGAAAACTTCAAACTGGTGAAGGAGAGGTTAGGTCAAAGATAAGCAGCCTACAAATATTAATGAGTAGTAAATCAAACCAGTGAAGAGACCAGTATGAAAAAACAATTCTAAGCTTATAGACATAAAAAGGGAGCTCTCGCATATGTATCCCCTTTTCGTCCGTCCGTACATTTGGACCAACTACAGTTTGTCGATGTTTTGTTATAGCCATGGGCTCGGATTATACATCTGTTACTGGGGTCTTGTCGTGAAGGGTAAATCAGAATGTGGGCTGCCCCCGTTACTTATTGGATAGCATATGGAAATCTCGGTGAAATAACACAGTAGCACAGAGCATCTTATAACCGGCCCCTTCAACTTTAGTCTTTGGGGCCGCGCAACAGCCGGTTACTAGATTATATATGGGATAAGACATGACTATACAGCTAGATCTATGTAATAAAATAAATTACCGTCTCGTAATAGGCATTTGTGAATGAATTTTTATTATTATTCATAGGATGTATTGACTCTGTTTTAACTTAAGGCTGGATGACTTTGAGCCTAGGCGAATCTGCTGGATCCACCACCTGCACATAGCCACGAAGGTAAAGGATACCATGATACTTGTGTAGCAAGAATCATCCTGTAACCCCCGTTTTGAGGTATTTTAATATGTGTGTCTTATCCTGTGTTAAGAATTCATGTGATTATACCTAGTAGGATGATCTAGACTTGTCTCGTGGCTAAGGCAACCGCATAGCCGAGCTTTCTGATCACCAGAAACACAGATCTGAGTCGTACACTACCTCTGATAACAAGAATAACAATTGCTTTATGTTCCAAGTGTACAAATTTCGCATAATGATTCCCGGGTCTCGGTAGCGCGAATGGCCTTAGAACCCGAATGCCAAAAGTGTCAGATCACAAGTGAGGTCCTTGGCCAGCTTTGTATAACCCTACCGCAAGCCATTACAACAATTTCTTTTTAATAAAAAGGTATCTACTCTACCATGATCACATGATTTTGATATAATCTTGGAGTAGCATCTATTGATGCTCAATAATAACCGATGGTTACTCTTATCCCACAACTACTTAAGTTGCGTTACAAGATTGCTCTAACGAAAAGCTACAATTCCATCAAGTTTCAAATGATCCTTTTCGTATCTGAGTTTGTACACAGAGGCACTTGGTCTAATTTCTATCGCATACTTCTTCAATTGCTTTCGGTTTGAAGAAGCCAAAAAAGGATTGCTCCGAAAGCCAATATCATTCTTATACTACAACCAGACAAGTACGTCCAGAGAAACTAATGAGGCCGGTGAATCGAACGTCAGCAGTTGATCCCATCCATTTTCTACTCTTTCTCTATCGGAAACGAATAACCTTTGAGGCGAAAACTATCAAATTAAAGATATTTTTTAATAAATTAAATATAAGTTATAATTTCCACCAATTTATTTATCTAATTTCAACTAATAATTTCGGGGTACAATTACTGGGACTAGATCCAACACACAGTACACACACGCTGTACATACAATACTGTCTGGGCTGGTCACACTGTACCATTAATTGGCCCTATTATGGAGCTACAATTATTATTGGTGTATAGGCATTGATAGTATTGTATTGAGCAGTAATATGGGTATATCATTGGTATATTATTCATCATACATAACGTCGTATGCTCTATCTCCCCCGACTCGCAACTCATTATAGAACCATGCACGGCGTACATTTTCCGGATAGGTGATCAGATACCTGGACGAAGATCAACAGTCTCGAATTCCAGCCCCTGCGCCTCAAACACATGCCCAGGCCGTAGCGCATCAGTGTAGATATTTGATTCCGCATGGGGATGGAACAGTCCTGTCTGTTTACAGCCGAGGACTGATTTCAAGCCTGGGGGATCTGTCAGTCGAAATACTCCCCAGCTGGGGTCCTTGGATGGAGCGCAGACAATGGCAATGCTTTCTGGCAGCATGGCCTGGTACCCGCAATGCGTGTGCAAGTCGCGTGAGCTCATGAAACATGTTTGCGTAGGGTGAGTATGGATCCAGCCAAGGACCATTAGATCCTCCGAGTCACAGTAGTCAAATATTGCGGTTTCGTTTACGGTCTCGCAGGTGTCAGATGTGGACTCCTGCTCGGGAATAAGTAGCTTGGAGACAAACAATGCGTTTGATATCAAGGTGCCACATAGAATGCCACATGTCTCCAAATTCCGTCGTGTGTTGGAGTCGGCAAGAGCGAGAAAGTGATTGCGAAGATCAGGAGGTAAAAACACTGTTCGTAAAGGAGTTCCGTTTTCGAGGTAGGCGGACGGCTTGAAGGTAAAGGTGGATGGGTTGAGGTCGGATTGGTTAGATGGAGCTTCTGCAACAGCTGGTTTTTCTTTCTGTGGAACCGGGGGAGCACTCGAGGTGATTTTGTTAGGAAGAAGGGGCGGTTGTTCATAGGTGATCTTCGGCTGAATATATTCCTTTGCCGGGCGTACAGGAGGGTGTGTATCGATTTCTTGTGACAACGACTTGGGGACAGTGAGTGTCTGGGCATTGAAAGGCCTTTGTTGCGGTACGATTGGGTATTTGTAGGTCGAATTCGCATTTCTCGTAGCCAGGTTTTGACGAGGCAAAGGGTCCCCATTTGATGGTCCGTCAATATGCAATCTGACCTCCTGGATTCGGTGACTGATATCATCCTGTCGTCCTAGAGCACGCTCCCAGTCTCCCCACATTCCGCCAGTCCGTCTTATGCGCTCTTCTTCTGGGGAGATTGCAGCTTGTCTGCTCTCTCGTCTCACAGTAGCCCTGCGATTTATCTCCTTCTGGGCAATCTTGACTGCAAGCTCTTTATTTTCCCCCGCCTCCAAAGGCTGTGCTGCATCAGACAGAGCGGGGTCTGGGAGGAGACCCTGATTGCGAAGCTGGAATGAGTCATTTTGAGAATGAGCCGACTTCACCTTCCTCGATTCGCGGTCAAGCATCAACTGCCTGTGACGCTCATATCGCTTGTTGATGCGGGGTTTTAGCGCCTCTAGCTTTTCAATGTTAATCTTGACTTGTTTCTCCGCTGCCACGAGTCCTTGTCGGTTTGGCTCATCTTTCGCATTTGGATGGTTGACTAGGTTCACTAGGACTAGCTGCGCGTGCCGGAAAAGTAGTAGATAGGCTTGCTCGTCATGGCCCTCTCGTTCGTAGATCTCCGCCTGCCAAATTTCCCAGAGTAAGCAAATATCGCATAGAAAGACAGCGTAGACAAACCTCCTTCACTAACGAGTTTGCCGTCCGCAGCCAGTATTTCAACGCTATCGCAGGGTTGTACTCATAATCCTGAGCAATTCGGGTGATCTGCTCGACGTTATGCGGCGTCGCAGGCACCCGCGAAGAGGACATGGTGTGGCCGCCTGTATGCGCGCGCGACGCGTCGGGGCCGCCGATTGTTGTTCTTTCTAGGACAGTTTGGACCCGTATCTTTCCTTACAGTCTCACACCGTGTATAGCGAGGCAGAAGCATATAGGTATCGATGCGTCAGTCAGGCAGGTCGCAGGTGGGGTGCGGCGTCTTCAAGGTGCTCAGATGGGACGAAGTGCAACAAAGAAGCTGGCTGGGAATAATGGTTGTATCTGTCATGGACGAGACATGTGTGCATTTTCATAATACGACAACATTTTATCTAGCTGCCTGGCGTTGACGCGAGATGGTTGAAGGGGCATTGTTAGTCTGCCATACCGCAATGCACATGTCAGTCTCCCCGGCGGGCGGAGATAGATGCCGCTCTCCGCCTTATGGCCTAAGGAATGATTCCCGCTTTCATCTTTGCTCTTTACTTTTCACTTCAACCGCCTGCAAGACATGACGCGGTGCGGTGTGCGAGTCTGCAATTACCGAGCTGTTCTTTTCACAGAACCCTATGAGGACTCGTCTCCTTGTTACGGGTCTTCAGCGCCCTTTGCTCGAGGCGCTCCGTCAGGATTATGCGGTCCCGTCTAGGTGCCTCGTGAAATGCTTCGCTACAGCTTCTGGCCGCAAACGACGCGAAAAACCCCTCTTGGATGCCAAATGGAAGTCTAGTCACCCAAAGCGAACTGATATTATAAACAATAGCCTGACTGGTAAGTATCCTCTCTACAAGGCGATTGGATAGAAAATGGAAAAGGAAGGGCGTGTCGCTAAATTCTGTCCGTCTTATAGAAGACATCGTCCAACGGCTATCGCATGTTCTCGGTGACGAAAGACCGTCCGCTATACTCGATCTATGTCCAGGGATAGGCTTGCTGTCTGCAAAGCTGAATGAAACACTGAAACCAGACCTCCACGTTCTAATCGAGCCTCGCAAGAGACGCTACGGAAAATTCCTTGAAAAATTGTCTACCAAGAAAGGCGTTGAATTGTACAACGAGAGCGTGAATTCTTCTAGGTCAATCTATACAATTATTTGGGATGAATTATTCGCCAAATATATACTAAACTCTGACGCAGTCAAAGGCTCCAAGGATGTCCTCGTAATAATAAACCTTACTGACGAGAACTTTCGCCTGGCTTCCAAGGTATGGTCATTCCTTCAAAAAGGCCTTGTTCTAGGATCCAAGCCACTCCGTGACTGGAAATTCCGATTCCTAGGCGTTATGGCCAGCAATGAAGCCGAAGCTGTCATTCCACGAAGCATCGTCGAGAGGAAAAAGGTGGCGTTGTTGGACGAGGTTACGACCAATAAGTCCATGTACATCGCCGAAACCGACAACCAGGAAAATCTTTCGATACGAGGATATGAAATATTCGCCAAGAGTGCTGCTGGGGCTGCCCAACGGACAGCAGAGAACAATATCCCAATCCCTAAAGGCCGCGAACGACCTCAAGTCGAGCCAATAACAGAATTACCTGCGGAGATTGTGTCTCCCGGGTCCCCCTTATCAGATCCTCTCTACCCATCGGCTTCCTTGCGCAAGCACATCAATGATGTTATGGAGGCAGAAGAGGCACGATCTGAACCCCTCGAATACAAAGACACCAAGAAACTGCCTAAAACTCTCGGACGCAGCCGGATAGATCTAAGATTCGTCGTGAGAAACCTTAACGAGCTGCAAGAAATAGCTAAAGGAACCATCAACATGGATCAACTCCAGTCAGAACTCGAAAAGGCGCGGACGGACTCGAATTCCGACCCTGAAGCCCTCAGTGCCCTAGATTCTCGCATTCGCAACATGAGGACAGAGCTAGCTGAGCGGATTGAGGGTTCCACGCATTTTGTAACTAAGCGAGCTATTAGTCATATTGATCAATATCGAGCATCCACAGGCTCAACAAACGACATCAAAAACTCGATGCTAGCGTGGGACCACCGACCCTTCGAGCCTCTCCTCATCCAGCCGGACGATATCTGGCCCCATGAAAAACCATGCGCTGTCTTGTACATGGAACCCAAAACGAATGACCAAATCGCAGAGTCGTTGTCTCTCGATATCGCTCATCAGAGACTCGACGAAGCCGTTGAGATTTCTAATTCCGTGCTGAACTCATTTGGTGTCCGAGGGAGAGAACCGGTACAAGACATGCTCACCAAGCTATATCCTGGAAAGTCGATCGTCGAAGTGATAAAAGCTGTTCCCAGCCTGTTCCCATATATCCCCAAGCAGCTTGCTTCTAATACCACAGATCCAGCAAATACAACAACCGAAACATCGTCATCAAAGTCGTCGTATTATGATTCATTTGAATATTTGCCGCAAAAATTGAATTTCAGATGCCTTCCAAATCATGTCATGCTCGACTTGTTGAAATATTATCTGCGGACACTGCCGACAGCATCCAAGTCGTTTCTACAAGTAAATCGGAGTTTGGGTGGATCGGCTACGAAATATTCCCTGCGTACTTGGATACTTGAGGATAAGAGATGATATCGGCTTTCTTTTTTATTTTGAGGTTAAACGGCCATATTCGCAAGATCTTTTTATAATATACCCACCTATACGGCGTTTTATCGATAGTTAATTGTGAGGACATTGTATACTAGAATGTAGTTCGATTGTTGGAGTTTGAGAATATCAGACTGATGTGTATGATAGTATTGGCACGTATCACATATCATGTTCGGATAACGCTGCTTGTTAAATACATGAAGAGCAACTCAAATCAAAAGAGTGATCAAGTTCCTAGCCTGTGTTATGACCATCTGAAAGTGAATGAACGAATGGTAATTGGTGCAGTGATAACAATGTTTCCAACAAGTTCGTGAAAGCTTGCTTGGTTGAGTTTTTCAGGGTAAATTAACCCACAACGTCGACGGCACAGTTATGATTTCGATCTGCGTTTGAATGGTCCTTCGCAACCCTCGATCTTGAACTCAGGATGACCATGAACAGAAATACGGGGCTTTGGTGCCCGGTCGTTCTTAGAGGATGTGGAGTCAATTTCCGTCCGCGGAGTCCCATCAGAGCACGGAGCGGCTTGAAGATTAGGTGAAAAAGCAAACCAGGTATTTGCAGAGTGTGAACTCGTCGGTTCGGTTGACTTTGGTGGAGCAAGGAGAGAGCTCGCAGGCCCTAAATCTGGGCTGAATAAGGGCAACTTGGGGTTTATAAGTTGAGAATGGGGTTGTGTAGAGTCTCGCGCTGGTGACGATGACATGGAGGACGACGACGACGGTTTCCAGCTGATATTCTGCGGTGGTGTTCCCTGGCTATGAACAAAGAAAAGAGCGGATCCGGGATAGGATCGTTGGAGGAGGGCCTCCTGAGAGTAACCACATTGCGAGGATTCGCTGGGTTCGGCGGACATGTCGTATAGGGTCTCGACAGCCGAGGCACAATACAGGCAAATGATGTCGTACTCCCCGGTACGGGGATAGTAGCCCACGCCTGCCAGGTGCATCCTTCGGCGGTCGGGTGGTTGGCCCTGAACGAATTGGAGCCAATGTGGTAGTTCGTCCATCGGGACCAAAGGCACAGGTTGCCCCCCCGGCCGCAATATGTAGAAATATGGACGGAGGGATTCAGTCTGACATGGCAGCATGTATCTCCACATGTCGAGCAGCGGATTCCACACATCCATCGGTGGCGATACTGTATCATGGCCAGTCTGGTCAGTTATGGTAGTAAATATACCCCATGTGTACTTACAATAAGGGGGAAACTTTGCTGGGCTGTCGTAGTAGAAGCTGCAGACTAAGAAAACAGGCTGAAGTCAGAACGATTTAACGAACGAGTTCTGGTAGATGATGATATTATTGCCGTATTAAATGAATGCAAGATGCAATCATTGGGAGAGTTCAAGAGGTAAACGGGAACAGCAGAGAGGCCGAGCGTGGGGTTGCTGAGGAAGGAGCGAAGGACCCGAAATTCACACAAACTCATACTCTCACACACACCTCTTCAATACATACACTCTTCAGATTGTATTTAGACCACATGAATGACTGAGATTTTCTCTCGGGTAATGGCATCATCTAACTGGACCAACCACTTGAAAGAAATCAGAAATCTTACACTAAACTTGGGATGAATCTTGTTATGCTGATGATTGCGCTCAGTCTGTCCATGTATTTTGGCACACAGTCTTGGTCAGAAGCAAGATCTTCTTGTATCCACAGGGCCCTTAGGGCCCGCCTCAGACAATCTAGGCTTCGTACGTATGTGGTCTTTTCTGTCCTCCAGACTAGGTCGAGGATCATATTTCTCTGCTCATCAGTCCGTGCCTCGCAGCCCAGAACGAGCAGTGGAAACTGGAGTTCGCAAGTGCGCATCCGGCATAACAAGGCAAATGCGTTATCTAGGAGAGGCTTCATGTTCCGTAACTCCCCAGAAATACTTTCGGAGACTCGTGCAAGATAGAGCATTGCCGCCGTTTGATATAATTTGACCATATCTGTCGCATCTGTGGTCTCCTGGGTGGAGAATTTTCCATATCTTTCGGAAATTTCCACGACAGTGCTGGCTCTGCCTTCTAGAATGTTGAGTCTTCCCACAAATTTCTCCATCGTGTCTCTCTGTTCGAACGCTTGGAATAGCACATTGAAAATATCAGATAGAAACTGCAATATGCGATGAGATGGGCGTACACGATTAGTCCTCTAGGGGTGTTATTAGCATAGTTCACGTAACAGGGATCAGGAAACTTACCTGGAGTCTATTCGGACCTAAAATCCACTCCCATCCTTTGAGATCAAGCTGCTTAGCAAACATGGATTCTACTGGACCATATCGCCAGTGCAGAATGCTGAATTGAGCAATTACATTATGATAATAAACCCAATCGAGTAATTCAGCGACAAAACTTTTGTTTATTTGCGTATCGAGGTGGCTTTTTTCGATTATATCTTTTACTCCACGGACATACCATAGCCATTGTCCGCCTGTTTCCGACGATGCGTGGATCTTAGAAAAGCTTAGCACTCAATACCCTGTCCTTTAGCCTTATATTCGAACCAACCTCAAACGAACATAGAAGCATGCCAGCAGTGACGTGCTGGGCTGCTTCTGTTGTGCTCAAGGTCCCGTTCTCTGCCGACTTGGCGAGCGCGCTAATGGCAGAAATCTTGAATTGGACTGCTCGACACTGGAGCCCATCACGATGTTGTGAAGCAACAGCAAGTAAGGCGAACAAGACCGCCCTAGAAGAGACTGTGCCGTCTGACAGTGCCATCTGAATCAGCAAATCTCGGAAAGCTGCCGCATCCTGGTTAAAGATGGCCAGGGAAGAAAACGCGGTAGATGCGACTATCAGACACTTTAGCCTCAGACACGTGTGTTAGTAATTGTTTGGCTATACCCACAATAATGAACCAGTTCTGCATCTCTTCCATCCAACTGACACGGTTTCCATGAGGAGCGATAAGGGGTAAGCAGTTGGCCAGGAAGAATCCTCGGTTGATTAGGTATCTCTACATCGGCTTTAGTCATTCGTCAACATTGAAAGCAAAGAAAAACTTACTTCTGGTGCTCAAGTCTACCAAATAGCTGTGCATTTCCATATCCCAGAACGAAGTATGAATGAAATGAAGCTTGAAAGATCTATCCCAATTCTTTCTCCCTGATGGCAATTTCCCAAGCATCGCACGCTTAGGATCGTTGGCTCTTGGCCACGAGAGGCGTATACCATAACCCTGGCATTTCCTTCTGACCCGGGCACAGTTCAGACAGCCTGGTTTATTGCGGTCACATCGAACTCTACGATCTGCAGCACGTAATCAGTCAATGCCGTTTCGAGTGCACGCTACATTGTAACCTTTGCAAGTCCAGCAGCCAATATGTGCCAAGCTTGTTCCCACCGAGTGCTTTTCTGCCATGCCGACGGTGACTTTGCAGGCTCATTATTGATGAGGATGAGGATGATGATGAGGACGTTTGCAAATAGCCAGAATATATATAATATGTCAGCCGGTTGGTGAACGACTGATGGTCTGATTGGTCGAAATGGCGGAACTGACCCACCTAGGGTAAGTTTTCGCGATGTTTATGGGGCTCTTTCGTTGAACATTACTAATACAACACTACATGCAAGTCTTGAATCAACATCAATTGCTGATCCTACTTGAACCAGGTGATAAGAGATGAAAAGTCCAGACCATGTGGTCAAGTATTCGCGACGGGGGAATTACTCACCCTATTAGACTACTATCAGTCATGGGCACCCCAGGGTATAAGTACGACAGGACGAGCCACTTTGCCTTGGATTGACAAGTAGGCATCAGAACCAGTTTCCCACTACATTCTTAAAATCCTGCCTTCAAGTTTTTCAGCATGTCTACGTATCTCATCACCGGCGTATCGCGAGGCATTGGTGTATGTACATGACCTAAGAGAGCTTACGATTATCTCGGATTGAAGGCTGATTAATGTTCCAGTTTGCATTTCTCCGCCACATCTCTGCAGACCCAAATAATACTGTTATCGGGCTTGTTCGTGATAAAACTACGACCGAAAAGAAGGTCCGCGAGGAATTGGACCGGCCCAATATTCACATTATCCAGGCTGATCTCACAGACCTCGACTCATTGAAGGTAAGCGGGTAATGTTGTCCCTAACGAGCGATGGCACAGGCTTACGCCATGCTCAGAAATCTGTGGATCAAGTCTCTCCTCTTGTCAACGGATCCATTGACTATCTAATCGCCAACGCGGGATATATGTCCCTTTGGTCCGCTTATCATCCTCTAAGCAGTTTGTATGCATTCTTAATGCCCTACCTCACATTGAATATGAATCTAGAGACTAAACTATTGCTATCAAAACAATAGGGGCAATGATCCTGAAAGACTAGAAGAGGACATACTTGAATGCTTCCGTACCAATGTCGTAGGGAATGTCCACCTGTTCAACCTCTACATGCCACTCATTTTGAAGGGCCACGTCAAGAAAGTCATTGCTATTACGTCAGGATTCGCAGATGACGACCTTACGACGACATATGCAATCGACGTCGCCGGTCCATACTCTATCAGCAAGGCTGCCATGAACACCGCCGTGGCAAAGTTCAGCGCGGAGTATGCGGAAAGGGGTGTTTTGTTCATGGGCATCGCTCCGGGTGCCGTCGAAGTCGGACAGGACAAGGATTGTAAAGAGACCCCCACTTAAACTTCCCCTTGGAGGATCGCACTAACACTTGTAAAAGTGACCGAAGAGCAGATAAAGATTGCCATGGCTTTAGGAGAGAAATTCGCTCGCTATGCCCCTCATTTCCGCGGCCGTACGACACCAGAAGAGTCCGTCAAAGACATGATGTCCGTTATCAATGCAGCGAGCCTTGAATCGGGACACGGAGGCTGTTTTATTTCACAGCATGGAAACAAGAAGTGGCTGTAAATGGACAAGCAGTCATTGTATCTGGGAAATTTTACCCTGAGCATATCTAAGACTGCAAGTGATAATATATATCAATAACATCCTGTTATATCGCGTACAAACATATTTTATCTAGCAGTTCATTGGAGGTGAACATAAGGAAATAGTGCGCGACTTTTTTACAGTATAAGCTATGATTTTGTAAAAATAGCCGATTCTAGAAGTATTATGATGTTATAAATTAGGTAATACAACGATATAATTTGACAGCCCTGCTCTGCGCCATTGCTTTTGGCCTGGACTTTTGTTCCCTCTTTTACTTTATTATACTATTCTTTGTATCCAGATATGTTTTATTCCATTTTCAAAAGAGTAAGAAGAGTGTCAATCAGACGAATAATCTATGGTACTTGGCGATAATTATTAATTTATTATTTCAAAATATACCTTTTTAGTAAATATATTCAATACTTGCTTGATAATTCAAATTATCCATACGGTTATACAAAGCAATGAGATTAATTGTATGTGATTTATATAAGGTCACCGCTAAGAGCGACCAATATTATGGGTACTACTGACTGGGGTAGCGACTGGGGATAGACAACCGAACCAAACAATACCCCACGTCCCACATGTGCAGTGGCGAGCCAATGCGGAGGAGCTCACGACTAATCATTATATCAGCGGGAAGTTACTTTCAAACTCACATCCTGGTAAACCAGTTAACCCCTCATCTCTGTGCAATGGTCTCTCCTCGGATTCGATCCGCTTGCATCAAGTCTGGAAAACATCTTGCGAATACTTGACTCTGGAAATATGAAGGATCAAGCCGATCCTATTTCCGCGCCAGGTGTGACCGTTTCATTCAAAACGCCTCACCAGGCGAGCTCGTCAAATACCTTTTTCGCCTTCTCAAACACTATCAATGGAGTTGCTCGGAAAAGTACCCGGGTGGCTCAAGCGGTCAATCCGTCGAACAGACAGCCTCTGTGGGATGTTCCTGTGGCAAGAGAGGTTGATGTGAATGAAGCTGTCACTGCTGCAAATGATGCATTCTTGGCTTGGTCACGCACGCCCTGGGCTGAGAGAGCCCAGTATCTCACGCGCGCAAAAGATGCATTGTTGGAAATTCGCGATGAAATGGCCAGCCTGATTATGCTAGAGACTGGTAAACCAGTAAGTGTCATCGGTAGGAAGCAAGAAGGAAGGAATATTGTGTCTGAACGCAAGTGAAGATTCAATTAGCAACGCTAGAAGTCGACCAATCAATTCGACTGCTGCTATACTATGGTAAGATGAACAAAAATCAGGTCTGACGATTTATCGTGACTAATGGAAACAGCTGCCCACCCGGAATTGAAACCGAAGGTGGTCACTGATAATGACGACCTTCAGTTGACTGTTCGTTATGTTTCTATGGGTGTCGTTGCAGCGATGTGCCCATGTAATGATCCCTTGATGCTAGCCACAGGGAAGATTGCACCCGCTTTGCTCACCGGCAATGCTGTAATAGTGAAGCCGTCACCATTCGCGCCCTACAGCATTCTGAAATTTGTTGAACATCTCAAGTCTCTCTTCCCGCCGGGTGTGATTCAAGCATTGAATGGCGATGGAAAGCTGGGGTCCCTTCTCGTTGAGCATCCCGAAGTCCAGAGGATTAGTTTTACTGGATCTATAACAACAGGTAAGAAAGTAATGGCTGCCGCTAGCAAAACCTTGAAAAGGGTTACGTTGGAATTGAGTGGCAATGGTGCTTGTGTTGTTTGCCCAGATGTAGATGTGTCATTGGTGGCCCCGCAAGTCGCAGTAGGCGCATTTCTTAACTCGGGCCAGTTCTGCCTATCTAGTAGACGCATTTATGTACATGAAGACATTTACAATGACTTCATGCAGCATATAGTCGATGCGGTGAAACCCTGGAAGGCAAGCTTGTCGCCAGGCGACAAAGGCATGTTAGGACCTATCCAAAACGAGGCACACTATCGGAACGTGAAGCAGATTTTTGAAGACTCACAGAGCAAGGGTTACAAGTTTGCATTAGGAAGTCCTACCGTTGATGATGGCAAAAGCTTTGTGATCCAGCCTGCTATCATCGATAACCCTCCCGAGGGCTCGAGGGTCGTGACCGAAGAAGCATTTGGTGAGTATAAACCAGAACCCGACCTAGACACATAGCTGATATCAAATCGTAGGTCCCATCGTCTCCTTGATTCAGTGGAAAGATGAAAATGATGTGATTGCCCGGGTGAACAATACAAATACTGGACTCGGAGCTAGTGTCTGGTCTGGCGACATCGATTGTGCCATCGCGATTGGGGAACAGATTCAGTCTGGCATGATCACAATAAACCGTTACCCAACGCGCATACCGAGCGGCCATCTGTCAGGGTGGAAAGAAAGCGGACCTGGGGGAGAAGGAGGGACGGAAGGCTTGCTATCGTATTGCAATGTGCAGACCATGCATTGTTATAAGATGTCTGTTGCGCCGGGGTCTGCAGAAGCTGACTGAGTTATTGTTGTTGGCAAAAATTGAGTCTGCGTATTAAAGCGTATGGGAGAGAGAGCGACGTGATGGCCTACGAGGCAAACTCGGCACAGTCATCTGCCGAGCCCTGTATAATGACAACAGGAACAACCCTTAGTTATATAGTGGATCGGTAATTGCGTTATTACTTTCCATCTGACTACTGAGATTGATAATCTTTGCCTAGTGAAATGTCTCTGAACGCTGATTACCTCGAACTTCAACTCGAACCAGTTGCTGTTATCTTAGGATTAGGGAATGATTTAGTAGGATAGATTCGGATTTAGTTGGGGTTATTTGAAGAGACTTGGAAATTCGAATAATGGTCGAAATCAGCCTTTGAGGTGTACGATACTCAGTGATATGTACTCTGATAACAGGCTAATAGCCTGGGGGCTAATTCAGGGCCTCCCTAAGCATCCTTCTTCTAGTGAACATTCGCTTTGGGGTTGTTATTATGAAATGTCGGTGAATTAAAATTGGAAATATGTGGAAAGACAGGTCTTTAAAAATGGATACTCTCTGAGACTGTGTATTTCATTAAGTAAGAAATTACAACATCAGATAGTGTTCGCACACACTAATTCCCAACTGGAATTTCAAATATCGAAACAAAATGAAGCTGAGACTAAATTGCAACCCTCTTTATTTCCCAGTGGTTTAAATTTTAATTTACACCAGTTGATGTAGTGATGCTTCATGCTTCAGTTACAACAGATTTCATTTTATATGAGCTCGAAATGTTGTTGGGGAGCGGAGCTGTCCCTCCTTGAAAACTGCTCCCCAGGGAACATCGAATATCAAACATTTTCAACTAAAATAACAAACCGTTCCGCATATTGTATAGTATTATATCTTGCTTTTCGCCACGTCGTTACTTAAAGGAGAAAAGTACCACTGAATACCCAGCATAGCAACGGCTCCGTTTTCATATATTCCTTCTTCCTGAGCCCTCTCAAGTATACGATTCAAATTGCTTTCCCCATATACACCGACAGTAATAGATTCCAAGCCCTCAGGGAGCCCGTCAACACCCTTAACAAAGCTCATTCGCATGTTAGTGAATACCAGCTCAGATCCCTTGCTTTGCACGCCGAAAATATGTTCCCACTTCTGAGCAGCACTTTCCGGATCGTTTTCCCCCGCAGCAAGGCGGCAAGTAACCTGTATAATTTGCAGATAGGATGATCGAGCCATGGCAGCAGAATAGCGCTGGTAATCCAGACCGCAGGCATGCCATGGGCTGAAAGTAGATAACACTGGCTCCCGGTTTTCCGGTGATGGTTTGTGAGAATCTAGTTCGGGTATTACGCTCCCTTTTTTTATATATGCATGTTTAGCAGATAACTTGGAAGTTGAAGTATTTAGATATCGGACAAGAACGAACCAGGTATCCCTTTGGGGTGGTATTGAACACAATCAACATCATCCTTGGAAAAGCTAAAAATGACCTTGGATAAACCGCGAGATTCAATGAAATCTTTTCGCGCGGCCGCGTCACTGGTCTGCATTATGATCATATAGCCCCCATCGCCACGTTTTTTGAGCAATCTGCCCGCTGTTGTGCCGTCGCGGAAAGGCGACACAACCTCGATGAGGTCACCGCCCAGAGGCACTAGTTTGCTGTGTTAATTGAGATTGCTATAGAATGGATTGAATTACTACTTAGAAAGTTATATAAGCCCCATTTTGCCACCTGGTCGTCCCGGAAAATGACCTCAGTGCCCAAAACTCTCTTCTTCACTCCTTCATTAATCAGAGTATATCCAAGGCTGACCAGTGACATACAAGAATATCTTCTGCCGCTGAGAGATCTTTGGCCAAAAGGGCGATTTGTCTCAAGCGGGTTTGGCTAATATTGGCTCCCTGTGTTGAGTTGTGCAATCGTGCCATGATGATTCTACCAATAGCTGCACCATTGAGTCATGTGTATAATTAGAATCAATATATTTCTGCAACCTCTATTGATATTGCTAGCTGAGCCTTCTCTTCAAAATGAAGTGGCAGACTTCACTTCACACCGTGCAGTGGGTTTGCCTCGGTAATCTGAATAAGCTCCGAGGTGGTTGCAGTTCATGACGGATTATGCATCAGAAAAGTGGGGTCGGATGAGCCATATCCGGGGAATATGCAGCCTTGAAAGAAGTTTTATTTACATCTTCAATTGATTATATTGATCAGCAGACCAAGTGACAAGAGCTGGAATTTCTGCTCTGCAACATGCCATCATATACAACTCTCACCGTTGAAGTTAGGGGAAGAATAGGGATCATCACGGTATGCACATAGCTATTAATTTAAGACCACAATAACTGACAAGAAGTCCTCAGCTGAATAGACCTGAAGCACTTAATGCGTTCAACCAAAAAATGTCTATTGAGATTATTGAGGCGTTTCGGGAACTCAATCAACACCCAGAAACTATCTTCACCGTTCTGACAGGCAACGGTCGATTCTTCTCTGCTGGAGCTGATGTGAAAGGTAGCTAGCTGTATACGAAATCTACAATGCATGAAATTGCGTTGACTCAAGTCTACCTATAGCGCCGATCGATCCTCCACCCCCGGAATACACACGATCAGAGACAAAAGTGCACTATCTGTCTCAGTTTACCCGTGGTATGTGGCGCTCCCTCTAGTTTCTCCTAGGTTCGGCTAGGAACTAACATACGGCGACATTAGCTCTAGAGCTTCTTCGTTCCATGATTGATCATAGCAAGGTCTTGGTACTAGCTCTCAACGGTCCAGCAGTTGGCGGCGGGGCGGCGTGGTTTGAGGGTGTTGCCGACATCGTTTTCGCCGCAAAAGGGTCATGGCTTCAAGTTCCTTTCAACGCTTTAGGCCTTGTTCCTGAAAATGGCAGCGCCCTTCATTTTGCGCAAAACATAGGAATACATCGTGCGAATGACATTCTAATGTTTGGTCGCAAGTGTTCAGTAGAGGAACTAGAATCATGGGGGATGGTTAATCGTATCTTTCCTTCGGAAGGGTTTCACAACCACGTCTTAGCTTTCCTGGAAGAACAGCTTGCGGTGAATGACGGGAAGAGTATGATTGAAACGAAAAGACTTCAAAATTCACCATTGCGTAAGGATAGGCTTTTTGCTGTATATGAATCAGTGGATGCTTTGGCAGAGAGATTTGTCGACGGGGCGCCTCGGGAGAGATTCGCTAAAAAGAGGCAACAGCTGCTTAAAGGTATGACCCTACTCCATGTTCAGTGAAACTTTAAGCTTGTCGTCTAACATATGAAAAGGAAACAAAGCGAATACAGGTGACCAGCGTGGACATTTGAAGTCATCGTTGTAATTAGATGGTGGCTGCGCAATTGACTTCCCTAATTCTTGACTAAAGAAACAGCCTCCGACTGAATATTAAAGATTTTAACCTATCTATATGCCCTCTGTATAGTTATAAAGCATATTTAATATATGATCTATAACAGCGTAAAAATATGTGACAAACTTCCCACCAACTAGAACCACCAGTGGGAGATAGAAATTGTATATCGATCGAACTAGGCTGACTCATACCCTGGTACCACTAACCAAAACGAAGAAAAGGGATAGTGAAAGTGTTTTTGTCTTCTTCTTAACTGGATGGTGATGGCGCCGGTGGTGGTGGTGATGATGCTTCTACTTGTGGTGGGAGAAAGTTAAAAGTACCACAGCCATATTTGGAATCAAGTAGATAAGAACAGTTCTCACAAGGAGGGGTTATGATTGGGGTTTTATAATTCTCATATTTTGCCATGACTTTTTTCATTGCATCCGGCTTGATCGCGACTCCCCCATATTTTACCCCAATTGTTTGACCCTGGCCCTGATTGCTAAGATATTATCTTCAGCATTAGCTCGCGTACAGAGAATGCACAAACTTACCTGAAAATCTCCAGAAACGGATACGTCTCAGCACAGTTCCCGAAATCCCACCCCTCTTTTTCCTTAGTTTTCTTTAGGTATTCTTTTCGCTCTTCTGGTAGTTTCTTCTCCTCTGCAGTGAGCGAGTACAAGGGCGCTTCCATAAATCTGTATTCTCCGTTGATAGTTGGCTGTCCCAGGTCGGCGAGAAGATTGAAACGGAATTGTACGATCGACTGAGTCCACTTCTGCTTCGACACACGGCCATACTCAGCGAAAGGTTTTTCTTTGTGAGCATGGCCTCCCACTGATGCTCCCATATGGAATACTATCTCCTTGGCGTCTGCTTTCTCCTTGCTCCCTTTTGTCACTTCTCGCCAGGTACATTGCAGCATTGTTGGTAGCTTAAGAGGTTTCCAGTCAAGACTCAACTTCTTCGTATCCTTTTTCTCCTCAAGGGTTACATGGAAAAGTTTTGACCATTTCCAATAGATGACCAACCAAGGGGCGAAAAAATTCTCTGTATCGGCATCCGTGGGAGCACATGCTAGAGAAAAGAAAAACCCAATAAAATCGTACATGCCATAGACTTGATGGTTTGTGACAGTTTTAGGGTCTAATTCATATGGCGGATCGGTTTCTGTATCTTCCTTTCGGTAGACGTATTGGGGGGGGTTGGGGTAATACCGAGGTGATTGAGCAGCTTCGTCAGGGTGTCTAGGTCTGCCAACATTGAACCATTAGGAAGAAGAATATGGAAATGAACTAACGTCGGGTAATGCATACTTCATATTAATAATATAATCTTGAATCTCCTTGACGGCGCTCTTCCACTTCTCTTGTACTCCATGGCCCTGCATATCATTGACCACGTCATCAATAAACTTCTCTACATCCTGTTGAATGGAGTTGTTAGATATATTTATAGATATTACCAGTGAGCAAGCATATAAATACCTCTAGATTATATTCCCAGGCCGTTTTGAAAAACAGTTTCCCGTTGAACGCATCGAGAACATCTACAGAGATTGACATTGTAGTCAAATAGGTGGTAAATCCGAGGGGATATTAACCTTGACTATCTTTAAACCCTGTAAAAGATAAAGGAGACTTGAGGTGATAAAATCCGCTATACTTGACATTGAGTTGAAGTCTTTAGAATATGTGTTAAGACCCTTGGGCTTGGCTGAAGGGTGGCACTTGACGCAATTGTAACCATTCCAGACGGGCGATTCGTAACCTGGCAATGAGATAAAATGGCAAGTTAATTGGAGGGATACAGAAAGATCTGCTTCCGTGGGAGGAGGGAAATGGAATGTCCCCTTCCTTACCTGGGATACGTGGCAACTGAGAGAATTGCAACTTTGTTGGGGTATCATGACTTGTCAATGGTTTAATTATGTATTTTATGCAGCTTATAGCGCTAGCGAAATTCCCTCCCTGACAATCTCCACAGCTAGATTTAAGAGGGGGGGAAATCAAGCAGTAAATAAGCGTTCAATATAGCAGTACGTACACGAACAAAGGCAGCAAATGGATAACCTGTAATGTAGAAACACAAAAAGCTCTAACTATTTCGGAGGATGTACTTGCTCCGTTTTCAAGTTTCTCATATCATTGTGTACTATATCCTGAATAATTTCCTCCTTGCCTTTGGGGTCAGTAATTTGGCTCACGGTATCCACCACAGCACTCCATATGTAAAAAGCACCGTTTGATTCAAATACAAATGCAGTATTAGGAGACTTGGCTGTGCTACCAAGGAACGGCCGAGGAGAAGGCAGGTTGTATTCTTTCGCCATCTCTTGACCGGGACTGTCGGCGCCCCAGTAATCTTCGGAGAACATGTCTGCGGGGTCTTGCGTCCATTCTTTGGGAGACTGACATAGAATGCATTAGGGCAATGTAAGAGGGGAAAGGAATAAGACATACCATGATGCAAGCAATGGTCTGTTGAGTTTATGAGAGCTGAACAACAAAGCGAAGGATGTTGAGGTGGGGAAAGGGAAGACAGTTGGAGGTTTGGAGGGGTTTTGTAGGACACTGGTAATACTATTACATACCTGATATAATGTGGATATTCTCCACTCAACATGAGATGTCACGGGGAAGGTTATGATTAACAAGGAACTACTGTACTAACATGCGCCTAAGAAGCACTAATATGAAGGGGCTTGATCATGATTATAGTAATACAGTGTGCAGTCGATCACACTCATGTAGTGGGGGCGGCCACTCTGGGGATGTGACAACGCTTGCATGAATCATGACGGGAGATCTGCAATAGAATGATGACCTGTTCGATGAACTATATTATAGGTAGATCTAGCCATGTTGTTAATATACTGTATCAAATGGTTTTATAAATGTTTGGTATTGTCATCCATAATAGTCTGGGTTTGAGCCAACTTGAACTGCTTTTGGTGATTTTGAATACCCACTAACCCAACTAACACCTTCCTCTTTCGCCAAGACTGCATCTAGAGCATGGAATGATGCATTTTGTGATGATAGAAACCTGTTTTATACTGTGTAGACTATAAGTGGTAAGACAACTAGATGGTATTCCCGTGATATAGTTGGTAATGGTAATACCTGGTAAGAATGGTAATATCGCCACTTGCCTGGACGCGATACCCATCGTTATTCATCGTCATTTCAACAATCAAGCCTCAAAATGTCCACTCGACCAGAACCGGCTTCCGCAGCAGATGAGCTGTTCCATATCTATTTAACCTCGGAAACAGAGAAGAAAGAGCCTTATCTTGAAGTTGACGATAGCACCAACAGTGGTGCGATTATCTCGAAACTCCCCAGCAAATCCATCACCACCAAGGGAAAACCAGAGCCAAATACAGCTACAGAGCTCGATGACAGCGACCAGTCAGTAAAATGGCTGAAGAATATCGACGATGCAGGAAAGTTTTCCTTGACTATCAAGCCAGGGAAAAAGAGAGAGCATGGAGAAACGGAAGAGGGAGGGGGAGATGAGGACGAAAAGAAAACAGAAATCATTCAGTTCGACTTTGAATTTAGAGAGCCAAGTACGTTCAAGTTCAGCTCGGAAAGCTCGGTGCTGAAAAAAGCATTTGGTGATGCTGCGAAGGACATTCAAGAACCTGGGTTTGATGACCCAAGGCTATACCTTGGGCTGAAGGAGTCGGACTCAAAGGAGATTCCTCTGGCCACAGCCTGGACATACACCGGTCTTTCAGAGGGTAGCATACCCAAATTCTTAAAGGGACTACAGGTCAAACCTGATGTGAAACTAGCAACTGGCCATCGAAATGCGCTCTGGATTAACCCGGAAGCGTCCTTACGAGTGACAGTTCGATTGGTGTTTGGCTTAGCCAGCCTTGATACGCTGAACAGTCTTGGTCTCAGTGCTTTGAAAATAAATTTCACGGAAGCTGATCTCATATGTCGAAAGGTTGTGAGTGCTGGAAAATCAGGTGGGGAAACCGTCCCAGTGAAGCAAGGAAACGCAGCACTCTCCATTGGTTGTAAGTTTAGTTCACCAAGCCAAGAACTAGACGCGGAAGGTGTAATGGAGTTCGCGGAGGATACCATTTCTATGACTCTTCTATCAAAGTCCGAGGATCCCATTGCAGGAGCCCTGAGCTGGCTGGAAGGGCTCCTTGGGTTGGAGAACAATGAGCTGGGATTTGTCACAGATCTTCTGCATAAAGAACCTTTCCAAGGTGTCCAATTCCGACGTATCAAGCTTTTGTTCGACACTGAAGTAAAGGTAAAGCTTAAATCTTTTAAACTGGATGTGCAGGTCTCGTCGTCTATTGGCCAAGACCCTCAATCGGATAAAAAATCCCTTTTCCTGCTTTCATACACCTATAACTCTTCAGCTGGTGGGTTGGGAACGATTCGAGGTGAGCTCTGGGAGGGTAAGTCAACCATTGTCCATTCAACTGAACATTCTAATGAGATTCTTATAGATTCGGGGATCACAAATCCTACGTTGAATCCAACGTATGAGACTTGGACCGACCTCGAGCCTTTCCCTGCTGGAACATCCCTCCCCCCGTTACAAATCAAGTATCTGATACCTGGTCAAACTATCGATGACATTCCCCATACCGTCCCTGATACCATTGAAAGAGCGTTCATAACACTGTCAGCGAAAGAAGTAGGATTTGGAGCCACTGTCAAAGCCAAAGAGGTCTCTCCGGGTGCTGCGCCACAGCCGTATCTGGGACAAATTAAGTTGGATGCTTCGTTTCAATGGGATAGGTCGGATTTCAAATTTGATCTCTATGTTATGACGGGTATCGTACCACCCTCCGGCTCTGCCCATAAAGATCCGGCGCTTTTAACTGGGTCTTTGATGTATCAACGCTCAAAGACATCTACATAGTTTTAATTTAGTCATGCACTATTGAATTCTTCAACTTTTTATTGATTTCTGGTTCAACTTAAGAATATAGAACTATCAAGCAGCCACGGTGCCCATGCGAGGCACTTCAAGAAAGAGCTTCGCAAACTCAGACTTAGCCTGATCGCCCACCAAATTCGTGGGCGCCTTTCCAGTGATTGGCGCGTCCTTCAACTCATCTTTTTCCTTTGGTTTCGTGTCCCACTGGGCAAAGCTAAGACTTACCCACAAGTCCACAAACTTTTCTGCTGCGCCTATTCCAAATTTGGGCTGACCATTCCATTGATTTCTCAGGGTTTCCCAAGCCTCCGTCGTAGTGTCCTCGGGCTCTGGATCCCAGAGCTTTTCTATAGTTTGAACCCGGGGAAATGGATATGACTGTTTTCCGGCTGTGCTGATGAAGAATTTCTTGTATTCGAATGGCTTGATCAGGTCTTTGTTGCTTAATTCAGGTAAGGGAGAGGAAATGCAGATTCCCATAATTTGATTGACGGAATGGTCTTTGTTATCGAGGAGGGAGTCGATCTGGTTAGGGTCATTTACGCTGGAACTGTTGGGATCAGCAGTCTCATCATCTGTGTCTATTAGTGCCTCGAAACGGTCATATAAACGCATAGAAATATATATGTAGGAAACTTACATTCCCCCCACAATGCCACAGGTACTGATTTGTACATCAACTCGGCTTTTGCCCATTCCGGTACTCCTGCGTCTTCATCGGAGGCAGTCAATGCATTGGAGTTTCCTGTTGGTCTAATAGTGACTGTTAAGTTACTAGTCAGTGTATTTGTGCCTTTCAGGTGCATCGGTTTGGCGTAGATATTGCGGAGGTCTTTCGATTCCTTTGGAAATTGGTGCTCTGGGCCTTTTTCATTTGGGTCAACTTGACCAGTCACTACAGTGGCCTGTCCAACTGCAAATTTGCAGCCAATCGTGAATTGGAAGTTAGCTCCACGGACATTCCATTCAGAGTCGTTTGGGTTGGTCTTTGCATCAGTCTCACTCGTCGGGATGAGACCACGGTTGCAAGAAAAGATGAATGGTGGGGGCTTTTCAGCGCTTTCTTTGGGAAGATCGGCTTGCAGGGCCTGCTTAAAGAAGCTATCCAAACTGAGAGGGTCGTTATTATGGTCTGTCTGAGCACCAAAATTGACGTCGAAGCCAAACACCCAAAAGTTCACATGGACTCGACCGGAGATCGGAGGTCCCTGAATATAGAGCGTAGCGGAGAGCTCAATGTTGATATGTACTGTACAGATCCACAAGTCGAGAGTAAAGCGGACTCCAACACTTACCCCGCCATCTGCCATGAAGAAAAATGGTTTGTATTTAATGAGGAAATCAGCGTAAGCATCGAAGTAGGCGTAGAGAGCACCCAGGGTAAGTGATGCATCCAATCGCCCTCCTCCCATGCAAACCTTAGGTGTGATTGCAAAGTAAGCTTCGCCACGAATACTGATAGAACTATCATAGCTCCAACTGATCGCCAAACGAGGAGGGTTTGGATATTGTGGGGGTGTCTTGTACGAACGATGATATCCACCAATGCTGAAGACAAAGTCGCCTGCCGAAGTGCTTTGATCATTTGCAAACCAGGTGTAGAACGCGAATCCACCAGTGAGATGGCAACTTGGGTCCAGAACATATGATGCAGGCGTAAGTTGGCCATCAACCTTGAATGTACCGGCATCCAAGTCAATCACAGCTGTCAGCCCTAGCTGAACATGGGCGAACTTCTTTTCAACCTTTGGTGGCATGTCAGCCGTGGCGACACCAAAGATACCGATCTTAATCTTTGGATCCCATTCAACTACAACCACGGCTTGCACGTCTAGAAGTTCAAACGCCAATACAGTGAGTCCTGCTGCTAGCCAGAAGGATTGTTTCTTGGGAAAGAACCACGTGCCATCCATAAGAGATTTCAAAGCCTCATCTGGTTTCGCTGACTGGGGAGGCGTGATTAACGGGAAATCCAAAACATTGGTCACAGTAGGGAATTGAAGACTGTTGTTATACCCAAAACCGCCGACAACACCACGTATCTCAGCGAACCCCAAGGTGGCCAACGGACCATTCAAGACGAAATAAACAAAGGCCGAAGTGAAAGGATCTTTCTGGTCCTTGATGTTGATCTTACCGTAAAACCCGGCTGCCTGAAAGAGATACGGGTTGAAGCTGAGTGTAGCCGCTCCTTGATAGGTATCTTGCTCGCTTGTTTGGACATGTTTGAACATGCCAGACAGGATGACAGGAGGCCGATCGAATGAGGCAGCCAAACCCTCAATGGCAAAGTCGGGTTTGGGCAAATTGTGAAAGATGGTACTTGATTTGGATGGTTCACTCCCATTCTTTTGAAAGATTAATGTAATCTTGAATCCTAGAAGACCGACACCGATAGGCCCTAGAACAATAGACGCATCCATAAGAACTGACAGGGACGGTTTATCCCCTAGGCTGTATTGGAGACCCATATTGCTGATCGTTATCGGCCCAACTTTCTTTTCATATGGCGCCTTTGCTGATCCTGGATCGGGTTCCGTCTCTTCTGTCTCAGCTGCAGGTCCAGTGGGTGACGCGTCACTGAGATAGAACTTAGGCTTTGGCTTGGGTTTCGATTTGCCCTTGCCAAACAAATAGTCTAGAGCAACTATTCTACCCTTCTGCGGATCATTTCGAAGTAACATGAAATGAAATCCAGCAGGTATTACAACATCAGTTGGTTGGTAATCTCTGTCAGTTCCTCCTCCGTCTTCCTTCTTGCCTGCTGTGTCTGTTTGCTTCTTAGTTACTTTATACTTCAACTGTTGATCCTTGTCCAATTGAGTGTTCATTTTCTCCACATCATCGTAAGTCAAACCGCTTGGTTCTTTATCCCCATTTTGCTTTTGCACGTAAAGAAATACCATTTCGTCAAACGGCTGGGGTAATTCGCCTATAAGGTCGATTGTGACTTTCGGGATCGCAGCGACAGTAATCCGGAAGGCTCGTTGGGTGACGGGTTTTGGAATGGCCACAGTCGGTGCAGCTTTGTATTGAAAGGCCTGGAACGAGAAACCTGCAAATTCTACCCATGCGCTGAAAAAGATGTCTTTCTTCGTATCAGATTTGGGTGGTTCAGCGGCTGGTTTGTCGTTTGATTCTGGTTCCGGCTTTTGCTCTTTGAGAGCGTGCATCTTTATTCCGACTGAATTCTTCTTCTTTGGAGGCTGGATAGAAATATCCGCGACGAAGAATGGGAGCTCATTGTCAATATCAGGGCCGAAGATATGCCCAGCAATTTTGCCGATAGTTGTCTTCGGCGGATCACTTTCTCCAAAAGCAAGGTCAGCCTCAAATGTCCACTCGTCAGCGGTATGGGTGAATTTAAGATCGAGTGGCAAAGCACCTAGTTTGATCGTTCCATCGGTCTCAAATTTAGACGTGTTAGCGCCCTCGTACGTGTAGATGAAGGTGAGTTTTTCAATCTCGATATGGTCGAGCATCGAAGCGACTCCATCTTTACTATTTTCCTCGAAGAACTCATACAAGGTCGATCCATAGACGTTAGAAAGGGTGAGTTCTACTTTCCACTTGTTCGTCGCTACGGCTGCGGTTGCGGTTGTCGTTGCGGCTGGTTTTCCTATTGTGGACATGGTGCTGTTCTTTGGATCATATCGCAGATAACATTCGGACTCTGATATGATTTCCAGTCAGAAGCTCATTTTCACTTTTGATAGTTTGCTTGATCTCATTAAGCTGTAATTTCCAGTATCATGACCGTTATTCTGTTATATTACTGTATCTTACCTATGCAAGCTTGCCTCTGCCGAGCTGGACAACTCATCGGGTAGATGTATATGTACGAAGCCGCAAACGTCAAGGTACCACAACTAGTGTATATGCACCCCATATCACATTCTTCAGCCAGCCACTTCATTATTTACCAAAGAACGGTCTTGGAGTTATTTATGATTCGAGTGAAATACATGAGGCAATATTGGCTCGCATGATTCAAGCTAATACTAACTCAAAACGATCTACAATGTGTTGTTCTGCTAGCTTGGAATCACTTCAGCCCTTCAGTATCGTTAACAGCAGGGCGAACGATGGGTTGCTTTAGCTGCAGATACCCCTCAAGGGCGGTGTACGGCCCTCTCTCAAAACTTGGCCCAGAATCAACTTTCCCAGGTTCCAACGCTTTGTACTCTTGCTCAGTATCTCGGTCCTTGAGGAATGGCTGCAGCCATGCCCAACTCCCTGTCTGTAACGCTGGCATACCCACTGCACTATTCTTGATTGTCGGGTCATTAGCAGGATCGAATTTGTAATTTGGAGGAAGGGGCTCGTTTTCCTTTGTATTGTATTTCTCAACGTCATCTGTTACAACAATTGGACCTAGATGAAAGAAAGCTGTCATTTTCTGCATTGCCTGCTGCCATGTCCATGGTGGAAGCTGAAGATTATTCATTGGAAGGATGCTGCTGAATGTTGTAATCGGAAGGAAAGGGTCGACGATGGTTCCGAAGACATGAAGCTTCTTGTTCCAATTGCGAGCGAACAGCCGAGCTTTTTTTTCCAAGGCAGGGTCACTTTGAGCAGTATAGTCATCTGGTTTGAGCCAAAAAGAAGAAAGTTTGGGAGGTTTATTAGAATCAACATCCGCAATATCCTTAAGAAGCCCACTTTCATCTTTTCCTGTGTAGTAGGTATAGATAACTCTCAGGTCTAATTCGTTCCCAGGAGTCAGGTCTGTGCCAGGATCGGTTTCGTTGAGATGGAAATATCCAACGAGACCATCCCCTGACCGGTCCTTATCACCCAATTTAATCGGAAAGTCGTAAGTTTTTCCATTTTCGGGAAGAAGATGAACAGGCTGCTCTTCGCTAGCAGAAAGGGCCTGGTTTTTCTTCTCGTCTATTGATAACTCCAGAGACCAACCGGCATTAACCAGAGCCAGCGGTCGACCGACAAGAGAGTTTAGGAAACCAGCATACGCACTGGGAACTGATGATGATGACTGTTCCTGCGAGTCATTCGCCATCTTGAGGAATGCATGGAGGTATTCTTGATCCTTAGAGAGTTTATCGATTAGACGATCCACCTGTTGAGTATTCTTCATATCCGTTGGTGGTGGAAACGGTAGCCATTTAGCACTGAGCGAAGCATCTTTTGGTGCATTTGGAGATGCCAAACGAACTTCTCGATAGAACGTCCCGTCTTGTAGGAAGATCTGAATCCCGTTGTCAACATAGTTGAGTACGATCCATCCCCAAATCGGATTCTCCCATTCAGTAACAGGTCGCCAGTATGAATAATCGCTATCTGGACCTTTATGGCGCTTATCGTAGATCACAAACGTAGAATTCAGTCGTGCCGGCTGATTGATACTCGGAGGCACCTGTGCAAACTCGACATGTCCCTGGTGGCTTTCTCCATTCTGCCGAACTAGGTTTGGGTTACCTTCGTAAAGCTGTGGCTCGTAATACGAGCTGAGATAAGGATAGATAGCCTCATCCTCTTCATGCCCATAACGAGCGTCAATGGCGTTGATCGCTTGGCCGAACTTGTCGATGATGTTCAGTTTCGAGAAGCGGAATTGGCCATGCGTTACCGGCTTGAATGGATGCGGCCGTGTCTTTGTTGGTGAAATTTCATTCAGTACAGTCAGTGAATTAGAGAGAAGCGCTCCATAAGGTGTCTGTTCGGAATAAATGTCAACAATACCCAAATGATCTTTCTTAAATGGGCTTATCAGCGCATCGTCAATAGGGTGTACTCCTTCCAGATCATACCCAGCAGGGTATCTAGCGTTTGGCTTGATATGCGTGCCATGCACCATAGTCAGAAGGTGGTCGGTAAAGCCATCCAAAGGGGCAGAAAGGAAAGGTAGCTTCCACGTCTTTTTTGCAAGCTCCTCTATATCATACTTTTTCTTGACCTCGGGACTGACTGAGTTCAATAGCTGTACGATTGATGCATGTAGAGAGAAGTTTGGTTGCGGAAGAAGCAAAATTCGCCCCGACAAGAGCCGTTTATCGTCAATTTGGGGTTCGAGAAGGTTTACCTTGGGGTCGATCGCCAGTCGCCATCGCTTGTCGATTTTGTCTTTGCATTCCGGAGTTAAAGCCTCCGACAGAGACCAATCTTCCCAGGGGATATGGAAATATTCCACCTGCCATTCGAGAAATAAAGGTGCCCAGGGCTGCGTTTTCGCCCATTGGTCCCGTAAATCAGCAGCGCCATGCTTGCCCTTGTCGTGGTAGAGAGGGGTATAATGCCCATTTCCCCCCACGGCACCTGGATCACTTAATCTGTTGAATTCTCCAACTAGTCCTTTTGCTGTTTGGAAAAGCTCGCTGGGCAGCTGTTTAATACCGTACTTAGCTGCCTCATCATCGGTCAGATCAGAGCTGATCAGTTGGTTGTCTAAGCGGACTTGCAGATCGTCCAAATAATCATCAGGCCATCCAGCCTGAATGCCAGACACCAAAAGTGTCGGATCCCGAGGCTGGCTGAATTCGGGCAAGACCCCTTGTTGAGGCTTTTGAGGGAAGGCTTTTTGGTTCCCCAGCAATTGATTGTTGATAAATTTCGACTGCTGAGTAACCAATCCTAGTAGATCATTCACTCTAGCCTTGAGGGATTCGATAATTGTTTGAGTTGTCGGCGAGTCAACATCTCCGCTCACATATCTCCACCAGTGCGAGAACATATCCCATCGTAACTGTATAATTTGTCTTTGGGTGCTATCTAGGACTCTCTGTGCATTGTTGAGTTTTTCCAGCCCTTCTATCTCATCGTCAGAAGGTATTTTAGTCTTTTCGCCTTCTTGGCTTTGGATGTGCCAATGCGAGCCCCCAGATTCACGAGCGAAGTTCCAGTTTTGCACCTCATCGACGGCGACACGGTGGACATTCACCTTTTCATCTTGCGCACGAAGAAGTGGTTCAAGAAGATGTAAATCATTTTCAAGTTTCTCCTGCTCAGGTGTTTCATCACTAGCGTGTTTATGACAGTCAATGTAGGACAGAAGTGAATCGATGGGGGTGGTGCCAACCGTCACTGGCATCGAGCTGAGGAGATGTTCAGATGCCTTGTTGGCTGGGATGTTTTCTGGTCGCTTGTTACGATCCCAAATCACGTTATACATGGCCCCATGACAGACACTGCAGGCGACCTCCTTTTTCGACAGCCAGACTGTAACCTCTTTTGGCCAATCCTTAGGATCACCCTTCAGTTCCATCGACAGAGCCCTCAAACGCTCCTCTCGGGAAATTGTATCATCCAGATCTCCAAACGGCCCTTGGGTATCATTTGAGTGCCATCCAATGACGTAGTAATCAGCCTTGGCCTTATTGAGTCGCTTGATAGTTTCACCTTCCTTATATTCGAACGCGTCAACGGTAGAAAAGACATTGCTGCAATGTGACTGATAGTCAAGAAAGAGCTGGTTGGAACTATTCACAGCTGTCAGGTCCACTCTCTCTACTTCATCTTTGCCTTCTTTCCAGGTTTTAGTTGACTCCTTGTACCCAATGAAGATCTCCGCTTGTCTGTCCAATTTGATACCTTTCACGCTTTGGTTGTTGCTGGTGATATATGGCGAAACGTCTACCTGCAAGTCTTTATCTTTACCAATTTTATCAATCGGCTGGATTCGATCACTTTCAATCACCCATGACTCCACCGCTTCAATCGAGGTATTGTTAGGTTCAGTTGTGTCTGCCTTGGGATCCAGTTTCCGAATAACCAGCCATCGGTTTGGCAGGGGACGGAAGGCAGGTAAGCTATAGTCCCGTTTTGCCGTTTCCCCCGTGCTACTGCTGAAGCCTTTGGCCTTGCGTTCCTGGTCGTGGCCCGGGGCAGCCGAATGGGTTGCAGCCGTGCCAGTTCGGTAGAAGCGAGGCATCACCCAATGCAAATAAACGCCCATTCGGTTCTCTCTCGGTTTACCCTTGCCCAAATCATAAAGCCGGGAGTTGGAACTAGCGGGGAAAGCATTGTGAAGGTCCACATGGTCCAGAATATCATGCTGAAGGAGCTGGTGTTCTAGCTGGAGAAACGTGTAGTTGGGCTGGGTGATCGGTGCAATTTTGGCTTCTTTGGCAGGGTCGGCGTTTAGGTTGTTCTGATCTCGTTCGCTGAGCTTTTCATTCAAAACGAAAGCGTCTAGTTTTAGAGGGATAGTGAGATTCAAGTCCAAGTCCTGAATATTCGCCATTTTGAACCGTGCGTTGATTTGTGATGTTGTTGATTCTGTAGGGCCAGGGACAAGCTAGTTCTACTAAATACACTTTCTATCATTACCTTTCGTCATTCTTTCAGATCATTACCTTACAGCGATGTGCTACTAGATTATTACGAGACGGTGATTATAGTTACGGTACCATCCATTATATTGTGGCTTGGACTGCCTTGCATAGATCGACAGAGTAACAGAAGGACATGTCCACTGTGGGTGACGTGTTCATCAATTACCCACATCTGGGGAATATCTTACTATTACCTACAACTTCGGGACTACTGCCGATGGACTTATTACATGATGAATAAATGGATGACTGACAATGATTAGAACAGGAGCAGGCAATTTACTAGAAAATAAATTACATGTCCCTTCCAACCATACCACCAAATCAAGACGGGGGTGCAACTCTCCGTTGCCACGGAGTGGCTGTCTTGACCACATAGCCACCAGCTTGACCCTCCCTGGGGACAACGTAGATATAATGGGTTTTGTTGTCTGCTCCGCTGATCACGGCCAGCGAAGACGTCTGATCTACCCTGATATTCTGTAGGCTCTGGTGGGTTTGATCCCAGGTGATGTAGCCATTATCAAGTGTTCCAAGAACATAGGAGAGATACCCGTTGTTATTGACGAAGTACAGCGTAAGCTGTAACGTTATGTCATTCCTGTCGTTTGTGGAAGCGTTCGTCACTATCGCCAAAGGACTCTTGGTCTTGACAGTTGAAGTGTCGTTGATCCGATTTGCTGCATCCCCGCCCATCAGTTAACATATAACGACAGGTTGAAAGCGTGTCAACTTACCTGACTTAGGGGTGGTCGCATTGACGTAATAGATCCCAAGCTCATCCTCTGCGTCGTGGACGTAGAATACATATGGACTTTCGTCAAAGAAGGAGGCAAGTCGCGATCCAGCACCGGCACTATAGTTCAATTCTAAGATAGTCTCGTCGGCTCGATCGAGCGGATCCACGTCTAGCTGGACCAAAACAATTTTCGGATTCGTGTCATCGCTGATGGTAGCAGTTAGATTTGTCACTAGATATGAATCTGGCGGGTATCGTTTTACTCACCCTACATTTCTGAGAAAGTAGACCCAGTTTTTCTGACCCCCGTCGTCGCAAGCTGTAAGAGACCAAAGATTGGTGGTGACAACCCCTGCATCTTTTTCACTTGTTGGATTAGATTTCAGGATGGGATTGTAGTAAGGGCTCAGTTTGCAGACGCCAGTGTCCTTGTTATCGGATGTTCCTGAGGAGGCAATGCCGTATATAACAGGCTAATTTCGTTAGTCATAAAGGTTAAGCTGATCTGATCATTTTGAACGTACGATGTTATTCTGTATGGCACCTGCCAGTGTACCAGGCTCATGAATGAATCCCACGGAAGCTCCATTGTCCGCATACTCGGTAGGGTTGGTAATGTTTGTAGTATCGTAAACTTGAAGTGACAACTGGCGGCTTCCAGTAACACCAAATTTCAGGTGAATGTGAGATGTTTTTTTGACAGAATCAGGGATGCCGGGAATGTTCCCCCTGGTGTCTTTGACAGCAGGATTAGGGATAACGGTGATCTGGTTTGTGGGAGGTCCCATTTTGGATGATGCTATTGAAAGAAAATAAAGACCAAAGTGATGGGATTGTTTTGTGCAAAGTCTGAACTCTGGAGTTATATTCACATCTTTATATTCAAACCCTGTTCGCTACCTAGAGACTTGAATGTGCTCAGCTAGCCACTGATGACGATCCAACATCATGTAATACATATTGGTCCTGATTAGTATGAAGGCTTGATGATCGCAGAATTTCCATTTCCGGGCACTTATGCACCTCAGTCACACTGCATGAGAGATGCAGATCCAGCTACCCCAACCTCCCTTGCGTATCCGCCTTCGGTCGCAAATACCATACCTTACTTTGGGCATACGTATTTTTTCACAGAAAATTACCATGGATTTACTTTGCTTAGTTGTTGAATTCCCCCCCATCGTTCCTCAAGACCAGATCAGACTGAACGTTCACTGTCATGATGATGGACCTCCGTCGCCCTCCTAAGAATCCTACATTTTCCCCTCGTCATTTGGCACTTCGCCATGCGAAAAAGCGTCTTCGTGCTTTGGATCCCACAATTCAAAATGAGCCCGATGCTATTCAACCCGGATATGAGCAGCTTTATTCCTACTATGTTCCCGGTCTTCAGGCAGGACCCCATACAATCAATGTAGATCAATATATTGAAACGAAGGATAAGCAAGACCACCTTCATCCTACCAAATCTCATGGATTCAATGTTATCGGCCCTCGATTCTCTTTGCCAGATGGCGCGCTTTCTTCATTCTATCCTCCTCAAGGACATGAAGACCGAGCAGAGGTCCTCCCCAATGTTGTCTTCAACGATCCAACTCTGCCGTGGGAGAGAGTGGGAAGTTGGAATCAGCCAAAGCCACCAGGTGGAGATTATGATCGAAACCGAGTGCCATGGCTTGCTGTTTTCGTTTTCACTCAGGAGGAACTTCGTTTGAATGCATCGGATCTGGACAATGTCTTCCAAGATAAGGATGTCAAAGACTTCAAAAAACAAAGCACCACACTCAGCACAATCATGTTTGCAAAGAATGTTAATAAACTAAGTGGCACCAACACCTCCCCTGTCCTGTATGATGCATCTGATGGGGATGAGAAAACTGAAGTCATCTTCCTCGGACAAGAACTGTTCAAGTCGCTATTCTCTAAGTATGATGACAAGGGAAAGATAGTCGAGAGTGAAACTGGCTATGTCCAACATCATCGTTTCTTGGCTCACCTGCGTCATATCAATCTCGACAACACTCCGTCAGCGGCCAAAACAGAAAGCGATGATCACGCATATTCCATCATTGTCAGCCACCGTATAGGAACCCTGTCGATTACCAAGCCAACTCCAGTGGTGGCTCACTTAGTCAACATAGAAGGCGTAGAACGTACGAAATTCTCACCAGACAAGAAATTCGTGGCCATGTCTTCCTTGCATTCTTGGGAGTATACCTGTCTTCCCCCAAAATCGCTTAATATTGAGGATGCATTTGAGCATTTAGGAAATTCTCTGAATGTCCTGAAGCCCATCCTGACTGCAAAAGATGGACAAATTCTTGACACGTCTCAGGAAAAGGATCAAAATCTCAAAAAGACAAAAGAGCGATTGAGTGAGAGGATTGACGACGGCTTTTCTCTGATTCGATATCGTGTCCAAACTGGAGATATCACTGCTGCCTTTACCAAAAGTCCGTTTGCTCCTTCAGCTGTACCATTTCCAGAAGGAACTCAGTGGCCTGCAAGCTCAACAACTGGATCCAAACTACAGATTCTGGACCCCAATCTCAATATTATGGACCTTACGTATTCCGCAGCTTGGAATTTGGGCAAGGCATTAGGGCTGGCTCACCCTGAGTTTGCTACAGCTTTGGCAAGGTTGCGCAAGCAAATCTACGACAGTGGGATGGATGAGGCGCAAAGACAAGTCATCAATCGCCGTAGTAAAGAACTTGGTATCCCAACAGTATACAAAACCAAAGAAGAAGTTCTATCCACCTTGTCAGAAACTCTCAGGAGTTTGGGAGCTCTATCCATTGACAATAGCCATCAAAAGCTATCTGATGGTATGATTCGTCGATGGCGTCGTCCAGAACTCCCGCCTCTAGATCTGTCCTATAAAAGCCCAGAGATCAATAGCATCATTGATAAGTGCTTTCAAAATGTTGCCAAGATGATTGCCGGCAGTGAAGAGAGCGACGACATTCCATACAATGAATTAAACGTTCCCAAGTCTACGGATTGGGCGATCGTCCTCCGTTGGGTGCTGGATCGATACTATCTTGTCGATGTGCCCCCACACTACCTCATCACCGATCCTAGTCATCTTCCCATGGAGACAGTGCGTGTATTTGCAATCGACCATGCCTGGGTGTGTGCGATGATTGACGGTGGCCTTAGCCTGGCAAATCATCTGGATCAAGATGATGATAAACTACGTAATGCGATTAAAGGGGCCATCAATGAGCACCTTAACACCAAAATGCCTGATTTGTATCACCCCCAAACCCCTCGGTATGGTTTCTATGTGCGCTCGGCTCTTGTGGCTAAATTCCCCGATCTTATAATTGATATCGAGGATCAACAGGGGTCGCCTCCCGACCCAAGAGATCCGCCCATCATTCTTCGACACGAGGTTGTTGAAAGAAACACCATGATTTGTCTGATGCGAGAGCCTCCCAAGGGTAGTTCCATGTTTTTGTGTTTGAGAGAACCGCCTCATCAGCAATTCTTCACAGCAGCAGCAGAGGTAACCACCGAGGATATCAGGATGGAATATAAACGGGTGTATACTGTCACCCCAATCCCAGATAACCACCATAACGACCCAATCCCATATGCTTATTCACACAAAGAGCCGGGAGCGGGGCCAGCCATCTTTATCTGGGGACCAGAAAACAGCATTCGTTGTCTCAACGTCGAAATCCTTGCCCGACATCACTTTGATACCATCAAGTCTACGTTCAAAGACCACAAGAATTGGTTTGAGGAAGAAAAGCCCACCGCTGCATTGATGGGAATTCAACTGAATGAGCCTCAATGGGAAATTAAAATCAACTTTCCGACGGCTGATGCCGGCAGCTTCAAAGATTTGTATAGTGATTATCCTAGGCTTCTCCCCATCCCTTCCCCTCCTACACCCCAACCTGTATTGCCGTATCCCAAAGTCTTGAGCAGCATTGCCTGCGATCCCTACCCCCATTTTGGAAAGCGACAGAGACATGAACCCATCAGTCTCACTTATCATCCCCCACATTTCCGCCTACCCAAAGTTGTCTCTGTTTCTGGAAACAATCTTGATGCTCTGGATGATTCTGCAGGGCCCCACTTCAGCTATGGACTGTATGCCGTTGGCCACAGCCACAGCAATAATATTCCAATGCTCAAGCCCACGAAAAACGATCGCCCTGCTCCTCAGCAGGATCTAATTTTCTCTGTCGTTTACAAAGACAGCGCCTTTGACTACGAAATGGAGTACCTAGAAATTCACGTTCAACTAGGTACTCAAGGTCAGCTTATGAAAGCATATACTGGTACGGGACCGAGCATGCTGTCTAATCTCCGATTCAACGTGCTTCCCAAGATTGAGAAGGATGAACAGCTCAACAACTGGCTTGTACTGACCTTGAGACCGAGGAGCCGAAAAAATAAAGTTCGAGTCGACACTATTGACGAAATGAGCTTCATGCTTAGTGGAATCATTGTGAATCAATATGATGCAGATGTTGATGTTGATGTTTTCGCCATTGAGAAATATGTGGGTGAATCTGGATGGAAGAAAAACTTCCAGGCGCATTTGACGAAAGTATGAGGCAGACACCTCAAGTGCTGTAATAATGTATCTTGAGGTATATTATAGTTTAACCCTTTCTAATTTATATAGTACAACTGAACACGTGCGTTGACCTTACTAAGCATTTAAAATGTGCTGCAGGCTGACGTCACGTCACATTTACTCCCGAGCGCCTCAACGCTGCCCTCTTCTTCAATAAACTCTTCTTAAATAACCGCGGCCTGACCTCACATTAATATTAATGTTATCTTTCATTTCTTTTTAATAACGTTTCCTTTGGCGAATTAGACGCTACTAAAGCTTGGCGATCTGTGGGGGTTGTAACGGATTTCTTCATTCGTCTACCCGGACTCTCTGACCCCGAATTATCGATAAATATTAAATAATATTGTCGCATTCTGAGGCTCTGGGTTGGCTGCAGAGTGTAACGTTGCAGGTAGCATCTTGTGGTTCCCTCTTAGCGGATGGATCTTGCCGATAAGCAGCGATAGCAACAGCCTACACTTGCCAGTCCAATCTTATACTGTGCTAAGATCGGCAAATGAAGCCTGCTGGATTGATTATTTAATTACGATATCTCCCGGGCCTCTTCTCGATATTATTTAATTGATCTGGACTGTCTGTGAATTCGATATTCGCATATCTATACATATATATATATATATATGATATAGTTGTCCCTCGCCACCTGCTCGACGCCACTCAACCGCCATTTCCGTCCATCTCTGACCATGTCCTGCGATAAAACCGCCATCTACATATTCGCCCCTCGTTCGCATTAATTAGAGTCGCCGGTATAACGAGTGAACAACTAATATATGACATTTCTTTCCACCTACGACTCAATATATAACTTGGCCTTCTAACTCTAGACAATTCGATTGCGATTGGCGCATCGATGGCAGCCAGCCATGCCGCCGTGCAGCGCGCCGTGACAGACCTGCGCAACGAGAACTTCAGCGCATACTCGGCGCAGGGCATTCCAGACTCTCATTTAACACCCCCAGATACGCCAACCAGGGAACTAAACTGTCCACCCAACGCCGACGAGGATGAGCTCGGATGCAAACCCGCACAACCCAGCACTCCGCATGGAAAAGAGAACGCCCCGTCGCATCCTCTGCTCGAGTTCTCCTTCGACTTGGAAGTCGAGCAGGACTCGAACGGGCGCTACGTCGAATTCGGCCGCGGCGTCTGGAGCGCTGTATACAAGGCCAAAACGAGATGGATCCCTCATTCTTCACTCCTCACACCACCCCCGTCACCGGCCACCCCCAGCCGTGTTCTCGCCGTCAAAACTCCTCTGCGCCGTGATGCAGCGCCTGTTCTTGCGGCCGAAGCCAGGATCTTGACTCGCCTCGCTGCGACTGCGCAGGCCGATCAGCATGTCGTGCCCTTCCATGGCTTCGTCCCTGCGTCTTGTTCACTCGTCATGTCCGCCATCCCTCTTGCGCTATCCAGCCATATCGAGGAAACCGCACTGCTCGCAAAGCAGAATTTCTCCACCAGGACCATGCTCGAGCCCGTCCTAACCATGCCGGCCTGGAAAGATCTCGCCGCCCAGCTAATCACCGGTCTCGACTGGCTTCACACACAAGCCGGCGTCGTGCACGGCGACATCAAACCGCACAACATCCTCCTCCTCCTCCGCCGCCGTCCAGACGCAGATCCCTCCACATCCAGCTTCCAGTACTCCGCGCTCTTCGCGGATTTTTCCTCCGCGCACGACATCCATCTAAACAGTAATAACAATGGTAGCACGGCAGCATTATCAGCGGTAACGCCGCCGTTCGCAGCGCCCGAACTCATGACCGTCGCAGCAATGAAATCCTCCTCCCCACTATCCACTCCCTCATCCGACGTATTCTCGCTCGCGCTCACCCTGCTTGCCGCCGCAACGGGGGATTTGCTACTCTATCCCGGCACAAGCGGTATGCAGCGCCTGGCAATGGCGCGGGAGGGGTATCGAGTGCTCGACTTTGTGCGCGCGGGACCCCATGCCTCACGGATTCCGCGCGGGGGGGTGGTGGAGAGCGTTGTCGTACCGGCTGTGGTGAGGGATGCGAGGGAGCGAGTCACGGCCGGGGAGTGGCGAAAATTTATAATATAATTGGTCGGGGAACGGGGAGGGTTGTGAGGGTGAAGGGAAGGATTCTTGTATATTGTGTTACTATCTATACCTATACCCTAGACACTTTACTTCTTTCGTATATATCATTTGATAGAAATGTACATATTCGTTTAAATCGCTACATACATGTATATAGGACTGCTATTATCAGTTCATCCTAATTCACAATACATACATACATACATGTGTGTAGTACCGAGGTCAACGTATGGGAGGCTTGCCTGTTACATGGATCATCAAGGCTGATCATGATCTGGCCTAGGTATGCATGATTCCTATTTTCTCCGAGCCATAACCAATCTACCTACCTAACCATCTTCACATGAACGACTACTTTTCGGCTATAATGTATTTACAATACTTTTGAAAATATATCCAGTGGATAGTCCATGTTCATCATTCATTCAGCACACGTCAAAACATTTATACCTTTGTCAAACATCTAGTTCTACTAAAAATAGACTTCATATCCAATCTCCAGCTCGAGCACATAACTATTTATATATATATATGTATATATCATCATCACAGCTTCGCCTTACTCAGATTCCCCTTGAGCCTCTTCTCGACCGCATCGAGGTACTCGCGGGTCGTCACCCAGGCCTCGCGGTCCTTTCGGCCGCGCGCCAGAGCAAGGTCCTTGGTCATAATCTCGTCTTCGTTGACGGTGTCGATGCAGGCTTGTTCGAGGGCTTGGGCGAAGGCTACCACGTCGGGCGTGTCGTCGACCTGGCCGCGCTGGATCAGCCCGCGTGTCCACGCGAAAATCGATGCGATCGGGTTGGTTGAGGTTTCGTGGCCCTTTTGGTGCTCGCGATAGTGTCGTGTGACGGTGCCGTGAGCGGCTTCAGACTCGAAGGCTGTGCCGTCGGGGGTTGCGAGGGTCGAGGTCATAAGGCCGAGAGAGCCGAAGCCTTGCGCGACGATGTCGGATTGGACGTCGCCGTCATAGTCTGGGAGAGGTTAGTAGGGAGAGAGGGAGAAGAGGAGAAGGGGGGTGGGGGGCTGACTTTTCAGGGCCATCACAAAGCCGCCTTCGCTCTTGATCATCTGTGCTACCATGTCGTCGATGAGGCGGTGCTCGTACCAGATTTTCTTGGCGTCAAAGTCCTTCTTGTACTCCTTGTCGAAGATTTCCTGGAAGATGTCCTTGAAGCGGCCGTCGTATTTCTTGAGGATGGTGTTTTTGGTGCTCATGTAGAGGGGGAGGCCCTTGAGCAGGGCTAGCTTGAAGCTGGCGTGTGCGAAGCCACGGATAGACTCGTCTGTGTTATACTGTGTCTGCGCGATACCGGGGCCCTTGAAGTCGAAGACGTTCAGGCGCTCGGGTTGGCCGTCCTTGGGCGTGAAGACGAGCTCGAGAGTGCCTTCGCTGGGGATTAAGCGGTCAATGGCACGGTATTGATCGCCGAAGGCATGACGACCGATGATAATTGGTTTTTTCCAGCTGGATACAAGACGGGGAATGTTGGGGATGATGATGGGTTCACGGAAGACGGTGCCATTCAGGATATTTCGAATGGTGCCGTTGGGAGACAACCACACTGTTATTGTCAGTCACAATCACCTCGATATTTTTTTTTACTAGGAGAAGTGTACTCTTCTTCAATTTGAATTCCTTGACACGCGCTTCATCAGGAGTAATGGTGGCGCATTTGACACCGACACCATACTTCTTGATGGCCTCGGCGGCGTCAATGGTGACCTGGTCCTCGGTCTCGTCACGGTATGGAAGACCCTACTCTCGTTAGCTCGCCACCTTCACCAACACCAATCGAGTCGGTGCATACCAAGTCATAGTACTTGAGGTCGATATCAAGGTATCTACACTCTTAGCATTTGTATTGCCGAGGTAGATAACCGACTTACGGGAAAATGAACTATTCAGTCAGTACACCACATTAACCAGAAGACATATGTAATGGTGTCGTACCTTGTCCTTAATATCTTGCCAGATAATCCTAGTCATCTAGACGTATCCAGCGGACCGTCAGCATACATCATACTTTGTGCATCAAATCAATTGATATCAATACCGGGCCGAGGAGCCGACCCCGCATTGCCGAGAAGAAGCAAATATAAACATTACTCAAGTACATGTACACATGCACGCAAAAAGACAGACAGTTAACGGAGAACGGGGGTAGAAGCATACCTCATCACCATCGAGGTCCACGACGGGATTCTTGACCTTGATCTTGGCACCTTGTGAAGCCATGGTGCGCACTTGAGACTGCGACAGAGCGGAGGCGCGGGTGTGGGAGAGTGGCGCAAAGGCAGGTCGCACGGTGTTTGCGCGAGTGTTTACAGGTGACGAAGTTGAGACAGTCGAGCGCGAGTTGCAAGTCGAGGTTGATAAGGGAGCAATGCGATGCGCAGCCGAAATAACAGCCGAAGCAGAAGAAGAAGAAGAGAGGGGACCGCGACGGGCGGAGATGTTCCGAAGAGCGTGCATGCTGTACAGCACAGGATCAAAGTCTGACAAAGCAGGTCAGATAACGCACGTAATGCAGCAAATGCAGGCTGGCTCCTACTCTTTTCTGCTGGGCTGTCGGAGAGAGCACGCAACCGAGGGCAACCGAAGGCGAGAGCGGAGACGCAACCTAGCGGCGTACTCAACCGATGCTGAGCCGATGCGAGATTATAGAATATAGTATAGATACGCGTATGGGGAGATTTGGGAGAACGGCAGTAAGAAGAAGGAATAGAAGAGAGAAAAGAAACGTAGGAGAGAAAGAATTGAGATTGAGTTAGAGCTTGAGCTACGCGGTGAGCTCAAAGGGTCATCTGGTTGTTCCTGGCCGTTTGTGACTGAGTCTGTGACTATTACAATGACTAAGTAGAAGACCAATAGCTTCAGCTAGTCTCTCCATTCAAGTACGGAGTAGTCGCTTCCCTCCGTACTAACTAACCAACTGACTAGCTGTGAAAGATCCTGTTAAAAAAAAAACTGTGAATGAGCTCCGGTGGGGCATTCCGCCGAAGCCGGCGCTGCCTGGCGTATGTAACGTCATGGTGGCATCGTGAATCCGGGGTATTCTTGGATAATATAACTAGGCACCCTTGTGATTAGTGTATAAAGACCGTATATTTTATTTCAAATATCGTATAAATGCAGGTACATCCGTATCCATTGCAGTCAAGGTGTATGCCGGCGGAATCGGCGGTCTTTCAAGCTCAACAGGCACATAGTACCATTTATCCAGTATCGTACATAGTTACATGTCAATTGATCAATTGATGCATGTAATACCACCTTCCGCCGCCTAAAGTTATACAGCCGTTTCAATTATATTAAATTCCTGCCCTGGAAGGGTATATGTAAGGTATATGCAGGGTATATGTACAATCGGCTTTATGCCGTTTACGCCGACTTTCGGGAGTCGTTGCCCGCACATCCGTAAATCGGATACGTATCGGATAATCTCAAACAATACATGTACATGTCAATTGTCAATTGATATAGGTATAGAACGTGCGTATTTATACATATGTATTATTGAAGAATATATTAAATTCACATACGTGTTGAACATCAATAGATATGTATGTACCCTCGCTATGCGCCTCTCGCGGAACTGTCTTCCGCGTCATGCCTGTGTTGAATCGATTATGCAATAATATTCCGCTGTAGATAACTAGTCGTCTGAATATCAATATATGATTAAAACAGCCCGTCGATCTCGCCCGTCACCGGGTCGACGTCGACATTCAGGTAGCCCGGCGCCGTGGGCAGACCGGGGATGGTCTGGATGTCAGCTGCAAGCGCGTACCTAGTTCCTATTAGCACGAGAAGTAAAGAGATACGTGCATTTGACTCACAAGTATCCTGCACCAGCAGAAAGTCTCACGTCGCGGATCGGCACCGTGAATCCAGTTGGCGCACCCTTCAGAGAAGGGTCATGCGAAAGGGAGTATTGAGTCTTGGCTACACAGATAGGTAGGTTCCCGTAGCCTTGTTTGGTGTAGGTATCGACCTTTTTCTGCGCCAGCTCGCTGAACTCGACTTTGTCGGCCCCGTACATGACCGTGGCGATACGGTCGATGCGTTCCTGGACTGTGCCTTCCAGTCCGTAGAGCAGCTTGAAGTCCTTGGGCTGTGAGCTAGCCGTGATGACGCTCTTGGCGAGGTCGACAGCTCCTGCACCACCTTCAGCCCAGTGGTTGGCTGGAACGGCGTCTTCGGCGCCGGCTGCGATAGCTTCTTCGCGGATGACTGCAATTTCAGCATCGGTGTCGGTTTCGAATTTGTTGATGGCAACCACGACGGGGATACCGTACTGTCGGGCGTTTTGGATGTGCTTGCGCAGGTTGATGCAACCCTTCCTGAGAATGTCAACGTTCTCCGTCCTGTATACCTCTGGCAGAGCAGCGCCAGGCGAGATCTCAGGACCACCGCCATGCACCTTCAGCGCGCGGACGGTGGCAACAACAATGACTACGTCAGGGACAAGGCCAGAGGATCGGCACTTGATATTGAAAAAACGCTCTCCTCCCATGGTGAAATCGAAGCCAGCTTCTGTGACCACAAATCCGGTCTTATCATTGTGATCTTCGTCAGGCTCGGTACCAGCCAACTTCAAGGCAAGTTTATCGGCAACAACCGAGTTGGCGCCGATACTGATGTTGGCAAAAGGACCCGCGTGAACAAACACCGGTGTACCTTCCAAGCTTTGCATCAGGTTGGGCTTGATAGCATCCCTCATCAGAGCAGCTAGAGCGCCTCCGACACCAATGTCATCGCAAGTCACTGGGTCGCCATTCTTCGATGTCGCAACCACCATCCTTCCGAGCCGTTCCCGCATGTCTGCCAAGTCACTGCTGAGAGCCAAGATGGCCATACACTCACTGGCCACCGAGATATCAAATCCAGTCTGCCGGGTCAAACCTTTTTCTGTTGGGGCCTGGCCAATAGTAACTCCACGGAGGTGTCGGTCATTGACATCAAGAACGCGACGCCATGTGATAGTCTCAGGGTCGATATCCAAGCGAGCAAATCGATGAATCTCGTCTTCGGTCAAATCGTCCGGGTTGGTCTTGGTAATTCCCAGTTTGTTTAATCGGCGGAACATGATGGGTTTGAACTCACGCTTGCCCTTCTTGGCAGGAACCAAACGTTTGTAAAGCGCACCGTCCTTTTGTGTGGCCTCGTGGAACATACGGGTATCAATAGCGGCGGCCAAAAGGTTGTTCGCGGCGGTGATAGCATGGATATCGCCAGTCAAATGAAGGTTGAACTCATCCATAGGAATGACCTGACTGTAGCCACCACCAGCGGCACCTCCTTTGATACCGAATGTCGGTCCCTGACTAGGTTGTCTGACGTTGGCAAAGACGATTCTGTTGAGATGAGCTCCTAGGGCCTGAGTCAACCCCACGGTTGTAGTTGACTTGCCTTCACCAAGAGGTGTAGGCGTGATACCGGTAACCAAAACATATCGACCGTTACGACGGTGGGACAGACGGTCTAAAACCGACAAACTAACTTTGGCCTTGGTGTGGCCATATGGCTCTAATTCGTGCGCAGCAATGCCAATCTCAGCAGCGATTTTGGTGATAGGCTTCGGGTGCTGTGCACGGGAAATAGCAATATCTGATGGAACCGGAGTAGTCAGTTTGATTGGCAGAGGAATGATATGACGATCCTTCTGCTTTTCGAAATATGCCTTGGCCGAGTTGACAACGTTCTGAAGAAGCATAGCAACAGTCATAGGGCCAACACCGCCGGGAACGGGAGTAATCTGAGACGCAACCTCAATAGCAGAGTCGAAGTGAACATCGCCGACTAGTCTTTGGCCAGACTTCTTAGATTCATCCGGAATGTAGTTGGTACCAACATCGATAACCACAGCGCCAGGCTTGAGCTGATCACCTTTAATAAACTCGGGCTGTCCAATGGCAGCAACGACAATATCTGCTCGCTTGAGGATCTCAGTCAGATTCTTGGTCTTCGAGTGGCACACTGTCACCGTGGCATCGGCGGTCTTGAGCAGGTAGCTGACAGGGCGGCCAACGATGTCGCTACGGCCCAATACAACAGCATCCTTGCCAGCAGGATCCACGCCGCTCACTCGAAGCAGTTCCATAACACCTTGAGGCGTGCAAGGCACAAAGAGAGGGCGACCGCCGCGCTTGGCGAGCTCGCCGATGTTGATAGCACCGAAACCATCTACATCCTTTTCATCGGCAACGGCCGACGTGATTGCGTGCTCGGAAATGTGACTTGGAAGAGGGAGCTGAACCAGAATACCATGGACAGCCGGATCATTGTTGGATTTCTCAATTTCAAACAGAAGCTCTGCCTCTGTGATGGTCTCTGGGAATTTGGTGATGCTGCAAACAATATTTGCCTAATACGAGTTAAAATGGGTCCAATTTCAATTTCTTCGGGACTGATAAACCTACCTCTTCGGCAGCTTTTAATTTCATTCGCACATATGTGCCTAGCAGGGTATTAGTGCAGTCCAGATTCCACGCCTTAATTCATCAAGATAGGGGTAAATCCATACTGGAGTCAGATCTGTCGCCGACTGTAGACAATCATTAGCAAGCGTAATATCAACGGCTTAATGCACGTACCTTGGTATATAACCAGATTGGGCTTGAACCTAGGGTTTGAAGACTGCAAAGTTGTAATCTCCGTCTTCAGCTTCTCCCTGATCTCCTTGGCGATGGCAGTGCCATCAATCTTGGAGCCGGTCATGTTGACGCTGGTGGTAGAAAACGCACGACGGCGGAGCAATTGAGATCGAGAGGGATGCGCAACGAAGAACAGGCTGGGAGGAGCAGCAGGAAGCGTACGGAGAGTGCGAAAGGATAGCCCGCGGTGGGCAAGCAACAGGCCTGTAGTCGCCAGAGTGAGCAACGGGGTCGATGAGGGGGGAGGTTGCTGAGATAAGGATGCAGGACGGCGGGGTAGCTGCAGTCTTAGTCCAGGCATGAGCTGTAACTCGTGAGTCCGACGACACACGGGCCGCCTGCACGGGTTCCGAGACAACAATAATATTTAATTAAGATCAATTGACCAATTGATCAATTTGTGGAAGGAAACATTGCAGTTCACTCGAGCAGTACCAAGGAGAAGTAATTTTTGAAGGATACCAGCAGCTTAAAGTCTCAGCGCTGTGGAACTAACCAGTGAGTCACGGCAAAAAAATTATTATTACAGTAGTACAGACTATTACTACTTAAAAAATAATATAATATGACCATCGTAACAATAATAATAAAATACTGTAACCAGGGTCATCCTCAGGAAGGGTTGAGCCCTATCGGGGATACATTCCTCCGGTAACCGTAATACGTACTGTAACTTAGACTCTACTCTTGGCGCCCGCGATCGTGTGCGATGAAATTATCAGTACAGGCAGACGGCGATAGTTATAACCTCCCCGCTACAGTCCCCGCCAAGAGCGCAGACCTCCAACTACACAGATTTCGTGAGAGAACTGCTCTATAGACCAACAGTCTCAGTCGGCCCACGATGAGGCCCATTCTCCTCCAAGGCCATGTTCGTTCCCCCGCAACACTCAAATATTACCGAGACGCCTACTAACGCAAAAGTCTAGGAACGGTCTTTGAATCAGATCAAATTCAACCGCGATGGCGACCTCCTTTTCTCAGTAGCAAAGGACAAAGTTCTCTGTGTGTGGTTCTCGGCCAACGGAGAGCGGCTGGGAACATACCACGGCCACCAGGGTGCCATCTGGACGGTCGATGTCAGTCCCAACACAGTTCTCGCGGCCACCGGGTCAGCAGACAACTCGGTGCGGCTGTGGAACATCAAGACTGGGGAGTGCGTAAAGGTCTGGGAGTTCCCGACGGCCGTGAAGCGCGTGGAGTTTAGTCCTGATGGAAGTCAACTTCTGGCTGTGACGGAAAAGCGGATGGGTTACTTGGGAACGATTGTCGTGTTGGATATCAGCTATGGCGATGGCGAGGGCAACGATTTGAATGAGCAGAGTGATGAGCCGAGCTTAAAGATCACCTGCGAGGACAGCAAGGCTACCGTTGCTGGATGGAGCTACCTCAGCAAATATATCATTGCGGGACATGAAGATGGCAGCGTCAGTCAATATGATGCCAAGGTATGATTTGTCCCTGAATCTACAAACAGTCCTCTAACAGAAACAGACTGGCGAGCAACTCGAAAATGTCCAGGCCCACGAATTCGACTTGCAGATCAACGACATCCAATTCTCTGCCGACCGCACCTACTTCATCACCGCCTCGAAAGACAAATCCGCCAAGGTATTACAACCTCGCTTGAGATCTTGAATTATTTCCCGTACTTACAACTACAGATTCTCTCATCCCGCAACCTCGCCGTCCTCAAGAGCTTCCCCGCCGACACCCCTCTCAACACGGCCGCCTTGACGGCGAAAAAGGACTATGTGATCCTTGGCGGTGGCCAGGCCGCCATGGAAGTCACGACAACATCCGCTCGCCAGGGTAAATTCGAGGCCCGTTTCTACCACAAGATCTTCGAGGACGAGATCGGACGTGTCCGCGGCCACTTCGGGCCTCTGAACACGATCGCCGCGCATCCAGCTGGCACATCGTATGCCTCTGGTGGAGAAGACGGCTACGTGCGTGTGCACCACTTTGACAAGTCATATTTCGACTTTATGTATGAGGTTGAACGGGAGCAGGCGAGACGGTAAATGGTAAAAATGGTAAAATTGGGTTCATGAATTCGGTTTAAGACGAGATGAGTATTTCTAGAAGGGAAGTCCTCTAAAGAGTCAGTCCTATTATGCAGCAACGGAGTTGGTATATGTTCATGTCAATTATTTAATGAATCATCAATTCATTTCATTCATAACGTCAGTATTGTGAAGAGTAGAGTTCTAGAAATTGACACTGATATATGTGTATGTAATTCACGCATAGAATTTTCTATTCTATATGATATCGACAATGGGGAAAAATCAAACAAAAAACCCTTATATAAAACAGTCGGCGCTCATCCCGACGATTCGTCCGTCATCCAAATCATGACCTGTAAGTGTAAATACATTTCCTTTTTTTTTCTGTTGTAGTTTTTTTTTTGCTTATTTACTTCTTCTTAGGAAATTTTTCGGCACCAATATCCGAACCGCGCAACTTCACGTTCAGCACGCGCTCCATGGCACTCAGCACTTTCTGGTCTGGATTAGCCGTGCCCTTTTCCATATCCTGCACGATGGTGGCGGTAGTGTTGCACTTTGTGGCGAGTTCCTTCTGGGTCATTTTGTAACCTTCTTCATTCCGGCGCTTCTTGATCGCGTCGCCGACTTGCGTACCAACGGACTTGGGCTTGATGATGTCGTCGCTCCGGTCGACTTTGGTGAGATGTTGGCCCTCGGGGGCGCCAGTGCGGCCGGCCTGTATCATATCATTTATTAGTACCTTTCTGAATGTGTTTGTTTGTTGAGGGGAAAGAAAAGGAAGGGGGGCTTACGGCGTTGCCAGTGGCATATTTCTTCTCGGTGCCTAGGATCAGACCAGAGCGCTGTGCGGCGTTGAGTGCGCTGCGGCCCTTGACGACGGTCTCGCGCTGCACGGCGCCGCCGCGGTTCTTGGACCCGATACGGGTCACGGAGTCCCAGTCACCGTCGGCCATTTTGATGCGTGTGTTGAGGAGTGGGAGGGTGTTTGATGAGGGCACGTGTGGCGATAAGACGAAGCGGGGTATCGAAGTATCGGGTACGTTATTCTTGTGGGAGCGGTTCAACCAGAGGTGTTGGTGTTACTGGTTTGGGTAGATCTCTTAAATAAGAGGGTTGTTGATGAGATGACGATGGCGAGGAGTGGTGTGCAGAGTGAAGAAATATTAGTCAAGTTGACTCATGTCGTCGCTTTATGTGAAGAAGCTTCGAGACCGCCTGCAGTGGCCGCCTGTCATTGGCTGGCGAGGGCGGGGCGGAGGCGGTGTAGATTATCCCCCCAATCCTACTACACTACTACACTTTACATGGAATTATTATTGTTGACTCTATGCAATGATGAACCGTGGTCGCTATTACTGATCCTAGGATCCATTGTGAACGTTGAAAGTCTATGTAGATAACGCAATAACATGAACTACCACCCAACAGAAGAAAGCTAATGTCGTGCAGAGTCAGAGGCCACATTGTGCAAGCTGATATCATCGCGTCTCGCCTTATCCATCATGGTCGGCCCGCTGCTGGCCACCTGCTGCGTTGTGTGGTTTGATGAACTGAGTCTGTGCTGTTTTGACTTCTGGTTGTGCAACTCGGCGAGATGCTCGATATAGCCGTCGGGGACATGTGTGATGTAGCTGCCACAGAACACGCCGACCTCGAATGACTTGGGTCCGTTTGGAGGCGATAGTTCAATGCAAGCGGCCTTGAGGTCTTCCAGGTCTTGGAAAATGACTTCTTCGGCACCGATCGTCTCGGCGATGGCGAAGCGGTCCTTGTCGGATGCAATCAGTTCTGCGGGAGACGCCAGCGCAATGCCGTACAGATGGGGGTGTGTGATGGGAGGCGCGCAGCTGGCAAAAATGACCTTACGCGCACCAGCCTCGCGAGCCATGGCGACGATTTCTCGGCTCGTTGTGCCCCGGACGATACTGTCGTCGACGAGGAGAACGCATTTTCCAGAGAAATCCTCATCAATGGTGCTGAGTTTTCTGCGCACGCCTTTTTGTCGGGCATTTTGACCAGGCATGATAAACGTGCGGAAAACATATCTGTTCTTTACAAAGGCTTCACGGTACGGAAGGCCCAGTCGCCGAGCAACGCCAAATGCGGAGGGATTCGATGTCTCTGGAATAGGAATGACGGCATCAATCTCCTTAATTCCGTCTTCTCCCAGAATGGTCTTGATTTTATCGGCCAGCTTATCGCCCATTTTCTGCCGACTCGAGTGGACACCGATACCGTCGATGACAGTATCAGGGCGTGCAAAGTATACGTACTCGAATATGTCAGGAGAGTATGCAAGCCGCTCAGCAACTTGGCGGAAGACCGGGGCCTGGCCTTTGCGAACGAACACGGCTTGGCCTGGCAAGATGTCGCGAATATTGCGGAATCCGAGTTGTCGAAGAGCAATACTCTCCGAGGCAAACATATAATCCATCGCACCGGGGAGAGTATCCGAGGGGCGTTCTCCAAGGACTAATGGACGAATGCCGTAGGAATCACGGAAAGCGAGGATACCTTAATACAAGTCAGTTTGATCCAGTTCTGGTTCACGACTGAAGTATACTGACCATAACCTGCAACCATAGCGGTACATGCCCATCCTCCCTGACACCGCTGGTACATTCGGGAAAGCGCATCGAAAATATCCTCCTGGTTCACACGTGCCTTGCCGGTTTCATTCAGTTCATTGGCAAAGATATTCAACATCAACTCGCTATCGCTATCGGTGTTGATGTGTCGGTGGGCGACCTTGTCAAGGAACTCGCGCAACTCGCCCGCATTGATGAGATTTCCATTATGCGCCAGACAAATACCGTAGGGACTGTTCACGTAGAAGGGTTGGGCCTCGGCGCTGGAATCGGAACCGGCGGTGGGATATCGTAGGTGGCCAATACCCATGGAACCAGGCCTGCATCAAAATCAGTTATGCAGAAAACAATAAAGAGCATAGCCAACTTACAAATCCTGTACACGCCTGCCCTCATCAAAGACCTATATAGAATTTATATTCTCAATTGACCGATAAAACAATTCTTGTGCGAAGCAGTATACCAACCTTGCCAGCCATACCATTGCCCTTGCACTGGTAAATACGCCCGCCGGCCGCACAGGTCGCTATGCCGCACGCATCCTGGCCGCGGTGTTGGAGGTAATAGAGAGACTCATGCAGGGTCGCAGCGGCCTTGCAAGGAAAATGCGGATCATCGCCAATATGGCCCAGGATCAGGCCCAGGATGCCGCACATCGTTGCCAGACAAAATAAGCGCGAATAACAGCCCTCGATCAGCAACTGAATGCCTCGAAAACTAAAATTTTTTTCCAGGTCCGGAAATGCGGCGCGCCGATAGAGGGGTTTTTTTTGCCTTGCTGGGATTAAGTAAGCCGAGCCACTGTGTTGGGAAGGCGGTCAGTCTCCCCACATTACTCAATATCTATATAGCATCTATATAGATACATCATACACTTATATACTAGTATAGTATGCCTAACTCAACAGTGCATCCCAGTTCATATGTTGAAGTCATCATCATAAAAGTAATCAAACCCATCGTCCATGTTAGCGTCTGTCTCTGCCAAAGGCCATGGACCGGCCGCGAGGTTCGGCATCCATGTGTTAACCATGTCCCAATCAAATGTCGTGGCCGAGAGTAGAGAATCGCTTAATGTCGAATTGTAGTCGAACTGACTCGATTCAGGAATAATGAATGGCGCGAATTCTAGGGGGCTATTGTCGGTGAATTCTTGCAAAGGAGGTTCGTCGTATACAAGGGAAGGTCTTGCGGATATTTCAGTTTCGGCGTCAGTTGTTGAATTGTGCGGAGCCTGTCGATCATACACATTGTGAGTGTTGGAATAGGCAAATACAAAATTATCTAGGATATCTCTAGGGAAATTGTCTACTTACCAACGATGTCGTGGTTCGCGGGTCATCCCCTTCAGGAATTCTCTTCACTTTCTGGCTAGATTGCACAAGCCGTGTGGCAATACCGAAGAGCTCTTTGAACACGCTCACAGTCGGAGTGGCGGCGAACGAAGAGCCTGGTTTGACAGAGTGAGTGATGAACGAAATGATCAGATTCATTAATCGGACATCGGAAGCGGCATGCTGGTGCTGTGGGTTTGAGAGTATATTCGTGAAGAGAACGAGACTCGCACTTAGCGAGTAATAAAGTGCCAGCCTATGGTTGGGGTTAATATAACTAGCTTGCAAGCAAAAGCAGGAAATATTACGAACCACATGATATGCTGGTTTTGCATATTGTTGGCGCTAAATGTATCTAGGAGTTGAATCGATCTACGCGCAGCAGCGAGGCAGAGCAATTGGCTTGCATTCATTCTGGCGACATTTTCATCTTCGAATGACTCCTGATTCCCTGCTACCCGGTGTAGCAGTATCACTGCGTCCAGGTAAGTAAAGTGCATCATAGCCACCTGGACATACTGCTCATGCGAGCAATTGATTGGATGCTCTGGTCGAATTTCAACGGGTAAACAATCTCGCCAGCGCTGGAGATGGTCGTCCAGTGTGCCTAGAACCTTCATGCGATGCACTTCTGATTTCGTTTGTGCACTTGCCGAGTATAATTCGCTGTATATGCGACTTCCGATGATAGCTAGCCTAATCTGATCCTGGAAGATATCATAAACTCTTGCTCTGTTGGGGGACTGTATGAGTTGAGGTTGCTTGGGTGGTAGTGCAACAGCAATATCATCATCATTTATGACAGATGGCCGGCCTAGGTTCCGGCTTATTGCCTTTTCCAGCATATAGAATACCCAAAAGACATTTCGTCGTTGCTCGATTTCCGCTGGAGCGAGGCCGAAGCCGTCTAAACTCCGGTGAAGGCCTAGAGTATTCGCTAAATTCCCAGCTGCGGACGCCATTACGTAGGCAGGTTGTGGATTGGGGCTTGAGGTTGTGATGAACAGCTTTCATGCGTTAGATATGAAAACAACCGAGACGATATGGACAGCGTTCGTACCATGAGAGTCATAGCTTGCATTGCCATCAGGTTGGCCTCCTTAAAGATCAAGTCGTGGAAACAGCAGCTTGCGTTGCGGAAATACTCGACACCGGTCTCGTGGCAATTTGATGTATAGTCGATGAGGAAGCTACGTCTTCGCTCGCCTTTTGTTCTGATACTCCCCAGGCACAATACGGCATTAAACAGTGCGTACCATGCAGTGCCTGCCGGAGGGTTTGTAGAGTATTGTTGTTCAAGGTACGAGTTAAACACATCCTGATTGATGATCGGGAAGGCGTTGTTAAAAGTTAGAAAGAAGCAATTCACGTATTGTAACGCAATATCCTTCGAGGGAAGCGGCGCTTGTTGTGACTGTGGGATAGGCTGCCAGAGATTGGCATCGGCGTGACCCCAAATACCATAATCACGTTTGGAGAACAGGCGATACAGCTGAGCTAGCTCGTCCTTGTCACCCACCTTTTCCGAAATCCACCGGATTCCTTGTGGAGAGAATAGTGAGAAACCAGAAGCCCGCCCTTAACTACAGATCAGCATGAGCAGAAAGGTAGATCGAAGGGGATTACAACCTACCGATGAAATTGGAAGACCCGTTAGAATCGACAACTAGGTTCGAGAGGTGATTGGACAGTCTGGCCTGGTTTTCAATTTCATCAAAGGAACTCTTTTCTTTTTCCCCCCCTTCTACCAGCTCTGCTGTCCTATGCAGCCCTGGAGTAATTATAGCGGACTCCATGCGCTTAATTCGGTTCTCCAGTTTATGAAAGTATGACTCTCTCTCACTTTAGTCAACATCAGCCTCCTCCGTGCTAAATTCAAATATGAGACTGGGAATTTCAGTACTCGGTCCATTTTTGCCTCTTGCTCTTCACTGGTGTTGTAGTACAGTGTAGTTTTCGGGCAATGCATCGCGCGCAACTTTCCTTGTCCTTTCTTTGGCATTTTATCTGCATTCCCACCGAAGCCAATTAGCAACTGTGTATTGCCACTTGCCGACTCGAGACATGCCTTCATCTGTTTGCACGCGTCACACGATGTTCGGTGACTTCGCGACCATGGCAGCGCCTTCTTTTCGGTCGAGATGACATTCGCTTCAGAGTCGTTCATGTCGATCAAGAGGAGCTTGGCCAGGAGACTTCGTAATTACATTGAGGCTGAGAAGTTAGTTGATCAGTTGTATGATGACTAACTTGGTAACTTAAAGACCGCCCGCCCAAACCCTTTTGGGAAGCTAAGCCTGAGACGGTACGAGGGGGTTACTTGTCCTGACAGTGTAATATTAAATTGAATAGGTGGTGTTGTTGCTTCATTATTTAATATTTATATTAGCATTGGTATTAGTATCAACTTTGCTCTTCTCCTTGACACCCACTCTCTTCCCAATCCATTCGCTTTCAAGCCCCTTCTCCAGATCAGCAGCTATAAAATCCACGCAGTTCTCGAGCACGGCATAGTAGCTCTGCGCCTGCGCCATAATGTTCAGATAATTCCCTATCAGCGGCACGCCCCGGTACTGTTTCCCCCAGGCTGGCGGGGCGTCAGCTTTGGCCACAAGGTTGCTAGCAGAAGCGTCTGCGGGAGGAGGGAATTGCGGCGTGTCGTATTTCGGAGGCATATTGCTTGCACAGAAGAGCGACCAGGCGAGAGTGTCGGCCGCATGTGATTTGATGAGCTGGTAGTTCGGCTTGTGGGATGGGAAGAGGGGGATGCTAGAGAGCCGTATCAGATTCATCATTCATCCTCACCATTCAACCAAGATTGCATATGGAAGCGTACTAATGGAAGAGCAAATGGGGCTTCTTTAGACTATCCAGCATGGCAAACCCACTCATGAGCCAACACCTAACAGGCGTACCACCGCGTTCTCGCCCGGCCTCCAAAGCCGCCTGCACGACGGCTGCAAAAATAGCCTGAAACTCGCCTTGCGATGCCCAACTTGTCATCGCAGCCACGCCAGCGGCATTGACGACGGCGTCGCAATTGTGTGAGAGGATCGCAGCCTTGATGGCGGTGCTATCGCTAGCAGAGCCAACGACAATAGAGTCGAGCTTGGACGTGGCGACAGAGGAGATTTTGGCCGGCGTGCGCACGTATGCTACGACTTGGTGCTTATGGGCGATGAGCGCAGGGAGCAGCCGAGAGCCAACGTTGCCAGTGGCACCCAGCAAGAGCACTTTCATTTCGATCAAGAGAATAATAAAATAGAAATAACGCAGAATTTGTAAACTGCTGCCTTTGGTTGCTCGAAATAACGAGCCGGGGCAGGCGATATTATATATCTTCGCTCTACTTTGTATACACGCTAGGTAGTTCGGATGCTCAGCTACCGAACTACCACTCATATGCATGCTCCGTATACGAACCGAGTTCAATACTCGGTAGCAACGGAACACGCATAATCCGAAGTCTTGAAACGTCAAGGACATTCAAATATGAAGTTGTCTACCCTGCAATCGTTTACTGTTAAAAAATCTACCGCGTCATGGATGATTCAACCCCCGTAGAGCTGCGGCAATGGGCCGATGCTCCATATTTGTTAATCGAGACACCAAAGCATAAGGCGGGAAAGGTAGAGTTACTTATCGGAGGAAATTGAAATGGTACAACTGACTACTCTAGACTGGATATACCGATGCGTATATGGAGACTGCGAGTACAATGTGTGTAGTTCACAACGCCCTCCTCCGGGGCCTGAATAGCATATACATCCAGGGGCCAAGCATTCTACCTGCCGATTATAAGGACTTCATTGGCTATAGTTTATGCTGGCACTCTGCGATTCACGAGCATCACACTAGCGAAGAAGATCAGTTTTTCCCCGACATCGAAGAAGCCGTTGGTGAGAGGGGTTTACTCGATAACAATGTCCAGCAACACAGTAAGCATTGATGACTTCCTATTTTTCATATTAGTCTTGTTTTACTGAGCTGACAGTTACGAATCTAGAATCCTTTCAATCGGGCTTAGATGAGTTCAGTAGCTACCTCAAGAGCCTAGCTGGGAAAGAATCATCGTTTGACGCTGCTCGCCTCAACGGCATAATCGCCTCATTTGCGCCGGCACTTTGCGACCATCTTGAATCGGAGATCCAGAGTCTGCAGGATCTTAGTAAATACGGAGCCAAACTTCCAATCGACGATCTCTGGAGTAAGGAAGGGCAACGGACTGTGGTATTTACAAATCCTGAATTCTTTTAGAAGTTCTGCTAATTTTTACCAGATCGCAATGACCAAATTCAGTGCGCTTCCATTTTTCTTCCTCAATCTTGATGTTACGCATGAAGACTATCTGTGGAAGGATTGGCCTCCAATTCCTCGTCCTGCGAGGTGGGTCATCACTCGTTGTTTCACATTGTGGCATCAAGGATACTGGAAGTTTGCCAGCTGTGATCGAAATGGGATACCAAAGCCTCTGTACGCGGCAGGTAACCCTCTTGATGGGACTTTTAAATAGTAACCTACTCTTAATGTTCAATGGGATATAGCTGGGGTCAGAACCAGAAAACAAACCTAAAGATAAGTAAAATATGGGCATGTATTCTTTACATATTAATTCACTATGAAACGAACGTTCTATTGGCACTGACATTGATATTTGAAAGAAGTTCTAGGAAATTGGAGATAGTTTATGTTTTTGAACTCCTTCAAACATGGATGTTTCAAGCAAAGAATGCAACACCATATCTCTTCCTAATTTCTTTGTGTTTTCTTTCTATTTTCCTTATTTTATTGATTGAAAGGACTCAAGGGGTTTGTTTGTTTTACTATGGAAAGACAAAACATGTTTGTACTGATTGAGTAGGCCAAACAAGATGTACATTTTTCCTAGTTTGTATATGCAACATGGTGATTGCATTGACCAACGTATCACCTAGTAGGACCCAGTAGTTTGCTAGATCTCTGTATATGCCTCTAGAGCATATATTAACTCTTTTCTTTTATGCAACGCGAAATACCTGATCGTCCTAGGTTTTCATACTATCTTTGCTCTCATCTCTTGTATCGCAGAAGCTGAGGATATTCATAAACCGACCGAAACAAAGGATCAGCTTATTCTCGAAAGCATCTAAACTGAAATGTCCAGCTATGGGTCGGTCAAAACGAAAAAGCTCCATGTAAAATGCCCTCAAAGATTCCTCGACCGCAGAGGATGAAGTAAATTACAGAATGACGTCCCCAAGTCCCGGCAGATTTGGGAAAGAAAACAATCCTAATTAATGCTTTTAAAGTCATGGCGCGCGATGTTTCTGGCCGGATCACCAAGCCAACCAACAGGAGAGATTGGCATCTTCGACACCTTTTCAATCAAGGTATTTACCAGTCAACTAAATTGAAAATGAGTAAAAAGTCCCATAGCGTTGGGAACAAGGACGGCCTCTATATTCTTGATCAGCTCGATACCATGGCGGCTAAACTTGACGCCCAAGGAAAGATCCTCGCGAAGCACGAGGCCCAACTCAAAATACAAGAAATCCGGACTAAGAAGTTCGAGACCGAAATCGAAACACAACAAAAGATCAACGCAAAGCTCGAGATAAATGGACCTAATTCGACAGAATGAATTGCTCCGATTATCGAACCGCGAAGTACGATCTGACAGGGATGCGCTTGTTCATAGTGGGAATCTTGAGATGGACTTGCAATGTCTTTTGAAAGATAACCTATACAAGGAGTCGGTCTATGAAGATGCGTTTCGAAAGCGATATGAAGTTCCAGCCACCATGTTCCTTGGTATTTCAGAGATTCCAGCCTAGGTTATTGATGCCTTCAACAAACGAAGCAACCTGATACGGCTCGATTTCTGGAAGGATTCCCGAGCCTCCAAGTTACCGGATGATAATGAGAAGGAGAGATTCTTTAAACTGAGGTATGAGTTACATGAAAAATGCAACATTATCAGCGCTTGGCTAGATTCTGTAAAGAACGGCTATACTTATTCAGAACGCGATATGATGCAAACATACACAAAACTGACCAAAGAATATGAAAATGATAAGAAGCGGTATCTTTGGGGTGAATATTCTTAGATTGCTATACTACATATCAGCCTGTTTCGTGTACTTATCACCTTGATATAGTCAATCCAATTGCGCCTTGGTTTTACAATTCAACAACTTAATAAATGTACATATGTACATGTCAATTGATGTATTTGAAAGCACTGATGCTTTGGTTTCATGGATGAAGTCTGGTACATATATAGATTACTGCTGATTAGTATTTCTTTTGCCGCCTACATGTCAACTGGTAACTATAGAGGCACATACATAGTATTCATTGACAATCATCAATGGACCATACGTCATGAACAGGACAGTAGACAGTGGTCATTATGAAGTTGGCTGGGTGGTTATGCTTCGAAGAAAAAAAGAGAGAGAAAAAGGGGAAACTTGTTGAAGATGTTGATGACTATAATTTTATTAATTTTGTGGTCGAGTCATAAAACCAGTCATAATCCCAACAACGATCATTCCATGACTTTCTTAGCATTAGCTAGGATATTTTTGGCTCTCAAATCTGAGCCCTCATTCTGAAACCTCAGTGGATTGCGACCCTTAACTCATACAGTGACTTCATGCTGACTCTTTGAGCTGCGTTTTCTAGGTTAATCAATCCTTTTTTTGGTTTGTATGGATATCCTCATAATTTAAAGCATTATCTTTTTCTTATATCTTAGTAGCGCACTTTTCTTTGTTCTGGTCGTAATATTCTTCTCATTGATTGTTCTCAGGGAGTACATGTATCGGACTAGAGTACTCCTTTCCACTAAACTGTACGGATATTTAACTAGTACTTAGAGTCGATCACTTGATGTTCAGATTTCAAGAGCTTACGTAAATCATGAAAACAAATTCATTTAGCGAAAGACAAGACCAGCATGTCTCACAGTCCGGAGTTTTAAACCAGTATTACCACGAAACCTACAACAGAACCAACCATCACAGCCTCAAGTCCATCCATTCTATTCCGAAGGAATTGCTTCCCGACGATTGATCACATAATGTTTCAAATTGAATTCCATATACATTGCACAACGCAGCCAGTACATCAAAAACAGACAAATAGAAAGAACGATGACAGACACAAGAGAAAGCCCGCATAACGAAAGGGCAGGCCATTGATGAAAGAAGGATGAGCAAGTTGTCGCTGAAGCAACGGTACTTGTGAGAGAAACGTAATATATAGACAAGAAAAAACAACCAAGTGTGTTCAAATTGGGTCGTTGTTCGTATGCTTCTAGCATGCCTCGGATGACTGCTATGGTTCCAGATTCATGCCGTGGTGTTAACTAGGTCCGTCTATAAAGATGGCCGAGAGCATGCAATAATCAAAATAGAGCGAGCACATCGGTCTTCAAGACATCTATGCCGAAATATGTTGGAGAAAGAAGTTCTTTCATCGAGCCTCTCATTGCTCGAATAGACCATTTGAAAGCGTAAAAGTTAAAACCAATCACGACAGACAAAGTTTGTCTGTCCGATAAACCGCATTACCTATCACGAGTGTAATAGATTTAATAATACGCCATCAACGCCGTTTCCAGAATGCGCAATCGAGACCTATCCCATCCATAATATCAAGATGAAAGTTGAAAAGTAAACAAAAAGTATAGGTGTCGTCGGTTTAGAAGATGCCGTTGACGATGTTGGATCCGATTGTGGCACCGGCACCGAAGATGGCTGTCAAGTATGGTTAACAAAGATACAGTAGTCGGTCAAATATTTATGTCTAAGCTTACCAGCATTGCCCATCTTCTTTCCAAACTTCTTTCCGTGTTCCTCGAATTTGCTTGGTCGACGAGGGTCTGTTGAAGGTGATCCGGCGCCTTGGCTGACTTCTAGAGGCATATTTCCATAATTTGTAGGCTGTGGGGCAAGAACGGTCTTCTCATCGACAACCTTGACGTAACTTCTTGGGAAAATACCTTCCATGCCGGTTCGTTCGTTGCGGCCACGCCACCCTATACTCTGTATTAGCACATACCCGATAGCCTCATTACAAAGAGCCCATACAGTCATTGTTCATGTGCTCGAGAACCTGGATGTTATCCTGAGGCTGCAAAGCAAGATCACCGGCATCAGTCGGGGCGTAAGCATATAATGCCGATGCGAGCGATAGAACCGGTGGAGTTTGAGCATAAGCCGGAGGTGGGACTGGGGACGAGTACTGAGGCTGGCTGGGAGCCCTATCGTTCAGGCTGGTATTCTCGAGCTGCGTTGTAGGTGGTGCGTAGATAGGCGATGTGACTGGGGATTGCACAGGGGCTGCCACAGGGGCTGCCACGACCGGGGCTGTTGGAGCGTGTGCCTGTGTTGCATTTTCGGGTAATTGAGTCAGGATTGACGAGAGCTGCTGTGGCGTGATCACAGCAGCGTCTGCGAGAAATTCGAGCTCCTACACGAATATTATCAGTATCATGATGATGGCCTTCGCCTCGCATTCGAGGCCAGGGCAGACGACGAACATTACGGATGATACGCAGCGACCGGTTGGTCATGGCTGTCGAGAAATCACCCATGGCGATTGGGACAGAGTCGACGACAACGGACGGAAGGGAGTGGCCGATTCAAAATCAAAAAGCGACTTGCGAGATGGACAAAAGTGGCGATGGCAGGGTGATGGTGATGGATGAAGATGCACGCTGGACAAGGACGACAGGCAGTAAGTACTAAGTAGTGGTGGTGGTGGTGTTGTTAGTGTGAGTTGTCGGGGCTGTGGCACCAGGGCCGATTTAACTGGCAGCCGGGCCCGCCCAGTTCGGCTTAGTGAGGTCCAGAGCGGAGAAGGACGGGAACGCTGGAGCAAAGCCACACTCGGGCCCACTTTACTCTCCCTGTACGCGTATTCCCTTGTTAATCTGATTGTTGATTTTGATATTGATCTTAATTTTCACTGGTGTATTCATTCTATGGGAAACAATACAGCAAAGGCAGGGGAAAAGAACAAAGACAGAGAAGAAAACAAGAGAGGCTGATAGAAGACAGTTAAGGCCAGTGTGTGCCAGTTATTTCACTTCTAGTCGTCCTCATCCTCGCCACTCTTGCGGCTCATCAGAACCAAAGCCAAAAAAAGGCAGAAGGCAGCAACAAGCAGCGCCGTTGCACACATCGCATCGGCAAGCACAAACATCAGCACCTTTCCCCCCATCTGAATAAGCATGCTGGTAGCAGGCGCTCCTGCCAACGCGCCCACGCCCATGGCCACAAACAAGAAACTGGTTCTGTAGCGCATTCGCTCTGTTTGGTCTGCATCCGGATATGAATTTGCGTATGTGAACATGCAGCCCAGGTGGAGCGTCTCGACGATCGCCGAATAGAAACCATAGAAGCAGACAAACATGATCAGGCCGGCGTGGTCGTTCGCTCCAGTCCAAGTAAACAGCGCTTGTGACGTGCACAAGACCGCAAAAGTGAGGACGCTCATTTGATCTTCCACGTAGCCTTTTAGTAGACTAGCCACGATAGACCCAGCGCCATGGCATGCACACATCTCTATCAGCAGCCTCATCGACTCTGCGGGCGTCTTGTGTGCCGAATGCACGCCATACAGGACAATCTAGGTTGAGGCGTCGTGAGCAAGGTAGTCCAAGAGCAAAGCAACGGTATAATACTCACAAAGTGGAATGCATAGTATAAGCCTCCGAAAAGGCAGAGCATGCCTAAGATAACGGCTAGCTTAGTAACTTCCTTCACACACATCGGGTCTCAAAAGCTTGCTTACCAAATAATGCCAGAACAAAAGAGGGTCCTGAATTTTTCGGCTTAGTCCCATCTTCGAATTCTTTCTCTCCCACAATGTCCTCAAATATCAGTAGCCTTGACCAAGACCAAGACAAGTCCTTTTCTGCATACACCGGCTCCAGAGGCGGCAGGAAGGCTATAGTCGGAAGCATGGTTGCTACTCCCAAGATGGCACAGACTGTGACAGCGATCAGAGACAATCTAGTTGAAATTATTAGAAGATACTATCTACTCACTTCGAATCCCCCATGGGAAACCTATAGTGGGTAGACACCCGTTGAGAATTGCGGTATGGACAACACCACCTAAAGCATTCCGTTAGTAACAACAAAACCATGGTTGAAACCAAGTCTCTCACCAATGCTGGCCCCGAGACGAATGAATCCCGTCCACATTAAAGGGCGTTTCCTCTGATTAGCATCGAGATAGATGACAGCCAGACCGTACAGCACACTATCCATCACTCCAACGACACAGCCATGCATGATGATAAGCCCCTCATATGAGGACACACTGGCACTCGCTATAAGAAAGGCGGTGCGGATAGTGATGCATAGTGCCCCTACTACCAAAACATAACCTCTGTGTTTATCTTTTTTGGGCTTCAATTGATCAAACATCCACTTCACAAGAGGGAACAACAGCAGGAGAACGCTAGCGTATATCGACCCGATCCAAGAGACTGATAAGTACGATACGGATGAATCAACTTGAATATCCTTGTACCCGTACAGGAAGGCACCGAAAGCCTATTCTTCTATATCAGTCTCTGTTCAAGCTGCAAGACAGTACTTAGCCAGCGTACCAGGTTCAAGCCCCTGAATCGCACCGTTAGAAGTTGTCATTGAAAACAAGTCAACAGCAGCTCTTACTTGGTATTCAATGAAACAAAGAATGGAAATAAAAACTTAATCAACTCGGAGATAGATGACTGCTTGTTGTCGGATTTATCATCACTTTGAGCAGCTGTGGTTCCACTCTTCCGTCGCCCTGTTTGTTCATGGTGCTGCACACCATCTCCGCCATTATGCTCATAAAGCCCTTCCGGCGACACTGGTATGTTCTGCGCTTGACCTGGTGACATTTTTATGTGCTTAGTTCCAGGACCAGAGAACTAGGCTCGAAATAATGGATTTGGAAAATTGGAAAATGATAAGCAAACGGTAGAAGAAGTGCGTAGGAATATGTCGGGTTTTATCATCCATGGTTGAGTCATGATTCTGACTCGAGGATATGGTATAGAATAGTCATCTGTCCAAGATGACTCGTTCCTATAGATTGAAAGCTTTTTCGTTTCGAAGTTGAATATTTGGCGATTATGCGTCACATTTGATTTTCCAAGCCGTTGGTCCTTTTGGAATTGATGCGTCATGATTGATACCGGTAGGCTGATGAGCAGACAATCGTAAGTTTATTACTGAAAAGCCGTACCCTCTAGATATTGAATACAACCCTTTTTTTATAGCTGGACAGGTTTGAGATGATGCCATTTGTTAGTCTAGCAAGCCGGTAAGTGAAAGTAATTAGTGTTCAAGACGAGGAGACATGAGCTGATAGAGTGTAGCGATGGCTGCCTGAGGCAACTACGTGGGGACAAAGCGTGTTTCTCTTATGCTTCATTCTTTAGTATCGGCTATTGACTTCTTCAATACGCAGTTTGCGTATGTACATTGAGCTAATAACCTGGCTTGTTGCTTTTTCTTGCCAAGCCAAACAAACCAGAGCGTCGCAGGAGGGGTGGTTTCAGGAAAACCTGCTCAAACAGAACTGATGGCAGTATGCAATGAATTCTCATCAAAACACTCTGGTTTATCCGTATCGTTGATGAGGTATAAAAGCTGAATCACTCGGGGAAGACCCGTAAAACAGGAAAGTATTCATATTTTCATTTCGACTCATCAACCCCAGTTACTGGTGTTTAGTATCCGAATCACTCGAGGAGGACCCGGAGCAGCTGTGTCAATCAGAGAGAGGACCAGCAGAGAGGGTTCGACGAGGGGAACACCTTGGTGCTACCTCGTGTTCCCTGAGGAAAGAAGAAGAAAAAACTTTTTCAGAGAAAGGCGTGAGATGTTTGACAAACACAAGGCGCTGCCCCACAAATAATGAATAATTAGATATAGACCACTAGCTATACATATAAAGGTGCCATCTGTGCAACAGTTCTGAGTTACACTCGAATATATGCAATGATGACTCTGGATTATGATAGTATATATTTATTATAATGTCTTTAATGATGAAAATTCCATGCATTTTACGCAGTGTCAGCCATTCAGAGTGATCATAATCAAGAATTTCATTGTTTTACAGGTTGGTATTCTCCGTGGTCAGGTATACAATAACACGAATATATCAAGAGTTACTTCACTACCTCTATTCTTTGTTCAATATGATTATTCGTACCCTCGATGGGTCTATAACTTCAAATTTTCGAAAAGGGAAATGAAGAATATAATCTGCACCTATGGACAAATCTCCTCTGGACCAGCACCCTCACAGGGTGGTCGTGAAAGAGTCAAATCCTCAGAGGTCTTCGTGATATGTCCCGACAGCAGATGTTGTTGAGTATAGTCATTCAAGGGTTTGAAATTACGGCACTTATGCCAGCTGTTGAAGTCGGGATATGGATCAGGAAAACCCGCCACCCAACTGCTAGTCACGATGCCAACATCTCCTTGGCACTGCACTACTTGTCGAAGCATGTCGATGCAATGGTCTAGCGGAGGAATGTTAATTTAGGGTTGATGGGAGGCAGAAGACCCAAAAAAAATTGAGTACGCGGTAATCGAGGAATGGACGGGCATCGTATCCACTTACCAATGTGCAGACGAAGTGTCTCGTTGGAATCCGTAAAAGCAGGAGGTCGGTTCTCAGGACGGTGATAGTAGTCTAAATACGTATATTGCCGAATTAGATTCACGCAGTGTAGCTATTGCGAAATTAGCCGCCAACTCCTATCTCACATTGTGAGCAGATAGATATCGTACTTGATGGAATACTTCTAAACCACCGGTATACCACTCCCCATCTGGAGTCCGCAATTTAGCTTGAGTCGTCGGCTTTTGCAAGTGCTTCAGATCATCGGGATGGACTTTGATTTGTCCCACTGGAGAACAATAATGCACTTTCGTCAATTACAGAGACGACAGAGTTCAGGGTGACGTACTGTTTACTATTTCGTCCCATGCAGCATCTATCTCGGGGCTGGGTGCTCCTTTGTAAGGGCTCTTATTGAGCAGGGCCCCTTGAAACCGGACCATCTTATACTCCACTGCCCCTAACGCCGGTGCTAGGAGGGTAACCATTAGCCTCGGAGCGAGAAACGATAATACACCGCAGATGTTTTCGTAGATGCAAGATCCGTATTACTTACAGTAGGCAGATAGTTGGGCAACACAATCTTGATCTGTGGGGTACCTCTGTTTGATTCCCTGAAGGAAGAAGGATGACGATAGCAGTAAAAGAATGATGTGAACCGTCCAAACATAGATGGATGAATTCAGACAAGCACGTCCATTTTGCCGTCGATACAATTCCTCCTTTTCCAGGAGATGCTCTGCATCTTCACCAGCAGAACTAGAGTCCGTGAGACTCAAGCGAGGTTTGATCGCCTGGTAGACGAACTTTTTGATATGCATTTTGTACTCTTCTATGGAATATTAGATCACAATAAAAGAAAGAGAAGAAATGAACATTTTAAAATAATTCATGAGAGATGATCCCTTCAGGGTATTCAGAAATAATGGTTTGAATCATGAAAAGGAAGGCTATCATAGTGGACTTGCCTTGCGTCCCAAATTATGCAGATAATCCATCAATTCATACAAGAAAGGTGTCAAAGGCGAGAGCAATTACGCCAAAAATGGGAAACAAGAACAAGGAAACAAAATGATCATTGGATGAGAACTAGAGGCGGTATGATATCTACATGTCAGGTAACTGCCAAAACTACCAAAAGTGGCGTCTGACTGTACATGCAACCTATTAAACCCCTAGAAGTTAAATCATGATTCTGACGTGGTTACACAAAATCTGAACCTCACGGGGGTAAAGTAGGGCATGTAAGATGTCATTCTTGGATGTTTGGCTTGCATGAGAATAGCTGAAATGCGTTATGGAATGTCATCGTCGCAAGAATAGTCCAGCCACTGACAAGTTCCGTTACTCCTTACGTATATTAGATTTAATAAGAATACAAAAATATATCTCATGACTGGCCCTAAGCCATATTTAGATATAGCTATGAGGTTGTCCCAGCTAATGGCAACGTTGAGATCATTGGATAGTCTAGATTTGCTTGTTCGCTTCATTGACAACTTTAATCCATGAATGAATCCATATGTTGCTTGCATGCTCCTGACATTGTCAACTATACTTCGAATTCGTAGATTCTTTTTATTCGGGCAGCTTGCCTCTTCCATCCTCTGGCTAGAGAGAATGAGGCCCCTTGCTCATGCAGTATGACAAGGAAACTTGAGGCACTCGAGACTGCGCCACATAGACAACTAACCGCTGTCTGAACGGGATGGATGATTGATCGATGTAATGCGCATATGGGAAAGAATGCGCACCACATCGCTGAATGAACTCAGCGTATGTCTCATGGTCCGCAGATCTCTCCTGGGTGCTTCTCGGCCCAGCAGAAGTTCGGTAAGGGGAATTGGTGTGCATGTTTACATTTTGAGTTCCGGTAGAGGTGAATCATATGATCGCACGGTCTATCTTGAAGTAGGACCGTTGGTGTTCTTCAAGTGCGTACCTTCGAACTATATAAGCCTTGCATATCTCTTGCCCCTGATGAGTATCATTTACTTAAGCTATCATCGTCTGCAATCAAGATACAATTAACATCTCCACGAAAACAAGTTTTGTGCTCAGGAATTATCTATTCCCTACCAACCACTTAAGTTACAATGAAGTTCCTTTCCACCTTGGGCCTTGCCTCTATCGTCGTGGCTGCAGCTGCTGTGCCGATGAAACAGTGAGAAACCTCATCTGCTTTTGATCTTCTCGTTGAGTAATCCTTCCAGCAGTGCGACAAATATTGAGACTCGTGACGCCAAGGTCAAATACGATATCTACGACGCGCCTGAGAAGCGTGATGCCAAGGTCAAATATGACATCTACGACACGCCTGAGAAGCGTGACGCTAAGGTGAAGTACGATATCTACGATGCACCTGAGAAGCGTGATGCCAAGGTCAAGTACGATATCTACGATGCACCTGAGAAGCGTGACGCCAAGGTCAAATATGACATCTACGACGCGCCTGAGAAGCGTGACGCTAAGGTGAAGTACGATATCTACGATGCACCTGAGAAGCGTGATGCCAAGGTCAAGTACGATATCTACGATGCACCTGAGAAGCGTGACGCCAAGGTCAAGTACGATATCTACGATGCACCTGAGAAGCGTGACGCCAAGGTCAAATATGACATCTACGACGCGCCTGAGAAGCGTGACGCTAAGGTGAAGTACGATATCTACGATGCACCTGAGAAGCGTGATGCCAAGGTCAAGTACGATATCTACGATGCACCTGAGAAGCGTGACGCCAAGGTCAAATATGACATCTACGACGCGCCTGAGAAGCGTGATGCCAAGGTCAAGTACGATATCTATGACGCACCCCAGTAAGAAGAATGCTCGAAGTATCAACATGCAATGAATACATGTTGCCTCATTTCAAAAGAGTCGTCACTAGAGTGGAAATTTGGATTAGCAACGCGCTTTCAATAGTGTTAAACTGAAATGACCACATAAAGTAGTAGGTCTAGGAAATGAACTCAATATTCGCTCTTTACTTGCATGGAAACTCCGCAATTTTTGATCTGAGGGCAGAGAATTGAATACAATGACTATAGTTCATCGATTATTAACAATTAATTTATCCCAGCGTCCCATAAATCGTGACTTCGTGCATACTATGAGCTCCTATTATAGAACACTAGATGCGCATACAGCATCAGTAACCATTTGACTGTCGACCTCCTCAGTCGACCCTAGAGGTGACGCCAACCGACTTTGGCTATCTATGGAGCATCAGTAATCTATGTGGACTGTCTTAGTATGAAACCTTTCCAGCTTGACGTTGAATAATCTCACAGTTCAACTATCGCCCAAACGAGAAACCAGGGAGTGGAGCCAATCCACCAAATAGTAACGGGCTGGCTTGGACAATACGACTACGCAGATACGAGTAAGGTCCCGACAGTAGGAAAACATAATTCTGTCGTGGAATGAAACTTTCAGATACTCAGCCTTCTGACGGCCAAGCATTCATGCAAAGCATCCCAACCAGCTACTCATCGTCCTCACCTCCTCTCCAGGGCCCAGAGAATCTATTGCAGCTTTAAGAGCCTCTACCAATGCCTCCGCAAACCTCCTTCTAATCTCATCCGGCTCACAAGCAATTCCCTTTTCATATTCCTTGGATAGGACAGCCTGGACCTCTCTCCTACCATCTAATGCTTCCGGAGGATTGTCTACATAACTCTCCTTGTCTAATACCCAGCCTGCTTCGGAGGCAGCTTTCTTAATGCTTATCGGGGTGTGCAGTGACCGGATGTTGCTATCATAATTCACCCCTGCCACTCGACTAGATTCTTCCCCTTGCGCAAGAGTAGCGAGCAGATGAGGAACAGTCGTCCGGTCCCCACGCGCGTCCAGTGAGAACTCTGCGATTAGTAATCTCTTCGCTCGGCCACGGAGGCTTGCTAGCATCGGGTTGAGTTCTTCAGGGGATCCAAAGTACCAGAGGCAGTGCGTGAATATGGCATAGTCATATTGGGTGTCTGGGTTGGACTCCAAATGTTCTTGCAATGTAGCCTGCTCGAAGGTGATTCTGGGACCTAGAGCGGACGACTTAAGATTTGCATGGACCTGGGCGACAGTAAAGGGGTCCCCTTTTTGTTATAGTATTACCGTTAGTAAATATCCCATAGATAGAAACAGAATGACAGTGTACCATAGTCCAGCGGTGCAGGGTCAACTCCCGTAACGTGACCCTCCTCTCCCACCAGGTTAGCTAGAATCACAATGCTATCACCCTGTCCACAGCCTATTTCCAGGATTCTGGAGCCGGGCTGGATATTCCATTGGGAGATGATGTTCAATCGTTGCTGCAACTCAGCTTTGACAGTGCGAAGATACTTCTCCTGGGGTATGTACATTCGAGCGAGATCTTCGAGAAGACGCGTCATGTTGAGTTGACGTTGTTAAATGGAAGGAGGATTCCTGGGCGTCATGAATAATTCAGGGCTAGGCTTTTGACTTGAACAGTCTGTTTGAATATTTGCAACTGTCAGGAAGTTCTGGCTAAAATGTGTAATAATGTCTTCAGGCCAATTTCTCTGGCCACTCTTTCACTGGGCTAATGCAGTGCTTCTGGATGACCGGAATGTGTCAATATTTCGTTCTTTTGCATTGTAGTCGTCGGAAGGGGGGCAGTCTAGGGTAACACCAAGCATTCCTGAGTCCTTGTCCAAGTGGTGACACTGCAAGCAGCGTCCCATATCCATACCTTGTAGGCAGTCTGGTAGCACGTAGTGGACCATGTTCCTCAGCAGAACCATTGACAGATACATTCACGTGTTTGAAGGACGAAGCAAGGGAGTTTAAGAAACATTTGTCTCCTTGCTTCGACCGAAATCAGCCATCGATCAATTAAAGTGAATCTATCTCCCATTAGCAAATTGTATGTGCTCTAATTAACCTAGGCTGTTGGAAATTTAACGTTTTCGTAGTTACTGAATGGCTCGTCTCTCAGTTCTTCTTCCGAAACGGGACTATCAATTCGTCTTTGCTTCATATAAAGCAACCTACACAGACAAAGGTGTCTTGCGCCCTTGGCATCTCCTTTAACACTCTCCCAGATCCATACATCTTAGCTGTTTCAAAATATGGAAGACTCAATAGATTGTGAGAATGAAAATGCTCCTGTTAGTAACCCCTAAGCGTTGCAAGTGGAGAGCTAATATTATCGGATCGTCTTTCTTTTCAGAATCATATCACTCTTGATTCATTTGAGGATATCCTTGCCCAGTTTAACAATGTGTACGTGAAAATCTGTATACATTACTCATAAGTAGCGACTAACGGCCCAAATATAGTGAGTTCCGTGTGACCAAAGAAGAGTTAACAGCCGCAAAGCAGAAGTTCGAGGCTTTGACATATATGCAAGTCAGAGGAGTACGTGAGCAATAATAAACCACAACATGGGCCGGACTATTTACTATAGAAGACTCACCCTCTCAGACAGTGGATAATGTGCTTCAAGTCCACGTCAACGACCCAAATTTCCCCTCTGCGATTCTTAACAAGTTTGCTGAGTTCAAACGCACCCGGGACGTCGATACATCAGACAAGCCAACACTCACATTGCTGAGTGGGCAAGTCTACTTGCTGGTGGCTCTGATCTTGACCAACAGCCCGTACCCCGAAGTGCGCGCCATCGTCAGCAACGACGATGACCCACAGATTCCTTGCTCAACGATCCGATCATGGGCCATCGGCCTCTTCTTTGTCGTTGGTGCATCAGTGGTGAATCAGCTGTTCAGTATCCGTCAGCCCCCAATTGGCGTCGATGTCATGGCGATTCAGCTCTTGTCGTATCCCTTGGGAAAGGCAGCAGAGCGATTCCTGCCTGACGTTGGGTTCACGTTCCGGAGCGTACGCCACAGCTTCAACCCAGGACGATTCAGCCAGAAGGAACATCTTTTGATTACCATCATGGCAAACGTGGGAACAAATCGGCCATACTCGAATTTCATTGGTTGAGTGGTTCATGTGCGTCCGTAATGTCGTTAAAACTAACCTGTAGCTTTGTAGTCTGGACTCAAGTCCTCCCCAAATACTTCAACCAGCCCTATGCAAGAACCTTTGGTTATCAGCTCTTGCTTTCTCTGTCCTCTGATATGATGGGTAGATCCTGCAGAGTCAAATATCAATTTCTTATCTAATATTTACTAGGATATGGGCTCGCGGGACTGTGCCGCAAGTTTCTCACATATCCATCCTTCTGTCTGTTTCCCCAGAGTCTCGTCACGCTCGCACTCACCAACACTCTCCACCATCGTAAGTATGGAAAAATCAGACCTGTTTGAGTTGGGTAATGTCGAAAGGAATTAGAGCCTAATTCATGATATTAGAGGAGAATTCGACAGTCACCGGACCCTTCAGGCGAATATATAAGCTGTCCCGGTTCCGATACTTCGTGTTTGCCTTCGTCGGGATGTTCTGCTACGCGTGGCTCCCGGGCTATTTGTTCGGAGCATTGAGTATATTCAACTGGCTTAGTTGGATTTCCCCACGCAACGTCAATCTCGTTGCCATAACTGGAATCTTAACTGGTATGGGCCTCAGTCCCCTCCCAACATTGGACTGGAACATGGTTACGACAGTAGTCGATCCCCTTGTGGTGCCACTGATTTCCACCCTGAATATATTCGGCGGTGTCATCATCAGCGGCGCTCTCATCATGATCTTCTGGTACACTAATACATACTGGGCCTCTTATCTGCCCATCAATACCAACAGGCTTTTCAATCGTTGGGGTAAGGCGTATAATATCTCAGAAATACTGGATTCGCATGCCGTTCTCGAACAGGCTAAATATCAGCAGTATTCACCCGCCTTTCTAGCGCCGAGCAGCATAGTCCAGTATAGCTTCTTCTTCGCGACATACTCCGCGCTCATCACGTATACCATCCTGTATCAGGGCCAGGCCATCAGGATGGGGTTTAGGAATCTCATCCAGAAGAACGGTCGGAAGGCGGCCAGCGCTCATGATGTCCATTCTATGCTCATGTGCAGATATAAGGAGGGTGAGAATGACAAAGTTCAAGAAATTTCGTAGGTATATGAGGTTACTGACAAAGCCTTGTACTTAGTTTCCGAGATATGGTACACCGCGCTTAATGTGGTGGCACTTGGCCTTGCCCTTGGCGTTATTAGGGGCTGGCCAACCTACGTAAGTCGTCCCCAGCGTCTGCCCCAAATAAATCACTGAATCTATTTACCTGTTAGACAAATGTCGGAATAGCCTTTATGGCGTTCATTATTGCAGCTGTCTTCCTTATTCCGCTAGGTCTGATCTACGCCATGACAGGGATTAGTATCAATCTGAAGTAGGACCATACATACACTCTTCTCTATAGCGAAGAGCATACCGCTGATTCCTGGGTACGTATAGTGTGCTTTCGGAATTCTTAGGTGGTCTCTGGACTCCCGGAAATGCACTGTCGGTGAACTTTTTCAAGCTGTACGGGTAGGTAAATCCTATCGCATCCAAGGTCAGCGGGTCGACAGCATCTAATTCTTCCAAATGACCAGATATACGACCATTTCCAACGCACTACCATTCATCAGCGATCTTAAACTAGCGCACTACGCGAAGATCCCGCCGTGGCACACTTTTTGGGCGCAGGTCGTCGCCACGATCGTATCGGCCGTTGTGTGCACCTCTGTGCTCAACTATCAAATCGATGGAATTCCGGATGTTTGCGAAAGGTTTGACCACTCCGTTCGATTCTGCCCGCAATCTTTCATTAACACAACTACTTCAATGCGAATAGTACTCAGAAGGATCGCTTCACCTGTCCTGGAGTCAATACTTACTTCACTGCCTCGGTGATCTTCGGTAGCATTGGCCCTCGCAGAATGTTTGGTGCCGGAGGTCCGTACACAGCATTACTTGCTGCCTTTCCAATTGGTCTAATGCTGCCGGTGCTGCTCTACTTTGCGCAAGGTCAAGTATCCTGGCTGCGCCATATCCATCCGGTGATGTTGTTGCATGGAGGGGCCACTTGGTCGCCTGTAAGTGCCTTGAGATATATCACTGTGTTCTTGTATCCTTCTGACCTAACCATTGCCGTTCAACAGTTTAATTTCGCCTACATCTGGCCCGCCGTACCGATTTCAATGCTTTCAATGGCCTACCTCAAGAAACGATATCTGGCATTCTGGGCCAAGTACAATTATATCACGTCCGCAGCCTTCTCTTCAGCAATCGCAATTGCCAGTCTGCTGATATATTTTATACTGCAATCTAATGGCATCGAGTTGTCCTGGTGGGGGAATGATGCAGATTCTGGATGCGAAGCCCACGCATGCGCACGACATATACTGACAGGCGACGAATACTTTGGTCCGCGAGAGGGAGAATGGACTTGATAGTAAAGTGTTTAGCGGGAGCAAAACTTCCCCGAATTCTACACCATGAAAGATGAAATGAAAAAACAAGGGTTTATATAGGATTTGAAAGTGCTCGGTGTGACTGACACCGCGCTCACATTCCCCGTAGAGTAGTTTTTCAGCAATTAACGGGTTTCTGTTCGAGAAACATCGTACACCATAAAGTAAGCGCCGTATTCACCCTGCCCGCCATACTTAGAGTCATCCTGGATGACCCGATATACCTCCTTGAATCCCAGTCGCTCATAGATGCTTCGACCAGCCTTGAAGGCCAGAATGAAGATTGGCAGTCCGATTTTCTCTGCACAATGGATGCCGCTCTCAACGAGTGCCGTGGCAATCCCTTTGCGCTTATTTTCAGGATGAACGGCTAGATAGTCCAACGCTAAGCAATGTCAATCCAGTGTCATGGGCTCTTGGAACAATGTGTCCTACTAATATACGGCTTCTCAGCCAAGATACGCTCCATCACCTCCTCATTCTTCTCGTCAATTTCACCCATATCGCTTCCCGGGTTCCACCACGCAGACTGGGCCAATTCCTCAAAGTGCTTCTTCTCCTCCTCACTAACATCTGGAACTTGCGCCTCAACCCACTCCGGACCCCCCTCCTCAGTAGTCACGTGGCCAGATGGCAAGATCCAACGGGCGTACCCAACCACAGCATTAGTGACTGGGTCGACAGCCTTCTGGTGTCGTCTATCCTGGCGGGATTGCAGGAGGTTTCGCGCCTGTCTCTTTGCGGACTGTTCGATAAGAAAGTCCAGGGTGATATCTTTGGGCCACAAAATGATCCAGGTAGGGTCCTCCCAAAACGCTGCCATGTTGTTGCGCGCTAGGGTGGCCGCATCACTCACAGTACAGCGTTCGATTTTCCAAGTGTCCATACCTGCAGCTGGCTGATTTTGTGTATAATGAGGGTAGTATTAGTAGAACAAATGTTATTGTTGTAGTCTCAGAGTACGCAGTCAGGGAGCTGGGCCGATCAGCAGGTGGCGAATTTATACTTCTGTTTCCACCCAAAGCAAGTCCAGCATGTAATCCCATAAACACGGCCGTTTTCTTAACAAGAACAATGCTTTTCATTTGTCGGAAATGTAAATGTTGGATACGTATCCAAAATAACCTGATTCATGTAACATTAATTTATTTTTTATTTCCCACTTCTTGCGTGAGTATTATATTTAATGTAGATAAAATATGATTTATTGGATCAGCAGTTTTTGTTACCTGCCCAGTCGTTTCGCTTTTACATCTAAATTGTATGATATAATGGAATAGACTCAGATTATTGTTTAATTCTCTAAAAACATGAAAATCGAGAGTGCGAACTTTTCTACCCTCGCTCAAGAGGGTTCCCCACCTGAGACCAAATGACGCACTCCTATTGGCTAAAGTGTATGGATCTGATTTGTATGAATTCTCTCCCCATATATTTCGAGCCAAGGCTTATGCCACTAATCCAACATGATTTTATATTTTATCCTTTAATATATATATATATATATATATTGAAGGCGCAAGACATAGGTGGCGCGCGAATATAGCCCAATGATAGATCACATTCAGGAAGTAAAGATTATTTTAACCAATACAACCATTATTAGAGCATTTACCTTACTGAATCTTAACCTCTTCGCAATATGGGGCTCAGGAGCAAGCTTCAGTATAGCTACAGAATATGTCTTTAATACGTTCCCTGCTCCACCGCAAACGGTAAGTTTACGTACGTATAAGGCTGCGCTGAGACACAAATTCCGTACTAAAACAACGCAAATGCTATATATCCAATGAACGTTTCTCCAACACAGCACTATAAGGACTCCAAACCTAGCCATGAACAAAATAGCAACTTATATCAAACACCCTTTGAGCACTATCTCATCTGAGACGAAGTGCAAGGCTAACTCGGTCTTAGGCTGCCGTATGCGCCGACTCTGCACTAATGAGAGCTTGTGGCCTATGGTTGATCAAATACGCGCCGGGCCCCTGCATCGACGAGGCTGTCTGTTAGCGCTCCAATAACACCATCAATAATGGGGCTCGAGAGGACTGCTTTGCACAGCCTAGCTTACCAGGCCATGGGCTCAAATATTCTTTCTATTACTCTCGATCTCCGGTAATACAAGTTCCGCCGTAGTCGACGATTCGGCAATGTCACTATATTGTGTATAATGTTGGCACACTATATCCCTTTGTTTTTCTGCTTGGCAGTATGTGTATCGGCAGATGGATGGGACGACTTTACGAATAATCTCGCAACGGATTTGGTACGGCCTGCTCGAAAAAAAAATAATAACCTGATTAGGAGCTCACGGTATACACCAGGCGCCTTTAATAACTCTCTTCGGCGAGCGGATTACCATACAATGTCTTTCTGAGTCGACCTCAATTCTCGACGACATTATCTTTGCCCTCGCTCCACTAGGTGTTCTGACAGCAGTTGTGTCTGCGATTCGAGTCTGTGGCAACTCCACGCTCCGCGCATTCATCGGCAGGGCCCAAGAAGACCCCGGTTCTGTTGAGAGAGAGCTGCTCTCATGTGTTTCAGATTCGACCGCTGAGATATTCAGCGACTCTGGGGTTTCCAGAATAACCGGCAATCCGAAGATCCTAGAAGTCGTTATCGACGAAAATCCAAAGAATGATGGAATGCTGGATATTAAAAAGGTGAGAGAAATCGCAAAAAGCAACTCGCCATCGGATCTAGAGGACGATATCCGACCTCCAAATCTATCTTTGAACAAAGGTATCAGAAGGCGAACCCAGTTCTGGTTTTACTTAGCCGCGATCTTTGGTGTTGGGCTGCAAGCTGGTGAGTGCTCGATTTTGGGGAAAAAAATCTTCTGCTAACTGGAACTAGGTGTTATTATATTTGCCATTCTTACTGTTTCTCGTTGGGCGCAGGCCTTTCAGAAAAACGGACATGCCGTGGATAGCTACGCTTTGCCTATGTTTATTATCGGCACCGCTCTCCTCGCTCTAGGGATGTTCTTTTGTGCCTTAGTCGTGGAGCGCTTTTCAGCAAAGCATTATTTCCCTATGCCAAGCGGCAGCAGCAGAGTATACTGGGTGCAGCCAGGAAACCAGATGGTGGGCGACCAGGTATTTCCGGCTTTTGTCGGTAGAACAGACAAAGGCGCTATTTATACCCGCTCTGTAAGACATCGTTCCCCAGATAAACTGTGGTACCTAAGCAAAGAAGTCTGGCTCATACATATCGTCGCCCTGACAATGATTGGCTTTGTGATGCAATTTATTGGTCAGCGTGGTCTCCATTCCTCTGTAACTCTTGCTCAGTTAGGGTCTACCATGGTTATGACTGCAGTCAGAACCAGTCTTCGCGCGCAGAGAATGCACGAAGACGACAACATGCTCGGACGTGACCAAAAGATGGTATCCAACGGGGGACATGAGTTGGATTGGCTTGCGTTCTCTCTAATGAAAATCCAGTCGTTTGAAATTTGTCCCATTACGACTTCTACTGCGTATGTTTAGTACCTGCGAGTTCTGGTAGCGATGTCTTCTGACGAAATCCATAGGCAAAACTCTGAAGAGACACCGCATTGTATTGTACAAAATCTTATCAAAACACGTCAAAGACTTCGGGAACTGGCAGGCCTACACTGGAATGAGACTTCCATAGTCAAAGCGGCAGAAAAATTGGCCCAAGCAATATATAAGTGTATCCTCCTTGAACCAGGCTCTCAATTCACACTAAACATACCGATTGAGGTTCAAGAAGAAAAGACTTCCGAAACCATGCGCGAAGTGTTTGAAATACCGATATCAATTGATAAGAATTACAAGTCCTATATAAATATTTTCGAGCCGATTCTCGGGTTATACGTGTGGTCTATCAAACGAGCAAACCCTGAATTAGATGAGACGTGTCAGTATTCCTTTTTCAAGGCGTTTCGAATCAACAACAAGAATGCTCATCAGAAACGCCTTCTTTTACGAAAATGGATTAATGCAGTATCTTTTACTGATCAGGCTCAGCAGCCTGCCAAATTCCTCAAGCGTTGCCAGACATTCGGCAACACGAAAAGTTCCACAGGCATACAAGGGAACGATGACGACGTTCTCATTACAGTTACCTCCAGTCTCTATGCGCTTGCAGCTCAAGACATCTTTACTCATATATTTTCTTCCATGTCAAAACATTTTAAAAACACTTCTGCAGGAACTTATATCTCAGGATTCGATGAAAGCAGCTTCATAGCGCGCAATGGTAATTTAGAATCGGCGAAGGAGGCGTTTATAAACGCAGGACTAGGGGACTCTGTGGAGGCAGCCCTATGTATATTACCAGCACTTTATGATCGACAACTGATACCTGAAATCTCGTTAAACACTTGTGAGCTGCGTGAACAAATAAAAGAGTTCGTCAAGGCTCGGGAATATGACAAAGCCCTCACAATGAGCGAATGGCTATGTTGTTTGTGCGATTACGAACAAGTCGAGCGCTCACTTGTCGAGTACGGCTTTTTGAATCTACAATGCCTTATGGATCCGTATTTTGGAATAAGAGGCACTAGCTTCGAATATATTGCGGCTATCGTGAACCCAACTGCTGAAAACCGCTCAGCTCAGTTAAGTTATGATTTACTTGACAAATTGGCTAGCAAGCCTCAAAAAGAATGGTGGGAAAAATTCCGAAAAGAGATGCACTGGATGGCGATAGGCATATGTCAGTATCAAGCCAAGCATAACTTACAAGAAAGTACGGGGCAGCTTTTACGAAGTGTACAAACACGGCTCGGGCCTGGATCGCCATTCAACGAGATTGATCCCGACTCGGAGTTTACGGCATTGTTACATGGTGCTTTACTAGATCTGTGGTTTGGCACAGTTGGATGGGCCGTTTTGGACGATGAATACGTCTACCAGAAGGTCCTTGACTGGCTTGTTGAGAATGACCACAGCCTGATCCTGGAGTGGCTCATCATACAACTCACTGGCAATGTATTTCCTCGCTTTAATGAGGAGAAAATAACCGAAATGGCGAGCTTCGCTGCAAGCAAACAGTACAACAATGTCATCCAGATGCTAGCACGTCACATTGAAAGGGACCAATCCCTTCAGGGCGAAATAGTTTCAAATCTAGCGCTACAGGGAGATGCAAAGACACTAGAAATGATTTTTGGATGTTGGGAAGAGGCGGTGCTTACGACAGCCCGCGAGATTGCTTTACTCAGAGCAGCAGGGAATAAGCAGTTATCAGTCATCGAGGCCAACATTCAACATGGTGTCAATTTGCATGCATGTGACAGTACCCAGGAGACAGCTTTAATGAAAGCAGCAGCAAATGGAGATGCTGCCAGTGTCACTCTGATACTTAAACATATATATCCGGTGAATATTGATACTTGCAACGTGGAGGGAGACACTGCCTTGATAATGGCTGCGGCACTGGGTCATGCTAGGGTTGTTGAGATTCTTGTCGACAATGGGGCAGATGTCAATAGGACTGGAAAGGGGGGCAGGACGGCATTAATGGCGGCAATCTCCGTCAAAAGTCTACCAGTTGTTCGTTATCTTCTGTCTCGAAACGCCGATGTTCACGTGCAAGATTATAGCCAAGCCACCGTGCTGGATGCAGCTATATACGTGGGATTCGATGGACCCTGGAAGGAAGGCTGCGAGCTTTTGGAACAAGCAGGGGCTACTCGTGGTTTACACCAACGCAAATAAATGTCTTCAATTGAGTATAGACTATATATATGAATATACATTGCACATATACCGTGTTTTTGACCATGAACAAAAGACGGTAAATAAGGTAGAAATGAAATTACAAGCCGAAACCCCAGTTTCAAATCATCCACTTGCTGTGCTTGCACCAATATGCATGGCGAAAGCATTAACATTCCTCGTCTGTAGGTAAACCGTGCCAGGTCCTCTGAATCTACACGCGAGACCCTCGCCAGAACTTAAACTAGAAATGACACCACCAGAAGCGACACGCTCGATTTTATACTCGCAATTCCACGCAACCAAATGGCCATTGTCGATGTAATAATCCTCTCCTTCCAGAAGCTTTCAAAAAAAAAAAAGGAGTCAGTAACCGATCAAAACTTTCAAACAACTTTAAGAAGGGGTAATACATCTTTCTTAATTATAGCACCAAAGCTCTGCAGCCACACCAAGCCCTTGCCGCCCATTTTGTAGGTGAACCAACCTTCACCCGAAAACATGGTTTTGGAGAGACTCTGCGACTGGTATTTCTTCTTAATGCCGCTTGTGACCGCGAGGAAGGCATCGCGACCAACCCTCCACTCTTCGTCGTCATCCAGTCGCAAAGTGGTAATATCTCCCAGTACAGACGGAGCTAGAAGCACCTCTCCTGGGCCAGTATATGTTGAATGGGCCATTTCGCCTCCAACGACGAGCCTTTTCAGAGAGAAATGGAAGTTTCCTTTGAGCGTAATGCTAGGCGACATTGCAATCATGACCCCTTTCGTGCATACATATATCAACCTCTGGATTTTTCTCAGCAATTTAGGGACACTCATACCTGGTCTTGCTTCTAGTGGTGCTCCCATGGCTAGCTGGAAGGTAATGATGGTGTTGGTACTACGGTGGCTGATTCGGTAGCTTCCTCCATTGAACGTTCCCACGTCGTCTGCTACTGTAGCCTGCGCGCCCTTGAACTGACCAGGAGGCGGCGCACCTCCACCCACCAAAGCTTTCAAGCCCATTGGCGGAGGAGACATAGGCGGCGGCGATATAGGCATCTTCTGCTCCAGGGCAGCAGCGGCCATAGCAGCCTGATGCGCCGCTGCACCACCTGCGTTTCCATCGAAGCGTGGCGGCGGGCTTGTTGTCGACGGGCGACTACTCGGTGGAGGTGGATACTGTGAGATTTGCGAGATTTGCGACGAGCTTGGGGGGCGAGGATAAGCGTAGTTTGGAGGAGGGAAGCCTGGGGATGGTTGTGGTGGAGGGAAGCCGGGGGAGGCTAAAGGGGGAGGAAATGCTGATCCAGTTCAGACGTCTTTAGCTCAACCAGACTTAATTTTCTTATGTTGTGGTGATTTATCGCATGGATTGATGGCGAACTTACTGGCAGATCTAGGAGGAGCTGTGATGAGGTGTTAGTCCAATTGGCCATGTTTAGTAGAGATTCGAAAGGTAAAACGTACGAGGGAAATGCTGGGGTTGAGGCTGGGCTTGAGAAGGAGGAGGGGGAAACGTCGGTTGTGACATGATGCTGTTGTATATATACGACTCGTCCGATCAGTTAATTTCACTCGAGCGCCAGGCTCTTCTGAATGATCAAAGTGATTGAGCTACAGAACCCCTGGCGGGGCATAAACAGTGAAGATAGGGCTATGCAACAGCAGCGCAGCGAATATGCAGATATGAAGTCACAGACAGAATAGAAAATAGTTAAGAAAGATCGCAGTCCATTTTACAATTTATCAATTACGACGACGACGAGGAGGACGACTCTGGCCAGAGCTAATTAATAAGTTAAGATTCAAGTTCCACTGCATACATGCATCGGACTACCCCTCTTCGCCAGCTGCTAAGGCAGGCTAAGACTTTAAGCAACCGGTGGGCGCTAATATACGCGCTGGGACAGGCTGGTGCGTGATGGCCAGCCAGTTGGCACAGGCCATTGGCCGGCTGATCGTGGACTTGGATGACAGCAAGCAGTGCCAAGTACTGCTACATAGGAGCCTATTGGTGGCGGTCTTGACCCAGAATATTGTTACGTGCCAGTCGCAGCAATAACTGGCGAGGATGGATCATGTTTGGGGTTATAATTAGTTATAATTAGAAATCTCGAGACCATCCCAATTGTTTAATGTCAATGTTAATGTTATCGCTAGTAAAGAGATTAACATTACAGAGCGTGATGTCTAATTCTGCAACCCTATCTCCATTTTGATAAAAGGAAAAACCCACTGGCACTGCCGGCATACATTCAAATCCAGTCTCATGATCATGCATCATTCTCTACAGTTTTTCGTTCCACATCATATGGGTAGTGCCGTAACAATTCGCGTAACAGGCAGGTGGTAAATACAGGGAATAGAAAATTTTAGCCAGTCTTCTTACGGCGGCCGACTTGGCCACGGAAACCAGTCTTGATGGCTGTGACTGATCGTCGGGATCCGCATGAGTTGCAGGTAACGAAGTACAGCCGATTTTCTCCCTTGTTGAGTTCGGTGTCGGGGCTGCGGCAGGTCTTGCACGTAACATACTCAACTATACAGCTTATTAGTAGATCTTCAGGGCTAGAAGTATGGTTACCCACCAATATATCGTCGCAACACGTTCTCGATCTGCTTCTGCTGGAAACGACCCTTGATGACCAGTCGTCGGCTACCGTCCACACTGCCACTCGTACCCAACTCGGCGAACAAGAACTGCATGACGTGGTCGTCCGATCGCTTCATACGCTTGCAGATATCGGCAATGTTGGCGAAAATCGTACGACGGTTTCCTTCACGCAGACACTGAGGAGGGGGGATACGGTAGGACTTGGAGCCGCTCGATAGAAGGTCCGGGTGGTGGCTTTGGATGAGAGAGAAGAATCGTGAGACGAGGAGTTGGTATGGAATGGTCTGAGTCGAGTCGTGTGCCCAGATACCGGTGCCCTTCTCCAGATCGCCTTCTGGAAGTTGGTCACCTCCTACTGCTTCTCTTGGCTCTGCGCCTTCTTCTGTGACGCCCGCCTCGGCCAGCTTGGCTTCAAAGTCTCCAACGTCGACCTTCTTTGGCTTCTTCTTTTTCTTCTTCAGTCCGCTCAAGTCCAGTTCGCCATCGCCGGTGGGGGTGGCCTCGTCGCCTTCTTCGGCATCGTCTTTTGGCTTCTTGGTTTTCTTCTTTTTCGACAGGCCCTTGAAGAGTTCGGTGACTTCGTCAACATCCTTGTCTTTTTTTTGAGCTGTTAGTTCGAATTCTCAACGTCACAACAAGTAGCCGACTTAATCACACGTACCGGCAGTGTGGCTTTCGGCGGTAGTCTTTTCGACGTGAGCCGCCTCTGTAACCTCCCCGTTGGCATCCATGATTGTGGTTCCTTCGCTGAAAGCTACGGACTTGCGTTGTTTGCGCTCGGCAAGCGACACGTCTTCCTGCAACACAGAACAAACAGTCGGTCAGTATTTGCGAGTAAAATAGCCGGAATCAAAAGAGCACTTTCAAACCCTAGAACAAAAATGTCGTAGGAAGAAAGACGGGGTGGGGACTGGACAAGGTGGTCGGGCAGTGTGAGGGGTTGCAACAACAGGGAAAAATGTGGGAGGGATTTTGTCGGCAAAGCCCAGTGTGACGTACAGAGGCAGAATCCGCCATTAGTTTCCACGCTCGAGTCGGTCCACACCAGAAGGTCCTGGAAGGTTATGAAATATAGCCCGTAGAAAATTGTCGACTGCTTGGATCGTTTTTTCGCCGTATAGTTGAAGTGTAAATGAACCACGCCATTGCCACACAAAAACTCCAGAGCCTCCGGCACGTGACGCGGTTGAGTCATTCACAGGCGCCATGGTATCCGTATTCCCGTATTTGTGTATCGTACTGTCATCACGTGATGCTCTTACGTCGTTGTTCCGACCATCGCAGCTTGTTGACTGAACACAGCATTTTCTGCTTTTAGATGCGCTGGATTTATTAGATCTGGTAGAGCTAGATCTAGAGGAGGTTTAGATTTGTCACGCCTATACTATCCGTTTTCCACATCCCTCCGCACCATTGCGACTAATGACCACGGGCACCATCCTCCGGTAGGCACACGCCGCCATCTACACCTAGTCTCACTCTCTATAATCAGCTACATCTATTGTTGAATTGCAGTGACACAATGTCGACTCCATCCCACACCGACGCCTCTCCTTCCTCCTCGACCTACATGTTTTCATCCCACCTCCACTCCTACCAGACCACATCCGACGATGATATCGCCTCATTGCCGTCCGAGACATCGACCGAATCCGACTTTCTGTCCGACTCCGACTATTCAGATGCAGAGGAGCAGTGGCGGGAGAGTCTACAGCAGTTGGAGCTGCTATTAACCATGGTGCTGGTTCCATTCATTGGGAAATATGCGGGTAGGAGATGTGCGTATTGGGGTATGTACCGTCTTAATATATCAAGAATTGCTTGTGCATCGTTTTCGGATTCAAGGAGAAGCTAACGCTGATCTGATCGACATACACAGGCTGGACCAAATTCATGGAGTGGAAATACCCAGTGGAATTCGTGACAACAAATAAGGCAGCGTTCCGTGCAGCGGGGATCTTGGGTGCAGCTACTCTTTAATCTGACGATATTCAACACAATCTTGTACCATCTTAGCCATTCACTCTCGCATTCACTCTCGCAAAAACATCACCTCCGTCTTTCCATCTAGATACCATGATAAGAAGAATAAGAAACCGTGTCTCGATATTAAGCCACTGAGAAAGCCTTCTTTTCCTGAGAGAAAGCCTTATTTTTTGTTCCCTGACTGTAGGATCTCAACAACGCCACAGATGCAATCTAACCAGACAGTAAATCCCTGAGCCTGTACAGTGATGAAACGAGTCTCAAACCTAGTACGGCTGGTACATAGGACCTCTGTATCCGACAGCAGGAGGGTACCAGGGCACGCCATATTCTCCATTGGCGTTTTCGACGTACATGTTTTCGAGAGTCATGGGATGAGATGCACTGTCATGAAGCATGAGAGGTTAGTGTGACATTGCAGTCATTTAGGAATCATGCGTACTTGAATTGATGACCAAAGCCTGCAGTATCCATGACAAATTCTTCGCTAGAAGCGCTGCTAAGGGTGTGGTAAGGGTCATCGAGGAAGCCACGGGGCATCGCAGAGTGCGCAGGATTCTCATCGGGGAGGAGAGTGGGAGTCATGTCGTCGTTGTGTGAGAGGTAAGGAGAGGGGTTCGAGGTGGGAAAGCCATACATCTGCGTCTCAGTTTTGAACTCGCCCACCACCGACTCTGCATCCTGCGCCATGATAATGCTCTGGTCCTCGTTGCTGTGGACTTCATCCATGACGTCCTCCTCCATATGTTCTGTGAGGTCTTTATGGTGGCACTGGACAAAGCACAAGCACAATTAGCACCGATTCCCACGCAACGACAAAGCCAAACCATTCATACCTTTTTCTTCTTCTTTCTGCAAATCTCACATGCACCACCCGCAAGCTTCAACGCTTTGGTACGAGCCCGCTCGGAAGCAGTCAGCTTTCTACGCTTGGGCTTGACTCTCTCTGCCAAATTCCGATTTTCGCCTTTGCTATCCCAAGTAAAAGACCAAGCTTCCTGGGAGGGTACAGTGCTGTTAGACTGATCACTGCTGTTGCTATTATGCTGGTGATGCTGCACTTCAGCCATAGACTGAGAGGTCATTCCAGCCATACCACTACCGATGGTCTGTGAGGAGGTGTAGTTTTCATAGGACGGCGGGGCGATAGTCTGGTCGACATTCGACTGCCACGAAAGGACAGACTTATGCCAATCCCTCGAAGATGTAGCACCATTTCCCTGGCGAGTCAATGGTAAGCTAGGATGATGGCCAGGAGCGAACATGTTGACGAAATTATGATGTGCGTTGGCCTCGTCGGACAGATAGCTGTGCGTATCCATCGGCTGATTGTGCTGAACATTGTAGGGATACTTTGTCAACTGCTCTGCACCTCTCTCGATCGTTCTGATTGGAATCGATGATAGCTGAGGGACATAGCGGTGCTGTTGATGCTGCATCGTGTAGTCGTTCAAGACTGTTGACTGGCGATGAGACGTTGATGAAGGGTTGGGATGACGCTTTCTCTTAGTAGAGATCTTGGTTGGAAAGGCGTTGGAATTCTGTGAGGGAATAGTCGAGAAAATTTGACTTGGATCCTGGCCTTTGGGGGGTGTGACCGGCGATTCCCGACAGGATAACCAGGTTTCAGCAAATTTCCTGACGGTGCGTTTTTGCTATCGCTGCTGGTCATAGGGGCGTTTCGAGCAGACTGCATTTTTTTTGCAGACGTGCTCACCACGAGGGGTGGATAGGCTGGATGGTTGATATAGAAAATAAGGTAGGTGACTCTGTGAGGTTTGGATGGAAACTGGGCTCAATAGAGGGCCAAGCTTTGCTTCGTGATATATCCTGAGATGAGGGACTGGCTTGGTTGATACAATTACCCTGATGAACAACCAGCGATGCAATAGCAGCACTTGGATGAAGAGCCTTGACGGGACAGTCGCCCAAGACCTGAGAGCTGATATTCCTCAGGCCCAGCACCGGATTGTACACAAAGGGTATCAAAACTGGGCAAAAGAATACGTGCAAAAGAGGGGTAGAAGAGTATTCAAAACTGGAGAAAAATGAAGCGAATAATCGACTCTACACAAGGAAAAGTAGATTGTACAGGATGCCAAAGAATACTGAATAGGAGCCAAAAATCATTGACGAGAGCCGAGGGGTAATTGAGAGCTATTTATCAGGGCAACCCTCCATTCGACAAGTCCAAACGCACGCTGCCCTCGCCAAACCATTAAAATCCAAAGCGCATGGGTCAATAGACCCATTGTTACGCCGGTAATACAATCGGCAAGGTGAGAACAAAGAGGAAGCGCTGGAACGGGGCTTATTGACCTGACGAAGTGTGGAGGCAATTATGCCATTTACGGAGAGCGGTGCTGGGAGAGCTGCCTAGGCGTCTATTTCCCTATTTGCACGTTGGACGCGAGCTATGGTGTCACAAGCTGGCATTGGTAATCACTTGTTATACAAGTTCGATTGACAGCGTATTCTGTCAGCGGTAGAAACTATGCCTAGAATAGTGATATACAATTGAACTGGCTATAACATAACACCAGGGCAAGCTCTACCCCAGCAGGCCAGCCACACGCCAGCCTCTGCGGGAACACACTGATCCCGAGGAGTCTCATTCGATGTTAACTCACATATGAAGCTACCGCGAGGAGCTGTAAACGGTATGTCCTCGCAGGTGATGTTTGCTCGCCCAACCGAACGAGTGGGACAAATCAGGCTTTATATACACCATGCATACACCCGACAAAATACAAAATAGCCGCGTAAACGCGACGCTCGGTGGCGACCAGAAGAATGCTGATACATACAGTACAGGTATACGCCGACACGCCGACAAAGCCTTCGATAGCCAACAAAGGAACCGAGTTGGATTTTACCTACGGGGCAAAGCTGGTTTGTTTTCTTATCTGATTGCTAGACTTTTCTGTTGGCATAGCAATATTATTTCATATGTACTAGTCGTCATAAATAAAACATTGAATATTGTAGAATTGACAAGGTTATTATATTAATGCAGCAACCCTGAAGGTTGGCTATTGTTACCAAAATAGATAGAATCCGATAACCTTAAATCGAACCGTGGACACGATCGCTCCACTTTCCCCGCCGTGACAGGTGCACGCTCCATATCAACAGAATCAATATACAAACAAATACCAAAATTATAACAATTACTAGGGCGACCACCTGAATCCCCGGGTGGATACTCGAAAACAACTAATGAGTAGTGAGTCAAAACATGCATGTCCCGTCACCCATGCGTACTCCCTTTGTTCGCCTCTCCCACGCGTCCGATTATCTCCATCTCTCTTTCTGCCTGGCGCCTCCGGGTTGCCGTGCTGTTCATGTCTCCGAATTGCTGTTTCAAGGTCGGACGGGCGAAATAGGTAGGATCACTGCAGCCATCTGGCGTGAGGAATCTTTCGAGGGGGCTTTCGTATGTGGCTTGACAGGGAATGTTGAAGAGCTCGAGGGGGCAAGATGTAATGGTGGTTGTGTGCATTTTCGTCACCACATCTCCATCAGGGATAGACTTTTCGTTGAGGTCTAAATCGTACCCTGCTCTTTGACCGTGTTCGACGATGGTTTGGTGGGTTCTCTCTTGTTCTATGACTTTTGCGGCGTGGGAATTGTTGGTTGGGATTCTCTGGTAATCTGTGTAAGTATGGGAATTGACAAATAATCCAGTGCGTACATTTTCAATTAGATGATTGTGTTGGGTCAATCTGGCCTCAGTCAAAGGTGTCATGCCGTCGGAGGTTCTATGAGGCATAGCGTTGACTTGTTCCGATGCCCTGGTCCGAGTTTGATGACTTTGAGATACCAAGAGGGAAAAGATGAATTACTTCAATCCAATCTCTTCAGCTTTTCCAATCGAAAGCTATTTTATGCCCTCGGCTTTCGAGTCTGAGACCTCCTATCTTCGAGGATTCCCTCTATTTATAGCACGTCGCATCAGGAGACGCACTTTCTCCTGAATAAACCCCAAACCACATATTGCACGTCATCTGCTGAGGACCCGACAGTCTGGTTATGCCGCTAAGCAATGTCTGTCGAACAAAGACAAAGAGCCATGTGCAGAAGCGCGATGTAGCTAGTGATATGCAATATGCAGGTGGAAAGTCCCCTGAAATAATCTGACCGCTAGTTTCTCCCCTAAATTAGACCGTCGCAAGCCTAGTATTAACGGAAATTTCTCTCCATCAAACTGTAGGTCTGTCTGTTGACTCTATTCTATACTAGAGTAACGATCAAGACCTGATTGACCATGACCTAAGACGGAATTGGAAATTAGAAGTAAACAAGGTGCATCTCGAGGACGTTTTTTGACTGGGGTCTTAGCTATCCACCAAAAAGGCTTCAACCCTCAGCACAGGTGCAAGAGTAAGCCCGAGCAGGCCCGGTTATGGAGGGGTCAGAATGCCAATCACGAAGAGGAAAATGACCGTTACAGCAGCACGCGAGTGGAAACCAGACTGTCGGGTACAAGTCATCGGCCTGAATGGTGGGTTGTTTAATAGTGCTAATGCAAGATTCTCCTAGCACCTGCATCAAATGAAACCCAACAAAAGAGCACGGTAACTCTGACCTGTCAGTACTCGACGAATGAGATCATACAAAGCTCCACCATCCTGGTTCCCAATTTTTGGAATTGGGGGTCTTGATGCAGTCGCGTGGCCTGTGGACAATCGTTGATCTATTTTGCTCAAAGCTAGCAGTCTTGCGACGGCTCATGGCAATTCGTCTATAACGTGAGAGAAGGCTGTTAGTCGAAGGCGGAACTACTCGAGAACAAAAGGGTTACATCAAGTTCAAAATAATACTGAACTAAGCGTGGAAAAGGCTCGCAGCCTACCTCCTCTTTTGTACAACCACACAGTAAGTTTTCTGGTAATAACTACATCTGGCATCGCCAATCTGGCGCATTACAACTCCAGCTGAATACCCTGTTGATCGCATAGGGCCGTGCGTCGACTGAATTAATGAGAAGACAATTCAGAGGTATAGCGGGGGCTGATACCGGTTATTCTTCCATACAATCCAACACATTTCCTTGCAGCTGAGTGTAGGGGAGCGTAATTTGCAAATGAAAAGCGGAGATTATGCATCTCCGGTCTGCAGGCGAACAGCTGGTCTGACACCTAATGGGCGGCGGCTGAGCTAGCGCAAAAACGACCGTTTCAGAAACAAACCCGAGCCCCCAGAGACCAGCCAAAACTCAAATAATAGGTTTATAGTTGCCAACAAGATCACATACTAGAAGGCTGGCAGGAATAAACGTGGGACGGATTGAATGGCTGGATTAATTAGTAGCGTCGTTGTCGAGCCCGACGGCCCGGGCCCTAAAGCCGGGGGAAACGGGGACACATCCGGTGGACGAGTCAACGCTCGGCGTCACGCTGCACATTATAACTTTGCTAGAATAGCACTTGCATAGCGTTATTGCCATGCTTCCCGACAGAATGGTTCTCCAGACTGCGTCATTTTTGTACTGATAGAATTTCCGTGGTCTGACTCTGCGTCATTTTCCAATTTTGAGATTTGTCCTGCGTCTAGTCTCGCGAAGCTATGAGTACATGCCTTCAGCCTTGTCGCCTTTATGCTTGCGGATTCGTCATCGTCTATGAATGGCTGAAGCCTGTGGAGAGAAGAGGTGGAGAGCCAGTATGTCTAGCATTTTCCGTTTTAGCCAATATTCACCGAGCCGGATTGTAAGTGAAGTCCGAGCATCCACTATACATTACGAGCGAGTATTTGATTACCGGTTGATTACACAGAATATACGCTTTCAAGAGTTGCGCCAGTAGTAGTTGTTCACTCGGAAGAGACGGGCTAATTCATCATGGAGCCATCCATGATGTACTGGGCACTCATCCAATTACACACTACCAAGAAAGACAAGTTCAATACAACTTATTGCGTCGCCAAAAACGTCGTTGCGGTGGGGTCAAATTTTGAGATTCATACAGAATTGTGCTCGGAAAAGTTCGCTTCCGTGATTGATCTGTCACCCTGGAAGGCATTGATCTCTGACCACGCTGCCCACCTAGAGGAAGAATACTTGCAAACCCTGTGCCCCGCTTTTTGGAACCTGGTCGACTTGTAATACCAGCCGAAAAAGGTTCTTTCATAAGGAAATTGTTCCAAGGCCGCTCAAGACTTGTTGGGTGAAAGGGGGATGAATCAAATTCGGCGTTCCTGCTCGATTTCATGCATTTTCCAGATGAGTATGGGTCTCCATCATTCATGACAAACTTTGCTGAATCCATAACGTCTTCTAGGATTTGGATGGCCATGTCATCTGTAGATTGAAGATCGGTGTCTAGAAGAAGTTCGAGAAGAACATCTTTAACATCCGTCGAACTGGGTGTTGATTCTATTAGCTCAGGAGCTAGCGACTGGGTGTAGAGCTGGTTAGCTTCAGATAACGTATTTTCCGCCCTAAAAGACTCCTCTGAAAGACTTCTCGTATACTCGTCCCCGGTATCCACTGCTGTCCGTGCTGAGAAATACCCCCTCGCGATACAGAGTTTCTTCAAGTCCTCGAGGGTGTAGATGAGACTACCAGAGTTAAGTGTTTCATATTCTTCGTACGGAATCGTCAATTGATAGCAGCTTATCAGAGACTCATAAAGCTGCTTCTCAATCCAATATTCAAAAGCGTTTTCACGCGCTTTCAAATCATTCTCGCTCAGTTTAGGCACGTATAGTTCTCGAAAGCTCTTGTTCACGGAGCGTGGTTCATGTTCAGTACGGTTTGTCGAATATTCGATATTGAATGACTGGTTCTCGGATTTATGTAGCTGTTTCTCAGCATCGCTTTTCAGCTGTGACGTCGATGTTTGACAAACACTTTTCGTCTCTCCTGACACCGAAAAGGGGTTTCCGAATCGACAAGAAATTTCGTCGTTCGAGGAGGGTTCGATCTGATCACCTTCCACATACCCGCGTTTCCCCGAGCAATTCGGTGTTTGCGGTTTCTTGGCTAGAAAATTTGACTCGGAGAAATTCAGGTAAGAGACTAAGTCTAGATCAATCACCAGTACATACTACATACACAATGTGTAACTACCACTCACCGTCAGCACAGTGGACCGGCGTCGAGGTCTTCCCTCTTTTGAATATGCCGAGATTTTCATTGGAATTGATCTTTGTATATTAGCCAATAATATTTCTTATTCTGAGAGGGAAACTCACTGTTAGCCGCCCTGCTGTAACATTTCTTGCGCTAAACTTTTCGCCAATGCGAGAATTGCCATCGTTTCGCCCGAGGGTTTTCCTTTTCCGAGGAACTTCACTAGAACAATCACCCTTCTGAACTTCAGATCGATCTTTAGGTTCGTATCGACCCTCGCGGGTTCTTCGGCGAGCCCTTCTTTGGTATAGATTCGCATGTGTTTCTATCGGTGTGGGTTCTAGCCGGCTATCGCCATGTTCAGAGAGGGGTGCGCAACAGCGTGTTTGTATCCCTGATATAATCTGCTGTTAGCAATCTCGTACAATATCATCCTGCCAGGAGCAAAGAAGCTTCATCGTATGTCTGTGAATGAGACGTACGAGAGACTGAGGTGTAATCCATCGCTTCAACCTCATTTCAGTGGGGTCCCGCGACATTTACCAAGGCATGTGCCCCTAGTCGACCAGATCAAACGTCAAAAGCGATGATTAATCCCCCTTCAACGACAGCGGCGAGGAAGCTCGGCTATCGCGCGCTGGGAATGGTAATCCGTGCCGATGCGCGGTATCATCGATCCAAAATGTCAGAGACCTGCTTTCCCAGATAGTTAAACTGGCCATTAACTACCAGCGCCAGCAGCTAGATCCACAAATCTGTTGCTTTTTTTTAATCCAACTTGGATGGGTGTCGAGACTGACGAAGTGCCATGGTCGACAGTCTCGGTGCAATGGCAGATTTGGGGATAGCGAGAGCAGCAAGAGGAAGGCGCACGGCAGAGTTGACGAGGAAAGGGTCTCCTTCCCTTTTGGGCCAGCTGGGCGAACGGACGCCGAAGCTGCAGAAGTCACGGGATCCTTTCCTGCCTCGCAAAATAGACAGTCGTCCGATTGCTCTCATCCTTACTCTCGTCCTTACTCTCGTCTTGCTGGACATCAGGCTCTCCTTGCATGCATCGCTCGTGAAACCGCCAGCGTGTGCCTGTGCGGACATCGCTGTCTCCTGTCGATTCCGAAACCACCATGGCAGTAGTCGTTGGTGCCATCATATGGGAACCACCCGACTATGACTTGATGGTGGTCATCCTTCCTGTCCTGGCTCCTTGACGAACCCGATTTCACCGGTGGCTGCCCTAATAAATACTAGAGGAGCGAGAATGGCAATAAATAAATAGGTGTTGGTGCTACATGTTCCCAACGATTTGACACAAGTGGACCCTCTCCAGGGATCTGCATTGGAGATCTTCTGGGGACACCCAAATGCAGATGGCAAAACAGTCAGCATCTCAGTCTCAGTCCTCTAAATACGTCCTGTTACGACCTGGCATCAACCGTTGGATCGCGGATCGAGCTGCTTCTTCAGACCTAATACGATTCTTAATTTGGCGAATTTGATTTGGTACTAGGTAGTACGAGCCGCGAAGTACGACGCCGACCATCCGTTCCAAACTCAAACCCTCTTCGCATTGTTGGTCTTGCTAGGCCGAGCCAGTCTTAGGCAGTCTAACCAGCACCGCTCCAAAGCAAGCTCATCACATCACACCGAGTTCCCACATCATTGGGTCAGGGTTCCTTCAACCCCACTACGTCGAGAAGCTAGTGGCGCATTGCACTGCATTGATTTCGTCCGGCTGAAGGGGAAACTTAATTGCGGAAATGTCACTCCCGGTGTGTGAAAGGATAACTAGCAGAAATCTTCAGATCCGCGAGAACCAGAAAGGCCGCTTGACGCTGCAAGTCGTTGTCCAGGCAGGATTGCTGTTGCGTTCAGAATGGAGCGCGGTTTCGCTCGGCGTGCAAGGGAGAATCCGGGAGCTATGGCCAGGCGCTACTCCCCAATGCATGCCATTCGTCAGTTGTGGAGGCACCGGGGATAACAGGACTCTTGTCACACTCGCGGTGCGGCCTGGGTGTGGGCTATTGTCAGAGGGGAGCAACCCACTAGGCTGTCGTTTCTATCACGCCTTTCAGCCTTGTTGCACTGTGGCGGGCTGTCCAGAGCAGCTAAAAAGTACACATCTACCAAACCCACACACGGCCCCCCGGCTATCTCGAAAGTGAATCTAAGCTTATTCATGGACCCCTCCCAAGAAACCGAGAGTGGCATGGATTCTCGTAGGACAATGCGCCTGGTTAAACGCCGCCGGGGTGGGATGGTTCTAATAGTCGCGGAAATTTTGAGATGATTGTCTGCGGCCGACAGGTTCTAGATGTCGAACGCACCGCGCTCTGCCGATGCATACCCCTCCAGGCTAGTGGAGGGAACTCCACTAATATTACCTGGACGCCCCCGAAAAAAACAGTTTGTTCGAGTGCTCATTGCTGAATGGATCCAAAAGTCAGATGTGCGACACACCCCCTCTAGCGTATCGGGCTTCCTCCAGTGATCACTGATCATGGGGCGCTGCTGGATGGTAGTGGTGCTGCCTACTATGGTGGATTCAGTGCTTGTCAGTCTCAGTAGATTATTCCCACTATTTGACTAAGGCCCTATGCACCACCGCGCCATCCACCTGGCCCTCGTTCTAGCTCTATCTCTTCCCGCAACCCCTCCCGGACCGGATTTTCTTTTGCTTCCTTGCTTTCTTGCCTTAGGTATCATCACCACACCACCTCTGTACTCCCAGTAAGTCATGATCTTTACGTTTTACTCATCGTCTCCGCCGATCACAGAACGATCACGAAAGGGGATTTTGGTCGAGTCTTGAGTTCGCACCGAAAATCGCTGTACGTGTGAGTGTCCAGGTAGAGTCGTGCATCTCCAGTCAACTCGTTGGCCCGGTTTCCTGCATGGATAATCCCAGGCACTCCCCAAATTCACACAAATTCACACAAATCCACACAAATCCACACAAATCCACTGGAGATGAAGATCCAGCATAGTCCTATCAACGCGCATTCTTCCCCCTGTTGATATCTCGTCTTTTGTAATTTTTACTGCTGTTACTTGATTGTTGACGGAATCTGTGATGATCGCAGTTGTTCGAGACCTTCCCTATTAGCGTCGCAGCACAAGATGGCAAAACTCTTCATTGGGTAGGTGACTCCATCGCCTAGCATCATTGACTTTACACTCTGACATTTAATCTGTATAGCGGCCTAGCATGGCACACTACAGATGAGACTTTGCGCCAGGGCTTTGAATCGTATGGAACGGTCGAAGAAGCTGTTAGTTTCTCAAACAAATCAAGAATAACTTTTGACAATTCTGACTGCCATTATTCTCACCGCAGATCGTCATCAAGGACCGAGATACCAATCGCAGTCGTGGATTCGGCTTTGTTCGATTCGCAAATGATGCTGATGCGGATGCCGCCATTGAGGCCATGAACAACCAAGAGTAAGTCTATGTTCATACTGCGCTCTAGGACCGCTACTAAATAGTTAGGTTTGATGGACGAACGATCCGCGTTGACAAGGCATCAAACAATTCCTCCTCGTCTCGCAATGACGGTGGCTTCCATGGCCGTGGTGGATACAATCGCTATGATAACAGCGGTGGTCGCGGTGGCTACGGTAAGTTCTCTTAAGTGGATTCTATTGTGTGTCAAATTACTGACCAGTATACAAGGTGGAGGTGGTGGCTACAATGGCCAAGGCGGCCAAGGTGGCCAAGGTGGCCAGGGTGGTGAGAATTAACGCTCATCCTCTGTTCTCGGCGTCCTCTAATATTGATCCTACAGGCTGGGGTGCAAACAACCAGTACTCTTACAACCAAGGCGGCCAAGGTTCTGCTTAGTATGGACTCCTAGTTCGATATCGAATTGCGGACGACCGAAATTGTGACGAAAGATTGTTTACGCTGCTATGGAAATGATGTATCATGAAGTGACGCATACTAGATGCTCGTGCTCGTGCTCTTGCTCGGTGTGTTTTGCTTTGGTATTTACTGCGCCATATTACGTGTATTTGTTTTTGTTCTGATTTGAATGCTTCGAGTTGCGTGTTTGTGCATTCAATATCGCTTGGATGGTTGTGGGCTACATCATCCATAGTGTCTGTCGTATCTTTGTTCTTTCAAGTACATGGTCTTAGCCACGACTTGAACGCGTAATTCTCCAGCAACCGAGTAAATGTCTTCTGATCGCGGTGCGTCTGTATCACTAAGCGAATGATTCTTAATAGCATGAGCGAAGACTATAGTTTGTACAAATGACCGATCATTTCCCATGAACTCTATCAAACACTCCCTAAACCAACCTTCCGGTCCTATCAACCAGCCAACACCTCTCATAGCTCCCAATTCTTCACACTCTCACGAACCTCTCGTTCCGCATTCAACTCCTCAATATCGGCCTCCTCCTTGCGATTATGCCGCTGCTCGATCGCCTTGAGTTGACGGACTAGCTCCGTGACATGACCATCCGCACTGCCCAGCCCAAGCGTCTCAAGCGCTTTTTCCAGCAAATAGACATACTCTGGATTCCTCCCACTTTGCCCACTACTCACACTAATCACCTCCGCGACAGCCGCAGGGTCCCGCTCTGCTGGATCCCTCAGAAACTGCGGATTCGTCGGCTGCCCGATATACACCATACAGGTGATAGGTGCAGAGTGGTTTAAGGGGTGGGTTTCAGTAATTAGGTTCGGGCCTTGGCCGGCGTGGGTGTGGGTGTGGATTGTTGAGCTGTCGGCGGCCACGGGGAAGAAGGGTGTGTAGTGCACGCTGTACCCGTCGATTTCGCGCACGTCGAGATAGTCGTGGACTTCTTCTGCGTGGGACGCGGGGATGTGGTATGCGGCGCCCCAGAGGGTTGATGTTGCTGATGATTCGAGCTCTTTTTGCTGTTGGGCGAGGTCCATATGTGAGTAGATGTAGATTTACTGCGGGAAGGCGGGTCTTACGGGGTCGTCGAGCGTCTCCCAGAAGGATCTCTCAATGACTGTGACTACTCGTCCTGGTTGCTCTGGGGTTCCGCGGTGGTCTGTACTGGCCTGTACAGCGGTCAGATGGGGATTTCATTACGTACATGTATTTTCTGGCTTGTAATGCTGATAGAAGGAAACATACCTGCCAGAAACGTCGAACATAGCCGTTGATATACCCCGGAACTCTCAGGTCTAGCACCAAAATTAACAAGAAAGAAAATATGGATTGACGAGTACGAAGAATGTACCATAATAAGGTGGCGGTTTCCATATCAAACTCCTGTGATGAGGTCAGCAACAAACTCGCAGAACTCGTATGAATGACTTACCCGTATCCAAATACCCACAGGTCGCCGTCTGGAAAGTATTGTTTCCATGTACGTCCATTCTGGGCCGAGTTATTCTCACCCATCTTCGTGATGATTAATGTGCCGATGTCGGTCTATAAGCAACTATAGCAATCCAATGCACGAAATGATTTCTCTGATCTATGTATTCAGTTAGAGATAAATTATAGAACAATTTTAATAATTTATACAGCGGAATAGCAAATCTCACCAGAATCGATAAACACCAGTAGCCTCTAAATATATTTTGGATATAAACCCGACCGCGGACGTCTATATGTAGTCTTGTCGTTGGGAAGAACTCAAGAAAGAATAACACGCAAGGTTGCAAGTAGATTACGAAATATCTCCATACCCTGTAATATTTAATTCATGCCTGGTGAGAGTCGCTGATCTCGGCTGTTCTATGGATGAAATGGTGACTTGTACCACAGTGTTAGTAACACTGATCGCAGTGTGACTGGTGTTTGCACCGTTTGCATCTCGCTCGTCATTCTCTTGCTATGTGACGAAAGGCGTTTGGAACTGCTATACTTGTGTATGGGGTGCGTTATATGTTATATTTGATATTTCTGGAACTACTCTGTTAATTGAAAATAGTGCCAATTGAATGGTCTGCCTGGAGCTTCAGGTGGTACTGTATACTACGTTGTCAATGCTGCGGAAGCCTTCTCCACGATGATCCACCAACATTCAACTGCATGAATGATACACCAAACCGCCATAATATACCAAGTGATCTGATTTATGGCATTTGATATTAATACTAGTATATGGCGATAACCTACAAGTCCATCATATTTAACAAACCAAGAAGCGTTCCAAAATGTCCAGTCTCTTAAAGCTATGGCATGCCAAACACTACCCTCCACGCGACCCAACAGACGCTTCATTCGAGGGCAAAACTGTGCTAATCACCGGCGCCACTGCCGGTCTCGGATTCCAAGCTTCACTTAAGGTCCTACGCCAGGGAGCCTCCATGCTAATTCTTGGCAGTCGGGACCTGGAACGTGGCCGATCCGCAAAGCACGAGCTCGAGCGGCGTACAGGGCGGACAGGGGTCGTACAGGTATGGCCACTAGATATGAGTTCATTCCACAGCGTGCAGGAATTTGCAGCGCGTGTTTATCGCGAGATTCCGGATCAGCGGCTTCATATTGCACTCCTCAATGCGGGTGTTATGCACCGCGAGCATGTGTTGTCGTGTGACGGTTGGGAGGATACGCTACAAGTGAATACCCTATCCACTACCCTACTGGCTCTTTTACTGCTTCCCAAGCTCCAAGAGGGTTATTTGTCACAGGATCCAACGCATCTTGTCATTGTGGCAAGTGGAACAGTGCTGCGCGTCAAGGAAAAGGATTTTCCTATGTCTGCGACGACGGGGGCTGGTGGGATACTCCAATATCTCACCAGCCGCACTGTCGGTCCACGGGCTAGGAAGCGGTACGCAATTTCGAAGCTGTTAATTGAATATGTAGCCAGACGGATTGCCGAGATGACTCGAAATCCAAACGGTAGGCTACAGGTGATCGTGAACACGGTTAAGCCGGGATTCTGTATTTCTTCACTGGGGAGGAAGTACAGTCGATGGTACGAGCGGTTGGCAGCAGGTCTGTTTACAAAATTGTTTGCTCGATCTGCAGAGGCTGGGAGTAGGGTTCTTGTTAGTGCGGCGGTGCAGGGGGTCGAGTCTCATGGTAGAACTTGGCAGGGGGATGGGTATATGAGGTGAGAGCGCCTTGAGAATGGAGAAAAAGCTAGGATTGTTGCTAATGAGATGGATATTTAGCGAATCGGGCACGCTGCTTACAGGGACAGCTGGTAAAAGGTTGCAGAGTCAGGCTTGGAGTGAAATTATAGAGGTGCTCAAGGAGCATGCTCCTGAAGTAAGCTACTTCAACAAAATTCATAGGGATGAGCAACTATAGAAGTAAATCAGTCGAGGGTATTGTAATCAAATTCATACGCGATTTTAAATAATAAGCAATATTGGCAAATATCGGCTTTTACGTGTCGAAAATAATTTTCCCTAGACGCGCATGATTAGACATGAAAACAAGGCGTTGCGATTAGTCGTATTATTATGGCTGGAGGATTCATTAATAGCAGTAGCCTGCTGCTTGCATGCAGCAGAAGTGTCTGCTGGAGACATGTATGACGATGCGAGCTGAGGAAGATGTAATGAATTACATAGTAGGATGCAGTAGGGTGACGAAAGTTTGAATATAGCACCACAAAAGTTGATTGGGTCTAAGAGCGCTCCTCATAACAATATTAATAATATTTGAACTTTCTGCATTACCTACAGGTGGCCTCCCAAGAAGCCTAAATTAATCTGACAGAAATTGGTGTAGGTGCAGATGAACGACAGGTAGAGAATCTTGATACTGGATTCAAACATTGTGCCATATTGGTGGGAAGGCAGTAAACACAACGCCATGTCCAAAGCGGCAAAGCGAGGCGAATATGTGCAGCTGTTCGTGCCGCAGCCGCGCGACAGGGTCCCGCAACCAATCAGGAGTGCACGGCCACGCAGCGTCTATTTTAAGCTGGCATCGCAGCCCCCGCGGCCAGTGGGGCGACCCAGTCCTTCCTCTTCGTTCGTCTTCAACCTTCTTCGTTCGACTGCCTGTGCTTGTTGTTTGTTTCTGTACGTCGTTGCATTTGGCCTTTCACTTCAACCTGAACATATAATCCTCCGCTGCTTAGTGTATAAAAAGTGACGGGCCAATCAATCCGTTAGGCTGCCGAATTCGTCGCAGCCTGAGCATACCCCAACCTGATCGCTGAGGTATTGACCACGAACTGCAGTGGCGCGCCCAGAACTCCATTCATATCGCTATGGCTTATAGCCAAAAGTTCAACCCTGATGCACTACCTGCGTGAGTTTTGCATCTTCTGAAACTGCCCAGATCTGTGACTAATCTTACGACCTCTACCAGGCATATCGAGCCTGACAAGGTATGACAAAGAGCGCCATCAGTGTCCCGTTTTGAACCCCTTTCTTTGGTCGTCAATAGTCCTTGGTCTTTATGGCTAACTCATATTTTGCGGCCAAGGCTGCTGAATTACTAGCCAACGCTCAAGGTCAACAAAGACCTCCCCCTCCACCGAAAGGTGGTCTAGGTCCTGCTCCAGGGGCTGGTCCTCCGCAACGCAAAACTCCCCCAACAGGCGCATCACCTAATCCTGCGCCACATGGCTATCCCCCGGCCGTCCTCATAGCACCAGTGTCCCGCCGCCTCGAGCTCACGACAACCTAGCATCGCGTTTTCACTCACCCCCGCCCCAAAACTACGGACATGGTCCTCGACCGAACATAAATAGTATGAACCGTGCGCCTCAACACCCTCTTCCTCCATCGTCGCCAGCAAATGTCCTCCCTCCGTCGGGGCCTACTTCAGATGACCCACAGCAACTCCTACCACTCTTTCGCGCTGCCAATGTTTCCCGATCTGGAGCTCTCTCAGAATCCGAGCTTGGGTCTGCGCTGGTGAACGGAGACTATACTGCCTTTGACCCGAACACGGTGAAAACAATGGTGCGGATGTTTGATAGGAACGGGGACGGAGTCATCCGATTCGAAGAGTTTGTTTCTTTATGGAAGTTCCTGGCTGCATGGCGAGAGCTCTTTGATCGGTTTGACGAAGACCGAAGCGGACGCATCAGCTTGGAAGAGTTTGAAAAGGCTCTTACAGCTTTTGGGTATCGGCTCAGCCGCACGTTTGTGCGGGTGATGTTCTCGACGTACGAAAGCAAAGGACGGCGACGGGCGGTGGTGGCTCCGTATTCGGGCAGTGGCGGCATGGGCTTTGATCTGTTTGTGCAGGCATGTATCAGTTTGAAGCGAATGACGGACGTGTTTAAGCGGTACGACGATGACCGCGACGGGTATATAACAGTCAGCTTTGAGGAGTTTTTGACGGGTGAGTACTTCTTTTTCCACTTCTATGTAAGAATATAGCTGACGGAGGCAGAGTTTTTGCAATTACAAGAATAGAGGGCATGATTGGCGCGATGTTTAATGAGATACCATACCATACCACCGCATCATTTTGTTTGTGCATCGTCACTGTTTGCTGTGTTATAGATCAATCATCCCATTCGACGGAGAATATGCATCAGCCTAACGCCGAGTCGTAGCTCAGACCTAAAAGCTAGTTGATGCACATGGCTAGCTTAGCCTTAGTTCGTGTGAACGGCGAACAGGAACGGCAGGAGGTGCAGTCTGGGATTAAATCGACACGTCCATCAAGTCACAGTAGAGGAGCCAATCAGCGCAATGTGACCGGTCCCCTCCCGAGCTCGCCAGAGACCCACTTGTGCTCGGCTGTAAGCGGTTAAATCCGCCAGACTTTTCTGGCGCGACTCTCGAGTGGCCGGACATAATGAACTACGGTATTACATTATCAGAATTATAATATTATAATATTATAATATTAGGAAATAGAAATATGGTCGGCATTCATTTCGTATTACTAATAGGCCGCGTTCCAAGACTTATGTTCTGCGTAATAGTTGTGGATGGGTCTGCCCAATAGCGATTTATTGCAGGTTTAATCTCCGGCACGTGCCAGCCCCGCCCCACAGCCGCCAGCCGGAGAGTTTACTGCCGACACGCCGAGCTTAAACCATAAACGGAAGTGTCCTGGTTCATCTTCTTCTCGCATTATTAATATTTTCTTCTCGCCTTCTTTAATACGAATGAAAGGCTGAATGGAGTCTCGGAGTTAGCCAGACCTTCGGTAGCTGATCTGTCCTGCAGCTAATCGAAGCCATCATTAATCGCCACAGATCGCGCACAAACGTACGTGTATATCTCGTATTTCCTATGCACATTCCTATGACTCGGGTGGAGAATAATGCTGGCATCTCTCTACCTCATAGTGGAGGCCCGTATTGAGCGACGACCTCAATATTAGCTATTAGCTAAATATGATGTAGCAGTAAAGTAAGTAAAAGTTAGTAAGGAGAAGGAGAAGAGAAGTAGAAGGCTAAAGAGATATCTCCGCCCAGCCTAAGTCCGACCAGTTAGCGGCCGCGAAGCTTATAATTCTCCCCCAGCGTAACCCCCCCCGGAAGTCTCCGCCCTGCGAAAAGCCTGCCCTCTGCGAATGAGCTAAGTTTCGTCGCATGAGACATGACTGACTCATACCTACCCTACAGTGTACACTAACCACTCACAGATCGGCGGTGCTGCAAACCGTGAAACGAGCTAGAATCCCTCCGCTTCTGGACCCGCAGCCCAATACTTACTCGCACCTAACTATTTTATTCCAGCTCATTTTCTTTCTTTCTCTAGCTCCGAAGTCGCCTCGGTGCGTTGCTGGTACTGACTATATAACTTGGCGCGCCCTCGTCAGATATCTCTCTGTCTGATATTGGAAGGAGCGAGTCTGCATATTTAATTTGGGCAATCCATTTATTCTCTGATACCTCGATCCCAACCCTAGTCCCCGCCACTTTCGAATCCTCATACCATAAGAGGTATATACGCTCTAGCGATGGCCCATCAAGCGCAGGCGGAGCTAGACTCCAATGCCCTGCGCACAGGTGCTTCGGAATCAACCCTAAACGGCAACGAGAAGAGCATCGATGCCTCCAGCATAGCCGGCGAAGAGCCGACACACCAGAAGCCAGCGCCTGCAGTTGGGGAGGAAGCCGGCGATGAGGCCGATGGAGCACCGGCCGAGAATGCGCTCTCCAAGACGCCATCTCAGGCACAGCAGATTGGCAAGAGCAGAATCGTCTTGATTATGCTGGCGTTATGTGTATGTAGCCATTGATCCCGACCTGCGGTGGGCTCCAGCTGACGGATATATATATAGATATCGGTTTTCTTAGCCGCTCTCGATATGGTATGCGACCTGTTACACATATCAATTGATATACTGCTAACTTGAACAGACTATTGTTTCAACCGCCCTCCCAGTCATGGCCGCGCATTTTCACGCTACTCAAAGCGGGTATTCGTGGATGGCCTCGTCTTACCTGCTAGCCAACTCCGCCTGCATTCCATTCTGGGGCAAGCTCAGTGATATTTTTGGCCGCAAGCCTATTCTTCTGATCGCCAACGCCCTGTTCTTAGTCGGCAGTCTGGTTTGCGCCCTGTCTAATAGTCTCGCCATGAACCTGGTCGGTCGATCTATACAGGGTGCTGCTGGCGGTGGTCTGATTTCCCTGGCGAATATCACTGTCTCTGATCTGTTCAGTGTCAGGTAAGCATTCTTTGCATTCAAGATGCCGATGTTGATGTTGAAATTGACATACTGATGTCGTGTAGAGAACGTCCGATGTATTACGGCCTGTTTGGTGTAACCTGGGCTGTTGCAGGAGCTCTCGGCCCAGTCATTGGCGGCGCCTTCACAACCAAGGTTACCTGGCGATGGTGCTTCTATCTGAACTGTACGACCCTCTTTTTTGTTTCAGTCCACGATTCCCCAGTACATATATACTAACTGAGCTCAAGTACCCGTCGGAGGCATCTCCTTCGTCATCCTGACCCTCTTCCTCAAAGTCCACACTCCCAAAACCCGTCTCATCGACGGCCTCCTGGCCATCGACTGGCTGGGCGTGCTCACCATCACCGGCGCAACACTCATGTTCCTCTTCGGCCTCGAATTCGGCGGCCTCGACTATCCCTGGAACTCGGCCACGGTCATCTGCCTGATCGTCTTCGGCATCCTGACCTTCGCCATCTTTGGGCTGATCGAATGGAAAGTCGCCAAATACCCGATCATCCCGCTGCGTATCTTCTCCAACCGCCACAACATAATGGCCTTCCTGGTCTGCTTCTGCCACGCCTCCGTGTTCATCTCAGGCTCCTACTACATCCCACTCTACTTCCAATCCGTGCTCCTCGCCACGCCCATCCTCTCCGGCGTCTACACCCTCCCACAAGTCCTCGCCCTCTCCGTTGTCTCCGCCAGCATCGGCGTCGTGATCAAGAAAACCGGGAAATACAAATACGCCATTGTCGCCGGTATGGGCATCATGACGCTCGGTTTCGGCCTATTCATCGACCTAAAACCGTACGCCAGCTGGCCGCGAATCATCATCTACCAAATCATCGCCGGTGTAGGCACGGGGCCCAATTTCCAATCCCCGCTCGTCGCCATCCAAGCAAACATCCGGCCCGCCGACATGGCCATGGCAACAGCCACCTTTGGCTTTGTGCGGCAACTCGCCGCCGCAACCTCGATCGTGCTCGGCGGCGTGATCTACCAAAACGTGTTTGCGCAGCAAATCCCGCACCTAACCACCATCGTCGGCCCCGAGACGGCCGCGAAACTAGCGAATTCGTTCTCCGGCGGCGACAAGGCGTTGATCGAGTCGCTGCCGCTGGACCAGCAAGATGCAGTCAAAGCCGCGTTCACGTTTGCCTTGAGCCGTGCGTGGATCTTTTATACTGCTATTGGTGGCGTTGGGTTTGTGCTGAGCTTTTTCGTTAAGCAGCTCGAGCTTAATAAGTCGCATGCGGTGGCCAAGACGGGCCTGGAGGAGCAGGAGAAGGCGCGCCTGGCGAGATTGGCCGCGAGAAAGGAGAGTAAGGCCGAGATGAGCAATGAGAAGACCGAGGTTTGAGTGGTAGAAGTGGAAAAAAAAAAAAAAAAAAAAGGTCAATAGTAATAGTTGGAATAGAGTCATTGGTTATTGCATGGCGTTTGGATCAATCTTTATTGGGTTGAATGTTCAATGTACAATGTTTGATGGATTGATAAATTTCTGGTTCTGTTGGTACATATTCCCACTCTGGCATATAACATCATTGCATTTGTGATGGTTGCTTTCTTCAACATTGCAACCTTAGATTTGCATTAATCTATTAATTAATTGATGAGGATTTACTTCAATAAAAGCGATATGCATATTAATTCAATAATTCAATATTCCAAATTCGGTTGCGAGCTTCCTTAAAACATCATCAATTGATGTTAGATGCAACTAGTATAAAACAATTTCATGTGTTGACCTACACCAAATCTAGCATCAAAAGTAAACAAAAATAATCATAATTTTCTGTCAACAGCAGAAAGATAAATATGAGAATATAACAAAGATAGTAAAAAGTGAAAAATAAAACAGGAAAAAAACACCCCTAAACGAAGGATCGTTTGGAGATAGCCTAACCACCCATCCTTCCATCATCCATCATTCCATTCATCATAAACGTGTTTAACTGACAAACGAGAGAATGCTGGTATACCAGAAAGAAAAGAAAGAAAAATGAGAAAAGGGTATAAAAAGCAAAACTCCAACCAATCCAGACCTGCTGAGGATTGCTCCCACTCTCTTAAAATAACATTCAAAATATTAGAATTTATTTCCACCATACAAGACGAGTTCACAGCAAAGAAAGGTATAAATCGGGTTAAGAATGAGGTTAAGAATGAAGAGGGAATTGTGTCGGCGTGAACGTTCCAACTTTGCTGAGATATTTTTTTTTGGAAATAAAATCAAGTTTTTACTTTCTTCCCCCCTGTTTCAACCGCAACGGCCCCATCAGAATTCTTGCGTTTTTTCTCGCCCTCTTCCTCTCTTGAAAAACCCGGCCCGGTTTGAGCTGCAGGTGTTGGGAATGTCAGCGGACTCGGTAGCATATTTGAGTCGGGACCGCTGCGTCCAAAGCCCCATTCTGGAAAGAAGCTCGACGGAGATGGAAGGAGGGCGTCTGAAACAAAGCGACTAGGGAGGGCGGAGATCGGGGTTTCCATGTTCTGATTATTGTTATATCCTGCGCCATTTTGCGTATTAGAAGCCGGCTGTGTTGGTCGCGCGAATGGATTTGGAGGTCCCTGGGCCCCGGCACTCAATATAGGCCCAGCTCCTGGTGATGGAGGCGGCGGTGGCAGCTGTACAACCCCCTGAGGACCTGGATCTGAATTTTTCTTTGGCGGAGTCGTTGTTTTCTGACCTGATGAATCACGAGGCGATGAATCTGCAGTTGCACTGTCGTCGGATTGTTCGCTTGGGATTTGGACTTTAAGTCTTGGTTTCGGCCGAGAAGGTTGCTGGGAATCAGGTAGTGAAGAGGCTGACTGCGACCTTTTAGGTTCCGTCGCTCCTCGATTCGGTTGCGGCTGTGCGTTTGCAGTAGGTAGCGGAAGGGTCTGGCTGACTGACACATTCGACTTTTGGTCTTGCTTTGCAGATGTCTCACGCTGGGGAGATTCGCGCAGAGTTGACCCGCCAAAGAAATGACGCGAGAACACGGAAGTCTTGTCATCAATCGGGGTGAAAATACTACGCGCTTTCGATTTTGGCGATTGGCTTCCCTCCACCTTGCCTTCTGTAGACTGCTGCACTGCAGTAGGATCCGGTAGAGATAGAGACGGGCGATGTTGATAAGACTGAGAATCGGGGGGGAGGGAAGGTCGTCCTTGTTCTTGCATGTACTGATGTTGAACGTGTGCCATCGGCTGGTTTTGATGCGGAGGGATGTTGTGATGAGGATGTGCAGCTTGTGGGTGGTGGTGCGGGATAGACTGTGTTTGTGGTTGCGTACTGGGGTGAGCGGGGTGTGCAAATTGTTGGTATTGGCCTTGTCGTGGAGGTTGATTGTTGGCATTGTATACCGAGGGATTAGGCATGTAGGCATAGCCATTGGGACCGGGAGGGGGAGGCGTGGCATGCGCAGGATGTGCACCATATTGCGAACTCAGTCGACGAACGTGGTTACGTGAAGATGGACGGGATGAGCCTTGTGGTTGTGGAGTGCCGTGACGAGGACCGAAAGCGACTCCGTTAGGGATCGGTGGCGAGGCAGATGGAGCGTGGTTCATGTGTTGGTAAGCGGGTTGGCTCTGGAGTTGTGGTGGTACCATCGGTTGAGACGATGGGCCCATATCTTCCATACCTATCTCGTCGTCCTCATCGTCGTCGTCATCCCCGCCCTTTCCCGAGAAATCATTTGGTCCTTTATGTTCATGCGGAGGGCCCCACTGCGAGGAAATATGTTAGTGATGGTTGCGCGAATGAGGAGCGGGGAGAATGTACATATTGGTATTTGCCCAGGGTCTCGTGGATGTCTCCCGACGAGAATTCGTATAACTTCTTATTATGACCAAAGATGATGACTGCCACGTCGACGGAGCACAGCACCGACAGCTCGTGAGCTTTCTTGAATAGACCGCCTTTGCGCTTCAAAAATGTACTGCATGTGTGTCAGCTGGGTTCTGCTAGATTGCTGGTGCATGATCCGACTTACACCGAGCGATTGCGGTCATCTTTGATGGCCTTGATCTCAATCTTCCGGCGACCCATCGTGATGAGGTAGACACGATCCGCTCAGTTTGAGATACAAAGTTAGGATGCGCAAGTGCGTATACACGCATAGACAAGTCGTCAGATGGTCGCACGTCGTTGGCGATCTTGCCTATCCTATGGGGGTTGGCTGTGCTGAAGAAACGCCAGAACCTAAAGAAACTAAGGCGCAATGTTCTTTTTTCTTGTTTTCGGGATCCAAGTTTGATGGAGATGGAGTGGAAACGCGACGAACAAAGAGGCAACTGGTACCGCGCCGGCACAAAGCAAACCAGGGCAGGAGCGTAGCCGCACCAAGCAAGCAAGCGCGCAGTGCGTAGCTCGGACGGACTATGCTATGATGCTGGTCTGCGCGGTCGTCGATGCGAGCAATATCGAATATAGAGGAGTAGGCGCGGAGGGATGGCGATGGGCGAGCGCACGGTTAAGTGGTGTCGACGGTGGCAGCAGTGGTGCGCGGAGTGCAGTATAGGCACGCAACAGCAGACTGGCTCGTGCCGGGATTGTTCGCTGGAGGGCCACCAAGGGTCCTTGGGGCTGCAAAGCGACGACGTGAGTGGCCCAGGAGCTGACCAAGCTCAAGGGAGCTTTGAAGTTTGAGCGGCCGAAGGAGGAAGGGGATGGATGCAAACACGCGGTTAGGTTAATGTTAATGCAATCCGATCAGGACGAAGATTCTAAAGATAGAAAGAAAAGAAACGGGGGGAGGAGGACGGCGGGAGGGGAGAGCCTAACACGACTGAGTAGCACGCGCTAAGTAGCCGACTGCTAACTAGGCCGGCAGGAGCGGATTATTCAGCGGCGATTAAACCGGGTCCTCCAATCATAACGCCTGGGTCCGGCCCGGCGTGTCCAATCACAGCTGTGTGCGAAGTGCGCTTAGGGGAGGAAGTGTCTGCGGCTGCATGTTTGTTATATAGAATAGCAAGAAGAGTTATATACCACCTATTGCCGACTTTCGAAATACATAAATAAATACATATTTATTATTAATTATTAATTATTAATAAATAGCTACATAAATGCAGACGTTATAGGTCCTGCTTTATCTCGCTGGCACCAGGCTTGTGCCGCCCGCCAATCAGGGCGGGCGGCAGGCTGAAACGCGCTGCAGAAATAACGCTCAATTATTAATAAATAATAAATAATAGCAATCATGTGTGCGGCTAGCCCTGATAGGCACAGGCCCTGCAGCTAAGCTCCAGCGCGGCACATGCTGCTGCTATTTATAGCCAAGGACTTCATTCTGATACTTGTGTTGAGATCGTCATATCATTCTTCTCGGGACTGCCATAGAACATGATTCAGCAGGCGCGTCAGGCCACAAAGACGCCACTATCGGTTGTTGCCGCTGCTCTCGACTCGTAGTCATCCCGTACTGTGCATTGTATGTGTCCCATTGGCGGCGACGGCAAGGCTGAGGGCCCAGCCACGCTTTTGGGCTGCACACAGCGCGACAATAAGATCCAATTCTTTTGAGTGTTGTGGTATCCTACAATGAGTAATTGTTTCGTCGAGCCGCTGCCTACTTTGTCAAGCAGCTATCATTTATATTTTTAACCGTCCGAATGGAGAGAGCATTGATAATAATAATATAATAATAATTATATCAATTCCATCGTTGTCGGCTGAAACACGGCAATGAGACATCTGCCTGTGGACATGGAATTGGAAATATTCCACCGTAGGGCAGACAGGTCTCTGTAAAAGATCCCTCCCGCTTCAAGTCTGAAACAATCTGACCCACCGCTGCCATCCAAAACAAACGCGTACCGCACTGATGGGGTTGATCTAGAAACCCCATGGAAGGTAGCAGCCTCGGAAATAGACTGCAGCCCGCTGGTCAACATTGAAACCTGGTCCGATGAAAGGGGTGCCAATTCTCCGATCCCGCGGCGTTTATAGTTCGACGACAATAATAATCAACTTGCAAGTTCCACTAGGCTAGACTCGAAGGACTATCCAAGCTCGGAGCAGGTGTTCCCGCTATGTTATTAGTCATTTGATGCCCGTCCTACTCATCGACTTCTGCATACTATCAACTTCTCAGGTGGAGGACATCACAACCAACATTAAAATACATATCAGGGGACGTTGGACTTCCAGACAAACAAGGTTATGCGACTCAGCCTTCCCTTGGTAAATTTTCGCACAACTAAAAGCAAAACAAGGACAGCAAGCAGTGGTACAGCAGTGACAGCAAAGCAACATAACCAAGCCGGAAGCCCAAAGTAACAGCTAACAGTATGAAAACAGTCAATTTCTCGCTTGGCCAATAGGGAGCTCGCTCTCAGTGGATTCGCCGTTAGAAGCGCTTGGCGTTGTGCACTGTGCGTTCCTTAACCTTTGGATGGGCCAATCACAGCCCAGAGCGGACTTGCTGCGAATCAATGGCTGCTTGGTTTTACTGATCAGCCAAAGAAAGAATAGAAATGGAAATAAATGATAATAATAAATGATAAATAGATAGATAGATGAATGAAAAGATAGAACATAACTAAACAAATAAAAGTTACTTTGTACTGCCGCCACTCTCCCTTGCGTGCTGGCGAGCTGTCTATTGTATGCACACTGGTCACAAATTGCCAAACTCGTAACTCCGGTGGCCGTGGCCACGACCATTGAGTAGGCGCAGTGGACCTGTCAGACTGTCAAGAACAATAATACTAAATGTTAAATAATACCATAGTGACATGGCCCATGCCCGGGCTTCAGTCATGCTCTGAGTCTGACAGACATTAATACTACCACCATTATTCCATCTCACCTGTACCACCTTGACGAGCGACTCCTTCAATCCAATCTCATGTTATTATAATTTATCCAAGTCGATCTGCTGTTGCGGCTCCGTTAATAAGTTAAATCTGATCCCAATCAACCTGTGGCTCCGCCCGGCCCACCTAAGCCTGTGTCGCTCTAGCCTCCATTACGGCGCACGGCGTCAGGCCCTGACAAGTTAGCCTTAGTACATGCAGAACCCCTGAAGTCTGAAGCCGCCAAAAAAGAGCTTGGGAAACAGATTCTCGTGAGTCCAGTTTGCTGCAAGTCTTCTTTCCTTCGTCCTTCCTTCAACCTTCAATTCTTTTGCCTTGGGGTTCCTTTGATTCCCTTTTTTCCCAACTCTTCGCCCTTCGGTGTTTTTCTAGTCTGGGCAATCTCCTTCATTTGTGTTCTACCTCCCCCCCTTTTCATACCCCTCAGAATCGTGTATTGGATTGGTTTGAGAGGAGACGCCTGCCAGCGGTCGCTCCCCTGGTCGCATTTCCATCTCATTAACGCTGTCATTCTTAGTCTTACATTGATCGTTCGCACCGATCTCATTCGTGATCAACACTCCATTCCTCTCAAACGGACTGATATGCCCGCCGCTACCTCATCGCATTGAGCGTCCATCCATCCATATTCGACCCTGCCTGGCGACGTTTCAGGAGTGCAACCTCCTTGAACATCGACAATGTCATTTTTCTCACGAGTGTTCAGGAGCAAGGAGTCCGCTGCCAGCAAGAAAAACGCCAAACAGGCTCCCGTCCAGGAGGCGCCTGCCAAACCCAAGTGGGCCGACGCATACCAACGCAATGAGGTCGGCCCCGAAGAGGTACAAGAGTTGCTGAGAGGCTGCACGCAGGAACTCAAGCTTCGAGGTATGTGCATATATATCAATGATGAATACACGTTGGCTGCAGCGCGGCTGCCTGCATATGCATGTCGCTAACCTATCGACATCCCACAGGCCTCGACATCCCCTTTCTCCTCCTTCCGTTTCGTCCTAGTTCTGATCCCAGCGCTGCACGCACTTTCATCCGTAACTACTTCAATGCCAGCCAGAAAGGGGCCCCACTCCAGGGCGATGCGCTCATGCAGGAGCTGCGACTGACCGAACCAATGGTGGGCAACATCCGTGCAGAAGAATGCGATCTCAGAGACAAAGGCTAATCGATGGATGGTGGTTGGTGTCATACAGGTCCTATGCAGTGTCGTGAAATGGTGCTGGAGCAGACTGCCCGGTGGTGTGGTTACATGGGAGGCTTACGAGCTCTTCAAGGTGGGAGAGCAAGGTGCGTGCCTTCCTTGCTCCCTTCCTGCCTTCCTTCCTTGTTTCTTGCCGTCTAACCCGCTCCAGACTCGGACCTCGCCCGTGATGCCTTCAACACCTTCATCCCCATTAGCGTCGATTCCGACTCGCGCACCAAGATCATCTTCGATTTCTTCGATCTTCTTGCTGCCATTGCCGCTCACGCTAAGAAAAACGGTCTCGGTGGGCGCAAACTGTCGAGATATGCGGGCTGGTGGGCCTTTGAGCACACCGATACCAGCAATGGCTTCGAAGCCGCCTACAAAAACTGGGCTACGTGAGTACTACACAAGACTACGGTCAAGATACGCGATTAACGCTGAATGCACTAGGGCTGCCGATGCCACGAGCCATCTCTTCTTCGCCTATCTGCGATCCATGTCTCCAGACTCTGTTAAAGGGATCAGTGGTATATCGAGTCTCCCCATTGCTCTCCAATCGCTTGTGCAGGCCACAGAATACCCGCCACAGACGCCCACTCTTCTGCAAGTCGCAACCACCAAGGTAGTCATGATCGTCGACACAGTCTCGCCGACCCCATTCTCTCTACTGCGTCGGGCCAAAAACTTTGAATATCGGGACAGTGACCGTCATCTTCAAGAGTTCACCGCGTACGATGAGCCGACGCAAGCTCTTACTGACGAATGTCAACGAGTGCTTAGAGCCATCTCTAACACCAACCAATCTGCGGTTTCCACGTCCAAGACATCAACGAGCCTCCGGGATGCGTCCTGGTCTCGCTTTGAGGACATTGGCTTTGGCGCTTCCATTGACTCCGACCACGATGATGAGACCGAAAATCATAGGTCTGGTCAGGAACTGCGTTCTGCGCCTCAGTCCCGCACCAACGATTTCGCTCGGCCTACTACACCCTCATGGGCCGATTTCTTGTCCTCGGGTTTCGCTGATGAAGCTGGATACACAGGCCCTTCTTCACTCCTTCTGCCTCCGGATAAAGTCCTACCTCCCATTGCCACAGTCCGTGGCCAGAGCTCCCAGTCCCACAAACGGACCCTTGTCAGCGAGCCTAATCTGGACCCAGGTGAGCTAGCTAGCATTACAGTGTTGGACCTCGACGACTCTTTCTGGTGGGTTTGGATTAGCAGTCTATCAAGTGAAGAGCCTAGTACTCGCAAGGCTGTTTTCGGACGATGCGCCCTTCTGGAAACAATTATCTCCGGTGCCAAGTGGCTTGTCCTGGAGGAACAGGTAAAGGGTGCTGCGCCGGAGCCAGAGGATGGAGCATATATCGCTGAAAAGAAGCGCTTTTTCGGATTTTCAACTCGCAAGCTTACCCGCCGCAAGTCATCTGGAAGAGGTCCTGTTCCACGGGAGCCGTACAAGTTGAATGTCAACAATGCCACCATTGGCGCCAGCAAAACTAGCATTGGACCGGACCAGCACGCCCGCATCCAGGCAGCTGCCGCGGCTTTACAGAAAAAGCACCGTGAGCAAGAAGAAGATCAGCAGCGCGAGCTCCATGAACGCCGTGGTCGTAACGACTACACCGATTCTAAAACCAATTCCACCATGACGACCGGATTACTAACCGAGGCTTCTCAGGCGATGAAGTGGACTAAAAGATATGATAGCCATTATGACAAAGATCAGTTGAGATCAGTCTATCTCAGTGATAGCCGGGCTGGCACCGGCTATCCGTCCGAATCTTTGAATTCGCTCACCAATGGCCAACGAAATATGACTCCAGTCACTGAAGTCCAGACGCCTCCTTTAGCAGAGAAGAAGGCTGCCTCGGCGCCACTTCCCGTTCCTCCTAAGGATGTCCCCAAGCCGGCGAATGATGTTGCTGCATATGCAGCAACTGTTCCATTGCCTGAGCCCAAGGCTAAACCCGCCTCTGAGCCGAAGAAGTCAATTGAATCGACTGAGGAGACGCACCCGAAAAAACTGAAAAAGAAGCAAAATTCTGCGCTTAAGGGTATTTTTAGCACCACAAAGCAAAGAACTGATGACGGGCCCAAGAAGCAAACCGGTATAGATCCCTCAGCTGTTGCCGCAGCACGAGCAGCTCTGGAGAACAAGGTCAAATCTCAAGATTCATTTCCTCCACCTAAGGCTCCTGTATCTCACCGTTTGTCAATCATCAAAAAGAAACCCGTCTCTGAAAATGCTGCTACGGCCGAGCCGGCCGATGAACCCGCTCCTGTCATGCCGTCTGAGCCGGTGGAAACAAAGCCTGAACCAGTTGCTCTCGAGCCTGCATCCCCAACATACAGCGGCCCTCCACGTACTCGTCGCGATGCAGAATACGATGCGTTGTCAAAGATTGACACTAACGAGAAAGCGGCCGCCGATCGTGAATTCTCTTCTTTTGACCAAGGTCCTCTGGAAGATCAGCCTGCTTTTGTCCCAGATAGTCCTGTGACGCCTGTCGAACCGAGCCGGCCAGAAGTTCCCTCTCCTCCAACAGCAACAACTTCCCGCGACGTCACTACACCTACCGCACAACTGCACAGTTTGCCTGAAGGATCGCCATCCAACCCGTCTTATCAGGATCGTTGGGCTCAGATTCGTAAGAACGTGATTGAGAATGCCTCTGCCAATTACGATGAAGTGCCCAGTCGTACGAGCCAAGGGGACGATGGCGATACCAGTGGTGAAGAAAGTAAGTTTTCCTCGAACGTTAATAATAAACTATCGTTGACGTGTGATTAGCTATCGAATCTCGCGTAGCTCGAATTAAGGCTCGAGTTGCCGAGCTGACTGGCAACATGGACACCAGCCGGTAGAGCGAGTGTTACATTTGATAGATAGACCCGATTTCCACACCGACGCCTTATCCTTGCTGGCAACTTCTCTCGCTTTTTCCCAACCTCTATCTCCTTCCCTTCTAATTTGAATTTCTTTCGACGTACAATTCCCCATCAGTTCATCTCACAATTGGTTATTGTTTCGTTTCCAGTGCACTCGAGTCTCGTGGAGGTGAATCCCTACTTTCGTGTGTATTCAATAATACCCACGTTTCAATTTTTGTCTTATTTAGTGATATCAAGTGATCTCGTATGTCATCCAACAACCAATTCAATTTATATAAATTCATGTTTCTTTAACAATTCAGGGCTCTTCCACCAGCCATTTTTGGTGTAATATTGATTCGAAGTGAGTTTAGATAAGCCAAAGTGGCATAAATAATGGTGCTCTATCTGCATTTAGCTTTTTTGAGTCGCTTATCGAGGAAACGAGTCGGATATTTTTACTCTTTTATCACGATGCGGGCAGGTAGGTTGTGTCCATGAATGTCATGAATTACTTACCGATCTAAGTTAGCATCTAAGTTAGCATCTCAGCCTCACTCAACCGCACAAACATGAGGCTCACTACTATTCAGCCTTGCACTTATTAAAGCTGACTTGGGTGACCTACTAAAATTCCAATCTCAAACTTCTGAATACTTTTTTTTTTTTAAAAAAAAAACATTTTTCCGATTTCAGATGGAGTTATTAAATGAGAAATGGATTTATGCGGATCAAACTACAGCTCACGAGTATGACAAACGATTTCTGATTGTTGAGAAAGACCAGCAACCCTACTTTAGCAAAGTTCCACCTGGCGAACATAACGGTCTGCCACACAATATTCCAAACTGTGCCCGGATACTCTGCAGCTACTGCTCCCGATGTGCAACGAGCACCGAACACTCCCCCTTCCAACTACCACACGACCAGCACACCGTTAACCAACTTCTCGAGCCATTCCCATGGCTCTTAACTCTACGAGCCCACAGCAAAGGTTTCGGCAACTTCTCCAAAAACCTACTCTACCATGCCGACAACCCTGTAGCAATGACCATCATCTTTCATTCATCCATGAAGCAGTACTGGCAGCGCAGCCGAGGAGGATCAATCTGGTCTTTAGGGCTTGTCTACGACTTCCGCCACAACTCCTCAGTGGGCTTACTAGACGGTTTGTTACCGTCGGATCGAAAACGCTTGGAATGCAGCTTGGCCAGTAACCCAGCGGCTCTTGCACATCCACTCGCCGTACCATGCGCGGTTCTCGAGACTCAAACCACGTTCCTGGTCGAAGCAGCTTCGAAAATCCATGGACAGCTGTATAAAATCGAGAAAGACTTCGGACTATATAGGTCTTGGGGACCTGGGGGTGCGCGAGATCCATGGGCGTTGAGTAATGACGAGTTTCAGGACTATATGAAAAGAAGCGCGTCGATTGAGAGCCACTTGACCTATCTTCGCGGCCAGGCTGATATACTCATGCGCTTCAACGCCTTCCTGCTCGAAACGAGCGACGAGTTATTAACTTTAGTCAAGAACACCTCCTCCAACCCCACTGCAAACACGCTATCCGCCGTCTCTGGCCAGCAACCCATTCAATATTGGCGCAAAAATCTCGGCTACATGCTCGAAACCGTCCGACCCAACATCGACCGTTCCTCCGCGCGAATCGAAAAGTTCTCTGCGACGGTTTCGACGGTGATGAATCATAAGATCTCTACTGATACTAGCCACACCGCGTCCTTGGCGACATTGTTATCGATCATCACGATGATATTTCTCCCTGCAACGGCTATTGCGACTTTTTTCAGTATGAGTATGTTCAGTTTTCAGAATGATGCTGTGCAGGTGGTCTCCAGTAGGCTTTGGATTTATTGGGCTGTTGTGGCGCCTTTGACGGTGGTTATTCTGGCGCTTTGCTATCTGTGGACGAGGCGGAAGAGTTTTAATTTGTTTCTTTCAAGGAAGAGGGATAACGATTCAGTGTGATTGGGTTTGACACTGGACTGTTGAAAGTCGTCAAGCCTCATTTCAAATAATGACCTTCCGTCGAGTTTGTAACTTTGAAATATGAATATGGATACTAGGCGCACGATCGTTCGATCTTCTCCTTGCGGAGATGGATCAATCGTTGTATCTGTGCCATATTGAAAAAGGAGATGGGAGGCCGCTCCTTGAGTAGTGAAATACATACATCTACGATATTGACTATTTTAAACCTCTGACAAGCCTCTTACTGCGAAAATCGCCAACTTAGCACATCATTAATGTAATAAATTATAATATCTTGTAGCTTTGGCTATACAACCTGAAAATACAGCCTGCAGCCGAGAGCACACCACGAAAGGCAAGTGTGGACAATCTAAGTATTGACAAGCCGGTCTCCTCGATAGACTCTTACTTGATTTATGAGTGTCTCGCTTGTCCAAGACGCATATAGTAGCCCCTCAGAACTCTCCAGGTTATTTACGAGGGCAGTTATTTGCTCGCGTTCCTCCCAGTTGACAGACTCTAGTGTCAATGCCAAAGACACTGACAGAATCGGCAGGCCCAGAGGCTTGTAGCGACGACCGTGATCTATTAGCATCCAGATCCTCTGAGACAGACCTAAAATTTCTATTTCCAATTCAGACTGACAGAGAGCGTCGTTATCGGCGAGAGACCATAAAATCCTCAAAACTATGATGCTATACATCGCATGATAGCATAGCGCTAAAGCCACTGTGGGATCTTGGATTTGAAACATTTCATCAACCAGGCCAGGGACACACGTCGATACAGTCCGGCTGACGAGATTTTCTTCATATATCAGGGTATCCAATTCGATACATATATCGTGTAATTCCTTTCTGAGATGGTAGATTCTCCCCAATAAACTTATTAATGTTGGTTTTCCCTCTTTGTGCTCTAGCTTTTCACGGATAAGGGTTGGCCACGTAGACATTTGCCTGAGAAGCTTGTAGTAAATTGTTTGAATCCGGCTTTTACCTTGTAAAGTATCCAGTGACGCTGACCACTCTCGCTGAGAAAGAAAACAGTCTGTGTGGCGCAGGAGCGCGTGTTCTACCTAGCTCTTTGTGTTAATCTAAAATGCAGTATAAAGAAAGAATAAGACGACATACAATGCACATGTGACCATCTGCTATAACAGCGCAGTCGAAGGTGTTTGACGGATCTGGTGGGCCTCGTTTTTGTACGAGAGCAGCCAAGCCAGACCCATGGACAAGCATGTTGGATCCAAGGGACTCTCCAAACACTGACTGTTGATAGCATTCGTTAGTAAATTATTATCAAGGTTCTGTAAAACGAAAAATTTTAAAGAGCTTGATGGCGATTACCTCAATCCGGTGTAAGAGGAGGACCGCACAGAGCGTGTTAGTCGAATTCCATTCCTTCGGATCATTGATTGCCTCCTGGACACTCCGTAACGCACGAGCGTGTAGCTGAGGCTTGATAGAGCATGGCGTTTTTGTATCCCGAGTAATGGTCGAATGTGAATCTACCATGCATGCTGCAACACTATCGAGTGCGGAACTTGATCCAAAATGCCGTGGCATCTGAGAGAGCGAAGCTCCTAGGTGATTAAGACTGCGTGAAGGAGTTTCCGTATGAAGACAGCTAGTAAATGCACAGACAAGGCGTTCTGATGGACTAAGAGGTATGGTTTCCTCAATAAAAAGACCAGAAATGTCGTTTCCAACATTTGCTTTTCCCCGCAATGATGCGGTGTGTTTTCGCCGTACAGTCGCGCCGTCGTCGATTACTTTGAGTGATGAACGCGGAGGACAATGGCGATTGCTCCGTCTACACGGTCCGCATAACGGCCATGCTTGATCGCACTGGTGAAGTTCATGATCAGTGTTCGCTAGTTGGAAAATGCTGTGTGTCCCCTACCTTGATCTTTCTTAAACGACATGTATCGCACCGGTTACTCTTTAAAGCGCCGACCATGCTGATCGAATACAATTTTATGTATGGTTTGAAGAATAAACCAATTCAGCAAATCCAACTCGATTGTCTTTAAATCAACAAGACTTTTAAGCTTGCTATCAGATCCCCGCTGGGGCTGAAATGATCGGCCTTACAGGTGGGCCAGTCAATAAAATCGCCTATGCCGGAATAAGCACTGAGTTGCGATAATTGGGGGCCACAAAAGCTTGGCTAACCGGACCCAAAGGCGAAAGCTGAGGGCTAGGGCTAACGCCTAACCCTAAGCCCCCGAATGAGGCAAACGCCTGATTGGACACTCTTTCAAGATGGAGCTTTACGACGATCGCAAGTCATTCTAGCGAAATATCAGCTAATTGCTTACCTCTGTTAATGATTGAATAGACTTCTTATTTTCCGTGTTAGCAACTAGACAGAGAACGGACGCACGCTACTGAAGGACGACTTCGATACTATAGTTTCAGACATGGGCAGATGAGAACTAAAGCTTTACCATTAGCCTGTGTGATTATCGATCGTTGCTCCCTGCGAGTTTGTTAATCTAATATTGCAACGCTAGAGCTATTTGGAGGAGTGTGGGCTATATGACTGTTCTTCTGGGTCAATTTTAAAAATAATATGAGGGCTTGGTATGGTGGTTACTGGCTAGGGATGGCTGATGCCACGAGTTGCAGATTGTGAATTAAAATTGAGAACTGGATGCCTTCCATATTTGAAGTCAACATTAAAATTTGAAATAAACCAAACAGCACTAGAACCCTATACACGGAATAGCTAATTTGAAAGTGACACACCTCTGACGGGCCTTCAGGGGCAGATGAGAAACCCATATGATACTTAAAGCGAATCGAGAATTCAAACATTCAGAGCTTTTGTAAGAAGCCAAAGTAGTTGGAGAACTTGAGCACTCCTTAATGTTCGCATACAGAAAAGAAACCAAAATGAGTAAGGGCGACGTGTCAATTAAATGATATCTTTGGAAAATATTCTAAGCTTTATAATAGATTCTATCGAACATGAAAATAAATGTGTCAAATGACAATTCCTCGCCAGTCCATTAAAAACCTGTCTATGAATAGGCAATACGCGCCTCAAAAAACGAAGGGGTGGTGGGTTATCCATGCTACTCTCAAAACAATAAGTTTAAGCGCCGTATCGATAGACAAACAAATAGTATAGCAGCGATACGCCGCATCAGCAGTGCGACAAAAAACGTTTCAGCGTTTGAAGAAGAGTCTTTAATAAATGAGCGAATGAAATGACTCAGACTATCCAAGGGAGTCGGTCGGCGGCTAAACAGCAGGATCACGTGTGGTGGCATGGAGACATTAATAACCCGGAACTTCTACAACTGGAGCCTTCCAAATGTGATTTAAATTAGAATTTTTCACAAAGGAGATATTCAAGTGAGTACCAAAATGGCAACACATCTGGATCTCAACATCGATGCGTTGAAATATCCGGATCCAGGCGAAGAAAAGAAGTCGGGGAGCAAGTTGTTATCGAGGGTAATTCCATTCAAGAGTTCCCATTCGAAGACATCGACTAGCGACCCATCTATCCCAAGAGAATATCTGCTAAGCGACTATAAAATATTCCTTATCCTTCGAGACTTCCTTCAACCGGGAAGCACTATTAAACCGGACGATGCCGTGAGTAGTGCTCTCGAGGTCTTTCCAGTTGGATACTCAGACCTGCGTTCCTTGAACACGGTCTGTCTTGAGCTTGCTGAACAAATACCTTATGATCATCCATCTCAATTGAAACTCGCCAGCTTCTTGTGGCTCGTCGGGAGAAGATCTAAACGGGTTGCTAAATTGCAGTCAAAGGTGTGGTGGTTCATAACCCGTCCCTGACTTCGTCTTTTGTGATTGTAACTTACCAAATCACATAGGAAAAGCCGATAGCAACAGAAAACTTCTACCAGCATTTGAGCGAAGATATATCAGATAATCTTGCGGATCCAGGAGATGACGATACTGAGCCTGTTCGGTATATTAATTTTCAATCATTTCTTGCACATCTCATGGGGCTAGGGCTTTTCCACGCAGATACGCACGATGCTGAACGCGCAATGCGCCTGGCCTTTGAACAAGACCATGCTGACGAAAGTATTGTGATCCATGATGCGTGGATCCTTGGTGCCGCACAGTGGATTTTATGGTACGGCCAAGAACTGTTCAAGTTACTTCTATGGAAAGAAAATGGAGAAGAGGCTTTCGAGAAAGACAAAACTGGATCAACAATATTGAAGAAGTGGGACTCTTGGAAAGGGAAATTCGAAGAGGCCACCGGGGAATCTGGAGGACATGGAGATGAATGTAGAAAGGTGGCGAAAAGGGCTGTAGAGATTATGGCAGTCCTGGAGAGAGTGATGCCGTGTTAGTTTGATAGTAATTAGGTATTGCAGATTCAAATAGCGGAGTAGGATGGATCAGCGGGTATCTGGGATATAGGGTTGGAAGTTTCGTTGTCAAGTCAATTAATTTAAATCATTGATGGGAGCTCGGGCGTTCTTCAAATGTTTGATATGATTATACGGTCGCAATGGCACATGGACTGATGATCGCGACCAAAAGTTTCTAGATGTGTTATATGGATTTCATCAACGCAAGCTGATCTAACGATGGACACTCGCAAAAGTGACCATTTTGGCTTGGAAGCTTTACGTAAAATTAAGGGGTAAAATTAACAATATTATATCTGCGCTATATGGTAGAAAAAGCTGCTTACATTGCGCTGACAGCTGTCGCAAAATGGTTAAATTAGGGTTAGGGTTATGGCCCCATCCAGTCGATCATTTTATGATTGCAGGTATTAGCAGGAATCTTGACATTGATAGATCGATGGCCCTTTAATATTCTTTCTGAGTAGTTATTGTGATTTAATAATCACTATTAAAAGGGTTATCGGAAATATTAGTATTTATAGTCCTGTGTCCCTTCCCATGTTCTAGGAATCATCGCTATCTATTTAGCGAGTCTTTCTTGCTCGTCCAGCCTCTCATTATGTGGAAACCTTGCATTTCTTTATTATCCGCTATATTGCAGTTGGTTGCAGCAACATCAGCGGCACCACCAGCTTGTCAGACAGTTGCTCCTAACCAAACAATCATTCATTTGGCGAATAACTGGCTCCCCACATCAAGCTTACAGAGAAATGCTCAATCGGATTCAAAAAAAGGATTTCTATTTGCATCCAGTATACAGAAGATATGGGGAAGCATCATGAATGATTCAGAGTGCCGATACCGATCCGCGAATCTCCTTCTATTTAGTTCATCTCTGATACAATACAAATGGGGGTGGCGGGATTCCTTTCCACTCAAGACGCTAAACGGCTTCAAATCCTGCCTAGTCCTGGTATACTAATCTTTTCTTCTATATCATATGTCTTATTTATCATCTCAAGTTAGAGTAAGGCTAATCTAATAAGAATTATTAGATGAATTTCCATTTATCGACCCTTACAGAAGCTCCAGGAAAGAGCCAGACCTGACGATAATGCCTAAACCCGCCGAAATGCCTACAATTGTTATCAAAGTCGGCTGGAGCGAAAGTCGCAAGAAACTCCACGACGACATTCATCTCTAGATCAATCGATGGGCTGACGGGTAGACACCGTGATGCCCAGTGTAGGGACCTTGTACATTAAGAAGTTATTGACGCAGCAATTGCTTCCAGCTGACTGTCCTTCAACAATGCTAAATTGCAATTATCGCAGTCATTCCCTACTCTGAGTTTCTCCAACAAAAAGGACGATGGGGGAAAGCTGGTATCGCACTCGTTCGCGAAGGAACCCAACCGCGTGGGTAACACCTAGGACGATTTTGCAAGTTCTAGTGCACCTTTCTCCAATTCGAACATCAAGGGGCAATGTCGGCTCTCTGTTGATATTTCAGGGATCCTGTTAGGTGCCTCAAGCATCCCTCTCCGCCCTGAGCGTTTGCACGCTCACACTAGATAGCCTAGATAGCTTCGCCTTACACACCACGCATGAATATGAGCATCTATCCATATTCCCACATAATATTTACAGCGTATCGTGTCATAATCTGTTTCCTTTTAGCGTTATTAATCTCATCATCATCAAGGCGACCGGCGATCCCGGCCTGGTACTTCAATTCGGAAGAAATGACCATTATGGGCCCACATGTGCCTATTCCCGGAAACGGCTATTGGGATCGTATCAAAATGACCATCATGAGCCCTCTTTCAAATTTCCTTCTCTTTCTACTTCACTCTCTAGTTAACTCAGTCAACTACTATCCCCCCAGTCAAATCCATAATATTGAAGGCATCTACATGCCATTTTATCTCCAAACCTATCTCGCTCATGCGGCACAGAAACTACGGAGCTCACGTATTTGGAAACAGAGAAGGATTCAGGAGTCAGATTATGGGGTTATGTGCCCAAAACTCACCAGTTCTCCGAAGGACAGGAGATCAAATATCAGAAGAAAGCTTCTATATAGTGCTTGAAAGAGAAGGTACATTGGAGCGAATATCTTCTTAAAAGCTAAACAGGAAGAAAAAATTGCTTAACGAATCTCTATATGTGATTAAAATGTTTGTCGATAGCTACTCAAAGAGTTCACATTCCACCAGTTGATATCTACAATTTGAATGGAGTATTAGTTGAGAGGTGGAAAAAACAACCACCAGGTAACCTTCACGTCAACCATATTCGTCATCGTGACTGTCCATCGTAATGTTCTGATATAGATATCAATAAATTTTGGCAAATACAATGCTAATCTGATACATGCCCATGACGTCGATTTCAATTACCGACTGATACTATAGGATGATATGTACGTGGCCCCAATATCCGGTACTCACACCATAAGAACTTAGATTGAAATAACTCATGGCTCTCATGAACCTAGTAGCTAGAATTCGAACAATACCAGACTACGCAAAGCCTTGACAGGAAAGTTAGATGATTTAGTAGTATAAATGCAGAAGTAAAATCCAATTCAATTTAGCTAAAAATAAATCTGTACATCAAGCCCAGCCAAGCCTACAAATGTTGAATTTGAAGCTTGGAAAGCCCAGAATCGAAGTAGAAGACCGATATCCCCTTTTCACGCGTAGAAGAATCCATCATTCTGTTGAGAAATTTCAGTAAGGCACTCATATATCAGTAGACGTATGGAAGATATCAAATTCGCATACCTTAGTAAAAGCATTACTTTCCGTTGATTCCACGTCCACAGAAATCAGAATCTCTGGGTTGATAGCCGTAAACAATGCTACGATCAGGCGCGTTATCTTCACCAGAAGCATACCACCCGCAATCGGCAGTGATCAAGCGATCGGCGGCCTGTCGCTCACTTGCATAGCAGTTGTTTTTGTTACCAGACAAATTGCAAACATAGGACACGACATCGTTCTGAACGGCATAGAAATCCCGTCCATTCTCCGAACCGTCACCTTGAAGCACGCCTCCACTACCGCATTGGTTATCAATATTGACGTTAACAGCATCCGTATCAGCGTGGTTCAGGTTATCATAAAAACACTGAATGTTGTTTGCACCTTTCGTGATGGTAAGCTTGTTTTCATTTCTAAGAGGGCAGGTACTGAAGTTTTCACTTACCACTGAGACCCTGGCGGCGGAATTTGGCGCTCTTGGGCCCGGCATCAGGTACAGCTGTGAGGTTGGCCACAAAATTGTGGACTGTCTCACCCTGGTCATTGGTAGAAACTGTGTAAATGCCGTCGCCAATGTCCTCAGGGATGGTCCAAGCAGTGACAGCAGCAGCGAAGAGAAGAGCTTTTGGGAACAGCATTTTTGACAATTGGTAAGAACTTGATTGATCTTTGAAAGAGTAAAGAATCAAAAGATTTTATAAATGGGTTTTAAAAGGAGTGTTGGACTGTTTTGTTCCGATGAGAATGATGATGATGATGAAGATGATGGATTGACAGTGCAATCTGCTCCCTTCTTATAGTTCTTCTACTCCTTAACATTGATCTATTCATTCAGACTTGGTCTCTTTCTTCACAAACGATGATGACTCGTTCATCCTTGAAAGTAATTTTAATTCGGAGTATATTCCACTTTTTGTTACTATTAATTGTCAAGAATCGCGTAAAGTAATTTCAAAGGAGGTGATCTACATAGGATCATGAACAACACTTCATACTATGTGTGTACAAGTGGAGTTGTACCTAACAAAAATACATGTATTCATTCGTCAGCGAATATGGTTCATCAAGGAGATACTTGATGACGGTTGTCATCATTATAGGGGCTAAAATTAATGTCATTGTTGATTTATATCAACTGCCATAGATACCGGGGTCGATCGAACCTTGACTGGAGAATGACCAAATATCTACTAATAGATACCGAAAAAAATGAAGTCATACATCAAATGGTCCTTACGTTACATTTGGACCAGTTCCAATTGAACTTGAAACCCAAAAACCCAGTCTATTTTACCCCGAATAGGTGTTGTCGTAGGGTAACCCCCAGCTGACATACATGTAGCTATATTCACCGAGAATATCGCTCACGGTGCCGAATATAGAATCGAATCGTAGAGCCGCTAGTCTATTTATGTATATATGTCATAGCAAAGGTTGTGGGCCTGTCAAAGTCAACACGGACCCCAAGCTCATAGGCTAAAAAGGCAATTCATTCGCTACAGCCGAAGGATCAACAAGATACTATCCGTTTTGTGAGCGGCTGCAAATCTTGACCCAACTAGTGCTGCATTCGCCATTTCCCCTGGCAAGGGCCTTACGGCTATGAAGTAATCTCACGTGAGATCTATGCATAGTTTCAGCCACCGAGAAAGCTTATGCCACTATAGCGGGTTAGCGAATAGTCTCAATCCCATTCGATCCAAGTTGTTTCAAATTTTTATACAAGATGCTATTACAAGCGAGTTATGCTTCTATAAAAAGTAATTGAATTCGAAGTTATTCTGGCAGGCGTTTCGAAATTTTTATGGTTTTGGCCCCTGAAAATCCACCACATGCACATATTATCTGGAAAGTCATAGCCGTTCAAGGCCCCAGAGCATCAGTGGGAGGCCACAAGGGAGGCCTGAAGGGCCGACCTGTGGAGGTGGGAAGCCATGGAACCCCCCGGGTCCCAGGGAATGGTGACAGCTCTGGGCAGTCATTCATCGGTAGGCGACGCTCACGCTTTTAGCCTCCAGGAGGGTGGCCGGGGCCCCAATGGCCTCTATAAGACCCCTGAATCACCCTGCACATATAAGCGGCTTGGGGCGAGGAATTCGTTTGTACGTTATAACGCTAGGCACCAGTTTGGGGCAGGCAGAGGGAGGGGGTTAGGGGTTTAGGCCCATGTACGGCCTCCTAGCGCCCACTGAAACGAGACCTTCATGGCTTAAAGCTGGGTAAGGTCGTAAAAATTGATTATTATTGATAATAATAATAATAATAACTCATAGCCTCGGAAGAAATTTCAACATCCAATATGATCGTGCAAGGTGGTGGGTTCGCTTAATCCAGTTTGAAAAGCGATCAATCGGAAATACTTTTGAGTCAGAGGAACTAGTTATATTAGATACTTGTATTAGAGAAGTTGGTCAGCGTTCTGTTATAGCAGCCCGCCTTTCCCCATCTACTATACTCATTGTGCATTATCTCACACACACAGCCTTGATTGACCAATCGATATCAAGTGACGCATGTACATGTATATGCAGGGGGCTCGATGTTACATCCGGACCGTAACGAGTATTTGAATTTCTAGTTCTTATTCGAATAACTATCTAGGATGTGAATAACGAAAGCCTGCTGCAAGTAATGCGTGTAGACTAGTATCTTATTTCAGAATATCGGGAAACTTGATCCATAATTTCCGTGTTCGATGCCTAGTGACACAGTTAACTGAGACATCTTCTATTATTACTTTTCAAAGACTTACCAAATTAGTTAATAATCGAGATAAGTAACCATCCGGCATTACTTAAACCATTTACGGTCTGCTACCCAGCCGAAGCTTCCTAATAGTCGAATGGCATCTATAAATACTGTATGGGGGCGAGATTCGGGTTGTCTTTGTATATAGCTTTCACAAGAGCAGCAGTAGTCTTATTCCCAGTCTAGTGATATGAAAGATAAAAGCGCAGCATGAGGAAATGCGAAAATCTCGGTATCAGGCCTCAGTTTTAATGGTTCAATTGAAGGAATGTAATGCGGCGACGTTCGATAAACATGCCGCCATTCGTTGTCCCGCCACATATGCCACAACCCAAAATAAAGAGGGCTATAATTAATATGAAAACCTATATCCGTCCAAATATATTTCATAGTTGACCAAATGAAGGTGTTAAGGCGTTGCTTGGTGTCAATATAAAATTCCAGGGGGCAGGAGGCGGTGGGGAACTAACCTAGAAACAAAAAAAGCGTTCGTGACCCAAATAAAAATTTCCTTCAGGTCGAGGTCTTGAAGAATATACGATGCCGCTGTTGTCATGACCGTATTTTCCAACGAAGCCAGAAGTGTTGAGATGACAAGGCCAATAATGATTGACCAAAAACGAAATCCACGCATAAAGTCTTCAGGTGCTTCTGCAGGCCCAAGGGTAGCCTTTTAAAAAAGAAAACTACTAATTAAAAATCAATATTATATCCTATAGATATTAACTGATAAATATATATATACATATATATAATGCGTAAATTCCTTCAATACAAGCTCGTTCTTAATTAATACAATTACCCTCTCGATTCCATTTTAGTTGGCTCAACCACCAAATACATCAGTATTAATTTTCGTTCGGAAGATTCTGCCATCCAGCGGGCAAGAACCGTGCACGTATGTATACCTAAAGAGTTGGGAGACAGATCTTAAGGCATCGTTATGAAACAACCCATGTATTTCTGCTCTCCTCGTTCCATTGGGTTGTGGAGGCATGAGTTTAGACCTAACGTAATGAACTATTCTCAATGGATCTGTTGGCTTTGCATAGACATGATCTCAGATTTGGCTTACAATAGGGAATTTCACCTTGTCAGAAATAGTACAAGTCTTTCCAAAAGCCCTCTTGAAGACATATACGATCAAGCTGCTAATATTCTTACTAGGCAAAACATCCAATTTCCTCGAGACACTCCGTAGTACTAAGTTTGCCGGGATATTGATAAAGCTCTCCAAGAAGGTATTCCTTATAGCAATTTTTGATAAGTGAGCAAGGTTAGGGTGACAAAGATAATGGAGGTGGAGTAATTATATTGGTGAGCTGTTTAATGAACCATATTACGGGAGAAAAAAGTCGTGTATGCTCTCGTGGCCAAATGGCTCAAGGCACCGGACTTCTATCAAAAGTTAATCCGGAGATTGTGGGTTCGATCCCCACCGGGAGCTAGTTGATTTTTTATTTATTTAGTAGGGTCAATTTTCATGAAGCAGGGTCCGCATCTGACTGAGCTGGAGCTGAATAGAATTAATCAAAAAAGGATATTTCGTGATCTTTGGCCATTTTAATTTTTTCCGCGAGGTCGCGTATAAAGCTTGCTTATAGGTGCGGAGAGTAATTCACCCTACCGCAAACTACACCCTCGTCTAACTCCTCAGAGCTTGCTAGGCCTACAAAAAGCACTTTATAGCGCTCTACACCCATATAATTACTCTACAGCAAACTATACTTATATTAACGCGGGTGCGTGGTGGGGAAAAACTTATTTCTCATATAAGTTCAGAAGTTCTCAGTCTCCAAAAGAAGCAGTTATCTAAAGGAGTTTTAAATGCAGTGCGACACAAACAAGAAAACGAAAGGTGGGTTAATCTATAGGATATCATGACTATACAACTGACGATGGAGAGCCTCAATACCTTCGTTTCTATATTGTTTAGTCCTCATATCCATGGCGTCGAATTCTGTGCCAGCATGTGCAGCAGGTTCTAAGTGGATCAAACGGGAACTTTCACCATTATATTGTCTGGATAGGTAATGGTCATCGAAGCCTCAATTTTATCCCATTATGGTCTCTGCCATCTTTTGATGCAAAGCCTTCTCCAGCGACAACGGTATACTTGATAGACACGACTCTGTAACGAATCAAAGCGTTGGGTTAAGTGACATGACGCCGTTAGTTCAAAATGGTCCTGTTGTGAATTATAAGAGATTTATGGCCACTCAAGCATGTATCAACAGCCCAGATCCACAACTTCGATACTGGGGAGAAACATTTCGGTGGGAGAAAAAGAAGCAGATGAAAACCAGAGAAACCCAACAATTAGTCGCTCAACGACCCATTTTCAGATATGACTATGATCCATCTATTAAAACAGCACTTGGAGACGAGACTATTTTTCAATCTCGTAAAAAGTCAGTCTCATTCCGACCAAGTACAGAATGAGGTTGAAGATCCTTCAACTGTAGCTTTTTCTATATACTATTCTATTATTGTGCGCCTCTCCTACCTAGGTATCCTCTGGTGACCAAACTTTAGGCGAGGAGACTAGTATTTATGAAGGTCCTGATACCTGTTTTAAATAAAACCCCTACCATTGCAAAATCTTTTCATTTTTATTTCTTGTTTGAGATATTTTGTAATGATAGCATGCGTTATCTATTAGCTTATATAATATTTTTGGGCCTGGGCAGCAACTTCTACATAGGAAGTAGCTAAGAGAGATCCCTACAAGTGGCTTGATAGCTATCTCCTATAAGGAATTGGATTTCCTCTTTTAGTTAAAGAGCTCCGGCACCGACACCAAGGAAATGTCAACCTTTCTTAGCGTCGCGGGGTAGTTTGTATGGTTGGGAGAGAGAATAGCAGGTTTGTTACAAGTATTTTTGTTAAAACCATTACTAAATCTGTACTACAGTAGAAACATCATAGTTCGGGATTTTCATAATGTATATCGACCTTTTGGTGTTAGTACATTGTAAATCACTTCCAGGGTGCTATGCCACTAAAGTTGTATAACTGACTGACAATTTAGCAGGCGCGTAGCTCTGTGCTTTCAGTTGACATTTCACATCACCAACGCAAATAATTACTACTAGCATTGCGTGCTGACTCCCCAATTGGTCGGAAATTTATTCCAACCATATAAAGGATGATACATGCTGGTCAAATATATTTTGAGGCATCCTCTTCCTAGTCCAAGGATCAACATTGAGGTGCATCGCAAACCAATACGGCTGCCTAGTGAAGCGTGAAAAAGCATCACTTCAACCGGCACCAGTAACCGTGGTTGAAACAAAAAGAGAAAAATAAAAGGAAAAGGAAACAATTATTCTTTTGTCATCAATTCGGACTTGATGTCTGAATTCGACAAATCTCTTCAAAAACAGCAAAATGCAAAGCGAACCGCCTTTTACATCAGGCGTGTCATCGCGTCGTTCAGCTTGTGATCTCTGCCGCAGCCAAAAGCTGCGCTGCCTTCGAGAGAGTACAGACCCAGACGATCGCTGCGACCGGTGTACAAAGGCAGATGTACAGTGCATTACAAGCCCGATATTCAGGATGCGCAACTATTCAACCAAAGACGACAGGGAGCTTGGATCTCGCAAACGCCAGCGACAACAACAGCATAATGGTCAACCCAGTACTCCAGCTGTTTCTACCCCCATTGACTGGTTACCTGAAGATGTGCTCGCAAGGCAAACTTACAGTGCAACTTCTATTAGCTTCATCTCTCCCAATGATAGTACACTGGGAAACTCTTTAACACCTTCAGCTAGCACTTGGGAGAACCGTGATATCCCGGGGCTGTATGGACACGAAAAAAACCCGAAACCCGGAGCCTTCAACACTGGAGAATTTGATCTCAGATCTAACCAACCCAAAAAGCGACGCCATCGGCGGCACGCACGGTTACATGGAAGAGCTTTCCAAGATCAATCTCAGTCTAGTCTCACAGCTCAAACAGATGTCTCAAGGACCACCCTATGTAACTCTCAAAACCCTCATCGATCCAGTTTGTGGGAATTCTTCATCCTCTTTGGGGATAACTCCGCTAGAGGATATACTGAACAGCACACAGCATTATTTAGATGTTCTAAGTCTCATCCCTAAATTTTCTCAATCTTCACCAAAACACACCCTCAATGTGCCTGCAGGAGAGATCAATATCTCCGAAAGAACTCAAATGTCTCACGAATATAATACACCATCTTCCGATTTCTCACAACAGCTCAACAATATGACAGAGATTCCCACTCAGCTCGACAATTCAATTTTTCTCTTATTTCTGACCTGTTATATACACACTTTGCGGCTTCATGTGGCCTTGTTTTGGCATATTAAGCAGTATCTCCAGGCTATTTCCGAAAGCGAAGATCGTACCATATACCCGCTGCCGGGCCTCTATGGGTTTGACAACTTCCCTCTCCGTGCGTGATTCTCATCTAAAAGATCAAGAAATTCGTTACTCCTACTGATAATCGAGACTAAACAGAGTCTGGAAATCTTCAAGCCATGGTGATTATCCAGTTAGTTACTAATATGTTTGAAAGAATGGAGACGGTTTTGGGACTGCCGCGGGAGTTTCGCATCGGAACGCGCGAAGATAATGCCCATGGGTTAATACAAAATGCTGGATTGGTTGAGATTGTCAGAACAATTCTTCGAAAAGAAGATGAGGGACGCCCTGAAGAGGGGAAGGGGGGTATTAAATCACTGCGCGAGGACATGAAGAAAGTGACACGTTTACTACGTGATCACATAGCTCCGTAGGACTTGAATACCAGCTATTATACTGTGGAACTAGAGTATCTGTATCTGGTTTACGGTTCATATAGAGTAGTATGCATTGAATACACTGTAGCATTTATTGACAAATTTGACTCTTTCTTTTAATTTGATATATCACAAATAAGCGCCATCGCCAGTCGAAGGTAGCGCTAGGTCCCCGTTCAGGCAGCACCCCCGCAATCTTCAGGCTCACATTTAATAACATTCTTCTTTGAGAACATCTTCAACTAGTGTTATATTCTTCAGGAGAATCAAGTGGTGTTCATTTAACATTCTCATCATGTCTCTCGACCTACATTTATGGTGCGGATTCTCGCACTGGGCCGGAAAGCCAGGTGACGAGATGCCAACAAGTGCCGCCGAAGCAATCTCCAAAATTAAAGAATGGCACGCATCCAGCAAACCATTTTTGACAAAAGAGGCTATCAGAGATATTAATCGACAGATCAATCAGAACCCGAAGAAAGGCGATAAGATCTCTGTGGTCGGGCTGGATGGTGTGAGGGTTGATTTCGATGTCGAGACGGGGAAGACTTTCCCTCAACAACGTGATAAAGAATATGTAGTGTAAGAGAGGGTCCTTCGAGTAATTGTAGATATGAATAGCTAATACGGGGGCTTGGGTAAAGGGGAAGACCATGCATACAGTTTTACGCAGTTCAGCATCTTGAAGATGAATTCAAATGGAATGACGACCTGCACCGGGCATACTGTAATATGCGAATCTCACATTTGGCGAGCATTAGGTATATGAGGTCCAAGGAACCAGCGTCAGGCTACAAATCTGAGCCTAAAGAGTCTGCTATTCAGCGATTCGAAAAGAATATCAAAGCCTGGGAAGAAAGTGACCATTGTCGGCAGGTAATGGCTACTTTAGCAGCAGCATATATTCCGCAAGATGTCGACAAGATTGTTGGATTTGCGTGTGGCACAATGGCCCTTGCAGCTGGAGTGCCTGAACAGCGTGCCTCGGCGTTTCAGCATGCGCTGCTTTTGACATTGAGGAGCTTGCTGGAGAAGACCAGGGGATCCAGCGACAAAGATATTGCTTGCTATGCCCAGGATCCAATATACACGTCCTCCGATAGCGATGCTCTGGAGGCATATCAAATAAAAATAGTAGACGACCCCGACGGATTTTTGATAGTTGATGACTCGTCCATCTTGCTCTCATGTTCTCCGAACATACCAGTGAAGCAGATTGTGACCGAACTTGCTCGACCAGCAATTCTGATTTGGAACAAGGTCTATCCGGAAGTTGAGGGAGATGATTTTGCTAGGTTTGCTAATATCATTATTCTCTTGGGAAGTCTTTCTAATATTTGCCTGATACCAGAACGGATCCGGATTCTTCACGTGTTAGGGAAATGATATTTAATCATTATGATGAATTACCATTTCCGTCAAGCGACGACTTTTTCAATATGGCGATCTATGTTCGACGAGCAAGTCTGGTTTGACAACGATGATCACTACAACCATATGCACTTGGGTTGATCATGGATTGCCACTTACCAAGGTGAGTGTTGCATGTGTAAATATTCGGTAACTTTGTTTTTGAGCGAGTAAATACTCGGCTCAACTACGGACTGACTGTTATATTATTCTGAGATTCATTATTGATACTTCTTCTTTAGTCAAGTTTATTGTTTATATGCAGCTACAAGCTATGACCAATTGATATACCCGCTAGGGACCCGGCCTTATTATACATGGATGGCCACAAGGGCCATATTTGCTCAGATAATCTTGAATGAGGAAAGAGAAACAAACCTCTTCGCCATGATTAGAAAGTGGTGCTTTATATAAATTCCATCTTTATAACCTCATCTTTTTCTTACATTTTTCTCCATTTACTTGTTATTTAGATGACTTTAGACCATTTCATTCTTAATAATCTCCCTTACTGGCATATGTAAGTCTTTGTAAGGCTTAGTAACCTTATTCACCCTACTGCCTAAGCCTATCCTGCTTTCTAATATCGCCTTCTAGCATCACCCACAGGGCAAAAAGACTCCCAGACGGGGATTCGAACCCCGTTCGAGTGCGTGACAAGCACCCATCATAATCCGGTAGACCATCTGGGAATTATTGATACTTCTGAAGTTGAAGTCTAAGCATGTCTTCAACGAGCATAACCCCCGTCAATGATTGGCCAATACATGTATGGAAACTAGCCAATCAGCACCACGACTCCACATTCTTGGCATGGCGGGTACTCCACTGACAGCAGATTTGCATCATCGTCATCACATTCATCCATCAACACTTGAACGACCAATTTTCACTACTGTTTCGAGTACACACAGAAATCAAAAATCAATCAGAAACATGGTAGTCCCAGGCCGGCGATCACGCCCGAACATGCGGGTCCCCGCGCCAACCGACAACGATCAAGATGCCGATAATAATAATCATGCTGTGTCGGAGAAGCCATCAGACACCACTCCTGCGGTTCCACGGTTAGTATTATTTCCCACCACTATACGGCTCTTAATACAGCTCTTAATATTTATAATATGGAAAATGCTGATTGATTAGAGAAACAATCATCAAACTCATCGCCTTCAGCCTGGCCATGATTGGCGCGCCGCTCGGTACATACTTTCTAAGTGTCAACACTATCTTCAGAGGTAAGAGCATTCACTTTTGCACCAAGTAATCAGTTGCCTGATAATGAACAGGGAACACAACTTTTGCTGGGGCTTCGGCTGCTGTTGTGGCGAATGTGGTTCTGATTGCATACATCATCGTCGCATGGCAAGAAGACCAGGAAGATCAAGCGAAGAGGAAGGAGAAGAAGGGCCAGTAGAGGCTTATGCAGAGAGCGAGACTTGTGTACTGTATACTAATAAATACTGCGACGCGCTAATAACCTTTGAATGCGGTAAATAATGACACCAAATTAATTCATCCTTATCCTTATCCTTAAATGAAGAAGACGAAAATGGTTATGCAGGCCTTCGTTTCACAAACTCCTGTAAATCCCCTTCCGTCACAACCCCCAACACAAACTTCCGCGAATGATCCGTGACAATAGCAAAATCCTGCTTGCCCATACCCTGCGTCGAATGGCCCTCAGTCGCAGTCATCGGCTGACCCTTGAAAAACCGCTCGAGTTCTTCTAGAGGCGTATCCATTGTGATCACCTGGTACACATTTGTGCGTTTCCGGTTGAAGCGCTGCATGGCGACTTTGACGGGGTCAGATTCCTGGACTTTGCCCTCACGCAGGAGCTCCTTGAGGCGTGGGATGCTGAGGTAGCCGATCAGAGCGCGGGTGCTCGAGGAGATCACGGTGAGATGGCTGTAGTCGCGCTCGTAAGCGGCAAGCTGGGCGGAGGAGATGGAGTCGTTGGGGGAGACGGAGAGGGCGGGGGAGGGTCGAGGTCTTCGACGGTAGCCTATATGTGTCGAAGTTAGTGAGTGAGTAGGCGGCGGCGGGGGATGTGGATGTACCCCGCGGTATTTGCCGGACCAGGAGTTCAGGTTCTGTGTTGAGGTGGCGGTGGCATGATCTGTGAGGTTTTCGCGAGCGAGAGTCTCGCCGACGGAGGAGTACGTTGCCATTGTATGGTGGTGGTCAAGGCTGGACTTCAAATGGTCGCAGTTGGCGGGGCAAGAGAATTGAAGGTGGCGTGGATTGTGCAACACTCGTAGATAGCGTATTATATTATCGATATAAATGGCAAGACAGATCAATTCAATTTGACATGATAAGTATGTGTGTGGATGTGTTTGTTAATCAGTGACTGAGTAATTGATGTCACAGAAAAAGCTCTATTAGCTCAAGCTCAGACTTGGAGAGGACATGGCTAGCGTCGGCACGCTTTTGCCGCATCAGGACAGTCCCTGGTCAAGGTCACGTGACCAAAAAGAACGAGGCAAACCCCTGGCACGAACCACTCGCAAGCTTCAGTTCAACAAAAAGCCCACTTTGCAAGATTTAGATGGATCAATTAGAAGGCTGGTCCTCAAATATGATCTGAATATTCCTGGCAGCCAGGCTCTTCAATTCTTCAAAGCAATAACCCCGCAACCAGACCAAAGCATCAAACGGGCTAACCACACAGCAGACACACATACAATAATAGGTGCTCGCAACATCTTGAGTATTAGTATTAGTCAACACATAATATCATGAGCAATACGGAATGACAACGAGAAAGAAGTTGCCAAGGCTTGGCGCCAGCCCTATCTGGATGCCATCAACCCACGATTTTAGTCATGCTCCTGCGCGCCCAATCAGCGTGCACCATACTTGACGTGCCACTGGCTTATCTTATCTGCCTTCCGCAGAATTGCTAACTGACTAGCAGATGTACAGGAACTACTGGTAGATGGCGTCATACAATCTCTCGTGGATGGTGGTTACGAGAGCCAATGGCGAGGCTAGCCTGGCCATGCAGGGTCGGACATATGGCTATGCTGCCATGTGACCTGCGTGACGTGCCTCATCTGCGGCTTTCTTTTTCTCCCGGCCTTGTATATTAAATTAAACCAGGCTGTAAACTTCAATTGACGCCACCGCATTAGGCCTTGGCTTAACACAGAACCAAACCCAAGTCACCCCCGCACTATCTGATAAGAGAGGTACTAATATAAACCTAGCATCTCTCTTTTCCCCCCAGCCCTTTTCTCCTTTTCTAACTCACGCCTAGAAGTCAAAGACGGCTGCCATTGATACTGATCCTCCGAGAACAAAATGACCGACCAAGAAACCAAAGAGCCTATCGTCTCCCACGGCCGCGGCGGTTCGTTCACTCCCACATTCCAACTGAATACACAGAAACGCAGAAACTAACTAAATAACCTGCTCCAGGCCAGGGAAATATTGGCGCCGACTCGACCAAATACGTCGACGGCGAAATCGTGCGCTCCGGTCCGACGGGCGACCAAGGCGACGGCGCATATTCTGCCGGGGTATGTACATTTTTTCACCTTTTCCTTTTCGTGGTGATCCATTCTGCAAATTCATATTATTCTCTGCGATATGAGAGATATAGGGCTAACGAAAACAAAACAGCGTGGTGGCGCAGGAAACATCGGCTCCCCGCGTATCCGCCCTTCGACGCCTGGCACCGTCCACGATGCGGAGGTGATTCCGGACTTGGCGGTGCGGAATAGCTCTGATGGTGACTATCATATCGGGGTGAGTTGTGCTTCTACCAATTGCTAGAGTTACGTGTGCGTATGTGTGCTGATTCGTCTAGCGCGGTGGACAAGGTAATGTGCACCTCGACGAGAGCCACAAGAAGAAATCATCGGTGGCCGTGGAAGGGCTGGCGGATAAATTGAAGAACAAGATTCTGGGGAAGAAGTGAGGAAACATTAATAAGTTATAGACTGTTTATTTTGGGGGTTTTGTTCTCCATTGTTCTTCGTGGCTTGCTTGAGATATCTGATACAGCATCGAATCGAGAATAAGAATTGAGTTTATACTACATATTCAATGTTGGGAGTGATCAAAGTATCATTGGACCAGACGCAATGTGGAAGCTGTGCGTCACGTACATTAGTTTATAACACCTATACAATCGTAATACCACTAAATCCTGAATAAATAACAAAGCTGTTGAGAGAAGAAAATATGTGCATAATATAACCTGCAACGCCGCCCATCCGACCGTATTCGTGTCCCAACCGATTCGTGCTGATCCGTTTATTATCGTCCTTAGGTATAAGTCATATCTGTAGATAAATAGTCAATCAATCGTTCTTGCTGAACCTTCGCTTGAACCAGCTCGTCCGCTTGCTAGCCGTCGCAGCAGGCGCCGTGTTGCTGGGCGCCGCCTTGCGCAACGAGGTTCGTGCATTCGACACGCCCTGGTTAAGGTCCTTTGACAGCGGCGGAGGTGGCAGAGGGTGGCCGCTGGAACCATTGGCACCATTCACATAGCCCGGTTGTCTATGTACTGGAGGCGGTGGTGCTTGGAAGGACGTGTCAACCTGAGGCCCCGCTGGGAACCCATTGAAGCCATACGTCTCCGGTGGTCGTTGAATGTCTTGCTTTTGCTGAGCAGATTGCGCCTGTTGTTGTAACCGATCAAACGAGCTGTTGACTGAGCTCGGATCAGTCGAGTTCCCCCATTGATCTGTATTGGCCGACCCGGATCCTGCCGTAACATTGTCATTTGATCGCTGATATGAAGAATTTGGGTAGAAGTGTTGCCCGGATCCACCGTTGTTATAATCGGAATTCATTCGGCCCCCGTATCGCGGACGACTGGCTCGCGAGGTGTGCTGATTGTATGGATAGTGGTTTGAACTAGAGGCGCCATAGTCGACATAGCTTTCCGGTCGCGAATTAGCCGGCCGCCCGTTGTACGTATCGCTGTAATTATTGGAGCCATGGCCACCACCACCGTTGCCACCTATACAATAATTGATTAGACTTGTACATTTAGTTGAGAACCGGTGAAAATACCATAGTAACTGCCTGGTCGGCTGTTTGAAGGTGCTTCTGCGTAATCAGTCAGCTACAATAACGCCGATAAGCGAATTTCACTCTACCTGTGACATATGACATGCGACGATTGCTATAACTGCCATCAATGGCAGCTTCAAACGACCGAATGGTCTCCAAAGGTCTTTCTAATCTAGGGCGGGTTGGGTTGGAGCGATCCGGGTCAGCTAGTCGCAAGTCAGCACTTGCGATTGATCGCAACAAAAGACAGAGGCGTCATACTGATAACATTCCCATAATGATCTTTGTGTGATATTTCGCGGAGTGATACTAGATTCGACTTTTCCAAAGCCACCACCGCTATCGCCGGTCAGTAATCGCGATGTTTATCGATCGAGCATCAGACCTACCTGGCTGGGCCTCGTTCATGGCGAGAGTCGGATCGGCCTTTGTATGCAAGGATCGGCGGAGTTTCTCCTCGTGCGTCTCTGTGAGCGATTGCTTAGGTCCAGAGCCGCTGGAACGATGCGACTTCTCTGATTTTCCGCTGAAGCTGAATCCGCGACCGTGACGAGCTGGTGCAGAGGGTGGTGGAGATGGCAGGGGAGGGTCATCATAGCGGGTCGCCATTTTTATTTATTCCTTTGTCGTCGTAGTTAATACTAGTCTGGTCGATCGTGCCTTGATTTCTTAGCGCCTTGACGTGATAAGAGCGAACAGTGCTGCTGAGCTGAGAACCACAATAGTTGTGGAGCGGTGCTGGTCCTTGCACTGCGTCTCGGCTGTTTGATGTTGTCGCCAGGCACGGTCTGCTGTAGCGAAAAGTGGACCGATTGGAATGTGTGGAGTGTTGATTGCTATTTTTTAATCTTACTTGGGCGGAAGGAGCGTAGCGCCCGTTGCTGCTGGGGCGACGATTAGCGGGTGGTGTGAGTCTTCAGTCTAGCGAGTGGTCGACAGCAACTCTCAATGTGCAGGCATCGATAAGCAGGAGAACTCGACGGGCTTGAGGTGGAAGTTAATAGAGACAGAAGATCGAAGATAGAAGATAAAAGATCGAAGGGAAGCGGCGCTGGAGCCTGAGGAGGCGAGCAAGTGAAACACAAATCAAGAATAAGCCCGGTCTAGCCGCTTTGGGCTTTATGTCTTTCTATGTCAGCCGGTGGTGGGGAAGGCGCCTATCTTCCGTGTGGCTGTGCTGGCAGAGGCTGGGAAGGAGCGATGGGTGGCTGGTGGCTTCCTGCTGTTGCAAATTGGAGGACTTATAACTGATGCTATAACATCTATCTTCTACTGCTCTAATGGAGATTTGGTTTTGTCGCGCTGTTTATATATGATGATATATCGTCCCCGATAACCACATCGGGGCGTTATATATTAGCCTGTGCGACGACAGCGCACACGCAATGCAGCATCTCCGGGTGGTCCGGCGCCCAGTGGCGAGCCAACCAGCCAGTCCGCGCGACAATTAAGCTGTGAGCTTGCGAGTCAATTCATCACCATCCACCACGCGCTCCACCACCGTCACAGAACACCGACGTGTCGCCCACTGGATAGCAGCACAGCGACGCAACAGAGATCGCCGCTGCTCGGATTGACTTTGTCGATAACCCTGTTCCTGTCCTGTGTGCTGGCAGTAGATCTGAGGCTGACCACCACTGACCCAGTGAACTCCGGTACTCTTGATTGCCATCCATGTCTCACATCCCCCACTTGAGCTACTCTTGATCGAGGCCAATATTGATTGGAGGCTGACTATCGTTGAGAACTGACAATCGTTGCGTAGATCATCCCCACGCTACCGATATTGTTGAGATTGCTTAACCTTTGTTTTTCTCTTGGGCTCTTATCTAGCTATGCATAGCCAATAATTCAGGTCATTGATTCTCAGGGACACAATTGTTGGTAAACCTTAATTTAATTATTGGCTGTTGTGTTGAACCACCTTATGATTTTTTTCATAATAACTTTCACACCATTGATAGTGATGCAGACGACTTGGGTGGTATAGGGTATTCTAAACAAACCCTGTGCAGTCTAAGAATATGTCCCTATGAAAATGGTCAGAGTTATGGCTAATGTTGAGTGTCTTTCTCCAATTTCGTTTTATAGCTTAGAGGACCCATTCCTAGCCTCGCGCTTCGCTCGTTGTTCCTTCTCAAACTCCAGCACAGCAATTTTACTCTCTCTACCATTAAATAACTCCCTTAAGCAATCGCATTCCTCGTCATTAGCTTTCAAAAGCACAGTCTTCCGATGGGCATCCAACATGGCCTTGGAGGCCTTCAGCGCATTAGGCATATACCCAGCGATTCTTCTAGCAACATTAAGTACAGCATCCATAAACTCTTCGTTCGACCCTGCTCGAATAATCTTAGTAATCAGTCCTGCAGTGTACAGCTCCTCTGCTGATACATGCTCGCCCGCTAACAGAAGTGCCGCGGCCTTTTGATGGCCCATTATGGCTGGAAACGTAACAGTTGAGCAACCCTCTGGACATAAAGCCCATTTGCTAAACGGGGTGAAGAAGTAGGCTTCTGGGACAGAGTATACTAGGTCATAGAGGGCAAGACTGGTAGTGCCATACCCAATTGCTGGCCCGTTTACGGCTGCGATTAGAACCTTCTCGCAGAGAATTAATAGCCTGTTGAGTTCGCGGAACAATCGTACACCTTCGTCTATCTCAAGGTTCTGGGTATCTGGTGACATATCTCTTCCTGTGACCATGTCAGCATGGTTCCAGATATCCGTGATTAATCTCTTCGATACAAAGTATAGCGAGCGTGAGATTACCTGTTGAGAAGAACTTCCCTGTCCCAGTTTGGACAATCACTTTGACAGCTGGCTCTGCTATCGCCCATTTCATCGCACTATAAAGGCTCTGACGCATCGTATATCAGTTATTGGATATAGGTATAGAGTGTTCTTCCTACATTGATGACTGTCGGATGCAAAGAATTGCCAGTTTGAGGACGATTATACGCCAGTATGGCAACATGTCCATCGAGAACAATCGAGAATCCCGGCAGTTGAGGCGGTCGCACTTGCGCCATTTTAATTTTAGAAGTTGTTTTAAGCTAATTAGTAATATTTCGTCTCAAAATTTGAGGTCGGAAGAGTCACAATGAGGGGCGTAAGCTTCTCAGTCTCATTGTTTTTGCGCTCTCTGTCGGGATTCTGATGGGCCCGAGGTATGCACGACCAATCAAAGACAAGAAGCAACATTTGAAAGATGCCTCGATGTTGCCGTAGAACAGCCTTCAATTACAACTTAGAAAGTCAAATCTACTCATTTAATGCATGTAATCTCTGAATCGAAAGTCAATTTTTCATGAGTTTCTTCAGCGGTGACATAGCAAATGTGCACATCGTGTCTTCATCGTCCACCTTTTCAAAAGCGACACAATAAAACCAGCGGGCTTCTAGAGCGCATAACTAGAGGATTATGTTGTTGAGCGACAGCTGGATGGAATATTCGTTCCTCATTGAGGGAGAATCTTTAGGCATGACGAGTTGATATCTAGAACGGGGTTTAGGGTTATTTTTACCAACCCTAATATCCCAACTTCCTTCGCTACAAACAGGTCTTGACCCCTTTAAACACCTTTTTTATTAAATTAACGTTGCTGAAATCGAATATGGATTAATAAATGTACAGCTTTTATACAAAATTTTGTTGGATTGTACTCTTGGAATCCATAATATGGTCTCTTTTGGGTTGCTGATGCCTGCCCAATACGGCGGCAGGGACAGTGCCACAGCGCTTACAGTAGCAAGGCTAAATGTGATTCGGGGATACTGAATCCAACCAGTTTTAACTATTGTTTATGCAAAATAGAAATATTTTTCCTTTGTTGGTATTCGCCTTTAATATACATAAGACGAGGCTGATAATAAAAATTCAGCCTTGCCTCCAGGAAAAAGCAAAGTTGATCCATCGCAATTCGATCCCATCAATCAGGCTAGATGACCACAAGTTTCTCTTCCTTTTCCATTCGATTTTCAAATGTTCTGTTTTGTCATCACTTGGATCCTCCTATTATATACCGGTTTCTTCTAGTGTTGGTAATATTTACCGTCTGGTTGTCCGGTTTTGGATTGATGCTGACACTTTTAATACTAGATATTAAGGCGTTTTGGGAACGGGAATCATAATCATAACCCCAAAACCAGTAGAAGCACGTACGCCGAATAGCCGATCTATCTAATGTCGAAGAAACTGAATCATGAAGGCTACACAGTCGGGTGGTCTGCCCATTGGAGGTGGAGCAAATCGCCGCATTATTGATGTTAGACGACAGGCATGAGCGCATCAAGCAGCCTCCAAGTGACCATAACGTTTGCAATCTGGGAAACATTGCTGGGCATAACTTCGTCATTGCAGGGTTTCCTGTAACCAGCAATGCTTCCACAGCCACTGTTGTCACACAAATGCGAACCACCTTCCCGGATTTAAAATTTGGGCTTTGGTTGGCATCGGAGGCGGCGATCCGGTGAAACCGGTGGAAAAAGATGAAGAGCCTTTTATTGTTGTACATGGAGGAACAATGGCGTCTGGAGAGTTAGTGGTAAAGGATGCTACATTGCGGGATGATCTAGCAAAGAATACGATTTGCTTTGCTTTGAAATGGAGGCAGCAGGAGCTCCGGTCGATTTTATTTGCATTGTGATCCGCGGGATTTCAGACTACTGCGATTCTCATAAGAATGATAATGGCATGGATATGCAGCAGCAGTAGCGGCAGCATATTCCAGGCAGCTTTTCTTTCACATGCCGATTGGCTAAGTGAAAAGGTATATATCTGAAATTGCAGAAAAAGACATCCACCATGTGAGACAACGACAAGATGCCTACGATCATCACAATATTCTAGATTGGCTCACCCCTAATAACTACGCTCCTCAACAGAGCGATTTTCTTAGCCGGCGGCAGCCCGGAACTGGCCAGTGGCTTCTGGACAGTACAGAATACTAGACATGGCAAAAACACAGATGAGAAAAGTTTTTATAGTTATATCAGTAGACAAACACTTCTGGCTTATGCGTTAGACAATAAGGACGACGAGATAGTGAGCATGTTGCTTGCAACAAACCGAGTCAATCTGAGCTCTAAAGACAATAACCATCGCATTCCACCGTTGCATTCAGCAAAGTAAAACTGAGCGTCAGTGATCAAGCTGCTTTTTTCGAAGAATGAGGTTAACTTGGACATTAGCGAAGGCTCCAGTATTTACCAAGAAGTGGCAGGATACTACATAGTTGGTGGGCTTTCTTACATATCAATTGATGTAAGCTCCAGCCTTAGAATGATCTCAGAGGGACTGGAGGTGTCTTTTACCTAGATATTTTATGTATCAAAGATCGTTGAATTCGGGTCCAAAGAAAATGGGGCGGTAGTACATGTATCTACGCGATATATCAATTGACTACGTGTGAAGATAGTCCTGTTTTAATGACTAAATCTCTTTAAGAAGGTAAATTTCAATGTTAGCAAGCAGAATATAAAAGAGCTTTGAACATGTGCAGGCCAATGCCTTATCAATAACATCAACTGCTTGAAATCTCTAGTCGTAGCATGTTATAAACTGTTATAGATATACTGCATAATCGATATTGACGTAGATACTAGCCGTTGGGAAACCAGTCTAGTCATTTGGAAAGTTGTAGAATTCTCTTAATAGGATTGATGTTTTTGGCAACTTTATTGACAACAGTCGTAATCGATACCCACCATATGCATACACTGCAGGACTGTCAACTGGTCAATAGTTGCATGTGAATTCTTTATTTAAAGGATTACTGGAAATTGAATGAATCTCGTCTTTTCAATTGTATGAAATTCAAATACATACAACCGTCAGATACACTTCGGGAAAATGTGATGCTTCTAGACAAAACACATCATGCTCGCCCAGGTGGAATCAGACCCATTGAGCACGTAAAATGTTAGACAACCATCATTAGATTAAAATGACGGACAAAGAGTATCTTTAAGTAATTTTTTTCTTGCATAGAAAGACAGTGGACTGGCTCTGAAAGGTTTTCCCACGTCGCATTATGTGAAATCCGCCCTTCAACTCCGTCCCATAGTATCAATCACCTCATGACATCCGGCGTGGTGGTATGATGAAATGGTTGCAAAAAAAAGGCATATGCTTAACGAATCCGATCACATATCAAATAAAACAGCCCCTCGGCCTGCTCGAGTGACAACTTAGATGTTTGATGGGTAAAGCATGACACGGACGGTGGCACCGAAGGACTGAGGTGGGAGGTTGTGTCGGAACTGAGCGCGGACGACGCCGGAGTTTCCTGTAAACTGGTATCAGTATGTCTGTTTCGTCTTTTCTACCTCCTTCTTTCTGGTTCAAGTGCCGGGCCTCGACGTACCATGTGGTCGGGTGACTTTGCCCCAGATAACGCGGATCTTGGAGCCCTGGACCTCCCTCTTCGCGCGGTAAACGAAAGCGACCTTCTTGCCAAGGTAGAAGCTGCGAAACACGTCGTCTTAGTAACCATGCTCAATCTCATTCCCAGCACTGGATCCCACTCACTTGGCAGCGCTGACGTCGTCAACACCCTCAATCTTGATCAGACTCGTGTTGGGGTTGGTGTTGCGCTTTCCACGCTGGTAGCTCAGGTGGCGTCCCCTGTGAAAATATCCAAGTTAATCCTCTGTTCACTCCTTTCTATGGTGGTATATCCCCCCAGCAGTTTTCGACATCGTTGCCTTGCACACACAAAACTGCTTCCAACTTGCAAACGCTTAAACCGAGGAATTCTTACTTGACATAGACTGCAGCAAGTTAGTATACATAATGCGATCAGTTTTCATGCCATCTCTTCGATAATAATTGTCGATCGAGAATCGGCATTTCCAAAGGGCATTCACTCACGCCTGTGACCTTGTTCCGAAGGCATCTTGACTGGTTTTCTCTGAGCAGCCGGGCAAACAAACAAGTCGATTGAAAAGGCAACGCTGACCCGGAAAAGTCAGATGTCGGTCGTTGCGATTGTCGTGTGTCGTCGTCTGTCGCTTCGGGAGAACAAGCGGAACAAGCCAGCGCACAATCTTCAATTTGCGGCCAGGTGTGGTGCGGCACACGCTAGCCCAAAACGATTAGCCCTAGCGAGGGCTAGCCGAGACCCCGTGACTGGGCCGCCATCCCCATACTGGACTAGTGCGTAGGAGCTTTACGCAGAAGGAAACCACCCGGAAATGGACGTCACCTGACCAGCTTACAGTTTGCCGCAAGCGGCGGAATACATTGCTCCGAAACAGGCCTCCGCTCCACAGCCAGTTCGGTCTCCTACTATTCTACGCCTTTCGAAGCTCACAGCACTAGCTAATCGTTTTACGTGGGCTTAATCCTCCCCCCCAATGCTCTGTCTGATAGCAGACGCTACTGCATTTTCCCGCGAATAACAATAACTCCGCGGTGTTGAGCTGTTGCATAGCCGGTTAAAAGCGTCGAGGTCTGCTCTAGCGCGGAATCTGGAACCCTGTGCAAGCCTCGAGTCGACGGTCTTCTTATTAATCATTCGTCAGGTAATCGGCTTATTAATCGATGATATCGCAGCATCGATTGCCGATGCTCTGTTCAGCAAGATGCATCTAGACTGCCGGCCGATCATAGCATGCTGGCTTCACGGTCTTCAAAAGTCACAATTCCACGTCGGGGGATTGATGTTTTCGAGTGATGATTACTTGCAGGCTGCGTTTGTCCCGATACAACGCTGTATGACTAAAAGCTACGGTAACCACAAAGCTATTAATGGATGGCAATCGGTGGCCGACGTCTATTACGAGGTCGGGTTTAACGGTAGATAGGATGGATCTAAGGATTTTAGGATCCCAAACATCCAACCGCCCCGCCTCGGGCCAGCTCTCGAAGCGCTTTGTCCATGACGGCATTGACAGGTACAGACGAACGGAGATAGACTCATGGTATACACCAGAGAAGCAACCTGCAAGGAGATCTGGGATAGCAAAGCTGCAAGGCAAGGTCATGGGTAGGTCATCAGCATTGATCGCCGTACATCCGTAGATAGATCCACATCCCTCCCCCATCAGTGACGTTAAGCCAGAATCACCGCAGGCTTTCTCCCGAAACTCGCTGGCGAGCTGTGGCAAGCATTTTTCTTTTCCCAGCGCGTTTAGTTATGAAGCAATAAGGAGTTTGGCGAGCCAATCAATTCGGCCCCCTCTGGAGTTGTAGCACGAGTGAGGCTGCGATTTGCTGGGCCGGCACAATGCGAGGCCTCTAGTGCTGAAATCAATTGCTGAGTCAATGAGAGTTAGTAAGTAGGTTAGTAACATAACGATAGTAATGCTAAATAAATATACTAATCAAATAAAAAGAGCATGGCCATGTATGACTGGGAGCCCCACTGTCGCAGCTACACCGAAGCAACCATGCATTAAAAGCGTAATGGCCCTCTCCGCCCGCGGATCGTGCTGGAGAGCCCAGGATTTTTCCCTTCTGCCCCAACAATAAATAATAATCATCCTCCATCCTCTGCGACTCGTTCCTCTACACTCCTCCCCCCTATCCGCTACACCGCACACACACATTCACCATGACTGATTCAATAATCCAGTCTGAGCACGGCCAGAACGCTGGGTAGGTCTCCCTCTCCGTGCCGCTTACATCACCGCGTCTCTCTGCTCGCAGCGGGGCAAATCCGCCGTTAACCGGAGCTTCCACATACGGCCCTCGCATATTGTATTCTATCAGAGCGAACAGCTGTGTTGCTGCGGATGGTGGTTACTGCTGTTGCTGCTATCAATTCCTGCTATATGGAGCTTTGCATTTGGCTTTCTTGCGCGTTCAAAGGCTAATATGGCCTCTGTACCTAGTTCCATCGAGCTCAAAGATGACACCGTCATCGTGGTCCTCGGTGCCTCTGGCGATCTTGCAAAGAAGAAAACAGTACGTCTTGAATGAATTTTGTTGCTATTTCGATTATTATTCAGTGCTGACAATTCCGCAGTTTCCGGCCTTGTTCGGTCTGGTACGTTGTTCGATACCATACGCTGTTCCACCCCATTTAACAATAGCCACAGTACCGCAACAAGTTCCTGCCCAAAGACATTAGGATTGTGGGATATGCTCGCACAAAAATGGACCATGCCGAATACCTGCGGAGGGTAAAATCTTACATCAAAGTGCCCACCAAGGAGATTGAAGAACAGCTGGAAAGCTTCTGCAGTCTTTGCTCATATATTTCCGGTCAATATGACCAGGATGACTCATTTATCAACTTGAACAAGCACCTCGAAGAAATTGAGAAGGGCCAGAAGGAACAGAACCGAGTCTTCTATATGGCTCTTCCGCCCAGTGTCTTCATTTCAGTGTCCGACCAATTAAAGAAGAACTGCTACCCCAAGAGCGGGATCACGCGGATTATCGTAAGACACACTTGTACGATATTGCATGATAAAAATTGTCTAATAATGTCATTCGTGAACAGGTTGAGAAGCCTTTCGGCAAAGATCTTGCGAGCTCTCGGACCCTACAGAAGGCTTTGGAGCCGAACTGGAAAGAGGAAGAAATCTTCCGCATTGACCACTACCTCGGCAAAGAAATGGTCAAGAACATCCTCATCCTTCGATTTGGTAATGAGTTCTTTGGTGCCACATGGAATCGCCATCACATCGACAACGTTCAGGTAGGGTATCAACTCTGTGCAAACCCTCCAGCTTGTGCTAATTTTCTTTAGATCACATTCAAGGAGCCTTTTGGTACGGAAGGTCGTGGTGGTTACTTTGACGAGTTTGGCATTATTCGTGATGTCATGCAGAACCGTACGTTTCGTCATATTCTAATTACCTACCTGTCTAATCATTGACCCCTTCAGATCTTCTTCAGGTTCTAACCTTGCTTGCTATGGAACGCCCGATCTCCTTCTCGGCCGAAGATATCCGTGACGAGAAGGTGCGTGTTCTCCGAGGAATCGACGCCATTGAGCCCAAGAACGTCATCATTGGTCAATACGGCCGATCTCTCGATGGCAGCAAGCCCTCATACAAGGAAGATGACACCGTTCCCAAGGACTCGCGCTGCGCTACATTCTGTGCTATGGTTGCTTATATCAAGAATGAGCGATGGGATGGCGTGCCCTTCATTTTGAAGGCCGGAAAGGGTAAGTCGGATTTTTTTCAATACATATGGATAAGGCTAATTCATTGTAGCTCTCAATGAGCAGAAGACCGAGATTCGCATCCAGTTCAAGGACGTCACCTCTGGAATCTTCAAGGACATTCCTCGCAACGAGCTCGTCATCCGTGTGCAACCCAACGAGTCAGTCTACATCAAGATGAACTCCAAGCTACCCGGTCTTTCCATGCAGACCGTGGTTACAGAACTCGACCTCACCTACCGCCGCCGATTCTCGGACCTCAAGATCCCCGAGGCTTATGAATCTCTTATCCTCGACGCGCTCAAGGGCGACCACTCCAACTTTGTCCGTGACGATGAGTTGGATGCTAGCTGGAGAATCTTCACTCCACTCTTGCACTACCTCGATGACAACAAGGAGATCATTCCCATGGAATACCCATACGGTTCGTTTACTCTCAAGTTCTAAGATAGTGCATGACTAACAGCAGTACAGGCTCCCGAGGTCCCGCTGTCTTGGATGACTTCACTTCGTCCTTCGGCTACAAGTTCAGCGACGCCGCAGGCTACCAATGGCCGCTCCACGCTGCGCCCAACCGGCTGTAGATGATAGACATGACATGTCAATGATTGATTATACAAACGATGTATGTTGAGATGAAATACGGGTGTGTCTGCTGGCTGGCGCCGCACTGCATTTCCCAACTTATGACGATACCTACCCCTGGGATTGATCCCGGAGTTCACTTCCTAGAGTCGTGTCTGATCGGTGGTATGATATTGCTATCGTGTGGCACGATTTTTCGTTTTATCAATGTATCTCGAGGGCGCAATAATTTCTTTCGGACTTTTCCCAAAAGAATAACATGTCAAGTAAACAGCTATAATTCTTAGATCTCGCAGACTAAATCAATGTCTACGAAGGAATAATAGTTCCTCAAACCACTCCTGCACATAATAATATAACTACTGTATACAGCTGTGGGACAATGGCGGGGCCGAGCCCCTGAGCATGGGCCAGGCCTTCCCGCCTTATCCAGGCGGTATGTGGCCTTACAGTACTAGTGTACTGTATTACCAACTCCAATAGTAACGAATATTTAGTGCTCACGCCGCGGACCCGCTCCCAGGTGCTGCACCTGAACCTCCGCAGAGGATGATCTGACCACAGAAAAATAAGATGAGACTTTTCCCATTACTTCAACACTATTATTATATCAATCTCCTCGACAGACTCCGCACTCACTTGTATTTAGTCATCTGCACATACCTGCAACCGCAAGCTTATCCTCCGACTGGTCACTCGCCTGCCTGGCTCCGGCTCCATTGTGCCATAGTCCCTTTCCGTTCAACGTTTCCGGCGATACGAAACAACGGCGTGCGACGATACCAATTGCTCGATTTACATTGTTTTATTTCGATTTTGGACTTAACAACACAGTTCTCAGAAACACCAGGTGACAAAAAATAGAGCTGATTGTGGTGGTGGCCGCACGTCTAGCTTCTCGACAACACCGGAAGACATTGGCAATTACCGACTGTTCATTGTGCTAGGCGCAGGCATAGATGCTAAGTGCCTGCAACGGGGATGAGAGCGGCATCATGGACGGGCTCACCCTCCATCAAGGGCCGGTCGGAAGCGACGAGGATGGCGCTGTTGACATTCAGTCTCACGGGAGTCGCGTACGTACTATTTACTCAATGGATATTGCTGTCGTCGTCAACTGCAGACTGGCTTGGATAGTGAGGAATGCTAACGTACGCTCAGATTTACCTGGGGCGTTGAGATGTCATGTACGTGACTATTCGTGGAGTGGAGTTGTGAAAGAGAAAGGAGGATGCTAACAGAATATCTCGATAGATTGCACTCCATACCTTCTTCAACTCGGGTTAACGAAATCGCGAACCTCGTTAGTCTGGGTTGCAGGGCCGCTATCCGGTCTGATCATGCAACCTCTCATCGGCGTAATCGCTGACCGCTCGCGTTCGAGATGGGGAAGGAGACGGCCGTTTATGATTGGTGGATCGATGATTGTTGCGTTTTGTCTGCTGCTGCTTGGCTGGACATCGGAGTTAGTTGGATCGTTTGCACAGGATGTTGAGAAGGTATACACTTGGTTACTGATATGTCCCAAGAGGGGAGCTGACGGTCGCTGTTGTAGAGGAGAAATGCCACAATCGCAGTTGCAGTTCTGGCTATTTATGGGGTTGATTTTGCGATCAATGCTGGTGAGTGTTTCTGTGGTGTAAGATGGATTGGTGCTGATGGTTCATCCAGTACAAGCCTGCTGTCGCAGTCTTATCGTCGATACGCTGCCTATTTCTCAGCAGCAATTAGGCTCTGCATGGGGTAAGAATTCAATTCAAAATGACCAATCTTGATAGAACCTCAGCTAAGTATTTCTAGCCAACCGAATGCAGGCTATAGGCTCTTTGATTGGTTATATAGTCGGATCCATAGACATGGTCACCACATTCGGAACACGGTTCGGTGATACTCAGTTCAAACAAATGACACTTGTCGCAGCGCTATTCTTGATTGTGTGTGTTTTAATCACATGCTACTCAGTGACTGAAAGAGTATTGGTTTCAGCAAGGTCAGCCAGTTTTCTTATACTGATAAAACTCTAGCTGACTTGAAAATGTAGAGGCTCCGAAGGCAAAAATGGCTTTTTTCAAGTACTCTCGCAACTCTACAAAACCACGATGGATATCCCGCCTCGCATACAGGCGATCTGCTGGGTACAGTTCTGGTCATGGATCGGTAGGTGGTGAAAATGGCAATTTAGGGAAATATTTCATATCTGACAACATTGCAGGCTGGTTCCCATTCCTTTTTTATAGCACTACCTGGGTTGGAGAGACATACTTCCGCTATGAGAATCCCGAGTCGGCGGCTAAATCCTCAGACACGCTTGGTGATGTCGGCCGATTGGGCAGTTTATCGCTGGTGATCTTCTCTTCAGTCACCTTTCTCAGCTCGGTCCTTTTACCCTTTGGCGTTCGATCTCCCGACAGCAACAGCAAAAGAGCCAACTTCACCGCACGTCCTCCCCCAGGAGTCGCCGCACTATTGCGTCGATTCAAAAGGATACGTCCTAGTTTAGCAACAACCTGGCTTATCTCCCATCTGTTATTTGCAGCAACCATGGTTTTCGCCCCAATGGCGCGATCTTTGCGATTTGCGACGTTCCTCGTCTCTGTGTCTGGTATTCCATGGGCCATATCCGGTTGGGCACCCTTCGCCTTTATGGGAGTTGAGATCAACCGTCTGGCGATGGAACCACCATCAAACCCCCGACCTACCGCATCAATGATTACATCGGCATCGTTCCGCACGCATGGATACCAACCGGTGGACAGCCTTGATCGCGATGTTGAAATGGACGTCCTTCGACTGAACCACCGTGGAGACGACGACAGTGACGATGAGTCCGTCACTGAAGGCCCATCCACCGGCGAACTTGCGGGTATTTATCTCGGCGTTCTAAACGTCTACACCACACTCCCCCAATTCGTCGGCACATTCATCAGCTGGATTGTCTTCAGTCTCCTTGAACCCGCCATCCCAACCCCCGGCGACCTATCCCAACCAGAAACAAACAGGGACACGAACGCGCGTGACAACGGATGGATTAATTTAGACACAAACGCACCAAACGCTATCGCTGTGTGTCTATTCATTGGCGCGCTTAGTGCGCTAGTTGCTGCAGAAGCCACTCGGCGCTTCAGAAAGTTGCGATAGAGTGGCTTTTTTATTTTACTTTGCGGGGTGGGTTTGAGCTCGAGGTATATGATTCTCACGATTTTTGTCTTCGTTTTATCAAGTGAGCGTATTTAAGTATATGTTGGTGGACAACATTGGAGGCGTGTGGTGTTGATACCCATTTGTCTAGAGCAGGTGATATATCCATGTAATAATGTATATTCAAGCCATATGCATATAAATATGATATTTTGTAACATTTGAACTTTTGCAATGATGATCGTTAAGACAGTTTCACCGCATAGTCAATTCGATTCAGGTGCGCTCATTAAGATATTGAATTATATTTTCAAGTTATAGAGTGGTGATTATATTAATCTTCCTAAGCTGCTCCTCCAGATGTCGTTAACATGATGCCATTCATCATCAATGGATCCTCCTCACTCAGATTATATCATGACCGTGCAAGATTTCAATGTCTTTCACGCTGCCAGACTGCTCAACACCTTCGCTAATATTACCCCTCATCCATTTATTATCAAGCCTTCTTTACAGCCAAAACCTGCTTCTCCAACACCGTCCCCACCGCCACAATACTCAACAACCCTGTAATCAACCACAACTGCGGAAAGCCCTCTCCAAACTCAGGATCAACTGCCAGAGAACCAGGATACAAGATCGCCGACAACTGGGTGATCCAGTATATACTCGCAACCCAAGATGCCGTCCAGAGCGCTGATTTCTGTTGCGCAAGGGGGTGTGACGAAGAGGCTGGCGGGCCGTAGAGGTAGTATAAGGTAGTCAGGCCCAGCACAGCGCCCATCGACATGGTCTGCCCGTTGTGGAAGCGTGCGTGCGGTGGCCAGCGCGGGTTCAGGACGTGTGTTTCGTTCCAGTCGGCGAGAAAGCCGCCCACGGAGGTGACAATGCCGACGAGAGCGATCAGGAAGCGGCCGGCCATGTCTTCTTCTATCCTCTCCTCTTTTCTCTTGTTGAAATGCCGTATTGCTTGGTGGCTGGTTGTGGTGTGAGGGAGACAGTTGTCGACTCGTCGTGAACGAAGGGGCAGGCAGGAGGTGTTATATAGAATTGGAAGAGACGCAAAGGGTTAATAATAAAGTGGCCAAGGCTCGCGCAACTGGTTAACTCCGGCGCGACATCCCGAGAACGATCCACCCTACGTAATGCGTATACTCTGTGTGGTATATCAGCATAGCTAATAGGCCCTGTGTGCATCCCTGCCATCGCCAGGGCTGTTGCAGAGCTAGCGGCTGGCTAAAGCTCGGCAAGCCCCTGCCGCAGCCAATTATGCACCTATGATCGGCGATGATTTGCCCCAGATTTTCGCACAGCTCGGACTGACGCTGCGCTCAACGATTCATATGTTCACTGTTGGCTTGTGGATGCGAGCAATTGATTCCGTTTGGTGGTTAGTGCTTGCTTATATAATAGTGTCAAACAGCGATAAACCCGCGTTATTGAAATCACAAGATGTACAGTACTCTACTTACTGTCCGTGTCTAGTCTCAACTCTTGGCGGGTGTGCTCAACCCTGCAGCGTCCAATCGGGCGGTGCATCTCTCGTACACGTACATCATGCATGTCGACTTTCCAGGCCAAAATTGGGCGGTCGCTCATCAATGATTGACTAAGTTTTGAGCGAGTATCATATATCTGGTCCACTGGGCTAGTTCTCCAATTCCCTGTTCTCGGCATACTGCAAGCTGATCAATTTGGCTTGTGATATATATATATCGTAGTCCTGGCTGTTTACTGAATAGCATCGATTATATCAAGTTGCAAACGCGTAGATTTTCTTCCATGTACACGCAATGTTATGTCAATTAGTACACTAGATGGCCTAGCAAGAGATCTTGTCGTTTTGCCCTGCCCCTCGTACTTTCCTTCCCAGCAGCCAAAATGACGTCTGCGCAAACGAAAACAAACGCTTCCCTCTTTCACCTTCCACCTTCTACTTTTTGTTTCAATTCAACTCTCTCTCTCTATGTGCTTCCCTGATTACTTCCACTGTTGACCTTGCTTGTCTATTTTAATTAGTTGAAAATGGCTTATATCCTTCTTTTTGGGCCTGACGACCTCTAGCCAGAAATTTCTGGTGTAACCATTTTGAACTTTCAAATCTCTTACTTCTCTTTTCACGTCTCGCTCACTTCTTACAATGGCGCCACAGACGCCAATCCATAATGGACCACGCGTGCAACTCACTCTCGGACCGTGCTTATTCAACGGTATGTTTGAATGTCCCTGTAAGGCAGGGTCCATCATCGATACTCTTCCGAGCCTCGGCTTGGAGTCTCATTGTGCAGTTTGCGGCCATGCAGTATCTCTACACCGAGAACTCGAGTCACGCTCGCCTGAAATGTTTTTCAAAACCGAAATGGAAGACACCCTGCGTCCTACTCTTGAAGGGTCCGCCTCGTCTTATACCGAGCCGACGACCAGTCAGAATGAAATGCAACTGACAAGATCACGCTCTTTAATCGACTGCCCATCTTCAAGGAATCCTTTGGCGAGCTCCACACATCGTAAGTCTTTGCAACTTAGCGAGGATAGCTCTAACAATGCACTAGGGAAGCGATCATTACAAGAAGTTTTGGAAGAATCTCGACGTCCATACGATGAACCCGCTCGGCCTGATAAACGTCTTCGAAGCTCCCAAACAGAGATAGCTGCCACTGAAAGCACTGTGGAGGATGCCTATGTTTGTCCTCGCCAAGATACAGTGTCAACACTTGCAAAATTGTTAGAGGACAATGGTGCAATCCTGATTTGGGGAATGCCGGGGTCGGGAAAGTCTACATTGGGTAGGCTATTGACAGAGCATTTCACAAGGCAGAACAAAAAAGCCGTTTTCATTAGTGATTGGCCATTGGAAAAGCCCTCAAAACTCGAAGAGATTCTAACGGACTTTCTCCATACGGACTTTCCAGAGATGAGCTTAGACGACGACTGTGTCTTTGTAATCGATGAAGCACAGAAAACCCTACAAAAGTCAAAGCGGTATTGGAATATTCTTATTAAGAATGAAATCGCCAAGCCGAATGGTTCCAAGTTCTGTATCCTTAGTGGACAGGGCCAGTTGGCTGGCATAAATTCCGTTTTCAAAGACCTTCCTGAAATCTCCCACTTGACCTCACATGGAGGATGTAAAGAAAACGTTGGGATATTTTATACTCAGTCGGAATTTCAAGATGTGGCTTCACGGTTGACGTCGAAAAATTTCAGCTATAGACTGAGTGAAGACGCCTTGAGCTGCGTCTTTTCTCTGACGGCTGGGCACCCGGTGACAGCGAAAGAAATTCTAAGTTATATTGAACAGGTATGGTTTATTTCTCCTTGTGTACAGATATCGCCTAACAAATGAGTGACATAGTTTCATTCGAGCTCCTCCACCCCACGTCGCCGCCTTAAGCGTTTGGTATCCACTGAAAGTACTCTCGAAATTCTTAAGGACGATGCGCGTTTGTTCGGGTACCTAGGTGATAAAGTCTATCCTGGCGCATTTGCTCGCAAAAGCAACATCGCGATAAAAGTGTTTCAAAGATTACTTTTTGCACCTGATGTTAAGATCACCTGGAACTCCGAATTCAATACCATTGGGAAGTGCTTCGAAAACGGTATTATATGCCATGAGATTGATGAGAATAATAAAGATGTTTTCAATTTCCCATCACCATTGCATCAAAGGTACGACCCAACTGAATCCTGTGTTCTCTTTGATACTAATTCTGTTGTGAAGATGGGCTAGATGGTATCACGAAATCGAGGACCCTGTTTACCGGGGGGAATTAACTCCAGAGCTAGGATAATACTGAAATCATTTTTGATAACAATGTACAAATATTCCATATCACCACCCGCTCGAAAGTCCACAAACATGTTAGGCCCATGGGAGGGCTGGGTTGAAAGGGCTAGTTGGAAGATATACGCTTTATTCGAAGATTGGTCATCCCAATTTTACTTTAAATTCCCTCACATTGAACCCACAGCTAGGTAAAGAATCCATTATACTCTTTTCTAATCCCTTCTACCAGCTATGTATATATATCCACCGTACGTAAAAGGAGCTAGGGCTCGAGCCTCAGTGGAGACTATTCCTAGATGCGTCTAGCCTCCGCTCCGGTTGCGGGGAGGTTAGCATCAGCACAAGAATAAGACATTGAATACGTACGTACGATGCATGCTGCTTATTTCTATGTTTCTTTGGGGGAATGTATTAGAATAATATATCCACATTAATAATTGGCCCGGGAAAGTCTCCGTGCTTTGTTCTGAGCAAAAGATTGGCGTCTAGAACTATGGAGGACCCTCGTGATGATGTATGATATCATTTGATCTCAGCCCGCGTCGAGATCGATGAGAACCTTATCCTGACTATTATTAATGTAAATCGACGAAGCATCGTAAATTGATCATTTATTTGTTATATATATCCCTCTTCTCCTCAATCGATTACACCACAATCCAATTCTGACCAAGACATCCAACCCGTCCATCACAAATTCTCACAATGGCTCCAAAAGTCCTCATCGTCCTCACCTCGCAGGACAAATTCCCCGCCAACAACCACCCCACCGGCTGGTATCTCGTACGTTCGGTCCTCAATCAATAAACCATACCACCAAGCTAACAACACAACAGCCCGAGTTCGCTCACCCATGGCAAATCCTGCACGACGCCGGCGTCGAGACCACAATCGCCTCGCCCAAGGGCGGCGAAGCGCCTCTCGACCCCTCCTCCGTCAAAATGTTCGAGAAGGACGAGATCTCCGTCAACTTCCTGAACAACCAGCAAGCTCTGTGGAAGAACACCGTTCGATTGGCCGACTTCGTCTCACGGGTTAGTGAATTCGATGCGATTTTCTACGTTGGTGGACATGGCCGTGAGTGTTCTTGAAACATCATAACAAAGGTTGGGAGGGGGAGTAATTAATCAATATTGGTAGCAATGTTCGATCTCGTCAATGACGCCGACTCCCTCTCCCTCATCCAATCCTTCGCTGTCGCTAAAAAGCCCGTGTCGGCTGTCTGCCACGGCCCCGTGGTATTCGTCAACGCCACAACACCGTCTGGGCAGCCCTTGCTCAAGGGCTCTGCTGTGACGGCGTTCTCGAATGTCGAGGAGGATCAGGTGCAGTTGAGCTCGCTGATGCCGTTCATGCTCGAGGATAAACTCAACCAAGTCACCGGCGGGAAATTCGTCAAGGCGAATGAGCCCTGGGGTGAGAAGGTGGTGGTGGACAAGACTGGGCTTGGCGGCCTGGTGATTACGGGACAGAACCCGGCTAGTGCGACGGCTGTGGGCAAGGCCCTGCTAGAGGCCTTAGGGCTATAGATGGTACTCAACATCGTTGTTTTGTAATGAAGTGGAACAGAATAATGGCATTGATGTGAATGTGTAAAATAGAGAAGATGGAAGCTGATCTATTCGGTATCATCGACTGACTAAATAACAAACGCCGTTCTATAACTAACTATGCACCTATACTCTACAAGTTCAATAGAACTTTCTAAACGATGCAGCAATAATAACCGGAGTCTCCAAGTACTCGCGCAATCAGTCGTCATTATCCTTCTTCTCTATATTTGCAGCAATCATCTCTTCAACCGCTTTCATGCCGACTTCCTCGGTACGCTTGGAGTCGGCAGCATCGTCACCGACGACACGCTGGTCAAGGGCTAACTTGGTCCGTCCTAGCGCATATATTTGTTCTTCGATGGTGTTGCGCGTAACGAGGCGAATCACCTCGACTTCCCTCACCTGGCCCACGCGATGTGCGCGATTCTCGGCTTGCACGTCCTCCTGCGGGTTGAAGCTAGAGTCGAAAATGATCACTTTATTCGCGCATGCCAAGTTGATACCCGCGCCCCCAGCCTTGGTCGACAGCATGAAAACCGGGATTTCAGTCTGTTGATAAAATGCGTCGAGGATTGACTGACGATCTTCCACACTCGTGCGCCCGTCCAGTCGAAAGAAGCCCATGTCTAGAGTTTCAAGAACATACTCCAAAATATCCATCACGAGCGTGAATTGAGAGAAGATAAGAGTCCGATCGCCGTTTGCTTTGAATTTCTTCAACAACTCGCACAATTTGTCGACTTTTCCAGAGTACATCCATTCTTCGCCCCTCAAAGCGAATGATCCGAGAGATTTTGGATACTTCTTACACATAGAGTGACATTCGAAGTCATTGTATGGCAGGAGTTCCTCGTAGATAATATCAGGATCTGATTGTGACCACATCTCCTCCTTTAGGCATGCCTTTGCCATTTTGCTGAGAGTCTTTTCGTTGTAGAGTCTGCGCTTTAATAGAGGGTGGATAGCTGAGAAGCGTAGTTTCATGAGGATGTTGGCAGACCTATTCCCGGTTTTGATACCGGCTGCACGATCGGCAAGTAGCTTCCGCACTACCTCATTTTCGTCTTCATAAATCTTCTTTTGAACATCATTCATTTCACAATATTCAACACGAGAGGTCTTTGCTGGTAAATCAATAACCTGGTGCTTCTTTCTCCGAAGTACGAATGGCGCGATCATGGATCTGGCGCGGGCAATACGTTGATCTGACAATAGAGTAGCGTGGTCGCTGGTATCTGTCACCTTTGCCTTCTTTGTGAAAATTGTTTGTAAATCCTCTCGGTACTGGTTGAACACATCTGGCAGCATGAATCCAAGCAGCGAAACTAATTCTTGGAGATTGTTTTGAAGAGGGGTGCCAGTAAGCAGTAATCGGAATTCCGCTGGGATTCTGATCAGTTGATCATAGACCTTCGAGGAGCTGTTCTTGAGTACATGTCCTTCATCAAACACACAAACACTGAGCCCGAGATTTCTCAGAAAGCGAGAGTCCTCTTTGGCCTTTGCGACAGTGTACGTTGTTATAACTACATTGATATCCCCCACGTTATCTTCAATGGCGGCACGAATATCAGCCCGTTCCTGTTGCTTGGCGTAGTAAGGCATTAGGTTGAGTGTCGGACAGAATTTTTTGAACTCACGAAGCCAATTTTCTAGCGTGGATGATGGTACGACAATAAGATGAGGTCCAGTGGTACCTTGTTCATATAGGTGCGCGAGAAATGCAATGACCTGAAACGTCTTGCCCAGACCCATATCATCCGCAAGAATACCGCTAAGTTTCTTGTGAAACAAAAGTGAGAGCCAATTGATTCCCACGATTTGATAATTTTTCAAAGTCCAATCGCGGTCAATGATTGACGGCTGGGTGATGAATCGCGCTTTCCGACCACCGTCAACCACAACATCATCGCCATCATCGGTAGCCGGAGTTCCGATGCCTGAGTCATGCTCCAAAGAAACGAGTTCTAATTCGCCATTGGCTTTGTTACCAAACATGTCAATGCCCCAATTCTTCATTTCAGCGGCCAAAGGCTTTCCGAGATCTTCGCAGCGAGCAACCAAAGCATCACATGCCTCATACCCTCTCATCATCTCCATAGCTTTATCAACAACCTTGTCGCCAATTGGTTTCTTCGCTCGCCCGTTTTTCTTTTGTCCGTTTGCCTGAGGTTCGTCGCCAGCGACGACTGCTCGGACGGTGCTGAGCGTGCGGAATGGTCGTTGCCCAATAATTGTGGACGCCATCTCCTCTGTTGTTGCAGCAAGGTCTGCAAGACCTTCTGCTGTACAAGAGTTGATGTAGTCAAGAACTTTTTTCTCGAGAGCAGTGTCTTCTTCAGTGGGCGAGGCATCGGAGTCGGTGTTTTCAGGAAAGCTTTCTTCTTCGGGTGTTGCAGATCTTTTGGGCTTTTTGCCTTGAATGAGTCGGCCTTTAGGTTTGGTAATGGAAGTATCCGAAACTGGAGAGCTGACACGAAGAGGCGAGACATTTTCAGAGACTGTTCGAGGTCGGGGACCTCGCATCAAACGTCTGGCCTTTAGAAGCGCAGGGCCTTCGTCTCGAGTGTCTGCTTTCTGAACGTTGCTCGAGTATTTATCAAGAATTTTCTGTTTAGACTTGATGTTTTGTTTGCTGGGTTTGTGTTTGTCGGTTGGGTAGATGCTCAATTCATCAGGCGAGGAGGGGGGATTGGATCGCCGTCGAGCTGAATCCTCCTGTGTGGCGAGATACTCTGAAGTTTGGTCAAAGTTTGCACGATGCCTCATATAACATTGAACAATTGCCTCCACAGATAACCTAGGAAATATATTTTTGAGTCTTGTGACCTGAGTCTTCATCCGAAAGTCCTCAATATCGTCTAGAGTTTTGATGCCATAATCAGTAGCATCGTCATCCGCCACAGGCATGGCTCGCGAAATTGTCGTCTGTTTGTGCCTCTTGAAGGCGCCAGAGTCAGAAGCTCCGTCGAGCTGATCAATGGATCGTTTGTTGCTAGGCTGATACGCGAATGCCGCAGTCAAGTCCTTAAATGTCCTGTTAGGCCCTGCATCTTTGACTGGCGACTCCATGACTTTCTCGGGGCTTCTGGCTATATGTTTGGTGAAGGTTCGCGGCTTAATATCCGCTAGCAGACTCAACTCATCCTCATCAGACGACCCTCCAGCATAGTTCGGACGATCGTCGTCGCTCAACGCGGGCACCCGTTTCTGGGCTTGCGCAGGCGGACGAAATTGCGTGCCACTCGGGGCCATCAAAGTTGAGAGAATACCCCCACCAGGCCGCGAGGGAGACGACGAGGGACCAAAGGGCGAGGATGCGGCAACTTGCACGATGGAGCTCGGCTCATTGGGCGTTCGGTCAATGATCTGGGTGGGCTGCGTCATTTGCGTAAAGCGTTGAGAAAGCGGAGTTTGCTGAGTCTTGGGATGAAGCAGGACCGTGGCGACAGTTTCTGCCTCCTCAGCATCAGCATCGGCGCCAGCCCTATAGTTAGGGGTATCCGGCACGGATTCCTCCATGGTTTGTTTGCCTTCTCGTGAAATATTCAGAAGCGTGCTAAGCCATTAAGTATCAAATAAAAAAAAAGATAAAGATACGGCAGGGTGAAGAGGAAAAAGTCTACTCAGGTAGTGATACTTTGGCTCCCCCAGACAAAATCCTTTATCCGCGGCGGTGTCGCGGGCCGATCTGCATACTTAGCGCGAACAGACGCGATGCGCGTGTGCAGATCACGTGGTCCATTTGGCTGCATTGGGTAGTTCACCACAAAAGGTGAATTGGGTAAATTGATGTAAATGCAGATGAGAGCAGAAAATTTTGATACTCTATTCAATCTGCATTTTGTCATATAAGCGTATATATGCAAAGATTAAAAACCATACTAGTCGTGAATGCCATTGGCTCTATATACTCTCGTACCCATCAATGACCATGTCCCCAAATGCAAGTAGCAACAATTAAACACCAGAATATGCAGTGGCTGTTGCCAGAATGTATCCACAGAAAAGATAAGAAGACGCGTAGGGGAGATAGATATAGAATAAACAAAAAAAAATCAGATAATCTTCTATCGGAGAGGGGTATGAGTATAATAAGATCATCAGACAGCAACTGCAGGGCTCTGTTGTGGAATCGAAGCTGATGCAGTGATTTCATCTGTAGTGTCACCTTCTGTTTGGGAGGTTGAATTGGGAATGCTGGCTCTAGAGTTCGTCCTGATAGGACCGGGGCTCTCCCGAGTAGGTGGTTGTTTTTTGAGATGTGTTGATCCGCCAGCAGCTGCTCTGGCCGACTCGTTATTCTCCTTGGCCTTCTGGACTGCAGAAGGCTGGGTTCCGTCTTCGCTGCTGATGGTAGGTCTGTCTGCCAAGCCTAGGATCTTATCAACCTCCTTTGCTGCGGGTATGAGATGGTCAAATTGTAGAAGCCTGCAAACGTCGAGATAATTCTTGGCTTGTTTGGCCTGTTTGGAGGAATTGTCCTTAGATTGAATCATCATATTGAGTAGAAACTTAGTGTTCCCATAACGATTCTCGGCCCGGATTGCTTCCTCCATGTAGGCTTCGACGACATCGCGCCAAGGAAGCAGTCCGCCCTCTGCAGCTGACCGGAAGCAAGACGAGTTCGCTTCAGCGGCTGTCGCTATCATGGCACCATCAGCGCCGTATTCTTCCATCAACGCGAGTGCCTGGTCCCGCGAGGTAACATCGCCGTTCATAACGCAGGCCACACCTGCATCATGACAGACACCAACAATCATCTTCAGCTGATCACGAATAGCTCGTTCTCGAGGCCGCATCGGGGTTGTACGGCAATGGATGGTCAGCCCTGTGATACCAGTAGCAACCAACCGCTTGACGAGGGATTCCGTCATTTCGGGGGTTTCGAGGAGACGAATCTTGACTGAAATGCCGATTTGATAAGGAATTCCCACTTCTTGCACGAGAGATTCTAGAATGGAAACCAGTTTGTCTGGAGTGCGAAGCAACGCAGCGCCCATACCGCCGCTCGTGCTGAAGGGTTTTGGACAGCCAGAATTCACATCAATGCCGGCCACATCGGCGGCAACCATCTTTGCTGCGCGAACGGCATAGTCTGGTCTTGCCGTGCCCATCTGGAAAATGAGCTTTCCTTTCTCGCGAGCAGGGTCGAGGCGATAGATCACGTTTTCTTTTTTGGGCATATCGGGGCGGCCGCCGTTGGACGACACGCGGGTGAACTCGATGGTATTATTCCGTGGGTTGACACGACGCTCGGCTCCCATGATAGCCTGGTCGATTGTTTCTGGGCCCCAGACGAGATCTGCGCCATATTTGAGGGCGATGAGGCGAGACGGCAGTTCCCCGGACCGCACCATGGGCGCCAAAACGATTTTCCCGCGATAGTCGACGCCGTTGGCGGGGATCGGGACACGAGGGGTTGTCGAAGCCATCATGCGGAAGAGAGACCTGAGCATATCACATAGGCTGGTCTATCGGACGCTCTGGCGTGGACGTTCGCTTGGATGTCAAAGGCCCGGGCAAAGCGAGTCATCCTTGTCGCCCAGAAAAAGAGCCGAGGTCACGTGAAGATAAGGTTTCCAGTTTCCACCATGCGACTGTCAATCTACTTTCTACCTTTCCTGTTTACTAGCTAGTTATACCAAGTCTCTCGATCTCAGATTTCGGATGGCGTCACTTCTGGTGGTCATCCTGAAGCTATCCAATATGATTCCACAGCGGTTGAACCAGTGGTGACGATCCGATGTCGGTAGCAGACAGTAAATCGTATAGCAATATTATTACTATTGGTGATTGTTGAATGACGACTTAAGCCAAGCTTAGCACTACTGCACTGCAACTCGCCTGAAAGAATAATAAGTGCCCCGCCGTGATCGTCGTCTTGTAAATGTGAATTTTGTATACCATGTAGATGTTGTCAGTCTGTCCGTGGTGTGAGGGAGGCTGTTTGGATGCAGGACCAACAGGACAGCATGTCGAGGGACAGTCAAAGCTACCAAAATGTTTTCTTATTATTTTCTCCAGACAGAGCAGACCTGAATGCAATTGCTGCATGCCAAAATGAGGTGAGACGGCACATCAATGTAGTAATACGTAGCCATCAACCAGACTATGAGACTGTGCGCACGCACTGGCATCCGTTTAGGGGCCAGGCCAGAGCCGAAAAATTTTGCTCGGGTCCTTCATGATTGGCAACCGTCGCGCCGTCTTCAGAGTGATGCATAGACAGAGAAAGCACGAGCGAGCAGTGTCCATATTCAATTGCAGATCCAGCCATCGCATCTACATCTATCTACATGTCCAGCAGAATCTGGATTGATAGGGATTAACCTCGGCATCAACTCAATCCCGAGCAGCACCCGACAGCTAGCTGGAAGTTGTACATATACTCCATGCCGTGCTCGCCGTCTCCCATGAACCTAGCTGCCACCGCCACGTTTGCCTTTGCGTCTGCGTCTTCGGCGACATTGCGTCTGCGTGCTCCCTTGGCCCGATCCTCGCTGCGCCGTGCCCTGTCGAGCTTAGGCGTGGCTCGCCGCCTACTGTTGCCCACCCTGGCGCCCCCCACCGCTTCTTCCTCTTCCTCGCGCGCACCACGGACACCCCTCCCCATCCCGCCCCTCTCGTCCCCCTCGTCCCTGGCCCATTTTGCCTCCCAAACAAAACATCTTTCTTCGTCGTCTACGTCCTCTCCCAGGATTCAGTCCAAGCTCCATTCTACGGCATCACATCGTGCTGCCCAATTATCCCGCCAGTTGAATACGTCCACATCCACGTCCACGCCTGCGCCTGCGACCCCCGCCATGTCGTACTCCATCAGAAAAATCGGTGCTGTCAACACCCTGGAGCACCGTGTGTACATTGAGAAGGATGGTGTCCCTATTTCGCCTTTCCACGATATCCCCCTCTACGCCAACGAGCAACAGAACATCCTGAACATGATTGTCGAGATCCCCCGCTGGACAAACGCCAAGCAGGAGGTATGGCCAGCCCGCTGTGTCAAGCCCTATCTGCTGCTAGCGCACTGACAAAAAATTGCCTATAGATCTCCAAGGATGAATTCCTGAACCCCATCAAGCAGGACGTCAAGAAGGGTAAGCTTCGTTACGTCCGCAACTGCTTCCCTCACAAGGGCTACCTCTGGAACTACGGCGCTTTCCCTCGTGTGAGTTGAATAAGTTTGCCGGACGAATGAAATTTTCACTAACGTACAACAGACCTGGGAAGATCCCAACGTCGTCCACCCCGAGACCAAGGCTAAGGGTGACAACGATCCCTTGGATGTGTGCGAAATTGGTGAGCTTGTTGGCTACACTGGTCAGGTCAAGCAGGTCAAGGTCCTCGGTGTCATGGCTCTTCTCGATGAGGAGGAGACCGACTGGAAGATCATCGTCATTGACATCAATGACCCTCTTGCCCCTAAGTTGAACGACATTGAAGATGTTGAGCGTCACCTACCTGGTCTTCTCCGTGCCACCAACGAGTGGTTCCGTATCTACAAGATCCCCGATGGAAAGCCCGAGAACCAGTTCGCCTTCTCTGGCGAATGCAAGAACAAGAAGTATGACTCTTGCAGGATGATAAGATGGCCGTCTCGCTGACATGACCTAGGTATGCTCTTGATGTGGTTCGCGAGTGTGCCGATGCTTGGGAGAAGCTGGTCACTGGTGCCAGCCCGAAGGGAGATATCAGCTTGTAAGTGCTTTTGAGAAGGGTGGAAATATGAAGAGTACTGTTGATAGCTAACTTTGACATAGGGCCAATGTCACCAATGAAATCTCCCCAGACCGTGTTGACAAGGCTGCCCTCTCCAAGATCCCCGCCGGCGAGAACCTGCCACCTGCCCCTATTGATGGCAGCGTCGACAAGTGGTTCTTCATCTCGGGTGCTGCTGTCTAAACTGATAGCACTTTTCTTCGCGGGCTTGTACACGGTACAGCCCCAATTCGGCTCCGGAGACATGTTGTGTCTCCAGAAACTTCATACCTCATGTGTAGGTGGTAGTTACCATGAAATTGATCACTAAAAGAAGGCTCCATTCCCCTTCTTTCGCTGGTCGCACGAAGTGGCAGGAGGAAAAGAAATTAGATTAATTGTCCATATCCGTGATTTATGGTAATGGATAGACAAAATCAATTACGACTTCAATACACCGTTCAATTTCATAACCTATGCTGTTCGGGCGTTGGCCGTAGGAATGGAGTAGCGCTAAATAAACATTAATAAGAACGGAAATCTATACAATGCAAGCCCCAACTGCATACAGCATTCCCCATGCTGACCCTAATGGATACTGGAGCGACTCCAAGTATCAACCACCACAGACAATATATCAATATGCAATGAGCCCCATTAACAGATTCTCACGACTTCAAACTCTCCTCCCGTTCAATCACCCGTCCTATCCGCGCAATCTCATCTACCACATCACCAATCTTCATCTTCCGTTTCCCGACCTCGAGTTTAATTTCTTTACCGCCCTTAAACCCGATCGTCATCTCTGGTAATTGCGGGGAATTGCGGGGTAGATGTGACACTTGGATTTTAATGTGCGATGCACTACTTGGTGACGCTGTGGATGGGTTTTGGAGGATGTTGAGGAGTATTCTGCATGGTCGTGCGAGCGGGGAGAAGGGGGAGAAGGCGGTGCGGAAGGATGTTATTGTTTGGACGGGTATCGACATTGCGGCGTATATGTGGGAGTATCACTGGATAGGGCTGTGAAGAAATGGTTAGTTAGTTATGCGGGATAATGATCTGGTTGTGTGAATCAATCTTTCGCAACAATGTTCATTACTAACCAGCAAATACAACAGTCAAGACCGGCGAGGGCGAGAACTTGGATTCTCAAATGGGGTGACTTTGTCAGAAGAATGAGATCGACCCCAAGTACGGCAATAAAAGAAATAGCCTCTTCCGTCCTTTGAGGCTAGAAATGTGTTCGCAGGTCAATTGGCGCGACTTTCAACGTGAGCGATCGGTATTCTCGCGGTGGTCGGAGATTGTCGAGATGGAGTGACGCTAGTGCTAAACGGGACTAGCTCTATATGAGTATTGCTTTCCTGTCTGGAATATTGCGTGCTTTGGGGATGCCCTAGCCTTGATCCAAAAGTAACGACATGGCTCTTGTTGCATATATTTGCAGCGCCCATTTTACCCTTTTACTGAAATTTTATTCCTTTGATAGCGTCAAGTCAATTTGTTTAACCCAGATGATGTGAGATGAGAGTCGCAATATATCTATTTGCACATCAAAACATACTATTCCAATTACCAACTATCAACTACCAATCAAGGAAGATGAAACAAAATATACAACAATGAATTCATCCACGTATCCAATCATGCCTAACAACTAACAGAGGATTTCTCCATCCTCAACGCTGACTCGTCGAGCCTTGAGATACTCATAGTCTGGCATCGCTTCCACGACTGCCTTCTCGAGCATACTCGCGATGTCTTCACCAAATTCCTCCTTCCACTTAGACGCCTCGACAGCGATGTCGATGTTTTCAGGGGCCTTGTTCTTGTCAATGCCCGAAGAATTGCGCAAAGTGGCTAGCATGAAAGCTTCCATGTAATCGCGACGCTCTTCCTCCGTCATTTCATTATGGCCCTTAGTTTCCTTGCGGGCCTGTGTATCCCACTCGAACTGCAACTGAGTAGGGTCTAAGCCGATGAGCTTGCTGTACTTGGCGACAACCAAGGGGTTGTTGATTAGATCATGTGCATCCAGCACGGCCGGGGGTTTGTCACCCTGTTCTTGGAAGAAGTCAAATAGGGCCCTAGTCCAGCGGAACGTCATGTTAATTGAAATAGACTTCTCCAAGATGTCGCCTTCCATCGTATCCTTGAGCAATTTCCCTAAGGATCGCTGCGCAGATGGGAAAACGAGGGCCGGATGCCGGATGATAAAGGCAGCCTGCCATGTGCGCAAGTATGCGTCGGCAAACATGGTCTTGTTGTTGGGCGAAAAGCCCATTTTATCAGAAGAACCGTATGCAATCGGATAGTCTAGTGCCGGTGGTGGCTCATCATTGACTGTGTCTTTGCTGTTTACGTATTCCTGAATGGCACTCATCTTCATGAACCATCCTGCGTGTTCCTTGGTGACGAACATCTTGCCCTCCTGCTCGGCCTTTGCTGAACTCTCTTCCAACTCATTAAGACATCGTTGGGAGTCTTCCCGCAGCTTGGCCTTGTCAGCGGCAGTCCATTGATTAAGAGGCTTGAACAAGCGGCCATCGAGGTTGGCGGACATGAAGGCATTCCATAGGACGTAGCCGCCACGTTCGTTAATCAGTGCATTTGGCTGTTGGGCCAGGGCAAGGACTTTGACTAGCAAGTTCGAGGCAGTGCGAGGACTCGAAACCAGAAACAACCGGTTGCGGGGAGCAGGCTGGGTTTGATGACCGTTGGTTGCTGTTGCTTCCATATTGCTGGTTTGTATTTCGATGTGTTGCATATACTTGAAGTATAACTAACAGAGAATAGTAGGAGAGAAAGGAAGGAGAAGAGAATTCAGATTGTTTGTAATGTTACTAGCAAGCCTAAAGCTTGTGGCAAGTGTTTAACAGTTAAGTACCTCGACACAACATCTTAGCCATACGGAATCGATTCGCAGTACATTCAATCCCACCGATGGAGGGGAATAGTGTTATCTCACCGCAAAACCTGATTACACATGCAATTGTCTCAGAATCCTCAAGGAAATATCCAGCCTGTGAAGTGTAATTACTGGTGATCTGAGGCTGTTGCCGATAGATCGGCAGGCGAGGTTGCATTTCTGTTTCGACTTTTATCTAACCGGGGACTGATTTGGGAGGTACTGCGGCCATAGACGGCGTGAAGAGATGGCTTTTACACGGCACCTCCTTCTTTTGTCTTCAATTGACCAGTGACTTAAAACACGCTGCCTGAAGACGTTGCATCTGCGAATACAAAACATTAGGATGGTCAGCCGCGCGAGGATCGAGGTGGATCCGATCATCGTTCTTTAGCAGCCGTCCATGTTCCCCCAAGCTTGCAACTCGTCCCCGACTTGAACCAGTTTCGCCGAATAAATGACATTATTGAGCGGTAGGCTCATTGGGTACCAGGCTATCTTTTGTGTACACTGATCAGGGATATTTTTCTATGAAATTCAACCAGGCACGGCAGGACTCGTGGTTTGTCGATCAATTCCAAGACGAGCTGCTGGTAGTGATCGGACCCTCCGCGCGGTCCGAAGCTAACTGGTTAATCAGAAACCACCAATGCTGCTCTGGTCCATCCATCACTCAGAGATCTGCGTGCAGCTACGTACCTGGCTACTTTCTTACTGGCGACCAGAAAGTGGCAGAAACAAAAGTTTTTGTGCTAGTAGCTTGGCATTCGGCGCCGCGTCAGAAGGCGTATTTTAGTGGTCACATCATTTCCCGGAGGTCGAATACAGGCAGGCTGGGGGGGCGAACCACGGATATCGCTGTCCGACTTCCTGAATGTGCCAAGTTCTCTGTACATTGCTGTTTGGCAGCACCAAGTAATCCTCCTGAATGCTGTCACCGTGCGAAGCACCGAGATATTGCTACATTGCAACGCATCAGGGCTAACAAATACGATTGTAAATAGTGCTTGCTAGGACTCTGGGTCGCCCTGTTAAGTTGCTGATGGTAGCATGGATAAATCCTTCATATCTGCCGGCCCTAAATGACCCTTAGGGTATATCGCTTAATCCTGAATTCTAGTGGCGTTTGTGAGTCTTACGTGTAACTGCATCTAAGATTCCATATGGTCCTTCATTGGTATTCCTGGGCAGAGTGATGATTCGGTGGATTGCGTACTCTTAGACCTCTTCCTCGGTTCCATGTTCCTGTTGCTTTTGACAAGGGCTCCACTGATCGGCCTATATTACAATAACACATGGCCAATATCGACAATATTTGAATTAAAAAAATGGTGGTTAATATCGGACAGAAGCCCGTTTTCGACGCGATGTCGATTTTGGATTAATTTTTATTCACCTTTCCTGTCAACTATCTCTAAGGTGACTGGGGGCAAGCCCGACTAGTCAAGATGATTAGGATGACGACTCTGATCTATCTGGCTGCCCTTGCCTACTTCCACCTTCCAGTTTCACAGGCATACCAGGGCTCTAATACTTCCATCCTTTGCTCGGCAGATAATCGACAAATCGTCGACAACACAACAGACTACTGGCCATACCAACTCTACAAGTCTACCAATGCCACTCCGCCGTACATGGGTATCACCACCAGCGGCGAGCCGCTCGCTGAAGGTGTGATATTCCTCGGTCAGAATTATAGACCAGGTACCCATGCGATCAAACAGCAAGGGGCTATGATCATGACCGATACAAGCGATCTGGTCTGGTCTGGACCCTCATCCTCTGATGTAACAGTATCCGATTTTAAACAAATGACCTTAAACGGTGAACAGGTCATTCTATACTGGTCCTCTGTTGGTGATCAACCAACTGAGGGAATTGGATACGGTCAGGTACATATCCTTGACAGCACATACCGAGAAATTTACACCATCTGCCCGGACCTGGGATTGACTCTGCTTCCCGGCGCATCTTCACCGTGTAGTGCCGATCTTCACGAACACTACATCACCGAGTCGAACACCCTCCTAGTTACTGCTTTCAATCTGACTCAGGCTGATTTGACATCAATTGGGGGCACCACCGACGAATGGGTTTTAGACGCTCTTGCTGCAGAGGTTGATCTCGAAACCGGGGCTATTCTCTTCACTTGGAGTGCACTGGAGCATGTGGCTGTCAACAACACGCAGCAATCCATGCCATCTTCCGGCACCAGTCAATCTGTTCCCCTTGACTTGTACCATATGAACTCCATCCAGTCATATGGCGAGTACTACTTGATCAACTGTCGACACACATTTTCAACGTATATGGTTGACCGTGCTGGTGAAATTATGTGGTCTCTTCAAGGCCAGACTGGAGGAGACTTCGGTAGTTTACCCACCAATGGGACCTTTGTTAGTCTTCCCTCTTATATATGGGGTACTCTCAATTGATCATTAGTTATACACTAACAATGGTTATGGTGTAGTCATGGCAACATCATACTCGCATGATTAACGAGTCCTCTACTACGGCTCTTTACTCATGTTTTGATAATGGCAATTCAAATCCTTCGAAGAACGTCACCTCGTACGGTGTTTCTTTACGATTGACATTACCACCAAACCCATCAAACCCGCCAGAGCTAGTCACCAGCCTGTGGGATGTAAACGAACAGGTCTACTCCTGGGCCGAGGGGTCTTTGTCCCAGCTCGACAACGGCAACTACTTCATGGGCTACGGCATTCGTCCGATCATGAAAGAGTACGGCCCCAACCCTACTGTCGAAGGCAACGTCCGCTGGACTGCCCAGTTTGCCGATCTCAACTCGGGCCATAGCTATCGCGCGTTCAAGACTAACTGGCATGCGACGCCTTACACCCAGCCAACCCTCATTGTATCTCAGTCCGCAGTTCCAGATTCCCTGTCCAACTGTACTGGCTCATCCTCGTCATCCTTTTTGATCGGCTACGTGAGCTGGAACGGCGCAACTGACGTGACCTCGTACGTCGTCTATGGTGGTGCCAGCGAGGCCAACCTCGAGGAAATCGGCACATTCCCTAAGCAAGGGTTCGAGACCGTCTTTGCTATACCTTCTAATGTCAAAGCTGTGCAGATTGGCGCGATAGAGAACAACGGCACTAGTGTTGTGCAGAGATCGGCCGTTGTGACTATCTGAAGTTGGCTTTCGGCCCCTTTTCCCTTTCGTGTATACTTTTATTTTCATGTATACAATTCGCCTCTACAGAGTTAATGTGCCATGTAAAAGTCGGATTTTAGACGTATATACTAATCAACAAATAATACATATTTTCTGAAAATAAAATACCGTGTTTGTATAATATTTGAAGTCATTTTCAGTTGTGGGAACCTCCAGATGTCTAGTCAATTTGGATCGACTCCTGATCACATAAATTCACACCTAGAACGTTGAGTCCGACATGTGCCGCCAAGTTGCTGTTCGTAGTAACATCCAACTCATCCGGTATAGTGTGACTCCACAACTGCTCTCTCACTCGAAGCACATCTTCAAACTCAGTCCAGTTCCAAACTAGGCCTTGATCTACCCATCGCTGGCGTAACTGCGCTCCCGGAAATGTCGGCCACACTGAGGCAAACACCTCTTGTGTGTACTCAAGTATATACAGAAATTGTTCTGTAGTCTCAGCCCAGCTTTGAATTTCTTCCCTTTTTTCATGTAGTTGAGGGAGGATTGGAGATGGGATATAACTATCATCTACCATCATATTTCCCTCATCGTTTGAGGGAGCGGTAGCAGCCAGTAAATCCGAGTGCGTTTCTTGCAGAAACGAGAGACAGAATTGACGTAGATCACAACGTTTCGGAAGTTCGAATTTAACGCCGTAGTGTTGGTCAACCATTGCGTGCTCATACCTTTGCCTACGAATTGTTGGCGTGTCGATATTTGAATTTCCACCGTCTGGTTCAGGTTCAGCTGTGGTTTCTTGCTCAATACATCGAATGAATTCTAAAACAGCAGCTTGGTCCAGAAACATCCACCTCAGGTCTTCATTTTGCTGACGCCATGTGTTTCGGATACGGGATTCGAGTGGCCGGAGCGGTGTTTGAGAGAAAAGTAAGAACCCGAAAATTCTTTCTCTCTTGGTAGAGAATGATAAAGCGGCATTGTCTTCTCTCGGTAGAGATGCTGTGTTCATGGCCGTCTGGATTGTGTCTGCTAGTGTGGAATATAGAGTGGAAATATGGGTACTCTGTGTCACAGAAAGTTGAGATATTCTGATCTCAGAATACAGGTCTCGGTGATACCACCGTACCAGCCACCGTTCTGGGCCAGTAGGACGGTTATAGGATAAGGAGCAAACACACACAAACATATAAGACTGCGAGGTCGCCTTCCTTAGTATGACAGGGTGATTCCATCCAGACAGTAAGAAGAGAGAATCTGATGCTTCAGCTTCAAAGTCTCTATTGGGTATACTAATAATAAATATGCCCTGTCTGCCCATATCCTGAATGAGATATGCGATTTCCTTAGCCCGCATGATCTCTCTAGGGTTGATATCACAGATTTTGATTGCGTCGATCTTCATGCACCCAGTATCAGCGTCAATTGATATGTCGCGTTCCGTCTTCACTAAATCGTTGAAAGATACAAGGGTGGAGGAATTTATTCTGTGGTCTTCGAAAGGAGTCTCATAATCATCAGTCCCATCGTCCTCCCGGGTGTGATATTGTATCTTTGTAAAAGGAAGGGCTAATTCCTGAGACCAATCCGGAACCCAAGAGGGTAGATCAAATTGCTTATCAGTGGTTCCAACCAAGGCAAGTACATCCATGGCATTGCATTTTTTGATGACATATGCTGTGATCCCGGTATAAACACTTTCCACGGACAGTCGGTAGTCCGCGTTTACATTATTCTCATAGAGGAGGTTCAAAACCCTCAGTACTTTGTCGCGCGGGTCTGAGCAGGTATAGGGCGACGCTTTTATGAGGAGACGCAACAAGTCTTTCTCACTGGTAAGTCCGTACCATGAGCGATCCTTCGATAGCCACTGTGGTCCATCAATTTTGGAGAGGACTGCAGAAGATAATGTCTTTGACCATGAGAATGACCTCGAGCCACAAAGAATCTCTATGCCGCGGGATAAAATAATTTCTAGAATAGCGCAAAGGTCGGAAAATAGAGGCCGACTAAAAAAGGATTGTAAGCTTGCCATGACTTCTCTACTGACTAGTTGGCATTCGCCCGCATCTTTGAAAAAGTTCAAAGCTATGTCGCTATCAGGAGATGTTTCTCCCACGAAGGCTATTATTTTGGACGCTTTGGCGAGGACCTTGTTGATAAGACCAGTTTGCTGGTTTTTTTCGTGGATGTTATTTTGATTAATGCATAAAGAGTAAACCCACAGCAGTCGATCGGCCTTTTCTTTTCGCGCAGCACGTAGGGCGCATTCGCATTCACGGGCTACATAGCCAGCATCCCAGTATGAGTCGAAAAATATCGGATAGCACTGGGTTGAAGAGACTGTTGGGTTTTGGGAGTTGTTTTCCTCTAGAGTATACGATAAGATCTCAAAGGGCGGAATGAAAACATCCTCCAAGTATGTGTTCACATATTCGATGTGGATAGGGCTTTGGGTGACACCGTGCTTTAATCGAATTAAACGGAAGCCACTCGGAGACTGAATATCTGGAACGTCTAACTCCCCAGTTTGAGCCTTGAATGAAGTTCTTCCCGTTTCACTAGAGGATTGATTGCCTATTGTCGAAGGACTGCCTTCATCATTTCCATGGCTGTAGGTAACAGTAGCCGGCCATGTGAGGTCTAAGAAATCCCGGCCGTACGACGGAATACACAACGGTTCGACTTCTTTTGTCTCATCAAGAGATGGAAGAGAAGAACAATTGTTACAATATGGTATGCTGTCTACCAGCGAGATATCGGGTCGTCTACAGCTAGACTCGTGCCAGTGATACATGGAGTCTAGGGCTAAGCGTGCAGAAAAGGAACGATAGTATTGGATAATGTAAAGTTGTATAGATATTTGTGAAGATAATTAGACAAAATGGATGCATAATAAAGTCACGAAGACCTGGAATGTTGAGAGATGGTGCAGGCAACAAGGCTGCGCCGAGGCGTACATGTAAACAACCATTACCATTGGTCTAGCTTAATCCTCCCACTTTCCCGCTCTGGTCACTAGCAGCAGCCCAGCTGGGCACCAAAAGTGCAATCGCTAACGCTTACGTTAATTACTTGTTTTTTTGATGTGGATAGTCACCGCGTCGAGCACTACCACTATCACCAAAATCCGGTGCGCCATTTCTAGGACTGGCACGTAGATGACCGTTGATGTGACTGCTGTGGGGGTAGAGAAGGCAAATTTCTACTCCAGATGCATTGGCAGCGCCATGTCTTGGATCTTGAAATTTTTATCACATTAGCTTTTACCTGTTCTTCTCTGCTTGTGTTTCCTTTTATTGTTCCAGCAGCCTCGTTACTTTTCGTCTGTGTTACCAGCTCCTTTAGAATCCTAGTATATGATTTTTGCCACTATGTATAAGTTTGCTGTTTGTTGTGTATCTGCCCTAGTGCCGCGTTGGCCCAGGGGCATTTATAAATTTCCCACCATCCTCCACCAAACCACGCAATCATCTGGCTTGAACGATACCGTATTTTCCCAAACCGTTCATCCCGAGCGATGCTAGAGGCGGTTTTCTAATCATCTTGCATTCTATAGCTAGTTAAGAGAATAGCGAGCGAATAAACGCTCCGATACGGCTCCGCGCTGCTGCATGACAAGACGCAACTGAGCTATAGCAATGGTTATTATTAGCTCTTCGCTCATCCAACACGCTAAATGCTCCTAAATTTCGACTGCAGCTCTCAGCCTCAGCTTCGTTGGTTCCACTTATTTGAAGAGGACATAACTATCAACTTATAGGATTTGCCAGCATTCTCTATGGAACTATTGGACGTCAAGTCAAGCGGGAAACGTGAAGGACCGTGGGTACAATGTGCTCCACACTTTTAGCCTAGCAGAGGAAGATGCTCCTCCGAGAAAGTCAAAAACGACTATAATCAACAGCCTGAAACTATGGTACTCCACTACTATCCTGCAGTCGGGGGAACAATACCACAAACTTGAAGATTCCCTGCCATTAAATCAAAAAAATTTCCATGGCTGGCGATTACGCACTCTGTTGACTTGTATAATAGTGGGATTGTGTCTGGTGCTGAACATAGCTGCTACAGCATATATGCGAAATAGATTTCCCCTAGGGGCTAGGGGACGATGACCTAGGTGTCTTAATGACCACTGACTGCGATGTGGTTCGCGGAGAAAATAGCAAAATACATTATGCTATTAACGCTATTGCAACGATCCTAGTCTGTGCTAGCAATTAAAATATGCAGTGTTTAACTACACCGACGCGGACTAATATCTGTTGTGCATCCCCCAGTTCCTAAGGAACAGTGGCTTTGGCGATAAATATCCTCCCATAGCCCTGCAACTCTTCAGGCCCTTCAACCGGCTCTGGAAACACTTTCACATCAACGTTAACGCAACCGCCACTGGTCATATCAGCGTGAATATCTTGCATAGTGAACCCCGGCCATATTTTCATCCCTTGGGTTAGTTTGACCATGTCTTCCGCATGATACTTCTGGTCCTTTCCCTCTGCGTGTTGAGCAGTATCGGGAGATTGCCTTAGAAAATCAAGCACGACAACAGTACCTCCGGATCGAACGCGCTGTCGTAGTCGCGTCAACATATCCACAGGGTCTTTGGTGTGATGAAGAGCAAAGCTAATAATGGAGGCGTCGAATCCAGACCATCGCGCCTCGTTCAGGACAGCTTGTGGATCATAGAGGTCTCCTTGAATGGCAAACATGCGGTGGTGAGGCTCCCCAAGTAGCTTCGTGGCTTCATCATTGTAACGACGGACCTGGGAGGTGGCGATGTCGATGCCTTGAAAGGTTGCTTTTGGGAATGCAGGCAAGAGCGCCTTGGAAGTATCAACGGCTATCGCGCGAAAGTGAGAGGGGTTGGTGGTGGCAGATCTTACACTTGATACTGTTCCATTTCCACATGCGTAATCGAGGATGCGTTGTGGTCGTGACAGGTCGATTCCAAGCCAGTCACTGTTCATCTGAAGACAGATCTGGATCTGTTGAAGGAGCTTTCGAATCCATGGTTCTTGGTATAGTGGACCTGGACTGAGGTGCAAAATGTTTAGTATGTCATTTATATGGTAAGATTTGAGGTTTGGGACGAGGGAACTGACTCGGAGTCTATGTGATCGTGACCAGCAGCGTTGTGGGCGGAAGCCATCCTAGGAAGACCATCTAGTAGTTGTAGAATACGTAGTAGATAGGTTAACCTTGACGCTTGATTAGTGTAAGTTCTCTCTCTTCTTTTTGAAGGCTCACTATTGTATTGTTCCACGGTTGAGTGACGCGGAGACTTTTGCGGAGACTTTTCTTATCGGTGGCCATCCAGTACTCTCGGCCTGATCCCAGATGAGCGGAATGATGCGGCATATATAACAGCTACCGATAGATAAACCGACGGCGAAATGGTTATTAGATGTAGAACATAGCTATGGAATAATCGATCCCCGACATCCCGACCACCAAAGCCCCTAGTCAGATACAAGCGTAATATCAAAATGTGAATTCGAATCAGATCAAAATGCCCGGCTTCACCTACAATTTTGCATACACCATCGTCGCCAACCGAGACGCCGCCCCCGGAGGACAGACAGACGTGCGCTGAGCTCTGGCAGGGCCCGGAAACTGTGCTCTCTGTCTTTGAGAGACTGGCAGGTCTGCTAAAGCCTAGGGGATGGCTACAGTTGATTGAGGTGAACACGGGACAGTTTGAACGAGAATGGGTCTGAGTTAAAGAGGTTTCTCAGGTATACTCAGCAGGGGTCTATTTTTTGGGCATGGGGCCGAATCTTGCGAAAGAGCTTGCTACTTCGATGTGGGAGGCTGGTTTGCAGAATGTGGAAGAGCGGTCGATTGATATGACGCATGGATTTAGAAACAAGAATAAGGGCCTGAAGGCGAAGGGTGTCAATAGCCCTAGCAAGGCGGCTCCGCATCTTATGCAAGCTGTCCAAAGTGAGAGAGAGCCTCAGTTTACTGGACTTAGCAGCGTTAATTAATGAGAGGAGTATACTTTTGCCCTGTCTCGTACAAGCGAAGCTCTCAGAGATCAATTGTTGTCTAAAGAGGATTGGACCTTAGGTGCGGTTGTTCTACTTGGTATGTTTGAGGTAAGTGGCGTACAAAATATCTGATTAATGTCTCTTGGAAAGCTGGGGATGATATCGGTCTCCTCTGGATTAGAGGTAACGCCAATAGAGAAAAACAGGGAATCACTCTCCTTTGAACCTGGACCCACGGCACTTGTAATATCACTAGATGGTAAGTGGACTGTATTAGGATCTAATAAAATTTTTTATCAAAGCGTGGGATAAAGGAACCCATGACTGTAACGAGGTAATCACATGTCACCATGAGTCAGTGAGCGGAGCATTTTTAAAATTCGGATCAGTTGGAGCACTGGCTATTTCTCCAGATGGCAAGTGGATCACATTAGGATCTGGCAACAATACTATTAAGCTATGGGAAGCGTCAACTGCATACCTTCAGAAACATTAGAATGCCATATTCCAGTATGGGCTATAAAATTTTCTCTAGACAACAAGTGGATTGTATCAGAAACGGGTGTGGGCAGATCAGGTCATGGGACACCTTAATAGGCAACTTGCAGTGGATAAAACTTGCAAGAGACTCATTTACAGACAAAATGATGAAAGCACTAATTGAAATCCACTCTCTGTCATTGCAGTCACAATCTCACCTGACCGGCAAGTGGATCTCGTCAGAAGATTTCAAATACTATGCTAGACATGAGTAGTGAATGAGGCCGAAGACTGGCGTTCGGGGAGAGAGTAAAAGATTAAAAGAGTGACCTCAGCTTCGGCAAGGGCGCCGAAAGGGATTATGAGATTCTCGGCTGTAAATATCTCTAAGCATTGCCGATCTATTGTCTCTATAATTCTTTCTTCTTTAAATATGGTAGCTGAAATTCGAATCCCACCAAGTCTTCACTACTGGCTCTCTTTTTGCCCAGTCGCCCACCACACTACCCCCTCTGTCCGCCTTAGATATTGATGCTGTAAACAGGTGTAAATTTGATACGGAATCTTTCGTGCCTTTTCACCTGTACTACGTCATGGTTCGAGCTTGGCCACGTGTTGCTGATGGCCAGTGCGCGCGAGTTACCAGTCCCGAATCCCGAGGCAAAACGAGACCGAATCGTTAGATCGGCATCTTGGTAAATCATAACAGAAGCCAGCCGCAAGACGGCCCGCGATCCAAGTCCGAACAACGAGCCCACAAGTCCGAGCTCGGAACGAAGCCGATATTCTGTAGTGAAAAGTAGTGAAACGCACAGGAAAATATTTGTGAGATTCTAATCCTGCAAAACCACGGATTCGTTTCTCATGTAGAAGACCAAAACTGTGACGTCTTGTTGGTTGGGCCTTGCATAGTATCGCCAGCTCCGAAGACACATCGAGTTCGTTCGTCAAAGTGTGTGTTCACATCCAAATCCACTGGCCATGTGATTTTGAACTACTATTCGGGGGACAATCCTAAGAAGGTTAATGTGGCCGTGGGATCTCCATTACCAACAGAACGGTGATTGGAAGTCTACGGCCTCTTCTACCACTAAGTTGATCCATCGAGCTCTCAATAATAATTGACCTCCATAGTCCGCAGCCCATGAAGTGGAATATCGATGAGATCTGCATTCACGCCGTGGGTCTGGAAAAATAAATTCCAACAATTCCGTACATTCTGGGCTGAACGCACTACATAGTGTTGGAACTTGCGCCGAGGTAAAATATTACACAATATGATCAAGATGTCGATCATTGCTGTTTTTCTATTTTGTCCAATCACCAGCTGTCCCATTCAGCCGGTGCGCTACGAGACAGCTGCGAGCCTGACTGATGATTAGCTTTATCATGGCGGAGAAAAATGTGCAAACATTCCAGGCACGCGTGGCTGGTACGGGTATAAAATGGAGCCGCAGACAGAGATCTTGTTCCGTACAGTCAGTTTATCCTACTGAAATAATTCAATTCTTCTCCAAGCTGAAAACGTCATGCATATCACGATTCCTATACTTTTCTCTGCAGCCACCGCGCTTGGTTATGCTATTCCTACTAATAGCTTGCAGGCTCGGGGTATAGTGCTCTTCTCTGCCTTCCTTTCTCTACACATTACCTAAAATCATTGATCCTAGAAATCGCGACCAATGAATTGTCGCAGTTCAAGTTTTGGGTTCAGTATGCTGCTGCTGCCTACTGCGAGAACAATTACGTGGACCAAGCCGGCTCTTTATTAACCTGCTGGGCAAAAAACTGCCCTCAAGTTGAGTCTTCGGGTGCAACAATCGTTTATGACTTTTCCAAGTAAGTTGGAAGAAAATATAATGATAAAATACCAAGCTAAAGGTCTGATATCTTAGCACTACTGCTACTGATACATCCGGATTCGTGGCACTGGACAAAGCCAACAGAGCAATTATATTATCCTTCCGCGGTTCATATTCCGTTCGTAACTGGATCAGCGATATCGACTTTCCCTTTGTTGACCCTGATCTCTGTGACGGCTGTCTCGCAGAATTCGGGTTCTGGAGTTCATGGGAGTTAGTGCGGGACCCAGTTTCAGCGGTCATCAACGAAACACTGAGTATATATCCGGGCTATGAGCTGGTTGTTGTAGGACATAGTCTCGGCGCCGCTGTGGCAACCCTTGCAGCCGCCGATCTTCGCAGTAGAGGGCATATCTCAACTGCATTGTACGCCTTCGCGGCGCCGCGTGTAGCAAATCCAGCTTTAGCAAAGCATATTACTACGCAGGGAAATAACTACCGTTTTACACATACCAATGACCCAGTACCAAAATTGCCATTGCTTGGAATGGGGTATGTGCACGTGAGTCCGGAGTATTACATTACATCACCGAATAATGCTACCGTTTCGACAGAGGATATCAAGGTATTGGAAGGGGAGGTCAATTTTGAGGGAAACACTGGTACTGGTATACCATTATTAGATGATTTTCCTGCCCATCATTGGTATTTTGAGGAGACGGATGGATGTAAGGGACCTGGCTTGCCTTTCTGAGCGTGACAACCCATTATCTTGATGCGTCGTTGCGCTCCAAGAAACGCACAATGAGCAAATTTACATTTTCAAATAATGAGAGCAAATATAATTTCGTCTACAACGTTTTGCCAACAGGGCTCAGTAGTGTTTTATTTCGCGCTCTAAGCAAGCCAAAACAACCTATATCGGATGATCTAATGTTATTTTCAGCTTGAACGTACTACCGATGCTCTTAGCTCAAGCATTGCAAGTCTGAGAGAAACAAGTAGATGGTAAACTGTTATATGATGATTATCTATTCTGATGACCATAACCTAGTGTTGTAGGCGAACATCCTTAGCACTAGTGCACGCCAATTTACAAGGGGTCGGCATATCCTTCTACCGAGAGTTAGGGCTTCCATCTGGGGTTTAGGGCTGTTTCTGCCATCTTATTCTGAGACTCAGCTGGGAAGACTCTTCTTCGAGAGGCGAAAGACAGATGGAATAAATTAATCTTGTTGGAGATGGATATTTAATAATCTTCTTCATCTAGCCACAGATTTGAATAAGTGCCAAGAGGCGTCGAAATGTACCTTGGATTTTTTGGTTCGGTTATGAGAGAACGCTGGACAAGTCACATAAAATGGTATTTAGGTATAACATAGCCAGACTTATCAGTATATTTCAGTTTAAAGTAAATATCAATAGCAAATAGCTCTTCAGAATAATTAAACGTTAGCTTGCGAAACCCCTAGTTTTTCATAGCCTGCGGCCATTGGCCGGCCGCGATTGATGTTATCAGGCATCGTGATTGGTGGGCGCGGGGGAGATAGGAGATGCTGGATTTCCCCAGATGAGGGGAAGTTCTTGTCCTCGTGGATTTCTTTCTTTTTTACCTTCCTCGTATTATAGCAATAATCGCACGTCTTTAATTCGCATCCGTTAGCTGTATTAACTATTTCAACTGCCGATAACCCATTCTGGCCAAGATGTCTCACGCTGGGCATAACTCCCACACTCACTCGAGAGGCAATAAGCTAGGATACTATCGAGCTTCAGTTGCTTGCAGTATGACCGCTTTATACCAGATGGATTAGCCGGAATTCTCAAGTACTGACTGCAATGCATCAGATTATTGCCGGAAGCGAAAGGCACGATGTGTTCCATCTGCGAATGATTATAAAGGCAGATGTGTCAACTGTACTAGACTCGATCGCCCATGTGTTGCTGTCACAGTGGCAGCTATGCGTGCGCTGGATGGCTCCGGGACTGATACTTCCTCCGTAACTGATGGGAGATTGACGACAACACATGAATCCGTGCCTGGCATATCAGATGCCCGGTCTCTCGAATCTTCTCACTTCACCTCGCGTCAATTGCTCCCACAAACAGAACCTCGATCACACGAAGAAATACCGCATCAACCTGGCACATGCGATCAAATGACCAACTGGGTCATCATTGATCCTTCAAGAGCATATACGGAACAACTGGTAACAGAAATCTGGTCCGATAACCCTAAACAGTCTTCGATGAGTAGTCTTAATGCTATGGCCAGCAGTGATAATAACTTTTTATCTCAATCACACCTCCTACCCTACAAAGAACCCGACGCTTACTTCGACGATGAAACAAACTACGGCGTATTTAGCAACGACCACGTAAATCCTGATAATCGGCTGTTATTCGACCCGCTCGTGTATGGCATGCCGCCTGATGTCACAAGTTACAGGGATTATGGTTTTATACCCGAGAACAATCCAACCTGGAATGATTTCGGACACGACTTAGAGCACCAGCTACAACCGGATGGCTCACTGAACGCCTTTTCTCACCCTGATTCAAGCTACCTGTTCAGTCTGAATAGTGCTTTGCAGAGTCAATGATACTGTTCATTAGAATCGTATTGTTGGCTTGATAAAGCTATCGACTTAGTCTACCACTTCACTTCGCAAATACATTGATTAAGGGAAATTGCTGTGATACTATCTCAGACTACAAAGTTTTAGGACTTTTTCTTCAACTGTTCATCGAATCGCAAAACTGCATTCAACAACACCTGCGTTCCCAGGGCACTATACATTGTTAGTATTTTGAAACACATACCACGTGTAACTATCAACTCACCACTGCTCCGGAGTACTATATTCTGATGGATGATGCGAAATTCCTCCTTGGCTCGGGATAAATACCATGCTGGTCGGACAATGATAGCTAGTGTTCACACTGTCATGACCAGCTCCAGCAGGGAGCTCCCGATATTGATCATCTCCGACTAACTCGATAGCAGCGGAGCGAACAGCATTGATGCAGTCCTCGTGAAATTCCACTGCTTCACTCCTCCATATTTGCTCGATGTCTACAGTGCAGCCATGTTTGTCTGCGACTTCTTGACACAGGGAACGCACGCTCGCGGCCATATTGTCCATGGACTCGTTGCTAAGGTGTTCGATGTCAACGCTGAATGTTACTTTTCCAGGAATTGTGCCAGGACTTTGCGGTTCTGAATTAATCACGCCAACAGTTGTAAGACCTTTATTTTCCCAGGCGACATCATTCACCCGAGAAATCATGCGGCAAGAGGCAAGCAAAGCGTCGCGACGGCGGTCAATCGGCGTTGTCCCACAATGTTGCGATCTTCCTGTGACTGTGACAATCAGCCATAACATACCCTGCACACCGGTCACGACGCCAATAGCCTTCTTCTCATCCTCAAGAACGGGACCTTGCTCAATGTGGTATTCGAAGTGGGCGGAAAGAGGATTGGCTAGATAGCTAGCTTTGACTGGCCCTTGAAACCCGATTTTAATGAGCTCATCCTTGAATGTCTTGCCCTCGGGGTCGACATGATTGTATGCATACTCAAGCGTCGCCTTTCCAGCCCATACTGCACTCGATAGCATACCGGTATTGAATCGTGCGCCTTCCTCGTTGGTCCAGTCTATTGAAAATACAATCAGTTTTGATTGAACTATCTTAGTAGTTGAACAATTGTTACTTACTAATGATGGCAATTGGTGCATGGGTGGTCCAGTCATTCTCATGGAGAACCTTCAGAATTTCAAGACCTGCTTGTACTCCCAATATACCGTCATAACGACCACCAGCAGGCTGTGTGTCCAAGTGCGATCCAATGCCAATCGGCGGCAAATCATTATTCTGGCCGGGACGTATAGCAAACAAATTTCCCATCTCATCTACCTTCACTGTTGCGCCGTACTTTTGGGCTTCCTGCACGAACCACTCACGCACGGCTTTATCTTCTTCAGTCAGGGCTAGCCTGCGAACCCCGCCATCTTTCGAATCTCCCCATTGAGCGGTGTAATGTAGAGTATCCCAAAGGCGCTGCCTGTTGACTGCGAGAGTTGTTGGAGCTGGACCTAACAGTGTTGAAGCTGAATATTTTCTTCTGTATAAATACTGGGTAGGTGGAAGACAGCAGCGAGGGCGGAATACTCGATGCACAGCCGATGCCCTAAGACGGGGAGACAGAAATCTAGATGACAACACCATTTTGCTAGTCCAACGATCCCGAGGTGAGAAAAGTTAAAGACTGCTCATACTTTACTCGCAACTATCTTCTCTTATGTACCTAGATAGGTCTTTAGCAATTAGACCTAGTCTTTAATTGACAAAGGGCAAGCGTATTATGGAGGGTCGCCGAACATTTTTCATGACTCTCAAACATTTCGTTCTCATTTCATGGAGGCTTACCCCATATGCAAGCATTGGCTTCTCAAGATCGACCATTCGGAACAATTTGACCAATAAACATAGGTAGTCTGTGATACAGTACCGCCGTTAGACCAGCCAAAAGATACAGTGCCGACACTCTATTCATACTCCACATACAGTTTAGCCAAACAAACACACCCCTGATAAGAGATACAGTGCCGTACCCCTCATCATCCTCTACTCCAGATTCGGTATGGATTTGTGCTGCCAAGCGATAGATAACGGCCAACTTGCCGAACCACTGGCTACGAGTCAGGAGTGCTTCCGGGTGATAAGAGATACAGTGCCGATTGCCCATAGCTATGTCGTGAGAAATGCTTGATTATGGGCTGGAGATTGGCCTAGTTTGTTTAACGCCACCAATATGACATATTCTTATGAATTTACCGTTCATGGAAGTTTTGATTCCGTTTAGAGGGTGTTACTCTACATGCGGTCCAGGCGTGGTGGTCCACACTTTAGGGCAGTTTAGAATAGAACCAGAATTCGATTAATTAGCTGAAGTTAAAATTCTATACAAATATCCCCATTAGAACAGCTTCGCCTGTCATTTGCACTGTGATATACTGTGGTATAAATTATGCAAAGTATTCTTCAGTCCTCAGTAACCATTGCATCAACTGATATCGGCCAAAATTCTCATTCCTTGTCTCTAACAATACAACCCTGCTCTTTTCAAAGCGATTCTATAAATTCTTGAGTGACTTGACCTTGTCATAATCTGCACCATGGGGCTCAGAAGGGCTGACATACGGTTGAACCATCCGTTCATTCAGAATCTTATTGCTGGGCAAGTTGTAATGTGAGATTTGTGTTGATATTTCCTAACATCCAGTTCTAGAATGATGCTCTTTTGCCTTCCTGGCATATACTTGGCTTTAACTGGACTCGGCGCTGGGGGTGGCAAACCAAGTTCACAAACAGTCGCGGCCAATGTCAATGCCATCCTGTACGGAATATTTTTCGTAACCGGATGGTTTGGCGGGACCATTATGAACCTGATTGGACCAAACTATACAATGCTATTGGGATCTGTCGGATATAGCCTTTACACCGGTATGCTGTAAGAAAGACCTTCTACGATGATTTCCGCTGACGCCAATAGGGGGACTCTGGTATTTTGACCGAAGCGGCAATTCATGGTTTGCATATCTAGGCGGCGGTGTCGAAGGGGTATCTGCCGCTCTGCTGTGGGCTTCAGCAGGTGCTATTGCGTATTCTTATGCCGAGGAAAAGGATAAGGCTTTGTATATGACCATCCAGTGGATTTGTTGTGAGGGCGGCTCGACCATTGCCGCGTTGGTAGCGCTAGGTATCAACATGAACAACAGTGGTGGTAAAGATGCCGGGGCACCTACACCAGTCTATGTTGTTTTCGTAGTCATTCAAGTCCTCGCTATGGTCATGTCTCTGTTCCTCCTAGTGAGGCCAGCGAAGATCGTCCGTAGCGACGGCACCAACATTGCCGTTTTCCAGACTCCGACATTGAAAAAGGAATTGATTGGTGTGCTGGAGATGATCAAAGATTACCGGTTTATGATGCTCCTGCCTGCTATTTTTGTGGCCGAAATGGCTCTAGCACTCCAAAGTTCACTCAATGGATACTTTTTCAACCTACGAACACGCTCCCTGAACAACGTCGCGTTCAACTTCATCCAAATCCCGGCTAGTATAGGCATGACTTTTATCCTCGACAATCCGCGTTTCGGCCTGCGGAAAACCAGGGCCCTGATTGGAATCTCAGTCATGAGCGCGATCACTCTCGGGATTTGTTCAGCTGAGGCTGCATGGCTCACGCAACACCATATCGACCGTAACAAAGCAGGCCCGTCCACGGACTGGACCGACTCTGCATTTGCAGGCGCATTTGTGATTTATGTGATATACGGTTCTGTGTATAGGTAAGGAAGAAACTGTTTGCAGTCATAGTAGCTCTGACTAATTGCAACTTTCAGCATTTACCAAATAGCAACGCAGTATGTAATCTGTTCATTGACGAATCAGCCCGAAAGGTAACTATATCCTCAACGTCAAACAGCAACTTAGTCTAACATATCTTTCAGACTTGCGAGATATGCAGGAGTATTCAGAGGCGTGACGGCTCTCGGCATGATGTTCTCATTCATCATTGACGGCAATGGCGGGACATATATCACTCAGCTCTCATTCCAATTTGCCTGCTATTTCGTTGGAATCGTGTTCCTATATATAGTAGCAATATTCTATGTTACAAACACGAATTATTTCCAGGAGGAAAATGTCATTGTACCACATCGCGTCGAACAAGATGCCAAACTCGAAGGCATGGCCGCTGATGCAGACGCGGAAAGGGGTCATCCCAAGGAAGATGCAGTGGCAACAGTGTCTTTGCAGAAGGCTACAGAAAGTGAATGAATCAAAGCGCGTGGATATTGACGAACAAGAGAGTTCTTTGAAGTTTAAAGTAACCTCTATTCTTTCTATCTGGTAACAGGTCGAAACTTAGTTAGCGATATATGAAACCAAACAATCTTACATTGTAGGTCATTATACTGAGTTATACTGAGCAATCATTAACCACGTGGAATTCCAAACGGGGTCTTAATGCTGTTGTTGAAAGTATGAAGAAGCGATGGTTTGTTGAGTCCTGGAGATGTAGTTGATGTTTGCATCCCAGGCAAACACAATCGGGCGGGCGCCGATGACATCGCCGCTTGTAGACAGGCTGGAACAAACAACCGAAACGCCTCAACTTGAATCATGCTATAACGTTAACACTGCATGCAATACAAGGGAATCCCACTAGCCCCTCATGTTCGGTATTCTCTGACCGTACGAATTTGCAACTGTGCTTCCAGCAAGACCTTAATACGCTACCATGTCCTCCATTCACATCCTACAAAATCGCCTCAAAGATGTGTCCGACTCCCTCAATGCAATCAAGCCTCTCATAAATCGGCTGCGAAACTTCACTCATGCCGTCGGTCAAGGCGATGAAGCGCGCGTGGAACTTGGTGCAGAGGTTCACTCAAGACTCAAAGTTGTTGAGGAAGAGACGGAGCTGCTGAACGTGGAGGTTGAATCGCTAGAAGGAACAGGCAATTCCCGGAGGAAGACAGGCGAGAATGCAGAGAAAGAGGCTGAAAAGAGGCGGGTGATTGGATTTGCTGAGAAGTTGACTGCGGATTTGAAGAGGTGAGTGCAATCCAATATTTCAATACACGTTCTTTTCTAAGAGTTGCAATTGCGTGCGTGTTATGGGACGATCTAACTTTACTTTTGCAACGTATAGGACTAGGGGAGAATTCCGGGCAGCACAACTTCAAGCCAATCGCAATGCAGAGGCTGCTCGTCGGAAAGAGCGTGAATTGTTATTTACTCGATCGGCAGACGACCAGGGACGCCAATTACCGTCGGAGAAATTCACACAGAACGATCTGGTTGCGAATGCATCGTCTGACGTAACAGCTGCTCTACGAAGAACACATGATCTTATGCAGGCAGAGCTATCTCGAAGCCAATTTGCTCAAGAGACACTAGGTAAGCGATCATAAGAATGACAGCGGTAATTACAAGGATTAACATATAGCTAGATCAATCGACTGCCGCCCTCTCTTCTCTCTCCGAATCGTATACCAATCTTGATACCGTCCTATCCTCCTCTCGAGCTTTAGTCAACTCGCTACTACGATCACAAAAATCCGATACATGGTATCTCGAAACGGCATTTTATATTTTGGTTGCAACTATCGCGTGGCTACTTTTTAGAAGGATCCTTTACGGACCAATGTGGTGGCTTGCTTGGATGCCGGTCAGAACACTCTACAGATTTTTTGCATCTGTTCTCGGTGTGGCCGGTTTTTCAGGGGCCGTCACTACTACATCCGCCATTGTTAGTGGCACACAGAGCACGGCCATACCTGCTGGTACAGCATAATGGCCGTATTGGAGGGCGAGAATGCGCCAGTACTAGAGACCCCCGACTCCAGGACTGGAAAGGAGAGTGAAGAAGATAACATAATGAAAAAAATTGGGAAGATGGCTGGAAAAGAAACAACAAGCGATAACGAGAGATACGAAGATTACGATGGACCACGGAATCCGAAGAAACGGATGTGGGAGGAGGATGTAACGCGCAAAGACGAACTGTAAAATTTTATAACAATTGAATATAATTTTTTGATACGCTTGACCTATAGCGTGTAATTGTGCATTGATATGATGTAATTGGAAGCCTTCCGCTGTATCGGGCAATAGTGGTTTCGCGTCACGGCATAGCTCGCCTGGTAAGATTGATTTTCTAGACGCGTCTCCCGCGCAGCTTCATTTCTCCGCACAACCAAGCTGCCCTGGAACCACATAGCTGTTCTCTATCTAATAGTTCTTTCCTGAACACACGGATATAGACCATCATTAGGAGAGAACGCAAATCAATGGCCGCAAACTTCTTCAACAATAAAGCAAGAGCTGCTGCGGCGGCAACTAGCTCTAAGCAAAAGCCGACAGACAACAAGGAAGACCAGACGCGATTACAACCATGGGTCGAGAAATAGTGCGTTTTACCGGCAGATCTGATGTATATTCATTAATTCTTTTCATCTTTTACTGACTTTATCCCAGCCGACCCAAATCGCTAGATGATGTCGCTGCGCAAGATCACACCACCACCGTTCTCCAACGAACACTACAAGCCTCGAATGTATGCTACTCTGACTAGTTTTGCATTCTTTATTCAAAGTAACCATATAATAGCTGCCTCACATGCTTTTCTACGGCCCACCTGGTACCGGTAAAACCTCCACCATCCTCGCTCTGGCCAAGTCTCTCTTCGGCCCCGTGCTGTATCGTACACGTATTCTCGAACTGAACGCCTCCGACGAACGAGGTATCAACATCGTCCGTGAAAAGATTAAGGACTTTGCACGCACACAGCTATCGCAACCGACTGGCTTGGACGCTGCTTATCGCGAGCAGTACCCATGCCCACCATTCAAGATCATCATCCTCGACGAGGCGGATTGTATGACACATGACGCACAGTCTGCCCTGCGTAGAACAATGGAACAGTACAGCCGAATCACGCGTTTCTGCTTGGTGTGCAACTATGTCACTAGGATCATAGAACCATTAGCCAGTCGATGCAGCAAATTCCGATTCAAGGCTCTAGACGGTGTTGCGGCGGGTGATCGATTGGAGGATATTGCAAAAGCAGAAAATTTAGTGTTGGAGAAAGGGGCAGTGGAAACTTTGATCAGGTGTAGCGAAGGCGATCTTCGTCGAGCTATTACCTACATGCAGAGTGCTGCAAGGCTGGTTGGCGCACAGCAGAAAAAGCAGCAGGAAGGAGGAGATGGGGACGTTGAGATGGGCGATGCCGATTCATCATCAATCATTACAATCCGAACAATCGAGGAGATTGCGGGGGTGGTTCCGGAAAGCGTGCTTGATAGGTTAACGCAGGCTATGCAGCCAAAGAAACTGGGATCAGCCTACGAGGCAGTAGCAACAGTGGTTTCAGACATCGTTGCCGATGGGTGGAGTGCTACACAGATATTATCACAGGTATGCTGTGTTTCCTTCCTCTAAGCCTTATTAAACGTGTTCCTAACCGCGTGAACAGCTATACCAGCGAGTTGTTTTCAACGACGCTATTCCTGATATCCAAAAGAACAAAATCGTGGGCGTTTTCTCGGAGATGGATAGGAGGCTTATTGATGGCTCGGATGAGCACCTTTCGATCCTAGATATGGTAATGAGGATTTCTGGCATTCTGGGTTCCTGAGTTTATGTATAGCTAAAGCTAGTGGCCAAATTCAATAATAGCTGATTAACGAGGTACGGATAACGGATTCAAAACACAGGCAATTTAGATTTGCAATCGACTCGTAAGGACAGGCAATCTGTTATGGTAGCATCAACGTTTGGCATGAAAAAGAAAGATTTTCGACTTGATAGTTGAGTAAAATTCAATTTTTTTGCTCAGCGTTCATCACCCAGTATTGTGTTTAGCATCCCAAGTGCTGTTCAGACTTGCTCGGGCTTCACTGCAGTTTCTTCTTCCACATCTTCGTCCAGATCTTCTTCCGAACCCCCTTCCTTTTGTGGCAACTCTTGCGCCTCAGGTCTAGTCATGCCCGAGATCTCTTCCAAACTTGGCATAACAACTTCAACTTTCCGAAGACTTGTAGCTTCAAGTTCCGAGACACTCTCCTTTTTTTCCTCAGTTGACATATCCTTCGATCCTGACACATCTACTTTGGCGGGATCTGTATTCTGATTGCTGCCTGCTTTTTCCAACTTGCGTAAATCTGTAAGTGTGATAGAACGATTCGTCCATACTCTTGCTTTTAGCCAAGTCTTTTGTACCTCGCGCTTCTGATCCTCTGGATCAATCGAAATTCCGGTTACGGTGGGATTGATGTTGATCAATATACGATCTCCTCGTAGGCTTTCCTCTTCGTCGGCTTTGTCTCTGCCTCTGGAAGCGAGGTTGTGAAGTTCCATAATGGCTGGGTCAAAAGCTGAACTCCCATACCATTCGATTTTGACAGTAGCTGGCTGTGACCACATGAAAAAACCCAACTCTCGAGCATGGCGAAAGATTCTGACCAGTTCGCCTTTGCGTTTTTCCCGCTTAGAATCCGCGATCAATTCTAGGAGAGGCTTGGATGGGTGCTCAAGGAAGTATTTTGCAAGATCCTTTAAGGCGGTTTCAAAGTTCTGAAGGAACTTATCATTCTTCAGTTGCTCCTTTTGCTCATTATTGGTCCCTTCTTCATCGAGTTTTGGAAAGGTTACTGAGCTAGCTGACATCAGTATGCCCGCTACCAATTTCTGGGACTGAAAAGGATCGACTAACACCCTATCAGTCAATTTGTAATCGAATAGCAAAAATGATTGAACGTACCTTTTTTGATAGACAAGGCTAGGTCATAGAATGCTCTTTCGTAATAATCCGCATACAACGGATTCTTCTTCATTCCCTGCTCTTTAACGACCGTATCAAGAAATGCAAACTGCCTTCCTAGAAATTGTTGGCAGATGAAGTTGAGGAGGATAGCTTCGAGTAACAATTCGCCTCCTTTGGAGAGGGTTTTTATTTTTGGAAGATCGCTATTGAAGAAAGTCGCCTTGTATAAGTTCCTCGTCTCCTGATCGTTGTAAGACATTATATTCTTCTCGTCTGGATTAATCAAATCTGGGACATTTTTCTTCATGACCCACCGATCCACCCAAGTTCTGGTTTCCTTGACAATATTCTCCATGGCAGTGTTGATCCTTGTATCATCCCAGAGGCCTCTACCCCCTTTACGGGCGTTCTGGATGGACTCAACCACCACCTCGTCCAGTTTCTTTTGTGTCTTTTGAAGCTCTTTCCAGATGGCGTCCTTGCTGTCTGTTTTCTTAACAGCTTGCTTCGTCTGCGTTTTTCGGCTTCTTGTATTTGTCTGGCGAGGTTTCTTTGGCGAATATTCATCATTTCCAGAGCCATCAGGGTTACTATAGCCACTATCGCCGCAAGGAGACTCGGCTGTTGAGTCCCGACTGCGCTTTAGAGATCCTTGCGAGCTATTCACAGCATTCCCCTTCGTCCTCGGGGTTATTTCCTTCGCAGTCCTTTGCATCTAAGACGGTATGAGTCAATGGTCTCCTTTAGCTTGAGTTTAGGGAGTAAGTTGAGTACTTGCCGCGAATCCTGATAGAGATGTAATTTTCTGTTGTAGTTGTTGTAGTTGTAAACCAAAAGAGTCTTGAAATTGCGTGAAAGCGGAAAGACGTCCGACTGATATCAATAGTGTGGTTTTCAGATGTGGCAAAAGCTGAGGAGAGATTGTTAGCTGTTGCAAAGAAAAGGTATTCTCTCTTCTTGAAATGTGGCTTGGAGAGTGAGCAGTAAGCTAACACTTAGGGCGAAGTGAGAATGAATACTTTGCGTTTGGAAGGCTGTGGTGAAGTCGAAAGCAATCTAAGGAAAGACGTTCGCAAAAACATATTGAGCATAGCGAGGATGCTTACATGTAAGGTTGAGGTTGTCGTATCTTCTAGCATGTTAGGGACTTGGCGAAGAGCATGAAGGTACTAGTTGACAACAAACCCAACAGACGAGGTGGTGGATTCAAGGTTGGGGAGGATGCCACTTGTTAATATATTTCCATGATATTTGAAGACATCTGTATCACGTTGAAATGAGTTGAGTGAGATGAGGGTGGGAGACAGTGGAACTAATTGAACCCAATATCAAACGGAATATTGAAGTGAGGACTTCAATATTGTGCAAAAAAGCAGGAATGTATTGCGAGATGTTATTTTATTCTAATAGCGCGATAATATATTCTTTTATATTATATCTCAAGGATACATATGTGCATATAAAAATTTGAAGTTTTTGGCTCTCAGCAATGGGAATTTCCTCTAGACGTTATTGCTCAGTGCTGCGTTAACTGGTGCGAGGATAACACAGAATTGTTTTTATATGGGCCTAATATAAGAAGTCCAATACTAGCCTCAAATTCTAATTTGAATTTTACCATTATTGATCATCACCGGGTCATATGGAAGGAGGTAGCTAAACGCAGCTTCTATGTATATTTCAAGTAGTTCTGCCATTTTATCGTAGTAGTTCCCTTGATCTTCAGCATCCTCATTTTTAATCTTCCGCATCTCATTAATATATTCATCTTGGTTCTGTGTTCCACTACATTCAATATTCTCACGTTCCAGTTCGCCATACTGGTATTGTTTGACACGCACACTCTCCTGCGCGCGCTAGATTATGAGATGTGGTAGGGAATTTGTGAGTTGATGAATTAGTTTCTGCTTCTCTATAGGTGTTAATTTATTCTGGACAACTTTGCAGCGTAAACTTCCGGTTTCCTTCAGTTTCCCACCGCTGTGGGAGAGGAAGAGTAGATTTTTGTTATTAGCCCAGGTACCTGGATGTTCCATCCAGTGCCTGAAGGTAGCTTTTTAGATCCGTTTGCGAATATGACTCTATAAGCATACCAGATGTTCCTCCTGCTTGATGTTGTGGTATATAAACGCAGTTCTGATTACGCCGGTATCATGGCTTCGATGAATATGCCATTTATCAAAAAGGATTTATTCAGATCCTATTTATTTTATCATTTGAGAGAATGTATAGAGAGGCCTTTCACTTTTGAGGTCTTTGACGTCATGTTAAATTCCGAGTTAGATTCTTGATAGGCTTATAAACGTGCTGTCCATTGTGGGTGCTCTGAAAAACGTGAAAATCGGCGAAGAGGATGCTGGTTTTGACTTCAGCGTGCACGATGTATCTATCTCGGATTGAGACCTGAACTGCAAAATGGCATTCCAGGTGCCAGAAACTACACTCTCTGGATCCGACTTTCTTATTTTTCTTATCATCCCCAATTGTCGGTACGGCGTAATACTGTTAAATCATTAGCAGAGGTGATAACATTGGTTGATGAATCCATACATATTGTCCTTCAGCTTGGGTCTTGTCTCGCTGCAATCGGATTTGGTAGTTGTTGGAGAAACAGTCGTTCCTGAATCGTAGCAGGTGGCCTACCTTATAAGTTTTAAAATCCCCGCCATGTAAACGGTCATCGAGATTCACAACTTTTCTATTCTAATGTGGATTTTATGTTCTTGCCTTGCTACCATGCGACTTGAAACTCATGTTTTGTCATGCCTGGCGAGTGGTGGCTGCAAATTACTTTCAATAACGTTGAATTTGGATAGACTAGATAACCAACTAAGTTTTATGACTGACCTGGGTTGGGGGAAGAAAATTTGGATTATAATGCACAAGGAGCGTTTGCTTCACACATGATCGATTGCCTTAGGCATACACATATGCCGTGTGTTTGAAAAATAATTATATTATTTATTTCACTAACTGTAGCAACAACGGTTATGAATAACCATAAGAAATTTGAGCAGGTTGGGATCCCGAGATACTCATCACAACTGGAGAATTGAAATAGAATCTGGAGGCTAGCATTGGATTTTTAGATTTACACAAAACAGCTGCTGTATATAAAATCTCATGATAGAAAAGAAACTGTGGGAAGGGAACCAAATCGTGGTACGTCACAAACGCCCCTAGAATTGACGTTACAGGTATTCCATACTTGAACAGGAGACATCCACAAGTCACTATGTCCAACAACCCCATGGCACTTGAATTGGTCGTGTCGAATAGTAAGGCAAATGATGAGCTGGTCAATGTTCAAGAAATCATGCAATAATACATATTAAGGACGACCTGGAGTCTGAGAGCCTTGAGAGTTGTCGTGGGCTTCGATGGAGGGCTTCCGGTTCCTTGAAACTACCAATCCTGTAGTATAAGAGCCCATTGATACGCTTCTGGCACTAGCAGGGATTGCCACTCCTCCTGCGATACTGATAATTTCACTTGAACCAGCAGAAGCTAAGGCTGAAGAATAACTCCTGCGTAAATGTGTTGCACAAGAATTGACAACATCGGGGGCCAAGGGTGACAATGTATTTGGATTACCACTTCGTTTATCTGACTTGACTGTCATTTTTCCAAGATGAATCTGACACAGAGACCTACCCGCGCTTCCCTCCTGGCTGGTTTTCCTGTCCCCTAGCAGGGATGGCATTGCCTGTTTGGTCCATTTGGCAAATTTGCGATAATCTAACAATTATTTCTTAGCATTCTTAAGCTCCTTTCGTCAGGCTTTCACGTACCACTAGATTTCCCAAATGAACCACTTGATTTAGACATGTACTGATCAAAAATGGAGTCACTATATCCACAATATTCACATCCACCTGAAGAGTTGCCGCCACCTGCATGCTTTTCATTGTCACAATTTGATTTTGACTTGGTATTCTTGCGGATTCGAGACACAATGGCAGTGAACAGAAGGATGACGCTCAAAACACCACCAACAACGCCTCCGATAATAGCACCATTGACAGTAGTTGGATTAGGAGTTGGAGGGTTCTCTGAAACACCAGTCTGTATTGCCACATGTGGATTCGTGTTAGCCGTTGAAATGGTTTCGAGAGTCAAGAATACCAAGTTCGTAGTGGATGGAGTTAATAGCGGCTCTGTAATAGTAATATTTTCGTCTCTTGCCTTTGTAATTGGTAAGATTGGACTAGTCAACGCGATAGAGGTTAATTGAGGCGCGTCAGATGGCTGATTCTCGGGCGGACAGATTCCAGAATCGCAAGGGTTGATTGAACAACAGCCTGAGAAACCTCCTTGACTACATATGTAGAAAGGATAATCACCAGTACATGAGTTTGGTGAAAGTGCAAACAATTCGTTGCTGTTCATGTCGAAGGATTTTCCACGTTGGACTACAGAGTCAGTTCAGATAGGACAATCGATTGTTTTGGGACATCAAATCAATGCAGGGAGGAAGTGCAGAGTGTTCTAAGACAGAAAAAGTGTGTTTGAAGGTAGGCGGGTGTCAAGGGTGGAACAAGTTCGAGTATTTGTTGATGGCAAGAAACCAAAACACCATTGGCAAACGAGCTACAGTGGGCACATTCATTAAAACTATGTCAGCCAGATTCGAACAAAGAAAAATTCAACTTGTATAAGAAAGCCTAGCTAAAATAAAATAATTGCTTGTTCCAGGTTCACAAGTTGCATATACACTGGTCAACATTGAGCCCTGAAATCTAAGTCATATTCAATCACCCCATCTGATAACCCCATTTCCAAAAGTATATCGCGGTAAATATGGACGCTTGGTAGACTCGGGACAGGGCGAAAAGGCTGGATGCCATTTTTTAGTATACACGTTTGAATGGTGGCACGGGTTTGCACTCCTTCTCATCGAGAGTGTGGTCTTGGACGGAACGGTATGTGAGATCAACTGCACCATGTGGCGTCTTTTGGAAGGTCAAAGTGTGCTTCATCCAGTTCTCGTCGTCACGGTCAGGATAGTCTTCACGGGCATGGGCACCACGAGATTCCTTTCGGTTAGCAGCAGCGTGGGCGGTTTGGGTACTGTATCTTGTTAGCAAGTTTTTCTCAGCAGGTATCAGGAATGATCACATACGCGCAAGTCAAAAGGTTCTTCAATTCAAAGGTCTCAACAAGATCAGAGTTCCAAATCATGCTACGATCCTTGGTTCCAACCTGGGAGAACATGGCGTCGACCTCCTTGATCTTTTGGACACCTTCGTCCAAGCTTTCTTGTGTACGGAAAACGCTAACATCCGTCTGCATAGTCTTCTGCATGGCATTCCTAATGTCGAAGGTAGACTTAGGACCATCTGCAGTACGAATAGCGTCGAGATCGGCAATCGATTGAGCACCAGCATCAGAGCTGAGAGGTTTGTGAGCCTTTCCAGGAGAAGAAATATCACGAACACGGTGAGAGACAGCACGACCGAAAACAATCAAATCCAGGAGGGAGTTTGCGCCCAGACGGTTTGCGCCGTGGACTGAGACGCAAGCGGCTTCACCACAAGCGTACAAACCAGGTACAACCTTGTCGTTACCCTTCTCATCCAAGGTCACGACCTCACCAGTATAGCGTGTAGGAATACCACCCATGTTGTAGTGGACGGTTGGAAGCACAGGAATAGGCTCCTTGGTGACGTCGACACCGGCGAAAATGGAGGCGGTCTCGGAAATACCAGGTAGACGCTCATGCAAAAGTTCGGCTGGCAAGTGGCTCAATTGCAGATAGATGTGGTCCTTTTCGGGACCAACACCGCGGCCCTCACGGATTTCCAGTGTCATGGATCGCGAAACGACATCACGGGAGGCAAGATCCTTGGCGGTTGGAGCGTAACGTTCCATGAAACGCTCACCCTCCGAGTTAAGGAGATAACCACCCTCACCACGGGAACCCTCGGTAATAAGACAGCCAGCACCGTAGATACCAGTAGGGTGGAACTGAACGAATTCAAGATCCTGGTTGGGAAGACCAGCACGAGCAACCATAGCCATCCCGTCACCAGTGCAGGTGTGGGCGGAAGTGCAGCTGAAGTAGGCACGGCCATAACCACCAGTTGCGAGAACTGTATGGTGAGCCTTGAAACGGTGAAGAGTACCATCTTCCTGGTTATAGGCGATAATTCCACGGCATTCACCATCCTCCATCAGAAGATCCAAAGCGAAATACTCAATGAAGTAGTTGGTGTTGTGTCTTAATGACTGGCCGTACAAGGTGTGCAGAAGAGCGTGTCCTGTACGGTCAGCAGCGGCACAGCATCGGTAGGCCTGGCCACCCTTGCCGTAGTCTTGCGATTGACCACCGAAAGCGCGCTGATAAATACGTCCGTCTTCGGTACGCGAGAAAGGGCAACCGTAGCCTTCCAACTCACGAACACTGGCCGGGGCTTCTCTTGTCATGTAGTGAATGGCGTCCTGGTCACCCAACCAATCCGATCCCTTTACAGTATCGTACATATGCCATCTCCAGTCGTCCTTGTGCATACTATCCGACAAATATAATTAGTAATGATACCGTGAACCATCGCCCAATGGGAAACTTACTTTCCAAGAGCGGCATTGATTCCACCTTGGGCGGCGACAGTATGGCTTCGCGTGGGAAACAATTTGGAGACACAGGCAGTGTTGAAGCCGGCCTCTGCCAAACCGAATGCCGCACGCAAACCAGCACCTCCAGCACCGACTACCACCGCATCGTACTCATGGTCCTATTTCCAATCAGTATGTACTACCATAAGCTATGGAATAACTTACAATAATGGGATACTTTTGCGCGATGTGTCCATTGGCCTCCTTTGCTCGAAGCGGTTGAGAGCCATATATCCGGGCTAGAGTTTCGGTAATTAGCAGCAGCGTAATGAAAGTAGTTCTTCAGCGCATACCAGCGGGACGTGTGGAAGAGAAAAGCCGTCGCTGATCTCTGAGAGCTCTCGAGACCTAAATATCACAAAGCATTTAGCCTATCAATTGACCCTGAAGCGACAGGAGGGGCCAGCATTGCAGGACAGCCTAACACGGTGTGAACCGACCTTTGACGCCGGAGCCAGGCTCCGCAAGCTCAAGGAGCTCATGATGTTCTAGAGACAGGCAATTAACGGCCTGCAACAGAGCCAATTCACTCAGGAGGAGAAAGAGAAAGACGCGACGCCACGTAGAGAGGAGAGTTTGCCCAGGTCGACAGGTTGTGATCCTTTCTCGAAGACGTATTAGATCTTGCCGGTTGAGCGAACGGTAGGCCGAGGAAAGCGCGTTACATAAGCACCGATGCGTTGCCGAAGCGGATGACGGATGTTTTGTGGACCAATCACAGCTCCTGCAGTGGTAAGCCAGTCCATCAATCGGCGCGTTTATTGGCTACAGAGATGAGGTCACGTGCCACTGTCAGCTGCCGGAAAATGTAGGGATTGCACCAAGCGGCTATATGAGAGCCGAGAGGGACAAATATATAGTTGTATGCATCAGGCATGGCTGGTATCTCCTACGTAGTATCTATAACATTGTTCAAGGCTGCATATAGATTTGTGAAAACAGAGTCAAAATTCATTTCACAAGCATTACGCACGCTATGAAAATTGTAGTGGTACAGTACATATATGCTGCGCAGGCAGCGCTCATCAAATAAGACGACCAGAATAATAGAGCAAACCATATGATATCTCTAGTTGTACTGCATATACGTTGCTGTCGAGTTGAACTTGAGATTGCCCTTGATCACCTTGTCAACAGCAGCAAGGAAGTCCTTCTCTGTAGCAACCTTCCGGCGAGCCCGGATTGCGAACATGCCAGCCTCCGTTGCCACACTGCGCAGTTCAGCACCTGTAGCATTCGGGCACAGTCTGGAAATCAATTCCCATCGAATATCACGTTCGACAGACATACTTTTCGCATGGATGCGGAGAATGTTAGCGCGTCCCTCCATGTCTGGTAGTGAGAATTCGATTTTGCGATCAATACGGCCAGGACGCATCAGCGCAGGATCCAGAGTAGAGGGTCGATTAGTTGCGAACATGACCTTGATGTTACCACGAGAATCGAAGCCATCAAGCTGTGTGATAAGTTCCAACATCGTACGCTGAACTTCGTTATCACCGCCAGCACCATCGTCAAAACGAGCACCTCCAATCGCGTCGATTTCATCGAAGAAAATAATGCAAGCTTTCTTGGTTCGTGCCATTTCGAAGAGCTCACGTACCATGCGAGCACCTTCACCCACGTACTTTTGGACCAATTCACTGCCAATGACTCGAATGAATGTAGCGTCTGTACGGTTCGCAACAGCTCTCGCGCACAACGTCTTTCCCGTGCCGGGAGGACCATATAGAAGGGCACCTTTAGGAGGGTCGATACCTAGGTTGACAAAGCGTTCGGGTGACAGCAATGGCATTTCAACAACCTCTCGCAGTTTCTCGATTTGCTCTTTGCTTCCTCCAACATCTCCGTATGTGACATCTGGCTTATCTTCGACCTGCATCATCGTCACGCTGGGATCGATTTTCGGCGGGAGAGGAAGTAAGATTTGGTATTTGTTACGATCGACACTATAATAATTGTCAAAATCTTGTTTCTAGGAGTGATTCGCTGGAGTACTTACCCGACACGCATGCCCTCCTCAATATCCGTAGGACTGACCCGCTCACCGAGATTGACAACGAATTTAGCGATTTGCTTTACGTTGATGACATATTTGCTTTTGTCGGCATCTTTTTCGTCCTGTATTATCTTTGTGCATCGAGCGACCTGCAGGGGTTGCTCTTCAGCCATGCGTTGACGATCCGCGGCGACATCCCATAAATGAGGAGGAGCAAGTCCAGTATCAGATTCCTAGGACAGTTAGAAGACGCTTCCATTACCATAAATCGGAATCATAGTACCTTAACACCAATCTTCTCGTTCACACTTTGTTGCTTTTCTTTGATCTGTTTCTCGAGGTTCTTGAGAGCAGCGGCGTACGGCGCAGCTCCGTATGTTTTCAGCACCTGAATGTCCCTGCCATATCGGTAAGCTTGGAAACTAGGTTGATTCTTGGAACGAAGACAGCGAAGACAAATCCTTACTCATCTGTTAAAGGTGTGATTTTTTTCTCGGGAATCTCATCGTCAGCGAAGTTCTTCTTGTACTTCTCCCATTCAGCTCCGGTAGCACTGGGCATCTTGGCGGTTTGTTGCCGCGAGGGCGCGTGTGGACAGAGAACGATGTAATTAAGTAGCGAAGCTTCAGAGGTATTCTGCAAGGCTTCGGGGCGTTTAAAAGTGAACAAACGAAATAATAGGTGATGATAGCAGGATGCGTGATGCAAGAGTTGTGGTTGTGATGGAGCTGGAGCTGTCCAGGCGGCATCGGTCTACGTCTGAGCTGTCCGCACTAGCGCCTGCCAAGCATCCAAACCACCCACCGCCTACCGAACAGACCGTGTGAAATTCCGACGGAGAGCGGCTACGTTTTTCTACCACAAGCAATACTAAACAGTTCTCTCTCTTACGGTTTCTGTGAGCCTTGACGTTTGGACGACAACATGGCGACCGCAGCGACTGCCCCTAGTGGGCCCGGTAATTCGGCCTTCAAGGTACGCTGAGAAATATTTATCAGTAGTGCGGGGGGCTGCTAACAGGCGATACGATGATCAGGATAAGGAAAAGCCAATGGCTGTGCGTAATGCAAACATTTTGGCAGCACGAGGTATGATTTCTGGATGCCTTTGTCTCCCGAGGCTTGCTAATAATGATACAGCTGTTGCCGATGCTATCAGAACGGTAATGTTTTTTCTGAGACCGCGAAAATGAGCTACTGACAAGTTTCAGTCGCTGGGACCGAGGGGAATGGATAAGATGGTAACTTCTTTTCCTTGCGGCTTTAATTTGAAAGTATTATTCTGATAGCAATGCAGATTCAAACCGGCAAAGGAAACACAATAATCGTTCGTATCCCTTCTCGCCTCCCAGAACAACGCTGACTGCAGAAGACAAATGATGGAAATACTATGTTGAAAGATATGAGTGTGGTGCACCCTGCAGCCAAGATGCTTGTCGACCTTAGTGCCGCCCAAGATATTGAAGCAGGTGACGGTACCACCTCCGTCGTCGTTATCGCCGGCAGCTTGCTGGGTGCTGCTGATCGACTATTAGGGAAAGGTAGGATTTTTGCCAATCTCAAGTTAACATCATCCTAAAGCTGGGTCTATAGGTGTACACCCGACAATTATCTCGGAATCATTCCAGAGAGCGGCGGCGGAAGCTGTGGAAATCCTCCACAACATGTCACAACCTATTTCCTTGTCGGACCGAACCACCCTCTTGCAAGCAGCGTCTACCTCTCTCTCGTCCAAAATCGTCTCGCAGTACTCAAATCTACTTGGCCCCATGGCTGTCGATTCCGTGTTGAAAGTGATTGACCCAAAGACCGCGGATAATGTGGACCTTCGCAATATTCGCATTGTGAAAAAGGTCGGTGGCACTATTGAGGATAGCGAGATGATAGACGGCTTGGTACTGAACCAGCCCGTTATCAAGAGTGGAGGAGGCCCAACAAGAATCGAAAAGGCCCGTATAGGTCTGATTCAGTTCCAACTAAGTCCGCCTAAGCCGGATGTGAGTTCATGTCTCGCAGTAGCCTTTCCCAATACTTATCAATTAATAGATGGAAAACCAAATTGTCGTCAACGACTACCGACAAATGGACAAAATTCTCAAAGAAGAACGTCAGTACCTTCTCAATATGGTGAAGAAGATACAGAAAGCCAAATGCAACGTGTTGCTCATCCAGAAATCTATTCTCCGTGATGCTGTCAACGACCTATCTCTTCACTTCCTCTCTCGTTTGAAGATACTTGCTGTGAAAGATATTGAGCGTGATGAAGTCGAGTTCTTGTGCAAGACTTTGGGATGCAAGCCAATTGCCAATGTTGACTCATTCACTGAAGATAAACTGGGAACAGCAGATCTCGTAGAGGAAGTGCAGTCCTCGGGTGCTCGCTATGTCAAAATCACCGGTATCAAGTCCCCTGCCGCAGCAAGCCAAACTGTATCAGTCGTGGCTCGTGGAGCAAACAATCTTATTTTGGATGAAGCGGAGCGATCCCTCCACGATGCTCTATGTGTAATTCGTTGCTTGGTTAAGAAGAAAGCTCTGATTGCTGGTGGCGGGGCCCCTGAAATCGAAGTCGCCCATACTCTCAGCATGAAAGCACGAGAACTTTCAGGCACTGAGTCCATCTGCTGGAAAGCATTTGCAGATGCTATGGAAGTTATCCCTACCACCCTTGCCGAGAACGCTGGTCTAAACTCGATCAAGGTCGTAACAGACTTGCGCCACCGGCACGCTCAAGGCGAGCACAATGCCGGTGTCAGTATTCGCAGCGGCGGTGTCAAAGACAACATCACAGAAGAAAACGTTCTCCAGCCTTTGCTAGTGAGCACAAGTGCAATTGAACTCGCAGCGGAGACGGTGAAAATGATTCTCAGAATTGACGATATCGCTTTGTCACGATAAACTTTTTGGAAAGGGTCGAATAGATAAAAGTATCGGACATGTCTTACGCAATGGCTGGCGTACAACGTTGAGATTTTTTTGAAGGGGGGGCTATTGATAGCAGCCATTATGTCTGATTATCTACATCCCTAAAAGACTTTATTACATTGATAATATTTTCAACGCCTGAATGTTTTTATCCTTGGCGTTGATGTAATAAATATGTTTCTGCAATGTTTAAATTCACCAAACTTTGGATGAACATGCAAGTAGCTGATTTTCTATAAAGTCGGAAATACCATTGAAATGAATTGATCGATTGATATCTTAAAAAGCCAATTGATGTTGGACTAACTAGTACAATCCCTACATCAACCTCAATTGATGCCGTGGAAAGATATATCTTGGCTGATGTCACGTCCATCTAGTAACAGGGTGTTCAGCGCTATCAGTCAACTATCTAGCCTTTTCTTTATTGTAGAACATTCAATTTTCTCACCTAGGTCTGAGTATGTACTATGTAGTATGTTAAGTTCATATATCAACTGAAATAGAAACACCTGAATTGTGAGGCAGCACAAAGAAGAGCTCTGTGATTGGGCAACCGCCGGACGCCAAGCTAGTCCGCTGTTACATCAAGCACGCAATGTTATCGGATCTACAAGACACTCACCCTCATCAGGTTAACCTGGCATCTTTGATACCGACAACTATGGTTGCAAGAAAATCATGACGTGAATCTTTGGTGGAACGTCAATTATACTCACACTTGCTATCATTGGACCCGGCCGTTGCACGACCCGATTCCATTCGAAGTATCGCATGAGGTAGTACGGAGCTGTAACGCAAAGATGGCGCGGAGCAGCGGGGATATCAATGAGGAGACTGTACCACTCGCCGGCGAACCGAGCAAATCATCAGCTTCCCGCCGGAGCTCTCTGAGCTCGCTGTCCTCCGACGGATCCCTCCTTGCCCAAGACGCGGCCGCAGACTCGGGTCGGAAATTAGTAGAATTGGGACAAGAACCACGGTATCGCGACCTCGAGGGAAATGGAGAAATTGAGGCAGATGAAGGACTCGCACACTCTCCAAAGGCGAAGCCCAAAAGCCGTAAGCTTATATGGACAGTTGGCTTGTCGTGCATTGGAGTCTGGGTATTCGCTTTGCTCCTATTTTTAGGACATCGCAGGACCGTTGAAGCCAAAAATCCCTCCGCACCGGAAGTCCACGAAGCCGATTCTGCTACAGGTACTACAAGCTATGGAAAACCGGTGAGTTTAAATAGCGTATTGGACGGTTCATGGGCCAGCAAAAAGCAGTCGATCTCCTGGATTGCAGGACCAAACGGAGAAGATGGATTGCTGCTTGAGCGAGACGTATTTGGAAAAGAAGGTTATCTTCGAGTGGAAAGCATTCGAAATCGAAAGGGCGATACCGACGGTTTCGAGAGCCGTATACTTATGCAAACCGGTCATATAAAAGGGAACGGAAAAGCCCTTACACCATCGGAAACATGGCCGAGCCCGGACTTGAAGACCGTCCTTATATTGGCTGAGAAAGAAAAGAATTGGCGTCATTCATACACTGGAACTTATTGGCTCTTTGATGTCGAGAGTCAGACTACACAACCACTTGACCCGTTGAATCCCGATGCCAGAATACAACTCGCGTCGTGGTCGCCGCAATCCGATGCGGTCGCTTTCACACGGGATAACAATATCTTCATTCGAAAATTGACTTCTCGATACGTCAACCAAATCACCACAGATGGTGGAAAAGATTTATTCTACGGTGTTCCAGACTGGGTCTACGAGGAGGAGGTCTTTGAAGGCAACAGCGCGACTTGGTGGTCAAACGACGGCAAATATTTGGCGTTCTTGCGAACTAATGAATCATTGGTTCCCGAATTTCCAGTGCAGTACTTCATGTCTCGTCCATCAGGAAAGAAACCTCTTCCTGGCCTCGAGGACTATCCCGAAGTGAGGCAAATCAAGTACCCCAAAGCTGGAGCACCGAACCCATTTGTTACAATCCAGTTTTATGATACTGAGACCCTTGAGACTTTCTCCGTTGACACCCGGGGTGGGTTTTCTGATGATGACCGTCTGATTACTGAAGTTCTATGGGCTTCGAGTGGCGAGGTGCTCGTGAAGGAGACTAACCGTGAGAGTGATGCTTTGCGTGTTGTGTTATATGATGTCGCCACAAAAATAGGTAAATCAGTTCGTACCGAGAACATTCAAGAGCTCGATGGTGGCTGGGTGGAGCCCACTCAGTCTGCCATATTTGTGCCAGCCGACCCTGAGAATGGTCGCCAACATGATGGCTACATCGATACGGTTATCCATGATGGTTATGATCACCTAGCGTACTTTACCACTTTGGAGAGCTCGGAGCCTATTTATCTTACTGCGGGCCCATGGGAAGTCGTGGATGCTTCTGCTGCAGTCGATCTCAAAAATAACCTCGTTTACTTTGCTGCGACTAAAGAATCACCGACACAGCGCCATGTCTATAGCGTGAAACTTGACGGATCGGATTTCAAAGCTGTAACCAACACATCAAAAGTGAGCTATTACGACGTATCGTTTTCAAGCGGTGGCGGCTACGCATTACTCACTTATGAAGGACCTCATGTGCCTTGGCAAAAGGTTATCAACACGCCAAGCAATAAAAAAAATTACGAGGATGTACTCGAGGAGAACCATCATCTTTTTAAGATGGTTGATGAGTATGCTCTCCCTGCGGAAATCTATCAAAACATTACGATAGATGGGTTTACGTTACAGGTGGTTGAACGCCGGCCGCCGCATTTTAACCCTGCTAAAAAGTATCCGGTTCTCTTCTATCTGTACGGCGGCCCGGGATCGCAAATGGTGAATCGGAGGTTTACCGTCGACTTCCAGTCCTACGTTGCTTCGACCTTGGGATACATTGTGGTCACAGTAGACGGTAGAGGAACAGGTTTTATTGGACGAGAAGCCAGAACCTTTGTCCGAGGAAAGCTTGGTCACTGGGAGGCGCATGACCAGATTGAGACTGCTAAAGCTTGGGCAAAGAAGCCTTACGTAGATGAAAACCATATTGCCATCTGGGGTTGGAGCTATGGAGGCTTCATGACTTTAAAAACTTTGGAACAAGATGCTGGCCATACATTCCAATATGGCATGGCAGTCGCCCCCGTCACGGATTGGCGGTTTTACGACTCTATCTATACCGAACGATATATGCACACCCCATCGCACAACCCAGAGGGCTATGAGACAAGCGCTATCTCAAATGTGACTGCGTTGTCGCAAAATGTTCGGTTTCTCGTGATGCACGGTGTCTCTGACGACAATGTACATTTTCAAAACACCCTGGCGCTGCTTGATAAACTGGACCTTGCAAATGTTGAGAATTACGATGTGCATGTTTTTCCGGACTCTGATCATGGTATTTTCTTCCATAATGCACAGAAGATGGTTTATGACCGTAAGAAATCACTTGACTTCACCTTTATACTATTGAATAGGCGTACTGACAAACACAGGTTTATCTTCTTTCCTGGTAAACGCCTTTACAGATGAATGGCATCAAGTCAATAATGCTATTCCAGGTTTTTCGAAGCTGAAACGATTCCTAAGCCTGTTTTAATTATGTATACATCTGTACCGATGATAGACTTTTGGTATATTAGCGTTTGAATTATTGGAAACTTTTATTTCATTTGCATGAAGATGTGGAACCCAGGTGGTTATACACGTTCAAAGTAGCGCAACATTTTTATGCCATTTCATTTTTGAATAAAACAGCCATAAAATTAGATTTCAACCATGGAACTTATTGATGAGCAACACAGCAGCTTTTAAATAGTACTCGTCGGAATCCTTCCATGCTTGGTCAATTTCCTTCAGAGCATGCAAACCCTTGACAAATTGGGCGTTTTTGGCATGAGGACCACTGATAGCTTGTTTAGAAACCCACTGCCAATCTTTCTCATGGACGTTATAGGCAGCTACATGGCCTGATTGGATTTCTGGTCTCAGCTGAGCGATGTATATTGCTAGGGTCATCAGCCACCATTGCCGTAATAAGCTAATGTGGAATGCTTTGGGAGTATGTGGCAGAAGGACAAGGATAGCATGGCTCATTATTAGAGGATATAAGAGGCCCGAGCCGTCCTCAACGCCGGATTCAATACCAGTAGCAATAGCAGCTGCAGCGGCCTGACTGGCATGGAAATCTGTAACTGGATCGGATGAAATTGCCCAGGCATTGCAATGATCCAGGAGCGCAGCCTCGCGGTCGCGGAAGATTACCTCGAGATTCTGTTCCTGTGCGACAGCAAGAGACTCACTACAGAATCTGGTGTCAGTTCGAACTTTCGCAAGGATCTCGAGAATAGATGAGCTCCTGTAGGATGGCTCTTGTTGGAAGTAGGAAGGGTCGTCTGAGTATTTAGAGATGTCATTATCGTGATAGCAGGTTGCGGCAAGGGTAAGAGCTTCCATCACAACAACGCTGCTGGACATTTTAAGCCCATAAGCAAGGTGTGTCAAAGGCTGGCCAGCTGTTGGGATGTTAGATAAGGACGAGTATTTAAGGAAATGAAAAAAGAAAGACTTACCACTGGCTGTTATTGAACTGATCAAAGGCCCTTCCCCAGTGAACAGGAACTTATGCAATACTGATTTCCAGTCGTACCCTTCTTCAGCAAGTTGATCCTCAAAAAAATCCAAAAACGCCCGTTGATATCTGGAACGAGAGTGATTAGCTATTGCATCATAGTATTGAGAATAAGAACCTATCTAGGTACCTACTCTTTCTTCCCTAAATAGTCCCTCCAATCAACGCCAACAACCTCGCCGGGAGAATCTTTCCAAGGTCCAAGGGTTTTGGATTCCGATTCATATAAACTATTGAGATCGTTCTCATTAGCTCCGAAAAGAAATGCAGATATCAGAGCCTGGTATAATATTCGCATTAGCTCATATCTAGCAATTTTCAATGTTGCCGAAAGGACATTCAAATATGTCTGAGAGAAGAAAGAATCATACATGGGCAACGTTGTTTTGAGATATACTGAGTCCTGAAATAGGTGTGTTATTGTGCAAAGCATGCTCGGCATGGTTCAATTTTAGTAGGTGCTTCAATGATCGTCCCGGTTTCTCAACGGCGTCTTCCACGTCATAGATTTGAACAGCTGGCACATTAACCGACTTGGAGGATCTCGAGCCGAATATTTGAGAAATAAAACTGGTCATTTTCTTCCTTTATTTTTGGTGAAAACGATGAAGGCTTAATCGGTTTTTGGGTGCATTTGCCGAGACTTCAATGATAGTGGTGTATTGCTTGGGGCAAATGGCTGGTACACAATCGGACTTTCTAGGAGAAATACGGGTGGTATCGGAAAGGAAGAGACGGTGTAATTGGATCTATGTCAAATGTTTATCATCAAAACAAGCGATGATATATGAATCGTTGAAAAACAGACAGCATGAATATGATTGAATGTGCTAGTGATGATTGTTGGGGTGTGGGGAAGGCGATAGCGATAACGATAAGATAAGCCATATACACCTTACCGAGGCAGAAATTATATGAAATATTTTGTACAACAAAGCGTTGCAGAGATGGACGTCAAATGGTAATTGCACTGAGAAATAAGAAGTTCAATCGAGTAGGAACTAATTTTCCTGAATATAATTACACACGTGGAGACAGACAAATATCCAAAAAGACCGACTTGGCGCTGTTTGCAGCAGATACAAGACAAAATGCGGTGAGAACTTTAGCTGTACAAAGAAAAGAGTGTTGATGTCTGGAATAATTAATGCAGTCATGAGTCTGGAGGACTGACGTAAAAACCGGAAGGTGCTTCTCGATAAAGTAATGTAAAATTAGAAAAGAATCGCTTGAGGTTCTATAAGTTAGTGAGGCCACTGATTTCAAGAGAATGACATATGTCTGCACAGGCATCGGACAATGTTTTTCGGGCAGTCCATTGCAATTCGTCTGACGATCGATCGGCAGCTGCAACACAATAGCCGACATCACCTGCTCTTCGATCGACAGCCTTACGTGGAAGAGTCTTCTGCGAGACTTGTTGCATTGTCTCAACTACCTCCAGAACGGAATGACCGTATCCAGTACCAAGGTTGAATGTGCGGAAGTTCTCGCGCAGTTCACCTTTCATGGCAACGCTAAGGGCAGCGATATGGCCCTGAGCAAGGTCTGTGACATGAATGAAATCTCGAACTGCCGTACCATCTACGGTATCCCAGTCGGTACCGAACATGGAAAGCTCCGAGTATTGACCGGTCATCACTTTGACAATGACAGGAAGAAGGTTTGTAGGAGTACAGCGGGGATCTTCTCCCAGAAGTCCGGATGAGTCGCAACCAATGGGGTTAAAATACCGTAAAGCAACTATCGTCCATTCAGGATCAGAAATGGCAAGATCAGCAAGAATCGCTTCACACATCCACTTGGTACGACCATAAGGATTAGTGATCCCAGTACAGCCGGGCTGAACTGTTGACCACGATTCTTGGTCAGTTTTGGTTCCTTCCGGTTTGTGAACACAAAGCTCTTCTTTCAGAGGAGCCCCGGATGTTGCTAGAGTTCCATATACGGTGGCTGATGATGAGAATATGAATGTCTTAATGCCGAAGCTTCCAAGAGTTTCAACAAAGCCAATTAAACCACAGACATTGTTGGAATAGTATTTCAGAGGTTGTTTGATACTGTCCTCAACAGCTTTGTAAGACGCAAAGTGAATGACTCCCGCTATGCTGGACTTGGGCGAGTCCCATGATAGTGTTCTGTGTGCTTCGAGAAGTGGAATGAGGGATTTTATATCTTGATAATCTTGCTTGTAGTGTTTTAGAGAGGGCATCGGAGTTCCCTGCTCTTCGTGATATTTGCTGGCTAACAATTGAATGCGATCAGAGACACTTTCATACGCGTTGCTCAAATTATCAATCGCAATAACATTATAGCCGGCTTTGAGAAGTTCCAGCGTAGTGTGGCTGCCGATAAATCCTAGACCACCTGTTACGAGTATGTGTTGATTGTGCGGTACTTCTCGTAAAAGTCTACCAAGACGGTCATCAAAGAATAAAGAGGACGGCGTGGCTGGAGTGCTGATGTCGTACGAAGGTATATCAAAAGTCGAAGAGCCTGCGTCACTCTGCGGAGGACTATTTATCTCGGCAAACACTATTTCTGACATGGCGAACGCAAGTAAGAAATGAGGGCTCAACTAGAAAATCCCGAGAACGTTACCATCCACATTGGGAAGTCATTGTTGATGTGAAAGCATTTGATAGTGAGGTTTATATAAAAAAAGAGAAAAACAATATATGATTGAAAGTATAGGTGTATTCACAATGTATGAGATACAGCCACGATGAATGATTCTAGTAAGGCCTTTGGCCCCTTGGCGATTATCGATTCTAGTGCAGCTATTTTCAAGTTACGCGGGAAATTTGGAAATCTAGATTTCCACATGCATAAAAAGAAAAGAAAAAGGGGCCTAACCGAGAACGAATCGATCAAGTAAAATAGACTTGATTTCCTTCGCACCCCATGCATTGGTTAGGCTACGAGTCACGTCTGTCACAAGGGTTCTGATACGTAATCCATATTTTTTTCGTGTTGGACTGTTTATAGCACGTCACACCCTTGTTTTTTCGACGTGAGACTGCAAAGAAAATCTATTCGAGCAAGCCAAAACTAACCTGTGGGGGTGAAGTCAGCCCTGACCTGAGCTCTACTTTCTACCCGATATCCCCGCTCAGCAAGTCACTCTATTGCCTTCATCTACACTTCCGTTTATTATGTTCTACCATGGACCCCGAGAAAAATAAGCAATTGGGTCAACGAAGAAATCGGCGTTGCAAGTTCGTCTCTGGGTTACTTGTAGCTATTGGAATTATTGCTATTGTTGTTCCAACAACAGTGGTAGAAGTCCTGAAGCACAAAAAGTTAGCAGATATGGGCCCAAAAGCTAAAGTTTTTGTCCCTCTTTACGTTTACCCGTCGCCCGGCGCATGGGGTCCCTTGGAACAAGTGTGAGTCGAGTATCCTCGCTTTGTTTTGCCTGTTGAACATCCTACCATGTGTTTAATGTTACGTGATTCTCATTAAAATCCCGTTGTTATGTTTAGTTCGGGGAATTTAAATTAATACAGCAATAGTGTGGAAGCTCATCCGGACCTCAACTTCACCGTTGTCATCAATCCAGGCAATGGGCCTGGACCAAACGCCCTGCCTGATGCCAACTACACGCGTGAGATTCCTAGACTGTCTTCGTACAGTAATGTACGCTTAATCGGATATGTTGCCACCACATATGGTACCCGAAACATTTCTCTGGTTAACAAGGATATTGAGACTTATACCTCCTGGCCGACACTGAGCAACAACGCGAACCTTTCCGTCAGTGGAATTTTCTTTGACGAAACACCCCAGCTGTTCAATGCCAGCCACCAAGAATATTACGAAGAGCTCACTGCACTAGTGAAGCAAAGCAAGGGGCTAGGCCCGGATAACTTTGTGAGATGCCTTTATTTATCTTTTAGATATTTTGATACCATACCCACTCTTCTTTTCACGTCCACAACGAGTCCCACACTGCGCCACCGCCTCTTTGTCTTGGGCCATTTCTGGACTTTTTAACAATATTGATTACTCTCAGGTTGTACACAATCCCGGATCCGTACCCGATTCTCGGTACCTAGCCACGGTGGATTCCACAGTCGTCTTCGAAGATACCTACGCCACCTTTCTCCAGCGTAACGATGACCATGTCTTCACTCAAATTCCGAATTTCAACCGGAGTACCATATGCACAATTATTCACTCCATTCCGGAAAACGTGCAGGATGCGGAATTGAAGAGCCTCGTTGGGGATGCACGCAAGGTGTCTGACGAAGTTTTTCTTACTCACCTGGATACGGGTTACTACTCTAGCTTTGGCCCGAATTGGTCGGGGTTTATTGATCTGATGGCATCTGATTAGGAGGGGCATTAAGATGACTAGTTCGACTTTGCCCCTGGTCTGTTTTGTTGTGTAGGTGTATTAGCCGATGGCCATCATTTTGCTATATGACAAGGATGCAAGTATGTATGATCATCTCCGTGATTAATAATTATAGTTATACAAATATTATCCGTATTTATTATAGTCGATACAAAATCGGGTATTATCCTATGTCGTCCTAGATCTTAAGCACGTTGTTAATGTTCATCTATGACGAATAGCTATGGGGATGCCATGGACCATGTACCACCATGGGCCTGTTTTCTACCCAGGATGAACCATGTTGTACATGACGAAAACTAAATATAGAATTTGTCTAATATTTGAAATCAAAATTGGGGCGTCCTTCGGAGTTAACGGAACGTCGATTGTTCCTGTGTAAAAGTACTCGTATCAGAAGTATGTTTTGTTGTGACGTATCGCTGAAATGGTAATTACATATACTGTAATTTCACGACTCAAACATGGAACCACGACCCAACTTTCTTTTGTTGAACTGGCAAGGAGGACTTCCATTTATGGCAGTACTTACTGTATGGAGGATCCACAACAAAGAAGGTACAGAGACGTGGCGCCTCATTCTTTTACGGTTTGACCACCTGATCTTGGGATATTTCATTGAGAGCGGGTCTATTTCTATTTACATCTCTTTTCTTTTTCGCCAATACGAATGAGCTGCATGATGCAGACTCCCCGAGTTTCCTTACCGCTAATGATCCTTGTTTAATATCTTATTGTATTATTACCTATGCAAGGATCACGAAGAACAACATGAGCACAGGAAAAGCAATTACGTATTCAACTGCAGAGCACCGGCATTGTACCGGCGCCGATTCATCAGGTTTCAACCCAGGGCAGGAAAAACCCCCAATCGTGGCTCAATGATGCGGATATAACGTGTCATTGCATCATGGATCTCTGGCGTTAAGAGCCGAGAAATATCCTACAGGACGGGAGAACAAGGGAGTCTCCCATAATTTGGTTTATCTCCCCCTTTTCTTAGCCTTGTGTTTCGTAGAAAAAGGATGATTGGGTGGATGTATTTGCACAATTAATGTTAGCCAATGCCAGTACACTCCGAGGATGAATTTATCCCCGGTGGCTGTCAGCTCCTGCAAACTAATAATGGCATCGCGGCTCAAGCGGCTCAAGCGCCTCGTTGTCACATGTATTACGAAGTAGACTGACTCCGATTTAATATGTAAGAGCACGGGTCGGTCCTTGTTGATAACCAGAGGAACTGGGTGTATTCGTCTGCCCTGGCTTTCTATAGTAATTATTCAAAACAGCCTTGTCAGCACTAGCTTGTAGATGAACATTGCTATTGGTGTGGAGCTAGACGATCATTTAGTGCGTCTAGGGCTAATCGGAGTACTTTTAAGCTTGACTGCCATATACTTTCTGATTTGCTATAAATCGAGCGAGAGTTGTGGGGGCAGCCGGGATCGAGTATTGATGATAAATTAGATCTAGAATGTTCCCTTAGCCAGGCGGGATCTCGAGCGTCAGCAGATTTACACATTGCCACAAGTTTTAGGACTAGAAAAAATAGAGGTAGGGCGGCACACTGGAACCCTGAAAGTTACAGTGCTTATTTTGACTTGTTTTGGCTACGGTTAGCTGATTAATGCATACTATAACTGACACATTTTAAAGCCACACGGTCGTCAGGCTACTGATCGCTTTGAAAAGCCTTTGAAGGAACCACATATCGATCGACAGATTGAGGTTAAACCAAATGCCACCTAAAATCTAATAGCGAATCCCAGCAGGAGAGTGACAGAGCTCTGAGAATGTATACGAAAACGTCAATACATGCTGATGAATACGTGTTTCCATAGATTCGGTGAACTACAACGTAGTGCATATCCTTGTACATTTCCCGGAAAGGTGCATACCAATAGTGCCATTGTCTCACCCTTTCTCCCGTGGCAAGAGGAATACTGAAAAGTTTGAATGATGCGATTTGTAGTACGGAGTAGTACATCGAAACACCGCATCAAAATATATACGGCCATGATTAATAGCACATTAAGACAGGAAATAGATCTCCCGCTTAATAAAAGTGAGTTCTGTACGTAAACTCAAAATGCTAGTTGACTGCATGGGCCCTTCCAGCTGGGGAAGAATGACGAGCAAACAACTGGGTAGTTACAAGATCGGCGACTCTTGGCTGCATGAACCCCCCTGTTCAGACGCGCAAGCCCCAATCAATTTCGAAGAGCAGAATAGTATTCATGTCAAGACAATGGTTTTAGGCTCCAAATACGGCTTCTTACAGTTTCCTCCGCGTAGTTGTCTAAAGTGTTATGCGCCGATTGCGGACTGCCAGTCTCAAAAATAATTGCATCTTATTAATCATGAGAGAAAGGCGCGTTCTGCGTATGCGATGAATGATTCGATAGGAGTTAGGGACGGGATAGTACGTAAGCGCCTGACTGTATTTTTTTGTGTCTCTCCAATCACCCTTCCCCAGATTTTTGTCCCCAGAGTGTTCTTGCTCTCCCGTAATATATGCTTTTGGAGAGGTGATTACTAGTTATGCATTATAGGCTTACTTAAATTGTCTTTTAAGGTTTTAAAAATGTAAGGGCGGAATTTAATACCAAGCTGGTCCATGCTTGTGGCTTTTGTGGATCTGTCAGTGCCTAGGATTTGGGCCAAAGAAATGTACAATCTCGCATATTTTTAACCTAAAGAAATCCGGCTACCGATTTCCTTGCCGGGGAGATATCTATTGAAGCGCATGACCCGAAGGAAGCTTTATGCTGTGCTCTATGCAGATAATTCTCCTGGAATATTTCAGATGGACGTAAAAATACTTGTGTAACCTTGAGGCTATTAGACGCTGGTACTGTCTTAAAAATCGGGTTGATTTAATTCAGGCAAAGTGATGACTGATGTTCAATGCGAGGATCAATTGGGTTCTGGCTAATGCAAGGCTTCTCTCACTTCGCGTCATTCGCGAGTTCAAAGTTTGTCTCCTTCATGCTCTCGCTTATGTACGTGGAAAAAGCAATGAAAAATTTTAAGGCGCCATCACAATAACAGCATACACATTTAGTACATATGTAACACTCGGCAAACTAAATAGCTGATTACATGCACATGTACTGGACAGGATGCATATTGCGTGAATTTTATTAATCTATTCTTCCCACCTCGAGTCACAAGATGAGCTGGTTCTTGGTGAGCGGCTGGTACCCCTCTGAATGTTTCCAATTTTGGCCACATCCATGCCGTTTGTCTCTTTTTTTGCTTTTGAAAATATTTCCGGATTGAAAACAAAATCGATTTCGGAAGAAAAAGCCGATGGCTTTGTTCGGCTTCTTGGCATTTTGTTACCATGCGTATTATATTTGCATTAGGGTTGTATGGCGAACCGTTAGTACTTTTGAATGTATACACTAGAGCCCAAAGCGTAGGGCAGCTATCCATTACAGACTATCACATTTCAATGTAACGAGAGTTAACCTTTCGCTTAACCTTTGATATGTCAAGTTTCTGGATATTCCTTGCCGATTGAGTTGTACATGTCGTGAATGATAATCCTGTTTGTTTTGTAGTCTCATTATTTACAACAAAAAGCAAAGCAATCATTAGGTGTAGTAGAATATACAGTGAAGGAACATTGGATCGACATTGTGACAAGATGCAAATTCTGACTCAATGAATCTGATCAGCACAACTGGATCCAATTGTCAAGGTTCATGTTCTTGATAATGGTTGAAAAGTTTTTAGAACCTTTAAAATTACATGCCGCATTTTTCTGTGCAGTGGTGACTAGTGCGTTGTTGTCAGTATCTGTGCCTTTGGGATATTCGATATGAAAGACAGGTTTGTTTGCGTCGGTAAATGGGGAAAAAGTATCGCACTCGTTGAATTGGGCGCACTGTTCGTTGACGGACCATTGCATATTGTCAATGACACTGTCAATAATTTCCCCCGCGTTCTTTAGCCCAATCGACATGTTGCGTGAGTGCGCCTCAGCAGCAAGAAAACCAAGATAGTTAATTGAGTCTTGTTTGGTAAGGCCCAGATCGTTCTCCTCGTTGTTATATCCGTCCACATTGTCAGGATCGACCCCATCACAGCCTTTGTCCTTGGCCATGTCAAGTCGAGTCTTCATAATGCTTCGCACGTTTTCTGAGCTGATGTTAAGCCATTTTTCATTTGGCCAGCCATTCAATGTCCCTCCCAAATCTGTTGAATTATTGAATTTATCAGCATCAGGTCGCCAGTTTTCCCAGCTACCTGCTGAGAAATAACAAATCACTTTGCGGCCTTCTTTCTGGAGGCTTGAGATCAAGTCTGCTCCGCTGTTGAACAAGTCGATGTCGTAGACTTCAACATTAACGGAGGTGTCATTAAGCGTGTAGAGAAGCTCGATTTGCCAAGTTGTGCCCGCAGTGGGTTTCCAAAATGCCGTGTTATTGCTCGTTGGTGTAGTAGTTGGTGCTGGTGCTGGTGCTGATGTTGATGTTGATGTCGGTTGGCTTTCTTCTCCTGGACCCCCGCCGTTGTTAAGCCCTAGACCAAGTCCAACTCCAAGGCCGACACCGAGAGCGATAATTATTAGTATCACCAAGACAAGGATGAAGAATTTCTTCTTCGTGGACCATGATTTCCACCCTTTGGAGGCGATGAGGGCGCTGGGGGGTGACTTATCCGTGTCGCTCATTGTTCAAAATAGTTCAAGAAAATGGTTTAAATAAGAATAAAAGAAACCAGGAACACTCGTGAAGAAAGATAAAGAAGGATGTGGAGAGAGACGGCTAAAACAATCGATGTGGCGGATTTTCTCGCATATTGGCACTGATGTTAACAATTTAGAAAAGCAACTCAAGGTTCGTGAAATAATCTCTCTTGAGAAGATGGAAGCAATGGCGTTATTGTTGCACTGAATGAAGTCGAGTCAGTCGATCATAGACAGGCAAATCCTACTGTTGGCCAAGCCACGAGGTTGGGCCAATTTGAGCTTAGTCACGAGTTGGAGGCTGACACCAGTTTTAGGATCAGCACCAGACGATATTATTAGGCTGCCGAATTATTTTTGCGGGCAGCGCAAGGGCGACAAACAACACAAGCAAGACAAAGGGGAAGGCAAAACTCAGCCGCTGTGGCTTGAAATTTGAGCCTAAAAGCGAAGTGAGTATCCAATCATGAACGTTTCTCCACCCAACACCACTTTTTTTTAGTACATAGGTTCTATCGCTGCATCGGCGGCTATAGAATAATACGAGTCATAAATTTGGAAAGTATATACAAGGAGGATCCTTGGGAAAATGATGACCTGACGCTGACCAAACTACCCCAATCTGTTCAACATGAGTTAGTCAGCATGATGGGGGTTCACAGGCGTTTAAAGTGTATCGGGTGTCAGGAGAACCAAGCTAGTTTCAACCCGGCCAAAAAAGACTGATTATGTGATTCTCCAGCCGGCTTCACTTAGCTGGGGGGATTTCCACTTTCCAACATTGACTCTTCGAGTGCTTTGTTCCTCGTTCAACGCCGGAGAAAGCCGAGAGGAGCGGGTCCTCACAGATTGTAGTTAGGAGGTGCCTTGATTGGGTTGCCAAGAATTAAACTATGCGGCTAACCAAACTTAAATCCCGCTGGTTCCGATGCCTTCGCGTACGTGTAAGTCTAGCGCGTATCGATAATACAGTATTCGTGCTGTACGGCGACTGGGTATCAACTGGCCAAGTGTGCTGCATCTGCAGACTGCAGTTAACCGGCCTTGTTGGCAGCAGAGCTAGAGTAAAAGTGCCGGTTGTTCTATAGGTAATCATTATAAAAAAACAAAAAGCAAAAATAGACTAGACTAGCTTCACAATATGCTCAACCATCCCTACGTCGCGCATTCGAAGAAACCTTCTCTCATTGCGAGGTCAATGCTAGATTTATGTCTCAGCTGAGATGCGTAATTCTCAAAATTGGTGATACGATGGACACATCAGTCGATACAGGTACATCCTAATCAATTGGGGCCCATTGTCTCAGTCTCACCCGATTTGTTTGGCCGAGACTCGGTTCAGATTATTTGTCACGGCAGAGTGACGAGTTGACTTTAAACCATGAAGACATGTCATTGAGAAGCAAGTAATTGTTAATATATGGTTGAGCTTGTTATTTATTATTCTGAATATTACATAGCTTCCGCTAGATTAATTTTCCAGACGTAAATCGAAACACGTAGGACCGATTTTCTATCTAAGAAGATATAGATAGATCTGCCACCTAAAGTGCGATAGGTGTAGAAAATGTAAATGAGACCGGTGATCCACTAAGAGAAACCCAGACCGTAAGTGGATCACTGCCAACTTTCTCTGTCGTATAACCATTGGTGCTGGTGGGAGCAACAGGGAAAGTGACTGGAATCGGTGTGCCACATTTATTACTATTGGCTGTGACCGTAACACCGGTAATTCGATTGTTCGAGATTGTGTAGCTCAGACCGTAGCCACAAGCATCCCGAGCCATCCGTTTTGCAAATTGATCAGACATCTAGACGAGGAAATTAGTAAATTCTGAAAACCACCACCTACATAAGAAGTGATATGAACTTACGTCTTGATGTTTCAAGGTAATAATGGGCCAGTTGACCAGACGAACGAACTCCTGGACCTGGGTTTCAACCCACGCTTGGAATATTGAGATCTTAGCGGAAACTCCATTGATTATGATGTTGCTAACATCCGAATTGCGGAGGTTGGCCTGGTGAAACATGTATGGTGCACGAGAGAGCTCGAAAAGGTGGCGCATGGTATCGGCCTTCTCCTGTGCTAAAAGATCATCAAAACCGCCGGAACCAGCAGATGTGTTAATCCACTCTTGAGTAGTGCAATTAGGTGTATCACAGTTGTAGTAAATTCTAGTAGCCCAGCGAGGGTTTACCTGCATGCCGGTGTAGCCGTCAGAATCAAAGTTTGTAATATATGGCCACATTCCGTTTTGCTGGTTCACCAATGCTGGGCGTGTATTATCACCAACACAATTGGTAATATTTCTAGCGGCCCAAGCTTGTAAGGCGTCACCGTTGTGCAGACCAGTTATAGCAGGTGGAATAATTCCATTTGATGTGAATTTGGAGCTCTTTGAGATGGCAACCTGTTGCAACCAAGCTTGATTGAATGAGATTTCCTTGTATACATCAGAGTAAGTAGCATTATTTTGTTCCTCATGAGTGAATGTGTGTGATATAGTGGCAAATGAATCACGGTTATTAACATTAGACCACCAGGTCTTCAGCGGATCCAGATTTGTACAGGCCACACTCCAATCATATGTTGTAGGAGTGCTAGGCCATAGGTTTGTGCCCGTTCCGGGAGGCTTCTTAAACTCGAGAGGTGTATCTGGGACATCCCCGTACTCAATGCCGCCACCGTTACAAGTTCTCTCGTTGACATCAGCACCATACTCAATATTTCCATTCCCGTTGAGACCTGTCTCGGGGAAATAGTCGCTTCCAGGGTTCATTTTGGCGTTTATTTGAGGGATCCATGCCTTAATACCATCCAGGTCAGCCGGCAGAATGCGGAAAGTGGTACCATTTGGTAAGTAGATGTCCGTCTCGAGGAACATGTCGTCAATTTGTGTGTTCAAGTTAACGCGGCGATAACCGGCATAGGCTCCCCTAGTAATCCATGTGATCCATGCATGCTGCAAATAGTTGGATGTAGCGCTCCAGGTTGTGTCGAGAGACGTAAAGATAGCCATTTGTTGACGACCAGCGAAATTGCTAATTACAGCAGCAGTGCTGGTTCCTTGAAACTGTCCAGCGGAGTCGGCCGCAAACTGGGCGATCTCTTTAGTGGTGGAGTTATCGGAGATGGTTGCTGGATAATGGTATAGGCCTTGAGTACTGACCCCAGCACCTGTACGAAGACCAGCTGTAGGGAAATCGGTCGAATCTGTGAAAGAAACCAATTGCTCAACTCCCGCATTACAACAACTACCGAGAGCCGTTGCTCCAAACGCAGGGCCTGGATATACATCATATTGAACCATCCGAACTCCATATGTCAATTGGTAGGAATAAAGTTGGTTCCATTGGTCGGTAGTCAAAGCACTTTGGTATCCAGTTGTCCCACCGTAGTCATAGCTGACCTGAGAAGCAACAACAATACCGCCGAAGTTACCACCGGCACTGGTATTTAGAGCCGGCAAAGCAACTCCTGCTTGAGGAACAATCAAAGTCCTGAATGGTATTCCATATCCATTTAGCCCGGAGCTGGCGGTGGCCGCGGAGCTACTATCACCGGCAATAACAAGAATTGTTGATAACACAGTGGTAGCTTCTCCTGAGGAAACAAACCAGGAGGCGATTGCCAAAGTACATGCCACAAAGTGCCTGGGAAACATGATATATTTTCAAACGCGTAAGTGACGGTAGAAATTTGCAAACAGTGTACAGAAGGGAAAAGTTGAGACCCTGGAAAGAGCACGATGAAAACTGTAGACTTTAAAAGGACGAGTAAACAAAAATATAAGCAACATCAAAAAGAAAAAGAAAATACTGGTTTTTATGGAAAGCTGGTGTTCACATTTTGGCTACTTTCTCAATATTGCATGGTACACGTAATCTTCATGAGGGTTGCTGAATGAGACGAGGAGGTGTGTTCTGATTGAAAGTTTAATTAACTGTATTTTAAAATTCGGACAGGTTTCCCAAGGCCCCAATGAGGTGTATTCTGGCCGATATGGGTACCGACATGACCACTATTCTTACCCAATTGTATCAAATAGTTAGATGTCATGCTGAAAATGGAGTGACTGAGTTTACCAACTCACAATATAACACTCTATATTATTACTGCCACACTCCAGGGGTTATTGACTCAGATCTCTGAGACCAAGTCAAGCCCCGGCAGAAATTCTGGCCCGGTGACCATTTGACATGAATAACAACTAATTTGCGATCTTCGCTTTCTCGTCAGCCACTAGCAGTTCATGATTGCCTTTTTAGGGTGTAAGGCTATCAGTCGTTTTCTAATGTTTGCAGGAAAAGCAAACTGAAGTTTTATACATGGAAACCTAGTTAACAATAGAATTAGCGGTGTTCTTAAATTTCTCAATGTCTGTGTAAGAAAAAGTTGAAGGGAAGGAAAAGAGGTATTAATGAAACGATGTTGTGACGGTTACACTAGCTTGCCATACGTGTCATATTTCGTATCGTATTCTTACATAGAGCGATTTGGCGATCGGATAGGTGCATATCCAATATCCCTTTTGATCATACACTCGAGACGCCACAACCCCATGTCACAATCCTACGGGGGGAATCCATTCTAGCCAAAATACTCGATGGCTATTACTGTGGGGCTACTCATTAAGTCCGCCTAGACTAGAAAAAGGCAATAGCTGGGACGATGGGGACGATCTTAGTACAAGCAAGGTTAAGCTACCTCACCTGTACGGCCAGCTCACTAATAGTCCTTACAGTTTCTCCAACTAACGTGGCTCGTAATATTGATGCTCACATACTCCGTAGTTGGTTAGGATCAATTCCTGCTTACGCTTAGACCCGCCGTAACGGAACATTTCTTGCCATGTGTTGCGACCCGTGCGTCGTGTATTTTGTTGACTGGGCTATGCTATCAGATAATCAAATATTGTCGACGAGTCAGAGTCGTTGAGAGGTATTCCGCCTCAATGACGGCGTCTTGCGATGAACCACTCTGAAACATCATATTTTTGCCCCTGCGTATTTGAACGCCGACCCCTTTCTTTTGTCTACTCAACTTCGCACCAACTGCTGGCTGGGCAACATATGATCTTGCAACAAAAAAAATGGAACCAGGAAACTATCTTGATTGATTTTTTGTTCTATTGGATAGGCCCGACCATCCAATTAATAGCCATCAATTGTCGAAAACAATGGCTCATATTGATGTAGCGACTCCAACTTCATGGAACCAGAACCATAGAAGTTGGTGGCAGTTGGTGAGTTGAAATCATGTATAATACATGTCTGCCGGAGACTGAATTGTGGTACTTACATTTTATCCAGTTTCTCGGTGGTCTTGTTCTGGCAGCACTAGCTTTGGGGATTTTTTGTATTTTTTACACGGCAATTGTGCGGCTACTGCATTTCTGGAAGGTAAGCATTCTGTGACGTGACCTCTGGTATCAGCATAGTGACGATTTTCAAGTCTCGTAAACAAACGGATATTATTCCAGAAGGTCTTTCTAGGCAAATTTCCACTTTTCGACAACAAAGCCTAGGTCTGATTGCTCCTCCGCAGGCAACTGGACGGCCTTCATCGTTTGGAGTTTACCTGGGCACATTCAACGACCCACCAACAGAATCGCAATTAAGACTTTTAACACAACAGGATCTTTTAATAGTAGATCCATTTGCTCAAGGAGTCTCAGGTGCTATTTCTTTGACAGAAGGTGTTCGTTTTTTGGGACGGATAGATTTGGGAAATCTTGGCATTTCCGAAAATTGCCCATCTGCGATGATTAGCTGCATCACAGCAGCTATAGCCAGTGGATTTCGCAGCACTAGGTTTACTGGTATTCTTCTTGCTACATTGGAGATCATAAAGAATAGACCGCTATTACATGGATTAGTTCATGCCATTGCAGACCTCGGCTTGGATGTATACCTGGAATGTTCGCCGCCACTGTTTCTTGAAAATCAAAAGCTATTGCAAGATGTTTGCGTTTCTGGGCTGGTTATCAGAAATGCTAGCACTCTATCCAATGGAGATAAGCGCGATTACTTCCAGTTAGCGCCTTTACAAAGCACCATAAAAGCATTTGTGGGAGAATCATGCCTAAGGGATTTTATTGTGATGGCGTGGGAGACGGTCGAAAATGATACAGTCTTGTCCAATGCTGTTATCCGAAGAGCACTTCAGTGGTGCAACTTCTATAGTGTTATTACATGGATTGGTCCGGAAAGAGCTCTAACAGATGCTGATGCCAACACTCCTACGGTGGAACCCCTGTCAGCATTTAGTTGGCTGAAAGAGGCTGAAATCATGTCTGTTCATCAGGAATGGAAATCTAACGCCAAATTGAACGTGAAAGCGCGTCATTATCCCGAATATGATGAGTTGACCATTTTGTTTCCACAAATCGAAAGTCTTTTACAAACAAAGGAATACCCTCTAGAAAATACCAGCCTCCTCTCGGCACTAGTGCATCCGCCACAATTCCCTCAGGGGATACGAGCACCAGGCGATGCGTTATCCGTGTCCCCACAGGGAGCTCAATACACTCGATTGGGTTGTTTTCCTCTAGGCTGTGACGTGACAGTCGCAGCCTTTCACGAGATTGTAAAATCGCAACAACAGTTACATCGCTTGGATTTGTTGCATCCTGTGCCCTCAGACAATATCAAGAACGCTTGCATTTTGTTGGGCAATTTTAAAAACCAACATTTGTTAAAGTCCCAGAACCAATCTCCTGCTGTCTTGACAGCAATCGAAGAGTTTTTGGACCTGTCTTCAAATGGACAGGTGAGAATTAACCTTGGTCTTGACTCTGGCTTTCGCAGAGATAATGAGAACCGATTTTGGGCTGTCTATGCTACAGAATCTGAATTTATTGACATATATGTGTCAAAAAATGCTCCTGGGCTTATTGGCACAGTTCTACACACATTTCTATCTTTCAAAGGTCTGTCTCGTAGCATTTGCTTTGAGATAGAAGCCGTTTTCTGCGAGTGGTCAAAGGACCTTGGAGGTATAATCGGTCTCCCACGCCGCCTAGAAGTTGATATAGAGAGTCTTAGCCCTTCAGAAAGCCTCCAATATGCTCGGCATTTATCACTTGTGGGTGAATCTTCCGATGTGGCCATGAAAATATGCACTTGTATTAAACGCAGCCTCATTGAAGTACCGACAAATTCTCAGCTCAAGAAGCTTAATACGTCAGGTTACCTCAGTGGAGAGATCACAGTCGAGGAGCTAATTGAATCCCGAATTGCCTGGTATCGAATTCAGCGATGTGAACATCCTTCCTTGGGACAGTCAACTTTACTTTTCCTGGCCTTGGACCAAAACTTGTCAGAAATTCTGAAGACTCGTCGTGAGAATGATTTGGCAAATCTTGGTGCAATCATGAAAGGATTGTTTCGTCAAGGTACTATCGATGCATTTGCAGATATGATTTTCTTATCCATTTTTTGTGCTGTACGGAAATACGCATTTGATGAGATATATGTTGATGTCACTGATCGCAATCCGCTTTTCAACACCCAGAGTGACCAAGCTGCGGCTTTTGCCGAATCATTTGCCCTTGGCTCGCGATGCGAAGCCTATTTCGATATGTCTCCAAGTGCTTTTGGTACGCTTCTTTCAGATCGCTTTCGCGCCTATTACGAAAAGCACCCCCCACCCCTCTGGGTCAATGGGGCTCCTGAGCTGGCGACTTCGTATGCTGGAGCACAGATTGACGTCGACCCTGATGACAATGTGAAACGCTTGCCTGTATATCAGCAAGTTACTTTTATGAGCGTCTTTGCAATTCCTGCTTTGATAGATATTCTCTTGTTGACTTTCATTGGTCGAGGTATCTATTTATCTGATACAATGTCTAGCGAGGACCTGAAGATGGCGACTACTGCCCTAATGATCTCTCTCCTACTATCGGGGGCAATCGGCACCTGGATCTCCATTGGAGGCACATACTATCTCATCTCGATGGCATTTTCTGCAATGAATATGTTTGTCCTTACACGACTTGTTGCGGGATTGGCATTTACATTTCTCGCTGGGTTGGTGGGGTTTATCACTATATCTTGCGTCCAGGGTCCACGAGAAGCAGTGATATTCTTTCTTTACTTGTTTGCCCTCACGGCATACTTATCACTGTTTGCCACGCTTGCTTGTTTTACTTATCCCGGCACCTCATTTCTTTCGGGAAGAAAAGTTATCTTACTATGCTTGCCGACGCTTTTTTTATCCCCGATAATAACAACTTTTGTGGGCTACGATGCATTAGTTTACCTTATTGTATTATTTTGTTTCATAGGACTTCTTTTCGTCGGTGTCAGATCTACTGCTGCAAATTGGGTCACATGGTATCAAAATATCCGCATCACAAACGACAGTGAAATTAGAGAATGGTACATATCGGAATTTGCCAGTGATTACCAGGGAGGGTTGAAGAAACTTAGTGACCCAGCTGTCTTGAAACTTGCTCGGGAAATTCTGCTGCGCTCGGTCATTGCTGAGAAAAAGAGAAGTGTTTTCTCCCAGTCGAAATCAGTGAGCTTAGTTCGGGAGCTCGCTAGAGACTGGGACTCCACAATCTTTTTGATTAATTGGTACTGCCGTTATGCTGATGTGGCTCGTCCTATCCCATTCAGTTCAGGGTGGAATATTCAGTGCAAGGTGGCACTGGATACCATACGCAATGCACAAAAAGGCATCCGTTTGCATAACGCATTTAACTTGTGGAGACAGGCAGGACAAGAAATTGGATGTGGAATTCTCTATTTTGTCATAGCCTTGCTTGACAAGTGGGTTGACCTTCTGTGCGGTGGCCAGTTAGTTGGTCTTGCAGCCGGACCTCATAATGAAGCTCGTGTTGCAATCGGCCTTGGACTTGCATATTACTTGATTGGAGCTGTAATCATTGATATTAAGGCACAACACCTACACTCACGCCTTGAAAAGACGTCTGATGCTATTAGATCTGTGGACGAAATTAGACTCCGCCAGAAAGACGAGGTGAAAATAAAGCGATGGGCATATTGGGTGACACTTGTCAAGTTTTTCACTTGGCATATATGGACAGTGGCTCTCACAGGGTCTCTTGTCTGGTGGTTTGGGGACTCGTTAGAATCCGTGATCATGTACTGCGCTTATGTCTTTTCATATACGGGGCTTTTATGGTACCAGTATACGAAGATATTTGCTGGGGGATACGTTTTGATGCCGCTCTTGATTTCCATTACCATCGGACTTCCGGTAGGAATTTCTCTCCGAATTTTACTTCCGAAATTTGCTTTTTCAAGCGTCATCGGCCTCGCTGCAGCAACTTGGTCTGCGGCTCTTCTCTCATTGTGGATTGCGAAGATACGAATGCCGAGAAAGACCCAAATGCCTGCACACTCTAATCGAGCTTTTCATGCATACTTTACTCCTTGGTCAGATTGTGAATGGTCTCAAGAAGAGCTACAATCATTCTTTGAGGTTATAAATGCTACTCCTCAGAGCTCGCGACTGCTTCTAAACCCACATTTCAGCCCTGGATCTGACATAAAGCTATTCTTACAACTACAACAACCCGACGATAGATTTATGAAGGCCTTTCCAACATACGGGGAACTTGTTAAGAATGTCGTGGCGGCCTGGGAAAGTGAACGGATATCGATAGAGCTTGTCTTCCGCCATGAAATTGGCCCGGGGATTGCAGCGCTGAGTTGCACTGAAAATGGCCATTTACACATTATAATCGCCACAGATCGAGGAATAAGTTGTTATCCGGGGCTTCAAGGTCCTATACAGATAATTGCCGAAACTTTGATCCATGCGGGAGCTGAATCGTTTCTCAAGATTCCCCACGAATACGCTCTGTTTGCAGAGTCATTTGTTCGTACCAGTGTTTCAGAGACATTATCACGTCAGCTGAGACATGAGCCTGACAAAACATCTATTATCAAGTGGGCTAATAATGAAATTATCAAGCAGTTGTGTCTTGGCTTTAATCCTGATATTCATTGGGATAAACTGTCGAATGAAATACGAGTGGCATTACTTGAGCGATGTCTCGAAAAAGAGAGTACACTTTCATTCGAGCAATGGAGGTGGCTCGAGAAGAATCTTTGTCAGTTCGACACTCCAGATCTCAATGTCCATATTGCTAGATGCAATCTTTCTTGTAATGTGATGATTGATATCTTGAGATCCATCGACCAGGAAGGACCGACTGCTTCTAGTGCAAAATGGTTCAATGGTATTGATTACCCGACTGAACTTCGAATAAAACCGCCTAAACTGAACAGATTCTTCAAAGCATGTTGGTCAAGTGTCGCTATTTTGGTGAAGTATCTGGTGATGGCCATCATTGCGGAGCCTGAATTTCAGAGAGAGTTCGAGTATTTTACAAGAGGATCAAGTGTATTTTGGCGTGCCCCACTCACATTAATGATGAATATGCTATGGATATACTCCAAGACGGTACAAGATGCTGTTCTGAGGTGGTTCATATTTCACAAGCGCCACAACATCGAACGTCTCTGGAGTGAGGCCAAAGGGGACACTATCAATATCAAAAGAGACAGGGTGGTAATCCAGAATCTTGACAGGACATATACGGCTTTTATGCACCCAGAAACTGACGGGTTTAAAATGGATATCTACTCAGGCACACACAAGGTGGAGCCAAATGATTCAAAGTTATTGAAATATGTCAATATTTACAGTAGTGACATGCTACTTCAGTCTCGCAAGGAGTTTGCAAATGGTGATGTTCTCAACGAATACCATTACGACTATCGCAGCAAAAGCAAGAAAACCCTGTCAAAGGAGGGCTTGGTTAAGATTCCACTGAGTCGGCGGTGTGTGGAAGGTAAAAATTACCTTCAGGTTGTTCAGTACAACCATAAAGGGCTGGTAGAGGCAGGATCTTATATGAAAGACGAAAATTTAATTCGCTTCAAGTACCACTATCGCAGAGGTGCTCGATCTAGTGATGAACTGCTTCGCGCAGACTTTGTCTGGGATTATATGAGCTGCACTGCGTCTTGGTGCGCCCCACCGCGTCGTCATGCTCATAGTATTGAGCGATGGATCCCTCACTCCAAGATAACCGAAGCAACTTATGTTTACGGATCCGATGTGTACGAGAGCCGATGGATTTATGATCACAAATTCCACCCTACCATCTCCACTTACCTCAATGGACAGAGAGTTCAGACACCGCCAATGATTGAATTTGATCATCTTGATGTATTGGAAAAGCCTCAAAATACTAGTTTCGTGCACGACAACCCACTTTTATTTTGCGATAGCCTTCGAACAAGCTTTATCTCGCGATTTCTAGGTTTGACTAAAAGACGAACACCAACATCAACATCACGTGCTCGATCCCTCATCTGGAAGGCCTGGAAGGAACAAAGTGACTTCGACGGGGTGGTTGTTCGTTGGATAGACGAGAGATTACTTCGCGGCAACAAGGTTCTTGCGCCATATTGGCGAAGTAGGGACCGTGGAAACTTACTATCTGCAAGAAAATATTTAGAAAATCATGCCGATGCAGTCGTTGCCAGTGCTGATTTAGATGGTTCTGTCTCTAGTTGGACGCCTTTGGCAATCAAATTGGGTGATCTCTTCAACTTTGGCGCAGGAGGGGACGCGGTCAACTTGACTCGATCAAAACAACTTTCATTTGATAATGGAGACAAGCTACATATTCTTGCCGCAGATAATGGCACCTGGCCTAACGAAGGTGGTGGTGTGTCTGCGTGTCGTCGGGACATGATTAACGGCCTCAGGACCATTAAATGGCATATGATATCTGAATCAGCACACGACTTTGGTATTCCAAAGCACCAAACCGAAAGAAACATAAATTCTTTGAAAATAGTTCCATTATGGGGCTTGGACTTTCTCACGCCTACCCACGGCTTATTCAAAAACAAGCTAGATGCTGAAATCGATGACTATACAGACAGTGCTAGTGATCTCGATATCAAGATGAATTTCATTCCCATCTTAACTGCGATCGTCAAAAGTGCGCGAGCAATCTGCCTTTCTCATGCTGACGTTCAACAAGCGACAAGAGCGTTTGTCAATCTGAATACGTATTTCGATAGCTTCAGGCATTGGAGTCAGGTTTGGACAAGTGAAGTTGTTAAGGAGCAATGGCGTTATCTCTGGTTGATGCAAGACATGCCCAATGCAGTTCCTTCGCAGCAATGGTTTGACACGGAACTTCCTACGCTGGGACAATTAGATACAGCACTGGAGCTGTGGTATCGTTATCTCTTCATTTTCTCGATCCCTGTTCCCGAGGAGATTCCTCCCGTCTTCCAGGCTTCTCACCACAGTGTCAGTGCAACTTATGGCGTTGTTTGCAAGATCAAGAGGCAATGCACCTTACAAATTTGGGATCATGCTATCAGCTGGCGAGAGACCAATTTATGTCTCTCCTCTGCACTATGCAAGCTTTCACCCTTTGTGAGAAATGCTCTTCTAGGACTAATGAGAGTCACTTCGGTACTGATTCTCCATCATGCCGACATTGTTTCTCCCTGTGCAGATTTTTTTAATCCCGGCTGGGAGATTGAGATCGGCACTTGCCAAGGGACCCTGGAACACCGTAATAGATTCCGCAGAAAAGTAGACCCTGTTGTTAATGGCATTACCGACATGCAGAGATTCACTCCTGTGAATGAAATCAAATCAGAGAGGCCGACCGTAACCATGCTATCCCATGTGTGGTATGCGAAAGATATCAAAACTGCCATTCTAGCCGCTGACCTCATTATCAACCAATGGAGATTTGATGATTATCACTTGGACATATATGGGGCTATTGACAAGGCTCCAACATATTCTACAGAGTGTCAGGAGCTAATTGCTTCCAAAGGCCTCCGTGGTAGGGTCACCTTGAGAGGTACAGCAAACCCAATGACGGTCTTGGAGAACACCTGGCTATTCTTGAATTCATCTTTATCAGAGGGTCTTCCTCTAGCTCTAGGAGAAGCCGCATTAACAGGGGCACCTGTAGTTTGTACCGATGTAGGCGCATCACTCCGGGTCCTGAGCGATCCTGACGACTTCTCACGCTTTAGCGCTGTTGTTGCTCCAAATGATGCACAGGCGCTTGCCAGGGCGCAAATTCAAATGTTGGCTATGATGGGTGAATGGAGTCGCTTTGCCGAAGACACCGAGCCTCCCCCAATTCTGTCGTCCTCTCCTTCTCCGGATGAAGTTGAAGTCATTACTCGGAGAATGTACGATAAAAAAGAGCAGCGGAGAAAACTAGGTATGATGACGAGGAGCATTGTCCAGAAGTCGTTCAGCGGAGATAGGTATCTTCGAGAGCATGAACAAATGTTGTGGGTCGGCAAGAGCCTCAAGAAGAGTTTCTCACAGGGTAAAAATTTCCACAGTAGACCTGAGTCTGCAAGCGAGACAAGTCAAGCAATAACAGCGGTAGAAGAGCACATAATCACAGCTCCTCCCAACGCCATAATTTCAGGTCGATCATCAATGTCAGGAGTAGTGACACCCACCACAATAGCAACAGACCTTCCTCGCAACTCTACTTTCCGAGGTGATACTATATACTCCCGCAATAGCGGCACTCCAAGCCTGTCGTCGATGGAATCTAGCGCCAACCGTCATTTGCGTTTACCGGGATTTGCGCCGCCACGGGGAGGACTCCCTACAACACTACTTAACGAGAAGAAAAGGAGTCTACCAGCAAGATTAAGACGCGAAGATCTCCGACAGTACCGGAATTCTGATTTGAGTATGATTTTACGTGATGGTTTTTTGAGTCCAAATTCTAAGGGACGTGTGGAATATTGCTAGCCGTTACATATAGAATTTTATCTGCAAGTCTCTTTCGTAATTTTGATATTTTGCTTGCTTGACATGATAATCACATGAATTTCGGGAATATAAGCGAACATGGATGGTGAATATTCGCGTAATCAACGATTTCTAGTCTCTCGTAAACTTTTGCCCCGTTGCATAATTATGAGAAATGTGTTCAGATTCAAAGTCTTGCATTCTCAGTACGATATTTTGCTGAACCAGCGACTACAACGCAGAAGGTAACTGCAATATTCGTGCATATGTATATAAAATTAGCCTTTGATTTCAAGATGTTTCAAATGTCGGCAATATCTTGGTGTACATCTATGTGTACATTTCTAATACTAACAGTGAAAGTTTCTAGAGTACCACACATCTCAATTGCATGCTGTCACCATGTATGCTGCTCTCTATACAGTGAAGCCGCGAATATTTGACAATATATACAAATTCTCTATTAACTTGAATCAATTGGTATTGGGTCAGATAAATATATACTAGGTGAATCGCAACCCTAAATACGCGTAATCACAAAGATTTTTATTATCTATACTACACGTACCTATGCAGATGTGGCTAGACAATCCCACAGTGCTTCTGAAACTGAAAGCAGTCGTTCAAGCGTTAAAACCAATTGACCGACGGGCAGGGGCGGCGGTTGCATTAGAAGATCCGTACTTCAGAGAAAAGCTCACAGTTTCGACCGACTCATAGTCATCGGGAGAATTCTCATCACCAAAGATTTTCAGAGCTCGCAAAAGAAGATAGTAATCTCCGGGTTGTGCGAAGGTTCCATCGCTGAATTGACCATACCAAAACGAATGCCATGCACCTCGCCCCGTATCATAAGCCGGAAATGGGTCGATAGAGCCAGCGATATCCACACCGAGTACTTTTGTGGTCTTTATCGTGCTATTAGACTGAGTTGGAACCAGGTCGACGCGGAGAACCCGGCTACCAAATGACTGGATGGCTACCGGTACTGGGAAATCGTATTTGGTTTTCTCTTCGTCAGTGCTGTTTTGCGGTGGAAGAGTGAAAGCAAAACCGTCAGGTATACCGGAGACGTTGAAGTATCGCGATAGATAAACCCCATTATCAACAGTATCGAAAATATTTGCGTCTTTCAAATTTGATGCAACGCCTAAGTATGGCAGAGAGAGTGATTCACTGTTAGTGCCATTCAAAGTGATATACCCACCATAGACAGGGATACGGGACGCATTCAAGTCAGTTGGAGGTGTGGCAATCACCTCTACTGACGCGGACTCGCCTGCCTTAAGTATCACTTTGTCGGGGCTCAATGTCAGTTTCGCACTCGAGGTAACAATCTCAGGGGGTGCTCCAGGGGAAAAAGCTGATGGAACCGGGTCCCCATTAGAGGGTAATGTGTACACAGTACCGGTAGAAACATAATTAACCGCATAAGTGACACTTTCTTTACCAGTATTCTTGATCTCGAAGCTAGCAGATTTTATAAAGTGTTCAGTGTCATTAAACCCAATACTAGACACATTCAACACGCCAACTGTGTGTACTGCATCGTAGATATTGAGCAGACCACCACCTTGCTGAGCGATAGGAGCAAGATAAGGGTAAGTGGATTCGCCGTCGTTAAAAGATCTCGGCTTTGCAGTTGCGGAAAGCAGATTGTTTATTGTGGCAGGGTCTAGCTTATCACGAGTGTTAAGCAGAAGGGCAATAGAGCCCGCAACAAAAGGAGTGGCCATCGAGGTACCAGTTTCAATTTTGTAACCACCTAATTTAAGTGGGTAGGTAGACAAAATTGATCCACCGGGTGCAGCCACCTGGGGTTTGACCTCTGCTTCAAATGTTGGACCCCAACTCGTGAAGTAGCTCAGATATCCACCGGTGATATTGTTTACAGTTGATACAGCATACCAATTGTCAAATGCTGGGTTTGTCACGTTGATAGACACCGTAGACCCCGCGGCAAGAAGTTTCGTCCATTTTTTGGCAACATCAGTGCTTACCATACCAAATGAGTCAATTCCATATCCAGTTCCATTTCCAAAAGTCACGGTGCCCGGTGTGTCATAGTAGTACATGATATACTTACTACCAGCAGCTACAACTTTGTTCACAATACCAATACCAGCTGTGCAATATCCGATGTAAGGGATGAGTGCAACTTTTCCTGGAATGGATGGTATAGTGAAATTGTCACGGCAGGCAATGGTCGTATCGTTACTTCCTTGGAGGACATCAAACAATGGATAGGTCCCGTCTATATCAGCAGGAGTGTATGGAATCCAGCCAAATGATGATGTGGTAGTATTATCAGCTGACCAGGAAGCGTTCTGAAACAGAGTAGGAGTAACGGAATTATCAACTGAAGCAACCGCGGTGACTCCATGACCGGTAGCAGCCGCCGATATCATAAAAACTCCAGATGTGCCATCGTTGCCGGCAGCAACTGTGCAAGGGACACCGGCTTCCACAATCCGAGATACGGCAACTGCCCAAGGCTCTTCACTCCAGCCGGATTCAATGCCAATCGAAGCAGTAATAACATCGGCACCTGCATCGTATGCCATCATGAATGCTTGGATTAAGACGTCATCGGCCGTAGAGCCAGCGCAGCCAAAGACACGATAGATACCAAGAGTCACATTGGGGGCAACACCAGTAAAGTTGGGAGCAGTGGAGTTTGCAGCTATAATTCCAGCAACGTGAGTACCATGGCCTGCACAATCCATTGGGTCATCGCTAGGAACAGGGGTATTGGCTCCCGTGTAGTCATCGCCAACAAGATCTTTTCCAAAGCCGACTTTGCAACCCTTTCCAAAGCATCCACCTAGAGCTGGATGGTTGTAGTCGATTCCAGTATCCACAATGGCAACCTTTATCCCTTCTCCAACATACCCCTCAGAACGGAGCTTGTCTACCCCAGTCATTACATGTGTGCTTAAAGTATCTTGGGTAATGTCTGATTGTGCCGAATTTTCGACAGAGGTGAAAGAAGAGACTTGATTTACAGGATACCCAGCTGTCTCAGGCAATGAATAGGACCGCACTGGATGAATGTTCTTCACAGAAGGTAAAGATTGAATTGTCTGTATATTGACTTTCTCATTTCCAGAGTCATGAAGGTTGAAGGAAGCACCTTTGAATAGGGAGTAGTCTAACGAAAGGAATGGAGTTGCTGAGATCGCATGCTCAGACAGTGTTGAAAAGAAAGTATGCGAGGTCTAAGTCCCATTTTAAGTCATTTTTTATGATTTGTTGATTTCTCTTTGCGTTATGAGGAATTACATACAGTGGTTTCGTCCGCGAATTCGACAAGATATCTACCTGGAATATAAGAAAGTGAAGAACTGTTGGATATTGCAGCCACAGTTGACGAATGGAACATGCATGCTGCCAATGCAAGGAGCTTAACCCCGATTATCTCTGAAAACATGTTTATTTTCTTTCTTTACACAAGAGTAGGATCGTGTCTTTTAATGAATGATGTTTGACGCTTCACAATAGAGAGATGGAAGGATCGAAAGGGTGGTAGCAGCCTTCAGGCCGTAGTAGTATGAAGTGAGAACTTCCGAGAAAGAGCGTGTGCATAAATAGATCGAAAGATTAACTGACGGATCTAGAAGGAAGAAGAGACATCTGGAAGGAAGGTAGTCAATCTAGGAAGACAGATTGACTAGGATCACAGGAAGTTATTAGAGACTAAACTATATTATTTATACTGCCAAAAATTCTGTATGTCATTTTTTGCAGGATTAAGTGTTAACTCCGATATATTCCATAAACCTAGTTTTCATACAACGCCTCAACCTTGGATTTAGCGTTTGCTATGAATGTTGCACCCAAGTGCTTCCCTCAGGTACCTACCAACAGCATCCAGGCCGTTGGATCGTCGAGCGATGTCACGTAGCTGCCAATGTGCCTTACATGCTAGTCTTGGCGTAAGCGTACTTTGAAACAATTCTATTGTTGTAGATTTCTAGGCTTCCGACAGCTCCGTCAAAGACCAAATCAGGTGACAAATGTGCCGACTAAGATTCATCATTCCTCAAGCGCGAAATGAGAAACCTCATATATCCACAGAAAAACTAACATCTCGCATTTCTATAAATACTGGCATCGATTAATTTAAAAAGGTATGCATATGTAATCTGTGGTTGGCCTTCCATTCCAATGAAGTGGTTGTTCGAAGGAGTCTGAACGGGCATTTTATCGACGCAATGGTCAGTTCATGGTACAGTGGGATGTAGCACTGATCACGGTTGCGGGAGATTTGCTGACATGGCGTGAAATAGTGGACGCACGAGCTTTGTGGATTGATTGGCCCATTGCTGACTGCATGCGACGTCGTACACTGTATACACAATCAAGAAACTAGACAAGAACCTTATAGGATACAAGTCAACTAGAACAAAAACAATTAAGAGAAATAAGAGGATTAATTCCTTATCTAGAATAAGATCGAGGGAATAGCTATATAAATATTTAGTCGTGGGTTGCTAACTATATTGGTAAAGCCTTTAAATGTTGCATAACCACTGGCACTGCTATCGACGGACTATATAGTGGGCTTAACGACATAATTCGGTATTGTACATTCTTACATAGTGGCACAGCGAATTTTGATATTTCCACACATTAAAAATTATTATTGTGGTTTTATATGACAGTATCGATTTACAATGTGACACAAGGTTGAATATAGCACTACAAAAGTGGATTGGTTATAGGAGCTCTCCCCATATCAATATTAATAATATTTGAACTTTTTGCATTACCTATGAGTACCCCCCCAAGAAGCCTAAATTATTCTGACATAAATTGGTGTGAATACAGGTGAAAGACAGGTAGAAAATCTTCGTACTATATTCAAACTTTGGTATAGTTACTCAAGAGCTCCGATATTTAAACGGCCATGGGCAAGCCACGTGACTTGCACCAGTCGCTGTTTGTCATGTTTGCCCCCCCTCCGATGTACTGAGGACTTCCACACAACATACCAGGATTTTCTGGTGGCCACCATGGACGTACTTGCTGCTTATGGCATTTGAAAGGATACCAGCATCCTTGAGAGCAAAACCTCTTCTATTGAAGGCTTTCTTATGCACTTCTAGCAGCTCATAATGGCAGAACGAACCTCCATCTTCCTCCACGCAGAGTTGTTACCCAATATTCGCCAGCTGACAGTCCATGTCTCCCTACCGAGTCGTCCCGCGGACGTAGATCTTAGATCATCGACTATCACCCTCTCTGAATCACGCCGCGCGATCACAGTATACACTACTCGTGGGATTGATGATGAGAAACAAGAGTTCTTGGAAACACTAAAGTTACCAGCTCGAGTAGCTGAGTCGTCACGGCGGAATCTCAGCTTCGCGGGGCATCAAGTGGATACTCTACAAGACGCTAATAGTACAGACTACTCATTCAGATTGCAAGTCGATGATTACGACAACGCATCGAAGCTTTCAAATAACGGCTTGCACGAAGATGACTTTGTTCCATGGACCGCGAACGATATGCTGGTGCAAACGGCGCTTCATTGTCGATTCTGTAGGGAGCTAATTCTAGGATCTCTGGAACACGGCACGACGAAATGGACATGGAAAGATCTTCCTAGCGGTAACTGGGCGGAAATGATGGATTTTTGGCATTGTCACAAGCCGGACGTGCATGCGGATGAGAAAGACCAGCAAAGAGTAATTGATGACCAGAGCGCCTCTGTTAAGGGATACGGAGCTTCGAACCGGGTCATTGCTCTTACGGGCACGGTCCTTATCGATGTAGCGTCTTTTCTGGTAGCAGAGGGCGACTGCCAGAATATCAAGAGGGTAAGTTACAGTCGTCTGTCTATACAAGAACACGGCAATATATTTTTCATTCTCACATTGCACCTTTTTCTTCCTTTTTTTTTCCTCCAGTAGACCTTTCCCGATCGCTGGGAATATCGCATGTTTATCTGGGCATCAAAGAAAAAGGCTTCCTCGCTTCCTACGGTGGAGTCTTTGATACAAGTGCCCGACATGGAATACTTTCGCCACTGCCTGTTTCTCTGCATTCTATGCGTATCCCCTATAGGGAGGAAGTTGTCAACCTTGCTGATGAATTGGTGCGAATAATGGCACTGGTCACGAGGAGAGTTTTCGGCAGAAGATGACATGATATCCTCTCCATGCAAATGGGTGATGGATTTTATTCTCTTCCTTTGAATGCTTTTCCTGGACCATTGCCTCTTTCGTATGGATTGTTATCGAGTTTCATAAACTGACCGAGGGGTGGAAAGGGGCTTGGTTGGCGTTTCCTGTTACATTTCAAAGGGATCTCTAGAATGGACTTTCCAGTGATTGTCACAGGATACATAAACAATATTTTAGTATCATGATAGAAAGCATGTTCTATGTCAAATGCAATGCTTCCCTGCAGCTCTTATTATTCAGTGTCCGCTGCTAATCACATTCTGTGGAGTATAGTTCCAAGTGTCGGATGCAACGCCCCTAGCACCCTTGACAGCGATGACGAGGGCAAATATACAATGTAAGCAATGCGGGGTTGTTGTAGGCATGGAGGATCCCATGGCGGACGGGTTACGGCTGTACAAGAGTAATATATCGGTGCGACACCCCTCAGCATTGGGGCACCCAGAAAACCCAATTTTCGAGTCCTATGTTATGGACATGTTCATCAGCGCGCAGCTTCTAGAACTAATCAACCGGGAAGGGGTACGGCGATTTGTTATCCACGCTGGTAACCTGGACGGCCTTCTCGTACGTGTTTAGCCCTTGTATCAAGAAGAGAAAACCATTTCGCAGGAGATCGGCACTAACTACTATTACACAGGTATGGGCGTTCAATCCCGATCTGCGGTACTCGAGCGCGAGTGCAGATCATAGCATCATCACCGAACGAGCTATGAAAGTCTTATACCAGGCAGTGCCGAACGTGGAGAAGATTCTCGAGCCTGAGAAAGGCACAGCCGTCCCGCTTTCACTGGAGGAGCTGTACTTGCCTGCCACCATCTATGATGAGTTCCTGGACTCGCTGAAACGCAGCAATGGGATTCTTCCGGGATCTGCAAGGACATTTCGAGAATGGAATGTTGCATTTCTGCGCCGATACGAGCGAGTTCCGTGACGAATAGGAAGGCAGCCTCTGGCAAATGCACTGGCTCAGTCCCGTGCATATTGCTGCGACTATTGGGCAGGTGCGATATCCTGCACCGCGCCTTCCCTCACCCAAGCTTTCCTCCCGCGACTTGGCGAAGCTTGAATCATCCCTTGTCCCACGGCGACTACTTAATCGATGTCCACGGCTTTACCAATCCGCTCCGTTTGTCCTTTTTATCAATCTATCAATCTTTGAGCGAACGCCCCTGCCGACGATATGCCTAAAATCAACTTCCGATTCAAAAATCTGTTCTCGAGTGCAAAGATGTCTCGAGATTCAACTCGGCATGATGCCCAAAAGGTAGCCTCGTTCCTTCACGAGGACGAGGCGGTGACGTGGGAGCACTGGGAATATGCCCCTCCCAGAGTTCGAGGCTGCTCGTCTCAGCTGCCAGCGGGAAAGCTGGAGTACTCAGAGCTTGCAGAGTCGGTTACAGACTGTTTTTCGTTGGATTGTCCTTATTCATACCACATTGAAGATATCCGCTCCCCGTCTCCTATTCGCCCTGTGCCATCTCTCAACACTTCATTTGACATTGAGTCTGCCATGCCCAAGCCAATGGTTTCACAGTCCTCCTCGCCATCCGCTGACTCAACATACGATTCTTGGAGCAACGCAGACGAGGTCCCAACCCGGCCAACAAGCGCTGTTCTTCTACAGGACTTCCCGCCTTTGTTTAGGTGTCGTGATTACCCGGCAATGGGCTTTATCGAAGATGTTGTGATATTGGATTTGAACGATGATTATTCCTCAAATTGCTGCTATTCGAGTACAAACACCAGCAAAGACAGCCTCGCAGATTCGGTCAGCCCGAAATCCCATCCATGCAAGGAGTGTCTTGGATGCAAGGATGAGCAAAGTTGGTCTACTATTTTCTGCAGAAGCAGTGCATCGGCGCCGTTGATCCGGCATTCGGAACAGAATGGTTGGGTCTGATTGGATGGTGCGAGGTATCTGAACCCACACACCGAGGATCCTCACATATCCAGTCCGAACTCCCGCCTGCATTGTACACTTTAGCCTACGGGGAATATGATTTCTTTAGGCTGTAATGTCTTATTCCCGTTTATTTACTTGTCTAGTCAGTCGTGCGATACCTGATACCAATTTCCCAACCAATCGCTTTACCAACTGTGATTCTCTAGCTTAAAACACCGTCTTCTAATCCATCAGGCTGCAAAAGGTGTTTCGTATGGACGCTCTGCTTGAGGCGTAATACGGGCAAGATGACGTCGCTGGCCGTCGTTCCAGTCATACAGCGCCGAATGGGCGGTTACACGGTTCTACGCATATTAGCCAACGTGTCCAACATCGGGTCGTGATGTGAGACTTACATCCCAAACAACAACAGTTCCCGGGGCCCATTTCACACGGGTCTGCAAGTCTTGCGATAGAGCGATGTGGTCAAACAAGAATTTCAGTAAGAAGTCTGACTCTTCCTTCTTGTATCCAACGATGTATCGGGTGACTTTCCCCGACGTTATCAGTATCAAATATCAAAAGCGGCTAGTGTGATACGAGTTCACTTACATTGTGGGTTCACATAGAGCGCTTTCTCGCCGGTCACAGGATGTGTACGCACGATCGGGTGCTCATGCTGCACAGGGTCTCTTCTTACAGTACTGTCCCTCGCCAAGGCGCTTTGGGCTTGCTCAAAACCAGAGTGAACAGCCTTGAGGCCATGCAGACGCTTTTGGAACTCAGGCGAAAGGCGTTCGTAAGCTTTAGCCATATTCACGAAAAGGGTGTCACCACCACTGGTCGGCCCATCAAGTAGGTAGAGAAAAGTGGTGCCCGGAGGCTGAGCTTCGTAAGTGACATCTGAGTGCCATGTAATGGAATTAGTGTGTTGCTCCAAAAAGTCCAAGCCGGACTTGTCATCAGCCCCGCGGTGGACGAGATGAATTTCTGGGAATCCCTTGGGCGCGCCCGAAGTAGGGTGGATGTGGTGGCGACCGAAATAGCCGCCAAACTCCAGTGCCTTGTCTATTGGGAGCTTTGCAAAATCTTGGTCACGGAAGGCTGCTCTCAAGAAATGATGTGTTTAGCCGGAAATAGCTAGCTTTCGGTTGGGTTGCTTGTGTTACGTACCAACAATTTTGCGTTGGGCAACGAATAGAGCCAACTGGTCCTTCCCTGCATCTGTAAGTTCGCTCAGTTGCACGCCGTGAACTTCAGAACCAATGTAAGGCGTGACCTCGGTGACCTGAGCTTTATTTTCTGGGAGGAGGTCCTGGAACGAGGGATCGGCATCTTTGCCATGCTCATAGTGTTCGAAGGGTGTCCAGGGAGGATACCTATGGGATATGTGGTCAGTCTACATTTCAAAAAGCAAACTTGTGAGGGGTATAAATCCTACTTGACACCTTTCTCATTGTCCCAAACAGGGAGGTAGTTGGGATATGTGGCTGGAGGCTGAGTCGCGGTACCCTTGGTCTCAGTGCTATCGTCATATGCATTGCTGCCCCCGATGAAGAACTCTTTATTGAAGCCCTCATTGATTTTTTTCTTCTCAGCGGGTTCCCTCACGGGAAGTGATTCGACCAATGCAGGTGCCATGATTTCTTCTCTTGTTGTTCCGGTTCAATGCAGTATTAATTCCGTGTACAATATCTCAATGTTGAGGAACTAGCATTTGGGAAATAGATTATTAAGTATCTCCCATTTGGCTCTGCCCGCTCCTGACTAGAAAGTTTGTCTTTGTCATCGAGCTTTCTTGGCTCCAAACGAAGTCGGGTTCTCGGCCTGGTTTCAGATCAGTCCCTCCCATGATTCATCATCGTCGTCACCAATCGCATGATACAACTCATGTCTCTTGCGGGGTATTTCAGCATTCCCCTCATATAAATTCACTTCACCCAATAAGATTCTTTTCAATATATCTACCAAATAGCGGTTTTTTCCCCCAAGGAGGCAAGTCGGAAGAATCCCCGACACTACTAACTGAGAGATCTACACCCATGGTCGGAAGACTTATCCAAGTTGATGCTTTCTTGTTAGGCGTGATAGGGACGATGACGCGCAGCGATTGTCTGATAACGGCCTGAACGTGGTGGTGTCGTCCTACCAGGTGTCTTTCGCATGGCGTGATCAGCGGGAAGGGTGACATGATGAATGCTTCTTGTCAGCCACCGAGCTGAGAGGCCGATGGTCGGCTGCGATGTGGGTAATGATTGATAATGGCTTTGCTGATGGTTTTAATGTCTTTCTATTCATATCTCTAGCCAAGATCGTAGACATAGACCGAAAACATCAGATGTAGAGAGAAGGATGTAGAGAGAAGCTTGCGGCCATCTCATCACTCATGTAAACATCAATCAAGGCTGCTCTCTGCAAGAAGGGTCTCAGACCAATATATTCTTTATAATATTAAAATATGGTTCCCTTAAAATCATATAAATAATGATTCAGATTCAATACTCAGTAAAATCAAAATACATAAGTGAGGAAGATGGGCCCTGGTTGTTTTGTTATGGGAGCTTAAAGCTTATCTTGTTTTCCCTGTACGTTATTCTAGATGCCGCTCCCTGTCAGGCACATGTACGCATCCAACTCACAATTTACAACTTCATATTTCACTATGCCCTTGATATTGCTGTTATTCTCTGCTGAAACATAATCATTATGATTCGATATCGTGTTTGTTTCTCCCGGAAAATTGTAGTATCTCCGGGCTCGTGCAGAGGAGTGCGGATAACGTCAACGCTAATAGACTGGCGTGATCGCACGCCATGATGCACGACCCAGCAATAACGTCAATTTCTCTGGTGTCGCGCCATGGCGATTCCAATGGCCGCGCATTCTTGCTGTTTATCTTTGCCCCTCTGAGTATCATGCCCGGACCCCGGCCATTTCTCCATTGCCTACGCACCTCGACGGCTCTGTTCCCTGGCACTACAACTGGCAACTCTGATACATGGTCACTCCCACGCTACGACACTCTATCTCAAGCTTCCCGATGCTTCCTACGTGATTTGTCGCTAGTTCTTCCACTCTAGCCCCTCTGAGCAGGTGTCTATAGCGGCCAATGCCCACAGCTCTGGGTCCAGCCATGCACTAGCATCGTAAAAATAATTTCTTATTTTAAAACAAAAAAAGAAATCTGGACAAAAGCCGACTGAACTATATATGTTGAGGTTGCCGTTCTGCAAGCAGTCTGTACTTGGACACACCTGCCGTCTCAATTCAGCTTCCGCGTCAAAATCATGTCTGGCGACGATCAGGGATCCAACCTGGACCGGCTGAGTGCCGACGACTCCAAGACAAGCAAGCCCGAAGGAGTGTCTACTACTGCCCATCCACAGGAACTCGAGCCGGTTAGGAACCGGGTCACAGGAAAAGATGCCGCTTTTGAACAGTCCGAGGATGTGCGCTTCTACAAGCCAATCGATTCGTATGAAGGCCTTCATCGCTGGGATCCCGAATTTGAGTGGGAGGAATGGGAGGAGAAAAAACTGATTCGGCAGGTACGCTCTCAGTGTCATGCTCTCCTAAAGTTTCGCAAAAATAATCATACCAGATCGACCTTCGTGTCTGCACCTTCGCTTGTTTGACCTTCTTTGCACTGCAACTGGACAGAGGAAATGTCGTGCAGGCAACTTCTGACAACATGATAACGGATTTGAATATGAACACCAATGACTATAACACTGGCCAGACCATCTTCTACGTCATGTTTCTATTTGCCGAATTACCTTCTCAGCTTATCTCGAAGAAGCTCGGCCCAGATCGTTGGATTCCCATTCAGATGGTTTGCTGGAGCTTGATTGCATCCTGCCAGGCCTTTATCAAAGGTCGCTCGACATTTTTCGCCTGTCGTGCTCTCTTGGGCTTGTTCGAGGGTGGATTGTAAGCTAGCCATCATCCTACACGCTCACCAATCTTCTAACGAGTGGACTAGCATCCCCGATACCGTCTTGTTTCTGTCGTACTGGTACAAGTCAAAAGAGCTTCCTATTCGACTGAGCTTCTTCTGGATGACATACGAGTTTACTGCGATCATCGGCGCTTTCTTAGCCTTTGGTTTCTTGCATATTCACACCGATGACGGAACCGGCCAATGGCGATATCTATTTGCACTGGAAGGATTGATTACCGGCGTTATTGGCATTTTCGCCGCGTTTTACATGCCTCCATCCCCGACTCAAACTTCTGGGTCGATTCGTGGAAAAAGTGGCTGGTTCAACGAGCGTGAGGAGAAGATCTTGGTCAACCGTATCATTCGCGACGACCCTAGCAAAGGCAGCATGCACAATCGGCAAGCCATCACCCCGAAACTTCTCTGGGAGGCCCTTTGCGACTACGATATGTGGCCGATTTATTTCATTGGTCTGGTGTGGTTGATTCCACCCGCCCCAGCCACCAGCTACATCTCCTTGGAGCTCAAATCACTTGGTTTCAGCACCTTCAAAACTAATTTGTTGACCATTCCTGCTTATGTGATATTTATCATCAACTTGGCTATCTTTACTTGGGTATCTGAGCGTATCAATCAACGGCTGTTGCTCGGTGCTTTCGCGGAAATTTGGAACTTGGCTTTGCTGATAGCCCTCGAAACCCTCCCCGCTGGAGCAAATACCTGGTCGCGATATACACTTCTCATCTTGCTAATTGGCAGCCCTTACATGCATGCGGCCGTTGTTGCGATGACTTCTAGAAACGCTGGTTCAGTCCGAACTCGCACCGTTGCATCGGCCGTGTATAACATGATGGTACAGGCCAGCAATATTATATCAAATAACGTGAATTCTTTCCACACAACCCTTACCTATTTCTATATTCTTTCTGTTTACTAAATGACTATAGATCTATCGCGACAACGACAAACCTCTTTACCGCACAGGCAACAAGGTTCTCATCGCCCTTAGTGTTTTCAGTTTGGCCCTTTTTATAGTCAGTAAATTCTACTATGACATCAAGAATGAGTATATTTGCCACGTCTCCTGCGTCAATCGCTCTTCTGATTATGTTTTTTAGACGTCGCGCGCGTATATGGAACGCAATGAACAGTCAAGAGCGGGATGAATATTTGGCTTCTAACAAAGATAGTGGCAACAAGAGGTATGAATTCTTTCTTTTAGTAGAAAATATATTGGAAGTGCTGACTTTACCTCGCAGACTTGACTTCCGATTCATTTCGTAAAGACAACCCTGAAAAAGAATTGTAGATCTAAAGCATTCTTTGTCACGCACGAACTTGAGACCGATCATTCAATAGAGAATCTGAAATTTACTCTTGTTAGATGAACATTTACTGAGGGTTCAATTAATTGAAAACTATAAGTCACTTTACACAATATTTTAGAGTGTCATGTAAGTGTGATCCACGAGGACAACGAGCGTAATTAGGGCTAGCCGAACAATACCCTATACAAGGCCAGGGCCTTCCGTACTAGTCTGGAAACTTCCACATCGGAATACATAGATAAGTAGGTAAACTTAACAGTTTATCATTACCAACAAACATACTAAATACAAAAAGAAGAAGAAAGCCAAATTCCAAGAAATCCGAGTAAGCAGAGTCTATATAAGGAAATGAGAAATATGAACTAATAACTGGCCATGCAGCCGTGAATCCATGGTTAGAGGTTGAACACCATCAATAGGAGAAGTACTCTCATATATCCTTTCTAACATAGAAAGCTGCAGGACCACCAAAACACTCGCCGTCATCATCTGAAATGAGTGGATAATCATTGAGAGCCAACCTCTATGTTCTTATAGAATCAACATCATAGATTGTGATCCGTGGCGTTTCCGAATTTGATCCTTTAATCTCTCGGTATAGAATGTCTCACAGTTGGCGCCATTCCTCCTATTCCTCACTAATTATTGTATTCCAAAAGATAATCGCTGGTGAGGCAAATCGGCAATGATTTGTTTGACAGGGATTATCGATGCAGAGGATACAACTGGCGTACCCTGGAGGTGTGTGGCGTAGATATTGAGTTTCCGGAGTAAAAGCAAGTCATTACCAGTGTCAACTGGATCTTGCACATAAATTGGAACCTCTTTCCCATATGGGTCTGTATTTATCCGTATTGTTCAAATTGTTTCTTGAAGATAACTGAGAAGAGCATGCCGCACGTAAATTATTTCGAGCTCGTCTTTGTTTCTGAAGTTCATATTAAATGAGCCGAGATTAATGGCAACAATCTTGTTAACTTTTCTAAAGTATTTGGTTTCCCCTGTCTTTCGAATAAACCCTTCCCACCCAATCATGACTCGCTTTCATCCAAGAATCCCGCTCTGGCATATATTCGTTGAGCATATAGTCAACATCTACATCCCGACATGGACTGAGGAAGCAATAATCTCCCTGTGTTTCCAGCCAGTATAATGGCAATGGAATGCCACCACGTAGGATCTGCTGGATGTTTTTATAGGCGATTCCATAGCGGCTATCCTTTTGTTAGGCCCAACATCTGTCCTTTGCCTTCCTGGGTCCGTGGTCTAAAGACAAAAGCGAGAAAGTGGACTTACCATACTCCGATCTTGTATTTCTCAGATCTCGACTGGAGAAATTCTTTGTTCGTGGGATTATTCAAATAATCATATGATGCAAATTCCAGATTTTCATTGTCTTGGGTTTTGATCCTCTCGAAGTCGTGAAAATATACGATCCAGCTGTGTTAGCGTTAGTTTCGGAAAAGGCTGTATTCCTGCGGAGTACGCACTTTGAATCCTCTCCTTGTAAGTTTGCTAATTTGGGATTATTTTCATTGAAAAATGGCTCTGTGTTTCGAAGGGTACATCCATATGGATGTGGAAAACCAAGAGGGAGTTTTTGCTCGTCATTGAGGGGCCTGATTCTCGACATTGCCGTTTTAACTGGATATTTGACTTGGAATTGGTAACGAGACAAGAGTATATGAGGAGTGTGAGGGTATGAGTCAAATAAAAAACTTTTGAAATGTGATGAGAGTTTGAAGATGAGGACTTTTAACAGTTGGCTCATATAGTTATCCCATGAGTTAATCCAAACAATCAAGTTACTTCATCCACTCATAGATGATGTTGCGAAGTTCAATACTACATTATCTCGTTAACATTCAAAATTTATGACTGCATAGATCACTATTTCCTCTCCGTTTGGATAGACCAAGAAGTATCCTTTAGTTTTAATAACCCCTATATCAATTGATAGATCGACTATATAATGGGAGCGAGTGAGTAAATATAACCCAGGCTCTTAAATATTAAGGATTACGATAATTGGCGTGAAAGACCTTGATGGGGGCATATTTCAGACCATTTCAACCTATCCATTCACAGGGATACTACGACAGCCTAACAAAGTTTGAACAAGAAGCAACCCGCTAATGAATTTTTGAGAAAACCACCGGTTATTTTGTACAAGAACCAATACTGAATAGTGGTTTCATCATCATTATTATTGTACCAACCCAGAAACAATCAGTCATTCAATCTAGCCACATCACTCGCCAATTACATACTCGCATCCCTCCTTCCCAATCCAGACTTCGTGAAGCTTCCCAGCAGGTACATCAATCCTATCCCCAACACCAAATGTTTCTTTCTTTACCTCGCCATTGTGTATTGCCTGATTATCCTCGGGATAGGTGATAGTCAGGCTTCCTCGGCAAATCAAGTGTGTCGTCACTGAAGTGTGAGTATGTGGCGGATAGTAGGCATCGCTATCGCGGATAGCTTCAGCTTTGTATAGCCATATATCGTAATCTCAGATTTCAATTACCTTGAGTCTGCCCATGTGAAAACATGCTTGAATCCCCATCGTTTAACCATCGTCTCGCATTCGGTGCGCCCTCCAATATTATACTTTCCTGTTGGAGCATTCGACATTGCAGAGGGCGTTTCAAGTAAATAAATCAGCTCTAGAGCATATATTCCGTCTCATTGAATACTATCTTTGTTGTCATAGGCGTAATCGCCATCAACAAGCTTCTTGGCTGATGACGTTCCCAGGAGAGTCCATAGACACGTGACCGGTTTCCGAGGTTAAGTGGATCAGGCTCCCCAGTCAGGTAAAGCGGTTCACGTCTCCCATGTCAAAATCTAAGCTAAATTTCAAGATGGTAAAACAACGCATTCTTCAATGACACTTGGGCAGATGAAGCTCTGAGTCTTTTTATGGGCATTGTCGAAGAAGAGAGGCGCTGCATGCTGAGTATTTGATCGGCAAGTCCTTCTACTTTGTATTCTTCATATACTCGTGGGTGACTAAAGCACCGCGAGCAATTCGCAACCAAAGAGAGAACCAACCCAAGAAGTATTCCTACAGGTATTACATGACTCGATATGATGCCTGTGTGGGAATTTGTTGATGCAATAACCATAAATGATTGGCGCCAGACATTCCAAATCATTGCAAATCGCGATGCGATGCATAATGCAGAACCGGCGTACATCTGGCCCGTGCATCCTGGCGTCACCGAGGTACAGCATATTTCCTTGGTTCCGCCGCCGTTTCAGTCAATTTCCGGTGTATGCATTAGCTGCATACGTGGACAACCAATACCAACGCTGATGGAGTCTGGTATGAAGATAAAGTAGTAGTATTCCGATCAATTTAGCTCGTGTGCTTGTAGCGGTATGAAGATCATTATATAATAGATGGTCGCTACTAACTTAAGATGTCCTAAAGCCGCCGAGACGTCTGACTTCCGGAAGCCAAAACGCAATTAGTGTATCCGTTGTCACCGGTCCATTCACCCCAGTCGTGCCAGTTAAACGTTCGAAATAGCTGTGCTTGGTAACATACTTCCTTCCAAGCATGCTAGGCGTATATGGGTCAATTGTATGCAATCGTTAAAGCTTTATCTCGGGCATTAAGTTTGCTAATGCACTGCACTTCATGAAGCACACCTTTCAAAAGTAAGGATTTGCTGTTGACCGTCCAAAAGAAGGATAGTACATTAGTACGTGCATCTTTTTCAGTTAGTAGCAGCAACATTAGGCAAATAACGTCCGGAAGACGGCTCACGGCCCGCGGGTATTGTCAATACCTGACCCACAAGAGTGATCGCTGAGTCGACGCTGACACCTGGCGGCACGCACCGCGAATTGAATCTGAGCGTTGAGAAGGTATAAGGTGGTTGATTTCCTGGTTCGTTGCTGCCGATTCCTGCGGTTTTGGTTTGGGAACGGTCGGCTCTGGATTGGAGATAATCTCGCTTATCGACCGACTTGTTCTTTCAGAGTTTTGCAGCCCATCGACGCTCCGAGCTGAACGATCTGTTGCCTTGCTAGCCAGTTTAAAGTCGTTCGAGTATTTATACTTAGCAGAGTGCCACTCAAGTCCGCCGGCATATTTATTGGATACATATGCAGTGAGTGTGTCACATACCCCCCACCACCGATCGGTTTCTCTGACGCAACCCATCTGTCGCTTTGTTGTCAGAAGTATCATACGTTGATCAATATCTCTCACATACCTCTACTTACATTCGACCTTCCAAAAGTATCTTTCCTGATAAGTAGCACTAGAAGGGCTGCTTTTGTGCTTGCCTAAGCAATTAAAGCGTCATACATACCGCAGGACATGCCCTTCTATTTGCGGAAGAGGGTCATTCCAACCCAACAGCAGCGAATAGAAGACAAGGAGAAAATTACAATAACATTTTCAGACCACTGATCTATAACGCATCGTTGCGACTTTGCTCTGTTGTATCATCACATTCGGTGGCCAATTTTGTTTTCACTGGGCAATGAACCGCCGACGAGTCGAGATTATACTGGATTAATCTTGGAATCTATGAGAGCTTATTCACGAAGTCTCAGGGTGATATACGACAAGATCGATAAGAAACGTCCGATCCTGAATTCACTTCAGTCCATTGAACTCGGCGACGCCGGATACTGCTGAAGAACAATATACAAAGTCCTTGCCAAGGCAGAAATAGCAGAGCCTAGGCCATATTCGATAGGATGATTATGACGGGTTTGTGGCCTCGCCTGCATCCTAAAAATCCACCCGCTTCGCTTCCATATGTTAGCACTGACGCATATTTCAAAGATGCTCTCAGGTCACCATACCCTACCCATATAATATGATACAGAGCGAGTGCAGGTGATGCAGTCCGGAGAATGCTCGCCGAAACATCTTCACGCCTTCGAATTGGTTACATCCGCTCGCCTGAATTCGAGACATGGTCACAGGGCAATACAGGCGATGACCAGGAGGTGCTAAGCGGTTCTCATGACCACAGCAATTGAATTGTGAGCGAACGGTACAACTGAGAGGCTTGCGCAGTATACTCGAGTCGCATGCGTGCTGATTGGGAAGGAAAGCGATGGGCCGCAGTTGTCAGGGCAGAACAAAGAAGCCGGCGCACCTGCCGAGGCCCCGTTGGCCCCTGGGCCAAGCCTACAACCACGGCTTCGACCAGACAGCCAAATATGGTCGTCGCAATGAAATACATATGTTCAGTTTCTATCTGCCTACAGGATCAGGGAATTATCATTGCTTTTCGGAAGAACGCAATTCACTAGCCGGGCTACCGTTTCTACCACACCAATACAACTCTTCCTTTGGTACCGGTACTTTTGCCCGTGAACGGAACAAATACTCGGAGAGAAACACTATCTGATTTGATTAACCACGCAAAGAGGTTAACAACATATTGTCCGAAATAACTAATACCAACTGAGAAGGAGCATTTCCCATGTTCTTTACCAGCTAGAGTCTATCGCACATCGCCATCTACTCCAATCCGCTTGACCCGTGGTCATTCTATGGCTGATAATCGATGACTCCATTCAGTCATCTGACGCAATAGTCAGTTTACAGTTTCGTGGTCTTTCACTTTAGTCTGAAAATACCGTCATTCTGAAGATTGCAGTTTGTTCCACAAACATGGCATGCCTTTCCGGGTATAACCCAGGTTTCTCGTCCTTCAGCGGTGCAAGTTGGGCAACGCACTCCTGGCATCTGTTTATGCATGGTTTCCCTACTTAGTGGAAAGATCAATATTATCATAATATAAGGCAACTTACCGGGACAGAAGCAAGGCTTGGGTCTACGCTTCCAATTGAGAAAACATCATCGTCTCCATGGTGGCATGACTCTATTACCCCAGCTTCAGCCCATGAGCAGGAGAGAGGAACGTTTGCAAAGGAATCCATGTTGAAGATGCCGAGGATGGATCGTTTCAGATGCAATATAGAGAGGTTTCGCAAGGGATGTTTTAGGTTGATATTGATATTGATGATGGTAATGAGGATGAAGATGATGGATAACCACGAAGTTTGTCCAACTCTTTATATCTCTTTTCCAATTGCGGACATCAATGTGACTCTTGCTGAAATTCATACGAAAAGAGGGGATGAGTAGTCTGTTTCGTCAATCTGCATCAAATGTACTGGATATTATGCATGGACAATGATGTCTGCATCAATCGACGACAGTTAGCTCAGATTCCAAACCGCGTTTATTCCCGAGAAAACACAATCTCAATCAATCCAATGGGTGGGAGTTGATTGAATCATGACCTACGGCTTCGAAAGGCAAGTCGCAACATTCGGAACAGCCCTTAGTACACTCACTTTCCTTTCGGGAAAGACCAGTCGGGTTTGAAATCGCCAACCCACCGTCAGATAACTATTTTCATAGTATCGAGTGAGAAGGGATACCCAAGTATGCAAGTGACCAACACCATCGAGCCTGATCCTGGTTATCGTTGGTGCCACCAGTTTCTTTGACAACCTTAATTGGTCAAGTGATCAAAAATTCACATTTAGAGCGCTCTCTTCAGATCTTTGGTATCACTGTTTTGTACACACAATTAAATCAGATTTGATGCTAGGTAGTCACTGCTTTTGTCCCTTTTTGCTTCCCGTCCAGCTATGAGACCAAGCCGGCTTGGCCCACAGTACACGACGGACGATGAACCAGCGAATCTGAGCTCTCAATTGACCCGGTCGGAAAAATCCTGCAAAATGCTTGTGTGAAATAAAAGCGGGATCTGCAGACCGATCACTCAACACACCTAGTCAAATCAAGGAAGAAAATATCGAAAGCACATTTGTATGTGGGTCAATTATACCTGCTATTTCCTAGTGCAGATGTTTCTCTGTGGTAGGGGATGGCGAAACCCCATATTGGCTCATCAATATCCTTGAATCCACATTGACGCTTTCAAGTGTTCTGTTGGGGGTATATTTTCAATTTCGCATGCATGCCCCAATCGGGAGTTTCTGATTGTTATTGAGAGACCAGAAACCGATACGTCGGCGGCAAGAGCGGAAGACGAGTCGGGATGATCGCAACTTCAAATGACCCCCAAATTCGCACGTTTAATTCGAGGGTGGGAGCAGCTGGAGGCTGGAGCTGTGCTGGCGCCTAGTTATGGACTATTGCAGCTAGGCTCTGGTGGCGGTCAACAATGCACGAGTGGGTCGATTACAGAAAGGCTTCTATCCCGTTGTGTTTGTATTCAAATGATGGGAACAAAACTCGAGACTACACATGAATGGTATTAGAGGCCAACAAGCTGGTTTACAATGCAGCATATCCGACATGACCCAATAGTAGACATGGTGTCTACTGCGCTTGATGGACGCCTAAAGGCCAACAAGGAGTACCCGGATTCCTCGAAACCTTGAAATTTTCTTCCAATGGGCAAGACTGTGTGACATGCTATCCCAGGTCGTTTCAAATGTCTTGTTATCGCTTCATTACTCAATCCATTTCATTTCCGACCATTGATATGGGCCAGCGCAGTCACGATTGGGGGCATCAATAGCAAGAATCGAATACTTAGTGGGTGTCAAGAAATTCAAAATACCAACGATGTGAACCTTTAGGTATTCCCGGAGAAGCTCGGGCTTTTCCCATTCGGCAATGCAACTCAGGAGATAACTTCCGATGCTCCCGCTCACTACATATGCTAAATTGAAGCCACAAAACTTCATTCTACCGAAGATTGCATGAGATACTGTATAGCGAGACGAGAAATCCGCCATCATTGCCGTGTTTGGTAAAATTTTCGTATGGTCCAGTTACACTAGTCAACGAAGCGGATCGATGAATTCCATTGTCGTGGTAATCATTGATCCGATCTCCGACTCCTCAAGGCTAACAAACTCTTTTGGCCGGAATCAAGTTGGTTCACTACAGGTACCCATGCCACGCTATTCTGAATTGCATTCGTTTATGCACCTCCCAGAAGCGTGTAGACCTATGTGATAACGCTACTACCTCTACTACATTTGGGCAGTATCGGTAGTTATCCTCTACCCCGCAGCACATGTCCAGTGATGTGGATGGGGGGAATGCAATATCCATTTCAGGTCGAAAAATGGGGCAGTGTATACCGCCGGGGATGGCTGGCTGGAAGGCTCGATGATGATATGCAAGCTCTTGGGATGGATCACTGCATCAGTTGCATAGCATTGGATTCTTGCAAGTTTTATCAATTCCAACATGCTCTTTCCTTGGCCTTTTTTTTATTTGTCCATTTATTTAATAGCGGCGAGAGTAAATGCATATGCAATAAAACCGCACTCCTGGGTCTTGTCACGAGGACCGCGAGAACAATACTAATTATCTAACTAGAAGTGTTGCAGTTGAATAAAATAAACTCTTATTTCTACTCGTTGATCACAGAAATAAGTGCCGGATGTTGGCACGCTGTACGCATATGATGTAATACACACACATGCGCCGGGTACCTGTTGCCCAGGAAATTTCCGCAGGAATAATGTTCTCGGGTACAAGTATGGACCAAAAAAAGCAAAATATAACAATAATAAAAATTAACCCGATGAGAACTGCCATGCAAATATCAATCACATGGTTGTTGGGATCGAGCACCATGAATAAGGAGATGATGGACAATAGGTTCATTGTTCAAGACTTGGAAACTTTCTTATTGATCTTTACCAACAACATCCCAGACGGTTGTCCCAGACCATTTTTAAGGTGCAGGAAACGATATCCCTGCTTCAATCGATCAAGCCGAATACAGGCCCATGCAGCAAGGCTGTCGCGTCCAAATTCGTCGTCTTTAATCTTGAATCTGCGCATTTCCACATCATCCCCAACCAAGTGCGGGGAAAGAAAAGTCAGTTATTGTGTACACGTAACCTGTAGAAAGGGGAAAGAATTCCCCGAGAAAGTATAAAGAAATTGTATCTTGGGAGGAGTAGACAATGAGCAATTCTGCTGTGTAAACCATCGGGATAAAAATTTGCCGCAAGAGGGCTCGCTTGCATGCCTCTTAGTGAAGTGCGACCACTTTCCTGCAGAAGTCTCCACTTATTATCACCAAAGAAGAATATCCAACGTCATGAAAACAGTGTCATTGTTTTAACAAGTGAAGAAAAACAAAAACAGTAAACGCACGTGCCAAGTTGGCCGTTCCCAAGGGATTGGTCGGGAGTCGGGGCGTCACGTAAGGCAGTGCGTCAACATGCATCGTAGTCTAAACAGCCGCCTATGTGGATCACACCAATGCGAGCAAAGCAATGAAACCCCGAGTTGCACCAGTAACAGGGAACAAAATGGAGGCAATGGTTCACAAGCAGAAAGACGAAGTAGAGAAAAAGTAGAGGAAAAACGTTTTTCGTACCTTATAAAAGATAAATCCTGCAAGATTCGTGTCGCAGTTGGAAATTCTAACCTTTCGCCTTTGAAATCTGGGTCTATGCCGGTACTTGTTTTGGATCTCAATTTGTATTTCTTGGTATCATTCTCCTCATTTGCTGCTCTCTGCTTGGGTCTCTGCCCCGGTTCGTCAGTTGCTGATAGTGCTTCTTCGGCCTTACATAAATGAAGCTGGCAAATGATATAAAGATGGAAATTATTCCCAGATGTTGAGTTTGTATCAGGGTGGCGGATTTGCTGACCCGCATATATCTCAATAGAAAGATCCACAGTCTGGACAGCATCACCCAACAAAACATTACTACAGCCATCGCCACTGCTGACGGCTCGATAGAGAGAGGGTTTCATCGCCCATCCTGCTCCATCTGGGAACATGGCATCGTTAATCATCATACCTTTATCACAATTCTGCCAATTAAGAGCCACCATTTGTGCACCCTGCTGCCAAAAAAAGGTAGGATCGAGGTTAGATGAGTTCACCCGAATACCCGAAGGGTAGACTCGCATCAGAAATTCGCGATTATGATCAAGTAAGGCTCGGTTGCTCTTCGCATGTGCATCTTTAACAGCAGTTTCGGACAACGAAAAGACATGGGTTGGCATTGTCGCTTCTATTGTTGGGAAGATAATCAGCATCTCGTCCGTGAATAAAAAGCATTCATTCGAAATACCTTTTTGAGTAAAATGACTGAAGTGAAATGCTCTTGTATACACTGCAAGCTCGCCCAGAGCATGAAGAATCTTGCTTGCTTTTTGCTTCGATTGGGAGTCTTGGCGATCCTCACCAACGATATCAAGTTTCCTCACTCCACTTTCGAGTTCTTCTGTCTTCTCTTCAGTATGCGCTACTCCTTCCGCAACTTTGGAATTGTGTGGAGACCATTTGACTTTAATAAGGATTTTTCGTCTCAAGTCCTGCAGGCGCGGAAGATCTGTATTCTCTCCGGTTTCTATTTCCACCAAATAACCTTTCCACGCTTCTCGCATGATATCAACCATCATTTGCTGCTGTTCAAGACCGGCATGCACTTCCAGACTCACAATTACAGGAAGGTCATTTCCCACGAATGCATTATCTCGTATTGCGTAGCAGACGTCACGAAAAGAAACCTCTTTGGTCAAGGTATGCCCATGCAATACACGAGGCTCGCACAGTACTCCAGATCCACCAGCCTCACCCGTTTTTGAGTTCGTCTTTTGTAGCATCTGTGCATGCGACAAGGTGGGGTGCTTGCTACTACGGGTTGATGCTGCACGCTTGACTAGCTGACGAACGCCATTCGATAATGATTTCATGCGTGAATGGCCATTGACACTTGTTTGTCTCTGAGTACAATAGCTTAGCAATGATCAAATTTAAGGCATGCATGCATCTAACGCACTAACGGCCGGTTCTCATTGGATTCGTGAAAACTTGAGCTGGAGCTGACGCTTGATGATCTAGACAAGCCATCCCAAACATCGATTTCTAGGCACCGACAGCCTCGCAGGAGGACCTAAAACACGTTAGCTTCAAATGCAAGAAGGTTGTTTGTGTTGATTATACTGGCGTCTGCATCAGTCTCCCCACTCTCCCCACTTGTCCATCAATAGGCAGGGATTCTGGCAAGACAATACAGTATATGCAACATGACTCGTATGACAATGCAGGAGGTATTCACATTTGTGTAAGCAGCAGCGCTCGCCTGGCTGTAGAGTTGATTGCCGGTCAGATATGTATTATGGCTGGATGAGATATAGTAATGCGAGATTCGTGCAGAGAGATCTGAGGCCTCCGCAGTATGGTTTGCGCGCGCTGCAGGGCTGGCCATATAAGTCAAAAAGCTAGCCAGGGATGTGAGGCGATCTTGCCCGGAATCCGCGTCGTTCTGGACAGAATTGAAATGAGGTTCTGGGCCATTGTGGCACAGTGATTCGTAGATTGCTTTCAGGTGGGCCAAAACTGGCTCCGAAAAGGATGCGATCTCCGCAATCCCAGTAGTAGCCATTATTTTATCTGGAGTCGGGAATAAGCAGGAAAACGAATGCTGGCATTAGGGACTGTTGGATAAGACGGTTGGAGGTAATTTCGACGCGTATGGATTAAACAGTCAAGAAGAGAAGATTGATTCTCGTGGAGCTCTTTCGGCTGTCAGCCAACCCCAGCAGGCCACATCATGATTCTCCAATAATATCCCGCCTTTGCTTGGGAGCGATAAACTAATCGAGGCCACAGATGGACTGTAATATGGTGAGAATCGGAGCCACTTGATTCTGTATCAACAAGGGGAGCACACCAGCAATGCTTGAAAAAACAGTCATGGTGATGGAGGTAGTCTCTGCTCTTGCCCTTGGGCCAGCCGCCCGTCCGCTCCTGCCTTCAATACCACCCCGCAACAGTTTTCCAACACGATTACTCCTCCCTCTCACATTTCATTCGGATCGGCAGTGAGACACTATAGGTGAGTGTTTTATTAGCAGTGGACACTCAATTCGCGCTCGATGAAAATCCCCAGCAACATGCTGCCCTATCATTCTTCCATCACGATTAATAATATGTATTAATAATATGTCTCCGCGACACTACCTGAGCTAAGCATGGTCATATATACAGAAAGCCAATTGCCCCGGTGGCTAGAGATCGTGACAACAATCGCTCACTTTTTCAGCAGTCGATTTTCTTGTGCTTCTCCCTGATTAATACACGAGGATGGCTTTTTCCAACAAGCCTGTACACTTTTTCGACATAACATGTAGCCTTGACGGTATGGTGGAAAACCTCTAGCTTGCTTATACTGGCTGACGTGAGTTCCGCTTGTAGGGCCACGGAAATCATGGTCACCAAACACTCTCAAGACCCGTACAGTCCTCAATTACAAAGGGATCAAGTACACACAGTCATGGGTGTCGTACCCTGACATTGCTGCTTTGTCTGAAGGACTCAAGATGCCGCCTACAGGCACGACAATAAAGTATACACTTCCAGCTATTGTACATAAAGCCTCGATCACGTCCAACCCTTACGGCGCCTTGAACGACTCGCTTCCGATCGCGCTCCATTTGGAGAAGACATTTCCAGCACCAAAATACCCTTCCATATTTCCCAATGGGCAAGCAAGCTATGCACTTGCAGTTGCTACTAGAAAGCTTCTAAATGCCGCTTTTGACAAAACTCACATTATCGTTCTCCCAAAGGTTCAGGCCATGCTTGATGACCGGGGAGCCCAATACTTCCACGAGACCCGTTTACCGAACTATAGAAAAAGATTCGGAAACATCAACAGCCTATCTGAAGTTTTACCCAAGAACGACGAAGAATATGAGGCTATCTGGGCGGCGACACAAAAGGAGCTCGTGATCTTCACTGAGATGTTGACTGGTGAGGGAAGTATTCAAGGGCCTTTCCTAGAAGGCGAGAAACCCGGCTACGCGGATTTTATTCTTGCCTCTTGGCTAGCTTGGCATGAGCGAGCATGTCCAAAGACCTTTGAAGCTCTGCTGAATACGGGAAATGGGTCGCTTCGTAAGCACTGGGTGGCGTCTCTTCCTTACTTGGACGGGCAAGGCGAGGATAAGGAATGGGCTCAATCTGAGATCTAGAAATATTTAAATACTCAATTGAAAATATCTTACAAGCTATACGATGCTTTCTCAGCACAGCTATAACAATAAAATATGGCTGTGCTTCGTAGGCTTCTAAGCGTACAATGAATATACTTTACAGCCCACGCAAGAAGTTAGCCTCGCGAATGCCCTTCCTCCTGGATTCTCTAGCGCTCTTTGTAATTTCCTCCCTCTTCTGCAGACTTGCCACCGCTTCGATTAGAGTATCTCTCGAGCTATTCTGTTCGCTGTTGTGCTCTGCAGGCGTAATATCCAGAGACTGTTCATGGACGGGTATTTTTCGGGGTCGAGAAGCTGCCAATGCAGCCATTTTCTTATCGTATCGTTTGCGCAGCTTTTTGTTCAATGCTAGAGAAAAAGTAGCCAGTTAGTGGATCTATATTCTTTTACCAACAACAAAGAAAATGAGCGCAAATCGAAGGACACAACGTACTGCTTGGGTCTACGCCCCCAGCCTCCTTCTTCTTTTTGGAGCCATCGTCAATCAATGTCCAAAGCCATTCCGGATAATCGTGGTCCTCCAAAGCGACAATACCGGGCTTATTTTTTATGTAATCAAGACCGGTCATAGGGGTGCCGGGTGGACAACTGCTTGGTTGTTGGCGTGCTGCGGCAGCAGATGCTGCAGCAGCTTCCGCGGGTCCCTTATTATCGTTAACCGATGTTGCGGGCTTAGACACCCCATCTGTAGGTGTGCTGAGCGGTTGGGAGACGCCTGGAGTTGAAGACGATATAGCAGAGGGAACTGTCACGGAGCCCACGCCGGGTTGTCTGGGAGTCGGGGGAGGCGGCATAGCGGGAGTTCGCGGGCTGTCGGTGCTCACAAATCGGGGCTGGATTTTAAGAAAACTGGTAGATCCGCATGATGACGGCGAGCGGAGAGTGTGTTGTTGGAATTGAATCCTGGAGAGGATATGGGTTCGACACCGTTGGCAGATCATATTAAAATCGGTCGCACTAGTAGTTAATCAATTAGAAATAGATAAAACGAGGAAGATGCTTCTTGAAGAATAGGGTTACCAACACATGCCACAACAATGAACCACGGGCGCAGGAGTATGGATTGGAGATCAGCAATATCTTAATGTTGATTGAGCTCAAAAATTGCGAAATAACATCGATGCGGGTGGTCACGTGATTCCTTTAAAGTGGATCTGACTAAGCAACAATATGGCGCGTTGCCTGAAATGGTACGTAAGATTGATTGATTGGGGGCATTGTACATGATCAACACGTGAATAATATATCAATGGGATATATATACTAAAGAAAATACAGGCTATTAGACCAGAGAATGAATTTTTCATCATTACATGAGCCAAAGGGATTCGTGATATCGGGGTATATATATGTATTATCAAGACCGCGTTTATTCCGAACCCTCATTGATCAGCTTCTTGAGAGTTTCGATGGAGTTCACCTCGTTGTCTCCAACCGCCTTCTTCAAAGCATCTACTGTGACCTTCCATAGTTTCCTTCTCTCCCCCTCGTCTTTCCCTAATGGTGTGTACTCCTGACTCCCACACCCTTTATATGTCTTCCCAAAAGCTGAAAAGTAGGGCTGCCAATTCTCCCCGTGTATGCTTTTCTCCTTGATGGTTTTGCTACCAGCAAGATAAATCTGTGTCTTTGCAGAGTCCTTGGTCGAATTCCCGATCGTTATGCTCAATAAAGAACGAATTGCGCGTTCCAAGGTGGGACTAACAGAGGCTTGGTTACCTGTTCCGAGAGTTGTTCCAATGGCATTCCCTGGGTGGCAAGCGTTGAGATAGATTTTAGGAAGGTCTGAATTTTGAAGCCGGTTTGAAAACTCAATCGTAGAGTAGACAATCGCCAATTTCGACTCAGTATATCGCATCCAGGCTCCACCCAGGTCTTTGAGCGATTTGCCATCATCGGGCTGGGCAGTAACGAGCTTCTCATAGTCTAGCTTCTTGGCTGATTTGTAGGAATCTGACCCTGTGAATATGATACGCCCATCTTGGGTGTCTTCTGCAGCGTCTTTGATGATATCTGCAGTATAAATCAGCGGGTATTCTTTAATTATGAAATTCAAGCGCGATACCAACCTAACAAACACGTCACAAATGCAAAATGGCCTAGGTGATTGACAGCAAACATCTGCTCATAGCCATCTGGAGAAAGCGCCTGTAGTGTTGTCATCGAAACACCCGCGTTACAAATTAAGATATCCAATTTCCTCTCAATTTTCTTGAATTTTTGAGCCGAGCGCCATGCGTCCTGCATCGAGCTTAGATCTAGCTCGTGGTACTTAACCTTTTCATCATTATTCGAAGAGTCGCTAAAGAGAGATTTGACACGCTGACGAGCTTCGTCAATGCCGGCCTGTGTTCCCTCGCTTTTGCGAGCCGCGACATAGACTGTGGCGCCCTTGGAGGCAAGGTAAACTGTTGTCTCAAGACCGATGCCTTTTGCACCTCTGTAGAGTCAATTTCATTAGCAATTTGGGTCTCGTCTTTTGACGTCGCGATATCTCCATTGATTTAGCATTGTATGGATTAATAAGGTTATCAAGCAGTTTAAAAGGAGGAATCACCCGGTGACAATAGCAACCTTCCCGCTCAGATTCTCAATTGAGTCGAGAAACTCCTGTTCCTTCATTATCGCTTGAGCTATACTGCGTGGAGACACCCAGTATATGCTTTCTGCGACTGGAAACGTATATACCGCGTGAAAAAGTGAAATTGGACTGGCGAAAGTGATGTTAAGACAAGATCAAACACGATTTGCAACACTTCTACGTCAGGGGAAAAGTGGCCCTTCTTGCCATTTGAGGAACGGGTCTAGTGGATTACTTCCCAAATAGAAAATAGTGCGACAAATGGTTTGAATACACCCATGTTAGGAATAGCTTGCTCCCTATATGGACACGCTTTGACGACTCACTAGCTTCTATAGGCTAGTACTGCTCCCTTTTCGGATCACTTAACCTTCTTGCATATAATTGACATGTGTTGATTACATCAATTGATATGTATAGGGTACCTCACAGACACCCGGATCACAATAGTAATATTTGAACATTGAATGGAAGAATCAATTAATACTCTAAAGCTGGCCTCGTAAAGCCTGAATAATGTGAATTCTGAGTGCAACAACAAATTGAAATCACACAATGGGACTTGTCAGCTGGAATTCTGTACATATAGGTTTGATTTGAAAGCTGCATGCATTAATTCAACTAGCAGATAAAACTCAATGTAGCTCCAAGTAACTATAAAGCCAGCAGTTGTGTCTATCTTCAATCAAGTATCAACTGGTTTCCATTGTCTACATATGTAAGCAGGCTGACCCTAGTACACTTTTTCCCAGTGTATTACTCAGGAGTCACGTACAAATATTACAAACATATACAAAAAATAGAGAAACTATCTTATTTTGCTGGGTAAATGATACAATTTTACCATAGCTCTTTTGCTCATGCAAAGATACCAAAGCACGAGGAGAAAATAAGTCCATTATTGTCATTGGATAATAGATATGACAGAGCTACTCCCAAAGTCGGATTCTGTTGACTAGTAACATTCAGAATTTATCTAGTGTATCAACTAAATGTCAATCCCTGCAGCCACAGAAATGCAATGCTTAGGCTCAAGAACCGCCAATAATACAGAAGATACTAGCCCATAGTATGACTAGCAATTTCCAAGGAACAACGAGTCGACTATTGAAACGCCGCCCCCTTCCGGATAGTAATTTCCTAGAGATTAAGGGAAACAAAGCATATTCTCAAAGTAGAAACTTGATCTTCTGTCTGCTTTTGAACAACAGCGTATTCTGTACACATCTCCGCTGAGATTATCAAGAAGCGACAGATTAAACCGCGAAAATGGATGCCAACCCCATCGGTCTGCGGACGAACAAGACCTATATAGTCAATTAACTGTTTTCCTACTTATGCGGATTTCAGTCTTTGTAAGTCATATTATTTTCAACACCACTGTCAAGTATTTGAACAGGATTGGCTCTAGGACATGAAATATTTACAAGGTTTGGATTCTTAACATCTCTTTCTTTGTCGGTGTTTCTACCACCCCTTTTCAATGCTTCTGGGCCGCACCTTCACCTTTTCCCGTAGCCATGCACCGTTCAAATGTGCTTAATAGGTCGTGTATCGGAATATATTAGCTGGAGCAGTGGTTTGCTGTAATTACAACCTAACGAGGCACTAAGGCATGCTTGAATCGCCGGAAAGCGAGAGTACCTGGCCAAGATGCTTTTCTGCTCTTTTGGACCGTTTTAATTAACTTACAAAAGACTTTTCACCGATTTTACGAATAAGGAATATAAAATTCGAAGGTTTTGTGAATACTTGACCCATAAAATGTTAAATTTATTTGCATATACTGACAAAATTCTATAAATGTTGCTATCTGTTGTGCATGTCACTTTCGACTTCTTATCATCCAGCTAGCCTATGAACTACTGTCTCTAAACTTTGCAAGATGCCCAAAAAGTGGGCTAGATCGCCAAACCCTCCACCATCAATTCTATTTCCACTGTCACCGTCGGTACAAATATTCTGAGTATTTATGTCTTTGTGCATTGTCCCCTTAAAAGAACTTGGAGAAGCCGAAGGAGAAATTTGAATTCGCCTCTTCAGCGCAGTTATAACTTCGCCGAGACGTTGCAGCATTCGCTTTCGGAGGACATCGGTGATTAGCATTTGCTCGGATTTTGTGGTTGGGTAATCACCCAAACTTATAGGAATGGAATCTGATTGCATTGTCATTGACGATATCAACTGACGTGACGGCGATTGAAAGGACGAATGTCCCAGAGATTCCGGAGTGTTTATTGCGACAGGCTCTATATGATCGATATCGTCATCTATCATCATTTGTTCCGTACCGGGGTTGCTGCTCTCATTACTACTACCTTCTATTGACGGTGAAGATGACTTTTCATCTGAAAATTGCAGTTTTCGCACGAACAGCCTAAGAACTGCGATGATTATAATAAAGACTTCTTGAATGTCTTTGTTCTGGCACTTGGCACATCTGAGAAGCGAGAAGCTTGCGGTACTTATTTCTCGTGCACAAATCAAAAGTACATCGATTCGTGGGGTTGTAATCGAACGCACCTGGCCTAATTGATGGAAAAAGCAGGCTGTATGACGTTGTAAACAGTCCTGACCATCGTCAACTTTAGCGCTATTAATACCCCCTTCCACCGGCATATTACTAGCGTTGATTGTCGATATCGCCGTTGCATAAGGTCCATGGGAGCCAAATGTACCGAGGTGATTTTCAGGAATTGAGTTAACAAGTGACACTCGTCGTTGAGGGAATGAAGCCACAGCTCCAATATTGTTCCAGTTACCAAGGTTATCTGAGTACTGGTTGGGGAATGATCCATGAGGATCAATCGTGTGAGTAGGATAGGGTTGACACCAAGTTTCCGACGATTGTAACGAAGCCGTGTCGAAGAACGAAGCCATATCGTACGGCAAATTTTCTTGGAGTGGAGAATTAAAACCCTTTTGATAAGCCATGTCAGTCAATAAAACCTAGAATATGTGAAGAAACGGGGATAGGATAGGACAGTGATGACTGATAAGCAAAGGAATGGAACAAACATCATTCATATGCGAACCGATTGATCTGGAGTATGAAGTGCTAGTTGCCGAAGAAAGCATCTCCTGAATCCCATCTGGAAATATGAGGTCGTCTATATCATTTTCAAAGAGATATGACTCTGTATCAGGAGACAGAATTCCGTGCGAAGCATCTGCTATATCTTGTTTTCTGGGTTTTGCTCGTACACTATGCTTGTTTGCAGGCGTGGAATTACCGCTGGTAACTTGACCACCAGACAGGGTTTCTTGTTGAAGTGACTTCCGTGGTCTTGTTCCCTTTGGTCTCCCCTTTCTGCTGGACGGGCTATAAATGCATTCCGCTTCCAGATGCTGACACATCTGGCAAGGATTTCCACCCGAGCATCGAACTTTGGTTTGATGACAGGTATCACAAGCTGAGCGCAATTTCTTGGTAGTTCCCTGGGTTTGTTTATCGGGTGACTCTCTGTTTGAAGCCATGGCTTCTTTGGGGCCCAAAGTATGTCAATTCTATTGCCCCATAGAACTCGGATTCTGAGGGGTTATAGAATCATTGATCACTTTCAAAAAACAACCAAATGAGAAGCCGTCGTTGTGGAATTTCTTTGAACATGAAAGCCACCACACGTCCGTATTGGCTTTTTCCACATAATAGTCAAACCATAAGCAAATAAAGTTTGGCTAAAGTGCTATCTTATATATGTATAAGCTAACATTCTAAGCTATGAATTCAGATTATAAGACTTAGAACCTTTCTTGGGTATCGTTCCCGCTTACATGATGTTATAACTAGTCACTTGGGACCAACAGATATTGAGACATTTATATACTCGTTTATGTGGCGTTATGTATTTCAATTTTGCCTTTTTGAATCCCGGAATCGGCGGGTCCCAAAATGTTATTCGTATTATCCATGCTAAGATCTTACATGCGCAATGTGGTCAGCGATCTCCCGGGGATCCAAATCCTTGAATAACAGGGCGCCTATTAACAAGGCATGATCTAATTAGATACGTATTCTGTACTCGGTATCTGACCACATGTTAAACGGTTGGTGGGTTACATGGACTTTATGGGTTATAGGCGTAAACAAACCCTTAGGACTACATTAGCGCAGCAAGCCAAGTTGAGTCAAATATTGAGTTACACCGGGGCATGCCTATAATTTAGTGGATTGCCTATAGTATATTCGAAACCAAAAGATAAGTAAACAGTTTTTATAAGTTATAAAACCTTTTGCAATATCGGCTTAAACTCGCTTCTAAACAGGCCAGTGTTCTCTCTAAAAAAGAACAAAAGAAGACAACAAGCCTTGAGTTAGAATAGCAGAAATACCTACACTGCCTGGTTACAACTCAAATAGATACAGGTTCGTATTGGAGCTTGAAGCCATTTGGATCTAGATGAATGGCGATAAAAATACGATATGTACGGAGGAGTCACTTCTCCATGTCGCAATTTAACTTCGGGCGTTAACTCAATCTCTGAACTATTTGGGGCCCTAATCATGAAACTCAATTAGATCCGGGTATTATATAAGAAATAAATGGGGTGGCTTGTATATTGACATGTCATCACTACACATCTTCTTATTACTATTTTTCTTCTTCACTTTCTTCATTTTCTTCTCTTTCTTCTCTTTCTTCGTACTCCCCCACCAGTAAGAAGGTGCAACTCTCCTGTCGCTTAACGCACACTTTTGATTTGTCGCCGGTGCTGCAGATACTCCTGCAGATTAGTGACGGCAGGGGCGCGCCTACACCCAATGATATCAATTTCTAGTCGATAGATTCTCCGAACCGATTCGGAAGTATATCTAAAACATCTCTGGGCTTGCTTTTAGTAGCAAAGCACACCTCGCTACGGGGTGATAATATGTATGTGCACTGGTTAGGCTGCTTCGTATTCTCTGTTGGTTCAATATCCACATACCTCACTACGGATAGGATCCACTGAAACCCACCCAAGTATACAATCAAGACTACAAGCCTCAAGGTATGTAGCAGTACTGCTCCATCTGTGACGAGCAACCGAGGAATAAGTATCCAGCGCGGATCAAACACAGCCCCCACTGGCGATCGGAATTAAAAGCTTCCTGTATCTAAATACGAGAGGCGCTAGAAAGGACGCTTGTATATACGCCAAATATCCGTGGTTATATCGTGACAGTGATGTCAATCAGGGTCCTTTTAAAGCTTTTTAGGATCAACAGCCCAAAGCCCATGCCGCAGATGCATGCCGCAGAATTGTGTGAAGAGATTTTAACCTCTGGAGTTCAGTATATAGCTATTTTTCATAAGCTATGGGCCCTGCTGTTTTGGTATCAATGGACCCCTGGTGGCCATGGCGGCCGCTTCATCTTAAGATTTGCTCGTGGGACTATCCACTTCTCTGCATGACTTACTTCTAGAACTCTTGTCCGCGGGCCTGGCTCATCCTCGTTGAGAGGGGTGACTCTCAAGCAGCCCTGATCGCTGATTAATTGGCCGATTGATGGTTTCTATTCTCTAAGATAAGCAATTCGGGTATTACCGTGGTGTAATTAGTATCAAGGCTACGTGCGGATCGCGAAGTAAAGTCCGAATATCGCTATAATTGGGAATTGCTCTTCAATATTAATCTCGCTAATCGCGACGTTGCCAAGTCAAAGTATGCAGTGCAGAACCAATGAAGACTAAGTCTGACAGAGCCGTTTCGGAGATGTTCTATTGTGGTGATAGGGCTTATTATGAATGGTTACGATTACGCGTCAGAGGTAACAGCGGTATTGTCGATCATTGAATCATATTCTCCATACTATTGCATAAATACGAAAGATGCAGACATAGAGCAATGTAAGGTCAGAGGCTTAACGGACAATAGCTACTGCTATTTTCGTTGCGAGGCAAATTCCTTAACTGGAAAAGTCGGCGTATTCCAAAATCTCTTGATTTTGAGGAACCAACGTGGACTTTCGTCTTGCCGATCATGTTGTTAATGGATGATGGTTGTGGTGTCTGACATCATGCCGTTTAAGAACTAGGCATCTTACTTTCCAAACAAAAGAAGTTACAGAAGCAACACTTGGCCTCGGCTATTCGGTTGATTGGCTGCGAGGCTGGGACACAGTCTTACATACATAGATAGCTACTACCGCGGCAAGGTGACATGAATTTTCCTTCAATTGGCCGCCGACAGAATAAATCATCACTATGCAAAATAGGACCTTGAAGCAAGTCTAAGTGACGGAGTCTACACGGTACCCTTTAATCAGGTTACTACTCATTAAGAATTTACAAGATTTCTCAAAAATTGCCCACCGCACGGCCTCTCTCGTATTAATGCATGGCGCAACCCAAAATAGTCTGATTTAGCGATCACCATGCAGGGAATATGTCAGCGCGGCTGAGAACTGCAGCAATCACGACAATGCCCAAAGCGCTGAAGTATGCTTCCTGACCCACCATGAACACCGAGTCGCCGAGGGGCTTATCAAGTTACAAGGATCGTCTGAAAAAGAGGCGAATAGACACAAGGGAAAGCTGCAACATGTTACTACGAAGCCGACCCCTCTCGGCTCTAGCATTCACAATTCACCACTAATCTTAAGATCGGCGATTCCGATATCTACTAGAATTGTCGAAGCCGATAAGTGTCTCACAAATAAGTACTTAAGCAGTACATATATAATTATAGTGTATCTGTAGATCGACCAGTCAATTTATTTTAAAATCATCGGGAGGACCTTCCAGTCTGGTAAATGCTGTGCTTTGTGGACCCTAAGTTAATCAATAATGAAGACACATCAATTGATGCCAATGAGCTAAGCGAATATTATACTATAAATTCCAGATAAATCAAGTTCGAATAAATTCCCCAAGGAACGTAATGTCAATAGGTAAAGTCTATGCCTAAGCTCTATTGGCGTAGCTACAAACAGGTCATCAGACTAGTTTCCCTCGAGATGAAGACAATGAAGCCTAGGGAAGAAGATTCTTCTCGATTATTTGACTTAAAGATTCAACCTAGACAACATAACATAGGATTAGTTGTCAAGGATTCGAGAAGGTTACGGGGAAAGAACAAGTTTTTGACTTACATTCCCTGATTGCATAATCGTGAAATGATTACCAGGAGTCACTTCAACTGCAATTTGGCTATTTTTTAGAAGCCCATCCCAACCGTCAAAGCCGAGGTTTTCTGATTGACGGTGGAAAAGCCACTCGTTGAACTCGTCCGTCTCGTTACTGATAACTGGATATGCTTCGTTGCTGTCGCCGTCGGCTACCCCTCTAGACGCCCAGATTAATGTCGTAGGTGGCGCATTTGCCATGGGTGTTGGGCGGTATTTTTCTATGTTACGGATTGTTGATTGGAAGTGACGTCGTAGAACGTCTTGGTTCGTGGAAGGGGTTTTTTTGCCGCCGTCTGGGAATGCAAGGATTCTACCTTGATACAAAGCATCGAGAACTGAAGAAGGCATTGCTCCATAGACAGTACGACAGGGGCAGTCAATGAGTATGAGTTTTGATACCTTCTCGCCCTCTGAGATTAGACTTTTTGCTGCTTCGTATGCGTAATATCCCCCAGCGGAATATCCCACGAGTTGATATGGACCACATGGCTGTCGGCTGCGTATTTCGAGTACCCATTTCATCACAACATCATTAATTGTACAAGTATATTGGTCGGGAAATTTTAAAAAGGGGCTATTGAGGCCAAGAAGACAAAGGCCGGGTGTCTTGGGCCGAATTCCCTGATAGACGGCGGCACTTCCACTACCGTCCGGGAACAGAAATGCAAGCTTCGAGTCCGAGCGAGGATTTCCTCGTATGGGAACTGACAGAGATGATTCCGACTGATTTCTGTTTTGTTGGCTGTGTATTTCGATTCTTTCTGGGCTCTGAGAGCCTGAACGTGTCTCCTTGACAAGCTTCGTTAAGGACGACACGGTTATTGTCTCCGGTAACTCTGACGAATCGATCTCTATGCCAAGTTTTTGCTCTAAGCTCCCAATGATAGCAAGACTCATAAGTGAATCGAGACCTAGTTTTGATAAATCTTCAGAAGCTACTAAATCCTGAGGATCCATGCCTGACTCTTCGACAATTATCGAGACTAGTGTCGCTAGCAAGTTATCCTCATTTGATAAAGGATCGTGATGATCAATGGGGGTTGCAGGTGTCCTTGGATTTTCCTCCCCTGTGGAAATACTGTCATCGGCGGAGAGGCTTTCATCGGTATATAAATCGTCTACATATCCCCTAAGCTTTTGAACAGTAGTGAGAGTCTGGAAAGTATCTTGATCCAGTTCGATATCGAGTATTGTAGAAGTTTTTGACAAAATTTGCAAGGACATCAAGGAGTCAATCCCGACCTTTTCAAAGTCGTTGGTCTCAATAAGTTCTCTTGTTGAGACCCCTACTTCCTCAGCAATGATATTAATCATTTTATCTGAGATGCTGTTCGAAAGTTTAGAAACGACTTTCATAGGGTTTGACTGATGTTTCCATCCCTGTGGCCTTTCAGGATTTGAGTGGGTGGCTTCCTTTGAAACATTTCGTTGGGACACTGCGCTGTGAGGAACTTTGAAAAGTCGACTAAGCACAGTCCGCGGAAGGCAATGGAAATTAAGATCACCAATCCTGGCCACAACACTATCGCCTTGCATAACATAAACATCTCCAACGACAGCATTCTCTCCATGGAAATTCATCTTGACATAAACCTTATATGGTAAGCTCGAATCTATAGACTGCGAGAATTGCATGCTGCCCCAGCCGCCAGATATCCAGACATTATTCCGAGTATCCAGTTCTTCGTTGGTGTTCATCACAAAGCCAGCTAGGTGAACGAGGGCGTCGATCCAAAATGGACTGTAGAAGAATGTGCCGCCTTCCGATCCAGAGTAAAGAAGAAGCTTTGCCGAGGCTTCAAGGCCCGGCGAATGTAGCAACACCTCTTTCATTGCCTGATACTTTGTATCATAATCCACACAAGATGTGAAAAGTTTATAGACCATGGACTGAAAAAGTTTGTGGGTAGTAGCTCGTGAAACTCCTGCCTCCAGAGATTCAAGTCTTCCTTGTATCAAATACGTGAGTTTATCCCACTCCTTGGTCCACAGATTGGCGTCACAGTATAGCACATCACAATTTGCTTTCCAATCAGTTTTTCCAGTTTCCGGGTTGTGACTTCCAAACTGACAATGAAACTGTCCGACGTTAAGATCCGCGACGACTTCGAGATGAAGTTTTTCAAAAACCTCCTCCCTATTTTTTGAAACCACGATTGGGCGAAAGATATTCATGTTACAAACATCAACCCCAGTTGTTGGAGATGGGATCTGATATTCTTTCAGAACGTAGTTAGCGGCTGTCAGAGCCATATCGGCATATATAGACTATTGATCGAATTAGTACACAGGGACGATTTGTTTATAGGATCAGGGGTTTCTTACGGCAGGGCAAAGACCCGAGCCGTTTACTAGGTGTCCTATGATTGATCCATGAAGGTTGACATCGGCAAGATCGCTTTCAAATAATAGATGTATTTTCCCACCATGCCTTTCCTCAACCAACAATTTTTGTACACTTGTTGTGTTGGGACCTTTTGACAAAGCAGGTAATTGATGACCTGCTGTTCCAATTTTTGAGCTTGAGCCGCGGTTTAAAACCCAGTCGCCAGTGTATGGGATCCAATGTTCCTTCTCTTCCCATGCATAGCTTGGCAGTGTCAACAGTCTCTGGTCTGCATTAAAGGCACGATGATATTCTTGCCAGTCAAGATCAATGCCATAGGAGAAAAGATTTGATACAGCATTTGATATGGAGCTACAACTGTGTTCGTTCCTCCTGAAAGATGAAACGCTCCTGATGCTGGCACCAAATGTAGACTTGATCATTGATAAACAAAGTGGGTGAGGGCCAATTTCCAGCCAGATACTACCCTTATCAACGAGTTGTGAGCTAAGAGCAGTTTCAAGTGCACCATGAAAATTGACAGTCTCACGAGCGTGCCTGCGCAAATACAATGGATTGAAGATCGATTCTTTGTCCACGACCGTGTTGAGCACTGGGGATATGACCGGAATCCGTGGAGGTCTAAAATTAATTCCCTGAGATATCCGTTCTAGTGGCTCCAGTATTGGATCGACTTGTGATGAATGGAATCCGTATGCAATTTCCAATACAACTGACTTGATTCCTTTGGACTTTAAGGTATCACAGGTTTCCCGCACAAGTTTTTGTGGACCGCTTAAAACGAAATCGTTGGGGCCGTTTATGCATGCTACTTCCAACTCATTCTCTTCAGCTAGCCTGTACGCCGAGTTCGTGTCAGTCTTCAAAGCCAGCATGGCATGGCTTCGTGGTTGACAGTTATTTTCGAGTAGTTCGGCTCGTTTCCCAACAAGGTATATTGCATCACTAGCTGTGAGAACACCACTCGCGTACAGCGCAGCATATTCTCCTAAACTATGACCAATCACTGCATCTGGCTCCACACCCCACGCAGCCCAGAGCTTGCAAAGTGCAATCTGGATAGCAGTTATGGCGAGTTGCGATTCAGTAGTTGTCAACATCCCGATATCCGTTACCGTTCCGTCAATCACTGGGAGGATTGGTTTGAATCCATGGCTTTGAGCAATATCATCCAGTTGCGTTACAAAAGATTCAAATAAAGGGCTTGCTTGAAAGCATTCTTTTCCTAGGGAACAGTAAATAGAACCTTGCCCGGTAAAGGCGAACACAGTTTTCGACAGCTTTTCTGTACTAAGTTTGAGATTCTCGTCCTGGGTAAGTAAAACAAGAGATTTCCTTAGGTGATCAATCGAAGAAGCTACCGTGGAAACGCGTAATGGGTGTTGTATACGACGCGCTGTGGTGGTATAAGAAAGATCCGATAAAGAAGTACCCTGATTCTCATCAATATATTGGATGATGTTCGCAATGTTCTTCGTTAAAGAGAACTTTGACTTGGCAGTGATATTGACTATATGATCAGGTCGTGCATCCACGCGAGGTTTTTGACTTTGGTCTTTCGTTGGTGCTTGAATGATGATTGCAGTATTGCCACCCGCGGCTCCAAAGTTATTGATCAGAACATGTTGTGTGTTATTATCAGGCTGCGATTGTGGCAGTTTTGTCTCTTCTGTTGGGATAATGATCTTTCGAGCTTCTAAATCGGGGAAATTGTGATTGATAGATGATTTGATCCCAATGTGTGGAGGCAGTTTCTGTTCGCGCAAGGCGAGCAGAGCTTTGATGACTGAGGTGATTCCAGATGCAGCTTCGGAGTGTCCAACGTTTGGTTTCACGGCACTAATGTATAATGGATCATCTCTTCTATGCTTGGGGTCGGCCGGAGCAAAGATATCTGCGACTGAATTAATTTCACAGCTATCTCCGGCTTGGGTACCAGTCCCGTGCATCTCGACGTAATTAACATCTGAAGGCCGAAGTCCCGCCTCTTCCAGTACCTGAGTGTACAATCTCTTTTGAGCTGTGGCAGACGGTCTGGTTATTGATACTGCATCTGCCGAGTAGTTTGTGGCTGTTGACAGCACAACCCCTAGGATATTATCATTGTCCCTTTCTGCATCATCTAAATGTTTGAGCACAATTGAGGCGACTCCTTCTGCACGGCAATATCCATCAGCGGAGTCATCAAAAGTCTTACAACCACCTGTTGAAGACAAGAAGTGCCCCGCAGCAAGACCATTGTAATTATCTGAGCCTGTCAAGATATTCACACCACCAACAACAGCCATTTTACACTCCCCATCCCACACAGAGTTACATGCTGTATTGAAAGCGACCGAGCTTGACGAGCATGCCGTGTCTAGGCTACTTGCAGGACCTCCAAACTTGAAATATCGGTTAATTCGGCCCTTGTTGCATACGATTAGTAATGAGAAATCACATAACTTCATTTGAAGAACATAATATAACATACTGGTCCAAATGCCCGCAAGCTGCCAGGTATATAATATGTATCAATGTTTTGTGCCATATTCTGTTCTTTATATTCATCGACGGTCTGGCCGTAAAATGTACCAATACGATCAACCTGAGAAGATTCTGTTCGGTTTGGAACATAACCAGCCATTTCAAGGGCTTCGTACGCTGTTACCAGTGATAGTCTCTGACCAGGTTCTGTCTGCAAGGCTTCTCGTGGAGACATGTTGAAGAACTTGGCATCAAATAAACCTGGCGACTCAATAAAACACCCGTAAGCAGTTTGGGATAAATGAGTCGTGGGATCGAATCGCGATTCTGGTATCTATAATTAATTAGACCTTTATTATTTGTCATAGGGGGGTTAACGGCAAATACTGGAATATGACAATCCCTGCGCTCTGAGAGCAGCTTCCATAGTTCGTCCGGGTTCGATGCCTGCGGAAATCTTCCTGCCATGCCAATGATCGCGAGCGGTCGCTTTTTTCCTTGTTTCTTTTCTTGATTGATGCTTTGGGTACCAAGATTGAATTCGACATCAATACGAACTTGGATATCGCCAGATGAGCCTATAGCAGAAACAAGACTCTTCGGCGCCGAGGTGGGACCAAAAGCTCGGATGAACCATTTCCTGACGTCGGAGCTCGAGATGATGGATTTACAATTGTCTACAATTAGTTCCCACTCGAATCGTGTATGAAGAATGTTATGGAGTGCAACTCTAAACAACGCGATATTGTTTTGTGAAGAATCTGCTGCGCCGTCTTTGTATGTAGAGTCAATGACCTTCTCGACCGAATCCGGGGAGTATAAATGAGGTGCATGGTATGGGCAATATATGGGGAGTTTGTACGGTTTCCCCTTCCCATTAAATTTGTCACCTTGCTCGAAGAGCTTTTGGAGTGTAGATGGTGGGCCACTGATGGTCACACTTTTGCTCGACGAGGCACTGGTATATGCTCTATTACGGAGTGGAATGTTCTGTAGAAATACGTTAGTATTCCATGGATGAAGAGTTAATTTGTCTTTCACTGACTAGGGATAGTTGGAATTCTTCAAGAGTTCTCTGGTCCGAAAGATCGGATTCTCTTGAAACAACTGCAGACCATGACTTGCTAGATGCGTTCAGCCCATCCAGGTCCAATGCGGCACGATGTGCGATGTTCCCAACACGAAAGGCTAGACGAACGGCCTCAGCGGCCACCGGTACAAGCTCGTGTAAACTTGACGCCCCAGCTACTGCCGCTGCTGAGAGTTCACCAAGGCAAAGTCCGATTACTAGGTCTGTGGGCGGCCGTGGATATCTTTCATGCGGATTTTCTTCATGCGAGCTAATAAGTTTCCACGTCAGGACAATCAACAATTAATGTAAGTATAACCTAAGGTAGAGGACTTACTTAATAAATGAGGCTAGCTGAATCAACACAAGTCTAGCCGCCCCTAGGGCTGGATGTGTACTGCTTGTCTCTTTTCCCCCTCCCTGAATGAAACTAAAGAGATCACGGAAAGGGAGTAGATGTCTCTCTGATGGGAATAAATTCCCATATTCTTCACTCAAAATATTTTGGCAGTCACTTAAAAATCGATTTAAAAGTGGTGGTTTGATTTCTCTGGTTAATGTTGCAATAATTGATTCATCGAATGTGTCTTGGGAACTATCACCAAATAAGATAATGAATGACTTTGAAATGGCCGCCATTGTATGTGATAGGGAGAGATAAGGGAATTTTTTGATGTGGGAGAAAAGTTTATTTCGAGTTTATCTCAGGCGGGTTCGTGATTCATTATGATCTTTTCCTTTATCTAAAGCCGACACTTTGTCGTTTTGTATACGGTCCATTTCACACCCGAAAAGGGTTAATGACAACGGCAATGCCTATAAGATAGCCAGACTACTAAGCACGTAATCTTACCAAAATCAGTAACGTATCAATTGGTTTCCATGTGTTTGAAGCTAGATAATTCTTCTGTTTGATGGTCTTTTTTTTTTAAAAAAAAAAAAAATAAAAATAAAAACAATACCTCGTCAGCCGTTGGAGAAAACCCCCGAAGATTGAACCCGGGTATTAAAAATTTCCACCATCCTTGATTCTCCGGCTAAACAAACCGCTGGCCGAACCCTTCTAGAATCCCCATCGACATCTGTGCTCACGTTAAAGCATATAGCTAGAGTTCTCAAATCTCGGAATCCCGCGTAAGCCATTTTCTGTAAATGTAATTTAATGGGAACGCTCGTCCCAAAGTAATTGGTTTTAAAATCAGTTTCAAAAAAGCAAATACAAGAAATATCAGTGGCCATTCAATCCGACATCCTATATTTCTGAAATAAACACAGAAGCCAGGACCCTGCTGCTCAGTGTCTCGACCTGAAGCATGTCGTTGCTACTTTTTTGTACTGCTGTGCTGTGCTGTATCGCGGCCGCCTTGAGCAGCCCTCGCAATGGCCCTCACGTCAACACCAGCTCTGGGCCTGTGGTAGGCTTCATTGATCGCAGCATTCCAAATGTGCATCAATACTTGGGCGTTCCATATGCTGAACCGCCACTAGGAAATCTGAAGTTCCTACCACCCAAGGCAAAATCTCCCACAAAGAGCATAACTTTGGCGAATACGATGCCTCCAAATTGCATGTACTGGCTGTCCAAACTTCCTCAATTGACAGATATTGTAACTGAATATAACCCCTCTCCAAACATGAGCGAGGACTGCTTGTATCTGAATATATTTGCTCCAACACACCCTACAGAAAATAAATTGCCAGTTCTTTTCTGGGTTTATGGAGGAGAGTGGCTTTTTGGTGGTGTTTCTTCGCCTTATGAACTTCCCCAGCGGTGGGTTAGCCGGTCGCAAGATGTTATCATTGTGCAGGTCAAGTAAGTGACTTCAATCTTTAGTATGATAAAATTGGGGAAAATGGAATTCAACGAGTGTCTAGTTATCGAGTCAACGTATTCGGCTTTCCAGGGGCACGTGGGTTGAAGGATGGAGAAAGAAATGTTGGGTTAATGGATATGCGTCTAGGGTATGGCATATAATTTCCCTTTCAGGACTTATGCGTCACGTTCTCACAACAAATTGGAATCTAGACTTGAATGGGTTCGGGACAATATCGAAAAATTCGGAGGAGACTCGGATAATATCGTCCTTTGGGGCAATGCCGCCGGGGGAGCGTCAATTGATATGCTTCAATTTGGAAAATATGCCCATGATCCCATCGCTAATGGGGTCATAGCCGATAGTGCAGTAGCCCTCCTAGCCAGTAATGGGGCCAAAGACGTGGATCATTATAGTTTCACTCATCTAGCACAGCAAATGGGCTGTCCAACAAACACCAGTGAGGCTGAACTGGATTGCATGAGAGAAGTTGATCCGTTCAAGATAGAAAATTTCTTACAAGTTTATTCTGATAAAAATTCGACGCCGCCTTTGTGGTTCAATCCAATGGCTGACAACGTGACCGTGTTTACGGTTGATCAATACGTTGAAATGGGTAGCGCAGGGAACTTTTCGAAACTGGTATGCGCACACTTGATGTTTCAACAACAAACTATAAAACTTTCAAAATGTGCTGACTTTCGTTAGCCTATGCTTACTGGGAGTAATTCAAACGAATTCGCACAGTTAACCATATTATCCGACGGCCAAAGCCCTAACTTGACTGAAATTCGAGACCAAACGATCGAAGAATGGCAATGCCCAATTATTAAGACTATTAAGTAAGTAATTTTCAAAATTAGTTCTATGGAGGGTTCCCGTTTGTAAAGAAGTGTTACAATCAAGCCTGTACTACTAGAATTTGAACTACTGCTAAACACTGAAAATTATCAATCAGTTACCGTCGACAGGCAGGAGCCTTAACCTATAGATGGTATTACGAAGGCAATTTCACAAACATATCACCACAGTACGTTATAAGTCATAAGACCTCATGGCTCCCATTTTACTTTTACTAATTATATCCTTCCTGCATGTGTAGGCCCTGGATGGGTGCATATCATTTCTCTGAATTACCACTTTTAGCTGGGACCCACTCGCTCTACCGGTCCAATTCAACTGCTTATGAGTATGCTGTATCACACGAGATGCAGTCACTCTGGAGGGCCTTTGCAGCAAACCCAAAGAATGGTCTTTCTCGGATTGGATGGCCAGAGACCGGCTCAAGCGGAAAAGCTATGGGTATAGCCCTAACAGATGAAGGTCAGCTGTCAGCCGGGCTAAAAGTATTGGAATTGCTTGACAGCGTCCCTGGTGACTCAAAGTGCGCTTGAAGAAATTTCAAAAGAAATTTACAGATAAAAACTATTAGTTTATCAAAATAAGATACCGATTAAATATTTTCGGAATCACCTACCCCGTCAAAGACTTAGAAATTATCGAGAGCTGCCAATTGTGCAAGAAAATGTAGTCAATTTCAAACAATTGTATATCGTGGAACTTTGTGATGAATCGATTTATAAATTCAATTGATATAATGATTGAGGTTCACCATTAGTCGAGTCCGTCATTTAAGGGAAATAACATCAAACACCAAGAAAACATCGAGAGCGCTCTAAAGATTCCACAAACCTGAATTCTATGCCTATGTCTTGCGTGATAGTTATTTTAGGCACACAGATGACTAATCTAAATTTAGAATTAAAGTGTGGAAAAGTCATAGCTAAAATTTTGGATACCGCTAAACTGTTTATCCTGCGTTCGTTTACAGATCTCAGACCTGTCCTCTTCGGTACATGTTTTCCCTTTGACTCTGCGAGTCTCAAAGTTGAGAAAGCTGCACGATTAAATCCCCGGTTACTTTAGAGTTTTAAAATGGAAAGTATCGGGTACGCTTCCACATTTCGATAATTAAGTGCCGGCGTTTCAATTCGGGGGATCAACGTGGAAATATCTAAATTCTTTGCTAACGTGGCTTGGAGTGCAGATCTCCGGGATTCAGAAAAAAGGTTTTTTTTCTATCAAGTTATACTCACATATCCGTTATAATTCAGTGTAATTAGTTGGATTTGATTTTCAGCACTAACATGCTCGATAACAGGCCAAAGCCCCGAAATAGCAACTAGAATTTCTATATAGACACTGTGTATCCATGTACCGTACATAGGATTCGATCATTCTCCACGAATTGGGAAAAAGTCAAATATTTAAGAGATTGCTAAAAGAAGTATAACAAGTATGCCGTTCATCACGCGCGAGGAAACTGTATCTTTGGAGACACTTGCTCTAAAAATAGGAGCATCGGCTTTGGAAATTAGGGAGATTCTAAATTCTCAAAAGGCTGCATACCCAACTCTTAATGAGAAAGGATATCTGGCATTTTCTACTGCAGAATATGAAAACCATGAATTGCGGAAATTGAGAAATACCATCATTAATCATGCTCACGATCTGATCAGATTAGCATCGGGTCCAACTGATCATATTCTGGGGTTGGCGTTCTCGGTAAGATTAATATATCTTAATGTTGCTTTTCAACTTTCTAGACTGACTTAACAACCATTATAGGCTGTAGACCCCTCCAATTTAGGAATAATTGTCCGTTTTGGCATTCCCCAAGCCTTACCTCTGGGGTCAAAGATGTCGGCTGAGGATCTAGCCAAAGCGGTCAATCTGCCGACCGACGTACTTACACGAGTTGTACGTCTGGGGGTTTGCAATGGAATTTTCCAGGAACTAGAAACTGGTTGGTTTGGTCACAGTGCAAGCTCGGCCTTGCTAGCAAAAAGCGAGCATTTGAGAAATATTGCCGTTTTTGGCACTCATGAGTTATCTAGCGCATTGATAAAGCTACCGGACGCTTTGAAACAACAACAGGAGCTAGGTGCCAAAGGGCCTCATGCCGCTTTCAATTTAGCCTATCCTGACTACAAGGATGCTTTTGACTACTTCAACAACAATGGAGAAGGAAATAGTCGCTACCACACCTACCTTGAGGGAAGGGTAAATACATCTCGTTGGGCTGTAAACCACCTCAAGTCCTCTTGGCGTTGGAGCACCATTGGGTCAAGCACGGTTATAGATGTGAGTTTATTTGCCCCAGTGTAACAGCCCGTCTACCCTAGCTCACTAACTATATTCCCCTTTCAGTGTGGAGGCTCCATCGGACATACATGTATGGCTGTGGCCCCTCTCTGTCCCAAGGCTACCTTCATCGTGCAAGACTTTTCGGAGGAGCCGATGGCAGTTGGACAGGAACTCATTCGAATGAGCTATCCAGAGCTCCAAAATCAGATCAAGTTTATGAAGCACGATTTTTTCAGTCCACAAACTGTTACTGCTGATATTTATATTTTTCGGCATATTCTTCATGACTGGAGCGACGAAGATTGCCTGCGCATCCTCCGAGCGTTAGAAGGCGCATTGAAGCCTGGTGCAAAGGTTCTGGTCAGTGAAGGAGTGGTACCCGAGTCTGCTGCTCGTGCAACGGGTGTTCTGGATGAAAAACAGATTCGGTAAGCTCTATTACCTGATCCTTGACTACAAAATCGAATTATTATCCATCAGTTTCACCTACTAATTGTTTTTTGTCTCCAATAGAATTGAAGATGCATTCATGCTGTCCGTTCACATGGCTAAAGAACGCACTGTGTCGGATTTTGTGGCTTTGTTTCGCCAAGCTAGTCCCAAATTTCGATTCTGTGGTGTAACTGGTGGTTCAGACGGTGCCTTTCAAAGTTTGCTGGAGTTCGCGTACACGGATATCTAGGCTGGAGCAGCATATTTGTTTACATATAGACATACTATTACATGTAGTCGATGAAAATTTACATATATTATTTAACATATGCGATGACACACAACATCCCTATTCTTTTGTATAATGGTTTCAAATATCATAGTATGGTTCATATGTCAAGATCACTCACTATCTTATGTCAACATATTGAATATCTATTCTTCAGTCTGCTCACCAGACCCCTGTTGATATTAAATAGTCCTAATTGAGAAATTAGAATATCAGTATCCAAAATTCTCTAATAACATCTTACCTGGTTGGTTTAATATGATCCTTATACGTTATTACTAGATACTTCATACAAGCACCTTTGCTTGGGAGCGTGTCAAGGAGGCAAAAAGCTTATCGCTTGTATTTTATGGAAAGGTAAAGGCAAGATTTCAAAGTTCTATGGTTCATTTTTCCTATGGACCGGTTTTGTATGTTTTCATTCATCATTTATGCTACATTCGTTCATTTCAATTTAAAAATTTACCATCCTGCTCGAACCGGAATATTCGACCATGCTTCTGGCCAGGCCGCACCACGAATAAGATCGAAATGAATTGTTCCATCCATTGGACGATCGCTTCCACTGTCAAGAGCTGCTGCTGCTGCGGGCAAAAACATGTCTTGCTTGACTTTGAATTCTGGGAGATGATCGAACGGTTTGGACACTTTTTCTGCATGGGCAATAGCTCTTACAAGCTTAGACATATGTCCGTCATCCTCGTGTAAGCAAGCCCTCTGGAAAATGATAGTCCAATTGGAGACAGGTAGTTTTGGCTTTTGGCTGAGCAGCCAGTCGAGTCGAGGTTTAGGACAACCCATACTCGCATACAGCATCAAAATAACTCTCCCGGTGTATTCGAGAAGTCGTGCTTTTTGATGGTTTGTCAGAGATGGCTCTTCTAGCAAGGAAGTGTGCCAGATGGAAGAATTAGTTCCATGGATTAGGAAAAAGTCGTAACGGCATTCGTGAGGAGGGAGTTGGGCACTCGCCGCCGCATAGACTATATCATGGTTAGATTTCAAAGCCAAATAATCGATTATTGGGGATTGGTTGGGGCAAGAAAAATCCTAAAATATACCTGCAGTGTTAATCAACTCAGCAGTAGCCCGTTCGAGATCATTGGGGTCCACTCTGTATCGAGCTGCTATTCTCCCCAACTCCTTGCCGGCGTTCGCGCAAACTCCATCTCTAACCATCTCTTTTCGTAGTACAAACTTCCCGTTTTCGAACTGTTGAAAATATTCAATACTTGAGCAATGGACAACCACCGGGTCTTTAAGGCACTCTTCCACACATGCACTCAATGGCAAGGCGCTTTCCTCTTGGCGCTTTGCGTCTGTTTCCACGCGATGAAGAAAATCTGTGTACCAGTAGTCATGATGGACAGCTGCCTGGGCAAATCCTTCTGCCATGATAGCGGGGAGTTTGAACTCCAGCCCAATGCCGATGTGCATGAGAGAATGAACATAGCCTTTCGAAGAGTTGGGGTTAGCAAGAGAAGAGTATGTACGTTCTGGTTTCAATGTTATGCTTACCCATATACATGCGCGGCAGCATATCCATTCCCACTTCACCTTCATCCACGAGATACTTCTGTAAGACCGCTGGATATCCAAGCCGCTGGATTTCCTGTTCAAAGAAGTGCACAAAGTCAAGATAATATGCTTCATCTCCGAGTAAGCTTTTAAACTTCTCTGGATCCGACATCTCTTGTACTACATGACGCTCTTCTCTCTTTGGAGGGTCTCGTTGATATAAAGTGTTTCTTTTGTGGTGAGTCTCGATTTGAGACGGGGATGCTCCAAGAGCCCAAAGGGTGATGTCATGGTGGACGATGTGATTATGCAAATAGATCTTTGCGTTGACGAAAACATGTTGTTAACTGATGTGCGAGACTCAAAACATCTGCATTATGAGACATACCCCTTTTTCCTCTTCCTCGGTAGTAAAGATGTGATAGTCTGCATGATTTTCACGCAGCAACTTGGCGCAGGTCTCGGCACTCTCGTGGGTGAGCACTTCTGCATGCGTCATTCCTGGAGTGCATGTTGGACAGAGGTTGATATTGCGAACGGGATTTTCCATTTTTGCCGCTTAAGTTACAATTGAGAGATGGCCTAGTGCTACAAAGTAGTTTGAAATAAAAAGTTCTTCAATTTGCTTGGCAGAGAGATTCGTATGCTGAGTAGAGACAAGACACGTATATCATACAATGCAACAAGTCTCAACTTGGTCTATATCATATCATTTTCTTGCCATCTCGCCCCTTCGCCCTCAAAACCTCGTATTCGGCCGGCTTCATCGAAGCAAATAAACACAACAGGTAAATAAAGTGCGGTGCAGTCTCGTTTGAATGTCCGAACGTATCCTCCGATTTCCTGGCATCATCTCACGAGACTGCGGGGGGGGTGATCTTCGTCCTAATGGGTGTTGTTCTTGATATTCCTGTGATCAACAAAAGCATCAAAAAGCCAACTCCAATTGGCCCAAAAGATGTATTCGGAAGAAAGATTTATTAGATCTGCTACACTTACATCCGTAGATCCGTTAGACCCGTTAGGTCCGTTAAATCCGGCCCTGGTGACCAGCAGGGATGAATATGGGTGAATGTTGAACCTTTGAATCGCCGACCTTTCCGCGTTCGGACTACGCTTGGGCATCCTCGGTAGATCGGCCAGCAACGGCGAGGAGAGGATCGGCACGGTAAGACAGGACCCTTGTTTTTGTTTTGAGCCGGGATCAACTAGATTATCGCTTCAGGACTCAGGATCAGTACTATTTCCGTTAAGGCCGAATTGTTTTTGCATGCAACTTGTTGGAAATGCGAAATGGCGACGATTCAGCAATCCAAGAGACGATTTTCAAGATCTGTCAATCAATAAAACAGAAACCACAGCGGACAGGCATGAGCCTTTATCCAATCTGCTGCCCGCTGTGCACGTTTCTATTCAAATAAGTGAATTCTTCACTTACATTCCTTTGGGTTCGGCACAGCTTCTCAAATAAGAATACCTTTTCACTTTCGACGCTGTCACAGAAAGCGAGACAAAAGGATCAAGATGGGACCGGATATCAAAGAGGCACCCCAAAAGAAGTTTGGGCCATGGCGCATCATCTGTGATCAAACTCTTATTACCGACGAGGTCATCTCATTTCAATATCCAGGTGGTGGTACACATGACGATCCATACGTGGTAGATTGGATTCCTGGAGACCCTCGCAACCCTCTACGGTTTTCTCCCCTGTGGAAATGGATTATTACGGTCACAGCAGCATTTGGAACTTTAGCGGTGTCTTTTGCTAGCACTGCATTTTCCGGAGCAATGCCTCAAATCAAGTCGTACTTTGGGGCGTCCGATGAAATCGCGACACTGACGGTTTCCCTATTCGTGCTCGGTTTCGCGATTGGACCGATGACCTGGGCTCCATTGTCAGAGTTGTACGGGCGGCAGCTTCTCTGGGTAACAACCTTCTTTTTCATGACGGTCTTTGGAGGCGCCAGCTTGGCTAGTGAGAATGTGGCAACCCTGATAGTGCTGCGTGCCTTTGCTGGTGCCATTGGAGCGTCAAGTATCGCAAACTCAGCGGGTGTGATATCAGATATCTTCACCGCGAAAGAACGCGGTCTTGGCGTGACGATTTACTGTTCTGCTCCATTTCTAGGCCCGACATTAGGGCCCATTACAGGTGGATTTCTTGCGCAGGCCGCTGGATGGAAATGGGTCGATGCCATGACTGTGATATTTTCGGGGGTCATGTGGATAGTAGGAGGGTTAATCATCCCAGAGACATATGCGCCATACCTCTTGATCCGTCGAGCAACAAAATTGTCGAAAATGACCGGAAAGGTTTATGTCTCGAAGCTGGAACTTGAAAAAGGGCGAAAGAAGCCAAGCGTTCTGTTTCGCACAGCAATGACACGGCCGTATATTTTTCTCGTTATGGAACCGATCGTGCTATCGCTGAGCGTGTATATGGCAATTGTGTATGGTACGCTATACATGATCTTCAGCGGGTTCCCCGTTGTCTTTGAAACAGAGAGACACTGGTCACAAGGTATTTCCGGTCTATCTTTCGTCGCGAATATGCTCGGTCAGATTGGAGCCTTGGTTGGATACTCTGTCTTTTTTGACGTACGATACCGTAAGGCTCTAGAGCGTGCGGGGGGATATCTACCGCCTGAGGAACGCTTAAAACCGGCCTTGATCGGTAGTGTGTTTCTCCCAATAGGACTTTTCTGGTTCGCATGGACAACATATTCCCACATTCCCTGGATTGTGCCTATGCTTGGAAGTGGCGTGTTTGGGTTTGGTCAAGTCCTGGTCTTTCTCAGTATAATGAATTACTTAATCGATTCTTATACCATCTACGCTGCCTCTACCATGGCAGCTAATGCGGTACTTCGAGCTGTATTTGCAGCGGCTTTGTGAGTTCGGCGTTTTTTTTTCCTAGCATAAATTTCGTACTAATATGTCAAATTTAAACAGCCCTCTCTTCACAACTTACATGTATCGAAATCTCGGCGACCAATGGGCGAGTTCCGTACCGGCATTCTTGTCACTCGCATGCGTTCCATTTCCCTTTCTATTCTTCAAATACGGGGAGGCGATTCGTATGAAATGCAAATACTCTGCAGAGGCGCAGAGAGCTTCGTCTCAACTTCAACGGTCGGTAGCTGAAAAGCATGTGTTCCAATCAGAGAGTCCAGCGGGTATTCGTGATTCGGATCCTGAAGCCTAGACAATCTCCTATATACCTGGTACTATGGGGATATATGATCAAAGAAGCAGATGGAGGGTATATTCGCTTCGTGGAATGCCACACTCACCGTGCAAAGGGGGGAAACTGTCTTGGGAGGAGCAATTGGTAACCCTCCAGCTACCGAACGATAGTGCCCCTCGATGAAGGCCCCTGCATTTATAGAATATAGATAATGACGAAGCATATACTAATGAGATAGACAAAATCGTAGTCTTGGTGTGACTGAGAAATGTGAAGAAGCCTTCATTGTATAATTATTGTTTCATAGAGCCAAATCGGTGACACCATTGGGCCGATACAGTACGTCGAGTAGTATATCTTATACAGCGTGACCAATACTGCTTAGAGTTGGTGATCCATTGATAAATCCGATGGAATTAATAGGGTTCTTTGTCTGAAGTCTCCCTGCACTCTCTGTGCAGGCTAGCTCCGAACATCCTAATATAATTGGTAAAAGGAGATATTGAACCAGTTTCCTTGGCATGACCTTAAGACCACCTTCGATTTTTTTGTTTTCTCCGCGGATTTGAACGTGCATCATTCTTTATATCTATATTAAGAACCCATATTGGTGGCATACACATATTGTATGGCAGTTATGCAATGTTAAGTGAAGGATGGCGGTGCATTATTAGCGCTAATAACTGAATTAATAACAAAGAGTGCATCTACATCCTCTATGCCGTGCAAATCTTGCTGGGCCCATATTCTCCGTATCATCTGTTCCGTCCAGTCGAGGTTGCTCAACGTCCTCTCCTTCCTTGTACGCTGAAGGCTCTTAATCATTAGCATCCTATCGGAGTCACTCTCCGCTTGGAGTGACAGAATGAACATGGGAAATGGCCGTTCACAAACCCCGAGGTCCCTCAATATGCTAAACGACTGCTCAGCAGCGGCTCGAGATACGAGCGAGGAGATTGGAGATCCTCTGACCACACGATCCAGGTATATAAGAGTTGCGAATTGGAATAACTGGGCAATCGCAGTATAGTGTTTCCTGCTTCCAATAGTGTGATATTCTTCATCGTCAATCCCACTACAGAGCTGCTGGTCGATAGCACGGAGCCGCCGTTCAAGGCTTTCGATGGCATACTGGTGACTTTTGGAAAGGAACCCGGGGTCATTGCGATCTTGTCCAGCTAGGTCCACGGCTTGGCCTAGGAGATTGAGAAGCTCGAGTGAGCAACCAAGAGTGCTCTGAATCTAGAAGAAAATCAGTACCCACGCCAATATTGCATTATGTATATAGAAAATATTCATACGATGTGACGGTTGGGGTTGAAGATGGCCTGAGAAATGACCATCTCCCGGTTTGCAATTCTTTCCTGCTCTACGGTACGCTGCTGCCAATGGCGTATGCTGAACTTGTACAAGACGTTATGATAGAATACCCAGTCCAGGAGGGTTGCAGCATCCCCACCATAGGATCTGTGCTCCTGATGCCTAGACTTTACAATCATTAGAGAGCCGTCAAAGTATACGGACCAATTCTTAGCCATGCCAGACCGGTCAACGGCCTAACGTACCTTGTCAGCAAGGAAGAATTAACGTTAAAAAGAGATGTCTTGCCTCATATATGCTCAGGAGCATGCTTGCAGCGATTGCTTGAGCCCAACTCTTAGAATCCAGCACCTGACTAAGAGCCTCTCGCAAAGCAGAAACTGCTCTCATGCGGTTGTAGGCTGATTCACGTGACCTCTGGAGATAGAGGTAGGTAATAGCATTCATCGAGTAACGGACGGCAAGAGATGGGGGTAACTCGTCAGTGAGCGACATGCGATAGAGAAGGCTACAGACGTCTCGCCGTAGGTCCCCTCGGGAGGTGATCATTTCAATGGCCGAAGCGTATTCTTGAGTAGAGAATTTTCAGCCCAATACTCGAAGTTAAGCACAAATATAGGAGCTTACGTGCAGGGGCCATATATGTGCCGAATTGTGGCGTCTGTAAAGAGCGACTCGGGCCAGGAATATGCCAAACGCCCATATGGTTTACTATAGAGCCGGTAGTTAGGAAGAAGCTACAAGGTCAAGGCAGATCCATAGCGACATACTAGGCGAATTTCTCTCGATATACAGACTGGTATCCCAGATGAATGTGTTTAGGAATACGACGGGGCCAGGCAACTTGCGGCTTGGCACATTAGCCGTAACAGCACGACGTGTATCCCCAGCATGAGGCCAGGATAGGCTGAGTGAGTACCCTGAGCACTCTTTCCCTCGCCTCATACAGGTGCCACAAGTTGGCAGCGTCCTGTCGCAGGCAATTTTGCGATCTGAGCTTCGTTGTTTCGTTAGCTCTCGTTCATTCTTGGGTTGGCATTCTCGTACGCCGGCAATTCAAACAGGACTTCCGTGCCCGAGTACTCATAGTCTCCTCCATAGTGGAATTCTACCTAACCTAAGGGAGGTTCTCGAAGAGTCAACAGAGATAATGCGCGATTAGCAACATTGAATGCATATGGAATGCAGCGAGTCAGGCTGACAGAGTTAGATGGCTTATAATTGTCCTTTCGGTATATGATAATTTGTATATTTAGAGTAATAACTGATATTACAATTGGGAAGCGCGTTCTTTTAATTTATATAGGAGTGTTATTAGTTTATATAAATAATCTCTTAAGAATCTGACCTAATAAGATAAGTCTTATTACGTAATTTACGGGGATCAGAGCGTCCCTCATGGCCTTGGAGATTAACGTTGGTTGGTGTCTTCTTATTGGTGCGCGGCAGGCCGATTAGTAAGGACTGAATCGTCACATCTGTAACCACGACCACACATGGCTTTGATTACCTCCGGCTATAATTAGTGAGCCGAAGAATTTAGCTAAAAGTAATTATAGTTCATAGAAACCTTACCCGAAACGGCAATCCAGAAGTTTCTCCAATCATCGCGTCAACCACAGCAGCGCAGCCTTAAAGCTGAGGAGATTGTGGAGCCATGATGTTGGTTTGCCTTGTCAGCAATGAGTGCTCTAGCATTTTACCCTACTATTTAATGGCTATCACGCCCCGTATAGATTTCTTTTTCATATTGCCAGGCTTATACGGGTCATGAGACTTGGGTGCCGAATTATTGTTTCCCTCTTTGTTATTTTCCCGCTTCCTTTACTAGGATCTCTCATTGGAGAGATCTAAGCCTCCACAAAATGCTGTCTCATTCATACCTTGAAAAGCTGGCAGCTCTGCTTTCCGTCATTGGCAGTGCCTGGGCAAAGACCGTCACTACCACAAATGGAACAATTGAGGGCGGCAAATGCGACGGTTACGACGTAAACTCTTTCCTGGCAATTCCATATGCTCAACCTCCTGTGGGAGACCTTCGCTTTGCCGCGCCAGAACCATATAACACGACATACGATGGGGTCCTGAATGCCACGTTGAAGGCCCCCAACTGCCCTCAGTTTACCACCGGCGGTGAACTTGTTGAAGGGGCATTCTCTGAAGACTGGTACGCTGATATGATTCCCAAAACATTAAGTTCTGTATATGCTAACCCAGAGCTCTGATAGCCTGTACGTGGACATCTGGGTCCCAGCGAGTGCAACCGAGAACTCAAAGCTACCAGTCAAGGTTTGGTTGTTTGGTGGTAGTAATAAGGGTGGGAGCATCTCAATGGCTCTCTACGACGGCTGCCCCTCGGCCAGAGATAGCATCGTTGTGTCGGTTAACTACCGCCTCGGCCCCCTTGGATTCCTGGCGTACGAGGATGCTGGCCTTAGAGGCAACTATGGTATTCAAGACCAGCTACTAGCACTGAATTGGGTTCAGAAGGAGATCAGCGCCTTTGGCGGCGATCCGGACAAGGTTCTGCTATTTGGGCAGTCGGCCGGCGCTTACGACACCTACGTCCTCAGCTCTCTGCCCCAGGCACCCTCTCTTTTCCGCGCCGCGGCCATGATGTCAAGCGGAGGACATGATTCGCCAAACCTAGCTTGGACAAAGCCATTTTATTCGGAATATATTAGCGGAGTTGGCTGCGACCTGGATCAACCTGACTCCATCACCAAATGCTTGCGCAGCACATCCATAACGGCTATGAACAAGACGTGGCAGGCTGAAAACAGCGCCGGCCCAGACGTCCCCACTGTAGGCACGTATTATCATGGCAATGGCATCGGTAGCGCTTGGCTTGCTGTGGTTGACGGCGAGGTAGTCCCCGAGAACCCGGGTAAGGTTGGTTCTCGCGTTCCAGCCATCTTTGGCAACACAGCCAATGACGGCAGCATCGACGTTCTTACGCAATATGGCACAGGCATTGTGAATATTACTGAGGCCGATTACAATACGTATTTGTCCTACAGCTTTGGGTCGCTTGCATCCACCGTCAAGAAAACGTACCCTTGGAGTGCTTTTAAGGACTCGCCGTATCCCGGTTTCACGGCCATGACAACTATCAGCACTGACTACTCCGAAGTATGCACCAACTACCGTGGCCTGAAGCTTGCTGCAAAGAATGGTATCAATGCCTGGGCCTATAACTTCAACCACACCAGCACCTGCGCGTGGGGATTTGATGTGCCTCAGTCAGATGAGATTCTCGCGATTCTCGGTGCGACGCACACGAGCGACATCCCTTATGTCTTCGGACAGACCAAGGGACTACCCAGACCTGACGGAAACTGCAGCTTCACTAAGGCTGAGGACGCCATCAGCGACTTCATGGTCGAGGCATGGACAAGTATGGCGGCCAATGGACAGCCAGGCAACAGCAGCCAGTGGCCAGTATGGACACCCAGTAAAAGCGAGGGTATCACAATCAACAATGTAGTGGATATCGGACCGTTGGACTATAAGGCGTGTGAGTTTTGGGACCAAATCCTTGACGCCGCGCTTGCACTGGATGCCAATGGCACCACCACAAATGCATCCACTGTAACTGCCTCTAAAAGTGCGACCCCTACGATGACGACATCTCCAACTTCCCCACCAACGTCGAGCAGTAACAGCTTCTGGGCTCCCGGGGGAATTATATTCTACTTGTCTCTCTTCGTGACCATTTTGGTCATTTGAGAATCTATCTCTAGGTAACCGTTAGGAAATAGATTTTTACAATTCACAGCAATCATGTTGATACGCCAACCGAAATGAGACGACTAAGAACCAATTCCTGTCCATTAACAATATCCACACTAGACTTAAACACAACACAGATTTAATTACTCTCTTATAGTTTACACAGGCGAACTTTGGTAGGGGTCAGTTGAGGGTTATGGCACACTCGCCATCGAGTGATGAACCGGAATTCGTTATTAGATGTAGTGGAAACTTCAAGCAAATGTCAAGAGATAATTTATCATAGTCATTTTGTCATTTGTTTCACTTGTCCATGGCGAGCGAACTTTACCACAGTTGCAACATCAACAGGCGCTAGCAACACCCTATCCTTGCCAAGACTACGGTAGCTGCGCCACCTAGCACAACAGCGTCGTGCCTAAGGAAAGAGACTCAAACTATATATAATGAAAAAGTAAATAAAACTATATTTAAGATATTTTTACTAATAAAAATTTACTAAAATCTGTTAGAGCTTTCTATAGAAGGCTAGCTAATACTAATTTAGATAGATAGTAAAAGATTTTTTTATATTAATTTATTTCTAGACTAGCGGGTCTACTAGGTTCTGTCCAACTACAGCATGTCGTGACGTCAGCCATCCTAGCTTCCGTAATCCACCTTAGGATGGGCAACTTTGTCCGCATGAAAAATATAATCACTTAGATATTCTGTACCTTATATATTTAGAGCCATGTCTTATGTATATTCCAGCTCGATCACATACCGACGGTCAAAGCAGCCTCTCTATACCAGTTGACTTATTATTGCACTTTGAAGTCAGAGCTTCGCTATGGCAGTAACTAAACTCCTAATCACTGGCGCCACCGGATATATGTAAGTCTTCTAGGGACTAACCCTAACCATAACCTACTAACGCTAGCCAGTGGAGGCTCCGTCCTGACAACCTTACTTGCATCCACGCACCCTGAGATCAGGGGAATTAGCATATCAGCCCTAGTCCGCAAGCAGGAGCAAGCAGCTATCCTGAAGGAGAAAGGTGTCAACGGTGTCGTTTTCAGTGGCCTTGACGATACGGACTTTGTAAGAAAGGTCGCCAGCGACCACGACTTCGTCATAAATACCGCCAGCGCATTCCACTTTCAGGCGGCCGAGGCTATAATTCTCGGCCTTGCAGACCGCAAGAAGCAGACAGGCAAGGATGTGTATCTGATACATGTACGTAACCTCCTCCTTGTTCGAAACAAGCATGAACTGAACAAGCCCAGACCTCCGGTACATCGAGTCTCGGTGATTTTCCAATCACTGGCTCTTATACCGAGACGCGAGTCTTGTCCGATAAGGACAATATCTACGCCTACCAACGCTACCGCGAGGATTTAGAGCCCTACCAGCAGCGAACCACCGACCTTGTCGTCTTCGAAAAGGGTGAGGCTGCTGGCATCAAAACTTATATTCTCATGTCACCAACTATTTACGGCTTGGGGAGTGGGTTATTTAATCGCATCTCTATCCAGATCGATGCTATAATGCGCGCTGCCCGTCGTGATGGTTTCACATCTGTCATTGGTTCCGGTGCAGCCGAGTGGGATCATGTCCACATCGAAGACTTGGTCCAGCTATACGAGTTAGTGTTCGCTCGTCTGCTTGCTGGGGACGACCTACCATCCAACAAAACGGGAATATATTTTAACGAGACCGGACACCACTCCTGGCGTTATGTATCGGAGCGCATCTCAAGGGAGGGAAAAGCATTAGGGTATCTAGCATCTGATGAGGTGCGTGAGGTTTCACTTGAGGAGTGGATTACTAGATCTGGAAAAGCCCTATCACCCCGTACGGTGGAATTGGGCTTTGCGTCACGGTCGCGGACCCGGGCGGATTTAGCCCGCGAGATTGGATGGAAGCCGACGAAGACAAGGAAGGACTTCGAAGATAGTTTCATCGATGAATGGAAGGTGATTGCAAAGGAAGGATAAGGGGGCCACCTGTATTTCTGACAGAAAAGTTCTTTGATAGGCGGGCCAATACCCGGGTCTGCATGGCATCCCATCGAAAGGAGACTAGGATCGCTAATCTCGCAAATCTCTACAGTTATAAAAGAAAAAGAAAAATAAATGATCATTTACCTTCTCTTTTACAGACAAATAAAAATAGCATTCAAATTTTCAACACCATCACTTACTAAATACAACCGTATTTGTACAGAATAAGCTACACAGAAAAGAACTCTAAATCGATGCATCAGCGGCTTTTTTCTCCCCCTCTCCCTCAAATCTCGATACCTGTTGGTCAAGCGGTGCTTCTCCAATGGTAACACCATTAGCCAGCTCGTCAAGATTGATCCTAGGGCCGGTAAAGTTCTTCCGTCCGTCGACGATCCATTGGAAGGTGGAGACGATAACGACAATACCGAAGACGACGACACAGTAGTCTGTGTTTGCGGTTAGTGATGACTTTTTTTCTTTGGTGAAGATATACGACATACTCATGTTACTGCCGGTGACCGGTAATTCTGGCGGGAAGAGAAAGAGGACCGTAGTGAGTGCGATGTAGACGAGAGAAATCTGCGTGGAAACAAGTGTTAGTATTTGGATAATGTGGTAGTGAAGCATAAGACATACGATATTGGCAGTCCAAGCAAGTGGCTCGGGCATTTTCCAAGGGCTCTCAGCGATCATTCTCCGGCCGCGGACGACATTAATGAAGATAGGGATGCCGTAGGACAAGTCAAGGGCAACTACAGAGACGGAAATGATAGCGTTGAACGCACTAAAGAAATTCCATTAGTAAAGATTACTCTTTTCTTCGAAGGAATGATATCGTACCTTGAAGAACCGAGGAAAATGAGACCAAAAATGATGACCAACACAGTAGTCAAGTACAAGGCGTTCAAAGGGACCTTCAGCTTCAGGTGAACACGGGAAAAGAATGGAGATGCAGGAAGACCGCCGTCTCGAGCGAAAGCGTAAATCATGCGGCTGCTAGTTGTCATGATAGAAGTTGCAGTGAAGAGCAAGCAGACCAAAGGAATGCTAATGGCATTGACTATTAGATTTACTGCTAGCCATTTCAAAGATATACATTCACTTACATGAGAAGACAGATAGCTCCGGCGTTGCTTTTTGTTGCGTTGTAAAGGATCTGGAGTAGCGGGCCGGCTGAGGAGCTGATGATATCGTTGATATCTCCCGGTACGAAAAGTAAGACAACCAAGAAGACAGAGCCGGTGAAAGTGCCGATGCAAACGCAGTAAATCATGATCTTGGGGCCTACAATAGACGCATTGGGAATCTCTAGATGGATATTAATATTTGACGCCATGAGCACGGTTGAATAATATCTCACCCTCGATCATATGCGCCACGGCATCCTAAATATTGTAAGTGATTATTCAATGAAGTGAATAGGATATACCTACATAGCCCGTAATTCCGAACCCGCCTTGGAGCAGCTAGATACTGTTAATATTTGGTTCAGTGGCGGTTGCTCAGTCCACTTACTCCCAGAAGCCAGGCAATGCCGTCGGGCCATCCAGTCTGGTTCAAGAACTCACGAAACACGAAGCTGCAAGCTGTTAACCGATTTCTGGGATGATAAATACAGACGCAATAAAAAGATAAAACTCACTCTCCGGAACTGTAGTTTGGTGAAGAGCATGCCAGCACGGCAATGGAAATGACCACGAAGCCACCAATAGACCAGATGACTAAGAATTGTCAGTGGACGGCTTATTCTAAGAAATCGACTCGTAGGGAGAATATCTTACAGGCGGCTCGTGTCACAAATGGCAAGGTAGAGTTCATAAACGCGTTGACAAAGAAAGCGACGAGGTTGTATCCAATGTAGATCAGGAATTGATGCCATCGCTCGGCGACATAGCTCTGTAAAGCATTAGGTAAGCCTTCCTAATAAAACACTCCCATACATACCGGGTGCATCAAAGAAATAACACCAATGATGAGCTGGCTGGCTAGGAGGCCGGCGGTAGCGACAAGAGCAACCTGACCTGTTAGTAAATTCTCTGGAGTCATTTAAGAACGAACTCACCCATCCAGCGCAATTGATCCATCCGGTGACGAATGACAGAATGGGGATCCATTTCTTCCATGAGACTAATTCCCATTAAAAACTGCTTGGTGTTAAGACTGTTTAATTAAACTTACTAACTGTGACACTGGTTAGAAATTTCTATTCTTTATTTTATACCGAATCAAAACTTACCAGCAACCCAATGGTATTGCCCACCAGCGCTACCCTAATAATCAGATTCTGTTGTTCACCGTCATATGCGCCTAGAATCCTTTAACTTACGTAGGATAGGCAGAAATGAATTCGGCCAAAGATGCCGCAATAGACAAATTGCAGATACCAGCAGTAACCAGACCTAGCATCCGATCAGCCAATTATCGCGCCAATAACAAGCATGCTCCGACTCACCCCAAACGACACTGCTGCTCCCGCCGGATGGCAAACTTAGGGATAAACTCGAGGAAAGAGCGGTCCATGACTGGTGTGAAAAGGGGAAGGGTTAGCGTGATCAATAGATGATGTTCGGAAGCACTTCCATACATTCAGAATAGCAAATGCAAGACCCAGCATCGACCTAAAAGAAATACAATATCTCATCAGCACGGTGTCCTCATCTAAACTATCAACGCAAACGCGGTGCTCACAGCATTGAGAAATTGCGCTGCAGTTCGGCCTTGTGGCCCATGGCTGCCAATTGCGCATCATCATCGGTAGGCTGCTTATGTTGATCCGTCATGGCGTTGAAAATTCCACGGGATGACTGGTTTGCCACCTCAACAACACAGATACAAGCAACAGGAATCAACAGTCTTCCACGCGACAGCAGTTGGGAATTGACAACGGCAATAATAATTAGCGACACGAGAGTTGCAGCAGCGCAGAAAAAGAAAAGAAGATAAGTAGCTGTGATGAAGGATCCTGCGGGGGGCCAGTTCTTCTCCAGGTTTACGACCGCACGGATCCAGCCAATAGTCGCGTGGCAAACAGCTCTACTCTGGCTATCCCCTTGATTGGGCGGCGCCTCGGCGATTACAGCCAATCGCAGGGCATCGGCACCCGGGATCAGCGAGAAACAAGCAATGGGGAGTGTGGGGTCCCGACGCCCAATTACAGTGGCGGAAACGCCCATCCGACCGGGTCATGGAAGGTCCGCAGAAGAAATGAAGAACGATAACGGCGGTCCCGATGGGGCCCCTGACACATATTCAATATTAATTGATATTAATTGATATTAGAAGTAAATGGAGGATTGTTGTTAGGACCGGAGGATCGGTATCCACTGATAAGAGTAGAGAGTGCTTGTAAAAGCATTGGATAAGTGCATACATGTAATGCAAGATATGTACGCGTGGCGCGCCGCTCATGTCGTATATCAATTGATGTTCAGCCTACATATGTATATACAGGAAATGGTAGAAGCAGCCAGCGCGCGGACTGGCAGCAATGCAATGGTATCAATGGATAGCAATCCAAACGTCTTTTGTCGCGTTCACTTCAAATGATCCGTTTTTACAACATAATCAGCCCCCTCTCCATCCTCCATCCCATCGACATCCGCCTCTTCCCCAACATCGTATGTTTGAGACGGGATGTTGCCATTCCGCGAACTCGGTTGATAGCCATCAAACGAGGAATCAGAGTCTCCTCCGCTAACTGGCACCGATTTGCCCTTGCCTTTTCCACTCGCAACGGACACAATTCGCCCCTTTCCTCGCCCACTACTGGCTCCTGTTTTAGTGCCAAGTTTGGTCTTTGCATCGGCCGAGTCACCATTAACAGTAGTGCCATTCTCGACAATTTCAGCACCCGCTTTGAGGCCGTCAATCGCATCGCCGATGGTGCGCTGTCCATCAGACGGCTGCGTATCTTGCGTAGTAGAAGTCGACTCGAATGATCGGCGGATTCGTTCAAAATGCTCTAATTCCTTGGCACTGTTTATTGTTAGATATTACATCGTTGTTAAAAATAAAGAGCCAAAACAGCAAATGGAAAATAGAAAACCCACCTAACACTAGAAGCAAGTTCGCTTTGAGCATCGACGAAATCCTCTTCCGTTACCATAACGGCCACATCATCGGGGGTGGCAAGATGATCAAAGTAATACGCCGTAGTCACTGGGCCAGTTGGCAACGCTTTAATCTTCTCATCGACTGCAGTTGCTTGTCGGGTAATAGCTTTAAGCATTGCATCCGAGCAAAGTGCATACAAATCGGCACCCGTGTACGTAAAGGGAAGTCTCTCGGCAACGCGCGAGAGGGATAAATCGGGATCGAGTGTGAATTTTCGAGTCAAGGCTTCCAGAATCTTCGCCTGTTTGTCATGCGTATCCGATATTCCAAGGTACAGCATTTTGTCGAAACGACCAGGGCGAAGAAGAGCGGAATCGAGCAAGTCTGGACGATTGGTAGCACCAATCACGAATACTCCACCGCCGTTTTCTTCTCCGCCACTCATTCCATCCAGCTCTGCGAGCAGCTGACTGACAATTCGGTCCATCACACCGCCGCTGTCGCCTTGGTTCCCTCGCTTAGGTGCAACCGAGTCCAATTCGTCAAAGAACACGACACAAGGTCGCGCATCCCGCGCACGCTGGAAGACTCTGCGCACGTTGGCTTCGGACTCACCAATATACATGTTGAGCAATTCGGGACCTTTGACAGAAAAGAAATTGAGAGAAAACTCCGTAGCGATTGCCTTGGCCAGAAGCGTTTTCCCCGTCCCAGGTGGCCCATAGAACAGAATACCACTTCGTTTCTTCATTCCCTTGGCAAACAGTTCTGGTCGTTCAAGCGGAAGTTGGATTGTCTCCATAACAGCGTCTTTAACATTGCTAAGACCACCAACGTCATCCCAGGTAACATTAGGAATCTTGGGAGCCCCAATTGCATCAGCGAAATTCTTTCTCGCGGCATCGACTGCCACGTCGAAATCAGCCTTGGTCACACATCGTGCTGCATCCCCTCCAGCTAGCTGAACATCGCGGATACCCACAGCAATATCCGCATTTCGATCATTAGCAAGTTGCGTGAGCTTCTCTAGACGATCGGCTTTGGCTAGTGATGCCCGTTCAACAACATCAACCAAGTCGCCAGCCACCAAAGCAGCCGTTTTCACAGCAACTGCAGAAAGATCAACGTCAACAGATATCTTGATGCTGCGATCAATGATTGCATTGCGCAATATTCCTTCTCGTTCCTTCTCTTCAGGTGCAGTCATTTCGAGTTCGTGAGTAAAGAGACTACGGATTCCGTCCGGTATCTTTTCAACGTCTGTTGTAGTCGCAATAATCACCCGAGAATCTGCCACAATCTCTTTCATTGCAGTAATTATTCGGTCAGCGGTGAGAACCTCAATATGTTTAATTATCAGTGCCGTAGAGTTAGAACCACAGGTAAATGCCCTGTCGGCTCGAGCTTTCAGGTACGCCTCGGTTTTAACATCGCTACCGTTTGCGCCACCTTCAGTCAGAATATCGTACGCATCCATGGTAAACGCATGCAGCCCAATATCTGCACAAGCTCTAGTCGCCAATGTGGTCTTTCCAATATGTCTTTGTGTAGATGTCAGAAGCATGACAACGGGGGGCATTCCCAATTGTATCGCCCGAGGGCTTGTTGCTGCCGTGATAAGTTCTTTGGCTCGATTCTGTACCGGCGATACGAAAAGTTTCGGTAACTCAGTAACCAAGCCATGAGGTGTTGGTACATTGCTGGATGTTCGAGGCAGAGTCTTGACACCAAGCCAATATTCCCACCCATTTCCTAGAGTTCCTGGGACCCGACTAATTATGCTTCCTGCTTGCGCCATCCGCGTATTAGAAGAGTCTATAATAGCTACGCCACCCCATGGATCTTCTTCATCTTGATCTTCAGGGGGCGGAGCAACGACTTGTCCAACCCGGAACCAGGCCACTCCCATCTTCCTCGTCTCCCCCGAGTTCTCATCAGAACCTGATTCGGGGAGATGGCCAAGTTGCGACGTGAGATCATCCTCGACATTACCACTATCCGGGCCCTTGGAGGCTGAAAAAACAGCTTTTCCAAGGCCTTCATCAACGCTAATACCCACAATGTCTCCACTCTTGACAAGTCTCTTTTTACATTCAAAATAGCGGCGAAGTCCAGAGAATAACGCGGGTTGAATAGAACGGTCCAATGAAAGTGGCGTAGAAATCTTCAGAAGAGTGACTTCTTTAGCAACGGGAGGGGATTTATTCATCCCCGGCTTTCCAGGTTGGTGTAGCCCCGGCCGCGATGCACCGTGACTTGAGGTTGGAAACAAAGGCGACAACTTCACATACTTAGGGCTATCGAGATTGCTCAGAAGAATAGGAGGCACATAAACCGTGGGGGTGAGCCGCTGGCCCGACAAATGAGAAATACTGGAGCGGCGCTTCGAGGACTGACCGACAGCGTAACGTGGCTTTGAAGATGGTAAACTAGAAATTCCATATACCCGAACTGTTCGCCAGTTACCAGGTTCTTCATCACCCAGGCCCAGTCCACTGATTGCGAGCGACGCAAATGGGTTTGCCTGTGGTTCTTCCGTAGCTTCTATCCGCACCCAGTCACCTGAGAAGCAACCAACTCTAACAAGTGTATTAATGTCGACGTATACAAATGAATCTGTATCATCTTCATCTTTTGGCTTAGGGTGGAGGAGGTCAATAGACACTTTATTCAAGAGGCCCTCGGTTTTGAATGTCTTCCCACCAGCGCGTCCTGGACGAGCTGTTCCGGAGGTAAAGGTCGAAATGACGGAACCAGGAGTATGAATACCGTCCATCCGCCGGCCACCGGGACGAGGGGTCATTGAGGACATGGCTGACATCACACCCGACGGCTGCTGCGGTAACTGGGGCGCAGATAATGTGATCATATCATCGAGGGAGTCGTCTGAGGAGTCGTTATCGCTTGCAGCAGACACTTCTGTTTCTGAATCATCAGGAGGCGTCGTACTCTCCATGTCGGTACCATTTTCCAGACGGTCCTCTGCGGCCGAGTAAAACTGTTCGTTTGAAGTGTCATCGGCCTGGTCTTCCACGAGTCCATTAAGCAAGCCGGGTCCAGTTGGAGTGTATGCCGAATTATGACGAACACCCCGCGGGCGTGATTGTACCAGAACTATCTTCGTTGTTGGGAGCAAAAGGCCTTGCGCGACTGGTTCGCAAAACGATATCTTCACTGGAGGTGGTGGAACGTGTGTTATAGGATGCGATGGCAATGGCAGAGGGAGTATATCCCCAACGTGGACGACCTTTTGATTGGATAGAGCTTCACGCACTGCAGCTGTCAATCGCTCTTCGGCTTCGGCCGCGGCTTTTTTTGTATACCGTTTGACCTCCATTCCTTTCCCGCCTTTTCCCCACAGGAGATGGCCTCCTTGTGCATTGCTTTTGAATCCTCCGCCAAATTTGCTTTGCACGTCGTCTAGGTTCCGTAGCAGATTCCGCTCGACTGTAACATAGATGGTTTCCAGGTGTAGAGGCGCCACATCCAGAATCCGTATCTCGATCGGACGCTGGGTCTGAATCGCGTGGCGTGTGGGATCCAGTTTCCCCAGCGTTTCGAAGAAAGATTGTAAGTAGTTGGCCGAGGCCGGAAAGAGGACGGTCGAATGTGAGATGGGAGCGACCTGCGAGCGCTCGGTCGGCTGTACTCGAGCGGGAATAATGGTCCATGGAATATCATCGACGGCGTAATAATGCGGCGTGAAAGGTGAAATGGCTACGTAGAGAACGTCTTGGTTGGGTTTATCGCTCAGTCCAGCCTCTGCAAGAGTTTCACACAGTTAGTGTCATTCCCGCCCCATGTGATTGTTCACACCCTTGGAGCTTTACCTGTTAGGTTGACGGCGGGGAATAAATCAGTGACGAGATCATCTGATAGAACGGCGAGATCTCCTCGCAAATGATTGTCTAGAACAATACGCGCAGAAATCGCAGGCCGTGACCGCAATCGTGCTCTTCGCCGCCTGCGGAGAGAAACCGCGGTTACGGTGTCTGTATGCTCGGTGGCCATTGCCAGGTACGCGTTCTGATCGGACGACTCAAAATGCTCGATATAAGAAGGAGTGCGAGTGCATAACGAATCGACACTCAAGCGAACATAAGGGTGTCAAGAGAATGTGACTGCTTGTGGGAGAATCGCGGTGTCGCGCAGCTGCTGGCTTCGGAAAGCCGGCGACGACACGCTCGGAAAAACGCTACCGGCAGTAAGCCGAGGTCCAACCGGAGTGACCACAGCTCCACTCCAGCCACGGGCGGTAGATATTCTTATATTATTACAGAGAATTATTTTGCTTTAGAAATGGTATAATGAGATCGCTAATTGTATTCTGTGCAACAAGCAGAACGCAGCCGGGGCAGCTGATTCCCTAGTGGATTCCCCGCATTTTTGCATCTGCATCACATCGAGTCCTTCCATGTGGAGAAGCAGCCACCAATCGACAGCGGTCAGAAGGTAAGTGTCATTTTCATGTTAGAATCTCTATTTGGATTTTGAACATGCGCCTCTATATACTACTTCAGGGCGTATCAATTAGTGCTTCCTTGATGTTCGAACCAATGGTGAGTGGCTGGTGTTATATATTCTTGCAGCATTCATTGATACACATGCCAATTGAATCAATGATATACAAGCAGCTATATCATTGAATTGACGCACATGCTTGCCAAGGTTAGAAATTTCACACAGAATGCATGTATTGTTAATTATAATAGCGATTATGAGTAATAATTGTCTTCATGGCGTGATTTGGCAGTGCATAAAGTCGATTGTGATATGGTGCATGGAGCTCTAGATGTCGTTATCATTTCTTACGGTTAGGGCAAAAGGTGATGCTACACATATATGCATATATGTAATCACCTCTTTCATTGCCCTACAGGTCTTATATAAAGATTTTAGAGACATATAACATGTGAACCTGTCATTCTGTATATACACGTATTTGCGATATTGCTTCAAAATGTTATTCAAATACCAAATCTCTAATGACCCTCTTACTACATGCAGGTTTAGCATATAGTAAAGAAACCAAGGCATAATACAGATTTGGTTTAAGATTCAGACATATCATTAAGGAATTATTTTATTTTGATCTTTTATATACATGATGGGTATCAGAACGGCTTCTTAAAAAAACACTTTTGAACGCCGACACGGGTTGGTGTGGCCCGCACACATCGAGGCACCAGGCATAGCATACCTTTCATTTATCCATCCGCGTAAAGTCGGTATGTACTCTGATATTGTGCAAAGGAACCTCGTCTCCCTCAAGGCTGTCTTCATCGACTCTCGAGCCCATCACCCTAGTGACCGTTTCCACGCACTTGTCAGGTCTCAGCGACGCATCCATAGAAGTCGGATTCCAATCATCTCCATATCCCAGCCTCTCTTCAGGGATGCGTGTAAAAGCGCGCTGGCTTTCTTTCCGTAGATGGCTGTTGAGGCTGTTGATGCTGGCGTCAACGGGTCGGGTACCTTGGTTATTCGTAAGTCCAGTGTTGGTGTTGCGCGAGCCCCTGGGTGATGTGAGATTCTTGATCCCGATCATGCGAGCTAGGAACATCAGTGCAGGTCGCATTGTCGGGAGACATGCTGACATGATCCCCGCGGACATTTCAATTGCTGTCCAGCCGACTGTATGAGCCAGAGTGTAGGTTGGGTCGGTGGCACTGTAGGAAAATAGCACTGTAAAGCGGTAGGCAGAAGCGAAAACGACACTATTCACGATCTTCAGTTATACACGGCCCAAAAAAAAAAAAGGAAGGCGAGCTTACAAAAACCCGAGGCAAAATGTCAGAGTCAATGCCACTTTTTCCACTCTACCTAACTGCAGTTTCCAAACCTGGGGTATCGGCAGTACCAAAATCGCCAGGTCGGTGGCAATTGTCGAGGTGGCGTTGGCAATCCAAGTGCCGACTTGGCTGATACAATGGCCAGGTAATTGAGGATACCACAGCTTCTGAACCGGCACGCAGATGAAAACAAACAAGAAAGTGATTGTGATAACCCAGATAATGACAAAACCGCCGATAATGAAGGCCCATCTCTTGAAGTAAGGGAAGTGGAAAATCCGGTAATACATCAATAAAAAGGATATCTTGGTCCAGACCAGGTTGTACACGTAGAGAATCTCGGCCACAAGGAGATATTTGGCCATCAATACGGCACCTTCAACACCAACCACCGCAACGTGGAGACCCATGCCAGCACGGATCATAAGACCAATAAATGCGACCACGATAAGGTTCCATGCCTTTTAGCCGTTAGTATTTGGATCTTGTATTTGACAGCACGTGTGTATATACCATGGAGAAGACAATCATATAATCGTCCCACCAGAGAGCCTGTTTGCGCTCATATCGAGACAAAAGGCGCAAGCAGACACAAATGAACGCAAGAGCCGTCACTGAAACTGTCACTGCGATTGACCATGGCTGTAGGTCATCTTGAGTTTGACTACTCATGATGACGGCATCAATTCATGAAGAAAACAAAACAACAAACACCAACAAACGATGGGACAACTTTTTTTCTAAAAGAAGAGAGCAGTCATGATTTGTACGATTTCAACGGTGGAAAGGGGTGGCCTTGAAAATGTCATATAGAACCTATAATCCAGCAAGATCGGCAAAGTTCCACCAGAGAGACGAGACAGTGCCAGACACAGGCTCGTGTTTAAGGCTTGGAACCGTATTAGATAGAACAAATCAGACCTTCGGATTTCTCTGCGAAGCTTAAAATGGCATTTGGGTTTTTGCTTTGACACCTATCACTTTGTTTTAGTCGTCCGACCACGCTATTGTCAACGGGCGAAGCGGTTTTGACAGGTTATTTAAGTTTGGTGTCAGTGCTGTCGACATGGCCTCTACCCCCACAATCATTATTACTGTTGATTGATGTACAACTTTGAAAATTGGGCAAAAAAATTAAAGCCCGGTTCTGGGAAACGTGGTCGCTCGACTCCTAGCAAAGGCTAGCAAATTATTACCCTTGCTAGCCTTGAGCAAAGTGACCTACTAGCCGTCCACGCACCAGTAAAGGGTCAGTGACCTGCAGACCGGTGCACGATTCTTGATGACAGGTCGGAAGAATTGTGGATTTTTCGGTGAACATGGTAAAACGCCGAGACTGGTTCTCCACTCGCAGCCTGTGAAGCCACCAAGCAGAGCCCGACAAGACAATCCAAAGTCCAAGCACGGTGTGTTTCCCCCCACAGCGCGGGTGATCTGATATTTGTACCATGGCAACAGGTTGCAATGATATTGGGGCTTGTGGTTATTATAAGTGCATACAACATCGGAATGCCTGATACATATTTTCAAAGGACTGACACCGTACAACCAGCTGCACAATCATCCTCAGGGGTCGATATTCACCATTACTTTGTGCGTGTCGAGCCGTTCGACCAAGAGTTACTAAATAATAGATCGTCAAAGTCAGTGCGCCGCTCCACCTCGGGCCTGCGATGTATCTGATGGGGAAGGTTGTCCCTAGCCCAAATATCAGTTCGTCAATAGACCCTAGAACCTTAGATACGAAGAACTCATTTAAATAAGAGCTAGCCCCAGCGCATGAGGTTTCTTTTGTCAGGCTACGTTATTTCCGGCGTTTATATCGTCGTGACGATCACTGGGAATTGTGTTTCATCTCTCAGCCACACGATCGATTCTTTACATACGGGTTGTCGGGGTCTGGCAAAAGTGGAGGCAGCAAAGGCGTAGCCTAGCTTGAATATCTGCGGGCGATTGTAGAAACCTTAGACAAATGCATATGTATGAGCAAATATTCTTCATACTTCGTACCTATAATATACCGGCAGAAGAGAGGAAATATGACATTGAAAGCTTTCTGTTAAGGAGATAATCGATAAGTCATCAGTTTGCCGAGGCATTTATTCATCGGCTGGTGGGATTATGAGGAAGTCCAGGCTCCAAAGCCCAGCAACTTGCATCAAGCCGAACTTGACGGAGACTAGGCAGCATATGGATCTATCTCCTCACAGACTAGACGTGTATGGTGCGTTTTTTATTTTTTAGTTTGACCGTTTGGAAAAAGCAGCAACTTTAAATCCTGTTGGGGCGTTACTGTGCTTTGTCCCTGACACCTGTTACGCCAACACGGGAACACCCACAAGATTAAGTGGGTCTACTGTGGTATTGACGGACCAACTATGGGCCGGCCTCGATGAAATATTAAGAACGTCGAAACGGGGTTATTACTGTATCAGGCGGATTCTATGCATAGTAGCCAATGGCAATCTCCTGCGTTGGGCAACCTGGCAATCAAGGTTCAAGCGTTGAACTTTTATATTAGCGTTGCCCCGTTGGAAGTTAATACCGGGAGAGAGGGAGGTCACCCTGTCAAAGATTAATTCAATAGTTCTAGTGTAGAAGCCATGTTGTTGAACTTGATTTATTCTCCTGAACATAACTTCAACAGAGCTAGGTATAGAAAGCAATGGTATCCAGTTCGACAATTGAAGTTCCCCATTTGGGCGGCATCAAAGCCGGTTATGCCTTATCAGGAAATGGATATGATTCCTCAAAGCCAACAGTGGTCATGATAAATTCAATGTGCACTACAGTTGCCCTTTACCGAGACCAATTTGAAGATAAGAAGTTGACAGATGCGGTAAACCTATTAGCCATTGAGCCTCTAGGTCATGGCTCGACGAGCTCACCATCTGAACATTTTACGTATTGGGATTCAGCAATAATGGCTTTGCAAGTGATGGATAAGCTCGGAATTAAGAAAGCGTTTGCTCTCGGAACTAGTCAAGGAGGCTGGATTGTGGTTCGGATGGCATTGTTGATGCCCGAGAAAGTATGTTTTGCGTTATTCCTATCAGACTTGTGTCTGTCACCTTGATCGGCGAGCTGATTTCGATTGGTATGAAAGATTCTGGGTCTTCTACCATTAGGTACCTCAATGGATTACGAATCCGCCGAATCACGCGACCAAGGCGCCTGGGAGCCCACGGCTATTATAGGACCGTTTGTGGACAAATGGACGAGCAAGACGGAAACTCCGGAATTCGTCGTCGATGATATCTGGTGCGGCATGGTGGCTGGCTTGGGCTTCAGCGGCACAGTCTCTGCTGAAACCACTGACTTTTGGAAGGAAACAGTGAAGCGCACATACACCGGTGATGAGGGTCGCAAAAAGGTTCGAATGGCTTCGATCAACCTATTGTCTAGGGATGGCTTGTTGCCTCGTCTAGGAGATATCAAGTGCCCTGTTTATTGGTTGCAAGTCAGTTTGTTCCCCCCATGACTTATGTATACGATTGACTGACTATCTCTTCTGCAAAGGGTACCGAAGATGCCCCTTTCGGGAAGACGGTGCCAGTCGAGCAGATCAAACTTTTCACTTCATCCAAGGAAGCCAAGTTGACGATGGTTCAGGGTGGTGGTCATTACCTGAATGCGACTAGCCCACAAGAGGTTAATGAGGCAATTCTGGATATCGTAAAGAAATATGGTAATTAAGTCAAAGTCCGGTGAATGATGAGAACTACTTGTTGGGTATCACTTTAGATGATCACAAGATCACACCAAAGACGAATCAAACATCCTAGTGAAATATTTTTGATACGGCCCAATGTTCGCATGATAGGATAGCCTTGTTACTTGATATGACTATTGGAAGTAGGGAATGTATGTTTCATTATCTTGCTTCGTAGGGGCATAAGGCGCCGCGGGGGTTTTAGTCACACGACGGCGACTCGTTGTCCTTTGTGTCAGGGAGACGTCTAGACTCGGTTCAAGGGCGGGTCCGCATTTCCCGATAGATTGATGATGGAACCCGTTCGGAGAACAAGGATGTTTAATCCGACTGTCATACGATGCCTAGGCCCATCCGGCACAAATGGTATGGGTATCTCGCTCCCCATCATGATCAACTGGCCAGGATTGGTTAGTGTAGATCGGGCCAAATCCGAATGTGGGGGAATCTTCAAGATTGTATCATGATAATTTAGATGGCGGCCTGAAAATTTAGAATGGAGTGTTGACGTTAGCTGGATGATTAGATTGAAGGCAGATAAGTATGGGCTCAGGCGCATCGGGTCGCGGCTTGGCCAAGTCGAAGACGAAGTGACAAGCGCAATATCATATCTGCTTTCCTAAGATACGAATCCAGAACGAATCCGATAACAAATTACAGATACGTTTGACAAAGGCTTTCACTGAAGTCTTCTCAGGATCTACTATCGAACAATGTGTCAAGACAATTCTAGAGCTGCGTCGTCTTCGCAGGATGATGTAGACCTTTGCGTATGCCCCTCAACATGTTAACGAGGAGAAGATGTGAAATAAAAAATCATATATATATATAGTGCAATTGCAAATGTAGACCCTTGTTGATTGGAACAGCCCCTCTATGTGTCAATTGTGGCCATCCGAACTGCTCTTCATATGAGGTGATCAGAGGACGGCCTCGTGAAGAAAGGGCGGAAGTTAAAGAGAAAGGATCATGACAAGGGACTGGCAATTGATGAGATAACTTGGTAGAGTTGCTTATTGCTGTTATCATGTTGAGATTCGATCGTCATTGACATTCTTTTACAGGAAGGTGCCAGGGAAGGCACGATGGAAGCTAGCCAATCAGGTTGTTCCATTTCACAGTACACATAACAATCACATGATAGTCCTGCATATCAAATCTGTATTGTGGCTTTAGGTACAGCGCGAGCATAAAATTGCATACGTGGCGGTTGTTCCATATCACAGGGACTACGACTGTGCTAGGCAGCAGCACAAGAAATGTGCCAGGTGTTCGTCATTGACAGGACTGATAATTAAGTTATTACTGTAAGCGTCATGACTCAAGAACGTTGCCAAGGGAGCTGTCAGAAGGCCAATTGATGTAGTCAATGAGCAAGGAGAACTTAGCCGCCTGAATGCCGGGCCAAGGTTGTGCCATGGAGAACGGTGCTTGCCGCCGCGGAATGATGGGGTGAAACATTTGGACGGGGTTCAAGAACAGCGATCGACCGGGTCTAGTCTTGGGTGCAGGGGGTAAAAAAAATGAGGGAAATGTCAAATGACAAGATAGCTTCTGCCTACGGAGTGACGAGCTCCTGGCGAGGACGGGACTGCATTATCACGTCAGGGCCACGATATCACCGCTTCGTACGCGGCAGAAACGACGGTGATTGGCCAGATGTCACTGGAAAGTCGGTCGGAGTCGGGGAGAGAACCCCTCGATGAGACGCTATTGAGCCTCATGGAGCGCCTAGACGCACACTCTAACCCAAGGATGGCATAGGTTCAGCAGACTGGAGCTGATACTCGAGATGATATGGCAGGCATTGGCCACTGTTATTGATTTGCCTTGGTATTAAACATTATATGGATCATAATAATATTTTAATATAATCATAAAACTGATGCCTTTGGCTATTAAATCATTGGAGCCTTGGCTCAGGCACGTCAGCGCCTAGGTACTGCGTACGACGCGTGTACATGTCGTTCTCGCATCAGTACTGTTCGTCCGGAATCGATATCTCGCAGTCAATCTCTTGGGCCTCGTTTACCTCTAGATAAACAGTGAATTAAGCACAGCATCCACTGGTGCAGTAGTAATCGAATAAACAGAATGATACACCACTCGTGCATCATCCAAATCATCCTGAGAGGACAGAAAAAATACCGCTGGTAACGGCTCGTATTCGGAGCAATTGGGGCTCCGACTCGACGAGGGGGCTGTGCTATTCTTGTCGCCGGCTGGCCAATCACAGCGGCCATCGCCGACGGAACCAACAGACGGCGACCTGCTGAGGTCTAGTGTCGCTGTAAGCTGACCGTTCTAAACCGTATCGGGGCTACAGGATGACTCAGAGACTGGCTGCGCCCGCCGGGCCAATCACGCCCCCACTCTCCCTCCCTCCCAACGCTGGTGCTTTTCCCGATCGGGACATAGCGTCGCTGGGCTCTAGGCAGCAGCCTGAACGCCTGCCCGTCGTAATCCGCCCGTCTCAATAACACGCCTTCGATTTCCTCCTGGCCTTTTCGTCCTTGTTCAATATTCTCTATCCTATCTTTCAGGTATCCTTATTCCTTCCAGCCGGCTTTTCGTGCTGATCCTACGTGTCTGCCTTGATCGCGCTATTGGACATCGTTCAATCCCGACAAACTAGAAAAAAAAGTGGACTGGAAACCTCAAATCCTCGTCTGTTGATGCGTTTCGTCCCAGTCGCAATCCGTAAAGCGACCTGGATTATAGTCGCTCCATCCCATTATTATTGATCCACCGCGCTTCGACCTCGTCGGCTGCTTTGCAATCTGCCTTGTGCCATTTAACGCCAACGTGTCCTCACTCGACCATCGTTCATTTTGTCTCGCATCGTGCGAATGTATGTCTACTCCGGGCTGTAGATCCGCTATATACTCTGCTCTTCCAGGCATTGCGCCACTAACACGCTCCGTCTAGTCATCTGGTGTTGAGTGACTCATCGTATCTCGCTCCACCCCAGGTGTGACTCGACTTGAGTGAGTCACCCATCGACCCTTTGCATCAAAAGCAACCCTGTCCCGAAGAGGTGACCGCCAACCGTACCGTCTCGGTAGACCGTGGCTCATCGAGTTCTGGAAAATGTCTCGTGAGTCCGTCGACGCCCGGGTGCATCCTCGTCGCCGTGTCTTAAATGGTGGCCTGCCCGCCCCGACACACCCCACCCCCGACATGGACACCACCTCTGAGGCTGCAACTTTTCCTAGTCTCCAAAGAGGAACTACTTATCATCCCCTCTCCTCACCCCCTTGTCAGGAGCGGGACCCTCTCTTGAACTTCCCCTCGTTGCCGCGTCGCTCACCTACCTGTCCAAAGACTCTCGAGGCGGTCGCTGCTGGCCGCCGGCGTATGGAAGAAATACTTAACCAGCTTGATCTTGGTGCTTTGTCGTTGTCCGACGACCTCCCAATTCAGGAAAAAATGGCAAATTCGAACCTGAATCTCAATCTCCCAGGAAACTCCCAATGGAAGCATGCAACCAATACTTCCAATATAGGAAAGGCCCACACACTCCCCGAGCAGGTCACTGGCCATAGCCGACAAGCCTCCGACAGTGGTTTGGGCTCTTCCGTTAGCACCACAGGACTAAGGGACGCCAAGGCCGTTCACTTTGCTGCTGAACAAGAAGGCGCAGCTTTCACCCAGAGTGCCATCACTCAAACTCTTTCTCTTCCTCCTTCAAACTCTGGCGAGACCCAGCGTCCCATCTCTGACGCCGCATGTAAAGTCATTGAGCAACGCATTGTCGCTCCTATCCTACGCGAGGAGCGACTTAAACCATTTCACAATCTCGTTCAAACCGTTCCAGAACGCCTTAGGAGAAAGGAAATCAGATGTCTGCGAGACCTTGAAAAGATCCTCCTTTGGCTAGCACCTGTAAGTGTAAAGGGTATTTCAGGCGTTAAGGATTCTGCTTATATTTTGTTTTCAAAGCGCTACGCAAAGTCTGTTCAGTTGTTCTCTCGGTACTGCGAATTCACGATCCAGCGGGTTTATATGACAGTGCCATATCTCAACGACCGTGATCGCCATTTGCCTGCCGACCGCCCTTATACTAACGGATATTTCCTCGATCTTGTCGCACAGATTCAGCAATACGCAGCTATGCTATCATTCCACCGCGAACGCAATAACGCTCAGTCGCCTGCCTCTCAGTCTACTGCCAAAGCTGGCGAAACACCCACAATGTATGTTTCAGGTTTACCGCCTTATTCAGTAGATTTATTAACTCTTTTTAGCATGGCACCTCCTACTCTAGAAGGTGGATTGGCTCAGACCGGGCGTCCTGCCACCTTGGTAACCAACATCGACGGGAAAACAATTTCTCTTGCCGACGGTGCTCCTTATGATCCAAGCGCCATCGCTGTCATGAAGCGCTCCTTCAGCAGCGAGAGCAACGACGAAGGAGTTGAGCGTTCTATGGCTCGACGGAAAAAGAACGCGCCTCCTATGGATATCAACAAAAAATGCAGCCATTGCGACAAGGTTTTCAAAAGACCATGTGACTTGACCAAACACGAAAAGACCCATTCGCGTCCATGGAAGTGCACTGACCCCGATTGCAAGTTTTCCATGATCGGATGGCCAACTGAGAAAGAGCGCGATCGTCACGTTAATGACCGTCACTCCAACGCTCCAAGCATCTATCGCTGCAAATTCTCCCCGTGCAGCTATACATCAAAACGGGAAAGCAACTGCAAGCAGCACATGGAGAAAGCCCACGGCTGGCAATACGTTCGCTCTAAAAACAATGGTAAACGTGGCAAGCCTCTCTCGCCATCGGCTTCTTCGTCTTCTCGTCAAGAGACCCCTCCAACCCCAGCGATGTCCACCCCAATTTCCAATCTGACCAACGACATCCCAACTCCTGCAAGCGGTCATATAATCTCACCTTACTCGAACAACATTTCCTATGATCCCTCTCTCTACAACCCCTCTCCTCAATATGACGGGTTCGTCGAAATATCCGGTGGACAGCCTTTCAACTTCGCAGAGCCTCCTCTTGCTCCTCCTTTTGATTTCCAACTTTTTCCTGAAACCGACCTGGACACTATCGGATTGGAAAATATGCCTCCTACCGATGAGTTTATGGATTTCCAGGCGGCTCTTGAGGCATCTGATCCCACCAGCCTCATCGCACCTTCTGCGGATATGGACCTGGATCAATTTGGCCAGGATCAGATGGGACAGTATTGCTTTGACAATGAGTATTACAACTACTCTACCGGTAATGGGCTGCCTGAGATGTAGACATAAGACGATATCACAACTGTTACTTTCTTTGGATATCTTATGGGGAGGTCATGATTGGATAACAAGACAACATTTGCCTTCAGTCTGTTTTCTTGATGTATTTCTTTATTTCAGCGTGGTTCTTTTATTATTAGCGACTTTGGAACGTGGATTCCAATTAACGACGTTTAGTGATTTGATTCTGTTCGGAAGAGAATATTCTCATGTGAATGTTTTTATGCTGGCGATGGTTGACATAATTTTTGTTGTGTCAGTGTGCAGCTTTCGTTTAGTGTGTTGGAATATGATTATGCCATGCCTCTCCATTTATCAATTGGTGTTCATAATGTAACACTTTAAATCCATCACGTATACTTGACAATAGATTCGTGGCACGTAAGACATCTGCATGATATAATGTAGAAGCTGACACCAATTATAATAATGAATTTCTCCTTCAATTGGTATCTCTTTAGACACATCCTTGCAGGATCTCTTATAATCTTCTTCCAAGTCCAATACGGGATGTTAAATAATCGGTTAATGACAAATTTCCAAGGTAGAAGCTGGCATTTGTCTGCATACATCTTGATATTATAGCATCAATCCCTTCTACACCCCAATGGTCTCCATCTTGTATAAAAAGCATCACAGAGCTTCGCCAATGTTCGTAGATCATCTGAATAACGACTGTTATTTACCACGTCATAGTTCGTCTCAATATGCTCGACCGCACATCGCAAGTTATATCCGCCGCATAATGGGATAGAGTCGACATTATGTGGCATCCCATGATCTATGTGGTCGTGAGAAGTGTCGATCATGATTCGAGTCGCCATGTTGAGTGCATCTCGTGACATCTGCCAACTTTTCGAGTGGATGCTTTCTGAGGGGAGATTTCGCAGAATGTTTTGATGGAGTAGGAATAATGATCTGGTGTTGGAGGGATCTATTAGCATTTAATTGTACTCGGTTGTCCTAAGTTGCATGGATGCGGACCTGATAATAATTGCAAGCGCTCCATACGATGCCCCCCATGCCCATCCGTTCTCAGCCAGCCCAGCAGACAGAAAATCCTGGAGTTTGGCACCAATGGCTGTCAAATCTGATTGTTTTGATTCCTTTTCGCTTGACGTCCGTATCGCCGAAAGAACTTCGTCCAGTAATGCCACTGTTTTCGCTTGCTGTCTAAAGTTCCCTCCGCCTGTTATCGCGGATATATTGCTTAGAGAGTAGACATTCGGAGAGGAAGAAGTAGACATTGACCGAAAGGCGTCTCTCGGTTCAAGTTCCGATGGCAGTTGAAAGTCGACTTTTGGATAGTCATTTATAAGCTTTTCATGTACGTCGTCTATCTCACATAATATCAACCTATTTTCTATTTATTAGAGTCATGTCTATGTAACAGGTTGGACACTTGCCTTTCTAAAATGATGATCCCCCAAGCAACATTCGTCTCGACTGATGTTTTCATACTGTTCTCAGTCCCCTGAGCTTGTCTTCTGCTGCAGAGAGCAAACATCCGTGCGGAAACCCCCAGAGAAAGATATGCCGCATCCGGCTGCGAACAAGCATATTCGTATCCAGCAATGAGTAAACCGGCTTGCACCATGTATATCGAACTTATTTCCAATGCTTGAACGTGGCTGAAAGATGTTTTGACGGTTACATAATACGACAGCATCGTGGGCATCTTGCTCTCCGACGGATTCAATGTTACAAGATACATTGACAGAATGAGAAGCGACAGACTGGCAGGTGGCGGAAGACTACCATCCCTTCTTACCAAACTATCTTGCAAAATATCCGCCGATATAATTGGCAGCACCTTGTGAAAGCCACGGAAATATTGATCACTCATTTCAAGAGTAGACATATCTGTAACACGTATTATTTGACAGACCTGCTCGTGCATAATTCTGTCCACTGCTGCCCGCTCGTTGGCGAGGGAATATCTTTCATTTGATAGTATCGAGGTACCGCCTCCAATATGAGACCGATCAGCCCCAGTCCATCGTTTGATCTCCGCGCACGACTCCTCATCGTCATCGTATTTACAGTTCAATTGACGCTTTTTGCAGTAGCTGCATATGGGTAGAACTTTGTCGCAAGCCTTTTTGCGAGCTTTGCAGGTGGTGCATACCCAGCGCGCTTTCTCCATCTGCATGATGCGAGCATATAATCTGGCCACGACGTTGATATGAGGGCCCTTCACGTGAATGGAGCCTTTCTTCAACCCTTGTCACCGGCTGTTTTCGTCATCGTGGGAATGAGTGGGAAATAACACAGTTTTTATGGGGATAGTTTCTGTTGAGTTTGATCACCCCACAAGGTGTCCATCCAATGGATGTTGCCCGACGTGCTCAATGATGTCGAGGGTCTAAGGACATACCATTTAATACGATATCGATGGGCTATTAGTGAGTAGTTGGTGAACGACGACAAAACTTATCTCCTGTTGGAATGCGTAGACCATCTGCAGAGGAAACTCGCCTTATGGTTGGTATTTTGCGGGTCAGTGACAAGCCAGTATGGCGCTTAGATAAGCACAACGTCCATCGAAATCGACAAGTCAAAAATCAACAATCACCTTCTTCTTTAGACAAATCCTATGACACATATTATGCCTTGGGATATTTAAACTTCATTATGGAAGTGCTTTTTCAATCGTCGCAGTCTCATGTGATGTCTCATGTGATGGTTAAAAAGCACCTTATTCCCATTCTAGTTTTTCTGTATCTACTCAAAAAAATTAGGACATGGATTGATATCTACCTTTTACGGTCGATCTCCAGGATATGTGCTTTTCTTTTTACGAGAAACTGCAATCTTCAGCATCGTTGGTATACGGTTGAAAAGCTTCAGAGGCGTAGTCTCTGGAAGCCTTCACTACGAATATAGCTGCTTGTCTAAACTTAAATGTACGGAACGCAACGTGCACTTTCTGCGGTATATTAGACAAAAATGTAAATAATAAACAGGCAAAAATGCCGACTGCCATACATCTTGAGAGCAAAAAATCCAACGGTGGAGAGAAACGTCCTCAATAAGCATGAACAAATTTGAATATCTCAGACACATCCTCACCGCTAGCCCAAGCGCACAAGATTACCCACAGCTTTTACATAGCTTCTATTGTCAAAGATCATCTTTTCCTTCTGACAAGAAACGGTTTTCAATTGGCTGATTAATGATAATAAGGTGAATTGTGAAGGTTTCGGTCTGCGCATGCCGAAGCCAGCCCCAACGTTCCTCACTGCGGGGCTGTCGGCCGCCACTATCCCTGATGAGGCAATATGATGGCGATCGAGGGTTCTGTTGCGTGAAATTGTTTGATGCTGCTTGGTTCCCAAACAAGCCCAGTCCGGGTATAAATATAATGATCTTGCTCTCTCAGTGCTGATATATTTCAAACCGTATTGATTTGAGCTACCGGGTGTTATTTCCATACAGTGCCCTCCAAACCCTACCAGCTATTCTTACAAAAACCAGAATGAACAACAAAGCAGACGAAGAAAATATTCAGACACAGTCTGAGGCTACTGAGAAACTAGCCAGTTCTGAAGAGAATCCAGAATCCCAGGTTTCCGTATCGCCAGCTGTAAATGGCGACGACAAAGGACAATGGCTGGTTAAATTTGAGGAACATGACCCGGCAAACCCTAAAAACTTTAAAACGGCGTACAAAATATTTCTCACTTTCCAGATGAGTATGTTGGCTCTCAGTGGGTCAATGGGGTCTTCAATTGTTGCTCCGGCCCAATCTTCGATTGGGGCTTATTTCCATGTCAGCGTAGAAGTTACCACTTTGGCTGTGGCTCTGTTCGTCTTGGGTATGTGTCAGCACTCTCAGCTAAGTTTTGGCTTTTATTACTCACACCGGTCCGACAATCCAGGTTGGGCATTTGGGCCTATGATATGGGGTCCCATAAGCGAAGTCTACGGCCGGCGTTGGGGCATGCTTCCGGGCGTATTCATTTTTGGATTGTTTAGCATCGGCAGTGCGACCAGCAAGAGTGCAGCCAGTTTGTTTGTGACCCGATTCTTTGGAGGAATATTCGCCTCCGCGCCTATCAGTAATGTGCCCGCGGCACTTGGCGACTTATATGATCCCCGCTTTCGAGGAACTGCTATGACCTTCGTATCACTGTGTATTGTTGGTGGTCCTACGCTGGGTCCTGTGATTGGCGCAGCTTTGACTGTCAACTCGCATCTTGGATGGAGATGTAAGAACCTACCTCCATATTTTACCGGTGTTTCCCGAAAACTAATGCATCGTGTAAAAGGGACCGAGTATATTGAGTCGATATTCATTTTTACCTTGTTCTTCCTGGCGTTGTTTACGCTGCCTGAAATATACGCACCAGTGCTCCTCAAACGACGAGCACAACACTTGAGAAAGACCACCGGCAAGGAGCAATACTGGCATCCACATGAAGAAGAAAGAATCAGTCTGGACAATGTTCTCACAAAGCATATTAGCCGTCCTATTCGGTGAGGAGAAATACGGAAACGCGAACATGATAGAGCTAATGCTGTTTATAGAATGTTTGTCACAGAACCGATGCTCACTTTCATCGCCGTATATGCTTCCTTTGTTTATAGTCTAGTTTATCTGACTCTTGAAGTGTTCCCGATCGTTTTTCATGAGAAACGGAAATACTCCCTCGTTATTTCCACATTGCCTTTCTTTGGGATTTTGGTCGGCGTGATGTTTGCACTGATAATCAATTTCGCAAATCAGCCCAGCTACGCGCGTGCAGTGAAAAATAATAACGGGCAAGCAGTTCCAGAGGCACGGTTACCACCGATGATTGCTGGGGGAATTCTCCTTTCTGTGGGACTGTTCTGGTTTGGGTGGACTGCAGACCCAAAGTTTTCATGGGCGTTGCCTGTAGTTGCATCAGGTACGCGAAATACCAGTTTATTATATTTCTCCAAGAGCACAATTACTGAAACTGTGATGATTTCATGCAGGTTTTATCGGAGCAGGATTCAACATTGTTTTCCAGCAATGCCTCAACTTCATAGTCGATACCTATGGCATGTACAGTGCGAGCGCGGTATCAGCAAATACAATGCTTCGATCGATACTCGCGTGCGGTTTACCCATGGCCTCGAGACCGATGTTTGAGAATCTAGGAGTCGGGCCTGCTTCTAGCCTGATCGGTGGCATATCTTGTCTTGCAATTCCCGTTCCCTTTTTCCTTATGAAGTATAGTGCAGCACTACGAGAGAGATCGAAGTTTGCACCGACTTCAAAGTGATAGCTAGAGTCATTCGGTCATTGAATTGCCGGGAAATCTGCCATGGCTATTGATGCATTTCGGATGAATGCTATCATAGAACATCAGATCAAGGAAGTCTTCACAGTTCCGGCAATGGCTTTTGCTAATTGTAGGCGTATCTAGAAAGCCATTTACTATTTTAGAAGCAGAGTCGATTACATAGAATTAGAAGACAGTCCGTAAGGTTGGCTCAAATTGAACGCTTATCTCTTCGCAAGTCTAGAAGAGTCCGAGGTTGCATCACTCATTGGTTACTACTCATGCTACTATGTCCTTGACTTATCGCCTAATTAGAGAATAGATATCTCTAAAATTATTGGAATTAAAAATATTGAAAAAAACTAATATAAATACATATAAACTATCCTATTAATTTTATGGAGTTTTTCCACTTTAATATCAATTGATGTATTCTTTATAACTCAGTATTCCGTTACATACCAGATGATGCTAAGTTAACAGTTGAAGATGTTTTTTTTTCTTGTAGAATAGAAAGCGACTGTATTTCTTGGTGGGGTAAAAATGGTAGCGCGGCCCGTTACTACGAAGGGGCATAATCGAATTAACGTGATATAATTCAGCTTTGAAAGATGTGAGATGGCGTGGAAAAATACAGCGGGTTAATATGTCGATCTTTTCTCTTTTCTTTTCTTTTCTCTTTTCCTTTGTTGCGTCTCTCGGCTTCTTAGCTGAGCAAAGTTTGGACCACAATCAGGCAGAAACATTCGAGCGCCACCACAAATAGTAATACTTCAGCTGCCACGCTATGAATTATCATTATTTACTAGGTGATCTCCACTGCAGCGGGCGCCAAGAAGAGTCGCCGGTGCAATCGGACGCTGCCGTAACCGCCCAATGTGACTAGTAGTAATAGTGCTTCCTGCAATGACCTCAGTTGGTCTACGCTCCTTCCACCATTGACCATCTGTGCTTTTTATCTCATTCTCCTGACATGGCCTTTAGAATGTGCATTAATATATCTCAACTTCCAATTGTCTATTGATTGCCTGCTGCACAACTGCCGCGCGTCGTTTCATTGCAAGACGTCATCTGCCCTTGGCATCCCAACCAACAAAAACACTCCGCAGCATCCCCGCATCTGCTGCAATTCCCTCAGCTCGACGACCCTTTTAGACCAGCAACCTCCCCCCATCTCCATGGAATATTTGGCTATCGACATATTCTCCCTTCGTTGATCCACCATCAGCATGTCCCCCCAGCTGGACACTTCAGGGGTGGCTACCGCCACGACGACAAACGGCGGCGGCAACCCAGGTTATATTCTGACCGGAAAACAAGAGCACTGTGAGATGAATCGGGACATCGTGTTTACATCTGAAAACTTTGCTGACTATATAAGACCTCAAAAGAGAACTTTTGAGTACCCAGGTTCGCCGTGAAATTGTCGAGCTCGCCCATCCGACCGCTTTGCGTCGTTTCGGTGCCCCCTTCAAGTCCGAGTTCGGCGAGGTCGCTCCAGTGGATTCAGACCTGCCTATATTACGATTCATTTTTGTCAACCATGTTCGGAATTTCCCTTTTCTCGATCAGGCGAACGAAAAGGAATTCTGGCAAGACCGTTTACAGGTGGTGCGTGGTGTACCAAACGTTCGAATGGGGAAAATGAAGCTGACGATTTTTTAAATAGTTCCTCGAGTCCTTCGCCAATAAGAACATATCCTCGTCCGAAGATCGTTTAGAAGAGACAAAGCGGAAGAAACTGGCCATGAAATGCGAAAAACTGGTTGAACTCATGATGGTTTCGGGAATCCCCACGGCCTCCGGATACGAAGAGCGCATCCGCTTCTCAGAGATGGAAGTCGTGGATCGTGGGGCCAACGAACAAGGTCTTCTAGTGAATATGCCCGATGGACAATCTATCAATGGGTGGGATGTGAATGTTGCGGCGGTCAGGACTACCTCAGTTAAGCGAACCGTTCGATACCATCAACACGCGGTAGGTCAAATTATACAGACTGATAAACCATAATCTCCCGCTGATATGTCTCAAGGAATTCATTCTTCGTGTTCGCCGGACTGGAAAATCGGACCTCTATGTTGGTCGAAGGTACGGCGACTTTGTCAAATTGCATAAGCGCCTGCGAACCGAACTGCCGGGGAAGATGCTGCCGCCTTTACCACGAAAGAATAAACGATCGACCGCAACCTCGTTTCTCGGGGGAGCTGGTAGTGACGATGCCTCCTCTATTTCGTCGCTATCAACCACAAACGGCACGGGCTTGGCTGATGAAGAGCCATCCACTTCGAGACTTAGTCTTGGGGTAAATGTACCATTACTTCATCGATCTCCGTCACGATCATCCATTGCATCAGCCCGGTCCCCCAGCGTGTCTGGGGAATCTCGTCAAAATATTGTCCTATATCGCGAGGAACAGCGTGTGTCGTTGAGAGCGTTTTTACGAACTATCCTGCAAAATAAAAGAGTGGCTGCATCAAAGTCAATGGAAGAATTTCTCAATGAGAACCCGGTCACATTAAACGAAGAAGAGTTGGTTGATATTCAGCGAAGAAAGGACGCAGATGCTGCTCGTATTGAAGAGCAACGAAGGTTTTACGAGATTGCCAGGCAACGAGCCGCCGAGTTGGACGTTTATATGGAGAAATTCCGGCAGGATATTGTTGAAGACAGTGAGTTAGCTCTTTTTATGCCATGGTTTGGTCTGGCTGACATGGGTATAGATGGTCTCACAAAGCTATTTTCGGAGATTAAAGAGAAGGATAGAATCGAAGAACTGAGCCCGGAATATCAAAAATTCGCTGAGTGGCTTCGAATCGAGTGTGTTTACCTACTATTTCAAAGAACTTTGTCTAACAAATTTCTAGGGTGGCTGCCACTATTTATCATCTTTTCTTGGCCGAAGACAACTCTCCAGAGTTGTTTGCTCAAGCCAAAAGAATACATTCACTGGTCCCTTACACCCTTCTCAAGAACGTCATTCGCATTGCCAACCCTGCAGCGGTCATGTCCGGAGTTCTTGACCTTTTCCTTGCTCAGCCCTTCGGATCTCGCTCACTACTACAGCGTATATTTTCAATGACTTTGAATGAAGGAATCAAATCTTTTCAAAAGCCTATAGACTCACTGGTTGCTAAGATTGACGATCCTGTGATCTATGACAAGCTGAAGTCTTTCGTCGATGCTGATGAATCTATCAAGACTATTATTCGTGATGAAGCAGAGAATGAAGATGTCGATATTATCGTTGCAATTCTTAGGTCGGAGCTGTTGACTCCGGATATGAAACCGGAACAGATTGGTAAGATTTTCAATGCATACGTTGCTTGGATCAATGCCGTCGAGAATGTGAGTTCCACGGACACTACTTTTAAGATATTAGTGACTGACAAAATAGATCGACGACGAGATGAAACAAGGCGCTGAGTGGTTCGCGTATTTAAAACAAGTACTCAAGTTATATACTCGTCAGCGCGACAAAACAATGATGCTGAATATGATTGAAGAGGTATTGAATGAGAAACTCAAGACTTGTTCCTTGTTGCTAAACTTTGATTAGCCCGTTACCTTGAAACTCTTCCGCGACCTATTCACGATCTTTTACGAACCACTAGTTCGTGTCTACAAATCAGCCAATGTGTATAACAGTATCACCGACTTTGCCAAATTCGCAGATGACGCTATCGCGGTGATTGAAAAGGCTCAGCGGCAGGACGTTTCGGCGGATCCTAACCAAACAGTGCAAGCATTCATCGATTTGTGTGCTCGCCACCAACACAATTTCTACAAGTTCGTGCATGAGGTTCACCTCCACGACAATGGACTGTTTGGGTCACTCATGTCATGGATTGAAAACATCCTCGAATTTCTTCGCAAAGGTCCTCGCAGTGGTGGCAAACTCGACATCAACGCTTTATTCCAAGGTGCAGTCGACCTCAAACAAATCAATAAAGAGGTCGCTATCGAAGAAGTCAACGCTCTTGTCAAATGGCAGGAGGATAGGAAAAAGTGGCATCACGATAAGACAAGACAGAAAATGGCCGCCGAAGGCACCGGTGCTGGCGAAGGTACTACAATACCCACCGGTGCAGCCTTCCGAACCAGCGACTTTGGTCTTGACGAGGGCGACTTGGAAGAACTCACCATTGCAGATAACGAGTCCGATGAAGACGACGAAAACTCAGAAGACGATGATCTAGACCCGATCGCGGCTGAGCGGCGACGTCGCGCGAGAAAGCAGGATCATTTGCGTCGGTCGGCCGGTGAACCGGTGAAACCGGATGTGAAGGAGGTGTATAAGTTGCAAGACGGATTTGGAATGATGCTTCGACAAGTGTTGGCGGATTGAGCTCTGGCTTTTACTGTTCTTTTGTTTGCTCCATTTTATCTCTTGAATAACCCAGCTCGAAACATTGCGTCCTGTGTTGGTTATTAAACTTGCATAGATAGATAGCAGACTTATACCAAGCACTGAGTAGTAATGGTAATGGATTAGATATATTCTTAACCATCAAATTGCTCTGGATTCCTACTCGATTATGATTGAAATTTTGAGGTCCGTCTCGGAAAAGATGAAATGGATTTAGTGGTTAACTACAGTTTAGCCTTCATGTTTACATGCACACTCTTCACTTGACTATACGCTTTCAAACCCTCTTCTCCCAATTCCCGCCCAATGCCACTACCCTTGACACCACCAAACGGAATCCTCCAGTCCGAATCATTACTCGAATTGATCCAAACCATACCTGCCTCAATCCTGCGCGCTACACGATGCGCCCGCACCAAATCCGTCGTGAACACCGCACTGCCCAAGCCATACGTAGTCTCATTGGCCATCCGCACGGCGTCGTCTTCTGTCGAGAACCGTGCGAGGACGACGAACGGACCAAAGACTTCTTCTTGATAAATGCGCATTTTGCTGGATACGTCCGTGAACACGGTGGGTTCGATAAAAAAGCCCTTTTTGTCGCTAGAAGCAGTAAATGGCCGGCCACCTAGGGTTAATGTGGCGCCCTCGGACTGTCCAACGCGGACGTACGACATGATTCGGTCGTATTGCGACTTGGTGACTTGGGGACCCTGGAAGGTGGTTTCCTCAAACGGGTCGCCTACTTTACTAATATTCTTAACCTGGCTCTTGAATTTCTCGAGGAAAGCGTCGTAGATTTTATCCTGTACCAGAATCCGGGACGTAGCCGTGCATATTTGGCCTTGGTTCGACATTATCCCGATATGGGCCCATTCAACGGCCTGGTCCAGATCGGCATCGTTGAATACTATAAGAGGGGACTTTCCGCCGGTTTCGAGAGTGATGTTTTTCAGGTTTGTGGCCGCCATTTTCATGATTTCGCGGGCTGTTGCCGTGCTACCGGTGAATGCAATTTTATCGATGCCTGTGTGTGAGGCGATTGCGGCGCCTGTAGTCCGGCCAAGCCCGTTGACAATGTTCACGACGCCTGCCGGGAAGCCTGCTTCGACGACTAGGTTTGCAAAGTACAAAATAGAGAGGGGAGTTTGTTCAGCGGGCTTTAGGATAACGGTGTTTCCGCAGGCGAGGGCTGGGCCAAGTTTCCATGCTGCCATGGAAAGTGGGTAATTCCATCTATTCCTCCACATTAGCTGATAATATCAATAATTCGAGTTGAATTGGGAAATACCCACGGAATAATCTGTCCACAAACACCAACTGGCTCTCTCACTGTATACGCGAACTTGTCGGGGGTGGTATCAATAACTTGGCCGAAAGTCTTATCCGCCCAGCCAGCGTAATAGCGAAGCGTCTCAGCGACCTCTGTAAGATCTTCATCTCTAGCAACAGCGAATGGCTTGCCATTATCCCAGGTCTCGATAGTGGCAAGAGTTGTACGGTGTGCCTCTACCAGCTCGGCGAGCCGGTAGAGAAGCTTGCCGCGGTCTGAGGCAGGCAGATCGCGCCAAGAGGACGTGTTGAGCGCTGCGCGAGCTGCAGAGACGGCTTTGTCGACGTCTGAGGGAGATGCGGCGTGAACAGAGGTTATTTCCAATTCATTTCTATGGATGTCAGTTTCGCAATTCAATATCCTATATAATTGGGGCATTATCGTACGTGGGATTGATGGAGGTGATCTTCTTGCCATCTGATGATGGCACCCATTCATTGTTGATGAACAATCCTGTGGGCTGGATGTATGTGTGGCCGTTCGGCGCTGTGAGCTTAACTTTGAGATCCGACATGATGTTGGTTTCTATCATACAACACTTGTCACTCAACAAGACCTGGCGAAATAGAAGAAGAGAAAGAAGAAAGAGGCGAGGAACGTTTGCCTACCCACCTGACTCTCTTATCCCGAGCTCCCTAAACTATGCTGCATCAGTGCATCATCATCACATTGCAGCTGGACCTTCAATCCTTCAGCTCTGGGGTCCGTGATTCGATACGTACTCCGCACGATTATTGGAGAGCTCGGTAGCTTCTCTGTTATCGTGTTTGCCGCGAGGACTTGCCATGTTGGGCCTAGTATATCGCTGCTGTTGCGCTTGGGCTGTCAGGTGGAGACCGACTCGAGGCCTGAAGCAGACTAGTTTAGGGCTTACCTGCGGAGATTGATAACTTGATCTGTTGGACGATATTCATGTATAATAATGCCATTGTTTGATAATGGGATAATGCTAAGTACAAGCAACTGCGTGTGTATTAGGTGGAGACTTGGATAGAACTTTCCTACGGCGCTGCGAGGGAAACCGATTGGCATTCATCGCCGAGACAGCGAGCTCTAATGAGTAGCGCTTGAATACACTTTTAGGTATTATTATCAATGCGTGGATCATAAGAGCTATAGATATTCTAGAATCCCAGGTATTTTCCGGGAGCGTAATTATATGTAGTATCTATGTTGAATATGTTATATTTAGGGGGTTATCCTAAATGTTGTCAACGTAGATGCCTACACATGTAAGTCTAGATATACGTATGTTTATGTTTAAGATTAACATTTGAAGTAGAGAAATGGGTTCAGATGTTATTAGTATATCAACTTCTGAGATGGTAGAATAATTAACAGGGATGCACAACAAAACCCAATGCTAAGAATATGCATAAGCTGAACGCCATTCGACACCCAAATGGAATGCTCGTTACACAGACTCGTAGTAATTACAATCTAGACTGGTCACGCGGGGCTAATTCACCAGGCGCTGCACAGCAATGAGAGGAAGGGAACGCGTCTTGCGAGACTGTGTCAACGCAGATGGCCGACGGCGGTACCCAGAGAGCAGGATTCTTTTCGAAGAAATTCGACGCACGCAGCATGATACTGACGGGTTCGGCAGGCATGATCGGGTAGTCCTCTGTTCTTGGAAAGTGTGAGAGGCCGAATTGCATGTAACACACAATGTCTGTGTTCTCGATCGACTCGTTGCGAGCGGCCCAGTCCACAATGGTCTGGTTGTGTGGGTGGTCATCGCGACCATCGGATTGGCAGACGTAGTCTCCAGCAGGGTAGAGCTCGTAATCATTGTACGGGACAACCCATAAAGATTTGCGGGCGAATCCTGCGCGTTTCCAAACCACACTGCCTGGCTTAGGAAGGAGGCCGGGCGAGTTGTTGTTGAGAATCTTGTAGGCAACTGGTTTGTGACAAACTTCATTAATGATGTTTGGGTTCACAATATCCCATGATCGGCTGGTTTCGTGGCAGTAGTCGACAGCGCCTTCCAGTGCTGTCCGCAGTGGTGTCTTCTTTGAGTAAAATGCGTTTCCGTAGAGGTTGTTCGGAGAGCCGACCGGCTCTTCGGAAGCATGTGCATCGGATTGGATGACAGTGTTATTTGTGCCATCGATTTCCGGGTCGATACGAAGAGAGAAGATGTGCTGATGGTTTTGCGCATTGATGCCTCGCTGCACCTCAGTGCCCCACGGAGCAGCTTGTTCTGATGGGTGCATTGGGTATGTGTTCAGTTGGCCGGTGAGCTTGACTTCGAGTTTGTATGTGCCGTCAAGAGTGAATGTGTGGTAAAACCCATATTCGTAATTAGCGGCAGTGATGATTTGGGAGATGATGAGCTTGCGGTCGCGGGCCGAAACAACGGTTCCATCACGATAGTCAGTATGTTTGAATAGCAGACCGTTGTCCTCTTCGTGAATACAGATCGCGTTCTTGACCATAGCTGCTTCACCTTTTCCAGTTGCAACAATGGCGTCGAGATAGTGGATTGCACCCTTGCAATCACAACCGAGCTTCAGTGAGTTGGTCATAAGACCAGCTCCGTATTCGCCGGTATCAAACGCATGCTTTTTGTGGTGGGGCGTTTCAGGGCTTCCATATGGAACGACCATTTCGACGACACTGATTCTGTTGAAAAGAGTTCGTTCGCGCTCCTGATAAGGGTCGTCAATTCGAACATCTGAGATGACAATACCCTCGCGGTAGTTGAACCCAATGTGCATTTTGTATCCGGCCCACGAAAGCTCATTCCCACGCATGCGGAAAGAAACGCCATGGGGCTGTGTGATATTGATAGGTTTAAGTCGGTCATGTTTGTAGCCGTCGCTGATGAATTCTGGCAAGTAATTGGAACCCTCAAGAGGCACTTGAGTTCGTTCACCATTAACAGTGCGAATGTCAACGCTTAAAATCTCCTCGGTCTCGGTATCAGCGATGATAGAGAAATCGAGCGGATGAGCGTATTGATTGTCGAAGGGCGAATTTCGGTAGTAGGCAAGACCCTGCTGGAGACGACGATCGAAGCCCCAGCGCTCGTCAACACCGATAGCCCAGCCGTCAATGAAGACCTTTGACATATCGGTGATTCCAAGGCCCTTGCAAGCCTCAATTACACGAGGGTCCTGGCGGGATATGCGTTCCATGATGTCGAGATCTTCCAAGGTCAAAGTTGGCATGACTTCGTTCACTTCCTTCCATTCCTCGACCTCAGATTTGGTCAAGTTCACGACAGCCTCAGCGCAGTTGCAAGTTCCAGCCTCGAGGACGATGGCAAAAGCGCGACGGTCTGGTCGTGGACCAAGTCCATTTCGAAAAGCAGCGTATTCACCTTTCTTGGGCTCTCGGAGCGTGATGCAGTTGAACTTGACAGGTTTGGGCGAAATGTACTCTCGAATCAGCTTTGCTGCGAGGGGGATCTCTTCGATGGAGAGTTGGTCTGACTAGTTAGTTGATGACTCGCATGGCTCATAAATGATTGGCATACCTAGTGGGTGAGGTGTGCGACGGCTAATCTGACTAGCAGCAGAGCTGGAGTCATAGTCGTCTTCGCGAAAAATCGTGTACCCGGGAATAGAGGTGGTGTCAGGCGCCATGGTTTATATAAATGCGGCTCACCGCGAAGCAATACAGAGTAAGGATGGGGGATAAGAGTGGTGGTCTGAGAAGATGAAGCGATACGGGCTAAGTCTTTATAGCCGTGCAGCGGTGTCGATAAACAGTGCTACTCGCATGGACCTACCGAAAATGGAAGGAGCGGGGGTTGATGCTTTTATCTGTCGATTGTCTGTCTCGTCTCTTTAACTTCACATCAGACGATCCTCGTGCATCTGCTACAGAGTAGCTGACGATGGTTAATGTCATTATCTTCGAGAGCTTGCTGCATCTACCCGTGACTTTGTTAGACACGGCGTTGTGGTACTCGGCATTTCGAGGATGGTCAAGATTGATATTTGTTTCGTCCGGTATACAGCTATCTACATGTAGTGGTATAGATCCTTTTATGGAAGGCGTTATGGTAGAACATATTATGCTAAGTCGTGGTAAGTTGTATTATACCTTGTATACAACTTGACAGCATACAGCAGTCCTCCTAATAGCAATTCCATATCACGATCCTTCAGCCACGACTATTATTTAGCACGATGAGGATTATTATTAGCTTAGCTCTAAGAAGAAGAGATCGGGTGAACCTCCCGCATTGGGTGGCTTATCTGGCGCTAGCCCAAACAGGGCACAGTCGGGGCCAACAGATAAGATTGGCGCCTTAAAGCGGCGTGGGGCGCGCCTGCGGCTTCTGGAAATGGCAGGTCCAGCCCGGAAGCTGCAGTCGGCCAATGACAGCTTTCCAATGGCCTCTGGCCCCACCTGATCGCCGCATCTGCGGGGAAAAGCTTGTTGCGGCAGAGACTGCAGGCTCAGCTTCGCTTCATCTCTCACTCGCTCGCCGTGGCGCCTGAATAAGTGCAATGTGTCACCGCTCACTGCTGTGATTGGGGCTAATCTCCGAAACAGGCGCACTGCCCCTGCTCCCGCCGTCTGGGGTAGCGGCCTCCTCCGCACGCGGTATTTACTTCATCCCAATAATAATAATTGATAACAGCGTGCCTCGTCTGATAAGACCCAACTGCCGTCGACTACGCGCATATATAGAACCCCAATTCATCTGTTTTATCCGTCCATAGTCTCCTCGACTTCACACTTCTCATTGTCTGTTCTCCCTTCAGAGGAATCCGCTGTCACTGGCCGGAAAGCCACCAAAGATTACAGCAGCCCCTTAGAGAATGAGATATCACCCTACGTCTTTGCGGAACTTTCTCTACATCCCTTCAGATGGACCCTGAAATGACCCTCCCGCTTGATACGACCAAATCGGTCGACCAAAGTATTCTCGATGCGCGCGACCTCGCCGCCCTGGGCCATGACCAGGCCCTGTCACGCAAGTTCGACATCTGGAGTATGCTAGCACTGGCATTTTGTGTGCTCGGAACATGGTCCACCTTCGCCCAAGATCTCGCCAGCGGCTTGACCAACGGTGGGCCTGTCAGTATCCTCTGGGGCCTGTGCCTGGTGACTTTTTGCAATCTTTGTGTTGCCGTGTCACTCGGCGAATTGTGTAGCAGTATGCCAACCGCGTTGGGACAGGCATACTGGGTTCATCGTCTGTGGGACACACCGACGGGCCGCTTCGCGTCGTACATGTGTGCTTGGATCAACACCTTCGGTTGGTGGGCCTTGACTGCCTCACAGATTGCTTTCATGACCAATTTCATGCTGGGAATGAAATTGATGTTTGATAATGAGTGGGCAGGTGCTAGTCAAGGATGGGTGCAGTTTCTAGTCTACTTGGGCATTACAGTACTCTTCACCGTCGTCAATCTGATTGCCTGTCGCAAGGAGAAAGTTCTCCCATATTTTAACAATTTCGTCGGTGTCTGGTTTGCTGGGCTATTCGTCGTCTTCTCGTTAGCTCTACTAATTGCTGTAGGCACCAAATCTGACCTTCACTACCAACCAGCATCTTTCGTCTTTGGCACGTGGATCAATCAGACTGGTTGGAGTGATGGTGTTACTTGGTTCACTGGTTTGGTACAAGCTGCGTACGGATTGACTGCCTTCGACTCCGTCATTCACATGGTTGAAGAGATTCCTGCCCCACGTCGCAATGCACCTAGGGTAATCTACCTTGCTGTCGCCTGCGGTGCCCTCTCCGGCTTCATATTCATGCTCGTCTGTCTATTCTGCATTCAGGATGTCAACGCTATCCTCAACTCTGTAACGGGACTTCCGTTCATTGATCTTGTACAGGAGGCAATTGGCACTCACGGCGGAGTCGCCTTGATTGCTCTGTTCGAATTCAATGGTCTCGGTCAAGGAGTCAGCATCATGACGACTTCTTCACGTCTCACATGGGGTTTTGCTCGTGACTCGGGCCTTCCTTTCAGTAAATACTTCACCCACGTCGACAAGACCTGGAAAGTTCCCGCACGTGCCCTCTGGCTTCAGGGAACAATTATCGGTATCATTGGGGTCCTCTACCTCTTCGCCAGCACTGTTCTCACTGCCATCCTGAGTGTCAGCACCATCGCATTAACCATATCCTACGGCATGCCTATCTTGGCTTTATTGATCGCAGGACGCGATAAACTACCGCCAGGCGGCGAATTCCGTCTCGGCCGTTTTGGACCCATTGCAAACTGGATCAGCGTTATATATTGCTCCATCACCACTGTTTTCTTCTTCTTCCCTAGCGCACCCAACCCTGCACCAGGCGACATGAACTATGCTATTGCCGTATTTGGCGTCATGCTGGTTATTGCCGTTGGCTTCTGGTTTATCAAGGGGCACAAGGAGTATTTGAAGACAGAGGATGCAGCTCGCAGAATCCTGGATGCTCAGCGTTTGGAGGTTGAAGTCGAACCGGAATCGTCTGCAAATGTTCCTATTAAAGCCAACGATACAAAAAAGCCTTGATTTGCTCTTTTGAATCGTTATTAACCTTGCGTATATAGTGTTGAAATATGTTAACAAAGCACGGGCCTTTTTAGGAAATTAATTACTATATATTCTATCCTATATATTTCTATTCCGCTGTTGGGTCGTGCAATAAGCCAGTTGATGTATTATATGCCAAGTATCCTTCTATGGGTACGAAAAACTTGAATCAAATTACAATGGTTTAAATAGTACCGAACATTTCTGAAACAGGTGATAACCTTCCAACCTTCAGTGTATTCTGAATATTAAAACTACTGCACTTTCCAATACCGAAGAAAACCAGGACCAAGGATGATCTTACCACTCAATTTTTCAACTTATATCATGTTACTGTATAAACGCCAAAACTCTCAAGTGATGAATCTACGCATTCAAATAATTATTTCTCAAATTGCTCGGTACAAAAGGTCCCATAAGGTCAACCTGGAGAAACTTCCCACCCTGAATCTCTTCTCTCCGCTCATACAAATCATCCACATCCCAATTACTATTGACGAACCGTCCATTCAAAAATCTAGCCTTTTCCGTACACAACCACACCCCAACGCCAGCCACAGGCTCCGGTGTATCCAGCGCACATCGTTCGAACGAATCAATCGTCATCTCCGTGTCGACAACTCCAGGATGTAGTGAGATCGACACGACATTAGGGGTTTCGGCGGCGACGCAGGGGGATATTTGTAGATTGATCAGTTTTCTAAATGAGTAGGCGCTCATTCCAGTGTATACTCCTTATGCGGCGCCTGATGTCAGTGTAATGATATTCCCCTGGACGCTGCTCGCAAGAGATTTGAGGAAATGGGTTGTCATCAGGAAGGTGTATTTTGCATTTGTTTCCTGATTTGATTTAAAGTCAGAGTCCCGCTCCATTTCACTTCCGGGTTGAGGTAATTGGTAAAATTTCCGGTCTCAGCAACGGATCTTACAAAACCAGCCCACCAGACTCCTGGGTCAAGGTCCCTCAGTGGCCCCGACCCTTGCAGGATAGCGGCGTTGTTTATCAAAATACCCGCGTGGCCATATTTCCCACTCACCTTCCTGTAGATATCTTGCATGGCACTTGCATCCGCGGAGATGATGAGGGTCTCAACAGCTGGATTCAGCTTCACAATGTCGGCGGCGACTTGGTTCAGTTTATTAATGTTCCGGAAAACAAGGATGAGAACTTTTTGTCGGCCTTGGAAAATGCTCGACTAAAACCTTGCTTTTCGCAGAAGTAATCGAAATGTGGTTTCAGTGCAAAGCCTACTTTTGCTCCCAGATCACAACTTGCAAAAGTGATTATTACGACCTTACCGGCTATGGGTAGGTTAGGGCTGGTGGGATCAATTGAGGGATACTGGTTACAGTGTACATTGTTTGGTGAATTGCATACTTTTCACGAAGAAGCCGGGGGTAGAGAGTTCATGATGTTTAAATGTTTTTGCTGGAAATGATAGGATATAGACGGGGCTGGATTAGGCAAGAGCCTCTTGGATTCAATTTTATATTGCAAAGTACAAAGTCTTCGTACAGTATCTGAACTATGTAGGTTCTTTATATAGACAAGAATGACAAATAAAGAATACATGTGCGATTAGCAATCCCGTCGCATCACACTGTCAGTGGTTGTAGCGTGCATTTCAAATGATATTCGGCTGGTTGATAACGTCAAGATGATTCATAAGTAGTATCTAGTCACTAAGAAAACCTTATTAATTCTATTATCAGCATGGACAAGGCTTGTAGCATCATAATCAACTTCCTATGCTCAAAGCGGTCACCCGTAATAGGCTAATCTGGTTAAGGAAGCTGGTCTCTGTCGTCCTGTAGGAGGCTTATAATTCCACTGGACGGGATGGATTCCGCATGTTCTTTTCCTACCTTCTCTCAAATTATTATTTGTATATGAATACATAGACAGTCATAGGGGAGATCGTGCGTGCCTATCTCGAACTTTTCTAGGAGACTCTGGTATAGGAGGCAGTGTCTGCTTTCCTGCTACGCTAAGTTATGGGTTAATTCATCATTAGGTTCGAGGATTAGGCCCATGCTTTGTATTGCTACGCGAATAACAATAAATCTTGATAATCAAATTGAAGAAATGGACACATTCTTCGGTAATATACATATAATTTATGAGAACTATTAAAAGTAATGTACCATCAACAAGCTTTGGAATGTATACAAAGGTCAGGGAAAATTGAAGTATATAATATATCAGCAAGCAAGAAGGCATTCGGTCCCAATAATCGACAAACCAAGCAACGTGCACAAAGGACGAAGAAATTTGTTAGTCAGAGTAGTATATTATGTATACTTTCCATGAAAATTAAACCGTCTTATTCGTCGCGAAGCTCTAACTTCTATTAATAATACGCCTCTATGAAGATCGTATTGAGTATGCGACGTTTATTTGCTTACACTGGGTAGTGCTTAAGAGATTTCCGGTTCATGCCATCTGGTTTGTTAGTATTCTGTTGCTCTTGTTATTATCTATAATTCATTTTAGTGTTTAAGTAACCGCGCTATACTCTGAGGCTTCTCGAGAGGAATGTCTGACAGGTATGTTACGAGCATATCATTACTATACACTAGCAAAATCTTTAATACAGCATTAACCCTATCTAAATAAGGAGTATTAGTGTCTCCTAATTCGCTCAAGAAGGGAATTACACTCGTATACGGAAAACTGCCAACATGAAAGCTCATAAGCATGAATCAAGCTAGTTGGTAATTAATCAATCAGGTAGTTAAATTAGCCAAGGCATATCTACATGAAAGAATCAAACCTAATAGCGAGAAGACCAATTTAAGATTGAGTTTTAAATATAACAGAGGCTTCCATTAATCCGCCTCTAAAATCTTATATTCTAACACTGGACATGTAATAAAAAATACAAGTCGCTTTTAAGTGCCAAGAATAGTGATTTCTGAATATAAGAGTGGAGCTTTCATTAATCCACATTTTGACCCCGCGTTTTAACAGTGGGCATCCAATAAAAAATAATAGTCGCTTTGAAGTGCCGAGGATATCGACTTCTAAATATAAGAGTGGAGCTTTCACTGATCCACATTTAGACCCCATGTTCTAACAGTGGATATCCAATAAAAATTAGAAGTCGCTTTTAACTGCCGAGGATGATAGCGTTGATATTCGTTAGTGTATCTTTTGTTTAACTGATCTTGACACCTTGCCTTAAGAATTCCCAACTTGTTTTCGCCTCAATATAGTCTTTAAGGTCTAAACGGGGATCCATAGATAATCACCCGAGTGTCTGCGACTGAAAGATGAAGAGCCGCAAATGAGCGAACAATTGTACCTGCTCCCACAACGGCGACGTTGACGAAATAACCGGTAGACCCATGCGAAGCTTCCATCGTCATTGTTAACGATTTACTAGCAGACTCTGATGATATTGATATTTTACGCTTCGGTACTATGTTTAAAACTATGTGTTTCTATAGAGATTCAAATACTTAGTTTACTTAATTGTGGAGCATATGACTCGAAGAGAGAAGAATCGGCTAACCTCGGTCGCTTCGCGATAGGATTCAAAACCTCGGCTTGGCTGGTAACGATAGGACCTCGAAAATGCGACTACATACATCTTCACTAATCAAGTCAACTCATAGGCCGTATAATAGTGCAGGAGGGTATTAGGTTCATCCTTCGTCTATTGCATTGCCACTACAACCCTTTTTTCACTCTAGGTTATCTTCACTGGACCGCAGGTCACAACGACTCGACTTCATTCTATACATTATGTGGCTGATTTCGTCAGGTCCATCTAGAGAACAATGGCGGACTACTCACAATACTCGTCCCTTGCTTTAGAGTGGACTCAATTTGTGCAAGTAGAATCTCTTCCCCCCAAGGACGCCTGACCCGTCGCTTGATGACAGGAGAGACTATTTGAACAAATCTCGATCAATGCTTGAGCTTGTAGGATTGATCCTCTCGACCTTGGGTGATGAGCTTTAGATCTTCTCCTTCGAAACAAATATCTGTGAAATAAGACCGGCTTTCCCAGTAGTACCGGCCGCAATATTGTTCTAGTGGCTTCGGAACTGTTCCGGAAACGCGCTCCTCGCTCAGTGTCTCTTCTGCTTCTGAGAATCGTGATCTTGTCGCTTTTATGCACTCTTCAGTCAGCCTAATGAAGCCATTGGTCGAACTTCACATAGCATAATCAGGCTTATGTCCCGTGTGGGCAGCGGAGAGGGAATCTCGATCACATAAGGAAATATCATTATATCATGTAGATTATGCTAGTAAGAGCTCTTACTCGGAGCATTGAGGAGCCAAATGATTCCGTGATGTGTGTTCTAAATATGAGAGTTTTTACATAACTGTAGGTTATTAATAACATCGATGGTCTTATTGAAAAGATAAAGTCCCCTTGTCCAGGCCAGGTCGTGCGCCGCCGTGTAAATGGTTGGCTTTAACAATGACTTATCCTCTCCAGGATTAGCGTCACGTATATCAATTTCGTAATACAGACCATTTAAAAGGAGCTCAACCACGACGAGCATACATTGGGTCAGCTAGATGAGCAGGTCTGAGAGAAGAGAGTACTATGACTAAACAGAAAAAGGGAGGTGTAAGAAGGTTGATTCCTCACCTAGGCTGACGCCAGGGTGGCAGCTATCGATATTAGTTAACCCCTAGTTATGACATAGTTATTTAAGTTGGGTTAATATAACGTTCCAACTAACAGATGTGGTTTTGCCGTTGGCTTGTTAAGCCCTTACCCCGCCTTAAGCCAGCACCCATCTCCACTCGGTCGACTCATCTCTTCCGCTTTCTAAAGCAGGACTCGAACCGATACTGAGAGGAAGAAGCAAAGGTGCCATGTCTCAGGAAAAATTATCTCCTTCTAGCTCAGGTGTTGCTCACCTGGATTCACTGCATCCGACTCAATCAGAAAGCCACGAAAGCCAAAGGTATGTCAAGTAACGATTCCATGCCCAAGACTAGCAGCGCTGTTTATGATAAGAGAATAAATAAACAGGAAACGATCTTATTGTGTGAGTCACTCGAGAACTATTATCTGTCCTCACTACGAGAACTTATTATTAACCACCTTTTCTACTTCAGACAAATCATCTGGACGATTCGTCGCATGCTACAGTGAAATGCAAAAGCAAAAGATGTGTAAACCGCATACCCTTCAGTTCCTCCAATACATCTCAAATCAGTCCGAGATTTTGTCTACAACCAGTACACCAAATTGGCCAGATCGCATACCGTGGCGAGTCGACTAATCTATCACTCATCATGTCTAACCAGGACGGTAACTATGATGTGGTCCACGTACCACTCGAAATGATGAATGGCCCCCCAAACAACTATAGACTTGATGACCTTGAAAGGGACAGGTTACACCGGCAGGGCGCATTTCTGCTCCCTCCACGATCACTGCGAGAGGAGCTTATCGCAGCGTTCTTCAAATGTGTAGCTCCAATGCTTCCCATCCTCAACAAACACCAGTTCATGAGGAGATATCGAGATTCAAGTAAACCCCCCTCACTGTTGCTTCTACAAAGCGTTTTCCTTGTCGGATTAAAGGTCTCGACCAGCTATCAGCTGCATGGTGGAGGTCGATCCAATGCGGTGGCCATGGCAGTTTATAAACGAGCAAAGGCACTCTACGATGCGGATTATGAAAGTGATCGCGTAGCCGTTGTGCAATCGTTAATATTGATCGGTTGGTATTGGGATGGTTCTGAAGATGATTCTGGTAAGTACTTCAATCACATCTCTGAGGGTATTACATGTTCAATACATGCTAGATGTGACGCACACTGGATATTATTGGACCTGCCTTGCGATTGCAGTAGCTCAAGGGTCCGGTATGCACCGCAGGTAAGAATCAATTGCTCAGCACATCCGAACCCTCGTTCACTATCTTAAACAGTCTCTCGAGCTCACTACTTGGTAAACCGGAGACGAAGCTGCGGAGACGATTATTTTGGACACTCTTTACAAGAGATGTCTCTGGTTCGTTATCCCTAAACCGTCCACCAAGTATCAATATGCGTGACTGTGACATCGAACCGCTAGTAGAGGATGATTTCCTCGAAGGCGATTTCGATGGGCTAGAAGGACATTCCCACTTCATTCATAGAAATTTCTTTCTCAAATACGTGGAACTGTGCAAACTTTTAGGTTTGGTGCGAGACCAGATATCGAAGCCTGTCCATAGTCAATTTTTGGATAACGTGATCAGTATCAAAGTGTCCCAATGGTTGGAAAGCTGCCCCGAGCAGCTGATCTGGTCACGATCGAAACATGATTTCTGGTCTGCATTATTGCAACTACATTACAAGTTCGTCAAGTGATCTTCCCAATTCTCATATCTAACTCTCAAAATGCAGTGCAACCATTTGCCTCTTGCACGGCTCTGTAACGAGACCTTTCATAGAAGAGCAGGTCAGCCCTTTTGCCGATGGGACCCTCGTTCTCTATGCTCAAGCTACTTCATTCCGTGCGTCAGGGACAATCATCTCTATTGTGAATTGCCTTTTTGACCACGACGAGATTCGCTTTCTGCCGGCGTCCGCGTAAGTTCTCTTGACTCCCCTTTATCGAGCTGATCATAACTGCCGATCTACAATAGCGTGTATAGCCTGCACTCTGCTCTGGCTATACAAGTCCAAGAACGAATATCAACAAATTATCTCGGCGTCGCTCCGTGCTGGCCAAAAGTTGGTAATTGCATGGGTGCTGTGGAGGAGTTGGAAAGAGTCTGGCCGGTAGCGAAGTCTTTGTATCCACTACTTGGGTCTATTCTTAAAGATACTATATCATAGCTATAGTGATATAGCAGATAATGTTTCTGAGGTGATTGAAATGGCGTGGATGATATGCCACATTAAACAAAGGATTTGCAGGGGATCTAACATACTAGGGTCAGTTTAAAGGATAGGTACAAAAGGCTGAATAAAAATTACAAAGAGCTATCTTGGATGTTAGGCTTCTACAGCCGAGTATTTTCTTTGTCAGGTACGTGCAAGATGAATCCGATTTAGTAACTGAAGACTTTTGGTAACTTACAAGATGTTCCACAGAAACAATGAAATTTACTAGATCACTTATGTCATGATCTAAGGGCTTTTACTGTGGTGAAACCATTATGTATTATAGATAGATGCTCTTTGTCTACTTTGGCTATATAGTAGAACCCTAGGTCCCCCATGTACTACCAGGGACAATCTTCCCTATGTTCAGAATCCACACATATCTTAGATTGTTACAATGTTATCCCAACCCGTATCTCCACACAGATGGGAAGAAGATGACCCCTGCTCAGAGATTTACAAGTAGCGAATGACTACACAGGGCCAAATGCAGGTTTTCAAGGCACTGAGCAAACAAACCCGGAACACCCGGCGTCAGAGACAAATGTGGAAAGGGAGATATTCTATAGGGACAGCAAGTGTTCAAACATGCTCGTACAGTGTCTCTCGAGAAATCGGGACAAAGAGACTGACTTGAGGCAAAAATAAACCTGTCAACAGAGAAAGAATATACTAATATATAAGACTCCCTGGCATATAGTAACCCTCTTAGAAAAGAAAGTGTGCGTTCTAAATATGTAGGGAAGATTGTTCTGGCAGTACACGAGAGACCTCAGAGGTTTTGAAGCCGCGCGCCACAAGGACTGAAGAACAAGGCCACTACAGAGCCTGACGAGGCTTCAAATTCATCGGGATATCACGGACTACCGTAATGGACATTTATATACGATAGCTAGAGTGACACCCCGTATATCGCTAAGGCAGCTGTAACCCTGAACTGAGGTACAAAAGATTCTGATATTCAACACAATCAATAGGCGCAGGTACTTCCATTTATAATCGTGGTAGCTGCCTCCATACTGCCTAACGTAGCCGTTGCCCTCTAGGACACCAGTGGTAGCCTAGCAGTATATCACATGATTTGGGATCCAACTTAGGAGAGGGGCAAGTGTATGAATTCACCACTAACTACCACTACTGACAGTAAAACATTTCAAACTGAGACCACAATATACTAGTATCCACTGCCTATGGCCTGCACAATAGGATCATATACAACACAGACATAATCGTGGTCCTCCAACTGAATTGTCTTCTCATTTGTGCTTCCGTTATCTCCAATATCGCCGAGTTCCCATCGCCAGTTGGTGCCCAAAGCAGGCCAACCAGGACCGGCACTGGGATTCTTTGCGAAATCTGCCCAGATACGTTGCATATACTGACTCAATTTGATCTGCTGGGTGGTGACTGTTCCATATTGGTTAGAGAGAGGATAGGTGCCAAACACCTCAGGGATCTCTGACGAATGCCACGCGCCGGCCTCATTAAACGGGGAAGTATTTGGGAAACTGGCTGCATAACGGTACCGCCAAGCCGTATAACCACTTTCGACCGCATAGTTCGATAATGAGGCTGTCGTACATGTGAAGATGGCATCTGTTAGGATTCTGAAGACATGTTAAATCGAATTATTCGTAGTTAGCTTCAAGGTGGCCGCGAGGATGTCTTACTGGCTTGCCAACAAATATTCGTCGTTGACAATGCCCGCTGCATAGAGGGCAAGGATTGAGTTCTCCAAAGATGACCTTAATAACGAGTTGTCAGGGACTAACATGTTGAGGACTTGATCGATTAAGTTTGTGGAATTCGAAAGCCCCAGAGCCGCAACAAAGACGCGGCCTTCATTGGCGTTTGTTCCAAGAAATATCGGCACATTGGCAAATTTTTTGCTTGATATACTACTGCGCACGTCATTCAATTGAGTTCCATCGTTATCTACAGGGGGGAATAAGAGACTTTGTGATTCAATGAACGCTTTAATTTCCGTCGCTGGAACATGACGCAAGCAGTCGATCGGAGAGGAGGCTGTTTCGCACGAGAAATTGCTGAGAACCATATAATAGCTTTCAAGGCCATCCCCAGTTAGGCCCGCTTGTTGTGACTCCATGATAGCGGCAGCAAAAGGCAATGGTGATGGGGGATTCGCAAGGAGCTGCTTGACCGAATACCCACCAGCAGACTCGCCAAAGATTGTTACTTGGTCAGGATTACCACCGAATTGTGCAATATTATCCTGAACCCATGATAGCGCGAAACGCTGATCCAGGTACCCGACATTCTGCTCACCAAACGGAATTTGCGGCGAACTCGAGAATCCGAAAACTGAAAAAAAACAAAAAATAATCACACGGTTAGTGCAGTTCTGCTGGTTAATGGATAAACTTCCACGGGCACTCTTACTGTTTGTGCGATAATTAAACGTCACAACTACAACGTCTTGATTTACTGCAAAAGACGTCCCATCGTACTGTGCAACGGAGCCGGACCCAAACTGAAGATTTCCCTGCAGATGTTGCGCTTGTCAGGATTCATGTTTGCAATCGGAACAAATATCCTGAGAATTACTGACTCCAAATATCCAAAACAAGACTGGCTTCAGGTTTGTCGGAGAGGCATCAGCGGGAGCATATATATTCAAATAGAGACAATCCTCGCTTTCAGGCAATGGCTGGCCACCTGGATTGTCAAATGTATCAATCATGAATTGCTGGAGAGCACCAGAACCTATAATTTCAGTATGTCAGGCATATAAATGTTAAATTTTGATCTATATTGAATTTAAACCAACCACTAAATTGCTGTATACACGCTGGTGGCAGCTGCGTTGCCTGCAGCGGACTTTTCCATGCTGCTGGCGCAGAGGGAGGTGAGAATCTTTCCGGTGGACTTTGTGCAAATGGAATTCCCTGAAACACGTTCGCTGTGGCATTTGCAGATGGTTGATTGGAAGGAGTCGCTATTGTGCCGACTATGACACCTGATGCTATGGAAACTGTAGGGGTTTGTGCAACCACAGGCGCAAAGCTCGTGATACCCAACACGGCCAAACGGCCAAATACTTTACAGGGTTGTGACAACATGACAATAGCCAGGTGGATAAGGACGCTGTGAATGGCAAAATTATCAGTACTGCATAACCCAAGCCAGGTGTTTGGTAATTCCATCGCTTCAATATATAATCAAACCCAATAATGGGAAGACCAATTGAAAATTGACTTCTGAATGCAAGAGGGGCTTTCACTAACCTACATCTAGCTCTATATTCAATAACAGATATCCAATAAAAAGTAAAAGTCGCTTTCAAGTGCCGAGGATAGCGACTTGTGAATATAAGAGTGGGGTTTCACTAATCCATATTTAGACCCTATATTCTAACAGTAGGTAGTATCCAATAATAATTAAAAATCGCTTGTAACTGCCGAGGATGAATACTTTTGAATACAGTTGTTATTCCCACCCCACACATATTATGGACCTTGCACTAATGCGGCAGTAACTTGCGGTCTGCTCGTATTGGCTACTGCACCCCCTGGCTAACCAGTCTCGACATCTCGCCCCGAGATTTCCAACTTGTTTCAAAGGAATCTGACGTGCCTCCCCAACTATATAATGTGGACTCTATTCTGATTCCATCTCCGCTAATAAAAGTGGATGTTTTGCTCGGCTCCAGTCCAATAATATTGTCACCAGGTAATAGATGAGCCGTTCCACCATCAATCTATGAGATTCATCCTGCCCCACATCTACCAACGGTGATAGAAATCCATCGGACACATGAGGTCTCCTGTATTGTATTTATCATTTATCTTCTAGGACAAAAGTGAGTTTTCTTGTAGTCGTCTCCCGACGTTACCCATGGTTGTTCCTATCGTATTATGGGGCATCAGATTTTCAGTCGGAGCCCGTAGAGCAAGTAGTGGTACTGTGTGTAATAAGAACCTAGAAGGATATTGGGTGACTGGTTTATTTTACTTGCGCTAGTGGTCTTGGAGAAGCAAAAAACAGGCTCATCACGGTACTGTTGGTACCCAACCACCGTATACAGGGTATACTCTGCTGGGTATTATTAGATTTGTTTCCACAACTTACTGCCAAGTACTGGTCCAATCAGGAAGCTTCACACTAGGGCGGTCAAATCCAGTCTATATTGACATCAAGTCGAAAGTTTGAAGTGTTCTGGTGTCTTTTGAGGCCTTCCGAAGTCTTATTGACTGATCATAAGCCTAGAATCAGGTGATAGTTTTGGGCACCAATATACTAGGTGTCTATATGAAGGCGGATTCAGACTAGATTAGAGATCATTTCAATCAAGTTACTCAATTCCTTCAATTATTCCATAAGAAAATTAGTGTAACCAATAAAACACTTGGTAGGCTGGGTGATTGACAAAAACATAAGGCTCTCTCAGGCTTAAGCCAGAAGTCTCACGCATCATAGACTCTAAATAACACACTTTCCTCTCCGTCACTACACTTATATTTTGATCAATGGAAAATTCCATCCGAAAAGCTCCCCACCGGCTAAGCCATAGGTCTACTATAAGAATAAAATTTAGTGCACATTTGACCAATTTTCTGGCACTACGTTACTATTTTATTACAACACTAGTTTATATACTGACGACCAACATCCTCCTCTATAGATAAATATGTACGGTAAAACAAAGGCATAGGTTATTATAGTTCAGATACGATTCTGTCTAACTAGTTGTTCAAAATCTAGGAGATGCCCACCCATTGGACGCATTCCCCATGTTGTATTGTGGTAGCGCAATGCGAAATGCAGTATCAATGCAGATCATCATGTCTACTTCTCTACAGCCGTGTGATTGCTGACTTATTTCGGGGTATCATGCAACTCCGCTCGCAGCTGCGGTGGGTGCGTGTCTTTGCGGCCCAAGTGTCTACATACGCCCCCTTCCTCTTCCTTCAACCGAAAACCTATCGTGTTATTTTGTATCATGAAATTCTGGACAAGCATCGCCGTTGGCCTTAGGTTATTACTCTGCTCGCGGCATCTGGCCAACAAACGCGTGGACTGAATATTTATTTCCAGGATCCACTGATCAAAGCTTGTCTGGGAATGGGTAATCCACGAGGCTTGTGCAGAGCCGCAAAGTGCAACTGATAGTAAGATGAACGTAACAAACGTTATATGCGATGTGACTTGCACCTCCTTCGGATGATGCTTGTTATAATACCTTTCCCATCTCGGTCGTAAGCCGCTCGTTTGACATGGTCGGATATAATCTCATGAGCTGCGATAATAATCAGACAGTATCATCGTAGCCTGACCTCCAAGATGGTCTTAAGGGTTTCATGATCGTTGGACCGACCCGGATAGTACACTTCACCAGCTCGTAATCTTATCGATTCTAATATGGGGCTATCCATTCTAAAGATTTCGTACGGGATGAAAGAAGAGGTTGCTCACCAGGAAAATTCCGTAGGTGATTGGTCTGTGCGATTGATGCATTATCGTCTGCTGTAATTAAGGCTATATGAATAAATGAGGTCTCATATGGAGTACGGCCCCGACAGCTGAATCCAGGCCTGTGAATAGGCTCTATTGTGGTAGGCATCCCTTGTTGCCGTTTTCATCGACACGCCTCCTGCCCTAGATTTCATTCAATATTCAAAAGTCCGGCCAACTTTATCATACCCTGTGTAAAGTAACTTCTGGGCTAGCAATTCCGAGGTATACACCCTTTTCTTGTCCAAAGAACTGCGTCAACAATAGAGCTCTATGCAATAATTTTCCCACCCACGATCTCTCTTGTGATACATGCGTATTGTGTTAAAAAAAGATCAATATGTACCTACCTATATGTTAGATAGGGTGGGTAAAAAACTAGGCCCGAATTGGGAATTGAACCCAAGACCTCACACAGTCAGCAACAGTTCCGAGTGGAGTGAGGCTACCCTAAGCGTGAATCATACCACTAGACCATCCGGGCTAAGTTGACGAAATTTTCGCTAAAAATTAATATCAGAGTATTTACAGATCCATTATTCTTCACAGACGGTTTGACCATTAAGATTCATTAAGATTCAACATGGTCGATGCGCCCAGCCGTTCGCCATGTAAGCACTAGCCACTTCCGATGTAGTTCTTTCGCTTAAATGAACAAATATTATCTCATTTGACAAGATCAGACCAATTATTGGCCTCATCTCTAGGGGCGCGAACATGAATTTAGCTTAACCTATACTTCAGCCCCTAGTTATTCGCTGCTAATGTATCTCTTCCCGTCAGCTGGTATGGTTCACTCAACTAATCCAAATACGGCAAATGCAATGGCATTATTCCATGTAGAGTGTAGCTAGATTGTCGCGGCTGGTATTACGATTGTGACATTTTCTAACCAGAACAGAAACCAGTTTAAGCTTTTTTGAAGTACGACTGCATCTATTGTAACTAACTCTAAAGGGATGGATAGGCAACGTCGATTAAGGTCCGGCCCGGGAATACGAGAAGAAAGCTTTGACACAAAAGGGGGCTGGCCGCCCAATTCATCGTCCGATTTCTACCTTTTTTTCTTCAATTTTAAGGTTGAAATCAAGCTCTCTCCCGCAAACCAAACCCATAGGCCACCTAGGAGAAAACCCCAGCATAACAGACTAGCAAGATGTTTAGTGATGTTACATACAAAATACGCTTCACACTGCTTCTAGTCCCTTTCTCTACCTTTTGCCATGGCTGGACAACGTTTGATCCACAGTGTACAGCACCAAACGAATCTACCAATTTTGTCGCCTCAGCGGAAGTCCGAGGGACAATGGACATAGTGTGGTCATGTCTGTCAGTTCTTATCCTTTGTGTGTGGTCTATTCACCATTTCTGCGTTCCCAATTTTGTTAAGAATGAGAGTTCTTCGCAGGGAAATTGGATGAAGAAAGCACTCCTTGCTAATATTAAAAAACTCAATTGGTCACTTCTCGCAATTCTGGCTCCCGAGTATATATTTGCAAAAGCTCTCGCAGAGAAACTCGCAGCACATTACTCTTATAAACAATTTCAAGAACATCGACAACATGGTTGGAGTGACTGGACTATTACACATGCATACTTTGCGAACATGCGCGGTTTTGTTATGCGTTTCAATACGCGTGCTGTTCCCATGAGCCTAATACCATCCAAGCCAGACAAGTTAGCTCTATCTCGCCAATGGCCTCAGCAACATAGTGATGTTACGTACTTCGAACAAGATGTGAATGGCAGCATAGAAATTGAAAGAAGGCAGTGTCGCGAGATATGTGGAGATCCCTGTCAAAACCGTGATGGATTGGCTTCTGAAAAAGGATCTACAATAAAGACAGAGCACTACCTAGATGCACATAAGACCTGGCAAGGTTATTGGGCGCTCTCAGCTTCCCAGATGCTTTATGCCTGCCAACAGGGAATTATTGCCGGTCCCCCTGCCATTACAGTTGAAGAGTTGAAAGACTACAGCAAATCAGATATCTTTGTTAAGGTCATGGCCATTGTCCAAATCACTTGGCTTGTAGTTCAAATTTTGGCTCGCGTTACACAGAACCTAGCGGTTACTCTACTTGAGATTACAGTTCTTGCATTTGCAGCTGTCATGATCGCCACATATCTCCTCCTCCTGGGCAAGCCTCAAGATGTCCACGTGGCAACACTTGTAGATGCGCGTGGTCAACTGAATCGGGAGCAAGTTATCGGTCTAGCTGCCCGTTCGCCTCAATCTACTCTATTCGTGCATGGTTTTTGGCTTCATGGAGTAGCGGTTCGGACAATGTCTGATAATGTATTCCCATACTCCCCCAGTTTTTCAATAAAGCTGCCGTGGATGACACGAACACATCATCTTGACACTGTTATCATGGGAATGGGCTTTGGTGGTGCCATCTTTGGGTCCGTACATTGCGCAGCCTGGAACGCTGAATTCCCAACATCGGTCGAACGCCTTTTATGGCGGATTTCATGCATCGTCTTAATTGCTCTCCCTCCTGTATCCGTCTTCACATATGATCTAGTTCGATACATTTTTGAAGCTCGGTTCAAGACCAACAGCAAAGCTAAACATTATTTGAAACCCATCGGATATTCAACTGCACCTGTCTACCTACTGGCTCGATTATATCTCCTGGTTGAAACGTTTCGATCCCTAGCTTATCTTTCTCCGAGTGCGTTTCAGGCTGTTAGTTGGTCAAGCATTGTGCCCCACCTATAATGAATTCTTATCTATACTGCAATAATAGTCACGCGAACGCGGAGACTTTCAGCTGCATCGTACCAACACTTAGGCTTACCTTCACGTCAACTCTTTTTAATCTAAGACACCGCAACTCCATCCCACAATGTAATTCACTTTAACGGTAAATTTGCATACTGAATTATAGCGTCATCGGAGATATTACCAGCTCTATTCGACAACACGGGCTAGTAGGCAACGGCCCATCACTTTCTACATTGCTACATTCTCTTTTCATATTTTGATTTTCAACACTTCAAAAGTTGATATGAGAAATTCGAGTTCAAACTCAGCCGTAAATTCTCTGCACGACATTACACCCTTCCATTCGACGACTCCAGAATAACAACCGCAGGAAGTTCGTCAACGAATAGCCTATCTCACCTATAGGAACTACCAGCTGACAGGAACCTAGGATATGCAGATTCCGTGGTTACCATTAGTTCATGAGAATACGGATGTCGATAAATCGTGATATGAGCGATTATTTCCTCCTGAATATTGTAAATAGGATGTCTACATCCACGTTCTGCTCAAATACAAGTCAAATAGCTAGGTAGCTTTCCTGTGCAACCGCACATGGCAATATATCAATAATGGCCAAAGACTACAAATAGCTAAACGTCAAGATGTTGAGGGGGAAAATGATGGAGGTCTAGGTGAATATTCAACAATAAGAGACGTCAGTTGTAAGCAGCACAACCTTGTCACTGTTGGTAGGGTCTTTGTCAGACGGAGAAGACCTGCGTGTCACTATGTTGCGGGGATAAATAGGGTGTAAGAAATAGTTTATGTATCTAGCTGATCTGGATACAAAGGAGAGTAGTAATTCTGTCACGACTCAATAGCTAAATTCAATATCAGAGGACTCTGAACTTATAATGGGCAAGTAACGATCACACATCGCTGAAAATGTTGCACTAATTGGTATTTATTCGGTCTCGGGGGACCTTCTCAGCCTTCTCAGCGGTATTGAAGGGCAGGCAGACCGAACCAAGTGTCTGCAAGGCTTGTGGAAACACTGGTAAATCCGATGTAGCTCAGTCGAAGCAAAGGTCTAGGGAAACAGATTCTACGACTTCTCTCATAATAACACAGTGAAAGGCAAAGACAAGTTCCTTCCAGTCGGGGGGGACGTTACACAATGGTAGCAAGTCGAGAAAGATAGATTAATGTGCCGGAATGATGTCACCATTGAGAGCCCTAGCCCTTAGCCCTAAGCTACTCCGGATCAGGTACCTGCAAGCCGGGTTTCTGGGTTCTTACAGATCAAACTCGTGCTTTTTGATTTCCTTTCTCCTTTTTCCCGTATCCTTGGTGAAGTAATGAGCTAAATATAAAGGTCATTTTGCTCCCCTTGTCAATATCGTCCATCCTGGACCCAAATACTCGCATCATATTTGTCTAGGAAGAGAGTTGAAAAAAAGAACCTAATCTAATGGAGATGGATTTTTCTCAACTCTACAGTCGGTAAATTCGAGACATATATGAGCCAGGAACAATGAGTTATAAAAGGAACTTGTATAATTCTTTCAAGATGGGAAAATCACAAAAAAAACTCTATAAAGGCGATGCCTAGTGGCTTCACCGCCGACCGCTGACCTCCCCCGCCTACATCCACCGTATACCGAAGTATTTTTCTTACCTATTAATACTGATAGGCCTGCGAGAAGTACTGCCTAATTGGAACCCAACGGCGGTATCTTGTATAGCGCGTTATCCCATAAAGTGGCAGCCCCACTACTGTCTTAACTTTTGGCGTAGAGGGGTAACCGCTATTGGTCTTGTGACAAATACTGAAAACACTTTTCATGAGGGTAAATGCTTGCATATCACTAGACCAGGGCAATATCCGTATAGTACACTATTCGTCGCCCGGAGAACGCTGCAAACCTTTGCTCTTCACGAAAAGAGCAGCGACTGTAGCGATTGCGCCCAGCGCAGCGGAAAAGGCAAACGACATTCGGATACCGTCGTAATACACCAGTCGGGCGGCCATTTGAATGTCCGGCGGCAGGCTGTAGATTGCAGAGACCGAGTGTCTGATTTCGTCAATTACCTAGATAGAAAGGCGAGTAAAATGGTCAGCGGATATCCTCAACTTAAACGTGCAATCACTTCAAAACATGGGTACGTGATGGGTTTTACTTTCCATTTGTCTGGTATTCCACTCAAGGCCTTTGAAAGGCCAGAGTTCAATGTATTTTGTACAACTGCAGATGTTACTGCCACGCCCCAAACAGTGCCCAGGGAGCGAATGAGGTAAACGGTCGATGCAGAAACGGCGTGATCTAGTTACCGTATCAGCTCAGCCCAACAAAGTACTAAAGCCAAAAAGTATATAGACATACCATTGTGATCGAATGCAGCCAGGAAGCTAAATAGAATCCCAGGATACACCATCCCTTGCCCCAGATTGGCAGGAAAGACAAAGACAAAGTACTTCCACCCGGAATCATTGAACCTAAGGAAGGCGACCAACAGATTCCCAATAAGCATAAAAAAAGCCCCTATTTGCACGATTTGGGCCAATCTTCCCCAGCGGGACATGACAATGCCGGCGATGAAGCCACCCACGGGGGTTGCCAAAGACGGAATTATCAGTCTCGCTCCTGCTTTGCTGGCTGAATCCAAAAGCACCACTTGGAAGAACAGTGGGAGATTGAATAAGAACTATAAAAACAGTCAGAATAGATGGAAATATAAAGCCATTTCCGAAAAGGAAGCACATACAGCGTAGGCCGAGGCACCGACACACACATTGGCGATTTGGATGCAAACTGGCTGCACACCTCGCAACATCCGTAAGGGGATTACAGGAACAGCGGAAGTTTTGGCCTCGGTTACCAGGAACAATGCCAGCAATCCAATACTTCCGGCGAGAGAAGCAATAATCCATGGGTGACTCCACGGCAGCTCGTTACCTCCAAGACTCAGACCCACAAGCTGGACAGACAGGCCCAGAATAAGTAAAAGAGAACCCATGATATCCACTTGCTGCCATAAACTTTGAATCGATCTGCTCGAATGCCCTTGAACGTTATTTTCAGGTAAGTGAATGACGAACTTTCCAACGACGAGTGCGAATAAAGACACTGGTACTTGTAGCAAGAAGCACCATCGCCAGCCAATCGTGTCTGCAATAACGCCACCGAAAGACGCACCGCAAATCGAACCAAACCCGTGGAGAACATTCTGTGCAGCTTGGTACATGCCGCGTTTTTCGAATGGAATCAAATCGGAGTTAATAATGGTTGCTATTGCTCAATCAGCTTCTAATAAGAGTTTTTCCAGATGGGGACATAGTTGTCGTACCCATAGTCATGAGACCACCCCCTCCAATGCCTGTTAGGGCTCGCATCAGATTTAACAGGAAGATATCCTGGGCGACTGCGCAGCCAAGACAGCCGAGTAGAAACGAAATAGTGCAGGTATAGAAACATGGTTTACGGCCAAAGATATCAGACATGCGCCCATATATCGGCTGAAATGCGGTGCTTGTGATTAAGTACGAAGTCGTCAGCCAAGAAGCAGTATTTGCTGCATTAAAGTCGGAACTAATGAGTGCGTATGTCGAAGCGGTGATCGTGCCATCAAATCCGGACAAGAAGACATTGGTGAAAATGGCTAATCAGCAAGGATGAGCATTTGGGTATTTAAGATGAACTTAAAAGAAGAACAAAAGATGTACCTAACTCGATCCAGAGCAAGCCAGCTGGCGCTTTCCAGTTCCCGGCTTCATCTTGTTGCAAAAGTGGTCCGTCTTCAAAAGACGTTTCGATGTCGGCATCGTAATCATCGACAGCCAGGGACACTGTTTCATGAGAATGCGCGTCTACAGCCATGATTTCGACGTAAGGCTGGTAATTAGTGTTGCTGCTGGGAGCGAGATGAAGAAAAGAAGATTGGGTGAGGTAAGTTCTTAGCATGGAATTTAATTGCGATCACTAAATTTTAATGACTGAGCGACGCCCCTCCTTCTCTATTTGTTTGCCTTCCCCACTCGCGCAGCACGCAATTGCTCCATCCATCGGCTATAATTATCGCAACATCACCGTAACCAATAAACACCCGAGTGGAAAAGTTCAAGAACAACTTATCGTACATCGCCTGCACTTTTTTGATACAATTATTAAAGGAGAAAAAACAACAGGTTTAGGGGCAGTGTATTCGGATATAATAATGTATAATAATGTGGAGAGAAAAATCAACTTCGTATTCATACGCATGAATTCACGAGATCCGATCACAATACGTCATATGGGCCAACTGAGCATGACACTTCTCGAGCTGGCATCGACTGCTAATTGGTAGCAAGTTAGCCTGCTGCTCTCTTTGTCTGACATGATACCATTTTATGGCTGCCTTTATGCTGGCGATAGCAATAGCCGGGCCAAAACTTTGCCATGCATTTTGAGAACAAAAGTCGGCCCATACAGTGATTTTTTCAGCTAGGATATCGGCCTCTAGTACTGACAGCTTTATAGATGTCTGCAGCTGAAGGATTCTGTCATCCCAAAGACAAGAAGAAAGGTAAGGCTTGTCATAAATAGTCGTGTACAATGTAAGTACAACAGTCCAATAAAAAAGTATCCATCGAGCAGGCTGGAGCTCATCAAAGGCGATTCCTAGAGATTGCGGATCCTTGCTCGGATATCGATGGACGCGGGGCTGCAGTTGGTCGGTCGTCATCATCGAACCATTGCTTGCGGAAAATGCATGTGGTGGTCCCTGCGGAAGCTGGATGTTCTTGGATATTTCCCATATCGTTAAATCGTGTATAAGATTTAAAATCCGCCGTACAAGCTTATAATGTTGATAAGTGGCGTGAATTGGTGCATTATCAGCCATTTCCAATAGATTGGGAGCCTCGGCGGCCAGATCAAGTAATCCATCAAATCTGCTCTTCATACGGCCTGGAAGCCAGGTACTGACCCATTTTGGTTTTGAGAGAAAGCAGGACTTACGAATTGTCAATCCTTTTAATATCTAAGCGGAGGAAATTAGTAAAATGTCACGCTGATCGGAACTCCGCCCTTACGCCAACAGTTCGGTAGAAGTGAAACATCTGAAAGTCCAAGCCATCATTGAAAGAATGCGGGCCACGTAGCTGGAGAACAGTTTCTATGCCACTGGTGTGAGATATCCAACCTACACTAGATTGGGTTCCAAATTCAAATATCTATAGCTATAAATTAGTAACTAGTCACTCTTGACACTGTTATAAATTCAAATACCTCGTACAGTAGCAACATCATAATGGTTGGAAGTAAGTCAGGACTTAATTTTGGCTGACGCCGTGAAAGGATTGCTCGGAGATGTTCCAGAGCCCGGCCATAGAATATGAGACCATTTTTTAGCACATCCGGACGATTTTCCATATGTCCCATCCAACCAAAGCCTAAACTAGCTGTGGCTAGAAGTAGAATGTCTGACTTTCTTGATTCTTTGGCGAGTGACGATAGCCAAGCGAGCGGGACGTCTTCCGAAGTTTGCTTCGGGAGACAAAAAGTCACAAAGGAAGACAGTAGCTGATTATACTGAGCCGAGTTAATGACATGGGCAAAGGATTGCATGTTTGACAGTCCATCGCCAGTTTGGACAGACTTTGAAGATGTCAATGGACGAGTATTTTCATATGCATTGGGTAAGCCTTTGCGCAAAGAAGGTAGACGAGTCGGAGATTTTTCATAAGTGGCAGAGTATTGATTGAGGAACACCACAGGTTTGCTATAAACTTCACATTTCCAAGAGCCTCTAGCGCACTGGCCACAGGTTGGTGTACTCAGATCACACTATATGAAGCTATTAGAATCGTTTCATTAGCATCAACATTTTCTGCAGTACGACCGACTTTTATTTTGCGCTTGCGGCAGGTAAGACACGCTTTCGATTTGCCTGCGACCCCGACCATGTCTCAAGGGCGTCATAGCCGTATATCTTTTCTCTGCTAAGAGTTATTGTTTGGATCGTCAGTCATTTCGAGACTCTTCTCACCATACGTGATAGCAACGGAGAATTGATACGAGATGCTCGCTATAATCCCTGACGTTATGTGGAGTATGTTAATACGGCCTTTCCTCATGTGGCAAAGGCCCATGGGTTGAGCCCCACCAATCAAAAGCTGTGACCATCGGATAGACAACTCCTGCCTCAATGTTCGATTCTCTCAAGATTCATACCGTTGGCGACTGTTTGATTAGGGGAGTTCTGATACAACAAACACCACCATGCAGATTGCCGAGATCCTCTCCGACCTCACATCTCTAAGAGCATGCGTAATCACAACATCTTCAAACCTGCCAATTCTGCGTCACTTCTAACATTTGTGGCAGGGACATACTGAGGCTCTTGCTCTCGTCAACGTTCACAAAACTGCAGAATCTACAGCAGAAGAACAGGGCGCTGAATCGTCCGAGCTTTCCAGGGCAAAAGAGCTAGCCGACCTCCATTATACAGTCAAAGTCAAGCATATGAAAAATGGACCTGGATCAGATCCTGAAGTAGACGAAGGATTGCAGCATGCAAGGGAGGACGTCAACCAAGTGCTGAGGGAATTAAAAAGTTCCTGATGCTTACCTTGTTTTCTATATGATGATACCACGTTCACGATGATGCTGTACTCCTGTTTAGCACTTTTGGGTTTTATATTCTATCGCAGGCCCGACCCTTTGAAGGATATATCAATTGATATATATATATAGAAAATATATTTATTTATCTAGCACTCAACCGAAATCATTAATGTTCTATATCCAACAACAGGCACGGGAACCAGACCTCGCGTGATTTTCCCTCAAATTCTGCGTATCCCATGGTGTATGCATAGCTTTGCGTATCAAACACCCTAGCTCCTTAATAAGGTACAAATATAAGGCATTTTTGGCTTGTACTTATGTGTTTGACTTTATTTGCTTAATTGAACGCGGATGGTCTACCTACATATGGAATCACGTGACGCGTTTGTTGAAGAACCTAGGCAGGCAGTGACGCTGATCGCGCCCGGCAAACCTTTGGAGTTCGCAACCATCCTCACGCACTTTTTCAGCCTTGCACCTTCACATCCCCTCATGTATTCTTTTACTATCTAAATTGATTATTCTAGAATGGGCAGCAATGTGGACGCAAAGCTGCTTAGGCAGACAAAGTTCCCACCGGAGTTCAGCAAAAAGGTGGACATGACCAAAGTGAACATTGAGGTCATGAAAAAGTAAGCAACAGCAAGGCAACAGCAAGGCCGCTCCAACAACAAGGAACAATATTGAACTGACTCCAAACACAGGTGGATCGCCGGGAAACTCTCAGAAGTTCTTGGAGACGAAGATGATGTTATCATCGAGCTATGTTTTAATCTCCTTGAATCCTCGCGATTTGTGAGTATTATGGCCACTTTCAAAGCTGTTTTGCTAACAACTTCCTTTCAATAGCCCGATATTAAATCCCTTCAGATTCAGCTCACGGGTTTCTTGGACAAGGATACGCCTAAATTCTGCCAAGAACTCTGGAACCTCTGCCTAAGCGCCCAATCTAGCCCTCAAGGCGTCCCCAGGGAGTTACTAGAAGCGAAGAAACTGGAGTTGAGACAAGAGAAGGTATGCGTTTGATAGAACCTGAAATTCACCATGGCTTTACAATGAAGCTGACTCTCTCCAGCTGGACGCCGAGAAAGCTGCCCAGGAAGCACGTGAACGCAAAGAAAAAGAACTAGAACGAGAACGAGAAATCGAGAGCATTCGGCAAAGGGAGAGGGCCGACCGAGACAGGGGCTTCCGAGGTGGTAGAGGTGGTCGGGACTATGCACGCAGGAGCTCCCGGTCGCCGCGTCGTCGGAGTCCAGATCGTCGTGGTCCTCCTCCACGTCGCGAGTTTGATTCATATGTACCACGAGGCGGCGGACGTGGCCGTCGATACTCTAGATCACGTTCTCGTTCGATATCTCACTCACCATCTCTTTCCAGATCACCTCCCCGCCGTTCATACCGCTCGGATAGACGTGATCGAAGACGTCCGCGATCCTTTAGCAGGTCTCCATCCCCAGGTGGAAGGGGGTACAGAAGAAACAGGCGACAAAGCCCGTCTTACGGTGATGCTCGAGATAGATCTGCTGCCCGCAGTGATTCGTCACGCTCACCTAGTCCCAGAAGAATTCGACGACGAAACACATCTTCCCGTAGCCGATCTCGTTCACCGCCGCCACGAACCCAAAAGCGAAGACATCGCTCTCCATCTAGATCAACGTCTCGGCGGCCCCGAAGAGATGACCGTGCGAAACGATCAATATCTATTGACTCGCGAGACCGTGCAAGAAAGGATTCAAAGGCTGATATTGCTATCAAAAGCCAGTATTCCAAAGATGACCGCCGCTTGAGTCGAAGCACTTCACCCAAACGCGACAGCCGCTCCCGTTCTCGCAGTGCCGGCGCACGACACAGCCATAGTCGCAGTCCCAGTCCAAGAAGTGATCGAAAGCGACGTAGGTCGTTAGAAAGATATGCGCCGGCGGGCCGGCGACAACGCCATAGTTCCGCAGACTCCCTTCACGACGACAAACGTCAAAAGACTGCGGAACCGGAAGACACAAAAATGCGTGAAGATAAATCCGATGTAAGTGTCTTTGATTTACCACTCAACCTGATACACTACTTCTATATGACTCGGGCCTTTTTTTCATGTAATCCGCTTATCATTGAGGTCATATTCAGGCAAACTGATTGTACGAATTGGCTACAAATAGGCTAAAAACGAACGATTGAATCCAAAATCGCGTCTCTCAGCGAGCGAACTACGAGAAAGAGTGCTGAAAGAGAGAATAAAAGCATTACGCCGTAGAAACTCACCAGAGAACAAAACAGACAAAGGCAACAAAGATAGGTAGGTCGTGTATTGACCTTTCTCGCGTTTATCGGGTAGAAAAGATCGAAATAATTGAATCGCTTGGAAATAATGGATATATATATATCAATGTATTCACTTTTTTATCTTCCAAACTCTAATAACTTGTCTTATATATCATTGAAATACTGCTAGAATCTGCGATTGAAGGACTCGTATCTGTGTACTTTCTCCTGATTACCGACACAAGACCTTTAAAATACACGCACGTTAAATAAGCCAATGATCAAACGGCTGTTCTTTTAATTCACATTAAATATTATCTAATATTGAAGGTACAAACAACGCTCTCTTTATACATGTCATCGTCTATAGCAGACCGTATGTATACATATTTTTCGCAACGAGTCTGAATAAAACGCAATTGTATCAAAAGCATCTAGGGGCAGCCACAGGTGTTACCGCTAACCCACTTGCCGAGGATGATGACAATGTCGACAGAAACAGAAATGTCAGAGACGAGGCCGGCAACAACAGCGACAAGCTCCGAGACGGCGTCCAGGGAGACGTTGATGACAGCTTCGCCAGCAATGGCAGCAGCAATGACACCGCGAACAACGGCGCTGAGCGAGGCAGAAACCTCGCCTTCGAACCAGGCAGTGAGGGTAGCAATATCCGCGGCAGAGAGGACTGAGACGGCTTCACCGACAGTGGCGCGGACGTACAGCCAGACAAAGACAACGGCCTTGAGCTGGGCGGCAAGACCGCACTTGTCACTGACGAGCCAGGCAGTGAGCTTGATAACAACCTCTTCTTCGAGCTCAATGGCGGCTTTGCCGGCGATGCAAAGCTCAAGAGCAGCCTTGACGTCAGCTTCCAAGCCAGCTTCGACGGCGATCCAGGTCTTGAGGGCGGTGATGAAGGTCGCGGAGACGATGCCTTCGACGTCAACGGCGGCAGCGATAGAAACACCGACGGAGGCAGAGACGGAGGCAGCACCAGAGGCTTTTCCGATGATAGAGACACCAGAACCAGTCTTGCCTTCAAGCCAAAGTCCAATGGCAACCTTGAGGTCAGCGGAGAGACCGCATTTAGAGCTCTTCAGGTAAGCGGCGAGAGCAATCTTGACGTCAGCAGCGAGGGCAGCAACGACGCCACCCTCGGCGCAGACTTGGAGGGCGACCTTGATTTCAGAATCGATATCGGCATTAAGCTTGAGGAAGGCAGTAACGTCGGCTTGAAGGAAGGCATCGAGGGCAACACCGAGGTCGGCAACTACAGATGTAATGCCACTAATGGCGACAGACAGGCCACCCTCGGCAGCAAGGCTGACAGCAACGGGGAGGTAGAAAGCAAGCTCGGCGATAACATCAACATCAAGTTCATCAGATCCAGAGCACCAGCTCTTCAGGGAGGCCTTGACGTCTACGTCGAGCTCGGCAGTGCCGATCCAGGCCTCAAGACTAGCCTTAGCACTGGCGCTGATAGAGCTTGCTTTCGCACCTAGGCAGGCTCCGGCAAAGGCAGCACAACCCTCGGCATCTAAGCCGCCGAAGAGGTTAAAGGAGCTGTGCGAGCCGTCGAGGAAGTGGCGTGTAACAAGATCGGTGGTCGATCTCAACTCAGAGGTCGGCAAGGCAACGACACTGGTGGCCAGGGCGGCGAGGGCGAGAGTAAAGAAACGCATTGTTAACAATACAATCCGTCAAATGATGCAACAAAGATAAATAAAAAGGGTTTAAAGAATGAACACTAGATCGTCAGATCTTGATTAACGAGTGAATGACTACCTGGAAAGGTAGTTGCTTTGGTAATGAACGAGTGGCTAGGGAAAGAGAACGACAAGCAGTGAGAATGAGCAAAATAATGAGTGAGATCAAGAGATATATAAGCTTATTAGGGGGAGCATTGCCTCCCAAGCCAGGTTCATCTCCTACTATCCACCCATCTACTGTAGAATCCACTCGCATAGGATTAGTCTCTCGGCTAGTTTGTTATCTCAGACGACAGGTGGAGCGGACTGTTTTAGCAAGTCCTGAAAACAGCAAAACAAAGTCTTCCAAGAAAATAGTCAACTTGCAAACCAATGCCTTGAACCGATCCAGAGACGTTAATGCAATGTTGTGATGCCGACCTCGTGCCTCGGCGGTTTGGGCACTTACTTTGGTGGCTTGCTATATAGTTCACCTATACCCCGTATTGTAGACTGAGAATCCAGCCTTCATCATACAGGTCATCTCTCAAATGGTCAATCAGGTTGTGGCGTTGGTAACCCATGCCAAGGTCCAAGAGTCTAGCTGCTAGTTGCTATTATAAGCAATGAAGGCGCCGTTTGTTTCGTTTCTCGATCCTTGGAGATTAAATACACTGATAATCAGGATCGACAGGACGAACCTGTCCGGTTCTGGACTTCGGGTGTGTAAACGGCGACCCTCATCCTGGTCCATCCATATGGGGCTGTGGACCCGTCAAGTGCTGGGCTTGTGGGCTGTTGGTACCGCTTGGCAGTGACATATGAAAATAATTAAGTGCCCCTAGCCACTCGACGGTGTCTATTGACTCCTGATCAGGCTTTCAGAACCTAGGTTGTACTGCGATATCCACTCTCTTTTCAGTCTCTCTCTCTCTCTTCTCCTAGGTATTGAGTTCGTGGCTTCTGAGAGCAAAGTTAATTGACCAGCCTCAAGTGCGGGTGTTTCAAAGTCAGACAAGTCGAGACGCAGCTATATTCACCAGAACCCTCATTTTTTAGCTCGTGGGATAGCCCTCAGGCGCAGAAACGGAAGTCGGGACTCGAAAAAAGCCACCTTGTTGGGAGTTAGCCTGTTATGTATTCGGTTAGAGAGTGCCACTGAGGCATTAGTCAAGTGCCGTTTCAAGGCATGGTTGTCTCCAGTGTCTCCACGTTAGCTAACGGGTTCTCACGGAGGCTGCTAGCCCTGCTCTGGTGTTTGTTGTTGACAGCCAATCTCAGTCGCCCAACGAACGCTTAAAATCAACTATCGACTTCCCTCGGCATTAGCGATATGGAGCCTTGGTGACTCTAACTCAAATCCGAGCACATCGATGCAGCCATACGGGGCACATCCGGAGACTAATGTTGACTCGGAACTTCCAAAAAATCGGAAGCGCAACTGTGCGAAGCCGAAGCCTAATACGCACTGCTCATGCTCTTTAGTGCGAGCCCAGGACTAACATGGAGCTGTGTAACAACTAACAGTCGATCCAACAGCACGTTGCGTTGATGGCTATTGTCCGGCTCTGGTGCTTGTCGGAAGTGTGGCCCGGGAACACAAACACGAGCCTGGCCGTCGGCTAAACCAGCCTAACGAGTCTCCAGAGTCTAACCTGTTCCTCGCTGTTCCTAGCCCAGCTGCGTCTTTTGTGGTGGGTCGCCTCGTGCTTTGTTTCAACTTGAGGCGTTCATAACGCTTGTCTAATAATACAGGTTCGAAGCAAAGGGGAAAGGGGGTTGTGCCATTATTTTGTCCCCGACTAGTGTGTCAAAATGTCTCACTCCCTCCGCGTGATCGCAAATTCTGGCTAGCAACGTGAACGTGAGGAATCATCCCTGTCGCAATTTTCCAGACTACCGTAGTTGAAGAAAACCAGCGTCGCAGCACGTGTGAATTGCTTGGCCTGAGCTGACTTGCCCAGGCCATGCTGCCGGTTTCCGGAGTGCAAAGACTGTCGACATAAACCAAACCCGTCGTAGTTGCTATTATTTGGAAGGTTCCAAGTTCTCCCGTTATTGATTGGACAGGATCAGAATCCGAGTTACGGTGCATATGACTGTGTCGGTGTGTACTGACTCCTTTTTGTGGTGGCTGGCCGCTGAACAATAATGAGTCGCGACTCAAAGAAACGGCCATTCTGTGAGGATTTGGTCGTATATAATGTATCAAAGCGTCAACTCTCGCGTTTTCTATTGAACCATAAATAAATTTCAATAATCAGAATGCATACGAGTCAGGCGTTGGTTGGAGGATGATGAGCCTGGGCCAGCAGCCGCGAGTGCCCCGCAAGAAACAACGAAACTATGGCCAGTCAATTTCTTTATAAAAGAAGTTTATTGATCTTTTCGATAGCTTTGGCCGGTTTATTCTTCTTTCGAAACCGCCACAATGATACGCTCGTCAATAATGCCATTGATTCATTAGGTGTGTTAGCATTCGATTGCTGGATGTGCGAGTCGCACCGGCGACGACATGGATACGGACCAGGGGCAAGACTGACGCCATTTGCTAGGGATGGCCTCTTACACCACAAAAATGTAGAGCCCGACGGTGGCCATGGAAGTCGAAATCCGCTGAGGAGTGTGTAAGGGGAAATCTGGCCTATCAGAAAGGCTCTTTGTTAACTCTGCGCTTCGAGTTCCGAGTCTCTGGAGTCCCCCGCAACAGAAAAATCTATAATATGAAGCTTTATGGAGTATATGTAAAATTGTTATCCATTATTTTTGTAGAAAGCTTAATTTAGTATAAAATGACATGTATTTTAAACCGCTTAATGATTATCTCAACGCGGTGGAAAGCCGCACTGGGATGAATAAACTAGGCGTGATGCCGGGGTCTGGGCTAGTATTCAACACATTGTACCAAGAATTGACCTTGTCTTTGCTCCAGAAAATTTTGAGGGTACTCCAAAGCTCCCACCGGCCGATGTGTTTCGCCATTGATACTGGGAAAACATGCGCGCCCTTAAGTACATGCGGAGATTGCGACCTAGTGATAATGCAACCCGCATCTCTGACGATTGCCTGTAATAATACGAAGTATTGGTCATGGCGACTATACAAGACAAATTATGGCATAGGACAAGGACGACAAACCTGGTGACGAATTTTACTGTCTCTCTTGGCAGATGCAGGGGTGGAAGGTGCAGAAGAAAGCTGGAGAGGAGTGTGACTCTTAAAGGTGGTAGAAGCCTCGGCAGTGGTGCACACAGTGCTGCCACGCTTCCTTTTTTCGACTCTCTGGCTTTGCTTGGAGACACTGCACCAGAAGGAGGTGCTGAGATTGTGAACTGATCCCCAACTCGTGACATCCCTATTGTATAATTAGTACATTACACCCTGCAAGGAATGAAACACCTACACATCCGGACAAGGTTATCTTTGTGCGGTCCAGTCAACAGGTCATGCAGACCATCGGAGTCGTTCTGGTGGTCATCAACCATTTTCCGCAGGTTTTCGACGTCACTGAGCAAGAGCAACACCCATGTGGAACTTTGCACACTATTGCAACCTGTGGAATGGAATAGGATATCAGAAATCTGGTTTAGAAGAAAATGACGCTCTTCTTGTGCAAACTCCAGACCAGGGCTGTCGTTATCGCCTGATTCAGGAACGCGATGGCTCATATTGAGAGGAGCAGGCAGAAAGGGATCTTGACGTGTATGGGAGGACACGAAGTGATGGATATTCCATAAAGGGACTGTGAAAACCTGGCCATATGACGATAGTATTATTACTGTTATCCTTGCCGCCATACCGAAACATGGATCACCACAATCACCGCATCCAGCAATTCCACAAAGAACATGTTCGGCATCTCCTACACAGGAGCGATTAATCCCACTCTTCCACTATCGAGAACTATATTTCGATCTACAAGGGCCCCCGGGATATGAATTACCATTCCACCATATATCTCTTACAAAAGGAGAGTATACTAGGAATTCTCATCTGATGATGACATGTTATTTTGTCAGCCCATATCTCATCTCCATGTCAGGAGTCCTCCTTACAAACGTCAATCTGTTGCCTGGCCCATTGCGCAACCTCAAATCTCCGCATCTTCGACACCGATTTACCGAAAGTGATAGTTTTCCCTCTCACTCATTTTCGACCGTTTGTCACCGCACCTGGTTTTCCCTCTTCCTGGGGCGGTCTCCCAGAACACATAAACAAAGACTGTTTGCTCTGTACGTGACTGAGGGCGTCGGGCAAACCAATATGCCCACCCTACTTGACATACTTGTCAACCCCACCAGGTGGAGTTGGGGTATATCGCTGATGGCCTGTTAGATCCCCAGCGTAAAGGCTATCGCATCGAGACAAACCATTATTCAAGTACGTTCAGAAGATAACTCGCAGTGGAGAGCTGGATCTCCCGGTGGCTTTGATGGTTATCGACCTTGCGCGGTTAAAGTGGGAACAAAGGATAGTGGCATGTGGTTAAGGAATACAGGCGCCTGAATCCCCAGGATGATCGCGACTCCTTTGATACGCGGACCTTCTTTGTGAGGGTGGGAATCGACCGTGCTGTCAAACCGACAGCCTATCTTCCTCTAGTATTAAATACTGACAATATCATATCCTTCGTTAACTCTCTGCTCTATTCGTTCGCCCGCACCCAGCTCCTCATATGGGAACTTTTATGCCAATGGTTTCGGAACAATGATCGAGCACTGGATCGACTTCGGGTCTCATGCTTTTCTGCTGGGGAGCTTTCCTATGTGGATATATTGATGTTTTATACATAATTCGCTTTTGTAATATAAATTTAAATATTGCGTGTTTTAATTGACAACATCACAGCTATTCAAAAACGTCGTTATCACATTGCTGTAACCTTTAAACGGTAGTAACAATGTATTAGGGTACTATTAGAGTGGTATCTGGGTACCCTTCCCTCTATTCCACTATTGTAACCCTAAAATAAGGAATCACATCATCACGAGTTTAAAGCAAGTTTTTTCTCTCCCCTGGCGGCTCGCCACTTATTAGTAGACGCAATCATATCACTGCAGCCTTGCAACAGAAACGACCACTTTCTCACAAGATTCTCACTCATCTCCCATGAATCCGAGCACCACGGGTCGCCCCAAAGCATCATACCGCGGCCAGCAATGTCGTTTTCTCCCTCTGTATACCCACCGAGGAAATCGGAGCAAAGGGCATCTGGATCAAATTTATCTTGATATTTGATAATATTATCACGTAAACTTGCAGAAGGAATTACATCTATCCAAGATTCGTGTGAGACCGTTTTTTGTAAATGTGTGAATTGTAACGAGGGCGGCGATTCTTGGGTTGGAAGCGCAAGGTCTTCTGTATAAAAGTCTGCCCAGCCTTGGAAGTCTTGGCCGTTCAAACGTAGTAGTATGGCCATATTTGTTAATACTCCACGAAGGGCATTGTGCTGGATTAGAACAAAAAGTGTGTGGTCAAGAGAAAGCGGAAAGTCGACTTCGTATTCTGAGCCATGGAGCGTGTATTTTGTGTTCAGAAATAACAGAGTGTCAACTTGTTGCGCAGAAGATGAAACCGCTTCCAGTTGTTTAGGGTATTCAGGGGAGGACGAAGTATCTCGTTTTAGGGTATGACAGAGGTCAGAAGGAGAAAAGTCGGAAATTAGCTCCCATCGCCGCCATACTTTTAATTCGGCCCAAATAGCAAAAGTTCCTGCCGAATCGCCCAATGTCTCTATAATTGCCCCGAACGCATTCCAGTTCTGGAGTTGCTTCAACGTGACCTGCATACGTTGTCGCCCACTTACATGGCTCAGAGCTAATATTTGAAGCATATTCCGGTCAACCAGTGATGATGCTGGAGAAATGGGGTTTGGGTCCTCTGCCTCTGAATTCTTTTGCAGCCTCTGCCGCCGGCCTAGACCCTACTATCAGCAAATTACGTAGCGACTTGATATGCGAATTATACAGTAGTAGTTCAGAACTTACGCCAGGCTCTTTGATGTAGCCGGTTCTGCCTCCTGCGGCGCTCGACTGGGTTCGTAGTCTCCGTCCAGTCATCGTCAAGAACCCGAGCCTGTCTAATTAGCAAGCTTCTCGAAGGCGTTTCGCAATCGGATTTAGCATCAACGTGGAAATGAATTCACCCACCTCTGCAGGTACCAACATAGCGGGCATTAGAGATCCAGTCACAGGTTAAGTGGGTTCAGTATTGGGATGCAAAGTAAGGGAAGCGCATGACTCCCGTGGCATTCATTCAGCCAGTGGTGGATGCGGCCGCTTAATCTCCGTGGATTTAAACCCGACTCTAACAAAAAGAGTCTGTGCGAGTACGAATCTGAATTGCTACTGGTTGCCTTAGTCTTATTATGTGAAGGTTGCCTAATAATTCCAGCATCCGTTCGTGAAGTCTAGAAGTTGCGGTAGCGACGGAGGTCATCTGGAGGGGTGGGAACCATTTCTCTTAATTCTCTTAATGCTTACTGTACATGAATGCAACACGATTGGATAACTCAATCTGCTTATCCTGCATAAGGCTAGTTTATTTGCGGCTTAAACACCTATTTAACTCGCCTGATACAGGATAGGGGGAACCTTTAGCTGCTTATTGTGCATATGAGCTACTCCCTATACGGCATGTGGGGATAAGGATTCCCTTGACTTTTGCAGTTGAAATTGTCAATATTCAACAAGAACAAGTTATTTTTTTGGAGAAGAATAATATTATCAATACGACACTCAATACCATACATCCATGGAGCTCGGTCATAGGAGATACGTGTACTGGCTCCGCACTAGACTCGCGGCGATAACATCGCTCCGATGTGGCCGAGTATATGACTAGTATATAAATATCGGTCCAGGTCTATGATATCGGCTTTATGATCAATTCAGCAACAATTCTACATCTTCAAGTGTTTCATCACATCGCATTTGTCTATCAACTAACAATTGATACTCAACAATCCCAATTGATAGGTTTTTTCTGATCACTGAAATTGTCATTCAACTTTCGCCATGCCTAACCTTGAACAATTCGTCAACTTCAACCCCGAGGAAGAAATTCCTAATCTTGATGGAAAGGTTATTTTCATAACTGGTGGTTTGTTTCTCATTGATACCACTAAGCCTATTGACTGTTACTGATTGTATCTTGCACTAGGGACCTCTGGGCTTGGAAGAGCGTCCGTGATAGCGCTCGCGAAACACAATCCCGCTCACATCTACTTTACTGGAAGAAATGCCAAAGGAGCACAGGCATTAATTGGAGAAGTGCGAGCGGAGAGACCTTTGATACAAACAACTTTTGTCAAGATGGACATGACATCGTTAGCATCCGTCAAAAAAGCTTGTAAAGAATTTGTCCACGATAGACTTGATATCCTCATGTGAGTTATCGAATATCAGATTCCTTTAAGGAACATTCGCATGGGTTGTCAATATTGACTTTATCTATAGGTGCAACGCAGGAGTCATGTTCATTCCACCCGGCGTCAGTACCGACGGTTTCGAGCTTCACTTTGCCATCAATCATCTCGCGCACGCAATGATTATTCAAGAGCTCCTACCAGTGATGACAGAAACCGCCAAGATGCCGAACTCAGATGTGCGTGTTCTATCTTTGACATCGACGGCTTGGATGGGCCACCCGAAGAACGGTGTTACCTTCTCAACACTTCGAACTCCGCAGAAAGGGTTCATGGGATCGTCATTCAGATATGGGTATGGATTTTTTCCTTGCGGCGTTCATTAATTGATTAAAAAATTATACTAAATTCATAATCATATAGGCAGAGCAAGCTCGCCAATATTGTCTACCCTGCCGAGCTGGCTCGTCGCTATTCAAACACAAATATCACGTTCCTATCTGTTCATCCTGGAGCTGTAAAGACGCCTTTGACAACAGCAAAGCCCCCGCTTCATCTCAGGTTAATTACGCTCATTGTACTATGGTTTATGGGAGTTACTCTCATGGAAGAAGAACAAGGTCGCCTTAGCCAGCTTTGGGCTGCGGCGGGAGCGAAAAAAGATGAGCTGACAAACGGATCATTCTATATGCCTGTAGGAAGATTGAGTGATGATAGACTGGACAAGACGGCGCAAAGCCCAGAGTTGGCGCAAGAGCTGTGGGCGTACACACAAGATGTTCTGAGTAAGTTTTGATGGTTTCAAAATTAGGTGACGATGGGAAATGGTAGTTGGGAACCGAGAAAGAGTTCATTTCTATGTTCTTCGTCTTTTTTGTTTTGGTTTTGATTTTCCTTCTCCCCTTATGCTTACATATATGCAATATTGTAATCAAAGAATTGGTTCAGAAATTGATTGAATACTCGTCTGTTCCAAATGCATCAATAGATTATCAACACTAATTGACTTCAATTATAACATTCGAATATTCATTACTTAACAAACCAAACAGATTTCTCCCATTTTTAAAGCAAGCTATGAGGGTTAACTCAACTCCATCCATATTAGAGATCGTTTAATTTCTGTTGTACACTGGGGCACATTCACTCCCGCGTATTCAATGTTTTCTGGAAGTTATTACAAATAGCCCTCATTTTTTAGGTAAAGTGGGAGCCCGAGTGGGCTCCCGAGTGGGGTGTGGGGTGGATGTGGGATATCACGAACTACCTATTTGGGCAGTTTTGGACATCAATTAATGTCTACTAAACTATTTATAAATTGGTTATTTGTAAAGTGTGGGACAATCATGATTGCGGCGAATAATTCACACCACGTGGAATTTATAAGCATGAAGACAATTCCAAAATTTCCAAGAGTATATATATACTTTGCTTGCACTTCAACCATTAAGTGTATCAAAGCCAGACTTTCTTTCGATAAGATTATACTACAAAGCAACCTCGAACAAATTGGGGACTATTGGACAGTACACTCACATCAACAAATTTCCTTGAAACGCTATTCACGATGGAAAGGTGGCAGGAACGAGTTCAGGCAAAACGACACGCTGCCCTAGAGAAAATTCCAATAGACTGGCGCTTACCAAAGGGCTTTCTCCAAAGCATTAAAGCATTAGAAAGTGAATCTACCGACCTTATCGCACTGAACGCCATTCGAAGGTCTGGGTTGCTATCTTCCTCGGAGCTGGAGATTACCGAGAACTATACAGCCTCTCAGCTAGTGAAGAAACTAGCATCAGGATCATTTTCTGCAGAAGCTGTGACTCGCGCTTTCTCAAAAAGGGCGGCAATTGCAGAACAGCTGGTATTGAGAGACATTTCTTTGTGGGATTAGGTTTGCTAAAACATATATGCAGACTTCATGCCTCACCGAAACCTTCTTCGACCAAGCTATTGAGAGAGCACGATTCTTGGATGACTATCTCCAACGAGAAGGACGGGTAGTAGGGCCCTTGCATGGACTACCCATTAGCGTCAAGGTGTGTTCCCATTGCAGATTTGTGAAATTTTGGTCTAAATATTGTTTAGGATAGTTACAATATCAAAGGGGTTCCGAGCACTATTGGTTATGTCTCATTTCTGGACAATGAACTGCCTGAAACAAATTCGACACTCATAGATGTGTTGCTTCAGCTCGGCGCCGTCTTATATGTGAAAACCAATATTCCACAATCAATGATGGTAGGTTTACGTCTATGTGACTGCCTACGCTTAAGCTAAATCAACACTAGGTTGCGGATTCTGAAAATAATATTTTCGGACGCACGTTGAACCCATTGCGAACCTCAATGACTGCCGGCGGCTCGACAGGTGGTGAGGGAGCTCTTATTGCTCTTCGTGGATCTCTTATTGGAGTTGGGACAGACATCGGTGGTTCCATTCGCGTCCCTGCATTATGTTGTGGTTTATATGGCTTCCGGCCTACGACTGGCCGAGTGCCGTATGGAGGCATTGTTCATCACGGACTCCCTGGACACCCTGGAATTCTAGCTACCGCCGGACCTCTGACAACATCGTTGACCGATACTGAACTGTTCCTTACTTCAGTGATCTCCGCAAAGCCATGGAAATACGACTCGACTACTCATGCAATTCCATGGCTTCCTGTGGGGGGAAATGTAGCCTTTTCGCCTCTCAGAATTGGGGTTCTTGCGGAAGATCCTAAATGGCCATTGCACCCCCCAGTCCGACGTGCTATTCATGATGCTATTAGTCTCCTCAAAGACGCTGGTCATAGCATTATTCAGCTATCCCACGACGTTAAAATCTCGGCAAGCACGGGACTTGACCTGTCCCTTCAATATTTCTCTCTCGATGATTCCAACACATTTTTACGCCATATAGAGAAAGGAGGCGAGCCCCCTATCAATGCACTCAAAGTGCTAGGCTTAGACAAGCCCTCTACAAACCATTCAAAGTGTACCATCCAAGACCTTGCTGCACTAGACTTGAAAAGGGTGGGATATGGCGATGCATGGAGCAAGCAGATATTAGACCTCAATCTTGATATTATCATTGGCCCTGGGGCACAGAATACCGCAGTGCCTCATGATTCTTATGGTCTCTTCCCATACACTGTGATGTGGAATCTTCTCGATGTATGTTCAGTGTCTCTCCGTGTTTATGAATTTGTGTGACCACTCACGCCAGACATAACCGTGACTAACGTCCCCTTTTTTCTGACAGTACCCTGCATCGATTATCCCATTTTCTCGAGTATCAAAAGAGGCCGATCCGGAGCCACTGGTCTTTGAGGCTCCTGCTCAAGGACCGCCTTGTATGTATTGCTTGAGCCTTTTGTTTTGCTGCAATGACTGATACTCCTTTTATCCAGACGATCCGGAAATACTTGATGGCCTCCCATGCGCAATTCAAATCATCGCCCCTCGTTTCCATGACGAGAAGTGTCTGGCAATTTCGAAGGTTGTGGATTCAATCTTGAATGGAAAAAGGTAGAGTAGCTTACATAGGACGAACTTTATATTAGCCTGGTGTTAATTTCACCCCTGATAAAGTCTTTTAGGCAGATTTGCATATGTATCGAATTTGTAGCTGAAACATCAAAAGTTAACTAGTATAATGATTTTCTTATTGTATCCATGTTAATTCCTCTTTATTTCTTATATTTAAATCTTATTCAATGATGAATATCACCACTCTACGTATAAACTAATATTGACTAGATATAAGGGTAAAAAAATAGCCGATTTTCCTTCACGAAATGTGTCCCATAGCCCTGTGCATTTCCCAGGTACCAGATGGAGATTTTAGTATCATGAGAAGAATATACAAGGTTAGATCTGATAATAAGTTTCAGCGATCAGCGAGACAGCTTTTGAAGAAAGCGAAGAAACAGAAGTCGAACATTGACGTGATCGCTCGAAGCATAGAGCCAAGGAAGCCCTAGAATCCTTTCAACCCTAACCCTAAACCTATGTTACACATCAAGTTATTGGGCTTGGGGGGTTGTCATGCTACCTTCTCTCCACACGTTAGTTTCACATATTCTACATGTATATAAAAGGCATGCTCTTCTATATGACGTTGCAAATCAATCATTCGAATAGGTCTAGATGACTGCACCCGGTTGCAAGAAGCCGAAATCCTCTCATAAGGCGCCTTAGCGTAATATAGAAGACATTGAATTGATAACTACACAAAGCATCAGATAATCGGATGTTAATGTAACACATGAACAAAAATGGTCAAATCAAGCATTTGTTTCTTTGAGGATGATAATAGCCATGGGTAGTCATGTGATCTGCGGGAGCCAATCATGCGGCCAGCAGAATATGGTTTCCATGACGACGGTGTTGACAAACTAAATCACGTGTATCGAATTGGCGCTAATGAGCGGGCGCTGCCAGAACTACAACGTTGTTTCGAGCCTGTCATGACCAGCTTGTATATCGAATATTGTTAGAGGTCGACCACAACACCCAACGCCGAGGCATTGGTGCCTACAATTTGGAAATAAGGATCAATGTACAGCACGACGCGTTAACCTATCATAAAATGGCCACAGAGGCGTCGCCAACACCGGCGTCATCCGCATACAGAACAAGCGGTGTACAACGACCAATTTCGCGACACCTTTCTAGATCCTCACTTTTGCGACCGAACTCAGGCCGCGCATCGCCTGCTATACGCAATGAGCTTTTACGCAGTGGCCGTTCCTCGGCAGCCCAAAACTATAATGGCGACAGTTCAGATGACGAGGTTGTTCCAGAACCAAAGTTCAGCGCATCCGTCAAGGCGCTGTTAGAATCAGATGCAATGAACATGGACTCTTCTCCCCGCCACGAGTCTAGTTTAAAACGATCAAGTATTGCCACCAGAGACTTTCAGCACCCTCCAGCTACCTCTGTGCGACCTGAGAGGCATGTGAGGGTAGCTTCCCCTCACGATTCATCCGGTGGTAGTCCAGCTCCTCGAGTGGTTCGAGTAGGCTCTGTGAAACTACAACCAAGGCCTGAAAGTGTAAGCTCCGAAAGCCAGAGCTACTCAAAAGATTTTATAACTCCAGCACCGCGTACACGCAGTGTTCGCATTACTGGATCGAGAAGTACCACTCGCTCTCCGCTTTCAAATTCACCATCACACAAGCCAACAGATATGGAACTGTCTAGCGGTCCAAAAGGCTCAGATATCTCAGGCGATGAGAAGCGACCTCGCATGGATGATGAATTTGCTCCACGTATGGGAACTTCATCGGTGTTGAGATCGCGTAATGCTGAGGAACCCGGTCTTCAGAGTTCGCTCCGCGTCAAACGAGTGGGCAGATTGACTGGGTCTTTTCTGAATGGACCGGCTCGAAGAGGTGTTCTACGCAGGCAGAGCGAAGAGATCAATGAACAAAATGAGGGTGATGATCCATCACCTGAAAGGCGTTCTAAACAGCCGTCACCACTACAATCACGAGAAGAAAATGGAGCTAGTGGTCGTCTCAGTAGAGCAGCGTCATCCCCAAGATTATCCTGGATCGATTCCGATCCCCGTATTTTGGAGAAGCCGGCGCCAGCTGTACCAAAGCCAATCATTGAGATTCCATTTTCTGGACCGCCATCACCAAGGTCATATCGGTCTCGATCTACACCGGGAACTGCGTCAGAAGGCTCGTTGCAATCCGAGGGCGTAAAAGAGCAGCCTCAATATCGAGTACCACCTCCGGTGCTTCCATCAGCACAGGATCAAGAAAATGACCCGCCACCCACATTCAAAAGAGCCAAATCCTCAGGACTGAGTCTTTTAGATAAGCCCGAGAAATTTTCGGTAATATACGACGACGACAAGAAAGAACATGAACAACAGCCAGCGACAGCCTCTCCCCGAAAGCCTTTAACTTCTCGAAGCAACAACACTCCTCGTCGGCCGGCACCGCCGCCACCCAAGATGTCTGTCTTGGAAACAGCTACAGCAACTGGAGGCGCAGCGACCACTGCTTCTCATTCGCGAAAGAAAAAAAGTCAGGTGGTGATCAATCACAAAGCCTTCACTCGCATGGACTGTATTGGTCGTGGTGGCACCTCTCGAGTTTATCGCATCATGGCTGAAAACTATAAAATATTTGCCCTCAAGCGAGTGAACCTGGAAGATGTGGACCGTCTTACATTGGCAGGGTATAAGGGAGAAATTGATTTACTCAAGAAGCTGGAGAATGTGGAACGAGTTGTACGACTCTTTGACTGGGAAATCAACACCGAAAAACACACCTTAAGCGTACTTATGGAAATTGGTGAATCCGACTTGGAGAAAATCTTGACCTATCGTCTCAATGCCGAAGATGCCGTCTTTGATCCTAGTTTTACACGCTATTATTGGAAAGAGATGCTCGAATGTGTTCAAGCAGTGCACAAGTTCAACATCGTTCATTCTGATTTGAAGCCTGCAAATTTTCTCCTTGTGCAAGGACGACTAAAACTTATCGATTTTGGTATCGCCAATGCAATCCAGGATGATACCGTCAATGTGCATCGTGAACAGCAAGTTGGCACCCCTAATTACATGTCACCGGAGGCCCTTATCGATTCCAATGCTACATTAGGTCTGCCAGCAAGCGTGGGGAAGATGATGAAGCTTGGGAAACCTAGTGACGTTTGGAGTCTTGGCTGTATCCTGTATAAGATGGTATATGGACAGCCACCATTCGCGCGTATTGCTAAATACTATGAACGACTCATGGCTATTCCCAACCCCAAGGTCGCAATCGAGTTTCCTCAGTTTGCTATTGGCGGCGTGACCGTTCCATTTGGCTTGATGCGGACTATGAAACGTTGCCTGCAACGAGATCAGACTCTTCGCCCATCTATTGATGAATTACTGAGCGAACGTGATCCTTTCTTGTATCCTGAGGCTCAGCTCGAAGGAACTGTTCCTGTAACGCAGGAGATGATTTCTCGGATTTTGACAAATGTGGTGAATCACTGCCGCGTGCGAGGCATACCGAAGGAGGAAGAACTAGCCGCATGGCCTGCTGGCTTTTTTGCGAAGATTAAAGCGGCAGTTGATGAAGAACACAAATGATTGTAACGCGGTTTCGCGCGGAGTTATGTGTCGATGAATATCGGTGTTGATTTTTTTACTTACATTTCTTGGCTACCAATTTTTTTGGTTACAAGCCTTGGTTTCGTTAGATTCGCGCGTTCAAGCGTCGCATTTGTTGGATTCTTGGTTACGATTATTTGTTCTATTAGCGGTCGGTGTACATCACATTTTTTTTGGTGTAGACTCTTGCCTATACCCGTCCAGTCAGGCCTTTCCTTTTCAATTCTGTCTATATTAGCAACCTTCGGCTTCGGCGAGCTGGCGTCCAAACATTTACTTATTTTCTATTGTATGGATCATGCCATGCACGGCGAGATTGGAGTTGGGGATCTTATTATGACCCTTCGATTGGTGCTCGTACTAGGATAGTACTTTTATATAATACAAATCACATTGATGATCCTATTTCTACGGTCAAACAGGTGAATTACCAATCAGTACATTGATGTATTTATACAGAAGTCTCTGTTTGTTCTACTGCGATAAACAACATTTGAAGGTTGGCCGATAATACATGTACAAATGTCTCCAAATGTTGTTTAGGTGTATTCGTGATTCTCCGCAAATCGGCCTTGTTGAATACGTACCTCCGCCGATCCGCATTCGGGCCTGATCCATGTCGACGGCTCGACGGTGACTTTGCCGATTTCCGCCATTTTTCTGTACAGCATCTTGCGCATATAATATTATATATACTTTTGTTTATAATATATTTTCTACAATCACAACCTATATTTTGCAAGTGACGAAGAAGCTCAAAGCACAAGCGAACCGGCACAATGGCAGCCTCTTTCCGAAACAACTGTCGCAAGATCATCTGCATCGGCCGGAATTATGCGTATGTCTATTGTCGCATCTGAGCGCAATTGCGCACCGCTCTTTCTATCTTAATACAACGCGAATTCTAACGAGAGTCGAGGAATCTAGAGACCATATCGCCGAATTGAATAACACTCGTCCCAAACAGCCATTCTTCTTCCTCAAACCAACCTCTTCGCTACTTCTCCCGGGCCACGGCCCTGTTCTACGCCCCAAGGGGGTGAAAATGCACTACGAAGTCGAACTCGGTCTTGTCATGGGCAAGACGGTGCGCGATCTGGACCCGGAAGATCACAAGACCGCGTTGGATGCTATTGCCAGTATGCCCGTTCGACCCTAGATATCAGTTATTATTATGAGGATACGGTGTCTAACTGTATGTTACATAGACTACGTCCTGGCCATCGACATGACGGCGCGCAACGTGCAAGAGGAAGCCAAGAAGAAAGGTCTGCCGTGGTCAATCGCCAAAGGCTTCGACACATTCTGTCCCATATCGGAACTGATCCCGAAATCCGCGATTCCAGACCCCCACAATGCGTTTTTGAGACTAAGTGTTGGTGATCAAGTCAAGCAGGAAGACTCGACGAATTTGATGCTGTACAGGATCCCCCGCCAATTGGCAGATATATCAAGGGTGATGACGCTGGAGCCTGGTGATTTGGTCTTGACGGGTACGCCGAAGGGGGTTGGAGAGGTGAAGGCGGGAGATGTGATGAGGGCAGAGATCGAGGTGGACGGGAAACGCATTGAAAAGATCGAGGTAGAGGTTAGGGATAGATTGGAGGGGAAGTATGAGTTTAAGGAGACTTGATTGTCAATACCAACTGTGAACTGCTAGGTGGTTGATTTGTTGTGCGGGGTCGTATATATGTTTTTTGTTGTGTACATGTTTACAATCAAAAGTATTATCAACTTTGTAACAATGTGAAGATACTACTTTGATATATTAGTCCGGACATGATTTAACCTATATTATATCGGTCTGACACAAGTGCAGAATTCCCATTATGTATTTGGGGAGCACGGTCCAGGCATGGTCATTCATCTAGGAAGATATATCATTCTGCTTCCTTTTCTTCGCGCCCGCTTTTGCCTTCGACCTAGTGTTGTAGTAAACGAATTTCATCTGTTTCTGCTTCGTGGGTGGCTGTTTGAAATGGTTGCAAAAGTTCTCGATATTGCTCCACACCCAACCCAAGTCATCCAGATACTTCTCCATAGCTGCCTTGACAGTCTGATCATTTCTCAAACCATCAAAGAATACTTCAACCATATGACCCTCTTGTTTTCGTCGAGGTAACTGGAAACGCAACTCCGCAGCAAAGGTGTAATACTCGTGCAAATTCCGTGTTTCTTGCTTTATTCTCTGGAAAATTGCTTCGATGTACGAGATGGGATTCTTCACCGGCATAGAGTCAGGGACCCATGAATCGGTCATTGTCGAGATAGCTGCTTCGTCTATGATGCTATCTTGAATGGTCATCATTTGAGACGCGGTTTTGCAAGCTACACGCTTCCCGTTAACCACATCTTATTTCCAAGAGAGTGAATCTATTCAGAATAAGATAGGGAAGAGCATACTGTTTTTGTCCACTTTGGTTTTGCCATATCTCAAAACAACAATCATTTTGGGCTGGGGCACTGTCTGAGTACACGCCGCACGAGTTTTCGATGGACTTTTCTCAGCTTTCTTCAACACTTCCACCTTACCTTGATTCAATCTTGCCAACTCCAGCTGTTTGGTTGCCAAACACTCACACTTATTCTCAACATTGACCACATTGAGTTTCACCTCAGCCATACCCTCTGCCAATTCCTTGACTTGAGCCGCCACATCATCCAAGTCGCCTTGCATCTTCTTGACAACACCTTCTTCTCTAACCCTCTCCTGCCACGCGGTAAAAATCGCGGTGACCCGTTTATTGACTAACTCAAGGGACGTGGCGAACTTGTCGCGGACAGTGGTGACCTCATTTTTGAGATCGTAGTTCTCCGTTTGCAAGCCCTTGAGGAGAGTTTCAAGATTGGAGAGTGTTTGTTGGTGTTCGGTCACTTTGCTCGAGTATGCTAAGAGATCGGTAGTTGTATCTTCGAGGCGACGTACAAGATGGACATGTTCCTTGCGTAGTTGGTAGGCCCAGAGAAGCGAGCCCTTCGATGCAGGGCCGCTACTGAGATCGTCCGGCTGGAAGGGAAGAGTAGGAGCCATTTCGAGATGACGGTGAAGCCGTTTATAAGAGCAAAAAGGCCGAGAGATGAGAAGAGATGATGAGAAATGATATAGTGTGGTGGTGGTTACGTGACGACCCGCTCCGGCAAATGGAACGAGGAAGGAGCAGCAAAAAGGGACAAGGAGTAAGTCAGTTGAATGAATAAACAGAAATGGCATTTACCTCTATCTATGGCTAAAAGCAGGTATACAACCACCCCCTGTCATTATCATAATTCGTCCGTTCGCCCAAACTGCCTCGTCTGCTCATGGCTCTTTAAACAAAAGACAATGAAAAGCGCCCGGACGAACATTTCTCATTACTTCGTCCTGCTCTCAAGGATGCGAGGCGACACGCCTTGATCAAGGACAAAGCGTCAAGATACATAGTGGGTGAACATCCAGACGCAAACCGTAAATGTTTGAAAAAGGAATAAAAACACGAACAAGCAGGAAAATGTGAGACATGAAAATGGAAAAGAACATAGGAGAGTTGAAAATAAAAAAAAAGAGAACCTAGCAGATCAATAGTATGGTATTGTCTATTGAGCCCTTGCCATAGCGAAGGTTCTGCAGGTACAATTACAGAAGAAAGCCACTTTTAGGAAAGCTTTTCCAAAACCAGCTGGGTCCAGGCCAAACTGATCAGGTATCTCAAAGCAACTGAACAGTCTAGACACAGCGAAAATTATGAAAGTAGTTTAGATGAGATCTATGATTAGTGTTAGCAGTAGAATGGCAAATGGGCTATGACGGAAACATACCAGCAACGTTCATGGGCATTTCTTCAATTTGGGTGTTGTAGAACTGTTCAATTTCACGCATCATGCGGACATCGTCGGCAGTGACGAAGTTGATGGCGACTCCCTTACGGCCGAAACGACCACCACGACCAATACGATGGATGTAGTTCTCACGGTTGGCGGGGAGATCGTAGTTGATGACCAGAGAGACTTGCTGGACATCGATACCACGGGCCAAAAGGTCAGTGGCAATCAAGACACGAGAGGAACCAGAGCGGAACTCCTTCATGATAACATCACGCTGACCCTGTTCCATGTCACCGTGCATGGCGGAGACAGTGAAGTCACGGGCAGTGAGCTTGTCGGTGAGCCAGTCGACCTTGCGGCGGGTGTTGCAGAAAATAACAGCCTGGGTGATGGTGACAGTCTCGTACAAGTCGGAGAGGGTGTCAAGTTTCCACTCTTCCTTCTCAACAGCAATGTAGAATTGCTTAATACCTTCCAGGGTAAGTTCATCCTTCTTGACGAGAATACGGACAGGGTCGCGCATGAACTTGGTAGTGACTTCGAGGACGTCCTGGGGCATGGTAGCCGAGAGCAGGACCACCTGAGTGGACTGAGGGAGCAGCTGGAAGATGTCGTAGATTTGCTCAGTGAAACCACGCTGTGTTCGTTAGCAAGATCACCTGGACTAACATCATCCAATATCACTCACAGAAAGCATCTCATCGGCCTCGTCGAGAACGAACATCTTGATGTTGTCGGTGCGGAGGACACGACGCTGGATCATGTCCTGGACACGGCCAGGGGTACCGACAACGACCTGAGGACCATCCTGGAGGGCCTTCATGTCTTCACGGACATTGGTACCACCAATGCAAGCATGGCATTCAATGCTCATGAAGTCACCGATGGCGACAACGACCTTCTGAATCTGCTGAGCCAACTCACGGGTTGGGGCCAAGATAAGAGCCTGGCAAGCCTTAAGGCTGGTGTCGATCTTCTGGAGAGCGGAGATCGAGAAGGTGGCGGTCTTACCGGTACCGGACTGGGCTTGGGCGATGACATCGTTACCTGCGTCTGATTAGATATTGTTTTTTTTTAATCGTAATGGCGAACCTACCCTTGATAACGGGCATGATGGCGCGCTGCTGAATAGCAGAGGGACGCTCAAAACCGTAGGCGTAGACACCTATTGCCGTTAATTAGTTTCTTTCCTCCTTCCTTTATTTCTGGTCACAAAGCTCGTCACCGGGACTCAACATTCAAACTTACCTCGAAGAAGCTCTGACTTGAGGTTCATGGCATCGAAGGAGTCGGTGACCTCGTCATAGTTAGACTCGATCTGTCCTGTAAAGCAGAGTGTCTGTTAGCGACCATTTTCGAAAGTGGCGTAAAATTTTCAGCGGGTGACCCTCCACCGCAGGATGTGATCATCACCGCATCTTTTTCCAAAACTCGAGAAGAACGAGCAAATATTATCAAGAGAAACTAGCATACCCTCAGGGACCTCCTCCAAACCGCCCTTAGAAGCCATGATTGTGGTTGCTGAAATCGGTGATCACAGGCGTTGTGCTGTGACCGGGAGACAGTGGGGTTGCTGGCGAGCGAAGAAACCACAAACGATCCCGCAGGATATCGCAGTGGCAGAGACGCTGAAGTGTGGTGGAAAAAAACTAGAATCACGACTCCCTTGCAAAGAGAGTGCTGGCGGATTCTAGGGGTGTAACAGATATTTGGTGGATGTTGTTTTGGGTTGAAAAACTAGGGAGAGGGAAGAGAGGAAGAGCGAGCCGGGGGTTCTTTTTTTTTATTAGAGAGTCGTGAAATTTTCTATCTTAGCGCGAGTTTGCCTTCGCTCCTGCCACTTGCTGGGCCCAACCACAAACTGTTTTCTGCCGCCCTTCACCGCTGGTCGGCCTGTAACCTGTGATTTGTCCACTGTTTTTTCCAGCTCCACCATTCAAATGCGGCTTGGAGGTTTCATTGGTCATAATGCTGCGGGCCTTCCGTCTGTCCAATCACATCCAGTCGCGGCCTCTTTCGGTGACGTTTGTAGTTAGTTAGGGCTCAAAATATCGATTACGATTATGCACCGTGTGTTACCAGGCTCGATTTTGCTCTACACAAGGGAAATGAGAACGCCACGAAGATGGCTATAGCAGAAGGGGCGCTAGCCTCTCACGCCGAAGTAGGAGTCCATGGTCTGCTGAGCGGCGAAAGCGAGGCAGTTCCTTGCCATCCGCTTGGTGTCAAGCCGAGTGGCAATGCCCTGGTTGCTACCTCGAACCTACGCAATGCAATTGGCAACTTCAACCTACTGGCCGACGATGTGGTGTTGGTGCTGTTGGAATATCTCGACGCACCGAGTCTGCTGAAGCTTGGCCGCACGTGCAAAGCGTTGTATGCCTTCACTCGATCAGAAGACATATGGAAGACTCTGCTCATTCGGTAAGATGATTGAATCTAAAAGCCAACGATCCTCAAATGTTTTATTTTTACTTTACAACCAGTGGTTAACTGTTTGCAGGAGCTCTCGCGGACTAGTCACCTGGCAAGGGACTTGGCGAGCAACTTATCTGAATTTGACACCATCTCAGGTGCCGATGATCAATTGTGCTACTTTGTTTTCGGACACTCTGCACCGCCCGTTTTATTGTGCCCATATATCATTGGAGCCATACACTACAGGAATACCAGCTCGAAACCAAATAAGCCGTCTACAAGATCTGTCCGCAGAGGAGTTTCAAGACTCATGGACAGATCGACCATTCATCTTGACTGAACTTGTGAAACAATGGCCAGTATACCAGCAATGGTCTACAGAAGACCTGGTCAATAAATACAACACGACTATATTCCGTGCAGAGGCCGTTGACTGGCCGTTAAACACCTACGTGGACTACATGAAACACAACGCCGACGAAAGCCCACTGTACCTATTCGACCGGGACTTTGTCTCCAAAATGGACATCAAAGTCGGGCATCCCTCAAGGGTTCCCGAGGCTGCGTACTGGCCGCCGCCATGCTTTGGAGAAGACTTATTCGCCGTTTTGGAATCAGACCGTCCCGACAGTCGCTGGCTTATCATCGGGCCCGAGCGATCAGGAAGTACATTCCACAAGGACCCAAATGCAACAAGCGCATGGAATGCCGTACTTCGCGGGTCCAAATACTGGATTATGTTCCCATCATCGTCAAAACTTCCACCACCGCCGGGTGTATACGTCTCGGCTGATCAGAGCGAAGTCACGTCGCCTCTAAGCATTGCCGAATGGCTGCTAGGCTTCCATGCAGAAGCGAGAAGAACGCCAGGGTGTATCGAGGGAATTTGTAACGAGGGTGAAGTTTTACATGTTCCATCTGGCTGGTGGCATTTGGTTGTCAACTTAGAGCCCTCTATTGCCATAACACAAAACTTTGTACCTAAGGCCCATCTGACTGCGGCTCTTGATTTCCTGCAAAATAAGGCCGATCAAGTCTCTGGCTTCCGGAAAAATGTTACCGATCCGTATAACAAATTCGTCGAAAGATTGAAAGTGAGGCATCCGGATCTTTTGGAGAACGCCATACAGGATCTAGAAAAACGGAAAGAAGGCAGGAAGAGAAAATGGGACGAGATTGTGCATGGGAAGGTGAACGGGGAGAGTACTAATGGTGTAGGTTTTAGCTTTGGTTTCGGAGATGGCGACAGTGATATCGAAGTTCCTTAAACAGGTTAATTATGTGATATGACGGATATGAATATCCTAGGACAAATTTGAAGATAGCGCTGGGTGGTAAATATCAAGACAGTCGACACTAGGCCCAACATCACCCAAGGAAAAAAGTTACTACAAGCGTGTCAACGCCAGTGTTTCAAAAACCTCGACAATCAATGACAAGCCGCAGACTTCGTCGCAGGCGCGCCGCCTCCGAAAACCAAATATCCAACAAAGGCACCGGCAGCTACAGCGATCATAATCCAGCCATTGTACGTCATGAAAAGAAGCCTGCGATAATTGTTAGCGCTTGAACACGGAGCCAGGAAGGAAAGGGGACCAACATAATAAAAAAACTATAAAAGACTTGCACCGCATACAACAAGGCCATGACAATTCTACCCCGTTGCTCCAACGCTTGCTTGCTGTCTCTGCCTACAAGCAGTGAGCTGGTGATATTCGCAATACCTCTGGAATGGCCCGTTCCGACATCTACGGTCGATTCTTGAATATTCTCGTTGTCTTGAAGACAGCCCGGACTTCAGCAATAGGGCTGGCGGGAAAGAGAGAATCCAGTATGGGATTGAAGGAGGGGAGAGATGAACGTACCAGTTAATGAAGGGGTGGTGTATGCTCTGAGACGCTGTGCATGTTTTGCCTCGTAGGTACGTGTAAAGCTGCGAATCCCTTCGTAGGCCGCGGTGAGGAGGATAATCACGAGAAGAGATGCGATCAGGGAGCCGGTGCCGGTGATGCGCCATTCGGGGAAGACTATGCATAGATTCTTCGTAGACCAGGTGAAAAGCATCTAATTCCTGTCAGTTTCCATCAGAAAATAGCGCATAGCGATATGTACGTTCATGGAACACTGGTTCATCCCGTCATTATCACCGTGGTCCATCCCGCCGTGGTCCATATGCGAGTGGTCCATTTGCGAGTGGTCCATTATTGCAGTTAAATAAAGGGTGGGTATATTAGTATATTTTGAAAAAGACTCTCACGTGTCAAGACATTAATCTTTGAGAGAGACGAGAGAAGAAACAATGTAATACAGAGCTGTGCAACTGGTGAGTGGCATCAAATGCGGTTGCTCCAAGCTCGCAATGCCGATCTCATGACGCTAGAGATGCAAACATGACAAACGAGACTCCAATTCATTTTGTCTGAACATCCCTCCGCGGATAGTCGATAGTCATCATTAATGATCATTTCTGTCGCTCTTGCCTCCTACCAATCTTCGAATTCGCCTCTGGCTGTTTCATCTTATTCATTCAGCAGAAAAACTTGAAGGCCGATTCGATCAAACAACATGGCCGATACCGCTCCAGGCACCGCGCCCGCCGCATCAACATCAGAGAAGGTTGCTGCAAACGCCAGTCCGACCACCGCAAATAACAATAACGCCACAGCTGCGAACTCAAATTCCACCGCATCAAATTCCCAGACATCGCAATCCGCTATGTCATCAAGCAATAACAACAAAACCCCAGGCTCCAACCCCGGCGCGGCTGCGACTGGCGCTTCAAATACTGAAAATCGCGGCCTGCCCTATTACGAGAAGCTGCGACGCGAGTTACGTGACACTTTGCAGAAAAAACGTCTGATGGATAAAAGCATGGTATGAAAATTCGACCAGACTTGATCATAGGAAAGGGATATGTGCTGATTCAAAACCAATAGGCACAATTAGAAGACCAGATTTTCCGATTCGAACAAAATTACCTCGAAGAGACTAGCGCTGGCAACATTATCAAAGGTTTCGACAATTATATTAAAGGGTCAAGTGGTACAACGGGACTTGGAGGGGCCGGTAGTCTCTCGATTTCAGGTGCAGGAGGAGCTGGCACAGCACGAAGAAAAGCAGCGGTGTTGGACACAGATCGCGTTTTCAGTCGAAGTTCGGCCTCATTCATGCGGGTATGTTGATTATTTAATTTTTCTGCTTTTTCCTGTCACCTCTGCATCCTTTTTTTCCTGGAAAATATGCTCATTTATTTTAGGATTCTCCGACCCCCTCTTCAGCACAAACAACCCCTTCACATGCGCCAACCCCAACATCCTCCCACGGCGGTCCCTCCTCCACTTCTAATACCGGTGCAGGTGGAGGTGCTAAGGCAGACGGACAAAAAAGCGGCTCATCAAAGAACAAGAAGAAAAATTCGTCGGTGTCGACTCCTGTGGCTAAGGACGAGGATGATGCAGACCTTGATGGGAATGGCTCTAGCAAACCCGCCGCGAAGAGGCTGAAGATTAGTTATGGGCGTGATTGATTTATCATTTCGTCTATCCGACTGTTCGAAGACCAGAGTTTATTGAATATATTTGTTGCGTTCAAGCATTGGTAGTCTGGTTGATATGGTTTGGCGTTTGCTGATATTGTGATAAAACGGTCTGGAGGGAATTTATTATTTAGTTTTCGTCCTAGAGGGTATATGGCCTTGAAAGAATATAATCCATTAAATCTATCAAATTTTAACTTGGTTCTAAATTCAATCCTCGAAGTCGTGCCTTCACTTATCTATGCTATAACCATACAATCTTACTTGTATAAAAGACTCTTTTACTGTTGAAAGGTTATCACTCACTCTTCTTCACCCAGGTCACTCCCTGTTTCTGCAACATGACCATTCCAAGTACAGGGTTAGGGTTAAGGTTAGGGTTGCTACTAGACGTCGCAGAAACATCTCATAGATTTCAAAGCCATGCACCAGGGCAGTCGCAGCATGCAACCAGGGTGCATTGAGCAGAGGTTTTTAGATATAAACGATTGTGGGGAACTGGCATGCTAGCGATAACTAATCACAGTATATAACTACATAGTCCGGCACCTTAGGCTCGACAGAAGAGTTACTTAGGGACGCTATATCAACATGATCATGTTAGTGGTTCTGCAAATCAAAGACCTAGTATCATATGGACTTACCCGTTCATAAACATATCTACCACCAGATCCCTTGTGTTGAGGAACTTCGGATCCTGTGCGATGAAGTTTGCATACCCTGGTACCCAGAATTGATGCGCATTCTTCAGACCAACGAGATCTCCTAGCTTCGCCTTAATCGTCCGCGTCACAGTATCACCCATGGTAGAATATAATCTCCTAGCCCAATCAGGGGAGCTGTTATTGTTGAAGCCAAGCCACCCAATCTGTCCAATCTCAACATCGACGCTGCCGTCGTTGGTACGCATTTCCTTGACTTGAAAACTGGCTCCCCAGTACCAAACTTGCCAGTTCCCGCTGTCATCTAGCCTGGCATTTATTTGTCCCTGGAGACTGATCCCCTCCTCAGGGATGTCTCCGAAATCGACCCAGGTTCTTTGACCTAATGTAGTGCGTAAGCCTCCCTGGTTTATACTATGCTTTGTAAACACCCCTTGGATGAATGTACATACTGATATATCGGTCCCCACCCGGCAAATCAGCCGAACTAGTACCGCTCGTCCAAACAGTTTTATCGGATTCATTTATTCCGTTATGATGCATTTCATTTGGAATGAATTCATAATAATGATCCACGAAAGACTTATTTTCCACGTAGGGGTGGTTTGGGTTGTACCCAATACGATAGCTATCGGGAACAACGGGCCAGATCTGTGTGTCGAAGACGAAGTAGCTGTAGTTCTTGAGGAACCATTGATTCCAGAACAGGTCGGCTGAGATGCCGAGCTTGCCGGAATTCTCTTTCAAACTGTCGCCGTCGAGTGCAGGCCAGGTGCCAGGGCCCTTGCGGTTCTGGACCATGGCTGGAATATGTAGACCACCTCCATTATCGTAAATGAGCTGCAAGTCGAAGCTGGTAGGTCCAAAATGATATCTTTCCTGAGAGACTACTGCGCGTTAGACGAGTATTCCAGTTTTCAGAATGGGGGTCATATGAGATATCATGTACAATACCTTTGTCCGAGGGTACCAAACGCAAGATCACACCTAGTCCTCCTGCATTCTCCGGAGAGTGGTCGTAAGTAGGCCAGAACCAGAAGGCAATATTGAGAGAGTTAAGGCCCAGCCTTTGCGTAACTTCGCTTTCACTAGGAGACTGCGTCTGACCTGCCTCAAATTTCGGCATTCTCTTGTCCCAAGAGTCGCGGGGACGAACGAATTTGATACTGGCCCCCCAGTGAATTAATCCCTCCGGGTCGTTGTAGTCAGAGTTGGGAAGTTGATAGTTCTCTACAAAAATAGATCAGTAATTACTTCATGCCACTACTAAGGTTCCACCACAACTGACCAAGGTTGACTGGGAATTGGATGTGCCACTCCTTGATCGGGACCTTTTGATTTCCCTTTTGGACTGTGCCACTAGTCAACTTGACTGCGTACCAAAAGCAGCTGTCGTTGATCCGGTCAACACGCAAGAAGGTGCCAGGTTCCTTCTGTTGCCCTGTTATTTGAACGTCATTGTTCTTGTTGTTGTAGGTCCAGATGATTCCTTTTCGGCCATGTTCTTTTGGCCACCAGAAGTTGTGGATTTGATTCATGAGCGTCAGGTCCAAGACCAACATCTGGTCCCATCCTGCCAGCGAGCCCTTAGTTCGGATACTCATGTCTCGATTATAAATAGAGTGAATTTCAGTTTTTCTGCAAACTCAAAGCCCCTGAGAAGCCGAGTGATAATTGTTGTACACTGGAAACTCCAGAGAAATTTATACTTGATTTCAGGTTGTTCCGAAAACCAATCCGGATGGCCTTGGCGTCAACTCGTAGGCTGAGCTGAAGATTCATCATCTCGTTGCACCCATCGGACTAGCTGCTCTTTCCGCCAGCCACTTCTGACGCATACATAAGCTCAACTAGAGGAAGTACGGCTCCTTTCACATGGTTTGGCATCTGTATGCGCTGCTTTCAGCCACATGCATATTCTGCAGTTGTACGCGCAGTCCAACGCGAGCTGGAGGTAGATATCCAGCAACGCCCTGTTTGGTGACAAGCCATGCGTGAACCAACCAATGTGCAGATTCTGGAAGGATCTCGGTAAAAAAAAGGGGGGAATGTGCGCCGTCGGGCATACCTGCCGTTGCAGAGTTCCCGAGCATGCGCGAGGATCTCGCCTGTGCCAAGTTCAACCCTGGATTAGCATCAACCATCAGCCGTGAACCATTAACCTCGAGAGCGTGGGTTCACGAGTCATGCTTATAGCTGCGTGCCTTAGCCCGCCAGAACGTGAACCAGGCGCTGTCATTCCAGTCGTACGGCGATGATCGTATTCCCATTGGCTATGCATTCTTCCTCCCCCCAGTTATTCCTTTGGAAAAAGATGCGCGCCAATGCGACCATGAGATACGAGGGGATCCTGGCATACGCGGCGAACTCGCTACTGAGGTGTGGCAATGGTCTCCAACCCTGGTAAGCCACAACAAAAGACGGGATTATGACTGTATCCTCGTGGGTAGTTTCAAATTGTGGCTAGCTACGATTTTCAGCCTGGATGAGGAGGAAGAGGAAGGATTGAAGAGCGTGGGACGGGTGCACACTTCAGCCAGCCGCCGTATCAACTAGGAACTGCATCTTTCTGAGCCCGTACGCACGCATACAATGGAATCCCTAATGCACATGAATTCATTTCCGTTGTTGGTCTATAGAAAAGAACAGATATTAAAAGGCCGACGATGGTGCTGTTCGATCCCGGGATAATACCCTTCCTATCATCAATCTCGTCGGAAAAAAAAACCCACTTATTGCTTTGCTTTTGAATCATGGCGACCGTACTCCACGATAGCGAATTCATGACCACCTACCGGGCAGCATCTCCCATCAAGCCCGGTGGTAAATTTCTTTCCTTCCGTGATGGATCGCTCCACCCTGCTGTCCTCTGCCAGGGCGAGAAAAATACCATCTTTGTAGTGTTGACTGACCCCAAGACCGGACAGAGGGCCACCTATGATGCGACCGCCTTTTTCGGCCTATCTGGGTCCATTATCGATTTTGAACTGCGACAGTATAAGAGCCAGACCTCATTTCTGTTCTCGACCAAGTACTCAGGATCTGAGAATGGAATTCATCTCTTCAATGGGATAACTCCGGAGGAGCTTTGGAAACTTCCAAACGACAAAATCTTCCATGGTCGAGTATCCACCGTGAAGAGGCTGTTTTTGGTATAATATCATGGCTCTTACTGAGAAAAAAAAAAGACACTGACTATCACTTTCCAGAGCGAAATCCAAGATAATGACGGCGTCCCAGCCGTCTTTTATACTACTCCTCGTCCTGGGTATTCGGACGAAGTGCTTTTGAGACCAATCAAAGCGGACGTGGATAACAATACTTTGTCGCCGGATAATAACTGGGGTCTCCACGGTAACGTGACAGATGTGATAGCCGTAAGTGTTGGTGTGACCAACTATGGCCCCGGTGCCTTTGCACTTTACAAAGGCCATCAGGATGGGAAGAGATACGTTCAGTTCCGCAACGATATTGTAGGGGGCGTTCACGAGTTCTCCGTGGACTTCCCAGTCCATGATCGTAAGTTTTCCTATTTCTCTTCAGGTGGAGAAATAAGCACAGCGGTGGTATACTAAAATGAAAAGCAGGAGCGGAGTGTCTGAGCACCTATGTCAACGAGGACTCAGCCTGTACTGCCCTAGTAGTGGCGGGCGAGGAGATTTCCCTTTACCTCGATGATCAGTATTGCTATTCTGACGCGGACCCAGCAGCTACGGTGGCAGTATCCTCGGCCATCACTTCCCTCCATGTCGCCCAGCATGAGGATGATATAAGCATTTGGTATACCAATAAAGCTGAAGGTGCATACTACTATAATACGAAACACACCCAATTCAGCGATGGGCAAATGGTTCAATTTTTGCCAGACGGGGCAGGCAAAACCGTATCTGGTCTCCTTTGGGAATACACAGAGCAAATGTCTATAATTCAAACGTTAATGACGATGGATGACAAGGGCCACCTTGCTGTCTGGCAGCAGGACCTCGGAACTCGCTTCTGGACTCCACACCCCTATCATGTCGACGCACCTGATAAAGCCACTCCTGTAACTGGATATGTTACCCGCTTCGAAGCCAAGAATCCATCTGACCCTTCGACGGTAGTTGGTTGCCAGCTGGAACTTATCGCTACTGGTGTGATCCATGTGTATTCCAATGGAAAGGCGGCGATGCTCGGACCGAGGCCGTCGTTGCATACAGTCAATGGGAACGGAGTTTTAAACTTGATTATCCCTAGTGATGAAATCACCTGCCAGCAAATCCAAGTAGCTGCCCTCCTACCCAAAGGAGGCGGCCGGATTCCCATCTCAACTGGCTGGTTCGACCCTGCTGCCAAGGTTGTTTCGAAGCTCTCCGGCATTAAAACAGGGCAGGATCTGCTCAATACAGGTATGGCCCCGAATCTTACGCGAGAGCAGGCAGATGAGGCGGCAAAGAGTATTTCGAACGCCATGAAGTCATATCACAACTTTGCCTCAGGACCATCGTCAAAGGCTTCAACTTCCCCGGTGCAAGTCCCTGACAAACAACCACAGTTCTGGAGCCTCTGGTCATTGTGGGATGCGCTAAAAGGTTTAATCAATAAAGGTCTTAATGGTCTTAAGGCCGTTCTGAAGGTAGTTGAGGATGCTGGTAAGTACCATTCCTATGACTGTAGCTAAACGGTCGGTAAACGAAAAATTCAACCGCATTACTGACCACCTCACGTTCAGTACCCGACGGGCCATGGAAAATGATTGTACATTGGGCGGAACAACCGTTCGAATTTCTCATCGACTCTGCTTCTCGGGCCCTCGCAGCAGCAGACTTTGTTATCAAAATAGCCCATGTGGCATGGGACGCATTTCAAGCCTTTATCGAGTTAGCCTTGGACTGGGACCAAATCAAAATCACCACTCGTAGCGTCAAGGCCTGGATGGACTCTGGCTTTGACTGGGCGGCGGGGAAAGTGGATGGTCTGGATCGTGTGGTTGACCAATTTTGCGATAAAATCATTAGCAGCATCGACCATCGGACAACACCAGATGCTATATCCGCTAATAACGCACCTGGAAAACCCAATCAACGCGCCAGTGACGTCCAACACAGTGTGGCATATCACTATGGCTTTGATCTACTATTGCAAGGCGCCAACACCATGGCTGGATCTTCGTCATTGAGCCACGCGACCTTTGACAGTGATGTAGCTCAGAAACCAGACTATAACATCATCCAGGAAGCATACGATCTCGTCCAAAAGCTTCTCAAGGATGTCAAGAGCACCTTGGAAAACATTTTCACCGACGTGTCTAAGTGGTCGGCTGGTGACATAACGGCGGCCGAAGTCTTTGGTAAGATCGGCAGTGATCTCCTCGCGGGTATTATGAAGGTCGCGAAAGATGTCGTGCACGCAATACTCAAGGCTGTCAGGGAATTGATTAGCACAGTTAAAAGCTGGATGGATAAGGAGCTTATTATTCCCGTCCTCACGGATCTATGGCACGGGTTGACTGGGGAAACATTATCTTTTGCCGGGGTTATTGCCTTTGTAGTGGCCATTCCGATGACGCTGCTGAGTAAGGCTATAACTAACAACTCCCCTCCAGACCTACGCTCGTTGACCAAGCAGTTATGGGATTTACATGCTCTTGAATCTGGCCAGGTATCACGGGCTGTTTCTGGTGAGGACATATCCCTCTTTGGCGGACTGCTTGTTGTAGTCGCTGCGGATGGAGCAGCTTATGTCGAAGCCACTGCAGCCGCCCTAGACTCCTTCGAAGCAGCAGCGACATTTGACATCAAGGGTGTGAATCTACTAGACTTGATTACTCTTCTCTTGAAACTGGGGGCCAGAGTACCTCCGTGGGAGCGGCCCTGGACGGAACACCGGATGAAGGACGAACATTGTTTTGTAAGTTACTCCCCACCTTCTCCCAAAGTTCGTTGTGAAATTCATGAAACTAACAAGATTTTACGACAGGTATATGGAACTGAAGTTGTTGAAACCGCATGGCTTGCAACTTGCATGGTAGCCCGAGCTGCGTCCTCAGGAGGCCTCGAGCACGACCAAATGACCTTAGGTAACGCTGTCGGAGGGACGGTCTGCACCACCATTATCTCCATTCTACGCATGGTAATCGCGGGAGATGAACTACGCGAGAATGAAAAGGATAAAGCAGAGTGGCATTTTATTGCAGCAGCCCTAGCCTGGATCGCTGAGGGCGCGGAGCTCGTTGCCGCAGGCTGTGCTGTCGCGAAACAGCCTGAATTCGGATTTGAGGCTGTGGCAGTCGCCTTGCTTGCAAATTCTTTGTCCCTTGGCGTCGGTATCCGTGAGATTTCTGAGAAATATGGGCATAACTAGGAATATTTTTAAAACGGCAGTGGAAGTAAGCAAGTGAGCAGGAGTAAGTTGGCGGGATACCGTTTTTCGCGCCATACTCACCAGCACAACGTATGCTAAGTATACCTTTGCCTTTATTAATTAGGTATTTTTAGAAAATTCATAGCTATTATTAAATTTTAAGATAAAAGTAGATATATTTGAAGTCCTTTAATAATACTTATAGATCATAATCTTATAGATTAATTAACTAAATATTATCTAAAACAGTTATAATTAATTTAAAAATTTTATTATATTAAAGCTGAAATTAGTCTTTACAATTTCTTCTTAGAATTTCTCTATCCAATAACTACTTATCCTGTACTGGCAGCACTACTCATACTTTAAAGGCTTCCGGCTTCTCCGCATCACAAGACGCTTAAAGCGAGCTTATAGTTGGGGAATAAATTGCTTTAAGGTTGCTTGAAAATTGAACCAACCCGTCCATCTATGGTCAATGGGGGCCCCAGGATCGTGTGGATTCGTTGAATAGGTTCGGTAAAAATGCAAGTTGATTTTTATCCAGGTATCTCCGTTGGAATTCCATGTATACTTGTATAAGGGACAATCGGCGGGAAGTTGTCGCATCCTCGATTCGGCATATTCAAAGCGTTTTGCACCGGCTTTATTATCCGGTTGTCGGTAACGACCTGATCATATAGCTTTCCTGAATTTCCCGCGCTTCCGAAGAGCTGTTTTAGAAAATGGGTGATGAAAACATCCGTCAAGTTGACTGCACCATGCTCTGAATACCAGGTCAGGTAGTCAGGGTATTTTTTTAGTGCGCGAGCTGCATACTTTGGAAGCAGGCGATTGGCCGTTCTCAGGGCCACAAAATTATTGGTATTTCTGCTCTAGTTTTCGCAAACAGGCCTAACCAGTGCAGACCACCATACCTTCAGGTCACCATGGCAGAAATGGCTGGGTTATCCATTTTGGGACATCGGACGGCGAGAAAGCGATGGCCCCATGCTTTCCAAATTCATAACTAAGATCAAACCACTTACCACGTCTGCTCTGTACCTTGAGAGACTCTTCATCTGTTTGGACAATATTTTTCCAGTTAGGGCTGGAGTTCACCACGACTGCTGTCTCCCCCAATTGCGATTCTAATGCTGGCTTCGTTCAAGTGACCGTGGAAAAGCCAATAGTCTTCCTTTGTGTAATCGAACTCGTCCGCAAGAGTCCCATCTTGACGTTCGATATTTAGATGGTCTACTTCACCACCATCGCGTAGCTTGAGGGTCTTGTTGTAAAGCGGGATATCGGAGCCATCTTTTGTTTCCAGTTTCACATTCATGACTTAGTCGACTGGGTAGGATGCGCTCATAGGCTCGACTATACCGATACCCCTGTCGCCCGACGGTGTCACTGTCCACAGGTTCGAAAGACATATTCAATTGAGGCGAAAAGAAGAACGGACGAGAAGAGTAAAAGTAAGCAAAATATCAAAAGGCAAAGGAAATTGTTCACACGATGGTGGAAATAATAAGTTTGGTGTAGAGGAAGAACAAGATTGGCCTTTATATCTTCTACTGGTGGGACATACCTAGGTAGATCGCAAGGTTAATATATTGTATAGAACAAATGTTAAGCAACCCGCGATTCCGATGTCAATGCAGATTATACAGGAGCCTTCAGACCATTCATAACTCTACATCAGATTCTCGATCCAATCTTTTCAAATCGACGTACATAACTGCATCGATCATTACCTGTTCATCTGTGTCATTTTCTTTTTGTTACAGCTTGACATGTTCGGGTAGCGCCATATTGCAAGGATCACCGCACTTCAGCCAGCTACCGTGCATTTGCAAATATCAATTTTTGGGGATTCTACTTGTCAAGATATAAGTTGCCTTCACCTACCCAAAGTATCGGCGCTGACTGGATAATGCGCGCTATTTTTGACTTTGTTACTTTAGTACGTGACCACGAAGTAGATCAAAATTTCACCTGTCTTGGGGCAATGAACTAATAATACTTGCGTCATACTAGAGGTTGATGCTGTACGAAATCCAGATAACCCGTGTGTGGCCTAGTGGATGGCCTGGACCGGGGGTGACGAACTGTCTGTGCGGTAAATTCTTCTTGGATTACGCTACATGGTAATCCTGTCAAGAAGTATTCAGTAGGATTCAAACAATTGTTAAATGATTACTCCATCAAAATCAGTGAGAGAAGCCTAGTATTTAACGTAGCTTTGAGATCTAGGACCAACACGAAGCTCCTTATAATTGGCCCAATTTCCACCCAAATATAGAGCTCTGAACCAATCCAACAATTTTACCGTCTTTCCCCTCCGCCATCTCTGTTTGTCTACAAAATTAGAAACACTAGTCACACTAACTCATGTCACAGAGATGTGCGGAAGGGGCATGGGAACCTCAGGAGGGGTTTCTCGTCTTGATTTTTCCTTAACCACCTCATCTGATACCGACATCAACCTGATATCCATAGCTCTATCCTCATTCTGCTGAACCTAATCATCCTTAACTTCCTATCTCCATAACTCCCACATCGATACATCCAAACGATCCAGCGGCCCCGCCTGGCTTTTGGACCTTGAGAACTAAAACCAAAACTCCACGCGAGAGCCTCGATGGCGATGGCTACGGTGTCATCTCTTTGGGGATACATCGCCGACTTTGTGAACTTCTTAACCGACATCCCGTGAGACGAAGTCGTGGGAAATTCCCACGACTTCGAAATGGACCTCGTCCAAAGTGAAAGAGGTCAGGCAAACAACTGGAACTCGATATATTTGGTGGTATTGGATGTACTTTTTTGTGGTAGAGATATAGGGTTACACAGATAGCCCTTTGCACACGTTGCTACCCAATACTTCCATGTTGTGTTCCGAAGTCCGCTGCGGACGAAGAGCGCTGTTGCATGGCATATATCTCTAACAAGACCGATGCTAGTAGCAGTAAGTAGGATTTGTGTGTGAACTCAGGGCGTGATACCGGCTGGAAGACCAAAACACGGGGGTATGAGGCGGGGGTTGTGAATCCCTACTTGGCCAAGTATGAATCTCTCCGTTGCAGTATGTGGAGCTGAGAAATCCAATTGCATATCCATACAGACCTCGTTTCTACGCTCCGCGTATAGTCTAAGGTAGTCTTTTCTACTGTAGAAAAAGAAATATTGTCTGTTACACGTTTCAACTGATATACTGGTATCTGGTTTTGCCATTGAGCCACGTCCTTTTATGCTCTTAGTTTACAACCGTGGCGTCGTGATCAATGTGAGACAAGAATTCGAAGACGGCATGGACATATCGTCTTCGTGGATAAGAAGAGCCACATGCCCATGGAAGCCCGAGCAAGGAAAAAGACAATTGTAGAACGCCAACACAACATGCATATTATGACGTGTCTATTTAGGTTGTATAACACCGTGCGCATTGCAAATCTAAGTTGTGGACCAACCTGTACTGCAGTCCTTCTTGCATGCTTCCTTGAATATCACTTAGGATTGTTATTCTTCGGCACGATACAGCGCTAGGCCTTAGAGATGCTGGACTTGTGTTGATTGGGCTCCGCCTCACCAAGGAAGATGCGTTGCGCTGCGTCCTCGAGGTTTAGCGCCCACTAGATCTAAATCGCTACATTATTGGATTAGGGTAAGAAAAGGTCAAACCCTCCACCAAACTAGAAAACGAGAGAGAGAGTAAAGTGTTTTCAGCAGTGCAGATCTGCAGGAGGGGGAAATCTAGTTCAATGTGAAATCGATTAATAATCCGCTAAAGCGCTGGGGACCTAACCTCCGTTTTGATCTGGGTGTCCCAATTTTCCAATTACACCATGTTCTTTTGGTGCTAAAATTTGACCGGTAAGAATCTTCATTAACGGATTGGTAACTGGTTCCTACGAAGTCTTAAGTTACTCTGCGTGAATTAATGTATTACAAACACAAGCTGCGATTGGGGCACCGGGGCATCTTGGAGATCTCAAGAAAATCTCAAGGTTTCCCGCTAGAACACATGGTTGATAGAGGTTGGGGTGAATGGAAATGATATCGAACAATTGCGAGCTAAAGAATGACTAGGCGGTTTGATTCAATGCGCGATTGGGCTGTCTCAATCTAGTTTGACAATAACATTCATAGGTGTCTACTATAGTATTATTGCGTAGTAATCAACAGCTGCCATTGCCTCATGCTGAACTAAATAGCAAGCGATGTTTGAATTGTGCAAGGGGCCCATGACTGAGGGTAAAGCTAACAATAATAAACATAATTCATTTGCTCTTTTACAGTGCTTCCCCTCCAAGCATTGGTGCAGGCATCGCCATTATCGGTGCTGATACAATAAGAAATGCCTACAGCTGCAGCCTATATGTAGCAACCTCGAACGGCCTTAACTCGATGTTGACGCTGAAATTGCCATTGCCACCCTGTTGATCAACAGACAGAATCTGCAACTCAGCTTCATTATCTTCCAGCACATTCGTCTTCCAAACCTTCTTAACCGGCAAAGTTGTATGAATGGTGCCACGGCTCTTGCCACCCAGCGACTCGTAAATACGCAAGATGACGCTTTGGCCGCTTCGTTTGGCAAAATCGCCACGAGAGATGTCTTCGTCATCTTCACCTCGTTTGACGGCGTCCAAGATCAAAGACTTCGAGCCGGTTAGGCGCACGGAGGTGAACACGTTACTGAGGGCATTGCTGCTGGCGGAGGTCAAAGTCAAAGGAGCATTGAAATTGTATCCAGCTCGGACGGTGCGATAGTCGAGAGGGCCGGAGTGGGGAAGAATTGCGTAACGGATGCGATGACGACCCATGTCGGCGTGTCCATCAGGAGCCTTAGGGGCTCTGAGAAGAGATAGGCGCATGAGGTTGCCCACAGTGGCAAAGCCATATTTACTATCGTTCAGAATCGACACTCCGTATCCATTCTCGGACAAATCCGCCCATTTGTGGCTGCAAACTTCGAACTTGGCCATGTCCCAACTACTGTATTTTAGTATACCGTAAAGATTTCCGGAGGGGGGAGGAAGGGCTAGGAATAGCTTACCTTGTATTATAATGCGTTGGACGGCGAACGATGCCATATTGAGTTTCATAGGAAGCCTCGGTATTGTGAACATCCACAGGGAATTCTACTTTAAGGAACTTCTTGTCCTCGTGCCATTCAACTTCGCTGTCTAGCTCAACATAAGATGGCTCGCCATGTACGCTGGCAGACAGACTGATGGTTGTCTTGACCCAACTCTTGTCACTGATTGGAGTGTTTGTAACAACACTGACACGATGCGATGAGTCCTCAACAATGGAGGTTTTCCCAGACTGGAGTTCTCTACGCGAGTCAAGGTGGAAAACTTCGACGTCCCAAGCTTGCCAGTACAAAGGCTTGTCATCGAAGATAACAAGTTGACCAGCCTTTCCACCTCGAGAAATGACTTCTCGGTCAGCTTCAATATCATGCAAGGAGATTATCACACCATCCTGAACGTCGAGACGTAGGTTGCTGTTAGACAGGCGGAATACTCCTTCCCTAACTTCTTTGACAGAAACAGATGGAGTTTGTGAAGCGTTAAGAATCTGTGCATTAATGACACCAGTGTCGCCGCTCACAAGAGCATAGCTTGAAGAATTTGAACTTGATGACACATCAGGAATCTTGACAATCTCTGAGCGAGGCCACGGCATCGTGTTGATGGCCACGAGTTCTTTCTTAGGCTGGTTGTCACCAAATCCAAGGGTTTGGAGAGCTTCCTTCTTAAGCTTATAGCCTGTAGAGAAAACTTCGGCGTAGATTTCGTCGGTATCGTCGTAACACATTTCGATACAACTACCAGGCAGACAGTCGTGGAACTGACAGAGAAGGACTGATTCCCACATTGTATCAAGACCCTTTGTAGGATACTTATACTTGTCATCTTTGCCGTTGACAGTGGCTAGAGTCGCCAGATATTCAATCTCACGTAGCAAGAATTCGGCCTTTCGGTTGTTTCTCTTGTTATTGGCTTGGGTGGTATAGGTACCACGGTGCAACTCGAAGTAAAGTTCACCATACCAAGTGACAAATTCCGTGGAGCCGTTGGCAACTTTTTCCTGGAGTTGATCGAAGAATTCATCGACAGAAGTGTTCATCTTCACGCGAGGAAGCAGGCCGATCTTATCAGACAAACCACGGCATCTTCGTAGTTTCTCCAAATGCTCAAAAGTAGGGCCACCGCCACCATCTCCCTTACCAAAGACCAAAAGCGAAGTCTTATCTTGGTCCATGGATTTATGCTGTGAGACACTACGCTTGACATCTCCAAAATGAGCGGAAGCAGTATAGGTCTCAGCAGGAGTCATGTGGCACAGCACCTGACTGCCATCAAGAGAGACCCAGTTGAAAGTGGTATGGGGGAAATTATTGATGTTGTTCCAACTTAATTTCTGGGTGAAAAACCGTTCCATACCCGCTAGTCTGCATAGTTGAGGCAGTTGAGAAGAGTATCCGAATGTATCAGGCAGCCAAAATGTGCGGCATCTTTCGCCAAAGCGACTCTCAAAGAGGCGCTGCCCATACAAAAATTGTCTCACAAGGGACTCGCCGCTGGGGAGATTAGTATCATGTTCCACCCAACTTCCACCGATAGGGTGAAAACGCCCCTTCTTGACATAGGATTTGACGCGATCGAAAACAGATGGGTAATACTGTTCAAGCCACTTATACTGCTGGGCTTGAGAACATGTAAAACGATGCTCGGGGTAACGGTCCATGAGGTCACACTGATTTGACCAAGATCTTGCGACTTTGCGCTTCGTTTCCGCGAATGGCCATAACCAACAGGTGTCAATATGGCAATGGCCGATGGCGTACACGATCGCCTCAGAACCTGTATCGTAGACCTTATGAGAGTCGATTTTGTCGCCTAGGTATTTGTGTGCAATTTGGCGTCCCTTTTTAATAGATTCCTGACTTCCACCGCCCGCGATGAAAGCATCAATAATGGAGTTAGCAACGGTGAGCGCTTCGTGCTGTTCCCAAGAGTCCTGCGGGAATTCTCTGGCGGCATCTTTCCAACAATTAGTAAATAGCTTTTGAGTACAGTTCATTTAAACTTACCCCCGATGATCCAGAAGTCATACCCTAGCGCCCTGGCGTCCAAGTTGACATTGACAATTTGAGCTTTCGAAAGAGTGAAATATTTATTTGGATCTGGGGGCTGTATTGAGTCGCCATTGGCATTACCGAACATTCCGTTACACGCCATTTCAATATAGAACACATGTTCTTTGCCATCACGGAAGGCCTCTGGGATAACCCATTCGGTACGCTCACCCCCAGTCAAACCTTGTAATGGATGGCCCTTTTCAGTCCAGACCAAGCCTTCATTACCTGCATCCCAGTGAAACTCAAGACCCTCCTGCTTTAACAAATCTTGAGGTACTGTGAGGTGAATCCTGAACCAATGTGTAGACCAACTTGGCCCGAAAGCTGTGCCGACACTGGTCGGCTTGAACTCGTGCGATGTGGCATCTTCGAAAGTAGGTCGCGACAGGTTTGGTGGGGAGTAGACAAACAGCTTGACGTGGTCTTGGTCTGAAACGACGGCCTTCTCATATTTCCTATTGAAAAAGGATCAATTGGGGGTTCCTCTTAAATGCAAGACATCCAGCATTCCTCCACAAACATTGACATAACGCATTATTAAGCTTAGAGAAAGAATACACACCCTTTAAGACCATCATTCTTATACTGACCGTCATCAACAAATTGACGAAGCCTCTCGGTGTAGATGTTTTTGATATGCTGGCCCACGGGACGCTCGACCAGCTTCGGATAAGAGCTGGGGGTAACCCGGGGGTGAGATTCTCCACCCATGTTTGCGGCGGCGATCAACAAAGAAAGATAAGCGGATCGGAGTACAGTCGAGGACAAGAGAGCACGCACAGATCGAGCTAGAAAAGGCCCGGATTCAAAGGCCGGTTGATAGCTCCAATTGCAATATGTGCAGCGATGGGATAAGAGGAAGGCTGGAGGTTGAGGCAGGGCGAGAAGCAGCTTGGGGGTCATGCAAGGCCCCAATTATGACGACGGGGGTGATGTTGTTTGCGGGGTAGCTTGCTCTGCATGCGGTTAGCTTATCTTATGGGCGCCGCTAATTGGACGGAGCTGTATTACCAACAATAAGATGGCGCCTGGCCAATGGCAATGCATAGTTTTGGTAATGTGGGGCATTGCTCCAGCCATTCCTTAAACAGCAGGCCCGAACAACGGTTCATACCGGCTGTATTCTATTATATGCTCCATAGAGAGATCGAAAGACATATCTATTTCTGCAAATACCCCTTATCGGAAAGAACGGGATCTAACTGATAAGCAGCAGCATAACAAGGGCAGGGTACATAGAGTGAAGCCAGCGATGAACTAAAACTTGGTCCTTGCATGACTAGTGACTAGCCTCATGGTTATCACATACAAGTCACAAAAAAGATAAGCGAAAGTAGACAGAAACGAAGCAGTATGGGAATTAGGGGTTTAAAGCCAACATTTCTTCGTTGTAATTAAGAACTGAGGTTATGGCATTCATGCATACTAAGTGTTACAGCCATTCATTAGGAGCACCATACGGATAGTTTTCAATTGGGCCAATCAAGCGGATATGTTTCTTCAGTTGTGCCCGGCGGCGAGCTGCTCGCGCTTCGGTAAGTTTATTCTTTACGCCTTCGATGGCCAGAAAAACATGACTCGTCTTCTGCTGGAGGGCCTTCGCATATTCAGGTAAAGAGACCAGTGATGATTGGGAGTGATTTGAGTCAGATAATAGTAGCTTTTTGTCCCCGCATCGTGGCGTTTCTATTGAAGATGAGCTGTCGTAGCACCCTATAGCTGGGGTTTCTCGACTGTGCAGCTTTGTGGAGCTCGGTGAATGGAATTTTGTGAGCGGAGACCGCCACCTAGGACTGGTGATATGTTCTTTATCGCCTTTCCATGCCAATTCGTTCTCATCCAAATGCAGTGATTCCTCGCTAGAGTCGACACGGGTCCCCCAGAATGATATTTCTCGCATATGCCGCCGCATACTATGTTGCGTCTCAGGGTTACCGTTATTTCGGTCTCGACTAACAGACAATATCCCAGAATCAGCCGAAGAAGAAGAGCCGTTCAAAGGCCGTGCAGTTGCTGGCGTGCTAGTCTGACTCGTTTTCTTTCTAAGCCGTAACTGCGAGGTCTTCTTCGCGAGTGTCTGCTGCATGTAATCGGCGATTGGTCTCAGATTCAAGCTTAAATTCTCCGAACTCGAAAAATTAGGTTTGTGATGCGATCTTGCTTGGCTTCTCTTCCGTTTAAGCCCCCGACGCTTTCGGGACTTGGTGACTGTTTGTGGATTCTGGGCTGAAGACTGCGGGGCAAGCTCTGGAAATATCTCCCATTTCTTTTCTCGAAAGTAATGGTTGCTTGTAGCTGGTCTAGCTAAGTACATGCCAATTCCATATTGCTCTTCCGATAGGAAGGTCCTCAGGGTCAGTGAGCACCGATTGGCCTGGCCATTGATACGAGCCATGGAGTTTCGTGAGCAGGAATTTCGCCGCCTATAGAAACGTCCTTCTTGGTGAGACTCCGATGTAGCTTTTTTGTGACTAGCAGGAGAGTCACTAGTAGCAGGTCGGTTCATATAGCTGTCGATGAGGCTCTCCCTACTATAAAGACTTGACGTTCGGTCTGGAAGTTTTGGTAACGGTTTCGATAGCCAGGGATTTGTAAATTTTATTGGTGGGATTCCAATCTCCAGGCCTTCTAGGGACTTGCTAACGGGTGTTGGTGGGAGCATTTTTCGGTCAGCTCTTGTTAACGGGTCAACAGCCATGATTGGTATCGTATACTGGAATCAACAAACGATGCAGTGTTGTGTGAGTAGGTGTGTAGACAGAGTTCATCTGTTAATAATAAACAGTAACATTTAAAACGAAAAAAAAGGGGCTGGTTAATTGATTGATTCAAAAAACATTGATCCAGTTATATTTGGTGCCCGTCTCACTTTTTATATTCGGAATAGACTGGTTTAGTTACCGTCTCTTTTTGTTCTTGAAACAGACACGGGCCAATCATCAATGCGTGGACAGGTCAGACAATTATAACGAAACGCCTGACCACCCAAATAGTAGTAATAAATTTCCGCGATTGGATGGAGTGACAATTCAGAACCTGCTATTAGATACTGGAAGCAATAGCGTCATGCACTATGCTGGGAATATCCGATAAAAAGGTGGAGGTGTCCGAGCATGGAGGCGGGAACATGCAAAGAATGACGGCTTACCTGCATGCAAGGGATGTCCAATCCATATGACACGCACATTAGACGGCAGAAACATGCCATGTACGCCTACTATTTCCTTTCCTTCCAGACGCCCACCCACGCTGGCAAGCAAGGACTAGAAGAACCCGGTTGAAACATGCTCAGGAATGTTAGCCATGTTTTTCCTCTCGCACACCCCCTTCCGTCAAGATATGCATGCACCCGACTTCTGGCAACGAAACATGAAGATATTAACTCAATCACTCGATATATGGTTATAATAAACCCGTAATAACGTGTGTTTCAATTGGCATACGCCGCATTCTGCTAGGTCTCATGCGCAAGTTCATCGTCAGGTCTTTCGACGCCGTACACCCAGAATATGCTGTCTCTACAATGGGATTCTTAGGTTGAGCTTTTAAGTGGTAGGATTTCATGAGATCGATTAACTATATGGCCGTTAATGACGCTCGAGGAACAAATTAATAATGTAATACTGAGGAGATATAGTTGACTATAAGCTCTCTGTCAAATGTTGTGTGTAATATGTAGTTCTAAAAGAATCAATTAGTCGCTATAAATCAACTAATTGATACTAATAGCTACTATCGGCTATCATGACAAAACTAATCGTTTATAAAAACACTGACAGAACACCTCCTAACATCTTAAGACATACTAGCTACCGACCAACGACGTACCACAGCGCTGAAACATCTATGTATGAAAAGTTCACGGCTAGCCGCATATGATGACCGGCAATTTCGGCATTGAAAATTAGCCCAAGACCCGGACGCAAAATGGCCGTTATTCGCAACATATTTGGGTAAGAGGTCTAGAGCATGATAGATCACCAAGGGGGCGCGGCCACAGAGAGTTTAAATGCCAATTTCTAAAAAATGAAACGGTTATACAGACAGAGGCATACCAATCGATGTATTCGTATAGAGAGACGCTTTCCAACTGTGATACCAGGGACACCCTGCCTCCCAATATACCTGCGCTTCTGGTTCCGTATTACTGAGCGCGATAATAGACATCAAGTCTTAGTAGTTAACTTTTTAACTTAGTTTCGCTGCCTTCTGCATGGTCTCGCGAGTAAGCTCGTCACCTGGTTTTTTGATAGCGTCTAACCTGCCGATTCGCCGAAGTTTCTCAATCATATCCTCATCGCCAAAATGGCTATTATGTTCAAATTCTGGTTCTTCGTTGTACGCAACTCTAGCCGCGTCTACCAAGATGCGAGCCGTCATGCCAAAAACCTTGTAGCGGGTGAGGTCGCCTGATTTCTGCCGTTCTTCCAACTTACTGATAGCCGCATTTTGAGTTCGACGACGCGTGTTTTTGGGTTTAGTAACATTCCTCTTGGAAACTGGAACGTAGAATTGATGCACTGGCGGTACATATTAGTAACAAGGCCCGAGAGAAGGACGAGAAGAGAAATGTGGCTGGCTTACTTCGCCAGTCAGACTCGTGCCATGACGTCCAGGCTCCACGGTACCAATCGTCACCTTGGCTCAGCTCACTACTGGTTCTTAGGAAATCACGAAACGGCGCGGTAAACACGGCTGACACCTCCTTCGCATCTAGCTGCGGGATCAAGGTGGTCTCTGGGTCGGCATTTTTGCTTGTTTTCTCATCATACGAATGCAACAAAGCCACACAGGGCCGGACAACAAGCTCGTTCTTGGCCAGATTTGCGGGTAGTTCGCATATATGTTCAACCCGGAATGGGGCAAATATTGGCTGTCCGATATTTGGTAGCCCGATCTCCTCGGCAGCCTCTCGTCGGGCTGTTTCAAAGGCAGTCTCCTCTAGTGAGTCTGATTTTCCTATGAGATACGTAAGTTCCTAAAGTTCTAGTACCTTTGTGGGAAAATAATACCTCCTGGGAAAGCCGCATGACCAGCAACTAGAGAATTGTTGTCATTAGCCTGAATAAGAATGAGTCAAAGAATTTTGCCATTCAGATAGCAGGAAAAAAGGTAATAGTCATTTAGAAAAAACGGTGCTCACATGAACTCAGTGTTGTTGCCCGTATAGTTAAAACCACTTTCAAATCCCCATTCTGGTCTGCATACAATAGGAGCAACACTGCCGCTCTCCGGCTTAATGGAAGAGAATCATAACTGGTTGGAGGTGGCACGTAGGCCCGTAATCGTGCGATTGCCTCCTAGAAATATAAGAAAGGGAAAAATATTCCCAGTTCCCAATTAGCAAGCTATTCATTATCGTTTATTCTGATCGCTGTAGCACACTGAAGCACTGGTAATTATCAATCAGATGAAACAGCACACATACCGCTGAAGCCGGTGATAATTGAGGCATTGTCCTAGCACTAGATAAAGTCGACGATAGTCGTGGTGATCTGGAATAACCAGATAGGCGTAATATAGAGGTAAACTTGCTGTGGCTGGCGAACAGTTTAGAGCATGGCCGGCTCATGCCGTCCGTTTCGCGTGGTTTTCTCGGCTGGTCTTGGTTCGTCCCCAAGATCTGAAATATTTACACAGATAGATACACAGCCCCTTATACCACTTACCATGCCATTTTCTCCGTCCTCTACCAAAGTGTTCCTAAACGCGTTGCGGGGTGATGAATGGATATAATCCGCCGGCAGTGAACCACAGCGGCCCGCCTTAGAGTTGCCGAGGTTGCCTTCGATCCAAGACGGCTGATCCTGACAGATCCCTCTGATATTGAAATGTCGGCATTACTACTTTTTTGACTACATTTTTAATGTGTAGTTCGCTGTACATATTGGATTTTTCTGATACGAATGAAGTAGTATGTTACATCAGAAAAGGCGGTTAAAGAGAGTATGTTTCCTCGACAAAACAACCACGTTACCGCAAATACCTCCCAAAACACTGATACATGAATTTCTTACTCTATATGATCATGCTCCATAACCCAGCCTTCCAAAATAAAACAAAAGGATAATAGTAAGCAAAGTAAATAAAAAAACCTACATCACACATGCTGGCGATCGACGTGGCCAGACATATGGTCTATATAAATTTTGTGTGGTGAGGAGAGAAACGGCCAAATGAAAGGAGATGTTTTGGAAACCACAGCTTCTGTGTTAATTTGCTGCTTACTCCTTCTTGTCAGGGTTCTTCTCAGAAACGAGTTTCTCCTCCCGCTGGGTCTGTTGTTCTGCTGATACTTCGTCGGCTGCGGCTTCATTTGCTTCCGAAATTTGCTGCGTAGTCTTATCGGATGCATCGGCCTTCTGAGTATCTTCTTTGTCGTCGATATTCTCAATGTCTTTGGGTGCTGACACTCCCTGGCCTTCATTCTCGGTGTTTTGCTCGTTTTCTTCCTCAATCAGCTCTTGCTGTTCCTTCACGACTTCTAGTCGTTGTCTGTTGGTAGCAGCGCCTTCGGCATTGTGGACTTCTAGTTCGATCTCGTGGAACAGCTCTTCAGGAATGCTGGACAATACCGAACGAAGAGCGTCAATCTGGGAGGACAACTCCGGATCGGTGTTTTGCTGGGTATATTGATAAGCGTTGCTTAGAACTAATAGCGTTGATGGAACACCCTGGGTAAGACGCAAGTCAAGCCACATAGAGAGATCATCACGGAGACGTGCTGGAGACATGCCGTGCGTGCGAAGACCCCGAGAAGCGCACGCCATCTGCAATTCTGGAACAGAAAGCGAATCCACGCCTTCATAATATATAGCTCTATCGTCGCGCTTGATTTGTCGCATTCGATGGCGAATGGTGTACCTAAGCATGGCATCCGTACCGAAAGTGTTCAAATTCATATATTTGCACATACCAACCAATTGTGGACGCGACAAGTTATCCAATGTCAAATCATCTTTGAATATTTTGCAGACTTTGATAACATCTGCATCTGAAGGCGTTTCGCCAGTCGAACGAACCTTTCTGAAAAATTCAGTGAACTCTTCCTTCTTCGCGTTGGCTGCACTCAAGGGAAGACCAGTCTCCCTCAGAGTGTCCTTCAAGAATGCCGAAACTTCCTTACGAGTGCCTCGAAGGCTTTCAGCTTTTGCGTCCCGCGATTTCTGGCCCTCGTATGTACTGGGAAGCATATTGGGGAAGAGTCGTAGAGCAATGGGGAGTAGCAACTCGGCAAAGGGGACAATGACGAAAACGGAGAAAGGTACCAAGCGACCAAGATCTTTAACAGTTCTTTGCAACTATAGCAAACCCGTTAGTATCAATTTCAATGTCCAAGTCAGACATTTGCATACCTGTCTATGCTCTCGGCGACTCAGCTCATAGCCGGCTGCCATCTTCATGGCCAGCTTCACACTAATTTTGACCTCCGTAGCAAGAAGCTTCGTGCCGTCCCAATAATGCTGAACCTCGTGCTTGATTCTCTGTCCGATGGTCATCTTTTTGGTCTCTCCCTTTTTCTCCAAAGCTCGCTTCTCAGTCTCAGTGGCAGTTTTTTGGCCGCCTGCAGCGACATTCTCAGCCAGACTAGGTGCTTTCCCTCCATCTTTACTCAAAGAAGAAGCAGCATCAGCGTTCCCATCCTTACTGGTGACTTGGTCCGATTGTTTCCGGGTCTCCGACGACTGAAGAGGCTTTTTTGCTTGTTCGGCATTGAAACCCGGGGGCGGGAAAGATGAGTTTCCTCCGGAAGATGTGGATGTCGAAGGTCCTGTAGAGTATGTGCGATAACGGGGGATGAGAATTGCCAGTGCGGTTTGGTGTGTGGGAAAGACTCGACTGCTACGTTGCAGATGTGCGATGGACCGGGCGATCGCGATACTGGAAAGTTGCGGGGCAGCTTGACATATTGATTAGTACACATAAGAGCATTGATTCCAAGAAAACTTACTCGCGCGGTACACACGACCGGCCGATACTGAGTTGGGCAGCCTGGCCGTCCTCATAATGGAAGTTCCGGAAAGCGGATAATTTCCTTAGGCGGACCGAGCTCGGTGACGAGCAAAGACAAATAACAACGGAAAAGCTTCCTACAAGTTGGGAGTAGTGGAATCGTAGCGATGGGAGAGAAAACACGACAATTGACGATGGATGAGGAAGCTTCAACCGGCCACGCAAGATGGTTTTACGTGAGTTTTCTAACTCGGACCGTTTGCAGAATATCTCCGAATCAATCGGAGTTGCTGTTTTGTGCTTACATAACTCGTAAAGGGAACAATGATTTTCCGGGTCAGCCTGTAAACAGCCTTGTTGAACCATCGTGCATCAATAAGATACGCTTAGATGTCTATTTTCGAATACGAACCAATTAATATCAGTTGATGTGTCATTCTGGTAGTACATCGGATCAAAATTCAGTGGCGTATGTATAGAACTAATAAATAAAAATCACCAATGATGGATATAGTCGCGGGAGTCCTTCGCTCATACGTGAACAACAAAAACAATCTCGACAACAAACTTCAGGGTATCATTTGAGCCTACCCATTTCCTTCACAGCCTGCAAGTCGATTCCAGGAACCAAACTTCGCAAACATACGCGTGATCGGAAATAAGTTCATACTAGCAAGCAAGCAAACAATAAACAGATCACATACATCGTCATAAAGGCTAAGGGAGAAAGGAAACATCCGGTATGGCTATGCAAACGCACAATATAATTCGATCTAGGTTGTTCGGTCCCGCAATTCAGAAGCCACATCAGGGACGTGGGGTTCGGCACCAGAAGAGTTAGACAGCGCGTCAAGAGTAGGAATGCGTTCAAGGCTCGCTTTGTCAGTTTCGTCTGCTGTTGTAGTCATCAAATCGCCAAGTGCGCGCGAACCTTGCTCACTAAGGCCAGGAGTGAGAGCTGGACTGGTTGTGAAGTCAGGAGAAGATTGCCATTTAGCAACGTCTCGTTTCAATTCTTCTAGTTCCTTCTGGAATCGGTTTCCGAAAACGTCGATGTAATAAGTTGCACCATTGTGAATGCTCCACATGAACATGACTGTTATGAAGGCAGCACTGGGCCATCGGTACCAAAACCACAATGGGCAGGGAACCATAGTCAACAGTGCGTAGAGATACTGGATCACCATAAATGCAGGCTCCTGAAGAACATCAGGAAGGCTCAAGACAAATTTGCCAATAAAGGTCTTGGCGTACGATCTACGGAGCCAGGTGAAGCTAGTTAATCGACCAGCGGCAATCTTTTCTCTACGGCGAACCGTTATGAATCGATAATAAGATAGCTGCCAGACAGCGTATGAGAGAGAGGCCCAAAACATCATCGCCAGAAGTGTGAAATGCTCGGGTGCGCCTTTTTCGCTGTACTTCACATCATAGACAGCTGGGAATCTATCTTTGAGCATCTGAACCGGAGTCATATGTGCAATACAGTGGAAGGCGACGGGAGGCATGATATGGATAAACACACTATATTTCATGTTAACTTTTACCTATCCTTGTCTGAAGGCTAGAATGCTTACCTGACTACCTTGTCATGGCTATGGAAGACCAACGAATTGCGCCACATGGCAATAGCGACGGCATTATTCCCATAAGACAGACAAAATGTTCCGATCAAAAGCCGCTTCGATTGTGGGAAGATCCAAATACTCAACATCGACAAGAGATTCACGAAATAGCACAGGTCTGCCAAGAAGTAGTGATAGTTGCGCTTATGGTATGTGTAGAGGCGAATAGGCATGAAATAGACAAGTTGAGCCGTGTACCACCAATAAAAGTATTCCGGATGAGCTCCGATAATGTAACCGCTGACGAAAATATTCATCACACCAGCAATGAACGATATCTTTTCTTGAAGAGTCACTGTCAGGGTCTTGTTCCATTGTTTATTCAGTCTGTCCACAGAATCACGCATTCGACGTCGGTATTTTTCGAGCTGCTCATCAGCCGTAGGGATTCTTTTCTTCAACTGGCCCACGACGCGATCCTTGGCGAGATCAGAAACAGATTTCAGCTTCTGGCGCTGCTTCCGCACCCGCTCCCGTTGTATGTTGATTGTCTGCTGCCATTTTTCAATCTTCTGGGAGAGAGAAAAGGAGTCGAACATATCAAACAAGGTCAGTTTGTCGAGTGGTGGGAACGTCTCCCAGTCTTCCTGGTAGGAGCTACTATTCGAGAAGGACGGGCTTCTCGATAGTTTCCCCGGCGTTGATGTGGGCGAGCTAGAGCCATCTGTAGGCTCTGCGAGTCCTTCCGAGTCGACAGCTAGCAGGTCCGGAGACACTGGTGCTGTTGTAGCTTCAGATGACGTCGGCGCAGACTTGCTCCGCGCAAGTGTATCGTCGTAACCCATGTCGTATTCTTTCTCCTGGAATTCAAGTAATGTTCGACTGCTATGTTTATGGACGAAGGAGGAGCGACTAGTGAGGCGACTAAGAGTTAGCATGGTCTCGTGATGGAGTCGCGGGAATTCTCCGCGCGTTGTTTTCTCTCAATACAGGCTGAATGAGGGCAACAGCCAGCAGCAGTCGCAGCTTCTGGAAGAGCGGAAGCAACACGACACTGCAACGAGGCAGAGGCAGAGGCAGAGGCAGAAGCAGAAGCGGGAGAGAGGAGCTGGAGATAAGAGAGCGCCGACTGACTTACTTGTACTTTTCCGGTTCGAAATGTCTTGTGAGGAACTGTGGATGCCGAGCCAACCGAGTTCGCTATCCAGGTCGCATGGTTAGGGTCGATAAGCCGCGAGCGGGGAGAGGTTGATGGCGAACGTGTCGAGAGTGGCCCAAGCCTCAAGGGATGGCGAGCTGTTTCTCGTGCGTGAAGCTGCGGCGATGGTTGGCTGGCGCGGCAGCTCCCCGTTTAGCCGCGTGATATGGTGAGGAGGCCTGAGGCAGCGATCCTCTGATCTTGCCTTCACTTTTTGACGGTGCTGCCTGTTGCTTGCGCCTGGCGCCTGTAATGGTGGGATGCTTATGATTTTGCTTTCTATTTTATTTTTCATTTCTATTTCATTTTTAAAAAAGGAAGGGGAAGGGGAAGGGAAAGAGCTTCTCGCACAAATTCAGGCGCCAAGCCCTAGCCAGCGATCGCCATTGCTATCGATTTAAGCTTGATTGCGGGAGCCTGAGGCATCAATGCTCTTTTTGGTTTATATGCAACTAGAGTATCGTTTGTGCCCCCTTTTGAAGCCCTGCCAGTTTTGACAGCGGGTATTGAAGCATATCCATAAGAAGGGCGTCTGAAGAATGATGCCTCTGCAGATAAATGCATATAGCAGTGCACTGGAGGACAGCCCGCTTATGAAGCCACCAGTGCACCTGGAACATCTTCGTGTACCAATATGCGAGTAAGAGTAAGGCCCGGGAGTCTTTCTGCACCAGCAGGCTTTTCATTTCCGGGCGCAACAGGGATATAAACGAAAGGAAGCGGAATGCAGTGTGTGGAGTGCGTTCCATTTCCCATATCTGAAGGAACGAACGCACCGCGGCATGATAAGGATTGTTTCTAGCATTTGAACAGGGGTTGAGCTCATAGAGGGCTATCAATGAGAATGGAATCCCATCAATCCCTTCCCGGTCATCTTGCTCCCATTTATTTTTCAAGACACTATGCTCTGGGTCTCGTAAGAGCTCAAAGAACAAATTGCCGCGGTCGAGGGGCAGGGCAAGGGTATATAGCGTGTGAAGGCCCTGACACAACTCTAACCAGTTAAGGGTTGAGTCAGAAGTCGGTGAGAGTGGCCACGACTCTTCGGGGTCATCTGTCGTCATGATGAAAGCGGACATGTTGCTCAGTATAGATCCCGTTGTCCATATAGCATTGCGATCCACTGGTCTTCCACTTAATACAGATAATCTCTTATTGAATAGCTCTGCAGCACAGCTATGATGGTAATACTGTGCTTTCGTAATGCTATCTGTGTTGCGACCATCTGATGCCTGCAAATATCGATCATGCATGGCAGTCATTGCTAAGATAGCATGAAGTAAATAGGGATACTGAGCACTTGTCAGCATGGCATTTCTGTCGGGCTAATTCATCGACACACCTGCAATGCCTCTTTACTCACTAGCCGCTGATAGCAGAGTGATATGCCTTGGGTTCCCAAGGTGAAAACGGTTCGTGTGTGCCACCTCGTAAGCCTATCAACGTCCCATTTATCTAATGTGCGAAAACATCTCGAGTCCAATGTCTGTGGGTACTGGGGATCTACCATCCTATTGAGTACTGTAACAACCGCATCATTGGCCAGGTTCGTTTCAGACATCGAGAAATCCAAAACATCCTCGCCTAAGAGAGTAGGTTGAGTAGCTGAAGTCGAATCATAGTTACATATCACCAGCAGACGAACACAATTTTGGCAAGCTGGCTGGGTCTCGTCGCACTAGGGCTCAGATGATGGTTAGTTCTGAAAATTATATTATATAAAGTTAACAGCCGTATGCACCTTCACTCTGCGAAGTCTGCAATTCCTACAGCCAGCACGTGACTTTCGATGCCACCTGCGTTTCCGTGCGGAATCATGCTTGGAAGAAAATTGCGTACGAGTCATTTTTGGACCTTGCTGTTTTCACATTAGTTACTGGCCGACTTCCGATCTTACCCGCAGCAGGATTGCGAGGAAAGCAAAAGATGACGAGATGAACTTACACATTGCCCGGACATAAGGATGAACACCGCGCAGCACGGTACGACTATGATTGATGGGGAGGGATCAGGTTGGATCGCTTCGATGCGCAACACTAACCCAATGTCGTTTATCGAGGCAGGTGCTCAGCTTTAAGTTTTAAGCACGCACTGGGGCTCCAGGCATAGTTTTCTATTGGTCTGCCATGGGGGGCGCTAACCTGCTTTCGTTTATTTCGAGCTCTTACGTGCGGGTGGGCCAATCAGTGCCATCCAACCGTTTACATGGCGGGCCAATAGCAATAAATAGCAATGAATTCCCTACGATTCTTATCGATTCATGCCATCTTCGGTGTTAAAGATGGCGAAAATAATAACGCTAACAGACAACAGAACATATGTCGGTATGTTCAGATAGGATATAAAAAGCCTTTGCCTGTCCCCCCTGATGGCTGACATCCTCAATCACAAATTACTCAAAATCGTGTATAGCTATCTCTATTTGCCTATCTCAAACCTGAATCAACATGGCCACCTTACCATCCACCTATCGTGCCGTTGTCTGCCACGAATACGGACAACCCCTTGCACTTGATACCCGTCCAATCCCGGCAGCCGAACCAGGAACTGCCATCGTAAAGGTCCTTTCGACTCTTGTCGACCCGTCAGAAAAGCATCGACTGCTCTTGAGCAAACGCAACCCGTACTTCAGTCAACAGCCACCCTTCATTCCCGGTAGCGGTGCTGTAGGAAGAGTCGCAGCATTGGGAAAGGATGCAACAAGTCTTCAAGTTGGCCAGCTGGTGCTTTTAGATTGCTTTGTTCGCGGTCGAGATGATCCCAATGCGCAGATTCTGCGCGGTGTATTTGAAGGACCAACACCCGCTGCTAAGAAGCTGAGCCATCAACCGGGTCTGTGGGGGACGGCTATTGGACTGAATACGCTTATGCGCCGCTAGAAAACTGCTATCCGTTGGATGAAAAAGTATTGTTGAGCAAGGTAGAACAGGGTGGCCTAGAATACGGAATCAGTGACCTTCCCTATTTATCCAAGCATAGTGTGGCCTATGGTGGACTACGATCCATTGATCTTAAAGCCGGACAGACAATCATTATCACGCCTGCCACAGGCAACCACGGTGGTGCAGCCGTTCAGGTCGCGTCGGCTATGGGTGCTCGTGTTATTGCTGTTGGTCGCAATGCCAAAGCATTGCAAGACCTGAAAGAAAAGATCCCTCGGGTCTACCCAGTTCAGTTAACGGGCGATTTCGCAGAAGACACTAAAACATTGTCTCAATTTGGCACCATTGATGCTTTCATGGACTTTACGCCCAGCTCAATGGCAAGCCCACTCCACCTAAAGGCCTGCCTCGCAGTAACAAAGACTTATGGTCAGGGAGTGCTGATGGGATTTCCCCAAGGTGAAATTTCTCTGTCGTACGGGATGATGCTTGCCAAGAACATCAATATCAGAGCACGGTATATGTATGACGCAGAAGACGTGAGGGGTCTTATCAAACTGGCCGAGCGAGGACTGTTGAAACTCGGGCACAGCAGCGGCGCTCAGGTTGTCAGCTATACCCTCGACCAGTACGGTGATGCAATTTCGCGAGCAGCCGAGCAGCAAACATGGGGTCTGCAGGTGATCATGCATCCGTTCACCGAGTAGGGATATTCAGTGTCCTTGGCTAGAGGCGTGAATACGATCGTACAAAATGAAAACATACCCTCAAGAGAGGTCTTTTTAGAATCTAGTTGTTAATCGAGAGAAGGTATCCGAATTAATTAGACGCTGTGTTAATTCCACATTCACCTAAAGAAGAGACAAATAAATACATTTAATATTACTATGTGGCATCCAATTCTCACTGGATATTAAAAAATAGCTATTAAAAACCCGAAACAACATATAAGAACTGACAAGTTCTATAAGCAACAAAACAGCAATCAACATCAGATCCCCAACGGGATATCATCATCATCTCAAATGGCGCTTCCTAGTAGGGAAGATGGAAGGGAGGTGCCGAGGCGTGAAGAGGTGAGCCCCAAAGCACATTAGTCGTGGCTGGGCCGGAGCCTGGTGCGAGTATTGGCTGCGTGAGGTAGTTGGACACGCAGGATCTTTGTGGCCGGCGGGTAATCCCCATGGTAGGGTTGGAGGGCTCCTGCGACATCATGCTCGATGTGGCCCTGCTGGTGTACTCGCGGGGGCTGTAGGCCAAGGAGCTGTCAAAGGAGCTGGCGGGCGTCGATGAGTTGCAGGGAGAGTTGGGGAGCGTCAGGCTGAGCGACTGCGATGGGTGAGAGCCGTAGGAAGCCTGACTGTCAGGCGTTCTGGTATCGCTCCTGCTGCCACGGCCCGTTGTCTCCTGCCCGTTGCCACCGCTCGACGTGAACGACCCCGTCCCCCACGATGCCTCCTCAACTTGACCCTGTGAGTCTGCTGTCCCTGCCGCCTCCGTCTCGTCCAATTCAGATCCAGTCAAGTGCACTTGGGCAATGGGAATCAGAACATCGCCGGCTGCAGAGACACCCAATTGTCAGCTTTCTGAAATGCAAGATGGTCCCGGGACACGGTGATAACTTACATATTTCGCCCCGCAGATACCTTTCCTCCATGTGTCGGACACTGTATACCTCGTCCAGGATGTGTAGACGCTCCGGGGGGCTGATCGACCGACGCACGTCTTGCCCAGCGTCACGCAGTTTGTCTGCCGTTATGTCGTGGCTGTCGCCGAGTTTTCGAAGGATGTGAACCAGAAGTGTGATCCTTTCTATGCACATGAAATTAGCAGCCGATTGAAACAGAGCAACGGCGAAGGATAAGGACTTTCATACCTCCTTTCAGAAGATGATCGGGCTCCTTGTGCTTGACCCCCTCTGGCCACCATGGTGGCTTAGTCAATTCGGGGTCTGCTCGCCTTTCGGATCCGTTACCAGACGGGCTTCTTCTGCCATTGTACGGATAGTTCACTTGTTTTCGGGGCTCAACCAGCTTTATAAAGGCTTTGGCGATGACCCTACAGTTGAGCTGCTGAAACGCCTCAAATGCCTTTTCATAATACTTCTTCAAGCGCCGTACATCATCAACCCGAATAACACAACCTGACGGCGGCAACGCCAAGCCATCACAACCCATGTCAGTGACAGCCGATGAATAGGACAGCCCGGTATCTCGCCTCCTGCCAGGCCTCCTTTGACGTCGGTTCTGGCCGAGCTGCCAATTGCACTGTATTAATGGTGTTGAGTCCCCACTCATAGGGTTCCAGGCCATCCTGCGTTGTGTCCGCTCCGCAGCATTAGGATACACGGGAATACGTTGATTTCGCTCAGGATTCAGAGGCACGTTTGAAGCTTAATATTTTGTGAGCAACATCCCAATACGTAGCAATTGAGGATACTGACCTGGTAGAATTGGTATTGAGGAAGACCTTAGCGAGACTAACTGAGCAAACCTCTCTGTAAGGTCGGGTGTAAATAACATCCTTCCTGATTCTGAAATTGACGGAGAGCTTTCAAAAGCAATTTGTCCATCATGATTGCTATATATCATCGCAAAATGCGGGTATTGGGCCCTAGCAGACGGTGATATCGTGGAGAGACGCTGATAGGAATACCTCTTAGCTGGTGGCTCACACTCAATAAGACAGGCGGTACAAACCACGGATTCATGGGGTGATACCACGGTGCTATTATATTGTAACATAGTGTGGTCTTGGTCTTGGTCCAAGGAGAGAGACTCTTCGGCTTCGACCATATTAATCGCCGGTTAATATTACCACCAATGAGTAATGCTAGTAAGTTCCGGGTTAGCTGTGTAGGAGTATTGTCACTTTGGTCAACGGTCCTTGGGGGAGAGACTGATTAAATGCTTTCCTTAATTCAATTAACAGAAACAGGTAGTACACAAACAGTCTATCGAGCTAGAACAATCCATGAGCGATGACTTATATTTTCTTTTGATCGACGCCCCAAGATGCAGGCGGATGAACCCTTTTCTTCTCTCGGGCTAAAGATGAAGATATGTTGCTAACACATCCTAGTGCTTGAAAGGTTAGACCGGCGTCTGAGCACATCGGGGAAGCGCCAAACGACCCCGTCCAAGCTTCACATATATGCAGAAGGAACCCTGTCATTTCAGCAAGGAGGTGTGGCCATGAGTCTCCATGCTAACTTTAAAAGCCATGACCGAGGATGGAGCATACGTAATGTGGGCTGCGGAGAAGAGTGTGTGGTCTCAGCGGCCGGTCCATCAGTTTTCGTTGCACTATCCGCATTCAGACCCAGCAAACGACAGGCTACTCCTTTTGGGCAGGTGGACAAGGACATAGACACTAGGGTATAGGAGACATGATTATGTACATGGTACTTGACAGTGAAACAGTTCGACTGGTCTGCGGGAGCTAGCCTTAGACACCGCCCGGAGCAGCGGCCCAGTGGGGCCTGTTCCGTAGTTTTCCACTGGCGGGAGCCTCCGGGGGCCACCAAAACACCCTGATGTTGACGATCAATACACTCCTGATACTCCTGTGGGACGCCGGCGCCGCCGATTAATGCTTCCACATCATGAAAAGTGCCTCGCAATCCTAGCTAACAATAGGATGGGGTGCTCCTCTTCGGTAGCGTTTGAACCCTGCGACGCGATTGAAAGACGTCTGAAACTCGGCTGAGCAATACGCCACCGGTTCCATCTCTGCGTTCACAGGTCCACGCTTAGATGCAGCTGAGCATCGCCGTTTGTACGCCGAAAAAATGGTCCAGGGAACAATGACGAGCCCAATCTGGATATCATTAGAGAAGTGCTCCCACTCTAACATTCTAGAATTTATAGAGATTCGCTATTCAAAATACGGATGCGAAAGATAGACTTCAACTCCGAAAACTCTCAAAGTCCTAGGAGATAAATGGACCCACAACCCCTTCGACGGAGCGAATGTTTACAAGCCTATGCGGTAACCAGTATATCGGCTCGCTACTCATGCAAGGTGGGCGGGGTAACTATATTGGGAAGATATTATCCTGGTTTATTTGGTTTTTTTTTCGGTTTTTTTTTCGGTTTTTTTTTTTTATTTTTTGCATATGCTGACTCGCAGCCGATCACGGCCTTACTAGCAGATTATTCAGTAGAGACATCTGTTGTCTATGCCTCGCCCTTTGTGGACTGAATGATTGGAACGAAATCCATAGTAAATGCTGGTGGAAGTCATAGTCCATCAATAACGAGCCTTTGGCTTCCCGATATCCTCTAATAGGAAAATTACCCGTCTCTATGAAGCGGTGAAGAATCGTTACTCTGCTGCATACTTACAGCAACCATGAACATAGGCTAGATGGCTTGCATCCAATGATTGCCCTTCAAGCGATCTGATCACTGCCCTGTTTATGGCTATTCTCGGCATGCTGATCAAGATGGCCAGTACACAGTGTGGCGTTTATTAAGAACGCATATCCTTGTCACTATAGTTGGGCAGCTGCTAAACCCAACGAGGTATTGTAGCATGGGAAAATGCATTTGTCACGGTACTGGTAGCTTGATGGGTTGAGCTCCAAAGTTCTTGGGCATGCTTCGGGGAACTGATAATAAAACGATTAACATTGGGCTGTCTACATGGTTGACTAAACTTTTGATCTATATCGGACATTTAGTGACACGAAGAGACAGCATTTGCTAGAAGACTACATGCGGTTGTGAGTGCTATAATACAACCTAGGATCATCATCTAGCACTGGCATATCTGGTGGAGCCTACATTGCCAGTTCCCAATTGCAGAAACCGGAATATGCCTCTTGTATGCAATATGCGTTTGCTAGGTGTGCCATTCCTTTGCTTCGGATTTCTCTGCCGCTTTTCTACGCAACCACCTATAGATGGTCAATATCAAGACCCTCAATTCAGTCATTTGATACCCTGCATGACGCGACCACCAGTGCCAGGGACGTCACTAGAGGAACGATTTAGCCGACACGTGTTCCAAAGCAATATGGACGGCTTCCAATTCGGGAATTTTGACGTCTGGGCAAGGGTTTTGATACCTGGGAGGCGTTTTGGAAGCTAATCTTTCACTCTCCAGCATAGCATCATACCCTATCCTACGTCACCTCACCCTGCTTCATCCAATTCAATTGTTTCTTTATCTTAGTAAAAACGACATCACCGTGTTTTGATGCGTTGGTGATAACTACATCAATTTCTTTTCTACCTTAGCACTCAGACCACCCCGCTTCCTTTGAGTGAAGCCACGCATACAGCTCCAGAAGTAATCTCCCTGCAGCCACTTCACACGCTAAGAAGGCAGTCGTGGCGACTCTTCAAGGGCGTAGAGACAGTGATGACGCACAGAGAGAGATTTACACACCATTGAGTAAGTCAGACCAAGCTGCGAGGGATGAAAAGATGATCATATTCTACCGAGAAGAAGAGGTCTGTTCGTCAAGCTAAGTGCGGCCCGTTCACTGGCTAATGCAGCTCTGAAGGCATTTTCCTTGTACGAAATCCGTCGCTCATTGGTGCGCCGAGACATCTTAGTGATATTCACGAAGTCTAACATCCATCGGTTACTATACTTGCTAGATTGAGGGTCCAAGGCGCCTTGGCTAACTGCTTTTTATTCTTTCTTCGTCTCCTTTTTTCACTCTAATTATAGTGCCGGCTTTAACTTCTCCCTTTATCTAGCATCTGCGCTAGGGTAACAATGTTGTGTAGTGAGAATGGAGAATGGAGAAATTTATGACTTGAATATTCCATTAGTGTTATGGAAATGCTTGACGATGATCTCGCAGCACTGATAGATTAAAGGTTAACGCCAAAGATAATGGCTGCAAAAGAACAGAAGAGTACTAGGTCCCCAATAGTTTCCGAAAGGATACGTAAACGACGCATTAGTGTATCTTTTCCTTTTCCTTTTTTGTCAAGACATCCAATCACAAGTTTAACCGATATACTTGTTTATGTTTATAGATTACTAACCTGCATGCATCCCGTTATGTGACACGTCACATTGGTCCTCTCCCCCTCTCTACCTCCTCTCCAGCCTCACCCAGACCAGCTGTCATTATTATCAACTGTAGACTACGGAGTAAACGATAACCATAATCGCTATGGTGCTAAATATATTCCTCGCCTCGGAATTGGTTACCATCGGAAACTCCTTCGGCTCGACCTTCTACTTGCCTAAAATCTTCACCCAGCACCAGTAATCAATGTAGTTTATATCGAATCTCGAAAGTGACGAAATCATTCGGTTAACATTTCTCTCTCCATTTAATCACCAGAATGTGGCTGCGCCCTGTCTGAGAACTGCATGTAGAAGATGCATAAGCTATATTTTTTGGGAGCGATTTTTAGATCCTTCCGCAGCAACAGGGAAGTGAAAAGAGAACTGGAGGTATCAGGATTATTACCACAGCAGAATATGTAGGCTTGCATTGCACTACATCAATTGATGTAGAATTCAGTACAAAAGTTGGCATTGGTCAAGATCGGCACACGATTCCGTGCAAATTATAGCATTATCAAATGCTTTCAAACATGCCTAACCGACATCTAGAGAGCTCTCGCTTAGAATGTATTATTATGTCAAATCACATAATAATACAAAAAAGGCTGGAAAAGCGCCTGCAGGACCATGCCTAATAGGGTTGTTACATTTCCAACACTATAATCTAGCTTTACTCCCCAGTGGAACTAATGTTTCCTCGTATTCTAGAATAATTGAAAAAAATTCGATATCAGAATCTGATCTCTCTCAAAACTAGGAAGAACGGCTGGGCCTAACGGTTTATCTTGCGGCGGATGCAAGACTACTTGCAGATTCAGTCCCTGACTAACCCTTTCTTGCAATATATTGACGATATGCGGTTATTTACGTGTAGAAATGAGGTGAATATCGACACCATTGATGCTCTGATTAGATAGATCTTTGATATAATCTTGGCCTGCATTGCATATATTGATCTCAGTATAGGACTATGGAAGAGGCGAAAAAAAAAAAAAAAGAAAATTGGCCTCTAGAAGAACAAATCCCACTATGAATGTACATCTGTATGAATTAGAGGGTTAAGGTTTCAATGTTCATGGTTTTTTTATCTGCATTTCTCGCCTAAAAACTAGGTGCCTACATATCAATTGTAGCGGGTGTCGTGTTACACAGTCGGCTTTTACTCCCTTGCAGAATCCTTCTGATGCTGTCAATGATGCCTCCTAGGCGACCTGAGTTTTTACACTAAACACGGGGAAGGATTAGTGTCGTTCCGTCGGGTGATAGTTGGCGGGCTTTAATTTGATAACTATGTCTGAAATGAGTTAAGCATAATAAAGGAATAATATGGGAGAAAAAGGACGTGTGCTTGATATAGACTCTAGTTTGTGGATGGTGGTAGGTCTCTATATCAATACGCCCGGTTTTGGGCCAGCCACGCAATCTACTACAACTGACACGAAAATCGGACGAGACTATCGGACGAAGGGGAATGGAAACAGTGTATCATTATAGTAAGCATTATAGCAAGGGGGAAACAAACAAGCAAAGCCCTAGAGAATAAGCACCAGCTATAACGACTTCGCAAGCAGAAATACATTATTGAAGTTAACGAAAAGGGAACCCCGCTGCAGGCTTGCCTAACATTTGAAGAGAAGCGCTAGATGACATCCCGATCCCTAATAGAAACACGAAAGTTGTTGAATAAATGTATAGTATGGCATGTTTATTGGTATTTGCGCAGCTGTAGTTGAGGTTAGTGCAAAATCAAAACACTCCACAGAACAAGGGATGCTTACATCTAGGGTCAGAGAATTACTGCTATTCTCTGTTTGGTCGCGGTAAATACCGACAAGTGCCTCACTTAACTGGAATAAACCAGTCTTCAAACTGATAACGATGAACTGCATGCCAGGCGCGGCATGGTCTCGAATATAGTTTGCAATACGGGCAACATTGGTATTATCCAAGGCAGCATCGACCTCATCGAGTACGAAAAAGGGAGATGGCTGATAAGAGTGGACCGCAAAGAGTAAGGCCAGGGCGGCCATTGTCTTCTCTCCACCAGACAAGTGTTCCATATCACGGAAACGCTTGAGCGGAGGCATTGCGTGATATTTGATGCCGTCCAGATATGGTTCATCGGAATCTTCAATGTCAAGATATCTTTGCAGAAGTTAGGGGACATATACTCAAGTTAAGCAGCTCTAGAAATGACTCACGCTTGACCACCAAGAGGGTAATTGGCGCTTCTGGTGAGTTCCCGGTAAATAGGGCCAATTTGCTCGGAGATGTGTGAGAATGCCTTGTTGAACAATTCCGACCGCTTCCTCATGACCGTCTCGAAATCGTCCTTGGCCTTCTTAGCCCGTTTTCGTGCATCCTCAAAGTCTTTCTCCGTACTGCGAAGCTTGTTCTCGACGCTTTCAAGTCGCTCCAAGGCTCGAGTGTTAGGTGCCATTTTGTCGAGTTCACTATTGAGGGAGCGAATACGTTCTTGCAGTTCCTCTTCAAGTTTCTCCTCGGAGGACTGCGTAAAGGTTAGTATTCAATCGTGTTGTAGAAAAAATTACGCCTACCTCTTTCAAGGTCTCTCCTAGAGAATCAAAATCAACTTCAATGCCGTAATCTTGCACTGCAGGCGTCTCCAATCCAGTCACATTAGTATCCTCATCAATGTCCATAGCATCGGGGTCGGCATTTTGCACGAGGTCATCAATGGGCAAATTGTCCAAAGCCGCCGAGTCATCTGATAGCGGAACATCGATGCCCTCAAGTTTGCACCGACGGAGAAGACCGTATCGATTAGAGGAGTTGCGCTGAATCTCTCCTTCCAAAGTGCTGACCGTCCGGAGAGTGTCCTCTACGTTCTTGTTTCGTTTCTGGAGCTCTCGTCTTTGGACGGCCAGTTTTTCTTGAGATTCGGCATATAGATCTGTTTGTTCATCAAGGCGCTCTCTTAGAATCTCTAGCTCGGCTCCAAGCTCATCTAGGCGATTGCGAATACTGTCTTGTTCAGCCTTCAGTCCTTGAATAAGGGCTTCATCACGCTTGAACTGAGCCTTCAACGTTTCGATACGATCATCTGTTGCCTGCAGACGTTGTTTCTCGAAGCTTAATTGATTCTCAATTCTGCTCTTTTGCGTGGTAAACTCCACCTTCTTGCGAGCAGCCTCAGCTTGCAATGATCCTTGTTGAGCCTCGTAATCCCGGATACTTTCATATCTATGACGGCTACAGAAATCGCCGTAGATTTCATCTTCGACACTACCCACTGACTCTTCTGACTTCTTGATAGCGCTGTCTAGATGGGTAAGCGCCTTTTGTTTCTCGCGAAGCTTGGGCTGGACCTCTGCTAATTGCTTTTTGGCGAACTGAAGCTCGCTGCCTTTGCTTTCCAAATTACGGTCTAGAGCTTTCAATTCTTCTCTAGCATAAGTGAGGCGTTGTTCAAGACCAACAAGTTCACCTTGCAAAGTCTCTTCGTCCGTTCCTCGGCGATGTCCCTTGGGTAAGGCAGCAAGGTCACCTAGTAACTTGTCTTTTAGTTTATGAAGACTCTCGAGTTCAGAATCATCCCATCGCTTTGAGCTTTGGTGTCCTGGTCCACGACCACCAGTCATGAGACCGCCCTTGTGTATCACTGTACCATCGAGGGTAACTGCCTTGGCGTCGACTCCTTTTTCATAGCACAAATACTTGGCGGTATCAAGATCATCGCAGACGATAGCATTGCCACAAGCGTAGCTAATAGCTCGTGAAACAGAATTTTCATAATCGACTGTTTCAATAGCAAGACGCATTCCCCGATGCATGCCTTTCAGGTTCGAGTTAAAAGCTTTCACCTGAATAGTTTCCAGTGGGATGAAAGTTGCTTGGCCAGCTCGTTGATCGCGGAGATGTTGGATACATTCTTTGGCGGTCTTTTCGTTGTCGACAACAACCGCATCGAAATGACGACCAAGAACGGTGCTGACAGCTTCGGCGTACTTCTTTTGCTTTGGTTTACATAGATCACTGACGCGGCCCTTGACACCAGGAAAGATGCGTTTTAGCGTAGAAATCATTTCCTTCATTCTGATTTCCTTTTCGCTTTGCTTCCTGCCGTCATCGGCTTCAAGAAGCTTCTTCAAAACCACTTGAAGCTTTTCTTCCAGCTCCGTACGCATTTGGGAAGCACGAAGTCGTTCAGATGCTACCGCATTCAGCTCCTTCTTCTTGCGGTCAATATCTTGAGATGTAGTCTTGACAGTGTCATTGATATCAGACTTGCGTTCCTTAAGGGTCTTGGTTTCTGCTTCTAAGCTTTGAAGCAGCCACTGAGCATTCTCAAATTTGCTGTTCAAACTGTTGACCGTTTCCGCGTCGGTTTTTCTTTGTCGTCGAAGGTTGTCCAGCTTCAGCTGTTCAGCTGAAGTGCGTTTGTTGACCTCTTCTTTGAGTTTATTATATTCCTGGAGGTCTGCTTCGCTGAGTTGGCCACCTGCTCTACTCATTGTTTTCTCCCATTCCGCTTCCCATTGAGCTTGCGCTTTTTCCACAACTTTCAAGTCTTTTTCGAGACGCTTCGCATTTGCGGCTTGAGAATCGCGCTCTTTAGTGATATCCGAAATCCTCGAAGTGTACCGCTGTACTTTGCCGGTGGTAATCTCGATCTTTTCCTCAATAGGAACCAGCGAGTTTGTGGCATCCTCAATATCCTTCTCCTTCTTGGTAATATTTCGCTCCGCATTGGACACATCTCTACCGACTTTGGCATGCTCCTTTTTAGCCTCCTCAAGGTTCCTTTCGTATTTCTCAACACCTCGGCGGTACTCTTTGAGTTCATCTTGGTGTTTCTGGATTTCCGCGCTAGACTCGTCGATTAGACGTTGGAAGTGGAAAAGCTTCCAAAGGATGTGAGTGATTATAGCTTGATCACGTTCCTCAGCCTTCCGAGCATAGTTTTCTGCCTCTCTCTTTTGTTCCTGGTATTGTTTAATTTCGGAGTTGATTGCTCGGCGACGATTTAGTTGATGAGTTTGCTGCTCTCCAGCCTCTTCCTGTTCCGCTTTGAGACGTTCATACTCGGCCTTGTATTCTAAACTGCCCGAGATTTGTTCAATCAACCGCGTGAGGTCTTTGGGCGACTGAGAAGCAATTGCTTCGACATCTCCCTGGAAGACAAGAAAATTACGTGCTTTGATCAGAATGTTTTCTGTCTCCAACGCTTCGTTGTACTGCTGAGCGGTGACCGACTTGTTATTGATGCGGTATTCACTGACACCAGAGCTTGTGATCGACCGTTTCCAATGTTGCTCTTCACCGGCATCGTCTTCGTATACAGCCATGACCCATGCTGAGCGCGGGTCACCGCGATCGCCTTGAGAATTTTCTACGTCCTGTCCATCCTCCTCGTCGTCATCGCCATTTTCTTGGACTTCATTCGTAGCAGACCCGTCGCCATTGATTTTGGATGTTCTGAGGACACGACCACGATACACGAGATCTTTTAGGTTGGTTGAGCGAAGATGCGACGACTTGATACCAAGCACGAAAGAAATGGCGTCCATTCTGCAAGAGTTAGAAAATAGTGGCGCTGATCTGAGTGGAATGGTGAGCTCACGAATTCGATTTCCCCGATCCATTGGGTCCAATGATGGACGTAAAGTAGGCATCACCGAAAAGCAAGACATGGTGGCCCTTGTAGGACTTGAAATCTAATCGTTTTGTTAGTGCAACTCGGACCGCAATTGTACGAGAAGGAAACATACTGAAAAGCTCCAGTCGGACGAGCTTTCCCATCTTGGCAACACTATCGCAATTGCTGCCAGCTTTTGACAGCGATATCTAAGCAGAAGTGCTGTTGATGGAGAGGGGTAATTGTGGTCTCCTGTCGCGCTGGCGGACGCGCTTGCCAGACCGCGCGCCGCCGTGCCTGTCACGTGAAAAGGACGCCGCAGTAGTAAGGCATCTCTACTTTACCTTAAATATTTTTGCTGTTAGTCTGTCATTTATATTAGAATCCGCTTGATTTATGTAGTTGCCTTGGTTTGATTTAGTAGATTCACTTTGCTCCTGTTTGCTGCTCAATTGAATCAACCTAAGCTAACATGAAGTCCTCCTACCCTCGACTATTTGGTCAGATTGTGTACATCAAAACAGCTCAATATGAGATCATGAACATGGTGGTATCAGAATAATAATACAGGTAGTTTCGACTATATTTACATGAAAAGAAAGTGATTTGGTTTAAGATCCCATTTCTGCCTCTACTTTTGCGTCTCCATTGGAGTATTTCCGAGCGCCCACAGAAGTTTAGAGATGGATCCGTTGGAATCTATTCGGTATGTTCCCCTTTTCCCCTGCATTTCAACCAGGGCAAAGTCTTCCTGGGTGAAGACTCGACGGATAGACAAAAATATTTTGAAAAAAAGGTAGCTCACAGCTTTCAACGGGCTTTTGAAAAATGAGACTTGCATTGTGATGGGTTGTAGTTGGCCATCTGAAGTGACGCGACGAGGATCTACTGGGAGCTGCCGCGCGAAGTTGATTTGACGAGGTGTGCTTGTAATGGTGTATGGCTTTCGGAACGGCACCATTGAGCGTACTTTGATCTCAATATTAACTTGGCCTTTTGAACCGACTGCGGTGATCGTCTTAATCAGTCTTGACGTTCTTCCGATGACGACAGCAGCCATCATGCTAACCGCAATGCATACACCGTTGAATAGAGGTTTCTGCCATGCAGGGTTGTCATTTCCAAAATTCAAAGTCGAAACATTAACGACCCAGGCAAAAGCCACCGCCGAAATGCCATATGCGCTCCATATGTAACTCCTTTGCGATGGGGCTTCAAAAAGCACAACCTTGCCATTTTTAATAACTTCGGCTGTGAGTTGTTCAAGACTTTTAGACCATCTGCCCATGAATTTAAGCTCTGTTGGGATTGAAGAATTTCGTGACGGTTTTGGAGGAGGTACTTTCGCTTTCGGTTGGATGGGACGTCGAGGCTTGGCTGGGAATAGGTGAGGAGCTCGATAGGAAAATGTGCGAGACGAAGAATTAATGGTGGAAGTAGAACACTTCGGCACGCTGAGCCGGACAGCGAAGTTCCTTAGGATCATGATGGAATAGCTACACAAGCTTGCATTAGCAAGGACTGTCAAATCAACACAACGCTCGGTATTGGTCGCTGGGCAATGATTGGGGACTTTTGGGGGGATATACCCACTAGCACAATTTATCGACAGGAAAAAAAAACAAAATAAAGCTACATGCGTTTAATTGGCTCTATGGTTCTGCTGCGGTGCGTACTAGAGCTCGATCGAAGAAGGGTTGAATTGCGATGGTTAAATTATTCCCAGTCCGGCCGAGCTATCCCAAATCTTAGCGTCAACCCGCTAACGCTCACCGAAACGATCCGATAAGACCTCGCGGAACATCCTCAACCTCGCCCTCAACAAAAATCCCCGAACGTCCTCTCTTCATGTTTTTGTCCAGCATCTAGACGACCGGCTGCGAAGGCTTCGAATTCCACTATTAATTTATTGGAATTCCAGTCTACATCGGGCTAGTTGAGACCTTTGACTCGAAATTATAGCTTGATTCCGATAGATCAACATAATGGCTTCAATCCTTTCCTTCAGACAAGTCCCTCTCGGGATTGCGCGACGACAAGTCAAGGTCAATTATATTGCGAAGCGTATGCTAAACTTCCCATTTATGAGACATAATAATCTGCAAGCTGTTTTTCCTTCCAAGCGCATGCTAACGATCTAATCGCAGGTTTTCAAGCCAACACCGCGTCTCAAACCCAGAGCTCCGCCTACCCACTGTACCCCTCAGTCGCTCAGCTCCTCCATCAAAAGGGTGTTCCCGATTCCGAAGTTTCAAAAATCCCTGCCACAGGACCCAAGGGTCGTCTTCTCAAGGGCGATGTTCTCGCATACCTAGGTACCATCAAGGCCGACTACCCGGCCGAACAAGCGGCGCGACTTGCAAAAATGGCGCATTTAGATCTTAGTAACATCAAAATTGCTGCTCCTCCTGCACCTCCCAAGCCAGCTGTTGAGGAATCTCTCCCCGAGTTGCCCTCTGATATCTCCGTCGCCGCATCGATCTCTCTCAAATCCGTTCTGTCCACTCAAAAGCGCATCCAGGAGACTATTGGCGTGACCATTCCACTCTCTACTTTTATCGCGCGTGCGACTGATCTCGCAAATGATGATTTACCTCGATCCTCACTTTCTCAGCCCTCGGCAAGCGAGCTCTTTGACGAAGTTCTTGGAACGGCACCCATCAAATTTACGCGTGGAAGCTACATCCCGGAGATCAATGCTGTTCCCATGGAGGAATTCGAGACGTACGAGGATGATGTGTTTGTTGAAGAAGAAGATATCATCGATATTCTGGCTGGAAACACCACCTCCGCGCCCAAGCGCACCGCCGCGCTGCCCGAGAAGGGTCCTCTGCCCGCTGCGCTGAACGTATTCAGTGTCACCGTCCCTGCTGGAGAGGAGCAAAGGGCAAGGACATTCCTTGATCGCCTGAATACGATTCTGACTGCTGATCCCGGCAGGCTGGTTCTGTGAACCTGCAAATGAAGATAATAATGTATGATAGATTGGCATCAAGGCAAAACAAAACCATGTGCTCATTATTTCTTTTGTAATATATAGCTGGCGGTCTAAATTAATGGAGTTTTCGTATTTAATTTTGGTATTAACACAATATAGAATGTACATATGTATAGATATCTCTCAAAACTCTTCGATCTAGACTGTTGTCATTGGGTGACTGTCCAGGTGGATTACTCAAAGAATACAATGACCGCCTCGGTATCAGGAACTGATACCTTCACCGTGCCATTCACGGCGACTGATTCTTGCTCCATAGAACCGGTAGGGAAATGGCCCATACCCTGATCAACGGCGTAAGTCCACTGTTCACCAGCCCACGTCACATTCTCCTGAGCACCGCCCAAGTCGTAGCCCAGCGCGGACCACCCTTGGTCAGCATGCAGTCTCCTGATGACAGCAGACTTCACCCCGTTTCCAACGCTCAGAGTTACTGTTTTGTTACCCCGTGTAGTCTTGGAGCTGGCATCCCACTGCTGAAGATTTACCAGGGCAACTCTCTCTATCTTCTCGGAATGAAGACCGTACATGGCGTACGCAGTGAAGAGACCTTGGCCATTAACACCTAATTCGACTACTTTACCAAGAGAAGCATCCTTTCCGACAAAGTCGGCGACAAAAGGTGCAGCAGGGAAGATGCCCTGGACCACAGGCCGTCCAGTCTTGGGCCCAGAGTTATCAGGGATCCAGAATGCATGTGAGGCCTCTGGGCGCTGGGTATTGGACACTCTCTTGATCCCGCGTGCCATTGCGGCGAGGTGGAAATCAGCAGCCCAAATGGCAGCGCCAAAACCGCCTGAAAAGTTCGTTGGGCCGCCTCCAATCACCGATCCAACCTCAGATAAGACGAAAGAGAGATTTGCATGGTGCTGGTGGACAGCTTGCATTGATTTCTCGTACGAGGCTAAGTGTTCAAGGATAGCGGTATGGTTCATGACGTGTTCTATTGAGGATGCCTTTCGTTAGAATCTCCGCGTGGGCTTGTTTGAGAACTAGTCACTTACGTTGCAGGTTTGCCTCATTGTAGACGGCTAGGTTCTTGTTCAGTTGATAATAATGCTCAGCTGCGAATTTGCCTTGGCTATTTTGATCGATATGGTCGTCAAAGACTTGTGTTCTGGGCCAGGCAAAATTAGCAAATTACGAACAGAAACCAGATGAAGATACAGAATACCGGAAGAAAGGAGATGCAGTTCTACTTACATATCATACTTGTTACCTGAAACAGCAGCGTCATTGGCAATATCGCCTAGCTCAAAGATCCGTGCTTCCTCACCTTGGAGATTAAATTCTTTGGTGATATTACTTTCAACCTCTAATGCGTGACGGACATACTCCTCGGCATTCCATGAATAGTAATTTGGTTCGTTTCCTAAGGCGATCGCGGCGACCCTGTCATGACCAAGATTCTGCCATGCATTGCGCACGTAGGCCATAGTGTTGTTCATCTCCATACCGTCTCCCATTGGAGCCTGGATGGTCATGGATGCATTCGGAAACTTCTTGAATACTTCGAAATAAGCCTTCCCCAAGGTAAAAGTATCCTGGCTACTCAGGGGGCAGGAAGGCCCCTTGACGCATATCGCGGGTTCCTTTTGCTCGAGGTCTACTTTGACCAAGTCACCACTAGTGCCTCCAATACGGATAATAAGAGGCTTGCTCATGCGAGACCCGATCGCATTGACCATGTTCTCGGAGAATGCATTGTCGAAATGAGGGAGAAAGGCGGTCTCGTAGCCAAAGCCAAAGAAGTCGGCCGGGACCTCGATTGCATTGGTCGGGGCTGCTGGTGGGATGGAAACTGTATAGCTAGCCCCTGAAGCTGAGACTTTCTGGAATTGAAACAGGGCAGAGAATAGAAGCGAAAGAGGCAATGAGGAGAGCATCTTGAATTGTATCAATCGGATTTGGGCACGGTCTTTGGGTACATGGCATCAACGCTGTTGATGTTCCTCCAGCTTTATACTTCACAATGCTGACTCCATATTCCCCCCAACAGCATCGGAACTATAAGCCGCGAGACGAATGACAAAGGATTTTGATCAGGCCTTCGACGCGTCATCCCATTAACGACTTAACATTGATCGGCAGCCCTGCGGCACTGTGAGCCCGAGCACGGATAGGCTAAGCTTTCAGCCCCATGCATCATAAGAATTAGAAGGCGAGCGTATACATAACCAACAGGGTCCGCAACCTCATTCGCCAGAAACAGAGGCACGGGGCAATCAAGCTCATTTTCGGGTGGACTGGCCACTGACAGTCTGTCGGCGACAGTGTTGATGTGACGCTCCACTGCCTAGGTGAGCACAAGTCCACAGCCTCTCCAGATCCACGTCTTCCAAAAAAGGCGTCGCACGGAACGCTCATTCTTCAGGCTGTCAGCTGTTGCAGACAATTATTATGTGGAAATACTTAGCTAAGATCTCTATTAATAACTATCCAATATTGAAAGACGCGTAATCTCAAAACACTTCACATGTTGACTAAGTAGTAATTACATGTAAAGGCATAGAATCCTCACCAAGTGGCAAGAGCCTCAGTTCCTTTCTAAAAATAGCGGGCAACACTTAACCTGATTGGCCTCGTGTTCAACTCCATAGTTATTAGATGTATCTATCGAGTCATCAATTGATATATTCAAAAGTAGCTTTTTCAAATTCTAGTACTTTGAATCCATTTGTTTGGCTTAAATATCAGACTAGTCACAGATTAGCAATTATGATTTTATGTATTACCCAATTATTGCAGAGAGAATCGACATCTGGGGTATACCGACGTCTATTATTCCAGTCAGAGCATCCAATATCAACCAGATCGTTGAAAGATATGACGAGAATACTTGATATAGAGTTATATTAAAAGTTGATAGATTTATCTCTACAATGGTATGGAAAGTGAAATTAAAATGCAATCCACTCCCCCAAACGGAGAAATGCGAACTCAGTACATATATTGGCTAAAGCACAAAACAGTCATTCCCTTTATTTGCCACCTGAATAATGCTGCTCATGGGCATCATGCGGTCATCACAATTATAAATAGAAAAAAAAACAAGAACCGGTCAACCATGCCAAATGAGAATTCCCTGGTCGTCACAAAAGTGTATTGCAGACCTGAAAACGCCTCTAAGCGCCATCGCCAAATGAGAAGGATGGAAAGGGGGAATATGCAATGTATGGAGAATGTAGAAACAAGATCAACGCAAATACAATGCAATATCAGAGAATTTGGCAGAAAATTGGCAACGTAAATGGACACGCAAATTGCACCCACTACATGCAAGCTGAATGTCGTCAAATAGGCCGTCTGATGCTGCGAAATGGTGAAAATGTGTGATACCGACTGGAGAGACGGAATCGTAGTATTAGATACCCGCCGATATACTGGGGCCGAAAGTCGGACATGCAGTAGAGAACTATCGTATCGTGCCCCATTCCGATAGTCTGCTTCCTCTCCTCCAGTCGCTACCTTTTTGGGCGCCAAAGATCTTCCAAAACCTTAATGTCTCATCGCCAGCACCTGTGACAATAGTCTGGCCATCTGGACTGATTGCAAGATATAGAACTCGAAATGTGTGTCCTGTGAGTGACACGATTTGTTCCATACGAGGATACTTCCATATCACGATCTGGTTTTGACTATAACCATGCGTGCTGATGAGCTCATCGGAATTCTTCGACCATCCGAGGTTGCAGACCTGACTCCCAGTATCCAGTTCTTTGAGCAACTGACCTGTGCTAGTATTCCAAAACTTGATTGTTCGATCAGCTGTACCTCCGCCAGAGGCTAACAGGTTCCGCTGATGAGGAGACCAGGCAATAGCTTTAACGGCAGCGGTGTGGTCAGAGAATCGGTAAATCGGGGCTTCGTTTACCTTATCCCACACAATGAGTTTGTTGTCATTACCTCCTGATGCTAGCTGGCCATCCTCAGTATTCCATTTAAGCCCGCAGACTTCTTGCTTGTGTCCGGCCAATCGGCGTAGATATTGGTCCGGCGAGCGGACGTCACGATGGAATATCAACCGATCACGTCCTCCTGATGTGAGTATGTGATCGTTCCAGGCTAGAGCACCAACGCGATTTTGATGTCCAATCATAGTTCGCAAGCGCCGACAGCTCTCAGCGTCCCAAATCTGAACAAGCCCTTTTCCAGTTCCAATTGCGATATGAGTTCCTCTTTGGATCCAGCTGACGCTTGTCACGGTATCGTCTTTTAAATCGCAGAGTTTTGTAACGCGGCCAGATTGCGAGTGCCACATATAAACAGAGTTAGCCAACCCGACTCCCAAGATATTAGTGCTACCCCAGTCGACTAGGTTGAGATAGAAATCATCCTGCAGGTCTGGAGCATCCAAAACCTTGAATGGAACCTTCTGGACCACACGATGTTGTTTCTTCGGGGTTTCAAGTATTCGCTGGCTGTTGTAGTGGATGGGAGAGAGACTATATAATTCTGATCGAGGATTCAAGTTGGGTCCATGTTGACTTCGAGGAGTTTTAGACGGTGTTGGGTGGCCAGAGCCAGGTCGAGGTGATGCGTAATTAAAGATGTTTTTGTGAGGAGTAGATGGGGTGATAGAAGCGGGCGGAAGAGATGCAGCTGCTAGAGCTGGTGGGGTATGAGATCGAGTCGGATCATGGACAGTTGTGCTGAGATTGAGGTATCCATCGGCGTCAGGATCGGTTTGAGGTACTGAGGTACCGAACAGCTCGCTGCGCAGAACACGAGAATATGTGCGGTTCGCTTCTTCGGCTACACAGAAGTTAGTTGACAATCATAGGAGTTTTGAAAGCGCATCACATACTTCTTTGAAAATGAAGCTCCCCGTGCGGAGCCCTTTTTTTGCTTCGTGACGGTGTTGATGGACAGCCATCTTCGCCTAATAAGCTGTAGGTAGCCTGAAGATCTTGACCCTCTCTATTTGGGATGAACCTGCGCTCAAATTAGTCGCCTGTTTACGATGCCCTGAGCAAGAAAATATTTTCATATCAAATATCAACATACCGATCCCCGTATACTCTCTGTCTTTTACGACTTGGGCTTGTACCCGGTGTGCGCTCTCGTCGGCGGCCAGCCTCATCGTAGTCCTTCAGAGCGTTTGCAAGCGCCACGGGGTCAACAGCATCAGACGTGTTGCGTGAGTGAGAGCGATTACTATTCGTGTCAGGAAAGAATAATGTTTGCTTCATAGGCTTGCCGGGCGGTGTGCGAGTGACAGGTGAGGCGATTCTGTTCAATGCGACATTGTCCAAGATTCCTTCAGCGGGGTTTGTTGAGGCTTCGGTCACAGAGTCTGGAGCATTTGCTTCTCGGCCATTCTCAGCCATGGCGCTGGGATTGGAGGAGAACCGGGGTCCCCCTGCGACCGAGAATGAATGTACCACGATGTGTCAATGCAAGTCTTGACTATGAAGCAAATGGTATGTTCACGCCGAATTCACGAGGAATCAATTGCGAACAGATGCTGCAATATAGATATACCTTCCGCTGAGAGTAAATTCAATGTCAGATAGGCCTCTCCAGCTCGTAGACGACCGGTTGCTAAGCGGTTTGTTTGGTCACAAATCACTCAGTCAGGCCAGTCAGCGGACGAAACTGTCGGCGCAGATGGGGCACGGTCGTCATTTGATGCCTGGCACGATATATAAACGGGTCTGGAGAGTCGAGGAGTAGGGGCGAGGGTTGATTGAGCGGGCTGGTTGATGGTAGAGGAAGGCGCCGATGCAGCGACTGTTGTTGGTGTTGATGTTGACGCAGGCCGAAGGGAGTTCCAGCTTACTATGGGCACATTAGTGCTTCATCCCTCAATGGCAACGGGGTCACGCGTCGGGAGCGCTAGTCCTGATGCGGCATCCATATCCTAAGCGGGCCACTTACAACAACAACGCAGAGACGACAATATACAACATCAGACGGCTCTGCGAGAACCCAGGATGCCTGCAGCGTCCTGCCAGATCGTGCGGGGAAGACGAGATCATCCGTGCAGACTGGAGGTACACGTCTGCGACTGCACACAGCGCTCGCTGTTGTTTACCTGAAGAACCGAGAAAGGACGGGCGCGTCGCAGCTTGGCGTCTGCGGGCTGCACGCGATCGAGCCTGTCCTTGCGCCTATTGGCGAGGGATCTCCCGATTCCCTAGAGGTTTCTATATGAGGATAGATGATCCCATTATACATGTCAACTTGTTGATGTTTTGAACTGCCCCGTTTGATTGACGCGACCAGACTGCTCGATGTTTCGCCCACCGCGCACCGCACCCTACGCTCGTCACGGTCGTGTCGGTGGCGCGTGGAGGGATAATTCAACGTCAGATTTGGATGCCAATTGCTCCTCCTTGTCACTATACGCAGGGTACTCCCGTAATTACCATTTGGCAGTTTTCCAGAATATTCAATATCGTAGTTATTGCTATTCAAGTCAACTAGGGTAAATGCAGTATGTGGTCGTGCCGTATCAGCGTGTCGTAGGATCCACTTTCCGCCTTGCAAGTGACCACCTGCCAATCCTAATCGATCTTCCTCCGCTCTGCGAAAAGTGTGGAGAGATGAACTCATTTTCTTATCATCACAGCCTCACAAAGCCTGCATTGTTCTGCTATCGCTCCGTTTCTCTACGACATACTCTCGGTCCTGCTGTGAGATACAACTACTCCACAATGGTCAAGGTCAATCATAAGCAGGCCGCCCTGGACTTTTTATCCTTTGTCAATGCATCTCCCACTCGTAAGAACACTACATGTAGTTATCACTTATCGCACGCATAATCTGACTTTGCTTCAGCCTACCATGCCGTCAAGTCTGGAAAAGACCTCCTAGCTTCTGCTGGCTTCAAGGAAATCAAGGTACTTGACCGAAATATCCTTGCCGCATGTTTTGCTTACAGATACTAGGAGAGAGACTCGTGGAGCTCGACTCTACACCCTGGCGGAAAATACTACCTCACCCGCAATGGATCTACCCTTGTGGCATTTGCCATTGGCAAGAAATGGAAGGTAAAACACATCAACGCTGTTTGGGTCAGTTCTGAATTATCTAACGGGATTCCAGCCTGGCAATTCTATCGCCATGGTTGGAGCACATACCGACTCGCCCGTCTTGAGAATCAAGCCAGTCAGCAAGAAGGGAGACGAAGGATATGTGCAGGTTGGCGTTGAAACGTATGGCGGAGGTATATGGCATACATGTGAGATGACAATTCAATTGGATTGAGAGTATGCGCTTACGTCTACCAGGGTTTGACCGTGATTTGGGCGTTGCTGGCCGTGTTATGGTCCGTGGAAAAGATGGAAATATTGTGTCCAAACTGGTCAAGGTTGACCGTCCCAGTATGGCGCTTCATCTGAATCTTAAACGAAAGCGGTGATTAATTGATGTCTGACAGTTCTTCGCATCCCCACCTTGGCCATTCACTTGGACCGCAAGGAATCATTTGACTTCAACAATGAGACACAGCTGTTCCCAATTGCCGGTCTCGTCGAGGCTGAGCTGAACAGGACGAAGGGACAAACCACTGACTCGTCCAACGATGAACCTGCAAAGAAAGCACTGAAAGCTGCAACCGAACGCCACCACCCATACCTCGTCGAATTGATTGCGTCTGAAGTTGATTCCAAGCCATCTGAAATTCTTGACTTTGAGTTGATTCTTTTCGACACTCAAAAGTCATGTCTTGGAGGGCTGCTCGAAGAATTCGTCTTTTCTCCCCGCTTGGACAACCTCAACATGTCATTCTGTGCGGTTCAAGGACTCATCGAGTCCGTCCGTTCTGCAACAGCACTCGATGATGACAATGCGATCAGACTGATTGCATTGTTTGACCACGAAGAAATCGGCAGTAAATCAGCCCAGGGTGCCGACTCGAACACCTTACCCGCGATTCTCCGCCGCCTATCAGTCCTACCTGCAGAAGATTTCGGCTCCGAAAAATCCTACCATAAAGTCGGCAATGAGTTGGACATAACCACTGCCTTCGAGCAGAGTCTTTCCACCTCATTCCTGCTGTCCGCCGACATGGCCCATGCCGTTCACCCTAACTATAGCGCCAAATACGAAGCCGATCACAAGCCTCAGATCAACGAGGGACCTGTAATCAAGATCAACGCAAACCAACGCTACGCCACCAACTCCCCCGGCATCGTTCTTCTGCAGGAAGTTGCCGAAAAGGCCACTGAAGATGGAGGAGATGTGGTTCCATTACAGCTGTTTGTAGTCCGCAATGATTCCTCATGCGGTAGCACCATCGGACCAATGCTATCTGCGAACTTGGGGACAAGAACTCTTGACCTTGGAAACCCGCAACTGAGCATGCATAGCATTCGCGAGACGGGAGGCACCCAGGACATCGGACACGCCATTCGGCTGTTCGCCAGCTTTTTTGAACATTATTCAACTTTGGCACCTAGCATTTTGGTCGACTAATTTCCTTTATCAATATCAGTATTGTGCTATTGGCTGAGACACTTAGTCCTGGATGAAGAATTTTGAATTCCGTGCCATGCATGTATAAAAATACATATTCCAATAAACAAAAAAAAAGAGAATACAGATGATATCGCAAATTATACACCATCAATTAAATAATCACGAAGACTTAGTCTCGATAAAGTCCTTGTTCTCTGCAACAGCCTCAGCACTGTCATTCTCCACTATCTCCGCTCCCTCCTCCAACAACTCCTCCAACGACTTGACCTTGACTTCCATCACGCGCATGATCGTATACCGATGCTTACTCTTAACCCGCTGCACGTGCCTCTGTCTCCTCTTCGTCTTCTCCTTAATCCTAAGCGGCTCCGACTCGACGCCCAACACCCTTACCCGACACTCAAACATACGCTCATCTACATACGGCGTGCCCTTGAGCGTATACTCCCTCGACCCAATAATCGACGCCCGATTGAACCGCAGAATATCGCCGGACTTGACCTTGGGCATCAGAAACGGGAGACGCAAGTGATCGCCCTCGGTCAGGAGATATGGCCGATCGTGCAGATGTGCAGATATATAGTGCGGTCGTTGGCTGTACAAATACGGCAGCTTTTCGGCGAGGGATTTGGAGATTTGAAGTGGAGATGTGAATATTGGCGGGAGGGGGAGTTTGCTGCGTGGGACGCCGTTTGAGAGGGTTTCTGGTTCGGAGAGTGGTTGTTCTTGTTGTGTTGAGGGTGTGTTGGATGGGGGGATTGGCGTGGCTGATGAGGAGGATGATGATGATGATGATGGCGATGGTGACAGTTTTTGTGAAGGAGCAGCTGGTGGGATTTCAGGAGGCGTGGCGTGGAATTTTTGAGGACCGCTGGTTGATGCTTGACGCAGACATGCTCGCGGTGTGTATGGAGATGAGACGAGGAATTGTCGAGTTGCCGAGCGCTCGAAATTGACAAGGCCCCGGAGGGCGGAGCGACTGAGCATTGCGTCAATCGACGGTGTGGTAGATAGATAATATACCTGCGTTGGAGCCACTTGCAGTGCTATTTAGGAGCTCTGGGAGAAAATATCACGGACAGCGTAAGATGCCGCACCGCCTTACCGCAGTGCACGTGACCCGGCCTGCTGTCGAAAAAAGTTCCTTTGATAAGGCTAATCAGCGCCAAGATCTGCGGGCACAACTTTTCGTCGTCAGGTTGCTGCTCAGTGCTGGGTGCTTGGATTTATTTTCTCATTTCGTTGTTTTGCACTGAGTGCTAGGATTGTTCACAATGGTATGCTTTCCTTTGCTGGTTATGTGTGTATGAAGCCTTGCTAACGATCGCTTAATCAACAGCCTCAGAACGAGTTCGTAAATCCTTTCCAGCAGCATCTTCTGATTATTCTTGGTAATATTAATGTCTAGAGGTCACTGCTAACCTGCTTTCAAACAGATATATCGAGTCAGTCTACCATTTCCACAGAGAAGCAACAAATCCATCTCTGCTCTAGCCAAACCGCACTACCTATATGTACATATGGACTAACCCCAACCAGACGCTTCCAAAAAACTCATGGCCGTCGTCTCGACCATGAAGAACGCACGCGCAAACGCGAAGCCCGTGAGGGTCACTTGGCATCTCAAAAGGCCCAAACCCTGCGCGGCTTCCGCGCCAAACAATACGCTCAAAAGCGGCATGCGGAGAAGATCCAAATGAAGAAGCGGATTCGCGCACAGGAAGAGAAAAACGTCAAATCCGCAGCGCCTTCCGAACCCAGTTCGACGCCCTTGCCGAATTACCTGCTGGATCGGTCGCAGGCTACCAATGCCAAGGCGTTGTCGTCTGCTATCAAGGATAAAAGATCCGAAAAAGCCGCAAAATTCTCCGTGCCGTTGCCCAAGGTTAAGGGGATTAGTGAGGAGGAGATGTTCAAGGTGGTGAACACGGGCAAGAAAACGCATAAGAAGTCGTGGAAGAGGATGATTACGAAACCGACTTTTGTTGGACAGGACTTTACGCGACGGAATCCGAAGTTTGAGCGGTTTATTCGGTATTTTTTTTTATTTCTTTCCTTTTGAAAAGAAAAGTGAAATGGGTGCTAATGGGTTTAGGCCTATGGGTCTTCGTTACAAAAAGGCCAATGTTACAGTGAGTATATCGTTCATTTGAGATTGATACTTTACTAACCCGATAAAGCACCCCGAATTGGGCGTCACAGTGCAATTGCCTATCTTAGGCGTCAAGAAGAACCCACAGAACCCTCTGTACACGCAACTCGGCGTCTTGACCAAGGGCACCGTTGTAGAAGTGAACGTGTCGGAACTCGGAATCGTCACGACAGGTGGAAAAGTGGTATGTTTTTCCACATAATAGCAGCGAGAAGAAAAGCACAAACTTACTCCTCTCTGCTAGGTCTGGGCCAAATATGCTCAAGTTACGAATAGTCCCGAGCTCGACGGAACAGTCAATGGTACGTTATATCTGAAATGGTAAACATGAGGCAGTAACTGATTGTTGATAGCTGTTCTGCTCGTCTAACAATATGTGGATGCTTGTTATCTTACAACTCGACAGCGCAGTTCATTTTAAAAAGGGTGATTTAAGGGAGTTTCGGAGTTTGCAGGAAAAGATAGTATATCATACAAGTTCTTGTTCTTTTTAATGACTTTCTTGAACATTGATACCGAGATGCAAACATAGATAGCAACAAAAGGAGAATTGCTTATTCCTACACACTGAGAACTAACTGATAAGTAAAATCATTTGCAATCTATAAGTAACCCTAACAAAGCCAATCGGTATCACAATGAAGCCTGGAAATGCCGTCACAAGTACGCCTTCCCGTCTATAAAAATCGAGTATCGAAATTAAAATTCAGTATCAATGCGCCATCAGGGGTCGTACTCCAATTCATGATATCATATTCCCAAAGGAAAACAGGAAAGCGGAGAGAAATAGAGGTTCGAATAGTAAAACTAATATCCTTCGCCCGCCTCATAATCACTCATTTCATCTTCATCACTCAGACTCGATGCTGGAGATGCTAACCCGCTCACCACCGATGAAGTGGCAACACCCCCTTCACCTAAGATGAGTCCGGTGTCAATATCGCGCGCGAAATCATGCATGTCGCCAATTTTATTTTGGCCATGCCGACGTCTTGAGTTATTCTTAGCTGCAACAATGCTGGCCATCAATTCTTCGATGCCGGGCTTTTCAGGCACATTCTGTGCCAACGATGTCGCCATGTCTAGAGACTCAATGGCGTGTTTCAGGAATTGTGCATTTTTGACGCTGACGCTGAGTGTCCATCTATACTCTGCAAGTCGCTGACGGTAGAATTCAGCTTCTTCCTTTGTGGGCGCTGTGGCGAGGAGTAATGTGCCAAACGAGCCGATAAGAGCAAAGTTTGTGCGAGAGGATCCTGGCCAGAAAGCTTGGAGGTGGGCGGGACGTAGGCGGTTGACAAAATCCATAGCGCTGATCAGACGGGTCTTTGCAGCCGATCGGCAAATATGTGAGAGGTAATTGTCGGCAGTCTCCGTGCTCAGGGAGCGAATGATGCATCGGTGGAGAGTGATTTCCGTAGCAAAATACGCAACGTGTAACGCGCCATTGGAGGCAGAATCTTCAGTCACCTCATCGAAGAGGATTTCCGAACCAGAAGAAGAATCCATTTTCATTTCTGTTGGGAGGCGGGAAAACCAATCTTTCAACCGGATCTGTACAGGCTTTGCTTTCTCCAAAATGTGACGCGTTTTGTTGCTTCCGGCAGCTGAAAATTGTTCCGCAGCACGTAAGGTATAGAATGTATCGAGGATTTCAGCTAAGATAGCTGTCAAAGAGACATGCTGGCAGAAGAGAAGTGGACCGTGTCCAAGCACTGGAATACCATCGTCTCGTGTGGTGGAGGTCGGAAAGGCTCCTATGAAGTCCTCTTCCACCAAATCACGCACAGTCCAGTTTGCAGCTGACATTTGTGATGGCCGGCCGTGAACAAGCGATGACCATTTGTCCTGTGTATGTAAAGCCCAAGCCATGCGTCTACGAAGACCCTTCTCGGCCGCCGGAATCTTCCAATTTGAGCAGTCCTGGTGTAAACCGAGTTCGAAGGCGGCTGTTGCCAGTTGTCCGTTCAAAGATGAGGTGTTGAGGGAGGAGCGTTGCATTATCAGTAGACCTGCTTGAACTGCAGTGATATCAGCGCGAGGAAGAGATTCCGTCAACAACTTCATAGCGGTGTCTTCCATCTTCTTGACATCCGGCTTGCGGGCCGTTCGAGCGGCGGGTTCAAATTCAAGGTATTTCAAAGTCAATGTGTATACAGCGGCGAGGAGAAGAGGAGAAAGGCCTTTGCGTGTGCGGTATGACTGTCGGAAAGAGTCTTCCATCAAAATGGGGAAAACGGGGTGGATCTTTTGGAAGAACTTGTCTACCAACGTTGAGCCATAGGGTGCAACTAATGTTTCGATGGCATCCAGTGAAATAGTTGAAGGCTCTTTGACGCCGTTGTCCATAATTGTCATGAACGTGCCATCTTCGGTAAATCGGCGTATTTTGTGCGTCGAAGAAAGTAAGCTTTCCTCATTGTTGTCTAGGGGTAGGTGCTCCAAGAGAATTGGTTCTAACTCAGTCGTCAGTCCGATATGTTGACTGGACTGGTAAGACAGCCTGGGCGATGCCAATGCACTGGCGCTTGTGGTTGGTGGCACCATTTCTTTTACAGTAGACTCTGCTGGTCGAACAATATCCGTTGACGGCCTGTTAATGGGTTAGCCATCAGTCGCCAGTGAGGGGTCGTAAATGATACCGACCTTTTGTTTGAGTCTGTTGTCAAGTCCTCCAACTTTCTCTTTTTCGACTGCGGGGACCCGAGGTCACCCGACGGATGATTACTGTTTGCTAGAGTAAAAGTACAATCCTGCCGGTGGAATTCACAAGAGTAGCATTTGTTGACCAGTTCATTCATGGCACACCGACTTTTTCTAAAAAGGCAGGCGTCACAGCTGACTCCATCGCGGCCGGCAGGGCCGCGGGAGGATATGACGCCTGCGAGCGATGTGCTGGTTGTGGGCGTCGTGATGGCGGAGAACGATGCTGACGATGTTGATGGAGAGTTTGTGAGAGAGGCGACGGGCGACGATGTCGAGCTCATTCGGTGGTGTTGTCGAAGGAGAGAGCGGTGGTCAGCAGCGGTTAGGGGCACGCCAGCAGCTGCCGGGCCAGAAGAAGTGGCTTGGATTGTGATGGCGGTGGCCATTGTTATGTAGTGACCTCACGCCACGAGATAGCCGTAATAATAAGAGTGATAACGATGGCAGGGGTGGAGGCCCAGATAGTAGGGTAGCCCCAGCCTTAGGCCTGAGATAAGGGCTCCGGTTGTGAATGTTAGGTTATGTCCACAGAGGTAATTAACGCAGCTCCAGATCGCCAGCCCGTATCACCCGGATAAGCACGCCCGTTTTTCGACGCTGAGAGCCTGCCTAGCGCTGGACCGAGAGAATAATACGGATGTTGCCTGCCTTTCTAGTTTCTACCTTGCAGCAGACCTTACAGCAGACGGTTGACTGACTATACGGTGACCTCTTTGCTGCTGCAAAAACCCGGGGTTACGGCCAATGGCGAGCACAGGGGAGCGCACTAGAAGAATGCTAGATTGAAGGTGAGTGATGGCTGTCGAATGGTGACGGCGGGCTTATCAGGAGGATTTGATAACTGTCGGCGGTGGTTGAGATAGTCACGTAACACGGGCCAGTCACAAAAACGAGGCCGGACGCAGATAAATAGAACAGACAGAGAAAAAGAAAGAAGGCGGGAAGCAGACAGAATACACGTCGATCGTCAATAGGATCAGTCTCGCTGGTCTGGACAAGGGTCTCGACTCATGCAGGTCTCAACGCAGACTCAGCGACCTGCCAGCGATTGCAGCAGGACGAGATGTTCAGTAGAACGTGAGGTCATTCCGATTCCGGCTCCACCGAGAAATGTATTGTATACTGTAGGCGCAATACGGAGACGCATTCGATGCTTTCTTTAATAGTGCAATAACCAGAACGGAGGCGATGTGGCCACTTGCAGATAGGGAGAAGAATGTCGGGAGAAATCGAGTCGATGGAATAATACAATAATATAATCACAGGCAGATGCAGTAGCAGTAGTAGCAGAAGCGAAGCAGGTGTAGTCATAGGAATTATTATTACATGTGCTTTCAAGGCCGCTGGAAAGAGGCGGCTCTCATTGGCTGCGGGGAGGGAGGCGCTCCTTCCATTCGACGATGCTACTTTCGCTCCATGTCCATATTCGACGATTACTCGATTGTTATTGCCTTATTAATGTATTAATATCGGTTTAGTATTATTTCCGTTCGATCGCGTTTTCCCTCCGAGTCATTGACGCATCATCGCCGGGCGGCGGTGCATTCTACATAGTAATAATTAGTAACTGCGTGTATGGAGATCCCGGCGCGGATGATTTCCCACACGTAACAGATATTCAACCGCCGCGTTGGGTTCCGCTGGGCGTTTGTGGCCGTGAATAATAATACATAATGCGTTAATAGACAGCCTGCGTTTTATAGGCCCGCTGGCGGCCAGAGATAAGCCTGTTGCTGTTCATTGGGCAGGCGCTTGATGCACCCAGCACCGCGGGTCGCGTTAGGGCTATCATTACGTACTGAATATCCTTAGTGGCCACAGCTGCTTAGTCACTGCCAGTGCAGTGCCTGTGGCCAGCAGCTTGAGGTCTGCTCTGCGTATGTGGTATGCAGTGGCTCGTGGGGGTGTCTGCTGTTTCTTGTCGCACAAATGTTAAGAGAGTCGACATGTAGCAGCAGCATCGCGAATAGCGTCAATTAATTCGCTCAGCAGGTGATACTTGATACGGATCGAGCTGGAGGACAGAAGCAGCCAATCACAGCGCCCTGATAACATATTTTGGCCGCCAATCACACACATGCCCTGTTGACCAAAACAGCCTAGCGTAGGCGTGCGGTTCCGGGGATCTCCATGTCAGCGTCCCCACTCTGGAGTCCAGCATATAGTTCAAGTACACACTAACCGCGAACGGAAGACCGCCGTTTGTCCCCGCGAAACCTGCTAAGAGTCCTAACTGAGCCTAACTCCGGCTTTGGCTTCAAGGCCAAAATTAAGCCCGCGTTGATTGGCCGTCCCCAGTTGCTGTTTGATAATGAGAATTCCGCTTTGAGAGCGATGAATCACTGGATTCACCGTTCATACAGGCTCGAATATTAGTACTGCATCCTTAATATTCCCATCGTATTCGTATGACATATCAAGGATAATCATGTGAGTGAGTGCAGATATGATGGCTGCTCAGCGAGCAGATCAACCCGACGATAGTAGTAGGAATAGCCTCAATAATCAATAGCAATATAGTCCTTTGTATGTACATCTCAATCAGGCAGCGTATCGAATGACTCTCTACGCTAAACTTAAAGCCACCATTGGTGCCCAATCTCCATTGCCCTGCTATTGGCCGGTGCTCAGCCCTACCGCCTGCCGAGATGGTCCAGAGGCGGCAGAATATTATTCGCATTCACAATAATCACAAGGAACATATCAATTGTTCCGTTTAAAGTACTACTATTTTGGTTGTTGGCTATATACCACAGGTCCGAAGAAGACTGTGGTCATTGTTCGAGTTATTTCTCTCTGCACTGGCCACTTCAGGCGTCCTCATAATGATGCCAGGTCAAACGGCATCGCCGGCTAATATCACTTGATATATGCAGGATTGATATTATTTCATGTGACAATTCTGAATCCATTCAACTTTATTTCCATAAGAATACTTACTATATTGCAATCAATCTATTATGCCTAAAACACCCGAACGCCATGCTGTGAAAATGTATACGGACCACAACCCCAGCCAACAACGTCAACAACGTCAGCACCAAAACCAACAAAACCACCAAAATCACTCCACAAAATTGCGCAGCTTCGTCAACTCATCAAGAAGTTCCTGAAGCTCATTGTCGGAGATTTTGTGCTGCAGACTAGGAATCAAGGACTTGGCTTCCTCGGCATTGTCGCAACATAAACTGCCTATTACACAGCAAAGCTAGCGTCAGTACAAGACCTCAATCGAGCGCAGAATGACTCTGTATGAAGACTAGGTTGAGTCCTGCTACTAACCAAGCTGCGATCGCTCAAACATTTCCAACTCGGTGTGTGAATTGAGGAGTTTCTCAACTGCTTTGATATTCTCTTCGTCTTTGAAGCGCGAGAACACCTCGAGGTAGTCAAGCGTCTTGGTCAGGTTTCTGGATAAAACACCAACAATTAGCACAATTCTATACAAACCCCTTCCCCCCTTTTCATCATCCGCCAAACCGTTCATTCCGAGGGATAGCTCACTCTGGCTCGTCATATTTTTTCCCGCCGCGTCGTTTGTTCTCCAGCACTTTGCTAATAACCAGCCGCGCCTCACTCAAAGACAGGGTATGTGTGTTTTGGTCCTCGCCGAGTTTGAGAGTCGACGCAGCCTCAAGATCCGACTGAGGAAGCACGCGTTTGCGGTGCGTGGGCGGTGGGAGCTTCACGCCACTCATTTTCGATGTGAAGAAACTTTTAGAATGGGCTGGCAAGTTGTCCCGGTAGTGCGCGCGTGTCAATACCGATGTAGCTGGTCTTAATAAGTCTGAAATAAAGCTGTTCTGTCCATATAGTTATATGCGCTTCGCAGTTGGCGGCTTGTGTAATTAAGGCCTGAGGTTGTCAGGCTTGGATGTTGGTCCGCCGCGATGCGCAGATTCAACTGATGTCGGATGCAGAGGCGGGCTTGGCATTGCGGATCACGATTCATCGATATGATCTACGATAACGCCGTAATATGGTAAATGTATATAATGCGAGCTAATTTTTGTTTTTTATTTATATTTTTCGAGTTATTTAATGTTGCCAAAGACATTAGCAAGATAGGATCAAAATGAGAGGCCTGGTATCAAATAATTCTAAACAATACACACAAAGTAACGCCATCTGCCATGCAATATGCAACATGCTAAATCGTTCTATTTTAGATGCTCTTGAAAGCAACCTCTTGCGGCAGACGGAATGTCGCACAAAACATTTGCTTATTAGGACTGACCAGTCTCACATTATGAATGTGCAACTCTCGCTCCGGATTCCCAGAACCGCCAACCGTATCATCTGCGGTTATAGTAAACCCTAAACGGTCGGATATACGCTGACAAATATCTACATGTTCATTCCGCTCATCGTCCGAGTGGCCTGAAAAGCAATAAACGTGTATCAAAGGGAGTTTCCGGTCTGTATGCGGCTCGAAAAACCGTTCTCTGCCAGTATAGACTCCAACAAAAGCATCGAGAAAGTCAATAGCCGTGGCGGGAAGATTCATGACGAAGTGGTCGACTGTAGCTGGGCGAACGAAAGTCCGAGGCGGAGGCAGCGGCTTCTCTTCCGGATTTGTCCGGCTCCTGTGAGCTTTTGGCCAGATGATAGCTTTGTGCACAGGGCCATCCATCAGGTTGGCAGTTTCTCGGATGAATTCTCGACCATCCAGATTGTACGCAGATACAAACGAGCTCACATGATTGTGCGCGATTGCCTGTTCCATAACCTCCCATCCGTGCGGATTGAGATCATTAGCCCAAACGAAAATCTTCTTCTTGCCGGCGGGCACGGCAAATGGACCAACACCAGCCATGACATCGGCGACCAATTCACCCTCCTTAAATGTATTCACCAACCTGCGATGTTCCGTCTCCAGTCGACTGTTCCAGTAAACACGTGAGAAGTCGAACTTGAATTCACATCCTTGCTCGTGAACGGTGACATTCATATCATTCTCCCCGGCGAGGATCTCAAAGGGAAATGTTCGGAATTGGCTTTCCGAGCCCACGTCCTGCGTTTTATTGATAACTGTGCGCGTATTGGGGTTTTTATCCAGAAGAATCTCGGCAATGAGGTGCTTGTATGGAGCCCACCGCTCGCGTAGGTTCAAGTGCACTGTGGTCCTCATTAGCCATCCATTCTCCCCTCAGATCCAATACACGCCTGTCTCAAACTTACAGACGTGTCCAGTCAATGTAAATCCCTCTGGCGCATCCCCCCTCTCCACATCTTCCTCCGGGAGAATCGCATCGATGATATCTGAATAGGTCCAGTGCGAGTAGTCCAACTGCACTGTATAAAGACCCAGTCCAACCGAACCCTCATTAACCAGCTCATTTATCGTCGGAGACCAAGTAGTAATATCTGCGTTGCACAAATTAGCCAATATAAACCAGTCTCATCCATAGATGGCGTGCATACCATCATGTTTGATGTTCACGCCTAGCAAGAGACATTTCCGAGTCTCCAAATCAGAGTTACTTAGCTCCAGCGACTGCCCATTACCCACAACAAGTGACCGCGGGGGATCAACTCTGCAAACATTATACCGCGGGAGATCTAAAAGGTCTTTGCTGGCAACCAATCTCTTTCGCACGCGCATTATGTCCTTGTTCTCGAAAACGGTGGCTGCGGACACGGGGATGCTTTTGTGGAAGAACGATCTGTCGAGTACGCGCATTGCACGATTGACGGGAGGGCGGAACATGGCGGAGGATTCACCGTTGGGAGGAGAAGGCTGTTTGGAAACTGCTGTTGAGGCCATTGACAAATCGCATCGATTCTTGATCCGTGCACGGGGAAGAAATGTCCTTGCAATTTCGGGCAAGTTTCGAGCAATCTTGACAATGAAGGTGGCGTGGATTTCCGTCGTAGAAGAAGACCTTGTGTAAAATTAGAAATAAATAAGCAATGTGCTATATTCTGGCAAATTATAGACGGCCATCTTGGTGTATCATCAGGCAGCGATTCTTTATTTTCGCTGTGATTTTTTATCGCCACGTGATATTCGACGCTAAGATAAACTTTACGTCTAGCTTGACATTGAAGCGAAATCTACTATGTAATACAGGTCGATCGCGTGTTCTTGATGATTTCTATACGTATTAATTAAGTATAACATTTGTCATGACAGAAAATTCCAAATACTGATATTGTCAAACTCGGGAATTCAACCCCGCAATTATAGTCCTATCCATCTCACGCTCCGCAAGTAGGCCCTCAATTCTCTGCTTTAGTGCTACTATTTCCCCGTCCTTTTTATTCAGCGATACTCTCAATATATCTCGGCCGCGCTGCAGTCCCTGTGACTTTAAATGATGCTTATCAAGCAGCGCAACTACCTCATCCCTTGCCTGAGTCGGAATGACCACGTCATGCCGATCAAGGGTCGATAGTACATCTAAAGCGAGATCTGAAACCTCAGACGACGAATTTGCCGACAGTGCGTCATGATAACGGCGAGGAGTTGGAGTCGTAGATATCTCCACTGATGAGAATGGCACACTGTTCGTTCGCGAACCCGACGATGTAGGCGGGGGGTTATCCAATGCCGAATATGGAGGCGGCTCGTCATTAAGATCATCAAGCTTCCTCTTACCCGGGGATGTATTATTCGCAGTCCGTGGCGTTTTCCTAGGCGTCTCCGGGGGAGTAAAGACGGGCTGTCTGAGCGGAGTCTTCCTCTCCATCAAGTCTTCTACCTCGTCGTCCAGACTCTCATCCCAACTGTACGCATCCTCATCGGAGGACAAAGTCCGAGTCTTTTTTATTTTTGAAGGAGTGGTATTATCGACTCCTTGTCCTGGATATCCTGTGTGTACGGTCCGGCTAGTACTTGGAGTGAAGAGCCCGCCTCTTCCGCTTTGAATGCTTTTCACGGGCGTTTTCTTTGGAGTAATGGGTTTAGATACGGAATTCGAAAGCACTGTTTGCTTTTCGCGAACTTGCGCATCACTCTCCCAAAGGAAAAACTTGCATCGCTTCGGCTGTGGTTTGTGACAGGTATAAACTAGCAAGGCTATTAGCAGGTAATCCGGTTATTCGTCACAGAGCAATTAGTTGTCGTACACCACCTGCCATGGTTTATCCCTCCATTTTTAGTCTGAAAGCGGTCGGCTGGCACTCGCGGTTCGCAATCGCAATGCCACACGCCATCGATATATCGGCCGCGCCACGATGTAGTTGGCCGAGGAGACTGATACGATCCCTTTCCCCTGTTCATTTCATTAAACAGGCGTAGAATTCACATTGTTGTCAATGTGTGGTGCATAGTAGCAGGTGGCTGCTCGCAAGATAGACTGATAAGGACGCTGAGTCGCTATGGAAACTCAACGCGGGGCCCATGTGAGTCCCACCAGAGCTGCGACTTGCAACCGTTGGCGCTAGCACGTATTTGGACATCCAGCATACCTTCCTTTTTTCGATGCACCCAGTACTTCCTGCACTTAGATCATCAAAATTGATATCGTAACTCATTCACTCGCAGAATTCAAGAAGAAAACAGCATACTGTTTTTATCACTCGTGGTTATTTACACATATATTCATCGTGAACAGCAATTCCACCATTACATTGAAGCTTCCGGTTTCCTTTCCAGACGGGGGGAAATATATAGATAAAGCTGAAAGCTAGCGATGAGGTGAAGGTCCATCACGCATTTTCTGTGCATCAGATACAGTTGGGTATTTCCTTGAAGCGTCATTAGTAGAAGGGTCATTAGCAGAACCGGCTGTTATAAAACTGAACGGAGAAAATGAACCGTCGGGTATATAGCGAGGCGACATAACGAGTTCCGGACTCGAAGAATGTGTGATGCGTTCCGAATGATTTAATGGAAAAGACAGGCCACTGGTGTCCTGCTCCTGCTGGCTTTGGGAGGAACGAAGGGATTTGTCAACCCCATCGAGCTCGTAGAGCCCAGGGCTTGACGAGGTTGTAGGAGGCTCAGGGGTTTGTAGCTGTGGAGGAGTCTCATCCAGCTGAAGGCTGCTGAGCTTTGTTAATGACTGTGCTAGTCTTTCTCCTGGCAAAATTGCAGAAGGGCTTAATATCTGCGGCTGTTGTTGACGGGACGAGCGATGGACAGCTGCTTCTAAAGACTCTTGTACAACTGGAAGCGGTTGTGTTGAAATCGCGGCAGGCGGAGCTCGACTGGCCTCCTCATGTTGAGGCTCAACGACATCCTGGTCTCCTCGATGCATGTGGGTTGGTGTGGCAGATCTACTACTCGGCAAACCTTGTTCCAGAGTCCCAGGAAGCTCGCTTGGGAGGGAGTTGTCGTGATTCGCAGGGTTGGCAGAAGTTGGAGCAGGGGTTCTCGTGAATGATTGAAAAGCTGAAACCGGCCCAGAATATGAGATGGGTTCGGTATAAGTAGATGCAGGAATACCTGCTCGTCTGGCAGGATTTGGCTCGTCCAATGGTCTTGATTGTAGTCGAGACGGACTTAGAATATCGAGGACACGCTTTTTGCGATCCTCGGAAATACCAGCGTCCGGCGCGAACCCAAATCTCTCTGGAGACATGCCGAAAGATTCAGGCGAGAAGTTTCGATCTAGGTTCACTGCTGAAGGCTCGACGGAGATCAATGCTTCTAAAACTTCAGGATGTCCATGATATGCGGCATAACGTATTGGAGGCCAGCCCATCTCATCTTTACTCAACACGGACGCCCCTCGACTTACAAGCAACGATACAACTGGTAGGTGACCACCCTTTGCGGCTAAACAAAGAGGGGAGTCTTCATGGGATCGAGCACTAAAGCGAAGGTGTAGGGGAGAGCCAAAATCCAACAGAGTCTGTGCAGCAGCCACATGTCCATGTCTAGAGGCCAAGCATAAGGCGCGATCCCCCGTAGCATCTCGAGCTTCCAGAGAAGCATTTTTTTCACATAGCAATCTGATGAGAGCCACTGAACGTCCATCCGCAGCAATATGGATTGGCCTTTGTTGAGTTGTATCCATCTGACTTTCAATATTGGCTTCGGATGTCAAAAGCAGCCTTACAATCTCAACGTTATCAGCCCTACAGGCGTAATGTAATGCAGTGAGGCCAGAGCTGCATTTTGTTTCCAAGGGACAGCCTTTCCGCACAAGATATTCGACAACGGCAAACTGTGAGTTCATGGCTGCGAGGTGTAAGGGCGTTCTGCCTTGGGAATTGGTCACTGCGAAGGAATTCCGTGACAAACTAGTCAGGTAGTCGACAATTTCTACGTGTCCATTGAAGGCAGCCCAGTGAAGAGCCGTCATTCCACCTTCATCCATGGTCTTGAATTTGGATTTTCTTTTGACTAGCAATTGCACGGCGGACAATTGGCCAGTGGCTGCAGCGCATATCAATGGAGTTCTTCGCTCGTTCCCGGCGACGTCAATGTTTGCTTTATTGTCGATTAGGAGTCCTATGACATCCAAAAAGCCTCCATCGCAAGCATAATGCAGGGCCGTTGCCATGGAGGCATCTCTTGCATCGACATCCGCGCCGTAACTAATCAATAACCGAGCAATTTCGACATCGCCTTGTCGTGATGCCGCGTGTAGAACGGTCATTTGATTGCCTGCTCGGGCATTGACCTTTGCACGGCTTTGAAGAAGCAGCTGGGTTGTTGGTACATGCCCGTTATTGGCCGAAACCCAAAGCGCAGTTCTTCCAAGCCGTGTCTCAGATTCCAGATTCATTGCCTCCATTATGAGCAACGATACGACTCCCTCATGCCCACGAGACGCTGCCAGGTGGAGAGCTGTTGATCCCGAAGCATCGGTATGATTAAGCTGTGCATTATTTTGGATCAATAAATCCACAATATCTTCCTTTCCACAATGAGCAGCAACCATGAGGGCATTTCGTCGAGAGTGGAAATGGCACTCTTCAATCTCATGTCCGCTTAAAATTAGTCTTTCAACATCATAGCGCGTCCCTAGTTGTGCTGCTTTCACAATATCCGGGGCAGTACGACCGGCCTGGGTGTTTAGATCAATGCTTGTGGTGAATTCGCTCTCGAGGCCGCGTCGGCCCCTAGTGAACCCGATAGTTGGGCTTGGAGTTAGACGGTGAGAAGGTGAGGGTGCTAAAGTCGATCGACTGGATGTATTCAGTCTTTTCAGCTTGGATAAGAACCTGTCCCTCTTGGATCCCCCTACTGAGGGCAACGTATTACCTCCCCCAGTAGACACCCAGCGCCGAACACCGGGGGCAGGCTGAACCGGTTCAGCCCTGAAAGACATACTTTTGCTACGAATATGATCGGGGATCACAGCGTCATTGGGACCTAGGGAATTGCCTCTATATAAAGATGAAGAATTTGTTGATACTGAATGACTCGGCGTGAGTGTGTGGCTGGCGTATCCTTCATCGCTGCTCGTGAGCGTAGTTCCTACTGATGCCTCTCGACCGATTCCAATATTCATGCTTGGTTCGACTGCGGGTTGCATGTGTGGCCGACGATAGGCTGATGTGGCCAGCAGCGCATCATCAAAGTCAAATTCAGTCTCGCCAACTGACGACAGAGTTCGACTGGTGATGGAACGGGCGTCAACCTGAGAGCTTGCAGCGCTACCAATAGTACTGCGGAGAGTAATGGTGTCGTCGGCCACTTTCTTGATTATATGACGGCTTTCCACTTTCCTGAGCAGCTCAAGCTGTTCAGTAGAAGATCGACTTGGGAGACGTTAGATTTTCCATTCCCGTCGAAAAGAATATTGGTCGACTCTAAACTCACCATTGACAAGCCTGTAACAGCAGGTTCAAAGCGCGAACTTGACTATGCAATCGCTGGCGGAGATCATTCATCACCTCTTCGGTCCAGAGCATTTTGACACGGGTCTTGAAGGTGAGTAATGTAGCGTCTCTTTGTTCATTATTGTTGTTGATCAGCTCTGCGACCTTTTCGGCGAGCACCTCCATGATCGCACGGCAACCATCGATTGCGACACCCAGGCTCTCCTCATACTCTCTGTGACTGGAGTTTACTTCGGCATTGTAAGTTGCCCAGTCGTGCAACTGTGTGATGGCAGACTTGATGGTCGACAGTTCGCCTATCATGGAGCGAATGGTGAGGTCGGCATTCTGGTATTTTCCTCGAAGTGCAGACAAGCCGGCGATTGTTTGGCCGATGATCTGGACCACCTGGAGAGCTCCGGTGATGACGCCCCAAGCAGACACGGGGTCCATCTTGTTAGAAAGCGTAATTCGTTATATCAACAACGAGGCATTGGTGATTTTCCCATCCGCGATTATTACGAACCTAATGCCGGCAGCCTTGCGAAATTGGCTTGACCTGTACGTATTGCCTGGCTTTTAATGCAATGCAAGTCTCCAAAATGGGGAGCTGACCAGAGTAAAAGGCGCATTAAATGCGAAGCGCGCGGCCTGCACGTTTGGGGGGGGAGGGGCACGCTATGCGGCTGTGCAGGCACCAGGCCTGTTAATTCGACCCAGTGGGAATACAGCATGCAGCCCAGATGGGAGGCTGTGTTTGTACGATGAATATTAATAATTTAGTGTATAACTTGGCCGCGAAACTTGTACCACACTCGCTACAATGAACAACATTTGAATGGAAACATTGAGTTTCATAATCAATATTTGAAATAGTTGGGTTATTATACATACTAAAGGTGAATAATAACTTAATAATATTGAAAGAAATCGTGGAATTTAATGAGGCCTGATCATACAAAAATTTAGCTTTATAAGAATGCCATCACATTTGTCTATTTTGATCCTATTTACAATTCGCCCAACAATTTCGCAGAAGGTCTAGACCAAGGACGGCGAGATGTATTACCAGGCTCTAGGGCTCAGATCTCTTTAACTAGGTGCATACTGCAGTATTAAAGTACGTGACGAGCTATTGGACAGTTCAGACAGCAAGCAATCTTCTGACAGCTCCACAGTTCCCGCCTCAACTTCAATGTTCTTATCATCCCATATCTTTTGGATACAAATAATCCACTGCCTTCTTCCTGCATTTGGAATGTTCACATTATTTCATGGCCGAGTCACTTCGAGTGGAGACCGAACCTAACATCGCGACAGAAGAAGTAGCCGCCGGATTCGCTAATAGCGATGACCCCGACAACCCTTTCCACTGGCCGTCTCGAACAAAATGGACCGTCACGCTGACCACCTGTTTTGTATGCTTTATCGTTGGCCTAAACGCAACGGGAATTGCAAGCGCACCGACGCCGATCAATGATCGGTTTAACATCTCAGATGCGAACTTTCCTAATTCATTCTGGCCTGTTGCATCATGGACCATCGGCGCGGCGATCGTGCCTATGATTGTTCTTCCGCTGATGGAGAAATACGGTACTCGATCAGGCTACCTCTGGAGCTACGGCACTTTTTTTGTGTTTGTAATCCCTCAAGCTGTAGCGCCAAACTTCGCTACCCTTGTCGTGTGTAGATTCATTGCTGGCAGCGCTGCAGGTGTGCTTCAGAATGGAATGGACGGTATTATTGCTGATATCTGGGACGGTCCTGTCCAGCGGAGTCTACCAATCACAATCTACGTTACTTGTCTGTTGGCTGGGGTTAGCCTAGGGCCTGTTTATGGCGGGGTTGTGGTTCACAATCTCTATTGGAGATGGATTTTCTATATTCAGTTGGTTATATACGGCGTGACCTTCATTATAGTACTTCTCACAATGAAGGAGACACGTGCTCCAGTCATCACTTCAAAGCGGTCGAGAGCAGAAGGCATTCAGAAGGCACCGCCATCAATGGAAGCCAAAAACTCGCCACCGTTGTCACCAGCAAAATTCTTCTATGATACACTCATTCTTCCTGCACGTCTGCTCTGCACTGAGCCTGTAGTATTCTTCTTCACACTCCTCTCCGCACTTTCCTATGGCATCGCTTTCATCAGCACCCAAAGTGTAACGCAAGTCTTCGTCACAAACTTCGGCTTCGCAGAGTACCAGGCAGGTCTCGTACAAGCATCGATAGTAATCGGTGAAATCCTGGGTTTTGTTGGCTGCCTTTTCCAGAACGCCCTGTACAAACGCACAGGACTAGCCAACCCGCACAAGTCCGAAGCAGATGTTTCCGAAGTCCGGCTATACTTGAGCATACCGGCTAGTTTCATAGGGCTTGCTGGCGGGCTGCTCTGGTATGGATGGACGAGTTACCAATCTCTTCCATGGATTCTGCCAGCGATTGGTCTCGCAATGACGTCCTTTGGCGTTACAGTTGTCATGCAGGCTATTATGATGTACATCACTGATGCATATGCCCGATACGCTGCGAGTGCCAGTGCTGCGGTATGTTTTGGGGAGAATATCTTTGCTGCATTTCTACCCTTAGCGGCGCAGAGTATGTATGCCAATCTTGGTTTCCAGTGGGCAAGCTCACTGCTTGGGTTTATTGCTTTGCTGCTCAGTTTTGCGCCGATTTTACTTGTTTGGAAAGGAAAGGATATACGTGCACGTAGTCCGTTTATAAAGGAAGCAAGCACGAGTTATAATCCGTTTCTTCTAGGTAGACATTGTTAAAGCATTCTATGCAACTGATAAGGTGCAGCAGTTCAATTGAAATCCGTCATATAAATCCAAACTTTCTTCTTGATACTTAAAAATGTTAATAACAGGCATGGTACCCCTATATATAATATCATCTCTTGGAGAGCTGAATAGAGAAATGTGACCTTTGAAAGCTAAATATCTATAAGAAGGTATCTGAATTTCAAGCAGTAGAAATGGCAACAACGCTTCCATGTGCTGTATTGAATCAATTGATATTGTCGCAAGGGCTGTCCAAATTACCCGAGCCTTATGCACAGACGACGGTTAAATTGTAACATGCTGAGTGTGTATAGAAAGATAGAAAAGGACTAGAATAAATGTAGTGTGCATAATTTCCAATTTGTTAAAAGAATTCATATCAGGAAGAATTCGGTGAAACAGGAATTTGTCTAGTAAATAAGTGAGTAATCGACTACGCAAGTAAACACCATCCTCTAGAGAACGCCGATGTCACTGCGTGTCTAACAAATGTTTTGACGATTTGAAGGACACCTCTGGCAGCAGTGTGTTCCATTTCGAGTTGAGTAGCAGTTGATAGTCGACATCGAAAACATTAAGCTGATATTATAGAGCCAAAGGCTGTTTATGAGTTAACAGGTGATTCCCCCTCCCAAAAGTGTGGGTGGCGGAAGATCGACTTCAAGTGACCAGCGCCAATCACATTATTTCGTCACTATAATCCTCTTAGGACACTGCGACTACCGACATGGAGAATCCGCTTGAATGAGTCCGTCATTATTTTAAGTTAATATCTTCAATAAATTGCCTCATTTATGAAACTTGCGGTCCAGTTCCATAACCAAAGATGCCTCTGCCGCTTCTTGCAAAGCACCCATAGCGGATGCCTGGAATCTTAAATCTTTCTCGACCCGGACTTGCTCCTGCTGCTGGCCCTGGAGAACCCGTATGACCTGCTGAAGATCTGGGGTTAGGAGAGTTCGAGGAGGAGTGGTACGTGTGGCCCTTCGAGCTGGCTTTGCTCCGCTCCATCCTCGACGAATTCGCCGACGTATTCTCCATCGAGTCACTGAATAGTGCTAAACAGAGCCGTTCTCAAAGACAGCGGGAACTCATGATTCAGAGAAGGGGGCGTCATCGGCTGCAGATCCTATGCAGTTCAGCTCTTGACGTGTACGGGCGATGGAAGATGAGACGGAGTGAGGATGGAAGAGAAGAAGAAATAACAGATATTTATTTGAACCAGAGTTTGATGACATGAGGTTCACTTGTGCTCTCATTCTGGGACCTCCCACTTGGAGTCTAACTCAACCATGTCCCAGAATACGTAGCGTTGGTCGGCCTGGAGGACCTATTCCATTGGATATAAATGTAACCAGGTATCCGACAACTGTAAACAACGGACGTTTCCGAAATTCCATGTCGTCCGGTTGTGTTGCTGGTCCAGCTCCATCAAACACTCTTAGGACTGTCAATTCCTGTCGGAATGTTTTGTCCATCATACGCGAATCGCGCGAAGATATGGACACGACTTTGGTTAAACCGGGGCCAAGCTGCAGCTGCCGATTCTATTGCGTCGCAGGTCGCGTGGACTTGATACAGGGGCCCACTGAAACCGGGAAAACTGCGTTTGCAGCTTTGTTGAGCAGATGGGATTTGTAAATCTGTCGACGATTTCGAGCCCGTATGGCGTGTATTTGACAGACTCAAAGTCTTTTATTTCGTTGTGCTCTCTCTTGTGCGATTCTTGGAGAGAGAGAAGGAATAGCAGGAATCGTTGACATCTGGGCGGCACCGAACCCTAACGGAGTGGTCGGAGCCGAAATAGGAAGGTATATGACATCAATAGTATGTGATCATGTCTAAACGGGGTAGGATAAGAAAAGATAGTCTTTTCCGTAAAAAGAGTATTCTAATGACCTAAAACTTGAAAGAGGAATATGAATCTTTATATATGCCCTTCAGAAGGATTGCTCGCTCGCATGACAGAGCCAGCTGTTTCCTCCAGATGCCGGTGTGGGTAGATGTAGAGTAGCAAACAATGAATTATGCGGTGTCACAATATAACTTAGTTTTCGTTACAAATTTTATAGTACCGCCCAAGCCTCAGTGTTCTTAGTGGACATCTTCAAAGTAGGACGCTGAAGAGAATGGAATGTATTCTACATAAACATGATTTATCGTGTCGCCCACTAAATGAATAATGGGGTAATCCTTCTATTTGGCATGCTCGGTTACCTTGAAAGAGTACTGTGGCTTCATGTCATTCTTGACCGGGAACAAATCCCCACCATCAAACTGCATATCGCGGAGGTAGTACTCAAAGACCAATTTTTCGGCACTGAGATCTAGTGTAACGAAGCCGTTGGCGGCGGCCTGCGAGTTGGCGCCCAAGAACTTGACAAAGGGGCCAAGGGAGACACCGTTGTTGCAGTCACCGGCCTGTGGGTACCCGGCGCCACCGGACAGGACGAAGTTGGTGTTGTTGCTCTGGTAGTGGGCGGTGCAGTGGTCATGGCCGTTCAAGACGATACCGTTGTGCTTCTCGACGACCGAGATAAGGGGCCACAACTCGGTGTAGTTTCCGCTAACGGACAGGAAGCCGTGGTGCAACTGGAGGAATTTCCAGTCCGCCTTGGACTCGGCGAAGGTCTTGGTGAGGAAGTCGACTTGGGTCTGGGTAGTCTTGTGGCAGGCGGTGGTGTATGGGTTTTTGTATACCGAGGTGTCTTTCTGGTAACTGTCGATGAAGCAGTCTGAGTCGACGACGACGAAGGTAGCAGTCCAGTCTTCACCGACAAGGTCATAGGTATAGTAAGGCAACTTTTCAGTGCCAAAGTACCAGCGATCATCGTAAAGAGGAGCAATTTTGGTTTCAAAGTCAACACCGGATTGGCCGTAGACGATATCGTGGTTTCCTAGGCACTGGTACCAGGGAGCATTCGTAAAGACACCCTGCGAATACATGTCGACCCAAGCTTCTTGGAAACGGTTGATGCCTGTGGTGGTAAAGTCGACACCGCTATCGTAGAAGTTATCCCCGACAGAGACAAAAGCTTTGCAGTCTTTCTTCTCGCAGACATCCCCAATGTAGGTCGCAGTAGACTCTGGATGTGAGTTAGTGTTTTTACTTTCACAACCTTGAGAGTGCCAGTTAAGGATGTTCAACATACCTTGCAAAGCAGTGGCATTGGTGATGTAAGCACGGTCACCGGGATCGCAGTCGTTCTGCACGTCGCGTGGGATGGTGAGGTTATGAGCTTGCAAGACGGGCAGCACCTCGTTGCAAAAGTGCAAGTTGGCGGGCTCCCATCCGGTCCAGCCGAAGTCTATAAATGATCAGCTTAGTATGAGCAGATATAAATGAATAAACTAATTATTACATACCGCCAAGAATGCCAACAGTAAGGGTCTTCTGTCCCTTCGGAGCTACGACAGGGCCTTGGCCAGTCTGAGGCTTGCCATAGGCGACAGTCAGGGCAGACAGGGCCAAGACAGATTGAAGAAGAGCCGGCATTGTAAGTGATGGAGAAGACAGGAACAAGTAAAGCTTGTGAAGTAGCTGTCTGCCAATTATTTCCTGAAAGATCGAGAAATGCTACTGCTATTGCTTCTGGCGGCGTACTATATAATTACAGCCGACTCGCTGATTACGTCTGCAGGTGGAGTATTGAAGCAACAGGGATGTTCTGTGTACTCGGTTAACACGCGTTAGTTAAATGAAGGTGATCAAAGCTCAGGAGATAATAATACATTCTTCCCTAGAGTGCCTAGTATACGAGCACGTTGTCACTCCACGATGGCACTAGATGCAGACAAGCTTTTTCCCCCTCCTCTTTTCCTTCTTTTTTTTCCCTGGCCAGCGCGCTAGAACCAGGCAAGCTTTGTGGATAAGATCATCCACTCCCAATCAAGGTGCGCATTCAGCTTCAGCCTTCTCGAAGCGAGCGGAGCATTGACCTGCAGTAACGGACGGGTGAGCTGAGAGTGACGTCGTACTGGCGACTCCCGAATCATAGGTAAGTAATAATAACTACTAAGTTAGTTACTTGTTTGCTGAGTAATAGCACAGGCATGATAGGAGGATTCTACAACAGTACAACGAGACTCTGTATAGAGTATGGTGGAAAATCGGATGAGGCGAGAGATTGCCCTAAAAAGCTTCTTTGCCGCCCCAATTGCGAGTGCGGCGCGGCCCACGTGCTTCTCTCATATTACTAGCATATATTTACTACGGAGTAATTACTACTATCCTAGCATTAGCATACTGGCCAACTTCCGGCCAACAGCCTTTCTGCGGTGACATTCACCCATGCGACAATTACTTCGTGCAGCAGTGTGGAGTTTATGGTGGACATAGTTTCGATGTGAAGGGTACCCGGCAATACTTTCTGAAAGTACGAGATTTTCAAGTCTGAACACCGGATGCACGCATCTTATCTCTCCGTCTCGTCTATTATTATTAGTATATTCAGGCTTAACAACTGTATCTAGCCTCTAGGCTATGAAACCCTAATTACCGAGTACAAATCGCTAATGTTTCATACATTGGGATGTATCAACGAAGTGTCTACGACCATCCGTTTGGTCTCCCTTGAAAGAAAGACAGATTGAATGAGGAATTCTGACTACCAAGACATCTCTTGCCAATCCAACTATCAATAAATTTCGTCAAACCCATTTCTTCACAGGCGTAAGGAGCGCTCTGATTGGCTGAACGATTGGGGTCACCTTTTGTAATAGTCTTATTGCAGCCTCAGAAATAAGGCCACAAAACATGACATGGTCGATCGCGCTAATCCGCTCTCGGAAGCAATCTGCGAACTGGCCAGTCACCAGCTAGCATAGTATTTCAACTGAGAAATCAGCATGATAAATGCTCCCCGATCTTTGACAAAAACGTATAAAGTCGCATCCACGGACTTAAAATAAAGCCGACTGTGAAGGTGGTGTGATTTCGATCCTGTCTTCTCGAGCGCATTATAAATTCAGGCTGGATCCTGAGGGATGGATCATTATCGAAGCAAGTGAAACAACTCGCGACTGCTATCAACTCTACCGGTTGATTTAAACAAGAATTATATCTCAACATGTCTGCTCCGCTGTATAAGAAAGCTCTCATTATCGGTGCCACATCAGGCATCGGCGAATCGCTTGCCATCAAGCTCGTCTCTCAAGGCACCAAAGTGGTTCTCGTCGGGCGACGTCAAGAGCGACTGACGGGTCTCGTCAGCAAACTTAGCTCTGAAAACGCCTCATCAGTACAATTTGACATCACTAAACTATCCGAAATCTCCGCTTTTGCATCCAAAGTCACCTCTGAAAACCCAGACATTGACGCCGTCATCTTAAACTCCGGCATCCAGCGGCCCTTCAACTTTGCAGATGCAAAATCTGTCAATCTCGACATCTTCCAGGAGGAGTTATTGACCAACTACACCAGCTTTGTCCACCTCACATTAGCATTCCTGCCATTCCTACAGGCGCAAGAGACGACGACTCATCTAGTTTATCTCAGCGCGACGCTTGGCCTTGTTCCTACCTTGTTGAGGACTGGTGGATACAATGCTTCCAAGGCAGCGCTGCACCATTGGATCTTGGTGTTCCGCGAGCAGCTGAAAGCACAACCAGACAATAAAATCAAAGTAGTAGAGGTCTTCCCACCCGCCGTGCAGACTGAATTGCACGACACACACCATCAACCGGACCTAAAAGACGGCCATCTGATCGGCATGCCGCTGCAGCAATTTACTGACGAGACATACGAAGAGCTGGTGAAGGGTGAAGACCAGTTTGGCATTGGTATGGCAAAGAAAACGGTAGATGGTATCGAAAAGGAGCGAGTCAAGTTGTTCCAGGAGCAGTATCCAGTGATCACAAACGTGTTGTCACCGTTTCTGAAATAAGATCGCATCCTCAGTCCAATATTATCGGCATATGTCCATTAACAGCCATCATTTACAGACTAATGTTGATATGATTAATACCTGTAAAAGAGAACATCACCGTCAGATTACTTGCATATTGTTTATACTACTAGTAAAACTTGATAGACCGTCAAGCTCACCAATGCAGTGGCCCCGCCATGATCTGGGCGTCGGCGATCAATGGACGACCCCACGTCCGCTCTCGCCCATATAACCCATTATTAATCGCCTTCCAAAGACTGAATTTTTAATCTCGGATCGAACTACAACAGTCTTCTCTCGTTCTTTTATTGAAATTTTTGCGACGTTCTCTGCGACCATGACGTCATCTCCGCATTATCTAACCGGCGATCCGACGGCGCTGAATGAATTCATTGACAAATTTGATGTAGGTAAAAGCTCGGATTATTTACCTTGACGACAGCTAACACCGTTCATGGCTGAATCTAGGTCTTCCTTTTTGATTGCGATGGTCCGTGATATTCAATTGCGCCATGAGAGCGCGTGACAAGTTGTTCAATGCTGAGATCTTCGTGGGTTATTGTTAGGAGTGCTATGGTCTGGCGATCATGTGTTCCCAGGCACTGCAGACACTCTCGAGTTCCTGAGAAGTAGAGGTATATATTCGATGTTTCTATTATGGTTGTACACTCACTAAGGAAATGCCGCTCATTCTTCGTTGTCGATAGGGAAGCAGGTTGTCTTCGTCACCAATAACAGCACCAAATCCCGCGCCGACTATAAGAAGAAACTCGACGCTCTGAGTATTCCCAGCAACGTGGTATGTTACCCAACTCTCAACGTGTCTACTCCATTCTCTAACTGTACTTTTCACAGGAAGAGATTTTCGGTTCGTCCTACAGCGCCTCCGTCTACATCTCCCGCATCCTCAAACTCCCCGAAAACAAGCGTAAAGTCTTCGTAGTAGGCGAATCTGGTATCGAGCAGGAATTGCGAAACGAGAACGTCCCATTCATCGGCGGCACAGACCCGGCTTTTCGACGCGACTTCAAACCTGAGGACTACGGCTTGATAGCCAAGGGCGATCCGTCAATGATAGATCCCGAAGTCGGCGTTGTTTTGGTCGGTCTGGATTTTCACTTGAACTATTTGAAGATGTCGCTGGCATACAATTACATCCGTCGTGGTGCCGTGTTTCTGGCGACGAATATAGATAGTACGCTGCCAAATCAAGGCGGGTTGTTCCCTGGCGCAGGCTCGATTAGCGCTCCGTTGATTATGATGCTGGGCAAAGACCCGGTCGCCCTGGGTAAGCCTAGTCAAGCGATGATGGATGCTATTGAAGGGAAATTCCATTTTGATCGCAGCCGTACTTGTATGGTTGGTGATCGAACAAACACCGATATTCGATTCGGTATAGAAGGGAAGTTAGGTGGTACATTGGCTGTGTTGACGGGTGTCAGCACCAAGGATGACATTCTTCATGGTGAGGTTCGGCCCGCAGCCTACCTTGACAAGTTGAGCGACTTGTTGAGTGCGAGACAATGAGTGACGATTCTGATATATTGATATTTAGATTGGGTACATGTGGGATATGAAACTAGAGTACTAGATGCAATTAGACCATGCACAAATAAAATATATACATGTTTTTGGCGGGCTATGCATTTTGACCCAGTTTATTTTTGCGAATGAAGCTTCACAAATGTTTGCCACCAGAGAGCCTCTCGACTGATGATACCTCAGCTGTTGATTCTTTTGATGTCGGTTTCGAGGGAAAGCTTTCCGATTTCGCAATCAATTCAACATCATGCATGACATAACTCTTAATTTTCCACATATCAATCATTGCAGTCACCGACTTTGGGCCGTCGGGCCGGAAGAAAAGTGCTGTTTGGCTGAACCGGGGATGGCATGCTCGAAGCGCATCAAGATCGGGCCTTGATAACAACACAGTGAGATCATACACAGGAACCATAGACCCAGTTTGCGGGAGAGTTAGATAGTCCGGGAAAGCCGATTTAGAAGCTGATTCCAAGACGTCGATAGGACTACTCTGTGGAGCTGCAGATGGATCGCCCATGACAACCACGGCGCCGGTCTCCATATCGCTCATTTCCACTTGTTTTAATGCCTGAACCAAGGCAGATACCGACAGGTCAGATACTGGAATTTCCCTCCAAATATCGGCGTCATCCTTTTTTATTTTCTCATACCGACAAACCTCTTTCAAACCCTTGACCACCGCCTTGCCCATATGTTTCAACACAAAACTCGCCATGTCCTGGCGCCAGATCAAATCCCTGAGATCAATACGCTGCAGTCTGGGGTTGTCGATATGCCACTGGGACGGCAAGATAACCTTGGTATTCACTCTGTTCTTTTCATAACCTAGCATTTGCGGAATCTGCTGGAGAAGCAGAGCACGACTGATCATTCGTACAACACGGGGTTTGCCCTTGGACAATAAATCGTTGAGATTACCCTGCTCCGTATGCGACGTAGCCTTGATCTCTTCTTTTAATAAACCAGTGGGCAACCACCACAGACTACCGTAATTTTGCCTCTTGCTCGCGTCGTCAGATTCAGTCACTCGCCGAACCAGGCCCATTTCCGTGAGAAAAGTCGTTGGTAGTCGCGCCAAAGTTAATGAGCAGCTCCGTATCGGCGACGCAAGCGCCACAGCCCAAGGGTTATTAGCGAGTCGACCATGATCTGCTTTTGTAGCCCTGGGTTTTCGTTTCTTGTTGCCGGATTGGCGGGTTTGAGCTAGTTCTATGAGGGGGGATTGCGGAAGCGATGCAGATAATGGAGGGGATTTATTGAGTGAAGCGCCGTTCTTTGCTTCTCCATCGATATGTACTGATTCAGCGTCCGGAGATGTCTTCTGCTTGTCGAGACTGCTGTTGCTGTTTCTGTCGCAGTTCTCGGCATGGTTGCGGAGCTCGCGTGAGGAAAAATGCCTTCGCCGGGTTTGTGCTGTTATTTGAATTTGTTTGCGAGGTAGAAAGATATCCGAGAATACTCTTAGCCGCCATATTGAATATGGAACATTATTAGACAAACAGGCCATTGCTGCGAAAGTGCAGCTGTTGTCGAAATCATAAACAGCCCATGAGGAAGGAGCTGGAGCTGTGAGAGGGCGCTAACCCAGAGAGAGACTAGTCTATCCTGACTGGACATAATATCATAACAGACAGCTTGCATCTTCTCTCTACTTGAGATGTGTAATTGATCCGAAAGTTGAATATTGGGATACTGTCATAAAGTGTGCTGTTCTAGAGTGAGCTACTTGTCGACTAAATCCTCCAATTATCATCAACAAAGCTATCCAACTCGATGCCTACAGTTGCGGTTCGCACGTCCAACTCAGCACCCAAAGACTTGCAGACAGCTTGGCTTTCTACATTATCAGCTGCTACCTGAGCAATACACCAATCGCTTTGTGTCTTCTCCGAGTCCAAGGTGCCGTCACACAGATCTCGTATCAGCGACCCGGCCACCATCTTAGCCAAGCCTTTGCCACGATGTTCGGGCAGCACATATAATGTGGACAGCGACTTGTCAACTGTCAGATGTGCCCATGCAACAGCTTCTTTCTGCTTTGTCTTCTTATTGGTGAATAGGATTGCTGAATTCGGGTTTGATAGTAGCGTCGTGGCTTGTCGTTTCACCTTGGATGTGCTGACCACCAAATCAATTTGTTCTGGCGGCACTTTTCCCAGTTCATAACCCTCGGGTAGTCGGCGAGATAATATCAGGTCCTTGACTGTCGCCGTTGAGAAAAGCCATTGGTCCCATAGGTAGTGGTAGACTTTGGATTGTCCCAGGTTATTCACGAGCACGGTTGCTATCACTTCGTGCAACGCTGTGGATCGCAGCGTCGACGAGAATGGGTAGTTGAGTGGCTTGATATCTGCTGTAGCAAAGCTGTCCCCGATATCCTTAATAGCCTTCAAAAGCTGGCGTAAGTGGTCAGACAGCAGTTGATAAGACTCTTTGGACAAATCTTCTGGTCGTTTAACTTGTAAGCAGAGCGAATTGAAGATTGCTAGTTGGGCCTCATTATGGCGAGAGCGATCGACGAATGAGACTGTCACGGGTAAGTCTAGTTCAGTAAGACTAGAATTTGGAGGAAAGCTCGCAAAAAGACAAGCGTGTCGTTCTGGGGCGTTTTGCGGTGATTGTATGCGGTGGAAGATTGCGATTGTGGCGGGAAGGTGGTGACTGAGATATTGGAGAATGAGGGATGGATCTTCGTGTTTGAAAAATTGTACAGGGTTCATTCTTGCATATAATTAATTGTTGATAAATTTCTTCATCAAGTTCTATTTTCATTTTGATATGTGAAAATGCATAAGAAATATTGAGTTCAATGTTAGGCTGCTATAAGAGTACTTAGTGAATGAGTCATTTGGTTACAGCATCAATTGATCCCCTGACGTGCTCCAAAGCGGGCTACAATATTATTAATGTTAAATTATTTTATAAATACTTCAGAATTCCACATAATAGAAATGGGTTCTTACATTATTAAGTGCTCATCATAAGCCCTATCCTCGTGGAGTTAGTTCTCCAGTAGTTCAAAGCATCAATTCTATATTTATTTTTAACTAGATTTCATCTCACGCCATTACACCTCTTTTTAGAATTTATTGTACTTTATATTTAGAGCTATGGAGATGAGTAGGGTATCGGGGTCGCGTTTTTATTGTATACACACCGTTCTTGCGATACATCATACAACTTATCTGTCGCGCAAAAGCTCAAACTGAGTTTTGTGTACTCTCTTCTGGCTTCACCCTCTTTTCCAGGATTTCATCAACTATTCCCATCTCTAGTGCCTCCTTGGCTCCCATAAAATAATCTCTTTCCAGCAGCTTCTCGATATCATCCAGTGACATTTCTTTCTTCCCGGTGAGATGTCGCTTGTATATCTCATTCAGCTGAGCCCTAACCCTAAGAATCTCCTTGGCATGTATAGCAATATCACTAGCCTGTCCAAAATATCCACCTGAGGGCTGGTGCACCATGATCGAAGAATGTGGTAAACAGAACCGTTTGCCAGGGTGCCCGCCGCATAAAAGTAATGATCCCATACTGGCTGCCTGTCCAACGCAGATTGTGCTCACTGGTGATTGAATATAAGTCATTGTGTCGTAAATGGCCAAGCCCGCAGTGACAGAGCCGCCGGGCGAGTTGATGTAGAGGTGGATCGGTTTTTCAGGGTTATCGGCTTCGAGGAAAAGGAGCTGGGCGACGGTCGAGGCAGATGTGGTATCGTTGACTTCGCCATTGAGGCAAACTATGCGCTCTTTGAGAAGCCGCGAGAAAATATCATCTGCAATAGCGATGCGTTAGAAATGTGTTTCATGAAGGGTGTGAACACTTTTACAGGTATGCCAGCCTCCTCCCTGAAGAATTCATTAGCACTTCGTTGACCAAGAGAAGAAGCTATTGCGATTTAGACAGACATACCACTGTCTCGGTCACATAGGGTGTTGGTGTCCATCCTCGCGGTGGAGCGACTGCTGATCGAATGGGCCCTGATTCTGAGAATGCTCTCGACGCCGCCGGTATCGACCGTGTGGAGACGGACAGTAGAAGCGCCTGCCTTCGGGCCGATCTCCCTAGCATCTGCAATGGCTGTGTCGTGTGCATTTTGATCGCTCACTGAAGAGGACAGGACAGGACAGGCAGTTGGAAGCTTGGAGTGGAGCTCGAGAGAGGTTCGGCGATACTGCCAAGACCTGTGCCTGGCTTGCTGCAACCTGCTTGTCTCGTGCCTTTGCTTGTCTCAACAGCTACGTGAGGATAATATCTGTACTGATGTTAAATTTGGAATTGAGTTTATTTAAAGCTTATTCTCTCATTCTTTTCAACATCTTCTTAATAAAGCAGTGCTAATGCTATATTGACGCAATCACGTGCCTCCAATCTTACTCTGGCGCGCACGGACTGCTAGGCGGTGAGGCTTATCGGGCGGTGAAAAAATAATTTCCGTAGCAACTTCCTGCCTTCCCCATTTTAATTTTTTTTCTTAAGGAAAAATCTGTAACCCCCGACCTTCTTCCCTTCACTCTTGTCATTCCCCTTACTTTTCCATCACCCATCTAATTTCGAGGACACTCTGTTCCTCTCATAGATTATTCATCACAAGGTAACATCAACTGACCCAACACCCTGAACAATAATCTTCCAGATCACTTTGTGGGCTGTTATCACTGAGGGCTGTGGGCTGTGGGATAATTGCATTGCTTTCCGTGGGCTTCATCCATCTAGTGGGCTTACCATACCAAGAGGGTTGCATTATTGCCTTGTCCGTCTCTGTGGGCTTGAACATCGTGGGCTCTGTGGGCTAAGATACTTGTGGGTTTCGTCCTCGACTGTTGACTGATTCATCGTATCTTCGTGATCGATAGTTGGTTTTTGTTGCTGTTGCTCAGTGGGATTTCGCGTCTATTCTGAGGGTCTTGTGAACTATCGGATCTTGAGATTTGATAGTCTTGTGGGATATCGCTGGAAAATTTTTACACACTAAGTAATCAATTGAGTTCGTGGTCAAAAAGCCTTTACCCTGTTGAATTACTAACGGCTCTATCTCGCAGATCAAAATGTCCAAGTCTAAGGCTACCACCAAGGCCACCAAGGCTACCGACAAAGTCTTGTCCAAGGTCAAGGACGCTGGCGTCGCCAAGTCCTCTCAGTCTCCTAAGGCTAAGAGCAAGGATATTGCTCGCAAGGTGAAGGAAAAGGAAGAGAAGACTTCTCGCAAGAAGAAGGAGTCCACTCCAAGCTCTAGCTCTGAATCCGAAGATTCCGACAAAGAGGAGGAGGAATCTTCAAGCGAAAGCGAAAGCGAAGCCGAGCCTGCCACCAAGAAGGCCGAGTCTGAGTCTGAATCCGAATCTGACGAATCCGAGTCCGACTCCGAAGAGGAGACCAAGACTAAGAAGCCTGAGATCAAGAAGGCCGAGACTAAGAAGGCTGAGCCAAAGAAGGAGACCAAGAAGGCTGAGTCTGAGTCTGAAGAGGAATCCGGATCCGGATCCGAGGAGTCTGAATCTGAGTCTGAAGAGGAAACTAAGAAACCTGAAACTAAGAAGGCTACCAAGAAGGATGAGTCTAGTGATGAATCTGGTTCCGAGAGCGGTGATGAGGTTTGTCTTAACTTCACCATCTTTCCATTAACTATGCTAATCCGATTAGGGATCTGACTCTGATTCTTCCGAGTCTGAGGAAGAAAGCGAGGATAGCAAGCCCGTCTCCAAGAAGCGCAAGGCTGAAGAGGAGGAGACTTCTACAACCAAGAAGGCTAAGACCCAGGACGCCGACAACTCTCCCAATCTGTTCGTTGGTAACCTTTCCTGGAACGTTGATGAGGAGTGGCTCCGCCGTGAGTTCGAAGAATTCGGTGAACTCGCTGGTGTTCGGATCATGACCGAACGTGATACCGGCCGTTCTCGAGGGTAAGTCTCATCTATACATTGGTTCTTTTCAAATCCTGATTGTCTGTAGATTTGGTTACGTCGAATATGCCGACGCTGCTGGTGCCAAGGCAGCTTATGAGGCGAAGACGGGTGCCGAGCTTGACGGCCGTGTCATCAACCTCGACTATGCCAAGCCCCGTGACAACTCCCAGCAGAATTCTCGTGACAAGGCTCAGTCTCGTGCTCGCTCTTTCGGAGATCAGACCAGCCCTGAGAGCTCTACCCTCTTTGTTGGTAATCTTGCCTTCAGCGCCAATGAAGATACTATCCGTGAGGCCTTCGAAGCGCATGGAAGCATTCTTGGTATTCGCCTGCCTACCGACCCTGAGTCTGGCCGTCCTAAGGGCTACGGATACGTCGAGTTCTCCTCCATCGATGAGGCCCGCCAAGCTTTGAAGGAGCTCCATGGTGCGGATGTCGAGGGACGTTCTCTCCGCCTAGACTACAGCACTCCCCGTTCTCAGGGCGATGGCAACCGCGGCGGTGGCCGTGGACGTGGTGGCTTTGGTGGCCGAGGTGGTAGTGGTGGCTTTGGAGGTCGTGGTGGTGGTGGTGGTCGTGGAGGACGTGGTGGCTTCGGCGGCCGCGGCCGTGGTACTGGCGCCAACAGCACCAACAGGGGTGGCTTTGGCGACTACTCAGGCAAGAAGACTACCTTTAACTAAACAACTAGCCAATCAGGCTTATTGTTTGATACGGTAAGTTGCGTTTATCGCATTCAATTCTAATCTTGTTTTGCCATTCCAAGTAATGTGGGCTCGCTGGACTCGAAGATTTGCGGTATGAACTCGTAATGAGACCCCTAAAAGTTTGCTCAATGATGTTTCACCATTTCCTTTGTATCATCCCCGACATGCTGCGCTGTGTATTTCTATAGATTGCACCAATACATTATTATAATTAGTATGCTATTCTTCACGCCCTCCGCCATTCTCTCCTGGTAGCCAATCACAGCAGGCAGCAGCCCAAAAGCGGGGCATGCCCCATGACGTGGTTGACGCCAACTTGGCACAAGACGACGATCCGTTATTCCCACGCACTAGATCAGCGTTATCCAGGGAGGCTCCCACCCACTTCAGACGAGATAAGGCTCGAGTGCCTAACACCAGACTATTTCCACGGCCAGGGCGCAGCGATGTCGTTACCCCATATTGTTCGTTCCCATCATTCCTGTTTCCCAACAGGTGACAAGGACTTCGATTCTTCTTTCTCTCTACATCTCCCGGTTATGCGTCCTGCTGGATGCTTAGGCATACGATTTCTCAGCGGAGAGACCATCATCCACGCTTTTCTTTTACTCCCAGCAGTGTAAATCCAGGTAACGTGCCTGGCTGGCGTCATCACGATTCCCTACTGATCTGCCGAAGCGGTCAGGCGTCGCCGTCAGTCCCGTGCATGATTACTACTATCACGAATGACGTGCCGCCAACCCAGTCCTTGACTTTGATTTCTCTCTTCGAAGTTGTCTTGGGAGAGTCAGCTCATGGGTCTTCATTCATGGCCTTTGATGCTGGACACCATCTGTCAGGCATCAGTGATTACAGCCGGCCCCCCCAGCGCCGATAAGATAGCAGCACTTCATAGCGACACCGACACCGCTCAGCCCGCCCCACCATCCGCTCTCCCTCCGAGAGCGTACTATATTATTTTCAATAGCTGAGTGCTACATTGAGACGCTCTGCCCGCGACGGTCTTTTTCAATCATTTATTTTTTTCCTTCTTTTAACCAGTCGATCCAGCAAATATGCAGTCCCATTACTCCGATCTGCCTAGCCATAGCCCTGCCGTGACCTCGGAGAGCAGAGCAGCCATGTCAAGGGCACGGGATGACCCTCAGATGTCGCAAGACAGCCATCAAGGGTCACGGAACCAGTCGGCTGTAGCTCCCATGCGCTCAGAAGGTAGGAATAGCTTCTTTTTCTGACTTGTATCTCTGAAGAGTCTCTTTTTCTCTTCCCTCAATTCCCCTTCCCTTGAAAGAATACACCTCGCAATATTCACTTTCAAGAGATGGATTCGTCTTATCCCAGCACGCCGTCGCCTTCCGGCGATATCCCGTTTATAAATCCATTTGATATGTACTCACTCCAGTATTATATAGATTCTTGGATCGAAGTATCTTCGCAACCGTCCTCGTCCTCTCTTTCCTCGGCCGCAACTACCGATGATATTATTACCACCGGCTTACGAGTAGAACGATCCGTACCAGGACCCAAAGGTCGGGCTCGACGAAAGAGAGCTAGACAACTTCAATCATCATCTACGCAAAACAGCGAATCTTCACGCGCCTCCAGTGTCGCCGGCACGAGTAGCCAGGAGGAATATGAGGAAAGTGATAGTGAATCAGATAGGGTTTTGAGCGGCTCAAATGAGGATGTCACAACACGGTCGCGAGGAGATGCTCTTATGCTTCCCCATGACTCGCTGTCTGAACCACCATCGTCAGGCGACGATGACGAAGATGACGACCGGTCCGCTGCATTAGGTCCCCGGCTGGCTTCCGCTCCCTTCGTTCCCCAACCGAATGTCTTTTCCCATGCGCCTCAGTATACAAGATCAAGATCATATAATGGGCCTCAGACTACGCCAAGTCTGGTCTCAAACAGCAGCCAGGCAACCGCCGTTCGTCACAACTCTAGTTCCACGGTTCGGGGCCTTAGAAGGAACAGCCGTGCACAGCATACACCATACAACATAATATCTCCGAATTATCAGGCGGATCACGACGCCGCACTTCGTGCAAGTTTGTCCACATTGCTATCGTTAGGGACGGCAGTTCGTGGGGTGCCCAAAAATGAGAGCCCTCCAGTACCCGCTGGCCCACCAGTTGCGCCGGCGTCTTCGTTTCGGCTGGTCTCGGAGTCTGTGGCTATGGGAGAAGATGCTGGCGACATCAGTCCTCATACAAAAAACGATTATACCGCAGATCAAAGATACGCGCGACAACCTAAGTCTGTTGGGTCCAATACTTCGTCAACACCCTCGAAGACAAAAAGAAAGTCTTCAAAGGATCGCGGTTCTGCTCATGCTACTTCATCTAAGAGATCACGGCGTGGTAACATGACCGATTCACTTATCATAGTCAACCCAACATTCATGACGTGGGTCATTAGCGCCGGAGTTGTTGTCTTGTTCTCTGCAATTAGCTTCTCTGCCGGATACGCCCTTGGCCGTGAAGTTGGACGAACGGAGGCTGGAATAGGCACTGTGGCGGGCGGCGGCGCCACGGATTCGTTCGCAAAAGTGAAAGCGTCAGTAGGATGCAGTAGAGATGCCGTTCAAGGAAGCCTTAAGCGTCTGCGGTGGGGAAGTTCCGGTGCTGGAGTCAGCGTTTACAACTAATTGCAATATCACTCTCAGCACCTTTGTTTTCCATTCATTTCCCGCCTCTTGAAATGGTCCCATACTTAATTTCGCTTATGGTCAACTTTAGTGGTATTTCCCTGGGGAACGAGACGAGAATGATCATGACCTTATACATAACGCGACAATCAATGTTATACCTTCTAACTTGGCAGGAAAAAAACTATATATGGCACCATGCACTTCGATTCCCCTTTCTGTCTTTACCTTTGTCTCTCGGAGAAACGAACATACGATAGCCATGGTTATGGATATTATGAAGCTATACGACATATCCCTTGAGGAATGACATGAGGATTTGTTTTCAACTGGAGTTTAGGCGTGTGTTATTGCTTACAGGTGATATTGATGTTCGAAGTTCGTATTATTTGATTTTTTGGTGATTTGGTGAAATACTTAGCAAGGTGATAGGCGAGAGTTTGATAAATACCCTTCTTTAACAATAATCTTTAACTACGATCAATATCTTCATTTTACACTGTTCATTATATTTGTAGATGCCAAACTATATAAATTGAAACAATAAGACTTAGAGATCAGCCGCGCTAACTACTTGAGGAAGGTATGCACGGAGGAAATATATCCATCGAACAAGTAAAGAACTATGTACAAATATAAGTATTCGAGACGTAAAACAGAGAAAAATACAGTATGTTACGTGATTTTGCAAACAAAGCACAGACCAAATTAGTCCTAGCGCCGTTATTGCCAAGAAATCGCGTTGAACGTTTCTTCTCGAATTACAACATCGTCCTTCATCTACAACATCTAGCAGGGAGCTTCTACTTCTCTTCACTAAATGGCTGAGATATGGGTTCGCGGCCTCTTCCCACCATTTGTTCTGTCTGTTCGGCCCAGTGGAAGAAACGGCCAATGACTGTGAAATATCCCCGTGTTGTCAACCACCATAAAGACAGCAATAGTGCCGGCGTTGTGACCGCAGCCGCCGTAGCAAATGACCCTGCAAACGACCTTGGGAATGGCCTCGAACGAGGCAGCAGCTCTCAAACACTTCTGGTAATTGCTAAATTTATGCAAATACTCCGCAACGTAAGCCGAATATATGCTTCGTTTACTCGCTGACTTGTACATACAGGTCAAGCGTCAAAAAGACAAATGGCTTTATAACGGTTGCGTAAATCTTCTCCGAAGCATCCGCTATGAGAGCCTTGCAAGTGGCAATACTATACGGACTCCAGCTAAAGTCACGAGCAGTGCTGGTTATGAGTTCCTCTGTAGCTACAATTGGGTTGGTTCTCAAGAGCCTCGTATCTATGTACCTGGTAAGCAGATTCAGCCCACCATACCTTTTATTTCAAACGTAATGTACTAAAGTTTGGCCAAGGTAGTCCACGGGAGCTTGATTTAAAGCAAGAGGAACTCCCTTTCACGGTACCGGTCGATGCAGGTCAATCCTTTATAGACCAGAATGCTTATAAATCAAGAAAGCATCAGTTCGAGCCATTATTCTTGGCCCTTGATATCATGAAGCCAGATTTCAAGTTTAATGATGTCGACCTGGTAGCAGATCGCACATCTCTGCGTCGACTAATGAAATTCGCGGCTGGGAAGCTTGGCGACATATTTCGCGTTGATCTTCGAGTAGTGCAAAATACCTTATTTATGAACCGTCGCGAGCGGAAGTCGCTGACTTGGGCGAGCAACAATAAATCCCACCATAGCTATGGATTTGGCTTTGAGGCCGCGGTAACGCGCCCTCTACCTGGTTTGGAGGATAGTTCCAGTCATCATCGTATTATACAGTACCAGATGGGGGGGTTGAAGTGCGTGGTTCGATACGAAGTTGATGTGCAATTAAACGATGATAATGGAAAAATCGAAACAGAAGTGAACTACACACCGCATTCGTCAGATAGCTTGAAAAATGCCCCAAGCGAAGACAACAATGGTCAACGGCAAGGAGATTTTCGGGATCGTATCCAAGTCATTCAACGTGGTAAACATAATCCGTCTGCGAAAATTGCCGAAATAAAAAGCCAACCTCTGGGGAAGAGCTCTAGACGGTTTTTAGCATATACGCCTCAACTCTGGTTTGGACGCACTCCTAACTTGATATATGGGGAGCACAAGAATGGAAATTTTGAAACTGTGCGAGTCGCTGACTTCACGGAAAAACTGATCAGGTGGGAGACTGAAAACCAACAGGCTCTTCAAAAATTGACTCTCCTGGTTACCCAGTTAAGATACATAGCTTCCACGAATCGATGGGGCTGTATCGCTGTACATTCTACGGAGAACCCTGGGGTTTTGAACCTGTATCGCCCAAGTAGAGAAATCCAGCCTATTTCTGCCAAATTTATTCCCGTTCAATGGGACGGCTTTAAATACGTGCCTAGAAACATAAATTCGAAAGACACGTGAAGATTCTAGCGCCAAAGTCACACAAGAAAAGCCGAGCTCTCATACAGAGAGGTAGCTTTATTAGTATGGGGCTTTCTCTCTAATTGAGAAAGACATATCTTACCGTTACCATTACGCCATGGAGCCATGTTGTTTGTCAGGCTTCCCTTCTCGTCTCGGAACGATAAAAGGGGGGAAGGGAGGCCGTCTCAATGAACGGCGATGCAGCCGAGGTTGTGCATTCGGCGAATAAGTCATTCACGGGAACTTACAGAACACTTGTCAAGGATTTCAAGAAGTTTAGCACCAAGGAGAAATGCGCTTTTTAAGTCTATATTGCTGGTATATAGCATGTGATTGGAAAGGAGGCCTCTCAGTTTCGATTGGTGAATAGATTTGATAGACTGTACATACGATTTATACTTGAGTAGTGTTTTGAAGGGTGCGTTGATAATTACTAGGCGAATTCAATCGAGAAATCGAGACATAAAACACAAACAGATACTAAAGGTTTATTTTAGCTTTACATATCATCACAATGAAAACATAGTAATTAGCATCATTGGTCTAGTGGTAGAATTCGTCGTTGCCATCGACGAGGCCCGTGTTCGATTCACGGATGATGCATGATTTTTTATTTCCGTATAATTTGAGTTTGATTTTTGAAATTCAATTGTCAACAATAAATAGAAATCTGGCACATATGTGCCAATCTACTGCAATGATTTTGTTAACTCTTGTTTCTTTCAATGGATACAGCCTCGTCTCATCTCTATTATGACATTCCTTGAAAAATAAATACTACTATTAACTTCTCCGTATAGAATCGATATTAAAACCTCTATTTAGAGTGTATCCCACATGTGAAATCATGAATGAAACGGATCTACAGTCGTTAAATTAATCAACCACCTCAATAACTGTCCAGGTCACAGTCCACATCCACCCTCTTCCTCCAACTTTCTCCATAACCCTTCTACTCGCTTGATTCGTTCTCGCCACATCCGCATGTGTAGAAGTTAGATGCGGCATAATATCCCCGTATTTTCCATCTTCCATACCTTTGCGCATAATCGCTTTGGAGAGTGTAATTGCCAGCCCCTTCCCTCGATGCTCCGGCTCAACGTGAAGCGTCACCAGAGAGCCGTCGAAACCAAGAAAACCCCATGCGATTGGCGCATTCCCATCTCCATCGCAATTGTCTTCAGCAGTAGTATTTTGAGATTCATAGATAACAACACTAGGCATGCTCAACAGTGTATGCGGTTCGCGTGGTATGTGAGTCCTGGATCTCACCAACTCAACATGTTCCGGCCGCAATCCCTCTTTTCCATAGTAGTATCCTGATGGAAGAGGGTGGTCCCTGCCACCGGCGGTTTGAAAGACGTCTGGACCAAAGACATATTTTGCGTAAGGCGTGACATCGTATCGATGGACTTTGAGTCCTGAAGGAATCTCGGGGTTTGTATACGAGCCATTACTAAATAGAAGCTGCATCAATCCTGTATGAAGACTTCCAAGGAGTATAGCAGGAGGCACATGTAGTGGAATGACATTCTGTGAGGGGGGGGTCACTTCGATTTTCGCTTCCTGCGTTGAAAGATGAGACAGGTAGGAAGGCATTAATTCTTGATTTATGAAATATAGTAGATCACGGAATTGGTGCCGCGCAGTAGCTTGCTTATGTTCAGAGAGACCTTCAAAACTGGAAATCTTTTCGTCATCGCTATTATCGTCACCGTTCATCACTTCTGCCTCAAGACTCGAGTAGACCCATACTTGAGTTTCGCGACCAGCGAACAAATCAACATAAGCTGCGAGCCAAGGGTCGTCATTCTGTACAGTTTCTGTGAGGTTCGCAGTTGTCAGATAACGGGCTGTATTTCTGGGCTGAGCAGTATCATATTGGATCCGTCTGAGAAGAGGCGTTGAACTGGGGAGAAGCCTTTCTAAGTTTGGGATGAGTGATTGTTGGGGGTTGTCATTGTGGGAGATGAATCGGGTCTGAATTGATTCAGACATTATCTATATGCTCTTGGCTGAAATTTTGATGGGGAATTTCCTTTAATTGTACCGTCTTGTATCTGATTTGTTTAGACGATGAGTCAGAGTATTGAAGTCGTTGGTGGGGCTTACTAGTAGACTAAAACGCCGATGATTGCAAATAACTAGGTGGTATCCACAGACGTATCTCAAGAAGCGGCTGAAACATCGGTAGTGGATAGAGCGTTTTGCAAACAATATTCTATCAAACATAATTTTCTAAGGGTTTGTAGACCTCTGAATTATTTGCAGTTGCATATATGTAGTCGGCAAGATATGACGCATTAGAAGACTGGCCAAATTCTACGCTCTCTATTGGTGACTGCGTGTGATGGCAAATTCATAATCTAATAGCAGAAGATAATATCAAGTAAATCAATAGGTTGATATAATAGCCCATTTTCGCTTAGCAGTTGGGGATTGCTTCATGTTTGAGTACACCTCTGACAGATGGTCGGTTTTACGAGACAAAAATAACAAGAAAGAATTGGAAATGAAAAGCCAGTGAAATAAAACTGGGAGCCAAAATAATGCAATTAACTACAAATGAAGTCTGGAAGCGATTCTTTTGACGGCATGATCCCTGTGTACAAGTCAGCTTTGTGTCGAGACCTATCAATAGTGAATAGATTCGTCGAATATAGATTCTTTTAACAAGTCTACCAAATAGCTTGCTAGGTGGAATGTCGGCAATTTCTCTCCAAATGAACACATTCTTGGTTACATTGACATAACTCTGCCGTAATTTCAAATTGTAGCAGAGAAAAATGTTAGTGCTTGCTGGTGGAAGCGTTTACGAGAGTCTAAATATGGAATGCTGTTTGTTACATTTGCAAGTATAATCCAAACCTCAAGCCTGGTCTACGAACTTTTAATTACCTTTTATTCTAGTTAGTACTCGCGATTTTAAAGAGCTCTCAATATGTTGTGCGGACTTCTTTTGGGCATTTCATAACGTGCAGCTTTGATCACCATGCAGTTAGCACCTTCCCAGTACCTTCAACAAGCAGGGACGCATGTGAAAATGCATGAACACTGCAATGCTCCTCTTAAATAACACAATAGTGCCCCAGAAGTATGAGTGTTGAGAATTTTAAATATGCCCGATATGAAAGATTTTAAGCTAAATTACCCTTGCTATATCATCTGTCTATCCAAGACCTAGCATATATGAGGTAGAGAAAGAGAAGCTGGCGAGGTTACTTTCTGAATATTTGGGAGACATATTTAAGCTCATGTGTCTGTTCTTACTGGGGAATACTGAGAATGAATCATTTCCAACACTAGTTGTCATTGTTCAACCCGGCGCCTTTTGCGACTGGGAAAACCGAGAGTTGAAGATAGTCCGAATTGCTGGGGAAATCTTCTTTCCAGGAGCTGTCAGTGCTACAGCCCAAAAGACATTGTTCATGATTCCAGTAAAATTTTGCCTCCTCAAATGGGGTCCAGTATAAGTCCGCATCAAGAACTGGACTGGCGAACGCCATTTCCAGCAAATGGAGACACTTGGCGATTACATTAAAGCAAGGATTGGGAATGAAGTCTACAAGTGCTTCCTGACCTGTGATCATGTTCTCAACCCGACAGATCCCTCATAAGGTTCCAGGAACACAGTTTCAAGTTAAAATCTAGTGATAATACTGTTATCTGCCATCAGAAGAGGCTCTTGCGGACCTAGTCAAAGTGGAAAGCGACAAAATCAAGTATATTATTGAGCGGCGGGACGGTAAATCCGGCGGCAGTTCTGTGACATCAGAAGAGAATAGGGAAGAAAAAATCGAATGAATTCTCAAATCGAAACTGTCCAGAATATAGTCGTTGCCACTATCTCAAAATTCCGTCTAGAACTTGGTAGAGTTTTTGTCTCTAGTAAATGTACTATAGGCGCTGAAACCTTGTTTCTTATCTCCTTTTCAGTTTCTTTTTCCTTGCTCTATTTACTATTAACATGGTAAGAATCTGATATGAAGGGGGTATTCTTAATTTCATTCGTTACATAGATTTATATGCTATCAATTTAGGAAGTAATAAGCTTTCACTTGATATCACGTCATTTGAATTCGTCATGCTTCTCATACTGAGAACTTTGCAACCCAAAACTAAATGCCATCATACATGTAAAAGCAACAGTGACAACACTCATCATATGCGGAGACAACCAACCATACAGCGCTCAACTTGTGACTACGGATGGGATATGTGAACTTTTCTCGATCGCGTGTCCGCATCCATCGTCTATCCAACAAACTCCTCGTCTAAATCAATCTGATAGGTAGCAGACTTACGAGCTGGAATACGTCTGTGAAACATGATATCCAGTTCGGCAAAAGTTCTGCCTGCTGTCTCAGGTAGACGGAAAAAGCCCCAGGTGGCGGTGAGCAGAGCGAGGCCGCCCCAGAAAAACGCCTTTTACAGTTTCAGATTAGCCACGCATGAGTGAGGAAGATGATTGCCTACTGTTTTTCCCGCGGCATTCCAGGACGTGGGCGACATGAAATATGGCTCTAGTACGCCACCGACGATATTACCAATATAATAGACACTTCGCCCCAAGACGATGGTCTGTGTCCGAAGACGTGTCGAGCCAATTTCAGCCACAATTGTAAAGACAATCGGACCAATCGACATGGAGTATACGGCGAGCCAGGCCAAACACAGCAGCCCCTGTGCCCACGAAATCGCAAATGACTTCGGAACACAAGCCAGAATACCGATCAAAAACAAAATAACGACCGACAGGCAAAATCCACCGAGCCAGATATCCCGTCGGCCCCAACGAGAGATGTAGAACCAGGAAAGAGCAGAGCAGATGACCGAAATACCTGTGCCTGCCAAACCAAGAGCATACGAAGTTGAGGCGGACATGCCGGTTTGTTCGTAGAAGAAAGTTCCGCTATAACATAAAACAGACCCACTGGTGATTTGTGACAGATATACAACGCACGCGATCTCTGTACGACGCAAGTTAGTCCCTCGTATGGCGTCCCAGTAGGTAACACCTTCTCGCTCAGCTTTCTCAAGGTTGTTCGTTTGCATCATCAGTGCAATATGAGAGTCATCGTCGGACTCATTATCAGAAGATAGTTTCTGACAAGCTCGCTTTGCTTCATCGAGTTTGCCAGCGCGGACCAGATACCAGGGAGATTCAGGTGCGAAGAGGACGCCGATGAATAAAGGAAGGGGCCAGATCCACTGTGTCGCAAACGGAATGCGATAGGACCATTGGGTCGCATTATTGACGAGGGCTTTGAGAACACCCGCTGAGATCAGTTGACCAGCGCAGAAACAGACATTCACGTAGGCAGTAAGGTAACCTCTGAGCGCGAGCGGACCAACCTCTGCAGCATACGCCGGTGCTGTTGTCGCGCAGATGCCCCAGGGAATACTACACAGCAACTGGCCCACCAAAATGGTTTCGATATTAGGAGCGAAGAATGTGATAAATACGGTACCAGTCAGCCAGACAAGGGCAGCCATTAGAACCTTGCGAGGCCCGAATTTCGGTGTGAAATATCCATTGAGCAGTGCGCCAATGATATTACCAACCGAACCAATGTCTGTCAACCCGGCTTGCCATTTGGAGGAGATTTGATAGCCGCTTTTGGCATTTAGCCAAGTGCCGTACCTTTTGCGGAAGGCTGGATACCCTATAAAGTTGCCGAGTAGGTGATTATCGTACCCTTCCATGATTACGGCCGTGGATATGACTAGGCTCGTGTGTTAGTCTAGAGTCATTAACATCAAATACCTAGGCTGGGTAAAACTAACGAATAGACCATAATGCAGCTTTCTTGTATATCTTCAGGGCTCGCCATATTGTTAGGCTGTGCTCGGCCTCAGTGGCATGACGTGCCCCAGCATTTAATGCCTTTTGATCGGATTGAAATTCTTGATGGACGGGCTCATGCTTTAAGCACCTGACTTTTTCAATGATTTCTGCCATGATGGAGCAATCTGCATCCTGTTGCGTTTTGAAGTGTTTAGAAATCGGTTGCGATTGACACTGGTCGCAATCGGCCTATAAACGTCTGACTGCGTGGGGATTTCATGCGAGGAAATTGAATTTAGGCTGATTGAATTTAGGCATATACTCGGGAATATTTATTCAAAGGCTTTTACGTTCACGGGGAATCATTTTATCTCTATCTTGTTCGTGTTCCATCTTCGGGCCATCTGCCGGCCTACGTTCCGACGCGTACGATTGGCCTCGTGACTTGTTTGAATGGAATTTTAAGAGAACGTACGATGAAGGTAGACTCAGTTATTCTCCATTTTGGCTGAATGTATGGATAATATCAGGAATCTACAGGTTCTGGTTAACACTGCATAAATTACCAGCCCGTTTCAATTTCCACACTCCAACTCAGAGGTATGCTTGATACTGAGAATAGGCTTTTGTGTATCGAAGTTAGTTGACAGTACTATTTATCGAGGAGATACCAGGACAAAATGAACACGTATGCGAACCCGGTAATACCTGGATTCAACCCTGATCCTTCTATCATCAGGGTCAAAGAAGACTATTTCCTGGTCACTTCGAGCTTTGAATACTTCCCCGGAGCCCCAATCTATCATAGCACAGATCTTATTCAATGGAAATTGATTGGACATGCTTTAAATCGCACCAGTCAGATCCAGATTCACTCCCCGGAGCCCGGTGGAGGCGTGTGGGCGACTACTATACGGCATCATAACGGAGCCTTTTATGTAACTGCGGCCAATTTCAGTAGGTATAGGCCTCTGCAGGACGATAGAGTGCTACCTCGCGGGTTCTATGTCTGCACGCAAAATATCTGGGATGAGAATTCGTGGTCAGACCCGGTTTATTTTGATCAGGTCGGCTTTGATCAAGATGTGTGTCTGTCATCGTCAACAAAAATCATGAATCTAGGTTAATGTCACTAACAATTTGTATATGATAGCTTTTCTGGGATGATGACGGTGCTGTCTATCTTTCGACCACACGTCCCAAGCTTAATCGTACGCAGAATGTAAACCTAAAAGACTTTGCCATTCAACTTCCGAAACCAAAATAATTCGCGAGTCACCATCTGGAATATCTGAGGGTTCGCACATCTTCAAGAGAGTCAGATACTACTACCTTCTCACAGCCGAAGGCGGCACCGGCAGCGCACACAACGAGTGCGTATTTCGGAGTGAGAAAGGTCCATTTGGACCATGGGAAGCCGCCCCGCACAACCCTGTTTGTCGAAATGGAATAAATGACGAAGTGCAGAATACAGGCCATGCGGATCTAGTAAGTGATAGCCAGGGGCAATGGTGGGCTGTGCTGCTGGGAGTACGGCCTGTTTGGAACAAGAATAGATGGGAGACCTCAGTATTTGGTGAGTTTATATGACCTGAGTTTTGAATAATTTTCTTACCCCGTCGTTCAATAGGTAGAGAAACGTTTCTCATTCCTGTGGAATGGGTAGATGACTGGCCTATTTTCAATAGAGGTCACAAAGTATCTCTCCTCTGCACAGGCCCCGGTGTATATCACTATGAGGCATCAATATCATGGAGGGACGATTTCTCAACACCCAAGTTGCAATTGGGTTGGTATCGAAAGAGTACAACCCCATTTCTTTAAAGTCTAGCTTATGAGACGAGAGCGTATTGGCTTACGATAATAACATAGACACTCCTCTCAAGGTTGATTATTCCTTGACTGTCCGTTCCAACTTGTTGCGGTTATATGGGGGTCCATACAATCTATCAGTCCCAGCAAGTCCAACACTACTACTTCGAAAGCAGACACATCGATTCTGCAGATGGGAGACTCGACTATCATTCCACCCTTCATCGACAATAGCGGAAGCCGGCACTGTAGTATGGTGGAATTATTTCACGTACGCTAGCATCGGCATCCGGACAAATGGTGAAAATAGATTCGTTCGATTTCGGGATACAATGGGAAGGTTTACAGAACGGAAGCTGAAGGGTTATAACTCGGATGTCGTGCTCTGTATCGTCTGTGGTGATGCATATCTGCTTGGTTTTAGAGAGGTCGGTGATGAGTCTGAAAAGTTCCAATGGTTTGATGAAGTGAGCAATGCTGCCATGACAGCAGATCCGCCTATTGGGCTTAGCTTTACGGGGATGATGCTAGGCCTATATTCGTTTGCGGAGGGACAGCCATCATCCTCGCCGGCGGACTTCCATTATGTCGAAGTTAATTGATTGATTGGCGTTAATATTTCAAATGTTGACAGTTACATCTCTACTATTTGTGCCAAGTATACATGCCTGCACTCGGGAGGTGTATGGTTCGGACTAATATCACGATGCACTAAATAAGAAGTATTCCCAAGGTTACAGGCTACAACCGTTGTTGTGAAGCTGAGGGGGCTGAGCTGAAGTGCGTCGACATATAAAAAAGTAGGGCGCAGTACCTTGCGGTGTATTTCAGATAGTTTCGGTAATCCTACGGGCCTTCTCCGAAGTTCCTAGTGATAGTACCTCGCCGAGTACATATGTGACTGATTATATTCAGAACGAAGCAGTTTTTCTATGACTCTTCTACAATTCCTCTCTGTATGTAAAATAATAATAATATCCATCTCCAAAATTTATTTGAAGAGTTCAGTTCAAAGGATAGGATGCAAGAAACGGAGATGAGCCTGTGATTTATATCCAGTATATAAAAACACAAACACGGAGCATTGTTATTATCCCATGGATGTACAAAATCGATACAATAATCAATCCATAGCTGGTCAAGGCTATATTAGCAGTTAGAACGGATGCAGTGTATATTTAAATGATAAAGATTGCGTTCTCCCCAGACAAATTAGCGGTAGCAGAGCCAACTGCGTATTACATTTACGTATATTATACCTATGGATTGGCAAGCAGCATGACTAACTGTTATCTTTTGGATGGGGGGTGACCGCCAGTAAGATTTTGTAACATAAATAAAAAATAATCACACGCTTGAACAGGAGACATGACGAAAGATATGGGCTGATGGGCATTCTTTTGCCTTCTCTCCCATTTCCACTTTTCCTTGTTGTATTTACTGTTAGCGTGGTGGGAAATTTGGGCCTCATCAATTGATAATAAGTGTATGGATGGATTCTTGCCTTCCTTCAATTAATACAAACCGATTGAGATTATTTATATTTCTTCACATTTATGCGTCTCGAGATGACACCAGACAGGGAATCAATTTGGCTTTCTTACAGCGGAAACCCTTTAAGAGTGGGAAAATAGATCAAAGGCGTTATTAGACCTTTGAGAACATGGAGTGGTTAGATGGGCCACAGAAGATGCTACGTCACTAAACATAGCCTATAAAGCAGTTTAGTTTAGCATAAAAGAACCCTATATCAATTGACGTGTATGTAATTGGCGAGTTGTAATGACATGAACTTTCGTTATTAAGGTTAATTCATTACCATGAAGCTTTTCAGACTAGGTTCAAATATAAAACGAATTAACATTGGCTATACTATTAATTTTAAGGTAGTCGTAAAAGCGTAAGAGGGAAATATCTCTTACGAACTTTCTTTGTAAGGTGTAGATACTATGTTTGTGCTATAGTAGAATAATTATAATTTTCCAATCAATTGCAAAATTCAGATAATTTATAAAAGTCACAGATAACGACCAAATTGCAATGACCCTGCAGGTGCAAAATCCCCGACAGCAGCAGTAACTTTCCATCCACATGCATGCAAGCACCGAAAATGACCGACATCAACCCCCACCAGAATCCAAACACAATGAAAGATTCTCCCAACACACCACTCAGGATAAATCCCGACCATCGCCGATGGCTCTTTTCCTGTAGGGTCGCCTTTGTTTACCTATTATACTATCCATGGTATTCATAGATCGACCAAAAACCGTGGAGGATCTCGGCCGGAAATTTAGGCCGAGACTAATATTCAATGGCTTGGCAGGCCTGTTAGTAGTATATGGCTAGGGCTTACTTAGTCTTACGCATTTATATCATTCTAATACAATATCATAATAGTAAGCAGTGATTATTCCTTATTTTTGGTCAATTAACCCGGTTCTTTTGTTAGCTTGCTCGCGTTTTGTATCCCGACTGGGTTATACCCGCAGCTATATCTACACCGTAACATGTGTATGCGTTTGGTCAGCTGAGACAGTATTAGCGAAAGGGATTGACCGGATTTTGTCAGCCTTGAATGGTAGAAGAGGAAGCGACAAATAATTTTCTCCTTATATTGTTGCCACGGAAGGCGAGTTGATGATAAGCCATATGCAGAACTCGTAATACGTACATAGGGCGGTGTCAGGCAAAGTTTATCTGGTATGTGTCAGGTCAGGCCAAGCCCGAGAACCTGGTAACAAGAAAAACACAATTCTTGCGGACAATCATAGCGATGGCTGGCTGTCAAGCACAGACAGTGAGAAAATAGTGCTGCTGCTAGCTGAGAACTAGTCATAGCCAGGGGCAAAAAGCACGGGGCGCGGAGGGCGCCGAGTCAGCTGTCATTCTTAACCTGGTCCCTGGCGATCCGCCACCGTTTACTTCGTCTATGGAGTATAGGGGTTGTAAATAATAAATAGTCATTCGTGGGTTTGGACTCGGGCTTTATTCGCCTGGAATATTGAGGCGGATTTCCTCGGTCTAATTAAAACACGAATAATTGCCGGCGAGTACGGTCCATTGGTCGGACAGACGGTTAAACAGTACTTTATTGTGCCACATGTATGATTCCAAATCACCTACCAAGGATGGGCTGCGCATTAACGATATTATGATAACCGCCCTAACAATATGATGAGGACCCTGAACCTAGCGCGGCCTCATGATATCAAGCCCTGCCTGTTCGGGGATACAGACTGCCCGATTCAGAGGCTCGATCTTCAGAGCATTCTTCGTCACACTCAACACTAAGTAACACTAGGAATAATTCAAACTATATGATATGCGTGACTAAAAAGGTCGAAAATAGGAGTAGGGACAAATTCCACTTTGGGACGGCCAGGTGGGGCTATTCTATAGTTTGTTTCGCAGTCCAATAATATTGATGACGTCGATGAGATGATCAGATGATCTACAGGGACACATTATTATTAAATGATTACTAACTCAAGAATCAAAGATGAAAGGGAGGCGCTATTCATATTGTTCACTCGTAGTAAGGAGCAATGTAGTAGGAACATGAGTATGAGTAGCATGGTGTAGGGATAAGAGAAACATATGGCCCGCTCCGCTCGCCTCACGCAAAACGCCTCATTGTCAAACATCAATTCCCAGGACAAAAGAGAGAAAAAAGAAAAGAAAAAAGACCAACGCCGCATTTCATCGTAATCGGCACCCCGCCGAATCAGTTTTCTGTCATCTCCTCAAACGGACTACGCGGTCCCACCATCCAGTCCTCCATGGCCAGCCACTGGCTCCATCGCGCATCAGCCGCGCGGAGTTCCTCTTCTTGCGGGTCGCGCAACGGACGCAGAAACGGCACTGTTTCGTGCGGTGTCATGTCGTAATGAGCCTTGGTTTCCAGCCAGCCGCCGCTCTTGGCGGTAAAGAGATAGTTTACCCGTTCCTGAGAATGTAGAGGCCCGATTCCCGCATACCACTCCTCCCCGAAGAGCTCCTGCAGGACCGGGGGCGCGTCTGCTGCTGTAATGACAAGTCGTCGAATGTACGGGATGAGCGAGACCGCGCATGTAGGTGTGTATTGTGAAACGGGATCGGAGGTGCGCTGACAAGGTAGGAGGATGTTGACCAGGGCCGCGAGGGATTGGGTTTTTGGCGTATGCTGTGCCACGTTGAGAAAGTGTCGTACGCAGCTCTGGTACGCGGGGAACCACTCTGTCGGGTTGATTTTGGCGGTTTCCGCACATAAAGAAGCGCTCGGCATTTCGACGGTGGTAATATCAGCGCCGGGCTGCATTGTTTGAGATGGGTTGACTCCGAGTCTGCTGGTGTTAACGAAGAAATAGAAATAGTTGCAAGTCATTGCATGAGTACCTACCTATGCAACGAAGAGCGGAACGACTCTTGGATAGATGACGGGGCGGTCTTTAAGCTGTGCCAAAGTCGCTTTCTTAGTCCACGGCGATTCGACTGGACGTGGTGGACAGTCGACATGCATGCACTGTAGAAAGGGAAATAAGGAACGGCCTCGGCGGGCTGGCGACAGGGTCAGACATGTAAATGAGTTGAGATAACTTTGCGACAGCTGAGGGTTGAGAGTGTCAATGCCAATGGCCATCCATATCGGGCTGGGCACGGGCTTATATATAGACGTGAAGCGAGCGATGGTGGATCCTTCCCAGAAGGGAGGAGGAGGATCTCCAGTGGCAGAGAGTCGCTGTGCCGGCCCAAAATCTGATCCATGAGATTTCGATTATAGTTTGGCAGAGATTGGACATTCTCTGGGACTGCAGCATTCCTCCAGGCAGCCGCATATCGCATATCAGACACAGGAAACACAGACAGAGCAGACGGCAGGAACAGTGAAAGAATGGATGAATGGATGAAGCTATCGAGATACTATCGAGTCAGCCACATCCTGGTCAGCCACAGCCCCACTAAACTATGGCGGTGCGTGATTTCCAGGTGCTCATTGGCTGCCGCTGGCCCGTCGGGGCGGCCGAGATCGCCTTTTTTTTATTCTTTGCCTATTAATATTTTTATTATTAATATGTGGCAGTATTATGTGATGAAAATTGAGACAAATTAACAGGCTATTATGGTATTAGTATTTTCTTATCATAGACTAATATATTATGTATTAGTATTAATATACGTAGAGTAACATACATAGAGTAGTATGTTGACAGTCCCACGGATGTGGTGTACCATCTGTACTACACTCCTACTACTACTATATTACTAGGAGACGAGGGATAGACAGTGAAGTGATGAAGTCATCACTTAGCAGGCCCCTTGTCGTCATCAATTGATAGTACTAAATTACCCCCAGGCCAACAGCATTCAATAATGCGTGTTAGCGCCTGAGGCCGATCGCGATCGGGGCTAGCAGGGGTGCCGCCCAATCAGCGCGCCCGACCGCATCGGTAATTCTTCGTTCTTCTCATCGTGGCTTCAATTATGGGACTTCCTAGATAGGCAGCTGTCAGCTCAGCCTGATCTCGCCTGGATCTCTGAAGAGTACAAATACTAGCCGAGTCACGACCAAGTTCAAGGCACCTAGACTTGTCACTCAGAACCCAAGAATCAATCCAAGAATCGATCTCAGACTAGACATCAAGATGACCTACAAAACCAACTACGAACTTTGGGTATGTAAGTCATGGAATTTGAACATGAACGCCAACTAAAACCCTCAGAACCCGCGCCCCCCGCAAATGTCAGAGGTCGACCTCATCCTCGGCCAAACATACCCTCATGTGGCCATGCTGCCATACTCCTACTGCTGCCACTGCTACTACGAAGAGGAAGAAGAAGCCCTAAGTCCCACGAGCTGCAGCATGTCGACGTCCTCCTCGTTCCAGTCGACTTTTACCAAAAGCAGCGGATGCGCCAACAATAACCGGCGCACCAGGATCCGATCGCGGCTGCGAAAGCTGCTGAATTGTTAATGTCGTCTCGCATACACTCATTTCGATATTTCACTATGTGACTCTATTCACTCCACTCCATTAAGGCGTGTCATTCTTTGATATCATCTATAATTATTGTGCAAGCATTTCCGGCAAGGCGTTGGTGGTTAGGCGAGATGATTAGAACGGTTATGGGGTTTTGACTTTATTTACTGTGTTACATTGAACTATAGATAATTTATGCATCTTCAAATCAAATTCATTTTCCAAGCAAATATCGAAATAGTCATGTATGTAGACGGTCCAAGCATGTTACTAGCTAGAGGGTTAATTTCCATTAATTATTCTTTTCGGCACAAGTCATGCTAAACTTAATACAGAAATTGTTGAATTATTTCTTATTAGGATTTCGTTCTGACCCTCTCCTAGCTTGGTGATGATCCAACTACCAACTTTCGGAGTAGATACCCATCATTCTACAGCAGATGACTGAGCACGTTACATACGAAAATTAAGATTGAAATTCCCAATATACATTCCCATAATCATCACTATCATTAATTAATTTTAATTAATCATGATTCATCACTCGCCCTCCCGCTGATCGGTACCACAGCAGTTTGGTTCGTATAGTCTGAGCACCGGATCATTTAGCCTGCGAACCGCCTGGAATGTAGACTAAACTGTATTCCACCAAAACCAACCAATGATCGACATGTCCTGTTATTTTTACTTTTTCTCCCCCTCTTTCCCGTCCGCTGTTGATTCTTGGTTGTGCGACCTGCAAGTGATACCCAGATTGAGATAACGTGCTGTTACGACAATGCACTCGTGATGAATGATCGTCGTGCTCGAGTCTCGTGCATGCAGTCCAGACTCTAGGTAGGACCGGACATCACAACTGTACATTCAGTTCAGACTACGTGTAGGAATGGATTGCGTTTAGCAGACATTGCTGATTGCTGCATCTTCCACGGTGACAGCTCAACGAGCTGCACTGTAACTGTCAACGTACATGTACTACTGCTAGGTGCATTGCAGCACCATTTTGCCCTCGCATTCACCCACAGTTAATCAAGGAGCCACAGTTACGAAGGAGCCACAGTTACGAAGGAGCCACATTTACCAAGGAGCCACATTTACCAAGGAGCCACATTTACCAAGGAGCCACAGTTACCAAGGAGCCACAGTTACCAAGGAGCCACAGTTACCAAGGAGAAATGGCAGTGCGGCCAGGACTCGGTCACCGGGGAATGCTCGGTGGACTGCTGGGCCACAGGATAATATCCCAACTCTGTATGAACCATGGTACGCTTTCTATTAGTGTGTGATCAAAATCTAATTTTAAGTAAAAAATGTTAAATCCAGAGATATTTTTGTCGCCCGGACATGTCCGTAGCAAATCGCGATCGATCGGACATACCGGCCCCATGCACTAGCCACGCACTAGCCACGAACTAGCCACGAACCAGCCACGAACCTCGGCTCCTTCGGGTCGCGGTGGGCTGGAATGTGGCTAGTGCTATATGGCTAGTGATATGTAGCTACTGTGGCTTGCCTCGTTCCAGAAGCCTCAAAAGAGCAAAGAATGGGCTAACTATATTGTGGCACAATTATTATTCGAACAGCCTTGGTTCTGTTGCCGGCGGGTTAGCTCTGTAATGTATTTGAGATCCAAAAATTAGAAATCCAAAAATTAAAACTGCGTCCGGCTCCTCGTGATGTTGACCTCCCCTTGCTTGCGGTTCTGCTGGATTAATGCTGGATTAATGCTGGCTACTGTATACATACATACACATTTGCAGACGCACCAGCCACAGAGGACCATTGACATTTAGAAGTAAGGCAGGGCTACGTCACTTCATAAATTAATGGATCTATGGACAGGCTGGTACGCTAGTCTCGTTGAGGTAGCTCTCACGGCCATCCTTGATAGTGGACAGGCTAGAACAAGGATTAATCGGCTCGTCCTAACAGTCAGGAAAGAGGCAGTCCCAATAGATACGCTGATAGAATTATTAGGTGATCACGATGACTCGATTAACTGGAAAACTGATTGGCCGGAGAAGTGTGATTGCAACGTGCTAAGTGCAGAATCCGTCTGGCACTATCGATTTTATCCACCCGATCCGGGGGTTTATAAAATGGACGAAAGAATGCGGAGCCTGATTCGCAGGAGTTTTTTTCTCCAATATTTTCTAATTTGATAGCATGTCTAAACTCCTTCCTGTTTGGGTTAGCTGGTTGTTGCCCTGCGTGTTTGTGTCGTGTTGCACCTGGTAAGCCGGCCAGAGTCTTGTACGAGGCTGGTGCTCTGGATGTTGTACCACACAGCCTTGTTTCATGATATATTATATCAACGACATGGATATGATTTGGAATTAATTCTCATCACCAGGCTGCGTCACACCAGCATTAACAATCTGATTTCACTGTTAATCGCAGAAAATCAGGCTGAGCTAACTGTCGATCGTCCGTCGCCCCCGTACGAGCCCACGCCAAGACATATTGAAACTCATCAAGGTACGTCACCAGACTGCAACCCAGCCACGTGGACATTCTCTTCTTTTTCGGTGTATGCCCCTCTTCTATACTCATTGCGGCACCTACTCTACTCAATGCGGAAAAACTTGGAACCCTGAAGACTTCACTTGACTCTAAAGCTGCGACTAGACGCGGGACGATCCGGTGGGATAAATACAGCCTTGTTTATAAAAACAGGTTTGTTAGCTGAAATATTAATTTTGGCATAGCTTTGGGGGCATCATTTCGATGGCTACTTCTTATTTGGGATTTGAGTACCGTGCGACCAGTACCCTCCGGTGATGAGGCTGCAGGTGACGAGAATTGTTATGCTACATACCTGGCTTTAATCATGTCCTGTTGAATGCTATTCACTGATTACGATTACTATCTGTTTTGAATTATTATAGATAAGTCGACCTCTTGATGCAGGTAGTTCCTAATTCTTACAACACGATTACTATACAGATCACTCCCAGTGGGCAGTGCTTCAATCTTGACGAGTGATCTTTTGCTCATATTATAGGGATTATAATGTGATAAATTAATGGTGATTAAGATGATGATTACTGATCAGCCTGCGTCCTGTTTAGAATTATGCACCCATTCTTGGTAGTAGGGTTATAGATAAAACTCCGGATGGTTGATGGTTAATGGCCGATTGTTCGTCATTGAAATGGGTTCATATCTTACAAATTGATATTAAATCATCATCGCATCAATAATTAGTCAGAAGCGGGTATTGTAATTATGCTTCTTCTTAATGGTGTGTGTTAATTAATGCATACATAGCATAATTGAAGCGTTGGGTAGTAAATGGCATCCTGATTTATCAGGCAGAAACATCGATGGCTAAGTCCACACAACGACATGTATTCCGTAGCCATAGTATTGATTGAATACTCTTATGGTTTAAGTACCAGGTATCGTCATAATCTAATCTTATTTAACTTTGATAAACTAATACTATAAGTTTTATATGAGTAAAATCAGAGGCTGTTTGTAACAGTCTAGGGTATGTGTGCTTTCTGAAAAAATATATATTTATTGTTATCTAGGTACATGAGAAATGCAGGGCTCTAATATGTAGCCGGAATGGTTACACTGTGGTGGAATCCCATAGATCATGACATTCCTGGTCAATCATTTAAAGACCAGATGAATTTGTATGCCAGGCCATTGAACTTACATGTATATTAGAATTATGACTACATGTAACTATATAGCAAACCTAAACAATAATAAGATTAATGAGAAAGAATCTTTAACTATATTCGATTGTTTATGAGAAACTGAATACTATATATAGCATTTCATACATTATGTTGAGGCATTACACATATTTCTGAAATAAGAAGTCCATTATAATATTGGTAGTCAACTGCATTTATATTTCCTTTGAATTGTGTGTGTGAGTAGTAACAGTGGTCCCGTGACTAGAACACTGTGAAGAACTGTGTGAACAGTGCTGCAATGCCAGTGCAAACGAACAAATTTGCTCGCTTAATACACACAAACGACATCTTTATTCCGTTATCCTTCCCATGCCAGTCGTCAATCAGCATCACTGGCTGTCCAGGTCAACTATCGTCATCCCCTAACATCCATATAGATGGTAGATGGTAGACAAGAGCTGAAAATGGCACCAACATTGGTGACTCTCCCTCAGGAGTTGCATCTCCTTATCCTCTCCAACCTAGATTCTCCCCAGGACCTCCTCTCCATGACTTTGGCATCCCGATCCTTCCATGGGCTGTACTTTGCTTACAAACACACCATTCTCATGCAGGTCCTCTACAACATGGTCCCGTATGAAGTCGAAGATGACTTCTGCATGGCTCTGCATGTGCAAGATGTCATGAAGGGACACATTCCTCATTGGAAGAGCCCCGAGAAAGTTGAACCATTCAGAGAAGCATGCGTGGGAGCTCTCGAAGATGCTCTGACAGCAAAGTACTCTCGTCTCTGTGACATCACCAGCACCGACGCTCAAATAATACAGCTCTTGCAAACCGCCAAAGTCTATTACGACTACATTAAAATGTACTCTGATGTTGCCGTAACTAACTTGGGTCTCTTTGTTCGCTCTGAGACGAAGGGCTTGCCCCTCTCGCACTTTGAAAAACAACGCTATATGAGAGCTTTCTGCCGCTATGAGGCGTACATCACTCTGCTGCATGGGTGGATGTATCTGGGTAATTCTATACGTGGAATTCGTCCATCTCTGTCTGCGGGAACATTCGTCGACCAGTTCCAGCCCTGGGAAGTCGAGGAGATAGCCTGCGTAGACCAATTCATGCAAACGTCAATCGGGAAAACCTTCGACGCGTTGGAGGATCATCTAGTTGCGCTCATCAAACTCAAGGGATGCAATCATGTCAACAAGGAGAGGGGTTCCAAGCTAATCATGGCAGGAACTAACGGCACCTCCTGGACTGATTTGCTCCGGATTTGCGGGCTGCATTCAATACCAGGCAGCTGGGAGCGCAGACTTCGTATCAATTACTGGGCCACTATTGGTTTGAAGAAAACACTGGAGGCGCTGAGAAAACCATTCATTGGTATGATCTTGAAACCGGTACCGGGCACCACACCTGCACCGCCGTTCTTCTACGACCTAGCCGCTGAAACGCTACCATATTACAAAATCGTCCGTACCGGATTCCCGAACCCCACGGAGCCGATCTACGGGTGGGAATGGGCGTTTGGACCGCAGACCTTCATGATCATGGCGTCAGAGAATCTCAAGTTGCGAGATATGGGATACGTGTTCTGGGACAAAGAACGATTGCTGAGATACAAAGTGTTCCAGAACCCCCGTGAATTCCAATTCTATGAGTTTATGCGGCAGAACAACTTGGCTCACGACTACACTATCTCGTCTAAGCTTGATCAGAAGCTAAGAGGTGTAAAGCTGACTGAACATGTCGTTATGGCTTTTATGGATCAGGTTGAACACATCCATTTGCCCGCCCATTTGATTTGAAGGGTTTGTTCATCTGTTTTATCTATAAATTATGAACTAATTGTCTGCTGATCTAGGTCTGACTCAAAGGGAAGCTAGTAATCCAAAATAGCCTTCAGAGTTTCTGAAACTGCAAAGGGTTTATCAGCATGTGAGTGTTTCGACTACATGCTTTGTTCATTACTAACATTCATTCATTATAGGTAAACTAGCACTCTGGTTGGCGCTGAACAACCACATATTCCAAAAATGCAATGTCGTCTTTCATCTTTGTGACTCATCGATAATGTCTACTCAAACAGACAAGAGGGTATCACCCACAGATAAAAATAGCAATTAGTTCAGTTAAACAATGGCCTCTGCTGATAATAATCCCATGCAATTTTCGTAGTCTCCTCTTTTGCAGCCTTGACAATAGCTTCCAACCACGCCGCCAGCCGTACCCCAGCCATACTGATCTGTTTCTCGACAATTGGCTTCGCACCATCGTAGTATGTCAGACTCAAATCATTACTCTTGAGCCAACTCAATCCAGGCTGCATCGCATAGCTGCAGACATAAGCATTCGACTCGCGCACCCATTCCAGGCTGCATTTATATGGATGCGAATACTCAGTGCACTGCCCAGCAAGCACAATTGCCGATACATCATAATCGTACTCGCCTGCCAACGCTCGTGAGTACAAGCCATCAGCCCATTTCTTAGCCACACTGCGCTGCTCCGTCAAATTCGCTGGTTCCTCCACCAACCCAACAATCTTGTGCAGAATCTCTCTGTCCCAGACAGAATGCAGATTAGTCGCGCCCTTTCCCTCGCACTCATGCCCGAAACAGACTTTGATGTCGTTTCCGCCGCGAAACGCGTCTTCGCTGTGCAACGGCTGGTGGATGTCGCCGAGAAAGTGTAGAATAAAGCGCAGTGCTTCTGTGCGCGTCACACTGGGCGTGCTAGGGTTGATGAAGAGAGATGTCTGGTTGAAGATGGCACTGATGATGCATGTATTGTTGCTGTAGCTGTTCTCGTTATGGCAGTCGGCGGGATATGAGACGCTGCATTGGTGTGGAGGGTTATCATGGGCATCTACTCGACAATTAATATCGATATGATCACGGCATTAGATTTAGGAAGCTCACCAATGAAATGCCATCCGGCAGTGTACGGTCGCGAGCGACGGATCTCGTCAGGCCACACCGCCGCGTCAGAGACGTCGTATGGCGACACATTATGGAGAATTTCGTTCAAGTAGCCTCTTGTATCAATGCTGAGATAATTATATGCTAGGTAAGCGACTGTCCTGTGGCCAATAGCTCCCCAGGCGAAGGCATGCTGGCTCAGCCCGAGAAGAGCTGTCGCGGAGACAGTGACGCGCATTTGAACACGTTGGCTAGTCAACGTCTGTACAAGAAGTTTCGGGGTGAATTTTTTAACGTAAAATAGTCTTTGAATAAAATCTCTGCTTTATATAAGGTGCCCGCGATGCTGGAGGTGAAGGAAGGCAACTCGCTAATTATGTCTATGTTTGTGAGTCAGTTGACAGCGGATCGCGCATCTAGCCTCCTTTTTCTGTCGCAGCTCCGCCACCCAGCGGCTGCCTCCGAGCGATGTTAGATCGGCATGGCAAAATGTATGGATTATTTTGCCGATTGCTGTATGTTTCAACTTTGATTGATACGAATTTGCCCTGTTAATTTAGACCCGAATTGTTGTGGCTAGAGGTAGCGAAACAGAAACAATATTTCTACCATCTGAATTATTTATAGTAGTGATGTACGATTCAGTTCCGAGTACGGGGATTCGAGTATTTCTATTTCAGGATTCTCTGCGACCCGTCCAGACATGAGGTAGAAATAAGCTGTTTTTGGGCTAATTTGATTTTCAATGCGTTGTATAATGAGAGTAACAACTTTGAGAGGAGATTTTGAGTTAGGGTTAGGGCTAGGGCTGGGAAACCGTAAACTATTAATAACCTAACCAGATCGCGCCTGTTCTTAAATATCTTCCAATATCAATGGAACACAGCTATTGAGGCTAGGATGGGATTGATGAGATGGAGGAATGCTGAAGATAGGCAGGGAGGACGTGTATATGTTGTCTGCCTAATACCAGTTGACTAGTCGCATACAGCCCATGAGCGAATAATAACAACTACAGCTGATCCTCTGAGGTGGCATTAAAGGTAGAGAAAGACCAAAACAAGAGATTTGAACTTTCTGTATTTGGCCCACAGTGAGCATCAGTTTTCAAAACGTAGCTAATCTACTTTCAACTTTCAATGCTTTGCTTATATGATGGACTTGCGTCATCCCTTAGTTCATATTTTTTGTTCTAATGATAACCAATGAAATGGATTTGTTAAACTTGCGTTGACTAGGGCCTACGAATTCTAATGCTAGTTCATATTTGTCAGGTGGTTAGTGAAATCTAATGCGCCATGATAGTGAAAAGAGTGAATGTGTTAGAAGCGGTTTAACGTGTTGTTGTATTGATTTCTTCAGGTCGTTTACTGTATATCTAACTTCTAAAATAGTTGGTTTGGGCTAAATCATAGTAACTCTAGTTCGATATACGGGAGGATCATTGTAGTTGGGCAAGCCTCGGATATCCGTCGCGGCCTTGTGACGTGGCCCTAACTCCTTGTGATAGGATTCATCAAGACCAGCCGAAAAGCCTCAGGGTTGGTTAATGTGTGGTGGTTTCGCGAATTTCTTAGCCGTAATTGGCCCATGTTAAGGCGAGAACTGCAACGGTCTTTTGCAGTGTTACCACTAGGCCCCAATGGTCAATACCCATCCTACCTTTTATAGCTTATTGGTCATCCTTAGTGCTTGGGTGCGAACACTTCGCTAGGCGATCAACGGATCTCCCCGCATTGGGTCCTCAAATCCGGGGATAAGGTTATTCTCACCCGTCCATGTGAAAGATCATGCCTTATACACGGTGGGTGATATTGCTGCATATGTAACATCCGCGGTTAGAGTTCTCCTCTTTTCCCACCTTAGCGATCTGTTGGCAAGTCACTGATCAACATGATCTACGTAGTTATCCGAATACAGCCTGCGTATATAACACCATAAGCAATTATCACAAACCACGGAACTGCAATAGATTAATCTAATCACTAGGTAAAACCTTGCGATAATTTGTGTTGCCTGCCTATATTGAGCAAGTATCCATATTCACCTATTCTTGAAAAAGAACCAGACTCCAGCAACATTGAAAATTTCCCTTAATTAAATAATTTGAAAACACCTCCTGAGACATGGCATCCACATGTCCTTTGCCACTTCTTGATGAAGCCCTATACCCAAGTACCACGCGCGGTTAGTACTATGGCTGAACGGCGCACGACTTTATAAACGTTAGGTATTGACTCACCATCAATTGATAGCATCGGCGGCACGATTTTGCCAGGTTATGGGAAACACATCGTGTTGTCTGCCGTGTCCAATCAGTCAATGGCGGTATCCGGATGTTGTCGGTACTAAAATGATTTATCTAAAAACACAAAATAAGGGCTGACCGGAATTCATTTAATAGAACTAATTGACATAAGACATTTGTTAGCGTGGTCTGCTCTAGGAGTCTTGCCATTCTTGATTCTCCTGTTGATCACGTTTGCTTTGCTACCAGCATCAGCTACTGACCGCCACTATCTCTCAACAACGCCAATGGTCGCGTTTGTGCTTATAAATGTAAGTGGATTCTTCTTTGGAAGGATTCTACCTCTCATAATCTTCGCTGAACCTGGTTCATTAGATTGCTTGTCTTACAACGCTGTACCCATCGCCGAACTATTGTCAAGATGCGATCACACCCGGAGATATAAAGGCTGACTACTACTGTGGTCCCAGCATGGCATTGCTATTGTATGGATGCTTTGTTCTGCTTATCAGCTGTAAGCGACTTATGATATTTGAATTAGTTTTTTCTATTTTCTATTTCGACTTCAAATGAATTGTAATTAAGTAGCTGTCTCTAGGCTTCTTTCGCTCGGTGTCTCTCCATCTGATTGTCTGCTGGGAGATCAAACCAGGAAGGTATTTCTGTGTGCTTGCTTTAGGGGCCTCGTGGATGGGATCAGCAATTTTGGTTGCTATACAACTCACCATCAGTGGTCTGGCATATCAATTTGGCAAGGTTTGCTACTTGCTTCCACATCACGATTACGAAACATTATGGATCCCTGTATTGACGATAAGTATTTCTGCCTTATTGCTACAAATAGTTACCATGATTTATTGCATCCATATCGTCATCAGGGCTTTTTTACAGAGCATCAGCAGTGCAACAGACAGGCGGTATTCGACGTCAACTCAAAGACAACGTATGTTCAAAATGAGACAGGCATCAACGCGAGTGAAGTTGATCCTCCAAATGCAGTGGCATCCTACTATGATTGTCGTCACAATCTCTATATATACTATCTACCTAGCATCTGTTCTGATGCGCCCAAAGACCTTTTCCGAGTATAGTCAGAATGCGGTTCGGAAATGGTTTTTATGTCTAACATCTCCTGGCGGGACCGCACAGGACTGTTTAGCATTGGCAAAGGGTATTGGCCCAAGTCAAACTGAACTTTTAACTGTGATGATATTGCTCGCAGTAAGCTCTTTTTCGGTGTTATGCCATTCTATTGCAAAGTCTAACTGAGCCCTTGCAATTAGTTTAGTGGGATTCCTGGCGCTATAATTTCCTCCCGCTTCCGGATGTTCCAGGGGTGGCTTGATTACATTAATGCAAAAAGAAGAGGCTATAAGAAACGACCACGTTGTCGAGACGTAATCGAAAATCTCGCCGTGTCTGGCAATGGGTTGTGATCTTCGCATCAGTACTTGCGACTGGAGCGGCGGCAGTGGTCAGGAAACTTGGAGTATGAAAATTAGCCATTTTTAATCGTAATATATCTTCTGATCCATACTGTATAAGGAGAATTTAGCCAGCTTTAGGGAGGGGTAATTGCTAGGTTGAGCTGAACACTATTTTAGGTCCAGTATACAACTGTAAACATAACCAGTCGTACCAGAGAGCCTAGCTGCCGATGAAACAGTTGTCGAGTGTCCATGCAGATTCATCCTGGCGGTTTTTTTGCCCCTCTTAATGGCACTTTTGAATAAAGTGTTTTTGGTTGGCTGTAAACAGGGAATGCTACAGGCAGTCAATATTCTGCTAACAGATGTTTCAGCAGTTTGCCCATGCAAGCATACTACTGCGCCCGCGGAGTGAGGGCCCAACTCCGGCACCCCACTTCCCCAGACTCAACATTGAATGCTCTTATATCACAAGACACGTCGATTTTGTGATCTATCAGTTTATCATCTCTAGATCCGGCAATATCAAAGCTTTTACTTTCATATTTTTGAACCCAAAATGTCGAGTTCCCAATCCGTCTATCGCACGGCATCTTCCTTGGCCACTGCATCCTCGTTCCCTAGCCGAAGGAGCGTCGTCCACAGTCTTCATGGTATCGTCGCCTGCACACAGCCATTAGCCGCGGCTGCAGGGCAACAAATATTGAGTAAGGGGGGAAATGCTGCAGTATGATTACTTTCTCTTCTACGGCCTGGTACACGGGTGCTGACAAAAGAAAAGGACGCAGCAGTTGCTGTTGGTTTGTGATCCTGAATCCAATCATTTACTCGCATCTGACACTTCTAGCTGCGGCATTGAATGTTACCGAGCCAGGATCAACCGGTATTGGGGGTGACATGTTCTGTCTCTACTACGATTCAGCGACGCGTCAGGTCCACGCACTTAATGGTTCGGGCCGATCGCCTGCTAGTATCACATTGGATGCCGTACGTCGCAAATTGGGTGTGTCGCCGGATGCAACAGACGGAGCAATTCCAATAACAAATATATGCTCCGTCACTGTGCCCGGAGCAGCAGCAGGGTGGGTGGATACAGTTGAAAAGTTCGGCAGTGGGAAGTTGTCCATGAATGAGATCCTCCAACCGGCGATTGAGCTGGCCGAAGGAGGGTTTCCTGTGTCTGAGATTTCATCGTGGATGGTATGTTGATTTTACCCTTTGTGGTAAACAGGGTTTTCTAACAGGTGTTTGTGGCTAGTGGCAAAACAGCGAGGATATCATTCTCAAAGGAAGTAGTCTGGCCGCAGCTAAAGACTATCTCATAGCTGATAGAGATCAACTGCGCGCTCCACAGCCGGGCGAGATCATCAAAAACCCGCATCTAGCAGAAACATTCAAGCTTCTTGCTAAGCATGGAAAGGATGGTTTCTATTCTGGACGTATTGCCGACTCAATTATAAACACAGTTCAGTCCAGGGGTGGCTTCTTGAGGCACGAGGATCTCCAACACCACTTGAAAACCGGATCTCATGACGTGGAAGCTCTTTCTATGGAAGTGAACACTGGGATCTTACAGAATTCTAACTCTGGTATGCCACCAGAGGCTGTACGCCTATGGGAACACCCCCCAAATGGCCAGGGTATAGTCGCATTGATGGCCACGGGAATCCTGCAGACCCTTGTGCGTAATGGCCAGCTAAACCCCTTTTTGCCTTCAGATCATAACAGTATTCGCTACCTTCATGCACTAATTGAAAGTTTGCGAATCGCCTTTACTGACGCAAAATGGTGGGTTACCGACCCGGAACACACAACGCCACCGGCAGAACTTTTATCAGATTCGTACCTTGCATCAAAAGCGGAGCTATTCTCAAATGATAGTCGAGTATCTAATTTAGAACCTCTGAGACATAGCCCGGCGTATAGGGCCTGTGATACTGCCTACTTCGCGGTCACTGATCGACAGGGCAATGGCATATCATTCATCAACAGCTTGTACGGCAACTTTGGCAGCGGGATTATCCCAGAAGACACGGGATTCATTTTACAAGGCCGTGGAGCTAGTTTCTCACTCAACCCAAATCATCCAAACGTGGTTGCGCCGAGGAAACGGCCTTATCACACCATTATCCCCGCAATAACAACCGTCCTGGATAAAGATGGCAAGCAGCGATTGCATTCAGTGTATGGGGTAATGGGCGGATTCATGCAGCCGCAAGGTCACATACAAGTTCTACTTAACCAATTATTGTTTCAATTCACACCGCAGGTAGCCCTCGATGCGCCGAGAATCTGTGTGGGTGGTTCGTTGCCGCCGCAGCCGGGTGAGACACAACTAGAGGACTTTGACCCATCGGATACAGTGTTCTTGGAAGAAGGGATTCCAGAGAACGTGGTGGAAGGCCTGCAGAAATTGGGACATAGAGTGCATATCATAGAAGGTGATTGGGGCAAACGAGAGGTTTTTGGCAGAGGCCAAGTGATTCGCGCTCATGTTGATTATCGTCATGGAAAAACAGTATTCAGTGCCGGAAGCGATCCACGAGGGGATGGAGGAGCATTTCCGATGTAATTTTGCGTTAATATTATGTTATTCATCCTGGAAATATTGAATATAGATGGATAGAGATGTGGACTACACCAAAAGGGGTCTTTTGAATGGTTGCGGTAAGTAATTTGGCTCTTATTTTCCGCTGACCAGTATACCTGGAGTTTCTCCGTCCAATAGGAAGTGCTGGCACGAAGCGGATAAATAGAGCCACCTTTAAATTAATTAACAAGCCCTGAGGGACCTGTTTGTGCGTGGCAGCTGACCTGGATGATGTCAACTACGTCGCCATCTGGCCCCAGCATCAATTGAGATGCATATTGAAATTCAATGTTTTTTTATTGTGAGACGGCCACTCCGGAACTACAACCTGTGCTTCGAGATGGGAGGAACAAAGGCTCTCAGCCAGTCATAATCGAAGACAAGGGTCATAATCTATTAGGGGAACCAGTCTGAACCGTTCCTTTGTGACATAGACATTCTTTATCTACCTTGGGTTATATATTAGAGCCCTACGTTACTAATGTGCCTAGAGATCATCTATCTCTTATCTCAAAAGGCAGACATTCGTTAGATCATTACAACAAGTGTATCATAACCAGTCAATCACCGGAGCACAGTTAGGCCACGTGAGGCTCTGCGCATGACGGCAGTGTGTCTTCGTCTTTGAAGCCTATCACAACGCCCTGTCTGCATCTACCCTATCTCACCGACGACAAACAATATCTTCACTACTCATCCTGTTTCTTACTAACCCCTCTTTCACCCCCGCTAACTCGCCATCATGTCGTCCCCTATGTCCACAGCCCTGAAGCTCGACAAGCATCATCTGTCCAAGGCCGAGCTCATACAGCGAGTGAACGGGAGTCAAGATCATACACAGAGGAAACAACAGTCGAGATTCACAACGTCGATCCCACTACGGCGGAGAAGGCCATATATTCTGGAGAACTCGAGTCTCTTGGCTTAAGGTAACTTGGAACCTGAGTAATTTCAATCATATATTTATATTTTTAACTAATTTCTGTAACCAGACTGTCATACTACTCTCTTGAGAGCTTGTTTCAAGAGAGTAGTTATGCAAACGTACACCCGTGACGCTCACCAGACATGGTTGAACCACACCCTCTCCCAGCCGATATTGGACGGAACCCTGACTCAAGACGAGTTCTTTAAGCTTCACGTACGGGTCGGAACTAGTAAGAACAACCATGATTTGTTATTTTCTTCACCTGTAACTTATCGATGTCAGCCATGTCACCGACACTACCGCCGTACAACGAGTCGATCAAAGAGTCCGATGCGCACGTCTTGCCGCGCTCGGTCAGTTGTCCAACCTTGGTGATTGAGTCCGGATTCAGCGAGACTCTTGCCCAATTGAATAGTTATCGGGAACTTTTGCCCCTCGGTTTTGACGAAGTTAACGTGTTCTGGCCATCAAATGGTATAAGAACTATTCGCGGTTGGTTGTAGTGGCAACCTGGCAGTCTATGCTTTAGATGCGACTAACAAAGTCCAACTTCTACAAGAAGAAGTAATTATTCAAAAACTTTTATCTGAAGTTAACTAATATATTCATACAGACTGTCTTTCCAGTATCAAACGTCCAAAATCCAAGTGGACAAATTGTTCAAATTACGAAGCGTCAGCTTTTTGGAAGATCCTTGCAACCATACCAGAATGGCGACGACTTAGTTACTTTCAGACTAGATAGCCTTAGACAGATCGCGACGCAGTGTATGAACTTCGATGGGCTCACACCAGCAGAATAGGTAGGCCTACATGATTTAAGCTTGCCACTAGTTTGAATATGGATTTTCTACTTTACACCAATTTACGCCAGATTAGTTTAGGCCTTCTTGGGGGACCGCCTGTGGATAATGTAAAACGTCAAAATATTATTAATATGGATATGGGGAGGCTCCTATACCTAATTCATTTTTGTGGTGCTATATGCAATCATTTGTCATATTAGTAGAACGTCTAAACTATGCGTTGACGCAATGTAAACCGTAGTGGAGAGTAGTAGTAGGCTAGGTGAAAGCAGTCAGGTAGACTTAGGCCGGTGTGTAACCATCCTTCCTCATACACTTCGCTGCGATCTTTCTAAGTCTATCTAGTTCTGACGTCTTAATGCGGCGAAAATGAGGGCGATATCAAGGTGCCAGATCGGGGTTAGCGCCTCCGATGGCGGACTGTTTGTGTTATCCAAAAAGTTAAGCCTTATCGTTTCCCCTTCTTCTGCTGTGACTCACAACAACATTGATATTTGAAACTCGCTCAATTGCCTCAAATCAGCCAAAATGAGCAACTCAAAAACTGTAGCCGAGAACATGCTGTGGGGAGGCCGCTTTACTGGTATGTGCACCCTGCTTTCTATCTTCGATAGCCGTTGCTCCCAAAGGGATCCAGATTATGGCTAACACCCCATGATTAGAGGGCCTCGACCCCCTTATGGTGCAATACAACGAATCTCTTCCCTACGACCGTATTTTCTGGGAGCAAGATATTCGCGGCTCCCTCGCCTTTGCTCGCGCCAACACCCGTGGCGGAATATTGACTGCGCACGAGTTCTCCGAAATCGAACGCGGCTTCAAGCAAATTGCCGACGAATGGCGCACCAACTCCTTCATCGTGAAGCCAAACGACGAGGATATCCATACCGCTAATGAGCGTCGCCTAGGTGAGATTATTGGCAAAGACATTGCTGGAAAATTGCACACTGGTCGCTCGCGGAACGAGCAGATTGCGACAGACATGCGGCTATGGTTGCGGGACGAGTTGCGCAAATTGGACGGCTTTTTGTCGGATCTTATCAGAGTCTCGGTGGCTCGCGCAGAGAAGGACATTGAATACTTGATGCCGGGATATACCCACTTGCAGAAAGCGCAGCCTGTTCGATGGTCACACTGGCTGTTATCACATGCCGTAGCATTCGCGTCCGAGCTGGAACGGTTGCGAGAGGTTATCAAGCGAGTGAACAAGTGCCCACTGGGAACTGGTGCGCTTGCTGGAAACCCTTTCCAAATCGACCGCGAAGGCATGGCTAAGGAGCTGGGCTTTGACGGATTGACGGTCAACTCGATGAACACCGTCGCTGACCGAGACTTTGCCATGGAAACTATGCAATGGGGAAGCTCATTTATGCTCAAGATTTCCCGCTGGGCGGAGGATCTCATCATTTACAGTAGTCTAGAATTCGGCTTCGTGCGATTGGCCGATGCATACTCTACGGGCTCGTCGCTCATGCCGCAAAAGAAGAATGCAGACAGTCTAGAGCTTCTTCGCGGTAAAGCCGGACGTGCCTTTGGCCATGTTGCTGGTGTCATGATGACTATCAAGGGTCTCCCAACGACATACAACAAAGATCTTCAAGAAAGTGTCGAGCCCCTCCTCGACCATACCAAGACTGTCGGGGACAGCATCCAAATCGCCACCGGTGTTCTATCCACATTGACTGTCAACCCGGAGAAAATGCGGGCTGCATTGGCACCTGAAATGCTGGCCACAGAATTTGCCGACTACCTTGTTCGCAAAGGTGTTCCCTTTCGTGAGGGTCACCATATCTCAGGCCGTGTCGTTGCGCTCGCAGAAAAGAACAATGTTCCCATGGACACACTCTCGCTTGAGCAATTACAGGCAATTGACAGCCGATTTGGCCCCGATGTCCAAGAATGCCTCGACTATGAGCGTGCTGTCGAGCTGAAAGATGCGATTGGGGGTACCAGTAAGCGGGCGGTGCGTGAGCAAATCGCTACTTTGAAGGATATTATTGCAGGTCAAAGTGCTTGAATGTGTGGGGGCAGCGCCATTGTTGATATATATTAATAGAACAGGGAAAAGTTTTATTTTCGGGTATTTCTAGCATTACAATTGTCAGTATCTTCATTGGATATGCTTATTTCTCTTATTTTCATCACGTATTGGATTGTAGAGGGTAGTATAAACATAATCACTGTTAGTTTGGGTTGAATGATGCTTATATAATTGTATATTTGTACTTTGTTAAGTTCGTTATTTACTATTTTATGAGTTCTGAATAAGTCATATGTACCTTTTGCGGGCACTTAATTTTTCTTTGAAGGCTCGCCAATGTACGTTCTGTGTCTAGAAGGATTATAGACGAGTTTTTGATATTAGCTGGCTCTCTAGTTTATGTTCTGATCTGTTTAGTGGTTATAGTAGAAGGAGCTGGATTAATCATAATGCCCTGGCTAAGGACAGTAGGTGTAGAGGCTAGGTGCTGTGCTCTGAGGTCTTGCAAGGTGGATTAAGTAGGAATTGGACGTATCTGATGTAATTGATCTACATCGTACTGTCTTTCTTCAGAAGTGATGGGGGCTGTACAATTATTATAATGATGCAGGATTCCTATCATGTAACTTGTGTATTCGTACATCTGTGGGAACGTTTCTGTTATTTTTCTTCTTAAGGCAAATTTCTACGCCATGTACTATCCACTTCTCATAGAAGATGTAGCTGGCTATGGTGTTCCTGATTTGTATGCTGGTAATTCATCTAGAAGCACTGTAGACGGGCTCTTGATTAACTTGTTCTGCATTTTGGAGTGTTACAACGCATTATATATCTATAAATCCTATTCTACGGAATATAGGTATTAATTTTTATTACATATATATGTAGGCTTGATTATAACTTTGTAAATCTCACCCTTTGCTTAAATCCATCGGCACGGTATTTGTATTTGTAAAATGATTCAAAATGATACACTATATCTCTTTAAGATGTACGCTTGCTTTTTTTATGTACTACATATGTATCTGCATAATATAGAAAGTATATTTTGTTTTGTTCTGCTCATTCTAACTGATGAATTTGTGAGAATGAGAACTTCAGGTCGAGTATTTGGTGCTTCCTGGGCTATGCAACCGCTGCTCTACCTATGTTAACACCTAAGGCAATGATAATGGCCTATTTATTTCAAAAACACTACTTATATTACCAAGAAGCTCCACCCATCGGGACACTGTTTTTGTTTAGCGGTATTTGTGGCTATGCTGACCTGAGGCTACAAGATCGGCGTGATTTTCGTCTGTGCTCTTCTTAAACACGACCGATGCAACCCCAACTCAATCCAAATGTTCACTTTTACACGGCTACTATATCCATATTTGTCAACATTATTGAGGTTTTCTATATCTTCAGCATCGATTCATCATGGTGTCATCGCTAAAGTACTTTCCCTAGTGGGTGGATTCAGGAACCGCCTAAACCATTCACGGAACCACGTTGCTTACCGTTGTCTGCAGATTTCTGCGGTCATTTACACTTCCAAAGAACTGCAAACGGGTTATCAGCAACTTCCTAGAAATCAAAGCCCTCAGCATGTCAGAGAAACCTCAAGTCTGTGGAAGTAGAGCAGGTCTTCAGCACTTTAAACGGGACGAGGAGATTTTCACAGAATTTCGCCAGGCAAAGGCCGAGCTCCTAGAAAAAATCGCTAGAGTAAAGCTTTCTTATATTACCTAACTAAGTAAATGTTAGCTAATCTACTTTAGAGCCGCTCCGTATGATACTATTCTCTATCAACCATGAAGCTGTCTTGAGGAATGGCTTCACTCATGTTGCGCTTGAGGTACACGAAGGTTCAAAGTCCGATATGCATCATGCCTAGTTGCCATTCTCTTCCACTGGACACCTTACCGCCATACTTACATACGAAACTTCGAAAAGAGCAACAATCTTAGTTTATTGCATGAGTCGCCTAGAGCTGGTAGGCAGTCTCTATGTTTCTTCCTCCAATTTTACAGAGTCATTTCTCTCATCACATTAATATGTATCAAACCAGCTTATAGCTAACAACTAACTACGTCGGCTTCACTACGTCCTCCTTAACATATGCATAACTTCGGTTTTACTTCGATTCCAGATGTCATCCCCTTAACTCCGCATACCTTACTTCGTCTATCTTTGATTCTGCTCGCCAGTCCGTGACTTATTTCTTGCATTATATACTCACTTCTCCTTTTCGATATCATATTGAATTTACTCTAGTCAAATTACCTCACTCTACCTCAATCCGTCATCCATTTCTAGTATCTACTTCACTCTTCACCTCAAATAGCCGCTTGACTTACCCATCTCACTTAGAGGTTCCCGTTTATCTGTTCTACCACAGTAAATTCCCATTTTGCTTATCTCGCCTCAATTGCTCATCATCTAACTCATTTCAACCACTAAGCTTTCTACATTATCGTATTCTTAACTTATCTTTACCAATCTTCATTCATTTTTGCTACCTATTTCACTTTTCCAACCCAGGCAGTCACTTATCCATTTCATTTTGGATTTCCCATTTATCTATTCTACCACATTGAATTCTTCCTTCGTTTATCCCACCTCTATTGCTCGTCGTCTAACTCCTTTCAACTACTAAGCTTCCTACTTTATCGCATCTTACTTACCTATATTCCAGCTTTACCAATCTTTGTCCATTTATTTTACCATCTCATTTCATATATTCGTAAATTTGCTTCAGCTGCCACACTACTTCCTACATCAATTCACCCCAGTGTCATCTTCCAATAGCCATTCACCTCCTTATACTTGCACTATTCTTACTGTCCTTTCCTTCACTGGCTCTATCTTGCTTTATCTCTATGCATTCATGAACTCTGATCCTGACATCTACTCCAATCAACACCAGTCTCTCCCTAACTCAGCCTTCGAGTTTGTTCTCACGCACATTGAATAGTCAAATTGATATTTCAGTGAAGCTATTACAATCTATCAAAGTAAACTTCAAAATGAGTTCTCGACCGGTCACAACCTTCGAGGTGGGTATTCAAGATAGCCAAGATTTCCCCGAAGACAATGGTAAGTCTCAGCTATTACGAGCAGTTGCAACAAATGATTCTGACTTCACAATGACTCTACAGGAAGCGAAGGAAAAAAGAATCAGAAGGGATCTGCACATGACAAGGCCCGCAGAAAGAATAAAGGAGGTGCAGAAGTCATCAACGGCAAAGGGGCGAAAAATGGTAATTCGACAGACAAGCGAAAACAAGGCCAAAAGAAGAAAGCCACCGAGACCTCGAATTTTAAGGAGAAATCGATATCCATTGTTGTAGGCGTGGACTTTGGGACAACGTATTCAGGTACTCTTTGCCATCTGAATCAGGGGCTAGTTGGGTTTTACTAATTCTATATAGGCTTCGCGAGTTCAGTTAAAACCTCGTCTTATGATAGGGTAACAAAACACCGAAAATGGCCTTCATGCAGCAACGCGCAGGAAAAAGTCCCGACAGTTGTTTCTTACAATACTACTGACGAAGGACAGAAACGCTTGTCGTCTTGGGGTTACGCTGTGAAGTCCTCTTCGGAGGCATATACGTGGTTTAAGCTCGGACTGTCACAAACTCAGCGTAAACATCGACTCGACGACCAACTTCTGTCAGAGGAAATTAGCGAAATAAAATGCCCAGATGGAAGGTCGTATAAGAGTGTTGCTATCGACTACCTTCAAAAGCTGTATGCATATATCTTATCAGCTATCGAGGATGAACTCGGTGAAGCAACCTTTAGCCAGGTGGCATTTCATTTTGTTCTGGCGACCCCGGCTGGCTGGCCAGATTTCGATCGTCAAAATATCAAGAATTGTGCAAAAGCTGCTGGTTTTGGTGCTCGAGAGAGCGATAAAATCTCGATGGTTTCAGAGCCCGAGGCAGCCGCAATTTGCGTTTTTCACACTTATAGCACCAAGCTAGGATCGGAGTGCCCATTGAAGGTTTGTAAAGCCAGCATTTCACTTTTGAGGTTTATATTGGACTCATTTTACTAACCCGTTACAGCCTGAAAGTAACGTCATGATTGTTGATATGGGGGGAGGGACGGTGGTATGTACAATTGTACTTCTGTTTCTCACAAGTGTGTGGCTTATGGAATCAGGATCTCATCACTTACACTGTGAAAAATCTCAAACCATTTGAAGTTGAAGAGGCGTGCGTCGGTTCCGGTAAGTTATATTTTGGCATTTCTCTTTCAATATTTGCGCTGACCAAATGGCTCGGAAAGGGGCCAAATGTGGATCGACGAGCATCAATCGTCAATTTCTAAAGTTCATGGAAAGTCGATTCGGAGACCAATTCAAAAACAAACCACAAAAGGATATAGGTCTCAAAAGCAAGCTCATGAATGGATTTGAAGACATCAAGCGCATGTTCACTGAAGACGCTGATAGCCAGAGAGTACCCTTTCCATTAGAGTGGGACAATGCCGATCAATATGACACAGACAATCAAGAGATAATACTCACAAAGTATGGCGAATCATCGAGCTTTTCTGTTGTTCACGCACTAATGCCCTTTTGCAGTGAGGAGCTCCGAAGCATGTTCGACCCGATGGTGAAGAACATTTTTGAGCTTATCCAAGGACAGGTTGAAGAGGCTAAGAAGGAGACTAACACACCTATAACTGTGAGCTGAATCTTCCTCCTGTAACTCCTTGTGGCTACCATGTTGAGATCTCCCAGACAATCATTCTCTGCGGTGGGTTGGCCGAGTCGAAATACATTCGTTTTAAGATCAAGGCATTCTGCAACGAATACCTCAAGACGGCTCAAGTTATGATCCCAGAGTCCCCATGGTCAGCTATCTGTGTTGGGGCGACAATGAGCGGCCTAGACCCGAATAAGGTCATTAAGAGCAGAAGGGCACGACGTGCTTACGGAACCGTTGTTCACAGAAAGTTCGAGGAGGGGTTGTATGAGGAGAGGGACGTATTCGACTGCCCTAAATTGGGAAAACGTGTTGGTAATGTGATGCATTGGCACATCAAAAAGGTAAGCATTCCATATCCCAGAGGCTATTTCCGAAAAGTGTAATTCAATGACAATTATCTACAAGGGGGATCGTAAATTGCCGAATGATAGGTACAAATGGCTCACGAGAGGCTTTATTGATGTCGGAAATGACGATAATGGAGAAATCGAAGTTTTTTCTAGTGACCTAAATGATGCACCGAGTCGGAGGTATCATCCAGGTAAGTTAGCATATAAAAGTGATAATTCCTTGTTATGGCCGCTAAAATCAGACTTTAGGAGTCGATAAAATCGGCTCTCTGCCAATCGATTTATCCGAAATTATTGGTAATAACTCTAGAAAGCGAAAATCTGAAGACATCGTTTCAGGGTTTTCAAGGAAGCGAAGGATTCCAATCCAAATAGGGCAAGTGATACTTCCACAGGCCGACAGTGTCGAGTTTGTTGCCCGTACTGGAAACAAGAAACTTGGAAAGGCGACGTTCAATTATGCCCCCATAATGATAGACGGTAAAGCTGTTGCCGATGTCGACGATGATGATGCTCAGCCTGACGTTTGGCTCATTCCTACCAGAGCCAACCCCACTAGTAACGATGAAAATCGGGAGAGGAGCACTGAGGATGAGAGAAGTGGGTCAGAATATAGCATCAATGATGACTCTATTTTTGTTCCAAAGGCGCTTGAACTCAGCAATATCCAGTCAAGTCCAATAAACCTAGACACTGAAGACGAGTCGGAGAGTAACGAAAACGGAGAGAGGGAAATTGATGACCAGGAGTTTAGAGAATATGAAGGGCTTGGAGAGGATGAAGAGCTGGAAGAATGTGAGGACCCTGGAGAATAAGAGTCCGAACAACGACTCTGAACAACAACAATTTGGAATCTAGGAATCCGAGAAACGAGAGGCTGAGCCGTGAAAGAGAGAGATGCATTCGAATTAGCTCAAATGTTATATTCGAAATGCTTCGCGATCAGATATTTCCAGTACCGAAATCTTTCTATACATTTGGCTCCTATTTCAATTTGCGAATTACATATTGGGCATCTTTCTTATCTTACGATCAAATTGGATATAGCGATTGGCTGAATGAAATATCCGAAGAAATTCAATTTGGTTCAATTGGTCCAAGCTAAATATACACAACAGCATTTTCCATGCTGTTTGTTCATGGTCTGTATACAATACCCAGCCCCTTCTCGTGAACGATTTAGAGAGGGTTCTCCTCGCTTTCGTCTTTCCTTTCCTTATAACTCATGATATTCGTACATGGTTTCAACATCATACAATATGTTCGAATTCCCGGTCGCTTTTCGACAAGGCAAAACGATTGTCAAGATAATGCTGATAATGATGATGACAATACCGATGATGGCGACAAATGCGGCACCATTTCAATTTTGAAATTTTGGCTGTAACACAAGAATTCGAGGATTTGTCCTTCGAACTTCCTTCCGAAAGGTAGAATGTCAAAAATATCAATGAGAGTAACTCCAGTAACGCCGCGCTGTGATGTGTTGATAATATAGCAAAAAACAAAAGAGACGAGATTGTTCCATGTTAGAAGGAATTTCCTGATGGTGAGTGGAGAAGGTGTTTAGTCGTCATCGTCGACAACGGATGTTCGATTGATGGTGCTGTTGTTAGTGCCTTGTAGCCAAGCATTGCGCCACGTACTGGGGCTGTCAGATTGTATGGGACCGCCACCGATAAGACCGGCAGGAAGACCTTCACGATCCTGGCGCATGCCCTCAAGAACAGCGACGATGCCGCCATTCCGGAGTCTTTCCAGAACAACGTTCATTCCTTGCTTGCTCCGGAGCACAGCATCTCTGGTTCGCGTGACACCAATGAGTTCGATTGTCCGTTGAATGCCCGCTGTAGACAAGGATGAGAAGAAGCCTCTTTTGGGAGCATCCTCGTTGATTTCGGGGCTAGGCGAACTTTCACCAGCAGCCTTACGAGCACGGCTGAGAAACTTTGATTGGCCCAATCGAGATTGAAATGTGACGGTGGTGCGAACATTTACTTTCTCGCCTTCGGCTGGCATTTCTAGTGAATTGGTGGAGAGGCCATTTTCGCGCTCATATCGCTGCCGCTCCACAACACTGAGAATTCCCGTCCATTCCATATTCCGCGATTCGGTCGTCATCCATCCCTCCTTCACATCCACTACCGTCCGCTCGAGAATATACGACTGTCCAGAGCTTTCACTGCCCCCAATGCCCTTTGGCAATAGTTTCAACAGTGCAGATGGGATTTTAGACTTTTTCAAATGCAAGCGTGTCGTGTGAAGACGTCGAGTCTCCGGGTCCACATAGCGGTCGATGACATCGGACGTTAGGACATGCTTAGAATAAGGGTTGGGATAACGTAGAAAATAAGCAAGCGAGACGGCGGGGAAGGAGTAGTCATAGGTCGAGGTATTTTCGAAGAACTTCATCTTGTTTTTGTCCCTTTCGCTCTTTTTTTTCCGGGTTTTTTCATGCGGTGCCAGTGCTGACGTTGCACTTCAATGGTCAATACTGGTTCCAAGGCATTCCCTTCGATCTGCAGAGGATGCAGAAGGTCGAAAAGGCCTGTCGTAATTTGTTGTGGTGATGTGAGGCGATGGCCAAGGGGGCTCAGGAGGAAGATGATGGATGGCGAAAAAAGGCTGTTGGGCTGGGCTCATGCTCGCTTTCTCCCTTTTCGGACTGGTCGAAGCTCTCAGCTGTGGGCCTGCCCGACGGCTTCCCATTGGCCCGTGGCCCGACCAGGTGAAAGATGCGGGGATTATATCCGAGTCACGTGAATTACCTCTTCAGATTCGCTGTGATTGGCTGGATGTCCGTACAGCTTACCTATAATTCAGTATATAATGCAGGCTTTCGAGTTATTTAGTAGTAATTTGTGTTTGAGTTGCTTTATCATGCGCCCTGCTTGAAATAATGTCAACGTCAAATGGCATACTTCTTATAGATATAAATATACTATTGGTTCCCACTAAAAGTGGTATATAAGATAGAATATAGCTGTTAACTTTTTATGACATCCAGGTTAACGATGGCAGGAATAAAGCCTCTGACCGCATTGCTCAAGAAGCATTGCTCCCCATGAACTAGCTCCCCAACTCGAATGACTTGTTCAGTGCAAAAGCCTTGATCTAGAGCGTAGCTTCTGCTGGCGCTGATCATACCACCACTACTTAGGGGAGGTGTAATCCATTGAGCGTTGCTTTTATTACCATAATCACTAGAAGAACGTTCTTGGAAGTAGACCGTCGTGATGCTTCCTTCCATGGCCTCTCCCTGGGTATTTACCAATAGCACTTCCACAGGGTCTGCAGGAGAGCTGATCCCGACCCGTTCTCGTGCCGCGTTGTAATGATCGCGGGATGTCGTCTTGTGGGCCGTCAAAAGTGACGGTTTCGTTCTTTCAGTATCAACCACGAGCCTCCAGGGAAATGTCTGACTCAATGAGATATGAGTACCGAAAGAAGCCGGAATGAACATGCATTGTAGAGGCCATATCGCTGCCGGGTGTACATCAACACACAAGCGACCTTGGTGATTAATCACAAGGCGTAGTCTCCATGCTTTTGTGCGATCAGGGATAAAAGAATCAAGCGCTTGGGTAAAATGTGCTAGATCTTTCTGAAGAAATTCAATCGCGTCCGGCCATCGAAATTCAACAGCAGCTTTCAAGAGGCGTTCCCTGTGGTATCTAAGGAGATAGTACGGCGAGTCATGCGGTTCAGGATATCCCTGGCTTGGATATTGTGCCACGGCACTGGGGAGGTCTGGATCGAAACGCAGAGAGGATATTATGCGGACTTCTGTAGCTTCATCTGGAGAAGTTTTGTTAGATGTCATAGTCAGCTCAAACTCTGGAAGGTTGCCGGTAATTGTTCATCAGGATGAGAAAGAAGAGTTTTCCTCCTGAAAAACCCGGCAATTTCATGGCCTGCAGCGACAGAAAGAATATTATCGTAGTTGCTACCAGCCAAATCCGTCTTTTGACGGAGACTCGCGAATCCCGTGACTGGCCGCTGGGCAGCTTCTGGTGGAGCTCTCACAGGCCAATCAGACCACGCAGCTCCGAGGCCCAAACGGGTCCCGGATTCCTTGTTCGCATTAATTAACAACTTTTCATCACTGACAAGCTGCTTCTCCCTGCGACAACAGGCTGTGCCGTCCATCGTTGCTCATTCCCTGTCAGCCCTTTCTCATTCAATTGCGTCTTGCGCGGGAATAGGTAATTTTAATTATTTATTTTTGTATTTCCTTGTCTTCGTCGCGGGAGGTACCTCGGGAGTTTGCTTTAACTCTGAAAATTCATATCATCACCAGACATGGCAAACACAATACCAGCGGTCACGTCCGCGCAGAATGTTGTTATCGACACATCCTCTCTCTCAGCGTCTTCTTCATCGTCAGTATGGGATCGCATTTCGAACTGGGTTTCAGAAAATAAGGCTGTCGTGTACACGGTTGCCGGTATTGCCGTAGTCGTGACCGGTGGAACAGTCTATTACCTTTCTACCTCTGGAAAACCAACTGAGCCCGCTGCCCCACGAAAGAGCAAGAAGGAGCGACGAAAAGAGAAGAAGAAAGCCGAGGAAGAGAAGAAGGCCCAGGAAGAAAAGGCTGAAGGTAGGTATTTTGAGTATTCAAGTCGGTCGGACAATCTAATGGTGATTGCAGAGTCCAAAAAGGCCAAGGTAGAAGAACCCGAGGAGCTCCCAGATGTGGATGAGACAACTGTTGACTCATTGACGGAAGAGGTACGTATTTAAAATCGATAGATTGGTAGCCAGATAGCTAATAACACATGCTATAGACCAGAAAAGCTTACGCCCAGAAACTCAAAGCCGCCGGCAACAAGGCTTACGGATCGAAGGAATACAACCGTGCGATTGAACTATATGGTAAAGCAATCCTTTGCAAGCCAGATCCGATTTTCTACTCGAATCGCGCGGCTTGCTGGAATGTGTTGTCTGAGTGGGACAAGGTGGTTGAGGATACCAGCGCGGCCCTCGCTATGGATAGCGAATACTTGAAAGCTTTGAATCGCCGTGCTATTGCCTACGAACATTTGGAACGATACGATGATGCCCTCCTCGATTTCACTGCCAGCTGTATCATCGACCAGTTCACCAACCGACAAAGCCGGGAATCTCTGGAGCGGTTGTTGAAGAAGGTTGCGGAGAAAAAGGCCAAGGAGATCATGGAAGCAAAGGGAAAGAAACTTCCTGGAGCTACTTTCGTCACCAACTATCTTCAAAGCTTCCGCACCAAGCCATTGCCCGAGGGCCTTGATGTCGATGACGTCGACGAGGAGTCGGGCAAGGGACAATTGCGCAAAGGATACTTAGCTATGGAGCAGAAGACTGGTGAGGGCTATGACGAGGCTTCACAGGCCTTTGAAAAGGCTCTCGAGTTGGGTGATCTTGGTGATTACGAAGCCAATGCATTGAACATGCACGCCACCTTTACCTATCTTCAAGGCAATGCCTTGGGCGCTCTTGATGGTCTCAACAAGAGCATCGAGGCTCAGCCGGCGCTAGTCCAGAGCTACATCAAGCGTGCTAGTCTGCATCTCGAACTAGGTGAGTTTTGTTTACCCTTTTTTTAATGTTTTGTATAAACTAACGAGGACTAGGCAACAAGGACGCTGCCGTTGACGACTTCGAGCTTGCAATCGCCCACAACAAAGACGATCCTGACATCTACTACCACCGCGCGCAACTTCATTTCATTCTAGGTGAATTTGCCGAGGCTGCGAAGGATTACCAGAAATCCATTGACCTCGACCCGGCCTTTATCTACTCTCACATCCAGCTTGGTGTCACCCAGTACAAGCTCGGATCTGTCGCGTCGGCCATGGCTACATTTAAGCGCTCTGTTAAGAAGTTTGAGAATGTTCCTGATGTTTACAACTACTATGGCGAGCTGCTTTTGGACCAGCAAGATTTCCAGGGAGCTATTGACAAATTTGACAAGGCGATTGAGATGGAAAGCAAGACCAAGCCTACCGCTATCAACGTACTGCCTTTGATTAACAAGGCTCTCGGTACTTTCCAGTGGAAGCAAGACTTCAAGGAGGCCGAGAGTCTCTGCCAAAAGGCTTTGATCAGTTAGTTTTACTTGCATTCTTTTCATTGTTATCGAGACTTACTTATCTTTGTAGTCGACCCTGAGTGCGACATTGCCGTTGGTACCATGGCCCAGCTTCTTCTACAACAAGGTAAGGTCGCTGAGGCCCTCAAATATTTCACCCGAGCTGCAGAACTTGCCCGCACAGAGGGCGAGGTTGTCAACGCGATTTCATACGCTGAAGCCACACGTACCCAACTCGAGGTCCAAGAGAAGTACCCACAGCTTGCTGCACGCCTACAAACAATGGGAGCCGGCCTGGGTGGCCCTCCAGGATTTTGAGCTGATTACATTCGAAATATGTCTTTCAACGCCATTTCCCCCTCTTCTCTCAACTTTAGACACATCCTCTAGCTGCACTCGAATTCCTCGTCGCCACCATCTATATCTACGAACCTCTGTATACATCGATATCGAGCCAGTCCTGCTATTGTTTTACAAGTTGAATTTTGTGTAATATCTTGATGTCACGTGATATCAATTGTCTCTCACCACTGACCGTGAGCTTTCCCTATCTGTTTCTTCTCATATTTTTGAATAGTCATTTGCAGCGTTTCGTTTGCGGACTGGCTAGTGTCAGGTGTACAGTAAGGTTGGGTAGGGAGAAAGATGGATAAGGCGATGGGTGGTCGTGATGCCAGATGGAGATGATTTTTCATCTTGTACAATAAAATAAGTTATTTATTATCTATGGCTTCATTTCTTTTGTGTTTTAAATAATATGCCGATCAAAATATAAAACCTGCCCAGGATGATGTACTTACTACATGTACCAGTGGGCATGTTACCCAACATTGACCAGTGACGTGTAAGCGAACATGAGAAAACATCAAGGTTGACGTCGACACAGGCTGCTACATGTACTCGCTTGAATTATTCCCCTAGAAAATAAAAATTTCACAAGACGAAACAATTCCACACCAATCACCACGACGAAATTTCCCTAGTCACATAACCCGCTCGTTGATGTAGCATCAATCACAATCCCAAATGTAACTACATAGTCCATTCCATCAACCAGTCACATTACACTCTCGCAAACTTTCACAAAGCCTAAGCACCATAAGCAGCAGCCGCGGCTTAAACCTTCCAATGCTCATACACCCGTCGATCATTTGACTAAGTAACTCCTGGATGGTCTCATGCATCCCACTCTCACATGTCTGCATCGCCCATACATTGATACGTGGAAGTCAGCGCCCGCTCAGAATTAGACTACATTCCATTCAAACCCGATGATTGTCCGACTGACCTGCATATATATACATACATACCAGACTCGAAAATGGTAAGAAACCGACAAAAAATTGTAGCGAAATATTTTCCTAGTGTGACAGAAACATGAATAAAGACGGATCGAGTGATCGATTGATATTAATACTACTAATAATTGATAATTTGTCTGGGCGGTCCTTCAAGGTAGACTCTATTTACTTTGACATAAATTTGTGTAAATCTTAATACTATATCCAACCCTTTGTCATATAGGTGTATGCGGTTGAGGAGGGTGTCATCGTCATTCTTACCTAGACGTACGAGGCGGTTTCATGGTGCATTGATTGATATTATTAAGGTTGAATCAGATGAAGGTTTTGTTAGTCGTCGGAGAGTTGTTATGGCTGTTTCACATATTTACGCGGATGGGAGTGTTTGGAATACAATAGGGGAGATAGATAGAGATAATGTTAATGATCCTCTGCCAGCAGGGATAAAGAATAAACAGCAGTAATGGGATGTAGCTTGGGGTGTCGAAATACTCAAAACTAGGTGTAGCGTGCCGATGCAACCCAAGCCGGTCACTTGCCGGAAACATCACCAACATATTAGACTATCGCCAGACTGGAGAGGAGCTATTCTTCATGCGCGGTCATAAATCGATCGACAGAAAAATAATGATGCACGTGGGTTAGCTCCTGTCGGCAAATGAAACGATCCACCCCCAGGGCGAAAATGTGTGGGGATGGCGTTGCAGCTAGAATTTTAGATTGGTGGTGATCCTGTTCCGTGATTCCAGCGAGAAACGGGGCGAAAATTGAGCAGTGACGAAGAGGTTGATGGGAGGTTTATGTGACACTCGGATTTATAAAGTCTGGCGACTGACCAGGTGGAATTTGTCTTGTTTTCTGCCTGTGAGACAACCAGTGAATATGCATTTGAAAGACCTCTTCGAAGCTGCAGCCATTCTGGCTTGCGCTCTTCCTACTACTGCCTCCGTGCTGGCACAGTCGAGCAAGCGTCAGGCGGAGTCTAAATATGTGTTTGCTCATTTCATGGTTAGTATCAAGAAGCTGTTGTGATGGGAGCATTTGTTGACAACAACAGGTCGGTATCGTGCAGAACTATACCATCGACGACTGGAAAGCCGATATGAATCTTGCGAAAGATACTGGTATCGACGCTTTCGCCCTTAACTGTGCTAGCGTTGATAGCTATACTCCCACGCAACTAGCCTTAGCCTACCAGGCTGCCGAGGCAGTTGATTTCAAGGTGTTCATCTCTTTTGACTTTGCTTACTGGAGCAATGGAGACACCGCGAATATCACACAGTACATGCAGACATACGCAGGCCACCCAGCTCAGATGCAGTATAACAACGCTGCCATTGTGAGCACCTTTGTGGGAGACAGCTTCGATTGGACTCCTGTTAAGGCCGGGACAAACCATTCCCTCTGGGCCCTCCCGAACTTGCAAGACCCTGCAGAGTCGTCAAGCAATACTCAGCGTGGTGCTGATGGTGCATTTTCCTGGTATGCATGGCCGACTGACGGTGGAAACAGCATTATCGAAGGGCCAATGACCACCAGATGGGACGACATGTTTGTTTCTGACCTTAAAACCCAAAGCTATATGGCTCGTGAGTCTAGACTACTGATCGACAAATGATCGATATACTGATCTCTGCAGCTGTTTCACCCTGGTTTTTCACTCACTTCAACAGCAAGAACTGGGTCTTTATCTGCGAGAATCTGCCTACCCTGCGATGGGAGGAGATCTTGTCGCTGAAACCGAGTTTGGTCGAGATTATCACTTGGAACGGTAGGTTGAAAGTGTGGAAGTGGAAGATAAATCGGCTGATCTATTCTAGACTATGGCGAATCCCACTATATCGGTCCATACTCGGCCGCTCACTCGGACGACGGTTCCTCGCAATGGGCCAAGGGCTTCCCCCACGATGCCTTGCGTGACCTGTTCAAGCCATACATCAAGGCCTACAAGGCAGGCGAATCGACGCCAACCATCGACACAGAGGAGCTGGTGTACTGGTATCGACCGACACCCAAGGACGTGACGTGCACAAACGACACACTGGCGGCGCCGAACGGACGCGACCTACTTACAGACACGGTCTTTGTCGCGACGATGCTGAAGGACAAGGCCACGCTGACGATTACCAGCGGATCCAACGCGCCGGTGAGCGTCGATGTGGGTGCAGGTATTGTCACGACAAACGTGACGATGGGGTTGGGCACGCAGTCGTTCTCGGTGAGTCGCAACAACAAGACGATTCTCAGCGGGGCGGGCGGTTTGAAGATCACGGACAGCTGTGAGAAGTACAACTACAATATATATGTCGGGTCGGCGACGGCATAGTGTAGCCGGGTAGCTGGTCGCTGGTAGCTGGTCGCTGGTGCTGTGAGGTAGTTTAGCTTAGCATTATTATTACTGCTGTGACAAGAAATAAGAGAAAGAAGCCAAGCACTTTCGGTGCACGTGACATCTCCACTGTCTCTTATCTACCACGATCGCTATCACTATCGCTATCGTTATCGCTCCATCAGCTGACGGCATGTCATCATCATTGAAGCTGCGTGCTCGGAAGACGCGCCCGGTCATCTGACGCCTTATCTTGCTTGTATCACTGCTGCATGTATGTTATTGGCTCTAAGTACAGGTGCCATAGTACACTGGTACTGGCGGTACTTGTACGGGGTATATAATGTGTGGATGTCAGCCCCCCAGCTCAGAGGCCCTCGATCAGAACCAGCACTGCTAGCTCTATTAGATCGACGCATTCATATCATCGACAGAACCAAATAAATAAATAGTCAATAAATAGTTAATAATAAACAAGCAAATAGAGGGCAAAATAAGAATAGCACGCTGACTCACAAACCCCGCTCGCCCTGTTGCCATCATTGGTCGCTAATGCCTGATTAACTTCCATCCAGGTGAAATGCTCACGTCTGCTGCCTCTGCCTGCCAACACTTCATCTTCCCTTTTTCCACCACACTCCCCATCACCAACCTCCTCCTCCTCTTTTTTACTTTGACGTCGTCTCTCGCAGACACTAGCAGCGCGGTGTAACTGGCCTGTCACTCACGGTGTTCACCACTTCCGCCGATCGTTTCAGTATCGCCTGGCCTGCGAGGTGGGGTACCTGACCAGCCTCAACCACCAGCTCTCCTCCCACCTGCTACCAACGAATAGTCACGCCTAAAACCGCCTGATCGAAGAACAAGACAAACTCAGCAAAATGGACGGCCGCCACGGTAAGCTCATGGCGATGCCTTTTCCTTCAAGATAGAGAGCGATGCTGACTAGCTTCCAGTGGTAGTCACTCTGACGCCCGTTTACGCTCCCGACACTCTGCCCTTCCGCTCCTTGACCTTTGCATCTGACAATGACACTGCTCCCATCGGCAGAGCTTCGAAATCCGAGACGAAGAACCTTGTTCCCGCTCATGATAATGGCTGGTTTGACTCTCGTGTCATGTCTCGCGAGCACGCCGAGTTCAGTGTGTCGTTGGAGATGGAGGTAAGTCTGTGACGCTAGCCAAGATGAAACACGTCTAATGAATCTGACTGTGTTTAGGCCATCTACATCAGAGATCATGGTTCCATGCATGGAACGCTCGTCAACGACAAGAAGATTACCGCGAAAGAGAATGTCCCTGTCAAGAATGGTGATGTCTTGACTTTCGGAAGTGAGGTTTCTCGAGGTCCCCGTATGTCCCTAGCCACGTCTGAAGCATCATTTCTCACTACTAACTCTCAAGCGATAGAAACATTCAGGCCTATAGCAGTTCGTTTTGACTGTAATTGGTACGACTCAAAACCAGCTTACCTGACGCCTGCCGAACCGTCAAAGACACCCACAAATACCTTCAGGGTACCCGATGACGACGACGATGTGATTGTGGTTGTTGAAGACTCTTCCGAATCCGCTGGTTCTACGGATGCCGACTATGGCTCTGACGTTAGCCGGCCTGTGGATCTGACATCTCCCGTAACATCCCCCGAGGCAAAGCATTCTGAATTACCTAGAGCCAAACCAATCAGAGTGGATGCGACTGCGGGTTCTCAGCAAGAGTCCATGATTTTTGGTCAAGAGGAGCAGATTCCACCTTCCTCTCCTCTTGATATCTATCGCACTGATGTTCTGGAGTTTGACGATACCGATAGTCAACCAGACTCTGACAACGATTCAAACAACGGGTCAGGATCTGCATGGATTCCCCCAAACGACGAAGACATGCAAGATGTCGAAGAGTCTGATGTAGATGAAGAAGATATTCCTAAAATGATGGGTATGGATCAGGATGATGTACCTCTCACATCCTCTCAGCAAGCTCTATCCTCGGCCCACGATGCCAATTTACCGTCATCACCGATTCCTAGACGTGCTATTGAGGAGCCTGTCAAGAAGATGGCACAGACAAACACTCCAAGTTTCATTCCACCGGGGTCTGCGCTTTATTGTCCCGCACCTACCTTGACGCCGGTTATTCGTCCACCAGCTCTTTTCCAAACAGAGCCTTCTCATCTTGTAGCAACTTCCGCAAATAATCAAGGCCAGTGGTCTCACTTCCATTCTCCACGTATTCCTAGTCCATCGGACAAGGCGATGGCAAAGTCTTCAGGGAATAGCGTGCCAAATTATCAATCGTCATTCCAAGACTTTACGTCCAATATGGATTGTCTCTACGACCTACATGAACCTCCTGCACCTGTATGCCAAGAAGCGCGGTCAAGCTTATTGAATCAATACGTCCCTAATGCCGCAAATGAGTCGTTCCCTTTTGGTCCACATCGCTCTTCGGGATATTTGCGCCACTTGTCGGATGAAGGAAATGGAATTGCTCAACCCCAATCTACGTTTGACAATACCGACCCACATCTGCTATTCACTTATAAATCGAAACCTGGGTCCTCCAATGAAGCCCAGAAGTCCACCGAGCCCACCCCTACACGTGTTTCGATTGAAGATATCCTCGAAAAGACTTCAGGCCAGTCCGTACTTCGTTGCTCTTTGAAACGAAAAGCAGATGAATTGGAGACCGATCAACCCAAGGAAACTGAAAAGGAGCGGGAGCCTAATACTCAGGATAGCCTGCCAGATGCTCAGCCACAAGTCAACCTCAAAGATCTGGTCATTTCGGATCTCAAAGTTGTGAATGCAACTAATCAACATTCCGGACGCAATCGAGAACACCGTCGTAAGCGAGTTAAGACACGACAGCCCGGAAACGTGATCAAATACGCTACCGCTGCTATGGTTGGGGCTGTGGTTGGCGGTATAAGCACCGTCGTTGCCCTGGCCGCCCTTCCTCCTGGATTTTTCGAGTAAAATCGCAAGAGCTAGGCAATGATACCATTTTCGAGTCATTAGGCGTTAGTTACAGTATTTGTTTTGCGTATGGGGAGCAGGCTGGTTCAGGTGAATTTCACTACAATGAGAGCAAGCGGACGATTTCTTAGGTACCTCGAGAACGATTGCTTTTGCGATGACACCCTTTATGAAACTTTCCTTTCTTTTTTCTTTTTAGGCTTTGCCAAACTAGTATGGAATCTAAACTCTTATCATTTAATAACTTCAATATTAATATCTTGCGTAGCTTTAAGTCCTATAGAGAAAGAGCATAGGCACATCTATTAACATACAAACTCATCAGAACTCTCGATATTAGATGAGGGTCAGCAGCATACAAGGCTTGCCTAAATCAAACACTCCTTTACAGCCTGGCTAAGAAAGCAAAACCGTGTGTAATTGATAGTTTGGTCTCGTTTCAGCACTAGGAAATAATAGGGGGTGTTAGTGGGCGTGGATTATTGTGGGCCCACTCTTGTTATGCTTGAAGATCCGCCATGGTTTCTATCACCTTTCCCATCGCCCGTCAACACAATCCTCAAATGCCTGTCCGCAATTGAAATGTCTTTATTTTCCCCAGGTATAATCCGCCCAGGCCCAGGCAAGTCATTGACCAGAATAATCCGGTCATGCACGGCCTGGCGAGATGTACCACGGCCTCCACGAGGGGTGACGATACGGTTTATGCAAATAACTACCCGACAGGATTTTCACAATAGATACCGCGACTTGAGTAGTGCATCTTTTTCATTACCTGGAGATAAGGCCGTAAGCTCAAACCATATTTACGATTTGTCAATTCAGCTTTCCCAACGACCGATGAACGGAAACGTGTCGTTGAAATATACGCGGTACAACAGTAATGGGACCGCACCCATCGCCGGCCACACGACTAAACTCAATATTGCCGACAGATATGGGTTGAGCACGCGAGATCTGCATGTCTTTGATTTGCCATCCGGTGGATTCCCGCATACCCTGGTCAGGGAGAATACAATCCTGATTCACCTGTTTGATTTGCGATTATTGGTGCAACATGATCATGCTCTGCTATTTACCGTCACCGAATCCTCCTCTCCTGACCCTGTTCCTGGTCAAAGGGACAACAGCCACGAGCCACAGCAGAATACTGATAGTGGTAGTGATAATCGCACCGTATCGCGCGTATTTACTCACTTCATTGAGGAAAAGACCCGAGTCGAGCAGTCAAATGTTGGCTGGTTAGTGAACCAGCCCTACGAGCTATGCGTTGTGGAAGCCGCATTTGCAGCTGTAACATCGGTCCTCCGGGCCGAATACATCCTGACCAAGCAGCAAATTTATAATACGTTAAAAATGACCACCCTAGACAAGCTAGGCGGAGACGAAAGCCTAGTTTACACAGAACTACGCCTGATCCTCGATCTGACGCGGAAGCTCGCCCGTATCCAACAGCGTACGTCTCAGGTGCGAGACACTGTACAGGAAGTTCTGAATGAAGATGAGGACATGGCTAGTATGTATCTCACCGATAAGAGGGCCGGAAAGCCACACGCTGCGGAGGATCACCAGGATGTGGAGTATCTATTCGAAGCGTACTTCAAGGCAAGCGATTCGGTGGTGCAGGATGCAACGAGTCTAATTGACAATATTCGACGCACCGAGGAAACCATCCAGTCCACCCTTAGTGTGCGACGAAACCAGATCATGATATTGGAAGCAAAGATTGAGATTATGATGCTGGCAATCGCAGGGCCTACTCTTATTGCGGGTTGGTATGGTATGAATGTGCTAAACTATTTCGAGGACAGTGGTCAGGCTTTCGCTGCTATCGTTTTCACCTCGTTTGCTGCGATAGTCTCGGCTTCGTGGTATGGAATGCGGAAGTTGCGGCGGATCCATGCCTTGCGGTTCTAGTTTTGACTTATCACTTAATATGACAAAATTTGATACAGTATTAAGATTTACACCAATTTATGTCTGATCAAATTTAGCCTTCTTGAGGGAGCCGCCTGTCGTTTAATTCAAAACATCTGGTTGAAGTATTGTTAGTATTGATATGTGGAGATTTTAAAAGGAAATCAGAGGAGGTAGGGTACTACCTGCCAAGGCAAATAATTGAGGCACATAGATGCAGCTATCTTCGTTGATTGTCGTGCGTCTCGTGTTTTGTTTTTTGTTTGATTTCTATTCACAAAAAGTGTCTCGGGCACATTTGAATTTTCACGTGTCAATACTCTCCGAGCCGGCCTTCTAGGTTAGCAGTATGCACAATATATGCACAGCCATGCATCTAGGTGTTGTCTCAGTTTTGTGTGTTCTGCTCCTCGGCAGTCTAGGTGTTAACGTAGACTAGAGTTCTCATGTATGACCAAAATTCGGCATTGGTTGGATCCAATTGATCCTTCACGTTGAGCTGAAACCCGCAGGGGTCCAAGGTTGAGCTGGGCGCGACCAGCGATATAAGTGTAAGTTCGTTCATTGTCTAGAGTTTAAAGGCGCTTTGGTATCCCTTGCCCTGCCTTTTCCATAGCAACTTCCAACGTCCTCTCAACTGATTCGAAAATGGAGACGTTGACATTGAAAGAGCGCGCTGCTCACATTTCGGAGGCTGCCAACCGTCTCAGTGATGAACTCGCTCGGACAGGGTTTCCTGAGCCATCTTTTGAGCTGGGCCTTCCCCCACCACTCTCCAACGATGCTCCAGAGACTCCAGCCCTGCGCTCAAAGCTAGAGTTACTACAAATGGTGGATGAACTTCGGTCCCTACTTACCGATCCCACCCTCCAGTTAACATCACAGATGGTAATCCCCTTTCTGCTTCAATCTGGTAGTGATGAGGCTAAGCCATTACCGCAGCGCAATCCCGCCCTCAGTGTACACCCTATTATTCGTTTGGGGATTGCTGAAAACTTCCCCCCTGAGGGAACTACCGTTCAAGATCTAGCTAGCAAGCTGCACCTGCCCGAAAGTCTTGTCGGGCGTCTCCTATCACATAGCGCTACGTACCATATCTACCATGAGTCCTCTCCTGGATATTTCGTGCACACAGCAGCTTCGAGAGCTCTTAGCGAGAACGACGGAATGCGGCAATATCATATGGTCGGTCTCGAGGAGACGCTTCCGGCAACATGCAAGGTGAGGTTGCAGTTTCTAATAGCTTGCGTCCCTAAATGTCCTAACACGTTAGATACACTCTAGACAGCATCTGCCTTGGTTCAAGATCCGCTTTCTGAAGAGCCCGAATCTTGTGTAAGCCACAGTACCGCAATTACAGTATATTGTATTAATCCCATAAAAAAGGGATGGAGCATACAAAATGACACAGAACTCTCGCTCTTTAAGGCACTTGCGAACATGCCAGACAGAGCCAATACCTTTGCGGAGGCAATGAGATGGCAGTCAACGCTTCCTGGATTCTCGCATCATCACTTGACAGAGGTCTTCCCATGGGGGTCCAGTGAGCAGCAACTCACTGTAGTCGATGTTGGTGGTGGAGTCGGCCAAGTCTCACAGGCACTGCTTGACCATAGTCCCGATGTCAAATGCATTGTTCAAGACTATCCCGAAGTTGTCTCGCGTGGACAGGATTCTCTCCCAGCGAAATACAAGCCGCGCATCACCTTTCAGTCGCACGACTTCTTCAAAGAACAGCCCATTAAAGGAGCTGACATCTATCTGCTGCGAATGATACTTCATGATTGGTCGGATAAATATGCGATAAAGATAATTCAGGCTCTAGTCCCTGCTTTGAAGCCCGGTGCCAAGGTGGTGATCAATGACCGTGTTATTCCAGCATGGCACCAAGCGCACTATCTGGTAGAGCGAGAAGCACGGTAAGGGCTATGCCATGCCACAAATATTCTCGCGGGAAGTTTGACTTGCTGATCAGGCCGATAGTGACAGCGACATGTATATGCTGGCTTTTCAGAACGCCAGAGAACGCACTGCTCAAGAGTGGTCGGCGCTTTTGAAAAGGGCAGACGGAAGGTTCCAGTTAACTAGAGTCCACCAGCCACCGCGGTCAGTTCTAGCTGTTGTGGAGGTCACTTGGGATGGTTAGTGAATATAATAGCTGGTAGCCAGATCCTGACCGACCCTCGCAGTCAGGCTGCATTTGTAAGGTGGTGGTCGCCAACATTAAATCCAAGAATGTTTGGGCTTCTCATGAATACAGACAGGTACTGTAGTGAGGCTTTGGGTTGTTTAGCAGTTGTTTAGCGGTTAGAGCCTAGCGGGGATCCCGGGGCATCTAGAAGCGGATCCCCTGACAGCCTTGTTTACTGCCTATTGATTACTATAGAATCGCACCACCTAGGGCCATATTTACGCCTTTCCCTTGGCGCTCCAATGGGGGTACTCAGCCTATATAATCCCGAGCCCTCTCTGTTGAATAGCAACACACTCTCCCGTCCTCTTTTTTTTTTTTCGTCCTGCTTTCGCCTTCTAGTCGAGAATATAACGATGCTTAGCGGGGCATCCATCATAAAGCGTAATATAGTACGAGACGTACTGTCAGCCCCCCAACAAGTACAGCCATGCGGAGTCGATCTCACATTACGTCGCGTTCTCAACTGGACATCTCCAGCAACAATCGACTTTGACAATTCTCGTCGCCAAGCAGCAAAAACATTAGAACTTCCGTTCTGTCCGGAGAAGGAGGTAGTTACACTATCGAAAGGTTCATATCTAGTCGAGTTCAACGAAACAGTTCACATCCCACTTGACTGTATGGGCCAAATATTTGTGAGATCATCGTTATGGCGCTCAGGTGCGCTACTCACAGCTGGGGTTATTGACGCTGGGTATGATGGTGCTCTGGGCGCTTTACTTGATGTTAGAAATCCAACTGGGATTGTCCTTAGCAGGAATGCCAAGCTTGGGCAGATTACGTTGCATAGGTTAGAGGAGAAGGTTGCAGGATATAGCGGCATATATCAGTTTTCACAGAGCACTCTTGGACGGGATGGCAGTCCTAGATCAGATTAGTGCAGGACTTTATTTGATCAGAAAGGAGGAGCGCAAAATATGGTATACGCCGCCTCAAATAACACGGAACCATTGAAACTCACAAGAAGGAAGAATTATCAAAAAGAACTAGGTTCTTCATACTACCACCCCGGTTCGTACCAGGGTGCGTACCAGGGTGGTGAAATTAGACTCGGCTGTTGACAATAATAGCTTGAGCCATTATGTCTATTTCTGGGTTCAAAAGTCAACCGAATACCAAATTTCAATGAAGATTTTGGTTCTGTGAACTAAACTACCAGGACTGTGGTAGTTGGCTTAGAGAACAAAGTTTTGAGCAGATTATCCTATTGCCCGACGCCTCGTATTGTCTACTTGTCTACGGATATCGGAATATCGTGTTGATCTTTCAGTTGTCAGCCAGGTGATTAGCCTTACATATGTCATTATTAGCTACAAACCCAGTGCTAAGTGAGTAGTCTGAGCTCCTCGAGATTCATAACTTGATTCTTGCAGTTGACAATGCATGGCTTCTCGGATTAGTATGGTTAGAATGGAATATACTGCATTTGTATCTCATATCAATATAATCGGTTATGGTTGTGTATAGCGGTACAATAACCTGCTACTAGGCTGGGATTTTGATCCTTGGTTTCTCTTTGTTGATCCTTAGTGCGATGCTCAACTATCAGCATCACAAACCATTGCAAAGAAACTACGCGGGGTAGAAAATATCTGTTGGTAAACTGCTTCTCTTAATTGGCCCCTGTGCAGGGTGGAGCAGGATAAACCTTCTCTTGTCTTCACTTCATCTATATCTCTAATACTCATTATTCACTTCTATATACATTTATGTAGCCGCTGACTGCGCCGACTCTCTTATTTGCAGTGCTCTGTCTTAAACTTCCAAAGCCACTTCATCGAATTGGTTGACTGTGAACCATTATTCATCAGGACATCTTGAATCACCTCGCACTTTATTGGTTATGTCGTCGCTGGTCTCCTACTCTCGACCCGGACGGGGTCAGCACTTCCAAGATAAGTATGGCTTCAGTGAAGCTGTAATTACGGGGGATCGGATGGAACTTGCGGGTCAAAGTACTGTCACTCTGTTTCATGTTTTACGTATCTCTTTGCAAAGATCTGAGACTTTGTTCAATCAAAACACTTTTGAGTTATACACTAATAAGTCACATTTTAACTAGCTGGCATAGGCCCCGAAACTATGAAGGTTCCGCCAACCCTTGAGGAAGAAGTCGCACAGGCCTTCTCCAACATCAATGCGGTTATTCTTTACACCCTCGAAAAATCCAAACATCCTTCTCATTCAGAGGAAAAGACTGGTTGGGACCGCGTTATCAAACTTCGAACATATCACGTTAATCTGCCGGATACTCGCGACAAGATCATAGAGTTGATGGTGCAGCATGTGAAGAAATGGTGTCCGAACCACGCACCTACCTGGACGATGCTAGGTGTACACTCCTTGCCTTTTCCAGAACAAAATTTGGAAATTGAAGTTGATGTTTATCTGGGATAAGATCTGAGCGGGTATGTTGATATATGCATTGTGGCGAGATACTATGTTCATGTTACTCGTGCCATTATCACGTACTGAACTTGAGTTGCGATAATCAGTATGCGGCAGTGATAATAGAAGAAATCGAGTGATTAATTTTTACTATCCAGAGGTTTTTGAAAGTTTTTTTGTCGTTGTTAACACAATCTCTTATTCTAATGCCAAGGAACACGATTTTTCCCCAATTCGGCCGAATACGAGACACCAGCCGAGCCAAGATAGACGGTGGTATTGGCATTTCGGAACTTGCAAATTGACTCTCTAGTTAAAAGATCGAAAGGTCCTTGCGCTGCCAACTCGGAAACAGAGAGTTCCATGCCAAGGGCTTAGCAATTGTCCATAAGAGTTGTAATGACTAATTCAGCCAGCAGGATGTTTCCCATGCGCCAAGCGGGTATTTAATCTTGAGACTGACGGAGGCTGATTTCCAAATTTCCTCAACAAGGTTTGACATCCAACATCGCCTCTGAGTGATTTTTAAATTCCTGAAAATAGACCTTCAAGGATAAAGAGGGACCTTCAGGATGAATACCGTAGCTAGTTACGGCCTTTTCCTCTTGGTCATTATTAACGCCACTACCTCTACCAAACTCAAACCATTTATCACCCCAAATTTCAAACCAACAACAAATTCTTCAGTATCCCCTGCTTCATCTCCAAACCTTCTAGCTCGGTATAGTGGGTATTACGGCGAGTGTTATCCTGGCGAATACCTATGCGATGATAACTGTAAGTGTCCACAACTACTAATAGATATGAAATTCTCATCCGGTCATTCTGAACAGTCTCCTGCTGCGAAACATGTTGCAAAGATAGTAACTGTTGCGGCCCTGTTGAGCTTTGCTACAACGACGAGGCGGGCGCCAGTGGGCCGAGCTTTTGTTGTGAAGTGTACACTGAAACCGATTGCGTAGATGGGTGCATACCTATTGACGCCAGTTGTTGTGGAATAGAAGGATATGTTAGTGCTATCCCTTTGCCTGGCGTGAGTAAGCGCCTGGAACTAATAACACCTGTGTTTAGTGCGAGTATGGATATAAGTGTACGGATACAGGATGTGTATGTTGACCAATTTCGCACCCCTTTTCATGGTATTAGCTGACGGAATAGTGTCCATGGGGAGAGGATTGCGATGGGAGGTATGATGATGATGATGATGATGATGATGATGTCAGTTTCAGTGAAACAGGATATCCGACCACTACCTCGACGTCGTCTATAATCACATCAGGAACTGCCACAGCAACAGCAACAGCAACTGAAATCACGTCTCTTCCAACAGAGACTACTACTATGAGAAATTCTAGAAAAGAGACCATGACTAGTAGTAGCAGCGCCGATGATGAATCATCGTACACAGAATCAACAACATCTTTCTCAACTACAAGCTATACCCCAAGTACAAGCCAGGCAGCACATACGGTGGTCACTTCCGACACAACATCCTCGACCGGTCGTGCTGCCGCTGCACCCACAGTAACGGAACCACAAACTGGCGGTACTACGTCAATAGTTGCAATTAACTTGCAGTTTGGAAGAATCATTTTTGTGACCCATATATTGCTGTTTGGCTTTTCGATGATTTAAACTATTTGATGAAGTCATTGAAAGAATGTCGGACACATTGCATACTCACCATGACAGAATGTTTGTGACATCAATTTGAAGGTTATACTGTCGATGATTTAAGAATCCAATGTATTCCACAGAAAGTCCACAAGGTCACAAAGTATTTCCTCTGAACATTCATGGCCACCATTCATGTATTCCTTTCGTTCGACATCTAGTCCTAGTGCCTCCAGACAATTCCCTGCTCGCCGGCCTAACGCAATAGGTACCGTACCGTCTTGGGCCGCGTGTGCTATGAAAAGCTGAGTGTTTTGAATTGAAGCGTTACTCGATAAGCTTGCAGTAGATGAGGAGGGTAGCTCAAGAATGTCTCTCAACTTATTCACCCCCCTTTGTATTGCTGTGTTCTGGTCAGTCTCCCTGTTATCACCGTTGTCGGCTGGCGTCATATCGGCATCTTCGTTCAGTGCTGCCCTTGTAATATCTTCCACAAAAGGCAGCCAACCACACATCCCAGTCAATGCTCCCAAACTCTTGCCTTCCCAGAGGAGGGCAGAAATAAAACTCGCCGCAGATCCTTGGCCGAAGCCCCCGAGGACTATTCCGCTTGCATTGCCCCCCAGTTCACCTATTTCGGCTTCCAGGAGTTCGTGAAGCGTCCTGACAGTTTGTCTGAGTCCAGAAATCGGTAGACTATTGCGCCACTCATTTTGCATTTGATCATCAGGGTCATTAGTAGTAGCGTGAAGTGGCCAATTATCAAACCACTGGTTCAAATCATGCCCCGAAGCCTTGGAATATTGACTCGCTGCGGTCGGGAATATGAATTTTGCATGCGGAAATTTTGCTTTCAATGTGGTTGTTTCCTGAGAACTGTGGTAGATATTGGATCTTAGACGACGGACACGCAAAGGCTTGAAAAGTATGGCAGGGCCAAAACCAGTAGCGTCGCCGCCGCGATCGTGCAGGAGGATGATTGTTTGTTTATGTGGACTTCTTGACGGGTTAATAATGATGGTTCCAGAATTTTGAAAGGCTGTCATGTCCAGTTTGCTGGCGATTCATACAACCGATCGGTAACACTTGTCGATGAGAAAATGAGAGGTTATTTGTTTTTGGGGAGTAAATAGGATCAATAAAAAGGATATAACATGTGGATATTATCACCAGGTGATCGGATACGCATTCTTGTGCCAAGAGCCTGACTGGGCTGCGTTTTGCTTTCACCCTCTTTTTACCCGTCCCGGCAGGATTGAAATTCTTCGTGGGCGGTCAATAAAGGTTGACGTGTCAAGTTGTTTTCAAGAGAGTGGAGAAGGAAATAAGAATGTAGAGGAAGAGGAGGAACCTTGGAGGATATAATATCGGAAAATTCCAGAGAACGTGGCTGATACAATGATGATGTTAGAAACTTGCAAACGTCTTTGATTATCCTACCCCTCTTTCTATGCTTCCGCTCTCGGTGGGTTTTCTACAACATTCCAGCCTATCATAATGCCTGGCAATGCTGGAAGTATATGGATGACTTGATATTGTTTCTAGTTCAGCGCTGAGCATGGCTACATACGTAGGATTGCTAACGGCAAGGCTATGAGCTCTCTGTTTCCCCAACTATGCTATCCATGGCCCTATCGTTTCCTCACGATCAGCTAACACATTGCTGTTTCTATTATAGGATCACCTTACACCGCTGCCTAGACTGTCTGTGGCGCCGCCAAAGAACAGTCTAGAACACTTCCCGACTTTTCTTTGACATGTCTCCATACTTGATTGTAGGGTTCTCGACAATCTAAGAATATCCAAAATGGGTAAAGCTCACTAGAGGCACAGCTCATTGTTCAGCGCAATTCCCTTTTTTTTTTCTTCTTTCACCAAGTTATGCTTCGATACCGCGACACAAGGACTGGACAAAGATTCATTAATCAGAGTTCCAGCATTGGCCATTCAACATTCCGCGACTGACAAACCCGAGCATGATTCTGATTGGAAGAATAATTATGCTCAGCAGGCCACTCAAAAGCGCGTAAGTTTCGAGTGCTGACGGTCCGGAAGGGCCTGGCCTGAATCAGTGCACTATTGTGGACATTTCCAATTTAAGCCACTTGCATTATCGTAAACGTGTAATGATAAGATTGAAATATAACGTCTGATATTGTCAAGGATTGATTGGTGTACTTCTCCACGGAGTGTTCGTATTTTTGACCTCTACTGCGATCGAATACATTTTGTCTCTACTAATGATTACTTCCAGTCACGTATCAAAAATATCATTTATTTTGATTAAGTTTTTTGATAGATAGAAGTATATGATGTCTATAAATGCAAATAAGTCATTATTTATTGATTCTTTCTGTTATTTCAATGTTCCTCGGACCTTTTGCAACTTTCTGGGTCCGAGAGACAGAGGCTTTTTTGATGCACTTACTACTAGTACTTGCTTATAAGTTTGCGAATAGCTTCATAGCAGTATTAGCTAAATATAAAACGATATTTTAAACACTTGCAGTCATAAAAAGTATTTAGACTATGGGTTCTACACAGAGTAAACCACCCAGAAAGAGTAAATGAAAAAAGGAGTATACAGTGTTTAACTCATGCTTTATTTATTTGCACATAATGTGCCCAATCAAGTCAAATATTATTAGTGTCAAGCTAGTCTCGTTCAAAATGTATCTAAACGCCTGCAGGCGGCTTGATTTTCCTGTCCTGTATGGACAGCATGCAAGAGATAGAATTTAACTAACCAATAGAAAGCCCTTGGTTCTGCATTCATTTATCGGGCTGCGTGCTACGGAACACCAATAAAATGGAATTAAGTAGAAGAAAATGGAGCGGTGTGGTTTGATGATTGGAGCAAATAGTTTCTCACCAACGGGGGATTCTCTTGTCCACCATTATTGGATGGACGTCAAAGTCGGGTTTTATTCCCAATGGAGATCAGATGTCATTGGAAAAGTTCATAAAAAAATTACGGTGGTGGATAGAAAATTCTTATGGCTTACAGCATGGGAAGAATGCCAAAGTACAAAAGTGATCAACAAAATATTTCAATAATCTCTTGCCGAGATGTCTGCTTTTCTATGGAGCTGGATCGAAGGCAGTGATGAAGACAGTCGTCACTTGGCTTATCCATCGAATAATGATCTTCTCGCGGATGATCCATTCCACTCAACCATAACCACGTTTGATAATGCGAGATTTATACAAAAGTGGCTGCTTCCTAGGAGAGATCGACTTCCTGACCTCGCTTGGTGGACAATTTCGAAGACGGGCCCACGCTTGCCATAGTATAGGCCTCGTGGCGTTTTTCTTACTACAGGGTCCCGTTGAGTTTTATTGTCTTTCTTTTTCCTGGTTCACAATCAGTATAGACGTCGCTATCCTCTGGCTTCTCATCCACATACTTACAGTAGGCTTACTTTACCGATGGAAATGCAGGAGAGTATTGTGGTTATCGATACTCCGTCGCATCTTGATATACCGGAGGGAGCAGTAAGCTGACATTACGAATGAGAATTCGCGTTCCTTTTCCCCTTTTCGCCTTTTCTTTCTAACAACATTAAATAAAAGAGTAGAATGCCAGCAGTACGCCCCCGAGATGTGAATATTTTCATGGTTACGATTCAAGCAATTTTGTGTAACTGTGTGGCACACTGTTGCAAATCTATGTCTCATATACAAGTCAAGATGTAAATTTAAGTAACCCCTATTGAGACTTATCGAGACACCATAGCCAATGAGCTCCCATTACTCTTTCCCTTCGGCAAGCTGCATTTCAAACCTACGCGAGCGAATTGCAGAGGTGGGCTTCAACATCTCGTTGATGTCTTTGTCTTCTATGAGAGTAAAACGACATGGATTACACACGGTTATGTATTCATAATCGTGGATGGCATGTTGGAAAATTGCATATTGAAACCCAGAATTCAGCAGAGCTTATTGTTTAATGTTGATAGATTCTTCACCTTTTGAAGTATATAATTGCATTATGATTTGCTCTTTTCGTACAACCAACGCTGATTTGGAAGCACCAACCAATCTTCTATCTAGAGAACAGCAGTAAAGCCAATGTGGTCTGGTAGCCTGCGCTATGATTCAAATTAGAGCTAAGCAATTATTATGAAAATCTGCAATAATTTTCTATAGCTGAGCCAACGGCCTGGTAATCAATTTCTTCAATTTCTTCTGGTCAAGAATCTCGCTTTCCACCAAGCGACCAACCTCTTTAACCTTGCCGTCGACTCGCTCATAACGAGCTAGAGTCGGAACACTGTTGACGTTCCATTTCGTTCGAAAAACATTGGAAGGATCTCTCCATCTATACTCTGTCATTAGATGTCCTATAACTCCTCTTGAACTATATTGGGGGACGCAACAACATACTCGGGTCGCTGTCCAACCTCAACAAAAGCCACTTGTGGCGCATCATTCACAGAAAAGGCAGCTGTAAGAGGTGGCAATGCGGCTACAACGTCCGGGCACCATGGCTTTCCTGTGTTCGCATCGACGGAAGCATGGAAAGAGATGAAGAAGACGGAGTCGGTGGGCAGATTCAGAGACTCCGCTGAAGTGGGCAAAGAGAAATCGGTTATGACTGGCATTTTCTTGTGCTTATTTTTCGCTTTTGATTTCTAGTGGTGGTACAAGCGTGAATAGGAGGTGTATATATCGCGGTCGTAGTAGAATTTTACAGAGTTAGAAAGTCTGTTTGTTGTTCTCCAAGGTAACTTCGGATACAAATGCCACTTTTCATTTTGCGATATTTATAACCCCGCGCCAGCGGGATGGCCCGTCTGCTCAACATGTATCACGCCATGAATGATAAATTCACGACATTATAATGGAAACCAAATAAAATCAGCAATATTTTGAGTCGAATCCTAGTTTCTAGTAACAATCAAGTTGATTTCCATATCACACCATTGGTCTCATATGTACAGTTCACCTCATGTGTATATAAGTAAATATTGAAAATTTGAAGCTCAGTTTCCATCTAACTCATACCTCCCATAGCCCTTCTGCTTCACGGGCAATTCATACTATACCTCAGAAGGCACGGTCTCTGGAATGGCGAGGTTAAGATTTTGTTTTTTTTTCTGTGTTTTTCATCTTCTTTTGTTTCCATCTTCGTTATATAAATGCGCCAACACATATTCAAAACAGGGACGCCGATCGCAACCCGGGCCCCAATTCCTGCGTTTGTACCAGTGGAAAAGTCCTACGCCACTGTCAGATGCAGGTGATGGCGAGCTCGTTGCGGATAATTGTCTTGACGTAAATGTCAGCGAGGGTGTTGCTGTTGACGAGGTAGGTAATATTGTTGACGTTGACATGGCTGCCTGTATACGTAGGAATCGATACCCCCACAACCTAGTACTCAGGCAGACTCCTAAGGTTTGGCCTTGAAAGGTTTCATCCGTAGGGTTCCCACATGATGCCGAACCTTGGTCTGTTTGGCCACAGCATTGCCATAGGTCCAGGGTTGCGTTCCATGTAATGTCTGGGATCGTATTGACTGATGTTTGAACTTAAAAATGAATATGCACGCAAAAAGTAGACCGACGAAAATGAAAATATCTTACTGCAGCGGCTGGAACAATTAGTCGCAAATTGCGGATCTTGAAACTATCCATTCAAGCAGCCGGGGGTATAATAGCCACTGCCACCGGTCTGGGACTATGTGTATTGGCATATGCTATTGGACACACAAGACTCTCCAATGGCACAGCAAGCCACTCCGGTTGTATTGTCAATTGTCAGGCCGCATGGGAAGTTGTCGTAGTGTAAGCCAGGCCAACTGCAGTTAGACATTGTGAGAGCCTTTAAAACCAGCAGAAATACTAGAAGGTGAAGCAACTCTAGCCAAAGTACCTTATGAATATATCGGTGACTTTGTATCTAAGTGGAGGATAGGATTCTGGCTGACTGGCCCCCTTTCAGGTACAGGTAATGGAGCCTAGGGAGTATCCAGGGTTTACAAACATATTCTATGGTAGCACATATAAGTATGCATGTAGCCGTGCTAAGGCTCTGTCAAAGTGTCTGCTCAGCTGCTGGCACATCAACGATATCTACCTGTGTAACAATCTCGTCGTTCCGAAATCGGCGTAACACGACCTTCGGACATAAGCCAGGTTTTTCAATTGTAAACATTCGTATGAAGCTCTGCTGAAAGCCAGGTTATGCACTTTCTGTGCTATCGAATTCTTCAACCATGGTCATTTGACCTTGGATTGCTTTGTCAAATTTCTCAGTCCAAACTTTAAGCTTGCATGCACACACTGGTGTGCCATCGATCAAAACAGGCCCACCACTTTCAGTCCACTGTTGAACATTTAGGTCAACAGAATGTTGGCATTGTTTAGTGATGCACTGATATTTCTGGCTTGAAACTAATACCATTATCACATTGCATCCCATGGCGAGTGCATGTCGAATGAGTGGATTGAGGAGTGCCTCAGTTGCCCCAATCGATTCGGTTATCTTTAATATCTGCAACGCGCACACAAGAGCTTCTCTTCCGTATTTTGAGGTCCGCCAGATCTCTGTAAGGGGGTCGTCTAGTTGCTTCGTGAGTCTAGCGATTCCAATTGTACCAAGACCAGTATAGTGGTACATTTTCAAGTAATAGTAGAGAACCATCCCGTCTTGTACGAGGGTAATTATTCGTTTTATTGATGCCGCTGCGGAGTCGTCGTCTCCACGATAAGCTAGCAATAGATACCTTGCGGCATTGCTATTGATGTTCCTTGGGTCAACCAATTTGTTGATCTTATCTAGCTCATATTTCCAGCCATCGAGTGCCTCAATGAGCAGTTCATTTTGCAATCCGTTTCCAGAGTATCCACTTGTTTTGGAAGGGAAAGACCGTGAAAGGACCCATATCGCTTGTACGAGGCCGCATAAACCCATTTGCACATCTTCTACGAGCAGTTGCAAGGATATAATAGAGCCTGGGCGGTTCGTCATTTCGGATATTGGGAATGCTGATCGTTCAGGCGGCTCTTCTGGCTGTCGTATGGCGAATATATCGAGACCATATGTGTTCCACAGGGCAAAAGTGCTCGGAAGACCTACATCAATTTGTTGACGGTGAAGTATGGGAGGCATTTCGTGAGAGAGAGAGAAATAAACGTCAAACTGATAGGTCCAGACAAGCAATCTTTTGAATTTCTCGCGCATATTTAGCGTATACGGAGCATATGTACCGCTAAAATGAGTTTGTAAATGCTTGATCAATGGTTCAGCGTTGAACGCCCCAAGGTCTCGGAGAATGGTTATGAATGTGCTTCGAAGAAGCTTAGCTCTAGACAAGGCACTCTTATCGGTGCGGTAGAGTGAGAATATTAGAGTTAATAGAACCGCTTGGAAAAGTTCGATTGGCCATGGCTGTCCTCCAAACATCAATTGGGAGTCAATCTATCGTGGGTCAATAAAGTAGTAGTTCTTGAGACGGGTACAAGATACGGACCAGATTATGTAGTAAGCGCTGGAGTAGGGTCTCATGCACTCTGAGAGCATAAAACCTTTCGGTCCATTCTGTAGTGCTTCGGAACCACACTCCTATAATGCACACCGATGCAGCAAGGGGCAAAGACATAGAGCTTATTTCCATGTCCAACGTTGGGGAGTGAAGGATAGGCCACCGGAGGTGGAAGGTTCGTGAATATGTTTCAAGGCACTTTGTAACCCATTCCTGCAACTCTGCCGACTCTTGCATGGCACCTTCTAATGAAGGCTTCTCAGCCACCATAATTTCGTACAGAGCTTCCATTCCACGACTTAGGGGTCGGAAGCTTGTTAGGCTCGGATCAGAGGGAAGAATGGTGAGGTTCTTGAGGAATTCAAGGTTTGATAAGTTAGATTCCCTTTCCGTACGCAATGTATATTCAGCTTGGAAGTTCTCCAGTCTTGAGTTTGCAGGCGACATGGGTTTGTCATCATCATTGACATCTTTGCTGATGGAAGCATTTAGAGCTGTAGACCCATCTGTTGTTGATGCGTTTTTGGACTGACCAGATCTGCTTTGGAAGGTGCAGTTGATCCCCCGTCGCGTACATAGTAAGCATTGAGTCCCACCAGAGCATTTAGTTTTGTTAGCACGGCAGGCATCGCAGGAGACAACGATGCGTGTATGACTCGGATTATGTACGATTGAGTGGCGACGAAGTAGGTCACTGTGAAGTAACATTAACTAACAATGCCATATGGTAGGGTTAGAGGTGCAGTGAAGGTTAGACGTACTTCCGACTGAACTGTCGTTGGCATACACTGCAGATATATGCCAATTTGTCATGGGTAGCTTGATGTCTAGTCAGATGCTCTTTACGAGCGAAACTTTTACCGCAGTGGCATGCATGCCGAGCTGTCAATTCCGAACTCAGCAAAAGTTGTCAGTTTCAGTACTCAAAATCCTTGAAATGGGCCTTAAAAGGTAAACTAGTTTACAGTTCATAGTTCAGCCCATCTTCTGCTTACCCAGTTCCGGTGGGAGAGGCATGGCGACGGTCGGCTCGATGACACAACATCCCTCGTCCCGTAACAGAATTACCACGACTAGTAGAAGGGCACCAATATTGTTCGTAGCTCAGTGGGAAGCACAAAATGCTCCAACAGAACCAAATGGTGATTGGGCAATTGGACACGGCAATGACCGATTGGGGGAGTCCGCGAAATTTGGGTACGAGAAAGCCCAAAGCATCGAATGAAGCAACAGAAGCTAAAAGGAAGGGTCACGACATCGTGGGCGATATACCACTAGTTACTAACCTATATTCAAATTCGAAGAGAAAGCATAGAGAGGAGAGAATAATATTGAATGGTGTTATCTAATCAGCAATGATGATGTCAGCTAGCGTCGGCATTTTTGCGGGATGCGGCGTTCAGCTGACTTAATGCTGGCAGGCCACTCTTCCAGCCTCACGCCGGTCCGGTGGGATGTCGTCTTTGAGTACAGATACCGCTTAGCAATATCCTCTTTGGGTAGATATTTAATTGCGGATTGGATAATCATGAACTTGCGTCGAATACATTGGCAGGTGGCCATTTCGTGGCAACTCAGATCAATTAGCTCTGGGATTGCATATAAATAGCCCTAACCTCTGGGCTCTCAATTGTAACATGAAAAAACAAATCAACTCGTCCCTCATCTTCAATTTCGATATCAATTGATATTCACTGTGTCTTGAACCAATTCATTGTCATGTCAGCTATAAAGAACGTCACGGTTGTCGGTGGATCTGGCCGCTTGGGGGCCTTCATTCTGGAGAAGCTTCTCGCATCTAAACAATTCAATGTTCAAATCCTCAAACGTGCTGGATCGTCAACCACCTCGACTGCAGGCACAAAGTTAGTAGAAGCTGACTTCGCCGATATTGAGTCCTTGACGACCGCGTTTAAAGGCCAAGATGCTGTCGTGTCTGTTGTTGGCGATGCTGGTGTCCTCAGCCAGAAGCCCATGGTCGATGCCGCCATCGCTGCTGGAGTTAAACGTTTTCTACCTTCCAACTTCGGCTCTAACATGACCAATCCCAACTCTCGCGCACTCCCAGTGTTCGCAGCGAAGGTGGCAGTCGAGGATTATCTCATTGAAAAGTCGAAAACCACGGATTTGACATACTCGTTTGTATATATCGGAGGTTTCACGGATTTTACCCTGAAACACAAGGTTATCATGGATTTTTCCAAATACCAGCCCGCAATATTTTACGACGGAGACTTCCAATTTAGCACCACCAGCATGCCAACTGTTGGAGACGCCGTGGTTGGCGTCCTGACACACCCAGTGGAAACCCAGAACCGACCAGTTTACGTGTCTGAGATCATCGTTTCTCAAAACCAGCTTCTCTCCTTGGCGAAAAAAATCGCCCCAAGTAAGCCATGGGCTCCAGTAGCCGTGGACTTGGATGCGCTGGTAGCGGATGCAAAAGAACGTTTTATCCAGGGTCAACATGATTTGCCAACTGCTATACCTATTTTGCTCAAATCAATCGTGAACCCGGAGTTTGGAGGGAAGTTTACTGAGAACGACAACGAGCTATTGAGTATCAAGGGTAAAACGGAGGAATATCTGGTTGAGCTGATAACTCCATTGCTTGATTAGGGAATAGGATTGTAGCTTTTTGAAGACTCGCGCCGATTAATCTGGATAGAATTGTACTATTTATTGAGTCCTCAAATAGATACACGTACGTGCAGGTTTATATGGGATATTCAGAAGCTCAAGTAAACCAAGAGAAGAACAGTTATCCTTCTAAATAAAGCCGATAGTTCTCAACACATCAAATATTGTAATACCTGTATTAATTGATGATTGAGATATAGGGTACTGAGTTTGAATATTAATAGGACACATTTAAATGTTAATATCAAGGTCAAAATGAAAGAGTAAATTTAATAACTTAACTACTGTAATTAAACCTGGATCTGAACTTGGATGCCTCGCATATTGCCATCTGCCCTCCAGGATTCGATAACTTTAAGAAAATCCTCAATTCCGGAGCCCCACAACCCTGACCGTGCCATTTTCATTCTCATCTCGACTGGTGCGCGATCTATATCGCCTTCCATGTTGAAGTAGCTTGGTGTGCATCCAAAACTAAGTGCCATCGGTGCTGCGTGCATTAGAACTTGCAAGCCCCAATGATCGGCAGCTGCAGGATCTGGAGCCACGGAAAATGGCTTGCCATTGGCTCTCAACATTGCCTGTGTCAATATGTACGCTGAATGTTTGGCGAGCATGTCGAGGTTGAAAACGAAATTGCCGCTGGTAGATGCCTGCGCTGGCCCGGAGAGAAATAAGTTTGGAAATTTGTAATCGAGAACACCATGCAGTGTGGTAGGGCCGTGCTGGGCCCATTCTTCGCTCATTAACACTCCATCTCTACCGACAATAGTCATATTTGCCTTTTCTCCCGGCCCTCCTGAAAAGGGTGAACGGTAGCCGGTAGCAAAAATGATAAGATCAACATCGTACGATTTGTTGCCAACAACAATTGAATTAGCTGTCAGGCTGTCAATATCCTTACCATCGGTATCAACGAGTGTCACGTTATCACGGTTGAATGTTTCAAGGTATTCGTCATGAAAACAAGGACGTTTGCACCATGACGGATACCATGCTTTCAGACTGGCAGCCGTAGCTGGGTCTTTCACTATCTCGTCTACACGGGCACGAATGCGGTTTTGTCGCGGAAGATCAATTTCATTCACCGTTGCGATATATGCGGGAACGTCATCCATGGATTTAGGTCCATCGGCATTGCCAGTGAGTCCAAGCAGCCCGATTGCACGAGTCCACTCATCATCTACTAAGTTCGTGGCCGGTTGCTCGCCGAGCGTAAAGTGCTGATGAAAATTTCTTATTCTTTCTCGCTGCCATCCCTTCCCACGAGCCACCTCTTGACGAAACCAATCCTCATCCGTTTCCCGCTGATCACGACGATCAACTGCCGCGGGTGTGCGCTGTACAACATACAAATGTTTAGACCATCGTGCTAGATGCGGCGCAATCTGGATAGAGGTTGCTCCTGTCCCAATGATGGCCACACGCTTGTCTTTCAAAAGATCCAGGGATGGATCTGAAGGTGATCCGCCAGTGATATGATATGCCCAACGGGAAGAGTGAAACACCTTGCCTTGGTAACTTAGAAATCCCGGGATATCAGGTAGCTTCGGCCAGTGTAGTACACCGCTAGCCAACACAACGAACGTGGACCGGATGTTGATTGTCTGCGGCGCTTCATGTTGGCGTTGTTGAACAACATCGAGCTGCCATTCCTTTGCATTTTCATCCCAAACCAGATTCTGCGCCTTGGACTGAAAAACGCCGCTGTTGGACAACCCCCACTTCTGAACAACAAGATTGACATATTTCCTAATCTCTTCACCGTGTGAGTACCGGTGTTTAGGGACAAATAATGTTTCTTCCAGAAGGGGCAAGTAACTATAGCTCTCAATGTCGCACATAAGGCCGGGGTATCGATGCCAATACCAAGTGCCACCGAACCCAGCCGCAGTATCGACTATACGAATATTTTCAGGGGAAATCCCCGCGTCAACCATTCGCACTGCATTCAATATCCCACCCCATCCCGCGCCGATGATGAGGACCTGGCAACGATTGACTGGGAATTTGGCTTGCACGGTTTCCACCGCTTCGAAATCGGCCCAGGGATCTTCCAGGAAGCCATCGTGCTGGTTTGATAGAGAAATATCGATGAATTGTGCGTTGCCTGAATCTCGTAGTCGTTTTCTTCTCTCTTGTTCATAGCGCCTCTGTGTGGTTACTAGCTCAGACTCATTTACATCCCCGTCAACGAAAATTTGCTCCTTAGAAGTGGTAGACATGGTGACAGGATTATAATTTAGAACAGGGTATCCATGTTAGAGGATACATCAGTTGTTGTAAGGAATGCATTGGGGTTGTAGAATGGAATTGTCAGTGAATTTAAGATGCTTCGGATTTAGTCCCAGTTTACACTTCAATGGGAGCACTATTTTTACTACCACCTGATTAATGCATATACGCGGGGGCAACCAACCAACAATCGATAACACTGGATTCGGGTGTAATGATCCGTTGGGTTCCACCAGGCGGCTGGAACCATTCTATAGCCGTCCCTTTGTGACATTGATGTCAAGTTCTTTGTGCTTGATGACATTGAAATAATCATTGGAAGGGTTTTAGATATGTGCCAGTTTACGTCAAACTCAATTTTTAATACCGAAGTAACGGAGGCTCGTAGTATCTTGGTTACTAGCGGCCCGATTTCCCCAACTCATGACTCCTCATCAAATAATCACATATCCTTCAGCTCCGAAATTGCATTCACAGTCCTTATTCCCCCTTATTGTGTCAATTCATATTGAAGCTAGCTCTCTTCATTTATTGAATGATCCCTAATCAGTGCTGAGCATAGAGTGGTACCATGCTGAGCGCCTTAGCGCCGCATATCACTTTTATGTCGGTAGATTCTGCTGAAATATCATGTTCTAATTTATGGTGCTTATGTTGTTTGGGTGGTGCAGCTCGCTTAGAAGTTACATTATAAGATAAGCTGACTATGTTTAGTATGCATTCTACTGTGACATTTATATGGCTGTACCGCATATATCTACCCTGTCTAACTAACGCCCAAAAAATGCGGAAAAAAAAATATAGACATAGTGTAATATATACATAGGTAATGTGCCGATGAAGAGTATAGGGTATATACAATGACGAGGTACAGATAGGTAGTGCGCGCCGAAGTATTATGCCGATGATGCACGAAGCTCTCGGTACTCCTTCAATGCAGGAAGCTCATAATACGGAATATGGAAGATCGAAACGGGGAGCAATTCAGACGACCCAGTCGGGGTATCAGCCGCCTCACCGTATTTCTCCGCAGAATAGAACATGCCTGGGTCCACGGTGAGAAGATCCATTGTCGCCAGCGCCTGATCAAGCCCACACGAGTTCCCTATCGTCTTAAGACACTTTATTACCCACCGACGTTGTGGATGAGTCGGCCCCTCGATAATACCGGCAATAAATAGGGGCCAGAGGAGCATGAGGCCGCCGAGGTAGCTCTCCGATGGAAGCATGGGTGTTTCTGGAAGAATCTCTGAACTGCAGGCACCTAGATGAAACGGGACACTGCGGCAGATATCGGCACCTAAGCGACTGATTGTTGAGCGTAGGGACTTGCAGTGTAAACGGAAATCTTCGGACAAGTAATTAGGCGAGCTGTCGGACAGCATGTGGACATGCGATAATATAATCTCGCTGACAAGTATTCGTGCGCAACGGTAGTGATTCCAGCAACTAGGCGCCCAGATGTCTGGGTAAATATGGTATTCGTTATTGTAGGGCCGGATTCCGCGACAACGGTGTTCAAAGTTGCGATCTAATGGCATTAATGTATGGCTACTATATGTAAAGTCTGGTGGCAGGGCGGCCATCCAGGAAACGAGGTCCGCTTCGAGGGCACAGGCCGCACTTAGAACCTCCTGGGGATTGTTGAAGGCTTTCGAGTGGATATTTGCACGTAGATTTGACAGATTACCGATGATCATGATTAGTTTATTGCCAAGGGCATCCTTTAGTTGGGGGATTATGTCAAGTTTTGAACTTTCTAGAAGAGAACTGGGCACTCGAACGTCGCGTTGGAGGCAACTTATAATCTGTAAGTGGATTAGTGTTGTCCTAGTGATGTTGGGGATTGTATCACACACGATTTGGTATCTTAAATGTAAAAAGAGCCGTATCCCTACTTCAGTTTGCAGCTGTTGAATTCCGCGGTGTTCTAATAACGCTGCAGCTCCATGAATATGATTTGTCCAGGCCTCAATTCCCTGTGGGGTCCTCGATGTAACAATCTATCAAGGTTGGCATTTGAAATTCTTTATTTCTTGTTCTTCTTTCGAGTTCGAAGAAAGTACTTACTTCATATAAAGACAGCAGAACAACCGCTCCTAGCGCTTGGTTTGTCTTGGCCTCGTTAGTGTCAGCGAGAGTCTTGTTGACTAGCCTGAGCGTAGCTCCATACTCCCGACGCGCCTCTTGCCTCAGTGATGCGTCGTTGCGAACACGTGCGAGCATGGCGCTAGCAACTGCCACAATGCTAGATTGTATGGCCTGCTGGGCCAATGATCCACCGGACTGCATGAGGAAATGGGTCAAAGCATCCGTCATCAACAAGGTCCCGGGGATGGCATGTGACTGGAGAAAGAAGCAGACAGCCTCCTGTCTCGAAAGGGATGTAGTGGGATGCATTCCTAGAGGACTCTGCCTAGCCTGGCCCGTAAGAAATCGGTGCTCTGAATTAGAATCAAAATCAAAGCCTATATCTTCTATGGACGTGGTCGAGCCTGAAGTCGCAACAGATGCGGCTTTCTGTCCTGGGAAAGCAGGACGAGGCGATCGAGACAACGTTTTGCGTCCAGACGCAGAAGTGGCAGAGGGACTAGGCGAAGAGCCCGCCTTACGCCTGACGGATTCGCTCTCATCGCGAAACATCAGCGACAGCTCATCGCGATACCCAGAGCATTCCCGGCCCATTCGGGTGCATTGCCAGCAGGCAGGACGACCCTGGTCGCACTTGATCTTGCGCGACCGACACTGGCCACAGCCTTTACTCGGTTTACCGCAGTAAACCATGGTATAGAGATATCGATGATGCTTACGAAGGGGCTCGTGACACGATAACCACGCGTGAGATTGAAGAGTGAGGGGGTCGTATATTCAACGTTGGGGGCGGAAGACAACTATTTTGAATATAGCGCTAAAATTAGAACGTTTTGGAAGTTGTGGGGCACTACGCTATACTAGAAGCAAGAAAGCTATTTAATTTCCCTGCCAGCAACGGTCTTAGTGGCTCCTTTTTTAGGCATAACCCTCCACTAATCATTAGCGCTATCCAAGCATTCAATGTTGGTAAATTTCGGTGTAAGGCTAGGGCTGAGTTCTGAGTAGGGATCCATTGAATGATCTAATCTATATCGGCTCTAGATTTATGTCGCCGCGTATATATGAACACGTAACAAACCCCGCCCGCCCATGACTCGATTAATCTCGGTTTTGTCATCTGAGAGAAGCCACCAAGTAATAGTCTCCACTGCAAAAGGAAACCTGAGATTTTGCTAGTTCTCCGCCATCGACGTCAAGAATCCAACTCCATGGCAGAGCTCTCACCCAAGTCCCTCTTCGCACCAGTGCTGCATTCGACAAACCTGACTTACACTTTAGCCCAGAGTGCGGATATCGAGTTTTTCACTGATTTATTCAACTCTGCCACTGATGGCGAGGAAAATAATCCGTTTACTGTCTCATCCGTTCGAGAGCTTCTTATCAACACAGCGCCCCGGCCGTGCGAAACTCATGGTGAAAGGTCCAAAGACGCTGCCGTATACGTCGTACGCCTGAACAGCGAAAAGATCGGTGAAATCAATCTCACACGGCGGGCGTCCAACTTCCCGCTCGATATTGGGTTTGCTTTCCTGCCCCAATACCGAGGCAGAGGTTACGGAAGTGAGGCCGCTACGAGGATTATGCGCTATTGGAAAGACGAGTTTGGAATCGGGAACATATGTGGGCTGGTTTCAGAAGAGAACATAGCAAGTCGAAAACTGCTCATGAAGATAGGTCTGGAAGAGAATGGTTGGGCTGTGGTGTCGGGGAATCGGGAGATAGTCTACTCACTACCAGGAATTCCTAAAGAAGAAGGACGGGAGGTTTCATTCTGGGGAGAGGAACCAAATGAGCACGAAGCTATTATCCTTGATTAATAGTCGTTTAGCAGGTATGACCATGATGATAACCCTAACCCTAATCCCCCCGGTCAATCGGGCTCTTTGATGGGCGACTTACCCGCCACCTCGTATAATGGAAAAAATATCTACGTATAGTATAGATGTTAAGTTTAAGATTTTAAGAATTTAGAACTTGACGTTGAATATACATGTACATAATATCAATTGATGTACCCTCATAACCTATTTTCAATAATTTGTAATCTTACCTTTTGGAATAGAGGGTAGCCACTATTGAGGTTTTATTTAGTTAGGTTTAACGACCTTACCCGGCTTTACGCTACGAAAGTCCCGTTTTAGTAGCTACGAAGGGGTCTTTAGAGGCCCACACCCCCCAATTCCCCACCCCAACCTGCCCAGAACTGGTGCCAAATTGTTCGAATACACGTACCGCTCCTCACCCAAGCATCTTCGGCCACCCTTGGCCCGCTCACATTGGCCTCAGCTAGTCTTTATAGAGTGCTTACTGACGGCACAGGCCGCACAGCGTACATATTCAAACCTCATTCGCTACCAAGCACCCCTTATAATACTTTGCTATAATGCGGACTAGCCAGATTCAGAGAAACAGTCCTCGTCCATCTATACCTTAGATTAGGGTTACAGATTCCTCTGTCCGGTTGATCTATACTTTTATGAGATTAAGACTATTTTAATTGCCTGCAAATTGCAAAACAAGGTCTGTGAAGCCGCCAGACCGAAGATAGGTATGACTGCGAGAGCGAATCAGAATGGACATATACCTTTCATAGCTGTTTGCGCCAGGCAATGAAAAAATTGATCATTTTTTCATACCAAATAGAAATGAATCTCTCCTTCCCACTCATCCCAGAATTGTCTTCAACATGCGACCTCTTGTGCCTTGGCTCTTAAAACTATGAAAATAGCATGGATGGAGAGAGATGAAACCTCTGATCGAAACCTCAATAAACAATCGCAGGTTTCAATCTGTGGAAACGAGCCGATTTGTTAAATCTCAGCGAATAAATAACTATACATCTAGAGATATTCAGCCGTACGTTCCTGACGACTAATCAGAAGGGCATTGAGAGAAATTCTACGTTGGCTGGTTAGCCATCCTTTCATCTTCTAGGAGCCCCGTTTGGACTGGGTAATCAGTTCTTGGCCACCAAGCTGCCCATTTTTAACCATAAGGAGAGTGTGTAAAAATAGTATATGAGCCAGCCCTACCTCACATTTAGACTCGGCGATTCGTTAATATCGCGTCCAACATGACGTCTGCGGTCGCAACCAACATGGCAATCTTGAAAGTTGGACCTTATTCGCCCTCGCAGTCGTAACTGTAAACAGCCTAGCGCTTTATTTCTAGCCAACAACCGTGTCTGGGCTCCAATCATATTCACAGTTTGGTCCAACAACATCAATCCGGTCATGGTTATGATGATCAATTGATGTAAATTCAGGTACCGGCCCCAGGAGTATGGGTCTGGTGTTGGTGCGAGCGTGGATATTAAAATTAAACAGTAATGCCTGCAGGAGGATATAAAGGCTGAGGGTTCGCAGCAGAGCTGTTACTCTCCAAGCCAAGTAACCATTTATTTTTTGCACAGGTGGAATTCGCGGGACATAGCAATCGAAATGAAGGTGCCGCTGTCACTTATTCTACCGGCTGTTGCTGCCGCAACATCCTCGTCACCCTCTGTAACGATTGATGCTGGTGTCCTTCAGGGCGGACGATGTGATGGACAGAGCGCAGTTTATTATAAGGCAATTCCCTATGCCGAGCCGCCAGTTGGAGCACTTCGCTTCGAGCCCCCAACGGCCTTGAAGCAATTCTCTGGAGGAAAACTCAATGCAACCACTTCAGCTCCTACCTGCCTTCAATTCTCAGATGACTTTACTCCTAAATTATTTACATCCGAAGATTGGTAAGTCAACCGTTGGAGACGTGTCAGGGCAAAGTCTCGCTCACAATCAAATTTAGTCTTTACCTCGACGTCTGGGTCCCAAGTGATGCTACCAGTGACTCAAAGCTTCCAGTCAAAGTTTGGATATATGGTGGCTCTGAGACGGAGGGCTCTATCTCAGACCCCCTATACGATGGTTGCAACACTGCGGACCATGGTGCGATTCTAGTCTCGATCAATTATAGACTCGGACCCCTAGGTTTCCTGGCCCTCAACAGTGCTGGCCTGTATGGTAATCAAGGAATTCAAGATCTTCTTTTGGGGTTACAGTGGGTTCAAGACAATATTGAAGCATTTGGGGGTGACCCGGTATGTCGAGCCTAATCTAGCTACAAGGACAATTTGGAAATGTTCCAGCTGGAAGTGCATAACTGACAGTTTCCTTCAAATGCAGAAAAAGGTGGTTCTATTCGGGCAGTCAGCCGGTGCTGAGAACGCATATGTTATTGCCTCTCTCCCCCAGGCATCTTCTCTCATCAAGAGTGCTGTCTCGGAATCCGGCGGGGGTAGGAGTCTCGTCTCTAATGCAAGTGTCCAAAGTGTCGGGGCGTCATATGCTCGAGCTCTTCAATGCGACACTAGTGATGTAAGTTTACGGATAGATATTCTGTCTTCCTAACCTGGGTGGACACTGACCATTGCATAGAAAGCTTGTCTTCAGTCTAAGAATGCTACTGAGTTAGGCAACGCATACACATCCGATTCTTTCCTATATGAAGGAATTGGGTATTTCGGCGCTCTCGGTGTCACTAGTCCCGGATCACATTCTTTCTATCCTTATGTAGATGGCAATGTCATCCCTGAAGACCCTTACAATAGCGGAGTAAATGTCCCCACGGTCTTTGGATCTAGTATGTACCTCATTTTCACCCTCAGCTTCTTTTGTACGTCCGACTAATCAGGGAAAACCTAAAGATAAGAACGAAGGCTTAGTTTATGCCGTCCAATGGGCCCTCTCAGGCAACAACACTGCATCGCCATCGGCATACTCGGATTTCCTCCGCAAAAACTTCGGTAGTGCCGCTTCGCTTGTTGGAAAATACTATAATCTATCTGCATTCGAAGCTGCCATTGGTAATGCATCTTCCAGTGGCGTCCTACCTATCTCCAACACCGGGCTTGCCGTCCTTGCTGCCATGACAGCCATTATAACGGACTCCACGTACAGGTGCCCAGCGTACTATGGTGCAGCACAAGGCACACGCAAGAATATCGCGACCTGGACATATGAATTCACCCACAATTCGACTTGTATGTGGCTAGATACAATCGATCAGAAGTATACTGCCTATTTCGGTGCTATTCACACCGCTGAAATTCCATTCGTCTTCGGTAATCTAGACAATAGTTATCTTCCTAACGGGACTTGCAATTCCACGGCCACTGAGTATCAGCTCAGCGAGCAGATTATGGATTTGTGGACGGCAGTCGCCGAGAACGCCGACCCGTCAACTGATGCCATCCAATGGCCGCGATTCCAGACAGCGAAGAACCTTTCGACTCCTGGGTTGATCTTCGGAGAATCGGCCGTGTCTGGGACAGTCGATTACACAGGCTGTGACCTGTGGGATCAAATTAATGCTTCGATGATGTCCAGCAATGCTACAGCCACGGGAACACCGACTCCTAGCAGCCCAACGGCCTCGTCGACTACTGTCCCGACTAGCGGTGCAGCGCCGATTTTGCCTACAACTGGAGGTCTTCTTGCTTTCAGTTTGGCCGTCATGGGACTTGCCGGATTGGTCTAACTGGTAGACACGGCATTTATTAGACAGTATTGGTAGGATAGATTAATCAATACATATGTAATCGACATAATATATTTTGAAGTTAAAGTTGTCTTGGCTTAATTGAAAAAACATCCAAGTGATTGTGTAGACAATAGGGTGTTGACATGAGGTAAAATGCATCCATGCAACACTTGAAGACTCGATACGATGGTATTCAGATAACTGACTGGGTTGATTGAAAAGTAGAATAGGGGAGAAAATTGTGTAAGAGGGATGGTTTGCTCTAGCCGTGGCCCAATGCCTTAGGCAAACATATACGCCGGCATATCGATTAATCTTATTAATACGTATATAGAGCATTGCCATTTATATCAATTGATGTAAAGACTGCACGTGGTTAATTACATATCACATTTTTAAATTTCATATAGACTAGTTAGTTGACAATTGAATATGACAGTCCAGACCAGCCTGTGTGATTTCAAGAAATTCAGTGTTCAGTTGGTTATGAGGATGAATAGTGTGCTTTTCGTCTGACTGGTAGGAACATAGTAATAGAACTAACTACATACAGTGGTGACAATAAATATTTAATATTAAATAACAAAGAAATACCTCACCAATTAATATGGCCTGATGAATAGGAGTCGCCCCACGTCAGAGAAACCCAGCTAGTCATGATCCAGACAGTCGACTAGCTTGCTCTGAAAATAGATTATTATCATCCTCAAAAATCATATGGCTGCATTTCTGCATTTAACGTTGTCCTGTTAGCATTATTATTACCGTCCAGACTGGCTAGTATTCTTCCGAGCTGCGGCCTTTATTTCTGTGCGACGTCACCATGGACGATCCTCAGACCTTCATCGACCCGAACCTGACAGCTCCAGACCTGGTTGTCCTGAAGGACCTATATCGAGACATCACAGCCCAGCCCAGTACAACCCATCTCTCCGCACAGCAAAAACAAGAAACCAAACAGCATCATGACGACGAAACCGCCGACTCGATCGAAAAGCTGCATGCTTTCAACACCCCTTCACACCCGTCCTTCGAGCCCACTGTCTTCGTGAGCTGCGACTTGCCCTACCTGCGCGCCAAACTCCCTCCAGCCATATACAACCACCTACTCCTCCCATACATCAGCTTTGCCCGCAGAATTGTCCGCGTCGAGACCGACGTGGTCATGCTCACCCACCTGATTCTCTACTTCTCGACCTCCGTGCCTTCCGCGCTCCTCCTATACCGCCACTTCACGTACCCGCACGCCGTGCTGCACTGGCTGATGCAGAGCTACTACGTCGGCACATACACCTTAATGATGCACCAGCACATCCACATGGGCGGCATCCTGTCCAAAGCGAACCCTCTCCTCCGCCTCTTCGACGCCGTCTTTCCCTACATCACGAACCCACTGATGGGCCATACTTGGAACTCGTACTACTATCACCACATCAAACACCACCACGTCGAAGGCAACGGGCCGGACGATCTCTCCTCTACCCTGCGCTACCAGCGTGACTCGCTGCCGGATTTCCTACACTATGTGCTGCGCTTCATGTTCCTGGTGTGGATTGAGTTGCCACTGTACTTCCTCCGCAAGGGCCATTATGTGCAGAGCTTAAAGGCGTTCTTCTGGGAGTTCTCCAGCTACATCTCTATCGCCGCGCTGTACAAATACGTCGATGCACGTGCGACCGTGTTTGTCTTCATCATCCCGCTTGCGCTGCTCAGGGTTGGGCTGATGGTGGGCAACTGGGGCCAGCATGCGCTCGTGGACGAGGAGGATCCGACGTCTGATCTACGCAGCAGCATTACGCTGATTGACGTTGCGGTATGTTCATGTATTCTTTTGGTTTAAATATGAAGCAGTTCTGACAATGCGCAGTCCAATCGCTTCTGCTATAATGATGGCTACCACACCTCGCACCACCTCAACCCGCGACGACACTGGCGCGACCACCCGCTTGCGCTGCTCCGCGCCAAGGACAAGTACCAGAACGAGCGAGCGCTGATCTTCAAAAATATAGACTATATCATGATGACCGTGAAGCTAATGCAGAAGGACTATACGTATCTCGCGAAATGCCTTGTGCCAATCGGCGAGCAGCAGATAGGGATGACGCTTGAGCAGAAAGCGGCGATGCTGCGGACGAAGACGAGGAGGTTTTCGGAGCAAGAGATTAAGCAGAAGTATGGTTGTAAATAGTGCGCTGGTGTCTCAGGTTGCCGAGTCTTGTTGAGGATAGAGATAGAAAGATAGACATAGAATAATATCCGTAATTCTAATCTCGAAAGATGAAGCTAGTGGTAAATATTTATTTGTACGAAATCATTAAGTCATAAAGAAAACCATGCTGTAGATATTACACATCTATTCTCAAAACTGGAATTGTCCCAAGCAAATAAGCTATAAGATGGATTAATGCGTAGATTGCCGCCGTTTTATACGTAGGATCAGCTCTCCTTCCCAAGTCTCGCCAATGCGTCCGCGACGAAGTCAGACGCATTCATAAGCTCGGTGCTACCGTATACAACTCTCCTTCTATGACCACCCGCCGACGCAGCTGCAGGATTGCCAGCGCCCCCAGCACCAGCACCAGCACCACTGCCAGAGCTGGCACTTGCGGCGCCGCCCACTTGGCCGTTCGCCCGTTCAACCCACTCTTGTAAATTACCGTATTCCTCCATACTGCCGCCGCCGACGGTGAAGACAATGGCTTCGTTGAAGGCTTGTCTGCGTTGCCCGAAACTAGCCTCGATTCCTGGCTTGGAAGAACCACTGCCACTGGGTGTCTGGCTGCGGGTAGCGGAAGAGGTTGGCATCGCGCCTCGAGCGTTGGCACTGCGGGGGTCGAAGTAGAGGTAGTTTTCGGTTTTTGCAATTGCTGAGCTAGACGCTGATTGAGGATCCATGATGGACTCGGTGATTTTGGTTAGAGTCAGGTCCTTGTTGACAGGCAAGAAGTTCTTGACGCCGGAAATGAGAGAGTCAAAGTTGGCACCCAGAGCACCAGATGTGATGCGGTCGGTCAGTCGGTTGGAGAGGGAAGAGAAGCCTTTGAATAGGTCGGAGGACTGTTGCTGTGGAGCCCCCGTCGCGCTGGTCATCATGGTCATTCGAGTGATCTCTCGAACCCGCTTGACGTAGGCGATTGAGCTGATATCCTGATTTCCCGCTTGCTGCAGAGCTTCTTCAAAGCGTGTCATCTCGGCCCGAGATAATTCGGTTTCTGTTGTTAGGAACCAGATAATAAACAAGCGCAGCTTATCTGACGGATCGGTTCCTTTCGCCTCGTCCGTGATCAGCTCCAGTATTTGGGTTTTGTTTTGCTTGCTTATATTCTCTTCTAGTTGGAAGAAGTTGTCGAGCTGACGGTCTTTGATACCCTGTAAAAGAGTTGTGGCAATGTTCATGTGCATGTCGAGAGTGGCTTTGCGCTCGCGGAGCTCAGGAAGAAGGGTGATGGCAGCCTTCAGGTGGTGTGCCGAAGCACTGGTATCATTCTGAAGATCCTCAATCGACGAGGCGCCAGTCTTCCTGGTAATCTCATTCGCATCGTCTTTATACCGCGTAAGTTCGGCATCAATATCCTCTGCTACTTGTGGAAAGGGCACGTTGGCATTGCGCTTCCAGAAGAAATCAGTAGCGTTGAGATCGTAAGACTTTTTGGTTTTTCCTTTGGACGGGTTCGATTCGTCTATGGGGATTTCGACGGTAATGCGGTTGAGATGCATTTTGAGAACGTCCTGGATCAACGATTGGTATGTCCAGCCATGTGACAACATTGGAACTAAGTCCACATTTCGGTCTACAATGATCATGACTGGACGCGACGATGGCACATTGACCCCTGCACGCTTATTTCCTGAAAACAGGTTCTCTTTCGAATTTAGTATGTGATCCCGCAGTTTGCGATCCAATTTTGTCGAAATCAGCTCTGCCGCGCCACCCCTTGGACATCTAATAATCGGAATAGCGCCTGTAGATCCGGTTAGCAATATTCATACCACGTATGATAGTATACTGTACCCATAGTTACGCTAACATCAAAAAGCCCGTTGACAATTTTATCCACGACATCGTCAAGATCCTCGTCGCTTGTCTGAGCACTATTAATCTTCCAGTAGGAGTCGTTACCCAGGCCCAAGCTAAACAAGTCCGGCTCTGCAACAATAAAATTCAAGTACTGGTCAAAAACCTGTGCGACGTGTTCTGCTGTGCCCGTTGTCGCGATCTGCGAGGCGAAATCTTCCAGGAGCTGCCGTGGCACCGACGACAGAAAGTTCACGTAAGCAGGAGAGTAAAGTCCACGGGAGAGATCGGAAGTGATGAGTTGCGCATTGGCTAAGGTAGGTTCGACGAGGTACACAACAGGGACATCGGGGATGGGGTATCGTGGAGAATTGATGTTCCTACTGAGGTTAGCATCACGAAACAACGCACACACATATCTTGCGTACAGGTGGATAGTCACACCCCAGGCACGCAGATCATTCACTCGCAGTACACTGCTGATGACGTCTCGGCCCTTGTTATCAAATACCAACACTTTCCAGATGGGATCGCCGTCTTCGTTCAAGATCGGAGTCGACTGGGATATCAGGCCTGCACCGTCAGTCTGGCTATCCCCGGCGGGCTGGATCTCGTGGTTTAAGTTGAGGATCTTCTGGACGGACACTGCAGCAGCTGTCAGTATACCGTGATTGACGCAAGCACAGCTCGAGCCTACCAACTTGGCGGTCCCGCAGCGACAGGGTTTGGGCGGCCATTGCGAGTCGAGGGGTTGCTTGCTCCGGTCGGTCAAATTATCCCATGGCAGAGAGCACAGCAGTCGCAGATATGCCAGCAGTCACAGGTAGGATCCAGGTACATATAAGTTACAACAGGATATAACAAAGGACCACAGGAAAGAGCAATAGTGGCAGCATCGCGGGCCGCACGGCCAAACAAACAGCGCAAACAGGCTACCAAGTTGGGCGATCATGTGGCCGCGCTAAGCCGTGTTGGGCGGCGTGACACGACTTGCCGGTTCTCCTCTCGTCCTTCGCTCTCCCTTTCGCTTCTTCTTCTCTTCACCTCCCCATCACCTCCCCAGCGTTCGATATACCATAGTAAAGCGAATCACCATGTTGCGTTAACGCAATCTGAGTGTGCTCTCTGTACTTGAGCTTTGTTCTAATTCCAATTCCATTTCCTCTGACAGGTTGAAGGCAAGTAAAAGAGCGCAGGCTACCAGCAGGCTCCAAGTGCTAGAAAAACAAGGTCTGCATAACGGGACAGTGTGAGGAGGAGAGCTCAGTGGGGGACTGTTACTGGCCCGTTCGCATTTTCTACTCTGCTACTGTACAAGCTTGTATCCAAGAAGTCCTTGAGCTCAGAACAGCAATCGTTTCTTTCTTTTCCTCTTTATTAAAGCGGCTTCTCTCACCTGACAGCGGCTCGCCAGCGCCCGTCGACGATACCTAAGGCACACACTGCACTGGATTAAAGAGACCAGTGGAAAACAGACTTATTACATTACCGTCATTTCCGAGAGTGGAACCCTTGTGCAGCAGCTACTGGCGTGACTGACGACTGTGCTGACGCTGACTACTTGTCTGCTGCCTGACTATTATTACGCGCTACGAAGTTCCGTGCAGCCTGTTGGCCACCACGGATAGGCCGATATTATTGCCACGCGTTTGTTTTTCTGGATGCGGCCGGACACGGCTGATGCATCTGCTTGTGTGCGGTAATTAAGCTCCACTTGCATCCTGCCAATTCGCTGTGCGAAAACGGTACGCTCGTCATCCTTGGCGCCACGCACACCCGGGCACGTGACCTGTGTATACTTCCAGTTCAACATGGAGCAACCACCACAGCAGAGTAATAATGCGCAGGGCGTGCATCAGTCCTCCGTAGGACAGGGCTCTATTCCTGCTGAGTATTGGGGTAATATTGAGGGCTTGTATCCCGCAGTCGATGCCCAGCAGTCACCGCAGCGGCAGCAACGACAACCCCACCAACAGCCTCAGCAGCAGCAAGGCCCGCAAGGCATTACATGGGACCATCCCATTTTCTCTCAAAGCAACCAGCAACATCAGCAATCACAAATTACACAGCAGAGCGAGCATGTGCAGGATCTGTATTCGGCAAATCCGCAATCATGGAACCAGAACTCATCAGCACCGCAACCTTCCAACATTCCACAGGGTCAGGCCTACGGTCTTTCACATCAGCATCCCTATCAGATGCAGCAATATCCCCAAGATCAGATGTCCTACGAATCCCCGTCATTGAATCATAGTGAACTTGCTTATCCTGCTTCGTACTCGCTTTCTGGCCAATACTACCCCACGGCTGGAATCCAGCCAACCGATGTCTATCCTCAAACCCAACATCGGGCCATCGCCCCCCGGCCTGCTTCTGCTCAACAGGCCCAAGTTCAGCCTGCGAGTAGACAAACAGCACAGACTCATCAATACATCCTGCCGGCACCCGGCTATGCAGAGAATGTAAACCCAAACTTTAATCAATATGCCGACACCGCTACGAACCTGAACTTCCAAAACACCATTGATCCACGCTTTCTGTCAGGAATTCAAGCAGCAGCTAACCAGCCGCAACCCGGACAAGATCAGTTTCTCTTTTATAACCCTAATGCTTCTTCCTACGACCGTCCGAATGATCCCAAGTCAGTATCAGTATTTATTGTTTGATGACCTGTAATGCTAACTATGATTAGGGCCTACCAAATGTTCCCGGACAATTTAGCCACTTTAAACCCTGAGCAACTCAATGCTCGACAACACATGCATGCCTCGCAGTTTTCACATCTGCCAGAACTAGCCCCCTACCCTATGCCTACAAGCATGCAATGTAAGTTCTCTATTCATGTCTTACCACACTTGAAACAATTACTCACGTGATTATGCAGTTCCTCCGGTGTCTGAAAATCTCCAAGCGGCTCTGACTAAGGGAAAGACTGGGGCTATAAAGAAGACAAAGAAAGTCCCCACAAAGGGGATCAAGAAGGCTGCTGGGAAATCGGTGTCAGACTCTGAGACTGACACTTCAGATTCAGAGTTAGAATTCGAAGAGCCAGAAGAACCCTCCCCTCTTCCACCCGTAAGGCCAGCAGATGCGGACGGCGCTACTCAGTTTGACACTATGAAAGCAGTGTGGTCGCCTCGCAATAGGTACCCTAGTGCTGACAAGATCAAATCTTCCCTTGTAGCATTCAAGGATGTTGTGAAAGCTGTTAGAGATGAATGGAAGACTCAAAGCCAGGCAATGAAAGACGCTGAAAATCAAAATAATAACGAGAAAGCTGCAGAACTTAAAAAGAAGGTGATCGAGCTTCGACAAACAATGAACGTGGTCATCAGCACAACACTAGACAAAGGCCACCCTATCATCATTGAGAAGTATGTCTTTTTCCTTTTTCTCTCCCTTACATATCTAGCAGATGGCTCGTCTTGCGGCTGTAGACCTCTGATACGAAATGAGAACTACTTCTATGTAATCATCTCGGCTTGGATAATCAGCGCACTCTTAAGAATAATTAACTGCCGAATAAGCATGCCTGGAACACCGAGTGTAAGCGCTTGGTGCCGGCTGCAAGATCTCGTGGAGAATTCCGTTCGGATAAGCGTTATTTGAGAGTTTTAGATGATGATGAAATCTGCCTGCTAGCACTTCATGTTTCACCTTGCGCCATTTACAAGAAACTGCTTTTAAGAAATAACGTAACTGACAAGTATATAGACTAGGCGAACATCCGATGGCTGTGTCTGCATTATATTCTTTTCTGCTCGATCGTCATCAGGCCTCTGACCACGAGGGCGTCTTGCTTGTAAATATTCTCAAGGTATAATCATAATTTCCGTTCTAGCCTATCTTCAGCTAATCCATACATAGTTACTTGCGCGATTTACTACGATGGATGAAGAGACTCTATCCAAGACCAACGTTGCCAAACTGCTTCCAAGAATTATCAAAAAGGGCATTCAGCCTGGCAAAGACCTTGCTCAGAATATCCTTGAGCACGCAGCCGCCTCGACCAAGCGAAAGCACGAGACGGCCAATTCCCCTGCCAAAGACGGCACCCCTGATAGAACGAACGATTCGACTCGCGCAGACCTTGCCACGGGCACAAAGCGTCCTCGTGATGGAGAGAGCAACGGGCTTCCTGCGACTAAGAAAGCAGCGGCTCCGTCTCTTGCGCGGGCTGCTGTGGGTGCGAAGGGGACCAGCACCAGCACAGCCAAAGGCACTGCCGACAAGACAGCTGCAGCAGCAGTAGCAGCTCGTCCCAAGGCCAGCATTGTCCCGCCCAAACCAACCAGTCTCTTTGGCAGTCTTAACTCGGCATCCAAGAAGCCTGGCACATCCAATGCTGCGCGGGCTGCGGCGGCGGCGGCGGCTGCCAAAGAAAAGCCCGGTGCGCCTTCCGACAAGAAAGAGTCACCTCCGCCTCCGCCACCACCGAAACCTGCATTCTCCTTTGGAGACATCCTGGCTGATCTCAATAAAAAAGAGGACACCAAGACGCCAAAGACGGCGGAGAACCGGCCGCCTGAGACCGAGGAAGCGCGCGAGAAACGGCTGCGCAAAGAGGCGCGTCGCAGACTGCGTGTCAGCTGGAAGCCTGAGGATTCTCTCGTCCAAATCCGTCTGTTCACGCACGACCCCGAAGAGGAAATCGGCGCAGACGATGACCTGAAGCGAGACGTGGGCGATATCAGGGGAGAAGGCCAGATGTTGAAGCTGCATAAAGATCTGGATGTGGATGATGACGAGGAGGTTGGTCCTCAGGAAGAGGAACTACGCCCATGGACGAGCTTGATTGCAATCGAAATGGAGAACCTGACCAACGAGGATCAATCCAATAACTTTATCAAGCGCGGCGGCACGAAGGAGCCAGAAAGTCCGGAGAAGGTGGCTCAAGATAACCGCGAGGCAAACACTCTGATGGTGTTCTACACGTCCCCGGCGGATGTACCTCCTTCGCCTAAGGAACCAGCTGAGGTTGGTGAGGAAGAGAAGCCTTCGGATGAGCAGGCATTTGGTGAGCCGGATGACAACGTTAAGGTATGTTCATTTATCTCGGATGGGTGTGTAGTCAGTATATTGATTTCTATAGGGTCGTTCTGCGCGATATTTTGCCATGGTCAACCCTCCTCCCCCTCCCAAACCCGCAGCCACCACTCCAGCGCCGACAAATGGTCCAATTGACATTGCAAATCTTCTCAAAGTCATTCAAAGTGCGCCTCAGCAGGCTCAATCTACTCCTCCCCCGCAACCTGCACAACCCCAGACCGCACCTCTTTTAGATCTTGAACGGACTTTTAGCATGTTCCGTCAACCACAAGGGCAACAGCAACCCGTGCCACAAATTCCACAAATACCGCAAATTCCTCAGCTGCCGCAAGCCGATGCTCCTGCAAACCAGCCTATTGACTTCCAAAAGATCCTCGCAGTGCTCAATGCCCAAAGACAAGCCGGCCAGCCGCAGCCAGCGCCAGCCATTCCCATACCCCAGTCGCAGCCATCGATCGTGCCCAATCTCGCTGCAATTGTGTCTCAGCTTGGTGGCAACAACGGAGCACAATCTGCGGGCCAGCCTCCATCGCAATATCCAGGCCTTTACGAAGATCCCGAGCGCAAGCGTTTCCGCGATATGGGTCATGGCTTCGAGAATGGTCACCCGCAAGGCAATGCTAAGCGTCCGAGGATGTATGTCGATCCAGAAGCCAAGAAACATGTAAGCACCGCCCATCTTCTCGTCAAGTCTGTACTAATTGTTAAATAGCCGCGAGCTGGCTCCGTTGCGTGTCGCTTCTGGCGCGAGGGCAAATGTCTGAAGGGTGAAGACTGCACCTTTCGCCACGATCCTGCTGATTTGGTCTAAGCCAGGACCGCAATTCATGATACCCTGTTTTGTTCTTTTGATCCCATTTACGGTGTTTCCTTATGCTTGACTGCATTCCGCATGGCGATTTTATTGCATATAGTGCTGGGAAGGTTCAATTTTATTAATTAACGGCGTTGAATCTAGCAGTTGACAGTTGACCCAACTGATGCATCGCAGGGACTCGTTTTGTTTTTGTCTTTTTTATTAGAAAATACTCGGCAGTTCCTAGCTTCCTAGCATGCAAAGACAACCCGGTGCAAATCTGGCGTTGTTTCTTTCATTTATTGTTTTATCACTTGTACTATATCACCACCATCATGATTGCAGTGGTTCTGCGAGATATTGCATAATGCAGATAGATTTGATCAGCCTTACATAATCTGGATATCCTATCCACAAATCTATTATCTTTCACGCTTGAATTCCCCCACTTTTAGGTGAACCGACAATGCCCAATCTCAACCACCTGATCGTAGTATGCTGCCACGCAATATACCAAGGCGGGCCGACTCGAGGGTTTGATGAGAGTGAATGGTAAGTTCCTAAACATAAGCCCGCGTACATCCCAGAACACTGTAGATTCATTCCACACCTCTACTCTAACCTGTATAACTGCTCATCTCCCAGGTTAACCGCGCCCTTCCAGAAAGGCGAAACACCCACTTTTATCAACCACATCAAGGCCGGAGTTAGAGAATTCGAGGCGAGCGATGGTACAGGGCTGTTGGTGTTTTCGGGGTGAGCCATTCACAATTGATTCACCATTCCCATGCTTGTAGAGAAAACCCGTGTGTATTGATGTATATACTTCAGCGGTGCAACGAAACGAGACAAGACCAGTCTCACAGAGGGAGAATCATACCTCGTACAGAACCCCAATTCAAATGGAGTGACGTGAATTGACGCTTCGCAGAACCTCGCGCGCGAAAATAACTATTTCCGCCCTTCAAATTCTGTTGCAATAAACGAAAGAGATATTCTGGCTGAACGCCACGCTACCGATTCTTATCAAAACATTCTCTTCTCTCTCCTCCTCTGGCGCCGACACACGCAGCTTGCATACCCGCAACGTCTCACCATTGTGACGCACGCGTTCAAGAAATGCAGGTTTCTTGAGCTACATCTCCCCGCTATCGGTATCACGGCGGGTGTGTTTATGCGAGATGGGGATGGAGAGGTGAGAGTTAGGTTTGTCGGGATTGATCCGCCAGAACATGTCACGCCGCGGCGTGAGTTGGAGCAAGGGGAGATGGAGAGGGGGGTGGGATTGTGGAGGACCGATGAGCATGGGAATGGTTTGGTTTTGGGTGCGAAGAGGAAGGGAAGAGGATGGAGTGAGGGGGAGGAGAGGGCGGTGTTGGAGGGGGAGAGGGATGAGGTGGTAAGGGAATTGGTGAGGTGGCGGGGGGAGGGAGTGTTTCCTGGGATGGAGAGGCTGCCGTGGGTGAAGCTTGGATTTGGTAGTGTATAGTTAATAGGTAATAATATATTGAATTAATATGAACTGGTATAAACAGGCCCGTTTGTGAATCAACGCCATCGCTCCGAAACATAGTTGACTAGTCGGCCAGTCTATAACTAACCAGCGTATCGACACGGTGGTTATTAGTGCTGAAACTCCTTAGTTGTACTTTCTCTCCATTTGTGATTTCTCTAGCATCGCTGTCGCCCCATTCCACAGGCACTTCGGAGTCTGCGTCTGCATAGACAAGGACATTGAACGTGCAGTTTCCGTCCAGCACAGGCAGGAAGGTTACTGACGCGGTGATTTGTCTGAATATCGCCTGGATTTCCTGCTGAATCTCCTGTTCAGTCTTCTCCACCGTGACACCTGTGTCGGCAGCAGCGGCGGCGGCGGCGTTTTCTTTATCCTTGGCAGCTGCTGCTGTCCGCGAGGATTTGGATGCCGATTTCGAGTGTAATTGTACGTCGAACTGCCATCTCTCCACATTCTCGCCGGTTTCTTTGCTGGTGATGACTACCACCAGCTTTGAGATCTTGCCGCCGATCATCCACTTGTTTAGCTGCGACATGATCTTCTTGATGTAGGCTTTGACTTGATCGTCGGATGTGACTGTTCGGTTGTATTAGAAGAGGTAGATGTGGGAGGAGTAGTCGTAATCGTACCGAGCATGTTTAGGCCATATTTCTTAACACTATCGTAACGTTAATAGAGAATGGAAGAGAGCGTGGTAGGCTCACGGTGAAAAGTCCTCCGCTGGGTAGACCCCTCGTTGGTAGCTAGATAATATCAGCATGGGACGGCGGTCCTCGTTCCGGGCGGTGTGGAAATACAGAATTGAGTTGATCGAGTATTCAAACTGTGTAATTAGACACTTAGTCAATTATTCAGTGTGATCTTCTAGATGATACTCACAAATTCGGAGACCAGCTTGGAGGACCCTGCATCCGGTCAATCCCCGCATTATGCTGTCAACAATGGAGTTCGGCCAGCCGCTCGCCTACCTTTCAAGGATAGTTTATGGACCTTGGATTTTTCCTTCTCTGCGGACATTGTGACGAGTTCTGGTCTGTAGAAAGAAGGTCGTCAAGGCAATGTATGCAGTACGCAGTATTCAGTTGGGGTTGTTTACTGCAAGTCTCCCGCAGCAACTGCGACCAGGTGCGAGTCTTGGCGCCGCATCCAAAAAATAAAAGCCGCACCGGAGCTTCAAATGTTCGTTCAGCACACTTGACCAATTCATTCCTCACCAGCATCAATTGATATCGGTGCGTTTCAATGCACTTATCCCGATGCGAGGATGCCTGCACGTGCTCCGATGGCTGAGCACATCGAACTCACCGCGCCAGCTGTCGACTGGGCTGCTCTGGCGAGGGATTCCTGTTAACCACACAGCATCGACCCTACGACTACGCACGTTTACAGGTACATTCACACAACGCGCCCCAGCGTCGTCGAAAGCGGCCTCGGATCTCGAGAAGCGAGTCGCCGCTATCCCCATCGAACGGTTCCGCAATTTCTGTATTGTCGCCCACGTCGACCATGGCAAGAGCACACTATCGGACCGGTTATTGGAACTCACCGGCGTTATCGAGCCCGGTTCAAACAAGCAAGTGCTCGACAAGCTAGACGTGGAGCGCGAGCGCGGAATCACAGTTAAGGCGCAGACGTGTACGATGCTGTATAATCATAACGGAGAGGATTATCTACTGCACCTAGTCGACACCCCAGGCCATGTCGACTTCCGTGCTGAGGTGTCACGCAGTTATGCGAGCTGTGGAGGGGCGCTGATTCTAGTGGATGCTAGCCAAGGGGTGCAGGCGCAGACGGTCGCCAATTTCTATCTGGCATTTGCTCAAGGATTAGAGCTGATACCGGTTATTAATAAGGTGGATTTGCCGTCTGCGGACCCGGAACGGGCGCTCGAGCAGATGCAGAGTACGTTTGAAATTGACACGGATGATGCGGTTAGAGTGTCTGCAAAGACGGGGCTGAATGTTGCTGGGCTACTGCCAGCGGTGATTGAGAAAATACCAGCGTGAGTTTACACTTGTCATATTATACGTGAAGATGTGGCAAGTACTGATAGATTATAGACCTGTCGGTGATCATACCAAGCCCCTTCGCATGCTGCTTGTCGATTCGTGGTACTCAACCTACAAAGGCGTTATTCTTCTGGTGAGGGTGTTCGATGGCGAGATCCGCTCTGGGGACCAGGTAGTTTCTTTTGCTACGGGACTGAAATACTTCGTTGGCGAGGTGGGGATCATGTATCCGGATCAAACGCCGCAGTCCGTTCTTCGAGCGGGACAGGTCGGATACATCTATTTCAACCCTGGCATGAAACGAAGCAAGGAAGCGAAGATTGGTGACACGTATACGAAAGTTGGTTTTGAAAAGAAAGTGGAGCCGCTGCCGGGGTTCGAAGAGCCCAAGGCGATGGTCTTTGTCGCTGCGTATCCTAGCGACGCTGACCACTTTGAGCATCTGGAAGACAGTGTAAATCAACTGATGCTAAATGATCGGAGTATTACTGTTCAGAAGGAATCTTCTGAAGCGCTCGGTGCGGGATTCAGGTTAGGTTTTCTGGGCACGCTGCACTGCTCCGTATTTGAAGACCGGCTGCGACACGAACACGGCGCCAGTATCCTCATCACCCCGCCGACGGTTCCTGTGAAAGTGATCTACAAAGATGGCAAAGAAGTCACAATCACCAACCCCGCACACTTCCCCGACGAGGACGATGTGCGGATGAAAGTAGAAGAAATCCGCGAGCCGTACGTGCTCGCGACACTAACGTTTCCGGATGAGTATCTCGGCAAAGTGATTGAACTGTGCGAGGTGAACCGGGGCATCCAGCAGAGTCTCGAATATTTTACTTCGTCGCAAGTGATTCTCAAATACGAGCTGCCTCTCGGCCAGCTCGTGGAAGACTTTTTCGGCAAACTCAAGGGATCCACCAAAGGCTACGCGACACTCGACTACGAAGACGCCGGGTGGAAAGCCAGCAAGATCGTGAAGCTGCAGCTGCTAGTGAACAAGAAGGCGGTGGACGCTGTCTCCCGCATCGTGCACGCCAGCCAGGTCGAGCGGTTGGGCAAGCAATGGGTGGCCAAGTTCAAGGAGCACGTCGACCGGCAGATGTTCGAGATCATCATCCAGGCGGCGGTGGGCAGACGAATTGTCGCACGCGAGACAATCAAGCCGTACCGCAAGGATGTGCTGGCCAAGCTGCACGCCAGCGATGTGACACGGCGGCGCAAGCTGCTGGAGAAGCAGAAAGAAGGACGCAAGCGATTGAACGCGGTGGGCAATGTGGTGATTGACCATAGCGCGTTTCAGGCATTTCTGTCGAAGTAGTGTACGCTACACCACATAATGTTTTGTACCTTATCATATAATAGTATGTAACTACGTATGTATATGTGTATACCATGTACAATATGATCTCCTATCAAATTTCAATTGAATAGAAGGAAAAAAGTCTAGACCGCGCGTTCGATGCCAAAGTAGCCATGATCGGCACAGCCAATGGTAGTCCGCCAAGCGTCGGGCCCAGGCACTGCGCGGCCATTGGTCAGCCCCGGCGTCGTAATCTCCGTCCCTCGTGCGCTCCACTTTTGCTATTCCTGGACTGCCTTTCACCATGTTGGAGATACTATCGACTACTATCTAGCCATGCTGCGACTATTGTTGATAGTATCTTTTCTCTACGGAGTTCTGATAGAATGTCACCAAAATATAACAACGAAAAAGCAATGCTTTGGGCTTGACTATTTGTCTGTAGTTACTGACGTGACTTGGGTGAATACTAATTAAGAGTAGTCCCGTCCAGCGTGATCGCTTCGGGCCGTGCTTGCGACGTCGTACGATATGACTCTCTTGAATATCACTGATCATCTCATGCTATATCCAAAAAGATTAATCATTCGTTTCGTGCATTCATCGCCGTATCGCGATAACGTAGTAACAAGAAAGAAAGAATTGCCCGTGTTGTTTGTGGCTTCTTAGTCCGAGTATATGTTACACTGGCAGCCACTACGCTAACCGGGTACATCTCAAGCGGCGGGCTGCAGCCAATAGAAGGTATGCAAGCCCGGCAGCCCGCAGCAGTCACCAATCAGCGCTGGCTGACAGCGGCAGACCCGCGCGGCGCCGGGGCCCCCACATACTGGGCCTCAGGCACAGACACTGCGCCCTCCGTCCTTCGTCCTTCCGCCTGGCACTCGCTCTTCGCAATCTCTCTCTTTCCTCATTTCTCCATCACTGCCTCCTCCACGCCCTCCCCAGTCGGTCGCTACCACCCCTTCGCTCTACGTGATTCCATCCAGAGACCATCTTCATCCAGCCGGTCTTGGGTGCCAGGTCAACGCTGTTCCGCCGCCTTGTCTCATCCGGCCATCCCCTGCGTCTGACGTCCAGCCTCGTGAGTAAAGCACCACCCACCCGCCAACTGAGCCGGTTTGATTTGTCTCGTCAATACCAACTGCGTCCAACTCATCGATTCATCCCAAATGCTCTCGCTAACGAGTTTCTTTGACAAGATCATGAGCTTTTCCACCTAATTCTCGACTGGCGACTACCAAACACCTCCAATCCATTCATTCCTGCAACCGACCCCGGGTCGCGCGCCTTTTTTGAATATAATTACTATCTAGACTCCGACCCCGTAGAGAGGCTTGACGTCTTCTCCGGCTAGGTTTCTATCACGCTCGTTATCTTTTTTACGCCGTAGACCGGTTACACGAATCTTGCAATCCCCTCACGATAACCCTCTTTCCTCCATCTGCATATATTGATTTTGAATTTGCCCATCATGGCTACTTCAGAGTGTACGTCCCAGTCTTTGATTCGACTCGCCACTCGCTAATTTGTCGCAGTTGTCAAAGAATTTTCCCCTCGCTCCACCGTTTTCGACCGTCGTTGTATTGGATGTGATCCCACCACTTGCAACTGTCAAGCAAACGAGACGTGCGAAGTATCGAGTCGTACTTGTGACCAATGTCCCACGGTCACTTGCATCCCGAACACACCCACACCCACTCCCAGTTCCGGTGGTGGTGGTGGTTCTAATGCCGGTGCCATTGCAGGAGGTGTTATCGGCGGCTTGGCTTGCATCGGTATCATCACATTCCTCTTTTGGTGGTTCGTCGTGAGAAAGAGACGTCAAGCAGAATCCCTGCAACCAGAGAAGAATAATACACCTGGTCACCAACGCAGCCGCTCGATGCAGTCGATCGCTTCCACAGTTCTGACCCGGGCTTCAAACGTCATCCAGATCGCCTACATTCCAGGTGTCACCAATCGCTCCGAACCGCATACTCCAGGAACTCTTGTTCCTCCTGTGCCACCTCTACCAAGTGCCCATGGATCAATGGCTAGCAACGACCAGTATCTGTTCACACCCAGCGATCTGCGTGCTTCTCAATACTCTGCAATGACCAGTGACCGTCGTAGCATCGCCACTAGTCTTGCTCGCAGCAGTATTGCAACGACAATTTACCGAAACGACGCTATCATCAGTCCTATGCCAGCCCAACAGGCTCGCGCAGCTAAGGCTGCCATGGTTAGTGTCAAGTCTGGTACCAACACCCCCACCGACAATGTCTCCCTTCGCACATTAGACGCTCCTGCGGTACCTGCCATCACAAATGCACAGCTGCAAAAAGCCGGTGTGCCACATAGCTCAATTGTTGCTCGTTCAGTTGTCGCTCGCCCTGTGAATGTCAAGGCATCTTCGAAGCCCAAGGTACCGGTGGTGTCTGAAGAAGAAATCGACTCGGATTCCTCCGAATCTATCGCATCGCACTCTCGCGGCAAACGTTTCGATAACCAGAATTCAAAGTTCGAGGACTCTTCAGACGACGAGGATGATGGATCAACTACCCCAACTGGTCCGTCCTCACAGAGCATTCAAATCAGTCTTTCCGAGGGCCCATTCTCCGACCAACCAAGAACCCCTTCATCAATTACCATCACCCACACGGCTGCCACACCAACCACCGCCACTTCCCCTTCAACCGCAGCTACCACCACTCAAACCATCCCCGACGAGACTCCCGGCCCTGCGCGTGCAGGCCAACGGAGCAGCCTAGCATCAGTCAAGATGCTCGCCCATGAGTCTGCGACGCAACGGTCATCGAGTCCGTTCGACGATGAGCATGAAGTCAAATAAACCGAACCAATCTCGGGATTATATGCACTCATTTCTACTCTTTATCATTGACAGATTTCTTTTTTATTGCCTTTTTCATGTATTTAGGATACGATCGGATCTTTGGCTTGGTTGGTTCAGGCGGTTTTCATTCCGTTTTCTGGATTCCTCGGATAGAGGCACCTCTGCAGCATTGATTGAGACTTTAATGATCAGATTTTTTTTCATTACTTTTTATTAATTTCGTATACGTGGATTAAAATACTGTAAGCACGTTTACTAGCAATATTACTACCCAGAAGTAACAATAGCAGAATAGAGCTGGATACCACTCTAATATTGCCCTAATACATTGTTACTGCCATTTTGGGGTTGCGACAACGTTTTGCCAACGTCTCGAATTTCGTACATCTTCATTCTCATATAGCTGTAATACTGAAGTCTAATTTTCAACATCTTGGCATAGGATTTGCATACAAATTTGTATATGTATCCTGTGTTAAGATGTATCCTAATTGATTTGAATTTCCTATAAATTATCTTTTTACATAATCACTGTCACGTAATACTAAGAAAAAACCGACTGAAGAGAAGATACAGAAATATTAAGATAAGAAGAGCTTTAATGATGTAAGACGTTGGTTAGCTATAATCTAGCCTTTTATAAGAAAGGATGAAAAAGTATTATAAATGTTATTAGAAGAACTAGCTGATGTAGATTTCTATATTTTTATTTCTTTTAAATTGTTCTAATATAGTATTAGTTATTAGATATTACTAGACCTGCCAACGCCGTGGACGAGGGAGCCTCCCACCGGCCGGGAAAAGGTAGGAAACGTGAGTTCTCGGTCTTGACCCCGGATTCGTTCGCCAGCGACACGATAGTGGGCTCGAGGAAGCCGGCCCATCCTCGCAAACGATGCTGTGTCAACCGCGGAGAGATCGGTCACGCCGTTGCCGTGACTGATACGACCTGACCTCTTGCCCTGCGCACCGTGTCGTGTGCTGTCCAGCCTGTGGCTATGCCGTCGACAAGGACTTTTGGGAGGCCATCAAATTGGATATAAAGCAGCTCCTGTCCGTAAATAGCTCAAGTTATACACTGCTCATCGCTGAACAGCAGCACAATAGGAATGACATACAAGACATTTATCAACTATTAACTAGATCAATCTGCATGCTTAAGTAGCTTGATTCTAATTTCAGATCTATTATTTTCTAAAGCCTAAGAATCTCTTATAATTTACAGATATAGTAAAGTGAGAATCCTATAAAAATCCTCATAGAGGTACAACCCAATTCACCAGACAGTAAGTGCCCTGTACACCGAGCCATCCGAAGATGTTGAAGAGTTGGAAACTGTGGACATTGATCTGGATGTTGCTGGAGCGGCCTGGAGTTGGGTATACCGAATAGCTTGAACAATCCAATACTCTTGGTATTGGAAATTGAATTCATCTGTCATATAATTATTGATGGGTGCACTCAAAATATCACTATCAGAGAGGGGGTTAGATCGATATAACATGGGATCAGTAAGGCCACCCTCTAGCGTCTGTGAAGCAATGCATAGCTTTCCTGTAGTAAGAGAAAAATGCTGATCTTGGTTGTTACTTATTTTATGTGTCGTACTCTCTGATTATAATTATAATTATCCCAGGAGACAATAATGTTATAACAATTCTCTTTTGTTATCAATTGTATTTGTGTCTATACTACACTTCATATCTCGGTTAGGTATCAATATATTTAGTCTTTGAAGAGAACAGCTTGCCTGTTCATGTTCCGCAATCAATTGCTGTTAATATCGAATTCGGTCAAAACTTAGACTAATCCCCAATCCAGCAAGAACTTCAATAAACTGCCGTCTCGCACCAAGCGAGTGGAAGTGTATCCCCATCATGATTTAGAAGTTATTACTCTTCCGAGGACCCGAGACATGGGCTAACAATATACATATGAGTGTAAATATTCCAACATAACTTGATTGATTATCATCACTAGACTTGTTAGCTATCATTGAAAAGAACTCCCATAACCTCGGGGCACAATCCTGTATCCGAGTCTTCAATGATTTGATGTATATGTGAGAGGGATCTAACGCGCTCAGGCCATAGATTCAGGTTTCCGATTTAGGACTAGCGGCGGCAGAATTTCTGCCACGTGACCATATATGGGCTGAAGAACCTGAGATAAGTTGACACACACAACCAGACATTGGAACTAGTGGCTAGCTCTTATCACTGTCACAACTACTCCGCTTGACTTGTGATTTAGCCTTTCGACTAGCCACGATATACTTAGATTTTTATCGGCGTTGACATCCAATGGACACTCTTTTTCTGCAGTTCGCTCCGAGGATGTCAATCTAACCCTGCCTGCCGGAACTCAGGTATTTAATTTACCTAACTTCTAGCTGGTGGACCACTCTCGAACAGATGATAAGGCCGTGTGACCCAATCTTGGATTTCGCCTGTGCGTCTACCGAGTACATGAATATACTTTTACACCACCATAAATGCAACAGCATCCCGCTATCGCGTGCGACAACAACAGAAAGACCCTCTTCATTTCTACTATCTCAAAAAGGCAGCAGATGGCATCAGAACATTCAACCCATAATCCCATACCTTGGGATCATGCCTTGTCGATCACTCCGTCTGTCACTGAGAGACGAGGTGCGCGGTTTGTAGGTGATCTTCCTCTAATCTGCAAATCCGCCTACAGCATGATTTGATCTCATATATATTGATATTTTGTCGGAGCTAAGATATGGGAGCCAATAATCAGACTGACTAGAAAGTTTAATAGGGACAAGCTGAAAACATGACCGAGCCATTGTCAGTTTTAGCATTATATTCTACATCGGGCTACTATGTCGACATTAGAGTGGCAAAGGCAGACGATCAGAATACTTTAGACCTTACAAAATCCAATTTTGACACTCCACTTTCCAATGATTTGGAATGGGCTTTCGCAGGAAAGGTCGAAATCCGTCTCCTGGATCAGCAAGATACCAAACCGATCAGTCGAGCCCATGCGCGTGCTAGATGGACCCGAATAATCGATAGTCAACTGAAATATCTCCCGGATGAAGCCGACGAAGCCGATCTTACTGTCCAGCCAGATAGAAGTATCTTGGAAGCTGGGGTTTTCCCTAATCCTACTACTGGAGAGGAGGAACCCTTTGAGGAAATCTGGCAACTTGTTCCACCGCTACCTTCAATAGATAACTGCATCGTTTTGAAGACAGACCATCAGGATCCCCAAATCCGTGGACTTGTGGTACGGGTTGGGCAATGGTGCCAGGGGATCCTGTATCTCTCGAAAGACGACAAGGTTGTGGAGCGGTGGCACTTGGAGGTGACTGGGAATTTGGTACGAGATGTACGGTTCGGTGAATCTACGGTATCTTTACCTTGTACAAACAGCTTTACGCACCTGGAAGTAGGTGGGAGTATTGAACTGGACGGTATTAACTGGGTGGTTGTGGAGTGATGGGTGGCAGGGATCAGAGTTCTGGACGAGCAGACAGTTTTCACGGGAGATAAGCTGCGGACATTTTATCCAATAACATCCGTCCATCTGAAAACACTTGATTGTTTTACCCCAGGTTTCGTAGACGAAACTTTGATCCGTAGGCTACACTTTCCCTTTTAGGACTAGTTAATTTTTTTATGTATGGACCCATCTCTATCAATGATCCTGCTGAGAAATATCAGCTCTATATTACTCTTCAAAGGAATCGTAAGGGGATAGTTCACGCGATGAGAATGCCTACTAATATGTGTCTAACTAGAAACCGGCAAAAGGTAGTGAGATTATAGAAGGAAACCAACCAAGTCTATGATATTCTTCTTTCCCCACGGGGACTAATATTTATAAAGTCCACCAGCTTCCACATCAGCTTTGGTCTGACCCAAACAGTAACTTGTCTACTCTCGCTCCCCACATTATTATACCATATCTCATCATGGCCGAGAAAAACAATATTTCTAGGGCGACTGCTTATGTTGGTGACGAGTCCCCAAAACATCCAGTGGACAGCGCAATCAACGCTTCAGGCCATCGTCAAGAGCTGGATCAGAATTTCAGCCTCCTCAGCATCTGTGGCATTGCAGTGACTCTGGGGAACACATGGATCGCACTTGGTGGCGGGTTGGTGAGTGACCACCCTCAAGCAGACACATTATGGATCATTTCTTATTCATGTTCGAAACAGGCTGTTGCTATTAATAATGGGGGCCCAGCTGGGGTTATCTATGAATTGTGCGTCTTCCTATTTCCGCTATACTGGACATTTATCACTGTTCTAACTCTCTGAAAGTATTGCAGTGTCGATCATGTACTGGTTCGTGTCTGCAAGTATTGCAGAGTTAGCTTCTGCCATCCCGTCCACAAGTGGAGGTATGTTGTCAGATACCTATATGAAAGACTCTGGATTCTGAACATAATCTATAGTTTATCAGTGGGCATCGCTCACTGCCGGCCCCTATGGTCGGATAGTTGGCTGGTTCACTGGATACTGGAATTGCCTCTGCTGGATTCTTGGCGGTGCTTCGATGTCTGCAATTATGGGGAACCAGATCATCTCAATCTATGCCTTATTCCATCCTGAATTTTCTCCGCAAGCGTGGCATGTCTTTGTTGCATATCTGTGTTGCACATGGCTGTGCTGTGCCACTGTACTGTTTGCCAACAGGGCTCTGCCAATGCTTAGCAATGTTGGAATGTTCTTCATTATTGCCGGTGTGACTATCACGATCATTGTGTGTGCGGTAATGCCAACGGTCAATGGAACCGGTCACGCATCGAATCAATTCGTATGGAGCAATTGGCAAAACGGGACTGGGTATTCCAGCAATGGGTTTGTTTTTCTGGCCGGCATGCTGAATGGGGCATTTGCTGTGGGAACGTCGGACTGCACGACGCACCTCGCTGAAGAGATCCCGAGGTGACACACTGCCCCATAGAGACTCGTATTGCAAAGTTGCTAATTAAAGAGCACAGGCCTAGTGTCAATATCCCAAAGGCAATACTGGCACAAGTCAGCATCGGTTTCGTGTCAGCGTTCGTCTACATGATCGCAATCTTCTACGCGATCAACGACCTCGATGCTATTCTCGCATCGAACTCGACTTTCCCCCTTGCGGATATATATCTTCAAGCCACTGGATCCCGTGGCGGTGCGCTCGGTTTATTGATCCTTGCATTCCTCCCGACTCTCATTAACGCCGTCGGGTGCTATATCACTGCAGGCCGCATATTATGGGCATTGGCTCGGGATAAGGCATGCCCATTCGACAGTTGGGTTGGAAAGGTCAGCAAGACTTTTCACAACCCTTTTAATGCTACGTTGGCCTGTGGAGTTATCATCACTGTTATGGGCGGCATCTACGTAGGATCAACAACGGCCTTCAATGCCTTTGTGGGATCTTATGTGATCTTGTCGAGCATGTCCTATCTTGGTGCAATCCTCCCCCATCTTCTATCAGGGCGATCCAACGTCACACCAGGACCATTTTGGATGAAAGGAGCCACTGGATATATTGTCAATGGCATCAGCTGCACGTATATTATTGTCTTTGTGGTAATTTTCTGCTTCCCTGCTTCTCTTCCCGTCGATGCAACAAACATGAACTACTCCTGCCTTATCACTGGTGGACTCACAGTCTTTGTTGCAGCCTTGTGGTTCTGGTATCAGCATGACTACACCGGCCCCCAGGCCGTTCCATCTAGTCAGCATGTGTACATGGGCGAATCTGAGAGCTAAAGCCAGACAGGTGAGGCGTTCAAGGCAAAGAGATTATTCGATCTAAATTTTCACAATTGTTTAAAAGATGCTACTAAGCTATATCTAGTATGTGAATATAGATATAGTCCTAATACATAAGCTATGGCTGTTTCCCAAATTTCAGCGCGTTCTATGCCCCTCATGAATTTCAATACCATCATCTCTGAATCCCTATATCATGCCGCCTAGCAGGCATTATCTGTGGGTGTATACCTTCTGGTGATTTTTAGGAAATTACTTCATCTATCATAAGTTGGGTGGGAGTAATGCTTCCTGTCATGCTGCATAATCTGGTCGTCCTCATGGATGGTTCTGTGAGTATACCTTATTGAGTGCGACTTTCTTGTTTGGCCCCAGAGAACTCTAGTGTAGATGATTGGCTCATGCAACAAAGGGTGACAGCCTTGCACTCAACCTAGCTGCTACCCCTCATCATACCTTGCACAGCAGCATATTTTCTATCAATTGGATTTCACAAAAATCCTCCCCAACCTTGAATGATAACAGAATTTTCGTGGCCAGAAGTAAACATTAGTATGTCATTCTTAGATGGCACCCTCAACACCATCACACGATGACTATACCGTGGCCTGGATCTGCGCGTTACCATTGGAGATGGCCGCGGCGAAAGCAATGCTGGATGAAATTCACGATCGCCTCCCTCAGCCGTCAAGTGATCACAACGTCTATACACTAGGCAGATTGAAGGGCCACAATATGGTAATCACCTGCTTACCATCTGGTGTTTATGGGATTACCTCAGCAGCAACGGCGCTTGCGGCGATGAGGTCAACATTTTCATCGCTGCGATTTGCTTTGGTGGTCGGTATTGGAGGCGGAGTACCCGGTAAGACCGATATTCGACTTGGTGACGTGGTGGTTAGCAAACCGACTGCCAGTGGGAGTGGTGTGATACAATACGACTATGGCAAAACGCTACGGGATAGATGCTTTCAGCGTACAGGATTCCTTGACAAACCTCCCCCAGTTCTCTTAGCCGCAGTGAGCCAGATTCAAAGTGATCACATGACAGGAAGACAGGGGATTAAGAAATGTATGGTTGATGTCCTTGAGAAGAATGAAGAAATGAAAGACCAGTTCTCTCGCCCTAATAACGACTGGCTTTTCTATGCGTCGTATGACCACCCAGAGAGTGCCAGTAAGTGCTCTACATGTGATCCGAAGTGGTTGGTGAATAGAACGCCGCGAGTCACGGATGAACCTTATGTTCATTATGGTTTAATTGCCTCCGGAAACCAAGTTATGAAAGACGCGCAGATACGAGACAGGATCGCCCATGAGCTAGGCATCCTCTGCTTTGAAATGGAGGCGGCAGGCCTGATGGACCAACTGCCATGCCTGGTCATTCGTGGAATTTGCGACTACTGCGATTCCCATAAACAAAAACAATGGCAAGGGTATGCATCTTTAGCCGCAGCTGCATATGCAAAGTTGCTGTTATCCATTGTTCCCCTAACCGAACGGCAGACAAGATCAGAGCACAGTAAGTGATATTCCTGCTCAAAAGTTCACTCGCTAACTGAACCATAGAGGCTGACTTTAGTCCGCAAGAAAAGGAGTGCTTGCGGAGTCTATTCATTACTGACCCAATCGAAGACAAGAATTCGCTGAAGCGAACGAAAGGAGATCGTGCTCCGGGTACCTGCGAATGGATTATGGACACACAGGAAATTCAGACTTGGCTTGGTCCACAGGAAGCCTCCTCTGAAGCTCATCGTAACATACTGTGGCTGTACGGTAACCCAGGCACTGGAAAGACGACAATGGCAATCACCCTCGCCGATTCCATCCCGAATCAATTTGGGTATATCAACAGCGGAAATATCATGGCGTACTTCTTCTGTGACTCCAGTTCTCCGGAACGTTGTACCGCGACTGCTATACTACGTGGACTTCTATATCAGGTAGTTAAGCAACGCCAGGATTTCATGAGACATTTACTTCACAAATTTGAAGATCGCAAAGAAAAGCTTTTTGATTCTTTTGATGGACTATGGACGATATTCATGGAGATAGGACGTGAGAATAACAACGGGCAACTCTACTGCATCATTGATGCCTTGGACGAATGCACTCATGAGTCACAAAAAGTTCTGCTGACTCAGATCAAACAAAGTTTCGGGAACAAAAATATTAAAAGGAACTTGGGCATTAATTTCTTAATCACCAGTCGACCATACCCTGAAATTCGCGAATATCTGCATCGGTTTAAATCTAAGGACCTGTCCTCTTACCATATGGTTCAGGATGATCTCCAAATTTTGATTGATCAAAAGGTTGCAGAGCTCTCTGAGACAAAACGGTACCCGGAGAATGTCAGACTCGCAGTATCAAATACACTTCAAGAAAAGGCCGAAGGGACGTTTCTATGGATTGGTATCGCGTGTGACGAGTTAGCAATGGTACGCTCCAGAGATGCACTCAAAACACTGCAAAGCCTACCTCGAGGGCTGAATTCACTGTACGCCAAATTATTAGAGACAACGTTGGAAAATACAGAGAAAGAAGACAATAATATAATCCTACAAATGCTTACCACTGTCGTAATCGCGCGACGCCCTCTGAGTGTTGCTCAACTGTGTATTGCGTGTGGGCTCTACGAAGATGAAGATGAGAAAGATCGTCTTGCATATGTTCACGAAGATATTGAAATGTGCCGTCTGATAATTATTGTTCGAGATGGAATTTTACGCCTCCTGCATAAGTCGGTAAAAGATTTTCTTCTCCTTGCTCGAGGAGGAAGCCTAGTAAACGAATTAAGAGCAAATGCGACTTTAGCAAGCCGATGCATTGATTACCTTTTATCAGACGAGCAATCATGGGCAGATTTTGAACTAGACGATGATGATCTGCTGAAGGAGGAAAGGGTCTATGGGTTTCTTTACTACGCGGTCCTTTACTGGCCTGAACATGCTGCTGCTGCTCAATCTTCATTTGAAATTTCTCCAGAACAAACGCCTTTCTTTCAAGTTATATCACATAAGCGGGAAAGGTGGCTGCGAGCTTACAAGAATGAAAGAGGGTTTGAAAGGATACCTGAAGGATACTCCATATGGCATGTGACCGCTAAATGGGGCATTATTTCATTGGTCCATTACCTATTATCTGATGCAAAGAAATCCATGTATCACGATGATAATTGGATGGCATCCGACGGAGCCACGCCCATCGAAGAAGCCGCAAAAGCTGGACATATTGGAATGATCACACTGTTATTGGAGAAAGGAAATGCGCGAATAGCTGCGCAAAACCGGATTCTGGCAGCCGCAGCGAGAAACACAAGGAACGGGCAAGATATAATGGCATTACTCCTAGATATATTTGGAGATGAGGTCCAGATCTCTGAATATATTATCTTGCATGCCTTATGGAATGAGGAAAAAGGGGAAGAAATAATAGCATGGCTTCTAGATCGACAGGGGTATCGAATTCAGATCACCGAAAGAATTGTCGAAATGGCCGTATCCCGGGGGAGAAACACAGAGAGAATAATTACCTTACTCCTGGATCGACGAGGAGATATGATTCAGATCACTGATGAGGTTTTGAAATCTGTGATATATAATAGAGAAGTGGGAGAGAAAATAATGGCATTACTTTTAGATCGCCAAGGACATCGAATTCAGATCACTGAAGATGTTGTTAAAACAGCCGCGGCCAATTGGAGGAGAACCGGAGAAGCAATAATGTCATTATTTTTAGATCGAAAAGATGGCCAGGTTCAGATAACTGAAGATATTCTCAAAGCTGCTGCAAGCAATGAATCCAAAGGGAAGGCAATCATGAAATTAATCCTAGATCGACGGGAAGACCGAATTCATATTACTGGGTCCGTTGTTAAAGCTGCTGCAAGCAACGGAAGCGGAGAGGGGATTATATCATTGCTTCTGGATCGATGGAAAAATCAGATTCAGATCACGGAGAGTATTATCGAAGCTGCCGCGGATAATTGGAGAAACGGTGGAGCAATAATGGCATTACTTCTAGATCAAAAGGGTAGCCAGATCCAGATGACTCAAAATATCGTCAAAGCGGCTGCAAGCAACGGAGGTGACGGAGAGGCAATTATGAAATTGATCTTTGATCAACAAGGAGACCGGATCCAGATCAACGAAAATATTGTCGAAGCTGCCGCGGCCAATTGGAGTAACGGTGGAGCAATAATGGCATTACTTCTAGATCAAAAGGGTGGCCAGATCCAGATGACTCAAAATATCGTCAAAGCGGCTGCAAGCAACGGAGGTGACGGAGAGGCAATTATGAAATTGATCTTTGATCAACAAGGAGACCGGATCCAGATCAACGAAAATATTGTCGAAGCTGCCGCGGCCAATCGGAGAAACGGTGGAGCAATAATGGCATTACTTCTAGATCAAAAGGGTGGCCAGATCCAGGTGACTCGAAATATTGTCAAAGCGGCTGTAAGCAACGGAGGTGATGGAGAGGTAATTATGAAATTGATTTTTGATCAACATGGAGACCAGGTCCAGATTACTGAAGATATCCTTCAAGCGGCCGCAAGCAATGAAGAGACTGGGGAGGCAATAATAAAACTGATTCTAGATCGACGAGCAGGCCAAATACAGATCACTGAAGATATTGTGGTCGATGCTGTAAGCAACCAAGAACTCGGGGACAAGATCATGGCACTACTTCTAGATCTACAAGGAGACCAGATCCAGATCACAGAATATATTCTCGCAGTTGCCGCAAGCAATGAGCAAAGTGGGTGGGCAATAATGAAATTAATTCTAGATCGACACGGAGATCAAATCCAGATCACTCCAGATATAGTCAGGATTGTCGCCAGAAATCGGTTTGAGGGGTGGTGGATCATGACTCTACTCCTAGATCGATATGAAGACCAAATCGAAATTACGAAGGATATTGTCAATGCTGCTGCAAGTAATGATATATGTGGAAATGCGATCATGAAATTGTTATTGGACCGACGAGGAGACCAAATACAGATTACCGAGGATGTGATGATGGCGGCCGTAAGGAACGAGTGGAATGGGAAAGAAATTATAATAACGCTCCTTCAACGATGCGCAGGTCAGATCCGCATTACTCGGGATGTAGTTATTGCTGCTTCAAGGAACACACAGTGTGGAATAAAGATCTTAAGACTGCTTGTAAGTCGAGAACCGATTTGGATAACATCAACAGGTATAGCAGCAATTTGGGAAGGATTTGGTTCTGATTTTGTCGAGCTACTACTACGTCGAGGAGGGGGTGAAATCGAAATTACTGATAAGATGGTTAAGGCTGCTGTAAGAAATGACGTTAACGGAAGAGAGATGGTGGCATTACTCCTGAAATTGCGAGGAGATAAGGTTGAAATTTACTGAACATTTTCAAAGCTGCTACAAGCAATGAAGTTCCAAAGTAAAGGCAGATGGAAGCCTTTGACTCACAAGAAAGAAAACATTTGATCAACGAGGGAAAAAGAAGATTCAGCCAAGTCAAATGAGGTTGTATTAACTGTCCATTGTGTACTTTGCCATTTTGAAGAAGGGACGGTCCTGTGTATGAGTTATTAATAGTCTCATCTAAGAGTCTGTATGTCCCAAATGACTTGTTTATAATAGCGTCTTGGTTGAATATTAGAGAGAGTTCAACTTGGTGTTTTTAGCTATCAAATAGGCACCTTTATCATTACAGAGCTGTTGCGGAAAAATACCCACTATCCCACGACAAGAACTTTGACGCAGTCAAATCTAAACCTGCCGGCGCAGATTTGCTTGATATGGGAGGAAGACATTATCGCCCAGAAGGCCTAGATCAAGAATTCATGGCCTGCCTGACTGACATACGGCATAATCCATGGGGCGTTAAAGGAGCTTTAGATCATGTATCTGTATTTCTGTCTGGATATTCCTATGTATTCAATTTCACCTTGTCATTATCACCTCAGCCAAGAATGGGTAAGTTGTAAGTTCCGAGTAGTACGGTGCATAAATCTCAGGTAGTCAACGCAATCATTGTGCCACTGTGAAACATACAGGGATTCTGGATATCGACCACTTTATTCCCAATCAAGGATCTCACTAACGCGACCATCATTGACCATTATATTTTGAAGCCATAGATCGCCATGTTTGAGGACAATACAATGTATATCCTGGGAAAGCTTGACAGTCAAGACATTCCTAATGTGGCGCTTCGGTGCATTTGTCAGATAGGCATCAATGATTGCATTGTTAAAGGCTTGCTCGGTATCAAAGGGGCTTTTCAAATGAAAGTGTTAGCATTTGTAAGGACACTGTGCATCACAAACCCAACCTTTATTGAGAGAATTCGTCAAAACCGGGCCTGTGACTGGACCTTAATCCACCGGTCTTTAAATAAGTGCCACTCATGAAGGTGTACGTATCGAATTGACTCCTGTAGTCGTCGATCTCCCTCTCGATCGGACTATAAGAGTTACACGCAAAAGTCTTTGGTGCCGGAACTGCAACCGTCCTTTTCGATACAAAAACCTTGCTTTTCGCTTCAATCACGGTAACATGCGGGCTGAACTTGACGACAATGTCAAGAGACAGATATATTATCTTTGCACCACCCTAATTAAAGATAGTGTTTTAAACGTTAGGTTTGTCATTGACAGAGTTCCTTCAAGTTCGTCGACTTCACATAAAGAAAAAGATTAGTGCCCTGGTATTATTTCAATCCTTGTCAAAGATGATTTCTTGCCAGAGAATTGTCTCTAAACTATAATAGCGAGCTTAACATATAAGATATTTGAAGTAATAGACAAAAACAGCCCTCTAAACAATGAAAACTAAAATATCTATCAAAGTAAGAACTAAGAACATGAGAGACTAAAATTCAGCTCAACTGCGGATGAGACTGTCCTTACTGAGCAGTAGCAAGATGGCTGTAATAAATAGCCTTCCCAAACAAGATAGCAGAAGCCGACTCTTCAAATCTAACAATAATTGAAAAGACCAGGCCAAGTAAAATAATAGGAAGCTCTCTTAAACTCAAAGACATAACAACACAAGCTAGAATAAAAAATGAATCCCCATTCAAGTTCTTAACTTTACCATATACATATGTCATTAAAAAGCTAGTCCGAATCTCTTACATCAAAGCAGCATAAGTATCCATTTTTTTACTAATAAAGAACCTTGTTTCTGTGCTATCAACTACAATATTGTTATCTACGACATGGTCTGAGCTATTCCCTTGAGCCTAGGCCTCTACTAAGCGCCACAATCAGGGCCCCCAACCCGGTCCCACCTTGAATATCCTTATTTAGGGTTGACCAAAAGATATTGACCAACACGCTTCCCAATATAGTGGTCATAGCAATACAGAATATAACTTCCCGATTTGGGCCCTCTATAATATGTACACCCCATTCGTGTGTCCCCTCACCGGTGTCGATCTCTCTTTTTCTCGAGGCATTTCGGCATACGGTGAACCCAGTTGTTACGGGTAAGATTTAGTCTCCCTTATCGTGTTTGAGGTAGTGTATAAACGCTTCTAGGGGCATCGGTAAAGGAAGTTCGAGGGGCTTCGGAGTATATTCGTAGTCCCTTCTGTCGCCTACGGGTATACGATTTGGTCGATCGCAGATGGACACATACCCACAGTGGAAGACTCCAGAGTGTACGCGTGGTTGAGGTAAGTTGTATGTAAGCGTGATCTTGAGGATTGCAGAAATTTACCTGAACGAACTCAACTGTAGTTGGCTTGATTAGGAAGTTAAGATACGAGGAGAGACGGCGCGTCTTTGGATATTTTTCTTTCATCTGGAGGAATGCTCTTGCGTCAGAGGCAGTGTAAGATATATCAACTTCCACAATAGTCTTATATATGCCTCCAGTATTAATGCAGAGAGCCAGGAATTTTGGTCGAGTATTTTCTATTTGGTACAATGGGCCCACGCTTCCTGTAACCCTGACATTGTGGTCACACGATGAAGGTCTCTTTGTACTGGAGTGACTGAATACTCGAAACGAATTAGGATGAAAGAACATTCAATTAGGATGGAAATGTGGATAAACCGAGTATATTTGAGACTTCAGATGATAGACTATGTCAAAGTGGTCAACAACTCGTCACTGAGATCGGAGATCACGGTGGATATTCTGCTAACGGCAAGGGACTTGTAAGGTCGATATCAGATAATAGGATATTATCGCAGTGATAATCTTAAACAAAGATTGTTGAATAATCAATAGTAGCATGCTTCTAATGATGAAATATAACAAGACAAACTAGATACATGATGATGAACGAGTGTCCTTATATACTCAATGCGTATAACGCCCGATACGACATTTCGTGCAGTCCGATATAGTACATCGTATTGCTTGATATGTTCGGTTTCGGATATACTATATTCCTTGACATTAAGTACTGCCTAGGCTTCATGCTTCATGCGCTAGTAGTATCCATTTGCTGCGCATTTTTGATCCTTGTGACAGATCCGACTCAAACATTTCATCCACCTCGGTCACCGTCAGGCCCTTCATTTCTGGCACATATAGCCAGGAAACCAGACAGGCCAGGCCAGATAATCCACAGAAAATAAACCCAATTTTCCCCCCCAAGTTTGCAGCATCAGAGTTGTACAAATAAGGGAGAAACGCAGAGAAAACTGCACTCCCAGCCGAGTTTACAAACCATCCAAGTCCCTGAGACTTTGCGCGGAGATGCAATGTGGAGGTTTCGCCAGATATGGCGTATGACACAGGCCACGCGCCGAGACCAGCTGTAGCGATGACAAGAATCAGGCCAACCGCAGTATAGCTATGAGATTTGACCGTCAAATGATGTGATCCAAGCTTGCCACTTTCAGGGAGACTTACATGTTTCCGCCAGCCGAGCCGAAGCAGCCCACAATACCAACTGTTGCCCAAAGTATAGTAATAACAAACATAGAATAGACGAGCAACGGCCGTCGCCCAACTCTGGACAGCAGCCAGAATGCCACAAAGTTTGTAATAATGGCAGCAACCACACCGCCGATAAAGTAGGTTGTTGCTTTGTGAGCGTCCATTCCTATAACCTCCAACAGGTAGCTAGAGTGTCCAAGCAAGGGGAGGCCAAAGAACTCTGGAATCAGGTTGGCGAAGACAATTATTGCGCTCCTCTTAGCATCGGAGCGCTTCCTAAACAGGTCCCAGTATGAAATATCATTGGCAGCCATGCGATATCTCTCACGTTGTGTGCTCTCATCCTGCAGGCGGTTGTATAAACGAGTAGACTGTTCTCCTCCGAGACGGCGACACGCTGATTTTGCGGCCTCCCATTTCGACTTGCGCATGAGCCACACCGGGCTTTCTGGGAGAAAAGCCGTGACGAGAAAGGGGATAATGGAGAGAACCCATTGCACTGCGATTGGGACTCTGTATGAATTCCGATTAGGTAGGTCCACGCCTGCTTTGATGACGAGCGATCCGACAAACTGGCCCAAGAGAAACAGGGGCGCGCCCAATGACAGGATAGGTCCACGAAGGGGCGTAGGCAGGATTTCTGACACATAAGTTTGCATCGCCGACAGTATTCCGCCCATCCCGATGCCCTGCGCAAGTTTTCCTCCAAAGTAGGCACCTCCACGACTTGAAGTCGAACCTGCCTCATCCGCCAGAAAACAGATGGTGATACTGGCAGCTTGCCAGATGCTGGCTACCCCGAAGGTCAATCTGCGCCCAAACCTGTCTTGTGCCCATCCTCCAAGCAGGGAGCCTACAGCTGTGCCGAGCGGGCCAGACACTGCCCATAGCGATAGCCAAACCGAGGGGACGATATAGTCGCCGTTGTCGTCTTTCTTTCCAAATTCTTGCCTTCAATGTTAATTAATATCAGCATTATCCAGCAGTCTGGTAGAGCGTTGCAATCCTACTTGAAGGCTGGTAGAGCGGCGACAGAGCCGACGAAGACCACTTCATAGCCGTAGAGAAGCGCACTGGCAGCTAATGAGAAGCTGCATATGGCCAAACGAGGGTTCTGTTTAACGCTTTTCCAGAGTGCCTGTTCTGTGACAGGAGTACTGCTCTCGTACACGACGCTCTCTTCATCTCCTGTACCAGGCCAGTTCATGGGGGCTGTATCGACCATGCTGAATATGATGGTAAAAGAGGTGATTCAGATGGCTGGAGCATGGCATGGCAAGGTGTATAATTATATTGGAACTCTAGGACACAACTGCGGTGGGGGCGCAGACAGCGCAAGGGCATTCGCCTCAGTTCCTTAGCTCCCATGGGCTGTGTGTCGATCGCCAACGTGTTGCAGTATAAAACACTCCAATAATATCAATTAAAAAAGTGTCGCAGCAGGATCGACACGGACACTCCATCGAAATTTGATGACCTGCGTCCACATATCAGCATGGAAACAAAGACACCAAGACTGACCGCAGCTAAGCCATACTTAAGGGTAAGCTGATCTGATCTTCACACAAATTAAAACTCTAATCAACTCAGCTCAACCCTAATCAGCCTTAATAAATCATTCCAAAGATCTATGTTCATCATCTAACCTTAAAATCCCAAAACTTAACCCTAAACTAACCCCTAATCAGTTAGAATTCAGGTATTTTATATCATTATGCTGGTATTATATATTACATAAGGGCGACCTGGCATTTTTGATTTTTCGCGGTTCTGCATTTTCTTCGATTTAATTATCTCCGATCCGACGATTGTGGCTTATGCAATAATATACTTGACGCACCAATTGAATGATTGGCTACTTGACCGTTCCGCGGGTCGGAGTTATGCTTAGCTTGGCTGGCCTAATCAGCACTTGAGAACAGCTTCAATTTTTTGCTCAGAGCTTGATTGGATCATATATTTAGAAAACACCCCCTGAGTTGGGGTTCCTTGGTGCCGTAGAAATACACAGCGACTTGGAATTTACACACTGATAACTAAATTTACTCACGTACTGAGTCCGGCTCGGGGGGCCGAGGGAAAAGGAATTGGGATGGGTTACATCCTCTTGTTCTTGATGACTGAGACTGATGTAGCTAATATAGCAAAGAGAGTTGCAACGAGCAAGACGAGACACGTATATAAAAAATGACAATAACATCCAAATCTTCGAAGATCAACAAGAACTTTGGGATTTCAAGCAGCGCTGAAGGTGCTATAAGATTCACAATGAGACTTATTTCATTAAGTATCCTATCTTTGGCAGCGGGCCTTACTATAGCGCGGAATTTTTCCAATCCAATACGCGTTCCTGGAGCAGATCCTCATATTGTCACAACGGGCGGATATTACTATCTGACAAACACTCAAACAACCCATATATCGGTCACACGCTCCACTACTCTAGGTGGGCTGCTCAACGGTGACACTAGAACTGTCTGGAGCGATACAAATCCAGATCGCAACCAAGATATATGGGCTCCTGAGATGCATTTTATTGATGGAATGTATGCTTTCACCAAGTTTGAAGCTCATCAATATTTTAATCTTTTTTATGAAAATTGCTAAAGGCACGGACTTCAATTAGTTGGTATATATTCTATACTGCTGGCAATGGAGACATCGGACAGGGCCAGCGTTCATTTGTACTCAAGGGATGTGATATCAATCCTTATGACTGCAACTACACTTTTCTCGCTGAATTGATGCCGGCAGCTGGGGGACAAGGAGGTCCTAAATTGGAAACCCCATGGTCTATTGATGGTACGTATCTCACCATAGGGGCTGGTCGCTACCATGTCGTCTCCGCCATCAATCAACAGGGCATACAAAGCATCCAAATTGCTGAGCTCGATACACAGACTTGGACTGTTAGCCCCTGGTCAATTATATCCTCACCAACAGAGCCCTGGGAAATGGCAGATGCAGTATCTGGTGAACCTGCGGCTGTGAACGAAGGACCAAATGCACTATATCATAATGGCAGTACATGGCTCTCTTTCTCTGCATCTTGGTGTGGTACTCCAGCATATACTCTTGGGCTTTTGCACTATGTTGGATCTGGAGACCCTCTTAATGCCTTGAGTTGGGAAAAGTCTGGCCCTGTTTTGTCTTCTGCGAATGGCAATTATGGCACGGGCCATAATGTCTTTTTCTTGTCTCCTGACGGAACCGAGGTCTGGGTACGTTCGAATACTGCGCTTCAAGCTCCTCGGGAAACACTCTAACTGTCTCCTAGAATGCGTATCATGCTACTAATAACTCTGCGGGCAGCTGTGGCGGGGACAGATATACTATGGCGCAGATTGTTAATTTTGATGTATCTGGAAATCCTGATCTTGGAGTTCCGGTAAATAGAGGCTCATCCCTCAAGGTACCATCCGGTGATGGCAGCTAGAGAAAGGCTTTGTGTATCTGTATATAGACTATTAAAACTGCCAATGTCCTTATAATCTCATTTTTTGTAGATTTATACTGATTATGTGATAGCTATGATAGAATATAGTAGATCATCTCGAGAAGTAATAACAAGCTCTTTGCGGTTGCCGAGGTCTTATGCTCTGAACGGGACGCTCTCAGGAGGGACATAGTTAGCAACGTGTATCCTGTATGGTTTGAGGCCTCGTACTAATCCATTAATAAAAATTATATATTTATATATAATTTTATATTATAAAATTAAAATTTGATTAAATTTTGAAAGTCTTAATATCCTAAGAATTTATTCAATATATAATAAAATGTATAATATAATAAATTCAAATTTATACTCCTTTTGAACTATCTGACAATGTAAAGCATACAAAGCTAGCTAAAATGAACAAAAGTTAAATCTAAAGAACTAGCCACTAAAATCAAGATAGTAGTAATAATTACTATCTTTCAAATCTTCCACATCCATTTATTCATATATTAGCCAGTTTTAAACCAATTAATATTACAGGCCAATCTAATACCATTAAACTAACTCTTAAAGCTATCATACCGGGTGCCTCCAGACAAATAAATCAAACATAGGAAAGAAAAATCTCTCTCAGGCCTACCAGCATATGGCGCTTTTCGAACTGTATATACGAATGGATGAAAGTATTATTCTATGATGGATAACCCAATGTCATGAATTCTGCTTAATAAACGTATCGTTTAGCCCCTTCGACACCACGTAACGTCCGATTTCGCAACATGTAGTAAAAATGCAACCCAACACATCCAACACAAACAAATAACAGCAATCCGGCATTCGTCCAGTGACCTGTAGGATAACCTCGCTTTGCTTCATTGGATTTGTATATCCAAACCCCAGCAATTTGGCCCGGTGCACCAAAAGATATGTTCAGCGCAATTACCAGCCCGGCAGTGCCGGTGGAATGGACATTTGAGGAGAGCCAGCCGAGAAGGGGTGGGATACATGAAAATGCACCACTGGCAGCAACTATTAAGCAACCGTATCGACTCTTTGATTATTGTCAGAAAAACTCCATTAATATAGACTTTATCAGAGGGATACGTACAAGATATGCATCTGCGGGCAAGACGGCGGAGGCGAGGAAGCCCATAGCGCCGATGAATGAGAATACTGCTGAATGCAATCCGCGGCTATTTGAGGAAAGATTGATTTAGCTGAAATGATCTTTTGTCATATTTCGATTGTCATCGACATACGCATTGAAGTGATCCGCCGACCATGAAACTGCTACCGTCACAACATAAGCAACGGCGTAAGGGGGAACAGTCATCAATTGTGCGCGCAGATTCTCGTATCCTAAACCGGCCGTAATTGAGGGTGTAAATAAGGAAAGGCTTGAGAAGGGCGTGGATATACCGAAGTAAATCTGTTGACACGTTAGATTTTCATGCATCTCTGCAAAGGAAGAAGTAGAAGAGGTAGAGGTATACCGCGTAATGCACATACAGCCGCCAGTCTGTAAGAGCATTTTTCGAGTCCGCCCATGTCATTCCTTTTGCATCCGCCTTTGATCCTTCCACACTGAGCCTCCTTTTCGCTAGATCTCGCTCTTCGGTGGTTAACCAGTGCACTGTTTCCGGGTAATCCGGTAGTAAGAACCAAACTAGAATCGCCGATGTACACGACGGCGCGCCTTCGATAATGAACAGCCATCGCCATGCCGATAGGCCATGTGATCCGTTAAGATGGCCCACGCCATATGCTATTGCGCCACCAAATGCACCGGCTAGGGTAGCGGAAGCCAATATTAATGCGACTCGGATTGAGCGTTCCGAAACCCGATACCAGAAGGTCAGGTAGTAAACGAGGCCAGGGAATAGTCCAGCTTCGACGGCACCTAAGAGAAAGCGGATTCCGGTAACCTGGCCGAAGGTGTGAGAGCCACCAAGGCCCATTGTGATGGCACCCCAAGCAAGCATCAGAAAGGCAATCCATCGCTGTATCAAATCAGTCATGTCCGAAGTTGATAGTATCCGAATAGATGGTGTTTTTTGTTCTTTAAAAAACTTAGAGAAATTGACGTACACTCGGTCGCAACTTTTTCAGCAAGTAGTTCGATGGAACTTCAAAGATTGCATACGCGATCAAGAACACCATTAATGCAATTCTAATTGGTATTAAGTTAACTGTTATCATAATCTGTATTCACTGAACTTACGTGTATTGAGAATTGCTCATATGTGTTTCAGTGAGAAGATCGTCGTTCGTAGATGCATTTAACACCTTGGCGTTGCCTAGTTAAAAGCCACCATTTAGTACTGTGTATTTTGCATCTTTTTCATCGGTCATACCGATATTCGATCGATCAAGATAGCATAGCAGATATATGAAAGCAGACAGCGGCATAATTCGTAAGTCTTGCTTCCATACTAATGCTTCGTTGAGCGCTGCGTCTATGTGTACAGAGCCATCCTAAAAGGAATCAGCTCCAAATCACTCTATAACATATTACGAGCTGAATTAGACTCACGGCTCCTCCTTCGACATCGACATCATCTACAATTTCGTCCTGGATTTTGATTTCTTGAGAGGCCATCTTGATGAAGACGAGAAGTGGAATGCGGAGGTGATTGATGGTACCCCAGAATAAAAACTTTGGGGGAGTCTGGGGTTGATATGTCGTCGTTTTACTTATCATTGGTCCTTTTCCCCTAAGAATAGTGAGGCTTGGCGTCCAAAGCTTTGCTGTCGGCGACGGCGACCGACGCCGATGATGGGGCATAGCTGTTTTTTTTTAAAGTCTATTCAACTTGTAATTGACTCATGATGGTATTTTGTTGAGGATGAACAAAACGCATCACCGGCGCATAGGATACGGATAACCGTAGCCTAAAGCTTTCTGGGACTGCTTATAGTGAAGAAATTGCAGTGAAGAAACGCAATGACTCTATCACATTGAAATGTGGGTGAAAACGTGGTTGGATGTATCTCTCTACTCTCGAATCTAGGCTATTCTACTACCTATTAGATATCAGGTTAAACACACTCATAGCTCTGCCAATTGCTCTGGTCTCCTCCGGTAAACCTGGCCACTTTCGGCCACGGGCATAGTTTTCTAGTGGTATTTGACCCATCAGGTGGCGATGAACTGAGTATTTCCTCCGGCTTCTGCCCCTTTTCAACCCATCTTACCAATGGATCAAGCACATGATACGTTGCCGGAACTTGCCTATACAAAGGATTTGCTCCACAGTGTCCACCTCCAGGTACCATGAACAGCCGAATAAAATTGTTGATGTTTGTATTTTTGAGAGCAGATTGTATCTGCCCCAGATGCTGAATCGGCCATGCCGCCGCGTTATATGGATCTGCCCAGCCTTGAGTGCTAATCAATTTCCCACCACGGCGATTGAAAGCGGAGAGGTCGGGAGTAATCGCGTCTATGAGTGGCGATGCAATACTATCGACGCGGTCGATATCAGAGCCCCAGTTGAAAGTGCTCACATTGTAATTATCGTTTTTGAAGACGAGCTTTTGCAGAATAGGCGTGGTGTAGTCCACATACAAGACTGACTCTTGAGTGAGCCAGGCATTTTCGGAACCCAGGTCGAATCCCGGATAGACTTCCTTATAATCCCGCGAGTCCTTGGGTCCAGCATAAATAGCTTGCGCAGCTTGAAGTTGGTCCGAAGTCAAACAGAGTGTTCGGTTGCTACTATTGACTAAATTCTGGCCCTGTTTACATTCAAGAGTCATGATGTCAAAGTGGCATTTCAGGGGATTTCCAATGACACCATCTTTCACCCCATCAATGTCGTCACAGGCGGCCAAAACATTGTCTGTAATGAAATTCAGAACCTGCTGGCTCAGGTACCCGCCGCTGGTAGAATGCAACCCATTCCACAAAAAGCTCAGGACCAAATGGCTATACCAATTCCCTGGGCTGCCGGCATAAATGCCGTCGAAAAGCTCGGGATGGTATTGCGCAAGGGAATATCCCTGGGCACCTCCAGTCGAACAGCCCGAGTAGTAGCTGTATTTCGGAGACCGGGCATAATATTTTGCAACAATATCTCGCGTAACCTGGGTCGTCATAACAATGGAATCGTGGATCCAGGTTTTCGTTTTCCCAAGGTCTTCTAGAAAGATTCCATTCTCGCTATCTGTCAAGGAATGCCCACTATCGCAACCACTCACTGCATAACCCGAGTTTGTATTCTCAAGCATGGTGGAGTTGTCAATTGTGCCAGCGAAACCACCATTTCCTATGTGACATGTTAAAAATGAAATTATTCCTACTTCAGATTGGATAGCTCTGGTGTCTCACCTACGGCGAGAAATCGGCCATTGTAATTCTCGGGATCTGGAAGAAACAACTCCCAGGTGATCGTGTCGTTTCCGTTCACATCAAATTCGACCTTGCCATTTCTCGGGTTGGCTTGGTATTTGATGATTCCTTGAACTTGGCAGAGTTGAAACTTATTTTTGATGGAGCCCTCGCCTGTGTTCGAAGACAGATTCAAGCTACCCGGTAGGACTTCTATTGCCGTGAGGATCTGGACTGCATTCTTTGCCTGCTGGGTCGAGGCAAGAGAGGAACAGTCGTGTTTTTGTGAGCTAACATTTACTATACCCCAGACCGAGAACAATGAGGCAAAATGTATAAACTTCATTTTGAGAAATTTCCTCACAACAAAGTATCAAACTGGCAATCAATATAATCCATACCCGGAAATGGGTTTTCTTGGATCCTCCTTTCAAATAAGGCCCTCTAATAGAAAACCGGGGTGATGCTAGCTAACACCAGTCCCCCGCAACTTGTACAAGTCGTCCATAAACGCCGCTTGATTCCCCACCTCGAATGCACAATTGGATTCAACCACAAATATTGCGTTTCGGCGACGGCACCGGTCGCCGATCTCCACAGTGTATCTAAGAGCCGTGCCTGTCAGCTTCTCCACTAAAGATATACAAATAACAAGGTGCTCGCTCTCCGTGAAATATCAGGGTCGATCTGCCTAGGTTATAACTATTGGTGATATCTAAATGTCATAAGCATCGGCGTGCTATGCCGATGGACCGCTCTTTTCGGGAAAGGCGGTGGTATTTGAAGGATAAAAGTTTTTAGATTTGATTTAATTCATGTTTTACATATTCGATCATGACCATATGTGAAACCAAAAAATAGACACGATAGAACAGACAAGCGGAAAGAAATGCAAATCAAACACCCCCTTCGCATCGGCAATGTCTCCGGCGCAACAGGGGATTACCCCCAAGCCATGCTACGCATGGCACAGTATGGCAATGTCGATGTCATTGTTGGTGACTGGCTATCGGAAATGAATATTGCTTGGAACGCAATTTCCAAGTCTGAGGACCCCAAGATGGGTTATGAGCCGGGTTTTCTCAGTCAATTGAGGGATAGTCTGGATACCATTGCTGAAAAAAACATCAAAGTGATAACAAACGCCGGCGCGTTAAATACATTGTCTTTGATGAACAAGGTTTCGGAACTGTGCCGGGATAAGGGATATGGAGATAAAAGATTGAAAGTTGCAGCCGTACTAGGAGATGATATCTCTGAGCTTATTACTGAAAATGAGAAATCTAATACTGCCGGCTGGCATCACATGGACCACGAGGATTGGCCGCTTCAAGAATGGCCATTGAATCCTCATTGTGGCGTAGCATATATTGGTGCCTGGGGGATCGTGGAAGCACTGAATGCGGGAGCCGATATTATTTTATGTGGCCGCGTGACGGATGCTTCCCCGGTTATAGGAGCAGCGGCGTGGTGGTATCAATGGAAAAGAGACACTTGGGATGAACTTGCTGGAGCCTTGGTTGCTGGACGTAAGTTTGATATTTCTCCTTTACACACATGGCTTGTAACTGATTGAAAGAGGTGATGAGATCTTATCGAGTGTGGGCCGTATATCACCGGAGCCAACTATTCTGGCTTCAAATCTCTATCTGCTACTCAATTGATCGATTTTTCCTTTCCTATTGCTGAGATCAGACACGACGGTACTTGTATTATCACAAAGTGTGATAAATTCGGAGGAGCAGTCACTAAACACAACACAATCGCTCAGCTGCTGTACGAGCTGCAGGGAGAATTGTATCTTAATCCTGATGTTGTCGCTAATCTACTAACGCTAAAAATCGAAGAGGCTGGACCGGATCGTGTCCAAGTATGCGGAGTCACTGGTATGCCTCCTCCACCGACAACAAAGGCGATGATAGCTGCACCAGGCGGATTCCAGGCTGAAGCCACTTTCTATATCAACGGGCTAGATATCGCCGAGAAAGTTGAAATGATGCGCAAGCAATTACAAAATATCTTTCAAGGAAATAATTTCTGCAAGTTATTAATCGAGCAATACGGCACACCAGCAATCAATCCTACTAGCCAGCAAGCTGGGACGGTCTTTTTGCGTGTCTTTGCTCAAGCCAGAAAAAAGGAAGATATAATGGGAGAGAAATTCAAGATACCAATCTATGCGCTACGAATGCAGAGCTATCCTGGTATGCTTTTGTCAGTAGGTACCCTTGAAAAGAGGTGGCGGTGCTAATCTAAAGCCAACATAGGATACCATATGAATCTCGATTTCCGAACGATGGATCCCAAGCCATTCATGGATATTTTCCCGGTTATCATCCCACTTCACCTCATTAATCATCGTGTACTTCTGGGCAATGGCACGACCATACAAGCACCTTCCCCTCCAGTGACGAGAATATACGCTACTCAAAGACCGTCCTACGAAGCGGCGGCTCTTGTATGCCTCACGGAATTCGGAGCCACAGAGTCAGCACCACTGGGAAGTATAGCCCATGCCCGATCAGGGGACAAAGCGAATAATTCCAACGTGGGGTTTTTCGTCCGAAATGCGGACGAGTATTCATGGCTGCAGTCTTTCTTGACTATCTCTCGGCTGCAAGAGCTGCTGGGAGATGACTGGCCTGAAGGAGAAAATAATCAACCGAGAGTAGAACGGTGTGAATTCCCGAACTTGTTTGCAGTTCATTTTATAATCCTGGATTTCTTAGATGGTGGCATTGCTAGTTCAAGTCGAATTGATGGATTGGGGAAGGGGGTTGGAGAGTATTTACGAAGTCGAGTAGTAGACATTCCCGTCAAGTTTTTAGAAAGAGGCAGGATTTAAAGGAGCTAGAATGAATACATAATTCGAAGAGACAAAAGAAGCCTTTCTCATCCCCACATAGAAGGTTGATTCATGTCTATCCCACCTATTTCGCCCAGCCAGTCATGGAACAATTGGCCGACTGGATCGTTCCCAGCCCCATAGAGCTCGGGCCGTCTCAAGTCACCAAAGCACTCATACAGAACTGAATCTACTCCAAGAGAGGTGTTTCCTTCGTTGACTATGTCCCAATCTCTGAGCGGGGGATGATTAGTCTCTTGTTGTATTGACCGTGAGGTATCACTTGGCGGATTGACGAATGTCTTGGAGTGATACTGGATGGCATCAGAAAGTGCCGCATCACTCAGGCGATTGAACACGTCATGACAATGCTTGGTCACATTCCACTGCTCCGATATAGCGACTAAAAGGTTTGAACATGCTCGAGAATCATTAACAATCTCCATAATTGTTGGGTCGGATTGCAGAGACGGTCTCGATGTTAGATTAGGGCCAGTGATATTGCTTTGCTTAGAGAATCGAAAATGTTGGCCAACGGCATATATGTACGACAGCCCGGCCATGAATATCGAGTGAAGAGTTATCCACGTATAGTTTATACGTCTGGACCGGTGGAGGTGTGAATATAGTGTGATTGCCTTCTTGGCTGACATGAAAATAGTTTGCAAGACAATAGCATCTCTAGAGGAGACTGAAGGGAGTGCAGGAGATGGTCTGTATAACATCAGAAGAGCATTATGATATAGCATCTCATACCACTCCCGGGCACGGAAGCTGGAGCGGTTTTCCAAGAGTGGACTGCATAAATCTACGTCTGGAAGGGATAATTCCTCAGTGGCTTTATGCCACTCGCCAAGCTGTTGTGCCAGTTTGTCTCGAGATATCAAAGGCGATGCTTCGTCCATTTGTGTTCTGGATGACACGTTATGAAGTGCTGTTAATATGTCGCCGCAAATCACTCTATATCGTACTATATGGTTGAATAATTGAGTCCGAGAAAATGTCGGACTTGAGGAGTCGTCACAATCCGTGGTGGTTTGATTCACTAGTATATCGAGATTCAAGTCGGGGAGACCGACGTTGGCATCATGAAGATAGATGGCAAGGGGTCTTCCTAATGTAATACTGACAATTCTTAATTTAAATGGTTAGCTTCAATTGAGGGTTTCAGAGAGGGCCAACAAACCTATCCATTGCAACCGTACACCAAAAACATCGACGGCGTGTCTCATTCGAAATTAGTTGGTCCGGCATTGCATTACTAATTGGCCAATATGTTTGTTCCCGATGGAGCCCCAGCTCAAAGCACATGCGTGCGGCGATCCCGACAATGTGCCACATACCTATCTATATCAGATATGTATTCACCTCCGGCGACCCGGTCGAACAACGGAGCGGTACTTACTGGTGGATGTATCTTGAATTGAGTTGATCATTCGATACTGGCACAACAGTAAAAGAGCTTGGAGGGCCTGGATTCCGCCATCTTGCAGAACCTCATTTAGTCGCTGCGTTGCCCGTACTTGATAAGCTTCTGCATCTGGCAATGCTTCTAGATTGAACTTTGGCCCGCTAGCTGTAGCAATGGCCAAAACCATGTCAAACACAAAAGATAAGAAAGCATTCTGTTCGAGAAAGGCCGGGTCTTCGTAGGCTCTTTTAAGCATGGAAAATGCGGTTTGCCGATGCAGGAAAGGATAACAGAAGTGGTCATTCTCGAAGTATGCGCGGTATAATTCGCGAGCAACTCGCTCCGGAGGCAAGGACGAGACATCGACAGACCCGGCACTATATGAAGGTGATACTCCATTTAAGCCGGCGGCAGCAGCTATATTCCTTCTATTCAAGTGTCTTTCCTGCAAGGATACCTTTTTCTGGCCGCTTCTGTCACGGGACGTGACCACAGTTGCGCTCACTAAATCAGCCAAGAGCACACCGCTGGCAGAGCCCAGAAAACTCCTCTCTCCTCCTGCTCGAGAGGATAGAAATGATATTTCTTCAATTATCTCATCATCCCGCCGCTCTGACGCTTCTGCGTTATTGGGAACGACATCTTGAAAGCTGGCATCGGCTTCGGCCCCGCGGCCGTGATCATGCTCGTTAGTGTTACCAGCACTCGGTGCTGGTGGAGATAATTGTCCTGAAGCTGCAGCTAATCTAGCCTCTAAGCTGCGATTAGTAGCCTCCATTTGGTTCAGCCGACGCTGAAGTCGCTCGACATGTTGCTGCCGGTGCTTCGTCCGGTCCACGTACTTGCATTCAACCCCGGCCTTGCGACAAGGTCCACAGGTCGGAAACTGCTTGTCGCACTTAGACTTTCGTTGGTGACAGCGGTCACATGCAGATGACATGCTGATTTCAGGTTTTTATCTCTTAGTCATTATCATGAAACAATTGTGTTCAGTTGAGTTGAAAATGTAGATTCTCCACTATTCGTTTTTTCGGCGGTTGCTCCGATGAATCCGGGCATTCCGGGGTTGGTTATCCCTGAAGCGAAGCAACATGGGTCTATCTATAGGCGCCAGCCTTCAGGTGACAAAAGGGCATTTTAGCTTGATAGATTCCTTGGCTAACCCAAACATCACTGCGGCCCCCTTTTCAACCACGCTCCCTAGTGCGCCTCCGCGTGGCAAGCTTGATATTAATGAAGTACAGCACTACAGCCCAAAATCCCACTTGCAACCTACCGCTTCGACGACCACATACACCTTCTTTTATGAGGTACCCCTTCTAACGCGATCAAATATACGACACTAACGCTTCTGAACATTTATTCAATGTGGTAAGGCGTTTTGTTACGGTGAACAGGATGCCGTGGTCCCTTGGACGGTTGATATGCTGTATATCATCGTGGCCATGGCTATCCACATTCGGGAAAAGAAAAACATTTTGAAATTTTAAGAATGTGGTATTGGACTCTTTGATAGGAACAGATTTATTACTATTCCAAATGACTGAGTGGTATCCAAGAGTCTTTCTCAATGAATGAGGTAGGCTGTATTTATACTAAATCCAACGAAAGTTCGGACCATTAAATGCTGAAGGTTGGAGTGGAATGTACGGTCTCATTTGGAATTCAAGGCAACCAATTTGTTCTATTTTGATTCTACCGCCGTTTGGATGGATCAGAAACCCTATCTATGCTTTCCTCGGTTGGAACTTTTGCTATATATAGACACCAGGGAAATCTGTCAAGACCACATGGAATCCGCTGCAATATCATACAGGAAAATGTGACTTATTGACTTGACTATCTCCCAGGATGCCGTCTTTTGAGCAGAAAATAATCGTGGATGCAATCTAAAGGTTCTGAGTGGGATAATTTAACTATATGGCGTGCCTCTCAAGACCACCGGATGATCTGTAGTAATAGAGTCGAGTACATCTATTTCAAATGGATTGTATCCAATCAAATATTAAGCGCATTTCTCTCCCAAAGTCTGATATATGTCCTATTATATAAATGTAATTCGCATAGCTTTGAATCAACTAATTGAACAGAATACACCAAGATTTGCCAGCTGGTAGATACTAATATTGAGATATCATGCTCAGAATCTCTCATGTGGGAGAGAACTGAATTATACTGTGACTCATCGAGCTACATGGTTCGATGCTAGGTCTCTAGGGTACTCGATAATTTTTTTTTTAAAGCACTTTTAACTCACTATACTATTAGACACCGCAGGAAAAAGATCGGCCCCCAAAGAGCTAAACTAGGCCGGCAGCTGTGGGGCATATCTTGTGTCGTGGCATTGCTGATGACTAGTAATCTAATAGTATTAATGTCAAACCATGCCAGCCTGCACACCAACGCTCCCGCTTTTGGGTTTGTTACTAGCGCATTCGATACATAGTCGTCTCCTATTGTCAAGAGTTTTTGGGGGTTATTTATTTCCCAGTTTCCGACGGGTGAGGCTGTCGCGGCGATCGCTCATCGCCGAACCGACCCAGATCTTGAACAACTGTATAAAAGATTTGAGATATTTTGAATACCAAGTTTGGCCCCTCCTATATGTCTTGGCCTAATTCATAAACCGCAATAATTTTGCGAGATCTCCTGCATTCCTGAAACAGCCCTCCTTGAAGCTGAATTGTAGAGTTTATAATCTAAAGGAAAATTTCGAGTTTTGACAAAATTTTTATTCTTATTCTTTTCACATTTCTGAGATTGAATTACTCTAACCATGTCAGAAGATTGGAAGGCGACGAGTCCGGGTCGCTGGGAGCGCCCTATTGACAGCCTCGAGGATTACTTTGTCACGATTGCAGACTTGACACGACCAGTTGGAGGTGAACATTTCTCCCTCAGTTTTGGTGCTCAGATAAAGTTCCACCCCGAAAGAACTCTGGAAGATATCGAAGCGGCTTTGAAGCAGGCTTGGACAGTATTACGGTTTGAGCACCCTCAGCTGGCGACCACTGTAGAGGGTTCTCACATGGTCTACGAAACATTACGAAATGAATCAGCGCAGCAGGATTGGCTTTCTCGCACTGTTGTGATGGATACCTCTTCCAACTCTTCCGCAGAGCTTTTCCCGCAATTGAACCAAAGCCCTAAGCAAGCCGTATTGTACTATCTACGCACTTCGTCAGAGGTCGTGATTCACAGTTCACACTGGCGCACAGATGGAATTGGTGCCACTTTACTACTATCTCAACTACTAAAGCATATAGCCACACCGCTGACGTCGGCGATCGTCTTTGGCTCCGAATGTGCACGCTTACATCCGAGCCACTTTGCGCTCTTAGGAGCATCCGACAAGCCTCCCGAAGCCAGTCAATATATCACAGATCAAAGCCTTGCTGATTATATTGCGCATTTACCCTCCATTCAAATTCCTTCAGCTGGAGAACCCATGCAGAAACTCTCCCCGACTACTCATCGGCAGGAGATTGTGATTTGCGATCAGCAGACAACTGACCTCGTCGCAAGTGCCAGGGCTCGTGGTGTCACTCTCACTGTTGTGGCACATGCGGCTTTGATACATGCTACCAAGCGGATGAATACTAGTATCTCGTTGGACGAAAATGCAAGTTATGCATGCATCTGTCCGGTGTCGCTGCGTGACCAGCTACCAAGCCCTTATAATGGTCCATCTTACGCAGCCTCCGTAGCTATGACTGGTGTTCCTATGGGATTTACATCAACAAACTTGAAGAAAGACATTGAGTTTCTGCAGGGGCTTTATCGTAATGAGGCAAAGCGTCCAGAAAGGATTGAGGGCCTACGCGCATTTCAGACGAAGATGACAACAATTCTTAAACAGCCTCCTATTGCCGAGGTGCCGATTCCCGCACATCCGACTCTGAATAGTTTAGGCCTGATTGAACAAAATTTACAATCATCTTATCCAAGTGATCACGGGGACCTGGAGGTTGACAAATATTGGATAGGAACTTCTGTGGTTGACCACACTGTCTGGGTCTATATTTGGACTTGGAAGAAGAAACTCACTATTAGTGCTACTTATAACACTGGGATTTATGATGATAGGATAATTGGCAATTTCTTGGAGCAGTTTTCGCAGGTTCTAATCAAGGAGCTGACGCCCTTAGCCTAAAGATTTGCGGTAGATAGGATTGGAAAAATACACTCTATATAGTGATATCAACCGGTCATTCATTACTGGTTATGCATCCATTAATGAAGATATGAAGAATTCAAATATTAAAGACATGATTGCAAATCACACCATTGCTAGAAAAGCTCAATCGAATGAAAGTAGAGTACTTGAATATTGTAAGTCACATCCTATTGAATATTGTTCATCATTTTACACCGACTCTAAGATAGAGCGGCGGACCTATGATTCAATGTTACTAGACATGTACAAGAATTATATTCTTCTGCTGTTGAAGAATATTATAGAATTTCATAATTAATTGATATCCTAACGTACAGGCTCGTATCGACATTAATATTAAATTCAACCTTGCGTCATTCCCTAAGTAAGAATTAGGGGAAAGAAGAGAAAGAAGAAAAATAACGCGAAGAGATTGGATTGAAGACAAAACTTTTCCCGCGTATATAAGCAGCTCAAATCTATACGATCTATTCCGGGAGCATTGTGTATAGTCTCTCTTTGTCAGAGCTTGTGTCACTTAGCTTGACACCAAAGCTCTTAGGACCCGAATTCACATATGCAATGTTATCTGTATCTTCCTTGAAAGCAGAGCGACTGACTGAATGCATATGAATATCTGTCGTCTGAACAATACCCCCCGTTCTACTGTGACTCCCGTAGTCTCGACTCCTGGTGAATCGGTTCAGGATTGGCCGGTAGGTTGGGACACATGCAGCTAAAATGCCGATACAGATCTCAACACAGGAGAGAATTCCGCCACCAACATCATCCCCTAGTCTCAATATTAGCAGACTAACATTCCATGGAACGGAGTATGACATACAACTAGCATCAACAGTGCTTCCCACTGATTGTGCATAGGCCAGCCGAACAATACTGACGACACATGCGCTAAACAAGCTGTTAGCAAATCGTAATGCTTCAAAAACCGAAATTATGGAAGACATACAATGAACCAGCCACCAGTGTAAAGATCGTTAGAAGCTTTTTAGTCTTTTTCATGTTAAGAGACCAAATCACAGGGATTGGTAGGACCAGTATGACGAAATCGGATATGATGTTTATGATTCCGATGGCTAAGACGAAGTTGCCGTAATTGATACATTTCCCTTGAACGCTGGGGTCCCATTGTGAGCGTATAGGGACACATTGAAAAATACTGCCGAAAATGGATGAACAGGCCCAAGCGGTAATGAAAACAGCCGTGGTGATAATGGCGATTCGAAGCCCTTTGCTCGGGAAAATGCGACTGTACAAAAGCAAGATGGAGTATTTCACAAAGGCGATCGCAACGGTATATGTAACTTCGTCGCTGATATTCGACTAAAGCAACAAAAAGAAATGTTAGCACATTGTGATGGTAAGTTGGAACAGAGAATGAGGTAATTACTTTTGCGAGAGACTCTCCATTTGTAACCCTAATCGCATGCTTGCCAAGCCCCCATTGAGTTCCTAAAGCGAAACCAATGAAGAAACCAGTGAAAACTATCTGTGAGGCTGGTTAGATGATACTTGAATGTACAAAACCACTCAAAGGATATATATACCAAAGCTGCGAGAATGGCCAAATCATCAAGGCCAACGCCGAATTTCACCATATTTCGAGCATAGAAACGGAGGCCAACCGCGAAATAGGCAATACAACCGCAAGAAATCACACTGGCAATAATGTTCCCAACCTTTGAATCACTGGCATGCTCCTCCATATACTTCAGCTCATCGGGAGAAATGCCGGCCATATTGAGTACATCAAATACCAGCTATTCTAAACCAGAAATAATTGATATCATATGAGGCCAGGGGGAAATATTTCGATTTTTGAAAAACTTGATGATCAAAACCATCGACTGTGTGAATCGACTCACAGAATGATGGTGAATGAGGGGAAGGCAAGTAAGGGTTAAGATCGACTAATATTAACGTGACTGGCCCCCAACCGTGATATGGGAGGCCCAAGGTACTAGCGAGCACGAAGCAGGAACGACCAGATCTAATTATGGATGAGATATTATTGAGAGCTAATTATCAATTAGAGCTGTTCCCCAAAAGTAGGGTCATTTCCGAGCCAGCCAAGGACGAGAGCAGAGCCGATCACGGTAAAGAAAGGACCAAGTTTTTTGTCTTACGAGTCAATATACTATGAAGCTTTTAAAAATTTCCAAGGGACATTACCACAATGTAGTCAGTCGTACATCATGGTAGCGCGTACAGGTCACAGCCAAGTACGGAGTATCATAATAAATTTCAAATCATCCATTCAGGTGGGGTGAAATAATGCATGGGGGCCAGGATCAGGGAGTCTTCCCGTTCGAGGGTTAAAGCTTTAAACCTCGAACTTGACGAACAAGAGGGTTGTTTGGACTGTGGGTCACATTTGGCGATGGAATTAAAAATATGGTGAGGGTTCTGCTTAGCTGCAGGTGACGATAACAACCTTCGCTGGAATTAAAATAGGCGTAATTTGTTGTAATAAGGCTGTCTATTTATCAATACGTACTACGGTAAATACAAGTCGAAACGTTAGTTTGTGCAGTAGTCATTTTAGTGGTGGAGGGGTATAAAGACTCACGCCGATCCTTTAAGCTAATGCATTAGGCTGACGATCGACATCTGGGAGGATTCTGAGTTTATGCATCGTTGACTCGTGGGTGGGAATTTTAGTGCAAGTACAGAGTAGACGCATGAATTGCTAACTGATCCATTAATCTGCAATAACTATTATCAAGCCATCATAAGTGTTATAATTGCGTCAACCAGATAACAATGATAACCGTCTTCAAATTTAGCCCATCATTAGACACAATTCCTTCATGAGCGAGGCTTCTAATTGCCTACCAGTTGGAAATACTATAGGCATTATGCAGCATACAATTGCTCTCGGGGCTCTTGTTCTAAGCTCTGGCTTCATATTAAGCCAAATTATAACGCGTATAATTTCCGATGATGGCCGTCTTCATGTGTCGGCACTGGCCGGATGGGCACTCCTTGAATATGTAAGGATTGTACAAGAATCTTTTTGACCTAGAATTAAAAAGAATACACAGTTTTTTGTCAATGCGATATACCGGCTGCAATTTCACCCTCTTTCTAAATATCCCGGCCCATGGTGGGCAGCTATCACGGACTGGTATACCGTTATCCATTTAGCCAAGGGAGACCGGCACCTGGATTTTTACCGCCTGCACTTGAAACATGGTAACTAATCTCTGTCGCCACTCAGAAAAACGATGATGTTGATTTTTGTTGCTAGGTAAATTTGTACGGTTTGGACCTAATCGGTTATCCATTAACTCGGCCGAGGCATTGCGCGATATCTTTGCCGTACGTGCGAATACACTGAAATCACAAGTCTACGGATCATTTAAATATTTTTTCAATGGCATCGACATGTCTATGACGGAAATCGATCGTGACAGACACGCGTTCAAGCGGCGGGTAAATGCGAGTGCATTGAGTCCAGATGCAGTACGCAATGTCCAAGAGCAAATCTTGCAGAACATTCGCTACTTCTGTACCCAGCTGACAGACGGAAAACCAAATGACCCAGAAGGATGGAGTGCGCCGCGAAATATCAGCAGACTTGTCGGCTACCTGGTGTCTGATATCATGGGTGATGTGACGTTTAGCAAGAATTGGAATGTTCAGCGTGACAAAGCACGTAGGCATTTTGTCGATGATGGTGCAATGGGAACGGCGGGAATTCATTTGGTAAGTCTGTAAATGCATAATGTTTCGACTGAGGCTTTTTCTAATTTGTACAAACATATAGACGGGGCATATGCCTGGACTTTTTTTTCTTTCTATGCACAAGATATTGTTCTGGCCGCTCATTCAGGGAGTACAACAGCTTGCTACCCTGAGTGACTCTATAACTGAATGGAGAATTGCGCAGGGCGAGACTCTGAAGGGAAAGGATCTATTCTCTTCACTCCTGGAAGCAGTTGACCCGTTGACTGGCAAAAAGTTCACACAGGGAGAGCTTATTTCCGAAGCTGGACTTTTGATTGTTGGTGGATCCGATACTACAGTTACTGCGATGAGCGCTACCATATTCTATCTTTTGCATAACCCAGCCGCACTTGAAAGAGCACAAAGCGAGGTTCGCAATACATTTTCTTCACTAGAGGAGATCATCATGGGCAAAAAACTAGATTCCTGCCGCTACCTGGTTGCTTGCATTGATGAATCGCTACGCCTGTCTCCTCCCGTCGGCTCTGTGCTACCACGGCAAGTGCAGGCTGGAGGCCTTATGGTTGAAGGAGAATATATCCCGGAAGGAATTGATGTGGGCGTGCCACACTACACTATCCACCATAATCCAGCTTACTACAGCGACCCGTTCACCTTTCGGCCTGAGCGCTGGCTGGGGAGTGGCGAGGGCGGCTTTACTGAGGCTGATGTAGCGAAAGCACAGACGGCATTCACTGCTTTTGGGGTTGGACGGACAAGTTGCATCGGACACTACCTGGCATATCAGGAGATGCAGCTTGTAATAGGCCGTCTGCTATTTTCATATGACATGCAACTTGATAGCAAAAGCAAGCTGGGGGAGGGGGGTCAAGGGAAGGGATGGGGTCGCCACCGCAAAGGCGAGTACCAGTTACTCGATCGGTTTGTGAGCATGCAGGATGGACCAATGGTACAGTTCCGTCCTAGGAGTTGATAACCATACTAAACACTCAACCTTGATCATTAACTTCATTTGGGTTCCCTACACCTCATGTTTTCCTTGTAACCCCTAGCCACTTCATTTACTACATGGCACTACTTAGTTCTAAGGATAACCGGTCAGCAAACTAGGTCTGCAACCTGAGACGATGTCACCCCAACTGGTGATTGACATGACGTTATGCCATGGAATGCATTTGTGCAGATTATTAGGATATGACCTGATTTTGGCTGCGACTCGCCTCGGTCGAGACTAATGACTATCGAATCATAGTTGCATAAATGAATAACATGTATTATAATAGTAGATTCAATTATAAGACTATTAAGTAGGTGAAGCTTTTTGCTTCGCTTGGGCCTGGAGCGTATTTACCATGGACCCATGCGAGTCATGAGGCTGGGGGCCGTAACAGTCAAAACAGCCCCCAAAATCAAAATCTTAAAGCAGCTCTCGGCACATCAATGACCTTTAAAGTGCGGGCCAGGCTGGGCCAGGATCAACGCTGTGCCGTGCCACGGGGAAGTCAAAGCATTGGATCAATAAGTATGGCCCACGGACTAACCCCTAGGGCAACCGGCATTAGTACTTGCATCAGGGCTACGAATATATCAGAGGTTCTTGGCAGCTAATGGACCGCGCAAGGAATTTGTTATCCACCGGCTAAAAACTGCCGAGGCAGTTGAAGGCTTAGGCCTTAACTACCCTGCATAAGGAACCTGTACATGGTCATTAAAAATGGTATCTGTCGATCGTTTCTCTTTTGTACCTCCAACGACTGCCAGATAGATTGACCCACAAAACTCTGCAGGATTCAAAAAATACGCAATGACCCTATTCTTACATGGTTTGACTTGTTATACACATCGTTAGCTTGCATGGCCTTAACCTGATGAAGTATGACTATAATTAACGGTATAGTGGAGTCGTTGGTTCCTTAATTGCTCCTGGGTTCCCACCTCGACCAAGGACTTGGAATCAAATCACAACATAGCACGAGAATGGTAATCGTTGCATACAACCTGATGCGGTACCTTATCAAGTCAACAGTTGCCCGTCATATATATACTCAAATTTGCAATCATGTTGATCACATATAGAGCAAGTTAGGAACTCGAAATAACAATCGCCTCGTAATGAAATTCAAATACATTACCACGATCAGGAATGGGTGTGTATAAATGTTTGCTCAATAATCACCTTATTAATGGGAGTTTGCTATTAGGTTTTCGCATAACGGATATAACGAGTACCATCAGCGATGTATGAGAAATCCCTATCTATAGTGAGCATGGTATCAGTCTGCATATGACCGTAAAAATATTTTCGTGTAGGGTGTTAGTCGATAATGGTATGTAGAGGAACAGATGCCTTTTTAAAAGAATTGCTCGGGCTTAATGGTATATGTGCATTCAAAAGGTATAATGGTATAAAGTCAGAAGAAGCGTACAATAAAGTAATGGCATTGAATCGAAGAGACGCGTTACGCTGTCTCGGACAAGAAAAGAACATAAACAGTACAACATATCAGGAGTTAATATCAACATTATAGCCCATGAGAAGATATATAACAGAACGATATATCAATACTGCAGCAATGCATTAAGAGAACTGAATGACCATGAACGGAGATCACCTTGCAAACAAGGTAATGAGTACAATACCATCATCCAAACGCACCATAATCTCCATGACACCTTATCGGCACTCAGGTGACGCCTTCTCAGTAAGTTTAATATAAGACCAAGGCCAAATAGCAGAGGCGGAATATATGCCAAGGTGGATACGTTCCAGAAAATAGGACAGATAGTAGTCCAAGCAATAATAAGGGCTGAGAGTATGTAGCGAGTAGGTTCATCGCCAAGGACAAGAGGTAACGTCTGTCGTCCCCTAGCACGATCGCCCTCACAGTCCTCCAAGTCTTGCACTGAGACCGTGGTGGTGATGGTGGCTGCAACGACCATGAACCAACCGTAAGCCAGCGATGTCAATGGCGCCGCACGAAAGCCGCTACCACCGCAAATGGCAGTCGCACCAGCCCCAAAGGACAGTAAGCCACACGCATTCAGGACGTTGCGAAGAATACTATCATCCGCACCGCCGAGATCGTTATACATATAAGTGAAAACTACTAGAGCCACCGATGGACCGAGGATGTCAAGGGCAAAGGAGAGGCCGCATGAAAGAGTTATAGTGACTAAGAGAAGGTGGCGCGCCCCCTCTTCATTCACCCTCCCGCTGCATATAGGCCGCCATGGCTTGTTCAATCTGTCTTCTAAGATAGCGTGTGGAAGTCTCTGGTTGGCGATATTTTCCATGAGCAGGTGGAGCCAGGTCCATATCACCGCTATGAGAATCCGGGAGGCAAAATGCAGACGTTGACCATCCTTTGAGTCGTTATCATTTTCGGTGAATCCGCCAGAGAAAGTATTGAAAATAGCGAATGCAGTTGTAGGGAAGATGACCGTCTTGAAATCGCTCTTGGTAAAAAGCCAGAGCGTATAGAAGTGAGAGAATAAAGGCATTTGACGCTACATATGTGCTCAGAATTCAAGCTGAGATATTAAATAGAGAGGTATTCTACCTTCTGAGAACAATTCTCCAAACCCATATCTAATACATCAGCATACTTAGGTTGTGCATACGTCTTTTCCGATAACAGGTCGTAGGGAAGCATTGTCCGAGGAAAGAAAAGAAAAGAACAAGTTAAAGGAATGGTCGACACTAGATTTGCTTGAAGAGAATCTGGCAACTGAAGGACAATGACAGAAGTGATAGAGGCTGGAAGTGCTGGTAGCACTTGTAGGTAGACTCCTTGACAAAACAAAATGGGAGGATCATAGGGATTAAAGGTACCTTCTCCCCGATATGTCGGTACTTTACTCCGAAGAAAGCATTTTCTTCGCGCAAGACTGGCTCTAGCACTATCGGCGGTATCCGGAAGTGGGAACTAGCTATATGTTGGCGTAATTTTAATGAGAAGTCTGATACCATCAGAACGCTAACATTATACAATGCTTAGGATAGTCAAGACACTAACTACGTACTAGCTAGTCATGTTAACGTGCAAATAACTTGCGCGAGTAAGTGATCGCTGGGACGGTAGTTTTTCGTGAGCGCTGACTACCAATCTACTGACGTATGCCCCTCCCAGCAATCTAAACTTGATCGAATCGAAGTTTTAAGTGTAGAGCAATTCAATTCAAAAGACGATCAAATCAAACCCTTCTATATTTAGGATGGGAAAGGAAGGGTTAGCTCAACCAAGCTGGTGCTGACACTCACATCTATATCATCTAGTTGTGTCTCACGTAAGGATGATCTATCTGGCCTGACGTTGAGTTACTAGTTCACAATGGTATCAGTAATATAACCAACCCTCAATCAACACACTATTCAGGTTCTTTCAAATTTAGAAACATGAAATGTTACATTTTTTTCCAAGACGTCAAATCTCTGCGACTCCTTCCCGTATTGGATTAGCATGCCAGACAATCCCCAGTACCCACTAGTACCTAATGCAATGACTATCAATTTGGGGGCGGCCGGTAATTAAATGCAGGTGGTTCAATAGCGAGTGGAGTAGAATGATTAACAGACATCTTTTGTTTCACTACGAAGTATTTCTGGTGATTGGTTAATAGTGCCTGGTGACAGATCGTTACTCTCTAGAGTCCCACGCAGAGGTGACTATGCTCACTATGGTCTAGTGCACCCTTAACCTCACCTTACCCCTCCATTATCAATGTTAAGGCCGTCTCCCACGAAATGGGGATTTGTCATCTCGGCCGGAAAGTGAAATAGCCAAACACCTCCGCCGACTGGTATAAAACGGTTCTAGTTGACGAAGCTAACGGATTTAATTGGCGAGAGGAACCTCAACAACCGGCTAGGTTAAAGTGGCAGCATTTCAAAGACCTAGACCCTCCTTTTCTTTTGGGTAATTACAAACTAGATTCAAACACTATCAACTCTATATATACAGCGGGTCAGGCATATCAAGGAAGGCCAACAAGGATATATACCATTAAAGTTTTGCTTCCACAATATATTCGCTGCCCATCAAACATCATGGCACCCTTAGTTTGGCTTGTTACTGGTTGCTCATCGGGCTTTGGGTAAGTATATTCCAGCTATTCTTCTACAAAAACTAAGGAATTGGTTTCTTCAAGAGAGCAATTTGTATATCAAATTCTTGCCCGAGGAGACAAAGTCATTGCCACAGGTCGCAATGCTGCAACCAAGCTCAAGCACCTGGAAGGCACTGGGGCTGCTATACTCGACCTTGACATATCTATCTCGCCGGAAAAAGTGGCGCTGAAAGTAGATGAGGCTTTAAAAATATATGGCAGCATTGATATCCTAGTGAATAATGCTGGTTACATTGAAAGCTCGGCTATTGAGGAACTGACGTAAGCCTACATATGACTTTATATTCCGGGCTTCAATGTTATTGTTGTTGACGTCTAATGTATCTTTACATAGTCCAGAAAGACTATTGCGAAGCTTCAACACCAACGTCTTTGGGCACGTCAATGTGACCCGTGCTCTTCTCCCGCACATGCGTGAGAAGAAATCTGGCACCATTGCATTTATTGGTTCTCAGGTAATTCTTACTTAGGTTGTGCTTGGCTTCTTGATGCTGATATAAATAGGCCGGTTGGAAGGGCGATCCCAGTGCGGGAGCATATGTGTCTGGCAAATTTGCACTGGAAGGTAAGGTTACAAAAACCAGGAAGGCCCTACCCTCTGATCCCAGGGATTTTAAACGTTGATTATCTATAGGCATCGTAGAGTGTTTGCAAAAAGAAGTTTCCATGTTCGGCATCCAAGCGACTATATTTGAACCGGGGTTTTTTCGCACTCAGGCTCTATCTCAACAGAATATCCGGCATGAGCCAGGAAACATATCCGCATACGAAGAATTTAACAAAGCCGTGATGCAGTATGAGACGGCAGTCTACGGAAATGAGCCTGGTGACCCAGTTAAAGCGGTGTCCCGGATGATTGATGTGCTTACAGGGACAGGAATGGCGGCTGGCAAGCCATTTCCACCACGTTTGCCCCTTGGTACCGATGGTCTCAAGGTAATGCGAGACAAGTGCCAGGACACCTTGAAGTTACTGAATGAATGGGAGGATTTCATTAGTAGCACTGACGTGACGAAGGAAGAATAATCTAGATTTGTTCTCCTATGATGAGCCACCTATGATAGAATTCTGTGTTGCACGAATAAAACAATTCACTTTGCCATTGACTTTATGCTATAGTCGCGTACTGTTTCTGTAGGACGCTGATTCGATGGAAAAGGTTAATCGATGACCAAGTTACTCCAGTAAAGTGCTTTACCAAAAAAAAGGTTGACTGATAACGCCTTAACGGTACAATATGCCCATAATTGCGACGTATTTTGTACCTCTTTTTAAAACAAGTAATAATGGCAACTATTCTGCATCTATCTTATTTGAATCACAATAGATATTCAAGTATCTAGTTAATGGTCGATTCACTACTCCGCATGGTGTACGCCGTACTGAGTAGTGGATAGTCATAATAGCTAGCAGTAAGAGCTTGGCTGTCGATCAGGCTTCCTGGTGGCGTGTAGATCCATGTAACGAGGCACCCACAAGAGACCTCTAGCCTAAACTCGGCAGTCAATTCGACCATTGGCCCCCAACAAGTTCTCGGTACTTGGGACCCTTTAAACGACCTTCCACCGAGAGACGATTGCAGCCAATGCAGGGGATAAATGCCTACCCGTGCCATACAGCTGCCGTAGGTTTTCATGCAACCTGCATTATCAATTTGGCCCCCCATATACCCCGTACCTATATAGCTGGTATATAATTACACTAGTGCAGAGTCACTAAATCAAAATTGAAGCAGGGTAATTTTACATTATTTTACCCTCGAGTGCGTCAAGTTGGCCGCTACCGTATTTTTCAAGTTACGAAATTTAGCTCAACTTTAATACGCCGAAATATGCAAATAACTTGTGGATGGGCAGTTGTTGGCAAGAGTGAATACCGGGACGTTCGTGAGGAGCTAGCATCCAGTTGAATATCCTGTACCTAGGAAACTTGACCAAGTCTTCAAGATCATACCGCTTTCTAGCATTACTGCTTTCGCTGCCATAGTAGCCATATTATGGTCCGAATATATTATCAGCAATGGCATTTTCTATTGTTGCCAGCGTCGCAGCTAGTGTAGCTGTTGTTATTGTATATGGAATAGGCCTAGTGTTTTACCGACTCGTTTTCCACCCATTGGCTGGATTTCCAGGGCCCTGTCTTGCTGCTGCTACCTGGTGGTATGAGTTCTATCATGATACTCGCCTCGGTGGTGGTCTTTACATTTGGCGCATAGAGGACCTGCATAAGAAATACGGTATGCCATTTAAATAATAGACTGTGCTATTTGACTCAATTGATGGCTAGTCACTGATCGATCTCACTAGGACCCGTTGTGCGAATTAACCCAGAGGAGTTACATATAATCGACACCGAATTTCATGAAGTCATCTACGCCGGGGCTACATCGGCTCGCGACAAATGGGATTTAGCAGAAAAGTCAGCCCAGTCGTTTGGGGCTACCGGTCACACGCCAAGTCATAAGCTGCATCGCATCCGCAAAGACTCCCTAAGCCCGTTTTTCAGCAAGCGAACTGTCGCAGAGAGAGAACCTCAGATTCGTGAAAAGGTAGATCACTTGGTATCAAGAATTCATGAATATGCTGGGAAAAATCGACCGGTCAATTTAACTGTCGCATACATTGCTTTGTGTATGGATATTATTACAGAATACGCATTTGGTAAGGAATACGGCTTGCTGGCGGACGATGATTTCAATGAACAGTGGAAGAATACCATAATGTCCATTGTCAGCAGCGTAGCTGTTCTTACTCACCTTCCCTGGATTCCCGCATTGATGAGAAGTCTTCCTGAGTCAGTCCAGAAGATTCTTTCTCCAGACGTGGCACAACTGCTTGAATATGAACATGTAGGAAGCCCAAGGCACTTACGAATTTATAAATATTGCTTGCTAATTTGTTCTGTTGCTATAGCGCATTCGTGAGAAGATTCAATCTGTTCTTAACGTTAATCCTAGTTTAAAAAGCGAAAAACTAAGTGGGAAATCAACAATCTTCGATGTTGTTCGGGATAATCCAAAGCTTCCAGATTCCGAAAAGAAGCTCCAGCGCATGTCTGATGAGGGTAATGTATTGTTGATCGCTGCCACGGAAACTCCAGGAAAAGTACTTGCGCTGCTAACGTACCACCTTCTTGCCGATCCCATCAAGCTTGCACGTCTACGTTCAGAATTGGAGTCCATCGGCCCAAAGCCTAGTTTGAGGGAATTGGAAAGTCTTCCCTACCTTGTTGCTGTGGTGAAAGAAGGGTTACGCTTGCATGGTGGCGTAGTAACACGGTCCAAGAGAATAGCGCCGTACGATGCCCTCAAATGTGGGAAGTATACCATCCCTCCCGGAACGCCAATGAGCTGCAGCATCTATTTCATGCACTATGACCAGTCCTTGTTTCCAGAGCCATTTGAATTCCGACCAGACCGCTGGATTGATGCGGACGAAGCTACTAAGAAGCTCATGGAACGCCAGTTTGCTCCCTTTGGCCGGGGAACCCGCAACTGCCTGGGATACAACTTGGGAATGGCAGAGGTCTATATGACTATAGCTGCTGTAATAACAAAGTTTGACATGGAGCCTTATAAGACAACTCGCAAAGACGTTGACTTGGAGAGGGACTGGCTTATCCCTCAACCAAGCAAAGATTCTAAAGGTGTTCAAGTTCTAGTCACAGCAGCGCGTGGGGAATAAGATTCATAATTGAAATCTAGCTACATAACTTGGATTTATCATTCATTTCAATTACATCTTGGGAAAACAACTTTGTCCCGTTCGTTTTAACTCCCAGCATTAAAGTATTATGCCTATAACGCCCCATTCATATCAAACACGAGTTCCGGATAACAAGTTGTCAATATAAGCTGAATTTCATGATGATTAATATAAACATCTTATCCAAAATGTCTGAATGGTGACTCAATTCAAGAAGATGATAGTTTAGATCTTATTTATCTCACACAGGGTGGTTAAACAACCCCTACGAGCTTCATATTAGGGGTGTAATATTACCGCACAAGGGTGTGAAGACTGCCTTTGGATCGTAAGGTTTTCGTATAGATGGATGTGACAAATCTTAAAATATCGACAAAAAAAAGGCAATGCTATACGTGTCGAGACATTGAGTGAAGCTGACCATCCTGGATAGTCTCCCGATTCCATTAATACACTAAGATTATTCAATATTTTTGTGACACAGTCAATCGGAAAATCGCGAAGTCTGCTGAAATATCACCTCTTCAGAATTGCATCTCGATGCTTGAACCGCCCGTCGCGCTTGATCTGCTCATAAAAATCCCTTGCCCATCGCATGTGATACGGATCACCCAATTCTGTAAATAACGCAAGCGACCGTTCCTGATCGTGTAAATTCTCCGAATGATTAAATGGGGAATACATGTACCGTTTCTGGATGTCGGGCATGTCCTTGTCCCATTTCTGATCAACTGCATAGCGCGCGATTTCTACAGCTTTTCCGTCCGTGGCATATGCCTTTGCCGAGCCGCGGAATATATTGCGTGGCACTTGATCGAGAAGCAGAATGAGAGCTAACGCACCCATTCCATTATCCATTTGAATCCAAGCATCAATGTTGTTGTCCTTTGCTTCTTGGTACAAGTCACTGAGATACTTTCGAACGTACGCGTCGTCTTTGGGACCACCGTACCAAAAAGACTTTGGCTTGAGGTAATCCGGTGACCATTTTGGACTGAACCAGAAGTCAAGAACTTGTTGATATGTTCTGGCTGGCATTATATGTGTCTCATCGCCTTTTCACTCGAGTTGGGTTATCAAGGACATTTCGAGAGGGAGATGATGTCACTCACGATTTCGCTAATACCTAGCGCCAAGGCCGGATCAATCAGCGTGCTTCTAAGTATACATTCAGTGTGATATCTTGTCAATGCTTTATAACAGCCAGAGCCAATATATTAGGAAATTGTGCTTCAAGCGATCAAGCTGAAAATTAAAAAATTAATAAGCCAGTCACCATAGTGCAGATAATTTGGCCTTCTGTACAAAAGCCACGGCTATACTGGCGCTCAAGAAGCTATCTCATTCAAAAGAAAACGTGAAATTCAGAAGTGCAGTTACACTTATTCTCATTGAATAGATTATCATACAGTAAGCCAGCATCGACTTGAATTTGAGAGCGTGAATGGGAACACATCGTCTTGACAGAATTTCGAGGCTTAAATACATCAATTATGTAGATATAACTTCAAGAGAAATATAAGTTCTAAACACTGTACATTCATTAACATTGAAATATTGAAGATTTTTAATATCAATTTATGTACAAGTCACTCGCACCCAGTCAATTACCAGATATAAAGCTTAATATACAGATGTAGAAGACAAAATTCCCCACTCCATCATATCGCAATCCCAATGGGTGGCTCCTCATTTTCAACCTCAATCCTCGCATTCTGCGTCCTGATTATCATCCACATATCCACAGCCTGACACGCCATATAACCCGCAAACATCAACACCACCGTCCACTCCATGACAGCCGCCGTATCAAACGTCTTCAACCACCACGTCATAGTGGCAAAGAGAACTACAAGTCCAAACTCAAACGCTACGACAATGCTCTTAATCACCAGACTGGCCATTGATATGGGAATTGGAGCTAACGCGTATAGTTCGACGGTGAATTTGTCACCAGATAAGATTCCACCTGGTCCATTGAGAGACGTATTTTGCCGATGTTGGTGTAGACGGATAAACGTCCATCCACAGAGCAAAGAGCATCCAAGGATGTGTGACAGTATGCTGGCGGGCAGCAGGCGTCTGTGTACGACGCCGAAGCGTGCGGTGTCGAAGATGGTTAGGAGGATGAGGGCTACGGCACCGATAAGGGAGAAGAATGAGCTGAGGAAGGGGATGCCGATGCGCGTCAAAGTGGATAGAGGTGATGATTTTCGATTACCGGTATGCGGATGAGTCGGGCTCAGGAAGTAAAAGTAGAGCGCGATGGTGGGTAAGTAAGTGCTCATGGCGAGGGTGCTGCAGGCGATGAATACGGGTTTGAGGTTTTGTGCGCCAATGTCGGATATAAATCTATTCAGCGGGGTTAGATTCCGTGTGTAAGATGGGAGAGATATTAGCATACGCGATTGTCTGGGTGTCTTCTTCCGATACGTATCGTGGTTCGCCGGATGTGTACCAGGAGCCGAAGAGGACTGCCAGCATCGCTGTTGAAACATTAGCTAGATCTGGTTATCGGGATTTATGAGATGTATATACCTAGCCATGATATCACTGTGATAGTGGGAAAAATAATGGCAGGTTGCCATAGCAGCTGCAGGTCGTTCTTCATGTTTATGATAAGGAGAGAGTAGGTTCGGTGACGAGCAAGGCAATGGACCCCGGAAAATTAAATAGTTTTAACTGGTATAGAGACTTTTCGCATGGATGGAAGGTCAACTGATCGTGTAGCTCATGAACTGTGACATGCCAGGTCCGTGACGGTTTATCAATTCACGATCTTCGTATGAAGTGATACAATCCTGACAGTTTCCCAGCCTGTTGAACAACCCGACACAAAAAATTGTCCCAGGGTTTGGTGTTTACAGTGTTATATTTAACAATCGATCACGATAGAAATTTCTCAGTGGTTGAGATACTATCTGGTAAAAATGTGGCGGGTCGGTGTGTGGAATGCTTCATCCGTCGGGTGGAATGTAGTACTGATACACGTATTCGCCAGTCGCAAACGATACGACAGATAAAAATTAAGCCTTCCTGAGGAATGGAGGATTGTTGCTGTTATTAATGTGGCTAGGAACAGGCGAAATTATAACTTCTCAACCCTAATCGTACCAGATAGCATTCATTCCAAATCCCTTCTCTGGAATATCAACTCTTGCAACTCGCGCCAGGAGCTCGTCCTTGAATCGATAAACCTCAACAAATCCGTCCTGGTCATCGCACAATGCAATCCACTCGTCGCTCCAGTCGCACGGACTAACTGCATTCGAATGCCCACCGCTTGTCGATGTCGGGTTGATGAATAACTGTTTCTCGATGTTGCCTTCCGGACCAAGCTTGAATGCGCTGATATACCCATGCACGTCGTTATGGTTGGACCTCGATGTTGCAAACAGATACTTTCCACTGTGCGAGGGAAAGACAACGTCAGCGCGATATTTGTTGCGCGGTGGCAGTCCGGGTGGAATCAACGGGTAGATCAAACGTGTGAAGACTGGAACATGGCGTTTCTCGTCAATTACATATACTGCCAGCCGGTTGCCTGCTTCCATGAGTGCGTATAGATAGTGACCGCTTGGATGAATGGCAACCCATCGTGGATGGTCACCAGGTGCTGGGGCGTCAACGCTGTCAACCAACTCTAATTTTCCCGTCTCGGGGTCTTTCTTGTGTGTCCAGATTTTGTTGGCGCCCATGTCTGCTGAGTACAGGTATGTCTCTGTGGGATCAAACACCATGCCGTGGATCCCTGAGTTGGGGTCTATTTCAAAATTCTGAATGTTTTGATTGATCTTGCCTGTGTCGGTCACGGAGAATACATTGCCGAAGCCAGCGTACTTGTAGAATGGGTTTCCGTAGACATTGTATGGTGGTTTATGCGCAGCCAGGACAAATATGGCTCTTGTGTTTGTTTCAGAAGAGGAAGCAAGGGCTGTTTCGTCAGCAGGTCTTTGACCAGTTCCAGGTATTAGTCTTACGATGTCCTCCCATGGGATGCGACACTTCATGAACAATGTCGGTGGGACTGCGCACGGAAAAGCTGGACCATTTCTTCATAGCGGCACCGTAAATGTTTTGCTTGGTATGCTATTGCAGTCAGTATTATCCTAATGACTAGATTGGTACACATACATCGAATGTCATCCATGAAATGGGTTCGTTTTCGGGGATCTCAGTCTTTTTAATCAATTCCAAGGTCAGTGCTTCGTCGTCGAAGGCGACGGTGTATATCCGGCCTGGCGGCGTCCAGGTGCCGATCATGAGGTGGTGCAACATTTTGGGCCTTGGTATGAATCTATTTACGCATAAATCATGCAACATTAAAAGACATGGAAATTATAACAAAAGAAAAGAAGGACAGCATAGACTATGAATGTGAATCTGATGCCGACGGCAGACCCGAAAGCAACAGCCGGGCTCCACTGCGGGGAAGCATTCCTCCGCTTGCTAAATATATATATATGTATATGTATATTGCGATATACATATTTAGGGTTATTTGGATGTGTTTATATTGCATATTGGTCATATTATTTAAATACAGAATTGTAAATTAAATTGTAGCAATTAAGCTCTCTCTTGTTATTATTCATACATATAAATTGTCGACCCTCCCTTCAACAATATTACATGTATCATAATGTTAAAATATGCATACGAGATCACGACATCCGTCTCGCCGCCATGATAAAACAGACGCTCATAATACATAAATCGATAATATCATCAAAAACGTCAAGTATACTTGCAGAATATATATCCCTGCGAGTAGCCGCTATGCCTGTTCCTGCGGCGGCAAAGGTCATGTCCGCCCTTTAGCCGAACATTCGGATGAGGGAGTTTCGCTGTATTAATAATTCTTAGTATTTATTGATGGATATTGATAATAATTGCTGGATGTGCATTATTGAGTGGAATTTGATTAATATTTTAATAAGACCCAAGCCTGTATTTACTGACCCCGCCCCCGCAATGAAATGTTGCGGCTTCTCCGGGTTTGCTAGTCTTCGGTCTTTCCTCCAACAACGATACTTGTCTAGGCAGATTGCAACATCCGAATTGTATTAAAAATAACCAAACCTACCGGCTTACTATACGACTCGCCTCTCACAATGCGCCTTCACTACGCCCCCTCGACGGCTCCCACCACCAAGCCGGACGGCACGCCCCTCACCCCTGCAGAACAAGAATCCACGGCGGACGTCTACACACGTATCGCTGCTCGACGACACCCTCGCCCTCTAATCCCGCTTGACCTTACCTTTCTCCACACGCCGCCTGTTGCGGATGGATACAATGCATTCGTTGGAGCGATCCGCAATAACACGGTGATACCCCAGGACGTGCTGGAGCTTTCGGTGTGTCGCGTCGCGGTGCTCAACCAGGCAGTCTATGAATGGAACGCGCATGCGCCACTGGCACTCAAAGCGGGCGTGACGACAGCGCAGTTGGACGAGGTGAAGCGGTTGCCAGCGTCGACGTTCACGGCAGATGGGGCGCTAATTGCCGAGCGATTGCCGGGCAGTGTGTTGACGGAGGTGCAATGGGATGTCCTGCTGTATACGGATGCGATGACGAAAAATGTCAAGGTGGACGATGCTGTGTTCGACGCCGTCAAGCAGCGGTTCAGTGAGCGAGAGGTGGTGGAGTTGACGGCGTGCATTGGGGCGTACAACATGGTGAGCCGGTTCCTGGTCGCGCTGGATGTGGGGGAGAATAACAACAAGAGGATGAAGGAGGCGGCGGAGATCGAGGGCGGGGAGCCCTAGCCCTAACCCTAGCCCTGCCCTACACCTATGCCCTAAGCATAGCTAGCAATGCCCTAGCCCTGACATGTGACCCGCAACAAAGGCAGTGAGCCACAGTTAAAACACATTTTATAACGGGCAACTGGCCGAAGAATGAATAATAAAACGCCAATTAGTCTCTTGGCATCAACGCAATAGCCACAGGATTTAGTCTTAATATTTAACCCTAAGATGTATGTATCTGCATGGCAGACCCACAGCACCGCCGCATGGTGACCCGAGCACCTGCTGGACAACTGAAATCCAACCTCACATCAACTGTCGATACAGGCAGTTGTGATGCTCAGTTGGAGGTTCTTTTGCGGAAGGAGGAGTGGCCAGGAGGTGTACAGAGGGCGGGCATGGACGATGTGGTGGCTGTCCACAGTGGGCATTTCCGAGCGCTGAAATGGCACCCAGCGCGGCGATGCCATCTTGTATGAGGGATTTTCCCCAGCCACACGCTTGGAAGTCGACGCTGGCCCAAAACAGCCCCCGCTGAGCCTGCCCTCGCGGCGCTGCAGCGGCTGGAGAAATAGGAAGTCCCTTGCGGGCTGGTTGTCAGGATTGATGACAGCCTGCAGAGGCATACAGCTAGCTGGCCCTCGTATCATCACATATCATACCCTCTTTTACTAGCCGAACGAGTCATTGACGCTGCAGATCCACCGCCCACACGTCGGCGTCGTATCGGCGCATATCAAATTCTCGATGCCGTGTCATTACTGCCAGATTCGCTTCCTAAGACTCGTACGACGCCGATGGCCTTGATATCAGACGATGCTATACATCGACACTGCTGAGCGCCAAGCAGGGGGATCGCCGGCCGCCGGCAGCCAATCAGCAGGGCGAATTGGCTGCACAGTCCGTGTCCGGTACACTGTAGAGGGTAGATGCGAGATGGTGGTTAGTAGAGTTGCAAGAAGATCGATCCCCGCAGCAGCAGCAGCATCATCCGAGTTAGGCGCCGTAAGCAGTGCGAAGGAGCAGGCAGACGATCGTCGACTAACAGCCAACTAACTAGTTGGTCGCAAGTGTACGTACTGAGTACTGCCACGCGCAACTGCCACGGCTTGGGTGGGCAGCTTGGCGGCTCCACCCGAGCGCTGTTCCTGCTGCTGTGCCTGCGCTGCTCTGCTCTTGCCTGCTCTATTATTTATTTTATCTCGCCTCTCGTCCTCCTCTCCTCTCCTCGACTTCTCATTCCTCACCTCCCATCTCCCCCCGGCACCGTGTTCACCATGATCTTTGTTCTCTAACACACGTAGTGATGCTCATCGACGGTGAGAAGTGGGCTTGTGAAGCTTGCGTGCGAGGCCACCGCGTGTCAAGCTGCCGACACCATGGTGCGTCTACACCTGGTCCCCGCTGATATGCTTTTAACCTTGACTTTGACCATGACTGACGGCAATGCCATGCCAGATCGACCATTGATTCGAATCAACAAAAAGGGCCGGCCGTTCTCTGTCTGCTGTATTTGTCGCGGTCCCTGCACGGACCGAGAGGAGCATAGCAAGCTCAACCGCGACAAAAAGTCTGATGGTGAGAGCGATAGCAAATTCTCTGGAAAAGTATTGCGAAACACTCGGCAACGCGGTGGCACTATTTAAATAAGCAAGGACGGCAATCTGGTGTATCGCTAACTCGTCGCATAGAACCACAAAGCAGCCGCCCGACGTCGAATCCACCCCTCCTCATTCGCACGCATTGCACCACATCCTGCAACATCACTCCCGTCTACAAATGAGCAATTTATCTCTACCAGCCAATCCACCCGTCGTCCAACAACCCAGTCCGCCACCGCCCAGCGATACTCGCCACCCCTGCTTCCGTCCACCGCCAGCTCCCGCTCCCGGTCGCGCTCGATGGCCACGCGGCCGCCGCCAACCACCAGCTTCGAAATGTCGACTACGCACATGGCCGCGACCGCTGCGCCCGTGGTGTCCGCTCCGCTGGGCTACCCGTACGTGACGTTGCCGACCATGGAGGAACCGCTCCTCCAGCCCGCCCATCCTTTCCCGTCGCCGTATCCGGATGATATCATGTTTGGATCGCTGTCTGACAGCAGCTTTGTGCCGGACTCGATGTATTCTGGATTCGAAGACGTGGACGCTCTTCCAGAAGACTGGTCTACATTTTTCTGGAGTGAATGACTTATGACTTTTTTTTCTTCTTTTTCTCTTCTATTGCTGTATCTATCTTATGTCCTGTCGCTGGTGAGAGCACAGCATCACGTTGCGTTTCGGCGGCTTCATGTCTAACAGGCACTGCAAACAAGACTGGTCTTGGCAGTTTTCTCGCTGAGGAAGCTGGGTTCGATGCTCATGGGAGTACCGGGCTATAGAGTCGTGCTTATAGAGATAGAAAGTCATTCCTTTTATTCCCCCATCTGCGTATTGTATCAATTGGTGTTGTGTAGTGCAAAGAGCGGTGATGGAACAGCGTAGCCGAGGCCGACGGTGCGTGGCGCGTGGCGCGTGCGCGTAGGCGCTGGTGGTGGACAGCACCAGGATTGATTCCATTAGCAATAAGAATAATACTAATTGAGAGCGAGAAACAGACCGATTAGAATCGATCGGCTATGAGGCATTTTCGTGCCATTTCTCTCTTTCTTCCCCCGAATTGGTATGCCGAAATTAGATGTGTTTCCATTATCCACCAGTACTGCTACTCTATCTCTTGGTACACTTGCCAGCGGCTACTGTATAGTGTGGATGTTCATTCAGTGTCATTTCATTTCATATTCAGACAGACCCATCGACTGAAAAAGCCGCATCCCGATGAAGAAAATTTATCCCCTGCTACATGTGTCAGGACGACTATCTGCTGCACGGAACATGAATAATTAGGTGAATGCTGGCTTGTGTATCGGTATCTGTAGACGAGAGCTTGGACCAGGCAGGGGTGTCAGTGTATAGCCTAATGGCCACTACCGAAAGCCACCACCAAAAGCACCGTCCTGTCACGACGGTGCAAGACAGAAAGGCGGGCAGGCTGCCCCACGTGGAGAAGCGACGGCCTAATAGCCGGGCTAACAGTTGCTTAGTTAGAATAACAAATACCGTGATTTGTTAGTCAGTATACTACCGAATTACGGTATTTGTTAGCTAACCAAGCAGTATGATGCTTGTTATCGGACGAGGGCATTGGCTGGGTGATGTCATGTCACAGGCATCGCATAGATCGCCTGCTGGTCTGGGACAAAGCTGGAAATCGCGTCTGCACAGCCTCCAAGCCAAGCAAAAAAAAAAGGCTGAAAATGAAATCTTCCTGGCTAGCGGCGATCATGTGGAAGAAGCCGAACCATGGATGCCCCTCCCAACTCCAGAAAGAGGAGAAGGAGGAAAAAGCCTCATATTAAATCATGCCCGTAGTGTAGTGCGAGTTCACGGGTGCCTTAGGGCCTTGGGACAGCAGCCACGATCTCGTGCTGGTCAGAGCCAGAGCAGATCCGGCGCGTCTGGTTGGCTGCGGGCAATTCCCTCATGCTTACGACATGCCTCAGTCCTCAATCCTGCTCGCCAGCGCCACCTACAATGGACGGCCGTCTTTTGAGAATTGGTGATAATTATTCTCTCATCCCCGTCACGCTGGAGTGCCCTCAAGATGATTCTGCATTTATGACCCTCGCCGTGTCACTCGCGCGTCTCGACGCCGTGGAGCAAAAGCGATTTTAGAATTTTGAGAATTCATATCAGGTTGCACGAGTTTCCTTGATTTGGGCGGCTTTCTCGTCATAGCAGTTTCGTTTGCAATTTCATTCTTCTCTTCTGACTTGCCTCATCTCATTATCTTCTTCTCCCAAAAGACCAATCCCTGCGAGACAAATGGCGAGAATCAAAACCGCCGTGAATGTCGAAATCGGATTGAAGCCATACTCGACACCCAAGGACACAAAGTTCACGCCTCTCCACGATGGCTCGCACTCGCATCGTCTCTACGACGGGCGCCGGCACGACGGGTTGCTCGATCTCCTGCAGGACAAGCTGAAAGCGATGAAAGAAGCTTCTCGGACAAGCAAGAAGGAAGGTGAAGACGACAATGAAATATTGCCTCTCCTCCGACTCGAGTCCTTTTTGATGCCACAGCCGCCAGTACTCCTAGCACGCCATCCCTCCAGTCTCAGCGGCAGCCCACCAAAGGGCGAGAATGTCTCGCTCAAACAGCTCTATGGAACGTACAAAGAGCAAATTGGCCGGGGCTCCTCTGGCGTAGTCCGTGTTACCTTCCGTCCTCATTCCATCGACCATCCGACTGGGGGCCAGCTGTTTGCTGTCAAGAAATTCTCGCACCGCGAAAAGGAAACCACCAAGAAATACATGAAGCGTCTCGGTGCCGAATTCTGCATTTCGTCTAGCCTCCATCATATCAATGTTATCCAAACTCTCGACCTCATGAAAGATGATGGTGATGGTGGATTCTGTCAAATCATGGAATACTGCTCTGGTGGCGATGTTTATACTCGCGTACGTTCCTTGGGTGGCGACGGGCTTTCCGCTGTGGAAGCGAACTGCTACTTCAAACAACTCCTGCGCGGGCTGGAATATCTCCACAAAACGGGTGTTGCCCATAGAGACATCAAACCGGATAACCTTCTCCTGACACGCCGCGGGTGCTTGAAAATCGCGGACTTTGGAAATGCTGAATGCATTCGGTTACCTTGGGAAAAGCAGGTGAAACTGACTACTGGCTTATGCGGCTCGTTCCCGTATATTAGCCCAGAACAGTATACCGTAATTGAATACGGGAAGCCGAAATCATCGTATTATTTCGATGCTCGTGCTGTAGATGTATGGGCAGCGGGCGTGGTGTATATGGATATGAGGACGGGCAAGCACGTCTGGCGGTACGCTGTCGTAGATCGTGATGCCCAGTATGAGGAGTTTGTGCGAGATATGGAGGAATATGGCTGCTGGGATCCTATTGAGATGCTGCAAGGGGTAGGCCCAGTCCACTGCTTTTAAACTGTTAGACAAATGCTGACAGAAGTCTCCAGGCTGCCTGTCGACAGACCATCTATGCTATGCTCGACATTAACTGGAAGACCAGACCGAGTGTGTCGGATATCCTTAAATCCGACTGGGTCAGTAGCGTACATGTTTGTGCGGTGGGAGAATCGGGTGACTCGATGTAGACATCTTGATGTTTATTTCTCCTTACGATGTGATGACCAGCGGCGCGTATTTGTTGATACCATTTGAAATATATAAGAATTTACTTACGCTTATCATCTATCTAAGCTCAACTAGAAAAAGCAAAGCAAAGCAGACTAGAGACGCATTCGGATTTACCTCCGCCGAGCTGCTCCGCACTTTCGGAACACCGCCCGACATAGCTTCCCCGCAATACGTTGGCATAAGTAGGAGACATGGCAATAGAAAGTTGTCTCATTTTCAATATTTGTAAATAATATCGACGAACAGCTTACTTGACTGTACACTACCCAACATGTCGTCGATCAAACAAATGAAGAATCCCTCGTGGTTCCTCTCCGGCCCTCACTCAGCCGACATCAGAGACCATCTCCCCGCATCTAATGATATCCCCCAGATCAAAGACCCTCATGATGTGCTCATTCAAATCTCTTATGTCGGAGTTTGTGGCAGTGATGTACATAACTCCCCTCTATCTTATGTTGAACAAGCTCACCCGACTATTCAGGTCCACTTCTGGCAACACGGCGGCATCCAAGTCTTCGTCTCGCCCTCCTCCCCCTTAATTCTCGGCCACGAGGCCTCTGGAACAATCGTCTCCGTGGGATCCAGCGTGACATCCATCATACCCGGTGATCGGGTTGCCATAGAACCCGGCTTTCCCTGTCGCCGATGCACATACTGCAAAAAAGGGAAATATAACCTATGCGCCGAGATGCGATTTGCTGCTGACCCTACACACAATCAGCACGGAACGCTGACTAAATACTACCTTGCCCCAGCCGATTTCGTGTTCAGGCTACCAGACGACATGTCCCTGCAAGAAGGCGTGCTGGTCGAGCCACTCAGTGTCGCTGTGCACACCGTACGACATCTCGGACTACGCGCCGGTGAGGATTTAGTTGTCATGGGAAGCGGCACTATCGGCCTCCTCAGTGCGCGAGTCGCGCGTTCCTTTGGCGCTGGCAGAATTGTGCTGTGTGATGTTTTGCCAGCCAAGTTAGAGTTCGCAAAGGGTTATATTGAGAATTGTGAGACTTTTCTTTTGAACAAGGACGCGAGTCCCGAAGATGAATCCGAAAGACTACGAAATACTCTATTCTCCGCTGCGAAGGCTAGTTCCGATGAGGACTCGCGCGGAGTAGACAACGTGATTGAAGCCTCCGGTGCAGCGAGCGCTGTCCAGATCGGCATTTACATTCTCCGCCCTGGGGGCTCGTACATCCAGGCAGGCATGTCTGGGCGTATGAAGATCGAGTTCCCGATTAATGCATTTGGGGCGAAAGAGTTGAACCTGAAGGGCTGTTTCCGGTATGGACCGGGAGATTATGAGTTGGCCATGAAATTGTTGACGGCTGGGAGAGTGGCTGTTAAGGATTTGATTAGTTCCGTCACGCCATTTGAGAATGCTCCGGATGCGTGGGAGAAGACCGCGCGGGGGGAGGGAATCAAGAATCTGATTGAGGGAGTGAAGGGTTGATATCTGTTGGTGTTGGTGCTGGTCTGGTGGCATATTACATTTGTTGGTTTATATCTTCCTTGCTTATGACTTGTCAATGGCAGCAGCGTATCAAGACACTAATGAAATTAATGTAGATATGAGTCACACCGGGATGCGAAGTAGAATGATTCTCCCACACGGACTTGGGTACAACCAACCCCTCATTTGCTCCGTTCTATAATCGGTCTATTAATAATATTTTCGGCATGAAGTTTCCACATCCAGCTATAAAAACACCGACCTTCCCACAAAACAACCCAGGTAAGAAAGTATAATTTTGAAAAATGTCTGTATCATCCTGCTGCATCTCAGGCTTCACCTGGCAAGGTACTCCCACCGGCCGCACCGACAAGCTCGCCAACAACGACGTCTACATCGCCGGCGACAACCCAGACGTCGCCATTCTTTTCGTTGCCGATCTGTTCGGCTGGACATTCCCCAATGTCCGTCTTCTCGCAGACCACTTTGCCCGCGAAGTAGGTGCAACAGTCTATGTCCCGGATTTTTTTGGCGGCGAAATCTTGTCTCCTGAGCTCCTCGCCGCTGACAAGTTCGACCAACTCGATTTGCCCAACTTTCTGAGCAGAAATGGCCGAGAACCACGCGAGCCGGAAATCTTCGAGTCGGCGCGTGCTTTGAGGCAGCAGCTGGGCTATAAAAAAGTCGGCGCTGTTGGGTACTGCTACGGCGGGTGGGCGTCATTCCGCCTTGGTGCCAAGGAGCATGAAGCTGCGCCGTTGGTAGACTGTATTAGCATCGGCCATCCATCGCTATTAACCAAGAAGGATATCGACGAGATAGCTGTGCCCGCCCAAATTCTAGCGCCAGAAATCGACCCGGTATATAATGCGGAGCTCAAATTGCATACTTTTCAGACGCTTCAGAAAGTGAACGTCCCGTTTGCCTATCAGCATTTCCCAGGTGTGGCTCATTCTTGCTTTATTCGTGGAGATGAGAATAAGCCGGGTGAGAGAGCGGCTATGGTCAAGGGAAAGAATGCTGCTGTTGCCTGGCTCAGGCAGTATTTGAAAGACCAGTGATTTCGAGGGGTAGAATCAATACCGTTCAATTTTCACTATTCATCAGTTGGAATTGCCCTTTTTTTTTTTTTTTTATATATATATATATATATAGAGACTTGGTAAGGAATACAATTAGAGCCAGGACATGCCATGCCTCGTGTCTTTTGCATATTTAAATACTTATCCTACTGCACGCTCTTTCCACGCTGCACGCTTGCGGTAAATGTCCTTCCGGAAAGTCTGCTTCAGCTCTTCCATCACCTTGATGTCTACCGGCTGTGTGGCCTGGACAGCACCCATACCGCAAAGGTCGTTCTTGCGGTCGATAAACCAGGCGAGGGTCAGCCCACCGCCCCATGACATTGTACGTTCACCATACCAGCCATCCACATCTTCCAGCGTGATCAGGCCACCCAGGCCGTAGCCCATCTTCGTTTCGGGGTCGACACCTACGCGAAAGAATACGCCCTTTTGAGGGCTGACCAGCTCAGCCTGGTGCCTAGCCGTCGCTTCGGGGCTAAGATGGTGCTGGAACATGTCGTCGACGGTAGCAGGTTTGAGTACTTTGCCGTCGTTGGCAAGTAGAGAGTGGAGAATCTTGACATAGCTAGCACCAGACATAAACAATCCATGGCCACCAAAGTCCCCATTCGTGCGCTTATTCATATCCCCTCCGCCGCCGAGCACGGCGCGACCGAGTGCATCAGGGTCTTGCGGGTTAAGATCGACCAGGCGGGAGCGCAAGTCCTCCCGCGTAACAGGGAAGAATTGGGCGTCGGAGATGCCAAGCGGGTCGAAGATGCGCTGCTGCATACGCTCTAACAAAGTGTGACCTGTCACCCGCTCTACTATGCGGCCCGCCCAGTCAAGCCCGGGACCATACATCCAGCCAGCGCCGGGTTGGAAGCCGAGCGGGTAGCAGAACAGTTCCTCAACCCGGCGCCGATTGTCTTGATCAGACTGTGCGAATTTCTCGCGCCACCGGGCGATGAGCGGGTTGAAGAAATGGTAGGATAGGCCGGAACTATGGGTCAGCAGCATTTCAAGCGTGATGGGTCGCGCTGCCGGCTCGAGTTTGGGGGTATCGTCATCGTTGAAGCCGGTGATGACCTGCTGCACAGCAAATTCTGGTGCAATGGACGATAGGTCCCCGGTAAGCGTTAGCAGGCCATCATCGACGCACTGCAGGGCGGCGATGGAGGCGACTAGCTTGGTGGCTGAGGCTAGGAATAAGACATCATCTAGTTGCTGCGGGCGCTTCTCGCCTGAGAGCAGGGTACGCTCGCCAATAGACTTGTTGTAAACAAAACCGCCTTCGGTGTCCGTTGCACAGATAACTGCGCCGTTGATCTTGCCAGCATCGATGGCGGCCTGGAAGCTAGGCTCGATCCCGTCGGCCATACTGCAGAGTATAATCGACTAGTTCTGGGTAACAGGGAAGTGCACAGTTAAATTTAATCCAAAAATTTTGTAACTGTGTCTTGGTTGTGTCCCCGTGTTTTATTCGACCCCATCATTCATCAACTTGGCGCGCGCGACGGGTTTCGGAATAGTCTCGCAAAACCAACACCGTTTACTCTACCAGCCATTGGATCGAGGAGAATCGCCAGTTAAGTAACCTGAATTTGCAGTTCATTTCATGCTGTTGTGCATCGCGAAGAATGTCCAGAATATTGGATGTATGCGGCATGTCCTTCCAGTCTTTTCTTTTTAGGGCCTCCGGTTGGTTGTCCTGATGAACTTCCTGATTCGGAAAGAGGGGTTACTCGCGTAAGCCAACTGTGTTGCACAGTGTAGTACAAAATCAATAGTAGGCCCTCCTATGTTGACTCTATCAGCTTGCCTGAAAGTCCTCTTCGACTGTGAAACTTTTATAACATCATATACAAATTGATGGTTATATCATCACTAAATTAATACTGTCACCACAGGTGCTATATAGGTATCACGAAAAAGAATCATAGACATAAGACAGATAGCTGTACCGGACGTAGTACCCGGTTATTTCGTCACAACTTTGACTGATAGATTCATGCTCGACCACGAGATCTATGGGTCGAAGTCGATATTTAATGTCCACCCTCCTTGACTTCACTAACTGGAGCTTCTGCGCTGGCCTCAATGTCTTCGACGCTGGCCGCGCGACTCTTTCCCAATCCTTTGATCGTTAGGGCGAAAGTCTCCTCGTCGAGCCCGTACATGTACCAGTAGTAACCACCTATTCTGTACGTTAGTTATAATGTATTAGGCAGCGAAAATACTCACCGCAGAACAATCCTCCACCGATAATGTTACCAATCAAAGTCGGGATGATACCCTTCCAGATATACAACCCAACGGTGATGTCAGGGGCATCCAACCAAATAGCCATAGGGATAAATGTCATATTGGCGACAACGTGGTCGAATCCAAGAGAGACGAAAGCGAAAATAGGCCACCAGATACCGATCACTTTGCTAGCAAGATCGCGCCCCTGGATACCAAAGAAACACGCCAAACAGACCAACCAGTTACAGCCAATTCCGCGGAGGAAGACTTCATGGAAATCTGGCGTGACTTGCTTCTTTGTGGCAAAATTGATAACTTCAGTGCTGTACGGAGCGGCTGAAAGTACCTCGCCGTAACCGAGGATGATGGAGACAACGAAGAGAGAACCGCATAGGTTTCCCCAGAAGGTGACGAACCAATGGATGAGCATCTTGTACCAAGGGAGACGTTTTTGGAGAGCTGCGACAGTGGTGAACTACCGAGTATTAGTCTAAATCTGCTGATATTGAGGATTCAGTTGTCATACCATAAAAGACCCAGTGCATAGATCTGCCCCTGTAAGAATGATCATGCACAAACCGTACGGGAATACGAGGGCGCTGATGGTGCGAATCAAACCAGGGGCATTCTCCTGCCACCAGGGCGCGGTGTTGGTGCTTAGAGCAGTTGCACACGCAAAGGCGAGAAAACAGCCAGCGGAGACGGAGCTAAAGAATACTTTGTCCAGGCGCATGTTTCCCTTCTGCACCCCAGTGGAAGTTATCATCTCAACCACTTCGGTAGGTGTGAGGGCATTGACGGTGATGCTCATGTTGGCGTGGGTTTCTCGGCTAGGCCTGTCTCCGCTTAGCGATATGGATGCTCTTGATATTTGAAAACGTGAACACGAATCTCTGGGCATCGAGGTTCTTTAAATATTCACCCCGAACAGCTTTCCCATTATCGACCTGAGGCTTGCTTGGTATGCTTGGCATGCTTCCGGCGCATACTGCATCAATAGCTCATGCAAGGTCGGTGGGTCATAGAGGCACAGACGCTTATCGCCTATGATCTCTCGTCGAGTTATTGCTAAAATCAACACTTGAACCTGCCAAGACGGAGAATCCTGTAATCATTTCAAAAACTCCCCGCGCTTTCGAAATAGCTTGTATACGCTTCAACATCAAAGAAGTAGTGTTTGCATTAATTTCCCCAAAAATGAGCATGGGTTCTTGGATCAGGCCAATCAAAGCGCCCGGAAATTCTTATCAGTTGAATCTGAATGACAGCAGGGAACGACGATCTTCAATCCATACATCTCCGCGGAATAAACGCTGATGGTCTTCGCACCAATGACAAGGTCGGAAAATCGGTTCATCAAATTTTATGCTTATCAGGAGACTAAACCACGTTCCCGGATTCAGTAATCACGAATCTTTCCCTTGGAGATAAGAAGTAGTCGTACGCCAGTAACTCCGTACGTTGTCGTCTTTTTGCCTGATTGCTTTTCTGGCTGTATGTCTATTGGCCCTACACATTCATCCATTGACAAGGTTAACCAAATTAGTGCCGAGACGCAAAAAAATGACTATGCTGGCCGTCGCTTGTATAAGCGTTAGTCGGCCGTTGATGAACTACGCGGTGCTCTCAGCTAATAACTGTTCTTTGCATGGAATAGCAGCCTCAATTGGACTGCGCTGAGCAGCAGACAAATCCGCTGGTTGCATTTTCCCCAGATACGATCTTTTGATAGAACATACATGTAAAGCGAACCAAACCGCTTCAGACCAGGGCCTTGGTTTTGATATGCTACATTGGTTGCGCGAACAGTCAGCCGGTTGCGCATGGGATTTACTTTTTAGCGACAACTTATATGAAAAAAATGCAAAACCAAATGAGGATAGATATAGCTAATATAGAAGACTCTCCCTTCAAAAAGGGCCATTTGGAGAGATTACATATATTAGTGGTCAGAGTCGAAAAGACTCGGAGATGTTCGAAATTATAAAAGCCTACATGGAAACAAAGATAACAGGAGAAATGGAAACCAAATCAAAGTATACACTTTGTTAATCCCACGAATTCGGGCAGGCGGTATAGCAAGTCATTTGCCACGCAGCACTGTCTCGCTTCATTTCTCCATGTGCACTTTTTCTCTATCCGGTTCCAATTCCTAGAACTTTTTATATTTAGACTATATTCTGGATTTATTTATTTAGCAGCTAGCGAGCTTCTACTAGGAGGCTCCAGGCGAAGCCGTTCTTTTTGATTTACGACTGTAATTCTTATTGCATCGAGACAATGCTATTTCTTCATGTTAAAAACACCGTTAATCAATTTGATAAGTCTATTTGCTATATTTATTTCTTTACACCGAACTATGATTTACGTCAAAAGACAATTGCAGGCGATGTTGAGTCATAGTGAGGTTGGGAATCGACCGTTTTGATATTCTGAATTATTGAACGCTAATAAAATTTCTTTGGTTCCCGCACCAGTAGGCTACATCAATTGATCCTTTGAAATATTATGTCTATAGAGAAGCTGCCAGCTTTGGGGTGTATATATTCATTGCCGTTCAATATAAACTAACAACATTTTGATCCTCATGCCCTAATATACATGCGAAGTGTTGATATTTACATTTCTTCCACATAGTGATTCGTCAAGACTTCAAATCTCCACCATCTTTTCCTGACCCTTGTCATTATTGCTAAAGGCCGAAAAAATCGCCGCTCGGGTGGTCTTGCGTGTTTTGATGAAGCATGCTCACGATACCTCATCAGTTTGATTAACCACATCTTAAGCACTTATTTGATGTGTTCGTTGACGATTTGCTGACCCCGGTTATTCAACGTGGTGGCTTCATTCTTGTTCTTGCCCTCCTGGACGGCCTTAACAATGATAACACCGCTTCTTGCGTTTCTGGCAGCTGTATACTGGTGGCTTGACCAAACTCCGATGTTTTGGATCAAGTCATCATCCTTATCATCGGGAATGGATCCACCGGCTTTTTGTTCCCATTTGCCCTTTTTAGAGATACCGCCGGTTTTGTCGTAGGCAGTGTAGGTGACTCTGCCTGCGAAGACCTGGCTGACCAGCAGGAAAACTGCAACGGTGAGAAACTTCAAGTTGTACATTTTGGAGATTTCTTTTGATGAAATTTTTGTTTAACGGTGTTGTCAGGTGGGTTTTGAAATGAAGGATAAGACTGTTGTTGCTCTTCTTTCTGCTTGGGTTGATCTGGATAGTTAGTATTTGTCGTGGTACTTACTCTCCTCTTTATAGTTTCGTTCTCCTTCATCTGGGTATGATCCTCGAGTCAGCATGGGGGCTGTTTGACATTAAGCCCACTGACAAATTTCCCGGATCAGCATCATCAAGCTTGGTCATGTTTGTTGGTCATGTTTGTTGGTTAGTTTGTTGGTTAGTTTGTTGTGCGTACTGGAGTTGCACTAGTAGTGCAATTCAAAAAAGGTTTAATGGGGCCTTATTTTACCGATCCACACATATAGACTTCACACAGATTTACAAGGTAACTAGAATTTTATGTATGTACTAATTAAATCTACCTATGTACCTTCAATGTTAAACCAGAAAGCTTGATTGTGATATCACTTCACTTATGTTCCTATAGTAGAACATCTACTGATACTAACGTGGAATAAATAATCCTTTAAGAAAGTCTTCTTCGGTGTGTCACCAGTGAACTTCGAACCATAAATAACTAAATTTAGAACATATTATGAGGGAGGACATCTGTTCCAAAGCTTGTTGAAGTGTGGATCCACTCTCTGCTATGATTTTTACGCGTCTGACACATGGGGGCCATAAGATTTTAAACCCATTTTGGTAGATGTAGCAATGACTAGAGGTCTTATCCAAAGACAGCTGGTCAGAACTCTAAGAGTATTAGGTGATCTACCTCTCGAATCATAATTTCCGGTTGATCTGCCGAACCTTTCTAGCAATCTATTATGACGAATGTCTTTTTCGTTTTCAATGATGTCAATTGATCTTACATACAAGTATTGATATTTTCGCTCTTTCGATATGCCAATTGACATTTTCTTCAGATGCTGCAACTTAATGGCAACTTTAATTCTCCTTTATATTCTCTCATATAAATGTGTTAGTCTCACAGGGCCATTGAATGCCATCATAACTGGATTTATTAGTCATGAGTTTTGTAAAAGCTGACCAGGGGCTGAATTAGTCATTCTCCACTAAACTGTATCCGCTCTCCTGCTCGAGCCTGAGGCTCCAGCGTTTCAGCAACTGTCAATACCCCACTTGCGGCTTGGGCGATCTGCTCTCCGCTTGGATCGTTGTTTTAAGAACAAATTAAAATGAAAAAAATGAAACTGGCCCCGACCCGCTGCGAAAGGCCAACTTCATTGAAGTCAATTTGGTGACTGCTAGAATTCGGATCATATCTGGTTGGCGCAAACCCCGCTGCTGACACCATCAGTGCGACGGTGATTTCGCAGTGTGAGCCTGAAAAGATACATTTCGTACACCCTCTTTGAATATCCAACTCATCGTCCTTCTCACTATATCCCTCAATCCCACACATATCACAGAACTCAGGCACCTTAATAATAAATCATCACGTATGGCTCCAACTACGTTTTCTCTCTTCCCCTGCCTCCCCACTGAGCTCCGCCTCCAGATATGGCGTGAGGCTCTGCCCGAAAAACTTGGAAACCCATTGTACTTTTATAAAAAGGGATGTTGGGGCCCTCGGCATCTAACTGAAGCTGACGAAGAATACGATCCCAACAATGAGGAGAATAATCTGAACTTCGAATTCCATCATGACCGCTTGGACCCTCTCCACGTTGAAGTTCCGCTATTTTTTGTGAACCAAGAAGCCCGCAGTTTTGCCTTGAGCTGGATTAGTGAGCAGGGCCTAAAAACCCGCTTTGATAAAGAGAAGCAGTCCTTAGTCTTTATACGCCCATTTGATCCGCAACGTGATACACTCTATGTCTCACAGGAAAAATGGGATGAATTTCACTGCGAGCCATTCGATCGAGTATTTGAAGCAGACCTCGAGAATAAAAACATTGGTACTCCCGCTCCAGTCTTCACTCGTCTTGCTGTGTCAGATGAACTACTTTTAAAAGAACCGGATGCCCTGGAGGAATTGTTTCATTGGTATTATGGTTTCGATGAAATTTTCGTTATTCTCAAGGTTCGGTCAGATGGTTTTTGGCACGACGCAAAAGATATCAAGCCGCAACAGCGGTGGGAGTTGGAGACTGTAGACGTGCAGGGACCGATCTTCTACTGGAACCTTGACAGCGAGAGCTTTCAGTGGAAAGATGAAGACATAAATATCAGTGATTATGCTCTATACGATGTATTGCAGCATGCCAGTCCGAAGCTGAGTACAAAGTTGCTAGAGATTGGAAAGGAGCGCTTTGAGGTTCGTCCAGTCACTGTTGTTAGAAAGTGAATGAGCAAGACGAGGGATGGATGCGTGCTGTTCTTGGCTGATATGATTGGAATCACATCACAAAATACCGCCATGTACCTAGACTAACATACGGTAGAATGGTTTCCTGACTATGGCATCTTGACTACCCTACTGGGTTTTCTTCATCCGTGGTTCACAAGAACTTTTCGAACCCAGATTCAGGCATACTACCCTGAGTTTCAGTTGAGACTATAAAGTTGCCCGAGACACACTAGTATGACAGCATTCATGGATTCCGCTTAGGAGCATTGACATGGATTACCTGTCAACGGGACTAGCCGCATGGCTCGGGAATCAGTTGAACTTGTTTGGACCCTTGGCTGTGTTCTGATTCGAATGTTTTCCCAAACTATTGGCAAAATATAGCACATTTCGGTGAAGTTGAAAAACCGGTAATTACTCGCTATGGGGTGCTTTACGCGGTAGTTGTGTGAACGTTATTTACATACATCCGATAAGCCTTATCAGGAAGACAATTCCAAGGATACAAAGGTGCAAATAAACTGTTCTCGGCATATATGTGCGATTTGTATACTGAAATAAATAAATAAATCATTGCGTGATATTTAGTGATATAGGTGATAAAGACCCTTTTATTAAGTAGCCAACTCGACATCTGGAGAGAACGGCAAGTAAAACTCACCTTCGAATGGTCCCGGTTATGTTGCACTTGGTACGCTAGATCCTACTGCTTTCAAGATCCAAAATATGTCCTAGAATATACAAAGCTATGATTTGATTAACCTCCAAAGTTCAATGTACATTTTCCTGTTGGTCATATCTTGGTTTCCAAGATACCCCAGTTTTGTCCTCAGTCAACGATTTATCAGACTCTACTGGAGTGGTGATGTGTTCCTCGGTTCGAGGCAACTCACGAGCCACCTTAACTACATCGAAAATGCTATTTGACTGCCGGAATATAGTGTCCATTTCTTCTAAAGACCGGCCACTAGTCTCAGGGAAGAAGAAGTATACGATAGGAACAAATGCTGCATTCAGAACAGCATATATGATCCAGTAATGGCTTCCTAAGTTCGATGTTCCCGGCGGCGTGACTTGTGCCACGATGAATTGGCATAGCCATTGCGTCGCATTTGCCGCAGCAGTAATAGGAACACGATGACGCAAAGGTGCAAGTTCAGTGGCATACAGGAAAGTCTGGCCTAGGAAGCCAATTGGGTAAAAAAGGTCGAAGAGGAAAACGAAAACGACAGCCGCGGTGCTGGCAGAGCCATGCGTCTTTCCACCTGTACCGGCAAGAACTGCAGTTGAAATGGCAAGTCCTGTACCTGTGATCATAAATAGCCTTCGGCGGCCATACCGATCGATCAAAAAGAGTGGAATGAGAGACGCAAAAGTCTGGAAATTTGTGAGGCAAGCACCCAATACTCGGGATTTGACACCCGTAAAGCCCAGGTCCTCAAAAATGGTGCTTGTGTAAAATACCAAAGCTGAAATACCACACATCTGCTGAAACATCTGTCCACACGCAGCCAACACCGTTCGATGAAAAAGTCTCTCTTCACCATTTGTGGCCAGCTCTTTGAGATCCCCTCTCACCAGCGACAGTGACCGCTCAATTTCGGCCATTTCTTCTTGGATCTTGGTACAGAACGCATCTTCATCCTCCAAAGCAGCCAAGACGTATCTTGCTTCGTCCATCCGGCCTTTTCTTGCTAGCCAGCGAGGAGACTCGGGCAAGAGAAAAATAAAAGGGATAACGAAAATGGAGAAAATAACGGGGAAGACTAGCGGGATGCGCCACTGCACAGCTGGAATAGATGAAAATGAGAAGCCAAACGACACCCACTCCGAAAGTGTGATCCCGCCACTAATGCAAACTCCTTCTAGCATCACGAAAGCGCCTCTATGCGCGGTCCCGGAACATTCAGCCTGCCAGACGGGGATAGCACTACTTATTGTACCGATGGCGCCTCCAACAATCAATCTGCCAACAATGAATTGGCCAAGACTAAATGCGGATGATTCTACAGCCAGGCCTATGATCGATAGAACCAGACCAATAAGCGTTGTTCTCAAGCGGCCGATCCGGTCACTATAACCAATACACAGCAGAGAGCCGACAACAGCACCAAGGTCGTAGCATCCTGTAACCACTCCCTTAACACGAGCGTTGTATGTTTCTTGAGAGCCTTTGGTATTTACTGTGTCAATCGATGGGAATTGCTTTTATTTCCTCGAAATTAAAGTGGGTCACTCAATCACGCTTGAAGACACTTACATGCACAAATGATTGCAGCGTCGCAATGCCTCCTGTAGATCCGTTATTGTACCCAAATAAAATGAAGCTGGGAGCGACGACAAGCACCATCATGGCTGCTTTTAACTGTGTCCCTCGAAGCCCTAGGTAATTGTTTTGTCTCATCATGGTGGATGAGTATATTGTTTACCGGCTTAACTAGGCAATAGGCCTGATATGAGCCTTCTGTGATGTGAGCAAACATCGACTACTACATAGGGAGATGTGGAAGTAGATATAACCGTTTTTCATCCCCCAAGAGCCAGGCGTGCGGGGTGAGTACGCAAATACATTACATGAGTAGCAAGCCTACCACCGTCCAGCTATCTCAGCACCCCATGGGGCGGGGAGTGCTCAGTGGGGAAAACCACGAATCATAGGCTGTCCCAAGACAAAAGTTGGAAGCCCCGGCATATTCTCCGAAGATAAGTTAGCCAACGCAGGTACGATTGCTTACATTGGTGAATCGGGTCGCGTGCCGAATGCAGCCATGATGTAAGTGTTTCCGCGGTAAGTTATAACCCGCGGGCGCATAGTCGCCGTTCATACAACGTGACAAGGAAATTGATGAAATCGGTCACGTAAATACCAATTCTCAAAGCTATTCGAAGATACATGGGGTCTCTTCGAGTCTAAGTCATGTATAATACCTGGTAGTACTGAAGAAGCTGCCCACAAAAGTTTTACTTGATCGGTTTCTTAGTTCAAACGCGTTGTAATCGGTAGACAGCCCGCCTGTTTGATCTACATAAATCAATGAAACGCTCATTTACCAGAAAACTCTCCTATATTTCTACTCTGCCGATACATCCTGCTGCAATGTCGACACAATATAGCCCTGTCGCTGTTGCCACCCAGCAACCTCCTACTCAATTATTTACGAAAGCCGGTGGCATCGTGACTGCCGCCTCACAAATAATACACCAGCGCAAGATATATCGATTACCATCGGTTTTGATGCGTTCTGGAACTTCAAGGGGTCTTTTCATTCATCGGCACCACCTCCCCAAGTCACAGTCGGAATGGGGTACTATTCTCATTGGTGCTTTGGGATCTAGAAATAATGACCCTCGACAGCTGGAAGGGGTGGGAGGAGCCACGTCGACAACGTCAAAAGCCGTTGTTGTCTCAAAATCTTATAGACCTGGAATCGATGTTGAATATACTTTTATTCAGATTACAGTTGGTCAGGAAAAGGTCGACATGACCGGAAATTGTGGCAACATGGCTTCTGGAATTGCTGCTTTTGCCTTGGAGGAGGGGTTGATAACAGCAAGGCCAGGCCAATCGGAGGTGATTTCGTTCCCCGAATCTTATTCTGGGATTCAAAGATACTAACTGATTCTTGGCTCAGCTTTCTGTGCGAATATACAACACAAATACCCGGTCCGTGTTAGTAGAAACAATCCAGGTCAACGACAGCGGACACTTTCTAGAAGATGGAGAATACCACATAAGTGGTGTCAAAGGAACTGGAAGTAGTATCAAAGTGTCCTTTCTGAATCCTGGGGGAAGTATGACTGGCAAAGTGTTCCCAACAGGAAATCGTCAAGACAAAATTATGGTGCACGAGAGGAGCGGTCTACCGGAACAGTTTATGGTCAAGGCGACGCTGATAGATGTATCTAACCCTTTCATATTTGTTGATTCATCATCGCTACCTCCCGATTATCATGCCACAGGTTCAGATTCAGATATAGCACTTGATATAATCGAGTCCATACGACGCCAGGGGGCAGTTCAGTTCGGTCTTGCCAGTGACGTCGATTCTGCAGGTCTTAAGAGAGGAACTCCAAAAATTGCAGTTATTTCCAAACCACTTGGTCCACTACCGGGGTTCAACACAAGACCCGATATCTCAGTATTGGCCTATAGCATGGGGAAAGTTCACCCAAGCGTTCAGCTCACCGGAGCTGTGTGTCTTGGAGCTGCGGCTTGTCTTGAGGGAACAGTGGTTTCGGAATTGATGAAATCGGAAATACCATTGTCGTCACAAGAGCTGACACCATTGGGGACAGATGTGTCCCTTAAAATAACGAGCGAAAAACAAGATAATATTCAAAATGACCGGAGCATTGTAATTGGCCATAGCAGTGGTACAATCGATGTCGACGTCGAAGTGACAGAAAACGATCTGGTCCAGAGTGTCACTGTGTTTCGTACAGCCAGGAGGTTATTTGAAGGTACAATTCTTGTTCCACTATAATTTAAGCTTCATACCCTTAATTTTTCTACCAAGAAACGGCGCAACGTGTTGTATTTTCTCTTTTTTCTTTTTTTATTAAGCATTCACAATTTAATTAGCTAGACAATAGACATATACGTATAATGTACTAATTAAATACTCCTCAGATCTGGCTGATCACTCTAGACTTTTGACACGCCCCTTTTACCATGTGTGTGTGTTCGTTAATTAATATTTATTGAAGTACCATGAATGACAATTGAACATAACACATTTAATACACGCGATATCTAAGCTTAAATCTATAGTTGACGCAGAATTTATCCTTCTTTATACAAGATAATGGTAAGCCTAATAATAACCTCTCTCTATGTTATAGAGGATGCCATAGCGGCAACCTGCTCGTACAGTGAGAAGACTATACCTCCACTAAGAATCAACCGTCCTAGCCTCATAGTACTTCCTTTCCAAAATCCTCTCATTCCCGATTCTTTCCAAACCCCGGAAATAGCGTCTTGGATTGACACATGCTCCGCCCCCTGGACTCTCGTTTTTATCGTGTCAAACGGCTGCGTGGCGTACACAGTAGTGATACCGGCAATGGAACCAATACTAAACGTAGTGATCCCATTTAGAGGCACTTGATTCTGCATAGCTGTCTCTTTGAGAATGTTGTATGATCCCATGCGAACCGCAGATGTAGCTGATTGCTTGATAGTTGTTGGGATTAATCCCTGATATAGACCAATAAGTCCCTGCTCACGGATCAAGAGTTGAACGCCATGTGCAGCAGACCGATATCTTTTAAGCCCTTTGGCATCATCAATTCTGTGGAAAGAAACTTCAGTTAATACATATATTACATAAACAAGAGAATTTCTGGCGGCATTCATACAGCGCTGTTTTGATTCTTTCTGTGGGCGTGACTGCTACGATGCTTTCGACACAGCCGGCCATCATCCCCGCCAAAATTCCCGATGCCTTTGGCAAATGCCCATTCTCATCGGCAAGTGTATTTTTGATTGAATCAAAAGTAAGAAATCGGACCGATGCTTTGAAAGCTGTTCCTAGCACAAGTGTCGAACAGCCTGTGTACAGCGCCGAGATGCCTTCAGTTCCGACAACATTGTGAATGAGAGAAAGCGGATTTTTTGCTGTTGCCCGTGCAGTGGAGCGCAGTTGAAGTCTAGTTTTGGCAAATTCAAATGGATACTTTTCAAATAAATATGACATCATGTCAGTAATATCTTTAAGATTTCATTTTGATGCTAAGGAGAACTATACTGTGCATGCTGCTTCCACGCCTCCAGCCACACCGCCCGCTATCAATGACACCGTTGGCGAGATATAAGCTTTCTTAAGGACAAAATTTAGTTCTTGTTTACCTAAAATACTCCATGTTTCGACATATCGGTTACCTTTTCTTTATCTGATTTCGGAGCGGCCTCAAAGCTCTGCGATTTGGATGCTTGCATTTCGGTCGCCAGGTGCATATTTCTCCCCACGACATTTGAATGATCATGGGACAAATTCTGTACCCACAGTGTCTTGAATTTCGACGGTAATATTCGAACAATTTAGTTTATTATTTATTAAAAATGTTGGGAGACCTACCGCTAAGCGTAAGTAGTTTCCTGGAGGTAATTGCCACGGGAAGTCGGTTTCCGGCGCTAACCCTAATATCAAGTGAAATGACCTAAACTAGGCAGGAAAACCAATGTGGTATCTGGATAAGTCAACTTCGAATATCATAATGCCACCAGAGAATGTCTGGGATGTGGCAGGCCATACAAGTATGAAACACTGTATTTCAATAGAGCTAGCGGTGAAGATGGGTTCGAATTTTATTTTCAGCATCCCGAGAAATTTAGTCTATAAATTGATAGTATACGTAAACGGGAATCTATATATGGAATATAATGAGAGACAGCCCTCTATTCTCTAATAATACTTTCATCTTCCGCACCTTCGTCGACATCCTGACCAACCTCTGTCATAGAATCAACTGGGGCCGTCCAACCAGTCCCAGCTTGTAAAAATGTCACCAGCGCGACCAAGCCACAAGCCGCCAAAAATGTTGCTTTCAAAGCGCTCTGATACGCTCCAATGGCAATTGTCTTTTCATTGCCATTCAACTGCCAGACCAATGCTGGACTCCCAAGAAGTCTTCTAATGAGATCTTCAACGTCGTCACTATTGTGATCGAAATGTTGATAGTCTTCACGACTATTAAGAAATCCCGCATCTAGCTGGCTCTTCAATACGCGTGAAAAGATACCGCCACCGACTGCTGCGCCGAAACTACCAGCGAAGGATCGAAATGTTGCTATCAGACTGGTCACGATAAAGTGCGTCGAAGGCAGGGTTAAGTGCAGGACATGGGACAATGTGTAGTTGAGAAGAGCGCCAGCACAAAAGCCATTATAGAAGACTGCCAACGCAAAAAGAATTACTGGGGAGTCAGAGGTTGAAAGCTGAGCGATAGAAAGGAAACTCGTTACGAAGAGGGTGAGTATAATCAAGCACGATCTAGACCACGTTAGCAAGAATCTGTGCTTTGTGATTTCAGTTCAACCACATACGTATAGTAACTCGTCACTTTTCGAATATGAAACCACCCTACAGTCAAGCCTCCTAGACCGAACCCAAGATTTGTAGGGATGAGAATCATGCCAGCTTTTGCGGGGCTCCATCCTCGCACAGCGATTCCGTAGACCGGAATGTAAAAAACGATTGCCCATCGAGCCATCATCATACCGGTTGAGCATAGGCATGTAAGTAAAACACCACGAGAGCGAAGTATAGATATGGGTATTATGGGCTCAGCTGTAAGTGCAGGAGATGATTCAATCCATAAAAAGAGGACGAACAAGATACCAGAAACCAGGATAGGTGGATATGGTATAGTATTGCTGGAGACGGAATACAGAAAGAGGAGATTCGCTGTCGTCTTCATCATTTTGAATTAGCTGTCCTGCATAGGATGTGATACAGGGCTTTCTTACAAGAGTCACGATACCAAGATAATCCAGGCGAGCAAGCTTGCTAGTAAAAGAACTCTGTCCAGGGCTCGAGTCTTTCGCTCTGGGCTTTGGTGGAATTCCCAAGTAAATAATCGGGCCAACGATCAAGGCAAGCGGAGATTGTATGTAATAGATCAATCGCTTCACAGTCACAACATTAGATGATGAGCTTTTCTTTTCTCAATGAAAAGGGGGATTCTTTAAAAACAAACTCACCCATCCGTATTTCGGAGTAACAGCACCTGCCAATACAGCTCCGCCAGCGATTCCGGTGGTAAATACACACGCTGTCAAGCCTAGGAACAACCCTCGTCGTTTCTTCGAAGCAAGCTCTAAAACAAGAATTGCTTGCGTGGAGTATATTCCAGCTCCTCCACAACCTGTAAGGACACGACCAAAGAGAAACATTGGAAGCGTTCTAGCACTAGCAGTGAAGAATAAGCCTATCCCGGCAACCAAATTGCTTGCGAGTATCAAGCTGCGCAGAGAGAATATTTGGCAAAAGCGTCCACCGAGGGGGCTAATACTGGCGACGGCTATCTGATCACCAGGAAGGATCGTGAGAAGACAATTATTTACAAACATGACAGGGCTAACAAACCATGAATGATGCTGTCAGCCATGTTGCACTGGAAAAGGCATCCAGATCCGCCGCGATATCAGACTGCGATGTCGTGACCATTGTCATATTAGTGGCTGTACTCATCGATCAGACATTGTTGTACCGTTTCATCATTTTATTCGAATCATATATACCTTGTATTAGCATCGATATTGATATAGCAATCCCGACAATAATGGCACGAAGTGGGGAAAGAGCTGGGTTTTCAGGATCACGTTCAACCACCGCAGCAGATTCACGTATTTCCCCAGCGTCGGCTGCAAGCAAAGGCGTCGCTTCGGTGGGGGGAAATTGTCTGGAGTCCATCGTGGCGAATATTAACGAGGGCCAAGTTGCCAATATTGATCATAGGGAAGTGTTTAGCCGACGTTGGGAGTCAATTGACAGTGACAATAGGTGCAAGCTTGTGCTGAATAATGATTACCGATCGGATCCGGTATCTCCGAATCATGTAAACAGGGTATTATCGAGTGATTATTCACGACAGACGATAGTGAATCATAACCCGAATTCTATCAGGATACATCAAATATTGTCCTTAAGCATATGTATCTGCCAATAACCCATTTTCGGCACGAGAAGTCGCAATATGCAGAGATGCGTCCAGAGCGATTGTTGGCACCTTATCACCTTATCACCTCATCGTGCCTTCCTGTGCACTAGCCCCAATCGAATCTGTTGACACCAACCTTTCTGTGTGCGGTTAGCAAGATCACAAACAGACCCACTAGATTGCTATCATTGGTAGGACCGTATTTCCTACCGGACCATTGGTTGATATGGGCAATGTAGAGATAATCGGCTACGAAAATGTTGTCACTTCTTACATCTTCGTTATTATCCTAGCTGCATAGTCAGCGGGGTGCCGATGATGAAAACGACTTCCTACTACTTGTTCCAACAACCTCTATATTCTTGAGATATTTCCTGGCTCCAACATTCACGTACACTCTATAGTGTTTATCATTGCAAATGTTATTCTACACACAGCAAACTGTATATTTACGTAGAGTGATACGAACTCAGATGTGCAGTTTCAGTCATTCACCAACATTGAAATTCTTGATATTTATTCAAATTCCCAGGACGGATAGCTGTCAACTAGATTGATATGAAATTTACCAAAGAGCTCTCATTCGAAGAAGATTCAGGCACAAGAATATGCTATAAAGATTAGTCGTTGTGGGACCAATAGAGGCACACTGTATTGCTTATCCAGACAAACTCTTAAATATGAAATCATACGCGATATCATAGAAATTAGTTAGTGTTCTCTCTATTCCATCAGTGAAGCATTCCAATATTATTCGACAGTTCTAATTTAACAGTTGAGGATTTAACGAATCAGCTTGTGTACCGAATGTGATGCGCGAATTACCATTTCGCAGTACAGATAACTTCAAGTTCGCTCTTGAAGTCCTCTACCATTGTTTTACTGTTTCTATAGAACTTACCCTATACATAATGACTATAGATGAGAGAATAAATCATACAACGAGATGAAATGGCGATACTATTTCCATTCATATGACCCAAAATATTATTTCTAAATTGCAAAGAATAGTAGTACCAGCAGGTATTTCCTAGTTATCCCGCGTTATGGGATTAGCATAACTGCAATAGGTTGGTCTCAAGATTCGATCATAATGTATGGCCTGATAGCAAGCTTGCCATTGGATCTCTCGGTTGTGTATTCCCTAACCTTCTCGTAATTTCTGCACGTGTGGTTCCGATCTGAGTTAATGTAGTTATAGCCCAAACTTTCATAATATACGGTCGGAATGAGTGTCATGTCAGAGTAGCACATCACCATTTGACGGAGATGATCAATGCAGTGGTCTAGTGAATACAGGAGTCAATTTATTGTCATATATGTCCCACTAGGCAAACGAGACTCTACCTCTATGCAATCTGCCATGAACGTCGGACATTTGGTAGATATCCGGAAAGAAAGCTTTTCGAATATGATCCTTGCAAAGTGTCAATTTCATGGGCCACCCAAAAACGAAAGCTATCACTCCTTACAATACAATGGAGCGTGTGGAAGATATCAAAGCTAGAATTTGTTAAATAAGTCCAAATACGTGTAAAGGAGCCTGGCGTCTGTTTGTCATACCCTGCAACATAGCCCTCCCGTTTGGGATCCCAATACTTTTGGTAATCCTCTCCCCACGCGTCGGCTGCCTCTTGCTCGGTGATATAGAAGTATCGTGCTATTCAGATAATTAGCATATCTCAAACAGTTAAACCACATCAAGTTGGCTATACAATGAATCAACTCCTCCCAGGCCTGATCGATATCGGGCGATGGATCGCCTACATATTTCAGGCTGGGCGAGTCACTGGGTATAAACTCTTCTCCATTTGCAAAAATAGGACTTCCAGTGAACAGCTTTTTTTCAAGCTTAATTATATGTTCCTTCACCTCTGTTCTTGTCAGCTCTCTTTTTAGATACATTACGATAAAACGGCGAAGTACTTACGAAAATCAGTAACATATCCCTTATCAAATGAACCGAATTCTGGACTTGAGTACTTTGAAAAGGCTAGAATAAAAGAGCAAGTCCCAAACAAGAAAGTTAGGGTCCACGGCAGAATAATCTCCCATTTACGTTTTCGCTGTTCTCGTTTGAAAGAAGTTGCATTGAGGAGAGGAGCACCTGATTCTTCGAATGATGAGTCTCTAGTTGAGGATTGTCCCATGTTGAGCAAAGAGATCCTTTCAAGCGTTCAAATTTTTCGGTCAAGGAATATTTTAGAATAGAATGGGCACAGCATGGCATCTGCCTTGTGGAAAAGTGCTGGTCAGAACCTGGCACGAGATTCAAACAATCTTTCCGACCCCATGAGCCATTTCATGAGATGGCGTTTATTTAGGGCAACGTTAAATTACACTAATGATAATGTGAGATAAGTTTAAAGTTTGGTTGTGGTTTCGGTCGTGGGGGACAAAAACATAATACGTAAACTACGTTACATCATACGGGCCGTAACGCATTGTCTCAGATCCAGCTTATTTCTTTTTATTTTCCACAAATACTCATCTCACAGGAATTTTAGTGTCCATACATACTACAATGGAACGTGTACGACCTGAAAAAGATATCGAAGACTACGATGAAGGCCGTGTCTCGAATGAAACACCGCCTTTCATCGAAAACTATGTCTCCCGCAAGAAAAAAGGCGTTTTGAGTTTTCAGATTATTCCATACGTGATCATTGCTTTTCTTACCATCGCTCTAATCACTGTGGTCCGTCATCGACCTTCCTGCCATGATCCAAGCCAGAGCATATACTGTATGTACTTAAGAAAGTCAAATTGTGAAGGCGCACCGCTTACCTGTCAAAAGCACCTGCACAGGATGCGATCAAGTATCATGTAAAGGTATTTGCTGAGAACTTCGTGACAAAAGGCCCCTATATGGCAAAGGAAGAGGATGGAATTCCATCAGACGAGACAGACAAGCTATGGGAAGACCTTTACCAATGTGAGCTTTCCCCATCTTTTAGCTTCGCATCTAGTGTGTAATGGGAGTCCTAAACAATCGTGAGAGCAACTTTAGTTGGAATAACTCGGATCAGCGAAGAAGAGACTTTAAAGCTTCCAAATAGGACAACGGAGATACCGACCATGCCAGATCAGTATGTGGTGCAGCTGGATGTTTTTCACCAACTTCATTGCTTGAATGCCATCCGCAAAACTCTCTACCCAGAACGGTATTGGGATGACTTCGACGACTACTATACGGCCGACGGGAAGAAAAACTATACTAGCACGTCTGCAAAGCATTATGGTTCGTGCGATGTCCACCGCTAATTTGATTCCAATTACAATACTGAATATATTTATTAGACCACTGTCTTGATTCCATCCGACAATCCATTATGTGTCACGGCGATATTGCAACTGTTTATTGGCAATGGATGCCTATAAGACGCCAGCCACTACCACGGTTGGAAATAACGCATACATGCCGAGATTTCGAGGCAATTCGGGACTGGGCAAAGGAACATCAATTGAAGGGTGATGAAAACATACTCCAGTGGCGACCTGCTCCGCTGGAGACTTTTAAGCTCTCTCCAACTGAAAACGTTGTCTACTGATGCAATTGATAAATGCCTCTTGAATTCTCCAACACTATTTCTGTCATGATTACTGTTGCAATACCTTACATGATTTTTGAACCTGAAATTGATTTTTGCCTGTAAAATAGCGGATACTAGCATGCAAGCCCGATAACCCGGGACTATGGCAAAATCACTTCGTAGATACAGATATAAAAGCTTTTCGTCTTTCCGGCTACTATAGTATAATATCAAATCTACCTTATATATAAGGTAGAGAGTGATAAGGGGGCCTCTAAATATACGATTAAACATATATCATTTGATATTCTATATTATCCACTCTTTTCCAACACCATTGGAACAAATCAATCAAAAAGCAATCAACGTACAAAGTTACTGTAGGTTGTTTCTGTATATTCCTTGATGGACTCGAAATCCCGACATTTCCTTGGACTATTAAAAGTGGCCCGGTCAATATTGTCTTCAGCACGCAGCTGTGGCATCTCAAGGGTGGTATCTCCATAACAACTTATTGCCTGTCTCAGAAAGTCAAAACAGTGTCCTGAATGCTCGACCGTGGTTGGATCGCTGGGAGTGCCTTTAACGAAATTGTAATGAACCCTCCGTAAAAGTATCTATTTGAAATATTAGAGCCCTCTGGAACAAGAAATGTTTTTAAAAAAAAGTATGGGAAGAAGGAATATTTACCAGACAATGAAGTTGGTGGAAAACGGAAATACCCCATAGCTGATTCTCCTGCCTGATATCTGACGGGAGTCCATATGCCTCAGGGTTCGGTACTGGTATAAACCCACCGCCGGCTATTACATCCCCGTTGTTAGGATTATTTCTATTCAGGCAAAACGAGAGTCCAATTCAGCACATACTTGGCAGCAAGCCGTCCCATGCAGCATCGGTTCGGTTGTTGCGAGGACCACCAAATGCAAAGGTATCTTCGAAGGTACGCACTACGGGGTTTCCTGTAATTAATCATTCCTAGTTAATATCACTGTCTCGAGTTCTGCGCAATGAATTGACTTACCTTGAGGTACCATGTCAGCGGAAAATACTACTGGTGAATTTGAACGCGATGCGGCGAAAGCTATGATACTAAAAACTAAAATTGCAAAGGCGGTGGTAATCGAGATGATGCACTGAAGTCGCGACGGTCTCCAGATGGGCATCTCTTGTGATGAACCATCATCCTCTTTGTTGGTCTTTTCATTGACCTCTTCACTGCTGGCTGCGATTGCGTTATATCGAATACTATGCTCTTCTTTGAAGGCATTGATCAGGGATATCAAGCGATCCATGATTGCTGCGCGGTTGAGATATTTCCTCTGTCATAGAAAGTCCGTGTTTTTTTGTTATCTCTCTTTGTGATTTTACAGAACGGGAGTAGGCAGTAGTAGACACCAACTTTAAAGGACGAGAGACAACTTTCCCAAACAGCTCACTACTTCCCCCTCTTTTTTACATTGTAACATACATACGAATACGTGTTACCGTTTGTAACATCAAAACGACCCACTGATTAAAGTATCGCCCCGATTGAAAGCTTAGCACGCTTATCTCAATTTAGACAATTGCAGCGCCGCAGCGGCAAAGAAACCTTGTTTTAGATGTTGACGTAGTGTTCGGCGATAGCCACCGTATATAGAACTAGCCAATAAGCATGTCATCTCATAACGGTAAGACGCTCCCTAGCTGTTGACCTCTAAGCTAAAAGGTACAAGTACAACATGGTAATCGGGTTTATGCCCCACAGGTCGGGGCAACACACCCTAACATGATAGCAGGCATAAAAAGCCCCCAAACTACGAGAAGTCTAATGATTCGCGTTGGAATATGGGGAAATATGATACCCCAAGTCCAAAAGTATGTACTATCTAATGCGTTAAATAAGATAAGGAGGACCTGGCTCTACTATCTATGGTTCACTAAAATCTAGGGTTACACCAGGCGCATTTCAATCGGCCGTAAAACAACTGCACCAATAAGCCCGCCCTCGGGGTTAGCAGTAATAAATTTAGCTCTCATTTAGGCTGACTCCTCCTCAGATTATGTAGGGCTCTGGCATATATCATCTGATATTTTGTACCTTTCTTATCACTATGATCAGTATTTCTACTATAGATTTTTGCCATTATAGATATGCATTGCTTTTGGTATTACTGGGATTCAAGTTAGGTGTATATTCTCAATAATTCGTTAAGTAAAGGTGGACTCATAAATATCAGCTGTGAAGCCACTACGCCACCCTTAAGGGCAGCGTAATTAATTTGTCTCTTATTTAGGCTAACCATTTCTCAACACCATCTAGTGTAATGGGGAGATGCTTTAGACCGTGAAACCATCCAAATTCCTGTTTTGGACTCCGCAATGGCTGCATATTGACGAAAAACTCTCCGAAACAAAATACTACCATGTGATAACGAATTTCATGAAGCTATTCTCGGACAGGAAGGCAAATCCCAACACGTCAACTCTCATTTAAGATACAGGTAATGGGGCCGAAGTCAATCTCGTGGACGCAGAAATTGATGACCGACTACAATACTAGTTTGACACCAGATGAAAACTATATAAATCACACTCAGAGCCCATGTTCACTTGTCCTATTCCCCATAACCTACAATCAAGAAATAACTGGTACAGTTAATCGGTACTATCCAATCATGAAGCTCAGCTCTCTCCAGGCTGTGGCACTTTTGAGTGCTATAGCAATGAGCAGTGCCCTTCCCCTAGGTGAGTAGGCTCGATACCCTATTGCACACGGACTATTTATTTACGGTAATATCAGCAAAGCGGAACGTGGATTCCACCTCCGCCGCTGAATGGGATGGTGGCGGTGACATGGCCCCTGATAAGCGCAATGTCGACTCGACCTCGTCTGCTGAGTGGGATGGCGGCGGTGACATGGCCCCTGACAAGCGCAATGTCGACTCGACCTCGTCTGCTGAGTGGGACGGCGGCGGTGACATGGCCCCTGATAAGCGCAATGTTGACTCGACCTCGTCTGCTGAGTGGGACGGCGGCGGTGACATGGCCCCTGATAAGCGCAATGTTGACTCGACCTCGTCTGCTGAGTGGGACGGCGGCGGTGACATGGCCCCTGACAAGCGCAATGTCGACTCGACCTCGTCTGCTGAGTGGGACGGCGGCGGTGACATGGCCCCTGATAAGCGCAATGTCGACTCGACCTCGTCTGCTGAGTGGGACGGCGGCGGTGACATGGCCCCTGATAAGCGCAATGTCGACTCGACCTCGTCTGCTGAGTGGGACGGCGGCGGTGACATGGCCCCTGACAAGCGCAATGTCGACTCGACCTCGTCTGCTGAGTGGGATGGCGGCGGTGACATGGCCCCTGACAAGCGCAATGTCGACTCGACCTCGTCTGCTGAATGGGATGGCGGTGGTGACTGGGCCCCTGACAAGCGCAACGTCGACTCGACCTCGTCTGCTGAGTGGGATGGCGGTGGTGATATGGCCCCTGATAAGCGTTCCCTGTAAATATAGCCTAAGAAATGACCTCATGGAATCGCTGATATACTATCGGAGTTTTGTCTATTCTACAATGTACATGTGTGCTAGGAGGCTGCCATAGTGTCTTCAGATTGGTGTAGACAATTCTATTCGCAAGTTTTCAAGGAATGAATTGATCACATAACTTCCTAATATCGTGTTCAACGAGTGTTCTACGAAAACCTGGAAGTTTTGTTAAGGAGAACCAGAGATTCGATTCATTTTTTTAAAATAACTTCATAAGGTTATTGTAAATGAACTAAGAACAATGAAGGAAAGGAACTGTAATATTATTGCGTAGCATGTGTAGCACTGTATCAATTGATACAGTGCGCTATCTCCAACCAAATCCCTAAACTTCAGGCTAGGAATGCCTCCTTTATTTAAAAGCCAATTGTGATGTAAATATAAGAAAATGACACCTTTTTGAAAAAGAATATAAACGAAGTCATGGTAGGCCCATTCCATGATTCTTGTCCGATGGCATACTGGGAATTGATTTTACCCCAAATATGCCTTGTGTCATATTTGTCCTAAAAAAGGACTTTTTTTTAAACTTTAAAGTTTATCTTGCCAGCGGGCCATTGATACAATCTGCTAGACGGAAATCGATACACTAAATACATAGATACCGCAAATTCTATTTATACGCGCGTTTCAAGCTAGTACGCATTTTACTTACCATCCTATCCATCAATGAAGTGGGGGCCTCGCGCAGCGTACACCCTATTTTGAATAAGTATCAAAGAATCATAGAAAGCCCAGTTACACTTGTCGGCCAACAAATGCTGTCTAGCGCGTTCATTATTTCCCCGCTATATGAAACACAATTCCTCGGCATAAATAATTTTTCGTCCTACCAACCTTCACGAAACTGAAATATTCCCTCATTTTTGACAACATGGTTCGCAATTTTCTTCTGGCTGTTTGTCTCTTATCGTCACTGAGTGTCCGTGTCGCTGGGAATCCTGATTCTCACGAGTATCTGTCTGGTATTCCTTCAGGATGGAGTCATGCGAGTAAACCTGGAGACAATACGTCAATCCATCTGTCGATTTCTTTGGCATTACAAAATATTGATCAACTTGAGACTGAATTAAGAAGAGTCTCTACTCCTGACAGTAGCGAGTACGGTCAGTATCAAGATTCTGATGAGGTCCTTTCTAAATTCGGCCCTTCACAAGCTTCTGTAGCAGCTGTAACAAGCTGGCTTATGGAGAGTGATATCGAGCATATTTACAACAACAATCAATCAATTAGCTTCTTCACGACGGTTAGCCAGGTAAGACGGAAAATCCCTATTCACAGAACACGTAATTAATCCCTAGTAGGCAAACAGTTTGTTAAATGCCAAGTTCGACTATTATACTGATGGAAGCATCTCTAAACTTCGCACCTTGTCATACTCGATTCCCAGACACTTGAAACAAGACATTGATCTCATCTCGCCAACAACCTATTTCGGAAAATCTACAGCGGCTCGGAATATTCATTTCCATAAAAGCAAGAGGGAGATGCCAGGCGCTGCGACTTCAAATCCGCCTTCGTCTATCTCAGTTGCCCCCTCTTGCCAAAGTGCAATTACCCCAGATTGCGTAAAACAGCTCTATAGCATTGGAAACTACACACCGACTGCTAAGAGTGGCAGCCGGATTGGGTTTGGTAGTTTTTTAAATAATTCAGCCATCTATGCCGATTTGGCCAGGTATGAAAAATATTACGGGTTGCCATCTCAGAACTTTACAAAAGTGCTTATCAACAATCCCATTAACGATCAGAATCCGACCACCCCAATTGACGCTGAATCTAACCTTGATGTACAAACTATACTTGGAGTTGCTCACCCACTCCCAATTACGGAATACCTGACTGGTGGATCTCCGTAAGTGGCCTGCCTTGATAAAATACAACAGCAAAAGCAATATTAGAAGTATCGAAATCGTCTAACCTATAAAAGTCCATTTATACCAAGTCTTGAGTCACCCACAAACAATAATGAGCCTTACCTGCCATATTATGAATATCTATTGTCTCAACAGAACGAAGATCTACCTCAAGTTATTTCCAACTCTTACGGTGATGAAGAGCAGACGGTTCCTCTTAAATATGCGATTCGAACCTGCAACCTGATCGGGTTGATGGGCCTAAGGTATGTCCAAGAAGACTAAAACCTTCGAAGCTGGGATATAATCATTCTGACGAAGTCTAGAGGCATTACTGTCGTTGAGTCTAGCGCTGACGAAGGCCTTGGTCGTGGATGCTTAAGTAATGATGGGAATAATAAGACCCAATTTGAGGTCTTTTTTCCATCCACATGCCCTTACCTGCTTTCTGTCGGTGGTACACAGGAAACGGATCCAGAAATTGCATGGACAGCTGGGTCTGGTGGCTTTAGTAATTACTTTCCCCGTCCGTGGTACCAGGAGGATGTGATAACCACCTATCTTGGCTACGTCGATCCAGATACCAAGAGCTATTACACCAATTTCACGAATTTTGAAGGTCGTGGTTTTCCCGATGTGGCTGCTCATAGTCTTGGCCCTGGGTACGGGGTTTTCTATAAAGGCAATTTGGTTAATGCTGGTGGAAACTCTGCGGCTGCTCCAGTTTGGGCCGCAATCATTGCGCTGTTAAATGATGCTCGCTTGTCAGCTGGAAAGCCTGCTCTCGGGTTTTTGAACCCCTTGCTTTATCATTTGGGATCTACAAACTTGAATGATATCACTGCAGGAGGGTCTGTCGGTTGTTCTGGAATTCATAGCAAGAATAGCACAGACCCTAGTAAAAGGGGGTTTATACCTTGGGCTAGCTGGAATGCAACAGTTGGATGGGACCCGGTGACAGGATTAGGTACTCCGAACTTTAGCAAGTTAAAGGAGACTGTTCTTTATTTTTAGCTAATTCTTAGAAGAATTCGGCCGTGAAGTCCCGCAGATTTTAGGGACATTGCTAACAAACATGATTTTTAAAATAATATTATTTATTGATCGTCGAACTCCCACCCAATCCCTTCAATGGCCGAGCTATTAAATCCAAAGAGCATGTCATCAACGGAGAACTGTGAAGGAAGTCCGTCTGCTTGCAAATAACCAGCACTATAGGAATCACTGCGGACGAAAACGTGCGTACCGCCATGCTGGTCATCGATGCTTGGCAAGCTTTCTGATATAAACGACGTAGAAGGAAACCATTGGTTTGTAGATGTAGTATGCGGTTGATAAATTGTGGTTGTTTCAGACCCTGAAATATGCATATTTGGTCTGCTCTGTTGTTCGCGGATAAAGCTCTGAATTATAGCATCAATATCTAGATCTGATGCAACATGATCGGCTCCTTCATTGCCAGCGGTGTCGAGAATCAAGTCTGCAGATACAATATGACTAGACTGGGCTGGTATATTAACTCCCCTGTTTATCTCAGACGATCGGATTGATTCGGGTCGAGAAAAGCGAGTATTCTCATTATTGTTAATGCTCCTATCACTTTGTGGTACTTGCAATTCTTGTAGGTCACAAACTCTGTCAATATCCTCACCTGCGATGCTCACATGCATTCGTTTCATTAGATTCTGGATAATAACATTTGCTCTCCTCACTGCCCAGTTGGTCTCCTGGTTTTTCTTGAACACGTCGACACATGTTGCGAGACAGACATGAGCTTCAGATCCAGGCGCTCGTTGGGCTGCTATCCGCACGTGGATTGTTGCGCTTACATAAGTCGCATACGATATCAGATAAGGTGCTCGTTGAATCGAAAAGGCAGCGTCATAGGCTCGTAATATTTTGACTATCATTTTGGCCGCAGTCGCGCACACTAAAAATGAATTGATGGCATTTGACGGACTGGAATGAAGCTCTCCATCAGACACAAATGGGCGATGGAGAAGAATAATGAGCACGTTGTACATAGCGCTGATATTATGTTAGCATTGAAAGAGTCAATTAGCGGAGACGTCTCACAGTAACGAAAGAACATGCGGAGGAGGAATTGAACTAGAAGAACTGGACGGGTCATAGTTTAGGTGGGTTGGTAAATAGTCCCGCCACTGATCTAGATTCGTATGCAAGGTCTTTAAATCTTCAGCAAGTTCACTAGGTGTTCTTGTAGAACTTCTTTCTCCATAAACCTTATTCAATATACGATTCATGATAAGACTTAGTTTGCAGAGCTCTGTGAACGTGGATACACTGTAGGCAGGTGATCCTGGATAGCTCTGGGTTGTCGAATATGCGAATGGCTTCCAGTGTTCAAGTTCTTCGTAGTCATCTAGAAATGTGATTGACACATTACACTCCTGCTCTTGAAGGCTCACGGGTCTGCCTTGGTATAAACTTTGGATCTTGTCAACAACTACTCACGCCCATTAACATCGTACCAGATAGTGCTTGAGTGGATATAAGCTTACCAAAGGCTCCCCAGAATACGCGTCTTCGTATTTCGAGATCTTCGTCACTGAATTTTCGGTAATTGGCTAGCCTAGATCCATCCACATGCATCCCCAGATCGATAATCATACGGAATGCTGTGCCTGCGTACAGCCATGCGGCACTCCGCTCATCGCCTAGAGCAAACAAGGAGCTGGCCATTACCAACAGTGCCTGGATTGTCGTAATATCGCTTTTATCGAGGGCTCCACCGAGTAATTCTCTGACCCGTTGTCGGAAAAGCCAGCCGGCAGTGCGCACATCATTTGGATCGCGGCGGACTTCTGGCCGAGAACTAAATTTAGATGCGCCAAAATAAATGGCGTTAAGTAGCAGCTTTGAAAAGTATGGCCCACCGCAAGCCATGTCCCTCATAAATGCGGGGCGATAGGTAATGAGAAAAGCATGGTGTTGACGGTTCCAGTGTAGTTCCAACAAGTGCATGCCAAGATCTGGATCTACGCCATCGAAGTCTAGCATTTTTTGGTGCAGGTTGATAATTTCCAGATGACCTAATGGGAGATTTAGTAATTGGTGTAATTGGCAAGAATCACAGATGATTCAATACATACGCTGGCATGCAGCCTCAGCCATTAGCCCCTTTTTTACCCATGCAGGAGGAACATTTGGTACAGATGGTATACTATGGTATCCTTTACGATCTCCAGCGCCGTCTTCAAAAAGGGTACTAGTTGGACCGTGATATCTCGGTTCACCTTCAGCCGGTGTGCAGTTATCTGGCTGTGAGTTGCCTGAAATAGGCAAAACGGTATCCGCAGTTTTTGAGCCCAAAGAAGGGTTTGTATTTGGAGATTCAAATGACTGTCGCCGATTTTGCGTCACATCTGCAGCTGCATTGGTGTCGGAATGATCATCTGGAAAATGTTCGCGGAGCATATCAACAGGAAGGTGATCATCATTATGGCCGCCCTTTCGAGAGCGCAAATTTGCCAAAGACCTTTTCAATTGGTCATTTTCCTCTTCAAGCTGCGAAATGCGTGAATGGGAAGGCCTGCTGCTGTCAACACGAGTCTTCAAGATTATGTTACTAGTCTCTCCACAGAGGCCGCTAGGCGGTAACAATATGGCTGTCTACTCAATCATGGACTTCCACTTCTAGGGATCAACGAAATCATAAACAAAGCTTTCTGCAGCAAGCCATTCATGGCAGCGGGCTTAAGCAGCCCGCATTTGTAATCAAGAGATATCACAAATGTTAAGCTTGTAATACAAAGTTTACCAACCACAATGATGACTGCTATACGATGATCTCTGGAGAGAACTAGCTTTCTCAAGAGAGTGACTGACCTTGGCCTCTTAGGGAGCTCATCATAAACACAATGCTTCCCATGAAAATTACAGGCATTACAGGATGGCTGTTTATTATCGCATTTCATCTATAGAACTTATTAATTTCCACGAAATAAACTCATATAGACATCAAGACTAAAACAAAAAGTGACTAACAGGTAGGTACACAATTGCTAAGTCATACTTTGACGCGGCTCGAACATGGGACGCTCACCTTCCGCTGCCGGCAGAAGCGACAAGCCTTCAAGGCTCGCCGGCTGCCATGCCTAGTCATTTCATCTCACCAGTCCTATATAATCCCGAACAATGTTTGTAGTGGGATCAACACAATCGCTTCTCAATTTTGAAAAATCGTCATAATCGACTACGTAGTGGAAGATGGTTGTTGGAGAGAACGGAGTTGCGTACTCCGCGGTTAGTTGGGTAACTTAACTTGCCTGAGAGGATTGATGCCTAAGCACCCGCCGGCAAGTGAGATCCCGCGGAGTTTGCTAGCGCCGGAGATATCGCCGGTGCCTCTATAGAAACGAAACTTGACGAAATCTTTGAGCAATGAAATATTATGGATTGTTTCAAGGAAGAAGAATGACGTCCGTACGATCATAATTTCTATCCCTACATTAGCGGATTATTGACTCGATAACTAGTCGTAATTCTGCCATATTAACTCCGATCTACAATTGCCGAAACGCAGTTCTGGACACGACCACTTGGAGGTAGTATCGCGCTACCATCAACAGTATTACACGAAGTCTATCTACCCTCAAACACATCGATTGCTATCTACAACCTCTCCCATCGACGCACTATCCGTCGAATGAAACATACTCCTTCGTACACAGCATTTCGTCAGCCAAAATCTACGTAATTCAATGCTAATTCTCTAGATCAGGAGTCGGTTCGCCTCGGTGATGAAGATCGCTAGAAAAGGGCTTCCCTGTTGCAGGAGCGAGGGAATAGCTGATCGGGCTGCAGGATCGCTGAAAATAATGAAGACGAAAATTACTACAGTTATACTTTTAATATACTCTATCGTTGAACTATTGACCGTAGCGATCCCTTCTAGATGTCCCTTTTACCACACCCTCACCAAGTGACCATTATTTGAGAAACAGTTCACATGGAGACGTGCTTTTTCGTCAAGAAATCACTTCTGGGCTGCGGCCGTAGCAGCGTTATATATCTAACGTACGTCCCTACTAGCGATGAATGAATAGGAAAGGTCATTCTATTTGTTGTGTATATCACTGGTAGTGTTTAATACTGCCAGTAATGAAAGGTGAACTTGGAATTCAAGTGACTGTGAAGAAAGATAATACAATTTCGCAACATACAATACTATGACCTAAATTATTACATATTTTTATCTACCTTTATCAGAGAACAGTAAATACGAGCAAGTATTTACACTATAATGTAGTGTCCAATTAATTTGAAAAAGCTACGGCTTTTTTAGAACAACCGAAAAGAACTTTATTTCAGCACTAAGACCCTTTGTAGATAGCTCTCAAGCTATCTATCGTCTCGGACTCAGACCTTTTCTTGACAATCGAGGATTCGGGGTGTTCTCAGCTTTTCCACATTGCTAAAAGCTAATGCTCCTACGATGGAAATTCAGGGAATCTATTTGTCCATTTCTAATACTTTTGATCTGGTAGGACACTGGTGGCGTCTGATGATCATGGAACACTTGCGACTCAAACGAGGCTGTTTGCCTTAAGCATGTATGCTGACGCAACTTTCTTGTAGGCCATACTAATACATGCTGCCTCCCAGAACAGCATCTAAATCAATCTACCCTCCTTAGGAATGCTTCCTTTATTGATGGATTCACAACCCTCAATATCATACCTACCAGTCTCCAAAACTATGCATCGAGGAGCTAGAGTTCACTCACCATGGCGGCGCTCTGCGTGCGATCGATGCCGTAGCCAAAAATTGTGATGTGCTCGCAAAGAGGACAACATGTCGAGTACTTGCATCCGGCGCACATGTATAAATTTAGCCTGCGTCACAAGTTCTACAAAGTCACCTAAGGGTGGTCCCCTCCGAATATCCATCCCTGTCACTTCCACAAACGAGGCAGTGATGTTTCAGCAAAGCGACAATATTGACATCAACAAAGCCAAGAATGTAAACAAGATCCGGCATGAGACATTTGAAGCGACCCAACTGACTGAATGAAATAGCATTTTGATGGTTACCTGTCATCCGAATTCCCGGTATGGCAATGTAGTGTTATTGGGCAATCTTCTGTGTTATCTAGCCGAACAAGTTCTCTAGAATTGCAGCTTTCTAGCTTCAGCATATGCATTAGAGATTATTTATAGGTTATAGCAATATTTCGTAGAGAGAAATGACGGGATGTAGTCATGGCCATTCCCCAACCCAATGTACATATGTACTTTTATAATCGCACAGTTAGATATTGATACACGTGTATTGCGTTCTATATTGTAGTGTACTTTTTTTTTATTAGGGACTGTTCACCAATCATGGATTCGCTCCTCTATACAGAGCTATGTTTATATGGCAGGATATGATGTAGTTTTATCGGTCTTTTTCTCTCTACCTCCTCCCAGACACACAGGGACAGGTATGTTGAATACGTCGCAGACCACAAGACAAGAAATAAGCTCCTGATTAAGCAGAGTATTTAATATTGGACTCTACTAAATACGGTGACAGCCTGCTAGAAGACGAGCATCTGAAGGAATCCGGTACAAAATCGGTGATATATGCGCACATCATGTGTATTATAGCGGTACCAAGAGAGTAATTTTAAGATTCATTACTGTTAAATCAATGTCGGGTCGCAGACACAGCGTCCTTCTCATCAAAAGATGCCGTCGTCTCCTCGCTCTGGTGTTTTGCATTGCGACCATCCGCATTCCCATTTTCAGCCCTTGCTCCCACTTTGTTGTCTTTCTTCTTTTCCATTCCGTATTCAGTTTCCAGTTCCGTTCGAAGATGAATTTGTTTCTCCCAAATAATTATAAGAACGTTGAAACCCGCAAAGGCGATCGAGATCTGCCATATAAGTTGGAGAGCTCCCGAATAGGTGCTTATAATCTGGTCTCTCGATGGTTGTGGGAAGGCCCAAATATAGCTAGCATATGCGTTCTCATACGCATTATTGTTACCGTCAAATACAGAACGCACCTGCGGGTCCGTGACACGCTCATTGAGGAGCTTCGAGAAGCGGTTGTTAAATACAGCCGCTGGGACAGCCACACCCCAGATACTACCAAAAGAGCGCATAAATGACCAGGCAGCTGTGACTGAAGCTTGATAGGATTCAGGAAGTTGAGCCTGTACAGCCGGGAGCAGCGTGTTCAAAACAAGCCCTCCGCCCAGTGCTGAGATTGCTTGATAAATGACGATCACTGCCAACGAAGAATTCTGGTCCAACATGGAGAAGAGACCTAAGCCAAGAACAGTAAGTATAAAGCCTACCAAGTGTATCGGCTTATATTTTCCGAATTTCGTTAACAACAGCACTGCCACGATAGAGCCTGGAATAGCAAAAAGCACAGCTGGGAGAAGGAGGACACCAGACCGAGCAGCAGACTTTCCAAGTACAGCCTGAAAGTATACAGGAAGAAAGAATAGTACCCAGTATAACAAAAGAGAATTGAAAAAGGTCACAACAAAAATGATAACGGCAGTGCGGCTCTTGAATAGCTCAGGTGGAACCACTGGCTCTTGGACCTTTCTTTCGTACCACATGAAGAGCACAAATCCGGCGAAGCCAATAATCAAGGGAGATATAATCCGAGCACTAGACCAAGGTCGAGTAGTACCCCCATAAGTTAGGGCATATAGGATCGAGACAGTTGACCCGATGAGGATGAGATTGCCAACATAGTCGATCCGCATGAGTTTCTGAAGAGGCGACTGGCTTTGATCATGGCGAACGTGAAGAAAGAGAAATATCATAATCATTGCGGTAACGCCAATCTACAGCGTATTACAAAAATAAGCGATTTTTGCTTCTTGTGAAGAGAAGAGTGCTTTAACTTGCCGGTAAATTGATCCAAAAAACCCAACGCCATGATGTCGTAGCTATTATTTCGCCACCGACCCAAGGACCTATAGACATACCAACTGTATAGATTGTGAGAATTACAGCCATATAATTGCCTCTTTGTCTTAGTGGGACGAGATCTGACACGATGATGTCGATAATGATATAGATGCCTCCAGCACCGATACCTTGTACTGCTCTACCCGCGATGAGCGTGGCTCCATTATTGGCTCCCCCGGCGACTCCGCTGCCCAGGGTAAAGAATGCGACAATAATCAAGGTAATCCATCTTCGTCCGTAGATGTTGGCCAGTTGACCAAATAGCGGTTGAATGGCGGCTCTGGCAAAGATTGTTAGTCACCAATAGATCAGTGTAGGGAAGTAAGCGCACGACAAATTAATATGACTGACCCTGTCAAAAAGAAAACATTTGTAACCCATACGTAGTCTGCGCCCAATTTCAGCTCCGTGGAAATCTGAGGTAAAGCAGTAGTGACTACGGTGTTCTCGAGTGCACTTAAAAGACCAATTGTGGCACACGTGAAGATGATGGCCCAAAAGCGCCCAGTGGGCTTAAAACCAGTTGGCTTCGCCGATTCTTCTGCGGCAATATCATCGGAGCTAGACTCAACAGCTGCGCCTGAGGAGAATTCCCCTGATGGATTTGCTTGCTCCAGAGTAGTCATGCTGGCAAATTTCGACTGCAGTACAGAAAATTAACTATAAAATCAAAAGAAGCTAAACGCAATTTACCCTGGAGTAGCATCCTAAAAGAACGTCTGGGTACTGAATTGACTATTTTTATTCATTTATTTTGCCCTTCGATCTGTTTCGGTTCAGACGTCAGCCCGAGTAGGGTTCCGAAATAACCCTAGAGAGGTAAAAGGCATCCGAATGATACCTGAAATGGATCAAGCGCTTCCGACCGCTACCCAAAATGGACAAAGGGTTTCCAAATTAGGGTTCCGAGCGAATCAGATAGCAGTAAGCTAAGCGCTGAGGAACTTAGTATTAATAATTTGTATAGTTTGATGACGTAAAATACTAGTGGTGATATAGCTAGGGAGATAAAGGTTCAGTTGGTCGACATTCTCTCGTAGCCGGAATAAAGCCTTGGGGCCACGGAAGTTATAGCCGACGAAATCCCATACTATCCCTTCGGCCTTTTGGTGTGCAAACATACCATCGGTATGGGGCCTACGAGGAAGCTAAAGTTCTGTGAGAAATTTTCTTCTTGCCAAAGGGCCTAATAGGTCGACGTCCGTAACCCAAAGACAACAGGAAATCAAACAGACTTGCTGCGGTGGTGTGTTAGTGGCAAGCAGAATTAAATTACTTCAGGCAAAGATCAAGAATTCTTTGGGATACTCTTTTTGTATATATTGCTTCCAACTAATACTATTTTCTTGAGCACTCGCAAGCTAGTAGGTCAGCGGTGTTTGGTCTCTAAGCTCTGAAATCCGCTCTCACAATAGAAAATCGCGCTTCAGCCGATAAACCAATGTCTGTTTCAACTCGGAAAACCACAGGTGGGACGTCAACTGGTGAAATGAGGTTGCGTATATAGACCGCCGTTTGCACTTTGGTTCTCAGAATTAGGGTTAGAAATCAACGGATAGCCGAAACTAGACATCACCGGGCAGGTTCAATTCACAAGGAAAAATACATAGAAGTGAAATTCGAAGAGGCTGAAATAAGATCTCCTAAGAATAAGGGTTGTAGGGCCAAAAAATAATAACAAAGAAATAGAGTTCTCACCGAAGCGATACAAATCCCAGATATACGCACGTCAATTGATGTATAGGACTGCATCAATTAATATGGCACCAATTGACATAATAGAGCACCAAGCAAAAGAACTCTCGTATCACTCATCCCATCATTCTAAATGTCATCTTCATTGATTGGTTATTTGTCCGAATAAAAAAATATTTGTTTTCTTTTGTGACGTTGTAGCGAGAGGAGGGTTACAAATACTAACCCTAACCCTATCCATGTAAGACGAACTTTCCAGAGCTCCGGATTAATTATCCTGAGATCGGGTTTTCCCCTTTCAGCAGGTCAAAGCTTGACTAAAGCTTGACTAAAGCTTGATGCTGGGCGATCTGACCGTTCTTGTGTCCGTGTGAACTTAAAGATCTGAGCAATTAAATGAGATTCATTTTCAGCTGCCGTTCCGAGGGCTTTGACCCAGCGGCACTCTGGCCAGTCTCCGTTCGCCATGCTACACACGTGTGGATGAGATGACCGTATGTGTACCTTGCACTTCGGATTTTACGAATATTGACTGGCCTATTAGCTGTAGTGTGTATGTCTTTGGTGGAGAGTTAAATGCAGAATTTGCAGGCACCTAAATTGATTTTGGCCTTTGTTCCATACTGCGGCTTTCGCCTTAGCCATGTGTCGCAATGGATGGCTAATGAATGGGCAATTGCTCGTGGTTATACTAGCACTAACATGAGATGTGCCTACATAAATAAGCCGCTATAACTTTCGTCAGTGACATTCTCTTCTACATGTCACCAGAAAAGACTTACTTCTCAGATTGAACTTCAGGGTAAGAGCTTCAACAATGCGCTCATCCACTGCTACCACACTCGCAGCCATTGTCTCCGTGGCATCAGCGCAGCATAAATTACCTGCCAGTGAGGTGCCCTTCATTGGAGGTAATATTTTCAACGTATCTGATCCCAAACTCCTCAACTACACCTTCACCTACACAAAGCCTTTTGATCCGAGCGTCTACGGGGGCTACTATAACTGGGCAGTTAGCAACGAAACGGTCGCCGCCGCGAATTTCTCCGGGTATGACGTTGGCCAGGGTTACTATATTCCCGATGGCTCGTACACCATATACCCTTTCTTCTTGTTGAACGAGGGCAAGCCCAACGCTATCAACAAGACTGCCTTATTTCCCACTCACGAGGACGACAATGATTGCAGCCAAAAAGTCAAGAAGATCCTTCACATTGTTTTCGAAAATGAGGTCTTCAGCTGGACCATGAGCGACCCTTACTGGCAGCTGCTCGCCACCAAGGGCAAGTTGTTGACCAACAGTCACGGAATCACCCACCCTTCCCTGCCTAACTATGCCGCTCTTATTTCTGGAGACTTCTTCGGCATAGACCATGAGGACTTTTACAATGTCAATGCCACGACTATCTACGACCTTCTCGACGACAAGGGAATCAACTATGCAACCTATGCCGAGTGGTACGACCCGATTTCCACCCACCGTGGTCCTCTTGACTGCAACAACTACATCTTCAACGGCCCCATTGACAGCACGAACCCGGATTGGAATTCTCAAATCTACCGTCGTCTCGATGTCCCCGCTCTGCTCTTCTCCAGCTATACTAGCGACTACACGCGCTGCAGTAAGATCTACGATGCCAATAACACTTTCGCGGACCACGTCAAGACGCATACTCTCCCGGCTTATACATTCTACGTTCCAGATATGCTCCACAATGCCCACGATCCCGAGTCAAACAGCGACTACGTCCATCAGCCAACGACTGCCGGCTCCTGGTTCAACTCTTTCCTCGATCTGTACCTACCCGAACTCGAGAAGCAAGGCACTCTCGTAGTTGCCACGATGGATGAAGCTACCTGGCAAAACGACGATGACTCGACCCCGAACAATAACAATCATATCGTGACTATGCTCTTTGGCGCTGGTGTTACTCCAAACACGAAGGATGATACTTACATCACTCACTATGGTGTTCTTCGTGGTGCCATCCAGAATTTTGGCCTCGGTTCTCTGGGACGCAATGACACCAATGCCACCAATGGAAATCTTTATGATTTCTTCGACCATAAGAAGGCAGAGGATATCTAAGTTGTAAAACAGGAAACAGAACCTTTTCTATTTACCTTTCTTCTCGCCATTTTGTGGGTATAATATGTAGGTACCTACTAAAAACGTGGTTTTTTAGCATTGCGTCTTATGCGCTGATTTTCCGATTATAAAGGCTTTTTATTCTGAACCTAGAACCCAAATAATTTTAAGAGAAATTACATTTGCATAAACTGGCTCCTAACTGCCTTTTCTACAATTTTATCTAGCTTTGCGCAATCTCGTGGCTAACAGAAATTGAATTACGTGTAGTTGAGATATCGAATTTCCTACTACTCAATTACTTATATAGAGTCTATTGTTTAAAAATTGATTTTATTATTATCAGCTTCCTATTAAGCTACTAGAAAATGAATTTGTTGTACATTTGATAGAATTGTCTGAACCATCCATGCCATGCTGAAAAATACAAATGCTCAAGTCATATCGCGTGATTTCACTCTGAGACTGAGAACCGGACATACGATTTCGAGTCGATTCAAGTCGAGTACCGTCAACTACTCGATAGTGATCTTGCGGACGGCTGGGCGGGAGGCCTTCGGCACCACAATTGAGAGGATACCGTTCTTCAGGCTCGCCTTGACCGCATCCTGGTCGACCCTAGTAGGGAAGTTGAAGGTGCGGTTGAACTCGCCGACAGAGCGCTCGCTCACCCAGAATTTGTGCTGAGGAGCAGCTGGCTGGGAGACTTCTTTGGTGGCAGTGGTCTGGACCGTCTGGCGGTTTTCTGCGGCGTCACCTTCGACGGGCTCGTCCTCGACAGTGGCGTGCTTGGAGCTGTTCGAGGCAGTTTCGGCCTCGTCGTTGTTGTTGTTGTTATTGTTGGAGTGGTATTCACGAACGACGCGGCCCTTGATGGCTAGAGTGTGGGCGTCAACGAACTCGATATCGACGTCCTTTTGGTGAATGCCGGGAATCTCTCCGTCAAGGAGATAGGCCTCTTTGGTTTCACGGACATCGAAACGAGGAGAGAAGTGGCCGAGGGACCGGTCGGCACTGTTGCCGCGACCAGAGCGGTGGACGTCGTAGTCGTCTAGAAGACGGAAGAGAGGGGAGAAGTCACCGGTGCGTGGGAAGAGAGACATTTTGGCTGCTGCTAAGTGAATTGGAGCTCGGTTGACGGAAAATGAATTGTAGCTGTGAAGCTCTTGAGCGATGAGGATCGTTGATGGTTTGACAGTAGCTTGAAGGCTTTCGTATACTTTGATCTGCTGTGATGATTCTGGGGAAAAAAACATTTCATCCTGGCCCAACTCTGACGATGCTTATATAGACGCAGCTCAACATTCTAGAAACTCCTATGCTTAGGCAGAGAGCATGACGTGAAGCTCCAAGTTGCCGCTCGAATGCTCTAGATGGCGCTTGCAAGTAAGGTTGAAGCTTGTGGAGCCTTCCAGAAGCTGCGCGATGCTAGTGTGGGGTGCTCTTTCTTCCAATCATGAGCCGCCATTCCAAACTATCATTACTAAGGCAGTGGCCGTTTCTTGCCTGTGTTATTTGGTGTTGCTCTGTTGTATGCTGTACATTGTATATTGACGATTTTGCTGTATGTCGCATATGTATGGGATGATTGCGATAGGCAAGTGACGTCATCGACAGGTCATGTGGTTGGCCGCGTGCAGCAAAAAAGTAAATTGCTACTGTAAGACTTTATGGATTCAACATGTATGAAGAGAACTTTGGAGTTGACTACTCTATCGTACATACGAGATAAATGGGGTTCCAAAAATTGAAAACTGCGTGACGGATGTGCGCTTTTCCAAGTCTTCCCAGCTCTAACTTTTGAACAAAGCCAGAGATGAGATTCAGGACGAATAAATTTAATATACCCAACCATAAGTTGAAATCGTATGAAGACTGCCGTTATACCGTGAACAGGACGCGGAGAGTTCGTGGTAGCGCGTACGATCGCGAGGTTTAGATTTCATCTCGGAAATGGCAGTAACGGCTCGCTTTACACGGCACTGCACAATGGCATGCCGCTTTTTTTATCATCGAGATGGATAACACTGTCCGTTCCATCCTGCATAGTATATCCTTATTCCCCAGCGGTTGCAGCCCTTGTGTTGCGTAGCGCACCAATGAATCTTACAGTCCGGGCACCCACGCGTCGATCGTCCAATTTCGGTATCGACACACTCGAGGGTTCTGGAAAAAAAGGGGTTTGTAGATGAATATTGCCAATGACGAGTCTGATGAGTCTACTCCGACTCCGATTCCTCCGGCTGCATGACCTTTTGGTCGAGCTCCTACCAGCGAACAAGTCAGTATACCGCCTAAATAGTCTCTGTAGGAAACGCACCTGGCCCAGTCGATCCTTCAAAGCCTGTAGCTGGCTCTCCTTGATAACTAAATGTCGGTCATCGTCTAGGTCTTCGACGATATAATCGTGCTTTTCCTCGTCGTATTTGAGGATGATCGCCTTGACGGAGGGATCGCACTCGATGAGAATTCCTAGTTTGGTTGATTAATTTGGAATTATAATAAGGATACAGGTACCTGTTTACCTTTCACGGCGCGAGGCATTTCAATGTTGTAGAGAAGACTGTTAAGCTAACAATTCAAGATCACTGTACTTGTGAGGGATCAGAGCGAAGAGTCATAGGTGGGCCAGGTAATCATCTCTCATTGGCTAACAGTCCTGCTATCTTGTGGCCAATCACAGAAAATACGCTCTATACCAGGTCGTTAATAGGCATTGTAAATCCCGATTACAAAGTGCTTTCTAGGACGAAAATAAAGCTTTAAGCAGTCATCACGCGTAATTATGGGAGTATTGGTACATAGTCACATGTTACCAAGTTGATGCCCCAGGCATCAACTCTAGTTGGCCCGAACAACCTCGGCAGCGCAGCTCCACAGTTGCTTCATCTGTTGATGAAATAAGTTATGGACGTAACTTGTCTGACTGCTGCTATATTCACAGTGTATACCCCTAATTGGACTCTCTAACTCTGGTACTGCTTGATCCTATCGTTCGTATATCTGGCATCTTTGAACGAGTGAGCTCGGTGCGTTTTTCAAAGTATATATACAACAGCTCTTGGATACGTTAGCATCATTAACTTGGATTCTAGTCCTGATAGTCTTGAACTAACTTTTAGAACTGAGCAATTTAAGAGGCGTCGATATACGTCAATTTTAATTACGACACCTGCATTCAGTGGTTAATACTTCACAATGGCATCTGAACTACCCTCATACAAGCACTTCAACGTCACATTCCCCCGGGAATATGTCGCGCATGTCGAAACCAACCGACCTGAGAAGATGAACTCGTTCTTCGAGGCCATGTGGCTCGAACTACGCACAATCTTTGACACCTTGTCAGAACTCCCCTCGGTTCGCGCCATAGTCTTCTCAGGCGCCGGTGACCGCGCTTTCACGGCCGGTCTCGACGTCAAGGCCGCATCCCAAGGCCTTCTTGCCCCATCAGAGGGTGACTCTACAAGTGACTCTGCCCGCAAAGCCGCAAAGCTCAGACGCACAATCGCCGATTTCCAGGACTGCGTCACCAGCCTGGAACGATGCGAGAAGCCTGTTATTGTGGCCATGCATGGCTTTTCATTCGGCTTGGCTATTGACCTTGGCACGGCTGCGGATGTCCGTGTCTGTGCGAGGGATACCAAGTTCTCGGTTAAGGAGGTGGATATTGGTCTTGCGGCTGATGTCGGGACTCTGAGTCGGTTGCCCAAGGTGGTTGGAAACCAAGGATGGGTGAAGGAGGTTACACTCACGGCACGAATCTTCGGAGCCGAAGAAGCCCTGAAGGTTGGGTTCGTGAATTCAGTGTATGAGACGAAAAAACAGGCTGTTGAGAAGGCTATTGAATTGGCGGGGTTGATTGCGAGCAAGAGCCCCGTTGCAGTACAGGGAACCAAGGAGAATTTGAATTTCTCGCGGGATCATTCTGTCAAGGATGGTATGTATCGATTCGTCTCTCAATCAATGCATTATGTTGACAATGGATGCTGCAGGCCTTCGTTATACTGGTGTTTGGAATAGTGCTGCGTTGCAAACGAATGATATTACTGCCGCGATTTTGTCTGGGTTAGAAAAGCGAGTGCCGACTTTTGAAAAGTTGTAAGACATATAGGGATATTTACAAACCTGAGTATAAATATTTCGAAATTTACAAATTGACACTGGAACTATGGAACATTGAAGTTGCCTGAGTATTCGTAATCAACATCATTATTTATAGTATATAGTCATCATATCATAGACATCGTTGTATAACAAACAAGATTCGCTCGCTGTAGCTCCAAGTGTATGACTTGAATAGGTGCGTACGTCATTATCAGAACGACGATTATATAAACAGTGAATCGGAAGTCTGTAGTAAATCCTGTTAGACTCATGCTGTTTCGGACGACATTTCATCCTTCACCACACGAACACAACCTCTTTTCTCTACCCGCTGGTAGTAAGACGAAAGGTAGGGGTATCGAGTTGATCCCGCAATAATTCCTCGACGCTGCTGGACCCCGTCAAGAATAGACCATAGAGCAATATCGTCGACTGTGAAGAGCGGGCCTGCAATGTAGTGATGCTCACGTGTCAATTCTGCATCTTGTACTTGTCCATTCCAAAAGGAGAGCTCTTCAAAATCAGCACTACGGCTGTTGAGGAGATGCTTTCGCCAGGCGGTCCCAAGATGCGTGATCTCCGCCAAGCGGCTACCTCCTCGAATAAAATTAACACCCGCCCTAGCTAATGGAGAGTTCTGGTCCATAGAAGCCATGAAAAGTAAAATTTGAACATCGCCTATGACACTGGTATTGCCATCCGGGCTGATGTATGTTGTTTGGTGCGCATTTGGGTTGCTAGCTGCCGATACGGTCTCATAGCGCATACCATTTTCGACCAAACAAAGTCTGACTCGCATATCAGCAATTGTGTCCCCGCTCAGTAACACCCGAGCCACAACTGGCTCAATAAAATTGACCACATCAAACCCTCCGCCGTAGACAGTATCCCAGTCAAACTCTGTCTCCCGGTTCTCCATACCAAAAGCCTGGATTAGTTTTTCTGCTTCAGCTGCATTGCCATGAATAACCCTGCGAGGAGCATTCGACCGTTTAGACACGGCACCCTGGCCCCATATCGTTTGAGATTCTGGGTTAATAAAAGTACCAATGTTTCGAAATGTCAATGAAATACGCTCGCCGTTGAAATCTTTTTCCTCTGGTGACTTTGCAGACTCGGGACGCTTGTCTGGGCGGATGCCGTGAAGCCAGCGCATGTTGGATATTGGGCCAAGTACAAACATTGACTCATGAGGCATAGGCACTTGTTGTTTCTGCCGACCCGAACCGGTGTCGTTGTCAGTCTCAACTTCGTTTCCGGTCAATGCAGACAACTTTGTTCGTAGGGTCATGGTTCGCTTCGCCCCTAATGAAACGTTTACAATTGACGAGCCACGAACGATATCGAGGGTCTTGTCAGAATGCTCCGATATACGATCCTGTCCGTCGCGGTACAGTTGTATGAGGACATGATTCAAAGGGTGGCCCAGTATTTTCTCAGCAGCAATACGGACCGTATTCACAGTCGGCGTGAATGGCTCTAGGATTGGAGATTCGTCTGCAGGATGACGGTAGATCGGAATTGAATTGTCTGGTAAAATTGCTCCCTGAACGGCAACAAGTCGGGGAACTTGTCCAGACATGTGGTACATCTTCTGCCAGTTAACTTCCTCGTGGATTTCAGCAAACGCATCCAATGGCAAATTAAGGTTGTAAATAATACGTGAGTCTCCCTCAGCGATGACATCATTTGGCCCTAGAGTATTGTTAGAAACCTTATTTTTTCTTTTGGGAATGCTTGACGGAGACGATGTGAGCGGTGCTGATGCCGGATGTTTGGGAGGCGTTGGAGGGCTGGCATTAGGAGCTTTAGTTGTAGTAAGAACAGGTGAAGTAGAGGCCCTCCTGGGAGCTGACTCTACAGAGCTCGAGCCTGGTCGTCGAGAGGAGGATGGAGAGTGTCTGTCGGTTTTGGGTCGGCGCATTCTTGCATGGTTGGGACCTTGCGGGCGCGTTTCCCTCAAACCCCGTGTAGACGCACGCAGATATTTACTAGGGGGCAAGATAACGGGACCATCATCGTCATCGTCTATGTTATCATCCGCTTCAATTTCGATAGAATCATGGAAAGTGGAATTCTCCCCCGTGCTCCGCGAAGAATCCGTAAGGCGTTGTTTCTCGGCACAATCGTGTCTCTCTACTGCGGGAGAGGAACGAGACGCAGGCGGCGAGTTTTTAACAGCTAGATGATCGAGAACGCCCTCGATACCGGCAGGGGTAGTCGTGCGGGTCTGCTGAGAAGGACTTGATCTCTGGGGCCCATCCGGCTGTCGTCCCGGGGTCGTAGCTCGGGCTATCTCCTGCGTCTCTTGCCAATCTTGGTCCTCAAGAAGCTCCTGAGCTGATATCCCATTAGCACCGACGATATCAGCGAGCCGTCGGACGGCTTCCTCGTGACGGGCAAAACTTCGAAAGCCCATGCAATCTTCGACTAGGGTGATAGTGAACCCTTGTTGCGCGGCATCAAGGGCAGTAGCATATACAGATACATTTGACAGACTGCCGCAAAGGTACAATTCAGTCACAAAGCGAGAGCGTAAAGACAAGACCAAGCCAGGCGATTGTAATGCAGAATAGTCGGATTTCTCGATGACGATGTCATGGTCGTGATCAATGGCGGTCAATATCGGAGCCGGAAACTGGACGCCAGATGTTTGAGGTTGGCAGGCAGGATCCGGCCCTGAGAGGAATGCTTCGGGATCAATCCCCTCATTTACCTCAATATTGCTTCGACTCCCACCGCGCCCTCGATGTCCCTTTTTCTGATTCTTGCTGTCCAGTGAACCGGCGGAGATTATTATTCGTTCGCCACCGTAATCGGGATCGACGACAGGACGCGGCTCCTCAAACTGGGTACGCACCCAGACAACCTCGCCATTGCGACGGAAGCTCTGGGCCAGCCCTGGGATCTGATCCAGAAAATCCTGGGCATTCCCGACAGGCAGACGACCGTTGGGGCGGACAAAGTCATTCTGAAAATCAAGCAGCAGCAAAGCTTTTCTTGTCTGGATGGAAGGAAGGTTGAAGAACGAGGGGAGAAGGGCAGGGGCGCTCATGGCGTGAGCTTCATGGTCCTTGCAGCAGTCGTGGAGGGAGCGGGGTGTGGAAATACGAAGTGCAGTGTCGCACTCGAGGATCGCATAGGACGGTCAGGCGGCACACATAGATGTCGTACATAGATGTCAGGTTCGGGGTGGGAAGGGGAAGTAAGATCTTTAGAGCCAGCTCAAGGTGATCACTGAGCCGATAGGACTTTTCTTTTTTTGCAGGTTGCTGGTTGCATGATGGTGCGGACAAGGGAGGGGACGACAGAGTGCAGTGACCAACGGCGGAGGAAGCCACGCCCAGCTGATATGCACCCAACACGGACGCCAATCAGTAGTGTCTGCCACTCGTATAGTTGCTGTGCAGAGAGAGCATTTGGCCCCACGAGGATAATTGTGAACAAGCAGCGATTTAATTGTCGTGCGGCGAAACAAAACAATGCTATATGCGACAACAGCCGATTCGTACTTTCTCTAAGGTGTATCTACGACTGCGGTTCTTCCGAACTAATCAAATTCGCCAGCCTTTTAGCGCATCATTAAGATCGACATCCGTGCTGTGCTATTTAGTCACTGTAATTGCTAGCAACGAATTTACTTGGGCCAAGGTAAATAATGATGGGAAACGTTGGGGCATGATCATAACTTATCCGCCAGATCATGTGTTGTTCGCAGTTATGTTAAATACTTCATCAGTCTATGAAGACACAAGCGAGGAGAGCAAACATAAACACGTGATCCAGATCACGTGCAAGAGTGTTGACGTTGTGGGTGCCAAGTCTTGTAGATTCTCGCGCCGTGCGGCGGGGCAGCGTGTGAGTTCCCCATTGGACAATACGCGGGGCTGCCAGAGGATGCGATCCTATTGGCCAACATACGCCGCGATCGGTATGCTGACTAAGATGCTAACCAATGGTGTCGGCTGCGCGGAGGACATGCTCGACTCCGGGAATCACATGACCAAGGCTAGCCCAACTTTTTCGGGGAAGCTGTGCTCCCCTCCAGGTTAGAGTCATTCTGCCCTTGTTAAAAGCTTCTCGTCGCCCGCCAACATTCGTCTGTCTATCCCCAAACCCCTCTCCGCTCTGTGTGTCTTCGTCTACTCAATTATCTTGTAATTGATCTTCTTTTCGTTTCATTTACATCTACCTACACATCATGGCTTCCAAGACCATTCCTCGCGCTCTGCGCCTCTCCAGCCGTGTGGCTGTCCCCCGTCGCACATTCGTCTCTACCGTGCGAGCTCGCCCTTCAGCTGTCAATGCCAGCGCTGTCCGCAGCCCAGTGACTGTGCCTGCTCGTGGCATCAAGTCAATTGACTTTGCCGGCACCACAGAGACCGTCTATGGTAAGCGCTGCCGACCAGACCATTGATCCCTTTGCATTCCAACTAACGTAAGCAGAGCGTGATGACTGGCCTCGAGAGAAACTTCAGAAATACTTCCAGAACGATACCCTTGCTCTCATCGGCTACGGCTCCCAGGGCCACGGTCAGGGTTTAAACCTCCGTGACAACGGCCTCAACGTAATTATTGGTGTCCGCAAGGATGGTGCTTCCTGGAAGGAAGCCATCCAGGACGGTTGGGTCCCAGGCACCAACTTGTTCGATGTTGAAACAGCCATCAACAAGGGTACCATCGTCATGAACCTGCTCTCCGACGCTGCCCAGTCCGAGACCTGGCCTAAGATTAAGCCCCTTCTCACCAAGGGCAAGACCCTCTACTTCTCCCACGGGTTTTCCCCCGTCTTCAAGGACCTCACCAAGGTTGAGGTTCCCACCGACATCGATGTTATCCTCGTTGCCCCCAAGGGATCCGGCCGTACCGTCCGCTCTCTCTTCCGTGAGGGTCGTGGTATTAACTCTTCCATCGCCGTCTACCAGGACGTCACCGGCAAGGCCAAGGAGAAGGCCATTGCCATGGGTGTTGCCGTCGGTTCCGGCTACCTGTATGAGACCACCTTCGAGAAGGAGGTCTACTCTGATCTCTACGGCGAGCGTGGTTGCCTCATGGGTGGTATCCACGGTATGTTCCTCGCTCAGTACGAGGTTCTCCGCGAGCGCGGCCACTCTCCCTCTGAGGCTTTCAACGAGACTGTCGAGGAAGCCACTCAGTCTCTCTACCCCCTGATTGGTGCTAATGGCATGGACTGGATGTACGCTGCCTGCTCTACCACCGCCCGCCGTGGTGCCATCGACTGGTCCCCGAAGTTCAAGGATGCCTTGAAGCCTGTTTTTGACGAGCTGTACACCAGCGTTAAGACTGGCAAGGAGACAACCCGCTCTTTGGAATACAACTCGCAGCCCGACTACCGCGAGCGCTACGAGAAGGAGTTGGAGGAAATCCGCAACCTTGAGATCTGGCGCGCTGGAAAGGCCGTCCGCTCTCTCCGCCCTGAGAACCAGAAGTAATGGGTTTGACTGTTTGTTAGCCGTGTAATGTAGATACCTAATGAATGAAAAGTTACGTTTTTGTTTCTACTTCCTACCCAGCGTTCTGCGAAGTCCAAAATACTGTCTATATCAGCTGGAGGATAGATGCGGGGAAGCTGATACCTCAATTAATTAGCCTTCGGCCCGATCTCCGACAAGCCGATACAGAAACTGCCCTTAAATACCCCTCAGTCATCTCGCATTGCCATTCACAATCTCACCATCTCTCTTTAACCATCATGACTGAACCAGGAAACCACCTACCCCTCTCCCCCTCCAATATCGCGAAAGCGCATACCCTGATAAAACCGTACATTCACCATACTCCACTCCTAACAAACACCACCCTCAACACAATCGCGTCAACCCCGCAGGCGACATCGGACCTTGAGGGCACATCGTGGGAAGGCCAATCGCCAGCTAACCCCAAAATACGGTTTTACTTCAAATGCGAGAATCTGCAGAAAATCGGCGCGTTTAAGGCGCGCGGTGCTTTCCATGCGCTGCTGAGACTTATTGAGGAGAAGGGCGAGGAGGAGGTAAGAAAAAGGGGGGTTGTTACGCATAGCTCTGGTGCGTGTATAAATATTTTTTCGTTTATAGTAGGTCTTTTTCTAATTGGATATTTTGAATAGGAAACCATGCCCAAGCTCTAGCCCTCGCCGGGAAAACATTGAATGTCCCCGCGTACATCGTGATGCCGTCTATAAGCACACCGAGCAAAATCGCATCGACACAATCCCTCGGCGCCAAAGTGGTTTTTAGTGGAAGCACAGAACCCGAACGCGAAGCTGTCAAGAAGGAGGTTCAAAAAGAGACCGGCGCTATTTTCATTCCCCCGTATGACCACCCTGATATCATGCTTGGTCAGGGTACAGTGGGGCTGGAATTGGAGGGTCAATATGAAGCGTTGAAAGGGAAGGATGAAGGGAAGAGCCTAGACGCTGTTTTCACGCCTATAGGTGGTGGGGGGCTTAACGGCGGTGTTGCGACGTGGTTCTCGGTCCCGTCGAAAGAGGGACGACAGAAGACACTGGTGTTCGGCGCGGAGCCATCGTTCGAAGGTGGGAATGATTGTCAAAGGGGTTTGGCGGCTGGCAAGCGTGTCGAATTTGTGTCTACGAAAACCATAGCAGACGGTTTACGAACTCCAGTTGGCCTGCATAATTGGGCTGTGATTTCCGATCCTTCGAAAGTTGCCGGTGTGTATAGTGTCAGCGATGACCAGATCAAAAAGGCCATGCGATTGGTGCTAGAAAGGATGAAAGTGGTTGTTGAGCCAAGTGCAGTTGTTGGATTGGCGGTTTGCTTGTTCGATGAAGATTTTAGAAGAAAGGTCGAGGAGGAGGGTGGGCAAGATGGCTGGGATATAGGGATTGTGTTCAGCGGTGGCAACACAACCGTCGAAGCTATCAGTGCTTTATTCACCTCAAAGTAAATATAGACATACACAGAAGCTCTGCTGAGATGCAAACAGTGATGGAGAAAGGTCATATAACATCAGCCATCAAATCATCCATGAACACACCATCTGCTCTTATCCAGAACGGAAATCCTCCATTCTCAGGCATATTCCTTAATGCACTTAGGACAGCTGGCGGCCAGTCATCCTTTCCCCATGTGTCTATCCAAGCCGAAAACTTTCCCTGTCGAACAACACCTTGACGAATAGGCGCATCCCGCTCCATTTCTTTCAGCGTAGCTGTAACCGGGTAGGATCGAACCGCGTCCCGCTGGACGACGAGTCGTAGGGTAGGAAATGTGCCCCATGGAGATGGAAGATGAGGTTTAAAAGATGGCGGGCCAGCCCATAAATGTGCATACGCCACATTTCTATCAGATGGTGCACGGAAAAGACCCCACGTTGTGTATATTATCGAGCAGTCGAAGATTGACTGAATGCGCCGAAGCTCTACGACCAGCTCGCGGTAAAGAACGCTCATATGGAATTTCTTTCGCTGCTCACGGTCATGCGTAATGTCTGCGGCGCTACGCCCGATTTCTTCAGTGCGTGCGACTTCGTCTCGCATACGATCCTGCCAGTAAAAAGCGCTGGCGCTGTCGAGCAGGATCGCGTGAAGCGGCCGTGTAGCTGAATGATGTCGGGTCACATCAAGAAGGTATTTGCCGAGTGTCTTTAGTGTAGCTAGTAAGGAGAGTGATGTCTGTGGCCGGAAAATGTGGACGTGCTGTAGCGAGTCGTGGAGAAGAGACTTGATATCCTGTTCGCTTAAGACCCTTTCCGTGGTAGTCTCCTCGGTGACCTTCAAATTGGCCCTGAGGTTATTCCAAACGACGCCTTCGGCAATTTGATACAATCTTTTGACCTCAAGTTTTCCATCCGTGTCCAGCAATACAACGGCCCCATCTCGGCCTCCCGTTGTCCTGCCTTTGAAGGTGGATGGGAGAACGGATACGGCAGCTAGGTAGTAAACAAGCTGCGATTTACCGCCTCCGGAATTAGGGCTTGAAATCTCAAGAACGGGCAGTTTGTACTGTTGACTACGACTAGAAGAGAGTCTAGGGACCGTTGGAGACTCGGAGCTGCTGTGGTCAGCGGTAGACGGACCCTGACATGGTGCTGAGCCTCTGTTCAAGAAGATATCCAGTAGGTCATCTATGTACTTAACACCAAGGACAGGATGGTTCGTCCCATTGTCATTAGGGGACAAATGCTGAGTTCGCAGATCATGCAGGAGCTATGGTACATATTAGCAAGCAGCCAACAAGAATCGCGAAAGATTCACTTCATCTAAGCCCTCCTCATGAACTTCATCCAGTAGCCGTCGCCCCAGCACGGCAGCGGCGGAATCCATGCCGCATACTTTAATACATACAGGGCATTGCGCTGTTTGCGACGACAAGGTATCAATATTGACTGTCAAGAAAACAGTGATGAGGTTAAAGGCGGCAGGTCCATATAATTACAGCAGCCAATCAATTGATCTGTTTCGGGTGGGCCCACGTTCATTATTGGTATCCAATCGACTTCCAAGCTCAACTACCCCTGGATCAATGAAGTAGCCCAACTTCACTGCTTCAACCTATCATACTCATCAAGTCTGTCACTGTTTCAATCCACAGTAGTTTGCTGCATATCAATGACAAGCCCAAGTGCCTTAGTGTGTATCTTAGTGAGGAGGATTTCAGGAGGATTCTGTCCAGAGTTTAGTACAGCGGCAGGATAGTTGATTTAATTCACGGCATGAGTCGAATTGATGTCATAATTCACGAGAAATAAAGAAGGAGTTAGAGGTTGGTCTCATTGAAGTACGAAGGAGAAGAATATCCGTTGAAAATCAGACTATTTAGGAAAACGTCAACTGGCAGTGTGGCCCGTGGAAAGCCCGCCTAGTTATCTTGGTTCCAAGCAACGTCAAAATGACAGCTTCTTTTGGAGGCATCTTCTATGTGTATTTTAATGTCAGATATCACAGATGTAGCATATTGTTTCAAAGATGCTGAATCCATCAAGACTTATCTACAGGTACCACTGCTGATTTCCTCAACCCAGCCGGCACCCACTCATCTGGCACGGCCTGTGAACGATACACTAATGGTGTAAGGCTGAGTCTATCGACTCCTTCAACACGTGGTTTAGTCACTTCGGGTTCTCCTGCCACCCCATATCCGTAGTGTGGGCTGTAAAATTCCCACGCAACTTTGCCCTCAGCGTTTACCTGAAAAATACGGCCATTCATACCTTCGGTGATCAACGTGTTGCCGTTCGGTAGACGCTGTGCATTACTCACAAAAGAGCTAAAGAACGTCCAGGGTGGCAGACCAGAGTCTTCTGCGGTGTATTGCCAAACTATCTGCTTAGTGGTTGGATCAATTTCGAGAATACGGGAGCCAGCGTATATTCCCAGGGCTGCAGGCGGGTAGCCAGCTCCTCCTTGGTTATCGAAAACGAGTATATTGCCAGCTCCTGGAAGACCTTTAGGAATGAAATGGGGATTATGTTGACCAGATATTTGATCCAGAGGCCGTGGTACATTGTGTCGCAGTATCCGTTGATGCTGGTCCCCGGACTTCTCGTCAAAATAAGGTCCTAAACGCCACACAATTCGACCTGTTGTCTTATCGATGATACCGACAACATTTGCTTTTCGGAAACTGACTATAATATTTTCTGGGTGAAATATCGAGTTTACTTCCGGGTTCTTCTCGTACCACTGATTCGGTCCCAGCGCCGATGCGCTATTCATCTCCAGACACCCCCATGGATTACCAGGATCTCGCGCGACAGTCTCACGTAACAACTCTAATCCACGCTCAGAAAATCCCAGATCAGATATATGATCGCCAGAGCTCCATTCCCACACAACTTTTCCATCGGGGTTCACCTCCACGAGACCTTGATCTCCGATGACATGCGGGCCAAGATCTTCAACTACCCGAGGTACAGTCACTAATACCAGCCAATTTTCATTTGGAAGCAATTGCCAGTCATGATTCTGACGCGCCGCACCACTTGGTGCCTCTTTACCCCATTCCCACAGTCGGTCACCATTCCAATTTAGCTGGCCGATTGAGCCATTGGCGTAGATGCCACCACGAACATCGCCGCTTTCAGAGAGTTGAAGACCAACGGTTCCTTTCTGCCCTCTAGTTAGGGCTGGATCAAGTATTCGTGGCGGTACGCCTGGAAATGTCCATTCATGGATGATTGTACCATTAAGATCGATAAGTCGCGTGAATGAATCTGCACCGGTGAAGAGAATAAATGTGTCATATGCGAGCTCTGGGTCGGCATATGTCACCCCTGTAAGTCGCACGTAACCCATGTTTCTCCGTCTTCCTCTTTGATCAGAATGATATTTTTGTCGGTTTATAATCTAACTAGTCAAGTCAACTTTCGAGAAAAGAAATATTACCACGGCTGAAGAGTTTTGGTTAACCACAGGTAATCCGCAACCACAATTCCGTCAATCTAGATACATGCGATAAATAATGTAATTTAATAATTATTAGAGAATAAACTTTTCACCAGAAATTCCCGACTCGTACAGTCGGGACAACGCGACCAATGTGCAGTCTTATACATCTCCAACATTGTGGATAAGTAAGCGCACGACGGATTACGACAGACCAAGCAGAATGGCGTGCGGCCGCTCAATAAAATCGCCGGAACTAGAAATAACTTGATAAAAGCAGAAGCTACTGTAAACAGTACGAAATAGAATTTTGATTACTCTTTAAAGGTTTCACTCTTCTTTATATTATACAAAATAAATTGAAATATTTGATATTTAGATGCTATGCGGATTGACCAACAGACCTTCAATAATTCAGCAAAGAAGCCTATCCCCATACAGCTCAATTTACCATGACAGTAGACATAGAGAAAAGAGCAGCACCATCAGATCCAGATGGCAGCGGATCAGATGGCTCTGATATTTTCGAGACTCTGGCCGCGCAAGAGAAGACCCGCGATATCAAATATCGGACTATGTCATGGCAAAGATGTGCTCTGCTTCTATTCGGAGACCAAGTATGTCTTGCAATCATGGCCCAAGCTTGGACGTTAAGTGTTCTGGGTTGGGTTCCTGGTCTAATCACTTCATTTCTATCTGGAGTATTATTCTGGATCACCAGCTATACTATGTGGCAGTTCATCATGAAGGTAATCACTTAATCTTCATCTCTTTTCCGGCTATCTTGCTAATAATAGTTCAGCATCCTCATATCCGCGATGTGTGCGATATAGGATATCTTCTTTTTGGCCGTAATCGCATTGCATACTACGTCACCATGGTTGGCCTGCTACTGTACAATGTCGTGCTGTGTGGTTTCCATATTTTAACCGGGGCCCAAGTGTTGAATACCGTGTCAGATCACTCACTTTGCTCTGTCAATTTCGGAATCATTGTTACCCTCATTGCGATCGTGCTCTCATTGCCCCGCACTCTGAGCCATATCAGCCTCATCTCAATCGGCAGCGCAATCTGCATGGCCCTCGCAATTCTCCTGTTCATGATATTTGCAGGCAAAGAAGATTACCCTGCCGAGTATCCAACCCTCGGTACGGTAAAAACGTACGCCTTTCCACAAGAGGAAACAACCTGGGTCGACTGCCTAAATGCCGTTCTCAATGTAGCCTTCCTGTGGTTTGCACAAATCCTCTTCCCGACTTTCATTGCGGAGATGCGCCAGCCACGGGATTTTCCAAAGGCTCTGGCTGCATTCTCAATTGCTTCATTTATCCTCTTCCTTGTTCCCGCTATCGTCGGCTTTTATTATCTTGGTCAATACACGGAGGCACCGGCATTTGGATCTCTGCAGGAGCATTATAAAAAGGTATCATACGGTCCCGTCATTGTTCCAACAATAGTCATTGGCGTGATATACGCAAATGTTTCGGTAAAATTCGTTTATCGCCTTGTAATGCAAGATTCGCACCACCAGCATAGTCACACTGTAATAGGTTGGGGAGTATGGGTTATTCTGATGGCAATTTATTGGTTTGTTGCATTTGTCTTCGCAGAGGTAATTCCAAATATGGGCGACTTTGGCACAATTCTAGGAGCGTCTTTTGATTCTCATTTCGGTCTTGTTTTTTGGGCTGTCGCTTACTGGCACTTATTCCGGGGAAAGTTTTTCGCAACTCCATTGCGGGCAGCCTTGACTGTCATTCATATTTTTGCTTTTATTGGCGGGCTTTTTCTTTTCGGTCCGGGACTCTATGCGTCAGTCAAGACTATAGTTGCAGACTATGCGGATACGACACGCCCTGCGTTTTCGTGTGAGAACCTTTCTCTTTGATTCACTAAAAACCACTTTATTGGTTATTCAATATTCTAAACGATCAATCCCCAAGGAGCGGAGGAAAGCTGCCGAAGTGAGTTTCTAAACCTCATTCCTTTGAGACATGTCTCCGAAAACCATATAAGTATTTAATGTTCCTAGCCCATTACTAGTAGTTTACATATTTGTATATCTATCGCCTTGAATTATCAATTTTGATCAATGATGGAGTGCATTGAGGCGCGTACGGAAGTCACTATACCAGACCGTTGATGCTTTAGGGTTTTATTGGTAAGGAGTACATATCTACCTCCCAGCCGATGTATAAAATAGTTGCATAAAATGTAGATCATATAAGTCAGTAATACATATATAGATTAATGATTCATCAAGATCTAGCATGACATATCTAAATATATCACATATGCAGTTCAGTCATAGCTAGAAGGAATTCTCGTCATTCCAGATATTAGTTACATAGATTTCCTATTATCAAAAGCGCCTACAATTAAAATACGTCCGAATGACTCAAATTACGGCGTAGCTCAATATGCCAGGTTGAATCGTTTGACTCAACCCCGCCCCTGAAATCCGAATCCTTCCGTTTATCTAATGGTTTTCGTCTTTGAGAAAAAAGGAACAGAATAAAGAGTCACCACGATGCCTGACCCTTCCAACCTAATACTGGAGTCATTCATGTCTATAAGTCCGATTCCTCTTATACACTTTTCTCAACAGTCGCAAATATAGTCACTCAGATATTCACTTTTCATCTTCTCCTCTCAAACCACTAAGCTGTTGGTCAAGCTTTAATTCTATCCAGTCAATTATACTATGGTGTCTACAATACCTCGGGATATTCCTATCAGCTGGAACTTGATCTGGAATATTCATGGTGTCTACGACGAGTTAAGAGGACGGAGGCCGTACGTGGGATTATATCCACACTTCTCTACCAAACAGCAAGTCCGTTGACGGCTACGAGATCCAACGCCACCAAAACATCCAAATTTACTTATCCTTAACTCGGATTTGAGACACGCAGTTGTTATGACTGGCTATCCCCCTACAGCTAGCAGCCTGGTAGTATCCTTTTTCCGTGGAAATGGGGTTTGGGATCGATAGAGACCATCCTTGGGTCAATAGACACAAGCTTTGTAACCCATGTTATCAATATTGGGGAGGCTATAACATAGAGCCTACGATCGTCAGCTATAATACTGCTGATGAGGGAGATATATCCTTAAAAAAAGGCATGGCGATACTAAGCCCGGCATCTTACACTTTTAATAGCTGAATCTTTGCTCTGTACCTTGCTCCATTTACAGGACATTTTTGCGCAAATATCAGAGAGATAATCTCTGACCCGAACCTCGGGCTTGTGAAGGCACAAGGCCTTGCTTTTTTGACGTGGTGTAAAATGTGGGTGAGAACTGTCTCCGGGTGGGATTAAAAGACCACTGAAAGGAATTAGAGTAATTAAACTGACGAACAAACAATAGCCTTGCTATGCGGCTGTGATGATTTTCATTAGATCATATGTTACTTTCACATTGTAACTAAAGTTTGATCAGACAGAATCATAAATCTAACAATACCTTATTTCCTGGAACACATTGAGAACATCACATTCGTCACTAAGTTAAGAAATGTAGTTTAATTGATATTTCAAATAATAATTATAATGTTCAAGTTGACCAAGTTGACCAATTCTATCATGACTAAGACATTTGACTCATATTTTTGTAATTCTTCCCATGTCGATTGATGTAACAGTCCGTCTTTTGAGTAATCAATCTGACCAACTTCGTGTAACGACTCCAATTTCGGCTCTGTTACCGAATGACTACAAACATTGACTCAATCCAAAACAGAAAACTGACTAATTCATTGCATATAAAAATCCCAATTCCTACAATGCACTCTTGAACTTTTCAACACAACCAACCATTGAATTAACATTTTCGCAATTCAAATAACGATACTCTTATATCACCCATATCAGGGATACCAATCAAGCCATGTCTCTAACTGGAACTGCCTCCTCTTCGGGCCACAATTTCGAATGGAGAAAAGTTGACCAGTGGGATGACCAGGACTACCTGTGGGTAGAGGTTGGACTGTGGTCTAATAGATTCCCTGTTCGGGTGGATGGACCAAGGCCACATAATTTCAATGTTACAGTAATCCGTTATGGCTACATCGAAACGAAAGTGTGTGAGTCGACTTTGATGGAGGGCAGATTTCCTGTTCCTATCCCGAAATACCTAGTCGAGAGACCCGGAGATTATCAAATTTCGATCAATCGATCACTTGAGAACTTGCCCACATTGGGCACAGGAATCTATGAAGAAAGCCGTTCATGCGAGTTTACCTTTGCCGTTCCCCGCCCAGGTCGGTATACCCCAACATCTATAACATTTTCATTTGGTGAAAACAAAAAAGGAAGGAAAAAGCAGCTAACCGCCAAGCAATTCTCCAGATCCAGTGTCCGATTTCAAATGGAAAATCTTGAAATACTATGATGTACGAGTAGAAGGAGAAGCTTATAAGCTCATAGAGGTTCAACTGGAATCCCATGGGCAACCTTTTCCAATTCAAGACAGCCAAACAGAATGGTCTTTTGAACTCGAGGTATTTTATGACGTACCTAGTCCCAACGACGATGTCGACGATCACATGTGTACTACCATTCTTCGAGATGGCATATTTCATGTGCATGCTCCCATTACGCTCTTTGAAAGGCATGGAACGTATGGGGTTAGGGTCAATTGGGAACTCGATGGCATTGCCTCTCTAGGCCAGCGGAGGTATGAAAATTGCCGTGAGGACAATATTAGCTTTACCGTGGACTAGCAAGGTCAGTTTGCAGTTCCAATGTATACACTATTTCAACAGTGAAACGAAAAAGGAGAAAAGTAATTGGAATAAGCTGCCTAACGACTCAATTATAGGTACGGGCTCCATTGACGAATAGTTATCGTTCATACCGCATGCTCCAGGTCGCGATGCAAATCCGTCGCACTCGGTCTGTTAGTCAGTCATACTGACGTCTAACAATTCTTTTTCTTTTTCTCTACACTAGACTGTGGACATTCATGTATGCTAGTTGGCTAGCTTAAGATAGTAATCCGAGTACTCTACACCATATTCATGTGTAAGTATTAAGGGCGGCAGTCAATTGTTCTATAGTATGCAGCAAGAGCACTGTAGGCAATATTGTAATGGGCCAGCTTTTGGTGGTTTAGAGTCAGTTGTGTTGTTGAGTAAAGATAGAGACGTCGTCTATAGATAAGATCGCTAGGCGGGTCTTATCGGGAAATCTCCAAGCCGGAATTTAGGCCTCGCTGCTTCCTGTCACTACACCTCTCAAGCCGACAACCAAGCTAAAGAAACAACTCAATCCGCCCAACTTCCTCGCAAAACACATCAATGGCACCTCTCATTCCCATTTTTTCGACGGCGGACCTCCCCGATCGCGTGCAAATCATCCAGAACGGCTTCAAAGAAAAACGGCGCAAAGGCGACCCTGTTGATCTGCACAAATGCGAATTGATGGAACTCGTGCAGTACTCATGCAACCCGCCTTCAGAAGGTATCCAGGCTCCCGGTGTTGTGAAATGCAAGCCGATTGTGAGGCTTTTCCGGCGGTGCGTTTGTTTCATCATTTGGGATTAAAGAAGATTGCTGACTCGGTATTGCGGGTTTAGGTGTGCGGGTGGTCCGACGGTAGAAACGACGAGTTGGGAAGCAAGTCCTAGTAGCAGCTCGAAAGCGAGTGCGATAGATACAATGGAGAAGCCGTGATATCATTTCCGATCGAGCTGGGATCGATTGTCTATACTCTCTCTTCTTGTATTATATTTGATTTAGAAAGCGGCGGATAATGTGTTATGAAACCTTTCTTATGTGCTATGCTATGCCATCAATATCCTCGATAATATGCGTATGTAAATAAAACTATCAAACCAAATCGGGTATCTGAGCTATTAAAAACAACCACCAAAACGCCTCCATCATATGCAACTGTAAATTGCGCTGAATCTGCTTTAAGACGAAACCCATCGCTCTACCTTCGCGATAACGGGATCCTTTATGTCGACCGGTTTTTCCGTCTTGGGCGACCCTGTCGCTACCTTTCTCCAGAAATCTCGCTCACAATTGACTATCGGCGCCAGTTCAATATTCGCCATGGAAAACCTCGCCGGTTTCTGGGTCGATCCATCCGTGTCTAAGGATTTTCCATCCGGCTGGTACTTCTTGGTGAGCCCGCGGATAGTCTTCTCAAACATACTCTCCATAGTCTCGCTCTTTCGACCCCAGAGCCGTTTCTCTCCTTTGCCCACGCCAGCTACATGCGTGTCCTTGAACGCCGCGCGCGCCAACTTCCGCAGCGCTTCTTCCCCATGCCGACCATCCTCAGTTCCAAGCTCTCGAATCCGCTGTGGGTCCGTCTCTCTGTCCGTATACACTGGGGTGAATCGATATGTGTGTATGCTTGGAAACTGAGGGAAATGCGCGGGAATAAAGCCGCTCTGCAACCGGTCTCTTTCACCACTTAGCTCGTCACCTAGAATGGGGATGCTGAGGAATGCATCAAATGGGTCTTTATCCTCGGGTGGCGGGCTGGGTAGGAGTGTCGGGATGGGTTCATATGGTTCTGTTTTGATTTGTGGCAAGAGCTCGTCTGTGCTAATGAACGCTCGCTGGAAGGCGTATTCAAAGTCCTGGGGGATAGGCTGCATGCGGCGTGACGAGATCATCGACTGGCGCACGAAGGATGCTAAGTGAAGGATATCTGCGACTTTGTAAGATCGAGCTCAAGAACGCTTTCGTTCATCAAAAAGCTGGTGTGAACATACACTCTTCAGTGGCCTGTCGGAAGGCATCTAAGGCTGTAGGTTCGGCGATTTCATAGCCGGTGGATGCGAGCACCTGTCCGATCGACCGGTTCAAGAGGTGCGTGATGGTGGCATCGTCGGGGATGGCCGGTTCTTGGAGGTCGGTTTGCACACGTTGCTGGAGTTTGTGGTGGTGGTGATAGGGGCGTTTCTGCCCCTTGAGGTGTGGTTCGTGTAGAGACGATAGCGACGATGACGAGCGCTTCAGCGATGTCTCTGTGACTTGCGCCATGGCACAGGTTGGAGAAGCCTTGCTGAGGTACGGTGAGCTTCAAGTTGCGGGAAGAGCTCAAGGAAGCGGTCTGGTCACGTGATATCGCACGCAATCTTTAGTTGTACTCAGCATTTGTCTGAACCACCTCATTTATTGACTATAAATCCAGCAATAAAATTCCAATGCGTAATATCTTCCAATCCAACTCAGTTTCTGCTCACCTCCAACACTCACCACATTACTGAGCATTACTGGACATGACTGAGTAGTGAGCACACATGGTGAGAGACCGGCTAACCCGATCCGGCCCGGTCTTGGCGCGGCATCAGCTAACGTCAATCTTGCGATCCTCACGCAGACCGAGCACTCCCCTCTCATCCAGAAATAAACCGCCAGGAACACTCTTCTGGGTGCCCGCAATCTCCTCCCATACATCTGACGAATATACTCACGGAGTTTTCACGTCGCAATGGCTACCGCTATCGCTCCTATCACTGGCGTAAGTGATTCCTTGATCTCCCGAGAATGACGGCGATGCGCTTCAGCCTCTCTCAGATCGATCAATTAGCTATCTACTCGGTAGTATGTGGTGTGATCGGTGCTAACAGTAAACAGATGCTCCGCCGGGGCCTTGTCCTTGACCTCAGCACTGCTTTCGGTGAGTTTTCCAGGTATCGTCGTTAAGCCGAGGGAATACCCATCCTGGTCTGCCGATGTCGACATTGTTGCTCTCTCAACTATTCAACCTCGATACGAAATAAATCATTAATTCTGGGCTCGAACTGATATCTCGAATAGGCCTCGGTACCACTTTCGGATACCTCTGGTGGTACGGTATGTATACACAAACAAAAAAGTCTATCATCCCGCGATCCTCTACTAACTCACATCAAGGCTTCCACCTCCCCCGCGTCCGCGCCCGTGACAGCTACTATGCCCGTATCGAGAACGAGCGTGCCACCGAGAAGGCCTAAGCGACGAAATATGTCATCGCTCATTGAACGTGTTGATTGTACGCTGGAAGTTGAGGGAAGTTGAGGGATCAATAGAATATTTCTTGATTGTGCAATATTTGTATATAAATACAAAAGAAAAAGAAGCATTTCGACTAGTTGAGGAGGTTGAGTGTGGAAGAAACAAACAATACAACAAGATCAAATTCCTTTTGTCTTATATATGATACCGCTTGCTGCAGTAGTACAGATTTGACATCTTCTCATACCATGACTAATTTTCAGCATTCAACCATGCAGACCTCACGCATAGCCAGGATTGAAATCAAAAGTAGCAAAACTTCCATACCTCATCATCATTGCTAATCATAAAACTAAACAAGAAAGCGAAGACGCAGATGGATCATCTTTAAATGAATAGAGGTAGAGAAACCCGCTGCAAAACAAAACAGCATGTCTATCCTCCTATGCTTCGATGTAGTCAATAATATTTAGGACACACACACACAGACACACAAAGGGAAAGACTATCGCAAAACACGCTCAAATGAATTTCCCCGCACATTGCCACCCGCCATCGAGTTCCGGACATTCTTTTTGAACCCTTCACGATTCGTCCTCAAATCCTCCGCGGCTTCCTTGTTGAGTGGATCCGATGCATTAGGCTCGAGGAACAAGAACTGCATGCCGACAATCACCGCGTTCAAGTTGAGCACGGGCTTCCAGTCCTCGCGCAGAATATTCAAGCACACGTTCCCCTCGAGATCGATATTTGGATGGTAGATTTTCTGCGTGCATTTTACTTTCGGTGGATCGTGCGGGAAGTTCTGGTTGATGCTGAAGGTGAAATTGAAACTGCCGCCTTTGTACATCCCTTCGTCGGGCTCGATGGTGAGTGTGAAGTTGAGGATGTCATCGGGGTTGGGAAAGGTCATTTTCATCGTCGAGCCGAGGGAGAGTTCTTGCAAGTCTAGCAGGAGTCAGTATCAGCTACATAAAAGTCTATAAGAAAAGGAGAGTTTTACCTCGCTGAACACGCAGTTGGGCGGCAGTGACTTTCTTCTTTTTCGCGGCGCCACCTTCGGCATTTTCAGCTTGTTGCTGTTTTTGTTTCTGGCATCTGTTAGTGATATTCGTATGGAAGGGCGACTTCAAAACGTACCATAGACCAAATCTTCAACATCTTGACTATATGCCACCACCGTTGTGGACTTTAACGTGCTATTTATTTCACAGTATCTATATATGGCGAGTCTGCCCAAGATCTATCAGGTATGCGGGGTTACTTAAGTCGCCGCTGCAGTGGTGAGATATGAAAGGCCCGTCTAAATGAAGTCAAACTGGTTTTGTGGGGTATTTGAGCGCAGAACAGGTAAAGATCTAATGAATGCGCAACGCGAACGCCAGATGTTGTGTGGTAAGGTAGGTAAAGTGTTTGAGTTCAAACGTTGAATCGGGTCGCCCGCGGTGTTCGTCCCGCCCGATAAGTTAACTCTTATCCGCTGCTGACTGATCGCCAAGCTCATACTTGGGTTATCAAGTATCACGCCACAGAGACATACACATAAATCTATATACATCTGTGCCACACTAAGAGGTATTATGATATGAACTTATAACTAGTAAAAGCAGGTTTGATGTATGAATTCCATTCGCTGTATAAGTGCTAGACACTGCGATTGAACCGCTATTTGTAGCGGATATAACCATGAACGTATCAACTTAAAAGAATTCAATTGTTGACATCACAAGTATAAAGCCAAGGACAAAACAAACAAGGTAGACGGAAATCTACAGTAGACTACATATTTTAGAAATGGATAGTGATGGATATTAAAAAGCCTTTTGGGAAAACAGCGCCAACGGAGCCGCTGATCCACAGCCAGCTGCAAGCAGCAGCCCCCTGTAATTCGTAACATTTATCGTCGAGCACAGCAGCACATGATACCAGTCTTTCCGAGGAACCAGCACGCTCCAAGGAAGCGGACCAGGGACAGCGCTGCAGTAGCCCACAGAAGAATCTGGAAAAAGCGGCTGGTACGGTCGGTAGCTTGGCTCTATGCGACGTTAGCAGCTATTCAATTACGACAAAGAACCGGACTTACGGTAAACCCAAACTTGTCGACAGCCTCGCTAGTAATGCAAACGGCCAAAAGAGCGTTGGTGAAAATCCAGAAAGTGACCAATTTGGTACGGAAACTCTTGTACGAATCCTCCAAGCTGCGTTCCTCATTCTCCTTCGGGGGAACATAGGGTGTCAGGGCACGCTTGACAGTAGCTTCAAATTGACTGTCAATATCAGCCTGAGGCTTGTCGATTTCTTCGATAACTGCGCCCTTTCCATCTGCTTCTTTTTTCGTCTGTACCGACGGTAAAGCGTCCGCTTTATCTGAACCCTTGGTACCCCAGGACACATCGTGCCAATTGCTAAAGGCGTACACGTTGAGAATGTTGATGTAGGAAGACATGATCAAGAGATAGGCAGGGAAAGAGGTAAACATGTGCCAGGGGTCCATGTACATGAAAGAAGCGACGAAGTAGAGACCGAAGGTTGCAGCCAGGGCGATAATAATAATACCCGCACCGGACGAAGAAAAGAAGGATCTGAGGAAACCGCCAACCCCATTATCCATATCAAAGTCGATGGCATTTTTACCGGAGAAAGCGTGAACAACCAGGTACATAGAATCGATGACGACATATGTTTGCACAATACCAAAGAAGATGAAGGATAGAATGTACGAATGTTTTGAACTGCCAAAGTCAGATGGGTGCTGATAATCGATAGAAACTAACTTACCCTTTCGGACGATTACCCAGTGCAAGAATGAACTGAAGTAGAAGGACACCCAGATACACATATTTAATAATGGTATTGATTATAGGCGTAGCCTCATTACCAAAGGGGAATCCGCGATCACCATTTGACGTGCCAGGAGTACCGACAAGATCCATGATAACCGTTGTAGTAAGCCAATAAGACGCTAAGCTCCTTGTTAGCTGAGTTTTGAGTGAGAAAATTCCGACACATACCGAGAGCGAACCAAGTCATGATTTGTTGGAAAATGTTGTAGAGCAATTGAATGTGAAGAACGAACATGCGAAGGATGTTGTGACCACTCTTGTACATGCGACCGAAATGCATCAAACTATAAATACTAGCGGCGAAGGAACCGTTCAACCAACGACGACGCTGTGAGATGAATTCAGGAGCACCTTCAGGCACGTCAGTTTCACCCTTTGAGGCTTTGACATATGAGAGATGCCATTTAGAACCAGCCTTGGCGACTAGCTCGAAACACAAGATACGATCTTCGGCCAAGAACATGTTCTTCTTGAAAATGTTCATGCCTTCAATACCCTTCTTGCCGAGCTGCTTGGAAAGCGTGTGATCACCATGAAAATACTGCTCCAAAGGACGGCCCATGATAGCGCGGAATCGATATGCAGAGAAAGCACCAGGCAACACACTGACGTATCCGAAGGAACTTTCTAGGGGTTTGTCGAGAATATTGGAAATCTTGTACTCGAAGTTCTGGGCTGCGACCAGAGGATTGATTAAGTTCTTCCACCCTTTACCCAACATAGCGTGAATTTCACCACAAGCACCACCTAGGTCCTTGTCGTTGTAAAAACCTTCCCACAAAGCAAGGAGAGACTTTGGGCCAGGTTTGGTACCAGCATCGAGCAGGATACAAATTTCAGGGTTCAAAATGCGACCAAAGGCGTTGAACAACCATCGATGGGAGTTGATCTTCTTGCTGTTCTTCTGCTTCAAACAGAAAATCATCTGAACGGGAGGCAGTGTGCTCGGTCCGTCGTCGGTGGGACGAATGAGTTGCTGGCTAGGAGTAACCGACAATTGTGTGGTGTATTCGAACTGTCCACAATCAGTATTCAATGCCTGTATCTGGATAGAGAGTACTTACAATGTGGGCAACTGTTTCCTTGCCGTCGACGTCACGTTTCATCACACCGTCCTGGTAAATACCGACGGTAGCCAGAACATCAAGAGTGTCCTTGTCGCAAGGATCGATACCGTCGAATACAAGACAGACGACAATTTTCTGCCAAGCAGGACCACCCTTGTTCCAGAATTCTGACTTTTTGAGATTAACAATGTCACGAATATTTTGCATAACACCATGCAGTGTTCGAGCAGTCAAAGTCTTGTCTTCGTTGTAGTAGGTAATGGCAATCAGAAGTTCAGTATGACGATTGTACATAGCTGGTCGGAGGTTGTAACCGTTGTGAAGGGTGAATTCATTAGGATCACAAGTAGCAGCAGTGTCTACACATTATCAGCGACGCAATTAATACAAACAAAGTGAAATAACGGTGCTAGACTTACATCGCATGTGGGTGAACTCTTCGCTGCCACCCTCAAGGTCGTTGCGGTATCTGGCTTGAACGGCATTTTGAATAGCACTAGGCACTGGGTAATCTACACTTAGAACAGAGCCCTGAACGAGCTTGACCTTTCTTGTGGCATAGCGGCGCAGTCCCGAGCCAGGAGCTTGTCGTTGACGCCATGCTTCGGTGGAAGAAGTCTCACTGCGTGCATATGGAGAGGCCACACGACCGGGAACTCCAAAGGCAGCCGCCGGGTTCTCAGGAGAAGGGTTGTAGGGGTCATGGTAGGCAGGAGCGGCAGATTCCGGCGCATAGGACTCGGTCAAACTGTACCTCGACACTGGGCGCATGGGCGATGCGGAGCGGCTGTGAGGGTCTTCAAATGGGCCGTTGAAGGGGCCTTGATTGAGCAAACTGCGGGACGCGTCATCTTCACCGTACTGCGGGAATATCGTGTCAGTTGGAAGAAATCATCAAGAGCAGGATCGTGGATGTCAGGCATACGTTGGTCTGGCCCAAGTTGTCCAGTCGGTGGCCGCCTTCCTCGTGGTAAGGCGACCCCGGGGTGTGGGAGCCTTGGTAGGCCATTGTTGTTGATCAACCGTACTCTTAGGGGCGAGTAGAAAGAAGGTTGAATGAAATCGAGATGTTGAAGATCGGATTACCGATGGATGGAACAAGGCCACATATATCGAGCGGGCGGAAGAAAAACGGTGTTAGAAGCTAACAAGTAAGCGTCGTTGGCGGACGAGCTGAGAACTGGCGCAGTAAAACGAGTGTTAGCCGCCAGGGCCGTGGTGACCGGGCAGCCAAAAAAACGATTAAGTAGACAGCTCGCGAGACCGGATTGATGTAGGATGCTCACGAAGGCGATATAAGATTCACAAGCAAACAGTCAGTCAGTCAACAGCGAGCAAGACGTGAAGGCGATGGATGGACAGGGAAAGCTGGCTGGCAGAGGTGGATAGAGCGGCCACAGGGGAAGACAGCAAGAGCGACCCAGGGAAAAAAAAAGACTAATAGAGATTTGGACGGGGGACCAGGCCCCGCCAAGTCAGATCGCCCGTACCTCCTGGTTGGCTGCCGGGACGACTGTGGGGCGGGGCGGGTCCTCTTATTGGCCCACCGACGTCAAGCAATTATTGACTGTGGCTGCATTACATACGATACGTATATTACTCCGATTACGTGCGCTGTGGTGGTTCTGCCGCGTCCTGTCTCATACGTGGCCCGGTTACACATACCTTGACGTGGATGCATGAGCATGCCTCGCATCAAGCATTCATATTGCAATCCGATGCTATAACATCAAAAATATAGCAGTTAATATTAGATATCAGTATTACAATCATCCACAGGGCGTGAAAAAAGTCCACTGTAGTCAAAAATAAGAATTCACACAGCCAGTTCTTTTTTTGGACACTGCGGCTGCGCCTCACTAGGTCCTCGCTGACAGCCAATGAGCAGCGACCTCTATTACATCTGGTATGGACATTACCTCGTACTACCATCAACATCTCGACATTAAAAATTTGCCTATATACAGAAATATTATATGATATGACTACTTAATTTTTCAAATGGCTACATCACATTCTACCGCAACTCTCTGACTAAACACACCGTGTGAAAGTATGGCCTATGAACTCTCAAAGCAACTGTCATCCGTATCGCCTAGTACCGCCTCCCGACACACCAAATGATCGCCCCCCACAATGATGCGGTTCCCACCTGAAACAGGGGGTCTGTCTGTCTTACTTGGTCGCCGAGTGGTTTGCATTTTTCTTGCCAGCCGTTCGACAATAGTGAGCTTCGTAATTACTATTCTGGAATATGGAGGTCTTGTGAGACAGTCACTTGCCTCAGACATTGATTAACATCTGCGCCGTTGAATAAGCAGTCACCAGGCTGCGGCAGCAGATCAAGTGGCCGATCGGTCACGGTTATCAGCCAAGATAATCAATGTCCAGCCTGAACACGAAAAATTACAGCTCGCACTCAGTAACAAACTATATCTCTGAAAAGGGGGAGAATGAGAGAAAAGGAGAAGAGGAATAATATTGTCTCATTCTCCCACTCATTCCACAGCCATCACAATAAAAATAAATAATGCCGGCCGTTACGAAATATTGCACGCAGCCAAGTGAATCACCGCCAATAAGAGCTGCCGCGTGGCATATCCACATTCCTAGTCGAGAGCCGACTGGTCGCTGCCTCTCGTATGCTCAGGAATGGCGTTCAACCATACCATAGCAGCAAATCACTCCTACGCACTGGTATGCAGAGGACTTCTTCCTTTGCTTTTCATACTCAGTTGGTAGTACGTACATGCAGTGATAGTAGTAGATGTTAACAAATAAAATCTAAATATAGTCGACTAGAGCTGTTAGTGCCACCCCCAAGCGGGTAAGAGTGGGGGAGGCCGCCGTTTTCTAGAATGCAACGCGGAAGGCTCTTCCTGATGGCCGAGGATGATTATCCTGGTTGATTAGGGTCTGTCACTGTCGCTGTCATATCGTGCATCGCTCGATGCCTGGGTGCTGAAACGCCCGGCCCTGCACGTGCCCTCCCGTGCCCTCCCTAATGTTCCGATACTTGTAACCTGTAGCCTTAGGTTGGTTGCAATTGCGAGTCTTAGCCAACCTATGATACATACAACCATGCATATATCTTGCCTCAATCATGTCGTGTGGTTGTGCATATACTGGAGAGTGCACTCGAAATACCACTCTAATCCCAATCATCTCGTGTGACAAGATGCCTATACCAGATTCACGCCTTGCCATTGGCCTGTGAGACGGATGACGGTTCACAAATTGTGTCCGGGTCGTCATGATCTTGTCTAGGCCGATGGTCTAACGCTCCCACGGCAATACAGCCTCTCTAAGATCTTGCAGCACGGGTTCCTCCAAGCCCCAGTCCCCCCTCCACTGGCTCATGCGAAACCCGTGCTTGAAATGTGCCGCCAAATGGTCTGCGCGCTGGTCCCAGGTCTGCAATGTGGCTTCACAGAACCCGCAACGAGAGGGAACTTCGTGGCGCTCCGTCCGACATAATTTGTCCAGGCCCTCCACTACTTGTGGAGGAATGTTTCTTCCATTGCAGTGGTGGAATTTGTGCAAGTGCTGCCACAAATGATCTTTTCGCCCGAACGTGCGTTCAGACAGCGGCCGGTCAGCACAAAGACCAAAATCGTGTGCATCTTCGCAGTGGGTTGGAGAGCTGTCTTGGCCACAGAGCGCGCAAACTGGGCTGTTTTGTGATTCTATTTCCACCGATGGCAGCTCTGTCGCCTGTCGCACAGCTTCCAAGTCCGGAGTACAGCACCAAGACTCCAAAGACAGGTGGATACTCTTTTCATGTCGAACCCAATCGTGTCTTTTCTTAGCCGAATAACGGCAGAATGTGCACTGGTACAAATTGTCTTGGACAGTAGGTTGATCTCGTCGACGATGCCGTCGCTTTCGGGCTTTGACCACGCCGTTCATCTTAATCCCAGGACTTGTAGCGTGTAGTGATGGCCAATTTCCATTACTAGATTGATAGCTCCATGCCGAGGACAAGCTTTCTGAGGATTCCGAACGTCCAGTGCCGAAGCTCGACATTGACGAGCTTGGATGTGAAGTTGAATCATCTGTTGAATACTCTAAACGAGGCCCGCCTATTATGTTCCTTGCTTCGCCATTGTAGTTCGTGGAGGCAATGGCCTTTCGTATAGTTGATTTCGACACCGGCTCGTCTTCTGGCGGTGAACTCTTCCATCTTTCCATCGGAGTCATCAATGCAAATCCATCAGTTCTAGGCATTGGAGAACCTGATCTATAGACATGGAGGGTCTCTTTTTGTTTGAAGTGTTGTTTATGGCGACGTCTAGCATTTGCAAACCAATTGGATACCTGTCTCTTACTGAGGCCTGATTCTTGTGCAAGGCTTGTCTTTTGCTCTTCTGTCGGATAGGGATATTCCTGGTGTCGGTAGAACCAGTTTTGAAGCACCCTCCCTCCTTTTCTCGAAAATATCCGGCGCGTTGTAGTTTTTTTTCCTTCTTCTTCTTCTTCTTCTTCTTCTTCTACTACTACTTCTTCTCGCTGTCGTGACGGCGCCTCGCCTAGCTGCTCCTCAGTGAGACCATGCATATGGCCATATACCGGAGTTAACGTCTCAAAATCAGACGGTTGACGCTTCTCTCCTCGGGAAAGGCTGCACTCCCGAAACAAAGCGACACAGCTTGAACAAGATCTGATTGGGTTGGGGTTTACAGCTGACGTATTGAGGATCAAACATTGCAGACGCCAATGTCTACAGTAGGAGCAAGGCACTGGAGGTACAAAGGCGCCATCCAGCCAGTCTTGAACACCAACAGCACCGTCTTGAGATACATTTTTGTTAATTTTTGGTGCGTTCTGGATTGTTGTCGGACTTTGTCCGGTTGGAAATTCCCGTGTATCTTCTGCGTAATCCAGTTCGATAAGCTCGTTCCAGTCGAAATCTAATTCCTCGTCCTCGTGGCGATGTCCTTGAAACATGTTCCGCATGGGATCGTCGTGCGGATGGTTGATTATATCATTTGGAATTGGGCCCGCTGTGAGCAGCGGGTCGATGGCAGAGCGCCAGTAATCGTCATCCCAAATGTCTTCAGTCATGCTGACCAAGTACGCTTGATGATAATCATCAATTTAACGATCTCGCACCATAACCCTGGAGGCAGAGGATGAATGACTCTTTAATTCTTCTCGAATGTCGTGCATGACCAGTGATGAAATGAGATTACAGTTTCTGGCCAATTAGAAAACATGGGATTGGGTGGTGGGGTACGGGCCTCCGAGATCGCCTCCATAGCAGTTGATATAAACCCTAGGCACCGGTAGCAGATAATAAACAACAACTCCATTGCGATTTTGTATCACCGACATAGTATATTAATGTAAGTTTATATATAGGAACAGGATCAATTGATGATAAGAAGCGGTTGTATCTCCCAAGTCATTGCCATCGTAAAATGTTCCAAAATGTTGACGTCTTCCGAGTGCCTAGTTATATATTTCGACAGATGTTTGTGTAAGGCGCGGCGGGGTCACGATGTGCGATGTAAATTCAAATCCATTGATAGAAATCTATTATAGTATAGAGGAGTTCTCATCATTAGAAGATAAACACAACAACCAACGCATCGAATAAAAGAGAAGAGAAGAGAGAAGAAAGAATGGCCTCTCCAACTCGCCGCCCGATCGTGTTCCCCCAGTCGCTCCTTTCCTCCGCCACCCACCCAGACCACTTTCCCCAGAGCGCGATCCGTTCCTTCCACACATCTCTACCAGGCTACGCACAAACTCCTCTAGTTGCACTGCCAGACCTCGCACAACAGCTCGGTGTCAAAGCCGTCTATGTTAAGGATGAAAGCAAGCGCTGTGGTCTACGTTCTTTCAAAATCCTGGGCGCGTCATGGGGCTGTTTTCGTGCCGTCTGCGCCCATTTAAAAATCGAGCCTGCTTCGACAAATATCACTGACCTTAGAGAGTACGTTAGAGATCAGAACGAGCAGGTTCAGATTTACCTCTATACAGCAACCGAAGGGAACCATGGTCGTGCTGTGGGTTACATGGCGGCTCTGATTGGCGTGCAGGCGCATGTTTTTGTGCCAGAGGGCATGAATGCACATACTAGAAAGTTGATTGAAAATGATGGAGCCCAACTTCATGTTGTTCAGGGAGACTACGACATTGCAGTCGGGCAAGCAGCCGCAGCCGCAGCGACACACGGTGGATTACTGGTACAAGACACGGCATGGGATGGGTATGAAGAAATTCCGAGCTGGATTGTCGACGGCTACTCGACGTTGATGGAAGAAATTGACGAGCAGCTTGGCAAAGAAGGCCTACATCCATCAGTCGTGATAACTCCAGTGGGCGTGGGATCTTTAGCAAGTGCTGTTGCGAAGCATTGCAAGTGGAGAAGACACAGCCATGTGCAAGTCGTCGCAGTGGAACCTGATACGGGGGCATGCTTCTACAAGTCTCTTCTTGCTGGCCGATCAGTGACTGTTAAAACCACATCGAGTATCATGAATGGCTCCTGCTGTGGGACATTGTCCAGTACCGCATGGGATATCCTTAGGCAATCCGTGGATGCAAGTGTCACAGTGTCGGATTATGAAAGCCATAGGGCAGTGCAATATCTGGAGAGCCATGCTATATCAGCCGGCCCCTGTGGAGGTAGCACCCTTGCTGCATTGCGGCATCTGGTAGAGACCCAGCAGGACAGGGTTGAACTTAACAAAGATGCTGTTATCGTTATATTGAGCACAGAAGGATCAAGACCGTACCCCAAACCATTTGATACATCAACTGATGATCCAGTGACGCTCACCCAAATCCTTACGCAAATCGATTCGTCGAACGCTACCTTATCGGTTGCTGAAGGGGCAGGGGAGGCCCAAATTGCAGATTATCTGGCTGCATGGTTCGAGCACCGTGGTATAGAGAATCACCGTATCGAGACAGTTCATTCACGTCCATCTGTTGTTGGTATTGTTCGTGGAACTGGAGGTGGAAAATCACTGATGCTCAATGGACACATTGACACTGTCAGCTTGTCTAGCTACGAAAAAGATCCTCTTTCGGGTGCCCTCGCAAACAAAAATAACCGTTCAGTAGTCCTCGGACGAGGAAGTCTTGATATGAAGAGTGGCGTGGCAGCCATGCTCAGTGCAGCGCTTGTGGCAAAATACATCTCTCTTCGAGGGGATATCATCATCGCGGCAGTCGCAGACGAGGAAGACGCATCCAAAGGAACCATTGACGTGATCGAAGCTGGCTGGCGAGCTGACGCTGCTGTAATTCCAGAACCTACGCAACATGAACTGGTTTGTTCCCACAAGGGGTTTGTATGGATTGAAATCGACATCATAGGAACCGCGTCGCATGGCTCAATGCCCTCGTTGGGGGTTGATTCGATTATGCATACTGGTGCTTTTCTGACGCAGCTCGAAGCATACCAACAGAAGCTTCCCACGGATGACCTCCTCGGCCAAGCTTCTTTACACTGCGGACTGATCAATGGCGGTGAAGAAGCATCTTCATACCCAGCAAAAACCACTCTGACAATCGAATTTCGCACCATCCCATCCCAATCCCCACAAACCCTCGTCACTGACATGTTAGCTCTTCTTCAAACCACCGCATCACTCAGACAAGGGTTCCAATTCTCTCAGCCTCGAGTCACTCTCTCTCGCCTACCGATGAAAATACCCTCTACCCACCCTTTCGTGCAAAAGGTAGCAGACACGGCAAAATCTATCATCGGAGCTTCTCCAAAAGTGGCATCAATGCCGTTTTGGTGTGACGCCGCACTTTTGAGCGAAGTCGGGATTCCGTGTGTGGTGTTTGGACCGAAAGGTGAGGGGTTGCACGCAAAGGAGGAGTATGTCGATGTTGAGAGTATCAAGCAGGTAGATAGTGTTTTGGCCAAATTGGTACAGGATTATTGCCAATGATCATCCTACCAGGGATGTGATGCGTGTGCAGAGCATTCAAATTATGATCTATCTGCTTCCAATAACTTGGGTGTCATGAAGTTTCCAACATTAGAAATCCAGTTTAGAAGCAGCTCACGTTTGGAACCATCATCGTCAAAATCAACACTGGAATTCAGGATTGACTTTATTAGGGAATTTGTATTCTCCGAGTTTTCCTTGATTGCTGTCATAAGACCTTCGTATTTTGAGAGCGAACTTTAGGAGAGGATTGGCAAGGAGAGCCTCTCGACATCTATGAGGGACATTGAATTGCGCGAAAAAAAGGGAGTCTGTTACTAGGATCTAGATTTTTTGCTTTTGCTAAGAGAAGGGAATTTTGCGTCACCTAGATGATATTGCATATTAGAGCGGTGTGTACCCCCATCTATCAACACAATTGATATCCACCGCATCGGTACCAGGTTATTCAAGTTCTGGGAATAGGTGGCTATTTGGAGAAGGCCCTGCGCGATGATGCATTGAACTATGGGTTCTACCTATGCTAGGGCTAGCTACAGCGTCTAATGGGCTAACCTTCGTATCAAACATTCCTTTATGACTGATCACTTTTGGCCTTCAACGCTGCAAGCACAGGTACATCGTTGATCAGCGTTTCGTATGCAAGAGGATCTTTGACGAGGCGGGCCCCAACGAGCCCTAGCTGCCACCGGTCGAATCCCCCGCGAGGTATAAGAGGAGATGTCCACATACTGTTGTGACGAAATGTGTTGGTCACATCCACGGCGACCTGGACTGGCACCGTGGGAAACAGTTCGGCCAGTTCATTTTTAAACGATTCTGCGTCACGCTGGAGCACCCAGTCGATGCCCTTAGCAAGGGCCGCTAAGAACCGCTTCTGCTTATCGAGTACCTCATCCGTGATCGTTGCGGTTTCCCGGTAATACACGCTCCAAGGCACATCGCCTTGCGAGACCATCTCCATCGCAACCGAGACGTTGGGATTACGATCCGCCATGGTGCGAGCAGAGAGGATATCGGTTACAAAATAATCACCCATACCGCCTTGGAACAGGTTTCCCAGCATCACGCCGTCGAGATCTTGGATATAGTCCACCGACTTCGGGTCGATGCTGTTTTCGCGCAGTAGCATCTTGAAAAAAAGACCAACGCTAGCCCCGCCGCCTGATTTCATCAGCACCGTGGCCCCGGCCACATCGGCCAGCTTGAAGTCTTGACTAGGGCCTCGCTTTATGAGAGCGAGAGGACAGCGATTCGCGATTTGCGCGAAAACTGTGTAGTTCGTCACCCGATTATGGTACATTGTCGGGACCCAGATACCGCCAAGTGCACTGTCAGCTGTGCCTTCAGCAAGATCATCCAGCACGCCATCCCAGGGCTGGGGTATTGAGAAGGTGGCGTCGAGTCCCTGCTCTTGGAAGAAACCATGCCGTTCTGCAATGTATTGGGGAAGATAGTTGATATTGTGCCCAGTGGCGGTAAGGTGGAAACGTTGCATATTTGCGTCCAAAATTCTCTCTTGTAATGTACGAACAAGGTGACAATCGCAATTGAAGTCGGGAATATCGATATGTGACTTGAAACAAAAAAGAAAAAGGGTTGGCAAAGTGCAGCCAGGCCATTTTAATAGTAAAGTCTATTCCTTGACTGTGTCTAAGGATAGGCTCTTCATGTCATGCCGATTCAACTGTCGTCGGATTCTCGCTGAACTAGAATCAGGTCTCTGACCCTTAATATGTTCGGAAAGTTGCGAATATTTGCGGGGAGTGGGAGCCCTTATCGCCATCGGAAAATCCCGATCAGAGATAACCTGAGGGGGCGGGGCTGCCGAATTTCTGCGGCGCTCTCGAAACATCTTCATTATCACCAATTTGTTTCGAAACTTGATGTCGAATACAGCAGTCACGCGCAATACACATGTTATGAAAGGTATGACTGCTTGTCAGAGGTGAGTTAAAGATGATGTCTGCGTTGTAGATTAAGGGGTGTCGGACATTTCGGGCTGACTGGGCATAGGTGCCGTCGGAGGAAGCAGAGAGTAAAGACCACATTCCCCAGTCTGAATATCATACCACTAACAGCTTGGCACGTGTAGTGTGATCAGAAATACCCGAATTGTTCCAATTGCGAAAGTGCACATGTCCCGTGCTTGACGTATCACTCTGGGAAACGAGCTGAGGTGGGTTCACTGCGACCTAACCCCATTACACGTAACTAAACCCCTCTAGATACCCCGTAACTACGTGTCTCATTTAGAGATGCAGGTCGAGACATTAACTCACGAAGTTCAAACTCTCAGAACGTTGAGTCAGTCCAGTTCAGCCAGTCACAGTGGGGGACACGCTCCTGCACTTGAAACAAGCACACCCGCTAGTGACGGATCTGGTAGCTCCCTTCTTGGAAGAACTGTGGCCTCTGAAGCGGGTTCACAACAATTCCAGGATTTGGTCAAGAGCGTTAAGAATGTCGTCGTTGAGCCTTCAAGACAGCCGAGGTTTTTGGGGCAAAGTGGCGGCATAACGCTTGCCCGACTCGTGATGGCAGCTATCCATGTCGACAACCTACAAACCCCTCTATTTTCTGAGAACGAAGCCTATGAAACTTCTCTATCAGGTCCAGCTCCAGTACCAGAGGCTTCTCTCCCGCCGCGCCATGTCGCAGATCATCTTGCCCAGGTCTACTTCCAGTTCCGCTCTCCACATCTGCCGATAGTGGATCGGGCACAAGTCGATGACGCCTTTAAAAGTGCCTATCTCTACATGAGCGATCACTCATCTTCGGATCGGGCGTTCGAAAAAGATATTTTCACGGCCTTCATGATTGTCGCCATCGCCCTCTGCGATGTCCCTAGTCCATCTGGTGGTCGGTCGACACAAAGAGAGGGCTGTTTTCGTTCGGCAGTCGGTCTAATCGAGAAAGTTATTACATACTCAAGGAGTGATCTTGAGACTGTCCGTGCTATACTTTTATTATGTCAATTTGTCGCCCGATGCCCTTCTTGGGGAAGTTTATGGCATCTGACCGGAAATGCTCTCCGTTTATGTATTGATATCGGTCTGCATTGGGAAACTGAGGTTTTAGATATGGATCCAAGCTTACTGCAGGAACGCCGCCGTTTATGGTACTCTACTTACCAGCTGGATCGTCTTTTAAGCATCACGCTCGGCCGCCCCGTTGGTATTACTGACGAGAGCACGCATGTCCAGCTTCCTGACCCATGCATGGCATCTTATCAGCTCAACGAGTTCGACATCCACAGTCAAAGAGCTCACAACCATTTAATCATCATGTCAAAATTGGAGTCTGAAATTAAACATGTGCAAAATAGCCAATCTTGGACCCCAACAATTGCCTATCCGACACCAAACTACTCTGATTGGATCAAGGATATTCAACCCAGACTTCAGGAATGGTATATTACGATTCCACCACCCAGTAAAGCTCACCCAGACTCTATATTTGCTTGCCAGGCATTCTGGGATACCATTTATAATAGTTCCATTCTTCTCCTTTATCGGCCGAATTCAATCTCACTTCTATCGACGGAAGAACTATTGATATCTTTTGAAGCCTCGTGTAAGCTAATTATAAGCATCAAGTTTTTACAGCGAGAAGGGAAAATTGACATATTATGGAAGTCGGTCCATACTCTCTTCATGGCTGGCCTGGGGGTTATCTATGGTCTTTGGTATTCAAAAGAGATACGAGACACGCATCCGCTTAGAGATAATATTTCTACGCTTCAGGCCTGCGCTTCAACACTCTCTGCCATGTCAGAGAACTTTCCGGGGGCTGTAGGTTGTCGGGACGCCTTTGAGACCCTTTCCTCAGCAACAGTCGACTGGCTACTTACTAACGATGCCGAGAAAGTACGGCAAAGCAGAGTGGAATTTGAGGCACAAGTGAGAGATTTGCTACAACAGCTGCAGCCATCCCGTGGCGGGATGGCCATAATGAACCAGAACAATGATATGTCGAGCATGTTGTCGAACAATAACTTTGCACTCAGCGAGATGCTCAGTTCGGCCGCACAATGGCCTGATTTCCCTGACATGGACGAGAGTGATATAGTACCCCATCATTTGTCAGGAGGAATTAATCCGGGGTCCCATATATTCTAGAAGTGAATTAGTATAGTTATATTATCTGTGGAGGCTTTCGAGGCCAGGCCATCTCTTACTGTGATTTAATTTGGCCTCATCGCCCAAATCGAACGCTAGCAAACAAGTTTATAGCTAGAATCCCACATTAATGTATCATTATTAGGCGGGTTGCGAGGGTCATAGCTTCGGAATATCCCGATGACTTATCTCCTATCAATTGATATCGCCGGCATGTCATTGGCTTATCCCCATATCTATAACTAGGTTAACTCTATCTACAATCGTGGATATCAACTGCGTCAAACATGCACGTAATTCAGGTATAGGAATGCTGTCGACGTCGACTTCCTTATCATCAGATGTCCAAAGTCAAACCATAAACACCGCCGCTCAGATGTCCTAACATACGAACCCATGGAGTATATAGACATGCCTCACGACATGATATCTAACTAGTGTCTCGCAGACTACTTGCGCTAATCAAGAATCTACAAGTTGATATTCTCTGGGACAATTTTCCCTCGTTAGAGGCACCATAATGAAGTCAGAACAGGCAATAGACGGGCTTAGGAAGCCACCTATGGTCGACACCGACGCCCTTGACGAGCATGAAGGGGCCGGCACAATCATCTACGTAGACCCGGAGAAAGAAGCTGCTGTTTTGAGAAAGTTTGACAAATATCTCTTACCAGTGTCGGTTGTGTTCCTCGTTTTGTCCACCTTAGACCGAAACAACGTGAGTGAAGCCTTGATTTCCTAAGGGTTTGTCTGCTAACAATTGATCGGATCAGCTTGGAAATGCCGTGGTATTCGGCCTTGATACCGACCTGGGGCTCGTGGGCGGCGAGTTTGGTAATATTAACACACTGTCAAGTGTCTGCACGATCTTATTCGAAGTCCCCTGGGTTCTTGCAGTCCGACGTTTTGGCGCTAATAAAGCCCTCGGGGCTTCTCTAGCTACATGGAGCTTATGCACGCTTGGGACTGCATTTATTCAAAATTACGCTCAGGCTATCGTCGTTCGCATGCTCTTGAACGCCTGCGAAGCTGGCCTCGCCCAGGGCTTTGCCTATCTTTTTTCTACTATCTACCCTCGGGAGGTAGCAGGGAAGCGTATTATGACAACAAATCTCTCCGCCTGCATCTCGGGCGCATTCGGCGGGCTTTTTGCCTACGCTATTCAACTTATGGGAAATAGAAATGGACTTGCGGCCTGGAGATGGCTATTTATTGTCGAGTTCTGCATTACGGTTGTTATTGGTGGTATTGCTTTCATTTTCCTCCCAAGCTCGGCGGAAACAGCATGGTTTTTGAATGCAGAAGAGAAAGAGACTATGCGTTTGAAAAGAGAACGAGATATGATCCATAGAGGAGATGAAAAGTTCGACCGTAAATGGATTAAAATCGCCCTGACAGACCCATTTGTCTATCTTCTCGGCATTGCATTTTTTACATCCTCCGTCGCCATCAATGGATTCGGTGTTTTCTTGCCTACTATTATTGCTGGTCTTGGGTAACTACCCATTCTGAAACTGTCGAATCTGACTAATAGGAATAGATATGCTTCCCTTCGCGTCAACTATATGACTATCCCGGTCTATGTCCTTGGTGCTATATCTCTGGTTATTCAGGTTTATATGTCCGACAAGCTCAGGAAACGTGGAGCATTCATCATGGGATGCTGTGTTCCGGTAGCAGTTGGATATCTTATATGCGTAGGAACGGAAAACGCACATGCTGGATATGCCGGGATGTTCGTCCTTGTCCTAGGTTGGTTTTATGTCTACCTCACTGATTCATCAATCCCCGGTCTAACTCCTCCTTAGGGCTCTTTCCCATTTCCACGCTGGCTGTAACTTGGATAGCGACAAATCTGTCCCCAGATGCCAAACGAGCGATCGGGATGCCGTTGGCTTATTCTATTGCAAACGTATCAGCTTTAGTATCCTCCCAATTATATCCCAGTCAGCAGGGCCCACGGTATGTCATGGGCAATGCCATCTCGGCCGGTTTAACGGTTGTTGCTGCCTTCCTGTATGGTGCCTGTTGGCTTCTGCTTAGACGCAGGAATTCAAAGAAGGCAAAGCTTATCGCTGAAGGAGCTACTACAAATGGTCTTGAGGGAGATATGAGCCTTGATTCCATGTATATTCTCTGAGTTACTGTAACGCGTGTTTTTAATTGCGTTTTGTAATGAGATCTGAAATGAAGTCCGCAGTCTAGGCGTGCTGGAACGAAATATATACCGAGAATCATGCATGCTGCCTTAACAGATATCAGACTTGTTACATAGATAGTCACAGGGGAGATCGTGGGTGCCTGTCCCGGTCTAGTTCGTGAGGCTCGTAAGGGCGGCGAGCCTGTGGCCGGGAAGGCACTCTTCGTGACTGGACACCCCTGTGAGATGTCAGTAAAAGTTGTCTATTAGCATTTTCCGCTCCATCATGGCTGTGTCTTAGATAGTGAAGGGGTAATCATATATTGAGTATTTCAATCTCATGTATTTTGACATTATATGATAAATTAATTCTGTCGCGTGTTATTATACAGAAATGGGTGAAAATCATACCTGAGCCATTGTACGTTATTAGGATCATCTGATACGACTCCCGAATCCAGTCAGCGAACTTAATGAATCTACTTTAAAAACGAATTATCACTTCGAAAGGCTTCCATCCGCTTCCCTAATTTTGCCATAAGTATTTAAAATTTGTCAATCGGGCGATCATAGACAGCATCCGGCATATCGATTCTTTCATACATAAAGATTCAACATTATACACTGAAAGTCGCTTTATCTCTAGCATGACTGAGTAATGCTTTCTTCTACAGTAGATCTAATTGTCTTTTTAAGAAATTAGTGGTGATCAACTATCTACTCAAATAACTATTGAAATTTAAATCGCATGAATTTGGCCCCCAATTCGCACCTCACCTTGACTCTAGTCGAAATTTGATATCCTATCTTGAAGCCATCGGGGCTCTTAGACTAGGAGATAATAAGATATAAATTATACTCCGTACCGAAAATTGAAAGGTTAGAGAAAACTCGAAAATATAAATCTTCATCCCCCCTATGTAATAGACCTGTCAGTAGAAGACTGTTTATTGCTTAACCGCATTGCGACCAAAATCAATTGATGTATCGATTGTTATTCTCGCTGATCATCATTAATCTAATCGAGTGTCCATCCAAAAAGCGTACGCAAAAGCTGGGCTGAATAAGGAAAAGCAATGCATGACTAGCAGACATGGGATATCATAGCAACCGTAGGATCAACTGTAAACACCGAAAGACATGCAGGAAACGAAATTGAAAACAAAATCGACAGCAGCCAGCGAGAGGCAAAGAAAAAAAGGAGAATAGAAGAGTCAAACCACAATCCAGATCATCGAAATCGGAACAGATCAATCCGCTCCCTCATTCCACCCATTTGGGCATCAGATCTCCGAGCATGCCCTCTTCCTCCTTCCTCTTCCTCCTCTCTCGCTCCTCGCGTTCAACCTTCTTTCTCTGCTCCTCGAGCAACTTGGTGTCGCAGCGAGGATCCAGCTTATTCAGCCATTTGTGCCTATGGGGCAGGGATATGCTATTGCCATTCGACTGACTGTTGGCAAGCGACTTTTTGGTGTTGCCCTCGGACCGCGAGCGTCCAGCGGCCGAGAGGGGCTTGATGTTGTTCTGCGGGTAGGGGGCCTCGTCGCAATCGCGGATCTCGTCGAAAATCGGCTCCTTCTCGATTTCCGGAATCGGCGAGGTCGTGAGAGGACGCGGCTTGTTAAAAGAAGCAGATCTGATGAAGGAGAAAGGACGATGCGAGGTGGCGGCGGAGGAGGGGCACAAGGAGGGGAGGTCGTTGCTGCGGGAGGACTGCCTGGTCAGGGCTGACCCACTCGAAGGCGCAGAGGACATTTGTGATGTGTGCGTGCTTGGCTGGGTGGTGTATGATGCAGCTCGCAGTTGAAGCCACGATAGAGAGGACGAAAGCAAGACCTCAAGGCACGGCGCGACAGTAGCTCATTGCATGGTGATGGAGGGTAGTGGCAGCAGCAGTGGTGTGAATGCGTTCCATGTTGCGGAAAGGAAAGGAGGGAGAAAAACAGAACGTGAGGCTTTGCGACCGTTTCATTCACCGGTTTTTGCCCTTTTAGCGCTGCGTGGGGGGACCCGCGCCGGCTGCCACGCTGATTGGCCGGCGGTCGCCCTTGACGTCAGCCGGTCCTGGCTCCAGTCAGGTGGATGCCGGACAAGGTACCCCGGATTTAGCGGCCTATCAGAACGCCGGATCGGGACTGGCAGTGGGGTGCAGGCTCCGTTTCTGCGATCATGCATGTCAAAGCAATTTAATTGCCTGAGGCCCGAGCCTCACAGCCGCGCTTGCCTACTCTAATTGAAACCAGCGTTGTCGTGTAAGTTTGATGTTGACGTGATATCAATTGATGTGTATCAACCCGTCGTCTTATTGCAGGATCAGCAGAATGAACGTCGAAGAACTTGCATACCGTGGCAACGCGATTGGGCTTTGCCAGGCGACGACAAAGAATTTGCACGTGATGACACTATCTTCTGCAAGGTGAACAGGAAGGACGATAGCGCCTTTCTTTTCTTTATTAATAACACTGCTTCCACGCTGAGCCCCAGCCTTGGATCAAGCACCCCCGAGCTTTCCATCTCGACAACCTGCATTGTAAGTCTATACTCGGAATACGACCAAAGCTGTATGCTGGCATATATACTGAATGGTTGGCAAACGTCATGCTGCAGTACGAGGAAGTCCTGGGACCAGATTTTCTCGTGGGTGCAGCTTGTGTAAACAGAGAATTGATAAAGTATGTTAAGTAGTCTATAGAGTTGATAATGCTACACAACACATTCAATGCTGAAGGCTCCAGTCGTTATGTCTCTAAAGTCTGGGCGGTGTATGAAGGCAATAGTGCTCAGTGATGTGATCATCAAGTCGCGGTTATAATTTACAAAGGCATGAAAAGTTGAAGGTTGAAAAGTTGCTGTGTAGTTGACGTCTCTTCTGACTATGTGTGGCGCTTGAGTCACCTCATACAAACACACCAGCAAACGGTGTAATATGTTGACCGCAACCAGTCTAGCCATTTACTGGCTTTGACACACAGCGACTTTATTTTCATGTATTTTGCTTAATTTTGCCTATGGCTATGAGGACTGAAATTTTCTCGCCTTTATATCGCCACCATAACATTTGAAAGCTCATTCTGCGACTGATCACAATGACTCTCCAAAGCTCTGCATCCAGTTCTCTACGAACTCCTCCCAACATGCAGAAACAGCTACCCAGCCGCCCTACAGATTTTATCCTCGTCGAGCCCGACGAAGGACTCTGTACCAGAGGCGACAAGGAGCTGGATGCATACTGTCTGCCTGGCCCAAATCAAGCGATTCTTCGGTCTTGGAAAGAAGACGAGCCATTCGTCATGCACGCCGATTATCCATATCTCGACAGAACTCCCTTTACTTGTTTCACCTGTGATGATTTTATCGTCTTCGTCTCAAAAACCAAAGTCTTGATGGCACGGCTGAGAATGGACAGTATTTTCAACGGCGACATCGAAGAAGCCAAGCGCCTTGGAAGCATAGCAAAGAGCTGCCTTGACTGGAGAGAACCGGTAGAATGTTACATTTTAACGCCAGAGCTCGGCGGAGCAAAGGGTCCTGAGGCACAGGACTTGAAAACCGCTTTTTCTCGTCAAATGCTCGCAGCAGATGCTGAAAACCATTACATCTCTTACATCAAACGCTGGGGCAGCCGGTTTCGCCAATGCGAGCTGGAGCTTTTCTTCTGGAAAAAATGGGACATGGCACCGCGTATCCACCTCACTGTCGTGGCTTATCAACCCTTTTACGACCCCAATGTTGCTCAATCTTCCTGTGTGGTTATCACAAATGGAAAGGCAAGAGAGATATTAAATATGGAAGAACTGGGAGACGACACTACAGAATCCGTGTATGTTTCGCGCCAACATGAAACAGATGGCATTTTTCGCAACGTCACAACGAAAGTTGGTGAATATGGACCATGGAAGGCGATAACAATTCCTTCCAGATATACAGATGTATCGTTATTTACGGTTGGATTTCGGGGAAAACAAAGAAATGAGGGCTTTACTGAATACTGGAAGTCGCCCTCTCGAAGTGAGTCTTGACACTCAAACATAATTTCGATCGCTGACATGAGCTTCTCAAGAATTTGGCTTGGTATACAATTCGTAAATATATTATATTCTGCGAGCTAGCATTTTGAATGATCTGTCAGCAGACTAACCCTAACAACACGGTCAATCATCTCGACGATTCGGTTTTATGCAGGCGCTTGATATCAGCGACAAAACGATCGTATTTTAAGCTGGCTATAATGGGCTGGGGTTTCACAAACACAGAATTACGCCTCCAGAAGTACAGCTGCGCTCACGTCCCCGCATGGTTTATCAAAACAATGTCTTTGCCCTGCTATGAAGGTGTAAGGTGGAATATCTCGAAGTCATGATCGTTTCAAGATTTAATTATTATTTGTAATTTATTCGTTGAGGGCTTGCCAGACTCGTCATCCCTTCAGTGTCATACATGATTTCTCTCATCTTGACACTCTGCAGATGATCAACTCCATTGCTTAACTCACACTCGTGATAGAATAGAAACCATCGCGGTTGGAACCGTACAATCGAGCGATGTGTTGTCCATCCTAGAACTGGCCCCAATATTCTACCCCGATATACAAGAGATCCCAGCGGCGGTGAACCGGTCGCATGCATAAGATAATGTGTATGGCCCATCGAGTAGGAAAAGTAGTACGTACCATCGTACTTGTCGATCCGTGCAGCCTCAAAAAGCGACGACCATGATCATCTGCTAAAATAGGCTGATTACTATCTGGGTCTAGGACTGAATTTCGTGGACCGGAAAGACAACATGTTATTGCTGAGCCCTAGCACACGGACCAAGCGCATACACCTTCAGCGCCAAAGTGCTCCCGAGGGCCTTATTTTGTCGCATGAAAAGGGGGTTACGAGTTTTTGATCTTTTTTGATAATACTGCAGTTGTCCTCCCCACAACCCACCAAAACACAAGTAACATTGAAGCTTCCCGTCATCATCGACAAAGCTAGCCAGATCAATGCTGAAACTGGCCGCGCTCGGGTCTTTCTCAGGCGCGAATGGACCCAATGGTTTCTCGCCAACTGCAACCCTGATCCTAAAAATCCCTTCATTGTCTCGCGCTGGGATATAGAGATAGTGTCTTCCGTTCCTCGTGGCAGCGTCGGAAGCCCACATTTATCTGAAATCCCAAGGGCATCTGCATCGGTCGGGACAATGCTATAATATTGTCCAAGGAAAATATGTGGTAGTCGACCACGTGGTACTGATCGTCATTGTCGTTAAACTAGATGTTTGTTTCGATGTTGTGAGAGGGCTGGATGTATAGCTTGTCGTTGAAGACGTGGGTGCTGCGGTTAGCGGTGTATCTTCGGTCGCGATACCATCATTATAACGGTTGACATCTTTATCCGGTTCAGGCTGGGTTCTTAGTATCTCCCGTCAAGGCCGGTATTATCCAGAACGACACTTCGCGGTTTGATGTTGTGGAGGGCGATCATCGTGGAGCACTGCATCGATGCTACCTTCGAACCACCACAGTTCGAGCGAAGAAATAAACACTTGTCGCACACCAGACCATAATCGAGCGGGTCAGCATGTGGAATCTTTGAAAAGGGTCCGAGTAATCAAGAGCGGTGCATTATTCGAATTTGGCAGTGATAAATTAAGCAGTGATAATTTAGCGCGCAGACTGCTGACGGTACGAAAGAAGGCTCGAACCGTGCACGGTAGGGTGGACCTGAGGCCGCCACGTACTGCCCGTTCACCTGCTAAGAATCTCCTGTTGTCAACTCCATCTCGCCATTCTCTCGCTCTCTCGCCCCTTCACATGGAGCTCTCTCAGCACGCTCATTACTCATCGCCTCGGTCTGGAAGGCCTGTTTTTCACGCCGCAATATAACCTCAAATATTCTTACTAAGCACTCCGGGCTCGACCGTCGTCGGAACCACCGGTGCATTGGTGTGATAGTGCCTTATCACATAATCACTAAGCTCCTCGGAAGGCTATCCCTTGTTGATAATCTGAGTCTGCCCAGACCAGCTCTGTCCGATTCCAAATAGCTCCACAGCGATCGTTAACCTCAATGGTTCATAGCATCTATGGATTCCACACCGCTCCAGAGCCCCTCTCCCTACTGGACCTAGCCTGTCATGCTCCAGCAGTTTTCTCTCCTAGTACACCCAGCGTTTTACGGTTTATTGCCAATCATGATCCATTGATTCGTCGATTACGTGAATGCTGTCTTGTCGTACGATGCTTATTCATTTATCAAATTTTAAGCTTCCGTCTATTGACTTTCGTCTATTGACTTGTAGTTCGCGTCACACAATTTCCACAGTATACCGAATACATCTTAGTACCATGCAACTCGACGATCAATGTTTCATTCTGATTGCCTAACAGTGGATCACAACATGATTACGGTGACGCTAAAGATAGAACTAGCATTTCACCATGTTGTTTCTTGCATCTTGGTATTGCATGGGATGCTGTTGGCTCAATACTAGCCCAATAATGGCCAATATCAGCTAGCTATCATACTAGGTTAGCAAGTGCTTGGCGTATCAGCTGAAGTACTGAATATATAATCGGTCTGTTTTCTCATTCTACGAAGCTGTCGAGTGGCTAGACATTACGTAGACGAATCCCCTCAGGATGCGGCCCACACAGTTTCTTTTCGGCGCTGCCAGCCTCCTAACAGCAGCAGAAGCGGCATGTCCCATGCTCACTGGAGAGCTCAATGGACGCGAAATTGTGGATAACCCTCATGATATCCAGGCCCGGCAATCTTCCTCTAGTGCCACCAGCGAGACTGAAGACTTCCTATCGCAGTTCTATCTCAATGACAACAATAGTTTCCTAACGACCGATGTAGGCGGCCCAATACCCGATCAAAACAGCTTGAAAGCAGGTAATCGTGGCCCTACACTCTTGGAGGATTTTATTTTCAGGCAGAAAATCCAACACTTTGACCACGAGAGAGTGAGTCTTGAAGCTTGATCGAATGTGATGGATTAATCTTAATTGACATTACAAGGTACCGGAACGAGCTGTCCATGCCCGAGGAGCAGGCGCTCATGGCGTGTTTACTTCGTATGCAGATTGGTCTAACATCACAGCTGCCTCTTTCCTAGGGGCAGCTGGGAAAGAAACACCAATGTTTGTGCGGTTCTCGACGGTTGCAGGAAGTCGTGGCAGTGCCGATACTGCGCGCGATGTACACGGATTTGCTACTCGATTTTATACTGACGAGGGCAACTACGGTATGTAATGACTCCATTTCATATAGCACGCCTTCGCTAAGATCAGGTAGATATCGTGGGAAATAACATTCCTGTTTTCTTCATTCAAGACGCTATACTCTTTCCCGACCTAATTCACGCCGTCAAGCCCAATCCTACCAACGAAATTCCCCAGGCTGCCACTGCACATGACACCGCCTACGACTTTTTCAGCCAACAACCTAGCTCCTTGCACACGCTCTTTTGGGCAATGGCGGGTCATGGAATCCCACGTTCTTTCCGCCATGTTGATGGATTCGGCGTTCATACATACCGATTCGTAACGGCTGACGGCGCCTCGAAATTAGTCAAGTTCCATTGGACATCTCAGCAGGGTCGTGCCAGTCTAGTATGGGAAGAAGCGCAGGCCACCGCAGGAAAAAATGCAGATTATTTACGTCAAGATCTTTACGACAGCATCGAGTCAGGCTATTTCCCAGAATGGGAGGTAAGTTCATACCGGCTTCCGTATCAACTTCGCAGATGCTTTGCGATGATACTAACACCAGTGTAAAGCTCGGAGTTCAGATTATCAACGAGGCAGACCAACTTAAGTACGGTTTTGATCTGCTCGATCCTACCAAGATCTTACCAGTAGAGGATGTCCCGATCACCCCTCTAGGAAAGATGCAATTGAACCGAAACCCACTCAATTACTTTGCTGAAACCGAGCAAGTAATGGTAGGTGCCTTATTGTCCAAAGCTATGATATTGCTTGCTGAATAAGTGACAGTTCCAACCTGGCCACATTGTGCGCGGCATTGACTTCACCGAAGACCCTCTTCTCCAAGGCCGCATTTTCTCGTATCTCGACACGCAACTCAATCGCAATGGTGGACCGAATTTCGAGCAGATACCAATCAACCGACCGCGAGTGCCTTTTCACAATAATAATCGCGATGGAGCAGGTTAGTCTCTATTCTTCTGCTTGGAATTTCAGACCTGCGCACTAACTTTCCATAGGCCAAATGTTCATCCCACTCAATCCAGCAGCTTACTCGCCGAATACTTTGAATAGTGGTTCTCCAAAACAGGCCAACCAGACCCAAGGCAAAGGTTTCTTCACTGACCCCAAACGGACCGTGAATGGAGGTCTTAGTCGTGCAACTAGCCCAACGTTTGCGGATGTGTGGTCGCAGGCCGGACTATTTTTTAACTCACTGAACCCAACTGAACAACAATTCCTGATCAATGGTCTTCGATTTGAACTAGCTCATGTCAATAGCGATATTGTTAAAAACAACTTCATCATTCAGATCAATCGGGTTAACAACACACTAGCAAGTCGCATTGCCGAAGCCATTGGGATCACGCCACCCCATCCCGATCCGACCTTTTACCATCATCGCCGAACAACAAACGTTGGGACGTTCGGCACTCCTTTAAAAAAGATTGATGGCCACAGCGTGGGGATATTAGCGACTGTCAACGATAACAGCAGTATCACGGCAGGCCAAACCCTCGGACAAAAGCTGGCAGCCTCAAACGTCAGTGTGGTCGTCGTTGCTGAACGCCTGGCGGACGGCGTGTCTGCGACCTATTCCCAATCTGATGCAACAAGTTTTGACGCCGTCATTGTGGCCTCTGGCGCTGACGTTCTGTTTAACAAGAATTCTACGGCTAACACTGTTACAACAACATTGTACCCAGCCGGGCGCCCCTCGGAGATTTTGGTAGATGCATTCCGCTTCGGTAAGCCGGTTGGAGCGTTGGGAAGTTCAAACACTGCATTGGAGGACGTTGGTATTGATCCTCATCGATCGGGCGTGTTCACAAGCGGCACCATTGATGATAATTTCGTGAATGATTTGAAGAATGGCCTCTTGACATTTAAGTTTCTGGATAGGTTCGCGTTGGACCACTAGGAAGTTGTCGACGAACCATGTCGATCTGCCTATGCGAACCGATGCTCCTGCAATCACTCCTTTAATGTACCCAAATAGCGCCTCTAATATGCCGACAATTCGTTATATAGTATTGAAAATTGAGCCGTTCTGAGATGCAAATACACATTAGGCTCCAGACCACTTACTGCGTCGATGGAGCCAGCCGTAAACACGCCCGAAGCATGGTCTGTCCATATTCTAGCCATCTCGTAATAATAACAAATAGTTCATTGCCTCAACGATTTCAACGCGTCCCCAGCAAGCACAACCCGCCAATGGCAGCCCGTGCATTGCTCAACGCCGGCTCAATACTTGGCCGCGCCGGAGACAAGCTTTTCTAAGCTATTACTGACGTAAATCCTCGACCTATTAAACACCTTTGCGGCTCCAGCATGATTTCGCACTGGTGCAAACTGTCGTCTCAATATATATATATATATGTTCATCATTGTTTCCATCAATTGCACTGGCAACACACTGCTAGCATAACAACAGAATAACAATATCAGTGAAATCATGCCGGAAGTTGGCCGAAAAGCATGCCGAGCGACCCGCCCAAGCCGACCCAAGCCGGGCCGAAAGCGTCCAATCATGTCTACAACTTCCTTTTCTTCTCTTTCTTCTCCATATGCCTCGTCGCGATGGAGTCTTTTTGCGGAGCCCCAACTCGATTTCTCCTGCTGCCCACGCACGCACACACTCGCTCACTCAGAAAATGACACACATCGGCTCGATCGGCATGTCCTCGAGTTTCCCCTCGCCCGGACTTAACTGGAGTCTAATGTCGTAGCAATTTTTCTCCGAGGGGGTTTAATATTTCCCCCTTCCCCGTCCCCCCCTCTCCCTTTCGCTATACTTCTCGAACCGCTCGCAGTGCAGAACATGGCTCGGTTTCTAGGCTTCCGAGGCCATCGCCTCAATGTGGCCACCATCCTACTGGTTGTATTCCCAGCTTATATGTGTTTCGGATACAACCTGGCTGTGTCTGGCGGTCTGCTCACTCTGCCGTCCTTCATAGAGCAGTTCCCAAAGATGGACACCGTGCATAACACGAGTAAATTCAATTCTAATGTCCAGGGTATGTCTGCATGCGCGCGATTTGCTGTTCTACACTGACGCAGCCAACAGGAACCGTTGTTGCTTTGTTCACTGTAGGAGGCGTTCTAGGCGCCTTGTCGACTATCTTCATAGGCGATCGTCTCGGCCGGCGACGCGTTGTTTTCCTGGGCTCCGCACTCGTGATTATTGGCGCTCTGCTCATGTCTTCATCATACTCGTTCGGCCAATTCATTGTCGCTCGCTTGGTTCAGGGCATTGGCACAGGCGCTACAACCGCAACAGTGCCGGTTTGGCAGTCGGAGATATCTGGCTCGTCGCACCGTGGGTCCCATGTTGTAACTGAGGGGCTTTTTATTTCCACGGGCATTGCTGCATCGCTATGGATCGATCTGGGCTTCTCGTTCATCGGCACAAGTTCTGTGTCATGGCGCGTTCCTCTAGTAGTCCAAGTTCCGCTAGCGATTCTCGTCATGATTTTCATTTTTCAACTTCCCGAATCTCCTAGATGGCTGCTAGGGAAAGGTCGATCGGAGGAAGCGCGGGAGATTCTTGGGATTCTCCGTGACGTCGACAGCAATTCGGACATCGTGCAAAGCGAAGTAGCCGATATCGAAAAGTCGCTGGAATTACTCGGCACTGTCAATAAGTGGGAGCTGTTCACACTTGGCGAAAAACGCAACTTTCATCGGCTGGCGCTCGGTATGACAGGGCAGTCGTTTGGACAGCTCTGTGGCATCAACTCGCTTACCTTTTACGCCACCATTATTTTTGAGCAGCGCCTAGGGCTCGGTGGTACCGACTCTCGTGTTCTCGGCGCCGCAATGACGACTATTCAAATTGTCGGAGCGCTAGCAGCTGTCCTTACCATCGACCGTCTAGGAAGACGCCCGCTCATGCTGACGAGCGCAGCGGGCATGTGTATGTCTATGGCTGTGCTCGCTGGTACCACATCGACATCTCACAACCAGGCCGCTCTGATCGTTGCTGTCATTAGCTTATTCGCTTTCAACATGTTCTACCCCTTTGGATTTTTGGGTCTCCCTTTCCTCTATTCCACCGAAGTAGCACCTCCGCATTTGCGCGCGAAGATTAGCGGCGTGTCTAACTGCATGACATGGCTATTCAATTTTGTCGTTGTTGAGGTTACACCCACGGGCTTTCAAACCATCAATTATCGGTATTACATCATCTGGGCAGTGATCAACTTTGCCATCGTCATCACGGTGTACTTTTTGTTCCCCGAGACAAATGGGCGATCGCTGGAGGAGATGGATGAGATCTTCATGCTATCTAACAACATTTTTGAATCAATGCGTGTTGCTCGATCACTGCCTCGAAAGGACCACCTGAGTGTTGAAGCAGGCGGGGATACTAGGTACGACGAGGCGAAGAGTTAAATATCGAAAGCTTTATCGTTAGACTGGCTAGAAATATAAATTTAGAACAATCCTACAGCAATGTGATAAAAGTTTGAATATAGTATCAAGATTTCTATCTGTCTTTCATCTGCATTTACGCCAATTTATATTATTAACTTAGGCTTCTTAAGGGGACACCCGTAGATAATGGAAAAAGTTGAAATATTATTAATACTGATATGGGGAGGACTCCTATAGTCAATCCACTTTGTAGTGCTATATTCGAACTTTTGTCACCTTACTGTAATAGATAATGTTTGTAAATTATAGTAGCGAGCGAAAGAATCACAAGATACATTTCAATGTACTGGATTTTCCCGAGAACAGATCACTGGATGCAATAAAAATTGTGGGACAGAAGAGATGGCAATGCTTGTATAATATTATGCAGTCACAAAAGTCCGTACCTTAAAACATGTTAATTATTTATGGGCGAACTACTCCTAGTGCCCTAGACGCGTCACAAATAGTCCAAATTAACACCATCTCTTAAAGTAGTCCTCAAAAGTAAATCGAACTACACCGAAATCATGAATTCGGATTGTGATTGAAGACTCTGGCCCCTAGGCATCACCATGCCCTGGAATACGTCTGAGCATCTCCTTCATTCTGTCAACCCATTCCTCCGTCTCTCTGCCGTGTTGATACAAGCGCTCTTCGCATCGCTGGAGCTCATTCCGTAGGTTCTCATTCTGCGCCTCAAGGGCGCGAATTTCTTCTCTCAAGGAGTGAACCAAGACACGAGCTACCCGTAAATCGGAGTTGGCCATATGATTAGAAATCAAAGCTGTGCCAATCTGTTCCTCGATAGATGAAAAGCCATCGTCGACAGCCTCGTCTATTCTCTCTTTGACTGTTGTGATATGCTTTTTCATAAATTCGGGCAGGAAATAGGGAACTGGCTTGGGTAATGACACTATGAAAGAATTAGTCATGGATAAGGATCATGTTACTGGTGCTATACCTTTGAAGGGTTCTGCTTTCGGACTGGTAGACTTGGTTGGCCTGTCATCGCGAAATACCTTTGGAGTGCTGCATTCATTTGCTGACGGAGTATCAGATTTGTGATCGTCTGTTTGTGTGTTAGACGTGTAATAAACCACTAATGAGGAGACATACCACGAGCGGTGATGGTGTCTGTGAGCTTTACTGTGGTTGTTTCGGTGAAGCTGTTTTGCTCAGGCTCGATTGGTGCGTCGCTGCCAAGGCTTCTATTATCGAGTTCTTGAGTAGATGCAGAGGCGAGGCCCAACTCAATGTGTTCTGTGATTTTTTCCTCTTCCAAGCAGACACGCTTGGGGACGGAAGAATCATCAGAGCTGATGTCTGCGATTCGCTTTGTTGCAGCCATATGAAGGCTATCTGACATGATTGCTTGCAGCGCTGATGGATTGTAAATAATATCCAGAGGCCCTCGGTGACAGTAAAGAAGTTAGAAGAGGGTAAATTTGCTTTGAGAAGTGAAGGGAAAGCGGGGTCGTGGTCGTTAGGAAAGCACCCCCCGTTTGGCCTTTTGCGAGTTTACCTGTTTCTTCACTGGGTCATCCGGCATGCAATTTGAAGTGTTACTTTACCTGGCATATCGGTAATTCGCTGGATAGATAGTCGTCAATGTTTTGCGTCTGTTGATGCGTTGAACAGCGAGTCTAGGAACCGGTTCGCGATACCATATATTACAAGAGAAAGAGCGAGCCAGAAGAGAAACGAATTCAGAGGAGAAGTATCCATGCAGCATTAGCAAACGCGGATTAAATTCAAGCACACATCGTTGCTGCTAGTTATTCGGTCTTGGCAATGTGCCTTATGGGCAGTTTGTATATGCACCTATATACACCGGATTTTGGCCGCCGGGTGAGGCTTTCCTGTCTGGGCTGCCGCCGCTTTAATGAGGGCGATCAGGCTCAGGCTCAGTGAGTAAATTATAGAAAAGACTAAAGCATCAAAGAAGTTGAGCAAAATGTGAAAATGTGCGCAAGTGAAAGTAGGCGATAGAAAGACAATGCAGTACGCAACTGCGAGCTTACGATAGCAAGCGCCCAGAAGTGATCATCTACGACAACGTCGCCGTGGGCCGTCATAACCAAATTTTATCAAAGTCTGTTCTGGCCTTGAAGAAGACCAGAGGTTTGTTGTGTTTCTCAAATTTTGCATCAATACAAGGCGAGCAAGGGAACGGATCGCCAGAACCACTTTTGACATACAGAATTAGAGGCGCAGAGTTTACGACTCAGAACAATTAGTTTAAAGGAAGGATATTGAAACATGTGGCGCTCATGAATGGGCTTTGATCCAAGCTAGACCGGCACTTCCCGCAGTCATCACAGGGCCTCCTAACTGTGCAGCTCCGTTAAAGATGACCAAACCATTTCCTCCTGCCCCTGCACTCTGTCCTACAGCCGTCGTGCTCCCCGCTATAATGTTTCCGGTCCAACTATGGGCGGTTGCAGCTGCAGACCCTGTATCCCGGAAACATATGGTTATCCAAGCTTCTTATTGTAGCACAGGAGGTGGTGAAAAGAGAGGGAGCGGGAAATATCTTTCCCTCCTAGTCAAAGCAGGGGTAATGAAACGCAGCGACCATTCACGACGAATAAGCTCTTTGAATATAGTGACCGTTGGAGCATCCCCAATGGTTAACTGTCGGCCTGATTGTATTACTGGACGAATTTCCTAGTGGGGATGGTCTTCGGGCGGGTTTGATGGATGGGGCCATCACGCCGTTCATAAAAAGATGTGTTCACGGATGTTATGGCACCGCACGGCGGCTGCCAACAGTATCCTCTAGAATGGCGATATGGACCAGTCTGCCCTCCCCAGACTCTTTAGTAGTAATCGCAGAGACGACTTGGATGGAGAAACCGGAATCTTCGCCTTCTATAGCGCGGAGTATGTGTTTCATGACATAGAGCTTTGTTTACACCTCATTTAGCAAGGTGAGAAGGCTAAATTCGCCTGAGAACCCCTTAATAGCAGGCTCAGATTATTCAGTCACCATTTGAGCCCCCCCTTGGGTATGCGATATAGTCTTATTTTTAGTAGGTTGACACTTAGACACCGCAAATAGGTCACGGTCCTGTTGCGCTCAAATGTGAAATGAGAACGTGGCCCTCGCATGCTCAAACTCCTTACTCACTCCTGACTACGTGCGAGCAGGAAACTGCGGCGAACATCCTAAATTCATTACTGCGAGGCCACACCAATCAAATAATGAGATTCTGCATTCTGTCAGCACCTAGCACTTTCAGTCCGGGTACAAAAACGTATTCGCCCAACCGCTTGGGATAGTGAATCCGCGAGGCAATGTTTGGTCAGGAAACATGTGCAAATATCCGGGTTGCAAAAATAATGGCCTAGTGTTCTCACAAGTTTCCATCTCATGAATTGTCGACCTGGTTGGAAAAGTCTGTTCGCAGTATTGCACTCCGCGGTCAGAAACTTCAGATGTGCGAGCATAGCAACTCAGAGAGCGACATCTGTGTAACCGAGTATCCAAATTAGGGCACTGCGTATCGGAGGCCATTGGCTTATTTCCTAGCACAGCAGAGCTAGGTTGTTTTTTCGCATCTTCTGAGAGGGCATGGTTATATTCAGGGCCATATAACACCGATTTATCAAGCACAATTCGATCAGGGCTAGATAGCCCACCAGCAGGCTTCGATTGGGAAGAATTTGATTTGTGTTCCTCGCCAGTCATAACATCGCGTTTTTGGCAGTCGCCTGAGATAGACCTGGGTTTTTTGACCAAGTATTGAATAAACCGAAGCCTTTTGCGGGTTCCTTCAACGCATGTATGCGATATTCCCCGCTTGATACACCGCTTGCATGGCAGTAAGCTGTCTAGAAACCAAGTTAATAGCTTTTCTCTGTAATGTATTAAGTGAAATAGGATTTTATTGGAGCTGCTAGGCCAAAGTATCTTACCGCAGCGTTGATGTGATCGTTGACAGTTTCTACATGGTCTCATTGTTTTTCTTTGCATATGTTCCACTAGCTCCCTTCTTCCAGATTGATCGCAAGATTTGGACTCCATATCAAAGGATTTTTGAATCCCATATCCTGGTTTTCGGACGTCACACTCTATTCTCAAGATCAGCCGTGCCGAGATGAGGGTTATTGATTTGGAAAATGATACAACCATACCAACTCACCTATATTCGGGTGCGTTAACGAGAAATTGAAGTGAAAGTTGCACATTCAAGGAGGATAAATAGACACTGGTGCGGTTTTCGAAAGGGTATAGCATGAAATAGATCTGGATATAGCCTTGGTCATAACAAAAAAAGTTAAATCATGAAACAATTTATTTAAAAGGGGAAGACAAATCAAAGCATCCAAGCATTTGACCCTGGACCTAGGCATCCGCGGAACCCGAAAACTTAACAATACCGCTAGCAAGATCGCATCCTATCTTTCAATCCAAAGCGACAATTTTTTTCATTTACAGTACAGTACAGTTAAAGTTCAATGGCCATGTAGTTGCTTCCTCCGTCGGAAGCTAGAAAATTATGCACAAGCGCCACGGACGCAGCCACCTCTATTCGACTGGACCCGAACGCATTAGACAGACCACGTTACGTCGCCGTGCATGCTATCCGTAAGATTGTTTCAATCCCATAATAACTAAATAGTGTGATTATCTGAAGAGACTAGGTGATCAAAGCTACAGGGAGAGAGCTGTCAATATGGCCACGATGGGACGGCCCCTTCATGTTGTGGTTGTGGGTGTGTTACATCGCTATTTAGTCAATGCACAGCTCGTAGACTTTTCTTTATACGATTAACAGACAAGGATTTAAGTCAAACACTTGTTCAGAAAATAAGTGCTCAGCCATGATCGTAATAGACTTTCAGTGTACATGAATGGAAATGGGAGAGACACTTCGAAAGCTCTGCGGCATTTCAAACAAAAGCAGATGTGCCGGCTGATAGAGAATGTTGAGATCGAGGCATGTTTTATGCAAAAATGGCATTGAAGAAACATTTACAGTCTCTCTTGCATGTCTCCATAAGCGATTGCAAAGCTGTGGGAAGGGCTATAATGCAGGTCCCAATATCCATCCCAGATTAGCTTAGTGACAGGCCCGATTTCGCCCTGTTTGATATTTTGACCATCAATTGATGTAATAGGCATAATTCCTCCGGCAGTGGTGCAAATGAATATCTCATCCGCTTGGAAGGCCATCTCAACCGGGACAACCTGAACGTGGGCACTTATGCCGTTCTTTTGTGCAAGTTCTAGGACAGTTTTGCGAGTAACGCCCTCAAGCACGCCTCGATCAGGGGTATATAAGGCACCATCTTTAACAAGCACGATATTATAGCCCGGCCCTTCAGTCAAGTTTGCGTCCCCGTCCGTTAATAAAGGATAGTTAGCACCCCGATCGACGGCCTCCAGCAGTCCGCGTATCAAGTCGCCCCATTGCAGATTTTTGATCGTCGGATCCATCGATCCAGGAGGGACACGGCGGACCGTTCTCGCAATAATAGCTTTCCCACCGGTCCGTTGCAAAACAGGCGGCATGGCCCAGACGTAAGGCTGCACAAACATGTATATTCTGTTGACGATATCTTTCGGGTCGGCTTGGCGAACAAATTTGAGGCCCCGGGTAACGATAAGTTCCACATAGGCATCGCGAATGCCAGATTTAGCCACCATATCCACCAAGGTGCGTTTAATTTCTGGCTTCGACAAAGGGAGCTGGAGACGCAATTTCTTGCAGCTTGCCTCCAATCGATCGATATGATCGTCGAGGCGGAAGAAACGTCCATCCCAGACAGCTGGAACGTCATATGTAAGGTCACTATGTAGAAAACCTTGATCGAGTAGTGGAATGCGTGCCTCCCCCAGCGGAAATAGGTCGCCTTCGACCCAGGCAATTCCTTGAGAGAAAGGGTTGTTGCTTGCCTCAAGTGTGGCTTGTCGGGTTTCATACCCTCCTAGAACTGCATCCATAGAGGCCATATTGAAGTGAAATGTGTCAAAAAGTTTAAAGAAGATAATGACTAGTTGGTTGGGGGAGAACTGCTTTCACTCCACGGCAATACTTTGACAGATGCTGTGTTCAAGAATTGGATAGAAGCCGTGGGAATGATTATATATTTCTTTGACATACGACGCCAGATTCTTTAAGCCACATAGTCACACGCGACTCACCATCAAACTCGGCTGTGCAGATGTCCTGGATGTAAATAGTAACGCCGCATAGATAAGGGGCGGCTACTGGTAGGAGCGACTAGATAACGCCTGGGGCAACTTATCTCAGGAGCTCAGACCCCACAAATTTCAGCAATATCCGTCTGAGCCAAGGTAGACATATAACCAAGTATATGCACGACTTAGATGTATCTTCGTTCCTAGTACCCAAAGATACCTAACGTATTTAAAATTGAAGACTGCCTGATCTTACTCTTGAATTCCTCCATCGCAATAATATCCGGATCGATCGTCTGCTTACAATTCAGCTACCGCCAAAGTTGAAGTATGCCACAAAAGAACGTCGTCGTCATTGGGTAAGTTGGTAATTCAGCAGTGACAATAACCGATATCCAAAGAAAAGAAAGAAAGAAAGAAGCTCATTCTTTACAGAGCTGGGGTTGCAGGACTTACTACGGCGCTCCTCCTATCTGAGCGTAGCGGATACCGAATCATTGTAGCTGCTAAGCATATGCCCGGCGACTATGACATCGAATATGCCTCACCATGGGCTGGTGCCAATTACATGCCGTTAGTCGAACTCTAATACATACATCTTTAATAGTCATGGACTCATAAGAGGAATGGCTAGGGTCTCAATGCGTGGAACGCAAGCAGCAGAATGGGACAAAAAGACATGGGCACGGCTGCTAGACCTAGCACTCAACCGGCCGGAATCAGGCATACACATACAAGGTGCGCAAGTGCTGGTCCAGGTCTTTCCTTTCAAGACAGTTTGCTAAACGTATGAACAGAATGCGAGATTTATAGCCGATCCAAAGATAAAGGCTCCGCCACAGCAGAATGGTTTTCTGAGTTGCTTGCTCCGAATCCCTGGTTTAAGGAGATCATTCCCAACGTGAGTTGTAGTTCTGTTTTCCTTGGGTGCAATGCCTTGTATTGAGAACGATCACTAACCCGGTGAAAGTTCCGAAGCATTTCCAAAGACAAACTCAGCCCTGGAGTGGACGCTGGCACTAGTTTTACCTCCGTCTGTATTAACACCGCTTTATATCTTCCTTGGCTCGTATCTGAATGCCTGAAAAACGGCGTTAGTTTCACACGTGCTGATTTCAAACATGTGCTGGAAGCCCGCTCCGTCGGTGATCAATTGGGAGACTCAATCGACTTAATAGTCAATTGTACTGGTCTAATGGCCTCCCGGCTGGGTGGTGTCGAAGACAAGTCAGTGGTACCTGTTCGCGGGCAGATTGTGGTTGTTCGTAATGATGCGGGCAAAATGGTTGGTATATCCGGGACTAACGATGGAGGTGACGAAGTCTGCTATGTCATGACCAGGGCCGCAGGCGGTGGTACTGTCCTTGGTGGGTCCTACCAGAAGGGTAACTGGGATTCCCAGGTTGACCCAAGCCTTGCTGTCAGAATTATGAAGAGGGCGGTTGAGCTGTGCCCATCTCTTACTGGTGGAAAAGGCATTGAACATCTTGATATTATAAGACACGGCGTTGGGTTGAGACCAGTACGCGAAGGGGGAACAAGGGTGGAGAAGGAACGCATCGGTGACACATGGGTAGTCCACAATTACGGCGCCGGTGGAGCTGGTTATCAGTCATCATTTGGGTGTGCTCAATCTGCCGTAGACCTGGTGGAGGAAGCGTTACATACGACCGCAAAACTATAGGTTGCGAAAGTTGTAACGAGAGTAGCTCGAGAGCAAATTATCATACGATATGAATGATGAAGAGAAACATGTTTTGTCCAAGTTATGTAGTGCTCTCAGTTTCAAGAATCTAGATGAAAGAGATGTGCGAATATTGTCATTGAAGTGGTATATCAATTTAAAGCAGGAATTAATGCCACAGCTGCTGATTCAGCTCAGTTGACGTTATCTAGAGAAATTAGGCACTGCGACGGTAAATTTAACAATACAAATGCAATACATCGCTCTAGGAAACAGCTTGTTGGGAAGTATACTGTTGAACGATTGTGGCCATTTAAAACAGACTTAAATTGATTCAATACGTCCATAGCTTAATAGAGGAGATTATCGTACAATTGACATGCATCACCATGCAGTCAACACGTGGTATGATGGCCGAGATTGACGGACAAAATATATGGAATGATACCTTTGCAGAAAGGACTGAAGTCTCCATGAGACGTTCCATGCGCCGGCAAAGGCGCATAGCCAATTTATGACTTAGAATGTCACTTTGTTTTCCCGTTTCAAGCGTTCAAGGGCGGCATCCTCTCCCGAGAGACCGATAACGTCTGCAATTTCGGAGTAGTCGGATTGCCAGAGACCGGGCGAAAATTTCGGGAATTGCGAACGGAATCCCAATATCCGCTGCGCTCTAGGGGATAGTTGCTTGATGGTATCCAATCCGATAATGAATGGATTCGCTTCTTCTGGCGTCAGATAGCTACACTGTAGTGTGAAAGCTAAGCCACGACGGTTCTCATCTTTAGTTTTGTTGGCACCACCACCATGAACTGTCTTGCCACTCATCAGGACAGCATCGCCAGCCTTCATAATGGCAGGAATCGTTTGGTCGGGTGACCCCATGTTGGAATAGTCTTCCCACATATGAGATCCAGGAATGATTCTGGTGGCGCCATTTTCTTCGGTGAAGTCTGTCAGGGCGATGAGGAAATTGATAGTCGCCTCCGGTGCCTTCGCGCCCAAAAGATTGAAGATTGGATACTGGCCTTGATCCCGGTGAAGCACTTGAGCTTTGTTGCCAGGTCCGATTTGGATCACTTGAGCGGCACCCATCCAGTACGTCCCAGAGTCTTGGTGGAAGACCCTCTCAGCCACGGCGTGGACCAATTCGTTCTCAAGCACTTGATGACGGAATATCTTGCTGTGGGTTGTAACATTTGTGAGGCGCTTTGTATTACTGCCGTGAAAGTCTTGGATCTTGTCGACCTTGTGTTTGGAGCCCGACTGGATGGCCTCCAACGGTTTGTCAAGTTCGTGATTCAACTCCTGCAACTGGTCTCTCGACAGAAGTCCTTTGATAATCAGGACACCGGATTCGCGTAGGGTTTGGGTGATTGATTCTGGATTGTCTGTTGGCGACACGCGAGGAACAGAGATTGGAGTCATGGTGAATGAATTTCGATGATCCAGGATTGTCAAATAATGCTTTATGTCAACAGCCCGACAAGTGAGACTTGTGGATAGGAAATTCCGTCATTGAGCACAGGTTATTTATAGCGGACATCATGATTTTAGCCAAGATTCATCAGGCAACAAGAAAAGGCTTTCCAGCGCCCTCTCCCTCAGCCCAACACAAAGGCTTCTCCTGCTTTCGTCGTTGAGCCGTGAGAGCGGGCATGTTTTGATTATGGACGGTAGTCTCGGGTCTCCAATCTAATCGCTAACCGCACTCCTTTCCAGCTGGTCTGTTATCGCTGCTGTACGTCATCTCACCCCACATGCCTTAGTTCGTTTTCTTATCTAGCCGCTGCTTTGGATTTTCCTAGGGATCGTCCTTGCTGCCTTGCCATCATTCCAATGCCGAACTACCCCTTAACTTCTGGGAACACTTTTTGGAATCTGCATATTCGCCTGTCTTGGTTGAAATTGGCTCCCACAGTTCCAGTGACTACGCAAAAGTTTGGACAGAGACCCACTTCCAGGCCGCCTAGGATAGCAACATACTCTTTCTAAATTCCGGTGGTAGGAACACTCGGAATTGTATACAGTGCGATATAATCATGAGTGGTTGATAACCAACCCACTTTGGTGTCTACCAGGGAGCCTCTTAGTTGCACGAGTTAGGTTTTTCAAGATCGTTATCAATATCATGAAGAGTTAATCCAGGCTTACGACGTGCAGAATTTATGTAATCAAGTCAAAGTGTGGGATGTCCAAAAATTTGCTTAGTCACTGTATGTGAGTACGAGAACGATTAGCCATCGGCTAGAGACGCTAAAGTGGTTCGTGATGTCCTTTCGCTTAATCTTTTACAAAGATTTCACATCAAAAGAGATTGTCAGAGCAAGCTGACACAGTATAAGCTAGTAATCCTCGTAGGCGAATGGGATCGTGGATAGGACCAAGCGGAACCAATCTTGGATGCCAAAGGTTGATTGATTGAAGAGAAAATGAATATGCTGAGAATGGCGCTAGTACTCGGTGTTACGACGACCGAAATACTATAGATACCAAATTACTATACGAAACAATAGGGAAAAGTGGGTCACTTGGTATAATCCCTGTCTAGGTGGTAACTTACCGCACCGTATCTCGACAGAGATCTATACCTAATTCCCCTCCCATTGTCGTTGAATTCGCGAAGGTGATCGACCCCGGGTTGAGGTGAATCAATGGCATGTTCTGATAGTTTCGGCAGTCTTCAGTCGCCACCATGTTTACACGTTGGTACGTGCGTACTGATTCGGACCTAAGAATTGATTTGGACCATCCAGATCAAGCTGTAGGCGTTCCCGGTTCACAGACTCATTTAGTCCAATTATCTAGGTAAGCTTTGGTGGACTTTCTAAATTGCAAGGATTCTCTCGCAGTGTTTCTGTTTAAGACATGAAATTCTCCATTCTATAGAAATCTGAAAACGCTTGGTCAATTTACCCACGCGCATCTATCTACTATCCATTAGGAACTGCCATGTAGTCGCACAAGGACCTGAACGGGGGCAGTGGTCGACGTGTATTTATGTTTGACCACTGTTGACGGGTCCATGTTTTCCACTTTGTCAAATCGCTGAAGCATCCGCACGACCACATATCCAGCCTCAGTGAGGGCAAATTGCTGTCCCAAGCAGATCCTTGGACCACCATTAAAGGGCAAGTATTCCCATCCTGGTCTGAGTCCTATCCACCGTTCAGGACGAAACTGGTCAGCATCATCACCCCAGATATCCTTCCGGCGATGCATAACATGCACGTTGTAGCCAACATCCTCCCCAGCGCGGATATAGATTGGCGATGTACCATCTGGGCCGCCCCCACGAGGGAGTGTAGTGTTTCGGACCGCGCGGCGACCATTCTCAGGAACAACTGGATGAAGTCGTAGAACTTCAGACAAAACATGCTGCAGATAGGAACATGACTTCAGGGACTCGAAGGTAATAGTATTGGTACTGGAAAATTCCCCAAATGCTTCAATGACAGCGGTACGTAGCTTTTCGTAAACATCCACATGACGTGAGAGTAGATAAAACGTCCATCCTAAAAGACCTGCCGTTGTGTCTCTACCGGCCAGTAGAATGTTGAGAAGCTGAGTACGAAGCTCTTCGGGATCTTGTGTTTCCTTGGCAAGTTCCCGGAGAAAAACGTAGCCAGAGTCATTTTGGTCCCCTGGGACAGATTTGTTCTCCCCAGGCTGCAGGCCCCCAGTAAGAGCAAGGTTGACATAAAAACGGGCAAAGTTTTGGATTTCTGCACAGTCTTTGCGAAATTGCGCAGGATTGTAGAGAAAGTACAGACTCATCAGCCTACTTCGGTACGCGACCACTCCATTGGCTCGGTCAAAAGCCTGACCAAAGGAGTATCCGTCGGGTAGACCATCTTGTGTGGGCTCCGCAGGCTTGAGCCCCTGAGTTTTCTTCAATGAAGTAATCTGAGAATTCACACACTGTCCAAAGAGAAATTCGGTTGCAGAGTCTAGAGTCAGATTGAAAAACAAGGGCGCCAAATCCACAGTGCACGTCCACGAGTCAGATTTAACTGGGAGACGACCGAGGAGGTGCTGGAAGTGCTGTTCCTCCAGCTGCAGATTAGCAACTTGGCCTCGAGTGAATTGTGGGCGAAGAAGAGAGCGAGAGTGTTGCCTATATTCCACATCAATATACATGACCTCTGAGATCATCAAGGTGTAACATACCAATCCGTCCCATCAGTAGTAAAGATGCCCTTCCCAATGACCGGGTTGAACATAGCACGCCGAAAAGGGCCAAGCTCAAAATCCTTGAATTGCGTCGCAAGCATAGCCTGCACATTCTTTGGGTCTGTTGTTATGTGGTGCCAAGAACCAAGGAGATTTTGATTCCACGTCGGGCGGCGGCCTAACTCTTCGTATAGCACCAAATCATCATTCTGAAGGATATGCTCCTCCATCGTATCCATATATCGTTTCACAATATCAATACCCAGCGGAAGCTTGCTCGGTCGGACAAAGGCGGGCTTACAACCCATTCGCCGAGCTCGCTGGGCATGCATCAATGAGACCAGGGCCCATTTAACAACATAAATGAGAAGAACAGCCTCGAGGGCAGTCGAGAATGATAATTGTTGAAGACTGATCATCGCCGCAAATACTTTAACCTCAGTGGTGGTGATCAAAGTATCTTGAACAAAACCGCAAAATCGCTTATTCGTTGGATTTGATCACAGTATATATAACTTGGAATACACTTATTGACTAGAGGTAAACGATAATAGCATTACCTTCTTGGTCGTTCTTCTCAACACGGATGATGACCCACCCGACTGTATAAGCTTCCTTGCGGTGGCGGCTATCATCTCTTATCTAGTCGCTCGATCCTACCCCGTACAAAGTACGCCGAAACAGATCGCCTCACGTCAAATTTGTTCAACTCGCCACCTACTCGAACCGACATTCTCTTCATCACCATTGACACTCCCATACTATCTAGACGCAAGGTTAGTGGGATTCGCTTAATTCCCGGCAATTATACACGACTGAAACTTGGGTCCAAATCAAACGGATCATCGGTCAAAGTATGGGGCATTCAGGCCTCAGGGTATTGCTGTCCGTCTCAGTCTCAGGGCAAGAAGGAACCGAGGTTCCTCGGCCCTGCGAGGCCAATGGATCCACCTGAGATGAACTCTGCATTCATATAATAAGATTTAAATCGTACCCTTGAAGAGCTGCGCCCTTGAAAATAAACCTTCAAGGATTTGTGATCACCGCCAGCGCACAGTCCAACTCTGATATCGAGTCAATTGCTCCAAATGGCCGTGTGGCAAAGAAACTCTAATGCCGCTGATCTACCTGCTCAATGGGCGAAAGAAAGTGCGTCAAAAATCACAAACAAATTCACAGATGGTGCATCCGATGAATTTGAGTTTGGTGGTCCAGTGGGTGCTGCGCTGCTGATGACGGGGTTTCCTCTCTTGATGTGGTATATGTGGATTGGTGCAACATACTATGATGGTATGCTTCCTTTCCCTGACCCCGACCAGTCCTGGCCTGACTTCATCTGTTACTTGAGCCAATTGGTCTATGAGGGAGCCTACCCATCCGCGAAAGCATGGGCTATCTACTGGACATTTTTCATCATGGAGGCAGTTATGTACTGTTATATGCCTGGTGTTTGGAACTTGGGTCGGCCCCTGCAGCATGCAGGTGGGAAAAGGCTTCTATACTACTGCTCCGCCTATTGCAGCTTCTATGCGACCCTTGCTATCACCATTGTGCTCCATTTTACTCGTGTATTTCCCATGTACACGTTGATTGACGAGTTTGGACCCATTATGAGTGTTGCTATCTTGTCAGGTTTCTTGAACAGCTTTATCGTATATATTCGAGCTATAGTGCGTGGGCGCACCCACAGGCTGTCAGGCTCTGTTATTTATGATTTCTTCATGGGCGCGGAACTGAATCCTCGCATTGGTATCCTGGACTTCAAGATGTTTTATGAGGTGAGAATCCCGTGGTTTATCTTGTTCCTCATTACCTGCTCCGCCGCGGCTCGCCTTTACGAAACTTATGGCTATGTCCCCGCCGAAGTTATCTTCTTGGCTGGAGCACATTACCTGTACGTCAATGCGTGCGCCAAAGCTGAGCAAATGATTATTACAAGCTGGTGAGCATACCACAATATTGCAATTCAAAAGGTTCTCTTAGCTAAGTATGGAAAAGGGATATGTATTTCGAAAAATTGGGGTTTTTGCTCACATTCTGGAATATGGCTGGCGTGCCTTTCACCTATTGTCATTGCGCCCTTTACCTGGCCAACCATGACCCATCCGAATATCGATGGAACCTTTACAACCTTGCACTATTATCTGCCATGTATCTCTTCTTCTACTGGATGTGGGACAGCGCAAATGGTCAGAAAAACGCATTTCGCCACAAGGAAAAGGGACAGCTCGTCAAACGGAATACATTTCCTCAGGTGCCATGGCAGGCGATCGAAAACCCAAAAACGATTAAGACCGACACAGGCGATAGCATAATGGTTGATGGCTGGTTTGGAATAGTCCGGAAACCGAACTATATTCCTGATATGTTTTTCTCTATGTCCTGGGGTTTAATCACCGGTTTCAGGTATGTATTTCTCTGTCATAAAAGTATCAGCGGTGATAGCTAATGTTCCGTTATTAGAAGCCCGTTTCCTTGGTTTTATTTCCTTTTCTTCATGGTTATGATTATCCATCGCACCAAGAGGGATATTAACAAGTGTCGAAGAAAGTATGGAGAGGCCTGGACTCGCTATGAGAGAGAAGTCCCCTATCTGTTTATCCCAGTAAGTTCCATAATGTCAATTCCTGGCGGGGAAAAGCTATTAATATCTTTGAAGTATGTGATTTAGTTTGTGTACGGCCATAATACGGGAGTTAAAGGGTCGCACATTTTCTGAAGCGGGACGCTACTTGAATTTCCTATAGCCACGCTTGTCCCAAGCCAAATAACGCGAGATTATATTGTGAAGACTTGGCACAGTTTAGAATTCATACCTAAGTGAGCTCATTCTCAATGCTAAATAGAGATATTTGCATTACATAATGTCTCGAATTCAAGTCAACACTATTCATGCTGGAAAATTGGAGCGCAAACTGAAAGAACTCTAGTTTATGTTCATGAGTCCTGAACATAGCAAATTAAATATTATAAATATCTTGAAAGGAACAAGCCCCTCGTAGATGGAAATTAAAGGAATCGGGTTCTAGTTCGCTTATGATACATCTGCTAATCATGGTAATTACCATTATGATAACAGAAGCTTTGTCTACGCGCTCCAAAGGGCACTGCTATTGGTGCCCAGAAGCCACTAGGGGGCTGTGGCAGATAGAGGCAGCTGTCAGGTGACCTGATAAATGCGGAACATTATCGTTGAAGCACTAGAGCTCCTAGAGATAGAAATTCTAGAGAGTATCGGTAATAAGGTTCTGGCGCGTAGATAAGCCTACTGGTTCAGACGCGGGGTACATTCACCAAAAGTCGACTGAATAAGGCCAACCCTCTGTACATTTCAATCTATCTCGTAGAGTATATATGTTACCGCTCTCTAGATAGTCTGTGAATCCTCCTACCCTCACCACTTTATCGAATTTCCTTAGACAACAAAAACCTTCCTCCCAAGTGTGATAGGAGCCCAAGATATAACAAACAGATCACGACCGCCGCGATGCTTGACGAAAAAGCCCCACCTCACCCAGCTCTCGATACTGTGGAGACAAGGCGGGAGGGCCAAGTCTATGAGGTGACACAGCTTGACAAGAATCGGTTCAACCTGTGGAGTACCATAGGTATTCAGTTTTCAGTTACCGCAGCGCCTCTTGGAATCGCTGGCTATACCACTCTCATAACCGGGGTTGGGGGTAGCCCTTTCTACTTCTGGGGCTTCCTAGTTGCTGTAATCGGGCAACTTCTGGTAGCATTGAGCTTGGCCGAACTGTCGAGTGCCTATCCGCATACTTCTGGTAAGGTTCCATCCACGTTCAAATTCTGTGATCTTGCTAATCTTATCTTCGCCATTTTAAGGGCAAGTATATTGGACTGCCACTTTAAGTCCGCCTCATTATGCGCGCTTTCTCAGCTACTTGAATGGCATGATGACAACATTTGGATGGATCTTCGCTTCAGCTGGAACCGCGGTCTTCTCGGCTGATTTTTTTGTCAGCTTTGGCCAGCTTGTTTCAGACACATACGAGCCTACTTCGTGGCAAATCTTTCTTCTCGTCATCGCTGTCTTAATTGTCGCATTCATATTGAACACGCTGCTCATCAGTATGGTGCCAAATTTGACAGCTTTTATGGTTGTTTTTTTGAATATTGCAGCCTTGTTTATCTGCATTACCCTACTCGCTACCGTGAACCCAAAAGCCTCTGCAAAGACAGCATTTATTGATGTTGTCAATGAGACTGGCTGGTCATCAGACGGACTGGTATTCTTTCTTGGTCTCCTTCCCGGCATGATGACTGTCTGCTTGTTTGATACAGCAGCCCACATGGCAGAAGAACTTCCCCAACCACAGAGACAGGTGCCAATTGTCATGCTGGCGAATGCAAGTCTCTCTGCTATCGGCAGTTTGATAATGGTCATTTCCTTAATTTTCTGTACCACCCATCCGGAAAACCTTCTCCAACCATTGGCGGGTATGCCTATTCTTCAGATATGCTGGGACGCCTTGCCATCAAAAGCATTCGTTATTGTTGTCTGCCTGATATATTGGACCATGACACTTAACGGCCTCATAAGCATTATCACAGGTTGCAGCAGGGTTATTTGGTCTTTCGCGAAAGTGGGAGGCTTGCCGTTCGAAAATTTGCTCTCGGCAGTCAATGATCGCTTCCAGACACCCTTCAACGCTGTACTTGCATCATGTGGGGCATGTGCGCTCTTCTCTATCCTTTGCTTTGCGCCTCTCACAGTGTTAAATGGACTATTCGGCGCATCGGTAGTCTGCTTTACCACCTCCTACGCTATGCCAACCTGCCTGCGTCTGGCTAATTTCCAAACTCTCCCTTCGAATAGATACTTTAACCTCAGAGCCGCTGGTCCTGTCATCAATATTATCGCAATATGCTGGATGATTATCAGTGCCTTATTTGTTTGCTTCCCCCAATATGTGCCTGTGACGTTGGATACTATGAACTGGGCACCAGTGATCTTTGGTGTCGTTTTGTCAATTGTCTTTGCGAATTGGTTCAGGGTTAGAGCCACTTTTCGGTGTCCCCGCGGTCTTTTACCTGAACAGTCAGATTGAGAATCTGTTCAATCGCAATTTGACTTCAATGGAATTGAAACGTGGGTATAGGTGGGCTGCAAAGTATGGAATTAGGGATCAGTCTGATAACGGCATACAAATACTGCATGGTGCATCGTCTCTCCATAGGTGGAGCCATAATTGCCATTCTGTTGAAATCTCACACTGTGTTATAATACATGTGTCGACATAATAGACCCAAAGTACCGCATTATGCAAGATAGATAACAGTGTCATGTACCATCATGTGTTTTTGCAATCCATAGGGTCCAAAGTAGACAGGGTCATTCTCAGCCCAAAGTCTTTCAAGCATCATTCTCATCTTCATAATCACAAATATTGGCTGGGTAGTAGACAATACCGATCGAATTATATCGAGTTCTTCTTCGTTGAGAAGACAAGATCCAATCACGATAGTTGGCCACAGAAGTAAGTTCCGGTAATGCGTTTTCATTAAGGTTGGTAATAATGTCAGCGCACCAAGAGCATGCTGACGAACGATCAATAGACGGGACTCGTCACTGGCAATGGTACCACACCACATAGCATCGTATGCAAAGATTGTCAAGGCATGACGATAAACTGCTGAGATCGAGAGACTATGGCGGGCTTCGAGATTTAGCGCGGATCCCGAGTCATCCTCACAGCCTATAGTATTAATGATAGCCATCAGCTCATTGAAAACCATCAAGCTTTCCGAAGAACATTCGTTGAAGGTCAATTCTGATTGGCGGCGTGTGCAAAGGGCAACCACACGCGGGATAATCTCCAAGTATCGATGTATTGGAGAAACAATGACGCCAAAACCTCCATGGGATTTGAGAAGTTCCCAGGACAGCAAAAGGGAGTTGCGAGTATCCAGCTCGGATGGTGTCCCATTGTCATAAGGGGTAGGGGTGGTTATAAGGGACAGGTAGGTGTATAACTCGAATGTTATACCGCATAGTGTTCGCATACTATTCGTTTTCGACGAAGCAGCACTCAACAGTTTTGGGATAACTTTCTTCCCGGCTCGAATATGTACAATTGCACCTCCAGATTGCATGGAATTGAAAACCTAGTGAATAAAGAGTCAGGTCTGTAATATCAAGCCTTAATATGGCAATCAGCGCCAGTCTGCGGTTGTTACATGCGCAGTAAGGGTTTCGGAGGAGATTGATTAAGTAAAAGGCAATGAACATACTCCAAAAAGGTACAGCATCAACAGAGCAAGAGAAGCTCGAAGCCAGTCAATTGGCTGGTCTGATTTTTGCGAAATGATGTCTTGTAGTAGATGTATGACTCGTCCATAGTGTCGGCATACCCATGTATTGATTTCGGGAGAGGATTGTCTACTTTCCAAGTGGGCCCCTCCAAGAGCCAGTAATGAATGGAGTACCAACTCCTCAGAGAAAGCCAGGGGGAGAATGTGCGTTAGGAACGGATTCTTCTCCGGGCTCACGGTAGTCATGTATCTGCTGGTCTCGCCGACAAAGTGGGCTAAAAACATGGAGGACACAGAGCCCAAGGAGCAACCTGGTGGTGCAAGCAGACGCAAAAGCTCTTCCTCCAACTCTACAACATCGTTGGAGGTGGAGGTTGAGGAGAACGGTTCCTCCCTGCAGGGGCTTGGATCAGAAGGGACTTCCCGGATTGGAGACGGAGCGTCATGGACGGACGGCGATTTTTCGAGATCAGCCTCACGCCGAACAGCACCTGGCCATTGGCAATCCTTCCCCTTTGCCAAACAGCGAGAACATGCTGGACGACGTTCATCACATTTCTTGTGCTGACGTCGACAAACTAGGCATCCAGATCTTGAACGAGGGTAGGGTAACCGTACCCTCTGCCGAGGAAATCTGACTGCATTTCTCCCAGAATCAGGCGACATAGCTTGAATGGCTGATTCCTGAAGGCAGTCCGACTGAGGGGATGAGGAGACGGCTAGATAAGACCTGGAGGCGGGGAAGCGGAATATAACTAGCCGACGATAAAGCTAAAACGGACATGCCGGAAAGCGGGGCAGATCCGTAATTGATTGTGGGGATTTTGCGTTTTACATACCATTACGTATCCCGTAAATACAGTAAGAGGTCTTTAGTACAGCGCATCTGTATCAGTAAGTTTCACACACTCTGGACGCACCTTTTAATTTTGTGTACAACAGATACGGCCGACTTTATTATCTCGCCTTCAATGATGAGATTTAGAACGTGATAAATTTTCTCGAAATAATCGAGCCCTATTACTGACACCGTCATAAATCACACGGAATTTGCCCGGCAGAATGTTATTAAATATCAGAAGTGTGGCCGCGTGTTTAAATTTTTATAGTACATCGTATTTTCAACATTCCCGAGCTAGCTGCCAATGTGAGAAGTAACGACGGATGCAGTTTTAGAACTCTGATCACCAAGCCCATTACCGTTACGCTTCTAACAACCATATCTATTTAGAATAAGATATTAGGCATATATAATCTGTATAGTACTTTCAATCTACAGTTGAAGTATAAGGGATTGGTTTCAGTATGAACCCAGATATGTAACTTTATATCCAAATGTAAAAAATACACAGTATTTAATAGTAAATTGTCGAAACAATACTCTGAATGGCTTAAAATATAGATATACTATTGCTATGCCTAGAAATATGCAGGACCTGTAATTTAAACGGAAGAAAAGTATTGCAGGTTGAAATATAGAGGGATTAAAATATGGCATTAAGTATGGTGTTTTGGGGTGGCCGGCTCGCCTGTGGATTACGTTATTAGTTAACGAAGGGGAATTGATGACTAAGTTGAGGTGTGCTGTGCCTATCAATTCCCGTAACTAAGGGGAAGCTCTGCACCTAGTACTCTTGATCTTTTTGACCTTTTGGATTGTATGTTCTTTCCGTGTGTGGTTGATTTTGTATTATACATTGGATAGTCAGGACTTCCCAGAATATCGGTCTATTCACTGTGATTTGGGCCCACCAATTGAGATACAAAATAGGTAAATGCTGTGATGATAACCCGAACTCTGGATTTGAGGTCATCACTTGACTAGCGAAGCCGCCTAGCCATCGATTCCTAGAAGCGGTGTCCCAGGACAGCACGTGAGAACACAAGCAGGTTAGGCCGTACCACACGAGATTCTATGCACTAACTTATCGAGGCATCCTGGAAACAGGGACCTTCCGGTCTTATGGTGGCAAAAGTTGAGTAGCTTCTGTGCTCGACAGGAGTTAAGATGGTGAAGAGAGCGATAAGCGCTTAGATAGCCGCAAGCAAAACTGCACCCGGCTCTTGCAACCAAATCGTCTACAATGAGCCGGGTCAGGTATCGGCCCAAATTGCTGAACTCTCGATGTTTGAGTCAGAGACGGGGCAGGCTCTCATCCATCTGTACGGAGTACAGCAAGTGTCCTCTCCTCTGGCGCAGAGAACTTTGTCGATGCTATCCAGTTACCGAATAACGATCAAGGCAATGCTATTTCTTCCTACATCATATCGCTAGCAGACGGATCCGAGGCTCATACTACTATAGTCTGCGCTGCTTCCAACGAAGCGTATACGCGCACCCTGCGCTTTATGCGTTTGAACGGTACCTTGGTGTGAGTCGGATTGCCAGCGAAGGAATCAAAGACTATCGCCTGCGCCGATCCTAGCGCCATAATCGCCAATCACTATCATATTCTTGGTTCAGCAGTTGGCAATCGCCAAGACGTTCTCGAAGTCCTAAGGTTTGCAGCTCGTGGGACATCAAAGCTCGCGTACGCATCAAAAAATGGACTCACTGACAAGGCCCTTCCGAGGGATGAGCGAGAGAAAACTGCAAGGACGAGTTGTGCTTGACTTGCAATCAATTATCTGAGAATAGTTTCTGTTTTATGAGCCAAGTCTGCCGTTGTCCAATGGAAAGGTGAGCACTATTTCCATTTTCCCGCTGGTGTAACGGCTGAGGTTAGAGCCCATAGCTCTCGTGAAGCCAATAGATGGGGAGGGGAAGGGGGGTTGAAGTAGTCCTCTTAGATTACTATTTTTCTGCCCGCCTTTTTGTCTTACCAACAATGACAGTATAAGTGCAAGTGCCGTTTATGACTCATGTATCATGGACACAGCCAACTCGAGAAATATTACTTTTTTGCCTCGTACACTGCTTTGAACCAGGTTTGAAAAGCTGCGAAGATTATTGGTACGCGGTTTCCACTTCCCATAGTTCGACCCAAAGTAAAAAATGTGTGGCTCATCCAGCATCGCGTGATCACGGTAAATCAAAACCTTAAAAGCACCAGTTGCTCCAGGTCACCGTAGTAGGCTGTTGTCCGCAGCAACGTTCGTGGCTGTGCACCCCAATTTGCAGCAATGCTAAGCATCGAAAGCTACTGTCTGATTGAGCCACGGCAGATCATACAGCGGTACTGAGCTTCAATCTCATTTCTTAGCAGCACAATACAGAACCATGCGTGCTGTATCTACAGCGACAGTCATCGTGAGTAAATGAACCTAACCCTTGTATATCTTCTCCACTCACTCCTCATAAGGCTGTCGAATGGACAGTGCTTGGCTTTTGTCTCGCTTTGATACTGGCACGCCTCTACCTTCAGTTGCTCCTGCAGCGGAAACGGCTGTTTCTAAGCGACTATTTCATATGCCTTGCGTGGCTAAGCGGAATATGGGGAGCAGCTCTCGACATCGAGCTAAAAAAACTAGGGTGGTTGAATCCATCAACTACTTGGCTCAAGTTCGAATCCATCGCAAACAGACGTCATCTAACGCAAAAGGTCAGTATGAGCGGATATCTTAAATTTCTGGATTGTATGCTAAGCTTCAATAGCTACTATTTATTTCATGGTTTCCTCTCCTAACGACACTTTATCTAAACAAAATGGCCCTCCTTAGCCTTTTCTTCCATCTTTTCCCATCCGTTTTCCGGACGATATACTATTCTTTGTGGATAGTTACAATCTATTCCGGGCTATCTTATTTTGCATCTATCTTATTCGTGTCCCTAGCTTGTCTCCTAAGCAAGACACAGGAGTAAGTGGAGTTAATTATGAAACGATCTTTCCTAGTTCTAATGATCATTAGGCCTAATTTTCCTTTCTGCAACGCTCACTCTTACTTTACCTTTTGGGTTGCCACCTGGGTGCTTCACTTCTCTTCGGATGTATTCGTTTTCGTCTTGCCCTTTCTTATACTGCGCAACCTCCGGCTCAACTGGAAGAAAAGAATTGGGCTTTGCATTACGTTTGGATTCGGTCTATTAAGCATAACCGCCTGCCTTCTGCGCTTTTTAATTGTTTTATTGACATATCCAAACGTGTCAGCCACAACCACCGAGCTTTTATGTGCTATTGATTCTTATGTTGGCATCGTGGTTGCATGTCTTCCATCCCTCCGACCATATCTTAACCTGAAGCATGTCACTTCACAACACCCCCGTCCTAGCGCCGACTCGCGGAAATGGCATTTCCTTGGTACATCTTGAAGATTAAATTGTTGACTTACTATATACTTGAGGTCTCTTGTCGGAAAGAGATAAGGTGATATTATAGCTCAATTTCTTGGGCTTAATGTGTTCATATATTTGATTCTTTTAAGCTTAGTCAATGTATGTATATACTGACATTATACCCGTAGTTATAATATTTATATACTTCCACATAATTACTCCATCATTTCCCTCAAGTTATTCAGCTGAATGATGTGGCTATCCTGGATAGGTAATGTTCTGTTGGGGGTAATTTTGAACCGGTCATTAGAGTGGCCAATAGAAAGACAACTTAATTATGTCCAACCTCTATTCAAACCTTCAGTAATCAAATCCCAAAAGTTCACACTATGTGGTGCTCTAGATTCTAGTCTACGTAAATGATTTTGTGCTAGGCAAAAAACTTTTATGCAAATTGCACGAAAGTCTCCAGCTGCACAACGATCGCTTTATCTACATCGAGAAAATGGTACACGAACCTGAAGGTCACCTAGAGGAGGCCGGCGCTCTGTTTCTCCATAAAGGGGCCAAACCTAGGAAAAAATCACGTGCTGGGTTTGCTTGTATCAACTGCTGACGACGGAGGGTGCGCTGCGACGTGCAGGTTCAAGGAGACACATGCACAAATTGTGCTCTGAACAAAGCTGCCTGCCAAGTTGATCTGTCCCGGGAAGGCGGTAATAGAGACTTCGCAACAAATAACACAGATCAGAGTAAATCGATCATGCCTTCCCTTCTCTCGCCTGGAGAGGGTCCGGTACACATTTGGGAAGATGGTGACAGCTCGATTGCGGACAGACCAGGTCTCGAATTCGATGCTGCCCCAGATAGGCACGGATCAAAGCTGGATAAATATGGTGCATTTCCATCCCGAGAGCAACGATGTCAGGAGGTTGGCTCACACGGTCAGGTCTCTTCTAACGAGTTCACCTTTCTCTTGATGGTCTAGAATTAAGATGCCGTCAGTTTACACACTAGTACTCATATGTAGACCACCCTTACAACACGAGTTAACTCTAAATATGTTTAAAATACCTACTAATGTAGATGCACTATAGGAAGGACCGTCACTGTGTTTACAAGGTCCGTAATAATCGCAAAGTTCCCCGCATGGTGGCTGAGGAATTCTTTGCGAGCCTCCAACGCCCTGCCTGTTCGTTTAAACTTTTATCGTCGGCTAGTTATATTTCGTTTTCCCGCCTTAGGTCTTATCTAACCGACTTCGACTACGCGGCTGTTGCCGCAAGATCCCAAAGCCTATTGTCCAGCTGGTAGCTAGGTAAGAGACTTCCCAAATCCATCGGTCCTTGAATCTCGGCTTTTAAGGGGTGACACGTGATTCCGAGGAGAAGTATGTTGGGCGACAGCAAAAAAGAAAAGAAGAAGGAAAAAAAAAGAAAAAGTGAAGGGCTTATCAGACTCGAAAACACCCCACTAATGTTGAACATCGAACCAGTCAATTTTGGCTATCTAAACGCCTTCCCAGCGTCGGTGTTTCCGGTTTTGGTTACTGAAAGATCGCACAAAAATTTTCAAGACTAATCTCTGATTCTTGAGCAGCATGATAGGACCTGATGATTCTATAAGAAAGCTCGCTCGCGTCAAACCTGACCAGAACACCACTAGAAGTTGATCATATAAAGTCGAAGGAACCTCAAGGTTGACTCCTGCCCTGAACAAGCGTGAAACAGCTATTATATACTTGCAATTTATACAAAAGGCGCAATGAATATACCATCCGTCCAGGAGTCAATCATCTACGATGAGCCTGGCACGATCTCGACTCGGGTTGTCGAGCACTCGGTGCCTGAACCGGGCTCTGGAGAGGTGCTTATCCGTCTGTACGGTCAAGCCCTTCTTTCAGATTTACAGGAAAGTTTTAACATAGGATGTAGTACTCACTCCGGCGTTTGCCATTCTGATTTCGGCGTCATGATGAGCTCGGTATGTTCATCCAAATTATACCGTTTAAGTTGACATGGATTTCAAACTGTGGTCTCTATCGTTTGCTCACTTTGCTCGTAGTGGAGCACACTGCCTGCCCCAACACCAAAGGGCCAAGTGGGTGGACATGAAGGCGTCGGTCACATAGTTAAACTTGGCCCAGGAGCCGACGTAGATGGAGTGAAGATCGGAGACCGTGTTGGAGTCAAGTGGGTGTCGAGCACCTGCGGCATTTGTCGTTCGTCTCTCTTCCCTTCCATCTGGTTTGTTCGCCGTTGTATCTCACTCTTTCGATCCGTGCAGAACCCTGTCAAGCTGGATCAGACGGTCTGTGTTTTAACCAGAAGATTTCTGGATACTTCACACCGGGAACCTTCCAGCAATATGTGGTTAGCCCAGCAAACTATGTGTCGCCAATTCCCGACAATCTCGATTCTGCCGAAGCAGCCCCCATGCTTTGCGCAGGAACTACTATGTATGCTGCTATCAAACGTAGCAATGCTCGACCAGGGCAATGGATAGTGATTGCTGGTGCTGGTGGCGGTCTGGGCCATTTGGGAGTGCAGCTCGCTAGCCGCGGCATGGGGTTGCGTGTTATTGGCATCGATCACCCGAGTAAGGCTGAACTTGTCCTATCATCGGGCGCAGAGCACTTTGTCGACGTCACGCAGTTTCCAAAGGACGTCGAGGACACTGCTTTATCTTCCCACGTTGCGGCACTGGCAGGCGGACTCGGTGCTCATGCTGCTATTGTCTGCACTTCTTCTAACGAAGCTTATGCTCATGCCCTACGATTCCTGCGTTTCAACGGCACTCTAGTGTGCGTTGGGTTGCCAGAGCACGGAACGGACCCTATTGCCTCTTCCAGTCCTGCAGCGATAATTGCCAAACAATGCAACATTATCGGCTCGGCAGTTGGCAATCGCCAGGATGCCAACGAAGTGCTTGAGTTTGCAGCTCGTGGAATCATCAAGGCTCATGTACGCATTGAAGGAATGCATTCATTGACAAAAGTTTTCCAGGAGATGGATGAGGGGAAATTGCAAGGAAGAGTTGTGCTCGACCTGCGATAGAGATTTTTCCCAAACATGTTAGCAATGTGAAGTACTACTCTGGATTTGTGCTTTGCTTTCTGTCACATATCCACAACCACCATCACTTCGCATATCGATTGATAAACAAATCTGACTTCCATGCTCCACATAATACTTCTAATTTCGGGTCGGTGAAAAGCAATACACCATGGATACTCGATTGACTTACAAATGGTTCGGTTCAGCAAACAAGCTTAAATCTCTAAATCGTGGTTGACGTCATTGTCCACAAAAGTAAACTCGAATCTATATTCGAATAGAGCTTCGATTAGCCCTGTTTTTGCCAGTGTGGTATAAGACGCATAAATTCAGAATACTGAGCATCGTTCATTCAATCATATTACTATCAAAACAGGGCCTGGTAAGCAAAACGATGCATTTGAATGTCTCTTGTTCTCCTATGCACTAACCCTATAAAGGCTAGTCTGTATCTAAATATGGATTAGCCCAACCGGATTAGGTAGCCTACGAAAAGTCAAAAAATTAAAAGAAAAAAAGAGAAAATACTGTTGTTCTGTCCATTAAGTGCTTTGCCATTGGTCCAGATGTTGGTTTGGCTATAACGAGGCTCTCTCTGATCAAGTATACCAATGACGGACAATGTACCTCTGTTCGTTGCGCAGGAAGCCTTGTGCTACTACCCGATAAGTACCATTTACGATTCCTGCCCGAGGTATCTTTTCTACTCTCTTCTCTTGGCGAGCTGCGTCACAAGATGGACAGGGTGGTTAGCAGATGTGTTTCTAGGCACCGCAGCTACATACGCAGGCACGGCTGCATTCCAGTCCTTCATCCTAGTTGCAAGTCCTGCCAAGCAACACTATCCCGGCCCAGTCACCATTCCCTATATTTCTTCTGCGATGCAGCAAAATGATACCAGACTTTCATCAGATGACTTTCCAGCGCTTGTCATCAATGCGGACCAGGTGATGGTCCAGCCGGCGGCTCTCGAGCTCGATGCTGACGCTATTCTCGCTATCGTGGTGACCGGGTACCTAGTCTTCCTGCCATTGCAATGTTGGTCTCGGGTATTAAGTCACAATCGTGCTCGGAATATTCTTTTCTGTCTATGGAATGCTTTAATGTTAGCCGGCTCGATTTGCGCATTAGTATATTGGCCAACCTTACAACGAACTCCGAAGCAGTACATGTTTTGCTATCCAGATATTCCGCCCTTTGAGACGACAACTAGTGATGGATGGCAGGACACTTGGAGAACTTCGACTTGGAACGAAAGTGTTTGGAGTACCTTCTCCAACATGACGAAATTTGATCAGCTGGGTGATATTTGCTACAATCCGTGTTTCAACACAACCCAAATCTTGAGGCAGCAGACATCCTTGGCTTCAGCAGTAGTATCAGATTCATACAATCGGCAAGCTGTGGGGAACGATAACAATTTTTGGGATAGAGTCATCTACTCGAGACGATACATCTATACCTTGATTGTTCTTTGTGTTATTTTGAATTGCGTTTTGATGACTCTGAAAGTATTACCTTATCGTTCACATATTCGCTCCGTACAGCCGGTAGCAATATGGAGAAATAGAAAGGAAATTTTGAATGACTTGAAAGACAATTTTTGGGAGGCAGTCGCGTCATCAAAACCCGTTGATCGCTCTCGGGACGAGGAAAACTCAACCAGCACCACCGCCACGAACAATGCTGGCCAGAAATTCAAAATACGAGACTACATTTGTGCAGTATTCAGTGTTCGATTTGCAAAATTATGGTTTCGTTTTTTTGGCGATGTCGCTATCTTAATCGGTTTGCTATTTAGCATCATTATTAGTCCCTTCACGGTCATCGCGTTTGTCGTGTGGATAGAATGGTACATTCGTAACGATGGTCCGTCACAGGAAAGTCCACGTCAGGTTGGCCAATGGGCCTACTTGCTTTCTATTGGACTGCTCCTTATTTCGGCAGCTGTGTTGAAAATGAAATACCGAGTCGCTTCCCAAACAGAGCTAAATTATGAGTTTGAAGAAACGCGAAAGCATTTGGAGAAGCTACAAAGAGTACGAGACGAAAGGTTTGGAAATACTCGATCGCTTGGGATCTAGCGCATGAACAAAGAATAGTAGTATCATAAACAAAGATATATGAAGTTATGACCTGACACTTGAGAATATCTTAATCCTGTGACGCCTTGTGTTTGCGAAGTAACAAACAAAGCTTTGACTGACGAGAAACATGGATCTCGAAACTAGAACAGGTAAATCACTTTCTCGAAATTAGTACTGCCTCAAATTTAGTGATTTGAAACTTTGACGATGTCTAACACGTGTCCGTCACCTACAATCAGAACCACGGTGCTCTAAAGTACTGGAATTATGTAGAGGACTGATGTCAAATAATCTCTTGCCACTGTCATTTATCTTCCGAGTATTGTTTTACATCAACTATGAATCAAACAAGGAAGTATGTATAAATGAATGGGGAAACCCCTTGAAAGAACGTCACAAGTGGCTTTTGGTTGTCAATTGGTGTATGTGTAGTTAATGTGAAATATAAAAGATATTGTTAAATCGTTCAACAAAATCGCAAGTTTACTTTAAACCTCTCATTTTTGAACGGAAAGACCAGATAGACAAGGGAATACCCGACTACCACCAATTATTTATGGACATATACAGACAATAGTGGTTTCTATATACAATTTAACACTGAAATTTTCGTAGATTGCAGTCATCCTCGATTTTGATATTGGTCTGCGTTCCTGGTTTGTCAGTTACTATACGGCCAGATAAGTCTATGTTGCTCCAAGTCGACCCACTCAAATATCAACTTCCCTCGTTCAGCTCGTCGAGCTTACACATAATGAGTTTCAAATCCTCGGCCAGGGGCCGTCGTGGCGGTAAAATAATCTGCGATTCGAAATACTGGGAGCCGCGCCATCTTAGATGTCATATCAGTCGCCTACCAGGCGAACTCTTTTGGTATATTGCAGACTTCCTTAAAGTCTGTGATATTAGTTCTTGGATGCGGTCACAGCGTCAATTCTACTACGCTCTGTATTTACATATCTCTACTCACGCAGCTATGGAGGATGTGCAGATATACGATAGACCTCACCATCTAATGCGGGCTGCATTGAAGCAGAATAGCCCGGTTTTCGAGAGAATTCTGTCCAAAACCAAGGTCAAAAGTCTCAACATTTTGAACATGAATCCCGATCCTAAGGAAAATGGAGAGCATATAAATTTGGTGACGGCACTCATTATTGGTATTTTGTCCTGCGATGCATACTATGTTCGACGGATACTAGAACATGGAGGCAATCCCAATTTGCTAGGCATAAAGAACTCCCGGGACAGTATGCCGCCTATTAAGTGGGCAGCGATACGTGGAGATACATCGATCTTACAAGCTCTTATCGACTTCGGGGCAGATGTAAACGATTGCCGCCCGGAAGTTTCTACTGATGAGGATGCATGGACTCCCTTGCACATAGCCGTGAGCCAACGAAGAATGGGTGCTGTGCGACTTCTTATTAGAGCTGGTGCGAATCCAAAGCACATGATGGGTGATAACTTCAGCATCCTTATGCAAGCACGAAGTTGGGTGGGCGGTTTGCGAGTTCTACTTAATGTTTGTAAGTTTGATCAAGATGTGCTCGATGACGCTCTCAGGGAAGCCATTGTATCTCTGGATGACTTTACCGCCCCTGCGAAGTGTTTGATAGAAGCGGGAGCCATACCAACATACGATCTATTTTGCCGCGCTTGTGGCAAGGAACCTGGCGCTCCTCTTTTAGGAATTAGACTACTAGTAAGGTGTGGCTTCCGGGCAAATATGACTGGTAGCGACGGCCTTACAGTGCTTCACGTTACTACTCGAGCTAGTGTCGCGTCTGTCCTGGTGAAGGAAATGCCGGGAATCGCCAATGCCCTCGATTCCATCAAAAGAAAGACACCTTTAGAGTGGATGTACACAAATTCTTACCCTGATTTCCGAGAACAAGGTAGGCTGGATGAAGTGGACCGACATGCTCAGTCCGAATTAACTGCTACTCTCGTCAAGAATGGGGCGGAACTTTTTATTGCTAGAGACTCCTGGGACAGGAACATTCTCTTTTTTGCTGTTGAATACGGTCATATCAGTGCAGTCCGAGAAGTATTGAACCAAAAGCCAGAGCTATTGCACTCCAGAGATAGCCTAGGAAACACTCCATTACACATGGCTGCCTCCTCTTATAGTGAAGGTACGCTTGACTGTTTGGAGTTGCTTCTAGAAAGGAACAATGACGTGAATGCGCGAAACCACCTTGGGCAAGCAGCACTTCATTGCATTTCTTCACAGATTCCTAGCTATGGCAATGCTCCAAGGGAGTATTTGGATATTGGCCTTCCCGTCCAGAAAGCACGCGTGCTTCTCCACTATAATCATAACATCATGCTGTGTGGCAGGCGAGACGATATGACCAAGCCAACAACAGCTATGGTAGAAGCTATCAGTCGTGGGTTTATTCCAACCGCACTTCTGCTTATCATGGTGGGTATTAAAAAGCTTCAAGAAAGCCAAAAAAGATGGACAAAATTATGGCTCTTAGGACAGAGAAATACCTTGAAGAAGGCCTCTTTGCCTCAGTGAAGTATGGTTTTTTTGAGATCTTTGACCAACTGTTGAACTGTGGCACAAACCTATCAATCTGCACAATTACAGAAACTGGTGATACACTTTATCATGCCCTTGCTCTTGGGGTTTCCACTATGGGAGCAACTGGCTACGCGGTTACGGTCGGATACCGCTTGCTTGGCTATAACATGTCGCCTGACTGGGATGAGAACTTTCATGGTACCAACTACACGGACGACGGTCGCCCAATTCGCAATTATCTACATATTGCGGAAATGCTTAGCAGGGACGAATGCCGAGAGGAGTTTGTGTTCAAGAAGAACAATGCAGGACATTCTGCTTTTGATCTGTTGGGTTTGATGACACCTGCCGTAGATTGGGAATACCTATTCAAGAATTGCCACTACCTACGAGAGAAAGAAGTGAATCCTTGGATGCCAGATGAAGTATTCATTCCTACAGTGAATTTGGACGATTTGTTCTTTGAATAGGCTGAGGTGACAAAGGCGAGAGGTCTTTAAAGCAACTGGGTTACGTAGAACGCCGTCTTTTCCAGCGTCAGATTAATATACAGTGTGTAAAATTACCACAGAATAACCCCTTTTGAATTTAGCACCACAAAAGTGGATTGGGTATAGGAGCGCTCCCCATATCAAATGCTAAAAATATTTGAACTTTTTAGGTTATTTACAGGCCGCCGCTCAAGAAGCCTAAATTAATCTAACATAAATTGGTGTAGATGCAGATGAAGGACAGGTACAAAATTTTAATACTATTTTCAACCTCTTGTTATATTAGTCTAGTGTATATTAGGCAATTGATATGCTCGTAGAGGTGTCTGAGCTTGCTAAGATGACAGCATAGAGATTATACACTGATATGACAGAGGTTTGAATATAGTATTAAGAGTTTCTGAATTTCTAACTTTCATCTATATTTACGCCACCGATTAAATTTAGAGTTCTTAGGGGTCAGCCCATAGATAATGAAGAGTTGAAATATTGTTAGTATTGATTAATTAATTATTTCATGGCCGGCGGCGCCTAACTATGGGTAGGGGTACGAATACATGCTTCTTGTTCGAATTTACCCCTAGGGTAAAAAGCGACGCCTCAATTTTCTTGCCAAATATTGAGGTGAATTCCGACCAATTTACAATCTAACAGATATTTACATGCGAGATGGTAGATGCACATCCTAATCTAGTTGCCTCAAGCAGCGGCAAGGAGCAGCCAGGGTGGGGCACTATTCTAAAGTTGTATTTAACAAAAACGATAAAAAATCAGGTTACACTCTTATAATCTGTTCCGATGCAGCTCTGCTCTTACCTCAGCATGGCCAGCGCATTTTCTCGTTTTCCCCTAGATATTCTGCTTATCATTCTTCAGAACGTGCCGGAGTTGCCGTCACTTTACAGGTTCATATGTGCATCTGCGCAAGTTAATGCAGCGTTTGAGCTTGATCATGCAGCTGCTGTTTCGATTGGAAGCAGTTTGACATGTATCAGTATGGCAAAACTTACAGAGGCCTTTGGCGGCTGATGGCAATGCTTTACATATATAGTCTAATTATTGATTGTAATGTTCAAATTTAGGATAGGAAGGATTTATGCTGTCGACTAATCCATTGCCTGGGCACGACATACTAAGGTTGTAACTCTCAGGTTTTTGTATGATATAAAAGGCTCATGGTATGAGAATGAAGGTTTAGGCTATTTGTAATAAATTAAGCCAACTGTATTAAGATTACTCTTAGTATCAGCTAAGCATAAAATGCGATCTAGTGTTAAGATGTGGAAATTAGACTCCACATGTCTAGATATATACTAAATAAAAAGTGACAAATAAAGACATGAAGAAATTCTAAGGCGTATTGACAGCATCAGTTACAGAATTGAGCGGTAGCAGTGTGGTAACCTGATATTAATATTGTATTTAGAGCATAAACTAACACCATTCTCAAAAGACATTCCTACATGGCTCATTCACGTCATCCATTGATAAATTCTATCTCTATAAAATATAATTTTAAACCTCATAACGTCTAGCAAGTACTATATCTCTTGATCACCTTGAATATGTCGACTCTGGGTATGAATTACGCAAAGGGTAAAGATCATTAGATGATCGTGTCACCTGTCAGACAAATCAGTAAAGGCCTACAAAGAGTATAAAATGTCGAGAAATATACCTCTAGCGTGCTCGTAATATTGATACCTCCCGCTCTCCCCTTGATAGGTGTACCTGCATAGGACTGAGAAGTATGCGAGCGATCCGACAGTGGTATTCCACGAGAATTGACCTTGCTGCTGTTTATATTTGAGAACCCGCTTCCATCTCGGTATCGGTAATCGTTATAGCCGCGGCGAGAAGCATGTTGTCTGCGGAAGAATATGGCGAAGACTGGCAATGTACCAATGACCACGGCTGTATTGATCAGCATCATTCGGTAAAATGAAACAAAAGAGGAAATTGCTTACCAATGCCTGCTTCAATCATTGCCCAGAAAGATAACCACGAACTAGAGGGAGTACTGTTGCTCTTCGCTTGTGATCCAATTTGTACGGTACGGACGACAGCCATGACGACACAAATGATACCGATACTAAACAAACCGCCAATGGCAAACTTTTGACCCAATGGGAGGCGTAAAGCCCATATGAGTTTGATTGGGAGGAGCATGATCATGATGTCCGTGATGACATCCACGGCGAAGGCGAAGTAAAGGCTGGCCACTTGAGCAATTACATCGCGGTGGGATGAGCATAGACCTGATGCAAAATTCCACGTCAGAGATATTCCCAACCAATGTCTACATGCCAACTCACCAGGTGTAAACCATTCGTGCATACTTGCGCAGGAGGTGAAATTCGAGATGATACATCCAATCAATGTCTATGCAAGTTAGCGCAAAGTTTTCAACTCGTCCAAGGTCGGTCCAAGGTCGATGCTAAGCCAAGGCTTACCATAATTGTGAAGACAAACACTGCCCACCACCATCTCATTTGTCCTGGCAATCCCTCGAACAGCCGCCGATATAAAAACAACAAACTCAATTTAACCGACCACAGAACTATCCAGAAAATCATCGTATTGGCGAAGAAAATCTTTACCATCAGCATTGCGTCGGCTTCCATTGTCGGATAAAGCTGGCCAGTGCTTATGGCCGTGTCTACTCGGTATAACGGCGGAGTGACAACTATGTACAGGACGCAAAGGACGATAAAGGACGCCCAAGAGAACATCGCGAAGTAGTCCTCAATTTGGATGCCCCCTTTCCGATGTGTGAAACGTAGCACGGTGCGAACTACCGTGAAAACTGTAGCGATTGAAATCATCGCATAGGCCGTGGAGAGCAACTGGTGCTCTGACACCAGCAATAACGCCGCCCCGGAACTCATTGTGTCGTGTTCTCTGAGATTCTTCCTCTCTTCCCTCCCACCTGCCTCCGTTCCTCTATTTCACTCGTTCCTTATTTCAATCGTCGGTTCCCTCTTCACGGATTATAGAGTCGATTACAGCGTCGCAATTGCATTATTCCACTGATCCGGGATGCATACCCCTCCTCAAAGTTGGTGTTGCAGTGAGCATTATCCAGAGTAGCAGATCTTCCCCTTAATAGAGTAGTTTATTATTTGCTGGGCGATGGATCTAGACGGAGAATTGGAAGTGCCAAAATCGGCATAGGCGCCAGAATGCAATAGAACGGCCTCTCGTATTCTACATTTTAGGTTGAGACTATCTCACACGCAGAGCACCTAATTACCGCCAAATCGCATGAATGGCCCCGCTTGAAAGGCCGCGGAATTTACTTGAGTCCCGTACATAATTAACTAATTATGGATAACCGTTGGTAGAGACTGAGACAGTGGAGCATATTGTATTGTCGCCGCTCGCGGACTTCGCTTCTCGCAGCCTCGGCCGTATTATTACCGCCCCTACCAGACAAGGAACAAGGGACGGCGGAGATTTAGCCAATAACCAGCAAGTTCATTGTGTGTTGCATTGGCAGTTATCAATGATGTTGACCAAGCGCCCCTTGCATGTGAACAAGGCTTGATTCTTGGAGCGCTGTCTTGCCAAGTCAGCTGTCAAACACATAACCCCGAGTCTTTCTCACTTTCATGGTGTAGCGTAACTCGTTCAAAGCTGACTCTAAAATGTGTTCTGACGAGCTAGGTTAAACCGGTGTGAAGAATATACGCGCAGCCAGAAGCCCACTTTGGAAAAGCTAATAGTCTGAGGCCCAAGCGCATATAGAGTTGAGACGGACCTTCCGAGCATCGGTCTATCATTTCAACCGCCGTCCCTTCGACCAAGACCAAGCTGCTAAGCGTTGCACCTAGCTTCAATCCGGCACTATCCATTCATAAAGACTAAGTGTTATAAGCATCCGCAGCCTCCAATCTCGCTTCAGCAAAGCCTCGAGGTTAGTATCGGCTGCCATTGGCCACCTAGCGATACTATTGCCTTCACCCGCCGGTCTGAATATGTCCGACACGATTATTCCCGGATAGGGAGATTTTAGCACAGCCGATGTAACCGACATGACCCTCAACCCGGCCAACTCTCTACATAGAGCTTAGATTCAATCGAATCTGGCCAGAGACCGCAGCATGCCATCCGCGTGCCAGCGTAGAGTAGAATGATATACAGAAAAGGGTACGTACCTGGCTGGCTAGGTTTTTGTCTTGACTCGCATTACTTCTCCTGTCTTTTTTCTTTCTGCTGTTGGGTGCGTGCCTTTATTATTGTTATTACAATCGTATTCGCTCGTTCACCCGTGTCCGTCTTTTTTTCTAGAGGCCAACGTTCCCGCTATCCTTGGAGTGTCTGCCACCACTTTCGTTCCGCTGATTTTTCTTCCCCTTGTTTCGCATTTGCCTTGCATCTCCAGCCCAAGCCTCCCCAGCCAGCCTTTGAAAAGCCACCGCTCTGGTTATCGGAATATCTCTTGTAAAGCAGGTTTTGGTTTTGGGGGCCAACTGCATCTCGGGAATTATGGTTTCGGCACTCGCTGCAGCCATTGTGCTCGGCCTCGGCCTTTTCAATGGAGTTGATGCACAACTGACCACAGCGGCAGAAATCAAGCAGGCCCTGCAGGCAAATGGATTGGATGTATCTAAACTGCCTTCCACCTCGCAGAATGGAATAGCTGCTGCCAGCGGCATCAACGCCGCCCCGCAGCACTGCAATGTTCTGGTAGGTTGTTGATCATCTCTATCTCAATTCCTCATCGCTCTTGCGGCCTTTGATTGGTGCTGTCCCTACAAGCGTGCGACACACCTAGACTGTAGTGCACACCATCTTGATGCCAACCCCACATGTCTTCAGGCGTAACACGTTCAACTGCCGTTCTCTGATTATTGAGTGTTGATTTCTTGCATAATAGTGTTCTGTTCTTGCCGGCTTTTTCCCCGACCAGACCATCACGTCCCAGGAATCCCAACTATTCGCCAACTGGACAGGGTCTTTCTGGTCGCAGCAGCAAGAGGCGACCACCCCTCGGTGCATCTTTCAGCCCAGTTCTTCTATAGAGGTATCGTCGGGCCTGCTACTTGCTCAGCTTTTTACCTGTCCGTTTGCCATCAAAAGTGGTGGCCATGCCGCCTTTTCGGGCTCGTCCAGCGTCCAGAACGGGCTTAACATTGACTTGAGCAAGTTGAATGCCATTACCCTCAACAAAGACCATAGCGTGGCATCGATCGGCGCTGGAAATCGTTGGGTTGATGTCTACAATTATCTCCAGCCGTATAACATTTCCGTGGTTGGTGGTAGGGTCTCAGATATCGGTGTCGGAGGGCTGACCACAGGAGGTACTGTTCCGGATTTATACAAAATAATTATGGCTGCTAACATTCCTACAGGAGGAATATCCTTTTTCTCTCAGATCTACGGCTGGGCCTGCGATAATGTCGTCAACTACCAGGTTGTCCTCGCCTCTGGTGCTGTCGTTAATGTTAACCCGTCGTCGAACCCGGACCTATACTGGGCTCTCCGCGGTGGCGGCAACAATTTTGCTATCGTGACTCGCTTTGACTTGAGCACTCACTCTCAGGGCTCGCTTTGGAGTGGTTCACTGATCTATACCCCCGATAAGAGCACCCAGATGATCGACATCTTTTACAACTACGGTGTGAACGCTGCTAGCGACCCCAAATCGGCCGTTATCATGAACTGGGCTTATGCTGAGGGATTATTCCTTAGCGTGGCTGATCTTGAGTACGCGGATTCGACTGTCAACCCACCGATTTTCCAGAATTTCACCAATGTCTCTACCCTTGAGAATACGATGGCTGTCAGGACTCTACCCGAGGTAACTGAGATGTTCAAGCAGTCCAACCCGAATGGACTACGGGAGAGCTACTGGACTGCAACATTCACTCTGACTAAGGACATGATTACTTTCTTGGTCAACACTTTTGAAGAGGAGTCAAGCCGTGCTGTCAATGCGACTGGCTACACGCCTGCTCTTGTTTTGCAAATTATATCCACCGATGTCTTGACGCAAATGCAAAAGAACGGCGGGAATGCCCTCGGCCTCTCGCCGTCCGACGGAACTCTCCTCCTACTCAATCTCTCCTTCATGTGGGGAGACATCGCAGATGACAACCTGATCCTTGATATCCTCGGCTCCATTACCAGCAAGGCGATTGCGTATGGCAAGGCCAATGGGCTGTACAAGGAGTACCTGTACATGAACTACGCCAGTCAGTACCAGGCCGTGTTACCATCATATGGAAGCGCCAACTTTGCTCGATTGCAGAGCGTGTCGAAAAAGTACGACCCCTTGCAGGTCTTCCAGAGGTTAGAGCCGGGATATTTCAAGCTGACGGAGCAACCGCCAAACGCGACATACCCTTCTTCCTCTTGAAATAATAGTGCTTTTTCTTTTGCAAAAATGTACACTACATTCATTGTGTAAATAGAGCTAGGCTCGCGCAGTTAATATAATCCAAACTTGTATAATTGATTGTCATAGAGATTTAAATATAATATATTGTCTCAAATTCAGACAAGATGGTCTAAGAAATCACAGTCGTAGCATCATATGCAATCATAAATGGCGGCAAGTTCAGTCATCTGCCAGGCTTTCCAACAAAGTAAAAGTAACATAAACATATACAATAGAATCATTATGGATGGGAAAATACATTTATCTGTCAACGGCAGACGGCTTGGGTTTCTGCCCATAGCATATGGAGCTGAAGAGAAGAATGAGTATAACTAGGGAATAGAATAGATGAGGAAAGCCCACTCACATATTTTGGTAGCCGTGGATCGACTTATCTCGCAACTCTGACCTGATTTTGGCAATCAAGACTTGAACTTCCTCTGGTTTCCACTAGCGAGATTGATAAGCACAGGTGACGGACCGCTATAGAATAACGAACTCACCCCTAAGTAATTGGTGAAGAGGAACATAGCCCAGCCCTCAAGACCCTCTTCCCAGCCTATTCGGTTGTACGCGCCGATCTCCTTGAAACGTCGATCCCTGGGCCACGGGCCGATCGGCCACTTGAAGGTGCGATATGTGATATTTTCAAAGCCAGCTTCCTGGAACAATTTGCCCGTATCTTCGGCAACGCTGAAGGATTTGCCGAACTTGGTTCCGCATTCTAAAGCAAGGGGGCCCCATTGTTCCATGGAGGTGCCGGCGAGAGAGCCATCTTCCGACCGGGCCACAACACTGATCTCGGCCTGCTCGAACCAGCCACCGGGCTGGAGGTGTTCCATCACTTGGCCGTAAAATGCAGGCAAATCGGCCACACAGCCGTAAATCGACCGCGCATGGATGAAGTCGAAGCTCTCTTTGGTAAAGGTCCACGGGAGGCAGAAATCGTCGATTTGGAATTCGAGGTTCGGCGGTATGAGGGTCGGTTGGACGGGGGAGAGGTCGGTCGCGATCACGGCTGTTGCAGGGTACATGTCGGCGAAGTCTATCGCCCACAGGCCAGTGCCTGTCCCGAGATCGAGCACGCGATTTGGCGACTGCGCGATCGGCGCGAGAAAGAGGTTGCCGCCGAGGGTCAGGCCGAAGAGGTGGTGGAATAGGTCGAGGTTGTCGCAGGCCTGGTCGTCATTGGGGCCCCTACGCAGATTCCAGTGAGCGCGGGCTTATGCATACACCAAGGTCACAAGCGTACCAGTATGCGCCCTGTCTAAAGGCGTGATATCGGCGGCCGTTTTCATAGATGTAGTTGGTGACGGACGACTTCAACGAGGTGGTCTGCGACTCGCGGTCGCTGTCGTCGCCATATGACGAGTCGGCCTCGCCCAGCGTCTCTTCTAGCAGGATGGCGGCTTCGGGGTCGTACATGGCGACCGAGGCATGAAGCCGAAGATAAGACGAAAAAAAGCAATCAGATGATGATGCGAGGTGGATGGCGGTTATAAATAATACAAATACCCTAGAACAACAGTGGAGAGTAAGAATAGACGGAGACTCACGAACGACTCAGAGCACGCAGCAGCGATTAAAGGATTTGATTAATCACGACAGCGAGGGGGGGAGAGGGCAGAGGGATGGCACAGTAATAATGGTCCGATAATAACAGAGGAGCTATGGAAGAAACAATGCGATGGTGAGAGCTAGTGCCCGCCTAGTGCGAGTAGTGTCGGCGCTCCACGTGGCTGGCCTTCCCTGACAATGGCATTGTTATTCTTCACACCTGCTGAAACAGTATTGCTTCTTGCTGAACATCATCTTCTCGGCGCAGTTATCAGAGCCGATATCGACAATTGGCCGTTGCTCGGCGTCTTACATGTAACCTAGCTGCTGCCGCCGATCGAACGGCCCCTGCAGGTTGACCTGACTCCATCTACGATCCAGCCTGCAGAGTAACAACCCGCAACCCATTGATGGCGCTGCTGGGGGGAGCTGCTGCGGCGCTCTGCGTGTACCTCGCCTATCTCGCCGTCGCACGACTGCTGCTGAGCCCCCTCGCCGGCTTCCCTGGCCCCAGGCTGGCTGCGCTGAGCAACTGGTATGAATTCTACTACGATGTCGTTCTGCAGGGCCAGTTTACAGCCCATATCCAGCGCCTGCATCGACGTTACGGTGGGTCGCTCTGCTGCATGCCCTACTGAGGACTGATTGGGTGCCGTGCGCGTCTCATTTTTGAGGCATTGAAAATAGAACAAAAAGAAGCACTGCCAACAGTAGAATCATTATTAATCGCTGACACCGCCCAGGCCCCATTATTCGCATCACGCCCACCGAGCTGCACATCGACGATCCCGACTTCTTCGACGTGCTGTATGCGCGCGACGGCCGTCGCAACAAGTACGCTTATTTCTCCGGCCGATTTGGCTATGCAAGTGACAGCTTCTCCACCATCCAGCACGAACTGCATCAGCTACGCCGGAAACCGCTGAGCCCATTCTTCTCCGCAAAAAGGATCGTCGAGTTCCAGCCCGTCATTCGCGCCCATGTCTCCAAATTATGCCAGAAGCTAGCCGGTTACGCCGAAGATGGTCGCGTGCTTGCGCTCAGTCGCGCTTTCATGGCTCTGACCACCGATATCATCACCGAGTATGCATTTGCCAAGTCCTACGACCAGCTGGAGTCGCCCGACTTCCAGGACACTCTGCATGATGCCTTGGTTGCCATCTACACCACCGGGCACTTTGCCCTACATTTCCCCATCGTCTTTCCCATTCTGGACGCCTTGCCGGACTGGCTAGTCACCAAGATGGAGCCGCGTCTTTTGCCCGTCGTCGGTCTACGCAAGGTCTGTCGCTGCTAATACGTGGTGAGATCGAGACGGCAGGGCTAACGCAGAAGAATAGGACCTGGGTCGCCGAGTCGGCGAAATTAGAAATGGGTTGAACGACCTTCATAAGAAAGTCGAGCATCCAACCATTTTCCACGAATTACTGAATAGCGACCTCCCAGAAGAGGAAAAGTCAGATGCGCGACTGGGTGACGAGGCTCAACTGATCATTGCCGCCGGCCTTATTACGACCTCGTGGGCCCTGAGTGTTGCAAGTTTTCACATCATCAACAACCCCGACGTGGCTGGGAAGCTGCGACGCGAGCTACGCGGTGCGGGTGCTGCAATCGCAGATGCCGATTGGCATGCGCTCGAAAAGATTGACTATCTGCACGGTTGCGTCAAGGAAGGAATTCGTCTAGCGCACGGTGTTGTTACGCGAAACCCTCGCCTCCTGCCAGACGTGGAGCTGACGTACGGTGAATGGGTGATCCCAAGAAATACTCCTGTCTCTTTGACCAGTGTCGATGTTTTGATGAATGAAGACATCTTCCCCAGCCCCAAAGAGTTCAGACCTGAGCGCTGGCTTAATAATCAAAATCTGGACCGGTATTTTGTTCCCTTTGGCAAAGGCTCGAGAATGTGCCTTGGTCTGAAGTAAGTGAACTGTCCCGTTGCCAACCTCATTATAAGTAATTAACATCAACAGTCTCGCTCAGGCTGAGCTATACGTTGCCATCGCTACTATTTTCAGCCAGTTCGACTTTGATCTGTACAACTCAGATTTGTCTGATGTGGAAATGAAACATGCGTATCTCGTGCCATACACGAAATGGGAATCCAAGGGCGTCAGGGTGAAGGTTAAATCGATTTCTTAACACTAATTTCTGAATTGTGAAACCCCCTACCGTCTATTACATGTAATCACGCGGCCAAAGACAGGCGTGTGTAATTGTAACGTGATTTGTATAGCAGGGGATGCTCAAGAGCATGGGTTGATATTCATGACCTACCTTGCGGTATTCTGTATATCATTCTCTATTCAATGCATTTTTATCTTTCATATACGAGCAGTTTTAGCATTTAGCTATGTAGTTAGTATTTCAAACTATATATCGACAGAATTATATCTTACGTGTCATCGACATCATACTGGCAGAAAGTCGTCGTTTCAGGGGCTTGGGTCGGACACTCCATGTTATTAAACGAGTCGCACAGACACATCGTCATAATGGTCATTCTGTGCAGACACAAACCATGACCAAAAATCATTAGCATATCCCGCAATGGTCATGCTACGGTGCAGGATTCATGCCGTCTATGACTCGTGCACTTGCGTGTATACTCCAGATGATAGTCATTAGAAGCGTCTACTATTAAAGCACCACCATCAAATCCCGGATGTTGATTTATGCCATCCCTTTGGAAAGGAAACGTCAACACAGATCATGAATCGACGAATATGGCGCTTCCATGGGTGCATGTATTTTGCAGAAATATATGATCAGCACGTGTCACCTCTCGACAACTTCTATTACATATATACTACCGAAGTGGCTCTTGACCATGACCAGGAACTATAATAAACATCAAAAATCGTGCACCATGCCTTTCGGCAGTCGAAACAAAGCCGCGCCCGATTTAGGTGTCAACTCTCAAAAATGTCTCACTGGTTTGCGACCTATGGGTAAGACTGTATCACCTCGTGGAGGAAGCTTGCAGCATGGCAAGAAACCGCAAAATCTAGAGAAAAAGCAAGAGCCTATAGGCTGAAAACAAACCGGTCTGCGGCGCACTGGGAAAACTGCACCCACCGAGATCGGGCAAAAATCACTACCAGCGCAGCCTATAAGCCAGAACGAAGCCCCTAACCAAGATCAAGTGCCTGGTCATCTCTGGTCTCTACAAGAGCTAGCGGGATGGACACCATAGCCCCGAAGCTATTGCAAATGCCGTCCTCCGCAATGTCGAGGAATGCTCACAATGGGTTATACCTCATAAGGAATCGAATATCCCTCAGGATAACCTGGGTAGTCTCGACATCAAACTCCATCTCGCTGGAGTGCGATATGGTATTGTTCCCATGGTTTCGCAAGGGCCATCTCTCTGGCTGGTGCTGAAACACTGTACTCCTGACGTCTTCCTGACGGTATGTGCTGTAGATGCGATTCAGATATGGATATCTCATCAAGACGAAAAGAAAACTCTCTCCCCTATTATTGATGGTGGGAATGCGGTGATGATTCGTGTAGTCTTTCGTTACGCTTCAGATTTCTATGCTATACTAAGCATACCTTTTAAGTCATCTGACAGTGCCACCTACATATCCCAGTTGTACAGCAATGAGTTAGAACCTGGTGAAGATATAGTGGTCACTATTCAAGATACCAAACTTGACAGACAGCACATACGCTGTTGCTTGGGCTAGTGACGGCCACCCACTATGCCGGACTAGCGACTAGCAGTGTAGTACATTTGTAATGCGCATCAAGTGGTATTTTCCAAGATGTGCGGTAATGTTACACTGTTAATTAATTGAAGAAAGCCTCTCGTAGTTCAATCCGTATCAATTGATCAATTGATATGTGGCTGTATAGTTACGATCGCTATCAATGATGCGCACAAATCGGACGAGCAGGTGACCGCATACAGGTATTAGAAACCATCAATGGATACATGTGTATATAGACGTCCATCAAACGAAATATTAACTAGCATCGCACTCGAAGATACCCTTACAGCACAAAGACGAAATCTGGGTCCCGATCATCATTGTAGCCAGCATACTTATTATACTTGCCGTTGGCCTTGTCCTTATTAACTCTGTGGCACCAGAGTACATTGAATAATATCCTGCAAGAAATCAATTGTCAGAAAGGAAGTGTCAGCGAGAAAGAGTGGTAAGAGAGAGCATACATAAACCAAGAAAATACCAAAAGGCCCAGGACAACTGTATGTCCTTTGTGGAATCGCGGTCCATCTTTGGTGGGATAGATAAATGTTGACACAAAACCACCACAATTGGCAATTGCGAGCTGCATGCCGGACGTAGTGGCGCGTTTATAATGACCCGCAGAGTTGTTTGAATTCCAGACGAGGATACATGGAATACTGGCGTACATTCCGGTGGCCATTAAAAAGGTCATTCCATATTGAACGTGTTGGTTAGAAACATTTGCGATGACAGCGTAGCCGACGATAGCGATGGGAAGAGTGAATAGCATTATAACACCACGAAGTTTCAGGCGATCGGATAAGAATGCAACGAGAACTGTACGGTATTAGCAAGACGCTTCTCTTTGTATATTCAACTCTCTTTGAACCGTAGAAGAATTACTAACCGGTCGAAACAGTCGCTACGGCGTACGGAATGACGGACCATAGTTGGACCTGATTCGCGCTTGAGGCAATTTTCAATCCCTGAATGATCGTGGGCAAAAAGAGACCAAATGAATACAGGCCAGCAAGAATTCCAAAATATGCGACAGCCGTAAGCCACATACTAACATCGGTTAACCCGCGGAAGACTTCGGACCATTTGAGGGACTCGTTCTCGGAGCTTGGATTGTCAGTATAATATCAAGACGAATTGGGGCACACTTAGTCGTAAGCATACTTAACAGCATCCCCCAGAGATGGTTTGTCTAATAAAAGTCTGTCCAGCGCGATTTCACGCTCTTCAGGGGTAAGGTACCTGGCTGTTGCGATACCATTGGGCAGGGCAATAGCTGCAATTATGCCGCAGAGAACAGTCTAATAACTACCATGAGAAAATGAAATTTTCAAAACTGATAAGGGCATAATACCAGTAATCCCTCGATGATGAAAATCCATCTCCAGCCCTCCAAGCCGCCTCGCGGGCCAATTTCAACCAGTCCTCTCGCCAACAGACCACCGAACGCGCCGGATAGTGAGGCTGCGGTATAAAACAGCCCGATTCGGATGGCGAGGTCCGACCGTCTATAAAACGACGAAAGGTAGAGCACCTATTCATAAATTCAGTGTAAGAACACGAAATAAGCGGCAAATCGCGACATATAAATACCATTCCAGGCAAAAGACCGCCTTCAGCCACGCCAAGCAACGCTCGAACGGCTACGAAGCTACCAAAGCCCCTCACAAACCCCAAACACATAGTGATTATACCCCATGTGACGGTCAAAAGTGGAAGCCAGATTCTCGGCGACGCTTTCTTTAGCATTAGATTACTCGGCACCTCGCTGTGCAATTGTCAGTGTATCGATAGATGGTGTGGAAAAGGCGGGAGAATACCTGCACACGTAAAACAAATAAAACACTGCCAGCCCAACGTCATATTGCTGATCGTTCATTCCCGTATCAGCTTCGAGGCCAATGATTTTCGCATTTCCGACATTTGTGCGATCGAGAAAGGAGCATAGGAACATTAGTGCGAGGATGGGCAGAATTCTGAGGCTGTCAGCAAAAGTCGCATTCGGAATAATGTTTTTTCAATTAAAGAAATAGAAACCGAGAAAAACTAACTGGACGTCGAGCTTCAAGAGTATCTTCCGAACCTGGGGAGTGCCTTCATGTTGCGAAATCGCCTCTCGCGAAGCGGCGGCTTCGAATTGCTCCTCCGGCCATGTCTTGTCGACCGATGCCGCCATATTTTCGAAGCAAAGGATCCCAAGAGCGACGATTCGTAGGGGGTTGGTGTTTGGTCTACATTAACTGAGCGAGCGGATGGAAAACCAACGATGGCGAGATGCGGGGAGAACGGGCTTGAGTGACAATTTAGCTGCCAGAGCAATCCGGGGTGTGAATCTGAACGGTGCAGGCACCCTTTTCCATCATTCATGTGTTAGTGTCAGTCTCGGCGTCAAAATTCCAGCCGAGCCGGTGCATCCTGGCAATACAGCTGCGAGGGTGTATCCCAGCAAGGTTCAATAACGTGTTCCGATTGAACAGTCGTAACGCCTGGACAAATAGTCTATGCGTGATTGGGGCTACTCGGCTGGTAGCTGCGCCGCAAATAGAACAATCAGGGAAGAACCCCGGTGATCAGCCGCCACTAAGGATAAAGCTACATCCTTTTAATTAGTTGTTGTCTTTGGCGAGGGAACAAGGAAAAACAAAAAAGAGGCCTGTGGCGTTTGTATTCGGCGCTGTTTTTACAGCCGAGCGTTAGACTGGGACTTGTTTGTCGTCTCTTAATATACAGTATATATCTATAGTTAGAACATATCTACTCCATGGTCCCCAGCTGTTCGGCAATGTGGAAATCAGCATCAGTCTTTGCCCTAATCTCGGCGACATCGACGCCCGGTGCCAGCTCCGTCAGAGTCAACTCGCCATGTTCCCTGTCTACTTCAAACACGCACTGTGGCTGTCAGCCTGCCATCTGTCAATGAAACAAAGAAGCGCGTTAAACTTACCAGATCAGTGATGATAGTGCTCACACAGTTTGCTCCCGTCAATGGCAAAGTGCACTTTTGCACGATCTTCGACGATCCATCTTTGGCAACGTGGCTCGTCGCGACCACGACTTTGGTGTTGGTTGGGTTCGAGACAAGATCCATCGCGCCGCCCATGCCTTTGAATACTTTGCCGGGGATCATGTAGTTTGCGAGGTCGCCATTAGCCGCGACTTGGAGCGCCTACAAACGTCAGTCAGTGCCAGGCGGAATTTGAGGTGGAGAGGGTCGACATACCCCTAGAATAGAAACATCTACATGGCCTCCACGAATCATGCCAAAGGACTCGGAACTGTCAAAGGTTGATGCCCCGGGGATAAGCGTTACGGTTTCCTTGCCGGCGTTAATGATATCACTGCATCTGTTAGAAAAGCATCGTTGGCGGATTGACTTTAACATACGCATCAACCTCGTCTTCAGTGGGATATGGCCCCATCCCCAAAATACCATTTTCACTCTGTACCCAAACCTGCTGCCCTTCTGGTAAATAAGAAGGCGCCAAAGTGGGAATGCCCACTCCCAAATTAACGTAATATCCCTGCTTGAGCTCCTTAGCAGCGCGCTTGGCAATTCTGTTTCTGGCCACAATCGCAGGGGAAGTCTCTTTCTGGGCAGACGCGTTGTCATCTGGGGTCCGTATCTTCCTAATTTCAATATTTTTCTCGGCCGTCGCGGGCACAATTCTATCGACGAAAATCCCAGGCAAGTCAACGTCGTTGGGGTCAATAGACCCAACGGGCACGATCTCCTCTGCTTCGACGATAGTCAATGTTGCAGCTTTGGCTACGATCGGGCCAAAGGCTTTGGTTGTATATCTGTAGGACATCATTATTTCAGTAAATAACAAGTTGATTCGACGAATTGTCAGTGCCAACCAACCTGAAGACACAATTCCCAGCTTCATCAACCTTCCATGCCCGTAAAATGGCCACATCCCCGGTTATCGCCTCCTCCATAAGGAATTTCCTTCCCTTGAATTCCCTCACTTCCCTCTTCTTCCCGTGCTCAAGTACTGTGCCATCTGGGCTCAGGCGCACCGGGATCTGCCCCTCTTGTAACAACGTCGAGGCTCCCGTGGGCGTATAAAATGCCGGAATTCCAGCTCCTCCAGCACGAAGGCGTTCAGCGATGGTGCCCTGAGGGCATAGCTCAATGGCGATTTTCCCAGATAGATAATTCTTCTCGAGCGTTTTGTTGCCCCCCAGGTACGAGATAATTAGTCGTGAGATTTGACCCGCATCGGCCAGCAAAGCTAGGCCGCCGACATTGGCGATGCCTGCGTTGTTGGATACTGCTGTTAATGAGTGTAGGTTGGGGCTGCGACGAACAATCGCCTGTATGAGCGTTTCGGCGACGCCGCAGAGCCCAAACCCCGCTGAGAGAATTGTCGATCCAGATTGGAGGTCGGCGACCGCATCGTCGGCAGATGGCCAGAGCTTTGATTCACCGCGAACGATCTTGGGGGCAAGCGGTTGGGAAAATAGAGGCGTGGTGGTGATGTATGTGCGCTGTGCGAGAGACCAGGATTTGCGTAGAATTGATGTTGTTGTTGTTGTTGCTGCTGCTGCTATCGGAGTTGGGGCTGGGAGGTATTGGCGCGATCGCGATACAACAACCGCAGGGCAGGCGACCCTGCGCGACGCAAGGCGTGCGGCCATTCTGACTGGGTATGATAATTGAAGGACGATATATTCTATACAAGCCGAGGGAGAACAGGAGGGAAAAAGAGACAATTAATAATTATCGTGGAATAAGTACTCGGCAGTCTGTCTCCGCCGGTGACAACATCAATTGATCGCTCGGGGCTACTTTTGCTGCCGAGGCCCGGCATCGCCTCAACATTGAACTGCATGTACGTAATTATAACTAATATCTCTATATAACTATATAATTATATATAGACTAAGATTTGAATGTCTAGGAAAGTAATATTAGAGCAAATTGTTTTGATATTTCCAGCTTCTCGTGACTGCATAACATTTGAATGGCTGGCGTCTGTTTCTCGATTTAATTGCTCATCAACGACATCTTTGCATATCAATTGATATATGTTGTATCCAGATAATCGAACCACTCCCATGGCATCATTTCATTCAACGGAAACCCCCGATGATCTGAGATTGTGTCATCTAGCGACAGCCCTACACTGTTGACCGCGTCAACGATCTGATCATTTGACATGGTTGAAAACTGGAGAGTTTCTGCCATTGATGCTACGATACCAGCCGATTCCAATGATGTTGAATAGTGGCCTTGGTACGGTACGTATGGCATCGGAGGTGAGCTTATAGACTCGGGAGCTGCATAGTTGTTGCTGCTTTTTTCTCTAGATGTATATGAAGGAGTGATCGTGTGCAAAGACTCTGGGTCAAGGGAACGATCATCTGCAGTGTAGTTATATACACGACCTACAAGATCGCGCATAAGTTTTCCGTATAGCACCGAGGCGCCGTTTCGATGGCTCGGTGTCGCACCAATTCGCTCTAGGACGTCCGCAGTCTCTTTGATGAGATTCAAGACGCTGGGTGCGAGTCGATTGCTATTCCTATTTTTTCGACTAGGAGCTCCCGTCAGGCTGAGACTTAGTGCCGAGCAAGCTGCGAATGCAATCATGATAACAGTATTATTGGGCATGGATTTCAATCGTGACTCGCCCTGGATAGCAGCCCGCATGACGTTTAGAGAGGAAGATAGAGCTTCGGAGCGGAAAAAACGCTTCACTTCGAAGGGAGCGGTCGGATGGTTGATCACCCCGCTGTAGGTTGAAAGCCTGGTATGCGTGACGAGAATTTCAACGTACGGTGGAAGCGACCGGACTGCGATACTTGTCTCAGCCTTGAAGTGGAGAGAGATTCACGGTGTTACTTACATTCACCGCCAATAGATTTAGCCCAGATAGCGTACCAACCGTCATAAAAGTTTTCGATCATGGATTGTATTCTAATATACTCGTTAGTAGCAAGCCTTTTGAGTATTTCCTAATGACTTACAACCGAGCGACCTCCATTCCAGTTTTCTTATCGCGGTAGTCGTCACACGCATGCCTGACTTTTCTAAATAACTCGTCCTACATAATGTTAATTTACCTTCAAGGCTTTGAATGGTAGAGAAACTGACGAGATCCCGTCTCAGCACGGCCATCGAGTTCATTTGTCCATCCCGCGGGTCGGCGATATCTCTGTCCACCAAATGCCATCGGTCGCAATTCTCTAGAAGTGCAGTTACAGGAACAGAATAGCTCCTCCCACGGGCCAAACACACCCTAAACTACTTAGTGAACAATAAAATAAAAACAAAAAGCGAAAGGGGGATAACTATACCCTCTCTCAACAACAAATAGCGCAATCCAAGTCCTCTCTCTGCGACGCAATAGCCTGCGACCCCATTCTGATTGCGGGTCAACATCACCGAATCCATCCATGAGGAGTGCCCTTCGCGCTTCCAAGCAATCGGCGCGAGCGAATTTCCGTCCGTCTGCGGTTTGTGATAGCGTGGTGACTTTGTTTAGTGACAAGTCTAATGCAATGTTCAAAGCCATGGCAATGTAAAGACAGGTGTCGTCATCGCCAAGCTGTTTGCCAGGGTCCATCCAAGGCACATTCGCCATGAAAGCAAGCACGATCTCAACAGACCGATGGCGATGTGCAATGACGTTTTGAGCCAACTTTTTGACATGGGAAGATAGTCGTTTGGACAAAGCCGCCGTGGAGGAGATGAATAGCGCCGATGCAGATAGAATAGAGGTGAACAGAAACGCAGATTGCGCTCGTACAAAAACAGCCGTATGTATAGCAGGATCAAAGCCCCATCGCGTGTGCGATAGATTGTCATAGAAGCTAAATTGTAACTCATCATCAGCCGGCCTACTCTATATAATCGAAATACTTTTGCATACAAGTTAAAGAGCATGGATGCTTCATCAAATGTAACGAGGCCTAAATTCACAGGGTCAAGGTCCGGGCTAACATCGGGACTTGCCTTGACCGGTACAAAAAATGAGTCGGACACGCGAGACGAAAGGTTAATATTTGCTGCCACACCTCCAGCCAGTTGTAGGGGTAAACTCGATGCGTTCTGGGTTGAGGACGGCAACAACTGGAGATCTGAGGCGCGAGCAAGTAGCTGTAGTGGATTTTCTGCATCATCCAGCGCCAGGCTGTCCTCGGTGCTTGTCGTTAATGTATTATTCGCATTGGTCTGCACCTCGCTCGAATCCGTGGACTCTGAGCGCGTCTCATCATCTAAACGCGAGTTTGACGCTGATTCATGAGATGACATGCGACCAAGCGCCTGTTGCTGTGCTTTGTCCAGAAGATGCTGTAGATTTACAATCACCTTTGACACCTCATTGCCTGCCTCCTCACTCCTGTGGATTTTCGATTTCTTAATTGCCTGCTCAATTTGATGAAGGGCCTTGTCAACGCCCTTCCGCTTACTGCATGCATGATTAGAAGGATTGGTACCCTAAGATTTACTAGTTTTAACACACTTTTTGACACCTTTTTGCCGTCCAACAGGGTGATTCGGTACGATGCACTCCGTCCCGTGTTGGGCGCACCTCTCGCAGCGAGCCTGGCCTGGGGCTCGCTTGCATTTCAGTTTCTTGCCATGACACACCGTGCAGGCAGCCTGCTTGGGGGCCCGCAGCTGGTGGTGGTCCGGCTGGACGCTCTCCATGCCGCGCACACGTTACTCAGCGTTGCAGGGCGGGATCTATTGTGCGTTGCTGTACAGCTGTACATGAGCCGCACAGTTGGCCCTCAGACAACGACATTGACACGAAGCCAGAGACCCAGCAATCTGCAAGATGGTCACAACAGTCAATAATCAACCGTCAATAATCAATAATCATGCGGGGATCAGCGCGGCTGATCTGGAGAAGCTCGGCTCGTTCGGCTGGCTGCTGCGCCACGCGCACGCGCACGTGATGAATCCTAGGGAGCAGCTCTAAGCGAGTCAGGTGATATCCCGCGTCCAATTGGCCACACAAATTGGGACAGCATGACTCATCCGTCCCACTATATGGGTGCTTGATATTACTTGCGCTTTGCCTCGGTTTCTATACGCATGGCGTCTTCTGTTGCGTCCTTGCCATTGCAGTCCTTTCTCGTGTGTACAACGTGAATTCAAATAGCTATCTGTAGAGCCATGCCGGAAAGATCGTCAAATCGCACAACTACAGGCTCGAGTCGAGGCCCAAGCTACATCTCGTGAGTTCGGTAATAGTTGAGCCGTTGGTATCCATTCATTGGTAACCTCGATTTCTAGATGCGAAAGGTGTCGGAAACGCAAGGTGCTTTGATTGATTCCCTAGATTCCATCAACCTATAACTCATATCTATAGGTCAAATGTGACCGCGCTCGACCATGCATGCAATGTAGGCTCGCAAAAGTAGAGTGCACGAGTTCTGACTCTGTGAGAAAAAGGTCTAGTCCCTAAATGTCTTTGGGGTACGGAGGGCACTGACAACTGTGGATATTTCCAGACCAGTTTCGCGGTCATACGCCGAGGCACTTGAAGAGAAGATTATGTCCCTCGAGACTTTCATTGCGAGTCTAGCATCTGCGAGCCATATAGAGCGAGATCGCATGCTTTTGAATTTTCAACAATCAAGAACCAACTCTCTCTCTCGATCGGTCAGCGAACCCGAAGAGCCTGGATATCACTGTCCGCCAAAGGGCCGCTTGGTAAGGATGAAGGAAGGAATTGCAACCCAGCTCTATGGGGAGACAAGTTTCTACCCTATTGTTACGTCCCTTGACGAGGGTGTTGACGAAGACCTCCGCCCCTCCCCCAGCCTTCCTATCGTTCCTGTCAAAGAATCTTATCTACTAGTACAAACAAGTGGACTGGAACAAAGCTCAGATATTGACAGTGAATTCACACCACATAGCCCAGCCTGCCGAAACCTCATTTCTCTATTTTTCCAACATTTTTACTATTACCACATGGTGCTTTATCGCGAATATTTTCTTCGCGATTATAAAACTGGCAAAGGTCAATATTACTCGGACTTGCTCTTATATGCAATACTTGCAATAGGGGCGCTTAGCAGTCAGGATAATTCCGCTCAGAATTTATCCGAAATATTCTATAAACGAGCCGAGAAGCTTCTTTATTCCGGGGCATTAGATTCACCTAATATTACCACAATACAAGCCCTTTTGTTACTAGGCCAATTTGATGTTGGACGTGGCCAAAACACAAAAGGATGGCTCCTCACGGGTAATTTTAATATTCCATCTACTTTTCACCTTCTTATCTTACGAATATTATCCATCAGGCATTGCTTTCAGACTGGTGAGCGAGATGGGCCTGCATATTGACCCGAACCACTGGAAAACCGGTCACGACTCGGAAGTAGATCGGGAAGTCCTCAGACGGGTATACTGGTCATGCTTTATCGCAGATAAGTATGTCTAGCCCTTTGCTGAACCACACCTGTTGAATTCATACTGACTATGTGCAGACAATTGGCTCTTTACTTTGGCAGGCCGCCGGCGCTACATTCTAGCGAAGCCGATGTTCAAAATTCGATTCGAATTGCATATCCCGTTGATTGGGATGTACTACTAGACGAGTATATCAAGAAAGATATATCAAGAACTGAGTATGAGGATGGTGTTGCATTTACGAGTTGCTTTACTCAGCTGGCAAATCTGTCTAAAATTGTCCATCGCATGATCACAGAGGTATTCGAGAATCGTCAGAATACCGAATCCAGTATTTTGGCGGCATCAATAAAATCAGTCCATGTGGATCTTATCAAATGGTTGAACGATCTTCCTGCGAAACTTCGCTGGAACCAATGGCTGAAGGATTCCATCCCACCATACGTCCTCCAACTCCAGTAAGAATTCCTTCCTCGTAACAATCAATAATAAAAACTCAAGGACCTAGCATATTCTATCAAACGGTATTGATTATTTTATTTCGACCCCCACGGAAGTTAATGTCAGGGTATCTCCCTGATTTTCGCGAGGGGTTTGAAATTTGTGACCAATCGTTGAGTATTATTACCCAAATTCTTACGACATACTCAAGAGAATGGGGCTTACAGCATCTTCCAATGACAATGGTCCACACCGTGGCGAGCGCAGCCAGTTTTGTACTCCTGAAGCTGCGCGTGCAAGGCTCATCCAGTGAAACACTGCGCCAGCTCGACCTAGTTTCAAACGTTGTTGATAATATGGCCAAAACATGGAAATCTGCGGTGCATATCCAAAATGCAATCAATAATTTTCGGCAAGAAATTGTCCAAAATGATGCATTAGACGAATCAGCTTTTTTGAACCTGGAAGACCCCATGACGTTGAATTGGTATGTCCATCATTGATCCCTCTCACTTACTTTATCAACTAGTTACATGAAAACCTACACGACTGATCTATGGCATTGGATATCTGGTTAAACGGTTTTGCTAACAATAAATCCCTACACAGGCCGCCACAGTCGAGCCCACAGGCAAGCGGTGATCTTGATACTGATTTTATGTGGGACCCAACCAGTATGAGCGAAGCAACAATCGTCCCATCCCATGAGTTCTTGTTTCGGCCAGTTTGATTCTATGCCGTATCAAATGCAATAGGGGAAAGAGTCATAAACGAATTATTACTGTGATAAGGAAGGCTACCACTAGTTGCATGGCTTCCATCACCATCTTGATATTTCAGGGAAATTACGTTTCTCCTGTCACGACCCCGAGAAACTACAGACAAAATGTTGATGTATAAGATTGATGTGCCTCAATTTATACTTTTGAATTACTGTAACTACACTCATTTACAGTTTACCGACTCGTTAGGCTTTTTATTAAGCTCATCCCACAAAGTCCGACGCCTCGCAATCTATCATCAATAAGATACTGTCTACGCCGCTAACGATTTCGGAGGCGAATAATTGGTGCAGCGTACATGTAGGTGCAGTAACTACAGCTATCAATCGCCATTCCGTGGGTATAAAGTGTGGTATAAAGTGTCCAAAGTTGTCTCGGCCCGAAGGTGCTATCTTCAATTTGCCACTGTCGACGATTCATGGAGTGGGACTAGATGTTAAACTCTATAACTACCATAGATATGGTATGTCATTCATTTAATTATCCGCAGCCACTAATGTATATTCATGGTTCCATAGAAAACTTCCAACAGTTGTGTCATAGTCGACGGGGTTGGAAACCCGAAATACTTTTCCTAGCGCCAACTGGTTGGAATACATATGCGGGAACGCTAGCTATAAAGCTCAACTACTACTCCAGTATTCCAGTCGAAAAATCATCAGCATCAGGATTATTCTTCGTTCATTACAATTTACCTCGCATTTGAGCACACAGTGAAAAAATCAACTGATATTCGGTTTGCATTGTAAAGATGTCATCTATACAACCCGATCAAACAATCACCTATAAAAAGATAGGGTCTCTTCAGATCCCAATGGATATCTATTTGCCAAAAAGTGCCAAAAATGCACCAGTTCTGCTTTGGTTTCATGGAGGTGGACTGCTGTAAGTCTCCAGGAATAGGCAGACGTGACTTTACATTTGACACCAGCCAGACAGGGACGTCGCGATCTGCTTGCTCCTCATATGCGTAATGGCGTACAGACCTACGGCTACGTATGTATCTCAGCAGACTATCGTTTGGCTCCGCAAGCCACTGTCGATGAGATTTTTGAAGATGTCAAAGATTGTATCAGTTTCATAAGGGATGAGCTTCCGACCCGTCTTGGAGAGGGTGTCATGGACCCAACTCGCCTGGCGGTGTCTGGAAGCTCTGCAGGCGGCTTTCTAACGCTTCTTGCCGGACTTTACATCGAGCCAAAGCCTCAAGTAATCATACCTATCTACCCAATTACCGATCCTTTGGGTGTTTTTTTCACAAACTCACAGCCAGCGCCAAACGGACGATACTCGGCATCACAAGAAGAAATGGCTGATTATCTCGATATCAAGGCGCCACCGATGGCTAACTGCGGCAAAGTTCCAGGGGATCCTCGAAGTCATATGTACGTCTACATGCTGAGATGCGCCAATCTAGCCAAGCTTTGGGGTGTTCCGGATGATAAGAGTGCAGCCCCATATAGAATATCTCGTAGGATTTACGAATATGGATTGCCTCCGACATATATTTTGCACGGAGATGTAGACACGGCCGTGAGTGTCGAGCAGTCGGATGAGGTGGCGGGCGCGATGGTGGGATTAGGCTTAACCGTCGAATACGAACGCCCTCATGGCGAAGACCACTTCCTGGACAATGGAGAAGACTATCAAAACAATGCGCTCTACTCGTTCATGATGCGGCATTTATAGACCTTACATATGTACTCAGATAGACGACTGATAGTTTATCTCCGATAATAGGACTCATATTAGCATCCAGAGAAAGACAACATTGAAGAAATCCATTAGCACTCACACCGAATAGCAAAACCTCCGACTCGGGCTAATTAGCAAAAAAAATCAAAATCGAACGGATCAGAGTAACCATGTCGAATCGTCGATAGCGTGAGATGTACACCCCGCCAATTACCGATGTCTGATCTCTTATCGTTTCCCCTCCTACACAGTGTGTAATTAGGCTATTTCCTTATCTCGGGATCGCAGAGCTCCGACCGGCGCTTTCCGGCTACTGCCCGTCTTCTATATAAGAAAGCTACCTCCCGCAGTTTGTTCGTCCTTTTCGTCATTCCTCCGCATTCACGTACGTATCAAAAGAACTCATTCTAGAAGCATTACATGGCAATGGCGGCCACTGCATCTGTCCAGCCTCTCCCCACTCCCGACGGATCAGCCATCAACTTCGGTTCCATAATTACTGGTCTGGATGTGGAGAATCTGTCTGGTGAGTCTAACCGATGAGAGAACACAAAGCGTAAAGCGTAAGGGAGCACTCCGTGGATCGGTAACCTCCTAGGGTAAGGTTGTCTCCAATTTAAGGCGCTTAAAGTCCTTCCTCGCTAATGTCTGTTGTATAGACGAAAACTTTCAACTCATCTATGAAACCCTCTATCGCACAAATGTCGTCGTGATCAAGTCCAAACCAGACATCTCGGCCAAAGCCCAATACGAGCTTACGCGGCGCTTCGATCCTTCATCGACAGCGTATGGTCATGGAAAGACACTTGATGCCAAGCGCAGTATTTTGCACCCGGACCTCAAGACTGTTCCGCACCAACCTCAGGTTCAGATTATCGGAAATGGATTTGTGAAAGAATATGAAGGCCTTCAAGACTTTACCTTGCGCCATCCTCACCACCGCACGTTCCATCGGGATGCCATCCCCGATGCCGACGACCTGCAGTTCACACGCTACTACAGATGGCACATTGACGCGGCGTTGTATGATCTGAACCCTCCCTTGGTAACCACACTCTTGGCAGTGTCGCTGCCTTCTAAACGCCAACAAACTGTTCGTTATGACGACGGAACTGGGGACGAGCTGGATGTCTCACTCGGTACCACTGCATTTGTCAGTGGGTACCAGATGTTTGACCGATTGTCGGAGGTGGACAAGGAATTTGTTCGGACTAGCAAGATCGAGTACGCACCTCATCCATATATTTGGATGAGTAAAGCGCGATCTCTTCCTACTGGTCTTGGCCTGTACTCCGAGAATCTCGAGCTGGATCAATCCGAGCTTCCGCCCATCGACCCAGCTAAAATTAAAGTTTTTCCTATGGTCTGGAAGAATCCGGTCACTGGCCAACTTGCCGTCCAGATTCATCCCTCCGCAATCCGTCGCATCCACCTCAAGGATGGCAAAGTAATTGACGATGTCGAGGAGGTTCGGAACATAGTCTATCGTCTGCAGCGGCCAGCTATTAGCCCAGAGTATGTCTATGCGCATGATTGGGAGGAGGGTGATCTGGTTTTGTTCAACAATCATGGTGTGCTACATTCTGTTGTTGGAGCATTCGACAAGGACGAAGTGAGGCTATTTAGGCAATGCAACCTATCCGCCAGTCGCCCGCCACTTGGACCTTAAGTTACCTTTTTTGATGATTCATATTGTTACATAGAACTAGATGAAACTTGATTCTCCACGATGGCTTGCTCAATCAATCTGAATGTACATATATAGTCGTAAGTAATAAATACTTTAGTATACGCGACTTTATGTCAATTTTGTTATCGGATACCACAACAACTTATTGCTATTAACATGTTAGCCGTTAGTGGTAATGTTATTCCCCAGGAGGATCATGTCCTTATAAGATGTCAAATTAGCTTCTAAACCGAATATATGAAAATGGAACGGATTCCTTTGAAGGCAGGAATAAAGCAAAATTAAAGAAACAGCCTGACTTTACTGTCATAAATCTAGTTTAATATTTAATGAGCTCATGCGTTGTCGAAATATATACCTTCTACTATTCACGCGAGGAGCAATGTTTAGACACACATGGATTTAACATCGGGCGCATCTACTTGAACGCATTGAGTTTATTTGCATATTAGATGTTTATTTTTCTTCATCCGACATTAAAAAATTACAATTTCTGGGCTTCACATTCACTTGCGGCGACTTTTGATTAAACTGAGCGGTCTTATTAGCAGGCACCACGCTACACAAATACTGACCCTCCTTCTTGAAGTTCCTAATAACATTTTGGGCGGCATCATTGATTGCCCAAAGGGTAAAGTTCTGTGCAACTTTGACATTTGTTGTATTGGCCCCGATCAAGATATGAGCTGGATTGAGAAGAGTATCGGTTGCGTTGTCAGTAGCGGCCGTGTAAATGCCAGTCTAGTTGATGCATAGATACGTTCCTCGGTCGATGAAGGTATATTCGCAGAGAGTAATAGCAGCAGTCAAAGCCTGAATGGGGTAGGCGATGTATTGGTGGGACCAGGTAGAGTAAGCTTTAGCCCAAGGCGCCTAAAAATTCTTGTGAGCCGAGATCACCGAATATGATGGGTAGAACCAAATGTTGAACTAACTTGACCGATAGCAAACCATAGCCGGCTCTCCTTGATGTTCATTGCACTTTTGTATCTGGATAGAAAGTGGGTGGACACAATAGTGTCTGATTGAGCTTTGGAATAAAAAGCTTTAAGAGCTTAGTGTATATATGTACTCAAGCATTTTCCGCTTTAGCATTAACGGTTACCTTAGCCGCTGTTTGCTAACCTGATTAGGAGATGAGATGGGATATGAACCCCCTAAGCGTCGAGCACAGATAGCGCCGATGGCAAAGCAAAACGAACGACTATTTCATCCTTGGCACCTAAAGGCTAACGGGGATTTAAGGGGGCCTTAACAACTATATGGCCCCCACGGTGGCCACAGACTCAGGACTCTCCTAGCCTAAGTTAAGGCTCAAAAGCTCAAACAGTTTTAAAAATTGATTTAAGAAACAAATAGCCGACCGAGAGCCCATCTCCTACTCAAATTTGTTATTTCAGATTTTTCGGGAGGAATCAAAGGGCCTCGATTATTCGTCGTTTCCATTCACAGAAAACTTAATTATCTTCGAAAACCTCACGAAGTGCAACTATGATTCTCAATGAGTTATGTAGTTATTTGTATTCTCGAGCGAAAATATCGATGGAGAAACGTCAACGGCCAACTGTTTGGCACTAGTTAATCAAGTCTTCTCTGTTATAGTGCATTTATGAGTGTAGCAACAAACCCGAATGCAGTGAGAAAACCGACGCTTCTTGCGTTGTGTAACGATATAGTGAGGCCGGTATGGACACTTGTCGCTGAAACTGTCGCACTGGCAGTTTGTGTTGCGCTAATTCTAGTTGTCGGTTTCGTCGACGACGCAATTACTGACGTAGATGGACTGGAGCAGCTCTTTACAGCTGCTGAACTTGTAACAGGATGGCTAATTGACGTTCCCGTTGAATTAATAGCCTTTTCTTTAAACCAGTTTACCACTATCGGCTTCCCTAAGCTGGTGTCGTTTAGGAACTGGGGGAGTGGGAAGTTAATTCTGTTGTAAGGGGTATCGGCATTGGTAGCGATGTAAGAAGCATATTTCGCCGGAATTTCAAAGTTGATATCCGGTTGACGAAAAAGTAATAGGTATAATTGTGTGTCGATCCGACTGGCTGTGGTTAGGGAGCAAGGTATTTGGCGATTTCAGCAGAGGTGTCGAGCTGGCCTTGTGCCGTAACATTGGCGTATAGCGTGTGGAGTATCACGTAGGTTGGGGAGGTGGTGTTATAATCTGGGTCGACCATCAGGACGACATACTTTGATTTTGAGTTTGTGTTGGATTCGTAAGACATCATAAGGTTAGCAATGGAGATATGGGGTAGCTTTTGTGTTTCTATTCATATTTCCTTCTCAGCATCAGGTCACTGCGTTGATTGCAAAACAGGAAGCATACCATCGGGTTTCAAATATTCCCCAGGAGATACAACTACATCATGGCCAGCCTCGCAGTCTCCCAATGACGATGAGAACGTCGTAGGTAATATCCAGTTTGGACTACCTATCACTGCCAATTCAGGAGGCACGTTGGTTGTATCCCTTCCCGTTACTGAAGTGAGAATGGTGAGGCACAAGCCTAGTAAGCCTAGGAAATAAAAACCGGGTGTGCCTTTCATTTTGTTGCCTGTTTTTCGTTTTTATTTGTCGTTTTGTTTGCGTAGTTTTCCTCGTGTTACACCAATATACCAGTGCTAATTGACTTGAACTAGTCCGGCTTGAATGGACGCAACCGAAGCGTGTAAGACTTCAACACTAAATCTAGACAATGATAATTTGGTAGAAAGATCTCGCCTTTATATAATTTCTGAGCTGTTAGTCTCGACTCTACAAGCTTTACAATTGATCCATGCTCTACAAGGGCTGAATATCCCCCGTATCCAATGAGAACAGTTCATGGACCAACATGTCACCAAAAGAAATAACCAACTAGACACCACGGGTAAACTAACAGTGACTAGTCAAGCGTAAAAGCCAAATGCAAAAAATGCTGAGATGAGACTAGCGGAAAGATCAACAGTGGCCATTAACGCCTTTTATCTTAGCTACTTAGATATCAGCAAATATAACTATTATAGTAATATAAAATGATGCCTCAGTAAATACTAATTTAAATATTTTTAAAATAGTCTGAAAAGTCTAACGTAAAAGTTAAGCGCAAAATATGCTGAGACTAGTAGAAAGATTCATAATAACTATTAATGCTGGGGGAATGCGATATTACAGTCCCGATACATTTCCAGCAATGTACCATTTATTGGATCAATGGCTGGATTCCTTTATATAGCTACCAGCTATACATTGTCAAGGTTTTGAATTAAAAAGGCATTTATTTATGTCACAATCACTTCCACATATCCTCAAACTTAGTACTATCATACGACACACGAGGTTCTGGGGTCTTTGCTGCACGGATGATATAATTTCCAAGGATACGTGAGCGGAACCCAGCCTCACAATATACAAAATAATACTAATGTCGCTGTCAGTGGCATCGCTGGAATTGAATAAAAAGATCGAGACTCACAATCCACATCCGTCGAAAAGCCTCCACATCTTCTTTTGACGCAACTGGATGAGTGGCTACGTAGTCCTCTCGAATTTGCTTCCAGTTTTGTTCAAAATTATTTTTCCAGGCCAGTAGGGTCCTTCCGTAATGCGGGCCAATGTCTTGTGCGTAAGTAATTTCCATTGTTCCCTTGGATCCCTCATGTAGAGAATGCGTTAGTAGATGGATAGAAGGGAGATAGCCACCAGGGAAGATGTATCGGTCAATGAATGTGTCAACAGGCGATTTATTATTCTTAAATGTCAGTGAATTGCACCTACAGATAGGGTGAATGAGTGCAAACCTTGCTTGTCATAGTAATCCCGTCAATGACCAAGAGACCCGTTTCCGAGTTTAACAATCGGGAAATAGTCGCAAAATACTTGTTGAAATACCTCTTTCCGACGTGTTCAAACATCCCAATTGAGATAATCCGGTCGTATCCTGTTTCTGGCACAGGGGCTTTCCTATAGTCACAAAGAAGAACAGAAACCTTATCCTGCACGCCTGCGTCTTGGATTCTTCTTTCTGCAAGAAGTTGCTGTTCCTTAGCAAGTGTCAACCCTGTTACCCTGCAGCCATATTTTTGTGTTGCCTTGATCATGACATCTCCCCATCCGCATCCAATTTCGAGCAAGTGATGGTTTGGTGACAGGTCGAGCCTTTTCAAGAGAAACTCAACTTTGCGGTCTTGAGCTGTTTGTAGCTTCTCAGCCTGATCCGCAGACCAGTGTGCACAGCTGTAGTTCATATCGGCCGATAGAAATGCTGCGAATAGTTGATTTGATGTATCATAGTGCGCCGATGCGTTGAGCCTGGCTTGCTCGACATTGTTTGTGGGCTTAAGGAAAATCCGCAACGCTGTCTGGGCGAGAACAAGCAACGGATTGCCAAATCTCAAAGACTCTTTGTTCATAAGATAAATCTATGTTGGATTAGCTGTATAGTGTGCTTATAGCTTTTGATTGCGACTCCTACGTCGAAAACAGCACTCAAATTCTCGCAGTCGATCTCTTGCAGCATGAAAGCTTCGGAAAACCCCTACCATGGCCACAAGATTACTAAAATTCTTTTTCTATGAAGTCGATATTTGACATACCAGGTCGAATGCGGTGCATATTCGAATCCAGAACCGAGGGTTGTTTACGTGTATTATTGCCTCTGGTGTCCCTCCCCTGGCTGAATCACCAGTTGTGATTCGCTCATCGCTGTGGTACCGTAGAATAAATATCAGTCTTCCTTTAGTTATAGAACCCAGTCTTTTGACAACAATGTGCTGCGCATAAGACTGCGCCAAAGATGGAGTGATGCCAGTCATTTGTATTTTGTTGTTTTACCTCAGAGCGCTTTTTGGAACAAAAAACTATGTTCTGAGTGACTTATTTAACTTTAGGGGATGGTCAACCCCGTAACTCCAACTGTACGTATGAGTTGGTCATGTTCGGCGGAAGAAATCCAATCAATTGATGGTGTCGGCTTCCCACATCAAGAAAATGCAGCTGATCCAGTTTGCTTGACGCAAGATTATGCGCTGGTATTTGTGAGCTTGTTACATATTTCCCATGGCACCCGATAGGCTGCCTCCCTTTGCCGGTAAGACAATGTACGAATGCGGATGAAACGGATACTGTAAAAGACCATATTACCAGTACCGACATAGGATCTAGACCTTCTTGTTGTAGCCGTGTAGCCCGACCACGTCACTACGGCAGTCATTGAAAGCTTCCCCGCATGCAGCCACGGTTCTCAATGGCGAGTAGGAGAACTGGTTGTTTAGTCTTTCTGCCTGGAACCCAATTGTCGCAGAGGCCTGAATAATCGGACATGCGCTGGAACCTTTTTCACGGTATTAAACGATTATTTCTGGCAACTAGCTAGTGCGATAAAGTATTCCCTGATCACCCGGTGTTGCAACATGCACTGCTTGTTGCCTTGAAGTTTGCTCGATTCGGCCAATATGGCGTCCCCTAATATAACCCTTGAGGAAATCCTCGGACCTTATAGGTTTGCGCATACTCTGCGCGTGATTTAGCGTAGGAATGTTTCATTGAAAGCATAATAAATATTGAAACTCATTAGCCGTATCTATGGTATTTTGTGGCGCAGATAAACTCCAATGAGAATATATACTCTAGCTCTGTAGAATAGCTAGGGTGCAGATCGCAGTAGACTTCCCAAAGGGCTGCGGGGACTAGGATATCCGCAATGGACCAAGCCGCAATTAAATACGTACAGCGAGGAACCATAATGGAGTAGATCAACACCGACTCGGGATATTTAACCTCAAGCATAATCGATTTCGTGTATTCAATATAAAAATTAGATTTAATGGTAAATACACAGATATATGTCGATAGGGTGGGTCGTCGCTCATTCTCAGGACCCAAAGCGCATTTCATCCATTTTATGACAGCCATTTATGCACCACTAGCGCCCCGATTGTGGCGAAATGGTTCGTATCCATCTTGTGCGGCATGCGAAACGGGCTGAGGTAGAGCAGGAAACATCGGTGTTGACTCGTGATTATTGTTGTACATCGCAGTAGGATCAACTGCAGACATTCCCATATATGGAGAAGCGACTCTTTCGTAAGTGTAAGGTACCTTTTCTGCAACAAGACCGCGACGGCCACTGCGGGATTGGCCTGAGCAGCAGCACGAACTAAATGCCCAAAACAAACCGCTGGCGATTGAGAAAGCGGCAGCCAGCCAAGTGACTGCAATCATACGCCCGCCCACACTTGCGTGGATTTGATAATCCTTGAGTGACGTATTGAAAAGACCGACAAGTGCGGCGTATAGGGCGGTTGATGTGATAGCGGCGGCAATGGTGAAAAATGTCGCGATCTTTGTCAACAAGTTGTTAGCAGCGGAATTTTTCTCTCCCATGAAGCATGAAGACACTTACCCCGGATACGAAACTTGTTATGCAGCTACCCAATCTGCTGAATATAGCTGATATCCCAACGAGCAGCTCCGCCACAACTGAAACAACTGCGATAACGTATGCGATGAACATCCACTTGGAGGCTTTCTCATATGCGCTCAACCCCTTTTGCAACGATTCCGGAAATAGGGTGTCAACACCAGTATCATTGAGCCCCCACACCTCACTGGGATTGAACCAGAACATCGCTTTACTGGAGGAGCAGTGATCAACCTTAAAGTCACCATTGGTAGTCTTGTTGCCAGTGCAGTACCCCCAGAGACCGACGTCGTAAAAATCACGGACTTCGGCATCTTTGTCGGCTTTTTCAAGAGCTTCGCCTAGCTCCTTTGCTCTGGTATCATTTTTGATGGCTGACTCAGCGAGATCGGCTAATGTCGATGATGTTGTAGCATTAGTTAAACTAGATAAATCGACCTGATGGCAGATGTTATTCATTTCGCCCTTGTTGAATAATTGTTGAAGGATTGTTGAAGGATTTGGAGAGGCATTACCCTTATGAAATAGAGCTCATTTACTGCTTCACTACTCGAATTTGTTGAGCCGATGCCAACGACAATGAGGCAAATGAGTGCGCCGATAGTCAAAATATAAGGCAGGACAATGCATGCAACTCGGCCAATTTTCCCCATGAAGGGCAACTTTGTTCGAAATTCACCAGTTGACCGAGATTTTGGGATTGGCCAACGGAAATAAACAATGGTTGCTGCAACCGTGACCACGAAATGGCTTGGGATTAGAGTGTCAAGGAGTGTCTTAAAGTGAGCTCAATGAACATTATGTACTGATGTAGAACGGGAGCTAGTTGGCATGGAACAGAAATAGCTTTCTACGGGGCGGAGCATTTAGATCGCACCCATGTCACTTAGTGGCAGCTGCAATCAGATCGGCATTTAATTAAACTAACTCTGCTTCCAATTTTTAGTCAGGGATAGAGCCCAACATGGCTGCCGGGTTCTATCTTAGCTGAAGAAAAAGTGGTTGTCTCATTGGCTATATGGGACAATTTCAATAATACTTAGCCCTTATGCATGATCATATGGCACTTTAAGTTTAGAGCCAGAGTCAAAATTAGAAATACTCTCGCGAAATAGCGGAATAAGGCTTAGCTCTTATGCATGATCATATTGGCCTTTAGGTCTAGAGTCGAAAGTAGAAATGTTTTCGCAAAATAGCGGCGACAATTAACATCCGATCAGCGGACTAGCATGGAGGCTCAAGCATGTTGTCACCCAACGTGTTGTCTAGCGTTCAGGTTCAGCTTGCGGGTCTGCGACATGGGGCTCCGTTCGTGACGGTTCATGGCTGGAACTAGACGGCTTCTATTGGTAAAGGATTTCGCCATGGGCTACTAAAACAGCTCAAACAAGCTGTTGGGCTGATTAAAAATCCTTAAGATTTCACAGCTAGGAACCTGTGCTTTCGAGAGCTGGTACTAACATTTAGCCGGCTTGCATTGGCTACATCGTAATTAATAATCCAATTTTAAAACAACGTGGTCTCACAGACTACAGCCGCAGCTTAGCGGCTTCTCCTAACTCTTCGTGTTGTTCTGATTACCGTGTTCGGTGTGTGATGCGTGGCGGCGTGAGCCTTCAGTCTGTGAGGAAGTCTAGCCTTCCTGTTGCTAATTTTGGTTTATTTATCAATTAGAAACTTCTCCACAAGGACCGTGTAATAGCAATTCTGTCAGTTGCAGTAGTGACTGATAGAATGGGGCCAACTTTGCGACTAGGGGTATTAGTATAGTCAAAGGTTGAATAGTTAAAAGGGTGCCGTTCACGGCGTCCAACAAGTTAGACAATTACCAATTGTCATTGACAACCACAAGACACTTTCGGTAACCATGCATTCCAATTTTCAAGCAATAGCGAGTGGGCTTGTAGTCATACTGGCAACAGGCGTCCTCGGCGCCTCTGAGGACCCTTGTACTGAGATAAGCAACAGCTACGCACGAGAGTCCAGCAGTCAAAAAAGGGTCCATGTCCCAGCACAACTGGCTGTGGACTGCTTGACATCAATGCCCTTTGATTCCGAGAAAGGGGTATCTTTCATTGATGAATATTCAAAGTATCTTGAATTCCAGTCGGATCTAGAGCTCCTAGCCAACCCCCCTCCTTCATCTTTGTCGAACAGGGTTGACCTGCGTGCCGGTTTGCAAAGCATCCGAAGCTACGCGTCTCGAGGCCTTTATTCCAACCAGTTTCACTTTGACTCTGACTTAATGGACCTTATAAACTCCGCCAATGATGGCCACCTGCTTATTACACCCTGCTCCTCCACTGCCTTCACGTTTATGGCTTCCGATCTTGTGCTTGTTTCTATTTCGGTTGATGGGGTATCTTCTCCACAAGTCTATACACAACGTACGTCTAGAAACCCTTTTTTCGTTCTTGTTTCCATTGAAGTCGATCCCAAACTAACATGATTCACCGTAGATGATGCAAAGCTGCTTGCTGCCGGGCTGAACGATATATCCCCGGTTACGTATATCAACGGCGTCGGCGCCGCCGCGTTGATTGAATACCAATCCCGGTTTCAGCGATTGCAGGACCCGGATGCCAGATATAACATGATGCTCAGCAACCTTCCATATAACGGACAAGGTGTTTCTAACAGCGAGCCATTCGCAGCTGAGACTGTCTGGCGCGAGACCAGCAGCTACTACTTGACATTTGCCAACCAGAGTTCTCAGTCTTACGACGTGCTAGCTGTAGTTACTGCCCCTGGCGGCTTTAGCTACAAGTCTGGTTCTGATCTTTTTGAAGGCTTGTGTGGTACGACAACATCGCCAACAACATCACCATCGGGAACACCATCGACATCTGCATCCGCTTCTGCGCCAGCGGTTCCTAGCAGCACATCCACTCCCCCGCCAACCACTTACCCAACCCCGGTAATGAGAGAGGAGCACAATTTAGTGGTAGGCTACTATCCCGATGAACCCGGTCTTGAAGACGTCGCTGTTCTCAGCGTTCCCACTTTTGAGACCGCAGACGCCACGGGCCTGGATGCTCTCGCTCCCTTTGCCGAGATTGCTCAATACTTTGTTGGAAACGCAACTTTAGATGGGAAAAAGAGAATTATCGTGGACGTTCAAAATAACGGCGGTGGCGTCGTTGATTCAGGATTTGCCCTCTTCAGCGTCTTCTTTCCGAACGAGACTCTCTATTCGGCGACACGTTTCCGAGCCCACGACGCATTGGACTTTATGGGTACCATTTTCAATGGTATTAACCCAGACAATGTCAGTGAAACTATCCAAGAAGGTCTTAGTAGTAGTGGACTTGTTGTTCAACTCATGGATAATCCCAATCAAGAGTCTACATTCGGCAATTGGAATGATTTCTTCGGCCCTTACGATGCGGATGGAATTCCATCTACTTCCCTAGTAGCCGAGTTCAATTTCGGCGTTGAGGCTAATCCTTCTACAAACCCAATCAACACCGACGGACTAGGTGGTGACTTGAACTCAATGACGCCCCCATTCGCTCCAGAGGATATCATCGTCTTGACTGATGGCCGGTGTTCTTCTACTTGCACCATATTCACCGACCATATGATCTCAAAAGGAGTTAAAACTGTTGCTATGGGCGGTCGGCCCAGTTCCAATCCCATGCAGGCTATCGGTGGAATTAAAGGATCTCAAGTTGAAGTTCTATCAAATATCGACACCGGTTCTCAACTTGCTGTGTCCCTCCTTAACGGTTCGATTACAGCCGGGACACCCCTTCTCACCACAGAAAACATGACACGATTTGAGAAAGTCATGCCTATCCCTCTGGAGAACTTTCCATTACCGCTAGCAGCTGGTGACAGGAATAGCATCAATTACCGAAATACGTACACTAAAACTGATGAAACCACTCCAACTCAATTTGTATACGAACTTGCGACATGTCACTTGTTCTATACTGCTCAGACTTTGGTAAATCCTGCGGTCACTTGGGCGCAGGCTGCCAATGCAACTTGGGGCTCCGGATCTTGCGTCGGTGGCATTCAGGCGGGCAACAGTATTGGCTCGCAGAGTTTCGATGACAATGTCAGTTCTAACAGCGAGAACGACAGTGTGTCCTCTCCTGGAACGCACACTGCTCTTGGGTTGTTGTTAGCTCTTGGATCAGGTATGGACTGAGTTTATCAATAAATGATCAGAGGTTGTACATAGATTTCTTTCATGATATTATTTTCTGGTTTCCATGGCATCTTTCGTCAGTTTAGGAGCATCTAGGTACTGAATTAGCGATTTCTATTATTTCAGAACATCTTGCTCTCAGGGTCTCTCAAAAGCGCATGATTTTACAAATTTGTAGTATTTAATGGGACCCAATTTCAAATATTCCCGTCCTATGCATATGGTGTCTCAATGTGACGATTGCTTCTTCTTGGTATATGAATATTGTATCCTGTTATACATCTTTCATTAAACATTATTTCTTATATTATCGGTGCAACACTAACTGTCTGCTGGACTGGTATTTTCGTGCAAGGATGCCGAGAATTTGAGGTGACGACTTGATGAAGTCAGTTAACTACCATTAAAACGTGACACGTCTACATATCAATTGATGCAGACTACAAGACTCCAAGTCCCGTGTATATATCTCGACGTGAACACCACATCACATACATCAATGTACTACATGAATATGAGCAATTAATAGGGCTAGATGTCAATGTATCAACTGCTATCAGTTGCAAGGTTGAAGGAACCCGAAAACTGAATCAAGCCGCAAACAGGTCCTATTTCAATTTGTATATTTAGTTACGTACACATAGATATATGCACTCGTGGTGATCTTTGTTAAAATCAACATATGAATCTAGATTAAATAGGCTTGAGGGTCAACTGGTTTCTTATGTTTTCTCAGTGTTGGTGTTCCATTACGTATGGAGTTTATGAACTGACTAATTACAATCTGGGATTCTATTAATAATTATGCCAAAAAAAGTTTTCTAGACGTGTAACACGCTGGTGTGATGAATCGATGCTCGGATAAATCTTTAACAATGCATGAGTGTGGCGGAATTAAAGTGGTCCGGATGGCGTCATGCTGAATTAGTGCCGTCCTGCATCCGGATAGTTCACGCGGCCTGGCCTTAATTTCATTGGCGTTAAATACCTAAAGCGCCAGGGAATCCTAGCAAACAGCGAAGGAAAATCTTGCTCATTGCTGTCGATAGATGTTAAAAGTTGCGGATCGTCAATGGTTTCAAAGGCCCAGAGAGGCCGATGTTTTCTGAGATCGTGCAGACATCCCGGATATATCCGTTGCCAGCGGATATACTCATCGATCGATGCCGGTTCCGCCGCCGTCAGTATCAATCAGCACTGAAAAGGAGACTTAATAATGGTAGATAATTGGGGTGAGAATCTCTAGGCCGCCCCATCATCAGGATGCGTTATCCTGTCTGTAACGTCAATGCTTTAATAAATGGGGATGGGCTGGCTTCTCAACTTTGAAATGTGAGGGATCCTCAGATATAACCAAAAAACTTATCTAGAGCCAATTGGTACAGCTAGAAGAAAAGAAGGAAGAGGGGTGCGCTACTTCCGTTCTTTTAGAAAAGACATCGATAACCCGCGTTCTCTTTTCTACCTTGATCCAGATCGTTTTGCAATCACGATGGACGATTCAGACGACAGCAGCGTTCTCGAGGCACAAATCACCCGAACCGATTCAATAAAATCTCAAGTCCAATCTTTTAGCCGTACTCACGAGTTCTTTTTTATCGCTGTCGTGTGTTTGGCCCAGTTCATGACGCAAGCCGCTCTCGGCGCCTGTTTATCACCATTGACCATCATCGGTGATAATCTTCACGTTAGCGACCCTGGAATTCTGAGTTGGCTCATTGCCGGCTACTCCCTCACCGCTGGCACATTTATTCTCTTCTTTGGCCGGTGTGGTGACTTGTTTGGATACCGTACTATGTTCATTCTCGGCTTCTTCTGGTTCTCGCTCTGGTCCATGGTTGCCGGTCTCAGTGTTTATTCAAACTATATGCTTTTCATCTTCGCTCGCGCGCTACAAGGCCTCGGTCCAGCCATGCTGTTCCCCAATGCCTTAGCTTTGCTAGGATCCACATATCCTCCAGGTATGAAGAAACGCATGGTATTTTCTTTATTCGGCGGGATGGCACCAAGTGGCGCCGTTGTAGGTGCTGTATTCGCGGCTCTCCTGTCGGAACAGGCCTGGTGGCCGTGGACATTTTGGTGCATGGCAATTTATTGCCTGATTTTGGCCATCGCTGCCGTCGCCGTGCTCCCTTTTACACACAGTGTACCCAAGCACTTGCAAGCTCGGGATATGTTTATTGAGTTAGATGTAATTGGTGCGGTCTTGGGTGTTGCTGGCCTGGTGCTGATAAACATCGCATGGAATCAAGCGCCAGTTGTGGGATGGTCAACCGCCTATGTCTACGTACTCCTCATTGTTGGCGCTCTTCTCCTTGTCGGATTCATCTTCTACGAAATGAAACTGGCTCCCAAACCGCTCATTCCATTTCATGCGCTGAATCCCGACGTATCTTTCATCCTCGGATGCGTGGCCTGCGGCTGGGCCAGTTTTGGGATTTGGATTTTCTACTTGTGGCGGTTTTTGGAGAAGATCCGTGGCCTGACACCGCTACTTGTATCCGCCCAATTCGTGCCAGCAGCACCATCCGGATTGACCGCTGCCTTTGTGACCGGTTTTCTGATGAGTAAAATGCGACCAGGATGGATAATGCTTTTCGCCATGACGGGGTTCACCGTAGGAAGTATTCTTTTCGCGATTTCACCGATTGACCAGACATACTGGGCACTTACATTTGTTTGCATTTTGATTATGCCGTGGGGAATGGACATGTCCTTTCCTGCAGCAACTGTAATACTGTCTGACGCAGTCGGGCGGCGGCATCAAGGGATAGCAGCATCTTTGGTGACAACTGTTGTGAATTATAGTATATCCATTGGCCTCGGATTTGCTGGAACGGTTGAAGTTCACGTCAATAGTGGAGGCCAGACATTCAACGACACCCTCAAGGGATATCGCGGGGCATCTTACATGGGCATTGGACTCGGTGTTCTCGGGATAGTGCTTAGTTTAGTGTATCTGGTGAAAAGTGCTAGACGTCCCAGCCTGGTGAAATAGGCTTGCCATGATGACCCTGTATATCAGAATCTCACGCCCATTTGGACGGTATTTCCATATTATCGATATTGTGTGTAATTTTAATTTTAATTATAATGCAGATCTCAATAGATGAACACGAAGTCGTGCTTTAGGCTCCAAATATGGATGCCGAACCGTCAAAGTTGAAAGCTCAGAATACGAGCCATGATATATCATTGCTTGTTTGAATGTAATAAATTGTCGGCGCCAATATGAGGGCTAGCAAGTTGCTTGATCGCCCCCATTAGCCGTAAGAAGTAAAAACTTGATACAAAAAAGTAGCCAAAATCAATAACGGTGGTAAAACGTACGAATTGTGAACGACAGGCGATTGTGAGAAGTCACGTGATATATATGGAGCCATGGGCTCCAGCCTTTCCCCCAGATGTCGTCCATGGTGGTGCAAATGCTAGAGCCAGGGAACGCCGACGATATCTATGTAGATAAATCACGTTTAATCATCCATTGAACAGTTGAAGAGGAAGAAGATGATGGATATTCAGTCACAAAGGAAAGTTTGATTTCAGCTCAAGGGCTAAATATAGATAGTGTCTATTTGTCGAATACCTCGTCCTCGCTCCAATAGTATACACAACCCGACACACATGCATACACAAAAAAATCCCATTACGTCTAATCCTTCCACTTTTGAAATCGCTTAGAGACTGTACATCTAGTCGGTAGCCTCGGCGCGACCGGCCTTGGAGTTCAAATACTCATTTCTGAGCGTAACAGTCAGCATCAAAGTTATTCCAGCAGCCATATATTTGACGCATAAATGGCCGGGTATGCAATGTATTCTAGGGGACCATACCGTTCAATGGCCCAGTCCATGAGGGAGTACGCAACGACGAAGGGGGGTACAACGTAGAGTACTTGGTGACGGAAGCGGCGGAAGGTGTTGAAGATGGCGGTGTGCCAGAAGTTAGGGAACAAACGTTGGCGGTTAGGCGACAAGGTGTAGGATGCAATACCCTTTTGAGGGAAGTAGTCTAGGAGTAGCCATAGCGTGTTAGCGTTGTTCAGTGTTGCAAGTCGGTAACCGCAGCCGCAACAGCATCCGTTGCGAGTCGTCATGGAGTCGGCGGCGCTCATTTAACATTCCAACAGTCGAAAGAACAGGAGCTCTTTCTACTATGACAGAGGAGCAAGAGAAACATACTGGCATCACCCCATGTACCAACCCAGCTACCGAGTAAAAGAAGTCAGATTAGCATATTCATATCCCGAATCGCACAGATTTTCATCGGCACTGGTAGAAGTGGACGATGAGAGAGGGGAGACATACTGTCCGTGTTTGGGATCGAGACCGCCACCCATTGCGAAGAGGCTGTGATATAGAGATCAATTGCAAGGGAATAGAAAATGCGACGAGTCGAAGCGAACGTCTTTCTCTCTCGACGACTGTTGTCACTTGCCGGTGTTCGCCAGTCCAGCAGCCTAACCGCGTTCGGGGGTCAAGAGGTGCATCACGTGATAGTACTGCAATGGACCGCTGCTGATTGGCCGGCTATCGGGAAATGTAGGAACCGCTTGGCTGGCCAGCTTAGTTTGTTCGAAGGGGCAAACAGTGCAAACATCCGCTGCATTATTGATTATTGTTTATGGTCTTCCACAAGAATGCAATTAATTATTCATAACGAGATAACTAGCGAGCATCGCGCGTATAGCCCAGGGTTTCACGGTAGTGAAAAATACGCCTTGCACTCGGGTTTTTCTGTTGATGACCTGCAGGGCCGGCTGAAGAATGGCGTTGTGAATTGAGATCGTCTCGGAAACTTGATGACTGAGATCTGGACAACGCGCCACACGCTAGCTGGTAAATGTACATCGGAGAATGCATGAACCAGTAAGCAGGAAATAACCTGTGGTTTTTGTATGTCGGCCCGACGGTCTCGTCGGCGAGACCGGCATTAGTGTTGCGCGTCTGCCCTGCATGGCCAATGATGCACTCGCACTGAAGTAAAGAGTCGAGGCACATACTAAGTGTAGATGCATGCATATGCATATGAACAGCGACTCATGTGAGCAAATCAGCCAGCCACCTGACTCTACTTGTATTTTCGCCTGTACAAATTTTCTCTTCCCTCCTTTCTCCCGCATAGCAGAGTGAGCAGATATTTCATACTGGGGCTGTGCTTCACTAAGCAATGAAACAACAGCCTATGACAACACAGAATGTGTTCTAATACAGAAATGAAGTACATTACACAGTAATAACGGCACTTACTAGTGGGTGATGCTAAGGTATATGGATATTCAGTAAAGACGGCTGATTGCTAGTGGGATAATGCACTGCTGAGGTGGCAGGCATGTGTCAGCTGGCAAGAACATGTTGATATCGTACGAAATAGATGGTGTGAACAGGTGTATTGTGGCTTGCGCAGTCTAGGTAATGTTGAGATTCTGTGAATGATTTTATGGGTATAAAGCTGCCCCGAGAACCCGACAAAAGACCCTCACCAGGATCCATGTGTATATCTCAGGAATATCAACACAATGTCAGCCTGCCTATTAGAAACACAGATAAACCCTGTTGTCGCTACTATCAAAGCGAGGGGAAATGCGAACTCACCTGCCGATGGCGGACCATACGATGACAAAGAACCATATCCCGAAAAGCTACCCGAAAAGATTGGCTTCTGGAGTCTAAGGTTACCAGTCAAACAGCAACAAGATATACGTGCAACACCTTATTCCGGATACGCGGAAGCTCGCACTTTACTACCGGATCAGACCAAAACCAGCTGGGAACATATCTTGGAAATTGGGGTTGACAAACTCAACACAGTTTTTAAGGAGGTCGAGGATCCGACCGCTGTAACCTCCAGGAGTGCAGTTGCTGGCATTGTGCTTTCGCCTGATCTTCAGGTCTGGCGTGAAGAGCAACATAGGGCGGGTCGGATCCTTCCTTCTAAAGGATATGGATTGACGCGAACCTCAAATACAGTAATTGAAGCTCTCGGTATTGGGGACTTGCCACCACCACTCCTTACGAATGCTGCTCTATTCGGGTCAGGGATTGCGAATTTCCTTATTGGCGCAATTGATTCCAAGGTGTTACTGTCGAATTACTGCGTTGACATGGGATTCTTTTATGAGCATGGCTACGATAAAGTCTTTCCAGAGTATGAGCCTATTATTAGATGGGCAGCAACAGATCGTTACGCCATGGCAACCGCTGGCGGTACGGAGCGCAGAGTTGCAGCGGAGATGGGACTCGAATACATACGGAAAAAGATCTCGTTAGAAGATGGCTCTGTAAGAAACCTGTCCAACAAGACGGCCAAAATGACGAGGAAAGAAGCAATAGCAGTCAATGTCTGCGAGTGCAGTCTTCTTGGAATGGCTGCCGACATGATAGCACAGGGCCACGATAAAGGAACTATTATTAATGATTTTGCATTTGGGTCGCCCGGTACTGATGTGATTGACGTTGGGTCCGATATTCACAACTCTGAACTGTTCAACAGCTTTCTTAATACAGGAGATGTTACGAGCAGCGGGGTTGTCACAGAGGAATCTCTGAGGCGGGTATACGACGCTTACGCGCATAGTTGTGCCCGCATGTTTACAGAGCGGTGGTCGGATCCAGGAGCAAAGATGTGTTCTATGCTATTTACATGGCACATCCAAAACAACCGGCACGAGTTTCTTCGGCGGGCTGTCCTTGGTTACCCTAAAGTGCGTAGCGAACATACCCTTGGTCAGAGGGAAGCCGACATTGACGAAGTTTTCGACGAAGAACTACATACAACAGGGTTCAGTCGACCTCTTGTCAATGCCTGCAATGGTGATGTAATTTGTGATCATGTCCATGAACAGTTCCAGAAGTCTGGCGGAAACCCGTTACTGAAAGAGCTGTGGTTCTATCTCAGCGAAGGACCATTGCAGTACGCTTCTTCAGGGGTCGTGGATGCCATTAAGGAGGGCCAACTTGCGGAGGGTTCAAGAATTTCAATGGCGAGAGCATACGCAGGCGGAATGGTGGACGACCTGGTTTGGTTTCTAGCCCATGCGAGTCAGCACGCATGGCAAGTCAATTATCTTTTCGAGGCTGCCATGTTTGGAAGTCTCCTTGATGACGGTGGTTTGGAAGGGAAGCTAGATAGATTCACGTAGACGTGAAATTCATTCAATCAATAATTAATCAGGGAAGCATGTCTTGGACTCAGTGTTAGAGACGATCGTGTTGAACATCCTAGGCATCCATATTCTATTTCGGGGTGTGTCAATCATATATATGTAATTGCAGCTCATTGGGCGGCATCGGCAAGCTTAAGCGGCGCTTGCTATTTTTGCGTGCGGCTCCAGGCTTAGCCACCCTTGCGGGGATGCCTATTGCTTGCTTGCATTGAACCTGCTTCAGGCTGCTATTTATTTTCGCATTTATTTAGTTCCGCATGCTCCGGTAGTTTCCTCCGAACATTCAATAAAAATTCTGCAATTATTGTCTATTTACGTCAATCGTCAGTTCGAATCAACTTCTTAACAGTTTATCTCGCAATCCGTTTGAAACATGAACGGAAACAATAAATACGGCGATGCCGACCTAGAACGAGGACAGGATAGCTATGGTAAGGCCGAAGGAGTCAGTCCCCACTACTGGATTTTTCTGACCACAGATACAGAGTTGAAAGAGAACTATAATTCCACCACAAGGGAGATTTTAGACCAATGTCGACGAATCAATACGGAGATTGCGAAGCTGCGCCAGAAGCGCGAAAGACAGCTTCACACTGCACAACAAGCGGTGCTCGACTCTAGCAACGGTGCCACCGACCGTCAAACTCGTCGTAGTCTAGACATCATAGAAAGCGAAATAATGCAGATGCTGCAGCAGACTAGGAGTTTTTTGAATGATTTGAAGGAGAATCTGCAACGGAACCACGATTCTTCTACTATGGCAGGCGTGTCAACTTTGACTTATCCTCAAGTCGGCTTGGTGGGCCGGAATTTGGAGGAAGAGGTTCAGCAGTTACGGAAGTCACAAGTTGAATTTGATCGTACGCTGAGGGACCAAGTGCGTAGACGATACGAGATTGCCAATTCGACAGCAACGAGTCAAGAGATTGATTCCAGTGTTGAAAATGTCATGAGTGGCCAGATTCAAGTATTCCAGGTATGAATGGTGATATGATTTTTGTTGACCAAGAAGCTAATAATGCGTCTAGTCAACCCAGGGTGGCCGAAGACAGGGGGCAATGGGCACACATCTAGCAGTGGTCGACAGATCGGCAGCTATTCGAAAAATTGAAGATGATTTGATTTCTCTAAGCCATGTTTCGCAAGAAGTTTCCGAGCTTGTCCAGCGACAAGAGCCTATGATCGAGGAAATCGACAAGAATGCGCAGGTCACCCAGGAAAACATAGTAAAAGCCAATGACAACCTTATCAAAGCGATTTTCAGTGCAAAGAATGCGAGGAGGTATAAGTGGTACATACTTTTGGTTTGCCGTAAGTTTGCTCTTTTCCTTTGACTTCTGAAGGAAAGACTGACTGTTGTAGTGACAATCCTGGCAGTTGTTATAGCAGTGCCAGTCGCCTGGTGTGAGGTCAACCATGCTTGCGGTGCAAAGTAACCATTCGTGACGAATTAATCGGCTATTCAACCCGACTTTGATCATGTTATTTATCTTTTTGCACTATTTGATACACCTTTTTGGAGTGGAACTGTCATGTTACCATGATCCTTTGACGACCATAATACTATACTTTTGCTTAATGCTTAATGCTTAATGCTTGATAATGGAGTAGAAAACTCTAGAGAAATTTTCTTTTATACATTACTGCATATCTGCAACGGAAGAGTGAAGATAGAAGAGTAAAGGCACTTATATTCTATCGTTGCTTCATTGATAGATCATTAAATAGCTAGATATGAAACAAGACTATTGGTGGAAGGTATTTACATGCACTCATTTCCAGTATATTCAAGTATCGGAAACCTTTAGAACAGCAATTCTCCACATGAACCACTACTGAACGACAAACGATTCTGAATGACTTTTATACAGTTTACTAGAATCCAGAACCTCACCAGTTGAGGAGCGAATGAAATCAATTTGCAAGTGCTGCAAGTCAATGAACTTGATTGTTGCGTAGCTGAAATCTTCCGCATATGCAAATGCAGTATACGAAGGCTCTGATCCCACAGACGTAGGACCTTCGATATTTCCAGCGCCTCCAGCGACGATGTACATGGGAGCTGTGGGATCATTCAACCCCTTGGGATCGGCAGTGTTATTGTACACTGGTTGAAAGCGCTGAGAGTTGTGTTGGTGACCGAAAACGCCGAGGTCCACACCGTACTTATTGAACAGGCCTTCAAATGCCGTTTGACAAGATGTGCATGCGCCTGTACCGGTGGTGTACCAGGGGCGATGGCCAGCGACGATGACCCAGGGTGTTACACTGCGATCAACACTAGCAAGATCCGCTTCCAGAAAATCCAGCTGTTGATTGGGCTGACCGAAGGGTCCGCCACCCAGGTGCGATGAGCCGCTTTGTGTATCTGGGGCATTAGGAAAGTCGGTCTCGGTATTGATCATGGTGATGTGTACCATTCCGTATTCAAAGGAATACCAGAATGGTGGTTGGGCTAGTGACTTAGCCTGCTGTGCAAGTGTCTGGGCGGTTTTGTTGGAGGATGATGAAGCAAATGAGGTGGGCATCGTGTTTCCAAATCGGTGGAGAAAATCGGTGAAATTCTTCTGGCCCTCAGGACAGAGCCCTGCAGTGTAGGGGATTTCCTCACAAGCAGCTTCATGGTTTCCCGGGCTGGCCATATAGGGCTTGAGGCCGGAGATCGGGGCTAGCTGGTCATAGAATTGCTCAAGAATGGCCTGGTAGGCATTCTTGCCGTCCAAAAGGTTTTGAATCTTGAGCTCCCAGTCATCAGCATAAGCAAAGTCACCCGGGTGGATGATGAGCTCGTAGTCATCCACAGTCTGGGCAAGACGATAGATGGTTGTATGATTCAAAACTGGATTGACCGATGGGATTTTGTCCTTCTTCGAGGCATTATCCGAAACCGTGAATCCGTCGGGTCCGTACACACCCAAGTCAATCACAACATCCAAGCTGAACGAGGTCTTGTCGCCTGGTGTGCGTGGGCTGAAGAAATGGTCAATGGTAGAGTTCCCCGATACGATTTTGTAGTAATAGGTTGTCGCCGGGGTCAGGCCGGTGAGCGTGACAGCGTTCGAGTATGTGCGCGACGTCGCGTACGTGGTAGAAATGGTCGAACACACTTGTGAATCTAGGCTATCGGCAGACGTGCCATATTCAACACAAGATTGATTAAGCTGGGTGTATGTGTTCCAACCGACCGAGACAGCTTTTTCTAATTAGCTCAACTTGTCAAAACGAAAGGCCGAGGCACATGGAGTACTCACCAGTGGGACCGACCACTGCAAGGCGCTGTTGGTAGGGAGTGGTCAAGTCTTTCGGAATAGTTGGATATTGATAGGCTAGCACGCTCGCAGCCAGCGCCGGCAGAGCCGTGACCAAGGCAAAGGAGCTGATCATAGCAACAGATTCGATGCTAATCAGTCAGAGCGCAATTTATTGCCAGGCAGTCTGATCGTATACATGGACTGATGCTTGAGGGCGGGGGACGCCTCTAGAAATATGACAAGAGCAGCAAAAAATGTCCAGCACGTGGGCTGAGCTTCCACGACTGATCGTCGCGGCGATTGCACTAAAACAGTGTGATCCGTCGTCTAATTAACACTGCCTAAGGGGAAGTAGTATAGTAATGAAGTAGCATTGGTGCATTTCTAATACGCGGCCAACCAGGGGTGCGATGGATGATTTAGGCAGGTCAAAGAGCTTTCCAGGCGGGGCTCCGGGCTGCTGGCCCCCAACTTCGGCGGCTTAACTGGCGGCAGGCCTGCACGTGCGACAGCAGGGTCGTTCTGGAAGGCCTTGAAGCCAATCCCGAAACCAATCCCGAGATCGTGTACAGGTCTCAAGTGAATTAATACGCCCCGAGAGCCGAAGCTTAGTAGTAACTAGGCCCGGAGTGTGGCACGGATAGGGTTAAGACTGCATCATTTAACCTTTGCCGGATCTGCGTCTGATCTTGGCCTACATAACATTATCGGACTCTATTTATTATTATTATTACATGGCTTATGACCTGCCGTGGCCTGGATTTGGCGGCTGTCTCGACGTCATTGGCCCATGTCTAGATGACTCTGTGCTAATAGCCAGGCATACAGTGAAATGCGGTCAAATGCGTGGAAGAACCTGTAGTGACCAACGGTTTATCTCTATTGTATGCATGGTAACGCCACCGAACGCTCTATTTTAAGACCTGATGGGAATACTTCGCGTACAAATCGGGATACCATCGTTGTCCCACATCGGGATGGCTGAGGACTCGGTTCCGCAAATGAGCCTCCCCAAACTGTGCGTTATGTTAATTGGTCATCATGCTTGAGATGCTGTTGGTCAACTCACACACGAATAGAGAGGAGAAAGGAATTCACTAGGAACATCAACTGCTCGTTTGCGTGTGTCGTCCGAGATGGGGATGCTGCGAACAATGTGCGAAGCAGAACGTTCAAGTTCATCTAACGTGAGGTCTAAGCGTACCCCGAGAAAGAAGGGAATGCTGTATCGGGTCTTGTGCGTGGGTGCCTGAAGCTATCTTTAATATGCCAAACTAAACGACGAGCTCTTCGCAACTCACAAGGACGCGGTGTGTGGTTGCTGGGCAAGCGCCACCAGTGATTGCCTCGAAGCCCTGCTGGATATTGACTACTAGACTTCCATCAACTGGGGGAGCATCGATCCACTCGCCGTTCTTATTAAGGACCTGCAATCCGCCAGTGTCATCCTGGGAAAGAAAAGTGAAGAGTCCCGCAGAATCTTTGTGCGGTCCAACCCCCTGGGAATGGGGAGCGACTGGGGGATATTTGACAAATTTCAACCGACTCATATTTCCTTTAAACCCGTCGAATGTACCACGAGGCAGATCGAGACATTCTGCGACAAGATGTACAAACTCATTAGCCAAGACTGTGATTTCACGGATATACTCCTCGATGATATCTTCGGCTCCGGCAATATCCGGATACTGTACTCAAGCTGTTACTCTCTCTTTCATATACGACCATATATATTTCAGAAGTTCCAATAAATACTGACCTGATTTGGACCTTCTAATCGCTCCCAGGACCCATTACCGTTGGCGGAGCGTGTTATTCCAGGAGTACCAAAGTCATATTGCTAGGAGGCATCAGTAGGAGTGAGGTCCTACAGGTCTAGTTAACGTCATATCAGCGTACCTCGCGATAGTCTTGCTTCGAGGCGGTCTTTTCCGCTCCTAAGCGCGTGTATCCTAGGAAGGACTCTGAATTGATCATGTTGCATTTCTCTTTGGCCTTGACTGGCAAGTCAAAAAACTCTGGCAAGCGCGAATGAGTGAGGCGAATCAATTGCTATGTGATCCCATCGTTAACCACGACTCAATTCTCTAATGCACCTTTTAGATGGAGATCCGTGCCTCTAAGCCCGTATTCACTAGATAGAGAAACCCCACTACAAAAATGGCCTCCCTCAGCCTGGCCAATTCCTCTTTCTTCGTTGCCGGGTTCTTAAGCCGTGCAAAGTCCACGGTCGGGACCGTGGAGAAGCTTTCCATATGATTAATTTCAACTGTGCTCATGCTCTACCGGTAGACTCGAGCTGAAGGAAGAAGAGTAAGCTGTAGGAGAAGGTCGACGGGGCGATTGCGCCTTATTATAGCCCGATCTCGTTCCATGTCATGTGATCACTCCGAGATCGCAGTATAATTACTCCCGCATAACTCTACACACCCATATATAGCTGAACAGTGACAACCTGATGTATTGATGCTTCAGTCTTTGTCAATCAACTCAGAGTTCTTTATCTGGATAATGGCCATGCGATATGGCGAAAATCCGGACATACCTGTCTACTGTCAAAGTACTAGAACTATTTGTAGGCAAGCTTGGCGGTTAACACGAGGAGAAATTTTGTCATTGAGAGAAATTGCTTTCAAATGGCCTTGTCAAACTCATTTACTTGCAGTACTTGGCTGCAACAGGCAAAAGGTTCGACTGGAGAAGAATACTGACTGCATTGAACATCTCGACTGTTTGGAATAAGATTTTAATCATAATAATTATGTTCTCTCAGCTCTCACTCTTTGACTCGAATATCTATCGGAAAGAATTACCGCAATCAAGCTTCCCTGCTCTTTTTAGTAGATTTGGGGTGTAATGAGATGCCAAAAGAGGAAGAAGAGGAAAGGGGGAAAGGGACAGCAATGAAAACAGTACCGGTTTTAACAAAGGTAGGAAGGCAAGCAATATCCAAATATCCAAAAGCAGTCTTACCAATGACAGATCAAGCCCTGCTGTAACCCCCACGTCCCACACAGGCCTCGGCACTTGGGAAGATGTATTCACGGTGCGGTCCGTTCCCGTGTTGATTATGGTATTAAAAAAACTTGATTTTTCAACACACTCTCGTATATCAACAAGCTTCTTATCGTCTGATATGATCTTATAGATCAGCGTCGTGTTTGAATTTTTGGAGACGTTGAGGGTAAGATTTTTCTTGCTCCCGTTCTTGCCCTCGACAGCAGCGACGTTTTGCAACCGAATCTCAAATTGACAAGTCCAGGACCTGAGAGAAATCTCTAGCATCTCCATAGTATCGCCACCTGGCAGCACCATTCTCCAGTGTCTGCCTTACATTGAGTGTACCGCAACGAACTTCAAACAAAGGTAAACCTGAAGCATCCCGGAATTGCGGCGGTCCTCGTAACCTCATCCAGTAACTTGGAAATCTGTATTATTGTTTAGATAGTCTTGATTGTGTAATCTTCAGAGGAGTTGCAGTAACATATCGGATAAACACAGAGAACCGTTTCGGATTGGGTGGTTTGGTCGGTTCGGAGAGCGATTATAAGGTGGGCTCTCGGTCTCTCTCCTAGGCCATCATGATCCCATTATGCGGATACATTGCACGTAATAACGTAGTGAGTTACTTAAACAAAAATACGTGTGGAGTTTGAGGTCAAAGGCAAACAGCCCCACAGGGTTACGTTCTGTTTAGTTAGTCGTCTGATTAGCCCTTTACTATTAGATACCCTTTAGTATTCGGTAGTGATCGACAACATGCAGATGTATGTACGATATTGTAGAGCATAGTGAATGAGAGAATAAATTCAAAAATTAGTGCCGGAAACGGGTCTTATTCACGGATTTTGAGGTGAGGTATTGGTAGCCGCAACTACAGCCGCTACATGTCAGGCCTTTCTGCTACTCGGTTACGACCAGGGTAGGATTACTGTCTATAGACAAAAGATTCGTAGCTTATTTTTAATTCACTTCTCTTAGTTTACAGGTGTCATGCCCGGGATAATTGGGGCGAATAATGGATTTGGTCAGGACCTCAGTCATCTGGGTCCTGACATGCAGGGTAAAATAACAGCATTTTATGCTATTGACTGTGTGGTTGGTTCAGTAATATGCTACACATTGGCGAGAATAGCGGTCGACGGACAATGTTTATAGCTAGAGGTTCTATAATGATCATAGGCATCGTTATATTATCGTCCACCTAAACAGTAGCGCAGCTAATCGTATTGGAAATGGCATGAACTTCTCAATAGCTCTGGTTTATCAGAGCTAATGTTCGCTTGCAATCAACCGTGGTGCCTTGTTAACATTACAAGGCACGGTCATTGTAACTGGTAAGCCGTAGAACAACTATGGGTGCTTTAGTATACTGATCAAAATGATGGCATTGAGTGCTAGGTAAAGGATTATCTAAGTGAAGCATATGTGGGCTTTGCAAGCGGATGTTGTGCAGCTGAGTGTCTGAGCCTCTCAATAGAGACCATTAACCAATGCTTTCCGACGCAGAAAACATTGGTTGGCGCACACTTCTGTATAATCTTCGCAGTTCTTAATGCTGCTTTCATTCCAATTGTGTATTGCTTCTACTTTGAAACGAATATCGAGCAAGAAGACATTCTTCTTTTTGCTGAGGACTGAACGAGGTGTGCTTTCGTCCAAAAGCAGAACTGTTACCACTCATCAACATGCTGAGGAGGCATTTAATGAGAAGATGATTGAACAGAGGGAAGTGGAAAATGTGGCTAAACTACCAGAACCTCCACTCGATTAACGTGATCAAACCAATGTCAATACCTCCTAGAATAACCTTGGCACTTACGTACACGTATTTGTGGCATTCTGAGACCCTTCCAAAGGATGGACCACTGGAGACCTTCAATAAGTGTCAGAATAACTGACTACCGATGATTTCGGCGATCCCAAACAACGGAATTACCATCAACAACGCGACAACCAAACTGGCAAGCGAAATATTCAAAAATTCTGGTGCCTAACCCTTTGATGACAAATCGATGTATAAAGTCGCCTGTAAATATGTCTGGGAAAACTCAGGGTTGTCTTCCAATCTACCTTATCCCGTTTTGTTGTTGAGTAGTTAGGTCCGATCGAGCGGGGCTCTCAATCCCTCTCTGTCTGCTTTCTAGGATTAGTGATGCCTACATATGTAGATCTGGATTGACACGTATATTTTATCTTAGACAGCCACAATACTCGGAAATCCGCTTACTATTCAAAGAGAAGAAGAATAAAAAAAACTTTGTCATCATCAACCATGCCTCCAAGCACGCTGCCAAAAATACTACTTCTTTGCATGGAGGAAAGAGACATCAAACACTCGAGCAAGCTCTTCACACTACGTGGCCCATACATGCGCAATCTTTTAGAACCAACACTATCAACGAGAATCTGAGAAGTCTTCCTAAAGAGCATCAATTCGATTTGATCGTGTCTATCGCTAATTCTAACTGGATTTTAGGTGGAGGATTCGACGATGCCATATCCCGCACCTTTTGTCTTCCCAAACATGATTACCGGTCCCTAACTGACGCTGCACAGCGCAAAATGTACGATCAATGGCGTGGATTTTCACCGCCAGGTACATACACAATAGTGACACTACCTCCTGAGTTGCAAGCCACGAATCAACGGGTTTGCAAATATCTAGCGCTCTGTCCTACTATGAGGAGTCCTAGTGCTGCAAACTGGAACCGTGATGTGGTATATGAGAGTATATGGAGTTTGCTGTGTGAGGTTGATCGATGGAATAGTAATAATACCGATGACCGACTCACAAGAGATGGAAAAATCAATAGAATATTAATGACTCCCCTCGCAACCGGGACAGGTGGTGTGAGTACGGAAAGGTGGGCGAAACAGCTTGTGCTTGCACTAAAACACTTCTCGGATGCATTGGAAAATCCTCAACGGTGGAGGAATCTAGAGTGGGCTGGCCTATACCATGAGGTCACAGAAGTTGAGAGGACGTGGGTTGGTAGTTGGCTTTTTCCATAGTCAACTTCAGTGCCAGTGTCAGTTAAAGCCTAATGTTAGACGGTCTCAGTGTAGCTTCAAAAATAAACTACGGGATATCCGTTTTTCAAGTGAGTGGTGAACCAGGAATGAAATTAATTGAAAGGCCGAAAGGAAAATTATTGGGGAAAATTATTGGGAATTTACTGGCACATTCATGAAATCCCGGTAGTAATAAGTATACCGGTGTAGGAGATTTTGCGCCTATTCCACTAGTATTTGTGACAGTCCTGTGGCATGGGTCAATTACTCATTTAACATACTCGCATCATACTATCTCTTGGGCCAGAACTCCATTGGTCGAAAACTTGAAACCATTATTACTAATTTTCCAACTAGTAAGGACAAGGCAAAACCTACGGCAAATTTGGCCGAAGCTAAGCCAGGAATATCTCACGGCCATATTATTATTAGTTTCATGCCAACCATTGATTTTCTCCAAGTCAAACTTCCGCGGTCGTGGCTTTTTGTACCCCTGGCGAAATGAACCAGATGGAAATGCCGAATTCTAAAGCCGAATTGCCGGCCATTTTGTTCTGCTCGATATGTGACAAGCCTTTCTCCAAGGGTGTGTGCTCAATCTCCCTTCCAACGTCGCATCTGCAAGCCTGCATGAAAGAGGAAAGATTGTATCAAGGTAGATTGACTTGGATAGAGAATAGAAGCGCAATGGAAACGACATATCGCATATTGCCGAAAAGCGACTGGGCGGACGCGTCCGCGATCGTGTCGCGCGTGTAACCAATCAAAAATAAAATGTGATTTCCAGCCTCGGTGCAACCAATGCAAGCGCAAGGGTATTCAGTGCATATACGATCAGAATAGCACGAAAAAAGCCCAGCAAAAATGCAAGAAAGGTGTCAATGACGAAGCTAATCTTGACCACGTCCGCAGCCCTGATCCTGGACGAGCCCCATTAGAGTTGGCTTTCTCAGACTTAGAGCCTTTCTCAAGCCATTCTAACTCCGGCATATTGCCAGTAGAAACAACTAGTGAAGTCCTTCGAGGTGGATTTCACGGAGACATTCTCCATAAAAAGCGCCCCACAAATCTATTTACGTTTGATAAGTTCGCAAGGAGAGCTGGGAATGATGTTTTGGGCGAAACCGACTGGTTGGTTTCTGATGAGGTATATCCAGAAATATCTCAGCATGAGTTCTTTAGCAACCAACAACGGAACATGGAGGCATTATATCTCGGAAACACTGCTTCTGTTTTTAATGAGTTATCACCCTTCTTGGCCTCGACAGAAATTGTTGGTCGCAACTTCACAAAGAACAGATTCAGCTCAACCAGCCAACTTTATGCCAATATGATCATTGATATGATTCGCACATATCCTCAGATGATGATTCGGCGAGAGACATTCCCACCTTTTGTGCATCCTCACTTAGAAAATGATGCACATGGTGAAGGATTACCATTTCCCCTGGAGAATTGTATGGGCATTTCCCACCTATTTGCGTTGAGAGATACGGAAAGTCAGTCATTTCCTTGGTCGATCGTTCTGACTGAGATGAATAGTTTCATCAACAAGGTAATTTGCTTATCCTTGTTCTAATTCATTATTCTTACATAAATCGTTGACAATTACATCGTAGTTTGCAGTCTTGTCAAAGAACGAGGCACTCGCCGCTTTGGAAGCATCCCTGATGTATCTCATCATGCGAGCAACGTCGCGAGGTAGTGCAGCGCAGGACTCAATGGAAGATACTGAAATGATCCTTATTCATCAGGTAAGTTAATTTAGAACCCAGAGCCTTCCCAACCCAATATGTCTAAAGGAACTAGAATGAGTATAAGCTAATGAACTCTAAAGACTATTTGCAAGCGAGCTATTGAGCTATCCGATGGATTTAACACTACAGAAATGGCAATGGCCAACCGTAAATGGAAAGAATGGATTTTCAGGGAGTCCTGCCGAAGGTGAGTATTGTCTTGATCCTGACATACCTATTCCAAGTTATTGAAATATGACACAGGGTTGTATGTGTATGGTTCGCCATCAGCCTAGTATTCTGTGTTCAAGCTGGGATTCCATGTCATATGACAAGCGCCTTTCGAGAAATGGCTCTTCCGTCAACAAAGACAGAATGGGAGGCGAGTAACGAAACCCAATGGCAGGCAGAGTACAAATCGGCCGAAGCACGAAGATCTCAACTAAGTCGATTCGCCGATTTATTAAGTGCGTATGAGATTGGTGATATTGCGAAATTGAATAGCTGGAATGCTGGTATTGATAATCTAGGGATCCTTCTAAACCTTGCTCTCCATGTGGTAGCGCAAAGGTGAAGATATAAAAATAATGATTTAAAGCTATGCTATAATCACGTCAAATCCAAAGAAATATTACGACTACCATGGTAATTCTGCCCCATTATATTGATTAGGGCCTTCTTTTTGCTCCCATCCCTCAACGTGGATATTGAAGAATTTACCGTTATCCTTTTCGGTCTTGTTGTGTACAATATTCAAGGTTGCCCTGGCTCCGACCTCAACAGGGAGGTCTGCTGCCTCGCCGCCCAGCTCCGTCTTTAACCACTATATAGTAATTCAACTGGTCAGACGTTATTATTCATGTTTGATTTTCATTGATAAAATAACGAAATACTCACACCTGGGCTAACTGCAATGAAGATAAACCCATCCTTGCCATGCTCAAGTGCATACTGCATTGTCAACATATTCAATGCCGCTTTGGTGATTTTGTAGGCTGGCGTCAACAGATGCATATAATTGCCCGAACTAGTGATAGATCCCACAGAAGTCGAGCTGTATTTCACAGTTTGTCAGAAAGTGGCGGAGCGATGGTTATGGCATTATATCAACCTACATATTTACAATCTTTTTGGTTTTCCCTTTTCTAAGTAGCGGTAGGAAGGCCCGTGTGATATTATGAACACTAGTGACATTCACATTGAACACTTCTCCGAGGTCATCCCTACAGCAAGCACATTAGTGAACAAGAGTCAAACTGACAGTCGGTAACAACTTACATAGAGGTCACACCACCAGGTGTCCATGGCATCACCCCTGCATTGTTAATGAGAATATCGAGCCCCTTGCCGTGCAAGTCTCTCTCAACTTGTGCCGTGGCCTGTTTTAAGGTCTCGTTGTCGGTTACATCGAGTTTGACAAATTGAATTCGGCCGGGATGTTGTTTTATAATTTCCCTAAGCTTAGGTGAGTTGTCTTGCCTTGCGGTGGCAAACACCTTTCCAACTTGTGAAGAAGGAAAGGACGCCAAAAGAGCCACCAGTGAAAGGCCGATACCACGAGAAGCGCCTGTGATCAAATACGTTGCCATTTGTTTAGTTTGTCTTTAGGGTACCGTATACTATACGAGGATTGCTGAGATAGGCAAGGTCAGCCTAATTGATGCGGTGTCCTGGTTGCAAGATTGAACTTTTGCTATCCCAGGTCTCATCAATTGATCTTATATAGGTATTACTTTGTACACTTTTCCACTACTGGCTTACAAATGCAGCTTGTTTTGGGGATTAAGAATACTACACATAAGGGCCGGCCACAAAACCGAATAACGCCGAGCCCACATATCATCTATCAGATATACTTGCTAAGGCTTAATAATGATTTTTTGAGGTAGGCACGTATAATTTAGAAATCACCGGAGATAAAAGCTACAGCCAAATCCCAGCATGTTATGTGAATGGCTGCCAGTATTCCAACACCGGCAAAATTGGCCATCTTCCCCCACAACAAGCAAGATCATGTGGGGAATTCTAGAGGGATCGGCAAAACTGTAATCACAATTAGCAATCTACAAAGATTGCCAATTGTCATTGCTACATAAAATCGAATAAAATCGATACAAATGCTGTATGCCTCCTATGTCTTGATTATGCAAATCTATTTTCACGTTATTGCGTCTTTCCATATTGGATGTCAGAGAAAGACTAGTTGCTGTATCACATTCGGATTGAAACATTAAAAGACACGTAAAACAGACAGCCCATCCTTGAATTACATCTCTTCGTGATAAATCTCTCAGACATTAAACAATTCGTAAATGATATCATGGCCGTTTAAAATAAACATATGTTTCCTTGTGATAATTGACAATCTCAAGGCATTTAAATCATTGATAACTAGTCTTTCTTCTTCCACTTTTTATTCATTACCTTCTCTCAGAGAGAACATCAAGTTATAAATGATGTACATGACAGCACCTCATATCAGCTCTTATAAGAAGGATAACTAAGCCAAGATATAGAATAAAAGTTTTTATTCATAGTATCAAACACATCACATCATGCTATAACGCTCTCATACCGAATTCATTTAGGGTCGCCTAATTGTGCTGTTATGCGATTTAGTTTTAGGCAAGTTAACCCAAGAAGTAAAATGAATGGTAGAAAAAGAGAAGAGAGATCTATAGATTCCATGGCTTTTCGACTACGTGCGAAAGTCAAAGCCTAACTGAAAATATTCTTATCCGAAGGACAACATTGAATGATTAGGAGCCAGATATCGCAGTCGCCTACTCGTCCATCACCAGGTTTCTGAGCTTCAATAACTCTTGCTGTTAAGCGCTCGTTTACGGTGGACTATATCGGCCTTAATGACATAATTCGGTATTTTACACCCTTACATAGTCGCACAGTGTATATTGCGGTTTTATATGGGAGTATCGATTTATATGAGGCAGGCCGCCACCCAGCGTTTACATATATATATATAGTAGGTCTATTTTTATATAATGGAGCTACGTAATTTTTATATCAATCGATAAGATATAGTACTGGGTGGGCTTTGTAAAATTAATTTATGGATTTATTGAAGTAATTACTTTATCTACTAATAATAGGTGCTGCTATCTAACTCTGCGTAGCGGCCTGCTTCATAAACATCCACCCTGCCATAACATTTGAAGGATCGACCTGCAATATAAATCAGCACCACCATATAAACGCTACATAGCGGCTTGTCTCATCAAAATCGGCCCTGCTATACAAAAGTTGATGCTGCTATATAAATGCTGTGCAGCGTTCTGCCATATAATAATACTATGTCTTAGTTTTGAATACATGGAAATATTAAAGTTACATGTATTAATAAAGCTTACTGATAGATTACGAATTATGTCGATAAGCGCTCTATAATCCACCGTTTCGTTTAGGGTATTCGTTTAGAAAATTTAACCTCCATATGTCACGACTGTACATCTAGGCTTGGGACTACATAAAAAAATGTCCAGGATCTAATACTGTTCCATTTATCTACATACTTTTAGCCCTATGATGTTAGAGGGTGCTCTTGTATCGTATGGGCCCATCTACGGGCTACTGTGTGGATTCGGTACTGAGATGCGATCTGCAAGCGAGAATTAACACTCAAAATAATTTACGTAATTAGTCGGAGGAAACTGTCTCAATTAATCATGTGAGAGTAGTAAATATGAATCAAGTATTTACAATCAATCTGGTGATGCAGTGCAATTGGACGAAAGTGTTTTCACATGGGTAGGTAGCCTTGCCTATTTTGATTCATAAGTGGTCGATCATTCAAAACGGCTTTTGCCCGCCTAGACCGTCCAATGGGAGCACATGTAAGAATTTAATCTGCGACATATACCCCGGTTTACACTTGAAATACACGTGAACATCGCAACGGTTGGACTTTCACATGGAGTTTAGTAGGCGGGGGAGATGGCTATGACTCAGTTAATCCAAAATTTGAAAAGAACAGAAAATTATACAAGAGATTTTGTCAGTTTTCAGTTTAGTTAAATCTTTAGTGCTTACTTTTATTACCATCTTTTTAGTGATATCCTCAAACATAATTCATCCTACTGTAATCTTGGGAACTGATATATGCACCCCAATACTTACTGCATACATCCAATTCATTTTTTTAATCTAGCTTGAAATTAATTTTCTTAATAAAATATTAATTTAAAATTGATATTTTTTGGCTTCTATAAAATTTTTTAATGCTTCCATTTTAAAGTAAATTTTACTAGTAAATTATTAGCAAAGCTGATTACACGCTATATCTAAAAGAAATTAGATAGGGTGCACGTGTCAGTTTCCATAATCGTTTCCAACGAGAGTTACTAATTACCGTCCCAACGGCGACGTAAAGATTCAACGTTCTCCTTGTGATTGAGGGGGGATTGATGTTTAAAGTCAAACTTCGGAATTTCATTTGTTTCAGTATCTCGTAATACGCATTCTCTAATAAGCCAGAGGTTTGGGGGGGACTATGAAATTACCATTTGACGGCTGTAACAATCTAATCTTTCTGTTCTTCTCGCTTTTCGCTTCCTATAATTAGTTGTGATACATCCTAGTCTTCGCTTATTCTCCAGACAAACTTACGGACGGACAACTTATCCATGATCTCACTTTCAAGCTTGAAAGCATGATGTCGCACCCAAATTTTCGATTGCCTACGGCTTTGCAGAGCGGTGGCTGCGCAGATCCTTGACTTTGGTCTAATCTCACCGAAAGGCCGAGGTAGGAAGGTTTCAGATAAAATACTAATCCGCATTCCTGACGCCTAAGTCAATTAGCTGAATCACGTTTGTGAGGATTTGGCTTGATCGTATTTTCTGTTGGCATCCATAACCACTGAATTACAAGCAGAACCAATGAGGGAAAGCCGTACACCGTAAGGGAAAGATGTGATTAGCGCATCGTATCATATTAATCTAGCCCACCTCATGCAAGAGACCTGGGAACCCTATGTCGCATTGAAACGGTAAATCTGACTGTCAAATGATCGACAACTGAACCCTGAAGGTGGCGTGTTTCAGAGAGTGCTTTGATTGGCAGCAACCGATCTAGTCGTTATGTTCTTACGCCTCAAGTTACAATCACGTTGAATAAGAGCGAATATCCATATGTTCAGGACCTTCAGGTGAATGCCACATGATCTTACCCGCCCACGATAACGTATGTGGATATCCACCATGGACCTGAAGTTTCACTCATCCCGCGCTTCGTAGCAAGTGCATCGTTGATGGCCGAGTAAGGCGAGGAGCAGTTATCATTCAGTCGGTCTAATAATGCGACACTGCGACGACGTGATAAATTCTTTCGGCTGGTTTCCTTTGACAATTCCCGATCGACATCATCCCGAGCAGTGTTCAACCACACTTGATTAGCGAACAATTGAATGGATTATCGGCTATCTTCTCGTACCTGGATGACCGTTACTCAACATCTAATTAGCCCGTCCGTCCACTGTCGAGAACAAAGAGGACAGACCAGTTCCTTATTTCTGGGGGTCTTTTTCGTTTACTAGGTTTGCTAATTCGTGCCAATGCTTTAGCGTGATCACGAGCGACGTATTTCATATGATATCTTAGATCCCCAGATACCAAGAAGAGGGAAGGAAGCAATCCCGCGATTCTCACAGTACTAGGGTCATTTTTACTCCCCACCATTTTTCCCTTGCTTGCTCTGCAATCCTGTATAAGTGATAGTCAATCAAGGTTGAATCCGTTAATTACCACTGCGATAAGAGCCGAGCTTGCACGTGAACTATTTCACGCCGGGAGGAACAGCCTAGGACTGAATTGACTGAGGCGTTGTTATAAGGCCCCCATTTTTGCGTGTTTTTACGCCATTTAATCCAATTTTCACGTTAATACAGTTAGAGTGGAATCTTAGGAGTAGCTTATTACTTGCACCATCATCTAGTGACCTACTAACCCAGGTTCACTTATCAGTAGCTGGAGAAGGGCATTGAAAATGACTGGGAGGATCGGCAGCAGTGGATTCTCAACGCCAATCTCAGCCGTGTTTATTCCCTGGCCAGAACTCTAATTGTCTAAACAGACAAAGAATTTCGCCAGGAGATCGACTCATTAATTGGCTTTCAAGCAGAACCCATACGAGACAACCCCCTTCAGCCACTATTCATTTGCCGCCAGAGCCATGGAAAAATAGTCCGACTAGGGCCACGGTCCCCCAATGGAAATCACATCTCTTCCACGAGGCAGGCCCAGGTCGCAGCTCGGTGGAGCAGACGAAGTTAGCACCGATGATCTAATAATACATAGCTTTAAGTTCTAACCTATTAATGCCGGCGCTAGGAACCCTAACAATATTGTGACCCACTATTGGGGGACTTGCAAGGTGTTTCATTCATACAAGTACGGTCGTGCCTATATGGACTGACTACGAATAGCAAATGCCAGAAAGTGAAACCATAAAAGGAAATATATGTATTACTCAGAAGTGGGGAAGTCGGGCTTGCTTGGGGTAAGAAACGCGCCGCAGACTGTGAGAGCTTAGGTGTTGAAATAGACGGAACTCAAGCGTCAAAGCGTGTCCGCATTTGCACGGTCAAGTCAGGGAGCTCCCAGAACGCATAGCATTTGGTCTCGCGCTGCCAGTCCTTCACCTGACCCACATATGTAGCGTCGAATTCTAAGAAGAAGGCAGCCAATGTCAGCTGCAGCATCTGCTGGGCAAAGTATTTGGCAATGCAAGATCGGCTGCCAATGAGAAATGGCTGGACAGCGTCTCTCTTAGCCTTGAATAATCCTTCGGTCCATCGCTCTGGACAGAAAGTGTCGGGTTCGCCAAAGTAGTCCGGGTTACGGTGCAAGGCATAAAGGGTGGTACAAATCTCGACCTGAGAATGGTGAGATAGGAAGATTGTGAAATCAGAAGGGAAACCTACCCCAGGTGGAATAAAGACGCCATCTACAACCATACCCTCCTGAGAAACTCGTGGTGAACCTATAGGAACAGGTGAGTGTACCCTCAAGGACTCTGTGATGACCGCGTTTAAATAAGGAAGACCCGCCGCCAAATCGCATGAGATATCTCCCGCACATGAGAACGTAGATTGGAGTTCCGCCACTAACTTGGAATGCACACTGGGGTTGGTGAGAACAAAGTATATCGTTGCGCATAGTGCGTTTTGTGTTGTATGAAATCCCGCTAGCATAATCGCCGAAAAGTTTTCGGCGATTTCCGATTCTGGCAATTCGCTACCAAGTTCAGCTCGCTCGAGCACTTCCACCATTATATCTCGCCGGGTATGGACGGTCTTCAGCTGTCTATCGATCCATCTGTTATCGAGAGTGTAGGAAACTGAGTCAGGGCACATACTCGTAAATCAGCCGCATCCGTGCTTCTTCATTGCGCAGTCGTACACCCTTAGCAAGGAAACGACGTAACATCCACTTCAGCAGAGTTGGAACACCAGATCCTTGAAACTGGTTCCGAATAGTTGCCCAGTAGAAAATACGTGGTAGTTGTTCAGTCCAGAAGTAGGGTCGCCCTCGATCAAGGCACCCTAAAGACTTGCCTAACAGAACCTCGGCCACTGTGTCGACAGAATGACAGTATAAGAGATTGTTCAAGGACAAGGTGTCACCACTCGTCCTTAGTTTCTCCTTGTATACTCCATGCAACTTCAAAATACAGTCCCTAATAACACCCTCATGTGATTTTAAGCATCCAGGGCTAAACGATGGACTGAACAATTTCCTGACAGGTGTATGGTATGCTGGTTCAGTAGCAGTGAAAATATTCCTTCTTGAAATTCCTTTATAGAAGTCGGTTTTGAGAAATGCGCCCGAGCCGTATATGTTCCGAAAAGCTTTCACTGTATTCGTTGTCACTTGGCCTGGCGCGAATCGCACGATATCGCCGTAAGATTTGTGCAATGCATGGAAACTAGAGGCACTCCGACCAGAGATGAAGGCATACTTTGTGTCAATCTGCAAAAGGTCAATCACTGTTTCTTCCATTCAAAGAAGTCAAACAGGGCATACTCCAGCGAAGAATCGACCAATTAGGGGCCCTGGGACGTTCTCAATCACTGGCCCCTTAGACCTCAACAACATAAACAGGAGAAATACAATGGGAGTCTATTCAGGTAAAGCTCTTAGTAACGGAGATAGCTTGGCTTTTGGGGCATAAATCAGAGAAACATTACCAAGATAACGATCAAGAAAGGGGAAATGGCCGAAGCCGCCAGTGTCAACATTCTACCTTGTGTCGCCATGGCTGCAGGGTTGAAATGTCGTACATACGAATCAACGGCTACAAGTGATTAACTAGTTTCCCAATGACCACAGTAATGCATATATATATGTGCGACTCTCTTTGGCGCTCTAGAATTTCCTAGTCCATTCATAGTCGGCGAAATTATCTTGCCCCCTTCGAATGAACCAATAATACAACAAAACCCTTAGTCTTTTTGCCCCTATAAGCACAGGGAAGCGTTATTAATACCAGCCTCGGAAAATCTGCATGTGTCCGTAAGATTGAGTCTTCCCGTCTCCATATGGCATATGACGATCAGCCACGGCCCTCGGACCACGCAAATAGCGACGATCCTTCATATAAATTGGTTAATACCAATGTGTAGCCAGAATAAGAGCCAAAATTACTAGCCCTCTCAAGGAGGGGGACCACTTTTTGGCGTACTGGTTTTTGGGCCAACAGTTATGAGCTCAGGAGGTTTAACCAACCAGCAACTTCCACTGAGAACACATAACCTGGTTCAAACGAGCAATACTAAAAAATGTCGATGCAATATATGTGTAAAGTGACAAAAATCCATGGTAAAGGCCGAGGCGGGCCAAAGAAACCAAGGCAATTGGCCAAGAAACCAGCTTAGCCGAAAAAACGGAGACAATGACCGAAGAAATGGATTAGACCGAATACAGAGACGAAAAATGCAGATTATATATGCCGGAGCCCTATATTATCTGGGGAGGTGTGTCAACCAGAATAAGAGCCAAAATTACTAGCCCTCCCAAGGAGGGGAACCCCTTTTTGGTGTAGTGGTTTTCGGCCAACAATGTAATTTTAGCCTCCCGTGGCGTCGTATGGAGAGCCTAAGGGGTGCATTGAGTTTAATTTTTAAAACCATAGTGCATGTGGATCACAAGATAGCTAATACCCTAAGGCATACAACACCTGGCTCACTCCGCATTCCTTTTCATTCCTAGTTGAACTTTTTTGTTCATGACATATATGGGCTTCGCCCTCTTTTACACTTATCACAGATTCCGGCCAGCTGTCCGTCTTCCAACTATTTTGTTTGTCAACATCTATATATATGAAACAGACTCAAACAAAGGAATCATAGTTTCGTCATGACGGGGGCTAACACTCGAGTATTGTTCCTAGCGAACAGTGAACATGGTCAGACCAACATCATTTTAGCCCTTTCTCATGAGCTCCTTCTGCGTGGTGATATTGATGTACACATTGGGTCCTTTCCTGCCCTCAAGAAAAGGGTGGACAAGCTCCTTCATGACAACGCTGGATTGTATGATTCACGTTACTCCTCACGCATTCATTTTCATCCAGTGCACGGACCATCCAACACTGATGTCTTCATCCGCACCGGGAAAAGAGGAGCATTTCATCCTCCTGGGTACGAGGGCTCAATCCTGGGCTTCAAGTCCTTAATTGAAGATATCTGGGGCTGGAATGAAGAGGAATACGTTGATGTCTATCGGAGCTGTCTCGATATTATTGAGGAGGCCAATCCTTCCGTGATCGTAGTGGATTTTTTCTTTCTCCAGGGGCGCGATGCGGCGTACAATGCTGGTCATACAGCTATTTTGATGAATACTACAGCCCTCAGCCATATAGTGCTAGGACTACAGAAGAACGCTGCCTGGGCCTGGAAATATCCATTGTAAGTGCGCAAACCCTCGTCATCTTGCCTGTCTTCCACTTTGGACTGCTTGTGCTAATACTAACCTAATCGCGTCAGACCAGGTACTGGCTTTCCATACCCTCTTCCTTGGCATCTTATTCCTTGGAATACTATGGCGGTCTTGAAAACAGCGAAAATATACCATGGCAGCGGGCGACGCCGTGAAATCCGCGAATGGAGAATTCGAAACAAGATTCAAGGTCGGTTCCCTTTTGCAGACGCCTGGCGGCCGGACCGAGTCCACTTATCTCCAGCTCTAAGAGAGCTCGACTGGCCATTCGACGTACCAGACAATGTTATACCCTGTGGTCCTATATTACTACCTTGTGCATCCGTGGAAAAGCAAGACCCGGAATTGAATGACTGGTTTAAGAAAGCACCGACTATTCTGGTTAATCTTGGAACGCTTTACGCGCCTGACCCAAAGGTGGCTGAAAAAATCTCCACTGGACTTAAACTTTTCCTTGACTCGTGGAGTGACAAAGCAATACAAATTCTATGGAAACTCCCCAAACATCCTAATGATGTCGACGACGTGTATACGAGCTCTACTGAGTCGCTAAGCGAGGAAATAAAGACAGATCGCGTGAGAATAAGACCGTGGTTTGAGGTCGAGCCCATGGCTATGCTTGAGACAGGACGAATCGTTCTTTCCGTTCATCATGGTGGCGCCAATTCGTGGTATGAGGCAATACAGTAGGTGCATTTCTTTTAAAACAGTATGGAACATGGCTAAAAGCAGATAGAACTGGGGTTCCCCATATTGTGCTACCTGCATGGCAGGATTGCTATGAAAACGCGGCCAGGGCGGAATGGCTAGGTATAGGCGTCTATGGAAACAAAACTGCCGCTCCTAATGTCGAATCGAAAGAACTCGCTAAATCAATTAGAAAGGTAATGAGCAATCGACCCTCGTATGTCAAAAAGGCTGCAAGGCTGGCAGAGCTCTGTCAGAAGAAAGAAGGTCGCATCATTGGCGCGGAAAAAATAGTCGACTTGGCAAAGAACCCTGAGAAAATAAGACTAGAGGTACCAGGTGTCACTGTTGACGATCTAAATGGTAATTTCCAGAAAATCAGGAATAGATCAGGGCAAATACTCGAAACTCCAATGAAACAGATCAAAATGGAAGGGAAAACGGCCTCAAGACCGCTTCTAGATCAGATTACTGAAACCTTCATTGTGACCCTGTCTAGCAACTCGTGGTTTCTCCTTCCGTTATTCGGTTACTCATTACTTCTAATTCCTCGTGTGCGAGTCTTTGCTTTTGTTTATATCCTTTACATCAAATTCTTCGCCAAAGCCCACCAAAGTGGATCAACGTGGTTTCGAAATGACCGCTTTCGTAAATCATGGGTTTGGAAGCGCTTTGCAATGTACTTTCCATTAACTCTATATCGTTCCGCCCCTCTTTCTCCCCAGCGCAAATATATCTTTGGATATCATCCACACGGCGTTGCGTTCCGCGGAGCAGCTGGCTCCTTAGCAGCCGACGGTGCAGGCTTCTCTGAACTGTTCCCTGGTATCACAAATACTTTACTTATGAAGGATGACGCATTTCGAGTTCCGCTTCTACGAGAGTATCTGTTGATGGTGGGATTGAGCGGTGTATCGCGTCAGTCATGCATCAAGCGACTCTCAACGGGAGGGCATGATGGTCGAGGCATGGGTCAGGCAATTACTATTACCATTGGCGGTAGCAGAGAATACGATATTTCACGACCAGGAACAATGGAAGTAGTCGTCAAGATACGCAAGGGCTTCGTTCGCGTTGCCGTGGAGACTGGAGCAGACCTCGTGCCTGTCATTGCGTTTGGTGAAAATGAACTATTTGACCGGGTGAATGTCAATGGTTCAACGGTCAACAAAATTGTAACGCGTGTATGGGAGTGGTTCGTTCAACACAAAGTGTCATTTTCCACTGGGCGCTTCAATATCTTCTGCCCGTATCGCAAACCCTTGCACGTCGTGGTAGGAAATCCAATTCCAGTGAAGCAACAACGACGAGACCCCGATGAAAAATACATAGATCAGCTACATACTCAATATGTGGAAGGGCTGACCAAACTTTGGGCTGACTGGAAAGAGATGTTTGAGCCTAGCAATTCCGTGAAGTTCGAAATTGTTCAATAGACCCGAGTATTGTTTGCATGTAGTGATCAACGATTTCAATACAAGTGCAATGAGATTTATGGCCGTTTATAAAGTTAATACCACTCATGTAACGTAGAAGTGTGATATAACTGAATTTATAAAAGTTTAGTAACGGCTCGAGATCTAGACGTACAATTGTATTATGCAAGCACTTTCCTAGGTATAAAATCCAACATAAACGCAGTTTTTTCGTGTGTGATAGCCCTCATACAAACTAGAATGATGTCCCCGATTCTCTTTATTTGGGATGAGTTGAATTTTAGTTCGGGAAGGCCTATTCCAGATCTTTTAGGGAAACGAAGGTGGAACGGAAACATTGAAGCCTTGATCTGTTCTTCCGGCCGGAATGTATATCCATGCCCTGGAATCACAGCGAATTTATTGTTTAATCCATCCTTTCATTCCTCTCAACCAGCCAGAGATTATTTGACAGGTCAATATTTTTCTTGACTTGCCGGATACCGCTAAAGGTACAACATAATAAAGCTGATTTCCGCGAAGAAATATATGACTTACCTTCTAATATTGCTTTCTTCTTGCTCTAGAGGTTTTATTCAAAAACGGTGAGACATCATCTGTGCCGAATGGTGGGAAAGCAGTTCCAACTCATGTGATCAAAACACCCGTATAAACAAATTGCCATGTGTGGTTTATATGTAAACAATAATAGTCCATCGAATACATGTATGATGCATAGTGTATAAAACAAGCTCCAAACACTACCCCAGTAGAAACGTTACACATATCACAGCGATAAAGTAACGAGGGGTGGGCGATGGGTGATTTTTAGGTTGTTTTTAGAATAATGGTCAAGTGCGTGTTCTAGCGACATTTTGTTGAGCAGAGGGCTCCACGATTATAAGCAAACTGATACACGACCTAGCGGAAAAAATTAAAACGGCCTGGTTGGCTGCTGAAAATGCCAAGTTTGTGTAATTTTCATTTTAGGTTAGTTTTATTTGGCTTATTAATTTTCCGGTTCTGTTTATTCTGCGCTAATCATATAGATTTTGTCTCATAAAAATCGGCCCTGACATAAACCCTGCTTAGGAAGCATTTAGGAGCTTCCGTCCAAACAAAGGCCGATTATGTAATTTGAACATTGGGCTTGAAAATTCGCTCCCCGTCCTGTTTGGCGTTTCTGCGCCACACGTATAAGCTTGTAAACTGCGACGGCATTTTCTCGGACATTGCGTTGCATGAGCTTGCATCAAATTGCATGTTTCACAATGAATCGGTGCGCCTCTCGCCGCCCAGGCAAACTTGCCGATGCGCCTATCGAGCGACCGGTGATTGAGAAAGGGTATACCTTATTCATGTTATGTGTTCAAATACTTGCTTAGTTCAAGAATGCAGGCAATTAATTGTTATTATTATTGTTGTTGTTGTTTCTTGCTGAAAATAACGTCACTAACTTAGTTCTAAGTCAACGACGTCACAGTCGTTCTGGAACAGGCTTCCGCATGCATCCGTCTGAAGGTGGCATGACGCACCGACAACGGATAGTCTCTTGGGTTTCGCATTGCACGACGCAACCGTCTAGTTTCTGAAAGATAAAAGAATATTGAAAATGTGACTCTTGCACCTGACTTTCCTACATCAATTTGAGATTGATGTATAAACCTTACACAGTATTTATACCCCAGACGCTGACGCGCTTCACGTACCTGTGCCTCTCATCCTAGATTTATCCACTTCGCGATTAAGCTAGACTTGAGTTTGGAAGAGGTTTCTTTATTTCCTATCATCAGCTTATATTAGTTGGTCAACCATGGCGCCTAGTGATAGTCCTGAGGCCAAGAGCATCTCCGCCTACGGCGTAGCTCGGTCGACTATCAAGCCAGAAAAGCTACTTGATCAGGATGAAATTCGCAAGATAGACGCTTATTTCCAGGCAAGTTTATACTTGTGCCTCGGCATGCTCTATTTGCGTGACAATCCCTTGCTCAAGGAGCCACTCAAAAAAGAGCATATCAAAGCTAGAGTTCTGGGGCACTGGGGGTCTGATGCAGGCCAATCTTTCACGTGGATTCACCTGAACCGCGTGATAATCAAGTATGGCCTCGAAATTCTTTATATATCAGGTCCTGGGCATGGAGCCCCTGGAATTCTGTCACAGTCATATCTTGAGGGAGTATATACAGAAGTGTACCCAGATAAGACCCAGGATGAGGATGGAATGCGGAGATTTTTCAAACAATTCTCGTTTCCCGGAGGAATCGGTAGCCACGCTACTCCAGAGACACCCGGGAGCATTCATGAAGGTGGCGAGCTGGGATATTCAATTTCTCATGCTTTTGGATCCGTCTTTGACCGTCCAGACCTCATAACTATTGCTGTTGTGGGCGATGGCGAGGCCGAGACAGGGCCATTAGCTACAAGCTGGCATAGTACGAAGTTTCTGAATCCCATAACAGATGGCGCTGTTCTTCCGGTATTGCATTTAAATGGGTACAAGATTAACAACCCAACTATCCTAGCTCGGATTAGCCATGAAGAACTGGCATCTTTGTTCAAAGGATATGGCTGGACACCGTATTTTGTGGAAGGTAGCGATCGTCATAGCATGCACCAAGCAATGGCTGCAACCGTTGAGCACTGTATTTTGCAGATCAGGAAATTCCAGAAGCAAGCACGAGAATCTCAAACCCCATTCCGGCCTCTCTGGCCGATGATTGTCCTGAGAACCCTCAAAGGATGGACTGCCCCGCATGATCTTGATGGCAAAAAACTTGAAGGCTTCTGGAGGGCACATCAGGTGCCTATACCAGATGTCGCTGTCAATCCCAACCATTTGAAAATACTAGAATCGTGGATGCGAAGTTACAACCCAGAGAAACTTTTTGATGAGAGTGGTGAGCTGAATTCTGAGCTCAAGGCGCTGGCACCAATTGGCAATGCACGTATCAGTGCAAACCCGGTCGGGAATGGCGGTATTCTACGCAAACCACTGAATCTGCCTGACTTCCGCAAATATATGCTTCCAGATATTGAGGCTGGAATCTCAGTCGCTGGCAGCATGACTAATATGGCAAAGTTTTTGCGAGATGTGATTTCAGCGAACATGACTAATTTTCGGCTTTTTGGGCCCGATGAGACAGAGTCTAACAAACTCGGTGAAGTCTACAAGGCAACCCAGAAAGTGTGGCTTGGTCAGTATTTTGAGGAGGATAAAGACGGAGGAAATTTGGCTACATCGGGACGTGTTATGGAAATGCTCAGCGAACACACGGTCGAGGGGTGGCTGGAAGGATACATTCTCTCCGGACGTCATGGGTTGCTGAATAGTTACGAACCTTTCATTCATATTATTGATTCTATGGTGAACCAACATTGCAAATGGCTTGAAAAATGTCTCGAAATTGAGTGGCGCGCTAAAGTGGCGTCCCTCAATATTTTACTTACTGCGACCGTTTGGAGACAAGATCACAATGGCTTTACTCATCAAGATCCCGGATTTTTGGATGTTATCGCAAACAAAAGTCCCGAGGTCGTCCGCATCTACCTACCGCCTGATGGTAACTGTCTCTTGTCCGTTATGGACCATTGCCTTCGAAGTATGAACTACGTCAATGTCATAGTAGCCGACAAACAGGAGCATATTCAATTCCTTGGCCCACAAGATGCCATCGAACACTGTGCTAAGGGTGTGGGCATCTGGGACTGGGCAAGCAATGACCAGGGCAAGGAACCGGACGTGGTATTGGCTGGATGCGGTGACGTGGCCACAAATGAAGCTCTAGCAGCGACCGCCCTTCTTCGAGAATACTTGCCGAATTTGAAGATCCGATTTGTTAACGTGGTAGATTTATTCAGACTTATATCTGGAACCGAGCATCCTCACGGAATGTCCGATAAAGAGTGGGGTGCCATTTTTACTGTGGACAAACCCATCATCTTCAACTTCCATTCGTATCCTTGGCTCGTACACCGCCTTACCTACAAACGACCTGGTCAATACAATCTGCACGTGAGAGGCTACAAAGAGAAAGGGAACATTGATACGCCGTTCGAGCTGGCTGTTCGGAACCAAACTGACAGATATAGCCTTGCAATCGAAGCTATCGATCGCATCGAATCTCTGGGAAATACTGCCTCCGCAGTTCGAGAAAGGTTCATTAAGCTCCAATTATCAGCTATTTCTGTAGCATATGACAAGGGAATCGACCCAGAACACATTCGAAATTGGCGATGGGCTTTTCCGAGCAAAAGCTAGACCTTTCTTTTCTTCTTTCTTTTCTAATATAGTCTCAGCTTTTTATAGTTCAAATGGCAAATATAACCCGGGGAATCATTTCAGACGAATTATTACGTTACAAAAAGAGTGCCTGGAGGTTTCACAAACCTGCTACCAATCGACACGGGCAGCCTCGCTGTGTGAAACCTTTTATTCCGTTGGACGTGGACATCATATACAAGCCGTAATTTAGTTTGTAGATCAACTGCTCCTACATGCTAATGATAGGTGTTGCAACAAATATTGACCAGACAGTGTCGTGACTCGCCTAGACTTCGGCGAAAAGTCCGTTTCCCGATTTCTGTGGGGCTGGCTAATGCACGCAGCCCATTTCTCTGCATTGGGCACTAGGCAAAATGCCGTCGATTGTTTTAATTGCTACCACAAGAAACACCGAGAATAATTTAATCGGTATCCGGGCATTTGCCCGATGCACCTTATAATTAAAACGATCATCAGTAATGCGCAGTTCCTGGTCGCAGGTGATGAGGATGCTAAACCGCGGGTTGTATTTGTACTGCCACTGGTTACACATATTTCTATATCAACTATGGCGCAGACAAAGGCCAAATTAGCTTCGACCGAACAACCCGCTGGACTTGACCAACCCGTGCAACACAGCAATCATGATAAAATAATTCAGAGACCCTCTTTGTCTCTACCTGCATGGCGCAAAAACTTAATTCTCTTCTCCGTCAGTTGGATGACCCTCGTAATAACATATTCAAGCACCGCGTTGCTTCCAGCACTTCCCGAGATCAGCAATGAACTATCAACCACGCAGGAGTCTATCGCCATTACTAATGCAGGCGTTTTCCTTGCCATGGGCTTTTCATCCTTTATCTGGATCCCCGTCGGTCACTTAATCGGGCGGCAACGAGCGTACAATCTTGCCATCTTCATTCTGTGTGGTTGTTCATGCGGAGCAGCTGTTGCAACGAAAATGGCAATTTTCACAACTATGCGTGTGTTAGCTGGCTTGACCGGGACTTATTTTATGGTGGCTGGGCAGACAATGTTAGCTGATATCTTTGAGCCCGTCAGTTTCCTATAACATTATGAGCTTTTCGATTCTAACAAGCAAAAGGTTGTGCGAGGTAGAGCAGTCGGGTTTTTCATGGTCGGATCAGTCAGTGGTCCAGCATTCGGTATGGTTTTAAATAGGAAAAGAAACCTTAAAAATGAAAGTTAATTTGATGATAGCACCATGTATCGGTGGAATTCTCGTCACTTTCACTCATTGGCGCTACATATTCTGGGTGCAAGTTGGGATGGGTGCCATTGGACTCGTGACATCATTGCTCTTCATTCCCAATTTGGACAAGATGAATAGCTCTTCTGCATCTGGACCGGAAAACAGGTTGAAACAAAAGGAATCAATCAATTGTCAATTCAATCCTTTTCGAGTATTCGTGCTCTTGGTTTATCCAAATGTCTTTCTTGCTGTAAGAAAAGTTCCCTCTGGTCCCAAGAAAATCCAAAGCTAACGAGGTAGGACTTGACTTGCGGTCTGTTAGCTTGGTTTCAGTACGGCCTGTTGACCTCAGCTCGCAGCATTTTCAACCCTCGCTTTCACTTGACCACAGCTCTCGTTAGTGGATTGTTTTATATTGCACCAGGCACCGGCTTTTTGGTCGGAAGCGTTGCCGGAGGGAGACTCTCTGACCGTACTGTCAAAAGGTACATCAAACGTCGCGATGGGCTGCGACTTCCGCAGGACCGACTAAACAGTGGGCTGTTCATGATCTTAGGCGTCTTACCTTTGTCGACGCTCATATATGCATGGACATTGCAGAAAGAAATCGGTGGTATGGCAGTTCCAATCATCAGTGCATTTTTTGCAGGGCTTGGCTTGATGGGGATATTCAATAGTTTGAACACATACACAGCAGGTAGGTACAACTGTATCTGCAGATTCCAAAATAGTGCCTGGTGAAAGGAAAGGGGTAGAAGCATCGATCTAATGTTATACAGAGGTGCTCCCAGCAGAAAAGACCGAAGTCATTAGCAGCAAATACCTAGTGCAGTATCTCTTTGGTGCAGGTACGACTGGTACTATTGTACCTCTCATAAACGCAATTGGGGTCGGTTGGACGTTCACTATATGTATGTATTCCTAGAAGTTTGTGTTCATACTTGATAAAGATACAATTAATAACTATTCATCGACGCAGCAATGATTATGTGCATGTTTGGTGGTATTCTTACTCTTCTCATAAGTCGGAAAGGTATAGACATGCAAGAATGGGCGGTTCGTAAATTAGGAAAGGATTGATGCGCTTGGTATAGTTTAGTATTTGCATGGGAGGGTGTTAACTCTTATTGATGACTGCAAGTGCCAAGCACTGTTTGAAATAAGCGGATCTAGAGTTGGGGCGCTATGAAGCATTCAATTCATTGTAAATATATTATCAACATTTGATGGATGTACCTGAATACTGACCAAACGGATACGGGACAGAGCCATTTTATTCATAAGATTGCTGCTAAATGCACATGTATATGTGCCAGCTGGTTGACCAGTCATGCATAATCAGAAACAGAAAACACACGACCACAATCCACAAAAGTCCAAAATGTCGTTAGCTGTGCTACAGACCTCAGAGAGCTATGGCTGGTAGAACATTCCACTAGTATCTAGCATCATTAATATAGCGATACGAGGGATGTTCTGATATTATTCACAGGCTCAATAATGGCTTTTCCAACCCCAAGCGCACCCTTTGCTATGACGTAGCCACCGTAAGCTCTGAAATTAGACGTCTAGGGACTAGCCTCGGCGGCAAGTCCGAAGATTTGGGTCTGAGATGCCCGATATGGACTAGACTCGGCTCAGACATGCACCGAATGCCCACTGCTGCCGTCCCGATTCGAAAGTATGCGACAGTCAGCGATGAACAACTTTAACAAGGAGTGGACACGCCGGCCCAGAGCACACCACGACTGGTGGAATTACTGCAGGGGTCACTTGGCCCCGTTAGTTCGCGGTGAAAATAATAGTCATTAATTATTGATTCATGGCCGATAACGAATCTCAAAATAAATAATACACCCTGCCTCGTGATTGTCTGATTTTTCCTCGAGTCCCAGGACACTCACAAAACCCCTCTCCTCCAACGCGCTGCAGCAGCGTATTCACTTTGATTCTAAGACAGTCAAACAGGAGAATTTTCCACTCTATAGAAAAGGGCAAAAGAAAAAATTTAAAATAAAATAGCATGGCGTCCCGGTCGACATCGCATCGGTTTCTGCGATACGCTGCCACTGCCTCCGCGGTCACGGTTGTTGGGTCAGTGGCATTGTACAACTTCCGGAGCCGGCGACCGCTCGAGATAGATTATTCCATCGTGCCATCCTTCCTCGCAAATCCGCCGCGATTCCCGAAAATAACACCTCGGAACGAGCAGATCGCGGCCCTGAAAAAGAGCAGCAGTGCTAATCCGGATGCTGTTTACGATTTATTAGTGATTGGCGGCGGTGCTACCGGGACAGGTATTGCTCTAGATGCAGCAACCCGTGGCTTCAAAGTCGCTTTGGTTGAGCGCGATGATTTCAGCAGTGGTACGAGCAGCAAGAGCACAAAACTTGTGCATGGTGGCGTGAGGTACTTGGAGAAGGCCGTCAAAGACCTGGACTATGAACAGTATAAGCTGGTTTGTACGGCACTCAAAGAGCGGCGGTACTTCCTCGATATTGCACCACATCTATCGCAATCTCTGCCAATGCTACTACCAATCAAACACTGGTGGGAGGCACCGTATCTTTGGATCGGGACGCAGCTGTATGATCTGTTGGCCGGCTCTGAAGGATTGCACTCCTCGTATTTCATGCCACGTGGGAAAGCCATCCAGGAGTTTCCCACGCTAGATGCGAGTAGGATTGTAGGGGGTCTGATTTATTACGACGGCCAGCATAATGATTCGCGGATGAACGTATCACTAGCAATGACGGCTGCCGTGTACGGCGCGACGGTGGCCAATCATATGGAGGTGACTGCTTTGGAGAAGGATGCAGATGGAATTATATGTGGTGTTAAGGTGAAAGACTGTCTTTCTGATGACGAGGAGTTTCTGGTCAAAGCACGAGGCGTCATCAACGCTACTGGGCCGTTTGCAGATTCAATCCTACAGAAAGACCAGCCCTCCATGAAGGAGATAATTATGCCTAGCAGTGGCGTGCATATTGTGCTACCTGACTGGGTTGGACCCAAAAGTCTCGGGCTCATTGATCCTTCGTCAGATGGGCGTGTCATATTCTTATTGCCATGGCAGGGAAAAATGGTGGCTGGAACCACCGACCAGGCGTGCAAGATCGAGCAAGAGCCAATTCCCGAGGAGGAGGAAGTAAACTGGATTGTCGGGGAGGTCAACCGACTTTTAGCTCCAGGTGTTACCCTCAAACGGTCCGACGTGCTAGCTACATGGTCAGGTGAGTCGTGATACTATTGCGTATACGAGACATCGTTGATTTTAATGAACCTTCAGGAATTCGCCCCCTTGTTCGCGATCCTACGGCAAAAAATACGGAGTCCCTTACCCGTAGCCATCTGATTACCGTCTCTGACTCCGGTTTGTTGACCTGTGTAGGCGGAAAATGGACAACATACCGCGAAATGGCCGAAGACGCCGTCGATACCGCTATCAAAGCATTTGGACTAAGGCCGCAAGGACTAGGCTCAGTTCCTCACGTTGGTGGATTTGAAGCGACTGCTGAAAAGATTCTAGATGGTTCTTGCCAGACTCAACATCTGCGAGTCATTGGTGCTCACGGCTATTCCCCGAAACTTCGTGATGATTTACTCCAGCGTTTTGAATTAACTTCCGATGTAGCTGATCATCTGGCACACTCTTATGGAGACCGTGCCTGGGAAGTTGCATCACTCTCATCATCATCTAATTTGACCCAACGCATTGCAGGGGACGACCTCCCGTTTGTAGATGGTGAGGTGCGCTACGCAATCCGCAACGAGTACGCAATGACGGCAGCGGATATTATAGGCCGACGCATGCGTCTAGCTTTCATAGATGTGCAGGCGGCGCTGAAGGCCCTTCCTACTGTGATTTCCATCATGGGAGATGAATTGAGGTGGAATGAAAAGAGGAAACAGCAGGAGTTTAAAGAAGGAGTCAGATTCTTGCGATCTATGGGATTGCGAGAAGAAGTAGCCGTGTAAGATGGTTTGACATTGTATATCTTCTGCTGCTGGCATGCGATGGGTCTCTTGGTCCTCTTTTTACTTTCCTTCCTTCCTTCTTTGCATTGCATCGCATGAATTGTTATAGACTATTGCCAGTGTTATTATTTTTAAGGACTGGAGAACAACGCCCGGTCAATACTCTCAAACTGTATGTTCTTGTAAAATATCTCATATAGAAATAGATGTATAATTCATACCAAGAGATTCGACAGTGTCATGTTGGGCCGTACGACCATCTTGTATTCATGGCCCTAGTAGAAAAGCCTGTTTCCGCCATAAAATAATTCTTTCCTATCATGTCCCCATCTAAGTTCAAGAAAGGATGGTAAAGGCCCGGGCTACTAATCATGGCAGTTGGAAGGCGTGGATAGTTGAAAAAGTGAAATACTTCAAGGTACTCGAGATCGTCTGCGGTCACAGACTTGGTGGGTAGGGGTTTGGTTGCGGTAGAAGGACGATGAGTAGCTGAGATATGGATTTCATACGCTCTTCTACAAATTTAACAGATTAGTAGAAGGTTTGAAAAACAAAAGAAAAGGCTATTTTACCTTCTCATCGTGGCGAGGGCTCTTGGAGCAGATGACGCTGCTCCGTTGCTATATGGCCAGCCCATGTGCGATTGTTTACAAATTCGATCCAATGTCTGAGCATATTGGCTAGCGATTCCCCAATAATGGCCCATCTTGTCGAGTATATATATGAAAAAGCGGCAATTTGGGTCCATTTCGACGCCGGTGCAAGCCGAATCAACAAGCAGGAGTCTGGCTGCAACATACAAAGAAAAAGCAAAGTGAGGGCCAAGAAGATCGAGCATTCCCGTGTTTAAAACGTCCTGAGCGATTTCTCGAAGGCTTTGTACTGCGGCAAGACATCGTTGGGAGGCATTGAAGGAAGGGGTAAAGATGTGAGACCTAACAGGGGGATACGCGGCGCAGGAGTGTAAGCGCAAAACTGAGGTAACAAATGCGGCATGTAGGATTATCCAATTCGAAATCTTACTGGTAGGATCTGAGTGACAGAGTTGAGAAACCCTACCATAATCATCAGGAAGACGGCTAAGCCAGGAATTCAACTCATCGTCAAGTTCACGATATGTCAGTTGCCACCGCTCTACTTCTACCAGAGAGCAGATGTCAATGGGGTTCTGGAGAAAGATTTGAACACGACTCAGAGTACGCATCACTTCACAGTGGTATGAGAAACTTCCAAGATTTTCCGGCTGATCAATAATCATCGACTGTCCTGGTCCCGAGAACCATCGCGTCTCGACAGCCTCATTCTTTGAGAATAGGTCGTAGCGACATGGAAGAGAACGGTCAATATAATCTTCATTTAGAGTAGGGTCTGTAGCCGTGGCTACGACAGTATAGCGCTCAATAATGTAAACCATCCAGAAAAGTCGCCGGCGACCTTCTTCCTCAATCCAAGAGTTAGGTTTAGGAAGAATACTGTCCCGCAAACGGCCATGAGGCGCATTTGAGCGATCAGTAGTTGACAGAGATAAGCCAGACTCAACCTGCAGATTCAGCTGTAAAACAGTGCGAACAATTATTGCTAGTATGTTGACACTTGGTGGGCCATCAGACGAGCCTAAGAAATCCCAGGTGAGAATAACGAGAGCCTGTAGTGATTTAATGGATGGATACTGTAAACTATAGAGCAATACATTATCCTTCGCTGTAGAATGATACTGCTTGCGGGACTCGGGTGTCAGTGATGGATCATGACTGAACCGCAGTGCAATTGCCACAATCGCATACAGGATAATACGATCAGCCTCGTCTGGAACGGAGGGCCCAAAGAAGCTGTCGACAGTAATCTTGCGATCTAATATCGGACACCATGTGTTGACATGCTTAAAGTATAGATCGACAAGGCTATATAGTAACTCGCCTGATGGTAAGTCGGGCATCGCTTTCGGTGCTGTAACAGGCCTGATCGTGTTCATCATCGACTGAACGGACATCAGCTCCGATGTACGGTCGGAACGAACTCGGTCATATTTTCCAAAACTGGCGTCCTGCATCTCAGTTCTTATCATCTTTTTGGATGACTGTGGCGCTTGGTGATCGTCATCGGCTCTCAATAATTTGGAGGCCGTCGGACCAGCTAGTTCTCTGCCAGAGTCGTGTACATTTAAATAGATTTCCCCTCCATGACCTAGCGTCTGCAGAATCGATTCGAGACGACTGACTTTTGTCTCAAGCTCACGCACATACCCGGCACGAAAACCTGGCTTTTGTCGATCTCTGTAAACACACAATCGCCCATTTCTAGAACACCATCCACACGAGGGCTCTACACGATCACATCGTACTTTTCTGGTTTTGCACAGCTCACACCTATATGGACAATCGTCAATGAATGATATAGAATAAAGAGAGGATGACGCACGCAGTGATCGCGGGAAGCTTCCTGGACTCTGTTCGTCGTGTTTGCCCAAATTCGACTGACCCATTCGTATTCTCTTCTGCGTGGGTGCCATGAAGTGGCGACTGTTCACTTTCTGCGGCACTTTCTGCATTCTCTTCCATTGTTATTCGATGATCGCTCGCCTAGGCCATCAGCAATTATTACGCCGAGTATATCGCTAGGTCTGCATGCCACATTGGAAAACTAGGAGGCGGAAATCAAGGGGCGCACTCAACCCCGGATAGATCTGGACAAAACTGTGTGTGTTGAATACAGAATCGATGGTCACTCTTCCCAGCTGCTCCCTCAGACGCCTCTAAGTCCTTGGCTTGAAGAGATCCAAAGAGAGGGTGAGTAAGCTGGGGGGAAACCAAGTCTTGCCAGGTACCGCGTTGATTGGTTGGCTGTGGTTATCCCTCTGTCGGAAGTGGGGTTGGCAGTTGCATTCTCGGTCCTTTACCATTTACGTACTAGGGCATGATTAGGCTTTGACCCAGACTTGGCAACCGATGTCACGTGTTCGTGCTCAATGGGGGGACATTCACCCTCGTAAGCTTCTCAACATTCTCCTTATTCCTATATTGTTTCCTGTCTAATTGTTCGTCATCTAATTTGAGATCTATTCCGAAGTGTTCGGCATATGCCTCCAAGATTCCAGTTAACTGAACAGCAGCACACAACAGCTCTGAGAAGCGCCATGAACGGCTATTTATTCGAGGCCGCCACAGGTTTCGCACATGCCATTCCTTGCACGTATCTCGGACCCATACACTGACTGCATCAAAGGGTGATACGAAATGTACTCTGCACGCTCCCTAGCGTTTAGCGCCGATCTTTAGAACATTGAATTGAAGATGCACATGAGCTTGTGTATACTGGAGGATGGCTACGGCCCATCGTCGACCTAACTACTTCGTTTGCCATAGGGCTCGAAGGGGAAGATGGCTGCAACAATGGCCATAACGGCGTAGAGAGCTGCGCATATGTAGATGGGAACCGGTGTATTCGTCTGAAGTCAACTTATCAGTATTTCTCGTTTTATGTATCACAAAAATCGACGCCACAAGAGAACGAACATTGGCAGCCTTGCCGACCACGGCGCTTACGATACCCATGATTCGATTTAATCCGATGGCTACCCCGTTGCCAGTTCCACGGTGCGCGGACGGGAAGACTTCAGGTGTGTACGCATAAAGTGTTCCGTAGTATATATTCAGACAGAAGTTGACGGTGCAGGAGAAGCCAATATTCTGGCTTTCAGTTCGTACCTGGGTGTAGCAAAAGAAGAAGACCATAGTAACAAGCGCACCGATAACCATTGTCCCACGGCGACCCCAGAACCACTGCGACCGACACATAAAGCCGGCTACTATAGGCCCTGGGATCCCAGACACGTTCACCAGCGCATAGTTGCGCCAAGTAATGTATTCACTCAAAACTCCAAAACTGGCACCACGCGAGTAGAGATAAGTAGGTAGAAAGACATTGTATAGAGGATAGGCTAGGCCAATAAGCAGCCATGAAAACCAAACAAGCGTAGTTGATAGGCCCATCTTGCGGGTTGCAAACAGACCCTTGAAGTGAAAAGTTAACTCGGTAAAGGAGACGCGATATTTCTTGCCATCTTGGTTCGGTCGCTGTGTTGCACCGAGGCGTTCCAGCATTTGCAAACTGAGCCTGCAGGGTCGGTTATATTTTTTTGCAATATCCTGAAGAACGCGAACTGCCTGCTCATCACGGCCCTCTGCGACTAAGAATTTGGGCGTTTCCTGCAAACGAATGATTGTAATACGGAGCACCGACAGGAAGAAGACAAAAGCGCCAGAAGTGTACCATACATAGCGCCAGCCTATGTTATTGTCATACGTGCAGGGACCTGTGTCGGAGCAATGATGAGCTGGAATATATGCCCATGCAAACAGACCAGCTATGAGCTGGCCGATTCCTATATACCAAAATATCAGTTCCCGTTTTCCTTCGGCAGGACCTCGAATGTGATTGACGAACCCCACCAAGCAGCCATAAGCGTAATCAGCCATTGGTCTTGACTAGGCAGGTACTCCAAGAATACGGCTGTGTCTAAAACTAGATTTCCACCGGCGCCAAATGCACTGAGGCAAATGAACAAACCCAAGACAACCCAGTTTGGCGACGCACCTGCAACGATTGCAAAGATTGAGGAGATAAATAGCGAGACGTTGAAGGCGAAGCGACGACCGATTATGTCGGCAGAGAGACCCCAGAATAGGGCGCCGACAAGCATTCCCACGTATACGGCGATAGTGAGTCCCGTAGAATACGACGGGTGGAACTCGAGAACGGCTTGAGTCGCAATAATTGATTGTAGGAGCAGAATTAACGAATCAACCGCATAACTAAAGGGCGGAAAAACCATCATCATCATCAGCTACCCCGTAACACTCGCAACAGGATGGTGGACATACCCAAATCCATTGAGGCAGAAAAGCTTCCAGTGATATGGCGTAAAACCAATTTCGTCAATCGCCTTGCGGTTGGTATCAATATTTTAGACCTTTGCGACAAACACCTCCACATAACTTACATCATTGATCAAATTCATTTTGGCTGCCAAAACCTGATCGACTACCTCACCGCGAAGGAGGTCATTTTCTCCGTGATGCACGGAGCGCACCTCGCCGTCATCGCCGTCCTTTTTGACAGTCTGGAAATCGACAGAGGGGTTCTCGAGGATGGCAGGGGCGGACAAATCCTCCATGGCTTGTTTTCGATCGGATTGAGTTCTGCAAACAGGGCCTGCGTGGGGGGAAGAGGCATAGTGACATGGCGAGTGTGCGACGTTGCCATTATTTCATAATTTGACTGCGTAGCATCAGGAGGGCGGCCTGCGCTTTCTCTCGTTTGCGAGTATCGCTCGCATGCAGAGATAGACAGTTCCTTCCGAATTCGCCTTAGCCCAGGCACTAGTGGCCTTACCAAGGCCGCAATTGGTTGTCACCCTCAGGAAAGTTTCGCCCCACTGAATTGCTGAGGTGGAGTCTGAGCTGTCGCGTGCCGGCCATGGCCAAAACTATTGGCTGAGTGGGTGGCGGCACTGCCTATTTCCCACTAGCGCAATGGGCTACATTCCTCCACAGCACAATCAAAGCTATTCTATTGGTTGGTAGTAAGAAGGTGGGGTATGAAGGCGCATGGAAGGCACACAATCCGTGCCTGAGGCCCTAACAGCCAGTAGCAAATAAAATTAGGATTAAATATAAAATGATGATGATCATTGTTCGTCGTATGTTGGCATTACTGCTGGAAAAGATGGCATTGTCAGCCTAAATCTTAAGCACGGGTCCAAACCCTTAATTGCCTGGCGTGCCATTTTGCTGGACATGGTAAATGCTACCTGCATCTTTAGATGAACTAAGCAGCTTTGGCACCGTATTGGGCTGGGAATAGTTCAAGAGCATTGGGGTAGAATGGGTCAATAAAATCGATGTCGTATCAGTATCAGTGTGGTCAAAAGCGACCGGTTGTAGATATATAAACAAACTTCACGTCAGAGAATTCGCCCTGAACCGATCTGGAGGAGGTATTGGAAGTTCAATATCAATAATTTGATGGGTGAGCTACCGATAAAATACCGCTGTCAACCTGCCCAAAACCTCTGTTTCATCATTTTCTGCCAACAGCAATGCCTTGTGCCTGGTAACTACATATGCAGGCTCTTGTATGGTGCTAACATTGAATGTTTGTAGACATGGATATTCAACAAAGAGTGAAGTTGACATCTCAATCAAAAATCACCATCATCATTATCATTATATCCCACTATTCTACTGATCGAAGGCCATTTTTGAAGAGGTTCCAACGAAAGTAGTCAAGTAAGACAGCCATGATTCCCTAACCAGGAGATAATATATAGATAACAGATCTATCACCACCTAAAGTATCCACGAGATTACGTAGAGCCTGCTATAGCTGACAATCTTTTACTAACATTTGAAACCTCAATCCCTTAAGACACTGAGTTCAAGATCACAGAAACTTCGTAAAACTAAATACATGGCTGTATTTTAGTAGAACCGGATGAATGACATGGATTCATCCTTGATACATATTATGGGTAAGTAGGCTGAGACCCTTACATGGCCATGGTGGCCCTTCTTATTGATTACAGCAGAGAAACATGCACCCGATAAGACGAAGGAGACACTGGCCGTCAATATTCTCTATTTACTTCACGTAGGCGTTTAAGGATGTCGGGTGATACCTAAATGACAAATATTCAGCCAAATTTGCAGCTGAATACCGCTGGTGAGCACCTTTCATATTTCACAAATGGACCCGCCCATGAAGTTTTTGGCCATTGGATGCAGCACGTTAGAATTAGCTGTGTTAGATATATCTCGCAAACACTAGACCGCACCGACTGTATCCTGCAAGAAGTAGTTTACCTTTCAAATGCCTCATCTTTCAACCCCTTTCCCGTTGTTGTATGAAAATCAAATATCGAGATCTCCATGAAGATAAAATGACCTAATATTTCCAGAATAGAGAGAGTTCTTCGATACAATAATTATGTACCCCATCAGGATCGAACTGTAGTTGACACACAAGACAAACAATTATATTGGAATTGAGGTAAAGAGGGGATCAAGAAAATGCTTAAAGCACTTGATAAGAAGCCTCGAACAGTATGTAGAGAATTCAAAGAGTCATGGAGAAACGGAAACATGAATGCACCAGACTGCCTCAAGTATATCTCTTGTAAACACTTATACCATACATAAATGTAGCCTTTATTAACAAGCAAAAGAATGCCAGCGGATTGACATTATTGCACCCAATCACCGAACATAGAATCCTTCTATCAACGCTTTTGATTCATTTATTGACATTCGTTAACTGCACACAATCAACTGAGGTTCAGTTTCCCAGCAATCATTGCTAGTTGCTACTAACACACTAATAGCAATTTTACGACGGAATCTTAGATCTCATAACACATGCTCATTATGATCCTCGGCCTCGAGTTTTTCACTCTGTAATTACAACTTTTGCTTGCGTTGCTAAGAATTTTGGGACTGTCTGTGCTCATTGTTGAAACAGGTTAGCAGCGCAGATATTGGAATGGTCAATAGTGACTACAAGGGAGCTGACACTGGAATGTCACTTGCCTGCTTCGGGCGACGTCTCCGTGCCCAAATTGCCAAGGAGGGTCGCCACGGCCGAGAGTTTGCGCATGCATCTGTTGGCTAAAATCTGCTCACACCCCAAAGGGCCCAGGCTAGGCTAGTACTGACTCCAGAATAATGATTTGACAATTTAATTGGAATCTTGGTCATATGCGTGGTCAAATATCATGCAACAGAAAGTTTCGGCACCGTTCCGTATGCCCAACGTCTCATATCCTATCATTTCATGGTTATTGATTCGTTTTTTTCGAATAAGTAAATGTCTCCCGTGAGGTTAGCTAATTAAGCTAGTCACACTGTAACTCGTATGCACTAGAACCGATACGCCGGACAGTGACGAATTATACTTTACGTGGCGAATCCGAATTCCTGCATTTTCCATATCTATGAAAAGATTGATAGATATTGACTTTTAGTCTACCATGCCTTCTCTATACGAGTTGGCATTCTTGATTCGCTAACATTTTCAACCGTCGATATCGTTTACGTTTAAAAAACGGTAATAGATATTAGTTTTTTTATCCACCAGCACCGACTGACTAATTAGCTACCACTTGGCTGTACACATGGTGTTGGCGCATCACTAGATATTATTGAAGCCTGCTTCGCCGTTTGTATTAGTAGAATAATGAACCGCGGAGAAGCTGACCACGATTGACCTAAGCCTTGCGACGACATTCAAGCTGAATGAGTCTCGAGTCTAATTCATAAATATACATATAGGGAATCCCAAGTATTTTTTCAGTTCCATCGCAATTGCGTATATTCAGACGCAGAGCAATTTCCATTCCAATGTACAATGTTACAGTCGAAGTTGTTCTAGGCGTACACTACGAGAGTCATATCTACTGAGAAAAAGGAAGAAAAAGGGAATAGAACTGAGGGACAAAGCGAAAGAGAAACGGTTCAACCCAGTCATCAATTCCACAATTATCCATGTTTTTGTTTTTGTTCTCACACATTTCATTAACTATCTTTGCCTTTATGTAAGTAGTTGGAACTGTGGAGAAAGCGCGGGGAATGGAGGCATCTGGAATGGCGGAAGAACGATAAGTATGAAATAGGCGATTAAAAAGGACTTTTAATACCACGACTAAGAACAAGGGTGTCAATGTTGAATTAGCGCGGGCCACTCAGGGGAGCCGCAGCCATCCAGCGGCAGCGGAATATCGCCCAGCACTGTCAAAGGCGAGATACTATACGCGAAACTTAAAGTGGAACCCCATCTTACTCAAGCTGGAACTTGCATTTCCCATGAATTAGTTCGGTGACTAGATGCCGAAGAAGAGAGCGGGGATGGGTATCCTGGTTCGTTTTGTCAAGATTCAGCACCTTTCTCGGAGGCGAAATAGCCTACAGCATTATAGTGTCTCGTTCTTATTGGAGATTGTCAAACCTGGCGTTACCAAGGACCGTGCAGCCATCTGTTGCACTCCTTTGTGGAGAATTCAAGCGAGCTACTAAAGAAGGATATGTGCAAGACTAGGGAAATCCTTTTGAGAACCGCAAATAAGTATAATAACTCCTATGTAACCGTGTTTCCCAACCCGATGTTTCCTTTGCATTGCAATCTTTAGCACCAACAAACAGACACAGTTCACACTGAGCCAGAAACACTTGACAATAAGCTGGCGCCAAGGTACCAAAAATGGTAGAGAAACAAGATCTAACTACCACTCATGAGGAAGGCGTTCACGGTGTTGGCGAAGATACGACATACGTCGTCCCTGGATACGGCGAGACTGCAAAGCCTGAGGGTGCTAAGACTAAGAAAGTCTTCAACGTTCGTTTATTCTCCTGTTTATCGTGATTCAAGAATTACTGATATGGGTCTTTATCTCCATACTAGGCTTTACTCTATGCCGCAATCGAGGAGACAGATATCGAGCGATGGAGCAAGACCTCAATTCACCTGTACTGTAAGTGTACTCGAAGAGTACTATATCTCACACGGATTCGATGAAGCCTAATGAGTATTATTAAAAATAGTTGCCATTTTCGTTTCCTTCTGTTGTGCCTGCGCCAATGGCTATGATGGTGAGTCTTCATTTACTTGCAGAGTTTCCGTGTTTCCGTATCTCTATTATATCCCCAGGAGTTAAATGGCTGTTGATACCACTATCTAGGCTCACTTATGGGAGCGGCGTTGGCCATGAAATATTTTCAGAACACATTTCATACTGGTCTGTCAGGAGAGAAAGTCTCCGTGGTGACTGCACTATATACGGTGTACGTATCTATCATATCTGGCCGTACGATATAACCCAGCTCACACCACATTTATCATTCTAGTGGTTCTATGGTTGCTGCACCACTAAGTGCCGTGGTATCGGACAAACTGGGGCGGCGTAAATGTATGTTTGTTGGTGCATGGGTGATCATTATTGGTTCTATCCTTGTCGCCAGTTCCCACTCTCTTGCGCAGTTCGTTGTAGGCCGCTGGGTCCTCGGCGTGGGTATTCAAGTTATGATTGTCTCAGCCCCTGCATACGCTGTTGAGATAGCTCCACCTCACTGGCGTGGCCGTGCTGTGGGTAGGTCTTCTAACTAAAAGAACCTTATGGACATAGAGGGAGCACTGACCTAGGCAGGATTTTACAACTGCGGCTGGTTTGGGGGCTCAATTCCTGCTGCTGCGATTACATTTGGAACAAATTATATCGACAGTAACTGGTCATGGAGAATACCTTTCATTTGTCAATGCTTCGCGTGTGTCATTGTCATATTTGCTGTTTGGTTTATTCCTGAATCGCCTCGTTGGTTAATGGCCCATGACCGCCATGATGAGGCCGTTGCCTTCTTGGTAAAGTATCACGGAAACGGCGACCCCAACGCCAGACTTGTACGTCTTGAAGTTGAGGAAATGCGCGAAGGTATTAGAATTGATGGCATTGATAAGAGATGGTGGGACTGTATGTTGACACTCTCTTTGTGGCTTAAAAGACCGATGCTGATATTAATACAACAGACCGGCCATTCATCTTTAGCCACAGCGGTCGTTGGCGCTTTCTACAAGTAATTATGATCTCTGTTTTTGGGCAGTGGTCTGGAAATGGTCTTGGATACTTTAACCCAACGATATATGAGTCACTCGGTTATACATCAAGCTCCATGCAACTATTGTTGAATTTGGTGAACTCTATTGTGTCGGCCATAGGGGCTCTTACTGCTGTGTACTTTACAGATCGCATGCCACGTCGTCCAGTTTTAGTCTGGGGCACCTTGGGTAAGTGTCGCAACTTGCATTCTACATATCCTTCCCCATTTTCCTTCCCCGTCAAAAAGTTTACGAAATTTGTGATTATTTAGCAATTTAGTCAGTATGAACTAACACATTAAAAATAAATAGCCTGCGCAGTGACAATGGCAATCAACGCCGGTGTCTCTGAACCATTGATCTCCGAAAAGGCGACCACGGGAACTATCAACAACACCTACGGCCAGGTAGCACTGGCATTTTACTACCTCTTCAACGTAGTTTTCTCTTTTACGTATACTCCACTGCAGGGTGTCATTCCCGCCGAGGCCCTTGAAACAACAACTCGTGCCAAAGGTTTGGCTCTGTCTGGTTTTATGGTCAACTGCATTGGCTTTATTAGCCAGTTTGCCTCGCCAATTGGCTTGGCAAATATTTCCACGAATTATTTCTGGATTTTCGTTGGTTGGGATGTTTTCGAAGCGCTGTGTTGGTATTTATTTGGGTAAGATATAACAACTACCCTTCTGTTTTCTGTTACCTTGTTTTGGATTCTTCAATTTTTCTTATTATTGATTGTGCTAATATAACGGTATAGTGTGGAAGCCCAGGGTCGTACCCTTGAAGAATTAGAGTGGATCTATCAGCAGCCAAACCCAGTCAAGGCGTCTCAGAACCTGGATAGAGTTGTCGTTCAATCGGATGGCCGTGTGACGGAGAAAATCGATGATGAGAATTAATTTCTACCAATCCAACCAGGAACATCGTCACGTGCGATGCGCCTTTCTCTATATCACATTACAAGTATTAACATTGAAAGCCAAGAGATATTCCTCGTTTACTTGTTCGTCCTAAATGCTGATAAGAGGTGGAGGTAGTATTATTGCGAATTTAGCGAGCGTGTATCTTCTCGCTAGTTTATTGATCTTCTCCAGAAAATCGATTTGATACTGGTGTGATTTTCTATATGTATTAACTTCATTTACAATAGCAAATTTGAACCGTGCCGTGAATGTGTTGGCGTATAACTGCAACTGATACAATGAGAAGGCTTCGTAATTACTGGAGTCCACCCAAGTGTTGAGAAACCGCTTCTAAGGTATGCTTTCCAAAACGAATAGTTGTTCGAATTTCATCTATCTTTTACTGAAAATGATGATATTGCATCATTATGTTATATAATTTATCATTTGGTTCAGTAAAACCGAGGGGTTTCCGAGAGAAACATAGGAACATATTGTGTTTTGAGCACCACCTCAATAGGTTTGTACCATCATGGAATTATTCACGTGCACATACCAGCCGTCAGATTTACAGTAATATCATTAGACACTTAGGCGGAAAGGTTAATGATGATGATTATTATCGTCTAACGACTGTACCGAGCTCCAGCCTTTGACGGTCGGGTAGCACGCGACGCGGCGTCAAAATGTCGTGGCTTATGCCGGCTCACATTCTTGAGTTGCACTGTACTTCCGGCTATATGCAGAATCTATTTAGTACTCTTTTTTTAGCGGCACCTTTGCGATGCTGGAAGGAGACCTATCTGCAGTCGGCATATTTCTAAGAGGGTGGTTATCATCCCCTTATCATCCTGATTCTGTGGTGATAGGCTAACTTGACAAGCATGATCGCCACGCGTCCGCCGTAACTTGTTGTTTTATCCTAACTTGTTCATTTGCTAATAATTTATCGTTCATTTTGATTTCTACTTCGCAAAATGATGTAAAGTGTCTTTTTAATATAGAGCGACAAGCATTTATAGCTATCATATATCTATTGATATCTATGCTTTAATAGGTAAGTAGCATGAAATCCGCCCTCCCTGTTCGCTGAAAATACTGGACGGCGGACTACTCGTAACTTGGATCTAATTCCTCTTCAACTACGAAAGTGGGGTATTGCTAGTTTTGTCTGAGAGCGCATAACCCTAATTTCGAAGCCAATGATAGCACGTGGCAGCATACTGGATATCGGATGCATTCCATGAAGCGACATGGAAGTTTGTAAGCTGTATGATTGCAGTTGGCATGACCTACAGAGAGTCTCTAGCTATTGTTGCCACCACATTCCTGATTATACCCGTGGTCATCTCAGCTAATGGAGCTATCGGTGTATTGTATCACTCTCCATTTCCTGTCCTAGCTCGCGCTAGCTGAGGATTCTGCGGATTATATATTGCAATTGTGTTCGAATAATTCTAACTGAATTCTGGTTTGTGATTCAGATTTACAACGGCAGCAAATTCGTGACCGTTATGGTTACCAATGTCTGGCCTAGTTATGCGAGACTACTAAACTATATACTAGCTTCTCAGGCATCAAGACCAATGAATTGATCAGTTTCTGCGTATTTTCAGTGGTGCAATTTCCTTTTTGTGTATAAACCCTAATAAAACTCGGTGCCTATTTGGGGCAAAATCTATAGTCTTTCCAGTTGCCTGGATCACCATTTTTATTTGGGCATTCAAATCAACCGGGATAGGACGCTATTTGACCAGAAACCATCAGTCAATGGCAACTAAGTAACGTGCCAAAGCGCCGCAAAAAGACCTTTTGAAATGTGAATTTTTAACGTTTCAAACGGTCTGACTTCTCTCGATACTCCCGCATGAATGTGAAGTGGCGGCTAGTGTAGATTCTCATGTTGCCTATTTTCCTTTACTTTCATTGCTTTCATCGGTGTCGCGTCATCTTCGGCAGGGAATAATGTCTATCCCCTTGAAGAAATCCCGGGGGACCACAACGTCCTAATTGGTTTCTAGGGTAGCCATACATGCCAGTGCTTCGGGGCGCCAACATTCGCTCTAGCATCTTTGGGAGTATACATATCTGCAAATTTTCTCTCAGCCGCCAATGATTCTGCCGGTCTTGCACCGCAATATCTCAATATTCGACGTAGCTTAATACCGTGCACCGTCTTTGCCTAGACTCTTGTACCATGGAAAATCCTGGAATCTGCTGGTAGCTTTTTGGGCTTTATGTCCACCTACACAATATTTCTAGGCTCCGTCGCCGCAATCATATTATTAGAGTTTGGCTGATAAAAAAAGTCAAGTATGATTCCTTGGCATTATAGCAGCCTAATGGCATCTATAAACACTCGGAATGGAGAGTCAACTGGTGCGCTTGGATATCATTTGGCGTTGGTATTGCGAGTAGCCTACCTGGTTTAATCAACTCAGTGAGAATTCCTGTTGATGTTGGCGTCGGTGCTTGTCCATACCAGTTCAGTGGGTTGCTCGGTTTCTTCTCCACGACTATTTTGTATATAATTTGGTCGTATGCTTTTACTGTACAATATGGGAAAATGCTGGGTCCCGAAAACTGCCTTGCAACCGTTGTGAACTATTGTGTAACGTTTCTAGTTTGAGATGTTTTGCAAAAACTTATACACATCCCGCCATTACCAAACATTAATGATATGTTGTCAAATTTAGAAATATTTCCTAAATTGGCAATGCTGCGGCAACGTTGTAGTACTGTTACAAGTTTGTCAAAGGTTACAAGCGCATCAATTATTTGCGGCATGTTTCCAAAGTGTTTTGTTATTATTGAAGCTATTTATATGAATGTGTGCCAATGCGCCTTGCTTCCTCACTGCCTTGTCTGCCTGAGTGCGTTCCTGAGCGTTGGAGGTCAGTAGTGCGATGAGTAGTATAAAGTTAAATGCACACCTAATTATATATATATAAGAAAGCATGAGAGGGAGTGTAAGAGAGCTATTATACCCGTAGATAAACAAACCTTGTCGGCGCTTAATTAGAAAGACACATATCTATATAGTTATATAAGTATAGAAATGGTTTAAGATTTAGAAATATTTCTCTTATTACCCAGTGTCAACAAAGATTTTAGTAGATGATTTGGAAACATAACTTTGATAATAATATTTCAAACATTCTGAATGTGGCAACACCAAATTACGGCTTGCAACCATTACGAAATGTTATTTAACAATTTTCATACTGGCAGTGCTTGTACAACCGTTTCCACGTCCCTGCATCTGCCCGTATTGTACGCGAAGCTTGAATTGGGTGCGCTGTTTACCCGGATCAAGTCTATCAGGCAAGAAGTATGTGTGAACCTAGAAAGTTTTAATACCTAGGGGAGAATTGCCTAAAAGGCGGCATGTTAAAAATACATTAGATTTGCCACCATGTACAATTCCATTTGGAGATCTGTATACTTCGTGATATCGTAACCGATCAATACTATCTTTTGGATAACCATCCGCTAGCATTAAATCTGTAATAATAGTACATTTATCAATATTTCTGACATACTTAATCGAATATTCACATAAATCTAACCTACCAATGGCCATGTGTTTTTATACTAGTGCATGAAATGTTCAAACTTTTTAGAGAGGTTTGTGTCAAAACATCTCAATCTCTGTGTGACCATGGTCGTCGTACTATATTTGCCGGGCGTAAAATTTGATAGGTCCAAGCTTGACTTCTTAGATTTATGAGTCCTATCATTGGTACGTATATGTACTCTGATTCAAAAGGTAGCAACAACTTAGGTAAAATACAGTTCCTAGGCGCAACGACGAAGGTCATGTATGCCTGAAATCGAACTTTCCATAAAGATTGCAACAATTTCCAGTTACCTATACTTCTCGTTGGGCTAATTTACTATTCAATGTCCCGCCGTTCGTTATTCTTATCTGAATGGTAGTTGATTATCTTCGTTAATGTTTGTTTCCTTGTTGTCGCGGCATGATACCCCACCAATACGAGTCTCTTTGGATCCGATTTATCGTGTTACTCCCATCACTTGCCAAAAGAGACCTATTTCACAACTAGCTGCATCTATCACCAATGACCTAGAAGACCTAACATAGCATCCAAGCTTTCGGAGAATACAAGAAACGGAATGAACCATGACATGCTTGATAGTTAAATAATGGTTTTTCAATGTATCTCTTAAAACTAGACAAAAGCAAAGGTCGGAGTATCTCTACATTTTGAATATCGGTGACAAACTGAACAAGAAGAATAAAAGAAAAGACCCTTCTCATGAAACCTAGCTAGTTGAGTGTGGTATCATAGCCAAATTTAATTACTCTCATATATCTTCAGTGAGTTCACCCGCCAGTATGTATCGGCAAAGGCAAAAGGGTTATTTTGAACGTAAGTGATACAAGTACTAGCCTTACTAGAGCAGCCACTTGATTCCCAAACGCTACCAGTCCAATAACCGCAAAATGTAATGTCGAAAACCTAAAGATGACATATGTCAATATTATGGTTTCTCCATCGAATAAAGGTGCAAAAGAAGGAATGAAGACTCTAATAAAAAGCAAATGCTTACGATCTGATGAGAACCAAAGTGACTATCAATATGGCAGTCCCCTTCGAAGAGTGCAGCAGGCGTTCCCCACCCACTTGGATTGGGGCCTCCACCGGAAATATCAGCAGGAACACTGTCGCGAGAGAAGAAAAAAGTTCGGATATAGCTTCTGGTCCATTCCATTGCATACACGCCTCCACTAGCGTTGTTGAATCCGGTTCCGTATGAAGAGGCTGATGCCGACGTTATGGCGCAACCAGCGTTGCTACTTTGACCGGTTGCATTAACGTAACAGTTAGATATCGAGAGCGTCCCCGTAAACCCCGAATCTCTGACAGTACAATCGTTGCTAGTATGAAGTGTCATAGCATCGTTTGTCTGTAGATTAACGCCTTCAATGATGTCAATCTTACCGTGATTTGGCCAGTCCGAGCCAAGAGTCCAGCTGTACAATTAGTTCAAAAGAAATAAAAACATTAAAAATATCAATAATGTAACGATCGTGATACATACAAAGCCGGCCAGGTTCCACATATAGAACCTGGCATATGAGCTAAGTTGAGGATAAATAAGCCGTGTGTGTAGCTCGCAGTGCTAGTAAGACGCACACTTTGACGACCAGTCCCCTCAGCGTTATTTTTAGTGTCTACTCCGATGTATGTGGAATCATCGCTACCAGCAGAGATAAGACCAGCACTTTCATATTGCATTGTTTATTGCAAGTCGCTACTGTTTTTACCCTTTGCATTCCCCTAATTTGCCTTCAATTTCGAGTTTCATTCGCTTGCCTTTTGGCACTCTTGTGATCGCGAATGGAGTTCGATCGGTTCTTATGGCCATGTGGTGTGGTGTGAGGCAAAACTCACGTGTAACAGGCGTGCAGCTCCAAAATACAATCTGCGAGATGCCTCGTGACCAACCACTGTATTTTGCTATGTAGAATTTATTATTCCGCTATTGTCGTACCGTGGAATTTCTCATTTTTCCGACACTCAAATTCAGCCGAGGTATGGGGCCGGAGAAAAATAGAATAACCCTTCAACCAGTGTTTGGTAAATTGCCTATTATCAGTTACGTGTGTAAGGTACATCCATCATTTCAACATTCCAACTTGGACGTCTTGTATGGTATTAACATTCAAAAGCACAATTCTTCCCTGATAGCTGGGTGACTTCTATACAAGCTATATAACTTTCCATACAGCCACTAGCGAAAGCTTCGGCCTAATGCTGATTTAGTACAAAAGTTACAATCTTATTTTTATTTAAATATTATATTGTTACAGTAGAATATTTACATTGATAATTAAGGGTTAGTTTTTACAAAAGGCATTTAGGCTGAGACTTTCTGCGGAGAGTGTATAGATACTTATTTACCATCATATATTTAGAAGATTGTGTTATATTTTCATATTAAATAGCATACTACTATTTATACTCCAATGATTATTCTTTACTATTTTCACTGTGATAAATAGCCCTTTATTGTCTATTGCCTTACAGCTTTCCTCTTGTTAGCAGAATATCCTGAGTGACTCTTGGTCCTGGAAGAATGGTTGATTACTTTGAGAGTTATAAAGGGCAATAACCACAACTATATACTGGATGGTTTTATGAAGAATTCGTACTTATTATAATATCTTATAATTTTCTAAGCTAATTTATGAAAGAATAATAATCTCAAAAAAATGAAGACAGCTCTTTTCTAACTTTAAAATTAATAGATATCGCCTGTAGAGGTGTTCGTAGAGGCATTGAGAAGTGGTTAAAAGGTGAGGGTAAAAACGCGTACGCGTCGCGTTGTGAGTTTTGGGCTGAAACTTTTGCTAGTGGCTGTAAATATAGATTTCTAACTCCACCGACATTGATTGCGGGCTGACCTATCAATTGATGCGTTTGACTTTGATGTTGGGGGCCGCACCTCCTTTTTACAGAAAACAAAGTACGGATTACAGTGCCATCTAATGCTACTAACCCCTCAATGGCAGTTGTAGTACTTGTTTTCGTGTCACTTACCGCCTGATCGTAGGTTTTTGCTATTGATATACCTGAACGCGCAAGTGATGATTAGCAAACTGGTTGCTGACCTACTAATTTGGAAAGGCGGCTGGAGAGCTCGGCGATCTTGCATCAAAAAGGGTCTGATGAGCACAACCCTACTAGTCCCCCCACTAAAATTGTTGGTATTTATCGGTCATCGGTGCGCCAATGCTACATGATCCTGGGTAATTATTCATCGCGCCCTAGAGGGGCCAGCTGTCTGCAATATCATTTCGCTACTACTGTAACATTTTAATAGCATGGTGTAAGAAAACCGAGAATAGATCGATATTTTGAGTACCATTCTATCTGAAACGCGTTGGCCATGTGCGTCGTATACCTTATTTCTACAATAATTCCCACTTTACAAGATGTCGACGACGCAAGCCTTTGCTTGTGGAAGAAGGCTCAGCCACTATGAAACACCAGTGCATAGATTCGAATCAATGGCCAGTACAGCACTTAAGGTATATAGCTTTTACATATTCAACCGAGCACAGCTCGGGAAAACATGTACATACAAATAAAAGAGGTATGGGGTGGTGAGAGTCCTGTATATAGCTAAAAAAAAGTTGTCTGTTGCCCAAACACTAGAAAATGTGGTAAACATCTATAGGTAGATTGCAGCCACCAGCGCGTCCATTGCTGAGCTGTGCGTAGACGAATTGGCCGGGCTAACAAATGGACCTGCCCAGTTAATGCTTAACTGGTTCGTAGTATTATCCCGGTCATTGGCCCATATGCTCTGAGCGCATGACTGAATCACCTTCGCGTATAGATCATTTGGCGAAGCTTGTTGTAAAAGCAACAAGTTGCGCATAAAAATTCCCTTGAACTGAGTAGCATTAGGAAAGCAGTCGCCGGATGATTCGCAGGTCTCGTGAATGATGTTATTTGAGTCCGCAAGAAGTTTTATGGCAGCTTGAGCAATCGTATTGGCTGAGTCAATGTAGGATTGATTGGGAGAGGCTTTGTTTAGTTCAACAAGGCCACCAAGAACAACGCCCTGATTATATGACCAGCTAATGAATAGTGTTAGCATTACCTATCGGTCAATCTACATTTGAGAATTTTGAAAGACATTCAATACTTACGCTGTCTGGCCATTGTTTGTGCAAGGATCGGTAAGTCCATCGTTGATGGTGTTGTTCTCGTTAATCATGCCACTGGTAGCGAACCAATTCCATTCCTTCTCAGCCCATGAGATGTAGTACGACGAGTTATCGGATACACGATTGGCCAGATGGGCAGCAATGGAAAGGAAAAGCTCGTTGGTGATTGCGTTTACGTATGAATGATCGGAGTTCCAATACACTCCACCATTGCCACATCTCGTTCCCCAAGCATCAGTAACCTGCGCGATGACTGCCGTTAATCACCTGAATTGCGATATATAACCAACGCAAAAAAAGAACTTACGAGATCGTCGAACATTCCTTGAGCCAATTGCAAATAGGTATCATTTTTAGTAGCATCATATGCGGCAATCCATGCTAGAGCCCACCATCCGTTGTCGTCATACGCAGGGCCACCCCAAGCCGTTGCATTACTCGAGTCATAGTTACCACCAGATTGTTGGGGTATGTTTCCGTTCGATGAGGGACCGACAATCCACGTGTTTGCAAATATGTTTGTTGCTGATTGAAGGATAGACGAGTCATTCTTGGTTTGTGCAGCTAGTGCAAGCTCAGCCACGACGGTGAAGGCATTTGCACCATTCCACCATCCATCTCCGTCCCAAATACCAGAGCCTGGGTTATACCAACTTTGAAGGGTGTAGAAAGCTTGCTTGACATTAGTGATCTGTGCAGAGCTTCCTGCAGCGAGAAGCAGTGCCGAGTTGACTAGAGCAGCTTTTAAAATCATCTCGTAGTCAAATGAAAGACAAAAAGTGGGAAGACTTGAGGAGTATCTGAAGTTAGCGAGTGTACAAAAACCTATTCGATTATCATTAGAAAATTATATGTTGGGTCATAATCATATTTATACTACGAAGGCCGCCATGGCTTCTACTAGCTGTCTCATAGTGCATTCAACGCCACTGCTGACAGCGCATTGTCAGCAACGGCGATAGTTGGAACTAGTCACCAGGTTACATCCACCTACAGGCCACTACGGAGTACACCAAATAAAAAGAATGCATTGATGGGCCACATGGTTGGAATTGGGATTCAGTATTTATCGTATTTATTTTATGTGAGAGGGAAATTCTATTGCAATAATATATAAGCATTCGCGGCTCTGTCGCGTGATGGGAATAGTTACTTGATTTCATTAACCCTTGAGCGGTAAGCTGTAAGAGTTGTTAGATGCTATTGTGACCGTGTTTAAGAGAATGGTTGCTTTGCATTTCATCAAATATTTGAAATGTTAATTATTAAGTGCATTATCTAAGTACGACATGAGGAATTATTAAAAACTAAAAAAAAGAAGAAAAGTCTCTATATGAAACTGGGTGAGTGTTTTCTACACCCCCCGAAAGCCCTACAGTTCCTTGTGGATCTCCCTCATGCCAGAACAAGGCCCCCAACAGGACCCCGGAGTACTACATAAAGGCGTCCACTGAAAGACGGATTCTTGTGCTAATAATTTGGCTTTATTATTCGGCCCGATGCAGAATTATTATTATTATTATAGTCAATTTTAACGACCTTACCCGACTTCACGCTATGAAGGTCTCTTTTTGGTGGGCACTAGGGGATTCCTTTGGGGCCTAAGCTCCCTATCCTCCGCCACCTATCCCGAACTGGTGTCGAAACATTCAAATGCCCTTACAAATGCCTTGCCCCACGCCACTTATATGGGGAGGGCGATTTGGGGGCCTTATAGGGGCCGGCAGGGCCCCAACCCCGGCCACCCTCCTGGAGGTCAAACACGTGGGCGTCACCTTGTGGCATTAATAAATAAGTTGGAGTTTAAGTTAGGACACGAATTATTGAGCCCCTAATGACCTTTATTTTATAGAAGAGGAGTTTCTTCTACTCACGTCATCTCGCGGCGAATCTCCCAGCTTTACAGTAAAATTCAAGAGTCGACTGAGATTGACCTTTAAAACGGTATTTTCTATACGGATCGATGCGTTAGATCGAATTGTGTCTTTGATCGTCCTCGTACATTGTTCTAAGATTCAGATGTTTTAGATGAGGCACAGCAATGCGACTAAATCTATTCAAGATATATCTTGGGAAGGCATTTTTAATATTCAATAATATTAAAACTATCCATATGTCCCTTTGATGCTAAAATCCTTCGGAGTGGGTCGATAAATCAGCGATTTATGTTATCCGCATTCAAATCGCCGGATTATTAGGAGATCCGAAGGAGTATGTATAGATATCATTCAAGGAATGCATGCATTTTTAACCATTCTAAGATTCGCTAAGATTCATTGTGTTGTTTTGTTAAGACCGTGATCAATACCAATATCAAATAGACGAGAATGATCATGCATACAGCCGGAAAGCTATAGTGATTAATGTAATATTCTTTTTAATCGGTCAAACAAAAGTTTCTTATGATTTGAGTAAAGTTATGTATGATTGCAGCTTAATTCATTCACCACACGCAAAATCACAGCCACAAAACCGTAACCCTAGAATTGGACTATGCCCCAATGTTAAGGACTCCCCGAAAAACCAAACGAAGTGTCTGGTCTAAATAAATTTGTTCACCTCATTGTTGACAGCATCGTTCAGGCTCTTATCCAAAATTCCGTCGGTGCCTTGTGGAGCATACTGATCGGCGAACTTATCCACAGCGTTGTCAATTCCCTGGTCAAAGGCGCTGTTGGAGTTTCCCGAACCACCCTGCTGCTGCTGCTGCTGGTTGTTGTTGTTGTTGTTGTTGTTGTTGTTGTTGTTGTTACTCGTACCGTCAAAACCACCCTGGTTGAGGAAGCCTGTTGTATCTATTAGCGACAGTAATCGCGGATGATAGAACAATTCATATGCCTTCTGCTTTATTTAATAGGCCACCAATTCCTCCAGATCCGGTTGCACCCGATCCACCCGAGTAGTCGTTGTTGTTGTTACCCTGGCCTTGGTCGTAATTTTGGTTACCTCCAAGCCCATCATTGCCTTGATTTCCACTGAAATCGTTGTCTTTGTTGTTGAAGCTCATAGTGATCAATAAGATAGCTTCCAGTATATGTGTTTCAAGGAAGGGTGAAGAAGTGATCGGTTAGTGAAAAGAATTGTGCTTCCACTCAGTACAAGGGAAAAAGCGGTTTACTCTGACCGGGCAAACAGCGACGGAGGAACGGCTCTATTTATGCCTGGCAAATCTACCCCTCCCATGTCTCGATGGAGTGGCGTCGTTGGCTGCGATGGGTGGAGTAGGCTTGATCTCATTTTTGAAATCGTATCGTGGAAAAGGTTGGCTAAGATAGCGTGAAGCTTGTTTGTGACAAGCCTCTCCGCTTGGACCAACCAACCTGAGAGTTCCACCATACGATAACGGGATAAGCGATCTGATCCCTTATCATCCTATTAATGGCCAGTAAATGGGCCATGCATATTGAGTAGTATGTTTAGCGGCCCACTCACAGTCCAGAATCAGAGCCATAGCCAATCACCCACAGCTGAAATGCTGAATGTGTCCATCCCCGACAAACATCAAATTAGAATCAATGTAACACTAGTAGTACATGTTCAATTGTTTCTGCCAATAATGGCTTCTAAAAAAGACTATTTCAAATGCTGACATACCCATGATCCATTAAAAGTAAGTAAACGAAAACAAAAAAGGCAAATATGTTGGTTTAATGATGACCCAATACATGATTGGATATGTCTGGCAATGTAAAGTTTTCCAATTGCAAACAGAAAGAAATTGGTAACCCTAGCCCCTTAATCGGAGTTCCTTTGATATCGATTGATAAGGATAATGGAGACTTCCTTATATGTAATAAAGTCAAAACACTGGAAATACGACGTAGAGTTTCAACAGACTATGCACACCACATTATGAAGAAATGGCAATTATAAAAAAACGTTGGTTAATGTCATTTGAATCCGGTATATGGCCGCATTGAATACTGGCGCGGGTCACTGTGTCTATCCTGGTCAAACGTTTTTGATCAGCACCGAGCCCGCAAAGAGGAGGAAAATAAGCAAAACAAGAAATGTTCGGGGCGGACTATGAACTTGTCTAGATTGAAGTATGCACTAGTGATATTTTGTTTAGCTTGGCTGCTGAGCACGAGGAATGCTGTTGATAGGTTGGAAGATGCTACCTTGGTTGCATTGCAATGCAACACTCATGTAGTGTTGTTAGCAATCGCTGGGTTCAATTAAAATACGGGGAGGCTAGAGACTGAGTTAACACCGTGAAAAGGAAGAGACGACGGAGACATGGTAAAAATCGAATAATCTACATCCTAAAAATGTCATCTCGAAGTCTTTGCTATAGATCAAAACCAACGGTCCAAGGTGCAGCAACAAGGTTCAATCAACAGATATTAATGGGTAATTGTATATTTTATCGTCATTTACCAAGAAACATGCGAGTATTCGTGATCAGGAATATGTACTCAGTATACTCTGCTCTCCATATGTATTTCCATCTTTAATTTAGGCACGGCCGCCACCCACTCCAATCGTGGTGGGAGTATAGGTTCGATGTCAATATCGGTAGAAGTATGACAGCTGGGTTTCAAAACAAAGTTTTTCAAAATTTGAATCAATGAGAGGTAAAGCTCTAGATATGAGAAACTGGCTTCCATTAGATATTAATAAAGGAAAACCGAACCGACTGAAACTTACTGTATGCCTATACATGTCGATGATCCTTTGGAGAACGGAATGTAGTAGTCATCTCGTTGTGCTGTTGACTGGCCACTGGTATCGTCAAGCCACCGACTAGGTCGGTAGGTATCTGGATCCGAGAAGGCATTCTCATCCCGCAGATACCAGATAGGGGAACTGCAAACCATAGTCTAAACGAATAATGTCTTAGCAGATGTCCGATGAATAGTAATTGGCACGTACCCCGCCTGGAATTTTTTTCCCTGCGACAATTGATCCCCCGGATGGTACGATTCTAGGGAGCATGGCCGCCGCGGCACCGGTCCATCTGATGCCTTCTTTAACGCAAGCCTTTAGTTTGGGAATGGCTTCAAGTTGATCCAGCTCAGTGGGCCATCCTGCCTTCGTCAAATCTAGCACTAGCTCTTTCTGGAATGATTGAAGAACAGATAATGCCCACAGGATATGTGCGAGTGTGGATGAAGTAGTATCGGTCCCGGGGCCTAGCATTTCTTTTGCTTCCGATAGCGCCGATTGCGGAGGCATTTGGAATTTGACCATGGTACTCATAAAGGAATGGTTGCATCCCGCAGCCATCTCTTTATTTACAAGAGGTTGGAGTTGTTTATCCGCCCACTGTGAGGTATTAGCATAGATCGATGAATACATGGTACCAAGAGATGTGCCTTGTTAAAGAGTTTTGTGTTTGCTGTAGAACTGGACTGCAGACGTAAAATTGAAAAAAGGAGGCTTTCGATATATTCCCAAATAATGACAGCAGTGGGAAAATTTACGTACTAAAAGCTTAGTCTTTTAGCTGTTGACGATGAACCATTAGCACTCACAATTGGCATCATAGAAGACTTCAAGTCATTGTTATGCACAACACTCAGTAAGTCTCCGGATTGTCTTAATGACTCAATTGCGCCAATTTCATTGCCGAACGCAAATCGTGCTGTTAACTTTAATGGTTAGCATATTATATTGTAACATTAGCAAAGAGGCTTGTCACCAACTATGTCAGCCTCCAAGGCACGGCACGAAGATATTAGATTGATCGGCCCTTTCTGACCTAAGTGATGCAGGACAGTACAGAATTCCGATATTTTCTCAAGCATCATGGGTGTCTGGCTAGGGACTTTACTTCTGTTGAATAAGATTCCCATCTTACGGCGACGTAATGCATGTTTCTTGGGGTCTCTAACCAGAAAGGTTAAGCCTAAAAATATATGTTCGTTATGAAAGGGGGCGCACATAATAGAAAATAGTGCTGGGTGTCCATCCTGCACGAAATGATTGTACACTCTTGGATCCTTGACAAAGAGGCTTGTTGGGGAATGAATGGCCTTGTACGCCTCTAATGAGTAAAAAGAGACTTGGTTCGGTCCTATTCTTACCAAAGGACCTAGTAGGACCATGTTAATTCCCTAAATGTGCATTTTTCCATTTCCTGTCCCTACCATGCTTTTTATGAAGTTCAGGTAGCACAAGACTAATCCTTCCGCGATACTCCATGGGAAACTCCCACAATAGACGTGATATTGGTGATAGAACTCCGGCATTGGGGATAGAAGCAAGAGGGGAAAAGAGGTAGGTGTAAACTATCTTGAGTACTATATTAACTTATTTATCAGTCGAAAGCTTGATGGTATTAACATACCCAAGAAACAGTGAAGAATATAACCCAAAGACAAATAGCTGCAAAAGTCGTCATTTTTATTGTGTTCTGAATTCCGAGATCTTGTAAAATAGAACTTTAACGTATGGGAATGAGGTTGATGACAACAGATGTCACTCTCAGATTAATACGTAATTGAGAATTTCTCCGTCAGTGTTCCTCGAAATTAGGGTTACTCGGCTGGACCTTGCGTCTCAGATCTAGACAAGTGAGTCACGCCATGATTGCTCAAATTGGTCCCGCATGATGCCATACGCCATTTTATGAGCCATGAGATTAAATGACACAGGATTTCGGGGCATCAATTGGTTATTATGTACTTTTCATGATTAGATAAACGTAAAAAATTCATATCCATATATAATTGGATGCCGCATAGAGTAGTTTTACTGTAGTTTACGACTTAATGTGCGACACCCCAAAAAAACCTTTGGTTGGACAGCATCAACACTGAATGGGTGTGCCGGCGGAACTTTTCCATTTATATTCGAAATACTTTGATGACACGTTGAACAAAGCATTGTTCCGCCGTATCAATTCACTGTTTGAAAATTCTTCAACTTTCCTGATTATGTCAAAGGTGAGGAAGTCAATATGAAAGCATAGTGTATCTGTATAGGAATATGGTTGTATAAATATTGGAACTAGATATGGAAGAAATTCAACATTGAAGGACCGCAGACTACGAAATACTCTCCTCCACTCCAATTGCACAGGCTACTACGGGCTATTATATCTGAGCTAGGTATTACTGACTATGTTGAATAGTTAACAACATGACGAACAAAAATTGAGACACGTCAATGATCTTACTTTTTCCGGTTATGGTCTGAAGCAGTTCGTCGCTCATACTTTGAATTGGTATCTCAGAGAACATATCGGCTAAATCATCATTAATTAATACGGCTAGGATGGTCGATGTTCAATTGGACTTACAATTTGAGGTTTTCTCTGTCTGTCAAATCTAATTGATTATTATCGACGATATGGGTCTCCACAGTCCCGTCTTCTTTGACCGTTTCAACGAGTCCGTTGTCAATGACTTGACTTTCTGATTGGAGGCTGTCCCGACGATTGTTCTCCTGATTAAGGTAGAATCTTAAAAACAATACTATTGTTGCAGGGAGTATTGCGGCAACCTACAAATATGCTGATCTCAATAAATATTCCCGCATATGATGTTGTTCTTAATAAACATACCACAAGTAAAATAATCCAGGTGGGTCGATAACGTGGCTATGAGGTTTTAGCCCCTGTCAAGAAAGAAGTCAACGACTAATCACTTACTTTCCATTGCGGTCGAAAAAGTTGAGGGGAAATGATATTTCCTAACCCGTACCCAATGTGATAGAGAGCAATAACGGTGGTTTTCTTGGTGTGGCCAGCGGAAACATTTGCGGCCCAAATCATGACAATGGCGTAAGATATTCCCGTTGTGGAACGAATCCATATACCTATGATGAGGCCCCAACGGTTTGACCAAGGGAGAGCTGGTAGAACGAATCAGCGATAGCCTCTAGATACGTGATCTGCGGAAGAGAGTCTACCCAGTAAAATGATACTCGAGAGACTGGCAGGAATATAGGCAAGTACAGATATCCATGCACGGCAGTTCTGGCTCGTCAGTATGGGAATTCAGCAAAGAGCTCGGTGAGTAGTTTACCTTTGTCCTATTTAATGCAAATGCAGCTGTTATAAGAGACACAAATGAAACTGCTCCCGTGACCGTGCCTAATAGTGTTGTTTGCAAAACTGTAAAGCCGAACGAGTTTATAATCAATGAGTACTGATTTGTGATGCCATTAGCCATTTCCTGGGCCCAAGCATGCAAAGCGAATAGCCATGATTTTGGGTCCTTGATAGCTTCAATGAATCTGAAATAATCAATATGTCACTGTTCACTAATATACCGAAGCCAAATGAGAGGATTGCAAGATGACATACTGGTATTTTTTAAATTGTTTTTGTTCAATGCCGGAATTATTCTCCTTGATTCGTAAGATCGCCTGTCCCCGTTCTTCGTATGTCAAGAAAGTCGCATTCAAAGGGCTGTCAGGAAAGAAAAGGTATACCAAGCCCCCGAAGATAATAGTGATAATACCGGTAACGACTTTTGAATGCCGTTAGCAGTCATCCTTCTACGGGAAGAGACACGAACCCATAAACCATTTCCATGGAGCAAAGCTACCGGTCTCTATCCATAGAACACCGTATGACAAAAGGCCCGAAGTTATCGGGCTTGCATTTCCAATCGACCACATGATCGGCATGAGAACCGCCTGTTCTTGATATGTGAAGAACATTGACATGGAGAGAAGAAACGCAGGCACAATGCTTGCTTCTGCCAATCCAAGCAACAGACGAACGGCAAAGAGAGAACCAAAGCTTTGACATGGGATGTGAAGAAGAGTTATACCGCCCCTGTACGAAACAGAAAGGTCAAACAAAGCCCCGTCGAAATAAAGATTTCAACGGAACATACCAAATCACAAGGTTACCTGCCAACCATTTAGCCACAGGGAACTTCTGTAGCGCCCAATTTTGAGGCCACTCTGCGACAAGGTAGCCGAAATAGAATACCGAGGATAGCCAGTTGTACTGGTTGGAACTTAGACGGGCATCCTCCATGATACCAAGAATTGCAGAACTGCCCAACTAATTACCATGAGACACAGAGATATTAGAAATGAGGCCATCATGTCCTGGTACTCCTGCATAGAATGTCCATACCGTTTGCTTATCCACGTACATTAGGTGGTATCCAATGCACAAAAATGGCAAAATGCGCCAGAGACATTTGTTTCGGATTCGCCTGGCTTCATCATCTGTTGGCTCCTTAACGTCGACTCTGGAGAATAGTTTGTAGCTCTCGTCAGCGAATCGATCTGGCAGTTTTGCGGCGAGGGCGAGCTCTTCATCGCTTTCCGGTCCGGTCGCGGTTGCCACAACAGCTGTCTGCTGTGTCGTCGCCATTTTCCGCGTTTTTTATTGAACACCAACAGGGGCGGCGTATCCACGATTTGCCTGAAGATTGATGCGTTATTTAAGACGTTCTCCTCTGATGATCCTTCTCCATGTTGAGCCAGCTATGGCGCAATACTATAACTATTGTCCGGGTTGTAGTCCTAGGTGCATACATAGTCTGATGGACGTCGGCCTTGTACCGATTGATATTACCGAATTAGGGGATAACCCAGGTGGTAGTACGGCGCATTGCCCACTGGGTCTGCTAATTGGACGTGAGCGGACAACATATGTGTAATACAGATCTTGAAGGTTCTTGGGAATCAAAATCAGCCCTCACAAAAACTTATGGTGAATAGCAGAAGGCAAACTCTGGGCTGTCTGCTGATGGTGTCTTATTCGCCATTTCTGCCATCATCGCCTCACGTCAAGCATGCGAGTTTGACGTGCTGTCGGAAGCGGCCAATCACGATTTATAGATAAGGGCCAAGGTGTCCCGCACCATGCCGATTGTCAACTAAGTCTTCGTATCAACTGTTAATCATGATATGCCATCCGAATTTATGAACTAACTATACCGAAGATATAACAGTATAATACTACGAGCTATAAGCCCGGAGAGATTATACCTTGCCTCGCAAAAAAATCAATTATTGACAGTAGGTGGATATTCTCGACTTGATCGCAAGTATGGCAGTACAAGACGCCCAACTACGCGTCCTCATTGCCGGAGCTGGAATTGCAGGCCTCGCGACAGCAATCGCGTTGACACGCATCTCTGGCATATCAAATCTGGATATTCAGCTTTACGAGCAGGCCCCGGAGCTGCTTGAGATTGGGGCTAGTATTGCGTTGAGTCCAAATGTATCCACCCTTAGCACAGAAATCATGTTTGGACTTAGGCCTGATCAGTGTACCGAATTTTCAAATCCAGGGAATGCGAACTCTGGAAAAGCTTGGTGTAGATAATGCCCTTAGCGACGAGATCGGGTTTCGAGGACCTAGTGACATACCACATATTTTCCGGTAAGCTCTGAGAGTGACCACTACACCCCTGTAGTATGCTTAATGACGGGGAAAGGCATTGGAAGTCCAACCAAGTCGTCTCTGTGGATACACATATCAATGTTCCGGACCGTCGTCACCAGACAACACGTTTCCATCGTGGCCATCTTCACGCTGCACTATTGAAACATGTTCCAAGAGAAGCAATTCACTTGGGTAAAAGGGTTTCACATGCAGAAGCAACCGAGGATAGAGTATCGCTGCACTTCATTGATGGTACTAGCACCTATGGTGACGTTCTAATAGGGGCAGACGGAATAAAATCAGTGCGTTGATTAGTCTCTTCCGAGCCCCGTTGCTAATATCCTAATAGAAAGTGCGGCAAGCGTACTTCCCTAACTATAGACTTAGATTTGGTGGCAAGATTTTCATGAGGGCAACGTTCGACGCCAACTTGGTTGAGGGCAAAGTTCCGAACTTGCCAGCAGATTCAACACACTGGGTATGAATATCATAGTCATTTATAGAGAAATATTGACAAATTGCCACAGTGGGGTCCTAAAGACAATTTCTTCGCTTCCAAGCTGGGTATGTTTCAATTAATTCAAATTGATCCGTCGATTGGACGTGAATCTTGGGCTAATAGACAAAGGCAAAGGTCAGTACACTACGGTAGGGGCATATGAAGATGGACGGAGTCTGGAGGAATTGGAGAAGAGCATTTCTTGGGACCAGCCTGGCGACGTTCAATTTTTGAAAGAAAAATATAAGGTATTGTCCCATTTGCTTCCAAACCCTGGCAGTTAAGTAACTCCGGTAAAAAGAACTGGAACCCGGTTGTCAAAGCACTATCTGAGCTGACCCCATACTCTCGCCTATACCCTAACTATGTCGGTGATCCCCTTCCAACGTGGGTTCTCGCATCGCGGGTGACACTAATAGGCGATGCGGCGCATGCCCATGGAGGAGCGTTCGCAGCTGGAGGTTCGTTGGCTCTTGACGATAGTCTCGCACTTGCGCTGGGATTTAAGCATACCTTTGCATCGCCTGAATCCAATATCCCGTTTTCAGCCTCGAATATTCGCAGGTCTCTCAGCTTATATGATCGTACAAGAAGACAGCATACCGAAGAGTTGTTGAGTATCGTACATCATCAACTCAACAACCAAACACCTTTATCCATAGCGCCGGAGGTAGGGGAGACGGTTCTGATATCCAGATTAAAGAACAGACCGAATACAGAATGGATGACCGAGCATGATGTTGAGAAGGCATTTGCCATTGTCGCCGCTTCACAAGAATTCGCCGTCGACGCTTCCCAGGCCAACAGGACAAATGGTCGAAAAAAGGTGGGGGGGCGGAATGACAGTATTGGTCTTAGAGAAAAACTATGACTCCATTTTAGAGTGATGCTAATGCCTTCAATCGAATGAGGCTAGGGGGAGTGACGGTTTCACAATAATGACGTCCATTGATGTTTATTGTTACCAGGCCTTGATTGAAGACCGGATATATCATATGCATATTTAGTCAAGTATTCAATCTTTCTGTATAGCAATAAACTGGCTACTATTTGACGCTGCAACATAGATCGCCGGCAGAATGCCTTGATAACACCCTAATAATAGAGCACTTCTAATCTCCTATCAAAACTCCCAGTCAACCGACTAGCCAATGGAGACATGTTTGTTGTGAGCACCAATCGCTAGTAGACGATGCTCTGCAACCAATGTTTGATCATTATCTTCCCGGTTCCAACTTGTATATTCGCCCCTTCCATATCGCCTTATCTGGCTCTCCATCTTCTCCTTCTGTAACATGAAACTATCTCTATCCATGATTTCCTTTCCAAAAGCCCGACCTAGAGTAGAACCACTATTGTTCCGCTTCTCTGCCTTACATGCTACCTGGCTTGAAGTGCCTTTCCGAGCTAGCTGGTTGATGAAATAAGGCATTTCTCTAGTGGTGCGATTGAACGATTTAAGACTTGAAGATATCGCTATCGCCGCCGTTATCCTTTGTAGTGACCTTGTGAGCATAGAAGAATATATATTCTGAGGGATGAGGAACCTGTGGAGATTTGTCATGGTTAGATATGACCACATCCTTAGGCGCCTTATTGACCGAGGCAACATTAGGTGCCAGAAGTGGCTGGTTAACTGTGATCATCCGCCATGTTTTATTTGAAAAGATTTGATAGGTTGATATTGCGTGGCCGAGAGTTGGATGTGGTGCAGATAGTTTCTCCGTGGCAGGGGCTCGGGTTATCGCGTTGGCTTAAGATGTCTACATCTAATGAAATCAATGGAGATTTTGTGGCTCTAACAATATATGCGCCGAAGGATAACAACCCCGTCACGCAACAAGAAGAAGCAAAACACAATTTTTCCGTTCAACCTTGTTTCGACTGCTGGTAGTACGCCTTGGCGCTTTGGTTAGCAATGAGCGGACTCGGCGTAGACGGCTCGCAAAGCCCCAATCTTGTCAACGCTCCCAACACAGTCATACGCTTTTATACCAGAAACCTGTTTTACTAGTCCTTTCATCACCAATAAGTTAGGGTTTCAATTGACTGTCGCTCTCCCATTGGTTGAATATCCGTTATATGCAGTGAATCTGTACATAAACAACAGATTCGGGACAACTTGGATAGTATACGTGGGCGCCATCGCATGAGATGTATCAGCGGGGTTCTCCTGGTCTGTTGATGGGGTAACCGTGACTGGGTATCTAGAGTAGCATAAAAAAGGGAGTTACATTGTGATATGGTTTCATTCAGCAACATGGGTAATTTGATTAGTGGTTCCATCCCACTCGCTATCAATCATAACGTTCCAAAGAAAGAGGCAGCCGGGTGCCAAACCTGTCGTAGATTTATGGCAATACAGTATGTAGGCCTGTTTTGGTGTTTGTTTTTTCGAACCTAGAGAGGGTGCAGCGTAATGACAGCACTGCAATTCAAGCGCAGAGAGGAATCAATCATCTGACAGAAATTCAGACAATGTTGCAACTGGCATGTATCAAATTTATATTGTTATTTACACCGCCGTTTGGTATCTTATCTGCGCGTAAATATATCTGGAAATACACTTAGGGAAGCATTCATTATTCGAATATATGTATCAAGACGTTTTCTATCTGCTACTACATGTATAGGTACTATGACAATCTAGCTTGTTAATATCTTCGTCGTCGTATTATAACATAGTAATTGAAGAGTTTAGATAACTATTTTTACAATGCCTAATAGTATAATATACATATAATATAGATTCGGGTAGTGTATTTTATAATCAAGATTGATATCAATTGATATTAGGCTGGTATTAAACCTGGTGCATAAATCTGTTTTGTTTTTTTTTTTTTTGTTTTTATTGGAATGTATTTACAGTACATGCTTATATGTTTGAACAGGTACGTCTTTCCATGGCCAAGAACTATATCTATTAGTGTATAGGAAGCTTGTCTAATTCCTCCAGGGATTAGATCTAATATAGCTCCTTGCTGAGAGTTAATAAAATGGCAGGTGTGGCTGCCTCTTTAGGGGTTCAAGCTATCCCAATAGCCTTGTTCGCCACAGCGAGCATTAATTTCGGATTTTGGTTTGCAGCCTCACATCGCTTTCCGCTACTATGCAACCGTTCAAGTCGTCAATAAATTTCGCAAGCTACCAGTGATTAAATAAGCGAGTATAATAAAAATGATTTTTGCAATCGATCGGACAATCCGGAGAGTAGTTTGCGACCATCCATAATAATATTATTATTGAATAGTAGAGCATCAATTATCTGGTGCATCACATCAATTGACATACATGAACTTGATCCATAAATCTTATATGTACCAGAGACTTGACATTCGTAGGGCGCCTGGCGAATTATATATTGACTGTTAGTTATATGGGCAAAAGTCTAATATATAACGAGTTAGCCTATCGGTGCGCAGGGTCTATTAATTAACTTGAGCCGGGCTAGTGTGGTAAATGCAGGATTAGTAAGTGAATTACCTGGTTGGAAACTAGTTAAGCAGATACTTTTTAGTCAAACTTAAAGAGAATTAAGGCCTTCAATTCACAAATGAAATAATATCTGTAATGTTATAAATATCTTCAGTTTCTGCCTTTTATGCTTAGTCTTAGAGCAGACAGAGTCTAGGTAAAGTTAGTTAATAGTATTGGACCGAAGAGGGTACACGCTGAGGACGCAAAGCCTCACTCTTCTTTGTGGCAGTGCTAGCAGCCTAATGTCCAGATCGGGTAATCATAAACGAGCGGCGGACTGAGAGCCGCAAATTTCGTCGCATTGAGAGTCCCCAGAATTTTAATGGTATAAATGGTATAAGTAATTAAGCTTCGGCTGATGTGTTTGGTGAAAAAGCAATATAATTGAATCCAGCCAAAAAAAGGAAAAAAAATCGAGATGAGCTATAACTCAAGCAATACACACAATGTGGGTTGTTCCTTAATTTACCTATATATTGTTATCGAAGAGCCAGCGCAAGCTCATGGAAATGCCATTTTCTTATTGCATTTCATAATTATCTAGATTCTGGTCCAATGCCCTAAAACTTCTGCCGTGGTGTTTACGACGACATGGTATGTCCCCATCAACAGTCCAGCCTTCACCGTCTGCTCAAAATGCTGGGAGGATAAAATTCGGACTACACAATTCGCCGGACAGTTCCAAGCGGAAAGGTTTTCAGCAGATCCAAGAAGATTCTGTCTCTGGAATAGTGAGAAAATGAATCGCTTGGGAGCGGCTACCCTGAATGACCGTGCCTGGGAATTGATCCGCCAATATATGATTGACCGAGGAAAAATTCAGAATTGTACAGGACCAACTATTGGTTTAACGGCGTCTACAGCAACTGGTGGGTATTCCTGGTATAGTCTTAGAAACAAGGAAATTTCTGGTTTCGTCTGCTGTGAAGCATGTTACAGTGATACAGTCCGCGCAACAGCTTTCGCGGACAAATTTGTCCTCGAAAACGGTGGTGTCAATGGTCAATCGGTCACCTGCGATATGGCTATCAGTTTCATAAAAAAGAGTCTTTTAGATAACTCTATCACACAAAACTGGCCTTTGTTCATCCAATCAGCAGCTGCAAGAATGAGAATTCCGGCCTGTAATTCTTTAAAAGGTGCGCCATGTTCCTCTACGCTTTGGTACATGCCGAATCCACCCATGAATCGGATACTTATTTGTGGTGCTTGTTTTCATGATGGGGCTGATCTAACTCCAATGGCACCGAGTTTCTCACAAGTTCAGGTACCGGAAAATAGAAAAGGCGAAATTTGGGATTGCGCAAACTCAAACACGGTATTGGGTATGGTCGTGGCTTGGAACGAGGCATGCGATAAGAAAAACGTTGCTCTTTGGCATAATGCGGCATCAATAATTCAAAACTTGCCACCCTGCACAAAAGATGGCATTACTAATGGGGTCTGGTATACACTCAGTGGCTGCCCTGATTTCAAAATCTGTGGTCGCTGTTTTGTGGGAATCATACAACCCTTCGGACTCGGTAGGTATTTCCAACACACTGGTGGTCCTGCAGACGGTTCAGCATACATCTGCGACCTCTTCCCCGGGTTTCCAAGGGCACAGAGCTATTTCTTAAAGATAGATGAAGCAGTAGGGGTCAATGATTTTTCCATATTCCACAACTTCGTCGCGAGGCTGGCCCCTCTTCCTCCATGTCCAAAAGACGGCCCATGGACAAATCGTCTATGGTATTGCGGTGAAGAAGCCACTATTTGCGAAAGCTGCTATGAAGAAGCAATTCGAAACACTAGCCTGGCCGGTACTTTAACATTGCAAAAACGCACAGAGGAATTTATCTGTGATGCGTACTCGCCCCGCATGCGCCGCCTATGGGATGAAGCTTGTGCCAAAAATAACATCCAATCCTTCAACGTTGCGCTTCGTGAACGCAGGCAAGTCTACCAGGCAACTATGCCTCGGATGAGGATGATTCTGGAAATGGCTAAAATGCGAATGAATACTCAAGCAACGCTCTTTATGTCCTCGACTTTGCTACAAGGAGCTGATAATATTGTATCGGCGTCACAGTCCCATCGTACGCATGACTACGGCAATTCGCAGATTGGATATCATTGGGCAACAGCTGCAGGCGCACAGGGTGCAATGCAGTTTCAGCAGGCACTGAACATGAATATTGCTCCCACCGGTGATATGGCAGAGATGTCACAATTAGGGGCCTGTTGGAGACAATATGAATAGATGTAGTGGATTAACTATTAAATTGACAGTTGTGATAAACCTACCTCTAGTACGTCATCAAGCAAATCCCCAGCAATAGATGTCATATGGAAGGCATTTCTAAACTTCATAGCCATTTTCCTAAGTAAATGGCCCCCTTAAGATAATATTGTCATTATATAGAGTAAGAAAATACCATTAACATATTAAAATCATATAATCTGCCTATGAATCGACGTATGAAATAAGAAAGGGAATAACGGAGTCAAACGTAGACATGGATCGGTAACAGACTAATGTAGCAGCGGGAACAGCGTCTGTCGGAATTGGGCTATTATCCTGTCCGCGCAGATTGCCCCAAAGAACTCAACATAACAGAAAATTTCCCTTTGTTCTCAAGGGTGTGTATGATGCTATATATGCTGTTGGAAGGCGTAAATCCCAGACTGTCCCTCTTTCTTTCTCCCAGCATTTCAGAGAATTTGCGAAACGTTCATGAGTGTACCCCGCGATATTTCATTTATTCATTATCAGGTAAAACAGTATAGACCAATAGGAAGTCTGAATGATATCAGAATTCAAGCTGTAAGTGTAATTTGCTAGGTAGTAGTTGCTTTTCAGTTCTACGAATATCACAGGTATTCCTAATTCCAGTGTTCGAGGTTTCCTATTCTGAGCATTAACGATCCGTGTCTAGAGCTCAGGGTGGCAGGGCCAAGTAAAGCCACTAATATGATCAAATAAACCGCACATTGTGGTTGTATCACCGTATGAAGGCTTGCTTAAGTTTTCTAATTCTTTCATACACCTGAAAGAGCTAGTTGCAGAGGCGAGACAAACTCATATTTTTATCTTCTATGGTCTGCATTACACCACTAAAGATGGAACTTATTCTGGCACAAACCACATGAATGCGTCGCATATTTGGATTAAAGATAATAGATCATTTGACGAAGCATTTGATAGGCAGATTTTAAGAGAATTTGCATCTCAGCCTAGGAATGGCGAGGTAGTTATCTCCTGACACTGGAAAAACAGGTTAGTACTAAATATAAATCCGAATTAAGCACTAATTCTACATTATTTCTGAATGCTGACATATAAAATAACAGTCCTTTCTTAAATACCGACCTGGAATATCAGTTCTAGCTGCGAGATATCACTTATATTGTCTCGGCAGGTTTGACCACTAACACATGCGTTGAGACTACCGTGTGCCATGCTCGTGTGCCATGCTCGTGAAATGTAAGTATCTCTCTCCTACTTATTCCTTTTTTTAATTCAAGATGTTCTACTGAACACATTCTTTGAACTATAGGTTCCATGTCACTTTACTGCAAGTTACGAATATTGTTTAGGGTGAAAGGTTAACAATATTTTGGGCGATTTAATAGCATACGACTGTGGGAGGAGGATACTAGGTAAGTTACGATGAAATAAGCTTAGTATTGGGAAGATAGACGCAAGAATTACAATCCAATCTTTAATAACCTTCTGAGACAATCCCCTATTCACCACTCAATCACCATAAAGCCAGTAAAATGATTCCAATTGCTACAAATGTGATAGTCCTTCCATCAGACTAGGAGTAAACTAATCCACCGAATTGCATTCTGAGTAATAGGGCAGTGACTGCTCTAGAAATACAATCATACCGAGGAAATCAGTCTACACATGCGCCCCTGTCAGGCTTGAGATGGTCTGAACGTCTCTTTTGTGCTTGGTCATTTTTGTCAATCTCTTTCTTCAGAGAATGATACCGGGGACAATTACTGCCGCGGATGTGATTGGGTTTAAATTAAAGCACCTGTAAAATTCAGTATCTCTGCAAATAAAGTAGTAAACACAAGTTGTACCATCTCCATGTCGTGGAAGTGGTTGTTATAGCGCCTACTATATGAATCCAGCTAAAAGGTCCCATTACATACAGGAGTCTTGATTTCGGGATTTCCTCAGAGAAGAGTGTAAGTCTTCCAGAAAGCACACTTCAGCCACCGATTCCCGCAAACACGCAGCCAACAATGAATGTCGCTGATAGTGGTGCTGCAGCCTGCAAAGTGTATACAGCTTCGAAAATAAGGAGGGAGGCTAGGTACGTGGCCCGCGGTGGAAAGTCCTTGTGAAACCAACTGAACAGTAACTGGCAGGTACATAGATTGAAGACATTTGCCGGGCCATACTATCTAATTAGGCTAAAAGAGTCGAACTCGTTAGAAACTTTTGCGATAGCCGTAGCAGGATAGCCTCATCCACCCAGACCAGAAAGGAAATCAGAGCTATGGGTATGCATAGTGGGAAGATTCAAGACAATGACACTTCGTTTCCATCATCAATAGACGAAGATAACTACACATCTGTGCTTTTCTCGATATCTGGTACTTCCTTCTCTATAGAGCTCACGCATGGCTCGATTTGTCGAAATTCAATTTCTAATTGGTCAGTCTCTCATCCCCCTGGCGGCAAAATAAACTATATCAGCCTCTCTGTGCACGACAGACGGGACTTTCAATCTAAATTTGAGATGAGTCAACATTATATATAAGTCACGAGGTGAACGTAATTGGTGACCATAACATCATCGTCTTCGGTCTGCGGTCCATCGAATAAAGACCCTATACAATCATGATTATAACGATCATAAGGCACTTGTGATGCAATGTACAGTTTTTGCCGCTTGCCTATCTGCCAATCGGAGCTGGATCTGGAATTATATCTTATATTGGAGGTTAGATTGGCAATAATGGCAATCCCCCAGGTTATGATTTATCTTTGTATATAGAATTTACGGTAGATTGTCCTCCCAACATACTGTGACACCTCTCAAAAAGTCACGCTTGGTTTTATAAGATGGCCGAGTTAATAGATAAAAAACTTGATCCTATTTCTATCGCAAACGAACATAATAGGTGGTGTGTGTCGATTGAGAGCAACCCTCAAGTCCAACAAGTACCCGAGTTATTTTAAATGGGTATGCACTACTACACTATCGCGATAACTGGACGCGAATTACAGTACCCACAAATCTAGCATTTCTAAATAATTCCCGAGATGCGGAAGATGCCCTCGCTCTAGACAGCTCATTTCGGAAGCAATGAGGTTGAGGTTAGCACTACCTGGCTATGGGACTGATAGTCGGAGTAAATAGTAAGCAGAATGGGGGTGAGTGCGATTATACTTCCCTGGAGAGCCTAGACCCTTCAATAACAGCCTCGTCAATATTTACCATCATCACTATCCTCGCCTACTACTCGTCCTATTAACAATTACAACTAGTACAGAATGCTTGACCTTTAATATTACAGACATCAAAGAGAACTATTTAAAAAATAGCTAAGTGATATAGCTAATTGTGCAGTCATCACATTCAAATATCCTATATCTACTCCGAACCCTTATATAGCACAGTTAAATGTGACTGGCGTGTCAAGCATTTTCGTGCTTTTTATTGGTTCAGCTTATAGTTTACCCTCGTTGTTAGTGGGCTGCCCGGCTAAGAGTGCAAGGGCAATAGAATGTCACTTGGGAGGACGAATTTGGGTGACGGAAAATCTTGGCTGGCTTTTGTAAATTATTGTCGAATAAATAATTCAATATACTCTTATTCCTTAAGATGATGATCACAGAATAGAACTGTTTCTCTCAGATGAACATAATTTCCCCTTCTAACAACTAGTTGACGTAAAAGCCTGTGTCCCTACTATTATTTGCAATTTTCAGATGAAATAAATTATCAAACTTCAAGCCTAGTACTGCGATTCTATCACGAAAGGTCTTAGTGAGAAATCTAAGACATTCCAAAATTACCTTGGTGCTATTAGACCTGGATCTCCGCGGTGGGCGGCTAGCAAATACTATAACCTGCAAAATCTAATTCTGTAATGAAATGAAGACAATTTGGTGAGGAAGAGGTAGCGTTGAGCTGCTCGGAATCGGATTTTGTAGCTGAACTTATCTCAGCAGGCTCAGACTGCTCCGCGAGAAATGCCAAAGCGGCAGAAAACATACTGCCACTCTCATTGGCCACCAAAAGACCTCATTATACTGAATTCTTACGAGTTATTAAGTTAATTTTTTAAGCTTAGTTATATCTTAAAGTAATTTTAATTTATTTTAATTACTAATTTTATAATATTATATATAATAAGATTTATTAATATTTAGATAAAATTGCGTATAAATAAATAGATAAAGTTAATAATTTCTAAATTAATTAAGATTATATTAAAGATAAAAAATATATATTAAAAGATAAAATATAATCTTAAAAATTTAATTGTTGATATTTATATAGAAAAGAAAGGAGTTACTTATAAATGTTAGTATTAGATGTTCAGATCTTTTAATAAGGAACGAAGCTATGTGATCTTATTGATCAATAAGACATTAGAAGACTTAGCGTAGGCGGCAGTAAAGGCGGTGAAAGCGTTCCTCGTCTTGGGTCTGAGCTCCTGAGATAAAGCTGAACAACCGTAGGGTCTTTTGGCTGAATCAGCGCCTAAAATAATTGTCCCTGGCGCCTCCACGCTAACTTCGTCGCCAATAGTAATCTCACACGGTAAGCAGGACCGATTAGTGAGTAACGTATTTCATCTGTGAACGGGCCCTAAGTGGGTCAGCCACCTTCGATATACGTATAAAACAGGGCATTTTTAGGCCCTCAATATTTCGTCATTTTCATTGGAGAATATTATCTAAAAATGAGGTATAATATAAACTTAACTTTAGATAATATTTTTTTATACAATTAGTGAAATATTGAAAGCTAAAATTGCCAGTTTTGTACGTGTATTAGTAGCCCGTTTAGGTTAATGAGTATCCACCAGAACCCCAGGTTCACCGCCCAATCCGCGCTTAAAGTACTTTATTTCCTCCGCATTTCAAACCTCTTCATTTGCCTGGGCATAGCTGAGATAGAATTTCAGCAACCTCACAAGATTCCATCACCTATAATATTATTGAAAATATTAGATTCTTATAGCCCTTCCACTACGATGAGTCACAGTGTCGCAAAAAGGCGGCAATCTCACAAAAGGGCACGTGTTGCCTGCTCATGGTGCCATGATCGCAAGATACGATGTGATGTCTCAGTTCAAGGAATTCCCTGTACAAACTGCTTGCTTGACTGTCATGAATGTTCAGTTAACACAAAGCGATATAGAAGGTAAGCATTTCATTTATAATTCCCCCTGAAATCGGCCCTGATCCCGATACTGCATGATAGTGCTGCTCGCTCTCTATCGCCTCAAAGTAGAGCCTTGACATCACCGACGCGTGGAAATACAAGCGAACAGAGCATAGCTATTGAACCTACCAACCTTGGTGGCCCGGAATTGGTGGCCACTCAACGATTCTGCAATATACCGAGTTTTCCAACATTTGACAGCCATCTTACCTATCCATGGGAAACTGGTGAGTGACCTTTATTTCGCGTATTTTCACTGCTGCTCACTTTCAACTGGAGGTACTAACAATGGTCGAAGACAATAGGCTACCGTCAACGTTTTCGTTTTCATACCCAGACCATCTTATCTCTACAACAAATATCCCTTTCTCATCATATGACTTCGTATCCTTGGACAGCCTCAACCGGCTACCTCCCGAGGATATCAGCTTCTTAGAGCTGAAAGGGTGCCTTCATGTTCCGAATCGACCAATTCTAGATGTGCTGCTTAGGAGATATTTCTTACATGTTCATCCTTGTCTTCCGGTGTTAGATGAAGCAGAAATCTGGCGGATGTACGACGGTAACTATTCTCAAAACAGGTCTCCACAGAAGCTGTCGCTCTTGGTTCTACAAGCTATATTCTTTGCTAGCAGTGTTGTACGTCTCCACATGCTCAAATTTTCTTAAGGACATATTCACAAAAGCTAAATGAGTAGTTTGTTCCTTTGAAAACGCTCACCGACATGGGATTCCGCGATGCAAGGAGTGCTCGAACCGCCTTGTATCATCGAACAAAGGTAGGAGCTATGCTATCTACTTCTTGCTGAGACGGTGTTAATCTGGTATTACAGCTCTTGTTTAACCTAGACGCAGAGACAGATATTTTATCACGTGGCCAAGGAGCCATTCTGTTAACATTCCAAACTACAGCTTCAGACCTCTTTTCTGGAACGCACTGGCTGTCAGTAGCAATCCAATTGGCCAAGTCAGCAGAGGCTGACATCTCTGATTATGAATTGGGAGATAAAAACCCAGAGACTCTAGCAAAGAAAAGGCTGTGGTGGTGTATCATCCTTCGTGATAGAATACATTCTCTGGCCCTCAGACGACCAATTCAGCTCCGGCCAGACCAAGCTCACATTACTTGTGAATATTTGCACGAAACAGATATGGAGGATGAGATTGAACATTCAAAAGTCTACAGTGCCGATGAGAAACGACAATTGGTTCATATCTTCCGCCTCCAGTGCCAATTAGCTGTCACTATTACTGACCTCATCACAATTGTATATTCTCCCCTTTGGAGCACTCATCCGGAATATATTTCGGCAAAAAATGCTATCAACACTCAAAATGAAATTGACCAAATGAAGTATTCCCTCCAAAAATGGGCTGAAGTAGCTGCGAAGACCCTGGAAACATCATCCACATCTGCCAGTGCTATCATGTTTACTAAATTAACATACATGTACTATGAGTAAGTTGGGATAGTGGTGATTTGTGTATTCATTCCTCTCAAAACTAACTCTTCCTGTCACAGCTCTGCCCGACTTGCAGTATATCATTATGAAGCGCTAATATGGGAGACACAATACGGGTACCATTACCCAAGTAGCATACAACCCATCAAGGCAGAAATCGAAGAAGTGATGTTAAACATGAATCAGAATGTTGAAGAGTTAATCACTCAGGGGCTGGCATGCTATCTTCCGATCAGCGCGTAAGTCATTTATCAACGCCTTGCCGGTCGTTTTATATGCCTTTAAGCGAATTATTCACTCTTTTACCCTAGTATTGCGCATGCCGCCCTTCCGCTCGTGCTTAGCGCCCTCGACTCAGAACTCTCCTCAACTAGACTGCAACTAGTAGCACGGCAACGCCGGCTGCATTTTTATAAACAAATAATGCGAGTCCTTCAATCACGCTATGAAGCTGCTGATAAGGTTTGTTCGTTCGTCGACGATATTATTTCCTATTCTAAATTAAAACTCGACTTGAACTCTACTTGGATGGTCACTGGCTCTGGTGTCGATAACAAGTCTTTACACAACTTTAATAGGAATAGCGATATCGCCTCTAGGTTGCGCGAGCGATATCAAGTACCAGGACGACGAATGAAGACCATTTGCGAGTTTTTCTTTCGCCAGCCTCGCTCATATCTCCGTCTAGCTCTACTTCTAGATCATGCCCTCTCTAGAGGTCAATACCCTCGGCAAGATGACATCGAACGCCTCTGGAAGAGACTACGACTGTCTGACACCCCGCAGGTGTCTGACATGCCTGTTGGCACTATTTTACCAGACAAGTCATCCAGCAGCTTGAGCACCAATCAAACAGAATCTGTGACAACGCAGGCTCCCCGACCTATGAACTCGGTATTAGAGCTTGAGAGAGTCCCTCAGAACTCTGATTGGTTGAGCCTCCGCCCCTTAGACATTGAATTTTCGGAGACTGGTTGCATCTCCCCTTCTAATATCATGACAAATGACCTCTTGCAGTCACAAACATCCCTGGACAATTGTACTTCGGATTTTCCACCTATTGTCTCGAATATTTGGGATGATGTACATATTTGACATTGAAAATATCCAATCGGCTGATCAGAGCCCTTCACTAGTGGACTTGGCTCTCCCATTGCACACCTGTCATATTTTATCTACCCCTGATTGAGATCAATGCTCTATTGTTACTGAGACAGTCTACGTGTCGTTCATCTCGGCCTTAGTTTTTCTGCCGTTCTAAGGACATCACGGCCAGCCTTGGCATCTCAGATTCTTCTCCAGAATCAAATTAAATTCGACCGAAAAACAAGCAAAAAAATATATATATATATTTATATGTATGGAGTATGGAGTATGGAGTATGTATAACTGGACGGTTTGGTGGATATAATTCGGCACATTTGCTCCTTAGTGGGGCCAATAGCCGAAATTCATCGGCAACTCAAATTCATTTGACTTGCCATTAGTCAATAGCGTCACCTTGAACCGCCAAAGTCTTGTTTACATTTGTGTACCAACCTAAACCGTAATGGAGGCGTCATTCTCGTGAACCCTCCACAGAATTTAGCTTGTCAGTGCCGAACCGAGAATGCGAGGCATCAAATCGGCCTTTTGTATCTGAACCTAGCTGAGCAAACAAATCTAGTTGTTAAGTTATATGAATCCCTCTAGAGCTCATGGTATTAGACCTTGCAGTTTTGCTGAGCATTCGATACGCACTTGAAGTTATAGCCCTGATGGCGGATAATCGGAGCTCATATATCCAAGCTATGAGCGCAGTTTTCTTTGCCTTTACCTTCATTAGCGTTTCCCTACGCTGTTATCGGCGTCTAGTCATTATTAAAAGTTCTAGTGGGATGGCTTTCTCTCTATTCTAGCACTAGCATGTCTCAAATCCCTATGGGAATAAGGAAGTTTAAACTTAATCAGTCCATATCACAGATGGTTTATTGCGCCTTCTGTACCTGCCCCATTACAGGGATGCTCTATGGGGTGGCACAGAGGACGCCTACCAAAAAGTTTGACGAAGCAGTGGCGCTCAAAGTAATGCAAACCACTTAGATTTATGGTACTTCTTGCCTCTTTCTAACTATCGAGGAGCGTATAGTACTTTTAGCTTTGTGAATTGATGTATGGCCTCTCGATACCATTGACAAAATTAGCAGCTGGTGTGTTGTTGCTACAGATCACAACGGAGAACCTCCACATCTGGACGCCCTATGTCTGTATGGCAATATCGCTGGCCGCCGGATTTATAGGGCTGGTTGTCGTTCTCATCCAATGTTCACCGCCATCAAAGTTTTGGAATAAGCAGGTGATGGCCCATTGTATAGATATCGAGATCACTATTGCTGTAACATATGCCTGCAGCGTATTTAGTACCATAAGCGATTTCACCACGGGACTTCTCCAGCTCTTCATTCTCCGCAAGTGTCAGATGAAACGAATGGAGAAGATTGCTCTCATGTGCATTATAGGACTAGCTTGTATGTGAGTATCCTCTGTGTTATCATGATGTTCTGCCCTTGAGATCAATTATATGATACTCACAAAGTCTAGAGCAAGCGTGGCCGTTATTGGCCGGATACCTTACGTCGCTAGGTTTCGCCAGCCAGCCAGACTTCCTCTGTATGCTCCCATATCTCTCGGAACAATAAGTTCTTGTTTCAGTTGTCTGATGAGTTCAACGGCTGGAATAGCAATCTGGTCTAAGGTGAAAGTAGGACTCGAAATCTCCGCTGGTTGCATTGCTACTCTTAGGCCATGCTTTCGAGCGGCCTTAAGCCTTAACACAAACTGAAGAAATCATAGGAATCAAGAAATGAATGACTACAATTGGAGGACCATTACAATGTCTCAGATTCCTGGCATAGTTAGAAGTCGTGCCGATGATGCAGGAGCTCATGAATCAATTGTTACCCAACCCAAAGTTCACCATATACAAACCACGACTATATATTACAGTGAAAACGGGGCTCGGAAAGTAGATGCAGTGGTTCCAGCCATATTAGGGATAGTCTTATCACTCTTTCACGATCAGAAGATACACAGGATATTGACTTAAAGGATTTGGGCTACTAGACGAATATACTCAGTTAATAATCCTAATTTGGTTAGGACCTTTTCTCTTTTGTAGGATGGTTGAAAAGTCCGGCGTGTTTATATTTATTATAGTTGACCTCATTCTGTTTGCCAATGTTGGCCTCCTTCTCTTCAGAGCTGTCTTGCTGTCTGCGGATAATAAGAATCTATCCCTTTCTCCCGTTCAGACCTGCTATTATATTCCACTCTGTAGATTCCGGAAGGTTAAGACGAATGCCGAATCCTGAAAGTGGGGCACATTCCAACGGCGAGTAAGGTTGGAAGCATGACCAGGTTCAAGTGCTAGAAGCGAGGGAAGGTAGTAATACAGTTAACCGAGGTTTGAAGGACGGAGCTAAACAAGATAATTAATATTTATACTCGGGATGTTGACCGTATACATTTATCCTTTACGGTGCTATCAAACTGATACTATTTCTCCGCTACTCTTTTGCAAAAGTGAGTTTAGATTACTACGAAATAGTTCCGAATCCAACAATGGCTTCTCTATCTGCAGCTGGCCTCTCATTAATTGAGACAAAGATTGACTCCTATACAACGAAAGAAAATGGAATCCCAGGATTGGTTTTCATAGCAGTGAATCGAAACGGCGAGCGCTTGGTCAATCATGCATCGGGATTGCGAGGGTTAGGAAGTGTTGAATCTATGACCACGGATTCTACGTTCTGGATGGCATCATGTACGAAATTGGTCACAAGTATTGCCGCAATGCAACTTGTTGAAGCAAAGAAGCTTTCTTTGGATGACGCCGACATCGTGGAAACCATTGCACCGGAGCTCAAAAAAATTCAAGTGTTAGAGTTGACACTAGATGGGTCCCTGCACCTAGTCGAGAAGAGGGGAAGAATTACGCTGCGAATGCTTTTAACTCATACTGGTATGTTAGAGCTTTTGGGTGATGAAGCATAGTGGAAGAGGAATGAATGAATGGGGAGCATGATGCTGATTGTGTCCTTCAGCTGGGTTTGGATACAGTTTCCTGAATCCTAAGTTGAAGAAATGGAGTGAGCCTATTGGCCTTGCAGAATATTCTTGTTTAAATTATGATATTTTCACACAACCGCTAGTGAATCATCCTGGTGAGCGCTGGGAATATGGTGTTAACTTGGATTGGGTCGGCCTCCTGGTTGAGCGAGTGACTCGAATGTCTCTGGGCGATTACTTTCGAAAGTTCATTTTTGATCCTCTTGGAATTCAAAATATTGGCTTTTTTCCCACTACAGCTATGAAGGAAAAGCTAGTATACCTACACGACCGGTTGTCGGATGGGAAAGTGGATATTCGTCAAGATGGGCATCTTTACCGTCGCCCATTAGTTGCTCAAGGGAAGGAGGACATGAAAGATATTGTAAACTCAGGGGGAGCTGGGCTATTCAGCAATCCAGAGGATTTCTGTGGTATACAATATTGAAAATCCCAAACACCAAATTAACCCATCTGATACTAACGCTTTTATTAGAGATCATAGCTACTCTTATCAATGATGGCTTCCACCATAAAACGGGAAATCGCATTCTTCGGTCGGGTACGGTTGATGGTAAGTCTGCTTGTACTTCCGTAGACGCCATGCTATATTCTGACGAGGGCTGTCATTTAGAGATGTTCTCAAACCAGATACCTCAATTCCCTGACTTTGGACGAGCACTACCCATCTCATCTCCAAAGCCATATCTCACACACGCCGAAGCAGAGCTATATCCTCAACCCCATCAGCAACCACAGGGCTGGGGTCTCTCATTTTTCTATTTAGTTCACTCATCTCCCACCGGTCGGTCGGCTGGGTCGGGATTTTGGAGTGGCCTCGCCAATCTCATCTGGTGGGTCGACAGGACACAAGGCGTTGGGGGCTTGATAGCTAGTCAGATGCTGCCTTTTGGTGGTAAGTCATTTAATCTACCATGGGATATCCCCTCGAATCGCCCCGTGTAGTCTTAACTCATAACAGATCATGACGTTTGGAAATGTGAATCAGAGGTGGAGCATATTTTGTACCAAAATCTATCTCACTGAGAAAGGAGCCGGGAAGCAATAGCATGGCCGGCAAGCAAACCTAGTAAATCATTAAAATGTACCTACAAGAACGCCAAGAATACTCTTTTTTGTTTTGAGGATCCGAGGTCAGAGCGTATATTTCAAGTCTAGCGCGGGTCTAGACCTGCATCATTGGAACCGAGGACACTTCAAGCCGAAGTTTTTCGGCTCAGGCGTGCTTTAAGGTTTAGCGCGACAAGTACGCCGAGAACCCCCGGCTTCTTGCACATGCTGATAATCTGGGGATTCTTTAGTTGGGGAAAGGCCTATAGACGCGGAATACGCATGGAGTTTAAAAAGTTCAAGGCCTTTTAAAAGGTCAAGTGTAACATCTGAGTAGAAATCCCAAATTGAGAAGTTTCAAAATCAACCTGTTGAAAAACCTACAGCACCATTCACCATGCTGTCATTGAAAGAAAAATTACGGCTGAATAAGTACGTACACTAATTCTAAACCATAAGCCAACTGTCGTTTAAAATATTATTTAGCCCATGGACCCAGAATTTTATCTCTGGTGTTATCCTGTTTCTCACTGTCGGCATCTATCTGGCGGTCATTGGTATGTTAAAAGCGAACCACTGCTTGCCAAAAATTTTAACTTGTAATAGGTCTCGGCGCAGGAGGAGGGAAACCAAGTTCCGCTCATGTTGCAACCATTACATATACTTCCATATACGCCATCTTTGCTGTTACCGGCTTCTTTGGTGGCAGTATTATGAACACGCTCGGACCGAGATGGACAATGACGGTTAGTGCCATGTTCCGGATTATCTTATATTGATGAACCCTTGTGCAAATTCCGTTGTTGTACACCCTATAGGGTATAATCTAACCGATTGATAGATAGGTTCACTGGGATATCCTCTCTACATCGCGAGTCTTTGGTACTATGATGTAACCGGGAATGAATGGTTTCCACTTATGGCTGGCATACTCGGAGGTGCTGGTGCCGGCCTCCTCTGGACAGTTTCTGGTTTCATGTAAGACTGAAGAACAAAGTTTCCAACTATTTACTTCAAGACTAATGCTCTTTTGAACATAGACAGTTTGCCTATGCAGAGGAACAAGACAAGGGAACATATATTGCATGGCAGCTGTTCCTTCTTGCCCTCGGATCAACAGTGGGCGCACTCGTAGCATTTGGAATCAGTGTTGACGAGGCTGGTTTAACAGGAGTACCAACTTCTGTCTACCTGACATTTATCATTATTATGTCCTCAGCCATTCTTGTCTCGTGAGTTTAGCCACTGGAACCCTTGAATCCTCGTTTAAGACTTAGCATACTAGGGCTACAATGATTGTATCGCCTCGGAAGATTATCCGAGACGATGGAACTCATCTTGCGATATTCACTGCGACTGAATTCAGATCCGAATTTAAAGGATGTGTTAAGTTATTGAAAGACTGGTGTGTGCTTCACCCTAGGTACAGAGAGGAATGGACACTGATTGGATATACAGGAGGATTGTTGCTCTTATTGTCCCGATGATAGCTACGGAGATGTCTTCAGCATTGATTCCCACGCTGAGCGCTTATTCCTTTAACCTCCGCACGCGATCATTGAATGGTGTCCTTTTCTGGGCCATTCAAATACCGGCAACCTTTCTCTACGGGCTTGTGTTAGACAATTCACGGTTTCGAAGACGTGTCCGGGGCTTGACAGCACTCAGTATTGCCCTGGTCATGGTTATTATCAGCTGGACATTGTCATTCATTATTCAGGTAAAATACCATCTGAAACGTGACCTCCCTTCTCCTGCTTGGGACTGGACAGACTCCGCCTTCGTGGAATTCAGTATCATGGTCATATTCACCGGAATTGCGTATGCGATTGATCAAATGGTCGTCATGTGGGTCATTAGCGCTTTCAGTAATGAGCCTAGATTGCTTGCTAGGTATGGTGGATTTTTCAAGGGAATGTTGAGCGCAGGTTTGTGTATTGCCTTTGGAATGGAGTCTGGAAAGGTTTCTTACCTGTATGTCTTCTACCCCATATCTTGCTACTTTACTTTGTTGACCGGCCGACTAGGAACCAAACAATTACCCAGAGTGTTTTGATGATTATTTCCTTCCCGATTCTGTATTATATTGTCATGAAATGTGTTCCTGATACTAACTACTTCAGCGAGGATAATGTTATCCCACCCCAGCATGTGGGAAGTGAGAAAGCCCAAATACTGAATAATGAGAACTTGGACCACAGAACTCACTCGGAGGGAAAAGCTGACGACGAAGTAATCAACCTGGACTAGGGCTCGGAGAATTTGAACCGCCGAAAGTAGAGGGCTGCTGCGGTTCTCCGGAATGGTGGTCCATTACTGTCAAAATACATAGCCTTTGTCGGTTCTTAGAAATACGTGATCTTGTTGTCATGTTAGTCAAAATGAAGGCAGGAATTAAGAATGTGCACGTTATATGGCATTGAGAAAAGATTATAATGAGTATGACTTAATTTTCACTGTGTGCTAATAGGACCAGTGGGATATTAATCTAATCCATGTCTTCCTTCATGTGGGTAGTGCTAATACTGCGTTCTTCTCTTAATCTCTCCTATACTTACGGTAAGAAGCACATCAGTAGTCTAGATGCCCACAGATTGAGCTATCGGGAACTAACAGGCAAAAATGAACGGGGATAAAGTATCTGAATGAGTACAGTCGAGCTAAAAAAATATTCGCGTTTTTCCCCGCACCCGCGCGACACGCTCAATTTCTTCATCTTTTTCAATCTCGCCCCGCGGTGATGCCTCGCACTCCTCTGAGGCTAATTAATCCTAACTCTAGACAGGGGAGTGAGTTAAGCCCCTATATATGAGATTAAACTATTGCGTATTAACAAAAATAAGATTAAAATTATTAATATAATATATTAACTTTGAATTTCTTTCTTAATAATTAAATTTCTGTAAGGGCTAGGGTTGGTAGAGCGTGAATATATTGATTCCTATGTCGAATGAGGCTTCACTAGTATGTGCCCTGCGTATGGGTAGCTATTCGCTACCCCCTTTTACTATAAGGATTCGGTCCAGTGTTTATGAGTGGTGTCTTTAGACACATAACTCACTAGCGCCCGCGTCACGTGTACTATATAGAATCAACACCAATCTCTATACATTTGAATAGAGGCGTTACAGCTATCTCTCTTCTCTAAAGGGCGTGGCCTCACGCCTTGCTTAGTATCATTAGATAGACCTCTTTAGCTGCTATAGTCTGTACAAATTGCAGATGTTAATTCGGTATAGTGATGAAGATATTTGTATGCGAAGTGATATACTCTATGATATCGAATTTGCTTCCTCTGATAGTGGAAAGTATGATTTGATGCGTTTGCATCCTATTAGACAGCGTATAAATCTTGCCTTTCTACTGTCTCATAATTTTCCTCTTCTAATATGGCTTTGAATTTTATATCCTCGCCTCCCGGCCTTTCTGGGGTTGTTACTACTGTTATAAGTGGATTTTCTTAATTTTTGATCTCTAAGCAGCTATTTATTACGTTCCTTACGTTTTCAGCGCCATTTTTGGGCGATATTTGGGGGTATTAGTGTTTTAAAGCGCTTGTGGGCGGTTGCTATATGTTGCTTTATCCCTCTGGCTATCCTCTGCACCTCTGCCACGTCTGCTTTGTTTATTACCCAGAGTATTCGATATATCAATACTTAGGCTATTGTTCCTCACGTTTGAATGGATTCGAATGAGCTTTAGAATGATATTTAAGGGTGTTTTGATTTTGGCATTAGTTCATGATGTTTTAGAAGTTTTGTTTATTTTAATATTAGATTCATCCCCTGAATCTTTCTTTGTGGTTCAGAATCTTTCTTTTATGCCTCTATTCTCCTCTAAAAGGAATATTTGGCCTTGAATGCTGGGATAAACTGATAATTCATAGGCTGCCACTCTTGGGTCTAAATCGATGTTATATATTGATTCAGAATATATCACATATACTGTTGAGCAAGCTCTTATAGCTACTGATTATCAGCCTTATCTTTCTGACTATCCCAATATACTAGCGAATCTCAAGATTTCAATTCATGTATTTACTTCTGTTAATATACTAACTGCTTTTATTCTTATAGATGAATCTTTGAAAGGTGTGAAGCTTTTATTAGAGAATAAAGAGAAAAAGTGCGTTAATCAGATTTATTGAGACATATTTAGCCTTTAGGGGTTTGATGAATGTTTTTTAAAGTTTAAAGATCTTTTAAATTCAGATGTACTATTTTCTCGCGTTATCTTTTATATTTTCTCACTCACTAAAGTTATTTATACGAAGCGTATTCTGACTAGCAGCTGTAGAGGTTTATCCTTCTATGATTGATATTCCTATGATATATTTAATAGTATTAAATCTTTCTCTGTTCATATCTAGCCTTCTTACGAATGTAATAAGATGCCTGAATGTCTTATCTAGTGTTAAATCTATATTTAAAGTTTGGCGACTAAAGCTTTTAAATTTTGTATTAATAATCTCTACTCTGATAATACAGTATAGAAGATGTGTATTCTATGTAAATAAAAGTGTTGTTAATGTCTAAGAGTAGATTCTTATATTTATATAGTATTTTATATTAATGTATTAAAGGTTTTTTTTAGTTCGTGATTCATGCTTAGAAGGCTGTTTAGCTATATTTTTTTAATAATATGACTACTAGCCTTCAGATGATTGGAAGACTTGATCTAGAGATGTAAAATATAAAGATTAATAATATCTCTAAGAATAGTTCCTCTGAGTTGGAAGCTGTAAAGACTAATAAGTTAAAGGTTAAGAAGAGTAAGTACTGTGTATATTATTGCTCTTATTCCTCTGATAGTAATGCTACTCCTTTAAAAGAATGAAAAAAGGCTCGTCACAGTATGAATTCATTAGAGTTAGATGATAATAATAATTCTTATAGAGCTTTTTATTTATTTTATCTGGTAGTGGTGATTACTATCTTCTTGAAACCTTCTTTGGATTCTATTTCTTCTATGTCTTTGGCCTTGGTGAATCCAACTCTTAATCTTATTATAAGTTTTATTTCTGAGTCTGCTCTTTCAGATTCTATGATTATAGGTTGGATTTATATGGTAATAGGCTAGGTTCTTTCTAATAATCCTATTATGAAAACTGATTAGTCTATTGAATCTCTTTTTTTTTGAGTATGAAAGTGGCTTCAGTCCTTATTTGTCTCAGTTTATTGGTATGAATAGATGCGTTAGGCCCTATATTAAGATAGGTTTAGATAGAAATAAAAAATAGTTATTTTCTTATTCACTTTTGGGGTTCTTTTATAGATTTTTGTAAGTATCGCTTGAAAGTAATAATATCTTGTATATTATTAAATGGTTCTTAAATGTAGTTTTCTTTAAGATAATTGGTCTATTTAATATAATACTTTTTTCTATTTGAAGGTTTTCTCTTCTATTGAATCTTTTCTACTTTGTACTCTTCTTTGTCATCTACGAGGACTATATTTAGGGGTGTGACGTTTCTAGCTGTACCTTGATATGGTTCGAGTAGGGAGATATAAAAGATAGGATATAGCTTCTGAAATTATAAGGGTAGATATAATTTATATGTATTTGTACCTCAGATTATAATAATCTAGAAGGGGCTAATCTACTTATTATCCAGCTTTTGTTTCTCTTGAATGGGTTGCAGATTCTTGGTACAAAATATAACCTAGTCCCTAATTCTGAAGACTATATTAATTCGCGTTTTATTAAATTAATCCATTTAAGCCTTAAAAGCCTTCTTTAGTATATCCTAAAGAAGTTTGTGCTTATTTATTATTTTTGAAGTGCATTCTTTAACTATAGCTATTTTCTTTAGATCTTTTGAAGCCTCACTCTCTATAAGATTTGAATAATCATCTACATTGATCTGAACGTCTCCTCAAAATCCTATAAAGGCTTTGTTTAAAGTGATGCCTGTTATACTATACATATTGTTATTATAAATATGCTGTGCTATAGGAAGCTATCTCGCTTAATCATTCTGGTCAAAGTTAATATAGGTACGAAGATAACACTCTAAGATCTGATTTTATCATTCAGTCTGTCCATCTGTTTAGGGATAATAGGCCATTGAAAGTCTTCTTTAAATCCTTAGATACTAATAAAGTATTTTCTAGAATTAAGAGATGAAAATAGTGCTTTGGTCAGTTATTATATGCTTTAGTATAGTGAAATAACAAATTAAATTATTATATAGTAAGGTTGCTAAATCCTCTATTGAAGTCTTAATCTTTATAGATTTATAGATAATATATTTTGTCAATGGATTAATTATTATTAGGATAGCATTATATGTCTGACCTTTTCATACCAAATTTAGTAGACTGGTGATAAAATCCATAGTGGTAATTTCTTATAGAACCTTGATCTTTAGGAGGGATACCATGTATCTGAATTCCTGATGTTGGGGGATATATATGTGTTAATATATTTTATATATGCGAACATAGTACTTAATGTTAGTATATATTCTACTTTATGTATATTTGTGTCGTACTACTTTATGGATTTATTTAATCCTAAAATGACCACCTTGGGCATTATTATGATTTATATGTAGTATTTCTTGCTTTAAAGTATAATTAGAAAGGATATGAATTATATCTCTGAATCTAAAAAGATCGTCTTCTCTAACTGACTATTCTGAATGATTAATCTTTGAATTCAGATTAATTAATTATTTTTTAATAGCTATTACTTGCACGTCTGAAAGCTGGCAGCAATAGATAATAGTTGTGAGATCTTCATTTATATCTGAATAGGCTGTCTTGGACCATGTGGCTACTATTAATATGATCTATGATACTAAGAGTTCTCGACCTTCTATATTATTAGTAACTCATTTATTCTTTAAAGTGGTGTTTCAAACGCTTTAAGTCTTTTTTTTATTAATATGAAAAGCTCTTATTTACTTTTTTAGATATATGATACTAGCTATTAATTTGGGTCCAATATTCTTTTCTAAGGTATGATTTTGATTTATAAAGAGTCCGTGTCTAAGCTTCTCCTGTAAGATTAGTAGTAGGGTGCATGGGTTTATAGTTCTATTTGCATAATTAGATCTACAGCTCAATGCATCTATGAAATTTTATACTCTAAGCTGGTGTTTAATATTAAAATTGAATGCTGAAAGCTTTTTAGCTTAACATGTTTGTCTTTGGTTAAGAATCTTTATAGTTATAAAGTACTTTAGATTTTTATAATCTGAAAGAATAAGCGCTGGCTTTTTACTATCTTTTAAATAGTATTGCCAG